AGCCAACTTGCTTTTGATAGCTGTTGATCTCATTTGTTGAGGCATTGCCAGTGTTTTTCTGTAGCCTGACTCCTGGTTCTCCAGGGATTTTGACAGGTTTGTATTCAGTGTTGTTGATGATATCAAATTTGTTCAGGAGTTTCTCAGTGTATTTGGACTGATTGATGTATAATTCTTTGTCTTTGATGATAATATCATTTCCTAGGAATGTGGACACTGGTCCCATTTCCTCGATTTTGATAGGACTTTAGCTTCGTCATGAGGTCTCGGATATACTGCTTATCTTTATGAATGGCTAGTATATCGTCAACGTGGCATATCAAGATGCAGTTTGTTTTTGTATTGATGTAGACTCCTTCGTCATATGGTAAAACCTTAAAGCCATATTTCAATAGGGCCTTGGTTAAGTATTTGTACCACAACCTTGGACTTTGTTTTAGACCATAGATTGCTTTTTTCAAGTGGCCGCATTTGGCAATGTCATCATATATCCCTTCGGGTAATATGGTATAGATTTCGGCGTCTATGTCGGCGTGCACGAATGCATTTTTGACATCATATTGTAGGATGACCCATGCTTTGTTGATAGTTATTATCAGTAGCATACGCCATGTTTCAGTTCTACATGTAGTAGAGAATGTTTCCAGGAAGTCTATTCCTAGTTTCTGATGAAGCCTTGAATTACCCATCGGGCTTTGTATCTGTAGGTTTTCTCATCATTGATGATCCATGATTCTTTGATTGTTGCCTTGTTTGATATAGGTTCTAGTTTGAATACCCATCTCCCTTTTATGGGAGTGATAGCATTTTTGTTGTCTTTTGATTTGGGGATATCAATAACGTCATAGGTGTTTTGTTTTTCTTTTCAACTTCTTTGACTTCTTCTTTGCATGCTCTTATCCAGAGTTCTTTGTTTTTTTTGATTTCATGGCTTGATTTCACCCACTCAGTTCAGTGGATATGGTAGCAGTGAGAATGAAGTTTTTGTTTAGAGTGATAGGATCATTTTGATCTGCTTTTGTATTGTATCCACCTATCCGAGATATCATGTTTTATAGCTCTGTGTCTTGAGCTGTGTAGAGTATATTCATTTCTTTGTATGGGATTTGCACTTCGATTTTGTATGGCCTTTGAGTAGGTAGTCCGGTTGATAGCTCTATGTTGGCTTCACCGTCTTTCTCGTCGTTTGACGTGTCAAAGTTGTAGAATTCGTTTTCACATACAGTGACATCTCGGGCCCATACTGTCTTCTTTCTTTTGAAGTCCCACAGTTCGTAGTTTGTGGCGTCATTGTATCCAATTAGGATGGCTTCTTGTTTTCCTGGTTCAAGTTTTGTTTTGTATTTGTTGTCATGATAATATGCAAGTGATCCCCATGTTTTGATACCTTTGATGAATCGTTTTGTATTGTATTATGTTTCATATGGTGTCTTATAACTTAGCGCTTTGTGCGGTGTTATATTGTATTGTTGTATCGGTATGTAGCTGCTTTTAGAGCTTCTACCCACAGGTAGTCCGGGGCATTTGAGCCGGTCAATAAGGCTCGTACTTTGTTCATCAAGGTCAAGTTGATTATTTCGATCAGACCATTGGGTTCTTTTGTGTATGTTGGGCTAAGTCTATGCTCAATAACGTACTTGGTTAAAGCCACTTTGAAGTTTTTGTTGACGTATTCTTTACCATTGTCGGGAAAGAACTCTTCGAGGCGTCCATTGGTATTGTTTTCAATTTGAGTGTTACGGCATGTGGGCTGACACCACCTGCCTAACGTAAGTCCAGGCGTTAACCAAAAGAGACCATTATGACAACTAAGTAGTTGTCATGTCAGGTTTCCAATTCATACCCACAGTACAGGATCGTAACATTGAGCTTTCAATTTCCCGAAGCAATCATAGGCTTGTTCCTTTCTGCGAAGTAGGAATATCCATATAAATCTAGACTTTTTGTCCAGGAATGTGATGTAATAAGCGTTGTTATCATAGGTTCTAGGCAATGGCCCTCCTAGATCACTATGTATTCTTTCAATCTTTTGGAATATTTTGGTATGTTGACTGGTTTTGTTTATATGCCTGTTGTTCTTTGCAAGCAGGCATACTTTGCAGTGCATAATCGCATTCTGGTATTTTTCTTTTGATAGATCAATATTGATAGTTTTTAGTATAGCTTTCAAAGGTTCATATGATATATGCCCTAATCGTTCATGCCACATCTTGATGAAGTTGGTTTCCACCCTTTTTGTCAATAGGATGTTTTTGTTCTTGTCTTTGTCTGGGATAAGCAGACTTGTTTTGTATAGATTGTCTTTCTTGAATGCATGTGATATGATAGTGTTTTCTTTGTGTATGATGGCGTCCTTTTCATTGAAAGTTGCCTTTATACCATTTTTCAGTAGTTTGTTAACACTCAAGAGATTGACTCCCAATTCTGGGATGTAGTAGACATCATTGATGAAGAATTCCATATTTGTATTTGTTTTGACATAGATTTTGCCTTTGTATTTTGTTTTTAGATCTTTTGCTTCACCCCAACTAACATTTGTTTTTGTGGGTTCATACGAATGGAAGAGTTTCAAATCGCAAATTGTATGAATTGTAGCAGCAGTATCAAGTATAAAATCAAACTTATTAAACATTAAATCTCTCGAACGCATTGACCAATTCAAATTTCTTGAACGCTCTGACGTATTCAAATCTGATTTATGTTTGTAAGTATGATGTTCATCAATGTTTTTGTTTTTATTGAAAAGTGGAAGGCATACCTCTTTCAGCAGGTCGTCATCAGACAACTCAGCTGCATCAGTGATGATAGTGTCCTCATCCATCGGTGTTGTATCAATTTCAATGTCATCCTCTTTCAAGAGGGTGATCATCGCACTTTGTTTGTTTGGGGAGACTTTGGTAGTCTTCTTTGTTGTTGGGGGTTTTTTCAACCTTGTATGTTTTGTTTGGAATTGTAGTTGGAGCTGGAGCTGGTGCTGGTGCCGTTCGGCGAGCTTGCCAACTTTCCGGAGCTTTGTCCGGAAACAGGTACCAGCATTTTTGGTATAATGTGTGGGTATTTTGCAGTGCTCACAATAAGGAGCATTCTGCGCTTGTTTTTTCCAAGGGGTTTTTGTTCCTCTCTTGGTGAATAGAAGTTTGTGACTTTCGATACCACGAGATTCGTCGATGAGATCGGCGAACAGTGACTCGGTAGTATAAGACTCAGGATCTTTTCGGAGTGATTGGACGATTGACTGGGTCAATGTCTCATATTCGTCGCTCAGGCTATTCAGCACCCAAGCAATTATCAGTTGCTTGGGAAGAATGTTCTTGCCCTTGAGATCGTCATTGAGTGTCTAGACCTTGATGAGGTACTCCTCCATGGTGTCGAAGTCCTCAAGGGTCGTGTTGAAAAACTCTTTGAAAATGAGGTACTCGGTCGTGAACCCTTTTGGGTGATAGCACGACTCGAGGGTTGTCCAGGCTGTTTGGCATCGGAACAATCTTTGATGCAGAGGAGGGGTCCATCCTCACACAGGAGCTGTATGATAGACAGCGCCTTCTCGTTCTTGTTTTGCGAGGGTGAAGTGGTGAGGACAGAGATGAGGTCCTCTTTCGTCAAGATGGCCTTGACGCGGATAACCCAGATGGTATAGTTCTCGGAGCCTTTGAGCTTGGCGACCGATATCTTTTCGAGGGATGTCATAATGGCGTATGTGTATCTGGTGAAACAAATTCCAAGACGTAGTTCAGCAAGTCGATATGGATGGTATGGGTCTATTGCTGAAGCAGGAATTTTGCGGGCTCATAACCTCAAGGAGGATTATGGCAGAGGAAGGAATGGTGGCGGTGAAGGTGTTTGGGAGAAAAGGTTCTTAGGAAGAATGTGGAAGAAAGATGGTGGAGTCAAGTAAGTTTGATTGTGTTGCAAGAACTTGATGATAGTAGTGATGCTAAAACTAATTCCCCTGGGGGATTTGACTCCTATTTATCTTTGCACTTCATGTGCTCTGATTTATTTTTATCTTTGCACTTCATGTGCTGTGTTTGGTGCGATTCCGCAATCGTCTGTCCGAAAGCAATAAATCGCAATCCTCAGTCCGTCCGCGTCAATCTATGAACGTTACGGTTCACTTGTGTTGTATCTTTATGTTACGTCAGTCCGCAGGCGTCTGTCCGTTAACGTGTCTTGATATTTTTAGGTTATATTGATATTTTTAGATCTTACAGTCAGGTCTGGTCCAGATAGCTGGACAAAGGGTGGATCCGCTTTTCTGTTGGTAGAAATGGACCAACTTCGGATCCGAGGGGGTCTCTGCAGGGCAGGTAACCTGCGAGAGATCAGATGGCAAGGGAGTGTAAGGTGTTCGTCGATCGAGGAGGTTGAATTTTGTAGCGATTTTCTCAATGTAGGCACCCTGGGCTGATCCATGTTCGTCGGGTTTCGCGGTCGTGAGTGATGCGGATGCCAATGAATTGTGTAAGTTCGCCGCTGCGTTTCATCTCATATCGTTGCTCCAAGAGATCCCTTTTGCGAAAGGCATGTTCAGATTCGGATGGATGGTATGCTGCCAAAAAATCATCGACAAACAGCATAATGATCATCCTGTCATCGGAGTAAAGACAGAGGGTCTTCAGGACAAGGCTTAAAACCCGGGTAGTGTTAATGGCACACCCCAAAGTCGATTTGGCACACCCTCTAGTCCCAATGTGGTTGGCGCAGTATTATAGACAAAATTGTAATTTATCATGCGTTTCTACATGGTATTCCACTTAGCCCTAAATCGACGTGGTGGAGCCCCTTTATTCCTTTGCTCAATTTTCCCTCACTTCTCAATTCTCCGCTACTAACTACAGTACTCCGTACATTGCTATAGGCCATTCGGAATGCAATCCGTGATGTATATAACCCTTTCTTTACCTCAGCTGGTGCCTATTTTTTTGCTCCATTTTTACTAATTCTCACCTCTCTATTAGGTCTTCCCCGAGACAAAAACCCTGCTCTGTCGATGGCACATAATGAACAACATCGAGACCCATGCCAAGCCCGCAATCTCTAAAGAGGTGGCTGCGTTGCACCCGAAGGGTTCCGAACCATACAAACAAATGGTCAACGAGCAATGGGAACTCATGGAGGGACGTATAACGAAGATCATCACCGCCTACACCGAGGAAGAGATGCAGGAGCTGTGGTCCGAATTTAAAAGGGAGTACTCCCGCTTCAGGAAATTCATCACGTATATGACTACAGAGTGGTTCCCATCCTGTCCCAGGCAATTCTTACGCTGCTACACCAAACAATATTTTCATATTGATGAAACCGCTACCTCTCGGGTCGAAGGGGCGCATTGGACCCTCAAGAGAGACCCCCAGGTCGCAAACAAGGACCTTTTTGACGTTGTTCGTCGGTTTCAGGCTGCCATTGAGGCGCAAGTTGATAAGATTCGGTCCCAGGTTGCCAAGCAAAAGGGTCGGAAACAGTCTGGACTTCACCCGGTCTTCGGAGGGGTCCTCGGTGTTATCTCCGAAGAAGCCATTCGCCGGACACAAAAGATTTTCAATACCTATCTAGGTACAGAGAATCCTCAGGCAATCTCACCAGATTGCTCCGGGCTATCAAAGGAGACGCGGGGTATCCCGTGTATCCACACCATCCACAAGGCCTGGGACATAGGTGGGGCTCTCTCCAAGACCGATTTCCACCGCCATTGGCACAATGACCCAAGCAGAGATGGCGCGGATTCCGACCCAAAACCCCAGTATTGTACGGGGCCGCGGTCGACCTCGAGCCACACCAGGCACCCCAGCATCCCAGCGGTCAATCAAGGAAGCAGAGCTCTCTGTTCACCGAGGTCCCATTTGTCACGTGCTATGAGATCTAGGACAAAGGACAAGGGTCATGTGATAGAGGAGGTGATTGTTTGTTCGCGCCTGAGGCACGTACCTGAGGAGCATAAAGGCTCCTCTCAGATAGTTGCTTTCTTTCTTTCTCTTTCTCTCTTCACCTTTAGTTTTTTGAATCACAGCGCTCTTTCCATCAAAGATTTGGCTCATAACACAGTGAGGGTTGTGATGACCTTTAGTTTTATATTATGAGCCAAATCTTTGATGGAAAGAGTGCTGTGATTCAAAAAACTAAAGGTGAAGAGAGAAAGAGAAAGAAAGAAAGCAACTATCTGAGAGGAGCCTTTATGCTCCTCAGGTACGTGCCTCAGGCACGAACAAACAATCACCTCCTCTATCACATGACTCTTGTCCTTTGTCCTATATCTCATAGCACGTGACACACTGAAGCAACGGTGTACAGACCATCATTGTGATTGGTCTCAGCTCGTCTTCACCCCACGTTCCTTGGCACCGTACAGCCAAGACTTCCGAACCCGAATCCGACGATTTCCCGAACCGAAGACCCACAGTGCCGACTGTGTTGACGAATCAGAATGGCTCCTCCTAAGGCTGATTGTTACGCGTAGCCGACTGGTCACTGTGAGTTAGAATGTCCACGGGTTATACTTGCCTAGTTCCAACTGCGGATTCCAAGAGTATCTCGCAACCGTACCGTTGCTATGCAAAGCCTTACGTCGGGTTCGGGTCCTGTTGAGTATCTTGCAGAACGTGCCAGAAGTGCGCGCCAAGTAAGTCAATCACTGAGTGTTACCACTAGGTGAATCCCCTACCTGTAGGTTGGGTTGTCTTGAAGGTGAACTGTGAAGTGCAAAGTACTAAAGGTAGTAACCGAGTAACAATGTGCAATTGATCGCGAAGAACTAAATACATGATGCTGAAATGAGTGTCCTTATATATCCAGTCCTTCGTGTTGTGGTCTACAGTTGGGAATGATCGATGGTATACCGGACAGGGTATTCCCGTAGTCCGAGTGGTATACCCAACTGTATACCCCGGGTGTCACGTGCGGGTGTGGCTGTTTCCTGCGTTGTGCCAACCGTCCCATCGTGTAAGCGGGTATTGTTTGTGACGGTTAGTCGCAGGCCTTTTCTGGCTTCTCTTGTCGAAGAGCCTCCTTGGGGCCTTCCGGGGCTTGCCCAAGTATACCAAAACGCACGTGATGACGCTAGTGCCTGGCGTCCGTAGAATGATTGGTTCACGGTTGCCCCTCAAATAGCTGCGGCCCCCGTGCCCCTTTGAGGTTCGTAACACTGATAAGCACAGCAGACAGCAGCGAGTGAGCAACCCCGATGACGAACCCCAGACACCCCCGAATCCTGACTCCGGCCCTTCCCACGAAACCGCTCCTGATCCTCTCGCCGACAATGATGACGATACTGGCGGAGGATTTGCACCCCAGATCACGTTCAAGGGAACCAGATTGATCAACCTCCAACTGGACTCGCCGACGGTTACCAAACAGCTCCTGAAGATTGATCTCAAGGACCGATATGACAAATTGACCGCGGTCTACAAGGAACTGGAGCAGAAGTTCTACGAACCTGAAAGACTCAACTCTGAACTCCAGGACAAGCCCCGCAATCAGGAAGGAAAAATCATTCGTGAGCGAGACGAGGCGATGGCTCGCTACCAACGAGCAAGAGAAGAGAGAAACAACGCGCGAGCTGACCCGGAGAAAGCGGTCTCTCGAGCAGCCGCAGCTACGGAAGAGAAGGATGCCGCTATTACCAAGCTGCATGAGATGGCCATCAAGATTTGTGATCTGCAAACCCGCGCACCGATTGTGGAGGCGGTCAAGAAGACAACGCGTCTGCCAGACGCACCCATGCTTAGCGACGGAGTTGACATCCGTTACGAATCCTGGATGACGGGCATCAAGAGGAAGCTCACAGGGAATGCAGACCATTTCCCCGACGCGAACGCCCGTATCCAGTACGTGCAGAGCCGTGCCGAGGGACAAGCGTTTCGTCACATGGCTCCCCGTCTGAACGAGGAATCGCCCGACCCGTATAAAGACTACGGAGATATCCTCGCGCATATGAAGACCGTGTTTTCAAACCCAAACCATGCGGTAGAAGCACGTGCCAAGTATCAGCGGCTCACAATGAAGCCTCGTGACCAGTTTACTAGCTTCCTTGCGGATTTTATGGAGCTCGCAAACGAGGCAAATATCCATGTCGATAACCGCAAGGTTGACCTGTACGAAAAGCTACCCCCGTTGTTGCAAAGCCAGATGCTGGGGGACTCCTGCGAGGATGAAGTCAGTTTCGAGACGTTCAAAGATAGGTGTATCCGACGCTCTCATGCGATCGCCCTCGTCCAACAGAGCAAGACCACCACCGCGACCGGCCGAGGACGATCGAATCCAGTCTCCTCTTCAACTGGGGTGGGATCATCGTCATCGAACACGAAGGTTAAGACAGAAAACCCCACATCGTCGACCTATGTCCCCATGTCTGCCACGGAACGTGCGACCCTCATGAAAGAAGGGAGATGCTTTGGCTGCAAAGAGCATGGTCATATGACGCGCGACTGTCCCAAAAACACGTCGAAGCCCACTGCCGCTCCTACTGTCGCTACAACCCAGCCCGTCGTCAATTTGACAGCTCTCGAGGATCCCGCGGTTGACAACTCGGGAAAAGCTCGTGCCTAGGCGAAGTCTCCCTCCTAGGCGGAATGAAGGTATCACTTTTTGCTTTGAATCTGCAGAAATTACTTGGAAGTCCCCACGATAGTTTAGTTTTTAAAACAGAGCTTATGTTGAATGGACGTTCCTTTTCGATCTCAGCACTTGGTGATACTGGGGCAGACGGATCAATTTTTATCAACTCAGCCCTAGTGGAGTTGCTTGGACAGCATGGCCTTAGGACCCAGCGACTGGACAGAGAATGCCCCGTAAATGGGCTTGATGGAAAGCCTTCTCGGCCCATCACCCATGCAGTGATCCTTTCCATGGGAATCGATGGACATATCCAACAGCAAATTCCAATGCTGGTGGCGGACCTTGGGAAGCACGATATGATCATTGGAAGGCTATGGTTCTCAGAGCATGACGTTTTGCTTGACTGTCGTCGTCGCCGAATGATTTGGCCCCACGAAGTGTCCCTGTTTGAAGAAGTGGCTAGTAAAATAGCACTTCCGACACCCCTCACGATCCTAAAGAATCCCCGAAACCTCACTCACCAGAAGGATGCGGATCGTCGTGACAAATTCCTGGAGCAGAGCATTGATCCCTACCTAGATCGGAACGGAGGACGCTTCCCATCCCCACGGCTTCATCAGAAGGGACAATGGCGGGCAAAGGATATTGAGAAAATGCAACGAAACCTCGACGGAACAAAATCTCCAGAATTATCCGGCACACTTGACATAAGTATGATTAGTGCCAGCGGATACCAGAGACTCGAAACGAGGTCTCTGTCAGATTCAAAAACGGAAGTCTTTGCAACGTCTCTTAGTGAGATTGATAGCATCCTTGAAGTGAAGAGTAGCAGCGTATCTGATGACCCGGAGATGGATGAGATCCTTCGAGTGCTACCCGCTGAATACCATGATTTGGCCGACGTCTTCCTGAAGAGAAAATCAGATGAACTTCCGCCGCACAGAAAGGGAGTCGATCATGACATCGTTTTGGAGGCAGAAGCTCAGCCTGGTTACTGCCCTCTCTACAAACTGTCTACGCAGGAGCTCCAGGAAGCTAAGAAGTATATTCTAGCGAACCTCGATAAAGGGTTTATCGTTCCCAGCTCAGCACCATATGCCTCGCCGATCCTGATGGCTAGGAAACCAGGAGGTGGACTACGTTTCTGCGTTGACTATCGGAGACTGAACGCGCTTACCAAGAAGGATTGCTATCCATTGCCTCTGATTGATGAGGTTCTGCAGCGAACTAGCAAGGCTAAATTCTTCACAAAGGTGGACATGCAACAAGGGTTCCACCGTATCCGCATGACGCCTGATGCTGAAGATCTGACGACATTTCGGACTCGATATGGATCCTTCAAGTACAAAGTTCTGCCTTTCGGTTTAACCAATGGACCCGCTACGTTCCAGCGTTTTATGAACGACGTTCTGAGGGAATGCATGGATGAATACGCGATCGCCTTTGTGGACGATGTCTTGATCTACAGCGAGAACGAAGAGGACCATCGTCGGCATGTCAGGGAGGTTCTCCGTCGACTCCGGGCAGCTGGATTGCAAGTGGGTATCAAGAAGTGCGAATTTTCAGTCCAACAGACGAAGTTCCTAGGCTTCATCGTCAGCACTGATGGAATTTCCGTGGACCCCGAGAAGATCCGCATTATTGAAGAATGGACGTCTCCTGATACAGTAAGAGGCATCCAGTCATTTCTTGGCTTTTGCAATTTTTACCGGCGGTTTATACGGAACTACAGCAAGATATCCAAACCACTACACCGTCTAACCCGGAAAGACACCCCGTGGGACTGGGATGACAATTGTGAAGGAGCGTTCCAGGAACTGAAGAACGCGCTCCTCTCGGCACCAATTCTACGACATTACGATCATCAGCGCCTTACCCGAGTAGAAACTGACGCATCTGACGGAGTGCTGGGTGCAGTCCTAACGCAGTACTACGAAGAGGACGATTTCTGGCACCCTGTCGCCTTTTACTCGAAAGTCATGCAGCAAGCGGAGTTGCACTACGAAATCCGAGACAAAGAACTCCTGGCAATAGTCCGTGCTTTGCAAGAATGGAGACCAGAGTTGCTTAGCTTAACGCAGGCAGAGCGTTTTGGCATAGTGACGGATCATCAATCTTTGGAGTATTTCATGAAGAACCGACAGCTGAATCAACGACAAATGCGATGGAGCGAGTTCCTCTCCCAGTTTCACTTCATGATCAAATATCGCCCGGGAAAGAAGAACATTATTGCAGACGTCTTATCACGAAAAGACGCTCCATGTCTGGATGACAGTCGACAAGCTGTTCTACTCCCAGAGTCCTGTTTCGAAAACCCAGGGAGAGATCCCGACGCCGATCCCGTTCAGATATCCCCTCTCTCTAACGAAATGGCAGGTAACGGACCTGACGGATCCAGCATTGTTGAACGAGTCAAGCATGCCAATCGCAATGACCAAAGCCTCAACGAATTCCGCGAAATGGCCGGTGCAGGAAGCCCAAGCTGGTCCATAGACGACGATGGTTTATTACTCTACAATGGTAAACTAGAAGTGCCTGACCAAGATGATCTCCGTGCTCGACTCCTCGACGAGATGCATCGCCAGCCACTGGTAGCTCACCCGGGCATCGAGAAGCTGAAGAAATTGGTTTCTGCACGGTATCATTGGCATGGATGGGCCAGTGACATAAAGCGATACGTTGACAACTGCCTGATATGCAAGAGAACCAAGGCGTGGAGAGACAAGACCCCAGGTTTACTCCATCCGATAGAGATCCCGAATCGTCCATGGGAACATCTCACTATGGATTTCCGATCATTCCCGAAGGATAAGAATGGTTTTGACGCTGTATTCGTGATCGTCTGTCGACTCTCTAAGAGACCTATCTCGATACCTTGTCACAAAGAGACGACTGCGAAGAAGATGGCCCGTTTGTTCATCAACAATGTCATCAGGATCACCGGGATTCCGGTATCGATCATATCAGATCGAGGAGGACAGTTTATCTCGGAGTTCTGGACTGAATTCTGCCGAATTCTTGGAATTGAGAGAAGGCTATCATCAGCACATCACCCAGAGACTGATGGACAAAGCGAAATCGCCAATCAATATATGGCACAGCGGCTCCGCCCCTACATTGAGCATAACCAGGACGATTGGTCCGATTACCTTCCAATGGTTGACTTTGCAGCATCGATTCTGCCCCAAGAAACAACTCGAAAGTCCCCATTTTTCGTCGAGCGAGGATACGAACCTGTGATGTCATTCGACTGGCGAGATCGGAGCACCTTGACTGAGAATGAGCAAGAAGCATCGGACATGCTAACACGTCTACATGAGATCTGGAACGAGACGAAGGAACAAGCTACGCATTCCCAGGGACGGCAGGCTCAACAAGCAAATAGGCATCGCCGTGAAGTTGATTTCGACGTCGGTGATCTGGTTTTTGTAACGACGAAGGACTGGCTGAAGGACAGACCTAGCAGGAAGCTTTCCGACGTCGCCAGTGGACCGTACAAAATCATCAAGAAGGAAGGGTTCTCGTTCAAATTGGACCTTCCTCCGACGATTAAGGTGCATCCAGTCTTTCATGCTAGCAAGCTACGGAAGGCATCGACGACTGAACCACTGCGAGGGCAGCATTCGGACCCTCCCCCACCTATTCAGGTAGGGGAAACCGATGAGTGGGAGGTCGAGAAGATTCTCGATGCCAAACTTCGTTACCGAAAATTGGTTTACCGAGTCCAATGGCTCGGGCATGACGTTGACCTGACATGGTATCCCGCTGGGAACTTCAAAAATTCAGCTGATAAGATCGAGGAATTCCATGACAATTACCCGTCAAAGCCGGGACCACCCTTACGGCTGCAAGCATGGAAGGACGCTGCTATGGCAGACCAACTACTGGAGGATCACCCTGACGATTATAAAGTGTGACTATGACGGCATTCAGAGGACTGAATGCAGTTTTGCAAGGGGAATGTCACGTGCTATGAGATCTAGGACAAAGGACAAGGGTCATGTGATAGAGGAGGTGATTGTTTGTTCGTGCCTGAGGCACGTACCTGAGGAGCATAAAGGCTCCTCTCAGATAGTTGCTTTCTTTCTTTCTCTTTCTCTCTTCACCTTTAGTTTTTTGAATCACAGCACTCTTTCCATCAAAGATTTGGCTCATAACACCATTCATGTTGAGGTGCTACGTGCTGAAGAGGCCGCACAGTCCGCACTATACAGGCGGACGCAATACAGGCGCTCCCAGCGTACAAGACAACCGAGGCGGCTCCACGAAGATGAGGTCTTACTCGCGGATACATCTTCGGAAGAAGAAGAAGAAGAGGAGGAGGAACCCAGTAGCATGTGAGTATATGAAGAAAGAGGGTTGCATGAAACTCATTCTGTATTCCAATTTGTCACGGGGTATACCAATCAGAGGGTGACAGGTCACTGATCCTTTGAAGTGTTGACCTTTGATACAAAGGGGACATGTCACTGATCCTTTGAAGTGCTGACGTGAGCTGACGTGTGATGATTTGAAATCATGTGTTGATATCTTTGTTGGTTCATGATCTCTTTCTTTGTTCATCATCTCTGGTGTGGCTGAGCATCATGGGGTTAGAGATCAATCTATAAATCTACTGATCGAGCCAGCCTGGGAAAGGCAAGATTCAGTCTCGTTACCGAATGGACTATGCTCATGTCTGAGCCTGCTCGTATCAGAGCCCTACATCTTGCTGTCTTCTTACCTAGCCAATAGTCTTCTGTTTCTATCTACCCCTTAACACAATTTCGTTCTGCAACTTCTTGTCATGAATCTTCCCCTGCTTTTGATGTCATGCAGCTCCCCCTTTGGTTCTATGTTACGAACCCCACTAGCGTGGACTTGCCAGAAGACAGGAAGTCCAATCAACTTGGATACGTCATGCGGGAAAGATAACGTGACTGGCGAGGCACGCTCCAACAGCAGCTAAGGCAACCACCAGTCACATGACGCATCATAGCCCTGGCTATGATACAACAGAGCTCAGGATATGAAGAACTTGATATATAAGGACGCTCATTCACCGACATGTATTTAGTTCTTCGCGATCAATCATACATTGTTACTTGGTTACTACCTATTGGACTTTGCACTCTACGGTTCACCCTTAAGACAACCCAACCTACAAGTAGGGGAGCTCATCTTGTGGTAACACTTGGTGACTGACTTACTTGGCGCGTACTACTGGCACATCCTGCAAGATACTCAACAGGACCCGAGTCCGTGTAAGGCTTAGCACAGCAACGGTACGGTTGCGAGATACTCTTGGGATTCGAAGTGGAACTAGGCGAGTACAACCCGGAAGCAGCTCTACTTACAGTGACCAGCAGGCCCCGCGTAACAGTTCGCTATTCCCAACTCATTTTCTACCGCATCTGCGTCCTCCAAAAGCCTCAAAATCATCACCGAGTTCAAACCTACAAGCAGGTTGACGGGTGGGAAAATAGATTGATCCCCTATCAATAACTAACTAACTATGGGGTTTGAATGCTGCATAACTTAGCTAGTGCGCGCTAGTAGGATTTGGCTCCACCACGTCGATTTAGGGCTAAGTGGAATACCATGTAGAAACGCATAGTAATTTATTTTCTTTGCGCCAACCGCATTGGGACTAGAGGGTGTGCCAAATCGACTTTGGGGTGTGCCATTAACACTACCCTAAAACCCAAGGAGATGAGCATTGTTCGAATGTCCGTTTCCCATCGCTTCCCGGTAATGCGTAGACCATATAGTGCTCTCCTCAGGCGTAAGTGTTTGCCGTTTGATCCAATCCCAGGTGGATACTGGCAGTATACCTCATTGTCGAGACGGCTCTTGAGGAAGGCATTAACTGCATCCATCTGAACGGTATCCAGATCAAATGTCGTGATTATCGCAATCAGGGTTCGGAATGTCCTAGCAGCTGTTATGATGATGCCGATAACGTTTCAAACAAGAAGAGTATAGCATTTAAACTAGATTATCAAAGGTGGAAGAGAAACAGAAGGATGAAGACAAGTGAAAGATGATGGGCTGATGCAATCATGCTACGTCACCAGTATCCTAACACATCCCTGAGATCCGCCCTGTGGACTCTTCTCATCTGAGTTGTAAACCTATGTCAGTCACTAACTCGTGACAGCAGCAAGCGTGCTATTCCTCGCATCTTGGAAGTCAGGGAGTTGCAAATCTCCTCTCACACAGAGGCGGGCCTTGAATCGGGTCACGAACCCCTTCTCATCGGATTTGCAGTCATATGCCCATTTCAATGGAAGAACTTGGTGTTTGATGCAATGTTTCTGGTTCAAATCACCACAGTCACGAACATGGGATTCTCGGATGCGTGAGGAAGGAATGGGTTCGAAGGTACCCATCTGGACAAGTTTGTTGAATTCAACATCCATGGCTTGTAAGAATTCAACATCCATGGCTTGTAAGAATTCACGTCGAAAAGGGTGACTCTTGACTTGAGAAAAGTCACCTGGAGGAGGCGGAATCGAAGACACCATGTGTTTCTTGGGCATAATCCGATTAGACGAAAAGGCTTGGTAAAATGCTGTAAGATTGATTCTGGGTCGCTTTTCATCCAACCCAGGAGATGGAGATGGGGAACGGGATCGTTTCCCGAGCACAGGTGATGTTGGGAATAGGTCATCAACATCGGATTGCGGTCCAGAGACACATTCTGGCTCAAGTGGGGGAGAAGGTGGTATATCACCAAGGACAAGATCTTGGGCTGGCTGAGTCTCTTCGGGAACTGGAACTGGCTGGACTGGAACTGGCTGGACTGGAACTGGCTGGTCAACAAGATCTTCGGCTGTGTGAATCTCCTCAGGAATTGGAACAGGCTGGTCAATTAGTCCCATACCACCCCCCTGACCTGTCTGTGATGGGTCTAGAGAAGTATCAGGTAGATGTTCAGTAGAAGGTTCTTCAGTGATATCCGGGATGTCGATGTCATCGATTATTCGGGATGAAGTATAGTCGTCAAGGGTCGAGATTAGCTTAGAGGAATCGTCATAGAGTTTGATGGGAGAGTGTTCCTCTTCTCCTTTGTAAAACTTCGTTTCATCGAATTCGACATCTCTTGCGCGGATGATTCGCTTTTTGGCAGGAATCCAGATGCGCCAGATGTTGGACGCTTCATAGCCAACAAGATATCCAATTTCAGCTCGAGGAGCTAGCTTTGCCAGTCGGGGAATGTTGTGTGTGCGGACAAATGCTTTACATCCATAGACACGGAGGTTCGACAAGTCTGGCTTAAGCTGAAGCCAATGTGGTGCTTTCTCTCCGAGATGAGATGCGAGTACCTCAGAGGGCGACTTCCAGTCGAGAGCGTGGTGAGGGATGCGGTTCTGGATGTAGATGGCAGCCATGGAGGCCTCGTGCCAGAGAGAGTGTGGAAGACCAGCATCTTCAGTCAGTTGTCGGGCCATGCTTGTGATGAGAGCTCCATATCTCTCTGCATAACCGTTCTGTTCAGGCTGGTGAGAGGGTGCGGTTTCGAAGTTGATTCCACGAGCCTGTGCTTCGGACGAGATGGTCGAGACAAGAGCGGTTTCATTGTCTGAATGGATGGTCCGGATGTCCAACCTAATGACATCTGTGAGCTATGTAAAGTCACGAAAGCACACAAGCAGATATCCCGCAAACCGATGGCATACGACAAGCCATTCGAAGCTTTACATTGGGATCTTATCCATCATGAGCCCTCTCTCGCCAAGACTCGGTACTTCTCACATTCTGTTGATCCAGTCACTAAATATCAGATGGGAGAAGTACCGAGTCTTGGCGAGAGAGGGCTCATGATGGATAAGATCCCAATGTAAAGCTTCGAATGGCTTGTCGTATGCCATCGGTTTGCGGGATATCTGCTTGTGTGCTTTCGTGACTTTACATAGCTCACAGATGTCATTCGAATCCGCATCTCCGACAGTAATATTGGAGGAATTGTCTCTCAGGTGCTTGATAACCTCAGTGCCAACATGTCCCAGGCAACGGTGCCATAGGTCAGAAGATCCTCTCTGATGCTTGGCTTTGTATGAGGATAATGCCAATTTTCCGAAGTCTTCAATCGGGGCTATGTCCTCCCATCATGGGTATTCGGATCCCATTTCACAAGGTAGACTCCTGGCTTCCGGTTCAGTCGACAGACCGGCGTTTTATCGGACTCGATGAGAGAATGTGAGAGGCCATCATAGAATAATCCACCCTCTTCTGCTCGATCAGCAGAGATCAGGTTCATGCGAAACCTGGGCGCGAATGCCACCTTCTTGAGAGCGAGAGGGATGCCGTCGATGCTTTCTGTAGGCATCACTTTCAGAGTTCCAAATCCAAGAATATTTGTCTCTGTGTCCCCGACTCGTACTGATCCAGTTGCTGGTCGATAGGCGGATAGAAGGCTCTTATCATTGCAAATGTGGACCGAAGCACCAGTGTCATAATACCAGATATCGTACTTGGCGGCTTTTGCTGTATCCTTCTTTTGCATAGTATTCAGCGCAACTCTAGTGATCTCGGAAATGACAGTCTTGGGGATATATGTGGAGAATGCTGCTGTCCGACTCTTTTTCTCCGATGCAGGCGACTCCGAGGAGGAAGAAGACGAGTCCTTCTTGAATTTCTCCAAAGCCTTTGTGTAGGCTGTCTTGAAGGCCTTCGACTTGGTGGCTCGTTTGAATCCCTTCTCCGCATTCTCATCTGGCTCCATCCTTCAGTTCGGACTGCAGGATTTACATAGGGACACCCAGCAAAAGGGTGATCCCCCTCATTTGGGTCGCTCTCACAGGGACAGGTACTCTTCCTCTTGTTGTTGGCATCAGGTTCTCGGCCTTGGAATGTAGCAGCGTGTGCTAGCCGATGCTGGTATCGAGGTGCAGCTACACCAACTTGCTGAGAGTAACGGTTGATGATGTCTGGGAAATCAGGGAGTGCTCTGCCATCAGGGTCATGAATTCGGTCCATCCAAATTCCATAGAACTCAGGAGATGTGGACCCAACAGCTCTGAGGAACTGAATGATGATTCGTTCATTCTGCTCGAATTCCTGACAGCCAACTTCCTTAGCCTCAGCATAGCAGACCTGCATTTTCATGATCCATCCATCAAGGTTCAATTTTGGGGGAACCAGGCTGCAAAGCTTGTTCCAATTCTCTGCCACTTGTACCTTGCGTTCTTCGTCGTTAGGTGCATCGGTACTCTTGAGCATCTGGAGCGTAGTACGCAGAGATTGCGCAACTATGAGCCGCTTGTGCTCTGATGTGATAGAATGGCGAATGCCTTGCTTCAGCCTGTCGGTGTTTTTTCTGTACACAGGGTACGCCCCAAGGCTCTCCGCTGTCACCCGTCCTCTTCATCCTGTTTGCAATTGTGACGTCGTTATACAGGAGACTGAGCAGCATCAGCGGCCTAGCCACAATCGGTTTCGCGGACGACACAAATCTCCTGGCGTTCGGGAAAGACACTACGACCTGTTGTGGGATCTTGGAGCACGCCTACAGGGTCTGTGATGAGTGGGCCAAGGAAAGAGGTATGAGATTTGGGCCAGAGAAAAGCGAGCTGATCCACTTTACCAGGACGCGTCTTCTCCGAACGGAAGGAGTCCGCATCCTCGAAGAGGGCCGGGCTACCCTGGCCCCTGTTGAGCCAGCTCGATTTCTCGGAGTTTGGCTCGATCGGAAGTTCTCTTTCAAATACCACGTCAAGAGGGTTCGCGTCAAACTGGAGACTCAATCCCGGGCGCTTACCCGGCTCTCCAGCAAAACCTGGGGGGTTCGTGTCTCTAAGTCGAGGGATATCTACACTAAGAGTATCCGAAGTGTGATGGAGTACGGTGCCAGCGCGTGGCACTCACTGTTACGGCATGTGGACCTGACACCACCTGCCTAACGTAAGTCCAGGCGTTAACCAAAAAGACCACTATGACAACTAACTAGTTGTCATGTCAGGTTTCCAATTCATACCCACAATACAGGATCTTAACACTCACCCACACCAAAGGGCGGCAACCCTCGAGGTCTCGTCAAGGCCCTGCTCACGGCCCAGACCAATTGTCTGCGGACTGTCACTGGGGCCTATAGGGCGACTCCGGTGCACAATGTCGAGTCCGAAGCGTGGTGCCCTCCATTGGACCTCTACCTCTCGAGGTGGGCGGCGAAGGCGAGCAACGACTCGGGCGAACCGACATGGCACACCTCCTTCGCACTGTATGTGCTGGAGTGGCAGCGAAGGTGAGAGCACGACGAGGTAGGCGACCTGTCTGCGCCGCTCCATCAAGAAGCGTCTTGCGGAAACGGGAGTGGGCCGAACAATGGGTAACGCCAGATGCGGATGAAGATGACATGTCTAGTTCGCAGGCATCCAGCCCTACACAGTGGACAGACATGAATGTGGACAACCCGACGTTACGGGAGTGGAAGTCCAGAAGACGGCGGAAATTGGGTGACGCGAGGGAGAGACGGAGTCGCAGTGGGAAGCAGCAGACGACTACAACCTCGACCCGTTGGTAAACCCCCTCAAGCTGCACTGGGGGCTCACCAAGGTGAGGAAGTCCCATAGGAGCGATCGGCCTAAATGCGTTCTTCCATCGCAGACGAGTCCCTGATATCGAATCTCCGCTCTGCCGAGAGGGCTGTGCCCAGAAACGTTTGCGCACCTCACGCTCCGCTGCCCACAGCACACGCCAGCAAGGGAAGGCCTGGCTGGCCTGGAAGTATACTGGAACTACTCGACGGATACTCCCTAAGTGCAGCGCTTTCCCGCGATGGCTCTGCCCAGCGGCTGGCAACCTGGTTCTTCAACCTGGGACGATTGAGTGAGAACAGGCTCGCAAGAGAATTGGAGGGCTGCAGCGCATGGCCCCACGAAGCCCACACGGGGGGAGACGTCGAGGAGGGGACGCAGAAACATAGCTCTCTAGCTAGCCAGTTGCCTGGAGAGCCCCTGCTTCTATGATAGGGAGAAGAAGAAGAAGAAGAAGAAGAAGAAGAAGAAAAAAAAGTGACATGCACTAAAACCTGTCACCAAGCTGGACGGACGAGGTTTAGCACCATTGGATTGAGGTTAGCGTTGGGAGTTGCGGGCGGAGGCGCGAGCGCCCGTACGATGTACTTAAGTGCTTGACTCGAACTGAGGAGGGACTGCTTGCCCACAGGGGCGAGGCGGTTATCCGCCTAGTCAGTAGTAAGATAATAATAATAAATTCACTTCATGCGTCTTAGTTCCTATGCAATCATGCCTCACCAATTGCTTGTGGCCAAATCGAACGGAGCGCTGCGAGTTTGATATAACTAAGCACTGGGTGTGTATCAAAACGACCTACCAAGACAAGGAAGAGGAATACCGAGAAGGAACCACATGAGGGGAATATGCCCGCGAAGAATGCCGAGTCTTGTTTGAACCGGATAGCATGATTGCTAGTATGGAGCGGAACGTGTAGTTACCGCTAGAGAGAAGCACTCGGCTCTCGAGGCTGAGGAGCAGTTATGTAAGATCAAGGCGCACCGTCAGCACATTGTGGAAGAGTCAGAACTTTGAATCTCTTATGATACACCAAGAGCAAAACAGGATGATTCCATACTCTCGTCATCTTGACATCCGGCCAGTCACCTATCGGTAGAGTTGTAGTAACTAGTTGTAGGCTTGTAGCCTAGGCGAACAATTGAATCTTGGGGAGAGTCGAAGAAGACTGGGGGAGACTTGAGGAGGTGTTGAGGGAGAGTTGACCCGTTGGGAAGAGTTCAAGCAGATTTGGGACTTGGGAGTTGGGACGTCCGAAGCCCTCACACCCCACGGGCCCACTACTATTTCTCTGGGGAAGGGCATGTATCAAGGGGGGCGGTATATGTGGCAGAATAATGTACTAACCTGTTCCAGAGGGGCTTCTGTATGTACTACACAGTACTCCGTAGTCCGTACTAGTAGTTAACTGATAACTACAGTACTTTGGAAGACAGACAATTTTACAACTTCCATCATTTTGAAGATCTCGATTGATTATTACTGTGTATTTTATCCCACACCCGTTATCCCGGTACGCGAACTTTTGACAACTTTGCAACTTTCCATCACAGGCCTACGTTCTGCAATAGGAAAAAAAAACGTCTGGCCAAGAAGAAGGTGAGCTATCCTCCTCGTCGTCTGCCTCGTGGGCTGAGTGCTTCAATGAAGCTACCCTCAACGCCAACTTGAACATCTTAAACAACCATCAGTTGAGCGAATCAACGAGGCCATCCAATCCATCCTAAACTCCGAGCTACCTACTTTAACCGCGAGTACTGATTATATGTACTCAACCTTGATGCAAGTACCGGAAGACGACTCAAAGAAGATGGATCCTTCCTTCCGGGGAATACGAATGATGCTGGATTACGAAGAACGTTGCATGGTTTTGAAGTCATGCCGTACATCCAACATGGCTTCGCTTTTTGCGCCACTACATAGTACCCATGAGTTAGAGGGAATGGGTCTCTTTGTCGAGAACGGCGATTGGATTGGGCGAGGGGCAGGGAAGGCGTTCGGAGCTACGTCCGTGAAGGAGCCAGACTCTTTTACCCAGACAATGTTCTGAATTCTAAAGGCGGAGGAATGAAGAAGCCAGCAATGACTCTCGAAGTGGGAGTGTCGGAATCATACCGATAGCTTCATGAAGACTCACAGTGGTGGGGCGCCAACACTTCTGGTCGGTGCTCCCAAGTCTTCCACGCCGACCAGTCTGGAGAAGTAGACTTTGAGGTCTGGAAGCATGTTCTGGATCCGAGCCTGTCCACACACCGTTTTCAAGTCTTGCCAACACGCCTACCTTGAGAATGGTGTAGTTCGCGCCGGGGCTACGAGCTTTTGCTCTAATGTTAATGTACAGACTTTTGGACAGTATCTGTACAAACAGCATGTCAATTACATAGAATCCTCTTATGCTGACGCCTTCCAGTCGTGCTAACGTTTCCCAATCACGTTATCTATGAGTTACTCTCTGCCAACAGCGTTTACCACCAACCCCTCCATACTACATATGAATGGTCTCTGAATGAGAATCGTAGCTCTATTAGATTTGAAGTTGCTCGGCATATAAGACACGTTAGGTTATTAGATACATTGTCACATTACTATCTCGAAGATAATAAGTACCGCGGGTGACTCCGCGGACACTCACTGGATGCTATCCAGGACCAGACACCGCGGGGAGGAGGAACTCGCGTGGGAATCTGAAGGTGCAGGGTACAGAAAGGATGCAATTGTAGCAATCAGACCACCTACTGGGCCTTCGTGCTCTTCGCCTTGTTCTCTCGGCGGCGCTTCAGGGCATCGGGAGTATACTCCGTATCGAGGACGTAATCCCACCACCGGAAACTGCTAGAATAATTGCCGATGAACTTCTCGTGATGGAGATCGTGATGATCGGCACCAGCCCAGAACGGAAGGAAATGGTGAAGACTCCATGGGAATTCATACCCACTGTGTGCATCGATGGCCTGGAACAAGCGCAGCACGATCCAGATGTACATGGTGAGAATGTGTAGATCACCTGTCAGAGCGCACCAGACGATTGGGCAGCCAACTGTTCCGAAACCTAAGATCATCACCTCAATCGGCGAGGCATACTCAGCGGCCAAACCAAAAGGAGCAGAGTACTGGTGGTGGATTTTGTGAATAGCCTTGTAGAGAGGGCCCCAGTGTAGAGCACGGTGAGAGAAGTAATGCCAGGTATCCTCCATCACAAAGAAGATCGCGATCTGATATGCCATGGTCCAGAACGTAGGGAATGGAATCGAGGTCGAGAGTCCGCAGAACTGCGCCAAGGGGTGGAAGAGCCTAAACACAGAAAAAGGTCAATTCTATCCAACAGCGTTTCGGAGCGAAGGTATATTCCATCCTCTTACCAGATCTGGGGCAGTTCAACAGTGAAGTGACTCAGGAGAACGAATTTTGCGCAATCCCACTGCTCCCGTAGCGAAGGGATTTTGTTCTGCATAGCATTAGAATTGATTGACGCCCTTGGTCCTCGGGATGTTACTTACACCCTGAATCTTGTAGCGATTGAATAAGCCCAATGTGTCAATGAAAATCCAAGGGAGCGAGCGTCCAAAATAGACAACTTCATGCATGACGAATGACATGATTCCCGTGGCAAGGACATCATTTTGCATCCAGGCATACCAGGCTGCCCACAATCTCTCTGGCACACTCAAGTTGGCATTGTACTTTCCAATCTCCTCGAATTGGCCCCAGTATGTCCCTGAGGACAAAACTGTTGAATTCCTTCATGATGTTAGGTACACTGCATATAGAAAAGGGAGGTGATCACCGTACATGGTATAGTAGTTGTCTCTTCTCAGACGTCTTCTAGAAGATGAAATGACAATGTCGACGGAGCAAGAAGAAAAGGATGAAGATGTGAAGCTGAGAAAGTAAAATTCTCAGAAGTGTAGGTAAAAGAGGTTATAAAGGGAAAGAAAATAAAATAAAATAAAATAGGATCCGGAGATCAGGGACAAGTCCAATCCCGACGTGGCGAGATCAACTTTTTCTCCCCCCTGAGCCTAGGGGTAAGGCCACTGGTGAGCCGATCCCCATCCGAGATCACCCCACCTGCAGAAGTCAGGTCATGGGGAATTTGATGTTCTTTGTTTGGTCAGACTTTCCCCGATTTGAACCTTTCGATATTATCATTTGTTAAAAGAAATAACATACAAATGTACCTTGAAAATGTGCTTCAATTACACCAGCTCCATACATTAGGTGACTACTACTGCAGTACAATATTTACACATAGGGTGGAATGTTCCCGTGACCCAGTATCGTCGCTACCGTGTAGGGCCGAGTACAGTTTGCATTATTCGCACTTTACATGGTTTGCACTGTTTATCTGAGTTGCATGATTTGCATATTTGCCACATGACGACATTACTGTGTACGTGAACCTACTGTACTCCGTACCTCGAATGATTATTCCCTCCGGATGAGCAGTGCCTCATATCCATCGAAAGATTCGGTAATGTCTGTCATACGAGAGTGAGTCCGGAATAATCCATGAAACAAAACAGCAGAAGAGACGAAAAGAAACCAAAGATCATAATACTCAAACCCGCTCTTCCCACAGAACTGTTCGCGGCGTCAACACTCAACTCGATCGTCTCCAACAACAAATCCCAAGCCCCCAAACAATTGAGGCTGTGGATATATCCTCCGTCTCCGTTGAGTCAATCGGTCGATTACAAGATATTATCAACACCCTTTCGGTGACTTCCAAGACCCAACCTCTTCTCCCTCCTAGTCGGTTGGCAGACTTACTGTCAGGTCCTGCCTTCTCCCATCTTCAGGTACAGACTGCTGTATCCGTTGGACATAGTCCACAAATCTCGGACTATGTATGGATAGTGGCCGCGAAGGCTGCCGTTCAGGCATCAGGGCTGGTCATGAACACACTCTTGGACCAAACGCTCCAACTTCACGATGAGGCCTATTACTGGGGCGAGACTCTGGGCTCCATCTGGTATAGCGCTCTGTATGCCGTTCAAGAATCCCCAGAGCAATTATTACGGTGGACGAAGGACGCATGTATCAGTCAGACTTACCGAGGAGCCCCGTCCATCAGTGATAGGTGGTCCCAATTCTACCAGATTGTTCGCCAAAACGGCTGGAAACTCGGAGGCTACTCCATACGGGCTCATATGCTGTCCCCAGTCAGGTCATGTCGGGCAGAAATGCGACAGAAACGGGACCTGCTCCTGGCAATGAAAGACCTTCACACTAGCAGTCTTGGGCTACTGATGGGAGGGTGGCAATCTTTCGAGGCGAACGGCTCTGCGGACCCCAGTACCGAGGCTCTGAGCAGCGAATGGCGCGATGCAATTTACAAAGCAGTGGTGCTGATTGAAGCCGTTTTCCAACAGCTAGCACTCGAGCCCACTATGCAAGAGTTGGAACAGGGGATATTTGCCGCTCTGGATAAGGACTCCGGAAAAATAGAATCGCAAACACAAGGGGAGAATCCGGTTCTTAAACCTTTGGATTTGATCGAACGACTTGTGCGTGTACTCCGAGACAAGCTGCCAAACCACGCCGTTTCCACGTCCAAATTTATCCGTCGCCACGGGCGTCCTTCCTGTTTAGTCCGCTTTTGGTTACCCGTATCAGTCGCTGTCTTTACAGGATGTACATCGATGAGATTCTTGGCCAATAGACAAGAGGACATCGTTCAATGGATTGTGAATATCGGATCCACCACTGTCGATTTCTGGGGCAATTGGGTCGTTGACCCAATTCGAAAACTCATTGGAACGATCCGGCATGACGAGAAAAGCGAGATCGCCATCATGAGCAAGAATAGCCTGCTGGCTGACCGGGCAAGCCTTGAAAGGATGGTGGTTGATTTTGTTCGCGACCGTCCGGAACTGTCGCGGGGGGTTTGGGATGATCCGACCGCCATCGTCGATTCTGTCAAGGAGGGCGATTTGACGCCTGTTCTGAGAGCATATGAAAGAGATCTACGGTCGCCATTTGTTGGCACCGTTAAAGGCGACCTCGTCCGCGCCCTTCTTATCCAGATACAGAAGACGAAAGTTGATGTGGAAATAGCCATCAGTGGTATCGATGCCCTGCTGAAGAGCCAGGAGCTTGTATTCGGGTATGTCTCCAGCATACGGACGTCATCCAGGCCACTTTTTGTCTCTAACCCTCGGTATCTTTACAGGTTCGTTGGATTGACCCCAGGAATCTTGGTGTCTTTCGCAACTCTGAAATGGTTTGCTGGTCTCCTTGGTAGCAGACGAGGATTGCGAAAAGGCAAACAGCGACATGAAGCAAAGCGCGGGTTACGGTAAGATGTCCCGGAGCTAGCAAAGCACGTATTATCTTGAAAAGAAATAGCGCTGATCTCAACTCTCATTTCTAGGAATGTGGCCCGCATTTTGACTTCTTCTACGGTTCTGTCTAATGGGACTATCCCTTACAAGGTCTCCGGGCAATTGATATGTGAGGCAGAAGTTCTTCTTCAACAGGTGAAAACAGTTTTCGGAAGCATGCAGTACGACGAATTCCGCGAAGACATTCGAGATCTCCTGAATGCTCAGAATGGAGTGGACAAGCAACTTCGGGTGCTTGAAAGGATGAGATGGGCTTATTTCCAATAGGTTTTAGGGGGAACCTCTCCGGACTCTAACAATACCATAATTCCAAAGAATCACGCCAGGTATAATTAACATTTGAAGTCATTTATGTAGTTGCCTACATGTAAGTGTAAATGTACAGAAGAGTGTCGTGTCGGATGTAGTACTTCGTAGTTCGTACAACAAAAAATTGGGGCGTGGGGCCCCATGTCGCTTACATAATAATGCAACGGGATGGCTCCTTACCGTAGTTGTGTACCGTCATCACCTTCCACCCCATAGGTGGTGCCTCGTTCTTCCTCTTTCCCGTTAAAACAACTCTCGAAATCTCTCAGCTCGTGGATGATTTGTTGTGAGATCTGCGCTTGAAGTTTACAATACCGTTGTATCTTCGCCTTATCACATTGGGTCGGTTCCAGCATCTGGCCCCCGAAGCTCCTGATAAGTCCTCGGGGCAACTTGGGAATCCTGTCAACCTAAGCCCCCCATCTGGTTGCTCTGATTCACCTGAAAGCGATACCTACTTCTCCGGCAATTCACACAAAGTCATTTTATCCAGATCAACATTCCCTTGCCTCTCGACTCGACGGTTTCCCGGATTCCTATCCGTCTCCTTATCCATAGTTGACATTGTCAAGTACGGCACTTCGACTTCTTCCCAAATATCACCATAATTCATCATGGCAGGCACACGGAATTATGACTTCCTGGTCAGTATTAACACCTGTTTCAAATCTAGCATCACACATCGCTGGCCCATCGCTAATTTTCCCATAGATCAAGCTGTTGTTGATCGGGGACTCGGGGGTGGGTAAATCATGTTGTCTGTTACGTTTCAGCGAGGACTCTTTCACTCCATCATTCATCACTACTATCGGGATTGACTTCAAGATCCGAACGATCGAGTTGGACGGAAAGAGGGTGAAGCTGCAGATCTGGGACACTGCAGGTCAAGAGCGCTTTCGCACCATCACGACGGCGTACTACCGAGGTGCCATGGGTATCCTTCTTGTTTATGATGTGACAGATGAGCGGTCATTCCAAAGTAAGCTTAATATCTCCCGTCTCGACTGGTTGGGTGTGCCTGACCACGCTCTTTTTGATCCTAGACATTCGGACCTGGTTTTCAAACGTCGAACAACATGCCAGTGAAGGTGTACACAAGATTCTCATCGGAAACAAGTGCGACTGGGAAGAGAAACGAGCGGTCTCTACCGAGCAAGGCCAGCAACTTGCTGATGAACTCGGCATTCCCTTCCTTGAGGTTTCGGCTAAGAACAACATCAACATCGAGAAGGCATTCTACAGCCTTGCATCGGATATAAAGAAGGGGATGGACACTTCCAAGACTGAACAGTCTGGTTCTCAGGGAGTCAGTATAGACCAACAAGGCTCTGGTTTGAATGGCAACTCTGGGGGCAAGTGTTGTTAGCTGTATCACCACTCCTCTTGTGTCTTTGGTTTCTTTTTCTTTGGTCTTTTTTTTTTCTCGCATGCCTTACCCTATCACATATGTTTTAGTTCTTTTTCCCTTGCATCCATTCGGATTATTGTCTACTGTTTTGCTACACTATCATGTGCACGAGATTTGAATGTCTAAGTTTTTATGAAGAGTTGCTCATGAACCGAGTATCATACAATCTTGTTCATACCTTTGATACTCTGTAGTTTATATGTGACTGATTGTATGTATGGACTATCGAATATCGATCATGTTCATCACCGGGTCCCCACTTTTCTTTCCGATCAACCTTTTTATTCTTTTTCTTTTTCTTTTTCTTTTCATTCTTCGTCTTTTCCTCTTGACTTAGGAAGAATCATCTCTTACACATTACTGTTCTCTCTCTTTTCTTCTCAATGAACCAACTCTCTATTTGACTTAGACAAGAGAATATCTCGATCTCTCATCTCTTCCTTTGCCCCTCCCCCGCCAAAAAATTCGCATTCCCCCTTCGCAACTTTCATGTGTTAAAAAGGTGTCGGACGTTCAATATATGCAATAAAATTCTTTAATATCAGTCTGACATATCCAACGCAAGAGAAACCCGAAAACATAGGATCTCCGACATCAACTTTCCTACCTGCAGCACGTCTTCTGATACCTCCATTATGTCCGAGGTTCGCAGTTTTACAGCTCGTCCACTATCAAAACAACAGGCGCGAAAAGATCTTAAAGATGCCTTCCGTGTCTATCTATCTTCTTCTTCGTTAGCTGCGCTAAGGCTTCAAACAGAAAGCATTTGCATTCTGAGGCAGGCCGATGGGCCACCCAGAACGGCCATCGCTTGGTATGCGGCCGAGAACATCCAGAACACAGTGATGCAAATATCCAGAACTCTTCAGGATTGTTACGAGATCAAGATTGGGGAGAAAGTCTCTATCACCAGGGCTGAAGGCCCCTTAGAAGACATCGACCTGGTGACGTTGGCGGACTGTTCAGACCCCGAGAAAATTGCCAAACATGGCTCGATCCTGGATAAGGACAGGTCTCACTGGGAATGGGCCTTGGATGAGAAGCTTCTCAGATGTGGGTGTTTGACTACGGGATTGGTTTTTGAGCTAGAGCTCAAAGGCCAAGCTAGGAGTTTCCGAGTGATCAGCATACGTTCTCAGAATTCTCTTTCTAGTCATACCCTATTTCAATTCACAGAGGCTTCGAGGATCTCCCTAGGCCCCGTCACAGAAGAAAGAGAAGAAAGCACATCGCACATTCAGGTTCAACCTGCCGGCCTTGGAGGCCTCTCCCGCCAGATTGAGCATATCAATGAAAGTTTATCCGACTTCAACCTGGATCCCCGAAAGCCGGTGATGCCATCGTTCTACGAGACCAGCCGGGGGCTTCTACTTTATGGTCCGAAGGGCACTGGCAAAACAAGCCTTCTGGAACAGATCGAGAAGGCTGGTTGGAGGCAGACATTCAAGATTGGCGCGTCAACTCTTGGTAGAAGCGTTGGCGAGGGCGAGCTCAAATTGCGCAACATCTTCCAAGAGGCGGCTCGCGCTAAGCCCAGTGTGATTATCATCGACCAATTGGAATTCATTGCTCCCAAGCGAACCTCGATTGAGTCACAGTCACTTGCCTCTGTCCTATGTGAGAACCTAGATGCTATTCGGAATTCCTCCATTCTCGTGGTGGCCGCAACGAGACACCCCAATCAAGTTGATGACGCTCTCAGGACCCCTCATCGACTTGGGACAGAAATCGAGATACAGATTCCTACTGCTCGGGATCGAGCCGAGATACTACATGCCATTCGTGGGCCGGTATCCGCTGGCTTGACAGACGAGCTTGTGGAGCTACTGGCCGAAAAGACACACGGATATGTTGGGGCGGACCTTTTCGCCCTCTTGCAATTGATTTGTCGTAAAGCTCGTCAACGGCAACTAATTGGACCAAGTTCAACAGCGACATCGGGGAATCCCACAACCGACACGTATAGCTCGCATCATGGAGACTCCAACCATGATGACTTGGCCGTTCCATTGGAGATACAAGAGACGGATATTCTGCTTTCCCTGCAAGAAATTCGCCCAACGGCCATGCGGGAAGTGTTTTTGGAAACCCCAAAGGTGAGATGGTCAGACATCGGTGGACAGCACGACATCAAGAAACGACTCCAACAAGCTGTCGAGCGGCCCTTGAAGGTGAGCTCCATTCTGAACTCCAGCAGACGCCTTTTGGAGACTAAATTCTCTCTCTACCTTAGTATCCCCAGCGCATGCGCAGACTTAACGTGAACAGTAAAAAGGGAGTTCTGCTTTATGGGCCTCCAGGCTGTTCCAAGACACTGACAGTCAAAGCTCTAGCCACAGAGGCGGGATTGAACTTTCTGGCTGTCAAGGGCGCAGAGATTCTCAGCATGTATGTTGGAGAGTCCGAGCGATCATTGAGGGAAATATTCAGAAAGGCCCGGGCAGCCCGGCCCAGTATCATCTTCTTTGACGAGATTGATGCCATTGCTGCTCGACGTAGTAGTGGTTCGGGGGGAGTCAATGTTCTTACAACTTTGCTGAACGAAATGGATGGCATCGAGGAGCTCCGAAACGTGTTGGTCATTGCTGCAACCAATAAGCCCGATGTCCTGGACCCCGCACTGATGCGCCCGGGGCGACTGGACAACATTCTTTACATTGGACCCCCGGATTTTGAGGCACGCAGAGAAATCTTACGCATTTGGGCCAAGAAGTCTGTGGTGAACCCAGAAGTTGATTTGGACAATCTAGCGTCCCTGACCGAAGGTTATTCTGGCGCCGAGATTGTGAGCATCTGTGAAACTGCTGGAGGTGCAGCACTTGACGAGGAGGAGGAGACACAGCAGGAGCTAGATGTGCAGTGGAAACACTTTGAACATGCACTAGGACAAGTACGGCGGCAGATCACGGATGCTGTCATCCAGGAGTATGCGAGGTGGAGAGAGGGCTAGAGGCAGGTCAGGTGTAAATATAAATCAAAACCAAAAGATAGAAAAGATTTGAGAGCGGAATTGAAGTTGAAGTGCACATAACTATGGTTTCTACATAGGTGATTACCATATCGGGTTAGTCTCTATCCCTTCCCTCGGTCACATCTCTCTCTCTCTCTCTCTCTCTCTCTACCACCTTCACAAACACCATTCTTCTCCATATTCCAGGTCCCCGATCTTTACTATCAAAAGTCCCGCTTCCGCCAGTCAGATAATCTCCTTTTGAAAGCCAAAATCTTGCTAGAAACTCTGGATTCACTTGCGGTGTCCTCAAACTTCAACATGTCTCTCAGATCATCTCGACATTCACCACTACACTCACCAGAGCCAGACCGAGCACGGTCGCGCTCTCCACGCCCCTCGAGGCCCCGAAGTGAGAGTCCGTCCCGAAGTCGAAGCCTATCGCATGGACGACGTGATCGCTATCGTTCAAGAACCCAATCTCGGTCTCCCTCCCGTGGTAGAACCCGATCTCGCAGTCGTAGTCGAGGCGGCCGTCGTTATCACAGCCGAAGCGGGAGCCGCTCACCTACTCCGAATCCTAGTCCTCCAAGAAGTTCCAAGGTATGTGCCTGTCTGATGCTTGTTGGGATATGGCCGCCCATCCAATGACGTTATCTATGAACCCAATACTGACATTTCTCCTCCACTAGATCGTCGTTGAAAAACTAACAAAAAATGTCACGGAAAATCACATCCGTGAAATTTTCGGAGGGTTTGGTGAAATAGAGTATCTCGACCTTCCAGTCAACAAAGCCTGTAAGACTCGCCTTGGCTCCTTTGACGTTTGTTCGTCTCCTAACAATCCTACAGTCATGACAAACAGGGGAACTGCGTATATCCTTTACTACGACCCCGCTGACGCGGAAGCAGCCATTGCCCATATGCATGAGGCTCAGCTTGACGGCGCCATCCTAAATGTCTCAATCGTTCTTCCTCGCCGCAAATTCTCCCGCTCGCCGCCCCCTGCATCAGCTCGAGGGAACGGTGGCCGCTCCAGATATGGTCGCGGATCCTATGCAGGGCCACCATCTCCCCCCAGACGACATGGCGGTGGTCGCCATACAGAACGACATGACATCTATAGACCCCAGTCCACGTCCAGATCACGATCTCCAGTTCGCTCTCGGTCATATTCATCTGAATCTCGGTCACCGCCACCACGCAGAGGTAGTCCCTACGCGGACTCCCGGCATCACAGGCGCCGAAGCCCGAGTTACAGCAGCTACGGTTACAGCAGTCGAAGTCGCAGTCCAGACCGCAACCGAGGCCGTAATCGACATTAAGCATCAATTGTTCTGCAGCCCTATAACTTGAGTAATGTACCCAGTGCTAAGGGAGTTTGCACGGAGTTTGCATACGACTTCCGGTCCTGGAAGGGCTGAATCACCCCCGCAAGATATCTCCAATAGCTAGTTCTATGCGACCACCAGCCTATTCAGCCCATTCAGGGCTTCCAACAAATCAAAAGACAAAAGTTCCCCGATTTCTTCCAGTGTTCAATTAAAATGAATGTATTGATATGTTGTACGTAGAACCATAAGAGGGGAAAAAATAGGGTCACCGGCGCAGTCATAAGGAGTCCATAAGCCTTGAATTCCGGTTTTCTCACCGTGCATACCTACTAACTTCTGAGCTGCAATTCTGTTCCTACTTCCTGAAATGCTTCAGAAGAATGCACACCATCCGATATACATTGCCGCCAATTTCCGCTTGTCTGTTGCCTGGACGATCAGTTCATCCACCTGGCCATCCACTGAAAGTGCAATGGGCTGCTTCGACATAAAGCCACGGAGCTTATTTCGAACATCTTCCAGAACACCGGCAGGTGTGTCCGGAACATTCGCATGAGTGCGACGCTGGAGTGAAGAGACTTGTCAGGAAACATTGACTTGTCGAGAGATAGGATGGACTCACCCTCTTTCCGATAAAATCGGTGGTTGGATCATGCAAGAATGTTTCAAGCACAGTCATCAAGGCATCCTCATTCTGTCGCAGCAGGCTGAGGGTGATTTCACAAGTCCTTCTGAAGGGACCTATAGACCACGGGATATTAGTGGACGAGTGGTATTTTGGGGTTCGTTCTCATACTGACCGTTATATCCGTAAGCGCCAAATGCATCGACCATGTTATGCGTCAGCCGAAACGGGACGACTTCGGGCTTTTCAAACGTTTGGCCCTTGTCAAAAAGACAGTTGAAATCAACATGTAGGAGGCCGCCGGTCCCTTCTTCGAACGACAGGTTCTCGCCATGCCGATCACCCAAACTGTGTATAAAAAAGGGATATGGTTAACAAGCTGGAACTAAGACACTGAACGAGAAGCATGTATAGCCCATAGAGCATTGAATGGCGTGAAAACATACCCAAGAACATATCCAACCATTGACATCACCGCGGAAGATCGGGTGTACCTCAGTCTCGCTGTAAACCATGCTTCTGTCTCGGGGAACATCTCGATGAACCATTCATGAAGGACCGGGGGAAGCCTAACACCGTCAGTACAAGGGAACAAGTGTGATTAGGAGTGCCACCGGGAACCGACTTGGCCAGGATCTTAGTGGTGAACAAAGGCAACTTGCTAAATGATCGATCAGCGCAGATCTCGGTCAGACACTGCCTGATCTCATTGTACTATTGCACACGTTAGCATCCTAACCTGCACATCATCCTACGCGGTGAACTTGCGTTTGGTGCAATGCCCCTTTCGCGTAATAATTTGATGACAATTTCTCTTAGGGTGCGGAGATTGTCAACCCATTCAATAAGTCCACATTCCTCGTTCAGAGGCGTCACAGCGTACGTTTTGATATCTGTTCCGAGTTAGTCGTTGGCTAAGGGGCAGTTGATCCAACTACTTACACATGCGCCGCTTGCTTGATTCAACGTCCCTCTTTAAAAATCGGTTGATCATGTTGTTGAACTCCATGAGACGCTGATCCTTGCGTAAATCGTCTTTAGGCTTGCAGAGCGCATTGTAGATCTTCCCATCAGATCCCCGTAAGCTAATTTTGCGAGGCTTTTGCAGCGAATTCAGAATCTGCGCTTCATCAAGAACAGCTGGATTTGATTAGTTTGGATCTGAGTGTTTAGATATTCGATCAACATACCCTCAATGGTTGTTGGATCCCGAGGGAAGGCCCTGAAACCTTTGATGTATTCGATGTTTTGACTGGCAGGAAGACTTGGGATCAACATCGCTTGAAAAGGAACCACTAGTCGACACGGTGCGACTTTGTGATTGAACCCTAGATTACGGCCAAGTTGAACCCTAGATGCCTTTTCCTCGATGGGAGCAAGGCAGAGCTGGAGTAGTTCCTCTGAGAATTTTGTACCCTGAGTGATCATGCGACGAATTTCTGCTCCTTTTGAGGATTCTCCTTTGGACTTGTTGCCATAGTCCTGAAGTAATCAGTATGTTGTGTCGCGACTGGGAGGAACAAGGCTTACTATGATTTTCTGGAGGCAATTATAACCCCTTTTGGCTCGCTCCTTATTAGAAGACTTGACAACGGCCAAGACCGTCCAGAGACCTTGCTGTGGGAAATTGTGGACTGCCTTGGCTACAATCCGCATGAGCAGATCATAGACTGTGGTGTTGGGGTGACAAATCCTGGCAACCACCTGGGGCAGTATCGTGAAAAGCTACAGCTGTTAGCTATACATCAGGGCAATTTGACAACCAGTCAACTTACTAGAGCTGCTTGCAGGCGCTTATCAATGAATTTCTTCAATTGCGCATGCATCTCATCGAGGCTTTTCTTCCGTTGGGCCTGTGTATGCTTCTGAAATTCCCTAGACATTATATTGGTCATAAGCAATTCTTCATCGGGCAAACTCATAGGATGGTTCTTACTCATTGTCACCTCTCTTCGGATCAATGGGCTGTTCCACGATAGAGGCATGTTCAAGCCAGAGGGTCAGGAGCTTGGGTAATGTCTGGAAGACATATTTGGTCCCATATGTCAATGAACGAAGATAATTGTCTATGACAAGCTTTGTGGCCTCTCCACTCAGACTGCGAGACATTAGTGCTAGACAGGGGAATGGGATGCTTGGTCAACTGACTAAATCTGGGCTTCTTTTCCCATTGGTTTGGCCTTTTCGGACTCGAGAATCTTATTGTAATGCTTTCCAAGGTAATAGTGTGCCCTCTCCCATCTGTCCGCGCATTAGAATGTGATAGCAGTAGGAGGTGGCATAACTTACTTAGGGTACAGCTTGATAGCCTCTCGATATCTCTGGACAATGGCCTGCGAATGGGTCTGGCCAGCCCTATCTGTCCATTTAGCTAGCATGAGATGGGCCTACATGAGTTAGTATTATAGCCGATGTAGGTTGCATGTGTCAGATTACGTACGAGAGCAGTGGACTCATTCTGATACTGTCCATGACCCGATAGGAATGACATGGCTTCAACTTCATTTGAAGACGTACTCGGGACGGCTTCGTTGGCGGATATTGCGCCTTCGAGAGTCTGAATGGCTTTCCGATGATGTCCATCTTTCCATAGAAGTCGCGCGTGTTCGATAGAAGCAGATCTGTCTTTCAATCGTGCAGCATTGAGCATTGAATGATATGCTTGGCTACTAAAATTGCCTTTTCTTGAAAGACGAGCGCTGGTGAGCCATGCAGCAGAGATATCGGAATCCGCGAAATCGCCCCTATATTGTACATGTTAGTAATTTTCTCTCTTTCTTTCTTCTCATTTGACGATGGACTCACGTTAGCTCCATTGTAGCCCGTCTGAGTCCCAATAGATATTGTTTATCGGACAAGTATCCGCCCAAAACATCCAATCGTCTGTCTAGGGCACCCAACAAACCCCGACGCGACTGGTTTGGTTGTGTTTTGGCAATTGCTTCGACCTCCGACAAAGCATGTAACCGGAGCATGTCATCATGGCATGATTGTAGCGATGTCACGGTATTTGTGGTCAGTGATCGGGCGACACTGAGTCTGAGCTCGTTGATTTTATCCGTAAACGCCCCGTCTTGTTTTTGACGAAGAGCGTCGAGAGCTGACCCTATGCCGACATTGAACTCCTCTGTTCCTTGTTTGGCACAAAGATCGAGATAACCTTCTAACTTGTCCCATCTGCCCATTATCCATGAAGCTTCAACCGCGAAGGGTAGGAAGCGTGAAGCGGCTGACTCGCTCTCTTTGAGAACCTCAAAACGAGTGAGAATAGCATCTAGAGAACTGTTAGCAAGAGGCTGGTGGATGTGAGTGACATGTCACCGTCAGTCATTACCTTGTTGGCCGGACTCTTTCAGACAGGTCACGAGATTCCACTGCGCATCAACATTATCGGGCTCCTTCTCGAGTTGCAGCTCATACCAACTCTGCGCCGTGGCCCATCTCCCTGCTTTGCGGTGTTCAAGGATTTGCTGGTCTATGTCCAGTGCAGACAAATGGCTTGAAATGCCTTCAATTCCATCGGGTTCGTCGATCTGGCTGTAAATATCTTGTAGCCTTTGGTAAAGAGGCTCAAAGCTGGCTCGCTCTTGTGACTCTCCGTGGGCCTTGGACTTTCGAATGTACTGTTCCCAATGGAAGAGTGCTTTGGAGAATGATTTACATTCAACGGCTCGTTTCGAGATGACCTCAGGCGGTATGGAGGATAGGAGGGATTCAACAGATTTGATCTGTGATGAGTATTTGTCGACGAGCATGTCACGGCTTAGATCCTTATGGGAGCGGCTCGTTTGATGAGAACTGTGATTGAGGCCATTGAGGTGCTTCTTCTTGCCTTGTAGCCATCTAGACAGGTAGTCTAAGACTTCAAAGACACTCTATTGGCGATAATCCCATTGTCAGTACTTATGAAGCCAGTATGATACGTCTGTAGCGGGGTCCTCACTTGGCTACTGCTTATGATTGTTTCGCGAGCATTGTTATTTGTCTCCGGAATAGGGTGCGAAAGAACACTCATTAATTCGCGTTGAAGATCATGTTGTTCTTCTTCGGTGCCCCCAACAATGCGATTCAGGACCGCAAATGGTAATAGGAACGCAGAGATGGAGATATCCTGGCCCTTCACCACACGACTTGATATTGAAAAAACCATTTTGGCGTTATCTCCATTCCCACTTCGTAGGAGATCCTGCACAAATGTTCGGAGCCACTCACTGTGGGTTAGTTTGGGGGAAAATAGAGGGTAATTGACTTCAGTATGGTTGGTCACAACGGTGACCGTATACGTGGATGTGAGAAACGGTGTAAGAGTGTTGCGAACACTCTCCGGAAGCTCCATCCAGCGTTGATATTTTTCATCGCCTTGGAAATCGCGAGAGCGTTGATTAAACACGGCATTTAGTTTGCAAAATCTGAGCAGGCCTTGCATGGCCCATGCTAGAAATCCCTGAGCCCTTGTGTTGGAAGCAGATAAGAACGCCTCAACCAAGACATGCTGGAGGAAGAAAAGAATGAATGCGACTGTTTCTTCCATCCTGTCGAAGTTGGACAAGACAAGTATATCTTTTTCTCCTTGATTGTTTCCACTCGGTTTGGGTCGAGGCAGCCGACAAGACCTAGACACCGAGCTGATAACAGAGTAATGCTGTCGGAGATGTTGCTGAATTTGACGCAACAATCCAGCAGCGACCTAGTCAATTGAGCAATCACAGGGTCTGGTTGCTCGCTGAGAACGGAGTCATGAAGGAACTCTTCATTTGTTGATAGAAATGGGGTCAGTTCCATGAGAGCCTGTTCCACAACAGTAGCATTCTCACTCTGGCAACGACGGATTAATGCCAGGAACTGGCTTCGTACGTCCATTTGGGCCCTCAGATCCGTGATTTTGGCATCAAAGGCGGCCAGCTCCGGAATGGATGCAAGGGAAGGCATGGTGTTGAACGTATCTTGCACAAGTCTTGGATGATTCGTCAAAATGTGATCAATAAGTTGACATGCGCGATCCCTACTCTCCTCAGTCAGGCCACCCCAATACCTGATCACAATTGCCAGCGTTTGATCTATTATTGGCTCGAGATCCTCCTCGCCGAGAGAACTGATCAATGTCTTCCACGCCGAGAATGCGTAATCACATAGTTCCTTAATCTCTAGTGCAGATCGAAGACATGCACAAACCTCCAGTAGTTAGTAACGAAAATTCGAAAACCCTGAAGGCCAAGATGCACATACTTGCGGCAATGCACTGCTAACATGACCCTGGGCAATATTGATCATTTCTTCAATAGCCTTGATGTTTCTTCTCTTCTCCGCCAAGGTTTGTCTTACTTGGAAGTCGTTTATGGCATTCGCGAATTGTGTTATGATGCCGAGAACGTGCTCTTCAATGAAGTGGCTTAGGTCCGCTTTCTTTGACGAACTTCCATGTGCCACCTTCCGCGGAACGAATGTGGCCAACCGACGGAGTGCGTGGTTGAACTGGATTTTTCAATTTAGCAGCAATTCAACAAGACTGGGGATAGAGGTAAGGACGTACTTTCTCCTTCTTTTGCTCACCCGCATCGCCAAGGCTTTTCAGCAAGTCGCAAGCGATGAGAATTGGCTCGATTCTCACTAACTCCGCCAATGACCTACCCTTGAACGCGGGGTCGATCTCTGCTAGAAGAGACATGATCATAGCCTCCGGGTTGTCTGATTGCTGAGATAGGAGGAAAGCAAGAATTGCAGCCAAGTTGTTCTTCTCGGAGCAAACATCAAAAGCAGACTCCCCCTCATTTCGACTGGCACCGATTCTGCAAATGATGTCGCGTTTTCGAGTTAAAACCAGATAGGGCAAGACATGCACTTCTGTCAGCCGGAGGAAACCGTCAACTTTCATGCCGAGCAAGTCACATAGCTGTTCAGCCATATGCGGGCGAGATTGAAGGTTTTTGACTACAGTGACCGAAAGGGTCCTCCAGTAGGGCCGAAACAGGCCAGCAGGGGTCAAAGAAAACCGTTGCGCAAGCTTGGACAACTATATTTGAGGGATCAGCTGCCATTAAGGACATTATAAGCATGTTACCACAGTGGCACGTACCTCGTTGTAGGCGACGGCGCAAATGTAGGGGTTCGAATGACCAAGGTATTCTAACAGCCGAAGAAGGATGATGTTCTTCTCTTCATCTTCGGAGACACTATATGAAGATGAGCTTGCGTTGACGGATAATTGTCAATAGGGATATAAACACACATTGCCAGTCCACAGAGTGTTATGATACAAGCTTCTTGTAGTGACATATCGTCCTTTCCGGAGAGGTTTTGAAGCCATTCAAGCACAACGACAAAGTTGGCTCGACGAACATCTGTCGATAGATTGGAGCGCACAAAAGTCACCACTGTATGTCTATTAAATCGTCAATATCCAGTCTATAGTCGATAAAATCATGGGACGCACCCGGTGGCAATACGCAATTCTCTGATCGAACTTCGTAGAGAGTGAAGACAGAATTCTCCGGCCGCGGACGTTGAGATGTGCATTTGATCGGAATTTGGGGCATGTGTGAGAATTCTTCTCAGCGCGATCATTGCGGAAATTCGAGGGCCAGGCGTGCGTGTGAGCTTAGGGAGGATAAGATTGAAGATGGACCACAAGTCCTCGAATCCGGATTCCTCAAAATTTCCCATATGATCAGGTTGATATTGTTCAACGTCGCATATTTCACAGACGAGCGTCTGTCTCTTTCTAACTTCCGAAGGTTTCGGCAAAAGCTTGCGTGCCACTGCGCAGCAACTCTTGCCCAGCATGTCCAAAAGCTCAATCTTTTGGGGGTCGGAAAGACCATCGTAGGAGGTCCTGATATGCGGTTAGACCATCAGCTCGCACCTTGAGATCTCATATCTTGAGATTATATTTCAGCACTTACTGGATCGAGGAGCAGAGGCCTGCTATAGTTCCGCCACAATCAGATTCAAGGATCGTAGACATCTTCTTCATCAGTACGTCAAGCAAACTATGACTAGTAGATGTAGCCGACGTGATTGAGAAACATAGCCGCTTCGGGGGCCGGACATCTTCATTCGGTTCCGGAGGATGTGAAAGCCCAACTCTCCGCAAGGCCATGTTCGACTGCTCGGAGAAACCTTCCAATGACCCTTGGAGTGAAGGGACCGTCAGCAGTGGCGGTTTATCTGAAAGTTGGGTACGCAAGGCCCGGAGAGAACTCTGCTCAAGGATTAGCTCAAAGGCCCAACGTGTGGAGATATGGTGGGGATTTACGAGGAGACCCAACTCAAGGGGCTGGGAATCAGAACCGCAGCTTTCGACTTTTATCAGAGTGGTGAGCATTGTGTCACTCAGGTGGTGCACGAGCGACTGGGAGGTTTTTGCTGCTTGTGTTAGGTCATCAAAGTAGCGGCCTAGGTGGGCTTGTACGGAAGGCAATCCTCCTATATTTCCAAGACACAGAAAACCACACAGGCACTGAGACCAGGTAGAAGTGAGGCTTATGTCTGAGAGTAAATCTGCCAGAGTAGAGTCTGGTGCACAGCACCGATGCAGGTATGTTAAATATTGCAGAGAGATGTTCTCATCTTCGGGAGTGAGATGAGGCCCGTTCGTCTGCAACCAACCGAGTATGATCTTTTTCAGGCGGTGGAAGCCATTCAATACCCAGGAAAAGTTTTGGCGAAGGATGAAATCATGATTTTTGGGGCGGGTTTGCATTTTGCCCCTTGGGTTGAATGAGTCCAGCAGCCGGCATGCTAAAGATACTGTTTTCATAAAGCCTCCAAGTGCTGTTTTGATCCTGAATAAAGCATCGGGTAGACCGAGGCGTTGCATGTCTTTGATGAGCTTTCCATCTGGACCGGGGATTGTCAAGTCTCCGGAGGGTCTCCCCCGGGCATTGCTATGTTGAGGTCCTTCGAGAGAGCACAGAATATCTAGGGAGAGTCAATCCAGGCCTATTTTTTCCGGACAAGCAGGAGTCGGGTGATCAACTAACCTGACGTGCAGGCACGCAAAAATGCAGCGACGGCATAGCTTGTAGGCATTGAACGGCCATGTCTGAACTGGGAATGAGCTAGCGTTGCACACAGAAGCTGTATTTTCTCGTGAACAGCCTCGGAGGTCCAGGTACTGGCGAGTCGAATGAGTCGTAGAATCAACCATGCGAACAGAGGAGCATGTATATCCTCGCCTAAGATGATAGGGTCGGAGGTTTCCCACAGTACTTGGGGAGCTTTCTCGATGCTTGCATGAATAATGTCTAAGCAGTCAAGGACTTGCCCTTCCAGATCCTGGTCTGGGGCGCTTCCATCTGGACAGATCTCTAACCCAGCTTTTAGTACAATGCAGATGAGTTTGTTGACATCAGTGGCATCCTCATCAACGCGTCGTTGATGCTGTATTTCACTAAGAAGCTCCAGTCGTAGCTGTGCAAAGGTTTCATGGGTAAGGTGTGATTCATGTCCCTGTGTTGCAAGATGCGGTGCGAAACGCGAAGCAAGGATGGAGGAGGCAGGTTCCGCTCTCCAAGCGTTCCTAGGCGCGATGGCCTGTTCATTCTCTCCCCCGGTTGCCATGGGGGACACACATGTTCATAATACCAGGTAAAGGGCTGAATGTCCGTGTGCTACCGATTTCCCAGTGCTGAGTTGTGGTGTGTGAGGTGAAAGCATGCAATTTACGCGGAGTTGATATATCCTTTGACACCTGAGGCATCAACTACCTCACCGAGCCTCCATCGTCTAGGTAGTCATGGTACATGTACTGCGTATGTACGCATACAATCAATTTCAAAGCTGTGCATGTCACCAATAATTCAGCCATGGTTCAGTCCGTACGAGTCTGTATTATTTCACTTATGACCATAGCCTTCAATGTATAGCTGCTATATACATAGTCGTCTTTCTAGGCACACAGCAAAATAGTTAGAAAGATCAAATTTAATCAGAAATCCACTCAAGTCCCTGAGGCTCCCAACTTCATTGTAATTTGTATCTTTCCCCATAGAACATTCATGGGTTGTGGCTCGGAATTGGTCAACCTCACTTTTGAAATTTCAGCCACTCATTTTCTTCTCAGACTCTGATGTATGCTACTTCCCTCCTGAAATCAACTCAACGTCCAACTTATCACGTTAAGATTCCAAATATGGAGTTCAAAGACCTATCAGAAAATTCTAGACATGGGCAGTTCATGAAACAAGCCCTGTGGATGGTACGATCTTTGATGCCCGGGAAATCCGACGCATGCTCATATAGGTTCTAGGGCGAGAAAGCGCTTGAGTCAGGCGAGACCCCTGTGGGTTGTGTCCTGGTACATAACGATCAGATTGTGGGATCGGGCATGAATGACACGAATAGATCAATGAATGTGGGCGACACTGGCATTATCTATGTAATTCTGTGCTGACTTTCGCCAGGGAACTAGACATGCTGAGTTCATAGCAATTGGAGAGATGCTTCAAAGCTACCCCCGATCAGCATTGCAATCTACTGATCTTTACGTTACGGTTGAACCCTGCGTGATGTGTGCCTCTGCACTGAGGCAGTATCGGATTCGCAGTGTCTACTTTGGGTGCGCCAATGATCGGTTTGGAGGCACTGGAGGAGTTCTTCCATTACACTCCGAGTCAGTACACCCTAAACCGAAAACCTCAGATGCAAATCTAATTGATTATAGCCCCTCAATTGACCCTCCATATCCGGTCTACGGCGGGTTGTTCGAGAAGGAAGCAATCATGTTGCTCCGTCGTTTCTATATCCAAGAAAACGAGAAAGGTAGGTGCTCCGATACACGAACTCGTAAGGTCGACCTGCTGATTCCATGTCCAGCTCCCAACCCTAGACCAAAAAAGCATCGAGAGTTGAACACCAGATTCGAGGATGGCAGCGAAGAGGCAACACGGTAAGAAGCAAGCCATCGCCTTCCAGATGGACTGAAAGCACGGTCACTATCTACAACACCGGCGGCCAGATGGAAATTCCTTTGTATTGCAGACGGAAGAGCCATCAAATTCTATATGATAACCCCCATATGAAGATAAGAAGCATCAATATTGATCAGCGAGGGAATCTGGATCATGAATTATCAATTGCGCCCCATAAAAACACACACACTAAATTGGCTATGTGTACAAATCTGCTACACCGAACGGCAAGGCTGCCCATCGTTTCTTCTCCGTAATTTTCCTAGCTGATGGTTTCAGTGTTCATGAGGAGCCAGTGCGCTCTGCCTCCAATTCCCGCTCGGCTTGTTGATAGTACTTGGCGGTGTCCACACCATGCTATAACAAAACAATCAATTATCAATCCGCGCAATTTAGACCAATCTGCGAACTTACCTGGTCGTGATTGACAAAGTTGAACCAAGGAATGACATGGATGAAGAGTTCTGAGTACCGGGAGTTGCGGGCTGCAACGCCTTGTAGGTAAGACGACATCTGGGACTTGCCGTACAGAGGCTCACCCTTCTTGACCTTGTCGACCATCTCACGAGTGTCCATTTCGACTTCTCTGGAGTTTTCGGTAAAACCATAGAAGCGCTCTGTGAAGTGTGAGCTGCGGCACTCAGGAAAAGAGGAAAGGAGTGCGGGGGGGGAAGGTGTGGCTCACGGCAAGATCGCTGATAGAGGACATGAAGACCTCCAAGAAGACCAACGGCTGTCGCAAGTCGCATAACGGGGGCGAAACCACCACGGCCTACGTGCGAGGGGCTGACTCTCTCCATGACCCAGAAGGAAATGGGAGCAGCTGAAGCCATCCCACCGGCCACGGCCCAGTCGGAAGGCCGGGCATATCCGAATACCCGCTTCAGGTGCCTGGTAACCATTATTGTGTGAGCTTGAGACAATTCTTTAGAATCCGGGGTAAAGCGTACGGGTCGGAATCGATTAACTGTGGGATGGGTTAGCAATAAACGGGCGACAATGAGCACACTACAGGAAGGAAGCAGCTCTAATTCATCTGGGTCCAATCATACCGGGTAGTCAGTGTTAGCCCGCTTAGAGGGCACAATGGCCGCTTTGGTATCGGTCGCCATGTTGCTCGAAGCGTGAATGTGCAGCGTTCGAGGTTGAAGTTCTGGGAGTTGGAGGAGAGGAGTACGGGACTAACTTGATTAGGATTAGCGCAATTGAGGCGGACAGGACGCCCGACAGCCAATCACAGCGTAGATAACGAACTACTCGCGTCACGCGCGTCCAGGCCGCATCTGATTGAGTGATATGCTTCCCCATTGTCATCTCATAAACATAAGTTGAATTGCCACTACTCATACCACTGACTTCCTCTCTATATCGAAGAGAGTACTGTGACTTTCACAATCCCTACACATATATTTCTCGGTAAAATTGCGTTGACAACAGCATCTGCGCGCGATTGGAACTATGGCAAACGCGAACATTGCAGACCGAGAAAGGTCGCCGACGGCTGGTGAACTGAACGATCTTTTCGATTACGACGTTGGCTTGGATGAGATTATCCCAGACAACAGTGCTCTGAATACCAACACCAGCAAAGCCTCTGGATCAGGAGATCCTGCACTTGGGTTGGGACTTGATGAAGAGGTCAAAGTCACGAAAAAAAGACAACCTGTGGCCAAACTAGATGAGGGCCGGTAAGTCAGCTATGCTACTCTGTTTCTTACGTCGATGAATTTATCTCGAGTAGGATACCTGAAGCTGCAACAGTACTAATCAATGCGCTAGTTTACTCTCCCAACCAGGTATCCCCAAGCTGCGACATACCGCTAAGCAGAAGCTGAAATTCAAGGGCAAAGGCCACGAGGTTAGATCGAATTCTTTCTAACGTACTTAAGACAAGATCAGGGTGACTTACTTGGGTCTCTATTACAGTTCAAGGACGCCGCACGTCTGCTTAACTTTTATCAGTTATGGCTCGATGATCTGTTCCCTCGCGCAAAGTTCGCAGACGGTTTGACAATGATTGAGAAACTGGGTCACTCGAAACGAATTCAAGTAATGCGGCGAGAATGGATAGATGAGGAGAAACCAAGGCTTTCCCACATCTCTGAACCCACGAGAGAAGACCTTGAACATCGTCAACTCCCCGAAAACACGGTTGATTCCAATCACAACGGGAAGACGATTACCCAGAGCAATGAGAGGACTGCCGACCATGACTTGTTTATTCCAGACCCGAACGAAAGCGTGCCGCCTACCACCAGCTTCCCCGAACCCGAGGACGATGATTTGGATGACCTTCTGAGAGAACAAGACGATGAAATGATCGATGTTGCGTCCGTGTTGCCTGCGTCATCTTCGCGGGCCCCAAATGGTGATGACGATAACTTCGATGCTGAATATGAAGCAATGAAGGAGCTCGGGATGTAACTGTGAAGGAACTTGTACAATAGGTAACCTCTAATGATACTATGTAACTTAATGACGGGATACTACCGAGGTCCGACTCCATGACAACTTCATCGGTTTCTGCCAGTTCACATCGTTTGATTCAATTGCATAGGCTATGAATATTTCAGATAGGATAGTTAGGAAGCAACAAAAGCAAGCATCGAGATTACTATGGTAATACAGTGGAACGTGCCGCAAAAGAAAATGGGAGCCTCGAATAGGCAGGCATTGCCTGTAATCCGTTCGTGTGGTGCTCTGGAACGAGCGAGCATGCAACGGGAGTGAGAAAAGAGCCATGGGATCTTGCGATACAGGGGTGGCTCAGGTAGATGTTTTCACCTTAGACAGTCGTGGGCTCTGTGAATACAGAGAACTGGCCACCAGCACCCGCCCAGTTCAACTTCTTTCCGCGAGTAGCAGTGTTGTCAATGACCGTGGCAACCTCGATATCATCCTGCGTGCCTTGTCCAGTCTGGTATGTGGCAGAGAATCCCCACGACCAGGCACGGCCATCAACGTCGATAGCAAGGGAATGGTCCGATGCAGCTGCGACCATCTTAACCTTCAGTCCAGGGATAGCGGTGGGTTCCATCAGGATACGGGGACGGCCGCGCTCATCCTTGATGACAGCATCGTCAGAAAGCGTATCGATCTTCAAACCGCTTTGGAAACCATCCAAGCGACCCCATACCAAGCATTCACCGTCACCCGCAATGGCAACCGAATGATGAGCACCGCCGCATATCTGAGAGATATTTCGGCCGCTAAGTGAGTCGACCGGCATGGGATGCACAATGGCGGCTTCATCCTCGCCGGCGCCTTCACGAATGGCGGTTGCGCCGAAGCTGTTCAGTCCCCAGGCATAGACTTTACCACTCGCGTGGACAGCGAATGCATGGTATGACCCAGTGCCGATATGAACGATGCCTTTGGGAAGACCGAACTCCCGAGGTAGAAGACCATTCAACCTGTTACGTTCCACAATTCGACGGCCAAGTTGATTCTGTTGTCCCGAGCCCCACGAGTAAACACGCCCTTCTTCGGTCAGGGCAAGAACATGATTGGCGCCACAGATCAAGTGCTTGACCTTCTTCAGGTTGGTGATCAGTTTCGGGGTCTTTTGAACGAGATTTTCCGCATCGAATCCGAGAATTCCATCATTGCTCTAAACCCGTTGTTAGCAAAAGAGATCCAATTTAATCTATTCAGAACAACTTACTCGGAATGTTCCCCAGCCATATACCTGACCATCATCGGTCAGGGCGAAGCTTGCGCTATCAGACGCAGCGACCTCAACAAACACACAGGTCTCGTCGAAATATTCGGAAGGAATCAATCCGGGAGTGGACTCGAGAGGGTTCAGTCCACTATCTTCGTCGTCGGAGTCTGAATCGCTTGTCCCATCAATATCTTTGTAACCGCCATCCCAGGCAGTCTCTCTGCCGAGTGCACCCTGGTCATTCACGCCCCAGGACATGATCCTGTTGCTATGGGTCAGAGCGAGGCAGTGCATACCACCGACGGCAATCTGCACGACTCCGACATCGTCAGGGGCCAGCAGCTTATTCAGACGTGGGCGCTTCACATCGATCACATTTTTAGCTGCGCCCAGGCCCAGCTCACCAGAGCTACCCTCACCACAGACGAAAACGTTCAGCTTGGTCGTGGGGGCCTCATTAATGACGACCTTGGGCTTTGGTGTTTTCTGACGCGGTTTCGCGACACGGGACCGTTTAATTTCGCGTGGCTTTTCTTCATCTTCGTCTGCTTTCCTTTTCTTCGTAATCGTGGTACTCTTGGTAGTAGTAGTGGCCATTTTACGTGGCTTCGTAGCTGACTTGGCAGCTGGTTTCGCAGCAGCTGACTTGGCGGCTGGCTTCGCAGCTGGCTTCGTTGACTTCGCGGTTGTTTTCGCAGTTGTTTTCGCAGCTGACTTGGCGGCTGGCTTCGGAGCTGACTTTGCAGTCTCTTTCACCGATGTTTCTGTCTTTGTCGAGGCGACTTTCCGTGTGCTGGCGCGTACTCGGGGAGCAGTCTCCTTTGATTCTGTCGAAGCCTTAGCGGACTTAGGCGCACTCTTTTTGGGAGGCATTGTGTGAGCTGAGCTACAGAAATAGCAAAGAATGAAGAGAAACAGGGGGAGGAATGTTTGAGAGGCGGAGATGTTGAAGAGAACCAAAGGGAAAGGTTGACGCGCCGGGAAAAAAAAAGAAAAAACAGGCGCCAAGCCAAAACAAGCTAAGTAATGCATTCTCCACCTCCCAGCCTCCTTCTATAACAACTATGAACGACGAGACAATACGGAGTACCGCTATTGATGAATGTCATAAGATTCTTCTCGTTTATTTCCAGTAATTGTTTTTTTTTTTTTGTTCTCTTAATAGCTTTATATTCTGTCGATAAGACTCAATGGCTAGGCTGAATGGTTTCTTCACGCACCCCTGGGGAGCGAATCTTCCCACACATAATTACATTCTGACCCAATGGCATCCATTTGACGTCTCGAGGGTTCAGTGCTGCATTGGGTGTACCCTCCGGGTCTTGTTTTGAATCAGGGCTGACATTGACTCCACCACGCCCAAGGTAAGTGGGAGCAACTGTCACAACAATGGAGTCGATAAAGCTGGTATACTCCGGGTTCAACAATTCACTCAGGACCGTGCCACCACCCTCAATCATGACACTCTTGATGCCCTCGGATGCCAAGGCACGGAAGACAGCTTCCCAACGTAATCGCCAGTGTTGATTATATTCCACAATGCGGAGAAAATCCCCGCCGTAGCCCTTGAGCATCATCAGAGTCTGAGGGTTGATTTGTGCCCCGGGGGACACCACGACCCATGGGGCTTTGCCTTTGCCTTCCACAGCAGTACGCAACATCCGGCATTCAGGATGAACGGGCCACCGGCCCATGGGATCAATGATCACTGGCCTTGGTTGCCACATTCTGCCTAGACCTCCGAATCCACCGGCCCCTTCCAGACGGCAGTTGAGGCCCGGGTTATCAGCAAGAACAGTACCTACGCCGACGAGAATAGCGTCGTGACGGGAGCGAAGATAATGGGTCATCAATTTGGCCTCCGGTCCAGACAGTACTGTCTGCATTCCTGGCTGGAGAGATATCTTGGAGTCCATTGACGACGCGTATGACAAGGTGACATGGGGGAACTCTCGACGCTCAGAGTGATCGGGAAGATAAGGATGTAAGAAATCTAGCGAAAATCGAGGGAAGGACAGGGTATCTGATGGCAAAGAGGATGACGAGGTCAACGAGGCTAGTTGCTTGGGCGAGGGCGCCTCGTTGACACCAGTGCTTTTGGTTTTGACGATCCCATGGCCTTTCTGGTATTCGTATCCCTCGTGTGCAACCAGATCAACCTCTGGGTTTTGTATGCGCCACTTGGCGGAGATGTTGCGAACGTCCGTCACCGTGAAGAACCGCCCTCCAGCCTCCCCCAGCTTTTCTGGCTCTTCTTGGAATTTGGTATAAATGGAAGAAGGCAGGTATCCTTTTATAGACTCTTTGCGCGCATACTCCATTAATCCCGAATTTCGTTTGACTCGGTCGATATAATCGAGGTCATGTGAGTGGACGTTGCAACTGCCTGGCGTCCTCGCAATGGTGACGGTCGAGTATGCACCTTCAAACCGGACAACCTTGATTTGAAAGTTGCAAATTCCTCCTTCTCGTACTCGCTTTTTCCGAGGGCGTTTGCCCTCTGGCAGTGGGCGAGTTTCGGATGTACGGTGAGTTGGGCGCCGTAAACGGCACATATAGTAGTCTGTAGTGCAATGGCCCTCTTTGCTTGCATTTGATCTCTGCTTAACCCACACATTGTCGATGAAGGGCCAATACGTTTCGAATTCTTCGAGGCTGATCTCTATCGGGTCTTTACACTCGAATAGAACCTTTCGTATACGCGCTAGGTTCGGTGGATTGTTGAAAAGGCTAGGCGTAGCCTTCAGGCCTTGATCTGCTGGGACATTGCCGATATGAGCAGGGCTTAGTCCAGCGGCCACACTGTGCTGCGTTGAATCGTTCTCATCTCCGCGTGAAGCCTGCTTATCAAGTGCCCCAGAAAGATTGATCGGTGTTGTGGTTTCGGGTTGCTGCAGGTCTTGATCCATCGCATGTTCTTGTGTACCGCACTGTGGTTGGAATGTTTGATCATCTGTTACCAAGGCACCCTTTACCTGCATGAGACCTCCATTGTGTGAAAATCCCTCGTTGCCGCAAGCCTCTAAGCTGGAGACAGACGCGGTGGAGGCATGGTCCATCCTCGGTAACGTGGCAGAATACAGGTATAGTTGCCTGTGTATTCCCTTCTATGGCAACAAAGGCCATCTCACTGGGAGTAGCCCCGAATAAATAAAGATCAAAAGGAGAAGAGACTCCGAGAGAGTACACAGCGGGAGTCTTGGAAGAAGCTGGTGGGGCGGAGGAAGATACCGCTTTTTGACTTCACCCGTGGATAAATTACTTGCTCGAAAACGTGCCTAAATGTTGTACGGGTATATTCATGTGCCTACACAGTACTATATACATGCAAAAATAAACAACTACACTAGTTACCTTAGGAGTTAGTTAGGTAGGACCAATTATTGTACTATTTGGACTTCAAAATTAGTCTGTGGAAAGTCACTAAAAAGGCATATGACTGCATTTTCCTTTCCGCCCATATTAGAGATAACTAACTAAGCGATGGGAAAAGAAATAACTATCTCAATCCACATTTAATATGCTCCGATATCCGCCCCAGCACGAGCCAGTGTCTCATATACTCGGGGAGGCAGCTTGTACTTGACCATGCCCGAGAAGACCATGAGATCCTTGGCCATGACAAGTAGAGTATCCGCCAGACCTTGACGCACTTCACTGTCATACATGCCCAGGGTTCGCTTTTGGCGTTCATAACCAATGCAGGTAATGCTCCACATTATGACGTGACCGACGTTGCGCGAAATGATGGGTGGCAGAGATGAGAACGCTTGGGCTGTGCTTCGAATGTATGGGATAGAGCCCTCGGCTTGCAGAGGGAGAATGTTCAAAGCGTTTATGGCCTATTATCTCTGTCAGTAACTAAATCACGAAAGTGATAACGTATGGCAAGACACCTACATCGAGAGCCGGTGCCCATCTACCAGCTTCAACCTGGGTCTTTGCTTCCATCATGCGGAGCAGCAATCCACAAGAATCACGGTTCACCTGTCGAATCTGCCCATAGTACATTCTGTCCGAATCATAAAGACTGATCATGTTTTTGGCAAGCACACCTGGATCGTCCACAGAAGTTAGACTGAGGCTGCTTCCGGCTTCCACTGCCTCCGGCTGGCTCTCTTCGCCTTGGTTAACCCTCGGACGCAAAGGCTGCAGCTTCGGGATGGTGCCGCCTAGCTCTACCGCAATTGCATCTGACAATGCACGGTTGATAATGTCAATGACACGGTCATAGTTCTCGGCCAAGTGATACAAAAGCACGGCATCCGTGATCAATCCCTTATCATCCGCAACAGCAGCAGCTTGAACGGTGATGGTCTTCAAGAATTCTTGCTGGTCAACTAGCTTGATGAGATCAAGACGTTGCTCGATAGCCCCCTTGAGGCGAGTACCGTCCGCCCGAATATCGCCAAGCAACTTAGCAAAGTCTCTGGTCTCTAAGATAAACTCTCGCAAGGCCTCATGACAAACTGATGCCTGTGACTTGCCCAGGGCACCTGGAAGATCCGCATTGAGGCAAATCAACGTGAAGTAGTCGATGGCAGCTTCAACAAACCCAGTGCGGAATTCGCGGGTGTATTGAGTCAACAGATATCCGAAATTGATCTGGGGGTACTGCTTAACTGTGAACGACACTGCGCATAGCAGAAGAAATCGAAGGTCAGCAAGATCAGAAAAGGGGTGTTGAGCAGTCATTTGCTTACGAATTTCTTCACCAGAGGTGTAAAAGTCAGACACGCGCAAAAGCCCATAGTAGGATAGGGCGATGGCGAAGTGAACAGCAGTGACCGGGGCATATGTGCCGAGATAATGCACAGCTTGTTCAAACATTCCTCCCAGGATCTGCAGGAGGAAGTAAGTTCCATAACCCCCAGGCCCCTCGTTGCCCTTGACGAAAACTCTCTGGCCGATCTCCTGGATGTCGGTCTGGATATCTTCCAGTCCGAATACGTCACCCGCAACCTCTTCGGCACGGTCATCCTCTCTCGCGAGGCTGAATTGTAGCCACATCCAGTCCTCGACGGTCTGTTTAACGCCATCCAAGCGACGACGCGACAGATCACAGCGGCCAATGATCTTGTAGCATGCCATCCGGTAGGGGTCGACTGTGTTCTCAGGTGCGTTCCGTGAACGTTGCTGGAACTCGCCGTTGATCTTTTGCTGCAGATCCCGCGGCAGTCTCCTACTCTGCGCATAGCTTGCCATGTAGGTCACGAATTTGTGATCCAAGGACCGGAACCCGTTATCCTGGCTTACATACTCAGCTGCCTCGGTCACGAATCCACACCGAAGAAGATAGAATATGAGAATCCAGCAGTAGTCTTGGTTTACCATCTGGAGCTCAGTGCCATCAGGTGCCAGGTCCTTTCTCGCAGCTTGTAGTCGGATGTAGGCGCGAATTTTGTTGATCACAGTTGGAATTCCGCCCAATTGTGCCTCCCGCGGATTTTTGGCAATGGCGCTTTCCACCTCCTCGAAAAACGTGGTTTCAAGGAAAGCCCTTGAGCCTTGAAGAATCTGGTTTCTGAGTTTGATTGCTTCAGGGGATTTGGACGATTCTTCGAGATATTCTTCGGCATACTGTCGCTCCTTGACAGCTCCCGGCTCCGATGGGTTGATGATGTTTGGGTTCTCGTGCACGATCTTTATCAAGGCCTGGTATGCATTGAAGAGTTGTCGAGGCACCTATAAATCGATTAGCTGGACGAAGATTCATGTTGCGGGAGATTGTAAAGCCTACATCACCGCCGGCTTGCATTTCCACAGATGAAAACTCATCGAGAACTGGATAGCATTTTCCTTGAAGCCTGGCAAGGTTCAACTGTTGAACTTTCTCGGCGTAATGACCCATCTTCTCCCGTCGGAACCTGAGATCAGGTGAGTGAGACGTATTTCCTTCGCTCCGCTCTGCTGGGTCTCCGAATATCTGACGGCTTGCCAAGCCGGCCCCAGGTGTGCCAATGACCGACTTCTCAAGACCCGAACGACCGAATACGCTTCTACGAGATGCGGTTGGGGGCCCGTTGGCGAGTCCAGCCTCGGCTTGTTTAGACTGTCTTGCTGATCGTCCAAAGGCACCTCGGGCCGTGGACTTCAATCCTCCAGCGCCGGCGGCGTCCTTTGGGGAGAGCCCGAAGTGGTGGAATATCTGTTGACGTTGATTCTCCCAGTCCATGTCAACCTTCTCTTCTAGGAAAGTATCAAAGTCTCGCTGAGCCCTGGCGAGACTCTCTGTAATCATGACCTGTCTCCCGCGTTGCTGAATATTCCGCAAAAATCTCTGGTTGTCAGGGTCAAAGTGATCCGGTTCCTTCACTGGGGCCGCGAGGGATGCCTGCGGATCCATGGATTTGAGGTCGCGCAATGCTCGAGCAGGAGATATACCAGAAGCCGCCAGAAGGTATTGACTATCAACAACATGGTAAGGTAAGTCAGGGTCAAGCACAGCAGATGGAAGAAATTGGTAGATAGGAAACTTACCCTTTGCTACTTTTGCCGTTCGGGGTATCCTTTTGTCCTGCAGAACCTAGCTCTCGTGCCTTTCTTCGAATGTCATCCAGGCCGAGCTGTAGACTAGGCACGTCATCGAAGTTGTTGTTCCGAGCAACTGATGACAATGGTCGCTTTTTCCCACGCTCCAGTAGGCTGTTGAAAAACGCAGGTTGTGTTGACTGATTTGCATTTTGTCCCTGGATTTGCGAGTTGCTGACTTGTTGGGTCTGCCCGAAGGCCGGGGCTTGGGCGGGCTGTTGCTGAGCCTGAGATTGACCTCCAAACAGAGACGATGTTTGCGCGCCTTGAGTATTCGGGGCAGAGAAACCTCCGAAGGGACTTGCTGTTGAGTTGTTCGCGCCGAACATACTGTTTGGCTGTGGTGTTGTTGAGGTCCCAAGACCACCCCCTCCGAAGAGAGAGCTGGTGTTGGAGGCCATGGAGCGCTAGTAGGTTTGAAGTCTTGCCAAGGGACAACGATTGAGCGAAAGAAGAAATAAGTGGGACTATTTGCTCAGATTAGTTCACCCTGTACGAGCGATTAAGCAAAGAAGCTATCAGAGGGCGAGAAGATTGAATGGCGCGCACACCTCGAGAACTGTAAGATCGACAAAGAAGAACAGCAGAAGGCGATTGTTTCTCTGTCCTCAGTTGCAAAGAAACAGATATCCAGTGAAGGTTGACTTCAATTTCGGCAAGAATAGCTCGGAAATTGAGAGTCAATGAATGTTTGTCCGGAGGTGGGTGCGCAGAAAGCTCCGTCTAAACAATTCAACCCGGTTCCGGATGATCTATTGACCGATGGACCGAAATCCTATTGTTCTTTATTTCTTTGTTTCGAGCAATCAATGACCTTAATGAACTCTGGACTGAAGCAGCCATTCCATAACCAGGCCTCATCTCGAAAGCAATAATTAGATTGCTTCGCCGATATGCCTGTATTTCAATCCAAACCCTTCCGTCGGGCAGCTACGGAGTCATCATCCCTCGGTGAACGGCTCGGTGCATTCTACCGGGCACGACTAGCTCGACACCCTTTTATTCTTTTCGGACTTCCCTTTATGGCCGTCATTGTAGCCGGCTCCTTTGTCTTGACGCCCGCTGCTGCCTTACGGTATGAGCGGTATGACCGCAAAGTCAAACAGCTAAGTCAGGACGAAGCATTTGAACTCGGACTCAAAGGTCCCGACGGAGAAGAAGGTATTAAACGCAATCCGCGGCGGAGGATTGTAGGCGACGAAAAAGAAGAGTACTACGTATGTATTCTCATTTTGATACTGAATCCGTCAACTAGGCGATTGAACGAAATGCTGATTGTACACCGCCGCAGAGACTCATGGCCAAGGATCTCGATCAATGGGAGCAGAAGCGAGTCGCACGATTCAAGGGTGAACCAGATGGAAGGCTGTAACGTTTTACATGCAATCACGGATCTTCGAGTCATGCTCGAGGCGACAAATCCCGTTTCCCTCACGAAGCAGCTCACCTAGGGAAGGAGCTCATTGCTAGTGGTGCATTGCTTCAATATGAACGGGGAGGCCAGTGGCGGGAAAGAGATGCAGGTAGTGTGCTGTGATTGGCCTTGCACATACCACTCCACCAATATGCCTATCCACTGTGTACAACATATTTACAGTACAACATAGGTGGTCATTGGAGTCGGTCATCGTTCACCCTGGCTTTCTCAAAACCTGTATGGCCTTTCGCTTGATCGATCCTGTTTCCACCAGTGATTGGCGAATAGAATAGTCCTCTGTTCTCAAGCTTGTCGCCCTGGTTTTCCCTTTCACTTGTCATATTGACGTGAAACCTTCATGGGTGGAACCCACTGCCTGTGTGATTTCTTGGATATTCGCCACTAACCAGGAACCGGGTGAAGATCACAGATACAACTGATCAATGAATTCAAGACAAGTTTAAACACATCTCAATTTCTCAAGTTAACATATCTTATGTAACATGTTGAATGGTATTGATCTTGGACAACCTCAAGTTTCCGAGGCGGCTGGTCCGCTTAATCAGCCAGATAATGGGCCCTGCCGAGCCCAGGCACACTGGCAGCGGCTACAGGGTTCCTAACTGTAGTTGGCTCTTTACTAACACAATAATATAACTACGCAGTAATTCATAGTTGTGATAACATTGTAGTTGCCTCTATATTTTCATTGGGAACTTCTATATTTAAATAGCAACTTCTACTACGCGTAAAACATTGTCCTAGTCTATATGCCAATAACCCACTACGTCAGAACCGAAGTGAACCCGTGATCCCCACACAGCAACGTCATAACTTTTCTTCTCGAAGCCCCAAATTTCTTCTTCACCCTTTTTGCCCTCAGTTCTGGGCCAAATCTTCCCATTATTAATCATGCAATGACACCGGATTCCTCTCTGATCTCAGACCTGTTCATCCCCCACCATTTGAAAATTCCCGTTCCATTGGCCACCTGCTTTTCTCTGTGGCTGGACCCCGGTCTATTCGCTTGTTGTTGCCCCTCTTTGTCTTTTCCTACGTCAGTTGCATAGATATTCTTTCGTCCTTACGTCTTAAGTGTGCTTTCAATCATTGTACTCGACACATCCCTTTGGCATCGGTACATTGGCATCCTATTCATGACCAGTGATTCTGCTGCAGCTCCAGGTCTCCAGAGACCCTGACATCTTTTACCGAGAGCTTGCTGGAACATTCGTCAGTCGAATACTCGAGAAGCCTAAGGTACCTGCCACATATGCAATTGCGGGCGTCAAGAGACTTTAGCTGACTATATCTCGATATATCAGGATCTGGAGCCGTGAAAGCCTGCTCGCCTGTCATGACAGGCCCAGGACGCTCACCCTCTTCGCCTTGGGTGCAGAATGCCCAGGGTGGTCATCATGATGTTGGTGTCTCACAGACCTTTCAGTCTACCATGTCGCCATCCAATATGGGAACGAGGTCGAACGCTGCTTTTACAGAACTCTCAAGTCCTAATTACTTCGGTATGGCTGTGCAAGATTCCAACGACCAACAATCTTCCCATCTAGGGACGCCAGCGCCCAAGCACTGGGGCACACTATCCAACACGCAACGAGTACTGAGTGCAAAGCCACACGAATCTTCGCAGGAACCAGTGCAAGCAGGGTTGATGAATTTTTTCCAGAATGAACCCGAAACTAACCGGATGCACCGGGGGTCGCCTGCTTCATGGTCACAGCCCTCACCTGCACATTCACCAGCAAACGTTTCACTCGGACAACACGGCAGATTGAAGCCCGCAACCCCAAAGAACTCAGTGCACACTTCTCCAGGTAAAGACACTCTCGCATTTGTTTTTTGAATTCTTTCGGTTTCTCATCCCATGTCACTTGAGACGTCCGGCTGCTTGTCTTCTTTCCCCCAAATCCTAGCAGATAAAGATACTAACTCTTCTTATCCAGGGGCTACTCCCGCATCATTTCCCTGGGTGTCACCTGAACGATGCGCTGAACTGCTCGAGTCATCTCAATCAACCATGATGCTATTCGATGTTCGCCCTTTCGCTCATTTCAGGCAGGCCAATATCAAAGGCTCACTCAACCTATGCATTCCCACCACTCTACTCAAGCGTCGATCATTCGATACCCAGAAGTTAGAGGGCACTTTCACCGACGACGCCGATAAACAGAGTTTTGCTCGGTGGAGGAATTGCGATGTAATCATTGTCTATGACTCTGCCGCAGCTGACCCAAAGGATGCAGCACCTCTTCTCAACGTTCTCAATAAATTCCAGGCAGAAGACTGGAAGGGAGAGGGCTTGATATTACGAAACGGGTTTCAGGGTTTCACTGCTCGGTTTCCCCATCTGATTCGACGGTCCCAGACGCAAACGACTGGCACATCCAAACGCCCTTCTCCCATGATCATTGACATGCAATCTGTTGCTCCTGTCGTCGGCGGTTGCGCTCTACCGGAATCATCCTCTGCAGCCAATCCCTTTTTTGGAAACATTCGACAGAATATGGATCTTCTGGGTGGAGTCGGCCAGGTCGCGTTGAAACAGCCCGATCACTTAACGGATGCGAAGCGACAGAAACTGCCGTCCTGGTTGCGGGGCGCCTCTGACACAAAGGACCAAGGGCATATTGTCTCGGACAAATTCTTGGCTTTAGAGAAGACGGAACTAGAACGCATGAAACAGGCGTTAACTTATGAAGGTCCTTCAGCGGATTCCGATAGCGGGCATAAGAAATATCGCGTCGCAGGGATTGAGAAAGGCACGAAGAATCGTTACAATGACATTTATCCATTTGATCATTCCCGCGTCCGACTCGAGGGGATTCCTTCTGGGGCCTGTGATTATGTGAACGCAAATCATATCTCAGCTGAACTTAGCAATCGGAAATACATCGCCACACAGGCCCCCGTTCCTGATACGTTCAATGTAAGTGTCAATTCGGGGGAGATCCTTATGGTTTAGTTGCTCACAGTATCCAGGACTTTTGGCGCGTGGTATGGGAGCAAGATGTTAGACTTCTCGTCTCTCTCACGGCAGAGGTTGAGCGAGGACAGGTGAAATGTCATCGATATTGGGAGTCTGGGAATTATGGTCCCTTTGAGGTCAAGGCCTATTCGGAAAAGCAAATCTCCATTGAATCAAAGGGCAAACCCATCGATCCAACCGTCGGTGATCCCAAGGCATCGGCCGAACAATCTGACGGGACAAACGAAAACCCAGTCATCACCGTACGCCATTTCAGCATTCGCCATACGTCGTTTCCCTTCCAACCGCTCCGTGATATCACGCAACTCCAGTATCCTTACTGGCCGGATTTCGGGACAACGTCCCAGCCTACACATCTTCTTCATCTGATTGAGCAGTGCAACAAGGTCATTCGCGCCACCAGCAACACCAGCTTTGGTAGTCAGGAAGCAGAACCGAAGGGTCAACGACCAATCCTGGTGCATTGCAGTGCAGGCTGCGGTCGAACGGGCACTTTCTGCACCGTCGATAGTGTATTGGACATGTTGAAACGTCAACGTGCACAAGCCGCCGGTGGGGAAGACATGGATCAGAATCCCATCGAATCTTCCGAATGGATCAAGGATTACGATCTCGACTTAATCGAGAAGACCGTCGAAGATTTCCGAAAACAAAGACCGAGCATGGTACAGAATCTGAGTCAGTTCGTGCTCTGTTATGAGAGCGTGCTCGAATGGCTCGCTTCTGATATGAAGTAGAACGAGCTATCGGGTCGGGCTCTAATGTTTTCCCCTTTGCTATGATGATGAAACTGGGATACCCCTCTTCTGCCTTGTATCTTCAGGGCCATGGTTTTTTTTTCTTCTCTATGTACAATGCCATACAGCTTAAGGTTCTGTCTGCATTTTATGGTGTTTGGCGCTTCGAAAGGATAAAGGGAAAAGGAAAAGGATACAGTCAACTCTCTCCAAGGCTTTCATTTTCGTAATCTCCATCTTTCTTTTCTTTCTTCCCCCCTCCCACTTCTCTTTCTGGCATAAGAAGACAAGAGTAGCGTCTTCGTCATTGATGGGTCTCAAACAGACAGACCAAATCCCCGACATACATATGCTATGCAACTTAGTGGAAACCCCCATCTTGCTAAGTACTAATGCCACGCGCCTAGCTCTCAGCTAGCCGCTTGTCATTCCCACTATACCCGAGAGGCAGGTACATCAACCCGTGATCAGTGATAGCAACTAGCTCGTCTTCCTTTTCAGTGAACCGCAGTTGAGAACAAACCGCCTCCAACTGGATAACCACGGGTCGCAGCTCGATGGCACTCGTAGAAGATTCCCATGATGGTGGATAATAGCCGGTACGGTTGCCTTCAATCAACTCGAAGGGATTCAGCGCCCAGACATATAGAGTCTTCCAGTTCGCGACTGCAATGCGAGTCCCGCGACGCGATGTCGCTACCCGAGAACCCTGCGAGGTCGTCAGCTCACGGAATCCCCCAAGCTGCGCCACGATCTGCCAATGATCGAAACGTCGTCCGCGGCCGAGGTTCAAAAGGTGAGTACAGCGCCGACCAGTATAGGTTTCCGACTTTAGCAGGCATGCCACCGTCCATTGTTCGACTCGATGGGTCGCGATTCCGAAGGCGAGATATTGCCAATGACACCGTCCCCCATGGTCTGGATCACCGAACTCGTGAGTTCCGAAGAATGGTATTCCGATAGAGAATTGCAGGGAGAGGGAGGGTGAAAACTGAACGGTGCAGGCATTGGCATTTAGACGTGGCCTATGTTCTCCCTGACCTCGCCCTGGGAGGTGATGAATTCTCTGAAAGTCACCATAAACGTTCTGGGCCCGGTAGTGGTAGAGCAACTGAAAACCGCGGTCATTGAACGTTAACTTCACTACGGGGCCAGTTCTCTGAGATGGATAAACATGTGTATCTTGCCCAGTCGAGCTGCTCAAGACGCAGGCTTCACACGTGGCATCTGTACGAGTTAGGACTCAGTCTCCAATACGATGGGATGATGAAACGAACGAATAATTTTGGGAGGGCCGTCTTTTTTGCCTTGCTCGGTGACATTGTCACTCAAATGATCTTCATCTTCGTCTTCATCTTCATCTCGAAGGCCGGCATACAGAACAACGTGATAATCAAGGGGATCGAGTGTATTTTGCCATGAGATTGCAAACTTGTCGTCGGTAGCAGCCAGAGCCAGTGGCCTATAACCCTGCCATTCAGGGAAGTCCAACATATGAATAGCGTTCTTTTGAGGATCCAAATGATGATAAGCTAGATGAATACTTCCATTGGGGTGAGACTCTAGAGCCTGTTTCACAAACGGGTGGTTCATATCCAGCTCTCGGTCTAAGGATGGTAGGAAGCGATGCAGCACGTAAACTCCGCATTTCCCATCGAAAGCAGTCTGGATGATCTCGATCTTCCCGATATCTTGTCCTGGTGATGTCAGCTCGACTTCGGGCCGGTTCCTGTTGCCAATGTTAAGCAGGTGGACGGTGCTGTAGCCTTTGAAGACAAGCAGTGCTCGAAGACTATCTTTTGATGTCTCCAGCGTCGATGCACGACAATCAATCACTCGACGTTGAAATTCGTAGGTGGGCTTTGCATAATGTTCGGCGCCGTCTAATTGTTCATAAGACCGTTTCATCAACTCGCTAAATAGGTATTTAGTAGGATGACCTTCGATGTCATTATACCCAGGAGTATGATGAAGTCGATGAATGATGGCTTCTCGGCTGGTAGAAGCAATTTCATAGAGTCTGCGACTTGAAAAGGCTGCTTGGAAATAGCCTGGTGTGTCGCAGTTCCTCAGAATGAGCTGTATCAATTCTGTGGGGAGTTGGAGAAGCATCATGGGTAGGTAGTGAGTGAGTTGGAGAGTGCAATGCAAATTTATAGTGTTTAATGGGGGAGCACAGACATTTTGTTTGACGGGCAAGAAACAAGAGGACGAAATTGTATTACAGTCAATATATTGCATACCGTCATATTCCCAGTCGACATATGTAACCATATAACTATCCACGCAGTAAATAGTTACTCCGTACTGAGTCCGCAGGCATCTAAGCCCACGAGTCTTCGCTACCACTTTACTACTAGTACTACTACTACTACTACTGTGTCTAAAGTTCTACCAATCTGCTACGGAAGAATTACCACCGGGAAAGCAAAACCCGATCCTGCGTCTTGCTGGTCTTCCTGCATGTCGAAGCCTCCTTCCGTAGACGGTCCTGGAGGTTTGGTATCTTGCGATTACGATTGTGATGCGTATAGGTAGTTGGCCGCGACCGTGTCTTCCCGGCGATGCACGCTCAACAGAGATGAGTGAAAACAGGCCAAAAGCATGATTTTGCTCGATTCCCATCCCGAATGTGATTTCAGTCTCAAGTACTCAAGGTATTATGACCAGTCGATTGAACATCACTGTCCTTCTCCCCCACCACCACCCGACATACTGATGAAAGTGACGATAAGAAGAACCCACCAATACCTATATTACCCATTAGCGCCTGACGAAAATGAAGGGCACACCGGCATAATGCGCCACTTACTTCTGCAGAAGTGACTTCTCTTCGGGTTGGTCTGGGTTTTGGCCATCGGGGCCGACGACGACTGGGCGGTTCAGATGAGGCTGTATCCCAGATTCATTTGAGATGAGTTCTACCCGAGCACCAGTTGTCGAATGCTCGGCAGTAGAAGGTGCAGCCAGGGAGACAGCGTAGGCTTCGTTGGCTGAATCGAGATGAAGGCGAAAGGTAGGTTGCTCATCTGTCGATAAAGAGGACAACGAGACAAGACTGCCGACCCATTGCTTTCCGGTTGTGGCTGAGGTATAGAGACCGACCCGAACTAGATCATCGCCTTGATCATCTTTTGGTGGGTGATACGAGACCACGTCCGATTTCAACGATGTCGGGTCATAGGAGACGCGTGCTAGGACCGATGGGTGTGACGATCCTACAGGCCAGTATAGGATATCAGTCGAAAGGGAGGCATTGGCGACGGCAATTAGGAGCGACACGACGCCGAGAAGAGTTGATAAAAACATGGCTTGAGATTTGAGGTCTTTTACACGGAGAGGTGGTAAGTGAAGTCGGGCCGAACTCCCCGATCACGGTACCCGTATGGCATTTTACAAGTTGTTACATATACTTCGTCTGGGGACAATGTAGTGAAGTCTGGAGATACTGTAATGATTTGAATTTCAATTTCAATCGTTCGCATACATATTACGTGTACGGAGTAGAACTATCCAACTTATCTACGGATTGGTGTTGTGGTACTTGCAAAGTACATTCAATACCTGAGAAACACAGCTCAATACGCAGGTACTATTGAAGTACCCCTCAAACAGTGGTCCAGTGACCAACATGTCCCTCCATGAAACTCGGTGACCATTGCTCCGTCACAGCTCTCTCTCCTCTCTCGTTGAGGCAAAACAAGCACCTCCAAATAGCTTGCTTTTGCGTTTCTTTTTCTTTTTCTTATCTTAATTTCTTGAAATCTATTGCTCTGTCTCGATACGTCTTACCTTTGTCAATCTACGTACAGTAAGTGGCGCTTTGACAAAGCTTCAGAGCCCTCGCATTGTGCTAAGCTTTACTAGCCCTAAGGCTTCACTGGCTGCCAACGCAGAGTTAGACATGGCCTCGCTGCCCTATCATCATACTGCTCGCCAGGGCTCCCGAAATGCATCCAGCGATCCAAGAGAGGAACTCACAGTTCACCTCGACCACTATATTGGCATTGATGTCGGGACTGGCAGTGCTCGTGCCTGTATCATCGATGCCAAGGGTGATATCGTGGGTTTAGCTTCAGAGAACATTGGCCTCTGGCAACCAGAGCACGGATACTATGTGGGTAAACCTGCTCTTCCGATAACTCTGTCTTACCTGGCCTCTAGGAACAATCTACATCCGACATCTGGCATTGCATTTGTGTTGTCGTTCAGCGAGCTATAAGCCAACACAATATCAACCCTGACACGGTTCGAGGTATCGGATTTGATGCCACTTGCTCCTTGTCCGTTTTTTCCAATGAGACCGACGAACCGATCTCTGTAACCGGCCCAAACTTCGACTCGGACCGCAACGTGATCTTATGGCTGGATCACCGTCCAGTGGAAGAAGCCGCAAAGATCAATGCTACCAACCACAACTTGCTCCGCTACGTTGGCGGGAAGATGTCCATTGAGATGGAGATCCCCAAGGTTTTGTGGCTGAAGAACCATATGCCCAAGGAACTTTTTGATAAATGCAAGTTCTATGATTTGAGCGATGCTCTTACCCATATTGCTACCGGCAATGAAAAGCGAAGCTTCTGTAGCGTGGTCTGCAAGCAAGGATATGTGCCCGTGGGTGTCGATGGGAGTGTGAAGGGATGGCAAGAAGATTTCCTGCAGGACATAGGCCTGGGTGACTTGACCGAAGATAACTTCAGGCGCATGGGCGGAGTTGACGGGGTGGTGAGCCTTCTAGTATTTGATCATGACACAGTTCGCTGACATTCACATAGAATGGCAATTATTTGAGTGCTGGTGAACTAGTCGGCACGCTATGTGATAAGGCTGCAGCTGAATTAGGCCTGCCAGCCGGAATTGCCATTGGCAGTGGTGTGATCGACGCCTATGCCGGCTGGATCGGTACTGTCGGATCCAAGGTCGATCTGGGCTCCGGTCAATCCAGCACAGATGCCCCCAAGCTTGATAGATCAGAAGCTTTCTCTCGCCTCGCAGCGGTCGCGGGAACCTCGACGTGTCACCTTGCCATGTCTCCGGACCCAGTGTTTGTTGATGGAGTCTGGGGACCATATCGGGATACCATCCTCCCCGGATATTGGATGGCTGAAGGTGGCCAATCTGCCACAGGAGAGTTACTCAAGCACGTCATCGAGACCCATCCGGCATTCCACCAAGCAACTTCGATCGCCGACTCATACCATACCAACATTTACGAATATCTGAATGAACACCTCAAAGAGATGGCTCACGATCAGGGGGCGCCCTGTATATCCTATCTCGGACGCCACTTTTTCTTCTATGGAGATCTATGGGGCAATCGCTCTCCTATCGCCGATCCCAACATGACTGGATCTATCTTTGGCCTGACCAGTGACAAGTCCGTGGATGGCCTTGCAATTTACTACTACGCCACGTTGGAGTTCATTGCGCTGCAGACCAAGCAGATTGTAGAGACAATGAATAAGGCAGGCCACCGCATCACATCGGTGTTTATGTCGGGCTCACAATGCCAGAATGACATCCTGGTCAATCTCGTTGCCTCTGCCTGCGATATGCCTGTGTTGATTCCTCGGTACATTCATGCCGCAGTATGCCATGGCGCTGCAATGCTGGGCGCTAAGGCTGCAAGCGCTGATTCTCAAGGTAAAACCGAGGACCTGTGGGATATCATGGACCGGATGAGTAAGCCTGGCAAAAAGGTCTTGCCGACGGAGGATAAGAACGAGAAAGCCTTGCTCCGTGTTAAATATGAGGTATTCTTGGAGCAGTGTTTCAAGCAGCAGAAATACCGTGCCTTGGTCGATGACGCTGTGGGGGCCTGGAAGTCCAAGTGATCTTATGAGGATCAACACACATTTTCGGAAGCATGCAAGAACAAGACATCGACGGGTTTATCTAGGCATCAGTCATTACCGCACATTAAGAATATAACTTAGGACTCTTGAATCACAAACAATGCCAATGCTGGCCCAATGACATCTAGTGCAGAGCTCTATAGCCCAGGTCGTGGAATAAAATGTAAAAAGAAGAACACAGCTAACTAACATGATCTATACAAAAGTCAAGCATATAAACAGGGTGTCCGAAGAAGACATCAAACACTGCCCAGGATTTCGCTATGCAACATTGATTAAGACAACCCAATGACTGCGACGGGTTCACAGTCACAACACTTAGTTAAGATGTGCAGTTTGCTAGTATGCCACGCCACCTCTTGTTCGTCCGACGGTGTAGAACTTGCCTGAACTGCTGGTGCTTCCGATGGCAAGTGTATCGAACCGATCCACACCCATGCTGTCCATGTTCACATACCCTGACATGTAGAAGCCGAGAACAACGACGAGATAGGTGAGTACAAGGATAGATCCCTTGAAATAGTTGCTTTTGCCCTCTCCGTATACATACGACAGCAGGAACACACACAGAATGACAGTGATCATGTCCCACTGAGGGGAAAATCAAGCTTTGGGAAAGACCTTGTTAGCCATGACTTTCCCATTGGAAATAGGGGAGGGGCTCTTACTTGAATGAGTGGCTAGTAAGTTCTGATGGGTCCAGCGAGCGGCCATAGAAGGCACTGAAGAATACCACAGCCGGGACCTGTAGCAGGCAAACCTGTAGTGCGTAGGCGGATCCAATTTCCATAGACAACGCGATGTTGCCGTTCATGGCAAAGGAAATGGCGTTCTGTCCGATGCGTTAGTAGAAGAAAAAAGAGTGGAAGTAGAACGACAAGAAGGGTCGTCTAAGGCTTCGGTAATCAACGCACCAAGAATTCTGTGGTGTTGGGCACCAACGCGAAAAGAGTGATACCAAGGAATTTCTCATCAACATCGACGCTCTCCAGCACGACATCGACCGTGGTAACAAGAATCTCGGCAATAACTGCATAGAGAACCGTTGCCCCAAGAAGAACGATAGAACTCTTGATTTTACTCCAATTGGGCGCATCGTGTCCTCCGCTGGCATGGGTAGGCTCCACAACCATCCCAAGATCTTCGAGTTCATCCCTAGGAGTAGCTCGTGGCCGCTCCGCAGCCGAACGACTAGCTTGACGAACAGAAGCTTGCTGATGTTGTCCAGTAGGCTTGCGACTTCGAGTCGCATCCCGGGCAGCCATTGCCGCCGCTGTTGCCGCCACTTCCGTGAACTGGCGTACGAGACGGTCGTTATCTTCTTTAGCTTTCAGACGGGTAGATTTCGGCACAGGACATCCGTCCTCGCCGCTAGAATGAGGTGGCACCAAGTGTGGGAAGTTGTTTCTACCTTCTGCGGTAGATTCACCCCCAGGCTCTTCACAAGTTCCAGATCCATTGTCTTCCAAGCCAAGGTGCTTCAGGGACTGACCCAAGATGCGCTTGTACAGCTGGGATTCGCGGATTGAGTCTCTCGCGCCAGAGGCAGCACCCGAGGCTTCGGGTTGACCATTTGGGAATAGCAGATGTGGGGGTTCATAGAATGAGTCTGGTGCTGAGTGGGTGGCTTGCGTCTGGGTAGTCTTCTTTTCCTCCATCTCCGACGCCCAGATGAGAGCAGCATGAGTCCTAAGGGTAAACCATAGGCCTATGCCATACGCAAGGAACAAGAATACAGCGGCGGACCATGCATATGGTTGGACTGCTTTCTGGAAGAATTGATCATTGACAGCCGCTGTTTGCGAGAAATAACAACGACGACAGTCTCGGGTCTCTGGATCGAGGGAGCTCACACACGAATGGCAATTCAACTCATGCTATGAACGTTTTAGTTTGGGCTCGATTGCAAAAGCAGGAGAAGGATATGAACTCACACTACCGTAAACTTGATAGAATAGAGTGGGACCAAAAGCAGCAATCACCGCAAACAATAGCATTGTTGAGGTCACACCGGCTGATCTTACGTTGAACCGTTGAGTTTTGCGCTTGAGGGCACCGAAGCACATGGACAGACCAGGCAGGAACAAGATGCCGACGAAGATACTGCCGATAATGCTTCCCTCGACAAGCTGAGCCTTGCCTTCGGTTAAAGCAACACAGTAGAGGTATACTTCTACGATCGTTGAGAAGAAAGCATTGATGGCAGCACCTAAACCCATCGAAGACTGAGCAGAAATCGATGCCACGGCTTGCCCAATGAAATAGGCCAGAGGAATGATGGAGAGTAGGGCGAGAGGGAAGACCAAGCCCGGATGCGTAAGCCAATTCTTCAAGCCAAGGAAGTTGCCCAGAACGTGATAGTCGAAAATAACGAACATGACCACACCGAGGAGGTTGATTAGGAAAATGTTCGTTCCATCAACTGTATACTTCCAATACCTTGTACCTGCAGCTCGATAGGTGCAAAGAAGAATTGAAGACGAAGTGGTTGTGCTCGATCTAGCATATGTGGAATCGGAATGGAAAGAGAGTGCTAGAGGATGCCTGCGTAGATGGCTCACCAGAGTGATCGTCACGCGGCCCATGGGGATCCAAAATACCAGGAGCCAGCAGACAAGCGATACCATAAGCATCAGCGGCCCTACTAGAAAGTAGAAGAACACGAAGAACACGACTCGACCCAAGGTCCATTCACCACGCCCAAAAAGACGACGCTTGGATTGACCGAGCTGAGAAGCGTCTTCACGTTGTCCACGCTGGGGCCTCCCGAGCAGGCTATCTTGCTCTCCACTTGAATCGACACTGTTCCGTCGTCTACCGACCAAAGATCGACCCCTGCGAGGCCCGAAGAAAAGACGACCATGCTCGAGGTCGCCATTTTGCCATTGCTCATATTCGCTGATACTGCGTCCCTCACCCTCGTCCTCTTCGGCGTAGATTTCGTCCGTCTCCAAAAGCACAAATGACCCGAACGGGTACAGGAGGTATCTTGAGAGACCCGCAAATACTCTTCCGTATGCCACGGCACTCGAGGAGTAGGCAAAGCAAAAGCATGCAACTGCGGCTAACAGAGCAGAAAGAGCCAGCCACCATCCAAAGAACAAAGACCATAATAGGTTGACGAGGTAGAGCATGGGACTGACATAGCCACCCGGAGATGAATGGATATCGCCCTCGGCCGTCTTCTCTACAGACCGGCTCTTCTTGTACAGCGCAGGCTTCCAAATCCTGATACCAAATGGATGTGTTTCGTTGATGGCCTGTTGACGGTCTTTGAGGGTGAAGCTTTCAGCGTCGCTGGCTGCGCTTTCATCATCCTCTAAGTCATCATCCTCCTCGTCGTTCTCACTCCTCAAGTCGCTGTTTTGTCCGGTCTGTCTCGAAGATGAGAAATCGTCTTCGAAATTCAGACCTGGTTCTGGCAAGTCTATTTCGTCTGCGTCGTAGCCCCCTGAGTCGGCTCTCGCCAAATTACTAGGACGAGCACTGGGACGTCGTCTCAGGGTCGAGGCTTGCGTTCGCAATGGGCGCATCCGGGGGGATTGTTGCGTGTTTGCGCCTTGCTTCATTGTCATGTATTGCTGTACTTCGTTGACATCGTCATCGGTTGAGAAGCCTTGCCCCTTGTGAAGGATCTGACGTTTGGAAGACATGCGGCGCGACACCGTAGGCTTTTGGGGCTTATCGGGAACACTTGACGATTGAGTTGTAAACGCACGATTCGAGGGATCCTCTTGGCTATCATCCTGCAGTTCAGAATTGGCCGCCTCGAGGGTAGATGTATCTAATGTACCTGCAATTTTCGCTCAGTCCAAGCCGTAGACGCGGTATGTTACACCAAAACAACCTTACCATATGTTCTTCGCGCCGAGGCAGATAATCTCGTTGGAGGCGCAATCCCAGCCGGGGTTTCACTTCCCACCGCTGCAGATGGCTGTGAGGGTTCAGTATCCTCGGGGTTCTTTTTGTCCCTAGCCATGGCGATATGATTGAGAAACACACAGTGAAGCAAAGGGAGAGATAAAAAGGAAAGAGAATATCACACGGGGATTGCTCTCCCTTTCGGATTGTCTTTGTTGCTGTCCAATAAAGAGAAGAGAAAAGGTCAAAGCGATAAGGCCGTCGAAGTTCCCAACATTATTAAACCAGATAGATCTGGGCGACTCTCATAAATCAAACGCGTCAATGAAAATAGCCACTAGTTGAGATGCATACAAGCCACTTCAGGTCCGAGTAGGACAGAAGTCGTGGGGGAAAGAAGAAGTCAAAAGGACACAGAATAATGACTCTTTGACCGTTGCCTACTGTCCGTTCATTGCAGATGACCCGATCATCAGCCCAGCTTGACTGCCCAATGAAATACATGGTTGACTCATTAAGTGGGGATGGGAGCTGCGGGCCCCAGCTTTCATCCATGGAAGCACGGTAAATGTTTGGTTGGTTTGTTCCCGCTGCACGGACCCCATCTTTGGATTAACTAGTACTGTGTATGTTAGTCATCTTGAACTTGGAAGTCCTGAAATATAAGGCTTCAAAGGCTTGGCATATTTCCGCTTAGTAAGCACAACTGGACGCCCGGGCCCGAAGCCACTGGACCTGAGCTCCACGTACAGCTTGACTGTTCAGCTCGCCAAACTCTAGCTTCAAAGTCCTCCATCTCTACTCACGAGCTGCCCCTCTCCCTTACGACTTCCCGATAGAACGTTATCTCAACCGAAAGAGAAAAAGGATACCTTTCCCTTTGCTGCATTTGTGTGAAAGACAGACAGCCCTTGAGTCTCCACAGCGTCATCATCCCATCTGCCATCATGGCTCTCGACAACTACTATCGCAATAAGATCGAGGGCATGAAGCTCGAGATTATTCAGGGCCAGGCTGTTTTAAGACGGTTAGAAGCGCAGCGCAATGACTACAACTCGAGGGTCCGTCTACTGCGCGAAGAACTGGGCTTGTTGCAACAGCCCGGCTCATACGTTGGTGAGGTTGTGAAGGTGATGAGCACCAAGAAGGTCCTGGTGAAAGTACACCCAGAAGGAAAATACGGTAAGCTTCGTCTATGCCATCTCTCTTCTGATTTTGGCGGCCAGGATCACGCTAACGCTACCGTTTCCTCTATCAGTGGTGGACATTTCCGATGGTGTGGATATCGGCAAGCTGGTCGTGGGAAAGCGTGTTGCCCTTCTGTCTGACACCTACAAGTTGGAAAAGATGTTGCCATCCTCAGTTGATCCTCTGGTTGCACTCATGATGGTCGAGAAGGTTCCCGACAGCACCTACGACATGATTGGTGGCCTGGACCAACAAATCAAGGAAATCAAGGAGGTTATCGAGCTTGGTCTAAAGCATCCTGAATTGTTCGAGTCTCTCGGAATTGCACAGCCGAAGGGTGTCTTGCTCTATGGCCCACCCGGAACCGGCAAGACCCTACTTGCTCGAGCGGCCGCCCACCATACCGACTGTCGATTCATCCGAGTCAGCGGTTCCGAGCTAGTTCAGAAATACATTGGTGAAGGTAGCCGGATGGTGCGTGAGCTTTTCGTCATGGCACGAGAGCATGCACCAAGTATCATTTTTATGGATGAGATCGACAGTATTGGATCAAGCCGGATAGACTCAGCAGGAGGCGGCGACTCAGAAGTGCAGCGCACCATGCTGGAGTTGTTGAACCAGTTGGACGGTTTCGAGCCAACGAAGAACATTAAGATCATCATGGCGACCAACCGACTGGACATTCTCGACCCAGCCCTGCTTCGGCCTGGACGAATTGACCGAAAGATTGAATTCCCTCCTCCATCGTCAGTCCACCCTTTACGCCCGCCTCTAACTCATTGCCATTGCCCCCCTCCCCCCTCCCTTATTATATGATGCTAATTTCAGTCTCTCCTTTAGTGTCGAAGCTCGTGCTGACATCTTGCGAATCCACTCCCGATCGATGAACCTGACCCGTGGGATTAATTTGACCAAAATTGCTGAGAAGATGAATGGATGTTCTGGAGCGGAGCTGAAGGGTGTTTGCACGGAGGCAGGCATGTATGCACTACGCGAGCGTCGGGTCCACGTCACACAAGAGGACTTTGATTTAGCCACAGCCAAGATCCTCAACAAGCACGACGACAAGGAGGTTGCCGTGTCGAAACTGTGGAAGTAAAGGAATTTCGAAAGAAGGTGGATCCTAGAGGCTCGGGGAACGATCGCCGATGTTGTATCACTACTTCTAATCCTACCTTGATATTGTCACCCCAGGTGAATGCATGATTGTGCGACTTCTTTGGACTCAACCTACTCAAATAATATAGAGTAATCATTCATTGGGAGTGGAGCCCAGTGCCTTTTGAGCTTGGTGCATGCACATGTGTAGTATACGGAGTAGATTGTCGTAGTCTCGTACAGTACTGTGTAGATCAGACGAGTCTGTACTGGGTGACCAGGCCCAGCCTCACGTGTCACAGAGGTTGCCATGATTCATAGAGCATACCTACATGTACGTATGTGCCCGAATATGTAATTTTGTGAAAGCTCTATGTCTCTAACCCCTCGGTCTCGGGCTCAAGGAACGTAGGTATGTTAAATATGTAATGCAGAAAGAAGTGGTATACTTATTTGGCTTAGAAGATAAAATTTTGCATATCTATATTTAAAGTGGCAAGATGGCCGAGTGGTTAAGGCGGCAGACTTAAGTCTTCACTACTAAACGTAGTTTAGCTTTCTGCTAATTTTACATTGCGTGGGTTCGAACCCCACTCTTGCCAACATTTTTTAAAAACCCAAACACTTTTTACAACACCATGCTGGCCACCCCAAAACTGTAGTAAAAGCGGTAAATTCCTCACTTTGTTTCATTTCTTGCCGATAGCAATGAGGGCAATTAACACTATGGTCATCAATTTCAAGAAACGAAGAGCTTCATTGTTATGGTATTGAAAATTGCGTCCATGGAAACAATGGGAGATATCCCCAAAAAAACACAGCTTCATAATATTTTCTCTAACTCCCTAGAGAGGCTACATGTAAATACCATACTCCGTAGTTATAACCAGAAAGCATTCACCAGGCTATAGACTAAAGCCTACGTTATCTAGTTACAGCCGTTGTTGAGAACTTGAGATACTGTGTTGTAATTTATCTCTTTTACTATGTGATTTGGGGTGGCCAGCTCGGTGGTGAATTACATTAACTAGTGCTTTGGGATGATTACTTACATTGTAACTTGTACGGAGTAACTACCTTGGATCTAGGCAGGACATTTGCAGAACAGATGGTCCTAACAGATGGTGCTAACGATCTCCGTAGCCCCTATCGAGCAAAGGGTTGATCGCTTTTCGTTATCTCTGGCGCAAAAAGAAGGAAGGGACTCAGCATCACCGGGCTTGGCAGCTCCTGCTTATCTTGCACATACCAGAGCTGCATGTCCTCCATCCTCCATCCTCCATCCAAAGCAGTGCATACGTGGTAGCTCAGCCTCGAGTGAAGGCTTGGCATCTGCTACAAACAGTGTCCGATGTAGATCATAAGAGATGTCTCGAATCGGCATTTGCTTGGCGTGGAGATCAGTATCGGATCCCTTGATGGCTATTGTCTTGGCAGACTTGCCAAGGAGAAGAGACTATTGGGAACGTATCACTGGGTTCTTAGAAAAGGTAACATCCAAGAGTTTCACGGTGTGAATGCTCAAAGTCAAAAGCTGCCATGGACAGGTGAGTTCATATACTGATCTTGTAATCTATCGTACAGCATCGGATGATATGGCTGGAGGATCAGGGGCTATTGGACCAGACATCTCCTAATAACCCCTGTCCTGCGCTCCATGGAATTTGGTGCGCGTGATCGGCGGGTCATTTCCCAACGTCTAAAGTGGAGAGAGTAGAGACAACAAGCGCCAAGTGCTTTGGAGTTTGCTGGGGCACCTAAACCCCCTTGTCCCAGGTACGGAGTACAGGACCCACTTAGTTGTGATCACTCCATACTTTGGGGAAGTACCCGCCACTTCCCCTTCCAGACCTCGTAAGGTACTGCGTACGGAGACAATGTACCATTATGCATTGTATTCCGCCTAATCTCTCTCCCTTGCGGAAAGCCAAGACGCACTTGTCAAATTTTTGAGCTGAAGATCACCTGAGAATACATACATGGTACATTGTATGAACTAGGGCGGGGGATGACGAGATGCAGTGCATACATGAACGCAGTACAAAGTACAAAGTACATAGATGTACTGTGTAAGACTTTAACTTGTACATCACGGACTTGCTAAATTTGGCCCTTCCGCTGACCGACAGTCCATTTCTGGTTAAATATATTCCCGTAGATCCATGGATGCACATCGATCTGCTTTTGAATCTGTTATCTTTCCATGGTTACAAGGTCATGTCATGAGTTCTACTCAATTGAATAATCCAATTCCAAGGTTGCAACCCCCCGGACTTCGTCTTCCGACTCCACAACTTCATTGCTATATACTTCCCGTTCTTTCTTTTTCTTCGATCTGAGGTTAAATCAGGCAATTACTTACATTCCAACCTTGGGAACCTGTGGACTGACCCCCCTGATTCCATCATTTAAACTATTTCCTCCCCACCTTGATTTTTTCTGACTCACATCATTTCCTTGGGCACAATAAACAAAAGACCGGACTATGTCCGATCTTTGGTCTTCGATAGCCTTTGCGATTGACCCTATGAGAACCGAAGCCATGCCTGCTGTCCTACAATCAACCATCAATCTCCTAGAGAGCGAGCTGGTGAAAGCCCGCGCTGCCCTGCGGGATATCAAGCCTAATGCCTCCCCTTTCGGCTTCTTGGGCGAAGAGGTCGCCGTAGGGGCTATGGCTGCGTATAGACAAGACCTTATCGGCCGCGCGCCCGACTTCTATGGGTCGCGCCGTTTGACCCTGAAGGAACTCGGTCTGGCGCCTGTTGTGAGAGAACTGCCCGCTGAACGAGTGGTACCAAAGGTACCACAATCTATAGCACTTGCACCCACGCGTCCTACGTCGCTAGAGGATGTCCTGAGCAATAGTTTGGTGCTCGATCAAATGGCACCTTATCTGACAGTATCCTCCTTGATGGCTTTGAGCTCAACTTCACGCCGCTTGCACACGGTCATCACCCAGACGCCATATGTGTTCCGACATCTCGATCTGTCCCGCTGCCGGGGCGCAGAACTCTCTACGGGAACCCAATCGGAGGACAACCTGCAGACGGAGGACGATGTTTACTCGGCCCCATTGAAGCGTATATTTAGGAGCCTTGAGCGCAGGGATATATTGCGAGATGTACGCACTCTCAATTTGGACGGCCTGTCAGTGCCGGCCGATTTGGTGGCCGATATTATTCTGACAGATCGCTTTAACATCAACATCTTGTCCATTCGTGAATGTCGCCATCTAAATGAACGGAAGCTCATGCAGGTGATTCAGCATGCTGTCCGGCCTACACGCCCTGCAGGTACACCGCGAGTGAAAGGTATCTATCACTTCTCTCCCATGCAGACGGGCCCTCAAGCAGTGGCGAGGCCCAGGTATAGAGACTGGTGGGGAGCCCGTGTAGGGGCTTCACGGAGTCCCAGTCAGACACCAATCAGCTCTGGTCAGGAGGATGAAGCGTCATCGACACCATCGCCAGCGAAGCACCAGCAGAATGAGTGGTACAGCCCATCAGGGAAGCTGTTCAAACACAACCTTGAGGAGGGCTGGGCCCAGGTGCTTCAAAAGTGTGAGGGGATCATCGCCTTTGATGCCACTCTCTGTCGTGGCCCGAGACACGATCCCTCCCTATACAGATCAGCCACAGAAGATAGCAACCCGGCTGAGGTGCCCTTGCTTGGACCTGCCGTGGCCACAGTGGCTCTCGGACCCCGTGGATGTGACGGGTGCCACAGTTCCCCGGAAGGCCCAGCTATTTGGGGCCAGTCTCCAGATTCACAGTTTCCAATGTTGAGCCCCCCGCCATTGCATTCGTCTAGTGTCGAAGCAGCCAAAAGGCCGGAGTTATTCCCAGGCGAGCATCCGGTCCTCATCGCCCGCTGTGCGGACTGTCTTACGAACCGCTGGTGCCATCGTTGCAACAAGTGGTTCTGTGACAACTGCTTGCCGAATCCGCAGCATATACGAGTGAATTTGTCCCCGCACCAGACCGCTATCCACACCAGCGCCGCTGAGATACAAGAACGCGAGGTACGGTGAAATCAAAACTCACCTATTAATTATCGATGTGACTGACACAGATGTATAGAGACTGGAACGAGGTGTAAGCAAAGACTGCTGGGAATGTGGCCCAACTGTGAGTATCTTCATTAAGATTCAAGATCTCGGTCGATTCTGACCATGGCAGTGTGCGTCTTGCAAGCTGGAATGCCAGCACACATGTCAAGGCTGTCAAGGGGATTATTGCATTCAACATAACGAGGGATGCTCAAAAACACTGGTAGGCTTCTGTCAACAACAGGCCCCATGAATGCGAGGCAATACTAACCTATGCTATAGTGCGACTGGTGCAATACTAGTGCTCGGGGGCGAATGCGTGGCGACCTCTATTAAGAGAGTAACCATTTCAAAATCATTGACAAATACAGCGGAATGAATTGGAAACGTAGAAGAACTTCGGTTGATTTTAAAGCGAGATCTGCACGTGGAGGCTTCCAGAATTGAACTCTTTATCTCTTATCAGACATGCAGTCGAGAACAGCGGCCAATCTGGTAAAATGATGTAATTGTCCGGCAGAACTTCCAGTTAGGAACGATAGACATAAGATATACATAGTGTATGTGGGCTTAAGGGTACAATCAACTAAATATATGAGCTGCTAGATACTTCCTTAATTAGCTTACTCACAAAAACTGTGGAAATATAAACCAAAGAAAGACGAAAGAATCAACTACGTTGCTTAGGGAGAGCGCATCGCCAGCTATACATCAGGCGGAAAGCAAGGCGGTGGTGTCTTGATAATGGCCAAGGTTGGGTCAGCGGTCTTTTGACATCGTCGCTGCTAATGTTGTCTGTCGCCGCCGCCTCGGGGATTTCATATTAAACGCCATGCATTCATTCTTTCTCTCTCAAGAGTATCAGTATTCATCATGACCCAGGATACATTAGTCTGGTCATCCCAACTGCTCGTTGCATCGCCAGAGCGGGCGCCTCGACTGCCCGGCGACAAAATCACCCTACCGCAATCTGCGCTCGAACAGCTCCTAGCTGCCGCTCCGCTTCAAGCTGTCCCATCTGGCAGTCCACGTGTGCTCACTGCGTCATTCGATCCATTCAATCCACACACATTCGCCGCTGAAACGCGCGCTCGTCAAGAGATCGAACAACGTCAGCAGCAACTACCCCACCCGTTGACATTCCGCATTGTCAATCCTCAAAATGGCCGTTTCATCTATGCGGGCATTCGTGAGTTCTCCGCCGATGAGAACGAAGTCGCGCTGAGCACTTTGCTCAGGGAATCGCTCGATATCAAGGAGGAAGCGTTTTCCAGTGAATATGGCGCAACACAGGACCCAGGGCATCCCCAAACAGAGGCGGAACCTTCGGGACGGACTGGCCCACTGGTCACAGTACATGCGAGGCAATTACCGAAGGGCACCTATGTTCGTCTCCGTCCGCTCGAATCTGGGTACGATCCTGATGACTGGAAAGCTTTGCTGGAACGGTATCTGCGGGACAACTTCACGACCCTTACAACGGGCGAACTTCTGACAGTGCCGGGGACCCGAAACGAGTCATTCAGATTCTTAGTGGACAAGGTGTTCCCAGAAGGTGAAGCGATTTGCGTGGTCGATACAGACCTTGAGGTTGACATCGTGGCATTATCAGAGGAACAGGCCCGCGAAACGCTCCAAAAGAGGTTGGAGAAGACTTCACGCGCGCCAGGGACGACTAGTGGCAGTTCGATTGGGGGTATTCTTAGCATTGGAGAAGAAGTCAATGCCCAAATACTACCTGGGGAGTACGTGGATTATGAACTTCGCGATTGGGATCGCAATGAGATTATACAGATTGAGCTCACAACCGACGATCCGGATGTGAGTCTTTTTGTCAGTCCCCTCTCTACTCGCCAAAGAAACCGCCCAAGAACAGACGTGCATGTGTTGGGCGATTTATCAAGTCAATCACCCAAAGGATTCGAACTTCGGCCAACGAATGTGATTTTGGAAGGTGCCGAGGCCCTCTACATATCAGTTCACACCATTCCTACAAGCAATGAGCCCTCCGATGCGCAGCAGTGTTCACCATCGCGATACCACCTTCGCATCACAGCGAAGTCAACAAATGCGCCAGTCGACCATGATGAGGTAGCAGAGCCCCACGAGCCTGGCGATGTGCAGTGTAAAAACTGCCAGCAATGGGTTCCGGAACGAACACTGGTTCTCCATGAAAACTTCTGTCTACGTAATAATATCTTCTGTTCGGAGTGTTGTAACGTCTTCCAAAAGCGATCGCCCGCGTGGCAGGGACATTGGCACTGTCCCCATGATTCTGGTTATGGCAATGATGCCTCAAGCAAAGATAAACATGACGATATATTCCACCAAACATACAAGTGCTCCGATTGTGCAGAGGAGTTCGAAGGACTCCCAGCCCTAGCACAACACCGTACTACAGATTGTCCGGGGAAGTTGATTCTATGTCAATTCTGCCATCTTCTCGTACCACAGCGAGGCGATTCTGATCCTGATTTCCGCGACCCCGAGGTGATGCTCTCCGGCCTCACTCCACACGAGCTAGTGGATGGAGGCCGTACCACCGAGTGCCACTTGTGCAACAAGATCATTCGGCTGCGAGATATGAATACTCACCTTCGTCATCATGATCTGGAGCGCCTCTCTCGCCCCGCACCTCGCATATGCCTGAACATGAATTGTGGACGGACATTGAACAAAGCCGGAAAGGAGTCTATTGGCCTGTGTAGTTTTTGCTATGGACCACTGTACGTGGACACACACGACCCAGAGGGCAAAGCCTTGCGCCGCCGTATCGAACGCCGTTATCTTTCCCAGATGATGACCGGTTGTGGCAAGTCATGGTGTCAAAATGAGTACTGCAAAACGGGGAAGCAGAAAGCCGCTTCTGACTCCAATTCTGCTGCCATGAGTGTAGCAGAAATCATGAAGATCACACGTCCACTCGTCGATGCTCTGAACCTCCAACCAAACTCTTCAAACACGGCACCATTATACCTTTGCGTTGATGAGACAAGCCAACATCGGCGTAATCTCGCAGAGTTAATTGCAGCGGAAAGTGCCGGAGAGAGCAACAAAAGCTACGATCTGCCCTGGTGTATTGCAGGCGCCGAAGCCACGGGTGGCTCTCTGGAGAAGACGAGAGAGTGGCTATCCAAATGGGCGCCAACTCGTGGCGAATAAGTACGCGAGTTTTCTAGTTTTCAATTAGGGCATGATTTGATGAACATGGCGCGTCACTGGCATGAAGCAAAGGTCCATAGAGCTTACTATCAAGTAGAACAGCCAATTCAATAATGCATAATGAATGATGTATACCGAAACATAGCTAGAATTTCATAAGACTCATGATTAAATGCAAAAGCTGGCCTCAAACGAAGGCCATAGACTTTGCCGCTACTAACACACAGGATCATCCAAGGCAATCGATACAAGAAGCGTGTTTTCCTAGACACCATATCTCAAGCCGCTCCCGTTTTCACAGCCAGGGAGCCAGTGCCACGTGAAGAGAAGATACCCATAATTCCAAAGACGACGTAGAAAAGAGCCAACGGATACGCGACGAGACCCCTCATGCCACTCATGCGTGCCACAGCGCAGAACATCCCCGACGAACTGTATGTGCACCAGCCAACGGCGGCAATGGTCAAGAGATACCCGAACATGGTATCCATGGGGAGGAGAATACCAATGAGACTAGTAAGTACCAAAGGAAGGAAGCAGTATCCTAGCACACTGGCGGAGCGTGGGAAGGTCAGAGTAGCGGAGAAATGACCCGCGGCCGAGGCGCCGGACATGGAGGGTTTGTGGTGGGGGTTGTAATTGGTAGGGTCCGCAGCGTTGGGGGTCGGGACCGCATCGAGAGCTGGAGACATGAGGCTGAGGATCAAATGCAAAGCAACGGTGCCGAAGACGGCAACGCCGTAGATATAACCGTAGAACACCTTGCCCGAGAGAAGCAAAAAGGTGCCATACAAAACGATGTAGAGCAAAGCTCCGTAAAGATCGCTGTCGTCCATAAGATGATTGTCAATCGAGGCGAAGGGATTCAAAACGGTCAAAGTCTGGAATTCAGATTGTTAATATCGAACATCAAGCAGAATTGACGACCAAACCAGTCCAACGAAACCCGGGGTAAACAACAAGCCACCCGCAAGTCTCAGACCCCACGTCTCCTGAAACCAGGCCCGCCGTATAGAATCACTCAACTGACCTTGGTCCGAATGTGTTCGAAGTTGACACCCAACTCTTCTAGCAATGGCGGTTCACCATCGTACCCTTCCGTACCAAATGCAGCCAACCAACCCGTCCTTAAGCCACCCTGTTCGCCCATCCGTCCACTAACGCCAGCGGCCGGAGACCCGAAGCCGCCATATCCGCCACTCGCAGGGTAAGCTTGCGTAGAGGGGTTTGCAGCACCGCCAAATCCGGCGCCATAGGATGCTTGCGATGGAGTTGTGTGACCAGAGACTGAGGAGTAGGATGAGGGGAAGAACTGGAGATTTTGCGGTGCGGAGCCTTGGGGCGCGTAGCCCTGTTGTTGTGGATAGTATTGGGCCATTGGCGCGACTGACGCTGTAGATGGGTGGAAGATTGCTAGATCCTGATCCGGATGTCGAAACGCGTACAGCTTTTAGGGAGTAGCGACTGGTAAGCGTGGATTGTTGTACTGTGTAGAGCTTCGAAGCTCCAGATGGCCACACCTGATAATGTTTGATGACTAAGCTCTTAGTCCCCGTCCCCGGCTCCGGGGGGACCCAGTCGAGCAAACTACTGTACTGTGTATTATCAATAATGACAGAGAAGGTATTGTACGCGACATGATTTTGGTATTGATTGTAACTGTTACAGTGATACATGAGTGGTAGGTTGGAGTTGGAAGAAATCTACTTGTCAACGTTTATAGGAAATTGATACCGATACCCAACTGCAGGCCTTTGCGGCCCTCTTCGCCCTTTCGCAATACCAAAGGCAAGGAGAAGTTGAGCTCAAAGCGAGCTACCGGGTGGGCATACACGACACCGAAGCCAGCTGCGACACTAGGCAAACCATTTTGTAGTTCCGAGAGAGTGGAGATCATAGCATTCGGCACCTCGCCATTCGTGGTAGGACTACCTTTCTGCGAGGTCTGCAGAGAAAGAAGGCGGCCACCATTCAAGAAGGCCTGGAACCGCACAGGTTTCTCCGCACCAAGTCGCGGAAGTGGGAATAGCAGGTTGGCGCTGCCGGCGGCGTACACATCACCGCCCAGTGAATCAACGCCCTCACGGGGCCCGAGACCACAGAGGCGGAATCCACGGACATCGGTGGGCCCCCCAAGCTGGAAGCGATCGTTGACACGAGAAAGTTGAGGGCGAGAGTTAGACTCGAGACCGAGAGGGTAGAGAAGGCCGGCACGGAATCCAGTGGTAAGGCTGACGCCGCTGTCACCCTTGATACCTGGGATAGGAATGGGGATAGCACCTTGTGTCTCAATCTCTGATTTCCAGAAAGAAACATCGCCCTTGAGCGGACCGAATCCAGCCAGCTCGTTAAAGGCCTTGGCGTAGTAGCCACGAGACGGCAAGAAGGCATTGTCACGCTGGTCATTGACCCAGCTATGGGATATGCTGCTTTTCACGCTGTCACCTGCATCGGCACGTACAGTAGGGGATGCGTTCTCCGCAAGACCAGTAAGCTGTCGCCAGAAACCGTTGTAGCCAAGTTCGTGGCGGTGGCCTGATTTGGTAACCCATCGGAGTTTGCTCCAGCCGCCCTTCAAGACCTCCTCGTGGCTTGCCCAAGACTTTTGAGTGGCGCTTGCAATACCGCCAATTTCCAGACGGAAATCGGGATCTCCCAAGATCGGAGTCTCGAATGCAGCTTGGTAAGCAGACCGTGTTCGGGTACCAAGGGAAGCGTTCAAGTTCAAAGTCTCGGCGCCGCCAAAGACATTACGCCAGAGAAGGTTACCGTAAGCTGAGCCCTCGGCATTGCCCAAATCTGTCCCGGTCTTCATCAATACACGGGACTTCTCCCGCGTCGCCAGGTGGACATCAATGTTGCGCACGCCATTGTGGTCTTGCGACTCATCCAAATAGACCGAGATAGGCTGCTGAAACAGATCTGCCCTGAATTAGTAGCCATACATGAGGATTGTTGCCCTGAGTGCTCATACCGAATCGTCCTAGTTTATCTGCGGTAGCCGACACTTCCCGCAATGCTTCAGCGAGGGTGTAAGGCCGACCCTTGTTTGCGCTCAAGAGCGGGCTCAAGTTGCGCTCGAGGAAGCTCCGTCGGGTATGAGGAGCACTTGTGACTTGAACAGAGGAGATGGTGCAGGGCAAAGTCGAGTTTTGGTCGATCTAGTAGATATTCGAATTCAATGATCAGCCGGGATCCTCCGCAAGCAGACAGGAATTGCGAGACGGCCTCGGCTCCTGTACGTTTCGAAGGTCATACCAATTCAGTAAGTCGGTTCTGTGCCTTCTGGTAAATAGCTTGCATGCGCTCATTTACGGCCTGCTGTTGCTCTTCCAGCACCTTAGGATCTGCGCGTTGTTGCAAACGCTCGAAGACCTAAGAGGCAAATAGAGGTCAGCAAAAGGTGAAGGTTCAACTAGTTGAGCTTCCTGAGATCTGTACTTACGCTCTCATCTCCATCAGCGAACGAGAAAGACATTTTCACGGCTGCAATGGCCAGGACTTTCGGCCTCCGGGGAACATATCGGGGGTGCGCGTGCCGAGCCCGCAAGATATGGAGCCATCACGTGACCATACACGAACGCCGAGCGCCTGATTGCGGCTATCAACTTATTACTCCGCAACCTCCCAAGACTTTTGTTTCTTGCCTTCCCCTTCACCTCCCGAAAGATCGTTGCAGCTCAGTTCACTCCACAAGGCTCGGCTTTGTATCACATTGCTCAATATGGCGACGAAAGCTGCTTATAAACGGGTAAGTGGCTCAACCTTAGGTTCATTTGAACATCCTTGGTGTCTAACAATGTGATAGCTCACTCGCGAATACCAAAACATCCAAAAAGACCCTACACCATTTATTGTCACTCATCCATCAGAGACTAATATCCTCGAGTAAGCGATATACTTCGCTTCGCATTGTCGCAGTTATTCGAAGCTGACCTTACCTAGGTGGCACTACATTCTCACTGGACCGCCGGGCACTCCTTATGAAAATGGACAGTACTGGGGTACATTGATATTCCCTCCAGAATACCCTTTCGCTCCTCCCGCTATTCGTATGCACACGCCAAGTGGCCGGTTCCAGCCTTCAACTCGACTCTGTCTCAGCATTAGTGACTTCCATCCCAAGTCTTTCAACCCTGCTTGGGAGGTCTCAACTATCTTGATCGGTCTTCTCTCTTTCATGACCAGTGAAGAAATGACCACGGGAAGTGTCAGCGCCTCGGAAAGTGAGCGCAGAGTCCTCGCAGCGCGGTCCCGGTGGTGGAACTCAACTGGAGGAGGTTCGCATGTCACCGCCACTGCAGGCGTTACTCGAACCTCGAAGGGTATCAATAATGTCAAGGCTGGAGATGGAGGTTTGAAGTTCCGCACAGAATGGCCTGAAGTCGATCAAGAAAACTGGGCCTGGATGAAAGAGCATCGCATCGATTCCGCCACCGGCCAGATCCTGCCGGATCCTGATGCGCCCACTAAGTGCTCCCCTGAAACAAGTGCTTTACGTCGACGACCAAACGGTAGTGCTCCTGGGATTGGTGTTGTCATGGACGGTGGACATGTTGCGAGAGAGGCCGGTCAAGGCTGGGCTTCACGACATCGAATCTGGATCGGCGTGGCTCTCTTCTTTGGCTATGCACTGATCTCACGATTATTAAACGATATGCGGACATGAAGTTGCAATTGACCTTTTGAATCATCGTTAGAATACCCCTTTTTGTCTCTCGGTTCCTATTCCAGGGGCCATTTGCTTTCAACTTTCTTGTCCTTAGCAGGTTCGCATGCATTATCCGGCATGGAGGGAAAATCTTATCCTTATCAAAGAGATAAATGAAGTGTTTTTTTGCAGTCTTTGAATACCAAAATGACCTCAATACGTTACACCGTTGACCACCGGATCATCCCAGACGATTAATCCCGCTGAATTGGGCTTGTGCTCGCCCCGCATTGACAACGTAACTACGCTCCTTTTCTCTTCTAAATCCGCCTTTGCCCACTGCATAGTCTCTATTCACTTCTTTATTGGTTTGTCCGTGTCTGTTTTGCCTCTCTTCCTTTGTATTCCGAACTTGCCTTGGCCTTCGGGCCCCACGATGGATCATCTGCAGCCCTTCACCTTTGGGGGTTCGCCTCGGACCCATTCAGGTCAGTCCTTTCCTATTGATATACCTGGTCTATGTTGCAGGCTACTGCAGGAGAACTTGTCCCTGGACCCTGAACTCGTTGGGTCCTTTGATCTGATTCCTATCATTCCGGTCTGATATTGCTCTTCTGGGCAGAGGGTAAAATCTTCCGTTCTTGTGTTTCCTAGTCTGTGGTCTTCTTCACTAGTCACCATGTCAGAGTTGCACGCCGTTTGTCAAGAGCTTGCACTGAAGTACTCGGCTAGAACCCAAGGCTAAACCCGCACCGCTGGATCGGCCTTCCTTCACATTCATCGATCACGATGATGACTTGACCTCCAAGCGGATTAAAGATGTCAATGCTCGCAAGGCCATTCGGTCCCATGTCATGCGTGATGTACGCCGACGCGAGAGACTCGCGGGGTTGAAACGAACGTCCCGACAAAATCGCGGGCAATCTGATGCGTCCAAAAATATCGTCAATGAATCAGACGAGCAGAGAGTGGTGATCAGGGCTTCATCGCAGTCCTCTAATTCGTCTTCCGTGCTAGATGCAGACTCCAGAGACGGGTTTGCCTTGATGTACCGACGAGGGCGCCCTACCAGATGGTGTGCTGGTTATCCTTTGCCACTCCATTCAAATCCTAATCCCCCTACATCATGGTTTCTCGACCCGTTCTTTACGTTGCCGGGTACTAGTGAGCTTCCTTCAATGGTCGCGCACTTAGTGTACTACTGTAAGGTCCTATCCTAATGTTCTTTGGTTGTCCAGGCATGCTCCATGCTGACTGCAGGACCAAGGGAAAACCATTTTCGTACCGATGACATTCCCGAATACAAGCACAGACTCGAGTCAAGAGATGGAATTGATGGCTCGATCATCATTTTCGGATCCGGGCAGTTTCTTCGGGTTGATGAGTATGTGCGCAGCACATCGGGCCGTTCTCGCAAGCCAGCGATCGGGCGTCTGGGACTCGACGCTCGCCAACGATCCTGACTATTGTATGATGAGAGCAAAAGCCTTCCAAGAAATGACTGCGAAAGTACGGGATCCGAGCCGCAGGCTCAGCAACGAGGCATTTGATACTATAATCAACCTCCTCACTGGCTCTGTATGGAATCCATTCCTGAAGAATGGCCTTCAAGGATTTGTTTCTCTAACATGCTACAGTTGATTATCGGAGAGTTCAGTGAAGTCCATACTCATCTAACAGGACTTAAGCATATGGTTGACCAGCGCGGCGGGATAACAGATGACAGTATTCGATCTTCCTCAATGTTATCGGCCATAGTCACGTATGTGCTTTTGAGTCTATCTACTTGCAGAGTCCCGCTCACTGTGTTCTAGCACCGATATCAAAGCCGCCTCGGGCCTAATGACCAAGCCCGTCTTTCCCTTGACCTGGGACGCACAGCCCATCCCACCGGAAATTCAAAGACGAATTAGACCGGTAGCTTCGTCTGCTCTCAACAAGATCGGCTCGGGGTTTTTCGCTATCACTCTCCTCAGTCCCTCTTTATTGAAGATCATAAGTGTACTTCGGGACATGGTTTTCTTCAACATCACTTGTCAGACGAATCCTACGGCAATCAAACCAAATGACCACGATTTCTTCCGCGTCCTCAACTGCGAGGCGGAGCATCAGCTGCTCAGCTACATTTATACAGAGGGTTCCCCAAACCCAGAACTTCATCTTCATCCAATTGAAGCGGTCACAAGAGTGGCTTCTATCTGCTTTCTCAATCACTTTTTGATTGTATCGCCTTCATCATCTGGCTTAGGCAGGGCTCTTACGAAGCACCTCAGGACATTCGCGGGTGATTGCGAATTGTCTCTTCTGGTGGGGTTGCCGCAGCAAGACCTTGGGCTCTATGCTTGGGCATTGTTCGTTGGAGCCCAGGGTGCCCTTGGCCAGCCTGAGAGACCGTGGTTCGTGGAGCGGCTGGCCCGTGTCGCAATGATCTGTGGATGGCAATCATGGGGGCAAGTGTCGAACCTGATGTTCAAATTTTTCTTCGTGGACTCAGACAGCTTGAATTGGCGTGGTATCTGGGACGAAGCAATGACAGGGTTTGTGCTATCCGAGTCGGAGGAACTGGAATTCTCATCTTTACTGGAAACGAGTGCACACTCCCTTACTTAGTCTCAATTAAGCACTTATACTTTTGCGGGGTGGGAAGAGTGGTCCGAAAGACAGCCAGCAGTGATAGCCAGCAGTGATAAACAATTGATTGCTCTAAACCATACAAAAAAGGCCCTCCGATCAAGGATGGACATATTGTAGAAGATAGTAGTAGAAAATGAAGTACTAACTAGTTACTGTCAGAAGAAGCAGAAGGTTTACTTCTCACCGCTTCAAAGCCAGCCTATCACGTGGCAGCATTATGTCATCCAAGAAAAAGATCTCCGATCTTTTATCGCGCGAAGTAAGACTTCGCCTTCGATCATTCCCAAAAGGTCTTCGTTGCTTGCTTCATACTTCATCAGAATGGGTTGGTTCTGGGCAGATACTCCGTCAACCCCCGCAGCGTCTATCCCACATGCGTCCTCGATTGGTTCTCCTCCGGTTCGTCTTGCGCCTACCATGTTTCTGATCATTTAGACTAACTCTTATCTAAAGCCGGGATGCCCGATGCATGAATCGGGCCCAAAGCCCTCACCCTCGCCAGCGACTGTTGCTGAACTTCCTAGCAGTTGTCCCATGAAATCCAAAGATTCTCCGTTCTACTCAGCTCCGAAATCAACACCGGCGCAAAACCCGCAGCCATCCGTCGATACCGCGGCGCAGTCTTCAGCACTGTCAAAGCTGAATCCCCTGAACTACATGTTCGCATCTATCTCTCAAGAACGTGCTGCGAATCAAACCGTCGATCTCCCCGTGGAGCGCGAGGGCTCTTCCATTCCGAGAGGCGACGGCCAAGGCAACTGGGAGTATCCCTCTCCGCAGCAGATGTACAATGCCATGTTACGCAAAGGACATACAGACACACCCCAAGATGCAGTGGAATCTATGGTCGCAGTGCACAACTTCTTGAACGAAGGTGCATGGGAGGAGATCGTAGGATGGGAGCGCGTGTTCGCCAAGGGCCTCAAGTCTGGATGGGAACATTGCCGACGCGGCGAGGAGAACCTGAGTATGGATTTGACCTATGCCGATGAGAATGGCAAATTTGATATGACCTCCGAGCCTCGTCTACTTCGGTTCCAGGGTCGGCCGCAAGAGTGGTCGCCCAAGGCCCAGATGTACCAAGCGCTGAGCTGGGCGTACCCCAGCAAGTTCCAGTAAGGACGGCTTCTTGTGGTATCCAGGATGGTTAAAATGCTGACTTTATATTGCTAGGACGAATCCTCCGTTCGACCGCCACGACTGGTATGTCATCCGCCAGACACCTTCGGGCCCCAAGGAAATTCGATATGTCATCGATTACTACTCGGGTGATCCAGATCCCCATGGCCTACCCGTTTTTCACCTTGACATCCGCCCTGCGTTAGATACACCGACCGCCGCTGTCGAGCGCTTAATGAGGTGGGGAGGTGATGTTTGGTGGAGGGCTAGTGGTGCAAGTGTTCGTGAACAGGCTTCGCAGGGTAATTGACAGCTGCAAGAACCAGACTGTACTATTCTCCACTCTACTTTGTAATATATTTTGTGAAGGCATCGCGCTGGCGTTCTGTGCTTATCTTCAATTACGCCTGAATCCTAGTTCTTTCGCATTGGTCTGCGAAAGTAAACATTGCATGATTATGACATGGACGTCTTTCTGCTAATATCTCTATCGTCTGTTTATAATTCGCCAATATATCCAAATGCCAATTCGACTCTGTCCTTGGATCGTTCATCGGCATGTCGTTCTTAGATTGTTCATAACAACAAAGGTTGGCTGCGTATACTACATAGACAAGACGAATGCTCTCATATATTAGGTGACAGTTGGTCGTACTTGACGCAATGCTCAACGCTTTCGATGCTGGCCTGCAGCATCCCACGAGCTTCTAGCCCGACCCAAACCCAGAGCATTGAGTAGTCGCCCGAGCGCACGGATTCTAGGACCGAACTACCAGATCCCAGCTGTCGTAGAATAGGGAGCGCACTAGAGAGATTCGAGCTTAGATCCGAACCGGCCAAACGACCAAAGGTCCAAAAGAGGGGGAAAGAACTTACCTCTTGAACAAATCTAGGTCGGGGTTCAGACTGCGTCCTATTCCTTCAAGGAGAAGACATGAAATAACGACATTGACGAAATCTCCTTCAAACCGGACGTGATGCCCGCGGACCATAGTCAATACCTCACTGAGAATATCTCCGATCTTGACACTTCCGAGAGCAAAGGTACGAGACTTGATGTTAAGAACCAGACGCTGCATTTTCAGCGCAAAGACCTCTGGGTCAATGACCTCTTCTGGTGTCCGACATCGCTCAACCATGAGTTGACCTGCCCGGTATCCATCAAATTCAGCAATAGCTCGGAAGAGGTCGAGGAAGTTCCGTCGGTTCTTATCATTCAGCTGAGTGACAAGGCCAGTGTCAATAAAAATCAGCTGCGGTCGATACCCCTCGCCGTTAAGTTCAGAAAGAGCAGCGTTCCAACCCTCGGGATTACCAAGATGCGGGCGTAGTCGCTTGAGAACTGCCTCGGTCACATCGACCTCGGCCCGTGTAGGGGCATCGAATGCACGCGAACGCTTGCGGAGGGAGAGATCCAGCTCGCTCCGCTGGTAGAAGCGAACCATGATGTTCCCCGGATGAAGATCGGCATGGACAAAATTGTCAATGAGCAGCATATGCAAGAATGCATCGAGGCCCTCATTAGCAATATCGTGCTGATATACGCCACCTCCGATATCCAAGAAGGTGGCTAACGGGATGCCCTGTGCAAACTCCTCAACCAACACCTCCCGGGTAGTATATTCTAAGTATGGGTATGGGAACCACGCAGTAGTGCGAGCATGAAATTTCTTGCGGAACATGACCAGATTAGTAGCTTCAATCCGGAGGTCTAGCTGTAACTTCATCATTTCTCCGAATTGCTGGACTTCATCGGGAAAAGAGAGCCAGTGCATCGTGGGGATGGCGTTGATCATGTGGGCGAAGAAAGACATGATTCGCAAGTCTCTATGTATCATTTGTTCAACCCTAGGGTGCTGCACCTTGATCGCGACATACGATGATGGTACTCGATGCGGGGAACTCTTGACCAGGACGTCGACATTCTTACGAACCTTCTCGCCAAGAGTGGATGGTCCAATTCCCATTTCTTCTTCACTGGATGCGGCAAGGCTTGGCTTCAGTTTCGCCTTGTAGACCTGAGCGATTGCTCCGACGCCCAACGGCTCCTCGTCGAACTCTTCGAATATGTCTTCGAATGGCAACCCGTTGAATGCTTTGCGGATGATGCGCTTTGTTTGATGGAGTGAATGAGCGGGGGCATTCGAGTGGAGTGATGACATTATGTTGCACATTTCCGGTGGGAAGATATCTGTGCGTGACGCAGCCCATTGTCCAAGCTATCCAGGAAGTCAGCTTGTCGGCTCAGTTTCGAGACATCTTCTGCGCCTCAAGAGTATGACCTTACCTTGATGAACGCAGGGCCAGCACGCTCCATTGCCTTTACCAAGAACCGATACCACCATAAAGTGCCAGATCGCGTGCCATCCTGTCCCCGCTTGTGACCAAGCCAGATGGCGGGCACCGTGACGACGACCGGAACAAATATGATGGCAAGGTGAACAAAGCGAAACCCTGTAGCAATGGGGTCATAGACATAGCTATAAAAGTACACCCATATCGTCTGGCAGAGCTTCGAGAGGCCGTGCGCATCAGGCGAAACTGTCTTCCTGACCTCTTCTCGTGAAGCTTCTAGCATCTGCATTTCCGCAGTCTTTTCCTGATCCTCACTCTCTTCTGCCAGTTTCAGGAAGGCTGCTGGCGCCAAAGCAGCCATTAGCACTCCGCCTATGATGGGGGCCCTTCGTGGGGAGCCTTTCAGCTGTTGCCGAGGCCATGGCGGGCGACTGAATTGTTGTCGGGCAAGACGCGGCAATCCGCGTTTAAGACAGAAACGGCCGAAGAGACCGACCGCCCTCATGTTCTCATGCAAACTTATGAATTTAGCATGGAACAAAGATGTTGGTATTGAAGAAGAAATGGACAAGAGCCTCGGAGTAAATCATACAAGTTCCAGGTCCCGATAAACACGTGCTGCGACGTCATATCCGAGCGGGAAGACAATTGCAACAAACAAGACAAACGAGACAAACTACGATTCTATGTACATGCTTTAGGTGCCCTGAGAATAACTAACTACTGTCTAACAAAGCATCAACTCGATTAAATATGAAGATGAATCAACTCATTTCACATTGCCCAATGGCCCGGGGCTAAGGGCTTTGTTTCGATGACTCAGCAGTCTTCCGAAGTCGTCGGCCGCTGCATTCCACCATCGCATTCCTCGCCCTGTGTCCGCTTGCCGTCAACCATTTCCTGATCCGGGGCCCATGGTCAACACTAAGACTGTGTTAAGCAGGAACAAGGTTTATGCCGGCCGATCTTGCTTTATAGCGGCCTTTTTAATGGCCTTCTAAGACAAATAGATCCCGAAAACAGGCCGTCAAGCTTGCTATAAGCTACCGGAAAGATGGTCATGTTCAGCGTTAAATTGGGCCATAATGCCCCAAATTTTACAATGGATTGCTTCTTTATTTGATCTCTGCTATAACTGCAAGATGGCGCGAGAGTTATTGCTTAGGGGTCGCACCAGGACTCTTCGCGATATCGAGTCCAATACAACCAGAAAGTCTTCCAAATGGCGCGACTGGACTTGTGTTCTTCTATGGAGTATCGTTGGCTATACATGCATCATTCTGCCGGTGGTAGCGTACTCCAAGCCGGGCCTTATACCTTTTTATATCACTTTATTACTGTTTCACAAGGAGTCCTCCCCATTCTTCGCTTTCTCACATGCAAAAGCCCATTACTCCAAACCACAAGGGTTCGAGATAGTTGCTCTGGTTCCCTTCCACCACCATGAGCGTACAGCTATCTTGGATTGCTATCTACAAGTATGTGCAACCTCATAGTTTCTTGAGAGTCAAGACTAATATCAGTCCAGAAAAACTTGATCCATAATCGTGGATTCCTTGATCGGGTCGTCTTTGTGCCGCAGACCGAGGACGCCATCAGCATGGAATGGCTGTACTCGATCGTCAACCAAACTTCTGCCTATGATATCTCTTCACCTGGTAATGAACCAGAATGGAAGGCTTTAAAGAAGAATGTGATGTATATTCGAATCGATGGTGATACTCTGTTCCTCGAGGACAACACCATTCCAACCATTGTCAAGACGAAACTGCAAAATCCAGAATCTTTGATTGTATCGGCGAATGTGATCAATGAGGCAGCTCTCACATCCCTTCACAGCCACCCCGGTACTGCACTTCCATATCTGCCCGAATTGTACCACGTGGAGCAACCGCCCAGATCAGAGTCACAGCTGAAGCCCGGCTGGCGCGCTTCGAATCTTCCACGCTGGCAGGGCCCATCGAATTTCAAAGTCAACAAGGGGTTTGAACCACCATACAAAGGACATCGCTGGCTACTCTCCCCGAATGCGAAATCTGGGCAAGATCCTATCGCAGCATCCATATATACCGATACCGGTCCCACATTACAGGACTGGACTGTTGGTGCGCAGCAACATTACTCGTTCCTGCACCATCTGGAAAATAATGACTTGGCTCGGTACAAGTTCCCAATATGGGTCAACCCCACTGAGTCTATCAGTGAAAACTTTGGGTGCTTCTGGGGCAAAGATGCGGCAGCTGTGCACCATTTCAGCAACGAGACAGGAAGGAGATCTTCTTCAAGCCGACATGAATCAAGCGATCCAAGTCCACATGTCATCATCGATGGCAAGGGCCTTGTGTCGCATTACTCGGCAGAGCAAGGTGCAGCCGGTCTAGACACCACAGATCTCATAAGTCGTTACCGAGCATATGCGCAAGAGAGGGTGTGTTCCTGTGAACTTAACAACCTTGGATGATGCCGGTTACTGGCGGAGGAAAGAGCACAATGACTTACATAAATATACCCACAGCCTTCTCCAAATTCTTCATGTCACAGCATGCTCAGGTGCCCTCACCATAATATGCTTGTTTCTTTCGCTTACTACTTCGGGCACTCTGGATATCCAATATCAAGCTGTAATGTATGATAATGACATATTCAATCGTTCTACTTGCGGGGACTAGAAAGTGAGAAATGTTCATCTGTTTTATGCACCATTGACTGATCTTTATGGGCTTCTTTCAAGCCCGGTTCTAAACATGTTGGTTCGTTCCGTTGGAGTCATAAGCGCACATTCACCCCTCGTATTCATTCACCAGATGCATTGCGTTGGAGCGATCAATCTAAGCACCTGCAATAGCTTTCAACTGTGAGGCCTGGATCTTCATCAGGTCTTCTAACATATCCCTGTATCCCACAGGAAGTACACCGGACTATTCTAGATTAGCAAATGAGTCGCAGTTCGAAGTCGGGAAGGAAACTCACCTCGTTCGTCAGCAGACCTTGCACAAGCACAATAACGTTGTCGCGGTCTTTGGTCTCCTGGGCCTTTTCTGTCTCCTCGGCTTGACCCGGATCAGAAGTGGCCCCGCTGAGTGTTGACTTAAGTAACTCGAGGACCTCTGTCTTATGCAAGCACTCCATGACGGCGGCGCAACCCAGTTTGTTGGTGGCCATCAGAGCCAGAGCAAACCAACCTTCACTGCGAACGACAGGCCATTGAGTCTGTGTGATCATTGCGCCAACTGGCAGCGCCACACCCTCATGCAGAGTGAAGAGCCGGTCAAGCAAGGTAACTGCTTCTCCTTGTCCATCACGAGCCTTGGGGCTAACAGTCCGACAGATTGAAGCAACAGTTCGACCGATTTCAGTTTTGATTGGAGCAACGTCCGTTTTCTCGAATAGCGATAGAAGTAGGGAGAGATAGGTTCGCTGGTGAGCTGGGGAATCTGGGTCTTGTGAGAGAGGAGCGAGAAGACGAGAAATGTTATCCATCGAGGAGATGATCACTTGACGTGCGATACTCGTGGCTGAGAATTGAACCTGCGGAACCGACTCATATGCCCATAACCGAGAGATAGCGGGAATGATACCAGCTTCTCCAAGGACGACTCTGTTGTCGCCGGCAATGGCAAGGTTCTTCAGGAATCCAAGTGAGGAGTGCAGAACCGCACCACGGGCATCGCTCTGAAGAACTGAAATTAATTCTTCGTGAATTTTCAAATCCCCTACCAACACCTGGCAGACTTCGTCGGACCGGGCAAGATTGCCAAGCACGACACAGGCGCAGATTTGAAGCTGGTCCTCGGTTGCAACCACCCAGGACTTTAGCCTCTGTGCAAGAGGAGAATCAAGGGGGTATTGCTGAGCGAACGATGGTGAGGCAGAGACCTCTGCTAAAGCATGGTTAATCTTGAGGCGCAGCTGAGCAAGAACCTTGACATCTTCGCTGGAAGACTGGTCCACCTCTACTGAGACTGAGCGGGCCAGGACATCTAGAACGCCTTCCACCATCCCATTTGAGATGCAGATTTTTTGGAACTTCTCCTTTTCGAGATATGCAGCAAGGGAGACTGCCAATGACGAGAAATGCGCAAAGTCTATACCCTTTTCAACGGCAAGTTCCATCAACAGTAGAATAGTCCCATCGGGAGATTGATCAATGCCTTCCGCTGTGATTTGATTTATGTCTTAGATTCCTGGAAATAGCAAATTCGGAATGAAGACATACCTTGTTCCGATGCTAGTTCGATCAGATCGTATGCAAAATTGAGTAGAGCTTCATTGTCCCCAATCTTGCCATCTTTGACCAGCTTCAATAGAATGTAAGCCGTCCGATTGGTGGCTATCTGAGCATGTGCCGGCTCTAGATATCACATCAGCAAGTCATATATCACCGGTTAGTTTAATTCGAGCATACCGTAGTCCATGCAAATATTGTAGATGACCGGAATGGCAACAAACGCCAGATCGGGATCAAGGAAGTACCGAATAATAGCAAGGGTATAGTTTCCATTCACAACAATCTCCCTGTTCTCATCTTCATCAAAGTTAGATTGAAGAGATGCTTGAATTTGACTCGTTGCAGCATACCTGTATCGGCACAGGAGTTCCCAATAACCCGCAGAGAGTGAAGCACCAAGCTGGTATCGACTTCATGCTTCAAAGAAATCACTTCCAAGAAGAATTTCAAAATACCAGACTGGCCAATTGGGGCACGCCATGAAGCTGAGTTATGATCAGTTAGTCATATCAATCAGTTTGGTCATGGAAGTGACTCACGATCTCTGCTGCCATTCGCAATGATTTCAGTAGCCTGTACCAAGTATTCGGAGTTACAAGCCCAGAGCTTTTGCAGAGTAAGGTTCACGCTTTGTAGGGTTTCGGCATCCCTGCGCCCACGTCTTATGTTTGCATCCGCCTCTTCAAGAGATGCATGGAGTTCCTTGAGATCGAAGCTGTTTCCAGCCTCGTCGACCTGACGGGCCTTCTCAATGATGTCTCGCAATTCCAGGAACATGTCTCGTTGCTCTTCAGAGTCAACGGTCTCCGTGCGGGGTGGTAAGGAGGAAGAAGTACCCGGTAGATCAGAGAGAATTTTCTCGACGGGGACTAATTCCAAGTCACCTTTTGGAAATGAAGAGCGGCCAGCATCTTCATGGGTGGCCGGTTGAGCGGTAGATATACCAGGAGAAGACATCTTGCCAAATCGAGGTCGGTTAGTTGCCTCCTGAGGGTGGAGTAATCTGCGCGAGTTCGCGTAGACCCGGCGATATGTCTTTATGAATGCCTAGCCGAAAGGGGAAAGCTCTCTTAATTTGGCGGGGAGCAGCCTAGATGGCAGCCTGTCAACGCCGTCGCAACGATTGGGACACTAGTAAAGAGCGTATGCTCGGATGACAAAGTGCAGAGCGCTGTGGATCAGGCAATATGAGCCCAAGCTGCGAGGTTTGATCTTAGTGGAAGACAAGTGGCTTCCGGAGAGACGCCAGTAAGTTTAGACTCGTTAGTTAAGGACGGAGAAGTGTGTTGCCTGAGGTGGCTTCAGGCACCAACCCCTTTCAGGTTAGGCCCAGTAGACCATGTGGGTTAAGTTGTGGCCGTCTACCTCGACGTGTACATGTATCAAGCTAATCTGGCGCATGTATTCGGGTATAAACGGTGTATGGGCGACTACCTTCTCGAATCTTGCATCATCATAATATAACCACAAAGTCCTGTCTGCCATCTCACGCACTGAATTGACCTCTTGAGGGACTTTACAGGTAGTCACGTGCTCTGCCCGGACCACACCTAGTCCACACCTCCATCATTGTTAGTTACTACACAGGACATACTCTGCGAGCCACGCTGTAGATTTGATTATAATATGTTCGAGGTATATTGATCTAGTACATGTAGATAGATTATTGATAAAAAGTCTAAAGAAGTGGGTGACTAGATCAACGGTTGAAATCTGATATCTCGAAATGGAAAAAAAGAAATGGAGCTGCGCGGAATCGAACCACGATATTCAAGGAATGACTGCATGACAATTCCCCTATTGGGGAAAATACCATAAGCTTGATGGACTAACCATTATCCTACAGCTCCTAACCAAGTAGCCTATCGCTCCTTATTTAGAGCAATGGACCTCATATTCGTCCACTTATTCTACTTCCCCCAAACTTGCTCTCGGAAATAACGGAATGGGAAAGACTGAACACATTTGAAAAGTGCGCAGGAGACTTTCAGAGTCCCCATACTCCGTACTCTGGTAGACTTTGGTTCCTGCTAGCAATGTGTACAACGTTAAGTCCATGTATTGCTCAGGTTTGCTATGTAGAGATAGTTTTCTTGAATAAAATATTTCTTTAGGGTCTAGGGCACGTCTAGAAACGTGACCTCAGCTGGGCTTAACTCTCCAGACTTGTTACTCCGTTACGGTAGCTTCTGCTGCTCATTGCTCATGCAATCATCCTTCGTGATGTCGCATGTAGGTGATGAAACCTCCAAGGCTAGAAGTTCGTTTACAGTTGTGATCGAGTGAAGGAAGCTTTTTACCTTTGGAATGCTGTTGATAAGCAACATGGCCGCCCAGTATTCGACGTATCTCATCTGGCATGAAGTAGTATACAAATTTACAGCACATGACACTATGGGAAAGCCCAGGCACCATGGAGCAGTACGGCAAGGTGGTGCTGTATATACGGACAAGACTCAACTTTCAAGAATGGTGAGTGTCAAGATCTAGGTAGGGTCTGAGCCATGAAACCTTTTAGTATATTAAAGTAAGCTCGTCAGCCGTTGGTGCAGATTAAGATCCCCTGAGTTGCGACTCTTAAGTGAAGAAAGATCAAATATGTATGCAAGTACCGGTCGGGTACTGGTACTGATTGTATATGATCACGTGCTCAAACCGAGTGCTCTTCTCTAAGAAATTCCCGACTTAGATTCTCTCAAGTTCAAACAGTACGGAGTAGATGGAATTGAATGAGAGGATACCACAGAATGATACAAATATAATGTTTTGTAGTTAAATGTGCTCTCCGAGACTGTATACTGTACACAAGTGTACAACGCAGGAGACGCAGGTGTCAGTAACCCAAATTCGGACGCCAAGACGCGCACCCCCAAGCTGGTCTCCGCCGCATACAGCACGACACTACCCCCCGAGTCCCTCATTTTTGCTATACGCCCAATATTCACAATTCAACTTTCGCCTCTCCTTCGTGAAATAATCATCCTGTCTACCAGTTTCATCATGACGCGCGCTGTCCAGGCACTCTCCGTCCTGCTCCTTGTCTCCTCGGTATGCTACGAAGTCCCTCCTAGGAACACAATGCAGGATTTCGCTGACAATCAACCAGCTCTACCTTTCTCTATTCCTTGGCCTCGTTCCCCTGAATGAGAAAGTTCAGAACGAAGTCATTCCAGTCGTACGTTACCCACTCCGTCAACCATTCGAACTCGCAATGTTGGTCTTTGATCGTGTCGTTAGCTAACCTTTGACGCGACAACACCAGCTACCCTTCTACGCCCTTATTGTCTTTGGTTGCTACCTTCTCGCTCGACTTGGCGTCGCGATCTTCACATTCAACGACGTCCCCGAAGCACACGCCGAGCTACAGAAAGAGATCGAGCTCGCCAAGGTGGAGCTGCGCCAGGGTAAGGTCGATGTCGATTAAACGTGAGATCGCTGTGTGAATTAGTTTGATAGCCTTGCACCCGGCTCTATGTCTCAGCAAGGCAGAGTTTAGAATCAAGCCCGAAGCTGAGACTTTGGATTCGGGGTTTGGCGCGACGGCTTCGTCTACGCAAGCTCGGAAGAGCTGCTTCTGATCAATATAATACACCATGCTTCAGTGACTTTTGTTTTCCGCTATCAATGGCTACAATCTCGATACCCATACCCATCTTCAACGTGATTTCTATAAGACAAGATGGAAAACACCCAGACCCAGGTTTCTGTCACAGCAAGGCGCCCATTATGTATTGGAACGTTTATATCCCAAAGGAAATATATATAATGTGCAATTGCAGGTTATATTCAAAAAATTCTTTTGGGGACAGCCTGTCGGTCTGCCAATCAGTCAAAACAAAGGGACTTTTCTATGGAAATTCATCAAGGATATCGTAAAAAAAATACATGCTCAGATTTATGCACCTGGTCTGAGCATGAACAGTAAGGTCGAGGAGCAAAGTAGTCTCCAGCATAGACCGCCAGAGCGCCGTGTAAAATGGAATGCTTATGACAATGCAAATCGTCAGCCTAGATAAGGGGGTTCTCCTTGGCCAGAGCATCGTGCTCGTCGATGTCCCTAAGAAAGAAAAGTCAGTCAGATATAGTGGGCAAGGTAAAGAAAGATTGGATATGACGTACTTGGCCTCCCAAGGGTAGCAGATCCAGACATCCTCGGTGGTGACCGAGGCGTGGTAGCGGCCGCCCTCCATCATATCGACGGGCAGGACACCCTTCTTAGCCTTGTCCTTGTTCTATTCCCATTGTCAGTCCACGTCATTCCAGCCTGAGATATTGATCTCCAGCGAAGGGAGGGAAGACTTACGTGCAAAACAAAGACGAAGAAGTTGGTCTTCTCGCCCTCGCGACCAAGCTGCTTCTGAGCGAGCTCAACATCCTTCTCGAGCTCGCGGACTGCATACTCCAGGGTTGTGCGGGTATCATCGACCTCATCGACGATAAGAATGTTCTTGCCGATCAAGTTGGCCATCTCCAAAGAGCTCAGGTCCAGCCATTGCGTGCGGGTGACCTTGGTACCGGGGACCTCCTCGGCGTCTCCGCGGCCCAAGTCCTCGTAGAGAGAAAGACCGATGGCCTGGATGGGAATGTTGGGGTCACCGGGCTGCTTGAGGAAGGAACTGTAGGCGATATAGGGTCAGGATTTTGGGTTGAAATCAGGACGTATGTCGACCGGTTTGGACGTACCGAAGGATGCGGGCAGGGACATAACCACCACCGCCGATGGCGATCATAAGGTTAGGGTGGAATTCCTTGAGGATCTGGTTCGCCGAGGACTGGCAGAGCTTGTGAACCTGCCGAGAATCTTTCATTAGTCTTCAGAGTTCGAGGGAAAAGAATTGCGGACTGCGATAAGACAATCGGCCCTTTTGCGGGGTTGAAGGAATCAAAATCCTTCCACATGTGTCTGTGTACATGTACATATTGATGTGATTTTGACAGAAAAGGGAAATTAGGGAATATTGTGTCTGGAAGGTCACTGACGTGGGATCCTTACCTGATTGTACGTGACATAGACCTTTTGCGGCATATTGGCGGTTTAAGATGATCGGTTGAGAGAGGAAAGATGACTGGAATAGGAGATAAAAGTGACGATCCGAATGAAATATGTAGATATAAATATCTTGAAGTGTCAAAAGGTAAGGTTGAATGGGAAGTTAAGCGGAAGTGGAGGAAAAAAAAATTCCCGAAGGTTTTCGGGCCGTGTGTGGGGGCTGATAGCAGTCATCATACATCCCGAGGTCTGGTTATAACTTCATTTCATTGTCTTAGATAGGACCATCGATATCTAAGTATACCAGCTGGGCTCGGGAATCTCCCCCAACAGTACATATCGGCCCAATTCCCGATTCTTGTACGCCACCGGATCATGAAGAGTATGCACTCGAATATCTCTCCAGAATCGATCCAACCCCACCTTCGATGCCGTGGCCCGTGATCCAGTTACCTCAAATATACCAGAGGTGACTCGGAGTCCAACATCCGTGGCAACGACCTTAACGCTTGCCACCCATTCAGCAACGTCTCCACGCTCTTGGGCCGTGAGGTTAGACTTCTGGGTCTGATACTGCGTATAGAGCCCCGAGAGTTGGTCGCCTGCTCGATCAGCGAGAGCCTCTGTGGCACGCAGATGCGCAAAGAAATTGCCATAGCGTTCAAGGATGTAGAACTCATCGGTGGCAGACTCCTTGTTCTCACCGCCGAATGGCCAAGGCCGTGTTGCGGTCGTGGTGTACTTGGAGGCAAATTCCAAAGCACCGAGGGCAATACCTAGATAGAAGTTGCTGAAGACTAGCTGGATGCTGTGGGAGAGAGTAAGCATTGAGTCATCTCATTACCGCGAGGGAGCCATGGCAGTCAAGGCACATCCACTTACGTTGGCAGCAGCAACGTAGGGAAGACAATCTTCAGGGTATCGTCGCGAGGCTTCTTGGTAGCTACATCCCATCCTAGGGCATCTGACCACGGAGCCCGGACATTCTCTATCTTCACACCTCCAGATTCAGTAAGGCGCAACCCGATGTTGTGCCAATTGTGAGCAAACTGGATGCCGGGTTGTCGAGTCTCGACCAACGCGAAGATATGATCTTGAGTGCCATCCACTACGCCCTCAAGAACGGTGAGATCGGATACGACGCCTCCGGTGTTGAAGAATTTGCTGCCATTAAACACGAGATGCTCCCCGTCCAGAGTAATCTTCAAGTCGCTATCGCGGGGATTCACAGCGCCACCGACAAAGTAGTTGTTTGAGATGATCAACTGATGTGTTCGATCGGCTTGTTCGGGGGTGCCAACCACATTTGCAATGGTAGACCAGAGAAGGTGGTAGCCAAGCAGCATACCAATGGACCTACTTCTTGTTAGTCGCTGTACCCGCAACAAGAGATGCTTGGGGGTCTTACCCATCTGCTTTCGCAACCTCTCGTATCGCCTTATATCCAACACTCCAGGGCTGTCCGCCACCACCATACTTCTGAGGTCCTAGAAGCTTTGTCAAGCCTGAATGCTTGAGCAGGGCCACTTCGGCCCGCGGCGACTTGTTCTCCTGGTCTCTTTGGGCCGCATCTTTAGCTAGCACCTCGGAAACTTCACGAGCTCTAATGAGCCATGTCTCTGCGGAGTCTGGAAGCTTGGACCATTTGGCTTGGTATTCAGCGTAGACCGCTGGGTCTGTCGCTGGCACGCTGGCTGACATCGTGGCAGGGCAAGGTACTTGGGTAAATCGGTGCGAGTTTATCAGAACAGATGGAATTCAGACAGATAAACCGTTACGTCTTATATAGTACTTCAAGATGAATTGTTAGATACATAAGTTGCGCAATTAGCCTTTATTATTGCTCCAATCTTCGGAGGTATTACATGCTCCTCACTCAAGATCACGCAATGCGACTCATTTACACAGTATACTCACCTGGGCATTAATGAGAGCTTGGCGGTTTGATTTCGTCAACATCACCGAATATGTCGTTATTAATGTCGAAACGTCGAAACACCAGTATCGGCAGTCACGCTCCTACACACCATGTCGGTGGCTTGCGTTATCGTACGATGCTAGCGCATTCGACCAGTGAAACTGTGATCTTCAACAAAGCATGTCTCTCGAATGTATAATGCCAATGTCTACTCTTAAGATGCCGTCAAGGCTGCGGTTTCCTTCCCATGCTCCAGGGCTTCCGAAAAAGATGGACTGAACTGAATTTTGAGGTCATCCAAAGCTTCACCCGGGCCCGCATATTATACTCTCTCTATCTGTGCGTCGTATCCAAAATGCAGTCCTTTTGTGGTCAATATACATGGTAAACTCGCCAGGAAAGCCACTGCGTCTATCTCTTCTTCTTGAAAAGCCGCGAAGCATTGCTGAGAGGCATTTCCGCCAGAAACCCCAGAAACATCAGATGGGAAACAATATACCACCCTATGAATACACCAGGAAAACAGAACACACCCCAGGCTTTCTTCACTGTTCCTGAGATGACCACCCTATCATCGGCCAGTGCAAAGTAGCTCGCGCTTGCTCACCAGCAGTCGAATATGCGTGTCTCAGCTTTCTCGGTGTGTAAATGAGTTTCGCACCCTGTACTATACTTCTGGATCTCATGGCGAAGTCCGGAGAATGGCATCCAACAATTTGTAACTCAAGATTGTCTGGCCAAAGCTTGAAAGAGGGGTGAGCATAGCTCCTTAGCGCGGTGACCGTACTATCCAAAGCTTGCTCAATCCTTGGACACGTGAGACTCGAGATCTCGACATTCACTCCCTTCTGTTTCGGATTCTCCTAAGAAGTTGTGCTTCGGGAATGACTGCACAGGCAAATGACCGTGTAAGTTTGTAACGAAGAGAGACTTCCCTCTCAGCCACTATGCCCCAGAAGATTTTGTGGAGACCAGTACTCTTTCTCGGGTCCCTGAGCATCGAGCCAGACTAGCCCATCGGCAAGCAGGTCGTCGATAACAGTCTGTGCTCGCGCTTTTTCCCAATTGAGGTTCAACCGCAGCATCGAGACACTCACATAACCCAAGACTTGAATAGCCTCCAGGACCGTTGCTTGGTCGGTGTTGAGTTCCTTAGGGATGGACCGAATGAACTGCTTGCTACCAACGTTGATGATAGAGAACCCGGAGCCAAGAGGCTCGAGTGATCGAACTGCGCGCAATATATCGTCACTGTCAAGCCCATAACCCCGTCAGTCACTTTTCTGAGTGTGATTGGAAGGTGGATCTCATACTCTGAAACTTCAAGTCCACTGCCGATCGCCTTGCCCTTCCCAACTCGTTTCCGACACTCCTCAACGCCTATTAGTCCACCATTCTCACTTCTAGTCTCTCTGCATAACTCCACAACTCTGACTGCAACCTCAAAGTAGAAGTCATTCATATCCCCCCCCTAGGATTTGGGTCCAGAAGCTGCCCCCCTCGCCCAGTCCACGACGCCCATTCTTGCCCTTGATGTTGCTTGCGGCGAGGGGATCGACCCCTATGGCATTGCACATGCGCGCAAATTCCGCCCGAAAAGTTGGGTTGGACTTGATTGTAGAGCTATGTTCGAGCGCGAATGTATGAAGCAACGACTGGAACACCGACAGCTGGGTTTGTAAGGAGGCAGTATGAGTAGAGCGGAGATTGGCGCCATGAGTGGCATAAGACTGCGTTGCCTGTGTTCGATTTGCAAAGGCGCCAAGGCCAACACCACGACGGGACATAGTGTATGCTGTATAGGGTGAGATAACAGATTCACCTTCAATGTTGTTTGTCTTGTCCTGCTTACCCCAGAGGTCCCGCCCGGGCGCTTGTCACATCCATGGAGTCATCTGATAAGGGGCAAGCCCTTATCAGAGAACGCGATAAGGGCTGTGGCTGAACATGGTTAGCGCATCACAATAATGGGCTAGCTACATATGGCTAGTTGGACCCACACCCACACAAGCGAAGTCTCTTCTTACACAACTTTTCCGCGAACTTTTTCTTCTTTCCTCGACATCCCTCGACAACCAGCCGACTCTCGACCTCGTCCGGACCTTCAAAATGGCCGCTACTACGTATGATTCCCAATGACTTGTTCCCCAGACTGATGCATTCTCTGCTTGAGTTTGTAAGGTTGCGGATATAGTCGTCCTTCTCGCTGGGGATGCCAGCCATCATCAACCATGATGATGGCCACGCACCAGCTCGATCTTTCCTGCCCTCTTTCAATCCATTTATCTCGGATACACTCCCTGTCTATCACAGAGCAAAATCGGATAAAGAAAAGGGTGATGGAGTCTTGAGGTTGAAAGCGCTTAGCGCCTTCTCCTCCAAAAATATTGTTGTGAACTATCGTCTCCTATCCTCATGCTGTGGTAAAAGCAGCACGTTGTCGGAACGAAGGGTGTCAACATGAATTTCCTGAACATTGTTCGGGGTTTTGTTGGATGAAGGCATCAAAGGCATATTGCGGGGATCGGGTTTGCGAACATATCGTGCTTAGAAATTTGCACGTCCAGTACCAAACTGTGATCATTCAACTCCAATGCCTTAGCCCTCACCGATTAAAGAAATTTCGTCGAGTTATTTTATGCCTTGGTTGAGAATGTGGCGCTATATGCTGCAATTCTTTCACTCGGCCAATTGTATCAGTCATGATCGCAGACTGTTCTAACATTCAACAGCTCCGTTCCCACCCAGAACCAGGTCCTCGTTCCCGAGACCCTTCTGAAGAAGCGCAAGTCTCAGGAGGCCGCCCGCGCTGAGCGCCGTGCCGAGGCTGAGAAGATCAAGAAGGTCGGTTTCCTCCCTTTCAGTATTCCCATATTTCCCCTTCCAACTACATGATGCATAACACCAATCTCGATGACTAGACCGCTACCACGGTCAATGCTGTCGTCTTGTCAACCATCTTTCGGGTCTGACATTAGTTCAAAATCTACCTGCCTTCATCTGCAAAAAGAATTTGAGAATCCTCATGCTGACTGAGATTCATATAGGCCAACAAGGAGAAGCGTGGTGTCATCTTCAAGCGTGCCGAGTCCTACGTTCAGGAGTACCGCACCGCTGAGCGCGAGAAGATCCGCCTCAACCGTGTCGCCCGCCAGGAGGGTAACTTCTACGTTGAGGATGAGCCCAAGCTGGTCTTCGTTGTCCGTATCAAGGGTATCAACAAGATTGCCCCCAAGCCCCGCAAGATCCTCCAGCTCCTGCGTCTGCTCCAGATCAACTCTGGTACCTTTATCCGTCTTACCAAGGCTACCCAGGAGATGTTGACCATTGTCAACCCCTACATTGCCTACGGTTACCCCAACCTGAAGTCCGTCCGCGAGCTTCTGTACAAGCGTGGTTACGGAAAGGTCGACAAGCAGCGCACTCCTTTGACCGACAACCAGATCATCGAGGAGCACCTCGGCAAGTTCGGCATTGTCTGCATGGAGGATCTGATCCACGAGATCTACACCGTTGGCCCCAACTTCAAGCAGGCCAACAACTTCCTGTGGCCCTTCAAGCTGTCCAACCCCACCGGTGGTTTCCGCACTCGCAAGTTCAAGCACTACATCGAGGGTGGTGACACCGGTAACCGTGAGGAGAACATCAACGCTCTCATCCGCCAGATGAACTAGATTTTCTCTCATGAAGGGTCCGGGATGGTGCGTTCCTTGAGCGCGCCGCCAAAAATGTTACAAAAATTTTACGACTTTACTGTCTTGGGTTGTTTTTTTGCACGGGCTGTTTATATCCACTAGTCAATTTTTAGCGATACCGATGGTCTGGGATTTCCGATCAATTTAATGCTTCAAACAACCCAATCTCATGGTCTTTGACCTGTTCCTCCTGTAATTCCGTAGGTTACTGTGTAGTTAGAGATCTTGTACGCAGTAATAATACCTGTATGCTCGTTCCTTACCGTTGACTGTCGGCCCGGGGAACAAATTCTGGCCGTGATTAGTCGGGATTTTGTGAAACCGAAGACCGTCCCGAGGTCCGAGTCGAGGTATGTAGCATTGACCTGCACCAGTATTACACTGATTTCACGGCTGTTTATGTTCTCAAAGAAGAGCTTCCAATGGATATTTTCGTGGAGATTGCATTGTCCAAGCCCGGGAGATTGTCCAATTGAGTTTGGGAGATCCGGTGATCCTTCGTGCCGGTTGAAGATTGTCCAGTGGCCAGCTTGTCTATGCCACGGGATATTCCAACATTCAAATCCCGGTGAAGTTCTCTAGGAGTAATTGAATATGTGTACTATGTCTAAGGCAATGAAATTCCGCATGGAGAAGCTAGGAGTAAGAACGATCTATTGGTAAATCCGCAGGCGCTGTGATATATATAGGTTAGGTACAATGATCTATCTGAATGCCGATGGTGCTTTCTTCACGTAACAGTTCCATTTTGGCGCATACGGTGGATAGAATCAAGTCAGATGGTGATGACCTTTTGGACTCTCCGATCACGGTTTACAACAAGACGAAGCTGTCGACCTTGCCAATCCGAGGCCGATTCCGATGAATTATTGGGAGCAGGCTTGAAAGCGCCCTCGCGGAGGGTTTCCGTAAAAAGCTCATAAGATGGGTAATCTGGATCAATCAACCGGGTCAGTATATTCTTTCAAAACCAAGTATGGCAAAAGGTTGGGAGTGAATGTACAGCCGTCCACGAAGTGGTTGACCTGTTCCTCGGTCATTCCGGTGCCTTTGGCAGCACGAAGAGTGCGTTCCTGTTCCTGACGCCATTCATAGACAAAACGAGGATTTTCCGCATCGCTGTATTGAGTCAGCCCACTGAAAGTAAATGACCACACAGGAGTGTACAAACATATGAATCAAAGCATCAAGCTTGCTGCAAACAGAAAACATGTTAGCAAAGCTTCTAGTTGCGCAAGTTCCAATAAGGCAGGAAACCCACTCGGTTAAGACATCATATCGCTTCAACGCATCATTCACGGCCTTGACATCTTCAAATTGGACATGGCCTAGCCGTCCATTATACTCGCCAGATTCCTTCTGGTGCACGGCAGCCTCCCACTTTGCGCGCAGGCTGTGGTCGTCCCATGCGCGGAATCCGACACACCATCCCTCGAAGATCACAACCTTAACCTTTTCCTGACCCTCTTCATTGATAACCTTCCATTGTTCTCTCGGTACACGGTCACCCTGGCCTTCGAATGCTGACTTATCGTATTGCGGTATGGCGGTTGGACGCTCGGCGGCGAGTGAAGTAAACACTTCCTCACCCAAATCGAGGTCATGGGTCGAAGGCTGGCCACGATGCTGCAAAAGCGGGTTTGCAGGATGCGCTTGCGCTAGCTTAACCTGATCGGCATGAGTAAGATAGATATCGTCGAGCGAGAGTGTCACGACGGAGAGCGAGTATGGTTCTGAACGCAAGGTATCATTGAGAGCGGACACCTGAGGGAGGTCAGTACTTTTTGGCTTCTGTCCCGAGGGGATTGAGGTCAATCCCGAGGCATCATGGGTGGAATCATCCAGCTCCGGGTTGACCTACCAGGACAGTCTTGCCGGCACCCTGCACACCATTGAGGCCGATAAAGAACGGCGGGGTAGGATTGCCGCGGTGCCGCTCGGTATGAACACGCAGGCGATCAAGAAGGAAGGGGATGCAGTGCTGCGACTTGTCGTCCACGATCCCAGGCATATCTGCAATTGTGACTATCCAATGCTTCGATTCTACGAGCCTTTGTCACTATCGGCTATGGTGAGCGGGAATATTTTACCCCGATCGGCCGAGTAAATCTGGGGGGGCTCCCCCCGCGGGGTATATACAGCCGCTAATTTTGGCATACGTATGGGCTTCTCAGCATATCTTATTTATGTAGTTGAAAATGAAGGTATTGTAATCAAGAAATAACTAAGGATTACTCTACATCGCACTGTCAATGATAATCTAAGTGCACATGGCAATGACGTCTCCCATCACATGTCTGAGTCAGCATGGTACTCGGTCCATGCAGATACGCAGTATTTCGGACTAATTCCCCCATAGCTAGGTACTCCCGACGTACTAGTTACTTATGTCTTGTGTAGACATGGTACACTTGTTCGTGTCTTACAATTTAATTGGGAAAATTACTTAAATCATGCGAATCAGCGAGGTAGATCGGCATGTGATTTGAACCCGTGCCCCCCGGTAACGATACCAGACTTACACCGTTACGAAACCAACCCCCAAACGTGCCGAGGTTCCTCAGCTTGCCGAGTTGCTTTAAACTCCCCTCTTTCTCCAGCTTTCTCCTTCTTTGTTACTTGGTTTTGGTTTCATATTATCCTTCAAACCTTCGGACACATATTACATACATAATGTCCGATTTGCGATTCGATAACCAGACGGTGGTCGTCACCGGTGCCGGTGGTGGTCTGGGAAAGGCATATGCTCTCTTCTTCGCCTCAAGGGGTGCAAATGTCGTCGTGAACGATCTCGGTGGCTCTCACAAGGGTGAGGGCAAGTCTGGAAAGGTGTGTTTGAGACCTCCCAAAGGAATATACAACCACTGACAATACTCTAAGGCCGCAGATGATGTCGTCGCGGAGATCCGCGCCGCTGGCGGCAAGGCCGTCGCCAACTACGACAGTGTCGAGAATGGCGAAGCCATCATCGATACCGCTATCAAGGCCTTCGGCCGCATTGATGTTTTGCTCAACAACGCCGGTATTCTGCGCGATATCAGCTTTAAGAACATGAAGGATTCCGACTGGGATCTGATCAACACAGTCCACACCTACGGTGCCTACAAGGTGAGCACACTCGGACGTCTGGTCAAGACTCAGTGCGATAGAAATTAACCATGGCTTTGTATATAGTGCGCACGAGCTGCGTGGCCTCACTTCCGGAAACAAAAGTACGGCCGTGTCATCAACACTGCCTCGGCTGCTGGTCTCTTCGGCAGCTTCGGTCAGGCCAATTACTCGGCTGCTAAGCTCGGCCAGGTCGGTTTCACCGAGACCTTGGCTAAGGAGGGTGCTAAGTACAACATTATTGCCAACGTTATTGCTCCTATTGGTACGTCATCCGTCGAAACATAAGCGCTCGATCTTGCAAGTCTAACCCCAAAAACAGCTGCTAGCCGCATGACCGCGACTGTCATGCCTCCCGATGTTTTGGAGAACCTCAAGCCCGACTGGGTTGTCCCCTTGGTCGCTGCTCTTGTGCACTCATCTAACACCACCGAGTCCGGCGGTATCTTTGAGGTTGGCGGTGGCCATGTCGCCAAGCTCCGCTGGGAGCGAGCCAAGGGTGCCCTCCTGAAGACCGATGCCTCTCTGACCCCCGGTGCCATCGCCCGCAAGTGGAACGAGGTCAACGACTTCTCTCAGCCCGAATACCCCACTGGTCCTGCTGATTTCATGGGCCTCTTGGAGGATGGCCTGAAGAAGCCTAGCGCCGAGTCTGGTGAAGAGCCTGACTTCAAGGGCCGTGTCGCTCTGGTCACCGGAGGTGGTGCCGGTCTCGGTCGCGCATACTGCTTGCAGTTCGCCAAACTTGGTGCCTCCGTGGTAGTCAACGATTTGATGGACCCCGAACCTGTGGTTCAGGAGATCATCAAGATGGGTGGCAAGGCCGTTGGCAACAAGGCCAGCTGCGAGGATGGCGATGCCGTCGTCAAGAGCGCTATCGATGCCTTTGGCCGCATTGATATCCTGGTCAACAACGCCGGTATTCTGCGCGACAAGGCTTTCACAAACATGGACGACAACCTGTGGAACTCAGTTATGAACGTCCACCTGCGTGGTACCTACAAGGTGACTAAGGCTGCCTGGCCTTACTTCCTCAAGCAGAAGTATGGTCGCATCGTCAACACTACCAGCACCAGCGGTATCTACGGCAACTTTGGCCAGGCCAACTACGCTGCTGCTAAGCTTGGAATTCTGGGTCTCTCCCGCACTCTCGCTATGGAGGGTGCTAAGTACAACATCAAGGTCAACACCATTGCTCCTAATGCCGGTACCAACATGACCCGCACTGTCATGCCGGAGGAGATGATCCAGGCCTTCAAGCCCGACTACGTTGCTCCCCTGGTCGTTCTGCTCTGCTCTGATAACACCCCCGAGCCCTCCACCAAGGGCCTGTTCGAGTGTGGCAGCGGCTGGTTTGGTCGCACCCGCTGGCAGCGCTCCGGCGGCCACGGCTTCCCCGTCGACGTCCAGCTGACTCCCGAAGAGGTTGTCCGCAACTGGGAGAAGATCGTCAACTTCGAGGATGGTCGCGCTGATCACCCCGAGGATGGCCAGGCCGGCACCGAGAAGATCATGGCTAACATGTCCAACCGCGTGCATGGCGCCGCCTCCGCCGAGAACGATATCCTGAAGAACATCGAGAAGGCAAAGGCTCTCTCGAGCGAGGGCACTCCCTTCGACTACGAGGACCGCGATGTGATTTTGTACAACCTTAGCGTGGGCGCCAAGCGCACTGACTTGCCTTTGGTCTACGAGAACAGCGACCAGTTCCAGGCTCTTCCCTCATACGGTGTTATTCCCTGGTTCAACACCTCTACCCCCTGGAACATGGATGACCTGGTCAAGAACTTCTCTCCTATGATGCTGCTCCATGGCGAGCAGTACATGGAGGTCCGCAAGTACCCCATTCCCACTGCCGCCAAGACCCTGACCTACCCCAAGCTCATCGACGTTATTGACAAGGGCAACGCGGCCATCGTCGTGGCCGGTTACACCACCAAGGATGCTAAGACTGGCGAAGATCTGTTCTACAACGAGTCCAGCGTCTTCATCCGCGGCAGCGGTGGCTTCGGAGGCTCTCCCAAGCCCACTGTCCAGCGCGCCAAGGCTGCAACTGCTGCATACAAGGCGCCGCAGCGTCAGCCCGATGCCGTGGTTGAGGAGAAGACCTCCGAGGACCAGGCTGCGTTGTACCGCCTGAACGGCGACCGCAACCCGCTCCACATCGACCCCGAGTTCAGCAAGGTCGGCGGCTTCAAGACTCCCATCCTTCACGGTCTGTGCTCGCTCGGTGTGTCCGCCAAGGCTGTCTTCTCCAAGTACGGTCCATACAAGAACCTCAAGGTTCGCTTCGCCGGTGTCGTCCTGCCTGGCCAGACCCTCAAGACTGAGATGTGGAAGGAGGGCAACACTGTGCTGTTCCAGGCCACCGTCGTTGAGACTGGCAAGCCCGCCATTACCGGCGCTGGTGCTGAACTCCTCGAGGGCGCCAAGGCCAAGCTGTAAAGTATGAAATGTTTGGTTGAAGCGATATTCCCGGAAAGCAAAGGCGGAACATTCGGACCAGATTGTTGCCTTTTCTGTATATACTACTTCTGTTTTTGTTTTGTAGTTTTCCTATGAGATCAATAAGATCTACTGAATTTGGTTCATTTGCATATATCTAGAGTCTACGCTGTACACAATATTGACTCACTACATCCGGCGGCTGTTTGTCAGTCTCTGGGGGGTCATCAATGCCGATCACGCCCACTCGCTTGCAGCACATCTCAAAGCCATGTTCGTCAGCTCTCGGAACCTCCCAGAATAAAGCATGACACTCCAGATCCATCCTACCCAAGTCACTCAAGTCAGACTGCGTAGTACCGGGACGAGACCGAACCGGGGAACGTGTACATCCTTGTTCCTGGGTTTATCTGCTGAGAACCTGTATATTACAGTATTGTCGGTACTTGCGACTGCAAAAAGGAGCCTTTCGCGGCACGTGGAATCCAAATGACCGTTAAATATCACGGCAGGTGGCACCACAAGCGGTTTATTTGCGTTATTTTCGTTATTTTCGTCATGTTCATTGTTCATATTCTACTGTGTAGTACGCAAATAATCGCCGATAAGAAGCAAGGAGGTGCTCAGGTGCAAGCTATACTTATTATATTGATCTAGTTACGTAGTTCAGATACAAATAGTTACAAAGCTCATGACAGACAGACAAATCTCGCAAGCCAGATATTGAATCCATGAAAGGCCGGGCCAGGCGGGGTCCGGGGAGACGCCTTATGTAACATCTCCTTCATTCTTTTCCAGTTCTCAACCAGGCATTCTTAGCTTACAACCAAGACTAACCTCCCCCTGAACTCATATTGGAGAGGCCTTTCAGCCATGTAAAGCCACAATCATGGTGCTCTCGTTGCCGGTCCCCGGCTTCTCCAGACCCTCCGCCTCTCCCCGCCCCGACAGCAACACGCACCGAAAACCAGCGCCAAGCAGCTCCTCATCCAGCCACGGTGTCCCGAGGGCATCTCATCTCGGACAGACTGGCTCTTCTACCAGTAACCACTCCCTGACTCTCAGTGAAGCGCTGCGCAATAATCCTTTTGGCAGTACGACACGGTCCCGCGGCCCCGTCCAGTTCTCGGCCCACGAACACGAAGAACAGAGACGTGAACAGGAGGAACTTAATACTGCGCTTGAGACTCTGGTTCGCATCTTCCCAGATGTACGGATAGAGGTGTTTCGCGAGCTGCTGGTACGCTTTGACGGACAGAGCCGATTACAAGTTTGCGTGGAGGAACTCCTCAGGCACAAGAAGAAATGGGTGTCGGGCCGGTGGAACCTCCCAGAAGGGGCCAGTGAAATCCAGAAAGAGGGAGGTGCTGGGCCCGCTTCTGAACGCGTCGAGTCAGCGAGGCATGATGCTGGCGATGCCTTGGTACCACCCGAGGAGCGGTTCCGGTCTAACGAGTACAAGGCCGCTGTGCGCATGCAAATGATAAAAGAGTTCAATGGTCTAAACAGGAGTACCATTGAGGCTGTTTTGGCAGAAGTGAATTTTAGCTATGCACGGGCGCGACCCACGCTCCGGGATCTGTCGCGTCGGACATGGCGTGCGACATTCAGCAGTATTCTGCCCTTCCGGCGGAAAAGGGACCGCGAGGAACATCCGCTTCTGGTTTGGCATCATCGCGTGGATGGGGAACTCACTCCTGGCCTGAAGGAAACGGGATGCAGTGAGCTGGATGCCGAGCTCCACGAGATGCTATTGGCCCCGCTGCTGCAACAGAAGCGCGAAGAGCAGCAGAACGGGGATTTCAAATTTGCTTCAGAATTGAACGAGAAAGAAGCGAAAGCAGTCGATGCCCTATACGAATGTGAGTGTTGTTTTGCCGACGTGACGTTCGAGCAGATCGCGACATGCTCGGCCAATGCCCATATCATTTGCTATCACTGCATTCAACGAACCGTTTCCGAGGCGTTATTTGGGCAGGGCTGGGGCAAATCCGTGGACTTGGAGCGTTCCACTTTGAAGTGTCTTGCGCCCCTGTCCGTAGGGTCGTGCGAGGGATGTCTTCATTCACAGATTGTCAAGCAGGCAATTCTGCTTGACACGGCTGGCTCCGAGACATACCGCAAATTCGAAAATCGGCTCTCCTCCGAGGCACTTGTGAAATCACAGCTGAAGCTCGTTCGATGTCCGTTCTGCTCCTATGCTGAGATCGACCCTGTCTACCACCCTTCACCCAGTGGTGTCCGCTGGCGGCTCCGCCGTGACGGAGGCATCGTCTCCACGATTTTGATGACTCTCCTCCTCCTTGATCTTGTTCCGTTACTCGTAATCCCGGTCATAATTCTCTTTCTCTTTGATCCGGCAACTGTAACGGCGGTTCTCAGAAATGCGGTCCGAAACCTCTGTCTCAAGATCCGCTCTAAACGATTCAGCTGTGCCAACCCTTCCTGTTTACGCGCTAGCTGCCTGACATGCCATAAACCGTGGCGAGATCCACACGTGTGCCATGAGCCATTACTTCTAGACTTGCGCGCCACCGTCGAGGCCGCGCGCACCGCTGCCGTGAAACGCACCTGTCCCCGCTGCTCCCTTTCGTTCGTGAAGTCGTCGGGATGCAACAAATTGACCTGTGTCTGTGGCTACTCCATGTGCTACATGTGCCGGAAGGCGTTAGGCCCACCTCTCCGCACAACTACTGCCCGCGCGCGCCGTGCCATGGGAGCCTTCGATGGCGCGGCTGATATGCGCGAAAACCTCTTTCACGACGGCGGCGATATCTCCGAGGATGATGAGTTCGAAGAAACGGAAGGCTACAAGCACTTTTGTGAGCACTTCCGCATCAACCCCGGATCCCGCTGCACAGAATGCAGCAAATGCAACCTCTACCAAGCAGAAGACGAGGAATTGGTTGCACGCCGCGCAGGCGAGAAAGCTGAGCGTGAATGGCGGCTCCGGCAAGGTGAAGCCAGCAACGCAACTTCGACTGCTGGGTTCCGCAACGTCAACCAAGATCTCTCGGCAGGCCCAGATGGTCATGCGAATCGCCGCGCTTCGGCTCCGCTTTGGAATTGGCCGATTACGGGTAAGCCGTGCGCTTATTGGCTTAGCGATGTATGGGCGAATGGCCGGTGGAAACTCGAAGGCCAGGCGTTTGCGGACTGGATTGTGGAACGGGTTATTGAAATTGAAGACGTATGAGCTGCCTGCCTTCGAATTCATATGCTTGTGTGCTTTTCCTGTTCCAGCTCTATGCAGGATTTCTGGGCTGGTGTGCTCGGCGATTCCTGTGGACGACGTGATGATTGACGACACTCTCTACTTTTGTTTGACGATCGCGTGGCTTCTTTACTACTGCCAATAATGTAGCGAGAAATCTTACTCTTTTTGATGCATGACTTCTCTGATACCCAAGTATTCGGTCTACTTCTACTGTAATACTTGGAAGCTACGGCATATCCCAAGAACCAATACAAATCTTCGATCAGATTGTTCAAGTACAACTCTCAAGTGATATAGTGACAGGTTTAGTATCCCGGGTCGGAACTACAGAGATGCTTAGGGCTCTGGAAACCGTCCATGTTGGCTGCCTTGATGAACGATTGCGTCTTGTCCTGATCGCCTTCGCAGATCGGTCCACACCAAACAGGACGCGCGTCATGGCCGTATGGCTGCAGGATATACTCCTTGTCCTGGTAATCCGCATCGACAGCACTGCCAACATCACACACAGGGATCGTGAAGATACCCTCCCAGGATGCGCCCTTCGAGCCCGGGCTGGCCCAAGCATTGCCGATGGCATCCTCAGCACGAGAGGCAGCAGTGTCGGAATCATAGTTGTAGCCAGCTACTTCCCAAGCATCCAGGGACGAGTTGATGATATCCTTAAGAAAACAATCAGTACAAGGCAACTCCAATGACAAAGTAGATGACCACTTACTTCTCTAGAGACCCCAGAATATTCATTCTGGCCTAGCGAATCCAGTCCAGGGGGCGTGGCAACCCATCCCCATTGATGAGAGGTAGTAGAAACCACATCGTTCTCCTGCCAGTAGTAGAGATACCAGGCTCTTCCATCACGGCAAACCACTGATTCCTGAGGACCAGATCCGATGCCCTGGTTATCACCGCAGGCACCACCACCCATGATGAAAATCTTTTGCTGGCGATACAGCTGGTTGATGGCAATACCGATCAGCATGTTGGTCATTGCATCAGTGACGGAATTCTTGTCGACACCGGGGAAGGCGAGGAAGGCACCGCCCCCGATATAGGTGCGGATATCGACGTTGGCATAGTCCTGACCGCTCATCAGTTGGTTGTTGGCGGTTGTGAACGACTTCATTGAGTCGACCACGATGTTACCCAGGATGCCACCCAGGTCGGCAGATTTCTGAAAGGTATCATCGGAGCTTAACGATGCGTTAGTACAGGAGCATCAGTCAAGAAAGAAAATAGGACAGTGACGATCACTTACTGAGAAGACAGGGCATTAGCAGTAGCAGTGACACTGCCACTGGTAAGTGCACTACCAGCACCAGCCAAAGCTCCAGCAACAGCAGGGCCAAGTCCAGCAAACGCAGCCCCAATACCGACAACGGTCGTCACGAGTGTCAACACCTCCTTGAGGGCAGTGACACTCTTATCATCCTTGTCGGTGTAGAAAGTCGTAGCCCATGAATCCTTGGACAGAGCCGCACCCAAAGCGGTAGTCGTGAACGATTCACCAATGCCACTAAAGTACGAGTGCAAACGGTTGGTAGACTCGAGAACATAGTAAGCAGGACGAATATCATCCCCGCGGTCATTGAGCACCCGGTTATCACACAGCTGCAGATCGCAGTCTGAGTCCGAGCCGTCGTCACGACACGTCCAGTCTGGATTTCCCATTGCCCATTGACCAAAGGCACCAGCGAACCCGCCGCTGTTCCCGGATACAAGGTCTGTATTGTTGTTCCACCAGTTGTTGAGCCAATCGCCCGTGTTGTACTTATCCCAGTCTGATTGCTGCTGATTATAGTACTGAGATACCGTGCCGCAGCGTTTGCCGAGGGGGGCATGGCGAGGACTTGTAGAGGGAGCTGCCTGCACTGCAGGCAGGAGAGCGAGGGCTGTCAAAGCCAAAGAGGATAGCATGGTGGGATGTGTGATGATTGAGGAAGAAGGGAGTAAGGTAAACAGGATGATCTTTATAGACGGTTCTACGGTTCTACCCCGACCTTGGGGGAAGTTAAATGGGCCGATCCGTTATCCGTTTGGGAATATGGGGTCGGTTCATTTATGTCAGTCGTTTGATATACATCGTGATGATTTGATAGGTAACCAAGATTTCAACTGTTCTCCGTACCATGGGACCATATTCCGAAAGGGGATTTGCTTGATAGTTCGTCATTTCCTATTTTGGGTTGATCGGCAGGGCGATAGGGGCTGAATGTGTTCAGTGCCTGGGTGGAGTGGTGGGGGCGGAGGTGAATTGGCGAATATCGACCTTAAAAAGTAATGAGAAGTGTTGATCTGAATCTATTTTCAAGTTATCTTGTAGTATCGGAGTGTGTTAAACCCCGAGTTGACGTGTGCAATCTGAAGGATTGTTTAGATGTTACTCCGGGGTTTGACAGTTGGAGCTATACTTTGATTAGACTATGGTGGAGACAGATACCAATGCTACGTCGATCCTGCGTGCTCTAGTTTCAATCTTGTGTTGAATCATCAGTTTTATGTTGGTGCCTGCATTCGACCTGTTGTCTGTCTATAACTAGTGACTATGTTGTATGAGCTTACTCCGTACTAAAATCTTACAGCCCTAACCCGCTCTTTTGAGTCTTTTCTCTTCATCCTGCCCTTCAAGTCTTTTCTTGGCTTCTTCCTTCAAGGCTTGATCATCAGCCCGGTTCAAACCGACCTGTGGCATCAACCAAATAGCCAATAAGAAAGCAAATGCCGCCAGGGATGCCCCGACAATGAAGATAATACGGAACCCCTTTTGATACGCCGGGGTCAGCACACCACGAACATGCTCAGCCTCCTCTGCGGACAATTTCGAGAGGTAACTTTGCGGGCTAGAGAGGAGAGATCGAGATTGGCTTTCGTTAAGGTCGAGGACCGAGATAGACGACGAAACGACGTTGTTTCTGAATCTATTAGCAGAGCGACAAAGTGACTGGTTGAATAGAAGCCATACATAATAGTTCCTGCGATGGCAAGCCCGAGAGTCCCGCCCAGGTTGCGTACGAAGCTATTCGTTGTTAATATCCTAAACCAGCCAGGATAAAATATGGAAGTTCACTCACTTTCTGAACGAAGTCACTACAGCCATATCTCGTCTTTCGACGCCGGCTTGGACGGCAATTAGAGAGCTGTAAATAATCAGCATGAGTGCTTGGACGCAGTTGGAGCACACATACGGCTGTAGAGTATTTCCAACCCCAACGCCCGTCAGAATGCCATATCCAATCTGCTTTCCCAGTCCCGAGTCCTTGTCCAGTGTTGAGAAAAGGCCAAGGCCGACTGCCCAGACAATCCATCCAAACAAGATGCATTCTCGGTAGCGGCCTACCCAATGGACAACAAGGCCAGAGCCTGTACTGCTAACAGCTAAGGAGGAAGTCAGTACCGTATGGCAAATTCGGCGAGTGTTTCATACTTTGCATGAGTGTGATAGGTAACAACATTGTAGCCGCTTTAACCGTCGAGTATCCAAACACGAGCTGGTAGAACGTGGGGATGTAATAGACCTGGACCAAAAAGTTCCATCCGTTGATGAACATAGTCAGACATGCGCCGTTCACGATTCGACCCCGAAAAATATGCATGGGAACCAACGGCGTCGAGGTGCCTCTCCATTGCCAAACAACGAAGGCAATGGAAATAGCAATTCCAACGACCAGAGTTGCAATGACATGCGACGACTTCCATTCATACTCTCCACCACCCCAAGTCAAACCCAGCAGCAGAACCGAAGTTCCCCCGAGCGCCAAAACCACACCGAAGAAATCAATTGCTTTGACTTTGACTTTCCAGTCACCGGTGACCTTTCGAAGGGGCATGAAGAAGAAAACAGCCAGGGTGGTCAATGCTGTCAAGGGCAGATTCAGACGGAAGATCCATCGCCACGAGTCTTCCGATCTAGACGCCAGGGCACCTCCGATAACAGGACCAATGCCATTGGCAATGGCAACGACCGCCCCGAGGATTCCTTGATACTTGCCTCGTTCACGAAGTGGAACCACGTCGCTGACGATCATCTGCGCGACGGTCATGAGGCCACCGCCGCCAACACCTGTGAAAGCACGGAAAATGATCAATTGCGTGGCGGTTTGTGCAAGGGAAGCTGCCAGAGACCCGAAGAAGAAGATTGCTAGACCGACGAAGAGGACGAGCTTGCGAGACCAGATATCGGAGAGTTTTCCATAGAGCAGCTGGAAACATGTCGATGTTCTATCTAAGCGTTAGGGGAACTGGGTTCTTGTCAAGACTCGGGGAGAGACTCACACAAAATAACCACCGGAGATCCAAGAGGTTTGGTTACTGGCTCCCAATGCGTTGCCGATAATCGACAGACTGGCCGCCAGTGTGGTCTGGTCCATCAACGCCAGCAGGTCAACGCTGGAACAGGCCAGGAAGATCTAGTGTTATTCAGCTGAGGCTCTATATCTTCTTTGTCACATTCACAAACCGCTATGATCGTGCGCTTTGGCACATAATTAGTTTGTTCATTGAAAGTGATATTCGTTCCATCCTTCTCAACTTCTGCATTTTGCGTTGGGTTTGGTTTGTCGAGGACCCCTGTCATGGCGTGGTAATCGATCTAACAGACTGACAATTGACTCTATAATCTATAATTCAGAAGAAAGAGAAAAAACTGACAAAAGAGACAATCACCAGATGTTCCAGATGTTCCATCACATCATAGGATCGGCGGTTAGCTTGAGCACCTTGACAGAAGATCGGCGAGTTAGAGTTGACAAAACTGCTCAAACACCCTCAAGGTCCCTTTGATCGGAGAATTATGCAGGAAGATATTGGCAACCTTGGAAGATACTTTTTCTGAGGACCTCTGGGCTTGAAATGAGGACCTTATGTGAGTAAGACAGGAACACCGTCCACTCAGACCACTCCAACATACCAGAACAATGACGCACCTCCAGAAATCTTCCGTTTTCGATCTATAGTGGACTCATGTGGAATATCCTGCTGTCATAAAGAAACTGCCCGGCAGGGTCTGATCTGCAATTGGCGCTGATATCCTCCGAGATCGCCGGTTTCTCTACGAGCTTCTGGTGCTTGCGTCCATCTGCTTTGCAATCGAAACTCTCATGAGCCCGTCTGGATGGTGGAGCCAGACGGAAGATCTTGCTTTCCTGTCTCTCGCCAAGAAAAAGACGCAACAGGAGAGAGGGGCAAGTGGTGGACGCTGTATAGGAAGATTGTGTATAATTGCCTGGACAGACCCGCGGTGTTCTTTCAACCGATCCGTTGTCTTCTTATAATTCCTGCTTGGTCCCAGAGAGGCATCGAAGTGGTGTAGATCGTTTCGACTATAACCATCCATCTATATCGTATACTCTCATTCCCACACCTCAAGTCTCGGCAATATGCGCAATCCCTCTGAGAAAACCAACGTGAACGAGAACAATGTCTACTTTGGCACAGACTCGCTGAAGAAATACTTCGACCCGGACTCTCAGCCTCCTCTGCCTCTGGTAGAGTTGCCGCCTCATCTGAACCCATATCATCAAGATGGGGTGCGGATCTATGCCAAAATGATGACCATGCACCCGGCCAACAACGTCAAGGCCATGCCAGGTATGAGATGCCGAAGTACGACGGTCAAGTGCAGCACTAACTCTCAAACCAGCATTGAACATGCTCGAATCCAGCGTTGTACCTGGCAAGACAGATAGGATCATCGAATACAGCTCCGGATCCACGGTGATCTCCATGTCGATGATTGCCCGAGTGATGCACGGCGTGAATGACACCCGGGCATTCCTGAGCAACAAGACCAGCGAAGCGAAACTGAAGCTGATGCAATTCTTCGGTCTCGACATTACCTTGTTCGGTGGACCATCCCAGCCGGAGCCATTGGACGAGCGTGGCGGGATCCAGAATGCCCGCCGACTCGCGTTGGGATCGGAGCATATCGTCAATCCCAATCAATACGAGAACGACCACAACTGGCAGTCTCATATCCGATGGACCGGGCCCCAGATTTACAAGCAGCTGCCTGAGATCAACGTCCTCTGCGCTGGCATGGGCACATCTGGGACTATGACTGGACTTGGAACATATTTCAAAGACGTGAGGCCATCTGTCTACCGACTCGGTGTTTGTACCGCCCCTGGTGACCGAGTTCCGGGTCCGAGGTCATATGCTCTCATGCGCCCTGTCGAGTTCCCCTGGAAGACAGCTGTGGATACCATTGAGGAAGTTGGATCGACGGAATCGTACACTCTGTCTTTGAACCTCTGCCGAGAAGGATTGATCTGCGGTCCATCATCGGGGTTCAACCTTCAAGGACTGTTCCAGATGTTGGCAAAGCACAAGGCTGCGGGGACAATGCCTAAGCTTGCAGGACCCGACGGCACTATTCACTGCGTCTTCCTCTGCTGTGACCTACCATACCAGTACATTGACGAATACTTTGACAAGCTGGGAGAGCAGCCATTCCACCCAATTCGAAACAAGGTAAATATCACTCCATTCAGCAGAAAAGAAAAAAAGAGACAAAGAAAAAGTTAACCACTGCACAGAATTTGACAAAAGTCGACCTTCACCGATACGATGAAAGCTGGGAGCGAGAAGCCCTGGAAGTTCTGCCACACTTCTACGCCTCCCCACGCCCCCTTGCGCAGAGCCTCCTGAGCGAAATCGTGCTCCAACCACAAAACCGCGTTCTGGACCTGCGACAAGCGGAAGATTTCCACGCGTGGCACCTTCCCGGGTCCCTGAACGTGCCGTTGTCCAGTGTGGGGCCGCATACCGCATCACCGTTTTCAGATCCGACGCTGTTGGAGGCGCAATGGGTGGAGCTGGTGAAGATCTTCGATGACGTAGTTTCAGATCTTGGTAGACATCACGTTCTTGTGGTATGCTACGATGGTGATTCGGCACGCGTGGCCACCAGTGTGCTCAGGGCAAAGGGCGTTGAAGCAGACAGTGTGCGTGGAGGTTATCGTGCACTGCGTTTGTATGAGGGGAATGAGTTTGTTTCTACCAAGGTTCCTGTGACTGTTTCTGTTGCTGTGCCCCTGGAATAGATCATGGCGGTGAGTTTAGACTTAGAGTATGGTTCTCATCCTGGTTTAGTGGGGTTTCTTTTCCTTTCTTCTTTCTGTTTTCGTTCAATGTTGCGCATACTACCCTATCATCATATGACTCGATGACTTCCAAGTTTAAGTTCCTGACTCACATCCGGGGTAGTTAATTCTCCGAAAAGCCAAATCCATACACAAAGAGATTCAAGGTTCAGTAAAAAGTTAAAAAGTATCGTCCTGGAGACGTAAAGGTCTGTTTCGAGCGCAAATGTGCTCGGATAATCAGAATCTCCTTAAAATGTGCTCAATTTAGAGCAATTCATTATGTACTCAGATCTCCTTCGAAGCATCAGAGGACGCCCGTTTTCGGTATGTGCAACCCATTGGGATATGACGAGCACTGTGGATATCAATTCCCGATGCTCATATTGTCACCTCAATCTTCTTGAAGATACACCGTCAAACGTGTCGTCTCGTTCCCAAGATGATGGACATGAAGAAGAAAGAGGGCACGCGCTGGCTCGACCAGCCGGTGATGCTTCATTCATCTCGAGTTGACCACTGCAAATTGACGAAGGCTCAATGTCTCTATCGTAACTACTCCTGGAGATATTGGTATGAAGAATGAGATAGAATGGCCAATTGAGTACATGCTGATCCTCATTCCCAGGTATGAAGCCGACCATGTCTATTCACTGAATACCGTCTACTTCATGTGTGCAGTGATTGCAGTCTTCGCCATAGCGAACGTGCTGGTTCGAGTCACTCCAGACAGAGTGAAACGGACCCGAGTATGGCGCAAGTTCACTTCCATCTCGCGATACCTGTCTTATCATGGGTATAGATGGCCTGCGTTACGATATTGGTCTCCGGCATTGGGGGTGGTGATATTGGGTGTCGTGGGCGCCGTCTTCTTCTTGGGTGGGTGGCATGGTATAAAAGGACGAGAATGGTGGCTGACACTCCAGAATAGCAATGACACTTGGTCCGCAGCCTTACTACTGGCCGACAGATGCTTCATATGGAAGTAGTCCTCCGATTGCCACTCGCTCGGGCTGGATGGCCCTGGCACTGCTTCCATTTGTGCTGTGAGTATACCAGTCAACGCGCGCAAGTCGGCTACTGACCTCGGATCAGGGCATTGAGCACAAAAGCCAATATGATCTCCGGCTTGACCGGAATTCCACATGAGAAGCTGCAGGTATTCCACCACTGGACTAGCTATACGATGTTCGTGTTGGCTCTGGTCCACACGTTTCCCTACATCATATATCATATCGGGAAGGGGGATATGATGCATCAGTGGAAGACTAGTGTGGTATACTGGACAGGAGTCGTTGCTTTGATCACGCAGACATATCTGACTCTCATGTCATTACCATTCATTCGGTAGGATCACAATTGACTTGGTATGATATCAGATTCTGACAATCCCCTAGCAATCGATTCTACGAGTTCTTCAAGGCAACACACATCTTCATGGCGGTGGTATTTGTCATCTTCTTCTTCCTTCACTGTGATTTCCGGCTCTCTTCCTGGTATGTCTATCTTCACCCCAGATAACACAGCATTAACGTCTATCAGGGATTACTTCATTGCTGCAGGGGTCATCTACTTCGTTTCTCTGATAGTTGCCCACACCCGAACCTATATACTGCACGGCCTTCACACCGCAACCCTCGAAGTCCTCCCCAGCGGCCTAATCCGGGTCGCAGTCCCATCAATCATCCAATGGACACCCGGCCAGCACGTCTTCGTGCGCTTCCTAACATCCGACCTACACCTCCTTACCGCCCATCCATTCACCATCTCATCCGCCTGCCGCAACCCAGATGAAACAGGCAAAGCCTCCGAACTAATCTTCTACATCAAACCCCGCCGCGGTATCACAGGACGCCTCAAAGCAATGGCGTCCAAAAATCCCGGCTGCTCCAAGAAAATCCTAATAGAAGGACCCTACGGCGGCGTCAGCGAACCTCACATGGCGCATTTCGACACAATCCTCGTAATCGCCGGCGGCTCAGGAGGCGGCTTCTCACTAGCAATGGTCGACGAAGCGCTACGCCTAACGGGGCTGCACTCACCAGCCGAGAAACGATCCTCCACCCGTCGAAACCTGCAAGTCGTCTTTTCCACACGCGACCACGTCATGGCAGACTGGTACATTGAAGAGATAGAATCCCGACTTTCCGCATCCACCATGCTATCCTCGTCAGATAGCGGGTTCCAGACGACCGTATCGGTGCATGTTACAGGCGCACGAAACTCTGGTATCTCCTCTGCCTCGGAGTCGGACGATGTCAACAACACGAGTAAGGCACCGCAGCCGGATATTACTACCACCAGGAATTTCAGTCTAGATGTCCACCGCAATGCTCGGGCTGATCTTCCTGGAATGGTTGCGCGTACTGTTGCTATGGCCCATGCTCAGGGCGTGCAGGTTGGGCAGAAGCAGCGTGTTGGGGTTTTGGTTTGTGGTCCTGCCTCTATGCTGCATGATACGAGGAATGCGGCGGCTCTTGCGCAGGCTAGGGTATTTGCTGGGGAGATTGAGGAGCTGTATCTGCATTCGGAACCTTTTGTGTAAGTTTTCTTCAGGCTGAGAGGAAATGCCGAACTGACTGTTTCTATAGGTGGTGAATGTCTTGCAGTATCGTTTGCTGGATTGGTCTTACTCCATCTGTTTCGCTTTCCAGTACCTCCAGTTACGTTTATTCTTTATCCCTATATCCTTACCCTCGCTCTCGTCTAGGTTATCTAGACACTATCTTATTATTATCGGAAGTGTGCATATGGTCGACAGCCATATCTCAGGCTGTCTACAGCCCTTTATTGTACTGAAGAATAAGATAATAATACACCATATGAAGTCCAAAGGGCAATCTCAAGCCAAAACAGAAACAGAAACAATGTCTGTATGCAAGGTCAAATCCTCCCAGAACACCGAGCACTAAATGCCATAGTAAAGTAGAGTGGAGAGAGTACAACCACAAAATGCAATCTAAAAACAAGAAAAGAGATCATCAAGTCATTAGCTCAAGATACCAACATGCATTGGCCTTTCCTCTCTTCCTGATACCAACCATATCAATTCCCCTCAACCCTCCTCATCAAATAATCCCTCATCCGCACATTAACAACACCACCAACACCGTAAGCCGGAACGATCTTCCCCATGCGCGCAAAGCAGCTAGGCACATAATCCCTCCGAATCCTCGCCAGGCGCTCCGTCCAGCGCAAACCCCCAGCCGGCTGGCGGTTATACAGATCCAGACCGAGGAGGTGCAAGGGCGTACTAGCGAACTGCATAGCAGCGGGACAAGCAAATTGCGCCAGACTAGCCTTCATATGCGGACTTGATGCAATGAAATCCGGGACCGAGGGGGCGAGTAGGGAGGGGATATTGAAGGATGCCCAGATTGTGATGCTATCGCGGAGGCAGAAGAGTGCGTAGGAGGTTTTGGGGATTTGAAGAGCGGGCGTTGGGACCGGTGCGCGGGGTGTGAATTGTCGCGTTGGGGATGTGTTTATTGTTGGTCTAATCTGCGTAGATGGGGGAGAAGCGCCGAACATTTTGGCGAAGCGCGCATCTTTGTAAACGCAGATTGCCATGTTGACTATTGTAGTAGCGAAGAACTTGGGAAGACCTGTGTCGATGGTATTGTAATGTTCATTATGGGTCATGGATCTGAGGGTATCGATTGTGTTTGCGGTGAGGTAAGTCGATGTGTACAGGGTATAGATGAGCAGGAATGGGGTGCCGAGGAAGAAAGCGCTAGGTCGGGCGACCATTGACCGGAGGCAGGTGTTGATAGTTTGGCTGATTGGGAAGCCTTTGGAGGCTTTTTCCATGATTGCGCTGGAAGGGATTAGCTGGTTTTTCCCCGTGAAGCTTCAAGACTGTGACTGTGACTTACCGGTCGATGATCGTGATCAACGGGCAGGTCAGCGCGCCGGCTGTTGCTGCGCTTGCGACATCGACGCCAACTCGCTTGCCTAGGTCTTTGGTATTCCATCTTGACGCTTTAGAGCGTGCGAGGGAACTCGATTCCTGGCGGTCTCGGACCTGCTCCGGCTTTATTGTCGCCATTGTCAATATTGAGTCTTGCGTGAGTGCATTCCGGGACATGAGTGTGGTAAAGAGAAGCGAAAGTTATGTGAGCATTGAAAAAGTTACAAAGGATAAGTTCAATGAGAACGAATGAGAGCAAAAGCAAATGAAGCAATACAAATGATCTCAGATATTCTATTGACTCCCCCAGCTTCGGACGAGAATGACCCGGACGCGACCCGGCGCCGGGTCGCCGATGCCGGCCCGCCACTTATCGGGGTAAACTTAAATTGGACCGAAGCTGAGTAATTCTCTTATCGGCCATTTCCAATTGGAAGGTGAGTATGGAGTACGGAGTAAGGTGAGGTTATTGTAAGTCGTTTCATGATTTAAGTCCCCAACGCCAAATATACCCAAGCTTAACTACACTATAGAGCCTCAATACCGTCCATGGTGACTCTGACTGCACCAGCTTCCACCAACTGTAGAAAAGTCAGTTTAACGAAAGCTAAGGCTCCAAATTAGAGATACGTACCGCTCGTTGCAAGTCTTCAATCAAGTCATCCGCATCTTCAATACCAACACATAACCGGATCAAGTCTTCAGGCAAAGCTCGCTCCGCCCGCGTCTTCGCGTCAATGCTGGCATGACTCATACGGCACGGCATACTGATCAAACTGTTGACACAGCCAAAGCTGACACTGATAGCCCAGATCTTGGCGCTTTCAACAATGCGCTCACTAACGGCAATATCACCGGTCTCGAACGAGAGCACAGCACCAGCGCCCCGCGCCATGGAGTTGTGAAGTTCGTATTGCGGGTGAGATCGCAGACCGGGGTAGCGCACCTTAAAGCCGTTGTTCTCGAGGAACTCGGCAATACGCTGAGCATTGGCCTGCTGCTGGTCCATGCGAACCTTCAAGGTCTTCACACCACGCAGCAACAGCCAGGAGTCGAACGGTGACAGGCCGCATCCCGAAGCGTTGATCGGGAAGTACAGGCGTTCTCCGAGCTGCAGGTCGTTTACGGCAATGACACCAGCCATCAGGTCGTGGTGACCGGACAGATACTTGGTGCCACTCTCGTATACGACATCGGCGCCAAAGTCGAGTGGGTTGAGGAGGAGGGGAGACATCATGGTGTTATCCACGGAGACGATGCAGTTGGGGTTGGCCTCGTGGGCGGCGGTAGCAATTTTTCCGATATCGACGATTTTGATTAGGGGGTTCGTGGGAGTCTCGAGCAGCACCATAGTCGTCTTTGAGCTCAGCACTGCCTTGACCTTCTCTGCATCTGTCGTGTCGACGTGGTGTACGATGATTCCACCGTTGGACGAGAGGAACTTGAGCAGACGGTGGCTGCCACCGTACAGATCGTCACCGGTAACCACCTCGTCACCAGGACGAAGCAATCTCGTTATCACGTCCAAGGCTGCCATGCCGGAGGACACCACGAGGGCGCGCTGCGCGGACATGATCTTGGCCAGGTGGCGCTCAAGGTGTGTGCGAGTGGGGTTGCCGGATCGTGTGTAGTCATACTCACCACCGCCGCTGCCGGAGGTTTGTTTGAAGGTAGCACTCTATGTGAGGAAAGATGGTTAGTTCCGGGGTCCAATTGACACTGCCATTATGTCCATTTGTTCGGATTGAGATGTATACCTGGTAGATCGGAACGCTGCTGGCATTGTATTGGTCACTGCCCTCGGTGAATACCAGCTCGGTGGCAATGTTGTACCGGCGGCCGGCGTGAGGGCTAGAAGGTGCAGGGGATGGAGGAAGATTATTCCCAGCTAGATCAACACGAGGGAAAGCCTTCTTCACACCGCTAGATGACTCTGAAGTAGCATTGGGAATGCCAGATCCTGGGGCCGACATCGCTGCAAAGGCGGGGGGGGGCAGAAGTAGGGAGAGAAAGAGGGGATGCGGAGTGTAATTGGAGGGGTTATAGGGGTATATTGGACAACAAAGAGTCAAAGGATGAAGCAGAGAAAGTGACAAGAAGAAGAAGCAGAAGAGGCCAAAATCATAATTATCTTCCCCGACGAGCTGAGTCTCCATCCGTTGCGCTGATTCGTCGGATGGCGGGCAACTGCGATTTCATCATCCGCTAGTCCCAATTGGGTAATTCAAGTATGTGGGGATATGAAAATGAGTCAACATACAGAAGTAACTGTAAGTACTGTCAATTGGACTATGCTGATAGTGATAGCTAGTAGCTAGACTAAGCTAGTAGCTACTACAGTACTACTACTTAAAGAGCAATGAGCGTGGAGACACTTCCAGGTAGAAAGTCGCCAACTTTAGTCATCCGCTTGGCTCGCTATCTTAGCCATCTGATCACCACTCCTATTCATAACTGGTGGTTGATACACCCAGCAGACATCCATGAATCCTGTAGTCACTAGTCTGGAAACCCTCCATAGGCTATAGCCAGAGACTAGAGAGCCAGAAGACCATGGCATCAAAATCAGATGCGGCATTCGCCTACCACGAACCCTCAATCGAAACAGTCCTCAACTACACCGGCTTTCTGTTGACACTAAACATAGCCAATGCCTGTTTGGACAAGCTTCTTTACTGTGGACTAATCGGCCAACTTTTCATCGGTATTCTTTGGGGCACGCCTGGGGCCCAATGGTTCGACCGAGAGACGGAAACAGTCATCCAGCAGATTGGGTATCTCGGCCTGATACTCTTGATCTATGAAGGTATACCCCTACCCTGAAGTTGCTACATTGGGTAGGATGCTCACTAGAAACAGGTGGCCTATCAACCTCCCTCCAGTCCTTGAAGGCAAACGTCCTTCTCTCAACAGCCGTAGCTCTCACTGGAATCTGCGTCCCTATGGGCCTGTCATTTATTCTCATGGAGCTTGTATCTTCAACATCTCTCCAATCCTTTGCTGCCGGTGCAGCACTGAGTGCAACTAGTCTCGGCACTACATTCACCATTCTCTCAACCACGCAACTGGCAACTACGAGGCTTGGCACCGTCACTTCCAGTGCTGCAATGCTGGACGACGTAGTCGGCCTAGTCATGGTCCAGATCATTTCAAATCTCGGCGGAGATGCCGCCTCGTTCAGTACGGTGACTGTCATTCGACCCGTTTTTGTCTCGATCGGGTTTGCTGTTGGTCTTCTATTGCTGTGTGCGCTCTGTTTACAGCCTGCGTTGCGAAAATTGCTCACTTGGAAAGACAATTTTCCGAGACTCGTGAAAACTGCACAATTTGCGTTCCTCGCACAGTCGTGTGTGCTGGTTGGTATTGTGGCTGGAGCAACTTATGCTGGGACCTCCAGTCTTTTCGCTGCTTACCTTGCCGGAGTGATTGTTTCATGGTTTGATGTCCTGGTGGCGGAGTCGGGAGCATCGACACTGGCTGAGCAGCCTGATTCTCGAGCATGTTCTGGCTCACCTAGAGAGAAATCTCCCAACCCTCGAAGAACCCCTCGGGCGAGCACACAAGACGACACGAACCGGCATAGTCAAGAGATGCCCTCCTCTAATGCACATGTTCAAGCAACCGGAACAAGCCATGAGACACCGACAGGTGAACTTGTCTATAGCAGATATTATAAAGAGCCGGTCAGCCGAATCCTCCTCCCTCTTTTCTTCGTGAGTCTATCTATTCGATTTCCCAAACGAAATACTCATACCAGCAGGCCTCCATTGGCTTCGCAATCCCCATCACGAAGATGTTCTCAGGCCAGGTAGTATGGCGTGGAATAATCTACGCCCTTTTAATGGCTCTCGGAAAGATGGCCACAGGCCTTTGGCTCGTTCGTCTCTCTCCAAGCCCTGTGGCGGCTCTACTCTCTACCATCAAGAAGCCCTTTACCTACGCCCATACCTGTTGCTTCAGTCCGAAGGTTATCAGCCGAAAATTGAATCAGAAGATGAAAAGCACGCAGGCACACAGGACCGCAGAGACCCCCGCCAACCAAGACGATACCCAACCGAATGAATCCCCTTCCACAACTTTCAGCCATTCCGACATCTCTCTTCCCGCCAAGCCCAAGTCCTTGTACCCGTCCTCTATCTTGGGACTAGCGATGGTTGCCCGCGGCGAAGTGGGATACCTCATTGCCTCGATTGCCGAAAGCCAAGGAATCTTCTCTGATGGCTCTTCCGAAGGACCATCCGAGATCTACCTAGTGGTCATTTGGGCGATCTCGCTTTGTACATTGGTCGGTCCGATCTTGGTTGGGACTCTGGTCAGACGGGTAAAGCAGTTGCAGAAGTCAAGAGGGGATATAGGATCTAATCCGCTAGGAGTTTGGGGAATTTAGTTATCGTAGCAATAAGCCAGTACCATACTCCATTTAAGAATTTACTGTGGTAATTTGAGGACTCCGTTTTGACAATACCTATAACCAGTACGCGGGAAAGCAGAATATGAGAAGTGCACCCCACGACTCATCGGGACACATTTCACTTTGTCACAACTGATGGTTGACTGAAACCATTTCATGGCTCTTGTAGTTGGTCTGATCGACTAGCAAACCCACTAGTCAACCCAGGACACTCCATAATCTCATGTGTCGTGTAGGTAGATATAACGGAGTAGAAATGAGAGAAGACCGACCGATTGAGGAAAGGAAGCGGGTGGGTTATCCACCTACCTAGCTCGGTAGGCCCTTGTTCAAGATGTGAAGACCAAAGGGCATGATGTCGTCGTGAAGTATGAGCCGCAAGCCCGCAACACAGCGAGCCGCAACACAGCCTCACAAAAGCAGAATGTGAAACAACCCTCCAATGCGCTCGCCTTAAATGATCTGTTTATCCCCGGCGGGTCTAAGAGCAATCGCTTAGTCGTCCAAGGATGGTATATTAAGTGCTCCTCTCACTTCATCTTTCCCTTTCTCAATCGATCCCCTCAACCTTCATCCCCAAATCAATAAACATGTCACAGCGAGCATCTTGATTGATATGATGAGCGGAATCGGTTGATGAGGCGCCTCATGACCTCCCAGCATAAAATCAAGGGCCCCAAGCGTCCTTCCCTCGGCTGCCTCGCTGCCTCGAGGGGGTCCAGTACCCCTCGTCTCTCTTGGTAAGGATCCCCCATCTCCTTTCATGTGTCATGTATCACCCGGAGTGTGCAGACCATCTCCATGACGAGTTGATACTGACGACTGCAGACGACGCAGAGACCGAGGAGGCTTCTCCGTTGATCCACGAGGGACGGAGCTCCAGTTGTTCGCAGCCTCAAAGATAGGCAGCATACTATGGCTTCAAGTCATCAACCCGCAACACCGATTAGCTTGACAACCCCTCCAGCGCAAAGCCCACCCACACAAACTCCTCCTGCACAAGAAAACCCAACGGCCGCTGATCAGAACCCTCGGCCCCGACAGGATACCAAACGTGTGCCTACGGCTAATGCAAGTGGCATCTCAAACCATCTCCAATGGACAATGATCCCACTGCATTCAACGAATTCGCTGACCCCTTCTTCGTCCAAGTCTGGCAGTGGGTTGGGTGCCGCCTGCCCCGACTTGTCCCTGTCTTACTGAAAACGAAGGCTGCGACCAGCGTCAGGTCCATGAATAGCGCAACGTGTTTGATACTATCACAAGCCCATCGCTGCCTGCTCCTTCCGTAAACATTTTGCCGCCTGCACCGGATAGTTCCCTTCCCATTGAGATCCAGCATCCTGCTGATGAGCACCGTCGATTGACGGTCGCATCGATGGCTTAGCCATCATCTCGGCCATCACCTCGAGCAGCCCTCCAATCGGGACTCGCACCAACCCACCAATTGGGGCTCGGTGGGAAAGACCATCAAGGACTGGAACAAGCTTCTGTGCAGTAAGTGTTGTCCGACGAGGATGTCAATCCACTTATGTGATCTCATCACTTACTTCTTTTGCTCTCTAGGACGTCCGATGACCACCGTTGGTCCGCCGTCGAGTAGATGAGCGGAGTGCCATCTACGCGCTCTCATCAAAAACAGTGTGAGGGTTGTCGAATGCGCTTTGCGACAACGGAAGTCTGGCAGACCGACCAGCGAGCCTTGGCCCCCACCAGGGCATCTGTTTTAGTAGAGCAGAGATAGTCAGAATGAGAAGCATTCTTCCCCTTCTAGGTTCTCCTGTTGACACTAATATACTTACTCCCTCCTTGAGACTTTTGCACATACACCTCCCTTCTAGTCCCCTGGGGTTTTGTGTCTGTAAATATCACAGGCCTCGTTTCGCTGAATTGTACGGGTTTCTCATGGCAAGCAATTGAATTTCATATACACAGTATACTCCCCAAACTCCCTCTGGATGCCAGTCCATAAAGTTCCCAACGGCCCAAAATAGAAGACATGAAATAGATATCGCGTAAGACAAGTACGAAAAACGAGACAGGAAGACCACTGGCTCCTTCCATGGATATTTAGCCAAATCTTCCCTCAACACAGAGCAGGCCTCGAAAGAATCCCACACCAAACGCCCCAGCCGAACCTCGCCCCGGAAAGCAATCCATTTTGAGAGAACCATGCGAAAGGAGAGTTCCAAAAGATGACAGTATATACCAGCATAGCAATTAGATTAGATTCTGGACCAAGTGTCCAGTCTTGACAGGCGACTGCATAAACATGAAACGAAACATATTTCGACCCATGCTTGATCTATGCAGCCAAATCACCGAATCCGCCGTTGATGCCGAAGAATTGGAACCTATTTGCAGTGTTAGCCGAAAGACCCAAGCAAATCAGGCCACAGGAAGAAAAACATACCAGTCCTCGACGTTCAGCGTCGTCGGTGCAGTTGGGCCACTCCGGGAACTGCTACTCCAGTTATCATTATCCTGGCTAGCAGCGTCCATCGCAGCCCCACTCATAGTCCCATCGAGACCCTGGATCGGCGGCCAAGCCTGCTGATGACCTTCTATGCCAAACATCTGCTGCGCCGGGCTGGGCTGCATGCCCATGGGGCCAGGCAGTCCCGAAATCATCGGCGGACTCCCCTGGGAGACGGACATACTGCGGCCCGGGGCGGGCTGCGGTTGGTTGTTCATCATGGGAGGACGCTGGGCCATGCCTGAGGGCATCTGTGACGGCATCTGGAGATTGGGATCGACGGCACCAGGTTGCGGAGGCGAGGTAAGCTCGGGGAAGAAGGCGGTGCCGTCGGGGAAGAGTTGGTCAGGCTGGAAGTTCTCCCAGAGAGAGGGCGAAAGATTGGGCGAGTTACGGGTCACCAGGAAGAAGTCGGGGGGTGTGGCGGGTAGAGAGAATTGGCCGTTGAATGGTGTAGTGGGCCGGGTGTTGGCTCGGGAGTTACCAGTGCCGGTCATGGGATCGTGAGGGCCGCGGTGATTGCTAGGGGACTGTTGGCCGCCGAGAGGAGGCTGGTTCAGTTCCCGGGAAGGTGTAACGGCGGGCGTCTGGGGCCGGGAACGTTCGTATGATACCGGGGGAGTAGGTCCACCATTTGGCATACCAATGTCCATGTCGTCAAACTTGCGCTTCAGTGGTTCCGGCTTCCTAGAGACAGATGATTCGCCGTGACGTGTGCGCTGATGTCTCCGACCTGCGGCCTTCTGGAGTCTCTCCTCCAGCACCTTGTTTCCGAGAATGGACTCGAACAAGGTGTTCACCATCTTGGCCACTAGCCAGACCTTAGATACATCCTTGAGGGCTAGCATGCACACGTTGATTCTTTCCTGGCAGGTGGCCACAATCGAGGGGACCGATGAACGCATCTGGTACACGTGCATAATCAATGCCGAGAACAAACTGTAAACAATGAAGGCAGGCGTGTACCGAATCTCCCCGTGTGCTTGTAAATTCTCCACAATAGACGTGATCATGCCTGCAGCTTGGAAAGCAATGGTTCGCGATGGGTAAGCCATTTCTTCGACCCTGTAGTTGTTGGGTGCGGATGAGGCCGGCGGCATATGGGCTCGGTGGAGAAGACACAGTGTAGTGTAGTAGTTCGAGTGCAGGAGAGCCGCCCAGAAATGGTGCCGAGATCGTTGCCAGCACACTTCTTTCGGACAATTCTGCAGCCAATCGGCCAGAGCCATATCAGAGTGGGTAAGATCCATAGCATTCATGCGCCGTGACTTGGAAGCCACAGAGTATTGCTGCGACAAAACCAACCCCATGATCTCGCACAGTTTCACATACTGCAGGAAAAATTGGACATGGACCGGGTCTGATGGGTATTCGGCTGGAGTGTCAAGTTCATCCTCGATAAAATCATCCTCCGTCACCATCTCAACATCCGAGTCATCAGTGTTGATTCCAATCGGTCGTCCCAACGCGACAGCCACTGAGCGATCCCGAGTGAACAGAGTCCACCAGATTCTCTTCCATAGTCTTTTGTCGGGCTTGTTCAGCTGTGACATTTCGACACTCCGGTGCATTCCAGAACCCTGCGCGACCACGATGGCGACCCGCGTCCAGTAGAACACGTTTTTCGTGACATCTGTGACTAGTCAGAAAAGCGTGGAGAGAGAATAAGCTGGCATCGATCAGACTCACCTTCCGGTCCCTCCCAGTACCAGCCCAGAAGAACCAATGCCTGCACAATAGTCACACGGTCATCTTCGTAGTTAGCATCATACAATGCCTTGGCACGCTTATAGAAGGTCATAGCCGCAGGGGTCGTTGAGCCGTTCGCATCCATAAGCTGCTGGTTAGTGCAGACTCTCGATCCTGCCAGCAGAATCGCCTGTAGCAACAGCAGTGACGGCGGGTTCTTGGGGTCACGGTAGTGGCGCATGAAGCGACTCTTGTTGATAATCGGCACCACGGGGGCCACCCACTTGAAGTAGGCATCGACCAATTCATCACAGAGGGGTTTGGGTGGAAGCAGGAATGCGCCTCGCTGGTGCAAGATATCAATTTCCAAATTGTCCAAGTCCGTCAACCGGGCGCGAGATCCTCTGATATTCGGTGGGAGCGGATAGTGCACGACATCCGTCGTTCCATGACGGTCCTGAACCAGAAGAGACAGGTTTGACGACTCGCCCAAGTATGCCACCCGACCAGCCTCTTTAATCGGAGCACGAGCAAATTTTGGTTTCATGAATTGGGCATAGGCATTATCGGTCGAAGCTTGTTGGGCGGCATCGGCCTCGGAGAGAGTTGTTTTTGGCATTCCGTCAGTGGCCATGCGATTGTTGCGGTATCCGAAGGCATTGTTCTTTTCGTCGGCATCTGAGCCTCTCTCTTTGTCTCTGGGCATGGACACAGACTTTGACCGCGGGCCTTCTGGTTCCTCAGTACTCGTGGGTCGGAAGTGGGCGACCGCCGCGTCGACAATCGAAGAGGCAGTGTGAGGTGGACTGTCATCGTAACGAGCGTCGTCTTTGCTCTTGCCCGAGTTATTCTTCTTTCGTTTTGGGGAAGGGATCTTGCATTCTATCGAGAAAGCGACACAATTTGTGCAGGGCACTCCGAGGCTAGCTGCATCACATCGGACCTATTGAGCGGCGAGATGGGTTAGACCGACGAGGTGAAAAAAAGACATGCGACCGGGGATAAACTTACCTTTCGAGCATGACATGTCTAAATTAAGCGAAAAATAAAACGTCAGTTACATAGTTCTCTCCAAAAAATGATAGTATCAAAGGGGGGTGTAGATGCGTATATGTATGACGATAAGAAATCGAGCCGAGGTCGTGAGAAACCTCGGCCCCCCAGTCGCGTCCCCTCGATATAAGATCTAGACGTACCTCACACGCGCGTGACGCACGTTGCCTGAAGATTAAAGAATTAGCAAGCGCACATGAATGCTTAACATTTTGAGAGTTTTATTTCTCCAGGGGAAGTAGGCGACAAGCGTAAAGGGAAAACCCTGTCTTCCCCCTCAACTCAGGGCTTTGCGCCCACACATCTTCTCCCCCTCCTCCATGACTTGCAATTATCACCCCATATCACCGCGCTGCCAGTGTCGCCTAATAGCTAGAAAACAATACAGGAAGAACTGGCTTACCTTCTGAAGCTTAGCGGCTGGCCTTGCGGTCCATTGCGCACTGTGATGCCTGATGTGCCCGTGGAGCCTGCGTTACTCGGAGCCGGGCTGGCTTGATTGTCCGAGAGCTGGTCGGGATGGAATTCGGTAGTACTCATTGTCACGTCGCTCTCTCCATCCAGGCTGGGGACGAGAGTTGATGTCGAGTAGGATTGGGAGGGGGAGGGGGAAGGTGGATGCGTAGGGAGAGAAGCGATATCAGGATATATAAAATGTGAGGTAAAGTTGCGAAGGTGCAAAGAGCAGGTCCCCACGGGGCACGCTAATGAAGGGGATCTCGAATGGGGGCGCCACACGATTGAAAGAGCTAATAAGAAAAAGGACCGGAAGATAGAGGGGAAAGAAGAGAGAGAGAGAGAGGGAAGAATATCAAAGTTCTGGGGGAACCGTTGGGACGTGGCAATAGAAAGAGGATTATCACCACTGGTCACCACTGGGTGGGTCTGGGTCACTTCACTTGGACTTGGTCACTTTTTGGTTGTAAATTGGAATAGATTTATTCGTTATGACATCTATGGTGATTTATCCTATCTCTCATGAAGGTCATGGCTTAGTCTCCCATTTTATTTTATTCTTCTCTCTTCTAGCGCTGCAAACACTAAGATGAATCCTAACTAGCGCCTAAATACGATAACTATACGCTTCAGGGAAGATGAGAAAGGGGTAATGGCCAGAGCCCTAAAGCACAATTCCGACATAACAGTGTCAACCATCCTCTGTACTAAGCACAAATGCCTGCCCAAAATTATGCAAAGCCACCAAATGTGTCCTTTGGTTGGAAACTGGGACCACAAAGATGGAGTGATCGGCAGAAGGGAACCAGATGGAAGGCTGCTGGAGCCTACGGTGTCATAGTAGGAGCCTAAGCCAACATAGAGTACAATGTACCACAATAGGTACGGAGTAGTTGACACATAATGAAATATCAAAGATCTTAATATATTCTGGTCCCCGAGTCTTAAAAGACATCCCCGACGCTAAGCCCGACCCTAATTAGGGGTCGCGTGGCAATACCAATTCAGCCTCCATTGGGGTTTGGGGATTGGATCGTCCCGACTAACCAGCCTCCATAACCACGGATGCACGTAGTTGTACACAGTACATCCTATGTTGGACATTAACGAGATCTCCCGGAGGAGGCTGAACGCAGTAAGAGAAGTGAACTCGTGGTCACCGGGGTAGGCGGGACGGGGCGGATGTTGGTTGAATATGTATGGAGTAGTGTCAGTGTCACCTGCCCACTCTTAATGTGTTAAAGGTATTTACTCGTGGGGGCCATATAACATAACTAGTCTATTGCTTCCCAGGTCTATTCTTCCTGTTTCAACTCATTCTAACTAAAATGAAGTGATTGTGGATGTAGCTGTGGATCATTTCAGTCGATCCTTCGAACTCAAGGACATGAAAGTCAAAAAGGTGAGATTGCGGGGGAATATACAAAGACTGGGGGAACGAGAACAATCAGGGGAAGTTGTGGGGAAGACTTCACAGATCTCATAAGATTCTCCATCAACTCTTCAGGGAAAAGAAAGACAAGAGAAGTTGATTGTGTGGAGGGACCTAAAAGAGGAGCAATTGGGCAGCTTGTGATGCCGAGGTATCTTTGGAGCTTAAAGTCTCGACCAATGAAAGAGGTCCCTGAGTTGAGTTCGAGTGAACACCTGCGCCAATATACGAAAACTCAAAAGAACTCGCCTCCACACCGCCAGCTGTTTCATTATTTCTAGTACTGTGTTAAGATCCCACGTGGAGATGTCGCCCTGACTCAAATTGCCTGAGATCGGAAGTAAATCCAAGCCCGATAGCGAGTCAGTGAACAAACTCATATTGCATGTACTACAATAGCATCTCAAACATAGTAGTATACAAGAAAGATCAATTAACTAGGAGCATCTCTATAACAATTAGGGAGTCGGCACTCCCCACGTTTTACATTAAATTACTTGCATCGACCACTATCATGACCAATTCTTTGCAGATTTACCCTTGCCCTTGCCCTTTGACTTGGACTTAGACTGCCTAGCCCCATTGGACTGGGCCTTCTTAGACTCCTTAGGGTCCTCGTGACCAGATGAAGTGGTTTCATCGATAGTCTGGACCACCGCAGCCCCAACGGCTGCCACCACGGGGGCAAAATCCACCCCGCTAACAAACTGCTCACTGAGGAATTCTAGCCCCGCCACGAAGATGCAGAGGGCACTTGCGATGCAGAAATGGCTGATGGTCATACCAATATCGAGCCATGAGCCCTCGTCACGCACCATGAAGAAGAAGTTGAGAGTCATGATGTCCGAGATGGCCATGACAACCATGAAGAGCGCACTGGGAGGTACCTCCAGGCGGCGGTTGAGGATGCCTAGATTGGCACTGATGATTGCAAAGGGGATGAGGATTTGTAGAATCAGAAGGGCGCCTTGGGCGAAGGGGTCGAAGACGGGGATAAGCCGCCGGACGCTGTCGAGGGAGAAGGTCGAGATCGAGGCGACATTGCCAGTACTGAAGAATGCCGACTGCAGGAGGAAAAAGAAGAAGAGTGCCACACGGACATCGGAGAGAGCAAGGGCCCGGTAGTAGAAATTGTCGCCATCGACGGTCGTCACACCAGTACTCTTAGGTTTCTTTAGGGTACCGGTCTCATGAACGTAAACGGCGTGTTCTAAGCGAACCCAGGTCACAATGGTCAGGCAGAATACAAAGTAGAACAGCCCTTCCCATGAGATTGTAAGAATGATGAAGGTTGGTGAGAAGGTCAAAAAGATGATCATGAGCCGGTGAAGATAGTGGCTGTTCGGATACAGACGGTGGAGGAATGGAAGAGTCAGGGAAGCCACTAATACTTGGTTAGCACTGTTCGAGAAGAAACAAAATCAACGATCCTAGGATACTGCTGTCAAACTCACCTAAAACAACCCACCCAACTACAAGATTCCCAAAAGGCAGGCCTTGACGAGCCTGGAGAGAGAGCACAGATGATCTAGTGACGATGACGGCAAGTAGGACCATGCCGAGTTGAGTGCCCATGATGACTCGCGAACCAACACGGCCAGTGGCATTGGATTCTTCAGATGTTGTCTCGTGTTCTCCAATGATGGAATCCTCAAACAAGAGATACATTAAGCCGGTGAGGAACATAAGTGAACCACCATATGTGCTACAAACGAATTAGCCAAAGATTCAAGCCAGGTAAAGAGGAGACTCACATTGTGTCGATGTTTTCAACCTTGATCACTGGCAGAAGAGTGAACAAACTCATCAATCCACAGCCTATGGCCCAAGTCGCAGAAAGAAGGGCATGGCTCCGAAGGAAGCCAAGGCCATGGACCACAGGCCAGAATGCACCCAAGGCAAAGCATACAGTGAAGATTTCGCGATGGAAATAGGACTGGACCAATGCTTCCATCACACCGAGGAATGCTAGTAGTTGTAGTCCAAGCTTAAGGTACCCGGTGAAAGAGCGCACATGGCCCAGCACAATATTGCGGCCGGCTACCAGAGCCTTGCGGCGCGCAAATACCTCTTCCCAGAAATAGACAGGGAAGAACGCATAGAAGTAATAGCGCCATGATGACCCTTGGTAGAGGAATACTGAGTACAGCACGACCAGAATTGACGAAAAGAATGAGATACTCGCCATAGTCCGATGAGAGTCTGACGTTCCATGCAAGACATGCAAATCAATCACCGTGGTCAGCGCATACGCGATCCATCCCAAGTATCCAACAGAGACAATGGTCCGCACAAAGAGCCAGTCGTATGTCTGTAGATAGCGCAGACCCTCGAGAGCAACGCGAAGAAGCTCGGAGGACATCGCAATAGACTCATCGTAGTCACCATTGGAGATGAGTGCCTTGATTCTTGCCAGTCTGCCTTCGCTCGAGTTCTCGTGATAGCCTGACAAGGGCTCATAAGGCACATACCGAATTACCGCGTTTCTCTTCTGCTCTTCTTTGACCCGGTACATCTCCAGAACCCCCTGCGTGTTGGCGAGGGTGGCCAGCGCCTTCTCCTTGGGGCTCGCACTGAGATAATCCAACGGCAATTGGCCGACTGAATTGACGGGGAAGTCCAGGCCGACCAGATAGGCCATGAGCGCGGCCACATCGGCCTGTGCTACGTCATGTCGACGGACCTGGTCGAATCCCCAATCGGCTGAGAATCTATCTTCGTGCCCCGCAGCCATCCCACTAGATGAGAGCTGGGGCCGCGCAACGCCAGAGCCCCAGGCCACCAGCGGTGTTCGCGTGTTATCTGGATGACCATCACCGTGGCTGCCCGTGTCACTCATGCCATGGTCTGCGGTGAACACGAACGCCGTTTTATCATCCCCGTAGAAATCTTCCATCAACTTTGTGATTGCCTGGACTCCCTTATCCACTACCTGGATGTTGTGCAGGTATTCATTCGAGTAAGGGCGGAAAGCGTGGCCAGTGGTATCCAGCCCAAGCAGGTGAAGAAAGAACACCAATTTGTCCTCACGCAGCTTCCGGTCCAGGTCAGGGTCCGTCTTTGCCGCCTCAAAGAGATCTTGGACCTTGGTGAAGACCCAAGTGTCCAGATGCGTCGCATCAACAGTAAAATCCTCCAATTCCTCACTGTACATCTCCGCATCGACCCTACCCGGGACGGCGCCCTCCTTGAACATTGGCAGAATATCAGGACTGCCCCAGCTCCAAGTATGCCTGCTCTGGTTGAAGACACTGTCAAAGTTTACCGGGTTCATCTTCCACCCAGTTGTGACAGAGGACACATCCTCATAAAGACCCGCGATGAGCGCGACATGGCCCGGACGTGACTCGGTAGGGACGCGGGTGTGGGAGACGCCGAATGTTCCGTGGGAGAGGACTCTCGAGCGAATAAATGGCGCGAGGCGAATCAATTCGTCGTTCGATGGATCGGCATCGGGGGCCGGGTCAGGGAAAGCTTGGAAGGCCTTGTCGGCCCGTAGGCCGTCGGCGACAAAAAGGACGAGACGTTTGGCTGGCGCGGGCACTCCGGATGGTCGTTCGACACCATATGATCGCATGCCACTAACAATTGGACTGACGAAGTAGATATCGAAGATCGAGTATGTATAGATCAAATGGAAGACCACCGCAAGAGCGAGGAATCCGACGCGGCCGAGACGCGCCATGATGTCTCTCTCAGGGATTAGAGAATTAAAAGAGTGGAAGTGGTCCACTGCCACATATAAAAAAACAAAACACAGACAAAGCAATCACAAAAAAGGCGTTACGAAGGTCAATGGCAACACGTCAACTTTTGGCGAGACGCATCGGGGAACTTGGGGGGGCGGTGAAGGCCCAATCACAAGCCTCCTGTGTTTACATTGTGCTCCAACTTTCTACAAGGTACTTCGACAGTGCAGTCTTTGTAGACCTCTAATGGTACTTTTTAGAGCAAGCCTGAGATAAGTTTCCTATTGAGAATGCTCACATTCAGCCTCAAAATAATTGATAATCAGAACATGCCCTTCCATTACATCCGCAGCCCAAACAAACTCCCATGTAAATGTGTATCCTGAAACACCATAGACCGACATGCAGTATCAGCACGGCTATTGTGCTGGAAGAGACCGCCGCTTTGTCAGGGCATCAATGACGCGCGTATAAAACTTGGCCGCCTGTCCACGGACGAACGTGATATCCACCGTCAAAAAGTCTGGCAGCATGTTCACCAGTTCGCGATCGCGGTTTGAGTCCAAGAGAGGGAGGTACTGGAATTCAGTCTTATCGTAGTCGGTTGAGGTCTTCGGCACAACCAGGTGGAAGTGGAGAGCTGTAATGGATTAGAGAAAGACTCGATCAATGGGATATCGAATAACTCACTTCCGTTGATTCCAGTCTGAATACAATCGTAGACGTGTTCTGTATCTCTGTTTTTGATATCACGGATAATCAAGCCCGACAAATCGCTATATAGGTCTTCCTTCAACTGTGCAATCTGCGAAGCCTGTGCGGCCTCGGCGTTGGCAACTGCGTTAGCACGATTGGCGCCGCCCTTGATAGCACTGCCCGGGACCTTGGCTACAGCTCCCTCAAGGCTGGCAGCTGTGTTCCGCGCCGCAGCCAGCTTGGTCTGTAAAGCCTTGACTTCAGACTGTGCGGAGGCAAGCTGTGCTCGTGCTTCATTGGCATCGGATTTCAGCCGAACCATTTCAGCATCACGGTCGCTAAGTTGTTTCTGAAGTCCACGGCTCTGGTTTCCTAGCTTTCGCTGGACTTCCAGTTCCGCCTTGAGCGAGGCAACTAGTTCATTTGATGCTAGATCGGACACATCAATCCATCTGTTCTCCGCTCAAATGGGAATAAAACGGCTGAGAAACGTACCTGTCGCAACAGTCTCACTGTGCTTTCGCAATTTTTCCATGTTGGCGTTGGCTTCGACAATCCCGATCTCCCGGAGATTGCGGTATTTACTCTCCAACGCATCATGCTTCTTCGTTAGTTCACCCAACCTGCGCCTCAGCTCCGGATCCCCGCTCTGCTCAGAGTCAGTCTCTCCTAGCTTGCGCTTACGAGGAGAAGAATCTTGTGGGTTGCGTAACATCGATAGCCGAGAGCGAGCGGGCTTCACTGGAGAAATAATGTTGCGCTTTTGGGCTGGAGTCTCGTCTACGAGTTCGGCAGCGGCTTCTTCTCTCGGTTGAGAGTCTTCGACTTCAGGCTCTGTTCTTGAGGCAGCTTGCTCATGGGGTGCCACAACGTCAACGTGTCGAGTACCGCTCGGTGTGAATTCAAATTCCCCGTCTGTTTGAAGCTGTGCGCTGGCCGCACGACCCCGTCCCCGACCGCGTGCAGCAGGCACAGCAACCTTAGACTTTACTGCTTTGGCCGGCTGCTTCTTTGCATTTTTGTGGACGAGAGGTTCTTCATTTTCCTCAGCGAGTGCATCGTCGTGCTCGGGACCCATATCCTCCACACCTGCTGCCTGCGCGGCCTGTTCTGCGTCTTGCGCTGCCCGGCTGCTTCCTTTGGGTCGTCCTCGACGAGCAGGCTTTTCCTCTGTAGGAGCCTCTGTACCCGGTGCAGCTGGTTGCTGCTTTTGTGTTCGTGTGGCAGGTTTTGTAGGTTTGGTCTCAGTCTCATCGTCGTGGGTAATACGCGGTCGGCCTCGTCGTTTCTTGGCGGGAGGCTCGTTGGAAGGTTCCGTTTCTTTTGTAACTTGCATGATGTCTTCATCATCCGATCCTACAAGACCGGAGAGTTTGGCAGGAGCCTTTCGTTTGGGTGGCATTTTGTTGGGAGGTAATATAATCGGACAATTGCTAACCAACTTGCATACTCGCGGGACGCGCCGACAACAACACCCGCAACACCGCCTCCGCCTTACGACATGTGACTGACCTCCCCCCGGCTCCCGCGCCACAGCTGCCCGATCTTCGCGCCGACTCGGCTGTCTTCTAATCCTGGTGGGCTTCATTTTTCTTTCTATCCTTAATCCACTTCCATATAAAGGGCACTCATTCGGCCATTACCGCACCCTCTCTAACTATCCCCTTATCGCCATGGCTTCAGCCGGTGGCCGAAGATGGCAGCAATTCTTCCAGGAAATGCTGATGGTTGCAGGCACTGTGAGACAATCGTTTTAATATTTCAAGCAATCAATGCATCTAACACTTATAGTCTGCGTCCGCGTACTTCCTCATTCGCTACCTCTTATCGCGCCTTGATTTCGACCCCGAAAGTCAGAAGAAGGAGGAACAACGGCAGAAGTCCGCGGCCATCTTACGGCGATTGGAGGGTGGGAATGAATCAGATGACGAGTCGCCACGCAGAGGTGGTAAGCGAGGGAAAGGGCAACGAAAGCGAGATCTCACCTTGAGTCAATACGAACAAGCGATTGCGATGGATGTCGTTGCGCCAGAGGATATCTCGGTGTCATTCGAGGACATCGGGGGCCTTGACGAAATCATTGAAGAACTTAAGGAGTCGGTCATTTACCCGCTGACAATGCCTCATCTCTACGCTTCTACATCGTCTCTGTTGACTGCGCCTTCTGGCGTTCTCCTGTACGGTCCGCCCGGCTGCGGAAAGACCATGCTTGCCAAAGCTTTAGCCTCGGAGAGTGGAGCATGCTTCATTAATTTGCACATTTCGACGTTGACAGAGAAATGGTATGGTGACTCCAACAAACTGGTCAATGCAGTGTTCTCCCTCGCGCGCAAGTTACAACCCGCTATCGTCTTCATTGATGAGATTGACGCTGTACTTGGTACTCGGAGAAGTGGTGAGCACGAAGCCAGTGGTATGGTGAAGGCAGAATTCATGACCCATTGGGATGGTCTTACATCGGCCAACTCGACGGGCGAGCCCCAGCGTATCGTTGTCCTGGGAGCGACCAACCGCATTCAGGACATCGATGAGGCCATTCTCCGAAGAATGCCCAAGAAATTCCCTGTGACCCTTCCTCCTATGGCCCAGCGTCTTCGCATTCTCAGCTTGATTCTCAAAGATACGAAGGTCGACCGTGATAACTTCGACCTGCACTATCTCGTCAAGGCTATGGCCGGTATGTCCGGTAGCGACATCAAGGAAGCATGTCGGGATGCAGCGATGGTCCCTGTGCGGGAGTTGATTCGTACGAAGAAAGCCAACGGGATGCAGATGGATGCAATGGATCCCCAAGAAGTCCGCGGACTTCGCACAGAAGACTTCTTCTCGCGCGCTGGTGGTATCAAAGTCATTCCCCAGCCTACTCCATTAACCACTGCCGGTAAAGTCGTCGAGAAGGAAGATGGTGACTGGAGCACGGAGTCTGATGCTACATCTGAAGCTGAGACTCGGCACTCTGTGATGGCTGAGCCACCTGAGTAAATGCGAAACACTCGTCTTTGTTGATACCTATCCCCTCCTTGTCTCGCAGTGCGAAGACTTGGCGTTATCTGCTGGGCATTCCAGGCTCTGAATTAGTGGATGGTCAGGGTCTGGTGTTGATGTGTGGCTTTTGTTCTGGTATGGCTGGCCTGTTAATAGAATTTCCGATGTGTACAATTGCTATCTACCCTATGTAATATCAAGTTTGCTACCCAATTGAACTTGTCTTATCCCAAGGACCTTTCTATACAACCTTGTATACATGATTTGTGGACGTAGAGTACGAGATAAAGATGTACCGGTACACTTCATAGGTGGCCTCCACTGGCCCACGTCATGTACCGCTACTTTGCCGAGCGGCGAGGTCACCTGCCGATCACCCAGGCGCCCCAGGCGCTGAAACAAACTCGCTACATTGCGGTGGCTTAAACATTCTGAGGTCTCGTACGAGCTTGGGATAGATACACCTGTTTCTTATCTTTCAGAGCAATTGTTCTGTTCCTGTACTTTGCTTGACTCCGCGTCAAGGGTCGTTATCGTCAGGCCTCCTTGGCCTCCTAATCGCCAATCTCCCTCACCTCACTCTCCCGCTCTCCTTAGCTCTTGGCAGCTTTGCTTTTGCTCGTTCCTCGAGCATTTAGCTTCTTATATTTTGGATGATTACTTGACTACATGGTCGAGATATCCTGTGCTCCCTAACCAAAGGCCACGAATGCGACTCCGGGGGTGGATGACGAATGGGTCTCTCCTAGATCGACTGATGGCAACTGGGTGCCTTGGCATTACAAACATCTTCTAAGGGGGCTTTATTTTACATCCTTAGACACGTTCGCTAGATCCACAGGAATGAGTCCCCAAAACAGCTTTGCCAATGCTTCTCCAAGCTCCAGCACGATTGGCGCAAGCACAACGTCGACCTCCGCAGTCCGATCACGCCCACGCCGCTTAGTTTCATTCATGGACGATGAAGATGACAGCAACAATCTGGCCCCAAATTACTCCTACCAGAATGATTCCCAGCCTTTCTCCTCGGGATCCTCGACGACTCTCGCACCGCTCGAAGCTGGAACGGCCCGATCTCGCGGAGCGAGCCCCTCGCCATTGTCTTCCCGCGGAGCGTCGCCGCTGCCAATGACACGCCCGTCCCGCGCATCGGAATCGGTCAATTCTGGTACCCGCAATGTACCAACCTCGTTTACTTGGAATGGATTCTCGAAGGCTTCCTCGTCGGGAGGCGCTGCGGACTTTCTGGACTCCCCGTGGTCGTCTCTACAAAGCCTGGCGTCTTCGGTACTGGGGAGCGATGCTGGGCGAGCCAGTCCGACTAATGGCACAAAGAGACACACGCGAAGGAAACCGTCTCGGTCAGACGTATATATCAAGAGTCCCCCTCGGTCGACGTGGGGTCCATCGGCACCGACCGGTCCGCAGGTCGGAACTGGGACCAAAGAGGAGCGACAGGCGCTGGTGCAGGAAAAGAAGAGAGAAGCACTGCTCCTCGCCGATAGTGATTCGATGGCAAGCCGCACGAATCTACACAAAAGACGGGACTCCGGCGACACTTCCCAGCAAGCATTTGAGCCGGACCCTGACGAAGATGCTCTGGCTTATATTCATAAAGTACAACCCACGGACACTATTACTGGGGTAACGATCAAATATGGCTGCCATGCTGCGGTGTTCCGCAAGGCTAATGGTTTCTGGCCCAACGACAACATTCAGAGCAGAAACACGGTTCTGCTGCCAGTTGATGCATGCTCGGTGAAAGGTCGACCTGTTCTCAAAGAGCCTGTGGATCTTTTGGGTTCCGATAAGGAGGAGGACCTCAGCGACAGCTCCATAGTACCTGTGGACGCCTCGGCGAAGCGTACATACTCCGACCAGGAAACATCTGCAACCGAGACTAAAGATCATGGCAAGCACGCTTGGAAGCATGAATCCTGGGTACAAATGGATGGATTCCCTGGACCCGTTGAAATCGGACGTGTTCCTCGAAGAGCGCTGGGATTCTTTCCGCGTACACGACGGAAATCTACGCCTTATTCGGATGCAGAGCCCCCTGATCTTTACCGGCAAAAAATCACTCCAGCGTCTCCTGCCGGGTCACCTCCTCCCTCCTCCTTCGACATATTACCACGAAGCCGACCGAACGGGGGTCAGGCCACGACCACACGCCCACAGCATCGCCGCCAACGCAGTAGTATCCATTTGTCTGGCACTGGTGTGGGCACCCTTGATCGTACCTCTACCGGTCCAGGCCCTGCGTTGGATGGATTTACCCGCTTCTTCGCACAGCACATGCCGGCTCTCGCACCTCCAAAGCCCCCGGACAATGTCCAGAGAGGTTCTTTTGAGTCTGCATCAACGATGACATCCAATGCCTCGACTGGCCTCGAGAACATTGGTGGAGCTTTTGAGGGGTGGGTGCGGAAGGTCGCGACGCGAGCCAAGGCAGGCATCAATGAACTGCAGCAAGGGACACCCAATGCGCAGAGCAACAGCCGGGGTCGCAATACGTGGCGGATGGATGATCTAATTGAACTTGACGATGGGATGGCGGAGGGCCGTAACTCTCCCAGTCCACTCAAGACATCGCGGAGGCCTGACCTACAAGGCAGTTCATCCTCATCCTCATCCATCCGATACAACAGCCCCTCTGTGGTGGCAGCGAGCAGGTCTCGTGCGACTGGATTTGGTTCGGGTTCTGGCGCCGCCTATGGCGAGCGAGCCAAGGACGACTAATATGTTTGATTGAATTCCAAGCGTACACAGTACATAATAGATCCTCCATCTCATCTGTGAATCTTTCGGAGATCACTATCGTTGCATTTGCCTTCTTCATGCCCATCTTTCCTTTCCTTCTTCCTGGGCGATTTGGTGCTTGTGTTTCCACTGCGGTCTTGATATTTCCCAATGCCATTCTCTTTGTTGGCTGCATCGCAGTATCGCCTGCACGAGAAGTCTGGCCAGGCCGCTCTCGTATGCTGTCTTGCCACTTGCACACAGCTCATCGATCGAATGACACGGCCAATACCCAACGAGACTGCTGTGTGACGGGAGCAAGATGCTTCGGGCTGAATGGAAGTAATCCTTTTGTTTTTTTTTCTCTTCAGACATCTTGGATGTACAATACCTACAACGCTCGTGTTGCTACGGCAGCATCTTTTCCTATATCAAACCGGACTTTCTCGGCCTGTTACTCTACCCTTCAGAATAAATATTGGCAGATATAAGCTAGTCCCAATTGGACGGAGTCGAATAACGAGTCAGCTCAATGGACAGCGAAGAGATCAAGCTTTGATTTTGCGAGTAGCCTCTCGACTAAATAAGACGAACATGATCCACATTTTCTTCGCATACTGCGTATGATAGCTTGCCAAAACTTCATAGCGTTTCAATTAAACGCTCTTGGTGCCAACCTTGAGAAGCTCGACCTCGCTGTATGGAGATTAGTATAATTATCCATCGCGCAGGTGGTCTGAGTGATTACTCACAAGACAAGCTTAGAGTTGGCAGGAATGAGACCGGGGAAACCACTATGATTTGATATTAGCGCAATTCTCGAGAACTCCGGCAATGGAATTGTATCGATCGAATATAGGATGCTTTGAAGCTAGGTACATACCGGTCGCCGTAGCCGTAGTCACTATTAACCAAATGTTAGCAATATTCAGTCAATCCGGCATAAGGATAACTCACGAGCTGATAGTCAAAATAGCCTTCTCGCCGAGAGACATCTGGGGAACACCCTCGTCCCAGCCTAGTCACATTAGCAAGCTGAAGGGAGCTCTCGGAGCTCTCAGACCCCGGACTTAGAGTAACGCACCGCGGATGAGACGACCGACGCCAATGGGGGTAGCGAGAGGACCACGGCCGGGGTTGTGGGAGCTGTCGAACCTATTTGAAAATTCATTAGTATATGGAGCTGGCATATGGGAGCTCGTAGTGAATGGACTTACTGGGCGCCCATGTAGTGGTTGTCGGCTTTGCTTTCGTCATACAAGCAGCCGGTGTAGTGGATAGAGACGTGTTCACCCTTCTTAGGGTAGTCAACGCCATTTCCCTCCTTCAAAGTCTTCTTCTCGACGCCCATTGTGAATAGTGTGTGTATTTGGATATGTGTAAGAGATGTTGGAGAAGGAAAAAACAACTGGGGAGGGGCAAGACTAAGAGGATTACCCACTTTTTCTCCAGGGCGGAATCGATCTACCTTCGACGTCAGATTGGATTTTGACTCTGTTCTACGCTCATTGGTGATTCAATTGGATTACTACAGTGTATACAGATCTTACTAACGGATATAGCCAATATGATCACCCATAGGATGATAGGAAGTTCAATGACGTCTTCTAGTGAGTTGGCAGGAGGAGATCACTCCGAGAATCTTTTAGACTGAGATACATTCCCGGGCACAGTTGGCTTATTGAGACTAGTTGGAAGTTAGCTGGGAATGGCTTCAAAGCAACGGGGCGCGGTGAGAAGGAGATCTGCGTTTGACGGAAAGAATGGGCTTGAGCGAGCCACATGGGACGAATGACTGGAATCGTGAGCAGTACTCCGTAGACCAGTCGGTTATTGCGATCAGACCGTAAGATCTAACTTTGGTCTAGACTAGAGAAAGGGTTGCTCTCCTATTTGTTCTCTCGCCCCGCGGAGGGGTAATGGTGGGGAATCTCCATGATGATGAGAGTAACGCGTGAAGAATTGGAGAGACTATGACCAAAATGCCAATTTCCCCAGCTCCTCCACCGAGATAGCCGCAATCTGTGTCTTAGGGAATCGAGGATCAGGCGATGGTGACGACCCCGACTTCAATTGTAGATAATGCAGGGTCGAAATACCGGCGCGACCTAAGAACTCAAGCACAGGGCGGAAGTTCAAAGCGACTTGGTCAACACCGTGGCTATCATCAGACAGACAGAAGCGACCGCCGCGCGCCATAAATTCCTGGGACATATATTAGTCGTAAGATACACAATAACAGACTACACACTCAGACACTCTTACCTTGCAAATCTCCGCTTTAGGATATGGCTCAGACATTCCCTTGCGAAGCGCAGCCGAGTTGAGCTCCAGCATACCGCCGTACGAGGCAATAAGATCCAAGTTCCGCAAGATCTTACCCCAGACACCAGGCCAGGCAGTAAAGCTGCGCTCCATATCATCACTCTTGAGACGAATCAAATCAAAGTGACCCACGACAAGCGGCCGCAGTTGCTGCAACATATCAAACTGAGCATCGAAGTAGTCCTCGAATAAGCGCTCGTCCGTCCCGCCAGCTAATTCCCGAGCCTGCTCATACATCGGCCGGTCATAGTCAATTGGCACAGTGTGCATGTGGTGAACGGAGCCAATGAAGAATTCAAATGGGAATCTTGAAAGGGATCGTTCGATCAATTCTCTCGAGGTGGGTCGAATCCAGTCGATCTCGAAGCCGATGATGATATCGATCTGGGAGGCGTATTTCTCACGAAGACGGACTGCTTCGGCCCAGTAGGCGGCTTCATTTTCTGCGTGGGATTCTTCTGTCTCGCCACATTTGATCTGGAAGATTTTGATCAATTCATCGTTCGTTCAATGGTGGGTGGCATGACGCACTTCCTCGGGGTAGAAATCTTCTTTATGGCGGGGCATATGTTCTGTCAGACAGAAGACTTGCATCTTCTTGCTGATGGCAGTTTGGATCACATCTTCCAGTGAGTCTTTAGCATGGCCGGGGCAGAATTGGCCTGAATGGCTGTGATGAGAGAATGGCATGCTTGGGTCTAACTGTCACAGGTCAGCACGATCTTCATGGAGGCTGTAGAGCAGGGGCAGATGGAATCGATACTATTGACGGATTCTGGGCCAATACTCACTTAAGTCTTCTTTCTATTCTTTCTATTCTACAAGATATATTGAAGAGGAATCGCCGGCCGGGGAGACGGGAGTTGGAGTCACTGCCTGATAGACGATAAGGATTTCTGTCCCACTTTGGACGGCATCTAGAGATACTAGCAGCACACCACAGCATATGTACCGGATAATGTGAAAACTAGGAATTCATATCAAATTGTTCAGAAGACTAGAATACATAAAGGAAGAGCAATAGAAGAGGAGGATTACCTCCCTTGACGAAGCGACAGTCAATCAACTGCAGACACTTCGTGATCTATACTTCCGGCCGACAGAAGACCACCCAGTCAACATCCGGAGCAGTCGACCCCTATCAGACCATCAAGGCGAGAAGCGACCCGCGGATGGTGACGAGGGGAAACTTGAAAGCAAGAGGGTTAAAGAGGATCCGACCTCTGGTCATGGGAAAGCATAGATCCAGTGCCAATTGGACCAGGCACCAGACAATGAACCATGCTGAAGTCTCCGACTTACCCTAGCCACCACCACTCTATAAGTGGAAGATTCCTCGCACCATTCCCGTAGCTGTGCACCAGGACAACCGGAGCATGTCAGCCGATATTGCTCGCGCCCAGCGCAGTGTCAGCTGAAGAGCAAGAGACCGAGTCAACCCCCCACAGTAATCGCAACGGTATTATAAAAAGGCAGGCTCCTGATCCAAAAGTTCACCCAGCCGCCAAAACCGTAGCAACAACGTACTCTCCATCATGCGAGATAGACAGCTTCGCAGCCCTCCCCTCTTCCGCACCCTCCGCATTCCCAATATAAACAATCTCAGGCCTACGACTCACACCCTCCCCGAACATCCCACCATCCTCTTGAATGGTAACCATAACATCCTTCCAGCCAATTGATGCCGCCCCGGACGGCGCAGCTTTGCGTGCCGCCTCCTTGGCTGCGAAGCGGCCTGCCAGCCAGCGCGTTATCTCCGCAGGCACTGGTGGCGGTTGTTGGTGGTATGCAGCGCGTTCTTTGAGGGCTTCGCTGAAGCGTTTTCGGAAATAGGTTTGTTCTTGGTCGCAGAGGATGCGGCGCGTGAAGCGCGTTAGATAGTCGGGTCGGGTGAGGAGTTGGGCTATTCGCGGGATGTGGACGATGTCTGTGCCGATGTTTAGGGGGAATGGAAAGGGGAGGGGCTTCATTTTTGCCTTGCTGGTTGTGAGTTGAGTGTTTGGGAGTGTTGTGGTTATTGTGGTTGTGGTTGTGGGTGTGAGGTGATGGGAAGGTTGCGGAGATGTTGAAGATGGGAGGTGACCTCGGGAGGAGATGCCGACGGGCCTCGAGGTTAGCTAAGGCAATATTTCTATTTCACGGCTTACTAGGACTCGGTCATTGGCTGTACATGTAGATCGGATGTGAATAAAGGACGTGCTTTTCAGAGCATAGGTATTGTAGGCATAATATTTACAACTACATCTTCTCGTCATGAGCTACGACTCTTCGGTACTACAGTGCCTCCAGCGATCACACAAACAAGCTGCTCGGAGGGTTGGGGATCAATCTTCATGCTGGAAGAAGGACCACAAACAGGACTCATTGACCACATACTCCGAGCGACCCGGTAAGCAGAAGCCGATCCGTTGAAGCAATTAGCCTTCTCTTCCCCGATGGGTCAAGTTCAATGGTAGAAAGAGGAACAATCCCGAAGAACCAACATCAGGAGGAACATTTTCTATGCAGCGTACACACCTCCTATGTACAGATCAATCAACTTCAACCGCCGATTTCTCAAAATCGGTCCCGTGTAGCCTCTCGAGAAAAAACCGTGGTCACAAAAAAAAACGCTGTGGAAGGTCGGATACACATCTTTGCGCGCTAGAGTTGGCACGGAAGCGGAGGAGCAGTTTGTTTCAATTCAGAATCTAGCTGCTCGATTTCGACCGCTGCATTGATATAAACCGTATCGAAAGTCGTCTAGTGTTGGCCAGCAGCGGGCTTCTTATCGCCGCCATCAACCTCCTTCATAAAATTCCTATCAAGATATATGATCAGCATGTATTCTCTGCAACCAAGATCCAGTTCATGTTTCGCGGTTCATAACATGTGCAACGGTGTCGGACATACTGGATGAAGTTCTCCTCATCCTTGGAGGAAGCGTTGATCGGGGGGCCCTGAGCGGTCTTGGGCTTGTCACCACCGGATGTGGCGAGCCAAGTACCGGCGAAGATGCTGCCGAGGGTGGCCATGGCAAGCTATTGAGGTGGAAAAGATCCGGGTCAACTTCCATGTTTCACATGTACCCGCACGAAGCGTGAGGAGAAAGGGATGGCCAGCGTGCAGCGGCACCGGCGGAATAGTAAAGACTTACGACGTGGGAGCCGACCTTCTTGCCGGCGATCTGGTAGTAGACAACCATTTTGTAGGATTGGAATTGAGGTACGGCGAGAGGTTTAATGGGCAGCGATGGTGGACGGAATCCTCAGGCTTGGGAACCAAACGAACGAGGTCGGCACGGACACCGCCTTTCCTAATCTAGTTAGTAAGTCACATGATCTCGGGCCTATGGGGATTAGGTAAGGATATTCATTCACCCGGATATATCCGATATCATGTGACCCAGGAACAGACGTGCATTTGCATATGAAGATCAACTGACCTCAGACACGCCGTCAAGGAGGGACCGAGACAACCCCCGAGGGGCTATGATCGATGTTGAACAACAAATATGGAGATTGGTCATGACTCCTGAGGTATCCTGTCTGAACAATATCTACGACATACATCGACACCACACATACAAACCTTCAACCCCAGATTCCGAGTCGGAGATTACCAGCTCCAAGTACTCCGCACCTCGGAGGAAAAGCACTATTCCACAGGCAGTGCTGTAGTTATATCCCGGCTATGGCTGTCGCTTCGGCTGTAGGGTACGGTCAATATGAGATTCTTTCAATAACAGCTCATTTCCTTTCATGCATGTCATTCTCGCTGTTCCCTTGCATTCCTTCTATACCCTTTTTCACGGTCTTTTTCCAGCGTGCATATAGAAAAACCCCGAATTCGAACGGCGACTTTTTCTCTTGATTGAACTTACCATACGTTCGCAATGGTCTGGGGTGCTCGTGGGCAAGATGAGCCTCAATCTCCCCCACAGGAACAGTCGAATAAGCCTGTAGCCAGACAGAAGCTCCCCGCAAATCTGCAACAGCTCGTCGATCGCGAGGATGACTTCTACGATGACCTCTACTCTCAATAGTATGTGAAAATCTGAAACCTTTGTGTTATTATGTCTGTCTCAAGGAACCTGTCGCGTGGTCGAGACTCGGAGCGCGGAGAGTCGCTTGCGTCCCACTTCCCGGTCGGCCGCTTTCTATGACATAGCGCTCTCCGCGCTCCGCAAATTCATCTTGCGCGAATGACCACAACCAGAAGACAACGAGCAAAAAGATACAAAAAAACCAGAAAAACTAGAAACTGACAATGGGCACTTCGGTGAATGGCAGCTCGGTCGACTCGACAGAATCACCTGTGCGCTATGCTGCGTACGCCAACCGCATCCGCACCATCCTTATCTCCGCCCATCGCTATGTCGCCTATACCTCTGACATTGGCGAGTCCTTCCGTCCGATCGCACACCCATGGCTCGTACGATCTGCCTACGGTATCTCCTGGGCATACCTGCTCGGTGACGTTGGTCACGAAGGTTACAAGGCCTACCTCCGGAACTGGAAGGCACTCGCTCCCACTGGCGAGGCATACAAGAGTGCTAGCCAGCCCTCGCAGGAGCAAATCATAAAGGGCATGGCGACGGGGAACATGACCATAGGCAACTCCGCCGAGTCCAAGGATGCGCTGCCAAACTGGACGACTCCCGAGATCCCGCTTGCGGAGGATTACCGTATGGTCATGGCCAAGCGCGCATTGTTCCAGAGCATTGCTAGTATGGGACTGCCTGCATTCACAATCCACAGCGTCGTTCGTTACTCTGGGCAGATGGTGAAGGGCGCCAAGATCGCCTTCATCCGTACCTGGACGCCGATCGGGGTATGTGCCATCTCCTTCCAGACGTGACTATACAGAAAACATGTGTGGAAACATGACACTAACGACTGATTCTATAGCTTGGTCTCGCCGTTGTCCCTTTCCTTCCCTACATTTTCGATGAACCTGTCGACGAGGCCGTAGAATGGGCCTTCCGCACTGGTCTCCGTGCTTATGGCGGCGAAGCAGCTGTCCGCCCACTGCCAGGCAAGAGCCTCCCTCCACGAGAAGAGGAAGAAGTCCGTGCTGTGGCTGCGGCAAACCTATCCTGGGACGAGTACAAGGCCGAACGTGAACGAGCACGTGAGCTGCGTCGCAGGGAGAGTGAACAGACCGGCGGTGGTGTGATCGGATCGCTGACTGGCTGGTTTGGGAAGTCTGCGTCAGAAAAGAAGAAGGATGAGTAGGTAAATACGGCGGCTTTTACCAGAATCTGTGACTAGAGTGGGCGGTTGTCCCTTTCCGGTTGTTTCTATTTCTGCATGGATGGACATATCTCCCCTAGCACCTACTGTACATACTATCACCACTCTCCGATCTCCAATCTTTAATTCTGTTGATATCTACAGGGGCTGCTTAAACCTTCACAACCTGATCTTTCTGTAACAATTTATATTATCATCCATTTCCAAGACTTTTTCCCCTTTCGGGGCAACCCCAAAGCTACGATTGTGTGAGAAAGAATGAGATTTTATCTACCCTGCCTGTAGTAATCTTTAGGGACACTTTCTCGCCATTCATGGTCGAATCATGGATTATGGTTGCAAGACTGTAGTCAAGGAAATGATAACGTAGATGATGAGATCACGACAAAAAGCAATGAATGAACAATGACCAATTTCTCAGTCTCTCTCTTAGGGCCTGGACGATTTCCTCACACGATGAATAGTTAACGGCGAGGTACATAAACATGTGCCTGAAGATATCTTGAGGTCCGAATAGCCTTGAGCCATGCAGTTGGGGCTAGATGCCTCGACTGAGGTATCCATGGTTCATGATTAAGGAACGCGGGGTTGACCCACCTTTTTAACTGGGCACGACTCTTTTATCTCTACTTCAACTTCATGTCACTTGGCAGATATCGTTCAAAACATCGTTTCATACAGAGTGCTGTATGATCTACCCAGAGCAGGACATACTGTTGAACCAAATCAACATGTGTATTCAAAACAGTCATGCGTCACTCGGCACCTCGAACCCCTCCACCCTAACAGACTTGTTCTGATACTGCACAATCAGGCGAGCCAGCTTCAAGCGGTCATCTCTACCGAGACTCTGGCGCTTTTGAGAAGGATTCCTTATGACCAATCCATTATAGTCATGCTGGAACTCCACCTCTGCCTCCCAATCATAAAACGGATTTGATTCTCTGAAGTAGTAAGGCTTCCCATTCTTCACAACAAGTTCGTACAATGTGCGAAATGCTCGAGAGTTCCCGGTCTTGACCGCTCCGTTTGAGAGGACCACCACACTTGCATGCCACGGCATGTCACCGAATGAATCACCCTGTCGCAGCAGGGGTATCGAAATCTTATTCCGCCCCATTGATGGGTGAATGGACAGACGGATGTGTTGTCCAAGTGCGGCATTAATCGCGGCTTCATAGGCCTAGAAACGGAGAAAAGCAATCAGTCGAACTGCCACATTGACCCCAGAGACTATGAGACTTACGATAAGCCGATTGATCATCATCTTCACCACCTTGGACACCTCCGCTGCGCAGAGCGCTGGATCAGTCGCAATGACAGGGTCAAATCCTTTCGCCCATTTTAGATCTTCTGAGATGCGGCTGAAGTAGCTGTCATAGGTTGCTTTGGTATCGGGATTTGAATTCAACTCATGATCAATGTCGAATTTTGGATCGAAGTATGTGGACGACATCAGTTTCTCTCTGCATGTGGGAACGAGACGGAGGTAATCTGCTTTGGATATCGTCTCTCCGTCTCCCAGCCCCAGTATATCCATAAGCCGGATGAATTGAATGGAAGAGAATTGCCTCTCTCGGGCGATTCTACGCAACTCGATGCCATAATCATAATATTCATCATTGGGCACTCCGACCAAGTCTGAGTTGTCAGTCTAGTCCCATTCAATGTTTGTTACTTCAGGGCTGGACACCAGGGGCTTGGCATACCATTGTACACCGGTCCATCACAAATGAGAATTAGCCGCGCACCGTAAGGATACACTTTCGAGATCTCGTCGCACAAGTGATTCAACCTTGCCAGGCCCAGTTCATCTCCGAGATCGGCTCCAACCCCAAGAACTTTGTCCTGGTTCGGATTTTTCCATGGGAATGCAGGTAGAACCATGGTGATTGGCTGATTCGCCTCAATATTGACCTTCAACTTCTCGGGTACAGAGTCAAACACCTTCCCGACATCTTGTTGATGGCCACCTTTGCTCGAATGCAGACTGAATCGCTTGATTACCTCGACGATTCTCTGAGGTAATTGATCTGGAGCATATTCAAATTGCATGTTCAAAAAGCAAGAATGGGTTGGCCCGGGCAACTGGTGCGAGTGTTGGAGTGTTGTTATAATCCGTCAAGATCAGCAACATCCCAATGCAGTGCCATATGGGTTACAGTCCCTTATATATAGATAAGACACCTGCAGTGTTCGGGCGTACACTACGTACATCAGCGCAGGTGACTCTTCAGGCATTGCTAGCTCCGTACTGGATTCCAGCAAAAGTCTGCAGGGGGAGGTACGTTGACTCCACCATGTCGCACCTGTACTCGCATTCTCGATCCGAAATCCCCTTTACTAAGTTTCCGCCTCGTTATTTCCCGACATAAGCAGAGCGCTCTCTTGCTCTAGTCCCTGGAGACTTTCAAGTTACGATGGGCTCGCCAGATTTATCCCAGTCAAGTAACGATCTCGGGATCATTCGCTCGACCGCCGACTCCTTCACAGCACTGGCCACGACCCATCCTACTCCTACTGAAGAATCCCGTCGCCCATATCCCTGCCAGAAAGATGAAGAGCGCAAAGCCGAGAACAACAAAATCCCCGATGGAGGGCTTTTGGCTTGGACTCAAGTTTTGACCGGACACCTGGTCGTGTTCAACGTATGGGGCTACATTACATCGTAAGAGAGCCTCGATCGCATACACTACCGATCCCACTCATTGATCCCCTGGCAGATATGGCTTCTTCCAGGAATACTATGTCGAGACCCTAGACGTCAGCCCAGCAAATGCATCTTGGATCGGCGCAGTGCAAATGTTTCTCGTCCAATTCCTGTCCATGTTCTCGGGTCGAGCAATGGACGCGGGATACCTCCGACCATGCATCGCCTTTGGATGCCTATTCCAAGTTGCTGGTGCACTTGGGACCTCATTTGGGACTAAGCTATGGCACTTCTGGTTGGCACAAGGCGTTGCCAGTGGTATAGGTCATGGACTCGTCTTCAGTCCCATGATCTCGTTGTATGCGACATACTTCACCTCCAAGCGAGTGATGGCTGTCTCTCTGGCTTCTTGTGGAGCAGCAACTGGGGGTATGATCTTCCCAGTTATTGCTTACAAGTGCCTCTACAAGATAGGATTTGCATGGACCGTCCGGATTATGACGGCCATTATCCTGTTTAACAGCGTCATTATCGTCAAATATACCAGGCATCGGATTGTGCCTCGCAGCCACCCTCCCTGGGCTGACTTCAGTGCATTCCGCGAACGCCCTTACCTCCTATTTACAATTGGCACGTTCCTGATCTTCGAGGGCCTTTACTTCGCCTACATCTACGTTGAGTCTGCTCTTTTCTCGCAGATTTGTATGTGACATGAAAGCTAACATTATCTACAGGTAAGACAATATGCCCAGACTCACACAGGCTTTACCTCGTCCGACTCACTTCTTCTACTCGTATTGATGAACGGCGTCGGTATTCCAGCTCGCATCGCATCCGCATTTGTAGCGGACCGGTGGCTTGGCGCGGTCAGGGCTTGCATTACAGTCTCCATCCCTTGCGGCATCGCCATTCTAGGGTGGATAGGTGTGCACACGCATGATGGCATGTTCGTTTGGGCGGCATTCTATGGATTACTGGTTAATTCCGCACAGAGCACGTTGCCCGCTGCCTGCGCGTACTTTGGATCTAAAGATCCCGAGAAATCGGGTACACGTGTTGGGATGATCGCAACAATCAATAGCATCCCGCTGCTAACTGGACCGTACATAGCGGGACAGTTGATCGCCTTGCGGGGAGGTGACTACCTATACGCGCAATTGTTCGGCGGCCTTTGCATCTTGACTGGAGCGTTCTTTGTAGCAGCGTCTCACTTTTCGGGGGCCTAGAAAACTGCGCCTGGCTGCATGATGCCTCCTACTTTGAGGGGTTTCTGTCGGGTCGATGCGAATGGCCAGTATTTCGAGTATGGAATACTCCGTGACCTTGGCATGAGGTGGATACATAGGTCAGGTCTTGAAGGTAGACTTTGCTTTAGTGCAGAATAAACACTCTCGAAGTCGCAGTGGTCCGGAATAGGGCTATGGTGCACTGAGTTGCGAGTTCTTTAGCTTTCACTCGACACATGCGGGGACCTTGTGACTGCACGACATGCCAACAACCAGGAGTCGAGACGTTGCCCTTGCACAATGTCACATTGAGTTACCCAGGTGGCTTTATTTACTTCGCGGATCTTTCTTACCAATGACATCTATTGAATTCCGGGCAATTCCCTCTCCCTGGCCCCGTACCTGGCAGGCTAGCCCCTTGTGCAAGGTATCGTGAAATACAACCCCATCGCCAAACCCTTGCCCGCTGATGTACGTACGGACTACACAGTATCAATTCATGAACCGTGAATCCCATGGAAATGCATCAAATAGTATAGTGCTGGCTGGAACACCATGTATTCACTCGTCAGCCTGTCTTCTTCAGTCTCCTGCCCTTGTTCTGTCCGATCAATTTCCTCATGCGGATATACCAAAACAGTCGTCCCTCAAACTGGTTTCAGCACACGTGTAGTCCGACTGTCGTCAAGAGAACCTCCCTCTTCAGTATAGAATGTTTACTATTGGAGGAATTATCAGACAAAGGCCCCGAAATCCTAAAAGGGACGACGGAGAGGGGCATCTGGTAGTTTCGATGGCGAATACATCGCATACTACGAAGAGCATAACTAAAGCAGGAAAAGTATAGCGACGTCAGAAGCCACCGAATCCAACTTATTGACGTTCAACTTTCAATCTAACGTTATCAACACCGCCACCCCCTCGGCCAAATCCCTAGCTTCAAACTCGACTTCAACCCCTACCATTGTATCATGAGTTATACCAAAATGCTAGCCACGACAGTCGTCGAGGTCCCCACACACCTCGACCTCATTCCCTCCAATGACACAGTTTCTACAAAGACACAGCTCACCTTTCATCCCGACCCAAGCCCTATCCTCCCCACCAAAGCCGACGACAATCTCCGCAACGAACCACCAATATGCTCCACACGAGCCCGCCTAAAGGCAGAGCAAATAATGGACATCGTCGAGGGATATGGCTCTCATCAGCGCACAACAGCAGCAGGGGAATGGCTGGGACGATCGTCATTCACGCCTCTCGTACAGACACATGTGGCAGCCGACAGGGCCATTCCCATGGTTTTGCCTGCTTTTCCAATGAAGAGTAATAACCGCATGAGCAAGGTAATAGGTGCGCTACCTGATCTGTCCGAGGAGCTTGGGCTGGCGCGATTGGTGAACCTATGTCAGGATATAAAGGCCGTCTATCTGCCCGGTGCTGTTGTGGTTATCGTTACGGATGGGATTTGCTATAATGGTATGGGTTGAATCTTACTAGCTCCGTGTAACCCATGGATTTACGGCTAATTTGGAACTTTCCTAGATCTTACGGGGAACTCAGATGAAGAAGTCTGGGAATATGGGAATCGATTGCGGAAGATGGTTGCTGGAAAGGGATATGCTTGTATCCGATTCTGTCGCATTATGAATATGCTGGGTCTCTATACTGGAGCAGATATCTCTAAGGCGGAATATGTGAAGCTTTGTGATTTATCGCGAGCAGAACTGCATCGACGGTGTGGACAAACTGGATTTGATGTCAATCGGTTATTGAAAACCGATGAAGACTATCTTCGGACATATAACGGTGGGTTTCTACCTGTCTTATATTGTTTATTCAAGGCTGATTCAAAGCAGGATACATCAAGTTCTTGAAAGTTGACCTAAAATTCAGCCCAGTCACCAAAGGATACGATACCCCAAAGCAATATGACAAGAGAATCAAGACGATTGCAAAGAAAATGATCATTCGAGGCGTGGTGAGTCGACCTGAAGGGTATCAAATTGAGCCTTCCAACTGATCTTATAGGAATTTGCAACGCTTGTACGCCAAATCTACCCTGACTCACTTCGTCTCTCTATCCATCCGTCCTCGGGACAGACCAAGCTATCCTGTCCACTCATTCCACAGAGAGACTCCTTCTCCATGAGTCCCTGGCATTGTAGCGTGGCTGTGACAGTTGACGGGACATTCATCACGGCTCACAAGGCCTCGCATCGGGAGAAATATGAGCCGATTGAAAAGGATGGTCGGCCATATTTCTTTCGTGAGAGGTCTGCGCTTTTCGATTGGGATGCCTCGGTTGAATTTTCGCATCAATATCAGCAGAAACTGGAGATTAGGGGTCGTATTCGGGGGGAAGAACTCTCTGACGCTGATTTGGACAAGTTGGCTTTGTTGGCCATCCGACACAAGAGTGTGACGTTTATGCCTACATAAATCCATATATACAGGATAATGTCTGACAAGTCTTGGCTTTCCCTTTCCGTTTTAGTGCTCACCCCAAGCCGCTTTTTGCTCACTGAGTAAAACTGAGCACACCCCTGAGTATTATATAAGCATTGTTTTCGCTCACTGAGCATCACCTGACCCTTATGTAAGCCAGATGGACCGTCACTGAGCAATCCGATCCCACTCACTGAGCGTGATCTGAGCGCTCTGATTTGCTCACTGAGCACCCCGATCCCACTCACTGAGCGTGACCTGACCGCTCTGTCTTGCTCACTGAGCGCGACCTGAGCGAAGCGGAAGAACTAAGTCAGCAGCTCTCCTCAATAAAATGCACCGCGCTAGCCTCATCCAATGCACTTTTTGCCGCATGCTCCTAGGAAGACGACTTCAACTATAGCGACCTGAACATTTGCAAAACCATTCTAGACGTATAGGCCATGTCTACTGGATGGTCTAGCCTCCCATAATGGCATTCGCGACCCCTCATTTGCCCGATATATTCTAACTACAAATAAAACACCTCAGAAGCCTGGCAGGTATTCCTAGGAGCTTCCAGAACCTTTGTGCCGCCACAATGTGATTGGTGAGACAGGATAGATCCTAGGAGCTCAAGTGCTGGTACCCATTCGCGAGAACTGGTGCCTCTAATGCTGAGAGTCAAAGTATATAAAGAAACACCGATCCCTCCTCAAGGCCTCATAAAATCTGCTCATAAATTTAGCAACTTCAGTGATTCAGGTCTGTCTCTTTTCAACCCCTCAGCCAGAGTAAAAGCCTAACTATTATGCAGATAGTCTGATGCCGCAAAGAAAACCGACAACCTGATCGATACCCAATATTTCACAACCGATGAGAGTTGCAATGCCGTTTCATGCGTATGCCCGAGCTCTGAGTTCGTTATATATGGTTGAGAGCCAAACGGGGAGATGTACGTGATGCACATTCTTCTCAATCTTGCTAGACATCGACATAGACCAATGGCAGCGAGACAACTGAACCTTTCACAAAATTGGCCTAAACTGATACTTATTTAGATGAAATTCATACGTCACAATACTACTACTTCGGAAACTGGGAAGGTCCCAAGTAGAGTACTACACCTGGAAGAGAAAGTTTGAAGATGCCATGAATACGCACAAAAATGAGCCCTCGCTTCTTCCGTTTCTAATGAGTAAGTGTCTGATCTGACTATCGGCCATGCTACGATAATCGGCCTCGCTTGCCGGTCTTCAGTCTGTATCATTCCACTGTGACTTATAGGCATCTTCTTGACTCTGGCCCTTACGCCCTTACTCGTCCGACCATGCTTCTTCCGGCAGTAGGACTTAAAAGCTTTCAGTCGAGTCATGATATTTGAGAGAACTAATCTATCGGAGCCGAGACGCGCATCCAGCAAAGCCAACATCAACTGTATAGCTTTCTACACTCAATGCTTATGCGTACAATATGATCCTCAATTTCTTCAAGACAATCCGCTCCATTGGGTCTCCGCTTTCGCTGCCATGAAGCGCACTTGATAATGACCGACAAAAAGTGACACAGAAATTCTGTGGAAATTTCAACCTATTCGGACTTGATAACCGAAAGGCCGTATTTTACATTATGCCCTCGGCGTTCCAGACTCCATATTGCAGATCTGGATTACAGTTTTTATTTATCTTATTATATTGTTCATGTTTGCCAGGTCGATACGGTTGGATCACCATATGACAGGTTTAGAATGTTGTGATTTGAGTGAGGCATTTGCAGATTAGGACCCAACCCGCTTAATTATGTACTATCTATAGGAATGAATGAGCTCATTGAAAACCAGTTGGACTTCATCTTGTATCCTTACGGTGGATATATGGACAAGGCCCGACAACCTACTCCCATATACTTGTATTATCTCGGAAACACATTAAATCTTAGACAATCAAAATTCACAGAAACTGCAATTACACCTCGAGACTCAATTAATCAATAGCCGGGCCATTTCGGTCATCAGCTTAGTAGGTGATGTTCTGGGCCCGTATTCGACAACCGCTTGTTATTTACCGCTGTAAGGTATTTACAGCGGCTCTGTCCAACCTGCACAGCCACCGCTTTAAGACAGATAAGCCACAATACTTAAAACACCTGTAACCTGAGAGTTACATGAAACAGGTATGATCCTGTATGATACTATTATCGTATGGTGCCCAGCGGATTCTTCGACAGCGGATTCTTCGACAGCAGGCTCTTCAGTAGCATATTCCTCAAATTCAAGGGTCGGTTCCTGGGAGCAAGCGATGACCCATTTTGCCTGTGTGACGGTTCATGGATGCTTGGGTTTTACCACTACGCCATCTGGCCAAAAAGGCACAATGTTTGGTCAGCGACCAAGCAGCCAATATGCTCGATCTCTGACAGCCTGTTCATGAGCTCCTGGAAGCACCCTTGGTTTGTCCCTAGGAATGATCATAGCCCATGAAGCGCGTTCAGTGGAAGCAGGGTTGGAAACTTGGCTGCACATCGTGCGTATTACTCCTAGGACGAATTGCATGCATTCTGGGGCATGTGCATCAACCTGGTGATCCTGGGAGCGCTGTATGCTCCCTTCTCTACAAGACTGGCTGTTGTTAGGACTATTCCATCGGACACATCGGACACCAGTTCCAAAGATGAGCTATAAGTACTGGTTGAATTTCCATAAAATATCAGATTATCAGAACCGGAGAAAAACCACCATCACAACAAGTCGGCTTTCCTTTTGCTCTCGCTGAGTCCTCAAGCTCATTGTACACTCTTTTTCAATATTGAGACATCGAAATGTTTCTCCAGGCTCTCGATTCAGCGGGCGAAAGACACGGGTCGCAACGCAAATCCACTGAGTCCTGCCAAGAACTCTTCCGAGAGTGTGACTTCCATAACAGGTATAAATGTGCTGGTAAGGTCAAAAGTCCTTCACCAGAAGTACGTCGACCTATGGATCGAGTGAGTGGCCGCGAGATGCTATTTCAGCTTCCCTGTTTGTTGACTTACAAGGTTTCTTGATGTAGGCGGGATGGCTCTACAAAGCTATGAGCTGGAGAAGGAATCTGCCGCCCTAACACTGTTCTGATCAAAAGATTTATCTGGTGGTACACGCTTTCTACAAGAGGCCGGCCTCAACCTGATAGAAGGCCCGCGGTGACCACTACTTTGACGTGTGCTACGAGGTTTTCAGGGGCTTTGTGACAGCAACGGGAAGCGCGATTGCTGCAAAGGACTGTTCGGAAACTTACAGGGTCAGTATAGTCCATTTTGCCAAGGCTTTTGATGTTGAAGCCCGCCTTCTCATAGTGGATCAGATTTGATCTGTAGTTATGGTCGCGGGACTTATAGGAGAGATCACTAATGAGGCAGGCACAAGACTTAATTTGCTTATTGTGTCTCTGCAAAAGTGGTGCTTTCTTTACTGGCCATGATTCTTCTAACTATTGAGCAACGCTGAAAATCAAAGGACAAAGTGGCTCGAAATTGCCACTACATTGTTGGGTGAATGGGCCTACTGATCTCATTCAAGTTTCCACCCTCAATTTGACACCCGCCGTTTTCCAGAAGTCACTTTGGTCCATGTGATTTTAGAAGACGGTTGTTTTAATAGAAGCTGCCCAAGGTGCATGGGTAACACGCCTCAGTTGAGAAAATACACAGAGATAAAATCAGAACAAAAGCATGGCTAGCTTCTTCTCTGGTCAAGAATGTGACCAGGAAGCTGGAAAATATAATTTTTGGTAGGAAAATGCGGAGGGCTGGAATTACACAATTCATGTTAGTCTTGGGATTTGAGGTCACCACGACCCACAATGGGCAGGAAGCCCTTGACGCGTGGAAGCACGATTCATTTGACTGCATTCTCATGGATCAGGAAATGCCTGTTACGACGGAAGTTCAGCGGCGCGAGAGATTCGGGCACTGGAAAAGGACAAGGGAACGTATACCCCTATATCGCATATGATTTATCAAGCCGGACTGCCTACGGTAATAAGAAAGGACCCAACGAAATATTAGGTCAGCGGAGAAGAACCCCTACACTATAGTAGACGGAGAAATTGTGATCTTGCTTCAGAACACTCTGTCTTCGGCCAGAGTGCCCTTAGCTAGCGTAGGTCTGATTGGCTGAAATTGGTAGTCTTGATGTGAGCAAGGTTAAACTGCCCTAGGCAGTGTCAGTTTTGTGAACGAACTTTTAGTCTGATTTATTCAGATAATTCTCTCGCTGCTTACTGAGATACAATCGGAGTGCCATACTTAGTGCACTCTGAACTGCAATGACTCCTTCTTATGCTACTAGAGTCTAAATGCACACGGGGGACGTTCGGCCAAGTTTACCCGCGGCTAATTCTATTCTGATCCGCTATTTAGGCCAGGCGGGTAGCAGTCAACAGTAGACTTCTCCTGGGTATTTAGGGATCAATCTGCGGGGGTTTACAACCTCCGAGCAAATGTTTCACATACGCTAAATTATCGCCAGCGGACAAAAATAGATCGTAAACTGCAATACCCTAGTTTTCAGGTCGAGGCGGTCTTTTACGTGTCGAGACGTTGAAGTAGCTAGTGCTTAACAGACCGCGGGAAATTTACACGGCCGCCGAAAGCCCCTTTGTGCTGTGTAAGTCGACAATAAACGCGAGCGATGAAGAATTATTGGTCACCGAAGAATCTTGTGATAAAATTGGGGACAGGACGGTGACGTACAATTAGTGCTGAGTAACCCCGGCAAAGTCTGCGAACAGATAATAACAAAACTAGCATAGTGGGTGAAAAGTGAGGTTGCTTTACTTATTCAGCCGAATATGTTCACTTTGGCAGAGAGTGAGTGCATAGAAAAACTAAATATTGAGACACGGACTTCATATTCTGACGGACACTTGAACGAACAGTATCTTGACCTTCATAATCTGACGAACACTTGAACGAACAGTATATTGACCTTCATAATCTGACGGACACTTGAACGGACACTATCTTAAAACTTCATAATCTAACTAACACTTGAACGAACACTGTCTTGAACGAACAGTATCTTAAAACGAACATTATAACAGTATCATGAACGAACAGTATCATGAACGAACAGTATCATGAACGAACACTACCATAATTTGCTTCTAGTATTTAATGGAGCCACTAATTAATCAAAGCCTTGTCTGCAATTCGCTCGGCCTACAGGCTGGGGAAAGTCTTTATTACCACAGTTAAATAAACATAATTTGGCCCATGTTTCCATTGAGGATAAGACTAACACGATCCGCGCCTGCGTGTAATTTTGCCGTAGGGGGATTCTTTAACAGAATCAAAGGTGTAAATGATATGGTCAAACAAACGATAAAGTTTTGGCTACTTATAGAATGGCCATTTTGAACAGGTTCTAGGTTGAGCTAACCTGGTCTGAGCTAAACAGATTTGAGTTAAACAGGTTTGAATTAAACAGCTTAAAGCTCGAGCAACTGAATGAATGTGTAGCCTCAAAGTTACGTGATCTTATACTTTGACTATACTGGCTTGGATATCGCGTAGGCGAGATTATATCTTGTCGTTCTGCGATGATTATTTGCCTCTTTCAGGTATCCTATGCCATTAAAAGGCGGTGTCAATTGCGCGGACACAGGGTGTTTGGACAATGTTGACAGTTTGAGATTTTGAATAGTTCTTGCCAGTTCCACGGACTGTGTAAAATGCCGTGTAAACATTGAGGACAGATCTTGGCTTCCTCGGCTCAGGTTAAAGCCGAGTAATAGTCTCCAGCACCGCGAAGAGGTGTCTGTCATTTGTCGGAGGGCGGGCAAGAGGAATCTCATCGCAACCCGACCTGGTACTTGATCCAGGATTTGTGCATGGCCAGCGGTCTGCGTATGGAACTGAATCCGACCTGAGCCGTAAAGGGACATAGCCCAGGATTTCTTACCTGGTACTTGGTCCAGGATTTGGGTTCGTACTACAGTGGGTTTACCGTTGCCATACCCTCGACCTCGATGGGTGGGCTCACAGCAGAAGGCCACTAGTAGCCACATTCAAACGAGGGGCTAAAAGGAGAAGAGGAAACAACGGTGGAGGGCTTGCCTTTATGCTGGGCCCTATGGGGCCCTGTACATGCCAATAACGCAAAATGGGGCTTTAACCCCAGCGCTGGCGTCCAGCTCCCAATCGGCAGGTCCTAGAACTACGCATCAACGCGCAGTTAACTGAGAGCGCCGTTTTATCCGGAAATTTGTATTATCCTGACAAATGGGCAAACCAAACACGAACTACATGGCTTAAGCCACAATAATGATTCGTCGATGATGTGGCGCTGGGCTAAGCAACTCTGGTCTCCATTCTTGCAAAGCACGGACTATTGCTAGGAGTTCTTTGTCTCGGATTTCGTAGTGCAACTCCGCTTGCTGCATGACTTTCGAGTAAAAGGCGACAGGGTGCCAGAAATCGTCCTCTTCGTAGTACTGCGTTAGGACGGCACCCAGCACTCCGTCAGATGCGTCAGTTTCTACTCGGGTAAGGCGCTGATGATCGTAATGTCGTAGAATTGGTGCCGAGAGGAGCGCGTTCTTCAGTTCCTGGAACGCTCCTTCACAATTGTCATCCCAGTCCCACGGGGTGTCTTTCCGGGTTAGACGGTGTAGTGCTTTGGATATCTTGCTGTAGTTCCGTATAAACCGCCGGTAAAAATTGCAAAAGCCAAGAAATGACTGGATGCCTCTTACTGTATCAGGAGACGTCCATTCTTCAATAATGCGGATCTTCTCGGGGTCCACGGAAATTCCATCAGTGCTGACGATGAAGCCTAGGAACTTCGTCTGTTGGACTGAAAATTCGCACTTCTTGATACCCACTTGCAATCCAGCTGCCCGGAGTCGACGGAGAACCTCCCTGACATGCCGACGATGGTCCTCTTCGTTCTCGCTGTAGATCAAGACATCGTCCACAAAGGCGGTCGCGTATTCATCCATGCATTCCCTCAGAACGTCGTTCATAAAACGCTGGAACGTAGCGGGTCCATTGGTTAAACCGAAAGGCAGAACTTTGTACTTGAAGGATCCATATCGAGTCCGAAATGTCGTCAGATCTTCAGCATCAGGCGTCATGCGGATACGGTGGAACCCTTGTTGCATGTCCACCTTTGTGAAGAATTTAGCCTTGCTAGTTCGCTGCAGAACCTCATCAATCAGAGGTAATGGATAGCAATCCTTCTTGGTATGCGCGTTCAGTCTCCGATAGTCAACGCAGAAACGTAGTCCACCTCCTGGCTTCCTAGCCATCAGGATCGGCGAGGCATATGGTGCTGAGCTGGGAACGATAAACCCTTTATCGAGGTTCGCTAGAATATACTTCTTAGCTTCCTGGAGCTCCTGCGTAGACAGTTTGTAGAGAGGGCAGTAACCAGGCTGAGCTTCTGCCTCCAAAACGATCAGGATTTTGCTTGCCACCAGAGTCTGGGCAATAATCTTCTTTTATAAGGAAGAATTAAGGGGAATAAGGTGGAATACAATTTTGACAGCGCCTGTAGAGCGCATGTGGAGAAAGCGTTCATCTGAGCCCGCGGAACTCTTTGAGAAGACCCTTTTAACCAATTACTACATTCGTGCCTTGCATTTTGTTGTCCTGCAGGCTGGTTACATCTGATTCATTGAATAACTTCCATGTACCAGGATGTCTCTTCATCGTTCAAAATGGCCCCTCGGACTGCGAAGTCGCCACAAGATCGTCCGGTGTATAAATCTACGCGGGAAAGAAGATGTATATGTTTTGCACTCAATGATCTATACGAGGTTTATATCAACATTCGATCTCATTTCGGGGGCCAATCGCTCACCGAGAGATCCTAACTGAACAAATGGTAGAATTGCGATTTGCTGACCCGTCGCCTGTTTCGGCGCCCCCCCTTTTGGGGTTTAGCGCCCATGGGGCCCGCGCCCAATCCGGCATCGCGTCCGTCCATTTATGGTTTAGCCCGTCCGTAACTGGTTTGGCGCCTCACGCTAGCCCTAATCGGGTTCTACCGCCCCTCACCGCCCGTCCCGCGACGTCCGCCATCTATATAACCCGCGGTGCGTCGCTCAACGAATACTCTTTTCTTTTCTACGCCCATTCCCCCCTTCTCCCCTCCATTATGTTTCGCCGGTGCCATTCTATGGTCTGCTGACGTGGCCGCTGCCAGCTGAAAAATCTGCGCCCCGAGCACAGCCCGCTTCTCCACTCGCGGAAATTTGAAGGAGTCGTAGGTCTGGCCCTGTGAATCGCCCGGATCGCCCCTTGATTTCCGAGTTCTATATGTCTCAATACATCCTTCGTTTCATACAGTACGCTATGGAGGGCTGTTGCTTCAAATGGTGTACACATCACCCTCGGGCTGCCTGGTAAATGGACATGCGTGAAGAGAGCAATGCAAGAGGACTACTGGCCGTTCTTTGTCCCAGGCTTCGGTTCGCGAATGCCACGCCGCGCACCACCAGATGGTCAAATTTTCTCTTTCAGCCGACTTCCGATTGAGGATCGTCCGTGAATCGCTTGGCCAACCGCAAAAATGCCTCAAGAAGCTCTGGCGCTGAGCCACAATCGTCCCTGAAATTGATGGCTTGCATAACGGCTTGCGTGATCGGCGAAATGTAGGCTGCAACTGGGATTGAGGCATTTTTTTCTTGCCAATCTCTTCCCGATCCATCAGGAATCAGGTGAGGCGTATTGAAGGCTGCAACGTCACACGGTGGGTACTACGGACACAACGCGCCCTTCGCCGAGGCAGGTTAGCTGAGTTCGCCCGACGCAAGCAGGAGTAGTATCAACGTAGTATCGTCGCAGTTCTCGGTTATGTGGGGTCTGCAAGGCGACATACTGTATGATTCCCAGCTAGCAATGCTCTGGCTACGCCCGGGTATAAAAAAGGCTGACTGACCTTCTTTCGAATTTTTGGATATGATTCAGAGCGGACATAGATACACCAGCCCAGTTACCGTTGGACTCTTATTCAAGGTTGTTGCTTTATCCTATATTGATATCTACCTCCGCTGTGTCTTACAACTTTCTGGGAAATGATCGTGGACCTCAATCATATCGAGTTCTACAATGGCCCAAGTCGCCCGCCGTTTTCTACCAGTGCAACAAGCGTGCCCCCCAATCACGGTCCAGCTCATGTGCCACGATACTTCCAGCAGTCGTTTCCCACTGGATTCGGCTTCCGTGCAGGACCCTGTGAGGTACCTCCAGGACAGTCACCGCCGCTGACTGGTACAACTCATGAGTGGAACATATTTGACACTGAGATCAATCATATCTATGGACCCACTCAGCCTGCAATTTCGAAAGATATCGAGCGCGCAGTGACAAAAAATATGCCAGCTGCCCGTGATATTGCGTTGGATCGTGGAAGCTCCGCACCGGCTTTCTCAGAGCCAGTGCCATCGACAGACTCCGTGAATCCAAGTTTGTGTCCTGTAGTACCAGAGAACTTAGATCACATTACTCCTGATATGCGGGGAGATGAGTTAACGGGTAAGTTGCCACCACACATGGATGATGAAAATCGGCCATCACCCTTTGTCTGACCTTTTTTATTGTAGACGCTGTTCCTGGTGCCAAAGAAATGGAGCACTCTCAACTTTCGTGCGTATCCTGTGTGACCGCACCCGCGCCTACAGCCGAACAAGCAAACTGTGTCTCTAGCAACCTATCTGTGGTGGGCGATTCCGAACAAGAATTAGCCAAGCGAAAGTTATCTACCACGGAGGGCTCAGACAGTCTGCACTCTGGGGACTTCGAAAATTTTACGGAGCCTAGTCAGACATCTGACCTAGGTGAAAACCCATGCTCCAGGGCAAACGATGCTCCGGGGCGGGCTGAAGATTCCGGCACCGCTGAAGACAAATCAGCCCCATCTTGCCCGTCCGCTCCGCCTACTGTGCGCTCTACTTCAGAATGTGCTTATGCTCCAACGACAATGGGTTCTGATATCCCGGTGCGCTACCCGTCGATAGCTGTAGTTGTCCCCCCACCATCACCGTTCTGGAAGGCAGGAGCCACCAGGACAAGCACAAGGGCCGCTGCCGCAGTATGCAAGAAGCGACTCCGCTCAGGTCGAGGCATTGGTAACCACCAAGATGGGAACACCAGCTTCTATAACCCAGAACAGCCGTGTCAAAATAAAAAGAAACGGAGGCCTTCAATCAGGCCACTTCCCGACCCTTCGGACTCTTCCACTCCCGTTTCATGTCATTGCCCTGGTGCTATCCAAGGCATACGCGGGAGCGCTCTCCTCACGGTCCAATCCAATTCTGGCCTGAAACCGGCATATTTCTTTACTTTCGTACCCGACCCCAGCCCGAAGCTGTTTCGACCACACACGGCGGTCATCTCAGGGAAACAAAGACCGTACACGTCGGATGAGAATGTACTGCTGGTGCGGCTGAAGGAAAGAGAGGCTATGTCATGGTCTGAGATTACAGCTCATTTCCCAGGCCGAAATATGTCCTCCCTTCAAGTCCACTACTCAACCAAATTACGCCACAAGGCGAGTTCTCGGTCTGGAAGAACGAAGAGACGCGAATGAGAGAGGCTATGTTGTTGGATATTTCTTTGGTCCGCACCTGTCGACCTTTGCTATGTATAACATCCTCCGTAGGCATCTGTTTCAATATAAGCATCAAGGCCAACTTAGCCAATCATTTGCCGCGAGATAAGCTGCGACAGAAAAAGGAGGAGCATCAAAAAAACCAAAGAGGAACTTTTCTCAGCAGAGACAACGTGCTGCTTTAGACTGCAAGATTTGTTACATGCAACCTGACGATTTCTCTGAGAATGCACCCTCGCGACAAGTGGCACGCAAAGGATGTCGTAAGCGAACTGTGTCCACAACATGTGAAGATGAAGACATGTGGTCGACCAGGCACTCGGCGAATTCGGCGCGAAACTCGCGATCTCGGACTGATCGCAACAAGGCCCAACGCAAGCCTAGGAAGCGCTTGCGGTGGTCCTCTGAAGAGGTGGACCTTCTACTGAAGTTAGGAAGAGATGAGCAGCGACCGTGGTCAGAGGTGGGGAAGTTATTCTCGGACCGATATCTGGGAAGAAGCTCTGGCTCAATCCAAGTATATTGGAGTACGACACTCAAAAGAGCACAACAGAATAGGATTAGACCAGCCACAGTCACAGCCTAAAGCAGAGCATACATTCTAGTATCTTTACCACACATCTCAGGATTAATAGGTAGGGTTCAGCAACTTTCGCTGTTCTTGTTGGTCTTTCTCTTCGGGTATTTGGTTGTGAGTGGCAATGACCCACGCTGGACACCGTGATACTATCGAAAAGCGTGTAGCCTCTGTAAACCTTTAAAGAATTAGTCAGTTTTAGTCACTCCATCAAATAGACAATCGTTATGAAGATTGAGTTGCGATGGTGAGTGCTAGTTATGATTGTGACTGGCACAGTATGCAAATTGCTGCAAGGACCTACGGGTGTCCCAAAATTGAAGGTTAGGTAGGTTAGGTAGGACAAAAGAAAAAAAAAACTAAGCGTCAAGCAGCGTCGGTGGGTACAGTGAAAGAACTTCATACACCAGAACGTGACCTCCTGGTTGAATGCCCCGATTTCGCCAGATATGGGATAAATCCTCGGCCCTCGTTGCTAACACCATCACATTTGCTTCTCTTTAAGTCGTTTCTCCTTCCTCTCCTCCCTCTCCTCCCTCTCCTCCCTCTCCTCCCTCTCCTCCTTCATTATCTTCAACCTCTTGATCCACCCCACGGTGTACTCATCCGGGTCCCATACAAGACGCCATGTGTTCCTATCTTTGAGCTTCAGATTCACATATTCCTCCATGAGGTTCTTCTCTCCAGGTTCCAAAAGATGAAGTCTCTTCCGCCATATATCGCAAATATTGTCGTCTTCATATGTAGTCGGTCCAAAGAAACGCTGGTCAATCTTTTTCCAATATATCGCGTCGAAGGCAAAATTATTCCTCGCAGCGTACATGATCCAAAAGTCTCCACTTTTCCAACTGTCCCGCATCCGACTAGATAGCCGCTGGCCTTCTACTAGCAGCTTCTTCTGAATTGCCTCGTCTTCACATTTCCGCATTGCCACCAGAAAGGTCTGGAGCGCTTTCTCATACTCCACACACCAGTTATCAAGGCCTCTAGGCCAATCTTCTGGCTTTTTGAGAAGAAGCCACCAAGGCGGCGCATGAGAAAATTCGACTGGGGCGGTATATGTGAACTCCCAATCCACCACTCCGGCGATGCATTCAGTTTCATCAACTAGAACATTTTCGGGTCGAAAATCGTCGCACCAGACTGGAAATGGGCCATCATCATGGAATATCCATTGCTTTCTCTGCTCCTGGTCTCGAACAAGTTTCCGGAAGAGAAATCTAGCCACAAATTTGCGCCGGAAGTCATCCGCCAAAACTTCTGCATCGACATCCGCCAAGATATCAGCCTCGTTCCTCTGGCTTCTGAGGTGTAAGAGGTGTAGTTCCGCCAGGAATTCGAAGTACGATGACGCTTTTTCGTACGTTGTGGTTGGTAGTTTCGATCGGGGTAGTGTCCCGAGTTGCACAATTTCGTTCATAGAGTAGGACAGAGGTCGATGCAACACTTCCCACGTAGAATCGTCATTCTTGGCAAGGGATCCTATCCGGTTCAAAGAGAGTGTAGACAACGAAAGGATGATCTTGGCTAGTTCTCCATAGAGAGCTTCTAGCCTGGCCGGCTTGAGGTCCGGATTGAGTACTGGGGGTTGTCCTCTTTGGCGCCCTGGCATCTCAAGGAGATCTCCCATACTCCCCATGTGGTGGATATAGTCCATAATGATGAAAGGTCCCAAGTCTGAGGGACTCTCCTTTGTCTCTACCCAGCGAACGATGGAAGGCACCGGGATTGGAATTTTGTTTGAAGTTTTTTCCAAGACATATTGCACGATAGTGGCTTCATTGCGGACTTTTTCTTCAGGGAACATGACAGCGCCGGGCAATGGGAACCTTATAACAGCGCCGCAGTTGTTAGTGAACTCCATCTTGAAGCAGGTATTGAAACCGCCTGTGCTAAGGTATTCAAACAGGGTCCATTCAAGGTCGCTGAATTCTTCAGAGAGAATGACTCCAATGTCATTATAGATGTCACCATCAGTGCGAAGAAGTTCTGGCCAATCCTCCCAGATCTGCGTGCTTATTGCCCAGGCAACATCATCGTAAGGTTTACATGTGAGCATTTTGGGGAGATGAATGAATGAGGCAATGACTTGAGGAAATTTTGGAGTTGCCTGGTGACTTTTTGACGAAATAATGGTTAGTGGTCATCGGAAGAACATCAGGGGTACATACCAAGCAAGCCAATTTAAGTGAGAGGATCACATGACATCCCGCAAAAGTACTTTCGCAATAACTAACTACATGTAGTTAGTTAGTTAACAGTAGCCGTGCCTCAGTCAGCTCCACAAATGATCTGCGAAAGGAAGGCACGACTAGTCCCGAATCAATGTTGCCTAGCTAATCGTCGTGCTGGAACACCAGCTCCCGGTTTAGACCGTTCCAGACCCATCGCCTCAGGCGGATCCCGGACAATCTCGTCAGCCTATGAGAATGAGGCTCTAAACACTTCGTCTCAACAACTTTGGGCGGTGAAAGATATCACTCCTCTCTAACAAAGTGGGTTGCAGGCTGGCTGGTATGGATTGATAGGACACTAATGAACGACTGCAGCCCTAATCCCGTTCAGGAGACAGTGTTGCAGATCAAGCCGCGCCCATAATTGGTCCAGGCTCTTTGCGGTGTCAACCGAGACACGCTGTGGACTGAAAAAGTGGGGCTGTCGTCCAATCTCTTGTTTGAGCAAAAAGATTTAGTCCACCAATCAATCCCACAGGTGCTAGAAGTACCCCCAAGTTCAGTTTCATTTAATTCATGCCAGAAAAGATGCGACAGTGCGAGGAGCCGCAATTGGGTCTGCTCCTCCATCAACGTAGCCGCCGATCTAGACTGTGGGCCAGGCGTTAAGGAAGCACTGGCTGTGAGCCGCTCATTCGCTAATGCATAGTGGTCACCATCACGGGCGCCACAGACGCAAGTGCCTTGAGGAATCCAAGTCTAGTCAAGTCATCTACAGCGAAACTTTCTTTCTGTCTCAACGGGTCCTGCTACTATCCAGGGGCGTAGGGATATCCAACTTTACTTTCGTGCAAGCCGAACAGACTCAAATCGGGACAATAGAAAGTACCGCTTCCGGGGCTGTGTTGAGAAGAGAGCCCCAAAGAACCCCCGGCTTGCTGATAGTCCATGTCTCCGGCGAGAATCTCGAGTTATCTCCAATTACATTGTATTCTGTCTGGTGGATAAAGGATCTTGAGTGTATGCATAACGGAGGCAAGGCTGAAAATTTCCCCTATATCTACCGTTTTGTTATATCGCCAGCATCGTTCCATGAACAAAGAGAGGCTGTCCATTGTCTGTTCATGGACAATATCAGCGTTTATACATATCAATTATGTTTCCCGTGCGCTTCTCCTGAGAGCTCTTCCCGGCCGCTTCTACCACTTCTTGATTCTTTGAGTCTTTCGCATCCTGTTTGTTTTGCTTGCGCTTTTCCTGAGAAATCTTGCCTGCCGCCTCTGCTGCAGTCCTGTTCTGAAACCCTTTAGGGGGAACGAATTTTTTATCAGCCATGGTGATAAAAGAGAATCAAGTCTGCAAAGATCTTGGGTGTTAGTTCTAGACAATATATTTGTTTATGAAACGTACCTGTCGAACAACAAACAACGAATTGGATGATAAATAATGTCTTGAGGAGGCTTGCGATGCTTGAATTGCTTTGAAGACAGCAAATGTTCACAAGTTGTGGAGGAACCGCGGGAAAGACTTTGCAATTCTATTTCATGGGGCTTAAAACGGGTGAAACTGCGGTTTTTATATCCGCACGAGGGTATTGTGGTGGGTAAGACGATAGTGATATGGTAGGCCGCACTCTTAGACCTGTCGGATAAATCAGTGAAGCTGCGCGCATTAGCGTACAACAACACCACTCCGTACGTTCCCACTGATACGTTGTTATGATTGGAAGATATCGAGGGTTTGGGTTGCTGGTTACGTCCCTGCCAATATTTTGAGCCCATCTCGCGCGAAGGCCGGATGAGTATTTCGGAGGCCGCGGAATAGGACCCTTCCGGTAAAAGTTCAAGTGGGGAACCCTGTCAGAAGCGAACAACAGGGCCTGAGCGGGTTGTATGTCGTGGAGTAAAGATCGACTGTGGGAAGAAAAGCTTTGAGCCGCATCGTCTCGAACTCGGGAATGATCAAATCGTATCCGACATGGCGTCTTCTGTCTGCGACAATGTATGCATGTCTCAGGGTCCGCAGCAAAGGGACCGGCGGTTACATACCGCATATCATTGGCGATAGACCTGGCAATAAATGTCTTGAAAGGGCTACGCGCCCGCCCTTGAGGGGAAGCTCCAGTCAGCACTCTTAGAAGCCTGCCATTGGGCACCTTGAATTGGGTGAACTTTTGACCTTACCAGCACATTTATACCTGTTATGGAAGTCAGACTCTCGGAAGAGTTCTTGGCAGGACTCAGTGGATTTGCGTTGCGACCCGTGTCTTTCGCCCGCTGAATCGAGAGCCTGGAGAAACATTTCGATGTCTCGATATTGAAAAAGAGTGTACAATGAGCTTGAGGACTCAGCGAGAGCAAAAGGAAAGCCGACTTGTTGTGATGGTGGTTTTTCTCCGGTTCTGATAATCTGATATTTTATGGAAATTCAACCAGTACTTATAGCTCATCTTTGGAACTGCTGTCCGATGTGTCCGATGGAATAGTCCTAACAACAGCCAGTCTTGTAGAGAAGGGAGCATACAGCGCTCCCAGGATCACCAGGTTGATGCACATGCCCCAGAATGCATGCAATTCGTCCTAGGAGTAATACGCACGATGTGCAGCCAAGTTTCCAACCCTGCTTCCACTGAACGCGCTTCATGGGCTATGATCATTCCTAGGAACAAACCAAGGGTGCTTCCAGGAGCTCATGAACAGGCTGTCAGAGATCGAGCATATATAGTAGCTTGGCTGTTTGGTCGCTGACCAAACATTGTGCCTTTTTGGCCAGATGGCGTAGTGGTAAAACCCAAGCATCCATGAACCGTCACACAGGCAAAATGGGTCATCGCTTGCTCCCAGGAACCGACCCTTGGATAGCCCCAATAGGAAATATTTAAAGCAGCTTTCATTGGGCACCTATAATTAACCTGCTCTCAATGTATGAAAGAATATTCGGGACAGGCTGGCACTGACCGATATGCTTTTGTCGGATCTTGGATAAGAAACTTTCCTCTAGCTCCTCTGATTCTATTAATATCGAAGTAATGATAACGACGACAATTCGATTTTTTTCGTGGTCTCGGAAGAATATCAAGAATATGAAAAGCTCGATGGCAGTAAGTAGATCACGCCTTAGATTATTTTGTATCATACAAACGAAAACATAACAGTTACGTTACCTTACATTGGATAAAATACTTCATGAGCCAAGCCATGTCAAGTGTGGCGGTGCAACGATGTACTAGTAATGTAACGGTGTTTTGATTTGTGATATGCCCGCTGTAATCGGTTTTCGCCAGAACACGCTGTGTTCACACTCACACCATAACGATTTTACGCAGCGAACATCTTCAGCTTTTAAGTCTAGCACGAATGACGGCTTACTTTCTGACAGAAGGTATTCCCAGTAATTCTGACTCTGGAGGATGTAACAAAGATCTTTCATTTTTTTGGTTTTCGCTAGCGACAAATACCTTTCGCTGGAGTCTTGGGTACTGACATTGTGACCTTAGAAGACAGAGGTATGTTGAAGAGTTGAGTCTCTATTATTTATGAAAAGTAAGTTATGTACAAATAGACTACAATTGACACACAGCGTAGTGCTCGAGTTACATAAACCACTTAGCGAGCATATCTCCGACGGACCATCCGATTAGACCCTGATCTGGTGCATCGCTGAGGAAGTTCTAAATCCTTCCAAGCCTGTCGCAGAAAGGCCGTATCTACGTCTACAAAGTGGAGCCCAATCTGCCTCAAGGTCAGATTTTTGGCCTTGAGCTCTAGCAGCTTTCCTTTTTCTCTTGTATTAAGCTTCTGACGGAGCTTGCGAGTACTCAGATCACCCAGATTATTGAGCGGTGACTGTGATCTTGGCTTGGCTCGAGTGAGCGAGACACAGGCTTGATTACCAGAAAGGGTTTTGTCGTCGGATTCTGTCTGCATATGATGGTACTCCTCACGCCTAAGCTTCGGCCTTTGATTGCTGGGGGAGATGAGAGAATCTGGTCGTAAAGCCTTGCCTGGCCTTTCATTTGCTTTTTTGCCAGCAAAATCTTTGCTAGATCGTTTAGACAGCTTTTGGCAAGTGTAGGGTTCGTTCTTTGCCGCCAGCTCGTCCATAGAGAGATCGGGCGGGTCCAGCTGAACAGTTGCTTGGTTGTAAGGCTCGCAATCATCTCCCATGCGAAGTTCAATTGGCTTGAGGATCCGAGGGTCAATGACTTCAAGACCGGGAGTTGTTGGCGGGGAGCTGAGTGAAGAATCTGCTGCGGGAAAGTATGATGCAGCTGCGCTACTTCTACTGCTTTCACTTGGAGTATCACTGAGTTCCGAACAGTAATATCGTTCGGGATGTTCCTCAACGTACGAAAGCGATGCAGAAATGGGCACAAATATCTGGTCTGGCTGCTGTTCGTGACGCGGAGGCGGATGAGGGTAAAAGCGCAACCTTTTGGGTCGCTCCTCCTCTAGCTCTGTCGAAGATCTTTGTGCTTCCAGCTCCGTCTTGAAGGCACGCTTTCTCTTCCTCGGAAGCTTTGGACTAGACCAAATAGCTTTGTTAAGCCCGTGGATGTCGTGCAAATGATGTCGAAGGTCACGCTCATTGTCGAATTCTTGGGCACAACCGCATACTGGCTTTGTTGTAGGCCACTGGAGCCGACACATGTGCTGTTCTTCGATGTGTTGCCTCAGGTTGCCACTTTTTAGCCAATAATCCAATCGTTCTTCCGCGGGAAGATACGCATTCCACAGGCACAAGGGACAGTAGCCGGGGCGGATCACTGTGTGACGATATATAATAACTTCACAGTGTTGAGTTTCCCACGACTGGAGATGAGCATTGCAGTGATCTCGCCATTCACTTAACAAGCACCACTCCATACATTCGTAACAAAAGCGCATTTGTGACTCCGAGACTTGGAACCCAGCTGCCTTCTCGCTTCGAACGCATGCATGGATGTGAGTGCTTCGTTCACTTTTTTTTAAGCTGATTGAATCTGTCAGAGGGCTGCATAATCACGGCCGAAGATCCACTTACCTTGTAATGATGACCTGGCAGGCTTTCGCCGGACAGGCACTATGAATTGGACTTTCATTGGGAAGATAGACCACATCAAAATCGCGGGAGCATTGAGTCTGTAAGTCTTTGACGAACATGATTTTCTCTTCGAAGGACAACTCAGTGGTTCGGGACATCGCTGTTGCGATTCGCGCAATTTCAGGCATGATCAAACTCTGAGCACGTATACAAACATCATTTGTCACTGAGACCGGCTGCTCTTTGCCACGGTTGAGGATTTTTTGATCCCTTCTCGCCTGTACCCAAGAAGTTTGATACCTTTTGAGTTCAAACCGGCGTTGCCGAACCAATGCGTTCCTGTAACGCAGCTTCGCGTCCCGAAGATTCGTCTGATTATTGCACTTTCTGAGATCTCCGATGCGGCTTCTCAGTTCCACCATTTCAGGTAGCATCAAAATGCTTTCCTCGATGTGAGCAGGCAAATTAACAGGAAGACCAGGCACACAAAATTGAGTGTAGCCCTGGAAGTACTCAATGTGTTTCGTTTCACCTTTCTCATCAAGAACGGCCGAGACTGTGTCTATAGAGGAGCAATGGGCTTGATAGTGATCTGGAAATGTTTTTGGATCCCGATGCGCCAGGATTTGTGAGACGGGCGCAGAGCCATACCTTGCTGTATTGGGCGTCAACCACCGGATCATGCTCAGTTGTATTGATGTTCATATTTGCTTACATTCGACCTCCTTGGCCAGGTTCCTTCGCAAACAGTGTATTGTCGGATGTTCACTGTAGCCAGCTGCATCAAAGATCTGGTGTAGGTAGGAGGAAAACTCTTTGTTCGTAAGAGGAATTTCTTGAGGCCCGTCGGCTGTGACATTCCGGAAAATCGGTTTCGTCTTAAAACTTTCCTTCCATTCTAATGGGATCTCTCCATTCGATAGATCAAATTCTTCCAAATCTGAAACAGTCTCTATACCAAAAAGAGCGCCATGTGCAAGTGCGAGTGCGAGGAGAAGTTGGCCAGATGCGAATTGAGGTTTGTTGCTGTCACGGATACCGATTCCGAACCTGAGAACATGTTAATAGAACTGGAAAAGAAGAACCAATACTTTTGAATCCTTACACTGTGTACTTTTCATTACGATGATTCTTGAGCCATTTCTGGTTGACTCTCCATCCAACCTCCCATGGAGCGGTGGATGAAGGAAATAGAACCAACTTGATGTCCTGGTTCAAAAATTAGAACAAAATGAACTTCAGAGACGGTTCATACATAATTCGTATCGAAGGCCTTTGTAGTGTTTATCCTCATCAGAAGGCATAAAAGTTCCGACTCTTGCCCCCGTGAAAAGGTATAATTGAAGAGCAAATAGTATGAGGACCTTTGTCAGCCCGGGAATAAACTTTTGATGATCAGCTTGCCAAATTGAGGCGACAACTTTCAAAAAGTCATCCCTCTTGAAGTTGTACTTCTGCTTTTTCTGGTCCACGACAATGCCCTCTGCTGTCAATGTATTTTTTATCCACTGCATTTCATGGAAGAGTAGAGTTAGTGATGTGTTGTTGACAGAGAAATAAAGAACCCACATCATATACTTCTTTTCTATCCTTCTGGGGTACCTCCGTTTTGGTGCTCTCTTTGAATCCCCCAAAGAATCGTTCCGCCCACGCTTTGACAGTTCTAACAGTTGGCTGTTTGCCTTCGCTGAGTCTGCCTGTAGCAGAACTCACACACCAGCGAATGAATTCCTTAACCACATCATGGCTCGGAGGGGAACATCCGGGAACAGTTTTGTAATGTTTGAACTTATTGCTTGGATCTGCTGTGAAGCTAGGAGAGAAGTCAGCTTCCTCCAAGAACTCGCGGGTCCGTCAACGTACTCGAGCCAGAGGTCCAGCTTCTCTTGGTGTATTTTCTTGGTCTTGTCGAGCTTCTTGTCTTTATTTCGGATGCTGTCTTCCTCCCTATGGGCCCCGGGGACGTATCCATTCTTTCCTCGTAGTAGACGGCGCCTTTCCTTGGTTATCTCATCGCGTCTGGCGAAGAAGTCCATTCGCTCCATAATTATGAACCTTGCTCGGATGCTAGCTGTAGAAGCAGTTAGGTAGTGAAATGAAATGATTTGGATGAGATGATGAGAGAGCTGGTTCATGGGGACATGTTGTCCTTATATAGCTGAGGCTTCGAGCTCAAGTCGGCCGCCGTACTGAAAAAAGACAGGGAAGTTTGATTGGACTATCCCTAATCGGATGGCCTTCGCCATCTTATTTCTGCCTGATAGACATGATGCGTTATTTTGGGGGCAAGGGATCCTCCAGAAAACGAGGGCAGCTCAAATATCGTCAACGCACTAACCATCACAGAATAAATGGCTCTGTGGGGCCTGTCTCTATTGGGTAAGGTCTAGACTGAGTTACACAAATCAGGGGTGCTCACTGAGCGTTTCTAAGGTATCACTGAGCACTCACTGAGCACTCACTGGGCGATCTCGGAGCACGCACTGAGCATACCCAAGTGGTCACTGAGCACTCACTGAGCAGTCACTGAGCACGTCGCGGATTAGTCATCGTACACGTGACCGAACTTGAGCATGCTCACTGAGTCTGAGCCCGTGCTGACATCTACTCACTGATCCTGAGCCTGAGCGCCCTCATAAAGCGGCGGCAGCCCAGATAGGAAAGGCCCCACCCGGCAGACTCTATCCTGTCTATATAGGGACATATACAAGTATGAATGTTTGGCTTATAGCCTGACTGCTTGAGATGCCTATGTAATAATGAGAACATCAATCAAGTCAGATTCTCCTATTCTCAGGCTTATTAGAACAAGCACATACTGTCAAATACCTTGGTCCTTGACGAAGGGGCTGATATCCGGGCATACGCTGACCAGATTTCCCTATCATTGGGATCCTCATCTCTGAGTAAGGATACTCTTGATCTTGCAGGGGGGAGGGTCTTCTTGAGGTGGCTGAGCTTCTCAGGGAAAGAGGAGGGGAATAGTATGGTTTCTGGCAACTTTGACAAGGGCTCACGAGGTCACGTTTTACGTCGGAGCTCACGGTCTCACCGGAGACGTCTGGCTATGCAACCCTGATGTCTATTCACCTGTTGTGAACTACTGTTACTGTATACAGAACGAGGGAAAATTGGAAAGAGATAAGATTTACAAATCTCATTCATGGCCTCACATCCACATCTACAAGGCCACACGGCACTTGGACACGTTTCACACATCTGTACAGAAACAGAAACAAACGCAGAATTTAAAATTCAAAATCACAGAGATATCCAGAGACAGGGACAGACCGAGACATATAAAGGAGAGAGAGAGAGGGCAATAATGGTAGGGTAATCAGAAGCCAATGGCTCCGTCCAAAGATACCACCCAAGTCCAAATTAATGTGCAAGATCAAAGAAATGACCAAATCATAAGACACCTTCCAAGTGGCACCGGCCAATCGTATGAAGAATTCGTTCCAAATTTGGTTGTCCCAGTGCCATTGAAAGGAGTAAAGGGAAAAAAAAAGTATTTGGTGAACAAAAGGGGGAATATATCAAGAAAAGAAAAAAAGAACGCGACACACGCAGCGACGAGCCGTCACTCGGAGTATCATGTTGAGAAAGAAAAGTGGCCGGTCAAAAATTGCACAGAAAGAAGAGATACGTGATATGTGACATGTAAAACCCTTGCTGGATGATGGACAATGAAAAGGAAGTTTTGTGCAGTCTCGCTGTCCCTGCCTCTGTCGGAAAATGGAGAGGGAGCATGAGCGCATGGCAAGGGCAGGTATCTCAGGCGAGATAGTGTAGTTTCATGGCCCGTGTGCCCTCTGATTGTCGTCGTAGGGCCCAAAAGGAGGTGGGGATGTGATGGAAGGGTCGGTTCGTGCATCGAATTATCGAAACGGGCGCTTAGTTCCATCCCAAAGAGTTCTCCGCCATGACGGGAGCGCTGATCATCTGCGAGCGAGCGGTTCCGCGGCTACCGTGGCTGGGGGCGCGGCCACCGGCAGCGAACAGCGAACCAGCAGCAGAGCCTCCTTGGCTCATCTGCTCGACAGTGGAGGAGGAGCGCTGGTGCAGTTGCTTTCTCTTGCGGTAGCGGCGGGCAACCCAGAACATACCAGCACCGTAAGCGGCGGCACCAGCTACAACACCGACTCCGATACCAACAGAGCTGGCCTTAGCCTTGGAGCTGCCAGCAGAACCATCGCCGTTGTTGTTGTTGCCACCATCCGAGTCATCAGTGCTGCCGCCGTCGCCATGGCCGTCAGTCGAGTCGGTCTTACCACTAGGGTAGTTTCCAGAGAACTCGAGAGGGATCGTGGAATCAACCATGGACATCAAGGACTGGATAGACTCGCTCTTCTGATTGTAGAGAGCAGAGTTAGGGTTGATCTTGAGGGCTCGGAGAGCATCGACCTTGTCGCGAGGGAAGTAGAAGATGGCGAGGGTAGCATTGTAGCCGGTGGCCTGCCAGTTGTAGTAAGGCTCAAGAGCAAACATAACTGGAGATTCCTTGGCAGACAGTGTTGGCAGAGCAAACCCAATAGCCTGAGGGGTGTAGTTGAAGATCTGCGACGACGACAAGGGGGTGGTTGCCACGAACGACCAGGGCAGTTGGTTGTTGAATCCAAGCTGAAGCAGTACGGAGTCGGCAGGAGCCTCGGAGACATCGTTGGATGGGGTGATAGATCCAGGCAGTGCGGTTGGCTTAGGCTGCTCGGTCTCGCCAGAGGTCGAGGTCTCGGTAGCAGTGACGGTAGGCATGATCAAGATGGTCGATGGCATCCAGTTGTTGTCATCGGATGTGGTGGGTGACTTCGTCTCGGTCGGGTGATCCAAGGTCTTGGTTGAGCTCACCTCTGTCGTGGTCGCCGAAAGGGGGACGGAGGCTGGGCGGGAGGTGGGCGTGGGAACCTTCGGCATGTCGTGAGAACTAGAGGCGGAGTCCGAGCCAGACGTAGAAGTGGAGGTAGAGTCCGAGCCGGGCGAGTGCGGGACGGGGACCAATCCAAGGGAGTTCGTCGGGGTGGGAATGGCACCGGGGTTAGTAGGAATGAGTCCAGTAGACTTAGATGGCAGAAGGCTACCATTAGGCAATTTAGCGGTGGGAATAAGAGCAGAGCTACCAGTGCTTGTGCCTGTCGAGATACCAAGCAAAGAATCCACACCGGACTTGATACCATCGAACAAGTCACCGGAAGTCGAAGAAGCCGTAGCGGTGGCGGCGGTCGACGCGGGGCTGGTGGCAGAAGCAGGAACGCTGACTGGAATGGTAGCTTGAGAAGCAGTGGTGCTGTTTCCCTTGTTACCCAAGCCCAAAGGTCGAGCAGATCTGACCCTGAGCTTGTGGTGGTGGTGCTCGGGCTGCTGATCTGGGTGTTGACACTAGAGGCGCCGGTGGATGCCGCAGAGGCGGAGCTGCTGGTGGTCGAATGGCTGAAGAGTCCACTCAAGCCAGAGCCCAGACCGTCCAATAAGCCGTTGTTGGATGACGTGCTAGACTCGGTAGAAGCAGGCGAGGATACCTTTGCCGCTGAAGCGGAAGTGGGGGTTCCAGTCGATGTGGAGGCGGTGGTCGAGTCGCCCTTGAAGATGGCGCCCAAATCGGAGCCCAAATCACCAAGGATATTCTTGCTAGAGGTTGTAGTGGAAGCAGGCGTTGTCGGGACCTTGACTGATGAGTCGACAGGCTTGTCCTTGCTCGTAGACCCCGCATCGGCAGAAGCGGCCTCTGAGCCCTTATTGGTGTTGACCGTGCTTGCGCCCTCGGTCTTCTGAGTAGTCTGGGTCAGGGTAGCAGTTGGCTCTCCGCCGATGGTTGTAGTACCGGTAATGCGGTGGGTGATCTCGGGGTTCTTAGGGTCAACCGAGATGGTAACAACGACAACTTCTTGTCCCTTCTGGGGCGCAGCAGCGGTCGAGCTCTCAGAGTTGGAAGTGGGCGCGGGTCCCCCGAAGGAGCCTTTGGTAGAATCGAACTTATCGAGGACGCCATTTAGGAACGAGGCAGGGTCGAAATCAGCGTCTCGGCGGGCGTTACGAACGGTTCGCTTGACGTCGCGCGGGAAGTAGTAGCGCGGGCGCTCCACGTGCGCTTCAGGGGCATCTTGAGCTGCCACAAGCTGGAGGCCGCCTACAGCCAGGAAGGCTGTAATAGCAGAAATAGCGTCGGGACGCATGCTGAGCGATTCTGTACGTGATAGCTCAGATTTAGTCCAAGGTCAGTGTACAAGATGCGATAATTTCCGGTTCGTCAACACCTCATGAAAGCTTGGAGGGGTGTGACTAGAGATATCGCCTGGAATATTCTTGTTTCCAACACGACCAGGCTTCGGAAGATTGTGATTTTTTCACAATTGCAACAGTGATTGTCGAGATTATCCAAGGTCTCGATGGCAACCGATGAGACAAGACCAGCGCAAACAATAATAATCCGACTATAAACGAATGGAAAGGGGTGTTTCAATAAAATTGAAACGGTCCCCAAGAGGCGAAAAGCGAGTGTGGGCTTCGAAAAGCAGTAAGGAGCGAACGACGACTTTCTGTAAAACCGTCTGGGCAACGGAATCAAAGAAAGGGGAGAAAAACGGGCGATGCGGGCGACCGATGCAAGGGAGTTAGCCCAGGTCGAAAACGCTGTCGAACTTGATCAACAGACGAAACACAGCAAAGCAGACAAGAGAAAGAAAGGGAGTGAATGAGTGAATGAGGTCGAAGATTATAGAAGGGGAGGATCAATCTTAGGGGGGCCGAATGGAATGGGGGGCGGGACACGTTGTGGCAGCGTCAACAAGAGTAATTTACGGTAAATTATGTATTTTCGCGTTATTTATTGTATTTTTTGACATTTTCCCGTGCTTTTGGCCGGTGCCTGAATTGTGGACACGCACTTGCCCCTGAATAGGTGTCATATTTGCATAGGCACGAGTTGATATTTCAACGTTCTTTTGACTTGGCATCTGCGACTTTACGGAGTATTGTACGGAGTAGGCAACTAGGCATTCACAGTTCATGCTACTACTGTTTATTGATCTACTTACGAGGTATAGCTCAGTGACCATAACAGATAAATCCAGATATCAGCAAGACCAGACAGTCAAGACGTCAATGCCTATCAGGGCTATCAGGGCTATCAGGGCTATCAGGGTAAAAGAGCATGCTGTTTACTCCGTAGCGCAGAAAAAAGAGAATAAACCCCACTGAAGAGGTCGGGTCAGGGTCTATCCGTACTCCGTACGGAGTATGGAGTAAAAGGTGCATGGAAATAGCCCCGGAGACGATAGACCAGAAAAGCAGAATGGGGCCGGAACTAACAGCCAAGCCGCACATCACAATATAAAATGACAAAGAGGCGCAATGCAAAACAACAATTTCTCTGGGTCCAACTCAAGCAAAGTTCAGTTCGCGGCATGGTCTGGCCCAGCGGGCGTCAACCAAGTGGGTCTCTCACACACACCCGTTCCTGAGCGTGTCGGAACCACTAGAGTGCGTGGCAGTATTACATCCATACCAATTCCTCATTGTATCTCGATGTACTGCAATACATGATCCTTTTAGCCAAGCAAGCCGGCTCCCATTACCATTCTCATCGTTAGTGGCTTCAGGTCGGCCACCAGTCCCGTGCACCTAGCTATTTCCGGATTAAGATCAACAAAGAGATCGAATCAGCGATGGTGGATGATGACTAGCCGCTGTTAAGCACGGTCTTGTTTTCTTGCTCGGACTCAATTTCTCGGTAGAATTGGGCTATGGACGCCAAGCGATGGCTTGGTTTTGCTAGTTATCTTGAGGTCTTTACCGAGTGGGACAGAAAAGGATGAAGAGCTAGGCTAGTCATACGCTGTGCGACACCGTTGCTCAATTGACGGAAGTAGGGGATGAATCGGTCTCAAATTTGGGTCACTAGAACCCGATCGATAAGAATGTTTCACATCCTGGCGAAGTTTTCCACTGTCTCTAGAATGATGATCCCCTATTGACCTGGCATGAACACCTGCTAATAGTCTATGAAAATGAAGCCGATCGATCCTTTCAATTGGGAGTGAAAAATACACCACGTGCCTCGATCGGAATGGAGGAGAGCTGGCAGCTACGATTTCCCCTCATTCCTGTCGTCATTTTCAGATGCTCAGCATTCCTAGTGTGTTTGAGATTGTGCCATCTAATGCCAAACGGTATGAAACCAATTGCACTGACATTTCTTGACCCCTCATCTTTTCGGGCTCCTCCATACAAACGACACTCTTTGCTTTCCCCTCTCGTGTTGCTATCTTGTTTGGCTTTGCGGAAGGGCTTGGGACTGCATGCTGCACGAAATCTCAAATTCATGAAAAGTGCAGGGACAAAGCACTGATAGAACCTTATGTGAGACTCAGCCCCATTCCCTTTGTCTTACAGAAAGGATCTCAGGTCTGTGCAAGCTTTTCGCTGTTCTTCTACCCGAAGACGCAAACACATGGATATTAAGCATTCAGGAACGAGGCCATCTCTATTTCTTTAAGATTGATTCCAAGGTTTTACTGAAAGCTTTCATCAGCCGTACCAAGGACAACGGCAGACGCTAGGCCTGTTCCTGAACACTACAGCTTCTGTCTCCACTCTTCATCCGTGGTTTTAGCCGTATCTATTGAAAAAGTGCAAACAAAGATTACAGGCACTAACGTCCAGCACAGTGTAATATTTCTGTAAGCTATACATGGATCATGTGATTGAAATCCTCGCAGGATTGGATCGATTCCTGTCAGGCTGTCACTGTATCCGGTGGAGAGCGACGCGAATCGAACCATCAAAAGAAAAGCGAAGAGGCAACTCTGGTGGAGTTACCCTTTCTCCACGTCACCGTCATACCTGCAGAACTCTTCAAAGTCTAGAGTCTAGAACTGCGTCCATTTCCACTCTTCGTGACCAAACCAGAAGCCTCGATCTCAACGTCGGTTCCCTTGGGCAGAGACTTGACACAGATGCAAGTACGCACCTATAAGGGCAAGGCCCAATGCTTGTGAGAAACGGCCCACTTTTCAAGTAACACACAGTACACAGCACAAAGAGGGCCGAATTCCAGACTCAATTACAATCGTCGGGGAATTCCGATCTCTCTAAGCCAATGAGTACTTACCGGCTTTGGGTCCGAGAAGAAAGTGTCGTAGATTTCGTTCACAGCCGGGAAATCAGCCATGTCGGTGAGGAAGATGTTGATCTTGATTGCGTCGCGGAGACTAGATCCGCCAGCCTCCAGGACGGCATTGAGGTTCTGTAGGATTTGTCGCTGTAGAATAGCCGTGTCAGACAACACATCACGTAATTGGTTTGGTTGTACTGTTTCATACTGTTCGGTCCTGAATGCTCCCCTTCACCATTTCACCGGTGGTTGGGTCTGCGCCCAACTGGCCGGAGCAGTAGACCACGTCCCCGACGACCAACCCTTGGGAGAGGAATGGGGGTGGGAGCGGTGCGCCCTTGGTGCTGACGGCGGTACGTGTTGGTTTGGACATCTTGTAGATTGAGTCAGATTAACTGAGGAACCTTGAGATGTTAGAATTTCTGTTCAATTGGAATTGGCGTCGTCTGAATTCTGTGGGGATTTCTAATCGATAACGCCCTTAGTTAGTTACCCCACACTCAATTTACCGAACACCTCTCCGGGCGACAGCGAGGGCGTGGAAGCTGTTCTTGTACGTTCTCGATGAAATACTCTTGGACGGTTTATTCTGAATCAAGGTACCTCTTACAGTACCTACGTGTGCTCGAGTTCCAATGTGCGATGATGGATTATAATGAAAACACGCATGCTCCCGCGTACCCCGATATATACCTCTATCGGCAAGCAACTACGAGAATATCCTCCTGATATTTGCAGTCCATGGAATGGGGCCAGGAGATGATGACTCATGAGAGTGGTTAAGTGTCCTGAGCTCGCGCTGGAGTATCTTCTATGTTTCATTTAAATCATGCTTGATATATGCAAGGTCACAGCTCGCTCGTGTCCATGGGACGTTGCCTGCGGGTTTTGTATATACATTCATCTGGCATCACATTGCCTTAGATGGAAAGGCGAGATATATCGACATATTCAGGGGATGAGATGTAGTTGCGCCAGAAGCGCAAACCCTCAATTCCTTCTTCTCGACAGAGAATCCCCCGGTCCTCGGCCATTTCTAGCTCTTCGGCAGCCACGCCGACGCTCCACTTGAACTGATGCGCAACCTCCTGCGCAGTCACGGATCGACCAAAAAGGGACCAATCCCAAGGAGCAGAATCCTCTGGGGGAATCTGCCGAAGTTCTTCCATCCACGCCTGAAGCTTTGCAATAGTCTTCTCGTCACTCCAGTCAGATCTCTGCACAACAAGAAGACCACTCTTGAATCGCCGTAGGCGGACTGGCAGCTTGAGCTTCTCCCAGAGCTCCGCTGCTTTCTGGAAATCAGACGGGCTGGCCAATTCTACTCCATTACGGGATCGGTTGAAGATTGCCCAGAGATCGATGAGACTCATGATCCCTCCTTCCCGCTGTAGGATTCCTTTTCTGTCATCCGTGAGATATTCCGCTAGATCGCGCGCAAGTTCCGATAGGTAGAGACTTTCATGACCTGAACTGAGCATGTCTCTGGTCGTCACCATGCCTAGAGCAACGGCAGACTGCGACAGCACAGCACTAGTCTCTGGAGAGCCCTCGTTGGTGGTGATTCCGGAATCTCGCGCCAGAGTTTCGGCCAGAGCAACAATTTGCTTAGCGGAAGCCATTAAGGCTTCTAGATCTTCGAATGCGTTACCTATGACCAGTTCATTCATCCTTCGAGTTTCTAGTCCTCGGCGTTCTAACCCGGCAATACCGACACCTGGATGTCGTTGTGCTGAGGGCGAAGGACTCTCGACCAGAGCGGAAGGTAAGCCTGGCGAGGAACTGGTCTGGGACGGTGGAGGCACCGGGGGCGCATTTTGCAAGAGCCACTTTCTTTGAACCAAAGCGCCCTTAAGTCTTTCATAAAATATCTTATCGCCGCCGGCACGAAACGAAAACTTGATGCAATCGCTGACCTCCGTGTTCGTGATGTGTGACTGCTCGAATATGGGCGCCGGAGAGTCTACACGACTGGCGCTGGCTACAGAATTTGCAGATATTGGCGCACCACACATCTCACACTCGACAAGAGATGGATGGTTCACAAAGGTACAGCGGGGACAAGAGACAGTGGTTCCGGAACTAAGAGGTGTTGAAGACACATTGGCGCCCAATTGGTCTGAAGTCTGGGCAACGACCGGCGATGAAACTGAGCCCGGCAAGGAATCCCGGCTTGTTACAGCACTGATCGCTGCCTTAAGAACGGTTGTGAATGGCGGTTTTATCCCACATGCTAGGCAAGGAGGTAAATGTGTTGCTGCACTAGCCGTTGCAGGGTCAAAATTTGATGGGACCGGGTTAGAGAATGAGCATATGGGGCAGATCCAAGTGGCATTGATAAGCTTTGGAGGTGAGAATCCCTGTGCCAGGCTCGTTTGTGATAGGTGAGAAAGCGACTGTGTTGGGTGAAGTGTCGATTGCTGGGGTACAGCCGGGCTGGCCGTTACGCTCCTTGACTTGTCGGTCTTCTTCTGCGGTTTGGGGTATATGGTAACCTTCGGAGAAGACTTCAAGAAGCCAGCCTTAATTTTCGATTGCGTGAGTGACTGGCTGAAAACAGGAGGAGACTTGAACCAGAATTATGCACGTCGTACCTGAGACTCCACTCGATCGAGCTCTTTCAGATCAATAGCCACCGAGTACTTCCGCGAGTCCTCCGCTGCGACATAGCATACTCTATGCGATGTAAGATATGCATGTCCATTTTGGTAGTTCTGGATTTTGTATTTGCTTTGTCTCCAATCAGTACCCCGCATCAACAGCATCATGAGCTACCTACCCTTCATATAACCCCACTCCATCCTGGACGAACAGAAGGACCTCATCAGGCAATAGCAAGGGTCTGAGTGCAGTAGTCAGATCCAACGACTTGAAGAACATCTAGTAGGTTCAACCAAGCACTCAACATTCAAGGAGAGCCATGAAGTAAGAGAGAAAGAGACGGCCAGGTGTGTACCGTCATTTGGCCAGAGCGATAATGATAAGGCGATAAGGCCAAAGGTCCGGAAAAACAAAGGCTCCGGTGGGTAAGCGGTGAGTAAGCGAGTATCCTCAGATCATCGATGGAGCACAACCCAAGTCTGTGTGCACTTAACCATCGCCCTCATCTGGCTTGTGACCATCATCTTGAAAATAAATACCCCGTCATCTTTCTCTCTCCTCTCTCTCTCATCTCAAACACAGTACCAGCTGGGGTGTAGGCTCCAACAACCTCCCACAGCCTTTTTTTTTTGGGTCTTGCCCCTTCGTAGCTCTTTACTCCCTTTCATCTTGTTTCTTTGTTTTCCTTATCAACGTTGCATCTACGATGAGTTCCAGCATCCCACCTTGGCGTTCTACCGCCTCCGCTCCCTTGCTTAGTGCGTTCCCGGCGGCTGGTAAGAAACCCGATCCGACCCGTGTCTGGTTGGTCGTGTGCCATGAGGCTAATAATTTAACAGCAGCCCCAGCATATATCCCAGTTCAAGCGCGTCGTAGCCTCGCAAACCACAGCAAGCCAACCCACGGGATCGTTACTTCCCAACCAACAACGCAGTCGGCATCACCGGAAACAGAAGACCGGCCACGAGTGCAATTTCCTCCCCCTGTACGCTCCTACGTCCAACGCTGCTTTGCTCCAGAAAATCAGGTTGCCAGCGTGAGCATTCCTGAGATGCAGGAGAAGTTGAAGCAAGTGATTACGGACGCGGCTCAAAATGACAAGCTGGGGTTGATCGACTGGGACCGGCTCCCTCTACCCCAGACCATGATTCAAAATGAACGCAACAAGATCTTAGCGAACCCCAGCTCTTCGAACTGGGCGTATGGTCAGCCTTCTTCTCCGGGAGACGCACGGAAGAGAAAGTCGACTGATGCGCATCAATCGGAAACTGGATCGCCACCATGGAGAAAAGCTAACCGTAATCGTTTTGAAGACCGAGTTACTCACCCTACCACAGAGAAAAAGCCACGCATAACAGTGGACCAGTCTAGTAAGTCCAAAGCTAATTTGGAAATGAGGAGGAAGCGTTTCGAAGGAGTGGGGGGCGCCTCGCCTTCCTCTCCTGCCAGATCACCCACGCAGACCGCTGAAGCGAACCAAGGCCCCGTTGTCGGGCGATGCCAAACTTTGGAAAAGAACTATTTCCGATTGACATCTGCTCCCAACCCGGACAGTGTTCGTCCTTTGCCTGTTTTGCAAAAGGCCCTGGATTTATTGAAGAAGAAGTGGCGGAACGAGGGCAACTACGGTTACATCTGTGACCAGTTCAAGTCTCTGCGTCAGGACCTAACGGTCCAGCACATTCGGAATGAATTCACCGTCAACGTCTATGAGATCCATGCGCGCATCGCCTTGGAGAAAGGGGATCTTGGTGAGTACAACCAGTGCCAGACCCAACTACGAGTGCTGTATGCGCAGCAGCTGGGCGGACACCCGACGGAATTCAAGGCCTATCGTATTCTTTATTTCATCTACACGCGGAACTGGACGGCCATGAACGACGCTTTAGCCGATGTGACCGCTGAAGATAAGAAAGACCTTGCCGTGCAGCATGCCTTGAATGTTCGGTCTGCCCTTGCACTCGGGAACTACCATCGTTTCTTCCAGCTGTACCTCGATACGCCGAATATGGGAGCCTATCTCATGGACATGTTTGTCGATCGTGAGCGGTTGAGTGCACTCGCGACCATGTGTAGAGCGTGAGTTCCCCGTCCAGTCTCTTTTATGAGTGGCCTATCTGACCTTTCATTATAGATACAAACCAGATGTCAACATCCGTTTCATCACCGAGGAACTCGGTTTCGAGTCCGATGAGCAGACCGCGCGTTTCATTCTTGATAACTCCTCAGCGGAACTGCTAGAGGAGAAGAATGGGGCTGTGAGGCTGCTGACCGGACAAGCAGGCACGCTCTTTGACCAGGCCAAAGCCGCCGCTCACCGCGTTGTCGACATCAAAGGCCAGATCTAACCAATTTGGCATTATCCACGTATTTCTCGCGTCTTGGCCCATATCCCATTGGATTTCAACAAAGCAAGCAGCTCTCATTTCTCATTTTTATGTTTATTCTTGGCGTATTCTCAAAAGCGGCAGGCGTTCACCCGACGTCCACACTTCATTTGGCCTTCTTTCAAGGTCTACGCTTCCTTTTCGTTGTCTTTTTCCGTTCTCCGCAGCTTCATCCCGGATCTCTTTCCACGGAATTATTGCCACCGCACTCACGACAATACTAATACCTGCCCCGGGGTCGTCTGGTTCTGGAGTTGGACGGTTTTGGGGGCGCAGACGATGGGCTCCGTGCACTTCAACTATTTCGAGTACATACTTACAGCATTCAATCTATCCAGTTGTATCTGTTCAAGTTGTACGGGGCTCCTTTCGTAGACTAGTTGCTGCATTTGGTATGGCAACCTTGGAAGGTTCAAAGGGGTCTCGGAAGCTTCCATGGAAACTCGCCACGTGGGAACCGATGCGAAGCCGGGTCGTACCAAAGGTCTGCCCTAGTCGTCCAGGATCGGTGTTGGTTTTTTGGAAGAGCTATGAGAATAGCAGCACATGCAATCAACAGTATCCGCCTGACGGCTATCTCGTATGTGTGTGCGATAGGCGATGATAGGCGATGATCGACTTTGATGGGTAGACTTTCTTCAGCCTTGTCTTCGAAGTCCACAAAAGGGTAGTACGAAATAGGACTGACGAGTCAATGAAGATCTGCAGTTCTGCACACATACAAGTCTCCAGATCTAAGAGCAATTTCTTCTACGCAGTACATGCATACTTTGCTCGTCAAATCGGCAGATTGCAGGAGCCGCGCATTAACATTTGTGGTCGGCCCCAGAATCTTGTGTCCGAATGAGGATAATAGTAGAATATATGGAGTAGATCAAGTCTGACACCCAATTCTAGACCTTTTGTTTCTGACACATCGATCTGCCCTACGGAGTAAGTGTCTTGCCCATAAAGAAAGGGACACAAAAGAACCGCCGATCTAAACGGATGAGGATAAAGGCGACGTCATAATCCATGGATCGGGCTTAGCTGGACCACGGGACTGAGTGGGGAAGGTGAGGGACACAGACTTCTTTTTCTTCTTTTTCCTTCTGTGTACCTGTTTCTCGTCAAGGACAATGTACTGTATGTAACTGAGGTACATGGTTAAGCTCGGGGTTTAATATGGCAAATGAGAAGACTTGGATAGAGTGGCATCGGGGTTAGTACACAGTAGGGTGTGATTTCGTTGCACTACGCGCCGAGGGTGGATTCTCATTTGTCTGCCCAACCGGGGGGGGGGGGGGAATCAGTGTAATACAGCTTGTAATCTCAAAGTCTGGGGCACATACAGAGAGTATCTCATGGATGTCAATATTTTGTAAAAAAAAGAGGAAAATGTGAGAGGTAAGAATGGGCGGGGGAAAGTAAATTCAAAGACGGTCCATGGAATTTAATGGAGCTCTATTATTGAGAGTTGTATACTTCCGGGGCTCTGATCCCAAGGTTCAGGAGATAGCAAGGGCGTCATTTTGTATCGACATGACAATACAGAGCTAAAGGACTTCCAAGGGTTAAAAATAGGATGTTCATTGTCGTTAAGACAGAAATACCCCGTGTTGTAGATATAATAGAGATCAAAGACTTTACAGTTTATGCATAAGAAAACACTGGATCGATCACGATAGTTACGCCTCCAGATATTAAAGAAAACACAAAACGGAAGAAAAAGCGGGCCCTGGGCAATCGCCATCTAAGCCGCGTTGGTTCGAACCGCAATACGCCTTACCTGGTCAAGGTATACGGAGCACGTTTGGCTAAAAAGAGCTGCTCCTCCTATCCTTCCTTCCTCTCTGCATCTCCTTGATCCCTCTTTCCTCCAACGTACAAGCATGAAGGTGAGTCTCCCACGTGTTCCCGAAGTATTACCTGGTATCGTGTTAAATTAATCCGGTTTCGAAAAAAACAACAGGCCTTTAGACGATCTCTGAAGGGGGAGAAAGACCCAAAACATCATCACATCTCCATTACACCTAAGTCTGCTACTTCGATTTTACCCCCAAAGAAAGTGAGTTGTTGCCTGTGCTGCGACTAAAAATTCGCCCTCTTTTTCTTTTTGACACCCCTCGCCCCTCTCCCGATACGATACGTTCTTGGCAGTGGCTGACCGCATTTCCCTAGGTAATCAAAGCTCTCTACGACTACCAACCGGAGGGGACTTCGCAGGAATTGGCATTCAGCAAGGGGGATTTCTTTCACGTTATCAGCAGGGAGGACGATCCGGATTGGTACGAAGCGTGCAATCCGCTGATCCCTAGTGCTAGGGGACTTGTGCCCGTCTCCTTTTTTGAGGTTATCGGCAAAAACGAGCGGGATAGTGGGGGCTCTGGCGACCTGTCCAAGGACCACCACGACTCTGGTTTCTCCGATCGCGGGCATTTCCGATCAGAATCTTCCATCGTCAAGAACGGCGGGAACGGCGCATTCAGAATGTCTTCACTCAAAGGCCAAGGCGCCATGGTTTATGGAGTCGTGCAATACGATTTCCAGGCGGAGCGACCCGATGAACTGGACGCGAAGGCTGGCGAGGCCATTATCGTCATCGCCCAATCCAACCCGGAATGGTTCGTCGCAAAACCCATCGGTCGTCTCGGCGGCCCAGGGCTGATTCCCGTTTCCTTTATCGAATTGCGGGATTTACAAAGTGGGCAGGCTGTGACCGACCCGCTGGAGGCAGTGCGACGCGCCGGTGTGCCCAAGGTTGAGGAGTGGAAGAAAATGACCGCAGAGTACAAGAACAGCAGTATCACACTGGGCAAAATCGAGGGTGGCCAGGGCGGCAATATGATGGCCGTCAATTCTGGTATGGAAAAGATGTCCATGAGCCAGAACGGCAATGGTTATGTATGCGACAACTCCGAGCCCCCAACGTCAGGATTACCTGGGCTAACTGATGATGCGCCCGGACAGGATCATCAGCGTATGAACAGCAAAGGGGCTCCGTCGCAAATGCCCCCACCACAACAGACTTACCAATCCCTGATCCCCGTGTCCGCATACATACCGCGCTACTGTTTTGACAACGACAAGTATTGGTATATCATTGAAGCGAAGATGGAGGACGGCCGCTGCTGGGAGCTATCGCGTTACTACCACGATTTCTACGATTTCCAGATCGCCCTCTTGACACAATTCGAAGACGAAGCCGGCAATCGTGGGCGTCAGCGGACCCTACCTTTCATGCCAGGCCCTGTGACCCACGTCACAGATGCAATTTCCAACGGTCGACGACAGAATCTCGACGAATACATCAAGAAGCTCCTGTCCATGCCTCCCCACATCTCGCGTTGTCAGCTCGTGCGGGACCTCTTTGCGCCCCGAGAAGGAGACTTCGAAATCGACCCCAATGCCTTCGGCGAGGACGCCCGGTACTCGGGTGGATCCCAACACTCTGGCGGCCTGGACCCTCAACCAAGCGTGTCGCGCCAGTCTTCACAGCAGCAAATCAACGCCTCCTCGGACCGGGTATCCCAGCAGCGAGTGCCTGCACCTGCGTCTGCGCCTGTGCCTTATGCCAATGGTGGTCCGCCACCCATGAATCGGCAGCCAAGCTCCATCTCCCAAACCCCCGCGCCATCGGCCCCAGCCAACACCGCGATGAAGGTCAAGGTGTTCTTCCAGGATGATCTCATTGCCATTCGCATCCCGTCCGGCGTGAGTATGCAGCACCTCAAGGACAAGCTATGTGATCGGTTGAAGATACAGGACGAGATCATTGTGCAGTACCGTGACGAAGCCTCCAGCTCCTATATCGATCTCCATACCGATCAGGATCTGGAGAATGCCATGCAACGGAACACTAAGCTGACGCTGTTTGTCAGCGTCGCATGAAAGGCAATTGTTTTCTTTGCTGGTGTTCCGGTCGATAGACTTGTCCTTTGATTTTCTTGATGGGGGTACTGCCAACTTCATCTTAATGTTTGCCACGAGTATGGGTGCATTGGAGTTTGTCATGATGTGTTTTCGTCGTTTGTTCTTTTCTTTTCTTTGCAAACTGATCACCAGTTCTTTGAGCGATTCCACGTGGCCCACGAGGACGAGCTCGCGATGTTACGAATCCGACGTGAGATGTATGGCATGTTTCTGTCTTTCTACTTTCTTCCCATTTGCCTTGGATTTCACTGTTCTTCGGTGTCGCCTTAGGGTTGCATCACATGGTTTTCTGTTCTCTCGCATCAGATCCACATATCCTATTCGGATCATACCCCGGTCTGCCTGCTTTTTCCGTGTACATATTCTCTACTTCTCGTGCATATCCAGGGAGACTTCTTGGCTCCAACTGACACAACAGTGGTATGTCACATGTTTTGTTAGCTATCTGTGTGAGTAATGTTATGAGTTCTGTAACTGTCGAAGCAATCCCGAGTCACGTTGCGGGCGCAAGGCCCATCTTAGCAAGAGCCTTTGAGGCTTGAACCCTAAGGAGGTCGAGATCGAGGTTGACGACCTCGTTCAGGCTATGCATCGCGTCCAAAGACCCCCGCCACAGCTGGCCTCGAGTGAGGCTGAGCACCTGAGGCCCACTTTGGTGTCTTCGGAAGATGGTCTGAAAGATGTTCTTAGTAACATAGTACGGAGTACCTAGGTAACTAACTAGTTATACACTAAAAGTACATATGTTTAAGTCTGCTGTGTACATACTTCCTCCTGTTGTTTCGTCAGTCGTTCATCAGCATCTAATGCCCAAAGGCATGCAGTCCCTCGTACAGTCCCGGTCCGCCTCTGGAGGTACCACTTAATTGTAAGCCCCCTCTGTATTTGTCTTTCGCTCCCGCGCAGCAGGAGCTCCATGTCGGCTTGTAGTGCCGTCATGGGCTCAGATCACCCACCCTACCTCTAAAACAAATGAAGGTAAACTCTGACCGTCATCGGGCGTGACGGCGACATCTGGAATTTTGGTAGACTGTTGGTACGGCCATGCTGGCATGGTGAATGGAGTATTTGATAATGGCGTAATCTCTTTTGCTTCTGCGAGAGTGATACCCCCATTACTGACCTATGTAAGCGTCATATGGATATACCAAGAAGTCACTGCTTCATGGATTGGTGACGGCATCGAGAGCCGAAGTGTTCTTTGGTAGGAGTTCCAAGTATACCCATATTTGCGGCCAAAGATTTTGCCGTCGTCCTTCTCTAGTCGTTCAAGGACTCATTGGCCCCACTTGGATGGGATATCGACGAAAAGGGCATACTCTGGAGTTGCTTCGCTTGTGATGAATTTCAGAGCTTCCGATAAGTTTGTGTACCCAGAAAGCGAGAATACTGGTTCACGTGGTAAGACTTGTGGACTCTTCTCATCTGAGTTGCAAACCTATGTCACTAACTCGTGACATCACTTCAGAGGTCGGCGAAGGGGAGTCGGTTGCTGAAGTTGTCCGGATCTCTTCGATCTGATCCATTTTGATGAGATGCATCAAGAAAGAAAAGAGATGGAGATGGAAACTAAGGAGAGGGAGGTTGCAAATGTATAACAGGAGAGAGCGAGGGCCGCGCCAATTATGGGTCCAGGATTGATGCCTTGGCGCCTCAGGTCTGTACAGTGTTGCGGCACGAAGCGCTGCCCGGAGAAAAACAAATCCACAGTACGGACTACGGAGTACAATACCTCGGTTAAAGCCGTCGCATCGCAACCGCGCTACAACCTCAACCCGGCGTGCAACGTACTTCCAACGTAACCAAATCAGACACCAATGAGCCGCCCATCGGCAAAACTATGCGCTGAGTGCTTCCCGAGCGCGCTGCGGGCGCCTCGAGGCCTCCGCCCTACAACCTTGCGGGGCGCCACCCGTAGATCCTACGCTTCTGAACAGAAGGCACTCGATACTCTGCGACGACCCAGTCCGTTTCCGTTGGTATGTGTGTCTTCGGGGCGGGTCCCACGCCCCCAGTTAGCTGTGCGGTCTCCGCAGAAGGGGCGGGGTCTGGCTACCGTGTCGGAGGGCAACAACACAACCGCCAGCCCGCCGCAGGACGGGCCGATGAGGGAGTACGACGTGCGTGTGGAAGAGGGAAGGTTGAGGGATGATGAGTATCAAAGAGGTCAGTTATGGCCCGCTCCGACAAAGCATAGTTCCCAAGCTGACATCCATATTCGTGACTAGGTATCATCCAGAATCTACAGGATCTCTTCGAAGCACTGAAAGAATATACACCTCCGAAAGTCGTCCACCCCAAACCCGAAACTCTGGACCTCAGCCAGCAGAAATCCTTCTTCGGGTCTTTGTTCGGTTCGAAGAAGCCTGCCAAATCTGCCGTTCCCGATAACCTCCCAAAGGGACTGTACATGTATGGCGATGTCGGTTGCGGAAAGACCATGTTGATGGATCTATTCTTCGACACGTTGCCGCCCAACATAGCACATAAGACGCGCATTCACTTCCACAACTTCATGCAGGATGTACATAAGCGCTTGCACGTGGTGAAGATGGAGTACGGAAATGACTTCGATGCGCTACCAATGGTTGCGGCGGACATCGCCGAGCTCGCCGGTGTGCTTTGCTTTGACGAGTTCCAATGTACCGATGTAGCTGATGCAATGATCCTGCGACGGTATGTATTCTTCCTCGGGCCTATTTTTTCCCCTCTAAGCCTCCTGGGTTCTGGCTGACCTCTTCCCCAGTCTGCTTGAACTTCTCATGTCCCACGGCGTTGTCCTCGTGACTACCTCTAACCGTCACCCTGACGATCTGTACAAAAATGGCATTCAGCGCGAATCCTTCATTCCATGCATCAATCTACTTAAGACCGATCTGAGCGTTATCAATCTCAACTCCCCGACCGATTATCGGAAAATCCCCCGGCCTCCGGCGGCCGTTTACCACCATCCCTTGGGCAAGGCAGCTCAGAGCCATGCGCAGAAGTGGTTTGAGTACTTGGGTGATCCTGTCGATGACCCCCCTCACACGGCCACCCAGGTTGTGTGGGGCCGCGAAATCAAGGTGCCCCGGGCTAGTGGCAAGGCCGCACAGTTCACCTTCCAGCAGCTCATTGGCTCGGCGACAGGTGCTGCCGATTACCTAGAACTCGTCCGACATTACGATGCATTTATTGTGACCGATGTGCCGAGCATGAACCATACTCAGCGCGATCTTGCGAGGCGATTCATTACCTTCATTGATGCGGTGTATGAGAGCAGGGTATGTATCTTCTCGTGTATAAAGCATTTTGCGAGAGCACTCTTACTAACTCTGAAATCCACAGGCTAAACTAGTCCTCACCACCGAAGTGCCCCTAACAAACCTATTCATCTCCGAAGCAGAAATGAAGAATACTCTAAAAGAGGAAGGCGATCACTCGGATCTCTCCGATGCCATGCGCAACCTTATGGACGACCTTGGCATGTCCGTGCAAGCACTGAAGAACACTTCTATCTTTAGCGGTGACGAGGAACGGTTCGCCTTCGCACGTGCACTTTCCCGTCTTGCGGAGATGGAGAGCAAGGAGTGGGTGGAGCGCGGTATTGGCCCTGGGAAGAGTCCTGCGGAGAACCAGAAGGAACGTGAAGCTTGGCGGAAGACGAGAAGTCATTGGAGTGAGGACAATATGTAGATTATCTTGGTTTTCCTTGTTTTGTTCGTTTCAGCTTCCACCATTGTGCTATCATAGATGGGTGTATGTATATACAGCATTTCTTTGGAATGGACCCCCTACATACGTAGAATTGATTCTATCCTTTCACAGTATACAATTCACATACAATAAGCTATCTGGTAAACTTCTAGTTAACTACTGTGTAATTCACATGATTATGAAGCGGTGGTTTCCACCTCGATATCTGATGACGTCACACATCCGAGATCAGGTTCCCTACCAGCCCAGAACTGGACAGGACAACATCCAATACGGTGCATATACGAAGTAGAAGAAGCTTAGACGGTGTTAGACGGTTAGACCGAGGCATAAATCCATGTCATCGGCAGTATGAGCCGGCAATGCCCCAGTGCAACAAGTTGACAAGCTGGGCTCCCAATGCTACTCGAAGTAGGTCATACTACGGTCATTCTTCAGCTTGGACCAGTCAGCTCTCGGCAGTTTTACCCCGCTGGCTGGGCTGGACTAACTGAGTAATCGATCGTTCTCGATTCGGGGATTGGTTGGGTTGGGAAGGAGCGACTGGGGACTCATTACATCATTAACGTCGTATGGGGGACCCTTCCTTGGTATGACAGCTTTGTTAGAGTGAGTGATGTATAAAGACTGTTAAGGAGTAGTATTCCGGTTTTCTTCTCCGGCTATTCTCGACCTTTGCCTACTACTGACATTGACTACTGTGCTTTATTTCTCAAGTATCGTCAATTGTGATAAACAAACCATACATAATCACTATGGCTACGAACACTAAGGCTGTGGACGCTAAGAAAGCGGACCTGCAGAAAGATACTGTCGATGTCCACGCCAAACAGCATATGACAACCGACTATGGAGTCAAGATCTCCAACCCTGATAACTGGCTCCGTGCTGCGGATGATAAGCAGACCGGGCCATCGCTCCTGGAGGATCAGATTGCCCGTGAGAAGGTATGCATAGCAATTACTGTGTATAAGCGAATAGACCAGCCAACCAATGTAACAGATCATGCGATTCGACCACGAACGCATTCCCGAGCGAGTCGTGCATGCCCGCGGGACAGGTGCATTCGGCACATTCAAGCTATTCGAGAGCGCCGAAGATGTAACGACGGCCGGAGTTTTAACCGATACCACTCGGGAGACGCCGGTGTTCCTGCGGTTCTCGACTGTGCAGGGAAGCCGGGGCAGCGCCGATACGGTGCGTGACGTGCGCGGGTTCGCCATCAAGATGTACACCGAAGAGGGCAATTGGGATATTGTCGGGAATAACATCCCCGTCTTTTTCATTCAGGATTCGATCAAGTTCCCTGATGTGATTCACTCCGTCAAGCCTGAGCCGCATAATGAGGTGCCACAAGGTCAAAGTGCGCACAATAACTTCTGGGATTTCCAGTATATGCATTCTGAGGTTACGCATATGAATCAATGGGTTCGTACCTCCCCGACTTCGACGATTGTTCCTTTGCTGATGATTGCAGATTATGTCTGACCGTGCTATTCCGCGGTCATACCGGATGATGCAAGGATTTGGCGTGAATACCTATTCACTCATCAACAAAGAGGGCAAGCGCCATTTCGTCAAGTTCCACTTCACCCCAGAGCTGGGCGTGCACTCGCTCGTCTGGGACGAGGCACTGAAGATCGGCGGACAGGATCCCGATTTTCACCGCAAGGATCTGATGGACGCCATCGATGCCGGACACTTCCCGCGCTGGAAGTTCGGCATCCAGCTCCTCCCCGAAGAGAAGGCCGACGACTTTGAGTTCGACATCCTTGACGCTACCAAGGTCTGGCCCGAGGATCTTGTGCCCATTCGCTACATCGGCCAGCTCGAGCTCAACCGCAACGTCGACGAGTTCTTCCCCCAGACCGAGCAGGTCGCTTTCTGCACCAGTCACATCGTGCCTGGCATCGACTTCTCCGATGACCCCCTGCTCCAGGGCCGCAACTTCTCCTACTTCGACACGCAGATCTCGCGACTCGGCCCGAACTGGGAGGAATTGCCTATTAACCGGCCCGTGTGTCCCTATATGAGCTTGGTCAACCGTGACGGCCAAGGCAAGCACCGTATTACCAAGGGCAAGGTCAACTACTGGCCGAATCGCTTCGAAGCCAATCCCCCGGCCACTGCGGAGCAAGGTGGTTTCACCACCTACCCAGCGAAGATGCAGGGCGTCAAGAAGCGCGGATTGTCCGAGAAGTTCAAAGAGCACTTCAACCAGGCACAGATGTTCTACAACTCTCTATCTCAGATCGAAAAAATGCACGTTGCCAAGGCCTTCTCCTTCGAGCTGGACCACTGCGACGACCCCGTCGTCTACAAGCGCATGACCGAGCGCCTAGCCGCCATCGACCTCGACCTCGCCAAGACCGTCGCCACGAACGTCGGCGGTGACACGCCCACCCGCGCCACAAAAGAGAACAAGGGCCAAAAGGCCAAGGGTCTCAGTCAACTTGAATACATGCCCGAGGGACCGGTTATCACCACACGCCGTATCGCCATCCTCCTCGGCGACGGTTTCGATTACAACCAGTACACGACGATGAAGGAGGTTCTCACCAAGCGCGGCGCATTCGTCTTCACGATCGGCACACAGCGCCAGGGTGTGACCGCCGAGTCAGGACAGAAGGTTGTCCCCGACCACTTCTTCGTTGGAATGCGGTCTACCCTCTTCGACGCAGTCTTCGTCCCCGGCGGCAAGCACATCGAGGTGTTGGCCAAGAACGGTGTCGCCAAGCACTGGATCGCGGAGTCTTTCGCGCATCTCAAGGCTATCGCTGGTGTCAATGAGGCTGTTCCCTTCATCGAGCAGCAAATTGGTCTTTTCGAGGTCGAAGTTGCGAAGAGCGGTGCAGCTCTCAAGGAGTCGTATGGTGTTGTGACTGGTCACGGGGATGCAGCCTCGCTGCTGAAGGTTGGCAATATTGGACCGGATTCTAAGGGACTGGCTGAGCAGTTTATCTGGCACATCTCGCGACACCGTAACTGGGCTCGTGAGCTGGATGGACTTTCGGATCAGATTGCTGCGTGATCTTATGATTTGTGTTTAACGCATTGGACCATTGGATATGTGACTATGAAAATTGTATATGATTAATTAATGAGAATCGAATTCATTACCTCAATCATATTCCATGCCGTAGTCTGTGTTGCCAGCTCTTCCAAGGTTGTCGGATCTAACATTCAGCTGCTGTGATACACGTTTGTACAGGGACAGGCTTGCATTCTTTTGGCCGATCTGCAAAACATTGGAAGGTAAATCCACACGCTCCTGTAGGGCTGGGTGGAAGTATGTTCCTGGGAAAGTCCGCTGTCAAGGATCTCGGGCTGATCTTTGGCATGTGCTTGGCCAACATCGTCCAGGGCCGCCTAACCCTAACCCTTACTTAGGTACGAGGGCAATTATAGCTTCAATATAATTAGCATGCAACACATAACTACCACTTTCTTAGAAAATTTTATTGATTCGCCTAACCAACAACCAACACTCCCAGTTTCGCAAACCCATTCACTCCCACATACCACGCCACATACTTCCTCAAGGCCGGAGCTCCGTTCACATTTCCAAGCGAATAGTTACACGACGGAATAACCGGACCAGGCATTTTCATCTCAACCAAGCGCCTGGAAGGCAGAAGAATTAACAGTCTCGCAAATACAACGAACCTCTCGTAACTATAGCCAAGCTCGCGTATAATCGCTGCTTTTCCCTTTCCATTTAGCCATTGTATACCCACGATGGTCCTCCATCTGTCACGCTCAACACGCTTGAGCGTCGTGATCGGTATCTCGACATGTTTCTTTCTAGCTGAGATCTCGCGTCGGTGTCATTCTCTTTCTTGGTGAAAGCTCTGCTGATATCGGGTTAGTGGGATTCTATACCCACTCCATTGCGTTGATTGCGGATGCTTTCCACTATGTAGGCCATCTTTCGGTTTTGGATATCCTACCGTGGTCGTTGAATTGACGGTATATTGCAGCTGAATGATCTGGTTGGATTCATTATCGCACTTGTTGCGTTGAAGGTTCGTGGATATGATAGATGTGGGTGTTGGGATTCACGCTGAGAATTCAATCTAGAAATCCGAGCAGATTGATTCGCCGAAGGAGCTATCTTTTGGATGGCAGCGGGCTCAGTTACTCGGTGCTTTCTTTAACGGTGTTCTGCTGTTCGGGTTGGGTATTAGCATATTTTTGCAGTCTATTGAGCGGTTTATTGCGCTTCAATGTGAGTGTTCTGTGAGATTCGTGGGTATATCTTATCTGATCCATGGCTGATGTACCCAGATGTGAACAATCCAAAGCTGATGTTCATTGTGGGATGCGTGGGGCTGGGACTGAATATTCTCAGCGTCGTTTTCCTTCACGGTATGACTTTCTGCGAATGATTGTCATTCGCATCGAATTAACATCAGTCAGAGCATGGACACGGCCATGACCATGGTCACGACCATGGCCCATCGACAGTTGAAGCCCCGGTGCTTCACATAGAGGAGCATTGCCATGATTCCAGCACCAAGGTACGTATCGATAAGAACTGGCAAATGAGTCACGACTGAACAGTGGTTAGCATCATGATCACAAGCACATCCATTTCGAGAAGCATCACTGCGCAAACTCAGGCGACCACAGTCATGACCATAGTCACGGCCACTCACACGGCGACCTAGGCATGACAGGTGTAATGATCCACGTCATTGGCGACGCAATCAACAACCTAGGCGTCATGGCCGCCGGTCTGATAATCTGGCTCGCAACGCCGCATGCCGGCCGATACTACGCCGATCCGGGCGTGAGCATGTTCATCGCCATCTTAATTATCCTATCGTCTTTCCCTCTGAGTGAGTATCGATATCCCAGTCAAAGCCAGCCCCAATTTCCAAAGGGACAGGACGGGGCAGTGAACTCCAAAAGGACAGAAGCAACTAACATCTTCAGTGCGCCGAGCTGGTCTGATCCTGCTGGAAAGCGTGCCGACAGGCCTTGATATGAGCGATGTCAAACACGATCTGGAAAAGGTAAATGCCACTGCTGTCCTTTCCCATGTAATGCGATTACTCACAACCACCAGATCAAAGGCGTGAACTCCATCCACGAGCTGCATATTTGGCGTCTGAACCAGCGAAAAACACTCGCATCGGTACATGTCGTTGTATCTGAGAACTCGGTTGAGGATTTTATGAAGACGGCCCGTGTTATTAAGGAGTGTTTCCACGCTTATGGGATTCACTCGATTACACTGCAGCCCGAGCTGGAGGATGAGGATGTTGGGGATACCTCGGGTAGTGATGAGCCTGTGAGGTGTCAGGTTCTTTGTGGGGCTGTTTGTGAGCAGTTGACTTGTTGTGGGTAGGTTAGAGTTGGGATTGGGAGCTGTGTTGGAGTTGGATTGGAGTAGATTAAGAGTACCTATGGCTGTTGCTCATTAAATGTAAAAGTGCCTCACAATCTATCAACCAGCCAAGTGGCCGAGCAGTAACTCAGTCATCTTATCTTCCTTGGTCTAGTGGTGATGATTTCCGCTTGTCATTAAAACCGATAAGCGCGGGAGACCGGGGTTCGATTCCCCGAGGGAGAGATTTCTTTTTTTCTTCTTTTTACTTACTTTACTACCTATGATCATCCAATTCGATTTATCAATCAGCATTGACTTCATTCGGCATGGAGGTCTTAGATCATAAGGTAAAGCTGATGTTATTTGTTGAACTACGGCGAATATGCCATTGGCTGAACTTTGGCCTATCCAACTTGGAGTCACACACTGTGGGAAGGGAGGTTAGTAGCTTTAGCCAGCCTTGCCTTAGGTTGCTTCTTTTCTTCTTCATCTCTGTTCAATCGCGGGACTGGCTCTCGTTGACTTGCTCCGTCTGTACAATTGTCTTCTTTGGATCACTCCTCAGGTTCACCTGAGCCTGGGAGCAGCAAAATAGGTAGTACCGCGGAGTTATATATAAAGAACTCCATGGAAGCCACCTGTGTACTCCAACCCGAGTGCATCAAGCCATGAATACTACCGTGCATACATATGGAGTATAGTACTCGGAGTCGAACGGAATTACTCCGCAGCGATTCCCCAACACGACTCCAATTCTCAGATAAGAGCTACATACTTCCAAGGTTCTCCACCGCGGGGCCACCGCCACAACCTTCACGAGAGGAGCCAGTAGGAAGATAAGATTCCGATTCCGAGATATCTGCAGATCCCAGACACGGCCTGATAATGTGCGGGGAAATGAGTAGGACAGAAAAGCTCTCTCTATTCCCTCTCCCCCTTCTCCTCACTCATCTCATTCTACCCACTGAACTATACTCACACCCCATACAAAGTCACCAACACCAACAATGGCCATCGAATCATGGGAACTCAAAGCCCAAAAGGGCAAAGACATCCTAACCAAGTCCATCCCAAAGCAATGGCTCTGCCCAGATGAGCAGCTACCCCCAGTCTCGCAAAAGAGCATACTCGACTTCCCCCGCCAGAGCGGACTGTTGAGCCAGCGCGAGCTTGATATCACCGATATGTCGGCCACAGCACTCGTAGCAGCAATGGGTAAAGGAGAGCTCAGTGCAGAGGAGACGGTTGTGGCTTTCTTGAAGAGGGCCGTCTTGGGTCATCAGCTGGTGAGAATAGGTTGACTCGACTCGTTCTGACTGAGAGTTGACATAACATCTTCAGCTCAACTTCGCTACCGAGTTCCTGGCCGACGAGGCAGTCGCTCGTGCCAAAGAGCTTGATGAGTATTACCGACGCACGGGGAAATTGGTTGGGCCTCTGGTAGGTTTCATATACTCTGGTTTTAACTTGAGATGGTAATACTAATGCAAGAAACGTAGCACGGCGTCCCGATTAGTGTGAAAGAGCATGTCTCCATGAAAGGCCGAACCTGCAATACTGGCTACGTAGCTTGGTGAGTGGAAACAGATCAGCGAAAAGTATATACTCTGACCTTCAAATCAGGGTCGACAATATAGCCACCGAGGACGCCCTTCTCCTCAAGTACCTATCCAAAGCCGGCGCCATATTCCACGTCCGAACCAACCAGCCGCAGTCTCTGATGGTACGCTCACCTCAAAATCTCTACCCCTTCACCCCTAAACTAAAGAACAATCTAGCACCTGTGCTGCAGCAACAACATCACCGGTACAACCCTAAACCCACACAATCGCACCTTAACCCCCGGTGGCTCCTCCGGCGGCGAAGGCGCGTCAATGGGTTTCCGCTGCGCACCACTAGGCATTGGCAGTGACATTGGCGGATCAATCCGCTGCCCGGCGGCATTCTGCGGCGCATACGGCTTTCGTCCTACCACGCTGCGGAATCCCAGCAGCGGACTGAAAGTCGCTGCCTCAGGGCAAGAGACGATCCGCGGCGTGGTGGGGCCATTATCCAGCAGCTCGATCGAGGATCTAGCATTATTCCAGAAGGCAGTATTGGACCAGGAACCGTGGGAGATCGAGACGTCACTGGTACCTGTACCGTGGAAGAGTGTTACTCCGACACGGGATATGGTCGTGGGTATCATGTGGGATGATGGGTAAGTGTTGACTATGGTCTGTGGGAATTTCATATACTAACTCAAATCCCAGCTGCGTCCGCCCACACCCTCCCATCACCCGTGCCTTGCGCCACGCCAAGGAGAAGTTGGTTTCCGCCGGCATCAAAGTCGTAGACTGGGAGCCGTATAAGCACCAGCATGGCTGGGAAGTCATTGTAAGTGCTGCACTTTTCCCAACACACACACACACACACACACACACACACACGCTAACACCGTCAGTCTGCATTATACTACCCCGACGCAGCCAGCAAGCAACACGAGCTCCTCGCATTATCAGGCGAGCCCGCCCGCCCACTAACAAAATGGGCCTTCACTTACAGCGGCACCACGCCGCAGACACAAACGGAGACCTGGGCTCTACAAGCAAAGCGCGACAAGTACCAAGAGGAGTACCATGCACTCATGAAGAGCCGTGGGGTGGACTTCATTCTCTCGCCGACGTATCCCGGCGTTGCAGCGGTGATGGGCGAGTCGCAGTATTGGAATTACACTGCGATTTGGAATATAGTTGACTTGCCCTCTGCAGTGTTTCCGTCGGGACTTACTGTCGATCCTGTGGCGGATGCGTTGACGGAGGCGGATAGAGGGTATGTGCCGAGGGGGGAGGTTGATGAACGGGAGTGGAGGAAGTATCCCGGTCCGGAGGTTTATGAGGGGGCGCCGGTTGGATTGCAGATTTCCGGGAGGAGGTGGAGGGATGAGGAGACTTTGGCTGCTGCTACGCTTGTTGAGGGGATTATTAGGGATGGGAAGTAGAGTTGTTTAGTTGAAGACAAAGGGTAGGAAATATGAAGCCCTGGCTTCACCAACCCTTATCTATAAAAATAAAATTCCTCACATCCCTCAACCCCAGTAACTGCTTCCCATCCACCCCACGATTCTCAACACCCATCCACTCCACAATCGCCAACTTCCGACCCTCCTCCCACTCCTCCCACAGCATAGAAAACCAAGCCGTATCCCTACTCCTCCCCTTAACAACCATATGCTGTTTGTGAATCCCCTCAGGCCCAAACCCAAGCCTCGTCGCCGCATTCCTCGAAGCCTCATTCAAAGAATCACACTTCCACTCCACCCTCCTATACCCCAGCTCAAAACAATAATCAAGAAGCAGAAAAACCGCCTCCGTAGCACCGGTCGTGCGCTGCAGCGCAGGCGAGAACATCACATTCCCGATTTCAATGCATAGATGTTCAGGGGTCATGCGCATTAGCGAGAGATAGCCGATTGCTTTTCCCGTTGTGGGGAGGTCTGGGCGCTGGTCGATTATGGCAAAGAAGAAGGGGTCTGTGGAGGCGGATTTTGAGGTGATGGAGGTTTTGAAGGGGGCGAGGGTTGGGTAGGGTCCGTCGGACATGTAGGTCCAGAGGGATTGGGCTGATTTGGACAGTCCGCCGATTAGGGGGAAGAGGTCGGTGGCGTGGGTTGGGAGTAGTTTTTCGAGGGTGACGGTTCGGCCCACTAGGGGTTTGGGGTTGGCGGGTGGGAGTTGGGCTTGGGGGGCGAGGACTGGTTCGCCTAAGGGTTGTGACTCTGAGAACATTTTGAATATTTGAAGATTTGTTTAGATGTTTGAGGTATTGGGTAGGGGATTGGGAGGGATTTAACTAGTTAACTATAGTTAGGTTGGCCTTGATGACTCACGATGTGATTTGTTGTTGAGGCCGAGATGTCGGAGATTAGGGCACTCGACTCCACCAGTATTGTATGATTCAAGACTGAGCTGTTAACAGTAGTAAACAAGCGGAGTAAAGGGAGTGTGAATAGTAATATGCATTTTGATTCATAACTATAACCATGCTATGTTATCAAGTGATCAGAATAATCCCTTTTTCCCTCTCACCGTGTATAGTAAATACCACAATCCAAACAGCTGAAACGCACCAAACAACATGACCGTCCCACTAAACAACTGAATACCGAGGAAGTTCAGATCCTCACTCCCATGAGACCCAATGGAAGCAAGTGCACCAGCAATCGGGGGTCCCAGAAGAGTCGCAAAACTACTCAAGCTCTGCGCCATACCCAGCCAAGTCCCAATACTCTTAGGATCAGGACAGACGTGGGCGAACACGCTAGGTGGGAGGGGAACCAAAGCCCCAGAGATGCCACCTGAGATATCGAGTCAGTATATGAACTGCCAATGACCGGAAAAGCGAAGACACTTACCATAGAAAGCACCAAACAGTATGAACCGCGCAACGGTATCGGCACTGATCCAAGTAATACACAGCACCCCGGAAAGAATCCCACAAAAGATCCAAGCCATCATCGAACCACAGTAATGAGCAAAGATAGTCAAGAAAACCCTGCCCAGAATGGAAGCAGCCTGAGAAATCATCAAAACATTCGACCCCATCGTCCTGGACGACCCCAGCCTCGTCTGCGCATAAGTCGGAATATAATAATAAGGCGTAATATATCCCAAATAAAGGAAGAAATTGGCGAAAACAAAGCTCCAAAACGGCAAATCCTTAAACGCCCGCATATCAATCAAACTCCTCCTCTGCGTACTCTCAGCCTTAACCGTCTTAATCTCCGGTCCAAGCAACAACACCGCACCGGTCATAAACAGCGCGAACATAACAAACGCAATAGCCCTTACCGTCCAGGGAAACCCCAGTCTGTCAATAAGCTGGTTGAACATGATCGTATAGACAATACCACCAGCCGGCGCCCCGCTCGTCGCCACACCGAGCGCAACAGCCCTTTTCTGCTGAAACGATCGACTGACCAATGCCACGCCGGGGACGTATAATAGTCCAAACCCGAGACCCATGCAGACGCCTTGGCTGAGGAAGATGGCGTAGTACTGCTTAGCGAGACTGAGCATCATCATGCCGAAGACGGAGACGAAACTGCCGACGAAGATCATGGCGGTGTTGTAGCCGAGATCGAAGAGCGGGCCGGAGAGAAGACCGCCGACGATTAGCAGCCAGGATTGGAATGTGCCTATCCAGGCAATTTCTGAGGATGTTGAGGATGGGATGTAGGTTAGGGCGTAGAAGCTTTGGAAGGATCCAAAGGCGAAGGTGATTCCCCTGGTTTTTGTTAATACTCCTCTTTTCAATGTTGATAACGTGATTATGGGGATTCGGGCAGTGTATACCAAACATTGAAGAATATAAAAAAAGCACCGAGGACTTGCAGACAGCCGCGGAAGTTACTTTTGACTGCGACAGCTAGCGTTGGTGATTCTTCGGTCTCGATCTCGCGATCAGCGGGGATTGTTTCTTTTTCTGACATTTTTGGAAGAATCTTTAGAAAGAGAATCCAGATCTTTCAAGATTCCAAAGTAATTTAAATAGAAGAGGGACCCCCTCAAGTGGCGTTAGTCGGTTTTCTCACTGCTGTAGCCATTGCCGTCTTTACCGATGCGGGGGATTGGCGATCTGGGGTAAATCCCCGTACAGCTGGTCGATATCATGACTCGGTGGATATTACATGAGAGGGAGATTCTAAGGCTGCGAGCTGAGTGTTTCATAGCTGATATGCATCCTGTCGATCAGATTTGGTGCAATTGTTGGGTCAAATTGTAGATGAAGCGGAATGGCAAGTACCTCGGCTAGGAGCATAGCCAACGAGGGATCTATGCAGAGAGAAATATGATCTTATAAATCAAGTATAATATAGCATAAAGTAGTGCTCGTGAATAGCATCGTATTTAATGAGACAAAAGTAGACCTTGACTCATCAGAACATTAATTGAAGCGCAAACACATAAGTACATCAATCCACATATTCACATATCAAAGCACAAGACCCCAAAGGGCTATGACAATATCTCATAAGAAACAAAAAACACCAGATATCTCTCAAAGATACGTCCAAACTCCACAGACCAAGGAATCATTGGAAAACGACAAAAGCGCAGGAATCACTACTTCCGCCAGAACATAGCCTTTCCAACCGCTCTTCCAGCAGCCCACTTAGCCTCAGCCAGCTTATCCTTAACCGACGCCCCGCCGCCATAGCGAACAGGACGCGCAGCAGTCGCACGGGATTCCGATGCCGTGCCAATACTCGAACCACCGTAAGAGCTGGGCGCAAAGTTGGTCATATTCCCCGCATCGAACTTGGTCTTCCCTTCAACGATTTTCTGAACGACGTTCAAAATAGCATAGGTCGTCGAGCCAATAGCACGAATTGCAGCAAGGATAGCCACAGACCACAAGATGATAGCGAGGTACACATTTGTACCGCCGGCATCGATGCCATATACCTCCGAGACCGCCATACCGAGGATGACATTAGCCACCATCCAGATGGAGACCATGTAGGTGCGGACAGCGCGGTAGTAGTCTTCCTGCATCTGGGACTCGGAGGCTGGGGGCTCGGGAACCTCGAGACGATCACGGAGGTTGCGCAGGGCGGCATCGTAGCCGGAGTCGATGTCGAGTTGCTCGGAGGGCATTTCCATGACGACGGTGGAGCCGTTGATGACCTTTGCGGCACCGAGATCGGTGTTGATGACGTTGTCGCCCTTGGTTCCCCAGGTTACGTCGTGGGTGTTGCAGAAGGCGTAGACTTGCAGGATGCAGATGTAGCTGGGCATGAGGAGGAAGTATTGGATTGAGGAGGTGAACATGTGCCAGGGGTCGAGGTAGAGGAAGGAGCTGTAGAAGTAGAGGCCGACGGTGGATAACATGGAAAGTACGATGTTCATCATGAGTCCATCGCCGACTTCCATGTGGTCGTTGCCAACGCCTGCTCGTGCGAGTAGCTCTTTGACTACCAGGTAGAGGGCACAGAAAACCGTGTAGAACATGATGATAGCGTAAATGATGATACCAGAGAGGTACAAGTTTTTAGCACTGGAGAGAAATGTCAGTACGAATGTAAGGTCTGATCAGGCACTGTTCACTCACCCCTGCGGTCGATTACCCAAGGAGATAATGAATTGCAGACACATGACGAGAACACAGGCATATTTCAAAACAATGAAAATGTATTTGCCCATGTTATGACCGAACGGATCCAGCTTCGGATCAGTCAAAGAACCAGCAATGAAGTAGAAAGCGAGATAGAAATTAGCCTGTGGGAGTTAGCAGATGCAATAGATCCAAAAAAGGAAGATACACTCACGAGACCAAAGTAGGTAAACAGCAGATTAAGGAATTGATAAACAAACTCGATGTGAAGCAAGATCTTCCGTGCAACCGTATGATCCGTCTTCCAGATCTGCTTAGCATTGAAGATGGAGTACACAGCCGCGAAGAAGGCACCATTCAGCCATCTTCGACGCTGGGAAATAAACTCAGGAACCGAGTCCGGCACGTCAGTCTCTCCAACAGCATTCTTGACGAACTTCAAGACCCATCTCTCTTCTCGCTTGGCGACCAACTCCCAGCAAAGAATACGATCCTCAGCCAGATACATGTTGGCAGTGAAAACGTCTGCATCTTGACCATGCAGAGTCTCACCCTTGAAATATTGGTTGAGCGGGCCATGGCCATCGGCGTCATTCTGCAGAGCGAAGAATCGGTAGGCACTGAGTGCACCAGGCAACACAGTAATGTAACCAAAGACCGATTCCAGCGGCTTATCCAGAATGTTGGACATTTTGTATTCGAAGTTCTGACTTGCCACCAGGGGGTTGAGCAGACCAAGTAGGTTCTTGCCCTTGGCAGCCTTGATCTCACCAGCAGCACCAGCAACATTGGAGTCCTGGTCAAAAGCCTTCCACAAGTGGTACAGCGCTGTTGGCTCCGGGCGAGTTCCAACATCAAGCAGAATACAAATATTGGGTTGGAGGGCACGACCGAAAGCATTGAAGAACCATCGGTGGGAGTTCAGCTTCTTCTTGTTGTGTTCCTTCAAACAGAAGATAACCTGACACGGGACAATTCCCTTCTCGGCACCCTTGAACTTCAGTTCATCGTCAAGGGAAACCTGCGTGGTGTACTCGTAAACATGGGCCTGCACCTCCTTTTGGTTGACGATATTCTTGGCAATGCCTTCTTGATAAACGCCAAGCGCGGCCAACGCGTTCAAAGTACGCGGGTGGACCTTCTTACGTCCATCCGCCACAATGCAGACCACGATCTTCTTCCACCCATCACGGCCCCAAGTACGCGACTTGGTTCGCGAGCAGAAGTGGCTGATGTTTCGCATGATACCGTGCATGGTACGGGTGAAACCGATCTCGTCCTCGTTGTACATGGTAACACAGATGAACAACTCTGTCTCACGTGTGGTGCTACCGATCTGCTGGCGAAGCTTATACCCCCGATCCGCATAGTCATCTGGATCAGATGTAACGGCGGTGTAGCGCATGTGAGTAAACTCGCGCTCATCGCGACGGGGCAGGAAACTGTGAAGAATGGTGGGGATCTTGCACTCCAAGATCAGTTCGCCGTTGATCAGCTGAACTTCCTTTTTGCGACCTGAGTGGATCGCACACCGCGACGGCCTTGCTTTTCAGGTGCGGGACCAAGGTGTAGGTTGGGGTCCATCATGTGTGATTCATCGTCATAAGAATCGAGGTCGACTTTCTCGAGGCCTTCTTTTTCATCTCCCAGCATCGTTGACTCGCTCATGAAGGATCGAACACTGGCGCGCGAGGCATGATGGATTGTTCGGCCACCACCACCAAATGGATCCTCTGCGCCATCGCCAATATCGATGCTCGTGTCCGCCGTCGATCTTGGCCCAGAGAATAAGGGAGCAGGAGGCAATGGTCGACGGGGGCTACCTCCATACCTTGAGCTGGGTGTACCAGGCCGAGGGCTTCCATTGATGTCAGGGCGTTCATATCCGACACTCGACACGGAAGGTGGTCGGATGTGTGACGGACTCCATGGACGAAGGGGAGAACCTGTGCGTGGGGGAATAGATGGGTAGACAGAAGTATCTGCGAGACTTGCTGTAGGAGGCGGCATATGCGTCGCACTTGACAGAGAGGATGGCGGACGCGAAGGCGAAGACGCGCTGGGCATCTCATAATACTGGTCAAAGTTTCTACCTTGTCCGGTCCTAGAATCGCGCGTCCGAATGTTAGATCTTGGTCTTGCAGGACGTTCCATTGCTTCACTGCTGGCAGGAAGGCCAGTATGATGGTGTTGAGGTGATATGGTAAACAATGTACTATCTATTCAGAAGCACAATGTTTACACGGATAATGGTCAACGCGACGGCAGGAAGGGGTAGGCTTGAGTCTAGCAGCAATGTCATTTGGCGATCAATTACCCAAGGCACAAGCGTCCTCCAGCCTTTCATCACGTCAATGCACGTGGGTTTGTAGTGAAGGGATACCACCGGAATGTGAAAAGGAACGAGGTTGTATCGGAAGCAATTGGGGAATACATACGGAGTGTCATCATAATCAGGCTCATAATGTGAAAGCGAAGAAGGCCTGTGGCTACTAGCTAAGTCGTCGGCGCCATCCCCGCTGGTTGGTAATAAGCGCATAGTTCCTGCATTGAGCCGTGAAGCATTTGTCGGAGACTCGGGATCAGAGAGGAACGACGATGTCTCGTAGGCGGGTGGCATATCGCCGTAATCAGACGTTCGATTGCGGTCCATGATTGAACGTGAAATAGAGTGCTCGTTTCCGAATCACTATCTCATAATAGGGTACCTGCGCCGTCGATGGATCGAAGCGCAATGTGTCTCAGATACTAAGATAGAGTGGGCGTGGAGCTGTCAGGTTCGACTGTTCAGTGGATAGTTCGGGAAGGTTGAAGAATGGGTGAGGAATGCGAGTCGTTTGATATCGATATTAATGAGTGAGACAAGAGGATTGAAGAGAAGACGGGCAAACAAGTTCAAATCCACTCCACCCACAGCTTTGTATCAACAAAGTGGAGAAATCCCGGTTGTCAGGGCAACGGGGTCCAGCTTGGTCCAAATCAGCACGGGGCAAAGCCATAATTAGACGAATTATATAGAACGATAATGAACTGGGATAAGATATAGATGTGTATTGATTATTCTTTTTATTCCTTGCATCCAATTCTCTCCAATATCAACTCGAAACATTCAATAACTCCCAAGATTTGAACATCGACCCCAGTCCAAGTGGGTCAATGCATTTTCACAAATTAGTGCACAGGCTGGCATAACAAAGTGACAACTACAGCAATACTGCAGTGGTATCATAATCAGTAAGCGTGACCCAATATTGCTCCCAGATAACAGGGCACATCCACGCATTCCATTCTCGTTACTTCTCAAGTCGAAGTTCTCGCACCCGGGCATTTCTCAATCCAATCCTTAAGTTATGCCCCAGTGAACCATGGGACCGCCGTACCTGTGATAACCACAGTGGGTCCCTGAGGCTAGCATCCGTACGACCACCCTAAACACCCTCGTTGAGCAGTGGCTCTCTCTCACGGTCGGTCGACTCAGGGTGTGCAACGCGACGGAAGAGGCTGTCGCGACCGGTGGCCTTGGTCGAAGAGATGTAAACAGAGACCACCAAAAACACGCCAAAGACGACAAAGGCAAAGATCCACTGCAAAGCAATGATCTTGACGGCGACTTGTCGGAGGGCGAGTGCTAGAAAGACGCATCAGTATGGACTTTGTCAAATACCGCGAGCCGGCGGAATGGAAAGAATCACTTACACAGCGTCAACCAGCTCAAACAATATCCAAGGATATAATCCTCGCGCAGGACGATGTCAAACAATCCAACGAAGAGAATGACCCAGATGAAGATATTAGCAAGAATACGGCCAGGCAGGTTGTGGCTATGGACGGCAACGGCCCCGTTCCAGAACAATGCCGTCAGGGTCCACGCATATGGACCAGCGACAGCAGGCAGATGCACGAAAGCCGGAAGGCCGCGGTGGCGCCAGTAGGTGACAGTTTGGTTGATAAAGTGGGCGGCGAGGATGACCTCTGCGACCCTGAAGTGGTTACGGGTCCAGAGGAGGATCCAGGCGAAGAGGAAGAGGTTATTCAGAATAAAGTGGGTGGCAACATTAGCAGCGGCCGTAACGAGGACCGTGTTCTTGGAGAAGAGGTGCCAGACATAGCTGAGCTGGGAAAGAAGTAGGAGAATCCTGGAGGCGATTAGCATATGGGTCACCTATGACATCGTGGATACAATGTAGTGTAACGAGTACAAGTAGGTTGAACTCACCAGAAAACTCCAGTCACAGTAGTGTTCTGGCTGAAGGGAGTATTATGCTTATCACCTTGCCTCCAGAGCTTCTTGCCCTTCTTCACATCGTCTGGCGAGTGGACGGAGTGGTAGATGCCAACCACCACGACCAACAGCCAGGTAAGAGGTACAAGGACCCGGTAGGTGTTCAGCGCGCCAGCACTGTGGGTCTCACGTCTAGCGAACGGGTTGAAGGAAGCCATGGTGAATTCCTTTACTCAAGCTGAAGCTGAGTTGAAACAGTGTAAGAAGCAGAAACTTTTCGAAGAGGGGTTTTCGAAGAAGGATGTGTCTTATAATCCATGCAGCTTGACAGAAGGGATTCCCCGCATATGGTCATCCGACCACCATCCAATCAAATTGGCCCGTCCAATAACAGGAAAAGTGGTGCATGACGTCACTGTCGTTATCTTATCGTGAGATTTTTATATTGGACGGGTCTAGAAGAATCAATAACTACGAAGTACTCTTCTTCAAGTTTCCTCTAAATGGCCATCTACGAAGTTGAACATCGATATTGCTAGGATGAATTGTCTCCTCGGTGAAAGGGGTCTCAGCGCCGTATTCCAAACCAAAACGAGCTGGAATCTGTGGCACCAGCCGGCCACGCGTCGATCATCGTGCACAGTCCTATCCAACGCTAATCAATGTACGAACTAAAGGATCAACACGAACTACAACATAGGAAAAGGCAGGAAACAGTATTAGACAACCGATTGACCCCAACATCTGGCTAATCATGCAGAGCGTAGGGGGTATTCGCTGGAGAAAAATTGAGAGACATCGAGAATCAAGGAATATGAGACCCGCAGTTAGGTCTTTTTGGCGCCGGGAAAATAAAGGGAAACTGTATATGAAACACACAAAAGCGCTACCTCTCTGCGTAAGTATATAATCTGTAGGAGTTGGTGTCTTTTCCATTGCCCAGAACTTCCCAAGCTTTGCGGGGTAGGGGGTCAATGCTTTTTATGCTTCATGCCGGTAGAGACAGATGGCGATCAGTGCATCCCTTGATCACCGGGTAGTGTATGTTACAAGAAACATGTAGTAACCATGCCAATGATATGATTATGTAGGGTATCAATCAAAATGCAGAAAGCTAACACCATATGGGAGAATCCGGACAATCAAAAAAGAGAGCTACAACCCCCGCGCCTGTCTCACAGCCTCCAGTAACTTCCTATGAACCGAAGCCGGCCCAACGACCATACCATGACACCTAGCCAACGTACGGCCCTGCGCACAATCAACCGGTTGCCCCTCCAGATCCGTAACGAGACACCCCAGTTCCTGCACAATAAGCATACCACCCGCATGGTCCCAGATCTTCGAGCGATACTCATCGCTCAGCGGCACCTTCACAAAAGCATTACAGCCACCCTGCACCGCAATAGCAGCATACCGCATCTGCGCAGACCATAGATCCACCGGGTTCGGCCACGGACAGCCCAGCGCAGCCGCAACACGACCATGAGCCTCGAGATCCTGCGTCTGCGCCGTGCGCGTATCAATGAACCGCACGTCCGCCTCTCCAACCTGCGGAACTTGCTCGAGCGGCCGCGCCGGCAGCAAAGCCCCCGGACCCATGGGTCTGATGGTCACGCCTTGTCCGGCTTCCGCAGAGATCATCTGACCGAAACCGTCGCGATCGACGCGATCTTCTGTGACGGGCCCTGACAGTAGGAGGTTCGGGCAGCCGAGGATGCCGATTTTCTGGACACCATTCTCGATGAGCGAGAGGCAGACGGCGTATTGCCCGCCGCTGATGTATGTGGCTGTCCCGTCTACGGGGTCCAGAGTCCAGGTCCTGCTGGTGGGGGTGCAGGAGCCCTTTGCGCCGAGGTCAATTAGGTCGAGGAACTCGTCGCGGGTGCTTGGAGTATGGAGGAGGGCTTCGCTTTCGGGATCGTTGAGGTGAGTGCTGGTTGCTAGTTCCCAGGCTCTTTCGAGGAGTTCGGGGTTGGAGCGGAGGGCTGTGGCATCTTCTTCACCGACAATGTCGTCGTCTGGGAAGACGTTGTGGATGGCAGCGATGATGGATGCTTGGGCTGCGAAATCGGCAATTGTCACGGGGGAGGCATCGCTTTTATCGAGGGCGCCTTTATCGACTGCTGAAAGGAGCTCTTTCGTTAGAAGCGCTGCTCGTTGAACTGCGAGGTTGGCGAGCTGCAGCTCTTTGGCGTAGGGAGTGGAGGAGCTCATGCCAGGCTATTGTCAGACTGTTGGGTGGGGAAGGTTGGAAATGAAGTATCCCGAGGATGGCAGATTGGCTTTGAACAGACGCAGAAATGGCAATTGGTGTTAGAAAAAGAATACGGTGAGATAATTTTGTACGAGATGGAGGGGCATCACGTGTGGTGAACCGGTGAGTGTCCCTACGTCATATCTGAGATTGTGCCTGTTCGTTGTAGTGGGCCCATGAAGACGATGGACCTACATCATACACAGTTTGATCCAATGTACCTTGCAATGAATTGATATACGAATTCAAATTGCTTCATAGGATGATAGGTCTACGTCGAGATCGCAATGGCAGATAGATCTTGAAGAGACATTAGACTTAGTCCCTGATCACACTGTGTGGAGCCAGCCCTGGAGATAACCTCAATTACGGGGCAATGTACTCCGAATATCCTTTCCCAAATATCTCCTAGTTCGCTACAACACTAATAATATCGTTCGAACATGGAAATAAAATCTCTATTTTCCTCTATATAACTAAAGAACCCGAATTCACAAGCTAGCCTTATCCTCAATGACCTTGAGAGTAGGGTGAGCAACCGCAACCGGCCGAGTAACAGCATAGAAAGCAGTTCCCTTGGACTTGGTCGAGAACTAGATGGTCAAATTAGCCATATCCCAGCCAATTGTTCACGAAGAAGTCATCACAAACCTTGACCTTGGAGCCAACGAAGAAGAAGGCAAAGTCACCTGCGACAAGATTGTGGGTGATTCCGGTAGCCTCATCCTAAACGACGCACTTGTTAATAAAGCCTTCGACATTGAAGCAACCCCTTCCAACAAGGATAAGGGAACACGTACGAAGACATCAATCTCTCCACTGAGGACATACTTCGTCTCCTCGTAAGTGTATGTCGCAGGTCTCTCGGGACCAGCCTCGATCTTGTAGAATCCCGAAGTAATGTGTGCGGGAGACTCAGTCGCTGTGCGCATGGTGTGGAAATCAGCGACAGTTGCGTTCAAGCCCTCGGGGAGGGGGATGGCGGCATCGCCGGCGGCCTTGATGACGGTAAGAGGGACTGGGGAAGACACTGTTCGAGCATTAGCGACTCCGAAAGACTTGTGTTATGTTGAACGGCAGTTCGAAACGCCACTTACTTTTGGTATATTTTCTTTTGTAGATGAAGATAGAAGGAAGAAAGTCTAAGGGAGGAGGTGCTGGCTACCTAATATATACGTTTTAGCTACTCAATTAATTGATTCATTTGGGGAACAATGCCCGAATATGTCGACGTTCTTGCTTATCTCGAGGGGAAGTGTCCCGATGTTTTGGCAAATTGGCCCTCGTGAGGGGAAGCTCCGAGTGTATCGGGGACAAAGTGGGATGAAGATGCCGTATCCGATATAAAGGTGGGGTGTCTTCCCAATTCGACCAATTCGGCCGAAAATTGCGTGCTCTGTGTTTCTTTATGGGGTTCATGATGCCGAATTGACGAAGAGAAGAGGAAAGGGGAGAATAGTCAAGCATCCCTAAGACGGAGCATTCACTTACCTACATCAGCATCGAGAGAGGCTCGCGAATCGACATGCTCAATTTATCGCCGAAGCCGAATGTCTCTAGTTTGTGGTTTACGATGGAAAGAAAAATGAAGTATAATAATTTCATTGAGAGTACGTATATAGGGTATGATGGGCACTTGGAACCAATGCGATAGAAACATCACTGGGTTGAACCTCGATGTACTTTGAAGAGGGAACCCAGTCTGGAGGTATACCGAAAATAACGCCGAACGATCGTAAAATCAGCACAAAATAATATCAGAACGGAGCAAAGGCCAGCTCGTAAGCAAAGGCTAAGCTCATCTTGGCATGCTGCAGCATGTGGTCGAAGCTCAGGTACTCGATCTTGTCTTCGGTAGTGTGAATCTTCTTATCGGAGTTCTCGAACTGAGACTCAATCACAAACGCCGAGGGGTAGCCGTATCGGCTAGCGGAGGCGTGATCGGAGCAGGCATAGCCGCACTTCGTCTCGACGTAAGGCACGTCGCAGTAGGCAGTGATGACCTCCTTGATAAACGCCGTAAGGCCCTGGTCGACATAATCGATGATTACACCGACTGACTCCTTCTCACCAGCATCCAGAGTACCCTGAACATAACCAGTCATGTCCTGCTGGAGCATGGCCTTAACAACCCGCTGGTCCTTCTTGTACTTAGCATAGACAGCCTGCGAGCCGAGCAAGCCGCCCTCCTCAGCAGAGTACCAGTGGAACTCAATGGTGTTCCGGGCCTTGCCCTGGGCGATAGCCTCCGACCGCAGCAGGGCACGAAGAGCTTCAAGGATAGTGACAGTCCCACTGCCGTCATCGTCTGCACCCGGCGCAGCCAGAATGGAGGGCAGGAACAGGTTGATGCTGTCCTGGTGGGCGCCGAGGACAACCGTGTTGTCCGTCTCACCGGGAATGCGAGCGATAATGCTGAACTGGCCCCAGGAGTGGTCGAAGCGCTCGACGGTCGCACCGTGCTCGCTGGCACCGGATTCGACAATTGCGGCGGTTACTTGATCGAACAGCCAGGTTGCGGACTCGATGCCGGTTTGCGATTTGTAGTAGCGCGTGTAGAAGGAGGTAAAGTGTTCGAGATTGCTTCTCATGTTCTTCTTGTCGAGGGTCGCGGCCAGAGGCAAGATCTCGTCTGAGTGTGCCATCTCCGCTGGATAATGAACGACTCGTGAGGCGTGTAGGGTTCCGTAGGAGCCTGACCGATGTTCCTCAGTGACATCGATGAAGTTCACACCGTCCTGCAGATGGTTAGTGACCATGTCATGGGTCAGATTCAAGTCAAGAGGGGCTCGACTTACCAGTTTGAGCGACCATTTCTCTTCGTCCGTTACCCAGCGAGTGCGGTATGGAGCCAATTCGATTAGAGACTTTTCCTGGGTGATTTGGACAATTGAAGGCGCTAGTGGTTGCTGCTCGGGATTGACCAAGACCATGGCCGTTGCCGTTGCGCCTAGCGCAAGAGGGGTGAGGAACTTCATGTTAGGACAATAATATGATGATAATAAAGATAAAAGGAATGATATGAGGTCTAAGGTTTCATTTAAGAGCTCTGAGAGAAGCGAAGGCTGCCATGCAGGTCACGCGCCCTGTGCCAAGCTATTTTCGGACCCCGCGCGCTAACACCGAGGCTCCGTAGTCCGTAGTGACCGTACTCATCACATTTTGGAATAGAATTCATAGAATGTTGATCTCGTCTAGCCCTTTATTCGGCGCTTCTTCATATCCTGATCTTTATTTATTAATAAATGATTAATGGTCTCTAAATCATTCATGCTCGTTGTAATAGGTGTTCAAGACAGGGCAAGGGAAGGCTCCAAGGCACATTCTGCCGAGTCTGGGGATCGAAGCAGGTGGAGAATGTCCCAGTGAAAATCCCAACTCCACTATGACTGCGACGTGACTCACAGCCCCTAAGACTCAGCCCAGGTGAGATAGGATTGACATGAGGTTATATTTGGGGATATGTACTACTAACTAGTAACTACAGCCTCGGGTTAAGCATAGCCTGCCGCTAGATCAAGTTGTTCTCCACTCTGAGCTTCATCTCGATCCCGGATCCTTTATCTCACCCAAATAGGAAACCAGGGTTAGGGCAACAAAGTCTCCGCTTTCCGCCAATCAACGATCGACGACTTGTCCCGTGCAGACAATCTTTGCGTTATCTCCCGAGGTCTCCCACGTCCTTATCTACTGCATCCTTATCCTGTCTTTATCCCTCTTCTATCTCTTCCCTCCCTAGAACTACGTCCATTTAGACTTGAGTCGTACGCCATGGCAATTCATCCACGCTTGCATCCAGAGGGCTCGCAAGGGCACCTGTCCCCTCGACAAGCCCTGGCCATCGCCGCATGGACAGAGCAACATGCATCCGCGGCCCTGCAGGACATGACCCTGTCGGACTCAGCCCCTGCAGCGAGCACCCCATCTTCACCGACCCCGACGCGTTCGGTATCGCGTGGGGCTACTGTCGCGCTGTCGATCCCCCTCGATGATGAAGTTGTCCCATCGCAACGCGTCAAGGTCGAGTCTCGTCCCCCAACAGTCAGCTTCCGACGCCGGGCGCCTTTGCAACGAGATAATTATAAGAGCCGAGAGGCTCTGCTCAAGGGCAAAGACGGTAGCCGTCGAAGACAGCGCTGGGAGAACGGTATGTGGTTTATGCGTAGGATGGATCGCGGCAGCACCGTCTCCATGCCTTTTTGAAGTTCTAGCAGGTTGGCGGAAAATGCTGACCGGACACTTAAGATCGTCTGTTGCATAACCCCTGGGCGGAACCGCCTTCAAAGAAGGACTGGGACGTTACACCCACTTATCCTCGGCATGATCCGATGCCTTATTACCTAGCCCCGCTATGGGACGTTCACTATTCCCGTGTGGTGGATCATCAGTCGGCTATGAAGGCGGCCGAGAGAGCTAATGAGAAGCATCATGTTCCGAAAGAACTTCGGTCGAAGTTGAAGCACGCGCGTGCTGCACGTGGCATGCTCCAAGACTTGGAAGACGAGGTTCGTTCCTTTATCCAGAAATGGAATGAGAAGGAGCTTCTACTTGAGAAAGAGGGGCTCCGGGATGCACCAGAGAATTCGTGTAGCGATGACTCGGAAGACGAGATTGTCTTTGTCGGACGGAATGGGCAGATGCACGACTCTCCGGAGCGGAAGGAGCGACTCCGCCGACTTCGAGAGGAGATCAGCTCTCACAATGAGCAGGATGGTGAGAAGATGGTACTCGAGACATTGGCAAACGACCGCGCCGCTGGCTTCGGGTATGTTTTGAGCCTGTCCCTGTGAACTTGACATTGTTCAGTCTGCTAATGCTTCTCAGTCGTTGGCTGGTCCATTCTATTGCATCGTACTATGGATTGCACACTTGGTCAGTCTCCGTAGAAGACCGACGGGAAGCCTACGTGGGGTTCCGATCCCCGGCGCCGGGAAGCCGTGCCGGACTCGTTTCCCACTCAGCCTGCCATACAGAGGTCTTGATCAAGCCTGGTGAAGACCTTCCTCGGCCTCTGTACGCGCAGATATAGGCTGCTGTCGTTTCTTTTCCATCCTCTTCTCTTCTATCTTGAACATGTTTTGGACGCTTTGTTTGGGGTAATGTTCATGGATATTGTAAATCATGATTTCATGATCCAGGCCGGACGCGGTTTCTGGCCTACAGGTGGTCATAGATTTTATTGGACATATCTTCAAGTCGCAATATTTCTGCCAGTGGAATCATCCCGTAAATCTTGCTGTTGACGCAGTTCGATTCCCTGACTTTCACAAACTGGCGGTCAGTTGGCCGATGGGTTCATTGGTGTAAGATCTTCGATCTGATCGTAAAACTCGAATGCGATCATAAATTCCCCGCAATGTTGACAATAGGGTGCCTGCCTCCCTCAGGGTTCGACCTATTAGTCTGTGCGCATCCTCAACTAGCCGATCCATGTCGTCATGCCAGGGCCCCGGACATAGGTAATGCTGCACCGAAGGTAAATCAGATAAGTGACGATCGTAGCAGTGTCACGGTTAATGAACCTTGATCTCTCCAATGATCATCTGGGGTTTGACAGAACTGTTGAGATGGTTAGGAGCAGATCCTAGTCTTTTAGTCTTATTAAGATGTGTTATCTATACTATAATTCTTCGTCATATAGTCTCCTGAGTCCTGACCATCCCATACATTCCTTCAGTCCCCACCGACAAACCATGGAATCGGAACGGACCGCAGGGGCCCACGGATTCTACCATGACGTCTAAAAGTATGCTGACATCAACATCGAACATGGTAAAGGGATACCTTTTACAACCCAACTAGAAGCTGTGATCAATTATGTATACGGAGAATTCCCAAGCGCTTGGGCCTTGCAAGGCCTGAACCCTGACATAACAACAGCGTGTTAAGTATTGCGCAGAGACTTAGGTACGAGGGAATTTCATGTCCAGACCCTTTCGATGCAGCCCCCCGCGATCTCACTGGTTCTTATATCGGGAACGTAAAAACAAAAGGGGGGTCCAGCCACGAATGAAGACGAGACACAGAAGAAGCAGCTAGTCCGCCCTGATTCTGGGGTGGACACATCACACATCACATAAGGCGCTAGAAGGACCTTCTCCGCCCCTCATAGGTAGAATGTGAGGCTAGCTTGTTATTCTTTTTCCCTGTCTTGTTGCAGTAGCTCCTATTGGGCTGTGTTACGGTCTGAGATCTGAAATAAGATGCAACAGTGGCTGTGGCTCTCGTAAGTCGTAAATAACTTTTGAGGTGGAATCCTTTTTGGTTGTACTGCGTAGGGCCTTAAGTGAGCCTAGCTAAGTAGTTAAGGACGGTGTAGAGAACAAAGACGGGGCTGATCGGGTACCTAAAATATGACGAGTTGAACATTCCTGAGAGGTTTGATGTTCTAAATACTTCGGATACCACATTTGTGACAGTCCAGTTTTTCACATTCTCGAATTTACTTACAGGTTTTGCTTTTGCTATCCAACCCCTCTTCTGGCATTTATCTCTCCTACGCCTATGCTCCCAATTCCTACCCCTCCAGAGATTATAACTGTCTTCTTTATCAGGAAACACCCTATCCCTGCTTCTTTTCCCTCTTGATTTTCCTTGATCTCCTCACATGACCATATGATTCCCACCCCTCTACACACTGTATTATCACCAAATCCCCCTCGTGATAATGGACCTGGAGTAAGATAGTACTCCGATTTCCCTTCATTCATCCCAGAAACTGTGTGATTATTTCTCTGAACCCTCGGACTGTTACCTCTATTGATTCGGACCCAACCCGTCTATTCACGCCATCTCAAAACATCGGAAGGGACCGCTTTGTTCTGATATAGCTTATTATCACACCACCTCCGTCTGCGGCTTATTTACGGCTGATCGTTGCATTGACCCGAGTTATATTCGGCCAATTTTACCGCGCTTCACTTTCTTCACTGTAGATCAGTGGATCCGTTTACACTTACAACACCTGCAACTTTATCCCCCATCTCAACACTCACCTACAATGGGCTCTTGCAATACGTGCCAAGCCGGCAGCTCCAGTTCAACAGACAGCTCTACCTCAGAAAGCACAGCAGCAACGACCCACAGCGACCGACTCGCCCTGAAACCGCAAGAAAGCGACTGGATCACCGAATCCAGTCATAAATACTCGTACGGCGGGGTCGAGGTCGAAGTCGAGCCCGAGTACAAATACATCGAGCCACGACCACCTCGACCCCGTTCCTCAACCTCAACTTACGCCTCAACAACACACTCCACAGAAGCCCTGGAGCCAGAAATAGAATCAGAGCCCGAAGCCCCAGAACCCAAAAGTCCTTACGCAGACAGATACAGCGTAGCCGAGCGACAAGAGTTCTACCCACTGGATGCTCTCCCGTCCACGCCATCATCATTTGCATCTCTCTTCCCGTCCTCGCGACGGCTGCTCATCCGCCACGATGATGCAACCATCGACGGCAACATGAACCTGCGCATCGACACGCCCGTGCATCTCCGCGACGGCTCCCAGCGCGATATCACTCTCTTCCATCTGCGCATGTATGACCTCTTCTCGCGCAAGTTCTCCTTCCGGCGGTATTGCCGGGACTCCGGGCGCGAGGTGTGTCATTCCGCGCGGAAGGAGGTAGTCCCCGCTCGCGAGCGACGAGCTTCAAACGGCATGTCTTGGAGTAGTGTTTTTGCAGGGTTGCGGCCTGGTACTGCGGGTGGACACTGCCCGGAGCTCAAGAGGAAAGATTCTGGGTTTGCAGACGGACAAGAGGATGAGGATGGTTGTGGGTATGAGGAGGCTGATTCTGCGAGGAGACCTTCCACTGCGACGCCGGTTCTGGGAGAGACGATTTTGCTGGAGTTCTCGAATTATGCGCATGTCGAGCTCCGAAGGAAGGGAGCGGGGACGACGAAGAGTTATGAGTTTGAGTATTGGTCCACGAAGTATCAGTGGAAGAGGGAGGTGCGCAAGGAAGGAGATCTCCAGGAAGTGTCTTATTTCTTGGTTGAGTTGCGCACGTCTAAGACTGTTGCCCATTTGGTGCCGGATACGTTGGCGCCGTTGGAGGTGATTGAGGAGGAGAGTAAGGGGGGTTGGGTACCGCCTTGTTCGTTGTGGATTAGTGATCCTGACGTTTACAAGAAGATGTTTGATGTTGCCGAGTAAGTTCTGAATCCCTGTTCATACCAGACCAACTGTCTAGTCTTGCGTTTGCTTTCATTTCCCATGGTTTGCGCGAGGGGGTTGTGGTTCGTGTACCATCCACCACGCATGCACCGCATATTACTCCATTTTGATGCAAGAGGCTGACCAATCGTCTCCAGTGTGATTGTCGCAACAGGCATAGTGGCGCTAGTCGACGACTGCATTCGTCGTCGTTGGCATCACGAGCGGCGTCCATCATGGATCCTGCCTGCCCAGCACTCGCTTGCGAAGAGCCTAGAGCGCATGGGTCCTCGACGCCTGCTCGGCCAAGTGCTTCAGCGCAGGGGATCCGCCTAAACGACCAAGGACAGTGACGGGGGTCCTGGCTCTAGCTTCCAATGGTCCAGACGCGATTGAAGGTTTATGACGAGATGAACTAAATGAATGATGTGGTCCTGCATTAGCCGGGTTATCTATGCGCGGAACTTGATGTTTGTCCTTCTAATGACTCAATGATTCGAATGACTCGGGATGGGATTGTGGTCTGATCTTGATCTGGTTTAGCTTTTGCGTTGATGATCTTTTTTCTGCGGCTGCTTGTTGTTCAATTGCCACGAATCATTCAGGCTGAAAGGGAGCTTCGGCACTCGAGGTCTGATTCCGGGCGATCCTCTAATACGGATTGGACGGGGAACCAAGCAGCATTGCATTTGGGATAGGAGCCGGTTATGCATAGCTTACAATTGTATCTCGCATATCAATGCTGGCGTTGCATATTGCATACCCCGTAGCCTGTGATTCGATCTTCAAAGTAGGATTTTGACGGGTTACGCGCTTGTTGACTCCGAGTCTGACTGCTGATTCTTTGACGACATGAACCTTCAACCATGCCGAGGTCTAACTAGTTCAAGCTCTAGTCTACAATGCGAACCATGGTTCGAATCTCGAGCTAGACGCCTTGCGCTCTATTGACCTAACAATTTAATGCATGTACACCTTACCAAGAAGTTGAGGTCGTCAGTCTAGACAAACAGGAAGACAAAAATAGACTAGTGAGCACATGGAAGGTGAAGAAACGGTGCAACGTTTGGGGCTCCCGATCGATTGGCTCTGAATGAATCTTCCGCTTTTAGCGCGAGTGTCAGCCCAAGAAACAAACCCTTGGTGGCCTTGCGGCCTTATGGAATACCCAAAGATAGCCAATGCGGTGATACACATTCAATAAATCTAGGACTAGTTATTGTATCATGATCTACTACTGTAGGTACCGAGGTACCTACTATGTTGTACTTAGCATTTATGTAGACTACTGTACAGCATACATGTCGCGATGTACTTCATCGAGATTGGGCGGGGCAACGGTCAGCCGTTCCGCTATTCATCATCTTAAACGCCCTAAATTCTAATGTGCTGGCCTAGTCCCCTGTCGACCTTTGATATCCTACGTGTTTCGTACATACTCTCGATGTAGCCGCATTGCTGAGAACCATGGTTGAGGATATCGTTGATTCTGCATGAATGCCCAATTTCTCTCTACCCCGGACTAGGAGATACAATTGTCGAAGACGATCTCGGCAATGATGGGCTGTGATTGATTTTCGCTCATTCGATGTTCCTTCGTTCCATGGTACTGAGGGATAGTGTGTTTTCCGTTCCATGGTTCCATAGTACATCATGGCGGTTAACCGAACGGGACTAGCCGAACTGAGATAGACTCGGTTTCTTGGCCGTATCTTTGTCTGATCTCTGCACAAATCTGACGGCTCTAGCAGGGAAAAAATGCAAAGAAAATGCCAGACACTCGCCTCATTTCTTAGTCAAATCCTCATCTTGCTTCTAATCCTGGACTCGGCAGAAACTGTTCATGCAGGGCTGCCCGGTCTATGGCTTTCGAAAGTGCCAGTCAACTATCTGAAGGTTAAACCTCTACACCAAGATCATAACCATGACTTCATCTTTTACGATGAGCTGGCATTACTTTTTCCAGCCCAACTCGAGACTGGATGAATCTATGTTTCGGGCATCTTTCCACATTCCTCCAAACCCACTCCGAGACCCGCAAAAGTAAAAGAATTAAACAATAAAGCAAAGCTATGACACTGACGCTGTGGCCACGGGCTCCGCTTTTCGGGCAGAGATCACCTACAGCTCTACGGAGTAGAATTCCTCATGCAGAGTCTCAGGGTTGTTCCAGAAGGCCGCCGTTCCACCAATTCGGTTCAAGTCCATGCGCAACTAATCTCTGTTTGGTTATACATTTTGTTTCCTTCTCCTTCTTTTTTCGAATGAAAGCACAAAACATCCTTGCAAGGGAAACAAATGAAAGAGAACTAAGAAACCAAGAAGCTAAATGAGGAAGCCCAAAAAGATAAACCGAAAATCGCATGCAAATCCAAGAGCCAACGTGGGGTTTTCTGAGTTGTTCGCTTTTCCATCCAATCCGCATGCGAACTGCTAAAAAAGATGTCATTTCAAATCCGAGGAACTAGTCTAATTCCCCTTGTCTCTCGTGCCTGTCATAGATGGGCAGGGGGCTAAACTTGGGAGCATCCGGTTTGCCCCTCTTCCATCCCCCTTACGTGCTGTCTAGCGTTTCTTCAAGGGCTGTTTTTTGCTTAGTCGGCGTGCGCCGGGCCGTTCCAGGTTGCAGCCTCAAGATGATCCGCATACTTCTCTATGTTCCTTGACAGGTGGATAAGGGAGGAGGGGGATTTGCCTGATGCTGTGCCATGTCCGCATCGACATGCATAAGCCCCCTCCTCTCCCTTAGGTCTGACGGTTAGGCTCCTATTTGTTTTCTTTTTCTTTTCTTCCAGGGGGAGGAGAGGGGGAGAATGAAGCTGAAACTGGAAAGGGAAATTGGAAATATCTAAAATAAGAGAAATCCAGGAGAAAATAGAGAAAAAATAGGAAAAAAATAAGCCAAAAATCCCAGGTCCCGACAACGGTTCTGTTTTTTTTTCCCTGAAGATATGGCCCACTGTTTACATGACTCCCCGCTTCCAATGTCGTCGTTTGAAGAGAGAGAAATAAAAAAAATTAGAAATAAAAAAACATTTAAAGGAAGATCTCATGAGATTCCAATCGAGTCCAATTGAAGCTGGTCTGATCTGATCTTTCTCTATATCTACTTGGGGTTTCCCTTGACGATTGACTTACATTTTCCTCGATACTCATTCCCCAATTGGGCTGCCAAAAGACTATTGCGCACTGAGATCCTCCCCACCTTCAATCCCACTTCATACAACAGCTCCCCCGCCATTCTATCTTTCAACATAGCAATGTCATACCCTTCTAGTTCGGGAAACGGTGCTGGCAGCCGGCCTAGCTGGCAGGATCAGCTTCAGGGTAAGCCATTGGTGGCTATGCTACAAGTCTCCAACTTCTCCTGAGCTGACAATATGCTGACCATCTTAAAGATCATTGCACACGCACCAAGCAGTCTCCTCCTGTCTTCAACATTGTCTCCGATCGGCGAGGTACTTACCCTGACTTCCGTTTCTTTCACTGGCCCCCTCCCTACTTCCACCACCACATCGTCTTTCCTCTTTCCTGCAGACCAGCTTGATTCAATTTCTGGCTTGTTCCTCGGTCCAATACACCCACAAGCACACTCTGGATATACACATACCTTGCTGTCTCTACCCACCGCTGTGTCCCTGTGTGTGTCTCGTGAGTCGGCATTGCAGGAAGGAGTGGAGTCTTGCAGAAAAAGAGAGAAGAAAAGTGCCCCCCTCCTTCATCTGTACACCGACTTTTAGTCCCGAACTCTTGACAGCAGATAGCTAATCACTTTTTGTTTCGAAATTACAGGAGGTCGTACCGCCTGGTCCAGCACCGTCACCGTCCAAGGCCAGAACATCGCCGCTCGGTACTGGTATGACGGTCAGTTTATCAACAATGCCAAAGAGGACGCTGCCGAGGTCGCCCTCAAGACCCTGAACCAACAGCCCCGGGCTGCCACCGTGTATCCGGGCCAGCTGTTCCCACAGGCGTCGACCGGGTATGGTCGCGGAGCCGGTGGGTTCTGAGGGTAACCAACTTCCAAATATTTCCTACTAGTCTTGGGCGGCTTTCTCTTCCCCTTCTTGTGTTTTTATCAAATTTCTTTGGGCTCCCGGTCCTGGTTCTGACCCTGCTGTTTTCCTTTTTTTCCCTACTGGACGTGTGTGGTGCTTGTTCTTGGTCTGTTTTCAATTTACCGTTGGAGGGTCCTCGGGATGGGATCCACAGTCCTGTCCACACAAAAGGTCATACACTTGCTGTTCGATTTTGCCTTCTCACGTTGTGCTTTTTACGCGCACGCAGGAAAAACATATCCTCCTCACCGCACCTCCTTTTCTCCCGTCGAAATTCCTCCTCTCCGAGGCCCGCCGATGCATGCATTATCCCTCGGCTACAATCTCAGCATGTTCCCGGTCCCAGCAAGACTCCACAATTGCTCTCTGCAATGCAGAGTCTTTGATCTGGTCCTGATAAGATGATGGCCGGTGCTGGAAAAGACGTGACAAATGAAAAATTGGAGAAAAAGCACCCTGCAACATCCCTGCCCCGGATGACCGCTTCCAAATGCAGGTCACTACCTTGTTTCGCATTTGTGGAACATCAGCACCAGCAATGATACACTATACCACAGATACCGTTAGTCCAGGGACAGACATGGTGTCTGCTGTTGTCAGGCCCTCCATCGCCAACTGGACCTTTGTTTCGACCCAGTTGAGGACCACACATACCTGTCGGCTGGAGGTGCATATCCCACATACACAGGAATTGGTTGGCCTCCCAATTGTGGACCATACAGCTCGTATTTCGCTATCCACTGGCCTCTGCTTCCTTCGCAGTTTGCATAGCGATAAAAGAACCAATCGGGGCATGGACATGTATTGTCCCGGTTGGTAGGAATGGGGCTCGAGTTTCATGCACTGTGTCAAGTGACTGCTGTTTGGCCTTCGAGAGGCATATGACATATCATTCCCGGGACGAATCCGAATCGCTACTTTGTTTGCATTGCCAACTCGACTTCGCCGTACCGTCGACAAATACAATGTGGCGAGGAAATATGTCGGCGGGAACTATGGACGAATGCGTGCATCTGTGCTACTGCGGATGCAAAGACAGTCGCCCGAATCCTAAGGTCGATGCGCCGTGCTCGGCTGGTGAAGCCAACAGCTTGGGACAATGCCAGAACTTAGAAGGGGTTCCAGGAACGGAGCAGCACAGAATCTTTTCATTTCTTGAGATCTACTCTACTGAATCTGGACTTGGATTACAGTCCAACGTGACTATTCGATACGATTTGTTTTGTTGGTTTCCCCGGTTCAGGTCTACAAGTACACGCCTGGCAGGGAGTTTCTTTGATCTGTTACCTTACCCTGTCTCATGTTGGCTGCGTTGGCTGTTGGCTGTTGGCTGTTTGGACACGGAACTGAACCGGGGTTATCTATTACGTTGGTATAATATAGTGATGGTACTGGACTTGGGCTGTAATGGTCGGAAAATGCTTTTTCTTTGCCTCTACTCTACAATGACTATATAGCTACAGAATATCTATCGACAGAGCTGTTATCTCCGTTATTGTTACTGCCGCGGTTGCAAGGATATAGTTACACCGGCTAGGTAAGATCGAGCCCACCCTTCTAGAAAAGGCTGTTGTACATGCTACCTATCCTGCCTAGAAACGTTAGCTATCGCGGGTTGCCGCATTGGCCTCCCGCCCGGACGTACACGTCCGCGGGTCGGACAGCGTTGGCCATGTGTCTAACCAGAGATTAATCTCCGACGCGTAGGGCCCCCGAGTTGGGCAGCATTCATCTGAGACTTGACTTGACCCGACTCTTAACCTTGGAATAAAAGATGCACAGCTTTCATTCCTACAAAACCGAAGTACACTCGTCGTCGAATTTGGTCGGTTGAGTTTCGAGTGACCCATGGAACGCTGAACTTTAATATACAACAGCCGTAAATGTCTATTTTGGACTCTTGGTGCCCTCTTGGGCCTCAATCTCATCTGAAACTGTAAATAGGGGACATAGAAACAGTTACAGTAAATCTAGATTCTAGTAGATTGCTTATTCTACTACTTACGCATGGTGTATAGAGTACCGAAGCAACATGTGGGAAAATGATCGCCAAGACTTCGGCTTAATATGGTAACGCCCGACCCGGACTTTGAATGTCGATCTTCCGTATATGGTTCCCACATACTAGGCTGACATTATATAGATCGTGATATATGACCAGCCCCAGGGGGCAGGGGCTGCTGAGTGACCCCTATATGGTGTGTGTGTCTTATTCCATAGAAGCTGGCCGTCTTCGCCATATAGTCGGTGAGTCGGCGACATATTATGGAAGAAGTACCGTGAAGTCATGGCGGCGAGTGTGGGAGAGGCTGATTCGGGTGGAGATGGTGGCTGTGACGGTGGCGGGTGTCACATACATCTGGAAGGTGATGTAGCTATCGGATCTTTGATTTTAATTGAATGATGGTTCATGACTAGGAATAAGTTCGGAGAAGTGGACGGGAGATCGATGTCAAAGTGCGTATCTTCGTTGAATGATGAAAGCTCGCTCGCTAACAGTGTTCAAAGTAGAACGGGCAAGAGAGCGAACTCCCAACACTTGTAAGGCTCATTGATCTATTGTAATTATTTCCACCAGACAGCTGTGTAGGTCTTCAATTCGTAAAAGCCCATAATTGACATTATATCGATTAAAACAGGTGCCTACGAAATTCGCACCTGCAAATGTAGTCCCAGCTTTGCGTATACCTGCAGCTCGCAAACCAGCCCATATCACCGCTTCTCCCTTACACATATCCAGCCTCATTGATCTAATACGCGAACTTCTTTCCGTCTCGTGCCCCGTCTCCACGGTGATTACGCCATCCGTAGTAGAGTCTCAATAGAATGCAGCCGGCTGTCACGAAAAGAAGCAATGCGGCATTTGTCCAATGGCCTGTTGGAAATCCCCTCTCTGCCTCGTTGCTTTTGTAAATCCAGACACCGACGATCTGGCCAGGGGCACCAAATGATACGTTGAGGGCAATTGCGAGACCTGCGCCGGCTGTTGAGCGGATATTGGATGATAGCCAGCCTAGTAGGGGTGGGATACAGGCAAAGGAGCCACTGGCGGCGACTATGAGGCAGCCATAGCGACTCTGTGGTTGCGTTAGCCGACGGAGCCCCATTGTTTGTTCGCTTTTGTTTTTAGGGGTTTGATCAACTCACGAGATAGGCACTGGCGGGGAGAACAGCGGAGGCGAGGAAGCCCATTGCGCCAATAAAAGAGAATATGGCTGAATGAACGCCACGACTGTAATTTTATTAAGTTAGTGGTTGGGTATGCAGCATGCTTTGAACTGTAAGAATGTTCATACCTGTTGAAATGGTCTGCAGACCAGGAAGCAGCCACTGTCACGACATAGGCTACCGCGTATGGAGGCACAGTCATCAGCTGAGCACGCAGATTCGAGTATCCCAGACCAGAAGTGATAGCAGGAGTAAACAGAGAGAGACTTGAGAACGGCGTCGAGATGCCAAAGTATACCTGTCATCCCGGTCAGATATCTCCAGTTGCTTGAGAACCGCTACCGGAAAACATACCATATAATGAGCATATAGTCTCCAATCAGTCAATGTGCCCTTAGCATCCTCCCACGTCATAGCCTGAGCAGAGCCCTTGGATCCCTCCAGAGCCAACCTCTGTTCGGCCAGCTCCTTCTCCTCGGCACTGAGCCACCTGGCAGTCTCCGGGTAATCTGGCAGGAGGAACCAGACCAGAACCGCTGACGCACACGACGGAGCCCCCTCGATAATAAACAGCCACCTCCAAGCAGAAAGTCCGTGTGCGCCATTCATGTGTCCCACGGCATAGGCGATAGCTCCGCCAAAAGCTCCAGCTAGAGTCGCCGAGGCGAGAATCATGGCAACGCGGATGGATCGCTCCGAGTTGCGGTACCAGAATGTGAGGTAGTAGACGAAGCCGGGGAAAAGACCGGCTTCCATCACTCCGAGGAGGAATCGGAGTCCTGTGACCTGAGCGTAATTGTGCACGCCGCCGAGACCCATGGTTGTCGCGCCCCAGGAGAGCATGAGGAAGGCGATCCAGCGCTGATGATCGTGTCAGAGAGTTACGGATTTGGGAAGGGCGTGGTTGTAATAATATGACATACACTTGGTCGGAGTTTCTTCAAGAAGTAATTCGATGGGACTTCGAATAGTGCATAAGCAATCAGGAACACCATTAGTGCAATTCTTTTGAATGTCAGCGCGTTGATTTGCTTGGTCTTGACCGTTGCCGCTCACGTAAATTGATAGGAAGTCATATTAGTCTCGGAGAGAAGATCATTGTGTGTATCCGCATTCAAGATTTTGGCATTTCCTGGAGAGTTAAGCTTAAGCTTTAAGGTTGTGGGTGTTCCAAGAGCCAAGGCTTACCGATATTGGATCGGTCGAGATAACACAACAGATAAATGCCAGCGCATAAAGGAACAATGCGCAGATCCTGTTTCCAGATCAAGGCTTTTTCACGTGCGAGGAGAGCTTCGTCGACAACATCGTGGTCGGCAATCTGTATGATGGTCAGTTCCTTCAAAGCTCGGCACAACACTTGGCTCTATAACAAGGGGTTTAAGGTAAATGTTACCTCAGAAGCTTGTTCAACATCTTGCATGAACTTTTCGGTTGCCATCGTGTCACAAATCTGTCCAACCAGTACACGGGAGAGTTGTCAGGAGTCAGAAATTTCTTCAAAGAACTCGAGGACCTTTTTTCGCTTCCCCGGTCCCGGGACCGGGGTATTGTCCCCCGCACTAAGGAGTAGAGCGATCGGCATTCCTCCGTGCCCACACTGGTGTTGGAGTTCATTGGACTATGGCGTCTTGAGATCGACTGGCTTAGGGCTTGTCGTATGGGTAACCCGGTAATTGCTGCAGAACTTAGAAGAATGCTTCGTATGACTTTAACCGGATTTTGGTTATTGTCTTCACGGACCCCTGAATTGGGGTTTCCCCGGATTTGGGCCCACATCGAGATGTCAGAGATTTCTGGAGTTGAACTTGAAGTTTGGAACATATTGAGAAATTGAACCTCGCGAGAATTGGCACAAACATTGTCAAAGCATTTGGATTCTTGGAGTTGGAAAGTAATAGCACGGTAGATTGAGCTTGTTGGACCTTGTAGGGGCGTGATTGGATGTCTAACACGAGTTGGGCAATTGAGGAAACTGAATTGGAAAAGCTATAACATTTACCTTAACCAGAACATTCATATTAGCAATCATTCCATTTCCGAATGAATTTAATTCCTGACTTCAAGTTTGTTGTCTTACTGTTGTGTTCAAGTACTCCGCGTACCAGATAAAGACCATCCAATGCAAACCAAGCAAACAGCTTATCAGATAAATCGTTCCTGATCGCATCGCAAACACTGCACCACCACCCCTCCTCATGCTATGCCATCGGCTTTTAGCTAGACACCCTACTAGACTATTTTCAACGGCCCTGTCCGTATCAATTGCAACAATGTCAACTACTGCTGCCCCTCCCCTGAAAAAAATGCCCTCCGCATTAACCTTTGATCGTCACGCCAAATGCTCGGTACGTCCTGGTGGCTTGACAGCAGTTCCAAGACCCACAGTACCTATATCTAACTATATAACGCTATGAATAGACAACCAAGGCCCGCGCATGTACCCTTCACCTACCACATGGCTCAGTCCCTCTGCCGATCTTCATGCCCGTCGCGACACAGGCGTCTCTCAAGGGCCTGACATACGACCAACTGCGAGAGACGGGATGCATGTTGTGCTTGAATAATACATACCACTTAGGGCTGAAGCCCGGTCAAGCGGTACTGGATGCTGTGGGTGGGGCGCATAAGTTGCAGGGCTGGGATCGGAATCTCTTGACGGATAGTGGGGGGTGAGATATGCTACCCCCTGTTGATGATCATTTACTGACCGGGTATGGTGTTGCTTAAGTTTCCAAATGGTGTCGCTTCTGCAATTGGCGACTGTCACAGAAGAAGGCGTGCGCTTCCTCAGCCCGCACGATGGCACGCCAATGTAGGTGATCCCCGCTCTAGATTGCGGGATATATGAATGGCTGACTTTTTACCAGGCTATTGACCCCCGAACACTCTATCTCTCTTCAAAATTCTATTGGATCTGATATTATCATGCAATTGGACGATGTGATTGCTACCACTTCGCCGGATCATGCTCGCATCAAGGAAGCCACGGACCGCTCTATTCGATGGCTAGATCGGTGTATTGCGGAGCACAAATATCCTGAGCGACAAAATCTTTTCTGTATCATCCAGGGCGGTTTGGACTTAGAATTGCGAAAACAGTGTTGTGAGGAGATGGTAGCGCGAGATACCCCAGGAATTGCCATTGGTGGTTTATCCGGTGGTGAGGCGAAGGAGGAATTCTGCAAAGTGTATGTCCCTCGCCGCATCTATGAAACCAAGACCGCATGGACTGACCAAACCAAAGAGTGGATACATGCACTGAAATCCTCCCAGAACATAAACCCAGATACGTCATGGGCGTGGTACGTTATGTTAGAACGATCGATTTGCATTGGCTAATCGCGGATATTAGGGTTATCCCGAGGATATTGTTGTAGCGGTGGCTCTCGGTGCAGACATGTTCGATTGTGTCTGGCCGACGCGCACAGCGGTAAGGCCCAACAGACCCTCATATCTGGTTCCCTTGCTGACATCGACTAGCGCTTTGGCGATGCTATTGTCTCTTCTGGTACCCTGAAATTGAGCCATAAATCATACGCCGATGATTTCAGTCCCGTCGAGGAAGGCTGCCAGTGCGTTTGCTGCCGTCCAACTGACCAAGGTGGTCTTGGACTCACTCGAGCATACATGCACCATATCACAGCAAAAGAGACTGTCGGCGCTCACCTGTAAGTGTGAATGGCCACTATGACCTAGTCCCTTGCTAACATCTCTACAGTCTAACCATTCATAATGTTCATTACATGTTGACATTGATGGGCAAGATCCGACAGGCTATTATCGATGATCAATATCCTGCTTTCCTTCGCAAGTTCTTCTCCGATATCTATGGAGGTGATCGATCCAAGTTCCCCGCGTGGGCAGTGGGGGCTTTGCGGGGAGTTGGAGTGGACTTGCTGGCTGATTCATAAAGGGAATCGCCAGCGTCAGCCCGGTGAAGACTGAAGAGTGCCTTGATGATGAGATGTGCATTTCAGCGGTGGCAGTTTGCATGAACATACATTAGTGCTTTGCATCACCCTCTTATAGAAAACGACGCGAGTCTTAATATCGAGAAACAATTCTCCGGAGCTCTTTAGCTTATCTCGAGATTTTTCCAAAATTAACATGCGTCTGATTGACGATTGTAGCTTTTCGAGCAATCCCATAAACTATAAAGATTAAAGTGACCAATATACAGAAGAATCATCTTCGTCTCAACACGTCAACCTCCAAATATTGCGCGAGAATCTAAATCTACTTCATTGGGGGAGATGTAAATTGTAATCGCACGCACGTGATCACGTGTCGCGTTCGACGCGATCCGCCGATTTTCAAGACCACCTCACATCCGCTTTACACTTCGGTCTCTATACCCCATGATCACAGCATCATAGCATTCATTTCTCTGTTCATAACTCCTCCTCCATCATGACTAAAGATCAAATCCCCACAGCCCCCGCGGCACCCTCGCCGCCACACAACCCTCATCACGAAGAACACCAATACCTCAACCTGATCCGCGAAATTCTCTCAGAAGGCGAGAATAGACCCGACCGCACCGGCACGGGAACACGCTCAATCTTTGCACCACCGCAACTGCGCTTCTCCCTCTCCAAGCCCAACCCAGCAGGCGGCGACCCAATCCCCATCCTACCGCTGCTCACCACAAAGCGAGTTTTCCTCCGCGCCGTGCTCGCCGAACTCCTCTGGTTCATTTCCGGCTGCACCTCCTCGCTGCCGCTATCCAAGGCCGGGATCAAAATCTGGGACGGAAACGGCAGCCGCGAGTTCCTCGACAAGTCCGGTCTCGGCCACCGCGAAGAAGGCGACCTAGGTCCCGTGTACGGATTCCAGTGGCGACACTTTGGCGCCGAGTATGTCGATGCGAAAACAGATTACACGGGTCAGGGCGTCGACCAGCTTAAGGAGGTCGTGCACAAGCTCATTCACAACCCCTTTGATCGCCGCATTATCATGAGCGCCTGGAACCCCGCTGATCTGAAGAAGATGGCGCTGCCGCCGTGCCATATGTTCGCGCAGTTTTATGTCTCGTTCCCGCCGGGTATGAAGCTCGATGAGAAGACTGGTCGTCCGTCGGAGAAGGGGACTCTGTCCTGTGTGCTGTACCAGAGATCCTGTGATATGGGTCTTGGTGTGCCTTTTAACATTGCTTCTTATGCTCTCCTTACTCATATTCTTGCCCATGCTGCGGATCTGCATCCTGGTCGTCTGATCCACACTATGGGCGATGCGCATGTTTATCTTGACCATGTTGATGCGCTTCAAGAGCAGCTTGTGAGGGAACCGACGGCGTTCCCTGAGCTGCGTATCAAGCGTGATGATCGGGGTAGCGCGGTTGTCGATGGCTGGAAGGAGGATGAGTTTGAGGTCATTGGATATAACCCTCACAAGATCATCAAGATGAAGATGAGTGTTTAGATTGCAGGTTGACGGGCACTATCGTGTTATGATGTTTATATGATACCAATTATTGTGTTATGCCACAGGCTACATAGGCGAAATTCACGATAATGAATGGGCAGTGAGCGAAACCCCGAGTCCGCTTGTACAGCGGTATGTCAAGGCATGCTCCGGGTGTATCATGGTATGCAAAACGAAAAGCAAGAAAAGCAAGAAAACAGAGAAAGTGCCTATGAATGCCCAAGAACAGCACCAGCACCCCGTAACAAAACCAGAGTATCACCCTGTTTCACCTTCCCGCCCCCAATAGACTCCGAGAACTCAAGGAACGCCCCAGACTCAACATGAAAGATCCTCAACTTAGCATCCTCCCCATCAACCCGATTATTTAGATTCTGCACCCTCAACCTCTTCGCCACATCGTCAAGCACCCTCCCAACCTTCCACCTCTCATCAAACCAGAAATCCCCCGCCGGCGGCTCCGCAGCCTTCGTCTCCACCGTCCCAACAACATGTAAATAAACCCTCTTCTCAACCGGCACTCCCGCATCCCCCTTCGCAGCCCTCTTAATCGCATTAACCGCCAGCACCCTTGCAGCAGGACTATTAGCCTTCGGCTTCAACTTCGGCAACGTCAACAACCCCGCACCAGCCACAGCCTGCTGCTTATCTTTCCCCCAAGTGCGCACGCGCGCAAACATAGACTTGATACTCTCATTTCCCGCCGTAGCGGACCCCCTCGCAGCAGGCGGGGTGATCTTGGCGCAGTCGTGTTCCTCGCGCAGCCGGTGTTTGAGACAGTACTGGCGCGTACATTGGGGGCAGCGGACGGCGGGATCTTTGAGGGTGTTGATGAGGGTTTTGCACTGGGTGTGGGCGCATTGGTCTGTGTTGTAGATGGAGGGTTTTTGAGGGGGTTTGTTTTCGGTGCTGACGGGGCCGGCGCGGCGACGGGCCCATTCGCCGGCGCGCGGACAGTGGTGGGCTGTTTCCGTGCGGTGGTCGAGGCAGTAGGTGCTTTTGCAGGATTCGCAGCGGAAGGGGAGGAAGTCGAGTTGGCCGCAGTATTCGTATTGGCAGTGGCGGCCTATGCTTTCCAGGTCTGTGTCGGCCATTTGGGTGAAGGTTGTGTTTTGTTCGGCTGGGCTGCGCCCTTTGGAGATTGTTATTGGGGGCATGGTTGCGGTGGTTTCTGATTTAAGGTCGGGGGTTTACACTGGGTAGGGAGTGTAGGGTAAATAATGGCGTACTCTGTACGGAGTAGAGTCGGGTGCCTGGGAGGCGCTGCTGCCACTGCTATGTGACTAATGCGGAGTCGGGATCGGGAAGCTTCTGGGCTTATCTAAAGGCGGAGATATCGGGGTTAGTCCCATTTGGAGGAGTATCGACTTGGGAGGCAAATGGCGTTCGGTTATCAATCTTCGATGCTTCTTACAACATCACAGGTTGATATCATTCCGAATCATCTTGGAAATGTTTTACAGACGCTTTGCATCTAAACCTCAAGGCAATGAGTTCCAAGGAACTTCTGAGGAACTACCACATCTCAAGACTGCATTGCCTTGTCCATGGTTTCTTACCCATCTACGGGCTTCAGTTGGATACCGACTCAGTTTTGCTATAGAAATCAGTATGTGATTTAGTCTCATACTTACTTAATACTCACTCTTTCTAGAGGTCTTTCTACTAGTTCTATAGTTCTATAAAGGCCGGCTGCTGGAGTGCCCTAATCTGGTCCGACGAAACTGACGAAATTCATAGGGCTGAAGGAACACTCCCTCAACTGTTGTTTACTGTAGAATGCAATCATGTCAAATTATCATCCGACATCAGACTGGTTGCTCCAACCTTGGAATTGAACCTCTTACTAAAAGGAATCCACGCTGGCTATGACTCAAGTGCAATGACACATCAGAACCCCGCGATGTCGGTGTCCTCCAAGTGGGCTGGATCCACCACTTGGTGCCCACTGCCCAGTCAATACGGATAATGCCCGAATGTTGGCCACATTATGCACACCGAGAATAGCTTGGGTCATAGTACAACTGTACAAGTAGTGTGGGTGTCCCCTTGCCAGTTGCCTGGCAGCGCTAGTCGTGTTTAGCATCTTTTTGGTCGGTCAGCTTCACCACCCGCTTACACATGCTTAAATAGTAAGGGCCCAGGAAACTAGAACGCGCTTTCTTTCCTCCTGCATATACGCGTCTCTATCATGGATTCATGCGATCTGCTTCTAGAAGAGGTCGAAGAGCCTCTATTGCATAGCTCTTCTATCGCCCCTTCCAGTCCTTCAGTGCTTCTCTATCTCCCCCTTCTCCTATCGCTAAGAAGCCCAAGAAGAAAGAAACGAAGCCAGATCTGGGGCAGGTACTTCGTGAGGTACTAGATTAAAAAGCCTCACTGCTACAAAGCCTGGCAGTGTTGTTATCCTGCCATGCGATACGTAGCCCAGAATCAATATCAGAGTCAACACTTGCAGCAGTTGCATACAGCGTTTCTGTGTTATGTATCGCATGGCAGGATAATAACACTGTCGGGCTTTGTAGCAGTTGTAGAAGTTGCGTACAAGGTATTCCATGGCTGAGGCTTTCTAATCGAGTAAAATTAGAAGTGCGAAGTGTTAGATGAGGTGAACGTTCACGTCATTTGCGGCAGAAAAGAAACACTAAACACAACTAGCGTTGCCAGGCAAGGAGATACTAGAGTAGTAGTTACTGTGACCTGTGTACAGCCTGGGTTTGGATTCTTTGGAGATCGCAGTATCAAGGACTCAAGATTACTTCACAATCTTAGCCTCTTAGCCTCTTAGGCAAGTAGTAAAAGGAAAGCATACACACAGAAACAATAGCCTTGGGAGGGTTGGTCATTGTGCCTCTCTTGGTCCCACTCATTGGAGAAAGAAAGGCGAAGCTTTTGTGGTGACTGGTCAGTGCCTAGTGGTTCTTTGTCTAGATTGCTGGGTTGCAGATCGTAGAATTGGAGAATAACCCATTAACCCCGCTATTTCTATGGACTCGTTTGTTTCGGGTACTGTTTCCTCAATATGTGCTTCTTACGATAAGGAGTACCTCTCGTGCCTGATTATTTACCCAATGTGGGAAGGCCAAGCGCAACCCCACATAAAGCGGTGAAAGTCACTAACTTCGTCAACCAGATAGAAGAACAGGTGACAGTAATGTTGAGGGGAATCGGGGAAATGCGGGGAGACAGCAATTCCTTACAGCAATATTCTCGTATGGTTTTATGTTGATCTTCTAGAACTCCCCTAAAAATAAGGTCGATTAGGACGGCGACCAGACCAATCACCGGCCCGCATACAACACCGGCGGCCGGCCCGGTCAGGATTGTTATTGGCTCGCTTGGCCGAGGGTTCGAGCTGGCGATCTATAACTTTCAAGTTGATGAGCTTGATCTTCGATAAGATGCTCTTACACTATTCATTGTAACCTATATTTACTTTCTCTCTCATTCTCTTTCCCACTCACCCTCTCTTACCCCTACTTTCATTGCTCATCTCAAGCCCTAACTCCTCCTATCAAGGTTGATCCACAGTAAGTGGTCTCACAATGAAGTACCCCCGCGGTGGATTTTATTGAATTTAACAAGTTCTTTTTCAGTATTACGACATTGTTGAAACCTTGCTATCTTTCTATATCACAAAACCAGCAGATTGCTAGGTGATCACGAACAGATGACGAGAGCATTGTTCGTTTGAACGCAACATAAGATACACCCATAAATATGACCCAGAAGGTCCAGGACCAGGCTCTGCCATTCGGTATTCACTACACCAAGAGTCGGATGGCAGAGCTGCTGGCAGCCGATGTAGTGATTGCTGCAGGTTCAGCATCATTGATCACGCCAGCCGTCATGATCTTCGACAGGTAATTCAGTCTCGAGTCTCGACTTCTATCAGCAATGCTAACTCAAGGCCCATTCAGACTCGTCGTCGAGAAATCATTCTACAACCAACCACTCTTCCCAGCATTCCGCCGCCACCTCTGGCTCTCCATCACACAACCACATACTTTCTTAACATCCCGACCAAGTCTCCTCGTCTGGTCCCTCTACACGGCAACCTTTGCAACGGCCAATGCCTCGGAAACCATCTTGAGCAAATGGTACCCACACATCGACCACGCCATCGCAGGCATGACCACCTTCGCTTCCACATTCATCGTCAATTCCTCCGTGGGAATCTGGAAAGACGTGAAATTCGCCCAACTCTTCGGCCACAGCAATACCTCTACACCAGCACCACCTCCCCCAACCACCGCAACCACAGCTACCACCAACACCACCAACGCCAACACCAACACAACTACAACCACAACAGACACAACAAATAAACCCACCAAAACAGCCCGCTCCTTCGGCCGCACCCGAATCCCAGTATCAACCTACTCCGCCTTCCTCATCCGCGACGCACTCACAATCTTCGGCTCCTTCAGCCTCCCCGCCATGGTCTCCGCCTCAATCCCAGACTCGATCGCCTCCCAAGAATACAGCAAGATCCTGATCGCCCAACTGGCCATCCCAGCCTCAATCCAGCTAATCAGTACCCCGATCCACCTCCTCGGCTTGGACCTGTACAACAGGCCGCAGGTGATGACTTCCAAAGACCGCATCAGCCGTGTCAGTCGCGACTGGATTGGCGCGTCGCTGCTACGTATGTGCAGGATTATTCCTGCCTTTGGGATTGGCGGGTTTGTCAATACGGAGGGGCGGAACTATCTGCATGAGGGGCTTGATGGAAGACGGAAGGGGTCTTGATTGATTTACCTGTGGAAAAAAATATAAAAAATCATATAAACATTTGAAAGTATATACATGAGATTAGCATACAGATACAGATACAGTACATAGATGCATATTATACCCTCAGTTTCTTTTGTTCACATTTCTACTGTCTCTTGTGTGTGTGCTTATCGTGCCCTATCCCTATCGCTGGCCCCACCTCCCGAGACCGGGCCGGTTGTAGGCGCTCCGGGGCCGAGGAAGAACTGATTCGGGATTTTTATTCTATTTTTCTTTGCTTTTTGTTGAAGACTTTGTGTTCGCTTGAGCCTTGGCCCTTGAGGGATTGGGCAATGACGTGGCTAGGGCTGAGTCTATTATTATCTGGACTGGAGTACAGTACTCCGTAGTACTGTAGTAGATCTTATGGCCATTGCTTGATGTTTCGGCATCCTACGAATTGTAAAATCTTGAGTAGTGTAAATATTGTGTATCGGCATGTCCCAAGATAGGTTCGGAGCGACGGGCCTGTAGCTCTTCGCTTTGTGTTTTTCTATCTGGACGAGGATGATAAGTGGTTCCTCTCGGACTTGGAGCATTGTCATCGTGCGCGAAGTGCATTCCCATTCGACCAGGTCGCCCCTTTCAGACGGTCTAGAATGGGGTATCGATGTTCGCAGCCACGAAAAAGAACGCGGTCACTGATTGCCAGCCAGTGTTGGGTCCGTGGCAGAGTCAAGACCACGGCGACAGCGCGAGCGGACGCATGTTGGTCTGCAGTCCTTTAAATCGGTGGAATCACATCGGGTGATCCTTGCAGTAGCGACGCAAATTGTCGTGGGATAGACCAGTAGGCCTTGGGAGAGAGTTCAACAGTAGCCCAAGACCCTCATCGAATATCCATATCCAAAGCTTCAGACCCAGAAATGCGACCCTTCGCCGAACTCGGCGCCAACGATTCGGGATGATTGAAATCATGCACAGCACGACTGGGATCGACAAAAGAAGGATACTGCCCACCAGCCGTAACAAAGGAAGACGACCTCCACATGTGCTGATGGGCAATATTCACCAACTTCCCCAGCACAGCAATCTCCAACTTCAACTTGACACTATACAGAGTCGCCTTGAGCGTCGTCTGATAGATATAAAAATCCCTAAACTCAATAATCATCAAGGCAATATCCATCAGAATACACGCAACATTGACAGCCAACAACTGCAGTATCGTCTTCCGACTAACATGATCCTGATACAACCTGAGCATGCGATTGGTCTCCCACATATACAAACAAGAGATAATAACCTCCTGCACACAAAACCCGGTCAACTGCAACTTCTCCATAACATCGTACCCGGCAATCGAAGCAGGCGATCTCGAGAAATTAGCCGCATACGTCAACACCGTCGTCGGCACATGCAGCGTGAAAACATTGACGACGATCATCGCCCGCACCAGACGCAGAACGCGCATGTTCTGGATGACCAGATGCAGGCGCGAATACAGCACAAATGACTGACCGGTTACCATTGCCCACCAGCCGATTGTGAGGAGGGTTACCGGGAGCCAGGTGGCGGAGGTCAGGTCGAAGAATTTCATCAGGTAGCCGATCGAGTACGGGTAGATGCCGAGGCTGGCTATCAGCATGCTCCAGAAGTAGGGGCCTTCATAGCGTTTGAAGGTTAGGAAGATGAGCACAATTAGCTCGGCGACGTTGTACCAGGCTACGCCGATGAAGGTCGCGATCGTTATGCGCACGCCGTTGCTGTTGCCCGTGTAGCTGCCCGTGATCCAGTGGCCGGGGCTGGAGTCGCTGAGGGAGGAGTTTCCCTGGAGGTGGTTGTGGGAGGACATGGGCTCATTGGAGTGTTGTGTTGTTCTTTCTGGGGGTGCAGCAGAAAGGAAGAAACACACGGACGGTGATAATATTTTTTTTTTTCTTTTCTTCTTTTTCTTCTTCTTGTCTAGCGCGGGGTTGTCTTTAATGTTAGAGGCTGGTTCGCGCCCTGGCCCTCAAGGGGGCCAAGTGGATCTGAAGCGATCGTCGGTTCTTCTTCTTGGCTCAATTGAGTCCACGCAAATGAAATCACATTTGTACTTCTGCGTGGCCCACTTGCCAGCTGTGTTAGGGGTTAGAGCTTAAGGATACTTGGCTATAATAAGCTCACTTCAGTCAATGTTCAAGCCATTGTGGTCAGCGTTGGCTTTGGCTCGATATCTACTACAGTGAAGGATTCAACTACTGGAAGGAATGCATCCCTGACAACTTTGGGGATATTGGCCACCCAATTCTCTGCGTTCTTGAGTAATATTTGGTTTATATAGAAGACTGCAACTCTTACTCTGCAGCAGCTACCTAAAGAGGCGGAGTTTCACCCATAATGCAATCCATCACCCTAAAAAAAAAACCATTAGCAACACGGACAACCTGCAAGATAGAAAGAGCAACTCACTCAGCGGGATACCGGGTTCCAGGAATCTCAGTCAACTGAATCAACTCCCGAATATCAGACAACTCCTTCTCACTCAACTGAAGGTGAACGGAAGCCGCATTCTCAGCAACACGTTCAATCGACTTAGTCCCAGGAATAGGAATAATATCCGGGCCTTGAGCAAGCAGCCAAGCAATAGCAACTTGGCTAGGGGTACTACCATGGTTCTTTGCCACGTCTTTCAACCCCTGCACCAATTGCAAGATCTTGGGGAAATGTTCCTGGGCAAACTTGGGCATTCCACGACGGAAATCGGTCTCGGGAAGATCATTGAACGATTGAATCTGCCCAGTCAAGATACCCCGGCCAACAGGACTGTACGCAATAACGGCGATGCCGAGCTCACGGCATGTCTTCAAGAGATCGGTCTTGTCGGACTCGATGTCCACCGCGAACGGGCTGTATTCCACCTGGTACGCTGAGATGGGGTGGATGGCATGGGCACGGCGCACAGTCGCTGCTGAACATTCGGATAATCCGAGGTATTTGATCTTGCCTTGACTGTTGATGAAATCAGTCACCACCCCGGGAAAAAAAAATAATAGATGGGATCTGGGGTTATGTATGACTTACTTCTTTAATTCAACCATAGCTTCAATAGTCTTCTCAATAGGCGTCACACCATCAACCCGGTGACAGTAGTAAAGATCAATAGTCTCAACCCCGAGTCTCTTCAAACTCTTCTCGCACGACTCCTTGACATACTCCGGATCAGACCGAACGGTCTGTATACCCACGTTGAAGTCGTACTGGATGGCAAACTTGGATGCTAGGAAGATATCCTTGCGGTTTCCTGACTTCTTGACCCACTCTCCTACTACGTCTTCGCTGTCGGCGTACACGTCTGCTGTATCCCAGAATCGGGCTCCGATTGAGTGGGCGTGCTCGAGGAAAGCGACCTTTTCTTCGAGGGTGCCGGCGTAGCCATAGATGCTGCCGAGACTCATGAGTCCCAGTCCGACTGCGGGGACTTGGGGACCGTTGCGGCCGAGGGTTCGGGTTGGGAGAGACATATTGGAGTTCAATAAGAGGGTGGAAAGATGTGAAGATGGGAGTTATGCGGAATTGATTCAATCAGGGACCAATGGTAACATTTTATACTGCAACGTGCGTCTAGCGTAGGTAACCTTGGAAACAGCTGCAGCCTGCTTAGAGCTTAAATCCGACGCGTCTCTGCTCTTCTTCCTCTTTCCAGCGAAGTGGCCTAACGCGTCAAATTCAATGTGGATCTCTGCGCTCTTGTAGATAATCTGCAGCCAATGAGAATGCATCAAATACAAGTGCACCAATCGGTTTCCCGCTGTTAAAGGTTAACTCCGTGACCCGTCCGAGATCCTCTTTTCGGTATGTGCTCGATCGCCATGGAGATAATCGGAGAAGGATCGAATGCTTATACATCAGGGTAACATCAGGAGTAGAGGGTCTTGCTTTCCCATTGAAAGCCTGGATCATCTAGTCTAGGCGTATTTCACCACTGTATATCGTACAATTTTATATCACAGCACTAAAGCTGCCATGGGTCATGATTTCGTAATTCCAGGATCCCTGCCCTGAAAGAGTGTACCCAAGACTATCCTCCACTATCCAGATTAACCATATGCTACTTCTCACTTAGTTCCAGCTTTTTGACTCCGCAGAAACGCAGCAACCTGCTCGTGCCTCGTGACAAAGAACATCCGCTTTCGATCCGACTTCCAAACCAGCACGCCGATCTCCGCCGCATACTGACAAGGAGCCTGATACTCCGCCAAGCTGGTGAAGTCCTTGAACAAAAAGCCCGCCGTGGCCCGGAGCCGGTCGCGTTCCAGTTGCCACAGACGGATCTGATCTGTGACGGTGGGCGGGAGCACAGAGGCGGGGAGACCCTTGTTGTTGGATTGGGCGGCGCTGTGCTTGCGCAGTTGTGGGTGTGCGTGCGATAACAGGTACGAGATGATTTGCTCGGCTGTAATTCCCATCTCGATGGCTCGACGGACAGACTGTCTGGTGATTTTTCCGGTGACCAAATTCGGGAAGCGGTATTTGAGGTTCGTGAAGAGGGAGATGAGGGAGATTTGAAGAGGTGATGAGGTGTAGGCGTAGAGTCGGTAGTTCGTTTCGATGATGATGAATCCAGAACCGGAGCCACCAGTCGCTCCGGCTGGCCCGGTCAGAGAGCCGGTGACCGGGTTGCTCAGAGCGCTGGAGTCGGAGGTGAGCGTCGTTGCCAGACGCGTGGGGTAGAAGCGCGTCGCGTCGACGTTTTCCTGGTAAACGATGCCAAAGTCGGCAAGGTCCGTGAGTGTGCGAAGTTGGTTGGGTGTCATATGGTCTTTCTCGTAGGACGATCCAAGCTCCAGACTGCTTAGAAGGAACAGGAACGAGAGCACCTCGACGCTATCCATGCCAATGGCCTCGGCGCTCTCGACATACAGAATTAAGATATGCCAGACCTGGGTGTTCACGTCCTGCAGTACAAATCCGAATCCATCCTTGGTGATATCGACGCGGTTCCCTCGGATTTCAACGAGATGTCCCGCTTGGAGGAGTTGTTTGACACCCTTGCTCAAATTGACCATGTCGCGCTGCCCACTCAACGCACTGGTTCCAACCATGTACCCCATAACACCCTCCCACTGTCGTCTAGCGTATTCATCCAACTCGGCGATTGAAACGGGGGCATGTTCAGGGGCTTGCGAGAACACACCAAAAGACTGAGAGTCCTCGGCGCCCATCAGAGCTTGTCGCAGCGAAGCGGCGAAGGGGTTGGTAACCATGTAGGCGCGGACATTTTCGGCTGTGAGGGTCGTAGATAGAATGTGGAGTCGACCCAATATTGAAAGTGCATTATCCCGTTGTCTTGGAGCGCGGTCAGTCGAGTCACGAGCCAAAAAGCAGTCAGATAAGCTACTCACTTCTTGCTCTCCGACTTGACCCAGACTTCCAGATCAGCCGTTGGAAGCGGGTCTTTCAAATAAAGTAAAGCCATCACAAAGCATTTTGCTGTATTCACTGTTAGTGAGATATTTCCTTTCAGCTGGATGAGCTCAATGTACCCAGATCAGGCAGCATGCGCCGGAAGATCGCAAGGGCTGTTGATGGCTGCTGGTATAACTTGTAGAAAGTCGTCCCTGGTAGACCCTCGAGGTACTCCAGAGGACGGGATGTCGCACTCGCCATGGTGAGTTGTGAGAAACCGAATTCTCAAGCAACTGGGGAGAACAAAATAGCAGAAGTGGTTGGTTGGAATATGACGATGGTACGGTGACCCGTGCGGCCACAGAGTGCAGGAAAGCGTAGCTCCGGGATGTCGCCGAGCCAAGTAATTGATGGACTTGTCACTTGTTAACTCTCTAACATCTCATCTTTACTTTGCTTTCTTTCTAAGATGGCTACCCTCAGATTCGTGCGTTCAGTAAGCACACTACCAATGTCTCTAGAACCTCTAATTATCCAATTACTAACCTGTACCTCCATCTATAGGTCTGGGAGTCCTTCCGAGCTAACTCGGGTTTGGAACCTCGGTAGGCAATGAATGCGTCCTAATACGTCTCTATGTTTGAGCTATCAGACAAACAAAGCTAACAGCTACCTCGCTGGGACTGAAGGCTCTTGAACAATGTAAACCAGTCGTCTTCAATTCATTTCATTAGACTTACAACTGACCTCTACATAGCTCCGCGTTACCGCCGCCAGGCCCGGTGTGGTCAACTTTGAGCTTGATATTGAGAAACAGCATACAGTATGTGTCTATAGCCTGCAGTATCTTCAAATCCCCCTTATCTAACATCTGTATCATACAGAACCGCCTGAGCATTCTTCACGGAGGCACCATTGCCAGCATGGGTAAGACAATCGCTCACAATTACATACTTCTCATTCGCCGGCACATTAACTAACATCAATACAGTGGATCTCGGCGGCTCATTGGCAGTAGCATCCCGCGGCTTGTTCTCGACTGGTGTGTCAACAGACTTGAACGGTAAGTTCACATCCCCGCCACACGCCGCTTCTCGAAGATGCATCTAATGAATGCCTGGTCCAGTGACATACCTGAACTCAGGTGGTAGAGTTGGTGATCGAATTCTAGCTGTACGTTCTATCCTTTGAGCTGGAAGTTATGCTGAGTTCTTCATACTGACGTTCAACAGGAAGTAACCTGTGACAAGTGTACGCTGTCTTTCTTCCCTTTTCACAACTTACCATCTGCTAACTATCATATAGTCGGCAAGACCCTTGCCTTTACCAATATCAAGTTCACGAATCCCAACGGACACGTCGTTGCTCGTGGTAGTCACACAAAGTGCGTACTTCTTATTGTTTAGAAGTCAGCTCGCTAATGAAGTTTAGATATGTGACTCTGGCTTGGAAAGATCCTAACAATATCGTCGAGGAGATGAACAAGCTTAAGGATCTCAAGGAGGATACTCGCGTAGTTTGAGCTCGCTGTCGATGCACCCGGAACGTCTCGTCTAGACGGTTTATAGAAGAACCATTGACCGAAGGGGTATGCTCAACATCTGCAAGAGATATTGCCAAGCTTGGATATACCCCTCGGAAGTTCGATTCAGTGAACAGCACATACAGACAAACCTATTCAAATTCCATTTATGCTCTACCAAACGGCATTGAATTCCTCAGTCGTGGGATGTACTGACAACCCTTACATGTCACGTCTAAGGCTCTTCCTTACGACTCCTGGAGGTCTACCGGCATTACCTAAAAGTGTGAAGTCGACCATGCTCGCTAGTATTTGACTTGTGAATAAGATTAGAGATATACATGATTGCATCCAGCAAAATGCTCTAAGAATCAAACCTCCTCCCCCTTCATCCCCTGCGCCAGTCTTTGCTCCATCTGTCTAACCAATGACTGCGGGACATTTTCCTGTGTGGCACGAATAGTGACGCGGTACATCTGGGCAAATGATCAGCAGGCCATCAAAGCAACATTACCGGGCGTAATACATACCATCTTCTCGTAATTAGGCTCCAGCCTTAGCAAACAGCCCGTCTTACCACCCTCAAACTGGTACACACCACAACCAACAATATTCTGCGCGTTCGGGTCGATGCCATCCAAGATTTTAAAGCCAAAGCCCTCGACAACCTTCCGGGTAAATCCTTCATTGACGGTCTTGTTCTTACCCAATAATCCAAAGGTCTTCTGCTCCTCGAGCGGAGCACCGCCAATCTGGCGCCAGCGCTTGAAGAACTCCTCGGCTGACAACATTGATGATTTCATGTACCGATGCATCAGCACAGGCAGCTGGAGTGTGTAGGCTTGGAGCGCACCGGCCAGATATGAAATACGGATAGTCGGGGCGTCCGTGAAGGGACCGTGGGCGGTGCAGAAGAGGGTCTGCTGTGTTTGTCCGGCAGCAGCGACTGTTGGCTCAGGCAGGCTCTTTGTGTCGATTTTCAAGTTCGGAGAGGCGGGGTTGTCAATGGTGGTGGTGAGAGATCCGATGGGGTAGGTTGATTTGTTGGAGATGTAGAGCTTCAATACACCCATGGGACCGCGGTACTCTGAGCGCAATCCGACTTGGATTTGTGCGTCCTCGAAGAGAACGCCTTCGCGGGAGAAGAAGAGACGATTGTAGCCAATGTCCCATTCTGGGGTTAGATGGGCGGCACTGGCCATGTTAGGGGCCGGGGCTGATGGGCCGCTGAGGTCCAGGCCCGCTAGGTCGCCCGATGCACTGGTTGCGCCGCCTGGACTGGTTGGTGTGCCGTTGGACCCAGTCCGTGTGCCATGCACGATCGTCGTGAAGGTGCGCTTGAGACCAGTGTTCTGCGCCAGGAGCATTTCCTGCTTATCGGCGTTTGCGTCCTTGCCACCGACGACCCAGGTCTTCTTTTCACTGGCACCGGCTGTCTTCTGGTGCAGGCGAGAGAGGAGAATGGAGGCTCGCTCTGAGAACGGCGGCATCTCATCGCAGACAGTCCGGAGCAGATCGTCGGTCGGGAGCGTCGCCAGCGACAGGTACTCAAACGCTCGTTGTTGCAGTTCGGAATCGGGGGAATGGCTGTACAGGCGGAATATTTGCAAGAGCTGGGGTTTGATTTCGGGGAACAAATTCACAAATTTGACAAACGATGAGAGGATCATAGCTCGCGTGTTGTCAGAGCTGGAGAACATCTTACCCTGTAGGGCCATGAATTGCTCAATGGGACTAGAGCCTGCGTTTTCGGCGATGAGATGGCCGAATTCGCCCAGGACGTAGCAGCCGATTTTCACCAAACTTTCATGGCAATCGGACCGCACGTAGCCCAGAAGGGTGTGTGCGGCATAGGCCTGTAGTTCTTCGTTGTTGGTTACGATTTGAATGACTCGTTGCCATACTTCGTCGTTGACATGCTCGCCTGCCAGCGAGAGAAGTTTCAATGTCATGTCGATGTACCATTGTGCATCGGCAGCGTATTTCTCTGTAAGAATGGCGATCTTGAGGACCACCTCCTCTCGAATGTTATAATCGGCTGTCTGCAGGTAACGCAGAAGCTCGTTGACAATGGGTCCAGCATTGCTTGTATCACACATGCTGTATAACAGGTCCAATCCTTTACGACGAACACTGATGTCGCGGTCTCGAAGTGAGCCCAGGATAATGTTCTGGTGCTTTTTGATTGGGTCGAGGGTTTCAGCCCGCGCGGCGAAATGGGTCAAGGCATCCAGACCGAGGTATCGAACGTTAGTTTCACGGGACTGGATGTATTTGCCGAGACGGGTGGAGATTTGCATCATGAGAGTGTGCTCAGAGTCGAGATGGATGAGGAGGTTGATGGCTTCGAAGAGTACGGCGTTCTGCGCATTATTCTGCTGCACGTTCTTGGGTGATTCCATTGCTGATTGCATGATTTGGGAGAGAGACTCTCGAATGATATCGCGGACATGGCTGTCTTCTGTAATTCGCATGTGAGAACTGAAACAACCTTATGAACGGCGACAAAACATACCTGAAGGTGGGTAGTATTGCAACAGGCGCAGGAACTTGACCTGAATCCACGGACATGGCACACGATAGTAGAGGTAGTCTGGGGCGATGTCGTTATCAATTACGATCCGCTTTAATCGCTGTGCAGCCTTGACATAACAGCCTTTGTATTCCTCCGGCAAGTCCCGAGCTAGCGCCATGACCAAAGAAGTGACAGAAAGAGCGACTCCCATGTCGGGGTCATCCATGATTGATATGATTCTTTCGGCCCATTCATTTCGAACGATGCCGGGGTATTTGCGGTACAACCGGAGCAGCGTCAGGGCAGCCTTCTTCTTGACGAAAGCTTTGGAGGTACTGGAAAGGGTCAGAACCATCCAAAACAAGCGAACGAACATTCCAACTCACGGTGAAATAAGCAGCCTGTGAACCTCCGAGCCCAGCGCTTCTCCAAGCTCTCTCCCGCCAACATTGGCAACAGCATGCAGCGCCAAACAGTTATTCAATTCATGATGGTCAAGAAGATCCTTCCGAATACTGTTGACAACCAAATGAAGCAGTTCATGCTCCTCATGCAAGAATAGCGTAACAGCCAAATACCCAATCTGCTTCTCCGAGTACTTCGGCGAGGATATCAAATTAACAGCCTCAAGATGCCCAAAGTCCACATCGTAGCCCTGAATGTAAACATACAGCAACTTGCAGACGTACTTCTTCTTCTGGTATCCATTGAGATTACCGGCCTTGAACTTCTGCCGAATATTGGCAAGCTCTTTATTCACGCGCTTTTCCTCGAGTTCTCTCGCACGAGCATTCCGCAGATCCGCAATGAACTGCACCAGCCCTCGCATCGACGACATGACGACTGCTGCGGTGTTGCGTGGATAGCCCAAAAATATGTAAGGTGTTCTGTTGCGGGGTTTTCGCGATTCGAGGTGCGCCCTCGCATGCCACGCGGGATATTCTCCTCAGGGGGTATCGCGACAGGATCGCACGTCACACAACCATGTCCCGGTTATGGTGGCTCGGCTATTTGAAATTGGCGATGTAGCTTGTCTGGTGAAGGTTTCCGGATGGGCTCATGGAATTGGATTCTTTGGAAAACAGGGGCTTCGGCAGTGGTGGGTAGGTGATCCTGGAGAAGCTTGTCAGCAGTGGGTGGAGGGTGGGTCGCGCTTGACCGATTGAACTACGGGTTGCAACGTACATACAATAGCCGCCCAGTGTAGAGAACCGAGAAGAATCAGGCTGAGCGACAGGCGAAGTCGAGATGAGTTCATCGCCGTGAATTTGTCCGCTCTGCTATTCCTTTGGGTCACTTCGCTGTCGATCATCACGGGATCCGCTATGGGACAGGGAGGTATGCGGCGGAGGAATGTTAATCCGGAGTATACCCATTGTAAATGGTCACTACAGGTCCTCGAAGCTCTAGATTGAACCTATTTGATGAAATGCATGGATCCAACACCCAAACAGGTGCTTCGATTCAATATATAGTATATACTTATAGCTTGTTGTAGATACGCATTGAACTTTCAACTTTTCCTTAAAACTGTCAACGTCTAGGTATGAGATTGCTGCCTTCCACGCCCCTTCCATATCTGACGCGTTTGGACTCAGTCATTGATTCGAGGTATTCTTCCACGAAGGGTCTGCGGTCGCCTTCGGTGGACGAGCGATGTCCGACTGAACCAGAGCATTAAGATCCACTGATGTATCGTCCCAAGTTTGTCTTCGCTTTTCCAATGCCAGCTTGGCGGCAAAACAACCCTTGTCGACGTTCTTTTACTGCCCATGCCGGGTGAGAGCTTCCCGGAACCTGATGAGTTGAGATCAGGCATACAAAACCTCCTTTCGTCATTCGCCTCTTTGTGGTCATGACAAAGCTTTACCTGGACGGCAATATTTGCATAGATTGGACGTCGTAGATGAGTTGCTCGTATCCGTCTTTGGTCAATGAGCAGAGAAACTTCCATTGCAGTTTATCAAGCAGACGTTGCTGGATGATACCACGCCGAAGATTGAGGGGACCTTCGACCCTATATGTTCCCTTAATGAAGTCTTCTTCGTACATCGGCTTGGCGGCCTCCGCCGTTCGACGCTGTCTGATAGACGCCGAGGACGAAACCCAGCAGAGGACAGAGCATCCCACTTGCATTGAAGTCTCGAAGTCAGTATATTGACTGCGTGAAGGAGACGGGAGCACTTGGCAATTCCCATCAGATCTACTTCTCTGCCGAGAACGACGAGTGGGAAACAAATTACCAGCCTCGCCTCGGACTGTTTTGACCTCGTACAACGACCAATGGCTGCCTCTACGACAGGCATCTTGAACCACCGCACCAGTCAAGGTCTCCAATTTGTACTTCTTCGGGTGTGCATGGAAGGATTGGATCACCAACCAAATAAACGAGTTATAGACCTTCTGCATGAAGTTTTTCTCGTGCTTGACATTGACTTTCAGAAGGAACTTATGCCACTGGGGATTGTGCGCGATCGCAATCTTGAACATATCGAACTCTCTGGAGTCAACTCCCACTGCCGAATGCTAGCAGTTAGGTTGACTCCGCGACTACTGTTGGAGGCGCAGCGGAAGTTCTTGATCTCGATGGGCGATTGCTGGCGTTTGATCGTATAGAGGAATATTGAAAACCTTTCCTCAATGGCGAGTAAAATATCTTCTCGACTTAGGACACCGTCCCAATCTTCGTCGATATCTTTGTCTTTAGAGTCACAAGAAGCTTCTCAATGCTGTTTTCAAAGATCCGTGGCCTTCACCCTTCATGTGCTTCCTGTTTTCAGCTACCTTAGGCGTTTGAGGTGCCGGTCGCCAGTCTTCGCCTGCTCCGGCCCACTAGTCGAGGAAGGAGATGGAAGGGCCTGTCGATGTCGTCGAGATAGCCATTTGTCGTTATATGACGTTCTCTCGCCACAGGACTTGGACTCAACAATCGTCAGCCGTCAACCCAAGGACATGACTAGTTCAGCCCCGTTGCTCAGCCCTCTTTATACACGTCTGGTCGTCACGTCCCGCTCCGGCGTTCCAATGTGAGGAAATCGGGGAAAGAATCTGGACAGTTCGTGGTGAATGGGCCGGTGGTGCCAGGTGGACCGTGGCTATTGTATCGACAGTAGTGGATGAGGGATGAGAGACGAATACGTGCATAACTGTTGCACTTGCACTCGGATAGCGGAAGCCCAAATAGGAAAGTGGGAAAGTCTGATGAAGAGCAGACGGGCGGCGGGCCTTCCTAGAGGCTTGCCAACAAGCTCAGGTATTCATGGGAATACAACACAGATGGAGGATAGATGGAGGAATCTCTGTATGTATTCAGATAGATGAAGGGGAGAAAGAGAGTGTGAGAGAGCAGGCAAACTAGCTGGGTCAAATATGTATATTCCCTGTTCCCTAACTTCTGGCTCCACTCCCTTCCCCACTACTTACCCGCTTCGTTGCCTTTCCCTCCCTCTCATTCGTTAACTCCTTCTGACCGCTCGTTTTCGCATTCTTTGGTACTGCACACTCAATCCTCGCGCTCTCCGATTCGTCAATTCTCTTTCCCTCTTCCTCATCTTTCATTCGTCTCCGTCTTCCTCTCCGCTTACGGGTAGTTCTGCCGTCCAACCCATCTAATCTTTCGTTCTTTCTTCTGCCTTTCTCTCTTTCATTCCTACCTACTCCGTACTTCTGCCGTACCAACTATCTCTCTGCTCTTGCTCAAACCCTCTTCCTCTTCCTTTCCTTTTTCTTCCTTCTCTCACTCTTACCCGTGCCTTTCTCTTCTTTCCTTACTGTTTCTCACGTCTTCCTGTCTCCGTCTTCCTCTCCGCTTACGGGTAGTTACCGTCCGCACGAACGGCATTCGATGCCGCTTGGATCCTGAATGTGCGTATGTGGTTGGCACCCAAACGGCCATGAAGAGGCATTGGCGTGTCACCCATGGCCGTTCCGGAGCTAGCCGCAAGGGTCGTCCCCGCAATGACTTGACAGACGCGAATGGGCACAAATTTGATGAACTCACCTCCAAGGTTGCGTACCAACAGGTGTTGGCCCAGGACACAGGCAGTCATTACGTCTTGATCGAGAACTATGAGCTTCCCGATCCCGCCGCGGAGGTGGCTCGTGAGGCTGGTCAGCGCCAGGCCGGGTTGAACATCCTCCAAACGCTGTACCAGCAGCACAAGCAGCCCGTCAGCGTTGAACATCCTCCAATGGTTTCATCCCACTGGCCGGCTTCGGTGGTGGTGACGGGCTGCTTGTGCTGCTGGTACAACGTTTGGAGCATGTTCAATCCGGCCTGGCGCTGACCAGCCTCACGAGCCACCTCCGCGGCGGGATCGGGAAGCTCATAGTTCTCGATAAAGACGTAGTGACTGCCTGTGTCCTGGGCCAAATATATAGTTACAATTACATGCCCGTAGGTAAACTACACGGTTGGCCCAGGAATCTAAGTCCTGAGAATCTGAGCATTATGTGGATTCTGTTGAAGTCTACCTAGTGTAATGTGTATTTAGTGCCGTCTTGGAGGATATGGTGCGCATGAGTTGGTCTTTGTAATTGTGTGTGGAAGCTAACGACGCCGTCGGACTCGGAGCCTACCTATGACGCGATATTCAGTGTTCAGCCTCCTACTGAAAATATACAAATGTACCTATCCTTAATGTTCAATTGGTGTTTGAATTGCTCCCATGTATCATATGACTTCCATAGCTTAGTTCGCTTCCCTCTCTCTTCTCTTGATAGCGCGAGACTCTACTCGGAATTCTTAGCTTCTCGCATTGAACAATGCAAATAGAACAAGCATGAAGCTCTCATTTATAACTCATGAGGTAATCTGACCTAAGAAAATACAGGTGACCTAAGCAACCTCAAAACCCAAATATCAACCCATGATGCCCGATAGACGCCAGTCGCCACCATCCCATAAGGGAACCTAAGAATGCAAATTCAACCACCGACAGACCGATTTAGCCAAGCAAAAGAATCTCAAGACTCTAAGCCTTGCTAGTGAAATCAACCTCAAGAGCAGAGTCCACAGCAGCAGCCTTCTCACAAGTGCAGGAATCTAAATCCCCAAGGTTAGCACACATCCACCAACGAACTATACACGCAACAATTGCCCAGTAAATGGAAAGGAAGGAATAAAACTCACCCTGAGGACGACTGCCACAAGGACAAGTCTCACCAGCAACAGCCTGGTTCTCAGTCACAGCACGCTCGCAGGTACACTTTCCAGCAGGACGAGAGCCTATGGAAAAGACATTAGTTCCATCATGGTTTCATCATTATCTCACCAAGAGAAAGTTCACTTACGGCACGAGCAGCGAGGTCCGGAAGTAGTATTCTCGGTATCGGCCTTGTTGCAGCTGCAGTGCAGGGCGCTCTGCTGGCCGCAGGAGCACTTAGCCTGCGCGGCGCAGACGCAGGAGCCGTCCTGGGAGGTCTTGCAGCAGGTGGTGGTGGGGTGGACCATTTTGGTGGATTTGGTATGGAATAGGTTCTTTGGATCTAGAGATGTGGTTGTTGTTGTGATGAAAAATGGAAAGACCTTCGATTGAAAGATTGAAGATTGTTTGGATTTGTGTTTGGATTTTGGGGAGTAAGGGAATCAGCTTCCATGAGCTCTTTTATACTTCTATGTTGCGTTACATGCGTCAGAGGGTTTGGTTGTGATTACCAATTGCTCGGCTATGATTGGTTGAACGTAATCTAATCAGGTGCCTGAGCTTTTCCATTTATGGTAAGCGGTGAATGGCAGCCGCTGGAGGACAAATCCGGGTCACATCAGTGGCTGGATATCAGGCTGATTGTGGATGTGTTGAGATGAGAAGAGCGTCGATTACTTTTAGCTGGATTGTGATTCGATGGGTTTGATTTGGATGACCTGCAGGTGTGTAAGCGTTTCAGCCTTTCAGGTGGACATCCAGTTCTATTATTAGCGCAGTCGTAGGGGAACTATCCAGCTGTAAGGTAGGTATGTATCGGGATTCAAGATCTCTATCATCTATGAGTTGAATACCTAAAATCTATTGTCAATCAACATGACTTTCGTAGATGAAAGTAGGAATTTCACCGACAACACTGTCTATGGTTTATGTAGATATTGCCATATTGGACTTGATGATCTGTCCGCTATATAAACACAGCAGTACCTCCCGCGATACACTCCTGCATTCCATTCACTCCAGGGGACCAGGGCTATGCGGCAAGATCGAGAACTTGATTGACATTGAACAAACAGCCTCCTCGACATGATCGCTAGATACCAGACGAAACCTAGAGAGAAATTCGCAAGATGTGAAAAACATGATCACAATGAAAGCAACGAAGGATGTAGATGCAAAGTGGGAAATAGTGAAATAAAATGATAGTAGAAACACAAGATCCAGAAGTAAACCACAATGACCAGAATCAGAAAGGAAACGCTAAGACGATTAATGATTAAAACTCGCTGTATATACTGTGGATCTTTGAAGTTTGGTTAACCCAGCTAACCAGTCAACCCAAAGGCAAGGTTGTAGATGAGACGAGAGGAGAAACAGAGCAGGATGGCATCGCATAGCAAATAGCCCGGCGGTCGAATGCCAGGCTTCCCAGTGCTTTGCGCCCCTCATTGTTGAATATAGGATTGGTAGTTGTAAGATGAATCCGAAGTTGGAAGACTGATAGCAGAGGTGTTTGCGTGCGTATAAGGTAATGTGCCCATCCGGCCTGCGGTGGCCTCGTAGGAATAAGGTCTATAATCCGGTGCTGCCGAGACAGGCAGGTTCTGCATGGTGTTGATGGGTCGTCCTTGATTCGGTAATCGAGAGCTCATTCCAAGGTAGTTTTGTTGTTGTGAGCCTGTTCAAAATCACCAGTTAGAGGGGGACGTAGGTGTAGCTGCGCATGGATGTGGAAGACCAACCGAGACTATGTATATCGTAGCTTATATGTGAACCCTGAGTGTCTGTCGGCGAGACGGAGCCCTCGAATGACTGCCGTTGATCGTATGGTCCCATCCCAGTCGGATGCTGCGGTATTGCGTATTCCATGGGTCGTCTCATATATGGCAGACCGGGCTGGTTCGGCTGGCCTGCAAAGCGGTTGTGCATTTGATAACCTGTATACGCGGAAGGATGCGCCGATGCATCGGACACGCTGCTGGATCTGGGGGTTTGGTAATCGTTTTGGATAGTTCTATGTAAGTCGGACATGGACGCAGATGCAGCAGGGCGGAACATCATGTTCGACTGAGGCAGGCTGTCATTTCGTCCTCCCGTTGAGGACATGTAGGTTCCTGCTGTCGAAACAGAGCTGAGAGGCGAGACCATGTAGTCTTCATCGTTTGTTCGGGGGAAGCAGTCGGTCCGTAATGTCCTCAGAGAAGCAAAATCTGCATTTGGGACGTAGGTTTGTGGGGATGCCGTGGGCGTGATACCTGATTGCTTGCCCTCGAAGGGTGTGCGTAGAACTTTGGTGGTGTCGAAGTCGTCAGGTAGGGCCCGAGACTTGAGCATTCTCTCCCGATCATTTGTAGTGAGGCGCTTGAGCTTTGCTCGTCTGGAAGTGTACATTCACCGTTAGTCAAAGTACAGAAACTTCGATTCGTGAGCACGCTACCTATTCTGGAACCAGACTTGCACTTGACGCGGTGTCAACCCAGGTATCTCTTTTGACAAGCGCTCTCGATGAGCAGCGTCGGGATGTGCCTGGCGAGTGAACTCGCTCATCAAAAATCGAGTTTGGTTATGTGTTAAGCTATACTTCCGTCAGCAACAATGGTCTGCGCCCCGCTCAACTCAAGCAATTCCATACCGAAACCGCTTCATCTTTTTCTTCTCTCTCGAAGGTGACGAATCGTTGTCATCACTCCCCATCATATCCTTATCGTCGTCAGGACTGACTGTCGATTCTTTCTCGTGATCGTTCCTTGGGTCATGCGGGGCCGCAAAAGATGAAACACCCGTCTCCTCAGGATGCCCACCGTGCCCGACCAGGGGCTGAGCATTTGTAAAGATACGCTGATCCAGACTTGGGATCTCCAGCTTGACACGCGGTAGCATCTCCTGTTTTGCCGCCTCCAACCTCGAATTGACCGCAGTCCGCGGTGAGACAGTTCTCCCCGAATACGGCGCCGACCCCATGCTGTCAGACTGTGCCACCGGGTTAATCAAGCTCTCAGCCTTGTAGCCAGCTAGTTGCATGTCGACGGGGCGAGAAGGAGCGTGCACAGGATCAAGAACGCCAGACTGCTTTTTCTTTTGCGCAGAGAGCCGTGGCGAGATAGCCCTAGGCCCTAATGACAGTCTCTCGTTGTTCCGGTTTGCGGATAAATGGGATGAAACTGCAGACAGGGGCGAAGAAACTGGCGAAGATAAGGAAGGTAACCACAGGCAAGGGCCACCGACTGACATGGCAAGGGTGTCGTTTGAGCGGGTGTGGATGTGTATAAGGCTTACCCGCGATAGTTCTCAAACGACAGAGATCAGTCGAGGAGTTCCTTTTTGTTGTGAGCAGGAGAAGTAAGGAAAGCAAGAGTCAACTAGATTCGACAACCTTGAATGCGTCGAATTCAACAGAGCAATAGGAGAAACAAGGCCCAAAAAGGAACTAAGCAGGTGGACTTTTCCCCCGAGATGAGACGTTTGTGGGTCTGATCGAAGTGCCGGGGTGAGGGGCGCTTGCGTAAAAGGATCAGTGTTTCCCTCTGCAATCAAAGGAAAGGGTGAAGCTGCGTGTTCCAGAACTCGAATCGTCCCGAATGTATCCCAGGAAATGGAGGGGATAATTGGGCGCCAACTGAGGGTCAGGTGAAGAACCGGTGTGCACTAGAAGACGAGAAAGCCAGAACGAAAACAAGGCCCAAACGAGGATAAGACGTCAAGCGGGATGGTCTCCAGCTTCCTGGTTTCCTTTTTTTATTTTTCCTTTCCAGTTCGAGTGTTCTGGATCTGATGTTTCGATGTTGTTGATCGTTACGCTGGGCAGCAGCTGTAAGGTAAAAAGACAAGCATCCAACAAGTTAATGTGGTAGCTGGGATATAGCTAGACTGGAGTCCGAGGTATCTTAAGAGGCAAATAATGTGGAAAGGACATCAACAAGCTAAGAGAGAACGAGGAAGTGGAAATAGGTCGCGGATATTAAACGGACGCCCGCAATGGCCCCAGGGTCCACCAGTATAGTCACAGGTTTGGCCACCCGGGATGTTCCATACCCCGATTCTATTGTATGATGTATGTGTCTTCTTCGTTGGAAGGTACTTTCTAAATAAAGATGATGGTCCATGCAAGATGATCTTCTCAACGGCCATAACGGTCATAGATGGACGATATCAACGAGGATTACCCCTCTAAAAAACGAAAGAAAACAAGGAATGGAACGGACAAGACACAGTACGGTGAGCACTTCGGCCAACCGATCATTGAGAAAAGGGAGGGGGTGGGCGAGGGGGTGGGCCTGAGGGCTACAGGGCTGCCTGGGCAGTGTAAACAGAGACCACAATCAGACCATGAGTTCACAGATCAACGCTCGATCTGTTTGCTGAACGAAGATCCTATACTGAACGGTCCATAGCGGCAGCCGTTAACCTCCTTGATTCAACATTAGGTTACAGATGGCATAGTAGTGGTATACGGGTATACGGCAGATACCACCCTAGTACTAGGGTCAGAAACTAAAAGGATCGTCTCGGAGAATTAATCGTAGCCTCCGATCCAATCCCCATATCCGGGCTAAAGCATTTCTGGGCGTTTCTGTACCTTGAATGTACATTTCCGAGATAACACATAGTTACCTCTATACCTATAACCACGGGGATTCGAAGAAGACCATCAGAAGACGGCGGTACCAACTTGAGACCACGAGAGTCCTGCCGTGCACAGAACACAAGACCCCAATCCACATAACGGCCACGGCCGAATCTCGCCATGGAAGACGCATGAAATCCGCGGATGGTATTGGCCGTCTGAGCTCAAAGGCGTAGTGGGAACTTCCACGTCAACCCAGCTCAGGAGCTTGGACGGTAAAGGGGAAGTATGGGTCAGGTGGGACCCGTTCCCAGAAAAAGTAAGAGACCCAGAGAGAGATAGAGGCGAGACAGTGTCCTACTTGTGTGTTCTCGAGAGCAAGAGTTGGGGGTAATATTCAATTGTTCACCGCACGATGGTAAGGATGTGACATGGTCCCGAATCCCAATTCAGATCTATACAGGAGGGGAGAAAAAGAACCAACCGTTGCAACGCAGCAACAGATACCGGAACTCGCATAGCCATGTGTACCATGTGGAAAGGACCAGCATGAAGTGGCGTGCTGGGATCCATAAGAGGTACTCTAAGCCGCCGGACCCTCGGGGCTATCGATCAAGACTAAGCGAGCAGCCACTCAGCAGGCTGCCCGCCGCACTCCATGAATGGATGCATCGGAAAGAAGCGAAGGTATCGATGCCGAGTGGAGTGCTGCAATGTCCGGGAAGGGAAAAAAAGTAAAAAGAAATGTATTCTAATGATTTAATAAGGAAAATCTAGAAAATCGAACGGAAGGGACGGGCTCTCCGAAGCGATGGTCATTGCAGAGGGCGAGAGAAATTCGATAGTTCCATTACGGGGCTGTCTTCTTCAGGAAAAAGGATCAGACCATGCAGTGAGCTCGGTAACTCTTCGGAAATAAGCAAAAAGAGACGCCTTTCTCAAGCCTGCGGGACAGCTCCCCTGGAAATCTCCACATCCGCGATGAAACAGTTAGGGTCGCAGGTGAAATGAGGCGTCGACGCTGCAAATAAAAGATCAGAGGTGCGGTGTGGGTCGATGCGAGAGTCGAAAGGTCCAAGACTCTTGACGAACATCGGGAATACCGTGTGGATACCGGGGTTTGTTGAGCGTGGGATTTGCTGTCTCGTAGCGTGTTACTTTTTCTGTAGTTCCTTAACAGCATCCGTAGAATCTAGTAGGATTAGGAGATAAATCAGTAAAAGAAATGATCGTACAAGAAGATCGAAGACCGTTGGAGATATACATAGTTCTAAAGATGTCAATGTGGAGTCGGGAGGAGAAAACTCGGAGCCGTTGAGTCTTCAATCCCGAATCAGAGAGCGTAGCGAGAGCCGAAACTGACGATCGCGACGTATGAGGATAATAGTCCTTTATGAGTCCTTTGATTCAGCCGAACCTTGGAAATCCTCTACATTGTAGTTATACTACGGACTACTGTACCAGTAAAAGTAGATCTCTAACAAGGACAGAAACCTGATGCCAGGACCCTTCTAATCTCCCCTACCACTCCATACCGATCAGAAATGTTCTAGAACGTGCTGTGCGGGGAAATAAGATCGATACACGATCTTGAGACACTTCAATTTCCAGGGCTGTTTCATGTTGCTGCCTTTCCTTGGATCTTACAACCAGGAACCTGATAGATCAGTTACAGCCATTTATATGTGGTTAATGGACAATACAGTCAGGAACATTAGGGTGACGCAACATACAACCGATCTCTTGGTCTTCGGTACTTCGATTGCATCAATCATAGACGGTATATTAGGCCGATCTCCTGCATAACATACATCCATTTGTATCCGGTTGTAGTCCTTGATAACAGGTCACAGCCCAGGTGTTTCAAGACAGGTTAGACAGGTCAAGTGGACTACTCCAAACTTGTCCTACCGAGTAGTCTTCCCATACTGCGTAGCAAAGACCCAAAATCTTGCCAAGATGCTCACCGGCGAAATACACCTCTTTCCTTTGCACTAACGCGGCGATTTTGCGGCGATTCTTATTCCGGGAGAATCTCAGAATCTGAATGTTGCCTCTATCCAATGAATCGGTCATTGAATCAATGGTCCGATGGATCAAACGCCTACTCTACTAGGTCAGGGTTCTCAGGGACCAGGGTTGATAAGTGCGTAAAAGAATTCGGGTTCGGATTTAGTATTTCCCCGAACAGATCATCCTAAGAACTAGCGGCATGGAATAGTTATGAACCCCATCGACACAACATAACCCGACCACCAACGAAGCATTATTGAGAACGACATGCAAGAACTAAAGACAAGGAATATACCAAGATGATCGCCGATATGGCTACCGTTTACAAACCACCTTCGGTGGCTCTGGGGATGTCCTGGCTCCTGCACAGTGTCCACTCAGTCCAACGCTTAGCGGCTTAGGCGATACTACCGTCTAGCTAGTTCGCGTTAAGTGGGGGAGTCGGAGCTGCGTCTCCGTAGTGGAGGTCCATCATGCAACCGGGCCGCTAGACGATCAGTGCGCGATTTATCTATTGAACTACGGCCGCTTGTTCTCCGCGTGCTTCGCTTAGGCTTCGCCTGGGCTTCCGGAACACCGATTGCTAGTGTATGAAGCAGGCATATCGCCACGACCTGTCGGAAGCGATGTGGGAGAGGGTATGTAATAGAGAAACACAGGAGAAAGGAGCAATAGGGGCCAAAAAGGATTGTAAGTGTGATGGATTGGATATGCTTCTGTTGTTTCTTCAAGCACACCGAAGGAATGGATGAACTCTGTAAATCCCCCTTTTTCTTTTCTTCTGATTTTTCTCTCGATATCCGTTCGTACCTGACAGTCGGATGAAGCCACTTAATCTTATCCGAGTCTGCTAAGGTACGGAGTAGACTCATTCTGATACAAAAAAGACAGGGGTTAAGTGAAACATGGCGGCGACGTTTGGCCCCCATTGGCGCCACTGGCGATGAATTAGTGAAGTTTCGGAGGAATACGCAGAAACATTCAATGTAATACATGTACATACTACAATTATTCTGCTGGTTTACTCTCGCTTCTAAGTTCTTGCTTCATGCAGGAACCACTTCACAGCCCATTCGGCATGGTATTAAAGTTGTCGATCAGCTAGTACACACATCGAGGTCCGCTCTTAGTCTCCTTGTCCTCGGGATTCGGGAACAAGATGCACCGCTTCAACTAGCGGCCCCGCTTGCATGGAGCTCGCATTCGTTTAGAAGGAGCTTCTCTCTTTTCACTCGGCAGAGTTGCCGGTTTTTACTCTTACTTATGGCGGAGATTGAGGTGAGACTGTGAGAGAATACTGGAAGATCTTGGCAATTAGGAGGAAAAGAAAGAGGTGAGTAACTACATCTACGACTTGGGAGCGAGAGAGAGGAGAGAGACTTGGATTCACGAACTAAAGGAGCTGACGCTCCAAACTAGCTAACCAGGTCTTTGCCTCCGGGGACATCACCACCTACACAGTCGGTTAGGTGGCTCCCCATAGTAACCTTGAAGCTGGTGAAATGACACCCACTTAGGTAAAGCATCGTCTAAATCCCTCCCTGCCTGCAGGGATGACCTAGGACACACCGAGGTTCGTACTCGGAAACCAAACCAGCAATTTCTGATTGTTTCGACGCATACAACCGGGATGTCGCAAAGGATGTAGGTGCATAGATGTGGTAATCTCGGGTTCATGTCACGGATCGGATATCGCGATGTTGATGCATGAAATCCTGCGATCCTTGAATGATCTGGGTGTTGTTGGCTGACGGCGTGACGGCGCCAAACGAACACTCCGGGCCCTTGGGGGAATTTCTAAGCGAAGGGGTCAAAGCCATGAGGCATTCAACAAAATATCTTCAACGAGTCACATCCAATCTTTAGGTGGCAGAGTTGGTAGCAGGGTCCTCTTTCGTGGCGCTAGAAGTGGCAAGGGTCTCTCCGTTGTCATGAGTGCTCAGGTCTTGTTGCTTTTGGCCGATGACGTCGCTTTCGTCAACTTGCATGTCTTGGCCGTTGGTGCCCTCAGCGCCATCTTGAGTGGGAAGCTCCCGACCACTCTCAGGTTGGCCAAGAGGAGCATTCTCGTCTTGACGCTCAGTAGGCTCCTTGGTTTCACCCTGCTCTTGATCGCCAGTCGACTCTTTGCCGTTCACGGCCTCGTTGGTTCCAGCAGGCAGGTCCTGAGGTCCATCGAGAGTCTGGGGGAGGTCCCGGGCGTCGCCGGAAGCAGTTTGCTCGTTCTCCTTACTTTCTGTGGGGCTTTCGAACAAGACTTGTAAACCATTCCCATCACTGCCAATCTTGTCGAATGTAGCGAATTTTCCTTTCGCGGAGAGACGCAATATCCGCCAGGACTTGCTGGCTTTAGCCCCCTCGGCAATCACCTTGTCTTCGTCAGTCATCGCCATATCGATGTCCATTTCATCGTCCATAATGCCCTTCAGGAACGTTTCCGCTGACGGAATGCTGTAGCGATCTGATTCCTTGAGACGATCCATATTGGCCAAAGCCTCGGTGTCGGAAAGGAATTTCAGATCAAGCGAGCCCATCGGCGACGGACGAAGGCGTTTGTTGGCATAAGCCTTGACAGCATTCTCACGCGAAGCCGTATACTCCGCCGACGAGATAGCTGGGCGTTCAATCAACGGACAGCCCTCGGCTTTCCACCGAACCCAGTTTTTGTCTCGAGACAGGACTGTATCCACCATGCGATAGTAGAATTGTCCTCCCGGCCCGCCTCGCAGGTATTCCTCAATGCTTTTCCTCATGCTGGTCGCCCACTTGGCGTCCTCATCGTTCAGGGTAAATCCGTACAGAACGGACTTGTTCGTTGCATCGGCAAGGCGAGATTTAGAACTTGGTGTGAGAGAAAGCACGAAGTCGAGAAGGATAAGAGCTTGTACGAGAACATGTCGCCGGAAGGCAGTATCACTGACTTCTAGGTCAAACAGATCTCGGCTGGTCAAGTATTTCGGATTGAAGCTGGTAGCGACTTCAGTGCTACCCTCGACGCGCTTGCGCTTGTTCGACTTGCGGGCATCTTCTGAAGCTCGAGCAGATCTCTCATTTTCCATTTCGGTGTTAATGTTCTTGAAGGCGACCAGCGTAGCTTCCAGTCCAGTTTTGAATGATGCGAAGCGTTGAGCGTCGAACATATTGCTCGGTGAGGAGAAATAAGCTTGAAGGCTCCAGAAAAGCGGGTAAAGCGCGTTCAAATCGACATCGTGTGGCTTCTTCTGATCGTCTGTGGAAACGACGACCGCGGGAACTTGTGATGTTTGCTCAGATGGAGTCTGGGACTCTGTCTCGCCAGGTTTCGAGGCATCGGCCCCTTCAATCATAGGTGTATCTTGCTCCTGCGTCTCACTGGATTCCTTCGTAATATCGTCAAAAGTGGTGATATTCTCCGAATGGAATTCGCCGCGAAGATTGACCGAACTCTTATCTCCCAGTGGGAAGCTTTGGAAGAGGTAGATAAACACCCTGCCACAGAACACTGTATCCTCTGCACGCGACAGTCGGCGAAGAAGCTCGTTACATGATCGTAGAATGACCAAGCTTTTCTGTTTAAAGTGTCTCTGGTGCGAAGTCAGCTAAACAGATCCAGAACATGACGGGGTCATACTAACCTTGGTGTTCCTCTCTCGTCGTGACTCCAAGTAGTCAAACACCTTCCGACAGCCATCAATAGTCTGGCTATCCAACAGCTCTTCGATGAGCCAGAAGATCAGGCCGGGTTCGCATTGTTCTGGTGATTGTTAGAGGCGTATGGATCGCGGGTGCACCGTAAGAACTGACCGTTATCGGAGAAGATTGAGACAACGTCAAGGAGATTCCAGATTTGGATAAAGGCAGGATCGTCGATGGAAGTCGAGGCCTAAGGCGAGTGTGTTAACAAGGTCCTGGGGACTAGACTTATGCACGGGTCATACCAAGACACGATAGAACTTCTCGCGGAACGCGATTTCAACGGCCGCAAACTTCGTCTGCTGGCTCATGCCTTGCGTAGCCTTATTAGCCTCTGACGGTAGTTGCCAAATCGACTCGCCCAGGTGCGTTTCGGTCAGGGGGGGTTCGATCTGCTTGTCGGGTTTGGCCTTCGCGGCGCGATTTAAGAGGTCGTCCACCAGTCTTTTGTAGACCTGAACACCAGCAGCATCCTCATTCGCCATTTTTGCGAATTTACTCCCGAACGTCGTCCAATGCGCCTAGAAAAGGCTCTTCGGGGCGGTGTTTCAAGGCGCTGTCTCGCGTTGTCTCAAGCGTCTTCAGGTGCGGCTTGCTGGTTCTTTGGATTATTTGGTGATATTCCAGGTTATTGATCAAGCGCGTTCTCGATAGTATCTGTAGGTGAGGGTAAATGAAAGAAAAAGAAGAGGACTTGGATCGGTGTTAGAAAGAAAGCAACAAATTGATCGGAGTGATTGAGGCGGCTCGGCGGAACTTAAGAGCCAAGACTTTTGGAAAAGCTCCCCCCAGCTTCACCAACTCAGATGTTCCCCGACTGCGCCAATCAACCCCTCCCTGATCAACCCAATCAATTAGGTTAAGGGACCTATTGACTCTTGCGATGGCGCAGAGTCTTGAATCAAGGCCTACAGTCGTGGACTTTCGCGACGAAAGCCCGTGGGTGCAGCTAGCCAAGGCCCACTGGCTGAACGCGAAAGTCCGCAAGGCCAAGGCAGATGTCATCAAGAAGCAATTGTGGGATCCTTTAGAGGCAGAGGCCTTCAATAGTCGCTCGCTATTGATCCTAGAGAATCTGAACATTCTTGAGAAGTATGTTCTATACACAATCAATGCTGCCTGGCTATTGCTAACTGATGTCCAGGTTCCTGTGGCCGACCTACACTGAGGACGCATCAAACCATCATGTGCTGCTGATTGCCTTGATTGTCAGCGTGAAACATCGCGAGCACTTGCCGATATGGGGTGAGTCAATGCGCCAACGTCTACAGGACGACAAAGCTAACAGCCTTAGACATCTTCTCCGACCGTCCCGATGACTTCTCCAATCTCTTCCACCGGATCCTCTCGATGAGCATTGGCCATTCAATCTCGATTCGCTCTCGACTTTCGATCATATCATTCATTATCAGTGCCTTCCAGTCTCTCGAGAACACACTTATTCGCAAAGAATGTGCGCCCCTCGTTTCGATCTCAGTCTGGCACAACCTGGCTAGCGACGCAACCAGAGAGCGCATCATTGCGAAAGCCCCAGCACTCCGAAAGGCATGGAGAGCCTCAACAAAACGTTACGAGGCTGCCGACGATGCGGCCAAAGCAAAGATGCGCTTTGAACGTTCATGGTTATACACAATGCTCTTGGATTTCTTTCAAAGGATGAATGGGCCTGACAAGGACCAGAATGAGAACTTGTTATACTGCGAACGTTTTATGGAGCTTTTGGTTGATCTCGAAAGTCAGCTTCCAACTAGGCGCTATGTTAACACGCTATTGAAGGACCTCAACCTTCTACCAGTCATTCGCCTTTCACAATTATATCGCGTTCCCGAGAATGCGCTCCTCCGTGACTTCCACGGGCTGCTCGAGCATTTTGTCGAGTTTGCAATCGACGACTACACCGGGGAGGCTCTCTCTCCACAGGGAGTGTACGATCTACACTGCCAACGATTGTCCCAGTTGCAAAGAACCTCAATGAAGTTCTTCAAAGACAAACTCATGATTCTTGCACTCTCCAACATGGGATCGATTGAGAAGCGAACAGATCTAGAGGGACAGCTGGCTTCACTAGATGAGTCCGAACTCGAGAGCCTTTGTGGCCACCTGGGTTTCCGCACAAGCTACCCAAAATCTTCGAATATCACCTTGGACCGGCAATTTTATCTCGAAGTTTTGGCATCTTTCTATGAACGCAAGATCCCGTTCCAAGAAGCAGTCGAGAAGTTGAGCCCCCTCCCGACATTAGAACATCTATACGATCCGGCCCTGTTGCGGAATGAGACATACGATGGATCCAGGCCTCTGGCAATCCCCAAGCTGAACCTCCAATATCTGAGTCTTGGAGACTTCCTTTGGCGCTCATTCCTTCTCTACCGCTCGGAAGCATTCTTCCAGATCCGCAAGGATATGGAGTCAGTTCTGAAACGCCTACAGCCAAAGGCGGCCCGTGATGGAAGCACCATCTTCGAGGGCTTCTCGCGGATGGCAATTCCAATCTCGAAGCCTGCTATCATTGATGTTGCGCCCCCAAAGGTTGGGCAAACACAGCCGGCTTTCGTTAGAGCCGAGATCGCGATAGAGGTGGGAAGGCTCGCCGATAATGTCAGGAGAGAATGGGACTCGCTCCGTCCTGACGATGTCGTCTATCTTTTGGCAGTTCACCCCCCGACTGCCGCTCACCCGGGACAGGCTGCTACCGAGGCCCCGAAGTTGACCCATCTTCGAACCGCCGAGATCGTACAGGTGCTCGATGAGCAAGGTCGGGCACTGCGGCAATACCCTGGTCAGACAAATGGCTCACAGTCCCGGGCACGGTTGCGAAGATTGATCGTGAACTTGGATGCGGCTGCGTTCAAAGCGGACAAGGACAAGCAGGCCCATGGCAAAGCGGACGTTTACCCCATGATCAACGTCATTGTACGAAGAAAGGGCAGGGAGAACAACTTCAAGTCAATTTTGCAAACGATGCAGAAGCTCATCGTGTCCGATATGACACTTCCTTCTTGGCTTCAAGATATCTTCCTGGGCTATGGAGATCCCGCCGGTGCTCAATACACACAACTACCCAACCGACTCAACACCGTCGACTTCCGAGATACCCTTTTGGACTGGTCTCATTTGGTCGAAAGCTTCCCGGGGATTCAGCCTTCGGCGGCTGAGAACTCCAGCTTCGGACCCCCCTACGTTATCCATTATGGTAACCAAGAGCCTGTGGCAGAGCCTCCCGCGCCCAAAAAGCGACGCCGGGAACAAGCTGCAGAGGCACACTCGGCGCCTAGCAACATGATGGTTTCCACATACAAGCCACCAAACCCTGGTCCCTACCCTGTCGACGCACCCAAATTGAACAAGGTCCGATTCACGCCCGCCCAGGTGCAAGCAATTGCATCAGGAACACAGCCTGGACTCACTGTCATCGTCGGACCGCCTGGTACCGGAAAGACTGATGTCGTAACCCAAATCATTAACAACATCTACCACAACTTCCCCAAAGAACGAACGCTACTCATCGCACACAGCAACCAAGCGCTTAATCAACTGTTCCAGAAAATTATTGCTCTTGATATTGATGAACGGCACTTGCTGCGATTGGGCCACGGCGAAGAAGAGTTGGAAACTGAGTCCAACTACAGTAAATACGGACGAGTCGAATCCTTCCTTGATAATCGCAATCAATATCTATCGGAGGTGATGCGGCTGGCAGCATCAATTGGAGTTGAGGGTGCGCATGGAAACTCTTGTGAGACTGCAGGCTACTTCAACACAGTTTATGTCCAGCCGGCATGGGCCAAATTCTGGGATCGTGCACACTCCGAAGGAGTATCATCTGAAGAGATTATTTCCTCCTTCCCGTTCCATGCATACTTTGCAAACGCCCCCCAGCCTCTCTTCGAAGCTGAAGCCGCAAAGGAAGCGATCATCGACACCGCAGCAGGTTGTCAACGCCACATTGCTCGAATCTTCTCTGAATTAGAAGACATTCGGCCATTCGAGATCCTAAGACAACCTCGCGACAAGGCGAACTATCTCCTCGTGAAGGAGGCCCGAATAATCGCAATGACCTCTACCCATGCAGCTATGCGCCAGCAAGAGATTGCTGATCTCGGCTTCCACTACGACAACGTGGTCATGGAGGAAGCTGCACAAATCACCGAAGTCGAGAGTTTCATCCCCAATGCTCTTCAGAACCCCAAGAACGGCGAACTTCCACTGAAGCGTGTGGTTCTCTGTGGTGATCACTATCAGAACTCCCCAATCATTCAGAACATGGCCTTCCGCCAATATGCCCATTTCGAACAAAGTCTCTTCTTAAGGCTGACACGACTGGGTGTCCCCGTGATCAATCTGGATAAGCAGGGCCGTGCGCGACCTTCCATTGCAGAGCTCTTCCGCTGGCGGTATAAGGAACTCGGAGATCTCCCGGTCGTTGAGACTGCTCCGGAGTACCAGAAGGCCAATGCCGGTTTCCAGTTCGATTACCAGTTCATCGATGTGCCCGACTACGAGGGATCCGGTGAGCGGGAGCCGACACCTCACTTCATCCAGAACCTGGGCGAAGCCGAATACGCAGTGGCCATATACCAGTACATGCGCCTCTTGGGCTACCCTGCCTCCAAAATCTCGATCTTGGCCACGTATGCTGGACAGACAGCTCTGATCCGGGATGTGTTGACTCACCGCTGTCTCAAGAATCCCATGTTTGGGATGCCCAAGATCGTGACGACGGTGGATCGGTACCAGGGAGAGCAGAATGATTGTGAGTCTAAAGATCTTACATTTTGCCACTCAAACGTTCAACTTTGCTAATACTAATCTAGATGTGATCCTTTCGCTTACTCGAACCCGCAGCGTCGGATACCTGCGCGATGTCCGTCGTCTCACCGTCGCTCTCTCCCGCGCTCGGCTGGGTCTGTACATCCTCGGCCGGCGTGAAGTTTTTGAATCGTGCTACGAGCTCAAGCCCGCATTCGACCTTCTTCTACAGCGGCCTGATAAGCTCTTGCTGGCACCTGGCGAGATGTTCCCGTCTTCGCGAGAGGCTAACGCTGCGGTTGAGGGTACGCCGATGGCGAGTGTTGAGCACATTGGACAGTATGTGTTTGAGATGACGCAGGCCAAGATCAAGGCCATGGGCGATGGAGATATCACCATCGGCGATGCCGCACCTGATGGTGAGGAAGATGGTTATGTAGATGAGGATGAGGTCATGGGCGCTGATGAGGGGGATGAAGATATTGTATGAATTCTTCCATATGAAATGGTTACAACCACACTCAACGAAAGAGTTGTGGTGACATGATACTCTGTATTTTCTCTTTCTTTCAAAAAGATCCTCCGTTCTCTATACACCTCAATCCCCCACCCAAAGGAGGTGCCTTAAGGTTACAGGAGTAAAATGAGTAGAGACTGGGCTTGCAAGCGTCACCTCTTAGTGAGGCCTCGATAGGATCTTGCCATGGACAATAACACCGAATGGCACGATTGAGTAGACAAACAGATCTCCATTGAATCTACTTCCCACCCCAATGCAAGACAAATCGTAACTCATAAACTCCTCAACTTAAACAACACTCGCCTCCGCCTTAGGCGGCCGATCCCCAAAGATAGTAGTCCCAACCCGAACCTGATCACTACCAAGAGCAATAGCGCCCTCAAAATCCGAGCTCATCCCCATACTAAGTTCCAACTCCTCCTCCCCGACCAACCCCAACTCCCTCACAACCCTATCCCTTGTCTCCCTCAAACAAATAAAATCCTCATTTTCATTCTCCGGCGTCGTAGCCTTCGACCTCGCAATAGCCCCAATAGTCATAACACCCTGCAACTTCAGTCTCGGACACTGCTCCCGCACATACCGACAAAGCCCAACAGCAGCATCGGGCTCAACACCAGCCTTATTCGTCTCGCCCGAAGTATTAACCTGCACATAGACGCGCAGCTTCCCGTCGTCGTGGTTCGTCGCTGCCGTCTCGGCGCTCCGCTCCCCCCCCCCTTATCCAGCAGCTTTGCCTTCTTCTCCGAGTCGACGCTCTCGACAGCCCACAGGCCGCGCACGTCACGCGCCAGCGTGACGCATTTGTTACTCTGCAGCCCGCCGATGAAGTGCCATTTGATGGTTGGCGGGAGCAGGCGGGATTTCTCGAGCAGTTCTTGTAGGTAGTTTTCGCCAAAGTGTTGTTGCGATGCTGGCGGTTGGTGCAGGGCGAGCGCGTCGGAGGCGGGCTTGAGTTTGGATACTGCCACTAGACGGACGGGTTTGGAGGGGTTGGGGGATTGGAGGGTGGCTGTGCTGATTCGCGCGCTGACTGCTGTGATGTTTGCCAACAGTGTGGAGGCGCGGGCGGGTGTTGCTGTGGCCATTGAGGGGGGTTGGGTTGGTGCGGTGGTTGTCATTGCAGGTTGGAGAGGACAATGCGCTTTCTTTCGGGAATCCTTTTCGAGGTTGTTGGATATTATACAGGTGCACAGGCAAGTGACTGTACAAGTTGAAAAGGATGTATATCCAATTGACTAAGAGGTAAATACGGACCTCGGGAGTAGACTTGAGCTATCTAGAAATCGGATTACAATCAAGGCCTGAGGCATCGATTCCGCGGGCAACTCCATTCACGTGACATTGTGCCACCGCCACGCACGGCCCACGGCTGGTCCCGCGCCACACGATCTGATCGAGCTCCGTTTGCATCTTAAAGATCGACACTGAGATCATCCATCTTGTCCAGACTCCAGCCCATGCGGTGCCCAGGAATGTCAAGTGACCGTTGACGTCCAACTTTATATTTCTTTTCATCTCGCCATCTCGGCGCTAGACGATACAAAGTCCACTCCGCATAGAATTCCTGCACCCTCCTGGCGCCAAGTCAGACAGATCTCTCCAATCACGGATCTGCACGACCCCTGCAAAGAAGCGCCGGGTATGAGCGGATCCTCCAGTTCGTCTCAACCTGTCAGGGCTGAATGGCTCCCGGCTAGCCTTTGTCGATCAGATTGTCGCCGTTGAGTTTCAAACTCACCACCTTTGATGCAGGATCTAGAATCTCTATTTTTGATTGTTACAAGGCTGCATTATTTCATCTTCGACAAGACTGCCTTTGTTGAACCTGTTGAAACAGAACAATAGCCGCCTTTTTTTTCTTTTTTCTTGTTTCGCTTTGTGTCAGCCAAGAATGCCTGCAGCCTGGGCATATTCAGTTTCGTTGCCTCGCCTGCCTCTGTCCCCCAACAGGCGCTTGCCAAGTTGGTTCTGTGGCCTTCTACTAAGTAATAATAGCTCAAGAGCCGAAGCGAAACTTAGTTGCTCTCGTCCAGACAAAAATACGACCTAGTTCGGTGGTGTCAGATGTAACCTGTATAGCTATAAGGCGACGGATGGGGTAAGATTCGGGGTCTATAAGGTACTAGTCCCCAGCCATCAGTCTTATAATAGGATCAATCCAATACACAATATGATTGGTTATTGAAAGAAATCATTATTGAGAATCCTTTAATTCTCTTTGACGTCAGCTCTACTCAATAGCCGTGGTTCCATTCATAGAACCCAGTCAATGGTCACTATTATAACTCATCATTACATTATCACATCCGCCGTTGGCCCGGAACATCTTAAAGAGCTTACCCTCACTTTTCCCCATTTCTTCTTACTTCCCCAACCTCTCCGACTTGAACCTACATCTACTATCTCATTATCTCCTCGCGTCTCACCTCAGCTGGACTGAACCCGAGGCTTTGAAGCTGTGGACACCTCAATATCAATAGCTGAGACCCATACTCTTCCGGGCTTTCCGATCAAGCTTTTCAGCTAGACAACGCAAACAATTCACATACCATTTCCACCTCATCTGGCATTTGACATCCTCATTCACCTGCTATTTTACCAGCCCTCAGCTCGACCATCGACTCCGGAGGAAACGCATAGCGGGACCTGCACGAACCCCAACAGTCGACTGTCAAAACACCTTATCTTCTCAAAGAACCGCATTCATCTCACAACCCACTATGTGCCGCCAATACTTCACACTCTACGAGTGGTGCCAATGCGAGGAAGACGCGGGCAACAGCGTCTGCGCCGGCCACCGGCGGAACAGCTGCCCAGGCGTCAGCGTCGAGACCGTGCATATGCATTGTTTCTGCAACTCTCATGCAACCCGCAGCTTCAAGTCTGAGAAGCAAACCCGCAAGGAGGAGGAGAAGGTGCGGCGCCGATCACAGGATTCTATGGATGAAAAGGCTTCCTTCCATCGTCGTTGGTATCAGTGGTATCAATGGCGCGGTCTGCGATCGCGCTAGATTAACCATGGTCACTTTACTTCTAAGTTCTTCTATTCTCTGTCTATCTTTCTACAGCTTTGGTGTTTGGGGATCTCGGTTTAAGGTTATGGGTGCGGTTTTACGGCGTTTCATGGGATGGATGCAATGATCTAGACGGTCTGCATATTGTTCAATTCTTGTCTTTATTGTTTGACTCTTTTGTATTAGACTTGGGGTACTTGCTTGATGGACCCTAATGAAGAGCACGAGCATGCTTTTGGGTGCAAAGTGAGAGAATGAATGAATCACTTCTGAATACATGTTATTCAAGCTAAAGCTACTAAATTGACTAAATATTCGAAAGTGATCTCAAACAATAGAATGATCGAAAGAATGTGTCGTGTAGTTGTTCTAGTATGGTATGGAGATCGACTGAGGCCCTTCCACATGTGGACTAAGCCAAACATGTGAATGATCTCCCCCACACGCGCCTCTTTGTTTCTTTGTTCCCTTTGTTCCCCTTTCCTCTATTCATCAACCTATCATTTTCCCTCCTTCTATCAGGAATCAATGCGATTCAGTATCTATTTATTATTCATAGATCCCCTTTTGTAGATGAATCGACATCTGCAATATGGACCCACACAAGCTCCCCTCCGGTCAGGAGGACCCGCCGTTCGGCGACAGTGAGGGCAACAACAACATCGATGAGTCGCATGATGAAATGATGGATGCTCTGAATCGCCTCACTCTGGCGACAATAACTCCATTGCCTGCATCGCCTCGACTGTCGCCTGTACCATCCAGTCTTCCACCATTTAACACGGTTCAAGACCCTCGATCTGGTCCTTTTATTCCTTCTCAGTCCTCTCAAGCTTCTCGATCTGTTTCTTCACATTCGAGTTACCCTCTACCGGCTACTCCGCCATCGTCGACTGGCTCTACTGCTCGAGACGAACGGCGCAAATCAAATGCGCCTCTCCAGAAGCGCAAGTCCGCTGCATCACTTCGTTCGGTTTCGCAGCCTCACAAAAACCAATCTCCAATACCTCACACTCCTAATCACACCACTTTCACTTCTGCGGTGTCGCCACCCACCGCAAACTCACCTGTCATGCCTACTGCACGTCTTGCATCGGGGTCGGCTCCCGAAGCCATCGTTCCCACTGCTTCCTCTGTTGCCGCTGTCCACTTCGCCAAAGAGCTTGTCTCACACCAATCGGGCGGTCTCGACACCAAGACAGCGGTGATTCTACATGATGATTGCTATGGTCACCGCTACTCCCGACTCGAAGCGCCAAAACGAGAGCTCGATGGAATTGTGGAAAGACCAGAGCGCATCCGTGCCTGTGCCGTGGGCATCTCTGCAGCTTATGTACGTCTGGGATCACGATATGCCGGAGCCCTCCCTTCAGTCTCCAGTCTGAGCCTAGAGAGATTCCCCTTCCAGATCGTAAAGACTGATCGCAAGGTGCGTCTGTCTGAGACTGCTGTTACCGACGTTCATGGAACCCAATGGATGTCAGAACTGAAGTGGATGGGTGAATGTGCCGAAGAACGCCTCCTCGGCGATGGAAACGAAGTGGCTAGGCAGCAGATCCGAGCTGACAATGGTCTCACGGTGGCTGGTCCTCCGTTGAGCCAAGGGGATCTGTATCTATGTTCCGAGTCGATCAAGGCGTTTGAGGGGGCCTTAGGTGGTGTTTGTGAGGGTATTGATCGGGTTTTCAACCCTGGTCCTGTTCAACGGGCCTTTGTTTGTATTCGGCCACCAGGGCACCATTGCTCTGCCGACTTTCCTTCCGGCTTTTGCTGGATCAACAACGTTCATGTCGGTATCTCACATGCCGCAAGCACTCATGGTCTGACCCATGCTGCGATCCTCGATTTTGACCTGCACCATGGTGATGGATCCCAGGATATTACGTACGACCACAACTCCAAGCTGCTGAACAAAGCACGGAGAGAGTTCTTGGCCAGGACCAATGCCAAGGAACTCGCAGATTACGTAGATGCTCCTCCATACACCAAAGCAGCGATCGGGTACTACAGTCTGCACGATGTGAACTCTTTCCCGTGTGAGAACGGTGAACGTGACAAGGTCATGGGAGCCAGCCTTTGTCTTGAGGCACAAAACCAGTCCATCTGGAATGTGCACCTCGAAGGCTGGGATACCATGGATGAATTTTGGGTGCTGTACCGAACAAAGTACAACGCCTTGCTAACCAAGGCCCGTTCCTTCTTGCGCCAGCGCACACTGGCACTCAGTGAAGAACGACGGCAAAATCCTAGTTGTCCACCACCCAAAGCAGCGATCTTCATATCTGCTGGGTTTGATGCCAGTGAGTGGGAGGGCAGCGGGATGCAGCGCCACAGCGTGAAGGTCCCCACTGAATTCTATGCCAAGTTCACTGCAGATGTCATCAGCCTGGCACAGGAAGAGGGCCTTGGCGTCGAGGGCCGCGTGATCAGCATCCTCGAGGGCGGGTACAGTGACCGTGCTCTGTGCTCCGGAGTTCTCAGTCATCTCTCGGGACTGAGCGGGGAGAGCGAGTACAGTGAGGATTGGTGGTCTCAGACCAGTCTTCAAGAAATGGATGCCATCATGGCCCCGCCGTCCAGCAAAGGGCGCAAAAAGGCTGCGTCGACGTACCTCACGGCAACACAATCCTTTACCGCGAAGGTCGTTACCCCCGGGCGCGAGCGCACCCCTGGGGTTCTTGACCCCGGCCTCAATGTGACCCCTCTCCCTGAGGTGAGCTGGGCCGTTGCCACCGAGGAGCTTGCCAAGCTTATTATCCCCAGTGGACGGCAGACCCTCAGCTGCCGCCCAGCGGAGCTGAACCGTCAGCGCCGAGAGCAGGATGCGCGTGTCGCTGGGTTGGAAGTCGGCATTCCCGCCGAGGCCTCCCGCCAGTTGCGCATCCGCAAGCCAAAGGAATCAACGCCTGCACCAGCCACCCCGCGCCCTGCAACTCCCCGGCGGCAAAGCCGCAAGACGCCCAAGACCGTTCAGCCCAGGACCACCACTAGCACCCCCCGTTCCACTCAGGAACCATCCCCTTCCATCGGTGCCTCGCGCCGAAAGAGCGCGAGTGTCAGCCGGGCTGGGAGCCGGGCTGGCACCCCCCGTCGGGGTAACAGCCCGGTCGATGAGGTGCCTCCCGTCCCGCGTCTAATTCTGAGGGTTTCGGCGCCGGACGCGGCGCGCGGAAGTAAGATGTTGGACTCTACGGCCGACCACCATTGGCGTGGTCGCGCCGGGAGGTCTTCAAGGTCTCCAAAAAGGGACAAGAGGAGGAACTCGGGGAGTGCTACCTCTTCCGTTATTGGTTCGCCTGTGGTGAAGGTCAAGGATGAGCAGATGGAAGACTGAGGTCCTCCATCCTGTCCGGCTTTGACCTGTTTTGACCTGTTCTGTTTTTTTTTCCTTTTTGGGGGGTTTTTTCTCACTACTACCTTTTTGTACGATACCCACGTTTGTTTCATATCTGAATTCTATGTTCTATTTCTCTTCAAATTGACAGTCCATGATAAGCTGGTAGACCGGCGTCCGGCTCTGAGGCAAGCTAACGAGTACCACCTCATGATAAGATGATCCGGTATTCAATCGATATTCGCCCAGTCTTCACAGTCAACTCTACCTACTCAATCCAACTTCTACACGTCTTACAAGCAAGTCTTTAGCTCTTGAACCACTCATATCTACCATCTTCCCACTCACTCGGGCTTTAACGAACGACCACAATCTCGGCACTGACAGAATCCGCACCGAGAAATGCAAGAATAATTGAGAATATACAAATGCAGGAGGTGAATTAATTAATTCCTTCCATAACGTTAAATTGGGGCGACTACATGCCCGGTATAATGTTGACAATCTCACATACGGATTAAAACTGGCAGATTATCAGTTGAAGTATGAAGCAATCTTTCATCAAATGGGCTTGTGGTTTAGGGGTATAATACCCGCTTCGCATTGCAGTGACTAGCTCACTCATCCGATTGCGGGGGGTCCCGGGTTCAATTCCCGGCGAGTCCATTTCTTTTTTATTCTTTTTTTTTTTCTATAGAAGTTATTTTGTTTTTGTAGTCTTCGGGGTATGGTTATGGTTCTTTTTTGCAGTCGAATGCTAATTGGATATCTAGATTGAGCTATCTCTGCAGTAGAAGCGATATACTTGCCCGCGGGGTTATGTCTAGGGTCGGGGATTTTCCATGGTTCTTGCTGGCATATATATTGCCGGGTACTTTTATACTAGCACTGGTGACATGCACCACGGGCATGTTTTTTATCTATATATTGAGCTGGATCCACCCATTTGTCGCAGTCAAAGAGATTAGGTAGAATACATTGGATAGATTCCACTAGAACTATATACAAAGTAAAGAACTAGGTATCGGAAAACCCCGATTGATCATGCAGGACTAGCACTTTCATCCCCAGGCGAAGCAGCTGGCTTCACCCGAACGATCTCGAAACCACCCTCATCTCTATCCTCACCCTTCTGCGGCCACAGGATCTGTCGCGTTATAATAGCCCGGATCATCATATAACACACAAAGAAGTACATCAACAGCAGCGGGAACACCGCCACACACCCAACAATGTTTATAGCCTTGGAAGAGAATGCTTGCCCAATAGCGAAGGTAGCAGTGATCAATGCAGTATTAGGGAAAATGAACGAGAACCAGGTCATTGAGAAATCAATGCGGCCATGTCCGATCGCCGACCAATGGGCAGCACCTGCAATGAGGAAGAAGAATATTGCCAACCTAGGAAACAGTCAGTAGAGTAGACCACAAAGGATCAACAGAGAAGTTGGAGTGTAGAGCAAACATACCCCCAAAGCCAAAGACACGAAAAATTAATCCCAAACCTGAACACATCCGCCGCCAACAGCCCATTCCCCATAAAATCCACTGGAAACGACCTCCGCGCCCCAGCAGCCATATTCACCAACCCAGCCACGGTAAACCCACTCGGACCAACCGAAACAAACATACCCGGCCTCAGATTCTCCCTCGGCAACTTCTGCGTCATCAACCGATAGATAAACGCCGAATAAACCATCAACGAAACCAAAAACCCAACGCCCTGAATAGTCACCCCGCCAATAATAACCGGCAGAGACTGCGAGGGCTCCAGCTTCGAACTGAGAATCCCAGCATGCGGACCAATGATCAGCATCGGGTACGCGGGGAAGATCCAAATGGGCGTCATCTGGGCTATCGTGAACGTCTGCGTCGACCAGAGGAGAAGATAGATGCCCGCCGAGAACATGACGGCGAGCGCAGCGTCGATCCAGAAGAGAATGCAGACTGCGCGCATTAGCCAGGGGCCGGTATTTTGCGGTCCGTATTGCGAGATGTTGATCAGGATTGTGCCGAAGGAGACTATTGCTGCGGGGACGAATAGTGATTCAGTGGGGTGCATTAGGGATGCTTTGAATGTGTAAGGGAAATTGTAGAAGCGGATGAGTAGCGCTGTCCAGATGAGGAGGTATAGAGCGATATTGATGAGGAATACCACGATGCCAATTGTATCAAGGCCTCTGAATCGGAATGGGACTGTGTTTCATTAGATTTTAACCAATCTTTGCAAATATCGCATAGCATGATACATCATGGCATGTAAGTAAATCCATTCAACACATACCTTCATAAAATACATTAGCAAGCCCCCCCGTCGCCATCGTCAACGTAAAATAAGCCCAAGTAACATGTCGAATGCGCTTCTTCCATCCCAACTCCCCCGACGCCGTACGTTCATGCCCGGACAGGCCCAGCCCGTTATGATCCCGGCAAGTCCCGGGTTCTCTATCTGGCTTCGATTTCAGAGTTGCCCGCGACGAAGCACGCTGTAGCGCAGCTTCCAGGGCGGAAGAATGGACATCGCGCAAACTGGAACTATCTTCGACGGCGCCGAGGATCGAGAGTGCGCGCTCGGCATCCTCGATTGTTGGGGTTCGATAGCCATCTTCGCCTGGGCTGCGCATGTGTCGGGGAAGTTCTTGGAGTTCGGTGGCCATTACTGGGGGTTTGGGGCTGGGTTTAGGAATATGTAGGGCTGGTTATGTACGGGATTCGATGGTCTGGGGTTTTTAGTTTTTTTTTCTTTCCCCTCATTGAATCTTGATTTGGGGTTGATATCTTGCGGGTGGTGGCGGCATGGGCGATGTTGGTGATATCGCATTAAAGATGTGAGTTTAGCATGGGTGAAGGGAGAGATGCGATTATCCTGGGGTTTGGTGGAGGCTTGTGTATTAATTTAAGGCTGATTCAAGGCACGGAATTGCGATAGTTGGGTCGTTACTTGGGCTCGGGGATCTACGGGCGTTAATGTGGGGACCGGATGGCGAAACCTTGAAATGGGAAATTATATTGCGGATACTATGGAGATGTATGCATTCATCGTGCATGGATCTCAGCCCTAGGCTTCGTTTGTCTGTGCTCACTGCTCAGCCTTTGATGTCATTATTCAGTTCTACTGTAGGTACTAGGTATAGATAGCCGAATCCATCATAGCTAGGTAGCTTGCCGTTACTTAACGTGACTGTTGTATACCCTGTCCAACCTACCTTCCCAGAACAGCTGACTTGATCTTATATGAAAACTCTTCTCTTCTTCCATTCTCCTCTGTATGCAAGTTAGTCTCTGCCAACTTCATTTTCTTCAAAAATCAGGGTATACCCTTCCCGTTTTGCAGCAGGGTTCCTACCCAGTGCAACTGCAATAGCAACACAACATCCAGTAGCCTCACACCAGATATGCCGAAGTATGCAAAGTCAATACCCGACAATCTAGATTCTAGCATAACTTGCTGTCATTGGTATGCTCCTGAGAAGGATTTGTGTAATGTGTCAGTATCATCCACAGACTACCTCGCATACCGGAAAAAGGGAGCTACTGAATGGATACATAGCAGTTGATATTCTTGGCAGTCGTCAGTTTTGGCTATATTCTTTATCTCAAGCTGGTTCCGAACTTTTTCACTTCTTCAAGCCACTACGTACTATTTATTAGACACCAAATAGGAAATAGGGCTTAGGGTTCCAAGGTTGCAACGTCGAAACGTCGAGCCGAGGCATATCTGTTTGGTCTCCACTTGTACATCGTACACAGTAGACATAGCTCGGCAATACAAACAGCTGTCCTACCGCAATCAATCCTCTAGTCTCGACAACATATTCACTAGACTCTTCTGCGTTAAACATGTCGGGAGTGACAGATACCCGCAGATCGGTGCTGATCACAGGGTAAGCCATACGCGACGAAAGAAATACACCGTGATCAGGTACTGATATGCCTAGGTGTTCCCCTGGCGGCATCGGAAACGCGCTCGCGCGCGAATTCAACAGACAAGGCCTGCGTGTGCTGGCCACCGCTCGTGAAGCAGCGACTATCTCAGATCTGGCAGATATCGGCATCGAAACATTAAGCCTGACTGTGGATGACCCGGAGAGTGTGAAAGCGTGCTTTGCGGATGTCGAAACGAGACTCCGCGACAAGGGTCTTGACTATCTCGTTAACAATGCGTGAGCACACCTTGGGAGTTTATCTGTTGATGGTGCATCAGGCTAATCATAAACAGTGGTCGGAGTATGTAACTCCATGCATGTGGCTTGGACGAAATATCCAAATCAGATACTGACAGCTACAGATTACACCGTACCCGCCATGGAAGTAGACATCGTCGAAGTCCGCCAGACCTTCGAGACCAATCTGTTCTCGGTCATTACCATGTGCCAGACCTTCCTGCCCTTGCTCATCAAGGCAAAAGGCACTATTGTGCAGATTGGTTCCGTCGCCGGGGTGAGTTTGCGAATCCAGCAGCTTCCAGAGAACCCACCCAATTGACAATTGCTAGATCATTCCATACGTGTTCGGTTCGGTCTACAATGCCTCCAAAGCAGCACTGCACTCGTTCAGTGACACCCTTCGGGTGGAGCTGGCCCCATTCGGGTTCGTTTTATGGCCCCCGCCCCGCCCAACCCAGTATTCCCGTTTTCTAACAAGGCCTGACAGTGTCCACGTAACGACCATCGTTACCGGCGGTGTTCAATCGCGCATTGCGCGCACCGACCGGAGCCTGCAACCCGGTTCCCTATATTCCCCAATCGAGAACGAGTATCTCTCCCGTGTGAAGCACAGCCAGCACAATGCTATGCCGAACGCCGCCTACGCTCGTAGTGTCGTTTCCCAAGTGCTGTATGGCTCAGCGCCATGGCGTTGGTTGTGGCCGTGGGCTCAGGGTCGCAAGGCATGGATCTGGGAAGGTCGTGCTAGCTGGTTGATATGGGCATTGTCCGGAGGGTGGGCTTGGTCGGGTCTGTTTGGTCGAACTATGACTAAAATGTTCAAACTCTGGAAGATTAAAAATGCCTCAGGCAAATAATGGGGGAAATGGTGGCTTTTGATCTTGGCGGGTATTCGGGTCTCGGTTGAGCTTGCCGGGTGGAGGTCAATATAATAATGTATAGCAATGGATCAAGAGCTTCAAGATAATATCAAGATGGATTCAAACAGAAAGAAACACCAGTAACTATATACCAAGTACACAGTAGGAAAGGAGATAAATCCCGACCTCAATAGCCTCGTCCCGCTCGATTTCGGGGCGCATGCTGAGTCATGCCGAGGACGGCAGCTGGTTGGCTGAGCACCCGGTTTTGGTTTTACCGCGACGCAATGTCGGAAGTGAAAAAGAAAGCTGTTTCTCCCGGTCCCTGAATACCAACCATCTACGAAGTAAAACGGGCTTCATATATTCGCCCTTCTACACCTTCTCCCCTTCCTTTCATCCTAATATTCATCATGTTCAAGCTTGCTCGCGGTAGACCCGTTGCCGCGGCTTTCAAGGCTGCTACAGTGAGTTAGATATCTTCCCTGTTTCGAGAGCAGGTCAGCACTTGATATCTCGATCGGATGCTGATTGGAACCGTGAAATTTTAGCAACCCGCCGTTCAGGGCAGACTCGCTGTCCAGAAGCGCAACCTTTCTATCCACGAGTACCTCTCCGCAAGACTCCTCAAGTCGGTACGTGCATACCCATGGTTACCCCTTCGGTCGCCCGAAAAAAAAAGAATTAGGGATTCGGGTTCGCTAATCCATCACCCCAGTATGGTGTCGGTGTCCCCAAGGGTGAGGTCGCCAACACTGCTGAAGAGGCCGAGGCTATTGCCAAGTCCATCGGTAAATAGAATCAACTGCTTCGACCCCTTGAACGCGCTTGCTGAACAGTACACAGGTGGTGGTGATCTCGTTATCAAGGCCCAGGTCCTCGCCGGTGGCCGTGGTAAGGGTCAGTTCGACAATGGCCTCAAGGGCGGTGTCCGTGTGATCTACTCGTGAGTTCGATCATCGCGATAAAGCACCGGAGACAATGAAAGCTGATAGATATCGTCGCAGTCCTACCGAGGCCAAGATGTTCGCTGGCCAGATGATCGGCCACAAGCTCGTCACCAAGCAGACCGGCGCTGGCGGCCGTATCTGTAACTCCGTCTACATTTGCGAGCGCAAGTTCGCCCGTCGTGAATTCTACCTCGCTGTCCTCCTGGACCGCACCACCCGTGGTCCCGTCATCGTCGCGTCCTCCCAGGGTGGCATGGATATCGAGGCTGTCGCCAAGGAGAACCCCGAGGCTATCATCACCACTCCCATTGATATCCACGTTGGTGTGACCGACGACATTGCTCGCACTATCGCCACCGATCTTGGCTTCTCCCCCCAGTGCATTGAGGACGCCAAGTCCACCATCCAGAACCTCTACAAGTGCTTCATGGAGCGCGATGCTACCCAGATCGAGATCAACCCCTTGTCTGAGACCTCCGACCACCAGGTCCTGGCCATGGATGCCAAGCTTGGCTTCGATGACAACGCCGAGTTCCGTCAGAAGGAGGCTTTCTCGTGGCGCGATGTTTCCCAGGAGGATGCCGATGAGGTCAAGGCTGCCGAGTAGGTTTATTGTTTGATGAAACGTGTGGAAACGTTGCTGACTTCTTTTCAGGCACGGTCTTAACTTCATCAAGCTCGATGGTGACATTGGCTGCCTTGGTAAGCATCTTCTCAATGTCGCACAATATGGCAACGCTAATCTCTGTCCATAGTCAACGGCGCTGGTCTCGCCATGGCCACCATGGATATCATCAAGCTTAACGGCGGTACCCCCGCTAACTTCCTCGACGTCGGCGGTGGTGCCACCCCCGCTGCCATTCGCAGCGCCTTCGAGCTCATCACCAGCGACCCCAAGGTCTCTGCCATCTTCGTTAACATCTTCGGTGGTATCGTCCGCTGTGACGCCATCGCCCAGGGTCTGATCAACGTCGTCAACGAGATGAACCTGCGCACTCCCATCATCGCCCGTCTCCAGGGTACCAACATGGAGATGGCCCACAAGCTGGTATGATTCAATTCCTGGTAGCTGTTTTTGTCTAGGTCAATAACTAACCCAATTCCAGATCAACGAGTCCGGTCTCAAGATCTTCTCCATCGAGGACCTCCAGACCGCCGCCGAGAAGTCCGTCCAGTTCTCCAAGGTCGTCAAGATGGCCCGTGAGATCGACGTCGGTGTTGAGTTCACCCTCGGCATCTAAAGGGTCGGTAGATATGACCCCTGTTAGCTTATAATGATAGAGAGGGTGGGGAGCATTTTCATTTGCCTTTTATTACCTGGGCTTGCGAACCGAACTGAAACCGCCGCAGTGACATCTTAGAGAGATCTTTGTAATGCTTGCGTGCCTGTTCCTTGTGTCATTTATTAATTTTTTGTCACTGTATTCTTGAATTTCTATGTGACCTAGATCAGTTCCTAATCGGAAGGGATGTGTGAGAGTGCGACTTTGGATTGGTTCTTCTGGATTGTGTATTTTCTATGGATCATACATGCATTGTGCATTTGTATGTAAATCTAACAACAGTAATTTTCAAAACCCTGCTATTTTAGGGGTGACCTGCAACTGCAAGGCTTAGGGCGGTTACTTGAAGTTGAGCCCCAAAGTGGTTCTTACTGTTTACACAGTATTATTGCCTATCGGCCCGAAATGTCACTTCCGGAATCCCTGCTTCCGATTGGTCAGTTGTAAGGTAAAGTACATGATCTCCTACCGCCTGCCTATTACACGCTTCCCCGTAACGCGTAAACATTTAATCTACTGTGTATCCTCTTACAATCTACACCTTCACAATGACCGACAATCCTATTCCTACGTCCCGTCCCTGCACACGTTGCCGTGCGTCGAAACTGTTGTTCGAATATCACCCTCATCGAGGACAGCTTCTTACTCGTACTTGCCGGACTTGCCGGGATAGCTGTTCCGCGTACGAAGTTCGCAGTCCATTAACAATATTTTCCCACATGAAGCTTTTTTGCTAACATACGGAATGGTTAGAAATCCCGCAAGAGAACGGCCTCTGAAGCTCAGCTTTCCCCTCAGCCTCCTCGCCAGATTGTATGGGCACCACCGACTCTTGCACCATCGATGCTGCAACCCATTGTGTCCTCTCGATCTTGTCGTATCGTACCGGCGCCCACTACTTCGAAAGCTAGCTACGCTGCCAATCCCAAGCCAATGGTAACGGGGTCCTCTCGATACCGTCCTATCGCACCGGCGCCCGCTACTTCAAAGCCTAGCTACGCTGCCAATCCCAAGCCAATGGTAACGAGGTCCTCTCGATATCGTCCTATTGCACCGGCGCCTGCTACTTCAAAGCCTAGCTACGCTGCCAATCCCAAGGCAATGGTAACGGCGTCCTCTCGATACCGTCCTATTGCACCGGCGCCCACTACTTCAAATCGTAGCTCCGCTACCGGTTCCCAGGAAACATCTGTGCTACACCCAGGTCCCTCTCCGGCCCTTCCATCCTCTCAACATCATCACTTAGCGTCCCCGCCTGCTGCTTCAAACCGTTACCACGGCACCGGTCCCCAGGCAGCATCGATGCTATCCCCAAATGCCTCTCCGGACCTTCCTCCACCTTCTCAACATCATCGTTCAGCGGCCTCGCCCACTACTTCAGACCGTAGCTGCGCTACCGAGCCCCAGGCGACATCTAGGCTACCCCCAATTGCCTCTACGGACCTTCCTCCATCCTCTCAGCATCATCGTTTAGTGTTCTTGATTACTGTTTCAGACCCCTTTCGATCCTCTGGACATCGTCCTATCGCACCGGCGCCCACTACTTCAAATCGCCCTATCTCCCCTCCAACACCGCTGCGTGAGCGTTCCGCCGCCAATCTAAACGTCCGTCCGTCTACCACACGCTGTAGCCGGTGCCACAACAAACGATCCCTGGGTGCGTTCCTCAACGCCAGAAAAAATAAGGAGCTCAAAACCTGCGACTCATGCCGCGCGCCTAGACCCGACGCCCCTGTCCATACTGCTGGAAATCCTGCCGTCGATGTGAACGCCCCGCCCCCGGCCCAGCGCCGTCGCCTGTCAGGACGGGTCGAGAACGAGGCCCCCGTGCGTGCCAGTACCATTGATCTTGCTGACAATCCTGTCAAACTGGAGGAGGCCCAGACCCAGGAAACATCTGTGCTACCCCCAAAGGCCTCTCCGGATCTTCCATCCTCTCAACGTTATCACTTAGCGTCCTCACCCACTACTTCAGACGGTAGCCACGGGATAGGTCCCCAGGCAGCATCGATGCTATCCCCAAATGCCTCTCCGGACCTTCCTTCATCTTCTCAACATCATCGTTCAGCGGCCTCGCCCACTACTTCAGACCGTAACTGTGCTACCGAGCCCCAGGCGACATCTACGCTACCCCCAATTGCCTCTCCGGACCTTTCTCCATCCTCTCAGCATCATCGTTTAGCGTCCTCGACTACTGCTTCAGACCCCATTCAGTCCTCTGGATATCGTCCTATCGCACCGTCGCCCACTATTTTGACCGTAGCTTCGCCGTTATTGAGCAGGAGTGACAGCTTCTCGAGGGGTCCATGAAAAACTTCGAGCCAAAGCTTGAGACCTGCGACCGGTGCGGTGGACGTTGGTTCAAGATGAATCTAGACGCGGACCGCGCTTGGCAGAAACTGCGCGGCCTTACCTTTTACAAAGGGGCCAAGTTGCTGAAACAGTACATCCAGCACTGTCCAACCTGCATTGAAACCCGCGTTCAGAGGCATCGCCCCTACGGAACTCTACAGTCAATTGTTTCTCTCCCTATCCCTTTCCACACCGGCATCACCACTATTATGTTGAGCGTGATGGTGTGGAAGATGGTAGGAGGAGAAATGATTGGTTGTAGAGAACCGTAGGAATGCGGCGCTGACTTGATTGTAGACCTGACTTTTGGCAGAACTTCGGAAGTACTCCAAGAAAGCTCACGCCAAGCAACAACTAAACGTGCAAAGGTTGTAAACATTTCTACATACCCTCCTGACTCAGATAGATTCAGCGAGACAACAGCATCTTCGATGTAGGTCAGCACGTGGTCTCTCAACCTTCGATCCCAACGCATATACATCTAGCCTGGACGCCCTCTCCGAAGTATTTGTAACTCCCCTCTTCACCCACCACTTCTCTTCTTCAACTACCACCCTCAGAACCATTCCCCGTCCTTCGTCCCGGAAGCTTCAGCACTATCGTTTTCAGACCGGGAATTGATAGTTAGCTAGTAGAGATAACTGAAACAGCAGCCTACGGGTCTGGTGGATTGAACATTCTCAGCAGCTGCCCTCGCAGGTAGCCTTTGACCTCACCTTTTTTCCATGATTCCATCTTGAATGATCATCCTCTGTTAGAAAAGACTTGGTCTATCTTCCTTTTCTGACTCTGCGTCCTGTGCAAACCACAGCTGTCATTTACCTCGCGTTACGCGTAAGGCGGGCGCGTCGCGACTTATCGGCCTTCGCCTTTCGACCCTATCGCCCCGCTGAAGGGTCTTGGAGTTATCCATCTTCCATCCCAGGTCCGTCAATTCCTATCTTCGGGCCATTCCTCTGGGTGATACACCATGGACTCTGTATCTATCTTAGAGGCCTTCAAGGCTATTAGCGACAAAAGGAGTCGCGAAGAAATGTATGCCCCAGACCCTAAATCGCAGTCCATCAGGATATCACCGTGGATGCTGACAAAAGTAGCCTGAACGAGCTGGTGGGCAGCCTACGATCTGATGAGATACGGCAAGTGAAAAGCCGTCTCAACAATATCAAGCTTCAGTGTGATGTGGTTGCTGGGTTGCCCCATGAGATTGTTACCATGGTGGTACCGCACCTAAACGTGGAGGACGTCGTTGTCTTCCGAAGAGTATGATACCATTGTTTCGACACTTGCGATGCCTCCTAATAGGGTTACGAAGGTCTCGAAACGGTGGAATGAGATTTTCACCGATACTACCGTGGTGCGCACTGCGCTTAGAACTCACACCGGGCAGAATGTCACCCACTCTGAGTCTCTTGATGCGTTAATAAGGAGAAGGTTTAGGGCCGAAAGAGGGTACCCGGCCACCGTGGTCACCATGCCCCATGACAGTATGAAGGTGGGGGAAACAATCAACAGTCGCTCAGTCTATATAATGGTGTCTGTGCATGGCTCGAATCCGAACGGCTTATCCCAGAAACTACTTTGTTCGTTTTGGACCTAGTAAGGGGGAAGTGGGAAGCCCTATTGACTCCCAATCGAGAGGGACTAGCCAGCGTCCTGGTCTCAGATACTCTGATCTCGGCTATCTCACAGCGAGGGTATGTACCCAGGGATCAAACCGTCTTTTGGTGTTAGACACAGCACTGACTTGGCATAACAGGTACTGTCATGTCTGGAAATGGCCTACAGGAGAATTCAAGTCCTTCCGCATACCCTCTCCATCCGTCACGCATCACGTAGCCCATGGATCCAAGATCCTGCTGAGCTTTGAGCACAGTAAGGACTTCTCCGAGGTGGTTCACTTCTGCTTCGATTCCGGGCTGTCTCGTGCAGTCACAGTCAAGAATAGTGTGGCTATTCTCTTTGTGTCATTACATGCAAGCGAAGATCAGTTTTCTTTAATTTCCGCATGCAAGACAAGTGGCGAGCCATTTGATTATCGGGAACAGCCACTTTGTCGGGAGGATCATAAGTTGCAGGTACATAAGTTTTCTGTCCACGACAACGAATTTGTCTGCTCCTGGACGCAGGACCAAGACTTGCCTTGTGGTCGCCACGGATGGAGGCTTTCAAAAGACAGACACGGAGTTGACAGAGAATGCCGCCACCCCAGTCAAAGTTCCAGATTGCTGTGGTCCATTTACGAATACACCATCGATGACAGCGAGGACGACGAGGACGACGTCTTTTCATACAAGCCCACAGCCAGAGAATACTCGTCAGTGCATCTCTCACTAGAGGCCAACGACCATATTACCGTGCATTGCACCTACCAAGCAGAACATTCCAACTTCATCAATGCCTACCTAGACCGTCCAGGCCAAGGCACGGAGTTAATGTTTCGCTACACGAAGGGAACAGACGATCGGAAATTCCAAGTACACCTTGGTTCTGAAATCCTGACACGCTCAAGTGCCAGCACCACGAATGTGCTTTCATTTAACGTCAAGCGTTGGCTGTTTCCACCGCCCATCGACGACTGCACTACGATTGTCGCAGATGGGGACTTTCTGATATTTTGGTATCGATATGACGACATGTATATCTGGTGCTTCGATGAGAACTGGGAGCCCTCTGGGCCGCTTAAGAAGAAGAACCTTGGACGCAGATGGCCTAGGATATAGAACATAGTAGTTGATATCGAAGCTTTGAATAACTATGATAAGGGCATAATGGCATAATTCAAAGCTCAGACAGTTTATAGGGGAGGTTGACCTAAGGCTAACCCCCTATTCTGCTCCACCAACTTTTCTTTTTCCTTTCATCCCTGTATAACTTCGTCTTCTCACATTCTGCAGATCCGATTTCACGCATTTCCGGCCCCCTTCCCCGCAGCCTCAATCTTGACCTTTTCGAGACTTTTTATTTATTTCATATTTCATCTGAACCCTTTGCGCAATGACTTGAGTATTGGTTGATCTCCGCTTTTACTGCGTATGTCCCACGTTCTTCGGCACGAGTGTAAACGGTCGCGTCCACCCCTCACGATCCCGTCGCATCCACCCCCATCGAATTCGTCAAATTTCTTTCTTTTCCCCCCCCCCACCGACATGAGTCGTCTCGCCGACCCCCGTCCTCTAGAATCACATTTGCCGGTCCAGATGCCCCCAGGACACGAAACATTCCTGTTCTTTCATCGTCGGGCCATTCGAGCGCGATGGATATCACCCCTCCGCCTACGGGAGCTTCCCATGGCAGTCCCGATGGCGACCGAATGGCAGGGATCACCAATGGCGAAGGGAATAATGCTTTGAATGCTCCCAACCCAGCTATTGGCGCTGCAGCCGCAGCTCAGCAGCCCAAAGTCGTCCAGACTGCTTTCATTCACAAGCTCTACAAGTATGTTTTTGGTCTGCCTTGCCTTGCGCTCCACAAGCTTATCTTTACCTCTTTCTTGGAATAGTATGCTAGAGGATCCTAGCATTCAGCATCTCATCTCTTGGTCGGGGACGAACGATAGCTTCGTCATGTCGCCAACGTCTGAATTCTCCAAAGTCCTAGCGTGGGTGCTATCCTCTTGGCCAATGAGTTCGCCTCTGACTTTCGCAGATCGTACTTCAAACACACCAATATATCCTCGTTCGTTCGGCAGTTGAATATGTATGGGTTTCACAAAGGTAGGTGTTGCGCATGCGAGCTTCGATGGAGTCATTTCTGATCCTGGACTTGCCCAGTGAGCGACGTATTTCACACCGGTTCCCCAGACTCTGCACTCTGGGAATTCAAACATGGCAATGGAAACTTCAAAAGAGGCGATCTAGCGGGTTTGCGGGAGATCAAGCGCCGCGCCTCAAGGCATGCTTTGATCCATCGCGATTCGTTCCCTGGCCACAAGGCCCCAGCTTCGCAACCTGGAACACCGGCCGAACCTGCACCTGATGCGACCGAAGCGAGGTTCATGAACCTCGAGCACACACTATTCGATATGCATGCTCGGTTGTCTCGGGCGGAAGAGGGCAACATGGCGCTGAGCTCGAGATGCCAGGCTATGACGGAAAGTTTGTCAAAGTGCTATCAAGTACGTGTGTCGTCGGTGTGGGTGCGACGATGATGCTAATGTGATCCCAGTGGACGCATTCGATTTCGCGCTTTCTCCAAGCTGTTGTGCCGGATAGAGAAAGCCCTTTACATCGCGATGGTATGTCGAGATCAGCCGATTCACCCACGGCGACACGCGCTGACACTTCACAGTCTCGAACATGCAGAGAGAAGTCGAGAAACACATCGAGATGATCCGCGCCCTCGAAACCCCCCACGAGAACCTCATGCCTCCACGACAACCGTACTTTGCCAACATGACCGAAGCCGGTCCACCTCTGTCTCCGCGCCAAATGCCCCAGGACGACGCCCGTCGACAGTCCATGATGGACCACACACCCAGACCTCCCAACATGATTCGACCGCCCGTTCCTCCCCATCTCTCAGTATCCCCCCGCCGGTATGGTTCAATCAGCGGTGCCACACCCGCCTCCGCATACGCTCGGCCACAACCTCCCGTTGCGCCGCCTCCACAACAACCAATGCCGCATCCTCTTTCCGTCTCAACATCCCCAGGGCCCAACCTAGCCCGCCGTCACACATCTGCGGACATCCGGCAACACGGCTGGTCGCCATCAGCTGGCGCTCCATATCCCCCTGGTAATCCTCCCAGTGGGCCATGGCCTCCCTCACCAGGGCACCGAACCCCGGTCTCAAGTGACCAACAAGTCCGCGACGTCCTCGCCCAATACGAAATGGGTGCTCCCCGGCGCCTCCAAGAACAAACCCGCCAAGCCACTCCACCCACCGCCGAACCATCGCCGTCCATGCTTGGTGTCGATAATGGCTGGACGCTTGGATCCAGATTCCCTCATGGATCCTCGTTGCCCGCAACTCGTCGCTCGAGCATGGCGAGCAATGTGCACTCGTTACTCAACCCTGCCGATACTGCCGAAAGACCCGACGAGGACCAGGAGGCGATGGCAGACGACCGGAAGCGCAAACGGCTGGAATAACTACTATATAATTGAGGAGCTCCGGTATATCCATCCTACACCTAAAGATGGGAACTCTTTGCTTCTACGGATTCCTATACCTCCCCACAGGCCCTGACACTCTTCTTACCACCCCTCTCCTTTCCTCTTCTCCTTTGACCCGCATATGTACCGTTGACCAGGCCGAAGCACACAACCTTCTACATCCGGAGAATGTCTGCTCTGATCAACCTCTCATTGCGCCTGTAGATCTTTCCTTTCCCTTACCCTCCTCTTTCTCTTTTCATCTCTTCTAATATTTTGGCTATTTAATTCTGGCATACGCCACACCCGCCGCCTGGCCCGACAACAGAGCCATACTTCCTTCACACAGCATATCATATATACCCTTGGGTTGGGCGGAGCAAAACAAAAACATCGGATTTCATGGCAACCTAGAGCAAGAGACTGGAAATCTGTATTTTATATTTTGCAATTTGATCATATCGTGGAAATGATGTTTTTACTCTGCAGTCTCTGTCCCTGCAAGAAACTGGCATATGGCACGGCTGCCACGACATCTGGGCGCGTCGTCATTCGGATGTCCAATGTTCATCCCTGGCCAATCCATAGACCGCGCTACCGCCAGGTAGTAGCAGACGGAAAAGCCCTCGAATCCCTGACCCACTCTAGCCATGGAACCACGAGTTGACCAAATAGCCCTCTCGCCATGCAAGTCGCATAGCGACTGCGCCCAAGCCAGGGTAGCCGGACACGCTCATGTGCGTGCAAACAAATAAAATCTCCCTAATCCCCCCCCAATCCACCTCATCTCTTCTTCCTCTTCTTCGCCCTCTCCGCCAAAAGCTCATCAAGATAACTCGTCGCCTTCTTCCTCCCCTTCGCCCTCCCAGACTGTCTAGCCCCCTCCTCCCCTTCAGCATCGTCCTTAGCCTCCGCAGCCACAGCAGCAGGATGCACAGCACTCTTCCTCTTATTCTTCTGTCTAGCAAGCATAGCCGCCCTTCCATCTTCCTCATCATCCTCCACCTCATCACCGCCCTCTTGCACCTGACTAGCAACAGGCTTAGCCCTAGCAGCCGCAGCCGCAGCTTTCTGCTCCGCAGCAGCTTTCATAATGCGATCGTAGTTTTTGCCAAGTAGCTGTTTGCGCAGTTTATCGTTCGAGTCCAGCTCTGAGCGGTTCCAGCTTCCGTCCGCGGCCTTTTGGGGGAGTGGTGCTCCGATGCCGAGGCTGTGATTGGGATTTGAGTTAGGATTTTACGAAATTTGATAATATGGGGGGAAAGGGAGGAAAAGGAAAGGAAAGGGGGAAGGGGGTACGCTTACGTCTCCGGCACGGCGGTGAAGATCTCATCTTCTTCTTTCTGTAGCTCTTCTTCGGACTTGGTTTGTAGTTCTGAGGATGTTGGTTCGGGGAGCCATGAGGCTACGAGACGTTGGCTGCGGGATAGGGCTACGTTCGCCCGGTTGAGGATTATGTCGGATTCGGCTTTTGAGAGGGACATGCTGTTTTCCTTTTTTTTTGCTCTTTTTGTTCCTCGAGCGAGGTGGTGGTTTTTTGAGTCTGGTTGCTGCGATTTGGCGGTGATGGTCTTTTTTTGCCGGTATTTGTGGAGCGGTGAGGATCTGTCGACTAATAATGCGCGCCGCGCCCCCGTGGTTGCCTCAGTCCCCTCAGGCTACAGCCAATGATGAGGCAGCATTCTGCTGTACTGTAGTAACCGCTTCATCAACCTATTATTCTGAGCGGGCAATTAACCTCCGATACGATTCCTCAAAACTACCTATTTCACGACTTTTCCATCTCTATCAGACACGCATTAATTATCACCACCTCAGTCGCGACTCACCATTGACAGGATCACCCCTCTCATCTCCCGTCAAATGGCGCGCGATTTTACGTCAAAGCCGTTTCGTGATGTCGTGCGCGAACAGCGTGGTCTTCTTGTCCACCCTCTCCGGTGGACTCCACATCATCTTGAGTTGCTGGGTTGTCGATTCGAAGAGGCCCCAACGGCCCCCGTCTTCCCGGAGACTCCAAACGATCAACGAAGACCTCCGGAGCGACCAGACCATGCTGAAGTGCTAGCCATGAGCTTATCCCCTGTCACGAAGTGTTACTCTCTTGAGAACATTCTGCTAGGCGAAGAGCCCAAATCCACTAAGCCTAGGTATAACCTGCGGTCCACAAAGACGAAAATCCCCGTAGGAATGACTGACAAGGGACTACAATTTCACTCCTCCGAAGAAGGAGCTCCTTTTTATTTTCGAGGTCGGCGAGTTCACCAACCAGACTATACCGTGTTCCATCGTCACAGACACTCCCTCGGCAATATGTCATTCGGGTTAGTAGGCTACCTACATTACACAAGCGTCAAAGGCGCTCGCAGGAGACAATCCTTTTTTGAGCATCGTCCCATAGCTCAGGCAACCCAAAAGGAATGGACTGAAGAACCGTATTTCCTATGTGTCTTATTGGCTCTCGCGCAAATGGAAAAGCGCAAGCTGCTCGGTTTGTCGAAGCCAATCATTTACACCGTATGTTCCTCCCCTGCTCATCAATCTATCGGACCTCAGTTAAGTCTCTTCCAGCCGCGTCTCATCGTGACGAGGGCAATAGATCATGAATACATTCACTTATACGAGACCGGAATTATCCCTGAATTACTGGAGGGGCTCAGGGATCCGGACAATGCGACGCAGCCATTGCAGTGTACGATCTGGCGCAAAAGAATCTCGTACAAGCCGTATGATTCCTTCGCCGGTCGACTCATCGCGGAGCTTAATACCTCACATGCACTATCCCAGTGTCATTCAGGTGGACGATTTTATTAATACAATTCTAGATCCACCGGCGCGATTCGCATCCCATAGTTATCATGGGCTCTAGCCGCTAGGGCAACGTTCCGGCTAAGGTCTTGTCACTCCTTCCAAGGTTGAAGCGTAGTTTCTGACAGAATCACACTGAGAGGTAAACTTGAGTTCTACTGGGCCATGGGAAAGTGCTAGGTAACAACAAGAGTCCCGTCTGTTTTGCTGGAACGAGCTCCTCTTGCCCTCCATGGTGCCGCTAGTTCGATGAGCTGACGGCCGGTGCCTACTGTGTATATCAGTGAGCAAAAAGCGGCTAGGGTGAGCACTGAAACGGAAAGGGAAAGTTCTGCCGTCCACCCCATCAATTATTCTTCCCTTGCGATCTTTCAATAGTCGCCGTATTCAACTTCAACTTCTTCCTCTTCCTTCTTCTTCTTCACTTATCATACTTACCAACTGACCGTACCGCTACCGTCACCAATGCATCCTCTTCAACCAACGTGTTGGGGGATGTGTCGGAGGGGCAGGTTGGGTGGAGGGTGGAGCGGGTAGTGCAGTTGCAGTGGGTAGGGAATTACGACCTTTCTTGCGGCCGGAGGGAGTGACGACGTTGGTTGAAGAGGATGCATTGGTGACGGTAGCGGTACGGTCAGTCGGTAAGTATGATAAGTTGGTAAGGGCGATGAAAGGGAAGAATGAAGCAAGAGAAGACAGAATTGTAAGTGGAACTCTGTACATGCGTCGTTATATTATAGAATTCTTTCCCATTCTATTGCCTCCTCTCCCCGACTACCCCATGTACTACGATAGATTTGAAAGATGGTGTGCGAACCTTCGCACACCATTTGCGCAAAACACAGGTCGGAGATGACAGGTTTACCGTTCTCCCAGCGTTGGAACTGCTTTTTCGCTTCCAAGATTGCTATATGGTTATTCGTAAGCATGAAGCTTCCGTCTGACTTTTGTCGACGCAAACAAAGGCCACCGTCGTCAACGGCTTACGGCATTTATGCCCCGTTGTTGTTCTGTTGTAACAACTGACAGTCTGGTTTTAGCATCGCGGAATTCGATAACGGCCGGGCTCGATGGTGATTCTTGAGGTGGGGCGGAGTATAGAATATGTCGAATCACGCAAGCCGGGAGCCGCAGAGTACGAAAACGGGTGTTGAAAATCGTACAGAGGTGACGCTGTGGAAATAAGAGCCGCGTGAAGTGTGTGAAGGGGGAGTAGTCCCGAGTGAGGCTCCGGCAGCTTCGCCCTCAACTGTCCTCACTCCTCCTTGGTTCGTATTGGTTTGGGCCTTCCTAGCGGGCGGGTTGGGCCGGCTTGGCCCGAATCGCGGGTAGATCCGCATGTCAGTTCAAGAAATTCCTTAACTGCCTTATTGAGGCTAGACCTGTCGATCGGCCAGGAAGACGGGAATGGATCTTCTGAGTTGGAGAGGTCCGGCAGGTCTGACGAAGGACCACCGATGAGAGGACCCTCCCCATGCGCTCGCGTGTCTGTATCGAAATCTTCAGAGCAAGGCCTACTGCGGTCGCGGTAATTGTCGAACTGCTGGGCGAACCGTAGTGAGAACGCTGGGACATGAGAGTGTCCACAGTGTCACAGACGATCCAAGATTCCACAGTCAGCTGGACAGCACCATACAGACGCTGCCTGAACGACATCTCTTTGGAAAGTCGCGGGTCCATTTGTCAGCCCGAAGTGTAGGACTTTGTGTTTGAATGCTCCATAACGGGAACGGAACGTGGTGAGATCCTCGCGTCCTATATACTTCATACATGTCAAACGAAGATAGAGTAAGGGTAAGGTGTCATAGGTGTCATCACATCTCAACATAAGTGAGGGTATCTGATGTGGGGGACATACTTTGAAATGGATTGAAGCGAGAAAAGAATCAAGTCACAGCTGGATGCGCTGTGAGTGGAACCAGAGTGGTAACTTGGGGAGAGAAGAAGAAGAAGAAGAAAAGAGGAAGAAGATGGAAAAGGATAGGGATTATATAGAAGATCGTTGTCGTACTGCATAGTAACAAGTCTGGAAAGGGAAGAGCAGGAGGTAAACAATCAAACATTTCCTCGCCTGCTCCTTCCCTTGCCGTTCCTTCCTGTTTCTACTTGTCAAGTGACGTCTGCTTCACTTGCCTGAGCACTTGCCTCAGGCACTCGTTAACCGCCACAGAAGGGACCACTGGACCAGAAGGCAGCGACTCAGAACAATAGCAAACGTTGTCCTCCGATAGGACTCACCAAAACTTCCTATTTCACGACTTTTCCATCTCTATCACGCATTAATTATCACCACCTCAGTCGCGACTCACCATTGACAGGATTACCGCTCTCATCTCCCGTCCAATGGCGCACGATTTTACATCAAAGTCGTTTCGTGATGTCGTGCGCGAACAGCGTGGTCTTCTTGTCCACCCTCTCCGGTGGACTCCACGTCATCTTGAACTGCTGGGTTGTCGATTCGAAGACGCCCCAACGGCCCCCGTCTTCCCGGAGACTCCAAACGATCAACGAAGACCTCCGGAGCGACCAGACGATGCTGAAACGCTAGCCATGAGCTTATCCGCTGCCATAAAGTGTTACTCTCTTGAGAACATCCTGCTAGGCGAAGAGCCCAAATCCACTAGGCCTAGGTATGACCTGAGGTCGACAAAGACGAAAATCCCCGTAGGAATGACTGACAAGGGACTACAATTTCACTCCTCCGAAGAAGGAGCTCCCTTTTATTTTCGAGGTCGGCGAGTTCACCAGCCAGACTATACCGTGCTTCATCGTCACAGAGACTCCCTCGGCAATATGTCATACGGGTTGGTAGGCTTTTTACATTACGCAAGCGTCGATGTTCCTCGCTGCAGACAATTTGAGCCTCGTCCCGGTGCAGCCATTTTCTCCGCTGGCCGAAGTTATCGTCAGAAGCAACTAGCCCAGGTAATCCCAAAGGAATGGACTGAAGATCCGTATTTCCTATGTGTCTTACTGGCTCTCGCGCAAATGGAAAAGCGCAAGCTGCCCGGTTTGTCAAGGCCAATCATTTACATCGTATGTTCCTCCCCTGCTCATCAATCTTATCGGACCTCAGCTAAGTCCCTTCCAGCCCCGTCTCATGGTGACGAGAGCAACAGATCATGAATACATTCACTTATACGAGACCGGGATTACCCCTGAATTACTGGAGGGACTCAGGGATCCGGACAATGCGACACAGCCATTGCAGTGTACGATCTGGCGCAAGAGAATCTCGTACAAGCCGTATGATTCCTTCGCCAGTCGACTCATCGCGGAGCTTAATACCTCACATGCACTATCCCAGTGCCATTCAGTTGGACGATTTAATTACCCTCAGATTGCCCTTTATTACATGGCGGTAGGGAACCCTCAAAAATCCATTACCGATGAAAACCGGGATGACAATGATGTGAATCGTGCCATTGAACACAAGAAGGCAAGACAAGGCGAACCGGAAGACAGCGGATCACGCAAGAGGAGGCGAGTTCAAGCAGATGATTGAGCAATTCATCAGGGGACGGAGGTGCAGGGGATCTATTTCATAGAATACGGGTGGTAGATTCTAGGGGAATTTTAGGGGCATTGTCTAGCAGGGGGATTATGCACTCGTGTCTACCGGCTTTCTACCTTTTGCCAGAACACTCTGGAGGGAATGACTATTGAGCTGCCCATAAGTGCGGTCCATTGCTTCCAGATATGATTCGTGACCAGGGGCTTTACTAAAGGGACGGGTTCCAGGGAGCCATCAAAGAATGGCAGAAATCAATGTTACCTTCTTGAGGCAGCCCTGCCGATAGTAAGACTGTAATGCAATTCTAGATCCGCCGGCGTGATTCGCGTCCCATAGCTATTATGGGCTCTAGTCTCTAGGGCAACGTCCCGGCTACCGTCTTGTCACTCCTTTCAAGATTGAAGCGTAGTTTCTGACAGAATCACACTGAGAGGTAAGCTTGAGTTATATTGGGCCATGGGAAAGTGCTAGGTAACAACGAGAGCCCCGTCTGCTTTGCTACATAGCACCAAAACACTACATAATCAGAATTGACTGGCTTGTCCTTCAGAATGACTTCTAAGCTTCAATCTCACCGCCAAGTCCGGTTTCTCCCAAAGAACAAAAGTCTTCTGATCCAACCAGTCTTGTTCAGGCTGCTCCAATTCCATATCGAAGTTGAAGATCATGCGCGCGAGAATCATCCGCATTTCAACATACGCCAAGCTATGTAGAGACAGATATCAGCAGGCCACGCTTACCTGGAAATGACACGAAAAAGCACAGAACTTACTTGCGTCCAATACAATTCCTCGGACCAAAGCTAAACGGCTGCATCACATTCCTGTCATCATTCGCGAAGCGAGGATCGTTCAAATGCCGCTCCGGAATAAACTCTGTCGCTTGGGCAAAGCTGGTAGGAGAGTGACTGGCAGCTAGATGGGAGACTGAAACGATCGTCTGTCTAAGTGTCAGCCTGCCTGTACAGCTAAATCAAGATTCAAAGGGGAATTTCCTGCTCACCCCTCCCGGCACCCAATGCCCAGCAATCATGTCACCCTGCGCATCGACAATACGAGGCAATCCTATTGAAACGGGAGGATAGACCCGAAGTGCCTCGGTGAGGACCGCCAGACAATACTCCAGTTTATTGCAAGCTTCCAGGGTAATCTCCTCCTCGACCGTGAAAGACGATCTAATTTCGTCTTGCAGCTTTGCCAGCACGCGCGGATTCTTCAGCAACAGATATGTCACCCCGGAAAGCAGAGTTGCAGTCGTTTCCGAACCCGCGATGATCAAGGTGGAACCATTCGTGATCATTTCGGGGATACTGAAACCCTTCTCCGTATCCTGGTGTTTCAAGATATTCGCAAAGAAATCAGGCCGATCATTGGACTTCTCAACCCGTCTATTGACCTTCTCTTTCGTCAAGGCTAGATGCGTGCTCCTCTGCGCGATAATCCGCTTGGGCGTGATATACGGAAGAATATACTTCGAACCGGGCAGTCGTCTCGACACATTCGCGTACACACTAATATTAATCGAGCCGAGGAGAATCGATACCCATTCATGGTAAGTCGAGTTCTTGAGACAATCAAAGGGCTCACCGAAAGCCAGGTCTCCGATTATATCAAACGTTGTGAAGTTATACCACGCAACCATGTTGAAAACGCTAGTTCCGTTATCGATATTCTCGCGTAGCCTCTGCATTAGCAGATCAATGTAGCTCTTGATAATCGGCTCCTGTCCGCGCAACGAGGCGTCAGAGAAAGCGTGTGACAATAGCCGACGGAAGCGGGAATGGTCCGCGTCATTGGATAATATGATGCTGGGGGCATTCTGGAAAGTTGGTGCGTAGAACCGGCCATCTTTGGCCTTCTGTCCGTGTCCGACTCGGGTGCCGTAGATGGCCTTCCAGGCTTCGCTATCTATGAATGAGAGTTCGTCCGGTGCAATGCGCACAACGGCGCCGTACTGTTGGTGCAGTTCTTTGGTCTTTTGAGGGAATCGGCCGCTCAGCATCAGGCGCATGTAGGGTAGACGTGTTGCGGCCATGGATTTGGGACCGGGGAATTTGGATAGTGGGTGGAAGTAGATGTTGTAGACTAAGATGCTGATGAGACAGAGTGAGATCTGTTGAGTTTCTTTAACTGCGAATCCATGACTCGAACAATTGGGTAGAGCATTGTACAAGTACTTACAAGCATGAAGCCCAGCTTCAGCAAAGCAAGAGCTATGTTTGGGGCATTCTGTGCGCTTTCTGGCGCTGAAAATCCGGAAGTAACAGCCATGATTAGGGCTAAGTGTGGGATCTGGGAATATTCGAACTTCCCCAGACACTCCCTCGAGGTATTTATATTCACTCCCCGCCCCTCCTATCGATGTCGATGTCACTTGTGTAAGTACAGTGTGACATACATTTTGAAAATAATGCCTTTGGATATGTTCATTATGTCCGTTTATGCTGGTTTATGAAGGAGACCCCGCACTGCACGAGTGCATGTCAAGGGTATTCTGGGATATTGCAGGGGTCTTGCACCTAGCTTAGCCTTGGTTCTTGTCGATCTTAGCAGACGGTTTGGGTCTAGGCCGGAGAAAAGCACGTGTGTGTACTTGACTAACTCACGATGCGCCCTTTAGTTTTACCTGCAGGGCGTAGTTAGATATGGCCCAGACATTATGAGTGGAAATCGAGTCTTCCAATGCAGGTTAGTTCTCAGGGAAATACCGTGTAAGCACGTCACTAGATGGGCCAGTGTTCCAGGTCAATGTACATGGCCACCAGGTTCTAGACGTACGACGTACCTTGTACTCCGTACAAGTTGAGAAGATGAGCCTTGCATATAGAAATCATGGAGACGCTGTAGTGTAAGTCAGTGCATAATTTCCGACTCTCGCAGCATAAAAGTTGTGTTTAGTTGGGAATTGAAAGGCAACAATGGACATGTACGCAATATACTATATCAACTCGTTCCATGGTCTATGAGTCTGGCTTATATGTAATAGGCTGGTGCTCCCACTCTTTGAGAACCAGCCTCACTTTTTATACTGAAGCATGATCAGGCGTACGGGACGTTCTTGCTTCATCTGGAGAGAAGCGCCTGCATAGCCACTACGATACTAGTTAGGCTCCAACGGGTTAATAGAACTTTGATTGATTGATTGATATCAATGAGCTTGGCGACAGGAAGGACACAAGAGGTCATGTGGTCAAGATGAATAGAAGGTGCCTTACTCCTTCCAATTGAGTATAGGATGTTTGCCTTCCCTTTTGGTCAGTCACGTCCCCGTCCTGAGGGTATAAATATCTCCATCTTCCTCAGCATCTCTTCCTCTTCCTCTTCCTCTTCTTCTTCCTTCTCCATCTCTCTTCTCTTTTCACTCTGCTTGTTCTCTTCTTTTCTTCTTCTTGTTCACTTCTTGTTCACTTCTTCTTCTTCTTCTTCTTCTTCTTCTTCTTCACTCTGCTTCTTCTCTTCTTTTCTCCACTCTACTTCTTCTCTTCTTTTTCTTCACTCTGCTTCTTCTCTTCTTTTCTTCACTGTAGTCTCTGCTTCTTCTCTTCTTTTCTTCACTCTAGTCTCTGCTTCTTCTTCTTCTTCTTCTTCTTCTTCTTCACTCTGCTTCTTCTCTTCTTTTCTCCACTCTGCTTCTTCTCTTCTTTTTCTTCACTCTACTTCTTCTCTTCTTTTTCTTCACTCTGCTTCTTCTCTTCTTTTCTTCACTGTAGTCTCTGCTTCTTCTCCTCTTCTTCTTCTTCGTCTTCTTCGTCTTCTTCTTCTTCTTCTTCTTCTTCTTCTCTTCTTTTCTTCACTCTAGCCTCTGCTTCTTCTCTTCTTTTTCTTCACTCTGCTTCTTCACTTCCACTTCCACTTCTCACCCTTCACAACTTCACACCTTTTGTTCTTTTCTCGCTTGGTTTTCTTACCTTCCAACTAGGCTTCTTGCCCTGCCCGTCCTATGATAAAATGAGGGCTCACCCTGCGCTAGACACCCGGGCACAGATGTCTAGTAGGGGTGGGACTCCAGGCGCACGCCACACGCCTGTCCAGGGACCTCTTTGGCTAAGCCAAGAGAGTACTCCAGACACAGTCTGGCTTTTGAGGACATTTCTTCTCTTCCTTTCCGCTCCCTCTTCACTTGCCCATCCTATGATGAAATGAGCGCTCGCCCTGCACTAGACACCCAGGCGCAGATGTCTAGTAGGGGTGGGACTCCAGGCACACGCCTGTCCAGGGACCTCTTTGGCTAAGCCGAAGAGAGTACCCCAGACACAGTCTGGCTTCTGAGGACATTCCCTCCCTCCCTTCGCCCTGCTACCTTGCAAGCATAACAGATACCCAGGAAGGTGGGACGTATGGCGATTTAGCAGTTTAAAAGGCACTGGAGACAATTTGGATTCTTTTCAGAATAATATAGTCATGGCATCATTTGTAGTTCTATGTACAGTCTATCTATATACCACGTGTTCGATGTGCTCTAGACGCAGGTTTCACCAACTGTTCCAACCAAGTATAACACAGGGTATAAATTCAAAAAGACACAAGCCGGAATACTTCACGCTGTAGCCTCCTTCTGATGTTTCACTCGCAACCTTTTCTCCGTCTTCATGAATTCCCGAATTCCAACGGGAACAGTAGAAAACAGATCATCCCCATGACTGGGCGGCGACCAATTTGCTTCACTGCCACCACCATCATCGTCCATGCTTCCACTGGCCGAGCTTACTTCGGGTCTAGGCGCCGAGCGCATGTCTTTTGTCCCCTTCTCAGGACCGCCTTTGGCCTTTGCCGTTGCAACTCTGGATGCCCAGTCCTCCATCTCGTCTCGGAAATCATCCCAGACGCAGTGAACACAGCCACTCATGCAGCAATTATCCGGTTCCTCGGGCTGGGGAGGAATGGGAACACCGTTGATGGTCTTCCATGTCGACTCTGGGGGAATTTCACCAGGACTGTAGCGCGAGGATCGTCCTGGGCCAGCGAGACGGGTCCCGAACACAATTGCCATTTTTTCTTGTGGTGATTGCGGTGTGACGCTGGATGCCGGCGTCGGTTCGGCATCGGGCCGAACGGGCGGCGTCGGTCGTGAAGTCGACGCACGACCACCGTACGGTGATTTGGATTTCAGGATCAATGAATAGTATCCGGAGAGCGGCTGAGCCTGCTGAGGGTTCGCAATTTCCTCCACGGAGGTTGGAGTATCATAGTGATCGGATCGATTGGCTTGTCCGTTCATGCGCCGGGGTGTCGGAAAGAGCGCATATTGTCGATGCAGTGTAGTTGAGGGATATATCCGGCCGGAAAATGTACAAAGTCGAGAGCCAGACCTCCGCAGTGAATGTCTGGTAGTCACCGAGAGACAGTCCATGGTATGAGTTAGAGAAAGGTCAACCTTGGAAGAAGCTTGCTCCGATCCATGACGAGGGTGGGGATTAGGTCATAGTGCAAACACTGCAAACATAGTTGTTTATCTTCATCAGTCTATCTTGCGCGCCGAATGCGACGAACAACCCCACGCGACAATGGACTCCCCCGCAAAGAGACGGAAAACTAGCGAGACGACGGGAATTCCAGTCGCGCCAGAGCTTTTACAAAAAGATGCACATCGGTCCAGGCGACCGTCCTTCCAGTCCCCGACAAGGGCCAGTCTCGCACGATCAAATCCCGATGTATTAGAGCGCGCACTCAGCAGGTCCCCCTCTCGACGACCAGTAAGGAGGGATAGTGAACAGCCAGACGCTCGAAATATTGGACTTCGCGATCGCAAAGCGCTCCGTCCCTCACTCAATGCCGCAGCCAGCCCTCTCACCCGACCCCGACCTCGAGACCCCGAGGCGCCGGAAAGCTCTCCCAACAGACGTCCAAGTGGCATCCAAGCGTTCTCAAAACCACCGCGCAGGATTTCCAAAAGAATTCTTCCCGGTGATCTGGTATTTGGCTCTCCACTGCCACCGTCGAAACCTCCCCAACAAAGCACACCCGAGGGACAATTGGCACAGGAATTGGGCAGCGCAATAGGGGAAGCAGACATAGGGGCACCAGACATGGATATGGGACCAGATCCTGGTTTCGATGATGATTCCCTTGAGCCTGACCTTCCGCCAACTCCAACACAACTCGGTCTGGTGAAAGCCCCCGATCGAAGATTGTTGAGCAGCAGTCCTAGTATGCGACAGGAGAAAAGATCGAAACGACGGACTGCAAATGCATTGCCTGAAAGTCCGCTCAAAGCGGTAAACTTCCGATCCCCTCCATCGCCGGATCTACAGGATCTGGAGACAGCTTCAGATCTGGGTGGATCTGCGGCTGTGCAGGAAAAGCGCAGTTTGCGCGAGAAGAGCGCCGCGGATCTGCGTCGACTAGAAAAGGAAGTCGAAGAACTGGAAACATGGGCAAAGAAAATCGAGTCCTCGCCTGATTTGCGCAGTGACAGCAGAGGACTTGATAAATTCCTGTAAGTTCTGCATGTTCAACATCAAGCCTGGGATTATACACATGCTGATAACATAACCTTCAAGATCTCTACTCATATCTGAAGAAGCCAACCGAACAACCCTCCCAATAACCCCCAAAGCGCCTAAATCAATATCATCCCTCCTCGCAACTTTGCTCCCCTTCTCCGCCAACATCCCCCGACCAAAACGCCAAACCTCACCACTACCAACAAACCCATTCGCCCTACACGAATCCTCCCAATCACTACCATATCTAACAGCATTCGCACCCTTAAACCTCAAAACCCGCACAACTAGACGCTCACACAGCGAAGGACTCTCAGAAACACACACCCTGACCTTCTCCCCCCATCTCCATTCCCAGCAACTCTCTACAACGTAACCGTCATCTACGAAACAAACCCAGAAACCCAATCTCTGACATCCATATCCGCGCCAACCGACACCGACAAAAGAAAAACCCCCGAACCCCTCCGCCGCTGGATCGATACCCGACTGCAGAACCCCCTCCTAAAACTCGACGTGGCCACCCTCTGCTGGGGCATAAACAGATACTGGGAATGTGCCGTTTCTCGTGCTCGCTTGTGGGCATACATCGATCACAAATATGGTCCCCGGGCTTCGAAGAGTAGCAAGGAGGAGACTATTGCGGTTTCTGACTTGCGGCGCTTGGTCCCGCATCTGGATCGGAGCGTCATGGTCATCAATGGATCGTCTGTGTCTGCTCCGAAGGTGTTGTTGTCGAATTCGTTGGTGTTGGATGAATGGACTGGAGAGCCGAGGCTAAGGGCTGAGATTAGCGTGTCGGTTCCTGGGATGAGTAGGAAGATTGAGATGGAGACGAAGAAGCTGTTTTATGCGCTGCTAGGGGAGGATGGGGAGTTGGCTAGGCGTGATGTTGAGGGGGGTGTGAGAGTTGATGCGGTGGTTAGGGCTACGGAGGGGGTGCTTGGTGCTTTGTTTGGTGGTGGTTGATTTGGTGTAATTGTCAGCCCTAGGCGTTAGCGTTGATTCTTGAAGATACCCAAGCAGTACAAGGATGGCAGTCTACTGTGTTCGAGATTTGTGTAAATGATAACTACTTCCTGTGTGTGTAGTATATACTTCTCGTATATACATAGGTTCCAATGTTGGGAATGAGAGACTATGTAAAGAACTTTTGTTGATCCCATTCAACTAGATACAAGTAGGGCCCTTCCCATCCGCAGGGAGCTACAAAGCATTCGAGTAGAACTACTACTTGCTCGCTCCAGCTGTCACTGAAAGCTCAAGACAAAGCCACTATGGGGAAGCAATTGAGAAAATTGGGCGGTTTTGAATTTCGAGAATCTTCCGAGTTCTTTCTTTTAGAGACAAAAAGGAGTAAAAGTTTGGGAGGGAGAGAGGGAATCAAGGAAGAGGCGCAACGCCATGCCACAGTACACTAATCCCCGATTCGAAAACCGACCCGATCATCATCATCAGCACGAGCAGGGAATTGACACATTTATTTCTTGGCAGCGGCCTCATCATCAGCCTTGACCTTGGCACGCTTCTCGCGCATACCGCGGTAGCGGGCCTCGGCGCGAGCCTCACGGAGACGGCGGTAAGCAGCCTCCTCGCCCTTGGGGAGCGAGTCGCGCTTGACCTCGGTGACGGCCTCGGCGGCGGTGGGGTTGGTGATGGGGAAGGTGGCCTCAACACGAGTGGCGATGCCGTCACGCTTGCCCTCAGCGACGGTGGCCTTGACGGCCTTGACGTCCTCAGCGGAGGAGTCAAGCTTCTTGAACTGACCGCTCTTGCGGGGGAAGAGGATCAGGCGGGCCTTGTAGTCCTGGAGACGGGCGACATTGGCGACCAGGGACTCCTTGGAGTAGTTGGTGCGGCGGTGGTCAACAGCGATACCGACGGTAGGAGCAAGCTTCTTGGGGATACCAGCTTCCTGCAGAACGAAAAAATTCGAATCAGTACATTGTTTCTCCACACCTTCACACATCTTTTTGCGGCTCGATTTACCTTCAGTTCGGCAAGGGTGAAACCACGACCGGCACGGACACGGCGGTTGTACTTGACGGTGGGGCACCGAACGATGGGACGCAGCTTGTCCACCGGACGGGGAGCAACAGCAGCCGCCTTAGCGATGCGGGCCTCACGACGACGGTGCTTCCGGCCGGGCTATATTTCATGTTAGTCGGCCAAATTCATATCCTGCGTAGAAAATTTTCCATCGATTTCGAGTCGCTTGCGATATCGTTCCGAAGAAAATTTCTCTTATCGGGGTGTTGGAGAATCGTACCTGGTCGAAGTGCACACGGACACGACGCTGCCAGTCCTTGTGGAAGTCTAATCAAGAAATCGTTAAATGACCATTCCTTCAATTTTTTTGGATTCCCCATTCTTCTGACGGTTTGAGGCGATCACATAGGGGCTGCAAAGCGACGGGTCACTCACGGTTCTTCTGAATCTGGTTGTTGTGCTTGATCGCCTATATATCCCACACACAATCAGTCAACCATTCGGACATTTTTTTGAAGGCGTATTTCGATCCATCGATTCATTCAATCGCACAAGTCGAATCCTTCATTGTATCTTCCAAGCAGGGATAGGGAACGCACCATGGTGACGGATGGGGATCGAGCCGGGTGGTGGTCGTCGAGGGTTGCTGGTCAAATCCTCCTTCACGGCAGAAAATGAAGTTCCCATTTTTCGTGTGGCCGCCCGCTGACTGACACACCGCCTCGCTTAGCGAGCCCTAACCAAGCCGGATCGGGTAATCTGCCAGAATTATCTCATTTATTTAATTCGAATTATTTTCGGCCTTGACTACCGTGAGATCAAGCATTGTTTAATGATCGATCTTGTCGATTTAATTTGAAATTTTTATATGAATGCGATTGGTCCTTCAGATGAAATTCATTCATCTGGTTTCAGATTTGTATTCCGTTCTGGTCTGTGAGGACTCTATTCGTAATGTACATGATACCCATGCCCAATGTCCCATCTCAGACTGCGAGATGGCTGTCTCAATTTCACTCCAAGTGGAGGGCTCGTGGATGAAACACAGACATTGAGCCATGATCCCTCTATCAAAAGCCAATTTGTTAACGCCACATATCGAAAGGTCATGGGTCACTGTCGCATGGCCTAAGTTATCAATTTCAAAGCAAAATCCCCCAAAGCAATCAAACATTCGCTAGTTGGAAAACACCATATTTGGCATGTCTTCGTCATTCGTCAGGTTCCCATAGTCGTAATAAGCAAAGCAGCGCTAGGTCATGAAGCGAATCAGTTGGCGGCACGGATTATCCGCGTAGCCACAGGATATGCACTTAGGCAATGCCGAGGCCAACTCCCCCGGTCGTCCTGGGCTTCTTTGCAGTGACCATGTTTGCTTCGTTGTCTGCTTTGCGCTTGTTAGCGCGCGCACGATCCACACCAGGCTTTTGCACCTGGCCGAACAACTTTGTCTGAAGTAATGTGCTGCTTTTGGGAACCGTGGTCCGCATGTGATGCGGAGATCCTAACTGCTCTTCTGCAGCTTCGGATGCTGAGAGGGATACAGTGCTATCACTGTCATAGTGATCTTCTCTTGGCGGTTGAATTGGTGTGAGGTACTGGGTCTTCGGGTGGTTGGGTGTGACAGGGACGGAGGTTGAAGAGTGAGCACCATAGGGGTGCGTTTGGTTGGTGAGTTTATCAGCGTAAAGCAGAGCGGCGAGGCCATCCGTGTGTTCCATATTGTGTATGTCGTTCTGAGTACGTGGCGACATGCTGCCGTAGTTGAAGATTTGGGAAAAGTGCTTGCGGTTGTCACCAATGCGTCGCTTGAGCATGAGGTTCTGCTCCTCTAGGTCCACGGCCCGACTCGTAGCTTCATCAATGGCGCGCTTCGCCTTTCGTAGTCTCCGGTCAAGAACTGCATTGAGTTCTTCCAATTCTTGCGCGCGCTGAACAGCTGACAGATAGTCGGGGTTCAAAGTAGACTGGGACTGCTTGGGTGTGGCGGGATCCGGGGGGAGCGAGCGAGCACGGTACTCGGCGCTTTGCAGAATCTCGACTTCACGCTTGGCAAGCTGATGCTCAACCTCAGCGCGCTTGACGGCTTCGTTGCTTGCGAAAGAGACCAGACTGTTTTGCAACTTGAAGTGCAGCGCAGACATACGTGACTCCCGCGCCACGGCAAGGAGTTCTTTGGCAATAGTGCGCAGTTGGGTTTCGTTGGCGAGGTCAATTTCTTCCATCGAAGGTAGGTTCTCAGAGGCTCCGTAGGCATCGCACAAAGACTTGTCCAGATCGGCCGCTTTCTCCAATGGGGGGCTCAATGAGCGCGAGTGCGAGCGAGATCGAAGCGGGGCCCCTGGAATTTGAGTTGAAGGTGGAGGTGTCATGTCTGATGACGATACTGGCGGCGGTGAGAGGAACTTCTTATCTGACTGGGATGAGGGGCCCTTGGCCATAGCGCTAAGCTCTGGCGATGGGGACAATGTGGCGCGACGGACTGGAGTCGAGGGCACAAAATCCACTGGAGCTCTAAGAGAGCTTTGTGAGTTGGTGCTTTGAGACATGTTGGTTTGTGTATATAGTAAATAAAGTGATGTTGATCTATCACTTCGATAAGACCACGAGGGTTTAGCCGCGGGGAAACGGGTCCTCACACTATTTTCCTTATCAGCATGTTTGTTCTAGAAGGTTTAGTGAAGGAGGGATATTGAATAACCACATACCGGAGACTAGTGGTTGGCAGGCTTAAGGCTAGGTGAATCGCACAGATACTCAAGATCAGGTATGTTGTCTCAGGAACCAAATCAAAAGACCAAAGATCGGGCTGGAGTAAGGGATACGGAATTTGCGAAAGAGAACAATGACTTGGAGAAGTTGGAGAAGGGTGAAAGAAGGGAGAATAATGAAGTTCAGCGAGACCTTAAGAGGAAGAGGTTACTCCAGCTGGCGTTACTGGGAGGGGCTGGGAGGCTGGGAACGGGGGAGTTTGAGGACACCCGCATCAGGTTAGTCCATCTCCCAGCCCCGGTCAATTATCTAAGAATATTGGCCAATCAGGAGCCAATATTGCTATCCACCAAGCCTAATATGGTTAGCCAGTCGATCACGGGACGCTCAGGGCAGGTAAACACCCGCGACCGGGCAAGCGCTGGGGGTTGGGCAGGCAACCGATAAGCTTGGACAAGATCTGGACGTTGCATGATATCATAGAGATGTTTCATGTTCTTTGTTTGAGATATTTTGATCTATATAAAGCGAACAGAGGGTACTTGCATCTTTTAGGAAAAAAAGAAAGAGTTGAAACCCATTTCCAATATATATCTGGGACAACATAAATGGAATACTTAGCTTGTACTGCTCAAACTGACCACCTAGGTCCTGCAAATAGCAGAACGTCTAGACCATTTGGTAGGTACTAAGGTTAACTATTTGATAGTACCTATAAATCTTGAAAGAGAGTCAGTGACAAATACAAAGCAATCAGGCTGGGAATCTTATAACAGATATATGCAAGGGAACATCCAATGTTTACAGTCTTAAGTTGCTTCCAAGGTTGTTCCAGCCATCTCAACGGCAACAGCTTGGAGCAAGGACCTCGTTATCAGGTATCTATTGACATGTATCTTCTCTTTCGAGAAGGGGATAGAGGGAAGGTTGGCCATATGAAACGACTGATATCGTCTCGAGACTCATTTTGAAACGGTACGCAGTATATGCAAACGACTGGTATCCCGTACCCAAGGTCTGGGTCGGGTGCTTCTTTCTGTTTGTCAAGAGAGATCGATAAATGCATGTGCGCATGTGGTCAGTAACAGGACCATGATTTATGGAGCCAATTTAGCCAACCTCCCCTATATCACAGAGTTGCTGGAAATAGCTTGCAAGCTGTCCTGTATTACGCGAATTGGTGAGACATCGGAGATGTCCTAACCTGTATGGAGTCTTCGCCGGCAACGAGACCCATGAAGAGGTAGGAATCATATGGAACTCCATCATCGTCGGTATCACGATCGATCTGACCGTACGTATGATATGGCTCAGCAAAGCAAAGTAGGCGCAGAGTACTGCACGTTCAACCGAGGCTTGGGATCGAAGGTCTGCCCAAAGTTATAGTGGAGACTATGTCCTAGAGCTATAGAGTATATTCCCGGTACAGACAATAGAGAGAGAAAAATGTAAAAGACCATAGACTGTTGAAGATTGTGTTGAAGATGGGAAGAGGAACATGCATAGAGCAAGTGGGCGGTCAAGAAAGGTACGGGTGGAGCAGTTTCGGTGTCAGATCCACGGTCCTCATGGTGTAAACAATTCGCGTCCGAAGCTTTTCTAGATCTCCAGGGCTTTATACTTTTGCATATCCACGCGACAAAGATAATTCTGTCATTGCACCCATTCTTTACCCCTCCATATTCCTTGTCCCACTCTTACCATCGGACATGAGCCTCCCAAGTTCTTGACGTGCGGCTCCCTTTCCGACCAAATACCATCAATAATTGAGACGACAATATGGAAGGACAACCAAAGATGTCGACACGCCCGACTGGTATACCGCGACCTGCCAGCGGTATTCCACGACTCACTTCAAGATTGCCTTTACCCACGACTACCGGATCGAAATCGCTTAAACCGTCGCCTTCACGAGACAGACTACGAGCCGACCCTGGACTGGATGAGAAAAGATTGCGAAGGCCGTCGTACGACACGCTTGTGCAAAAGCCGTTCTCGCGCCATTTGTCGCCACCCAAGCCACAGAACGATCCTGTCCCGGTTCTCAAGCAAGACGAAGCTCAAGGCGGGGAAAACGAGACACGGCTTTTGGGGGAAGCGGGCCCAGCGGGACTTGATGATGCTGCATCGATTATATCGACACAAGAAGTGCGCGGTCGCCGGGAAATACGTCCATCATTATCCGAGCGCACACTTGAGACACTAGCGCAAATTCCACCGTCACCGGCTTCAGTGAGAAGGCAGTCCAGCTTTTTCAATGGCGCCAGTCCGGTGCGGTCCCCATCTCGGGCCCCGTCCAATGTTTCTAGTGTTTCAAGGTCGCCATCCAGAGCGTCTTCTGGAGCGCCACCTAGCAACGAACCACACGTCAAACCCGTCTCCAAGCTACGTCTTCCCGCAAAGGCTCGTCCGTCGACCGCTTCGTCTCTCTCTCCAGCTCGCACCGCGGAAGAGAGTGTGAGTCCGTCGAGATTGAGACGACCGTCACCTAGAACTAGCATTGCCCCAGGAGATGGCCTTCCATCTGATACCATCCCGCCCAAGTTAACTACAACCGAGCGACCTTTCGGAAACAAAATCACGGGGAACCCTTTGCCAATTCGCCCGTCGCCAAGCAAGGCCTTTGTAAAGCCTGCAAAGTCAAACATGGGCCCTCCAGAAAAACCTCTCCAGGTGAAGAAAACAAGAAAGCCCCAGACAGAGCAGGTTTCTACTCTCCGGTCTCCCTCGACAGCATCAAGACATGTCTCTGCTTCTTCCATGCTTGATGAGCTCACACCGGAGCAACAGGCGCAGAAAGAAGCTAGAAAAGCTTCCAAATCATCTAGCACGCTACGCGACACCATAGCAAAAGCCAAAGCTGCTCGCAAAGCGATGGCAGCCGGCGAGAAAAAAGATGTCCCCCAACCGCAAACATATCAAGCTATACCTGTCGATGCGCCTGTCGATTCGTGGGTAGGCGGTGATGACGAGGACCCATTCAACCAGTTGCCTAAGGGATCCAACTCTTTGGTAATGCGAAAGCGTGTGCAGACAGCACGTGCGACCGGCCAGTTGAACATAGCAGCGTTCGCTCTGACGGAGATACCCAAAGAAGTGCTGACTATGTACGATTACGATCCAGAGAACTCTGAAAACTGGTTCGAAAATGTCGATCTGGTTAAATTCAATGCTGCGGACAATGAGCTCGAACAGATCTCAGATGCCACATTCCCAGATATCGATCCCGAGGAGTTTGATCCCGATAGCGATGATCGAGGACTTCAATTTGGAGGCATCGAAACATTGGACCTCCATGGGAATGTACTTAAATCACTTCCGATGGGTCTTCGGCGTCTACAGAACTTGCGCACTCTCAACCTGGCTAATAATGCTTTGGACATGACCAATATCGAAATTATCACGGAGATAGAGTCTCTCATGGACCTGCGGCTCGCGAATAATCAACTCCAAGGGGAGCTGACTGCTGCTATCGGTCGGCTTCGCAATTTGGAGTTTTTGGATCTGCGTGGCAATGCTCTCACCCAGCTTCCTGAGAAGTTTGTTGACCTGACTTCTCTGAGGACGTTGGATGTGAGCGAGAATAGATTCACTTCCCTGCCATTCGAGATATTCAACGGACTTTCTCTGAAGACTCTCAATGCCCAGAAAAACAGACTTGAAGGCACTTTAATACCGGCATCAGTGAAAGGCTGGGAGACATTGCAGTCGCTGAACGTTGCCAATAATGCCGTGGTCGTCTTCTCGGCCAATGACGCGCTTCACCTTCCCAATTTGCATACTCTTTTGATTGGAGTCAATCGCATCACACATCTCCCATGCGTTTCTTCTTGGCAGTCATTGTTGACGCTCTCCGCTGAGGAGAATAAAATTGCAGAGCTTCCACAAGGGTTTGTGGAGCTCAAGAGCATCAAGAAGGCCGATTTCACAGGCAACGATCTCACTCGTTTGGACGACAAGATAGGATTCATGGAGAGCCTCACCTCTTTCCGAATTCCCAACAACCCACTTCGGGAGCGCCGTCTGCTGAATATGGATACAGAAGACATCAAACGAGAGATGCGGAGCCGCTGTGACCCTGATCCGCTGGACTCAGACGATGAGGGCTCAGTGGCTACCCAATTCACTCTAGCACCCGAAAATCCCGCGCTCGATGGCAGCTGGCAGATCAAATCTGGTACACTTGACAAGTCATACGCCGATATGACCGATCTGAAGGTAGAACAACTGGACATGATTTCCTGGCAAGACATTCGGTGCCTCTATCTGCAGCACAATGAGTTTAGCCATTTCCCGGTTCCTGCAATCCAAATGCTCGCGGAGAGTTTGATCGAGCTTGATCTCTCACACAACCCCTTGAGCGGAGCCGACTTCTTGTCTTCTCCGCTGGAGCTGCCAAAGCTCCAGTCGTTGACTTTGAATGCGGCGACATTGACGGCATGGGAGCCTCTCCTGTCTAATCTGACAGCCCCATCTTTGAAATTCCTAGATATTTCGCACAATCGCCTGAAAGGTCCTCTTCCTCATTTGAGGAAGACATACCCGGAGCTCAAGACGCTTGTGGCTTCCGACAACCAGATCTCTAGTCTGGAATTCGAAGCCGTACAAGGACTGCAGGTCTTGGAGCTAAGCAACAATGACATTGATTCGCTACCCCCGAAGATTGGCCTCCTCGCTGCTCAACGCTCCCCCCTCAACTGGGGCAATGGATCAGCCTTGAGACGCTTTGAGGTGGCTGGCAATCGGTTCCGAGTGCCTCGCTGGCAGGTAGTTGCCAAGGGGACCGATGCTATTCTGGATTTCTTGCGCGAGCGTATTCCCACCAGCGATCTGCCAGAGTGGGAGAAGGAGCAAGAAGAATCTGAGGAGTATTGAGTGGAAGGAAAACGCAAGAGGTCATGATTTGAAAGTGGCATGTATAATATCATCATGTTTGTTCTATGTACATATACGTAATATCGCTGTCTATGCTTTTCTCGGACTTTTGTCATCATGGATATCATCAGCTCTGACGGCTTCTTGACAGATAATCTCATTCAGTGATTTTCCCAGTTGGCTTGCTGACTTCGTCAATCACCTTGAGCCACGTCTTCGCCCATGTAGAAAACTTGTCTGCTGTTGTGTCGTCCTTAGAATCCACAGCGTCCCAGGGCAATGCAACCAATTCCACAGCTTGTGTGGCGCATTTCCTTATCTTCTGCAGATACTGAGTCGACTTCTCGAAATCGGCCTCGTACAATGCGCCAGCCGCCTCATCGACATCGTCCGGAATAGCCTTCAGGTTCAGCATCAGGGATTCCAGCTTCTTGACACCACCCTCAGCGGCCAACGGCGCATTCCCAGCGTTCTTCAATCGATTGTTGATGATAGCCGGATAAACCAGGGCAAGAGGCTTGATGAAACGAAGCGTGGATTTTTTGTGCTGCTCGAGAGCAGCGGTCTCGTCTTCGTCGTCATCCTTCGAGTCATCATCGTCCGCTCCTTTCCCTTCCTCATCAGAAAATTCATCAAAGAACTCATCGCCCTCCTCTTCAGGATCCCAATCCTCAATCTCCTCAACCGCATCGCGAACCAAATCCCTCCACTGCTCAACGCGTTGCATAACAAATCCAACAACGCCCTTTCCAGCGACATCAGTCGCTGTATCACAAGCATCCCAGACACGGCCAGTAGCAAGCATGACAGCATCTTTCTCGGATTTTGTCACATCGCGCTCCTTCACGCCATCCTTCTTTTCCTGATCCTTTCCCTCTCCAACGCGCCGAACCTCCCGAACAAGCCCATGTAGCTCCGTAAACGCAGTTTTGGCTAGAACCAAGACTTCAGAGTGAAATGCCTTGGTGTATTGCGTCGGGGTAACGAGAAGTGCCGCGGTGACGAGCGACGGCAGTACGGCCTCGTTGAGCTCGCGCAGGATGGTGGCAACGGCAGAATGCGTAAAGGGTGTGGTAATTGCCAGCAGGGAGAGTTTTGTGACGTGGGCTTTGAGTGCGCTCGACGAGGCTGTTAGGAGGGGTAGAGCGTCGGCATCTTTTGCGGGTTCGGTTGGGGCTGGTGGGGGTGTGGCGAGGGCTTCTTGGAATTGTCCGATGAGGGTTAGAGTTGTGTCGAAGACTGGGGATAGTTCTTTCGACATTGTGAGGGTCGTGGGTTGGCTGGGACTTGGTGTAGAGAGGAGTGCAGTTGAAGAAAAATTTGGGCGGTTGGGCTTAATGATCGCGGGGCTGATTAGGGCTCTGTGGGGTCACTTGGAATTTTGGTTTCGTGTCAGGGTGTCACAGGCTGGACTGTATAGTTTGTTCACTATGATAAGAGGGATATCGTATTCTGAAGCTCTGTCGTTTGTTTCATGTGAAATTTGAAGAAATTGGTTGCTTGTATCAATGCTTCTTCTTCATATTGTAACTACTCGACAGTTGGCGGCCTTAAGCCCATTACCTAATCAGTTATCTTCAACAAACAAGACAAACACGTTCACATTCCATCACAGCTCTCAAGCTCCAGGCTTTTTGTTCACCATAGCCAGCCATAATGGGAACAGCAAGAGCTCGCGCTGCTCCAAGGGCACCAGCGACACCCACACAGCCTGTGGAGACGTCGCAGCACTTGCCCGACAAGACCTTCGTCATCGACAATGGCGCGTACATGATCAAGGCCGGCTACGCTTCTAATGCGTCTTCTTCCGACGAACCCATTTCCGCCTGCTCCTCGATACCCAATGCTCTCGTCAAGACCCGCGATAATAAAATTGTCATTGGCGCGCAGCTTGCGACTGTAACCGACTGGAATGAGGCGATGTTCCGGCGCCCGGTGGAGAAGGGATATATTGTAAATTGGGAGGCCGAGAGAGAGATCTGGGACCAGTCTTTCTTTGATGGGAAGCCGACGGTTCGGAACAAAAATCACCACATTGGAGAGCCGGAGAACACTACCCTTATCCTCACTGAGGCGCCGAATGCTTTGCCTATCTTACAAAAGCATACAGATGAGATGGTTATGGAGGAATGGGGCTTCGGAGGATATGCCAGGTGCTTAGGTATGAGACACCCCATTTCATAGCAATTTATATGTTTATATGGTCAGGTACTGACGGAATCATGAAGGTCCGACACTCAACGTGTGGAACGAAATTCACTCTCTCTTCGGCGATCCTATCTCCAATACTTCCGAAGCAGCCATCCTGCCCGCAGATTGCTTACTGGTCGTCGATTCTGGCTACTCGCATACCACAGTGACCCCGGTGTACAAAGGCCAGGCTCTCCAACGCGGAGTGCGCAGACTTGATCTCGGAGGCAAGCACCTTACGAACTATCTGAAAGAGATTGTGTCAATGCGACAATACAACATGGTGGATGAAACATATATCATGAACCAAGTCAAAGAGGCAGCTTGCTATATAAGCAATGACTTCTCAGGGGACCTGGAAAAAACATGGAAAGTCGGCAAAAAGCGCCAGACTGCGGCCGAGGAGGGTATTGTGGTTGATTACGTGCTTCCGAATGCGAATAAGAAGGGCTTCATGCGACCGCACGACCCCCTTCTGCAAGCCAAAAAGAAGAAGGGAGCACTTTCTGGGCTCGACGCGGAGGTGCTGTCAGAGGACGTACTGGTACTGGGCAATGAGCGCTTCTCTGTCCCGGAGCTTCTGTTCACGCCGGGAGACATCGGTATGCAGTCGGCTGGCATTCCTGATATGATTCTTCAATCTCTGTCGGTCCTGCCTACCGGCCTGCACGCTGCCTTCTTGGCGAATGTTCTTGTTGTCGGTGGAAATGCCTTGATCCCTGGGTTCATGGAACGACTGTAAGTCCTTTCGAAACGATCTTTTCGTTGAACTTCTATACTAATAATCTGACTTGTTACAGGGAGACTGAATTGCGACAAATCGCCTCTGCTGAATGTGTAGTGAGGGTGCGTCGGGCTAAAGAGTGAGTCCACGTATGTTCCTTATCCCGACTCCAATATACTGACATCTGTAATAGTCCTATTTACTCAACGTGGCTTGGAGGCACGCGCCTCGCTACCAACAGAGAGGAACTCCGGAAGGTGTCCATCACCCGCCAAGAGTATCAGGAGCACGGGTCAGGATGGGCCATTCGACGGTTCTCTGGTCTTGTATGATGTTTCAGTTACGAACATCTTCAGGGATCAGGTACCATGTTGGGAGTTTACGGAGCCAGAATCGACAGCATTTGTAGCATTAGTGATACCCTAGTTTTCAGTGTCGGTGTTTGGTTCAATATGAGTGTACGATTTCTTGAACTATTGAACTACTGAACTATCTAAAGTAGCTCACGAGGCTAGAACCTGGTAGTCTACCTGTTAGTCTACCCATGACGAGGTGATTATTCGCTCTAGTTTTGGTTCAACGATCTTCCCATTCAGGAAATTCGTAGATCCGTGGATCTACAGATGTCTACTTTTCCCTCGATTCGTGTCTCTCTTATCTTAAACCTCACTCAGACGCTTTCACTATTCTTTTCACAACTATGCAATGAACGAGATCTTCCGGGTTGGTCTTGTTGAAGACCTTTTGATACATGGCTCCCAGAAGGGCAAGCCCCCGGCATAGCCGTCATACGAGAATCAGAGGTGAACCTCCCCAGGAACAAGAAGAATAGTGTTTGCTCATCCATGGCTAAGCGTCAGATCCCTCTATGTATGGCCTGCAAGATGGGGCACGCCCTACCGTTTTACATAAAGGCATCTCCAGCCTCTCACCTGCCTTTCGAGAAGTATCTCTGCCCTCTTTCAAAGGGTCCAGTAGTCACTCCAGACTGAACTGACGCAGATTCAATGGCAAAATGCCCACCAAGCGCTCATCGATTCAGAAAGTCCTAGAGTACCTGCAACAGGTATTCAAAAAGACCGGCAACATACAAGTAGCCCTGTCAGTAACGCCGAACCCAGCGAAGCAAACCATTGAAACCGCACACATTGACAGTCCCACAGATGCACAGGATGCCTCGAAATGTTTCACATCAGAAAACTGCTAACAGTACCCTGCGGCCATAATTTCTGCTTCACCTGCAGCCACCGAATGGCCGCAACAGCCCTAAACAGCCTGGAGCTATTCCCAGCAAAATGCTGCACGCGAGAAATACCCCCCCAAGCAATCGAAGCGGCATTGAGTCCTCGAATGAGGAAGCGCTACATCTTCTGTTGGGACGAGCACAAGACCACTCCCGTAGAGCGCTTGTATTGTCCTCGCCCAAGCTGCGGGCGATGGATTCCCCTCCGCAGCCCCGGGTCTCGAATCGAAGGTGTCTTATGTCCGCACTGCGACGTGAAAATCTGCCCTCATTGTCGGGACTTTTATCATTTTGGGTGGTCTTGTGCTGAGAGCCCTGAGATGAGGATTGTGCTGGAGCTGGCGAAGGAGAATAACTGGCAGAGATGCTCGAATTGTCTTTATTTGGTTGAAAAGATCGATGGATGTAATCGCATTAGGTGTAGGTGTGGGCATCGATTTTGGTATGTGTATGGGTGTAGTACTGGAAGGGGAAGCAATGCTAATCGGAGGACCAGTTACATTTGCGGCCAACAGGGACGATGTTTATGTCCAACCAGTGGTATTGGAGATGGAATGACTATGGATGAGGATTTCAATGTCGACACATTTGTCGCTGCAATAGAGCAGGCGGAAATGACGGGTGGAGCTGGTGAATGGGCAGAGAATGACGCTTATTAGAGATTTATTTAGATTGTTCTTGTTTGACGAAGGGTAAACCAAGTTTATTTTCAGTGAATCGCAATCTACTATGATATGATATAGGAAGGGTATCTTGATCCAAATGCTTTTCCCGGTATCACAGGCGGCACTGCAATCAGTACTCATAGAAACCCTTGCCACTCTTCTTGCCGAGCCAGCCAGCATCGACCATGCGACGCAAGAGACCGGCAGGGCGATACTTGCTGTCACCAGTCTCCTGGTGGAGAACGTTCATGATGGCAAGGCAAGTGTCCAGGCCAATGAAATCAGCCAAAACGAGCGGGCCCATGGGCACATTGGTGCCGGTCTTCATGATATTGTCGATATCCTCACGGCTCCCGACGCCAGTCTCGAGACAGATCACAGCCTCGTTGAGGTAAGGCATCAGGATACGGTTGGCGAGGAAGCCAGGTGTGTCGGCGGACACAGAGGCAACCTTGCCCATGCGCTCGACAAAGGCAACGGCAGTGTCCATGGTCGCCTGCGAGGTCTGGAGAGCACGGATAATCTCCACACCCTTCTGGATGGGGACGGGGTTCATGAAGTGGGTGGAGATAACCCGGGAAGAGGCTTGGAGGTCGTTGGGGTCGGTGCTGGTGGCAGCGGCGATCTTGGTGATGGAGATGGAGGAGGTGTTGGTGGCGAGAATAGCATGCTTGGGGGCGATCTGGGCCAAGTTGGCAAAGATCTTTGTCTTCAGATCCGGAATCTCAGGGACGGCTTCAATGACGAAGTCGACCGATGAGAGGTCGTCCATCTTCAGGCTTGTGGTGAGGAGGCCACGGGCTTCATCGGCTGCCTCGCGAGTGAGACGCTGCTTGGCAACATCCTTTTCAAGGAGCTTGTCTATTTCAATATCCTGTAAGATATTTGGAGGTAATCAACGTAAAGTGGAGCTCGGCATACCGGCGAACTTGAGGCCTTTATCCAGAGACGCTTGTGAGTTGTCGATGAGTGTCACAGGGATCTTTGCCTTCTGGGCAGCGACGAGAGCAATTCCAAGACCCTAGGAGCTGTTAGATTTGCAGCGTGGTTGTGGGATTCCATGTTACACACCATTTGGCCCGCTCCGATAACACCCAGTGAGTTGACCTCGGCTGCGCGCATAGCGGTCGTGGAGCAGAAGCTCCGGACCGCCGCAGGGCCATTGCGAAGGGAAGCAAAGCGAAGAGAAGAGGCGAGCATGGCTACAATGTATTTTGGAATTATAGGAAAAGACTAAGAGCAAGGAAAGTGGAAGAAGAGGGCTGTATACTGCGGACCGCGGTGACTTCACGTGCTTCCGGACGTCATTGTCGTCGGACGGAAGAGCGGCCACCATGGTCTATGTCCCACCGCCTTTGGACCAGATAGACTCATTGGGTGCTTAGCTCCCCTCGTGATCGAATTGTCTAATATCAGCAGTAGTTGAGTCGCTGTAAGCTTATTAAATGTACTGTGTAGTATGCTTTGTGTCAATGGTTCCAATGTAGCCCTTGGCAGGGTGGGTACAACATGAAGCTATCAAGATTCTGCCAGATATTGCCGTTATGGCCGTTGATGTGCGGCGTAGGAACATCGGTTATCTTCGGTCCTTTGACGGCCACCAGTTTCTCCGAATCGCCGAGCCCGTAACACGCGTCGACGCGTTCCCATTCAACTCGATTCGGGAAGTCAATTAATGGGGTATCAAACCAGCCCACCATGGATGAAGAGGCTGTCCCTCTAGGACACGACGTTCAAGTCGTCGATCCAGACGTGCGTAACTATGTCTACGGTCTGGTTACTGCTGTGAGTTTATCCCTATTTCCTCCATGTCTGCCTCGATCCTCAATTTACTGACGCGCTCGATGTCTAGCTGGGAGGCTTCAACGGTGAAAATGCCGACCAATATGTTCTCGGAGACGATGCTCTGGCATGTTTACGCGACATTAAACGCTGGCTGAAATTGTACGATGAAAAGAACAACCGAATGGACGTCGCCCGATGCCTCGGAGAGGCCAACCTGGTCAACGGTGATCTGTTCCCGATCCTTTCGCTTTGGTGGGCTACCGGACAGAAAAGCAAGCATATGTCTAGGATTGCACTGGCATGCTTGGAGCTTCTGGTTCCATTGACATGGCCTGTCGAATTCCATAGCCAGATGACAGTCAACCACCATCGCCATACCCCCTTCATCCAACAGACACAGGTTCAGTACAAACGCGGCGCTCTCAAGTCTGGCGGAGCGAGTCTACTCCGCGCAGCTATCCGAATTGCCCTTCCAAGCATGGCGATACCCCGGTCCGAGCGTGGCGCACGAGACGAGGGAATCCTCAAGTTGTTATTGTACTTCCTCCGAAACATTGCGATAATATCCCCCAATACCAGACTTGCGGCAGAAGGCGATGAGGAGGAGACATCGAGGTCTGCAACAATAAACGCTTTCCACGAGCAAGATGCATTTGCACTCCTCTTGACCATGTGTTCGAATGTCGGGGATGATTTCAATCTCCAGGATATCCCCCTGATGGAGACACTCTTCCATCTTGTAAAGGGTGTCAATGTGGAAAAGTTGTTTATGGACGACGAGCAAAGAATAAACAGGCGGACGGACGAACTCAAGGATTTATTGAACAAAGAGTCGATGGTACGGAGAGAATACGCAAAGAATGCGCCTACACGCCATGGAAGATTCGGTACAATGATCTGGGTCAAGCGAGACGACGCCAAGATGTCCACTGTCTCTGGACAGAGCGTTTTACGAGATGACCAGACCACCCTTCAAAAGATGGACGAGAGCAAGAAATGGAATAAACCTCGACCCCGCCGCAAGCAAGAAAATGAGGCTCAAAACATCAACTTCAACATGCCCGCTCATCTTAATTCCGAGGCGACGCGGAATTTGCGGACCTTCGTGGAGGAGTTCCTTGACTCCGGGTTCAATCCGCTCTTTACTCATGTGCGGAGAGCGATCGAGCGCGAAGCCGAGCGAGTGTTAGAGATCAACACCCGTCAATTCTTTTACACAGTCGGTTGGTTCCTGGAAGCAGAGCGTGTGCGTCGGGCTCGACAGCTCCGCCAGCGCAATGCTCAGAAGGAAGGAAGGACCAAGGAGATTGAACCAGACAGCTATGGTCTAGTTGCTGGCGTGCTCAACCAAGAGACCTTCATTGCTCTGAACCGGGCCATGCAGAGTAGCCTAGACAACAAGGACTGGGAAGACCTGAATGCGCAGATGCGCTGCTTCACGCAAATCCTGTTGACCGTCCAGGAAATGGCGGCCTCGCCGCTCGAGGAAGATCAGGAAATTGCGGAAAATATTCAAAACCGCATTTTCTACGAAGAAACGACCCATGACCGAATCATTTTCATCTTGCGAGGATATAAAGACCAAGGATTTGGCTATCTAGATGCCTGCACCGAGCTGGCACATGTGTTCCTGCGAATGCTGGAGCGGTATTCCAAAGACAATGCCGACATGCAAATTCGCTCTCGGCGAAAGGCCAAGCGGAAGCAAAAGAAGGCCGCGGAAGCCGAGCAAGGAGGAGCAAATGATGACGAGGAGCGCAATTCCGAGGACGAAGATATAGAGGAGGCTGCCCAAGTCACCAGGGAGCGCAATTTTGACTTCAAGCGTTTTGCCGCCAAGTTTTGTAACCAAGCCTGCGTGGATACCTTTGTCGCATTCACTGCTTTCTATAAAGAACTTAACGCCGAGCAGCTCAAACGGGCCCACCGTTACTTCTACCGGATTGCTTTCAAGCAGGAGATGACTGTCTTGCTGTTTCGGGTTGATATTATCAACCTTTTCTATCGAATGATCAAGGGGCCGGGACCTATGGACTCAAGCAAGCCCGTGTTCAAGGAGTGGGAGGAACTGGTTCGTCAAATCATTCGGCGACTGATCAAGAAACTGGATCAGCGTCCTGCTTTGATTACCGAACTGCTGTTCAGCAAGATCAACTCTACTGTTTACTATCTTGAGTATGGACATGAGAAGCAAACCATCGGCACCTCCAAGCGTCCTCCGCCAGAGCTTGTGATTACATCACCAGAGGCGGATACGAAGGAAGCGAAGCTCCAAATTGTGATCGGTGCTCTTGTCCTCGATGGAAGAGCGGATTTGGTAAACTGGATCAAAGATATTTTGACCTCCGCAGCCTCTGAAAGAGACGACTGGGAAACCCAAGAAGAAGCCCGTCGCGCTGAAGACCCCGAGCATGTCAGCGCTCCTAATCCAATGATCAGTATGTTAGCTCGATATTCCCACCCTAAGCAGTACTAACAAATGAAAATAGCTGTCAAGGGCAAGAACGAGTTTGTCCAGAACGCCATGTTCGCTAACGCAAAGCTGCGTCTGCTCATGACTGTCGTCGGGTTCGAACGACTGGGCGTCGAAGATGTGCCTGGTGCCGCTTGGGTTGTTCCAGCGTCCCTCAAGGCCGACGACTTGCGCGAAACAGTTTCGGAAATGGAAAAGATCGTCCAAAACCCAATCACCAATGACGACGACGATCCCCGCACGCATCTCAAGCCGAAAAACAGAGACACCGGACGTGCTGCCCAAACCACACTTGATGTCAACTTCGGATCAGACTCTGAAGGCGAGGACGTCCCGGATGGCCCTCTATTCCCGGCGAATCCGCGGTCTAAGTCAAGTGCTCTGGATGATCTCAAGAAGAAACGCAAGAAGAAGCAGAGAGCCCCCACGGAGAGGGAGCCGCTGGACGACGAAACCCTGGAAGAGCGGCGCAATGCTCGACTTGCGAATGCTCTGTCTCGGCAAGCGAAGATTAAAAGTGACCTGTTCATTCACGCCAGTGACGATGAGACCGACGAAGAGGCCGACAAGGAATTCTTCCGCCTCGAGGAAGAACGGCGCAAGAAACAGGCGCATGAAGTCAAGAAGGCCTTGCTCACCGGAACTGCCGAACAATCAAGCAAGACCAAAGGCAAGAAATCTGCTGCCCGCAAGCGAACCAGTGACACTGGCACTTCAGCGGCAAAATCAAAGCGACAACGCCGTGATTCGAGTGCTTCTTCTAGTGGCATTGAGAGTGATGCCGACGGGGACATCCTCATGGCGGAACTAGACGCTCAGTCTGCTCACTCCCAGCAAGAGGCCTCGACTAGCCATGGTGCCGGGGAGGATGGAGATACCCCTCTCACAGATGACGACGATCTTTCCTTCGATGATGATTTCGCCTTCTTGCGGGAGAGCAATACTAAGGCTCCTCAGCCCGTGGCTGGAGATGATGACGAGGAGGACGCACCCGTGGCCCCGGCCCGAAGACGCATTCGTGGTGGGTTCGTGATCGACAGTGATTCTGAATAGTGTTATCACTTCGATCTTTGTAATATGTTTATGACTTTATGAGGCGTCTGGCATTGCGATTGGATGGGAGATGTGATACATCATACTTAGGCCCAATGAGAACAAATTTATGACTCACAATCCCTGTCCTGCCCAGGTGGGAATAGTTAGCTGCGAAGATAAGCAATAAGAAGCAATACGAGCTTCCCCGCGTCTATGCCCGGCCTCCACCTTCATCTGCCCTGAGCACACCCTCATTCCTCTTTCACCCAGCTTCTTCTTCATTCCAACAATCACAACCGTGAAAATGCCACCAAACAGCAAAACTCTCACCGCATCATGCCACTGTAAAGCCACCCACTTCACCTTAACCCTTCCCGCGAACGCCCTCCCCCTCAAAGTCCACATCTGCCACTGTTCCGTCTGTCGCTATACCCACGGCACACCATGCATCTTCCACGCCCCACTCCCAGCAGGCATTGCACCGCAATTCATCGCCCCGTCCAGCATGGACAATCTGACAGCCTATGCCCACGCTGAGTCTCAGAGCACACGGTATTTCTGCAGTACCTGTGGCTGTCAGATCGGGGACAAAGGACACGACGATGGCAACTGGGTGGTCTCTACTTCTATATTCACCGAGCCGAACGACGGCCTGTGGGAGATGCGATCCAATGTATTTACGGACTCTTCGGCAGACGGAGGTCTTTCGGCGATGGTTTCGTGTATTGATAATCGCCAGCTTAAAATCTGGAATCCGGAGACATCGTCTGATACCAAGGCTGCTGAAAGGGACGAAACAAATGCAAGTGAAGGCTTGTCTGAAGAGTTACGCGCTGAATGTCACTGCGGTGGAGTTCAATTCTCTATTTCCCGTCCTAGCAAAGAATTCCTCGCTAGTCCTGCGAGCAAAGGGTGGGTTCTCGAGCAGGATACAAGCAAGTGGCTTGCATGTCTTGATCTATGTGGTGACTGCCGTTTGGTGAATGGGTCAAATGTTGTAGGTTGGTTGTTCGTTTCGAAAGATCATATATCACCTCTGCCACCGGCGGATTTGATTGTCGGGTCTTCGAAGGGTTACAAATCTAGTGAGGGTGTGTTGCGGACATTCTGTGGGACGTGTGGTGCTACGGTGTTTTATAGCTGTGATGAGCGGCCGGATATTGTTGATGTGGCGGTTGGGATTCTGCGTGGCTCCAAGGGGATCATGGTTGAGGATTGGGCTTTGTGGAGGGCTGGGAGGATTGCTGGGGCGAATGATGGGTTGGAGTATGATCCTGGATTTACTAGAGCATTGATTGAGGGGATGAAGGTATGGGGGGAGGGAGAAGGGGATGCCTGAGGATTATGTTATAAATTAGGGCTAACTCATTAACTAATGTGACTCACTGCCCACTGCGTTGGTTCAATCTAGTCCTCAATCCAATCCATCAAGTCAGTCGGGTCTACTCCAACGAGTGACTCAAAGCCCAAAAGCGGGGCAGTCAGCATATAAGAACCTGCTCTCCCGTCAATCCCGCAACTTCTATACAACCCTCATCTACCAAAATGACTCACCTCAACTTCGTCACCCTTGATGTCTTCACATCAACCCCCTACTCGGGCAACCCACTAGCAGTAGTCTTCCTCGAAGACACCGCTCTAACCCAGTCTCAAAAGCAAACCATCGCCCGTGAATTCAATTTCTCAGAGACAATCTTCGTCCACCCAGTAAACGACAAGACCAAACGCACAATCGACATCTTCACCACAAAGCACGAAATCCCCTTCGCCGGCCACCCAACCATCGGCGCAGCCACCTGGTTCCTGCACCACTCAACAAACCCCGCCGACAGCAGCAATGTCACAACACTAACTACCAAGTCGGGAGACATCCCGATCAGGGCAAATAGCTCGGACAAGACCGTCGCCGCGAAGATCGCGCACAACACGCGCATCCATGCCGCGCGATTCAGCCTGTCTGAACTACTGCGTCTGCATCCTAGTCTTGCGCCGTTTGTCCGGGAAGATGCTACTTTCCCTGTTTTCTCTGTTGTTAATGGGATGAGTCAGGTGTTTGTTGAGCTTCCGTCGCTGGAGGCGTTGGGTGCTGTTGCGCTTGCTAGTGGTGGGGAGCTGGTTTCTGATCAATACCTTGATGAGGGGTGGAGGAATGGTCTTATCTGTCTGTACTTCTTTGTTAGGGGGTGGAGGATAGTGTCTTGAAGAAGAAGGTTATCCGGTCGAGGATGTTGTTGGGGACTTTGGAGGATCCGGCTACTGGGAGTGCGGCGAGTGGGCTTGCGTCTTATTTGTCGCTTAAGGAGGGGGAGCCGGTGAGAGGGTTGACTATCATGTTGTGCAGGGGGTTGAGATGGGGAGGAGGAGTGATATTGAGATTGAGGTTACTTTAGATGGGGGAAGGGGAATTCAAGAGGTTGTCTTGACGGGCACTGCTGTTACTGTCTCCGAGGGGAAAGTGTTGATTCCTCAGGTTTGAGGAGATACGTACAGAGAAATGGATCATAATGGAATGGTTTCTGAGTATCTCAAGTCTGAGTCCAACGCTATACTTCCAATACATGACTAGAATGATACTGCCACCATCTCATCCTCACCAAGGCTGAACCGGCGTCAAATATTCCCTCACCACCTTCCCAGCATCCTCATCCCGCTTTCCCTCCACAACACGACGAATAGCCTCACCACCGAGTTTAGGATCCCCCGCCCCCAGCTTCTTCAACAACTCCGTGTTCCCTCCAAGAGAGGTCGCCAGCAAACCAGGAGCAATCGACCAGACCTTCACTCCATCGTTCTTCAGCAATTTGGACCATTCTATCATCAACATGTTAAGTCCCGCCTTGGCTGACCTATAGCTCATAAATGGGAACGCCTTGGGTAGTCCAGCCGGTGCAAAAACATTCTTTGGATTGCTCGGGTCGGCAGCCCCCTCCAAAGAGGACAGGCCGCTGGTAATGAACAGCAGCCGGGGGTCTTGCGACTTGAGCAGCAGCGGAAGGAACTTGACGGTCATCAGGTGTGCGCCTGCGACGTTTACATCCCAGCTTTTGTTCCATGCTTGGCGGGCTGTCATGCTTTGGTCAATGTAGGCATCAAAAGCGGCGCCTGGATTGGTCAGTTGGCTGGATTGTGATGGTTGAAAATTTTGTGGGACAAACCGGCGTTGTTGATCAGGCAGTCGACTCTGTCGTACTTTGCTGCGATTTGTGCGAATGCTGCATCGATTGATTCGTCACTCTCGACGTCCACCAGGAATGGCTCCACGGTACTTTGTGTTGCTATGGTGGCAAGACTTTGACAGGCGACCTGGCCTTTTTCCTCATTGCGACTGCCGAGTAGGATGTGGTATTTCTGATCGGATTGGCAGAGTGCTTTCACAGTCTCCAACCCGATTCCGGTGTTTGCACCTGGAGAGAAGTTAACACTGGGGATTATATTGTTCGAGGTCTACTAACCGGTAATGACGACGATCTTGGAATCCATGGTCAACTGTCGAACTTGCTATCGTACTTGAGTCTAACAGGGAGGGCTATTGTCAGGCAACCTATATAATTGCCTAACCAAGTGAGTTGTTAATTTTGGTGATGCTGATGCTCTGCCCCAGGGCGACTCGATGGAACTATAAAGTATCTCCGAGGGACCGTGCCCCGTAGTCCGGGGGCCGGGAGTGCAATGCGGAGATAAACAATAACTCCGGACTATGGCCTCCGGACTACGGCCTCCGGACCGCCAGACTGATCTATATAATCCTGAGTGATAGTTATCATCTCCGTGCTTCATCCTACCAACTGATTGATTCACGAACCAACAACATGAGCGAAATCCTCGTTATCACTTGCCCAGGCGGCAAACAATGCAGTCGCATGATTCCTCTGCTATACAACAAAGGCAAATTCCGCCTCCGACTAGCCGCACACTCTGCAGCATCAGCCGAAAAGCTACAAAACACCTACCCGGATGCGGAGATAGTCCAAGCCGATCTCCAGTCGTTGTCCGACTGCCGCAGTCTTCTACAAGGCGCGACAGCCATCAACGCCGTTCTACCGAGCTTGCACAGCCACGAGAAAGAAATCGGCTTCAATCTCGTCGACGCGGCAGTGGCAGAGTCACGCCGCGAAGGAAACGTCTTCAAACATTTCGTTCTGTCGAGCGTACTAGGCACACAGCACCGAAGTCTTCTCCAGCACGATCTAAAAAGCTACGTTGAAGAGAGACTATTCCTCAGTCCATTGGATAACTGGACAATCCTCAAGCCCGGAAATGTCAGACTCACTCATCCATTGCAAAAAGTAATTATTTGCTAACCGCAGCCACAGTTCCTGGACGCCTACCCCGTCGCTGCCCTCGCCTCGCAAGACCACCCCGTTCTGGAAAAATGGTGGAAACCGGAACACGCAAACAGTGTTATTGCCCTCGATGATCTCGCCGCTGCATCGGCGAAGGTCCTCAACGAGCGCGAGAAACACTACCTGGCCGAGTATCCGCTCGTGTCAACGATGCCGATCTCCGAGACGGACATTATCAAAATCATCGAGAAGCGGATCGGAAAGAGTATTGAGTTGAAGACACCTAGTTTCGATACGGGAGTCGCGAAACTCATCGATGCTCTGTATGGGGGCCCTGAGAAGGGAGAGGGTGAGATTGGACTCGGTCGATGCAGTCCTGGTGATCTGCGTGGTGACCTTGTGCGGGATACCGTTGAGAATTTGATCATGTTCTACAATAAGCGTGGACTGAAGGGAAGTCCGAATGTGTTGAGGATGGTGTTGGGTCGTGAGCCGACTACGGTTGAGGCTTGGGTTGACGGTGTTGCTACGAAGGCTGGGTTTTAGGGTTCGTGTTTAGTTAGAGGGATCTACCTACAGCTCAGTATTGAAATTATTCTCTATTATGACAAGTAGGTAAAGGATGATTCGTCGTTTTTGAGACATGGTCATAGCAGCTGTTGCAAGGTAGCCAACTGGCCAGTAGGGTAGAGTCTGCCAACTGGTCAACTAGGATAGAGACAAGGTGAGTGTACGGAAAGAATCGGAGTATTATAAGACACATGTATCAATTTTAGGTAATTTCCGGCGTTTAACTATTGTCCTCCTTTCTCGGTCTTATGTTTACTACCGACTTGCCTTGGAATCTCGCATATTCAACCAACTCCAAGGCTGCCGGCTGTGTAAGTAGGCAGAGAATTTGGTAGAAAAAGGTCTATGCAGGGAGAGCATCAGCCCACTCTAGTAAGTCCACCAATCACTTTGCAGGTTTTGTAACGACAACTCGTATCATCAGAGCATCTCGGAGTAACTAATTCTCTGCTTATTCCCATTGTCATGGGGGCCGGATAATCCTCGGGGGCCAAACATCCCGAGCTTAACCGATTTAGGAAACCAAACCCTAAGAAACCTGCAGAGGATCGACAATCAGCTGCAGAAGTCTGGAGTTGTATTTCCTGAAACCCACATTGGTCCTGTAGCTCATCTATCGGGCTAATTATGCAGAGTAGTGCGGCTGAGGGGTTAATTTAAGGCCCCCATGAGCATCAGATTGAAGCTAATCTCGAAGCTAGACCCATCCCACGTCGGTCATTCTGTGACAGTCAGCATAACCGGAGTATCCACAGATCCAAACTAAGACAGCAGACATAGTAACAGCTTCGATGTAATTGGCAATAGACGCACTTGGCAACCAAGTTATATATGCTCTTGGTCCCTATTTCACAGCCGTAAGCAACATAGACAAAGAGCAGAGTTCGATTTATTCAAGGTTCAACATAGATCTGTACAATATTCAACACTGCACGTTCCTGTCACACGACGCTCGAGTCAACCACAGAGCTCACAAGAACCCCAACATGGCTGAATCAAAGCCCAACACCCTTACCCTCATTTTCGGGCCCCAGGATCCCGACATCGACGCCAAACATCTCGACAGCCTTCGAACAACGTTATTGGAAACACCCCATCTTCAATGGATTGTGGATCTCTTAACAAAACTACCGCAAGAATGGTCGACAATCGCCGCCGCCCACACCGAGCTCCAGGCCTTCCAGGGCCCGAAGTATCTCCAGCTACTCAGTGAGTGGGTTCGACGGGGCGTACTACCAGACAGCTTGTTCCCCCTGCCCAATATCTTGGTTACACCGCTAGTTGTCGCCACGCAGTTGGCACAATACACCAAATTTTTGGAGCAGATCAAGCCGGGGATCACCCGAGACGATTCTCTGAAGGCGGCACTGAAGATCAATGCTGAGACAGCGGGTCTTTGCACTGGTCTTTTGAGCAGTGCTGCTGTCGCCAGTTCCGGAAATCTTTCAGAGCTCGAACAGCATGGTGGTGCTGCTATCCGAATGGCAATTGCAATTGGCGCATTGGTCGATGCCGGAGACTCGGAAGTTGAAGATGGTGATAAATGGCAGTCTCTTGCTGTTGGGTGGACGGCCCAATCAGTGGAGGAGAAATTGCACAGCATCGTGGAGAGCTTCCCGGAGGTATGTGAAGATTTGATATTCCGAGATATTGCAACCGAACCTAACTGACAAAAACAGGCATACATCTCTGTCATTTCAGAAGCCCGTCTAGCGACTCTCACCGTTCTGAAGGTTGATGCAGACAAGATCCAAGAGCAGTTGAAAGACGCCGGCCTGATTTTCACAAACACAACACTCCGCGGACCCTTTCACTGCGGACGTCGCAGTGAGCAGGCCACAGCTCTCCTGGGCCTCTTTGATTCGGAGCCTGCTTTCCATTTCCCGGCCACCTCCCAGCTCGCCTTCAAGACACGAGCAGCCGATGGCTCAGTGCTTCCGGCGGATGAAAAGCTTCATCAGGTGGCGGCCCGCGCGATGCTCACAGAGCGGGCGGACTGGCACACGCTGTTCACGACGCTGCATGAGTCAACCTCTTTGGCGGTAACATTTGGCAGCCAGCGTTTTGTGCCCCAATGGTTCCTCCGCAAGCTTAGCCCTAGGTTGTCGCATGCCTCCGACCTTGATCTCCAGGCAGGCACCTTCCCTGCCCCATTGTACGCTCTTCTGGACTCCGCCCAAGACCATTCCATTGCCGTTGTCGGCATGGCATGCCACTTCCCTGGCGGCAGTGACTTGGATGAGTTCTGGCAGACCATCTGTGCCGGAGAGTCACAGGCGCGCGAGGTTTCAGCGGACAGAGTCAACTTCGAATACTCAGCTTGGCGCGACAGCAATCCGAAGCGGAAGTGGTACGGAAACTTCGTGGAAGACCACGATACCTTCGACCACAAATTCTTCCAGAAGAGTCCACGCGAGGTTGTGTCAACGGATCCCCAGCACAGACTGATGTTGCAGGTTGCCTACCAGGCAGTCCAACAGTCGGGATACTTCAACAAAGTGAACTCAACTCGACATGTTGGCTGCTACGTCGGAATCGGTGTGACCGACTATGAGAACAATGTTGCTTGCTACGAGCCCACCGCATACACTGCAACTGGAAACCTCAAGTCTTTCGCCGCTGGTAAAATCAGCCACTTCTTTGGCTGGAGTGGACCCGGCGTGACAATTGATACGGCCTGTTCTTCCTCTGCTCTGGCGGTGCACCACGCCTGCACGGCAATTTTGAGCGGTGAATGCGATGCTTCGCTTGCTGGCGGTGTCAACATTATGACCAGCCCCGAATGGTACCAGAACCTCGATGGTGCATCTTTCCTCAGCCCAAGCGGACAGTGCAAGCCATTTGATGCCGCTGCAGATGGTTATTGCAGAGGAGAGGGCGCAGGCGCCGTTTTCCTGAAGAAATTGTCATCCGCCATTCAGGATGGTGACCAGATCCTCGGTATTATCAGGGGCTCCAGTGTGAACCAAAACGAGAACTGTTCTGCTATCACTGCGCCGAGTGTCTTGTCGCTCGGAAACGTTTTCAGCAGCGTCCTGAAGAAAGCCAGACTCGATCCCAAGCAGATCTCTGTGGTCGAGGCACACGGCACGGGAACGCAAGTCGGCGACAAGGCCGAATACGACAGTGTGCGCAAGACATTGGGTGGACCTGGTCGGTCTCAGCCTTTGAATCTCGGTTCAGTCAAGGGTCTCATTGGTCACCTTGAATGTGGCTCTGGCATTGCTGCATTGATCAAAGTGCTGTTGATGATCCAACACGGCACTATTCCTCCCCAGCCTGGATTCAAGTCTATGAATCCAAAACTCAAGGCTTTGCCGTCGGACAACATTGACATCTCCAAGACTCTCAAGCCATGGGAAGCAGACTTCCGTGCAGCACTCTTGAACAACTACGGTGCCTCTGGCTCAAACGCCTCGCTCATCGTGACTCAGGCAAACCAAATCACACGAGACATTGAAGCCTACGAGACCACTGCTGCATACAAGCGACCCTTCTGGTTCTCTGCCCTGGATAACCAATCTCTGCGCACCTATGCAACCAAGATGGTCAAACTACTCCGATCGAGGAAGGCAGATGACCCCTCCTTCTCGATTGCCAATCTGTCTTACCAATTGGCCCACCAGTCCAACCGTTCCCTTGCAGAGTCACTGATCTTCAGTTGTGCCTCAGTTGACGACCTCGAGGCGAAACTCGCCAATTTCGCTGACGGGCTTGGCGAACTGGCTTCCACAACTGGAAAGCAGGCACCGAGACCGGTCATTCTCACCTTTGGCGGCCAGCGCTCTAACTTTGTTGGTCTTGACCGCGAAGCTTATGAGTATTTCCCCATCTTGCGATCCCATCTAGACCAATGCCACGAGATCTCTCTATCACTCGGACTCGGCGGAATTGTACCGGCCATCTTTGAGCGGACGCCCAGAGCAAGCATCGTGGAACTGCAGACAATGCAGTTTGCTCTCCAGTACTCTTGCGCAAAGAGCTGGATTGAGAGTGGCGTGCAAGTTGCCGCACTCGTGGGCCACAGCCTCGGCGAGCTCACCGCGATGTGTGTCTCGGGAATTCTGTCGCTTGAGGACGCTTTGAAGGTGATTGCACAGCGAGCCCAGCTCATTGAAGACAAGTGGAGCACAGAGAGAGGCTGTATGTTGGCTGTCGACGGCGAATTGGAGAGCGTCCAGCACCTGCTGCAGCTTGTCAATGCCACTTCCTCAGTTCCCGTCAACATCGCCTGCTTCAATGGTCCTCGCAACTTTACTCTGGCCGGCACACCTTCTGCAATGGAGCTTGTCAAGGAGACCCTTTCTACCAATGCCGCGCTGTCCAGCATTAAGACAAAGGCCCTTGATACCACCCACGCCTTCCACTCCATCTTGGTAGATGGTCTCATTCCCGACCTCGAGAAACTGGGACAGGAGGTGATCTTCCGCAAGCCAACTCTCTACCTCGAGCGAGCCACTCGAGAGAGCGCCACCAGCCCACCACCATTCACGGTCTTTGCTTCTCACATGCGTGACCCCGTCTACTTTGACAAAGCTGTGCAGCGTCTCGCAGACCAACACCCCTCGAGCATCTGGCTTGAGGCAGGCTCAGGCTCGGGAGTGACCGCTCTTGCCAGCAAATCGGCTGGATCCCAGAACATGATCTTCCAGCCCATCAACATCACCAGCTCAGGAGCTGTCCAGAACATCACCGATGCAACAATCAACCTTTGGAAGGCAGGGCTCAACATCTCCTTCTGGGAACATGTCAAGCCAGCTGTTACCTGCCCCCTTCTTTTGCTGCCACCCTACCAGTTCGCTAAGTCCAAGCATTGGCTGGATCGCCGCAAACCCGAGGTTAAGCAGGTCGAGTCGATTGTGCAGGTCCCCACGATGCGCACTGGGATGTGGTCGTTCGTCGGCTACCATGATTCTACCAAGGCACAAGCACGATTCCAGGTCCACACCGAATCGGAGGAGTTCCAGGCTTACGTTGGCGCCCACTTCATCGCGCAAACGGCAGCTATTTGTCCCAGTATGGTGCAGCAGGTCATCGCTCGTGATGCACTGACTACTCTGGTTGATGAAGCCGGACTGCTCCCGGGCCTTGAGAACATGGAAAGCGAATCTCCATTGTGTCTGGGCGGATCGAAGCAAGTCTGGCTCGATGCTGAGAGGGTCAATGACAGCCCTCTTACCTGGGACTTCCACATTACCAGCACAGAGCACTCGAGTGAGGTCACACAACACGTTTCGGGACGCATTGTCTTCCGCTCTCATGAAGATGCTGCCCGCACTTTCGACACCTATGAGCGCCTGGTTGACCACAAGCGCGCTCTGGCTCTGCTTGACGGAGATGAGTCCGATCAGGTTATCAAGGGAAGTCGGAATATCTACAAGGTGTTCTCCCCTGTGGTTCAGTACAACAAGGACAGTTACAAGGGGCTGCAGAAGCTGGCGGCTGCTGGTAATGAGTCTGCGGGACGCATTGTCAAGCAGGATTCCGCGGAGACTATCCTCAGCGTTGGACTTGGTGATACCTTCTGTCAGGTGGCTGGCATCTACCTGAACTGCATGACTGACACCGATGACGGAAAGATGTATCTGTCCAATCGGGTTGACAAGTGGATTCGTTCGCCTAGCTTCCCGGCTGATGCGCGACCAGAGCGATGGGATGTTTATGCGCGCCACCAGCAGTCACCCAAGGCGTACCTCAGCGACATCTTTGTGTTTGATGCAGAAAGCGGCAAGCTTGTTTGGGTCGTTCTGGGGCTTCAATTTGTTGAAGTGTCGATTGCTGGCATGTCCCGGCTCCTGTCCAAATTGACTGGTGCTCAGCCAATGCAGCCGGCAGTTTCGACCACCCCAGCTGTACCAGAGGTGCCTCTGTTCAAACCGACCGCCAAGGAGGAGGTCAAGGTTCCCGAGACCAAGATCTCCAAGCCAACCAGTCTGCCTGCAATCAGCAAGAAGCCAACTGTCAAGAAAGACGAAGGCGCCGACGTGCTCGCTGGAGTCCGGAGTCTTTTCATCAACCTGCTGGGTCTCGAGGCCGACGAGATCCAACTCACTTCAGACCTTGTCGAGCTTGGAATCGACTCGCTACTTGCCATGGAGGTTGCTCGCGAGGTGGAGAAGAAGTTCAACATCAAGTTCGAGCTCGATGAACTTATGGACATGACAGACGTGCGGAGCTTGGTCAATGGTATCCGGGCCAACATGGGAGCATCTGACGCCTCCTCTACAACTGAGGAAGACAGCAGCGACGAAGCTGCCACCAGCTCCTCTGTGAGCGACACCATGATGACTCCAGCCGCTGACGCCCATGGCGAAACCAATGGATACTTCAAGAAGACCGACACACAGCTGCAAGCAAACACGATTGTCGACCTCTTCACCAAGACCAAGCTCCTCACAGACCACTTCATCGAACAGAATCAACTCTCTGGATACTCCAACCACGTCCAGCCGAAGTTGACTGAGCTCGTTGTCGTCTATACGTTGGATGCGCTTGACGAGATGGGATGCTCTATCCGCTCGGCCCAAGCTGGTGAAGTGATCCCACAAATTCCACACCTTCCCAAGCACGACAAGGTCATGGCCGTTCTGCGTCGCTTGTTGCACGAGGCACGTCTTGTGGATGTCGAGGGTACCACATTAATTCGCACGTCCGTTCCTGTCCCATTTAAATCTGCCAGCAAGATCCTTCAAGAGCTCCTTCACGAGTACCCTGAGCACTACTACGACCACATGCTCACCAGCTTGACTGGAACCAAATTGGCAGATTGCTTGACCGGCAAGACCGAAGGCATCCAGCTGCTGTTCGGTTCTGCCGAGGGACGAGAGCTCGCAGGCGGCATGTATGGGAAGTCCCCCATCAACGTGGCCTGGCTGCGCCAGCTCGAGCATTTCTGGGAGCAGTTGATGGCCAACCTCCCCCAGAATTCCGACGAGCCAATCCGAATTCTGGAGATGGGTGCTGGTACCGGAGGCACGACTGCAGGATTGCTGCCACTTCTCGCTCGCTCGGGCGTGTCTGTCAACTACACCGCCAGCGACATCTCACCATCACTGGTCGCTGGACTCCGCAAGCGCTTCAGGGAATACCCCTGGATGCGATTCGAGGTTCTCGACATTGAGAAAGAAGCCCCTGCAAAGCTCCTCGAAAGCCAACACATCGTCCTTGCAACAAACTGTGTCCATGCAACCCACAGTCTGGCGAATACAACCAAGAACATTCACAAGATGCTTCGCCCCGACGGATTCCTCATCATGCTAGAGATGACCGAGGCAGTCCCTTGGGTTGACTCGGTCTTCGGCTTGGTCGAAGGCTGGTGGCTCTTCGACGACGGCCGCGACCACGCCCTCGCCCAACCAGAGTTCTGGCAAAAGACACTGCACCGCAACGGATACGGCCACGTCGACTGGACCGACGGCCATCTACCCGAGAACTCCATCCAGCGAATCATTATCGCGCTCGCCTCTCCTCAGAGTCACAGCCGGGTATCTACTCTCCCCCCCGCTATTTCAAAGATCCCGGCTGACTTTTCTGCCCGCAAAACAGTAACCGACTCGCTCGTCCAAAAACACACCAGCGACTTTGCCGCCCCGGTCTCCCGCTCGATTGATGAAAGCCTCTCGCGCTGTGTGCTGGTCACAGGCGCGACCGGCTGTCTAGGGTCACACATTGTGGCGCATCTCGCCGAGCAGCCGGACGTCCGCAAAGTCATCTGTCTGAACCGGGTGAGCAGTTCAGACGCAACGACTCGACAGCACGAGGCTCTGCACTCCAGAGACCTCTTGCTCAATGACAACATTTTGAAATTGGATATTATAGAAACAGACTCATCAGCCCCATCTCTCGGTCTTGATCGCAAAGACTACCAGTACCTCGTCAACAACGTGACGGATATCATTCACAACGCATGGGCCATGAGCATGACGCGTCCTGTGCGCGGATTCGAGCCCCAGTTCAAAGCCATGCGCAATCTCATCAATCTTGCCCGTGACTGCGCCTCTGAAGGCCGCCAAGTCGGGTTCCAGTTCGTCTCCTCTGTCTCCGTCGTGGGCTGCCATCCTTTCTTGACTGGCCAAGCACGAGTTCCGGAGGAGAGAGTCGATGTCAGGTCTGCGTTGCCGATGGGATACGCAGATGCAAAGCTTGTTTGCGAGCATATGCTTGACGAGACTCTGCATCGATACCCTGATTTCTTCCGCCCGACCGCTGTGCGCATAGGCCAGATCTCCGGGTCAAAGGTCACCGGGGACTGGAATCCAGTGGAACATCTTGTACACTTGTTCAAGTCATCACAGACGCTCGGGGTGTTCCCTGATCTACAGGGGGTATGTTATATTCTCACTCCATTCTCCATTTACTCGTTCTAACTGGTATACAGGTTCTATCTTGGTGTCCCGTCAACGACGTCGCCTCAACACTGGGTGATCTCCTCCTGGCCAAGCAGACTGCTTACCCAATCTATCACATTGAGAACCCAGTGCGGCAGCCGTGGCCTAAGATGGTGACTATTCTTGCAGATGCACTTGGTATCTCACAAGACAATGTCGTTCCTTATGGCGAATGGCTGCGTCGTGTGCGACAATTCCCGCCTAGCATGATGTCTGAGAACCCGGCAGCGAGGCTGGCCGACTTCTTTGAGACGGACTTCCTGCGTATGTCTTGTGGTGGGATGATTCTGGATACGACTCGCACTAAGGAGCATTCTGAGAGGTTCAGGGAGTTGGGACCGATTGATAGGGCTTTGGTTATGAAGTATATTCAGGCGTGGAAGGAGTCTAAGTTCTTGCGTTCTTGATTTTGGTGTCTATCAATTGGTCTTTTGGTGCGAATATGGGGGCGTTGTCTGCTGTTTCCTGTTTAGGTGTTCGGATTTTCGGATATTTCCTTGATTCTCAGCTAGCTCACTTCAATATAAATTATTTCGGTTTATGATTGAGTCAATATCGTCACAATAAAGTAGGTAGAGAGTGGAAGAAGAAGAAAAAAAAGCTTGTAGAGGGCTGTTGTGGTGGTGCAAGCAAGGAAGGTCTCGATAAAAATGACTCCATTGATCCAAAGCATGGACTTCAAAAAGGACTATGAGAAACTCCAATATCTATCTTTGCATCGCCGGAAAGAAAAATCATTATTTTTGCTCGATGTGGCTCACTTTCTATGGATGTCAATGTTGCTATCAGGAGATGCCGCTTACAAGGGCACAGACAAAGATGGATGACTGTTCATTTAAAAGCATAGCTGATATCTATAAAACCACCGCAGGGGGTATCTGTCGTAACGCTGAAAGCAATGCTGAAAGGCAAACTATGCATGCAAGCCCCTGAATACATTGCCATGCAAGATGTTTGGGAATTGCCAACTGGTCAATGATCACCAACTGGCCAAATCACCGCCAACTGGTCAACCATTACCAACTGGTCAATCCCTTGGCTAGGTCAAAACCTCCTCGCAACTGCGACTCGGGATGAACAACCTTCCCCTCCAGAATGGTGTACTTCACAATCCCCTCACAGTGCTCAGGCTTAACCCTAGCCAGCCAGATCATCTGCTGCTCTTTCTTCCGATAGATAAGCACATTCGCCGAGAACTTGTGCCCACCGACATGAGAGACGAAGTAAATGCCCACACCTCCAGGGCGCTCATCATCCATGTCGCGGTAAAGATCATGTCCACGTAGGTGTCGCTCCATTTCCTTTTTGATCAACGGGGCGGTGATTCCACAGCGCGCATCGCGATGTTTATGCGAGCAGAGCAGAACGACGTAATCATGGAAGCAAGGGCGGGACTTCAGACGCGGACTGCTGATAGACTGCGCGGGAGTGCCAATAGGCACATCAACAAATGTCTCGACGACGTGTTGGGCATCACCGTAGGCAACTTCGTCAACGAAGATAAATGACGGCAGAAGGAGAATGGTTGTCTTGGAGGTCTCGGGGATTTCGCCATTGGGTGGGTTGAGGTTGGATGCAGAAATCATGATGCGCTGCCCAGGATTAGTATATTTCCCAGCGGACTGCATAGAATGTACATACCCCATGTTTAGATTTCCCATTTTTGAACGCTTCCATCAGGCTCCCACTCTCTTGCTCGACCTTCCGCATGGCCCAGTCTGACTTGCCAGTTGCGACAAGCACATGGGCGTGGAACTCTTTGATGAAGCCGTACATCGGGAGTGTAGTGTCGATCTTGACATTTTTGGGACATTTCACGGTGCAGTCACTGCACTCTCTGCGACAATCTTCGCCATCGAGTTTGGGGTCAACTTCGGGGAAAATGTACTTCTGACGCCCGCTGGCGAGAGCTATGAGTGAGCGAAACATTGTGTGAAAAGAGTTTGAAGGAGTGAAGGAAGAGAAGTCACATTCATGATATCTACTTCGTAGATGGTATTGCTGTTGACTGCTACCTATGTCACGTTACTGTTCGGATCTATGTTCCAGAGAAAGTACCACCGGGGTCGGATTTAAGGTTTGGCCCGAGTCGGAGTTAAGATCCAAATGGGGTGATTTACCGAGTATTTACTCCGAGGGCGATCTCCGAGGGCTGAGCGGGATTACCTGTTGACTAACCCAGGTGGACAATATAGAATCGTATAGAAACGTCATCAGCCCATTGTTACATGATGGGATAAGCGCTTACTCCGGGTAGAGATAACTAGAAACGCTGGCACGGGAATCTTCATGCAAGAGCTCGACAGGGATGGAGGAGGCCGAGTTGAGGTCTAGGCATGGCCCCAGGCCCCCACTCGGTGCCGAGAAAGTGCGGCGAGCGAAGCGAGCAAACGATCAATAAGATCAATGCTTTCATATCGAAGTGTTGGTTTTCCCGAGAAGAATGCTCTAAAGAAATTCCGCGTCGAAATAGGATTCTAATCCTTGTTTCTTTTGGTTCTTTAATCTCCAGCTGCAGTTTTAGCAAATAAAAACCACAAGCCAAGCCGGACCTTTGAGACTTCGTATTTGATGTTTGCTGCAAAAAGCAAAATCTCAGATTCAGTGATGCTGTACACAGTAAGAGTATCCGATCTCATTTCTCTCTGTGTTGCCTGTTGCATGCGGCTGATTTTTGAGGATAGGCATCAACTTCGATCACTCGGCCTGTCTCTCGTTCCAATTGGTCATTTAGACAAACCACTGCGAACTACTGCGTACTTGAAGATTGCGGTGTTTGCTTTTTGTAGAATCCGTGTCAGAACCACGTGCACACAGGTTTCGTCAATTAGGCTGGCATTAGTGAAGAGGGTTAAATTCTCACGGTAAAGAACTTATCCATTTGCATATACCAATGCGAAGTGGCTCAATGTGATTTCCATGAAATTCTAACGGCGATGAAGAGGTAGCATCCACAGAAACTTTAGCCCCCCTGGTGCGCAGCCCGAGTCCTTGGCAACGGATCACGTTAATCACGCTAACATTCGATTCGTCTGATTCAGTTAATCTTCGTGAGACGTTACACACGAGCTAAAATCTTGAGATATTGGCATGGACAAGATTTCTCGTTTACTTGGACGGAGAAGATGATTGGCCTCTACCAAATGCAATTACTAGCGAGCAGCTGATGGCGCTGGCAGTGGCTTGAAGGAAAGGTTTTAATTATGTGCATTGGATAACACGGCTATGCCCAAAATACCTGTAGTTGCTTTTGGCAGAGGCTGAAGAGCAATTATGAGTAGTTATATGATTAGTATATCAGAAACCGATGCTCAATTGTAGTGTTCTTACTTCGTCACGCGCACATTCGTATCGTGGTCTCAATATTGTGAAACCACATTCTTTTTGCTTACTCTTGTTCTTCAGCAATGCACGTCTAATTGGTTAACTTTCTTGCAATTGCTGTATATTTCCTAGTTGAATGACAAATTCGATCAATCTCTATAGCTCATAGAGTCGTAGACACGGTAAATGCCTTCGTTATCCGCCCCAGATGTCAACCTTGGATCACCTCATGACGGAACGCGCCTGGACCCACCCAACAAGCGTAACAGGCAACTCTTAGCAGGGCCTTCGCTAAAAACCAACACCGATATCCTCCGTGACTAGAGGACCTCTCCCGGCTCTCCGCACGGAACGGATCAGTGGAGCCAAGAAGTCACGGAAATCAGGAAGCTTCCGTTTACCGCTTTAAGTTCCTCAGCGTCAGCAAGTACTTTTTGTCGAGTAAGGCCAAGTATCCTTCAGCGGTGGACCCACTTAGCGTGCCCTGAATCTAAAAGACTATGCAATTGTGGCTTGGTTTCGTACTGTATCTGAAGATTATCTCAAGCTGTCAAGCCAATCATCATCGAACCCAAGTACCAACTGGCGTGTACTCGGTTGTCAGAAACCTAATGCATATGTGGCACTGACGGATCTGCGTGATCTCCCTTTCATAAACTTTACGAGATGGGAAGGCGTTTGTAGTGAGCAGTCAGACTTACACTGCAGGTGGAGTGGGCTGCCTTGTCTTAGGCCCGCGGCAAAGCGTCTGGACTCCCGGCCCCCAAGGGACCTCGCAACCGAGCCATTCCGCTGGGTGGGGGTTGTTGTATAAGTCGTGATAAACAGTGGGTACAATGTAACGTACCTAAATAGCCTTTGATATACTTGTACTCATCCTGAAGCTGAGTTGAGGCGACACCAACTACGATACCTCATGATGCAAGACATTTCCCCCAAACAACTACCCCCAATGGACAGCATTACAGTACCGATAAAACCCCGTCGACAACAGAGCGGGCTGGCATGCGAGGAATGCCGCTCACGAAAGCTCAAGTGTGATATGGGGGAACCCCAATGTGGGACGTGCTACAATCTTGGTGTTACATGCATCACCAACCCCCTGCGACGGCCACGAGGGCCCCGCAAAGGGCATGTCAAGACCCTGAAGTCCCGCATAGGTAGGAGATCTTTGGTGCGGGTTCGTCTAGGGGAGCTGCGGCTAACAAGTGAATACAGCGACCCTCGAGCGTCAACTGTATGGGACCACTGAGATACTCCCTGGTACCCCTACAAGTAGAGGGGAGAACGGGGGATGCAAGTCGTCGGACGAAGAGCAGTTGACGGGGAAATGCCTGAGCGATGCCGCAGGCGAACATGTCATAGAGATCACTCCAAACGGTGGAGCAGATTATACAGAGTATCTGATGGGCACACAACCGATGGATCTCTCAGGGTGGGCGAGCACGATTCCGTTAGATTTTCAAGGCGATCTGGACAAGCAGATGAACACTTATCCCTGTTCCTCCACCTCGTCGTCCCCGTCGCCATTAATCGCCGCCCCCAAGTCCACATCCAATTTGGTGTTGGAAACCAGCTTTCTATTCCCAGACCTGACCTCCCACCCAATGCAACCAATGTCATTACCACCGCTAGCAACTCAGCCTCCCGTCCAGTTAACGCCTCTCGAATGTGCAGATCTGTATGTCCATTCTCCACCGCGCCTGTAAAGCCGTTACTGACCAGAGATAGCGACGATATGTTCTTCGAGCGAGCCTATCTTTTCGCACCGATAATCAACCAACAACGCTACTATGCGCGAGCAGCCGTGGAGTCACGAACGAGCGAGCCATTTTCATGTTTGCAATACGCAATGCGCATGCTGGCGGCATCAATGGGAAGCCAGTTCAAGGCTATTCTGCCCATGTTGTATACACATACCAGTGGGACATTGGATGCCTGGGACCGCAACATGCCGGACGAGGCAATTCCCATAGAGATAGTTCAGGCACAGCTCCTGCTGGCATTGTATGGGATTCTCAAGGATGATCCGCGAAAGGGATGGGCCAGTGCTGGTCGCTGCTTCCATCTGGTGCACCGGGCAAAATTAGATCAAATAGACAACCCAAGCACCCGACGGTCGTGCCGTCTCTCGGAGGTAGAAGTTGAGGAGCGACGGCGCACATTCTGGACTGCGTACGCCCTCGATCGGTATGCTAATCTCGTGCATGAGCTGCCCCTGACATTAAACGACCAGATGGTGAGTTTGATATAATTTCGGGAACTGAGTGCTCCTACTCACCTGACATGGCTCTTTAGATCCTCACACGCTTACCGGCTACTGAGACGGCATTTCGACGACAGGGAGCCATCATGACGGAATTCCTGGCCTCGGCAATGTCCCAGAAGACGAACCAGCCACTCTCCCCATACGCAAAATCAATGGTTATCGTCACCATCCTTGCCAGATGCTTAGCACATCGGAATCAATGCAATGTCGAGCGCATCACAGACCCCACGTCACAGGAATACCTGGCTCGACACTGCGCGCTGGACAAGATATTGACACAAGAAATCGAGACGATATTGACCAGCGTCTCTGCCGATCTTGAGCCTTGTAATCCTACCCGTCTGTACATTGAAATGCTCGCAGAAGCCGCTATTTTGGTGCTTTTCACTGCGTTGAGCTCCATTTCTGAGGGAGCCGATGAGTTGTATCGCGGGTATCAGAAACGGGCTTGCACGGCAGCAGAGCGAATCCATAGCCAGGTACAGAGTCTGTCTCAGCTTGGGATCTTCAAGGTTAGTCCTACTGTCCGTTGAGGTCAGATGTCAAAGCCATGCTAATAAAGTCAGGTTCATCCGTTCACTCCCATTGCACTGTTCATCTGTGCTGAATTCACTCGATCTTGCAAGACATTGAATCCCAATGCTGTGGAGCAGTACAAGGATATTTCTTCCTCGCTGCGGTACCTGGCATCTGCGAATAGCCTTGCTGGAATGCTGCATATGGAGCTTCAGCAAAACGCGGGCAATGGTGTGGATGTCAGAGGTTAGGCGTCCCATGGTTCCCTGGTGGCGAGACTTCGAACGAATCTTGGGGCGGGAGCGGGGCGGGAGGCCGCGGGTGATCGTCATCCTTAGTGTCACCTATCTAGAGCAGGTTATCCGGACGACGAAGCATAAGCATATAGTCAGCAAAACTCATGTCAATTCTCACACCAGTGTCATGGATGTTAGCCTGCTTACGACGATGAGAGCACGTATTGGCAAGTGGGTTCGAATCACCTGTACGCCAAATCTCTGAAGGCCCTTTCGCATCCCAACATAGTGAGGATGAAGAGACGGGTAGGATTACAGGGATCAAGATCAGTAGAAACGCGCACAATCTTATCTCGATTTCCGGCTTTGTAAAGCCCCTTCGCCAATGCCGGCGACTTTCACTTTGAATATATATTCAAACTTGGGATCTATGCAGATACTACACCGACCTCTGGAAAGTTTCGGAAACAACCATGCGTGACGTTGTCTCGAAGAGCAAAAGAAACCCCGAAGCCGATCGGACATGTCGCTCGGCCGAAGTTCCCAATGCAGTAAGGCCTCGGAGATACCGGAGTTTCCCGTTTCGGTAATATTGTGATGGTCCGTCCCCGTCACTCTCTCCAAGACGCCCATATAAATGATTGAGTCAATGCCAGATTTTAACAATTCACACATCTTCACACAAGATAAATTCCACAAAGCTACACTTCGCTAAATACCCACGCAACCACCTGCTTCAATCAAACATCCACCTAACCAAAATGACCCAAATCACCCCCGATGATTCCAAGGCCCCGGCCTACACCTCCGCAGACCCCATGAACACCGAGAAGCACAGCATGTGAGTCCAAGAACCTTACTACCCACCTGAAAAATATCCCTCATTGGTCCGGCGACTAACAAATCTCCGAATAGCACAAGCCCCAAGATGGACTGTCCAACCCATGGACCGAGCCAGGTTCCACTGGTTGACAACGAACTGCAGAAGCCACATGCCAAGGAGATTATCCGGCTCTTGACTGCAGCACTGAATGATCTCACCAACGAGAAGAAATGCACCAGATGCACTGTCGAGAGCATTTCTACTCAGCTCACTGGCCACGCTCGGGATCTGAGAGCTGCGAAGCGCAGCGGTGCCTGGTCGAAGGAGGACAAGAAGGCGCTTAAGGCGGAGGTCAAGGGTCTGTTCAAGCCTATCAAGAAGGACTTGAAGCGTCTCTGGAAGGGGAATTAGATCGTCTTGTTTCTTTTTGCGGATCATGGCATGTGGGCGGTGTACACTAGGCTGGGTCTGGGCTCTTTGTTTGCTTGGTTTACAGCGTTTATTTTTTACGGCGACTGGCTAGACCTCCATATGGAGGAAGCTTAATCAATTGGAATGAAATGTATCAATCTCTTTCGGTGAATGTGTTGCTATACTGTATATTCCGTATCTACTATCACCACAACAACATAGACCTTTTGATATGGAGAAAGCAGCGATTGAGTTTCGGAGAATCCTTTCTTATCCCGTTTGACTTTGTGGATGTAGTTGGCGAGACCTAAGACCCTTGTCTCTCTCGCATTAGACATTCTCCATCTGTGCTGCAAATACCCGGGCTATTGATGGTGATTCTATGTGATCGAGCAAAGCTAAGGTTAGGACCTTGCAGGTTGAACGGCGACATTACCAGGATTGTAGATTGAGCATGTTGTCATGGGAAAAGTAAGGCACAGAATCCAAAGAATTGCATATATAGGACGCAAACCAACGTATACTATATAGATGAGATGAAAATCACCATAGCGCAGAAGACCGCCTCAATGGGCAAATAGCCACTCCGGCTCTTTCACAGCATTGGAGATAGTCTTCCCATTAACGCCATTAACCACCTTCTTCTTCTCCAAAGCCCGAATCCTCTCCTGGTAATCCCGAAGCGTATCCTCCTGCATCTTGGCCGAATCAAAGTGCCAAATCTTAAACGACCGATCCTTAACCTCCTCAAAACAAGACTCAGTCTTGACCCTCTTAGCTGGATCCGCCCACTCAGGCTGCTGGAACAAATCACACACCCTCCGACTACTATTCACCAGCCACTGCGTCCGCGTCCGTCTGATCTTATCATATGTCTCAAAAGCAGCACGCATCGAATCACCCTTCGACACATTGCGCTCCCGGGTATACTGAACCGTCTGCTCCGGGATAATGGTGCACAAGCACAGCACGTCCTCGACACCAAACGACGCACCAGCACCGTGGTGCGGACTAGACGCGTGCGCGGCATCGCCGACAAGACAAACTCGTCCTTTGTTGTATTGTGGCACTGGGTATTCGGCAAGATCGAACAGAGCCCATTGATCCAGCTCTTCCGGGAACAAGTCTACGAGATTGCGTACCGGCAGACTCCAGTTTGCGAGTGCATCGGAGACATCCTTGCGGGATGCACGGGCTGTGGTGGGCTTGTCGAGTGGCCAGTCATTGGGATCCGAGACGACGACTGTCGCGCCGATGGTGTTCGTGTTGACGGGGTAGTGGATCAAGTGTGCATTTGGTCCGACGTGCATGTGCTGTTTCTGGGTCTTGTATTCGCCAATCGCGGCGGTGACCTTGTCCATGGGGATGAGGGCTCGGTATGCGACTTTGTGGCTGTACTGGGGATACGAAGCTGGGTTGTCTTCGCCGAGAAGGAGTCTGCGAGCGGTGGATTTGATGCCATCGGTAGCGATGACTTTTTTTGACATTAGCAACTTTTTTATTCATTTTTTTATCTTGCTTGAGTTGAAGGGTAGGAGCTCACCAGCATCAGCCTCAACACGAGTCCCATCCGTGAACTGCAGCACGACCTTCTCCGAACCGTCCTCGTCGATAATGTTCTCCAAACGCTTCTGCAGATGAATCACTCCCTCCGGAATTTCCTTGACCAAGTCATCAAGGAATTGATCCCGACGCACAGTTTCCCACCCTTTCACACCGGCATCCAATCTCAGCAATGGCTTCTGGTACATCGGGTCGTCTTCGCGCTGGAGCCCGTACCCGTTAATATACCGCAAGTAGGCATTGGGGTCAACCTGGTCCAGCGACACATTGACGGAGCCGCCAGATCTCAGCGCGCGCACGATACCGGGACTAATCTTCTCCATACAGTTGACGGTGTTGCGCGTGAAGCCGATGCCGGCGCCGATCTCGCGGAAGTTGCGCGCTTGTTCGAAGAGCTTGACCTGGACTCCGCGACGGGTGAGGCCGGCTGCTAGGACGAGGCCTACGATGCCGCCGCCGACAATGGCGATATCGGGGGTGTCGGGTGGGTTTGTCATTTTGGTGGATGGGGTGGTATGGAGGAAACGTGGGAATGGTAGTTTTGGTGGAAGGTTGAGTATATATTTTGCGGCTCTAGATAGCATATTGGTGTCTATGGAGTTGCTAGATGATTCTATCGTGGTAAATATGTGATAACTATGGTCGCTCTTGTCGGTTTAATTTGGCAGAGCAGTCAGCGCTAGGTATCTATAGATAGACCCCACGTTTGAAAAGTAAGTCCGATGGAAATCAGCAACAGTAATTGATTTGTCCAATCATGACCTGCCTATAGGTCATATGCCGAGGCCTCAGCAAGGGCTGATAACCCTCCTGTTGGTTTTATCATCCTATGACAACGTCTCGTGGCCGATAGTGTGGAAATAGCACAGCTTTGATATGACTCAAGGATCAGACGCTATTCTGAAGGCTCCAATTCATTTCTCAATTCTAGATCAGTCTTGCACTCTATTATACTTAGATAGCCGTAACTCTTATAGGCAGGTGTAAGCAGACTCATAACTCCATCCAAAAATAGAAAAAGGGAAAAAAATCATCAAACGCCTCTGTCCCAGACCGATTTACCTATCACCCCCGTCCGCCGTGCCACATTGAGAATCTCCTGTACAACCGGAACAACATCCTTAGCTTTGATAGGCACCCGATGGTCTCCCTCCCACTCAACAAGTGCCGTAGACGCCCACTCACAATGCCGATAAAGCAGCAAGCGGTGAAGCTCCAGATTCGGATCAACCAGACCATGAACATGCACCGTCGGGATCTTCACCCGGCACTCTATAGAGTCAACAACCAGCTCCTGTCCAGTCGTACACTGCGTAGCATCAATAAATCCCGTCGGCATAGGTAAAGCAGGATTCAGCCACCGCAGTGGGCCCCGTCCCGCCAGCAGAATAGCAAACTTGTAAATAGGATCTGTACCGTTGTGTGCGACTTGTTGGTTTGCTAGAATGCTGGCTGCGAGATGAGCACCCTGGCTAAATCCTAGAAGTCCGACCCATTCGCCTGTTGCGCCGAGCTTATTGTCTGCTATCTGGGCGTTGGATATTGAGTTCCTTATGCCGTCCACGATTTGGTCTTCTGAGAAGAGGGGATCTTTTGCGTGTACACGGAGCCAGGCTTTGAAGGGCCCATAGTCTTTGTAGGCGGCTGTTACATCGGAGCCTGGTTGTGCGGAAAGGGGCGCTTCTGCGTAGACGAGGCGGAAATGAGAACGGAGTGCTCGTTCTATGATGCGGCATTGCATGCGGAAGATACGGGCGTTGGTGCCTCCGCCGTGGAGACAGAGGATTCGTGGGAGATGGAGAGTTGGGTCCATGGTTTTTGACGTGGTGATCAGGGCTGGTCTTTACCAGGGCTTGCTGAATGGCTTCTCTAATTGTGGTTGGGATATAGGTTCAAAGCTGCTGTAGGGCTTTTGCTACAGAGAAAGAGAGGGAAATCAGACAAAACACTGAAACTGCTCATTGCGTATCTGATAGGGGCCTAAATAGATTAAGTCATCTTCTGCTATCTAACCCAACACACACTTGGTGTCAGCATGAACGAGCCAACGCTAAGGGACAGAGGAATGGTCAGCACCAACACGAGAGACGAAGATATAAATAATAACTCCAAAATGACAAGGATCTGCAAATAATTTGGGTAATTTGAAAGCGTAAATCGACTCTGTATGATTGGACGTTCGGAGAAACGTTTTTTTTGTTTTCATTTTCCCAATTGATCGACAGTTAGGGCTGAAGAAGCTAACTCCGAGGGTATGTCTTAATGGAGTTAATCTCCGATATCTGCTAGGCAGCCCCACTTGCCGAAGAGCTAAGGGGTTAACGTCCAAATGGAGTTGGTTTAACTCCGGGACTTCCTAATGGGGTAATTTTTCAAAAGCCCGGGCCCATCGGATCTACACTTTCGGGTCCTACACAGGGCATCCGCGGCCCAGCGATCAAATAAAGCTTGTCATGGCTGCATCCAGTTTCAATTTCTTCACACATCTCGACCTTGAAAAGAAAAAAGCACAATGGCCGAACCAACCGTCGAGAGTCGTCTCACCTCCCAGGAACACGTTCCTACCCCTACAGAGGAAGCCCTTTCTGCAGATGAAAAGATCATCCAGGAAAAGCCAGCCGGCCCAGCACCACCACCAAACGGAGGCACCACAGCCTGGCTGAACGTCCTCGGCAGCTTCATGCTCTACTTCAACACCTGGGGCATCCTCAACACCTTCGGCGCCTACCAAACATACTATGAATCCGGCGATCTCTTCCACGCGTCCTCCTCCGACATCTCCTGGGTCGGCTCAATTGCCGCCTTCATGCTGCTCTTCGTCGGGCTCTTCGTCGGCCCCATCTACGACCGCGGATACCTGCGCCTTCTCCTGATCAGTGGCTCGCTCCTCGTGGTATTTGGCCACATGATGCTGAGTCTCTGCCACCAGCTCTGGCAGGTTGTTTTGGCCCAAGGCCTAGTCGTTGGCATTGGCACCGGCTGCCTCTTCGTCCCCTGCGTCGCAATCATCCCGCAGTACTTCACTACGAAGATGGGTGCAGCAATGGGCGCCGCCGCCTCGGGCTCCGCGCTCGGCGGTGTTATCTACCCCATCGTGCTGTACCGCCTGATCAATCAAATCGGATTCCCGTGGGCTGTGCGTGTGATTGGCTTCATCGCGCTCGGCACACTGTTTCTACCCGTGGCTCTCATGCGTCTGCGCGTCAAGCCCCCAAAGGTCCGCGCCATCGTCGATCCTACGGCCTTCAGAGACCCGGCTTACCTCGCATTCGTCTTCAACTCGCTGATCGCGTACATGGGACTCTTCGTGATTTTGTTCTACCTGTCCTTCTTCTCCGAGGCGACGCGCATCACGGATAGCGCTCTTGCTTTCTACATGGTTCCGATTTTCAACGCAGCTTCGGTCTTTGGACGTACAATTCCAAACAAGCTGGCCGACCGCTTCGGTCCATTCAACCTTCTCGTTCCTGCCGCTCTGTCATCTGGTCTGTTGATGCTTTGCATGATGGCAGTGAAATCGAAGGCCGCGGTAATCGTTATGGCGATTCTCTCAGGCTTTATGAGTGGTGCGCTCATTGGTCTACCGCCCATGTGCCTAGCCATCCTCACAAACGACAAGTCAAAGCTGGGAACACGTGTCGGCATGGGATATGCGATCATTGCTCTTGGGGTGTTAATCAGCGGGCCCAGCAGTGGTGCAATCCTACGTAACAACGGCGGCGAGCTTGACTGGCAGAGTCTGTGGATTTTCGGTGGTGTCCCGACTGTCATTTCCGGGTTTGGCTATGCTGCAATCCGTATCGGCAAGTACGGAGCGAAGCTGAATATCAAGGCTTAAAGACCTGTTTCACAGGGTGAAAGGATCATATTGCGGGAATTGTGGATATGGGGGTAATCATGAAACTGTTTTTCTCTAATAAGTAATGTCATAGACAGTGGCTCGAGCTAGCGTTTATCGTTGCTCGCAGCTCATGAGCATTTTACCTTTCGGTCCCTGTCAACATTACGATGAAATCAACGAAGATTATATTCAACGTGCAGTTTACTGTGTTTGGTACCTAATTCTGTAGGATAATTTCCGACTTGAAGCTATTTACAAAGCAGTCCTGACTCCACACTTGAATGGCGCAATGACAAGCTTCTCCATATCCCATACCCCGGCATCCACAAATGGATTCTTCTCTATGATTCCTCGCACGTCGTCCTCGGAGTTTGCTTGGAACAACAACACGCTGCTGCGCACCTGGATCGGCTCCTCGGGGCTCTTGGGATGAGCGGCAAGCGTAGGTCCTCCGAACACGATTGTCCCGTCGAGAATGTAAGGTTTTAGGTGTGCCATGTGTGCCTCGCGATTAGAGGCCCAGGCTTGAAGGGCTGAAGGGTCGATGGGGACTTGGACGAGATAGTCTTGTTTTGTGGACATTGCGAAGATGGGGTCTTGTGTGTGGAGATGTGGATGGTTTGGTCTGATCAGATGGCAAGCTTATGGCAATGGAATGTCCTTTATTCTCTATCTATCCATTGCTTTTCACTTCTTTTGTAAATAATAAATCTGCAGGATGAACTATGTGGAGTATTCTTGGCCATGCTGGCTCGGAGAAACTTTTCAAAGGTCGAGGCTATGCTCGGAGTAAATATTTCACTCTGATCTTCAGGCGGGCCCTTTAAAGGAATATCAGACTCATTTCGACCAATACAAATAGCTTCTAGTGCTTACCTTTGGGTCCTTTGCTGACAGCCATTAAGGCTGACTAGCAATAAGCAGACGGCATGATCAGGCAAGCTTACACTTTCAACCGGAGTATTCGTGCACGCTTCATCTGCGTCAGATCAACAAGACGAGAACACCCAAAGACCGCATCGGAGAATCGTCAATCCATGACCAAGACATCTATCAATAGAAATATATCAGAATACATAACCCAAATCAAACCAGCCCCTTAGCACACAGTAGTCCCATCCACCAGTATCCAGTAAATCCACCCAGAACCATCATAATGGGCAGCATCGACACCCTCCCCCCAACCAGCATCCCAACAGTGGACATAAGTCCCTGGCTCGACGAAAATGCCCCCAAGCCGCCAAAGACGCAGTCGTAACCGCCATGCGCGACGCATGCACAACCTTTGGTTTCTTCTACCTCGTCGGCCACGGCATCCCCGAAGAAGACCGCCAATCCGTCCTCGAGTGCACCCGCCGCTACTTCGCCCTTCCAACGGAGGCCAAAATGGATACCTGGATCGGCAAGGCCATGGGCAGGTCGTTCCGAGGCTATGAGCCGCCCGCTCTGCAGGTGCACCAGGAGGGTCTATTGCCGGATACCAAAGAGGTAAAGTGTTGCTTCGAAACTTGTTTCGAAACCAATAACTCATAGTATGTGATACGTAAAATAGGGCTTCATTATCGGCCGCGAGACACCAGCAGACGCACCAGAGGCCGGAACCTTCCATACAGGACCGAACCAGTGGCCGAAGGGTCTGAGCGACGAGGAATTCCGCATCCCAATCATGAAGTACCACGCCAAGATGATTGACATGGTAAAGGTCATTGTGAAGATCCTCGCGCGCGGTCTTCCAGCAGAGTGGAACTGTCCACCGGATGTATTTGACGAGTTAACGGTGAACCCGTCTGCGCCGTTGCGGTTGCTCCACTATGCTCCTCAGGCTGAGAAGCGGGAGAATCAATTTGGAGGTGGGTTGTACCAGCACCCTTGTTGTTTCTATTATTCGTAACTGACGGCGATTGTAGTGGGCGAACACACGGACTTTGGCAACGTCTCGGTCCTGCTTCAAGAGGAAGGTACGGAGGGATTGGAGGTTTTGTATCCTCCTACTCAGACTTGGGTGCCGGTGCCGGTGAAGGCAAACTCCTATGTTATCAATATGGGGGATATGATGCAGAAGTGGACGGTTGGGTACTATCGCAGTGCGCTTCACCGGGTTGTTAATTCGAGTACCAAGGCGAGGTATAGTGCACCGTTCTTTATGAACGGGAATTTGGACTTGGAGTGTCATGCCTTGGATGGGTCTGGAGAGGTGACTGTTATTGGAGAGCATATCCGGCGCAGGTTGATGGAGACTATTGGGGGTGAAGCCGGGAAGAAGTTGGCTTCTTGATTTCTGGGTTGTATTCGCAGTGCGGTTGATCATCTGGTGCCTTTTGCTGTGTTTATTTTCCTCTTCGTTGGTTCACTTAGATTGAATGAACGTCTCGGTGGTTTCGGGTATGAACAAAGCAGCTGATATAGTGGACTATTTAGGAGAACATAGTAAGATATTGCCAACTATCAGCTCAGCCCCCGGCCTTTGCGTGATGCTGTTAACCCAGTCTGTACGTAGGCAGCCTGGCGTGGGGACCATACAGCTCTGTTTACCACTGGGGGAGAGGTGCATGATACCTAGTATGACTCCGTTCTATGATTCTATCTACATCCGATGAGCCCTAGGCGCCGCTCTCATGCACTGTCGGATCCGCGTTGACAAACAACCCCATATCTAGGTTATCTGCTCCCTCACTCAGTAGCATACATAACATCCGTCCGCACAGTGTACTTGACACCTCTAAATACATCATCCCCACTATGAAATAGATTCCTCTGCTGAAAGATAAGAACAGACCCCGTCCTCGGAAACACCCTGACAACCTCCTTCGAGTTCATCGCAGCCATAAACGAAGTCGCACCACCAAGCAGCGTCTCACTCGCCTCTAAAGTCTCAACCGCCGTCTTCTCCCCTTCGCCCTCCTCCCCACCCCCATCCTCAACCTCCAAAGCCCCAATCTGAGCCAGGTCAACCTCACCCCCACTCGACCACAGATACTTCTCCTTCTCCGCCTTTTCAATCCTCCTCTCCAACTCCTCCACATCTTGCTCACCATCCCCATTCAAATACAAATGCACCGTAAAAAGCGACTTTTCCCTCCCATCAGGCGTAACATAACACCCATCCCAATGCGGGCGAAAATAATCACCCCCCTCATATCGCAAAAACCTCATCCGCTCATTCAACCGAGTAAGACGCAAAACTTCCCCGCGCTTCGCAGGCCCAAGACCCGTAACCATCGGCATATCCGTCACTCGATCAATGCCGCACTCGCGCATGAACGGCATCAATCTGTCCAGAATTCTGGCTGCAAGATCGGGCGAATCGAGGATGACGCGGCCGCTTTTGCGGGAGTCGACGGACATAATTTGTTTGCCGCCGCCGGCGTTGATCATGGCGCGTTCCCAGGTTGGTGGGGAAAGGGTTGAGTTTGGGAGAACGGTCCGCGTTGAGTCTTCTGCTACGCGGAGGAGTTCTTTGCATTCGGTTTCTGTTAGGAGGTTGTTTACTATTGCGGCGAAGTTGTCTTTGAATTTCGGGATTGGGGGATTGGTTTGAGTGAAGTCGAGTTTGTGGAGGGTTGCGTTGGGGGATGGGCCCCGGAGAAAGGTGTCTGGGATGTTCTGGTCTGTCATTGTTGTGGGTTTGGTTTGAATGTGGTCTTAATATGGGAGATGTTGATAACTATTCAGGGGACTGCGTGTCCTTTATAAGTTTACTTCCCCACTATTTTGAGGCTGAGGCTGAGCTTAGGTTAAGCTACTTAGGCTAATGACCCCTGAGTCATTAGCCTTGGCATCCTGGTACGTACTCAGCTATGAGACTATGAGTTTTCAGTACAATCAAAATTGACTTATCACGGAGCTCTCACTTCAATTCAACGATCTATTTATCTGAAGCTGAGTCAGGAATCAAAATCTATGATACCCCCACGAAGGTACTGATCAAGGAGGTCGCAATCACCACCTTCAATGCGACGGAAAATCCCCATCAACGCCTCACTCCTTGCGGCTCCCTTCAGTTTGCGCGCAGCTTCAAAATCTCCTCCCATCTCCTTGGGCACCTAAGCTAGGTTAGCGGTTATTCAAAGAAATCTGATATGGCTACGTCATACCTCCACGATAAAATGGCGCTTTGGTAGACCTTTCCAGTTAGTTCTTAGCGAACCAACACCCCCTCGCGCACGTAAGCTCCCTTCATACCAGTCCACAGTGATGACATAGGTTTTAGGGGGCTTCACGACGGCTTTTGCCGCTTGTTTCTCCTCGTGGACATTGTCGGTCTTCTCCGCCAGCTTTTTAGCTGCGTCTCTGGCATTCCGCGCTGCAATACGTTTTGAGCGTCTGGGCGCTGGAACCACTACCTGGAGAAGGTTCATGGTAGACACGAAGAGTGAATGTTTCTGCGTTGGTGCAAGGCTGGTATTGGTGGATTGCGATGAGTGCTGTGCTCTCGATTGATCCCGGTGAGGTTTGTAGAACAACATTGAAGCTTACTCCTAACGATACTTATATAACTACCCGAATGTCAGGTGAGACGTTAACTTGAGCGTAAACAAAGCTCTTAGGTACTGCTACAAAATAGAGGACTTGTTGCATCTGGTTTCTATGGCACCATTGAAATGGAATGGCCTTGTGATTTGAAACTGCAGCTTTTGCTGCCACCTTGTTACCTTTGAGTCATACTGCAACAGGGCTTTTATCAGACGTATGAGTTGGTTAACAAGGCTTGTTTCAACTTGGACTCACTCGGAGTGAGACAAGCCAAAGGACAAAGACATCAAGTACTAGGATGATGAAACTCCTTTTACAAGCACTTGGAATGGGATTCAGAGAGGTTTAGACGCTACCTTCTTGCAAAATAACCTTGCTAGGGTTGTCTTAACATACAACAGTGAGGATTCATTCGGGCTAAGTTGACATTCTCCAGGATCTTCCGATTTCTTTCAACTGAAATACCCAAAATGGTCAGCACTTTGGATTTTAGTGCTTATATGCGGGCCAACTCTCACTTCTTCATACAGAAGGCCAACCAAATTCTGAAACGACCATGGGAATTGTCGATGCTATATCGGATTCCTTACTCGCCCGGATCAAACTTGCTTTGCACTCAGTTGTAAAGGTATATATGTCATATACCTACAACAGCACTACCCAGATTCCGCATTGAAGTTTGGGTCAGTAATGCAAAAAACAGACCTACGTCTTCGACTTCAAATGGAATGAACGCTGGATATATTGCACCCAGTGCTCCATTCCCCATTGGTGCTCCGTGTGGCGCAAGATCCAGTCATGGACCTCGGGCATGGCTCAACCTGAATCACACAAATGCAGATTGCCGTTCGGGTATTCAAATTTGGCGTCGTCCTCCCATCACGGAAAAAGTCGACGTTTGCCCCTGTTCGACTTTGTCATTTCATCGACATCAAATACTCCCATATCTATGTCGAAATCCAGATTTTGCATATCAAGCTCTAAAGCAACAACAAAGACACACGCACCGTGATCGGAGTATTGGTTGCGATGAACCTTTCGTCCAATTAGCTCATGAATGTACATTCGACAATCACCCATCGGTGAAGACTCGAATTAGAACTATTTTTTCAAGTTCGACATCTCCAAGGCAGGTTCCTCGCACTTGGGACCGTTTGGTAGAACGAGCTCTAATCGCTGTGTCCATAAAGACACCAAAAGATGGCTGGAGGACTTCTTTCGTTGTTCCAAATCAAGCTTTCATATAAACACCCAGGATCATAGTTGGTGTCAGTGGCTTGGCTGGGATACGCCTCATACATTTGAGATCCTCTTGCATAGGAATCTAGGAGGTAGCAAATGGCCTGATAGAAGGTGGAAAAGTCATTGCCACAACTAGCTGCTAAGCTGATTCGAAGGATGAAGTTCTTTAGAAACGAAAGAAAATTATTGCTACGGACGTTTGATTCTCCGATCTAGACCTCATAATTGTGAATGAGTCAGAGTAGAACATAGATGTCTTTATAGACTGAACGGTGCTGATTTGCAGATCAAGGAAGAGGATTCAAATTCACACTGTCTTTGTTCAGTTCAAGCTTGTTTAGCAGCCAGCTTTCGCACGTGACCAAAATACACATGATTATGTCAGGATACCAGCCTCTGTGGCACAGGAGGGTTGTGGCTGAAAGGTTTCCTGATTGGCCCCTCGTCAGGCCTCTCTCATCCTCTCATCTTCTCATTGATGGGGCACATTAAAACAACACAATATCATTAATCGTCCATTCGACCTCCAATAACATCTCATATCTGGGTCTATTAATCCTCATCCAATCTTTTACTTTCATATAACCTCGAACACTGGGTGATCTCGTTGCCCGCAAACAATCATTGTGATCATCCTATTATCTCCACCTTGATTGTGGCCCTGAAAGTCGAGGGCATTTCCATATATCCATCTCAACATATGTGATTTGGACCCAAATTGTTGTATCTATGAAGTCTATCTAAACGTCTGATCACCTCCCTCCAAAAAGCCAAGTCACCAGCTCCATCAATGGCCACTCCCAATCAAAAGTCCGCCCAAGGGCCAGCGCCCGGCAGCAGCAATGCCATGCCCCTAACCTCAGAGTTCCAGCTCGTGTCATCACTAGCAAAACTACAGGATCTTGAAAAGAAGGTTGGTAACATAACAAGATCTGGTGCCACTACCACGAAATGACCTATGCTAACGCAATAACCCCAGATCCATGAACTGCGGACATTCATGCCACACGGTCTATTAGAGCCGCTGGTGCCAATTGCAAACCCAGAGAAGGCAACGCTCGACAATCCAATTGCCGAGACGCCCAAGATCCTGCGGGATAGTCTGGATGAGACGGCACGTGCGCGCGTCGCCGATGTCCAGCAGTTCCAGTCCTTGTGGCGGGATCCGGAGATGCTATCTGTCTGGTCGCATGTTGAATCCCGGATTAAAGAATCTAACGGACTGTTGCTTCAGCCGACGGGGAAATGGGAAAGAGATTACGATGTTCTTCTGGAAGAACTGGCTCAGAAGGAGAAGTCTAATGTGGATGAGCGTACGCAAGAGGAAGAACACGTTGAGCGTGTCAAAGTGCAGTCTACGGAGGGCGAATGGAAGAATGTCTTGGAGCGATTTGTTCAGCGGAATGTACCCGGTGTACGGGTTATCCAGGGCCAGGATGGGCCTTCGCTGGCGGTGGCTCTTGTCAGGGCTGGTGTCGTGTTCCAAGTAAGAGGGGCTGCTGAGACTGGCTCTCCGGTGTCTGACTGGGAGGTTTCGAGTAAGGTCGCTGGTCGGCCACCTACCAAGCTTGAGAATGCCATACTCGGATGTCTGGAGTCACGGCCGCGGAAATGGGATATTGCGTTTTTGTTGGTATGTTCCGCATTTCCTAACTCATGGCAAGATCATTGCTGACAACTTGCTTAGGATATGATCTCCTCATACGCGGATATCAAGCAGACACCATGTGTGAAATGTAACCGTTTGACCAATGACGCCGCTCAACTCCCGGTTCTGCGCCGTCCCCAGGCAAACCAACAGTTTGCCGAGGGAACACCGCGTATATACACCTTTGACGCATTGCACTCTGGCTGTATCTGACGGATTAAATCTACTTTTTCTATGAGCCATCTCAAATCCTCTACAACTTCCAAGGAACGTGAAAATGCTCCACATCCATTCCATATGATACCGAACATTAGGTATGAGGAAGAAAAGGCATTATCCTCAAAGCAATCTATCCAACCGTCTCTTCCATAATCCCACCCATTCGAATTCCTCCAAGCTTTCCCATCCAAACCCCTAATCCCGATGCTTCCCATAAATCCCATCATGCCAAAACTCAGCCGGATACTCCACCCCATTCCGATCCCAATACCGTCTCGGCACACAATGAACCTCCTCCCTGCCCAGCCACTTCCCCCTCCGCATCCTCCTCCCATTACAATACTCCACAGCACTCCAAGTCCCGCGATCAGGCACATGGTACGTCCTCGTCCGGAAATCATATCTCTCGCCCACCGGACGCTTGATCCACGGCAGCGGACTGTAGTCTGCGTCCGGGTCGGAAGGGTTGCTCCCCCACCGCGACCATTCTTCTCTCGTTGGGCGGGCGGACTTTTTGCTATTTGGCTTCGGCGTTATGCGGCCGACGTACATGTCTGGTCCTTTGTTTGTGAGGATGTCGAAGAGGCGCCAGCGACGGGGCCAGTGGGTGGGATTGTTGGGGCGGGGGTCTTTGGGCCAGATCCAGCCTAGTTGGGAGGGCATTTTGGGGGATTTTTTTTGGTTTGGTTTGGTGGAGGACTGGATGGAGTAGGGTTTGGGCTGGGGGTGTAGAGGTGGTTGGTAGAGTGGTGTTATTTATGTTCTTGCTCTTTTTGATATACTGGATTGGTCTTTGGTATGGGTTTCGGTATCAGACGGGTGAATCCTGTATGCCGGAATGTCTCTTTGTGCTTGAAACTGGTGTATTCGCTTTCTAAGTGGTGGATATTAGGGTGTCTCATGTAGCTCTTTGTCTTGGAGGTGCAACAATAGGCAACAATTCCATCGGAAGTGAGACAGATAGATGTTTGGTCTTAGGTTGTATGTTTGGGTCTTTGTGTGCATCTTGTGGTAGAACTTCCGTAGAAGGACTCTGAACGGTTTCCTGCATATAAAACCAGTAGTTGAGTGTGAGAAACCCAGACTATGGCAGGTAGATTCCCTTTGTGAAAGTGGGTTGCTTGATTTCCTTTCCGGGGGAATGATCTTTGACGGGAGATGGATGTTTTAAGGGTTGACATAGGTACGTGCAATTATCCACTGGGGTTTCATAGATGAGGTCGAATGGCAGGGTGTATATCAGTTGGTCTTGATATCAAGACAGCTTAGCTTGTCAGATGCGAAGTCATTGACCATCGCGGTTTGAGATAACATGTCGTAGAGTCAACAATACCATCCATTGATAACACTGCCATAAGCCAGTAGAAGTAGAAGATGCAAGAGGTTATATTAAATGTAAAGCCGAAATGCAGACATAAAACCAAAAGTAATGCATTGTCGCTTGATGGAAACTCAAAGGAACAAAGACAGAAGATGCAAGAGATACCAAAACACATATCCATCATGTCAACTTATCACGCAACGCCATTTTCTTGCTATTATCGTAAAAGTAGGTCGCTTTGACGATGCAACGCCCAAAAAGTAAAGTATGTTCATAAGAATTCAATGCAAGGACACCCAACGAGCGAGCGTCGTTTAAGTGGCGAGCACGCCAGCACTGCCTGCAAACCAGGTGAACGAGGCAAACGTAATCACAGCTATACCGACGGTGAACTTGAGCGCCAGACGACTGGTCTCAGAAAATGCACCACTGCATGTGGCACAATGGTATTCTGTGAACAGTCAGTACTCCGTACCAGGAAGGGGTAAATAGTGTGAATACTCACCATTCAATGGCGTGTAAGGCTGCGGAATGTACATCGAGAAGGGAAACCCATTTTGCGAGCTCAGATGGCCCGCACTGGCGACGTCGCCCATTTCCTTGTCGGTATCATAGACAAAGAGTGTATATGAAGCAGTTAGCAACGGAACTGTCGCCGAGGCCTTGTATTTCCCAGTATCCCACACCACACTTCCGGTTTCCTCTACGGTCATGTTGGAAGTGAGCGTATATTTCATCGCGTTCAAACTGCATGTAGCCACGACGTTGACCGCAGAAGGAGTTACTGAGAGAGAAGTGTAGTTCCACACAAATGTCACCTCCTGGCCGATCTTGAAGTAGGTTGTGGATGCGGCAGCGGGGGTGATCATGGACACGCCTCCGGCGGCAGCGGCAGGGTCAATGGAAATGGAGGTTGTAGCAGTTGTCTTGGTTTTTCCCGTATGTGTGCCCGTTGCTGTACCAGTTGTCGTACCGGTGCCCGTTGCAGTGCCCGTCTGAGTGTTTGTGCCTGTGTTCGTGCCAGTTGCAGTCTCACTGGCAGTGTCGGTACCAGTCTGAGAGGCACTGGAGCCTGTTGCGGTAGAATCGGAGGTTCCTGTGGTTGTTCCGTCGGTGCTATCTGTTTTTTTTTCAGTCAACTTTGAGCACAGTGCTATTGGTACAGTCCAGCCTTACCCGCTCGCTTATCCAAGGAGGCACCGGCCATAACTGCCCCAGGGGTTCCCCATGGCCAAGCCGACGATATCGTCCCCAACAACAGCAGAGTACAAAGTAAACTCAAGAAAACAGCCCGCATGTCGAAGGTTGATTGTAGGGACGAGGAAGAGAGCCGAGGATCAGGCGATCAGGTATTGCTCTCTGGGCTGGAAGTCGAACTGGACTGATCACGCCCCTTGCACAACACGACCTGATTGGTCCAAGAATGGGGGTTTTTCGTTGAAACTAGTGAAACTCTCGATCTGGCGTCTGTAGCAAGCAATTTCGATTGTCACGGGAGGTCGATCAAAAGGACGTGGAGCGCATGAAATGTTATTAATCCTTTAGCCAATCTAGACCCTGGAACATGCCGATCACCGGAGTGTGGGTTGTTGTGGAGGATTGTCGCTGGGGTTTCCAACTCAGAGCAACGACCGTGAATAGCTTCAAAGAGCACAGCAAACGAGTGTCTAGAACTTTCAAAAGATTGAGGAGCAGCGAGGGCGAGGGAGAAACCACAGCGTAAAGAAAGAGAAGAGATGTTTGACATGTAATGCGAGGCTAAACCCGAACGGGCGATAGTGGCTGTCAAGCATGTGAGACATCTCCTATTTATAGGGGGTCACCTGATTATTTCAATCAATCGATGATGATCCGATCTAAGTTATTGATTTCTAGTCATTGTTCATGGACGGGCACTTGTTCCCATTGATTTACCTCTCGCCTTCTGTCTTAGTCTCTATACCAACATGCATGGGACAGTACTACAATCATGGTCAACCTTCAGGACCTCCCACTTGAGCTCCTGCAGGGCATTCTGTCTTTCATTGCCAACAACAATGACATAGACATAGACGAGGAGTTTTGCGATGCGGGGAATGATGATCTATGAAATATCTGCCTAGTCTCGCGGGAATTCCGCGACTTAGCTCAACCTCTTCTCTTCCGCAACTTTACGGATGATGTGAATACCGATCGCAACAAAACCATCCGTTTCACCAAGGCAATCTATGAACGTCCTGGCCTTGGAGAGCATGTGCGCCACGTCACCATCAAGCCTCTCCCAATTAAATATACAGGTAAGGGTATCGCCAAGGAACACATCAAGTTCTACGAAGGCATCATCAAGGACCTTCAATTGGGCGATATGGAGAAAGAGTGGCTTATCTCCATGCGCAACGACGGAGTGAACGGGCTTGGTCTCCTCATAGCTTTGTTGGTCACCAAAACGCCCAATCTTCGTCACCTGCATATGCCGGACGGCCAATCCCGCGACAGGCCATTTCTATATTTCTTCAGTCGACATCCGTCGTTTTTGTCCAACCTCACGTCTGTATCCATTGAGGGCGACTACAAGGACACCGCGGTTATTATTCCGGATCACGAACAGCTTCTGTCCCTTCCCAAGCTCAAATCAGTGGTCATTGAGAGCGGTCACTTGGATCACTCATTCCCGTCTAGCTGGACGACTGGAACATTGTCGGCGGACGAATTTTCCTTCCAAGGATGCCATTTTGTGCCGGAGGCCCTCAAGAAATTTATGCGGGCGTGCAAAAGCTTGAAATCCTTCACGTACACCAAATTCGACGTGATTCCATCTCAGCGACCGTTCGGGGACCTACTCGAAACCCATCCTGAATTCAACGCTGCGCAGGCCACCGAAGAGGCTCTTCAGCACAAGGATACCCTCGAGGTCTTCTCCGTTGAGTTAGCCACTGATAGAGAGGGGTACGTGGACGTCAAGAATTACAATTCTACCCGCGTCAACTATGGCTCGTTCGCCGACTTCTCCGTGCTCAAGAAGATTTGCGTCTCCCACGCCTATCTTCCAGCACATCCTCAATTGCCGGCAACGCTAGAAAAACTACACATCTCTAGCTGTCATTCTTCCACTTGGGAAATGGCCCGGAACATCTCGACAGACTGCAAAAAGGGACTGTATCCGCAGTTGACCGAGGTGAAAGTCTCCGCACTGGATACCACTGCGCCGTTTAAACTTCCCTGGCATGAAATCCCAGAGGGCCATACCCCAGAGCAATGTTTGCTGTCTCTCCAGGATATGTTCAAGGGAACAAAGGTGGAGTTCGATATCTTGCCATACAAATTGCCACCACCCTGGGATGAAGACGAAGAAGACACAGAAGACGAAGTCCTCGACTTTGATATTTACGATGGTGATGACTTTGGGTATGATAATGATTATAATGATTATGACTACGGTGATAATTATGATAATCATTTCCCGTTGGGTCTGTAGATACACCTACCTATAACTTACCGACAGGCCTGCTGGATAGTCTTGTGCGGAATCTTCAATGGAATTAGGGTTCTTCACGCGCATCCAGAAGATGAAGTTTATAAGTTGCGGGAAGTATTGATGATGACTTGTACCTAGTTCAGTTGTTTCAGACTAGTTATGATCTCCCCCAGATACTATGTTTCCCCACTTACTATCTTTCTATAGGCCCTTCACGAATCATCAAAGCATCAACAGCCATCCACCCGAACGGGCGATAGTGACTGTCAAGCATGAGACATCTGCTATTTATAGGATTCACCTGGTTATTTCCATCGATTGATCTATTTAATTCTAGTCATTTTTCATGGACACGACTGACATGGATGATGAGTAGGTGTTCGTCCAGCTTGGGCACGGGCATATCGTCGAAGATTGCCCAGCAGTCCTGCTGGCCTCTAGAAAGCTGCCAGTGGAAGCAGCAACAACTTCGCCGTCAAAGTGGATAGATATACTCACTACCCGGGACTCCCACTGAAAGCACCAAACTGCGTGTCAATAAATTGTCAGACAAACATCCCAAATACCCAAACAGATACCCCAGGCACCAATCCCACAGAATGAAGTTATTCCCAAGCCTGAAAGTCATAGCCGTCACAGTTGGTCGCAGTCAACAGCACCTCGGTATCAGCGCCCCCTTTCCAGTCAAGCTCCTCTCTTTAGCCGGATTTTTTCAGCGTCGTCGATCGCGTCCCATACACGCTCTGCCAAGCTATGCAATAGCATTTCAGCTGCTAACACGAAATCATTTTCGCCTTCTCCTGGTTCATCCAACAGGAGAGTATGGAATGGTATGGTTAGGCCCTCCCCTTCAATCGTAGGATCGGGAGCCATCTCGCCCTCTCCTGCAGAGAACTCTCTGGGCGATCTGAGGTGGTGGGAGATTGTTGACGTGTCCTTTGACGACGTGGCTGCCGCTTACTGTGACATAGTCGAGTTGTGTTGATGGGTCGAATGCCGGGGTCCAGGATTCGATTTCAATGCAACCTGATCCTCTATTGATGTCGACTGTGACCCCCATTCTCACTTCGCCTTCCGATTCGTTGATCCACCAAGCGACGTCCTTTTCTAGTTTTGCAGTTGTCTCTGAAAAGCCGACTTCCAATGCCACCGTTGGAAATTTCCTTCCTTGACGGGCCGGCTTCCATGACCTGTCTGCCTGCTTGCTTCGGCCAGGAGTATCGATTCGAGTGGCTCCGCAGCCCGCAATTCGTCGAAAGACTTGCATCTTCTCGGCAAGTATCACAATCATTGCCTCGAAACTTACAGCCGCCTCCTCATGCTGTGGACCAGGCATTGTGATGATAAGGATCTGAAGTGGTGGTGAATAATCGCAGCGTTGTGGTAATACTTCCTCGCATTCGGCGAATATCTCCGACGGGAAATGTTTGAAGACAACGAAGCGATCCTCGACCGAATACGGAGGAAGGAGGCTCTCAATATTGCACTGTCGATCATAGCGGTAGACGGGCGTATCAGGAGGAAGGTGCTCGAGAAACGGATTTGCACCTTCCTCCGACACAACGCCCTCTTGATAGTCATGTAACATTTCAGCGAGAGGTGAATCTCTTTTCACCTTAGTATGAGCCAGCTAGGGGGATGATTGTTATGTCCAATGAATGAATGTCCGAGGTAGAGAGATATTGTCCGGCTTGTTCCTGAATATAGGTGTTTTTATCATGTCATCTATGGTCCACGATGGGCTTGAGAACCGTACTTCGATACAATGACGGCAAATCCCAGTAAATAATACAGAATACAATGACTAGAAAATACATGTATCACGACCCAATGCTAGCCAGTCTCAAAAAGCAAATTCCTTAAGCGGACTTTTTGGGCACAGCGTGGAGCTCAATCTTATCACAGCCAGCCGGGACAGCAGGCTCCTGCACCTTGCTGCTGAGGTAGTGCAGGTTAGGGAAGAACTGACCGGCCTGGAGATCGGTAGGGCACCCTTTAAAACAGTCAGCCTTTGTACTTCGACGAACACATCACCAATAAGCAAGAAAGGAGAGTAAAATAACTTACACAACCATCCGTCCCAGGTGGCGCTGGGACCCTTGAGGCCCTCGCGGCCGAAGGTGAAGCCATGGGATCCGTGAGTGGGCTTGATGCTGATCTGAGCACGCTCCTTGCGGGCGCCTATAATACAACCATTAGCATTCAAATTCCGATTGTACAGTTTCGTTCGAAGAATCTCAATATCAACTTACCCTCCACGTTGATCAAGTCCAAGGTCCAAGGGACTTTGGTGGTGTTGGACGGGGTGTTCAGGATGATGGTACCGTTGGTGAAACTGAAGGCAGCGGCGTGGCTGGCAGGGACACCGGAAAAGACGGCCTCGCTGTTGAGAGGGTCGTGGAGGATGCCGCGGCCGACAGAAAGGTATAGGTCATTGTGGGAGCTGTTGCTGGCGCCAGTGGTCTTCAGGTTGAAGAGCTTGTCGGATGGGACGGCGGCCACGGCGGTAGCCAGGAGAGCGATGGTGGAGAAGAACTTCATGTTGGGTAGTTGAGGATGGTAGGTTGAAAAGTGGCTGAGGGGTGTTCAATTGGTTTTTCTTTGTTTTTTTTTTCAAAGGTGAGTCTGATCTGTGATGGAGATGTGGCGTATTTATACTGAGATCCAAATCGATGAACACATGGTCCACGGGGGTGTGGAGTATAGGGATACCTATTTGGAGTGTCGAACGCCGATCCGGATTGGCATTTGTTTGGAAGAAAGTGTTGCTGGTCCTGAACCGAGGGGTTCATGTAGTCTTATGGGAACTATGTAGTGATTCGTTATTTTTGGGCTTCATCTATTTCTTGCGAATTTTCCGGTTTGTTCTTTGTTTTTCTTCGCATGCAAGGGACCTCTAGCCATGGGCTGATAGCCTGATGTACGATGGACGTACACCAGACTCCGGGATCTTGCTTGATCCACGCCTTGGTGGTGCCGTGTCGTTGTATGGGGTAAATGAAGGGGCTCATCCACTGGATTTTGAGACTGGTGATTGCAACCGACATTCGCGAAAACTTCCCAAGTGGGCATATCTCAGCCTAGCTTATAGTATCCGAGCCAGTCATGATTGATATCGAGTGCAGATCATATCCACTACTGTTTGTATCTGTTGATGGAGACTGAGGCATTAAGTGATGTCAATGGAGTGCATTTGCCTCGAGTATATTAGGTTGCACAATGATAGAAGAGACTTGTTCCACGAGTAGTTTCATGACCAGCAAGTCAAACGAACATATCAGAAGTTGTATGTACGACCTCCGACAGAACAAGAAGAACAAAGAGTCTGCCAAGACCCCGACCCTGTGGAGCTTCCCCTGAAAGTGGCCGAACTCGTTCATGAACTTCGGCTCGTTGCGACTTTGACGAAAATCTCTTGCCTATTTCACTCGGTAAAACCTCGCTTCTCCAGGACTTTGTATCAGGACGTGATAATTTGTGGACCTGTGGTCCCAATAAAAATAGCATACATCATACCTCGAGGGCCGAAAACATTATCAACATCCCGTGTTGCCCCTTTCTTTAGAAGGAGTAATAGTTAAGTTAGTTATCATATTGATTTGTACTTAGCGTACGCAGTACATCATGAACGGAGCAATGGATGAAGTTTTGATCAATGTGGTTTGTTTGAACAGCAGCCTGTCTAAAGCATGCGGAGAAGCCCTCTGAGGGTCCCACGGGGCGTTTTAAGCATGCGCCTTATGATCACCACCTGGTCACCTATGATAGCGGGCATTTCCGCATTTACCTCTCTCTAGGTTTGACTGTTGTGATTCACTGATTGCACGTGGGACGCTCGTTCCAAGGATTCGAAGAAGCAAATCATTCAACGACTTCTACTATCATCATACTATGTTCCTGGAGTCGATAGGAGGCGAGTGGATCGCCGTACCTGGAATTTCCCTACTGTGCAAAGTGCCTTCATCCATACTTGAATGGGTACTGATCCCAGCAGCACTTTTCGATCTCGAGCCCGCCCATCAGCTCAGCCCCAGGAACAAGTCGGCCCTGGAGAGCTTTGTTGCTCCTAGAACCTCAAGAGCCGCTAACGCTTCGGAGCCAAAATATGGAACATTGAAAGCCTTTAGGGCTTCGTATGGGAGGGTTCTGCCAATGGTTGGGCAATGGTGAGGCATGCCGATGGCCTGATGCTACCACGCTAACCAGATTAGGTTGTTTCATCAAGTTCGTGTCAGCGTCGCTGGAAACGGCAGGCGGTGGAGAACGAAGTTTACCGCCTTCTAGGAGGGACGGCTACTTGTGTAGGTTTTCGCGGCTTTCAAACCCCTCATTCGACAACTTCCATCAAGGGCATTGCATCGCAGTGCTAAGGGACGAGCAGCGTTACCATGGCACCAATGTCCCAAGATCAACCGGATGCCTTGCGCGAAGGCAGGCGTATCTATCTTGGTCCGGCCTTCACCAATCACACAACTCTACGGAGGTCCCCGACTGACCCAAACGTAACTAACAGGCAATCTACCTTACAAAGCTAGCCCCTACGACATCGGGGACCTTCTTACTGGACAAGGCTTCGACAAGATAGCTAACATTCACCTCTCTGTTGACCCTGTTAGCGCACGAAACCCCGGATACTGTTTTGTCGACTTTCTCGATAAGGAGTCTGCCGACCGTGCCCTTTCCACCTTTAGTGCCACGATCAACGGACGGCCTGTCAAGATCGGTCCATGCGAGCCCAAGAAGCAGCGCCTCATTGAACGAGAAGACAAGTACGCTTTCAAGCGATGGGGGGACTGGAACTCGCAGACCCGCAGTGGAAATAACACTGGTGGTCAACATGATGGCCAGGGAATCGAACAAGGCCCTACGGGTGCACTGACTCATTTCAACAATATGGTGGAGAATCACAAGGGGCGGAGGCTCTATGTCGGCGGATTAGACAAGATGGTAGACCAAGCTGAACACAACAGAGAAGTTGCTGATCTCCTGGCTGGCTTCAACCCGTACGCTCCTTCCACTCTCATACTATCAAGTATACTAGCTAATCTCAACCTGTACACCAGAATCGCAATTGGCAAACGCATCACTCCGGACGAATACACGAGGTCTTTTCCAGGCAAACACCATTACTGCTTTGTTGACTTTGAATCCAAGGCGGACATGGATGCAGCGATCAAAACACTCAACGGCAGAGTGCACAGGGGCGGTCGGTTGAAGGTAGTTCCAGCACGACCTATTCCGAAGGCACTCAAGGATAGGCATTTGGGATTGATAGAGAGCCGTTTTAAACATGAAGGAGATAATGTCTCCGAGACTAACGACATGGCGGGGCCAAAGCGAGCCCTTGAATCCAGCAACTGGCGCAGGAGGGATGATTGATAATTGTATATCAAGTTTTTCCTTTCACGAAAATTATCCCTGTCCTTCATGGCATCCACTAGCTCGGCGGCTCTAATACGCTCATACCTCTTACACTGTCCAACACAACAAGCCGATGGCTGACAACAGCTCTCACCTGGCGGTGACCAAATCACGAACGTGGAGCACCAAACGAGCTTCAAGGATGACCCCGATATGGCTGTAAAGAAGGCTGCTGAGTGGGTCAAAGACAATATGACAATTGATCTGCGTGGTAGTTTCCAATAAAAGTGTATTTCATTCTGCAATCCCAGCAATAAAATGGCTAATAAGAGGGAAATCTATATCCCTAGGCTTTCAGGAAAAAAAACTTAAGAACACATGTATCATCGGTGTATACGCAAAGCACAGTCCACTTGGTTGTTGTGCGGTGCTTTACGGGTATCGGTGTTTGTATTATCGTTCCTCATCATATCGTCAAATCCACTATCGTACAGCCACATCCCCTTGAAAGGCTGTGATGGCCTCATTGTGCCCGATTATTGGCATTCCGGGCAAATTCAGGCTTCAAAGTCCATCGGCCGCGACGGTCACGGCCGTGCTCGAGCGTCGCAACCTTTTTCAATGACTCTTGAAACTCAGCAACACGCTGAGGGTTGGTGCAATAGTGATCAAAGTGATTGACAATTGACTGGGAGAGTGTGGGCCCACGTTGAGAGGCAAGGAAGTCACGGATCAATGGCATGAACTCTTTACCCCGTGGCATACGTGCCGACGAAGTATTATTGGTAGCATTGGCTTGCCCAGCGGCAGCGGGGTTCAGCCTGGCCAACAGGTCGGAGGAGGAAGGCCCTGCACCAGCAGGTCGAGCTGAGCTACCACATTCGCGACCACCCATCCCAAATCGACCGGTCCAGGTGGGAAGTCCAATGGGAAGTGACCGAGCAGTTTCTTCAGCTCTACGAAGCTCCTCGGAGGCTTCGTTAGCGACGCGACGGGCTTCAGCTTCAATCATCTTCGGGTCCGCACGAATAACCCGCTTTCCATTTATGATCTGATCGTGTTCGAGTGCAGAGTGTACGCCAGAACGAGCGAAGATACCATGCATAATGCGGTCTTCGGAGGACTTCGTATTTTTCTCCTCTTCGGTGGTGTTCTGGAATTCTTCGACATTGGCAACACCATGGATATCGGTGATCCCGTCTTCTTCCTTCTTCACGGTGGTTTGAGCAGACTTGCTTTTACTGTCACTGGGATCTTTGCCTTCTTCTTGATACACAACTTCGGCGTTCTTGAAGAGTTTGGTCGTTTCCAGCTCGTTATCGTCTTCGTCGGTAAGAGTGAACAGATCATAAAGATCACTCAACTGGAACCCCTCCCGTTGATGGGGATCACGAGTGATTTTGTTGGTCAGGAATTGCTTGAAGATTTGACGGTGGTAAATCTTCTCTTCAATCGTGCCTTTTGTCATAAGGCGGAAGATGGTCACGTCACGTTTTTGACCCAAACGCCATGCGCGCTCTCGCGCCTGCAGGTCCGTCGATGGATTCCAGTCGGGATCGAAGATAATGACACGGTCAGCACCTGTCAGGTTGACTCCGATCCCGCCAACACGGGTGGTGAGCAAGAAGACGTGGAGATCGGGGTCATTGTTGAATGTATCAACTAAGTTCTGACGCTCCTTGATTGGAGTAGTCCCGTCCATTCGGCGATAATTGAATCCACCCAGCGTCCCGAGAAACTTCTCAATGATGTCCAGCATCAGACGACCCTGGGTGAACAGCAGGGTCTTATGGCCGGTATCTCTCCAGACCTCAAGCAAGCCCTTCAGGACCTGCATTTTGCCAGACCGCTCTTCTGCCCCATAGTCGGCATCGTGAGATCGCAAGGTGTGGTCCGCTAGGTCTGGGTGGTTACTGATCTTGCGCAGTATGTCAATTCCATACAACGAATTTCGTTTCCCGCGGATGATGGATTTCATGTCGTCTGAGGCAAGGAACCTCTGGTAAATGGTTCGCTGGAGCTTGGTTAATTTACAGAAAATGACCTGCTCGCTCTTCTGCGGCAGATCGGATGTCACATCAGACTTGAACCGCTGGAGCAGATAGGGGCTGATGGCATCTTTGAGGGTCTCTGCGCATTTCGCAGCAGTCTGCACCTGAAGGTTAGATGCTGATGCATACCCTCCCTGACGGATAGGAATTTCAAACTGATTCTTGAAGTTGACAAGGTTGCCCAGGCGCATCGGGAAAACGAAGTCAAATAGGGACCAAAGATCGACGAGACTGTTCTGCATTGGGGTCCCTGAAAGAATGATGCGATGTGGAGTGCGGAGTTCCTTGCAGCTGAAAGTGATACCAGCGTCTGGATTACGTATTTTATGACCCTCGTCGAGGATAGCGCAACCCCATTCGACGTCAACAAGAGCATCCGCATAAGATTGCAGACCAGAATAAGTAGTCACGAGGACGTGTCCCTCCTCTGTGACACGCTTGATGATCTTTTTAGCTGCTTTCTGACCAGCTGACAGGTGACGAGAGCCTCCGCTGCCCATCATTTCTGATGTGAGCGCATTCTCCCTGCTGCTTTCCTTTCCAAGGTTTATCATTCCGCTTCCAGACGAGTGTAAGATGGAAACACGGAAAGGCGGCCACCACCGATGGAACTCATTGACCCACTGTTTCATGAGGGTTGCAGGGCAAACAATAATGGCAGGCTTGGTGAGCTTCTTGCTATGATGCAACGCTGCGAGATAAGAAATCGCCTGGATGGTTTTCCCTAGCCCCATCTCATCTCCAATGATTCCGCCAACAGTTTTCTGGTGCAACTCCCAAAGCCACTGGACTCCAGTTTTCTGATAGGGAAATAGATAGCGACTGATATCTCCAGGAACACGGAAACCGTTGTCAAGCTCCATGGATGGTTCAGTGGGGTGTGGCTTAAGCCACTCCTCTTCCTCATTCGAGTCGGCCTCGCTGGAATAACCCTCAGCGTGCCGTCGAGCAGAGCTTCGGCGACTGATCCAGTCCTGGACACGAGTCTGATACACTGTCTCGTTGCCATCATCAACTCCGCTGAGATCTTCTAGCTCAGCAGTTGCGCTTCCCTGCTTGCGCTTACGACTCGGCTTGGTGTCAGGCAGTGTATCGGGCATGAACTCCTCGCCCTCAGACGTAGCATCTGAGGCAACATAACTTGCTTCAGAATCCGCTCCAGGAGAGGTACGTCGACCGACCTTCCTTCGCTTCGTCGGGATTGGCTCCTCGAAGTCAATATCTGGACGCGCAAGGTCCCGATGGGATACGGCAGGATGGGTTTTGGCTTCTTCGCGCTCCTGCTCCTCCTCATTCTGTTGCTCCTCGGTATCAGCAAGTGCATCTTGGAGGTTGGCAATTAGCCCATCTCCAGCACGCTCTTGCATTAACGCAAACGGGGTGATCTTTCCGGTTCGTAGGAGGTAATCCCGGCGAGACTCGTTCGGCAGCCGGCCAGTCCCGTGTGCCACGGTCGCATTGCCCTGCGACTCGCGCCTCTTGTCAATGCGCTGTTGTATTTCCTTCACATCTTTCCCAAGATCTATCTTATGAGTCTGCAGCCTTTTCAGCTCATTCTCGACCCGATGGCGAGTGGCAGCCCCGACATGTTGTGTTAGGCGGTGTTGCGCTTGGCGGATCTGAGAATCAACTCGTCTGATGTTCTGGTTAGAGATGCCATCAAATTCTCAAGATTTGATCTTACTCCCGATCTATAAGGGCTTTCTCGAGCCGCTTGATGTCATTCTCTTCAGCTTTATCTGCTAGAGCTTTATCGGCCTGAAGGGAGATAGATGTGAGCGAGGAGTACTAGCCACCTAAGCTTTCCATCATACCTGTCTAGTAATGTCTCTTTCGAGATCATCCTGGTTGCGGACGTCTGCTTGAAGGTCCCGCAGGCGACTCGCTTCGTCATTTGTGGTCATGGTGGCTGTGTAACTAGAGAATATATGCAGCGACCATGCAAAGTAGACTAGAGCTGTTTGTTCTGTGCAAATGACGGCATAGTGGATGATCAAAGAGCGAATAATGTACGGAACAATACCGGCACAGGCAGTAACAAGATTAGTTCAATCGCATCCAATCTAGATCCCTCTCGGAGGCGACGGCACAATCAGCCACCGCCTAGGACACCGCTCACGTGAATTGAGACTGCTTTAGCTCAGACCGGCTGAACAGCCCTCCAGAATCCAGGGCCAGAGATAGATCACTACTGTTGTTGTTCGGTGTTATTTTCACTCTGAAAAACCACCTGTTTTGGTATTTTCAAAGGCTCAAACGCCCCTTTCTCCCTGTTTCATCGTAGAACGCTCCTTTTTCGTTTTGTTCATTCTAGGGGTTCAGCTTCTACAGTACACTGCCCACTGTGGATTCGTGGAATCGATGACGTCGCAACACCTCCATCAAACATATGTATGAATATTGAATGGGTTTGTTTTACACTGCATGCTCTTTATTACTCTGTCGAGGTGCAAATCTTGAAATCAGGTATTACCTCAGTATTGAACAGTGTGCTATTGGGCTCGGACAGTTGGGTATGCAATGGTGTCGATCATGCGAAAGAGTCACGTCCAAGGAGACAATCTATTACACAGTACTGTGTATGAGGCTTCGAGTATGAGAGGAATTGAATGTATTTGAGTATGTTTGGAGCTCGTAATTTGCAGATATGTGTAATTGGATGCTCTTCTAGCTCTAACCTTGGAACACGAAACGATGAAGTCTAAGAGATATTGGCGAGTAAGGTTCACTCCACCTCTTCTTTCGATTTCCCCTCTTCTTGATCTCTCTGTCTCTGTGTGCGTTCATGAGCTCAGCTGTTTTAACTACTAGTTGATGCCAGCGTTGTCTTCGTTGGTTGCCCGTTTCTAACGGGTTTCAACAGTCTATTGACTTGGCTGAGCTCCCCAGCCGCGTACGTTTACTGCGTCGCAACCAAATTGCGACCGTCCCCCCTCTCCCCTTAGGAACTTGTCTTCACCAACAATTTCTCAGATGATGAAGAATACCACCCGATCACTATAACACCAATTCCATACTTTTCATTTCCCTCCCCTCGAATTGCGGCAAGGCTCGTCTTGCACCTGCGGTCGCATTCCGAGTGCCATCCCCGCTGGCATCCCACGGACCCTGATCGCAGCACTCGAGACATCGATCTCGACCCTCGCCTGTGATATTCGAAATAGGGGCTTTGAATTATGGATCCCGGGTGGCAACCATACCAAGATCCTATGATGGGTCATCCCCCGCAGTTCAATACTGCGTTGGCATCTCATCCCCAACAACTGACCTCGAAATACGGTCAGCCGCCGCAGTCACAGCCGCCCGCTGGGTACACATACGAGCCCTTTCAGACCCCTAGCACGGCACCAAAAGCCCCTTCAACCGGCACAAATTCGAAGACGGTCTCGATGGCCTCATCACCTACCGCCACGCCACGTACTCGGGATTATGTCACCGATGCGGATACCACCATGGAGGACGCCGACCCGTACAACCGGGCGAAGTACCCGTCGAGGCCAAACCACAATCGCGCATCTTCACAATTCTTGAATCAAGCAGAGGAATCGTCGGCTGCTCGCAGGTATTCTCCGGGGAATGTCCTGTCGCCGCCCATGTCGTATCCCACCAGTCCGGGCAAGTCGCAGGGCACTTATGGATTCCCCTCCGCGCCCCAGATTGCTTCTCGGCGGTCGCCTTCGAAACCTGAATACGCATCACCGCCGCAAGGATATCATTCGCCTCCATGTGAGTTCCAAATTAGTCAACGTGTCCTTTCCTGCTCATTTGCTGATGTCTTGACAGCCAACCGCGCCCCTCGGCTCCCTCCCCTTCAATCCGGTGATATGAGCCCAGACCAATATTTCCCGCCGTCGGCGTCTTCACACATGAGCCCAGGCTATGGGCAGGGATCGCGATCCCCACGGTCCGGCTCGTTGCCCTCCCAACCCCCCCCTGATGCCTGGTCGTGGTCCTGTGCCCAAGTTCCGAAAGATCCAGTCTGTGCAAGAGCTCCAGCCCCGTATGAATGTACAGCCTGCATATCGGCGCGCCAATCCAGAGGGTGGTTTTATTAGTGTGAGTGGTCAGAAAACATCTACACTGTATGATAATGGACTAATGCCGGCCAGCCACTTCAATCGTTGACAACCCACCTCCCGGCCACTTACCGCATATGCAACCCGGGATTCAATTACGAGTCTTCGAGAAACCCACGACGAGTATTGACCAAACCCAGCAAAGGTGTCAAAAACGATGGGTATGACAACGAGGATAGTGATTATATCCTTTATGTCAATGACATCCTTGGGAGTGAGGACGCCGGTCATAAGTATGTCCCCGTCTCTCTGGATGGTTGAGCCCTCGCTGACATTGGCCCTTCTTTCACATCTAGGAACCGATACCTCATTCTGGACGTTCTCGGTCAGGGTACCTTCGGACAGGTCGTGAAATGCCAAAACCTGAAGACGGGAGAAGTAGTGGCTGTGAAGGTCATCAAGAACAAGACTGCCTATTTCAACCAGAGTATGATGGAAGTATCTGTTCTGGATCTGGTATGTTTATTCTTTCTTCCTCCATTCGGAATCCCACTAACTCCCCGCAAGCTCAACAGCAAATATGACAAGAACGATGACCACCACCTACTGCGACTCAAGGACACGTTCATTCATCGCCAGCATCTATGTCTCGCGTTCGAACTACTCAGTGTCAATCTCTACGAGTTGATCAAACAAAACCAATTCCGTGGACTGAGCACCACTCTTGTCCGTGTGTTTGCGCAACAGCTGCTGAATGCTCTGAGCTTGTTGAACAAGGCCCATTTGATTCACTGTGATTTGAAACCAGAGAACATCCTCCTGAAAAAGTCGGTCACCTATCTCCTTCCCTCAGAGTCTGATTCTAACTGCTTATAGTCTTGAGAGCCCGATCATCAAGGTCATTGACTTCGGTTCTGCATGCGATGAACGCCAGACAGTTTACACCTACATTCAATCGCGGTTCTACCGATCTCCAGAAGTACTGTTGGGCTTACCGTACGTCCAGCTGTCTTTGATATTATGTACCTCGCTAACTTACTAAAAGGTATTCATCGGCGATTGATATGTGGTCTCTCGGCTGTATCGTCGTGGAACTGTTCCTCGGCCTCCCTCTCTTCCCCGGTTCTTCGGAATACAACCAAGTCTGTCGAATAGTCGAGATGCTGGGTATCCCCCCAACGTGGATGTTGGAGATGGGCAAGCAGTCTGGGGAGTTCTTCGAAAAGACCCAGGACGAGTTCGGGAGAAAGACGTACCGTCTGAAGAGCTTAGAGCAGTACTCTCGTGAACACAATACGAAAGAACAGCCAAGCAAGAAGTATTTCTCCGCGTCGACCTTGGAGGAAATTATCCGAAGCTACCCAATGCCTCGGAAGAACATGAAGCAGGCTGAAATTGATCGAGGTAAGTACCTTCTTCTTTTCTCGCGTGGGGCATGGCTAATCATCGCAGAATTAAACAATCGGATTGCATTCATCGACTTTGTGCGCGGACTCCTGTCGATCAACCCTCTCGAGCGGTGGTCGCCACAACAAGCCAAGTTGCACCCATTCATCACTCAGCAGAAATTCACTGGGCCATTTATGCCGCCAATGAATCTGAAGTATTCTACAGCAAACAAGCCCGCGCCGGGTGTTCAGCAACAACAGCAGGCCGAGGCCGCCAGCAAACAGAGAGCAGCGCAGGCGGCGCATGCGCAAAATGCGTATGCCGTGCAAATGAATCAGTTCCACACTCCTCCTCAGCCTCACCCACAGGCCCCACCCATGTACAACGGCATGTACCAACAAGGCGCACCACCTCCCCCCCTACCCTGCTCAGCAGCCCCCAGGTTACGGTCACCAGATGGGTATGATGCCAAACAACCAGATGCCCTCGCAAAGTCTCTACGCACAAGCAACTACACGAGCGGGACGTCAACGAGCATCTACTATGGACCCCAACGGAGGAATCCCGTCGACGATCCAACGAGTTGCTAGCCACTTGGACCCCAATGCACCCATCCGGTTGCAGCCGAGCCCAGCTTACTACCCACCGCCTCCGGATGGATATGTCGATCCTAACACCAGTCAACGGCGCCGCGGGAGCCGAGTGGGCGATACCAACCAGCGCAACCGAGACTTCATTCGCACTCTTGAGGATGGGGTGCTGACCGAAGGATACATGGGTCAGAACCAATGGCACTAGGGCAAACCGGCAAAGGGCCTTTGATGAGCCCGGTTTTTCCTTTACTTTGAGCGCTGGCTGGCCATGCTGGATACATTTTCGTCCAATCCGAATGTCAATGATCCCAAGGCACTGTGATGTAGGCCTTACTGCATTGACGCACCCCCTGCGAGCCACTACGTCGTTACCTCGCTCGGCTCTTGTAGGCATGAGTCAAAAATGCCCCTTCCATCGACACGGCCAACGATGGTCTTGGACCGCTGATACACGATCTGCATTCCTAGTACATCGATCGACCAACACGCTTGCACGCCACGAGCTGTGTCCATCAGTGGTCAAATGCTTCGTTGCAACAGACTACTCCGCGCATCATCATTGTTTCATTGCGTTTTATTACGTTTCTTGCTGCGTTACGATCCCAATTATGTTTCGCTATTTCTTTTATTAGGCAGGAATTCGGTATACCTGGCTTGCCTTCGTGAATTTTCTCTCTCAGCATAGCCTGGATGGAGCATGGAAGAACAATCTCGTCCATTTTTATGTCCCCACGTAACTGTTCCAATAAATATTCGACTTTTTCGGGGAAATACATGGACCTGTTTTCATTTCGGGGTCAATTTTACTTGTATAGGTTGTCTGTTTTGGCACAGAGTGAGTAGCAGAGGAGAGTCGAATGATAAATCCAGTCTTTTCTGGAGATTTGTTTTGCCTCTTCGATGCCTGATCGGTCAGGCCATGTTCACCCTCATGACGAGATCTGGGGCAATTTCTCATTTTCGACCATTTTGGGCTGAATACAGTTTCATTTCCTGCTTTCCATCCTATGCTGTAAAGTATTCAACCAACAATACGAGTAAAAGCTGCCAGTAAAGGCCGTTCGAGAAGTATAAAAAGCGTTCACAGTTTCTTTGTTCCGGACTATTCCCGATTGGGTTTAGTCAGCCCCTCGCTTAAATTTCGTGTGTGGCTCTCAACTGCGGGAACTTCAACTTCTTGTCGCCGACGACCTGACTTTTCAGCTTTAGGATCGCCATTTCCTTTTACCGAAACCGTAATCCGCAACCATGGCGTCGCGATTCTTCTACGGCAGCGGCAGCGACAGCGACAGCTCGTCTGACGAGGAGGAGGTCTACCGTTCCGGCTCCGACAGCGATGAGGAATCTTCCGAGGAGTCTGACTCCGGTTCCAGCACCGACAGCGATGAGGAGGGCGAGGACCACCGCACCGGTGCCTCTAAGTTCTTGCACGATGATTCCGACAGCGAGGAGAGTGAGGAGGAGGAGAAGGTCACAATCGTCAAGTCGGCTAAGGACAAGCGTCTCGAGGGCATCGAAAGCACCATTCGCCTGATCGACAATGCCCAGAAGATCAACGACTGGGCCGTTATCGCCACTGGTGAGTCTACACAATATTCGGATGGACTTGGACACTCGGAGAGATTGAAGAGTGATGAGATGGAATCACTGACAGGATTTTTACACAGAGTTCGACAACTTGAACCGCCAGATGTTGAAGGTTACCGGTCCTACCCCTAAGGTCTACATCCAGGCTGTCGCCGACCTCGAAGACTTCACCAACGAGACCGCCGTCAAGCAGAAAGCCTCGAACAAGAAGATGAACGCTAGCAACAGCAAGGGCTTCAACTCTGTCAAGCAGAAGATCAAGAAGAACAACAAGGAATACGCCACTTTGATCGAGAAGTACCGCGCCGATAAGGATGCCTTCATGACGGAGGAGGTTGAGGTTGCTCCCGCCCCTGCTCCCGCCCCCAAGCCCACCAAGGTCGAGAAGATCGCCAACTTTGCGGCCGCCGCCGCTCTTGGTGCTGAGGATGATGGATTCGCTACCGTTGGACGTGGTGGCAAGACCCTCCAATACACCCCGGAGAGCATCCTCAAGCACCTCCGTGTCATTGTTGAGTCTCGTGGAAAGAAGAACACCGACCGTGCCGATCAGATCCGCACTATGCAAAAGCTCCTCGAGGTCGCCACTACTCCTTACCAACGCATCCGCACCTACATGACCCTGATCTCTACCCGTTTCGATCTGACTGCCACATCCGCTGCCACTTACATGTCAAGTGAGCAATGGCAGGCCGCTAACGAGGAATACTCCGCTCTCCTTTCAGTCTTGGAGGAGAACCGTCAATTCATTGTCAGCGAGACCGCTGATGAGTGGGAGGACGATGAGAAACAACCCACCGTTGCCGAGGGCGAGATCTTCTTCATTCCCGGTTCCGTTGTCTCGCTCGTGGAGCACCTCGACGACAGCCTCACCAAGGGCCTTCGCGAGATCGATCCCCACACCTCAGAGTACATTGAGCGCCTCACAGACGAGCAGGCTCTCTACTCCTCGCTTGTTCGGTCACAGCTTTACGTCGAGAGCCTCAGGGGTGCTGATAAGAACGGCCAGGACAGCATGAACAGACTGGTCCTCAGACGCTTAGAGCACATTTACTTCAAGCCTTCTAATGTTATCGCCATTGTCGAGCAGGCAAAGGACAAGGCAGTCCCCACGACTATTAAGTCAGAAGTCACTGCCACCTACCAGTCCGGAGATATTCAGAGCCTTGTTGCTTCCATCTGCAATTACCTGTTCGCACACAGTGACGGCATTCCTCGCGCTCGCGCCATGCTCTGCCAGATCTACTTCCTCGCCTTGCACGACCACTACTACAAGTCTCGCGACTTGATGCTTATGTCCCACCTGACTGAGAACATTGGCACTTTCGATGTTAGCACTCAGATCCTCTTCAACCGCACCCTTGTTCAGATTGGTCTCTGTGCCTTCCGCAATGGCCTCATCTACGAGGCCCAGAACACCCTTGGTGAGATCTGCGGCACCGGCCGCCAAAAGGAGCTTCTCGCCCAGGGTATCATCATGCAGCGCTACTCCACTGTCTCGCCGGAGCAGGAGCGTCTGGAGCGCCAGCGCCAGCTGCCCTTCCACATGCACATCAACCTCGAGTTGCTCGAGTGTGTCTATCTCACCAGCAGTGCCTTGCTTGAGGTGCCTCTGATGGCCCAGACTTCTTCCGCCCCCGAGTTGCGCCGCCGCATGATCTCCAAGACTTTCCGCCGCATGTTGGACTACAACGAGCGCCAGATCTTCACCGGTCCCCCCGAGAACACCCGTGACGGTGTCATCGCCGGTGCCAAGGCTCTTGCCGCTGGTGACTGGAAGCTTTCCGCCGAAACCTTCGCCGCGATCAAGATTTGGGACCTTATGCCCCAGCCCGAGAAGATCAAGACCATGCTGTCCCGCCAGACCCAAGAGGAGGGTCTGCGCACCTACCTCTTCACCTACGCCCCTTACTACGACAGCCTCTCCATCTCTTCCCTGGCCACGATGTTCGAACTTGAGCCCAAGAAGATTGTCTCCATCATCTCCCGCATGATCTCGCACGAAGAGCTCGCCGCTGCTCTCGACCAGGTCAACGACGCCATCATCTTCCGCAAGGGCGTCGAGCTCTCCCGCCTCCAGTCCCAGATTGTCACCCTGGCCGACAAGTCCACCAGTCTCCTCGAGGCCAACGAGAAGACCCTCGAGCAGCGCACCCAGGGTATGGCCAACGCCTTCCAGCGCGAACACGGTCCTGGTGCCCGTGGCGGCCGCGGTGGCCGCGGTCGTGGCGGTGGTCGCGGCGGTGCCCGCATCCCCCAGGGCGATCGCCGACCTGGTGGTCAGCAGTTCGGTGGTGGTGCATTGGGCGCAGCGATCAAGGCTTAGATTGTGATGTAATGGCATGTTCTTCTCTTTTTCTTCATGGTTTCTTTTTTACTCCTGTCATCCCCTCATCTGTTAGTACGACCGTTCCTTGCTTTATAGGTCGGAAAAATTGCCCCTGTTCTTTCTGCGCTTTTTATTGGTGATTGATCGACATGATATTCACGTATGGAAATGATCGAGAAAGAAGCAAGGTGCATATGGTTAGAAATTGATGCCTTATGGAATAGTTCTTATTGTGTCTGTGTAGGCTCTTAGATAGTTGTGTAGTTATACGCTAGCTGCGACCCCGTTTACTAGCTCGCTACTTTCGTATGTCTCCAGGACTTGCAACCTTGCAAGAGCCCGCTGTTGATTTGTTACTCGTTTGGATTCTTTTTGTTCGTTGAACCTGTGACTTGCGATATCGTCCATCTCAACTTCGGCTCCGGGGAAATGTTCCGACTACAGACTACCTACACGGGACCTTCCTCCACTGGCTTCGATATGGCGCATGTTGCTTACTAGGTATCCCCATGCTACGGAGTAGTTGTAGCCTTGTAGGTAGGCATATAAATATTTACTGAATAATGATACCTTTGTTTCAATTGACGACGTTCAAACATTGCACCTATTCCCATACTTCAGTTAATTTCTGTAAAGCACCCAACTCTAAGAATCAAGATACCACCAAACAAAGCCTTGCAAATCCCCTCCCAACCTCACATGGAAAACAGCGTAGACCCAAGCTACGCTCAGACCCTAACAAATCACACAACCATCTAGTCAAGCAGCCTGGGAAGCCTTAGGAGGGTACTTCTTGCCCTCCTTCTCAACCTGAGGAGTGCAAGAGCACCACTCACCCTCGGGGATGGTGTCCATCACCGAAGGGATGTGCAGACCACAGCCGAACCAGGTGGACTTCTCTGTTGAAGTAGTTAGCAGGTGTTTAAGGTACATCGATGGATGGGGTAGTGCGGGTGGCGAGGACTTACTGCAGGAGGAGCAGGTAGCTTTCTTACACATGATGCTGGGATTTGTAGCGGATGGATGGGAGATCAGTGGTTTTTCAGCTCTGGAGTAAGATTGGAGTAAACTGGAGATAGGTCTGGGACCTGGTTTGACATTGCGTAGTTTTTATATTCCTCGGCTTTTAACTCCGATATTAGTCATAGCCGTGCGGTTTGAGGTCGCCGATGTTAGAAGCCCGAAGTCCCCGATGTGCTTTGTTTAGGGGTTTAATTTGTGAGAGAAGAGGAAATTGTAGAATTGCGGAAATGGAGTGTTCTAGACTTTATAGATGGTGGTGTTAGCCTCAGTTAGGGCTCTTGGAAGACACCTAGTACTACCGAGTCCGTAGTCTCGAAAAAGAGCGATGGCCCATGAGCCTTAAGTGGGGGGTATCGCGGGGAATCAACCGAGATCGTCTTCAACCATCTTCAACGGTATTCTATATCCAACATGACTGTCATTGCTGTAGCCGGCGGAACTGGTGGAGTGGGGAAGACCATCGTGGAAAAATTGCTGGAATCCGAATTCGACGTGGTCGTGTTATCTCGCAGTGTACGCAACCTATGGAACTCACTCTTCTAGACCAGACATTTACCTTCTTCCCAGGTGAAACAAGACTCTGCTTCACAGAAACCTCAGAATGTGCAAATCAACTACGACGATATTCCCTCAATGACACACAAGCTCGAGCAACACAACGTCCACACTATCATCTCCGCCATTGGTCTTCTTTCTGACGAGACAAGCCAGTCCCAGTTAAATCTGATTGAAGCAGCAGAGAAATCAGCATCGACGAAAAGATTCATTCCTAGTGAATATTCATTTGTTCAAACCGAGGAGTATGTCAGCCAGATCCAGTTTAGTACTTATTCCGTGCTGATGAGTGATATTCAACTTACCAGTCTACTCCCAATCGACCCCAGCATCCAGTACTGGCTCGATGCGGCGAATCGTCTCAAGGCTAGTACCTTGCAATATACCAGGGTAATTCCTGGGTTTTTCATGGACTATTGGGGAATGCCAAATGTTCAAACTCATCTCCAGCCCTTTACATTTGGCATCGATATAGCCAGCGGTACCGCTGCAATCCCAGGCGATGGCAACAACGTGATCTGTATGACATACACGAACGACATGGCTACTTACCTGGTCAAAGCACTTGGTCTTGACCAGTGGCCTGAGTTTACTGTCATCGTTGGAGATGAAGTCACCTATAACCAGATCCTCGACATGGCGGAGGAATTCACCGGTATGCATAATGGCCCTCACTTGTTACAGACTTGCTAATTGATCACTGGGGACAGGCAAGAAATTCAAAGTCACTTATGATAGCCTGGAGAAGGTTATGTCGGGCGACGTCACTGTTCCGCCTCAGCCAGGGAGCGTGGATGCCTCGTCGGATGAACTCAAGGAGACGACTGCTTTGGTGAGCAGGCTTACTGTTAGTAATGTCTTTAGCTTGCCGGATGATCGTCTCAATGCTCGGTTCCCGGAGGTGAAGCCAATCACGATGAGGGAGTTCTTATACAAGGCCTGGAAAGGAAGCAGTGCATAATTCAAATCGTCTTACTTCAGTGCCGCAAAATTCAGTACTACTGCATGGATTGGATTGTTGAAACTTTTGCAATACACAACAAATTGGTAATATCAAACACGCGGTCCCTGGAATAAGATGCCTGCAACACAGCCATCCTTATGACACTAGCAAACCGGTCCAGGACGCTCAACTCCAACACAGACCTGTGTGCCGGGAATCAGATTCGAGCACCGTGCGTTGATATCGGTATTCCAGCACAGGAGCTGGCCCATAGTGACCTTGTTCTGGTTCGTTGCGATAATTGACCAGCAGGTATCTCCATTATTGACAGTATAGGTCTGGTTGCCTGCTTTTGTGTCAGCCACCACTCCAATCACGTTCGTCCTAGCCCAACTCACAATACTGGGTCAACCTCCACGCCTGAGCAGTATCAGCAGTGTCAACGGCCGCAGATGTGCCAAGGGAAGCAATGCCCAGAATGCAAAGGAGAGAACGGATGTTGATGGCGACCATTTTGTCTCTGTTGCTGCCGACTTTGGCGTTTCTGTTTGGTGGTAAGAGGTAATTGAGGCTGGAGAGTAATGTGTATTACGCTGTGGAAAAGAAGAATGGTTTGGGAGAGTTGTGTCCTCTTTTATGTATTCAACCGTCTTCGCCTAAGGCCAAAGTAAGCATGATCATTGTTTCGTTAGCGACATAGTTTACCTCATTGCGCAGGTGCTTGCAATTGGGGAAACACCATCCTTGCCGCTCAACCCAGCTGAAGAAATCGTTACAGGTTGCACCCAACGTCCTGTTATTGTAACCACATATGCTGCTTGGCAATGAGACGTCTGAAATGATGTGGACGGCCAATATAGCGGCAAATCCCAAGCCAACCAATTGATTCGACGGGTCAAACCTCGCCGTACCTTCATTTATCCTCATTACTCGATCTATGGCTCGGCTCGGTCGGCCGAAGTTCACCTTCTGTTCTACAGTTACATTGCTTTCATGCAGAGGATAGTGTGACAGCTTGAACTTCGACCATTCACCTGGTAGGGAGCCAAGGTGGTGTAAACTCATGGCTAAGACAGAGCTGGATCGTGCGACGATAGTACAATGTGTAAGGCGGTTGGTTGAGATACAGTCACTCTGTCAAGGCTGTTAAAGGCTGGCGGTGGTTCGTGTGTTTCTGTTTTGGTCCTATAGATCGCGCCTGTTATACAGAGTAACCCAGCGATGTGGTACGGTCTATCGAATATTCGACTCACCCCACAACACGAGAATATTGTGCGACGCCAAACAAGGCCAAGCAGTATACTCTGCACTAGAAACGTTCTCACAACGACAATGATCTCGAACAGCCAAACCAATCTCTGCCAGACAATTTCCATGAACTGAGGGTCTAAGCGACGTCAACTGGCGAGTGCCGAGCATCTGGGTCCAGAATCCAGATCATATACTACCTTCAGTGAATCCGATCCAATGCTCTGGTCTCCAGGAGAGGGCCCAGATCTCGCCCGATCTCGAGGCTGAGGTCGATCGAGGCGTCGGAACGAAATATCATAAACTTCTGGAATCCGGGGTTGCGCAGTGCGTTTTTGGTCGGTATTGGCTCGCCGGCCATCGTTTCTCAATGGTTGCACGATGGAATGATGTTGTTCCACTGGCTAGGGCAATCCCTCTGTCATTTTTGTTTGATGATCTGTCCTCCGTCGTGGGCAGACATTGATGAAGGGACAATAAGATACGGCACAATGCCGGCCAGGACAACGGCGCCCAATCAGGGTTAGAACTGACATCCTCGAGCTCTTGAACAAAGATCGCAGAGTCCTCACAATGCCTTCCGTAGAATCTTGACGACCATTCCTCACTGTGAGTCACCTTCCAGGTGATTCTTGCCTTCGCTTTTCAGCTCCCTGGCAATGTACTCCAGCTCATGATACCGGTGCAAATCCTCTAGCTGACGACCCTGGAAGAGTTTACATTCGAACATATGTTAACTATGGAAACGTATACTAATGTGACACCAGGGCTGGCCCTGAAAAATGATCATGCCACGTGATATTTTGATCATAATGGCAGTTCGGAACAGGAGCATCCTTCCAGACGGGACTCGCGTCCTTGTCATCTAATCGGGCAACAGGCCTCAGGATATTCATCTGCCCCCATGAACTGCTTTCATAGCTCATCATGAACGGTGAGTCTTGGGCAAGATATTCTGGGAAGACCCGCTTCCACCCATCAATGACCTGGATCATGATCTCCGAGACGAATTGGTCCGGAGACGAACGCGCAAATTCGAATCTATCGAGAGTTTTCTGTACCACTTTAGTAGGATATAAGCCGACCTCAGAGTCGACGAGGATGGCATCACCTGCCACGAGCGAGCTTACAACGTGATATGAGCCTCCTTCCTGAGCTCTGTCCCGAATGGCCAGCATTGTCGCCAAAGCAGCAACGACGCCAGTAGTCATGTCAGAGATCGGCAGTGGAGGAAGGACACTTGTTCCTTCATCGAATCCCATCGACCGTCCCATCACATACGAGACACCCGATGCAGCATCTCCGATCTGCTGCCAGCCGGGTCTTTCGGCGAATGGTCCAGATGGACCATAGCAGTTTTCATCCACGTAAATGATTCCCCTGTTCCTTTTGGCTGCCACATCTAGCATTTTTTGCAGACCGAGTCCCTTTCGGTCTAGGGACCCATAACGGAAGCCCTGGATGAAAACATCTGCCTCGCCCACAAGCTCCTCGAGCCGGGCCATGTCATCCTCCTTGCCAATATCAAGATCGATCGTGCGTTTTCCGGCATTGAGGGTCAATTGGAGCACCTGCCAGGCATGATCAGTCTAGGATCTTTGTCTGAACAGAAGTCTATTACTCACATTCAAATCTGGCAGTCTGCTGCAGTTCACTCGAATGACATCTGCACCGAACGATGCAAGAGTCACGCCAACAGTGGGACCAGCGATGATCCGCACCATTTCCACAACCTTGATCCCAGCCAAAGGCCGACGATCAGGAAGCTGGGACAAGCAAACCGGAGGCGTTGGTTGGGCATACGACTCGCGTGTATAATTGATGAGGGGGTACTCAGCAAGTCGCTTCCCCATTTCCGTCTTCCTCCAGCCCTCAGGAGAGTAGCAGATACTGCCACATAAGCCATGCCTTATATTATGCATCTCCAGTTCATCAGGACTCCATTTCTGCACATGTTGCCGAATATATTCGTATCCTTCTGTGAACGATTTCAATGGTACGTTCATGTCAATTCCCATCGAGCAGAGAGTCTTGCTCGCATCCAATGACCCATGGAGTTGATACCACACCCCGGCGTCCTTTGTCGGATACAGTGCAGTGGCTCGGCCAGCCAAAGGGCCGACACCGAACCCTTTCTCAAAGTCTCTGTCGAAGATGTTGGAAAGCTCTCGGTTTCGTGCAAGAGACGAGATATCCTTCCCATCCACGTATGCGGTAAATGTCGAAGCAAGCCAGATTCCTGCATGGTCTGTGTTCACAATCACGCTGGCATCTTTGGCTGGCTTACCATCACGCAGCTCCAGGAGTTCGTTTGCAACTACACCGCACATGGCGTGCAGTGCTGCGGCCACGACGGGGGATTTCATCGGACCGGGAACTATGGGATCTGGCCCGCCTTCGAACTTGACAGTACCCCACAGTGCAGCATCCTTTGTAAAACCGGGTGTTCGCGTTGCAAGGAGTTCGAAGATTCGACGAGCATCTTCCGGTACAGGGAGGACAGATTTGTCGATGAAAGTCCCCGGTCCGTAGATCTCATCTCCGGGGATGGTTTCGTGCATTTTGAAATTTTGGTCGAGGCCACACAATAGAGAATAACGATACGGACAATGGCTATTGTTCAGGGATTCTTCGGCGATCTGAACATGAACCTGGGTCCCTCTTATTTAATACTACCTAGAGGTATAGTTACATCCCGGCCAAAAAAAGAACCCAAATGTTTGATTCTGACAGATTGCTAGCGGCGCTATGAAATCTGACCAACAGCCAACAACCAACACACCAAAACTACTGGCTCTCAAACCGCGACCTGTCCCAATCAGGAATGGCTATTGTGATTTCATGGCATGCGACGCTTGAGACCGGCAAAAAAGCAAAGTGCTCCGGGACGTCTGTGGTTAGAAGCAGCTGCCATCGAAACAGAGGCTGAAATTATCGCCCATGCCGTCTCATTACTGGCTGAATCGGTGGAGATTAGTGGGACTCTTCAGGTCACTGACAGGGATCATTTTAGCAACGGGGTTCCAACTCCAATTTGAAGAAGATCGTCGCTTCGCTTATGGCCCGGGTCGTATTTTTGTGCCTCGGATGGTCTCTCACTCGGGTGTTGGCAGCCGGCCCGAAGGTTGGGAGGGGTTACGCAGCACGCTTAACACCTGGACAAGATAAATACTAGAAGGGGATTCCACCGTATATATTACATCGTACATTCTCGCATTTGCAGGGATTCTAGTGGAGAGTTGTTGCATTAACTATCGTCTACCATCACCATGTCACCCATTCCGAGTGAAAATAGCCGACGGCCAGTCAGAGTGGCCAATTGCTCTGGCTATCATGGTATGCAGATTGCTTTCCTTAGGTCGACGCTACGAAGCACTGACTCCACAATGAAGGGGATCCGGCATACGAGATGCATCGCCAAGCGACACTTGGGGATGTCGACTTCATCACCGGGGATTACCTGGCGGGTACAGTCCTTGGCATAATCCCTCAGGGCCGCTAAGAATACTAACGCCGCTAAGAGGTCAACATGGCAAACAATGCGCAAGCTTACCAACGCGGCGAACATCCCGGCTATGAAGAGACGGCCTGGGATGGTCTCCAGCAGACCATCGACGTAATCGCTGACAAGGGTATTAAAGTCGTGCTAAACGGAGGAGCTCTCAATCCCAAAGGGTTGGCTCTGAAAGTGCATGAGTTGGTGAGTAGATAGATACCACCTCGTCGGAGGGATCTTATACTGAATCTTCCGACCAGATCCAGCAAAAGAACCTTAATCTACGAGTTGCCTACCTATCAGGCGACGACCTGTATGCCAAGTTTGGCCCCAACATGCCGCAATCCGCGGCTGAACTCCAGCATCTAGATGCAGAGAACGAGTCCGTGAGACCAGGCCCTCTCACTTATGCATTTACCCGTTCCGACAAACCTATTCCTATGGTGTCAGCTCACGCATACCTCGGCGCCAGGGGTATTGTCGACGGGCTGCGCCGTGGCGCCGATATCATCATCTGCGGCCGGGTGGCAGACGCCAGTCCCGTTATTGCGGCTGCATGGTACTGGCATTCGTGGTCGGAGACAGACTATGATCGTCTGGGCGGTGCGCTGGTGGCCGGTCACCTTATTGAGTGCTCGGCATATGTCACTGGTGGTAACTTCTCTGGGTTTGATCGGCATCCGATTGATACGTTTATTGAGCCTGGGTTCCCCATTGCTGAAATTGATGACGATGGGTCGTGTGTTATTACGAAGCATTCTACCACCGGCGGCTTGATTGATGTTGATACAGTTCGGTGTCAGTTCTTGTACGAGCTGCAGGGAAATGTCTATCTCAACAGTGATGTTAGTGCTATCTTGGATGATATTGTTGTTGAGCAGTCTGGGAAGGATAGGTAAGTCCGTCTGTCATCACTACACTGTCTTATTTACTCATGAGAGCGTGCACTTCCAGTGTTCGCGTGCATGGCATTCGAGGCTACGCGCCTCCTCCGACGACTAAGCTTGCCGTGTTCTACCCCGGTGGCTACGAGGCTCAGCTGCTGTTGAATGCTACTGGATATGGAACGAGTGAGAAGTGGGATTTGATAGAGAAGCAAATCCGCCATTTCATGCCACAGGAATCACTTGATCGCATCGACACACTCGAGTTCCAGAGAATTGGGGTTCCTGCCGCCGACCCTAAATCACAGCGTCATAGCACTACATACCTACGAATCTTCATTGCAGCAATGGAAGCCGACGATGTCCTCGCCGTCGCCAAAGCTATGAAGGACATCTCCCTCAAGCATTTCTCAGGCTTCCACTCCTCCCTCGACATGCGCACCGCCATTCCCCGCCCATTCTTAGCTTACTATCCGGCGATAATCCAACAAGCAGAGCTGAACGAGGAAATCAGTTTCATCGACGCCCCAGACACTATAACCTCATTCCCAACAGGACACCCGCCAGCATACAAACCCCTCCAACCGCGCGACAGCTACAACCACACCCCCTCCAGCGAGGAAGTTGCCCTCCTCAAGTCTCAACCCCGGTCTATTCGACTTGGTGACATTGCTCTAGCACGATCTGGTGACAAAGGATCTAATCTAAATGTCGGCATCTTTGTTCCAGACGCTAAACACTGGCCTTGGCTGCGGTCTTATATGAGTGTCGAGCGTATGCGGGAGATGCTTGCTGATGATGATGATTGGGATGAGTCGTTTTTGGTCGAGAGGGTCGAGTTCCCTCGTATCCATGCTGTGCATTTTGTTATTTATGGGATTCTTGGGAGGGGGGGTCAGTAGTTCGAGTCGGTTGGATGGGTTTGGGAAGGGGTTTGCGGATTATGTGCGTGACAAGCTTGTTGAGATTCCGGTGGGGATTTTGGAATAATCTCTTTCTACGAAGTAATGACATTATGGCTTTTCCCTTGCCTCGCCTCATTCGGTTTCGTCCTTGCAGCCTGCACCCACGGCTGAATCAGAGTTCCCCCCTGTTGTCGCCGGAGTTCCCCTGGTGGAGTTCCGTCGGAGTTACTAGTCTTGTCATTGTTATTGTTTGTTTACTCACATTGTTCAGTTGTCTAGGCGCGGGAAAGGAAAGCTATATAGGCTGCATCCCCTGTGTACATAGTTTCCCTACACGCGACAATTTACTGTCAACCCTGACTCCTTGGTTGGATGTTCAGTCAACATCCTGATTTATCTCTGTTGTCGTCCTTGTTTTAGTCCTGGTACCTTCCTCGGCATATCTTGTCCTTTCAAACGATCCGGCCGCAAGTCCAATCTGTCCTCATTGTCCTAGCTCTCATCGGCTCCGGGTCGTGACATTAGATTTCTCACACCCAGACTCGCTGCTCAGGATGCTCGCCTTCAGTACAACAGCGTTTGTCAGGATTGAAATGTCGTAGACGTTTATCGAGCTTCTCTCTTCAAACTTGCCATGTTCTGCTACGGAAGCTCAATCGATGTCTGCGGCACTTCAATCCTTACATACGCTGTCGTTTGGCCGCTAGGGAGATCGACACGTGCATCCTGTAACTAGCATTACCGTGACACCTTACAATTGATACCTTTTGCCATATAATTGAACACCAGATCAGACGCGGCATTGTTACTGTGGGATGATGATAATGCTCTTATTAACCCGGTTCAGCTCGCTTTACATACATGCTGTCGGTGTGGGATCGGGGCAATTCGTAGGAAGATGGCCTTGCCAGTTGGCCGGGCACTTGCCAGTTGACAGGAAGCTCGCTAAACGCCTCTGGAGCTCGACCCCACCTCACAAGTGGATACTGACAACTGGACAGAAGGCTTTTATTGATATTTTATTTAGGAAGGCACTGTACACATGTCCTGTTCCCTTTTTGTATATACTACACAGTAGTCAAACACTCACCTCATGGAAAGTGCTACCTGGGTGCGAGCAGGCCAAGTGGGTGGGCTGGGTAGATCGGGCAATCTCCAATAAAAAATCAACCAGACCTCCATCCTGTTTGTTCTTCTCCCACTTCTAGCTCGGACAAAGTTCTATGCACAAGGTCACCATGGGCGATGCAAGCATTTCCCAGGCCATTGTGCCAGAGGAGTCTTCGAGGATGATCCTTTCCCGCGATGAGACACCGCGTCGCCTAGTTCAACCTAGACTCACGCCAACCGATCAAGAGGCAGAGGCAATTATTGACCGAGCGTACGCGTCTGGGAAGCCCTTTTTTACCAAACGAGCAATTCAGGATCTTTGGGACCAAATCAAGCGCGAACCAGTCCGAGGATCAGAGATATTCATCAAAGATATCACCGGTGCACTAGTTGCATGCGAGGTGCAGACCGGCCACATCGATGATTGGGAAGATTGGGTAGAGTTACAAAAGCGAGATCACAGAGAGAAAGTCCTTTGCTATTCACAGGATCCTGCTTACACCGAGGTGGACAAGCAGCTTTTGGCCGAGTCCGGCATCGAGGTGACCCTATCCCCAGTCTCCAAAAGACCCCTCAAGGCTTCTCCTCCCCAATCATCGCAAACCACCTAGCCACATAATCAATCTCCGGTTCCGGATCCCACGGAGTCCGCTGCTCCGGTTCAAGGAAACCGCCATCCGGAAGGAGTACTTTTTTCTGTCGAGCGATATCACTCAATCCAATAGAATACATACGCCACCCATCCCAGATAACCCAACCGAGTCGTCGCCACGGTTTCATGTTCGTCAGCGAGTAGCATGCAGCCCAGGTCCGCGTGAGACGTATACCACTGAGATAGAGGTGTACGACGTGCCAGTGATGCGAGGTACGGTGTCTCGGCGCGAGCATCAAGGCGGATGTTAACTCTGTGTCCTCGGGAGAATCTGGCGTAGCCCAGAGGCTGCTATCTTGTGACTGTGTGGGTGGCAGGTCAAATGATGGGAAGAAAGGTATTGATGTTTCTTTCGGAGCGGGCCAGATGGTTTGGGCCGGTTCTTCTGCTTCTGGGTCATTAGGCAGCCAGTTCAGGGTCAGACCCAGATCTGAGAGGACGGCGGATACTGTCCAGAGTCTTTCGGCTGCGCGATAGGCGATTTCGCTCCAGGTGTTGTATGCGTCTAGTTGTCGGATTGAGGATTCGTTCCAGTTCCATCGCTGGGTTGCTGCTTTGCGCAGGTGGGAGTAGTGATGCAGATGCCAGAGAGCCCAGTATGTGCGATACTCTTCTGTCCAGGTGAAGGGTTGGCTGGCATTTTGGATTTGGAGTGGAGGCCCACTTATTGAATCCGCGGGGATATTATCAAGAGTTTTGATGAGACCTTCTCGCATAATAGAGAGACATTTGCACGCAAGCCGCTGGATCTGCGCGCCTATCTTAAGTATATGCCGTGATTCTGTGTACCCTAAAGTTGGCGGATCCTCGCATGTCTGGAGATAGTGCTCAAGATCCGGGCATTGCAGTGAAGAGATACTGAGGTGCCCGATGTTATAGCATAGCTTTTGTATTTCTGGCATACAAGTAATCGGATTCGAGAGGATCAGCTCTTTTATGATGCGGGTAGGCTGGGCCTGGAAGACGGCATTGAGTCGTCGAGATGCCAACAGGCTGTTTTCAATGCCTGCAAAATCACCGATATTGGCGAGAATCTGTTGAATGACTTCAGGGGGCAGTTTCTCGAAAGAATCCATGTTGAACTGAAGAAACTTTGGGCCGGGAAAGGTAGATGAGAAGAGGGGGGCTTGGAGATATTTAAGGGTTGATCTTTAGCGTAATACCCGGCGTAGGTGCCGCACCCACTTCGAATGTCCACAGTTCTAGTAATTATAGGTGTCCAAACGAGTATCGTCGCAAAGGGAGTTATAACTAAAAAAGAGCTAAGAAGAAGATTGAAGATTCCTAAGGCCATCTTAAATGTGTTCGTGTCGTAGTGATTTCGAGGACAAATTCGTTTGGTTTGGATTAACCGGCCCCTACCTGTAACTAGACTGAATGCTTGTTCTAACTAGATCTAAATGAGCATCCTCACGTGTGGAGCATGAATTACGGACCTAGTGATGCGTTGTTCGTCCAGCTCGCTTTCCGTGAGTATAGATCAGACAACCCTCATGATAAGGTATGCGGTATATCATTCTGTATAGTATAAATACTAACTCGTTACAGGGTATGAGAGTACAATGCCGCTACTGCAAGTTCACAAGAGCAAAGAACACTTCTCGACAGGTCGAGCACCTCGAAGACTGTGTAGCTTACCGAACAGCTATGAGCGAGGAGGGTAAAGCTACAAAAATGGCGCAGAAAGACCAGCAGCGACTGCTGGCAATGGGTAAGACTTCAAGCTTTGAGCCAGCGAGACAAGGCTAACTTCTTACTAGCTAGGTTTTTCTTCTCGGGAGCACGTCCATTTGGCCTCTTCGCCGACGAGGAGTTACTCGCTGTTTTCCAGTCGCTAGACCCCACCTCCTGTCCTCAAGGTTATGATACTATCAGGACTACGCTCCTGGATGACTGCTATATAGCGGTTAAACAGGCAGTGGATGCCGAGATAAAGAAAATCGATTACCTAAATATTGCAGCGGATGAGAGCACCGGCATTCGGGAACGGCGTACTGCCAATCTTTCTGTGTTAGGCCAGAAGAACTCCTTATATCATTGCAGTAAGGATATTGGTGATGAACGTATGACCACCGCTGCAGTGGCAGACTGGATTCGAGATCAGGTAAGTCTCTATCTGTCCTTCAAAATCATTATATTCTAATACTATTAGGCTTGCTCCTTAGTCCATGGCAACTGGGAAAAGCTGAATGCCTTTATTACCGATGCCAGCGCGGCAATGATTTCGACACAGGCACAGCTCAAGATGCGAGACGATCTGAAGCATGTCTTTTTCATCCCTTCCGATTCGCATGTGTTCAGGCTTCTTATGGAAGATCTTCTACGTGAGCCCATAATCTCAAATGTCTTTAACAGGGCAGCAAGCATCGTGAAGTATTTCAAAGACGACCCTCTGAAACTTACTACACTCCGAACGTGGCAGCAAAACTTCTACAAGAAGGAGTACTCTCTCCTGGCGGCACTTAGTTCTCAATGGGGTACTGAATGTACTGAATACCAGATGTTGAAGTCTGTGCAGAGATCTGAGCTGGCCCTTCGCGCGTATTTTGCAAGACTCCCAGAGCCTGATGGAAGCACAAGAGAGCTACAAGCTGCGGTTAACTCCTATGACTTCTGGGGCCAATTACTTGACCTTGTAGTTCTACTTCGGCCTGTGGATGAAGCGATCCGGGAGTCAGAGTCAGGCGGTGCAAGCCTTCTTCAGGTGGTCAACCTGTGGATGTCCCTACGAGACGAACTTCAAACCCTTCTGGTAGGGATCTCATTCAGCATGGAGTTGGCCGGTTTTATTCCTGACGGTATGACCGCTCGTATCGACCGCCAACTGACCAACCTTCACTGGACCGCATACTACCTCCACCCGGCAAACCATAGCATTGAGATGCCGAGCACCAAAGCAGACCAGGTAACCGAGACAATTCGGAAATACTGCGTTGATCCGGACAATATTGACGCATCGACGGAAGCTGTTGATGAGTTCTTTGCTTTTAGAGCTCGTAAAGGTTCCTTTGACAATTTTCGCTGGAATTACATTGATAATTTTACATTGTTCTGGAGACTTCAGGTAAGTAAACTCTCTGACAATAATATACTCCTCTAGAATATTAACGATATTATATAAAGATGACGACCAAACCATCATGCCGACTACTAGCAAAGCTTGCTCTACGGCTCTTCCATACGAGTGCAAATACGGTATCGGAACGGGCGTCCTCTGCATCGAAACGGGTACATAGGAAAATCCGCAACACTGTGGATGCAGACCGCATTGATAAGCTGGTTTATATCCGTATGAATCGCAGAGCTTTGAGTGAGGTCGAGGAAGTCGAGGACGAGGATGAACGAGAGCTGCAGCAGCTCGGGTGGGAAGATGAGCAAATGGAGCAGTTTCTACACCAAAGCCGAGTCCTAGACATCGGCGACGAAAGCCTAGACATCGGCAGCGGAAGGAGTATTCTGGGCAAGCGATCACGGAGCGACAGCATGGATGATCTCTTTAGCTAGATTCAAATGTTTTAGCCTTAGGGCCCTAAGGCTAACCGGTTTGCTTTGAAATCTACTAAGTTTCAAAAACACCCCGTATTTTCGAAAACGGTAAATTATACCCGCATCACTACAAAAAGTGGTCTGACAACACGCAATACCACGTGACTGAACAGTAGCGTCATAGACTGGTCGGGGTAAATCCTGGAATTCCTTAAGTATCCCAGATCAAGTAGAATTCCATCGAGTACTTGTAAAAATCTCTTCAGAGAATATAACGACTTAACGAGGACCACATCTCAGAATGCAATCAGGGGGCAAATCATATCAACACTCATATCCCGAAGTAGGGCGCCATTCCATCACCCAACCCTGGAAGCGAAAAGGGCACTAACATTTCTCTCAGCCATTATCTGAGAACGAGAGACGCCAATTAAGCAAGTACGATAAGCGGCCGTGTGGAGGCTTACTACAGAAACCCAAGGTACGCAGTACTTAAAAGGTAGATGTGATTGACTTGTGAGTTGTGGCTGACTGTCAATTGGGAAAAAGGAACAGACGTATGTCCACGTTGATTCCGATCTTGCTGCTCGTCGGGGGAGCGATCTCACGGGCAGATCGCACCCTTCTTCTGCTGGCAGCGATGTTGGCAAGATAGCCAAGGAGGATACGCATAGGAGGGAATCAGATGCAAGTCCTAAACGAGGTCTTCACCATGGCCGGCCGAGTGAAGACCTCACGAACGAGGACAATCTCTTCTCTTTTGAAGATTGAAACCAGCTTCAATCAATGTATATCAGCGCTACAGCCAATTCAATATCCACAATTCATTCGTTCTGAGGGGAAAGCTTGTTGTGGAAGATGGGAGAGCCTGTCGAGGGACTTCTCTGTGTCCATGACGGCTGTACACAGTACTAGGTCTTTGTGCTGGGTGGATTAAAGATAAGGTTGTGCCTCTTTATTGGCAGGTCATGTTTTGCAGGGTCTGGATGTTATGCACGTAGTACTCCAAGGTGGAGAAAGGAGTGAGAGGGCCAATCATACTGTTGCTCACCGAATCAACCAGCTCATTTGCATGGAGTCTCGAACGGTAAGACTCATGGCTATACGGAGAGTACGGAGTAGGAACATAGGCTGCACTGTTTGTAAGATCATGGTTGGACCCTGCCATTTGGGGGAGCTCTGGAAGAGTACCACTATGCTAGTATAGAGGGCTATATAGCACTTGGCATTCGACAGTGCGGGTTATCCACAGATGAAAGCATGCAAAGTAGGTTGGCGTAGAAGACAGATAGTTCCTTCATGGCCATTCGGTGAAAGATTTCATGCAAAGAGATGCGCCGGAAATACCCAAAGCCTGAGAATGGACTCGGAAAAACCAACTACGAGTGTAGGAGACAGAACCAGGACCAGGGGCGAACAGAACCGAACAGAATGGTGACAGACACGAGCAATCAATGAGCTAGACGATCAGAATTGACACCAAGAATGAGAACCGAGAAAAAAGGGTGTATAATGCATATGGTGATAAAGTGTACAGAGAATGGGATATGAAGAGAAAAACAACCCCAGGAGCGGGCTGATATTCAGCAAAAATAAAGAAAGCTTTGACCCCTGATTGGCTCGGGATCGGTATCACATGCTCAAGTTTCTGTGTGACAAGGCCAAGACAAGCTTAAGCTGGAGGGGTAGCGCGCCTCCAGAACTTCCAGTTCTCCCTCTTCTCTTCAACCCCGACACCGACGAGACGCTCAATGCCCTCCGGACCCTCAGCATTTTCAAACTTCTGTTGATCGATTTCTTCGCCGCCCTGTTCGTCCGAGCCGTTGCGTAGCACAGCCGGGTACAGAACACCGACACCGTCACCGCCAAGGGTAACCTCGTACGTAGCGAACCCTTCCTCGTCGAACTTGTCTTCCAGCTCCTGCCTGACTTCCGGCTTCGCATTGGGGCGAAGCAGGGTGATTGCACACCCACCCCCACCTGCACCGGTCAGCTTAGTCCAGCCGATGTCGGCGTAATCGACCAGTTCCCGGATGCGTTCGAGGCGGGGGTGCGAAACACCCAGAGAAACCAGGAAGCCGTGGTTAATGCGGATCAGGGTTCCAAAGTGAGCGAGGGTGCTCTCTGTGACGCCCTCGAAGCTAGGGTCCGTGATCAAGCGTTGTGCAGAGCATGTCACTTGATCGATGCCGTTGAGAATAGACTCTGTCACGACGGGGTGAGCTTCTCTGAGAGCTGCGACTTTGTCGACTTCGGTCTTTGTAGAGCGCGATTGGCGGGTGTTGACGAGAAGGAGGGGGAGTTCGGGGAAAGTGGGCAGCGAGACAACTGTTGGAGGCTTTGAATAATCGTCGCGACGGAAAATCACGGCCTTGCCGCCTGCGGCCACCGTGTTATCCACGCCACTCGGGTTTCCATGGATGCAGAGCTCTCCAACAAACGCCCAGCGGTTGATGCGCTCGATTTGTGTTTCTGCTTCCTCCGGCGGCTGATCGGGGTGGGGCCCGGCGAGGGTACGAATTTGAAGAAGCAGAGCGGCACTGAGACAGACGCAGACACTGGCGCTGCTGCCTAGACCGGCTCCGGTGGGGATGGTTGATCGGAGGGTGTAGATGGCGCCTGGGCTTTGCGGGGAGCCCAGGGAGAGGAAAAGGTATAGGAAAGAGGATGCGGAGCGGATGTGGATGTTGCGCTGCTCCTCTGGGAGACCCTTGGAGACATCCTGAAGGTGTGGTTCGATTGCCTCGACGAGTTCAGGGTCGAGCTCGGTGACCAGGCTGTAGTAAAACTTCTTTTTTGAGGGTTCGTGGAACTTATCCCAAGGTAAGGTGTCGATGTTCCAAGTGTGACTGAGACCCAAGTCCCGGAAATTCAATGTTATCGTTCGTTGTGACTTGGAGAGGGTGGTGACAAGAAGGTAGGAGCGAAGAGAGATGGCTGCGGCCATGGCAGCCTTGCCGTGGACCACCGCATGCTCACCAAAGACGATGACCTTGCCCGGCGCAGACACCATAAAGGCAGGTGCCATTGGTGAAGAGGCCTTGCGAGCCATTATCGGGCGCTTTCGTGTCTCCATACCGTTCGCTTCGTGTGATTCTGTGGAGGCGGAGGAGGCGCTGTCGGAGCTGTCGTCGAGAACACTTCCGTTCGTGCTTTTGTGATGAATTGGGAGGACTTTGACAGTATTTTCAGGGTGGAAGTCGACCATACGACGTGAAACGGGAATTGGGGCTCCCATATTGCCGTTCAATGGAAGTGTAGCATTCTCGGTCATGACAGGCGGGAGGTAGAATTCAAAGGGGGTCAACAAAGGAGGCGCAGTGGTTGATTAGGAATTATAAGGGGACAAATGTCATAGAAAGTAGAAATGCGACAATCAGCACATAAGCAGAAGAAGAGAAGATAAATGAAAGAAGTACGGAGTAAGCGAAATCAGTCTGTCAACTGGAGTAAAGAAAGTTGGTGGGGAGTGAGGAGAGAGTGATTGAGGCTACTGGGTATACCAGGGAACGATGAGAATAGAGTCCAATCACAGCCACCACAATACCAATTGGTCAGATTTCTTAGGGAATATTTTAATATTATTTATGTTATTTAAAGAGTTTACTGCCTAAATTACTATGTAGTTACATCTACTACCATGTACAGGGGCATACCACCTACGTGCCTGCTTAGTATTTTAGTATCGTTGAATTTCCAACTTGCACTCCTCGTGATACTTACTCCATTTAGCCTGTAGCGAGTGCAGATTTTTTGTGGCGTGCAGTAGCGCCCGGATGATCTTCTCTATGTCTTTGTTGCAGTTTCCAGTGTGCTAAGTAGCGTACCCTAATGCAATAACCTGCAGTGTTTTATTGTATATGCATAAATAGCAGGCTCTTAATTATATACGCAGATGCCCTCGCAGACGCTCACCAATCACAATCTGAACTAAAAGAAAAGTCACAAATCTAGAGCATTCGCAGTCGTCAATTCATCACAGGTTCATCGTCACGGTCATGCTATTACTGTGCACCAGTAAACATGGGGGTAAGCCTTGCCACAGTACTTCCAGGTCACTCAAATAAGACGCACTGTCCTCGGCGCTAAGCGAAGTTCCCTCTACGGGAGACGGCAGAGTCGTGAAAATAACGGCGGTATCACCACTTTGCCGAACCATCAACTCGTTCAGAATCAAATGCTGTGCACGGCTGGGGAGATCATTGAAAGACAGCGGAACGGACGCGCCACCTGGGTACCCTGCTGCATGTGCATGTGGGCTGCTGTGGGCCCCAGGGGAGGTGGGAGACACGGCAGATGGGCGACGAGCGTAGATAGAATCAAGCTTGTTTGCAAAGCGCGGAGGTGAGTTTTGCGCGGCAAACATGATGGATGGCCCATTGCCCTCTTCGGCTTCGGTGTTCACTTTGGCCTCGGGAATAGGCGAGGAGCTGAACCGATTCCTGGAAGCAGTACGGCTGATCGGGGGCCGTAGACCGGGTGATTTGCTTTTCGGTGAGGCATCGTCGCCAGTTTCAATTATGGATGGATTGATGGTCTGGCCGGGGGTGCCTCTTCTCCTTGGCTTGCGGCCATCGGTGTAGTTGGGGAGTCTGCGCTAGGGCTGCAATCTTCAGACTTGGACCTATTAAGGAGTCTTGAAGAGCCGGGAACAGGTACAGCCTCGTTTCGAGCGCTGGCTATGTCCTCTCCGCCATCCTCTGGCTCGTCGGTATATGGGTCCAGATCACTGTCCTCACTCTCACTCGAGCTGTCGGAGCTGTCGGAGCTCTCGTAGTTGACAAATGCATCGAGCAAACGGTGCGTTTGCATGCCGAGATTCACTCCTCCCAGAGCCCGGAAACTAGAAACAGATCGTCTCCGACGAGTGGATTGGATTAGCTTTCGCAGTCCGGTCACTCGCTGGTGCGAAGGTTTTGCTCCGCTGTCTTGGCTCGAGGGTCCTTGCCAGCTATATGATTTATCAAGATGAAGCCTCTCACTTGTTCTATCCGATTCCTGTGGGTCTTGATCATGGCCACGGGCTTGTAAGACACCATGCCACCAGTGCTCATCTTGTAATATGGAATGAACCCTCTCCTGAGCGTCTGTCGTAACCGATGTGTCGCCATTTACAATGACTTGATACGCCTGAAGATCGCCGCAGGCAAGCCAGAAGACCAAAACTTCAGCTTCAATGCGTAGTTTTTCAAGGAGAGTCTCAACGCGCCCCCTTTCGTCGTCCACATCAGTCTCGTACTCCACAAACACTGCAACTCGAATCTTGTAGGTTTTCTTCCATGAGGGAACAGTGTTGAGAATACAGCCCAGCTGAAGAATCAGGGTGTATGTGTCAAAATTGGTGGTCAGCACATTCTGTTTGCTTTCACTGTCTGCCCCAAGCTCAGCGGACATTTGGATCGGCCACAAATCAATGTATTTCTTAGTATGATGGCCGTTCGGATCGGGCAGCTCCAGATTCTCGAATCCCTTAGCTACGGCAACGTTGATCCGAAGGTTGAACAAGAGATCTTCAAGGATTGTCACATAACTCTGCCCGCTCATAGGCGAGGTTGTCGGTTCAGTCTCGTTTGATTCATCGGACCGCGTACCCGAATGAATAGACGGGCGTCTAGATCTAGAGTCTCTGCGGCCGCTGCTCGTAGACAGTGTTTCCACAAGGGAGTGGCCCGATCGAAATTGGTCAATCACAACGATGTTAGGCCGCATGCCGCCAAGCCCAGAATTCAGGACGATATTGCGCATACCCCATTCTGCGGCAGGGGAAACGGCAATGTTGACAAAAGCTTTGATTTTGGAATATTCGACGAATTTTGTCCATGCCGTCTGTTGGCGACGTGCTTCGGGGACAGCTGCTGAAAAGTCATCTGTTACGAGAACATGAGCTAGGACAAATAGAGCTCCTTTCTTCAGAGAGTTGCAGAAAGAGACCATCTTGTACTGCTTGTCCAGATCGCTGACAAAGAGCAGGATCTGTGGACGCCAGAATTTCACGTGTTCCTGACGTAGGCGAAGCAAGTATTTTCGGACTTGATGATAGATCAGACTCTGACTGACATCGCCCCAAGGTTTGGGTGGCGAGGTATAATGAATCAGCAAGAAGAGAATCACCAGGATGCCTACACATCCCGTAGCATAAAGACCATCCACAAACAGCATGCTGGCTCCGCTAACCAGCGTTCCTGCCGCTGCAGTCTGCCAGTTGAAATAGTGGAAGGATGGACGGAAGTTGGGCGCAGAGCCAATCTTCAGGAGGAAACAAGCAAGGTTAGTCACGAGGAAAGTCATCAAATAGGTCATTGTAACGAAAGATGCAATACGGTTGATGTCGAAAAGCATTGTGAGCTGCGCAAAGACGAATGTCACGATGATGGCATATACTGGATCGTCGGCTTTCCGCGTGCCTTGGCCGAAGATCCCTATGCCGGGCAACAGACTATCTCTTGCAATTGCTTGAAGGAGCTTTGCGGATCCAATCACGCCCATCAGAGCGGAAAAGAAACTAGTCGCAAATTCTCCGAGTAGAATCACGCTGTCGGAGGCATTGACCTATTCTCAATCAGACCGCGTTTCTGATTCTTCTTCTCGGTTTGAGACTTACAATTTGTATGACATTCACGTTGTTATAGAACGACTCCCGGGTCACCGAGGCCGCCATCGCAATGATGACAAGCCCATAGGCGACAAAGGTCAAAGCCAAGCCCGAAAGCGTACCCTTGGGAATAGATTTGCTTGGGTTCTTCAAGTCTCCAGACATGCTTGCACCTCTAATACATAATTAGCGATTTGGGCCCGAATATTGTGCCGGCGACTTACGCGAAGATTCCTCCTGTAGCAGGGAATAGAATGCCGAAGAGGTCTTGGAAGTTTTCTTTCCCATTTATCTGACTCCCAGCCGCCCCCTTGGTCAAATGCGGTTTGAGGTTACCCATCAAAGTCTCCAAACGAAGCCCTGTGAACTCCACGCCTTGGCGAGGAGCTGAGAAAGGCTTCATAAAGATTGCAGAAAGTGGAATGCTGAAGGTGGCTACTAGCAGTATAACCAGGAGTCCATTACTTGCCCTAGCAAATATGGAGCTTCCTGCTAAGCAAATAGCCGTGCAAAATGCCAGAATGATCGTCCCCCAAAGGTACTGCCACCAGAATCCTTCCGCGAGAAAGTTGGCCCAATCACCGGACTGTGTGCCAAAATTCTGCGTGAAACAGTCTACTAGACCAGCCGCATTCATACCAGTGTTGAAGACGTACCCAAGGTAAAATACGATGCCGATGGAGCCACCGAACTCGGGGCCCAGGGATCTAGAGATCAAATAGTAGGCACCACCACCTCGGACTGTCCCGTTTGTTGCAATTGCAGACAAGGACATCGTTGTCACAAGATTGATTGTGTAGGATGCAAGAAGCAACCCTTTGACAGATTAGATACGTGGAAGCTGTATACAAGGATGTATGCTCACCTAGTATGCCCAATACACCAGCTTGTCCAAGAATGAACCCGAACCGCAGGAACATAAGAATACTCAATACATTCAGGGTCGTCGGAACAAAGACACCGGAGTATGTACCAAGTTTCTTCGGCTCATCCAGCGAGTGGGATCTATGTCCACCCTTGTCCTTCTTATCAGCGCGGGAATCGCGGAGAGGGCCCGCAGCCAGAGACACATTATGTGAAGCAGCATCTCCGCTAGGCCCCTGTTCTTGGCTGTAGCCCCCTTTTTTATGCCACCATCGAGAAAACCCCTGAAAATAATCTGCGCGCGATGAATGGCCTTCCTCTTCTGCTGGTTCCGACAAATAAACAGGTTCATATGGACGGGCCCAGCGAGTCGGGGTCAAGGGTAGCAGGCGAGTCCGTTCATCGGGAGTAGCGTTATGGGACTCCTCCGGGTTTAGACGAGTGACATCTTCTTGGGCAGTTCTAGCCGCGAAGGTTGGGCGTCGCCGAGACAAAGAGTCGGAGGATTCTCCGACTCGTTCGGGCGCCATATCAGTTGAAAAAAATTTATGATATGGACATCAGAGCACAGCCAATCAAAAACGCAAAGTGACAGTAGCCAAAAGTCCCGACAAGACTCTCGGGTCTGTGAAGAGACGCTATTCAACACAGAAATAGACAAACAAAGCTGTAGCACTCCGTTCGGTTCATGACGTTGATGAGCAAACAATGCAAACATCGTCAACCGCAACTGGAGCTGATCGGCCTCGCCGCTTGGCAGCATTAGTGTCTCAAACACACTCCAACACACTCCTCAATTACTCCGTACATCTTGGGCTTTTCACCCGAACCTTTTTCCTCGGTAACTTTGTACTGCTTGTTCTTTTGATCCGAAAGTCACACCCTTCTCCCATGCACAATCCTCGAGTCTAGACACGACATCTTGTCAGGAGCTAATTTGATCCCGAGGCCACCTTCAAAATGACGGACAACGGAGAGGGCTCGTCCCTAAATCCAGCTCGTTCCATGCCTATAGCCTCATCGGTGCGCTCGAGGTCCCCCGCAGCCGAGTTCGGCAGCAGGCAGGCTTCCATGGCACGCCTTGCATCCCCAGTGCCCTCGCCTTCCTTGGGGACATCCTTGTCATCTCGACAGGGAATTCCCGCCGGCCGACCTGTCTCCACTATCACTGGCACCGAGCAGGAATTTTCCAAATCCTTCGCCAATACTTCTTCCCTTCCCGGCCCTGGCCACTCTATCATTGCATCACAACTCCAAGAAAGCCTTGGTCGCTCCCCGCCAAGGTTCGGGACTCCGTCACGACACAACGGGTCTCCTGCGCTGCAACCGACCCTAGATAGCCGACCTATGGCCTCCCAGTATGGATCTTTTGATACCAAAAACGTCGCCGGTTCCCCGGGAATGCCATACGAAGACCCGGAGGTAGTCAAGCGGCATCTAGTCACGGAGCACACAGACAATCAATCAGACATCGCAAACAGCTTTGGAGGCGAAGATAATTTCTCGAGTCTACAGCTTCAAGGTGGCGATATCACACGACAAGTGTATCGGTGGGCAGAGGACGCCGAGGCTGAGGCCTCAGGGAAGTTCTTGCGAAGCAAGAGTTTCAGTGTCAGCAGGCCAAGGCCAGAAGCGGACACGGAAGATATCGACACAATTCGTGTTCCAGGAGGGTTCCGCAGAGACTATCTACGAAGAGCAGCTGGAAGTCCACACCGTGGTAGTGCCGAAGCGTCAACTTCTGGGGCACCCCATGGACAAAGCGCACGCCAACTGCCGACCACCAGCTTCCTGGAGTTCTTGACCCTCTATGGTCACTTCGCAGGTGAGGAGTTGGAGGAAGATGACGAGGTCCTGGGTCCAGATGAATACTTCTCGTCTGATGCTTGGGATGAGCCAGAGGAAGGCAGAGAGTCGGGAGAAGATGCAGCGCTGTTGCAGGGTGACACGCCAGGTCGCAAGAAGAGGAAGCACAAGCCGCGTTCGCCAGCAGGGACGACTACTACAACAGGTGCCGTACTCTTGCTGCTCAAGTCTTTCGTGGGTACCGGTATTCTCTTCCTACCCAGGGCTTTCTTGAACGGCGGTATGCTCTTCAGTAGCTTGGTGCTATTGGCAGTTTCGATTCTGAGCTACTATGCCTTCATTCTCTTGGTCAATACTCGCATGAAAATCGAAGGATCTTTTGGTGACATCGGTGGCATTCTATACGGCAAGCACATGCGACGCATCATTCTTGGATCAATTGTACTGAGTCAATTGGGCTTTGTGTCGGCATACATTGTCTTCGTCTCGCAAAATCTGCAGGCATTTGTGCTAGCAGTAAGCAAGTGCGTGACGTTCATTGACATCAAGTACATGGTTTTGCTACAGCTGATCATTTTCCTGCCTCTCTCTTTGATTCGCGATATCAGCAAGCTTGGCTTCACTGCCCTTATCGCTGATGTCTTCATTCTTCTGGGCTTGCTGTATATCTACTACTACGATGTCAGCACTTTGGTAGACCAGGGCGGCATTTCAGACGTTATTCCCTTCAACCCTGCCACCTGGTCCATGTTCATCGGTACCGCCATCTTCACTTACGAGGGCATCGGCCTCATCATCCCGATTCAAGAATCAATGCAAAAGCCCAATAGATTCCCTGGTGTTCTGGCAGGTGTCATGGTTGTGATTACCTTCATCTTCCTGTCCGCCGGTGCCTTGAGTTACGCGGCTTACGGATCAGCAACCAAGACCGTCATTCTCCTGAACCTCCCTCAGGATGACAAGTTTGTCAACGTTGTTCAGTTCCTCTATTCGCTTGCCATCCTGTTGAGCACTCCGCTGCAGCTCTTCCCTGCTATCCGCATCATGGAAAATGAACTCTTCACTCGCAGTGGGAAATATAACCCATATATCAAATGGAAGAAGAATGGCTTCCGCTTCTTCCTGGTCATGGTATGTGCCGTTGTCGCCTGGTGCGGTGCGGATGATCTAGACAAGTTCGTTTCGCTGGTCGGAAGCTTTGCCTGTGTTCCATTGATTTACGTCTATCCGGTACGTCCCTGCCTTACTCTAATTTTCATCAAAGAACAGCATGCTGACTCGTTATCGCAATATAGCCTCTCCTACACTTGCGCGCTTGCGCTCGGTCTAAACGCCAGGCCATTGCGGACGTTGCACTGGCTGTTTTCGGAGCCATCTGCTGCGTCTATACGACTTCCCTGACCCTGCTAAGCTGGCTCGGACCGGAGGTTCCCCAAAGTCCAGGGTACTGCGACTCTCACTGATCTCTTTCTCTTTTGTTTTTCACTTGATCAATCTAGAGCGTGTCGAATTGGCCGTTTTTGGCCTTGTTGCATTTACCGGTTCTCTTTCAACCCTACACGCTAGACCTGGCTACTCGTCATCGGGTCGGTTCCCTTCAACACATGAGTGAAGGACCTTCGGTTGGTGTTCATTCTGGAAATAGTCTGTACATTGGGCGAATCTTGGCGGTTGCACTGCCATTTTGTATAAAATCTTCGGGTGGCTTCCTGGACACTATACTCAGTCATAAATTCGCGCTGTTTGTTGAGAACTTCATCGGGTCAGGAATAGACTAGGGAACACACTCGTAGCCTGTATGGATATCGGGGGGTTCAATTATGTCAAGAAAAACAGCTCGATCCGAAGAAAATTATCATTCAAGCGCAACAAAGAGCCTATGTACAGTGATCATCAACTCACTGGAACTGCATAGCAGCCAGCATTGATGGCTAAGTGTCCTCCTCAACCCCGCAAGTCTCTCTCTATATGCCTCCTTTTCATAGGTGTCAGGACTCAACTTTATCTCAAGGCAAAATAGGGAACCCATATGTGTATGGAAGTGCAATGCTGCGAAAAAGAAAGAGATGATACCTATATTAGCCCCCAATCAAAAACGGAAACAGCAGTACCGATTTCTTCTCGGAGAAACGTTTCTTAGGCACTGGCAGCCTTAGCACCACCCTGAGCAGCCTTCTCGGCAAGCTGCTTTTCCCGTCCGCCCCAGCTGTGAAGAAAGAAGAGGTTAGAATCTTGTTTCCCTGACAGTGGGAGACAATGACAATGCTCAAACAGTATCGCTCCGAGGGGTGGTAACGTACTTCCAGTAGTTCAGATAACGGTATGCCTGGGTAGTCTGAGCGCCGAAGTTGGTCAAGTGGCATGCGAAGAGGAGGTAGTTCTTAGGGGTAACGGCGAGGGAGTAGCGCATGAAGGTGGCGGCGTAGATGACAAGAGCACCGGTCATAGGGCCGGAGATGCTGTAAAGAGAGAGAGCTATCAGTACAATTGCTCTGAAGCTCTTGTGGTCGAAACCGAAGTTTCGCCCACTCATCGGAGCATAACTTACATCTCAGCGTCCTTCTGTGTGTCCATCACAGCCGCAATGGGGATACCGAAGTTGGAGACAGGGCCCCAGAAGTCTAGATGGCATCATTGATTGTCAGCGATTCGGTCCATCCATCTATCTAGATGTGTTCGCTTTGTGAAACTGAAACCCCGGATGAAAAAGAAAATGTTCCCCTCATACTCGAGGCCACATTCAACGCTTGGTCTCCTGCGGTCGCATTTGCCGTTCGCCGGTCTCGGGCGGGAAGCTCGTCGGGAAAGTTGGGGTATACGTACGGGTTGAGCAGACATAGTCCAGCACCGAGTTGGAGCGGATCTTGGCGTTGATTGCCTTGATAGCAGCAGCCATTGTGAAGTTGCTGGGAAGTTTCACACGGTTTGGGTATGGGGAAGTGAAGGTCGGTATCTGAAGGGTGCGGAAGTGCCCTCGACTCACCGGGGGTCGGTCATGTCACGTGAACTGCATTACTTCGATGTCATAGTCGCTGAAGCTGATGGTAGGTTTGCGACTCAATTGTGGTTTTTTTCCCTTTTCGATTGTCAGTGAGGTCTTAGATAGCTATTGGCAATAATGCGCCATACAATTTCTATGGTTGTAGTCCGCATATGTTGGTGTTCCGTGGTACATGATAGTGGGAATAGCGCCAGATATATAACGGGTAGGTTGACACTTATGCTGCCAACAATATATCGGGATCGTACCTACGTACCTAGAGACCTAACCTAGAAATGCTTGAATGAAATGGAAATAAACAATGACATTAGGACGGGAGAAATGATATGGTCGATTTTCGCGTATGTTTGCAGGGTGAGGCTGCCTGGGCACATATGCCCGCTCCAAGCACCGGGAGTGGGAATAGGGCCCTGAATACATTTATGGGGAAGTGTGGGCGAACACAGGATAAATGAAGTATGGCAGATGTTGCTTTGGGGAATCAAACGTGTTTTGAATGAGAAGGCCGCGTTGTAAAAAGCTAGCATTGTTCTTGACCTAATGCGAATTTCCAAAGGATCTTGGTCATTTCGTCCCGTTCCTCGACACGACCTCCATCCGTGCGCCCCAAACGCCTTGCCCAGTAAAATGTGGGGTAATCTAGCTTGTTCGTGTATCTTTGTGTGTCGCCGGAAGCGTTGACAGTGATTCTAGTCTGCGTTGAGCCACCCTTGTTCGTTTTTGGGCGAAATCAGATCGCCGATGATATGAAGCATAGAAGTCTCCTCTGTACACAAATCCAATTACCTGCCACCAAATCCAGGAGGCGGGTAACCACGTCCCTGAGGGGGAGGCTGGAAGCCCGGAGGAGGTTGGAAACCGGCGGCTGTGGGAGTAAAGTGTCAGTACAGAAGACTGAAATGGAGAGCTGTTCGGGTTAAAGACTTACGAGCACCGGGAGGAGCAAATCCAGGAGGGGGAATGAAACCAGCTGCGACGTGACCAGTCAGTTTGGATCTCAGTAACTTCGGAAATACGAGAGAACTTACGGGGTCCACCAGGGGGACCTCCACGTCCAGCGAAGCCGGGAGGAGGGGCACCGGGGAAACCACCAGGAGGAGGGAATCCAAAGCCTCCAGGAGGTGGGGGACCACCAATACCGGCTGCAGGGCCTCCAAGTCCAACGGGCAGACCCCGACCAGCGGGCTTGCTGATACCAGGGCCCGCGGCAAGAGTGGCAGCGGCGCCAGGTCCGGCAGTACCAAGTCGCGCAGAGGGATCCGCAGGAGGGGGTCCATCGACAGAGCAAGAGACAACTTGGGCTCCGCGCACAATGGTCAGGCCCAGGCTTCGCTTCTCTTCCGCTTCGACCAGCGGGGCGTTCGCGGGACCGGCTTGGGGCTTAGACTTCCGCTTAATGCGACGGAACTCTTCTGTGTCGGCAAGAACAAGGTTCATGTGCTAAAGGGGAAAAGTGTCAGTCCGGCGCTTCGTTCCCTGAGAGATGGTGGAAGTAGAATACCTTATCGAAGGCAAGCATGGAACCTGTCATTTGGCGTCCATCGTTCAATGTCACGCGCATCCGGTAATTGATCTGCAGAAGGAATTAGACACTGTGGCTGAAAATGGCAAACCGATTGAGCTGGACTCACGAGGTTTTGCTAGATGGAAGAAGTTAGCGATTGCCATTGACCGCATCAGTGCCGGGGGTGCAGATTGGGATTCGACTTACCATCTTGTGGGAGGCCATGATGGGTATGATGTGCGCACGAATGCGACTTGGGAGATCAAAAAATATTGATCAGTAGATAGAACAAGTCTCTCTACTGCAGGGGTTGAAGCAAAGTTGCAAGATCCTCTCGAAAATGGAGAGCTCGAGCTCTGTCAGGTGCTGGGGTTCTTCCAAGATATTGCATTACCTAAGGTATGAGTCAGCACAAGCTTATTGACACCTCAGGCACTCAGGCTGTTTGCCGATGAGGATCCACCTTGTGACTAATCACCCGAGTTAAAATCATTACCTAAGCGTGGATCAGGGCTTCCAAATCACGTGGAGCAGCCCACAGTGCACACATTCTCTTTTTCTCCCGCGATAACTCCGTCTCTTCAGTCGACAACCACTTCACGCCCAACCGCCGTCATGGTACGTTTAGTTCTCTGCCCTTCCAAGCGCTCATTTACAATCGACTGCCTTGCTCCTTTTCATCACTCCCTTCGATCTGCGCGCCGGAATGGACATTTACATCATGCGCGCACATGATCTTCAATTTCCTTCGAAAACCATGCTTTTATCTACATTCATTACTTGCAACTGGAAACTAACATGATGCAGTCTGCCCAAACCGCTAAGGCCGAGAACCCCAACCGTCAGCTTCGCTTGTCGAAGTTGGTCCTGAACATCTCCGTTGGAGAGTCCGGTGATAGACTCACTCGTGCCGCCAAGGTGCTCGAGCAGCTGTCTGGTCAGACCCCCGTCTACAGCAAGGCCCGTTACACCGTCCGTACCTTCGGTATCCGTCGTAACGAAAAGATCTCCGTCCACGTCACCATCCGTGGCGCCAAGGCCGAGGAGATTCTCGAGCGTGGCCTCAAGGTCAAGGAGTACGAGCTCCGCAAGCGCAACTTCTCCGAGACCGGAAACTTCGGATTCGGTATCTCCGAGCACATCGATCTCGGTATCAAGTACGACCCCGGCATTGGTATCTACGGCATGGACTTCTTCGTCTGCATGTGAGTTTTACACCGAGACCCTCGATCTTGTGATCGCATGTCACTCTACATTGTGGTTACTAACGAAATTAGGGACCGCCCCGGTGCCCGCGTTGCCAAGCGCCGCCGCTGCCAGTCCAAGATTGGTGTCAACCACCGCATCACCATGAACGAGACTATGAAGTGGTACAAGACCAAGTACGATGGAATTATCCGTTAAGTTTGAGAAATCAGACATAATGGCTGGGTAGGGCCTGTGAGGTACGAGCTACTCGACAAGAACCAAAAAATTATCCCGAGTACTCGAGGAAACAAAAATTGTGGACGGGCACCCCGCCGCCAGTCAGCGGGACCCTGTGGTCTCTGCATCCAATGGTCTTGATTTTGTACTCTGGCAACCAGGATAGGCGTGGGAGAGACATGAAATTCATTATTACCCTTTTACTGCTGCTTTTTCCTTTTCACAATGAGGCTTCACGAGTGGTGATGTTATCCGCATAACCATTGTTGAAAAGGATGGCGGACACTGGATTTCGTTCTGGTGTCCAGCCAAGACTCGCTTGAGAATGCCTTCGGGCTTCGTCAAAGAGTCAAAGATCGGTCTCTTTTCATGCGAGAATTCTCTCGTGATGGATTGAGTACCTCGTTCTGGCCTATCTTGTCTGTCCTTCTTCCTATCCTCGTAGATGTCATTTGCCTGGCATAGACGTAGTGCTCGTAGCGTGTAGGGCGGGGATATCCGTTCTGTGATCCGACGATGCCGACATGAGAACTGCCAACGCTATACGTAGTACCACGACTGACCCTCGATAGCAGCTTGCTCTACAGGGTACGCCCGCCAATGGTGCTTCGAGTCAGTAGAGCCGCTGGTTCGATTGTTTCACCAACGCCCGCCTCGTCTATGGTGCAGCATTGACGCCTCTACTTTGAAACCTACTGCAATAGGCAGCGAGTCGGTTCTGCTACTATCATTCATCATACTTGAGGCTTCGATGAACCTTGAGCAACCAGAACAAAATAGTTGCTGAGATATCCGGTACATCTACAGCATGGCTGAATACACTGCACTAACCTCTTGCTTTGGAAACCAATTCAAATAAACTCCTCATCTCATTTGGTCATTGATATGTATTCTGATTCCCATTAAAAACGTCCTCGGCATAGTTAGATCATCACGTTAAGTCTTCAATCATCTAGGTAGTCAACTATGTTGTCCGTAGGTAGATTGGTAAAAATAAGCACTCATCACCTAGGCATACGCCTTCTTCTGATCCGCCAATTCAATGGTCTGATCTCTCGCCTTGGTATCATCCACATCACCAGTTTCCAAGTCCATTGCTTTGGCATTGGCAGCCCCATCAACTCCAGCAATAACACTTTCAAAGCGGCGACCACGCTTCTCAGGGCCAACAGCGGTAGTGATCATGATACCGACAGCGATAATGGCAGTGGCAACACCCATCACAGGCCCATACGCATCAACACGGTGACCAGACTTGCTGGTGATGGAAGTGGACTCGGAGATGGCATTCACGATCTGCGAGGACGGCGAGGAGATCATGTTACCGATCTGGTATGTCAGACCTGCGAACGAAGAACGGAACGCAGGGGGAGACAGCTCGTTCAGGTGGACAGGAATGATACCCCAAGCTCCCTGGACGAAGAATTGCATGAAGAATCCAGTCACGCTCAGGGATCTCTCGCCCTCGGGGAGAATCCATGCGGGGATGAGGACTCCCGAGATGAAGGCAGAGACGATGATTGCGCGACGACGACCGAAGAACTGCGACAGGTAACCGATGATGGTTCCACCGACGCAGGCTCCGGTCTTCATCAGAATGGAAGCACGCGAGGCGCTGGAGTTATCAAGCTCCTTTGTCGTGAGCATGAATGTGGTGTACGAGTCTTGCGATGTGTGGGAGTAGTAGTTGAACTGTCGAGGAACAGATTAGCTGTGCGTTGGTAGGGTTTATGATATCGGTAAGAACATACCCAAGTCATGAGAACGACACAGTAGACGCACAGGCGCCACTCCTTGGCCAACATGGTTCTTGTTTCACGCCAGAACTCGCCTGCCTTCATTGTTCGCTTGCCTGCTTTCTTGGCTTCGATGAAGGTTCGTGACTCGGGGAAGCAAATGCGAATGAAACCGACACCAATGGAGATACCGGCTGCACAGGGTCAATTGTTAGTTATAACTCAAGTAGTAGTCAAGGTGGATATGTGACTTACCTGCAATCCAAAACACGGTCTTCCAGCTCTCGGTTGAATCACCAACGCCGAGGTTGGCACATGCCGCAAATACAAACCCAAGTGAGTAACCCTGCTGAAGGATTCCAGACATGAGTCCTCTCGCGTTGATCCTAAATCACAATATGATCAGCGACATCCACCCACAACAGGAACCGAATACTCACGGGCAGTGCTCCAATGCCATCGCCATGGCGTTCCCATAAACGCCACCCATGAAAAGGCCAAACAGACTCCGCACAGCCAAGAACTGTTGGAAGGTCTTACTGTAAATGGTGGCGATTTGCAAGACCCCCAGAACGAGCATGTTGATCACCATGGGCCATTTACGGCCATACTTGTCACCAGCGAGACCAAAGGCTGCGGCTCCCACACTTCTCAGCAGCAAGGTGAGAGTAATGGCAGTTGAGATGTCCGTCTTGCTCCTGTCATAGTACTTTGCCAGCTTCACTGTCTGGATAGAGAGGGCATGGAAATCGAATGCATCGGCGGTCCATGCGATGAGACCAACCAAGAAGAACACCCAGTCTCGCAGCGAGAGTTGCGCGAACAAGCTGATGGGGTTCTTAATAGGTTCTGGAGCCTGCCATTCGGCGTAAGACTCCCCGGCCTCATTAGTAACCTCGACACGCTGTTTCCAGATGAAGAGATCTCCAATGGCCTGACGAGCAGTAGCGAAGGTACCCTTGGGAATAGGGTCTGCCCTTTCATTGGGAGCTGCTGCCATTGCAGCGACTTATGAGAAAGAAGGGGGAAGAGAAAGAAGCAGATCCAGAAGACGAAGAAACAAACAAGCCAAGTAACAAATACCAAGACCTTTTTCAGACGAAGTGGCTTAGAAGCTTGAATAGCGTGCTTATCGCGACTTCACCAGGAATTCCTGGATGGATTTTCTTTCAAATTCAACGTCTATATGCGCCATTTTATAGCCTTAACCCCGAAGATAGACCCCCGCATCACCATCCCGCCTTTTTCTCGTGGAGAGAGTAAACATACCCCTGCACCCCAGGATTTCCGAGTCTCGGAGGCGGGGACTCGCCATGGCTCCGACCAGCCAAGCACACGCCAAGGGCTTGGTAAAACTGCCCCTCCAATACCAGGTTCGAGAATCAGCGAATTCCCACACTACTCAGCTTAAGCCTGGCTTGGCGTGGGGATGGCGCTGGCCAAACCTTTCACATTGCTTGGTTGAGCCGGGCAGGATAAGCTCTGGACAAGCCGGGAGGTTCTGTGCGCGCGGTCATTGCTCGGTTATGCCGAGAAGCTTGAGCCAAAAATGGGTCGATACGCACTTCAGTGCCGGCAGTTCGATTTTCAAGGCTATTTGGCAGCGGACCGAGGGAAACAAACACCCCGTGCTGGAGCTCTACCTAGTGGGTACCAACATGGATGATGGAGCACTCTGCTAGTTTTGCCCTTGCGTGTGTCTCAGAACCGGGGGTAGGTGAGGCCAGAGTCGGCATGGGGTAAGTTTTCAAGAATGCATCAATGCCGAAAACTTTAAGAAGGCGGGTGCGGGATTTACCATGGAGGTCAGGTACAGTCTACAGACAATGACACAGTTATATAGCGCCGCACAACGCAGGTGTACCGAAGTTGACATACTGGGTACTGTGATTGGACGGCTTTGGCGCAGGGCCCACTGATAAGGGGCCGATTCCAAACTTCCACTCTCTCGTGACTGGGAAGTCTTGGCTCTTGGCATTTTGCTATTTAGCCAGCTCGACGGTAACTAGGGCTTACGATTGCAATGTTTGCAACAGAGCCCTATTGATATGCTGCTTCTTCACAATCGGATATCAGAACCGGATTATGTACTCCGTACACACTAGGTAGTTACTGAGTACTGCGTATATTTCCTGGCAGCTCTTAAGCAGGTGTCAATTGCAAAGGCTGCGTCAGAAATGTTAGTTAGCTTGGACTCTGGAGTCAGGGACTAAGGGGGCACTGGAATTCTTTCGCATACACCCAGTAACTATGTTGTGCCTTCATGTTACTTCTGAATACTTCTGAAGCGTTTAGCTTATATACTGTGTATCAAGTATTCATTTTGAGATTTTCGAGACCGGGAGTAATCATGCATGGGAAGAAGGTGATCAAGATAGAACGTGGCTAAGTGGATGTTGGTAACCTTACTGTGTACGGAGAAGAGCCACCTACGTGGAAGTAAACATCCGGAGCATTTGCTTTGAAGGCGGTCAGCAGTCCCCAACTATGGCATATGCACCTACAGGTTACAGCATGGAAATACCTAGAACACCCTGATTTAGCACTTCTCTCATTGATCATTGGCAAACCTAGTAGCTGCCTATTTGCTACTAGGTATCACTTCACTCTATCTCCTTCTCCTTATGTACGCAGTACATCCCCAATAAAGCCGATCTTCTAAGCCCCTGTGTCACGTGACGCCCCATAAGCGACACCTCAGCAACGACAACAGCGGCCTCCTGAGGTCACTTCCGCATCTATCAGATCTCAACTCCCCCTCCTCCTTTCTTCATCCATTTATTCATTTCTCTTCTCCCTCCTGACGCTCGCTGCTACTCCGTCACCCATTTAATCATTTACCAATTCTTCTGCCTTCTTTGCGTGGCGTTTCATTTGGAGAACCAGGTCGTACTGCGGCCTACGTAAATATGGCACCTCTTCCCATCAAGTTCACAGAGCTGGTCAATGTACGTGGTTACCCCTCATTGAATTCACAGTACACCGGAAGCCTTGAAACTGACATGCAAATCATCTCTACAGTTGACCTCTGTCGGCATTGTGGTATGTACAGCCCAACCATGGTTATCGGCGATTGTTCGCGCCTAGCTCCGGCTTCGAAACGGATGCATTAGCCGACGTCACATCACATTCGGGTATTATGCGCAGGTTACTAACGTTTCTATGTACAGCCGGCATCGATTGGCTTTACTTCATGTGTGAGTTGTCCGCTGTCGCCTTGCGAACTACCCCTCAAAACACATATGAGCAGACCTGGCTGACTTGGCAAATACCTCATTCTAGACACTAGAATCCGATCGTTACGTGTGTGTTCGCCAAAAGATTGACGAGGATGGTAAACCGGAGGTCATCATTATCGATCTCAAGAACAATAATGACGTTCTACGACGCCCGATCAACGCCGACAGTGCGATCATGCACTGGAACAAGAACATTATCGCTTTGAAAGCCCAGGGCCGTACCATTCAGATCTTCGACCTTGGCGCCAGGCAAAAGCTCAAGTCGGCGGTTATGAACGAAGACATTGTCTACTGGAAGTGGTTCAGCGAAAAGTGTTTGGGTTTGGTCACGGACTCAGCGGTTTATCACTGGGATGTGTATGATGCCACACAACAGAACCCTGTGAAGGTGTTCGACCGACTTCCCAATCTTGCTGTATGTGGTTCAAGTCGTGGATGCAACAACGCATGTTTAGTATGCTAACCTGCTTGCGCTTTGTAGGGTTGCCAAATTATCAACTACCGCGTCAATGCCGAGGAGAAATGGATGGTCGTGGTTGGTATTAGCCAGCAGCAGGGCCGCGTTGTGGGATCCATGCAGCTCTATTCAAGGGAGCGTGGAATTTCCCAGTTTATCGAAGGTCATGCTGCCTCTTTCGCCAGCATCAATGTCGAGGGCTCTCCTCTACCCCACAGTCTCTTCACCTTTGCTGTGCGTACCCAAACAGGCGCCAAGCTGCAGATCGCCGAAATCGATCACCAAGAGCCCAACCCGCGCTTCCAGAAGAAGGCCGTCGAAGTGTACTTCCCACAAGAGGCCGTCAACGATTTCCCCGTCGCGATGCAGGTGTCCACCAAGTATGACATCGTTTACCTCGTTACGAAATACGGCTTCATCCACCTTTACGATCTTGAGACTGGTACTTGCATTTTCATGAACCGCATCTCCAGCGAGACGATCTTCACCACGGCTCCGGACTCCGAGGGTGCCGGTTTGGTCGGTGTGAACCGCAAGGGCCAGGTCTTGGCTGTCAGTGTCGACGAGACCAACATCATCCAGTACTTGATGGAGAACCCTGCCATGTCTGGTCTTGCTGTCAAACTTGCCTCGAAGGCCGGCCTTCCAGGCGCAGACCACTTGTACCAGCAGCAATTCGACTCTCTCATGGCTTCGCAGGACTACGCCGAAGCTGCCAAGATTGCCGCCAACTCCCCCCGCGGTTTCCTCCGTACCTTGGACACTATCAACCGCTTCAAGAACGCCCCTCAGACTGGTCAGATGTCGGTTATCCTGCAGTACTTCGGCATGCTGCTGGACAAGGGTTCGCTCAACAAGTACGAAAGTGTTGAGCTTGTTCGTCCCGTCCTGCAGCAGAACCGCAAGCACTTACTTGAGAAGTGGATGCAGGAGAAGAAGCTCGAGGGCTCCGAGGAACTGGGCGACATCATTAGGCCATATGATATGAATCTTGCCCTGACTGTGTACCTCCAAGCCAATGTTCCTCACAAGGTTGTCGCTGGATTTGCCGAGACTGGGCAGTTCGACAAGATTCTGGCATACTCCAAGCAGGTTGGATATCAGCCGGACTACACCCAGCTGCTCCAGCACATCGTTCGCGTCAACCCCGAGAAGGGTGCTGAGTTTGCCACTCAACTCGCCAATGAAGAGGGCGGCGCTTTGGTTGATCTTGACCGCGTTGTCGATGTGTTCCTGTCACAGAACATGATTCAACAGGCCACTTCATTCCTTCTGGATGCTCTGAAGGACAACAAGCCCGAGCATGGCCACCTTCAAACTCGCCTTTTGGAGATGAACCTCGTGAACGCACCCCAGGTCGCAGACGCCATCCTTGGAAACGAAATCTTCACTCACTTCGACCGTCCTCGTGTTGCCCAGCTTTGCGAGAACGCCGGCCTCATCCAGCGTGCTCTGGAAAACTCGGATGACCCCGCTGTGATCAAGCGCAACATTGTTCGCACTGACAAGCTGAGCCCCGAGTGGCTGATTAGCTACTTCGGTCGTCTGTCTGTCGAGCAGTCTCTCGACTGTATGGACACTATGCTCGACTCGAACATTCGCCAAAACTTGCAGTCTGTCGTCCAAATTGCCACCAAGTTCTCTGACCTTCTTGGCGCCAACCGTCTGATCGATCTTCTGGAGAAGTACCGCACTGCTGAGGGTCTTTACTACTACCTGGGAAGCATTGTTAACCTTAGCGAAGACCCCGAAGTGCACTTCAAGTACATCGAGGCTGCAACTGCCATGAACCAGGTCACCGAGGTTGAGCGTATTTGCCGCGAGAGCAACTACTACAACCCCGAGAAGGTGAAGAATTTCCTTAAGGAAGCCCGCCTGACCGAGCAGCTCCCTTTGATCATCGTTTGCGATCGGTTCGATTTCATCCACGATCTGGTCCTGTACCTCTACCAGAACCAGCAGTTCAAGTCCATCGAGGTCTATGTTCAGCGCGTCAACCCTGGTCGTGCCCCTGCTGTGGTTGGTGGTTTGCTCGATGTTGACTGCGACGAGAGCATTATCAAGAACCTGCTTTCAACAGTCGACCCGGCTGTCATTCCCATTGACGTGCTTGTCTCCGAGGTTGAGAGCCGAAACCGCCTCAAATTGCTCCTGCCTTTCCTTGAGGCCACTCTTGCAACTGGCAACCAGCAGCAAGCTGTCTACAACGCTCTTGCGAAGATCTACATCGACAGCAACAACGACCCTGAGAAGTTCCTCAAGGAGAACGACCAGTATGACACTCTCATTGTCGGAAAGTACTGTGAGAAGCGTGACCCCAACTTGGCCTACATCGCCTACAGCAAGGGCCAGAACGACCTGGAGCTCATCAGCATTACCAACGAGAACTCTATGTACCGCGCCCAGGCTCGTTACCTCGTTGAGCGTGCCGACCCCGAGATTTGGTCTTTCGTTCTGAGCGAGAACAACGAGGGCCGCCGTCCCCTTGTCGACCAGGTTATTGCCACTGCCGTTCCTGAGTCAACCGAACCGGAGAAGGTGTCTGTCGCCGTCAAGTCCTTCCTCGAGGCTGACTTGCCCGGTGAGCTAATTGAACTGCTTGAGAAGATCATTCTGGAGCCCTCACCTTTCAGCGACAATACCAGCTTGCAGAATCTTCTGATGTTGACTGCTGCCAAGGCCGACAAGGGTCGTCTTATGGACTACATCCACCAACTCAATGAATTCTCCGCTGACGAGATTGCTGAGATGTGCATTGGCGTTGGTCTGTACGAGGAGGCCTTTGAAGTTTACAAGAAGGTCAACAACCACCTGGCTGCCGTCAACGTGCTCGTAGAGAACATTGTCAGCATCGACCGTGCCCAGGAATTCGCTGAGCGCGTTGAGCTGCCCGAGGTTTGGAGCAAGGTCGCCAAGGCCCAGCTCGACGGCCTCCGTGTGTCTGACTCGATCGCGTCCTACATCCGCGCCGAGGACCCGTCCAACTACCTTGAAGTCATTGAGACCGCCACTCATGCTGGTAAGGATGAGGATCTCATCAAGTTCCTTCGCATGGCCCGCAAGACCCTGCGTGAGCCGGCTATCGACACTGGTCTCGCTTTCTGCTTTGCCCGACTGGATCAGCTTGCCGAGCTTGAGGACTTCCTGCGCAGCACCAATGTTGCGGACGTTGAAGCTTCCGGTGACAAGGCTTACGCTGAAGGATTCCACCACGCTGCCAAGATCTTCTTCACCAGCATCTCCAACTGGGCTAAGTTGGCGACTACCTTGGTGCACCTGGAAGACTACCAGGCTGCAGTTGAGTGTGCCCGCAAGGCCAACAGCGTGAAGGTTTGGAAGCAGGTCAACGAGGCCTGTGTTGACAAGAAAGAATTCCGTCTTGCCCAGATCTGCGGTCTCAACCTCATTGTTCACGCCGAGGAGTTGCAGAGCCTCGTTCGCCAGTACGAGCGCAATGGGTACTTCGATGAGTTGATTGCCGTTCTTGAGGCCGGTCTTGGTCTTGAACGTGCCCACATGGGTATGTTCACTGAGCTTGGCATTGCTCTGTCCAAGTACCACCCTGACCGCGTCATGGAGCACCTGAAGCTCTTCTGGTCTCGCATCAACATTCCTAAGATGATCCGGGCCTCCGAGGAAGCCAACCTTTGGCCGGAGCTGGTCTTCTTGTACTGCCACTACGATGAGTGGGACAACGCCGCCCTTGCCATGATGGAGCGTGCCGCTGATGCCTGGGAGCACCACTCCTTCAAGGACATCATCGTCAAGGTTGCCAACCTGGAGATTTACTACCGGTCGCTCAACTTCTACCTTCAGGAGCAGCCTCTTCTGCTCACTGACCTGCTCCAGGTTCTGACTCCTCGTATCGATGTCAACCGTGTCGTCCGCATCTTCCAGAGCTCCGATAACATCCCGTTGATCAAACCTTTCCTGCTCAACGTTCAATCCCAGAACAAGCGGGCCGTGAATGATGCCATCAACGAGCTCCTCATTGAAGAGGAGGATCACAAGCTGCTCAAGGACTCTGTCGACCAGAACGATAACTTTGATGCCGTGGCTCTGGCCCAGCGCCTCGAGAAGCACGACCTCATTTTCTTCCGCCAGATCGCCGCCAACATCTACCGCAACAACAAGCGCTGGGAGAAATCCATTGCGCTCTCCAAGCAAGACAAGCTTTACAAGGACGCCATTGAGACTGCGGCCATTTCCGCCAAGCCCGAAGTTGTGGAGGAGCTGCTCCGTTACGTAAGTTTTGTATCTTTCAGTTTTGCTCGATCTTATACTAATTGCGACTAGTTCGTCGATATTGGCAGCCGCGAGTGCTACGTCGGCATGCTCTACGCTTGCTACGACCTCATCCGCCCCGATGTCATCATGGAGATCTCATGGCGCAAGGGTCTTAACGACTTCACCATGCCCTACATGATCAATTTCCTTTGCGAGCAGACCCGGGCCATCGAGGTGCTCAAGAAGGACAACGAGGAGCGCAAGAAGCGCGAACAGTCGACCCGCACCGAGGAGGACAACACTCCTATTCTGCAGGGCTCCCGGCTCATGCTGACCCAGGGTCCTCAGTCCAATGGCGCCGGCCTTACCCCCCAGGCCACTGGGTATCGCGGATTCTAGGACCGTGCACCGGTTGACTTCTCTTGATTCTGCCTTTCTTGCATTTGTAACATACAGCGGAGGTGATGATTTGGGGCTGCAAAAGACGGGATTTCATACGGGGACAACTCATGATAGCCCATTGATCTCGCGTTTTCGATCTTTGTTTTTTATTCCTTCGCCCGCATGTATTTGATAGGCTTTGCGATTCTCTTTTATGCTCTTCAGACTTTTGGCCATGGCCCGATATGCAAGTAATAGCATTGCAACTTCCCCATATTCCTCGTTCTATTTTTCCCTTACCGCAATAACCTCCGTAATTCCCATAGTCCAACATAGCTGGGCATGCCAAGTGGCTGTACTGGCTCTGCCGAGACAAATCCAAGCAGATTCAGGCTGATTTCTTCGAACATCCAACATTTTAAGGTCGTCGGTGAAAAATCCCATCCCTCCGCCAAGCCGCCAAGGTAAATCATCTGCAACGTCCTGTTCCGTGTACGATGCAAAGTTGAATCTTACTGCAGATCGGTCGTTGCCTTATCAGTTTCAGCATTACTATACTGTGCAGTTGTCTATGGAAGAATATCCATCTGTCCCCACTCTTGTCTGGAATTTCGGCTCGAAAAAGGAAGCATAAATTGCCTTGCCTGTTTAGCTTTAGTGTGAGCTGACTATTTACACTATGTGATAGCAAGACTCCGGAGTAGCATCCTCTTTTTCAGTTGCCAATGGACGGCTTCCGAGTTCCCTATTTCGTAGGAACGATCAGGTGGTTAGACGTTACCCCACCGAGAAGGAACTCTTCGGCGGTCCGGTGATTGTCGGTGATGTAGACCAAGATAAGAGGCATACAGCCTACTCAATGGACTGGAAGGAGGGTATGCTGATCAGTGATGTGGAGGACGGTAAGCGGCTCTGGGGGATGTGATTGTACAACTTCGACTTCCATGCCCAGAACCCTAAGCTTACAGCTTATGGCCATATTGCTCCAGCATGATCATTCGGGGTGTACATACCGAGACCCCCCTTGGCATATTGGGAACTGGAAACCGAAGGTTGGAATGCCACCGTCTTGGCTATCTTGGCTATGTGCACAGGAGGTCTACACTGTATAGGACTCGTAGGTCGAATGTCGTACGCGGTCATACTGTCATACAAGCGGGAGATCCCCCGGAGTGCCAACTGCCAAGTGCCCAGGTGGAGAACCGTGAAATGGATTGTATGGATGTAATTGAGTTTAGTTTAAGGGGAAACAACCGAAATGAGTCAAATGAGAGGCTGAAAATACACAGTAGGGAAGCAGGGGAAAAGAAGAGTCACACACATACATAGTCGACACAAATCAAATAGCGTCATTGATTGCTCCATCGGCCAAGAATCGGAGACTGGAACCTTTCGATTGCCAAGAGGTGATCCTTTCCTCTAGAGAATCTCATGAATAATGGAATTTCTCCCAAGGTTCCAGAATTCTCTCATTTTCTCAGCTCGGGGAACATAGCCGTTCCAATTATTATTGAGGCTTGAATTCGAAGGAGCTGTTAGAACAGAAAGGAGAGTGTAATAATAATGGCTGGACCTGATTAGCAGGGCCGCCTAGACCTGGTTATGCATAACCACAAGGAGTACGGAGTACATTTAACCAGGAGGGTCCACTCTCTCTGCACATGACACAGTCGAGAGTTCGCCGAGTCTCCCCCGGACTCTTCCTTGATTTTTTATTTTTTCCCCGTGAATATCCGCGTCGCACGTTGCAGATGGAAAAGACGTTGTGACTTCTATTTCCCGAGGGCCCGAGGTAGATCTCCGTCGGAATGACTTACCTAAACCACCCGAATATCGTGCGAGATCGTAAGGGAGTTTTCGTGTCCGGGGAATGTTGGAATAAGAGTTATTGGGGGGGTTTATTTGGGGGGTGAGGGGAGAGATGGGCATTGAAGGCCAAAGGCCCCGCATAGAAGTGATTTTCTAGTTAACAGACTGATAATATTCTCATGTTTTATGCTATCTTTTCTATGTAAATAGGCAAATACTCCCAATCTGGATATTTGATTATTTGATTATGGTATTCTATTTGATCATTTTCCTCCCGGTGTACCGGTGAACCCCCCCGGACAGGTACTGGTTACCTCATTCCTGGAGTCAATCACCGCCCCGGGAAGTGTATCTGTGACAACTGCAGATCGGAGCTTGTGATCCCCCTCTTTATCTACCACCCCTCCCCTCCCCCAATCTACTCTTTCTCTCTCTTTTTTTTTCTTCTCTTCCAATTAAAGTCTTCTTCTCTATTACATCTGAATCCCCGTTGAAAAAAAAGTCATTTGTTATATCAACTAAGTTGCTTTTACTGACAGTGCAATTGCGCTGTGATCTGCCGAAACCGGCCCCAAGAAGTTGGATCCGGAGAGCTCCTCCAGCTTCCTATAGTGAGTCACCGCCCTATCCCGCTATACAGACTGGGCGATAAGCTATAGGAAGAGGAAAACTAACTTCATCCTTGTCCAGAACTCAACATTCCTCTAACCATCTCCCTTATCTCTACACACATCTACCGTCATCATGGCTGCCCCGCACCGCCAACCGGAGGAGGCCATTGACGAGTCCGAGTTCATTGAGGGTCAAATTGAGCACCACCAGGACTCAGTTCACCGTCGTCTGCGGGCCAACTCGACCATCATGCACTTCCAAAAGATCCTAGTTGCCAACCGTGGCGAAATCCCCATCCGTATCTTCCGTACCGCACACGAACTGTCCCTCCAGACAGTCGCAGTCTTCTCTCACGAGGACCGTCTCTCAATGCATCGCCAAAAGGCCGATGAAGCTTACATGATCGGAAGCCGCGGCCAATATACCCCCGTCGGGGCTTACTTGGCTGGTGATGAGATCATCAAGATTGCCAAGGAGCACGGCGTCCACCTGATTCACCCCGGCTACGGTTTCCTGTCCGAGAACGCCGAGTTCGCCCGCAATGTCGAGAAGGCCGGCATTGTGTTCGTCGGTCCTACTGCTGACACTATCGATGCTCTCGGTGACAAGGTTTCTGCTCGCCGCGCAGCCCTCAAGTGCAATGTTCCCGTTGTCCCCGGTACCGAGGGCCCCGTCGAGCGCTTCGAAGACGTCAAGGCCTTCACCGATGAGTATGGCTTCCCCATCATTATCAAGGCTGCCTTTGGTGGTGGTGGTCGTGGTATGCGTGTTGTCCGTGACCAGTCCGAGCTGCGTGACTCCTTCGAGCGTGCTACCTCCGAGGCCCGCACCGCCTTCGGTAACGGTACCGTGTTCGTCGAGCGTTTCCTGGACCAGCCTAAGCACATTGAGGTCCAGCTCCTCGGTGATAACCAGGGCAACGTTGTCCACCTCTTCGAGCGTGATTGCTCCGTTCAGCGTCGCCACCAGAAGGTCGTCGAGATCGCTCCGGCCAAGGACCTGCCTGTCGAGGTCCGTGATAGGATTCTGTCTGATGCCGTGAAATTGGCCAAGTCAGTCCGCTACCGCAACGCCGGTACCGCTGAGTTCCTTGTCTGCGGCAATGAGCACTACTTCATTGAGATCAACCCCCGTATTCAGGTCGAGCACACTATCACCGAGGAGATCACCGGCATTGATATCGTCGCCGCCCAGATCCAGATCGCTGCCGGTGCTACCCTTGAGCAGCTTGGTCTCACCCAGGACCGCATTTCTACCCGCGGCTTCGCCATTCAGTGCCGTATCACTACAGAGGACCCCGCCAAGGGCTTCTCCCCCGATACTGGTAAGATTGAGGTCTACCGTTCCGCTGGTGGTAACGGTGTCCGTCTGGACGGTGGTAACGGCTTTGCGGGTGCCATTATTACTCCCCACTACGACTCCATGTTGGTCAAGTGCACTTGCCGTGGATCGACCTACGAGATCTCCCGCCGCAAGATGCTGCGTGCCCTCGTTGAGTTCCGTATCCGCGGTGTCAAGACCAACATTCCCTTCCTGGCTTCACTCTTGAGCCACCCGACCTTCATCGATGGTAATTGCTGGACCACTTTCATTGATGACACCCCGGAGCTGTTCGCCCTCGTCGGCAGCCAGAACCGTGCCCAGAAGCTGCTGGCTTACCTGGGTGACGTTGCTGTCAACGGCTCCAGCATCAAGGGTCAGATCGGCGAGCCCAAGTTCAAGGGCGAGATCATCCGTCCTACCCTCCTGGATGCTGCTGGCAAGCCCCTCGACGTCTCCAAGCCCTGCACCACTGGTTGGAAGCAGATCCTGGATAGCGAGGGCCCCGAAGCCTTCGCCCGCGCTGTGCGCGCCAACAAGGGCTGCTTGATCATGGACACCACCTGGCGTGATGCCCACCAGTCTTTGCTTGCCACCCGTGTGCGAACTATCGATATGCTCAACATCGCTGCTGAGACCAGCTACGCCTTGAGCAACGCCTACTCCCTCGAGTGCTGGGGTGGAGCCACCTTCGACGTTGCCATGCGTTTCCTCTACGAGGACCCTTGGGACCGTCTCCGCAAGATGCGCAAGGCTGTCCCCAACATTCCCTTCCAGATGCTGCTGCGTGGTGCCAACGGTGTTGCCTACTCTTCCCTCCCCGATAACGCGATCTACCACTTCTGCAAGCAGGCCAAGAAGTACGGTGTGGATATCTTCCGTGTCTTCGATGCCCTCAACGATCTCGACCAGCTCGAGGTTGGTGTCAAGGCTGTTCACGAGGCTGGTGGTGTCGTTGAGGCCACCATGTGCTACAGTGGTGACATGTTGAACCCCAAGAAGAAGTACAGCTTGGAGTACTACATGGGTCTGGTTGACAAGATTGTCCAGATGCGCCCCCACGTTCTTGGAATCAAGGATATGGCCGGTGTTCTCAAGCCCCAGGCTGCCCGCCTGCTTGTTGGTTCCATCCGCAAGCGCTACCCCGACCTCCCTATCCACGTCCACACCCACGACTCCGCCGGTACCGGTGTGGCCTCCATGATCGCCTGTGCCGAGGCTGGCGCCGACGCCGTCGATGCCGCCACCGACAGTCTCTCCGGTATGACCTCGCAGCCCAGCATTGGTGCTCTCCTTGCTTCGCTGCAGGGCACCGATCTTGACCCCGGTCTGGACCTGTCCCACGTCCGCGCTCTCGACAGCTACTGGGCTCAGCTCCGTCTGCTCTACTCTCCGTTCGAGGCTGGTCTGACCGGTCCCGATCCCGAGGTCTACGAGCACGAGATCCCCGGTGGCCAGCTGACCAACCTGATCTTCCAGGCCAGCCAGCTGGGTCTTGGACAGCAGTGGGCCGAGACCAAGAAGGCGTACGAGGTGGCCAACGAGTTGCTGGGCGACATCGTCAAGGTCACTCCCTCCTCCAAGGTCTGCGGTGACTTCGCCTCCTGGATCGTCAGCAACAAGCTGTCCGCCCAGGACGTCCTCGACCGCGCCGATCAATTGGACTTCCCTGGCTCCGTTCTGGAGTTCTTTGAGGGTCTGATGGGTCAGCCATACGGCGGCTTCCCCGAGCCCCTGCGCACCAAGGCGCTGCGCGGTCGCCGCAAGCTCGACAAGCGCCCCGGTCTGTACCTGGAGCCCATGGACCTCGTCAAGATCAAGAACGAGATCCGCGAGAAGTTCGGTTCCGCCACCGAATGCGACGTCGCCAGTTACGCCATGTACCCCAAGGTGTTCGAAGACTACCGCAAGTTCGTGCAGAAGTTCGGTGATCTCTCCGTCCTGCCCACGCGCTACTTCCTGGCCAAGCCCGAGATCGGCGAGGAGTTCCACGTTGAGTTGGAGAAGGGCAAGGTCCTGATCTTGAAGTTGCTTGCTATCGGTCCTCTGTCTGAGCAGACCGGCCAGCGTGAGGTCTTCTACGAGGTCAACGGTGAAGTCCGCCAGGTCAGCGTCGATGACCAGAAGGCTTCTATCGAGAACATTGCTCGCCCCAAGGCCGATATTGGCGACAGCAGCCAGGTCGGCGCTCCCATGAGTGGTGTCGTTGTCGAGATCCGCATTCACGATGGCCACGAGGTCAAGAAGGGTGATCCTATTGCGGTGCTGAGCGCCATGAAGATGGTATGTCGTCCATTCTCCATTTAGAAACGTGAATATTTTGCTAACTCATCACTAGGAAATGGTAATCTCCGCGCCTCACAGCGGAAAGGTGTCCGGCCTCCTAGTCAAGGAGGGCGACTCCGTCGATGGCCAGGACCTGATCTGCAAGATCAGCAAGGCGTAAAAGCATAACGATTCTGTACTACCACGAATTGTGATGCGTGATGTCATTTGAATGTTTTTCTCAGCGGTTTTAGTTTTTTGATGTCTTTCTAGTTTATCTCTGGTTTGGGGGATTCCCTGTTATGGCTTGTTATACACAGTAGTGGATCAACAATGGTCCTTGTTACTTTCTCTTTGGATCGTTAAGTAGAGCAATTCAACCTTCAGTAGACTCTGATCCTCTTCAAATCAATGTCCTACCCACATGCAGTTACCCCAACATCAGAACAATCCAATCGGCAGCTAAATCTATCTCCGAGTGGAGCCCTAATGCCCTCCCCGCAATGGATACACTCCCCTTCTCCAACGATTTGCCGACCAACTCAATGCTCGCCAATAAGACCCAATCGCCTCGTTATCTCGGCTAATTAGCGTCCATGGCGGGATGGGGAGATGCCCATAAGAGCGCCGCGGACTGTCAATCATCCTACTTAAACCCAACACCACCCAAGTGTTTACTTCCATCCATTGTGTTCCTTGGAGAGAATTACCACCATATTCCAAGTCCACTGCCAAACCACACTCCAAGATGAACCAAACTCGCCGCACCCACCTAAAATCCCTCGCCCACCGCGGCACAATCCAAGGCGTAACAATCTCCACTGAAACATCCACCCCAAAAGACCTCTGCCACTACTACGGCGGCGTCCGCTACGGACTCGCTCCCTCCCAGCGCTGGCGCCGCGCCAAACCCCTCCCCGCATCCTTCACCTACGGCAGCGCAGAAGCCCCTGGCCTCTGCGACAGCGGCGCAGGATTATGTCCGCAGCCGGGATTCCTCCATCTCTCACCCGAGAACCCAGATGCCTGGAACGAGGACTGTTTCCAATGTAACATCTGGACGCCCATCGGCGACGAGCCAGAGGGTGGATGGCCAGTTTTTGTCTTCATCCGTGAGTTTCAACCGCCCATTCATTCAATATTTCCTCGCCCCCGCTGATGGTTTTCTCCAGACGGCGGCTGGCTCCAATTCGGCACACCAAACAGCTTCAACGCGGCATCCCTAATCGGCTCAGCCGGCTTCAAAAGCGTAATCGTCATGCCCGCCTACCGCGTCAACCTCTTCGGCTTCCTCTACTCAAGCGAGCTAGCAGCCGATTCCGCAACCGCCAACGAAACAACCGGCAACCACGGCTTCTGGGACCAGCGCCTGGCACTAGAATGGACAAAAGAGAACATCCGCCTCTTCGGCGGCGACCCATCCCGCATAACCATCTCAGGCTACTCCGCCGGCGCAAACTCCGTCTTCCACCAACTAGCCCACGATCTCCGCCAACCGGCCGAAAATGCAATTATCAACCAAGCCGTCATCTGGTCCAATAGCCCAACCGTGCCGCCGAAGAAACCAGCCGAAACACAGACCCAATTCGACGAGCTGCTGACAGCATTAGATATCCCGCTTACCCTGCCAGCTGCAGAGAAGGTATCTCATCTTCGCTCTAAACCGGCCAAACAGCTCCTCGACACAGTGTCCAAAATGCAGCTACACCAATTCCGGCCAACCACGGACGGGGATTTCATCTCGGAAGCGCTGTTCGAATCACTCGATTCCGGCGCTTTCGCTCAGGCATTGCTGGATAGGAATATCCGTGTTATCATCGGCGAATGCGCCGATGAGAGATTCCTATATAGCACCTGGTACCCGCCGAAAGCGGATACCCTCTCCGCTTTGCGGGACAGATTAGTCGCCGATTACCCGGCGCATATCGTCGACGCCGTCGTCGATATGTACTACCCGGGCGGGGAACTGCCGGGTCACTGCAGGGACTGGGGTGTTGATGCTTGGGGGAGGGTTTATGCGGATTTGCAGGTTCATTGTATGCAGCGCGGTTTTGTTGATGCGCTTACCGGTGGTAATAGTGGAGGTGTTGATGCGAAGGGGAATTTGTTCAGGTATCGCATTGAGTGGAGGGCGAAGTGTGTGGATGCGGCGTTGCCGGTTGAGTGGGGGGTTACGCATTCTTCGGATTATCCGGTTTGGTTTTATGGGAATGGGGCTGTGCTTGGGGAGAGGGAGGGGGAGGTTGTTAAAGGGGCTTTCTTGGGGCCGCTGGGGAGGTTTGTGAATCGGGAGAGGGAGTTTGGGTGGGGGGTTGATGGGAGGGGGGTGAGGGTTTTGAGGAAGGATGGAGGTGTTGAAGTTGGAGAGGATGAGGGGTGGGACGAGGGAGTGAGGGTTTGGAAGAGGTTGAGGGAGGTTGATTTGGAGTTTTGTTCTTGAGAGAGAGTTGATTGTGAAGACTTTCTATCAATTGGTGGGCTTGGTGATAGACGCTAGAACCCAAATAGGCTAGTCTGACGCGCCAAGCTTTTCCCCGCATTTTTGGCTAAGCCTACGTCAATGCTCGGCAGGTTGTAGATGTACAAGATGTACGGAGTACGCTGTATTGTATATGAGGGAAGGAGAGTAAGAACAGAAAATAACGCAGAGGTGTATTTTTTACCGATGGTATCTTTCGATCGATCGTAGATGTAAAGTCGGATACGACGTAGATCTGGAAGGGAACTAGACCATTCGATGGGAGCGGAGTAACTCTTACTATTTGCCAATACTTGTAGGTACTTATAATCCTAGTGATTCATCAATGGAATCCAATGTACCCAATACTTGGATGAATACCACGCGACCCTTGTTCTTCATCTCTTATAAGCCAACTTCCCCTCCTTTCAAGTTCCTACTGCTTCTCTTGATTTTAATCCTATCATCACTCTCAAGACAGTGAGAAAACACAGGTACGTTCCATATCCCATGCATCTCCTTAATGCATCCCTTATCCCTTATCCCTTATCCACTCTATATCGACTCATTATCACATTCTCCAATCAAAAAAGGCAACACGAACAATGACGTCGTTGACTCCAATCCCCCAAACGGTTATCTCATCATAATTATCCATAGCTCTTCCTAACCCTTTCTATTCCCATCCTCTGCATCACTGCATCTGCATCTGAATACCTCACTCACATATCCTATTCTTATACTAAACCATTTACAAGAAACACACAACTCGAAACCCCAATATGTCTGACGACAACACCCGCCGCCACTGGCACGGAAGCCCCGGCGACCGTCACGAGCACCTAAACGTCTGGATGAACGGCGGCGCCAAGGCCCGCAGTCCCCGAGCTGCCTGGGCGATGCCGGCCGGGGCCATGGAAACAGGTCGGAGGGTAAGTTAGGTCATTATTTGCCTCTTTGCTTTGGATTCTTGTTTTACTGCATTACAATGTCTCTCTGCCTTTACTATCCCATCATTGCTTTACACCGTGATACTACCACTGCCTCTATCAATCTATACTCTGCTATACTCTGCTATACTCTGCTATACTCTGCTATACCTACCAGACTGCCATACAGTATACTCACATACCAAAATGAAGGCCTCGGACTCCTCCACAACCTCACAGAGCAAACAAGACGAAGCCACATCCCCGCCTATCCCCACAGTCAGTGAGCGCCGCCGCTCGAGTGGCGGCTCCGGCGGCCTGTTCTCGAACCTGCAATCGCAGAAGCGGCTTTCCACGGATCCCGGTATGGCTGGTCGTCGTGCGAGCTGGAATGAACAGGCTGCGAAGGGCGGGTTCTTTGGGAAGTGGTGGGATGAGTATACTCGTGGACCTTCTACGTCCAAGTGATTGATTTCATTCTGTTGATTTGGAATATGGGATTGGATTGGAATTGGGCATTGAGTGAGATGGCATCATGTGAGAAAAGGAAATCACAAAAACAATAATATACGGCGCAGGTGCTATGTACTTTGGATGTTACTTGTATGCTGCTGACTAGTTATGCATGATCTAATTAACTAGTTCGTTTCTTGTTTGGTGATACTGGATTGGTAAAGGTTTGATATACTCATACCCTCATCTGTAGCCATACTGTACCCGGTACTTACGCGTCTTGATAGTCAGAACGGGGACACCCATGAGTCAACGTAGCTTTGATCATAATCGTGGAAACCTCTTCACAACATGAACAGAGTCATATGATGTGGCATAGTCCAAGAGGTTTAAGGTATCCGAAGACCAAATAGGCGTCGGGGCTGTGAGTAACCGCTATTGTTCAAGACTGATGATAATCTAGGCGGCCGAAGTACGGAGTACCCAAGGTGAAATACTCATGTACAATAGCTAGCGCCAGAACTATTATTGACCGGGAGGATGTCCGATGTACCGCTTCAACAGGTACTGTTATATACAAAGCTCAAGGGTAACCTCAAGACAAAAACACTACCCCATAGTCGTCTCCCACCCCTTCTCAATCATGACATCAACCCAGTAAACATCCTCCTGCCCAGCATCCAACCTCCTCCAAACCTCATTCACAAGTTTCAAACACACATGAATCGGTTTCGGCGGCAGAACATGCAAAAACGACGTCAACCGGCCTAGGATGAACTTGCGCGTACGCGAGACTTCAATCGCCTCCATCGATATCGTGGGCGTGGGATTCGGATTTAAAGTCTCGCTATCTCCTTCCGCATAGTTCCCACTGTCCCGAGTGCTTTTTGTACTGAGCTGCGGTATACGCAGCTCGGAGCACGCAGCTACGAGCAGGAAAGGCTGGAGACAGCGGGTGCGAGATTCCAGCGGGACGGTTTTGAGTCTTGAGAGGGTTGTGAGGGCGAATTCGGTGAGCCAGTTGTTAGATAGTGTCTCTATGCTCGCGGTGGTGTTTGATGGGTTTTGGTGAGGGGGATGGCGGTAAATATTGTGTGGAGAGGATGAGGATGAGGAAGAAGCGTTTTGGGTATTCTGTGCTGGACTGGGCTCACCGTATCCGGTGGATAGGTTTACGCCGTCTAGGTCGATGGGGAAGAAATGGTCGCGGGATGAGCCTGTGCTGGTGTATTGAGGCGTTGATGGTTGCGTGGGTAGACGGTTTGCTAGGAGATCTGGGAAAACGCGGTATAGCTGCATCAGGCCGATGCAGCGGTACATCTCTGCCATGGTGAGGAGGTGCCAGACGGGTGTGTCGTCGTCGCCTGGGCTGATGATTTCGGCCTCGCTTGGATGGGCGAGAGCCAAGAGACGCTCTTCTAGTTCGTGGGCTTTCTCGATTGCCAGTTGGGATTGGGTGATGTCTGCCTGCGAGGTGAATTTCCGGGCGTGGATGCGTTTTCGCTCGCGGCGGATGAGGCGGCCGACTTCGTGGACGGTGAATTGGGTGTCGCGGGCGATGCCGGTCCAGGGGTGTGGGACTCGCTGGAGGACGAGGGATTCGTCTGTGGATGGATTCGTTCGGGAGTGGTCGGATAGGAGCATTGTGTCGTTGTCGGCGACGAAGGAAAGGAGCATTTCCCAGTAGATGAGGGCTTCTTCGAAGAAGCGGTAATTGTTGCTGTCGCTCTTGGAGAAGCTGACGCCAGGGTCATGCGCTGATGAGGCGATGGTATTGAGCTGCTTGCGGAGTAGGTTGAAGAATGAAATGCCTAGATCTTTGGGATCGTGCCAGCTAGCTGTTTGGCCGAGCATTAGCAAGGCTAACAAGGACTTGTCGTCAATAACTGCTTCGCAGGTGATGATGTTGACAGCTTCATCGCGCATTCTTCTGCCCATGGGCCCATATTGGGGAAATTCATTGACCAATGTTGCAGCCGCCATGCTTTGCATTGTTCGGCACATTGCCAGTGAAGATCCCCAAAGACGTGAAACAGTCGTGCGGAACGGGTTCATCTGACTGTCGTAGCTGGAGAATAATGCAGCCACTTCTTTGAAATAGTACTCGATCAAAGTCCACGATGGATTATTCAGAGGTCGAGATATCGACATGAAGTCCTGTGGTGCAGGTCGTTCCAACACAGGAGGATACCTGCGAACAATAGCTGAAGGGGAGAAGTCTCGGTATACATTTTCAACTGGCTCCTCATTCGGCGGTGGCCCAAAAAGGGACAGAAAGTTTGGCACATCCAAAGCCGCATCTCCAGACGAATGAAACTCATGTCCAGCCGAATCAAAGTCATTGAACGTGTCTCTCTGTGGGAATGACGAAGCTTCCGCCATTGGAGACGGAGAGCAAAGGTCCGCCAGTTCAGGCAAGGACCCCTGACCCGGATGGTCCCATAGATTGTCACAAGAGGTATCCGGCCCACACAAGGCAAAGTTCGATGTACTTTGCTCATGTGTTGATTCAAAATTAGAGTTGTCCGGGGGCACAGTGTCCTCGACTGAGTTCCCTGACTGAGCAGTCGGGGCGGAGACCGCTGGACCTGGGGTTCTCACACCCGATGGCGATACCGACGCCGGTGCTGATGCGGGAGGACTAGACTGCGCATACTTAGTGACCCAGCGCAGGGGTTTGGTATACCCAGGACAGCGGACTCCTAGGCGGGTGCAGCGACTGCAGTGGGGTTTCTCTTCGCCGCATTTGACCTAATGCATGTTAGTGAGAGTTGACTTTGGCAGGTGAGCCCTGGCCTCTTGGTGGCCCCTTACCCGTTTACTCTTGCATCTCGCACAGCCATTTCGGGATTTCGTAACGCGGCGCATTACTGATCAAGCATAGAGAAGATGAGTATGAGAAGATCCTACATCGGGATCTAGGTTGAGGGGAAACTGTGCGGGGGACGTGGAAATTGGGGTTATCGAGTATCGGGATTAATTTGCCTCTTTGGGTTGAGAGAGGCTTGGCGGATATTCACATGGAGGCGGACTATTAGAATATCGTGGTACCTACGGAGTAGACTATGAACATTTGAGATGCTCATAGAATACAATATGAATCATGAAACGTAAACATATGGTCCCCAAATCCCCCAATATTATGAAAGTGACAGGGATGAGATGACTCAGGCCAGGCCCCGGGACGGTCCCGGCGGGACCCGGGCCGAGTCGGAGATCGTCCGGGGCTGTTGCTTTTGGTCTTTCGACTTCCATGGACACAACAACTCTGGGGCTGGCCCTAAATTATGGCACTTCTACTACGCAGCAAGGTCAGTCCAAGTTCTATACAGTTCATGGCTTGTAGACTCACATCGATATAGGCAATTCCAAGAGGACTCGCTCAGACTTCAAGCATCTCTGCTGTCAGACTAGGGATCCCAGCTAATCGTCTGAGATCGAGTCCTTGTCTCTGTACATATTCGACCAAGAGGCCGTCATTTCAGGAGACACTCCGCGGCAATAACCTTGCCCATAATTTCCACTCAACTGCCATGAAAATGGCGAGCACCGACCTCAAGCAGACGTTGACGCCAACCCTCCTTCAGGAGGTGCACGAGTTGTGGTTCAAGCACCTCAACAGCGAGGAGCTATTCATTCTTCCCGGATGGGCCGAGATGGGGAAGTGGTTTGCTCGCGATGAAGAATTTGACAAAGTCTGCCTGTAAGTAATCATTCTTCTCGTTCCGTCTCACAAAAAACCAACAATCGCCAACAGCACCAACTTCCGGCCTGCATTGGAGACAATCATTGCCTCTGGAGCATCAGCCGCCGATATCATCTCAGCAATAAACCCATCCTCCCCGATGGATTGGCTTAACCTCATCATTCTACTAGACCAAATTCCCCGTAATTGCTACCGGGGAGACGAGTCGAAGGTGGTATTTGGGATCTTCGATCCCCTAGCTGAGGAAATTGCTCTTCAAGCATTCGCACAAGGCATCCCGACCCAGTCGTCGTATTACAGGTATCGCATCGCTTATCGCCATTGGTTCCATATGCCTCTTATGCATTCGGAGAATCTGGCTGTGCACGAGCAAGCCGTCAAGGTGCATGAAGATACAGCGAAAGATATTGAAGAGTTCTTGGCTAGAGATCCGGAATCTTTGAGCGAAGAGGAGAAACCGTGCTACAGGGTTCTGTCTGAGAAGGCGGAGGCACTCAAGGCGTTGTTGAGTGATATAGAGGACTATGAGATCAGGCACAAAGTTATTATTGAGAAGTTTGGCCGGTACCCTCATCGGAATCAACCGTTGGGTAGAGAGTCTACCCCGGAGGAGATTGAGTATCTGAGGAATGGGGGTGAGACATTTGGTTGAGTTTAGCCTGAGCTTGTATATACCATCATTTTCACACTAGATGCTCCCGGTTACAACATCGGTCAGCGGGATAGTCAAGTCGGCATGATACTGTGTAATTTTAGGTACATCAGGGCAGCCCTGCAGGTGGGGACTGACACAAATCACTTACAGGCCGAATCTGTCGATGCGGTCCCACATTCCTGACGGAGCTGGGGAATGCCTGATCCCAAAGTAGTAAGTGAGCACCTGCTCCTTCGCTTTGTAGCAGCTCGCATGAATTCTTTCGTTTTATCTTTTGAGGCTCTGGTGTTCTTTTTGTTGATGTGATCCCAAAACTTAGACGTTATAACCTCGTATACCTAAGTGCAGACCAATCGGCTAAACTAGAAAGGATAGATCTGTCTGGGCAATTCAAAGGACACGCACTTGTTTTGAGTTCACGCTTTCGAATTCCAGGCGTTGTTTGCATTACATACCGAGTGTAGGCCGCACGCAGCACACTCGCTGTAGACAAAGAAATAAAGCCTCCGGAAACTGGTCTCAGCCAGTGGCAGAGCAAGAATCAGGATACACCGTGGCCGTGCACAAAGAACCCCGCTGGGAAATTTGTTTCTCTCTATCTTGTTAATCAAGCTCACACCAAGTCTGTTACAACTAAACAACTGGTGACCTGAGTGCTGTCCTAACTCCTACTGTCGTTCCCTAGAGGCTAGCGCAGTACCTGCCTTCGATAGACCTGACCCAAAAGGCAAAAATGTGCCCTCTGGAGGTCCCAGCCCTGTCTCATTCATCATGATTCTCTCACGCCAATCCTCTATCCGATCGTTCATTGTCTCAGCCCTGCTTGTCTCAGTGATATCGTCCAAATTGCTTCACCTCTTCCAGCATGCCTCTTCTCTCCCCTGGACCCATCTTGCTCTCTATTTCCCGACGTTCTTCATTCTCGAGACTCTTCTTTGTTTAGCCATATGGGGCTTATTGTTTAAACTTACGGGCTTCAAGTCCCTACTGGGCTTGGTATTTGCAGTGGCCATCACGTGAGTACTGCTGTCTCCCTGAGCTGCATAGAGCCATCCAATCAGATCAAGATGTTGACTATACCAGGTTCCTGAGCTTTATTCTCTCTTCATCTCAGATTGGCTTCTGGTTTGTGACTGGCAGCGAGATCCGCTGGGACGCAGCCACAACCGTTAGCAATGATCCCGAAGGGAGAAAATTGATGCTTAGCGGACTGAGATCATTTTTAGGAGCTGCCGCTCTCCTTCTAGTGATATCATGGTTACTCAAATTCTGGACATGCATTCTTATAAGTTACTGGATGTCGGCGCTTTTCAGCGCACATACGACAGAAAAGGAAGACGAAGAAATCGTCTCGGCCGGTCCGCAAAGAAAGTCACAGGTAGCACGACTGACTCAAATCTGGACAGGCTGCGCCGTGGTGGCCATTACAGTGTTGCGCCTGAGTCGACCTCAAGTGCCTTATAACCACATGTCGGGAGCGATCCCTTTCAGCTTCTTCCAAGCCTTAGGGTCGAAACCCGCACAGCTACATCGGAGCGGGGATCAAGCATTTCCACTCGCAAGCCTGATTGATGAGCCATACTGGGAAGGCCCTTATGATCACTTCAAGGGCTGGGCGCCGGGAAAGGCAGATTCCAGCAAGAGCAATCGGCCTGCATGGGCATCGGGGAGTCTACCACCTGGGTTCGAGCGGTGGGCCGAAAAGAAGATTGACGGAGCTAGCAACGGTAATGTCACTGGCGCTCAAAACAGAACTTCCCATAGGAACTTCTACAGCTCCGTGGATGACCCTCTCCGGATTACCAACCTCGACCACGAACTGCTTGAGCCTATAGCTCGGGCTCTCAGGGATCACAGAGTCCCCATTACCCACGTTGTGCTTGTATTGATGGAGAGCGCCCGGAAAGACATATTCCCGTTCAAGGCAGGTTCACACCTGCACGATGAGATACTGTCGTCGTACACTACCCCGGATCACGAAGTACTCCGGAATTTGACCGCCAAGCTATCGAAATTGACACCAAATGCAGAGAAGCTGACGGGCGAAGCAAGTGGTTTCCCACTAAGCAACGATAGCTCTAGCATCTCTGGAGGTGGATGGAACGATCTTACGGAACTGGAAATGGGCGGTATCAATGTCCATGGCGTTCTCACGGGTAGCAGTCTTTCCTTCAAAAGCGCAGTCATAAACTACTGCGGTGCGGGTCCGCTACCGGTGAACTTCATGGACGAGGTCAAAGCTCAGATCTATCAGCCGTGCATCATGCAGATATTCGAATGGTTCAACCAACTCAAGGGGGACTCTACTCAGAATACAGAGCATACCAGGTTTCGGACTGAGCTTGAGCATATGCATGAGCGCAATTGGAGCTCTGTGTTCATGCAGTCTATCACTGGGCTGTATGATGACCAGAATATTCTCAATACGAAGATGGGCTTCAAGCAATCCATCTATCGTGAAAATATCGGCCAGCGTAATGCGAAGTACTATCACAAAGATATGGAGGAGATTAACTACTTCGGGTGAGATATCTTCTTTTCGCTGGCGGCCCAGCACCCTGCTAATACTCTACGAAGGTACCCGGAGTATGAGATACGTCCATACCTGCAAGACGTGGTCAACGCTGCAATCCAGAAGAACGAACGACTGTTCCTATCCCATTTCACGAGCACGACTCATCACCCCTGGGGCACGCCCTCGGACTATCCCAAAGAGCAATACTTTGCAGACGATGGTCTCATGGCAAAGCACGAGGACATGAACAGCTATCTCAATGCAGTGCGATACGTGGATACATGGCTCGGAGACATGATGAAAGTCTTCGACGAAGCCGGCATCGCAAACGAAACATTAACCGTATTCGTGGGAGACCAGTACGTTGCACCTATTTACAATATTCTCCTTCCCAAGCTTACCCCATCTAGCGGCCAGGCATTCTCCGAAGACACCCCCGTCTCCGGCACCTACGAGAATGGACACATCAGTAACTTCCGTATCCCCCTCGTCTTCCACCACCCACTCCTGCCCAAGCTGCAAATCACAGCAAATGCAACGTCAATGTCCATCATCCCGACCATCCTCGACCTACTCGTGAACTCAGGCTCACTGAACGAGCTAGACTCAAACGTAGCGCTAGACCTGATGAATGAGTACGAGGGACAGTCCCTGCTGCGCCCGTACCAAGCTACCCACAACGGCCGACAGGCCTGGAACTTCGGCATCATCAACCCCGGCGGCACAATGCTCAGCGTTGGCTCTGCGGCGGTGCCGTATCGACTTATCTTACCACTCACCGAGGACTTCGAGTACGTGTTCTCGGATCTAGACACTGATCCGGACGAGCTGAATCCGCTGCGGGGGTGGTCTCTTGAGCAGTTGATCGGGCGTGTACAAAGGAATCATGGAGACAAAGCCGGGAAGTGGCTTTCTGAGGCGGAGAAAGTGGGGAAATGGTGGATTGGCGAGCAGAAGCGGTTATGGAATTACCAATAAGAAGACGAATCTCAATCTTGCATTTTTTTAAGTATGTACTAATGCCTAAGAAGAAGAAGAATAGGAAGAAGCCAGGTTGCGTTGCTATTGTTCGTCCTTTCTTTGTGTCCGCCTGAGGCAGAAACTCCCGCCCCACCACCTCTGATTTATATCCGCCGTCTCTCGCGTTGGCATTCAGTCTTTTAAGCGGTCAATTCTCTCCTCGAGTGCAGTTTGTTTGCTCTGTATTTGCACACATAACTCAGTCTCACTCAAAGCCCAGACGTGACAAGTCCCACCCCTTCTCTTAGGTCCTGTCCGCATCTGACCCCGTACCCCACCACGTGATTACATCTCATCAACTATCACCTCCATCTTAAGCTTCTCACTGCAATATCCAGCAAACAATGGGAGAGACAACCTACTCTACCGATCCTGAATGGGCTGATGTTACTCCCATCGAGTTGGATGATGGCTCCAACTCCAGCGTCATGCCGCTGGCTTCCATCGCCTACCCACCCGAGTACCTCGAGGCAACATCGTATCTGCGTGCCGTGATGGCTGCAAACGAGATGTCTGAGCGAGCCTTGAAGTTGACCGAGGCTGTCATTTCAATGAACCCTGCCCATTACACTGTATGGTGAGTTTAGGACGACTGTTTACATCCGATCACATGGGACCATATCTGAACATTTTATATAGGATCTACCGAGCCAAGATCCTGTTCGCACTGAATAAGGATCTAAATGAAGAATTGGACTGGCTGAATGATGTTTCGCTGAAATATCTGAAAAACTATCAAATCTGGTATGTCCATCATTCCAGCAAGAACCACCAAAACAACGGCCATCAAACATGTTTAAACAACAAATCAAATAAGAAATGAGTTGATCCATCAAAACTAACACAACCAGGCACCACCGCCAAGTCCTCCTCTCCTCAAAACCCCACTTCCCAACAATCCCCGCAAAGGAAACAACCTTCCTAATGGAGATGTTCGCCCAAGACTCCAAAAACTACCACGTCTGGACCTACCGCCACTGGCTCGTCCGCCACTTCAAGCTCTGGGACTCACCCCAAGAACTCCAAGACGTAGAATACCTGCTAAAAGCCGACATCCGCAACAACTCCGCCTGGAACCACCGCTACATGCTCCGCTTCGGGCCGCGCGACACCGACAGCCCAGATGCGGGGATGGTGAACGCCGGCGATATCGAGAAAATGCCCTCGGAGAAGGGTCGGTTGACTGTTGTTGATGAGGAGATGGTTGATGCGGAGTTGAAATTTGCGCAGGAGGCTATTTTGCGCGCGCCGGAGAATATGAGTCCGTGGTCGTATGCTAAGGGTGTACTTAGGGCGGCTGGACGGGGGCTGGAGGAGTGGGAGGGGTTTGCGGGAAAGTTTGTTGAAGGAGGGGGTGTTAAGAGTTCGCATGCTGTTGAGTGGTTAGCGTGTGTTGTTGCTGAGAGGGGGGAGAAGGAGGAGGCTGTTAGGTTGTTCGGGATGTTGGAGGAGGTTGATCCTATTCGGAAGAATTATTGGGGGTACCGGATTAAGAGTGTGGAGGCGGCGGCTTGAGGATATTTGCATCAGGTCCAGTTTTTGAGGTATCAGGAATTTATTTGTTTTGAATCGCTGTGTACATTGTATGAGTTTTGAACGAGATCAAAGCAGAGTCTCTATCCGGCTGACAGCGAGAGCAATTAACCGACCCCGGAAATAAGAAAATCGAAAACGAGGAAGCAAAAAGATGTTCGCAACGCAATTAAGGCAGGAAAGGTATCAAAGAGAGCAAAAACCATCTAAAATTATCATCATTCATGCCCATCCCTCGTCCAACATCTTGCGCCATTCACAAGCCATATTAACAGTGACATAGCTTCCACCGCAGACGACAATCACAACCCTGCTCTGCGGGTTGAGATCAGGAACAAGCTGCTGAAGTCTAGAGCGAACCTTCTGGCCAACTTCCGGCTCAAGCTCGGGATCTGTCTCACTATCAGCCGAGATCGACCGGTCATCACCGTAGCCTTCATCCCGGTAGGTGACAGCAGGATCAGCCGAGATCTTGCGCTTTTTGATACTCTGAGCGCCCGAAACCGGGACAGAGCCAGCACCAGCAGCATCGCCGATAGCCGCTTCAATGCAAACGCCACATGCAAGCTCGACGAGTAGTCTTTCATCATTGGCGAGACGCAGCACGCCACGCGCGGCTTCCGCGTCTGAGAGGACAGTGCTGTGCACCTTGATACCCGGCGGCGGGGAAACGGCATACTGGAAGGTGGTTTCCGAGACGCGGACGGCACCGAGCGAGGTAGCCTGGGAAGTGATCTTGGGAAGGGAGACGAGGGAGTTTTTGGCGACAGCTGCCGCTAGCGAATCGGTACCGGCCGTTTCGATGGCGAGGAGGTGGATGGGGGATGGAGTTGAGGAAGAGGGGGGCAAAGTGGCTTGTTTCTGTTGGCGACGCTTTTCGATTCCCATGACAAGGCCGTTGAGGAGGCCACCGCCGCCGACGCTGCAGAGAATGGCATCGAGGGGAAGGGCGCGGTCAGAGTAGGCTTTTTGTTCTTCTGGGGTTGTGGCGGGGGGAAGCTGTGTCTCGAGTTCGTCGATGATGGTGCTGTTTCCTTCCCAGATGGGCTGGTTGTCAAAGGGGTGCAGGGCGATCTTGACGACGTCGTTGTCGTCCCCGTTGCTGGTCTTCATGATGGTTTCCCGCATGTACTCCCCGGCTTCGGAGAATGTCTCGCCGTGCCGGATGACGTCTGCTGCGCCTGCGGCGCGGATCTTGTCGAGCATCAATGGCTTGGTAGCCATAGGTACAACGACTGTGCATGGGTAGCCCAGGCTTTTGGCTGCGCAGACGGCTGCTAGGCCGGCGTTTCCGCCGGATGAGGCGTAGAAGTGCACTCTGCGGCCTTTGTTTTCTGGGTTGCGGAGGTGGGATAGGATCTGGTTGCCCATGGCGCGGGACTTGAAGGAGCCGCTTGGCTGGACATTCTCCAGCTTCAGGAAGATCCTACATCCTGCTGCGCGAGAGAGACAGGCGGACTCGACTAGGGGTGTCTCGATCCAGGGCGTTTTGAGCTGCGGTTGATCGCAGGCGGAAATGTCGATGCTTCCCATATTGATGTGTGTTGAACAACTGGGAGAGGATGAACGTTTCTGTCGCTCTCAAAAGGAGTCTTCCAATTCCAGAAGTATAAAGATAAGGAATCCCAAAATAGTAGTATGTTTGAGTTGAATTTGTTACACGTTGGTCAGGTATGAAATCATGAGAAGAGAGAGAGATAAGGAAGTCTCAGAATGTAAAAGAAATGAGCCGAATAGTCGTAAACACCAAACTCCAATATGGCTATCAAGACATGTTTTGATATACAAAGTGAGCCTCCAGGGCTAGGGCCAAATGGTTTTCCGACGGGAAACTCAGTTTCCCGCCACTGATACTGATCCGCCTGGCATCCCATGGTTCTGGTCCAGGCTTTCCCGTCGATAACCTTGGAGGAAAACCCCCAAAGTCAAGTGGGTCATGACATATTGTTTATGTTATGGTGGCCAAGGTGGAAAACCTGACGTCTCAGCTGTCGACTTGTGGAGGTGTCCCCCCAAAAAAAAACCCTCATGAAGTCTTGCCGCATCTGAGCGGAGATGATGCATATCTTTAGACACACACCGCTGGACTCTTCATGATTGGCTGTCGGTCGGTTCTTCTTATCAAATCGAAAGTCCAAAAGCGGACATATTACTCCTCAGTAAGTAAAGGAGGGAAAAGTATTCCCTTCTTAACGCCTTCACCGTAATCTGGATCTGAACCGTACGCCGTGGCTGCGAATGCTCGTTTGGAGGGGTCCGAGGCATCTACACGAAGCATATCTAGAAGATCATGAGACTTGCCGGGCATGAAAGGTTGCAATAAAATGCCAGCGATCCGCAGCGATTCCGCCACGTTGTAGAGAGTCCGTTGAGGGTTGGGACTTTTCCACGGCTCCGCCGCATGGAAGTATTTGTTAGTCTAGAAAACAAGAAGGTTAGTATTCGCCGGACTCCGTGCGGAGATGATCGTCTCTTACCTTCTCGATTATTATCATAGTCTCCCGCAGTGCCGCGCGGGGGTTCAGGTTCCCCATATGCTCGGCAACCTTGGTCGGGGTCTGCTCCAATAATTCCTGGTGCTCAAGGTCCTCAGGCGTGGCAGACGGGAGCTTATCCGCTCCGGCATCCATAATGTATGAGCGCAAATTGCCACGCGCGCATCCAATTGTGCGCTGAGCAAGGTTCCCGATGCCCCCCTGAAGCAATTTCTTGTAATCTCGGATGATATAGGAATTGTCAAAATCCGCATCATCTGAAAGACCACCCTGATAAGCTAGGAAAAATCGCATTCCGTCGACTCCGAACCGTTCAATGGCGAAAAACGGGTTCACAACATTGCCCGTGGACTTGGACATCTTTTCGCGGTTCATCGTCCAATGTCCGTGCACGAGGACATTCCGGGGTAGGGGAATGTCAAGCGCCATGAGGAATGCAGGCCAATAGACACAGTGGAAGCTGCCAACTGATTAGAATTTGGTGCTGTTGTTGGGAAGATCTCGTGAACGTACCGAACAATATCCTTACCAACTATATGCAGATCAGCAGGCCATACAGATTTGTTGTCCTGGCCTGGCGGGAAAGGATATCCGGCTTTGGTCAGGTAGTTGACCAGCGCATCCAGCCACACGTAGATTGTCTGCGTATCATCACCGGGAACAGGGATACCCCAGGTCAGACGTTCCACTGGCCTGGAAATGGAGAGATCCTGCAGTCCCGTCTCAACGGAGTTGACCACAGCAGCTGTGTACGATGTAGGGGAAATGAACGGATCTTCTCTCTTGTACAACTCAAGTAGGCGATCTTTGAAGGCTGAAAGTCGGAAGTGATAGTTGGTTTCTGAGGTCCACTCTACCTCTTTGCCAGTCTCTATTGAGACCTGTGTGCGGTAAGTAATTGCATTCATTGAATGTTGTCAAATTACTCACCATGCGTTTCCTTCCTGTTGATGGGTCTAGGGAGTTCTGCACTTGCGTCTGTGGATAGAATGTCTCGTCGCTAACCGAGTACCAGCCTTCGTGCTTCGATGCATAGATATACCCTCGATGTTGTAACATTTCCTACTCCTGGTCAGCCATGCGGTATGGTGGAGGGATGGGGTCACCTACCCAGAAATACTGGACGGCATCCCGATGCGCCGGGTCGGTGGTTCTGATGAAATGATCATTGTCGAGGTTTGCAGCCTTCGCTAGGGACTATGCCATGGTAATTGAGTCAGATAGACTTCTGGTGTGACAAGGACCTAGGACCCATACCTCGAACGTTCGGCAGTTCATGTCGCAAAATGCCTGTGTATCCATGCCCGCTTGCTGAGCAGCTTGTTGAATCTGTTCTCGAGATCAGTCGCTGCGATTATGGGTGTAAACAATCCATCCATGACCAGGTACCTTCATTCCATGCTCATCGGTTCCAGTCAATAGTTGAGCATCCGTGTTCCCAAGCAAGACCTGCCACCGTTTCATGATATCGGCGATAACCATGGTATAAAGATGACCGACGTGAGGAGCTAGAAGTAGACGGTATGTTAGTCAACTGTTGCACATATGTAAACTATGAAACTCACCGGCATTGACGTAGAAAATCGGCGTCGTCACATAGTAGGGTTTGCTGGACTTTTGCGGCGTAGTTGCAACTCCGCGCCGGGGAATTGTCCAGCGATGCCTACTGGATGCACAGCTCCATGGCTGCCTCAATCTCGGAAGCTGAAACGCCCTAAATAACGGACGAAGCGGCGTCCTTGTGGTAGCCATTAGGTCGGTGATGAGGATAAAAAGAGCGTCGCATGTTATTCCGCGCGGTGATCTCGGGTGGTCCGAGCTTCTCCGCAAGTCTCGGCCATTTTTTTGCGTCTCGCCGCGTTTACATCGTCATTCCTTTGTTACCTACCTACGCACCCACGGTCCTTTCTTCTTCAACATATTGCGCGCATTTATATATATATATATATAGATTTTCTTCTTCTATTGCTACACTAAGCCACAAATTATTCCATAACTCTCCGCTTCCTTTTCAGCTTGCAATACCGATCACGATGGCTGCAGTCAGCGAGGATACATGGACCAAGGTGTCGACCGAGGGTGAGTTCGAAATATTTTACCAGCCTTTCAGTCAATGTACTGTATCGAGCATTAACTAACCATCTGTCTTTCTCACTCTAGCCACAACTGAGTTCGTGAAAACCTACTACCCAGCTTTGGGCTCGAACCGCCAGTCTCTCGGCTCCTATTACTCCCTCGAGCCCACAACGATCTTGTTCAACGGAAACGGTGTCGTGGATGGTGCTGCTGTTCAGGAGATTTTCATGAACCAAATGTCTCCGGCACACTACGAGGTTCAGTCCTACGACTGTCAGATCATCAACAGAGCATACCCTACCCGTTTGCCAAATGGCGAACTGAAGCCTAAGTCGGAGATGGGGGTCAAAGACATGTCGTTGCTCGTTGTCGTCAGTGGATTCGTTCGCTATGGAGAGGGTCGCGACCAGCCGCAGCGCGGGTTCAGCGAGACCTTTGTGCTGATTCCGAACCCCTCCGCGGAGCGGGCGCGGGGCCGCAAGGATTGGCTTATTCAGAGCCAGAATTTCCGCCTTGTCGTCTGAGCTGCCATGGCGCTATCTGGATGAACGAATTACGAAGAAATGTCAAGCCATCTGGCCACTATGAGTTATGAGCCCTTATCTTCTTCTCACATGGCCCGGTAGTGAATGATCACTACGACCCACCCAGTTATGGGTGAATGACTGGAAAATACGATGCAAGGAAGATATACCAATGGTTGAATTGCTTTGGGAATAGGGAATTAAACGCCAACGAAGAAACGACCTATACGCCGACATCGATGACGGATTATGCCGCAGCGGATGTCTTGCGCGGTATCCGGAGGTTCGCTTTGACTCTTTCGAGCAGTTCTCCACGCGTCGCATTCTCACTTGGCAAAAGACCCCTCTGTTGAATTTGGTCAGCTTGTCATCAATAGAAGGATGTACGGATTAGGCAGTCTTGTTCAAACCAAGTAACTCTCACATACCGCACGAAGCCATCTCTTCATCTCATCCACTGTCCAGTTCTCGGGATCTATCCTTGGTTAGAATGAGCCCAATGACTAGGATTGTTCGCTCTCACCTCCAGTCGGATCTGCCTGCGCGGGAAGAACATCGCTGCCTAGGATAGAATATGCTGCCACTGCAGTGACCATTCCTGCAAATCCTATACACGAATCCTGTTAGAGAAGCTCCTGGGAGTATTTATTGGGCCCAAGTACCTAGGAAGAGATTCTAGCAGGGCATTAGCTATCTTTCATAGATTATAGACGGACATATCGATAGTACCTTGGAGTTCAATGCTTTATCTAAAGCGGTCGGCATCCTGAAGAGATGTGTAATGAATCTTGGGAACTATCGCAAGTAGTAACTCTGTAGGTTACTTGTTTCCAAATAATTCAGGACTTTAAATGAAAAAGATCTGGAAGGACACGATGCAAAAGACAAGTTCCCAAGACGAGTAGTTGTGAACAGTTCGTCAGCACCGCCACACCTCGCCACCCGTGCGGCTACCTTCGAACTACTGCATAGTTGTTTACTCCGCGACTGCTTCAATTACACAGTACTTCAACTGGATACCCCTGTTATCACTCTTTCCCAGGCGATCATGCATACGTATTACGTACATATTGAATCATGAGTAGCCCGTAAGTACTACATAAAGACTGCCCAGGTGCATCTCCAAGTAGAATAACTGTCATTGTTCCAGCACTCGTTCGCACTTCACATCTTTATCCGTCCTATCATTATTGCCTCAGATAACCTCGGGCTACCCTTTCCTGGCTCGGTGAATCGATTCGATGGAGGAAGTCCTTGTGCTCACTACGCTGTCTGGTCTCATTGTGGCGGGAGCTGCCATGATGCGATGGTATGATCGGTTCCTATTAGAGCTTCAAATCCGGCATATACATGCTTTAGCGCATTAGTTCTTATAGACGGTATCAAGTCCGGCTGCAAGTACCAAAAGAATCGTTTACTCCACGGAGTGCGGACCTGGAGATAAGCGAAGCTCAGGCAGCCTGGCAGGATCCGTTTCTCACGTGTCACTTTCACTTCCTGAATCCCAACCTTCCAGCCACATTCTCCCCACTTGCACCAACCACACCTACCCCACAAGCCACCGCAGTTTTCAGCCTGAGGCAGCAGCCGGACAGTCCCGCAGCTGACTAAGCAAGGGCTTTGACAGGCGGAAACCCTAACGTGATCCGCACACATTCACCTTAGAGGCTAGTGTCGACAGTGAGCTTTCTCTTTTGCACCTTGCTTCAAAACACCCGCAACCGTCATTATGCCTGCCGAAGTCTCCGATATCAAGCAGTTCATTGAGATCTGCCGCCGGAAGGATGCCTCCTGTACGTTACGCCGGATTGAAGGAACCCCAGATCAAAGCTCGGAGATGATCATCGATGCTGACTGTTTACGTCTCTAGCCGCGTGCATCAAGAAGAACCGCAAGACCCAGCAGACCAAGTTCAAGGTTCGCTGCACCAAGAACCTCTACACCCTTGTCCTGAAGGACTCCGACAAGGCCGAGAAGCTCAAGCAGAGCCTTCCCCCTGGTACGTTCCGATCGCTGTCCCCGTCTGAGTGGAATATAACATTCGAGGTTGGATGTGAAATGCGATTCAGGACCTGCGCTAACAGTCTGTCTATCAACAGCCCTCACTGTCGTCGATGTCTCCAAGGGCAAGAAGAAGTCCAACTAAATTCGGTAACAATGGATTGAACGGAGGATCGGAGTGTGGCGTGATTGGTTGTTAATGCATGCAAGACCAGCTGTTGGAGGGATACACCACATGGGCTTGGTCCCTCTGCGAGCCGACACGGGGAAGAGCCTGTCGCGCGAAACACGAATTTTGCGTTGGGGGAATTTCTTTGCGCCTTTGAAACCGGCTGCTGTCGTTCACCGGTCAGGCGACTCGCATTTTCTGGACACACTCGAGGATTGCTTTTGTCGAAGCTTCCAGTCCCTACACGAATGAAAAAACAGTTGAAATACCATTATAGGTTTCTCGTCCTCATCGAGGTATCCTACCATTATTCTCATCATGGATGACTTCTCGCAGCTCTGTTCAGCTGTAGAGGCATATATCGAAAAATCGGGCTGCGTAATTCCTCGACAGTCAAGTTCGTACCCATTTTGTCAACCACATTGGCCTTGATCCGACACAAATCGTAGACTGACGGCCTGGAAGACGCTGAAATAATTATGCTTGCCCAGTCTCATGCTAACCGCTGGACTGTGATGCCTCCATTCCTTTGATGGCCCGACGGAAAACAAAGACGATGTATTCTTACCTCTAACATTAGGTTCTTTGATAGCGTTGTGGGCTGACTCGGGCTGACTCGCCGACATGATTCTTTGTTTACCGACTTACATGCTGAAGCTGGCGACATTACCATTCAACACTACCATTGTTACAGACAATTCTTTGCTCTCAAAGAGGCCTTTGTTGCCCTTTGTTCCTCTCGAATCGAAGCAAAATGCCCGTGGCATATTGAAGCTACCTATATAACGCAGCTCGCAACTCGACCAAATTGCAGATTCCCGTCCACCGGTGTCTCCCCGGCCATCGAACCAGGCCAAGAACCCAGACAAGGAAAAAGAAGCCAGAAAGATGTGCCAAACCAGACCCCTGAACCCTGGTCTGGGCACCCTTAGCAAGTTCCCCCCAGAGATCATCTTCAAGATCCTGGACGACATGCTATACAGTGAGCCCAGACTCACCCACAAAACCCTCTGTACCATCTGCCAGTTAACAAAAACTAATAAGACCCTAGAAACCCTCATCAAATATCAATGGATAGGCCAGAAAGCCTATACCTATATCAAGGACAGCGTGAACGCGATCGAGTGGCACCTCGACAGCGATTACGCCTACGATTTCCTAACCCGCCGCGGCGTAGACCAGCAAACCATCATGCCCATAACCGGCCCAGCAGATCTGGGTCCAGATCTCCTAACCAGCATCATTTTCGACGACTGCGTCGACTGTTTCGAGTGGTTCGCCTCCGCCTTGCCTCCAACTCTCATGAACTGCTGCAATGAGGGCGGCTGGACGTTCCTTTCTCTGGCATTACATGCCAGATCTGGCAAGTTACTATATCGGTTCTTCAGTGCGGGTTATCCGTTTGAACCGAGTGATTTTATCGCGGGTTATGCTAACGCTTTAGAGATCGGGCCATCGAATATCGGTGTTGCGGCTTCGTCGAAGGATCATGTTTCTTTCGCTAGAATGTGGAGGAAGCTAAAGGAGGTGTTGAACGGGCGTGGGTTTCAGAGGACTGTTCGGGCGAGAATCTCGAGGCAGGAATTGGCGGCTATTAAGAGTGTTGCGCCGCCGTATTTGCAGAAGATGCTTTATGAGGCTGGGTTGACGGTTTTGCATCCCAGGTCGAGATATAGTCCTTACTACGATGGTAGGCGTAATAGGTAGATTTGTTGCTGCTTTTGCTAATACAACAGTCACGATACTATTGCTATAGTAGTTATTGTCATAGTCAATGGAAAGGTAAGGGTTTTGGCTGCGAGTACAGTTGAGATGAAAGTAGATATGACAACAAATTCCACAATCCACCATAAACCCCAGTCCCTGATTTCTGAATTCTGGCTACTCTCAGTGCCCTGATTATCCCCGTAGATCATTACTCTGCAGGCCACGGCACTTACTTCCCATGCATATACCCTCCGCATTCTTGGCATGTCACAGCTTTCCTTGGCATCAAGCATCTCCCACGGGGTATGAAGAGTTCTATAGGGTCAAATCGTCAGGTCTATATTCCCGTCGGCCCGTCATCCCGGATCATCATCATCCATTGCCGTTCGTGGCTGCAGAAATTAGCCGTGTCGTGGAGGTTGGCGCCGCCCAAGTTTTATCCCTCGCATCTGCATAAATCTGTACCCCGGAGAATATACATCCAGTGGGCGCTATAGGCGTTGATTAACCTGATTCTGGCTTGATTGAATTCCTCATCAGGACAGATGGTCGATCCCATGATCCGAGTTATATATCCAAAACCATCTAAACGCCGAGACCTTTTTTCAGTAGACTAGTCCGAGATGCAATGAAACGGCCAAGCTCCGTCTGCAAGGTTGTCATTTTCCACCAACAGCTTGAAGAAGATGCCAGATGTCACGCTTCATGTTACAGTCTAGTGTCAATTCAGTGATGATTGACGTCGTTGTGCTTGCCGCTATTCCGATATCAGAACGGACATCCCTCGAGGGTATATTGCACGGATAAATGCTGAAGAATCAGAGTAAACAATGTCTTGGAAGAGGTATATAAGCTCAATCTCTCACGGTGCAATGGCATATTCCAAGCAGACAACGGAATCAATCAAGCACTTCATTGAAAAGCCAGAGCAAAATGTCCTTCTCAAAGCTCACTGGTCTCCTAGTCTCGGCATCCCTGGTAGCAGGCCATGGCTATGTCTCCAGCATTGTTGCCGACGGACAGAAGTAAGTAACCTACACCGCGACAGAAACCCCCCAATGAACACCCATCTAATCAATCCCTCAGCTACACCGGCTACCTCGTGGACAAGTACTCGAACAATCCCAGCGCACCCGAAAGCGTCGGCTGGACAACAACAGCAACCGATCTCGGCTTCATCGACGGAACCGAATACCAAGAGCCGAACATCATCTGCCACCGCGATGCCACAAACGCCCCCCTGAGCGCCACCGTCACTGCAGGTTCCGACATTGACATCCAGTGGACCCCCTGGCCAGACACGCACCACGGCCCTCTGATCACCTACCTCGCCAACTGCAACGGTGACTGCACCACAGTCGACAAGACTACGCTGGAGTTCTTCAAAATCGAAGAAGATGGCTTGATTGATGGCTCTTCTTCTCCCGGAGTTTGGGCAACTGATGAGCTCATCGCTGCTGGCAACAGGTGGACTGTGAGGATTCCTTCGACTATTGCGGCTGGCAACTACGTTATGCGCCATGAGATCATTGCTTTGCACTCTGCGGGTAACACCAATGGGGCACAGAACTATCCTCAGTGCGTCAATTTGGAGGTTACTGGTGGTGGCAGTGATCAGCCTGCTGGCACCCTGGGTGAGGAGTTGTACAAGAACACTGATCCTGGTATCTTGTTTGATCTCTACTCTCCCTTGACTGATGGTTATACCATCCCTGGACCGGCTTTGTATGCTTGAGTGAGTGTTGCGATACTGCCTGTGACTGCTGTGAGAAGAGATGTCTTGGTTTTGTGATATTCAAGTATGAGGCAATGTTATTCTCTATAGCTGTATGCGTTATTGATCTCCAGTCCAGTCCTAACGACCAAACTTCGTAGACATGCCACATATAAACATCTAAACATACCCTAATCTATTCCACCCTCTTATAAGCCAACTCCACAACCCCATCCATACCCGCCATCCCAAGCAACCGATCAACACCCTCAGCCTGCAGCACCCCCATCCTCAACTCAAACTCCCCAAAGAAATTCGCCTCCTCCGACACCTTTTCAAATCCAACACTCTCAAACAAAGCCAAACTCCTCACATTCTCCTTCCCAATCTTAACACTAAAGCAAGCAACCCCCAACCCTCCATCCCTTAACCTCCTAACACATTCAACCCCAAGCCCAGCCCCACCAACAAACTCCTCCAAAATAGCCTCCTCATTAGCCACAATATACCTCAAAAACATAAGCAGCGCCGCCCTCCCGAACCCTCTTCTCTGGTTCGCCTTCTCGGCAATCATAAGCTCAATCTCGCCAATGATCTGCGGCTCGTCATCGCCCTCTTCGCCGTCGTCGACGCGCAGGAAGAGATTGATGTCCCCGACCATGTTGGATGGCGAGTCACTGTCGGGTTGCAGCTGGGATTGGCTGGGGATGGAGTCGTTGAGCGCGCGGCAGATGATGAAGGTGAGTTTGTCTGGGTCTTGGCGCCAGCTGCGTTGCATTGAGTATTCTTCTTCGAGGGTTAGAGGTTCTGAGGCTGTTGCTTCTTGGATTTCCTGTTTTTATTAGAATATAAGAGGGGGGTTGGACGTAGGTGATTGTGCTTACTGGGTCTTGCATCCATTCATGGTATCGGGGGACATGCCATGATGAGTAGGGAACTAAAAGGGCTTTGAAGGAAGCGAGGGCTGCATACATAGGATCCGGTTAGTTCTATATGCTTCTCGATGCCTTCCAAGGTTATTTTGGGAGATGTTGGGGGACTCGGAGAGAGTATATGGAGGTTTTAGGTGAAGCAGCGTACCGGTATTAGCATTGAGCAGCATTGTGGCGTATGTTCAGAAAGTGGTGCTTTTCATTCGGATGGTTCAGATGTGTTCAATCGGTATGTATTCTCGTGAATTTAGTCTATCCGATGTCTATTAGGGCTCTTGATGGGTTACATGGTCGAGGAAGTTGGTGGGATGGAATCTTTCCATTGTGGGTCTCGTGTGGAGCCACTGGGGATATCCGATGGCGATGGGTATACACAATTTACTGCGTAGTTGAACAGCAATGGCGTTATGCAAGTCATACAATTGACATTACATGTAATTTGGATAGTCTTAATGTTAATACCATAGACTGTCGTCTATGTCAGTTCATTTTTGCTCTTCTTGTCCCTTGAATACTTCAAACCGGACCACCTCAACCTCCAGCGTCTCGGTATCAACCAGAATCAACTCTCCTGTTTCGCTGAATTTGGGAAGTGCCAACAGTCTCACACGCGGGGCATCAGGGCCATCCGCGGCATCCATCATATCGATATCACCATCTAGACGGAGAGGAACGTCACCCTCAATCGTGGCAGTCTTGAACTGGGGCTGATTTCCAGCGAAGAAGATGTGCGGACATGACTCAATGACATATGGATCATCAGTTTGGTATGGATATGACCCTGGAGAGGGATGTTAGCAAGCATTCTGTAGGACAGGCACAAAAGTATCCAACATACAAATTGTGTCCGGCGCAGTGGGCACACCACAACGCCAGCGAAGCATAGCTTCCATGATTCGTATCCGAGCATCGGAATCTGTCTCACGGTCTGGACTACTATCACCGCCTTCAATGGTGATGTACCGAAGAACGTCGTCGACGTTTTGACCACTGCATCCCCACAATCGCCAGCCCTCGACATCCCCTTCCCAGGGGTTTGTGACACTGTCGAACCACCCTGCTTCCAGCTTCTCGTCCGCTTTAGGCGGCGGTGCAGCATATGCCCGAGCCCGAGGGAACATAGCACGGTGGATGCTCTGTTGAGGAAGGGAGAAATTCGCAGGGTCCTTCTCGCCCGGCATGAGCGTGACTGGGATGCTGGGCAGGATCTCAGCTAGGAAATTATCGAGCTGTGTGACAGGTGAGGCATTGTATGCAGAGGCATCATAGCCATATTTTTTCGGCTGCGCTTTCTTCGCGACCCCGTTGCTTGCAGTCGCTGACGCCACATCGGCAATCACGCTGGCCCCCAGTGAATTACCGGCAATGATCAGACGTGTGATCTTAGACGGACTTGACGACGGACTGTTTTTGTCGTCGCCCGAGAATCCTGTGTACCCAAGAAGATAATCCGTCAATAGCTCCAGTGTAAGCGTGTCGCTTGATGTTCCTGTGATACCCAAGCCACTGACAAACGCGATCTTGCCATGTTCCTTGCCAGCAATCTCTAGTCCGCTTTCCGGAGCATTGCCCTCCCATCGTTGAGACTGCGGGGCCAAGTCTGGCAGTTTGATGTCGATAACTTCAAAGTCTCCATTCGCATTCTCAGTCCCCAAAGCTGCAATAATGGCGCCTGTCGCCAGTTGCGTAGACCGCAGGAAATTTCCAGTAAGCCGTAACCGACCGGATTCGTCTTCCATCATAATCTGGGTCAAAGAGGGATCGGAAGGGTCGGTGTAGGTGCGGCGGGGAGGGGGCGCAGAGGTGAAGTTCTATGCATTGTCAGTAGATGTAGGTAGGATCGAAGAAAAGTCCTAGCCACTGACTTCTTTGCTGAGGTCATCCAGAATGTTTGGCTTCATGGGCAGATCCATGTACACGGTGCCGGCCACCCAGCACAGCTCTCCCTGTCGGACATCGAGGACTCGATCGACACGTCGCACTTTCTCCCCGGCAATCTGATCGTGTAGACATATATCAGCATAGTCCATAACCCGGTAGTGAAGCAGATTTGTTATTATCGAGCGCCCTTACAATAAGTCCATCCCAGGCATCCGTCGCAACTTGTTCTACGCTCGGCTTCAATCTCGCCAGCCGCATGAAGTACATGTCGCCATATTGCTGCTGGTAGTGTCGTCCCGCACCGGACGGTAGATTGAAGGTCGAACGAGGATTGTAATGGGAGGGGGCGCGGTAGACTGGTTCTTGTTCCTGTTCCTCCTTGCTATCCGAGAGTGCATTCAATGGTTAGCAAAAGCTCCGCGGTACTACGAGGAAGGGAAGAGCAAGGAATAAATACCTAGGAGGACACAAGAAGGTGTAAGTGTCAGCATCCGGTGCCATATTTCCCGGAGCGATGCTGAGATATTTCTGTTTTGAGGTTGAGTTGGGTGGATGGCGAAGGTTTGACGCGCCTACGCGTCAATTAGCGCGTTCAATTACATTCCCGCTTTGGGCTCGTGTCGCCAACTGGTCAACTATCAAGCATCGGGAGTGCATAAGAGGTAATTCAATCATATCGGCTATTTGATTTAAGACACTAAGTCGCCGTGGCAAATGGATCGGTGGAGAAACATTGGATCATTTCAGGTACAGGTTATCATGGTAGTGTCGTTAGGTAGCAAGTGTGGATCTTTATCTTAGAGCAGTAGATCAGATCAGACCTCGGAGTCCTCTATGTACTCTATGCTTCCGCGGTCATGGCTGATCCGTTAATATAGGGAATGTGCAAATTCACAATGTCCTCCAGAGTCTACTGCATAGTGTAGGGAGGGCCATACACACAACCATGCAGATCATCAGCTGCCTCGGTCCGGGGGACGGGGACTTTCCCCGCATTCTCCATTCAACAACTCCAAAAACATATAACTAACATGCTGCCTTTTAAAAAGAAGACATAATAGAGAACAGTCTCAGTTCTCACATACAACCTCTCAACCTACAAACCCCCCACACTCCATCATGTCTCTCCAAACACCCCTCACAAAGCTCCTCAAGATCGAGCACCCAGTGCTGCTCGCAGGCATGGCCCGCGCCTCAGGCGCACCACTAGCAGCAGCCGTCTCCAACGCCGGCGGTCTAGGCACAATCGGCGGACTGGGCTACACCCCTGAGCAACTCGACGAGATGCTCACGGAGCTCAAGACCCTCCTCCGCGACCCCTCCCTCCCCTTCGGCGTGGACCTGGCCCTTCCCCAAGTCGGCGGTTCAGCACGCAAAACCAACCACGACTACACCCACGGCCACCTCGACGAGCTCATCGAGGTGACAATCAAGCACGGTGCCCGTCTCTTCGTCTCCGCCGTCGGCATCCCGCCCGCACACACCATCAAGCGGCTGCACGAGGCCGGGATCCTGATTATGAACATGGTTGGCGCACCCAAGCACGCCGAGAAGGCGTTCAAGGCTGGCGTTGATATTGTTTGTGCGCAGGGTGGCGAGGGCGGCGGTCACACTGGTGATGTGCCGTTCTCTGTACTTGTGCCTGCTATCGTTGATGTGGCGGCTAAGTATAAGAGCCCCCTGACCGGTCAGCCGGCACTTGTTGTCGCTGCTGGTGGTGTCAATGATGGACGCAGTCTGGCTGCTTCGTTGATGTATGGTGCTTCTGGTGTGTGGGTTGGTACGCGGTTTGTCGCTTCGGAGGAGAGTGGTGCTAGTCGCTTGCACAAGGAGGCTGTTGTTAATGCGCAGTATGGTGAGACTAAGCGTACGCTTGTTGTTTCTGGTCGGCCGCTGCGCATGCTGCCCAATGATTATATCAAGGAGTGGGAATCACGGCCCAATGATATTGCCGACCTTACTTCCAAGGGTATTGTGCCCATCATGCACGATATTGAGAACGAGAAAGATGTCGATGTGCCGTTCCTCATGGGTGATGTTTCGGCTGGTGTGAAGGAGATCAAGCCGGCCGGAGTTATTGTGAAGGAGATGGTTGCGCAGGCTGTTCAGATGCTCAAGGTCGGGAGCTCATACATTAGTTCCGCGAGCAAACTATAGATGTGATGGATGTTTGATCTTTTAGAGCGGCAATTGGCCTGTTTCTGATGTTAATAGTGCGATATAGTTTGGCATATTTTTTTGATTATTGATAATATGACATGTACTTGTACAGAAACACATGAAGCTCGATACCTGAACAAACCAGAAATAAATTGCAAGACGCCCGGTGGTCACCGCGCGTTATCCCAAGTTCAACAAACATAGATGGTACGAACCTTCTACATCCTGTTACTCAATACAATCAAGCCTCGGCTCGCGGTGCATGTAGGTTCTTTGCCTCGGGATGCAAGTGAGTGCCTGAGGGAACATCGCCATCGAAAGGAGCCAAGTGGATTGTTCCGAGTCAACATCAAGTGTGCATTGGATTAGTCTAAAAAACCAAGCCATTAACACCCGCAGCATTGCCATTTGCACGAGCCTCCAAGAGATTGGGAGGCGGAGTAGGCCCAAAGACGGGCCTCTCTGAAGGCTCGTCGATCCGGCTCGCAGGCGGCTCAAGGTCCTCCTCGTCACTGATATCTTCCTCATCTTCGTAATCGTCGTCGTACTCGCTTTCGGTGCCTTCGTCATCGCCCTCGAGATGATCGTCACCCTCGGCCAGGGCAAGACCTTCGCCTCGGCCCTGAGCTTGCATGCGCCGGCAAAGGGCTTCGAGATGGTGGCACTTCCGGCGCCAGCGCTCAAGCTCTTCGTGGTTCCGAGTTCGCTCTTCGGCCATTTCCAGAATGTTCCTATTGGTCTGCTCGTGCTTCCGGTTGAGGGTATGATTTTCCTTTTCCAGGCGTTTAGTCTTCTTGGACATCTCTTCCATTTCTTTGCGGAATGTGAGGAAGAGATCGTTGCTGTTGTTGAGGGTATCCTCGACCTGGGGGTTTTTTGTTAGCGGGCGGGTACTAGTATGAGGGTTGTGGGAACACTGCCGTACCTGTTTGAACTTTTCGACGTAGATGTTGAGTTGGCTGCGTAACTCGGCCTCGGTATGGGAAAATGTAGAAACCTGGGAAGTCAAAGCACGGGAGCGGTTGGCCTCGACCTCACTAGCACGGCGTTGGTCCTCGAACTTCGAAGCGAGACTCTGGATCTCGGAATCCTTGCCACGGAGGAGCCCCCTGTAATGCAGATCGCGGGTGTCGAACTGCTCGCTGATGGTCTTAAGCTTGGCACGAAGCCTATAACATCTCACATTAGTATATCGACAGTCAGTCAAAGGACCAGGCACCGGAATCGTACGCTTCATCCAAGTCGAGATCCACCTTCTCGCTACGAGGATTTCCTTTGGCAGCCATGACATCTTGAATGTCATACAGAAGCGAGTCAAGCCGTTCGTTGACAATCAGGCGCGCTTTCTTCTCTGTGTCCTCCAGCTTCTTATTCTCATCCTGCCGAGACGTTCAGTTGACGATTCCTTCACGGCGTTTGTCGCAATCCTTTCAAGGTGCATTCTGATAGACCCACCTTAACCTTCTTGTTCTCCTTCGTAAGCTCTCGGCACAACTTTTCCAGTTTGTCCTTCATTGTAATAGTCTTGCTGAGGTCGGACTTTCCCTTGTCCTGCTCCTTCTGAAGCTGATCGGCACGCTTCTTGCTCTTGGTATAATCGCGATCCAACTTCTTCATGTCCGCCAACAGTTCGGTGTACTTCTTATGGACGGTTTCGAGCCTAGTCATGGGGGATTCGATGTTGCTCAGAAGCTGATTGAGATCACGGGTTGCCTTTTTAACCTCGCGCTCTGCATTCCAACACTGCAAGTTAGTGACCTCATATTGCCCAAAATGACACAGCCCCCAAGCAAACGAGACTGATGCCAGAAGCCCATAGGATATGAGGGGAGTCACGTACCAATTTCGGCCTCTTGGTCTTTCTCGCCGGCAGCATCTTGCTCCAACTGAGAGATCTTAGCGGCCAGCAGTTTGGAGGTCTCGTTAGGGTCGGCTGCTTTCTTCCCCTTGTTCTTCTTTGCCATGGCGGTGGACGACATATTGAAGGGGGGGTGCCGTATATTGTTGTAGGAAAATGTATTCAGCGGTTCGATCCGCGGGAGGTTTGGTACGGAGACCGGAAGCCGAAAATTTGCGCTAGATAGGCGGAATACAGGGGAGGATGTAGACGGATCAATGACACGGAATGGAGATCCCAGAGACAAGGCCCACAAGCGAGATCACTGGCTCTGGGATGTAAACGGCGACGTGTTTGTTGTAGCGTTCGGGAAAGAGCAAATGCCGGTCTTCAGAGCAGAACTTCGACGAGGGGACAATCTTAGTCATCGGTTCCAGAAGTGGAAGGCACCTAGGCACACGATTGTCTCTCGCCTAACAACGATGGGACTTGGATCATGTAGACCACGAGAGGGAAGTGTAAAGACTGGGATTACACGTCTGGCCAAGCGGTCTATCCTCAAGCTTCATCGGATATGCGGCCATTTTCCCTGCGCATAGGGAACCCAGGAGGCTTACACTAGCCCGGATTATCTTGGCTCCGGGCTCCGAGGATATCTCCGACTCGACAGTCCCGAGCCTGTTCGATCGTCAACCACGCCACAGTCATGTTGCGCTCATCAATGCGCATCGGTACGCCACGAGTGCCGAGTCATCGCTCATTTATCGGCCGTTCATTAAAGCCGGCTCAGACGATCTTTTCGCGCAATAGTCGGAGAGCTGCATCAACGGTGACAAAGTTGGAAGACTTCCCGAAGGTTGGCGAGAAGCTCCATGGATTCACTCTGCATGAGAAGAAGAATGTTCCGGAACTTCATCTAACCGCGGTTTGGCTGAAACATGACCAAACCGGGGCAGACTACATGCATGTGGCCAGAGATGACAAGAACAATGTGTTTGGAATTGGGTTCAAGACAAACCCGCCGGATGCTACTGGTGTGCCTCATATTTTGGAGCATACTACGCTATGTGGCAGTGAAAAGTGAGTGCAAGGCTACGAACGGCCTCAGGAATCCCGCTAACCTTGTGCTTCCCCAAGATATCCGATTCGAGACCCGTTCTTTAAGATGCTTCCACGCTCCCTCTCGAATTTCATGAATGCTTTCACGGCTTCCGACCATACTACCTACCCATTCGCTACGACAAACCAACAAGATTTCCAAAATCTTCTGTCTGTTTACCTCGATGCTACCCTGCACCCTCTTCTGAAGGAATCAGACTTCCGACAAGAAGGTTGGCGCCTGGGTCCCGAGGATCCGCGTGCTGGAGAGGTGGTTCCTGGGAAACCCGAGAACAAGCTGTCATTGGAAGATATCGTGTTCAAGGGCGTTGTCTACAATGAGATGAAGGGCCAGATATCTGATGCCAACTATCTTTACTACATTCGGTTCAAAGAGAGCATCTTCCCGGAGCTGAACAACTCGGGTGGAGACCCAGAGTACATCACGGATCTTACCCATAAGCAGCTGACGGACTTCTCAAAACGCAACTATCACCCTAGCAACTCCAAAATCTTCACATACGGTGATATGCCTCTGGCTGATCATCTGCAGCAGATCGGTGCAGTCCTGGACGGCTTCCAGAAGGGACAAGCGGATACTGATATCAAGCGGCCTCTGGACCTCAGCAAGGGACCTGTGAACGTGACTGTTCCTGGCCCCATAGATACGTTCGCTAGCGAAGACAAGCAGCACAAGACCTCTACATCCTGGTACATGGGTGACACCACCGATACCGTGGAGACCTTCGCCGTTGGAATTGCGTCCTCGCTTCTTCTCGATGGCTATGGCTCACCCATGTACCGAGCTCTTGTTGAGAGCGGTCTTGGCTCTTCATTCACGCCAAATACGGGTCTTGACACATCCGGTCGGATCCCCATCTTCTCGGTTGGACTAAACGGTGTCACCGAAGCCAATGCCGCTACCATCAAAGACGTGATCCAGAATGTCTTCCGAGACACCGTCTCTGCTGGATTCAGCGAGGAGAAAGTCCAAGGCTTCCTTCACCAGCTGGAGCTCGCGCTGCGCCACAAGACCGCGAACTTCGGAATTGGTGTAATGGAGAAGACCATCTCGGCTTGGCTTAATGGCTCCGATCCTATGAAGGAGCTCGCTTGGAACGATGTCGTCAATGAGTTCAAGAGCAGGTATGCGAAGCCTGGATATCTGGAATCTTTGGTCGAGAAGTACCTCATCAACGACCAGTGCATGACCTTCACTATGGTCGGTAGCCCCACGTTCAACAAGGAGCTGGACCAGAAGGAGGTGGTGCGCAAGGATAAGAAACTCGCGGCGCTTATTGAAAAGCATGGATCGGCCGAGGAGGCTGTTACCAAGCTCGGAGAGGAGGAATTGGAACTCCTCAAGATTCAAGAGGACGCTCACAATGCCGACCTGAGCTGCCTGCCATCATTGAGGGTCAAGGATATCTCGCGAGAGAAGGAACGCAAGCCTGTCCGAGAATCTAAAGTCGATGATGCTGACGTCGTTTGGCGTGAAGCTCCCACCAACGGGCTGACCTATTTCCAGGCCTTAAACGAGTTTGTCGATCTTCCCGATGAACTGCGGTTGCTCATGCCCTTGTTTAATGACTGCGTAATGCGCCTTGGAACTGCCAACCGGTCGATGGAACAATGGGAAGATTTGATCAAGTTGAAGACCGGAGGCATCTCGACCTCTTCCTTCCTAGTGTCATCCCCAACGCATCTGAACCAGTTCAAGGAGGGCATGCAGTTCTCTGGATTTGCCATTGACAAGAATATCCCCGAGATGCTGGAAATGCTCTCGGTCTTGGTCACAGAGACAGACTTCAACAGCCCTGCTGCGCCAGCTATGATTCAAGAACTCCTGCGGATGACCACCAACGGAGCTTTGGATGCCATTGCAGGAACGGGCCACCGATTTGCCGTCAATGCTGCTGCTGCCGGCCTTTCCCGAAGCTTCTGGGTTCAGGAGCAGCAGTCTGGTCTTGACCAATTGCAAGCTACGGCTAATCTGCTCCGGGACGCAGAGACTTCCCCCGAGCGTCTTCAAGAGCTCATTGAAAAGCTTCGCTTGATCCAGACCTTTGCTATCTCCTCCTCGAACCTTCGCGTTCGCATGGTCTGCGAGAAGGAGAGTGCTAGCACCAACGAGTCTGTTTTGCAGAAGTGGATTTCTGGACTGCCCTCAGCCCGGTCCCCAGGCGCCGACCTTGCGAACAATTCCTTCAAGTCAGCTGATAATGTCTTCTATGACATGCCATACAAGGTCTACTACTCTGGCCAGGCTACTCAGACTGTGCCGTTTGTCGACCCCTCCAGTGCCCCTCTCACCGTTCTCTCACAACTTCTGACCCACAACTACCTCCACCCCGAGATCCGAGAGAAGGGCGGTGCCTATGGTGCAGGTGCTAGCAACGGTCCCATCAAGGGGCTCTTCACCTTCATGAGTTACCGAGACCCTAATCCTCTGAACTCACTCAAGGTCTTCAAGAACAGTGGTATCTTTGCTAGGGACCGTGCTTGGTCTGAGCGTGAGATCGAAGAAGCCAAGCTTGGTATATTCCAAGGGCTTGATGCCCCTATGAGTGTTGATGACGAAGGCGCCCGCTACTTCATGAGTGGCGTGACCCATGAAATGGACCAGCGCTGGAGAGAACAAGTCTTGGATGTCACAGCCAAGGATGTGAACGCGGCTGCTGAAAAATTCTTGGTGAATGGCACCCGCAAAACGACTTGTGTTCTGGGTGAGAAGAAGGACTGGGCTGATTCGGAATGGGAGCTGCGCAAGCTTTCCATGGATGCTGCCGCTTAACCGAATCTACGAAGAATCGCCAGTCCCCTTCTCCTACTTTGCATATCTTCCCTTCTGGGGAATTGTATCACCACCTCATCCCGTGTATTTCCATGCATTTCCATTGCGCTGCATGGCATCTTACCTGTACATATATCCGTCCATACCTCACATCCATACATCGCCATTCTTCTCTTCTTTGCCTGTCTTTGTGTCTCTCCTCCTGTCCCTACCCAATCGCGCGAAAGATATTCACGTGCTTCGGCACAGAGCTAATCACATCTACAATCAGTCACCACCTTTGGTTGCGAGATGTCGCATTCATGTCCATCATGGATGCTCGCGCAAGATCAAGGGGAATGTGAACCCAAGAGGTACACTTCTCTTCTCCGTTTTTCGGACCCGCCCTGGACCTATAAGCCTACACAGGGCGGACTAAGAACGAGGGAACATGCAAATATCACGAACTTCGTAGACTCCATAATGAACAATATGACATTGTAATGCTTGCTTTGTTGAATCCTGTACCATGAATGCCACTCATCCATTGCAGAGCTGCACAGAATAGCCCAAATGTATTCCTAATCCACATCCAGGTGATAGGTAGTCTGCCACATATCCGAAACCCACGGGCAAGGTTATATCCTCCGCACACTGAACCTCAACTTGAAAGTGTCCAATCCCTCATGATAATCCTTCATCATCTTATCTGCCCCAGCCCACTTCTCCATCCAAGCCTGGACTTTCCACTCAGTCCCCGTCTCGACACCAACCTGCTCCCAAAGCTTCTTCCACGTCGAGACATCATGACGATAGTGCTTCCCAGCCGCTTCCTCGTCCTCCGGAGGCGGGGGATCAACGCGACCAACCTGTCGCCCGATCAAAAGAGACCCAGGTTTATCCTGGAGTAACCCGACGAGCCGTTTCGCGACAAGAACCTGCTGATCCCAGTTGAACAGATGAAAGAACGAAGCCGCATTGATGATGTCAACCTTGTCAGTTAACTTCTTTACAAGATTGGAGTTGTCGTCGAATATGTCTGCTACGATAAATTGAGCTTTGAGGGTGTTGTGGTCGTTGAACAGATCGTAACCAATATCGTAGAAGTCTTGCCGTAGGTCTGAGGCGTACAGGTTTTCGGAGGGGACGCCGTCGTAGAACTTTGTCGTTATGTTAGGAACTGATGTCTCTTTGTATAGATCTACGCGCGTAGTGCATGCGGAGCTCTCACCAGTTGCCGCAGCTCCTGTCCAACCGCACATCCGACATCGAGCAGCTTCTGTCCGGACTTCAATCTCTCCAGAATTTCTGGGTAGAGCGGTGATTGTGGGATGCTCAAGTCCAGAAATCGGAATGATCCAATACAAGGATACGGGAACTGAGGGAAATTAGTATTTTCGATCACAGGATGTGCATGCAGTTCGCAATCGTGTTCTACGAGACCAGAACATGCAATAAATCCGTCAATTCAAACTACTCACCACAGCGAATGCCCGATCCCTCTAGAAACCTCCATCCTTATCAGTATTCAGGACCCCCGTCGTGAAACAGAGAGTAAACTCACAACTCTCTTCACATGTTCTATCACCTGCTCCGTTGGAATCTTGCTATAGCTCTCCAGCAAAGTCTTTGCCGGCTCAGGAACCACCGCCAATTCGGGCTCGTACCAAGCGAAGTCGTGCGGATTGAAGCCGCCATCCAGGATGGATTTGAGGTCGGATTCGGCTTTGGCCATTGCAGTGCTTTGCAGTATGATCGAAATCAAACGGTTTACTTGGAATTTTGGGCCAGCAGAACCTTTTGAATCTGTGTTGTTGACGTCCAAATGGGGAAGTCGGGTTCAGCGCCGAGGAGGCCCCGTGTGGGGCGTGGGGTGGGGGGATCTCCCGACAATCCCCGGCTTCGGCCTATCGGCAGTGTTGCTGTTTGGAGTGGTGAAAATGATAAGCACGGCCTGTATAACGGCTAGCATTGAGGCTAGACCATACTTGGGGACTGCTAGTGTGCTAGAATGTAGAGGTTCCCATGGCACTGTCTTCGTTGAAGTTCGCAGTACGTTTGTTCGTTAGACTGCTACTGCTAGCCGGGTGTTGATAGAGATGTCCTCCCGACAACTTTAGATCCCCATGGTTTTGCTTATAAAGTGGCGCAATCTCTGAGTTGAGAATCCGAAACATAACCATGATAACCTCATTTTCTAGTAGCTTGTACTTGGTGGTGTACCGTGTGTGCAATGTGCACGCCCTCCATGCTGGGTCTAGACGGTGAAAGAGAACGGTGTGCATGTTTGCTGCGGATTGGCTTTCATTTCAAGCTGCTTGGATGAAGTGTAGGTCTAACTTGGAATGTCAGAATTATCGAGACGACGAGGAAGTATCTCCAGCCAATCTCAAAATGACGCAGTATATTCAAGAATTCGAAACCCTGCGGCTGCTGGTCCTAGGTAGAGTCTACACAGATTGAAGGGTAACGAGCTCTCTAATTCCATCGAGGTAGTCCATGTGATGCGCTTTGATGAAGGATATGCCGAGTCAAGATTGTCCATTCATTTTTCAATAAACAAAGTTTGCCATGGGATATGAAGCTAGAGCACTTTAGGTCATGTGGTTGAGATGAATAGAAGGTGCCTTACACCTTCCCATTGAGTATAGGATGTTTGCCTTCCTTTTTTGTCAGTCATGTCCCCCATTTCGAGGGTATAAATATCTCCATCTTCCCAGCTTCTCTTCCTCTTCTTCTTCCTTCTCCATCTTTCTTCTTTTTCTTCACTGTGCTTGTTCTCTTCTTTTTCCACTTCACACCTTCACACCTTCACACCTTCACACCTTTTCTTCTTTTCTCGCTTGGTTCTCTAACCTTCCTACTGGGCTTCTTGTCCTGCCCGTCCTATGATGAAATGAGGGCTCGTCCTGTACTAGATATTGGTGCTCCGGTGTCTAGTAGGGGTGGGTCTCCAGGCGTACGCATGTCCAGGGACCTCTTTGGCTGGGCCGAAGAGACATCGTTGGCTAGGCTGAGGAGACGTCCTTGGCCCGGCCGAAGAGACATCTGTGGCTAGGCCAGAGAGGACCACAGACACAGTCTGACTTCTGAGGACGTTCCTTCCCTTCCTTCCCCTCCTCTCTCCTCTCTCCTCTCTCTCATCTTCCCTTGTCCCTTTTTTCTCTCTCCTCCCTCCCTCCTCTCTGAGATCTTGCCTGTCCCAAGCTGAGATGAGGGTCCCCCGGCAGCTTCTCTGCTGCATGCAAGTCTCTTCCACTGCCCTGGATTTGAGTGCAAGTGCTAAATGTTAAATTACATTTGCATAGCCTTTCACTTCATGGCACAACGGTCACTCCTCCCTTAAAGTTCCATCAATCACATGAGTTATGCTGAAGTTGGGCATGATCGATCTAAAAACAGGTTCTGTCGAATATCGGCGGCCAAGCAGCTGCAGCTACCTCTAGCTTGCGCGTGCGTTGATCGAACCCAAGGGAACAGAGGCCAATCAACAACTGATATAAACATTCCACCCTTCTCTCAGGCACATTGGCGGGTATTCCTAATGGAAGAATTTGAACACAGGCAAATATGAGTGCTGATAGGCTTGGTTTCATCCCAATCGGGCGATGACACTCATGGTACTGATTCATCCATCAGGAATACCTGGCCAAGATGACCGAGGCAAGGGTGGTATGTTCGGATGAGTTGTCAATTGGCCTCTGTTATCTTGGGTTCGACCAGCGCACACGCAAGTAACGAATCATGTTGAGATGATCGTGAGGCGATGGGAGAGGAAGGAAGAAAAAGGACCTGGGGAGGGACGGACTGGACAGAATACATGTACATAGGAGCCTCACTAATCCTGATTAGGTATGGACATAAATAATCAAGGACACTTCACGCATCAAAGCAGCCAGTTGGTGGGCCTTTCATGACGGTATTGATTATGTGCAGATGCTGGATACAGATATAGACAGGATGATGAGATGTATTGGTGGTAGTTGCACGTAGTTGAAGATTCGTAGCAAGATATGAACGACGAGTCAACTTGAGGACAAGACTTAATATCTACAGTCCCCTGACATGGTCTAAACCACGAGAGGCAGCAATTAAGTACATCTCGACTATCATGATGAGTCTCTGTAGTGCCATTGAAATATTGGCAATGCTGGAGAGATTCTGGTCGTCTGGAAGTTATTGCATTCACGGGGGGTATAAGGTAGCAAAGTTGCTCATGATATCATACAAGGTAGGCCACAGAAGATGTTTGAACTGCTCGCCCAACAGATTATAGCATTGCGTGTAAAGGCCAGTGGCAATCAGTCGGGAGAGGTCGTATTATTACTAGTCTCATGAGGAGATGTGGCCCTGGGCGATGCCTTTGATGCGGGTGACATAGAGAGTGGTGGGAAAGGTTCGGATTGGTTGCCGGACAAGCGGCGGCTCGATGACTCGCTGTATGCCCCGCTGGGGGTATGAGGTTGTGAATCCCCGTCTTGTGACGGGATATTTGAATTAACGGATGGTGCGGTAGGCTGCAGGTAAACGGAGAGTCCAATTAGTTTCCTCGGCCACAATAGGTATCAGCAAGCGAAACCTCATACCTTATCAGCGCCTCCGAGATCAAGGCCTCGGTGCAAAGCCAACTCATGTGCAGCAAGCCGCTTCTTCTCTATGGCGGCTTCTTCTTCCAATGCTGCGCGCTGCTCCTCTGTTTTCAGATCTGCCAATGACGGCGTTTCAACACCTGGAGAGATTGCGACCTCATTGCTACTAGGTGACCGCTTCGGAGGGCGCCTCTTCTTCTGCTTCGCTTGCAAGGAAGTATCACCGAGACTGGACGCAGATGCTGACTTCACGGTTTCAGGCCTGGCACCAGACTGATCGTCTGATTCTAGGCCCGTTCCCCGACGCCCGAAAGCAAGTGCAAACTCATCATCTAGCGGTACTGCATCTTCTTCCTCGTCGCTAGGGAATAAATCCCCGCGCGAGCTCAGTGAGTTTTCCGTTCCGCGGGAAGATTGCGTAGCGCTGCGATTCCTCCGGTTTGGAGTAGGAGATGATCGACCGGCATCATCATCCAAACCTTCCATTAATGGCTCATCTTCGTGCGTATAGTGCCGGCTGCCTGGATGTTCCTGGAGATCAGCAGCCGACGGCCGATATTTGACACCCCTTGCACCGAACCTCCAGGGGAAGCGCTCGAGGAATCCAAGGACAGAAGAGCTGGGGATCAAAGTAGGGTCAACACGATTGTCGGGGATAAGCACAGTACTCCTTCGTCGGCGAGTTCCGTAGCTCATCCTCCGCTGCTGGCGTGGCTGGTCTGCAGCTCCGCGGGCCAGCCCGCTGCCAGCAAGGAGGCGGTCAAGTTCGCCGGTACCCCACCCCAATAAGCTCTCGTCCTCTTCTTCGTTGTCCCAATCATCGTAGAAATCAAAGCTGGCCTCGGCTTGGCCGCGTCGTCGTCGCCTTAGGTGGTCTTCGCGGCTCGGGAGGCAGGGAGCTGTGCATGCTGCCATGCAGTTGCCAATGGATGAAAGACAGGGCGATATGTAATTGTGGGAGAAAGTATAGAGCCCTTCTTGCGCGGTTTCGTTGGCCGTCTCAAGGTTATGGGAGATCTGGTTGATCCGTTGCCGAATGCGGGGGTCGCGCGGTCGCATCATCTTGGGCGATGGGCAGAACAAACAGTACTGATGCGGAATGGTTTGAGTATTACTCCACCAGCTGTCGCCGGCGACATTGGAAGAGTATCAGGGGTAGGCAGAGGTAAGTGCAGTCGCAAGACGCATTCGACCATGGATGTCATTCCTTGCTGACTCAGCGGCACGGGTAAATTTGAGGAATTTTGGTTGATGAAGATGCGATAAGGCGGGGGGAATTGAGAGAATTGGAGAGAAAGGGATTGTGATCTTTGTCCCAAGATGGTGTACTATGTTCGGTTCTTGAAAACGCCCAAGGTCCAGCAGCAGAAAGGCTCCTTCGCCATCTCCGCTCTTATCTGCATCACCACTGATCTGGGAGATTCATTTCTCGCCGAAGATGTGGATTTGATGGTGAGAGCCAGTGGAAAATCCTCTCGGATTGCGTTTGAAAGGCCGACAAAATGGCAGGCTAGTAATCGTGAACTTGCTATTACTCTTGGTCCTCTTCCACCTGTTCTGGCTCAGCAGCCTTTGGTCTTGACCGTCCAGGTACAACATCCTCAAGATTATATTCCTCCTCGAGGCCCCACCATTCCTTTAGTGGTTGCTGCAACAAGTGCTCCATTTGGCCCTCGGCCGACGCCAGCTGAGAAACTGATTCTGCGGCGGATTCAGTACTCCAGCGGCGATACGAGACCAATGGAGATCTGGGAAGAGACAGGCAATAGCATTGCTCGACACATATGGTAAGACACTGTCTACTTTATGTTTCTTTGCTTTCTTCGAAGTTCTAATGTTCCCATTTTGTCAGGGATGCTGGTCTCGCAACAGTTACATACATCCACAAGACTGTCAACAGTCGAGGGAAGACGGCCAGTAAAGAGAGCAACAATGGCACTTGCTCCCAGATGCCAGCTCTGAAGCAGGTGCTATCCACCTCACGCAACACACCTCTTCAGGTAGTCGAGCTGGGAGCCGGGTGCGGGATAGTGGGCATTGCATTGGCGCAAATGCTTCCCAACTGTTCGGTTCTACTCACGGACCTCCCCGAGGTCGGCGAGATAATAACACGCAATATTAATGCAGCCCAACCTGCAACAATGTCCAGCCTTCGCTACCAAAACCTTGACTGGGACGATCCCCCAGAAAACCTCTGTTCGCAGCCCATTGACCTGATTCTTGTCTCGGATTGCACCTATAATTCAGACAGCTTGCCAGCACTAGTCTCTGCACTTGACCGATTGGTTCGGACATCCCCGGAGGCGATCATTTTGGTGGCTCTGAAGAGACGGCATGACAGCGAAACGGTGTTTTTCGAACTAATGGAGTCTGCGGGGTTTGCAGCGGACAAGGACAACCTTCTGATTCCTTCGCAACATGGTGAGGATGATGAGATTGAGTTTTACTGTTATAGTCGGTCAGTCAAGGACTAAGGACTTATAGTGTACAGCATTGCAGCAGCAGCATAAAAGTAGGAGTGAGAGATCAAACCATCATAGCACGATACCCCGGCCAATAGGGCAAGGCGCAATGTGGATTATGCTACACCGAATACCATTGCATAACTATGTCGTTTAACCATTATTTAATGTCTGACATCGATGAATCATGACGGGGAGAGTAACTATTTACAGGTAGAAGTGTAGCAAAATACTACTAATGCGTCTTCGAAGTCATCAGTACTCGTAGTAACACAGTACTAGTAGTAGGAAGTTCTTTAAAGAGGGTCCCGTGACTCCCGTCGTTATCTTTAGAAGTTGGCAGGAGTGGTCCGTGCACGATGGGAAGTGGGATCCCACGTCATTTGCGATCTCGGCCGAGGGCCTATTTTTATGAGCTTCACACTCAGTCCAAGATGCTATTTTCTGCCTTCTGCACGGAAAGTGACACCTGCAGGTATATCACATCAATGCTTACTGTATAGGTGCTGCGTACGTAGTACCAGCTTCATGCATGATCCAACATATCAATACGTATCATAAGCATTAAGGACACGCAATCCAGATTACTGCCACGTCCTCGGGTACCTGAATGTATGAGGTACTTCTGTAGCTGCAAGCTCAAGTGTTTGATCTTCAAACAGGGATATTACACTCCGTATACAGTACCTCTACGAACTGATGGCAAATCATAAGCAGCATCTACACCGCTGCAAATGTGTCCAGCGGTCCCGAGTGCATGGGATTTTATCCACTCCTGCGTCATGCAGATTTGGGACGAAGACCTGTAGTAGAGTCTTCGTGCTGCAAGGAATGCTTGCGGTATAACTCCTCCGTACATACCAAGTAACTAGGTACAGCTTGCCTAAAATAGAGCCGAATAATCGCGCAAGTTTGACTGAAAAAGGCCGCAGACTAGCCCTGATAGAGCCCGTCGTCCAATGACGAAGCTCATATATGGTGAGTCAGCAGCCCGGGTTCTTTTTTCCCCACGGTTGGAAAAAAAGCTCCATCTCCAGGACATTTCCCTTCATACTCCTCTGTGTCTGAGTCTTACAGCTTTATTTTACAAGGTGAGTCTTTTTTTTCCAAGTTTGCTCAATTTGGATGTCCGTGTGCGACTCTCTCCCCGGTGCGGCGTTTTATCTTCCACTTGTCGTGTGCCCTAAGCTCGCTCACAGCCCCCCTCCGAAGGAAAAATTTCTCAGTCCTAAAACTCTTGGCCCAGTCTCCCCTCCCTCTTCCTTTTTTTCCCTCCCACACTCCACCTATAGCTATCATAGCACCTGGACTACATTGACCAGGCTTGCTAACTATATCTCTCCTACTCAGCTTTTATATTTCGGGTCTTCGGTCCACCTTTTACACTCAGCCTTTGGAATCCCCAAAGGCGATTTGGTCATCACGGCTCCGATAGCCTCAATTCTGGTTCTTTGCCAAATTGTCTCCACTCGACGTCTCCGCGACACTCTTAACAACATTCCACCTCCTGGTCTTTTCTGAACTCTCGTCCGGTGCGCCTCTTTTCGTCCCGTTGACGCCCCCGGAGATCATTCCCCCGTCTTCTGAGCTGCCGCATAGGACTTCTTCGAAGGTTCTTCCTCTTCAGGGGGAAGGGTCTAGGAGGCTTGGTCCAGTCAACTACGGTTGTGACACTTTTCGTCCTCCCTAACACGCAGTCGCCTGCCGGTTAAAAAACTTCTTTTATTATCACTTTATCTGTTAAACTTGTGCTGAGTCGCAGCGGCATGGTTATGGCACCGACTGCGTGTGTTTCGACTGCTGAAGTATGCACCTTCATAAAAGACTATAACAATTGTCTTGATCATCACGGTCTCAGCAGTCATGGCGGGGACAACAATTTGTTGCAAGCGTCGTTGGCTGCCAAGGAATTGGTTCTGGATGTGTTGAAGAAACGGGCGGCGGAGGTGGATGTGGACGATTGTGCTCCTGGAGAGGAGGATGCTTTCTATGTGGCGGATATGGGGGAGGTCTACCGCCAGCATATGCGCTGGAAGATGAATTTGGGCCGTATCAAGCCCTTTTATGGTAGGTCTTTCGTCGCCACTGGATATCACCCTCCGGGAGCCTTGCTAATCATATGACTTAACAGCTGTCAAGTGTAACCCCGACCCGGAAGTCCTCCGGCTCATGGCTCAGCTTGGTAACGGTTTCGACTGTGCTTCCAAGTCTGAGATCGAACTCGCCCTTCAGACGGGCATCGATCCCAGCCGCATTATTTACGCGCAGCCCTGCAAGACCAAATCTTACCTGCGCTACGCCTCCCAAGTCGGCGTAAAGCAAATGACCTTCGACAACGCCGATGAGCTGTACAAGATTAAGGCCACTTTCCCTGAGGCGGAACTCTACCTCCGCATTTTGACCGACGACTCGACCAGTCTCTGCCGACTGAGCATGAAGTTCGGTGCTTCCATGGATCAAGCTCGTCCACTGCTTGAACTCGCCTATCAATTGGGTCTCAAGGTTGTTGGCGTGAGCTTCCACGTCGGATCCGGCGCCGAGGACCCCCGGGCCTTCCTCAAAGCCGTGCAAGACGCGCGCACGGTCTTCGACAACGCAGCCGACATCGGCCACGAGCTCCACACTCTGGACGTTGGCGGCGGTTTCTGCCAGGACACCTTCGAGAAGTTTGCGGGCATTCTCGGCGAAGCCGTGGACACCTACTTCCCGCCCAACATTCGCATCATCGCCGAGCCCGGTCGCTACTACGTAGCCACTGCTTATACCCTGGCCGCGAATGTCATCGCCCGACGCGACATCCCGAACCCCGAGGATGCCTCCCGCGATGCTTACATGCTCTACTTGAATGATGGCGTCTACGGCAATTTCTCGAACATCATCTTCGACCACCAGCACCCAGTTGCCCAGATTCTTACCTGTGCCTCGGACGGCTCCCAGCCTGGTTCTCCGAACTCTGCGACTTCGGACAACGTCACTTATTCCATCTGGGGCCCGACTTGCGACGGCATCGATGTCATCTCTCAGCGCATTGAACTGCCTGGGCTGCTGAACACCGGTGACTGGCTCTACTTTGAAGAAATGGGAGCCTACACCAGGTGCAGCGCTACTCGCTTTAATGGTTTCTCCGATAACCACGAGGTGATCTACATCTCGAGCGAGACTGGTGCTTCCGCCCTGCTCAACTACTAGTTTGGAACACCTTTGCTTTACGATTGTCTGCTACTTTGTGTTTGATTTTGAATTTCTGATAATACTTTGGTTTGATGACCTCTTTCGAGGACAGTTTAATTCAGTATCTATCGTGCGTTCTCGCTGCATTGCCATTCGCTCCTTGCTCTCTAGATCACGATTCAGAATAGAGGTCTTCCCCCATAGCATAGCTGGTATCTCGTGTGCATGACTTGTGCTCTTCAGTGTTATGACACTTCCGACCAAGGAATCTGGAAGGGTCCATAGAATCTGAGAAGCTTCAATTGTCATCGGTGTATCATGCTCTATCATCGTATATACAAGGTATCATCTGGAGAAAATAATACATCGCGGCACCTACAAACAGATGATGCCGCTCCAAAGATCTAGACCAAGCGTTCCACACTCAAGTCTGCACTCTCTCCCTCGCTGGCCTGGACCAGTCCACCAGCTTCAAGCTTCTTCTTCCATTTCGCCGACTCATACTGCGCCAGGATCAACGTGATCCTTGCAATGACAGCAGGATCAGCCCCCTCCGCAACAACATCGGAAGGAGTACAAGTCCACCGTCCAAAAGCCCAGTTAAGGATATAATACTGGACCCCATCCCCCTCAACGTTCTTCCTCGCATTCATATCGTCCGAACTCTCAACCGGCAAATCCCCGTTCGCGCACCGAACGATCCCCTTGATGCGATACACCTCCTCCCTCGGCGCAGAAGCAAGAAACTTCTCCAACGCCGCAACATCAACCGTCTTCCCAAGCTGACTACCCTTTAGCACAACAGAAAGCACCTCAACCTCGGACTGATGATCATGCTGATGTCCATGTCCATGTCCAACAACATCCCCCTCCGCCTGGCTAAACAACGCCCCATCAATCCCAAGCAAAACATCAGCATCCACCCTCCCCTTATCAGACTTCACCCACGGCGTCTCCACCCCCAAATCCCCCACCCGATCCCTCGCAACATCGAATTTCTCCTCCCTCCCCTCCCACTTATTATAAACTATCAAGTCCGTGTACCGTGCCTGGATCCTCGCCGTCACAGAGGTATCCTCATACCCCTCCCAATTCTCAACATCGATAGCGCTGATAACGCCGTCGAGCACGAAATGCCCTTCTTCGCGCGCAAGCCGATTGACCTCCATCGCGAGGGTTGCGGGGAATGCGCTGCCGCTTGTCTCGATGACGATGCGGTCGGGTTGGATTTCGGTGCGGAGTTGCTCTAGTGCGTCGCTGAGTTGGCCGACGAGGTTGCAGCAGATGCAGCCGTTGAGGAGTTCGCGGACGCCGGAAATTGAGTTTGTTGAGGCGAGTTGGGAGTCGACGGCTACGTCGCCGAATTCGTTTTTTAGGAGGGCGAGTTTGTAGGTTTTGGGGAGTTGCGGGAGGAGGTTTAGGAGGAGGGTTGTTTTGCCGGAGCCGAGGAAGCCTGTTAGGATTGTTATCGGGATTGGCGCCATTTTTGGCGGTGAATGGAATGTATTTCTGAGGGTGGTTGAGGTGTGGTGGTGACGTTGGGATGGATTGGAGATGGAGATGGAGGGGGAGGGGTTGGATAGCCCTGGGTGCGGAGCCCTAATTGCCTGATTTGGATGGGTATTGTCTTTTTTCCCTTTGGAAATGGGGGACTTGTGATCATGCTGGAAAGAGTACGATGAAGATTTCATGAGTGATGCCTTCCCTAATACTCATATATCCAGAACAAGCCATGCTGTAAATATGGGTTGTTGTAGACTCTACTCGACAAGTTGGGTCTGCATAAGAAGCCTTGACAGCGTGATTCCAGCTATATCGACAGAATCTAGTTCTAATCCTACCTCAGATCTTCGAAATCGGGATCGCATCTACAGTTACAATATTTATCCCCTCGTCACTACTCTCCTGAAACGCCGGCGAAGCTTGCTTCCTTGGTTCGATGCCATAATACGTCAGTTGGCTAACCACTGATTGCAAGTCATTCGATTTGACCTTTGCGGCTTTGCTAAAAGAAGATAGCAGCCATAAATCCAACCCAAAGGAGGAGGAGAAGCTGAACGATATCGGCCATGACGCCATCCCTTTCGCCATCTTGGACCTTGGTGCACCAGGCCGGCGCCCGGAGGTTGGTATGCCAGCAACGGAGCCCAGTTGTTGAACGAATAGCACTACGATTGGTATCACACGGGCATTCTCGTGTTTGGTAGAAACTCAAGGGCCAAGGCCCCTTACTGTGTAAGGCACAGCAAGCAGGTGACCCTGATATCCGTGAATATCCCACGTGACCACACAAACTCTAGCAAGCCAGCAGAGTACATCTACAAAGGATCATCTTCATCTAACACACTTGTCGTACACAATGAGGCCGCCGAGACCCGTAGTGCGCAGCGAAGAGGACGGACTCGCTGCTTCATTGTCGGCGTTCCAAGTCCAACCCGACGATACACTGTTGATGATGTCCTCAAGATCCTCAACTCCGTCTCAGCCAGAGAGGCCAACCCCGCCATCCCCGCAAGAACCTGTCCCAGCGGTTCCTGCTCCCCAGCTTTACCTAGGCGTAGTTTCCGCCCTCCAACAGCCCCACTTCAAAATATCCCAATCCGAAGTCCAGGCCACGACAATGGAACCGGAACCGACACCGGAACCAATCATCGCCCCGATCAACACTCCACCCCCGCCAACCGCCTTTACGCAGGAGCCGATGCAATCGCGCGTAGCTAACGATGGATGCCGCCCTGATACATCTTGGGACACTAGCGATATCGGCGTGTTCGACCCAGACAACTTGAGCGCCCACGCGATCCAAGACGTCAACGGCAGCATCGTTTACCACGATGTCTACGTGTGGATCGACCACATGCGCGATCTAGTTCATGTCAAGTCTGAGCAGGTCGTACGCTTCAACATGCCTAGCTGCTTCCGAGGGGATGCTTTACCCTGGCGGGACATCGAACTTACCCGTTTGGAGAGAGAAGAGGTACGCACGCTGCCGCTTGAAGAAGGATGGTTCTCGCTCTTGATCCAACGCTTCAAACCGCCCCGGTATGACGCGAGAAGACGGCTCGAAGAAACCACATACACTTGGGGCGATGTACGCGCAGGAAGAGAACCGCGTAAATACGCGCAGGACCTGATACGCTATGCACGCTGCGCCGGCGAAACCGACACATACACCATTCTAACCCGGATGCGCAAAAATATCGATCCAGGATTGCGAGGTAACGTCATGTTTCCCAAACCAGACACAACGCGTGCGCAGTTCCTACAGCATCTGGACCATAAGTTCGACGACTGGCTGGCCCTAATACACCAGAGGGATAGCAAGGCCCAGGCCCGTCAAGAGCAACAGACCCAACGTGCACAAAACCCCTGGGAACATCAGCAACCTCGCCCCTACGGGCCCCCGCTCCCCCGGAACAACCCAGAAGCTAACCAGCAAGGCCCTCAGCCACAGTACCAGCGCCCACGGGTTCCTAGGGAACAATATCGGCAGATGTCCCTGCTGGAGCGGCAAGACCAGGCCACACCAGCACAGGCCCGTTCGCCAGCGACAAACCCGCGGCAGCCGCGGCAACCAATCGCCAACCGTCCATACTACCAACAGAACGATCGACAGATTGCTCCGCAGAAGGGCCATAACCCCAAAATGCCCTGGAACCAGCACCCAAACGACGAGGTTTATTACGATCTACTGCCCGCTGACGACGACAGCCAGGATGATTACCCCGAGGCCGATGATGATATCGGTAATGAACCAGTATTCAACGACAAGGAGATTGTGATACTATCATACACCATGGTCGACGTTCCTGTCCGCATGCGACAGAGCCTACCAGCTAACAGGAAGTTCGTCTTCACGCCAACCGACACACGGTACATCTTGTCCAGCTACATCGTGGACGATAGCTTCACCTACATACCTGTCACAAATTACACTGACGAGTCCTTGACAGTCGAACAGGGCGTCTGCTTGGGTGATATCACAGAGGCAACAGAGGCAGACTGCAGACCGGTCTACCAACTGTAGTCGGCCCAGCCACAGCCGCGCTAGCATCCAATGCTGAGCCCCACGAGCACCTTTTCGCGCGGCTAAGCAACCCACCGATCTGGGAGATTACCCACGGCTCAAGAGCCGGTAACACTTGAGGAAGGGTCATCATTTTTTTTATCGTACGGAATATGCATACTACCATTTTTCAGCCCTTCGGACGAGGACTTTTCGGGAACGGGAGTGACCCGTGATATTTCACGTAGCCAAGATACCTTTAGCTAGCCAGCAGAGTAGATCTACAATAGATCATATTCATCTATCGCACTCGTCGTACCCTGCCTCTAGTTTCGTGGCTACTGTTGAGCTGTGCCTTTCGTATCGCCCGGGTTAGAATATCGGGTTGCCGATGGATCTCCGGTCGAGTCCGGGTGATGACCATTTGTTCTGTCATTCCCCATATTGCTTGTACTTTGTTTATTTCACGATGTGGGTTAAGCCGTGTGCCTTGTCTTGCCATCCTCCAAAAGGTGGAGGCTGCGCAATAACAGTAATCCTCAAGGGTGGAACCCAACGACGTCATCACCAGGAACCCCAACATCTTGGCCGACGTGGACAACGTCGAATGAAACAAGAACATGCCAAAAATTCACTGCTGCCTACTCAGAACACACGAATTGTACGATTCTCCACTTCCACTGTCATACCCTGTCATCCATCTCGATCCGAGAAAAGAAAGATCAGACACCCGAAATCAGCCCTACGTCAGCTTCAGCCCTACGACTTACCCCGATATTACCGCATTATCCCATACGGCCATACCTATTCGCCCCCCCTCCCCAACATTGAATTCATTCCCGGACGACATATACTCCCACTTGAACACAACAACAAGCACGCCATGACCGAGACACCCCCGACCGACTCGCTGTACTTGGATTCCGACGTTGCGCGCGAGCAACGGATGCACGCGGAGGCCGAAATGGACGCCAATGCTGCCATCCAACCCGACGAACAGGAAGGTTTACTCGGTGGCGTGAAGAATAAATTCGACTCGACGGCTACCGGAAGCTCGATTTCGGAGTTTGGGAGCACAGTCAGCAATATTGCGCAGGAGAAGGCTGGTGCGGCTAAGGATGTCATTATGAATACTGCTGTGCCGGCTGCACAAGGGGCATTGAATACTGTGCAGGGGCATGTTCGGTCTATTTCTGGTGGGAAGGGGACTGAGAATATGGTTTCTGAAGGTTTGTTGGTTTCTATGCGTTTTTGCTTGCACGAAGTGGTTATTTGGATGTTGACGGTGGCTGCTGTTCTTTAGATCCTGACCCGAGATCACACGAAGAAGACGAAGTCATCGATAATATGAGCAACGAGCAGATTTGTGACTTTCTGCGAGAGAAACATAGGAGCAACAAGCTTCCCCCGACGACGAATTAGGTTGTTTGTGGGACATGTTTTGGCGTTTTGAATCTGGTTCTTCATTGACTGGAGGTTTGGAAGTGTTTCGATGGCGAAGGAACAGGTAGGCAAGGTTTTTATCAGTCTCGGCTGCTGCTCGGGCAAATAGCTTTCTCTGTGCCCGTGGTGTATTGGGCATTGCGGATGTCACAATGTCTTCTATTATGTAGGGGACAGGATCCTCGTTCTTGCTTGAATATGTTTAATTAGATGTCACTGAGACTGAGTGTATTATCTCAGTGAATTGTCACAAATTATACTATCCCACAACCCGATGTACATGGTGGTTTACAGAGCCGCCCGGAATCCTTGGTCCAGGGCGCGATCAAGACCCAAGAAGTCAGCCACCTGACCTAGGTGATCAACGCCAAAGAAGCCCTCGGTCTCGCCCTTTGAATTCGTGCACTCAAACCACGGTAACCCAAAGGCTCCGGAATTGAAAGCCTGGTCAGTATTCGCGGTCAGAAGGGCCTTGATGTCCGGATTGTTCACCTGCAAGAGTTAGCCTGCTTCCTTTCTTTCTTGTGGTCACATCCCCAGTGATGACCGCCAAGAAAAGATGAACTGTATTGCACTACACTTACAGCAGCCACGATCTCCTGTGTCTCCTTCTTTCCAAGGACACTCTCAAACAAAGGAATGAAGCCATCCGCCTCGCCAACAGTCATGTCACCATCCACCCACACAGCCTTGTAAACCGCCGCAAGTGCTGCAGAGAGCCTTTCAGGCGCTTTCTGAGAGATTGCGCACATTGCACGCTGCACAGATAGCGTGCGGAAGGGGAAGCCTTTTGGGAAGCCCTCGATAATGGGAACTTTGAAGTACTTCGCCCATCGCACCCGCTGCATGCCCAGGTAATCCTTCTTGTCTGACAACCAAAACGATATTCAATAAGCGTCCGAGGTCAGATATTCATGCGGGTTCCTGCTTACTCTTGACATTGATAGGCGGGCTGTTACCACATGCATTCATCAGTCCTCCCAAAAGGATGGGGACGTATGTAATGTCACATTTGGCAAAGGCGGGGGAGTTCTACAATCACCTCAGCTTGAGAATCAAATGGATTATGGTTTTAGTAGACGTACCTGCAAGACATAGAAGCCGATGTAGGCAAAGGGGCTGACGACGTCGACGTAAAGCGTGATCTTGGGACGCGACATAGTGGAACCTGGGGAATTTAAGGCTTTAAGCTATGCAACTAACCCGATGCGATGGACGGTACCAAGGATCTGGGACTATAAAGTGAGAAGGGAATCAGAAGAGGAGTTGGAACTTGGGTTTATATTTGAGGTTTAACGAGGTCGAAAGCTCCTTGATCGCCGTCCCGCAATTCTATCGGCTTTCATTTGGGCCGAGGCTCAAAGGATCCCGTGAAAAAGGGTCTTGCCTTTTTGGGCCGACCCCTGAAGCTCTGCATGGCTTCATTGAGAAGATTATATGAACAAGAATGAATTTCCAAGTAGTAGCATTTAGCAATACACCTAGTAATGTACGCACTTTATTGATCGATCGTCCACTAGCTACATTATCATTGCGTCGGTAAGAAAGTGCGCGGCACATGGGGCTGTCCCTCGAAGGGCTCCAAGAACACATGACTAACCCCTAGTATCAGATACCTCACATAACTAGATATCTCTGGAGTGGCGTCTTCCAATTCAAATTTCATCAAAATGCGCTCACAATGAAGTAAAACAACGCCTAGGCCAAGTGTGCCACCGCCGCCACACCGTATAAGAGACAGCCAAAAACCTCAACTTCCAAACTTCTCACTCCATTACCAACCTGCCAAACCGATTGGAATCAAAATAAACACCTACCACCATAACACAAAATGCGTTCCCGGTCCCCAAGCCTCAACCGCTCTAGAGATCTCCCGTCTGATCACGAGCAACACCAAAAGTCTGACAATACCACCGACCACTCGGTCGTCACCAACCGCGGTGCGCCGGCGCGTCATTCTCGTCGTCAACGATCCGAGTATCGGTCATGGACCCGGGCAAGTGATCAACCGACTACGGGGACGACGGGATCGAAGTATCGGTCGACTTCGAAACATTGAGCGGACTTGGGATATGGCTGGCTGATAGGTTCGATGTAAGTGGCTGATGGTTTGTGCTTGGACTGATTGTATCAAGGGCCTTTCTGACAGTTGGATGCAGCTAACTACTTATAGGTTTAAGACCTGATATCCTAGGACATTCCCTTCATTGCATTGTACAGTGACCAGTTCCAGGATACCTACTAGTAGTTGGCTGCAATGCAGAGATGTAAAAATCAGGCGAGGCTTCCAATGTAGTGGCGCTTGGATATGGATGTAGGTCCTCTAGACGGGTAGTTTCTGGGTGGTGAAAAAGGAGATATGTAGGTATGCATGAGAATTGGTACAATTCAAATTGACTGCTGTTCAATTCTCTTCCTGGTATAGATCATCCATAACACCCAAAGTTGAGCTCAGCCCATAAGCTCATAGTTGTTATCTCAGATTGGATGTCTTCAAAAAGATGCTCCCTGATCACATGAGTACCTATACCTATATGCCAAATTAGAACAAGGAGGCCATGGGAAAGCGAATGAAAATCCCAAAGGATGGCAGATGTGAAAGAATACATACAGCCAAGTCTATAGCTTGATTTGTAGTCTTTCTACTGCTTATTCTCCTGCTACAGAAGTTGCCTCGTTTCATGCGCCAGTCCGATCATTTCTCGAAAGCCCTCATAACGGCAAGGCCAGCCACAGAACCGGATGCAACGCGGTTGTGACCTAATGGATTACTAGTCAGTATGTTGCATCTAACGCAGGGGAAAGTGTGTTGACATACCACCATATCGAATGCGTTCCCATCTGACCTTCTTCACAATCTCGGTGCCACCCTTGTTGATCTCATTCTTCCAGATCTTAACCTCGCTTGGGTTACCGTCTTCAGTCTTGACATACACCAAAGATCCAGGAGCATGTTTGAGATCCTTGCCCGTGGCAGCCTCCCAGACACGGCGCCCTTCATACCAGGGAATTTCAACATCATCGAAAGAGTGAACAATGGTCAGATCGAGGCTCTTATCAGTATAGTTGGTATTCGAAGAGTCCGAGCCCCCTGGGCTGACGCCAGTAAGGCGTGCCAATCTCGCACCCGTATCCCAATGATCCACAATGTGACTCAATAGCCACTGTTGGGCGCGGGGATATTGGATCAGAGGTGAAAGCATAGGCGGCGTGAGACCCTTCAAGCTATAAGACTGGATGACGTTCGACAAGCTGCTAAAGGCCGCCAGCAAGACCACACCGGCAAAAGGCTCGGCATTCTTGATGGCTGGTTGTAGAGCTGACGGGTTGGATGATCCAAACGCAAACCGTTCTGCTACTGCGGTTGTGACTGCAGTTCCAAGACTCTGGCCCATAATGACGATTCGAGAAGTGGGGATGTTGTATGCTCCCGCTGTGAGGAAGTTGATTAAAGCAACACCGTCGGTAATAAGACCTTCTTCAGAGGGAGACCCAGTGCTCACGCCAAAGCCACGATAGTCAATTGCAAAGACATGGACTGGGTTCGACGGGGTAGATAGGCTCAGCATGGTATTGTACGTGGCAGGGCGTTGAGCAGAGCCCAGGTGTGCCGCATTCCCATGGACTTCATTGCTCATATGTTAGCCTGCTTCGGGTACTGGAGCATCAAACAATTTGTGACCTACAGCTTACAACAACTCTAGCATTGGGGTCATCGGCGAGGAGTCTGTGGGCAACTGTCTTAGTGTAATCCTCTGCTGGGCCGGAGGTCGGATTCTCCATCAGCTCCTGTTCATGTTCCAGGCAGAGGTGCAATGGCATCAAGTGCCAGCCATAAAGCGTTTCATTGTCAGGGGTCACCAAATGGAACGGTTGGACTTGGGTTCCTGTGGGAGCCGGTCAATCTAAACACATCAAAAGTCCACATTGGAAGGAGCTTCATACTCAAGAAACCAAATTGTTCAACTTGATTCACATCTTGCCATAAGGTGGGATTGATCTTGTTTGCATAAAGGACACTGTGTTATGTTAGCTCGTTAAGCGCAGCGCCGGATGTCGAGTTCCATACAAACGTTGGACCTCTGGGAAGGTCAAGGAGCAGACAAAGAGCACATATACCAGTCCAGCAGCCGCCAGAGACCAGTACGCCTTCTTGAAAATTGGCTTGAGCTCGACCATCTCTTCTATAATCGGGAGTTGAAGTGATGAGGGTTGACAGCCACTTGGGGGCCTCCTAAGGCTGGACGGAGGTAGACGGAGGAGAGCCGGAGCTGATAAGCGGCTTTATCACGTCGCGCATTTCTCCTCTTCCACTCTCTCCATCCCCTCCGATCGCTCACTAGATGTCCTCTAACAGTCCATCTTGGGTATTATCGTTATTATCTCTCTGAACCCGCCATGGCCGAAAAGCGCAAGCTTCCAGCGCGCGAGCGACGCGAACCGGCAGCCAAACGACGTGTCTCCGAAGCCACGCCGCAGTCTCACAGGAAAAAGGCGCCAACTCCTCGCGCTCCATCGCCTGAACTAGTCGATGCCCCGTTACCTACGAAGATAAAGGATGGTGACCCCTTGCCAATCGTTCGCACGCGACAGCCGATCTCTCTATCTGACAGAGAGTATCAGTCTATCGCAGAAAGGTTTGACATCGCAACCCCGATGAATGTGATGCAGACAACTGACATTATCTGTGTGGTTCAAACAGCGCAGTTCTTCTGGCTTCCCTCGAGCGATCGAAGAAGAAGTGGCTCAGTGATGGAGTTCTCGTTCGATACTACACAAAGCCGAAGAAGACGAAGCGTGAACAGACTGAAAAGAACAACCCCTCGAAGGATACGATGACGAAAGTCGGGCCCTGCGACGTTACGATCGGTCCCCATTTCTTTGACGCTATGATTTACGTTGTCAAAGACCCCAGTGCTCCGCCAGCAATCCAATACGCTCCCCAGCAACGACCGATGGTGCACTATGGCCACCCTAATCACTTCCAACAATATCGGCCGTATTCCACCCCCAACCAGCAACGGCCCGCACAATTTTCTCCTGTTCCTGCCGGTCGCACCGGCTATCCAGGCGGCCAGAACCCGTCTCAGCAATCTCGTACTCCGAATCAAGCCTCTCCACACGGCCAAAAGCCGCCACAAGGGCAGAAGGGCCAACCTGCCAAGCCTAGCCCAGATCCTGTGATTCAAATGCTGGCTACAAGGGCAGCCGCAGACCCCGAACTCAAGGCATTGATGCGCGTCGTGGCCTCGAGCCAAGCATCGCAGGAACAGTTACGGGCTTTCCAAGCACACATCGACGAACTCAACGCCATCATCAAGGCTAGGGAACAGCAAGAACAGCGACAACAATCCACTACTGCAACGCCTCCTGCAACACAGTCAACGCCCACGCCACAATCCCAGCCCCAGAAAAAGCTGGGCGAGGCGAAGCCAGTGTCCCAGGAGCAACCCCCACAAAAGTCGCAACCACAGACACCGGCCCAAGCCCCATCAAGTCAGCCTCAACCTCCTGGGAGTGCCACTGACACGGCTGCGAGCATCAAACAAGAGTCCTCAGCCACGACTCAACCTACCCCCTCCGAGCCAGCGGTGCCAACTCAACCGGCAACACCTGCTCCTGCAAACACCCCTGCCCCGACCCCACCGGGAAATACTCAACAAGCAGGGGCCCGACCCGGCCCGCCATATCCCCCCTACCCACAACCCTCCTATGGGTCACAACCTCAGCTCCAATCTAGACCACCGCAATACGGCACTCCCGCCCCCTTCCCACGCCAGACACCAATTCCTTACGTAGCACCAGCCCCTGCTCCGAAGGTAAACTACAAGTCTGTCGTCTTCGAATTCACCTCTCCCTTGACTCCATACGGAAGCAGCACATCCGGCCACGCCGGCTCAGGCGACCGATATCTCTTCCCCGAACATACCATCCTAGAATGGCTACCCGCCGAAAACACAGTCATCGCCTCATTCCTAGTAGTGCGAAAGGTCGCCCCAGGCACACCATTCCCCCTCGAGACCCCCTCAGAAGCCGGTAACTCAAAATCCAAGAGCAAGGCAGCACCAAAAACCAAAAAGGCCGATCCAAAGGCCAAAATCGACGGCAAAACACCAACTGGTACACCAGCCCCGACCCAGCCAAGCACACCCACAACTGCAACACCCCAAAAGCAAGAACCTTCTGACCAAACGGGCATCGCAACCCCAAATGCTCCCACAAACGAGGCTGATATGCAGGAATACTGGCAACCAGTGACATTCCGCATCCACGCCCCAAACGCTAAAATCCTCGAGCCTCTAGCGCGCGTCGTCAAGCCCGCCGACGAAGTCCGCAAATACATGAACGATATCATGGACCGCGCCGAGCGTGCTCCGGATGGATACTTGGCCCTGCGTCTTCCTCGTGAGGAGGTACAGGCAGAACCATTCGAGAAGGATGGCACACCCGCTTCTGCTAATGTTGGTTCTGGGACCCGTAGCCGGCTTTCCCGTGTTCAGCTCGCTGGCGATGAATCTGACGTGGAGACTTCTGGTCAAGAGTTTGAGGAGGATGAGGAGGAGTTGAAGGATTTCTATGATGCGCCGAGTGGGCTGCCTCCGTTGAAGGTGTAATGGTTGTCTTGTACACAAGACGGTGCGTGCGGGGGGTTCGTGGTGTGAATGTGGGGATATTCATGATTGTCTCGAGGTCTGTTTCTGCATGCATATATAGTTTTGACTTGTTGAATGTACGATTATGGTATTCTGATGTTCTGCGGCCTTTGCTTTGTCCTGCGGATGCAATATATGGTTTCAATCATTAGGTCCATGACCAGAACAGTAACTCCTTAGGCACACAGTTGACATTAATATACCCAACAAGCAACAGTTTTCAAGGCAAACATGCTCAATTCAGAGTCATACCGAAAGACTAATACAAAGAACATTCTCAAGACATCCCTCCACGAGCATACCTCGCCTCATCCCCGATGATGCCCGCCGTCTCCAGAAGCCACCTAGCACTCTCAGCGGCCGAATCGCCCGCCCCAGCCTTAATATTGATATTCCTCCGACGCTCCGCTTCCCGCGCCTCAAACTCCCACTTCGCCCGCTGTATCTCAATCGCACTCATACTCGGATCTGCGGAGAAAGAGCTATCCTCTGGATCAGGGACAATACCCCAGATCTCTAGGGTGTACAGATCGAGTTTTAGATTTGTCGGTCGATCGTTGGGGGATGTGTTTGCAGCCGGCAGGAAGACGCCGTCGTGTCCGATGGGTGCGGCATGGAGCTCGGCTGTTTCCATGTCTGCATCGATGATTAGGCTGCCGGCTCCGTGTGGGGTTGGTGCTTTTTGTTGCGTGCGGGACTGGGCGGGGATTTGGCAGCCGATTGCTATGCCGGTGGTTGTTGAGAAGTAGGCTGTTGGGGTGTTGACTTTCTTTACGGATGGGGAGGGGTTTCCTGGGAGAAGGAGGTGTTTGGGGGATAGTTGGAAGAGGCAGGGGAGGAGGTCGGATGGTTTGTGTGTGGTTGGAATTGTTGTGGAGGTTTTCCAGCACTGGGGGATAAAGGCGCCTAGTGTTACTAGCTCCTCACTCGATGAGTCTGAGAGTGAGCCTTGTAGGATGAGGAGAGTTGCGGATTGCCAAGTTAGGACGTGATGAGAGAAAGATGTTAGGGAGGAGCCGTGGGCACTCGTGGAGAAAACGGGGTGTAATTTGACACCGCTGCGGAGAAGGTTGAGACCGGCTGATGTCGAAGGGAGGAAGAATGAGAGATGGGCGTTGAGGGTTGGGTTCAGTATGGACGACTTAAAGCTCCCCGGAAGGGTAAGTGAAGCCGTTGATGGAAGAGTATTTTCGCTCTCATCCTTCTCCTGTTCTTCAGTCTCAGTAGCTAGGCCTTGTTGGCGGCGTTGAGACAGATTCAAATTCTTGCTGAAAAGCATGTGCTCGAAAAGAGCAGTTAGTGGTTCGAAAAGATACGGCAGAGACAGCGATATCGTTTGGGCGAAAGCCTTGTACGATATCCCTCCGTCGCTTTCTTCTGGTGAAAAGGCCGCGAGGATACTGTCCGCCTCCTTTTGAACCCCTTCCATCCGCTCGTCCAGACCATTTGTGTAAATCTTCAACGACTCCAAGGGATTCAGTGGTGCAATGACCAGCAGCAGCATGACCAAACGGCGGAACGTATCCACAGAAATCCTCGTCTCATAAACAGTCTTATCAACCCGGCAATCCTGCTTAAATACCTCAATTGCATCAAGAGACTCCAATGCCGCAAGTGCAAGATCATCATCCTCGTCTTCATCGTAATCATCATCCGCCGGTTCATCTACCGAGAACCCAAGCGCATGTGAGCTGCTAGCCGCGGCTTCATTGTCCTCGGCCTTTGTTTCCTCATTATTTGCAACGGAAGGCTTCCGTCCTACATCTGCCAAACTGCCAAATAGTAGCTTGATCCGGTCCTTGTGTCCCCGCTTAAGCGCTTTTTCGTAGCGCTCAGTCAGGAGAACAACGACCTTGACCATAGCCTCGAAGGTGAGAACACTCGGCGCGAGCGTGTTCTGAAATGGGAATGCGCCTAGATAGGAGACCATACGAAACAGCACTGGACCCGCGTCTAATGCATGTTCCTGTGAAGAGGTGTAGATTCCATCTGGAATGCCGAGGAAGTCTGAGAGGGTCTTCTCATTCCAGTATCGCAAGCCTCCCTGCTCTGAGGCCCGAGAGAAAAAGTTGTCCTTGAAATGCGTGAGCTCTAATGGTGTGAAGCATTTTGTGGCGAAGCGTTCGGCCAGGATGTGGCTCAACTCCTCTGTTTATCGTTAGACGCAACAATTTCGACGTGGTCAACTTCAGCTCGTAGTCGGCTCCATGATTGCTTAGACTTTAGAAGACATGATGTGCGTATATTGTGCTATCATATGTTCCTCACGGGCTAAGAGTTAGAACTGACCTGGTGACGATAAGCCATGCTCATTCGACTGACCTGCCCCCATCGTTGATGCGGGGACGACCCCACTGCAGGTCTACGGATGCAGAAGATGCAGACCTGAGGTCAAACCAAGCGTTTAAGTGGTCCAGTGGAATGAGGCCAAATGAAATTGAGAAATTCCGAAGGCCTCTTAGCCTGATAATTGCGAAACTCTGTCGAGGTCAACAAGAGTACGTGAGAAGGCGGGCAGCACTTAAGAGCTCCATGGGACGATGTCATATGGTTGCCTGAGGCAAGGAGCTCTAGACCCGCGGGGAGCTAAATATAGCTGCCTGAGGCAGTCAATTCTTAACAAGAGGTTACAGTCGGGCAACATCAACGTAGTGAGAGATGCGATTCGGATCACGATATCTTCGTTATACAATACAATCCCTGTTAATTGTTATGTGTTCTGATCGCTAGCAAGATACAAGACAAAGAAATTCGTTTTCGGGGTATCCGTCGCTCAGATCTACTAGCCAAACCGTCAAGCCTACAGCATGACGATGCCAACGCCTCCCATCTTTGACTCGTCGGGCAGATTCTTTTCGTTGATTCCACCGGGAATAGGCGCAGCGCGGTAGTTGTACAGGTAGAAGTGGAGCTGACCATCACCGGCGCCGAACTTGAGCTGCTCAAGGAAGAGCGGGTTGTCATGCGAGGTGAGAGCGTTGAAGACGTCGAATCGGGCCTAAAAAAGGAAAGCTGTCAGAGTAAATAATAAAGGTTGGAGGTTTTGCAACGTACCTGCTTTGCACAGATCAAGATATCGTGTATCAAAAGTTGCAAGCGCTCCTTGAAAGCCTTCTTGTCATCAGAGAATGCGCTTTCGGTCGCGTAGTAGTAAAGGTAGGCGGCATGGACAGAATCGTGCTTGGGGTGGTCGATGACAGTGGACTCGAGGTTGTAGAACGAGGCGAAGTCGGTGATCTTGTGTGTCTCCGGGTCCTCGGCAACGTATGACCAGACAACCTGGTCCTTGCCGGGTTGCTTCTTGTAGACCAGCCAGTGCTCGATCTCTTCCCGGGTAAAGGCCTGGTTCATGTCAAAGCGGCGCATGTATCGCTCCAGTAGATCGTAGACGGCATCAACGTCCTTCATCTCCATAGGCCGCAGCCCTGGTGTTGATGTTTCGCTAGGAAGATGGTTCTTGGTGATCATGCGAGCCTTGGTTGAGCCGTGGGGCAGAGGCGAGAAGCCCACCTCGTAGAGCTTCAACCAGTCCAGGGAGCGATGGTAGTATCGGCACGAACTGACTGGTGTCGGAAGGATAACACCACCGGTGTAGATGGCCTGGAAGATGCCCTCAACATAGCAGCGACGAGTAATCTCCTTGATCAGAACCGGTGTAAGACGCTTGGAGCGTAGCTTCTTGTGGATGCAGAGGAAGTTGATCTCCGTAACCTTGATGCGCTCACCACGAACGCGAAGCTCAGTGGGGACGCCGCAGATGGAGGCAACTAACTTGCGCGACTTGGTGGCGCGCACGCCAACGTGCCATTCCTTCTTCCATCCTGGGGACATGAGGGCCCTATATGTATATCATTAGCTGTATGTTTGGGGGAGGTACCAAAGGCTTAAGAGACGTACCAATGCAGGAAGGATTGCGAATAGCTGAAACGGAACATGGCGTTGTCATCCTCCACGTAATGATTGTTCAACAATTCATATAGCTCCTTCAGCTCCTCCGCATTTGTCAGATCGAGGGTGCACCACTCGAATCCCTCAATGAGGGCGCCGGGAGTCTTGGACACCTGTTCTGGGTCAATCATCTTGATAGGTCCCTGGACAATCTCCTTCTTGCCAGCATCCTCAAATGCAGGCACCGGCTGTGTCTGCCAGAACTTATAAGACGCCATGTCCTTCTGGTTCTTGCCTCCAATTGCCAATCCAGTGAGCATCTGCGAAAGGTCCATGTTGTGCAGTAAGGCCGCAGCCTGATCTTTGTCCATCGCGGCGAGCTCTTTCTTCAGGGCGGGGTTTTGATCAAGGAGTGCGGAGGCGAATTTTGCGGGGAGTTTCTTTCCAGCATCTAGTATCCGAATGTCAGTAGCTGCGCAACTGCGACAAGTGCGTGTCTGGAGGGGATTGGAGGAGGACTAGTCAGGTGAAGGATACCTTTACCCGAGTCAGGTGGAGTGCCAGACTCGTCTTCATTTCGCTTGGGCGCTTTGCCCTTCTTGTCGCTAGAATCCGACATGATGTGTGTGGGTTGTTGAGGAAGGAGGAATTGAAGCGGGCCCCACGTTTCAGACGCCGCGGAGGTGGGGTCCAGCTGCCAGCATACCACCATACCGCCCACGGCCGTCGACCTTGGGAGTTAAAGCGCTACTCTACACAGTACATAGAATGCCGTAGATGCTAATTATGTATGGAAGCAAATTGAATACATAGATGACAGGTTTCGTAGATCAATAAGTTATGGTATTATTGGCTATCCGTGCCGAAAGACCCCTGTTGACGAACTAACCGCACCGCATATATGTAAAGTCTGTGCATCATATACACAATAGCACATCTGGAACCTTCGAGAATGCTCAGTGAACATGTTATATATTGGTGAACTGTATTGGGAATCGAAGAATTGTTGAAATCCGCAAAAAAAAAACACCTCTAGGTCCACTCTATGCAAAACCAAACCAGATCTCAAGTGTTGATACATGAATAAAAGAGTCATCGTAGCTCCAGGCTACTAACCGTGGGAGAATCATGCGTCAGTGGGTGGCTTGGTTTCCACCACGTCGAGGAATCCGCCGACCAAATGGATACTGCCGGTGACGAACGTCATGACCGGGGCCTCATCCTTTTGCATGACCTTGCGTTCTTGGCCTGCAACTTCGCGGGCGAAGTCAACAGCCTCCTCAATAGTACCAAATACATGAGTTTGTGCGAGGGGATCGATGGCATTCCACTCCACGGCGAGGGATTTTTGGACTCGCAAAAGCTCGAGATCATCAGCATTTGTATTCATGCTGACCAGATCAGGCCGGAAGCCTGCCTGTTTGTAAGTGATGTTGGTGCAGAAAAGGGCGTGTGTGAATGGGGTATCATGTCCCAGGGCGGCGGCGAGAGTCTCGTGGAGAGCACGAGCAAGAGCTGTGCTGTCACGAGTCTGTTGGTTGAAGATCAAGATCCGTGTCTTCCGAGCGGCGATGTCTTCGGACGATGAATCAGCGAGGATTCGCGACGCAAACCACTGACCCGCCAGACGGATACTCTCCAAGGTATGCCCGCCATCGATATACCAGGAGACGTTCTTCTCGAATCGAGTCTCGCACCGGCCACCTAGGCGGGCTTCTTCGAGGCCGGTCTTGAACTTCGCCGGGAGTGGATCCTCCATGATGTTTTCCGGGACATCTACACCAGTGCAGCGCAAGAATTCTGCGGCACCAGCCACTGCCACGGAGGCGTTGAGGTACTGGAAGTCTCCAGCCAAACCAAGGGAAACATTGCTGCTCTCGGGACGGAGTTCGGGGTGGTTAGCCACTATTTCTAGCTGGGTACCAGCCTCCTCAGCACGCTTGGTCAGAACTTCTTCGGCACTCGGGGGTTGTGGTGCTGCGAAGCCTTTGGCGCCAGGCTTGGCAATACCACCCTTGTGCCATGCGATCTGCTCGATGGTATCTCCAAGCATCGCCGTGTGATCAATTCCAAGACTTGTGATCACAGTCACCTTGGGCTGCGGGATGACGTTGGTGCAGTCGTATTGACCACCAATTCCACATTCGATCACTGCGGCGTCCACACCCTCGCTCAGGTACGTATGGAATGCCATGAGTGTCAAGTACCGGAAGTATTGCGGTTTTGTGCCCGGTTCCGTGGGATTTCGGCCTGCTGCTCTAGCAGATTCCTCAAGGCGATCCCATACTTCGAAGAAATAACGCGCAAATTGCTCCTCCGACAATGGGGAATTGTCGATCTTTATGCGCTCGCGGGCGAACCGGAGGTGGGGGGAGGTATAGAGGCCGATCTTGTGAAGCTTCGGGGGTGGGGTTGTCGTCCTCTGCTTTGGTGTATTGGGAGAGAATGGTGGAGATGAATGAGGAGGTCGAGCCCTTGCCTTTGCTGCCGGCGACATGAACAGCGTTCAACCGGTTGAGGTCGGAAGGCTAACTCTCGAACAATTCCAAATCAGCTTTGCTTTTCAAAACACAAATCCCTGCCATTGGCGCACCTTGTATCCGATGCGCTGCAACCACTCCACTGTCTCCGGGAGTGAGCGCTCATTCATCTCCTTCCTCGAAACGGATTTCCGAAGCTCTTCCACAATCGCATAATTAGTTTGCAAGGAGTTCAAAGAGGCGATCGCAGCCTGGTTCAGTCAAAAGTCAGCACATGCTTTACTTTGTGGTAGTATTGGCATCATCGCAAAGCCGATCTCGGCTTACCTCATATGTTCGAGTCATGGTGGGCGAGCAAGTTGAAAACCGCCGTGCGCCTGATTGCCAGCGAATAGAGGTCAAAAGCCCTCGCATAGACAACTGGGTCCCTTGCTTGCAGTTTCGAATAAGCAAGCTGGGTGTTTAAAGGAACCCCGGCAGCTCTAATGTTTGTCGTTCTCTGGTTGCACCCGCTCTCCTCGGGAAACCGCTCGGCCTCTGACCGGGAAGATCACGTGCCATTATGTTCCAACGACATATCAGGCTGAGCTCAAAAGTCATTCTACTATGTAAGTGATATGGATACAGTACAGGATTGAGACTGGAACAAAGTACAGTCACTACAGTGCTATTCAAAATTGGAATCATACAGCATACAAGACTGAAAATCAGGCTATGCAGTTAGTAAAGCCTGAATTGCGTGGTCTAAACTCTAAAGCCAATACACTGCAATAGCAAGTAAATGAGTTGAATTTATTGAGCTACCTAAGGTTCGTTATGTAGACAGTAGGCACAGATCTCCCGAGAGTAGAGGCACCGAAAGGAAGGGATGTGAAGGGAAAGAAGGTATCCGCAGACGAAAACACCACGGTGCCCCTGGAATTATGGAATAGAGCATCCGTATGAAGAACCGAAGAATGTGACTCAATCAAGGCCACTAACACTTTCATTGCTGGCTTCACCGTGATGGGTTGATATGGAAACGATGGTGGACTAGGCGATTCGTGAAACGATAGCCGGTGGCAAGTTGCATAGAGAGGTAGATTTGAGGATACGAGTCATCCGTGAGAGTTACAGCGGTGTTAATTGTAGGTAGCTGCCATGATGCACGAAGACAGGGCGGATCATAGAAAGCCCACGGGCATGGCCTCAAGATGATGATCAACACGGGGGTAACCACCGAGAGATGGTTTGTCTGGGCTGCGTTGAGCAAGCCCACGAAGGTCAAGATGAAAATGTGACGTACATATGACCAGTCCAACCCCGTCGTCCAACCCTCCTCATAGCCGTCCGATCGTCACAGAAAGGGCCAAAGGCCCATATTGATAGACGGGTTGCATGGTTAATGGTGGTTGGTGGTCAAGATGAAGCAGAGATGCAAAAACCAAGGAGGCAAAGAGCCATTGCTTGGCGTGGTAGACAACAGGTAGTCATGATGATGGTCCAAGTATCGGGAGGCCCATGAGTGCGGATGATCGATCTTTTGACTGGTTGTCAGGATATAGATTCTTTTGTGGCAGCACAACCAATATTAACTGGCGGCTAGAATGCAGAGGGCCCTCAGGAGGAGGGGCATGATTCTTGTTGGTTCGTCGCAGTGGTCAGGATGGCAGGGCCGAAGATTGAAGTTTCTTGTTTAACGGTGTGACACTCGCAGTCTATGCGGATGCCAGAAGGCTTGTTGGTCAATGACGTCGGTATGAGTGCCCAGAAAGGCCAAGTCGACAAGGTCCGTAGGGGGATAAGACGTGGTCGGTCAATGGTGGGTGGTGAATGGTAAGGAGATGGTGAGAAGCCTGTTGATGAACAGGCCATGAGGGAATTCCCATTTGAGAGCAGGGTGGATGATTGAAGGCCGGAGTGGACAAGCCCGTTGGTTGTGGTGGTGAGTTGTAGATGATGACGGTTAAGAAGGCCATAATCGAATGGTTCGATGGCAATGTCAAGTTGCTGATGGATAAGTGGTAGATGGAGGAGTCAGATAAACAGGTAGATGGAAGGTTGGTTTCAGTAAGTAGTGACGGTCATAGATAATATAGGTATCGAGGCCTGGACGGCCGGTTGGTTGATGGTGTTCAATGGCGGTTGTTTGATGACGAAGAAAGATGGCAAGAAGGCTATGATAGGAGGCATGGCAGGCAGCCTGTTGAGGGAATCGATATGATGGTGGGTGTAAGAGGCAAGATGTGAAGGTCAATTGATAAATAGGCGATTGTGTTTAGTAGCAGATGGTCGAGGATGAGATATTGATATGAAGGCCAAATTGAGGGGCCGTAGAGTAAGATGGCAAGAGGGTTTGAGCGGAGGCATAACGGACAGTGGAAATGGTTGTTGATTATCGGTGAGAAGATGGGGACAGTAGGTTGATGGCTTCTGGAAATGCTAAGAAGGTCTGATGACCTTGTAAGGGATTCTCCAGATGGAGGGTGGGACAGGCAGTGGAAATTGTTGATGGTTGATGATCAGGCGAAATTGGGAAGGGCTCAGTAGGAGCAGTGGATTCAGTGGGGTAGGTTGCCCAATCCAGTCTTCCGATTGTCCTGAAGCCGTGAGGCCCGCCACGGTGAGACTGGATATAGGTGAGCGGAGTAGAGTTGGTAGAGTGATTTGGTTGTTGTTGGGTGGCCGCGGTTGCTATACTCAATCTCCCGACTGCCCTGAAGCCATGAGGCCCGCCACGGTGAGACTGGACATAGATGAGTGGATGGTTGAGTGGGGGTAGTTCCTATATCGGTCTCCCGATTGTCCTGAAGCCGTGAGGCCCGCCACGGTGAGACTGAATATAGGTGAGTAGCGATGGTAGAGTGGTTTCGTGGTTGCGGTTTGGTGATTGCGGTTGCTATATCCAATCTCCCGATTGTCCTGAAGCCATGGGGCCCGCCACGGTGAGATTGAATATAGGTGAGCGGAGTTGGTAGAGTAAGGTGGTTGTTGTTAGGTGGCCGTGGTTGCTATACCCAATCTCCCGATTGCCCTGAAGCCGTGAGGCCCGCCACAGTGAGACTGGATATAGGTGGGTAGAGATGGTGGAGTGGTCTGGTGGCAGCGGTTCCTATAGCCAGTCTCCCGATTGTCCTGAAGCCGTGAGGCCACGCCACAGTAAGATTGAATATAGGTAAATCTGGTGGTGGTTCGATGGACGTGGGTAAGTTGACGTGGGTGAGTGGTAGTTACCACATCCAGCCTCCCGATTGTCCTGAAGCCGAAGCCCGCCACGGCGAGGCTGTATGTGGTTGAGTGAAAGCAACTTGAATGTTAGAGGAACGTCGTGACAGCATAGCATGGGTTGAGGGATGATCAGAGCAGAAGTAGAACGTGGAGAGACATGAGTCATAGACAGCATGCCATGGCACGCCGCATCTTGTCAATGTCATGGTGCACCATGACTGAATGTATGACACATAGAGGTGGGAGGTCCCTAAGGTAGGTGAGGTAGGTGGCGAGAAGTCTCTATGGGTAGGTGCCTGATGAGGGACGGGAAGGGTAAAAGGAAGAGATATGTGGAAGGAAGAGAAAAAAATAGAGAAGAAGAGGAGGAGGGGGTATTTATACCCTACTCCTGGCTGAATTGAACGAGGAGGAGCGTGGGTTGTGCCTTCCGTATTTGGAAAGGAGTTCTTCTTGGATGAGAACTGAGAAGGGGCGTGGATGGTTCCTTCCCTTTCACTGCAGACCCAAAACACTTGTATCACGTCCAGTATTGATCAGGTAGTGCCGAGGCCTAAATATGCAGCAAGAGGCAGATAGAAGGCCCGTTAAGAGCTTGACGTGGTGAACAACCTACCTAGGTGGTTGTTGAACCTAGGTATCCATGGATGCGATATTCCATGGGACGAAGGGCAAGTTCTTTGGAACTGATATACATGGAACCTCACAACCTAGGTTGAGGCTCAACTCGGGCCGTGAAATAAATCATCCATGGAAGTAACACTTTAAGCGAGTACCTAACTTACCTGTAAATGTTAACTATATAAAAAAAGTGAACAGGACATGGATGTGTGCAGTACTCTTTCTAGATAAAATATCAACAGTTTCTTCTGTCCAGTTGTCACCTCAGTATCCCTAGGTTGTGGGTGTCGAAGCTTCCCACCAACTGGCAAGACTCCAGTCAATTGGCAACCTACTCCTCCGCCAACTGGCAAGTATTCTGCCAACTGGCAAATGGTATAATCCTACGAATGCAATATCTCTACTCCGTACCGTACCCGCTAAGAGACTAAATAGTATTAGGTTATAGTCCCATGATAGGTAGCTACTTCGCCTCCAGCTCGGGCTCCAGTCTGAGCCCAAGCCCAGACTATTGCGAATTAGTTCTGTCTAGTAGGTATCTGTGCCTTTGAGCTTCCCACACCCTTCGTTACGTTTCACCAACCCCTAGTTAATGAACTCAAGATACCTGCTATATAACCCAAAAATGACAATCCATTGTCTACAAATTCTGGACACAAGAGTTTACAGTGAAATGGATGCCTTCTTTACACATTGATGCCAGTAGTATTTGAGGTGTTTTCTGTGTTGGTTAGAGATTCTACCCGACCTCTTGGAGACTCCGAGCGGCAGGAATAGCGGAAGCGAAGCCACATATCACGACCGCAGCATACAGCTGGGACAAGTGTTTCAAGCAAAGACAGGGTGTAACCGAACAGAAGGGCAGGATGAAGAAAGGAAATGCCGACGGGCTCGTAGAGCGAAGCAAACGCCTGGAATGGTAATAAAACATACAGCCATAGACTATAGAGTATGACGAGCAAAGTGTCCATGGGAAGAAAGGGCCCAAAAACACCTGTATCGGAAGAATACTACTCGATCCTGGTCTTACCCTCCTCCAAAAACACAAGACGGGCATTGCTAATGCCACGCTGGTGTCGTCTGGAAGGTAACCATCTGCCAATTATAGGATCAGATCGTGCTTTAATGAGAGCATCCTGGTATCCCTCAGCCCCAGCAACCGGCGTGTTAAGTTTGGGCCAATTGACCTAATGAGAAAGATGCTGGTCAGATAAAACTTCAAGTTTTGTTGGAATGGGAATGAACTTACATAAAGCATGCCATGCCCATGCACGAAACGGAAGCAGTAAGCTGCCACTAGTAACCAGAAAATGACGAAGAGACGAAGTGGCCAGACCGTAGAATCAGGCAATCTTCTCGTCAGAAGCGCCACCAGAACCATGAACACACTAGCAGCGAGGACATATGGAACAGACTGGATGACAAGTGGGCGCTGGTCAAGGAATAGCTGCATATTGGCAAAGGTTGAGTCCGACGGGAGGTAGGTGCCCAAAAATACATCAAATCCATCTTGTCGGGGGCCGTCCATGAAGTTATTGCGTACATATCGAGTAATGGAGTTGTTCAAGTCTTGTAGCATGCCAGCGCGTGTACGCTTGCCAGTCCGAGTGAAATCAGTCTTCAGGGCACCCGTGCCAGAGTAGGACTTGGACACGACATCTGCATTGTCTGCCCAAATATTTCGGAACAGATCCTCAAACTCCCGATCATCGTTGGCGTTTTCCCCCGGACGAAGAACGCCTGCATCCATGAGCTGCCGTGTGACAGCCCACCGTCCAAGCATGCTCTGTACTACGTTGGTGCGGTCCAAGCAATCCATACAGTTCGTTCGAACAACACTCGTCTGCGTAGAGCGAGTATCCAACTGCCCACCAGGAGCACCAGGACTCTCCACTCCACGGAAGTAACCGCCTTGAGACAGCCCATCGTTCAGACGGCCCATGAGCAATTCTGCGCGATGCCATTTGAGGCCCTTGGTCTCGTTGTGGAAATCAAAGTACACATAGTGCAGGCGATCCATCTCTTTCTGTTTGAACTCTGGCTCCAAGACGTGCATCTTTTCGGAGGTGTGGTCATCAGCCTCCGTGCTTTCAGATGAGGAGGTGACTAATGTGCGAACCAACTGCTCGTATGCCCGTTTGATATTCTCCTCTCTGCCCTTCTGATTGACCAGGTTGACCAGATAGTTCTCCCCGTAGATCCGAATCTGTTCAGAGAAATGCTTCTGTGCAGCTTCCACGGAAGTTTCAACCCCTCGAACCTGGAGTTTGGGTGTGTACTTCAGGTCGTTGACTTCGGCCCAGAACACGGGGACGCTACCTCGGGTTTGCACAAAAGAGTACACTTGGAGGTCCTGTCCAGCTTTGCCACTAGTCATTGATTGACCTCCGCCGAATCCGGAGAGCCCACCCGTCGAGTCGTTCAGTATCACAACCTGTTCAGTCTCATTGTAGTTCGAGACGTTGCCTTCTTCATCGATTCCGCGGGAGAAGTATCTCGTTCCGGCTCTGTGTCTAGATCGCCGGGTAATAAGCGCGAAGGTGAAAGAGGTCGATTTAACTCGGGCAGGAGTAATGCGCATCATGCCAAACATGACGGGTAAGATATAGGGATCGGCGCCTGGCTGAGGACCATAGCGAATTCCACTGGTGTCGTTTTGCCCCAGGCTGAAATCGATCAGGTCGGATTGAATAAAGCGGTTCCAGAAGAAGCGATCGTCGGCACCCTTCCACATCGGAACATCAGAAGGCTGTTGCGAATGTCGCTGAAAGCTGTTGGTAATGTCTAGCGAGTATGAAAAATACATAGGTCCCTTTCGAAGCAAGTCTTTCACCAAGGTGAGATAGGCATCTTCGTCGGTGTCATGCAGCGGTCGTTCTCGCATGGGGAGGAACTCGGTTCCGGCGACTTTGTAGACCATATGACCGCGCAAACGTCCCATCGGCTGGGCTTTGGTAATAACAATGATGTATTTATCTATGCCAGTCAGCGCAACCTCCTGAGTTTCTGTTTGCGATGCTAATTACCGAGCTTTAGCTTAAGAATTCCAAGAATTCCTGCAATACTGGAGATGCGCTTAGCGCCTGGAAGGGGGCCATCGTTCAAGCGTAAATCGCCAGTTGGTCGGTCGACGACTAGAGTGGGCGCCTGGCGTGATGAAGGCGATGTAAAGGCATAGTGGGAAGGCGACGCATGTAAGTTGATATCCCTGAATGGGAGAAGGGGAGGAGTCATAATGAAAGCAGACCCTTCACAATGAAGGTCAAGAGAGTGAGAAGAGCAATGAGCAACAAAATGAAGGCATGTAAAGTCTTTAAATCCAAGTCACAGTTCCCGAGTCCAATAACACATGACAATCAACCGCGGGAACTGGAAGGCACAGCGGACCACTGTGGTCTGTACGCAGCCACACCGCCCCGCTGCTCGTGTGGCTGGGCCTTCCGTCATCTATTCCTGTCTGCCTGAGACTACAGGTGCTTGAATCTTTATTGTACCCTTGGGATCTTCTGTTTCTTTCCATTTGTCTATCCAGCTCTTGGGACTTGGAATTCATAATCTAGTTACTCGACGTTTCATCTACCTACTTTGTTCAACCTTCCTCCCTAAAACCCCATCCTCTCCTGATCATGGCTTCCAGACAAGCACCAGGAGCCCGCCCGGGCACAAGATTCGCCCAGTTCAAGCTCGTCCTTCTTGGTAAGTGTCAGCTGTGTATTCGCCTTGTTGATTTGCTTGAATGATCTTTTGGCTGACATTCCGTGCTCGCAGGAGAGTCCGCCGTCGGAAAGGTTTGGGATACCACCTGCGATCTTCTTTAACAACCGCTGACTTGACCGCTATCTTTCAGAGTTCGCTAGTTCTCAGATTCGTTAAAGTGAGTCTTTGAAGATGCCTATATCGTCTACCGCGGTTAGCCGGTCGTACTTGGATTACCAAAATGCTAAATGATCGGCTTAGGACCAATTCGATGATTACCGCGAGTCGACGATCGGAGCCGCCTTCCTAACACAGACCATTTCACTCGACGATAGCACCACAGTGAAGTTCGAAATTTGGGATACTGCGGGCCAGGAGCGGTATAAGTCGTTGGCTCCGATGTATTATCGAAATGCCAACTGCGCCGTTGTCGTCTATGACATCACTCAAGCTGTACGGTCCAGTACTTCATGTTTTTGATTTCGTTTCCAGTATAGAAGCTGACAGTCGAATCTCCGCACAGGCATCGCTAGACAAAGCCAAGTCATGGGTGAAAGAACTGCAGCGCCAAGCAAACGAGAACATTGTGATCGCCCTAGCAGGTAACAAGCTCGATCTCGTCACAGAGAGTCCTGATAAGCGAGCGATCCCAGAGGCCGATGCCGAAGCCTATGCACGCGAAGCTGGCCTGCTATTCTTCGAAACCTCCGCCAAGTCCTCGATAAATGTCAAGGAGCTGTTCACTGCGATCGCCAAGAAGCTACCTCTGGACCAGGCCGGACCTCGCAACATGCGGGCTGCCCCTCGGCCTGGTGTCGACTTGCGACCAGAGGCCCCTGGCACCCAGGGCGCCGGTGCGTGCAATTGTTAAACAGTCATCCGATCATATTCCCCCCTCTGCTATTGCACTCTCGCCTCAGTCTCCGTTCACGAGAGAGCGGAGACTTCACCTCTTCAACATCGTTCAACGGTGGTATACCTCTGTGACTATGATTTTACCAATGTCATTCGATCGGACTCCAGCGGCATTGCCTACTCGCTGTGGAGCCGATAGATACACTCTCGGTCCATGCTCGATCTAGCTCTCTCGAGTTTTTTCTTCGTTCTTTTGCTCTTGCTCATACTGCTCAACCGAGGCCCCACAGGTCCATTATTGGCAGCAGGGTTTGACTTTGATTGACGCATGTGGAATTTGGCTTTAGAAACGCTGCAGCTGGATCATTCGGTGCCTGACAGTGCTATTCCATCTGTACTCCTTGTTCCTTCACCCGGCGTCTGCATCTGCTTTTCTTTTCTTATGTCAAGGGACTTATTGGGCTCAACTTCTGCTTATTCCCGTTATCCTTGTGCTTTCCAGAATTCCTAGTATGTTATGCTCAAATAATACATCGTCCATACTTGTATCTACAACGAAGTTTTACTATATCTTAGTGCTATGTGCCTCATTGTCTCGAACTTCTCACTTATATAATTAGGGAGGGTCCCTGGAGGCTGGCTTTGCATCTTTTCTATTGTTCCTATAGGCTCTGTTCTATGGGAATGGATGTTTATTGCTTGAGGTGCAGGTCGGAGTCTGCGTGTAGATTTCCTTTGGTTGGGTTTATTTGTACACGACACTATGACCTGGGCCATCACATGATTCTCAGATGTACAAATAAACCAAACCTTTCCTTTTGACTCACAGTTGAGTGTTGACCCTTAAATACTACGATCAGCGCCAAACAGTTTAATTTATGGACATTATAATTATATATTCGTGTCGAAGAAACTATATAGATCTACATGCTGAGTAGCAATTCATGCAACCCCAGGCCGCTATCTCTGATGTCAGCATGGAAGAGGACGAAATGGCGCGAAGCCATCCTGACCGCCCGCAGGATTATCGGGGCGGATCGCAACTGAGCAACCGGTTCCCGTTTTCCTACCCATCCAACTTCTTGATCACCTCTAGCCATTCCCTTTGGCGATTGTGCGGCTCGTTATGCTGCGCTCCTCGATTGCTCCGGGTCGGCAATTGCTGTCGAACCCTGTTCGCCAACGCATCCCTTCACAATGGCTGTCCAGAGCCGGTGCAAGCAACCGGCTCGCAGGTCAGGTAAGAAGATCGTACAGAAGCTTCCCAGTCTTTCTTGCTAACAATTATGACGCGCAGCGATTCTTCGCTGATTCTAAACCCCCTACCACTGGTGGTCCAACACCAGCTGCCCCCTCCTCCGAATCCAGTGTCCCCCCCGAGACCATCTCGAAGGCCGCCGGAACAGGTATGACGATGCCCTCCTTCATCCACCAAACTCAAGAGCTTCCCATCATATTCTAATGTGATATTCTTGCAGGTGCCAAGCTTCCTCCTCCACCTCCCGCGCCAGCTCCTCGCAAATCCGGTCGTTTCCGCCGTTTTTTGATCTACCTGATCCTCACTTCCGGCTTTGCCTATGGTGGCAGCATCTTCCTTGCCCTTAAGTCCGACAATTTCCACGACTTCTTCACCGAATATGTTCCCTACGGAGAAGAATGTGTCCTTTACTTTGAGGAGCGCGACTTCTACCGCCGTTTCCCCAATGCCTTGAGGAACCCGCACCGTCTCCCTGCTATCCCTAGTGAGGAGGGAAAGCCCGTCACAATTCCCAGCAAAAATGGTCTGTCTTGGAAGGTTGCCGAGGAGGAGAAGGCCGATGATTCGAAGAAGGCAGCTTACATGAGTGCCGAGGACCAAAACAAACCCGCGACATCCAAGCCTAAGGACCAGAAAGTTTCTGTCCAGAGGGCTAAAGAAGACAACGCCTCTAAGCAAAGCGCGAAAAAATCCAAGCCCGAATCTGAGAAGGCCGTGTCTCTGGAGGCGCCTAGAGAACCCGCTGTTTCTACAAGCACCATTGAGTTGCTCCAGCTGCGGGATGCTGATGACTCCGTTGTCCAGGATCTGGTCAAGACCTTCAACGACATCGTTACTGTCATCAGTGCCGATGAAAATGCCAGCAAATACTCTGCGACTGTCGCCAAGGCGAAGGGCGAACTGGAGAAGATTAGTGAGAAGATCGCTGCTATTCGCAACGATGCTCAAAACTCCGCCCAGGCCGAAATCAACAAGCTTCATGCCACCTTCGATGAGTCGGCTCGGGAATTGATGCGCCAATTTGACGAAGTGCGCTCCAGCGATATTACCTCGTTCCGCGAAGAATTCGAGGGCGAGCGCGAGAAGCTCACTCGGGCATATCAGCAAAAGCTCGAGACTGAGCTCCGCCATGCCCAGGAGCTGGCTGAGCAGCGTCTTCAGAACGAGCTCGTTGAGCAGGCCATTGAGTTGGACCGCAAGTACATTCACCAGGTCGAGAGTCTGGTGGAGCGTGAGCGCGAGGGCCGCCTGAGCAAGTTGACCGAGCTTACAGCCGACATCAAGGAGCTCGAGAAGCTCACTGCCGGATGGAGCGACGTCATCGACACCAACCTCAAGACTCAGCAGCTGCAGGTCGCTTTGGATGCCGTCCGCACTGTGGTTGAGCGTGCTGACACTCCTCGGCCGTTCGTCCGTGAGCTTGTGGCCGTGAAGGAGCTTGCCGCTGGCGACGCCGTCGTTGAGGCTGCCATCGCCTCCATTAACCCCACCGCTTACCAGCGCGGAATTCCCTCTACCACTCAGATCTTCGAGCGTTTCCGCAGAGTTGCAGCGGAGGTTCGCAAGGCCAGCCTGCTACCCGAAGATGCCGGTGTGGCCAGCCATGCGGCCAGTCTTGTCCTAAGCAAGGTTATGTTCAAGAAGGATGCTCTCTCCGAGGGTGACGACGTGGAAAGCGTTCTGGTGCGGACTGAGAGCTTATTGCAGATGGGTGATATTGACGCCGCTGCTCGGGAGATGAACTCCCTCCAAGGCTGGGCCAAGATTCTCAGCAAGGACTGGCTGAGTGACGTTCGCAGGGTTCTTGAAGTCAGACAGGCTCTCGAGGTAAGTTCTTGTTCCGCACTTGGACTTGAACACTGGAACAAAATAGCTAACGAATATTCTCCACCAGGTTATCGAGGCCGAAGCCCGCCTTCAGTGCTTGCGGGTTGAATAAGCGCATACATTGAGCGAAGCAGAATTCATTTTACCCTGTATATCCTCGTCACTTACAGGAACTGTACCTCTAGTTGTACTTGTGCTTTAGACCAAATGCTAGAATTTTCCCATGTCAGTTGCATATGCAATGCGTAGGTCATAGCCCCAAAGCTCTACGAATTGTAGTCCAACTCGTATCTAAATCCTAGTTCGAATACAGACGATTTAGTGCCTGGGCAGGGACTGGATGGGCCCAAAACCTCAGTTACCTCGGACCACAGCTGCAGAATTCGGGCCCACGGGGAATAAAGTGATTACGTAACTTGTTGCACGCGCATCCTGATCTACGTACATTGAGGATGTCATGTCGTGCAGCTGATCATGCAATAGTCTAGTCTCTAGCTTTCCTGCTATTGTGATCGTTGCCTAACTGGCTGACCGCACCCATGCTTTTGTCTGGACAAATTATGTCCGTCTCTTTGTCGTGCGTGGCCATCTAGCACTGTCGCCCTTTCCGCGGCAATGTCGCAAATACCGAACGAATCCCACGTACGATCTTCTATGTCTCCGGCGAATGGACAACCTCAAGACCGATTCATTAGTACTACGTCGCCTTTACCCCTATCCGATGGAGGTTCATTTCGCCAAAACACACCCCGAATGAACGACGGTCGAGCGAGCGGGGAGTTGGAGGGCAGTACACTGGGCAGCAGTTCCCGTGAAAGGGGCCAAAGGACACCCGGCCATCGGGCGACCCGGAGTTCAGGTGGATTTTTGCTTGACAGTCTACCTCGGCCAAGAGGAACGAGACATAGTCTGGACCACCCTCACCCGTCAGAACCTCCCGAAGAGAAGCGCAGCGTCCCCGAACCAGATATAACGGTACCCAAGAAGCGCTCACGACTTCCATGGAAGCGTCATAGGCAGTCATCGGTGTTTGTCTCAAAAGATGCAAGCTCGAATCCAATCAGTGCCCCGCAAGCTTCCACGCCTGCTAGAAGACAGCCTTCGGGAAGCTCCTCGCAGCCCGAGGCACAGGAGAGCAACGTTGATGTACAATCTCCGACCCCCGCTCTTGATAGCGATTCCATACAGATCGTGAATTTAGCCTTGAGTCTCAATGAATCCCGGAGGAGGACAGCTTCAGGAATATTACCGGGCTCCGACGGCCGAAGACCGCTATCTGTCTCTCAACCTGCTGTCCCTCCAGCTGACAATTATGCGCATTCCCCACGAGCAGGAAACTTCCAGCATGACTCGCCGTATCGCAATTTTACCCAGGCTTCTGGTACTGGGTTGTCACAGGGCACGTTGCCGAGCTTAGAGCGGTCATCTGTTGTAAATTTGTTGCCTCCATCGGCAGTTGAGGAATTTCGCACATTTGAAGTTTCCGAAAGCACCTTGGCCCGAGCCGAGAAAGCACAAAATCATTTTGATTTATTCTATGAATATATGCGGCTGCTGCCTTCACTGCCAGCCCTTCCAGACACAGTCAAGGATGGCGCCGAGCCTAAATCCCAGAAGCCTCACCGTGCATATAACCCACTTCAAACGATCCGCAATCGCAAAGTCAGGTATCGTGAAAGATCCCCGCTTGATGCAGACGCCGAAGGATGGCACGATGTCGAAAAGGTCCACCAATGGATCAACACCGTCGAGCGTGAATACAGGCACAAACAGCACGACCCGCTAGAATGCTTGAAGTTGCCACCCTTCAATCAAGGTGGCGAGCACGAAGATGATGACATGATGGCTGCGTCTCCTCCTTCGAGTTTGCGGCATATCAGCCGAACCAGCAGCAAGAAGGCTCGTCGGCCACGCATGGACTGGAAGATATTGCCAGCGGAGCTTTTAGCTGACGCTGTTTGGCTGGAAGATGGAACCAACAAGGCGAAGATTGTTGACAAGGATGGCTATAAGCTGTACCCTGATCCGACAAAGCTAGTCGTCAAAAAGACACAAGCTGACTTCGTCACACCTCAGAAGCAGCGGGTTTCGGTTGAAACGGGGAATTCTGGCGAGGCGCGTTCGTCACCGCGCACTTCGCTATCCAGTTCCCGCCCTGCCCTGGCACACGAATTCAAGAGCGTCGGCCGTGGGCGACACAGGCACCGATTTCGGAGCCATTCAAAAAGCCTACGCAGCCGCAGTGCCTCCAGCAAAGGAAAGCCGACCCCGTGGGATAAGGTTAAGATGCGTTCAGGCAGTGTGTCGAGTTCTTCAAGCTCGGATTCAGATGTTTCCATCGACAAGTCTCGCCTGTCTCGCGAGAATGTCCGCGAACATGTTCAAAGATTTGTTGATCATGCACACTCGGGGTCGCGGATGTCCCGCATTAAATCCTCCGCCGGCCCCAGTGCTGAAAAGGACAGGGTGGGGACTCCACAGCCATCTGAACTGTCGCCGCTCGACACCCGACAGTCTCGTAAGCACAGGGGGCGCTCTTTATCATCACCGGGCAGTCCCGATTATCGTCAAGATCCCCGGATGTCCATGGAAGGAATGGACAGCACTGCCCCCAGCTCGCCTACGCAGATTGGTTACTTCCCAAGCATAGCGGTGAATTTGTCTCCTCCTTCAAGTCGCTCTCCCTCGCCCGCGAAGAGAGGCCTTCGTAAAATTGTATCGCGCCACGAACGCAGCAAAAGCAAGCAGGGGGACCGAGACCGAGAGGGTGAAGATGAATCACCAGAGCCAGATACTTTGCGTCGGCAGAATACGACCACCCCTGAGCGGATGGAGGGTGCCTCCAAGCTGCAGCCCAGTGCCTCCAAACTACAGCCCAGTCCTCTCCCCGACGTCGTGTCTTCCCCCTATCGAGGCGATCAAGCCGCGGCCGGAGAAAACCGCGCGGATGAGCATCGATCTCGCAAAGCAATGCATCTTCCTGAATCGAAGTTACGAGGAATATTCAAGGGACCGGGGCGGATCGCGGAGAGGGTGGGAAATGAGGTGTCCAAGGTCGGGGACCTCATATTGAAGAAAGACGCAGATCCTGGCTCTCGAAAATCATCGTCCGCAACTCCTTTTGCATCGGACGACAGCGACTCTGATGAAGACCCCAAAAGCGAGAAGAAGTCTAGCTCTAAAGCTCTTCTACGGCGTCTACCAACAATTACCGATGAGCCAGGGCGATTGACTCGCAGAGACTCTGAGAAGAACACGTCTCGAAGTTTCATCTCTTCTCTGCCGACCTTCACATCCCCTCTGCGGCAAGACGAACGAAAGGAAGCTCCGGGGGGTCCTGAGTATGGCAGTTCTGGCGAGCGGCTTGCGTCTCCTGAAAAGTATGATTCCCGTGAAGATCCCAAGAAATTCCAGCTGGCGCGCAGCAAAACCCTTGATTTTAGCCCTTCTCTGCACCCGGGCCGGAGAAACCGCCACGAGATCAGAGACGTCGCCGTTCCTTACAGCTTAACTCGACCTCCTGTTACTGGACTCGCCAATGCGCGCGCATCCCCGGGAATATCCCCCGAGGGACGGCGCTCCGGGCTTTCAGGTGCTAGTCGCGCCTGGAGCATATCCGGGCGCAGTCTCCAATCATTAGTTGACTCTGGCGTGCCTGGTAAGCCAGAAGTCGAGCGCACCCGGGCTCTCTTGCTATCATCGGGTATCAAAGCCCGGGAGATTACTCGCAGAGCCCACACTGCCCGCGAGCCAGCCCCTCAATGGCTCCAAAGCTCCATGGGTCCCGGTCAGCCTGTTCCATATGTAACCCGGATTAACGAATTCGATCTTGCTGCTCAAAACCTCTTGCAGCGATTCGAAAAGACCCAATACTCATTCCAACAATCCATGCATCACTTCTCCACTTCAACTTCAATACCTCTCCGTTCTCAGCTGAGGGACCTGGAAAACCTGGCTAATCAGTCCCTGGCTCCCCGCGTCCGAGCCACGGCTAACGATGCCGAGGACCTGTGTGTCCAGCTCAACACTACTAGCACCCTCGCTGTGAAACAGCTGAGTGATGCCCTTGACAAAGGCATTCGCAAACGTCGCCGTCGATTGCGGTGGATCCGACGCACCGGGTTCATGTTTTTGGAATGGGCCCTCGTCGGTATGCTTTGGTGGGTGTGGCTTATTGTCATGGCTTTCAAGCTTGTGCGTGGTGTCTTCCGCGGTGCCTTCTCCGGTATTCGATGGGTCTTGTGGCTTTGATATCGGTCTGCCTCAGCTGGGTTCCAACCTTCTTCTCCCTCTACTTCTTTCCGGTTCCCACAGCCTATGGGATCCTTCTGTTCACATTACTTACTTTTAACTTCATCGTCTCTATTGGCGTGCATATACCCTTCCAGTTAATTTTTAATGCCCAGTGTGGCCTTTCAATCCGTCATGCATGATTCAAGGAGCGTTGCATTTGGTCCAAACAGGCCCCCACCAGGCGTGTGTCTTCTCAATGTGTATAATTTCGCTGGTCTTCCTGTTTCTAATACACGATGATTCAATCCAAGACTCCTTGGGCTTTTTCCATGTGGAATTTACCTCTCCATTCCATGTTAACGCACGGGCATGACTCGGACCTTGGGAACAAAGCATTTCACTCTTCTTTGTCCACCGTGTGCCCTTGCAGTGTTCTGATCCTTGATCAATGAAGCCCAGAAAGGGCATACAACCCCCTTTGTTGCCTCTTTTTCTTACATCTACGCAACAATGGAAACCCTCACCTTTAGACACCAACCAAGTACATAAACCCGGTCGTACCCGGTCCAAACATCAACCTAGACTGACTGACTCCCCATTCAAACCAACACAACCCTCAAAATGTCACCAAGTACCAAACTCCCAACTTCCCCTCCCACCACAGATGACACCAAACTAACCCACTACTACAAGCAAGCCAGCAAAAGCCGCTGGGATCTCTACCCCCTCTTCCAATCCTTCCTACAGACTAGCTCAGCAGAGACAATAAAAGCCGTCCAAGACCGCCGTCTCCTCATCTCCTGGGACCTCCAAGCCATCCACTTCCTGCGCACATTTCTACAGAAATGCGTCCTGGCCAAAGTCCCAGCCGATGCAATCGGTGCATTCCTCATCACAATCCTATACAAACAAGACTACCACCTGGACTATAGCCTGACTATAATGATCTGGACAGGACACACACAGGTGCACGTTGCTCGGTGCTTGTTAGCATTATATCAAATCCGCGATGAAACCGGCGTCCCAATCTGGGATGATTTGTCTACCTATTCCGAGTCTGATTCGAAAGTGTCTCTCGTTACCAATGATGAAGCTGTGTCCACGGCAGACGTCCCATGCTGTAGTCCGGCCATGCAACGTCCGGACCTGAAATGGCCTGTGTATCTAGGTCTGCTATGCGAGTCAGAGGTTGACGCACTCGTGAGCAATGTAGAGAAAAGTCGGCATCAGGATGAGGATAGTTTGCCGCCCTGTTCTTCTGCTGCAAGAGAAGAGGACGTTGAAACCATTCAGGCGTTGAGGAGATTCGAGCTTTGCAAGAATGAGTTCTTAGCTGATCTACCCCTGGGAGATAAGGGTCGGACTGCAGCTGCTGATAAAACTAATGGTTCACAGCGACATCGCTCCGTTTCTTTTCGTGAACCTCTGCCTGTTTCTTTGCCTTCCTTGGTGAAACCTGGTTCGGCGGTGCGTGTATCTACTTTCCAGCCGGATATTCGCAGCGTGGAGCAGGGATCACTGGGGAATTCTAAGGAGAAGGGTAAGGCATATATGCGATTATTCCGTGCATCCCCTGCTGCTCGTGATTTGGTTCAAGTTCCTTGTCAGGTGCTGCCTCTGCATGTTGCGCCTGCTAGGCTTAGGAGGAGGGCTGGGGTTGAGGATCTGCGTAAGGCGAGCGCCGAGGGAGCGTGATGATCGACCTAGAACCAACCTAAGGCTCTTGATAGCCCGGCATCCATCTAGGTATCGTGTTTAGAGAGGCACTAGGTGGAGGGCAGGGATATATATTGGCATGCGATGGATGGAATTGTTCCATGATCCATGTAGGTCTGCTTTTGGGAATCGTATGGGCATCGAAGTCGGGTGTAAGTCACTTAGTTCTTTGACTAATCCATAACATACTTGTGGCATCTGTGTTTACCTATTTTCCACCCCACTCATCTAAGGTACAAGCCTGAGAACATCGAAGGAACATCGTAGGAATACCGTAGTTGGTCAGAATACCGTAGTGATACCTTACCGTGTCAGACCTTTGCGGCAGGGGATTTGAGTATGGTAGAGATAACGGTATTCGAGAGAATACGGAATTCGAGATCTCCCCTTCAAAATGCAGAGGCCGAACACCGTATTTTCCCAAATACTGCATCACTACGCTTATACTACGCTATATCAGAAAACGGGCGAGGCGAGGCGACATGGTAGCTAAGACGACCGAGCAGATAGTAGCCAAGAGGGGAGTAGTCTTCGGAGTAGAATCGAGTATAAAAACAATGATCTATTTGTTCAGACAGGAGAGTAGAAAGTAGGTAGTATCTTGATCTTGAAGTACATGTCCCAGAAAGTCACAACGTGATATAGTACAGAGGGGGGTTTGATGGGAGAAGTAGTAGCAAAGGGCTGACACCAAAAGCCTGCTGCTTCTTATAGTCCGACAAGAGCCAGTGCCAGGCACTGCCGGGCTTGGATTGCCAGAGTGGTCGGAATGGGGGGGAATTATTACATATTTATCGTCTATTTCTTGTGTCGATCAGCCTGGGCCTTCAGGTACTTGGCAATAAGGTCCTTCTGCAGGTGAGGAGGAGCCTTCTCGTAGTGGCTGAACTCCATGGTATATTCACCCTTGCCCTGAGTAGCGGCGCGCAGGTTAGTGCTGAAGCCGAACATGCCGTTCAAACTGCAGTCGGCATAGATAGTGAACTCATCAACACCGGTCTCGGTGTCGTTGATGGTAGCACCGCGCTTGTTCAGGAGGCCGATGACATCACCCTGGAACTCGGTCGGGGCGGTGACAACGGTCTTCATGAGAGGCTCTAGGACGGAGGGCTGACTCTCAGCGAAGGCCTTGCGGAACGCCTGCTGGGTGGCGTTCTTGAATGACATTTCGGACGAATCGGTCATGTGGGTAGCACCGTCGTTGATGACCATGCGAGTGCCGAGAACCTTGTGGCCGATGAGAGGACCCTTCTCGCAAGAGAGGTTGAAACCCTTCTCGCAAGCGTACAGGAACTTCTCGGAAATGCTGCCTCCGACGACCTGCTGCTCGAATTTGTTGTCCTCGAGGGCACCGGTAGGCTCCATGTATCCCATGACACGGGCGAACTCACCGGGTCCACCGGACTGCTTCTTGAGCAGGTGGTCGAACTCGACACGGTTGCCGATGGTCTCACGGTAGGCGACCTGGGGCTGGCCGGTCTCGCAGTCAACGCGGTACTCGCGGCGCATGCGCTCCACGTAGATGTCAAGGTGAAGTTCACCCATACCGGAGATAATGGTCTGGTCGCTCTCGCTATCGTAGGTCACACGGAAGGTCGGGTCCTCGCGCTGGAAACGGGCCATGGCCTTGGAGAAGTTGGCGCCATCCTTGCTCTGCTTGGGCTTGATGGAGAGCGAGATGACGGGCTCGGGAACGAACATGGATGACATGCTGTAGCCAAGGGTTCCATCCGTGAAAGTATCACCGGAGGCACACTCAATACCGAACACGGCACAGATCTCACCGGCGCCGATCTCGCTGACTTCCTCCATCTCGTTGGAGTGCATGCGAACAATACGGGGAACCTTGACCTTCTTGCTGTTGCGAGCGTTGAAGACGTTGGAGCCCTTGCGGAGGGTACCCTGGTAGACACGGATGTAGGTCAACTGACCGAAGTTGCTCTCCTCCAGCTTGAAGGCAAGACCGACAAAGGGAAGGGAGTTATAAGGGACAAGCTTGACGGAGGCTTCGTCACGCTTCTGGTCAAGAGCCAAGTTTTCAACCTCGGAGGGGTTAGGAAGGTAGTCAATGACACCGTCCAACATAGGCTGAACTGACTTGTTGGCCAGAGCAGATCCCATGAAGACAGGGGTGAACTTCAATCCAATGGTGGCGCGGCGGATGGCGGCCCGAATCTGATCCTCGCTGGGTGTGAGCTCCTCCAGGAACAGTTCCGCGATCTCATCGTCGACATCGGCAAGAGTCTCGATAAGCATGTTGCGGCGTTCCTCGGCAAGAGCCTTAACCTTCTCGGGAATTTCATCCTTTTCCACTATCTCCTCACCGCTATCTCCAACATTGTACAGAGCCTTCATGCGGATCAAATCAACGACACCCTCGAACTCATCCTCGGCACCAATAGGGACCTGAACAGCGGCCGCGGGGATCTTGAGCTTAGTGTTAATCTGGTCGACCGCCTTGAAAGGGTTAGCACCCATACGATCCATCTTGTTGACGAACGAGATGCGAGGAACGTTGTAACGGCGCATTTGGCGATCGACGGTAATCGTCTGGGACTGGACACCGGAGACAGCACATAGAATCATGACAGCGCCATCCAGAACGCGCAGCGCTCTCTCCACCTCAATGGTGAAATCAATGTGACCGGGGGTATCAATCAAGTTCAGGTGGTACTTCTGCTCAACCCCCTCCTTGTCCTTCTTGACCCAGTCACAGAAAGTGGCAGCGGACTGAATGGTGATACCCTTCTCACGTTCTAAGTCCATGGAATCCATCTTGGCACCGACGCTGTCACGCCCGCGGACCTCGTGGATAGCCTTGATACGACCGGTGTAGAAAAGAACTCGCTCTGTACAGGTGGTTTTCCCGCTGTCGATGTGGGCCTGCGCAGAAACATTTTCGTTAGACACGACCAAAAGATAAACAGGAATCAATTGGGATGTCACGTACCGCAATACCAATGTTACGACACTTGCTAAGACGAGCGGCTTCGACCGGATCCAGGTTGTCGATAATTGCGGCTTGGGACAGGCCCTCGGGGTTGGCCTTAGCAGCCTCGAGCCTGAATTGTATTAGAGACGGAAACCAGATATAGGTTGGCTCAATATGTATACTCACACAGCTGAGGCAACAGCAGAGGAGTTTCGTCGCTGGCTCCATTGTCCCAACTTCGACTGATAAGCCGGCGCAACAGCGGCGGACCGGAACGCGGCTGTGGACGCGCATCGTGGGCGCAGAAGAGTCTGGGGCTGGAAGAGAGCTGATCTGGTCAAACCAGACACTGCGCGGGATTGTAACCGTGCAAGAGAAGGAGACCGCATGGTGATGATCCACTCGCACCGATATTCAAACGATCAACGCAGATTCGATGTTTAGTTGGCTCCCCGAAAAAAAGTTCGGGGAAGCCAGGAACGCGTCACGTGATGATTTACATCGGCCGATCAGAGCCGGTAGATTACTACTGGACGCAGTCACGCAGAATTGACCTGAGACTGGATATTGATGTTGACAACTGCTATATATCGGTGGTTTGAACCCCTGGGCCTGGGGAGAGCTTTTGGTCCAAGTGAAAGAGGCAATCATATAGAGATTAACCACACGAAGAAGTCAAGACTGGAGATCATGATCTGAGTAGAATTGAAACACGAAGAGGCAGAAAACCGAATTGCCATACTAATATACAAGGAAAAGACACAAGCGCCGCGGTATCCAACCACTGTCTGGTTTTAAAACAAGATTGCAAGAGTATGCTCCACATCCGAGTTCCCAGACGACAAGTCGTGTATCCAACGAATCTGAAGGAGAGCGATCAATCGGAAGCATATTGACATGCTCAGATAGCCTGCCAATATCACAGATAGGTCGAGTAAACGCCGCCGCGGGAGGACGAAGCGAAGCACGCTACCGGAGGAAAAGACGGAAAGCAGGGACTCTATTTTCCCTGCCGTTGCTTGTGCTTGGGGTTCTTCGAGCTAAACAAGATAACGGCATATTAGCATTCGACACATGCACTGAATAGCACGGGGCAATCAAAACTCACCAGATGATGTAAACACGACCCTTGCGGTGAACGGGCTATTCAGCAGTCAGCGCCAGCCAATATAAAACCTCCCAATCCACTCAATATGATATCCCCCAGCAGTTCAGCTCATACCTTGCAACCATCACACAGTCTCTTAACAGAAGACCGGGTCTTCATCCCCCGGACCTGCTCCACCTGTCTAGTAGACGCATTCGCAACGGCGACAGCATTGCCGGACTTTGTGTGGCCGCGAAGCCTCGTCAGGCTATTCTGGATCATGTGCGAAAAGGGCCGTAATGAGGCCGCGCGGGTGTTCACAGAGGGGAGGAACTGGCGGAGGGCTCCGGAGGAGGCTCCGAAGACGGTGCGGAGGGAGAACATGACGGCGGGTTTGGGGCCAGTCTGTTTTCGCAAATGGTCGATCGGACGCTGTGCCTCAATTTTCCGCGTATTTGAAACAAGAGGTAGCGAGTGCGGGTGCCCGTTGTTGTTCGGCTCCGAAGTTCTCTCGTGCTGCGATCGCAAATGTTGGCCGGAGCTTCTGTATCGCCGGACGGCCGAGGTGGACCCGCTGTGATTGGTGGGTTGGTGGGTTTGGTGTACAAATAACCAGAGTCAAAGAAGAATGGGAACGAGGGTTTTATAATAAATTAGAGACTCGAATGTGAATAAGAGTCAATGGAAGAATTGGAAAGTTGATTATCTACTCTCTATAGGCGAGAGGCGAGCCGGCTTGATCTATATCCGCCTGGACTAACTAAACATCAGGCTCGGCTTGCAGGACAACGATGCAGAAATAAAGCCAGCAAGAATGCTCAACCCCAGAAGCACATGTAATAGTTATGTATGATCTTTTGCTCCAAGTTAAACTTGAAGCAACTGTGCGAGCTATATAATACAGAAGACCTATCTAAGAACCAAACGCCAACAAAAGACAAAATCTAGGCCTCGGCCTTAAACCGCTTGAAGCAATAACGAGTTAAGAGTAATGCATCTTTCCGGTGGCAACACCCCAAAGCCAAAGCTTATTCCGAACGTAAAAAGGTCTTGTACGTAGGAGAATCAGTGTGCTCACTGAACGGATAACCCAGATCCCGAAGGAAAGCCTCCAAATCCTCCTTCTCCGGCGACGGGCACTGGATTCCAGCCAGAACTTTGCCAACGTCGCCACCGTAGTTACGGTAGTGGAACAGAGAGATGTTTTGCTTAGGACGGAGGGTGGCGAGGAACTTGGCAAGAGCACCTGGACGCTCGGGGAACTCGAACATGAAGATGCGCTCATCGGCAACGTCGCAGCGGCCGCCGACGAGGAAGCGCAGATGACGCTTGGCAAGCTCGTCGTCGCTCAAATCCCGGCAGCTCATGCCGCCATTCTCCAATTGTGTCATGATCTTGGCCAGATCCTCGCGGCCAGTCGTGGCAGAAAGAGAAATACCCATCAACACATCGGCGGATTCTTCGCGGGCATAGCGGTAGTTGAATGCGGTAACGGCGTGGGGCAGCACGATTTCGACAAGCTTGGCAAATGCGCCAGGCTTTTCGGGGATGTTGACGCTCAGGAGGGCTTCCTTCTTCTCGCCGAGAGCGGCACGCTCAGCGACGAACCGCAGACGGTCGAAGTCCATGTTGGCACCGGAGGTAATGGCGATCAGCTCACGGTTGGGGTCGGGGCTAGGGTTTTTGGCGATGTACTTCTTCAGACCGGCAAGGGCGAGAGCGCCGGCGGGCTCGACGATGGACCGGGTATCTTCGAAGGCATCCTTGATGGCTGCGCAGGTCTCGTCGGTGCTCACCTGGATGACCTCGTCGATAACCTCGCGACTGAGACGCCAAGTCTCTTCGCCGACGGACTTCACTGCGGCGCCATCCGCAAAGAGGCCAACCTCCTTCAGGAAGACTCGGTTGCCCGCATCGAGAGACTGGGTCATAGCATTGGCATCATAAGCCTCCACACCAATGACCTTGACCTGGGGAGCGATGCGCTTAAGATAGACTCCAATGCCGGCAATCAGGCCACCTCCGCCGACAGCACAGAAGACTGCCTCCAACTTGTCCAAGTTTGCTTGGCGCAGAAGCTCCATTCCAATAGTACCTTGACCGGCAATGACATAGGGATCGTCAAACGGCGGGATGTTGGTCAGACCATGCTGCTTCTCCAATCGGTGAGCCTCGTCCTTTGCGGCATCGAAATCCTGTCCGTGAAGTACTACGCTTCCTCCCAAGCGAGCGACATTCAAATGTTTAATGGCTGGGGTACCCGAGGGCATGACGATGGTAGCGGGGATTCTCAGCTTGCGGGCGGAATAGGCCACACCCTGCGCATGGTTACCTATTATGAGATTAGTAAGATGCGACGGTCAGTTGGCTTTGAAGTATAGACTAACCCGCAGAGCAAGCAATGACGCCCTTCCACCGCTGCTCATCGTTCAAATGAGCCATCTTGTTGTATGCGCCACGCAGCTTGAAGCTGAAGACAGGCAGCAGGTCCTCCCGCTTGAGAAGGACCCGGCTTTCCAGCCTGTTGCTGAGGTTGACAGCATGGGTCAGAGGACTCTCTTCAATAACATCGTAAACTCGTGACGTTAAAATCAATCGGAGGTACTAGATGGCGGGGTAATGCGTTAACATTGGGACTTTTCCCATGAGTTTTCAAGGCTCTAATTACATCCGGGTATCCATTGGGTAGCAGGAAAGCTTCAGGAATGCCCCAATTGGGAGGCAAGCCTGGGGTTCGTTGCTCACGGGGCGGTGTCGGAGCGGCGGTATACTCGGTCAAGGCAAGCCCACTCGTCTTGGGAGTGACGGGCGAGACCGGCGTCGAGAAACCGTTTGTGGGAGTTTCGGACATATTGACTTTGGGATTGGATCGATCCCAATGATGATCACGAAGATTCAAAACTGACGGGAGGCGAGTCTATGACTTTTTTTCTGGAGGCGGGACCGGTGATCGGAGGGGCCTTTGTCATCAACCCTGAGCGCTAGCCCTAAATAAAGCTTAACTTGGACAGTTCTGGAGATTAGATGAACTGAAGTGAGTGAGAGTAGGCTGATGGTCAGAAGTATTTCACTGGAAGTATTTCACCTGGATCATCGGTCTGATTGCAAACTTGTGGAGGAAAGTAGTGAACGTGGAGGTCAAGGAATAGATAAGGTAGCGGTCAAGCATTTGGTGTTTGTTGTACAGTTAGGTGTAGGTGTACTTTTTCTGCTCTATATGATCCGGGTGTAATTCACGAGATATCTAGCTTCTTAAAGAGCAGTTAATCAACCGAAAGCTCCATCTGAGCATAGCTCTATGGGCGACCTTAGTACCTGGCATACTGTCGCACTCCCCGCTGATAGTTACATAACCCGACCTGGAAAACTTGGCGTCATATCACCGCTCGACCCTGTACGCACCCCCAGCATAGCATTTCAGAGTTCAATCCAACCTCAACCCTTCCAACTCAGGCTTGATAAGTTGGTCATTGAGGTTTCATTCTCCGCAGTCGAGCTAATATAGCTGATCGCAAATCCACACCCGAAAACTTAAAGTCCGCATCCCGTGGGACGCAATTCAACTCCGCACGACCGACAAACACATCCTCAATCACCTTCACCATGGAGCGCGATCCCATGCCCTCGTCATTCGACAGCAACCCGTATGTGAAAGCCAGATTCAATAAAAAGAAATCCGCGCCCTCCGCAATCTACACCCAGAAATGCCACCAAAAGACCCGAATCAGAACGACCCGCTAACAAATCTCCCCGAACAGACAATTCACCGAAGAAACCAGCACCCAAAAGTTCACCCGCCGTCTCAAAGAAGAGCCTCTCGTCCCCCTCGGTGCGATTTACCCTACAACCTACCTCACAACCCCTTCGCCCTCCCAAAACTAACACAGAAAAATAGGATGCGCCGCAACATGCTACGCCCTCTACCGCGCCTACCGCTCCATGAAATCCGGCGACTCAGTCGAGATGAACCGGATGTTCCGCGCCCGTATCTACGCGCAAGCCTTCACACTCGTCGCTCTCGTCGCCGGCGGAATGTACTTCAAGACGGAACGACAGCAGCGCCGGGAATTCGACCAGGCGGTGGAACTACGCAAGAAACAAGAGAAGCGCGACGCCTGGCTGCGCGAGCTGGAGATTCGCGATAAGGAGGATCGCGAGTGGAGGGAGCGTCATGCTGCTATTGAGGCTGCGGCTAAGGAGGCTGGGAATAGGCCGGCGCCGCGGAGTGAGCCTGGTGCGGCGCGGTCGGCGATTGAGGTTGGTGATGAGAAGGTTGTTGGTGTTCTTGATGCTGTAAGGGTGCTTTTGGCAAGGAGATGAGTGGGTTTGTATGATAGGGTAGGCTTGAGTTTTGGTTTCGTGTATGTAAATATGTTATTGGAATTATCCATATGATGATTAGGGTTATGACATTGTGTAGATTGTACCAATCCTAAATGCGCGGAAATATGCACAATGAGCTCACGTGGGTGTCATATTCGGGTTATCTTGTTTCTTATTCGGGTTCCTGGCACGTATGGCGAAGCCGTACACAGAATACCGAGGTCGAAGAAAATTCAACATTGAACGCCAAACAAGGTTGAAGAGCGCCACTAGCAAACAAGATGAACCAGGCTTGAAAGGCTTCTCGGCAAGATCCTACCAGGATCTCCTTAATTTGTACGGAGTAAGAACGGCTGGCCCGAAAAGCCCGTTTTGCTTGGCCGAGGCAATCATGTGAGATCGACAAGGCTAGCGTCTGCGCCAACCGAACCTATGGTTCGGACTGAGAGCGCCATCAGCATGTGCAGTCTTGGTATGATAGCAGTGGAGGTTAAAGAAGGTTCCTGGAATAGACGCAAAATGTGGACAGGTTGAAATAGATCAACGCTTGAATCTGGGCAGATGGATTACATGTAAGAAAGATGATCCCAAGGCGGGGAAAGTTGTACTATGAAACCCTAACTCGGAAGGCATCAGGGATTATCAGCAAAATTCGAGAAATTCCTGAACTATTCAAACCTTTTTTCAGGGTCCCTGTCTCCACACTCCATCGGGTCGACAACATGTTAATCTTTCCCCCCATCTCTTCCTCCCGAGACATTGCCCATGACGTTTGGGCTGGCTAGTCGAGAGCCTTGTGGATCCTCTATCACAAGTATAAAATCCCAGGGCAATCCCTCTTTGTAGATCATTTTCGGGTTTTACCTATTTTTTTCTCCATCGCCCGACTATACAGCGTTGTACATACCCGACACATACACTACACACTCTATACACCAATCCCATCCCAAAAGAGCCAAATCCTACAAACCCACCAAAATGCTCACCTGGATCTACCCCCTCCGCGTCCTCCAGGCCATCCTCTCCCTAGCCACCATCGGCCTAACCGCATACGGTTCGTCCCTCAACTCCTTCCATCTTCGATATAAAACCCTAACCCACCACAGAAATCGCCTCCCTCTACGACAGATGGTCCTACTCAAACGTAATCTACTACATGCTCTTCAACGGCTGCTGGACAACAGCCATCGCAGTCCCATATCTCGGTCTCGCCCCTCTCGCCTTCCCGCGCTTCTCTCACCAATTCGCCATCCCAGCAATCGAGCTGATCACCGGCGGCTTATGGTTGTCCGGCTGGATCGCGCTTGCTGCCCTGATGCCCACGCCTGGAAACTGCAATAACACTAGCTGTCATGCGCTGCAGGCGCTTGTCGTTGTTGGTGCTGTGCAATGGTGAGCAATATCCCCAATCCCCCCAAGGAAACTGATTTGAGGAATGAGAATGGGCTGGGTGTGGGATGTGTACTGATGAAAGTTATAGGGCTACGTTCGTTGTGACAAACACTTTCGCTCTTATCGATGTTAAGAACAGTCGCGCTAATACTAAGCGTCATGCTGCGGAGCCGGCGCCGGAGATGGCTGCCAATGGGAATGGGGCTGAGACTACCGTTTAGGTTGATGGTATGTTGTGTGGCCTCCTGTGGTTTACTGTAACGTGGGAGTACACAGTTGTTTATGTACGACGATATTGCGAGTGGTTGAGTCTCATGAAAGTGATACCCCCCTTGGCCTCGACTCTGATGAACATGTGCAAGATATGGTTTTGTTTATATTGCTGGAGACTCTGGTTGTTTCATTATTCTCTCGCTATGCTGGGACTCAATTGGTCACGAAGTTCACTAATGTTAATACGATAATTTCTTCTCTACCTTGGTAACTATCTGAGACGATTTCAGAAGTTATTTATTTATTAGTCTTACACTGATTAGGCGGTTGGCCGCCTCGCCCCTGTGGGCAAGCAGTCCCTCCTCGGTTCGAATCTTTCAGAAGTAATTGTCATCTCATTCACCTTCAAATTGGACTTCCGACTTCAATGCTAGGTAAAGCATCAAGACAAATCCAACAAATCTTATAATTGTACAAACAGAACAGCCACCTCACCCCGTCTCCTTTTCCTCCTGCTGTGTTGACTTCGTACCACTCTGCCCAGTCTGCTCGTCGTGGAAACTGAGGACCTCGCTGTATCTGACTCAAAATGAGATTGCTGCCACGGGATTATAGTATACACACTTACATGATCGTCTTCCAGACATCCGTTGAAAGGTTAGCATCGAGGAAGCCCCAGTCGAATTTCTTTGATACAACTGGTTCGTCGTTAGGGTCGTGGTATGGAGCGAGATATGGGGAGGAGAGGGCATCGGTTGCGGAGATCCGAACATCGGGGTTAAATTCGAGCATTTTGTCAAGCAGGGCGATGGCTGTTCGATCAGCATTTCTACTCGAGGGAAGTAGGGTTGAAGTGACGTATGTGGAAAGTGACATACCATCAGTGTTAGCGTTGGGGATAATCTCGGCCATCGGCCTTCGGTCTCGTTTCGGCAGGGATTTGATGAAGTTTAATGTCTGCGATGAACGCTTCAGCATTCGCGCGCACAGCTTATATCAATTTGGTCACTGTGAAGCTGTTGGCACTTACATTCTCACTCGTGATATTGTTAATCATCTCCTCCGGAGGATGGCCCAGCACCTCAGTAATAACGCAAAACTGGTTAACGTGGTTCTTCCCAGGGAACAGTGGCTCCCCGAGCATTAATTCTGCAAGGATACAGCCAGCACTCCAGATATCGACTTTCTCTGTATATTTGCGCCAGGTGAGCATGATCTCCGGGGCGCGGTAGTACCTCGTCGAGACGTAGCCGGTCATGTGCAGTTCCTGGATGCGGGCGAGACCGAAGTCGCAGATTCTCAGGTCACAGTTCTCGTTAACGAGGATGTTGCTGGGTTTTAGGTCTCGGTGAATGACACCTGCTGAGTGGAGGTATTTCAAGCCGCGCTGATGGGAATATTAGAACATTGCATTGGTCGATTATGTTTGTCGAGTAGATCCAGACCAACCATTATTTGGTACATGAAGTATTGGGCGAATTGGTCTTCGACTTTTCTCGATTTTAAAATGGTGTTCAGATCCGTTGCCATCAGTTCTGTGACAATGTATCTGGGTTCCATCAGTGTCTTCTGTTCTGCATGTAGGGAGTGGGTGTTTCATACACGTCTTCCGAGGGCGAGATGAATATGTCCGTCAAATTGATGATCTGGCCATGCGATTAGACCGTTGATCCCATTCGACACGCCAGTCATGAATACATACATTCTCATGCCGCAATTCCCTCAGTAATTGGATCTCTCGAAAAACATTCCTCGCCATAGCTTCAGTCTCGAACGGCTCGGCGAGTTTCTTCACGGCGACAGTCCGATGGCCAAGCTGGTCTTTCGCGGAACTGCATCTCAATAAAGGTAAACATCAGCTTTGTCTTGCGAGAATCTCTATTGGAAACGATACCAGACAAGCCCCGACACTCCTAGCCCAAGCGGCTTCCAATCCGTATATCTGGGCGACATCATTGTCTTAGCATACATCTGGTGAACTCTACCGGCAGTCTCTCTCTAACCGTTCAGTAGTCTCAAATATAGTGCCCATTACTGTTTTTCGGGAGAACTGTGCCATTTGCTCCCCATAGGGTGGTGAGGGGAGGCCCGACTCCGAGTGTGCCATGATGAACTATGTAAACAATGCCAAGACTGCTTATAGTCTCCGTACAGATAAGATCGTGAGTATTCCGATGAGAGGCGTGTCAAGAGATGGTATCGTAAGAGGTGAATTTGTAAAATATGAAGAGAAATATAGAAGAAACCAACGCCCCTGGGTCAGTTGTACATATAAAAGGTCGTGATGCCGCGAAGCCGATCAGGCGCTTGGCAATAGTATATGACATCAGAGGCTTCGGGAATCTCGATTGGCACTTTCCTCAAGTCTGTCAGCTCAGCCCTGCCGTTGAATGGCCATTGTCACTTCCGGGTCAGTTCCATCGTATTCTTTCAAATCGATCTTCTATCCATCAACTCATTTGGGATGTTCCCCTGCGTTGGTAACTTGGTGATTATCCACTCTCACGTGCGACAATGAAATGCTTCAGTGCCCCAGTGAGCTTCAGTGTGCCTTATAAATAGAAGTCAGTGAAATGAAAGCTGATTGGAATATTCTGGGGTGTTCCAGACTTTGAGCTGTCAGCATTGGATGGTGGCACTCGAGGAAACGCGTCCCCGCTTCCGGCGCTGGTTCAGAAGCGGAAGTAACATCCAAATTGAAAGCAGACTCGTAGACTCGTATATTCGTAAACTAAAGTATTTGACAGTTATCTCACATATCAAAGAGTTTGAGACAAGATAAAAGAAAGAAAGAAAGAAACGGGGAAAACAAGATTATTATACAACGCTAATAAAACGTCAGAACTCAGAACCAACAGCAAATTACTCCCCTCAAGGATAAAGAGAATCCGCATCGATAAAATTCTCAAACAACGAATCAGTCAACCCATTCGGCTCATAAACCAAATCGTTCGCGGCCTTGGGTAACACCGTCCAATCAGACCCATATGCGCCCGTAGCAACCAACCCATTATCCTCTGCAACCGACTCATCCGACCACGTCCCCGTCGACACGGGCGAGCTCGTGTCCGGACTGGACGGGGAATCGATGGGCCCGTTGAGAATGCTCTGGGTCATTTTGGCGAGTTGGGCGTTGATCCGCTGGTCGTCGCATTTGCTGTGCTGGAAGATGATATTCTTGAGATCCCAGACTTCTTCGCGGAGACAGTTCAGTTGGGCGATGAGGAGGTCTTTCTTTTCTGCTTCGTCGCTAAGACGACGCTCGATTTGTTTGTGTTCGCGCTTTTTGCGCTCGCGGCATTTGTTGGCGGCGATGCGGTTGCGTTCGAGGTGTTTGGCTCGCTCGGGGGTGATGTTTTGGGAGCGTTGTGGTGAGGTCTTCATGGTTTCGATTCAATGGATTCAATGAATTGATAGTTGGATAGTTGGATAATTTCAATGGGATTTGGAGGTAGATGTAGAGGTAGCGGTGGGGTGAATTAGTGGGAGAGGTAGAGTATAAGATTAAGTATTAAGCCTTGGAGATCAGGAGATTCAGAGGAAGCTATGTTCGTATTCCGTAACTATATACTGCAAGGTAAATGGAGTCTGGACCATAATGTATGACGTATTTTATGTCTCTGGCCAGGATGAAAGCAAGCTTGCAACTCAACTCTGCCCGTTTCCGGCTTTCCATCCAATCACTGGGCGAACTTGGCAGATCCTTCAGAGTCCCACAAGTGTGGTAAAAGTGTGGGGAGGTGGCAATAGAGTGAGAAGCCGTCCATAGATACTGGTTTCGTACCTACTGCACACTGTATACTGTGTATAGCCGATCTGTCCAATTGGCGGAACAGCTGAACCGACCCAACGGTTACTTGGAAGTTGGCAGTTCGTCCGGAAATCTCCACATCCTTCCCCCATACCCACATGATCATCCCACTTCCCGCTTGTGAACTCAGGATCCCCCGGCTATATTATCCGGTTACAAGTTACCATCGACTGGTCCAGAACCTGGCCATCATGCCATGCAAGCTGCACGCACCTTTCTTCAAGCACTGAATCCTGGTCTGCAGGGGGTCCTTGGTGTGCACCCTTGGCATTTTAGCGGGGTAGGTTCGTATCCTTATCCTGGGAGTGGGGAGCTGTCAGATTTAGTGAGGTATGTAGCTATGCTGGAGCCTGGGAGGTAGCTCGACCATAGAACATAGAATATAACTACATACTGTAGAACATATCTACTGCGACAGATGTTTCTGGTGCGGGGATGGGGTATGACATAGGTCAAGAGATCTGCCATAATGTGGATGTGGGTTCGGTGATAACTTTAAGAGTCTTAGTCTACGCAGTAGTTACTGTCGATCTGCAGGTCAATCTGCACAATTCACTGCCAAGTTTCCTGTTTGGTCAACTTGTTTCTGGCTCCATTTTGCGTATCTGGCAGATAGGACCCGGAAAAGATGTTTTGGTTGGACACGAAGCATAAAGTGCACAATAAGAACTGAAGTCTGAAGAATGGCGCCTGCCATGGGACATTGGGAAGGCTCCTGGTAAAGTAGTTAAACTGATGGGCCAAAAGTACAACATGGAGTTATCAAGGGCCGCCCCATCAACCAACTGCATGTACCCTCTTCTCCACCCAGTCATACAGTACCAGGATAGCACTTACGGCCAAGTCAGATAAGTTGTTAAAGCAGATCTAAGCTTGCAATATTATACAGAAACAACCTTATATTTACAAGAAAGACACAATGCACCTTTCCGAATTCTGACAGATCAACCAGCGACCTGCTCATCAATGTATCTCCTCATCATCTCAAACTCCGACTTACCAGTCTGTAAGCCATTAGAAATGCAACTTCTGATTCATTTACCGTTCCAATATACATACCGAAAGCAAATACCGAATATGTTGCTGCAGAAGAAACCGTCAGCCAAACTATCCCTCATACCCACACTACACTACCCACGGGAAACCCCACATACCAAATCTGAGACATTTCTATGTCTCTCGAACTCCTCACGTGCATATCTATGCAACTCAGTCCTCGTCGACGAGGGTGGAATTTCTACGTTGGATTGGTTAGTGCCATATCTTTCAGGAAAACCTAGCATTAGACGTACTGATTAATGCTCGGACTATTTCCCGCCAGAATGAGATCACGCGTTGTCTTTGAATGAACTGTTGTTCACTTTGATTAGTATGTGGTTTTGGGTTTTGACATATACTGCAAACAACACTTCCAAACCTCGAGATTGGAGTTCACTCACATGGTCTAGACTGATCGAAGGCTTTTTCAGCTTGGAGGGTTGGGTTCGCGCGACTGCGGCGAGGAAGTGGGGAGAGAGGCGCATATCAGTGATCAATTTTATGTCTTTGTGCTGAGGACATGAAGAAGCAGGCTAAAATGATTCTCATTCAGTTGATCAGTGAGGTTGTCGATTCTCACGTTCCAATCTAGGAAGGATAGAGAGAGCGGTGAGGGATGGGATGTTCTGCCAGCGATGCTGATAGACTGGTCACGTGATGTCTCACGATGAATCGATGACGCCAATGTGTGTTACCCACGACTAAAACAACGTACCTGTTCAGCGATTGGCACAGCCAAGTCCCGTCATTGGGCTCGACGGAACCCGTGAATAGACATTGGGCAGGTTGTAGCTGGTGTACAAACCATCCTACGAGGACGACTTTATGAAGCTGAACCACACGAAAGACCTTACCGAACCTACCAGCACAAAGGGGCTATGTATGCATTTTGAACAAGTCCTGGAATCTGAAAGCCACTCTCCGCCTCCTTCAATCTTCATCAATCATCTCATGATCTCTGATCTCATCGTCCCGTATTCCGCAAATAACCCATGAGCTTACTATAAAGTAAGTGTGCAGGATGATAGTCTTTCAACTGTTCTACTTTGGAGGAACTCAACTTAGGATGTATGAAGTTCCATAGGTACGATATAGAGAACCGGAACCGCCATTAAAGTGTATCCAAGTGGGTAGAGTTTGTTTTTAAATAAATGATATCTAGTTCTTCAAATTTACTCCTGCAGCGGACCACCCATGCCGCTGAAAGTGACACTCTTGATAGTCATGAACTCGTCAATACCGTACTTGCTGCCCTCACGACCGAAGCCACTCTGCTTGACACCACCGAATCTGAAGAAAGTTAGTGATGAACATACCAAAACGAAAAGGGAGAAACTCACGGTGAGGCAACATCGCTGATCAAACCAGTGTTAACACCAACCATGCCGACCTCCAGGGCCTCAGCAACACGGAAGATGCGGCGAACATTGCCACTGAAGAAGTAGCCGGCCAGACCGACCTCGGCACGGTTAGCCAGGTCAACGACCTCCTTCTCAGTCTTGAAAGAGAAGAGGCCAGCCACGGGGCCGAACGTCTCCTCCGAAGCGAGCAGCATGTCCTTGCTCATACCGGTCAGCACGGTGGGGTGGTAGAAGTTAGGTCCGAGAGCGGTAGCCTTCTCGCCACCAATGACAATCTTGGCACCCTTGGAGGTAGCGTCCTGCACATGCTCGTGAGCCTTGTTGGCCGCACGCTCGTGAATGACAGGACCGTGGGTGATGCCATCTCCGAAACCGCCGCCGAGCTTGAAGTCCTTGACCTTCTCGACGAAGCGCTTGCTGAACTCCTCATACACACCCTCCTGGACGTAGATGCGGTTGGCACACACGCAGGTCTGGCCGGAGCTGCGGAACTTGGAGGCGATGGCACCGGCAACGGCGGCGTCGAGATCCTCGACATCGTCGAACACGATGAAAGGCGCGTTACCGCCGAGTTCCCAGGAGACCTTTTTGATGGTCGAAGCAGACTGCTTCATGAGAAGGCGACCGACGTTGGTCGAGCCGGTGAAGGAAACCTTGCGCACCTCGGGGTGGGTGGTGATGAGCTCGCCGACTGCGGGAGTGTTCTTCGACGAGGTCACGAAGTTGACCACACCCTTGGGGATTCCAGCCCGGTGTGCAAGCTCGGCGATGGCGTTGGCTGTGAAGGGGGTCTCCTGGGGAGACTTGGCCACAACCGTGCAACCCGCCGCCAGGGCGGGACCAATCTTGCGCGTAATCATGGCCGCGGGGAAGTTCCACGGGGTGATCAGACCGCAGACACCCACTGGCTGCTTGAGAGTAATGACACGGTTTCCGGGCACGGTGGCAGGAATGGTGTCACCGTATGTGCGGGGGCCTCTTCACTGAACCACTCGAAGAAGCTGGCGGCATAGTTCACCTCACCCTTCGCATCGGCGAGGGGCTTTCCGTTCTCCCATGTGATCAACTTGGCCAGGTCGTCTGCGTTCTCCACCATCAAATCGTACCACCGGCGCAGCATGCGTGCACGCTCACGGCCGAGGGTTGTGCGGAATTTAGGGAAGGCGTCGGAGGCGGCCTGGATCGCCTTCTCGACGTCGGATACATCGAGCTCGGGGCATGTTCCGATTAGTTTGCCAGTGGCCGGGTCTGACAAGAATTGGGATTAGCGATACTTTTCTTCACACGGATATCGGGGGAAATTGAGTAATTACCATGAACCTCGAAGGTCTCGCCGGACTTCGCATCGACCCACTCGCCATTGATGTACGCCTTCTCAATGAAGAGCGACTGGTCTTTCAACTGCAAGCAATCCATCAGTACATGCCGAAAGTTCGCACTCGACGGCGAACGCTTACCTGCGGCGCGCTGTGGTTCATGCTGTAGAGTCTCTGTGGGCGAACAGTGGGAATGGAGAAGGGGTATCTAGGGCGGGGTCTCAATAATTGGCGTGCAGCAGGTCGGATGATGCGGTCCATTATAACGGTGATCTCTCCGAGGGGAGAGTGATTAGAAATACAGGGAATCAGGGAAGAGGGAGAAAGTCCAAGAGTGCGGGGAGGGTTGGAGTTGGAGACGCCTTTAATAGGAATTGGGCAGTTTGATGCTGTGGAGACTGGCCGGTGTCTGGATTTATTGGCTTAATGGTGATTGCTCTTTGAGTCCGAGATGGCACCGAGGACGGAGGGTTTCGGTCAAGATGTGAGTAATGGTAATTAATATCAAAATGGGGATCTTGGGCGGCTGGGCCTGGTGTTTTGAGGGGAGCTCCATGTTTAAGCGGGGAACTGCGGAGTTGATGTCATTTTGACTACAGTTCACATATCAAGTCTACTTGTTCTGTTTACTTGTGGATTTTTTATGGTGTATATCTAGGTAGAAGGCTAGTCAAAGCTATGGATTGAATCTACACTTACTGGTCAGACTTGACCTATTTAATTGACTGCAACAAAAGAAAAGTCGATCAATTCGACTCGGATTATTTCGTAGATCTGGTTTGGTTCGTAATCATGTATCAGCGGTAACTTTAGACGGTACTTTGAGCCAATAGAAGCCCGCTATTTTTCAATCTTCGGAACTATTGGCCAATGGATAGCGATGCCATAATTCCAACCCCAAGATAGTGTATTTGTAATACGCCGAGCACCAAGGTGAATCGCAATCGGTCGTGGGTTGGTAGCGATAGGCCTGGGATCAGTAGTAAGTGCTGTAGATCAATTAAGTAGACTATCAGGGGGAGCTGCATGAAGTACAAAGTTGCACATGAGAAGTGAAATAATATGGGATACGCTGATACACCGGTTCTCATTGAGCTTGATGGAGCCTATCGATTGGCTTCTCTGTTGTCCCTAGCCGGACAATGAAGATGAGCTTAATAGGGCATAGCTGCTGACCTTTCGCTGCCGACCCCATTGCTATTCAATGATAAACAGGTGATTGATAGTTGTTTATGTGTGCTTTCTATGGATAGCTCTTTCCGTAGCCGTGTGATCCCAGCCGTAGGCGTAGAGACTTATTCAATCGTAATAACCACATTGTCCTCAGCCAACTCGTTCCCAGGAGCCACATAGATACCGTGACTCTTCTTTAGATGCTGATTGAGGTTCCACTTTCGTGAGAATCCATCCGTATGTCGAACGCAAGACCTAACAGGACAGACAATGTCCACCTTCCGATGAGGGCCCTTTCCAACGCCTGGCCTCACACTCTTTGCTTCCTTATCTCCGACTTGTTCTGCGTTCTCCGTGAGACCTTGCGCAGATTCAACCGGTGCCTCCGGGTCTGGGGATGGGGACGCAGAAGCAGGGACAATGGCGGGAGTCTTTTTCTCTTTAGTGCGCCGCTGCTTGGGTTTCTTTCCTTTCGTCTTCGGCTCAAGCTCAGGTCTGGGTGTGCGCGCCGGAATAAGCGGAGGGACTGGGGTTGGGAAAGAGGTTGGCTGTGGACTTGGTGATGATGAGCCCCAGTCGCTCTCGCCTTCGCTTTCGGTATAGACGTATTCTTCTTGTTCGCCTGTCTTGAGCTTCTTTCTTACTCTTCCTTCCGGAAGTGTTCGGAACTCCAAATCCTCGCCGAAGAGATCGGCGCAGCGTTTCGATGCACGCATTACCGCGGCGGTGGGGAGGCCCAGCATCGATGCTAGTCCCATTATTTCGCTCCAATCGCGCAGTTTAAGCCTGCCCTTGATGGAGTGGCTGCTGTCATGACCTGTGGCGGAGTTTCGAGATCGGGCTCGGCTTTGGGATACACCTGGCAAGCTCTCATCATCAGTGTCCGGCCCAGTGGATGTGTTTGCACTGGTGGATCGCAATGACATGGCTCGTTCTTGAGTATCACCGCGCTCCTGTCGACGACCACGCGAGCGACTCCGGCTTTGTTCCCGGCTCTCGCGAGTATCGTCTTCCTCATCCTTCGAATCGCTTGATTGCTCCCCACCCGAGTCTTCCTCTTCATATTTGCGACCCTTCATGGCACAATGCAGCCCGTATAGCAGTCGATCCACTTGAGAAATAACGTTGCGAACGAGTGGACGTAGTTGGCGAAGAGACGCATCGTCGTCGAGTTGAACAATTGGTTCGAGAAACCTTGTGTCGACAGGCTCCTCATCCTCATCTTCCTTTTTGTCCAATTCATCCTCCATTAAATCGTCCTCATCGGTCAGCTTCTGCTCAGAATTTTCATTGATTTCCTCGAAATTCCATTCCCTAGCCTGAAACCGTTCCTTAGAGGTCTTGAGCATGACTGCTGTGATGCATTCTTCCAATCCAGCACTGGGTCGCGGATCAGGCGGCATTCTCAGGGTTTCAGAAGTATTCCACCTTTCCTCGAGAATTTCACCGGCGCGGGGGACTTTGGCGGCATGCACAGGCCATGCAGCCCACCTTTTACGCACAGTGGGTGGCGCTTGAGGGTCAGCCTCAAGTTTCCCGCGTGGGATACCACGCGTTCGCCTGCGAAGCACGTGGGCATTGTAAAGATGAGCAGCCAAATCCCTGCTCCGCTTGGTCATGATAGCATCATATGCACCAATCTCATCGGCGTTGTACCTCCTCCATGAAACGGAGTGCCCATCAAACAGATTGGGACGCTCGGCCCCTGGTGGTAGGTCAAGGCCTCGATCAACTACATAGAGGACGTGTTCTTGCTGTGACGAATCCGCTTGTCCTGAGCGTCTGCGGCTTCTGCCTCGGTTGTCCGGTCCATAACTTTCGTCATCAGAGTCATCCTGTGGGACTAATAACTGTTCTCGCATGATCATGTCGACCTCATCTTCGACTTCATCTAGACCCTCATCCATTGGATCTGCCTCCGAAACGGGCTCTAGGTTTCCATGATGTTGGGATATGCCACCAAAAAGGGAGCTTCTTGGGGGCTCTGGCTGGGAAGAGGGTTGCAGAGTGGCATCACTGCTTGGCCCACCAAATAATGATGGACGTGGCTGCGCAGACTGCGGCGGAAGAAACTGGGTCTCTTGACTTTGGCTCACAGAGAAAGAGGACATGCCGCATGAATGCCTCGGCCTCCGGCCGTTGTTAGGCGCGAATGGTGTAGACCTTTAATGTCTATGTGTGGTACCAATGAAAATTCATATCAGGAAATGACACGCTGTGGATCAAAAATAAATTTGACAGCAATAACCATTAATCCCTATCCCCAGTACTTGCAAGGCCGTATTTTGACTCCTTTGATTAGGGCTTGGTTGTTCCTGAAAGTTGAAGATGTCAAAAATTCCAGGCGGGTGGATTACCGATGGGTCACGTGAATGATATCCACGCTCGACGCCAAGAATGGATACGCTAGCCCCAGAATGTAAGTCGAGAATTCGTGATCGGCCCTTTTTATTACAACTTTTTCCTACTCTACTGTTCGTGAACATTCGTCTGCCACAAGTGCAGGTATATAAGAAGTTCATAACTCCTAAGGCTAAGCTTAACAAGGTAACCGTACGCTCTACAGCTTGCACAGAAAATCAAGGAGAACCTCTCACCGCACCATTCGGGAAATTGGGGACGACACAGGCGCCATGTGGAAGAAGCTGGGCATGAAAACAGTGGAAATGTGGGGTATTATCTCCTTCAACAGGTTCCAGAACGCGGTAGTCCCACGGGGCGCTTCGAAGAACACGTCCAGGAGTACATCGAGAAGGCTGAGAGATTACTGTGTGTGCACCTTGCTGTCGGCCTCGACATTTTCGACATGCGGGTGCGACTCCAGAGTGTGGGCTGTATCATCAGGGAATGAGACACTTCGCCGAGGTGTAAGTAGCTGAAACACGGCTGGGAGAGAAGTGAAGAGGACTCACGCAAAGCCCTTGATCAAGCTGTATTCGTGTGTGATTTCGCCGCCTTGCCCCCGGGCATGTTCCTTGACGCTGTAAATATATTAGTAGTGTATCGTATATAGATACCCGGAAATGAATGCATACGCCTGGACATCGTCGTCGGTTGCGTCTGGCTTGCACGTGATCTATGAGTGTTAGCAATGTATGTGGAGTCTGGAGTCTGTGGTCTCTGCTCACGATATAAGAAGGCATATTGGGATATCTGTAAGATGGAAGAATATTGTATAGATGAAGTCTGGAGAAGGGGAAATGGACGTAAATATAGGTAAGAGGAAGTTACATCATAGAGGGGTAGTGCATATAAGCAGATCACGCTTTCCACAGGCTAATCTCCGCACGCTAAGGATCCGCTCTACGCCATCTCACCTTGTCATTCGGTGAAAGTCGTAGTCGACTCATCTACCAATGTACGATGATGACACTATTGCTAGAGGCTGAACTCGAAGGTAATAAACTGAATGAAGTAAATCATACTAAATCTTTCTTTGGGCAGAGGTCAACTCGCGTTTTACCCCTGAGAATACTTCTCCTCCTTCTGAGGGCCTCAACGTATGAATGCGTAGAGGTGATAGATGAAGAATCAATGTTGAGAACAGCGATAGTCGACTAAGGATACAAGGCGTAGCGCGAAGGAGCAAAAGAAAGGAGCTTCCAGGGCCTTTTTGGCTCTTGGCAAAACGGGAAACCCAGTCCTTTCCTGGTTTTCAGAGGCTTAACATGGCCCTGATCAGGAAGCGCAGGGTAAGACTGGGGAACTTGTAGTCGCAATGTCATTAGGAGGGTTAGACTGAGAAGATTCCATAGTCAAGTGACTCAACCGAGTGCCGAATAGAGAATGTGCAGAAATCGATTTGAGTACAAAGTGAAAAAGGAAGAAGTCCCTTTGCCTCAGATTGGCTGAAGGGTCTTGGGTATTGAGGGCTCACGAGTAACTGACGAAGAAAACTTGAGATGATAGAGAGGTGAATAACTAGAGAATTGAGAACTGCGTAAAGGTGAAAGATGAGTGAGAGTTGTTTGCTGAAGTTAAAGGCAGAGATTTCATTTCCACAGCCCATTCTGGCTTTGGTGTTGTATTGTAGACAGGCTCTTGCGTCTGTGCTAGAGCCGCAACGGCAAGGAAACATTGCCTGGTTGATACAACTGGTGTAGCCAGGGGAACGCCCAGGTCCGTCGTAGGAGGTATCTGCTCGAGCGATTGGGGAGTAATCGATGAGCCGCCTGTCTTCGATGAATTCCCGTCGAAGGAATATCGTTCCACAATAGTTGCTCATGAACCCATACATGCAGTTGAGATCCTTCATGTAATAGGATGATGGACTGGACAAGCAAATTGCGTAGCGTGGGTTCATCATCATAGACATACGCATTCCCGATCCTATCTTCGTCCACCCAAGGAACTTTAGTTCACCAACAACCCTCAGCCAGGCATCCTTCGTCATCAAACTGCTGTCAGGCGTTTGGAATGATTGCTTCCAAGGCACTTGAACTCCGCAAATACTGCATCAATGGATTGACTGGCCCTTGAGAACCTTTCCAACGATATATCCCATCGAATGGTTGAAAACACATTGAAGACCTGCCTCATCGTCAATGAGGTGTGAGTCGGCCTCAGGTCGCCTGATCCGTGGATGTACTTTATGACTTTGTTGCTCCGGACCATGAGACCTTCGGGTCAACTGGCGAGTTAACCGGTTTTAATCATTTGGGCCAACTGGCGAGCTTACGCGACACAGTGCCATTCTAGCTGTGCAATGATTCGGGTCAACTGGCGAGTTATCTGAACTAGTTGCCAGGCGTCCTAGAACGCGAGATCTTATGCTTTTAACGTGTTTTCGAGAAATGTCGAGTTTATAGAGTGAATCTACATGGCTAGGTACCTTGGGAGAGAACACGCCGTTTGAGACCCGAATTGGTAATTTTCCTTCGATCGGGCCATAGGTTTATATCCGTCATTCCTCCCCGCCCCGAAAAAGACTCGTCGAGGTAAACATCCTCGCTTATACATACCTCCAGATGAGTAGATACTGCCTTGGTGAGGTGGCCGCATCATACGTGCAAAACGGTTTGCGGTGTTCCTGGATGAAGTTAGCAGCAAGATCCAGGCCAGCATCACCAGATAGCCCCCCTCTTCCTTGCATGCGTTGACTTGATTCCCTCCACTTGTTGTATTGAATGCTACATCGGTCATCAGGTTCGTGAAGGGTGGCGCATGCTCATAGAGCTCCTTCCACCATTGACATGTGAGGGCACTGAGGTAAACCCTGGTGGCCTGGCCGCTACCTTCGCATTACCGCATTATTCGCATATAAGGCCTTCTGCATTTCAGTACTGCACTTAACACCTTTTCCCATCAACAACTCCTGCCTTTTTTCCTTTTATTCATCAAACCTTTCATCCTTGCAGATCTCCTCAAGCGAGTATGGACACTCCCGAAACTGCCGAGTTCCTGTGCGACCTGGAAGGCACAGGCGTCACTCTCGACCCACCTCCCGAGCCGCCTCTCCACCTGCCCCGCCAAACCTGGGTGATCGAGAAGAAGCTCTCAGAGCGAGCTCAGTGGATGACGCAGAAGGACGTTGACGAGGGCGTTGGAATTTCGTATGCAGCTGCTAAGTTTCTCTGCCACCCCAAGGAAAATCCCACCAAGAAGGCGTTTATGCGGATCTACCTCCAAATTCCTGTCAGTGGCACTCAATATCTGAGCGCGGAGATTCGACGAAAGCGGGCTGTTAAGCCACGGCCACACATTGAGTTGACTGCCTTGAAAACGCTTAAGGAAAAGGGATGCGATGTTGTCCCTGACCTCCTTGCTTACCAAGACGGAAAGCAAGGCGAAGATGGTATCGTTCCGGGAGGTTATATCACTTATGTGGTCTGGGATAAAGTCCCTGGAGAGTCTCTCAGCCCAGACGAATTCTGGCGGCTGGATTTTGAGGCACGCCAAGCAATCCGCGATAAGTTTCGTGAAGTCTTTCCGTAAGTTTACAGAACTCTCTACTTGGAGTGCTCTCAACTGACGAGAAAATCAGAAAGCTGACGAAGCATGGTTTCCTACCGTGTATGGGATCCTTGTCGAAGATCATCTTTGACAAGGCCACCGGGAATATGTACGCGCTATCCGTTGTTGTGTAACTAGCGAACACTTCAAATCAACAATATCTAGGCATTTATCGGGATTTTCACGCGCAGCTCATTCGGAGGCAATCGAAGAGTGGGATGACAAGTACTACAAGCTGTTTCACCTGGCTGAGCCACCGAAGACGGTGGACCCGACCAAGGATACTAGATTGTGGACTTGGCCAAAAGCGTCCACTGGTGACACTTAAGTAGGCCCCTGGAAGGAAATAGGTATCAGTCGAGAGTTCTTTCTTTATTCACATGTACCTTCAAATTTGTAATGGAGGAATTGCAATATTCACAATATGTCTACCGACTCAACCCCTTGGAATACCATTCTCTAGAAAACAGAGAGGCCCAGAACCGGGCACCGATTGTTTCCATCGAGTCAATAGAATGAGCTCTGTCAAATCCCTCTAGGTCTCTCTGGCAAATTAAAATCCGTGGCCTGGGGCCAGGATGCAAGTGGGCTTAACAATAAGGTTGTGATATCGAGACACCGGCCACGGCTAACGGGTCAAGCGGCAAGCCTTTGGCCGAACCTGGAGTTATATCTATCTCCTAGATAGCTGTCCAGCCTGTCCTCATGCATGGAAAATAGGTGATATCAACCTCGGGCAGAATGCCTATTGACTTTTTGACTGAAACCAAAGAGTTACGACTACCTATATGTGGGACACAATACAGAGTATTTTACCACAAGACAGACCACAGCAAAAACCAATGTTCCTGTTTATACCCTAAGGAGGCCTTACCCTAGTCTGACACTATATACAAGCGCATAATAGAAAAGAAGCTCTCGAGATCTTCAAGGCACACTTGATTCATTGTTCAGTAACGTAAACGATACACGCCACTGGTTACGCTGCTTCATAGAGGCTTAGCAGAGCTGGGTACCAGCCACGTTACAGGGGTCTGGAGAATATGTCAGTATAAAATGCAGAAGGGCTGTCGATCAGGAGTCCACTTACTGTCCACGTAGTTGAATGTCAACTCGCCCTGACCAACATCATTGCTGCCGGGGTAATAGTAGGGAACACTGCCGCACATTTTGCATCTGGAATGAGGTTAGTAAGAGAATCATACAGCCGAGCAAGAAGAAACGAACCCGTGTTCCGGAATATAGTGGGCGATATCCTTGATCCATTGACCATTGGTGCCCCCAGTGTTCTGCAAGAACGCGCAGTAACCACCACCGTTACCAGCCTGGTTACCTACACAGGCAATCTGCTCGCCGTTGTAGTACCTATCCAAAGCATGATCAGCATTCCACCACGAAAATTGAAACGGGTCGTGATTACCATCTGTTCACATCAATTCCGTCGATAGCACTCTTGAGGTCATTGGCCACATTGTCAGGGCCATAAAGACCGCTGCACTTCGCGGATCCTCTGCAATTGATACCCAAAGCATTGGCGCTGATAGCAGGCAGAACGATAGCGAGGAAAGTAGCGAGTTTCATATTTGCGGATCTGTGTTAGAAGATGAGATATTCGTTGAGGCAGGATTCTTATTATCGCAAGTGGGAGAAGAGCAGGCTTTATAGACAGACGAGTCCATGGCTTCCCCCATTCGGTAAGCTGGCTAATTACCGGAGTCCGTACCATCACGATATCTCCGTACATACAAAATTCCTAGCTGCCTCAACCATGTCCAATTCGCATTATCAATCAAACTTCGAAGGCTTAACTAACAAACTATCTCGCGGGATTTTGTCTTAGCCTTTTCTCCCACACCGGGATCTGCGCGTTTCTACCTCTGTCGTTGCCTAAATTCCGGATTCCTTAATAGGAAAATGATCATCGGGTCCAATGGGCAGCATGGGAAATTACAAGTGGTTCCTGTGCCTCTCGTGTCCTAGAGACCTAGACTCCTAGCGCTGACCTTTCCCCATTTTCTAGACTGCATGGAAAACCACTAGTATGCTGAATTGAAGCCATATGCAGGGCACTTCGTGCATGTAAGCAATAGTGGATCCAGCCATTCAGCCCTGGGGACCCTTACCTCCGGTAACTCCCATTAATGAGGAAGACGATTTTCCGTTTAAGTACAAGCGTCGGGCTCAGCCGCACAGCTAAAAACTCGCTCAGGTGACCATCAATAGGAATTCTACCTTCATGAGCTGATAGGATTTTCCTATTTCAGATTGCCGACAACACACTATCATGTCTTACATTCCCCAATCTCCTCAACTCTTTCGATCCAGCGCTCAGCTTAGCTCGAGCTTAGCTCGAGCTTAGCTCTGGCGCGACGCCACAGAGACTCCCTCACCCAAATTGGTGGCATATAGTGCAAGTGAGCGCGGGATGTGGTCACATCGGCTAGAACTCGACGAGCTTTATCAGCTTTTGTCATCTGCTGTGGAGTAAGGTCACATCCATGGCTTGAACAATGTCCCTCGCGGCCTCGACTTGTCTTTCTCGGAGATAACGAATCAGTGCCGTGATCTTGGCTCGTGGTGGAAGACCTATTTGGATTGGACTGCGTGATGTAGACCTCAAGATGACTGACCATAAAAGGACGAGTGCCGCCGCGATTCAAGGTAAAATCAAACCACTCAACTTCTCTCACATCAAAACAAAAGATCATATCTTCCTTCACAATGGCTCCATCTTTGTTTGATATCATCCTTCTGGCCTTGTCCTTCACCGGATCCACTGCAGCTCTCGGAATCAATTGCCGTGGCTCAGCAAACTGCAACACCTTCGGCAATAGCCAGATCGCTGTCTCCCTTACCCATGCCATTGACGGAATTGACCCCAACCGCTGGTACAACAATGGGGAGCACATTGCTTGTGTTGGGACTGGTGCCCCAATCACCGGCAATGGTGGTTTCTGTGCATTCCTACAGAATACCGGCGGTACCAACGGTGCCTGGATCAAGAGCATAGCCCACAACATTCCAGAGCACGGGTGAGATTCTGTTCGCTGGCAATGGAGTTGTTCATCAGCTGACGTGTTCTAGTTGCAAAACCTGCGGAAGTGTGCCGTACTACTTCCCCGGTGACAACGATGTGTCAAAGGGTGAACTTACGTACAACTATGTTGACGATTCATGCTCGCAGGATGGGGCTACCCTGTGCTAAGTGCTTCGGTGCTGAGATACAATTGCGAATGCATTGAATGATATTCTCATTTGGAAAGATTCAGATCGCTTGACTTCGAGGACTTTCAGCGTGCGCGCGGCGGGTATCCTTGGGTCTCTTATAGTGGATGGAATATGTAGTGGGATTGAACATGGAAAGAATGGTGTCGGCTGCTCTGGTCCCTGTTAATATCTTGCAATCAAACCTAAAAATACTTCGCGCTCTATATTGTGACTTCCAATTGATTTACATCCATGGTTTGGTCATGGTGCCAGAGAACGTTAAACCCTTACAATGACCATACATCTATACATTGCCCAGATGGGAGTAGACACTGAGTAATATCCATTGATAGTGGGAAGGAAGGGAATTCCTAGGTATGCGCAGCATCGTTCTTCAGCGCCTATACCACATACGCGTCACCGGCGTTCTCCGCATCTTTCTCTGGAGTAGAAAAACACCCTGGAGAAGTGCCTCTGCGGTTGGCGGACACCCGGGCACATAAATATCAACAGGTACAATTCGATCCACTCCGCGTACCACGTTGTAGCTGTAGTGATAGTATCCCCCGCCGTTGGCGCAACTACCCATGCTGATCACCCATCGAGGCTCTGGCATCTGATCGTAAAGCTGTCTGAGAGCTGGTGCCATCTTATTAACCACCGTACCAGCGACAATCATGACATCTGCTTGTCGTGGCGACGCTCGGAAAATGATACCCAGTCGGTCCTGGTCGTAGCGCGGCATTGAAGCATGCATCATTTCGACTCCACAGCAGGCGAGAGCAAATGTCAAAGGCCAAAGAGAACCTTGTCTTGCCCAGTTGATCAGATCATCGGTCTTGGTCCTGAGAAGCGCAAAGCTGTTAGACTCATATATAACTTCGAGTGCAGCCCGCTAGTTCGTTTTTGACGTATAGAACGTACAGAAGATGCCCAACTCGTCCAGTCTTTTGACTTTTGGCTGGCACTGGCAGACTCTCGAGATTGCTGGGTTTAGAAGATGTGTGTAGCCATCGGGTCATTGCAGTCGTTTGGGGCGAGCATAACCGTGCCCATTGTTTGGAGTTTGATCGGTGGAGTATGCCTCGTATGAGTGCATTCGAGGACATAGTGGCCGGTCAAATTGAGCGGCTCGGATGCTGGGACTAATATTTTCAGAATGAAATCCAGTAAAGGGCAGAATTAGGTGAATTTCCTTTCTTTAAAGAGCTTTTATTATTTTATACCTCCCAGGTTGGCTAGCAACAACTGAAGTGGCTCTTGACCAATCAGGTGCGCTAGAATTCGCCGACTTAGTGGGTCCACCCTCATCAACTTCGCCGACCTGAAGACGCCGAACTTGCACCTTTGAGCAACTGCTTTTACATTTGTCAAATGCCGCGTAGCGCTCCACCAGCCAAGGTCGCCTGTCGATTATGCCATGACCGGCGAGTCAGATGTGACCGTAGCGAGGGTGTGCCATGTTCCAACTGCCGGCGGATACAGCACGAATGCGAGCCAATTGTCTCTCGCCGTGGACGGTACAATTCAAGCGACGAACCGGGTTGATTAACACTGACGCGATATAAGGACACGAAAACCCCCCATACTGCCGAAGAGGCCAGACTCGAGCCGCAGTTCTCCGGCAACCTCACAAAGGGTGCCGCATGATGGAGCGACGAATTCCATCCCATGCCCGGCCACTCCTCATGTCCAAGACGCCAGAGAACGACGGAGCCAGCCATGCTTTCCAGTTCTTGAATCAAGTGGTAAAACCCCATTTGTTGGAGACTCGTCGAATCTCAACTACTTGATCCAACAATTTGGAAACCCTTTTGGAGGCACGACAGATGCCCGCCGAATTCAGGATCACCTCCAAGGAGCCATGCTGAGCCGCGTGGGCCTGGCGACGTCACGTGAAATTGAAGAGCTCCGTGTATCTGGTATTGCGCAGCTCAAGACGAAGGGGGCATTTGATCTACCACCACAAGGAACCAGTCGGGCTCTTCTGGACGCTTACTTCCACTATTCCCATGCCACCTTACCTATCCTCGATAGGTCCAAATTTCTTTTCAATATCGAAAGGGGCTCAATTTCACACCTGTTATTGAATGCAGTCTACCTCGCTGCCACAGTTTATTGCTCAGATTCTGTCATTGCAAACGCAGGATTCGCCTCACGATACGCCGCAAGCCTTACCTTTTATCGAAGAGCTAAATCCATCCATGACGCCGGATATGAGTCCGATACAATTGCAACGATTCAGGCCACATTTCTCATGTCTCATTGGTGGAGTGGTATACTGGAGCCTCAAGACCCTTGGTACTGGATTGGCATTTCCACGGGGATGGCACATGCCCTCGGACTGCATCAAGCGTGTGTCCATAGAACCTCAATGAAACCGGGAGAACCACGTCTGTTAACATCACATCAGGAAATCGTACGGCCGTCTCGAAGTAAAAGATCAGAAACTCTGGCGAAGGCTATGGTGGATCATATATGTCAGATACATCCCATGGAAATGGCTACGAATCAGTGTGCTGACTTCAACTAGGCTATGGACATAAACTTGTCCATGTTGCTTGATCGCCCTCCCCACGTACAAGGAAGACTTTGCAACCTCCCCCCTCTGTCGGAAGCAGATTTTGAACACGAAGATAGGCCCGACGAGCGGGATGCATTCCCCGTGACTTCGAGTGAGGTATCCAGCTTCGTGATCAATTACGTGCAGCTTGCTCGAATAGGTATGAATTATTTTGCCCCACGCTCCCTTTAGTTGCTTATGTCTAGCGCAGTGGATAAATTCTTCACTCTCAAGTTTGATGAAGATAGCGGTCAATCGCAAGATATCTGTCTGGAGCAGATTTCTATATGGTGGTCATCGGTCCCAGCAGAATTCCAATCGTTATCGACAAACAGTAGTACCTGGGCTATACTGACTCGAATCATATACCAGTAAGCTGAATCGATTCAAATGACTTCTCGGATACTCACAATCTTGGATCTTTAGAACATACCGCTTATTATTACATCGAAGCAACCCGAGATATCCTCTCAGCGCGGGGACGTCGGCTCCCACGTTCGAGATATGTACGGAGATTTCCCACATGCTGGAAATACTCATGTCAAAGGATCTCGTTTATGCAGCCGCAGGTAGCATGTGAGTTGACCGGTAAAAGCCTTGCTAAAACAGTGTGCTAAACTATCACTAGAATTGCCCCAGCACTATCAGTCCTCTCAGTGCATATAATCAACATATACAGAGGGGATACTGGCGTGCGGATGATTTCTGAACATCGGGCCCGACTCTGCATGATCATACTGGACAAGTTGCAGGATAGGTTTCCGGTGATAGCGGCCTTTTTACCAATCTATGAATCTCTGCTAAAACAGAAACATGTCACCATGCAGACGAACGGGAATACAAAGGCGCAAGAGTCTCCGGTAACAGGGCCTTCACCGCAAAGCGGAACAAGCCAACTTGAAAATGGAAATCCGTTGGGGAGTATGAGCGGTACCGGGAGCTTGTTCGATGAGGTCCTGCAAGATACGGATATGGGCACAATGTTTCCTTTCTCGTTTCCGTTCGGCAATCTGTTTGATGATGTCTTCTTCGGTGCACCTTCTCAGCCTACAGCGTACCATGAGAATGAGGTTCCTTGAACCAAGGCAGTTGAACTCATTATGATAGATCTCTCACCTCGAGTCTTGGTTGTAAAGGCTTTATAATTTGATTTAAAAGAACGACTTTTAATGTAGAGTGACGACTTCAGCGAGAAATATTTAGACTAACGCAATCTGGGGACCTCTCCAATGTTCCAGGGAAGAAGACATCCTTGATGGTGTGAGATCAATATTACAAATATTATGCGTGAAATCTTCAACACATCCATCCTACAAAGAGACCGACTATGCAGGTATAGCGGCCAGGGGGCGGATGCGGTTCCAAGACATGAAGGAATTCAGGGGTTTGTGTACCGACACCCCTCGGAGGAGAATTGATCCCTCTAAGGTGGAGCACAAACACCAGAAGCGCCAAAATGAGAACCCTCTATACCTGACAATTTACAATATTAATACAACAGAGTGGTGTAAGAGGGCGGTAGAAAGTCAGGCACCGTCAGGCACCAATACCATTACAAACCGCCCCGACCCTAGGTAGGTTGGCCGCTAATACACCAGCGTAGACCGAGTCACCAACACATCTGGTACGTAACATGGGTAATTGTAATTTACCGGGGACTAGGCCAGATCGGGTGTGACCCTGAGACCCGCAGTCCCGCACTAGATTATCAGATCATCTGATAACCTTAAACCTTACCCAGACAGGATTATGGGGTTGGTTGCATCATGCATGTGACGAGCTAGTACTGTGTAGATCATGGGTGGACAACTTTAATGCGAGGCCAATGAAAACAGTCCACAAGATTTTGCGACCGCGCCAGCGCGCGGTCTGCATTCCCTTGCTGTACGACGAAAACGATCCATATATAGGCCACTAATCGCCCCATTAGTGAACACCGCAGTGGATGCTTCGTTTGTTCATATACCGGATCGCGTCGTATACCGCAATTTTGAAATACTAGGTTGGAGCGATGAAATTGGTATACGCGACGGTATCTTGCCTAGAATACCCTAACAGCAATAGTATTGAATCCGAATACGGAGTTACAGGGCAAATGTTGATAAAAGCAATTACTAAGCAGCATTTTTGCGAGGGCCATTGACTTCCACTGTCGGGTGTTGGACATCACGATTGCTCGCGACTCACTAAACTCGTAGGTATGTTCGTTTCGTTCTTCAAGAACGTCGTAGATAAGCTCCTCGTATCCTTCTTTCGTTAACGAACAGAGAAACTTCCATCTCAATTTGTCAAGGAGACGTTGGCGGATGATATTATCCACGGCTTCATAGTCCTCGGCGTCAGAGGGAGCAATAAAATTCTTGCGGCGTTTCTTTCCGCGTGAAGTCTTGTCGTCCTTCCCATGAGCATTGTCAACAGCGGGGAGTTGCGAAACTTCCAGCTGAGACTCTTGGTCTTCAGCTATATCCGACTCATCGGAAAAAGGATAAGAAATCGGAACAATCGAGCCCTCGTGACTGGTTTCATCTGTCGCGGTGAAGGGTCGAGCCATCGAACCCTCGTGGCTGGTTGCATCTATCGCGGTGAAGGAACCTCGAGCCATCGAGCCCTCTTGGCGGTCACTTGTCCTTTCTGGTACACGCGTCAGGGGGGATCTAGCAACTGCAGCGCTGGCGGTAGACTTATAAACAGGTTAGCTGGATCCGTCAAATGTCAATGATGCAGGGACGTCTAGCAATAAACTCACTGAAGCCATCTTTTCTTGACGCTTAGGTCTCCGTGGCATTGCGGAGAAGTGATAATGGAAATGATGAATGGAAAGAACTGGCAGATTAAAGAATGGGACGAACGTCAGGTGGGAGGAGAGGTAGATGAAAAGAAAAAAGTAGGTATCATTGAGAAGACAACGAAATTCTACTAAACATGGTGGTGTGACTGCAAAGGTACTATGATGAAGCAAGTCAGCACCATTGCTGGTACAGGTTCTTGGGAGGAACCTAGGGGTCGGGGCGCAGAGAGGGAGCGGTCTTACGACAGCTCAATGCGGATGGAGACGGCACGATGAAACACAGAAACTCCAATGCCCTCCATGGGCAGGAAGTCCTTCATCAGAAGGCTTCGAGGAACGATAGCTGTGTTGGCGGCAGAAGCCACCGCAGGGGGTATGTAGGTCCCCAGATGGTGGATAAGGTTCCACCATCAGTTGCTGGCCCCCATGTTATAATGGAGGGCCACCAAGGCAACCAGTAGCGGGAGATGAGGAGGTCGAGGAGGTTGGGGGAGTCATGGGTCAGCTGGACTGAGAGATGGTTAGCATGCGCTGCTACTTCGATGCCGACAGTTGACACTTACCAGTGTATGGCAACCCCGTCCAATGGAGACCGAACCACAGGAGCTTAGGCGCCAGGACCACACGGAGTATCCAGGCATTTTCCGTTCCTGGGGCCACAACCACCACCAGGTTGCTGTGGAGCCCAGAGAGCTCCCAGGCCAGTACAAACATGTCCGGTTCTGCGGCCCCCCAAAGCAGCTCGTCAAAGAGGGAGAGCTGGTCCCACATGAAAAGGGTACCAGGCCGGTACTCGCCAGCGAGTACCTGCAGGTCGCCCTTCCTGAAGGAAGGAAAGGAATGATGGAGAGGACGAAGGGAAGGAGAAACGTCAGGAGCAGCCATAATAGTCACTAACGTTGTACAGATGGGACAAAACAGGAAAGGAAACAAGAAGAAGATGGGATGAAGCAAAGGTATGATTGGGAGGACGAAGTGAGGTAGACACGGAAGAAGCAGCCATGGTCTTCACCAACGTTGTACAGAGATCCCAGGACAGCACGAACATCTAGGGCTCCGAGCCCCTCCAAGCAACCGGTAGAACAGAGACATTTGTCCCACTTTAGAAGGGTGCCGGCCTGGTCTTCGCCAGCGGCTAAGTGGAGGTCGCCCTTCGAGAAAGAAGGAAAGGAAGGAAGAGAGGACGAAGGGGAAGAGGAGGAGGAGAAGAGGAGGAGGAGAAGAGGAAGAAGGAAATGGGGAGGAATAGACTCGAGAAGTCAAGAAGTCAAGAAGTCGAGAAGGAAGGAAGGAAGGAAGGAAGGAAGGAAGGGAATTAGCAGCCGTGATTGACTACTGGGAGCGGAGGAGAGAGAAGAAGGAGAAGGAAGAAAGAGGAACGCTATATATCAGAGGGAGGTGCATTCTGGCAAACACGGCCTGAGGCACCAGGGCCTCACACCAGCACCCTCGTCCTAATGGGATTAAACAGGAAGGCGAGACAGAAGCGAAGGTAGGTGGGTTGTTACAGAGAGAAAAGGACCGAGGAGGGAGTCTCACTGAGGAGATAAAGGAGTATATATTAAAATGCGAGACGCATGGTTCTATGGACCTTTGCGTCATGGGGGAAGTATATAGCAGTATGTGTTGGTTGTAGACTGTATTTCAACCTAGGATTTGTCCTGCATCGCGAGGGAATCCGTTCTCGAAGAGCTACCAGCGATGTCCTGTAGTTGGAACACTTCAGTCTTTGGTAGGTGCCTTAGGCCTTTGGGCAGCTCGCCGCAAACCCGAGTTTGAGCTCAGATGTTACGTACATACCGTGTACGCAGTGAGAAAATTTATGGAAGGGCTACTCGTGGGCATGCTAAAGGGGTAAAACATATTCATTCAGAAAAAAAATAAGAAAAGTACAACTTGACGACCAGCGTCAAATAGCTTGCCCCAGAGCTAGGGGCTCGGAGATGGAGCGGCTTCCCGCCAGCTCAAACGGGAGGGAGGTGGTTGGGTCACTGGGGTTCAGGGGGGTCATGGGGGCAGGAGCAGCAACAGCGGGGGTCGCGGGGGGAGGAGCGGCCGAGGACGCAGCGGAGTCCTCACACACATCCATGCCGGGAGAGTACTCCCGGACACTGGTGTCCACCGTCGCGGGGGCAGGAGCTGCGGCGGCGGCGGCGGGAGCGGCAGAGGACGCACCGGACTGCTCGCAGACATCCATGTCGGGAGAGTACTCCCGGACACAGGTGCCGACGGCCGCGACCGAAACACCCACAGACCCCTCAATGCCCTCCATGGGCATCAAGTCCTCCATTGGGGGAACGGTGGCCGGCTTCGCGGCGGCCGCAGGGGAGAGGTAAATCCCCAGATGGTGGTTGAGCTCCCACCACCGGTTGCCGACCCCCATATTATAATGGAGGGTCATTGCAGCAACCAGGTGGTGGGAGTGGAGGAGTGAGAGGAGATTGGTGGAGTAATCAGTGAGCTGGGCTGAGAGATGGTTAGCATGCGCTGTTGCTTCGATGCCGACAGTTGATACTTACCAGGGTATGACCACCCTGCCCAGTGCAGACCGAACCACAGAAACTCCGGCGTTAGAACCACCCGGAGTATCCAGGAATTCTCGGTTCCTGGGGCCACAACCACCACCAGGTTGCTACAGAGCCCAGAGAGCTCCCACGACAAAACAAACATCTCTGGTGCCGCGGCCCCCAAACCAGCTCGTCAAAGAGGCAGAGCTGGTCCCACATAAGAAGGGTACCAGGCCGGTACTCGCCAGCGAGTACCTGCAGGTCGCCCTTCCTGAAGGAAGGAAAGGAGTGGTGGAGAGGACGAAGGGAAGGAGAAACGTCAGGAGTAGCCATGATAGTCACTAACGTTGTACAGATGGGACAAAACAGGAGAGGAAACAAGAAGAAGATGGGATGAAGCGAAGATAGGTGGGTTTTTATAGAGAAGAAATAGGACGGATGAAGTAGTCTCACTATGCTTTATAGGTATCCATTCAGTCAGGCTGAGTTCATTGAGAGCTCATTTGAATGAGCCTAGATGTATTATCACTTCATAGTGAATGTCAAATTGAAGTGAAACGAAGCTTCAATGACTCTGAGTAGTACTTCCATTGAGAGCTGCTGTTATTCAAAACGAATAGCAATCTAGTCGGTCGAACAACGCAATCGAGAAGTATTTGCTAATTCAATGTCGAGGTCTCCGCCATCTCAAATTCAATGCAGACGTGGTTGCTATTGAGGTATGTTCGAACTACTTCAATTGTTCAATGCTAGGCAACTTTGATTCCAACTGGAGGTTGCCTGGGCCCAGAATTTCGAGGACTACGCCGACAATATTCAGACAATCTAATTGAATGTGAGACCTTTCAAACTGAAGATAATGTCGGTCAAAGTAAGGTCCGAGTAATGGACCACCCGGGCAAGCACAATAAGCTAAGGGTGAATGACATCTGAAGTCAAATCGAGGCTCGATGGGGATTGATTGATTGGAACTACTGGAGAAGAGCTACACTTGGCATTCCAAGTTAACAGATGACAACGTACCTAGGAATACTGTATAGTTAATGCCTGAGCTACTACATAGTAGGGACTGCGCCATCCTTCACATAGAATCACCTGATCCCCTTCAACCCTAATCCCGAGCGTAGGTTGTTCGTAATCACAGTCTACCGGGCTAGCTCCTTGTGCAGGTTTACTTCGGCGCAGAGCGACAGTGATGCCTCATTTGGATCTATGATATTGGAGAGATAGATAGGTCATGGAGTCATATGCTTTACCGATACAAAGTCTAGGGGTACATGTAGTCAAGGACGAAGTAAAGGACTAGAAGAACCTGCTGGGACATCGTCACATCAGTGATACTGTCAACGATTAGAGACAAAATTGTCCTCAGCTTTTGGTCATATCCTGATAGACATGCATGGAGCCTTAGGTATCCCGAAGAGCAGGAATCTTATAATTATTTATAGGGTATTGATATAGTTACCCCCCCCTTGGATAATTATAACCCCCCTGCCTGAATTTGGCCCGATTTTCCCGATTACACAAGGGATTAACTGACCGCTTTCTTCGCCGCCTCCTGGCCAAGCTTTGAGATTTCTTAAGTACTGCCGCGGTACCTACACTTACTATGTAAACTACTAGCAAAATTAAGTCACTCGGTGGTCCTTAGGAAATGAACAGTTCAATACTGATTAACCCCCAGTTTATTGATCAATTCTGGCTTCCAGCTTGGAGTTTGTCATCATTTTTATTGCATCTGTGTCCTCCGAAAACCTCAATATCATCATGTTGGGCCTTACATCCCTCATCTCGGATTCTGATGTGGAGTTTACCAGAATTAGGCCGGCAGAATATAGAGGTGCCTTATGTTTAGGGCGAAATCAGACCAAATTCAGGCAGGGGGGAGTATAATTATCCAAGGGGGGGGGGGTAACTATATCAATAGGGTATTTATATCTCGCAGCTTTGACAGGTTCAATGCGATGAAGCAACCCAATCGGGTTAGCGTGGGATTTGGCGGAATTCGACCTCATTGGCTGCGGCCTGAGGTCACTCAGGCAAGCAGGCCCGGGCCGGCAGCCGGCTCATCTTCACTAGGGGGATCGGTACATATTCCTCGCGCTTTACATGGTCATGGCCGACATGGCGTCCCCGGGGAAGCCGATTTGAGCTACAAAAGGGCCTCACAAAAGGTCGGATGGGGAGTGCACTAAGAGCAGTGGGAAAAGTAGTGGGGATCACGTGTGGCCCTGAAAATGGTTGGGAAATGGCGGTCCATGCACCGTCCCGCCTCGAACCGCCTTACTCACAGCAACCACCGCTAGCATGCAGACCTTCGCACCCGAATACACGCATTTCGCGGTGACAGCCCTTGCGAAGGGCATCACAGAACTGAGACCGGACTAGCTCCACCGTATGCTAGAGTGGAGATACCCTGGTATCTCGTATGCCTGGTGACCTGGTGTGCATCGATCTATCACATTATGCTATCAACATTTACAACAATAGTCAATAGTGCGATTTTTGCTCCAAAGTAAACTTTCACCATCTGCAGCTAGAAACCGAGGAAACCCGAGATCGACAGAGAAGCAGGGACTTGACCGCCTCTTAGAAATGGCACCGCATTCAAAGACAGCACTGTGCCATCCAGACTTTAGAGAATCATCAGAAACCGTTCATCGTTCACTTTATCGTTTCCACAACAGCCAGTTCGTTCCACGACTATAGACCACCTGGTGTCCATAGAAAAATCCCAGGATATCAGCAGTCCTGATATCCCAGAGTTGGATCCACCACCAATACCCACCCTTCCTGCCAAAAGGCTGTCGCCGGAACAGTTTCCGAGACCGTTCCTCCACCTCCAACGCCTCCGCGCCCGTCCCCGTTATTCTTTCCTCTAACTGTACCCGCACCGCCCGCGGTCATTATTCTCATGGCCCAGGCGCTACCCGCACCGGGGCCCACGCCCAGCTTCGACGGAAAGGACGCAACTAAGTTCCTACAGGGGATGCAGGATATGTGCATTCGCCATGGGATACAGAGTACAGAGACAATGATGATGTTTCTACCCCAGTACTGCTCCGATACTACTCGCGCCTGGGTCGAGAGACGCCCGTCCTGGAACAGCCGTAACTGGAGCGAGTTCAAGGTAGAGTTCCTTGCGTACTGGTACGACGGGGACTCCCGTCAGCTCAGACACACAACGCGGTATCTCGAGAGCTTGGTCCGCGTTCACAGGACCACCGAGGAGGATTACCGCGAATATCTGACCGAGTTTGATAATATCAGCGCAGAACTGTTTGATAGAGGGGAACTCACAGACTATGGGCGCGCCGACCTGCTGATCCGAGGACTACCCGAGAAGTGGATAGTATCCGCTCTGGATCTTAGTGGGCGGCGGCGTATCACATACTCCGAGGCATACAGCCAGGTCAACAGATACATTCGCGAGCAAAACCTCTCACGTTGGTACTCGTCCAACCCGGACCCGCTGGACGTGCGTAATGGAACCCAGCCTGAAAATCGACAAGTGCACCAGCAGGGCCAGCAGACCAAGCCACTGCAGCAGTTTCAGTCACGCCAGCAGGACCCCAGTGGAGAAATTGACCGGATTCAAGAAATACAGTCTCAGATAGCGGCCCTTGCTATTAAGGTACTGGGCCACCAAGATCCCCGTGTCGACCCTCGCTATGGACCCACGAGTCGGGGCTAGACGAATGGTCTTGGAGTGGGGCCCCCAAGCAAGTGCTTCACCTGCGGAGGACCCCACCGATCGTGATCAGACTCCTGCCCGACCGTCCGTGGGTTACAATGTCGAAGAATGGTCCATTTCAGCACGTGGGGCCGGATGGCTCTCAGAATACAAGGCCAACCGGGCCCTGCTCTTGACGGGATGCACAGGAAATCGGGCATAAAGGAAGGGAAGCGGTTTATGCCCTACTCAAGCACCCTACTGGTGGCTCCGGTGTCACGAGGGTCTCAGCCAATTGGTGTGATCTTGCCAGACTTGCGAGGCTCGCGAACCTCGAAGGATCAATGGCTCCGCCATCGTCACTAGCCACCTGCGTCTCGTTGATAAGTGGTACGCTGACACGACGCTCATGGCAGCGGACATTTCCGACACTGTCAATAAAGTCATCTGTCTGAAATACTGCATACTCAACTATGCCACTATTCCTATTTAGGATATATCATGTGACCTCTGTATCGTAAAACTCTGCTCAAGGTTCAGATAGAAGAATCAGACATACATTCGTTGATTGGATACACAAGATCGTGTATGTCTGATTCTTCTATCTGAACCCTTGAACAGAGTTTTACGATACAGAGGTCACATGATATATCCTAAATAGGAATAGTGGCATAGTTGAGTATGCAGTATTTCCGACATCATCGTGTATCTGCTTAGTAGCGAGGAACTCCATCACGGCTTTAACTGAAATCTATATTACATTAGTAGGTTATTCCCAATATTTCAGGGATGACTTACCTTCCGATTCTTGCCTTTACCCTTCGTGAAGGGAAGTCGCGGCTTCGTATGGACAAAAAGAGCAGTGTACCAAGCTAGAATAACGGATAAGTACAACTGTACAATAACAAGAGAGAATCGAGAATGAAGTATTACCCTTAACCTCGTCCATCTCACCGGTGGCGTGGCGGCCCCTACTAGAGTACTTGCCAGAGATGGTCACACCTTGATGGCCGGTGAGGTGTGTCTTGAGGTTGTGTCAGGAGCGACGAAGCGTAGGGCACCAGCTGGATGCGACGGTTCCCTACGGTTTGAACGGTGAACTTGAGTCCTTCGATAATAGGTTGCGGGCGATTCTCATCGTGCCGTAGGACTTGGTATTCCCACTTCACTAGCTATGGGTCTCTCCGGCCCGGTAATTGTAGGAATGAAATGCTTCAAATTTTGATGAACACCGCCATCAATCAACTAACAGCACTATGGTGCCGCCATACTTTACACATTTCAAGACTCTAGACTCAACAACTTCGCAAACTCCCCATCAGGCCTATCCATCAACTCCTGCGGATGTCCCACTTCTACAATTTCACCGCTATTCAGAACGGCAACTTGGTCAAAGTCAAGCAGAGTCTGGATTCTGTGTGCCACCATGATGACAGTGCAGCCAATGAACGACTCTCGTATGACCTTTTGTACTTTGGCATCTGTTTCGTAATCCAGGCTATGGCCGGAATTTCAGTCAGCTACCAAATCCAAAATGATGAAACGAGGAGAAATAGCTTCCAGACATACCTGCTCGTTGGCTCATCCAAAATAAGAATCTTACTCCTCTTCAGCAGAGCCCTGGCCAAACAAAAGAGCTGCTTTTGGCCTTGTGACAGAATACTATCATCTAGAATCGAATCCAGAATCTCTTCGTCTGTGCCGCCGTGATGTGCAACAAGGGAGTCCCAGACTCCTACAGATTGCAATGCATCAATCATTTGGGTGCTCGATGCTATGTTCACTGGGTCGGCATTTTGCCTGATAGTACCAGGGAAAATAAATGGTTCTTGACTGAGACAGCTGATGCGCTGTCGAATCGATGATCGGGATAAAACTGATACGTCCTGACCATCAATGAAGATTTGACCTGATTGAATTTCATTGAGACGGAGTAGCGATAGTGCTAACGTGCTCTTGCCGCTGTATTTCAGTAACTCGTTAGAATTTTTCGTTAAATCCGAAAGAGAGCTGGCTTTGAATCAGGTGTTATAGCTCACCTTCCAGTCCTACCACAGAGCCCAAACCTTTCCCCGGCGCCGATACGGATATTGATGCTGTTAAGTAATGGCTTCGACTCGGAGGGATTCCAAGTAATACTGGTATCCACGAATTCAATCTCACCTCGAGTCGGCCATTCTGCGAGCTCATCAAGATTCCGACCAACCATGTTGCTCTCTTCGTTTGGTGTCTTTTCAGAGAACTCCTTAATCCGTGCAATAGCACCTAGTGACGTTTCTAGCAACGTCCAATTCTGGATCAATTCAGACAAAGTTACTCCCAGATCCATCATCATAACAAGCGCAATGCCCAAAAGGCCCGGGTCAACGCTACTGCGCAGAGCAACTGAGGCTCCGACAAGAAGGACTGCTATGGCAGCCACAATCAAGTTGAGTACAAGACTCAACCAGCGTTGAATGCAAAGAAGAAGGTAGTAAGGCCTTTGGGCGGTGTCAAGTGTGGTAATCATTCGGGACGTGGCGGCTTGCGTCCACGAAAATGCCCGGATAGTAGTGACCCCTGCGAGTGACTCGATGAAGTGCGTGTAAAGCGGACTCTTGAGCTCAATTCTACGTGAAACAAGCGTTAGCCTCATAATCAAGATAAAGGGCGTTTGAATTCAAACGTACTCCAGTAGACGTAGTTGGCGGGATGTTTTGAGATAGAATCGCTGGATCAGAGCCAGAACTACCAAGAGAGGCGGTAGGGCTGCTGCTAAGTAGGGAAGCGAGGCTATTGCAGTGGCGCCTTGGGCAATAGATCCGAAAAGCTCTGCGGTTTTCACTAGTCAGCTGGCTGACCGGGCACCTTTTGGTTTTTCCTTATACTTACGGAACCCTGTGGATATAAAACCTCGAGGTAAGATCATATCAACCAGCCTTATGTCTTGACTGAAGCGAGTAATCAGGGCTCCAGTGTCGACGCTGGAGAGAAATGACATTGGGGCGCTACGGTTGTTAGCAAATAATCGAGGCAGTAGTTTTGGGATACGACACGCACCCCATGCAAGCCCGCAGCACGATAGAATGAAGATTTTTCGAAGCAGCAGGGACAATGACCACCCAGGTCCAGCTAGCAACAGATCAAGCATTAGCCAAGACATGAGTCAAGTATGAGAGTAATAAGACTCACACCACAGCAAGTGTCAGTGCCACAACTTGAATGACAGAAAGTGCTGCATATAGTCCCAGCCAGTAGCCTAGACTTGAGTCTGAGGTGTTGTCACTGCTGGAGGACCAGAGATCCACCCACACGTCTAAGTCATGGTTAGTTCTATGCGTTTTCAGTTGAAAAGCTGCATTTAAAGTAAAAGTAATCACGCACAGCGAAAAGCACTAACACCGGCTTCGGTCACCAGGAATGTGAGTAACGCCGCAATTCTGAACCAACCCATTGAAGAAAAATAGTACTTGTATACAGCGGAGTCAGTTGTCTGCTTGTGATCGTCTGTGACAGGGGCGGTAATAAGCTCTCCGGTTTGACTAGAAGGATCGGCTATCACGTCGCTTCTCACGGGCTCATCTGTTTCTGTGAGTTTAGCATCATGCATCTGTGGTAGGTATTCGGTATTATCTCGAATGTCGACATAGCTCCCCTGCTTGACGATCTGGCCATGTTCCCCGAGAATAACGATCAAGTCAGCTTGGGGTAACCAATGCACTAGAACGTAAATTAGTGTGAGGCCATATTGGATTGCTAAGCCCTCCATCTCGCTTCTGGAAGGTACATACTCGCATGGGTTGCTAAGAACACCGTGCAGCCCAGCCGACGTAGCAGTCCAGCAGAACCAAAGACATTATTGAAGACATGCTTGGCGGTTGCATTGTCTAAGCCATTGAGAACGTCATCGAAGCAAGCAATTCGTTTGCGAGCGTAAATGGCTCGTGCGATAGCCTATAGAGACCAAGATGTTATTGCATGATCAACAAAAACTCGGAATATGGCTGCCACTGACAATTCGTTGTCTCTGTCCTCCACTGAGTTTAGACCCTTTACTGCCGACGGACGTCTCGTCTCCAGCCGGCATGTTTTTGAGATCCTGATCCAGCGCACAGGCACTGATAACGGTGCGATACCAACCTAAATCCAACGCAGATGGGTCTTCTCCAACGATGTTATTCCGTATTGAAGTGTTTGATAGCCATGGTATTTCATCGCAGAACGCTAGGTCGCGGTATTTGATGAAAAGGTCGCCTTCTAAAACGGGCGTCTCACCTGCCAGGCCCTTTAAAAAGGTGGATTTGCCGCAGCCTACAGGGCCGATCATGAAGACAACAGTACCTGTGGGAGATGATTCAAATTGAAGGTTGATACCCGGTATCTCTGGCGAAGAGGCGGAGTTCCAGCCAAATCGGACATCACGCAATGATACGACCACTTCCTTTTGCGTCTGTGTGCTTCTCGGGAGAGTGAATAGCTCGATGGCGGAAGTTGAAATAGATTGTGCTGACATCGACTGAGGGAGCTGTCGCTTCTCTGTAGTTACGTGGTTTTATTAGCCAGGCTTGACAGATGAGACTTGGAAGAAGATGTTGAATGGTCCGGGAATACAAGGATACCCAACGCCCAGGTGTGATGGGGATGAATGAATCCAAAAGAGACAGATAAAGCGCTTACCTAGGCGGCCGGGGCTGTTAAGAAATTGCTGTATCCTGTTAAGACAACCCATTGATGCGTAAGTATCAGGAATCGCCATTAAAAGATAACTCAATGGTGTAATCATCAAGCTTATAAGTGACAATGAGGTGACGGCTTTGTTGACGGCGAGATCCCCAGAGCCCTGCAGCGATGCCATTATGGCGTATGCAGAAAGTGTCACAAGTTGACCGAACGTAATAGGAGAATTGACTAGATGTGGGTGTCATTACTTAGATCAGACTCGAAAAAGGCACGATAAGCACTCACCCATGCATATACGTACTGACTGGAGGTGGCGGAACTTTTTCGAAGTCTCAAGCTCTCTCGTGCGTAAAGATTCGATCATGGAGCTCATTATTTCAGTCAAGCCGAGAAACTTGACGTTACGAATGGATCCCAGGACAGAGGTTGTGAAGTTGATACGCTTCTCAGTAGCCTGAAGCCAATTCTTCTGCCGAACGGAAACAGCGTTGCCCATACCAAACGAGGCTGCCGTGAAGACTGTCGAGGTCAGTTAGCCGATGAACATCATCAGTCAAGGATTTCGTAAACAGGCAGACTAACTGATTGCAACGAGTATTGGGGCAATGCAGACAGCACCGACTTGGGTCTGGAGCAACCATGTAGCTAGTGCCAATTGTAGCACGTTGGCCCAAGTCTCACAAATTACTGAATAGAAGTATTCAGCTAGCATCTCGATGTCAGAACCCATAAGGGCCATGGCACTAGATTCATCGGTACTCCCGAGTGGTAGAACCATCATATGCTGGAAAACAAGACCCATAAGACCACCTCGAAGCATGGTTGTGGCGCGATAGCCCAAATGCTCATATGCGGCTCTAGAAACCTAGATAAACATGTGAGTTATGCTCCTCAAAATGTGGGTAGGCACCAGGTTTCTTACAGCGATCCCGGCAAAAACAATTCCTGTCGCTGCAATTAAGCCATACCCCATATCCTGCGACAAGGGATCTGTTTGCTGTAATACAGCGATCACCTTGCCAATCAGGAATGGCTGTGCAATACTGAACCCCACAACGCAAAGTCGGGGGAATGCGATGCCCAACATTTCCCAGCGTAGACATTTAATCACAGTCAAGAGCAACGGACTACGTCCGTTTTGTGGGCGGCTAGCCCACGCTTCTGCAAATTGAGCAGCTAGTTCCGAGGAGGAAAGCTTTTCGTGTACTGTAGGCAGAGCCTCCCCGGTGAGAGACGCAGAGTGACCTTTCCATAGCAGGCCATTCAACCAAGTAAATAAGCCTCGACTGAAAGGGCCACTTACACTTTCAATGGAATTTCCCTTTTCACTGGGCACCAACCACTTCCGCTTCTCTATGTTGTTAAGTACCAAAAGAACTAGCTTGGCGGCGAGAGACGCAGAGAGACAGGCTGGGTAGGCTAAAGTCTCGGGTAGCAGCCAGGCTGTGCGCACGCGTGCGAGATCCAGAAGAAGCGTGACGAACAAGTAGGCGGAGACAAGAAATGAGGGACAGATAGACCGCACATACTCTAGATCAAGAAGGACTATTACAACCAGCGCCGACAAAAGGTCGAGGATGGCACTCGCAAGAACGACGCGTCCTCCAGTGACGTGCTGTGTAGCAACGAGTACCAGAAGTGCAACCTCAATGGCTGCGAATGTCACAGAGACGCCCTAATTGATGGAAGTTATTACATGTAGATTTTTCGCGTACAAAGACTGTGGGGAATAGGAGTACTCACGAGTGTTACCACGCGGAAAGCTGAAGAGTGCACTTTGGGTGACTGCCTGAACAACTGAAATAGACGCACGGTTGCCAGCAAGAGGAAGCAAGCCTCCGGTAATATGTTCAAAATGGTGGACTCAAAAACTACGGTGAAGTCGAAGCCCCCGCGGCAGCTCGCTGTAGCGACAATAGGACCAAACAGACTGTCGCCGCATGCGCCCGCAGACGACGTCGACGCCATTTGCAGGTTGAGAACTAGATGTAATAGGGAGAAATTTTGCAGTAGGAATGTTTGTTGAAGTACCGTTCATTGTATGAAATGACAAAAGTGTAGCCTGGAGTAAGCGCCATGAGTCCATCATCAGGATTGAGGGGACCAAACAGACTTAGCGCCAAATGGACTTTCTTCGTCTGCCACAACCTATCAACCTAGCTTGAACTAGCGGCCTAGCCTGATCAATAATCAATATCTTCTAGTGTATGTACCTGTATGTACCAGATTTTAGGCCGCAGATGCGCATTTCCCGATCGGGGTGCCGCCGCTTTATGAGGGGGCTCAGGGTCATGCTCACTGAGTATTTCACAGCACAGGGTGATTACTCAGTGCCACTCGAGGTATGCTTAGTAATGTCAAAATAATGCTCAGGTTATGCTCAGTGAGCAGTCAGGTTATGCTCGGTGAGCACTCAGGGTGCACACTCTCGGCCTGAAAATAAAGGCAGAGATAGAACAAATTGACCACGTGACATGTGGATCATTTATTATCCATGAATCATACTGCCTAGAAAGCTTTATTATAGGTGATATTGCCCGTCTCTGACTTTAATTACTCCCGGACAGCTCAGAAAAAAATAGACATCTCCTAGGCCGAAGAAGAGAACCTAGCCTTGTACCCGTTTAGAACCTCATCCATACATGATCCTTCCCGTGACAGATCCACAAAGTACATCATCAGTACTAAATGCGCACAAATGCCAGCCCATATCGGTACCCATCACGAAGCCGGGGCTGATCCTCGCCGTCCTCCGTCCGATACAGCCTCTGCTCCAGGCCCTCCAGAGGAACAACCTGCTCACAAGAGCGGAATCCGACCAGGGGCCGACGAACAGGTACCGAACGCCCGTTCTCATCGACCGCCTGGCACTCCCAGACACACAACGGGTCAATGGCAATGAGAATCAAGATTCCGAGAAGATAGACGGTCCAGAGGAGGATGCTGGTGCCGCGGCTGGCCGTGTCGGTGAGGCCGGCGCAGGCGAAGGCGCCGACGAAGATGAACACGCCGGGCCAGAAGAAGGAGTAGGGGCGGGTGTAGTAGACGTTGGAGGGAGGGTGGAGGAATGGTTTGTTGGAGTGTGGAGTGGGGGTCTCTTGGTCTGCCATTGTGTGTAAGATGAGGGATTTTTTCGACGGTTTGAAGACTTGATGGAGGAGAAGATGATGAGAGGTTGGCTTATGCTTAGCGACGCTTAAGTATCCGGTTACATGAGATCATCTGAGTGGGGGACAAATGGTGGATCAGTCTATCTATACTGGGTACTGTTGCCGCATATCACCTGTTAAAGGGTAGCTAAAAGCTGATGGTTAGGTAAGAAGAAAGATGTGACGTGTGGGGCCGGACGATCACACAAGGCCTGAGCGCTAAGTGATGTGAGGGTCCCAAGAGGAGAACCCCGTAACATCACCACCATCGACCAAACAGCATCTTGTCTCTTGCAGGGTTTCTACCCACATTCACTGAACAGGCAATTCCGAACATAACAGAAAGGAGGAAGTCCGTGAGGCTGACACAATGGACGCCTTTGGCCCTGGAAGCACGGTCTAGTTCCTGCATCGACTGTCCTGATAGCAGCCTTACCACCATGCGGGTCTATCGTACGGCGTATATCGGTCATCTTCCGACAGTAGTAGTGTCGACCTTCCCTGCAACTGCTCATGGCTGTGTTGGATGATCGATCAGCTGAAACTCCGATGGACTGTGTTGGACGCCTTCTCGACTCTCTATGGCTCATGGCCGTCGTGATAGTCCGAGAACAGACAGTCGTCGGACTCATATTCACGTCTGAGACAAGTGCAGCTCAGGTATAAGAGGCGTCGATGGAAGGCCTCCTTCAGCAACTCATCAGACTCATCTACTCCATACACAAGGAAACCAGATTGCAAGCGATTCAATCCCTTCTCACTCACTATGACCCGCATCCACACTCTGGCGCTGGGCTTCCTCTGCCTGCACCCCTGCTTGACCGGCGCCATTGTCGACAAATGGACCCCAGAAGGCTTCGACTGGGACGCCCCGTTCGTCAATGACACGGTCTCGTCCGGCCTGACCATGAAGGCCCAGGGCGCGCCCTCCACGACGGACCTGACCAACGTGGCGCTGCAGACGGGCGAGGACGGCGTGGCCGTCGTCCCCGTCGCCGCGTTCCTCGGGTTCGCCTGGCGGGTTGTGAACATCGCGGCGGCGGGAGTTGCGCTCAAGAACACGATAAAAACGTGCAAGCAGACGTCCAACGAGGAGGCCTCGGTCTACGACTGCCTCGAGGGCGTGGTCACGACGGCCATCGCCTTCGGGGGCGCCGCGTCGGCCGCGAAGCAGATCGGCAGTCAAGCCCGGGGGTGCTATTCCCTCATCGTCTGCAGAATGGCATCGCCGAAATCGTACGCCAGCCCGCAAACCCCCTCTCTACCAATCGTAGTCACTCGCTGCAGAGCTAACAGCACCCAACCCACAGGAGATGGACGCCTTCCCGATCCACCGCCACCCGCGCCGAGATCTGCACGCCCAGCTCTCGCACAACGACTATGTCCGGCGCCAGCTGCGCAGCCTGTCGACGAGCGAGCCCGAGTTCCTCGGCTACGCCGCCGACGACCACAAGCTAGCCCGCCGCGACTTCGGCACGCACCCGTACGTGCCGATGTACCGGTTCGAGCACGCCGCCCACGGCCGCATGGAGATCACAACGCGGGACACACTCAACGGGACGTTCTTCACGATGGCGCATGCGGGCCAGTCGACGCACCTCCTCGGGCGGCGCGAGCTGGACGCGCTGCACGCCCGGGTCAAGCGCGGCGAGGTCTACGACCAGGAGACGCTCGAGGGCGGCGCGGTCGAGGCGCGGTTCGACCAGGACGCGTCGAACGCGGATCCGGGCGAACTCTCCGCGGACGCTGGGCAGCTGTTTGATGCGCTCATGCCCAGCGTGGACTGCTTCATGGGGCAGGATTACAAGGATGGCAATGTGCTCGATGTGCAGATGTATGACAAGACTAACCAGGCGACGTTTGGGTTTGGTGAGTTTGACCTTCCTCTTGCTTTTATGGTCTTTGTGTTTGATCTCTGATTCGCTGTTAGGGACTATTGGATTGTATGAGAATGATGACGATGCGAATACCATTGCGGATTTGGAGCCGGAAGGGATGCCGCTTCCGGAGTGCAAGTGAGGGAGTAGTACATGGGTTTCTGTCGCTGGGGTTTGTCTAAGGCTTATATCGGGTATTATATAGTCGCTCGTTGATTAAACAACATAGTAGCTGAAGGGATATGAGGAGATAGTGCTCGAATCATACAGCTGGTAGCTCTTCAAAAAGATATGTTGGTCTATTATACAGACGCAAGGCTATGTATCCCACAATAAGTACTGGTTTATCAACTACATCTCCACCTTAAGGGCTGACAGTGATGCAGCATAAGACAAGATATCCGAAAGAACGATATAAACAAGGATGGCATGATAACACAGCAAAACACGGGATGGGCTTTTCTTCAGAACATAACCAAAGAAGTCAAAAAGTGGAAGATAGAGCGTCGAAGAGGATATAACGTAAGAAACAAATGGACTTCGATTCAACGCCTTCGCTATGCTAATAAATCAACCTGTATTCCTCCTCAGCGCCTCATGCGCTTCCACACGAATGTCGAACGACAGGTCATCGATCTGTTTGAGGGCACTGCGGTCCAGGGTGGCGGACTTGGCATCATCCAATATTTTCTGCAATGAAGCAATGATCCCCGGATTGTTGGGGGGTTCTTGTTCCTTGGGAGATTCGGTGGCTTGAGTTGCGTGGGATACACTCTGTTTCCGGGAACTTTTCTTCGTCCCCTCTGAGAGCTCATCCAGGCGCGTGTCGGTCTGCTTGTCCGTCTGCTTCACTGTCTCAATGGCTGCCACGGGAGTAGTACCAACGTTTGTGTCGGCGTCTGGCATCGGAACGTCCTCAGTCTGAGAAATATCTTGTCCTCCAGATTGACTCGATGAAGTGACCTTGGGCTTTTCTGTACGACGTTCCGTGGATGCTTCTTCGTCTCCAGGCTGATTTCTTGCGTGGCTTGTGCCATTGTCTCTCCCACAACATCAATGGGGGTTTCAGTCAGAGAAGCGTTGGGTTGAGGTTCCTGCTCCTTCGCATACTGCTTGCGCGAGCGACTAGAAGACGGCTTTGTGGGAGCAGGAAGTTCGTCCGTGGACACAGGAGCGACGTGGCCACTGGTGACGATATCTGTTAGAAGCGTCAAGAGTGCCGCCTTGCTGTAGCCCGAGAAGGCACTTTTGCGTGCAATATGGAGCATCATGGGAGCGAGATTGATCGGTTCGGTTCCTTTGGCGATCTGCTCGCCGGGTGGGCCTTTGGGTTGGAGGGGACGATGGGACCTGACTAAATCTTCGCTTCCGTCCAGCAGATGCAGTAGGGTCGGCTTCAGAATCAGAGAGTCCCCTTGGATATGCCTATTAGATGGAGCGCAACCAGAGGTCGCTCGTGCAGGCGCTCGACGACCTTCGATGACAGGAGACCGCGCAGGAGACGACGAAGGTATATATTCAGAGGTAGTCTGCTCAGGACTGGGTGTACTCGAAGACCGTATCGTCCAGGTTCGGGTTCCGTGGTAATTCTGCCTTTGGGATCTGGGAGCGCTCGCTATCAAAACTTGTGTGTCATTTCGGTAGCTTACTGGCAGCGGTGTTCCGCCAGGCCTGGTCACGAAGTGGAGTGCGAAAGCTCATTAAACAAGAGCACAACGCTCTCTCAACTCTGGTCCGCGGCCGCGGAACCTGTCGTGGCACGGAGGGTCTGGGAGCTCCTAGGAAGACCTATTAGGCTTCATTTAGTTATGATGAGGGATTTTCTAAGTGCTAGTTAGAATACCAGGTAAATGAGGAGGCACAAATTCCGTCATGGGCAGGTAGATCATCCAGTAGCATGACCGGTCTAGAATATTTCTGCGAATGTCTAGGTCACTAGAGCTGAATTCGTACTCCTTTGTTCCTAGGAGCAAGTGGCGGCAGCAAGGGCGATAGTCCGTTAGGAATCAAGAGGAAAAAAGAATCAGAATAAAACACTAAATTGGATTTAAAAACCATTTGACTGGACTTTACTGAGATATTCCTCAATATTGTAGAACCAAAAATAGGGGGTTGGATATTTCCCGCAACTATGTAGAGATGTGAATGCGAGACTTGACGAGTTGAATAGTGGCATAGCCGCAGAATAGTAATGCCAACAAATGCGGCCCCACTGGGCATTTGCCTCCCAGCTAGCAGCTAGAGGCGAAACAACCAGGATCGACCGCCACATTGATGACGCTAGCCTTTCGTTAAGGGGACAACGGTCAAGAGTGCTGGGTGAACGACTGCATTGGGATGGGGCTAGCGTGGTGCATTTTATTGAGGTGAGCTGCTGACTTAGCTGCTCCAACTTTGCTCAGGCGACGCTCAGTGAGCGACTTCATCCGGCTTTGTAATGATCAGGCGATGCTCAGTGAGCAAATCAGAGTGCTCAGGTCACGCTCAGTGAGCGAGTTCATCCGGCTTACGTAATGATCAGGCGATGCTCAGTGAGCAAGTCAGAGTACTCAGGTCACGCTAGTGAGGGGGATCAGGCTGCTCAGTGAGCAAATCAGAGCGCTCAGGTCACGCTCAGTGAGCGGGTTCATCCGGCTTATGTAATGACCGGGCGATGCTCGGGAATTGATAACTAGCGTCCCTAACTATCAAAGTGAGCAAGTTTAATGATTATGTAATACTCAGGGACGTGCTCAGTTTTACTCAGTGAGCAAAAAGCGGCTACGGGTGAGCACTAAAGCGGAAATGGAAAGCCATGTTCGGGCGGCCTAAAATCTGGTGTATACGTTAGATTAAACGTTCCAGAGTCCTGTCTGTCAATCAGTGTTAAGCGTACCAAGATGCCACGACGCCGCTACCGGGCATCATGAGCTTCGCCGTCGGATGTCCGGCAGTCCCAGCCATTGGCAGCCAATCTTTTGTTATCATAACCCCACTTGCTCTAGTCAAGCTACAGTCGTGATCATGCTTTCTTTGCTTTGTCCTCCTCCCATAACTAATCATCAGTCCCATAAGATTTAGTTAAGGGGTTCTGAGTCTGGCCGTCTGACGGCAGGAAATGTGCCCCCACCCCCACCTATCCCAGGGAGATAATCCTTGCCGCTGGCCAATCAGAATTCCCTCGGTTGCTCGGATGCCTGTTCAGTGTTCAGGGCTTCAGGCTGTTCCTGGGTTCGAGAGCCTCCACTACTGTACACGCTATGGAGGAGACTGGAGTACGGGTTTGATGAAGAACGCAAATGAGACGGAACGCTGATTAGTTGAATGGAAAAGCTTGATTGTTGTCTGCTCAAGAATAGAAAGAAAAAGAAACGGGAGAGACCGGGAGAGGATGACTCGATGAGGATCGTGGGAAATCATCCCTCCTCACATGACCTTCCATGGGGTTTCATAATGTTCTTGTGTGAGTGGCATGACTTACCCTAGCCCTGCCCCTACTACTACTTTGGTACTGAGAAATCTCAAGGACCAAAAATTCCGACGGGCGGGTAACAATGAAAGGCCACCAATCCATAAGGTTTTAGCCAACAGGTTCCATCAGTGGAGAGCAAGCAAAGCTACAATAATGTTCGAAATCAAAGTTGACATGCGATCAGACTGATGCATCAAAAGAATGAAGTCAAGCCAAGGAAAGATTCTACGGAGTACTTTGTGGAGGGTCTAGCTTTCAGGCCTGGTTGCCGGAGGCGCAGAGGACCTTGACTTCCGAACTCATTTCTTTCTCACATACAAATGTAGACTTGGTCTCATTTCTACCTATGGACCGAAGGTCCATTGGGCGTCTGCCTACATATTCATACCTAAAACATGCACCTACTGGTGACTTGAGCGATCGCGGTGACCTCCTCATATATCGATGTCAGGTCAGAACCCCGGGCGACCAGTGGCCGACAACAAAGACTTCGAATAGCTTTAGTCGAGTGATATCCCTGCCGATCTGAAATCTCACAGTTTAGATGCCTGTGTCTGACCTTCAACGTCGAATTCAGTCGTACAAAGCAAGAAAGTATCACGAAGTGCCTAGTAAGTGGTCAGTACATTACTTTTGTTAACCCTGCCTCCTCTTTCCTCCAGTAGGGTGGAGTGAAGAAAAGAGCAATAATTAACTCACCGACAGCCGATACTTCTCATTAATAGCCTGATAATCCTCCCCAGCAAGCATATCACAGAAATGCCGAATGGAAGGATAATGCACAATAGAAATCTCATTCCACCACTCTTGCGGAGATGACTGGGCCCGTGATTCTCGCGAATCACCCTCCGGCGATGTAGGCGGCACCACATTTCCCACTAGCTTAGCATTCCCACCGCGCTTGCCAGCGACAGGAATGAACGCCTGACCATACTTGTAATATGATTCCTTGCCATTCGGATGATGGAAGTGCAGCAGGTTCAGCATAGTCACAGGCCCCTGGTGTGTCTTGGAAAGTTGTTTCATGAATTCCAGTAAATCGGGGGAAACTTCCAAGTTTTGCGATGATTCTTTGGTTCCCTCGCGGAGGAGCTTCTCTAGGGAACCTGTGAGGGGCATAGATGATGCATCCTTTCTGAGTTTGGCGTTGGTGGCAGGGTAGTTGGTGACGAGTTTTGAGGGTATTCCGGTGGTTATTTTGTATTCTTTTGTGATCAGGTTGCGCAAGGCGCTTGGGATGGGGTCTTGGTCATTTGACTGTGGCTGCAGGAGCACGAGCAGATCCCATGGCTCTGTAGCGAGAGGGTTACTGTCTATGATATCTGGGCGAATTACGACATGACGCGGGCGCGAGGCGACAATAACTTGAGTGCCGGGCGATTGCTTTAGCTGCTGGACAAAGGATTGCGCATCCGTGGATTTGGCTAGAGCCAGGAGATGGAGAGTTGCGACGGGCATGGTATCACAATAAGATTCGTGTCCAAATATCCATCGTTGAAGGGCGCAATGAATATAAATAAGATAGACGAGGTGCGGAGAACGCCCGTTGTTCGGCAATTCCGGGACGTGCCGAGGTTCGTTGTTCTTGACCCCGAGATCCGCTAAGCCATTCTCAGCCTCAGTGGCATTCTGTATGATATGGACCTACCAGGTAAGTGGCAATGTTCGTCCAAACATAAATCGACCAGTTTCAGTATCCTGTTGAATAGGCAGTAATGTGCTCCATTCTCAGTGATCGTTTTATTCAAGCTACCCGACTGGTAATTCACTCATCAGCTACCAACTAGTACAGTCTACTGTGTGCTATTTTTAGCTTTCTTCAACAACCTCCTATGTGGTGGCCTTTCCTATCGACACCAATATGGTAGTATCAATTGAAAAATGTGTACGGGAGAGGATTGCAAACCTAGGGACTTCACTGAAGCCTTTTGAACTTCTTCCTTGGGTCATCCACCATATAACAAAGATATGGCCTTTTCTATCTATTGAGATATTCCACCATCGTGTTGGGATTATCGATGGTAGTGATCAGTCGGGGTGAGACAAAGCGTACCAATTGCTGCATTGGCATCTGCTGGGTGGGCAGTTCTTTTTCTCTTTGTTGAACTCTAAGGAGCCCCTTTGCAAGAACGATCTTCTGGAGAACATTAAAAACTTCCTGTCCGTGGACTTGAGCATTTCAAGACTAAGCTGAGTCGTTGAGTATGAAAGAAAGAAATGTTTCAAGTCCGTGACATTGACCACTTCGCCCAATCCTCGATTGTCTACACTCCCTTTATGTCCAAAAAAGAAACATGTCGACCTCGACTCGACCTGGTGACCGTCTACAAAGAGGCCATCGAGTATTTAGGTCACGATGAGATCCCCCCAAAATCATCATCAACAAGTACAGCAGTTCAATCAACTAGCGTTCTAACTTAACCTATCAGCAATACATTTCTTCCATTATTTGTATAGAATTTCCGTTCCACAATCATCAACATGTTGAAATCCCGAACAACCTTGCGCCTTTCCTCCCGTTTGGTGCAGAATGAGGCAACACTCAACGCAATCTGGCGACCACTTGGGCTTGATAACGCTTCCTCAGCCACCCTCCGCGATGGTGTTCTTCGTGTCATCCGCGCTGCTTATAATCCGATCCTCAGGGAGCACTTGGAGTTGGGTCTCGACGCGACGACCATGTTCCGAAGGAGAGGCACTCCTGAAAGGTTCCAAGAGGCGGTCCTCCTTCGAATTGGAAACTTGCCAGAGCAATTCCAAGAGATTACGTCTCGCCAGGAGGATATCCTGGGTGAAGTTCTGTACGATATCTTGAGATTTTATCGATTCACAGACGGAGATCACTGGCTTCAAACGGATGATGAGAAGGGCGATGAGGAGAAGGGCGACGAGGAGAAGGGCGACGAGGAGAAGGGCGATGAGGAGAGCGATGAGGAGGAGAGTGATAAGGAGGAGAGCGATGAGAAGGGCGATAAGGAGGAGAGCGATGAGGAGGAGAGTGATAAGGAGGAGAGTGATAAGGAGGAGAGTGATAAGGAGGAGAGTGATAAGGAGGAGAGTGATAAGGAGGAGAGTGATGAGGAGGAAGAGAGTGGCGAGGAGGGTGACGAAGGCGATGATCTTAAGATTCAGGTTGAGATGGACATTGACCCCAAGGGAGGTAATGGCGAAGGCTCTCCTTCTGGCCATAAGCGTAAATTTGATTGGGAGGAAGAGGACGAGCCCAGCAAAAAGCGAGCTGTACAGTAAATAGTTCTATGTGTACTTTGCGCCTTTAATGGTGCACTCTGTTGATAGGTATCTAGGTTTCAATATTTTTGCTTTACGAGTATTGCTTGAAATGTGAAGCGACACGTAGATCCAGAATCCAGAATGAATCATAAATAATCCAAGATTGGTTTGTCTCAATGTAACATGGTCAGAGTCTTGTGCATTGTGGCTTTGTCGGATCATTGGGGTGTGCATGATGAAGGGATGGTGGTGGAATAGTGCCCTCTGGTAGGATCTTATTGGACTCGTCGGATATGCCATGTTAAGCTTGAAAGGCAGCATCCTCGTCAAACCAATTAAGGTCCAATTTGAGGCCAACAATATAGCTTCGTTGATATCCCATCGTGGACAATATACAATCTCCGTTTGGGGCAAGAAAAAGAGACTGAACCAGACTCCTGGTCTTAAGTCCACGGTACACCCGAGGGCATGAAATCCGAGCATACGATATCGGACATTTGACACGAAATATGCTAGTAAAACCTATTATCTTCTCAGGTGTTTAGTTAAGCAATTCCGAGAACCTGGACTCGCGTAACTCGTGAGAATATCTATGGGAGTACGCGGGTTTATTTCCTCGGAATGGCTTACCGTGAGATCTTAGCGTCCCCACATGCGGCAACCTTAAATATTAAAAGGAGCAACACATCAAACATGCTTGCTCAGAAGTCTCACTCAAATTGTTCGATCTGGTGTGTCTTTGAGGTTCACTCGGGGGGAAACACGCCATCGGTTTACCGTATGAGTCGGTGAATTTTGGGACTTTGATGCGAAATTCCCCTTATCTCCAATAGTCCAATGGAATATGTCGAAATCTGCGCACGCGAACAACAAATGCAATATCATTGCGAATCAACCTGTTGAGCTAGGACTGGCCTGCCGGGATACGCAGGCAGCCAGAGACCAGGTCCCTCCGAAAATGTGTCAGTAGTATTCGTTAGAATTCTTAAGTTCGGGTCAGGGAACAAAGTCTCGAAAAGATTCACCAGTTGACGTAGCGACTACGCGAGTAACGATGCTATTTCAATAATCTTTTAGACCAACAGGTCTATTCAAGGTTCACAAACAACAAACAAGAGGTAGCGCAAAACCGACACTCCGACAACAAACAAAACCATCACGCGTTGTACATTTCAAGTGCACTTAAAACCCATCCCTTGTAAGGAACAACGGCATCGAATCCTCCCAAATGGAGTTTGTCAAAGGACGCTTATTGGATCCATCAGGGTCCATAATCATAATCTGACCATAGGGCTGGAAGGTCCGGTCGTACAGAGCGCACTCACACCTGAAGCCGTACATTCCCGAGGACCACATGATCTTTCCGTCCTGGCGCCAAACAGCGTGCGCATCATTAGCACCGCTGGTGGTCAGGACGCGGAGATCCGTGCCGTCAGCGCGGATGGTGCAGATGTCATAATTTGTCGGGTTAATCTTGCGGGTAAAGAGGATGAGCTTTCCATCTTGCGAAAAAGACGGTAGGTTATCCCAACTGCTGGTAAGCTGGGTGATCTTCCGGGTCTCCAGGTCGAGTATGCGTAACCCAATTTCTGTCCCGTCATTGTGCATGAGCGTGTTGGGTCCCCAGACGCGATAGACGAGCTTCTTGCCATCCGGGGAGAAACTGGGAAACCCACTATTGAGCTTGCCTCCATCCGTAAGATTCAGCTGACTATCAACAAGCACCTCCGTGTAGCTTCCGTTGGCGGTGGATCGCATAATCCAGCCTCCGTGCACATCACGCTCGTCAAACCACGAGCCGACTCCAAACGCAATCCAGTCGCCATCCGGGGACCAACTTGGGTAATATGCCCCACGCTCGTTGTGCGTGGCTGACGCGCGATAGATGAGGTCGCTGTCGCTTGAGCTGTATACTGACAAAACCTCATTGCCATTAGTGTCAAAAGTGAGTATCGAAGCGTCACCATGCTGCCTGTGGGTGACAGCAATGAGCTCATCTGACGAGAGCTGGGGGAATACATAGGTGAACCTGTAATCCCAGTCGTTGTCCCAGCTATATAACTTCTTATAAAGGGGACGAACTGACCAGTCAACCTTCTCGTATACTACAAGCTTCCCGTCTGGCGACCATGAGGGTGAGCGGATATCGGCTGTGTAGCAGGTGCCGTCAGTGTGATACAAGCCGTCATTTTGGCCGCCTTTCACATGATATCCAATTGTGGTGTTTGTCACATATTGTGGAAATGTCTTCACATTAGGACCATCAACCTCCACGCGACGGTCGGTGCCGTCAAGTCTAATCGAAACGATAGCGGAGCTTGTATTGGCCAAGGACTCAGGACGGTGTGCATCGTATGTGGCATTACGAGTCATCTCGTAGAATACAAGCCGCTCCTCATCGGGTGACCACTTCGGCGATCCAAGAGAATAGCGAGTCCGGTTTGTAACAAGACGAAGGTCTGAGCCATCAGGACGAATGACATAAATGGCGAGCTCTTGAGTGTGTTCCCAGCCGGCGAGGCCGTTAAAGCTAGGCCGTCCATGGCCATCCCAGATGGTGTTGCGGTCTGAGGAAAATGCAATCCACTCTCCGTCCGGTGACCAAGCAGGACGGAAGTTCCCATGCATCATATCTGGATCTGCCCTATTCGCTGGAGTATCGGTAATATTCCATTCGGTACCAGTGTCCAGGTCCTTGATCCAGATATTGGCCTCGAAGTTGTTGGCTGTCGAAACATAGGCTACCAATGTCCCATTGGGTGAGATCACAGCACTGTCTTCGACTGCTGGAGATGTCACGATTGGCTGTAAGTCCGACCCATCTGGGCGCACACGCCAGATATCGGAGTTTCCATCACCGTTGCGCTCACTGGTGAAGCTAATCCATTGGGCATCAGGAGAAAAATCGGCGTGGTATTCATAGACGGGATTCTTCAACAAGGGTCGCTCATTGGTTCCGTCTGCATTGGCAATGTACAATTTGGATTTGGCCGGGGAGATTCGGTTCATCAACATCACACCCTTTTTTCCAGCCGCGGAAGAGGCCGTAGCGGAGCCAACAGCCGGCGTTTCTCCGGTTGGAATGGTGTCGCGAGCCAAATTGGCGTGGGGATTTGCGCTGCTGCCGACATGAACACCTGCATCTTGGGCATAGGGACAGGCCGCAAGCGCGGGGGCGATGGTGAATCCGAGTAAACATACAAGACGCATTCTAGATATAGGGATGAGATAGGGGAATCTTGGGAAGCCAGAGAAGCAGACTTAGGAGAATGATTCAGTACCTGGCCGTTGGGGAAGATGGTCAAGGTTGCCCACCACATTTAAACATGGGAGCCTTCCCAGGTTGGACGGAAGCATCTCTTAGAGTAAAGTTATATACGTGTCGTCCCTTTCCAAGGTTCCTCGCGGTAATCTAGTCCCAATGTCGGAGCAGTTCTGAGCTGAAGGCGTAATATACAAGGGTCAGTGAGCTTACCTTTTAACTCCTTGGGCCGGCCTTGTTTCTTTGTCAGATTTAGAGAAAGAATAAGTAGACTTTATTTCTACGTGAGCGAAGGCTACATGGACGAATATGAAGGTGCTACTTATGAATATGGCTCTCAATACCATTGACCGGCTGCCCAATAGCTGATGGGCTGGTGTATTCCCAAGGAAGATCAATGGTTACATTGAGAGGGGACAAACGGGCAGGTGTAAGTATACTATTATCGTGCGGCAGAGGGGGCTAGAAGCAGCACTGCCAGGGGTATCCTTGGTTATCCATTGCCCATGGCACCCAATAGTCAATACGCACCTGCACCTGTATGTCAGGAAGTACTAACAATCGCTCGCAACATAACTAGAGCAACCTTTCGACATTCCAAGTATCGATTTCCCTCTTTTTCCGAACAAACTTATACATTCTGACCCGACAGAACTACGCCAATTGTCCGAGGTCTGTAGCTTGATTCCATTAAGCCCCTTAGTTGGCGTTGTGTGACACTTGGCCGGCCAAATTCAGGTGAAAGAAGGAACTACCGGGCTTTACCTCGGGTGGACCTGCAGCATAAGACATCGATGCGAGCTGTCATTTGAGTCAATGGACCGCGATGTCGGTGCAGCACAGTCATCTCAGAACACCTAGTTTGGACTGATCTAGAAAGCACTGTCCAGGGAACTGGGTTCCAAGATGTGATAGAATGTGGTACAGATGCCGATGTCGCCATGTTGTTAGCAAATCTATACGATGTCGCATTCGAAGCAAAATATTCCTCAGGATTTAATCTCTCAGCCTAATTGAATGTCCCACCAAGAAGAGACCTAGCATAATACACATGGAATGACTACGATAGGCAACAGGAAAATGTCCAATCGGTGTGTATCCCTGCCAGGCCCAGGTAGCAGTGAGACGTGATGGATGAGGGAGCTGAAAGCACCCGACTAGGATTGAAGCTGCGTCAGTCGATGGCGTATTATGGGCTTGGTCTACAACCTGGTTGATTGTCCAGCGCCAGATTGAAATGCAGCTGAGGTTTAGAGAAGTACACCTTCCTGGCTCTTTCGGTTAAATTGTGCGAAGGGTGAGAAGCATTCCGTGTCACACAGCCGATCGGACTTCGCCTATCTGGCTCTATCAAAGGGCTTTGCGAGATGTCTGGGTTCTGAAGTGACAAGTCCTGCATGAGATTCGGCGCGTATGACCTGAAAGTACGTTTCCTTCGAAGCTTGTGGTCGATCGGAACTCAGTCGCAGGAGCTTAATCGGACCGCCCTCCCATATTGGGCAACGTCAGCCGAAGCGCATCTCACGTAACTGATCAGTTCTCTACAATAGCGCCCACTATTGAGAGCCCCCAGTCTCTTTGGCGGAATCTCGTTCCTTCACAAAGGTATTCTCAAACTCAAGCCCAGCGTCTTGGCGGATGATACCGTACCCAGCCGACGAATCTAAGGAACGACCACCATGGGCGTCTGCGAATGTTTTCGCCCGCGTCATATTTTCCAAAGCCACCTCAGCAACCTTCAACCTCATCCCAGCGTCTTGGGCGGAAGTGACACCATGCTGAACATCCTTAATACCTAGCTCCAGACTGGACCAAGGGGATTCACCTAATGATAACATCAGTAAAAGGCGAAAGACAATATCTGAAAATGATGTTATTACCTTCTCCTGGAAGGTAAACGCCTTGCGTCATACGCGTGGAGGTAGAATGCATCAAGCTTCCGAAGTTCAGCTCGAGCAGCTTCTCAAGTGTGGCTGTGCCGAGTTCGCTTTTCTCTGCAAACACTTGCGCTTCTCCAATAGTCTCCATCATTCCAGCAATGATAAAGTTACTGCCGAGTGTCAACAAGATTGACTTGCACAGTATTGAGGCAATGCAACTCACCCCAGGGTCTTGAGAAGACTCGCTTTTTGAGGCTGCTCCGACACTACCATCACCTGACTAGCAAGAACGCCTTTCACAAAAGGCGAGACAATCTCAATTGCTGCTTTAGGGCCCGCCATCCCCATCAAAACAGTCCCGCTCTCTGCGGCCGGCGTGGCTCCGAACACCGGTGCTGTCATACCATGTGAGGAACTGCGGATCATTAACACGATTAATAGGGATACTTACCAGCAATAAGGCTTGCTCCACGGCTCTTCAGCTTTTCGTTTGTTTCTTTCGTCGTGTTGGCATGCACGGTCGTAGTGTCCACAATGATCTTGCCATCGATATCTTCAGCAGACAAGATTTGGTCAACGATGCCAATCAAGGCAGCGTCATCGCTCGTCTTAGTGCTGGATGTCAGTTGTCACTATCACGTACCAGAATACAATCCATATACTCACCGATATGAATATCAGATCACATTCAGCAACAAGCTGTACGATAGATTCGCATCCGATACCGCCAAGTGACTTGAGGGGTTCCCCGCGAGAAGCCGTCCGGTTCCAGTACCGCAACTGTGGTCTACCTTCGCGCTGGAGAAACTTCTGAATATTTCGAGCCATTGCCATGCCCATACTTCCAAGTCCTGATCGGGATTAAAAACGTCCGGTGCGGTTTGGGCTTGGTTGGTTGCCGTACCTATCCATCCCACAACCGGATGCTCAGTTGACGCCATTGTTCAGACACTCTTGTTCAGCGGTACCGAGCTTATGTGCAGATTGACCTAATGTATGTTTGCTTATGCCGGAGACACAATGGGAAAATATAAAGCTGAGGGCCTGAGGCTCACGCGCTTCGGCTTGAGCCGAAGCTGACTCATCGTTCTAACCAATCAAATGCAGGCATCGGGAGAACCTCCGAATCCCTGCAGTATGCACTTGTTGATTCGTTTCAATTGAGGTCATCAGTAATTGTCTATGATAGGCGTGAATCGCTACTGGGTTTGAACTACTCGCTGTTCTACTTGAGGAAGGCCAAAACCTGTACATGAGACTGGGATTTGATCCCCATACTAGCATTAAAACTTCACAAATTTTTGAGGTGCCTATACATGGGACATATCCTAACCGCAAACGCCCGCACTATCTAACATGCACAATTCAACCCAAGCTTCAGTTCTTCTCGGCCTTCTCACCCTTCTCCAGCTTACGTCTCTTCGAGCGAAGCTTAGCCGACTCTTCAGCGGTCTTCTTGTTAGAGTACATCATCTTCTCGAGCAGCTTGCGCTTCTTCCGGCTCATCATCATCTTCTGTCTCTCGAGCTCCTCGTCCTCGCTGCGCTTCTTGGCGGCGACCTTCTTGGACTTGGATGACTTCTTCTTGGCTGCCTCGTCGGTGCCATTGGATGTGAACGGCAGGCCGGCGGCTTCGGCCTCGAGCTCCTTCTGGTGCTGAGTGCGAGCGGCCTCATCGTCATCTTCAGACTCAGATGCGGCTCCGTCCTCGAATCCACCGAAGTCTTCATCTTCCTCGTCGGATTCCTCCTCGCTATCGTCATCGTCGGTGCCGGCGACATCCATGCCACCGTCGACAGACTCTTCCTCAGATGCCTCGGCCTCGGCGGCCTTGGTGTCCTCTGTGGGCTCATCTTCCATCTCCTCGTCACTGTCAGAGGCCTCAGCGGCAATCTCAGCCTCATCCTCCTCCTCTTGGTCAGCAAGAGAGGCGCGGGGGTCGTAAGCGCCGCGAGTAGGCTTAACCCAAGGGCTCAAATGGGGAGGCAGAGTGGCACCGGGTGCGTAGAGGTCAGCGCGGAGGAGTTTGCCTTCGTTAACACAGTCCCAGACCCACTGGGGCTGAACATAGGTACGGCCAGGGATGCGGGTTCCAGGCTGGACCTTCTGAACGGCATTCTCATCGGCAGCCGGAATGGCGGGAAGAGACTCCTGGGGAAGTGAAGGACGATCGACGATCTGGTGGGTGATGCGGGGGTCGCTCTCGTCGTGAGTGAAAGCTCCATCGCCGAGCACGGAAGCCCATCCAACGCGCGTGCAGCCGAATGAGCGGAGAATGAACTCCAGAGGAGCCTTGGGGGCTTCACGTGAGATGTAGAACACGAAGGGGGCGAAAAGTGCACCGGCCTCGTTGCCGCTCATGCCGGGTTGGGGGAGGGTATCGGCCTCGGGAGCGGCGGGCTCGAAATGGTCGATGGCATCGGTTGACTCCTCAGGAGCCTCGGCCATTTGCTCATCTTCGGACTGATCCAAACCGGCCTTCTTGATCACCTTATCAACCTTGGCTTGGAGTTCCTTAGAGACCTCCTTGTTGGAGTTGCCATTACTCTGGGCCTTGCTGGCCTCGATAGCCTTAGGCACCTCACCGACTGCACGGCCCTCGAGAGTGAAAGCGGCCAACTCAGCACCGTTCTCATCGCTGCGGGTATCGAACTTGGGAGGATATCTCAATCCAATTGATGAATACAAGCGGAAGTTGACGAAGCCCAGCAGGGTGGTGTAAAACTCGACGAAGGTAGCCATGATACGGTAATCGACATCGCCGTTGACACGCTGAACGAAACGGTATGGCACAAGCCACATGATATCTTGTCCCTGAATGGTAGCCTGGTAGTAGATACCCTTAATGGAAAGGAAGGATTTGCGCAGTGAGTTGGTCATGATCAAGTAATGCTGGAACTCGTGGCAAAGGCGCTGGCAGAGCGCAACGGTCTTGGAGGGAACATAGTCGGTGGAAGGGAGGGTAGCGAAGAGGAAGAGAAGAGACAAAGCGTCGTCGAGATCACGGAGGGCGTCAATAAAGGTCGGGTAGCGCTCTTTGATGACATGGTCCAAGGTGAGTTTCGGGGCGTGGTTCTTTTCTAAACGTGAGGCATCGCTGACTTCTCCACGGCCGAGAGAGCGGGCGATCTTCTTTGCAAGGGCCTTCTGGTCACGGAACTTGTTAAGAAGCGGCTCATGCAGTAGATACTGAATGTCCTTGGTGTAGTAGAAGGTTGTGTTGGGCGTGGAGGTCTTGGAGGCCTTCTTCTTATTACGGGGCTCGCGAGGGTAGATACCTGATATCGGAGATTGTGTTAAACTTGCGATTCAATTGCAATACCCAGAGGAGAGAAAATTACCCTTGAAGATGCATAGTCGACGGAAATCCGGCAAAGAGATCTGAAGTTTGCGCACGGCCTGTGTTCTGGTAATGTAGTTCTTGGCCGAGCCAGAGGTACCTGAAAGAACTGTCAGTCAAGCCAATTGAAATTTCCGGTTCATTTGCGCATACCCTTCTTCTTTATTCTGCCCATGGTGAAAAGTGGTTGTCAAAAGTTATAAACGGCTGCTGATAAGAAGAAGAAAAATTTCTCGATAACTTTTTTTTCTTACCGCAACAACTTGGTCCGTGCACCGAAGGCGGAGAGCGGGCTGGTCCCAAGGGCCAAGCTGGTATCAACAACTGAACCTCACCAGTCATGGCGATAGACCGGCGGAAGATTGCTGTGTTCGGCGCAGCCTTTGTGCTGCGTCTTCTTCTTATATGTATTTTTCCCTCGCTGCCGGATCTGTTGACTGGGCGAGTTGAAGTCTCCACGCCCGTCAGTAGCTTCAAACGCCGTACGTGTCTCCGACCATTGACGCCACATTCTGTAGACTAACTCCGATTTATAGTGCAAGAGGGCTTGTTTTTGTACACGAGAAATGTCTCCCCCTATGATGGCGGCGTCTTTCATCAGGTTCGTGGATCTATATCCGGTTGAAACTGTTCTCCGAATTGACAATTCGATCCGACGATCTAGGCACCACTCCTGTTACCTCTGTTCGCCTTACTTCCCGACGCGAAAAGCTCACCTTTACCGACTGCTATCTTCTACTTCCTCGTCGACCTGTTGAATGCGCATGCTTTGATCTCCATTTCTGCATCCGGCCAATCAGTCCAGTCAAGACTTCACTCGGCGGTTCGAAAACACGTCCGATGGGACGGAGTCTCTGTTGCAGCATTGTGCGATACTCCAGTCTGCTAGTCATATATTCACATACTTACCGATTGATAGGTTTTTGTTCAATCCTTTCACCATTGCGACATGTTTAGCGAGGTCAACAAACGTTTTCACCACATCGGGAATCCTCTTCGCCGTTTCCAATGCCGTCGGAGGCAATAGCATCAACGCCATGCTAGCCTTAGGATTCGCCTCCTACTTGTCTCTATACCCTGCGTTGCTATTTATCCCATTGGTCCTATTGTGTTATGACCGACGGCTGCAGGGACCAGCCCCACCAAATTCGACATCTTTCATTGTTCAACATGGTGGCCTGTTGCTAGCCACAGTCGCAGGCCTTCTCGGGCTCTCGTGTCTGATTACCGGCAATTTCTGGGAGTTTATCTCAGCGACATATGGCTTCCACCTCCTGGTACCCGACTTGACTCCCAACGTGGGGCTGTGGTGGTATTTCTTCATTGAGATGTTCGACTCATTCCGGGAGTTCTTCCTCGGTGTATTCTGGCTTCACCTGGCCAGCTATGTCGGGGGCCTTACGGCTCACTTCCGTTCCCAACCTCTATTTGTTATTACCTCGCTTTTAGGTATCTTCGCCATCTTCAAGCCGTACCCTAGTATCTCGGATGCATCATTGTTTTTCGCGCTGCTACCACTGTACCGGCACCTTTTCCCATGTGAGTATCTTCAAGCGTTGTATGTGCGTCCGAGATCAGCAGGACTGACCCGATACAGTGATGCGATATACGTTCTTCGCAGGCGCGGCAATCCTATATTCCAGCCTCCTCGGCCCTGCTTTCTACCACCTTTGGATCTACGCAGGATCTGGAAACGCCAACTTCTTCTATGCTATTACCCTGGTGTGGAGCCTTGGTCTCTCAGTCCTACTAGCCGACGTCATATTCGCTGCTATCAGAGACGAATGGGAGCAAGAGAACCCAGAGCGGGTGGGCCTGAAGGTCCGACAGGTGTAATGTATGCATATTGGTTCCTTTTTTTACCATATTCTCGCTGTGGTGATATCACCTCGTAGCATTAGAACATCCAGCAAGAGATACCCAGCTATCACAATTTCAGCCTTTTCGACAAAATCAAATAGCCGTACTCCTTAATAGTCCCGTTGCGCAACTTCCGCGGTCGGGGCGAGAACTCATCAACCTCATACCCAAGCCGCTCATAGAACCGCCGAGCAACCTCATTCGACTTGAAAACCGTCAACATGGCCTTCTCCAAGCCAACAGCCCGACCAATGCCCTCCATCCGCTCCATAAGCACCCTCCCGACGCCCCGCCCCCGGGCCGTCGGCGACAAGTGGATCTCGTAGCAGTAAACAACCTCCTTCCCATCCTCGTAGGTAACCATAAACGACAAGAATCCGAGCACGTTCGGAGAACCAGAATTGCCCGTCTGAACCAGCTCGTCGCGATTCTCTACGGCCTTTCCATCGGTGACCTCACTCTGCTTCTCAGCCGCAGCGTCCGTCCCACTAGAATTAGAGCGGAGGTTTGGCAGGTCACGCAGAATTAGATATTTCATATCAGGCAACTTCATCTCTTTCCGTTTCTTGGTACGCGACCAGCCGCCACTCGCAGCGGCAGCGTAGTCCTCGCTAGATGTCTGCTCGACCAAATCGAGACATGCTTCCAGATCGGAGGCTCGAATCGTTGCTGCGGAGTAGATCTCCATTGGTAGTCCGGCGGTATCATCTTGGCTCAGCTGTGGCTGGTCCTGGACTTGTATTGATTGATTGATCCCATCGTTTTTCAATGGATCACCTTGTGTGAGCGGAGTCACGTATTGAGCGATGAAGTCCTCGATGGATAGTGCGTTGGTCTGTTCGACTACCGCTACCGACGCTGGGGGATTGTTAGCATGCTTCACATCTTTTGGTTCGAGGTTTGAGCAGATCTCGTAGAGCAACGCATGGAGTCATCATTCGGGATGAAGGGAGCTCGGCTACGTTGCGAGAGTGGCATCTACACACATTTGTTGGAGACGCGTCTTGTTGCGCTGCGCGCTCTTTTGGACTTGGATTTCGTGATACGGCCTTCTTTCACGGAGGACATTGTTGAAGGTGCTAATGTGCCTTGAGTTGGAAATGAGCAGGTCCTCGATCAGGGCAATTCAGTGTGTGTGGCTCCAATGCATGGAGTTTGAAGGTTCATGGTATGGAGATTGTTGTTCCCGACTGGGCTACTGGGCGATGGCCCGGCGGCCTCGGTTTTGGACTTCAAGGGAGACGCGCCCACCACGTCCTTGCTATTCTTTTACTTTTATTCTAACTCAAGGCCGTTGATCAGCTTAAAATCCTGTGGGGGCCTCAAAGGCCTGATTTTTCGAAAATCTAGTAGTTGATATGTTCCTTTCGGATGAACGGGCTACACTATATGTACCGGCGAGGTATCCTACCTACTTCCATGCCTCGAAGTCAGCCCTTCAGTGCGCGGGTACGATCCATCCACATGAGTCCAAAAGACCAGCATATCTATACATTTACTTAATGATACCTAGGGATAATATGTGCATCAAGGTTTAATCATACATAACCTTGCTCTTGACATGTGTGAGTGTGATATGCACTACTGTGTAAGCCCGCTCGCTAGCGGCACTTCCAATACCTTCAACCTTAGGTTCGAGATTGAATCAACGCCAATTTCCAGACCACGGAGTAAAACATATGGGAATGCAAGAAACACGTACTTGTGACTGTCAGTCTGTCCGAGGTCCTTGAAGTTATCAGTCGACTTACTTCCGAGCCTTCCGAGCTACAGGCATAACGTGCAGGACTAGTACATTCGATATTTCTGAACTGCGTTCACAACTTCTATTTTCACCGAACTACATCGATCGACTGTGTCAATACCTGAAGGAGTCATCATCTACGAAGTACAGTCCCCGGCCCAATGGCCTTTTCCGCTCATGGATCTTTGTAACTATGATGAATCATGTGGACCGCAGGTCCGCAGAAATAGGCTGCATACGTCATGGCCATATCAATCCCCTCCGTCCGCACCTCAACATTCTTGTACGCTGTTTGAAACAGATCAAACGTATATCAAATTGAAACATGTCGCCCTCAACTATGAAGCAGTGGTATATTAAAGATGCGGAGCACGACCTTGATGGCCTTGTTTACCAGGACGCTGCCGTCCCTAAAGTCGGCGAGAATGAAGTCCTCGTAAAGCTCGAGGCCGCATCGCTCAACTACCGTGACTTGATTATTCCCAAGGTAAGCCATTGCAATCAGAGCGGAACTTTCACCTTACGCAATCGTCTTAAGTCTACTGTTCCCTCGCCCAAAATGATCTCTAACTTATTTTCCACAGGGAAAATATCCATTCGCTCTTCAGCTGCCCGTAGTACCAGGCTCTGATGGCGCGGGTGAAGTTATCGAAGTGGGCGCCAAAGTCTCCCAGTTCAAGAAGGGTGACCGTGTAGCCACTCTCTTCAACCAGGGCCACCAATATGCCGAAATTGACACCTACGCGGCCGGGACTGGCCTGGGTGGTGTCGTTGATGGCACCCTGCGCGAGTACGGCTCTTTCAATGAACAGGGTCTTGTCAAGGCGCCGAAGAACCTTAATTCCATTGAGGCTAGCACCCTGAGCTGCGCAGCACTTACCAGCTGGAATGCCCTGTACGGTCTGAAGCCTCTGAAGCCCGGCCAAGTTGTTCTCGTGCAAGGAACTGGCGGTGTCAGTATGTTTGGATTGCAGGTCAGTACAGAAGCTATCGGCTATAGATGAAATATGATACTGACATTACATAGTTCGCTAAAGCCGCTGGCGCGACTGTCATTGCGACAACCTCTTCTGAGGAGAAGGCGCAGAAGCTCAAGAAGCTCGGTGCCGATCACATTATTAACTACAAGAATGACCCCAACTGGGGCGAGACTGCTCGGAAGCTGACCCCCGATCAAGCCGGTGTGGACCACATTATCGAAGTGGGCGGTAGTGGAACCCTCCAACAGAGCTTCAAGTGTGTGAAGCTGGAGGGTGTTATCAGCGTAATTGGATTCCTTGGAGGCGTGGACCCCAAGACCCAGCCGACTGTTCTGGAGGCACTGAACCACATCTGCACTGTCCGTGGTGTCTATGTCGGTAGCAAGGCTCTCATGAAGGATATGGTTCGCGCCATCGAAGCCAATGATATCCACCCCGTTGTGGATGATAAGGTGTTTACTCTGGACCAGGCTAAGGAGGCTTATACTCACATGGTAAGTTATTCCCAATCTGTGAGAAGTGTTTAGTTGCTAACAGGTGTGATGCAGTTTGCCCAGAAGCACTTCGGCAAGTTGGCTATCAAAATCAACTAAATGGTGTAGAAGCATTCTCAACCTTACCATGCGAAATTGAGTCAGACATTCATCAATCAACTAGTTATGTGTTATGTAGTCCCACAAATGCGATAAATTGCCCCGGCTATATGAAAGATTGTTGTCAGTATAAATTGAAGTGTACTCGCAATTGGGGTCTTTCACAAGGGTATGTCTAAAAGTAGTCATTGCTACCCTTCGTAGTACTACCTTCGGGCTTCACCAACTTCCTACCGAATCAGCAGACCTGAGTAGTTCCCCGCCTCGTGCGGGCATCCGAAGCCAAACGAATCTCAGCGATCTATCTTCTTCAACGTTACACTGATATAGACAGGGTCTTCATAATCTCTATACTAAACTCTAATATCTGGAATTATTCAATAAAGAAGCCTTTGACACTTGCGGAGTTGCGGCTACTGCATCCAAAATCTGATTGGATTGTACGGACCGACGGTCTACCCCTCTTCAATGGAGGTCAACACTAGAACCAACCACTCAACGCTCCCAAGCCGGGGTATAAGCCAAGTTCGAAAGTCACAGACGCCATTCATACGCCCAGCTCAAATGGCCATATTTGCACGGGTGACATCATATCCACCACTGGGACGGATCACTTCTCTCCGAAGGCAGAAGGCGTCAGGATCCGATGAAAGGGATACGGTAAGTCTTTCAAGTATCGTGCTTATTTGATGTCACCTTTCATTTACTACTCGAGTACGAAAAAAAGTATACTAAATATCCCCAACAGTTGCGTTTCACCGTTACAATAGAGTCAAGCAACTCCTTCCCCGCACAGTCATGGGAAGCGCAGATCTGGCACAACATCACAGGTCCCGAATGGACCTCACTGCCCCTGCAGGAATGTGGAACAGACCACGCAGCACTGTTGACCGGAACTGAGCACGAGTACAACTACTATCGTCACGTATTCAGTGAACAGATACCCCTGCCCCCCGCGGGAGGTCATGCTCAGTTCACTGTCCGATTTCGCACCGGTCCGGATGCAGAATGGCAATGGGCTAACCAAAAGCAGTCTGTGGGCGATGGCGAGATTGTATATAGCCCATGCTATTCTAAGATTGATGGTTTGGGCCCTGCTGGTGAAAAGCCCGAAGAACTGGGAAAGTACATCGAGAATCTCAGTCATGAATTGCATGTTGAGTCACGGCGCAGCGAAGCTCCTGGCTCGGCACTATGGGCTTTGTCTGGTGATATACATCCTGTCAAGGGTGGAGTGTCTAGCATCAAACGACTTGTACTAGGCACACCTTCCTTAATGGTGAGGTACTTCTCCCTGGTTCGTGTTTGGAGTCCATGGCTCGGGCCTAGACATGGGAAGGATAGGTTTCGACTTACTGAAGATGCGATATTGTGTTCATTCTTGCAAAAGGATGGAGTGCACCTTGTTCTACTGGCTATATCGGGAGTCGACGATGTCTTGACTGTGTTTCGGTCAGGTGAGAACGGTGAAGTTTTGATTACGGCAAAGAGTGATAACTTAGAGCCATCAAAGTTCCAGGTGCTTGTCAGTGCTGCGGAAGACTTTGAAGTTGCCGTTTCTGCGGCCATTTATGAGGCAAGAAAGGTAGTCAGGCCGTTTGGGGATGTTGCTCATCATCTTTCGGAAATTGAAGAACCAGAGCCACTGTCTCCCATTGGCGATGATGTGGTCATTGTGGAGAAAGATCCCAGTGCACAGTGGTTGTCTCAGTGGCTTGATGGTCTTACATATTGTACTTGGAATGGACTGGGTCAGGACCTCAGTGAACAGAAGATCCTGCATGCATTGGATGACTTGAAGGCGAATGGAATCAATATTGTCAATCTGATCATTGATGATGGCTGGCAGACTAATGACAATGAAGGGGAGTCCCAATTCAACCAAGGCTGGAAACAGTTCGAGGCACACTCGAAAGGGTTCCCAAGAGGGCTGAAGAAAACGGTCGAATCCATCCGGGGAGCACATCCCCACATTGAACATGTCGCAGTTTGGCATGCCTTGCTGGGATACTGGGGTGGGGTCGCACCGGATGGAGACCTGGCTCGAAGATTCAAAACAAAGCAAGTCAAGATCAAAGATCCGTCTGCCAATGGTCCCATTGCGGAAAACCTTCCAGATGGGAAAATCCTTGCCATTGATCCTGACGATGTGAAACAATTCTACGATGAATTCTATAGTTACCTAACATCTGCTGGTGTTGACTCGGTAAAGACCGACGCACAATTCTTCATCGATCTTCTCGAGGACCCGGACGACCGTCGGAGCTTCATGACATCCTATCAAGATGCATGGTCCGTGGCATCGCTGAAGCATTTCAGCAATCGGGCAATCTCATGCGGGTCAATGACCCCTCAGATAATCTTCCATTCCCAAATGCCCGCCAACAAACCGACAATCCCTCTGCGTAACTCCGATGACTTCTTTCCCAAAGTCCCAGCCTCTCACACATGGCACGTATTCTGCAACGCCCACAACTCCCTTCTCACCCGCTATCTGAACGTATTGCCCGACTGGGATATGTTTCAAACAAGTCATCCGTACGCATCGTTCCACGCTGCAGCTAGATGCGTATCAGGCGGACCGATCTATATCACCGATGAACCAGGCAAACATGATCTGGCCCTTCTCGACCAAATGACTGCACCAACAGTCAAGGGAACCACGGTGACCATGCGACCGAGCGTCGTCGGACGAACAATGGACATATATCACGACTACAACGAAGGACACGTTCTGCGAGTCGGAAGTTACACCGGGTGGGCCAAGACCGGAAGTGGAATCTTGGGTCTTTTCAATATCCAGTCTGCGGAGACTCCTAGCATAGTCTCGTTGATGGATTTCCCAGGTATTCACGAGGATTCAGAAGGCCAATACATTGTGCGCGGGCACACCAGCGGCAAGATATCCGCTCTGATGCGGTCATTGGATAAGGGGTCCCTTCTATCGGTTGTTTTAGAGCCGAAGGGCTGGGAGATTCTCACTGCGTATCCCACTCAGCCGTTCATGCTCGAGGGCAGTCGTGGGTGCGGCTCTTCAGGTGATAATCTGACACATGTGGCCGTGCTTGGTCTCATTGGGAAGATGACTGGCGCAGCGGCCGTGATCAACTCCGATATATCTGTTCTTGAGAATGGTCGTTTGCGATTTGATATCAGCTTGAAAGCGCTTGGAACACTCGGTATATATTTTTCGGAACTTCATGGCAAAAGCCTTGCCGGGAACTTTATGGTCATGATATTGGGACGTCCGGTCCCAGAGAAGACTGTTTGGATGGAAGGTGGAGAGAATGCTAATGTGCTGGCCATTGATGTATTGAAGGCTTGGAAGGATATGAAGTTGGACAGTGGATGGAGTAATGAGGCTTTTGTACAAGTTTTCGTAGGTTAATGCAGAAGCCAAAGCTAGAGACAGCGATTTCTTTGACAGTACATTTGCTCCATAAGACACGAGTCCAACTGAACCTCCGAGACCAGAGTCCAGCTGGACGGTTGTACATACTTCACTAGCCCTGAGCCCTAATTAATGTCCCATCTAGGTATCCGATCGACAGGGCGTAGATAAGGCCCGCATTATCAATGTTCCGGACTTATCGAAAGAATCTCGAAGCTCACTCGACACGCGAGAGTCCATTACAAGCCGTCTCATTAACATTCGCATTCCAAAACCGGTCAAATGCGACCACAGACCGCATCGCTCACCCGGGCGCCATGCCGGAACCTCCTCGACGCCATTCGGGTCCCGTACGGAGCGCGCAGTTTTGCCGCAACATCAACACCTCCGCTGCGCGGTGACAGCAATCGTCCGATATTGTCTGTTCTACAGTCTGGGACATGCTTCCAGCAGCAAAGATGGATCACGCAAAAATATATTCAGCGTATGAAGGATGGAGAGAAGGAGTGGGCTGGGTTTAAGAAGGAGATTGAAGCTGGAACGAGGAAGAGCTTCGTGCAACACCTGGAGGAGCGAGGGTTAATTCATGATGTTGTCGGGTATGTTATGCTTGGATAAACTGGATTCGATTGACCCTGGCTTCCTACGGGGCTTGCTTGAATGATGCGCTGACTGTTTACGGATTACAGAGAACGCGACTTATTGCACAGAGTCTTGACGGAGAAGCGGGCTGGTATTTACGTGGGAATTGACCCGACCGCTCCTTCAATGCATGTCGGCCACATGCTGCCTTTCATGGTTCTGGCTTGGGGATATGTTTGGGGACTTCCCGTGACTTTTTTGGTTAGTTGCCTGCACTCTCACGGCATAATTGAAAGGTGACAACTGACATTGTTTAGCTTGGCGGTGCTACATCCAGAGTTGGCGACCCTAGCGGGCGTCTTAAGGGCCGAGATGCAGTACACTCCTCAATCCGGAAAGCGAATATGGCTAGCATGCATATGCAGTTGAAGAAGCTGGGCTCTAGCATTGAGCAGTACGGCAGGAGACACGGACACGAGAAGCACCCGATGTGGAAGCGGGCTTTGACAAACAACAACACTTGGTGGAACTCGTTACCTTTCCTTGAGGTGTTGCGCGATCTCGGTGCTTTCATGCGACTTGGTCCTATGCTTGGCAGAGATACGTGAGTTTGGTCCTATCAGGAATGTATTATGCGGATGAGCTGGTGCTGACATTTCCTATCAGTGTCAAGACTCGATTGCAAGGCGATGGCATGTCATTTGCTGAATTCTCCTACCCTATCCTCCAAGCTTGGGATTGGTGGACGCTGTTCCAAAAGGGCACTCAAATCCAAGTCGGAGGTGCCGATCAGTATGGAAACATCTTGTTCGGTATGGAGGCCGTCAAATCTATCAGCCGGAACACCGCCGACGAACAAATTCGGAATCCATTAGAGTCAGAACTAGACCGACCCATCGGTTTCACTACACCCCTCCTGACCGCGGCCAATGGCGAGAAATTCGGCAAGTCTGCAGGCAACGCCATCTGGCTCGACAAAGACTTGACTTCCACATTCGAACTTTACCAATTCTTCGTGCGCACACCCGATAATGTCGTCGAGCGCTACCTCAAACTGTTCACCTTCATTCCATTGCCTGAGATCGCCACCATCATGGAAGAGCAGAACAAGGACCCCTCAAAGCGCATTGCGCAGCACAAACTCGCCTCTGAATTTGTCGAGCTTGTCCACGGCAAAGCCGAAGCCGATGCAGTGGCTCTCCAACACCGCCAGCTTTTCCGCCCCCGATCATCCACAGCCGAGCCAACTCCTCTCCCCAAATCATCTACCCCTCCCGCTAGCCATGCTCTATCTCCCACCGCTGGCTTTGAAACCCCGCAATCTGGAAACCCATACGCCCCCCAAACTAACTGGGCCAACATGGGCGATATCAAGGTCACTCTCCCTCACTCCCTCGTCTTCGGGCAGCCGTTCAACAGGATCTTGTGGTCTGCCGGCCTTGTTTCATCCAAGGGTGAAGGCCACCGAGTCATTGTGAACAACGGCGCCAAAGTCGGAAGCCGTCCTGGCGACAGCGGTCCCATGTCGGATCAACTGTCCTTCACGCCCATCCGGCCGTGGGATGCCGAAAAAACAAAAGACTTCGTCTTAGATGGCAATCTCTTGATGCTGAAGTTGGGCAAGTGGAAGTTCAAGGCCGTTCATATTGTGAGCGACGATGAATTCCGCGCCCAAGGTCTTACAGCTCCTGGATGGGAGCCAGCCGAGGCAACTGAGCCGACTGGAGCTGAACCGATCAAATCGGAATAAGTGAATTGTGTGACTCTCCACTAGATCTGTAATTCTATATCCAATCTGTACAATATTATAAATATCACACCATCTTAAAAGAAACAAATCCAAGTAAAAATTGTATCTGGAGTTCTGGACAGGAGACCTGGCGAACTGGCGGGTGCCGATCAACGGACAGGTCAAGTCTCCGCCCCAAGCCCCCAGTGCTTTACGCGTCGACGCGACCCGCGTCTTATCTTTCTCTCCATCTCCACTCCTTACAGCTCCCTTGAAAGCGACACATTGAGTTCCGAGTACTCCATACCGAGTGTCATAATAATTCAAACCATTACATTGCATTCAAGACAGAGTTATGGCCAAACCAACGGCCTCATCACCGCCCGCCTCGTCTCCGGCACTCAAGCGGGCAACCCCCAGCACTCAGAACATGCGAAGCCAGAAGTCAATTCTGGGTTTCTTCCAGAAATCTTCCCCAGCGACCCCTTCCAACAAGCGCACACAAGAACCGGCATCGTCACCCGCACAGAGAGCCGCTGAGCAGCGTAGCACGGCCAAGCCTACACCGAAGGAACAAAAGCGGAGTTTCTCGAGCTTTGCGCAGGACCTGAGCCCTGTTCCCAGTAGTGATCTTCCGGTACCAGAGGATGAAGAAAATGGTACTACTGTGAAGGTATAGTAGTCTGAGGACTGGGTTTTCTCGGTTCATTTGCACTGACTGGACTCTTTTCTACTCAGGCTACCAAAGAAAAGGAGGACTCAACCACGTCGCCTTCACGACGGGTATGTCTCATATTATCGTCTGCGTTGTTGATTGATCTGTTCGCTGACTTGGCTGCGACAGGCACAAAAGAAGGTCAGCTACAAGGAGACTGATTCCGAGGGCGAGGATGACGATGAGGTTATCTTCCGGCCAAATCGCAAAGACCGTGCCTCTGGTCGTGCGACCAAGAGGAGACGAACTGAGCCGGAAAGCGATGATGAATTCGAAGGTGCGGGAGATGTGGGATACTCAGACGATGGTATGGTGCTCTATGGATGGTTACCTTCGACTCCAACGCGACTGACACGGATATAGAAATGGACGATTTCGTTGTTGCAGATGACTCCGATGAAGAGGCGCCTAAATCGTCCAGCAAGCGGAAAAGACCCTCTACTCAATCTTCGCGCAAGCCTACACCCAAATCCTCCATCTCTGCGCCTCCTCCACCCGTCGACGATATCGATCTCGATCTCCCCGAAGGAGGTGGCTCAGCTGGGACTGCGCAGAAATGGGCTTTCGATCCGGAAAACAAAGAGCCGCGTAAAGAGAGAGATCCCGTGCAATCATCCAAGGCGACACCTAGCACGAGAAAGGAAAAGGCCCACACCAGGGAACCAGAACAACGGTACTCATGGCTGGCTTCGCTGAAGGATATCGATGGTAACCCTCAGGGCCACCCCGACTATGACCCTCGGACGGTCTACATTCCTCCGTTGGCATGGTCCAGATTCTCACCATTCGAGAAGCAGTACTGGGAGATCAAGCAGAAATTCTGGGATACTGTCGTTTTCTTCAAGAAGGGCAAGTTCTATGAGCTCTACGAGAATGATGCGACCATTGGCCACCAGCTGTTCGATCTCAAGCTCACGGACAGGGTGAATATGCGTATGGTCGGTGTTCCCGAGATGAGTCTAGATCACTGGGCAAACCAATTCGTCGCGAAGGGCTACAAAATCGCCCGTGTGGACCAATCCGAATCCGCTCTTGGCAAAGAGATGCGTGAGAGAGAGGGCAAGAAGCCCACAAAAGAAGATAAGATCATCAAGCGAGAACTTGCCTGTGTGCTTACTGCAGGCACGCTGGTAGAGGGCTCCATGCTTACAGATGATATGTCGACCTACTGTGTTGCGATCAAGGAAGCTATTGTAGACGAGCATCCCGCGTTCGGAATCTCTTTCGTTGATACGGCGACTGGCCAATTCTTCTTGTCGGAGTTTGTGGACGATGTCGACATGACCAAATTCGAGACCTTCGTCGCGCAGACCCGCCCTCGGGAGTTGCTACTCGAGAAGTCTTGTGTCTCACAGAAGGCCATGCGCATTTTGAAGAACAACACTGGACCTACTACAATTTGGAACTTCCTGAAACCTGGCAAGGAGTTCTGGGAATCAGAGATCAGCATTCGGGAGCTCGAATCGAGCAAGTACTTCGTTTCCGCGGATGACGATGACCTCACAGCCTGGCCGGAGACTCTCCGACAAGCCCGCGAGAAGGAGTTGCTGATGTCTGCATTCGGTGCTCTGGTTCAATACTTGCGGGTCTTGAAGATTGAGCGGGATTTGATTACTATCGGCAACTTTGAGTGGTACGATCCCATCAAGAAGGCCTCGAGCCTTGTCTTGGATGGCCAGACCCTGATCAACATGGAGATCTTCGCCAACTCCTTTGACGGTGGCGCTGAGGGAACTCTCTTCCAGTTGCTCAACCGCTGTGTCACACCATTTGGTAAGCGCATGTTCAAGCAATGGGTTTGCCACCCACTTGTCGATGCAAAGAAGATCAACGCGAGATTGGACGCAGTCGATGCATTCAACGCCGACCCCAGTGTTCGCGACCAGTTCTCCGCCCAGTTGACAAAGATGCCGGATCTCGAACGATTGATTTCTCGTATTCATGCCGGAAACTGCAAGGCTCAAGACTTTGTCCGCGTTCTGGAGGGATTCGAGCAGATTGATTATACCATCGGCCTCTTAAAAGAAAGCGGTGGTGTCTCCAGCGAAGGAATTATTGGTCAATTGATTGGTGCGATGCCTGATCTTGCCTCCCTGTTATCATACTGGAAGACTGCCTTTGATCGAAGCAAGGCCAAGGAAAATGGCATCCTTGTTCCGGAATCTGGCGTTGAAGCAGACTTCGATAATTCCCAGGCACATATTGAGCTAATCCACGGGGAACTTGATGATTTGTTGAAAGACGCCCGCCGTGAGCTTGGCTCATCTGCTATCTGCTACCGGGACAATGGTAAAGAAATCTACCAGCTCGAAGTTCCACTGAAGGTGTCTGCCGTTCCCAAGACTTGGCAACAGATGTCCGCGACCAAGCAGGTCAAGCGATACTACTCCCCCGAACTCCGAAGTCTCATTCGCAGGCTGCAAGAAGCCCAGGAGACGCACAGCCAGATCGTCAAGGAGGTTGCTGGACGATTCTATGCCCGATTCGACGAGCATTACAACACATGGTTAGCTGCTGTGAGAATCATCTCGCAACTGGACTGCTTGATCAGTTTGGCCAAGGCTTCCAGCTCGATGGGTCATCCCAGCTGTCGACCAGTGTTCGTAGACGACGAGCGAAGTGTCCTCGAGTTCGACGATCTCCGTCACCCGTGTCTTCTGTCCTCTGTTGAAGACTTTATTCCCAACGACATCCAGCTCGGTGGCAAGCATGCCAATATCGACTTGTTGACCGGTGCCAACGCCGCTGGAAAGTCCACAGTCCTCCGAATGGTTCGTTCACCCCTTCCCCCATTTACTCTGGGTCCTTCACTAACAGCACACCAGACCTGCGTTGCCGTCATCATGGCTCAAATCGGTTGTTACCTCCCCTGCCAGTCCGCCCGGCTAACCCCTGTCGACCGGATCATGTCCCGCCTCGGCGCAAACGACAATATCTTCGCCGCCCAGTCAACCTTCTTCGTCGAGCTCTCCGAAACCAAGAAAATCCTCTCCGAGGCAACGCCCCGCTCACTCGTCATCCTCGACGAACTCGGCCGTGGAACCAGCTCCTACGACGGCGTCGCCGTCGCCCAGGCCGTACTACACCATATCGCCACCCACATCGGTGCTCTGGGCTTCTTCGCAACACACTACCACTCGCTCGCTGCTGAATTCGAAAACCACCCCGAGATCGCACCCAAGCGCATGGCTATCCACGTTGACGATGCCGAGCGCCGTGTCGCCTTCTTGTATAAGCTCGAGGACGGCGTTGCGGAGGGTAGCTTCGGTATGCACTGCGCTTCTATGTGTGGCATTCCCAGTAAGGTCATTGAATGCGCTGAGGATGCTGCTAAGCAGTGGGAACATACGAGCCGGCTTAAGGAGAGCTTGGAGCGTCAGAAGGACGGTAGCTATATTGGTCTTGGCTGGTGGAGTGATGTTGCCTGGGCACTGCGTGAGACTGTTAGTGAGGAAGATTCGAATACTGGTGATGTTACGGATCGTGGGCTGGATGTCTTGATGAAGGCTATTGAGGCGCTTTAGAGGTTGGGATACTCATTTGATGGGGTTATTCTTTCTTTGGTCTATGTTGGGGATATGGGGTTATGATCATTGTGTCTATCTTTTTTTATATTTCTACTGCTCCTTGTTGGCAGTGTGTTTCTCTTTGTCTTTTTACGTGGCTGTTCACAAGGCGTCACTGGTCTGGTAGTAACTTCTATCAGGATGTATCACATAGCTAAGCATATCTTGCATTTCAGGTGACGAATGTCTCATTTACTGTAAGCTCTAGGTTGGTGCTTTGTTTTGTTTCACTTCAGCTTCCCCTGGGTATTGTGTAACCTGTGAGGTAGAGTTATGACTAGTAGGTAGTGGACTGGATCATAGATCTATGTCATTGTGTCCATAGTGAATATCCGCTGCTTTGACTTCAACTGGAGGTATCAATTAAGCTGCCATGTGCATGTGACCTGGATTATAGGTATATGTACAAGATAGTAAATAGACATTGATCTACTATGGGCATTGACCGTATGAGACGTGGGATCGTAGAGACTCGAGATTATAAGGAAGCCTGGACGAGATGCAATTGAGCGTATCGATTCGTTGATATTTGATTAGTGTGACCGAGGTTTAGCCTTTTGAATCTGTTCATAAATCCCACTCCATAGTTCAGGGAAGAAGGCGGAAGTCTGTCTTCCCGGTTTGCTGTGGCTTCCGGTATAAAACTGAGTCGGAACCTTCCCTTTCCACCATGGTTGCGGCGAAGGATTCATGTTCTGGAACGAGACGGGGCGCAAAGTGTCTTTGACTGGAACAAGATCACCCACACGGACAGCAGTCTGCCGAGGAATGGTATTGAATCGCATGCTGGTGAGATATAGCACGGCTGTCGGAGGTAGTTCTTTGGCATATTGGACGGCAGCTTCACGGGACTTCCGGGCAAAAGCGGGCAGGGCCAAATGAATAAAGTTCACATAAGGCGCCGCAGTATAGGAAACAAATAGCATTGGGAGGGCACCAGCGGCAATCACTATAGGTCAAATCAGTATAGGCGCTCGGGCAACTGAACATCAGACGAAGCTTACCCGCAGGTGTGCTGTACCAGGGGTAGTCAGCCACGGAGCATGCTGGTGCAATAATCAAACATGCTGCTCCAAAGAGGATGACTGTGGTGATTCGTAGGGTGCCCAGGAAAATAGCTCTACCAGTCCCTCCATAATAAACCAGGATTCGTTCCGGTGGCCCTGCAACTTTAGCTCAGCATGTGCACTTGCTTGGCATGAAAGGTTAAGTCACCTGTCCTAATGCTCGTCTTCGACGGTGTGAGTGTTCTCGGGACCGTAGCGCGCGTAGCAGGAGTTGTGTCCTTCGACTTGGGTAATGGTGAAAGGTGCTTCTGAGACGGCCGAGGGATTTGTGACTTATATCGGACCCGGACAGCCCTTCGAAGACTGCGCTGGGCACATGCAGGAAGTGCCGTGCGCACTTGAGGGTGAAGCAAAATCGGTAGTCGCATTGTGTTGGCGTAATGGGATTGGCTCGAACTGGGACGTTGATCAACTCCAATACTGTGTAACTCAGCGCCGATCGTCCGGCAAAAGGGTGACCGCCCTGGCCTCCGCTTTGTTTGTGTTCCTGGATGCAATGACCCCTGCCATTCACTGACACGTTTTGCTTTCGACTCATAGCCCCTCAGAAACTCAGGGTACCTGGCTGGACTAGGCCTTGATGCCTTTTGTTGTCTTTTTGATGCAAACCATGAACAGTTAATGCGAGCTTTCTTACAACGCCATGTCTCCGGCTTATCGCAATCCAATCGGTGTCGTGTCACTTTGGCTAGGCTTCATTTTGATGCTTCTGTCATGCGTGAAAGCATACGAAAAAATATCAGATGAGACGCTTAATCGCCTTTCCCGGCCCAACAACGACTTCGATATCCACAATGGTGCTCTGTTGTCACCTATACTAAGGACCCGCGTTCCTGGCACCCCCGGCTCCACCGCAGTGCTCAATCATTTCGCTGATTTTTTTCGAACCACATTACCAAATTGGACAGTCGAGGTCCAAAACTCTACGGCTAAGACGCCTGTGTCAAAAGGGAAGGAGATCCCATTCCGAAACTTCATCGCTACTCGTGATCCTCCTTGGGCTCCGGTTGGTGACGTTAGCCGCTTGACACTTGTCGCTCATTATGACAGCAAGCTAGAGCCGGAAGGCTTCATTGGAGGCATTGACAGTGCTGCGCCATGTGCGATGATCATGCATGCGATGCGCAGCGTCGACGCTGCGCTGGAGAAGAAGTGGTCTGCATTGGAGAAGCAGGGATTACATGAATATCTCGACGAGGTGCAGGGTCTTCAGGTCATTTTCTTGGATGGCGAAGAAGCGTTTCAAGAGTGGACTGACACTGATTCTCTCTACGGAGCTCGTGCCCTTGCTACGCATTGGGATGACCAAGTCTATCCCGCGATGTCAGAATTCAAAACACCGTTGTCATCGATATCTCTTTTCGTTCTTTTAGATCTGTTGGGTGCGAAATCTCCGTCGATCCAATCTTACTATGAGACGACCCACTGGGCTTATAAGAACTTGGGCGCACTGGAAGGGCGGTTCAAGTCCTTAAAGCAATTCAAATCTGCGTCGGCTGATCGGTGGTTTATCGACGCCGCGAAGGATGAGCGCAACCTCAAAAGCTTTGGGGGTATCCAGGATGATCATCTTCCGTTCTTAGCAAAGGGAGTCGAAGTCCTTCATCTCATTGACTATGCCCCCTTCAAGGGATTTCCTTCTGTGTGGCATACACTCGATGACGACGGCGAACATCTGGACATGGATACCGTCGAGGACTGGAGTATGCTCATCACTGCCTTTGTTGCGGAGTGGATGGAGTTGGAGGGCTACTTCGATCAACCACCTGCTGTCGGTGTACGCAGTGACGAAGATTCCGACGAGTCAGAAGCGATTCGCTTAAACAAGAAGACTGAGTTGTAAGCCATTCCCCCGTTTCACCGCCGAGTATCCTCGTTGTTGGCCACTGTCTCGCCTTCGCCCGCTGGTTATATACCCGATCCATTTGGTCAATCATCAAGAAACTCTGTCACCGGTCTATCGGATATGTACATATTGTTATGGTATTATTTCACTTGCTAATCAGGCCTCGGACGCAGCCCCTGAGAGAAACACACCGCCTCTTGTTGTCCTATGTCCGGCCTTCGTCATTTATAACCCCAATGGAACGCCAAGTACGACCAAGCCAAACCACGACCCAAAGGGGTCTCTGGCTATAGATTTTCCATGGGTATTGCTCAGAAGAGGTTGCCAAACAGGTAACCGGCCATTGTCGCCAATCCCCAAGTGGGTTGAAGAACTGCTCGCAGAATTGCTGGACCTGGGCAAACGCCCCTCAGTCCCCAAGCAAGCCCGAACGAAGCAGCACCAGCAACAAATCGCCAGTTGATATCACCCACCGTTGCTGTGGGGAGCTTCCATTCCTCGGCAAGGGTGGGCTTTGCAGCAGGCTTGCCCTTTTCATGCCCCTGGCCTGGTTTCTCGGTCAGGAAAGTGAAGAGAGATGGCCCAATGCCGAACAGGATGATGAGCGCCAGCGACGGATCGAAACGGGAGGGATCGGTCAAGAAAGCAAAGAACCTGAGCACCTTCGCTGAGTCTGCCATGCCGGAGATCAACAGACCTAGGCCGAACTCCAAACCTGCCACATAGGAAAAGGCAACCCTAGACTCCTCTGACCGACGGGCCTTTCGCGGGACGATGATAAAATTTGTGATGGCCGCCAACAACGCTGCACCGGCCATGAACCCGAACTCTGACCCCGATGGATAGATGGGTGTGTAACACGGAGTTGAACCACACGACGGGATGTTTGCTCCACTTCCGACAAAGTTCGCAGTGAGGAGTGCGGTAACGAAGAAGACGGCAGTCGCAATCAGCGAGCGGGGGGAGAGACGAGAAAGTCCACACAGCATGTGTCCGGAAGTACAGCCTCGGCCGTTCTATATTCACCCGTCAATGTTTGTTGCGATTCCGAACCATATCTGGTGTTCCTTACCTTTGTACCCCATCCCAATAATATGCCCACTCCCAACGTGGCCACAGCAGAAGCCAAAGAAGTCGGTGGTGCCGGATAACTCGGAATCAATGACGGTGCGAACAAGTACACTGGCATAATGCTGGATACCAAGCCCGCAATGATCGGTACATTGTCGCGACTCGGGTTGAAGGCGCACCCGGATAGAAGAGAGGAGATACCAAAGACGGCGCCGTTGTGTACGAGCAGGCCGGACGAGCCTTGGAATAGTAATAGTGCACCCAGCGTGGTGTGAATTGGGGTGAACATGTCGGTGATTCGGTTATTGATTCTCGGCTTTAATAAACTTTTCCTGATGTCATCGGCATGAGATCCCAGTGACAGTAGATGAACCGGAGATGACCTGAGAATCTTTATATTCCACGAATTCCTGGCGATTGTCTCGATTCCAAAGTAACGACAAGCAAAGAGATTAAGGAGAAATGGGGCCCGCGCATTCTTTGCACGTCAAGGGATTGCCGAATCGGGGACCATCCAGTTCGCCGTTATGGAGAACGATGGTCCCCGATCCTCTTTCTCTCGGCATCTTGGTATTCAGCTCGGGGCTTCATGGGCAGGCTTTATCGCTTTCAGTCTACTATATCAACGATTCAGAAGCACATGTCAATTGCGTGCCTTACTTCTCCGGGTTACATTAATGAGTCCCAGCATACTGTAGCATGGCAAGACCTCTACACACCATCGGCCCAGCGGGCACCATCGGCCACCACAAATAATGGGGGACTTCTCGACCACTGCAATCAAATGTACGGAGTACTCCGTAACAATGTAACAAAGGTGATCCTGTCGAATTGGAATTAAGCCGCTGCTCTGGGCAGGTCCCCATCTCGCGAAGAAGGTGCGATTCAGCTCCTTCCATATGTTCCGAAGTCCAGCTATCCATTCTCCTCGGGTCTCAATCGTTCGTTTTCTATCTCAACACGATCTACCTTGAAAGATCACGTCTCGATTTCCCTTCATTTTCATTCAGAATGGGTAACACCAGTAGCGTCCCCGGCCGCGAATGCTTCATGGCTGCGGTTGGAAATGACCCTAACTTGGCCACATTTCAAGGAGATCTGTTTTACGAATTCCGGGCATCGCCATCCTACAATTTGGCTATCCCGGTGTCTCCTAAGGTGATCACATTCCCCAAAACTACGGACCAGGTCGCCGAGATTGTGCGCTGTGCCGTGAAGAATGAATATCGGGTGCAGGCATACAGTGGAGGTCACAGCTATGGGAACTATGGTACTAAGATTTCCGATTCGAATAATTCCCTCGCTAATACAGCTGCCCTATGGTAGGTCTGGGAGGAGCGGATGGCCACGTCGTCGTCGACTTGAAACACATCCAGAATTTCTCCATGGACACGGACACACACATCGCCACGATTGGGGCCGGTACACACCTGGGCGATCTTCAAGACCGTCTTATGCATGCAGGTGGCAGAGCGATAGCGCATGGGGCCTGTCCGCAGGTTGGCGTTGGTGGTCATTTTACCATTGGTGGTCAGGGTGTCATGTCGCGACAATGGGGGCTTGCGCTGGACCATGTGGTGGAGGCTGAAGTGGTCCTGGCGAATTCCAGCGTGGTGACAGCTTCTGACACCCATAATCAAGATTTGTTTTGGGCTGTCAAGGGTGCGGGTGCCAGCTTCGGCATTGTCACTCAGTTCAAAATTCGCACTCATGAGATTCCGAAGGCTGCTGTCCAATACACCTTCACGTTCGGCCAAGGAGATGTACTTGACAGGGTGAAATTATTCCAAGCTTGGCAGTCCCTCCTTGCAAAGCCGAATCTCACGCGCAAGTATTCTTCCGAGCTTATAGCCTTTCAGGGTGGTATCTCGATCATGGGAAGTTACATGGGTACCAAAGAGGAATTTCAGCAATTTCAGCAGGAAAACGATCTCCCAGTTCAGAACCCGGCAAAAGTGGTATATGTCACCGACTGGCTCGCCATGGTGGCTCATACTGCTGAAAGTTATCTGGTTTCGCTCGGTGGCGGCATTCTCACTTCGTTCTACTCGAAGTCGCTATCTTTCACAGCTGACCAGCTGTTAACTCAACGTGACCTAGTCGCCCTGTTCACCTACCTTGACAGCGCACCCAAGGGTACGGAGACCTGGTGGATCATCTTCGACATAGAGGGCGGTGCAATCAACGACGTTCCCATGAATGCGACAGCTTATGTTCACCGTGATGCTCTCATATGGATGCAATCCTATGTAATTTTCGGGCTTCAGCCCCCTGGTTCCATATCCAGGAGATTCCTCAATGGCTTACATGATGTTATACATGCAAAGCGTCCGGCGAGTCCTGGGCGTGCCTATCCGGGATATGTTGATCCTTATCTGAAGAACGGCCAGTTGGCTTACTGGGGATCCAATCTTGAACGACTTCAACACATCAAGACTCGTGTCGATCCGTGGGATATTTTCCATAATCCGCAAAGTGTGCCTGTGAATCCCGCTCTCGATTAGCGTCCCTCGGCAGTCTAGGTGTTTGGCTGGTTAGGAACTGTGCCCACAATGAAGACTGCAGGAAGGGGAGGATTCGGATGTCAAATCAACATTTATTAACGGCATATCAACAGGACAAAACATATTGCAGCATAGGTACTGGATCATTCTCAACACTAACGTCATACCTAACTTTTCCCTCTTCCATTTTCGTGCTCACTCTTAGGTTGCCGCCTTCCAATAATTGACTAGGTGATATGTAGAGTTGATATAACCTCAAATGCTGGGCATTGTACACTGGCTTTGTTTCCATCTTCTCTGTTTAGTTTCTGGCCTGGTTTTTGACCTAGACTCACCCGTTACCGCATGCCTACAGCGTACGTTCGTGGTTCCAAGTTGAAGTGGCTATAGAACCTAGGTAGTGAAGAGCGAGAAACGCGAACCTGTCTGCGAACCAGGTCCGCCACTGGGAGTAGTGGGACTACAGGAGAGGAGAACACAGGGGTGGTCTAGAAGAGGAGAAGTGTGTCTGTGTCTCTGTCTGTCCTATCTGCGCGATGAAGCCTTTTATATCACAACTGCTGAGTCATCCGTACACCGCTCATTTCACCACGATGGCGCAGTTCTGAGTTCTCCCACTACAGTAGGTAGGTAGGTGCCTAGGTGCCCCCGCCGGTAGTCCCTCGCTACCTAAGTTATTCCATCAGCTGCCCTAGGTAGGTAGGTAGTGGGAATATATAACTAGTTAGTCCCCGCCCGGCGGGGTGTCATAACCTCGAGGATACGTTTCCTTGCAGACCGACGAACAATAGCTGGGATTAGCTACCAGTAGGGAAAGACCGGTTACAGATAGTAATTCCTCCACATCGGTGCTCCCGTCATTCGCAAGAACGTGCCCGCCATTGTCTCTAAGGTGCTGCATGGTCTTTTCGATCAGCTCGCCGCGCCCAGTCGCGTGCAGGATGTTACCGATGGCCGCATGCACGGCGAGCAGAGAACTATGAGGGGCGGGGTACTGGGGATCGTGACTTGCGATTGTCGTGAAGTCAGGCATAATGGATTGGAGGATGGTTTGAAATCGGGGGAAAGTTTTAACGCGGTAGCGACCAGAAACACTTGTCTCCTCTAGGACCAATAAGAAGCTACCGAAGTCACGATGTAAGGCTGACCACATCATCATCACATTGTCGATGCGGTTGACATCTTCATCGTCGCGGTGAAAGAGGTCACGGATAGCTGGGAAATAGCGATAGAGGCATTGCCAAATGCGCCCATGACGCCGTCGCTCATCCTCCGGAAAACTCCCCAAGGCAAACGGAATTATATGAACGGCTTCAAGAACACCGGTAAGTGCGCCGGGAGGGGGGTTGTGCTCACGATCCCAGGCTTTTGTCACTACGCATTGGTAATTGTCACGTTGTAGGCATGTTCGCCGTATGGCGCTTTGCCGCCGGGTCGCCGAGTCGAAATCCAGGGACAGTGGGTCCTCAATAGAGTCCTCCACACCATGGATGGGGGATGGTGTTATCTCTGGCGTAGTTCCACCAGCGACCAACATCGGCCTCAGCAAAGCTGTGTCCAGGTGCTTCGCCAGTTGCAGCAGTTGGCTGTCTTCATCGCAGTCTTCAACGTCGTTGGCCAAGCGGGCCTGGCCTTGGGTTGGGAGGAATCGGAAAACAGACCTCAGGAAATGGACCGTATCGTCATAATCATCCAGCGATTGATATTTATCTAGCCTAGCGAATATCTTCTCTCGGGCAGCGATGTAGGTGTCAAATTGCGTTTCCGATACGGGAGAACTCAGACTGCTGGAGGACATCTCAGACGTAGGGGAGTCCATAATCAAGTCCAAGGGAGTTGGATCAGCTCGGTTGGTCGACGTGCAAGCGCGGGCCCACGAGTGATGGCTAGGTTCTTCTGCTGCGAGGAGCTCGGTGGTTCCTGAGGTATCACTTGCCCCTACGATGGCATTATACAACACGGGAGTTTCACTCTGCTTTCTTACCAAGGTAGTAAGAACAGACCGTAAGTCTGTCAGAAGTTCGGCTAGACGCTCGGGACAATTGTGGAGTCCTCCAAGGGGTTCGTTCTCTAAGCCTTGATAGCGGTAGCTATTCAGCAGGAAGACTACCAGGGTTCGAAAGGTGGTTCTTCCGCGATGCCAGTCCTTCGAAGAAGTTCTGCCGATTCCCATCCACGTCGGTCTCGACATTGGGCAGTTTGCCGCCTCCATTGCCCTGACAACGTTGTGTTGCACGAACACGATCGCCTGCCTAGCCCAGAAGACAGCAACCTTTGGATCTGATGCTTGCTTCTCGATGCCCTTAATGTCTTGCTGGCGTAGGAATGGGCACTCCGTCTTCACTGCGAGGGAAAAGTCCGGCTTTAGAACGCGAAGCCCTTAGGGCGGCTTCGACATGAACAGGTTTGTTGTTGTTGATGATTCGTATGGAGGTTATGGGGATGGATGGGGGACAACTGAAAGGTAAATATATGAAGAAGAAAGAAAAAGATCAAGGAATGAGGAGAAGGATTGATAGTTATATGGGAAAGAGAGGTCACATGGTATCAGCTGCGTTGCAACTTGAGAATGCAGAGAGGATGATACAGGAATGACACCCACTTTACATAGGAGAATGACAAGTCTTGGCGGATCCTTCCTTTCCAAACAGCAGCTTTACGGAATTCAGGAGAGAAGCATAGTTACCCATCCTGCTTTGACCTGTGCTGGTCCAGCGTAAGGGATGAATGCATTCTAGATCAATTGGATGTTGACTGTTGAGACTTGAGATAAGGCAATGTTTTTCTCTGGTGATGTCGAGGGTAAACAGAAAGAGGAACTCAGACGTATATAGACTCAGGTTCCTGGAAGGCTTGAGCCTTGAGCGCTTCACGAGCAAGTTGTTCGTTGGATCTAACTAAATAGGTCCCCACTTTGGTATCTGACCGCCATCTAGACCGCTTACTTTATCAGCTAATTCAAACTGGGGTGTCGCCAGCTAACTAGTATTAACTAAAACAAATTCGAACTCCCAAAGTGTCTGCCGGCAATATTAAAAGTGGGTCCTAGGCCCCAATGTACCGGAGGTTAAATTTTTGGAACACCACTGTAAGGTACCGTATTCGCAACGGTATATGACCTAAAATACCGTAACATGCAATAGTATTCAAGCCAAAATACGGTATTTCTGTTTCTGGTGCTGCCGGCATGGCTGTCTCCAGCTTAGATGTCGGGGAGTCCCAACGGATGAGTCTAGTGTCGCCTTTTCCTATGGATGTAATCAACTTACACCAAGCATCACCGAGGTTTCATATCTTCCATCGGTAGGTGCAGGGCTGATATCCCGGCCCCCGGGAACCTTAACAGTTGAGCCGCTTGTTAGTACTAAGCTTTCGGTTACGGGCGGGGCCGGGCCCCCGGGCAACAGCCTGCATCAACAGCGCCTGTAAACTCTTCTATCTACAACGAACTCTGGTAATCACCGAGCCTAACTAAGCAAATGATAAAAAGGACTATGTGGAAATGTGTACTTTTTGATACTAGTCCAGGGTGAAATAGTGCTATTCCGACCGGCTCAGAAATCATGAAGCGCGCCTGCAGCCCAGAGAGCAGTCCAGAACATGAGCTGCAAGCATTGCTACAGAATCCACAACAGCCAATTCTCCCAAGCTTAGTTGCTCCTGTTTCACCGCCACCATCCCGAGCACTCGTCCAAAGGTCCAAAAATGGGGAAGAAGAAGACGCAATCCTGTCGACCGCATCAAAACCAGATGCTTCATCAAGCCTTGCTGCCATCGAAGCAGGACAAGTGGAAGGGATTGACCACCTGAGCGTGATATCCACAAGGCTCAGAGAATGCGTTCGCGTACTTCCGGATCAGCCAACAGTACGGCTGCCCATCGGAGAATGGATCGATCTATATCAACGCAATGAGCATCCGGAGGGTCGCCATTTCGTCATTCATCAACACGATCATCCCATTGCAGGCCCTCACTATGATTTGCGACTGCAGTTCTCAGAGACCAGCTCTGTTAGTTGGTCGATTATGTATGGTTTACCTGGGGATCCGAATAGCCAGCGATTAAATCGGAATGCGACTGAGACTCGGATTCATTGTTTATGGGTAGGTTGTACTTGATGGCCGAAACCAGGAGTTGATCAGGGGTACTGACTTGTTTTTACAGAACCATCTCATTGAAACTGCTTCCACCAAAACAGGGAGTCTGATCATCTGGGATACAGGTGAATATGAAATTCTACCTTACCAGATGGACCCATCTGGCCCTGAGACCGATGATTCTCGATCCGAGAGCTCTCAAGATAGTCGTGTTTCGCCGGAGGAGCAGATATCAGATAGTGCGAAGTTGCGAGAAGCCTTTCAAAAGGTATGTACATCCTTGTACAACACGGAGGCAAGGCTCGATTCCCTAACACTAAGGCACGCAGCGGAAAATTCGTCTAAGACTCCACGGAACCCGGCTGCCAAAGAACTACACTATCGTATTGCGAATGGATAAAACAACGGATTTCGCGAGACCGATTCGCGAAGGTCCCAAACGACGTCGTCGCCATCCATCCCGACCGACGGTGCCACGAGCGCCATCTACCTCGGACTCGGGATCCCCTTCGCCGCCACCTGACGAGCGAGGATCGGAGGCGGATCAACGAGCCCCATCTGAGCCTCACTCTGACTCAAGCAAGCCTGTAGACGAAGTTTATGCCGCCGAGATTGAGATCCAGAGAAACAATGCCTACCCAGGGTCCAGCAACACAATAGGTTCAATCCATCAGCGGCGCTGGTATCTCAGTCTAGACCGGGAGTCCTCGGGATTTGAGCCGACAATCGCAATCGGCAATAACACATTGGCTAGAAGCAGAAAAAAGACGTGGGCTCGGAATGCCGTCGGCGGCGGATTTGACGCGTTCTACGTGCACGGACCGGAGGCTGAGCGGAGCGTGGTCACGGCACGCTTGGGGCGCGATGTCTTGGATGATGAGGGTGTGGAGGAGTTTGTGCCTAGACGCGGGTGGAGGCCGGTCCTGCATTAGAATGGAATCTAAACAATTCAGACTGTTAGAACTATCAACTTGGCTGCCAAGGCGCTTCCATCGATGATTCGATTGTCCACTCAAATCCCGAGGCTGGATTCCTGGCAGCTCATTGTTTGATCTCGGCGCTCGGAGTTAAGCTGATCCATGCACTCCACTTAACTATCGGCGGGATTATGGCCTAGTTCGGTGCCCGCCGCTGCACTGCCCATACTATTGCTTCGATACGAGGATGCAGGGAGTCTTCACGGCACTTGTGACTCAGGTCACTACAGTTTGTGTCGCTGTGGGTCATTTGGGGTGACTCACCCAATCTTGCCAGGTCTAAGAACGTTCTTTCCCCGCTCTAGACGGTCATGTTCCTCTGGGGGCGTGCGCTAACAAGCATAAGCGTCCTCGATAGCGCTGAGGCCAAGACTTGATATTCCTTAGCTTATCCGCGTTCTCTATGTTTCACGTTTCTCACTCCTTTCTTCTTTACTCTCTTGCCCCGACATGAGCATGGCCTTCTTGTCGCCATCCATGATAAGTTATCTAGCCTTGTCGCTAGTTGCATTGGATAGCATACCTGCTATCCAAAGTATCGCGCAACGTATCACGCGCAAAGCTCCGGAGCACGAATCGTCACAACTAGCTAAAGATGCTTACTGCGACGAGGACGGTGAGGCGACCGAGGCATCACTCCGCGCGTTCTCCGACAAATGGCAAAGAATCACGATCGTATTGTCCTCCATTACTGGATTGCTGGTGACGCTCGCATTGGCCATTTTTACGACCTTGAAACTCTTTGTTGAACATTACACGCCATTGATCTGGCTGCAGTTCGGGGTATGGGTATGTAGAAAAGACCAACAAAGATCGCGACATCACATGGAATTAGCTAAGTAGAATTTTTGGTCCCAACTTCTAGATTCTGCTAGTTATTCAAGCTATTGCATTTTTCACTGAACCCCGACCGACAAGGCGCTATATTCTCGGCCACTTCGCCTTCTGGGGAAGTATCATCACACTCGCAGTTCCGGGGATCGAACTGGGCATCCTTATACTCTCTCGCCGCCCCTTTCCCTATGGGTCAATTTGGCACGGGCTGCAGCTGCTTCAAATTGCCAGCGCGGCACTTCGCGCCGTCTTCTGTGTCCTGCTACCTCGTCGCCCAGATGTTTATCACGATGGCATGTTGGTTGAGCAGGAGCTCTCTGTCTCACTTCTTAGTCGCTTCACGTTTACCTGGGCTGGTCAATTGATCGGCCGCAGAACGGAGAAGACCCTGGAACTCGACCACATCCCCAAGCTTGTGGCAACGAAACGTGCTGGTGTGCTCCGAAAGGAATTTGAGAATGCTAGACAGAATCGAAACCTATGGAGAGGACTTATCTCCGCCCATTCAGGGTCAATTTTCGCCCAGCTTTCCCTTTCTCTGTTGACCTGCTTTTTGAGTTTTGGGCCTCAGCTCGCTTTGCTGCAGATATTGAGAACCTTGGAGCTCCGTGATACCCCGTACTGGAATGAGGGGGCGTCATATCTTTGGGTACTGGCTTTGGGTGGACTGATGTTCACAGGGTCGAGTGTTGAGGCATGGCTGTACTGGGTGGTCGAGTCTAGACTTGTAGTTCCGGTCTATGCGGAGCTAACAGCTGTCGTGTTCGCCAAGGCTATGCGGCGAAAGGATGCCAAGAATACAAAGAAAGCAAAAGATGGAGCGGATACTCCCAACAAAGATCTCACTGAGGCTGAGCAGGCGGAGGAAGATGAGGAAGATGCACTGAAAAAGAGCCGACAGGGCATTATCAACCATGCGGCAGTGGACGCTCGTCGCATTGCCGACTTCGCTTCGATGAACTACCTGATTCCCCAGGCAATGCTCAGAATCATCCTTGGCGCCACTTTCTTGGTCCAAATCCTCGGTTGGCGCAGTGCCTTCGCGGGTCTTTCAGTAGCTGCTCTCTTAGCACCTCTGAATGTCCTTCTCGCGGGAAAGCTTTCGAGCGCCCAGGATCGATTGATGAAATCCCGCGATCAGAAATTGGCAATCGTCACTGAAGTTTTGCAGGGAATCAGACAAATCAAATTCTCGGCCCTGGAGGAGCAATGGCAAGAGCGTGTCCGCGAGGCACGAGAGACCGAGCTTGGAGCCTTGTGGGCCGCCTTTCGTGCTGATATTGGCCTGCTTGCGATGTGGATTTTCGGCCCTGTCGGACTATCTGCCATTTCGCTGGCTACGTATGTCCTTATTCATGGCAACCTGACTCCTTCTGTGGCCTTCACAGCTATGGCTATCTTTGGTTCTCTCGAGGTGGCACTGGCTATCATCCCAGAGCTCATGTCGATGGGTCTGGAGGCGAACGTCAGCGCGGAGCGTATCGACAAATTCCTCGCAACTTCCGAAAGAGTCGTCAACACTGTTCCCGCGGATCACATTGCTTTCGAGGAGGCCTCCGTCTCATGGCCTGCGGAGGAAGAAGAGAACCAAGATTCAGATGATCAGTTCGTTCTGCGTGATATCACCTTAAAGTTCCCGCCGAAAGGTCTGAGCGTGGTATCCGGTCGAACTGGCTCTGGGAAGAGCCTGCTTCTCGCATCTATCTTGGGCGAATGTGATGTGCTCGCTGGCACACTGAAGGTTCCTGTGCCACCTCCTATTGCAGACCGTTTCGATCACCTGGCGACAAAGGCAAATTGGATTATCGACTCGGCCATTGCATATGTTGCGCAGATCCCATGGATAGAGAACGCTTCAATCAAAGCAAACGTTCTCTTTGGACTCCCAGATGACCCAGAGCGCTACCAAAAGGTCATTTTTGCATGCGCTCTGGAGAAGGACTTCGAGATGATGCCAGACGGCGACCAGACCGATATTGGAGCAAACGGTGTCAATATGAGCGGCGGCCAACGTTGGCGTGTCTCTTTCGCCCGAGCATTGTATTCTCGGGCCGGAATCCTGATTATGGATGACATTTTCAGCGCTCTCGATGCCCACACAGGTCGTCACGTTTTCGAACATGCTCTGACTGGTGAGCTGGGCCAAAACCGAACCCGCATTTTGGTCACTCATCATGTTGCCCTTTGTCTTCCTCGTACGGAGTACTCTGTGCTCTTGGAAAATGGTCGCGTCAAATATGCAGGTACCATTGATGATCTAAGGGAGTCTCATCATCTAGAGGATATTCTTCGCGAGGAACAGGCCGCAGAAGAGGCGGATCAGATTGCAGATGCAGAGAACAATGAACTGCTCAAACTTAACCCCGACGATACAGCCCTCCACAAGATCATGTCAAATAAATCCCACCGGAGACCGAGCTCGGCTGCCAATGGCCGAACTCCCAACGGAGATGCAGGTGTTACTCCACAACAGAGCTTTGCACCGAAGAAGTTTGTCGAGGACGAAAAACGCGAGACCGGCGCTGTGCGGCTATCGGTTTATTTTGCCTTCATGAGAGAAGGTGGATCCTTGGCCTTCTGGATGGTGACTCTGTTGGTTTATGTGTCATGCTCTTTCCTCATGATTGGACGGGTAAGTGCATGATGTCTCAATATCTTCACTTATGTTTGTTTGTTCTAACACGTATCAATGACAGGCTTGGTGGATCAATGTCTGGACAAGCTCATCATCGAATGCCCAGGCCCACCCTGAGAGATATGAAGTTTTGTTGCAACATACCATTCAACCAACGGCACCGGTCCAACAAGATGACAAACTCTTCATGTACCTTGGAGTATATGTCGCCATCTCCATGGCAACATGTATAGCCGGTACAGTCCGTTATTGGTTCACATTTTCAGCGTCAGTTCGGGCCTCGAGGAACCTGTTCAATGCCTTAATCTACAGTGTTCTTCGCGCACCACTCCGATGGCTGGACACTGTCCCACTGGGACGCATCCTAAACCGTTTCACAGCCGATTTCCACTCAATCGATTCGAGAATTGGCTACGACATCTCGTTCTTCGTTATCAAGATGCTAGACGTTTTCTCTATCTTGATTGCGGGAATTCTCGTCGACTGGATGGTGATCGTATTCGCCCTAGTCCTGCTGGGAATATGCTTGAAGTTGTCCATAGCTTACCTCGTCGGTGCCCGTCAAGTCAAGCGCCTCGAGAGCACCGCAAAAAGCCCTGTTTTCGAGCAATTTGGATCCAGTCTTGCTGGTCTGGTCACAATCCGTGCCTTCAGCAAAGCAGACACTTACATCGGAACCATGTACACTAAGGTCAACCGCCACGCCCAAGCATGGTGGACATTACGTCTGCTCAACCGCTGGCTCTCGTTCCGGATGAGTATCGCCGGCGCTATTTTCGCAACTGTCACTGCTGGTCTCGTGGTTTATGTTCCGAGCATCACCGCTTCGCTTGCGGGCTTTGCTCTGAGCTTCGCGTTGCAGTATAACAACGCCATCACGTTTGCCCTGCGGCAATACGCCAACATTGAACTAGAAATGAACGCTACTGAGCGCATCATCGAGTATTCCGAGATAGAAATCGAGAACCAAGGAGGAGCTGATGCACCCGCCGCTTGGCCTACGGAGGGTCGCCTGGAGGTCCACGATCTTGTGGTCGGCTACGCACCGGATCTACCGCCAATTCTTAACGGCCTGAGTTTCTCAATCGAGCAAAACCAGCGAGTGGGAGTCGTCGGACGCACTGGTGCTGGCAAATCCTCTTTGACCCTTGCGCTGTTCCGATTCCTCGAGGCTCGCTCTGGCCAAATCTTCATCGACGGACTGGACATCTCCAAGATCAAACTTCACGACCTCCGCAGCCGACTCGCAATTATCCCTCAAGACCCAGTGTTATTCTCTGGTACTGTGCGGTCGAACCTCGATCCCTTCGACGCATACACCGATACAGAGCTCTACGATGCGCTCGCACGCGTGCATCTCATCTCCGAAGCGGACGACGACGAGCTCACCCTCACATCGCGCACTGCTACGCCCCGACAGCCTGGAACAGGCGCCTCAACACCGGCGACTGCGCAGAAGTCGAATGCCAATGTCTTCACCTCTCTATCGGCGACTATCTCCGAGGGCGGCCTCAACCTCTCCCAAGGCCAGCGCCAGCTTCTTTGTCTCGCGCGTGCTATCGTTTCACAGCCCAAGATCATGGTTTTGGACGAAGCCACCTCTGCCGTGGATATGGAGACCGATGCGTTAATTCAGCAGTCTATCCGTGCGGAATTTGGCCGCAATGCTACCACGCTGCTGGTCATTGCTCACCGGCTTAGCACAATTGCGGACTTTGACCGTATTCTTGTTATGGATGCCGGGAAGGCTGCGGAGTTCGGGTCACCCAAGGACCTCATGACTATTGAGGGCGGTGTCTTTAGGAATCTCGTTGAGAACAGTGGGGAGAAGGAAGTGGTGGAAAGGATGATCTTTGAAAATTGAGTGAACAGTGATCCGTTCTATTATGTTCGGGACTACGATTATGTTACGATACTACAGTTTGTGTTATTCTATATGAGTCGGACTTGGTAAATGCCAGTGTCGAGTTTCTCCTGCAGCTATTGCTGCAATTCCGATTTGAGCTTTTGGCTTGTCTTTGTCTTCTTGTTGTTGCATTCAGTGATCCGTATGCCCGGGAGCCCAAGGCCAAGGGGGCTCATGAGAGGGCTCTTCTTACCTGAATAGCGCATTCTGTGCCACCTGACAGGCTGACCGCAACCTAAGGCAGTCGCACTACTTCATGGGCTTTTTTCTGCGACTCGCAGCTCATCATGTGACCTTCGCTCTTGACCCGGTGACCGTGATTGACCTACTCTCCCTCTATATCCAATTAGGGCTAGCGTCAAATGTTAGAGGATTAGCGCCAGCATCCCAATTCTGCCAGGCGGTCAAGAGTCAAACTCCCAGACGCGTCGACGCGGGCCGAGGATTTGCCTGTTTGGCGCCCTACAAAGTCCAATTGCGACTCGCATCACCCGACTACCTACTAGTACCTACCTCCCAAATATTGAGGACGAACTATACCTTTTCCTGTATACCCAGTCTACTACTTTTCTAACAAAACATTGACAACACCAAAGACCCTCCAGTAAATCCTGCGGCTGCCCGAACCCTCCATAATGCGCAAGGCAAAGCTTATGAACTACCCACCTGTCAGACGGGGTGATTATCCAGGCTTGATAGACGGGGAGACTGGCTAGGTGGCTTGGAATATGGATGAAACCGTATAGGACGAAAAATGAGGCGCAAAATCTGACGGATTACAAGACGAAGACTTATACAAGGAAGCCCACTGTACGGTTTTTGGAAAGATATTCGAGTATGTATGCTGCCCAGGCGTAATGCGAATACTCAGTAGTCCGTTGAACAGCGATTGACCGCAAATTACGGCAGATTGACGGGAAATAGGTTGGTGTGACAGGTTTTGACTTCGTTTGTTGTTTGCATTTCGCTTGCATGTCGCTTGACTTACTTCCATCAAGTAAAGCAAGCGTCCACCAAACGGGTGGTATGGCCGAACTGGGTATATATCAGTCGGCAAGGAATCAAGGAGTAATTATACGAGCCATTGGCCCCTGCAGCGCATAGAATGCCGTTTTATGCATTTACCATGGGATCAAACGACTCATTGCTTCCCTCCAGTCTGCGGCTGCTCACAGTGCTCTGCCGAGCCATCTTCAAGCTTCTACTTCGGCGTGGAGAGGCAGGTCAGTACGAGAAGTGCACCCCACGACTCATCGGGACAGATTTCACTTTGTCATAAATCATGGTTGGCTGGAACCTTTCTATGGCTCTTGTTACCTTGTGGTTGGTCTCAATCGATTCGCAAATCCACCAGTCAACCCCGGACACTCCAGAATCCCACGTATCATGTATGTAGATAGATTCCGGATTGCAAATGGGAGAAGACGAACCGTTTGAGGAAAGGAAGCGGGTGAGTTCTTCACCTACCTAACTAGGCGGGCCCTTGTGTAAGACCAATGGATATGATGTCGTCGTGAAGTTTGACCCGCCAGCACAATCTCGCGCAAGCACAATGTGACACGCACCCCCAATGCACTCGCCTTGAACAATCTGTCCATGTACCCAGTATAGGCAATCGCTTATGTCGTTCCAAAGTTGCCATATTTAGTGCTCCTCTCACTTTACCTTCTCCTTTCTCAATCCATCCTCCAGCAACCTCCATCAACCTCCATCCCCAGACCAATCAACATACCTGTCAGGCTGTCACAACGAGACTTCAGATAGATCTGGTCTGCGGGATCGGTTGATGAGGCGCCTCAGTCCAAGACGCAGACCATTGAAGAGCGAGATGTGGACACAAGGGCAAAGCGGGTCATTCCCCCGGCTGCCTCGCTGCCTCGAGGGTGACTAGACCCCTCGTCTCTCTTGGTAAGTATCCCGGGATCTCTTTCCATCCCTTTCAAATTCATCCACCTCCACGACGAGAGTTGATACTGATGGCTGCGGCTGACACAGGGACTGAGCAGGCATCTTCTGCTCCCCGCTCATCCACGAGGAACGGAGCTCCGATTGTTCTCCGTGTGAGCAGCAAATGAGGAACTTCATCAACGGCGATGACTATTTTATCAAGAGTTTCGAGTATTCCAACAGCCACAAGTGCTGGAAAAGACTCGACTGAACGCCTCGGTAAGTTATCGATATCCATCTGAACTTCAACGACCTGAACTGCTTGATGGCTAACGTGTTTGCTCTTTGGTATGACAGGTCGGGATAGCTAGAACCGTCGGGTGAGGATAGCCATCAATGAAGGCATATGTGCGGTTGGAGGCAAGCAATCGGGACTGTCCCATACTCCTCCCCGATCCCCTGTGCAGTATAATGAACCAGTCAAGGAAGGGGGTCACACTCTTGTCTCATATGACCATCCCAGTCATTGGATGCTGCTGCATGTGGCATGCCATCCGCGTCCCCGTCCAGTTCACAAGCACGGATCCGGTTGTAACCATTTATCCAATTCGCCAACCACTTGGTGAGTCGAAGTATCCATCCATTAATCACCACCCTGGTGTCTCGTAGCAGCACACTCTGTTTATAACATTCCTCATAGTGCTTTGCTACCTGCAAGATGGCCGACACCAACTTGGCTCGTGTTGCGAGGGAAGACGCGATGGAGAACGAAGACATCGACTCCCTGTTATCTAGCCTGTTGTTATCTCGCCTGTTCGAGGGTGGGACAATTTGCACGAAAGCTCTGCTCAGGTTTCACATTCACCGATGGTTGATTTCGGTGAAACAGCATGACGAGGTCGCATCTTTGGTTCCGGAATGTCTCTTCCGGATTCTCATCGGTTTCACCGCCGCTCAGAAGGCGGATGAGATCTGGAGTTCAAGGAAGGCGTGGCTTATGAGACCTCCCGAACAACAGCCCACCTATTCTTTTCTCGGGCAACTTTTTCATATGGCGCAGATGTCCGGAGTCGTCGGATACGTTCGAGTTGGAACCTTTTCACCAATTAGGATTCGTCTCCACTTAGGGTCCCCTGTCGCCACCTGGGGTTGCTCAATCACAAGTTGGTTGAAGACTACCCGAAGACTTCCCGAAGCTCCTACGTGGAGCGCTGCGTGGAGTGGGAAAACAACGATTGGCAGGGGGTCGTGACTTCGGACCCCGTCGAGAGTATTATCGGCGCGATGTTCGTCGATTCCGGCGGCGATCTCGACGTTTGCCATGCGTTTGTTGAACGCATCGGCCTCGTATGGTACATCCAGCGAGCTGGTGCCGATGGTGTCAATGTCGTCCACCCACGCAATATCGCCCAAGACATGGTGAAGGGTGTAGGCACCTTGGTCTTCAAACGGAGGAGGATCGAGGTTAAGGCCGCCGTTGCTAAGGGGAAGTTGGAAATGGTGGTCTGACTGTGACGTGCTCCTTCCTTCAGCCAAGCTCTTGCCATGGCAGTCTGTCAAGTCCATCTTATTTGCGGTCAATAGTGCCAGCAGCAAAGTGAGTTAGGCGTGACTCATGATAGCTGCGGCTCAGGTGCCTGAGGATGCAGGCAAGGACGAGTATGTTTGACTTTCTCGCTGCCTGGTACGAATGAATGTGCTTAGTTCTCATTGGATAATCCTCCTACAATTATCGAGTTGAATTCACGATTCCATATTCAAACCCCCATTTCGAGTACACTAAGACTAAAGACTCTGAGCCTAGATCGTGACACATATGCCTCATACATGGTCTTAGCATCTATATCCGCCATAAACCCCATGTATCATGTAGATAGATGCCGGATTGCAAATGGGAGAAGACGAACCGTTTGAGGAAAGGAAGCGAGTGAGTTCTTCACCTACCTAACTAGGCGGGCCCTTGTGTAAGACACAAGCGGAAGACACAGTAAGTCCGTTCTCCCCAGCCAGCGATGAGCTCGTCCTTCGCCGAATCCTGTCGTTTCGCCCATTCCATCATCGTGAGCTCATAGTCCGGAGTCTCATTAGCTACATCCATCACCGAGAAGCCATGATACAGGCCCTCCGCAAGGACATCTTGCAGTGTCATGAACGTATGTGTGCCGGGCCAGATATAGCCTCTCGTGAGGGCGCTAACAGCGAATTTCTGCACCCCCGCCGAGCCATCAAGATAGACACGGCCACCGGGCTTCAGCACATCCCACATTGTGCGTGCGAAGCGGCGATAGTTGGGGTCGGGGATGTGTTCAATGACTCCCAGTATGACAGCATGGTCATCCATTTTCTGCATCATTGTTGCTACCATCCCAAGCTTGATCGTGCAGAGTCTGGTGACTTGACTTGCGGTACATCCCTGAGCTTCAATACCGTGTCTTGTCTTTCCCCGAAGACTGTTTTCATTCACCTTCTGTGTTGTCGATGGGGACCATGCCCTGCCCTGAAGTCATCACATCGTCTGTGGGCTGTCTCAGACTCTCAGTGGGAAGAACGGCAACACAGAAGGTGAATGAAAACAGTCTTCGGGGAAAGACAAACCACCGTATTGAAGCCGAGGGATGTACCGCAAGTCAAGTCACCAGAGTCTGCACGATGAAGCTTGGAATGGTAGGAACAATGATGCAGGAAATGGATGAAAGTGTGTACGGGAGGAGGAGAAGAAAGAAAAGAATTGGAGTGGAGATGGTCCTCTATTTATGTCGATTGATCCCAGCCGCGCCGAGCAGAACACACGCCAAACTGGGCAAAAGCTCTTGACCATGTCCATATACCTCAGCAGGAAAGAAATGGCTCAGGTCACGAGGTCCCAGCCGCCGCGATTCAGGACACGCCGAATTGGGCGGGAGCCCTCTGAGGATGTAGTCCGGAGCAAGCGCAGGCGAGGTGATCCCAGCCGCGCTGAATATGGCCATTCTGGATTAGGCAGCGCTTTTCCGAACCACTACTGGCACTGCTACATATGGCACTCATCAAGGGAAGACTGCTCTTGATCAGCCTACATTGTCTTGTGACGGACGGCAGCATTATAACATCAATAGGAACACCAATCCAATAATCCACTCGTCTACTCGTCCCATGTCAACAAGTTCACCTCACCGGTGTCACACAGTCACTGTGCCCACCGAGCGCAGAATCCGAGACGGTTTCGAGAACCGCTTCCCGCGCACACCTTACAGACCCTTCTACCTTCCAAACCCTACAGATGTTCCGCACCTTGTATGTCCTGTTCACCTTTTGTATAGCTAACACTTACAGGTACAAGCTTCACGCGTTACCTACTTGGGTGATTTATCTCTCGCCGGACCGCAGGGCCCGGGGTCGGGTCTTGTATGTTATACTATGGTTAAATTAGACCACATCTCCATTTACTAGCACTAATAAGTATACCTGGAAGACTGCCTCATCTTATCCGTCAGATCCGAGTACGCAGCATCCCCCGATAACTTCATATTCTCCTGCTCTGCCTTATCGCGACAACTGTTCTCCCATCGGCGAAGAAGTCCATAGGAAACAATAGACGCAATCGCCACAACCGGGCACTCGGGAAGACCTTCATGTCCCTTGGAATACGATGGAGCTTTACTGGCACGGAAGCATTGGGGCCCAAGAATATTGCCAATACAATACGCCAAGAAGAAGACTGCGTTCATGGTGAGCTTCTTGCTGTGCCCGCTGGTGTTCGCCATGGGAAGAAAAGTCGACAGCACGTACCGCGCCCAATAGGTGTAGAAGCTGTGGTATGCTGCCAACAGTCCCCTCTGGTTCTCGCGAGGCAGCTTCCACATCAAGATTGCACAGGTCATAGGTAGGCACCAGGTCGGTTAGGGCGATGATGTTGCAGCGGGAGTTGGGGACGTTGGCAGCAATGAAGCCTAGCAGTATCTGCCATACTGTTGCAAGGACACCAGTTGGAATACCCAGGACGGTGGTGATCAGCGGTGTTTACCCCAGGCCTGTCACGATGATGGCGTAAAGGATGACCAGGCCGGCGTTGGGGATATTCCGGGCAAGTGAGAACAGCGCACTGTAGCCAAGCCCGCGAAGTTCTGCGTTGCCGCGGTGCACAGCAACTCGGGTTATTTTTTACACTAAACAATGTGGATATCCAAAGCATATCAAATCAATTTGGAGACCTTCTTTAGAGCTGAGAATAACTACCGTGCCGCTAACTGCAGATATCAGAGCCGGAATAGAGGACACGAGACATCGGGCGTCGTTCCAACACCAGTCCAAGATCCATCTATTCCCGTGAAGATACCCTCAAACCATAGCCCAAAGCCAATGGTTACACCTCCAAGTCTTGTAAATGGGATCAGAGATGCCTTCATCGCGTCCGTCAAGTAAACAAGGTTGGTATGCCGAACGCATATATCACAAACCCTCCCCTCGAGTCGTACAGCCCTTGAGCTCTCCGAAGAAAGAGAGCCGCACGTCTCAGAGAGAAGCGACTGTCTCATATATAACACACTAGGCTTTCATCATTAAGTATAAAACTTGGAAGGATGAAGAAGAAAAGAAAAAGAAAAATTCGAAGATCCCGCGCTTTTTATTTCTGCACCCGCTAGTCCGCTTTCAAGGCGGTATACTATTCTGCCGGTTTTTATTGACCGATCGTTCGGACTCCCGAGCTTCCTCCGCGGAGACATTTGCGAAGTCATAGAATTGAAATATGCACATTGCTGCTGTGCAGCTCCGCAATTTGCGGCTCAGGTCCAGCTATGCTGAGATCTCGAAAATATTGCGTGGTCGGACTGCGTCTTGGGCTGGACAATGCTACAGACCCGTTCAGGCACCTCGGCAGTTCCATGCTAGGGCTTGTTTAAGACAGGAGGATACTACGAAACAGCTTCCTGCCTTTTTGGAGGCTTACAAGCGGGCTGGTAGGTGTACTGCTTCTGCTGAATGCTGCGCAAAGTCGAACGCGGGAGAATCAAGTCTAACATTAGATATCTTGCAGTTGACTTCCCTCCCGCTACACACGACTTTGAAACCTTCTTCGCAAAAGCCGAACCGAACACAGAAGTAGTCCTCCACGGCTATCTCGGAAACCGCTCAGACTTGTCCAAGAAACTCTCCTTCGTGCGACTCTCCGATCCAACTCTCCAACACAGCCTGCAGGTCATCGCATTCGCCAAGAACGATGCCTTCGAGCAGCTCAAGACCGTGAACGTGAACAGCCCCGTCGCTGTGCGCGGTATCGTCCAGAAAAAGAAAGTCAAGCCATCAGAGGCGGCTGATACACCAGTCTCGGAGCTATGGGAGCTTGCCCTCGAAGAAATCCACCCACTCAACGACTTCCCCAAGGATATTATCATGACCCCGGAAACTGTTTTCCCGCCTGAGCAACGATATCTACAACTGCGCTCGGATGCGGAGTTGCGCGAGGCCCTGAGGTTCCGTGCGCAGGCGCATAATGTCTGCAAAAAGGAGTTGGAGGAACAGTGCAAGCCGCCGTTTGTCGAGATTGAGACTCCGCTGCTGTTCAAGTCTACGCCGGAGGGTGCTCGGGAGTTCATTGTGCCTACGCGGAGAGAGGGGCTGGCGTATGCTTTGCCGCAGAGCCCGCAGCAGTATAAGCAGATTCTTATGGCTAGCGGGTTGCCGCGGTATTATCAGTTTGCGCGCTGCTTCCGGGATGAGGATTTGCGGGCGGATAGACAGCCTGAATTCACCCAGGTATGCAGTTCATTCTTTCCAAGTTGGTCAATTGTTATTGGTTGTGCTAATCCGATGTGTTAGCTTGATTTGGAGATGTCTTTCGCAACAGGCGACGATGTCATGCGCACCGTGGAAGGAGTCATCCGCCGACTCTGGTCATCATTAATGAAAGACCCAGCCCCAGAGGGCCCATTCCGCAAGGTCCCTTACCAAGAGGTCATGGCCAAATACGGCTCCGACAAGCCAGACACCAGATACGGAATGGAAATCATCCGACTCGACCACGTTCTACCAGTCGATCTAATCAGCAAAATCTCCGACCTGAACGATCCAATCGTGGAAGCCTTCAAGCTAGAAGGAAACGACAACAATCCCTCCGAAACCCACAAATTCATCACCCAATTCCTCGACTCCCCCGCCGGCATCCCATTTAACACGAACCCCCACGGCGGCCCCGGCGTCTTCATCTACAACGGCAAACAACCCCTTTGCGGTCTTCAGCCCTTCGGCTTCGAAGCCGCCGAACAAGTAGAAGACCTCCTAGACCCAGACCACGGCGACCTAATCATCCTCCAAGCCCGTCCTCGAGCCCCATTCTCCGGCGGCTCAACACCCATCGGCGATCTCCGCCGCGCCATACACGCCCACGCCGTCGAAACAGCCTTCAAGCCCGCCCCGACAGGCTTCGACTTCCTCTGGGTCATCGATTTCCCCCTCTTCTCTCCATCCGTGGACTCGGAGCCCGGCCAGGGCGGTGCAGCAGGCTTCTCTTCAACCCATCACCCCTTCACGGCACCCAAGACCCCCGCCGACGTCGACATGCTCCTCACGGATCCCACCAAGGCAGTAGCTGACCACTACGATCTAGTGGTTAACGGCGTCGAGCTGGGCGGCGGAAGTCGTCGTATCCATGATGCTGCTGTGCAGGAATTCATTTTCCGGGATATATTGCAGATGCCTGCGGAGCGATTGGCGGATTTCTCGCATTTGCTTGATGCGCTTCGCGCGGGCTGTCCGCCGCATGCGGGGCTTGCGTTGGGCTTTGATAGACTTGTGGCCGTTATGCTTGGGAAGGAGTCGGTGAGGGATGTTATTGCTTTCCCGAAGACCGGGAAGGGGGGTGATGATGCTATGGTTGGAGCTCCCAGTCCGATGACTGAGGAGGCGTTGGAGACTTATCATCTTAAGTTGAGGGGGTAGAGATAGATGGTGAGGTGGGGTCATTGTATATTATGTTTCTGTAGATGCTTCTATTTTCTATACTTGTACAATATTGATGTACTATTGAATACCTGTTGTGGTTGAGAACTTGAAATACTGTTGTGATATGGCATCACATCCATGATCGAGGCCAGAGGACTTGTTGGTGAGGCATTCCTCTAGGTAGAAGACTACTAGTACAGGCATCCGACTTCCGTAGTCAATCAACTCTCTCTTGTACTTCTCTCACTAGTCTCAACTGCAAGAAATACTGTAGGGAATACTGTAGTGGATACTGTGTTTGTTAGGTCGTATCCCGTGATTTCTGAAATACTAGGAGCGATGAAATACTGTATCCGCGACGGTATTATGGCTTAGAATACCGTAGCGGCAATATTATTAAAGCCGAACACGGTATTCCTTACGGTATCTCATTTCTACTGCTGCCGGGATGGCATTTCATGTACGGACAATAGATGAACGTAGAAGTAGTAGTCATGTGGCCGGATGAAGGGAAAGGAGGAAGAATCTATACTGCAGGAGGTCAAACGTGTTCGAACTGCGCACATATTTCTCAGCTGGCCTACAACATGTCTGTTACTTCCATGTGCACTTGATTTGAATATCTTCAGAATATTCTTCATTTGAGTCTTGTCTTCGGACCAAGTAACGAGAGACCAGTCGGCGTAGAAGAAGCTCGCTCTCCGGGCGAGCGAAAGGCATATGACCTGCAACGAAAGATGAATTCCAGGCGGGCTATGCTGATGATGGAATCGGTTTTTCATATGAATACGATACAGATGGGAGAATGATGGACAAATATCTGTATGTGTTGAGACAAGTGAGAGAAGAAGAAAGAGTTGATTGACTACAGAAGTCAGGATTCCTGTACTAAGGTAGTAGTCTTGACTCTTCTACCTAGATTGCTGACCACCAACGCCTCGATCATGTGACGCCATGTCACAACAGTATGTATTCGGGGCGACGAAGAGGGGGGAGGAGAGAGAGAGAGGAAGCAGGCCAGGCTTAGGTGCTGGAGTTGGCATCGAGGAGCCGGAAGTACAGCTCCAGTTGGCGACGGCCCTCGGCAGCCGTGGCGATCGCCTCTTCACGGCTCTTCCCACTATGCAGTCCCACCTTGTCCCAGTTCACCTGCTCAATAAACCTATGGTCAGCTCAAATCACATTGAATCAGAGGTTTTTTCGACCGTACCGGTTGGGGCCGCTGGAACGTATAAGCCAGGAGCATGTGCTCAACCTGGCTACTGTTGAGAATCTCAGAGAGATTCCCAGACACCTCCCCATCGTGGTGCTCAAGGTAGTCGGCAAGCTTGCTGCGGCCCTTTCCCGCCGCAGTCTTGGCCGAGTTTCGTGGGATCCGGCTATAGACGCCAACCCTGTCCCAATTGAACTGCTCGATAAGATATAAGTCAGTGCTCAGTTCAAATAACATGCTCTTAGAAGATCATTCGTATTTACCCATTGGTTGGGCCCACAAGAATAGGCCAGGAGCATGATCGTCTTCAGCTCTTCGCTGAGCAGAGCTCTTTGATCCAGGTCGTAGGTGATACCTGGCGGCATGTTGTGGACGTATTTGGTAAAATCCTTGGAACGGAGGAAGCAGAAGGTCAACGATGGGAGTTACCAAGGATGAAATATGTGCGAAGGCTTCGTTGTGAAGCCGGGTTAAGTAGCCAGAGGCTAGACCGCCCATAAGCGGAGAGAAGAAGACATTGCTTGCTACTTCGAGCGTCACGAGACAAGGATGGAACGAGTTCCAGCGAGAATATGTTCGACTGCCTTTCCTTTCCGCATACCTGACCAAGCATTAGACCCCTCGAGCAGGATGCACGGTCTTCCGCAACACATCTGTACTCCACACTTCAAACAAAGAAGCACACGGAGCTCATGTCTTTGAAATGACTTGGTATGCCCCCTTCCTGGGGCAATGCAATATCACGTGCGTGGCCACTGCCCAGGAAAGACATCAATCAGGGCCTTCAAGCGCGGCTTGAAATCATCTCTTGGCGCATTCAGAATATCCGGCTAGCTGCAGACATCTCACATCGTGTGCTAACCTGGTTGGCATAGTCAGCAAAATGTTTGATAAGTGTGCATTCAAAACGATCATCAGTCGGAGAGCTGTGAGGCAGCAAGGCTGTCACGGCTGAGATGAAGTGCAGTAGGTAGGGCTTGGATGACCGGGCTGGACTTACGTTGATCCGGGGTACACGACAATTGCTCCCGGTTTCATCAGTGGCCGGTTCGCATGGACAGGACCTTGCAGTATCGAAGAGTTGCAGGTGTGAAGAGTTGAAAGTGAGAAGAGTTGCAGATGTGGAGTTCAAGTGGACCAGCAGCGGCTATTTATCCAGTGTGGGGACGCCGAGGATCCATGACCGTAACGGGTAACCTAGACGACGACGACGGCGACGGCTACTACAACAAGAACTCCTACAACAACAGCGTCAACGTCCAACGGCAACGACACCGACAATCCCCAGCCATAAGTTTTAAAGCTTAATGACTTGGAACAATCAAACGATGCGATTGACAGTCATTGACTACCGCGCCGATATTGCTACCTGATCATATTCCTAGCTTCGTTTCGGAGCCTCGGCATCTTACTCATGGTACTCTTTTATGGATGTCACTCAGGCGGCGGTCCATTACTACGCATACAAAAAGATCAGCTATCATCAGCAAAGAGTACTGACCTGGATAACGACAAGGGCAATCTATGGGCCACTCGTTACTTACTCTACGACGCCAAGATATTCGTTCGTCGGCGCATCTAAGGAACACTTCTGTACGGAGTACACCTAGGAAGCTGAATAGCTGATAGCGTAATTCACAAGCGAGTCGGCGATCCAAGCGACTCGTCAGCCCCAAAATACGGGTATAGTACATGCGATTTACTGTCTCAACGACCATGAGTCTATTTTAGCTCCTTATTTCAGAATCGCCATCCTTGATTAGAATGCTTAGCGTTTTGTATAGGATTTCAAAGATATCGAAAGGCTTTATTATGGTAAGTTCAAAAATTACCGAAAATCCGTTGCCAAAAACGAGATATCTATAACGCAATGGATGGAACATGAAGTCTTGGATTCTTTATCCCGCATCAACAACCCAGATACCACACCACCAACTCAACATTTCTCTCACACTTATCTTGTTTCTAAACGAGTGGAGAAGTGAACTTGATGCCTGATGGGAAAGGAGAAAGGATTTACACTGCAGGAGGTCAAACTTGTTCGAACTGCGCACATATTGTCCGTTGGCCTAGTTACCTACTAGCTAACTAGTTACATAACTAACTATCTTGGTAGTTGTGTAACTAGGTGGTTAGGTTAACTTCAAATATCTTCATTTGAATGTCCGGCAGACTGATGGATTGAATACTTTGGCTGGTTGCCAATCTCCTGAGTTCGGGCAAACTAAATCCATACGAACGCCAGCTGAACGACTATTAAAAGAAATAGACAACCAGACAGCCAGATGAACACAAAATAGCCATATCCAATGGTCCTCCTAAGCCTCATCCCAGGTGATGTTCGTTGTTCAGAATTGCCAATAGGATCGAAGATCTTAGGTCTCCGGACCATCGATTGAGAAGAACCGGTCGGCGTCAGAAGTGGGCGGTGCGACGGAGGCTTAGGGGCTGGAGTTGGCATCGAGGAGCCGGAAGTACAGCTCCAATTGGCGACGGCCCTCGCCGGCCGTGGCGAACGCCTCTTCATGGCTCTTCCCACTATGCCGTCCCACCTTGTCCCAGTTGACCTGCCCAATAAACCTCTGGTTAGCCCAAATCACATTGAATCAGAGGGTCATTCGACCGTACCGGTTGGGGTTCCTGGAACGTATAAGCCAGGAGCATGTGCTCAACCTGGCTAGTGTTGAGAATCTCGGAGAGATTCCCAGACACCTCCCCATCGTGGTGCTCAAGGTAGTCAGCAAGCTTTCTGCGGCCCTTTGACGCCGCTGTCCTAGCCGAGTTTCGTGGGATCCGGCTATAGACGCCAACCCTGTCCCAATTGACCTGCTCGATAAGATGATAAGTCCATGCTCAGTTCAAATAACATGCTATTAGAAGATGATCCGTATTTACCCTTTCATTGGGCCCACAAGAATAGGCCAGGAGCATGATTGTCTTCAGCTCCTCGCTGAGCAGAGCTCTTTGGTCCAAGTCGTAGGTGATACCTGGGGGCATGATGTAGAAGTTTGGTAGAATTTGTGGAAAGGTTGAATCAAAAGGCCGATGATGGTAAGGACCGAGGTACCAAGGATGAAATATGTACGAAGGCTTCGTTGTGAAGCCAGTTAAGTAGCCAGAGGCTAGACCGCCCATAAGCGGAAAGAAGACATTGCTTGCTACTTCGAGCGGCACGAGACAAGGATGGGACCAACTTCAGCGATAGCATGTTCGAATGACTTTCCTTTCCGCATACCCAACCAGGTATTAGACCCCTCGAGCAGGTTGCATGGTCTTCTGCAACACATCTGTACTCCACACTATGAAAAAGAAAGAAGTCCACGGAGCTCATGTCTTGTCACGACGAACACTCGCTTCTATTGGACCACACCGAGCAGCTTTGGTGACTCGCTCATTCTCATGGTCGACCGTTCGATTCGTCCTTTCTACAAAGTCGACCCATTACTCCACGCCAGGCCCCGAGGGACCACGTACGGTTTGCACCAAAGAGCCCAGCTCGCCGGAAACCGGAAGGCCATCATGCTCTTGGCCTTTGCATCATCGACTCGACATGGGAGTGGGACGGTGAAATGACTTCGTATGGACCCCTTCCTGGGGCTAGTATGCAATATCACGTGCGTGGCCACTGGCCAGGAAAGACATCAATCTGAATCAAGGCCTTCAAGCGTGGCCTGAAATAAGCTCTTGGCACATTCAGAATACCCGGCTAGCTGCAGACAATAGACATCAAGTATCATGTGCTAAACTGGTTGGCATAGCGTTTCGCCGTTTGGACCAAGGTACACTAGCTGACTAGCATGGACTAGAAGGCTCTTGGAGCACGTGCGTCTTCGCAATCGCCGTCTTACTCTTGCTCAGTTGGTCAGCGCAATGTTTGATAAGTGGCATTCAAAGGATCATGCAGTCGGAGAGCTGTGAGGCAGCAAGGCTGTGAGATGGAGTGCAGTAGATAGGGCTGGGATGGCCGGGATGGACATACGTTGATCCGAAGTACCTCACGACAGGCCATAAAACGCCATCCATATGGTGATAACAACTCTCCTCGAGGTTGCATAGGATTCTCTTCTCCCCACGATTTGACTTGCATCGCGTATGTACAGGAATGGATACATGCTATATGTGATGTATGCCGAAACAGCTTCATCGGGGACACTCGACACTCGGTTCTGAGTAGAAGAAACAAATGAGAAAGATCTGTATGAATTCCATATAGAACTGGCGACTGGTGTTGTACAAAATAGAAAGAAAACGCCACTCCAAACCGCTGTATAAGACAAAATCCAAAGACCAAGTTATCGGTCAAAAGATGAGAGAAGACTACCAAGGTGTCAAGTGAAGCAAAGGGACATACTGTGAATATAATACCAAATCTCACACAGTGGACAAAACACTCGTCCGAGATGTCGGACGTGTAGTAGTAGTCTCCGCAGGCTTAGCCGTCTCACCCTCCTCTTCCTCATCTTCGTAGTACAAGAAATCATCCTCCTCATCCTCAGGATGACCGAAGAGATTCCTCCAAACACCATCCCAAAGACCCTTCTTCGTAACAAGTCCACCAACAAGCAAGATAGGCAGCTGCCAAATACTAGCCCAGAACAGGCCGCGCGCAGTGCCGTTCGCGCCCTGGTGCTGCCAGAAGCGGTACGCCTCGCGGACCAGCCAGCCGTTGGCGACAGTACTACCGACGAGGAACCCGTGTCCGACGACATTGACCCACCAGAGCCCAAAAGACAAGGGGAACATGAGGACAGCATAGCGCAGGGCAACGCGGCCATTGCGGGCCGGGTTCACCCAGCACAGCATCCTGTACCCGGCCGCCTTGTACTCGTCACGGATGAGATGGGACAGGGCGTTGAAGTGCGGGAATTGCCAGGCGAACAAGATGCCACCTAGCAGCCATCCGCCGATGCTGTTTTCGCTGAAGAGCATGTCACGCCATGTGTCGTGGCCGATTGTCGCGATCTGGCCGGCGGCCGCCACCCAGCCCATTAGCGGCGGGATTCCGCCGACCACCGCGCCGACCCAGGTGTTGATTACGTGGATTCGCTTCAGAGGTGTATATACAAAGGCGTAGAGGAAGATGTTTGCGGCGGACAGGGCGGTTGTCGTCGGGTTTGTTCCGATGTAAAGGAGCGAGAGACCTGTGACGGCTGTGCCGATCGCGAAGAGCAGAGCTCCCCGGCGCGAGACGAGTCCGCGCACCAGAGGGCGATTGCGGGTCCGTGACATGAGTGCGTCGTACTTCGGTTCGAACATCATGTTCAAGGTATTGGCACTGCAGCAGGAGAGGAATGTACCCGCTGTCAGGTAGATGAATGTCAGGGTCGAGGTCGAAAGGGTGGGGAGTGGGGTCATGGCTGGGTCGAGAGTGAGCAGGGACGAGATAGGGTACATTCCGTATGCCGAGGTGGTGGTGAGGACTATCAGGAAGGAGAGTCGAGGTTTCGTCAGAGCGAGATATGCGGCTAATTTGCGGCGGAGGGAGGTGGTGGGGAGGGCGGAGGAGAAGTTTGACAATTGCGCGGAGGCATCCAGCGGGAGACAGCCGTCTGCCTTGCTTGAGGCATTGTTTTGTTCCTTCAAACGTTTCCGTCGTCGATGTGGGAGTTCTTCTGGAGTTGCTTGCGGTGCAATTGCCGCGGAGGGTGTTGCGGATGAATCGAGTCCAGTTGCGGTAGGATCAGTCGGAGGGGAAGAAGCTGTTGAATTGCTCTTCGCATTGGAAGATGCAAGTGAAGATAGCAGTCCACCTTTGCTGTTTGATCGGTCGTATAATCGATTGGCCGAGAAATATGTTTCGTGCAATACCGAAGGGGACTGGCTATTCGCGGTGCCGGTCCTCCGTTTCGAGGACGATAGGAACCCGCGAATGGCGTCGTGTCGCACAGGACGAGACCTTACAAGACATTGTGAGCATACAAGAGCCTCTCGAGGCCTCCTGAGAAGGGATGGCCGCAGAGGGATCATGGCGGGTCGGTCATGCAAAGGAAAGAAAAGCGAACGAGAGAAGTTCGATTTCCCCGGCGGTGCACGTGCCACATCCGTTAATTTTGGCGGAATGTCAACAACTTCCTGGACATACGCGGATTCTACTTTCTTTTCCTTGGTGCCGACTCAATATACTATACACCATGGATACCCTTCAGAACTCTGTCATCAAGCCTCTTCAGCCCTTGCTGAAGCCGATCGTCTCCGCCATCCCCGAACCCGTGCACGATGCCGTCGTCTCTCTGATCGGCAAGCCCTGCCATAGCGCCCTGCTGCTCGACCTCGACGTTACCAAGGATCCTCTCTGCACATCGCTTGCGATCTCCAAGGCCCTCGGCATCGCCATCGTCGGTGCCAGCGCCGTCGTCAAAATCCCGCAGATCCTGAAGCTGATCAACTCCCGCTCGTCGGCCGGTGTTTCATTCGTCTCCTACGCACTCGAAACCGCCAGTCTACTCATCACCCTCTCGTATAGCGTGCGCAACCAGTTCCCATTCAGCACCTATGGCGAGACTGCTCTCATCGCCGTGCAGGATATCGCCGTCGGTGTTCTCGTCCTCAACTATGCAGGCCGCTCCGCCGCGGCCGCGACTTTCGTTGCGGTCGTAGCTGCCAGTGTTTATGCGCTGCTGTTTGACCAGACTCTTGTAGATGCGCAGACTATGGCGTACTTGCAGGCTGGTGCTGGTATTTTGGGTGTTGCGAGCAAGGCTCCTCAGATCTACACTATCTGGCGCGAAGGAGGTACCGGTCAGCTGAGCGCTTTCGCGGTATGTTTAGATTTGCCATTTGCACAGTCACGATGCCATATACTAATTATTTGCTTTTGCATTAGGTCTTCAACTACCTTGCCGGATCCCTGTCCCGGATCTTCACCACCCTCCAGGAAGTCGATGACAAGCTGATCCTTTACGGATTCATCGCCGGCTTCTCGCTCAACGTGATTCTCGCCACGCAGATGCTTTGGTACTGGAATGCCCCGGCAACCAAGCAGAAGGCAGCTCCTCGCGCAAAGGCCATCGAGGTGCCCTCGGCCAAGAGCACCGGAGCGTCTCCCGGAGCGTCTCCCAGACCCGGCGCGAAGACACCCACGACCCGCCGTCGGGGCTAGCCGCTTGATAGCTCGACTATACTTCCCACTGCTTTCTTATTTTTCGTCAAAAAAAAGACCATAATAGTGCCATCCGTTTGAGAACCACGCAATTATACAATAGAGTAATCGCGCCACTTCAACCTCGCATCCATGCACCCCCAATAAAAGTAAACCAAACCTATGGCATCCGCCCAGTAGTCATATGCCTCAAAATCAAATCCAGCGGCACAAACGGCTGCACTGGATGTTTCTGATGAGGCGCAATATCAAACTCCAAGCCCGCACCCCCAGGCCTCCTCCTAACACCAACAACATCCATCTCCTCCCCATCCCCCTCCCCCTCTTCCTCCTCACTCTCCCCCTCCTCCTCATCCTCCAATTTCCTCCTCAACCCCGTAACAACATTCTCAATACCCATCTCCCTCTCCTCAAGCGTATAATTCCCACCCCAATTCCTCCTCCGCGCCTCCTGATTCGCCTCCAGCGGCGCCCACGCCCACAACTCCGCCAGCTCCGACTCGCTCAGCGCGCGTGTCCCGTCGTCGGCGGCGATGCCAGCGGTGGATGTAGCAGGCTGAGGTTCAGCATCGGTGCCGACTTTCCGGCCGCGTGAGACCCAGTCTTCGACGCGCGGGTCGAGTTTTGTCCGGAGGAGTTGTTCCAGCGTTGGCGCTTGCGTGCGGCCCGGGTAGTCAGGGCCCGGGTAGGCGACTAGGGTTGAAAGGAGGTCGCGGTTGTCGGAGAGTTGTTCGGAGACGCTGGTTAGGTTGTTGGAGATTATACTTGCTTGGGATTGGAGGGAGGTCCTGGGAGTGTGTTAGTTGGTGTTCTCGGTGAATTGAATCGATGCTGGGATGTGGGATGGGAGGAGCTGTTTCTTACCAGGGTGGTAGAGGGTCGCCTTGGTTTAGGCTTCCGATTAGTGAGGCGAGGGAATGTGTGAGCTGGACGAGTCGCTGTCTTGATTGCTCGAGGACTTTTATTTGGTCTTGGTTGAGGTTCGACATTGTGGGTGGTGGTGAAGTTGGAGAGTTGGAGATTTGATGGTCATCTGAGGTGGAGAAGAAAGTGTAGATCGAACGCTCGGGGGATTATTTACCCACAACTTTGACTCTTCGAACTTGTCTATTTTGATATTCAGTTCAATATAGTCTCTAGACTGAACCTCTCTCATCCTATCTCTCACTGCAGACTCCGAATACTTATTCCTTCCACATCAACAGCAGAGGTAAGTCGCGACCACAAACCACAATAGCATCCGCAACGCATCAGGCACTCCAACCCCCAAACATGCCTGTACGTACAGATATTCTCCAAGTGCCATAGATAGAACACCCCAAAGCCAAAAATAACCTCAACTTCTCAAGATCGACACCTCTCTTGCGATTGGACCCTCAGGCCCCTGGAAATGCGTGCTGAAACGCTACAGATCCATCCAACCAATCTGCATCGACGCCAAAAGACCGAGGACGCCATCTAAGCATCTGCAGCCGACCCGCTCGTCTCGGCCGAACCTTCGGATGGGTGAGCGTAGGTTTCACTGGACCGTCGCTGGGCGTGTCAGTGCTATTTTGGGAAGCTATTTTGGGATGTATGCGCTGTTGTAGTTGCTCGTAGCGGAGGGCTGGGATCAACACATAAAAGCCGTTCTTGTCGCCCGCTGAAGATTGAGAATTTGTCTACTTCATACGATAAGACGCCATCTTCCGGACTGAATTGGTCACTTTTGTTCCATAGTGAACTAGAACACCCAATACCTCAGCAGAAAGACACGCAGACATACAGATGTCGGGGATATTATCGAAGGGAGTCAAGTCAGAGACTCCCGGACAAGGAAGCAGAAACGAAAAACACGCCAACGCCGAATGATATGAGCAGATATCGCGAGAATGCATTAAGCCCAGCCACCGACTATAACCCTCATTCTCTCATCCACCAGACACGACACGAACGGGGCATTATAACACCAATGCAGACGTCGTAGGATCTTCCTCACTCACTGCCACTGACTCGGATTCTTCTGATCAGGATCCACAACCTGCTCATGAACTGGGACGGGATACTGCCTAGGCTGCTCAACAATATCATGCGTGAACCCGCTCTTATCCTGGGCCTGGTACTGCTGCGCATATTGCTGCTGGCTGTGCCCATGACCGTATGGAAGCTCCTGCCCACGACCATCGTTGTCAACAAACACAAACCCAGATCCATATCCGTGCCCGGCAGCACCGTGTATCGGGCTATCGGTCCAGGGCTGCTGCTGTGCGCCGTTCAGGTCGTTCCAGCGGTTGTACGCGGATGAGCGGCGGGTGCGCCGGTTCTTCTTTCGACGGTGGCGGATGAAGAAGATGCAGCAGATGGTGATTGAGCAGATTAGGATTAGGAACCCTACGATTGGGACGGCAATTACCACGCCTAGGTTTAGGTTTGAGTGGGATGCGCCGGGGGTCGTGAGGGAGAGACTTGATGGGAGGAGGGATTGGGTGAAGATCCTTGATGGGGCGATCTTGAAGGTGTTGCCGGTTGGTGTTTTGAAGTGGCAGTTGTAGCGGATGGATTCGAGGACTGGAAGTGGATGGTTAGCATGGACTGGCTCTCTTTTTGCATTTGCTGAGTTTGCAATTTAGATGCAGGGCATACGCACAGTTTGCGATGTACACCTGCTGCGTCGTCATGTTGTAGCAGAATTCGCAGGTGTCAACGACGTTATCTGCAAAGGACGGTGTCTCACACCAGGCGGCCAGATTCGATACATCCGGCTCATCGATGTCGTTTTCCACTGCGAGACGCACGCCATCGCATGCGACTGGACACGGCGATGAGACATTGGAGATCGAATCCGGATACCCGAATACACAGGTTGAGAAAGCGTAGCGCAGGTTATCTGGTTCAATGTGTTAGATCTGAGCGGGATCTTGCGATCTGCGATTTCCGTCAAGTGATAACGACATACAGAGCGCCCAGTTCACGTCCGAGTCCCCGGTTTCCGCATCGTGGAATTCGCTGTCTAATTGACAGGAGATGCATTTCTGGAAGTCCTTCCCTACGGAGGTTGAATTATAGTTTTCATCCAAACACGTAATCTCGGAGGAAGTCGTGTTCGTCGTGGTACCACAGACGTCTGTACAAGGCGAACCTGGGGTAGTTCTCAATCCGAGGACCACTGGAGCTGGGCTATTGAGCAGCACCACAGCTAGGAGAGAAGCTAACAGCGTCCTGGAGGGTCTTGCCCTGCCATCGCTAAGCCAGAGCATGGTGAGAGAGTCCGACAGCACAGCGACCGCCGAGGGGGGAAGGGAGAATAGACAGAGTGCCGGTCGAGCGATCTCACGTTTGCATGAGAGATAGGTAGATGATGGCTCAGGATTATGAGATGTTGCTCGGGGCGGGAAAGCTTCTTTTTTCTCACTCCGGGCAGACCTCACGCTGCTGTATGGATGTGATGACCAAGTGGAGTAACTGACTCGACGGGCTCTAACAGAGCAACATAGCAGGGAAGTGCTGCACAATCTATGCACCTGCCAAGGTGCTAATGCTTAGGCGAATTGATTGGAACATGGGACCGGTCAAATCAAGCTATTCATCGGGCTGCCAATGTTGGTTTCCGGCGCTTAGAGGAGGTCGCCCACAGGCTGGTTGGTGACTGTACCCTGGTACGTACCCTGGCTAGGGAGTTGAAGAACAGTTGGTGGGGACAGGGGAATTTCCCCATCACTGTGCTGCCAGTAGACATGCAGGAGGCGTCAGTGTGATGAAGAGTGAGGGTTGATTGGTGATAGGCTGTGACTGTGATACGCTCGTGCATGAGATGCACGGACCGGTGCTGGACCCCTCATTTGAGGGCAAGGACTTGATCCAAACGGGTATCGGCACTCAGAAGTCGAAGACAAAGAACTGAGGCTTAACTTGCCAAGCAACTCTTGCTACGGAAAAATTGGGGACATTTCGTGCTATGTATCCGATATTTTTTGAAGTAATTGGAAGAAAGGAAGATAAAGATGCAAAATTACTCGACATTTCTCCCCAATGATTATATGAAATAAAGCAGATAAGAAAACCTCCAATGCAAGATCAACCTAAAAGAAAAAAACAAATCGAAACGTATCCAGTCCAACGGGCGACTGCAGGGATTCCAATCGAGACTGATATGGCGTAGGATAGTAGCCACCCAGGCAAAGGCCAACAAAGGCCACCGGCAGATGAACAACTCAAGATCCGAAAATTGTATGTTGATAACATATCAACCATAGAGCTCATCGTAGGAGGGTACCAACTCCTGTGGAGGCCCACACTCTGGTTCCGTCTGTTTGACACGGGAAGGGTATCTCTTCTCAGGGAAAGGAGGTTGCTTGAGGGTGTGGTATCCATAGCGAGGAGTAGAAGGCGGCATTGAGGGAGCAGAAATAGAGGATGCAGCGGTAAAGCTCGTTCGTCTCGAGCTGGTGCCGCCAGAAATAGACGCGGTGGGTTCTGTCGCACAGCTTTGAATGCTGCACCGACGCATGCGCGAAGTCACGGAGAGTGGTGGGGACTTGGCGGGGATATCGAAGTCTTCGTTGTCACGCGTTGCGGGTGATATCTCTCCCATTCCAAAGTCGCGGGGGCTCAATCGAACTCGTGGGCCTAGAGTATCGCGTTCTTCGTCGTCTTCCTCTTCCTCTCCGTCGCATGAGGAGTCATCGCTAGCGCTTTCGTCGTGGATTATAGAACTTGGTGGTCGGTGACTTGCTTCGCGCCGGTAATCGCCACCAAGTTCTTGAGGTCCAAATCCTTGAGCTGGCGGGGTGTGTCTTTCTCCAACGCGACGCCGAATGTTCTGGTCAAAATACCCTGTAGGGAAAGGAGGAGACTCCGGGTGGAGTTCTCGGGTGCTCGTACTTCGGGATACTCTGCTCGAGGTGCTGTGGCTTCGCTGTCGTACTGGGCCAGGTGAATTGTATTGCTGGCTGTCTTCGGGTTGTATTGCTGCCCTTGATGGGTGGTTCCAGGACCCTTGTAAGGGATAGGAGATAGAAACATCACCCCAGCGCGAGTGCAGTTCTGTGGACACTCTGCGCTTTCTTTTGAACTTCTTCATGAAAGTCGCCATGGCCTTGAACAGGTTCCTCATCGGAGCTGTGGGGGTGATGCGTTCGGGGTTGGAATATACCGAAGGGAGGACAAATCACTCCCTAGTGCGTCTTCATCCCAGGATTGACCGAACCCCCCACCGAGAGCATGAGTCTCTCTCGAGGGTAATTATATGACTCACAAATCTCGCAGCAGAACAAACAGAGATAGAGAGAAGATGACAAGGGCAGAGAGGTTGCCCGCGTGTGTTGAAGTTATATCAAAACGACACGTCCATGGAGGCGCACTAGCTGACCACTGCATGCCCGTTGGTAAGCCGAGAAGAGAGAAGATCTTCTGAATGAAGTGATTGACGGATCGGTGTTGGAAGCCAACTGACCCAGCGAGCGATTAGAGACCCGGGAAAGAGCCCGATGGTCTGGGTCGACCCCTCTGCTGGCGGCCCCCGGGGTTGCAAACGAAGAATCGACACAGTGTTGCCTCACAGAAAACAACAGCGCCTCAAGAGAAAATCAAAACGGCTAGTCGACTGCAGGTTCAGCAGCTGGTCGGCCGAAGTAGCTAGGCGGGTCGCCGTGAATGAGAGGCTCCCGCTGCAGCCTGAGTTGAAGATGCATGTGGGAGGGGTAGAGAGCAAGGGAATTTGGAATCCCTGTTCTCCCCTGTTCATTCTCAGCTACTCTGAGAGTTGTGAACTGCGGCGCAGTCAACCTGCGTTGATGAATTTGACGCGAGTCAGGGTAGCCTTGGCATGGCGGCTTGGCATGGCGGTTGTCTAGAGATCTCCACTGCGGCCGAATAGCTATGAGATAGGAGATCCGTCATTTGCACAGGTTTACCTCGATTCAGGGGTCTATGTGCCCACTTGACGAAGGTAGGGTGGCAACTCTTGCCGGACTAGGCATTGTTGGCGCAATAACACAAGATGGAGCAAATGGACAGGGATCAAAAGAGGGGATGCTGCCTTTCGAAAGAGGAGAAATGGCATGGATTTGACTGTGACGCGTCTGAATCCCTGCAAGAAAGTGGACTTGAAGGGCCCATATTCAGGTCGAGGGTGTGTGAATGGAGAAAAGCACACAAAGTACGGAGTACACCAAAGCTCCGAGGAGTTAGGAAGGGAAATGCAACATTGTGTTAGAAATGACTCTCTTCACCGAGGGGTTGGATGGCGATTGAGCACTCCACCTGTCCACCAAGTAGCTCAGATAGGCGCTGGGAGATCCAAAGGGGCAATCTCGGGATGATCCGCGATCAAAACAAAATGATTTTCCGGGCAGATCTTAAGCACGGACCAGGTGGATTTTCTGGATATTTACTCCGTGTTGGAGATAGAATCAGTTAACTAGCAACCTTCACAGGGAGATGAAGCATCCCCTTCTGATAAAACCAAAACCCGAAAAAAAAGACAAGCCCCCCCCCTGTTCATTTTCCAAATACAAGCAACTCAACGCCATCGTGATATTCGTAAAAAAGGGAAAAGAAAAGAAAGAAAAACAAGCCCCCGCCACCATCACAAAATCACCGGAAATTGGTGATCAGCCGCGACAAAACAGGCTTAGGTCGTCTTGGTCCAGTCTGAGAAAGCATTGGCTCAGAAGCACTTCTCTCCCTCCTTTCCCTGCGTTCCTGACCTTCCTGTCTAGCACTCGGCTCCGGCGGGGGTGGCATATCCTTCTGTCGCCCGGGTATAGGAGCTACAGGTACAGCTACAGGTCCAGGCCCCATCGGACGTCCAGGCTCGGCCATTGACAAAGGCCGCGAATTTGTAAGTCTGGCATCGTAATGAACTGCACTGAGGCGTGAAGAAGAACCGGGATGTTGGTGTGGATGTGCATATGGATGTAGATTTGCAGGCTGGGCGGGGTTATAAGCATACGGGAAGGCGTTTATGTCGCCCGCCATAGAGCTTGGTCGGATGGGTTGGTACCGTGATGGATCGTATATTGGGAGTGTTGGAGGTGTGGGGTATGGCGGGGGCTGGTCGTATGAGGAGCGGGTGTGCTGTTGGATTTGGTATTGGCGTTGGGACCGGCGATTGGTGTCGGGTGCGAACGAGGATAGGGGCCGCGGTTGGGGGTGGAGGGCTCTGGTGCCTAGTTCCTCGGTTTTATAAGCTGGGGGTGGCTCGAGGGGAGAGAATTCCTCTGGCTGGTGGGCGTTTCTTCTTCTGGCCCGTTCTTTGCGGGAAAAGAGATATAAAAGGCCGGCCACTTGGTTGGTTTGGGGTTAGTTGGAGCTCATGGTGTCGGGGTTGCGGCTCTGGGCTGCATACTTGCTAGGAATATGAGGCTGCTTGCTATAGCGCCAATGATGATGACGGCTGTTCGGCTTGAGGGATTCTTGACGGAGCGAGTGTCCAGGATGGAGTTAATTGACATATCCCAGAGTTTGATGTTCCAATGGGGATATGTCTAGCGGGTGAAGAGGTGGTAGGATCTCCAGATATTCCAGGTATACCGTATACAAACAGAATGTCCAGCCAACATCGACCTCCTCAGATACCTTGGCCAACTGTTGCACTTCAGACTTGAGCTTCACACCTCTTGGCTTGATATTAAGAAATGACCTCAACGAAACCACGAGACTATAGAATATAGATATATAAGACGCTGAAACGGGAGCATCGAAGCTTAGTCGCAACCTGACACACGGTCCCTGTTTCAGAGGTTAAAGATAGTAGCAATTAGCCTCTTAACTATAGATAGATTCGCCCGAAACGACCGAATTAGCTGTCATTATCACCATTAGCTTGCATATGTGCATTAATGTGCAGGGGCTAGACTCGTGTAAATGCGCCCTAATTTCTAATTTAGAAACCAACTGCATCTGCAAACAGAACACATCGACGTTCGTTGACTCGTATACTATCCTGCTTTGACTGGTCTGTTGGAAGCGCCCCCTCTGAGCGAATGGGAATCCCCGCTTAAAACCAACACTGCACTTGACGAACAAGTATAAAAGGGCATCACCGCTTGTTTGTCCGGGATTTTCGACTGAGTTGGTTATTCTTGATGAGTTATCAGAATTGGGCATGTCTAGGGAGGTGGACTTCCGAGGTTGATAACTTTCTGATTTGACAAGCACTCACCAGAAATGGAATCCGTTGCAGTTAGGGCTTCAACGCCTACGAGAATCCTCGGGCAATCCGACTTCCCAAGTTTCCAATGTCCAATGTCAAGATACAACAGGAATAATATTCATTTTCAAACCTATCTCACAATCCACATAACCTCTAAAAATGCACTCCGCAAATCTTCAATCAGTTACTCCGCATAAGCACGATACACAGCCAGACCCTTCTCAGTGGCAAAGTCCAACGCAACCCCCTGCCCAACAAAGAATACATACCCCTCCTTCAGCTCAACAGCCGTATCACCAGGGATATTCATTCGCCCAGAGCCCTTGGTAACGATCATCAAGCTCGGCCCAAGAATAGCCTTGTGCGTCTCCTTCTCTCCAGCCCCAAGAGTAGTACACAACACCGAGAACTCACTAATAGGCGGCGCATACACATCCGTCTTGCCCTGTAGGCCCTTATCGCTCTTCCGACGTGGCAGCAGCGCATCCTTAGAACTATGCGGCTCAAAGGTCAGAGCCTCGCCGAATAACTCGACGCTGTCCCGATCAGCAGCTGGACAGAAGCCCGTGTTGATCACGTTGTCTGACCGTGCCATGCACTCCACGATATCGCCTTCCAGGTAGGCGTGGATGCTGTCTGCGGGGACGAAGACCGAGTCGCCCGGCCCCAGGGTCATGTAATTCATCAAGAGGGTGGCGACGAGGTTGCCATTGTCGCCTTCGCCGTATTGCTTAGCTAGACGGCCAAGGAGACTTGGGATGTAGGAATGGGGGCCGAATTGTGATTCCGGCAGGCCTTGGAGGTCTTTGGCAGTCTGTGCCACTTCTTCGGCCGGCGCGCTAAGTAAGGCCTTGCAGACTTGGCGGAGGGTCTCGTCATTGAATTGGCCGGATTTAGGGACGAACTTGGCCAGGTGATTCAGCTTAAATAGGGCTTCGATGTCGCTTAGGGGCTTCCAGCCGGCGAAGAGCTCGAATTTGGAGAGGGCGATTGCGATCTCTGGCTTGTGCATTGTGTCGCCGAATTTCTTGGGGTCTTGTTTATGGAGCTTCTCGGCGAGCTTGAGGTCTGGGTGAATTTGTAGAGGGAGTGCCTTGCTGAAAGATAGGATCTGTGTTGCTGTTAGATCTCGGCGGTAGATTCGTAGCTTGGGCCTTATACATACCTTTGGCAGGAAAGGAATCTCCGCGCCCCATCGGTCGTGGACGGACTTGCCCACTAGCTGGGGATTCTTCTTCAGGTACTCTCCCAGGTGTTCTCCGGTGGAAAGCAAATAAGATGGGTTGGAAGGGTATGTGCCCATCCACATCTGTTCATGATCAGTAAGGACGTGTCTATCGCACTGCATCCTCTTCACCGAGACAGCGACTTACCTCGGAGTATTGCTTGTTATCATCAATCGACTGATTATTGGTTTTTGACCATAGCTGAGCAACCATCGACTCCTTTCCCTTCTTTCCCCACTCGTCATTCTGTGACAATTCGAATCAGTATGTGCGGAGTATGTGATTGTCTAGATGTGAATCCAAACTCACCTTTACACCACACCGGAGTTGAACTACTGCGTCGGGCATTGTTAAGATAGTTATGAAGAGAGTATATGGAGATGGAAGGTTCAATTCAATCAATTCAAAGATAAGTTAAATGGATTGACTCGCTGCAGCATTTTTATTGGTTGCGGCAAACGACGTTGATATGCCGTCATGGTGATATATGCCCCAGGTTATCGCAGAGCAATGAAATTGAAATACAGGGCAGCGCTCGTCCAGACCACCAATTGGAATTCTATGACAAGTCTTTTCTTGATTTTAATAATTTTATTCCGAACGACTGAAATTCAGCCTTGATTCGAGGAAGTTGCAATGCCCAGGAATCATGTTGCATCTCAGCAATGACGTATTCCCATCCCACATCTCTGATTTAAGCTTATCAGCAGTCAGCACCCAAGGAACCTCGGTCAGATAAGCTATAACGTTCGTGTTAAATGGTAGAATGGTAGAATTGAATTGGAAAATAGAATAACCAGATGGTTTCTATGCTGAGGCTTGCTAAGACACCATGACCCTAAAAGAAAAACGCCCGGGCAATGCCGTGCAATAATGAAGAAACAAGAAATGACAATGAAAACCCCGTGAACCGGCCCGAGTTAACAGACACATCACTCATACAGTTCATCAGGATCAGGAACCATAGCCAATGTCATAGGCCTAGAAACAGAGGCCCTCCTCCCATCAGCCGCAACAAAAGGCGACGTCTTCCGTCTAGGCTGAGGCCCATTGTTCCGCCGCGAGCCAGAGCTATCTGAGCCATCGCCAACACTGGAGTAGATACTCTGGCGGTCATCATCGCGATACGTACTCACTCGAGCATAGTAGTCGCGATGGCGGTCGTGGTCCCTCCTGTCCAAAGACTCAGGCAATGAGCCACGCCGTGAGGGGACAGTGCGCGGCGAATGCACAGATTGACTGCGCGGGGTCTCTGGCCCTGAGTCTTGGAGATAACGCCCGCTAGTTGGGATGTATTTAAAGCGAGTGCTGTGTTTGGATGATTTTTCGACTACTTCCGAAGGATAGTCGTGCTGGATCGGTTTGTATGCGAACTCCGTTCGCGTCTGCTCGTTGTGAGCGACTCTTTCGGCTTTCGATTCACCTCGCAGGTGTTTAGGGCGCGAGTTTAGACGCACTGACATACGCCCCGGTCGCAGGGCTCCGATGGATAATGAGCTTCGTCGGGAGGCGGTTGACGCCTCACTGCAGACGCTCCGAGTGTCTTCGTCTATGTCGTCTTCTTTCGCTGGGTGCAGTTTCCGGTCTTTCGGTGAAATGTCGGGCACATAGCCTGGCCCGTAGGAGGACTTCTCCTTAACGGGTCGATGGGGGTTATCATATTGGTTCCATGAGCCGTCTGTGGGCACTGATATGGAGACATCGCCCCATCGAGCATGGAGAGGCTTTGCATATTCCGGCTTGTGGAAGAGAGAAAGAGGACTGTTGACGATCCCTGCCATGATTTTCTGGAGAGGACAGTGTGTACTGTGATATGATACTTTTCTGGAAACACCCTCCAGCCGAGGCAGAAAGCAACATCCGTCTGGTGTGGGAGGGGAATAAGAATCCAGCGGGGGAGATAATAGGAAAGGCCGATATTAAAGGGAAAATGTTCCAACAACAACCGGGGTCCAACAAACAACCGGTGACGACGACGACCCGGTCAGTCGGTAAGTCGACAGAGGGATCAACAAGGCTTTGGCAACCTTCACGGCTGTGAATCTCCCGCTTCCTTCCCGCTTTCCTGCAATGTTCCAGTAACCAACAGTGAGGAGGGTCTTGGATTGGATGGCGCCCGGGATCACGACGAGCAAGGGTCTCGAAGGGTAATGGAGGGGTCACAGGCCAATGAATTAGATATCCCTGTAAATAGGCAGCCACGCTGTAAATACGTCGTATGAATAGCTGCCAACAAGCAAGACCAAAAGCACGAATGAGTTGGAGTCCACCAGGGACGATGAGTAGGCAGTCCTCTCTGAAACCGAGAGCAATACCATCGACTTCCATGCTGGCCGAGGGCGTCTAGATATAAGGCCTGGTCAGAGCTGAGGCGGGCCACATTAGCCTCCGACATGCCAAAAGCGCCTTGGGTCGTTGCATTGAAGCTGTATCTAGTGGACTCAATGGGGGCCAATGAGGCTTGTCTGTTACCGCCGAGAGATGAGGAGATCGACCGGGGTATGACAGCTTCCTTAATTAGCCTGCATAGAGGAGTGAAATCTTAAAATAGATGCAAATTAGCTGCATTTAAACTGCCTAGTTGGGCTGTGCATAACTCTAATAGTCTATGTTCGAAAGTATTCGTTTACTAACTACACAATAAGATCTTGACGACTAGGTAAGGTGTTAACTCATTAATCCATTTACCTATAACTAACTCCTCATACTTCAGTCTTGACATATCGAGAATCTCAATTGTATTCTTTCCTAATTTATTTCTGTGTTCGTTAATCGCTGAATCCAGATACTTCTTGTCCGGAGACTCAACTCCGAACATGCAGCTCAATCTGAAACAGCGTAAATGCAGCTAATTAATGGTATTTTTGGAATCCTGCATAATTCAAAATGCGACTGCTGTGAGGCGCGAGGGAACGCGGCGTAATGCCCTAGTACAAATCCGCCTATGTCTAGAGAAGCTAGTGGGATCAATAGCCGTCAACTGGCAAGCTTCAGCCAACTGGCAAGGCTATATCCCTACGAATTGCCCCAACAATCCATGTGCCGCGTCTAATCTGGTGTTTAATTCTATGGCAAAAGATATCAGAATTTCAAAGTTGGTTCACAAACTGCTTAATCTCATTGACTTCGAATTCATCCAGATCTTGACTCCTAACGAAAGTTCCAGAGACAAAAGACCCCTGGTTTTGTACACTGACGGGAGCGGAATTGATGGGCCTCGGCACTACTATGTGATCGTCACACAGTGCTTCAAGCCTCCGCTGCAAGCCACAGATCTGGCAGGTGACTTATGAGCTGGCCTACATCACGCAAAGCCCTCATAGGCGTTTGGTGGTACCAGTAGTCAGTGACCACACCCAAGGAACTTTCAGTTCACCAACAACCTTCAGTCGAGCGTCCCTGGTCATCAGAATGCTATCGGGGGTCTTGGCATAAGTGCTTCCAAGACACTAGGTTAGAATCCGCAAATTCTACATCAACGGACTGTGCCTTCAGGATTTTTGAAACGATATATCCTACTGTTACAGTGTTACTGTTAAAAGCAAAAAAGGGAAAAGAAAACAAGAAGGAGATCAATCCGATGCTGTACTGCATACAAGGTAACAAGTCTGGGAGAAAGAAAGAAGAAGAAGAACAGGAGGTAAACAATCAAATAAACTCTTTCCCGCGATCCCTGCTCCTTCCCTTCCTGCTTGCCCACTGGCTCACATGACTTGCTCATCCAGTACTCGATAACTGTCCGCCGTCACACCTACCGAATGATTGAAGGCACCCTGAAGGCCTGTCTCATTGCCAACCTATGAGGGGTGCTTCCGCCTCAAAGACGCCTGATTTGGGAATGTACTCTATGGCCTTGGTGCTCCAACGCCGGCCTTGGATATATGTCTCCACAAATCGGAGAAAATTGGGCCAGTGTCGCAGCTCGCCGACATAATCGATGGCGTGGAGGGCACTAGATGTGGTTTGGTTTGGGCCGAAGGGGAGCGGGGCCCGGGAAGGGCTCGAGACGCCATTCCTCTCACTCGGACTTGCTTTGCCGGCATCTGGTCTGAGTCTGTGGACAGAATGGGGAGTCAGTCCACAGACTAAAGAGTGAGATCAAGGTACCAGTCAGGCATTCAGTGACTGGATATTTCCTTGACCAGGTCGATCTGCACTCCTCCAGGCTCCAGGCTTTTGATCATCGCCTCACATCTCCGAACCATGGAGGTGATTCTCCGATTCCTCTATTCTGACACTCGACTCGGGCATCTGCGACCTCAGAGTAGGGACCCTCGATGGTCCTCAAAGTTTTGTATTTCCTGGCGGCTTTATGAACGAGCTACGGTAGAAGCATGTTAGTAAGAGACAAGCAACAACATACTTCAACCAAAGTGGGGGATGGCTTACCATGGCCCGTCCATTTTGCATAGTGGCGGTGTTGTTGATCCCGCCAACGGAAGCATGGACGTAGCTCTATTAACGAGCATGAAGAGGTGATCTTAATTGATTGCGCTAGCTGCCAAGATTCAGGTTATGAACTTGGTCAGCCAGGAGTGGTATGATGATGATGATGAGGAGGAGGAGGATTTGACAAACCCGATTTAGCTCGCTAAACCAGGGGTGGTATTGATTCCACCCAGCTTCAATAAGCGAACGACAACCGTCTCCCTCTTTCCCTGGGCACCGAGGTTAGTACATGCTCAATGTAACGAAACAGGCCGCTTGTTGCAAGAGCAAGCAGCGGTCAGTACGAAGTGGATGATCTTACCGAAAAGGGTACCTTGGCGGTTCCGAAGAAATGTGGTCAGTCTCCCGCACGAAGAATTCGTCAGATGGGAGTTCTTCCAGGTCTCTCCGCATTGGGTAGACAAGACTTTATAGGTGCATGTCCTGTCACAACGCGAGACTCTCTTTGTTCGCCTTCCTCCACAATTCAGGGAGGAACAGGACATGAGAAAGGATGACCAAAGGTTCGGAAGAAGAAGCGAGAGTCTCTTTGTTCGCCTTCCTCCACAATTTAGGGAGAAACGGGACATGAGATAGGATGGCGAAAGATTGGAAGAAGAAGAGAGAATGCTACCGGGGTCACTTGCAGTGAGCTGCATTGACCCGGGTGCAGTTAGTATTGGGACAAGTGAGAGAAGAGAGTTGTATTGGTAAAGGAGCGAACTCCCGATCTACCTGTCTGAGGGGTCGATGCCTGATCCCTAAGGGACCAACCACAACAGTTAGGGATCCAAGGAGGAAGGAGAAGGAATAAAGAGAAAGGGGCAGAGGAAAGAATAAATAGTTAATATAGTTCATGCGTAGGTAGCGAGTGGTTGCAACATCCGCATTAGGAAGGTACGGGGTTAAGTAAACAACAATGAATGGAGTCAACCAAGGCAGGTGCGAGGGTGGTCACAGAAATACTGTGGAGGAAACTGTGAATGGATCTCAAGAGAGAACCATCTATATAACAGTATGTCCACCACTGCATAGTAATTGGCCCCTTAATCAACGCTCGAATGTCCAGCAGGGGTGTTTAGGCAGGTATACACTCGCAGAGTTTATTCGAAAGGGAAGCATATTACTGTGGATATAAGAATACTTCAGCACATTGGCATAGAGTGGGATCACGAAGCAGTAAGCTGGTTGAGATAAGTAACGTGAAGACAACATAGAAAGAAGCGATAGGTAAGGTCTATTAGAAGATTTCATGTCAGATATCATGGGCTGTGTCGATGAGCATTTCCATGGGTACCAACAGCACTGGGCGATAGGGCTTACTGTTCCTGTTATTGACACGGATATCTCTGACGGACAAGTGAGTCCGGCTGCTATGGACCTAGACACATAATGGTCTCACAGCCGAAGTTTGCTAAGTCGACAAGGACGTTCCCAAGGTTGACTTCAGAAGAGGGCAGCGCCAGGACATCCCTGGCAAGACAACGCAAGATTGGGAAACCCCCAAGTTGGCAGAACAACCATCTGCTCGAACCGAAACGACCCTACATCTCCAGGGCTAAATACGACAAGCACCAACACGATAGATAAAACGAGTGTGTATTCCAAGCTGGAAGAAGAATATATTGAAATCTGAAGAACAAAAAGAGCCTGCGTGTAGATCATAACAAGTGTATCCGTGGCGCAGACTCGTAATTAACAAACGAAAGACATTCCAAATCAATCTATACCCTGACCCGTATCCCATATTAGCTGTATATGATACAGTATCGGGAGTACTTGAGTCAATCAATCCCAATACATCGATCCTCCTCCGCTGTACAATATGTACAGGCGCGAGAGCCTGTTCAGCATGCGACATTGAGTAATACATCACATGGACGACAGGTTCCTGCAGGCACCGTCACCGTCACCGTCCGCGCAACGATAGCTGGCGAGGTAGCCCGTTCAGCTGCTCAGCTGCTCAGCATCTAGAACAGAGGGCGAGGAGCGAAGGGGATGAAGCCGGTAGGGGTGGGGACGGGGAGAGAGCTGGTGGGAGTGCCGCTGGGGGTGACACTGGGGGTTCCGCTTGGGGTACCGCTGGGGGTGCCGCTGGGAGTGCCGCTGGGAGTAGGCCAGGCGGTAGGCCAGAACTCGCGCTTGGCGAAGGCTGTGAAGGTGGCGGTAGGGGTCCCGGAGACGGAGGGGGTACCGGTAGGGGTCACAGAGACAGAGGGGGTGCTGGTAGGAGTGGGCCAGTCACCAAAGGGGAAGCCGTGATGGGGAGGGCCGAAAGGAGGGCCGTGGTAGAATTGGCGCTTCTCGAAGGGGATGCTGGATGGCAGGCCGGTGGGGGTCTCAGAGCAGGGGAAGGCCGAGGACAAGGCGCTCATGATGCTGTCAGGAATGATGCCGCTGGGGAAGGGCAGCTCGGGCAGAGTGCGCTTCACGAAGCCGCTGGGGGTGACGGTTGGGGTAGGAGAGACCGTGGGGGTGCTGCTGGGGGTCGCAGTGCTGCTGGGAGTCGCGGTGCTGCTGGGAGCCCCGGTGCTGCTGGAACCATGGGGAAGAGCGAGGGCGCAGCCCATCAAGCCCATAGCGGCGAATCCGGTGAACTTCATTGCGATTGGTATAAAATTAATGGAATATTGAGTCAGACAAATACTGTGTAAGGAGTGAAATTATTCGGACCGATATAAAAGATATTATATCACAGGCAGATCTGATGGGTCGGAAAGAAAACAAAAAAAATCACGGAGGGCTAAGGATATCTTATAAAAGTGCCGAGTCATATCAGACCCTCTTGATCGGCAGGCATAGCCCCAGGCGGATGTGGATTCTGTGATCTGGCCATGACTTCAGTCGTCTTGCATCCCCAGAGGCTGGAGTTGCTAAATGAGTGGAGTGGCCTGACGACCATGCCTAGTACAGTAGTTGCGGATTGGTCGATCTTAACCTGGGGGACCTTAGGGCCGTCAGGGACCAGGCACAAGGCACGGGCAAAGACACAGGATTGGGGGCTGAGGTATTTTAGCGATAAGCTTTGCCTGGCCAGCCAATGCGCAGAAAAGGTGGGAAGTGGTTCTGGGGCCTTCAACGAGGCAGGTATCGGCGGTTAGGTTGAGCTGCAGACGCCACAGACAGGTACCAAACAATAGTGCGCCGATCATCATCCGTCTCTGTAGCATGGATCCTTCAACAATAGAATAGTCTTGACGGTCTGACCGTATCAAACTCTTTTCTACGGAGTACGAATGGTACTCTGACCTGCCGGATGTAGATTTCTCCAGACTCCAACTGGAATTGGCCTATGCTCCTGTCATGAAGTCCGGCAAATCTCCGTCGGACGCCCTGCCTGGGGTTGCAAATCGCGGGCGACCCCTTTTTCCTTCTAGGAAGGCCAAAGCACATCGTGCAGGGTTGATAGCACATCAGACATTTCTGTTTCTGAGCGTCAATATGCTTCAATCATGATAGAGGAGCTGGTTACCCGTATCATTTGTGATGAATTCGCCACACCGCACCTATCAAGAAGGCTGAGACAGATCCTTCGTCCAGCCTCGATGAGTTTCCAGGGAATAAAGTGGGCTCTTATCTGCTGGAAAAGACTGGCGAAGCCACTGATTGATATGTACGGAGCAACGAGGTCGAATCGTAACCGAGCGATCAGCGAGGTGGAAACTCCGGCTCCATTATTCTCAGTTAAGAAATGGTGAGCTGATCTGGGATCGGCATGGTACAGCCGTTCAACCGTCATGAACGGTGTGCCAATGGTGTGTGCTGGGACGGGGTTCCGCTGAAATCGTAGCCATGGTGTGAAAAGTGCGTCCCGTTCTGAACGTATTCGGGAAAACAGAGATTCGGCCCGCAACCTTGAGGGCTAAATGCTAAAACTCTAGGATGGCATCGTGAGTCGTCGTCAGCGCTGAAGATGAAAAAGGGGGCGTCAGTCGGTAGTGGATCCCGTGACATGAGATCGACGTCGGTCAGGCAGAAAATTTGCAAAGCCCCATTGTTAACTTGACACGAGACGGCACAGGGACATGAATAGAGCCATTGTCTCTAGTTGATACAGACTCTCGAGATACGCATATGAATGAAACATCTTTATGCAAGATACCGCGATGCCACCCTCCTTCGAGAGATGATATCCAGGGACGGGATGCCGATTGTTTCCTCATCCTGGTATGACCCCACTCGCCTCTTCCTGGTTGGCTGTAAGCTAAAAGTGCCAAGAGGGAATGCCCGCGCTGTCCGGCGGGTGGCTACAAGCCTACAACCTTGTTTGTTGTACTCCGGGCTCCGGCCACGGCTCCTCACTCCTCAGTCCTCAGCATTGTTCGGGGCCGATACTACTGGAGACGTTTACTGGAGAGCGGAGATATGCAGGGTCCGGTTCGAGGCTATTGGCGCCAACGAGCCGCGTGTTAATAAATCTTTAACCGTACTCCATACTTTTAGCCTGCCTTGCCCTTACTGTGTACGTAGCTGTATCTGGGTTCCCCTGAACGGAGGACGCCGCCTAGTATCTTGCTTCCCCGCGCTGCGTCTTGTATCGATCTTGCAGGGTCAACTACGGTTGTTCTTGGTGACCTACAATAGCCTATCATAACCTATATTGATACTGTCATAACTCGGCTAAGGACTCGTACAAGTACCGAGTCGAATACATGCTTATTTCTGCTCTGGCTTCTCTCTCAATTTCCTACCTCAAGATGTACTGCGTATTTTGGCAATGGGTTTTGGCAGCTGGCGCCTAGTTTCCGTAAGTGTCTGCGTAATCAATCATTATGCAACGATCGGTGCGTTTCAAAGCAACTTCATTCCACATTTCATAGACCTCCTCGCTTGGTTCATACGCATCGGAGCCGTTCCCATTGCCCCAGGCCGCTGTCGCCACTTTCCATTCTTGGCTCCCCGGCTCAAACCAGAACTCGTGTTGAGGGGGCGTATGCTGGTGGTGCGAAAGCGTCAATGACATGCCGCTTAGTCTAGGCATCTGAAGAGCAGCCTTGGCAGCTGATAGATGATATTGATTGAACAACTCGTGCACGAATTTGGTTCGGAACAGTCTGCGCTTGCGGTCCTCTGGAGGAACCAAGTCCCAATTGGTGTTTTGATCCGTAATCTCATAGTAGGAGTTACGACGATAGTAGGGAAGACCATCAAAATGACGTGGATCAGAATCGAGCTCCTCCGCGTCGTCATCCCGTTCAAACATCCATTTCCCACATGGCGTGACGGGTATAGGATACAAGTATATCGAAGTTAGATGTGGCCAGAAGGGAGGTTCGGGATTATCATTCAACGGCCAGAAGAATTCTTTTCCCAAGACACAGCTGTACGCCGTCATCGTTGTCAATTGTTGGGAAAATTCACGTAAACGCGAGCTTAGAGGATCCGTGTTTCCCTCTGCCGTTAAAGCCGCTGGAGGATATGTTTCATCTTGTGGGGTTGAATGGGTGAAATTAAGGGTGAAATGGCGTATTGCAGGAGGCAAAAACTGAATAGAGTCCGCAAATTCTATATGAATTATTATCAGTATATGTATATCCATTTATATTCGAGCATCATGCTGGAATCTGTAGGTATCTGACATACCATTCCGTCGACGTTCTCTTGATTGAGGATCCCATTTGCAATTATCATCCAAGGCAAGGTCCAGATGGTGTAATCGAGGCAACTTCGACGCGATGAAAGAACTGGAGGCTGGCTCGATTTTCCTATAGTCCTTCGCCCCCGTAATAATAAGACTGGTGATGATAGGTACAGCTCGGCATTGAGCACCGACGGCTTCCTCGTTGAATTGGAGATACGATCGTTCATATCGCTTGTCCCAGATGTCATCAGTTAAGAGTCGTTTTCCCCACGATGGCCACCCACGCTGCTCCTTTGTTTCGCGACTTGAGCCCCTAATATCGCCGGGGGACCGCGCCTCAATCGAAAGGCGGATGCCCACTTCGTTGTCCGGCCATTCAGGTAGAGCAATCGCTTCGTTGTCCGACCCTTCGGATAGAGCATTGAATAGTGACTGAATTGAAGTGGTAAAAACTTTGCTGTTTCGCTGCATCTCCTCTTCATTTTCGAACCGTGTGCGAGCCTCACCATCATACGACTCCAGCTCCACGATGAAGTAGATTCTCTGTATATGGCGTCTTCTTTGGCTCCATGATAACCGGTCCCGGGATACTAATTGTCTGAACTCTGCTAGTCGCTTGCTGGTGTCGATCTTGATGCGTGAAAAGGTTTCCCTCTCGATAATCGCCTGCCAGTTGCGGTTTGATAGTGACATATGGGAGCAAATTGGCGTTCTGACCCAACTTATATTTGTCATATTCCATATGGACTCCGTAGTAATAGTCGTGACTTTGTGGGACTCTGTGACTGTAATATGGAGGCGTGTCGCTGTTATCGTGAATAATGAACTCCAACACCGTCTGTATCAACTCCGGTGGTAGTAGTGAAAAGCCCATGACTTCAAGATGTTGGAAGGCTAATGATGCAAGAAAAGTCCATGTGGCTGATGTCTCGAAAATGCTACACCGTATTAGCCATGCCAAAACTCAAGAAGCCCCCCTTGTTCGGGGCGAAATCAAAATAATCAACTCGGTCACGTGATCGCGACCTCGTCGTTTACTTCGGCCAAGGGGACGAAAAGGAGACCTAACAGGATCTCCATAACTTCTAGAGCACTGCGCCAGATTGGAACTGGGCTTAGGGATGTTCCCGATACGATATCGCCAAAATTTTAGTCGCCAGATCAGAATGGCTGGCGATAATTATCGGCCGATAATGTCGTCCATTCCCGATATTATCGCCAGTTAGCCGATAGTTAACTAGTTAAGGTACTAAGCTGATGATTCGTAATCATATCACGTGATCGCACAACCTAGTTAGCAGAATTTCATAATATCACTAGCACTTGTCGTACCATCCACTGATTCCCCCTCACTTCCAATTCCTTCCCAATAGGGTGGTGGTTTTGACTGGTCCAAATATCCAAGGAGTAGGAGATGGTTCTGCAGGTGATGGCCAACTCTTCCTTCAATGCGGCTCGTCGGAGCTCAAATTGGTCCGCGAGTCGTCGATGTACAGTAGATCGAGAGGTGAATGGTAAAGAAACCCTTGGGATGTCCTCAAAAATCTGCTGAAAAGACGCAGATTCAATAACAAGGAAGGCTTGCTTATCCTGAATAATCCATCGAAGGAGGTTCCGCTCCAGACATTCCTGAACCGAAAGGTGGGCTTGTTTCTTGAATGATCTTCGGATATCCGGAACATTGAGCGTGCGCAGCACCAGCCACTCAATGGGTCTGGAATCACTTCTCGACGACGCAAGTATCCCGCGAGTGGACGGAAAAGCGGACAGGGAAAAAGAGGACGAGAGATATGGATATCAGCTGCACAGTTGTCGATGGCAAGACCGGAAAACAATGCGGCTGGCAAACCTCGGATTCCCAAAGGGCCCATTCAACGTCAAATAGGCAGCGGCACCTGGAAAGATCCCACTCGATTTTGTCACCGGAATCCCAGGGTTCGACGCTCAATGTTCCGGATATCCGAAGATCATTCAAGAAACAAGCCCACCTTTCGGTTCAGGAATGTCTGGAGCGGAACCTCCTTCGATGGATTATTCGGGATAAGCAAGCCTTCCTTGTTATTGAATCTGCGGCTTTTCAGCAGATTTTTGAGGACATCCCAGGGGTTTCTTTACCATTCACCTCTCGATCTACTGTACATCGACGACTCGCGGACCAATTTGAGCTCCGACGAGCCGCATTGAAGGAAGAGTTGGCCATCACCTGCAGAACCATCTCCTACTCCTTGGATATTTGGACCAGTCAAAACCACCACCCTATTTTTGGTATCATAGGGATGTAATTCATTGATTGCTTGATTGATTGACTAAATTGATTGATAATTATAGGCCACTGGCTCACAGAGGATTTCCACTATCGCGAGGAGGTTATTGAATTCTGTGAATTGAAAGGAGCCCATACGGGGGTGCATATGGCTGCCGCGGTCTATCAAACCTTGGTAGAATTAGACCTCGTTGACCACAATCACTGGGGATAATGCCACAAATGTCCAAGACATGGTTTCTCGGCTTTTCGAAACTTTGGCAAAGGAACCATCTCCTCAACAAATTCGATTCCACCGTGGTAATGATGGCTATGTTGGCTGTCTAGCTCATATCCTGAACTTGATTGTTAAACATATTCTTAAATCCTTGAGATCTGGAAGTCTTTCAGAAGCCCATGATATCTGTGATGGTTTAGAATCCAGGATGTCATCGGTCTCGTCTGAATCAGCATTATCTAAGCTCCGGATTTTTGCTGTTTGGGTTTCTCGGAGTCGCAGTACTCAACGGAGGCAGGAATGGAGTGATTGCGACGCTTGCGTCGCCTTACTTACGGCCAAAACGACCTCGGAGATAATTCGGCTTGAATTCTGTCCCTCCGATTGGTTGTTCGGCTGATAATTCTTTCCCTCTGATTGGTTGTCCTTCGACTTACGGTTAGTTTTTCCTCTCCGGTGACTTTCCGCCTGCCTTTCACGGCATAGGGCTAGGCGAAGCTGAGCGTCGCAGTTAATTCCCAAGACCATCGGGCGCCGGGAGACCTCGTATCTGTGCTACAGTTGGTCGTGCCGCCAAGTTCATCGAGTATGATGTGGATACGCGGTGGAATTCTATCTTCCGATTGCTTGACGATGGACTCAATGCTCGACTTCAGATCGATCTATTTTTATTAAATCAAGGTAAGCAAGCCATTAAACTATGCAACTGAACCAGTTACCGATTCTTCAAGTCCTAGTTGATTAATCAATCCAAGTTAGTAACTGGTATGGTCTTAAGCTAAAACACTTTCCGACCGAAGGCATTCTTCGTCTAGAGTCGATTTCCAACGGACTGCTTCAAAGAGAATCTCAAGAGCCAAATTACGCACTTGTCTAGGTAGTCTAAGGTTGTAGTATTGCAAAAGCTAAATGACCTCTTGTCTAAATGCCAGCGATCCGTAGAAAGCCGTGGATAAAGAGAAAAGATCTAGCCAAACAAGATATGCGCTGATTGCTAGATTCGCAAAATGCAAAGAGCGCAGGTTCAACAAGGAAGCGAGATCCTGGCTATTCTGCAATAAGGACCAAGGGTGTTTGGTATGACGTGTGAGCTTGTAATATGTAATATTTGTCAAGTAAAGGCCATACCACATCTCCTGAGAAGCGATTGCCAGGCCATGGTGTAATGCATCACAGAACGAATGACCCATTCCTTAGTGCTGCTGCTTCCGTGTCAGGACCTCAGGCGAGCTCGGATGGACCGTCGGCGTTGGAGTCATGCTGAGAAGATGGTGGGATGGAGGTGGTACGGACATGGAGAGATCGTGAGCCGAAGGTGCACGAGGCTGCTTGAGGGAGTTACGACGTGCCGAAGTGGGGGATGTGTTGCAAGCTCCAGAAGAAAATGAGGATCGACGGGAGCTGACCGGGCTGCGGAGTCCGGGACTTGCAGGTGGTCCGCCGAATGAGAGCGATTCTGAGTGAGTTCGGTGACCTGCGAGTTTAGGACGAAGGGTGTATGACCGTTCCAATTCGTCGTCGCTGCTTGATCCAATTCCGAATATCGCGCCATTCGCGAATGAAACTGAGGCTGTGCGGCGGTGTTTCCTTGGTTGGGTTGATACAAGGATTGACTCGCTTAATTGCGAAAGAGGCGGGTGTTCTAGAGAGACGGTGCTTCGTGCCTTTCGCAGTTCCTGGGTTGGTTGCTGCCGGTGCCCGCCAGAGTGTCGCTTTTCTAACTCGGGGCTGTGGGATCCTCTGCGCCTATCGCGATAACGTCCCTTGCCGCTGCTTTCTGCGGAGTCGAGTGAGTGACGGCTGAAACTTGGCATGCGTAAATCGACCTGGCTCGGGCTGAAGGCCACCCGGGCTCGCATCTTCTGAATGGCACTATCGAGTGCCAACTCAATAGCACAGTGGTTTCGGATTCGGCTTAGTCTCGGCCATGTCGCCCGCTCGCCGCTCAAGCATGCTGAGATCATGAACTCCTTTGTTGGGTTCTCCAGGAGTCGCGGGAAGTTGGAAGAAATAAGCTCCGGGTATATGTTGATATCTCCGTGATACTTCTGGTTCACGATAGAAGAAAATTTGATCATTGAAGTGGGGAAGACTCCAAGCTCGGAGAGCACGTTCATCCTATGCAGCACCTCGTCTTTCGCGAGGTGTGTCACTGTGTTCATCCATCGAGGAAAGAAGGATGAACGTTCGTCCATGCCCTCCTGTGGTCCTACTTCTTTCGGAAGGAATGGGACCACATGAGGGTTCACCTGGGAGACAATAAAATGATTGACGTTGAACATCTCTGACAAACGTGTCATGGGTAGATCGCCATCAACAGAACCATCGATATACTGTTTGTGGAGATCATTCCATGGGACTGGTTCCCCTGTTAGTGGATCCTTCGCCATCAATGTGTACGGCCTGAAAACGAATGGAACGGAACATGATACCGCCCTGAAAGATGTTAGAGGGAGCCGACAGGTCAAAAAAAGGACGTACTTACACTGCAGACCAGATGAGGACATTCGGTGCGGAGATGTAATTCAACAACCGCGGAAGCTCATACATTCCTGCACTCGACACACAGATGTTCAGGATTCTACGAGTGCGGTTATATGCCTCTTGGAAAGTCATATCGCCCAACCAGTCCCTGATCGTGTTCGCCAAATGGGAGATGTCAAGGAATGATCCAAACTTCAGGAACCGAGTCATCTTTTGCCATATGTTTTCCTCCTGTCCCTTCTTATTGAAGACAGAGAAGTCACCGTGTACATATGTGTCCAAAAGGCCAGGCAGCTCTTCATCTGTTCGTGTGCAAAAGACTGCGCAAACAATACTACCAGCAGAGGCTCCTGAGATGATCCGAGGGATCATGTTCGCTTCATAAAGAGCCTTGAGAACCCCGATATGGGTCATCCCAAAGGTGGCTCCCCCAGAGAAGAGAAGCGCGCTGCGGCCAAAGGCCTGTCGAGCTGCCAGCAGCTGGTCCAAAATATACTTCAGCTCTAGTCCATCGCAACGGTCATGTACCGACAGATCCACTAGCGTGGTGATGGTCTCCACAGCCGTGGTGATATATCGATCGATCAAGTCTTTGGTGCCGATGTATGAATGACGATAGAGCGAAGCATCGCTCATGCGCGCCAGGTCACGGCTTAGCGCCGTGCGCACCAAGAACAGCATGCGACTCACATCACAACTGATGCGAGCCTCTTCCAGCTGTCGCAAGCGACCATGTACCAAGTGTGGATCATATTCCGAGCATTCAAATGTCTGCTTCCAGGCGTTATTGCCTTCTAATTCGTCCAGTTCACTGGCACAATCTCGCCATTCCTCGTACGACACGGCCTGCAGCCCGGGAGTTAGAAAGCGTCACTCTGCAGGGGCACTTGCCCGCCCGAGGTACACAACATGTACTCACATTCTTTATGCGCAAATATAGCACTTCTTTCCGATCGTCGATCTCGGCCCTTTGTTTCCGTTGTTCCTTGGAAAGGCCGTCGCGGTAGGTGTGCAGCGTATCACCGGCCCAATTCCACGAGTCTTTCACGAGCGACGAGACAGCTGGGATGGAAATCGCTCTTCGGAGTGAGCGCGGAGGTGAGGGTTGCGATATAGCGTGATCTGGGGGTTTGCGCCCATGATGACACTGGACTATTGTAGGGTCGCCCAACACCGACATGGCAGGCCTGTGCATCGGGATCGCAAGCCATTCAGCCGTATGAATGCAACGGAGAGTTAGCCTTTATGAAACTGATATAATGATGTAGAATATCAGTGATGAGTTGTAGGAGTAGAAATTCGAAGTTCAAGTTTGGCGGTGACCATGGAAGAGAAACGTCACGGGGACGATCCGCCCGATTCCAAGCCCGACGCTTAGTTAGGAGCCAACTTGTTGGTGATATTTGCATGAGATTTCCATCAATTCGGAGGTCAATTCGGATTCATCAGCCTATCTGATCTCATAATCATACATAATGCCCGGTATCGTCATGCTTTGAGTCCCCATGATCTTACTCCACGATCATCTGAACACTTCCCCAGATCACGGGCAGTGGGGCATCATCTACGAAGTACGTAATTTACGTATTCGCCGCAGATCACTCTCCGGAGCACGCACATATTCTAGATTTTCTTCTTATGCCAGATCTGCTTCTTGGGTTACAAGGATCCTATCATTTAAGGGTATTTAGTGATCTTAATCTCCAGGGGAAAGTAATCAACAACTTCATACTGTGACCACCGTATTTCAATCCAGAGACAATTGACCCCTGAGCCCGAACTCCGGACCCCAGCCGGGGTCTTTTTTCACATGTTAGCTGCATGTGGCCTGCATGTGAATGAACCCCAGAGGGCTTATTTTTCGCCTTCATAACTATGTCTTCATTGACTCATTGGACCTTTTGCCTCTCTCTATGTTGTATGCTGACATCGAGATTAAACAATAGGATTAAGTTGTGAAACAACATAGTTAACTATGAACAAGAAATGAATAATTAAACATCATCATATCTGACAGACCCACTCCTTCAGAGCATGTCTCGCTTGTTCCTCGACCCCATCCTCACGCCAGAAATGGCCCGCGCCTGCAATCATTCGAAATTGAAACCGACTGTCCGGCTTGTGCGCCATCTCGTCTGACCATTTCTGCAGTTTCCCAGCTGAGGTAAAGTTATCTTGGTCTCCAAAGAGCGCCAAGACTGTGTTCGTGCTCTGTTGATCTGTAGGGCGTGGACAGGGGATTCGGGGACTTTGAGGCTCCGTCTTCATTTCCAACGACAAGGTCGAGAACATGGTGAGGAATTGGCTGATTGGGGGTAGTAGGGGAGACACGAGGAGGTAAGAAATTGATGTTGGCCAGACACGTAGGTTAAGGTCATCAGCCACGGTGTGACTGATTTGAAGCCTATCCAGGGTGGCTGCGGCTATCCGCTTTGCTGTGTCCCTGATCTCGGCTAGGGGTGTTGATCTGGTAGTTGCAGTTGATGTGGGATCGAAGAGGTTGAGCATAGTGTCAAGGGTCGGCACATGGGATGCTATAAGAGACCCATATGAATAGCCACCAAGGATGAGATGGCTGTCTGAGTGATTGGCTTCTTTGTTGGTGGGCATACGAGCATCTGAGGCTCCTTGGCCTCTCGGGGCCAACGCAAGTTTCAAGAAGTGCAGATATTGCAACATGAATCCGTAGAAAGATACATAGTCCCCAAGCTCAGGCTTTGCAGTCCAGCTTGTTCGTCCTTCCGAGTCACCAGCTCCACTGAGTACGTGTCATTTGTTAGCACGTTTGGGTCATGGCAGGATGCTAAGGATGGATATTTTGTACCGAAAGTTGAAAGTCCCCACGATACAGCCGGCGTCTAAAAGCTCGTCACTGACGAAACCGACGACTGGATCGTCAAAATTGCCTCCTAGAGGTGCATATGGATGTGCGATGATGGCACCACGGTTGGGCCAGGAAGCTGCCAATTCTATATTTTTGAACTCGCGCGGTAGGTGAATGCGACATTCGAGTTTGCTGCCATCGTAGATTGATGAAAGAGAGAAGGAGAAACCGGCTGATGGATGATTCATGATCGGATATGTCTTATTTCATACCTAATTGCATCAAAATGTATGGAATGTTGCTTGTTTGCTGGTTGTAGGAAGAGGTTGGGCGTGCGGCAAGGTTTCGGTCGGTCCGCCACCCCAGTGACAATTCACAGAACTCGCGACATAACACAAACCGGGCACTGCCTGCTGGAAAGTGACTATATACTGGTGAGGATTTTGCGAGATCCTGTATTCTTGATATTAAGTTGCTTGAAAGACATTAATTTACATTATGCAGTATATAATCCCAAATAGGTAGTGTTGAGCTCTAACCAAACCATCAGGCCAACCATGACGGATCTGGGTCATCGTCTTCTTCTGACCTGAAAGCAGCATCTGAATGGTGGGGATCCGCATCCTTGAGCAGGTCTGCTGGAGGTTCTGGATCATCATTCTCTAACGGATCCGCGCGGGGATCCTCATGGCCATCCACGCCGTGGTCTATCAGAGGATCGTTGGGAGCATTAGAGTTCAGGGGTGCATCCTCATGCGGCAGATCGAAGGCGGAAAGTAGTAAGCCCCTTGCTTCGCGCAGGGCCTCTAGCTCGGCTGCAATGCAGCAAACTAGTAGCTTCCAATCCTTATCCTCAGCGAGCTCCAGATGTGACTCAAGTCGGCGGGTGGTTTTCTCCATGTCATCCAATATACTCCTCACGAGTTCGTCCTTCGTGTCTGTCGGCGTGGACCCTGCTGCACCGGTCGCTGGTGTGGCCAACTCAACATAATGTCGCATATTGGCCTGTAAACGCTTCTCAAAGCCAGAAATATCGGACACAGCTTGCTTCCACACTCCACCCCCTTCTTCCAGTGCTATTATCTCCGCATCCACTTTCTGTTGTCTACTGTGCAATCTGACCTGTTCGGTATTCCAATGCTCCTGGGCCATGTCAAGTGTGCGTCGTTTAGGGTTCAGTGAGTGGAAGGTGGATTCGCCTGCATGTTCTGCCAACGGTTGAATGGGAGGGTCACGGAGGTAGCTTCGAATGTCGGACTCGAGCAAGGACAAAGATTCGGTGTAAGAAGAAAGCTTGGCGTCGACCGAGTTATTGATGTGTGATATCTCTTCCACAAGATGCCGATGTTTAGCTTTCATCTCATACAGCCTGGTTTCCAATTCATGAATGTCAGTCTCAAGGTTCCGAGCCTCTTCTTCTAGCCTCTTGGAGCGATGGCTTTCCGGATCCCCACGTATAGCAGTGATCGCTTCTTCAAGACCACTTTTTCTCGAGAGAAAGCTTTGGATATCACGCAGTGCATTCTCCCTCTCTTGGGTTTGAGCGAGAAGAATATCTCGTTCTTCTTCTCGTAACTTCAGTAGATCGTATATTGATTGGAAGATGCCCTCTCGGGCAGCCCGAAGCCCGATCTTCGTAGGCGGGGGCTGCCTAGCAGGCACCATGGAAGGAGACTGCGATCGAACCCCAGTTGACGAAGACGTCGGAGAGGCACCATCTGCTGGAGGCCTAGCGAGGACAGAGAGAAGGCCTTCGCTTTGCGCGTCGATCAGGACTTGAAGATTTCGCTCTATGTGCTTTGCCTGACGTTCAACATATAAGAGGGGATCACGATGATACAAGGAAGCACCGGCCGGCATAGGTGGCAGCCTTTTATCTCGAAATGAATGTTGAAGAAGCGTTGACATGTTGGAGAATGGAGGGCGGCCAAGCTTCAACGACAACCGAAGATAGAATTAGAGATTCGGTGGCCCAGTATTGGGGGAGGGGACTATTTAGTAGCTTCAGTTTGAGGCTGGACCAGCTCTCAAGATTATCACCAGACCAAAATGAACGTGTCCATCTGCCAGCTGATGCTGGGTTGTTTATTGCAGAGTTGGCCGTCCCGGGCTGGTCGCAGCTGACTGGGCGCCATTCACGTGACCATTCATGCACAGTCAGCTCCGGCTCAGGCGTTGACGTTGATCGCGCCAGCACAGCTTCTGACAACTGCTCTCAGCTTCCATTTGTTCGTGCACTTTATCCATTTCGTCTCCTTCATTTAATCAACTTCTGTATTTCTCATCATTCTCCCACTACTTGGGGTACCTAATTTCCCCCTCTCACCTCTTTCTGCGCTGGGGCTGATTCGCTGTTTCAAGCTCTCTCTTGATTGACGTTGCTCCATCACAACAGCAACCACACACCTATCGCTACTTGAAACCCCTTTATTGAACCGTCACACGAGCCGTTTCTCAATAAGATGGTCGGACTCGTATCGGCCGCCGGTTTGGTTGGCTTCCTCTCCGAGCCTGACCCAGAGCTCAAGGTCTTTGCTCTGAAGACATTAGATTCTCAGATCGATCATTTGTGGACAGAGGTTGTCAACGCTGTTCCTGAAATGTGAGCTTTCCCCCTCTAATATTCGATGAATCCGCAGCATTGAGCTTCATTTCCATTGTTGCATCATTCCTGCTGATCCCGACCGGCTACTGAACCCCTGCTGACAATTCATCCAGCGAGGCTCTCTATGAAGATGAATCCTTTCCAGAACGTGGCCTTGCTGCGCTAGTCGCATCGAAGGTATATTATCATCTGCAGGAATATAACGAGAGCATGGTTCTTGCTCTTGGCGCTGGAAAGCTGTTCAAGTTGGAAAACGGCGGCGAATATGAGGAGACTATTATCGGTATGCTGAGAGGAGTCTTGTGTCCATGGCTACCCTATTCAAGGCTAACCAGTTTCCCCGTATAGCTAAATGTGTCGATACCTTCATCTCTCTGTCCGCCGCCCAACGACCTATCGCCGGTGACCAATCAGCCAACCTCAACACTGCGTTCCCTGCATCAGGCGACGGCGCCAGCAGCACATCTGCCAGCCTCACCTCCCATATTACACCCTTCTCTAAATCCGCATTGCCCTCGAAATCGTTGCTCTCGCGCGCGGAAGTCCCAGGCGTCGACGCTGCACACCCTGGTGGCGATGACAGTAGCGTCCAGCACGAGGAAATGAACCTCGTACTGAAGCGTGGTGTACAACGCCAATTGCAAAACGTCATCGAACGTCTGTTCGAAGCATGCTTCCGGCAAAAGCGATACCGTCAAGTCATTGGAATCGCCATCGAGGCAAAGAGCTTGGATGTGCTCCGCATGGCCATTCTTCGCGCTAGCAGTGATGAGAAACAGGAGGAGGGTGACTCTCGGGGAAGCGAGGAGCTCATGGAATATGTTTTGGACATCTGTATGGGCGTTGTTCAGGAACGGGCTTTCCGCAGCGAGGTTTGTTTCCCCGGCAATTGCTCTACTGCTCACAGTCGACTAATCAAGATTTGGCTTCATAGATTCTTAAGCTCATTTTGGAACTCCTGAATGAGATTCCGGCCCCTGACTACTTCTCAATCGCCAAATGCGTTGTCTACCTCAATGAGCACTCGATGGCCTCTGTCATACTTCGCCAGCTAGTTGAGAAGGGTGATGCACGATCTCTCGCCGTTGCGTACCAGATTTCGTTTGACCTTTACGACAATAGCACTCAAGAGTTCCTTCAGAAGGTTCGGCAAGAGATCTCTGAGCTCGTTCCCGAGGATGAGAACGACAAGGAAAACCGAGCGTTGGAGTCCGAGCCTACAGAGTCCGACGCATTGCTAGAAGACCAGGGAAGCTCCTCTCGGTCGGATAAGCGTTCAGACCTGCCGGAGGACGCGATCACTGCCTTTAAGAACATTCTTTCGATCCTCGATGGAATTAAGACTATCCAGTTGAATCTGGAATTCTTATACAGAAACAATAAGGCTGACATCGCGATTTTGAATAAGATTCGTGATAGTCTCGAGGCTCGCAACTCTATCTTCCATACCGCAGTCACACTTTCGAACGCGTTCATGCATGCCGGAACGACTCACGACAAATTCTTCCGCGACAACCTGGAGTGGCTCGGCAAGGCCGTGAACTGGTCTAAATTCACAGCCACTGCTGCTTTGGGATGTATCCACCGCGGCAATCTAAGTCAAGGGCAAAAGCTTCTTCAGCCTTACCTACCCCGTGAACACATCGCTGGAGTTGGAGGCTCAGGATCTGTCTACAGCCAGGGTGGTTCTCTCTACGCATTTGGTCTCATCTACGCCAACCACGGAGGTATGGCTGTTGATATCATTCGTGACCACTTCAAGAAAGCAACGGAAGAGGTTGTTCAGCATGGTGGTGCTCTGGGCCTCGGTGTCGCGGGTATGGCGACAGGCGACGAGGGCATTTACGAGGACCTGCGAAGCGTTCTTTACACTGATTCCGCTCTCAATGGTGAGGCTGTTGGTCTCGCCATGGGTCTTATCATGCTTGGCACCGGCAACATGAGGGCGTTGGAGGACATGATTCAGTACGCTCACGACACACAGCACGAGAAGATCGTTCGCGGTCTGGCTATGGGTATGGCCTTGATCATGTATGGACGCCAGGAAGGAGCCGATGAGCTTATCAACGGTCTTCTTGGTGACCCCGACCCAACTCTTCGCTACGGTGGTATCATGACCATCGCTCTTGCTTACTGTGGCAGTGGCAGCAACAAGGCAGTCCGCAAGCTTTTGCACGTCGCTGTGAGTGATGTGAACGACGACGTGCGCCGAGTGGCCGTCCTCAGCTTGGGATTCATTCTGTTCCGCAAGCACCAGAGCGTTCCTCGTATGGTCGAGCTGCTTTCCGAGTCATACAACCCTCACGTCCGTTACGGTGCCGCCATGGCGCTTGGTATCTCCTGCGCCGGCACTGGTCTGGACGAAGCTATCGATCTTCTAGAGCCTATGCTCAAGGACTCGACCGACTTTGTTCGCCAGGGTGCTTTGATCTCTCTTGCTATGGTTCTCGTTCAGCAGAACGAGGCCATGAACCCTCGCGTGACCAGCCTCCGCAAGGCCATGATGAAGATGCTTGGTGACCGTCACGAGGATGCTATGGCTAAGTTCGGCTGTGCCATTGCCCTCGGTATCATTGATGCTGGTGGTCGAAACTGCACTATTAGCTTGCAGACGCAGACAGGTAACCTCAACATGCCTGGTATTGTTGGTGCTGCTGTCTTTGTGCAATACTGGTACTGGTTCCCTCTCACACACTTCTTGTCGCTCAGCTTCACACCCACTTCTGTGATCGGTGTTGATCAGAAGCTCGAGGTGCCACACTTCAAGTTCCACAGCAACACCCGCCCCAGCCTCTTTGACTACCCTCCTGAGCAACAGGTGAAGACCGAGGAGGCCCCGGAGAAGGTGAAGACTGCTGTGCTTTCTACAACTGCCCAGGCCAAGCGTCGGGCACAACGTCGGGAGAAACAAGCCCGCCGTGAGAGCATGGACATTGACCAGGCGCCTACAACCCCTAAGGCTGATCAGCTTCCGGATGCAATGGAGACCGACGAAGCACCCAAGGAGGAGGGCGAAGAGGCTAAGGAGACAGAGAAAGCTGCCGCGGAGGGGTTGAGAAAGAAGGTGGAGCGGGAAAAGGTCGGATATGAGCTGGACAACCTGTCAAGGGTACTACCAGCTCAGCTCAAGTACCTTACCTTCCCCGACCCGCGATATGAGCCGGTCAAGAGGGTATGTTCACACTCAAGTCGTACAATGAATCTAGTGCTAACTGTATTACAGCCTACTGGTGGTGTCGTCGTCGTGCTCGACAAGCAACCCGATGAGCCTCGCGAGGTCATCGAATTGAAGGCCAGCAAGGAAATCCGCCAAGCGCCTCCTGCGACCGAAACCCTCCAGGACCGCCTGCAAGCCGCTATCGGAACCGCTGCTCTCCAGACCCCTCAACGGGCCGACGCTCGGACTGCTCTTTCGGCTGCCACTTCAGGTGGTGCTGCCGCTGGCGCTGGTGTTTTGACCGCAGTAGACGAGGACGAGGAGGGCGTGGAAGATGCACCTGTCCCCAACGAATTCTCGTACGAGTCAGATGGCGAGGAAGAGTAGTGGAATGGCACGGCATAGAATCTTGATTCTGGATGTATTACTAGACTAATCAGGCTGTCTACGCTGACCTGATATATTTGGGGACTGCTATGGTTTTCCTTCATTGTGATTGATATGAAAGTTCCTTTGTTCGCACACTGTAACCTGCCTCCGTTCTTCCAAGGTCAATTAATGACAGTTAACGTGGTATGCACTAGGTCACCTGCATCATGGGGTGCTTCGAATTGACCCGCTCTGGTCAGCGGCATGATCCTAGGTAGGACATGTACTGCGTACTTCCACATGCTAGATAGACGTCATGCGCTTTTCGCGATACGGTATACCAGCGTTGAATACGCATACGCAGTATTCCAAGAATATCTAGCATTCTTCGAGGTCCAGGGATAGATCTAGAGCTCTATTTGTATCGAAATCTCCATTTTCTCACCTATGGGTCTCTAGAAATTCATAACAACCCAATCGCAACCAATCTGATACTCATCTTTATCACATGTCCGATGAATTCCACCGATGAATCTGACTCAGCAAGCACTAAGTCAGGTGGGTCCTGGGCTGTTATGCCTCGGCATTTTCCTTTATGACGCACCTCGAGCCAATAAACGTCTCGGTCAACGGAGATGACCGAACTATTCGGCCAATGAAGCAGAGACCGAGTGTACACTGTACATTCTTTAAGATCTGCCTTTGGTGGGCGCATGTGAACATGTGAAGTGTTACTATCATCTCCGAGGCCCCGTTTGGTTCCAGCTTCATATCCTGAATCCTGAATGGGAATATCGTCCGACCTTAGTGCTCCTTGCCCCATATAACATATAATTTCTCCCCCAGCTTCCCCGGAATTGAAAATTTCTTCTTTCTTCTTATCCACTGGTCCCTGACCTGATCCTAAATACTTGCACTTTTCACCTCACTTCTTCCTTCACATACTCCGCCACCATGTCAAAGACTTTCAGCGCAGAGGACGTTGCCACGCAAGGCAAGGGCGCCAACACCTGGGTCATTATCGATGAGGATGTATACGATGTGTCCAAGTTCCAGGACGAGCACCCTGGTATGTTTCCAAAGTCATGCGCGCGCAAATGCACGAGGTCACATGCTAACTTACTTTTTGTTCAACAGGTGGAAAGAAAAGTACGTTGTCTCCGAAAGTATCCGCAACTCGCTGATAGTACCATATTGACGGTGTGGGTTTAGTTCTCCAGAGAGTTGCTGGCAAGGATGCATCCAAGCAGTTCTGGAAATATCACAATGAGGGTATCTTGAAGAAGTACAAGGGCCAGCTGCAGATCGGTTCTTTGAATACCAAGAAGGCAGCCCCTGAACCCCCGGCACCCGCGCCTAAGAAGGCTGCCCCCGCGGTCAAGCCCGCCGCTCCCTCCTCTTCCACGATTACCAAGGGTGAGCCCCAAGATCCTTACGGAGAGTTGATTCCCTTCGCCGATCCTTCTTGGTACCAGGGTGTAAGTTTTTCTATCTGCCGAAAATCTGGGGGTTTTTCCGGTCAAGCCGGAAGCTAATTCGTTTTTGATCCGTAGTATGCCTCCCCCTACTTCAACGAGACCCACGCCGCCCTCCGTTCCGAGATCCGCCAGTGGGTTGAGACCGAGATTGAGCCATATGTGACTGAATGGGATGAGGCCAAGAATGTGCCGGAGCACATCTACAAGCAGATGGGTGAGCGCGGCTACCTGGCCGGTATGCTCGGTACCCACTACCCCGTAGACCACACCCCCCACCGTGTGCAGTCTGTCGCACCGGAGAACTGGGATCTCTTCCACGAGATGCTGTTGACTGATGAGCTATCCCGTACTGGTAGCGGTGGTCTGGTCTGGAACTTGATTGGTGGTTACGGCATTGGCTGCCCTCCCCTGGTCAAATTCGGCAAGAAGCCGCTGGTCGACCGTATCTTGCCCGGTATCTTGGCTGGTGACAAGCGTATCTGTCTCGCCATCACCGAACCCGATGCGGGCAGTGATGTTGCCAATCTCGGCTGCGAGGCTAAGCTTAGCGAAGACGGCAAGCACTACATCGTCAACGGTGAGAAGAAGTGGATCACCAACGGTGTCTTCGCCGATTACTTCACCACCGCCGTCCGCACCGGCAAGGACGGCATGAACGGTCTCAGCGTTCTGCTTATCGAGCGCGAGGCTGGCGGTGTCAGCACCCGCCGCATGGACTGCCAGGGTGTGTGGTCCAGCGGTACTACCTATGTCACCTTCGAGGATGTCAAGGTTCCCGTTGAGAACCTGATCGGCAAGGAGAACCAAGGCTTCAAGGTCATCATGACCAACTTCAACCACGAGCGTATCGGTATCGTTATCCAGTGTGTGCGCTTCTCCCGTGTTTGCTACGAAGAGTCCATGAAGTACGCCCACAAGCGTAAGACCTTCAATAAGCGTCTCATCGACCACCCGGTCATCCGCATGAAGCTCGCCCATATGGCCCGCCAGATCGAGGCCACCTACAACTGGCTCGAGAACATCATTTACCAGTGCCAGTCTATGGATGAGACCGAGGCTATGCTCAAGCTCGGCGGTGCCATCGCCGGCCTGAAGGCCCAGTCCACCCAGTGCTTCGAGTTCTGCGCTCGCGAGGCCAGTCAGATCTTCGGCGGTCTCAGCTACAGCCGCGGTGGCCAGGGTGCCAAGATCGAGCGTCTGTACCGTGATGTCCGCGCCTACGCTATTCCCGGTGGCAGTGAGGAGATCATGCTTGATCTCAGCATGCGCCAGAGTTTGCGTGTTCACAGCATGTTCGGCATGAAGCTATAAAGCAATTTTTCTGGTGTTTTGGTTTTTCTTTTTGGACAGCGGCGGTAGAGCTTGCCCATTTTGATTCTATTCTTTCATCGCTACCTTTGGCTAGATATCCTCTCGTCTGCGACGGCATTTGTTCTGTTTTGCTATGATCTGTCATGTACGATAACATTGGCTTCTTTTGTATATTCCTTGATTTACAGTGGTGCTTATCACCTTTTGGATAGTCGCTACATTTACCACATACAAGTGATATTCATGATTCAAGACAACAATCGATACTAACTGACTAAGTACCTAACTAACTAGAAGGGGGCATGATGTATGCGGTTGATGTATTGTCCTTCGGAACTGGGTAACACAAGTCTTTGTAATATCTTGGAAGTGAACTGAACAGTTTCCTCATGAGGAGCATACTTCTTGCAAAGCATTTAATCTGAGACTATCGCTTCATGGTGCTTTGCTACTGTGTTTCGTTAAATTGTTGCTGTGTACAAGGTGAAGTCGACCGCCTAAAGTCAAATACGGTGACCGGAAGCGACCATTCGCGCAATTATGCCTCACCTGCGCAACTCGACCTCCACGCTCCGACACTTCGATTTCTCCTTTCTCTTCTCTCAAACATTCCTTGTGAGAAAGGCTTCCATTTGCCCTTTCTTTGTGGTGTCGCTCTTCTTTCTCACATTTGAATCCCCCAGTTTTCATTGGGGTCGTGTCCTTTGTAGGCGGTCGCGGAACCCGATTGCCCGCAGAGCTCGACTGTCTGCTGTGCTCCCTCTCACTCTCACACTCACTTCTCTCTGGCCATTTTGGTTATTGGAAAGCTTTGAAGCCCCTTGGAACAGATCGGGACCGTTCCGCATTCTGGCATCTACTGCTTGTTTCCCAACCCGCAAGCTGCAGCGCGGATTCTTTTCGATAGGGTATGGATTGCTTTGGGATTCGGCCTCTGTCGTTATTGTTGGTGCTGACACTTCTTTTGATTACTAGTTACGTTCCTTTGATCTGATACCCGTCTACGAATTTCCGAGAGTTGCGCAGCCGCTTTATTTGCGACAACTTATTCACACTACACTTCAAAATGTCGAACTTCCTCAACCAAGACTTCGGTTCTGACGATGACGAGGACGATTTCAACCCAGCCCCTCACGAAGATTCTGATGTCGAGGAACCCCGAACCAAGGTCGGTCTACCTCACTGGTCAATCTTAGAATGGACTAGGCGCTAACAGATGGGTGTGGAACAGCCTTCTAAGAGAGATCGCTCAAGCCGCGGTCGTGACGACGAAGATGACGTGAAGTACGGGACCAATGAACAAGAGGGAGATACCAAGGATGTTGAGGATGAGGATGAGGACGAAGAGGTGGAGAACGAAGTGGATGATGAGGAAGAGGAAGACGAGGAAGATGACGAGGATGAAGCAGTGGTATGCTTTTCATGAATCTGCTCCTTCACAACATCGTTATTAACCGCAGTTCTGCTCTAGTCGAGTCACCCGCAAAAACGGCAAAAGCGTGTTGCCAATCCCTTCATCGAAATCGAGGCCGGTGTCGACGCGGAAGAGGATGAAGCCGAGGATGAGGAAGATGAGTTTGCCGAATATGGCATGGAAACCCATCCGGATGATCTTGATGCGCTGCCCCAAGGCACCGAGACAGATGACCGCCGCCACCGCCAGCTTGATCGCCAGCGCGAAATCGATGCCAGCATGGACGCAGAGAAGCAGGCCCAGATGCTCAAGGAACGCTATGGGCGCAACCGTGCTGCCGCAACCGATTCACTTGTGATCCCAAAGCGACTGCTGCTTCCCAGTGTGGAGGACCCTAGCATTTGGGGTGCCCGCTGCAAGCCTGGAAAGGAGAAGGAGGTCGTATACTCAATTCAAAAACGAATTGAAGAACGACCAGCGGGCTCCCGGAATCCCATCCGAATTATCTCGGCTTTCGAGCGCGGCAACATTATGCAAGGTTGGTTCTACTGTGAAGCCCGGAGGCAGGCCGATGTCACGGAAGGCTTGGAAGCCATCAATTTCTACTATCCATCCCAGAAGTTGACTCTGGTTCCCGTAAAGGAGATGCCGGATCTTCTCCGCGTCCAGAAGTCGGAGGAGCTTCTACCTGGTGGCTGGGTCCGCATCAAGCGTGGTAAATACCAGGGTGATCTGGCTCAAATCGAGGAGGTTGAAACCAACGGATTGAATGTCACTGTGCGACTTGTTCCTCGACTGGACTACGGCATGAATGACGATACTCTTGGTGCCCCAGCTCCTGATGCCAAACGGAAACGCGGTGCCATGGTCACTGCCCGTCCTCCGCAGCGTCTGTTCAGTGAGACAGAAGCGAAGAAGAAGCACGCAAAGTACCTCTCGTCTACTTCCGGTTTGGGAGGCAAATCATGGAACTATCTCAATGAGAACTACGTGGATGGATTCCTCATTAAGGATATGCGTGTGCAGCACTTGACTGCCAAGAACGTCAATCCGCGGTTAGAGGAGGTGACCATGTTCGCACGTGGCGGAGAGGATGGCACTGCCAACCTGGATCTGGCGTCACTGGCCGAGACGCTGAAGAACTCTGCGGCCGAGGACTCATACCAACCGGGTGACCCAGTGGAGGTCTACCGGGGTGAACAGCAAGGCTTGATCGGTCGCACAGTGTCTACCCGAGGCGACATTATCTCATTGCAAGTCACCGAGGGAGAGTTGGCAGGACAGACAATCGATGCGCCAGTTCGGACTCTCCGTAAGCGCTTCCGTGAAGGTGACCATGTCAAGGTCATCGGCGGCAGCCGGTACCAGAATGAACTCGGCATGGTTGTGCAGGTTAAGGATGACACAGTAACTCTGCTCAGCGATATGAGCATGCAGGAGATCACCATTTTCAGCAAGGATCTTCGACTTTCCGCCGAGATGGCTGCGGATGGACAACTCGGCATTTACGATGTTCATGATCTGGTCCAACTCGATGCCGCCACCGTGGCTTGTGTCATCAAGGTAGACCGCGAGTCTCTCCGCGTGGTGGATCAGAATGGTTCCATCCGCAACATCCTTCCTACGCAGATCGCAAACAAGATTACCCCCCGTCGTGATGCCGTCGCAACTGATCGCAACGGCGCTGAGATTCGAAGCGGCGATACTGTTCGCGAGGTCTACGGAGAGCAGCGTTCCGGAGTCATCCGCCACATTCACCGTTCATTCCTCTTCCTGCATAACAAAGCGCAGGCCGAAAACGCAGGTATCTCTGTGGTGCGCACAACGAATGTTGTTACTGTGTCCGCGAGAGGCAATCGGCCTACTGGACCCGACCTCACCAAGATGAACCCTGCTATGGCGATGCAAAATCCTGCAGGTGGTGCTGCCATGCCACCCCTCGCCGTGGTCGTGACCATCTGATCGGAAAGACCGTGACCATCCGAAAAGGCCGTCACAAGGGTCTCGTCGGTATTGTTCGTGACGCAGACGACAACTCTGCTCAGGTTGAGCTCTATACATCCAACAAGCCCGTTCATATCCCTCGTGATATCCTCACACCTAAAGAGTATGTTCTTGTCCTGCTAACGCTTGGGCTATTATACTTACTAACTTCTTATAGCCCTGTCTCTAAACAGCCCCTATCCATGGGCCGTGGAAGAGGAGGAGGTGGCCCTGGCGGACGCACTCCCTTCGGCTCCTCGGGTGGCCCTGCGAGAGATGGTTGGGCAGGTAGTCGAACACCGATGGCTGCCGCTGATTCATCCAGAACCCCAGCATGGGGTGGCGCCTCCGCGAGAAGTAAGTTCAATTTGGAAACAAACTTTTGTATCAAATTACTAATGGTCATTCAGCTCCTGCTTGGGGTGGTCTGAGTGGTTCCCGTACCCCAGCCTGGAAGGCCGACGGTTCTCGTACCGTGAACCCGTACGATGGAAATCGTACCGCCTACGGAGGAGTTGGCAGCCGCACCCCTTCATGGACCTCCGGATCGAAGACCCCATATGACTCGAGCTCCGGCTTCGACGCCTTTGCCTCTGGATCCCGTACTCCCGGCTGGGGCGTTAGCGCCGGTGCCAGCGCTGCCGCGAATACAGGCAGCCGTACTCCCGGCTGGAGTAGCATGGCTGCTGGTCGAGACCAGCGTGATTTCGACGACGCTCCGACTCCTGGCGGCAATTACTCAGCCCCTACCCCCGGCGCCTACGCAGCTCCCACCCCTGGTGTCCCAACCCCTGGCGGATGGTCCGAGAGTGCACCCACACCCGGAGGGGCTTTCAGCGCACCTACTCCTGGTGGACCTTCAAAGCGTGACTATGATGCTCCAACCCCTGCGGCTTTCGACGCGCCAACTCCGGCCATGGGCGGCATGGCTGCTACTCCTGGCGCTGGTTATGGTAATGATGGTGGACCTCGGTACGAGGACAGCCCCAGTCCTTAGTTTCTGTTTTCTCTCGACTCCAAGCAAAAGCTTGTCCTTCCCACACACCCAACGATATCAAAAGGGAAAGGACTGGTTTCACATATGTATTCTACTTCTGAAATTCTCTAGCAGAACCGGCGCAAAATGACATTCGCATGATTGTTTGATACCTATTCCTCACTTCTTCCTAGGTAGTATATGCATTAACACGCCATGACTTCTTAGTCTTGTCCTATTTGCTAGACACAAGCGGATAGGCGAATTCTCATGGCCACGAACGCGATTATTCCTTGCCGTAAGTAGCCAATACCTTGTCAATGATGTCCGCCGCCCACAGACACTTCTCATCCTGGAAGCGCGGCGTGACAACCTGGATGGCACATGGGGCGCCGTCGACCTGCTCGGGAATATCTGCCACCTGTTAGCACTGGATTCACCATGGAAGTGGGTAAATCGACATACAGCTCGGCTGCATATCATTGCCTGCAGCGACAGGTTCTGGATCAAGCTCCTTGTCGGCCTTCCCAAATGGAATAACGCACGCAGGATACTAAATCGACACATGTCAGCACATCCATCTCCCAACACCTCCAAAAACACGACAATAAGAGAAACACCCACATCCAACAAATTCCAAAGAACCGTATAAGGAGGCCACCCATACGTATCAAGAGCAACAGCCGTATTCTGAGCCCCAGGACCCAAAACCACATCAAGCTTCGAACCAACCCACATCTCCCTCCAGGCCTCATCAACTCTTCGTCTCGCCATATGCAGCCTCTGAATCATCTCAAACGGCTCAAGCCCCTGCTCAACAGGGAAAGACCCAGAAAACATCGGCGAAGCACCCCTAACAACCGACGCAACCGCCGGCTCACCACTAGGGCTAATATGATCATTCCGCGGACCATAGACAAAATACTGAAACGCAAGCCGCGACACATAAGCCAAACTAAGCTCTTCAGCTCGACCCCCAATCCTCACAACCCGATGACCAGCCTTCGTCAACGCGGCAATAGCCCGATCCAACGCCCGCTTAACAGGCGGATGCAGCGGGAAATGCTCATCATCAGCCATAACACCAATCGTTAACATCCCGGTACCATTGGTCGGGACCGTCTGCCACGGCACCGGGAGAACGGCTGCATCGTATTCCCATGCCTGGCCATTGCCGACAACGGAGCTCATCAGCAGAGACAGATCCGCAATGCTGTGTCCCAGTGGTCCGGCGACGGGAGCTATACCTGGCATGCCCTGGACGTTGCCGTTGACCTGCCCGCTGTACGGAATGCGCTGGGTTGTGGGCTTGAAGCCGTAGACGCCGCAGCAGAGTGCTGGGATGCGGATTGAGCCCGCGATGTCCGTGCCGATGCCCAGGATTGAGCCGCGGAAGGAGAGGAGGGCGCCTTCGCCGCCGCTGGAACCGCCGGCTGTTAGGGCTGTGTTGTGCGGGTTGAGGGTGCGGCCGAAGATGTTGTTTTCTGAATCTGCGGTCTGCGTGGTATACTGGTATTAGAATTGCCTTAGGCTGGAATAGATTGCCATGGGGGCGGGGGGGGGGGGGGGTTGTTTTCTTACCATTAATGTCTGCGGGATGTTGGTCTTGACATATAACACCGCGCCGAGCTGCAGCAGCATCTCCACAAGCGCCGAGTTTGTCTTTGCGGGTTCGTTGGCGAGAAATGAGGTGTATCCTACTGTTGTCTGTACTCCTTCGACGCAGAAAGTGTCTTTGAGACTGATCGGGAGACCGTGTAGGGGCCCAATGGGTGTCCCCTCTTGCTGAAGGTATTCATCCAGATATTTGGCGCGTTCTAGTGCTTGTGGGAAGAATGTCTCTGTGAGACAGGATGTCTACAGTAGAGAGACATCAGATCTTGCTTTTTCTTTTCATATCGTTTATGGACGAGTCACGAAAGGAAGTTATACTCACAAGCTGCTGCGCAATAACAGCTCTCTTACAAAACGCCGTCGTGATTGCCAACGAGCTAATCTGGCCAGAAGCCAATTTGTCAAGCAATTGACTTGCAGTGTAATTCTCCGTGATATCTAGCTCGAGATCGGATAGTATCCCGCTGCGACGGGGTATGTCGGCCTCTAGTAGACGCGGGGTCTTCTGTGCTAGGGCTAGCTGCTCTGCGCTTAGCTGCCACTCATGAGGAATCTTTTGCTTGCATTCTTGTTGTTTGGCGGCCACGAGGTCTTGCCAGGTGGTCGAATTGGTTGTGGAGGTCATTTTCGTGAGGATACGATGGAGTACAATGGACGGGAGGGTTGTAGGGTTGCTCAGAGATTATCTGGGGAGTTTAGGTAGTAGTGCGTATACGCGTACTTTTCCTTGTGCGAATGGAGTTAAATAATGATCCAGCTATCTCCGCTCTGCTCGTTTCCCCTCTTTATGTGAGTGCTACTCGGTGAGTCTTGGAGCCGAGGGGTACAGTACGAGGGGTATTGATGGGTGAGGGGTTGGTTACTTGGTTTACTACATCGTGAGATTTGTGTTACTTCTTTGCTTGCATCTACCTTGTCAAGTCTTTCATTGGAATACGCCCTGTTCCATTGCAGCTAGGATGTCAGTTAACTACCTATAACTTCGAGCACAACCAAATGGCCAAGTTTCCACTGTATAAATTCCGCTCTCCAGCCTCGGCATCTCATCCCCTCTTTATCCTTTTATACTCTTCATCTATATTCTTGGCCTTGCAAGCGTATCCTCAGGCTTTAACAATTTTGACGAATCGAGTATATGACCTAAGTATCTTCCCCGCATTTGCTGACTGATAAGCATCTCGGCCTCGATCGACAAGGCTGGAATCTGTATCAAGATCCTTTGTGTAACTGGGTCCTGCTTTCTCCTGCAAGGGTGTTGTACATATTGGCTTGTGTTGATTGGAGAGGACTAAACGAAGGGATGAAAAGATATGAACCTTGTATGTATTTAGCGGCTAGATATCTTCGTCTATCATGAGTCTAGCTTATACTTCCCAAATAGGAAAATCGTCGCACCGGGAGGTATCGTGAATATGATCAGACGGAGATTCTGAACGTGATGGATACAAGATCATTCCATATAACACCTAAGTACGTGAAGTTCAGTCTCATCTATGCGAGTCGTCGCTTTCTTTCCTCTGTCTTTCCTCTTTACCCTCACGCCTGGTTATCTTGGATACACTCACTCACTCTTTCACACTTCTTCCTCGTTACTCTCTTCGACCTAACCCCTCTCTCCTCGGGTACTATCAGCTCCTCGATGAATCCTTGGTACGCTTCTCCCATAGTAGGGATGGCCCGGATTGAACCTTGGAAAGTTATAATGTTTAAGTTTACAACCTTAAAGCTTATAGACACCCGCAAACTTATAGGTACTGGCTCATAGATCGTACCGAGAGACACGTCATATATCAATATAGAGTCGTAATATGAACAGTTGCACATTGGATTTAGTTAATGAAGTCGAATGGAAGTGTAGACGTATATACTGATGTGGGATGCGAATCGAAAGAATTGGCAGGTAGTGTTTCCAAATCCAGCTCCACTCTCTCGACCTAATCTCATCTTTCTCCTTGATTAATCCTGCCAGCTTTACTCCATTGGGTTCACCTATGTGGGCTACCGATCTACATAGGACCTCATGAATGACTGTTGGAATAGAAAGATGTCTAGCCAGTCGTTGGCCAAAGAAGATTGGGACATTCCCTCTAAGTAACAACCTTTATGTCGCTCTCAGGAAACAACTGCACGCTGTCTATTGCAGTGCGAACTTTTCCAAACAAAAGAGAACCATATCTGCAAAGAAACCAAAAACCTGAACAGTAAAGCCTACCCAGTGAAAGATTTAGAAAAAGATACAATAATACAAAGTGTTTGAAGAGAAAATATCAAGACGGAACCGCTCGAGCCAGCAGTCGAATATTATCCACGAAGCCCTTGACCAGGTCCTCGTACTGATTCTTCGGATCACCCGTCATAGCAAGCTGACCCTGGCGACGAATTTCAGCGGCCGAAACCTCAACTTCAAGCTCGTGCTCGAACTCAGGCTTGCCCGGTTGTTGCTGCTGTACGGTCAGAAGACTGGTCTTCACAGTGACACAGGGACTTTGGAAACATGAACTTACGTCGGATTTAGCCACCTGCGTCAGATCCACCTGATAGGCCAGATGACGGTAGCTCATGCGATCTTTGATGCGATCGCCTCGTCCGCCCTTGTTGACGGCTGTGTCGATCATTGTGAGGTTGCTGACGTCCCCGGTGTATTCCATTTCGAGGTTGACGCTGACGCGCCAGTCGACTGTCGTCCGGGGACTGCAGACATCTACATCAGCCACTCGACACTTGACGATTTTCGCAAGGATCTCGCCAGTTCGCTCATCGGTTGTCACTCGGACTTTGGGCTTGTGTCTCGGATTCAAGTTTTGGCGGATCACCGGAGGCAGGTCAGCTGCTTGGATCTCATAGAAGGTGTCGCGTTCTTTCTTGTGGACGTATGCAAGAGGGATGCGGTTCGGGTTATTCTGCGGCATAGAAGCTTTCACAGCTTCGTTCAAGAAATTGTTCATCGCTCGATGTTGTTCCTATGCATCGTAATAAGTATGGGATATTCATCGACGGGCAGTGAAGATAAAAACTTACGACCGTCATTTTGCTCTCAAATGATGTACGGAACCGTCCGTTCTCCCGATTGATGACACTCTCCGTGAGGATTGGAAGTTGGATCCGGTCTCTGCTGTCCAAGTCGATGATATGACCCAGTTTGGCCTCAATCTCCACAATCGTCCCCTGACCGCCAGCAGCAGAGCCTGCCGATGCGACGTTCACATCATTCCTCAAGACCACATGTTGGAACAAGAAATCACATATGGTCTTTGTAATCTCCTCGTGTGGGATGAAACCGGTGATGGACGGTTCCCATGGGCCCAATGAGCCTACCATCGGCGGAGTACTTGGGGGAACTAAGGAAGCCGGGGGCGCTGGGGGAGCCTGCACAGGAGGCATACTGGTTCTCGGTGAAGGAACCGGGGGCGCTCGACTGACCCGTGCAGCTGGTGTAACTGCCGTCGAAGATGATCGTCTCCGAGCAGTCCAGAGCTCCTGCCTAGCATGTCTTGGGACCGGGGGTTGGGGGTTGGGAATAATTGGGCGTTTGCTTGTGTTTCGTGGCGTCAGCCGAGCATAGATCGGAGGCTCATTGTACCTCCTTCTCTTCTGCCTCGGCTGTTGCGCCTCGGCGCGTGTTTCGTGGTCGACCTCCATTTTCAAAGCATGGTGGCCTCCGCGAACGCCCGAGGGCGAGCTGTTGGTTTGGCTGCCCGCTGCCATGGGGGAAGTCGAAAAGTCGACAGCTCTGGTAGGCTTTTGTGCCACGGGACTCTCCACTGACATCCGGTCTTCAGAGGAACGAATTGGACCAGCAGTCACCGACTCGGAGGCCGCGACAGTGCTATTATGACGAGAGACCGAGTGTGGGCTAGCGCTCTCTGTTGTCTCTTGGTTCAAGCTAACCAACGAGGGGCGGGTGTTCTGTTCGGATGGTCGTGAACTGCGGGGAGAGAACTGCCGCTGTGTTACAGGTGACTGCGTTGGAACCTGGTCTCGTAGCTGCGCTTCCTGTGCGGCCCTCGGGCTGGATAAAGAGTTGCGTGGAGAATCGCGCCCGGAGGATGGCGGGCGGGCAACTGACGGCGACTGACGGGAGGCAAAGGTAGGAGGAGGACCCAAGGGGGTGCCTGGTACGGATTGATGCGCCGATGGAGAGAATCGCTGTGACGGTAGAGGTTGCGATGCGACAGGGGGGCTGCGGAATGACTCAGTTGGTGCTCGGGGGTTTGTCACCACCGATTGAAGAGATTGTGAACGCTGTTGGGAACGCTGTTGAGCAAAGTAAGATTGCTGCTCCGGGTGCTGCGGCCCTGCACTCAGTGGCTGCGGTGTGTAGGGCGAAACCAGAGGACCGGGATGTTGGGGATGCGACCCGTATGCTGGCGCGAATGGATCACGCGGGCCAGGACCATACGGTGTGGATATGTGTGGAGGTGTCTGACTGCGCTGGGGTCCTACGGCTGTATTGATCGCTGGGCCGGAGCTGAACTGGTACGGTGACTGGGCGGATGCTGCGTAGGATGAGCTTCGCTCTGGGGAGGCGTGCTGCGGGTGTTGCAACGAGGGAGGCTGGGGCGGACGTGGAGGATATTCTGAATAAGAGTTGACCCTCGCGAGCTTTTGAGGGGTTTGGTCGGAGATAGGGGAGCTGGCTGAGTTTGAAGGTGGAGGGTTGGCGGCGCCATCGGTGTTCATGATCGTGCGCAAATCCATCGTGACAGCACCCACTTCGGGACCACTTCGACCGAGCAGTTTTATCGAAATATGCACGCGACAGGCGATCGCGACATTCAGTATCGCAAGATGTCGGGGAGTAGAAGCGGGATAATGGTGGGATGGACAAAGAGAAAGGGAGAAGTTCTCGAGCGGAATCGCGCGAATCAGGGAGCTGATGATCGTCGCCTTAGGGAACAGGCGACATCAAGGGTCAGGTTTGTATCAAAGTGAGAGTGAAGAAATAAAGAATTTTACTGTGTACGTTGGGGAGCTTGGAGAAATGTCCAGAGCTTGAGGAAGGAGCTTTTTGAAGTGGGTGAAGTATGGATGCATTCGGAGAAGGAGCGAGTGTAGCATCGCTAACTATGGAAACCGTAAAAAGGTCTATTTCTCTCTTTTTCGCTCGTACAAGTGTCTGAGTCTTTATAATCGTCATCTATTCAATCTCCTTCGTCTGGTCAAATGGTGAAAAGGCCACGGTTGTGATCTCGTGATATCTTGACACCTAAGGCGACAATTAGGCTAACCCGCTTTGGGAAGTATAAGCACAGGGGAGCTCCTGAGTGGTGTTCGAGACTTTGTCGAGTGTAGCATATGATAGCAAGAAGCTGTCTAAGCTTGCTGAGATTGACGCTGTTTACCCTGGTACTGTGGTACTGTGGTACAAGTGCCAAAGGTGTTCCAGAAGGATTCAATTTCGCTCAGGCGCGAAGTGGATCACTTTCCCCTTTCCTACTGACGTACGTGTATCTTGAATCTGCCCCAATTCGCCGACCTGCATCGGCCTCAACGCAATACACTTGTGATCTCGCTGGTCGATTGTCGAGTCCTCCTGTCTTTGATACCTTCCGCCGAACTCGATGCTTCCTCCGACATACCAGCGTGAATGAAGGCCTTTGCCCCACCGGACATGCCCACGCCATCAACCCCATCAACCCTGCAGAATATAACGAAATGCCATCCCAAGACCGCGCCAACACCTCGGCCGCCGATATCCCTCTAAATGACCTCGAATCCGCCTCCAGCTCAGAATTCCGCTCGTCGGGAGCAAAGCGATGGAACGGGTTCTCACAATTCCATCCGTCGAACATACTCGCGCATCCAGAGGGGTTGGCACCGATGTCGCAAGAAGACTGGCTGGCTTATTCTGAGGACACATGGCAACGACTGATAGTCGCTCTGACCCCGAGTTTCTTACAACAGGGTAGCGCCTCGTCGCAGCCTACAAAGCTCCACGCCATCGCAGCTCTGGATGGGTTGCGCGGATGGGCCTGTCTGCTGGTCTTCAACTTCCACTTCCTCTTCACATACACCTGGAAGGTTGCAATAGGATGGGGATTTGCAGGAGAGAATTTCGGGATTCATCAACTGCCCATCTTGCACATGTTGATCTCCGGCCACATCATGGTGGCCATCTTCTTCGTTCTCTCCGGCTACGTTCTGTCATACAAGCCGTTGAAAACGATTCGGAGCAGGTCCTTCGATCAGACCTTCACCGCGCTCGCGTCAGGGACCTTCCGCCGTGCCTTCCGTCTTTATATCCCCGCCATTGCGGGCATTCTTTGCGTCTTCGTCGCTGTTCGTCTCGGGCTGTATAGTTATTCCCACAAGGTCATTAAGGAGGGACACACCATCCTCGGCACCAACGAGCAACATCCGCATGTTTACAGATCCCTCTCGAAACAGAGTGATGACTTGTGGGTGACGCTGGCAACCTTGCTAAACCCATTCGACTATGCGCTCTACTACAACTACTACAATCCGCACCTATGGACGATCCCCCTCGAATTCCGCTCCTCGCTTATCCTCTTCGTCGTCATAATGGGTACATCACGACTAAAGTCGCCAGTGCGCATGGCCGTAGTCTCCGGCCTGATATGGTTCTGCATGCGCTACGGTCGCTGGGAAATCCCCCTCTTCCTCTTCGGAATGCTTATGGCCGAAGTGGACCTCATCAACGGCGTCTGGGAGCCATCCACCAGACCGCCAGTAGAAGATGACAAAACCACCATCCACTTCAGCCCCAGCAAAACAACAATCAGAATCTCCCGCCGCAAACTATGGATCTCGCTCTTCTTCGTCGGTCTCTACTTCGGCTCATGCCCCAACATCGGCTTCAAATGGACTCCTCTCTACAGATGGCTCTGGCACATCACCCCATACACCTATCCGGAACCGCACCGCTTCGCCCAAACCATCGGCGCCGTCCTCATCGTCTTCGCTATCAATCACTCCCCGGATATCCAGAAACTCTTCACAAATCCCCTCTCCCAATACCTGGGCAAAATCTCTTTCGCTTTCTACGTCGTTCACGGCCCCATTCTCCATTGTCTGGGCTACTCTATCATGCCCAGTATCTGGAATCTCACAGGGAAAGAGACGAACTTCCAATACTGTCTCGGCTTCCTTATTGGCTGGTTGATCTGTCTACCCGTCGCTATCTGGTTAGGCGATGTCTTCTGGCGCGCCGTCGATATTCCAAGTGTTAAGTTTGCACGCGCGCTCGAAGATCGGCTCGTCTCTAAGATTCCGCCTTCCAGCCCGATCTTGGCTTCCCGGGCTGACTGATGTTGCTCGATTAACATGGGCCTGTGTCTGGTAGGCTGTGTTTTTTTTTTCTTAGCGGTTGCTTCACTTTCTTGCCATTGCTTTACTTTCTTGCTGTAGCTGTTCTCTATATGATACCTTCTCGCTGGGCGAGCTGTTTGTTTACTTCTACTGCCATTGCAGAATCAAGACCTTTGCAAACTTCACACACTTTTTCATTGAAATGTAGATGAAAATGATGTAGGCCATTCTCTCCAGAAAGAAGCGAAAAGAACACCCTTGGGGGTCGCTCAAGTTTCACTACAGATGGAAGCGCCTGTGACTACTGGGAGTTTAGGTGAAACCATCTATGGAGTATGATGGAGCACGTAAGTGGCTATTCCGAAACAGCAGTCAATATGCAATGTAATTCATTCATTCGTTCACTCGTGCGAAAGTCAGAAGTAGCCAATCACAACCCCAAACACGGCTAGCAGTAGCCCCTAGAGAGGCAGATTTTCAAGCGGATGCCATGCCTACGCGAAAGACCAAACATTACAGAGATCGAACCGTCTAATGCAAAGGCGAGATTTGAAAAAGCTTGAAGAGACAACGGGTTTTAAGTTGACTCATAACGCGACGCCGGTTAGGTTTCGTCCGCCGCAGACTCCCAGCCATTCCCGTGGTTGGCCGGTGCGGTTGGGCCCACCCTGTGGTGACCAACTGATGTTGGAGACTTCGTATTCGCTTTGCCAGACGGCAGCTGGGCCGCGCTCGGATGTTGTTGTTGGTGGTGCTCCTGGTGTAATGGCTGGAGGGGAAGCGACCGGTGCAGCGTTGTGCTGGTTGATCAGGTCCCAGAGGAGAACCATACTATCGTCACCGCCGGAGGCGAGAATGCCGCGGCGGCTGGGGGACCATTCTACGCAGTTCAGGGCTGCGGAGTGGCCCTTTAGTTCCAGTAGAGCTTGGCCCGGTTGTCGGACATCGAGAACACGGACGACACTGGAGTCCTGGGAGAAGGTTGCCAGGAGATGGGCGTCATGGGGGGATGCTAGAAAACTATATCAATTGATCGTTCTATCCATTGCCGGAATTGCGTCATTCATACCTGCGATTCTCAATAGAGGTGGGGGATAGAGGCCATTCGTCTGCGATTGAGCAGGGGGGCTAGAGCCTCCAGGGCTCATAACTGCTGGGAATCTGTTAGTACACATAGCACAGAGAATGGTTTTCGTGGTGGCTTACGCTTCTCGTTCTTGTCGGTCGGTTCGTAGATGATGGTGCTGTGTTCAAGGCTTCGCAGGTCAAACATTCGCACGCTACCATCAGCGCCACAACTAACAAACACATCAACACTGTTGGCGCAGAATCGAACGTCGTACACCTCCTTGTCATGGGCAATCAGTTGCGTCTTTGCGGTCAAAGTGGGAATATCCCAAATGGTGCAAGTTGTATCAATGCTTGAGGTAATAATCAGACTTGGGGAAATTGTATTCCAGTCGAGAGAGGTAATAGGAGCAGTGTGCTCCGGAGATTTTGAGTTAGACAGCAAGGCCAATGGTGAAAGCTTCGAGGTAGCCTGGTCTCGCTGGTTCATGGGGCGAGTGATCGAGTTCGAGCTTGGGAGCGGCTGCGAATTCGGTAATGACCATAGGCGAAGATGGTCTCCTGATGTGGCCAGCAAATCAGTCGACTGCTTCTGAGATGACGGGGGCTCCCAGAGAATGCGAGTGACAGGATAGGAATGAGTCGCCTCGGCGGTCTTGACGTATTCCAGTTTGATCTCTCCTGCGGTGGCATCTGGTGTGTCGGGATCTGGTTGCGACCAGTGCGTATCAAGAATTTGAATCTGAGACCTGATTAGCAATGTGATGTGCCCCTCGTGAATTGAAAGCACATACATAATTGTGGCTGTCTTCTAGGTAGCTTCCCAAAGCTAGCTTTCCACCAAAGCCTGAATTCCCTGTGATCGGCCATTTGCACCAATCCACTGCATATATAGGCCATGGTGCGATGTGATTGCTGTTTGTCGGCACCTGATTGTCTCCATTGTTGTAAGGCATCGAGGATGACCCGGGACTCATAAGTCCCTCATTCAACAGGTGTTCACCAGGCGGCCTGATATCTGCCAGACCAAGAGGGGAGTACTTGCCCTGAGGGGTGTGAGGCGCGCGATACCCCCCGGGAGACGAGGGATACTTCGAGCCATCAGGCGCACCATGTTGTTTGTACATCGACTGGTCGAACCCCGCAGGGCTAGAACGCGAATTTCCATGTGAGTTGATCATACTGGCGCGATGATTGGTTTGTGACGATGATTGAGATATGGTAGGAATGACCGACGGAGCGGTGTTTATTGACACCGGTGCCGGGCGGTTTTGATTACCTGGCTGCAAGGCTCCTGGGAGAGTAGTGCTGCTGTTGTTGCCATCGCCGCCGAAGTGCAAACTCGATTGCACGTTGATCGAAGGAAGCCGGGCCCCTGCGTCCGGCGAGGTGGGATAGTCATGCGAGGCCGGTTGACGGGACAGGTTTGGATTGATTAGCCCGGTTGATGGGATATGGAGTTCCTCTGGCTGGCGACTGAACATAGTGGACCGCCGGTTGGATTCGTATTGAGAGGGGTTTGGCATGTTGTGTGGTTTGCACTGGCGAGCAGTAAAGTCGCCTATGTGAGAGGTTGCGATGGATGGATCGAGGATAAGCTCCACAGTCGATCGAGGTCAGGGTAGGAGGTTGGGGAAGGGCGCTTAATTGGGGGGTTGCAGCGGGCTTCAAGAGAGCTCCGACCAGAGGACCGTATCAACCAGGTATCATTCCAGCTTGTCAAGTCACTTGGCTCTCAATGGCATCCTCACGTCTATTGAAGAATAGCACGGTGGAGGACAAGAGGGCGGGTGCCATCCCACCTGGAAGAGGGTCTCCAAGACAGCAGCTGACTCATCCGGGTACCCCCCGGCCCGCCTACAATGGGGATTTGTATTTGATCACTTCCCGAGGTCTTTTGCCCTTTGGCGATGAGATTCTTTTTCTTTTAATGTGATTTCTTGTTCTGTTGTTGAGCATCTATCGCATCTGTCTATATTTCACTTGGTGATATCTCTGTTTCGTATAGCTTCCATAACCTTTACATCATGGCTACCGATACCAATCCACCCTCGGCTTTACTACTTCTTCCCCCGCCTCCAGCTTTCTCGTTTGCCCAAGTCAAAAATGCTTTTGAGCCATCCTTGGTGGATGTCTATGCTAAGCTATCCAAAGCGTTGAATGGATCCAATCGTACAGCTGTACTGGATATTGTTCTGGCCATTCCAGATCTACTCTCCCCGAGCTGCAAACCTCGGGCCAAAGTGTTTGCACAACTTCAGCATTACCTGACCAGTGTCTATACGCTGGTTGGTGCTGTCTGTGCAACACAAAACATCGAACTTGACTCTCCAGGTGGCATTGATACCCGGGTGGTATTTATCGATCCAAGCGAAGACAGCTCGGCCCAGGCCTCTGACAGTTCTCGGTTTGGGCCCATCCTGCACTTGCAAACCCTAGCGAATTCAGGACGGTCTTGGGATAGCATTTTCTATTTGACCAATACAGCTGGCAAGAAGTTGGCCAACTCCTTTACCAACAGTGTTGGCAGTCAAGCTCGGGATGGCGCGGCGGCAAACCTGCAAGCCATCACAAGCAATGCTGACTGGGCGATACCTTCCCTATTAATTCCCGATAACCAACAACCTTCCACTCCACACTATTCTGTGGTCGTGGGTGGCACATTCGATCATCTCCATGTTGGTCACAAGCTCCTGCTCACAGCAGTTGCATTGGTCATGGAGCCGCTCGACCGGGGACAGGAGGGACGCCTGACCATCGGAGTGACAGGAGATGCACTATTGGTCAATAAAAAATATGCCGAATTTCTCGAGAGCTGGGAAGAGCGTTGGCAGAACACTGCGGCTTTTCTGACAGCCATCATGGATTTCTCACCTAAGAGGGAATCGCCGCAGATTGAACGTGCTTTTGCGCCAGGTCCCAATGGCAAGACCGTCCTTACGAGAATCCAACCCAATCTGGCATTTGAATTCGTGGAGATCTCCGATCCATTTGGGCCCACGATCACGCAGGAGAACCTCGGGGCAATTGTTGTCTCCAAGGAGACGCACTCGGGAGGAGCTGCAGTTAACGACGAACGGGTGAAGAAGGGATGGAAGCCACTTGCTGTATTCGAAGTGGATGTACTCCAATCTGGAGAGGTAGCAGCCACGACCACTGACGTTGAGAGCTTCGAGTCGAAAATAAGCAGCACGGATATCAGACGGCGGCGCCTTCATTTGGCGAAGGTCTGATAGGCACACAATTAAAGATGAAGATCCGGCAGCTAGCAGTAGATAGTCTCTGCATAACAGCACATACATACATTAGCTCGTTCTGATTTCGACCATTTATCCCCAATCCCTTTGGGGAAGGTGACCTCAATACAAACACGAGATTCGTCACTCTGCATGTGTGCCGGCGGGGTCTTCGTTGGCCCCTCCTTCACCACTCACTCCCGAATGGCTTTTCCTGCAGGTTCACGCTGGCTGGCCGCAGGACGAATCAATCATGTGATTAGTGTATGGCAGCATCACCAATGAAACCGAGCGGATCGGGTCTTGAAGCCCGGCGTGTCAATGCAAAGGGCGCTAAAACAGGGCTGTGGTGATCATCCCGGTCGCGAGGGCAATTGTTAGGGCGAGAGCTCTCGCCGTGCAGCCATGGTGAGACAAGTCAACTGTCCTACTGATGTCAAGTCTCTGCAGAAGACAGCCTCTACGAGTCGAGCAGAGGGCTTTTATTATTTATTTTTCTTAATTCCGTGTTTTTTTCCCCTTTTCCCCAATTCGCTCCGTGGGTTGGCTCTTTAGTCTTGCGGACAAGTCCAGAGCATCGCCTTGCCCTCAATTCCTCTATAAATCCATGTCGCTGCCACTTGGTCCAGCAGCCGATGCTTCGGCTGCGCGTGCCGATCATGGATCAGCCATGTCATGTTCAGAACCTCGCTGACGAGCTGTTGAGCGAGGTCTTATCTTACCTTCTCGAACCCGCACCCCGAGCCCTAAACGGCAGATTCAATGGAAATGGACATGCTCCCAGGTCTGGCGAATACGGCGAAACATCTGACCTCGATCGCTTCCGGCTCGTTTGCAAGCGCTTCATGCGAATTGGCACCCCTCACCGATTCCATCGGTTTACACTGCGGTTTTCTGCTCATGGCTTCCGGCGACTAGACGAACTGGTGGACATGCAGTTGGCCTGCTATGTGAAGACGATCACATACATGGTGCGGCCATTCTATCATGGGAAAGGTACTACCTCCATGCGCGTCTATAAGCGGGTGCGCTGGCTGACAGTGAATGAAACACAGGATGGGCCCGGTCACTGCGAACACTTGAATCAGAGAATCCCGAACTGTCAAGACTACACAGCCGCCGACTACACGAGCAAGCCAACCTCACCTCAACCAACAACGACCAATACCGCCTGCAACGCGCAATCGCCGAATTCACATCCCTACAAGAAATCAAGCTCCTAAGACTCCAAGACGAAGCAGACGAGCGCCTCCTCGACTTCATCCGCGATAACCCACTATCCACCAACACAGCAACCACCATCTCCTTCGACTGGGAAAGCGCCTGCTCACGCGCCATAACAAACCTAAGCCTAGCCCTCCTCAACACGAAATGCACCTCCATCCGCTTCACAGGCCCCCAAATCAGCCCAGAAGCAACCCTGCAGCTCCTCCGCGCCCCAACAGAAACCCTCGCCAACATGGGCTCGCGCCTAACAAGCCTAGACATAAACTTCCACTCAACAAACATAATCTCAACAACAACCGACCTCTCCGAAGTCTTCCGTCGCTTCTTCACCGCAGCCAAAAACCTGATCGCCATCCACATAGGCTTCCTCAGTAAAACACCTCTCGATCTAGACCTGGAACAGATCTTCCACCACATCCGCTGGAAAACACTCCGCAAACTAAGCATTCAAGGCTGGCGACTCGGCGCAGACGAGATCATCGCCCTGCTTCGTCGACACAGTGCACAGTTACGCGAGTTCCGTCTGACGGCCGTTTATCTGAGGCCTGGCGGTGTCTGGCGCGATGTGCTTGTCGTCCTGCGTGAGGAAATAAAGCTGCTTGAGCAGCTGGTTCTGAGGGATATTGACTATGCGGCGCATTTTGACGCTATCGCTGTTTCCAATGGTGTCGAGGTCTTTGATGATTACCCTGTTCCTGGGGAACCTTCGGTTACGGTTGCGGCTGCGGCGTCTTCGCAGTCGGCTGTTGCTATGCAGATCGCGCCTGTTGCTTCTACTGGGGGGAGGCGGTTGTCGTTGAGACGAAATTCGCTTGAGAGGCTGCGTGCGTTGCCGAGTGTGGAGTTGGGGGATGACGGTGTCCATGTGTTGCATGAGCAGATTCCTTTTTGGGAGACATGGGTTCTTTCTGCTCTGCATGGGTCTAAGAGGAATGGTCGGTCTCATTGGAGTGTGTAGTGGGGTGGATTGAGATATACGTGGTGGTTTTGTATTGATTCTTTCTTGTTTCTGCGTTGGGGGGCTGTTTGATCATTTTCGTGTTGACCTGCAAGCGTTAGAACCATTCATTTAGAGCTCTGCTACAATCATATTTGTTTCTGAGACCTGGGACTTGTGCTAAGGTGAACCACATTGGCATTGTCTAAAAATGAAGAAGCTGTGGGGATACAATGTTTCGAGTCCAAGCCTGAAAGCAGGGCAATACATACACCCAGGGTCTTTTTCCCAACCTCTAGTCAAAGCACTGGTCCCAGTTACCGCCAGAACGTGCAAATGTAAGACCATTCACGAAATCACGACGGCGACAACGACCAAGAGAATCAACCGAGCAACCATGCAGCGGAACAACACGATCATTAACGAGGACCCGAACGAAAGGCTCCGGATCCGGGTCTGAATGACACTGCATCATCTCTATATAAGCACGGGCAGCAAACGGCACCGTCCAAGCGGCCGAGTAACCGTCCGCTTTGTCGGTGGGCTGGGGGTGGGTGCGTGGTAGTGGAGCGGTGCTGTTATACAGCCCCAAAGCAAAGAAGAATGGTATCATCCCATTGTCATGCGTGAAGTCTGCATATACAGTATGGTTGAGCGGGAAAGTCGCGGCACCAGGGGCGTCTAGGGTACGGTTTGTGCTTGTTTCATCGCGCACTGCCGTGTGAGTCAGTCGTGCGATCAGTTCGTTTGCGAAACCGACACCCTGGGCAGGGCCGAGGGGGTTGCCAGCGCCATAACCATAGTATTTGCTGAGCGATTGGAGGTAGTTGTAGTGTTTCCATTCGTTCTCAGTGAAGAGGTCGCAGAATGGTGATTGCTTGGTTGCGTTGAAAGTCTGTGAAACTGTTTCGAAAGGGCAGAGGTCCATCAGACTGGGAATATCGTTATCCTCGAGGTGAACGCCTGGAAGACCAGCTTCGAGGCGCGCTCGGATTGGCGGTGCGAATATGGATGTGTAGTGGTTCTCGATACCGTCTTTCAGATCATCGTCCTCGAACTTTGTGCATGTGTTATGATTCAGAGAGTTGTTGAACCCTTTCTGTTCTGAGATGATGACGCTGATCTTGGGACTTGACTGTCGATGATCGGCACATTTGTCGTGAGACTTCGCATGCTCGAAGCCCTTGATAAATTTCTCGCCAGACGCTATCACACGCTCCGAGTCAGATGAACGAATGAAGGGCACAGCCCGTCTGGCCAAGTCCTGGTATCGCTGATAGAACTTCAAGCCCGAACCGACCATCTGGCGCTCTCCAAACGGTGTCAAGTCATCACTGCCTAACTTGTATTCGTATGAGCGGAGAAATTCCAGCTTGCCCTTGTATGCAGTCGCGTTGGCCTTGATAGCTCCGATGAGCTCGGCATACTTCTTGCTCTTGTCCGCCGACGGCAAACGAGCACCATGGCGGGATACGACTTGAACAAAAGTAATTTCACAGGTATCAGGGACCTCATCTGAGATAGCCGATTCCTCTGCAAGAGAGAAGTAGGGCGAGTACTGGCCCCATTGATGCGAGATGGCCGGATTGCATTGATACCCGTCATTGACAGTATGACAGGCAGGTTCCCGCCGTGACGTTATCTCTGATGAATCCAAAAGCGATGCAGCAAGTACGTCGGGCTGCGCCATAGAATTAGACGTCTCTGTCGTGGAATGTGAGGACTCGTGGCAGGGTCCTGTCACGCAGTACGCGGCCAGTACCAAAATGACCAGCAGGGCGATGAAGATCAGTGCAATCCATCTTCGGGTCCTTGACTGCTTTTGCGATTTCCAACGTGCATTCTGCTCCTTTCCCAGCAGGCTCTCTACCTCCCCGGAGGATTGAGTGTCGGGCCCTGCCATCGAAGGGGGTGCATTGACTTGTATAGATGATGTCACCATGTCACAGGTTCGTATAGGTACAAATGTGTGAAACCTGCACGACTTGAATGGATTGCTAAAAGGGGGATTCAGCCCATTTTTCAATGTCGACCCGACTTCGAGGCATTTGGCTTAACCCTGCGGACGTTTGAAGTGTTGGCGTCTGAGTCGCGTTGATTGGTCGCTCTTGCCCTGAAGCGGAAAACACGTGGGGGATCTCCTTCCCGTGACTCGGCAGGATACTTCGAGTTACCTTCAATATGCACCTGGTTACGCCTACATGTCGGTACCTAAAGAGTATCTGAGACAACGGTGTGTCCGAAGTAGATTGCTGATCTTTGCTGCATCAGCATTGAGTTTAGCCAATCGAACTGATTCTTTGCTCCACGTGAAGTCAAAATGTCAGAGAACACTACCTAGTCCCTGTAGTTCAGTCAAGCTTGTTCCTTGCCGTAGTCCTTATTTCAGACGAGGATTCTAGACTATGATATGTTTCTTTGCGTTCGTGTACCTTGTTTGGATGTGATTCATAGTATAGTTGTAAAATCTTCATCTATCACTGTCCTTTGAAATAGACCTCGGGACATGTACGCTCTATTCTCTATGCATGTTCTGTCCATTCTATGGTTTTGATCTCAGAATAGTAACAGGGGCAATTACAGGGGAAAGAGGAAGGAAATCCCTGACATTGCTAGCAATCTGCGTCTTTATATGGAACAGGAGCCTTAACAAAACTTCCAATGGAATTTCCCGAGGTCTGCTACTTGAATAAACCATTGGAACATTTTGTCTTAAGTACCGAAAGCAGCAAGATACGGTGTTAGAGAGTATATTGTAGATGGAGGTTCATGGATGCCCGATGAACAAAGAATACTAGGATCGTTTTGAGTCATATATATACTGTGTAGGTAGCACGTGGTCAGTCCAACAGATCACTTTCAGCCCATAAGCTTTTGATAGGGCTCCTTCAGCCTCCTTGATAGTCTATCTAGAACACGTGTGTAACACCTCACATCCTTACTGTCTACTCAGACAAGGTACCAGCTCTAAGTCAGATGGAGTGAATCAAACTACGGATTGTTACAGATTGATCCATCGCTGCAGGCTGCAGCTAGAATATTTAAATGACACACGATGATTCGTTTCAGGTCTCGGTTGTAAAGAGCAATGTCAGAATAGCTTGCCAAAAACATGAGTCATGAGCTATTATGTTACAATTGAATTGAAGCCATTGAGCAATGAATAGCTCTTCAAGAGAAGTAGAATGACTTGAAGTAGAATCAACAGAGTAACAGACTGTACTTCTAGGTGGATACCACCAACCAATCAGAATTCCCGGGGTTGCCGAGACGCGCCCTGACCCAAACATTCCAACTTTGCTCCAAAACAAACCCGCCCTCTCCATCTGCAATCTGCAACATCTTTACCATTCTACACTTAGGATGCCTCCAAAACATTCAGATTTACAAGACGATTCCTTTTCGCTCACCAATTTGGACGACGAATTGATAGGCACTTCGACCCGACGTGTTGACCAGCTCGATTACCAGATCGACACTTCAACGATGGACCAGGCTTTCCCCGAATTCTCCATGGTTCAGACGTCTGAAGAGGAAGAACACGAAATGGACGACGATCTTTCACATAGCGACATGGATATGTCCGTTGAAGTTGGACGCGGGGCTGGCAAGCCAGAACGCGACGACTCGCGAAGCTCGATCATGAGCTTCGACAACAGTGTGCGCTCATCCTCACCCGCCATACGCGTTGAATACCCCACCCCACAAAAGCCCGCTGCTGCGACTCGTCCGACGCGTCGTGCAGTCAGCGAAAATCTACGAAAGAATGCTCAGGTCCGACGAGCAACCCAAGCACAGAAGGAAACCATGAGCCCGCAAGTGACAAAGACCCAACGCGATCAGCGTCGGACACTCTCAGAAATGCACGCAAAAGTACGTGACACCTACGAAGGATCCTTCTTGGAAGACGAACGACCTGCTCCTATCGCCACGAAGACGCGCTCTACGCGATTTGGGAACGTGAACACCTCGCAGGAGATCGCAGACGCCATCGAGCGAGCTTCGCGGGATGCTTACGCGAAGGAAGTGCGCAAAGCATCCTCCAATGCAGGTACTCCTCGCAAAAGCAGTGCCAATGCAGCCAACACCAACACTGTTGGTGACACCATGACTCACCAATCTTTCCTTCTTCCCGACCTCCCTAATATCTCTGAACTCGTCTCCGGTGTCTACGAAGATGGCACGCCCGTTTACAATCGACAGGGCAAAATGCGCTCTACACGATTCGTTTCCCCGCTTCATGATCACACAGAAATGTCTCTTCCTCACGAGCACATGCCGCTGGATGCGGTACCCGTTCCCGAAGACGAGAAAGCGTTGTTTGTTCATTTGAGATTGCTCCAAGACAAGGTGGCGGAGCTGGAGATGTTCAAGGCCGAGGCAGAGAGAAAGATGGACAGTTACCGTCATGAGAACGCGTCGCTGAAGGCGAACAGATCTCGTCAGTCAGCGAAAGACCCAGAAGATAATGACTACAAAAAGGCATCTAAGCGGTTGATAAGCGAGAACCAGAAGTTGGATGCAGCCAACCTCGCTTTACAGAATCAGCTTGACATTGCCGATCGAAAGGCCCAGGTACAGGAGTCAGCTATCAAGCGCTTGAACCATGACAGAGAGTCGGCGATTTCGCAACTCGGAGCCGCTTATCTTGAAGCACGGGAATACAAAGCCGAGAATGAGGAATTGAGACGGGAGAATGCCGATCTCAGGTCTCAGCTCAGCCGATACACAAGCCGCAAGGCGCGTGAACAGGACACCGCCGAGTCTGAAGCCAGCTCAGCCGTGTCTGATGCTGATGACGGTCAAAGTTACACGGAGCGCAGTGGAGACATGAGTCGGAGCACACGAGACATCACATCAAAGAGCAACCGGTCTACTACGAGGACCAAGCGTCAGGATGACTCCCGCAACAAGGTGTCGACCCAAGTGGATAGGGAGCTCTCTCGTCTCGAGAGGGAACGTGCCGAGGAGGCTCTTTTCTCCATTGATATGCGGTCATCTAGGCCCACCTCGGCCACGAAGCCATCGAATTCAGCTGCGCCTCGTTCTTCCGAATCGAAGAGCGCACAGAAAAAACCCAACACCAGCAAGCAGCGCGTGAAGCGGGTGGTAGTTGAGGATACCACCGGGCCAGAAGTGTCTGAGCAGACCAAGGCTTCATCTGAAACAGATCTCACTTTGTTGAGTGTTATTGACGAGCATGAAATCTCCCGTTTACGCAAGACCTTGGAAGAAGAGAGAATGATGCGCAAACGACGCGCGAGTGCTCCTAAGGAAACCAACCCCACGGAGACCGTCAACTCGACAAGACAGAGCATTCTGAAGACACCGGCGCCTCGAAAGTCATCCCTTCGCGAACCAAGAGCAGAAATCCCTCGCCCAGCATCGGCTCTCGGTGATATCACCGCCGCCTCAAAAGCAACCACCGATGGAGACAAAAGTCTCACAGTCCCAATCGCAGAGCGTCCTCGACGCCATTCCGACCATTCATTGCCCACCCCATCCCAGCGCAAGAAGCAGCGACCTGTTACTGACATGACCTCCGCTTTCATCCTCCCTGATATCACCCTCCATCACGTGGACATGGCAGCCTCTGATCCATCCAAGCTGCCACAAGCCACCCAAAAAGCATTGGACAGTATTGCTCAGCACAATGGACAGAACTGCACAGTATGCAAAGGCCACTGCGCCGACGGTACATGCAACCACGAGTCTGTAAATATCCCTAAACCGATCCCCGTCTCAGAGCGAATGCCCAAGCCATCCGTCTACAACGAAGAACCGACCATGCGCCCCTCGCAACCTCCCGCCGTTGCCCTGGCCACTGTTCTCAAGGCCCTGGAGGACGAACTGTCTCACCTGAAGATGCAGCTGGTTACATACCAGAGTGCCTACAACAAGCTCGACGCATCACTTGGCAAGCGCCCGCGCAAGGCACTCCAGGAAAAGCTCGACAAGATCTTCAAGGATATCGATATGAAATCCGACCAGATCTACGCTCTCTACGATGTTCTAGAGGGTCAGAAGCAGGACGGTCGGGAGATGACTGAACGTGAAATGGAAATGACCCTCGAGTCAATTGGAATTGATGTTGCGTCACACCCAGATGTCACGGCCACTACGGACAAGTCTTCTCGTCATGGCCGCATTGATTTGGATGATGAGGAGAGCTTGCCCTGGGAGGGAATTGAGAGTACTGCTGAGCTGACTGGTCACCTTTCTGTGGGCGGTCACTGAAGTGGCTCTTTGCATTGCATTGCGTTTGTACTTTTCTTATTAGCCCTCTGCTTGGCGCTGATTGTTGGAGTTTGGTCCTATTTGTATGTTTATCTTCACTTCTGGGTATTCGGTTGTTGGTTAGGAAGTTTTTGGTCCTCAGATGTCATTGCAGCCGTATCATGGCCTTCAAATTGATTTGTATTCCTTCGCAAACGTAACTTTGGCTTGGAACTTGTAGATCTCCTTGGGTTTGCATGTCTACGATTTCCGTCCGTCTCAGTATCTTTCCAACGACGCAAAAGATCCAATATAGCTTTTATTATTCAAACTGGCAATGCTCGCCATGACTAAATAACTAGCCCAAAAACAACAGAGAAACACCGACGCTATGCCTATACAAAACCTTCCTGGACTCCATGCAAGCTCCAAACCCGTCGAATCCATCCAATCGAAGCTGGAGTATTAAACTCCCTGCCCACTCTCCGCAGCCAAAGCCGTACCCTCTGTAGCCGCCGGCTTTGTCACACGAGCAGCATCTCGCTGAGAGACTTCCTCCCCAATGAAGCAGCTCAACCCAGCAAAAGCCTCGAGCAGAGTGCGAGAGTAGTAATCCTGCAGATTGTAACCACCAGCCAGCATGCGCGCATCATTGCGAATAGGATCAAGATACTGCGACGGATAATATGACTGGAGAGTATAATAATCGCGCTTGTCGGGCACATACCCCATAAACGGATCGTACGGCTTCTCCGGCTCTGGCGTCTTGATCTTGCGCAGACCCTTGACAAGCCCCGTATCCGCACCAGCAAAGTCCGCCGTAGACAGATTCGAGCCCCGCTTGAGCTCCGAACTGCGCAAAGCAGCCTGTTTCTGTCGGATGCGTTCTTCCTCGCTGCGACGTGCGGACGATTTTTTGAGCAGGACCTTGTGTCCTTCGCGTGCGATGGCAGCGGCGTCTGTTGAGGAGCCGGAGGCGAGCTTGGAGAGGAAGTCTTCGCGGCCGGCTTGGATTTCGCGGCGCTCGGTCTCGTATTCTTCGCGGGCTGCTTGGCGGCGGAGTCGGGCTTCTTCTTGTTCGAGGGATATGCGGGCTTGGAAGGAGGATGCTTCTTCGGCTTCGATGGCTTGGTTCGCGCGGATTGACTGCATGTTTTCGGTGGCATATTTGTGCAGCTGGGCTTCCGTTTTGGCGACGTCGATCCGGCTGACTAGGTTTCCGATGATGTCTTCCCTTTGTTCGAGGAAGTCGTCGTATGCGCGTTTTGAGTCGAATTCTTCTTCGCGGCGGTTCAGTCTGATTGAGGTAATCCTGTTAATTTGACTATACTGCGAGCACATAAAAGTGATATGGGCAAGGGACTTGCATGTGCATCACGCGCCGCCGAATATCTACTTCTCTCTCCACCCCGATGTCTTCGAATGTTTGTTTGCGGAACCGGTTCTTGCGCAACGTTTTGCGGCAGCCAGCTACCGGGCAGTTTGCGGGACCGGATGAGAATATGCGGTCTACGCATGACTCGCACATCTTGTGGTAGCATTCCGGGTTGATGAGGAAGCGCATGTCCGGGTTGAGGTACCGCGACGATTTGCAGACGGGGCAGACCTCTGTAGCAACCTTGAGTCAGCAGCATACATAACGGTGGATCTGAATGAGCTTACCATCTTCATCTCGGCGAGAAGCCGCATCGGGAGCCATGGCGAAAGTGAACTGACGTGGGAGAGAGGGAGCGGCGGACTCAGTCAAGGCTGATAAGCAATGCACGTGCACGGACCACATCGACCCAGTGGGCCTTTCACGGCTATTTTTTTTTTCGCCTCCGTTTATCTCTCTCCTTACTCCTATTTATTCGATTAACATCGGCGAAAGCTGCCACTGATATATACTCAGGAACAATGGGCATACCCAAACCAAACCTCGACGCTCTCGAGGAGCAGCGCCTTGCACTAGAAGACAACATCCTCCAACTGCAGAAATCGCTTTACCACTGGCGGACTTGGGAAGCTGAGTACGATGGAGTCCGCGAGGAGATTAGCCACCTTGAAGATGACGCCAGCACAGACGAATTCATTGCCGTCGCTTCGGAATCTGGCAGCACGCTGGTGGATGAAAAGGAAATGCGTTCGATACTCGGTACGCAAGGCATCAGGCGGACTCGCGGACAGGTGGTCGATCTTCTCGGAAGACGGATCGACTACGTGAAGCAGAATGTTGCAACTGTGGAAAAGCGGCTGAGGAAGGCTGAGGATGAGCTGCACGCCCTATTCTTGGATGATCAACCTTCGCGGCCGGATGGTGCGGACTTCCCAATGCAGGAGATTATGGAGGAGCTTGATGAGGATGGAAACGTCATCTCAAGCAAGATCAACGTGCCTGGAAATGAGGCTTCGGAATTGTTGGAGGTGCTGAAGAAGGCTGGTGTCGAGAATATTCCGGAGACCGCTAAGCCGGAGGAGTCCACTGCTACTCCAGCTGACGATACAAGTGAGGGTGCGGTGAATGGGGATGATACGAACAGCTCGAAGGCTGCAGATCTGCCGAACGGTTCCTGCAGCCAACATGGAACCACAGAGCCCAACGCCCCATCGCTGCGATTCTCCCAAGCTCAGTCCCTGGTTACTGCCGAAGATCGTATGCAGCCGCCTGTGACTGACGTGAATGAATCTGCTGAAGAGGCAAGATTGCGCCGTGAAATGATCAATTACGGGATCAATGAGGTGGGTGCTATCGTGGCAGAGCTGGAAATGGATGAGTCTGGAAGCGAGATCTCTTTTGACGAAGAATACGATTATGACACCGATGAGGAAGACAACGAAGACGATTACGGCCGCTCTCACACTCGCCTTACGCCGGAATACCATCGACAAATGATAGAGCTGGAGGCAAAGCTCAATGCTCGGGGCCTCATGAACCTTGGCAAGGATACCCAGACGTTCCCTGAGGAAGTACAGAAAGAGATCAAAGAACCTAAGGTCGAAACTTCCAAAGCTTCCGACAAGGAGAAGAAGCCCAAGAAAAAGGTCGCGTTCGCCGAGGATCTTGATATTTCGCCGGCTCCTACATCCCCAACCCCCGCCGAGAAGGTTCCGGCGTCACAAGCCGGGCGGCCCGAGCCTCAAGTGCTCACCGATTCCATCGTTGAACGAACTAGCAGTGCCCCGGCGCCTCCTTCATCCACACCCACTGTCCCGAAGAAGGTATCGCGATTCAGAAGTGCACTGAGCGCTCCATCGGGCAGTACTGCTAGTCAATCCATCACTACAGGGGCTACAGTCGCCAACCCTTCTCAAGTCACCGAGTCCCGCCTTCGCAAACAAGCCAATGCAACCCCTTCTACCGTACCGCCTGTTCTATTCCCCGCGAAACCAAAAGAGCCAAAGGCGTTCTCTACACCTATCACAGACATCGTCGAGAAACCCATTCCACCTCAATTCCCACATGACCGAACTCTTGCCGAAAATGTCTTCGAGCGACAGGTGAAACAAGGGGCTGTCAAGGCCCCCGAACTGGATGACTACGACGAAGAGCTTCACCAAAAGCAGATCGCGTCCGAGTTCTTCCATATGCAAAATCGCATGAACGGCGTATCTATATCGGAGGAAGAACCGCAGATCCTGGGACCCGCCTCCGAGGACTTACCCAAGATGAGCAAGTTCAAGGCATCGCGCATGGGCTAGGCCATACATAGAGGGCGTTCATGAACATATGACATTAGGCTACAACTTCAAACCAGCCTTGTTAGGAAGGAACATATGACATTGTGTTGTTTGTCTCTCGCACTTTCTTTGTTTGTAGGCTTCTTTGTTCCCTTTGTTTCCTTGTTATAAATACCCACTCCTTTTCTTCTTCCCTCTCTCTTCTCCCTTCTCTCTTCACTTCCATGTCTCAGAGCAACGGGCTTCCAAGTTCTTATGGGTAACACTCTGGTTTTACTGAGTGTATACCCACAAGAATACACAAGGTGCATACCCCCTATTTCCTGGTGAAATAGGGACAACCATGGTATCACTCAAATACTGAAGTCCAATATCATTATGAGAGCTTCTCTGGCTGCACTTCGTCGGTTCCTCAACGATACACATAAGAAACCGTATGGAGCCTTGTTCTTCTTTACGGAGTTCACATAGCACCGACGGGAGTATTGACTGCGGTTTGGAAACGAAAATGGAGTTGTGGTTTATTTATTGTCTCTCGACATTATGTATACTATCCAGAATCTTATGTAGCTTTCTGTGGTGTGAATATACTTGTGTCTGTGGTTCTAGTGGTTCTAGGTACTACTGTCTCTCTACTGTCACCTCCCTGTAGATTCTGACACAATGTAAGGTAGTCTCTCTCTCTCTGGATGGTTCTACATGGATGGTAACAAGTGAATCCAGCTCACTACTTGGTTTACCACTCAGATTCCTCTTACAAGCATTAATATGGAACGCGTACGGAGTTCAAGTAAAACGATTGCACATTGATTTTTGAGGTAGCTGCATGTTGCATCCCCTCCTGCATTAGGTCAGATATCTCATTCATTCATTGAAAGGGTCATAAAGTCATGTTAGTATACACATAAGAGCGACAACAGAAGTGCTAGAAACACTAAGTTGCACACATTTTATAATGCCCTCGCTGTGCTTCTGTGCCAGATACATAGGCCACCGAAACGGTAACCCAAGCCGACAATCAGTATGTGTAGGACAACGGCAAGGACCTGGACCCAAGTATTGCGGATTCTCAAAGTAAATGCAGCTGAGAGGAGGAGAGGGTAAAGCACCACTGGGTTAACGGCCAGGGGTGAGCATGGATGAAGAAGGGATGCAACCTTGACGAGGAAGAGCGATAGTTGCAATATGGATGAGGGCGAAAATGAGGTCAGAGAGCCTAATAGTGAGGACCGGCTCGGTGGCGGAGGGAGGAGATGCTGTTGATGTATTGGTTCAGATTCAGGTCGGGAGTCAAGGTCTGGTGAGGGTTCACTTGAATGTTCTGGTGGAGACGATGAATGTGAACGAGAGTAGCGATGCCGAACGACCATGTCTTGATCCGGGCCAAAAGATGGGCTCTGCTCGTCAGATGCAGGTGTCTGACTGCCTCGGAAACCGCTCGAGTCAAACATCGAGTCACGCCGGAAGGACACTGGGCTTCGGCGCAGTGTTTTGGTTGGTGATAGAGCTCGCTCCACCGATGGCTGCGGGCTATCCAGGGGGCGGATGCGAGCCCCAGGCAGATCAGAGCTTGTCGAGCTGGTCTTTCTGAAGCGGAAATTTTCGTTTGAGCTGGCTCCTACTTGGATGCCATTTAGGACTTCTTCGGCTGATGGTCGTCGGCCGGGATCGACCGAGAGCAAGCGCTCGAGGAACCGATACAGCTTGTCGGGAAGATCGGAGCGGATAGCTCGGGCATGGTCAAAGCCTGCCCAGCTAGTGATCTCTGCGCGTAGCTGATCCAGATCCTCTCTATCTTCGTTGATTATGTCGGCATTTGCGTATGGGAGAGCTGCAAAGCACAGGAAATAAAGAATCATGCCGAGGGAAAAGATATCAGATTTGAAGGTGAAATTCCCGAATGGCCCATCAGGGTATTCTTGTCGAAGAACTTCGGGGGCACAGTAGGAAAGAGTACCCGTTGCGCCGGTGGACTGTCGCATTGCGTTTTGTGACTGCACTTCGCCGAAGTCACTTACTAGCACTCTAATACCATCACCAGTTTCGTGAAGCAGGCAGTTGTTTGGCTTCAGGTCACGATGGATGTAGTCATTGGCGTGGAGATAGCGGAGCCCAGAGGTTATGTCACGGAAGAAAGAGTAAATTTCATCTAGCTGGAGTGTGCGAGGCCCTCCCAATTTTGCCCGGGGCTCCGGTTCGCCCTTTGATCTGCGACGGAGGCGGTCCTTCAATTGTTGGGCTGTGGTAGAGGTCTGAACGGAGCCACAGATGTAGTCATGCAAGTCACCGGCATTGCAGTATTGTTGCAATATGAAGGCGCATGGTACACTCGGGCCGAAGGTGCTGATCTTCGCGTTTTCCAGCCAGACATGACGGTATGAGACAAGGTTCTGGTGGGAGAGGTGTTGCAGCAGCTGAACTTCACCCAAGACCTTTTCCAGCCACTCGTGGTCGTCACCAACAGGGACACGCTTGCAAGCATAATGACCCAGAGACACACTGTCCAGGACATGCTTCACCAGTAGCACCACTCCTTTCCCGCCTTTTCCTAGCACTCGTTCCTCCACGAAGAACCTCTTGAAGTAATCAGGGCTGAATGCGGCAGAAGAAATGCCCTGTGGTGGCGGGGAGGAAGGAGCGGGTGTGGTATTGGTAGGTCCATCGGGGAGCGCAGGCTGAACGAAGCGACGGCGTGGAGAAGGGGGAACTGAGGATGTTACTGAACTGGGAATGTTATCGTTGAGCATGCGGAAGTAGTTTGGGTTGATGAATTCCCCTTCGGGCTCAGGATTCCCGCCATGCCGTCCTCTGCTGTCGTCGCGCATTGATCGATGGCAGAATGGGCAGTTCGCCAGCTCCATTTCGCTGATATCGGTATCGGACGTGTTGCGGAGAGCGAGCTGTTGAGAGTCATGGTCAAAGACAACCACTGATTCATTGTGCCGTCTGTATGAATTAGATCACTGCAAACGTAGATCTGAGGGAGGTATCTTACAAAACAATATCGAGATTTCCCCCATTATAGGGAACCATAGACATGTCGGCGGGCATTTTGGAGAAGTGAGAGTGAGACTCGCGCGCATCGATGACGATGAGGACGGAGGGCGGTCAATCAACGGCACATGATAGCGACATCTTGGCCTTTATTCTGCTCACTTTGTATACTCCGCATCTACATATCCTTTCAGACCTTGTTTATCCTACATCGATGATGAATTGTAAATTGATATCCAATAATATATTATGCAACAGCCATTACGTCGTTACGACCTGGACTGCTAGTCTGGCTCCAGATGGGGACTAGATTCAGGCTTAGGTATGTGCCCGATGGCTGAAACAAACTGACCCGGGGGCCGGGTGGTCTACTGCGTGTAGGTGGGGTCCATTTAGTTGCACAGCAGCACAGGTGACAGCCCACGCCATTGTCTCCAGATACGCGACAGTTCATTTTCGATCTTGACGATCTAATCTGTACCACAATGGATCCCATCTCCATCACCGGTCTCGTTATCGAAGTAAGCCATGTGCTATCGAGTCTGATTCGATATGCCAAAACGGCGCAGAATGCAAAGCCAGAAGTACGAAAACTCAGCGAAGAGCTCTTTACTCTGAAGGGGATCTTGGAGCACCTAGCAGCGCAGTCGGAACATACTCCAAAATGGCAGGAATCAGACAAGGTCAATTTTGATCGTGATGTTATGGGGAGAGTTTTGCATACAACCAATGAGCTCATTCAGTCCTTACTCGCCGGTATGGAAACGGCGGAGACCAAGTTCAAGCGCCTCAAACAGACTCTGAAATGGCCTTTTACCCAAAAGGAAATCCTTGAGCACCTGACTCGCCTTGAAAGGGTCAAGTCTTGGTTGATATTGGTTCTCATGGCAGACCAGAATTCCGCAGACCGGGACATACAACATGAGCTTCGTGATTTGACGAGCGCAGTGAAGGAAGACTTGCAGATTCGAGTCCAAGAGCGAAATCAGGTGGCTAACAAATTGCTTTTCCAATGGATGGCCCCAGTGAGTCCCGAAAGCTCGCATCTGCGGGCGTCTAAAAGTCTCAAAATCGGGACTGGGGGATGGTTTGTCGACGGCCATTTGAGGAAATTCCTGGACCAAGACGAGAAAAGGGCTCTCTTCCTCGTGGGGAAATGTATGTCCTCTCTGATACATTTGTGGCAATTGACTGACGTGATTCTGAAGCCGGAACTGGAAAATCGACGCTGTTGTGAGCTTCATCTGGTGAGATGATTGATCTTTAAGTCTGACCATTTTCAGTGCGCAAGCTGCCGACAAACTCATCTACATGGCTTCCCAAAGTCAATCTATGTGTGTTGCTTATTTCTACTGCACAATTGGAGACCACGCCTCTCAGAGTGCAAGAAATGTTCTCGGATCATTTGTGGCACAGCTGTCGAGTACGTTTCCTTCTATACTGCAGGATATCCGATACATCTACAACAAAGGGCCGAACAGTCAGGCAAGTAGGTTTCCTGTCGAAATGTCTGCTCTCGAAGCTGCCATCGCTCAGTGTGCTCGTGAGAAAGCACAAGTAGTTCTTTGCGTCGACGCAATCAACGAGAGCCATGAGGCGCATCCTATCGAAACCTCTCTTCTAAAACTTGCCAGCCTGTACACGAACATCCGTGTCATCATTACTACTACAAATACAATGGGCTCCGCGTTGCCTCAAGATGCATCTGTCTTGAATATTAGCGGGAAGTCACGAGGAGACATCTATAGCTACATTCAGCACCGCCTCAAGACTGATAATACATTGAGAGACCTCGGGCCAGAATTCAAAGAGGAAATTGAGATGAATCTATTGCGCGATGCGGACGGATCGTCAGTACCGCAACCCTTCTGGATAAAACTTCTTTATCTAATTATTCTTATTCAGATTCCGATGGGTTCAAGTCTCCTTGGACAACCTGAGCACACAGCGATCAGTGAGGGCCATGCGACAGGCCTTGCAAAATCTCCCAGGGACCTTACGCGAGACATACGCAACAATGTTGGAAAGGATTGCTCCAGACGATTGGAAGCTCGTCCGAGAAGCCCTGTTCTGGATAAGTTTCTCCAAAAAGCCTCTAGATATGAATTCTCTCAACGAGATCGTGGTTCTAGATGAAACATGCAACACACTCGACGAGGATATGATGCTCGTGCCTCCTCATATTCTTCTCCAAATCTGTCAAGGCCTCATCACCGAAGCCATCGGCGGCTATCTCACTCTCGCCCATTCATCAGTCAAGGATTTCCTAACATCCGACTGGATCCACTCATCTCGAGTAAGATATTTCTTCCTGGATCCCGCAACTGCCGAAGCCAAAGCCATGCACAGCTGTCTCTCATACCTCTGCCTCGACAACTTCACACGGGGATACTTAACGGTCCCCGAAGATCCATGGAAACTACGAAACAAGCATCCCTTCTTAACCTATGCCGCAAATTTCTGGCCCTCACACGGTATTGCCTGCAACTTCGGTGATCACCAGGACATGGTCCACAAATTCTTTGCCACAAGACATCTCCCAGGTCGCGGAAACTATGGCACATGGATTCAGACACTGTTCAAAACGACCGCAAAAACAAAACAGTTTGATAACGCAGCCATCGACTCCACACACCCTCTCTACTACGCCGCCTCATTCGGAATGGCCCCAGTCGTAAAGTCGATTCTCGAATCAGAGCCCGATATCGACGTCAACGCTCCCGGTGGTCGTACTGCTGCTACGCCCGTGTGGATTGCCAGTCTTCGCTTCAACTTTGAGGTCGTTGAGCTTCTCTTGAGGGCCGGTGCGGACCCGACCATTCGTGATCCTGGTAGTGGGCTTAATGTACTTGATCTTTTGAGGATGGTGCCAACCAAACATCGAGATTATAAGGAGCTTCGGGCTGTTTTGGCGCGGCCGGCGCCTTGGAATGAGAATTTCGGAAATGCGGTGGATGTGCATTTGTGAGGGGGATTTTTACCGCGCTGGTCGCTATTTTCTGCTGTGTTTTTCTCCCCGGATTCTGACCATGGTTCAGGGTCGGGAAGAACCAGAGAAACTCGTTCGAACTTGCCTCATCAGAAGCGTGGTAAGCGTGGAAGGAGCTAATGACTACACAACTACACAACTACGCATACAACTATTCTGGAGAGTAAGAACTATTGAAATCATTCCATTCATTTTGATTCCTCTCGAATCGGGTATCTGAGTTAGAACTGGTGATTAAACACCAAAGCCCTTAGTTTTGTACAAGATGTACTGGAATGCCCACGATTGACCATGCAATCGTATGGCAGCAGGTGCTTTTCGGGCCTGTGCCACACGTCGCAAGGAAGCCTTCAGGCGTCTGCGCCGTACAAACACATGTCGGATGCTATGTAGAGAACCAAGTCCGCGGAGCGCAGAGATGGGGGAGAGAGAGCCAGCCCAAAGCTCTGGTATTTCAAGAGCGCGCATGGCTGATCTCATGGCAGCAGATCGCCTATCTTTTCGTAGGGCGGGATGGCTGGGGTTGACACTCGAGTGTGCCGTGGGGAACATCGGATCAATCACTCCGCGTCACTCTCCTCGTCACTAACCTCAAGGTTGGCGATGGAATCATCATCACTGACCTCAGGGTCGATGGAGTCTTCCTCCTCAGAGGCTTCGGCGTCAGCCTCGGCCTTCTTGACAGCAGGCTCGTTGTTTTCATCCAACTTGCGCTTGCGGGGCATCTCGCCGAGGCGGCCTTCACGGCCCTCCACACCTTCGACGGGCTCTTCGCTCTTCTCGGACTTGTCATCTTTGCCCTGGGCCTTGGGAGGAGGTGTGTACCAAGGGATCTTTCCGCGGAGGAAATCGTTAATGACCATCTTGGCGACACCGTCCAAATCAGCCTCGCCTCCCTTGAGGAGACGACCGCCCTGGCGGGCAAGAAGCGCAAGCCAGTCTAGGTAGTTCTCCTGGTGCTTGATACCATAGGTGCGCTCAAGATGACGGGGCAAGACACGGCGGAGAACAGCCGGGATGTACTGCTCCGGGTTGTGGACGTTCTCAACACGGCAGACACCACGAAGAAGGATGTCCTCCTCGGTGTCGTTCTGGTTGGGTGGGACAACACCGGGGCAATCGATGAGGTAGATTCTCTTCATCAGAGTGATGTACTGCCACACCTTGGTCTCACCGGGGATGGGAGCGACCGTGCACACCTTCTTGTTACGGAGGGTGTTGATGATGGAAGACTTGCCCGAGTTGGGGTAGCCGATCAAGCCAACTGAGACCTGCTTGCGGTCGGAGTGAAGCGAGGAGAACTGACGGAGCAGCGAGATCAAAGAGCCCTTGCCGAAGGAGTTGTTGATGTTGGCATGGAAGGCAAGAGTAGGATAGTCCTTGGAAAGATGACGAACCCAAGCGGCCTAGAGAAAGATGCGAAGTTAGCAATCAATCACTAGCAATGAATGAACATTGTAGAATGGTAATGTGTGGGATGTTACTAAGAAATCTGCCACTAGCCACCAAAAAAAGGCAGAGGCAGGCTTCTACTCAAAAACAAAACACAGCTGGCCCTTGCGACAAGCTTTCAAGACGAAAGCAAGTCAACCTAGGTTCATAACGAAATTCGGTGCGGGCCAGTGTTAATATACCAAAGCTGTAACAGACCGGGTTCCATTGACGAAAAGCATGACCGAAGCCGTGCATGCGCGACATGAGTCGCAGGAAAGAGCCTTGACTTAGCGATGGAACAGGGGGAAACACAGAAACACAGAAACGCAAGAAGTATGAGGGCAGAATGACAGACAGGAACAGTAGAAGGGGAATGGTGAAACTTACAGCAACGCTGGTGGGAACGAGATCACACTTGTTCAGAACGAAGATCAAGTGCTTGTGTGGTGCCTCCTCGCGAATGTATTTCTCAACACTCCTGCAACGAGTACCTTCAGGATCACGAGAATCCAGAACGTGGATGATGACATCGGAAGAGTCAATGACCTTGTAAAGCTCGTTCCAGATACGCTTACTCTGTCCCTTTGAGAAGACAGATTCACGAGATGTAGTCAGGAGACCCAAATCTTCAGCTGCGGCAGTGTCATCACCACGGATGATGGCACTTCCATCAGCGTGAGTTCCTTCGTCATGCTTCTCAATGTAGGTGTCCTGCATCTTGGCTGTCTCGCCAGCAAGGTCTTCCAGAGTAGACACACCAAGCTTGACACGCTTGCGCTGCGCCTTGGGGCCGAAGGTATCATTGAAAGGAGATGTCTCAATGGCCATCTTAGCCTGATGTTGCTTCAGGCCATTGACCTTGTCATTGTCCCGAATCAAGCTCATGGGGAGCTTGTTGGTCTTGAGAAGAACTTGGTACGGGTCGGCAGCACGCTCAGCAACGGCATCCCTGAAAGAAGTCAAAGCCTCTTGCGAGATGACTCGGGAGTTGGCGAACCATTTACGGTGTGGCTCAATACGGGCAGTTGGCTTGTCTCTGGATTGATAACTCGCAGCGACTGTGATTTCACCCTGAGCATTGCGGCGTGCCTTGCCATCCTTGAACATGTTCAAGGTCTTGATTTTCTTGGCATCACTATGACTCGAGTCAGTATTGACTGGTCAAGGTTGTTTGGGGGGTCTGGTTGAGGCTGTACATACCGGTAGAAATTTTCACCTTTGGTCTTGACATTGGCCATGCCATCGTTGCCCTTACCCTGCCGCTCTTTACGAGCGGCCTCCTTCTTTCCTGTACCCATGATAGAGTACGTGTGTTGTGAAGTGTAAAAGATAATATGTGCCTGGACAAAAATATCAAAGGCAAAGACCAAACACAGAGAGTGGCAGAGAGCAAAGAGAAGAGGAAGAAAAAGAAAAGGCGGCGAAGGATTATTTTTTTTGGCGCCAAGACAATGAGGTGCACGGACCATGGGAAAATCGCTTCTGTTTCTTCCGACTTGGTTGACCGCGTATCCTCCCTATTCGACTATCAGACCATTGTCAATCTCGGGCTACTTCTCAGCTGGATTGAGGGTCGTATCATTGACCTTTGGTTTCGCCACTTCTTTTTCTCCAGCTCCCAGCAACTTCAGTTCACTCCCCTGAGTGTCGGAATCGAACGCCGCATGTCTGTCCTCCGCAACAGCCGGACTGCCGCCGTGCAGGTCCGTGGATTTGCTACCTCCTCCAGCCTGCGAGTTGGGCCCGAGTCTCCTCATTTCATCGACGTTCCAAAGATCATTCAACCCACCAACCCCAGCAAACCTCATGTCAGAGGTACTCTACCTGTGCCTCGCGAGCTCTTCCCGGCCCGCCGAACGGACAAGCCCGGGCAACAATATCTCGATGCCGCTACACCACTTCCCCAGTCGGAGCGCACAGTGAGCCCCAACAGCAGCGATCCTGAGAAGCAGGCTTGGAAGCACAAGATGGCGAACTTGCGGAGACAGAACCTGCGGGAAGGTCTTCAAGACCTGTATTCGCGCAAGAAGTCCTCAGAGCGCAGGATGGTCAGCCGCAGTCTCGATAATCAGAAGCGGCGGGACCGCATTCTTAGGCAACCCATGCGTGAGGACGAGCTCCTTACTCGTCCCACGACCGTCGAGGCAATGCGGCCCCGCAAACAGCCCGTCCTGCCGGACCCCAACCGTGAGAAACGCCTTGCGCTCTCCCAGGCGCGTCTGGAAGCCAAGCAGGCAGAGAAGGAGGCTGAGCGGAGGGACTACCTTCAGTCTTTGTATATGAATGCTCGCAACTTTATCACGACCGAGGAGCAGCTTGCTGCTGAAATCGACCGGGTCTTCCCTGAGGGAGAGAACGAGGCCTGGCGTAACGACCACCAGCCCGGTGAGAACATCTGGAACCTGGGTAACCCCCCGACTATCAACGGCCTTCTCAACAGAACCCGTAGCAACGAGTCTGCGCGCTGGGATATCGGCCAGGAACGAGTTAAGAAGCTTGCTGAGGTCATCACTGGGGGCAAGATTTGAGTTTAATTCTTTTTGGCATCATGTACAATATTCTCTGAACTTTCATATACTTTCATATTTCAACTTTACCCTATCCTTTTGAGATTTTGGCATGGGAATAGGTCCCCTGTGTAATCCAAGTGACGGTAACTGCCTAAGCTTTTGCCTGAACCCGCCTGAACCGCTTCAATGGAAGACGACCAGCAACCTTATATCCCCGGGGTCACTTCGATATCTACAATCGAATGATCACTCCCCCATACCTACCTGTTCGGTAACTCCCGGGGATTCCATTCAAAGCATTGACACCCACTAGTCATGGGGCATCAGAAAGACGCGTATGAGTGGAAGTCTTCCCACTATGCGGCAACCGGTGGGGGGATTACGACAACGCATTTTGAAGCGCCTCTTCCAACTTGAATACGCCACTCAGCCGGGGTCATCAAAGACTGTTTGGGGTGCTTATATACAGTAGCAAGAGAGATGTAAGCTGATGCCCATGCGAAGCTTCGTACAAGTCGCGTTTGCTTGCTTCCAATGGGGATAATTATGGACTGAATCTGATATCAAAATGGGAGTCCTGGGTCATTTCCAAATTCCATGCTCGACACCGCCATTTTCTGGGCAAAATGGCTATGATATGAGATAATGAGGGTGCGTAATACCTGCAAATCTTCCAAGGAACGCCTGGGGCGCCTCGGCTGTCTTGGATCATTCATTGAGGGCTATGATACGTCGAGTCCACCCCCAAGCCTCTGTGGCGTTAAGGCTTCATCAAATGCCAATCAATGCATACCATATGATACCAGGAATGTTTCCCTCGATATTACCGAAGTCCGCCTGCTACTAACGGGCTGAAGATGAGACTGTTTAGGAAGGTCTTCTAGACCTCGGTGTTGGCTTTCTTACTTGGCAATCGGGATCATCGGTGGAAATGTCCGACCTTGGCTTAGAGACCCAGATCAACTTCCACCGGAAGCTAACAAGCCAATCAATGCCTGCAGACGGAAAACCTCCGTTTAGCCTGGAGTATTTCCACCGATGGAGCATCGTCGAGCAGTATCACTTTTGCGGGGAAATTGTGGGCTCTGGGGCTTTAGTGTCACAGCCAAGCTTACCCCGCAAGGAGTGAGCAGTATATAGTCAACATGGAGGGCATAGGAAAACGTCGGGTCAAAACTGTGCTTGACCAAGAACACAGTACAAAGCAATGACTATGAAAGACTTACCCCTTGATGAGAGGCTCGAGGATATCGAGCCCTCCGAGAAGGGAGCCGTTCATCATGAAGAGATAATCAACTCATTCAGTCCGGAAGAGCGAAAGAAACTTATCCGGCGAATTGACATTCGCTTGGTCATTACACTGGGATGTCTATATTGTGTCAGTTTGTTGGATCGAACAAATCTTGGAGCCGCTTCTGTCGCAGGGTAAGTGCATTGAGCCGACTCAGCCCTGGGCCGAGTCTCTCTCTCCCCAGCAATGTGTTATGTATCCAGCTAACAAATCTTCAGAATGCAGATAGAGCTAGATATGAACCAGGCCAACAATGGCTACAGCATTACCTCGCTGGTATTTTTCATCACCTACACAATCTTCCAGATTCCCGCCACAGTCATCATCCGCAAAGTCGGGCCCCGAATCTTCCTCTCGGGCATTGTAATTCTCTGGGGAGCTGTCATGCTTGTAAGTTTCCCGAGCGAAGCATACTTGGCCCGTTACTGACAATATCTCCCTTAGGCATTCGGCTTCGTCCCGAATTGGGAAACAATGGCCGGACTGCGTATCATCCTCGGCGCCCTAGAAGCTGGACTGTACCCGGGCAGCGTCTACCTCCTGAGTACATGGTACCCACGCTACGAGTTGCAGAAGCGTAACGCTGCGTTTTACCTCATTGGAAGCGTTGCCTCAGGCTTTGGTGGAATCTTGGCCTACGGGCTGATGCAGATGGATGGACTGGCCGGGAGAGCGGGTTGGCGATGGATCTTCATCGTAAGTATCAACGAGATCCAGTTCGTTCCAGGAAAGAGGCTAACCAAACAACCAACGCAGATCGAAGGCCTGCTAACCTGCGCCTTGGGCATCGGCTCCTACGTCTTCCTAGTCGACTTCCCAGAGAAAGCCCCCCGATCCTGGAAGTTCCTCAACGAAAACGAAGCCTCTTTCGTCATTGCGCAAATTGAACAGGACAGAGCAGATGCTGCCGTCGAGCCTTTTTCTTTGAGGAGATATCTCGGCAACTCTAAAGATAGCAAGGTCTGGGCCTATGCCTCCTTGTACATGTTGACGACGACGAACAGCTACTCAATCGCGTACTTCCTGCCAATCATCCTGGAGAAGAGCATGCATTTCTCTGTCGCGAAGGCACAGTGTCTCGTTGCCCCGCCCTATGTCTTTGCAGGTATTGTTATGTACACGCAGGCAATGTTCGGTGATAAATACCACCTGCGTGGTCCCATTGTTGCTGGGAATGCGCTCATGGGCATTCTCGGACTTGGGCTATTGGGTTACCTCGAGAATCCAGCTCCTCGTTACTTTGGAGTTTTCTTGGCTACTGCTGCCGGTGAGTTGAACTGTCCTGTCTTTGGCTAGGACTATACTGACGTTGTTAATAGCAAATGCAAACTGTCCAGCCCTGGTATCTTGGCAAAGGTAAGTGGTCTTGCTCAAGGAAAGCTCGTTTTTTTTTTCTCTGGCGCTAACCTTTGGCTCTAGTAACAACATCCGTGGCCAATGGAAACGAGCCTTTACATCAGCGACTCTTATTGGCGGAGGCAGCATCGGTGGCATCATTGGCACAACGGTGTTCCGCGCCCAAGATGCTCCAAACTATCAGCCAGGTCTGCTTTGCACTATGCTGGCCAATGCGTTGGTCGTTGTGATCGTGTGTTTGATGACGCTGAAATTCCATCGCGCAAATAAGCGGGTCGACGCTGGCGGAAAGCCGATCGAGGGACAGGTCGGGTTCAAGTATACCTATTGAGGGATAGCTTGGTGGTATCTAGACATGGGGTCTATTTGGTGTTGGAGGTTGTCTTTGTAAATCGCAGTTGACATAGAAGTCTAGACGATATGTTATAGATCACAGTGACCTTTTGATCGTCTCTCAAGCTAGGCTTTGAGTAGGAACCTTGTAGTACCTTGGCATACAGCCTAGCATAAATGTCAATGCAGTACATAAGGAGGCTACCTTTTCCTCGCTAAATCGCGTCGCCGAAGAATCTTCCACCACTTGATCGGCTCTGATCTGACACCAAAATCAACCTCAATGCTACCTTCTTTCCTCTATAACTCCACCCATAGCCTGCCATAGGCCATCAAATATTTATTCCTCTTTCTCTCCACCACAATAACAAGGCCAAAATCCCCGTCCCATCCATGATCCTTAGCCCCAAACCCCAGCTATACTTCGGAACGGAAAAACACCACCCCACTCCCACCACACGTGATCCGATAAGCCGATAGCCGATAAGCAATTTTCCCTCCGGCAACCCAAAAAAACAGAAACAGCCCAGAACCGAACCCACTTCGTGCTGCTGGCGGTGCTTTCTCGTTGTATCTTCCCCTCACCCACCACCTATATTACACATACTCTCTCTACACAATGGTGCAAGGATCATTGAAAAAGGCCGGTCCCGGCGGTCCAAGCAGGAAGTAAGTCCAGTCCCAGTCTCAGCACCACAGGCAAAACCAAAACCCAACCGAGACGAGAACGAGTGCCAGCCATTTAATTCCCTACAGAGAATCAAGATCAGGATCAAACTAACATATTTCTGTCACTCCAGGCCTTCCAAGACAGTTCGACCAGGAGTTCGCTCCGTCGCACCCAAGAAAGCGGGATTGATTAAGCAGAAGAAGTTGACCAAGGTATGTACTACGATACCTACTGGATTTCCTCGATTGGATGCGGTTTCGTACCTGCAAGGCAGAATACAAAACACAAAGAGAATGGTTCTGACAGCCGCTAGAAACTTACATCTGGACTTGTTTCCATGACGGAACGCAGTCTTGGAGCTAAGGCGGGTCATCTTGAGCTTTTGGCTGGTGGCAAGAAGGATCGGTTGGCGAAGGAGAGGAATGCGGCGAGGAAGGAGGGGACTTTGAAGTCTGCGCCTAAGAAGGCGTAGGTTTTCTTTTCTATGGTTGAAGGTTTTAAATCTACCTAGAGGTTGTTGTTTGAGTGCGTGAAATCGATACCCTGTTTCTATTGTCTTTCTCTTTTAGTGAGGTGCGATTGTTAATAGGTTTACTGGATAGTGTTAGAGTGAGGAGGTAGTGTGTTCATAGTACGTAGTACCTATATCGAAGTGCATGTACAAAAAACCAGCCGATGCGCGAAATCATGAAATCATTAGCAAGCCTGTACAGGCATGCATCCAAGAGAACAGGGGAAAATTTTCGGTGAGATGAGAGAAAAGAAAGAAACAAAAAAGAAAATAAGGGTATCTATAATTCCAACTCCAATGCCATGTCCAAACCAACTCGCTCTTTGCTCAGGCCTTCGAGACCCGACTCGGAACACCAGCCTGCTCAATCAAATCCCGTCCACGCTCCATCCACCCATGGAAGCCACCGTCAGACGAGTCTGCAGGGAAATCGTCCCAGACGGCATTCTCCGAGTCCGGATACGTCGACCAGATCCCCTTGGGCACATCCGCAGCTGACCACGAAGGTAGCTTCGCCATCACACAGGTGTAATACACGTACAGGATGCGACAGAGCAGCTCGACGCGGTCGACGTAGTGCTGCTGTGCGGGGTCGGGGGATTGGCCGCCGTCGCCGAGACGCTTCCACCAGCTCACGCGCCAGCGAAGCGTTAGCAGGATGTGGCCGAGTTCGCTGAGGAAGCGGACGTGGGTCTCGTGGGAAATCTGCTTCCATTTGATGTTGTAGAAGTCGCGCTCGAGTTTGCGGAAGCCTTCGACTTCGAGCATGCGGCAGAAGATTCGGGAGAGTTGAGCGGCGAGGAGGATCTCGCGTTGGTCTTCGGGGTTGTTTATGTCCATTGTTCGTTCTTCCTCGTTGGGATCAAGGGAGACGAAGCTGTATTTGGCACGGCTAGGCATGTTGTTCCATTGGGAGAGGAGGGTCTGGGGGTGGTCAGTTATTGCATTTGCTTGGAGATATGTGGAAACTTACGTAGGCTTGGTTCATTGGATCGCAGTCGGCAACGCAGGACAGCCAGTTCTTGGACTTGTCCTTCGAGTCGACGATTCGTCGGTCAATGAATTCGATGAAGGTGGACTTCGAGTTGCCGTTGTACTCGCTCAGGGCCTTCAAAAATTTATAGGTCTCTCCCAGGTCAAGAACGTATAGAGAGCCCCACGCCTGACTGGCGCGGATGTTGAATCGGCCCTGGCGCTCCGCTAGCAATGACAGAAGTTGGCTGAGATCGAACTCGGATGGGATCTCCATACGAACTCGGCGAGTACCGTCCATAGTAGGGTGGTTGACAGCTCGTTGAGCTAAATACAGTCAGCAAATGAGAACGACGTACGGGAGGCTCAAGTTGAACGTACAGATATAATTGCATGTTCCGAACTCCACAATGCTGGAGAAGCATGCACGAGCGCATGGTTGCTCGTGAAGCGTCGGGCGACAAGCGTCGCAGGGGGAGCTTCCATCACACTGCAAACACGTTAATTCAATGGACACTTAAGAAGCAGGTGAAGAGACTGACCTTGCGCTTGTTCAGTCGACACTGCACACAGGTATCCTTGTTCTTCCGACGAAGACCAGCATTAGCCCGTCCAACCAAACTCAATGGGCCCTTGCGACGAGCACCGCGGGGCGGCGAGACAAAGTCCGCAGACGCAATTGAGCCGCCTTGGCCATCCTCCTGGACAATCTGCAGTGGCCGAGCGACACCCTGATCCATTGAAGAAGCGGGGTTTCTGGTCTTGCGCTTTTTGACCGTAGCAGAGGATTGCATAGCAAGTGCTCCGGGTCGACCAGCGCGTGCTCCAGTACTTGACGAAGCCCTCGACCTTGAGGGAACGGTGGAGACCTGAGTCTCCGCCGGGTCCTCGCTCACCATAAAGGCAGTGGTCTTAAAGGCAGGCTGCGAGGCCTCCGGCGAGGTACTTTCATGCGGCGAGGTCTTCCACGGGGCATCGTCGTCTTGGTCCGCAAAGGTAAAGGCATCGTCACTAGTGGCAGAGTAAGAGCACTCGTATATTCCAGACAAATCGCCCGACACCGAAGAGTTCTCAGATTTAAACTGGAACTCTTGTGGCATGGGCGCATTTCTCTGGCCAGTAGTTTGAGAGGCCGGCGTGATCCGCGGAGTAGGCAATTGAGATTCCAGACTGTTCAGCCAGCGCGATTCCAGCGATCTGAGTGAAGTCTGGAACTCCCGCAGGGGTTGATCCTTCGGGCTATGTTGCGCGTCGACCGTGAGCGGCATGGAGTCTTCCGGCGGGGACATGTTGTCCACGGGCACACCGTGTTGAATCTCTGCCCACTGTTCGGGAATCATGGGGAAGGATTGTGGAATCTGCTGGAAGGACATGATGCCTTCTGTTGGGGCATCGGGGAAACCACCGTGAGGCATCTCTCCGACATCATCGACGATAACGGCGCCAGTCGAGTGGCTCGGTCCCTTCCCGTACGGGTAGATCAGCGACGCATCCATCGGCATGCCGACGGGATTGTATAGGGGGAAGTGCGACCAAGCCTCATCGGGATGGAAGTTCTCGTCGGCAGAAGATGGGATGGTCCTAGGGCTGATGGTGCCGCTGCCAGTCCCTTCGACGATGCCATCTGTGTAGTTCAAGTGTTCGGGGGCTACATCGTGCTTCCTGAAACCAAAATAACAACTGTCAGCTTTGGTCCCATCGCACCGCGCAGTGTCATGCGAGGGAGGAGGTTCCGGACCTGTTCTCTAGGCGATGGAATTCACCGGTCAAAGGGCCGTGGAAAGCGCCCAGGTCCGCGATGTCAGCATCGCATTGACTCGATTCCTGGCTGGTGTCCCACTCGGGTGGTTGGTCGTATCCGGGTTGTTCCCACGAGGCGACCGAAAATGCCCCTTCAGTTTGCCAATTGTCCAAAATCTTGGGGTCGATCCCCGCAGCGGTCCCAGTACTTCCACAGTCCATACAGGATGAGAGGCCTGGTGAGGAGGCGACGACGACCTAGTTGAGCAAAGATCCCAAAAGAAACGAGCTTTTGAGACTTTGCAGGTGAGGTGGGTCGGGTCGAAACGAAGAGTATAGTCTAGGGACGACAAATGATTGAACGATCGAGATATTTAATGGAGATGATGATGGTAACTCGAGAAGATGGGTGTTGAGGGGCCGAAGAGTGTTGAAGGCTGATGGGATTCCCCACCTCAAGATTTTCTGCGATCGTCTCTAGCGTGTTGTTGGCACAGGCCACTTCAGTATTGTCCTGTTGAGGCTTGCCGATAAATCCAGTTCAGGATGCGATTTCCGAGATGTTGAGACCGAAGAACTATATCAAATAAAACATTCAACATATACACAACAGTCTATTGTCAGAATGTAAGTGGTGTTATGCACGTGGTACATCTGAGTAATTCGATTGCCGCACGATGCTTACGAGCGACAACGGTGTCAGAGTTTGTAATTTTAGTAATTTTAGTAATTTTTAATAACAGCAATTAACGCCGTTAATAACAACGCGTTATCAATGTAACCTTGAAAAGGGCCCAGTAAGCTTGGCTGCTTGGCCCATCCCTGGGTGAAGTATCCGCTCAATTGTGGAATTGTGGAAAACCGGCAAAAGCAGAATTTTCAATTATCCGTTTCTAGAGCCGGTTCTACCGTGTAAAGTCCATTCCATGCAGCGCTTGATCACCTCATCGGAGAAATTAGACTTCAGGCTAGAACAGACTGTACATAGAACAGAGCAGGGTATAGAAATGTTGAAGTATCGAGTTATTTATGGTATGGTATGCAATTAATGGCATTCATTAACGTCCGGCAGCTGGACTCTAACCCAGTTGCCTTAAGGCCTCCTATGGGGCATGGGGACGTGCTAAGCTTTGTCTAGGTTCTACGCCGTAGATTCAAGACCCCGTTCCTCAGAGAGCCACGCTTTGCTCTTAAAAGACCGGTTCTAACCAGTTGACTGCGTTCCTCTAATCCTCCGACAACATAAGACAACATGGCCCGGGTGGATGTCACGTGGGATGGTCTCCATTCTTCGGTTGCTGTGGCGCAGGTGGCGCCATTGTTCTTCAGCGTCCCTTCGGGGGTGGCTTTGCTCTGGTCGCGTGGCCCAGAGATCTTCGTCACCGGTCGGCGCGACGTGAAGTTCCGAGTTACAGTAGAAGGATAGAAGTCTATATTGTAGCAATAGCCTGTTAATGTTGGTAGTGCGTTACTCGTTGCATATAAGCCGCTATGAGCCTATAGTACGGAGTACTAGGTCGCTATCGAATTCCACACATACTGCGTAACTAGATCATACTACCGACTTACAAGTCCCAGATCATAAACAATTCTGATCTAAGTATGATCATGCTTTGAACGATCGAGCTATCCTTAAAATGCTAAACAACAACCTCATATCCACATGTCAAATCTCAACGCCGAAAGATGCCCGACCGGTTCACCGCACGCTGCATTCGGCCCTACCAAAGCCGTCCCCGCGGCCTGAACGGCCTCGTCCCCTGGGCCCTCATGCCCCAGTATGTGATTCGGTGTGGCCAATTCCTCAAATTCCCCCAGATTTGTCGTCTGCACCCCGAATCTTCCCGCGGGGTGCAGATTATTTATTTCCTTTCGTTCAGTTCTTTTCTTTTCTTTCTCTTATTGCTTTTCAAGACTCGGAAAAGAACAAGGCCCATCGAAAGCGCCAGTGCGGAACAGTGAAGATCCAGATCTAAATCCAGATCGAATATCAACATATCGCCCTAAGCGCGGCTTAATCTGTTTTCGTCATGCACATCCTGGTAAGTGAGAGGGGGTTTTCTTTTTTGTTATTCGTCTATATGCCAGGAGGTATAGCAATTCAATCCTCGGGATCTACTTTATAGACCTATCATAGTTCATGTTCTCCAGAGGATCAACACCACTTGACATACGTCCTTATCCGTATACGTAGATAACAGAAGAAAAGAAAGAAAAAAAGCACCTGAACCCAGCTAACCAAAAAAAAAACAGGTAGTCAACGATGATGGGCCACCAAGCACCCGCCTTTCACCCTACCTCAGACCCCTAGTCGACACCCTCCAAGAAAAAGGCCACCAAGTCTCCGTAGCCATCCCGGCCTCCTCCCGCTCCTGGATCGGCAAAGCGCACATAATCGAAGCCTCCCTAACAGCAACCTACGTGCACCGGGACTCCTTCAACGCCGACGGCACCTGGAACGAACCCGAGTCCGAGTGCGAGTCCAACCCTGAAACCGACTGGGTCGTCATCCGCAACGGCACACCTGCCAGCTGCGCCCAACTCGGTCTGTACAACTTGTTCACGGACCGCGCGCCTATCGACCTCGTCATCTCGGGCCCGAACCACGGCCGCAACGCTTCTACCATCTACAACCTCTCTTCAGGGACGGTTGGCGGTGCGCTGGAGGCGGTTTTCTGCGGGAAGAAGGCCATTGCTATCTCGTTTGGGAGTAAGGATGAGCAGCCGAAGGATGTTATTGATGCGGCGGCGAGGTTGGCCGTGAGGGTTGTTGAGCATCTTTATTCGCATTGGGATGAGAGGGTTGAGCTTTATAATATTAATGTTCCTATGCGGGTCGATGTTGAGGAGAGGCCTGTGTTGTATACGCGCACTTTGCCGTATTATTGGAATAGAGGGTGTTTGTATGCTGAGGAGGGGAAGAAGGTTGTTAATGGTGTTAATGGTGTGAATGGGGTTCATGTCAATGGTGAGACCAATGGTGAGACCAATGGTGAGACCAATGGTGAGACCAATGGTGAGACCAATGGTGAGACCAATGGTGAGACCAATGGCGAGACCAATGGTGTGCTTGTCAATGGACATGGTCCCGCGCCCAGACAGCGCCAGTTCAAGTGGTCTGCTGATTTGTCGGATATGAAGAAGACATTGCAGGAGAGCGAGGTTGGGACGGATGCTCATACCGTGCTAAATGGGTCGACCAGTGTGACTGCTCTCCGAGCCAACTTCTGGCATGTCCCTGATCTTGATGGGCCGCTGCATCTCGATTCTTGAACTCTTTAAATGCTTCCATTGGATGATCCTACGATACCCGCAATGGCTTTCGAATGCAAAGGACTGGTGGTTTGAGGAGACCGGTCCGTTTTGTACATATACAGCAATTGCATGCATAATTTTTCTTTTGCGAGTGATGGATCAGTTCCAATAATGGCCAGTAACTGTTATTCTTGCTGTCAGATAGGTTGGTGTAGACACTGGAACAAAATGGGAGGGAAAGAAGTAGCTAGTACATTTCGAGAGCAGGCAATCGGAACTGGTGTATCACATTAACGACAAAAGATGCTAGAATAACCATATCGGGTCCTGGGATGGGCTATAAAAATGATAACGGGCTTAGATAGCACGCGCGGCTTCTCCTGCGCCGCTGTCAACAGTCGAGGCCTGCTCAGCGCGCATCTTTCCCTTGCCAACACCTCCCTCGCCGACACCCATTCGGCGGGCTACGTATCGTTGCGCGATAACACCAGCAGCCAGCGACAGAGTCTCCTCGATCCATTCTGAGACCCACTCGCGAGGATCGACACCTCCGCTCTCGATGATCTCCGCGATGGCTTCGGGAACCACGATACGCTGGACATTGGCACCCTCTTCATCGGCACTCTGAGAAGCCAGCGCCGAGGCATCGAGCCACTCAATCCATGCCTGTGGAATACTCTGGGAGATGGTGTGGAAGGCAAGACCATGGATAGGATCATGGAGATACAGAGCGAAAGAGATCTCCTCTTCTTCGGTCTCGGGCTCCACAACACCTTCAGTAGCCTTCTCGCCTGTCGCACCAGCCTGGAAGAGATCCTTAGAGACAGGTTGGCTAATAGCCTGAATAGCCAAGAAGATATCACTGCTGCGGACTGGGTTCGATTCGCTAAGAACTTCCGAGGCGTGCTTCGCTGCCTCCTCGACTCCACCCCGAGATGAGAAGTACTCGGTGGCATATGACTCGGCGCTAGCGCGAGCCAGCTTTGAGCCTTCCACCGTGCCTCGTACGGCAGAAATACTGCGCGGTTGTCCAGAAGTGACGGTCCGCCACCAGGGCCCATCGTTCCAGCCGGAGCTGGTCATATATCCGGTAACGTCGAGCCCACGCTTCGGGGCTGATTCCTGACCCCGCTGGATCACCAACAGGTCGCCGCCCTCGACTTGCGACATCACTCGCGAGAACACTGCGTAGACTAGAGGGTCGATGCCGGGGTAACCGGACATGTCGTGAGTCACATGGATTTGGAGACGTTCGTGCGAAGAGATAGGAGGTGCGAGGGTGTGGATGAGGCTGGTGAATGTTGGGATTGCTCTATTGCGAAGCTCACCACCTGTGCATGTCGGTCAGCTGTCTGCATATAATATAGCAATCTTGATGAGGAGTTCCATACCGAAATCACGCAGAACTCCAACATTTCCCTTGACCTGCTGAGCCCACTTCTGTGCCTCCTCATTATTCTGGATCTCCTTGACCGCCGCCTCGGCCTGCTTCATAGCCGCGGTGGCCGTTGCAAAGAGTCCTCCTGACCATCCACCCCACCAGCCGCCACCATCTTCAGATGATTGCTGGGCGCGGACATCCTCGGGCTCAGCCTTGGGTTGTTCGGGCTTGGTCTCTGCGCGGCCTATCTCCTCAGACTTGCGGGCAGGGGACTTTTCCTCGGTCGGTCGGGTGATAGTAGCGCTTGGTCGGGGAGATCGTGCAGATGGCCTGGATTTATCGGAAGACAGGCGTGGAGTGCCTGGTCCACTGGCGGGACGTTGTGTGGCTAGGTGGTCCAGCTCAGCCAGGATGTCCTCCTCCGCGCCCTTGGCATTGTCGGGTACAGTAGTGGGCTTAGCTGGTTTGTCGTCGGTTTTCCCGAGGCCGAGGTCGTCAAACTGAGCTAAAAGCTCGTCGCTAGTAGGTTTGGGGCCCTTTGGAGGCATGTTTGTTTGGGACATTCAGTGTTCAGGAGAGGTGACGACACTGGGAGCTTCTGGATTGTGGAGATCATGTGCCAAGACCCACACTACAGATGCTTATTGAGTCACGACCGTCGACCGGTCGAATCTGACAGGACTTAAGATAGAACCCGTTTTACGCAGGCATTGCCTGTTAGCGCCACAACGAACAAATTCCGCAGATGCGCGCCAACCGCAAAGTCATTTGACTCATTGAATGCAGCGTATCACTCCCGGTCGTCATCAAGCAAGCCCCGAGCCTTACAGGTCTCCCGAAACGTAGGATACAACCGGCCAGTGACTGTACGGAGGTCCTCGAAAGAGGTACTAGGACCAATCTTTATGGCCAGCAGCAGCCGACACCAGCCGTACGTAGTACCGCTCGCCCTGGGCCGGAGTTACATGATACATACGATCAATTGCGAATTCGCCTTTTCGGGGCCGCCAGTCATAGCTTTGCCACCTAACGTGCTCGGGCATCTTATCCTAGGCGTAGCACGGGGACAGCAGAGCGCGCGTGGGGCAGAGGTTGACGGGTCGCTGGGAGGTTCCGAGTGCGATAGTCACGTAACTACCAAGACGTGATGCATCAGACTGAGAGAAAGAGTCGTATTCTAGGTAGCTACTATAGAAAATCGCCAAACAGGGAATAATTATATTATTATACAGATGCCAAGTTCATCAACCCAAAGCTATATCTGGCCTCATCGCGGAGCGAATCCAGGTCCAGGTAGAGGATATCGCGAGGATTACGGCCGGGCTGGAGGGCGGAGGAAAATACGTCGCCGTATGTAATTTCGAGCCGCTGGGTGTACGGTGGGTTAGGATTTAGGAACAGGAAAGATTGGCTGAAATGTCTTAGTTCAGAGTACCCACAAATTGTATCGAGTCTTGAACATACCTCGGCCTGAACCAGGATAGGTTGGTCATAAGGAGCCAGTCTCCAGACTTCCGCCTGTTACCGTTCGGGACTGTCTTCGAAAATTCCAGTTGATCAAGACCACGACCTGAATCGCACCACCGCTCCCTCGAAGAAGATCTCGGTCCGCCGGGAGACCGTTCCCTGACTCGGTCCAGCCCACTTCAAAGCGTTCGCAGGGAGTGCTGATGCAAGTTGGGGGCGGAAAAAGAAGTCGGGTTCCTTCCTACTCTGTGCGTATGGAGAATCGGGGATGTCGAGCGTTGTGCCGACGTATGCACCGAGGGCAAAGTACTCGGGCCAGCTGATCAGCCCGGCCTCGACCCACCGGCCCATACAGTGGACAAGCCATGGTTGTATACAACTGTGACCCTCCGTAGGCCTCCGTAATCGCAGGGTCCGGGCTTGGGAGTCGTTGTCGATGCAGTCTATCAGCTGGAAGAGGATCTTTGTGATAACCATGAGTGTCCATGACGTCGGTTATCTTGGGGATTTTCCCTTCTTTGAGATCCGAGTATTCGAGACCCTCTGGTTTCAGACCGAAGGTGTCCGCCATGGCGACTCGGTTAAAGAATCTGTCGACCACCCCCATCACCCGCGGCCTGGGCCGCCTGGCCGGCGTGGGTCGAGGCCTAGTTTCCAACCCCGCAACACAGTACGCTCAAGCCTCAGGGTGCGATGGTACGTGAAAAAACACCATCTCATCAAGAGAACATGAAAGGATCGCTCGAAGCACAGCAACTGCAGCTAGCCAACTTCAGGTTCTCTTGGCTCGTGATCACACACGACCTCATCTCACGGAGGACATGTGTTATCCCCACTTGACTAGAATGACGAGAGAGCCGGCCAGCCAAGCGAGGATGCAACTGGCCGTTGCAGAAAAAGCAAAGAGGAACCCCAGAGTATGCCAAGAACCAAGGGCCCAAGTTTTCCTTTCCAGGTCAGTCGTTGCAGTCGGTGAGGTATTGAAGCGCGACGAGAGAGGTCACTTACCGCGCCTTGAAGTTATTGCCGATCGTAGTGAACACTGAATGTCCCCATGGAAGGGGTACCATGGGCGAGCCTTGGTTTCGATGAGTGCCATAACAACTATACGGCGGCCGTTTCTCGTCCTCAGCACCAACGGGACGAGTTCAACTTCTTCGTAACCAAATACTTGCGAACAGGGTGGCAGCCTTTAGTTAGTGCTGCCCTCTGTATCGGTACACAGCCTTTCGCATCGCTGTTGTACCCATTCTTTCACAGCCCCATTTATAGGCTGTTATATTCTGTGTAGTTGCTCTCTCTGCGGTACCACGGTTCGAGCTGCTTCAGCACAAAGAACTCCGATATTCTGATTCGAAGGGCTGTGCGGAAAAAAACGCCCACGGACTCGAGTCGGCAGTCGATGAGAAAGCAGACAACGACGAATCATCAGACTCGGTCGGGGAGAATCCAGAATAGTCGGAGGAGCTCGACATCGAGTGCGGTGGGTGATAAAAGGACATCGTGAAAAAGGAGAGACCTGGGGAACGATGTTAAGGTAAAAGGCAGGTAGGCAAGCAGTAGGTAAAGAAGTAGGAAGGTAGGAAGGAGGGTGACAGTAGAAGGAAGGAGTGTGGTGGGCAATGACGGCAGTAGTGAGTATGTATAAAGCTTAATCCGAAATAGGAAAAGTGATCGAGGAGCGGGATAGGGCACTTCACAGAAAACCATTAGCAGATGCTGAATCTCCGAGGACCGGGAAAATGTGCTCGGATAATGTTGTAATATGTGCATTAAAAGGATTATATTGTAGACGCAACATCTGGATTCGCAGTGAGCCTGTGGTCAAGAGCAAAATCGAAGTCAAACTGTACCGTTCTCCAAGAGCTCAGTCTAATCCGCTAGGTCTGCTTTCTTGGTCGAAGTCCTTGGCGAGTGCTCTTATCAAGTCGAAAAGCTGAATCCGGCAGATCCATGTGAAGGGGTTTTCGACAAAGGAAGATGGCAGAGAGGTATACCACCTTCATCACATTCACCCAGTCACGAGGACCCGTAATAACAGTGCTAATCCTCCATGCATGACGATAGCCGAGAATGATTAAGGTCAAGGCTGACATTCTTTAGGCCAAGGTCTTCCTTACGGATGGCATATCCAATGACTCAATGAGGACCCTGGCAGGCGTGTTATGGTTGTTTTTCAAAATCTTCTCCTTGCAAGGTTTGAAGTCGGAATCCTGCCTGACAATGACATGAATGTCCAGCCCGATAGAAAAGGCATTTGACGTACAGAACGCTGGATTACCGCTCTGCTTAGTGACATCGCCATGTTCTCATATCTAAATAATAAATTCCTAGCAAGGTCTGCGGATCAAATCCGAAGCACGATCCCGACTCCCGCGGCTTTGCCGGTGGCTACCCGCTCCATATGGCGGGTCCACACGCGGGGGATTACCGAGAGAAGGACAATAAATAGTTGCAACGTTCACGATCCTCATTGAAACGAGGAGGTCCAATTGTGAATCTCACCAGAAGAAACCCTTTGTCGCTCCAGGTAGCTAAACTCTCGTGCCGAGCAGCTGTATACTCGAAAGCAAAGCTCATTGACTCACAATCCGACTGACATCAAACCACAGCCCCCAAGCTCCACACAAACATAGCAATTGTCGACGGAACCAACTGAACATATCCCGCATACAAGCCTTGCATATAATCCACCATGCGTCTCCCATACATAGCAGACCCCCGCCGACCAGCACACCGGACGAAGCCCGAATCCTCGCCAGTGTCCAAGCACGCCGAGCCCCGAACCCACTTCTCCCCCTCGACCTTACTCTCCTCCACTCATATCCCGTAACCGAAGGATGGAACTCATTTATCGGTGCAATTCGCACGAGAACGACCCTCTCGACCGTTGTTCGCGAATTAGCAATCTGCCGCGTTGCGGTTGTCAATGGCGCCCTGTTCGAGTGGGAACAGCATGCACCTCTGCTGCAAGCGGGTGGGTTAAGCCAGGAGGCATTGAAGTTTGTTGGGGATGCTCAGGCGGACTTCTCTGGGGAGAATGCGTGTTCAGTCTTGAGTGCTGAGCAGCGGGCTGTGCTGAAGTATACCGATGCGATGACCAAGACTGTCACGGTGCCTGACGACGTCTTTGCGGAGTTGAAGGGCTTCTTTGATGAGCGGGAGGTTGTGGAAATTACCGCCACTGTTGCTGCTTATAATTGTGTTAGTCGGTTTTTGGTGGCTTTGGATGTTGGGGAGAAGAATCACTGAGCTGAGTCTGCAGGTATAGTTGCAATTTGAGTTCAAGGAAGTGCATACTCGCCTTATAGCCACGTCTGCTGCAAGACTACCAAGTACATACTTCCATAGTACTAAGAGTTGGTTCATCGATATCGAGGTCCTGCATGAAGGGCTATTCCTTCCTGTTTTTTGACCGTGATGACGACCTGTATCACTCCGCATTACCATCATGGCATATTTGTCCAGAACCTCACTTATGATGAGATGATCATGCGCAGGCTCTTATACTCAGTGTTCAACACTCATAATGATAGACTTCATTTCAACAGCTACCGAACTGCACCTGCTCAACTCAGTCATTTCACCATCAACCCATTCAACCCCTCATCCAGCAGGAGATCTTTTTAAATTGACCGAATAATGCCATCTTTCCATAACGCTTGTATGCTTCGATAATACCACTCGGATCCTACAACATAGGGATGTATGGCGCTTGGCAAGCGCCTGCATCATGCACGTCAAATACAATTGGCGCCCATATGACGCACATCATTGGACAATGGCCAATTAACATTTGTCAAGTTCAGATCTCGTTACCGTTGAGTGCTGCTATTGTGCGCCACTGCTTCCATTGGATCTTTGTCCATATCTTTCACCCGAATACGTTTGTTCGAGGTATGCAATAATGACTAACAATAATACATATCGTTTGATCAGCTAGTATCTCTTTTAAATTCATGGCTGGATCTGATATTGTGCTTATTTTCCTCAGTACTTTCAAATCAGGGAGTAGACAGGTAGCTGTATGGAAGATTTCTTGCTTTGAGGCTGGCCTTGCCCAAACCCTTTGGAGGTTGCAGCGGTTAGTGAGGTTACCAAGTGCAACAATCTACATATAGGTGTATGCAACTCCTAAATCATCAGATAATTATGCTTATTGGATATTCCTCTATGCAAACCTGATAATAATGCTGCTCGTTGTAACAAATTGCTGTCTTTTGCAATGTCCTTCATGGATATAGATCATCTCTATATGACTCCACACGTCCATACTCGGCAATCCACGGGGCTAAGGAACCTTGTTGGAACTAAGAAAAAAAGAGTGGGGGAGAAAACCTCAGGCTCTAAGGCATCAACCCCCCAGCCAGTTGGAAATATCGGATTCACTATTTCTGATCTGATACTCACAGCCTGAGTTCTTTTCAGATATGCTTAGGTTCTGGAACCACATGCCTGGGGACTCCACGTTAGTCTCTTATCGCTTACATGCCTACTCCGTATTGATAAGACATATCAGGCACCCGAAATACATTTCGTTGCTCAACTATCGTCAGTCGATGCCCACAGCAAATGAATGAAAATTGCACTTATTACAGGTCTGGCATCTCCATCAATTTTCTGTTACTTGGCTGTCGTCTACTCGTGGGTAAGCCTTTGATGTGGCGATACTTGCGTTGCTTGATCGTGTCCGTTCGTTGCTTGATTGTTGCCTCTTACTAGGCTCTTTGTTAGTACGTTACTCGAGCGTCACTTCATTTCTGAAAGACATAGTGCAACCTTATGTTTAACATGGGAGTATTCTTTGACTTGAGAGTACCTGCGTATCATGTGACGTATGCAAGTGCATGAAAAAAACCAAGTCATTAGACAATCGACCGACAATAAACAATAATTGAAAGAATCAAGTATAAAAACAATAGGTAATTGGGAATAAATACAATGCAGATAATGCATAGAAAGAAAGAACAAATGACTGAATAGATCAGATCAATCGAATTCCCCCTTTCCTCGTCGTTCAATGTGGCTAGTAGATAGGCAGCTTCTGATTGGTGGGGACATGGACGGGGTTCCCACTGGCTATGAAAGTACAAACCCATCTCTCTCTCAACCTCAATTCTCTTCGCAACTTCATCATCGTTATCCTTTTCCTCTTCCCATTTTCTTTCTTCCTCTGTATTCATCTTCTTCTGTACTCTCATCTTCTTACTCATCTTTGCTTTTCTGTCTTCTTCTTCGTGCGCTGTCGCGTCGGCGAAGATCTTTTTTCTCTTCATACTACCCGGCGACGCAAGATCTGCGCGCTAAACAACTACGAGTTTCCAGTGCATTTTTTGCCTCGTCATTTTCTACATCTCTCCCCCGTGTACTTCATTCTCCTCCTCTCATCTCCCATTTCGTATTGCGTCCAAAAGTGGCCTGTCACGTTTTCTCAACCTCTCCAGCCGGATAACAAGTAAGTACACATCCCTGGCAGCCACTCACGCACACCCTGCACGCTTCTTTGCAGAACTCATCATTAACAGCCAGCAGTCATTGGCTGTATCTCGTGTCTACCATCCTAAAAAGTCCTACTCGAATCCTAACCATCTCATGGTAAGTGTCGCGTCTTTTTCCGCGTTTTTTCTTTCTTACTTCTATGTCATGGCTGTACTTCCTGTATCGTCATCCACATATTTTTGCCCGACCGCGTCTTTTATCACCTTCTGTTGTCTGCCTTTTCTGTTTTCCTCAGATTTACGATGTACTACGAGTTTTCATGACCGCGTTGGTCCATGTCTTCTCGGCCCTGCGCTTGAGAACCACGGATTGCGCTGCGGATTTACTGGCGTCTTGGCACCCGCAAGCGAGCCGCGCTGACAATCTATACAGATCCTTTCTCGACATTTTTCAGCTTCCATCTAATCTCTGTCGTCTCTTTCTTGCGTTTCATCTGACTCATACCCCTTATTGCTCTTGTTATTTTCTCTTATTCATCCGCGCCAAAATGGCTCCTATCCCAGGAGCCGATCTGGATGGAGACCATCCTTCTTCGGATGTTGGTGACAGTCAGGACTCTCCGCTGCGCCGTCAGTTCTCTGAACCCCTTCGTCCCCTTTCTACTTCCACCCAGATATCTCAATCTCCTGATCCCATGCCTCGCCGAATTAAGTGTGACTGGTGTGGAAAGCTTTTACAGCTCCCAGCCAACGAAAACATCTCTGAAGACGATGTCCTGGCTAAACACTCAAAAGAAGCCCACCCAAAGCCCATTAGCTTTGCTGGCTATGATGATGCTGATGACGGCGATGGTACCGAAGATGGTGCTGAAGACGGCGCTGATGACGGCGCTGAAGATGGTGTTGATGATACTTACGATGAGAATGGTGACCTCCAAGACGAAGACGCCATAGAATCGGTGGAGCCCACAACTGAAGCTGCCAATGGCGAGGCTCAAGTCGAAGAAAGCGGAGACATCCCAGTGGAAGTGACCCCAGATGATCCCAGTGGCACCAAGGCAACCGAAACACCAACCGATGATTCCAACACGCCCCCGAAGAAATTTGATCTATTGGAGTGGCTCTCCAATCCTCGCACTTCATATCCAGAGGACAATAACCGCCGCACCGCCGAATGGAGTGAACCAGACATCAAAAAGCGTCTTCCCCGCTTCTGGAACGTTCATGACACGCAAAATTTCTTCCCCGATTACGAAGAAGAGGCTACCAAGTGGGAAAGTGCTTTGGATACGGCCTTCCATAACCCGTCCAATCCGAGGCCCAAGAAGCGCGACGCTCCTGAAGACGTCCCTCATCCACGACCATACAAAATGACCAGAGTCGACAAAGGCGAATTCCTTCCGATTCAGACCGAAGAATTGGACAGCCTCGTCACCATGCTCCGCAATCCGGAAAGTTACACGTTTGAAGAGCTTCACGCTCTCACAGGGAGCGCGGCTTTTGCAATGAGGGCAATTCAAGAGGAATACCTGGCCCTTGACAGGCTCTATCTTTTGGCCCACAGACACAAGAGGGATCCAGCCTCTTTTGAAATGAAGAGAAATCAGATGGAGGGCAACCGGAAGAAGGGTGGACCCCCGCTGGCCAAGGTGGCACTGTTACACCTCGATTTCGAGGACCAGAAAGAAGCAATGCTGTATGGGTACAAACACGTCTTTTTCAAGCAGAATTCACCCACTACAGTTGCTCGCACGCTGCAGGATCCTTTTGTGCAAGGCGGCTTTGTGCCAACTGCCTCAACTGCCAAGAAGCTGGCTGCCAAGAGTTTGGAGACCGGCAACCGAAACCTGGATCGCTGGCCGTCCATGACGAGAGGTGGAGTTGAATACCACCCTCAGATGTACGAACCTCGACACGAGCCAGTCCCGCCGAAGAACACTCGGAAGCGCAAGGCCACAGAGGTCGATGCCTTGACGAAGACCACGGAGGCTGCCGAAAGTCAGGACGATGACGAGACAGAAGAAGACACTCGTCATGCCGCCAAGCGGCGCACTCGAGGACGCGGCGGCAAGGCCGCTGTCGCCGAGTCTGTTCCTCCAGAATCGAACTCTCGCCGTGGTGGTGGCGCTGGATCTGGCCGTGGCCGTGGCCGCGGACGGGGCCGTGGAACTGGTCGCCCTGGTTCCTCTCGGGCTACCTTTGAAGCCGCCCCGGCCCCCACTCAAACCTCGTCCCGCGGCCGAGGTCGACGTGGCGCCGCCACCCTGGCCTCCTCAGCAACCCCATCGGCAGAAACATCCGTCTTCCCGGCCGTCGCAGAGAAGACCGCGGCAAGCCCGGCCACCGACACCCAAGTGTCGGCCAAGAAGGAGCCTCTCTCAGCTGAGGCGGCCGAGGAGGCCAGAGCTCAGAAGATCGCCAATTCGAAGAACCCGAAGAGGACCAAGGCCATGCTTGATCACTGGGCGCGGTTTAATAGGGAAGGGCGCACCCGCATGCCAAAGCGATCCAAGGCCCAGATCGAGCAGGACCGCCTCCTTGGCGGCCTGGATGGCGCCTCCGACGATGCCACCAAGCCCAGCGGCCACGGCCGACGCAAGCGGTCCTCGTCGCTGGCCCCGCTTGCAGGAAACCTTGCCCCCAAGGGGGCTCCCAGCCTGCCCCCCATGGCAAGCGTACAGGCCCAGCCGCAGCAGCCTATGCCACCCACCCTCCCTCCTATGGGGGTTGTGCCTCACTACGGGCCAGGGCCAGTGAACCCTTATGCTGCAGCACCTGTTGCACCTATGGCGCAACTGGGGCAACCTATGCCTCCCCAGTACGCTCCATTCCCGTACGTCCCATACGGGATGAATCATCTTCCGGGTCACAACCCGGGAGGACCCCGCCATTGAGGGTAGGTCGGGGCGTTGAGGCAATCCTGGTTCTGTCTCTCTCTCATTCTCAGTTCAGATTTAATCTCATACATAACGGGTGAGAGAGAAGGGACTGGGCATTGCCTCAATGAACTGATCATTCGCTGTCTCCTGGCTCACCTTAGGGTGTGGCATTTTACATATCGAGGGGAAGTTGGGTGGCCACAGGGACGATCCTCACCCTGGTCATGTTATTGGTAACTGCTTGGTGCCCGGCTTTCTTTGTGACTGGGCTGGGCCCGCGGTCGATATACCGGGGTGCATGTGGTCGTGATTCCCTGGGGTTAGCTGGGAACAGCGAATGATCAGATAAATTGTCAATTAAATGCTGGTAGTGCCAGGGCACAAGCACATGTATGTATGATAGGCCTCAATGCAAATGTCCATGATCAAATTCTTTCATCTTGTCTAGCTGTAATTGGTAGTGGGTATGTATAGAATTCCGCTGAACGCGATGCATCTGAGGCAATTTCCGGGAATCTTTCTCAGGATCTTTTTCAGCAAGTATGTACATGAGGCAATTTTCTACTGTGTACTCTGTAGTTGTCGGTTGGACGTCCCTCGATGGCCAGCCTTGGCCGATGGAACTAATACGACTCGCGTTGTGTTCAGTGGCCATCACTGATTGATGGAATCAGCTGAATTGACTAAGTAAGTCGCAACGCCAACAATCCGAAAATGGAGCTCGGCGTGCGAAAATGAAGTTCAACTTGGATTCATCCCGTCATTCTTCCTCTTTCGAACTCAAACACGTGAGATCACGTGTGACGCATCCGGCCGTGGAGGGCCCTGGAGGCGACGCTTCTGAGCGCGACTCTCCTCTGGACCAACTCCCCCTCCTCCATCCCCCGCCACCGCTTCGGGTCGTTTCGAATCACTCTTGTTACGAATTGCTCTCTATTTTAAATATATCTCTGTTTCGATAATCATCACAATGGGCAAGAGAAGACGTGGTCCTTCTCTCGAGGAGCTCCTGGATCGTCCCTGGTGCTATTACTGCGAGCGCGACTTCGATGATTTGAAGATTCTCATCTCTCATCAGAAGGCTAAGCATTACAAATGTGACAACTGTGGTCGCAGACTGAATACCGCCGGAGGTGAGTCATATTTTATCTAGTCACACAAAAACCGCACTGACGACTTTCGCCTCAAGGTCTTTCCGTTCATTTGAGCCAGGTCCATAAGGAGCAATTGACCCAGGTCGCCAATGCGCTGCCAAATCGTATGGGCCCTGACGTTGAGATCTTTGGCATGGAGGGCATTCCCCAAGACGTCCTTGTTGCTCACCAGCAGCGTGTCGCTTCACAGTTCCAACAAGCCGAGCTGGATCGCCAGCATGCGACAGGGAATCCTCCTGCCGGCGCTCCGGCTGCCGGTGCCCCCGCGGCGAGGAGACCCAAACTCGATATGGACGAGATGAAGAAGCGTTTGGCCGAGCATAAGGCAAAGCGTGCAGAGGCGCTTGCCGGAGGTAGCAGCGGTGACGTGACCCCCAATGCTTCCGTTCAGTCCAGCACCACACCCAGTGGATACGTAAGTTGGTCCCTGTTCCTTATCTTATTATGTTCAAAACTAATGTTTATTGCTAGGCGCAATCGTCTCAGGTCGCAGCTGCGCCTGCTCAGCAGTATTCTTATCCTCCGCCTTACGGTGGGCCCCCCGCCGCTGTGGCATCTCCTTACCCGCAGACCGGTAGTCCTGTCTATGCAACTTACTCACCAGCTGCCGGTGCTTCGCCTTACACTCCGTCAATGTACCCCCAGCCGTACCCCGCCGCGCTTCCGCAGTCCTTCCCGCCCGGATTTCCCGCGCCGCCCCTGGCCACGTACGGAGCTCCTGCTTTCACTCCCCAGCAAGCGCCACCTTCAGATATCAGACACTCGGGCCTACCGGCTGCCTCGAGCCTTCCCCAGCGTCCTGCTTTTGCTGCTCCCCCAGTCAACGCTGCCCAGATGCAGCAGATGCATATGGGACACCTGCCTCAGGCGCCCGTAGCTTCGAGTCCTTCTAACGGAGATAGCGCCCAAGCAACCGAACAAGTCTCCACGCCTGTCGACCGTCAGACCTCAGATGCACCCAAGGGCGCCGACGGGAAGACAGTGAATGGTACCAAGCCCAAGAAGGAAACACGACTTGTTTACAACGAAGAAACACTTAGCCCGGAGGAGAAGAAGGCTCAGCTTCCGAAGTACGCATTCGTCCCTGACAAGAGCATTCCAACTGCCCTTGGCGAGCTTCCCGGCAACGCAGTCGTGGGCACCATCCGGGATTCCGACACGGTGATTGATCCGGTCCGCTAAGTTCCACATTCGATTTATTTTTTTTTTGGCCGTGCTGCATTTAGCAAGAGACGGAGTTACGGATTTCAGCTAAGTTCGATACCTGAAAAATTTTAGTTCTATATGAGCATTTACCTGGCCGGATCTGTGTGGTCAGTGGCCTTGGATTTTCTAGCCCTGGCGATTCACTTCCCCGTCCCACCATGGTCTCTCCCGACGATCAAGGAAACGTCGGTGTGTATGTATGGGCTCGATATCACGGAATGAGAAAGCTATGAAACATGATATCGAACACTAAACACGAGCGAATTGAGAGGCTCTTGTGAGTCTGAGCCTGCGTTTAGTACGTGCCCTTGCCCTTTGATGCTCTTTCCTGACCCCCTGGAGGTTTAACCTTAGCCTGGAAGATCTGGTCTGGTGTGAGTGCACACCAGACAATCATGCCATCTACTCCCGATGTAAGTTCTAGCATTGTCTAATGTAGGAGATCATTCCGGGCATTGAGCCTGTCCATAGGACTGTCGTCATATCCAATACATGCCCGGGTGTCTTCATGCTATTCTCCATCGTAGTATCCCCATACATGTTCCTACACATTATCCACTCCATGTATACGTAGACATACCCAGAATAAAAGCAAGCAACATCCACACGGTACACTTCAATTCAGCATATCACTGCAGCAACTTCTACCAACACGAAGCCACCCTCATATCAAAACAATCCCCCCTCTTACAAAGTATTCCCCCTAAACGCAGTCCCAAAAACATAAAGCCCATAAGTAGCAAGGATAGACAATCCCACGGGCACAGGCTTTCCCCCGGTCTTGATAACACGCGGAATCGAGCTCCCGCCCAACACAGCCGAAGCCAACAAACCAAGTTCTACTCCGTAGGGCTGGCCGGCGCGCAGACGCAGGAAGGAAAGTAAATAGATCAGTCCGACGGAGATTCCGGCTGTGATTGAGGGGATTGAGCCCGTGCGGCTGTAGCCGATTATTCCGCCGAGGCTGGTTAGGAGGGAGAGGGAGAGGGCGGATGTTGTTGGGGTCTTTTGGGACTTGTTAGTAGGTTTGTGTGGATAGGTGGGAGGGGGGTGGACTTTACCATTTTGGATTGGGTTTGGTATTTGATTTGAGGTGGTCTGGTTGTTGGTGTGTGAGGATGCCGGATGGTGATGAGTTGGAGCTTCCGAGGTTGGCTACTGTAGGTGGAGTGGGTGGGGCGGTCGGCTTCCTGGGGTACCTACGGTTGTTACTTGTTGGTCACCGCCCCGGTAGACCTGCCTGCGCAGAAGTAGTCAGACTAGTATCCCCGGGGTCCGGGGTAAAGGCCACCGACCAACCCCAAACCCAAGCCTACTCGCAGACTTCGGCAGCAGCTGAGCAGAACTAGAGTCTAGAAGACGGTTAATGTCTACGGTCCTGGACGGACCACCTGACATAATTTATCTCCCGTCTATATACCCTGGGCCTGAAGTGTGTATTCACGATATCCAAGGTAGCAGTAAATAGTAATACAGGGCAATGTCAATGGAAGTAGGAGGGTTTTGGGCATGGGAACACGGAAGGCTGATGAAAGTGACATGATCGTGGATGATACGAAAGATCCATTGTTTTACTTAGTGACAAGACTGAAGATCGGGATATACAGTTAGTAAAAGTCGGAATTGCGTGATCTAAAGCCAATACACTGTAGAGTAAATAGTACTAGATGGGTAAATTCTATGATTTATTCAGCTACCTGAAGTTTGTTATGTAGGCACAGATCTCCTGAGAGTAGAGGCACCGAAAGAAAGGGAGGTGGAGGAGGGAAAGAAGGCATCCGTATGAAGAACCTGAGAATGTGACTCGATGAAGGTCACTTTCATTACTGGTTTGACCGTGATGGGTTGATAGGTAGACAGCGGTGGGCCAGGCGCTTCGTGAGACCATATCTGGTGGCTTGTTGTGTGAAGAAGTAAATTTGAGATTTGAGGATATGGTCCATCACTGAGAGTTGCAGCGTGGTGGGTAACTGTAGGTGGCTGCCATGATGCACGGAGACACGGCGGATGGTAGAGAGCCCACGGGGCATTTTATCGAGATGATGATCAACACGCGGGTAACCATCGAGCGATGGTGTTTCTGGATGGCGTTGAGCAAGCCCGCAAAGGCGAAGATGAAAAGGTCAATGGTCGATAGTGATAAATGGGTTGCATGGTCAATGGTGGTTGGTGGTCAAGATAAGCAGAGATGCAAGAATTAAGGAGCCACAGAGTCATCGCTGGTCGTGGTAGACAACAGGTAGTCATGAATTCATGATACTAGGAGGCCCATGGGTGCGGATGATCGATGTTTTGACCGGTTATCGGAATGTAGAGATTCTTTGGTGGCAGCACAACCAATATTAACTAGGTGGCTGCTAGAATGCAGAGGGCTCTCAGGAGGAAGATGATGCTTCTCGGTGGTTTGTCGCGGGTAGTCAGGAACTCAGGATGGTAAGATTGAACCTTCTTGTTTAACGGTGCGGATTTCTCGTAGTCGATGCGGATGCCAGAGGGCTTGTTGGTCAATGACGTTGGCAGTGAGTGGTCAGGAAGGCCAAGTCGAAAAGATTCGTAGGTACGTGGATAAGATGTGGTAGGACGGTCAGTGGTGGACGGTGATGGTATGTAAGGATATAGGTATTGAGTAGGCGGTTGATGAACAGAGTGGATGATTGAAGGCCGGTGTGGACAGGCTGGTTGGTTGTGGTGGTGAGTTGTAGATGACATGACGATCATGAAGGTCATGGACGAATACGTCGATTGCAGTATCAAGCTGCTGGTGCATAAAGGTAGATAGATGGGTGGTTTCAGTAGTGGACGATCAAAGATAATATCCTGAGGCCGGAATGGCCAGTTTGGTGGATAGTGATTAATGGCTGTTGGTTGAAGACAAAGAAGGATGGCGAGATGACTATGATAGGAGGCATGGCAGACAGCATGTTGAGAGAGTCGATATGATGGTGGGTGTAAGAGCCAATATAGGAAGCCTTGATTGATGGATAGGCGGATTGCGTTTAGTAGCAGATGGCCCAGAGAGAAGATATTGATGTGAGGGCGAAATTGAAGGGCCCGTAGAGTAAGATGGCAAGATGGTTTGCGCGGAGGCGTAGCAGACAGTAAGTTGTTGTTGATTATCTGTGAGAAGAGGGATACAGTTGATGGTTTCTGGAAGGCTAAGGAGGTCTGAAGACCTTGTGGAGGATTATCTCGATGGAGAGTGGAACCGACAGTGGAAATGGTTGATGGCTGGCGGTTGAAAGCAAGGCGAAATTGGGAAGGCCTCGGTAGGAGCCGACGCCGTGGATTGAGTGGAGCTGGTTACCCTATCCAGTCTCCCGATTGTCCTGAAGCCGAAGCCCGCCACGGTGAGACTGAACATAGGTGTGTCGAGGTGGATGCGGTTGCGGTACCTATATCAGTCTCCCGATTGTCCTGAAGCCGAAGCCCGCCACGGTGAGACTGAATTTAGGTTAATAGGGGTGGCCAAGGTTGCGGTTGCTATAGCCAGTCTCCCGATTGTCCTGAAGCCGTGAGGCCCGCCACGGTAAGACTGGACATAGTTGAGTGGAAGTGGTTGAATGGAGGTGGATAAGATGACGTTGACGTGTGGGAAACGAAGTGGATGAAGCTGAGTCGATGGAGGAGGGTAGCAAGCCATGGAAGAGTCAAAGCAACTTAAAGGCTTGAGAAAGGTCGAGGCAGCATGACATGGAGTTGAGGGAGGATAAGATAGAAGTAGAAGGTGGAGAGACATGAGTTGTGGACAGCGTGACATGGAAATGAGGGAGGATAGAAATACTAGTAGTCAAGGTAGAGAGACACGAGTGATTACAACAAACTTTCCATCATGTGTCACATGCCATGACACTCAGAGGTGGAAGCTCCCTAAGGTAGGTGGCCTGAGGTTGGATAGTGCCTGAGATGGTGTGGTACCTGAGGAAGAATGGCAATGATACCTAGAAGAAAGGAAGAGATGTGTAGAAGGAAAAAAAAAAGAGAAGAAGATGAGGAGGGGGTATTTATACCCTTCCTCTGGCTGAACTGAACGAGGAAGGAACGTGGGGTGGTGCCTCCCTTATTTAGAAACCTAGCAGTTCTTTTTGGATCAGAAGGAGCGTGGATGATGTGTACATGGAAGGGACAAATGTGGCATTGAGCTCATGGCTTGTTCATATTCTTCTCCCTGTGCATTCTATGCATCTCTGTGCATCTCCAATGTTACTACTTACTACTACCCCAAGGGTAAATTCATGCTGTATATCCAATGCTCCATAATAATATCTTTTTCACAAGCCATTTACAGCAGCAGCTTAGTCGCAGCACCAATCCGTTCCTGAATGATGAGGCTCCATTTCTAAAAACACTCATGTTAGCTGCTGTAGCAGTGATAAACCAGGGACTAAGTCTAGAACATACCTCTGCATTCTCAATATCATTGGCCTCAAGACTCTCGACTAGACCAGGGAAGGTAGCTCCCGCATACCCAGTCCAAAGACCAGGAGCAAAGACAACGTGTTTGAACCAGTTACGGCCATCCAGACCAGGCTGGTACAAGAACTCACGGTCAATGCGTTTGTATTTGGCATTGGTGGCCCGAATCTGCAACCACAGCTTCACCTTCTTCCACCAGTGGTACCAAGGCACGTGGTCACCAAGCTTGGAAGACAGTTCCGCGGCCGAGGCATCAAATGCCTTGGCGGATTCTTGGAACTCGAGGATTGCCGTTTCAAGAGGCGCGAAGTCAAAGTGTGTCTTCTCTGGGAGATTGTCCGCTGCAGGCTTGATGCTGTCTAGGTAGGATCCTAGTCCGAGGGCGTAATCGGTGGCGTTGAGAGAAAGAATAGGAGACTCGACCAGTTGCGCGGCTGCTAGAGCCCAGAGTTTGGTGCAAGCTTCGTGGTAGAGGAAGCCCTTGTCGCCGTATTTCTCCATCCATGCGAAGCTGTCGTAGTTGGAGTGGTAGTGGTATACGGGATCATTCTTATCACGACCAAATCCGAAGTCGAGACTGGAGACACCGGCGAAATCTTGGAAGGCAGTGAAGTCACTGCCGCTGCCCATTGTCGCGATCTTGCCGTTCCAGACATCGCGGACTGTCTGGCCACGCACAGTCTGATTGGGGGACTGCACTAGGCCGGTGATGTCGTAGATAAGCTTGTTGAACATCGGACTAGCCCGGGGCTCGAAGTGGGTTCCCGCGGCGGCCACATCGACATTCAGATAGGCGACGTTAGCCTTGGTAAGCCATGGGAGGTACTCCTCCACCCATTCGGTTGATCCAAGGAGACCGTACTCTTCGCCGTCCCAGCTAGCAAAGACAATCGTGCGTAATGGCTTCCATCCTGCCTTAAGAGCCTCGCCGAAGCTGCGGACCACTTCATTCAGGGCGGCGGATCCACTGTTGGGGTCTCCGGCGCCTCCCGCAACCCAGGCGTCGCGGTGGTTACCGAGGATGACAACCTCATCGGGGATGTGGCCCTTGATGGTGCCAATCACGTTCCATAATGGGGTTGTCACATACTCCTGGTGATTGTGGAGGTTGATCACCACATCCTCGGGAGACGGTCCGATATTGTACTCCACACCCTTGTAGCCGAGACCGCCACCTTGCCAGTACTCGTTAAAGTCTGAAGCCTTCGGGCCGTGGCCGTTGAGCGCCTTCAAGAATGGCAAGACCTCCTTGTACGAGACCGGAAGCGACGGAATTGAAGGGATAGACAAGTTTGGATCATGACGTTCACATCCAGGCTTAGATGGGTAACCCGGGGTTGTAGGGTCGCCAGGAAGGATACCTAATTCGAATTAGTTTTGTGCCATACCGTTGCTTTTGGAATAGATTCATACTGAGGAATTGCGTGCTACCTCTCTGGATAGCACTAGGATTCCGTGCCGGTCCATTAGGATAGGCTTCATAGCCATTTTCCTCAGTAATCGCTCCGTCTTCCTGCGGGTCACTGTAGATGAGAACACCAACCATTCCCAGCTCTTGCGCACGCTTCACTTTCAATCCACGGAAGATACCACCGTACTTAACAATGGCGATCTTACCCTCCAAGGTGATATTGGCATTGACAAGATCCTCAAAGTCCCTGTACGTGCCGAAGTTGGCATACACAAACTGCGCAGTGACATTTCCAGTAGCCGAATAGCCATGGAAAACCGGAACACGATCAGGCAGACTGGAAGTAGGATCCTCTTCGAGAACATCCTCCTCAAGAGTAGCCTCGAACGTCACCTCGGTCTTATCCTCCGACGTCTTCAGCAACGCCAGACGATGATCAAGCGGGTAGTTGATATAAATGTCATACGCCGCAAGACCGGTATCCTCGACGCCGAATTCCTTCCACTTGTTCATGGTCCAAAGCGCCTGGGACAGGTTCTTGCCGGCCAAGTGGGGTCCCGCAGTATAGTACTGGCTCCACTCGCGGGCCTTATCTGCGGAAGGCACATTGAGGAGGATCTGCTGGAGCTGGTCGTAGGGCAGACCGTGGCTCTCCGGCCATGCTCCATGAGGAATTGGATTGGCTCCCGGAAGATACGACCAAATTGAGCCGTGCTCGCTGGGAAAAATGGAGGTCGGAAGTAGGAAAACAATGGTCGCCACTGACAGCACAGCTACGAGGGAGATAGTGCACGCTCGACGAAGAGCTTGGTGCCGGTATCTGTACCGCCGGGGAATGGCATCACCCCCCAGCAGAGGTGTCGACTCTGAATATGGCATGTTTTTCTCCCTCATCTTGGGTAATTGAAGAAAGTCAAGAATCAAGTCGGGTTTCTCTCCGCATTGTATCATTGCTTATCGGATGACAAAGCTTCCCCTCACGGAACAACCCGACGGAGTTGCCTTTTTAGGCTGAATGTTGATCTTTAACTTATCTATGAGTCGACTCGTTCTTACTTGACGTCGGACAATCACAAAGGCCGATCATTCCCCGCTCTACTAGAACTGACAGAAAGAACAGAAGTAAATGGTATCTCTGTTAACAATAGACAAGAAAATGGGAGGTATCATGGCTATGAATACACTCGCTGATGATGATAGAACTGCTGCGAATGGGGATAAGAATATGAGAAAACGCACGCAAAGTCAGATAAAGAAGGGAAAAATGCTCCTCCATGGTATAAAATGCAAGAAATACCCCAATCATACATCGACCGCTAATTCAACTAGTTGAGACTAGTCCGTTCTTCTTCTGGCACCGGCACAACATTGTGGTCTGGGTTGATCCTGTTACCGATGTCCATGCTCTCCCGCATGATTTGACGAGCATCTTCGTCATTGACCTTCATATCATCCTTGACCATAAGCACGGCCAGCTCGGGGGCAAGGACAGACTGTGTATAGCCAGCCACGCCAACTGCCTGGATCACGTTGTCCGTTAGAGCCAGACGACGCACCGACAATGAGAACCGAGGCATGAGTACCTCGACCCTAAGATACAGTTAGCGTTGATCAGTAAGACAAGAGGTAGAGACTGTACATTTTGGTTGCGCCCCGAGCTCCATAGTAACCGCAACTCATCATCTCAAGCCCCTTGTCATCTTGCGCTGTCAACCGCAGGTTCTTCGATTGCCCAGACCCCAGGGCAGTTTCAAGGATATTTCGGTAGAAAGAGGAAACACCAGGCCTGAGGAACTTTTCGAGTTTCGGGAAATAGCTTTGAACGCGCGTCTCGAAGTTATCCCAGTCGATCTCAGGATATCCGCGCTGTTCCCATGATTTCACCGCGCTTCGGCGGTTGTGAGACTCACAGAACTTCACCTGTTCACGAATACGCTGTTTCGGTTGGGACTTGAATTCTTCCAGTAATTCCCAGTCTACTTCCTCGTGGCACATTGGACACAAGGACTTGGGAGGTGGCGATGGTGGGCGGTTCTTTTTTGCAGCCTTTTCGATATCTGACATTTCACCAGAAACGGAGGAACTTAGGGATGAGAGCGGCGAATCACCGTCAAGTAATAGCGCGTCAAAGTCCTCTTTCGAGTATTGACCGTGCGAGAAACTAGAGTTGGACTCTTCCCCGCCACGGCTTGCCCTGAAACTCGGAGAATCAATGTTTCTCGGCACGATGAATGTCTCTTCCGGTTCCTCGGGCGCTTCACTGAGCGGCGACGAGAGCGGCGACGAGAGTGGCGACGACACCTTCTCCTGTCGATTTGGCAGCTTTTTGTTCTTGAAGGTTTCGGCCTTCTTCGATGCATACTGCTGCCCTGCCCTTCGCCGCTTGGGCTGCGAGCATCCAGAGAATATGAAATCATCCTCATCGTCTGAGCCCGTCATCGTGCTATGCTTGCGTATAAAACTGCCTCTGCGAGTGCGCCCATTGCGTGAACTGCCTTGTGGCGCATTGTCTGCTTTCGCAAGTTTCTCCTCCAGAGTAGTTGTAACCATAGATTTCGTCGCTTTGCGACCCGCCAAAAGCTCGTCATCGCTAGGTTGCTCTTCGTCGGAGCTTAGAGGCTCCGCATCAGTAGCAACGTCAAACGCCGCCTCCAGACTAGGCTGGGGAATGTCCTTTTTCTTTTCTCCGAGTTCCTCTTCGTCAGAGCTCAAAGGCTCGTCGTCCGTCCCAGGGTCCGGTCTTGTCTCGGCAACCGGCTGCGCAGCATTTGATTTCGGTTGCTTGGCTGCATCTGTCGTGTTGCGATTGTTGAATGTCGATAAAAGATGCCCCCTCGGACCATTGCGTCTCGTCATACGATTGGACGCATCGCTTGGATCGCGTTTGGGCACAGCCGCCATGATTGGTAGCTTAAGTGGTTGCCGATTATTGGTGTTCTATTGGCTGAGCCAATGGCGAATATAGAAAATTGGAGTGCGAAAATACCTAGCTCGACAGTCTCGAATTCATGAGCGCGTTCGCGTTGAAGCGCGGGAGGGGTTTTGAGGGATTTCGATTTTGAGGCGTTGGTTACTCTGCCGTAATTCGGGTCCGAGACGCGTTCGTGTCCGAATCGTGCACGAAAATGTCTTAGGTCTGAGCTGAAGTGAGAAAATGAAACTAATATACGTGTGGCGTTCTATTTTGGTAAGACAAAGAACAAAGAACAAAGAACCCTCCACGAGTCAACCCTAGGGTCTTGAGATGCTGGTTACATGAAGAACATGAAACATACCCGGCGCCGCGAAACGCGTAACGCGACTGCTGCCCCAGGCGCCAATTTGATGCCAAGCTCATAAGCAGTAGATTTTTCCAAGCACTCATAATGTTGATAATTGATTTGATTGCCCTGTGCCTTCGTGTATTGCTTCATGGTCCACAGTTACACACTCATGAACGTTTACGTGCTAATGTTGTGCAGTTCTTTCATCTCAAAAGTTATTTTCGAGCCTCTAGTATGAAAAGTAGGTAGACAAAGAACCTTTCAGCCAATCTGCCTGCAAGAATCTCGAGAACGTATCTTGGTATTGTCGAAGCTAGAGATGCCTAGATAGATAGGCAGATGGGAATGTACACAATCAGGTCATCACAAAGTCAAACGCGCCAGTGTAAACATGCACACCTCATTAGGACTCAGAAGCTGAGTCGACAGAACAACGGTATATAGAAAAGAAAGGTAGAAAGGAAGAGGAACAGGGAAGCCGCAGCGGAGGCTATTCAAATGTCATTGAAATCTCGCCATCGTGGTGTCCATGATCAGTGTCCGCCCAGGCATTGGTCTCCAAGGCCATGGCCCCGAAGGCGCTGGTGCCAACCACCGGCATCGTGGAGGCGGTTTTCAACTCAGGTCGAGAGGGATGATCGTCATTTGTTCGTGAGGATTCATGGAAGGATGTATCAAAGGTCATTTCCACGTCTTCGTGCTTCGGCGCAGTAGAGTAATCATTAAACCCGGGGGGAGAATATCGTCCCGATGATTGCGGGGGTAACGAAGAAGTCCGGGAAACCGGTGGAGGCTCAGGTGTCTTCGGCCTACTGACAACAGGAGGGGAAGGCTGGGAAGTTGGTGGCTCCGAGGGAGCGTTCAGGTCTAGCTTCATAAGCGGCATGGTTGACTCCAGTTCTTTGACTTCAATTGCCTCGGAGTGTAGCTCTGCTCGAATAGCCTCGATGTCAAAGAGGACGGTGCCAGGAGTGCTTTCGGTGTCGCTGGAATCGCGAGGGGTGGTGTTTCGATCGACATCATATGTCTCCCATTTCTTCTTTTCGGCCATTTTGCCTCTCTTGAACAGGCCAAAGCGCTTCTTCTCTGGCTTTGCCTCTGCCTGCCGGCGAGCTTCGTCGATCTCGCGAATCAGCTCTCGCTGTCGTTCGGCATGGTTGTCTGGGTCCGGATCCTCAATTTCTGCAAACTCATCCTCGAGGACCTCCCAGCCGACTTCCCTCAGAATTCGGGGCATGGCAGTACGGTAATCCATATGACCGTTCACAAGCTTCGTGATGTCGAAGTTCTCAATGCCGGGAATACCTTCGACAGCTGCAAGACCGGCGACTTTCATTATACCACCGCTCGTGGCACGGAAGAGGTAGCCCAAGATCCAGTCATTTGTGGCGTAACCATTCACAAACCGCCCAGAGACCACGCTGCGAGCCTTGAGATACTCATCTTTGTTTGCCACAATGGGCGATCCAAATAGATATACATTTTGAATGAGTCCGTGAGCACCCTGCTCTGCCAATTCTTTCAAACAAGAGAAAATAACACGCGCACCGAGCGAGAAGCCAAGCAATGTGACGGGTCTGTTGCCCAGATTCCGATCCTTCAAGGAATCGGCCATCACGAGGCCAGCTGAGTTGGCTCGCGCCAATGAAACGATCCAGGGATTATCAATCAAGTATGCGAGTTTGGTGAGGACAAGCGGTAGTTGCAACGATGCCATTAGTGCCATCAGAACAGTGCTGCCCAACACTTGTTGCAGACCTTGGGTCAACGCCTAGAAACAGTCAGTCATATGGAAAAGTGTAACGGATATGATAAACCCACCTCTGTTGCGAGGATATTGATGGTGTCACCCATGCTTCGAAGCATCTCAGGCTCCCAGAGCACGGAATAGATGTCACCCATGATCGGATCGACAGTACTGAAGGGCAGACGAACATCATCGACCTTGCCAGTCATCCAGCCGGAGACCGTTACGATCAAGTTGACCTTCTTGTTATTATGAAGAGGTCGGTACTCAAACGTCTGGACTGCGCCAGTTCGTCGCTGTGACGCCCTCATTCCAATAGTACTTCCACCCAGGGTAGCACTGGAGGCGATCAAGGCTGTGCCACCGGCGCCTCCGAGGAATGCACTGGTTCCAGTAATACCCACTGTGGTGAAGCCAGCCGCAAGGCCAGCTCCGATCACGGGTGCTAACAATCCGGCGGAAAGACCAATAACCAATCCGCCACCGACGGTCGCTAGACCCATGATCATATATCTTTTCTTCAGGGCCATCTTGCGCCGCTTTTCCATGTGGTCCGACTCATCCCACTGCTCTTTCTCTGCTTGTTCTTGCATTTCGAGGGAGTCTGTGACACGTTTCTCGAACCGTGAGATTTGCAACCATGTTACATCCAAGGCTGCGCCGACTTTCTCTAAAAGAGTTCGCGATCGCGCATCGTATGCGGAGTTTGCGATGAGGACAAGGAATAGGTCGCAAAGGACCGTCCAGCGTAGATCGATGTCTATGCGGTCAGAGGTCGGCATCTGGGAAGGTATCTTGACCTCGGGAGGCTCCTCTGTCTCGTGAGCCTCATATGGTGGAGGGGGGTCTGATTCCGATGAATTTGTTTCTGCGGAGAGTCTAAATGGAGAGTCCACTTTGGGACTGGATATAGACGTTTTCGGTTCACTCTCTGCCATGGGGTTTTTGACTCGCGCATTCTGCATGAGTGGTCGCACCAGATCTTCGGGTTGCACTCCATGCTCCGCAAGCTGCTCAATCATAATCTGCTCGGCAGAATTGATGTCCATATGCGCGTAGATTCGCGACATGATCGCTTGGCCCCATTTTCTCATAGCATCTGAGGCTTTCTGCATAGTCTTGCGCGTGGACTTGGTCGTAGCAATTGACGCCAAATCGTAATTCATATTATGAATCGCCAACCTGACGACGCCCACGTACGCAATCTTTTGCGTCTCATTGAGAAGGTCCTTGGTCGCTTGGAGCTGGCTAATGGTGTCTCGCAATTCCTCACCTACAAGACCAGCAGAGTTGTCGCCTGTGTCTCGAAACAGGTAACTTGTATCTTCGTCTAGACTCGTGGCAGACTGAGCGTCTTCGTCGAGCTGCACTCGTGTATATCCCTTCCCTGCGCCTCCTAGTCCTTGGTATACAGCCTCGTCGCCTTCTTCTTTAGCTCCCCGAGCAACGAGTCTTCCGTAGTCGTCATAGTAGTCGAACTCGCCAAGGGCAGGCATTGTTTTCCATTCGTCGGGCTCCTGGTCTGACTCTTCGCTTTCGGGATGGTGCGCATCGGGTTGCGCGAGGCGCTGATGCGACCATTCCGATATTTGGGCGGGTCTTGGCTTCGAGGTGGAAGACCGAGGCTGAGCGGGGGAAGTGGAGGTCTCAGAATATCCTGGGGGTGCAGGAGAAGCGTCCTGCGCCTCTGCATCCTTGCCCGCATCTTCTTCGGTGTTCAGGCCGCCTTTCTCAGGGGTTGGGACCACAGAGCTCGTCTTTTCTTGTGAGGACTCCGGCTCCGTGTTCTTTTTCACAGCATCACTATATCTCGTTGAGCTGGCAGCCACATTCTGAGTGTCTTTGTTGGTATTTGTATCTTCGGCGGGGGGCTCGCTGGAGGTGGGGTTGGGACTGCGTTTTCGAATGGGCAATCCGAAATCATCTACTTCATCTGCTGCAGGAGGGTCCTGTGTGGAATTAATTGTGGCCGGTGCCGTTGTTACTGGTTGGGGCGCTGAGCCCTCTGTCTCTTCCTCATTTTGGTTCGTGGGGGACTCGCGCTTGGTCGACGTGGGCTGGGAAGAATGGAGGGCGTTCGGCGGGGAAGGAATAGGACGGTCGGAGGTGTCAACAGTGACACCCGAGGCTGCGGTCATGATTTCATGGACTGGAGGCTCCAGGCGCCGAGACAGGTGGTGTATCGGATTCCAGTCGTCCCTTGCGTCCTCACGTTCCTTCGCGATAACGTCGGGAGCTCACCATCCGTTCTCACGGTTGTTGCGATAAGTCTTTGAGCTGTTATCGGGGGAATCTTGTATAATCAGGAGTTCCCACGTCCGATGGTGGTCTATGCTCATCGGACAAACTGGGGCAATCTCCGCAAATGATGATCGCCACAGGGCGAAAAAGGAGAGCTGGAGGGGTGGAAAATGCGGCGGTGGAGTCAATTGAGTGGCACCCGCAACGTTACAAAGGATCGGGATGAAGCAATAGATAGTTAATTAGATTGAGGACTATCGAAGAGGTCAAGAGAGGTCAAGTAGTGTGGGAACGAAGTTTGATGTGGAAACCGGAAGCGGAGATGCCATCCCGATGTTGCTAAATCAACGCAGTCTGAACGAAAACAGCTGTTTATTGTGTTAGACTATCTCCTGATACTTCGACATCTTCATGTCAACTACTACTGTAAGTACAGTATGTTTCACGTCTGGCAGATCAATGCTTTGTATCCACCTTGGATCGCTCCATCTCTCCAGGGCTGCCACTTCCAGGTCCTTGTCATCGGCACTGCCATGCCGAAGCCTGCAAAACAAACAGCTCGGATCGGAGACATCGGAGGTCTTGAAACAACTCGTGAGTCGTCTTTATTTCATTCACGTCTGATTCTCACTCCCTAGACGAGAGGGCTTTGCCACATGCTTCGCCCACCAAACCCGTTACCCAGGTAAACACCACCTGTCTGGGTCCTGAACAAACATAAGCCCTTGCACGAGGATACAGCCGCAACTCTCCATGTCCCTCTCGTGATATGGGCAAGGCGGTCTGCATAAATACCCAGAGCAAACCGCCTTTGACCAGGGTCATATGAACTGTGGCAAGGTTTTGAGGCAGTGCCTCGGGTACTTTTGCCCGGGTCACGGCCGGGTTTGCGTATAACATCAAGGCACTCGATGCGCTAGATCATTTTGAGCTGAAGATCAGACTCCGCCCGTCCTTGTAAGCCAACGAGAAACTGAGAATGTAAAGAAAAAGCAGCAAACATGACGCCATAAATCGCGGGGATGCAGAACGGTGGGCCTCCAACTCCTTCTCTGACGTGAGTCATTTGCTATGCACATTGGAAGCTTGCGGCTCTGGTCCTTGGCGTGACTTAGCGTAAAGGTAACGAGGTTATGCTTTAAAATCAGGTGGCGAACAAGACCTCGTTCTTTGACCACAGTCCTTCTCCATGATTCCAGACACTACGCAACACCATTCACCATGGCACAAGGTATGTCCACTGTTAGGTTGATCTGAAGCGGGGAGTTTTTACTGATGAGTTCGATTGGTTTCTGAAGGTTCCCAGGCTTCCATTGTGAAGATTGCCGGTGCGGGGTTCCGGCTCTCCTTGCTCCTTAATGCGGCTGCTTGTCAGCTTGCTCAGTCGAGACTGGAGATACACAGCATCGCTAAGGGAATTTCGCTTTTTGCTCTGATTCTCAAACGTGTCGGGCAGGTTATTGAAGGTACTGAGGTTAACCAATCCCCAGAGGCAACGGAGAAGGCATGGGAGATCGCCGAACAGGGCCAGATGATATTTATCGAGATCGAGCACATGCTGGACAAGCTAAAGGCAACCGACCGAAGCAGTGATCTTAAAACAATCCCACTGCAGGAAAGACTCAAGTGGTGCTTCCGGAAGCAGCATGTCACTTATCTGCTAGCCCACATCGAAGCTCTCAAGCTCAGCCTGATTGTCATGATACAAATATTACAGCTTGGAAGCCTTATCAAATCGCATGCGGATGATGGTATCAATGTTGATTCCCTTGCATCTGCTTGGGATGATTCTATTGCACAAGATAAAGCGGAATCCCAGAACATGATCATCGTTCGGTATTGGTCTGTGAAGCGCCTAGATCGTCTATGGGACCTCGTGGAGCAGGAAGCTAGAGATGCCGCCAACGATCCGACAAATCAAAGGATCAGTTCCAATTACTCTTCTAATACAGTCTCGCGGGCGTCGGTTGCGGCCAGGAACACAGCCCCGAGAAGGCTGCGTATCGTTTCATTTGGAGACAGCGATGTGGGCCTGAGTGACATAGAGAAGTCGCCGAAGGACATGGTGCAACTTTCTGAGAGTGCATTGAATCAGCTTCTGTCGATTTTAGTGCCTTCGATTGATCCTTCGAAGCTGCTGATACACCACGCTGGACAAAGCCCCAGTTCATCCAGCCAATTCAGCCAGCCTCGAGTCTATCTTTCTTCAGATACAGAAGAAGATGACCCCGAGGAGCTCGACTTTGACGGTCATGAAATCCGAGGCTACTATCTCGAGGGAAAGACATCGGATTGGAGAGAGCCACACTCCCAAGAAGCCCGTCAGCACGCAGCAGATCTCCGCCGACGATATTCCAGTTATCAAGCTCGCGTTGAAAGCGAACCAGAGCCCGACGAATACCGCAAGCACCGTGGCAATCACCGCAATGACTCCAAAGTCTTCGACTCAAGCGATGAGGACGAGCAAAGATCCGATACCCTCCGACCCTTAAGCAACAATCTCCCGCACGGCGGCCGTGTCCATTCCAACAGCCTCTCATCCAACTATCCTCCGACCTCCAATCCCGACAGCAGACCATACGCATATCCCAGCGGTAGCTACCCATTCCCGAATCAACCCCCTCCCCGTCCCACACCACCACCACACTCACAGTCGGCTGCATCTCATCCCCCGGTTGCTTCCCAACAACCCTACAAATACTACCCACCTCAAGACTATGCTGCAGCCCCCCGGTCCGCTCCAATGGCGATGAACAAACCTACCAACCCTGCAATCCCAATCCCCAATATTAATCCCTCGCCCAGAGGCCCGTCTCCAAACCAGGTTCATTTTGAAACCCCCTGGCCTCGGAACCAAGCACATAGCACAATCAACAACAACCTCCAACCTCGCTCCCATCCATCTGCATACCCGCTCTCTTCATCATCCCCCGAATCTAATCTCCGGATCCCGCCGCCTCGGTCCGGGCAACGATCACCGTCGTCGCATCGCCGCACCTCACGTGAAGATGCCAAGGAGCGTCATAAGACGATGACTCGTAATGCTACGAGAGGCTTGGTGGGAATTGGGGCTATTGCTGGGTTTATGGATGCATTGGAGGCTTTCTCAATTCTGTGATACTCTTTTCTTTTACTTGGTGTATTTTTGACCACCGGGCGCATGGGGCTTGCTTTCGCCGGTGTTGCATAGACTGGGTGCTTGGTCCTCGGTTGAGGGCTTGGTGTTTGATATCCTTGTTTTCTCTTATGCAACGAACTGATGAAAGCCACGATTTAGCTGTATTACTCACAATTTAACGGATTATGATCAGACCGAGTCTCCAGTGTGACGACATCACATTTTTCGGACCTTCATAGATCCCGTATGCTCCCTCGGAGTCCCCCGTAGGTTACAACAAAACACATGTTGAGCTCAACGGAAAAACCCCCAAATCCCAGAACCGCTCAACCTTGATAGAATCGACATACAGCAAATTACCCTCAATCCATCTCCTCCAATCCCAACTTCATTGTCCAGATCTGATATCGCGATTCACGCCCGTGCTCGATTTATCCATCGATTTATCCGTTGAGCTCGGGTTCGGGTTCGGGTTCGATCCGGACACACCTCGGATTCAAACGCCATCAACCGACTAGTACATACTGTACTACATAAACCCGACACCTGGGCATTCTCAACCCCAGGAAATTTATCTGTCAAACCAAGACACCCGTGAATAATGCTATATGCACATGTCCAACATCGGACTGGACGATCACCCCGATACCTCTGCATGCTAAGAGAATCCAACCCGATCCCTGACCCGTCCATCGCGGAACTTCCGATTCTCCCGATTCTCCGATCAGCACTGTGAACGGAGTATGCCGCCATTATCGGTCTTCAGGATGAATGGGGTAAATGCTACAATATGTTGGGATGCGATGAGGAGCCCGGGTAGGATTTGATTTGAAATCCAAATGATTTCGGGATAATTCTTGCTTTGACAGGTTCGGTGGGTATACATACTGGTCCCGTCCCTTCCCTGAGGTTGTCTGCATAGTGCTTTTATACTGCTATCACATGTACTTCGAGCTGGGCTCCCGGGCTTGAACTGAATACATACCTAGAGAGCTTCTATGTTCTTTCTGGGCTTTTTGGCTCTTGCTGGTATGTGTATCTCTTGATCTCATGATGTTCCTATCCAATTCTCGTCGTTTAATTACATCATCTGGCTAACATGTGAAGTCTATATATGCATAGTGATCCTTTGACCCAATGATCCTAAGTCCAAAGTCCATTTCAGAACTCAGGCAACGGCGGCATCCCAAAGATACTCCCATCAGGAATCCACCCATCCAACTCCATCCCCGCGCGAGCCATATGCTGCATAGGAGGCATGCGCTGCTGCTCGTATCCGAACTGCGGTAACCCTGCCTGCGGATGTGATGGCGAAGGCTGATATCCCGCTGTGTTCATGCTGTGGAAGTAATGTGCGTTATGGCCCTGGCTGTCCATCGGCCACATGCCTCCACTGTTCATCGCAACGTATCCGTCGCGCATGGTGTCCATTCCCGGTGCCATTGGGGGAACAGGAACGGGAACTGAGTACGAGTCCATCGTCGAGGGTGTCACTTGGGCCATGTGTGTGTCTGGTACGATACCTTGGCCCTGGCCTTGGGTCTGGAAAGGCTGAGACGCAGCTCCTGATCCTGGAACCGACATCGAGTCTACGGTGCCGGTCGACGGACTCCCTGATACGACACCGACACTATTCTCTGGCCCCAGGCTGTATCGTCGCTCCAGGCGGTCATACCAGTCCTTGCCCCTCACGCCCACGACTTGATACCATCGGGTTGGGATGTTGTATTTGCCTCCGTCGCTTGCGCCACTCAATTTGATTGCTAGGGCTTCGAGGTAATAGGCCACGTTCACTGTCTGTGGAGTGACCACTTCTCCGAGAGCACCGGTGCGCACAGAGAAGTGGATTTTCAGCAGCGATGTTACGGCCATCCCGAACCGGGTGTATGTGAGATTTGGGAGTTTACGCAGTGTGTCTGTGCTGCATGCCAGCACGGCGTCTAGCAGTTCTTGCGCGGCGTTCATCCATTTCATGTTGATGTCGATCCGAATTGCGCTGAGGGGGCAGTCTGGCGCTTGGTTGTTGCTGTCGTTGCCTTCTTCGTCGAGCGTTGGCAGCGTGAAGTATCGGCGTTTGAAGGCGTCTGGGTCGCGGTATCCTTCTCCCACGCCGAGTTCGTACATGGCTAGTGTTGTGGAGCGGTATTCGAGGATTAGGGGGACTAACCAGAGGGGACGATTAGTATTGAGAACTGCTAATGCGCAAAGAACCTGGTATGCCTACCGGTCATCAGGTCCGAAGGGATGCTGTTCTTCCACGTCTCGATCCGCTTATCGAACCAGCGCAATACGGCTTGCACCCGTGACTCGGTCAGTGGTGATGTGGTGCTGGTATCGTCCAGACCAAATGAGGACATTGCTTCATCGGTTATCCGTTGAAGCTCAAACCAGACCGCCAGATGTCGATCCGATCGGTGTGGTGAGTGTTCCAGGTGCTTGAGACACTCGGCCATCCAGTCATTGAACTGGAGCAAGTTTGGTCGACGTGTCTTCATCGCAACACTCGAGCCGAGATGGTAGCAGCCGAGGACTGCTCGTGCCTGCTCGGCCAGCAGCTCGTCGTGTGGCTCCTGTCTGCTGCGCTTGCGGTCGGGTTTCTTCGACACACGCCGTTTGTTTGCTAACCCAATCTCCAGTGCCATCGTCGAGGCAATGTGGGTGTACTGATACAGCTGCAGCTTCAATGGGGAGGTGGGCGGGAGGTAGAAGATGATCATCAGCAGCAGCGCCTGCACTAACTCTAGTGACTTTTCACCCTGAATGAAGAACCGCTCTGCATACAGGCGAATCATCTCGCGGTTCAGCACCGCTGCCAATCCTGCGTCAACCGTGATGGATGTTGCGGCAATCACCGAGAGGAACAGAATTGGCTTTGTTTGTCGCAGTTGGGCTGCCGTGGTGTTTGATGGCAAGACAACTAATGGGAAGAATGATGCAAGCTCGTGGATGTAATATGCCACCAATTGCTCCGCGTCTTCGAGCGAGATAATCCCCCGATCGATCACGTCCTCCACAGGCTGGACCGTTCCCTGCTCGGCCTCAAAGCCAGCCGGCATGCCGGCGAAGGCAGGCGGTGCCGAAAATGCACCACTCTCATGCGTGCCTTTCATCAGTTCTGGAGAGTAGTCCATATACCGGGCATCCTCAGACGGGTGAGCAGAATGGTCTCGCAAGTCGAGACCACTTTTCATGTCCATATCAGTTGAATCGTGGTCGTCTTCCCCGTTGCTGTCCTCGCCGGACTCCGGCTCTTCCTCTTCGGGGATACGATTCTTCAACAGCGAGCGCATCACCCGCATCTCCTTCTCCAACTGTGCGACCCGTGAGTCCGTCCGCTTGCGCGGCCGCCGCCTTTGAGGTGCCACAAACACACAAGGTCTCTTCCCCTTAGCGCATCGCTGGCACTGGTTTGGCGTCGACGGACTTGGTAGACAGCGGACCTTCAGACTTCGACAGGACTCACAGGAGCGATTCAACGGCTGCGCTGATCCGTGTTGGCTGCTTGATTCGCCTTGTGGTGTCGAGGAGGTCTCGGACATGTTCACACAGCGACACGTCCAGGAACTATCCAGATGATAGGATTGCAATGGGGCTTAGATGTGTTTCGCCCATAAATTTCTGAAACCGCCTTGGGGGCCAGGGCAAAACAGACGGATTGAGATGATACGTCCGACTTAGCGATGGGTTATTGTGTATCTCGAGGCATATTGTTCTCGTGGAAAAATCCCGCAGGCTCTCAGGGCAGATGACCAGGGAATTCCACACGAAAAATATCCGGCCGGAGCACCATCGATCTCTTGCAATTGCTTTTCTGCAGGGTCCAGCAGGGTTGTGAACAAGAAATCCAGACCAGGCTTGGCACAATCATGTGAGAATGGGACTGGCAAAAAAATATCGAAGCTTAATGCCACAGATTTCAATGGTTTTAGGTAAGTGTTTACTTATCCCAATGTTCGCCTGGAAGTGGTAATGAGATAATGAGATCTCGTTGTGCCAAGGTCTGCATGGATGGGGTTACTAGGGTCTCACAGGCTCAGGATTCAGGAGTAAGGGATGCACGGTATTATTAGCACATCATGCCATCTCATCTTCTACGTAACCTATCTAAAACGTCGTTAGGCGTAGTTTAGGTCAATCTGATCAACATTTAGACCCCGATGATCTGACCCTGACCTCAGTTTGAAGGTCCATCCTTGTACCTTGGTGGCTGGATCAGGGGGAGGAACAGGCACCAGCGTGTACACAAGTGACGAAGTTCACGAGAAAGCGTTACATCTAAAGATTCAATCAAAAGCTAAACCTGGCGAATCATCGCCCGACTACTCCACTGTAAATCCTTGATGCTCTCTCGATTGGCCTATGAGAAGTGCCCGGCCAGTACCACCGACTGCCCGAATTGGTTTCCGTTGCGCTATTTTGACTAATGGGGATACTTGAACTTAACTTGAGTCCTGGGGACCAAATAACATCGTTCTACATTGTCAATTGACTGTAGACTACAATACTGATACCTAACTATAGATGTATCTGAATAGGAACGAGAATATGCTTACCAGCCTTGGAATTCCCCGACTTCGAGAAGCGAAGAATAGAATTCACTCGCTTCGAAAGTATAAAACCGAAGAATAACTCTAATCAGCCTTGTGCCGCACAAAAGTCAAATTCTATTTTTCTTTCCTTGTTCCATGGTACATAGATACATTGTTCAAAGCATGTGATAGACGCTCAGCTGAACTTTTCGGTATGCCGTGTGGAGACCCTGTGGGACCTTTATGGACCTTGAGCGGAGAGTCGTTAACCAAATAACAGCTGCGGGCGAATCCAGTCTTAACAAGTCTTAATAGTACTGCGTAGTTGCCCTTCGGCAGGGCTTGTTCGCTCCAAACAGTGTCTTGGCAATATCGGGAGTGGGTTTCCGGTGTCCACTCTATTCTTGACATCCTATCAAGCCCATTAGTAGTCCATTCCGAGATATTCATCGGAGTACCAACGGAGATCTCCGTCCTTCTTTGAACAGACATCATAGCCTACGCCCGAGATCTATTGGGAATTCTTGCAAAGTTTTCGGATCTCTTTGTAGTATACCCTTGAGTTGGGCGCGGAAAAGGCTTCCGATTCAGTATGGCATGGAGTCATGGACCTTTCTAACTGGCCATTGTATCGGCTTTACAAGCCAATAATAAGGTTTCAGATAAACCAGCCATATCTCGCAACGTTGCCTCCAAGCGAGATGCGCCGTTGATAGCGTCCGGGCATGCATAAGCGCTGCGTGGAGACGAGCCTAACCTACCTTCTCCATACCTATAAAGGGCTAGGGTTGCATGGTGCCCGGTCATTTCTGAAATATAGGTATCACTGCGTCGATGCGTTCCATTTTTTCCGAGGACTCCCCGATGCCCAGCTCTACGCGCACTTTTCCAGATCATTTCAGCAGAAGTGGTGGATAGTGGCGATGGCAATCTGCACATGCAGGGAACGGCATCCTTCTGGCGGTACAGTGCAAATGACTCCTCCAGTAGGTCACCATAAATCAAGGCTCATTATCTCATAGGAGGCGTCTATCCCTCACAAATTCTCAGTGTGCTGAGGCAGCTCAACTGGCCTTACAAGTTCACGATTTCCTGGCCAAAGAGGTTTGATATAGGCCTTCTAGGGGCTGTGATTTACTTGAGATCTGATCACATTCCTCGTGCTCGTGCGGATGCATGAGCCGGAACACCTATGCGTCTTTATTGATCTGATCTTCCACCTGTCTCACCACTTTATATGTGGTGGTGGTATACTTATTTGAACTATTGATTGAGGCCGTAAATAGACTCCATTTAAGCAATTAGCTAGTTGTAGGTTCTCGGATGTCCGAAGGTTTATATACTTCGGGAAGTCAACCGGAGATAACGGCTGCGATTGCCTAGACGGGACAGGCGTCCAGCCCCCCAGGGCTGAGTCATAGACATCGAACTCTAATCAATCAGTCACATGTCCACTCCTCGTATTATCCATGTCAAGCAAACAGGCTCAAGTTTGCTTTACCATCTCAAGCTGTTGAAGAATGTGGGCAAGACCCCAGCTCCTAATTTCAGCGTCATGTCATTCCAATCAATTTCCCCGGAGGAACTGAATATCTCGCCGCAATTCAGCCACAATTTTCTGACCCCACAACCTACACACTCAACCACCGCCCCCCACCATGTAGCCGCGGAACCCCCAAGCTCGACCTCCCGCAGCTGTGTGACCTGCCGTCGCAGGAAGGTCCGGTGCAACAAGAGGTCTCCATGCTCGAATTGTACCAAGGCCGGCATCGACTGTATCTTTCCCCCGCCTGGCCGTGCCCCGCGGAAATCGAAGCGCCCGCCGGATGCAGAGCTGCTCACGCGGCTACGCCGTCTGGAGGGCGTCATCGATCATCTCAGGAGTGGTGGTGCCACAGATTCCGCACCGGCAGTCTCCCCTCAGGCGACGTCTTCGGCGACGGGGTCTTCAACTGCGAAGAGCGAAACGACGGGGTCGGCATCGGCATCGGTTGAACAGACTCCCGAGGTTAAGTGTCCTTTCGAAGAGTCGGACCCGAAGAAGCCTGCTCCCAATAAGTTTGAAAATGAGTTCGGGCGACTGGTTATCGATGAAGGCAAAAGCCGATACGTTAGCAACCAGCTCTGGGCTAGTCTTGGAGATGAGGTACGACAATATTCTTTCACCTCTTGCTATCTCCTACTGACATATTGTAGATTGAGGAGCTGCAAGATATCCTCGATCACTCATCGTCTGAGGAAGACAATGCAGATTCGCCAGAGTCTGCCCAATCCGGATCTCATGACGGGTTCCTTTTTGGAATGTACTCACTTTCACGATCTCTCCGAGAATTCCACCCCCCGACGCCCAAGGTTTCTCTACTTTGGGAGATATATAGAGAGAACGTTGCTCCTCTAATCACCATCGTGCACCGGCCAACGGCGAGAAATCTGTTTGTTGAGGCAGCACAGCGCCCGGATTCCTTGGACAAGAACTCAGAGGCTCTTGTATTCTCCATGTATCTTAGCTGCATTATCAGCTTGAAGCCAGATGATTGTTTGCTCCACTTCGGTGAAGACCGGGCTTCTGCTGTCAAGCGATATCGGTTTGCTACAGAGCAGGCGCTGGCAAGAGCTGGGCTCTTGAATACGCAAAGTCTGGTCCTCTTGCAAGCCGCCGTTTTATTCTTGGTCTGCGTGCGACGGGAAGATGACAGCAAGTTTGTGTGGTCTATGACCTCGGTCGTCTTACGCCTTTCCCAGAGCTTAGGCTTACATCGCGATGGCACCAATTTTGCTTTGAAGCCATTTGAGACGGAGATGCGACGCCGTCTGTGGTGGCATATCTCGCTACTGGATGTGCGCTCCTCTGAAGACCATGGAACGGACCCGCTTATCAATGAGAACATGTACGATACGCGGCTACCGTTGAATGTCAACGACGATGACCTCTCGCCCGACATGGTGGAGCCCCCCAAAGAGCGTGAGGGTTGCACAGATAATACCTTCTGCCTAATTCGCTGCGAGATCACGAGCGCTCTGCGGCGAGCAAATTATGTGTGCCCCAACGCCCAATTCCGTTCACCGAACAGTCTACCGCCGGTAGAACTTGGTGAGCGAATGATTAAAGTCATCAGTGATCGATGTGAGGAACGGTATATTAGACACTGCGACATGAACGTTCCTATCCAATGGTGCGCTGCCACAGTTGGCAGACTGATCCTTGCCAAGTTATGGCTAATGATCCACCACCCAATGGCCCGAAAGGACGGCGGAAATGTGACACAAGAAACTCGCGAGAGCTTGTTCTTGACCGCGATCGAGGTCCTCGAGTTTGGCCGCTTGGTGGAAAACGACCCCAAGACCGCCAAATGGGGCTGGCTATGCCGGACAAACATGCAATGGCACGGAGTTGCGTTCGTTCTGTCCGAGATATGCGTTCGGCCAATGTGTCCTGTCACCGATCGTGCTTGGAATGCCGTCAGTTCCACATACAATGAATGGGCTCGTCAAGCCACACATAAGAAGGGCATGCTGTGGCGGCCCCTCGCCGCTTTGATGAAACGGGCCGCTGCCACCCGGGCAAAGCAGCAGCAGGAATTGCTATCCAAGTTTGGTCCATTGCCTCCTTCATCAGGACCTGTCAGTAGCCCGATTGACACTGAACACCATCTCCTTCCCCAGATTCATATGCCCTTGGGAGCACGGAGTCCACTCCAAACAACTCAACCACACCAATCTGTACCGATCACATACGATGCAGACTTGGATATCGACCTAAGCCGCGGGCCTTTGAGTGCATTCCAGGACATGTTCCCTGACACGAACCTGATGGCCAAGTCAAATGGACTCTTTGATTCTCCACCAGCCTATAATAACATCTCGGTGCCGAACTTGCCATTGTCGATTGCTCCGGCCTACAATCTTCCCACAAGCACTCCTTTCTTGAGTCAGCCATCTCTCCCTGAGGCCCCTGAGCTCAGCTGGGAGAAGTGGGATCAAGTCATGCGCGAATTCCAAATGGATGTTGAAAATGACAATTCGCAGCCAACAAAAGGTATCAATGTTGGTGAATGGTTTGCTTGATCTGTGGCCATTGTATGCTTTCATGTGCTAGGATGCTTTGCTTCCCATCCGAGGCTTTTACGACGTGATGATTTATGGCGCTTTATTTATGGACGATATTCCCTCCTCTCACTGTAACTATACTCACCTTCCCTCCACTCACAGTCACTATCTATACTCAATCTTCCCTCTATGGATACACCCTTCTGGCCACTACGAAACTGTATAATAAGCACAATTCCAGAAATACATTCAACCTCCTCATACCAAAGTACCAGTCTTTCTATTAATTCCTATAAAAGCACATTTGTTATCCCCGACTTAGTTCTATACTTCCAAATCAGGAAATACACAACCACGTGATCAAGATAGCGGAGCTTCAAGCTCCAAGCTGGCATCAACCAACACCTCCACTCCGCCATTGTCTTCCAACCCACCATCTCCACCCCAAATATTCTCTGCAGTCGACATCAGCCATATCTCCAGTTTACAAAAAACTACCGACTAATACTCCCCAAGCTTCTCACCACCACCAACAACCAAAATCATGCCTCCCAAACGCCACGCGGCCTCAACCACCTCCGCAACGCCCTCCGCACCCGCACCCACACCCTCACCGGCCGTCACACCCAAACTCTCCTCCGGCCCAGCAACCCTGAAGACCAATGCCTCAGTCGCCGAAATCGCCCAGCATGTCTGGCAACAGTACGCATCCACAACGCCGCAGCGCACCCTCCTTCTAGACGCCTTTATGGTCTTCCTGGTTCTCGTTGGCGGGTTGCAGTTCTTGTACTGCGTTCTGGCTGGGAACTATGTAAGTGGGAGCTTTTTTTCTTGCCCTTCTTTTCGCGCTTGTTCATAACTGCTTGTTCCCACGGTCGTCCCGATTGCGGCCTATAACTGTAACTAACAATGTTACTTGATACAGCCCTTCAACGCCTTCCTTAGTGGCTTCGGTGCTGCTGTTGGTCAATTCGTTCTGACAGCCAGTCTGCGTATGCAGACTAGTGATGGTGGTAGTGGGTCGAAGCCGAGCTCGAAGGGGAAGAATGCGCGCTTTGTGGATCAGGAGGGTGAGGTGCAGGAGAGTACTTCACATGAGAGGTGAGTTCGGTTCCTTTTCGTGGAGGAACAATGAGTTGCAATGGGCTAATCTGTTGACTCTAGGGCTTTTGCTGATTATATCTTTGGGAGCTTGATTCTACACTTCTTTTGCATTAACTTCATCAACTGAGAGCTGTGTCTGCGAGAGATTCTGTTCGATACCCTGCTGCCCTTTATGTCCTTCTTGTCTGGGGTTTCGGAATTGTCGTCTTTCTGGTTTTCGTATGCTTCGGAACCCCTGTATACTTCGGCTTCAACCGGGGTCAAGAAGAATGTTTGTTTTGACTACTTCGATATTGACTTATGCTATCTGTATTACCTCAGATATCCAGCGCACAGAGTTGAAAGACTTTGGAAATATGCTAAACGGGAACGCAACAGCGGGTATCGATTTGACTAGCTCCAAGATAAAATGAAAAGAGGACATGATATGGTACAAATAGGGCACTCAAGACCCGAATGCAAGGAAATCCCAAATATATGACCCCCCACTAGAACGCCCGTCCCGGCCTCCTCGGCACCACAGGCCTTTTGACCACACTACCTCCAGAACCACCTCCACCACCCCCTCTTCCTGCACCGTCAGCACCAGGCCGGGACGAAGCAGAAGAGGAAGCAGTCAAACCACCGACCTTTCTTCCCGGCTTGATGACAGGTCTACGCACAGCCGACTTCCCGCCAACCTCGACTTCCATCCTGCGACGGGCGGGATCACTGCGTTCCAGCTCGCGCTGTTTCTCAGCAGCAGCGCGTTCACGATCAACGGCCATCTGCGCCTCGATTTCCATGCGCTTGTTGAACTCGATTTCTGTCACGCGCCGGTCGCGCTGTGAGTAGCCTTTTTCTTTGACGGAGTAGAATACGCCTCCGAGTTCGGCGAGCCACTGTAAGGGATGTTAGTTGCGAAAAAACGAGATAAAGTATGGTTGTGAGGGGAAGGTGAGAAGAAGCTTACGTGAGGGTCGACCGCTGTCACGGTGGACATGTATTCTTTAGCCGTTAGGATCAGCTCGTGGTAGACGACGTATTCGGGCACGTAACCGAGACCGTAGAGGGCACTTGTTGGATGGAGTGACATGGTCACGCTGGTGCGGAGGTTGATGAATTCGCCGATACCCTTTACTTTAGCGGCTTGGTGGTAGAAGCCGGAGCAGATACATTTGCGGATGTTGTCCCAGTCTGTGCCGCAGCTGATGAGGGGCAGTTTCTGTACGGTCATGATGTCGTGGAGCTGGTCGCGAACTTCCTTGGCGCGACGGAGGGTTTTGGCGTGTAGGAAGTGCTTAGTGCACCATGCGTCGGAGTATCCGTTGGTTTTCCATTGGGTGTAGACGTGGAGAAGGGTTAGATGGTCGGATTCGGGGACGAAGAATTTCTCGCGCGCGGAGTCGGATTCTTCCATTCGTTCTTTGGGGCGGTAGAAGACGTTTGGAACTGATAGCATTGAGACTATGGTTAACATCTCCTCGCTGCACTCGTATTCTTCGGCGGCCATGATTATGAGCTTGGCTAGAGGGGGATCCATGGGGAATGGCGTCATGCGTCGGCCCAGAGTTGTAAGGTCGCCCAGGTTGTCTAGAGCACCTAGCGACCACAGCTCGAAAAGAGAGGTAGAAATTGTCTCTTGGGGAGGCGGATCCATGAAATCGAAGTCCAAAAGGTCCTTTACGCCAAGAGATTTCAGCAAAAGCACAGTGTTCGAAAGACTGGTTCGCTGGATCTCGGGGATCGTTTGGATATACAGTTCGTTTTTGTAAGCCGTCTCGGTGTATAGACGGTAGGCTTTACCAGGCCCAGTGCGGCCAGCTCGTCCAGACCGCTGGTTCGCATTGGCTTGGGAAACCGGCGTGATTTGGAGAGTGTCCATACCCATGCGTGGGTTGTACACTTTCAGCTTCGAGTAACCTGCGTCCACGACGTACATGATACCATCGACTGTCAGACTCGTCTCAGCGATGTTAGTGGCCACAATGACTTTGCGCACGCCCGGAGCGGCCTTCTCGAAGATCTTCGCCTGCTGCTCGGCCGGCATTTGACTGTAAATCGGTAATATGCTGAGTTTCGGAGGATCATTCAGCAGCTTCAGCCGTTCTTCAACCAGCTCGCAGGTGGCCTCAATGTCTTCTTGTCCCGTCATAAAGACAAGGATATCACCAGCGGGCTGGGAAACATGGATAGCCAAGACCTGCTTGACCGCACTGTCGACATAGTCCTCACAGGGTGTGCGCGAGAAGTGGAGATCAACGGGGAATGTTCGACCCGGGATAATGAATTCTGGAGCACCACCATAGAAGCGTGAAAAGCGTTCTGAATTCATCGTTGCCGAGGTCACAATCAATTTCAGGTCCCTGCGCCGCGCCAGGACTTTCTTAAGAAGGCCCATTAAAACGTCGGTATTCAGAGCTCTTTCGTGTGCCTCGTCCATAATGATGCATGAGTACTTATCGAGATCCTTCTGTGTGAGGGATTCTCGCAGCAACACACCGTCGGTCATGTCTGGTAATGATTAGTTGTGTGACCACAGTGTAGCGGAAGCAGGGAACTCACATTTGATCATTGTCTCGTCACTTGTGCAGTCCTCGAAACGGATAGCATAACCAACGAGTCCACCGAGCTCGACGTCCATCTCCTCACTGACACGCTTGGCGACACTCATGGCAGCCACACGACGAGGCTGTGTACATCCGATCATACCATACTTGGAGTAGCCATCTTCGTGTAGAAATTGTGTGAGCTGGGTGGTCTTTCCAGACCCCGTCTCCCCGACAACTACCACAACCTGGTTGTCCCGAATAACCCTCAGTAGATCTTCACGCACGGCAAAGGCAGGCAGATATTCTCGCTGTTCACGCATGGTCTTGTTTTTGCTGAAAGCGCTGGCGCCACCGCCCTCCTTCTTCATATGCCTGGCGAACTTGTTTCCTCCTCCTTTGTAGGTCTCCTCGACAGGCATAGCGACTGCGCTGTCTCCCTCGTCTTCCTTGACACCCATCAAGTTTCCCAGCGTTGAGCCAGCCATATTTGTCGCCTGCTGCGCTTGCTTCTCCCGCTCGCGCTGTTGTCTGCGATCACGAACAACCCTGCTTCCTTTCCGGCTGAAGACCGCCAAGTCACTCTGCGGATCTCGAACGGCAGAGATCGGCTCCAACTGTTTCGTGAAGATCGTGCGGCCATCGAGAAAAGGCGGCCGGAGGTCGTGAACGAGTAAATGCACTCGATTTGCCTCTTCATCCTCGGGCATAAAATCTCCTTCATGGTCTCGACGTTGTGCTACACCCGAGGTGAGCATTCGATTGGTTTCCCAGTTGTCGATGTCCTTCCGTTTGGCTTCGCGGAGTCCGTGAGGGAGGTGTCCATCGCCCTTGTGCCTCTTGGCCGGGGGGCCCATGTCGGGGCGAGACATTTTATTCGAGCCTGTGAGGCAGAATTCAGAGTTGAGTGAATTGCAATGCTCGACTCAGAAGGTTGACTTTGTCCGATTCCCCGGAGCTGAACCTCCAAGTTTCCTATCTGTGACTAGCGCCATCATCTTACCGCCTAGTATTGCCAGGAGAAGCTCACCGCTCTGGGGTCCTTTCTCGACTTCATAAAGAAAATACAAAAAAAAAAATACAAATGGTGCGTATGAATTGCGATATAGTAAGGATTTTGGCGTTTTATGTAGATTCTCAAGTAAATAAATCTGAAATATTAGGCCACATAGACCCTTGTATGGAGTGCGGCCTTGAAACTTCCATAGTGACCTCCGCCGAACATCAACGGCCCCGCATCGTCATCTCAATTTCTCGAGCTTCACTTGTGCCACATTATCACGTATCAAACAGCCATGTCTAGCCAAAGGCAGATTGACCCCAAGAGGCAGCAGGGTATTTCTTCCCCAAGTCTACCAAATTGAAGCCTCTGCAGAAGCTAATGTGAACCCTTCAATGCAGAGCTTCAGCTCCAATACACGAACTTCAAGAACACCCTCCAGCAATTAGCACAAAAGATCGGTGATATCGAGCAGGAAGGAGAAGAGCACAAGTGAGTTTTTGCCAGGCTCATGTGTTTACCCGCATGTTGCCCTTCTGCCATGGAGATGAGGATGAATCCGTGGCTACGCTATCACCATTCCGGGATGTTTTGGCGGTCATGTTCGGTGCTAATATTTATACCAATTAGACTTGTGATCGAAACTTTGGACCCTCTTGATGGAGACCGAAAATGCTTCCGCATGGTGAATGGTGTTCTCGTTGAGCGCACCGTCAAGGATGTCCTCCCTACCCTGAAGACCAACTCGGATGGGCTGAAACAAGTGTTGGATGACATGCTCAAGCAATACAAATCAAAGCAGACTGAGCTAGATACTTGGAAGGTAGGCATATCCCCTAGTCTATTGGCTGAGCCTGGAACCAGATTCCATACACTTGTAACGGACAGTGCTGACCTCTTTCCCTCTGCAGAAGAAGAACAACATCCAAGTTGTGCAGCCTTAGACATTTCTTTTCTCTGTATACTTTCGATTCATGTCTTCCCGATGCTATCTAAGTGTGACAGCAAGAGGCTACCGGCGTTACTGGGAACGGCAAAACCCTAGACATAATGCAGCGTTGATTTGTGCTTTGATGTCAAGCAAGATGAGCTTCCTGTCTCATAGTAACAACACATATACCCATAAATACTGGCTCAGATGTTTTGACTGAAACATATTGGACCTCACAGCGTCATCATCTGGCTCCTTGTGCTTGCATACATCAGCCCAAGCCAACAGAAGCCAAGCCTCTTCATGCCTAACTCGAGACCTCTTGTCTACTCAATAGATCAGATTTGGCAAGGTATGAAACAGACATGGTCAGGCTAGGACCTAGATACAATGTACATCGCATACTGCTATAGATGCAAGCCTCGATGCCTGACTCGACAGTAAATGATCAAGGCATTGTGTTGGGCCTGAAGAAGCCAAGCTGTTGGATAGTCATGGATCTGCAATGATGTATGCAACCACGGCAAGCTAGAACCTGGATATTGTTCTTAGCTCCAGCTTCTAATCGATTTACAGCTAAGATCTAAACATACGATGTAGAACAGTAGAATGGAGAAGACAAAGAAGACCTTAAGCTGGGGTTACTAATCTCAAGTGAGGTCCACGGCGTGTTTTTACTGCGTATTATGTTACTATGTATATAGTCAAAGTAGTATTAAGATGGCTATAAGACCAACATTGAAGTTGACCCAGTCGACCCTACTGTGTAGAACAAAGGACTCAAGTTGTGAACCAAATACCAACAATCAACATCGACCTCGGACCCGTTGGGCTTCCCCCAAGACCCACCTTGGCAGCTCCCGCGCTCCAACCAACTTACAACCATCTCAGCTTTATCCCCCACGCGCAACCTTCTTGGTACAGTACATGATTGAATTCGCATGTATGAGCTACACTGTGATCCCTGCATTTCACAGACGATATACTCCCCTTATGAAACACAAGGCTAATTGGGTGCCATTGCGCGCGTCGCATGTACAGAGCTCTACCCTGCATTACAGCCAACTCCCCCGAGAGGCTGACACTATACGCCTAACGCTATTACGAACTTGGTTTGTACCCAGCCAATCCAAACTTGTCTCCCCCTTTTAGCGCACCGATTTTGCGCTGTTTGAAACGGAGATCGCGCGTCGCATCGAGATCTGACGTGGTCTGACAACAGAGCGCACGCGAGACACAAGCATTGACGCCCAAGCCGAGGAACTACTGCACACATTAAACCACTCATAATGTCGGTCTCTCCTTCGAAAGAACCTGAACTTGACCCTGAGGCGCAATCGGGTGAAGAACAAGAGCACATGGACAAGGACCAGCAGGACGCGCAGGCACACCACGGCGAGTTCGAGGTGAAGGAGCAGGATCGGTGGCTGCCGATTGCAAATGGTAAGTCGCGTGGATTTGTTTTTGTTCCGATTCGTGCGCGCCTTGCCTATGGTGGTCGCTTCGTTTTCCCCGCATTTTCGATCTGGACTTTTGATCTGATTATGCGCATCTTGCTTTCTGATTCATGATTCGCAAGCTGGGTTGCTTTTCCGATGATGCGCTTATCGGTCGCGTGTCTTTCGTATCTTTTCTATTTGTCTATATTGTGCCTCTTCGACAATACCTCGGAAAGACGAGCAATCCTGATCAACAATATGCTGACATGATATTCCTTAGTCGCTCGTATCATGAAGTTGGCCCTACCGGAAAATGCAAAGATCGCGAAAGAAGCCAAGGAATGCATGCAGGAGTGCGTGAGCGAGTTCATCTCATTCATTACCAGCGAAGGCAAGTCCGTTGATCCCACTTATCGAGACATCCTCATTGACCGTATCCACAGCCTCCGAGAAATGCCAACAGGAGAAGCGCAAAACGGTCAACGGCGAAGACATCCTATTTGCCATGACCTCCCTTGGCTTTGAGAACTACGCCGAAGCTCTCAAGATCTACCTATCCAAATACCGCGAGGTAGAGTGCCCCCAAAATCCCGGATCATCCCATGGAAACTCCCAGGACGAACCGCGAAACCGACTCAAATTCATACCCAGTTCATTCATGCTGACTAGACCGCAGACCCAATCTGCCCGTGGTGAAAATCAGAGGCCCCCAAGCGCTGGTTATGGAGCTGGAGGACCCAGCGGCGCCCCTGGCGGCGCTGGTGCAGCTCGTCCCACCGGATTCTCCGACGCCGAAGGTGGAAATCCCATGATGAACCCCAATCTTGACCCATCTGAACAAGATGCCTCTGCCTACGGCTATCCCGCTATGGTTGGCCAGCCTCACAACGGCGCGGGCGGCGAGTCATATTAGGTCAAGTGAGGGAGCTGAGAAACCGCTCTTTGGTGCAGGCAATGGAACCGAACCAGTGGTTTACTGATTCTCGGGTGTTCATCTCGGTCAGTTGTTATAGCTTGAAGGTCAATAGAGGGGTCTCCAGCATGGTTCTCATGCTGGATTTGTGTCGATTGTTTTCTACGAACTATTCTTATCTCTTTGTTCAGGTATTGGAGTTATGCGGGGTTTTATGGATGGAATACTATTACACGTCTGTATCTACAAAGGTGCAGGACCATGACCGAGTCTACAATCTGTATATTCGAATGTGACATTGGGATCTTGTCCTCGTAGGTAGACTCATATCTCGGTGCTTCTCTAGTACGACTGTGACTTCATAAACTTGATCCCAAGACCCAGCTCGGCGGGGCTCCACTGCCAGCGGTGTTTCCACCTCGCGGGGCATCAGGGCTCAGCCTTGTAATCACCTACACCTACTACCACCTACCGACGTACTCAATTCCTCAAAAACCTGGCGTATACATCCGGCTCTTCCTATAAAAGCCAATCTCGCCTGAGATTCCACCACTGAACCCATCCTTCGTCTTCCTCCTAACGTTGAACTCAAATTACGTCATTGTACAAGATGACCGCTGGCAACAAGATCGTTCGCGTGGGCATAATCGGGTAAGAACCTCCAATCCCAATCCCAATCCACTCACTATAGATACATCTCTGACCCTAACCCAGCTGCGGCGAAATAACCCAAGTAGCCCACATCCCAACCCTAAACTTCCTTTCGGACTACTTCCAAACAACCTACCTCTGCGACGTCTCCCCCAATGCCCTCACCCACTGCAGCAAAAAGGTCACCGGGAGCATCCCTAGAACAACCCCCGATGCAGAAACCCTCTGCTCCTCCCCAGAAGTCGACGTAGTCCTAATCGCCAACAGCGACGCCTTCCACGTCCCACACGCCCTACTAGCCCTAACCCACAACAAAGTCGTCTTCATCGAGAAGCCCATGGCACTCTCTTTACAGGATGCAGACCGCATCATCGAAGCTGAGAAGAACTCCGCCGGCAAAGTCATGGTTGGGTACATGCGGCGGTATGCGAGCGGCTTCCTGGATGCGGTGAAGGAGATCGGGGATATGGACCAGGTGCGCTATGCGCGTGTTAGGGATATTGTTGGGCCGAATGCGGATTTTGTTAAGCAGTCGGGCACTTTTCCGAAGGTTTTTGGGGATTATAAAGATGCGGATGTGAAGGGGTTGGAGGAGAGGATGGAGGGGATTTTGGAGCAGGCGATTGGGACGGAATTGGGGGTTGAGGTTAATGGTGATACGGCTGTGCAGTGGAGGCATCTGGGGAGTTTGGGGAGTCATGATCTTAGTGCTATGAGGGAGGTTTTGGGCATGCCGGTTTCTGTGCTTGGGGCTTCGTTGTGTAGGGCGGAGGGTCCGCCGTTTTGGAGGTATGTTTTCTATCCTGGGGTTTTCTGTTTGGGGAGGGATATGCTTATTGATTGGGGTTGCAGTGCGCTGTTCCAGTATCCCTCGTTTGCGGTCTCTTATGAGTCCGGTATTGATGAGGTTCCACGCTTTGATGCTTCGATTGAGGTGTTTGGTGGGAATAAGACTGTCAAGGTTTGCTTTGACTCGCCTTATGTCAAGGGGTTGCCTACTACGATGCATATCCGTGAGAAATTGGAGGACGGGTCATTCCGGGAATCGGTGGTGAGGAAGACTTATGAGGATGCTTATACCCTGGAGATGAAGGAACTTTATGCATTTGTTGTTGAGGGGAAGCGGGCTAAAACTACTGCGGAGGATGCTAGGAAAGACGTTGAGATCTTTGGGATGATCATGAAGGCTGGTCTGGAAGGTCAAGCTGGACTTAACAAGCTGGAGAATTAGAGGGTTGCTTCTCATGTGTCCTGTACAGATACATTGGTACGGATGAGAGCACCTTGAGGTTGAGATCTTGTTCCCGAAATGTATTAAAATTCTATACTGGAATATTGGAAAGCAAAGTCGCCTGAAGTTATATAGTCATCACATATCACCATCAATCATCATCGGCACTGTTTTCGCTGTGGCGTGGGGCGTGCCCCCAATGACCTTTCGGACCATATTCCGCAGGGATGTTAGGCCACTCGTCGACGCCGTCTAATATCGCGAGTCTGGAAGCATGGTTAGTATACGGTCAAAGCCTGGTTCACGATGATAACTTACGCCATCCCACCGGTGAGATGCGGGTCAAGGTGGCAGTGGAGGAAGAAGGCCTGTCTAGTTAGTCAAGTTCTGAGAGTAGGTTTATACATGTATCAATTCTTACTCCGGGATTTTCCACTGTCGAGCCCAAGTATGTTAGCTTATGATCTGCAGAGGTGAGAGATGAAAACAGAAAGTCTTACCATGATAACGAACAGCCAGCCAGTTTGAGCTCTGCAAAGCAGCGTTTGTCGTAAAGGTATCTGTTCCATCCATCAGCTACCAGTCCAAGACAGGGCCACCGAGTCTAAACTTCTCTTACCTCGCATGGGAGGATCGACCAGATTAAAGGATCCTGGAATCTCCTTCTGAGCTTCTGCGACAGAAGTCCAGTTGAACTCGCCAGAACCGGCGCCCTTGAACACGCAAGTCAGCATCCATCAAGAAGGCAATCAAATTACCCCAATGGGTCCACATGGAACAACTCACGAGCACATAAACCTTATTCGAATGCTTGTGGAGCGGATGACCAGGTTGGAGCGTCGTCGGGGTACCAATGATCGTGAAAACAAGATCCACCCAAGTATCGTTCTTAGTGAAGATCACCAGTTCACTGTCCTTATACGATTCCGGATCCCACAACATAGGCTTCTCTGACTGCATAGCCATACTGTACGAGTAGTTTCCATTGAGCGACCATTTCCAGGCATGCTCAATACGGCCAATCCGAAGTAGGTAGGTCTCGTTTGCTACCGGGCTAGGTTGACTTGGGATGAGTGGCTTGATCGTTGTTTCGTTGAGCAGAACAACGTTGTCATTTGCGCTGAGGCCACTGTAGTCAATTGAGGCCGTGCCCACTATAGAGGAATCGCCGTTGACATAGGCTAGAGTCCCGAAGCCGGCAATCTTTTGGTTTAGACCTGCGTTGGCGGCTGTGATTCGGTATTCGCCTGGTTGCTTGTTTAGTTGAATCAGGACGGAGTAACGAGCGCCGTTATTGATCGTTAGCGCCTGAATTTGTTAGTGCGATGCTCGTTACTTGGTTGTGGAATATGGGGTTATCATACATCAACTTGGGTTGGTACAATATATTGACCATCGACTTCGTAGACCCAGAGGGTATGGTTGTTGATGGAGACTATGGCAGTCAGCCGGCAGGCTTCAGTGCTGCAATCTGCCTTAACTTACCTCTCGGGAAGGAAGTAGATGCGGAACTGATGAGGTTAAGGCTTGCCCAGCCCTGCAGGGGATCAACTTCGATCACTTCGTCCAATGCCTCTGTTTCGTTGCATTCGTCAAACAGCTCTGGTGGGATTACGGAGTAATCATGCTCATTGAATGTTTGAGCAAATGTATTATTCAACGGAAGACATCTGAATGTTCAAGATGTTAATTTTCTGATCACCCGTTGGAGATTGTCTACGAACCCTTTCGCTGTGAGGTTCATGCCCTGAAGAATGAAACGCTGCGACTCGGGGACCAGGCCAGTCAAATGGACAGGGTCAACGCAGTGAACTCTCCCTTTGCCGTTAAGCAAGATAGAATCCACGCAGCTAGATAGAGTGTCAGTTGCTTTCAAACGATTGATTCTGCGGGACTTACATCGGATCGATATCTGCTGCCACTGCAATATGCCGTAGTTCCCTCGAGGTGATATGATACCAATCGGAGACTATGAGCAGTTTGGGATTTTCGATCGCATGCTTGATTTGAGCATGGGATAGGGTGTCGTTTGATACTGCATTGAGCAGCTCGGTGGGGACATTTTGAGGTCTGTATTGTGAGTACTTGGCTGTCTGCGCGGATAGCCCTGAGACTGGTATGGACGAACCTGATATAGATCGGCCCATACAGACCATCCATGATTTGCCCTGATACATGCGAATGGTACCTTGGCTGTTTCAGCACGATCGTACATACGTCTAAGCCATTCAACTTACCAGTATGTGCCATATTGCGTGGCAGTGAATTTAGCAACGAATCGTCCACCAGGGGGGATGAGCTTTTGCGAGACTCCCGGCACACCATCTGACCACGAAGTACCTACTTGTCTGCCCTTGAGTTAGTTACCCGATTTGATATGTTTCATCTGGAATGAGCTCACTCAATGCCATGCCAATGCATGGTCGTGTTAAACGGCAAGTAATTGTTCACCGTCACCTCCACGTTGTCGCCCTCGTCAAAGATAAGAGCAGGTCCTGGGAATTGGCCATTGATCAAGGCTTGTTTACGCTCAACTCCATCGGGCGCTCCTTTGTCCCAAGTCAAATTGAGCTCGAATTCTTTTGTCGGGCGGGATCGAGCAAGATCCAAGGCAGCTCCAAGCCCGATCAAACAATATAGAATGAACGGCTTCATGATTGCGAGAAGCGAATGTGACAACGCGCACACGAGGGAACTAATTATCTCCAATTCGACATTCCAGACACTGGGATCTGCTCGAATTATTATCGTAGCTAAATAAGAGATCTTCAATCCGGAAATAGCTTGCGTTATCGAGCTGAACGCATCAGGCCCCCAGCACAGCCCTAGGTGCATTTTATATGGGGCCAGATCGTATTTTGAAGATGCATTCCCATCATTGGGGTATCCCGAGGTCATCCAGGCAAGATTCATTCGCCGAGTCAGAGGCTTGGGCGGCCTTTTGGGGAATAGCCGGGCCCGTATATCCAATAGTTTTCAATGGCGCTTTCTGCTAGTACATGGATCATTTTGAGGCGTTGATAGGTATCCACCTGAAATGCTCACGCCTATCAGGCGCTCGCTCCAAACTTGAGCGCTCTTCATGGCCGTCTGCCTCGCATGCACAAACATACCCTGTCAACCGTGTGTTATATAGGAGCTGAGGTCTCAGGTCCGTCTCCCTCGCCGCCAATGAGCTAGGACGGTATGAATCACCAGGGACCCACACCTCCCATCTCGAATACACAATATTCGGTGGACCAAGGAGCTGGGACTCGGAGATTGCCACTCCAACCGGAGGAGGCAGCATGGTGTAGGGATCTGGGTCCGACCACTGGTCCACTTAGGGACAGCAGAAGAGATATCACAAAACCTCTAATACATAGTTTGATGGGGCGAACAAGCTCGGTGGACGTGCTCAATCCTATCTATATAGAAAGTAAGTGAAATAGACGTCTGAGATGCGTCAAATGCGGCCAAGAGTGGAGTTTGCATGAAGTCCGGTCTGGATGAGAAGTTTGAGAAGGCAAGGCAGAGTATCAGATTCTCCGGCTAAGTCCAGTTAGTTTTACGGCCTCAGGCGCGAACAAGTACATCCCATTTTACTACAGGTTCATATCCTTCTTTCAGCATTGCCTGGCCTTTCATAGTGAGTATACTGTGTTCTCACTCTCTGGACATCTCCAATCAACCCTCAGCCAGGCTTATACTGGAGAGAGAGATAGAGAGAGAGAGAGAGACGTCAGACAGAATTAGCACGGCCTTGGATGGCTTTGCAGAGGGTTGGGTTGAACTTGATTTACTATGTCTTTGAGTGCTTGGAAGCATTGGAGAATATAACCCAGCGGACAGACTTCGGGAGTTACCTTGATAAGGGCTCATTGTGGTCTAAATTCAAGACGACGTACCTTCCAATACTGAACCTCGATACTGAGGTCGCTTGGACGATGGAAGGAAGGCACGACCCATCTAGTCCGAGGACCAGGCCCAAGACCAACCCATTTCCGTCCTTCCTAATATCTCGTCTCACGTTCGACAGATCTACTGGCGTGCGTTCCACGTACTTCATTGTGGATAGTGCAATCCCAAAATCACCTATCGAGGTCAGGGAACGGAAGGTCGATGCCCCTGAACAACTCGGAAAGCAGGTCAAGGAGGGAGACTTGAAACTCGCAGTCAATGCCCAAGAACCTCCCAGTCCACCGCCTAGAGAAGGTTCTGATGAAGTAGGGGTCGACAATCAACGAGCCCCAGCTTCTGGCAATCATCAAATTGGAACGCCTGGACGCGAAGGCTTTCCGTCTGAATGAGTGAATACTACGACCTGGGCAGCCCGGGCGATGTCAACGATTACGATTTCCAGCTTTTTCGGGCCCACCTGCAGCTCAAATACTTTCAGCCGCTCTATCAAGATAAGCCCTAATAGCGCGAGGAACAAATTTGAGGACCCATATTAGCTGCTAGTCCCGCGATCCAGGACCGGCTGATCTTAGAGCGCGTCGATATTTGATGCCTACAAAGATAGATGGCCGCTTGACAGAGTGAAGAGTCTTTGCCTGGATAAATGTCCACACCCCTGAAGGACAAGTTCCTGGGCAACCTCTATCAAAGACGATGAATTGCCAGCTTGGCCCAAGGAGGAACTTGACCCCGTGACTTCGGAGTCCCATGCCCGATCTATTTTCGGTCCACTTATTTACATAATCGGCCCTTCTCCGCAGCCACGTGAGTCTCCACTAGGACCGATCCCGCACTCCCTCAACTTCCCGACTTTTTCGTCTTTTTGATTGTTAATTGTCGCATTGTTCTCGGCAATTATTTCGCGCAATCGTACATAATGCCTTGAAGTGACTTCCGGTGATTCGAATAATGCAGAATTGTGGCCGATTTGGACGAATGATGTCAACGGTACTCCTGTCATGTCTTCCGTCAACGATAACACCCCCCGGCGCTCCCAGTGGATGGGGTGAGCAAGCGCAAGCAAGGTAGGTAACTGCAAGTTTCTCCCCGTGTTGCCTGATGGTGTTGCGTTCGGGCTTGGTGGGATCTTTCGCACCTTTCTCGTGATACGGTTGCTGACCGGTAACTCAAAAAATCCTTAGGCTCCGCAGCTTGCGTTCATTGCCACCGGCGCAAGGTTCGCTGCGATGCTCGCTCCGTCGGGACCCCCTGCACCAACTGCCGCGCTTCTGGAAAGACCGACTGTCGCATACACGAGAAGAAGAAGCGCCTTGCACCACGCTCAATCCTAGACCCGGTTCCGATCCGATCTCGGCCCCTACCAACATCTGACCACACGTCAAATCCTGCTCTTGCAGCTGGAGCACCACTGCCTCCAAGTTTTCCAACTGCATTCTCCAGCGGTAATGCTACACCAATCCCCGGAGCCCTTCCGCAACATGGATTTCCACAAGGCACCGGATCAGAGGCATTCGGCCGACAAGGCCACGAATTGGCGCATGCCCGTGAGACACACGAGAACATGCAGCAACATCTCATTAAATTGATAGATGAGGAGGAGTCCGGCAGAAGAGAGATTCAAAGAGGTGTGCGAGCCTTCTACGTGGGTCACGAACTCTCAAACATGTCTTTCTTGATCCGGCAACAACGAGAACAAGATGACAATGTGTACCATTTTGCCAGCAATGAAATCCCACGGCGCCAAATGAAGACCGGTCATGACCAGCTTCTTATGGATGCTCTCACACTCCCAGAACCGGCCCTCGCAGACGAATTGGTCCAGGCTTATTTCACAAATGTCAACCCGGGATTCCCTATCATCGACGAAGATCTGTTCATGTCACAATACCGCAACCGGGACCCTGCAGATCCCCCGCCAATCATACTTCTTCAGGCAATTCTCCTGATCGGGGCGCATGTTACCCGTGGAAAAGTAGAGCGAGATGCTCTCAAGGAGATTTTCTTCCGCCGAACCAAGTATTTGTTCGACAATCGTGTTGAGCGAAATCGAGACATCCTTGTTCAAGCGGCGCTTTTGTTAACGTGGCACTCAGATAAGGCAGATGATGATGTCGCTGCGGATGCTCACTTCTGGGTAGGGGCCGCTGCTCGAATTGCCACAGGGCTTGGAATGCACCGTAATTCCATATCAAGCAGCTTTACGACTCGGGATAGACGAATGTGGAGAAGGGTCTGGTTTATTCTCATCCAATTCGATGTGCTGATTTCTCTGTCATATGGCCGACCTCAAGCAATGTAAGTCGATTCAAACAAGCCAACCTGCAGCAAATACTCACAAAGCCTCAATCAGCAATCTGGACGATTCTGACGTCTCTCCCTTAACGCCATCCGATTTCGAGAATTGTGGCCCTCATGTCCAAGCAGAGTTTGTGATCCACTTCACCGAGCTTTGCACGATGATCTCGTATCTCATTCGCGATCGATTTGGCCTTCGGGCGAGTGAGGAACGGCGAAAGGCTGTGCTCCAGGAAGCCGACGGATCACTGGCGTCCTGGTCCCTGAAGCTTCCTGATAATCTCCGACTCCGAGCCTCTGACATGGATCCATGGTCTGCCATGCTTCATCTAACCTACAACAACTTCCTCATTCTCCTGCACCGGCCTCATCCCAGGGCCTCGGCATATTCTGACGACTATGGCCCTCATGATGCGGAAATTTGCAGCGCAGCCGCCGGAGTTATCGCATCCATCTTCGAAGAGCTCCGCATGCACGACCGCCTGAAATTCCTCTGGTACACAGGCGTCCATACCCTCTTCACAGCCATGATCCAAGTTCGGGTGGAGCTTCGGTTCTCCAACCCTGTTCTTGCCATCAATGCATTGCGCCGGTTCGACTCCGCCTCTTACTCGTTACGGGAGTTGTCTCAATACTGGCTCCACGCCAGCACCATCCTGCGACTCTTCGAAGACTCCAAACGTCTACAAGAGGATCTTCGGATGGCGACTGCGGAACGGCCAAAGCAGTTTGGCGACTCCCAGCCTCAACATGGGATGCCAACCAGGTCTCCTGCTCCGTCAATAAACATGCAAACTCCGCGACCACTTTCCTTCGGCGTGCCTACTCCCGAGTCCACGCCTCTTCAGACAAACCTCTCACCACAGCCCAATCCTCCATTCGATAACTGGATCGCTCCTCTCCGACTCAATGTTGGTCCAATGGACAGGACCGACTCTTTCTCCAGCAGCATGCAGGTGGATTCCATCGAGCCAGCTCGGGACTATCCAGATTGGCGACAGCTCTTTGCCTTCGGGGATGTAGATCTGCCTCCACCTGTGGGAATTGAAGGCCTACCCGAGCTCGAAGATGAGTGGCGGCAGATTTACTGGCAGGATGCTCCGATGGCAGACCTCATCCATGATGGAGGCTGGATCCATGGTTAGCTGCTAGCAACCTTTCCCCCTCACGATGACCATAGAGGTGTCATTTTTCTTTCATCAAGTCCTCTCCACATTATTCTAACATCTACCTTGACGACGAGATGAGCCATGCCAGGGCACGCATATAGACGATATCTGTCAAGAATCAGGCCGCAGACATGAACAGGCCGAGCCTACGATACCACGTCAGAGTCTCACATACGAAGATAGAGATATACCATGTCTTATGATTGCAAATAGTTATATTGGATAACCCCGCGGGAACGTTTTTCCTCTTGTATTACGATGCTATCTGAACATCGTCTCTGGACGGAGTAGTCACACAGCGCGACAAATGAATGATCGCTAATTGACAGGCCCGAGAGTGGCCGCAGAAAGGTGCATGAAATCAAGAACGACGCCGACGCTCGCTCATGCAGGAAAGGAAAATATCAAAATGAAGACTAACCGTAAACGAACCGCTGCCAATTGTCTGCAAAACGCTTCACACCCTCTTCCAGCTCCCATCCGCGCAGCGTACAGATCTCTCTCGCAGCAGTTTCCAGCATTTCATCTATCTCTGGACCCGCAGTGTGGTAATCACTCTCAAGAAGAATGCGGTCCTCAGGCACGTACTTTATAACCTCAGTGACATTCGTGGCGCCCTCTTTCATGTTGATGACCTTCGAAAAAGAGAAGTAAAAATCGCACGGATGGGCCGCGTTCATAAACTCACGAACAGGGCCAACATTACCACAGTAACTATGCACGCAGACACGAGGCGGAAACGGCAGTTTTGAATACCCAGTCACATCCGACTGCGCTTCAATCCCGGTCTTACCGTCGCCGCTGACCTCCTCATCAGATAACGCACCCGGAGCATCACGCTGCTGGCGCCTCTCGCGACGCGTCGGCACAGCCTTCTCATATCCCGCCCACATCTCTCTCAACAACTGCAGAGCGGTACCATGACATTGCACGCTGTGCAGGGATACGGGTCTCTTCAGCTCAGCGGCAAGCTGGAGCTGCGCTTTCAGCACAGTACGCTGGTGGTCCATGGCGGTACGGTATGCCGAGAGCCCGCGACGCGCGGGAGGATCCTGGCCATCTCCACCGTTCTCAACAGCTGTCTGTGGCATCGGGATCCGGAAGGCCTTGTCCAGACCGACCTCGCCGACGAGCGCGTGTGGGAATTGCTGCAGTCGCGCACGTGTCTCCGTGATGAACTCGGAGAGCGGCTTGGGGTCGGGGAGTGCATCGATGAGAGCTTGATTCTCCTTACCCGGGGACACTGCCAGAACCGCAGCGTAGTGGGCTGCTCGGCGTGCGGCGGGGGACTGGGTCATATCATGGGCGGTGTCATCGATGAGCAGGTGCGCGTACCACGGATGCCACCCGAAGGAGGGGACGACGCGGTCGTTGGTGGAGTTTGTGTTTTTGGCGGAGAAGGATATCGCGGTTTGTGCGACTAGATCCTGGTTTTCATTATTGGTGGACATGATGGTTAGGGTTGTTGCTTTCATTTGCGGGATCGAGGTGATGGAGGCTTCCGTGTCGGTGGGATGACAGTGCGCATCGTGGACGCCAATGGCCCAAGGAAAGGGGGTTTCCTCGGACATTTTGAAGGTCTTGGCATCTAAACGTCAGGGATAAAGATGGATAGAATGTGGATGAAGAGGGAGAAGACAAGGTCGTGATATCTGCTCTCGTGAATCCTCGGACCTCTCGCCTGTTCGTTATCGTCATCGTTATCGGGAATGATGAATGATAGGCACGTGGGTCCACGTGGTTACTGCCGCCTTCCTTTGCACATACTTGTTACTGATTGGCTTTTCCAGCTCCACCGCCTTTCATCCGCCTTTCTACAAAGATGACATCACTTACTTTGTGCCTGGGGCACCAATCACATGCTTTCTCCGCAAACTGATTGTTGGACTCTGCCTCTCTGAGACATCCGACAGACGTATCTAAAGCCTCTAGAGTCTAATGGATATATTCTAGCCCTCCGCCCCCCTCCCGGGGAAGTAGCTTGAATCCCCTCAATGTGGTCCACGCTGTCCTCGCTGCTCGCACTACCACTCTTGTGCCTAATCTCCCTCCCACTCATCCTCTCAGCATGGATAACAATCTCCCTCGCATTCTTCGCTCTAGTCCTCCGACTATCAATAGTCTACCTCGAGCTAGCCTTCGGACTGATAAAGCATTTCTTCTCGATCCCAACATCATCCACATCCTCATTACTAGCATTCACAGCCTCAGAACCACCAACACCAGCAACAGGTAGATCAAGACGCAACTCCAGCCAACCTGCACTCCACCCACACAAAACGCATAACGACACTCTCACATCCTGGGCCCTTACAAACCAACCCGACCCAACCCGTAAAAAGACCTACGCAAAAAGCATGATCGAAGCCCACAACCTCACTTCCACACCTGGCTTCCCCCGCCTCCCGATAAGCGGCGACGAAAGACGAGATTTCGAAGGCGTAGGCGGCTGGCGCTCCTACAAACGCAAAGCAAAAAGCCTGCGAGAAAAACCAGACTTCTCCGTATCGTCTTCTTCAACACGTAGCACAAGCGCAGACGTCGACGAAGACGCAGAAGCAGAAGCAGACGAGCGAGCCTGGCTATCCCTAAACCACAGACTCGAACTCCCCTCCCAGCTCGTCACACTGGGGACGAGTCAGCACGCCAGTTCCCGGAATAGTCCGGACACGGATTCGCGAGCAAACTTCCCTGAACATCAACAGCGGGATGCTCGCAGTGCACAGCGACACCACCACCGCTCGCTAACGACTTCGTCGCTCATGACTTCTGATCGGCGAACGGGGACGGGACTCTCGCTGGCGCTGTCGACGAGACCTGACTCGGCTGGTCTGCGTGGACAGAGGCTGGCGGCGCCGTTTATGACGCCGCAGCCGTATGGGATGTTTTCGGCTTCGCAGCGTGGGCCTGTGCGGGCTTTTGCTGCTACTGGTGCGCTGTCTACGGGGTTCCATGTCTCGGGTTGCGGGGATGGGATGGGGTATGGTAGTGGGGGTGGGTACTTTGCGTTGAGACGGCCTGGGTCTTCGAGTCAGGTTGGCTCTAGGAGGGGGAGTCCTAGTGCTAGTGGGTATACGACGCCTGGTGCTGGGTTGTCGGGTGAAGAACGCGATGCGTCATCGTTGGGGCTGGCGAGGTTGATGGCGCATTATCCTACGAGTCCTAGGCATCGGAGACAGAGTATTTCTGGGCCGAATTTGAGAGGTGGGGGAGCTTGGTGGGAGTTGATGAGGGTTGTTCCATTTTCCTTTTTGGGGTTGCAAGAACCTGCACATATGATCAGGAAGAGAGGCATGATTTGATTATAATATTGTTTCTCCAACTGGAGAATCTATTGCGCCGGTTCTGTGCAAGTCTATCAAAGCAGAATATGTATCGTACAGGATGTATCCATAGGGGAGGGACAGACAGTGGTACGAAATAGGCTCGAAACGAGTAAAAGCCAAGAAACGAGAGACGGAGGTATACAACACGAAATATCAGCAACATCATACCCAACGATATCATAGAGCATCATTCACATTATAGGAATCATATCATGACTGACGATTCCGCTCCCGCTTATTGACCTCTTCCATCTCGGCAAGGACAATGCTGTTAAACTCCTCCCAGCCATCAAGATACAAATGATGGCCAGCTCTCTTGACGACGACGACTTTGGACGAGCCTTCATCGGCGCGCTTTTCTTCAGGGGTAGCGTTTTGTAGAACCTTTCGCTTTTCTTCTTCCAACCGAGCAGCAGCAGCGTGGCCGCCCGAGACATCCATCCAATCATGGTCGCCGTACATGAATACCACAGGAAGGCCGTTCTCGCGCCGTGGGGATGCGTCGGATGAAGAATTGGCGGTGGAGGCAGGTGTAGTCTCGGAGGTTGAAGAAGTGGCGGCAGAGGTTGGACCGGGGAGGACATTTGTATTATTTTGGATTATTTGTCTCCCAAGGCCGTGGATACGGTGAATAAGAGGACTGCGGGCAAATGCACCAGGAGCAAGAACATAAGCCAATGCGTACTCGCCGCTACCGCGAAGGCTGAAGATCGAGTATGAATAGTCGTGGAGTGCCTTGGCTTCCTCGGCTGGTAGGTGAGAGAAACGACGAGAAGTCCATCCAGAGACAAGTCTAGGCCCCAAAGGACCGGCCCACCGCACCAAGCTGAAGGGGGAGATATTGGCCTCCCACAGATATGCGAACCATTTGGGGAGCGCCCGTCGTGGGGCCGGGGCAGTAGGGGGAGCATCGGGCGGTAGTGGCTGTCGCCCAGTGATGAAGCTACCATCGGTCGTCGGGGGTACTGTCGGCGGAATGGCAGATGATGCAGTGATATCTCGCTGGTCATGGGCAAGTTCGTTTGGCAGCGTTGACGGCGATGGCTCCGCCACATCTGCGGTGACAGCATATGGGTCCTCCGGAATACCGACTGGAGATGCCAGGATGAGCTTGTTGAGATGACCGGGATACTTCAGCGCGTAGGCGACCGCCATGTACCCGCCGAGACTGTGTCCGAGCAAGGTGAAGCGATCAATCTTGCGCTTGATGCGCCATTCCTCTAGCGCATCCACGAACCAAGCTTCGGCCTCCCTAATGGCCTGTTCTCTTTCCTTTGCCTTGATCTTGAATGCGGGTCGAGTACTTCGGCCCATGCCCAGCATATCCAAGGCATGTAGTTGCCAGCCCTTCAAACGACTCAAAGGTTCAAAGTTCTTATAGAAGAAGCCTAGTCCGGCGCCGTAACCATGGAGCATGACCAGATGCTGATCTGCTTCCTCTCCCACTCTCTCCACCGAGAACTCATTGAGCGCACGGTCTTTCCCGCTCAATTCCACCATGCTAGAGCGCCATCGACGAGGGCCATACGGATCGTCGAGGGAGCTGGTGCTGACCTCACCCTTCTGGTTATGGTCTGCGGTTTCCAAGCTGCTCGGGGTAGCGCCGTCCGGAAATTCTGCCGTGTTTCCGGTCTGGAGGTGGGTTGGTGGCTGGTGATGCAAGTAGGGCAGATAAGAAAGGACCTTATGTTCGGCAACTGCGGCTGGTAGGCGAGCCCACTAAATCAAGTACATTGTTAGTGGCTATGCAGTAATGGGGGTTCCTCTGATGCGGCTTACCCATTGACTGAAGCCTTCTTTGTATCCCAGCGGGAAAAGTACGCGCGCCGCTGCCGCGCCAGCAGCAGCTTGAGTCGCGTATGGATTTCCTGGAGAAGCTTGCTGGGTATTGCTTCCAACTGAGTGTTGCTGGCGCCCATGGACGTCCTCTTGGGACGAGTTGAGCGACTCTGACGCCATTGAAGAAAGTTGTCCGCGAGGGACAGTGGCGAAAACGACAGAACGTGGTTTGGCCCGGCGTTGAAACCCCAAGGGGGAGACAAAAGGCAAGGATGGTCTAGTTGCAGGTATGTTGGGAAGTTGAAAAGATTGTAAAAGTTGAAATGTGGCGGTCATGGACGTATAAGAGGGAAAACGGAGACAAGTACGGTCACTCCGCTTAACCCCGTAAGCATGCGCCGGGCAGAGTAATATCCGATGGAAGCGACTTGATGGAAAGAAAGGGGGGATTTGATTTGGATGCTTTATAACGTTGACAAGAAGACAGCCCTCATAGTCAATGATCACAAAACCGGATCTCTTCGAAGTATACAGCCAAGGGCGGAGATGTGTCGATCCCGGAAGTTCGCTTCCAACTCGCCGGAGTCGCCGCCTTTCTCCCTTCACATGCGATGACACTCTGCCTGGGCCGGAGCGGCCATTGATTTGCCCAACACTTTGCCTTGCAGCTTTGTTTCTATACTCTGTTCTTTGTATTTTGATTGTCTCTCAGCATGGCCTCACCTTTAGACCAGGTGGTCAAGGGTGCCCCAGCACCGGGTGCTCGCGCCCTAACCCCAGAGCCATTGAACTCACAGTCATCTCAAGCCCAAACCCCTCCAGATCGTTCGTCCACACCACGACCCGCGACCCCAGACCCGCTAGCAACACTCCCTTCCTCCCCGCCCCAGATCTACCTGAACCTCTTAATCCTCGAGACCTCGCTGCGAGCCCAATACCTGGCTCTGCGCGAGCGACGCCGCCAGAACACTTTCTTCATCCTCCTTCTGACCGTATGGCTTGCCTACTTTTCGTACGCTCTGTTCCTTCGCCCGCGTGAAGATGGTCGCGGAGTCGGCGGCTCCGTCTATTGGGTGGTGGATATAGCGGAGAAAGTCGCCCTGCTCGGCGGGGTGGTGACAGCGCTACTGGTCTGGGGAACGGGACAATGGGAACGCGGAATCCGATGGCCGAGACGCTGGCTGGCTGTCTCAAATCGGGGCCTACGAGTGATGAACACCAAGATCATCATCATCCGCGGTCCCTTCTGGCAGGAGCTACTCTCTTACATCTCATTCCTATTCCCCTTTTCCCTCCCATTTCTCCCTTCCCCAAACGGGAACTACCAGTACGTCGACCCAAGTCTCCTAGACAAGCGCCCTGCAACTACTGCAACTGCAGCAGCTGCTGGTAGTCGGCAGCACTACCAACAATACTACAACGGCGCCGAGATCGAAACCGGCCTCGTAGAAGAAGACCTCAGCCCAGGAGGCGACTACATCCGCCTCCTCCTCCTTCCGAAATCCTTCTCCCCCGAATTCCGCGAAAACTGGGACGATTACCGCACAGAATTCTGGGAAAAAGAAAACGAGCGCCGCGCCCAACTCCGCATCAAACTCCGCGAGCGCGAGAAACGTCTCGCACAGGAAGAAGGAAGCTGGCTCGGCCGACTAGGACTAGGCTGGCGCGCCTCACAGCGTCGTCGTCTCCTCGCAGGAACCCTCCATCGACCCCTCGAGCCGGAATTCAAACACCGTCTCAGCCACCACCACCACTCCATCTCAAAAAGCCACGAGCACCGCGCTTCTTCCTCCCGTCGGAACACCCGCTCCGACTCCCATTCCCGTACCTCTTCCCGTAGCACCACCCCCGTTGACGCGGGCCATGACGATCGTCCGCCGTCTCGCTCGTCGACTACCCGGCCCCGTCGCAGTAGCACTGCTTCGGGACAGGATGCTAGTCCGCAACAGCGGAACCGGAAGAGCTCGACGCTTCGAAGGGGGCTGTCGCCTCTTACCCAGGCGCAGATCCGGGAGGGTGTAAGGACTCCGTCTTTTTCATCTGATGATTCTGCATTGCCCGGCGGCGTGATTGAGAAGGATAGGGAGGAAGCTATACCGGCGTCCGTCTCGGAATTGTAATACTGGCTGACCCGAACGGTAGTCCATGTTTATGCTGTTCATATTTCTATACCCTTTATTCCATTTCTTTCTACTCTCGTGCCTGTCGGCTAGACATGCGTTTGTTCGCGCTGTTTTTGGAAACCTGCATTCGCTGTGCATTTCCCTCGGAAGACGATTCATTTGGTTCTATAGATAATGCATATGAATTCTTTGGATCTCCATCCCGAGGTCCCGTTCCTTACGGAGTACATGGTTATCAAGCACGACGATGGTTAAATCAAAAGTATTCATTCATATCCTCATATTGAGTCCACTATATTTTCCCCAGTCTGGCACCAAACGCCAAACACAGAAAATCATGCAATGATATCAATCCCGCAATGACAAGAAAAGCATGCTCGTAAATTTGGGAGCAGACATGTCCAGCAATTCTCCCTCCTGCGACTCCGTACGAAGACTAGAAAAGTATGGACAGTACCGCAAAGCCCAGATAACTCAAATCCGGTATACACTTTCGTCCTCCTCCTCGTCGAGATACATCAGAATATTCTCCTCATTCAGGACCCGCACAGCCTTGATAGTCTCAGACCGGGAGAAGATTTGCGAGGGGCCATGGTTGGGTGAATTCCGGATGGCAGTATTGACGACATCGACCAGCTCGGTGATAGTGCTTGTATCAGTGTTTATGAAAACAGTCTTGCCCATGAGTGGACCCAAGATCTGCCGGAAGACGTCCATGCGGACAGGACTGATGGGAACCTCTGCGGGTGTAGACTGCGACTGTGAGTCTAGCTGGGATTCGACGAGCTGCGAGGCTGGTCGAGAGGACGCCATTGACATCTGCGAGTCCGATTGTGTTTGTGTGCGACCTGTCTGACTCGAGCGGAGACGTTCAGCACGCGGACTGGCTGTGTACAGACTGTCTGGGTCTTCCACATCGTCTGGAATGGGAACGCTCGACTGCATTGCGGTGCCTCGTGTGCGTGCTGTGCCAGTGCGTCTACTGGGTGTGGCGGTGGATTTGCCGCGGTTGTCATCATCATCGGAGTCGGAGTCGCGCTCGGCATCGCTATCGTCGTCGGAGGAATCGGCGGTATTCACCTTGCGTCTCTTCCGGCGCTCGTCCTCGAGCACTTCCTTGAACATGGCGAACCGCAGAATGGCCTCGGCATGCTTGGCATCGCTTTGCTCCACTCGGTTAGACAGACGCGCCTTAGCGTGCGCAGTAGACAAACGAATCAGCGTCTCCAGAGTACGGGGAGTGATGGGTGACGTGCGACGCTTGTTGCCGGTGAGTTCGTCATTTCGGAGGGCCGAGTAGGTGGCGATGACGTGGTCGGCCGCACCCTTGGTCAATACCGGCATGATTCGCTTTTTGGCGTACTGAATGTATTTCTTGATGAAGGGAATGCTGATGATCTCCACGTTCTTGCCACGGCGGCGGCCAGCATTGGCGGCGTCGATCATACCACCGTGGAGCATGACGTTGAATTTCTCAAACACCTCACTAGGAGCATTGCCATCTTGACGATCTTCAATTCCCACGCCCAGCGTTTGATTTAATTGTTCCCGAACCGGCGCTCCCTCCTCGGTGCCAGGCTGGCGGTAGCGGTGCATCCGTAAAACGTGCTCCGAGATTCTTCGGTCATGGGCATCCTCGATATCATCCGTCACGACAAATAGCAAATCGAAACGAGATAGTAGGGAGTCGGGGAGAGCAATGTTCTTGTGGGGATCCTTGTGGGGATCATACTGGCCATACACCGGGTTGGCTGCTGCGAGAACACTGCAACGAGCGTTCAAGCTTGTGTGGATACCGGCCTTCGCGATTGTGACGGTCTGTTGTTCCATAACTTCGTGAATAGCGACACGGTCGACATCGCTCATCTTGTCAAACTCATCAATACACACCACGCCACGGTCACCCAGAACCATGGCACCGGCCTCGAGTCGACGTTCCCCGGTTTCTTTGTCAGAGGTGACGGCAGCAGTCAGACCTACACCGGAAGAGCCTCGACCGGTCGTAGCGATTGCCAGTGGCGCAGTGTTCAATACGAATCGGAGAAGCTGAGACTTCGCTGTCGAGGGATCACCAACCATAAGAATGTTGATATCGCCACGAAGATGAGTTCCGTTGTCCAAGTTCTTCTCCATTCCACCAAGAAGCATCAGCAAGATTGCTTTTTTGATATAATCATGCCCGTGGATACTGGGAGCCAGAGACTTGGACAACAAGTCAAATACATTTCTCTTCTTCGAGATCTTATTGATGTTTCGAATGTCGGTATCGGTAAGAGTAGCTTCCGCGATACCTCCACCACTCTTTGAAGATAACTGGACGATATTGTTCGCCATGACGACGGTGCGGAATGTCGCCGAGGCATTGCCTGCATTTCGATTACCGAGGGTACGATAGATGCCCACCAGCTGGATTCGGTCTCCAGGCTTGGCGGTGTCGACGAGGTCGTCGTCCAAAATGACATCGACACTTCGGGGTAATTGACCTGCCGGGGCACGTTCGGGCATTTCTTGGATGGAGATTGACTGGTGATCGAGGTATGTCGAATAGCCGTACTCGGTGATAAGCTAGCGATCACAATGTCAGTGCCTAATAATTGTGTCAGATGAGGAAACGAGACTCACCGGGTTCTTCTCATCGTCCTCTTGGGGGTAAACGTTCAGACTGGTTGCGCCACTCGCACTCATAGTTTGATCACGATATTTTCTATAGACGAAGCGATCCTTCGACTCGACATAATGAACACTCTGAACAATCTTGGGGCGTACTAGGGAGCATTTGGTGACAATTCCCTCGAGTGAGACCATGTGATTCAATTGTTGTGAGCCCAATGTGCGTGGATTGCAAGAGAATTCTCCAAATGCGCCAACGTAGGCGCAGTAGTAGTTCTGCCAATGGTGTTAGACAATCAATGGCTGCTAAAGAGTATCTCTGAGTCAATACACACCGTTTCATCTGCTGTTTCCTTAAGTGGTCGGCCAGGCAAAGTTTTGACGACCGCTTTCAGGGCCATATCAAAGGCTTGCGAATAATCGAATGGAGACGAGAGCAGCCTAATGAAAAGCGGCGATTAGTTGGCATCTCAATACTTGGTACAAAGGTGCAAATTACCCATCGGCCAGCTCCCGGTTGTGTGCTCGAATCTCATCGATGCTAACCTATCCAACAATATCAGCATCGCCTCCTGGCAGTGGATTTGAGGGGTTCACGCACTGTCAGACGTCGCCCACCCTTATTCAGCATAACCACAATATCGGCTCGGTAACTGTTGCATTTGTTAGAAATGTATGGTGAGGACAGCGAGGTTTGGTATCGACGGACCTGCGTGCCCGTGCATCATCTGGCAAAGAAAAACAATTAGTTTTAGTTACAAATGATAGAAATTGAATCAACTTACTTGGATCAAGAAACTCAGTGGCAGCGCGTATGCGATCCTGCGCGGCCTCATCTCGTAGCTGTACGCCGTCCATGATGTGTGATGCAATTTAGTGTAGTGGTAGGGAGGAGTTCGAGGGGGAGTGGAATTTCCCGATTTGCTAAAGTGGAACGCGTAAAGTGACACGCGAGGAAAGCGCGTCGCCGGAACCCACGTGCCGTGATGAGTCAGCAAATAAATTTTTCGTGGGCTATATAAGCGGCCATCCCCCCGATCCTTTTTCTCTTCTTCAAGCGACTCTACGTACGTTCTACTCCCCCCAACAGTTGGGAAATCCTCTGGGATTTCTCAACGAACTTGGTCTTTTTGAACTTGTTTACTGACTTGCCTTCTCCTACAGTTCAAAGAATCACTTTAGAGTAGACGTCCCCTTTCTAAGCTCTTTAAAAGAGCCACAGAATCTCCACCCTTGCTGATGACTACATGTCCTCGATGCCCTAAAGTGAAACCTTTTTACTTCCGCCTCGACTGTTACGCGTGCTGTCCGCAGTGTCTGTGTTTCGGTCTAGGGAGTGGTGATGATCTTGACCTGGTCTCGACGTCTGACTTCGGTCGGTCGGTCCTGGTGGGTGTCGAGGAGGTCTGAAAGGTCCTCTTCCATTCTGGTTGATGGTATGGATATCTGTGAATGTGGGCTGTTGGTTTTAAATATCTCATTTTCGCATAATAAAATTCTGTTCGAAGAAATTTTCATCCAACCCGTCGTACAGTAACTTTATAGACCCACTTGGTATTGATTCCATCTTGCTTCAATTCTCTTGCAGGTTGATGGTGAATTGTATGGTCGTTTCTTCCATGGCGTTTTTGTTCCCCTTACGGTAAATAGAAGCATACATGGAATTCACCGTATTGCGAACACTGCAAAAACACTGCAAAATGCCTTGCTCTGCTGCAAACCTCCAAGTTTCCTCAGCCGACCTGCAAAAGGCGGTGCAATTTGGCCATCCACCGTCTGCTGCAGCGCTGCTTCCTCCGATTAGGTTTAGCGCGCCAAAATCTGGCAGAACTTTTGGATCATGTGGAAATAAACAGACAGAGAATCAATAGAGAAACACTGTATGTATTCCGATGGACGAAGAGGATAAAGTGAGAGAAAGAGGGAGCAGGCAAACAATAACATAGCTGGGTTCTATCATATCTGTGATGCCTCGGGCAGGCATCAAACACATCCAATGTGATAAAGTACTGAAGTAAATCCATCCCGAGTCCCGACTTCCATGTCATCAACTTAACCTAGTCCTACCTGCAGGGCAGCTGCCTCGTATTCGCCCGAAGTGCACAGTTTACGGTTCTTCCCAACCCTTCCAGGTTTAGTGACATTAGGATAATGGACGCTAACTACTTAGTACTTACTAGGTACCTGTACCTCCGCAATGGTCCCGGAGCCTCTGTGGATATATAATTTCGATATCCTCCCCGATATGTTTCGCAGCCCGTGATCCATTCTCGAATCGATTCTCTAGGTACTAGCAGTTGAAAAGAACCTAGTTTCCTCCCGCCATTGTTAGGCCACAGGCATTCACCACCATGCAATTAACTCCTATCCTCATTGGCGCCCTCTTTGCTTCCGGCCTACACGCCGCACCCGCTGCCGGCGCCGGGCAGAGCGCAATTGACGGGAACGTGATATTCAAGCGGTCGGGCCAGTTGTGCAGAGTCCTCGCGGACGAAGTCAATTGCCGCACCGGGCCTGGCACAAACTACAAAAGTATCGTGCGAATCTCCAATTCCTGGACACGCGGGTACTATTTCACCTGCGTTAAGTCGGGCCAATGCATTACCTTGAACGGCGCCGTCAACTGGTACGTGTATACCCTGCTGGACCGGTGATGTTGCCGACGTACCGGGTATACTAAAACCTTTTCTTGTTACTTAGTGGTTGGGATTACCTTGAGGAGGAGGGATGTTATGTGAACGGCCACTATACTGACGGCTCCTGCACTCTGGGTATGTGTTTCCCCAATTTAGCCCAACCTGCTGAGGTCCATTTTCCTGATTTGTACGACGATAGCGAAGCTTGGGCGCTGTTAATTTTGATGGGCATGCCCGGCACTGCTGTTGGACTTGGGAAGTTACTGTGTAGGTATTTGGTGGGTAGTACCTTAGTGTACTGTGTGTGTCATCGTGCGCAGCGATATCGTGTTGTTATATCAATCTTAGGCACCAAGAGGATAGCTTGCAAAATATCGAATGAAGTTCACCAAATAGGTAATCTATGCAAAATGGGGTATAGATCAAGAAAGGCCAATACTGTGTAGACAAAGCGCTGAAAACAGGTCCACATGGAGAGAAGCTACGAGTAAACTACCGACCTCAACATGGAACCATAGATGCTACCGCGTACTACCTAGTATGAGATCCCCAAGAGAGGCATCAATAGGACATGAAGTCGAGTGTCAGATATTATCGGGTATGTGCTGCACATGAAATGAAATTGGAGAATATATTGTACAAAATGAAGTGACAAGAATGGAGGGTAAAAATACACAGTCGCTGGACATGAAGAGCACCTCATCCGTCTTCCGAACCTGGTCTAAACCCAGCCCAAGATCTTCTGTACTTTGGACGGAACTTCCGTGGGCCCTTTTTCACATAAAGCCCGGTGTCCGTTTTGATCAGCTTCCACGATGAAGTCCTGTACTTCCACCTGCGATTGAGCCTGTCAAACAGCCTTCCCTCGGGACCCAGCCCCTTGGCGCGCAACTCTTTTATATCAGAGAAACGTTTTCGCATAATGTTGGCGCGGAGCAAATCATCCCTCTCAAATGCTCTACGGATACGCCCTTTCCAACGCGCTTTCTGACGTGACCACATGAATCTGGCCTGGAGTTGCTCGTGAAGTTCCTCTTCCAGCGTGATTCGGTCTTCTGGGGCAAGGAATTCCCATGTTGATCCCAGCAATTCTTTTTGCTCATTGGGGGAAACCAAGCCAGTCAAACTCGGCTTGTTAACAGCAGGTCGACCGAACTTGAAAGGCTTCCGAGCCGCGCCGGTAGTACTCGACTCGTCAACGGCGGGATCCGATGTCGATGCCTCTTGGGTCGCGCTAGTAGTGCTGGACTGGCCGGTGGCGGAGAAATCAAATTCGAATATATTCTCAGTCAGGACAGGGGCAGGTGGCGCTTCAACTTCGAGCGACTCCTGTGTCGCTTCGGCTGTACTTGTGTCATTGTCATCAACTTCGTGGGGATCGAATTCAAAAGGCTCTCGGGTCGCACCCCAGAAGGTGCGCAGTTTGAGTTTAGGGTTGAGACCGAGAGCGCCGGTCCGCGTGGATTCTAGCCTAATCGGGAACGCTATGGGAGGTCTGGATTTTTGCCCACGAAGGATCTCGGCCTGGTATCGGTCACGCATGAACGGCATCGAAGCAAGGATAGCGATCGTACTTGGCGCAACTTTATGGAGGCTCCCCAACTGCGTAGTCCCCTCCACGATACTCCTATGCCGAATCCGTTTCAGCGTGCCGGCTAGATGCACCATAGTGGGGTAATGAGGGTGCATGTAGTCGGGCCGAATTTTGCGCCACTGCCTTCGAGCATGTCTCCCCATCACCCTGCGAGGCTTGGTGATACCCCGACGACCCTCGAGATGAAGGATTGTCACAGGCACATCTATCGGCCGTACGCCATATCCCTTGCGGAACCACGACCATCCTGGGAAGTGAGGTACAAACTTCTCTTCGAACAGTCGAAAAGCTTCCGCATTATCGGAATAATCCTCAGATCTCGAAAGTACTTCGATGTAGGCGGACCAGTTGAAACCGGTGAGCTCAAAGCCTGCTTCCTGAACCTCCGTCACAACTCGACGGATTTTCTCGAACTCGCCTGCGCCGGCCAAAGATCGTAGGTATATCGAAAGTGCAGAGTCCAAGACGAAGCGATTGCTATGCAGAATCTTGGGGGTTTTTGCTGGTGTGCTGGGTGTTGAAGTCGTTGACGATAGAGAGGACTCTGCTGGTTCTGACAGATCGGGACTCAAAAGTTTATCCATGTCGTAGGCACCGGCTACCTTGTAGACATTAGGTAACATGATGTCCCAGCATTCTTGCACTTGCTTGAATCTCTGGGTTCTCAAGCAAGCTAGCATGACAGGTACGACGAAGCCCATGGGGATCGAGGCCAAATCATTCCCCGAATGTTCCATGTAATATTTTAAAAGGTCGAGTGCTCTTTCAGGGGCAGCTTTCGTGCCGTATGCATGGATCAGCTGTTGAAAATGAAGCGCGGTGAAAGCCTTTTTGTCAGGGATACCAATCTGGAGCCCGGTGATAGGTTGTCGACGCTTGACTGGCGCGGTATCGGAATTGAATCGTGCGATAGATTGAATGATGGTCTTTTCCGCGTTCTTCAAGACCACATTTTCTGTATCTATCTCACTGTCGTAGGCATTCTCCAGATCCCTCACAATCTGCGTCCGCAGTTGCGCAAGGCTAGCATCCATTCCGACTCGGCCGAAGCGCGTTTCCATTTCCTGGGAGATAACTCGCACCATGTCGCGGTTTCGTGCGTTTGCATATCCAGTCAAGAGGATAGAAAAATGTTGTTCTGTGGGCTGTATGCCAAGGTTGTACATCCTTCTGAGGGTCTTACGTGCACGCTCAGGTTGCCCGCTATGGACGTAAGCAAGCATGATAGCCGCATAAGTCATAGCATTAGGTGTCAACCCAAGCTTTTCCATGCGGTCCAAGATGCGCCGGAAGGAATACTTGGAGACTCTGACTGCGTACTCTGTTAGGATGCTATTCCACATTGTCACGGGAGACCCTCCTGTCGCCATATGCCAGCCCTTTTCAACAAGCTCTTCTGCTTCGGTCATCCGCCCATTCTTGACGTACGCCTGCACAGCCGTATCGAGCATTGGCCTTGTGATTTCCACGCCATTCTTTTCTGCGTATTTGTACAATGCGCGGACACTTTGAATGTCACCTCGCTTGGCGAAAAGCGCCATCAGCGGGCCAAGCGAGTAGGGAGTGGCCTTGACTCCCTTTTGCCGCATTTCAGTCAAGACGTCGATCGCACCTGTGGCATCTCGAGCCTTACAGTACGCCAGAACCAAGATGTTCCAAAACACAACGTTCGGCTTGATAGAAAACTCTTCGACCGTTCGGTCGAATTGTCGGCGTGTTTCTTGAACATCAGCGAGACGTGCATGCACGAGAAGAAGCGGGGACAACATCCAGGGATCCTTTGGCTTTCCGTGATCTGCCACAGCCCTTTCGAATATGTCGTAGACGGCTGCGACATTGCCAACGTCGGCAAAGCCATGCAAGATAAGCTTATATGTGAAACGGGATGGCCTTCCAAACAAACGGGTGAATTCGTTCAGGAAGTAAGGATAAGATTGTACCATCCCGAATTCCGCGACGCCTCGAATGATCTTAGTCAAAAGCTCTTGATCCCGCATTTCTTCGTGCGGAAAGGCCGCGCGACACTGGTGATATAAAAGAATGCACTTGACGAACTGCAGTCTCTGCTCCCCTGACTCTTCAACGAAGTGCTCTATCATTTTGACATAGTCCCGCTGATCCACGAGCCCGATAGAATCATATTGACGAAGCAGCGGAAGCAAAGTTGTTATCGGCGTGAGTCGGAGCAAGGCAGAAGACTCGATAAATCGGTGAATGAGAAGGCGAGCAAAATCATGAAGCGCACCGCCATCACCATACTCGCCACCCTTCAAACGGTATGATAGATTGAGGAGATGTCTCGCAAGAGAATAATCAACAAATTCGTAGTGGTTGAATCGATCCAAAAATGGTTCCAATTCCAGTTCACTCTTTGCTTTCTTCTCCAATATCAGCTCCCAGACATAACCGATCTTGTTCCACTGGTGGTTTTTGAGCATGTGAACCAGACCCAGCTGGACGAATTCGAGAAACGGCGTAGGCGCAGACATGGCTTCCTCGCAAAAGGAATCCAGATGGTAAGGTTTCATGCCGAATGGCAATGAGGTTAGCGACATCAGGATATTCTCGAAGTCAAATTCGGTGCGATCTTCGGGCGCAATCATGGTGAAGAGTTCCCATGCCCATTCCCGTTCTTTGGGGCGACGCGATTTACTCATATAAGCGCAGAGTGCAGATCTGAGATTCGGTGGCTGCCCAGCTGCAACATAGAGCACCCAGGCTTTATCATACTCCGTGCTGTCCCTTTGAAGCAAAGCAAACAGGTCGGCACTCGCCTGTGCATTTTCCTGGAAAGATTGTGGATATTCAGGCTCTTCAGTCTGTTCGCCTCCATCTTCCTGGCTATGCAGAACCTCTGTGGTGGCTCGGGAAAGCGCTGGAATGGCAGAATACGATCTTGAGAAGCCCAGACCTAGGCTCCTCCTCCGAGACCGAGTCCTCCTCTGGGTACGAACGAGAGGCGAGGCCAACAAGACAAGTGCTTGACGAGGGTAAAGAAAATCGAGCGGGGGCCTGTTTTCATCGCTGAACCCTTTGGTCTCGCGCTGCGTGCTGGGAACGAAGAACGATCGCTGACCCGATGCCAGCAAGAGCGCGGAAAACCAGTTGGGAGTGTGTTTCCCAGTATCACTGTGATTCCAGAAGTGACTGGGAAGGGAACTTTTATTTCGGATCGCGCCATTGGCATCTTGAAGGACACGCCGTCCAGCGTTCTCAAGGCAGCCCGTTGCCCGTTCGAGCATTGCCTTATACCGTGATGGTGTCAAACCGTAGGCTACCGATGTCGATTGCCCGTCTTGATCATGTTAAATCGAGGAATTCTGAATGAATGGGTTCTGTGTTAGCAAAATAGAGCTTTTGAGCTGCTTTGATGGTGACTGGGAAATTGCTCAGTGGTGCTATCCGTACCAAAGAAAGGGAATCGAGCCCATTGGGTCGTGTAGAGCTAGGAGTCGAGGCGCCAAAGTTCTGTAAACAATGCGGTTGGTAGCCAGAGTATGCGCGCTGGTTGAAATGCAAAAAGCAATGGACAAATCCGAGGTCCTTCAAACTTGTAGAGGACTGGGCAAAATATTCGATGTCCGAAACTGCCTGCCGGGGATTCACCGCCCGCACCGAGCCCACCACTTCAACCGTGTCCCTCCGTGCCCACATCCAAAGCACCCCAGATTTGAGGAAGCGCAGCAATAACGACTATGGAGGTGACCGAGTTTGTTTTCAAGGAGAGAGAGGAGGCTCTCCTTGTTGGAGACTACAATGCCTACCGGGCGCACACTACGAGAAAGTTACAGAAACTCCGCAAGAAGCTTGGGCAGGCCACTGTGAAAGGCCGCAAGTATACTGCCAAGCCAGCTGTCACTTCTGAGAATATTGGAAGCAATGTATTGTATGTGGCTATACTATCTCTCCTATACCGGATTGCCACAGTTGATTGCTAACCAATACTAGATATGTACACCTTTTGCTTCTTAGTTCCGAACGAGCTTGGGCGCAAGCAATGCACATGAAATCCACACATTCCGCGGACCCTTCCGCCAAGGGGATCTCTGGCTCTGCTAGACGGCACATCATTTCTCGTCTGAACAAGGCAACTGGGTATGCGTCGCATTTGGTCTCACTGCTCCACGAAAGATCGCTTTCTGGTGCGAGCGATACAGATATTCTGGAGACTAGGGCTTATGCCGCAATGATTTCGGGAACTCTGTGGCTCGAAAAGCGGAGATGGGAACAATGTCTACGTGACCTCTCTATCGCAAGGGTCATCTACACAGCCTTGGGTCAGAGGGTCAAGAAAGACGCTTTCAGAGATCTGCTCTCAGGGACTGTTGATCCTAGTCTTCGATACGCTGCCTATCAGCTGAAGCTCCCCCGCTCCAAACCTACCTCATCGCTGGCTATCGAATTCTTCCCATCGGATTCGGAGATTCGTGCCGAGGTTGAGAAGATTGACCCATCTTGTCTTGCCGAAGAAGCAGCCGGAACCCGACGAACTGCGGAAGGCGAAGTGCAAGAGCTGCCTCAATCTGTCACTTGGAGATCGCGGACTGTTCCACTCGATGATGCTTCAATCTCCCAATCGCTAGCCGCTGCCTCAGCCGCAGAGGCCCACCTCACTACCTGGCTAGCGGATGCGGGGAAGTCTGCCACCGCCAAGGAGAAAGCTGCCGCATATGACAATGTGATTATCGCCAGTCAAGATGCTGTCGACGCGACCAAAACTGCGATTGATGACCTGGCCAGTGAAGGTGTTGATCCCAGTGATAAGAGAATGCAGGCACTGCAAATCACTCGCACTGCAGTGAATTACACGTTGGTTGGCTGGCGAGTTGGCCGTAACCGGGTGTTGTGTGGGGAGAGGGATGGTTTATCGTTGGAAGAAGATGAAGCCACCGCTAGTGGAGCCGAATCAGCGAAACACACTGCTGGCAATGGGAAGAAATTGAACAAGCTTCGTGAGCGTGTCGTTCTGTATGACTCGACCCTCCAAAGCTTGGATTTCATTCTTGAGCTCCCCGGTGTTGCGGCCGACTCGGCCCTTGTACAGGATCTAGAAGCCAAGCGGCACTACTTCCGGGCTCTCAGGTATGCTTTTCGTGACAATTATGACCCGTCCCCGCAACTAACTTTTCTCTCCTTTTGTTCAGATGCCTTGCTTTGGCTAGATCTCACGCAGTTCTCTCGAAGTCAAAGGAGGCTCTTGCCCTATTTTCACAGGCCTCGAACCTCGCCGACTCCGCTACCCCGCAAGCATCTGCCGATGCTGAAGGTGTCCCCAAGCTTGATGTCTCTGCAGTGCAATCAAGTACCTTGCAGTCGACTTTGCGACAGTTGGTTGCTCGGTATCGTGGACTTGTCACCGTGGAGCAGGCCACTGCCGAAGAGGCATCGCAGTCGAGCCAGCGTCCAGTGGTGGAGCGACTACAACAATTTGCGGGATCTGCCGTGAACTTGAACAATCTTGTGCCCTACCCGCCGCAGATGCAACCCATCCCGGTCAAGCCCCTGTTCCTCGATGTGGCATGGAACTATATTGATTATCCTCGGGAAGGCCAGCGACAGGAGGCTCCGGCGCAAGCCCAAGCCCAGGCCCAAGCTCCTGTGGAAGAAGTGACAAAGGGCAAACGTGGATGGTTTGGATTTGGTCGCTAAAACGTACATACATAACTAGCAGGGTCATACTATTACTGCGACGCTGCGTACTGCTCGTTATTTCATAGTGCATGTAGTACAACGTTCATGTATGATTGGTACAATGTAGGATGACATGTACGTTGTAGCATCAAGCACAAGCGCCCCTGCGCAGGAACCCTCCTTGCATGTAGCCAACCAGCGTCCGCCCGCTTCTCGGAAATTCTCTTGCCGGGATCACGCCGTGCTGAGTAAGTGTGGCTCGTGGTGGCGCTGATTCGTTGATTTTTCTTTTACTCATTTCTTTTTACTCCGGATTGCGAGGGGTTAACATTAGCCTCAATAATCCCGACACATACTACGGAGTACTTAGCATGAGTTGGAGACTAGACTATTAAAAGTCTGAGTCTTTACTATTACAGTACCTCTAATATGTGTCCAGATCAAACTCCTAGGTATACTCAGGTACCAAATGAAATACACTTTTTAAGCCCTTGGTAACTATCGGTCTTGCCGAAGTAACTATGGCCCCATAGAGCAGAAATCATGGATTTTGCTAGAGACATGAAAAGGAAAAGATATCATTATGACCAAGGCAGTGCCATGCAGCCCATGCTTCTAGAGCATGCCTAGTTACTCTCTATGCTAATCGCCTAGCACAATTTTATGTCAAAGGCGTACAACATAACAAGGTTTGATACCACCCGGACCCTCCGTGTAATTGGCTTCCCACCCCTGAGCCCTGAGCCCCAGTCAATCCTTTCTCCTCTCTCCCCACTCCCGTTTTTTTCCCCTTTTGTTCTGGATTCCCCGATTGCTCTTTCCTCCTCATACGCTCGGAATTTGAGAAGGACTCCGATCAATGGTCAATATGGCCAATATCACAGGGAGCTTCGTCTCTCCATCTGCGGACGCGACAGTCTCCCCCCATCTCTTTGCGCCAACGGGTCTCGTTGCAACTCTCCTAGATGGGTTCACTATCTGGAAGGGTCTCTTGACCTTCTTGGTCGCAGCTGTGCTGTATGACCAGTGTAAGTGCAATTGCCATGAGTGTGACCCGAACAAGCGCGTCTGGATATTCACATGCTCCCCCCTTTTCTACAGTCAAGTACCACTACCTCAAGGGCGCCATCGTTGGCCCTATGTACAAGATTCCCTTCATGGGACCGTTCCTGCAATCAGTCAACCCCAAGTTCACCGAATACAAGGCCAAATGGGACAGTGCAGACCTGAGCTGTGTGTCTGTTTTCCACAAGTGAGAACCCCCAATCAGTCAGGAAAATCAGGTTGCCGCGGTTGCCGCAACCTCCGCGGAATACATTTGCTAACGCTAAATGGAAGGTTCGTCGTGATTGCGTCGAGTCGTGATATGTCCCGAAAAATTTTCAACTCGCCCGCCTATGTCAAGCCCTGTGTTGTGGACGCCGCGCACAAGCTGCTCGGCAAGACCAACTGGGTCTTCTTGGATGGAAAGGCCCATGTGGATTACCGCAAGGGTTTGAACGGATTGTTCACCCGCCAGGCTTTGGCTATGTATCTGCCTCGCGCCGAGGAGGTTTTCAATGCCTACAACAAGCACTTCCTCGAGAAATCCGCCGCCAACAACTACACCCCGACCCCCTGGATGCCCGAGTTCCGCGAGCTCATGTGTGCTCTGTCTTGCCGTACCTTTGTTGGTTACTACATGACCGATGAGGGTGTTCAGAAGATCGCCGATGACTACTACCTGATCACCGCCGCTCTCGAACTAGTCAACTTCCCCATCATTCTGCCCTACACCAAGACCTGGTACGGGAAGAAGGCTGCTGACATGGTGCTCGCTGAGTTCACGAAGTGTGCCGCCAAGTCAAAGGCCCGTATGGCCGCGGGGGGTGAGATCTCCTGTATTATGGACGCCTGGGTTAAGGCTCAATTGGATTCCGCCTCCTACCGCGAGAAGATTGCCAAGGGTATTCAGGTCGACTCTTCAGAGAAGCCCAGCCAGGTTCTCCGTGAATTCTCCGATTACGAAATTGCCCAAACTATCTTCACCTTCTTGTTCGCTTCCCAGGATGCCACCAGTGCTGCCTCCACCTGGTTGTTCCAGCTGATGGCTGACCGCCCCGAGATCTTGGACAAGGTCCGTGAAGAGAACCTCCGCGTCCGCAACGGTGACCGCACTCTTCCTGCCACTATGGAGATGCTTGACAACATGCCCTACACCCGCGCCGTCGTCAAGGAGACCCTGCGCTACCGTCCTCCCGTCATCATGGTTCCTTATCTGGTTAAGAAAGACTTCCCCATCAGCGAGACTGTCACTGTCGCCAAGGGCTCCATGATCATTCCCTCCGTGTGGCCCGCTTGCCACGATGAGGAGGCTTACCCCAATGCCGACTCCTTCGATCCAGACCGCTGGATCACCGGTACTGCTGAGCAGCAGTCCAAGAACTGGCTGGTTTTTGGTACAGGTCCCCACTACTGCCTGGGACAGACCTACGCTCAGCTGTCCCTGATGTCTATGATTGGAAAGGCTAGTATGGTTATGGACTGGGAGCACACTCCTACTCCCGAGTCAGAGGATATCAAGGTGTTTGCCACCATCTTCCCCCAAGTAAGTTCTGATTCATCCCCTATTCTCTACCATGACCAATCCACTAACCTATATCAGGATGACTGTCTCCTTACTTTCCGTCCTCGCCCTTGAATTCATTTCTTCTGCACAAACAAAAAGCGAAGCTGGAACCCAGCCCCATTCTCTGGATAGAGAAGGGCTTGGTATCTTTCATATGCTGCCTTCCTGTCCTGGAGATGGGGTGGTCCACTGGCCCTTTCTTTCTTCTTTTCAATTTCGATCTTGATGCGTGATGGACACTCAGCAAGGGAAGAGTCTTTACATTGTCTCTTTTGGAGAGATTTTTTTTTTCATACCCTTACGCAAATCAGCCCTTTTGTGATTATGATCTGTTGCCCGCAAGGGGTCACTGGGGGCTTTCGGTTTCTTTCTGGCGGAGTGACTGCTTCTAGAGCCATGCGCAATTAGACTAATATTAATTGTTTTTATCTTTCTTTCACTGCCGATCTACCTCACGGTGCTATTTGTGGTCTGCTTCCACTGGTATATATTAGGCCGTCATTGCTCCTGCATACCTACCTACCTACTGACTGGGTGCGTAGGTTCTCCGGTCGTTTGGTCTTATGTGTTGTCCTTCTGGCTTAGATGATTCTGTATACAATCCAGCGGGCAGGACAGAGTATTAGATCGAATAGGTATGACGATTCTGGGTAGGTAGTATATATCCGGACACGGCCCGACACTTTCACTCGAATCTGCAAAGAAATGGATGGATAGAATTTGGAACCAACCAACTCTATCCCGAATAAACATCACACGTCAGCTCCCTGCCAACCCAATAGCCCAAGACATCCAATAAGGTTACAGATCTAAAACCTTATCCCTTGAGCAAAATCTGACCTCACCTTTAGGTACCAACCTGCAACATCAGCGAAGATATCCCAAAACACCAGGCGGTAACATACGGCAGATACTGACATCACCGCCACCATTACCTCGGCCACCATCTCCGTACCTACATCTCCTCCATACCTAACCTCCACAAACCACCGAACCCAAAAACCAAACAATGGCTTCATTATCATCAACACTTCAGCGCTCCGCCGCCACCCTATGCATCACAGCATCCAGGACCCCAACACGCACGGCCCCCTCCGCGGCTGCAGCCCTCCGAGCCATCTCCACGCCAACAACAAGAGGCCTGTCCACAACACCAACACCCAAGACAAGCTTCCTCCGCGCCCAGCAGTCAACATCTCTCAAGCCATACTCGACTAAGACCCCGTACCAAGTGCAGACACGCCAGAACAGCATCAAAGCTTCCCCGGGTAGTCTCCGGCAATGGGGGTTTGAAGAAGTACGTATCGGAGCCCAGTTCCCACACCCCATGGGCCATACCCAATGTATAATCAAGTACTAACCGGACAAAAACAGATAACCGCCGCCCTCCCAACAACCTCCCCAAACTCCCCAACCCACGCCCCCCTAATCCTAATCGACGTCCGCGAACCCGCCGAATTAACCGGCACCGGCATTATCCCGTCCGCCGTCTGCATCCCGCTAGCATCACAGCCCGACGCAATGTATCTGACACCGGACGAGTTCGAGACGCGGTTTGGATTCCCGAAGCCTGATCCGGGCCCGTCGGCGGAGGGCGGGGAGCCGGCGCAGATGGTGTTTTATTGTAAGGCTGGGGTGCGGGCTAAGGCTGCGGCGCAGATGGCTGTGCAGGCGGGGTATGATCCGGCGACTATTGGGGTTTATATGGGGAGTTGGTTGGACTGGGAGAGGAATGGGGGGAAGGTTGAGAAGTGGGAGGGGGCGGATTTTTAAGAATTCCAAAAGCAAGGACTGATGCGAGGGTTTAGTTTTGATGAGTATGGTGGTAGTGAGGAGGGAGAGGGAAAGTAGATTTGTACATATGATTGCATTTGTAAGAATGAAGCGGATGTATAAGTTACTATCAAGGTAGAAGAGGGTAAAAACATTCAATTCACTATAAGAAGCCATATGGTATCGACCAGACCTTGCTTTTCCTATACCAAATACAAGTGACTTCTCTTCCTGTTCATCCATCAAGTCACGGTCATTCATATGTTCAGATCGCAATGAAGACAAACTTTTCCCTTTTACCGAATAGCAATCATAACTCAATAAATTTTGATCTCCTCCACACGTTCTATAATGTAACCGAGGGCCATGAAGCCGACGGAGAACAAAACCTCGCCACTTGCTGGCCATTGATCGTTGATATTGGCGAGGGGAAGGAACAAGTCCCGCAAGGCTGGTGTAGGTTCGGTGCTGAGAGATCGCACGCCGAAAGCGAGCCCGAGGACTGTACTCAAGGAATGTCAAAGACGGGCTTGAGCCTCTTGACCAGTCCCCATTCATCCATGGTGACCTCGGAGCGGTAGAATTCCTTCAAAGTGTCGATACTGGCACGAGAGATGTGCGAGATCAACTGGTCCTTCTCTTCGAGGTGACGGCCATACATGGGCTGGTTAGGACCCTCGACCTTGACAGCGACGGAGGGCTGGCCTTTCTTGCAGACCGGGACGGCCTTGTGGTCGCGCTCGATGGATGTGCTGTAAAGATAAATTAGAACCTATGGTCAAATCAAATATAGGCAATGGGAAACTTACACTCTTCCAATGTCAACGATCTCCTTCACGCCAGCGGCGTTAGTTCGGACCGCAGCGAGAGGAGTGTGGAGACGCAGACTTCCCTCAATGACATCGACACCGATGACAATGGGATCGGTCTTGTTGAAGACAGCAATGGGCTTGATGATACAGGGGAAGATGGCAAGAAGCTTAGCTTCCTCCTTGCGCAGCTCTGTGAGCTTAGCCATATGCTCAGTGAAGGCATCGAACAAGTGGTAAATGATGTCTGCGGTGAAGATCTTCACACCAATTTCGTTGGCATAGGCCTGCGCGTCCTTGTCGACCTTGACATCGAAGCACAGCATGACAGCGTACTCCTTATGCTTCTCAAGCATGGTTCCGGCCATCATGACATCACGCTTGTAGACGGGACCGATCGAGATATTGGCGACGGGAATCTTGGAGACCTTAAGGAACTCCAGAAGAGCTTCAAGAGAACCCAGGGTGGAGGCCTGGACTGTGACACCACGCTGATCCGTCGAGACACGGCTCAGCAGTGACTCCAGATCGGACATGACCTCCTCCTCGAGATCCTCCTCATCATCGTCAGGGCCAACGACAAGCATGCGAGAACCGGCGATAGCATGCTCCAGATCGTTGGCAGCGATCTTCACACCAAGGGCAGCCTTCACCTCCTTGTTGTGAACATATTGAGACTTGAGACGTAATTCCTTGAGAGGTGCTGGTGTCAGGAGCGCACGAATGTTTGTTGTTATAGGTCCATTAAGACCGCACAGCACGATGCGATCACCCTCGCGAAGGATACCGTTGGACAAGATAACGTCAATGGTGGTACCGAGACCCTCAATGACCTTGACCTCCAGAACTGTACATTCAACCTCGGACAAGTACATCAGTGCGTTGGTCATACGCTCCTGACTCAGGGAAGTAAGAAGCTTCAGCATGTCAGGAACACCCTCTCCGGTGTGGGCGGAGGTGGGCACGAGAGAGACGTTGCGAGACATAGACTTGTTCTCAAAGAAGAGCTCGGAGTTGAAACCTTGCTCGGCGAAAGCAAGCTTGGTCGCTTCAAGACGAGTGCGGAACTCGTTTTGAACGCCCTTGTTCTGCATGGCCAAACTGTCTTGGAAACCGTTGTTATCGATCTTCTTCCAGCCGTATAGACGATCGATCTTGTTCAATGCGACAATGAAAGGAGTCTTGCGGTCACGCAGCAAACGCATAGACTCGAGGGTTTGGGGCTCGAGACCGTGCATGATATCCACGACCAGAATAGCGATGTTGCAAAGAGAGGAACCTCTTGAACGCAGGTTGGAGAAGGACTCGTGACCGGGGGTATCGATAATCAACAGACCGGGGATCTTGAACTCAAACTTGCCATCCTTGTTGACAACATTGGTCTTGGTACGCAGGGAATCGACAGGGAAGTAAGTGGCACCAATCTGTTGGGTGATACCACCTGCTTCGCCCTCCTGCACGTTGGTCTGGCGAATCTTGTCCAACAGCTTGGTCTTACCAGTATCGACGTGACCAAGAATACAGCAAATAGGAGATCGGAGATCGTCCTTCGAACGAGCTGCCATGGCCTCCTCGTGCTTGGCCTTTCTGCGCTCCGCGGCCTCGGCCTTTCTTGCCTGGATGGCCCTCTGGTTCGCGGTCTGCTCCTCATCGGACGAGTCTTCGTCGGATGACTCGTCCGAGTCAGACTCAGACTCCTCTTCTTTCTCTTCAGCCTTCGTCTCAGGTGCGGGTGCGGGTGCCTCGGCAGCGGCCTTCTCTTCCTCGTCAGACTCAGCATCCCAGCTGTCCTTGACGTCCTCGTCGGCAGCCTGCTCCCAGTCGTCAATAGCGTCGGCCTCGTCTTGAGGAGCGGCAGCAGCAGCCTCGGCCTTGGCCTTCTCCTCAGCCTCCTTCTTGCGACGTGCATCTTCAGCCTCACGCTGAGCCTGGGCTCGAGCAGCGGCAGCTTCAAGATCCTCTTCCTGCTTCTTGCCAGCCCTCTTCTTCTTGTTCTCCTTTTTGGTATCGTAAACAGGACGCTTCTTCTCGGCGTCTTCCTGCAAGCCAGCGACCTTGGCACCGGCAGCAATCATCTGCTGCATGCGCAGTTCGTTGCGCTCCTTGGCCTCTCGCTGGGCCTTGGTAAGCAGCTTACCTTCTTTGCGTAGCTGCTCCTTCTTCTCACGCTCCTTCTCCTTCTTGCGCTCACGAGCCTCTGCGCGCTTCTTCTCTTCCTCCTCATCGAGAAGCTTCTGCCTAGCGGCCTCAGCCCTCTCTTCCTCCTTAAGTCGCTCCTCCTCCTCACGCTGCTTTCGGAGAGCCTCCTGTTGCTTCTGAAGGGCTGCGAGGGCGGGAGGAAGCTTCTTCTTCTTACCGGTCTCTGCGGCGGGCGCAGCAGCGGCGAGCTCATTCTTCTTGGCCTCGGCGGCAGCAACCTTCTTGTCTTCGGCCTTCTGTTCAGCGGGGGTGAGCTTTTTCTTTTGGGCAGCCTATAAACACAGAAGGACATGTTAGCGAAATGATCGGACAGACTCTGGACAGGAAGAAAGATTTAAACCCACCTGCTCCTTCTTGCGCTGCTTCTCCTTCTCCTTCTTCTCGCGCTCTTTCTCCTTCTTGGTCTTCACTCGGAACTCGCCCGCAGGCTCTTCCGGAGCAGGCTTGGCCACTTCCTTAATCTCTTTGATGGGCTTGGCCTTTCCAGCGAATACATCGTCTTCATCGAAGGTACCCTCCTCGGGCTCCTTGTTGGCCAGAGGGTCGATGGGCGCCGCATCCTCGCCCTCGACGAAATCGTTGACCACCTTGCCCTTCTTAGCCTTCTTGGCCTTGTTCTTTCTCAAAGCAGCCATAAGGCCACCGACTGGTGCTTCCTCCTCATTGTCTTCTTCTTTGGGTTGCTCAGCCGGAGCATCGGTGGTGGGGGCGGCCTCACCGAGATCAGCCTCCCAGTCCTGCTCCTGCTTCTTATTGCCCTTCTTCTTAGGCGCCATTGTGAAAATGTGAAAAAAGTTCTGGTTTCGCTTTGGGTGTGTGCTGATCTGTGATCCGATTCAAGCGGAGAAATGGCAGTGGCGCACAAACGGAGTTAACCGGTTGGCGGCGATAATGATTAAACGGAAAAGATTGGCAATAGGAAGAAGAAAATGAAGACAATCCCCAGAATGAAAGACAGAGACAAAGATAGAGCTCTCTGTAAAGTGGGCCAAGGGAGGGGTGTGGGAGGGAAAAGAATTTCGGAAGAATCATGAACCAGTGGGGATTGACATGGGCCATTGCCACATACAAAATTACCAACATCTTTAGGAGGTTTGTTGGCTGTTTTCTACAGATTTATCCTATTAATATGCGCAAATTTGAATAGCCTCAAGGTTTTCTATGGTTTATGTCACTCATACCGCCAACAATAGCCCAAGTTGGGGCAAAATGACTCTTGTTCCATCCTCCGCCCGCCTCGCTAGCATCATCCAGGATCCTACACGCCGAGAACATCCCGGAGCCAGTCTGAAACAACCTGGACATGGTTCTCATCAATGCCCAGTGCTTCCTCAGTGGCATGAATGAACGTTTGCACAAGGTCAGAGTCCAGTTGCTTGAGTTGGCCATTGCCGCATGCCGTGAGCAGTTCATTCAGATGGCTCGATTCGCGACTAGCGAGGCGAGCCAGGATGTTACCATCGACATGCATGGTTTTCTCATAGATGGCGTCAGCGAAACGCCGTCTTTTGTCTGCCCCGGGGCAGATGGCAGGGTCCCTCCGACAGAGTCGCAGGAGGATGTTCAGGAGACGCCACTCAAAAAATGAGAGGGTCAAGAGGCGATAGACGGACCCATCGATACCAAAGCCGTAAAATATGTTTGTCGTTTCCAGCCATGGTAGACGTCTGGAACTTCGTGCGATTTTCACCAGTGAGACGGGGAGATCGGCTGTCGCACAAGGAACCGAGGCATAGAGTGATTCATTGTTTTGTGCAAAGGCTCGCGTAGTTCCGCCTCGACTACTTACGAGAAGTGTCTCGGGGTGGCCTTCAAAGGCGTCAACGTGACAGTGAGTCAAACCAAGGAGTGGAGTCGGGTGAGAGTCGACAATGACGATATCCAGACGAGAATGACTGACGATCTGATAGATATGCAAAGACTCCTTTGAGGTGGTGACGTAGATCAAGTTATCGTGCACTGTCATGGCGACAGCTGGGGAGGGAAGCATTGCGGTGATTGTGCGAGACCATTTTAGATCTGAGCCACTTGGGCTGACCGGTACAAATCTCTTTCCAACGGCAACGATCACACAGTCATTGAACGGCACCATCGCGTAGATCGGGTCATCGAAATGTTGTATGTGCTTGTCCTGGCAATAGATGGCTTCGGCATCGTTGGGGTTTCGGGTTGTCTGTATGAGCATCAACCGACCGTGGTGCCTGTTTGGCTGTGGAGGAAGAGCGATAGAAGTCCCAATTGCGATAAAATGATATCGATGGCCATTCTTCTTTGGCATCCAGTCAATGATACAAGTGACCTTTTCCCCGCTACATCCGTTTGGTCTCCATTGCTGAAGGCCGTCAGCCACCATAGCTTGATCGTAAGGAGCGACTGGTTGTTTTGTATCCGGGTCCACGAACTCGATACGCGCTGTTCGGGCAAACTCAAACAGTCTCTGGCTTGGATGAGTGACGGTATATGAGACAATGAGTCTCTGGAGATGACTTGAGTAGGTGATTTTGGTGGGGTTTCCAGGAATGTCAATACGCCTTGGAACAGTCTTCGCTTGGAGATCCAGAGAGCATATCAGAAGGTGGCCATCTGCAAAACAAAACAGATAGACACCTGTGGCTTCATCAGCCTCCGAGTCTACTGCGAGAGCAGCATCAAAGCCAGAGATATGGGTTGGGAACCATGTAGGCTGGCATGAACATTAGCCCAAATCTGAAAGACACGACGGAGCGAAGACTTACTCGACTTTGATCAGTGATCCAGACACGAGATAGGACATATTCAGAGACATTATCATGATCGTAAGTTACATGCCATAACTTATCACCGCATGTAAACAAAGCGTATGATCCGTACGATTTGATTTTGATTGATGTTATCCCAATATCCCTCGGTTTTTGTTGTTGCAGATCTTAAGAAAATGTATCTGGTCAGCGAAAATAATCCTTATTGGATGTAGGCATGGCTCACCATCGATAGAAAGGACAGGTATGTCGCCAAAGTTGGCAACAAGCCCATCAATCTTGAATGAAACAAGTACGCCACATCGCAGGCCACAAAGTAGGAACTTCTGGACCCTGTCCTCCCATACAGCATCGATAACAGCAAGGCTGTCGATTGCTCTTGAATCGATTGCTGACTGCAGGTCTGAAACAGCCGTGTCGGTGTGTTGCCTGAGTCCTCCGATGTGACTTGAGAGCTCAAAGGATAGCACTGTGCCATCACCGGTGCCGATAAAAATAAACTCAAACTGATCACACCAATGATAGGTGATGCAAATGGGTTCTGCGTGAAGCGGGTGTGAAGCTTCATCCTCAGACAGGGAGGGGCCACTAGGCGTCGTGACGATGCGATGAATATGGAGATAGTACAGCCCTTGGCTTCTTGAAGTCATGACGACGGTAGAATTCAGACCATCAACGAAAGCCGCCGTGACAGTCTTAAGAGGGCCATTTTTGATAGAGTTGGCATGAGAGGGGTCACCAGGAGTGAACAGCTGCACACCATGTCCAGTAACCTGGACGATCACACCGGAAGGTGTACAGCCCGTCGCCAATGTTTCTTCGTTCTCCACGCCGGTACCATCCTCGAGGGCACTGATGCCATCTCTCATATCAAGAGTTGTGTGCAAAAGGTAGGAGGAAAGCGGATCAGAGACCATCAGGTGGATTGAATCGTCAGAACTGGATGTCACAGCCCACATATCATATATGCTGTCGAATCCGCCCATTTCGGCCGAGACACCAACCAGGGCCTCAACACCACGTCGTAGCTCGGTAATTGCCCCTTTCTCTGAAGCAGAAGGCGAGCAGACAAACAGACGGTCCTGTGCATCGGCTGGAGTTCGGTCGCCTACGGTTGGAGAACTCGCGGGAATAATGACTGCATCAGGGACGGGCGCCCAATTGACAAATCGCTGGACACATCTGGGGTGATCCCGTGCCTCCTGGACGAACAATCCACCATCGCCCTGGCTTCCGGCAGCAATAATGTAGTCCCCACCTTCGTGACCCATATCCAGAATGTCAAACGCTGTGTCAACAGCGCAGGGGAGTTGACCCAGAGAGGTCTGGGTTTCGAGTTCATTGTCGTTGCCAAACTCTAGATAATAGATCCAGCCGTTTTCTTGACAAAGGAAAATCCCATCGTACCTCTGCATGTACATCCAGTTCCGCGAAGGTCTGGCCCAGCGAGTCCACAGCCCAGCTTGAAGAGAGTCGCCGCCATCGGGAAGGATTGGCGGATACCTCATCGGGGGCGATTCGCCAGAGGGTGTGTGCAAGGTCATACCTTTTGTGCCGACAATGAGGTAAGCAGATTCTTTGGCCAAAGGAATGACCATGTTGGGAAACTGAAGTGATGGAGGCAGACTTGTGCTGGTACAAATGGGGCGTTCACCAAGGGACTCTTCTTCCCCTTCCCAGTTATAGATCATGCACCGTGTTTCCTGATTGGAACGGACAATCAAGAGCAAGATGACCCGCGTATCGGTCCATTTTTTGGGATAAAGGAATTCCATGAACAGGATGTCACCATCCACTTCATAGAATTTTTCCTATGCAAATATTGTTAACATCTGAGCTGAGAAGGGGAACCTGCAGTGATGATCACATACGAACTTCAGTGGATCTAGCTTTCCCTGTGCCATCTGCATCCGAATATCATCATGCGACTTCAGCCACAAGAGACCGAAGAAACCACGGGATGCACAGACTGCGACTGCACGCGACCTTGAATACCAGTGTAAGCTCTTGTCAATCAAACTATTGATGAGCCCCGCTTACCTAGGATCAACTGCAATGTGCGCGCCATAACGTTCGGCTAGACCGACATCTCGGGGCAAAGGTCGGCTGTAAGAAACAAATGGATCTTCTCCTTTGTCCGAGCAGTACATGAAAAGGAGTTCATCGGAGCTCGTAGAAAGAAAGAGAATCTGAGCAGGTAGATTCTCTGTAATAGGGGAAGAGACCGTCAACCTCGATGGAGCCAAAGGCTCCCAGGGCAATAGGGACCCGATATTGATGACCTTTGCCCCAATGATTGAGCCTTGGATATCTGTTTTGTCCACAACATCTTCAAGGTGGCCGCTAGCGAGTGCCTCTTTGACCTGAATCCGTCGTTCTCCAATGAAAACAACATCGTTGTGGTGTCTGTTGCGAATACGCGCCGGGAGGATCCAGCTGATGACCGGACTGGTAACCAAAGTCTGCGTAAGTAGTCCAATCCGCGTCGACCGTGTGGGGGACCGGCCAGAAGACATCGTGTTTGCGTTTGATGGACTTCACAGGACTATGAAAAAGTTACAAGAACCTTAGGGGAATCTCCAGATGGAATAATGAAAGGGCAATAGTCGACGGAAAGGAAGAGAAACCAACTGAAGCCTGGAAGAAAAGAAGTCGATGGGAGGTTCTATGAAGCGGTCAATGGCCTGAGGGGATCAAGCTTCAATGATGTCCAAGCCTCGGCTTACTTCAGTGGCTTCCTGAGTTAGAGAAATACAGCAGAAGCATTTGGTATCTGCAAGTTCCACTTCTCCTCATGCTTCGGTAGCCAGGATATCTTTGATTGATCATCAACTGCCAAATGCAATACTGGCTGAATTCTGATTTCCGATGCACAGCGTGAGTTTGCAGAGAGCCCAGGCAGTTCCCATCAAGCTGCAAGTCGAGTCAAGATGCTCCAGACAAGCCCTGTGTCAGTTTCGTTAACATAAGTACCGCAAGCAGGAACCCCAACGCGCGACTTACAGCTTGCCCGACAGTCAACAGCAGTAGCAATTCTACAAGGCCTGCAGATACGCAATATGTTCCATGGATAACCAAAAATTCAAGAAGCAGCTTCGTTACAGAGCTAACTCTGTGACTAGCAGACAAGTCGGAAGCGAATCCCCGGGATATATGCAGTCAGCGTTGTCGGTGAGCTATGCAATCCCCAGAAACAGCAGGTTTCTAGGGCACACGGCACACAGCAGTCAGCACAGCCAGATCTGTCTAAGACCTTGCTCAGAATACCGCAAAGCTATTCACTGGGAGTATGCTTAGGCGCAGCACAGGGCGAGTGTTGTTATCGGCGAAAACATCTCGCGGCTGCCGAACAATGCCTGAGGCCACGAAGTGGACCTCCCCGTGCCGCCTTTGACTTCAAACATTCACTTCCGAGTGTATGTGCCTAGAGGATCATCAGCTAGAGCTCAGGAATATCACAGACTCTCAAATTAAGATTCAAGGCTATTTTATCTGATTGGCGTTGCGCTGCTCATATGAACCTGGAACAAACCATCACGTTGACTGGTTCAACGGATAAAGCCGATCTACTGTATACCTACCTATCCGACTCAGATTTCCTCCGTTGTTGAGTTGGATTGCAACACGAGCCTTGTGAAGCTTGCCTGTTAGCTCTGATCAAATACATAAGGTAAGTAATTTCTGTTCCATATTGTGTATGTGTATTAAGCGATTGACCGGTTGTTGAAGCATACTTGGTCTTCTGGGAGGCAACTCCTTAGCGGACGAACAATGGAGAACTCTGCAAAGGAACTGAGCGATTCTGGCTCAGAAACCGCGTTTAGGTCGGGGGAATCTGCTGGGGATCTTTCCAAGGCCGGCGAGGCAAGTCAATCATTGAGAACGCAAGAAATTGCAAGTGCACAGGCAGAAAAGGCAAGAGCTATTCGTGAAGCATGTGCATCGCGGGACGTGGAAGCCCTGGCTGCGCACGCAACATCGGAAGGGGGTCTGCTCGAAGATGAATTGCGACAGCTGGCCTGTGAGTTTGATTGATCTAAAGGAAGTGAGCTTGAATGACTGATTTGGCAGGGCCTATTTTATTACACTGCGATGAAGGATTACGACAATCCAATACGACTTCGAGTCCCAAAGCTCCGCGTCATGCAGATGAGGACCAGGTAGGGCTTGATGTCAATCGATCATTCGTCTACTATCCTCAAGGTACGTTACCATATATCCCAATGATTGGTAGAGTCCGGATGTTGATCGATTATAGCCCCGGAAGAGGAAATGCTGGAAAAGAAACAACAGTTATCAAACTTGATCACCCAAGTCCTGAGAGATTACCCTATGTTGTGTTATTTCCAAGGGTACCATGACATCGTCCAAGTACTTCTCTTGGTACTTGGGGAGAAGAAGGCTATACCAGCCGTGGCACACATATCCCTTTTCCGCATAAGAGACTACATGCTTCCATCACTCTCGCCGGCCTTGAAACATCTACATCTTATTCCTGCTATCATCGAAACCACCGACCCCGAGCTACGACGACATCTAGGCAACATCCAGCCATTCTTCGCTCTTGCAGCCACGCTCACACTCTACGCCCATGACATTCAAGAATACAGCAACATCGCCCGTCTTTTCGACTTCCTTCTCGCCCGGGAACCCGTGGTTGCAATCTATCTCTTCGCAGCAATGATCCTATCAAGGAAGAAAGAGCTCTTGGAAATCCCAGAGGACGAGCCTGAGATGCTTCATTTCACACTCTCCAAGCTACCATCTCCGCTCGATTTGGATGGGCATATTCTACGCGCGACACAGCTCTTCGAGGACCATCCGCCAGAATCCTTGCCACTTGGAGCATGGAAACGCATTCCCTCGTGCAGTGTGCTTAAGACTTCACGAGACCCACATCAGAAATACAGTGTAGAAGACGCATTGCATTTCTTCGAAGAACAATCTCGGCAGATTCGGAATGAAGAGCGCAGAAAACAGGCAGTTGATTTCTTATGGAGCCACCGTCGCTCTGTGGGCTCTGTGGCGCTGGCTATATTCGTCGGTGTTGCATCGTTCTACATTCGCAAGAAGGGGTTGGATATGTCAGCTTGGTCCTATTTTGGGCGGATTCAAAGGGCAATCCAGAACTGGATATGATCCCAAGCCAATATGCACTTCGCAGGTCTCCAGACTCTTGAGACTCCTGGTGCCATTGTGTGGGTTACTGTGTGTATGATTAACGAGGAACCGAAACCAAAGCGTCTTTAGAATAGCAATGTCGTATAATCGTATTTGATTATTATAATCTTCACATTTTCATAGACGAAAAGACCAGTCACATTGATAGAAGACGCGTATGTAGTTCGACGCTCGTGTATGTCACCGAGCGGTACCCACAGCTGTGGCTTGAGCCGTGGCTTTATCAGCGGAAGCTGATGTGTACACTTGACCACTCCCCTGCCACCAGCTTACCTCAAATTCAACAACCATGGCGAATCGAGGCTACGATGTTGTAGTAGATGTTGATGCAGAGGTAAGTGCAATTCAATCATCAACGCAATTCCGCAATTCTCTCTAATAAACAACAGGGCGACCTTGGGCACACCGACCTACAAGAAGATCTCGAATTCCACCCCTCCAGTGAGTTCCAGCGCAAATCACCGCCAGCAGAGCTCTCTAACCAATAAACCGCACTTCCCAGACTTTGAAAATGACCAGAGAACCGCCAAAGTCCAAGGCGACTCCGCCCCATTCCTAGGCGGTTCGTCGCGGCGCCGCGACCGATCCCCTGGCGGCACGCCGACCAAACACAACTGGTGGTCGATACACTACTACGAGCGATTCTTCGACGTCGACACAAACGAGGTCTTCCGCCGCTGCGTAGCCACGCTGTACCCGCGCAACAACTTCCTCGACGTGCTGGAAGGCAATGCGGACCTGTACGGGCCCATCTGGATTGCGACTACGGTGGTAGTGATCCTGTTTTTGACAGGCACTATCTCGCAGTGGCTGTCGAACAATGACGACAAGCACTTCGAGTATGACTTTAGATTGCTGTCTGGCGCGGCTGGTCTGATCTACGGATACACGGGTATCCTGCCCATTGCCCTTTGGGGCGCCCTGCGTTGGTTCGGTAGTTCGACGGCTGACCTTATTGAGTGCTGGGCTCTGTATGGATACTCGAATCTGGTGTGGATTGCTGTTGCGCTGGTTAGCTGGAGTCCGTTGACTGCGCTTAACTGGGCGCTTGTTGGCGTTGGGTTTGCTTGGACTGTGTTCTTCCTTTTGCGGAACTTGTACCCGGTTTTGAATGCTACTGATGCTAAGGCTAGCAAGATCTTGTTGATCTTGGTTGTTGTGCTGCATGCGGCTTTGGCTATTGCTATCAAAGTGCTTTTCTTTGCGTAAGTTTTGGGTTTACCACCGTCGATCGTTCAATACTGACGCTTCTACTAGGCACGCGAGCCCCGTCTCGAAGAAGAACAAGGACAAGGACCACGATGATGACAAGGATGACGGGAAGCGAGGCATGATGTTCAGGGCTTAAGTGGGGGATGGATGGATCGTTTAGCTTTGATCTGGAATACTGGTCGTTCCGTCGTTCTTGCTCAGGCAGCAAGTTTCGCAGCTCAAGTTTCCTAGCCCTGTTCTTGACCGCATGTACTGTACGCTCTATTTATCGCAGACGAACTTGGGATAGGATAATTCGACTTTTGAATTTACACATTTCATTTCATGGAGTGCAACTTGAGCGTCGAGAGGAGCCAACTAGAAAAAGTATGACTGTGGCTGCATTGATTTTATCATCATATCTAACGCCATTTGTAAACCTCTCCATGTAGTGACAGTCCAGCCATTCTCCAACGTTGGAACTGCACCACAACACACCGAGCACAAGACCGAGGAGCGAGTCGTCTATTTGAGCTTCTTCTTGGGGCGGAGCTGGTTGGTGTGTCCGCACTTCTTCTTGCGGCAGTTGGTGGCACGGGGAGGGAGACGAGCCTGTGAAGGGTCCAGGTTAGTATATAAGTTGAGGGAATTGATATCTTTGCCACCGAAGGGCACACTCAGGACGAGCATATCGGACGTAGACCAAGGAGGCGGGATGAACGTACGTAGCACTTGCGGCAGATGGCCTTCTCGCAGTTGAACTTGGAGGCAAGGGCCTTGAGGGAAGGCTCAATGATACCACCACGGAGACGGAGGACAAGGTGAAGGGTGGACTCCTGTAAGAAGGAGAGCATCCCATGTTAGCCAATACTCCATTAATTCATTTCAATGATGAAAGCGATATTTCCTCCTTTTGCGTATCTGGTGTGGGAAAGTGTCGTCTTGAACAAAGAATATGCCGGCTATCCGATCCACCCGAGATACCATTATCGCCCCCCACTTCAAGTCGAAATCATCACTGGAATTCGGTCCGTACCTTCTGGATGTTGTAGTCGCTCAGGGTGCGGCCATCCTCGAGCTGCTTTCCGGCGAAGATCAGGCGCTGTTGGTCAGGGGGAATGCCCTCCTTGTCCTGGATCTTGGTCTTGACGTTGTCGATGGTGTCGCTCGACTCGACATCAAGGGTGATGGTCTTACCCGTCAGGGTCTTGACGAAACTATTATCGCACCGTATTAGCCCAGGTTCTTTTCATCCTTCATTTTATTCCTCCATGGGTATGGGTCGTATTGGCGATGGATCGGGGTTGTGGTTCGTGACGACATTCGAGGGGTTCAGGAAGACCTACATCTGCACTGAAACGGCGCGAAAAGAACGATGTTAGCTTATGGGATCCATGGCGATGCAAAGAGGTGGTTAAACGGGGTGTATGGCACGTACTGATGGCGAGTTTCGTTGGTGTCGGCTGTCGGTCGCTGTGTTCCAGGCGGAGCAGTCGATTGTCAATTTGAGGATTTCGCTCGCTTAGCAAAGGTGGAACGATTGGGAGTACCCTAAGCCCTAGTTGCTTCCCGCTTTTGTCATTTATTATGTCAGCAACCCCGGCCAGCACAGCCAATCATAACTTAGCAGCACAATGCCCTACGTCAGGTCTTGACCTCTTCCTACTAAAAATAATAGTTAGACGATGTTTCTTACTGCGTAGATGCCATTATGTACAAACCAAATACAATAGATGATATTGCTTGCATTTCAGCTGGCGAATTTAAATATGTACCTTACAAGAAAGCAGACAGAACTTCATGACAAGGTAATATAGGAGTCCTCGAATAACGAATTGATCGAAAGATGAACGCCAATGCTTGATCTCAATGCCCCAACGCCATGCATATGATACAACGGGCATCCTGATCGCCCGCTAGATGATTCACCACATCTTATCATCGGCGTCCATATCCTCAAATACCGGCTCATCCATGTCCTCTTCAGAGTCGTCCATTCCATAGGTATCGTCAACATCACTTTCGTCGCTGTCCAACCCTTCTCTGCCCTGCCTGGCGAAGAATTCCCTGTTCTGTCGCTCCTCGTCTTGCTTTGCGATCTTGAACTCGACAAGTGACACGGCATGGACCAGACTTTTCAATGGGACCGCCGCGAGGCGGGCGGCTTCCTCGTAGAACGCCCGTGCGGGGCCCGTGAGCTGCGATTCCCAGCGATACCGACGATAGAACTCGCCAGGACGCTTGTCCTCGGCTTCTTCGTCTTCCGGGATGACCCTTCTGACTTTGAGATTTTGCATGACCGTTTTCATGAGTGCGTTGAGCTTTTCTTCTGTCGTATCGGGAGCAGCAGGAGCAGAAGACGACCCCGGAGTAGCCGTAGGGATTGGCTGAGCATCGGATCCAGTTCGGCTGATGGGAAATAATTCGGCGATGCGAGTGGGGGCCCTGGAGGTGTCTAACCAACTGCTTGCATACCAGTCCATGTAATTGTCCATTTGGGCGGACGTCATGTTCAGCACATCTTTGTCTGTGACATGGATGGCGGCCCCTTTTGCAAGATTGTCCCCGAATCGCGGGTCATGGTCGAACCGACTTTGAGCGCGTTCCCAAAGAGACCAGTCCATGACCTGCGCAGCAGGTTCACTGCCGGTAGTGGGGTATCTTTTCAAGTCATCGAACGGAAAGAGTAATTTCGTAGCAATGACTATGAGGACCATCAATTGCACGTCGGGGAGATCTTGGATTAACTTCCGATTATACTGTGACTCTTCGGGATACCGGAAAGTGAAGCCTACTAGCTCCTGCAAAGTCTTGGCTGCATCGTAAACCTCAACTAGGACTTGTTAGCTGGGAAGAAGGGGGTTGAGGTCAAATGAGTGTATCTCGTACTTGGTAAAGCCAATCTCTTTATTTGCCGGAAAAGTACCATGGGCAAATTCAAAGCAGGAAGTACCAATCCGAATCGGCGCTGATAGAATAGCATGATTGCCCGCACACTTTGGTGGATGTGCTTCGCTTTAGGCAGTGTCTTTGCCAACATTAGTGGAATTGTTATACAGGGGGATCGTTCGTCGGGTGACACTCACGTTGACTTCAAGGATCCCCGTGAATTCTGGCGGGAGTCTATCCCTCATTTCCCGAGGGACAGTTGCCAGAGCTCGAACGTAGGGTACATCTTGTCGTATGATCATGCTTTGAATTACAGATCAGCATCATCCTGGAAGCGCAGTGTGGCTTTCGATGGAGATGAATACACATACTCGTGGAAATCATTGACACAAACCGGAAGACGCATCAAGGATGCTGCGAGATAACACAGAGCAATGGTGTCAATCAGGCGCGGCCATTCAATATACCTCGAGTCTGGTTTAAATCCCATATCACGGGAGTCATCTTTATCTGTGGGCTGTGAACTGAAAAGCTCAGGTTCAGTATCATAGTCGTCATCTTCAGTGTCAGTGATCTTTGCTGTAAAGTCTTGTAGTCGAAGAGCCCAAAGGTCGCGGACAACAATCTGATGTATAATGAGTCTCCAGTCTCATTACATAGAGCAAGGCGAGCACTCACCTCAAGCTCTTCTGGGAAACCTAGTTCATGAACCAAGGCATGACATTGTTTCCACAGGATAAGTTGGTAAGTCTGCAAGAAAAGCGTGTATGCCTGACGGCCACGGAGTGCTTTTGTGGATTAGAGTTAGCGAAACAGCGGATATATGGGTATCAATTACACACTCTTGCTGATCTTTTCTTTGATTTCTTTCTTCAGGCGATGGGTTTTGCCTAGGTTTCCGAAATCATCGGCATCCTCGGCAACTTGGACACCCTACTCGTGTCGTGTGCCCATATTAGCCGACAACTTTCTGATGACATTTGGCGATGCGGTGATAGGACAGATGGACGTCATGCATACCTCCTGCAAGTGACCGCGTCGACAATACCAGAGACCATTGTCGAGATAGTACCGGATCTCACGGCATCCCTCTTGACCACAGACCCCTCGGGTAACGTAGTCCATCCCCAAGGGATTTGTTCATGCTGGTTTGACGAGGAAAGGTTGATATACCGAGATGGCGGAACTTTTTTCTGCCTTCATTCCAGTGACCGCCGATTTTGTCGCTCCACTTGTCCCGCCCATCTCACACGAGTTTCTAGGGTTACGCTGGGGAATATTTTGTTTTATGATTTTATGACCTGGCTGAAGCTATACCTTATGAATAAAAAATAAAAACTTTTATCTCGAGGTCGCGGCTATATTCGTTGCTTTCCGAGGTCCAAGTTTGGTCTCTCGATTCCAGTTGGAACACCTATCGAGGCCACGACGTCGAGCACCTACTTACCAGGCTACCACTACCAGGTCATCAAGTTACTACTAGCTAGGATCGGCAAAGGAACATCAAATGGTCAAGCAAGGTGTAATATTTATTCATTCGTCACACTATCATAAGACGCTGAGACTCAGAACTGTTCGGACAACACATACCATGCCAACCAAAGCAATTCTCGGTCCAGCCCACATCCAAAGTTATATGGGGGACGGCTTGAAGCGATGGGCATAATCGTTCAAGGAATCGTAACCTCCATTGAACCATGAAATCCGAATTTTGGGGGGTTTTTAGCCCTTGGGGAACATAAAGGTTGGCATAACAGGTAATAAATCCAGGTATTAGATTTAACCAGACTTGGGAGCCTCCTTGCACTCCATAGCGGCCTCCTCGCCCATGGCAGTGAGGACGACGATGTCTGATAATAATGTTAGTGTGGTTCCCGAATATATAAGTAAGCAATGGCGTAGACTTACTGCACTCCTTCTCCTCGACGTGGAACATCTGCTTGATCTTCTCACCAACCTCGTTGTCGGGGACCTTGACATCATCCTTGGTGTCACCGGCGTCGGTCATCAGGGACATGAAGCCATCCTCGGTGATATCGAGCTATTACTCGTTAGTCGTACATTCTCATAATCACTTCATTCAGAGAAACTCACGAGCTGGTACTCCTTGCGGGTGACGTTGGGGACATCCATGTTGTGGGTGGAGGGGGAGAGATCCTCGAGCTTCTTGCCGGTGAAGATATCGGTAGCGATAAGGTGAACCTTAGCGTGACCGTGCTTGCCAGTCTTGGAGGTAGACATGTCAATGATCTTGCAGGGACGGTTCTTGATCACAACGTGGCCGTTCTTGCGCAGAGCAGAACACTGCATGGGGTAGGTGAGCGAAGCTCCGGCATCAGCCGACTCGAAAGTGACATCGTGCTATTGACATGTTAGTTCAGCGTTCAATAGTGACAAAAGTGGGGGTTTTTAAAGCCCAGTATGGTCTCGTGCCCTTCGAGAAGAGAAGGAGGGGAGCCGCATGCGGGGCTGGGACAGAAGTCCAGCGCAAGACAGCGATTTGGGGGATCTCGAATTTGACAAATAAATCACGTACCTCCTCGGCAGACATGGTGAATAGGATGTAGAGGGGGTTAGGAAGGGGATGTGGTTAAAAGTTTGAGGGAGGGGAAAAAGAAGAGAAGAGGAGAGAGAAAATCAAACGACTAAAATCTGTCGTGGGCGGCGACCCTGGGGCGGGGTCTCTTTGCTGGAATATGATTGGTTAATGACCTTGTTAGGTTTAGTGGATTGGAGTGTCCGAGTGTCCTGAAAGCAACCTGGTCCAACTAACAAACAGCTCAAGGCAGGTACTTTGGTCTTTGTTTTCTCCCCCTCCCAACTATAAGCCTGCACTTTTTTTAATTTATTGGCTGTGCATTCCCATGCTGTTCATCTCCTTACACAATGTGGCGCGACCGCATTTCAGCCCAGTCAACTCCCTCCGGAGCAAATAACCGCAACCTATCTCCTCTACCGCGACGATCATCCTCTCAATTATCCCCAGGCCCATATAATACCAGACCTCCGACGTCCAGAAGCTCATCGGCTTCTTTACTAGTCACTCCGAATGACTCTACAACCTCCTTACCAGGAACTGCAAAAACGATCAATGGCTCTCCATTGAAGCAAACGAGCATTCAACGACCTCGACCTTCCAATGTCCCTGATCCGCTGGAAGTCCTACATGGGATTATCGGAAAGGAAACACAGGTAGATAAGAATGTACCGCAGTTCTTGTCGGCGCAGGAGCGACCCGGGCAATTGGTGGAAACCATTCACTTTGATGGGTTGAGTCTCGAGGAATTTCTTGAGAAGGAGGACCCAACCCCAAGGAGGAAGACCCGCGAAAGCGATGTGAATGCACAAACCGTGCAGCAATTTGAACAAGAACGCGATAAGTTCCAAGAGCTACACACGTCAATCACTGGATGTGATGAGGTATCCCAATCGGTTGAGCTATACTTGAATGACTTTCAAAATGAATTGGGTGCTGTGTCGGCAGAGATTGAAACTTTGCAAGCCCGCTCAACACAACTGAATGCAATGCTAGCGAATAGACGCAACGTGGAACGATTGCTGGGACCCGCGGTAGAGGAAATCAGCATCTCCCCAAAGGCCGTGCGCACCATTGTTGAAGGCCCAATAGATGAGAACTGGGTGCGGGCGCTAAACGAGATCGATTCTCGAAGCACCAATATCGAAGCCAAGGCCGCTGCTTCCGCCAATGGCTACAAAGCAATTGAGGATGTACGGCCACTTCTAGTCGATGTAAAGGACAAAGTGAGTGTGCACTTTCCGAGATATCTAGGACAACTCTGACGTTTCGGCAGGCAATCGAAAGAATCAGAGACTACCTGGTGTCGCAGATTCGTGCTATGCGATCCCCAAATATCAACTCGCAGATTATCCAACAACAGCGACTGGTGAAGTACAAAGATCTATACAGTTACCTCTTCAAGGCCCACCCAAAGCTGGCCGGAGAAATTTCACAGGCATACATCAACACAATGCGTTGGTATTACACCTCTCATTTCACCCGCTACCTTCAGGCACTCGACAAGGTCAAGGTCTATCCTCCTGACCGCAACGAGGTCCTCGGAGGAGATCCATCCACACATCGATCAGGTAAGAGCATCTCGGACTGTTGGCTGCGCCCTTATACTGATTGTTGTAGGGAACATGATTCCTGGCGGCCGAGCCGGCTCTGCTGCGCATGACCCTTTTTCTCTCGGTCGACGAATCGATATCCTCCGAACTGGCAATATTCAGGCCTTATCTTCATATCTGGCCGAAGAAGACAACACCTACCATGGCATCGAAGTCCCGTTCCGAAACTTCAATGTCGCCTTGGTGGACAATGTGTGCGCCGAGTACTCCTTCTTGACCGAGTTTTTCTCTCCCAAGACATTCCACGAAATCTCTCGCAACGCCTTGGAAATCTTCCAGCAGGTCTTCAGTCTAGGCCAGAACCAGGCCAAGAAGCTAATTGAGCACACCACTGATTCCCTCGGAGTCTTGATGTGTGTGCGTCTCAACCAACATTCGGCCTTCGAGCTTCAGCGCCGCAAGGTGCCAGTCGCGGACTCGTATGTCAATGGAATCAACATGCAGCTCTGGCCTCGATTCCAGGTCATCATGGATCATCATGGCGAGTCGCTCAAGCGTGTCGGTTCGAACACTGGGCGCAGCGCTGTCTCCGCCCTTTCGATTGCTGGGGGAGACGACCTAAAGCAGTCCTCAGCACCACACTTCTTGGCTCAGCGGTTCGGCCAGCTGTTACACGGAATCCTTGTTCTCAGCAGCGATGCGGGTGATGACGAGCCGGTATCCAACAGTTTGGCCCGGTTGACTGCCGAATTTGATTCTCTTCTGATCAAATTGAGTCGCAACGGCACGGACGCAAAGCGAAGAGAGCGGTTCCTCTTCAACAATTATTCATTGATTTTAACCATAATTAGTGTAAGGTGTTTTCCTCCGAGCCTGCAAGATATATGCTAACCAAAAAAGGATACCCAAGGAAAGTTAGCGATTGAGCAGAAGGAGGTAAGCATGCACATCTCGCCCCTTTCGAAGATTCCGTGGCTAACACCAATTGCAGCATTTGGAAGAGATGCTCAAGAACAGCAGCAAGCGGTAGAAAGCATGCATATCCCGGAAGAACAACATATTGCATTAGATATCCTTTTGAACATAAAGATTCCAATTGAACCGGATACGATGTTCTCACAACGAGTATGATATTCTGAATATATTCACCATCCAAAACCTAAGAGAGATCAAATTCCGCAAAACCGCCTTCCCTCGACTTCTCCAGCGCCTTATAATAATTCGGCACACCACCCAAGTAAATAAGCGGCTCCCTCACCTTCCCAGGAATATTCGTCCCCATATACCACTAAGCACGGTCAGCAAAATCCTCAAACAGTCCAGAGAATCATCCAAAACTCACCGAGTCAGTCCCAGGCAACAAAGAAGCATAAGCAAACTTCCTCACCAACTCAACCCAAGCATCCTCCTCCTCCCCCCTAGCCCCAATACACCTCAACCCCTTCTCCCTCATATAATCCATAACCCCAATAACGAAATCCCCCTGATACTCCGCACAAGTCGGCCCATTACACAACGCCGTCGGCGCCTGAGGCCCATACGTATAGAACATATTCGGGAACCCAGAAACGGCCATACCGAGGTAAGTCTTAGTTCCATTCTTCCACTTATCGGATAAAGACTGACCGTCCTTCCCCGTGATATCGATCTGCAGTAGACCGCCGGTCAAGGCGTCGAAGCCAGTAGCGCAGACGATGTAGTCGAGCTCCCATTCTTTCTCGGAGGTGCGGATGCCGGATTCCGTGACTTCGACGATGGGGGTGCTTTTCACGTCGACGAGCTTTACGTTGGGCTGGTTGAAGATTTCGTAGAAGCCGTTTTCCAGCGAGACGCGCTTGCAGCCGAAGCTGTGGGGTTGGATGGTTGGGGCTAGGAGTTCGTGGAGGGAGGCGTCGTTGATGCGGGAGCGGACTTTGGCTTTCCAGAAGTCGTAGGCTTCTTTGTTTGCTGCTTTGTCGAAGAGCATGTCCTCGTAGTTGGCGAGGTAGTAGTGGAAGTCGCCGTGGTCCCAGAGGGCTTGGTAGACCTTTTGGCGTTCTTCTGGGGTGTCGCTGAAGGTTGAGCGGGGGGTGAAGTTGAAGTTGAAGCCGGCGAAGCTGTCGCGGCGGCCGGCGAAGAGAGCTGGGTAGGTCTCTCGGGGAGGTGGTTGGTCTTTTCCTGTGTAGTTGACTTGTTTCATTGGGAGGGCAAGGTTGGGTGTTCGTTGGAAGAGGACGAATTCCTCGGCTACTTTGCTGAGTTCTTGGGAGAGTTGGAGGCCTGTTGCGCCGGTGCCAATGACGGCGACTTTCTTGCCGCGGAGGTCTGGTTCCTCCTTTGGCCAGAAGGAAGGGTGAACCCATGTGCCCTTGAACTTCTCGATGCCCTTCCAGTCTGGCGTGTGTCGCTTTGCTGAAAAGCCAATGTTGAGAAGGAAGTAGCGGGCGTGGTAGACTTTGCCGGTCTTGCTGGTTATGTGCCACATGTTGATTTGTTCGTGGAAGACGGCCTTGGAGATGAATGTGTTGAATTCGGTGTCTTTTCGGAGATCCCATTTGTCGGCTACGTAGGCGAAGTATTCTCGTAGCTCTTCGCTACCCGGGAAGCGTTGCTTCCATGTCCAGTCTTTCCAGAGGCTGGGGTCAGAGAACTCGTAGTGTGGAACGGTGCTGTCGACTCGTGCGCCAGGGTATCGGTTCCAGTACCAGACACCTCCGAAGTCTGATGCGAAATCAACGAGCTTGACGTTGTAGCCACGATCACGGAGGTTCTTGAGTTGGTAGACGCCGCCAAAGCCTGCGCCTACAATCAGGGCATCTAGAACTACCTCATTTTCGATGGAACCCATGGTGCCCGATAATCTGGCTTCGAACGGGTATATAGATGATAAGAGCGACTGTCAGTATAGATAATGATTGGTAGTTTGTTGGATGTAGGTAGGGAAATATCCTGGCGAATGGTGATTTATATAGACACCGAATCTCGGTTCTGCTACCCCAGGATCTGAGTCCCCCGCAAGATCAGCTTCCGAAAGAGGCTTGCGGGGTGCTCTATGAGATCCACCTGGCACCTGTCAATGGAGATCATCGCATTTTGCGTGTATATCCAAGTAGGATTGGATGGTCTCCTTCGGACTTGGCGAATGACTTGGCGGATGAGGCGGCCATCGGAAGTCAGGGCTTCGGGGTACTGATTTCGGATGCCGAAGTACATTTCCGTCGGACTTCCCTCGTTTTTTGAGGTTTTATCCAGGTTTGTAACATTATTTCCGTGGGATTTCAGAAATCAAGTGGGCCTCAGGACTGCCAGGAGTATGTTCAGGGAGCCAACAGAACCCTGTCCTGCCCCCATCACACCCTTCCCCATTTATAAAGAATTCTTGGCGGGATAATAATCAGTTGCGGATTGAGTAGCTTTCTCAGTGGTCACTTGAAATGAATGAGGAACCTGGCAGAATTAGTCAGGTTGAATCTAGGGTTAATAGACAGTTCCAATGGGTTGGAGGTGAGTGCGGTAGACATATGATTCATGGCAACCATCATACTCTTTGGAACTTTAAAAGTACCTCCAGTGACGTGTGATTACATGGTGGGTTGCGAGTGCTTCATAACCTCGTTCCAATAGACAGTATGCAGGCTTGTAGTGTACATATAAACAGTATTGTTGACAAGCACGAGTATATCACGCCCAGGCAAACGCAGGCTCCCCCGCCCCAAATTCAGCCCCGAAGACAGCATCGGAAGGCTCACTATCGAACAGCTGACTCCATATCACACTGTTCTCCTCAAGCCGAAGGTCTCCATCAAACCCCGAAAACTGCAGTCCAAAATCTCCACCTTCGGAGCAAGCATGTTCTCCCGACGGCAGACTTTGTAGGGAAAGCTGCGAAGAATGCAGTGGCCAAGGCTCGCTATAGCACGCTTTAATATCGCCAAAGAGGCTCTCGGCGAGCACTCTTTGACGATCCAGTCGACGATCCCGCCGCCTTTTCACATGCTCCTCGCACACATTGCGCAAATCGCGAACGATCCGCAGACTCCATCTTGCCATGGTGTCATTGAATTGGAAGCGATTCAGTAACTTTTCAGCTAATCCCATTGCATGGTTGAGAGGGAATAGGTGGTCCAGGTCTGCAAAATACCCTGTTCCAAGCACGAGTGCCGCATTCAATATCGAGTTGATGATATAGGGTAAACGTTTGGGGATTCCGTCCTCGCGAAGGAAGCCCTCCAGGAGATTGATGGTAAGCACGGCTGAGTTTACTGAAGCATGAGCTAGCAGCGTATCGGGCTCTTGCTTTGGCGAGGCGAATGCGTTCTCGCCACTTGACGAGAGTGTGTTGGTATCCCGAGCGATATGTTTCCGCACCAATTCTATCAAATACGGTCGTGTCGCCAGGATGATGCTCCAGTAATATGCTTCCTTGAGATGACAGAGACCGATGTTCGGTGTTCTGTCTCCATCTTGATGTTCTTCTGTGGATATCCGATCAACCCGCAGACCTTCTCGGAAATGAGAAGCCCATTCCCTATGATGCTGGCTGACATGTTCTAACACAGTAGGAGAAACTTCCTGCTGATTGTAGATCCCACCGAGAATTTTTTCAAATATACAGCACAGATCGGCGGAAGCTGAATACTCCTGCTGTGACATGGCGTCCCGAGTCTCCGTGGTGGACGGCTGCTGCCCAAGATATATGCTCAGGAAAAGATCCAACACCCGCAAAACCTTCCAAATCCGCTCGCGGTGGGAGTTCTCCTCCGCCGAAAACAGCGTCGAAATATCGGGGCGATGAATCCCTAAGGAGTGTGCAGTCCGAATGGCCACGCCAAGATGCATAATTGCTGCATTGGGCCGTGTCGCGTTGAGCAAATACATCGCAATCAGCGAATATATTTGTATTGTGGAAACCTTTGTGACTTCCAGAAATCGCGTTGACGCCAGATACCGCGCATACGTAAAATATGCATCGGCTTGTGAATCGCGATCTTCGGGTCCACACTGAGCCCCGATGGCAAGGACGAGGAAATTAATGCAAGTACTAGCGTCAACAGAAGCAGCCCTTCCTAACCAGGAAATAATCTCCGCGGTGAGCTCTTCGTATCCGAAGAGATCAAACACGCAACTTGTGGCGCTCGTATACCACTCTAGATAATAACGGGCATCCGCCACCGAGGGCCGTTGGGGCTCCACACTTGCTGTATCCCAGTTGACTGTTATGTCAGGGTCTTCATCGACAAGGTCGTTTTGGGGAGGCTCTTCGGTGAATTGGCACGGCCCGAGCGCGCTATAAACGACCTTTCGGATGCACTGCAGCATGGACAGATTTGCCGAGGGACCGAGGAACATATATGCTCCCTGGCGATCACGAACCAAACAAGATGTGAGAGACACCGTGGAACCCATTGGGTTCTCGAGTGGCAAGGAAGCTGATAGATGTCTGGAGATCGTTGGAGACGGAGAGTGCAATTGAGGGATTGGTGCGGGCTGGGTCCCCACAAGTTCAGACTCGTACGTAGCAGTAGGCACATCGTTTTCGTCGATATCGAGATGAGCTTCGGGAAGAACAAGATCGTTGTTTTGCGGCAGTTGAGGCGGATAGACGGAAGGCCGCCGTCGACATTCACTCGCGACTTTCCGCGTACAACATCTGCCGCAGGGCTGGAGCCCATCGCATCTTTCCTTCCGCCGTCTGCAAGTCTCACAGGCTTTCTGACGACGGGAATGAGGTGGTTTTATTATGGAGGCAGGTGGTGGCATGGCTGTCTTGTCTTGCATCACGACAATACACAGTACGGGGTTGAAAATGAAGCCAGACCTGGGGGCCCCGGAATCCGGATAGAAGCCCTTAGCCCGGAGTGCGGGGCTGAAGTCCCCACAGTCCACTGTCTCTCATCCTGTTAAAGGCAGATTCCAAGGCTCTTCGGGCAAAAATGGGAATACTACTAATCAACTCTTAGAGGGAAAAAATGTCACAGGCATCATGAGCCGAGACGTGATCGTTACAAGCGCATACGATAATTTCAATCAATCCCGACGGAAAAAGGACCGGTTATCGGTATCGTAGGGTCCAGTGGTCCCACAATCTGTAATATACGATTGGGATCACGTGAGGATTCCTAGCAGCCGATTCGGCGATTCGTGTTTGCGAGCAACCCAAGGTGTTTTGGGGGCTGCCCCTTTGTCGCTCTGGTTGACTGGCGGGTTGTAAAGCTTCTAAGGATGCCGACTCCGCCAATCCCCAATCAGCAATTGGAGTTACTGGAGAGTAGGGAGACCTACGAAGACTCCAATGAAGGCTTCCAGTTTGCAGGTACCCTGATTGTGTATCAGCTAAATGGCTTTTTGTATCATGCGATGCTGAAAGGTCGTTACTCTTCTCCGATTCTCAATGCAGAGGATCTTATGAATGTGAAGCAAATCCCCGCCTCGGCCTACAACCCCAAATTTCCTGTCGGATTTACCGCAGCTCCTGAAATGCTGCCCAATGGCTGTTATGTCAAAAAACCTCGATTGATCAGTTACGATTTGATTAGCGAAGGGCCTCGACCGAATTCGATTGCGGAGGATGTCCTTAAAGAAGCAATGGTTTACGAACTCTTGAAGATGCACCCACATCCCAACATTGCTACCTATCTAGGTTGTCAAGTTTCTGACGGCGCAATCACGGGTCTTTGCCTCGAGAAGTACCCGCGCACGCTAATGAAAGAGGTCAACCCAGGCGCCCTCATGAAAAGAGCACTTAGAAACACGCGGGAAGCGAGGGAAAATTATAGCCGTGTTCTCACGGGCATTGACAGTGGCATCCGGCATCTTCACTCGCTGGGATTAGTTCATAACGACATCAATCCAAGCAATATAATGATCGACGGTGATAGAGCAATCATCATCGATTTCGGGTCTTGCCGGAAGATAGGGGAAAGCCTCAAAGATGTCGGCCGTACTTATGAATGGTACGATGGAGAAGTGCAGCAGTCTCTTCCTGAGAATGACTTGAAGGCCTTGGAGGAGATTCGCATTTGGCTTGGTGTTGGTTCATCAGAATTTCAATTTGAAGTCTAATACTTTCTATGTACATATAATCTCCAAAGCCATATCATTGTCTACGCTCATGTACTTCTGTTTAACTCGTTCTATCTGCCCACAAACTATATCAAGGCAGATCCAAAGTAAGAGGCTCAGTAGGTCCTTGGATTATATACAGCAAATAACCACGAAATCAGAGCTAACAAGTCATCCAGACTCCCAGCCAACAGTTCAATCCCTTGCCATAGTCAATGAACGCAAGCTGCTGACTGCTATTGCGTCGAGTCCACATAAGATCAACCCAGACCGCACCGAGAAAGCCACCCCACTCAATCTGGGGTAAAATAATCCCACAGTCCCAACCCCAATAACGCAGCTGCAGGTGCATATCTGTGTGTGACAAATATGCACCTACGTATTCCATCAAACCCCTCCACCATAGGCGATATCATCCCAGGAAACTATCTCACCAACCGGGAGTCACGTACAGCCCAGCTGCAGCCGGCTAATTCCCTCGAGCGGTCAAGAAGTGTCCAGCACACCTCGATGCATCGAATTGTGCGCCTCATTCGACAGCTCTGATACCTTCCCCTGCGGATTCCTATATTAAGGTATCGAGTGTGTGGCTGGAGAGGTCGGCTTGGAGATGCTTTCTTGCGATTGGCGGCTGCGGTACGGCGGGGAAGGGAGCGGTGAGGAGGGAGGTTGAGGCATTGGTAGGCATTGGGACTTTCGTTTTTCTTTTGCTTTTGTACGTTTGGTTAGCTGTTGGGTTGAGATTTTCATTTTGGTGTTTTGTTAGAATCGATATGGGTTTGATTGGGGACATTGATCTTGTCCAGGGCCCAGGGGTCTGGTGAAATGGTTAACAATGGAGACGATAGTTGAATCTATTCATCTGAGGTTCAAGTGGTAAACTCAATTGAAGGAGTCGTCGTAGCATGGAGGTCACATGAAAATCAAGGCCACTAGATCTAGATCCATGTCTGTTGAATGCCCAAATGAATGCACCTAGTAGCGCGGGTTGTTCCCACTTCGACCTCACCTGGCGTGTAAGCCCAACCCTCAATTGCATCGGAACATGGGGCAGTAGAAGATAGCGAAAGATAGATCATAGAACATACTAGATCAATCTCTGGTATCAGTGGGGTCAACGAGAATGACGATCTCGACCCACCTTGTAGTGCTAGTGTGAGACTCCGCTTGTATACTTCGTCTCAGAGAGCATGGACAGCGCATGAAGGCGCTGTGAGGCGGGAAAAGTCAGAGTTTCCCCTCTTTTTGCAGCTATTTATACTGCTTATCTTGCTTCTTCCTCTTCTCCCAAAAAGTCACCTCTTCCCTCTTCTCTATTCCCCACACAATCCCACCCGCCTTCCACCATGACCGTCTCAATTCCCAAGACCATGCGTGCTTTGCAGTACTCAAAGCCCAAGGAGCACAAGATTGTTGAGGTTCCTGTGCCTGAGCTGCGTGAGAATGATGTCCTGGTACGAACCCGTTGGTCAATCGATCAGAAACCGGGTCCACTAACCAGACACTCGAATGTATAGATCAAGGTCAAGGCCTGCGGTGTTTGTGGTACTGATCTGCACATCCACGAAGGTGAATTCATTGCAAAGGTATGTTATTGCATGTCCCGCTTCATCCCATTTTCAAATATCCATTCAGCCTCATACTAATGAATCCATAGTTCCCTCTCATCCCCGGCCACGAGACCGTCGGTGTAGTCGCCGCCATAGGGTCCAAGGTCAAGGACTTCCAGATCGGCGAGCGAGTCGTCGCTGATAACTCCGAGCTGTGCGGGACCTGCTTCTACTGCCGCCGAGGCGACGAGCTGTTCTGTGAGCACTTCGAGGCCCACGGTGTCACGATGAATGGCGGTTTCGCTGAGTACTGCGCCTATCCCGGTAAGTGCAAAGCTGTTTCAAAACACAACAAGCTCTCAATACTGATTCAGATCATCCATGCAGCCGGCCGAGTCTTTAAGATCAAGAACCTTTCCGACGTGGACGCAACCCTCCTCGAGCCCGCTTCCTGTGCCGCCCACGGTCTAGACAAGATCGCCCCCAAGATGGGCTCGTCCGTGCTGATCTTCGGTGCTGGTCCCACTGGCCTGGTGTTGGCCCAGATGCTCCGCCAGAATGGTGGTTGCAATGTTGTCGTCGTTGCTCCCCAGGGTCTGAAGATGGAGTTGGCGAAGAAGCTCGGTGCCGGTGATAAGTATGTTGAGCTGTCGCGCGAGAAGCCGCAGGCTCAGTTTGACGCACTCAAGGCTGAGAACCCCTATGGATTTGATATCGTCGTTGAGGCGACTGGTAGCCAGAAGATCCTTGAGGACTCGATCCACTATGTTCGTCGGGGTGGTAAACTTGTTGTGTACGGCGTGTACTCGAATGAGACTCGGGTTTCGTGGCCACCAGCTAAGATCTGTGAGTTTTTGCTCTTTTCTTCTTTTCTTTTGTTCCTGGGTTTTGAGGTTCTTCGCTAATACCTTGCAGTCGGTGATGAGATTACTATTCTCGGCAGCTTCTCTGAAACATACAAGTTCCCTGCTGCTGTTGATTACCTTGACTCCGGCAAGGTCAAAGTCGAGGGAATTGTCAATAAGGTGTACAGGATTGAGCAATGGGAGGAATGCCTTGAGGCGATGCGCAACAAGTCTGCCATTAAGGCTGCCATTGTGTTCGATTAGATTCGGGGATTCCATGACTTTCATGACTTATGGTAAGAATGCTTTGAACTGTTTCATAGAGGATTCAAAGTAGAATTGACTCTTTGAAACTGAAGTTGCGTATTGGATCCTGAGCCACTGAGGACCTTGAGCCCTGCTAGACTATGTAGTATGTACTAAACCACCAAGGTACTGGTACTAATTGATGCCGTCCCTGGCCGCTTTACTGCCGACATCGTTGGTAAAGATGGGCGGTATTCTAGAATGTAGAGGGGCTATTGGATGATGCGTGGATGAACTGTGTGGATCTGGTATCATTGACTAGAGACTCAAAAGTAGTGGACTGAGAAGGAGAGAAGGAGAGAAGGAGCAAGAGGGACGCAAAGGGGAGGAATGCCATCTAACAAGGGGAGGTTTGTGAAGGCCCTGCATACAATTACTCCCAGGGGCGGTATGGATGACTGGTGGGCCTATCTGCCACGGAATATAGGTGTATCATGTATGGCCTAAAGAGCATGCGGTTGACTTGATGCTAAGCATATGGCATGGCTGAATTGCTATTGACATGTGAAAAAACATTGAGGAACAAGACAATCCAAGACATGACAATATGGGGTTCACAGTGGGTGAGATGATCATCTCCGATGAAGAGGGCTACGCTCGTAATCCGAAGGATTTCAGTTACTATACAAATTGAAGCCCCGCATCGAGCGACTGACTAAGGTCCCAGGGCTGGTAATTCTCGGAGATGACTGGGATGGTCATATGACACGAGAGTGTGACCCCCTTCCTTGGCTAGGTAGATGCCAACGCCCAACGGGCAAATAATCCGTTGCGCAAAGTGTGCGGCACGACATACGGTGGCCGGCCCAGGTCGCCCCGCCTATATCATCCCCTGGGTGCTCACTGCCCTCATCCTCTTCGTCGAGTCCGAAGACGAAAGTTTCACGCATGGGGTAGGGTCCTACGAGCCTTTGGCGCAGCCTTTTTTATCTGCGGCGGAAGCTGCTTAAACTCTGACAGCTTCACCCTTTGGTACTTGGGGTCCTTCCATGCCCATTGTATCCCAAAAGGCTACAATCTGCTTCCAGTCTCCCTCCGATTGCTCCGGGTTTGGGACGGCATCGATGTCGCAGTGGAGCTTCATCTGTGTCGCAAGATTGGCCCAAACACCTAGATGAAGAGATGGTGAGTAGAAATTTTATAAGAACATCCAGGCTTGTACGTACTGCGCACAAAATGTTGTCCCATCCTCGAGGTTCGATGCCAGTCAAGGAGGTCGGCCATCCATCGGAAGACGTGCACAAAGTCTTCGATGCTGAAGTTGTCAAAGAAATGACGAAACAGAGCGTTGGGCTCGACGATATGCCTGAGGTTGACCTCGCTGGTCTCGATCGCTCGGACTATGTACTCCTGCGAGGACAATGATGATTAGTGGACGAGGCAATAGTATTTTTAGGTATGGAAGGCTCTTACACGCAGGCGCTCAAGTGTGCGCGATTTCCAGTTGCGAGTCCCACTGCCAATATCCTGACACCAGAGAGTGCCCATGTGCATGGCAATTTGGATCCGGATCCGACCAGACTTTGCAAATTAGCTGGTGAGATTTATCCGTCGCAGTGAACCATCTAAAAAAGTGCCACCTGACCAGCTCTTCAAGCCGCGCACGAGCTGGGAGGACTTCACCCCGGACAACCTCGGTATTTGGCGCTCTACCCACGCATTTGGTTGTGAGTAGGTTGCTGATCGGGTCACCGACGAGAGCCGTGGAGAAAAGAGGGTTGAAGGCCACAGGTTTTCCCTTGAGCTAATGAGCTTGAGATAGTATAGATTCGAGAAAGGTAGAGATAGGAGAGCCGTAATTATTGGATATGTGGAGGAGAGAAGAGTTGGAAGACGAGAGAGAGTCAAACCAGCAGGTATTTATAGGTGAGAAAGGAACCCAAACAGGAGGTCTTAATCAAGGTCCCAGCAAACCTCACCACATAGCAAACCTGAGTCACCATGTGACATGAAATAGGTGTATGACTTTGTGATTGGAGGTAGATCGCACATGTTAAGAACATCAGGATCAGAGCTAACTCTTAAAAGAAGGTATCAGTCCTCAGCCCGTACTGAAAGGAAGTAAAACGACACGTTCAGCGAACCAGGAACTGGATCCTTGATAATGACTGCACTGGAGGACGAACATGAATCAAACATCATGACGCATTTTTAGTAGCAACAGCAACCGTAAGGAAGAGACTCTTGAAAGAATAGGCCTATTAGTGTGGAGGTTACGCCAAAGATCAGCTTTCCCACTATCATTGCTCTATCACATAGATCCAACAATTCAACAAGTCCACCAAGTCAAGCTCTTAATGGGCCTGCTCTCTGCCTCTTGGTGCATATTTAGGCCTTTGCACTACCTGATAAATACTGGTGATCCCCATGTTTCGTACACGTAGGTAAGGTTGTGGTCCTTATTGAAAAGGGAAGGAACCATCCACGCTCCTTCTCTTCCAAGAAGAACTCATCACCTGATTCAACTTCAGCCAAAGGTCACATACTTTGTTCTTCCTACGGATGCTCTATTTCTGGATCGCCGAGGTGGTTTCGTCTGCGGATACCTTCTCTTCATGTCCCTTTCTTTCGGTGCCTCTACTCTCAGGAGATCTGTGCCTACATCACAAACTTTGAGTAGCTCAATCGATTCAGAATTTATTTCATTTGCTATTACAGTGTATTGACTTTAGACCACTCAATTCCGCTTTAATGACTGCATATCTTGATTTCCAGGCTTGTCACTAAGTAGAACCATTTTAAAAAGGAACTCATTGCCTGTCCTTCCCACACATGCGTCAAACAATCCAGGCCACCCAAAACCTACACTCCTACTTTGACATCGCTGCGTCGTTGAACAGACCTATAGTAGAATTCACAACGGATATTGCGTGGGGCAAGGCAAACACCAGATCAGACGTGGCACGTGTGGCAGTGGGATCATTGGGGCAATTCGTAGGGATACATAGCCTTGCCAGTTGGCGGATAGTTTGCCAGTTGGCGGGAGGCTTACCAGTTGGCTGGAAGCTCAATGTCAACCGACACAGGATGCCAAACGTGTGTTATGCCAATGAGGTTTCTCTGCTGTAGTTTCATTGCGACTTCTTCGCTCGAATCTCGACTGACATTTGCCATATTCCAGGTGTGGTCTTCAGAAAATTCGGGTAAAGAGCTGAGGGGCATGGAAAGTGTTGACCGTTCGAATGTACCGGGGCTGATGACTATATATCTGACCCGATTGTGGTCCTGTGGATTCAAATCCGGTATTCGCTGTCATCCCTACTCAATACCTCCATCGAGAGTACCTTGGGAGGAGAAGACATGTGATTCGTCTGGGCAAAGGCCACTGTGAATCTGGGGGCAGCCAACCCAGGAAGATTGGGAGGTATCTATCTTCCACGAAGGAGTGAATAGACCCGAGGAAGGTCAAAGTAGCCCTCGAGTCGTGCAAATGTAATGGCGTACGAGAATTTGCCCGGAAAGAGGAAATGTGTCAAAGGAAAAGTATGGCCGATACCCCCAGTGAAGCATGAGTGGAAGTAAACGGGGTCGTCCGTGCCACTATGCCCATAACCCACTCCAACCTCCGCCCGCAGCTCCACCCCAAAAGCGTCGCCACAAAACTTCAAGCTTGCAACCCCCAACATCCACCTCAACACACAATGGTCAAACCCCTAACATTCAAAGGCGACAAGCCTAAAAAACGCAAGATCCGCACCGAACCCACCGAACCTCAAGCCTCAAAATCCCGCAAAACAGCCACCTCCCCAGAACCCGAAGAGCCTTCCCCAGACGACCAAAGCTGGGTCTCCGCCGACGCCCCAAGCGACATCTCCGGGCCCGTCGTCATAGTCCTCCCCTCCGACGACCCATCCTGTATAGCAAGCGACCCGAACGGCCAAGTCTTCGCCAGCAAGCTCGAGAACCTCGTTGACAACGACCCGGCCACCGCGGAGCCGCACGATGTGCGCCAGGTCTGGGTAGCGTCGCGGGTTGCCGGGACGGAGTCGTTTAGTTTCAAGGGGCATCATGGGAAGTGAGTGGCTGTATTCGGAATTTTTTCAATTTTTTCTCGAAAGCTCAAGCTAATTAACCCACTTTCTATTAGGTACCTCTCCTCCGATTCACATGGTCTCCTTAGTGCTACCGCGTCGGCGGTCAGCCACTACGAATCCTTTCTCATTATTCCGTCGCCGGAGGTTTCTGGGACATTCTCGCTGCAAACGCATGGCGGAGATGGCGAGCTGTTCGTCTGCGTGAAGGAGAATAGTAAGGCTACGGCTGGTGTTGAAATTCGGGGGGATGCGGACTCGATTTCGTTCGAGACGACTGTGCGCGTGCGCATGCAGGCGCGGTTCAAGCCGAAGCTACGGGCTACTAAGGAGAGTAAGGCTTATGAGAAGATTAGTAAGAAGGAGTTGGAGGGGATGGTTGGGAGGGGGTTGACTGATGATGAGGTTAAGAGGTTGAGGAAAGGGAGGAAGGAGGGGAATTTCCATGAGGTATTGCTGGATGTGAAGGTTAGCGGGAAACATGATAAGTGGGCTTGAGTGGGTTTGTTCCATCGTTCGAGTTGCAGAGGTTGGAATTTGATTGATCTCATAACCAATCTGGGAGCTGAAATCTTTGTTGTTGGCGAACGATCCATCGACGAAGAGCTTCGCAGTGAACAGGTTCATCGCGACGTATTCCTCGATGGATCATTCGCGAACAACAAAGATTTCAGCTCTCAGATTGAGTATGAGATCATCCTCAAATTTAGTAGAGAACCACGGGCCCCGCCGCCCCAGTACCGACCCAAGAGGAGATATTCAATATCAAGCGTGAGTCATGCCTGAAGGAGCCCAGTTTCTGTGCATGCTGCTAACAAGCTGTCCACGCAGGCATCGAGATTGCGGAGGATGAACCCATGCATGAAATATTTGTTCCATTTGACGATGCAGAGCCAACTCTGAGGCCTCGGAGTATCGGGAAGCACCGAAGACACCGCACCCATTATCACTAGGTGGCCAGGATTCTGTTGCTTATGTACAATAGAGCAGGTTGATATATGATCTTCTATGAATTTACTACTCATGGCTACTCCCACGGTCCCACCCATTCCCTTCCCCCAGGTAAAACTCCACGTCGGTTTCAGCTGTAGGCTCTATATCAGATCAGGGTCACTCTTCATGCATACGGCATGTATGATTCTCATCTCTTGCAGAAAGCATTCAGCTACTACCTACTTCTTCGATTGTCGGTTTTCGTATCATATATGTATAGTTGGTCCAATACTGACACAATATCGAAGATAGTCCTACTCGATCTACATTGAAGGGATAGGCGAACTCTTGAGCATCAGCTGTGTATTGAGAGATACATCCCCGAGAGGCACTCATCCAACATCTGGTTCTTTTCATCTTTGTTCGTCTCGGCTTTCTCTTCTCCTTGGAAATCGAACACGCCAATAAAAACAATAAGGAAATAAAAAATAAACTTCAATGTACGCAGTATGCAGCGTAACGGAGACTCAAAAAGAACCATGCCAAAGTACACAGTAAATGGTTCGTCGTTCACGAATCACGTAGGTTGAAGGGCCCTTCTCCCTCCTGAAATCATATAGACTTCACGTATCGACGTTTTGGTGGTACGCGTATTCTGACGGTCGTCATGTAACTCACAAGGAAGTTGCCGTAGACATCAGATGGGTTTGCTCGATTGCCTCGGATGTTCACCTTGGATACTTGGATATGGAGCCTGGGCTCCTCCGTCTGGTGTTCTCGGGCTCTCGCGTAGTGGTTGCTCATGGTAGTCGTGCGTCCATTGTAGTAGTGCGTTGTTTGTTCGTGAACCGTCGTTGTCGTCGATCATATCGCCGGCGAGAGACCCGGTGACTATATAATCTTTCTCTTCACTTGTGGTGTTCATTCCTCTTTGCCCATCTCCAACGTCCCTCATCACCCATCTGATCCTCTTCATCGATCTTCTCTCTCTCATATCTCTGCTCTGTCGTTACCTGTTCCCGTTTTCACCTGTTGTTTCCAGCAACATCTGACCCGCCAGCTGTTTCTCGGCACTCAGTCTCTTCTCTTCTCTTGCGCTGTATCCACAGCAACTGTGCTTCATCCAAAACAACTGTTCTGACGCTCACCTTCCCCGGTTGTAACATTTTATCCAATTTGCCAACCACTTGGTAAGTCGAAGCATCCATCCATTCATCACCACCCTGGTGTCTCGTAGCAGCACACTCTAATTATAACATTCCTGATAGTGCTTTCCTACCTGCAAGATGGCCGACACCAACTTGGCTCGTGTTGCGAGGGAAGACGCGATGGAGAACGAAGAGAACCTTACTCACCTTCCCGTGGACTCAAACGGGGTTGAGCTATCCGCGCACGAGATCCGAGAGATCATGATATCCGGTGACAAAAAGAGGATGAAAGAGAATCGGGATATTTTTTACGTAACTGGCATCACTGCCTGGACCGTTCGAACACCTCATTGGAATATTGCCTTGGCCACCGACCCTCAAGGCAATCGCTTCCTATCCGATGAGGTTCTAGATCGGGCTCTCCCAAAGTGGAGATTAATCCTCAATGGAGAGAAAGTTCGTACCCCGACATACCAGACGTCTGGACAAGCTTTGCGTGAGTGGCTGGCTGCCGAGCGGCAGAAGGCGCGTCGTCTCGGCAAGCCTTGGCCCCAGGTTCAACCATCTCCCCCGTTGCGGTGTCCGCGTCGAGTCCGAAGACAGCAGGCCCAGATAGAACATCATCGGCTGTTTCCCCTCGCATTCCCTCTGGTGGTCATGCCCACACGTCTTCTTTTGGAGAGACGGAGAAAACACGTTTTTTTCGAGAGGTACTGGCGGAAGTCAAACAGACAAGGAGGAAGGCCGAAGAACTTATTCGGCGCATGACAGAAAATTCTCCGCAGACAGACCTTGTGATGTCAGAACAAGTGCATGGACCCGCTTGCCAATTCCAGCCGGCGCAGCCCTTCTACATGCCGCGATATCCTACAGAGGTTCAGCAACTTCCACCGACGTCTGATGCAGATTACCTGACGGCACCAGAGCCCATGCAACAAACGCAAGGTCACCCGTTCCAGGACCTCCCACCTGCCCCTGCGGATGCAGACTGGGAGCAATGGATGGTCTTCCCGGAAGACAATTGAGCTTGTTTCTCTGATAAAACCAAAAAAATCAACAAAAAAAAAAACCTCCGCCAGCAACATGTTCATGTATGATTCAGAAAATTAACAAAAAAAGACGGAACAAGACGCAACAAAGCCAACTGCTGGATGAGTGGTTGAGCATGTGTCGAGGCACCGCTGTCAAGAGTTCTATCACTTGTTAGAGTACGGATCATATTGTGAATAAGATATTGTTTGAGTATGTAACACACTACTTTTCGTAGTCACTTCATAATGCAGATATGACTGGTTCCTTTGACGGTTGTACACATCTGTATGCGCACATCCGCGCCACTCATATCAAGTAGACAAACCAAAAGGGCACAAGTTACTTCCTCAGGTATTCCCTGCCTCAGACGGATAGCCCAGGCTGAGGCCTCTGATACTTACATCCTACCACAGTAGTTAAGGGTTGTAGGATAAGCGGTTGCCGCTCATAGCAGTGACTACTGTAACTAGTGTCTAGTACAGTCACAATGAGGTAATCTTCCACAACTAGTTACCTAGAGCACAGACCATAAGCGAGAGTTGCGATGGACGTCATCCCGTTACGCTACCACAGGAAGGCACCCAAAGCGAAACTACCCCGAGCGATTACAGTACTATCCCCTGGTCTGTTGAACTCTAAATTGATACTAGAAAAATTTAGCGTCCTTTTTCTGCCGCCAATGACACGCTCCCTTTACTTAGGATAAGATGGAGGGGTTTGAGCTACTCCTGATTTGGATATTAGCGGCGAACTAACTGACCAATAGTTAGCATGGTGATTTTACAAAATACGCTAAAGCTTTCTAGTATCAATTAGAGTTCAACAGACTAGGGGATAAAAAGATAGAGCTTTCCTATTTCGGTTTAGCTCCCGAGTCAGAAGAGCCAGAAGTGGGGTCAGGTGGGGTTAGTGGCCGCGGCCTAAGGAATTGAACTGCCAAGCCACCTTTTATTCTTCCACAGCGGACTGGCCGACCGCAGAGTCTCCAGCTCATCTAAATTGAACATTGATCCCTCATCAAAGTTGGACCCCAGGTCCCCAGGTCGATGTATAGATAGACTTACCCACATCGAAACCAGTTGGCTCGAATATGGGAGGCACTCGTCATTCAGACAAAGTACTCAAATACATTTCTACCTCACCACCTTCATCCTCCGGGATTACTCGCGCTAAAGGACACATTGACACGTTCCCTTCCTGTCAAACTTATTGATTCTTTTTCTCGGAATCAGATTTTTGGAATTGGAAGAACGGGCTTGCCAGTTGGTAGTCCGTCAAGAAGGCACAAATGTAAAAAAGAAAGATAAAATTGTGAGAATTCGAGCCTAAACCTCTGGAATAATGTGACAGTCAAGAAAATAAGTAAAGAAGGTATTAATGAAGATACAAAAAAGAAATAAGAATGTTCCCAAAAACGTGCCTCCTAAGTCGCCCGACACCCCCAAGCAAATCTATACCCCAAGCCACAAGACACTTCATCATTCTGCGGCAAGTCCGAAAAAAAGCCAGTACAGCAGATCTACACTCCAGGACGGTCAGTCAGATCACTGTACTTCGCAACCTCCATACTATCCTGCGCAACAAAGGTATCAAACTGCTTCTGCTTCTCAGCAGCAGAGTCGGAGCGACTCTCAGTAGCAGCAATGGTGCTTCCTGAAGTCGTGGTAACGAGTGTACCCTCGGAGACGTGCTTGGACGAACGAAGCTGGGACCAGAAGTTGCGGCTGCCGAGCTTGAAGAGCGGGCGCAGGTTCGGGAGACAGGCGGCGGTGATGCCGACAGCGGCTTCGATACAAGTCCAGACGACGACGGGGACTTGGTTGTCTAGAGAGCATTGTTAGATATTGTGAATTTGCAAAGGTGTGGTGGGGAACGACTGACATGTGATATCTGGGCCTAGATCCACCAGTCGGATCATGGCTTGGAGGCGGAAGATATCGAAGATCAGAGTTCTATGCATATATTAGTTTCTTTTTCGTTGTAGCAGGATTGGATGGTAGAACGTACAGGCCACCGACGAGGAAGACTCCGGAAAGCAGCAACTTTTGGGACTTGGCGATGGGCAGTGTCCAGACAACCCTCATGGGCATGACCAGGATGATGAGGTCGGAGAGAATGTTAGGGATTTGAATGCCGTAGTAGAACTTGGCTGGGTTGAGACAAGCTCCTGGGACGGATGGATCCCAGAATTTGTTCACGGGAATGCAGATAAGAGCCCCTGCAGTATATACGCCGACAACCCAGAGGCAGACAAAGCCGAACATGATGTTCACGGCAATGTTCATATAGCGAATAGCGAACAGGCGCTTGTATAGTGCCAGAATAGAGAACTTGATGAAGGCAATGCAGCCAGTGTAGACAAAGTTGTTGGAATATCCGATCTGTTTTGGGTTAGTGTATGGACTTGACTTGTGGTGAGGGGCGGTACTTACTTGGAAGTAAACCGTGAGGTTCTTGGCGGGAATCATTGTGATGTGCGATCCCAAGCCATTGTAAAGAACTACATCTGTATCAGTATCAAAGCTTGGTTGCTAGAGCTGGCAACACCACTCACGGACTGTGACTCCACTGGAGCAAGAATATTTCATGAACAGAGCAACGAGAATGAGGTAATCATCCAAAAACAGCTTGCTGCCAGTCATCTTTCTCGCCAAGAGACGAAGGGCGACAGCAATAGTCGACAAAGTAAACGCAAAGACGAGCGCAATTGTGATTGAACGCCGCAACGCCTCATTCGGGTGCTCGAAGTCACCGGGCGTCCACGTGGCGTCAGAGTTCTGGTCTGCGGAAGACATGACAGGCAATGTGGATCAAAAATCAAGCAAGTCAGCCAAGGCAAGAGTAGACGGTGAGGGAGTGTTTGGGTTGGAAGATTTGGAATTCACTGTAGGGCTGCACTCGTGTCTTTAATATAACAGACTCGGGGACGGACGGTGCCATCAGAGATGCAGCTTTGATATGTCATATCCTCCGGGATCCATTGAAAATCCCGCAAAGGTGATATAAAGTGGTTATGGGTCACATCAGTTGGGCTTTTGTTAGGGCGCGGTCTAAGTGTATAGTGTGTTTTGGGTAAGTTAGGGTTCAAGGTAAACCAAAGCCCCGGAATATTGCGCTGTGCGCTTTAGGTGGGAAAAAGCAAGATCTGCGAGATCAACGGCCAGATCATAAACCAAATCTTATCTGCTTTGGTCGTATAGAATTTCGCCAATTATGTGGGAGAATGGAACATTTTCCGACATATCATCTTGGCAAGTGGATATGTCAGATTTACCTGCCTTCAACCTAGACCCACTTGGTTGCAAGATCTGTAGATGAGATGCGTTGAGCATTATGACTGCATGTACTCATGTGCTATTCTGCCTCTGCCAATTGACATGATGAATAGAGGATGCCCTTAAAAATGTTGGAGGGTTGTTCATCGGTAGCTCGTCAAAATCTCAGCCAATATTGAACCAGCTGAATCCGAAAGCTATCCCTAATTCAAGTAAGGGATCAATAAAAGCTTTCACGCGAGGACTGAGATGGATCTGAGTGTGGGGTATTGTTTTCAGGGTCCTAGGACAGTAGTAGATCTGTCGCATGAATGCAGTAGCCACTTCACAGCCCAGAGACAGCGATGTAGGTCGACGAAAACGTTATGGAACCCACCAAAACTACCATGATCGTCCAATAATTGGAGCTTATGTATGCCAGATCATCTTCCGAGCTCCCCGCTTTTGACATATCCTCAGATATGTTACGGAGTACATAACCTGGAATCGGATCCAAATGACCAATCGGGGCATAAGAAGCTTGGGGTTTATCCGGGTGAGACTATGTGATGTATCCACTTGGGGTCGAAACAAGTCTGATCCCGCCCCACATGGTGCCATACATTGGGGTTGAACCGTTGGATCCGGACCCATTTGACAGCGACTTTGTTGTACACAAAGTACGGAGATACGTCTCATGCACCTGAGTGATCGACGGTTCCTGACTACCTTTGGTTAGTTGGTGCGAACCCGTTTTTCCTTGAGAACTCTGTAGAGAGTTGCGGAAGAAAATTTGCTTGTCTCTCTTGTTCACTTCCCAATCGCCGGTCGTCGGCCCATTGGCAACGCCTGCCATATAGAGATCGCCTCGTATCCACTGAAGATCCTTGACCTAGCTTTTGCATCGTCGGGGACCAAAATCATAGATACCCCGATTCCATAGAGCCATGTTTTCCCCACTGTTCGTGTTGCCCTTGCTGCTGTACTTGTTGTGTGCCTTTTTGCCTGAGAATTCTGCATAGTCTCATCAGCAATGCTTCTATATACAGCCACAAAAGGTCACGTTGATCCGATATACACAGAAGCATGGTACCTCCCGTCGTATGCGACTTTGGAATCATCTGAGCACTCAAGGGCATAAGTTAAAGTTGCGAAGTCCGTGATGCGCAGGATCTTGGCCTTGGGGGTCGACCCGGTTCACCCCGATTTCGAGGGATCAGATTGATTGCACACTTGGAAAAGGTTCTTTTTATGCTCTCGATTGAGACATCGCGTTGAAGTCATTTTCTGTCTATGTTATCGTATGTCTAACAGCTCACGACAGTGGCTCGCGACTATGTATCACGGTTAGGTTTCGAGGCTGCAGCTTTACAGCTCACAACGGCAACAAACCGCAGAGTCGTTCAAAAGTATCATACTACTTGCCATCAACCATCATGTCTCTATCAAAGGCGAATTGAAACCCGCGTCTTCCAACATTGGCCAGCACATAGTGATGTGGCGTCATTGGATCTCTCAGCAAAGTGAGGTGCCCAGGCAGTGGAGCTTGGTGCGTTCGGCCCCACTGCGGGTACCTAAAGTCTCCCCGGTCCAATCAAGAGTGGATACAGGTCGACCAGTGATGATAGTTTTTGACCTGTTGAAGATGGAACAAAGGGTAACTACGGAGTAGAGTTATCTACACAGTACATACATGTGGGAAGGAAAAGAGTCCTGCGACATAGTGAGGATCCAACAATCTAGTCCGCCAACAGGGCTTTGTAATCCCTTGTGCGGCATGTGAGGATAGACTGGACAGTGCTCAGCCTACCGCCAACTGGTAAGAAGACGAAATAACTCCCATACTTTGCGCTGATATTTGTACATTCTCCTCTTACTCACCGGGATGGGAAGAGAATAACCAGGTCATGCTTACTCAGAGAAAAGCGGGAGAAATCGAGTCTATCTTGATTGAGATACAGGTTTTCGCGGGATACTATTACCGATGAAGACATTATTCCTATGACTCTTGCCCACTACACAGTAATATCCAACGAAACACCCGAACGTCGGCCTTCCATTTTTCACATGTAATCCTCTTCGCAAAAGCCGTCAAAAATCCAATCTTCTTGGACTCTGGCTCTTTCCTCCTCAGTTTCAGCGGCATCGAGAGCGGCTGCTTTCAATTTCCTCTCGCGTCTCCTTGCTTCATCATAATGTTCGATAGGCACCCATCCCTCGCCTCCAACTCCTATCCCGTCGAGACAAGCCTTAAATTGTTCATCTGCTTCAGATTGAGCGCGTACCAATCGTAGACACTCGGTTGACTCGTCATCCGAAAAAGAAATTGGGCAAGCAGCTTTCGCATCGCGGTTCATCCCCGACCAATTTCTTGACAGTGTAACTAAATCTGCTTTCAAGGTCATATTGTCAACCTCCCAAGGGTCACTTGCATGGTCATAGAGCCGTCGCCTTAAGGTACTGAAATCATAGGTTAAAGCTTCGTAATGCTGGGGATTTTTTTCTGCTGTCTGTTTGACATAGTGATAGTGGAGCTGACGCCTGCGCAGGAGTTCCGCTTGCTTGAATTGCTCGAATTCTTCCAATTCGTCAAAGTTGCTCGGTAACGTGGGGATTTGCAGTGATTCCGATATCTCGTCGCCGTAATTCTGTACACTGGAATTCCACACTGCAAGAATAATGGAAGAATTCTACAGTGTTGCCAATCAATTAACCCCGTGATGTCCTTAGCGCAAGCAACATACATCCATCGTCCGGGTGTGTACTTGAATAGGTCAGACTCAGGTTTCTGGATCGTCGAAACAGGGCGAGCGAGGATCAGTCTTGAATTGGGTGTGATTTTGCGGTGAAGAATATGAGAGATTGCCCCTAGGCGGTTGGCCATGGCTTCGAAAGAAAGAGGTAGCAATGGGAATCTCCATGTGGGGTTATCCTCACAAATTCTGGTACTGTCAAGGTTAAGGTTGTTTGTTAGCCGCTCCCAACCAGGGCGGTACGTGGTGTTGAACGTGCGCGCCGGCGAGAAAATGGTGAGCCTTTCAGAAACGTATTTGCACGTCTTGTAAGTTCCTCGAGTAAGAGGTACTCTGGGTCTGCCGACAAGTTTTCGGCTAATGGCCTATCTGATCGTGGGAGATTTGGATCACCCCTGCCTCCTGGAAGTTGGACGTCTGTCTCCGGCGGTAGGGTAGATTCCATCTTCTCCCTCTCCATCTTCTCCCTCTCCGCCTTCTCCCTCTCCATCTTTTTCTTCTCTATAAAACGGTTAATGAATAGTTACTAGTTATTTGTCTAAAAAGTAATACTCACGCCTTCGTGCCTGAGCCTGGAATTGTCGCCTGAATTTAGCCTGCAGGCTTTGGTCGCGATAGGAGCTACGAATACCAAATGTCTGACAGACCCAGTCAGCATGTTCTTTTGCTGATAGACCTGGCGGTGGGCTTGGATATTGGCGGCATCGCGTCGGTTGAGACCGTGTAGAGCCTAGAGGGTGTGTTTCTTCCATTGTGCATAGATGTAGGTACTAGTGATTGTTGACAGGGTCAGGAATCCAAGTTGTTACCATGGGTAGGGGTTACGCGAGGCCCGCGTCGGCTAGGTGTACGGACGCCGCCATGCTTGACTTTGATCCTATTGGCTTAATGACTTCTACCGCTTTCCTGACCGCCTGCCTAATGCTCCATACGTAGATACCCAATTTCTCCCTTATCTCAGCATCTCAGACCAAACATTATAGGCTTGGAATACCTAACCAAGTTAGGTTCAGCTCATGTTTGGTCTGAGGGACACGTCCTAAGACTTGGTGTCAGTATACGCCCGAAACAAACTGAGCGTCGCCTGAGCAAAGTTGGAGCAGCTAAGTCAGCAGCTGACCTCAATAAAATGCACCACGCTAGGCCCGTCCCAATGCAGCCGTTCACCCAGCACTCTTGACCGTTGTCCCCTTAATGAAAGGCTAGCGTTATCAATGTGGCGGTCGATCCTGGTTGTTTCGCCTCTAGCTGGGAGGCAAATGCACAGTGGGGCCGCATTTGTTGGCAATTGGCATTACTATTCTGCGGCTATGCCACTATTCAACTCGTCAAGTCTCGCAGTCACAATACCATCTCTACATAGTTGCGGGAAATATCCAACCCTCTATTTTTGGTTCTACAATATTGAGGAATGTCTCAGAAAAGTCCAGTCAATCGGTTTGTAAATCCAATTTAGTGTTTTATTCTGATTCTTTTTTCCTCTTGATTCCTAACGGACTATCGCTCTTGCTGCCGCCACTTGCTCCTAGGAACAAAGGAGTACGGATTCAGCTCTAGCGACCTGGACATTCGCAAAAATATTCTAGACCGGACATGCTACTGCCCGGATGATCTACCTGCCCATGACGGAATTTGTGGCCCCTCATTTACCTGGTATTCTAACTAGCACTTAGAGAATCCCTCATCATAACTAAATGAAGCCTAATAGGTCTTCCTAGGAGCTCCCAGACCCTCCGTGCCACGACAATATGATTGGTGAGATGAGTATAGATCCTAGGAGCTCAAGTGCTGGTGCCCATTGGAATTTGCGGGGACTGTGGCCGCTAATGCTGAGAGTCAAAAGTATATAAAAGAAACACTGATCCCTCCTAGAGTGAACATATCCAAGTTTCAAGCATTTCTCCTCGAGACAGCTCATAAGTTCAAGCAACTGTCGGCATTCCGGGTCTGTCTCTTTCCGGCTCCTCAGCCAGAGCAAAAGCCTAACTATTATTATGCAGTTTTCTGATGCTGCAAAGAAAACTGACAACCTGGTCGATATCCAATTATTCCATCCGATGAGAGTTGCAAGGCCGTTTCCTGTGTGGTCCTGAGCTCTGAGTTTGTTATGTATGGCCAAGACCTAATGGGAAGATGTAAGTGACTCTCACTTTTGTACCAGTGGGAGCGCGAGAATCTGCAGGGGGCCTGTGGCTGACTGAATTTAGTAGCATAAAATCTACTGAGGTTGGAGTGAGAACAGATCCTAGCTTGATTTCTCGGTCTGATTACAGTACACGTACTAAAACCCACTTTACTTGCACGTGCTCTTTTTGTCATTTCCCGGACGCAAATGGTGTGCTTCACCCGATCCAACGATAGCCCTTCAACGCAAGTGAGTTTGATCCGCCACGCCCGTTCTTCTCCATCAAATGCCAGGAATCGACATAGACCAATGTCTGTGAGATATCTGAGCCTTTCACAAACTTAGTCTACATGTTACTTATTTAATTGAGATTTATATGGTACAATAGTACTCCTTCAGAGACTCAGAAGGTCCCAGGTGGAGTTCTGCACCTGAAAGAGATAGTTTGAAGATGCATGAATACGCCTGAAAACGAGTCCTCGCCCCTTCTATTGCTAATGAGCACGTGTCTAATATGACTATCGATTATCGGTCATGCCACGATAATCGAAAGCCTCGCTTGCCGGTCTTCAGTCTGTATTATTCCACTCTGACTTATGGGCATCATTTTGCCCCCTGGCCCTAGCTTGTCCGACCTCCCGTCACTACTGAACTGGTGTATACAGTAAAACTATTATATATCATCGGCCATGTCACGATCATCAAGAGTCACGCCTGCCATTCTTCAGTCTGTATCATTCCACTCTGACTTATACGTATCCTCTTGCTCCTTGGCTCTAACCTGTTGGACCATGTGTCTTCCCGTCGTAGGCATTAACGATTAACGGCCTACATTCGACAAAACAGGGAGGGCTCATTTGTTAGAGCGAAGTTGTGTTATCCGGGCTGGTTTGTTAACCTATTTAGACTTGACACGGCAACCAAAAGGCCGCATTCTACCTCTGCCTCGGCATCCCAGCTTCATGTGACAGACCTGGATAATTGTCTCATCTACTGTGGAGTCACCGCTAATTATCTTAAGATATTGCCTACGTTTGCCAGGTGGATGCCGTTGGACTATACATGACATTTTTAGTAACTGATGTGATTTGAGGCTTGTGCAGAGGGACTGAAGCCGTACGTAACGTACATGCGATCGAAAATTAATTCCAGACTACCTATAGGAAAGAAAGAGCTCATTGAAAGCCAGCTGGACTTTATCTCGTATCCCTCGGGATGAATCACCGAACTTCTTGAACTACTACGATACAAATATCCTTGGGACAGCAAACCGGTGGATTTGTATGGACAAGCTGCTACAGTACAACCTAGTTTCTTAGGAAAGTGAGTTTGAGGACGATTCAACAACAGCCCCGTTGTCTGACCATTTCGGTAATCAGCTTACTCGCTTACTCAAGGCTGTTCTAGGTTCGTATTCTATACTATTGCTCCCTGTTTACCGAAGTAAGGTAATTACAGAGGTATTGCTCCATCTGCACAGCCACCGCTTAAAAACAGATAAGCCACAATACTCAAAGCACCTGTAATTTCCGAGATACATGAAACAGGTATGATTTTGTATGATACCATTATCGTACGGTGCCCGCTCCGACGTTGGCTAGCCATACAGTATACTTCCTTTTCGGAAATTCGATACTTCGACGTGTTATTGGGATCTTCCGGAGCTCTGCATGGGAGGACCTTTTCTATCATATCTTTCATAACTAACATGGATATCCCATCTGCGAGAAAGAGGATGTATGCCTTCTGTATCCGCTCGCCCATTTCCGCTGTACGCGCTACGCTGGTCGTTCGATTTACCTCAGGTGTTACATAACGGCTAGGAGTCTCACTAACTAGTCAGCCCGATTACCTTCCAGCGCCATCGCGAGATACCGCTAATGCAATGATTCCTGCTGTGAAATTAACGACTCGGTATTCTTTTTCATCAACGAGAGAAACGAGACGTCAACACAACAGCCGAGTCTAACCAGTTTGTAATGAGCTATCGCGGAGCTGCTATCAGCCGCAAAGGTGGCGTGAATAAATTTGTTGAGGTGAACATATATGAAGCCTACATTGTGCCCTGCCACTTCGTCTTGTGGCGTTATCTCTAAGACTATACCCACGTACAGGCCGTCAACAGTCGTCGATGCTACAGTGGTGTCTGATTAGTATTTAACCTCCGGTACATTGGGGGCCAAGGACCCACTTTTAATATTGCCGAGCAGAAACCTCGGGAATTCGAATTCATCCAATAGTTGGGGCCGTGCGAGGTTTGACTAGCTGAATCAAGTAGGCGGTCCAGAGAGCGGTCAGATCTTAAAGTGGGGACCTAAGTACCGGAGGTTAAATACTAATCAGACACCACTGTACTGCCCGGGGACAAGACAGCCAAAGATCACCGAGAGACGCGGTGGCTATTTTTTCCAAAGGCTCAGGTGCTCGCCATTGGGTAGAGTGCCTAATGTCCCTGCTGTTTTGCTATGGTACAAGTAGAACTGATGACACCCCGTCAACGATGTCATCTTATGCACCTCCCAAGCTGTATTTTGGGAAGCTACCACGACCAGCCCAAAGCAGTGGAGTTCAACTCTCACTTCCCGCGATACTCGCGTGTCGTAACTCTACTTGTCAACGGTATTCAGGATCTTTACCCGCGAAAAGAAAGTGATATTTTTTGGATCCATGTGGGAAACCTAGGAATGAGCCAACAACAAAATGATTAAAGATAACTCAGGGAACACCTACCTTCGCCCGCGGAGATACCATTGTTATCAAGTCTTTGTCTTTGCTGTTGCTGTTGGCCATATCCTGCCTTCTCATCCGCTACTTCGACATCGTCCTCCTCTGATACGCTGCCTCCCCTGTTCACGCCCTCTTCTGATTGCTGATCAAGTATTTGGCACTTCGGATTAGTGTTGGCGGTTTATATCCTCACTTTAATCATTTCCCGTAGGTGGAAACTTATATTCCCAACAATAACAACGACTATGTGGTCATGATTTCTTTGTACTGTGAGAGCTACCACAAGACGGGATACAGGTATTGACTTCCTGATTGGTGATAGACAAAAGCAATTCTGCCCAACATAGCAGTGTCTAACCGGATGCTTCTTGTTTTGATCCCAAGATGGCTCCTGGGAGTCTGGTTGGCTCGATGCGTACCGCTCAGTCCTCTCTGTCCTCTCTGTCCATTCACGGCCATGTCACCTGCTAGGATTACCTTTTCTCTTTCTCTCATTTTTTTCTTTTATTTCCCCGAAGAGGTACACTCAGAGACATGACAGGGAGAGGGGTCCTTGTTTGTGGAAATGGGTGAAATTACTCAAACCTTATTGAGTTGATGATATCGCGAGATACTGAGCTCAGGAAATTATTGCTAGACAAACGGTCAAGAACAAACGGTCAAGGGGAATCAACCGGCGGATTGCCCAACAACACTTAACGTCCGGGTAAGCGAGCCTAGTGGCCCCGGTGAGCGGCATTGGTGAACTAATAATTGGTGGTCAGGGATAGTTCCAGCCTCCGATATTTTGCCCAGAATGGTCAAGTCGATGCACGAAAGATATATGATCATGCGAGCTTTGCGGGGCTAAAATTTTGCTAAGTTGGCCACACGGCCTGTTTCACCCAGAGGGAAGTTCGTGAGGGGCGTCTAATATATAATTTAATCGGCGGATGACGAATGGGAATATCAAGTGGATCTCCTCCAGAAATCACTCCACGTATCTTTTACACATACTTTCCAGGGTAATAGTTGACCGGGTTGTGGGATCTGGTAGTTCTGTCCGTCACTAGCGGTACCCACACAAGATAAAGACCGAGTAAGGACTTGGTCGACTTCTACCTACGGCACCGGGAATTGATACAGACACCACACGTTTTTACTAGCGGCACCACACCGGATCACATAATCAATTTTACCCAAAAATGTTACCATACATTACCACACCACTCCATGACTTACTACTGTAGCAACATGGTGATGATCAGTGTTTCTTACCTAGAGTTCCCATTGGTCAGAATCAATAGTTAAGCTTCTTTGCATATGGCAAAAGGGGCAATTTATGACATCTCGTGCTAGGTCCCCCGCGTTTCGCCCAGTCCGGGCATTCATATGATCATTGATCATGGTGAAGTTTGAACGCCCCTTCCATCACAGCCAAGAGAGATATCCTTCCTGGGCTGCTATCAGCTTACAAGTCGGTGTCTTGGGCGACGTGCACTGCGATCCCCGCGTCTACCTTGTCAACTGCCAAGCAGACTAGCATGGCGAGGGTTAAAGAAGAGGTTGTTTGATACAAGTGGGTGGTAGTTGACACTCATGACTGATGACAGTTGTCAAGTCTTAGTCCAGATCCCCCGTTCAGTCCGCCAGATCGGCGTTTAGCGAGAGATACGGGAGCTAAGAAGATTGCACTTCGAGATAGAGTATGCTCCTGGATAGAAGCAAGCCACTGGTCTCTAGTCTCAAAGACCTCTTGTCCTCTTCCATAATGAAATTCCATTGGTGGCTCTATCGTCCATGATCAGATGGAATCAGCGAAGAATGAAAAGAAAAATTGGATGAAGAATCAGATGAAGAATGACCTGATGAAGAATCAAACAACAAGCAGGAAGGGAAGTTTATGTAGTAGTAGATAGAATGTAGTTGCTACTGTAGTAAGTCATGCAGTTGCTCTGGTAATGTATGGTAACAATTGTGGGTAAAATTGATAACTAACTAACGTATTTCACAAGCGAGTGGCCCAGTCCAAAACACATAGTAAAAGCGATAAAATACAACTTGGTATCTCAACAACGGTGGGTTCTACTGACTTTATCTTATAGCATAGTATCTTTTAGGTTATAACTAGCATCTATAAGAAGTTTGAGGAAAATCGAAGACTTTATGCTTGTGTTATATCGATATATCTTTTTTGGCAACGTATTATTCTGTAATTTTTGAAATCACTTCGATATTGCCTCTTAATATCGTTGAAATTCATACCAAATGCTATTTTCTCCTGTCAATGGCTACCGCGAAATGAAGGAGACGAAATAAATTCGTGGTTGTTGAGATAATATATCGCGTTTAGTGCCGTTTACTATGTGTTTTGAACCGGGCCACTCGCTTGCGTGGGCCACTCGCTTGTGGAATACGTTAACTAGTTAACTAACTAACTAGTTACGGCACCCCATTTCTTAGCTAATACAACACCTTATGTAACCAAACCTCATCTTATTGGCTCAATCTTCTGCACGACCAAGTGGATATTGCTCAGAGAGCCACACCGCTTGCCCCTTTATCACAATGGGCCTTCGCCGCCTTCAATTTGCCCACCGAATCGCCCGGCTATTAAGGTAAAGCAGCCTGTTTCAACGGATATTCATCCATTTTGGAGGCAGAACATATCACCGAATGACACTTTAGAGTATCTACCACTACTTGGACCTCAGCTACCCATACCCAAGGCCCAAAGATCAGGCGATTCAGGTGTTTCACGTCTACAAGGTAACAAGACTACAACTGGGAAGGAAAAGGCGCCGCCTATGTGCTCAAACTGTGGGGAAGTTAGGCACACAATCAGGTCCTGTAAGGTATAATGATTCCAATCAAGTTGTATACTATTTAAGGCATCTTAACCGTTTGAAAATCGCGTGTGATCAACTTCAATTGCTGGGGTATGTGTATATGTCGCCTCGACATCCACATGTGGGATAAGACCCGATAAGGCCAGGCCGCACTGAATTTCTTGGCGTCCGTAATTAATTCAAGCCAGTACATGATAAATTACCATAAAATACATCCCAGATAGGGGTAGGGAAGCCAGACCTTCGGGTCAACTGGCGAGCTCACTACCTAACACCACCGCAGTCCTCTAGTTATTCCATTCTTCAAAATAGTCTCCTGCAATATGTTATCAATACATCGTAACATCAATAATGCATTGGTAATATATTGACAATAAGGTACATTAGGAATGTATTAAGAGTGGTAACTTAGTAGTACGGAGTATTCAGTGCTCGCTCAGCTAGATAATGCATTGGCAATACATTGAGAATATATCAAGAGTACGTATCCCTCAGACCAAACATCTCAGCTGAACCTACCTACGGGTACTTGGGCCATAGTTATGATTTACTTGAGCAATAGAATGTGCAAAACGATAGGCTACACACAGTACAAAGTAACAAAATGAGAATATCACTGTAGGCGATATTGCATATTACTGATTTTCTGCCCGGCGATAAAAGCCAATAGGATCAAAGTCAAGCATGGCGGCTACCGGCGTCCGTACCCGCGTCGGCTAGGCTGTGAATCATTCTGCAACAAGTAGCAACCGACGATAGTATTAAAATATTATTATATACACTTTGTAAGCCAACAGGCAACAAGACACGCTCCAGTCGTGTTGAAGAAAAGAAAGGCAAAACATCAACATCCCAGCTCATCTGCCATATGCCTCCAAACAGCCTCTGGCAGTCTACCATGGACCCAATATCCGCCCTTGCCCTCTTCCAGACCCTGCGCTTTCCATGTCACCAACAAATCATCCAAGTGCGATCTAGTCTCGCGCAAAAGCCCACAGTAATCCACACTACCCTGCACAAATAGCGGATTTTCGCCCTGGATATCGAGATCGAAAAGCGGCAAGTTTTTCCAAGACGCGATGCGCGGCTGAGCTGCTCGACCACCGTATAACTTTGGAACCATAGGTTTTCCCTTCGATGTCTTGTGCTGCTCAACCACCTCTCCAATGCACTCTGGCTGCTGGGCTTCATCGAGGGAGACACGGATGTGCGTCGCCATTTGGATCAATGAAAGGGAACTGTATTCACTTGATGGTACCGGGTCTGGTAGGGGCATCATGTACCAGGGGTTATAGAGGTTTGCTTCGGACTGGAGTTGTTTCGAGATGTCGATGGCGATGCCGAAGGTGTGCACTTTTGGTGGGTGTAACGCTGCCTATCAATAGTATTGGTCTCAGTGGGCTTCCTTTTCAAGTTTGCAGATGGTGTAAAGGGGGTACTGACCGTGAAGATGAAGGCCACCAGGAGATCATGTTCGGTAACTTTGGCTTTCTGGCTTTCCGCCTCTTTTAGCCAGCTTTGGATTGTCCTTTGTGGCACAAACAAAGTCTTGGCGACTCGTCTTGCCGAACGGTAGCATATGTTGCGCCCAATCTGTTTCCCAATAGCGCTGATTCCGGCTATCCAAGTCCGATCCATGGTGTGCTTGTGCAGGTCCGCGATCCGGTGCGACTCGATCATCTCAGCACACTTCTCGAGTACTTCGGACTTGAGTGACAAGGATGGTCGGGCATGGACGGTATGGCTGATTCTTTCTCCTCTGAGGAGGCTGCAATAAGCCTGGATTATATGATGAGCACCTATAGGAAGATGTCAGTCTCTGGTCTCTTATCAAAGTTCGGGTAATCATTTACCATTCGCATCGCAAAGCGGCTGTAGGAACTTGAACCCTATGATACAAGCATCGGTCAAGAACACCGTTCGTATAGCGAAGACCCGCTGTTTCCATGCATGCAGTATCCCGTAACCAAAATCTAGAGCGTCGTTGAGGGAATCAGTGTCTACCATCTGTGGATAGTCCCTATTGGAAGAAAAACAGATGATTTCGCTAAGATCTTTTTTAAGAGTTCGTCCCGCCCATACATCCGTGAGATCGCCGGGGTCAGTCGGATCCAAGAATTTCGTTTTCTATGCGCCGTTAATTCTTTCTCCTCCAACAGGTAATATATTGGTCCTCACCAGAGGGTCCATCCGCAGATTCAAGACGGGCCATTGTGAAACGAGTGTATCGGCGGCGAACTGAAAGTCGAGCGGGCTTGGGTTGTTCCTCACGACGACTGAGAGCGTAAACTCGAGGGGGCGGGCAAAGCCCATATCAAGTGGCCCTGGCTTCATGTCGGTAATGAGAGCGAAATACGGTTAGATTAAAAGGAATATTGTGAATAAGATATAAGAATGAAACGAAGCAGCACAGTGCTTCGGGTGAGATTGACCTGGCAATCTATGGTCACGACGATGAACGAGAAAATGAAGCTATCCCGGCAGACGTGATGGATGATATGAGGATGTTTATCACAACTTTAACAGTCCTCTCCACATACTTGCCCTCAGGAATGTGGGACTTGACACACTGTTGCTGGAATTGGTCTCTTGGCGTACATAGCTGAGAGTTCGTGCCAGGGAAATAATCGCCTCCTGGAATGTTGTGGGGTATTTCTTCCTATCCAGGCGTATGCATCGCTTCTAACTGCCGATATCCCGTGGTAAACACGATCAAGGAGATTTGAGCGATGTTGGCAGGTAGCACTCCAGCAACCGCGTGATGCTCGTGGTCCTCGCGGAAACATCAACGCCCGTCATTCTCGTTCAACTGCAAGGCATAGATACCTTGTTGTTTCACAGTCACGGCCCATTGGATCAGGGGCTTAGGGCTTGAGAAGGTGGTGGAGAAATGAACGTGACCACAAGAAGGGAAATGAGGGAATGAACGTAATAACAAGAAAGAAATAAACAGATAATCGCAACTACAAGAGGGGGAAATGAATGAATGATATCCCGACAGTAATAGTACTGGCATGTATACGCCCCATATCATTTTGCGTAGAAGAGTGTACGCAGTTGGGGAATGGTAATATTGTCCGAGGAGCTACGTCATAGTAAAATATCCGGCAGAATGACTGCTTACTACCCCATCCAGTGCCACTGGGCTTTCCTCCTTACAACTTACACCTACATGTACAACTACTTGAACTAGATACTGAGAGCTAAGTTATTAATCTCAAAAAAATCATCCATTCTGCCTCGGCACTGTGAGAGCTGCCGGAATCTTAAAAAACAAAAGAAAAACACAAAAGAAAAAGGTCCCCATCTGCCTGGAGGCCGGGCCTGGCTAGCTGGCTAGCGGCCTACTGGCCTCTAGCTGTCCAAGTGGCCACCCAAGTGTCCACGGTCTGCTGAACAACGTCAGCAGAGGCCCTCATCGCCGCGCAGGCTTCGTTCGTCGCGGCCAACTTCTCCTCAAAAGCGTCGAGAGTTCGCTGCACCTCCTTGATGAAGGTGGTGTGAATGGAGAGCGCACACGCCGCCTCCATGGTGTCCTCCGGGGGGAAGGCGGGGGGTTCATCTCGCTCACACGGGGGCGACGGGTGGCCGCAGCGGCTCCTTTCTTCTCATCGTCAGAAGGGGCGGCCTCGTTGTCGGTGGGAGGAGGGGTCGGCTCCTGTAAGAATGTGTTAGTTCAGTCCCAGTCAGAGCACAACACAATGTGAGAGCAAGGTAATATCAATCACGTACCTTGCCGGCGGCGTGGGCGTGGGCGTGTGTGGTCTTTGCCTTGCGGCTCAAAGGAGTGCGAAGTGGGGTGGCAGGCAGGGCAGGCAGGGCAGGCAGGGCAGCCGGGGTGGACGCAACTGCAGGTTGATCCTGGTGGGTGCAGCGTTTTTTGCGCTTTGCATTTTGAGCGCGCCATCTCGGTGTCAGTCACTGTTGGTGCGTGTTGGTTAGTTGTGACTTGTGATGATTGCGTGATGGAAGAATAAGAGGTGATGGACAGGGGATATTTACTGGTGGCGGATTGGATGAGAGATTCTTAAAAAGTTTTAATAACGGGTCGTCGCGACGGCGTAATGACTAGCACGTATCGAAAACGTTGCAAGTGTGGGTGAGAGAGAACAAAAGAGGAAGAAGTTGAGCAAGCGTCGACGACGTTATATACGACGACCTCGACAATCAAAGGAAGTCATGAGACTAGGCAATGCTCTCACATTGCTCTCACACTCAGAAACTGCATCCCTCACACAATAGCCAGCAATCAGTTACGATTCGTTACGAATCTCTTTGACCAGATTCAGGAGCAGCAATACAACAATGTTCTTTCCAGACTAGTGTGTACAAATCATGGCCACAGTTCTGTCTGGTTCCCTTCAGCATCCTCATCACAGCTACCTCCCGTTAACTTCCGACTCCATATCTTGCCATCTTCCTGATCGGTAAGGTCTAGGCGTTTAACCTCTTCCGGCCTTATACCAACCACACGGATGTTTGCTCTAGCAACTGGATCATTAGCATCTGTGACCTTTTTACCTAGGCCAAGACCAGGTTCGCTGGGCACCGTGACCCTAGGTTAACCTGGAGGGGATTTCGAAATGAGCCTCGTAACCAGTTAGCATGAGCCTGGGATGACAGAGGGGCTTTTTCTATATCTTGCAGCATCTCCAACGGAGCAAACACTGACATGATGAGAGAGCAAAGATCATGGAGAACACATATCTCTCGCAACAGGGGAATGGTTTGCAAAGTACTTTGTGATTGCGTTCTCCCAGGTCCATCCCTCCACGTCTTGTCCATTACCACCCTTCACTCTCAATGAATTATAAATGTCAGCTCTGGATGCTTCTTCTTGCTGTTCATTTTCCCGCTTTAGGTCTTCGATTGAATATGCTGTAGCCTTAATGTGCCACTGATTTATATGGAAGGTCCTTCAGACAGAATACAGCTTCAATGGCGTGACCCGACGATTCCAGCTGTGAAAGCTTCTCCTTACAGTCTGGAAAGAACATTGTTGTATTGCTGCTCCTAAATCTGGCCAATGGGTTTCGTAACGAATCGTAACTGATTGCTGGCTATTGGGTGAGGGATGCAGTTTCTGAGTGTGAGAGCAATGTGAGAGCAATGCCTAGTCTTATGACTTCTCTTCATATTGTGTGAAGGATGTAATTTCTGAGTGTGAGAGCATTGCCTAGTCTCATGACTTCCCTTTGATTGTCGAGGTCGTCGTATATAACGTCGTCGACGCTTGCTCAACTTCTTCCTCTTTTGCTCTCTCTCACCCACACTTGCAACGTTTACAATACGTGCAGCTCAGTACGCCGTCGCGACGACTCGTTTTAAAACTCTCTACGAAATTTCCCAACACAATCGCCATCAGTACATCTCCCCTGTCCATCACCTCTTATTTTTCCATCACGGAACCATTCCAACTGACCAAACACGCATCAACAGTGACAGACACCGAGATGGCGTGCCCCAGATGCAAAGCGCAGAAGGAGCGGTGCACCCACCTCAACGAACCTGCAGCTGCACCAACCCCGGCTGCCATGCCTGCCCTGCCTGCCACCCCCCTTCGCACTCCTTTGAGCCGCAAGGCAAAGAACACCAACGCCGCTGCCAAGGTACGTGATTGATATTACCTTACTCTCACATTGCGTTCAGTGTGCTCTGACTGAACTAACACATTCTTACAGGAGCCGAGCCCTGTTCCCGACAACGAGGCCGCCCCTTCCGACGCTGAGAAGAAGGGAGCCGCTGCGGCCACCCGTCGCCCCCGTGTGACTCGTGAGCGAGCTGAACCCCCCGCCTTTCCCCGAGGGCACCATGGAGGCGGCGTGTGCGCTCTCCATTCACACCACCTTCATCAAGGAGGTGCAGAGAACTCTCGACGACTTTGAGGAGAAGGTCGCCGCGACGAATGAAGCCTGCGTGGCGATGAGGGCCTCTGCTGACGCCGTTCAGCAGACCGTGGACACTTGGGTGACCGCTTGGACGGCTAGAGGCCAGTAGCCAGCTAGCCAGCCCCAGCCTTCAGGCAGATGGGGGCCTTTTTCCTTTGTGTTTTTCTTTTTTTTTAAGATTTCGGCAGCTCTCACAGTGCCGAGGCAGAATGGATGAACTTTTGAGATTAATAACTTAGCTCTCAGTATCTATTTCAAGTAGTTGTACACATGTAGGTGTAAGTTGTAAGGACCGGGACCAAACTTGACATGACGATAAATCAGTGGTTCAAAAATGCACACGCCCGCAGTTCTAATGGTGACAAATAAGACAATCGTCAATCATGGTTAGAACTTAGGGCAACAACTTAACAAGTAGTGCTTAGCAGTCATACTGCCGGAGGCTTGTTGAGTCTTGGTTACGGCTATACCTAGGCGTGCTGAGATACGGGTAGTGACGGCTTTGCAGATAGCACACTTCTACCTGGTATATATTGACATCAATGACATGGCATTACTTGTTGTCATTGCGAAGCCGAATGTAATTAAATTACTCTCCCAATTAACTAACTAACTACCAAAGATTCATCAAGTAACTAGTTAACTAGTTAGTTAGGTTCGTCGTAAAATAAATCGCCCGCATACATCCTAGGTCACGTGAATCCAACTTATCCGCCTCAACGTTCTCCGAACATCTTCAAGAACCAACCAACACAACCTCCAAACACCACAAGACTCCAGCACACCGGGATCCTCAAACTCCACAAACACCTCATCCACTACCAATTCCGCATTACATCCTTCCCATCGGGAAAGAAAACAAACGAAATGTCCCAAATCCAAGCCCGAACAACCTACCGCGCCCTCCTCCGCGAAATCCCACGCCGAAGCTTCAAAACCCCCTCCCCCCTGCACCAAAAGCTGCGCCACATCTTCCGCACACCGTCTCCTGTTTCTTCGCAATCACAGCCGAGTCACTTCTCGTCTCCGCAAACAGAAGAAGACCGCCTCCGCCGCGTCCAGGAAGCTGATCAGCTTGCGCAGTATGCTGCCGCTCAGCGAAAGTACTGTGAGCTGCTGGAGCGGTATAATCCCGGTATGACTATGGATGAGGAGGAGAAGATTAGGCTTACGGCTAGACGGGTTGGATTTGATCTGCCGGAGTTGCATACTGAGGGGAAGGAGGAGTAATTAAAGGTACTTGAGGTACTCGAGGTACTGCGAGTGCTGGCTCGAGTGTGACAAGTGTCTGCTGCTAGCATGCTTTTTTCACATTGATGGCGTTTTTTGCTGGAATTTGGGTTTTGTATACTACATTTATTTTGAATTGTATAAAACAGAATGGTTATAGAGCTTTGCGAGCTTTGCTAAGTAGCGAGAATTTTGTTCTTTTGGAATTTTCACTAGCGATTGGCTAAGTCTGGCATTTGAAGCCTTCAATGCTGATAGTGTATTCGGGTATCTTGTCGAGGGTATCTGGCGTCGAAATTTGTATTTTTGTCCGTGTGAACCGAGCGGGAGTGGTCTGCCGCACAGTGTTTGTGGTACCGAGATTGGGCACCTGAGTAGGCATTTGGTGTGGTTTCCTCTCATAGCAACGGTCCGACATGAGGTTCATGTTGGAGAGGTGTCCAGAGTCGCAACGACTCTGGCGCAGAAAGGTGGGCTTTATGTATGTGCTTTGTCCCGATTGAGAGCTCAAGTAGCACTGAGCTGAGCACGCTCCATCTGTCTCATCAGAGTAGAACTGGCTTCTTCGTCTTCCATGCCGACACTAACTTCAATCGCAGTCTTCGGTCGGTTCCGGTTGAGTCCATCCAGTAGTGTGCAGGCTTTGCAGATCCGCTGACTAGAGATGTAATTGCAGCGCTCGCAATGCTTGAGAGTCTGCGCCTTGACAGCCTTCCCAGTCGGTCCGCGGATGGCACGTCCGCCATTCGAAATCTTGATCTCCGTTTCGCGCGACTCGGCCGCATCATTCTCGGTCAGCTGCTTCTCCATCGCTGCCATCTCCCCCCCACTCGTCCGACCATTCCCGCTACCACAGCCTCCGGCAGATTCATCCTCCGCTGCACCGGCCATCTGTTTGCCAGAACCAGACACACCCGTCGGCACAAGCGCGGCCATGTCCTCGCCACTCTTGACGATATCGAGGATGGAACTGGGACGGATTTTCTCCAGATCCTTGATGAGCGTCCGGGCGCTGCCGCGGAATGCCTCTGGCGAGTAGATACATTCAGTAGTGAAATAATCGAGCTGACGGTGGTGGGCATATAGCACGATTTCCTTCTCATAAGCGTACTTGAGAGGCTTGCTGCGCTTGATATCCGAAGCGTCGGATGCAGTAACGATACTCGTACCACGCGATAAACGAGGCAGGTCACCCCGCAACAGATTCATCATAACAGTCTCGGCAACGTCGTCCGCATTATGGCCCGTAACGACATGCTGGATGCCCAAGCGACCAGCACCCCGATCAAGCGCCTGCCGTCTGAACACACCGCAGTACGTGCAGTTCCCCTTCTTGCCAACTTGTTGGACAACCTGGTCCATCGTCCACCCGTACAGCTCGCTGTACCCCAGGATCTTGAGCGGCATCTCGTACTGCACGGCGTTGCGCTTCACGGTCTCGAGACTGTCGTCGCGGTACCCGCGGATACCCTCATCGATGGAAAGGAGGCATAGGTCTAGTCCGTAGTCGTAGCGCTCGTTGAGGGTTTTCAGCACGGCTGCGAGGACTGTGCTGTCTTTGCCGCCGCTGGCTCCGATTGCGACTCGCTCGCCGCGGAAGAAGAGGTTCGCGCCGGTGATGGTTTCATGGACTTCTGTTTCGAAGATGTTGATGAAACAGGCTCGGCAGAGTTTGTGTCTGTTCTTTGGTCGGATGATGACGGCTCGCGCCTCTTTGCAGTTGAAACAGGGTGTTGGCGCCATGGTTGTTGGTTGGGTTATTGTTTGGTGGCGGGGAAGATTTTCTTCTCCCCGCGATGGTTCTTTGGAATGGACTTTGCTTATAAGTTTAGGAAGGTGTTCACATTCCATCAATCCTCTGATAGCTCAGCTGGAAGAGCGCAAGACTGTAATTGCTTAGTTCCTTGGAACTTGTCATCTTGAGGTCCCTGGTTCGATCCCGGGTCAGAGGAATTTTTGTTTTTTTGTCTATCATCCATTCGAACTATATGGCACTAGCAATACGTTCTATGTCATTATTTTTGACGCTTTTTACTGTATGAATGCACGCCATGTCTGTTTTTGTAACAAGATGTCACTAGTGCAAGGGGTGGCTGTTTTTTAAGGTTAGAGCCTCTTACTATATATATCGTCGAGGGGCACACATATATCATACAGGACGCCTACAGGTTCTAGCCTAGGTATAGGTAGGTACCTAATGGATGAAATGGATGGTCCGGACACCAGCGGGCTATAATAACACCGAACCATTATAGCCCGCCTCCCTCGCATGGAAGCCTTGGATCTAGGATCTAGTCAAGTGAAAGGAACCGACAGCCATGATATTGTTGTATACCGAGGTCCCAGGACTGAGGTGGTGGTATCACCAAGAGGAACAAAAGACGAGCCATATAACAACCGGACTGAGGCTAAAACGGTGTATATCTGGAAGAAAACGTTGGAATCAGTCTGTGTGCCGAGGCGTCTCGCTCGCCAGGGTGCTGAACTTCCTTCCGACAAAGCAGCCTGGCAAGGCATGCAGGCCACTTCTTCTCCTTGGCTAACTGCATCGCATGATGAAGAATATGATGTCTCCTCAAATGCAGAGAGTACGGCTTCGACCGATCAGCAAACAAATAAAGACCCTCCTCCTCGAAATCCCCAAGCTGCTCCACAACTCGGAGAGTCTCGTCCTGCGCAAACGCAAAGGAAGTACCAATGATCTTGTACCTCTGCGCTATCTGATGGAGATTTGGAGAATGCCAATCCTCCGAAGTCCAAGTCGGTATCGCATTCCACGGTAGCCTCCGCTCTTTCTTGAAAGCATGCCACCATTGTTCAGCCGTGATCCGACCCTGCACTCCACTCACTGCATGGACGCACCCGGTAGTTCCCAGTGCCACATGGACCAGGGTCCGATCCACCACGACATCGATTGGGACCTCGTCGATTGTGGTCTCTTGGTTTGGGTTCTGACATCTAGTTGAGAGTCTGATCTGGCGACCTGGATGGAGCATATATGCCGCGGCACAGGCTGTTGATGGCGTCCCGTGTTTGGTTGCGAAACCGGGACAAGGATACCTATCAGCCGGTCCGAGGACCGAGGGGCGCATGATGAGGACTTTGTCTAGATTGTTGCTTTCAGATGCCTTTTGCAAGATCAATCGTTCGGATAGATGCTTTGCATATGCACATGGCCACGGGAAGTCATGCGCCTCGTATTCATCTGATGTTCCCATCTTGTGCAGTGTTTTCCATGCCTCAAGTGTACCACGATAAGAGTCTTCTTCGCTATCGAGGGGAATAAGGGGATACACTTTCTCCTCCACTGCCACGTCGGTGGACTTTTGGCATTTCCATAGATGAGAGTTGGCGTAGGCAGTAGAGAAGAACACATAACGCTCGAGCTTGGGGAACTTGAAGACATATTCCGTGAGGCACAGGCTTGGTTCTATCACTGAGTATGCTAGTTCTCTAAGGGAATTGTCAAGTTGGGTCGTGGCTGCGACGTAGAACACAACGTGTACTGTCCGCTTCAGCATCTGAAGCGTCGTCTCCGAGAGGTCCATTGTGGCAGTATTTCCCAGTTCTCCGTCAAGGACCGTGATCCGTTCGTCATGACTGAGGGCTTTAGCCATAGACGAAGGTAACATATCGTGCCATTTTGCCTTTGCCATTCTGAATGGTCACGTCAGCAAGGGTTGCTTTCAGTTGTCCTTTTGATTGCCTACTTACTCGGTGCCACCCCGGCATAGTACATACACTCGTTCCGGGGACGATTGAGAGACGAGTCGACAGAGAAGCGCAGTTCCAATAAACCCAGTCCCTCTAGTAATGAATATGATCTTTTCATTGTAGTAGTCCCAAATCATGATGTCTAGTATTGCGCGAAGCTTCTATAGATCATTTGTGGACAGATGTAAATGTATAAGGTATAAGATATGACAGGCATTTCTCGGCAACTTCCCCCGCATCATATGTAGTAGGCTGGGATAGCAGCCCTTACACTGCTTTTGTGCTGTTTGGCTAGAGTCCGACGATAACAATGAGCCCTCAGTTGGGACGCCTGCAGATCGGCAGCCAAGATGAGGGGGAGGCACGTTGTGTAACACACCAGGAGAGACATGCTTAATCAACCACTCAGACTGCTTAGGATATAAGAAGCATTGCACTTCGTATGGCCGATGGGAGATTGCCATTGCTGACGAGGTCACTCATATTCAAGGGCTTGGGAAGGGCTCGTACAGGTGCCGCCACTCGTCGCACTCGATGGGTGAAATCCATGTCATAATGACTCGATACTGCATGTCAATCAAGTTGATCTTCCGAGATTGATTGATTAATGCTTTTCTTCAGTCCAGTTCTATTCATGTGCAAGAAGGCTCGTGTAGTGTGGCTTGGAATCCACGCGGCTTTCTGAATTAGAAGGTGAGCTGTAATCGATCACATGCTAATCGCTTCATGTATCTCGCCAACCCCCTCCGTTCGAGTTCTATAGGGTGTCTCAGGTCACACAAGATCGTATTTCATGATACGAAACACGCAGATATAAACTCTACGTCCCTTGACTTCCTCTCTTTTCAGCCGTGATAGATACCCATTCTATCGCCCTCGCACGGACAGCAAAGCAATGTATCAAGTCTAGCCTAAGCTTTCCAAGAAGCCAGTTAACCCGAGACGAAGAATTTCCAGCCAATAGTGGGCCAGAGTTAGACTATCAGAACATGACAGCCGTCAGTGTGCCACACTTGGCATCACACGATTTTCCCGACTGACCCTGCAGCGGAGCCTCCCGTTCTTCAGTTGTTTCTAAACGGCGCTTTGGCCTCATGGGGCATGGCTCAGCCCTGTCCTACACTGGGTATCCATCTAGAACAACCAATCATATCCATGTACTGCGTATGTGGCTGCAAGAGAAAATGAGAAACTTTCAGCAACAGAAGACCGACTTCGCTTCCGAGCGACTTCAAGTGTTTACCAGGATTGGTTCATATCATGACTACCACGGGGGTTGAAATTTGTTGAAATCCAGTAGTATCTAGTGTCTTGGAAGAAATGGCGTGCATGAGTTGATGAGTTCGGGGCGTTGTGTGTCGAGGAAACCGCCCCAATCCGCACCGCAGAAGCCCCGGAGCTGCAGTTCCGTCCCCGTGAGTGTGAGGGCATGGTCACAGGTGTGGACAAGGTAGCGAAGTACACGATCTGCGGTCGAGAGGTGGGTAGCGTTGGGCTTTGCCTGGAATCAGCTGAGGAGTGAGATGGGAAAAGCTGTGTCGACAAGTGTGTATAGCATCAAGTACATGAGGGAAGCGACGAAGCTCTGGTACATCTCCAATAGCCGTCTCGCTGGGGTGTGGCTCGTCGGCCGGTTGGAGATTCACTCTGTGGTCGAATGGTGTAAGGACTGCAACTGGATCGGCCATACCAAATTTGTGAAATGTAGCCGGATTGGCAAAGTTTGAGTATGTGTTTGGTTCTGTCGCGCACGATTTGCATGCCAAAGTAGTATTTCGCTGCGCCCATGTTAGAAATTTGGATTCGATTCTCATCATCCACGATACACCCCAGGACAAAAATCACTTATCTTGTCCCAGGACAAACTCATTTCAGCACCGTCGCCCATCATGCTCCAAAGATCCCATAACGCGCGCGACCAACACTTCATCCATCCCAGAAACTCGTCTTCGTCACCCTCGTCGATTATCGGCCACGCTTCCACAACCTTCACGTACCGTACGGTCTTATCTCGAACGTACTGTGTTTCCTGGTCTAGAGCCTCCGCTGATGTACCTAGTAGCGTCTGGAGGCATTCCTCATCGATGACGATACACATTCGATACTTATTGAATTTATCACGCTGGCCCTGTACATCTACCCACTCCTCAAAGCGAGCGCGAATCGAATCGATTGATACCCCATCGAGCTGCATCGCATCTTCGATAACAGTAAGGCTGTGTTGGGCCCATATTCCCTGGTAGATCGCGGGATCTCCCCCAGTACTTGCATATTCTGCTGCTTCTGCAAAGAATGATTTTCTGATGCAGGCTTCGAGATAGTTGAACACGGTGGAGAAGTGTGCGTCAGATACAGAGGAGTAGGTAGTACGATAAATAACATATCCCCAGCTCGGGTGGACTCTGAGGTTGTGAAACAGCTCCCATGTGGTATCTGGAGGGCGAGCCATATTGTGGGAGACGAGTGCGAAGCATGGAATTGAGTAAACCAACAGTCGAGAGCGTCGAAGACCCTCAACGATAGGAAGCGTTAGAGTCAAGAAGTTGAATGGGAGAGAGTAAGCCAGTATGTTGCGCCCTCTTTCAACCAGGAGAAAATCTCAGGAGGTCTTAGGGGAGGCCAGGAGATGGGAAGGATAAAGGGTTTACCAAACAAGACAAACATTGCGATGGTGGCGTACAGCCACGTTCTGAATGTGTACGGTAAGGTAAGGCAGCCTTCGGATACAGTGACTGCTCAAAAGTTTTAACATCGGCCCCATACGGGAATCAATACAGACACCACACGTTTTATTTTAATAGCGGCAGGGAATTGCTAGGGACACCATGCGTTTTGCTAACCGCAGGGAATTGATAACTAGGGACACAGCAGATTTGGCTAACGTAAATTCACAAGCGAGTGGCCCGGTCCGAAACACCATAGTAAAGGCCATAACTTACAACCCAATATCTCAGCTACGGCAGTTTACAGGGCTCAAGGGATCAAAACAAATTCTGAGGTGCCGGTTTTGGATTAGTCATTCTTGTATTTTACACCCAGCTATACCGAGTGAATACATGTCAACGGGCTGACCATCACCTGTCGGTGGAGATTTCTTTGCGACCGACTCTCCTCTTCCTTTATTACGCAACGATTCAACCAACACATTATTACTTCAACATACTCAGACCACGCTGATGGCCGAGCTATGCTCATATGACCTACCTAACCAAGTAAATATGGTTGACAGTGTGGTCGGTGATACCTAGATGTAAGATCCATGCTGTAGGCCAAGGTTGCTTTGCATCGTAGCATAAGCCTTGATTCGCCAGTTGACAGATCATTGATTCGCCAGTTGACAGAACCTTCATGCTGTATACCTAGACTAGTCCTTGACTCCTTGTAAACGGCAGTCACTGCACCGGTAGTACCTAGCATTGGAAGCTGCTAGGTTCGTGAAGATACTGTGTAAAACTGTGTGTGGAACTCGATAAGTACCTAGGTACCAGGCTTTCTTGAGCGGGAACCATCCAACCCCCCATGCGCGTGCGTCCAGAGCCCGGTGGTTGGAGTACCTAACCTAAAGATAGTTATATCAGTGGACCGCCCTACCTACCTACGGCAACACAGCATCCATCCACTAAGGTGAAGTCATAGAATATTTTGAGTCGGGAGATAAATAATTATTAATTGATTCAGGACTCCAAGATTCCCTATCTGTCGGCACAATCACTCAATGGAGCAGGTATTTTTTCCGCAATGATCGAAAATGTTCCAACCTATGCATGAGTAGGATGAGTGTTGAGCATTGGTAAGAGATGATAATTTTACAACATAGGTAATGGCGGTAAAGACCGCGGTGAAGGATTCACTATGGGCAGAATTGTTTTGATCCCTTGAGCCCTGTAAACTGCCGTAATCTCAGCAACCATATCTATTACAACCAATGAGGGGTGTTACCACCTTGGAACAGTACCATGATAACCTTACTAATGTTCTGCCGGGCAGAAAAGAGTTATGTCGTAGTGGTCCGATTCGTCGCCCATACCAGTGGCGGTTGCGGCTTTCTTCCATCACGTCTGTACCGCTGTTTTCGAAGGTTTGTTAGCTAGCGGTCGCAATCACACCGGGATTCTTGGAGACGTTTCGAATCATTATGGAGTAGTGGAGACGAATGGCAGAGGCATGTTGCATTTACATGCTATGGTGTGGTTACGAGGCAATCTTGCTTTTAGTACTCTACGGAGCCGTGTTCTCTCCGACTCAGTGTTTGCTGACAGTGTGATCCGGTATCTGGAAAAGATTATCATCCATCCAGTGCGTAGATGAGAGTATTTCCAATGATTCGGAGGTGAATCTTCCAGCTACCGGCCCGTCTGCTTGCGATCCAGAATCGGACCATGAATTCCACCTCAGACTTGCGCATGATAGCAACCTTGTTGCTCGATCGAAACAAATGCACTCTAAAAACCACTTCGCCACTTGCTTCAAATACCGCGCGAATGTCCGGACCGGAAACTCTTGTCGATTTGGCATGCCTCGAGAACTAGTGCCATTTTCTAAAATTGACGACGTTGGTGTTATTCACCTTTCCCGAAATAATCCTTGGATTAACCCGTGGAATCCCCCCATCGCCAGTTGCCTCCGTTCAAACCACGACATTTCATGGATTTTCGAAATCCCTGGCTCTAACCTACTACATCACCAACTACGCGACGAAAGACGATGTATCTCCGTGGCAGATGGTAGCAAAGGCAGCCTTGTTGCGTCAAGCCATCGATAAAGGCCGCATTGCTGATCCGCCAACCGCAACTGATCTTCGTCTCAGAGAAAGAGGAATGGATAACTTCGGGCTCCGTTGCTTCAATAGCCTCGCCCACGACCGCGAAGTTAGCGGTGTTCAAGTCGCCAGCACTCTCCTCCATCTTCCGAGTTACTATATTCTAAACTCTAAATTCATCCGCGTCAACCTTTGGTGGTTACGACGATATGTGCGCGCCTTTCAACCTCCAGAAGCGGCCACTGCATTTCACCCGCATGATACTGTGCCAGATGAGCCTTGCACATTCCGCACAGGGGACACAGTGTCCGTGAGCATGTTCAATAATTATAAGTGGCGGGGCGTCCGTCTTGCCTCATTCTCATTCTTCGAGTACTGCATGCTCGTCCAGATAAGGAGCAAACAAGGTACTCTTCCAGATAACTTTGAGTTTGATCCTTCCCATCCTAAATGCAGCACTTCCGTGGAGCGCGTCGCGCGTTCAAAATCCCAAATAGCGACAGTCATATTCAATGGCCAGCTTACTCAATTTCAGACTGCGGAAGACTCCGTTCCTGGCGGTTACCCGACAACCGACGCTATATTGAATGATCTCTCCGAGATCTTCCTCGGTCTTTTCGTCCCTTGGGAGAAATTGCCTGATCTCTTCCGTCGACATGCTGCTCTGTCAAATATTTACTCTCATGTCTGGGCCTTGGTCAAGCCGACACTTGCTCCACATAACCAAGAATTCGCTGCAAACATTGAGCTTTTTCGGAAGTCCAAGGAGGACTGCCAGGTTGATGCTATATTGCGCCAGTCTGAACACCGACATGCAGAAGTTTTGGACCGCTATGTTGATCAGCTAGATCAGGCTGATCTGGGATCGGATAGTGAGCAGAATGGCGATAATATCATCGCTCCTGAAAATTAGAGGTTCACTGCCGAGACTCTGATTGCCGCCTACTACACTGTTGCCAAGATCTGGAACCGCGATTGTTTCGTCGCTTCAAAGCGCACACCGATATGGCCGATTTCCGCCGAGCGCCCATTTCTGCGCAAATGGACCTGGTACCTAAGGGTATACAATCGTTCCACTCTCGTCAAGCCTCGGATTTAATTTTTCTTCCGTACGCGACCCTGCGCGATTGGGAAGATTGCCTCACAAGCCATAAAAAGCCCTTTCAAGGTAACTGTCCACGTCGATTTACAGGCTCGTCTGTGCGACTGCATGACTTTGACCTGGATGGTGAAGATGGCGTGCTCCAACCTGTACTGACCGATAACGTCATATCAAATGGAACACCAACACTACTTGCTCAACTCGGGAACAATCCAACTCCCGAGTCTCTGATTGCAAAGGTCACTGAAAATATCCCGCTGAATTCGAAGCAACACCTTGTGGTACGCAGGTTACTATCTGACGTTCTATCGTGGGCTGATTATCCATATGATTCATCTCGGCGCGATCAACTCCTTCTCTGCATAACGGGTGAGGGTGGTACAGGTAAAACCCAGATACCTAAAGCCATTGAAGCTGCTCTAGATGTTCTTGGTCGAAAACATGAGCTCATGCTCACGGCCCCAACGGGTGCTGCCGCAGACAACTTAGGCGGTAATACGTATCATACTTCCCTGGGCATCAATCTTTCCTACAAGCAGCAGTCACCGCCCGCGTCAGAAAACTATGGGCACGAAAGACAATCTTGGTGATTGACGAAATGAGCATGATCGATCTGAAAATGTTAAGTGTCATCAATGACCAATGCAAAGCCGCTCGATCACTCCCCCGATCGTCTCCCGACCTTTTCGGTGGCCTTCCGGTCGTGATTCTCATAGGTGATTTCTTTCAGTTTCCTCCGGTTCGTGGTCCACCATTGTGGAAGAATCCAAGATATGGCAACGACGAAGATGCCGCCGGTCGACTGATCTGGCACCGATTTCAAAACGTCATCATTCTAGACGAGCAGATGAGGCAGTTAGAGAATCCTTCATTTTGCGACTTCCTGGCCCGCACAAGACGTGCAGCTTTGACCGAAGACGACGCAATCCGCCTTAATTCCAGGGTCATCCACTCACTTACAGATCCTGTTTCGGAGGATGCCACTGTCGTAGTCGAATTAAACGCCCTTCGGCATCCAGTCAATCGCATTCGTATCGAGGATTTTGCTCGAAAGAGGTCTCAAAGAATTTACCTATTCGCTGCTATTCACTCGAGAACCAAGTCGACTGGTCCCACGAATCTTCGACTGCAAGCCCATGACTTGCTGCTCCCAAGATCAAGAGATGGTGAAGGAAAGATGCCCGAGATGTGGCGAAACTAGAATAACACGAGTTCAACCGCTCACCTTCCCATCTGTAATAATACTAGTTATGTAATGCCATTGCAACTCCCGACTGTGAATTACGCAAATGGATTCTAACAATAGTCGCATGGCTATCATTTCTCACCCGGAGTACTCCGTGTCTTATGAGAATGGCCAGCAGAAAGGCAGCGATGTAAACTTGAAGTTCTGTACACGCCAGGCAGGAATTAGTCGCCTGTTAGATAGCACTCGTTTCTTCCAATCTCAAGCTAATCCAGAACGACCAATTTCTGTGTCGGAGGCGAGCCTCCTCAGGCTCCCCAGAATATTGTTCACTTGCTCAGCTTGATCGCCCGTTCGCACCGCCCAGAATCTGAGCATCTCCTTCGCCCATTTCTCTACCCACTTGCGGACCTCTGCCGCCGTGGATTTCAGGCTATCTCGGATCCATTCAGGGAGTTGGCTCGATTGTCCTCGCTGATGCTATCATTGCTAACACACCCAACGGCATTCTCACCTCCCTGTATGCTCAGAACTCGACCTCTCTTCTCCTGCAGAATGTTGGTTTTTTTAACGTCAAAGATGCCGTCGTTGACTCTGCCCAGAACAAAGTCCTTTTGGCTGGTGGCAACGAAGTCCTCAAAGATTCTTGGGGCTTCGGCATGGTGAACGATGCCAGCGGTGCCGGTTCATTCGTTGATGGTCAGGATATTCCCACCATGAACCGAACGGAAGCGATAGTCGGTATTCAATCATACGTTAAACCTAATCTGTTTACTCGTCGTCGTCCCCAATACGAGGACCTCCGGACAGATCAAGTTATCAACGTGAAGAAAATGGGTGCCAAAGGCGATGGCAGCACTGACGACACAGCGATCCTCAATTACGCCTTCTCTTTCGCTGCGAATCTCTCATCTGTTGTGTACATTCCTTACGGAATTTATAAGATCCAAGACACCTTGCACATTCCTGTTGGCTCGCGGATAGTTGGACAGGCCTGGTCCCAGATCATGGCGGTTGGAGATAAATTTGCCGATGTTGACAATCCTCGTGTTGCCGTCAAGGTTGGCTACTCCGGGGATGTTGGCATTGTTGAGATTCAAGATCTACTTTTCACCGTGTCCGGTCCCACGGCTGGAGTTGTCTTGGTGGAATGGAATGTTGAACAATCTGTGAAAGGTTCTGCCGCAATGTGGGACTCGCACATCCGTATTGGGGGTGCAGCCGGATCCAACATGCAAAAGGCACAATGTCCGAAAAAGACTGGCCAAGTCAACAAAGACTGCATAGCAGCTTCGCTCCTGCTTCACCTCACTTCTAAATCCACGGCTTATCTTGAAAACATTTGGGTTTGGGTGGCCGATCATGATCTAGATGTTGCTTCTCAGGATCAGCTTGACGTCTATGCAGCCCGTGGAATTTTGATCGAGAGCCAGTTGGCATGGCTTTACGGCACGGCATCTGAGCACAGCACACTTTATCAGTATCAGTTGTCCGGGGCAAAGAACATCTTGATGGCTATGATTCAAACAGAATCGCCGTATTATCAGCCCGTACCTCCAGCCCCTGGTCCTTTCACCCCCGGCACCTTTGCAAACGACCCACGATTTGAAGATCGCGAGCCCAATTCGGCTTTGTGTGCAGTCTCCTGGGCAGTCAGAATCATTGACTCATCCTCCGTTTGGATCTTGGGGAGTGGTATTTACAGCTGGTTCTCGGACTACTCCCAGGACTGTGTTGGCACAAATAACTGTCAGCAGCGGGCATTTGGAATCGAGCAAAGCTTTGACATCTGGATCTACAACCTTTGCACCAAGGCCATTGTGGAAATGATTACACCTTTCAAGGGCATTCCCACTTATGCCAAGGACAACATCAACGGATATCTCTCCTCCATTCTCACCTGGCTCGGTGGCACGAACCAGACAGCGGGTGAGCGCGAGTTCGAAGGATTCGGTATCTACAGCTCGACCGCACTGGATGGTGTCAATTTTTCGATGAGCTGCAAGACATCCTTGATGGATCGAATCAAATGCGACCCGATGTTGAGCACCATGATGATGGCGACTTACCACGGGTCTCTCTACAACGAGACGCTCACTGAGTCGCTTTGCGATCCCAGTTGCGGCAAGAGTCTCGGCCAATGGTTTCATTCCGTGCAGCAGAATTGTGCTGAATACAATGTCAGTGGGGCACCGCTCGAGATGTATGGCGGGCGTATGTGGGCCGCGTACAACGAAACATGTAGCAAAACGGTATGCCTAAGAATTCCTCTATATTGCTTCAATTCTCATCCGTGTATTTTGAGACAGACATCATCGATAGCTTCACGCTGGTTTCGAAGACAGAGGACATGCCTCGGAATGAAGCATGCTCTTATTGCTACACAGAGCGTCTCCAAATGATGCAGCGCACACCCTATTCTGGTTATGATGACTACTATCAGGGTGTTCTCCAAACCATCAACAAGCGCTGCGGACTAAATGCACCAACCGACGTTCTCAAGATTCCGCGAGATGCCCCCGTTAAAGAAGATACCTTCTGCTTGTCAGACTCTTTCTACACTACTGTGGAAGATGATACGTGTACTTCTATCGCAAAAGCAAACAAGGTTTCCTCGGCTGCCTTGTACATGGGTAACCAGGATCTCATCTTAGACTGTTCCTCACTCTCAGCCGGTCTAAAGCTATGTCTCCCACTTTCCTGCAACGCAACCTACTCCATCGAGCCAGCCGACAATTGTACAACTATTGAGTACGCGTACTCCCTTAAATCCGGCGACGTGCGAAAATACAACCCCTGGGTCTCCTACGACTGCGATAATCTACAAGTAGCGGGCAAGATCTACGGCACAAATATTTGTCTATCTCTGCAAGGCGGCGAGCATAGTGGCAATAGCGCCAACGATGGCTCGACCACACCATCGCCATCCGATGTATACGTTTACAATGCAGTGCCTCCGCCTTCTAATGCCACACTGGCAGAGGGGACGACGCAGAACTGTGGGAAATGGCACGAAGCCATGACTGGGGATAGTTGTGTGGGCATATGTGGCCAATATGGCATCACTCATGCAGTCTTTGTCATGGTGAATCCCTCTTTGGACTCAACTCATTGCTCGAACACTCTGCAAGCCGGCAAAACTTATTGTGCGGGCCCAACGTACTCGTGGAACCAGACCGATGGCAGCAACTCCCCGGCATTGTCCATCTAATTCGTTCGTAAGATTTTCTTTCATGTACTACATTCAATAGTCAAAAATTGAAATATCTAAAAGGCAAAGTAAAACTTACATCATTGATATCTTGTGAGCACTTCGCATAGAGACTTCGCTAACTGCTTTCCGGTGAAGCTGACACCACCAATACTCGTGTCAACTGCCGAATTTCTTGACGTTAGAATTGTCAAGTATCCACTCGAGGAATAGCATAACATCTTCTTTCCGAGCTGTAGCAAGGAACCGGAGAGGGTTTCCCCCTAAATGATTGAAAATCTGTTCTAAACGGCCTTGTTTGGATGTCAATCGTTAATTTAGGTATTACTTCATCCACCGTCCCTTGATGTAATCGACGTTGTTCTTGGTGGAAACGGCATGTCGCTTTTGTATGATGCCTTTCTCTAGTTGACGACGGCGTCGGCGATAATAATCGGCACTATGAGGTAAACTTTTGCTTTTCATAGATAAATCACGAATGAAGATGGCCTCGAATAGCAATCTTTTAAAGTGGAGGAGAATAGCAGAGTAAGAGAGGGGGAAACTAAGGTCAAGAAAGGGGAACGAACAAGAAAAGAAGCGGAAAAGACTGAAGCTCAGAGAAAATCTGGTTGTGAAAGAGACAATAAAGTAGAGGAGGAGTGCACTGAACAGGAGCTACAGTTGATGGGGGCAGCCTCTTTAAGTATTGAAAGAGAGGACTTGAGAATGGTCTAGCGCCAAACAGATAGACCTTTCCCATTTTCGTAATTGACGGCTACAATCAGATAATACGAACAGACAGACATGACGACGTCTCTGAGTGACTACCCTGAGCATCCTGAGTGAAGGGTGAGCTAATCCCTGAGTAAACGTCCATTGCCTCAGTGTCCTCAGACGTCCCGCGAAAAAGGCGGTGGCATTGGCCATCCCACCGCCTGCTTCTTCGAGGATGCTGAATCATCAGATTAGCGTGGCAGAATTTCATAAATTCGGCAGAATCAAAGGCGGTAGTCTGAGGTCACTGAGGCAACAGTTGTGCTCAGTGAGCAAAAGGCGGCAAGGCCTGAGCACTACACAGTAAAGCGGAAAGGGAAAGCCAAGAAGTGGCAGAGGAAATCAAGTACATAGGTAGTTTGTGTTTAACCCTCAGTAAGAATCTGGAATCAAATACTTAGGCGTCTTCACAGTAACGTCCGTAAAAGCAACGAACATCTGCAAAGCTGTCGAACTGAGGTGGCTCCTTGCCAAGACAGGCCATGTGATCAGGCTAGCTTCCTCGGATCTGCTGTGTCCCTATCAATTCCCTGCGGTTAGCAAAACGCATGGTGTCCCTAGCAATTCCCTGCCGCTATTAAAATAAAACGTGTGGTGTCTGTATTGATTCCCGTATGGGGCCGATGTTAAAACTTTTGAGCAGTCACTGTATCCGAAGGCTGCCTTACCTTACCGTACACATTCAGAACGTGGCTGTACGCCACCATCGCAATGTTTGTCTTGTTTGGTAAACCCTTTATCCTTCCCATCTCCTGGCCTCCCCTAAGACCTCCTGAGATTTTCTCCTGGTTGAAAGAGGGCGCAACATACTGGCTTACTCTCTCCCATTCAACTTCTTGACTCTAACGCTTCCTATCGTTGAGGGTCTTCGACGCTCTCGACTGTTGGTTTACTCAATTCCATGCTTCGCACTCGTCTCCCACAATATGGCTCGCCCTCCAGATACCACATGGGAGCTGTTTCACAACCTCAGAGTCCACCCGAGCTGGGGATATGTTATTTATCGTACTACCTACCCCTCTGTATCTGACGCACACTTCTCCACCGTGTTCAACTATCTCGAAGCCTGCATCAGAAAATCATTCTTTGCAGAAGCAGCAGAATATGTAAGTACTGGGGGAGATCCCGCGATCTACCAGGGAATATGGGCCCAACACAGCCTTACTGTTATCGAAGATGCGACGCAGCTCGATGGGGTACTAATCGATTCGATTCGCGCTCGTTTGAGGAGTGGGTAGATGCACAGGGCCAGCGTGATAAATTCAATCAATATCGAATGTGTATCGTCATCGATGAGGAATGCCTCCAGACGCTACTAGGTACATCGGCGGAGGCTCTAGACCAGGAAACACAGTACGTTCGAGATAAGACCGTACGGTACGTGAAGGTTGTGGAAGCGTGGCCGATAATCGACGAGGGTGACGAAGACGAGTTTCCGGGATGGATGAAGTGTTGGTCGCGCGCGTTATGGGATCTTTGGAGCATGATGGGCGACGGTGCTGAAATGAGTTTGTCCTGGGACAAGATCAGTGATTTTTGTCCTGGGGTGTATCGTGGATGATGAGAATCGAATCCAAATTTCTAATAAAAGCAATTGAAGAAACGAAAGGAGACCTTGTGCTGGGATAGGCTAGCTGTCGAGGAAAGTGGAATAGGTGTAGTTACTTATAGTTGCCTCCTATTATTGGTTTTCTTTGTCCCCTTGCTTCCAAGTCTGTACGTAATTACTGGGTTCCGAGACAGCACTTTCAGGTCGCTCTCGAGTATCCAACAGGGTCCTCTTAACACACGGAGGAATTGGTCCTATCCACATATGTACAAAATGTCGTAGCGGAGCCTTTCAAGACGTATTACCGTTTCCAGCGTCATAGCGACTCCCATGGGAGCCAAGTTCATAACGGAAAGTAGAGAAAAGACAACAACAGTATTTATCGATCATAGAGGGGGCATGGCGACATGAAAGGGAAGGTGAGTGTGTAGAGGGGAAGCGGATGGTGAGATGGTGTGATGGTGAATGATGTGGGTGATGTGGATGGGTAAGAGAACAGAGCTCAATTCGTGTTGAGGCTGTCGGAATTGAAGGAGAGGAGGCCAGGAGAATACTGGGCTTAGGAACGCAACCAGCCGAACTTTTTACGTCCCTCAGCCCCTGTGGACGGTTCGACCTGCAAGCTGCGGGCATACAGGTCCTAGACAAAGTCAGTAATGGATTCATCCATCATCATGCAGGAAGTTGATTCTCACCTCTTCGTCTCCAGAGAGCTTCGAATCCAGAATCAGTCGCTCAACCTCCTCGAACTTCTGAGCCTGAGGATGAGGGGTTCTCTGGCTCCGTTGGATGCCGAGAACGACCTCACCCATGACCTCGAATTTCTTCCAGTTGACGCGAGATCTGTTCTCGCCGACAAATGTCTTGTTGCCTTCTTCGGCTGAGACAAGGTCGCGGCGGTGGAGAGGTAGGAATGGAATTCGCTCTGAGAAGGAGTTTTCCCAGGCGAGTCGGTAGGCGAAGTGGCTTCGTTGGGTGCCCATAAGGATGACTAGACGCATAAACTCTTTCTGAACCAGGACAGGGACCAGATCTCGAGTTTGAGTCAGGCGATGGACGGGTGTGCCGTTGATGCCGGCGATTACAGCGCCCAAGGAGTTGTAGTTGTTTTGGCGTCGGAGTTTCTGGATCAGGACATTAGTTGCTGGTAGACGTATAGTGGCCAGACCGGAAAACATACCCCTGCGATATTCATGAACTTCTCCATCGCCTGCGCTCGATGCTTTGGTTTGTCACGCAAAAGGATCAAGCTGGCTACAAAGAAGGCCAGATGGTTGAACTGCTTGATCATCCGATTCACGGGCACCAAGCTCTTGATCGTATCCTTGTCTATCCCCGAAATGCTGACATGGCGCACAAGATCACGCGGCCGGAAGGAGTTATACATGATCCAATCCACCCGCGTCAATTCTCGTGCGAACTCCTCATCTGGGGTCTCCATAAAAATGCGCCACTGGAGTTTGCTAAGGGAGGTTTTGTGTGTTAATTCAAGACGTAATGCCTCTTTCTGCGCTGCCTCAAGACTCAACGGTGTGAATGATTGGTTTGCAATGCCATTAGCCTTGTCGGTATTCGAAGAGACCGAAAGAGTGCCCGAGAGTCGCGATGTCGAATCATGCGGGCCACTGAGATCCAGCGCGCTCAAACTATAGATAGGGTCTTGCTCTTCTTCGTTGTCGTAAGTGTTCGTGCCAGGGCCAGCACCGGTCAGAATCTGTACGGGAGAACTGCGGCCTGAGTTGTCGAAGAACGTCTCGACCAGATGGGACTCATCAGGATCGCTGTCATCTCCGTATGCCCAGCCAGCATCATCGTCTTCTGCGTTCGTGTCTAATTGTGACCCAATCTCCTTGGCGGCGAACATATAGAAATGGCTTTTCTCAAGTGTGGCGACGAACTCAATGATTCGTTTGCGAAGCTTGGGATGAGCGAAATCTCCCGGATACTCCGAGGCCCATTGAGCCATGGCATCGAGCAATCGCAGCTGATCTGCCATGCGAGCAAGTTGATCCTCGTTGCCCATTTCATTTCGCTCGAATCGACCGATCAAAGCATTCAGGAGACTTCCAGGGGCGGCGAACTTCCGGTACAGACATAGGAAGATAGAGCGGAATTTTTGGTCTTGTTTTGAGGTGGGCAAAGAAACCAGGCGATCGACAAGCTCATCAAATGTCACACCCGGATCTGCGCTAGAACTGCTCTCGCTGCTGGGTTTGGGCCGCACCACTGCGCCAGGGCTCGGGGGTCGACTCTGTCCATCTTCGATCTCGTCCTCCATATTTAAGAAACTGTTGAAAACGTCCGATCCGCCACTGTGTCGCCAGGCGGTATGTAATCGTTCTTGACGGTTATCGCGGTTCGGTGATGATTCTTGAGCCGACGATCGGGGATTTAAACGCGTTGCGGATGGCGGAGTTTGCGGTCGCACCGGTTGCGAATTACTGCGGGCATAACGGTTGGAACTGGAGGTATCTTGCGCCAAGTTGTTGGCGTCTGAGAGACGATGCTCACCATCGGCCGTTGGTGGGCCGCCAGCGGCTCCGTTAAACACGGCTGAGGGGTTTTCCGATTTAGCACGGGTGTGCCAAACGTGGGGGAAGGATTTGGTAGTTATGGGAGGTGTAGGAGTTGAATTAGTCAACTCCGAAGCCAAGTCTGTTAAAGAAGTTCAAGGTTAGCGAGAAGTTAGAACCTCGTCCTATGAGGGTTCTTTGGACAGAAAGTAGCGAACGCTCCCACCGCGACCCACATGGCCCGCTTTCCACAGGGTCAAGGCACACAGTTCATCTTTTCCCCTCAACAATGGTTTTGTCCAAACAAAAAGCAAAAAAATATGCCAAAAAAAAAACGAAAATGACGAAGATGAGAATAAAAATATTTCTTAACTTACCTTCTCGAGTGGAAATGACTGCACGCAAAACTAACGCAATACACATGCGCTGAGATCTGGGTGAGGAAAAAGACGTGCGGTAGATCTCGTATCGCTCGTGGATCGCATCCACTTGGATGTCTTCTACAGGCTCAGGGTTAACATCGCATTTGCAGGCAACCTGCAAGAACGGCAAATCCGAAGCAGCCAATGAGTCTAAATCCCGGCATTAGTCTCGTATCCCACAGGTACTCCCTCGATTTAAGCACCTACAAATCAAGTTCGTGGTCAAAGACAGCCGATCCGGTTTTGTAGCATCATGTAGAACCAGTACCCCATCAATGGCTGGAGCAGTGGTCTCGTGTCCTGTACTCGGCCAGAGAATCTTATTGTCCGGACCAAATTGAATCTTCGTCAAGTCGACTTCCAGCAGCCGCACTTTATAGACTGATCCGTCCAAGGACATCTTCTTCTGGTTTATGATCGAGGTAGGCGGGTGCTTCATGTCCAGGGCGCATTTGACGAAGCTGGTCTTGCCGGCGTTTTCTTCGCCTGCGACTGCGATGGTCACTTCAGGGAAGCCGGTCTTGCGGGATTCCTATTGAACAAGAATAGCAACCGTCAGCAATTGGTCGCCATGAACGGTCGGAACCCCCGAGCACACTGTATGCCTCGTGAACGTACCTCCTCTCGTTGACGAGATCGCGAGACCTGGGTCGCCTCGCCCGCCGTTGATGACCCCTCATCTTCCTCCATCAATGGCTGTCCAACTCTGTTCTCCGATCCTGGTCTCCGCGGCGCCGGGGACGAAGTTGTTCGACTTCCCAGGGCGGGCCGTTGAGCTGTAGTGGGCATCGCTTGAGCTTTGTCACTGTAGGCTCTCTCTCGTCGGGATAACTGTGAGATCATAGCTTGAGCAGAGTCAATTGTGGTGGAGCCACAGAATGAATTGAGGGGATGACGGCCTCTGATTTACTGTGTAAGTTCAGAGGAGGAGCACTGCAGGGCCATCATTTTATGATAGATCAAGTTCTGTCGCAAGAAGCGAAGCAGCCATCCGTATCCAAAGGGTTGGTTGGAGGTTGGGGGAACTGGCCGAGCTGATTAAGTCTGCGATCGGAGATGCGTTCAGCAGGAGACATTTAGGGGTGGACTCTTGGCATCGGGGGGAAGTACGGAAAAAGTATGAATGAGACAGAAAGCAAACAGAATAAGCAAACAATTCCCCTAAAGATGGACAGATCACAATTAGGATGCTTTGAGGTCTTTTGGTCTTGGTCTTTTGCGGGAGCTGGGTTTCTCTCGTCATTGGAAGCCCACTCAATGATCTTCGTTTGTGAAAGCGGCCCCCCGCGTTCATTCGTTGTTGGATCGTTCTCAGCCGGACTCGACACATGGCAATCTTAAGCTGTCACCAGGAAAAGAGTGGCACCACTAATACCGAGGCTGACTTTTTAATTGGATATCGCTTAGTCGATAGGTCTCACCTACTACTTGAGGGTATATCTCCATGAACGTGCCGATTGCTGCTCCGCCAGGTTGCGTCTGTCAAATTAGCTGCTTAACTAGAGCTGCATTAGCTGCCTAACTGCCGTACCATCCCCGAAGCTCCTTCCCATGCCTTTTCGGAGGGGTTAACAGAGCGAGACATTCTTGCAGACCATTCATTCTAACTATGTACTCTGTACTATTGTGTAAGTCTGTCTTTCCAGGGCCAGGTGACTCGCCTGAAGCATACACCAAGGACTTTGAATTTCGATCCGTTCGTACTTTCCTTCCGACATTTCGGTCTTCGGAGTTCTGGGCCGCTGGCATATGCTCCGCTTTATGGGCTTAGCACGCTAAAGGGCCGTGACCCGCTGACTCCAGCAGGGCACCGGCGTATGAAATTTTGGCTCACATGGTAACGCTGTATCACACTACTGCGTACATTATGGTACCTAGGGCACTGGGCACAGCTCAAGAGACCAGCGTTGATCGATTAAGAGACCCACACAGCAAGAGCCGAGGAATAGCGCGTGATCAATTCTGATTTAAAGGAGCCCGGGCTAAACATTCATATGGTGCGTAGGGCTGAATCGCTGAAGCTGTCAGATCTGACAGCTACCTCGTTTAGTACTAGTACGTACTCAACATTGTGACAGCCAAAAGGCGTCGTAGATCATAAAGCCCCCGCCCACCATCTCGATACAAGCTGCATGTCTCACCTACACGGACCCAGCGTTGAGATGAGGTGCGGTCAAGAAGTATATACCGACTGTTCAACTCGTACATGCGGTTATTATTCCTCGGAAGAGGAGACAGTTACTCAGACTGATTCCTGACTCTGCCTGATAAGCGCCATGAACTGCATGAAACCCTCGGCGGCCCGTCCAGTGGCCGTTCCCTCCTCACAATCCTGCCTCATCTTTCTGACTCTGCCCAGACCACGGTTGAAGCCCTTCTCCGTCGTCCACGGGCCGCGGCTACGAGCAGTGAGCCCTCCTCGACCTCCACGTCCACGGCCACGGCCACGACCCCGTGTGGGTGCCATATACGATTCAACCCATTCTTCCTCCAGTGTTGACTGGTACATCTCTTGTAGCTGAGTGCGTAGTTCCGGATACCGGCCAAGAAGCTCCTTCATCTCTGCTGATGTCGCCACTGCTTCAACACTGACTGCTGTGGGCCTGGCGGTCGGGTGATTGGTGTTAGTCGGCCCTGTATTCTCAGGGTCGTCCTGTTCATTCTCAGGTGAAGGATCGGCATCGGTTGTCGGTGGGATACTCGGTTCCTCATTCGATGGCGCCTTGGGTGCACAGTATATCTTATGCGCCTGGGTGCATGCAAGGGAGCAGCTAAATAGACAAGACTTAGCCACTGGTCCACGTATGGAAATGGGAGGAAATCGGAATCGCATCGGTACCTCATCAGCGCGCATGTGGGACAACGGTATTTTGAGGGCTCTGTAGAGCACACCTCACAGGAACCAGGCATCGTGTTGATTTTCCAAAGGATCCATGAGATACAGAGCAATCAAACTTGGTTCTTCATTTTTCACTGGTCCACGCCTGTCTAGGATAGATGCAGGGTGAGGCGGTCCTGGGAGAAAATCAAGAAGCTCGGGGCAATTATGCAAGCCTCAGGCAGAAGTCTTTCCCAATGAAGGCATTCAACGTTGGCTTTGCATTCTACGCACATTGTAGGTGCCCAAGGACAATTTGAAACTGGTGTACTCGAAGTTCTCTCTCGTCGTTGTCCTAACTATCGTGGGCGTGGCAACGCTAGTTCCTGAGCCAATCTGACTATATGAACTGTTGATAACGATGAAGGCTGGATAGTCGAATCTTCGATTTTTACTACTGTAATTACTCTCATCCGTTTGGAAGCCTTTGAACCAAACCTCATATGTCATCGTGGACCAACAAATCCCCGACTACGATCGATGTAGCCATCACTCTAGGGCTCTTCTCAACTTCCGACGTTCGGCGCATACTGCTATGGCCGCAGTTGCGATGCTCAACACAACTCTTCTCATTGGCCGAGAGAACAGCCCACATTTGTCATCCCCCTATGATTTCACATCACGTGCTGTCAAATTGCGTCAGAGCGGCAGCAAGAACCACGCCTCCAATGTTTTTTTCTACAATTGACCTGTGAACTACTATCTTCACACATATCACTCATTTAACACCATGTCTTTAAGTAACTCATCTACCACAATGCTCCGACGCACTCTGATGAGTAGCCGCCTGGCCGCTCCTGTCGAGTGCTCGGCCCGAACAATCAGACCGGCCTTCGTATCCTACCGAAATGTTTCCAGCGCAGCTCGACTGCCGACCCTCACAGCATCAGAGACCCGTCGCCGACCGAGTGTGCGACCACACCAGCAGCCTGCCTCACAGGGCGGTGTGAACGGTCTTTCGCCGACAAGCAAGCGCACCATCTTTATCCAGACCGAGAACACCCCCAACCCCGACGTAAGTTCCGGAGTCCGTCTTGCTTGATTAAGAGAATACCCCCGTTGACATTTTATCCCCCTATCTAGGCCTTGAAGTTTATCCCCAACCACCGCGTTCTGCCCGAGGACTTCCCCAGCACATTCCTCGAGTACATGTCCCCGCGGTCAACTCTCGCACCACCGCACCCATCCCCGCTCGCGGCTAAACTGCTCGATGTGGAAGGTGTCACGTCCGTCTTCTACGGCACAGACTTCATCACCGTGACAAAAGGCAGCGATGCGAACTGGGCGCACATCAAGCCGGAAGTCTTCAGCATCATCACGCAGGCCGTGACATCCGGCGAGACGATCGTGACGACCGTGGAGGGTGCCGTTAGCGGTGAACAAGAAAGCAATGGCGAGGACTCACTCGCTTATAACGAAGAAGATGATGAGGTCCTCAGCATGATCAAGGAATTGCTCGAGACTCGGATCCGTCCCGCTATCCAAGAAGACGGTGGTGATATCGAACTGAAAGGATTCGAGAATGGTATCGTTATGCTTAAGTTGCGTGGTGCTTGCCGTACCTGCGACTCTAGCACTGTCACTCTGAAGAATGGTATTGAGTCTATGCTTATGCATTACGTATGTCCTGGTCTTTTCCCCTCCTTATTTGAACTATTGCTGACTTTGTTTTTGCAGATCGAGGAGGTCAAGGGTGTCGAACAGGTTATGGATGAGGAGGAGATTGTTTCGATGCATGAGTTTGCCAAGTTTGAGGAGAAGCTGCGCCAGCAAAAGGGTGCCACTGCCACCACTAGTGCGCCACTGGACAGTGCACCGTAAATTTGGGATCGAGGCACATTTGTACATCAGTGAAAAGGAAACGAAGGGTTAATCAGACATAAGTACCTGTGTATAGTTACCGAATAAGGATTGAGTCAACGATATGGCAATCTAATTAGTAATTGACCCTCGGCCAAGATCTACAGCCGCAGCTTGGCAAGACAAATCGCGGGGTTGAGTTTTTGATATTGACGGAGGGACAAGAAAAGGTGCCCATACACCTGGGCATAATCAGGGAAGCAATAAATCTTAGGAGACCTTAAGTGTTCCAAGTGTCTAACCCGAGTCCTATCTTGAAGTAACAACCATTCACCCCATCGGTTCATAGTTACCCAACGATTGGATTATGATGTAAGGTGTTAGGATCTGCTGTGCGCAATATCCCAAGGAATCAACCCGGCCGGAGGCTCGGAGTGTAATATGATTGGAGGTTAAGAGTGATCTTCGAACCCTTATTGACCTGAGCTACATATTCATTTGCCCTACGGAGTAGTGTTGGCCATGCATCAACATGTCATATGTATTACACATTGAGGGGTCGAAGAGGGGCAAAACAAACTACATTTACCATGGTCATTATTAACAGTGAGTACTAGTAGGTACTGCACTATGTGTTCATTCACATAACCCGAGGATAATAGAGGTTTGTGCGTGTGAGAGAGGGGAATTGTGGCATGAAGCTCTCCCCGCAAAAAGAGGATCAGAGGGATATTGGCGAGTGCTTATTGGACTAAAGGAGTGGGAAATTAATGAGAGAGAGGGGTGAAAAGAGAGAAAAGTGCATATCAATCCGGGGTAACTAGGTCAAGAACAGTCTGGCCCCCGTGCGACCCGAGGACCAATCGTTTTTCCCTCATGTGGGAGGTACATAGATTTTACAAGTTGTTTTTAGATTTCTATACATTAACCTATACAATTTACAGCTTAGTACGGAGTAGCTAATGAATCGCTACCAACCAAAAGAACCAGAGATGATCGGCTCGATGCTCCACTTGCTTTGAATGGAGTCCGAGTGTCTTTTAATGGTATCAGCTCTACAACACTTGAATATTGTAGTTAGTAGTTAATTCTATTTAACATATTCATTTCGAAGACAATCTCCAAGTTTATCTCTTAAAGCTGAAATTGAAACCTATAAAAAAAACACAGAAACACAAAAAACAGAATACAACTGCAAATCTAAGTGGTCCGTGTCCACTGAACATCGGGGCAACGTTGCCAGATCCGTCCCCAGCAGAAGTTACCCCAGGCTGTTTCTGCGACCGTTTGGTGTTCCCCTCATCTTTCTTTTCTCTCCCACCCCCTCCTCTTCCTTTCATTACTCGTCTTTCCCTTCGTATTTCCATCAATCGAAGATGCGTTATCCTTCTTAACGGAGTCAGCCCATCCTCGGCTTGCTTCCAAACGTCATCTATGATCTCAGCTTCGATCGTAAGATAACATAGCGCATCCTCTTCCCTGATCGACATCGCAATCTCGAAATCACCAGATCGCGACGAGATTCATCGCTCGCACGCGACTTTCTCGCAACTCCTCTCGCAACTGCCCTCGCAGTTTCCTTCCAAATCCCCTCACAACTCTCCTCGCCACTCACTCTTCCCCGCGAAACCACCCGCGCCCACTTCCCCATACTTTTGACAGCTCTCGCGAGCTCCTCCTCCATAACCTTCGACACTACCCTAAACACGCGCAAGTCACGACACAAATTGCATACTTCACGAGTTTACGATACAACCGACGCGTCTCTACAGAATAGACATTGAGACAGAAAAAAGCAAATTAGAGTGGTGAGTCGCGCATCCCCCGCCTTTTCTCTGTCTAGAACGCGACTGGGCTGATACATGGATAAGTATCCCAGACGCAATTGCGATCACGGGATTCTGTTTTTTCTTAATTTCCGACTCTTTTTCTGCGTCTATCTCATTTAACAGGCGTCTCGTGATTCTCGCCCGGATAATCTCTGCGTATTCTCTTTTCCGGATAACCTCTGGGTAATCGCTTAAGGTCTTGATTCTCTCCGCAAGGTATGTTCTTCGTCTGGCGTCTCGGTCGTTCTTGCCTTTTCGCAATTTGGAGAACGTGCTTCTCTCTCCTCTTTCGTCACGTTTTCCCTTTCATGTTTCTCCGAGGTTGCTCGATATATCGACGGCTCCATACATGTATTGACAGCGATTCTGCAATCACCGCTGGCAAATGCACCCCCCCTAGGTTCCTGTCTGGAGCTCAGCTCACACATTTGTCCTTCGTTGTTTGTTTCTGGCCTTCCCCACATATGGGCCCTCTTGAAAGAGGGTCCTGGGAATGCTACAGACTCTGCATACTCTTGCACTTCTCATTTTATACCACCGTCATGCCATACCCACTGAGATGCTTATTACCCCCTGATTTTGGTACCCAACTTCGAGATATACGATCACTGACCACAATGTAGTTGATCAGAAGCGCATACACTCAGTCGGCACCTTCAAAGACGTTCGATCTTTATCGCAGCCTCATTAAGCGCGTGGATCAGCCAAGTACTTGGTTGCACTCGTCTGTTTTCCTGCCCTTAGAGGCGTCGATACAGTACAGCTTTTCATCCGGTTTAAAAAAACGTACAGGTTAGTGACCCAATCCCATCTCCACCATGTACTAGGGCTCTCCCTCGACAAGAAACCCCGCTCTAGTTGTGTTGCTTCAATAGGTGTCAAGTGGCGTTCATGGTGACACAGTCCGCAAGGAATAACTGCGTCTGTCATACATAATGTTGACAAGTTCTGTGCTGATATTCGTTGCAACAGCGTGTCTCAAAGCATAAAAACGATGGCTGCGTCGTCCGACAAATCTGCCTCAATGGCATCCTCGTCTACCCCCCCACCTGCTACGGCGGCAGCATCTGCTATCCTCGAAAAGACTCATCCAGGAGTGCGCCGTTCGACTCCGGATTCGGATGCATTGGCTTCCTCTGACGATGACGGAGAGCATGGGGCACAAGCCCAGAACATCATACCACCCACAACTAGACCGCCAGTCCGTCGCACCTCCTGGTTAAACGAGGTGCCACTTTCTGCTCAACGTAAACACTCGCTCCCTGGAACCCACCTTTCATCGGCTCCATCCAATCCTACAAGCCCCGCGAGCGAGCAGGCTCCATGGACAACCACTACCAGCCCAGGCCTTACCGGAGCTTTCAATTGGAATCAAGTCGGAGGAAGCCCGTTTTCCTGGGGCACAGGCGCCGGCATCTGGAACACTGAGTCTCGCAAGGAACCACCATCTCGCTTGTCGGAAATGGTGCCCTCCCCAACTATGACAAATCCAGCTCCTTCAGGCAACCTGCAAGAGGAAATGTTGAGCCCCATTACGCGCACCATCTCTGGTGAATCGGCCATTCCGTTCTCCATTCCGTTACATCCAACTCCCAAGACTTATCGCTCCCAGTCGTACTCTGTTGGTCAAATGGATCCCGAGTTCCTCGGATTCGTTACTGACAAGAGCGGAGCTCCTCCTGTCACTGGTGCGCAATTCCCCGGAGGTCGTCCTCGGGGCCAGATGTCTGCGGTTCAGCCTCGCGCCTCGCGTCCCAGTATGCTCGGCGAATTAGGACACGACCCTGCCATGCTGGGCCGGGTCCGCGAGGATGATGATGGCGACGAGAGCTTGAATGAAACGGAAAGCGACATCAGCTACTCGAGTCAGGCCCGGCAGATTGAACAGCTGGCGCGCGAGAACGCACTTTTACGCCAAGCAGCCGCGGCAGGTCAGATGGACAACAGGTACCGTGAGCGAGCTGGATCCTCTGCTTCGATTGGCGGAAGTGTGCACTCGCTGCATCGCATCCGAGGCGTTGTCCCAGAGGAAGATTTGGCTGGCGAGGATGTGGGCGAATTGCGTGATATCGCAGGATATAACATGCGTGGTAACCTTCCCCGCCGCTTCTCTGAGCATTTAGGACACGCAGAGCAGCCATTTTCACCATTCGCTCCTCAGCTTGAGAACCGTGCTTTGGATAATGTGCGCAAGGCTCATTGGCAAACTTCCCTAGGCTTCGGCGGCATGCCTGATATTCCTCAGAGTCGTCGTCACTCTTTCGCCGATATTCCAATGCGTCATGGTTCAATTGGATCTGTTGACTCACATGCGAATGCTACTCCTCGCGCAACTATGGGAGACCGCGATGATAGTTATGGTAATCTCGGTGAATATCCTAGTCGTGAGTTTATTTTCCTGCATCCTCGAGTTTACATAGTACACAACGCTTACATGACTACAGAGCCTTATTTCTCTCGTGAGCAGACCTTACGCGGAGATGGCTCCTCGGGCCTCCCACCGTCCCTTAGCCAGTGGGCGATGTCGGGTGGATACGGTCGTCAATCTGCCTTGTCCCATGCTCCTCACAATCAGCTTCTGTACATTGTTGCCTTTAAATGCAGCCGAGCAGATGTCTTTTACGTCCAAGAAGACACTGGTCTGCGGGTGAAGAACGGCGATCTCGTCATTGTGGAGGCTGATCGAGGTACGGACCTGGGTACAGTCATTCATACCAACATCTCTCTTCAACAGGCACGAGATTTAAAGCAGCGTTATGCCGAAGAGCATTTCAAGACTCTCATGATATTCTCTCGACATGGTGCTCCGGAAGGGTCTACCCTTACCAATCCCAACTCGACCTTGAGCACTCGAAGTGCCACCGGTGGTATGGGTCCCCATGGCTCCCATGGCCCACACGGTGTGCAGGATGGCTCGACAGACATCAAGCCCAAGCTCATCAAGCGGCTCGCCCAGCCACACGAGGTCATGACTTTGCACGACAAAGAAGGGAATGAAGCGAAAGCCAAGCGTGTTTGCCAGCAGAAAGTGGTTGAGCATCGGCTCAATATGGAAATTCTCGATGCGGAGTTCCAAATGTAAGTCTAGTTGAAACCCAATCGCTGCTGGTGGTGGTAGAACTAACCTCTGTGTAGGGACTGGAAGAAGCTCACCTTCTACTACTTTGCTGATTCGTACATCAACTTCAACTCGCTGGTGACTGACTTGTTCAAAATCTACAAGACTCGCATCTGGATGTCAGCTATTAATCCTGCCTCATTCGTCACACCTCCAACTGCTGGTCTCGGTGGTTCTGGCGCCCTGGTAAATCCCCTGTATGGCCATGAACCGTCTCATCGCCCCCAGCAAGAGCACAGAAATTATGGCGGAGCACGAGACGTCGCCGACACACCCAGCCCCATGGGTATGGCTCGTTATGGAGAGGTCTTCCAGCCGTTCTCCCAGTCATCTCATCACCCTGAATTGCCTCACTCGGATGCTTTCAGTCCACAAATGCCCTCTAGCTTTACCCCTGCGGAATCGCGCGATCATTCCGGCACCATAGGTTCCAACGGATCTTCCCGTGTGCACCCCACGCAAGGAGAATGGTTCAGCAAGTTCCAGGGCCTCTCGCTCAACTCTTAGGCTTTGTTTCACTTCTGGACCTTCTCTGCCTCTCCACCTATCTTTCTTTCCCTCGCACCCCTGTCTGCGCATTTACCAAGACTTCACATGTGATGACAACCTACAACGGCTGCTCTGGTGCTATGGAGCATGTCCTCGAGAAACTCGCGAGTAATCCGCGGACTATTCTCCCGCTTGTTCTTCGTTGTCAACCTCTTCCTTCCCGTTTCCCCCTCCCTCTCTGTACGATCTCCTTCCCTTTCCCCTTTCCGTTCTGTCTCATAGTTCGGGGCTTATCCTCGCGGTGAGGTAGACATTATGACCCTAGACTTGACCGGCCACGTTGTTATTTTTCCCCCTAGATATCTCCACGTCGATTATCTCTTCTTTTATCTCTGCGTTTTGCTCAAGATCGCCTCCCGCTGGGGCGAGGGATAGCGTGAAACATCACCTTTTATCATGTGCCCTCGCGTACCTGGCCTATCTTTTTCTCTGTCCCCCTGGTTCCTCGTTCCTCGAGGTGTTTCCGGGAGGTCTTTGTCTGTACTACTGTTGTTAGAATTCATACCCAGAGCTGCGGCTCCACTGGATACAACTCTTCTCTGTCGTTACCTTTTCTTTTCCATTTTTCCTTACCATAGATCTGTTTCGCGCGATGAATTATGTCTTCCATAATCAGAAGTAAATCTACAATTGGATTATGTTAGACTATTGGGGCGAGATGAGGGAGGCTATGTTTGTCGTGTACGTCACGTTTGTTTGTCAACAAATAAATGAGGGACAAATACTTTGTCAGGATGGAGGACTCAATAGGTTAAGTGAGGTGAGAGTTAACGTGTGTACCTCCCCGTGACCCCGTTTGTAATGCTATAAAAGACTGATGGCATCTCCGTGACTTCTTCCTCCTCTCCTCTCTCTCCCTTCCTCATCCTCCTCTCTCTTCCTTCATCCTCAACTCTCTCCCCTCATCCTTGCGTGGCTATATATTATTATGTATACATCGACACATCGCCTCCAGGGCTGTTTTCAGTCCACTCGTCACTCAACTAGCTTCATAGCCCTGAGGCGAGAGCTGGAGGATACCATCTTGCCAGCTTCATGCTGGCATTCTCCGAGGACCGACGAGATAACCCAAGAGTCGAGGTGTGTCTGCTGCTTATCATGAGCGCCTGAGGTGGCGGTTCGTGTCAAGATCCGCGACGTCTCAGCACCTACCACACATAGTGGCCTGACGCCTAGTCATTTCATGGCAAGGCGTACGAGATGGAGGTCCAGCCCCAAGACTACGGCGTTACGGAGTCATGCAAGCTACTGCGGGACGGCGAATGGGTACGTCTAGTGCAGTCCTCGATACACAAGTCTAACTCGTTGCTAACCAATCCAGTCTGAGTCACACAGCTCGGAGTCAGAATACACAAAGCCGACCGTCTACACACGTCACCTCGACATCTATATATGGGTCAGGCCGTACCGACCTCGAGAGAAAATACGCAGCCGAACACTGGACCCGAAATCGGAGTGAGAACACCATGACTGTCGGTTGAGACTCGACGGGGGCGACCGCTGACTTGCTGCGATGTCTGCTCTCCCGATTTCTGGATGATATCGAAGATACTATAGGCGTCCACTCCGAGATGCCGTATTCATTCCCAGGAACGGCCTGGCAAAAGACCATGGGTGGACACGGTCAGTCAAGGGTCTCAAAGTGCGTCCTCGTTGTCGACGAGCGAGTGAAGGCGATTTGGAGCCCAATGCTGCTCCACACCTACGATGTCTGAAATATCCAGACATTCAGACGGAGATGTCATGTCTGGTGTCTGGGAGTGGCCTGTTAAAGCCAACAACGGGACGCGACATTGGTCCCGGCACATTCTCTCAATTACGACCAATGTCTGCTATCAACCAACCTTACCCGAATCCCAAACGGAGTACCCGCGTGACTCAGGAATGAATCTTCGGGTCTCAATTCCGATATGATACCCACCAGCCCGAGGAGCGTAGCAGCAAATGGCCACGCGTTCCGCATAGGGCGATGCGCGATTTGGACCTCCAGGACCAGGAGCGACACCAGTTATCGCTGCCATTCAAGCAGGCACAGCATGGCACGAGAAGATGTGTTTTTCGACCAGCTGGTGGCGAAGTGGCTTCATCGGTGTTCCCTATGCCAGCGGGCCGGCAAGCCGCACAAGCACGAGTTGTTCTGTGCCCTGATTCCGACCACCGGGAGGCACGGGCCTGGATGCTCTTCGGGTAGCACCTAAGCATCTCTACTGAGTCTTTCAAAGCTGGTGCTGCGGAAGGGCCCTTGCCAAGAGATCTTAGTGCCTCTTTGAGAAATCTTGACGGTCAAATAAATACACTAGAGATGCTCTGCTACAAGCTTCTCGCGATCTCGATAAAGCTGCCTACTCTCGAACGGGATCGTAGGCTAGCAGAGTCTGTCACGCAGACACTCTACCTTATCAACCCGATACCAATGGTCATCAGACTTCTGCAGTCCCCCATGTCAAGTTGGTCAAATTGTGAAAATGGTCGGAGTAGGTGTGCAGGGCCTACTAGAGGCAGCTGCTGTTGCGACTCAGGACCTCCGTCGGCCATGACCGAGGTCGTTGTCGAGGATTGGAAAAATTCCAACCCCCAATCGCACACTATGCCACCAATTCATCGGCTTCGTTGTGACGTATGCGCAGGGTCGAAATTTGGGTAGGTTGATACCTCGGGAGTTCGCTCCTCTTCCAGTACAACTCTCTCCTCTCATGTTTCTGAGCCTTTAGCCTCAAGAGATAGTTAAGGGAAGGAGCGCGCACAGAGGAAGAAGGAATGGAGTTCTTCTGCCCAGCTCTTCTTCTGTCCTCTTCCCTTCCCCTGTTCTGTTACCTAGTTCTCAGCACAGGAACAAGTTATTTCTTTTGTTCTTTTTCCTTCTGGCCCATAACAGTCGTGAATAATTGTTAAGCGAGGCTTGTGGAGAGAGCTTGAAGAAAGAGGCGATCGGAGCTTATATACTACATACATCATCTTCATCATTCAACCCTCCGACTTTCACACTGGACTTTCTTGAATCAGAACCTCCTTTCCATGCCAAATTGTCCTTCGAACCGAAAACAAATGTCCTTACCGTGAATATGGCCCTCCCAGTGCACGAGAACGCTATACGCGCCTTTAAGGGAAGATGCAGGGGGCTCTCGAGCAAATGGGCCTATGGACACCGATCCAACAATGGGGAATGGGGATCTGCGACACTTACTGGCGCTGACAACTTAAGGAAACAACCAGACGGGGGATGGGGTCCAAGAGACCCCCGCGGAGTACCCAGGGGACCTCGGTGGTTCTGGAAGTCGCATCTTGAGAGTGAAACCTTCGTCGCGACTGCACCTACTGGAAATATCCAGCAAAAAGACAGGTCGAAATGGCTATCGGAGTCAAGATCAATCCAAACAATCCCTGGTTCACCATCTCCCATCTCCCTGTGGCAGTGGGCCGTTGCGTCCTCCCGACCTATTGAAACATCACAGTTGACGATAACGAAATCCGATGGTCAAGTTGACTTCAAAACCAACCTGCCTATACCACAGCTCCTAATCCCTTTTCACCTTCTATTCCGATGGCAAGCAGTTGAAAAAAAGAGAACGTGACATAGTGCTTGGGGTACGAGAGCTCACTGGGATAGCAAATGCGGTATGGGCGACGCAATTCGGGAATGAGAGGAATGAAAGGCTTTTCTATAATTCTACTATATCGAGAACACATCTCCCTGAGTCCCTGCTGCTAGACTAGTGCTGAATAGTGTCTGCCCAACAAGGCAGCCACTCCTGGCCTGAATAAGCCTGTGATTCACCAGTTGGCGCAGATATAAATAGTCTGGACCAACTGGCGAGTTGGCAACATTAGGAATGGCATCCATCTTCTTTGCTTCTAGGTAACGACTAATAACTATTCTTCTGACTGAAATACAGTAAATTATGGAAAAAGAAGCTCTGCTCCGCCGCATGATTAAAACTACTCGTCCCAAAATAATCATTCTCGACTAACTTGCCAGTTGCCGTCAATCAGGGTTGGAACTCGGGATCATTTATGTACTCCAACTAGTCCGATGGCTAAGTTGATTCGCCGCCATTTCCCTATATCTTGATGCAGTCGCAATTCTAGCCTTCTTACCCCAAATGAGAAGTGGAATGGGTAAGAGAAGGATCGCAAAAGCAACCACTGCAACCAAAATGTGCAAGTCGCGCATGCCCATCCCTTCGACCCAAGGCGTTAACACGAAGAGCACAATGACCGAGAAGATGTTGCGCATAAAGATCACTCCGATCAAAGCATCGCCGATGATCTACAGACCGCCAAGTCAGTTCGAGAACAGGAGAGCCGGAGTAAAGAGGAATTGCTTCGGTGCTCACGTCTTGGTAGCAATCCATGAGGTATGAAAGGGCAACTCCACTGATAGCCGCGAGTGCAAATCCAAATAATCCAAATCCTACGGCAAGAACAGCCCAATGCGCACCCTAGATTAAGTGAGAATCCGGACACTTCTTTCATGGGATGTACGACAACTCACATTGGCAAGCCCCAACCCGAACATCAGTATACCAACGGGGCTAATAATGGCAACAGGCAACGCAAGCCAAAGTCGCATCTCGGGCTCATAAATACCTCTGTTCCGCTTGGACAGCCACAAAATAGATTTATCACTCAGATGTCCGCCAAAGGGGAACCCGAGAAGAGCGCCGATGAACGGAGCAACGTTCATCAAACCCACCCCGATAGCATCAAAATTATAAGGCGGGATAGTCATATACGACGCCTGCAGCGACGTCATAATCGCAAACCAGCTCAGCGTCGACCCGTATGTAATCGCCACATACGAAACAGCCGGGAAGGTGAACAGCGTGACGATGGGCTGATAGAAATGCGGCCATAATGCCTCCTGCGTCGGTGTAATCAGCGCCATGCGCTGGAAATACGTCTTCATCGGTATATCAGGCGGAGTCGGCGCCCGAGTTGCGACCATCGAATTGGCGCCTTTCACATCCAAACCTGTGTCCTTCGACCGTCCCGATGACCCCGCTGTCACCGGCGCAGTTGAGACAAGCTCTCGGCCCCCCAAGACTGGAATGTACTTTGATTCTTCGAATAGGAAAAGCACACAGAATAAGGTCACACCGAAGAAAATCACGCACCACCACCACATCCACCGCCACCCTTGTGACACAACGATATATCCCGATGCGACGGGGCCGAGGAAGGCTCCCGCTGACTGTACAATCACGTACCATCCGTTCATCGTCGCGTGCTGGTGCACGAAGAACATATCTGCGATCGTGATCTGCGTGATGATCTCGCTGATTGCGCCACCGATGCCGGATATCAGTCCGCTGCCGAGTAAATCACCGGTCGTGTATGTTCTTGCCTGCCAGATGCAGGAGGCGAGTTGCAGGGCTACGCTAAAGATGTAGATTGGGCGGCGGCCATACTTGTGGACTAAAGGCATGAAGAAGATGCATCCGATGGCGAGGCCGCTGTAGTTTAGGGCGGCTTCGGCGTTTAGAATGTCGATGGTGAAGTTTAGTTCTTCTTGCATTGGGCCCCAGGCTGTGAAGCCTACATCTAGTTGGACGAAGGTCCAGAGGACGAAGAAGCTGGCTAGGGTGAAGTTTAGGACTTTGCGGGGTGTTGACCAGTTTAGGGGGTCGTTGGGGTCTGAGGATGGGGGTGGGAAGAGGACTAGTTGGTCTCTAGACTGGTGAACTGGTTGCATAGGTTAATGTTTATCTATCGTAGTGTTTCCAAAGTTATGCTGGTCGTGGTCGCTCACCCTTCTCTAGTGTGACGGTTCCTGGAGCCCAAAACGTCTCATCTCGAACATGGGCATCGTTCTCCATGACTGAGCGCTGGCAACTGGAGGGATTGTAATCTGGACTGAGAGGAAGATGGGAGAGATAGAGATCTCTCTCTATACCTAGGTGAGAAGCCCATGTGCAGTGCGGAGCCACGACAGTCCTATCAAGTGCAAGAACTGCGGGGAACCCAGGAGACCCCCCTGCCAACCTGGAAGTATGAGATAGCTCAGTATACAAGGTCACGAGGATGAGTGATAACAGGCGGTCGAATCGGGATTGACGTTGCTTGGACTAATTTGGTAAAGCTTGACGAAAGCATTACCTGTCCTCTGATTGCTTATTTGGTCCATCGAAGAAGGTCTTTGATACTTAGAGGTACTTCGAAATCTTTCACTATATAACTGCTGAAGCCAAGCCTCTCAGCGTATGCAGGTTATTGCTTGTATCTCAATCCAGACAGGTAAGATGAAAAGACGAGATGCACCGGGCTCAGATTATATAAAGAGTGAGCTAGGGCCTCCATCCTACACCGACAAGAAAGATAAAACGACATCTTGAATATGATTCAGTGGTATAGGTACTCATAGCAAAACCAGTGCATAAAACTACTCCAACGACCAGATATAAGCCCGAAACATATCCCTACTATAATCACTCCAAGGATACGCCATCAAATCAAAACTCGGCTTCAGCCTCCTCCTCATCCTCTCCGTCATCGGATACCCATGCTGCTTCCGACAACAAGCACACTTCACCGTACAATGTCCCCACCCCTTCACCCTCCTCGAATCAAGCGGATTCGCACAACACCCACACGACCTCCCACAACACCCGCCCCTCCTCGCACAATCCTCCCTTAACCACACACTCTTCATATACCACTGCGGATCTCTCCGAATCCACAAATACCCGCCCTTAATCGGCCCCGGCGGACACCCCGCCAGCAGCGCATCGTACGTGCGCTCGATGCGCATGTACTCATGGTCCAGCGCTATCAGCTCGTCGATCATCTCAGGCAGAAGAGCCTTGACATCTTTGTCTGGGTCTGCGTGCACGATCTGCACGCACTCTTTCATGTAGGTCTCGTGTTGGGTGATTTCACGGAGACAGAGTTCCGTCTCGATTATCGATTGCGACCAGCGTGAGATCTTTGTCCGGTCGGTTTCCCAGCATACATACCGGGTGCAGCGGATTATCTGCCAGTTGACCCAGCGCCCGGAAATCTCGGTGGCTTCGTGGATGTAGTCTAGGAGGCTCTCGAGGGCCGAGAAGGGCCTTTTCTTGACTGGGGGTTCTTCATCTCGCTTTTGCTTGAAATGCGCAAGGTGGCTGGTATGAAATGGGTGAATGGGTGCGTACAGGTAGAGTACTTACATCACTTTTTATCGTCTTTGATGACTCTTTGGAAATGAGTTTGACTGCCCATGGATGGTGGCGCGTTAGAGTTGATGGTTAGTTCGGATCTTGATATTCCCCAGTGGCTTTGAATGAATCAAGCATTCTTTCGCTTAAATAAAGCGTCGACATGTTCCTGGAGATGTTGCAAGAGGATGGATCTCCCTTTCGGGTGAGGTGTTGATAGCGCTCATCGACCCGAATTGATCACCGGAAATAAACGGTATAGCTCCGACACCCTTTTAATATAGTCGCGAGGTCACTACCACAATGACTAGAGAGCCGAACTCGGCCTCTCTTCATCCTTCGAGATAGATTGAGGCAACTTGGTGAGGGGTAAAAAGAGGCAGATAAGGAGAAAAGAGGCAGGAGTCCCCGACCAGCCAATCGGGTATCAGAGTCAAACCCAATCGGCCTTATCCATGCGGAGAAGTCACTTCCTATAAATACACGAGTTCTCTTGCAATGGCGTGACAATTTGAACTTGGGACTTCGGCAGATTGTTCAAGTTCTTGACGCTTTAACTGCACCATTCACATTCACAGCAAACTCAACATGTCCAATGGTACAAAAGAGAGCACGGCCAAGCGCCGAGTGCTTGTAATTGGAGCAGGAGGTGTGGGGACAATGGTCTGTGTAGCTCTAGAGAGATCCGGGAAAGCAGCAGTCACTGCCGTTCTACGATCCAACTATGAGCAGGTGGTCAAGCATGGATTTGAGATCGAGTCCATTGACCACGGAAAGCTATCTTCCTGGAGACCGAGTGCAGGTAGGAGAAAGCACCCAAGCTGCTAGCGATGCGAAAGCTACCTAGTCAAAGCTCGATCCGAAGGCTGACATGTATATACAGTTGTCAACGCGGTCCCGCAACAAGATCCCAATGCCCCATTCGACTACGTCGTCATCACAATGAAGAACATCCCCGAAGTGAACAACATCCCTAAGATCATATCCCCAGCCATAACCCCCAACCACACAACAATCGTCCTATTCCAAAACGGACTCTACATCGAGCCACCCATTCTCGAAGCCTTCCCTTCAAACGTCGTTCTCTCAGCGCCGACCTACATCGGCGCACATGAGCACAACGGTCACGTAACCCACACCGACCACGACATGTTCAACATAGGCGCCTTCCACAATAAATCCCTAGACGCATCCTTCGAGCGCGCCAAGCTGGAAGAGTTCGCGGATATCTACAACGGCAGCGGCGTCGTCGAGGCCCAGGTCGTCGATGATATCGTCCTCTATCGCTGGCGCAAGGTGCTCTGGAATGGAATCTTCAATCCTATGTGTGCTATCACGCAGCTGGATAGCGCTACGGTACGGCTCTTTGGCGGCGAGCACAGTGTGATCAGACCTGGTATGGCGGAGATGGTGGCTATTGCCAAGGCTGATGGCTATGAGCTTGGGGATAGCGTCATCGAGGAGATAATTGAGTCTACTCCGCTCGAGTCGGCGTTCAGACCTAGTATGCTGGTTGATGTGGATAAGGGGAATCCGATGGAGGCGGAGGTTATTTTGGGGAATGCTTTAAGGGTGGCCAGGGCGAAGGGGGTTGAGACGCCGATTTTGGATACTACATATCGGTTCTTGAAGCTCATTCAGGCAAGGCTGTTGGCGGCGAGGGGATTGATTGTTGAGCCGAAGGAGTTGCCGACGACGGATATTTTGTAATATGTCTTATATTGGAGATTGAGATTACGCGTGTCTGATAGAATAAACCCACTTGTCTGTTTCCACTGGTGGAAATATGAAACCCCCGATATGGATGGTAACCTTGCATCTAACAGATTCCTGGAGAATTTGCGCTTCCCCCCATAGACAAAAGCAGTCAAATACACAGTACGATGATGTTAGAAGGATATCTCTCCCAATCTTCGACAGCTACCTCCCTTGCAGAAAATAGACGCACTCAACCATCTTGGCGCAGTCAGGTTCCAGATCCTGACACACATACGGTGACATGCACGGCATCTACCCGGGCGACTAGTGCCTGACTCGAGATACTCGTGTCTTCGACAAGCTTGGCGGATGCAGAGCTATTGTTTTCCTGCGTCCACCTGTATGTACATAGGAGAAGGTCGTGCTACTCTCCGGTTCCCCGGCGCCGATACCGGAGAACATATTTGATCCCATTTACTGATAAGTTCGTCCGCCGCAGATATTGTGGAGCGATTGGATGTCTTGGCTTAATTCCGTGGCCTGTCATTGTACTGCCCGTAGTGCGAGCTTCATGTTGGTTATGCCGAGGATGGCGGAGTTCTCGAATAGGCTTGATACTGGATAGTTTATGGACGTTGGAGAACAGCAAGCATGACCCTCTGATTTGGCAGATTCATGGTTCCATGTTGTGTATGGGCTCAAAATTCAGGTTCTTGCGTTTCTGGATAGCTCCAGCATTACAGGGTCTCCTAACAAGAAGTGTCGATGCAGAGCTGAAGTTTGAACTCCAATCTCCAGCTATTTCCCGACAACCGAGCCTCCGAACGAGAAACGTTCACCAATGCGGGAGAAAGTCCCATTTGCAGAGACTGCCAGGGAGATTTCTTGATCCTGTTAAGCCGTTCGCTGAAATAGGAGCTATTGTTAATCATAGTGCTGCAGTATGCAGGCCTATGGTGAAGTGGGCCGTACAACTTCACACGAATCCTGAAACAATTCTCCGATAGCATTGCGAACTCTGATAGACAAGTCTCGAGCAGTAATCAGTTAATCTTCATTCTCTCGTCCATACGAAATGGCTGTCCTTGTGTTAGTATTCGTATTGGTGTTCGTTATCATCCGAAGTACAATCACAGCCCTAAGACCCGGCCTAAGATCAATCCCAGGCCCCTTCATCGCCCGTTTCTCATGTCTCTACCGGCCATGGAAGATAGCAAAAGGCAATGCCCCAGACTTCTACCTGGCACTCCACGAACAATACGGTCCAATTGTTCGCACCGGCCCAAACACAGTAGACATCTCAGACCCGAAGGCTATACCGATACTATATGGGATCAGCAGCAAGTTCCTAAAAGTAAACCCAATCTCTCCAAATAAAGCAAAAAAACTACTAACCTACTCACCAGTCACCCTTCTACGATATATTCAACCCCTCATACGAAGACGAGAAAATGCCAAACATGTTCTCCGTCCGAGATCCAGCACAACACCAAGCTCTGCGTCGACCAGTAGCGCAGAAATTCTCAATGTCTTCGATCAAGTCTTTCGAGCCTTTGACGGACGAGTGCACGAGCATCTTTCTTGCTGCAATGGCAGAGCTGGAAGGACAGGCCGTTGACCTCGGTGTCTGGCTGCAATGGTATGCGTTCGATGTCATTGGCGCCATAACGTTCCAGCGTCGCTTTGGATTTATGGAAGATCGTACGGATAAATGGGGCATGATACGTGCTATGGAGAAGGGGCTTGTGTATGCTGGGATTGTTGGTCAGATCCCAGCGTTGCATAGCTGGCTCTTGGGGAATCGCTGGGTTGCCAGGATTATGGCGGCGCAGTCTTTCTTTGAGGTTGCGGATCCTTTGCGGTCGATTGTGCGGGTGAGTTTTCACCTTTTCGCCAGTTGAAACTCCTTGTGAGATAGAGATTTTGACGCTTCGACAGTTCACACAGCAATGTATCGATGAGTATGATCGCCAGCCTGAAGAGCATCGTGGTCGGCCAGACTTTCTTGCTTGGTTGCGAGAGAGTGATGGGAAGGGTAACCGTATGTCGAATCGGGATATGATCAATCATTTGAGTAACAACCTGTGAGTCACTCGTTTGTTTGAGATGCTGATTTTCTGATCGCTGACGGGTCGTCCATCCTAGACTGGGAGGGGGTGACTCAACGGCAATCTCACTTCGCGCAGTCATCTACTTTCTGGCCAAGAACAAGTCTGTATACGACAAGCTCCAGAAGGAGATTGACGAAGCAGACCGGGCCGGGAATCTGTCCGAGTATATAACCTATACCGAGTGTCTCGAACTTCCTTATCTGTAAGTCAGCGTCCCGAGCCCACCTCCTCCGTAGCACCTGACAATTTCCAGACAAGTCGTTATAAAGGAGGCAATGAGATGCCACCCGGGCGTCTTATTCCCTCTGGAGCGAGTAGTCCCGGATGGCGGAGTAACTCTCTGCGGTGCCCGTTTCGAGGCAGGGACCATCGTTGGTATCAATCCGGCAGTGATGCATCACGACAAGACGATTTTCGGAGATGATGCAGCCGCGTTCCGGCCTGAGCGATGGACAGAGTCCGATGATGAAAAAATAAAGCTCATGGATCGTCACTTGATGACAGTATGTTGAACTTCAATCTGCTGATTTGTTCGCAAATTGATGTGTTGCCTAGTTTGGACAGGGGTCTCGAACGTGTATTGGGAAGAATCTCTCTATCATGGAAATGGGGAAGCTGATACCACAGATTATCCGCCGGTTTGAGATTGAGTGGGCTTCTGATCAGCCTCAGTGGTGTGTAGAGACGTTTTGGTTTGCGAAACAGCATGGGTTGATATGTCGTCTTCGGTTGCGGGAGAGGTAGAACCTAAGACTGGACTTCCGGCTTTATGGTAGAGGCATGTCTGAGAGTCAACTAGCAGACACTTCATGGTCCACTCGACCACACCGCGAATGGTATCTCCTATTCATGGGACCTTTATAATTCGAAAATGATAGAGGATTGCCACATTCCCGGGGTGCATTAAATGCAAAACTCCCCAGTGTGCATGAGCTCCGGCCACTTCATCCTCTTACACCAATCTCCATCGAGAGATCCCCAGCAACACAAGGCGCATCGGCAAGGACCAGGTCTGCCTGCTGAAACGAAGCATCTACGGCCTCAAACAATCGGCCGAGGTTCAACAAATTGGGCGATCACCTGATCAAGATCTGTGTAGACCATTTGTGGAAATCATGTTTGTTTCTTGGATCTGGCCCTTGCACAGAACAACCATCAACATGTCTATATTATCCACGTATGTCTGTTAGAACTATCTCTTTGACCTTGCTTGGAAGCTGATTCAGGATCCAAGAGGAAGATGTTTGTCCGGATGAGCGGGTAGAAAGTTGGGATTTTGTAGGGCGCCTGAATTGCTTTCGGCGGGATGAACCTCGGCAGTTCGGATGTTTGAGGGACTGGGGTGACTCGGACGGACTTGCCCACATCCATCTAAACTCGGTAGGTCGTCTTAGGTTACAGTCAGCACAGAAGCAATGGAAACCTGGAAATTCCGAATCAGCTCGATCCAGCTGATGTCTTCATTATGAGCATAATCCGTACAGCCCACCGATTAAGTATACACGTCTATATCTTCCGGCTCAACAAGTACCAGACACAGAATCGAATCTCAAAATCCGTATCATACACAGTATATGCCAAACCTCATCAATCGCACCAAAAGCCCATATTAAAACAACGTAGAATCGTATGTTCAATCACAGCTTGAACCTCAACAAGTTGGAAATCATCTCACGACCGGTGATGCGCGTGGTCGCCCACAAGGTCGGGAAGTCCAGAGTGCTGGTGAAAGTATCGGCATAACCGAAGAAGAGCATGGGAGGGATCCAGCCACGGGCGTACTCGAGCGCAAAGCAAGACGCATCCATCTTGTACTGCTTGACCTCGCCGCGGACGAGGTGGTGCACGCTACCGGCGGGGTAGACCTCGGGCTTGAACTCGCCGGGGACGTAGGCCAACTGAGTTCCCTGGAGGATGTTGAAGTAGTCGTCGGCGGTGTGGCGGCCGGTGTGGCCCTCGGTTCCGATAGCAGTACCTGTAGAATTGAGGTTAGAAGACCTTTTACTTCAGGATTCGGAGTGAGGCGCAATGCTTACCGAAAATGATCAGATACTCGGTGATACTGGCGTGGATGATGTACATGGCACCCATTGCACCGCCGGCGTTGTTGAATACCCACTCTTCCTGAGTGCTCAGGTACTGGGGTCCGACTTTCTGCTCCAGCTCGGCAACAATGAAGTTGACGATGGAGCGGGTGTCCTCTCCGTGGGCGCTGATGGCGCGCTGAGACACATCGTGCAGGTGCTCTGGGTCAAAGACGTAGAATTGCTCCAGGCGCGCGTCGAGGAAGCGGTAGACGGCGGAGAACAGAGCCAGGAAGATGGCCAAGAAGCTCAGGGTCTTGAGGGAGAAGCAGCGACAGCCGCAGCCGGAGCTGGAGGACCTGGAGGATTTGGAAGGCATCTTGTGGATTGTGGAAGAGTCCTGGAATGGAGAAGTCGAGCATTTAAATTTCATTCCGGCCCCCTGGCGACGGACCCCGGAGTTCCACCCACTGTGGGGCCGAGCAAAACAATTGTCAACGCCCTCGCTTGTATACGAAGGCCTTAGATCTACCCTACAGATGGGAATTGAGTCAATTGGCCTTACTGAAATACTGCGTATGCCTCAAGCCTATTTTCAATATGTTTCTGCTGTACATCTTAGTCTATCAGGCAATAGTCAGGCAGTCAGTTGGTTCCAGAGATGGTTGAGATGGTTCTGTTTGGACGAGTTTGTCTGTGTTTGCAATGTTTGACACATCCAAGCATTTGACAGGCCATGCCGGATCATTCCAATCCGAATCATCGCATCTTCAATTGGACGATTTAATATCAACTCGGCATTATCAACTGTGCTGCCTGAAAACTAGCGATCCTCATGTTGTTTCAATCACTTGGCTGAACCAACCGTGCTCAACCTCAAGTGCCTGTCTCCATGGCGGTGATCCTTCTTTTCAAAGGTACGTAGTGGGAATATAAAATTACTAGCGTGTAAATAGCCCATGTAAGAAACCTTTTCTTACACTGTAAATAGCAAAGAAAATCGTGTAAAACGGTAAATGTAAATTACATCTGCAATCCCTAGGTTCAACCACCGGTGGTTGATCTGCGTTCTGCCTGGTGACTCCCCTATCCCATCATATCAGATCTGCCTAGGCCGCCACCTAAGTGAGCGGAGACCACCCACTTCTTCCCCCAGCTCGATCTTGATAATAAAAAGTTCCCGAAATTCCCGAATCCCTCCATTTCATTCAACAAAATTTTGCACAACCACCGAAGAAAAATGGCGTCCACGACGCAGAATATTGAAACCTCCGCAATAGAGCAGCTAGCGTCTCCGCCGAAGATATCCCTACAGATACTTGGGACGCATACGACGAACGAACAGGCCGAAGTCATCGATTTTGATATTCGTATTGATTGCTCGAAGGAAGCGAAAATCAATTCTGGAGAATTCTTGACGAGCAACGAAAGTGACCTTCGCTCTTGGGATCAGTCCGTTGAATCCAGTGATAGTTTCCCGACAACATCTTATCGCTGGCTTACCGATTGGCTTAGTGATAACGACAGCAGAAGAAGGTACAGTCTCCAACTCGATTGTTTCTTGGCTACCTATACTAACTATAATATGTCAAGCTGGAATCCGTAAACTAGTCTGTGTTCCTGATGACCTTTCCGCTGCTATAAAAGCCCACGCGGAGGGCCTCGCACGCCAAATTGCGTATGGTGGATCTATCAAAGCTGAAATCCACACTCCACCCCTCGAGTCGGATGTCTTGCCTCAGGAGTACACCGCGGTGGTTCGAGCGGAATGGAGCCTTGGTAGTCCATTCATCGCCGCGGAGCAATCCTGGAATATGATGGTAATGAATGCAATGGTCAACCGCAAAAAAGGCATGATCTCTGTCAATGACCGACAAACCTCACATGGAAGGTCGCCGTTCCGCAGGGCCCATGAGAATTAATAACACTTCTACGGTCATATCACAGGAGCTAAATGAGGCGGGGTTCAAGCGTAGTGTAGTACAATACTCGAAATGGGGATGTGATGGTTAATCAAACAAGATATCAGCCTTCCATTTACTCATAGCTTTTTCTACAATCGATTATTCTCGTGATTTCGTTGTTTTTACAACAGTTTCCATATCACCCAGCCAATGATTCATCTTTCACGCAAAATCAATTCGATCTCTTTGTTTGTATCATGGATCCTTATAGTATAATTGATGCTGATATGGCGGGGATGGATACCTGTAGATTAAAACCTCTTATGGTTTCTTTCTTGGTGAATATACTTCTACTAGGCCTGTGATGCAGGGTTCATCGATGAAAACATGTATTTCCACTCATCGACGCTGCTAATATGATATAGCTGGCGTCTTCTTCCGGCTGCTTCTTGTTTCCAATCAACCTGGGACTTGGGTCTATTACAACAAAAGTCTTGGAGAACCCCACATGTCGGGGAGGATACCAGCCTAAAGGGCAATGGCAAGGCTTTCAACCTAAAAAAACTTTTCCCTTCTGTCTTGAGCCAACTGGTGTATAACTTATAAGCCTGCTCTATGGGAAGGGCTTCCGCATTTTCAAACCTGATGTCCCGGTGGATCACAAAGATTACGATTTGAAGATCCTCATGAAGCATCATCAGTGATTCGGGCCGTTTCCTGGTTTGTACGATGAAATAGTAAACCCAGAACGACGAGCAGTTCTGATTTGGGTTATGCGAAACTGTCCTCCGGACACCATGAGGCCTTTTCATCTCACGACCCCACGAGAGATATGTATGCAATGAGGACAAGGAGTTTGTGCTCAAGGTCATGACACTTGACACAAGAGATTGGCCTTCTGCACAGGAACTATTCGAAGACAGCTGGTTTGCAGAAATTGACCAGTTGGCAGGATTCGACGAGACTAGGTGGTAGCATAATCATTGACCCAAAATGCAGGAAACACGGAAGTTTTCCAATAGACCGAGTATTATAACCTTGTTGCATTAACATGTTATACTGATTGTGCAGCAGCAGCCATTGCAGTATGATACTGCAGTCTGCAGGACGAATGTCGATCATCGCCCCTTGAAGAACGGTCATCATTCCGCATCCACCGGCCTGTCTATAATGTTGAAGCGATGATTTGTGGGGTACATGTACCTGAAGAACGGGAGACTAGTGACGGTGTGGCTGATTTCGAAATATCCTTCCGCCAATCTTCAGAGGTTGTGTGCATGCTGTTGCAAATTGCACAATACCTTCAGCTTTCAGGCCATGGTTCTCATATCCTGATCCCGCTTGAGGGACCGACCGAGAATCAGAAGCAAATAGAGCTTATTCTATTTCGAGGGATATTTGCCAGCCCTTCGCATAACATGAGTTATTCATGGATATTCGAGAACAATAACACATTCCAGCGAGATTTCCGAATTGACTGCGTCCAGAAGTAGCAGTTCACCCGCCCCCTCACAACGCCGTTGTCTCAGACGTCCTGTCAATGGCCGGAGATCTTCCCAAAACTGCATAAATGCAAATCTCCTCCTACAAAACCAGATCCCAGTCGTGGAAAATCTTCTCCAGAGAGGCGCATCTGTGGCTGCGGCGATCGCATTTCCACTAATTCGGCAGCCCAACCTAGCTAGCTCCGGGCAAGCTTTCAGATTTACCCGTCTCTTGTGGAGTTCCGAGTGGGCTTGATGGATGCTCAGTACTCCGTACAGTACTACGCAATATGCGAGAGGATCACTCCGTGATCTATACGGAATAGTGACCATGGCTGGCCTATCCCATACTGATCGGACGTTTTCCAGGAGCTGAGTATAAGACACACTGACAATCCCGTTCCATGCTCTACGTTTGCTGCTTGTATGTTCATACTGCACCCTTTCAAAAGCCGCAATGAAGTCCCTCGCTCCTCTATCCGTCCTCACCTCACTGGCAGCCCTAAGCAACGCCGCCACCATCCCGACCAAGACCCTCTCCCGCCGCGCCGACTTCTGCGACCAATGGGGCTCTACAACAACAGGCAGCTACATCCTCTACAACAATCTCTGGGGCCAAAGCGACGATCCCTCCGGCACGCAGTGCACAGGCCTGGACTCCGTCAACGGCGACACGATCGCCTGGCACACCTCCTGGTCCTGGGCCGGCACGTCGTACCAAGTCAAGAGCTACGCGAACGTCGCCCTGCAGTTCACATCCAAGCAGCTGAGCGCCGTGAGTAGTATCAAGTCCGCCTGGGAATGGAGGTACGCTATTTGTGGCAAATCTGACGCAAAACTGTCGGATGAACCGGCTCCGCTAATAATCTCGCTAGCTACTCTACCACCGATATCGTCGCTGACGTTGCATACGACCTATTCCTCAGCTCGACTCCGGACGGCAGCAACGAGTACGAGATCATGGTGTGGCTTGCTGCGCTGGGCGGTGCGGGCCCGATCTCATCGACTGGCTCTGCGATCGCGACTGTTGATATTAACGGTGTTTCGTGGGATCTGTTCGTTGGTCCGAATGGGAGTATGACTGTGTACAGTTTCGTCGCGGCGTCTACCGTTACGAGTTTCGAGGGTGATCTGTTGGAGTTCTTTAAGTATCTGGAGAATGATCAGGGATTGAGCTCGAGTCTGTATTTGATTGATGTTCAGGCTGGCACGGAGCCTTTTACTGGGACGGCTGATATGAAGACTACGTCTTATTCGGCTGTCGTTGCTTGATTTGGTGGCAGAAATAGAATGAAATTCTCACGTGCGCGATACTGAAGCCATGCTCCTGTTACATGTAGTACTCCGCATATCTCACCACCTAACCGCCGACCATAAAACAGAACGGCAGCAATCCTGAAACACGTTTCAAGCGCCTATCTCCCAAGCCCAAACGTCACCAATCCTCATTCCTCCTATACACTCGCCTTGAAAAAAAACGGCTGCCTATTCTACAACCCTCCAAACCCGCCCATATCCCATCTAAGCATCATAGTGATCATACAATGAAACGTCACAAAAGAACCTCCCAAAAACAATCCTCCAACGGCATCGCACCATTACTCAAAGACAGCGAGACGCCAATCCTGAAACGAGGCGCAGTCTCGACGCTCGTCATAGCGGATGTGGCAGCGGACCGGCGGGAAGACCATCCGCGTCCTTTACCGGTCCATGGCCATGCATAAGAAGCATCGCGGGGGTAGCGGGGGATCAGAACCCGGTGTTCTGGATGGACTCTGGAGCGTAGATTGGTTCTAAGAATAGTAGTAGTATTTGATCATAGTATGTTGTATAGGCGCTAGAAATGTTTAAAATTAGATCGAATTTGTTAGGCGCTTCCAGCATGTCGGGATGGGAATTTGTCGGTCGCTGGCGGGATGGCGGGAAATGGGGGAGGGCGCTTATTTGCATCCGTCATGGGTTGATTTTCTACTGTGTACACAGCACAGTGGGTTTACTGTCAGAATTAGTATTTGCCACTACGGAGTACGGAGGACACAGTGGATCACTGGGGGAAAACAAAAAAGATAATGTGGCTGGGAAATCGATAGATCAAACGCCTTCCCGGGGATCAATGTGACCTCCCTTATGTGAGCCTGTGAGGACCAAGATCATTCTGAAGAGATAACGTTAAGTTCCTATTGGATCCAAGGTACTTACAGGAGCCAGCCCCCCTCGAACACGCCTCGAACACGCCTCGAACACGCTTATCGCGTAACAGGGGGCTCCAATAAGAAGTCATACCACAGGCATAAGGAATACAGGGATTCGCCCCATGCCAGTGCCAGTCGGAAACTGACAGGTTTGCTTTCGATTGGGCACCCTTCGGCGCCAACTCGAACTTGCGGGGGCTGTTTCGGGTGATTGACTTTGGATTTGTATTGATCTACAGCATACATCGGAGAGGCTAGATCCATTACTTCACGCGTTCAAGGTCAAACTGTCTATTACCCGTGTACCTATGGAATGGAATGGGATCCGCGTCTCGCTCAGATATGAGACGATCGGCGAGTTTCATGTTCAAGAATAATTGATCGAGGGCCACTGGGTGGTAGGGGATATCAATAGAGGAGAGGAGGGCCTAGCGAAGTGGATGAATTGGATGAATCTAGGGATAAGCACAGTTTCGATCTCTCTCAAGCGCCAACTGAGTATCTTAGATCCAACTATGCATCTCCCATCCTTCTTCTCTTACTGGTCCTTGCAGGCAGATTCTTTTTCCTCCCCCCCCCCCCCCCCTCCCTCCCTCTCATACCATATAACTAGAGGTATTCCACCATTCTTCACGAGATTCATCCACATGCTCAACGTCGTCATTCTTCTTTCCTTTCCTCCCCTTTCCTTTTATTTCAGTCTTATTTCAGTCTATTCCAGTCCTCTAGACTCTCTATATCTTTAATAATTCCCTCCGAAACCGATATTCAATATATTGGACTACTGCGTTGACTGTGGATTTTGTCTCTCACCAATAAATCTCCGTCTCGGCAGGTCTCACTCTTCTCTGGAGAAGCTCAGTTAGGGCTATCGATAAAGGGTTGACACGACAACCCCCAACTATCCTTACTGCAACATTCTTTTTACAAGAACTACTTCTCCTGCTGGTTCAGGAATTTAGTACTTCATTATCAGTTTGGTCTTCGCTTCAACTTCTGTCGACTACATCCCTCCGATCTATACCCTGAAGTTTTGAAGACAAAGACCTTTGTTCTACTGTCTTTCACCACCACAAACACTCCTTGTATCTGATTGTTCACAATTTACTTGTGCCTGAACTTGACTATCTACATCTCGACTACTTAATTGTCAACCCTCGACCTTCCTTTTACTCTCCACCCACCATCTCTCACAATCACACTCACAATGGATTCCATCTCGCTCAACCGAGCAGCTCTCGACGAGTTCGTCACAACTCGAGTCACTCGTGAAATGATCACCCACTTGGCCCAACAAGCCGGTCAGGTCATCCGCTGTGAAGCCCATGTGACCAACACAGTCAACCAGAACGGACAACCCACGCCACCAGCCACTCCCCCCATGGAACCAACCGACTTACCTGCACTACCATCCATTGAAGCATTCATTGCCTCATTAGTCGCCCGGTCGCAGGTACAAGTCCCCACACTCATGAGCTCCCTGGTCTACCTCGGCCGTCTCCGTTCCCGTCTGCCGCCAGTTGCCAAGGGCATGCGCTGCACAGTCCACCGCATCTTCCTCGCCTCACTCATTCTCGCCGCCAAGAACCTCAACGACTCGAGCCCCAAGAACAAGCACTGGGCCCGATACACCGTCGTCAAGGGCTTCGAAGGCTTCGGCTTCTCCCTCCCAGAGGTCAACCTCATGGAACGCCAGCTCCTCTTCCTTCTAGACTGGGATCTCCGCATCAGCGAAGAAGACCTATTCACCTACCTCGAGCCCTTCCTAGCTCCGCATCGCCAGCGTCTCATCGCCCAAGAGCGCGAACGTCTCGCAGAAGAGGAACACCGCCACAAGCAGCAACAACACCGCGAATGGTATGATAACCCCCCTTGAAAACCCCATTCCAATCCTTCCATTCCACTAACCTCTCCTCCCAGGCGCCGTCTCCACGCATCAGCAGACCTCCTCGCCAGCCGTCTCCGCAGACAAAAACTCGAAGCCCGCTGTGACAGCCGTCGCGCAGACAACTCCCTCCGTCGTCTCCCAAGCCACGCCTCCTGTCCAAGCGTACACAACGCCTACAACGCCCCGCAATCAGCCGCAGACCACGATCGCTACAACCCTTACCACCGCCAACGCGCTTCCCCAAATCGCGTCCACCGCTCCATCTCCCCGCCCTCAGTTCGTGACGTCCCGCCTCTCACTCACGCCGAGACCTTCAACTCTCTTTGCTCGCGCTCTTCCAGTCTCGCTCCTGCCAGCTCAAGGGGAACACCGGCGTCCATAAGCACGGTCTCCTCCCACGGTACCGACGACGTCATCCTCACGGACCTGGGCCGCAGTCCGTCCTCTATCTCCTCACTGAACTATAGCTACGTTAACGTCGGCCATCTCGAAACTAAGAAATCTTTCGAGCCTTCCCGCCAGCCTTCGAAGAAAATGAAGGTCGGCGGCCATGCTCATAGCGGCGGTTTTGTCGCGAGGTTCTTGGCTTCGGCGACGGGTTCGTATATGGGTGGTCGACGATCTCATTAATCGAGCTGGTCTCGATTTGTTTTTTTATTTTTTTCAACTTTCTTTTGGCCAACTGGTCAATTTAATTCATGTCATGTGCAACCCTCTCTCACATGATGACATCCACAATATGGCTTGTATTTCTTTTTCGATACTTATTCCCGCTTCTCAAAAAGCTGTTCACACGCTGATACGCATTCTGTGCCAATACCCCTTCGCTCACATGAATATCCTTGGTATTTTAACATACCACATGGTCATGCTGAGCCAATCCGCTCGAGACATCTGTTCTCTTTTATTTCCTGTTTCTTTTCTTTCTTCCTTCTCATTATCCTTATCCTTCTCTATCACTCACTTGCATCTGCCCCGAGCATCGGCGTTATGCTCCGGTTCGTCATTTCCTCGGTGTTATCCATACGGCTGTTCTCAGCTCATATTTTTACCCTGGTTCACTTAGACGTTGTCGCTCGCGCTCTATGTATTTATCTGTCAGACAATCAAGATTATTATTAAACTACGATTCTTTTGTAACTTAGCTAGACTCGCGGCCTTGAAGTAGTCATAGTAACAATCTCAGACATGGAGACGCTCCTTGCTCCGCTCAATGTATTGGTACTCCAAGGTTTGAAGGTATGGTGTACTGGTAATGCACCCCCTTTACGCCTCTTCGGCTCACGGACGGAGTCTCGCCCTTCATCATTCTTGGTCAGGTGGCATTGACAGCCTCCGGCTATGGACACATTTGGACTAGCGTGGTTTAAGGTATGGGACGATGAAAGTGACATGATCGTGAATGATACGGAAGATTGTTTTATTTAGTGACAAGATTAGTGACAAGACTGAAAATCAGATTCAGGCTATGCAGTTAGTGAAGTCGGAATTGCGTGGTCTACAGCGAATACACCGTAATAGCAAATAAATGGGTAGAATTTATTAAGCTACTTAAAGTTTGTTATGTAGGCACGAGTCCTGAGAGTAGAGGCACGAAAGAGAGGGACGTGAAAGGAAAGAAGGCATCCGCAGGCGAAACACCTCGGTCGTCCTGGAATAGAGCATCCGTATGAAGAACCGAAGAATGTGACTCGATGAAGGTCACTTTCATTGCTGGTTTGACCGTGATAGGTTGATATGTAGAGTGTAGACTGTGGCAGACCAGGCACTTTGTGAGACCATATCCGGTGGCAAGTTGCATAGAGAAGTAGATTTGAGTACGCGATTCATCTGTGAGAGTTGCACCGTGGCGGTAATTGTGGGCGGCTGCCGTGATGCACGGAGACAGGGCGGATGATGGAAAGCCCACGGGGCATGTCCTCAAGATGATGATCAACACGTGGGTAACCGCCGAGAGATGGTTTGTCCGGGTAGCGTTGAGCAAGCCCGCAAAGGTGAAGATGTCTTTCACGTCGGTAACCACCGGGAGATGGTTTGTCTGGGTAGCGATGAGCCTACCCGCAAAGGTGAAGATACCAATGTGACGTGCCAGATCTTTGAAGAAAGAACGCATTCAAAGTGGAACAGATATGAAGAGAAAAGAAGAAGAGAAGAAGAAAGGAATCCGTCAAGAAGCTTGTCAACACCCCTCTCGTCACAGGACTCGGACTCAACAATCGTCAGGCAGTCACAGAAAAGGGTCAAGGCACATATTGATAGACGGGTTGTATGGTTAATGGTGGTTGGTGGTCAAGATGAAGCAGAGATGCAAGAACCAAGGAGGCAAAGAGCCATTGCTGGGCATGGTCGACAACACGTAGTCATGATGATAGTCCAAGTATCGGGAGGCCCATGAGTGCGGATGATCGGTGTTTTGACTGGTTATCGGGATGTAGAGATTCTCTTGTGGCAGCACAACCAATATTGACTGGCGGCTAGAATGCAGAGGGCCCTCAGGAGGAGGGGGATGTTTCTTGGTGGTTTCGTGGCAGGTAGTCAGGATGGTAGGGCCGAAGACCGAAGTTTCTTGTTTCACGGTGTGAGTGACTCGCAGTCGATGCGGATCCCAGAAGGCTTGTTGGCCAATGAAGTTGGTAGTGAGTGGCCAGAAAGGCCAAGACGCCAAGTCGAAGAGGTTCGTAGGTGGGTAAGGCGTGGTAGGTCAATGGTGGGTGGTGAATGGTAAGGAGTTGATGAGAAGCCTGTTGATGAACAGGCCAAGAGGAAATTCCCATTTTGAGAAGAGGGTGGATTGTTGAAGGCCGGAGTAGACAGGCCCGTTGGTTGTGGCAGTGAGTTGTAAATGACGATTAAGAAGGCCAGGAACGAAGGCGTCGATGGCAATATCGAGTTGTCGATGGTCCATGGATAATGGTAGGTGGAGGAGCCAGGATAGACAGGCAGATGGGAGGTTGGTTTCAGTGGTGGACAGTCAAAGATAATATTTCGAGGCTTGAAAGGCCGGTTGGTGGATGGTGGTAAATGGCGGTTGGCTGAAGACGAAGAAAGATGGCAAGAAGGATATAGGAGGCATGGCAGACAGCGTGTTGGGAGAGTCGATATGATGGTGGGGGGGTATAAGAGGCAAGATGTGAAGCCAATTGATGGATAAGCGACTGCGTTTAGTAGCTGATGGTCGAGGATAAGACACTGTTGTGAAGGCCAAATTGAAGGGCCCGTAGAGTAAGATGGCAAGGGAGTTTGATCTGAGGCATAATAGACAGTGGAAATGGTCGTTGATTATCGGCGAGGAGATGCAGACAGTTGATGGTTTCTCAAAAGGCTAAGAAGGCCTGGAGACCTTGTGGAGGATGCTCCTGATGGAGGGTGGAACAGACAGTGGAAATGGTCGATGGTTGATGGTTGATGACAAGGCGAAATTGCGAAGGCCTCAGTAGGGCAGTAGGAGCAGTGGATTGAGTGGAGGAGTTTGCCCTACCCAGCCTTCCGATTGTCCTGAAGCCAAAAGAGGCCCGCCACGGCAAGGCTGGATATAGGCGAGTGACGCGGTTGAGGTGACGTGAATAAGCGGGGGTGGTAGAGCGAAGGCTATTTGAGCGACGGTTAAGCGGTACCATATCCAGCCTCCCGATTGTCCTGAAGCCGTGAGGCCCGCCACGGTGAGATTGAATATAGATGAGTAGAGGTGGTGGAGCGGAGGTATTCGCAGCTGGTGGTTGCGGTAGTCGCGGTTCCTATATCCAATCTCCCGATTGTCCTGAAGCCACGAGGCCCGCCACGGTGAGATTGAATATAGATGAGTAGAGGTGGTGGAGCGGAGGTATTCGCAGCTGGTGGTTGCGGTAGTCGCGGTTCCTATATCCAATCTCCCGATTGTCCTGAAGCCACGAGGCCCGCCACGGTGAGACTGAACATAGGCGAGGACTGATGAGAAATGGTGGAGTGGATGTGGTCGCTATACCCAATCTCCCGATTGCCCTGAAGCCATGAGGCCCGCCACGGTGAGATTGAATAGGTATACGTGAGTAAAAGGCGGTCAAATGGATGTGGTCCGTGGATGTTGTTTGGTGGTTGCGGTTGCTATATCCAATCTCCCGATTGTCCTGAAGCCATGAGGCCCGCCACGGTAAGACTGAATATAGGTGAGTAGAGGTGGTTCAATGGACGTGGGTAAGTTGACATGGGTGAGTGCCGTAGTTACCACATCCAGCCTCCCGATTGTCCTGAAGCCGAAGCCCGCCACGGTGAAACTGGATGTGATTGAGTGAAAGCAACTTGAAGGTGTGGAAAACGAAGCGGATGAAGGTGATTGGATGGAGGAGGAGGATAGCAGGCAAAGAGCCAAAGCAACTTGAATGTTTCAGGAAGGTCGAGGCAGCATGGAGTGGAGTTGAGGGAGGATAAGAGTAGTAGTAAAGGTAGAGAGACACGAGTCATCACAACAGACATTTCATCACGTGTGACATGCTATAGCATCTTGTCATGGTGCGCCATGATTGAGAGCCATGACACCCAGAGGTGGAAGGTCCCTAAGGTAGGTGGCCTGAGGTTGGATGGTGTCTGAGATGGCGTGGTGCCTGAGGAGTGATGGGAATGATAAAAAAGGAAGAGGTGTGTAGAAGGAAAAGAAAGAAAAAGAGAAGAGGAAGAGGAGGGGGTATTTATACCCTTTCCATGGCTGAGCTGAACAAGGAAGGAACGTGCCTGTGCCGTCCTTATTTGCAACGCAGTTCTTCTTGGATGAGAAGGAGCGAGGACGGTTCCTTCCCTCTTCAATGCGGGCCCCAAAACACGTGTATGGAATATGGGGATCATCTCCAGTACTGATAAGGCAGTGCCAATGCCAGAACTAGCTATGCACCAACAGGCAGGTAGCAGGCCCATTAGGAGCTTGACTTTGTGAAGTCGTTGAATCTATGTGGTATTGGGACGAAGGACAAGTTGTGTGGAACCGATATACGACCTCATGTCTCAACCATACGAAGCCGACTCCAGGCACGTCATAAATCGTGGAATTCCCAAGGTAGAGTATCAATAACGAAGGTTATCATTATACCGATGGTGTATCACGTAGCCCATGAGCGAATATGACTCGCTCAATAGACAAAGCTGCTCAGAAGCTTATCCAAGTAGCCGGAGAGCTTTCCCCAACTACCCAGATCCAACCACTACTCAAGTCTATGTGTAAGAACCCCCAGTCTAACACTCGCATTGGAAACCAACAACCACTCTGGTCGTTCTATTGGGCTAATCACCGCCCTTATAGGAATGCATAAATCTCGTTACAGAGCCGAGATAGGGCAGTAAGTCATAGCAAACAAAAGAAATCAAAATCCGGGCAATGCTAGCTGTTTCGTTACTCATGATCATGGCAATGCAAAAATCTCCCACTCGGGCACATATCCCAGCCCCTATAGAACCGGGCTTTCCCAGTAGTCACGCTTGATCCGCATAATAGCCGAGTGCTTATGCGGGAAGCTGACCTCGCCTTCCTTATAGAAGCCCGCTTCTTGGAGGTAATTAATCAGTCTGCGAAAGGATGTTAGCATATCGACATCCACACCCTGCCCTTACTACCAGCGCATCCAGCTAGTAGTCCAATGCAAATTTAACTCACTTGATATTATCAATCCTCGGCTCCAGAACCACAGATTCAGTTCGCATATCCGCCAAAAAGCAATGGTGCACCAGCGCACTCAACCAAACCGCAACCCGGTGCGCACCGCGGAACTCCTGTTCCCCGATAAGCAGATGGATTCCCCGATCGTAGTTGCCAACGTGGTCCAGAAGTCGGCCTAGTGGATCCTCTTTCACCCAGTAGATCTCGAAATACCCGAACGGCTTCCCATCCCAGCATCCAATCACAGGGAAGCTGTGTCGGCTAGTCAGATTCGCGAGCAGGAACTTCTCCTGTACGGATTTCGGCCCGCCTTCGGACCACATTGCTTCCACTCGCGGCACGTTCATCCACCGATGCAGCGTGTCCAAGTCCGAGCAGATGTTCTCCGTGAGATGCTGCTCTATGCTGGTAACGGATGACGTCACCGGTGTCCCCGGTCGACTGCCGCTACCGGGTTGTGACTGTGAGGTCGAGGCCGCCATCGGCGCAAATGGGACCCGGAAAGACAGATACTGACTCAAGCTGGGGATGTACCGGACGTAAAATACCTCGCCCTGGTGCGGCGCCTTCGGGCGCACGGGATGCCGCACCCCGTTCGTGAAGATATACTGAGTTGGCGGGGGCGGGAAGTACGTTGGCAAATGACTCCCTGAGGTGAAAGGTCCCACGGATGTGAACGGGCCCATGTTCGCCGTGTGGAAGGTTGCTTCCATGGGCGCCAGCTTGAGCGTCGTGGCGGAGGGCAGGCCGTCGCGCGTCGGCGAAGCATCCCGGGACACAAACGGTGATGGAGATGGGTTTGCGCGAGGTGTGAGTGTGAACAGGAACAGTCGCGGATCCAGCTGCCAGAAGCTGCGTCGGCTTACAAACATCGTCGACCAGCTGCTTGAGTCGCGGGTTTCGATTGGCTGCAGGCCGACGGAGGAATCTTCGGTCGCCAGGAGACCCATGCGCTCGAGCTTCTGGAGCAGGTTCCGGCCTTTGAATATTCCCTCGCGCTTAACGTTTATCCGCCATTCGCCTTTCGGTCGTCCGTCGCGGGGGGTCTTGCTTGAGGCGGCGGTTTCGAGGTGCAGGTCTGGCTCTGGCTCATGGAAGTACCACCACAACGTTGCCCAGAGCATCATGGCGATCAGACGTGTGGGCGAGGCTACGGGCTTGAAATCGCTCGAAGGTGGGTTGACTATGTAAGAGATGTAGAGGGAGTCGCGGGTCAAGGTGGGAGTGGTGAAACGAGTGACACTGCCGCCATCGTCGCACGGATTCTCGGAGTCTGGCTGGTCTGTCTGTTCCTTTGATTTGCGAGGCTTCGCAGTATTTATCATAATCGTCCAGCCGGGAGGGAAGGTGTAGTTGTGCTGTACGGTGAAGTCGGCCGACTTAAAGGCGACCCCACCAAAGACAGGCGATACGTTGAAGGTGAGGCCATTGGGGAGGTGGCAGGTGGTGTTTCGCATGATGAGGAAATGCCCTTTGGGTTCGACCGGGTCCGAGTCGAAGATGGTGCTTTATAGCAAAAGCCGCAGGCTTAGCTTTTTCCTCTCTGAGTTGGGCCCCTCACTGCGCGGGGTGTCAAGAATGGTGCACTGATGTCAGTATGTTTAAAACCACGATAGTCCAATACTGAAGCTTGGATTGGTAATGTGAAGCTGGAGATTGCTCAGAGGGAAAAAATTGAAACTGGTGCCGAGACGTTACATCCCCGCGCATCAGCCCACCATAGCTTTTTTATGTCTTCCAAGGTTTGTTCCCGAGCTTCGAGGTGAATTACATCAGGAGCTTAATTGCACTCGTGATATTCTATGTTTAGCCAAAGCTTTAGAACATTAGTACTGTTCGTATACAATAGTTAGCTGATTATTGGCTATTTCTTTTCTGGTTCTAGCCTCAAGATATTGTAACAACTAACTGCTGAGTCTCCGAGAGGTCTGTCGATCGAACTCATAGAACAAATTTCAGGCTGATTTCTCCGAATCAGCTCTGAGCCAATAAGAAATAAAGTAAAATAAGCAAAGGGTATCCAGTCAAGCAATCAAAAGTCCTCCACTGTGGTCCCCAGCTTCCGCTCCCGCGCCAAGCGCACCAGATCGCCGCCAGTAACAAGGTCCATCAATCCAAGACCAACAGATTTGTAGATAACATTACCACGCCGCGACCATTCATGCAGGCTCTTCTCTTCGTCCACTGTCTCAGCGTTGCGAGTGGCATCACGCACCATCAGCAGCTCACCCAACTCGACAACTTGTTTCGGCTTAATTTCGGCTTGGATAATCTCGCCCGCCTCCTTCATAGCTGCATCCAGACTATCCACTACAATCACACCACTACGGGTGATATGTTTGTGCCAATGACGATGTGGAGGTTGCACACTGACCTCGTCGCGGAGGATATCCGGGTGGATTTCAGCCATGTGGGCCTTGTATGAGCCGATCGCGCAGATCAAACGGCCCTTCTGGCGGCCTTCGCCTGTGGTAAGATACTCTGCGGGGAACAGTGGCTCGGGGGACGGGGTACAGCAGAAGATCGCATCGGCCTTGCGCACATGCGCCTTCAAAATGCGAGCGTACTCGCCGAAATCGGTGCTCATGGCCGAAAACTTGACGTCCCGGCGCCATTCGGTGTTCTCGGACTTATAGATCTCGCGCAAAAGCTCTGCTGCACGCTCGAAAGAACGGTTCACGATGTATACTCGGCGAATGTCCTCACCGCGGAGGACCAACGCCAAGCGGATGTGCCAGTATGCCTGGGTGCCCGCTCCAAACACGAGGAGAGTGCGCACCTTCTTGCGCTTGTTGAACATCAACAGTGAAGCCAAGGCCGTGCGGAATGCCGTTAGTTCATGTGCGTTAATCAAAGCGAAAGGCAAACTCTCGCCATCGAGTAGTGTTACACTGCCGCGAGGCGAGGTGTCACGGGCCCCTGCGCCCGGCCAAGCGCCAAGAGTTTTGGAGACGTTGGAGGTAACGTTTTGCTGGTTGACACACCCACTGAGAAGTGTAGAGCCATCTGTGCTTGATGCTGTCGTACTGCTGTCATTGGTGGTTGTGACGGGGCTGACCGAATTGCTGTCCTCCTTGTCGCCTTGAGAAGAGCCCACAGATAGATCACTCATGTCGGACGACAGAGAAGCCACCGAGTTTCGGAAAGAGCCTCGTCTGCGTGAAATAATCTGCTCCTTCTCTTGGGTATCCACAATGTCACGTTCAATAGCACAGCCGGCCTTAGCCCCGTCCTGCAGGGAAATCATCTTGATGCCAATTGTCTGTCCAGTGCTGGCCGGCATGAAAAGGGTGGTGCAGCCATTCTGGCGTGTAATGGCAGTTCGCTGGGGTTGATAAGCTGCCGAGCAACCTTTCTCCTGAGATCCGCTGGAATAGTCTCGTAGGGCATCGGCGAGATTGCGCTGCAGCGCAACCACATCGTCGCGGGAAAGCGCGTGTAGAAGTTCACGGAGCTGGGATCGGGATAGGACGGTGAGAGGCATTTAGGTGGTTCGTAGGATTGAAAACAAAAGGGGGAGAGGTGTGGTGTAAACTTGTAATAGTGGGGGAAGAAAGATAGAATCACTGAGATCTGCAAAGAAAGATCCAGTTAGCCAAGACAGTCCCATTCGCGTCTCTGCCAAGATAAAGAGTGGAACACCTCACTCGGATTCTATTATGATACACGCGAGTTATCACGCTTCACTCTTGAGTGCTAACGGTCAAACGGGGGACTATGGGCCTTTGGCCGAGAGAAGTCGGGCGTCGGAAACAGCGCCTTCTCCGAGGATGACGACAGGCTGAACTCCGAGGTGGGGGAGGAGCGGAGACGATCAGGAAAGTTGGATGAAAGAAGCTGATCAACTTGATAGCGGACAATGGAAGTCGCAGTAGTGCTCAGACCTCAACAGAAAACAGTACAGATGTCTATGCAATAGTCTCGAGGACGTTCAAAGTGGCACTTTGAAGATGATAGCGAGCATCCCTGGTGAATTCGGACATGGAGCTAACCCTAATGCGGAGATTTGTATACGCCACTGGTGGGGCGCATCGGTGCCGGCAAGAATCAGATAGGCGCTATAAATATCTCTATGACTTCGCAGCTATTAAGCGCAACTACTTGGGAAAGGTCTTCTCAATTGAAGTGCAGCTTCAGACATTTAACAAACATTATGTCTACAGGGCTACATACACATCATCATGATGAGCGGGTAACATTTCCGCTTTCTGGGTGACTACTGACTAGGTCCTCCCTTGTCAATTGTAGCTATTTCGATGGGTGAGATACACAGTACATGATCGATGTAGCATATCTCGTACTGCTGTTTGTAATAAGGAGCTCTAGACTGAGGGTAGAAATCCAATATCTCTATCCTCCCTTCACCCGTAAACGCTGCGCAAGCACCTGACAAGGCCAAGTCCCTTGAAGGTCCAAGCGCTCACATCGCTCAAACCCTTGCGACTCATAATATCGAACCAATCCACCATCACCACCAGCGTAGCAATCAACCCGCAATAACGAAGCCCCAGCCCCATTGGCAAGATCACGAGCATGTTCCAAAAGACGCTTGCCAATCTTCTGCCCAGCCGATTGTCGATCCGAGACTAACAAGCGCACGTAAAGCTCAGGCTCAGAGACCGCTGGCGCATAAGGCATCTTCTCTCCAACGGCAAGTGCGCCTATGATGGGCCCCGAAGGTCGATCTTGGTTCATTGGCGTGTCATCCGCAACCTTAATGGCGAGCCAGAGGCCGAGACCGGTTGTTGCGAACTCTTCGAGTTGTTCAGCGCGTCTTGGGTTCTCTGAAAACGGGGATGATCCCCACTGCCCGACTCTGTCGGTAGATTCTAGCCATTTGACGGCGTTGTCTAGGAGAGCGAGGACTGCTGGGCCGTCGTCTACTGTTCCTCGGACGATAGCGATGTGGGATTCATTGGGAATTGCACTTTCGAGAGTCTTAGTGGATATCCTTGGATGGGCTTTCGGATTTGATCTTCATTGAAGGTGGTTGGCCCTTCAGGCAACAGTACTTACTTTGATGCCATGATTGAGATGCGATGTAGCTGTCGAATATCCTCGAGGCATAAGCTAAATCATTGATACTAGGACATCCGAACAAGTGATCATCCCCACTCTTATACCTAAAATTGCCTTCACTGCTTTCCTAGGTCGGGAAGAGCCTCGATCCGTCTCACTATTGGGGCTCCGTGTCCAAATTCCATTGGTTGAGCTCGTAACTTTCGGCATAGTAGCGTGTGGGGGGCGGTCATAGTGTCAAATGAATCCAAAGTAGTACGAATTATGTGGCTCGGAGTCGTTGCTAGGCTACAATTTTAATTTATCCACCAAGCTCGGCGTCGCTCGACGGGCAGGAGCCGCAGGACTTGAGATACCCGCCGAGGGCTGCCGAAGTCGCCGGGGTCGGGGACTTGGGGCAGTCCGAGCCCGAAACATCGGGCTCTTTTGATTCGGAGATGTTGTTGATCTCTCTCTTGCATACTGCGGAGTGCGGAGTAGGAAATGGTGATTGTTGAACCTCGGCATCGTCCGCCGATCGAATAACTACGTCGGAGGCCTCAGCCGAGTTATCATGGCTTAAGATCGACAGTGCTCCAGATCTGACCCCGCAAGGGGCCGCGACTGGCAACCGTTGATCTTACAACTCTCCAACTACCAAAAAAAACTTCATAATGGCCTCAGGACAAACCCTCGGTTTCATTGGATGCGGTATGTACACATGAAGCTCGTTGGAACAAATCAAGCAGCAGAAACTAACAAATTCAAGGTAACATGGGCGGCGCCGTTCTAAACGGCCTCCTCAACGCCGCATTCTCAAGCAACACCGACAAAGAGAAATCCGAAGAACCCCCCATCTCGCACATAATAGTCTGCACAAAAACAGAAGCCTCCGCAGCCCGGATCAAGTCCACCCTTTCCCCTGAACACAAAGACTTAATAAAAGTCGTCTTCGACCAAAACGTGCAAACGATGTGGGAATCAGATATCATAATCCTGGGCTGCAAACCCTACATGGCACCCGCTGTCTTAGGCGAAAAAGGCGCCGCCGCTGCCCTAGCCGGCAAACTCGTCATCAGCATGCTGGGCGGTCAATCAGCCTCAGCAATAACCAACCTCATAAACCCAACGCCGACATCCGCATCACCGGCACCACACGTCATAGTCGCGGTCCCAAGCATGGGCGCCCAGCTTGGGCAGTCAATGACTATTATCGAGACGCCGGAGCCTACGGTCCCGAGGGACCTGGCGGCGATGGCGGACTGGATTTTCGAGCAGGTTGGCGAGGTTAAGTATCTGGGGGCTGAGCATGTTGGGCTTGCGACTGTGCTTGTTGGGGCGACTATGGCAACGATGACGATTCCGATTGAGGGGTTGCTGGATGGATGTGTTGCGGAGGGGCTTAAGAGGGGGGATGCGATGGAGTTGGTGTTGCAGGGAGTGAAGGGGTTGTTGGCTGTGCTGCAGAGTGGGCAGCATCCGGCGGTTGTTAGGGAGAGTATTTCTTCGCCTAAGGGGTGTACGATTCAGACTTTGTTGAGTCTCGAGAAGGCGGGGACGAGGTCCGATTTCTCAGAGGCGATTGTTATGGGGAATACGCATTTGAGGGAGAAGATGTAGGTCTGGTACAGCAGGGACACTAGGGGTAATGTCTGCTTGAAGGTGTCAATATTAGATTTCTTGCATGGAACTATACGGCCCGCGTATGTGTGTTTAGAGGGCTTCAGGTATGTAATATGCACTTGAACGCGAGATATCCCAGATTAGACTCATTTCTGTTGCTGGTTCATTGTTCATCCCCAGATGGCATCATCATCTTTAACCAGATCATCCTCATTTAATACCTGTAGCCCGTTGCCACGCTCCTCTAGCTTCCGTTGCCGCTTTGTCACTGTACGCCCGGGGGTAAAGGGTGTTACAGGTGTGAATGGCATATATGGACTGTAAGGAGTGGCCATTCCCGTGAGAGGACCCAGCCGATTTTTGACCGGACGTTCCAAGATCGTAGTCTTGGTAGCCGGTGCACTTTGTAGCGGGTAGGCCTCGCGGAATGGCAGAGATGACGAAGGCGAGGGCGTAGCGAGAGTTAGAGGCGCAGGCGGTCGGCCACGGCCTGGAGGGGGCAGGATAGACCCGCTTGCCTGGTGCTGCGGCACCATAGGAGGAGGACCGGGGTTATAGATCCGGGGCGAGAGAGGCGGGTTTTCGGGCACATACGCTTGGGGTGTGGCTGGGGTCGGCGAGGCCAGTGGAGATGATATGGGCAATTTGCGGACATCCAGGCGCGGCGCGCGCGTTTTGCTTGACTCTGAAGTGGAACGGGAACCCGAGTTGAAGAGCTTGGATAAGCGGGAGCTGGTGAAACCCTTGGTTGGGGACTTCAGCGGTGTCAGTGAGTTCTCCGAGCCATGTGAGACTCGGTCGGCGAACGGGTTTGTGTGTTGACTATCCGGTGACTGTGCCTGGGACTCCAGTTCCCTGGTGGACAGATCAAGTCCGGATGCCTTTTGGGCATCATGCTCCATGACAGCTGCGTAGAGCATCTCCATATCATGCTGGGCTCGTTGTCTATCGTGTGCGACGATCGACTCGTCGATGGTCAACATGCTGCCGTTGACGGATGGCTGGGAGGGTCTGACACTCCTGTTCAACGAGCCCCAGGACCTGAAACCACTGGACTTGGGACTGGGCAGGTTGTGCGACATTGGGGTAACCGGGCTGGGATCCATGCTGACAGGTGGTCTGACGGGCTTCAGCATCTCCATATGCAGTGTATAGTTGGAGGACTGGACAGTCCGACGCAGGCGACGTCCGACGAAGAGAAGTAGGGCTAGGAGGACAGCGACGAAGATCACGTAGGCGCCGACGATGCTCCCAATCTGAATTGCTAGCAGTGGTTTATTCACTAACCGAGGCGCAGCCGAGTTGGCCTCACGTTGGATCTTCTCTTGGGCCCCACGAACCGGGGCGATATGGACAATCAAGAGAGTCGAAAGAACACGCAAAAATAAGACGGCCGGGGTAGACATTCCGGCGCCTGGGCTATAAAAGAGAACAGAGTGGGAGGATGGGAATTATGTCTAAAAGCAAGTGCAGTCAATGATCGACATTTCGAAACAGCAGACGAATCTTGCACGGGCTATGTGATACATGTTCCAAAGGTGATGAGGGCGGCAGAGGGGGGGAGTGCATATAAGAGGTGGGCATACGATGTGACGAGGTGAAGAGAAGTTGGTGCAGGTCAAGGTAAGATGAATCCGTGCCTGTCGTTGGTCACAAATACGCGCCCTTATGCACGATCATCACTTGGCGGCGGCCACTCACAGGGAGAGCCTAGAGGAGGGGAACCCTCAGTTCTGTCAAAAGTCCTTGTCTTTGGCCTATCGGGATGAGGTCTTATCTGGAGGAACTGAAACTTTTATTGCCATCTTTTATCGTGCATTGCCTTCTAGCGTACTAAGTGGGTGTGCCCTCACCGATACACATACACTCCATCGTCTCACTGATGAGGAATGCAATTGCTGGGCCCAGTAAGGGCTCTTTTGGAGACAAAAGAGTTAAGAGCAATTTTCAGGTAAGCTTGATACCAGCAAGGAAGTGCCGAGTCTGCACTGCTTCTTCGACATACACTCAGAAATTGTTTGTCTGAAATTGAACCTCGAGCGATGCAGAGCCATGTCGAATGTCGATAGACGTCGCGCTGGGCGGTAAAGATTCTACTGGCAGAACACAGGCGGTCAATCCCAGACTCATCTATCAAGATGCAGGAAACTTGCACCTGGTCTCTTGTTTAGTACATGCAAGCTGGATATGGTAATTGTTTAGCTAAATTAGCCTCAGGGCAGCTCCATGACAGCTGTGCTTATGTTAGATATTCAATCGAAGATTCAAAGTATTGACACTGTCTACTAGTATTGTCCATGAGCTCATAGAATCGTCCACTACCTTGGATAACTGATTGGGGTTTATCTTGCAAATGATGCTATGATCACTTTACCAGAGTTCTTTCCCCCAAGCGTTCCTTCCAAGTCTCATAGAGTGTACCCTCTTGTCACACAGTCACACTATTACTCTATCAAGAGCCACTAAGACAACCTCGACTGGAACCTCCTGTTATCACGTAACATCCTACAACCCCCCAAGCCCCAAATGGGCAACAAATTCTCCGCAGTCCGGGGCGTAAAACGGTAAAATCAGACCATTTCTACGACCAAGGCAACGCCATCAACGAGATTTAGGTCGGAGACGTAGAGACCATTCCCGTCTCCCCTTCGGCGATTCCGACTTCGAGCAAGCTGGCTGGCCAATAGGCGGCTTCCCCAAGATCCCCTGGCGTCACTTCACCATTCTCATGCACAAGCGAGACGAAGTCGCCAACATGACTACCGAGAATATCGCGATGAAGACGAACGGTACCTTTTTTGTTTGCCCTGACACGATGCCAAAGGATGGATACCTTGGAATGTTCACCGGCATATCAAGAGATCCAGCGGCTTACATTGGTCTTTTTCTGCTTGGTATTGATGTCGTGCTGTTCATGGGTTTCAACACCATATCAAGAAAAGCTTTTGACTTTTGGTTGATGCTTAGGAAGACGGCGGCCGTTCAACCTGATCCGGTGAGGTTTCAACGGAGTATTTTGCGCTACCTTTGGATTTGGATTGGGATAGGGTGCATTGCTATTAGCCTGTCTGTTTTTGCCTTCTTCTAGGGCTGCCTGCTCTTGCGGCTGCCTGGAGAGGTGTGGATGCTCCCACATTAATTTTCATACACGGGCTGGGGTTCGGTCTTCTCGCCTTGGTCTGGGCTTTCGTCGTTGAACCTTTGGTCTTACTGTGGAATGGGCGACGTGCGGCCAAGAGGTATCCCTTGGGAGATGGGAAATGAAGTCACCACATTCTGTGAGGAAAGTTCAAGAGCTGCATGATACCTACTTTTGGGTTGCAATGAGGCCCACCGCTCCTCATGCTTTATATCACATCCATTCTTGTCGTATCATTACCGCTGGTGCGGCTCCGCACAGCATAGCTAGAATGGAAGAATGGTATTCTTTGCTTGATAGTCGTTCGTCCTCAAGATTTAGCAAATAAATCGCGCCATAGCTGCTTCATACCATATCCTTTGGACTGATCCTCCTCATGAATCCGTACATTCTGCGCTGTGCCTAGCGACCCAAACCTACTCGAAGAAGCCGGTGGCACAACTGATGACGGACGCGCACGCTCTGTAGCTCGGCGTTTGATTTCCTCTGCTAGCCCAGGAGCTACATCCGCATAACATGCCTTGAGCTCTCGATCAAGATTGATGTAAGGTTTGTGGGCTGATCGAGGTGCTTGAAGGTTGTAAGAGCGTGCGAGTGAGTTGATTTGCTTCACAGCAAGTTCATGATAAGAGCGCTCGATTGCGAGGTAGCCGGGATCTCGCAATGGGGGAAGATGGGCTAGATCTTCGGAGGGCCCTTCGTTGCCATCTTTGACCGCAGAGTCCTGGGATGTCTTCGGCCTCGACACAATCCGACCATCAGTATCGATATCTGAGACGGATGAATCCTTGTTGGGATCTTCTTTGAATGAAGCTGCCAGGTTCGCTTTCTCTGCGACCCGGGCCTCGGCTGCTGCATAGGCTTTCGCCCGTTTCATTTGCACGTCCAATGATCCGCCCTGGCTCGCAATCAACATCGCAGCATGTCTCCGCCAGTCCGCTCGGAGACGTGCGCGGAACTGACTGATTTCGGTGGCAAGTTGCTGTTGCTTTTCGATCCACGGCGGCACGATGGACTGCTGCTGGATGATCTTATTCATAAAGTATTCAGTTGTATCGATGAATGCGCTGCTCGCATTGTGATCCGTCTGGGTATTGACGCCCTTGCCCCGACGAATCTTCTTGAATTGTCCGCGGGCAATAGCATCCTCTATCCGCTCATTTGCGAGAGATGAAAGACCAGAGATGGAAATTGGCATTGAATGCGCCCCGGGTGTCAAGTTCTCCCTCATCTCGCGGCGCATGTTCTCGCGCTCCTCGTCGGAAAATCCAGGCGCTTTACTCAGTGTGTAGGTAGAAGTGCGGTCTTTTGCTTCTGCTATTCGAAGTCCGTGGGACTTTGGGGGCTTCGGGCTGGGTTTGTAGACGACGGGTTCGGGGATTTTGTATGGCATTCGGATCGGCTTGCTGGCATCGTCCAGCATGCGCAGCGTAGTATCTTCAACGCGCTCGGTTCCTGTCCAAGCAGGAGCAGCAGCTTGCTCTCGCGTGCCTTGCCCAGCAGCAGACTGTGATGGCAAAATGCAGGTTAGAAGTTGCTTGACACGAGATCATGACGAGGACGACATACGGGCATATTAATTATAGAATGAGCAGCCGGATGTTCGCTCCTAAATGAAGCTGCAGCCACTCGCTCAGCGAGTGCTTCTTTCAACTCCTCTGAGAACCCTGCTTGCTCAATGTTACGGCGCGCAGACTGTCCTCCTTCTAGCATCGCATCTTCGGTCATCTGGGCCAGACGACGTCCCATCGGACTATCTTTTTCTTCCGCTTCTGGCTCATGTGCGTTCTTCTTTTCATTATTGCTCGTAGATGAGGGCGGTGTCTGATTCAGTGAACGCGCTGCAGAGAACCGTCTGCTTATAGGAGCTATCGGAGCTCTTAAGGTGCATGTTGAAGAAACACTGCGGAGTTGCGTTGGTAGACCGTATCTCTTGGACATAATTTAGAACACTTTTTGACCAGGAAACAGACGTCGAGAATTTCGAAGAAATAGAGTACAAGACTTGCCAGAACGGTGGCGAGCGTCGAGGTAGATGCCTTTCGCCTCTGATCCATAGCCCCGGCGGGGCCTCAGGCGCAAGAAAACTTAGTCATCCACCTCCGCGGAGTCGAAACTTCGGATTTTGTTTGTCCATCGCCGGCGTCAGTTCCCATCGTTAATTCCACCACGATCGCTCCAAGGCATCTTGCCTTTCCTTGTCCCGTTCAGTACCTCCGCTGCACCATAACAGGTCATAATATCTGCCCACCATGGCTCCCAAGGGCGTCTCCACCCGGCTGAACCCGATGCGTCTCAACACCATCAACCACCTCCGTGTTCGCCGGCCGAATCAGCATGAGCAGAACCCCTGCGTGACAGTCATGTCCTCTATGCTCAGTACGTTCTCATTGTTTTGCGATGGCAATTGCGCAATTACTTTCTCGTCGCCCCGGCTTCGCAACTCGACAGTCGAGAACCTCAAATATTGGCATTTGTGAACGTCTTACTGACAACATCGTGTTCAAACAGACTGCTGGGCTTCCGCTGGATACGGCGCCGAAGGCTGCGCTGCCCTTGAGGCTCAATTGCGGAAGTGCATGGACGCACCGGTACGTTTCAATTTCAACTGTTCTTTCCCTTATCCACGCAAGTCTAACGCATCAACCCAATATTACAGAGATCCAAGGAGCAGAAGAAGAACACCGTCAACTACCACCTGATGAGAATGTACCCCAAGGTCGTTGGCCCCCGCAAGAAGGACGGTGTTCTTGGTTAAGCTGTTTTGTACAATTGGATTGTCTGCGGAGTTGGCAGCAGAAGCGAGCTGTCCACATGGAGTTCTGGGTTTCTTTTTGATAAATTATTTTGTCAACAGCCTCTGCCTGTCAGCATGTGATGATTGGTCTGCTTGTCTGCATCAGAGGCTATGGGAGTTGGCTTTTACTCTTATGTACAGTATACAACTATGGTATGGTATGGCATTTATTAACGTCCGGCGGCAGCCGGATTCTAACCCGGTTGCCTTAGACCTTACATAGGGCATGGAATGACCAATTGGTTATGTTATTCTTTCATTTTGCTACGAGAAGAGCTTCCTAATGGTGTCCTTTAGACGTGCTCGAACTTGAGGATTAGTTTATCACCTGTCGGCTTCACAGTATAGGCATCGATTGCTTCGATGTTGTCGTCGTTGACAATGGTAGTGCGGAAGTTGGTGTACATCGCAGCCACTGCCAGTTTCATCTCTGTCGAGCGACGGTCAGCCTCGGTCGAATGATGGATATTTTGTATTCGTACCTTGCAGAGCGAGATTGCTTCCCACGCACATACGCCCTCCGCTTCCAAACGCCCAGAACCACCGACGTCGCTCTTCCAGATCAGATCGCGAGTTTTCATTTTCCAGCCAGCGCTTTGGTTCCCATCTCTCTGGCTCTGGGAAAACCTCGGGGTTGCGGTGCAATGAGTATGCTTGCGCATTTACTCGGGTATTAGGCGGGATATCTGTATATCCAGCCAGCGTGCATGACGGAGACGGTGTGACCCGAGGCTGGATGCCAGGAATCGGAGCATGAAGTCGTAAAGTCTCTGTCACAATGGCTTCCAGCAGGGGTAGGCTATCAATGGACTTGGCGAGCGGAAACTCGGTTTGCTTTGAGTACGAAACCGGGGGATCAAGAGTGCGCAGCTCCTCCCGGAGCTTATCCTGTACTTCCTGGTTTCGAGAAAGTTGCCATAGCAAATATGTCAGGCCAACAGCACTGGTCTCAAAGCCGGCAGTCAGCTGGTCATACATCTCGCAAGCAATATCGAGTCGCTGCTGTGCCTTGTCCGGCTCGGCTTCCCCATTCTTGAGCGAATGCTTGTCCAAGGATTGCTTCAATTGCTTGTAGACAACAGGCTCGACCCCTGGCTGCGTCGACGAGACTATTTGCTCGGCTCTATCGCATAGATCTAAGGCCCAAGCGTCGAGCATTTTATTCGCTTCGTCGCAATATTTGGGAACCGCGCGAAGACCAATACGTCGCAACCATCCGTCCAAATATGGGACTTCCTGGGCATAGAACTCGAACGGTTTTCGGCACATGTAAAGATGGAGCCAGTGCTTCCGAACTGAGGGGTCTTGTAGGAGATTGGTGCCGTTCTGCAGACCAAACAGATAGGAGGAGACAAAGTCCATCGTCAGACCTTGGTTCAGATCATGCACATCAACTGGTTTCCCAGACTTTGCCGCTTCGTCGAGGATTGGCAACAGTCGGTCCGAGATAATTGCATTTGAAACTATGCGAAGATGCGGCGACGTCTGAAGAGTTGATTTGGAGTAGATGTTGGACAACATTCTCTTCCGAATCGAATGAGCCTTACTCCCCGTCATGGTGAACATGCTGACGGTTCTGTGTCCAGTCATGAGCTAGGATACTCACATCAGATATAGCACTTAGTTATACTTACCCAAACGACGCAAACACTCGTGGATACCAGTCATGTTTCTCGAATCCGCCAGTGTAGACTGACTTGATCCCTCCGTCTACACAGTTTATCGAGATCTCAGATGGCCCCAGTCTGACGATAGGACCGAGTCTCTCATGTGCAGCCTGAATCGTCCGGTTGTTTCGACTTGTGAATCGCTTCCAGAGCATCCATGCCGGTGAGATGGGCACACTCCAGTGTGCATTGGGAATTTTGGATAGTGGGGAGATGAACGCTGGGTAGATGATAAATTGGTAAAAGACAGCACCTGCAACAAGTGCTATTGCCAGGGCAGTGACTGAGAATGCCATTGTAGATCCGGGAAACTTGTTCGTTCCCCTGAGAGACCTCCGGTGGGATAGCTATGCTTTCGCTGGAGTGACGAGATAAGATGTCTGACAGTACGGAGTACACTGTACAGACACAAGAGAAGCGATCCGCTGACTGAACTGAATGTGAGCGGGTATGAAAAGAGCGGTCGCGGACCTCTCCGAACTCCCGGACTGTATACAGCGGAAGTTGCGGAGACGTTATTCCTAGGACAGCTAGCACCTATCCGTGTATTGCAGGTGGTGCCGAGTTCAATCTCTAATCGCAAGAATAAGCTACATACCCCATACCGATTTAGCTTCACTCACTCTGATTCGTTGTCTCTGTGTCCCCTCCCGAGATGATAGATCACCGCCGCGGCGAACCCTTAGGTGATTGAATATCCCCGCTGATAGCCCCCACTTTGGGAGTCGAGGGAGTCACGAAGTATCGTATCCACTATCCAGATGGCCAACGTGAACAGTCACGGTAGAATGGCATACTACCACTAATAGGCAGAGATCTGATCATCTGAGTAGGTAATGTCCAACGAGAACATCCACATTACACATCCCCACGAGCGCGATAAGAGACACGATAAGGGCGATAAGCATGGACGGACAATCATGGACATGGATGCTGCAAATCTCCCCTCTAGTAGTAGCTTTTAAGTTGGACCCAACATATACGAGAGACTACATACATAGCTTACTGTATCCAACCCAATGTGTTCAAGGCAAAATAAGCGGCGGTGCAGTGGATCCAACCCTCCAATACCTAGATCTCCAAGTGAGCCGACGTCAGGTCTAATTACATCACAAGGCAAATCGATGGCAATCTGTATATGAGGAGGGTACCGATGTGTGTATTCCGCCCAAGATCTTCGTCAACAAAGGTCTCCTACAGTAGGGCAATGTGAATCCCCTAGTTAGCTCTGGATCCAGTTGTGCAAGTTGCCGAATTGAGCAGCATTCGACACCAATTGTACGTTGGGGGTGGCGATCTTGATGTCTTTCATTGAGAAACATCGGGTTCGGGAGCCTGCTCTAATAGCGAGAAGGGCCCAATGTCCAGGCTCTTCGCATTGAATGGCTGCATCTGTCTGCAAGATTCAGGTGAACACAAGCCCCAGTTTTGCCCACAGATGCAGCCATACTATGCAAGAAACCTGGACATTGGGCCCTTCTTACAGGATAGACAGTAAGATAGTCCTGATACTGGTGTATTTAAATCGGATGGTCAACCTGGAACAAGCTTGGAGTACAAGCTCCATTTGGCTATTGGAATGGATCAAGGAGACAAGGACTGACTGTCTTCCAAGGTTGTGTATCTCAAATCACACCGCCTTAACCTAACGACCCCACATAGATAAGCCGATAAGCAGGGCAGAAACAAAATCCCCGCAACACTTTGTTATCCTTCGATGTATTCTCCACTGACGTCGTCAAGATGCTGCTGTCTGAACTCCCCGCAGAAATTTTATACATCATCCTAGCCCATCTCCCGAACGTCAATGCATTGGCCAATCTGTCACAGACATGCCATCGACTCCACAAGACTATCCTCGATGGAGAGTCTGTCATATTTCGTGAATTTGTGCAGACCCGATTCCCCGGCATTGAAACCCCGCCATACTGGAGAGATGCAGCACAAGCTCTGACCTCAAGGTCCCGTGCCATGTACAAAAAAGGCATCACTGCACGATTTATCGTGCCGTCAGACTGGACCAAACTTGGTCACCAGGGTGCGATCGTCCGAGACAGGTCTACTCTGGGATACAAACCTCCCATTAGCTCGTACGAGATATGGAACGGCGGAAGCTGGGCTGATCGGAAGGAAGTCATGGCTTGGGGTGCTGGGAATCAACTTGTGATGCGGGTCAACCAACATGGTCATTCCATGAAACAGCAATGGGTTGTGCTCGATGAGCTTGACGCTCTGGACGTCTACGATGATATTCGTTCTCTTCATCTACTATCCTCGCAAAAACGGTACCAGAACGATACCGACGTGGAGCATCTGATCTTCGGTCGGGCACGAGGCGACATCAGTCACATGGTCATTTCTCACAATGAGGGAAAATATGAGCATAAGCAGATATTCAAGACAAATGAGGCCAGTACCGTGGCAACAGACCTGAGTAAAGGCCCCAACCCTGTTTTGGCTGCTACGTTTCAGGGTGATGCTGTTGGCTTTTATCATGCCGAGACGGACGAAGAAGAAATCGAGCCATTCGCGATCCTTCACCCACTATTCGGTACCATTTCTACTACCAGATTGCTATCTTCATCAACGGTTGCAATTGGCACTGGACTGTCTGAAGGCTCTTTGTCTATCTCGCAAATTACACCAACTGGCGTGTCCCATTTACAAGCATACAGTCTGGGAGAACCTGAATGGGCACGCATAGAACACAGCTATGAAAACCCGCCTGCGGTCCAAAATTTATCTAGGGAAACCTTCATCGGCGCCATAGAGCCTCTCGGTGCACACTCCCTCACAGGAGGTTCCCCTGGCGACGTCTTTCTCACTGCCTGGGAGAGTCACTCCGTAAGACTCCACGATCTCCGCGCCCCAGACCCTGTGGTCAATATCTACGTTGATAACACGGACACCAATCCCATCTACAGCCTCCTTTCCTTCGGCCATGATAGTTTCCTAGTTGGAAGCGGCGGCGAGGGCTTGGTCAAGATCTTCGACCTGCGGATGGGCACAAAATCTCGCGCCCTCGATACCCAGATGGAGACTGGCTATTCTTACAGAGCCCCGCCACACCATTACCCCGAGTATGGTTTCTCCACGTTCCTCTCCACTCCCGCACCAGATACATTCACCAACGAAGCCGCACACCCATTCGCTCGCTACCGCGAATCACCTAGTGGCCACCGCCAACCAAATAGCTACCGCGGCCCTGTCTACGCAATGTCCTCGCCTTCTCCGTCCTCGCCGACCGTCTACGCGGGCGTCGTTGGCGGTATTGTCCAACTGGACTTTGTGTCCACGGATGATCTGTTCGGTCCGAACAGAGAATGGTGCCAGAAGAACCTAGGTCTCGATCTGAACACGACTGAAACTCAGTTTCCGGACCCGAGCACTCAGGTGATGAATTTGGGAGGTTATGAGCGTCCGGCTCCGTATGATTTCGGAAGTGTTTCGAAGTTGCGGCGTCAGCGGGAGTTCTGGAAGATTCCACCTGAGGATATGCTTAATGGATATGGGCAAGACTCATGGGATTGGAGATGGGGGAACGTAGAGCAGCGTGGAACTTGGAGGAGCTTGAATGATTCATAGATCTTTGTCTCATACAATTAGGTGTAACTAATTGTAACAAATTCATCTTCGATCCACCTTAAATTTGAGATAATCTTGCCATTTCTAGCTGCATTGTTGGCGTAGGATACAACCTTCAAGAACGGCCTTCTAGTTTCCATTCCTCGATATGCCCGGACGATTGTCGTTTAGGTAGCCACCTACTAGTTACCTAGTAATACTCTGGATGAATGCCTTAATGGAAGATTAAATATCTCGAACTTTTGATTGAGAAAAGCTAATAAGCAAAACAAAGAAAGGTATGTGTCACAGATAAATCCTGATCCCACGACCTCGTTCATAGCTCCATGTGCGCCGTGCTGAGTAAATATGGTAAAATGTGATGGGGGAGGCAAGAAACCTATCTCTCTATCCATCCTTTGCGCCAACTCTTCGTGAAGCTATAGACTGTAGCAAGTAGTTCCTCTTTCCAAGCGAGGCGACATGGAAGACAAGAGAAGCCTTTATAGTAGTAAGACCACAAAGAGCTGAACGCTCAGTTTCCCGATTATATACAGGAAATAAGCTGACAATATGGACTAGCAAATGTGCTGTAGGTCACAAACCAAGGGTCATCATTTAGTCCTCGAACTTGTAGGAAGTCTTGGCGGGGCCAATGTCAATGGGACCACCGCGGTATGAGCCGCGCTTCTTCTTGTTCTTTTCTTTGGTGAAGCCCTTGCCGCGAGTCACAGACAGATCCTTCCAGGCACGGTCGGCATAAGCGTACGACATGTAGTCGTTGGAGGGGTGATCATGCGGCAACTCGCTCAGCAAGGCCAGAGGAGTGGGACGAGCTCCGACGTGCTTCTTCTTGGCAGGACCGTTGCCGGGGGCGGGGCTGGCGCTGGAGCTGGCCTCGGCGGGGGCCTTGGCAGGGTTGGCCTCAAGTGCCGGGGAAGGGACAACGGTGTTGCTGCCGGAAGAAGAAGAATCGGAGTCGCTAGAGCTGGACTCGGGCAGAGGAGTCTTCTTAGCCTGCTTCAGAGCCTTCTTGGACTTCTTCTCGGATTCGGATTCGGAAGAAGAATCGGAGGAGTCAGAGGAAGAACCGGAGGAAGAATCAGAAGACGAGTCAGAAGAAGAATCGGAAGATGAGTCGGAGGATGAGTCGGAAGAAGAGCTCGAGGACGAATCAGAGGAAGAGTCGGAGGAAGAGGAGCTCGACGATGAATCAGAGTCAGAGCTGGAGGATTCCGAAGACGACGAGGAAGACGAAGAGCTGGACGAGGAAGACTCCTTAGTGGATATCTTAGCCTTCTTGGCCTTGGGGCTATCATCTTCGGAAGAGGACGAGTCGGAAGAGCTGCTGGACTCGCTGCTAGACTCGGCCTTGCGCTTCACACCGGCAGACTTCTTAGCCACGACGGGGGTAGGAGCTGCGCCGGACTTCTCATCATCCTCATCGTCCGCATCGCTGTCGGAGCTTGACGAAGAGGAAGAAGAGGAAGAGGACGATGGCGAGGACGCGCGACTAGCTTCACCCATCTCGACATCAGACTCGCTGTCAGAGCTGCTGCTGGAGCTCGAAGAAGAACTGGTGCTGGCGGCCTTCTTAACGCTAGATCCCTTCTCCGAAGCTTGGAAAAGGTCCAACAGGGAGGGAACATTCTTCACGTCACTCTTCTTGCCCGACTTGCCAACTTCCTGGGTGAATGTAGCGCTGGTCTGAGGGAAATTCTCAGCCAAGAAGGCGGCAACTGAGGCGATCACTTGAGGAGAAATGGACGTCGCGGACTTGGTAGACTCGGTCTGATGATAGGGCGCGGTCAGTATGGTGTTTAGGGACTCACGCAAGTCAGAAACGCCAAACGTACCTTCTTGACCGAAGTCTTCTTGGTGGAAACCTTTGCCATGGTGAGGACCGTGCGATTCGTCTTGGGAACGAAAGGATGGAGACCAGGCGCAAAGGAAGAGTGCTATTTAGAAAATCCGCCAGGAACCAAAAAAAAGTGTAAAAAAAAACTATATAGAAGGCGGCGAAGGCCAGTCAGGACGGTGATTGGTGAAGATTAAGTGTGCGCTGATTGGAGTATATACGCGGTAAACGGACGGGAGCGTAGTATAGCCGCGCGGCTAATTTTGCATCTCATGGAATGATTTAGCGCGAACACTGTGAAGTTAGTCATTAAACTTTAAATTTTGTGACCTGGCACAGTGGCACTCTAGGCGACATGACATTGACAGCTAAAAATCCTATTCCCGAATATAAAAATATTCAACAAAAGAGAAGTTCCTGATCGACAAGTCATTCAGTCCGTTCAGCCACAAGTGGATGGACTTGCTTCACTGGTTGGGCACGTCGGACCAATCCAATACTCCGCCCTAAGCTCTCCGCCTTGGGATCCGCCCCCCGGCCAAACACGTCGACGGGATGAGCTAATTCGGTCTATTACTTCAGCTCTGGCCTTTGCTTTTAATTTAGATAACCTCCTTCGCTACTTTGCACATTGCAACAGCCTGCCGGCTCATCTGCATTGTCGCTCAACGGGTCTCAATTCCCTTCGCGCGTGGTGCGTCCTGGCGTCGCCGATCCGATTCTCCCGACCATGTCCCCATGGTCTTGAGGCCATCCACACCTGAGCTCTGTTTGTCCTGAGAGATATCATGATGAATGGCAAAGACCGACCTCGTGGACCTCCGTCAGGGCCACTAGCACATCGTGGCGATATGCCGCCGGGTAACTCTGGCTCGAGTCCCATGTCGAGAGGAGATGCCTTCGAGGACGAAAAGAAGCGCATCATTCATAGTTGTTTCGCGAAGAAGGATGAAGAAGGCCAACGTACGTATAACATCAATGTACTTTCTTTCGGCCTCGCCCTGGAACCTTAGCCCCTGGTAATGGTGATGTGCTTGGCAACACACTGCGACAGTGACCGTACAGGTCTGCGAGAGCTCACAGCGCGTTGTCTCCGTTAAGTTGCTCCGTGAGCCTTGCTGATATCCAATTCTCTTCTAGTGCTCGAGTCTTATATAACGCACGTCCGTATCACCGAGGATTCAGCGCATCCATCCAGCCCTTCCCCGCCAAACGGCCCACTAGAGAACAAAAAGCCCCGTGTCATCATCATCTCAGTCAGGAAATCAGGCAGAGTCCGCGTGCACAAAGCTCGAGAGAATGCAGACGGCTCATTCTCCATTGGCAAGACCTGGATGCTTGACGACCTATCCGCAATCCAATCCTTCGCGAGTTTTGTGCCGAAAACACCAGGGGAACAGCAACAGAAGGAATGGGCGAGCAATGTTGGATTTACGGTCACGATTGGAAAACCTTACTACTGGCATGCCAGAACTCCCAAGGAGAGGGACTTTTTCATTGGCAGCCTGGTCAAGATCTATCGAAAATACACCAATGGGAAGGTTCCCAACCTCATCGGGTTTGATGATAGAGAGCGACAAATGCTCGCAAGATATGGGCAGCCAGGTCAACACGGCGGTCCCGTAAGTGGACCACCATCCAGAGGACCTGGCCCAATGCACCCATCATCGGACAGTGCAGTACCTACTTCGCTCCAGCCGTCCTACAGAGGGCCCGATGCCAGCCGCGATGGGCCCCGGGGTGAGAAGAAAATAGATCCCACTCTCCGCAGCCAAAAGAGTCGCGAGCAATTGCCTCGACCATCAACGGGCTCTCGGCCATCTACAGGCCAAGGCAGACCGGCACCGTCTCCTTTTGACCTGCATAAATCTCCTGCATCGGTCACTGCCGGGACACCTGGGGAGCACCAGCTGCCGCCACGTGCCGCTGAGCGCATGGCAGCGAACACGAAACCTCCAAATTCAGCACCAGAGCCAAAGGCAACACAATCGACTCCTAATTTGACTTCTTCGGCACAAGCTGGCAGTCATTCCGGTATTCCTGAGTCACTTCGCCCATCTTCTGGTCGCAGCCAAGACCGAGGTCCTATGCCCCCACCTCTTGCTCCTCAACCAGTCTTGAACAAAGCGCCAGAGGCACTACGTCCTTCCACCGCTACTTCCTTCCATAATGACACTCGGGATGCTGCTCAACGCTCGACCCCCAGCTTTGGTCCAAAGTCGCCACAACGTGATGGTGGTGAAAAACAGGCTCCATCCAGCCAGCAGACACTGCCTCAAGAAAGAAGTGCACCGGACAACCTGTCGGCTGGAGGTCCCGCACAGACCCGAGAACCTTCTTCGTTCCCGGCGATCGAGGGGCTGGCTTCAGAGCCTGCCGCTATGATGGCTGCGAATATGGCTCCAGAAGAGCCTGCTCAGCCTACTTCGGAAAAGACCCCCACTGAAACTGCTCCTGTCGCGGACTCGCCATCCCAACCTACTTCGGCGCATGCGGAAGAAACAGCAGATTCTGCTGCGCATCGGCCGGGTCTGGGCCCCATGGTCAAGAAAAAGGATGGTAAGGATATTGCAGGCGCTTGGAGAAAGGCCGCAAACGCCTATGGTGCCTTTAAGCCAAGGGCTGGTGGAGCCGGTGAGCGACTGCTGGCAGCCGCGAAGAAATCACAGGCTGATACCACGGGACCCGATGGCATCACCAGCGTTGTCCCGGCACCATCCCTTACTCGGTCAGCTACCGACCCCCCACACAGTCCATTGGCTACAAAATCGGAACAAGATCTCCAACTCCCTGCACCCGCTGCAGGACCGGGAGCACCGACATTCGAAGTTACGGAGCCAGCTGCGGAGCAGACTGCAGCAGTTCCTGTTGAATCTCCTCAGATCTCTCGGGAAAACCTCACTGATGTGGTCGTAAAGGTCGAAGATCGTTCAAGAACGCCATCTCCGGCAGCCCAAGGACGTCGCCGCAGACGCCGTGAAGACCATACTGTGAAATATTGCCAAGCCCTCGGGATTGATCCTAGACTTCTCGACGGAAGGGGTCTCGATTTCGATGACATCCTCTCGGATCTGGGCTGGAACGGACGATTGGCTGATGAACAGAAAATTGAGGACCTGGAGGCAGACATTCGCCGTGAAATTGGCCGCGTAGAAGCGACCAGCTGGCTTGGCAACCTAGAACAGCAGGAAGGAAAGGTAGAACAATTGGCCAGTTTGATCGATAAGACGATTGAAGAGTGCGACGAGCTTGATGGTCTTCTTACTCTTTACTCTCATGAACTCAATGTAAGTTGCGGAACGCCTGGATTTGGGTTGGTTCCCAGCATGCTAACGAGACTCACAGACTCTTCACGAAGATGTTGCCTATATTGAGGCTCAAGGCCAGGGTCTCCAGGTGCAAACAGCAAATCAGAAGCTTCTGCAAAATGAACTTCAAACTCTACTGAAGACGCTTTCAATATCTTCAGCTGAACTTGGACCTCTCAAAGAGGCCTCCTTGAGTAATCCTGAAGGGCTGAAAGACACCGAAGGCGCGCTGTCAACATTGTACAAAGCTATGCTCACGATTGACTCCGACATTGGACAAAACAAGAGGCGTCAAGTCGATGCCAGTGTCGGTGTCTACGCCGATACCGAGATCGGCCAGATGCGTGCCATCAAGGAAAAGAAGGAAGAGTATCGCTCTACAGCAATCATGTTCCTGAACCGGCTGCGGCAGTTTATGGCTGTTGCTTTCAAGCAGGCAGAACAAAAACGGGCTGAGTCAACGACGGGTGTCAAAGATTCCATGAAACTAGACAGTGCAGCACGAGGGCACTTCCGTCAAGAGATCTGGCGGTATAATCCCCTGATGCTGTTTGCGAAAGAGGTTAGCATGGCAGAGTGGCACAGTCTTGTCGGTCTTTATGAGCAGCAGTCGAAGCCCTCGTACCAAAACGACTTCCGCGATAATAATTTAGCCTGGAAGAAAACAGCGCGCAAACCAACTGGAGATGAGCAGGAACTCCTCTTTACCCACCAGGAGAAGGAGAAGGAAGCCGAGGGTATCACCATGGCTGCACGGAAATTGACCGTGCGGCGAGGCAAGACTGTGCGGGCTGCTGCTGGGTTCCGACTGGCTTCCGGCGGTAAGAAGGAAGGAAAAACAGAGCCAAGTGAGGCATTCGCTGGCACGTTGCGAGAGACATTGAACATGATGGCGCAAGAGCAGAACTTCATTGTGCAATTCTTCCACCTCAACTCCCTTGCCAGTGCCGACTTTTCGGATCTAGTGGCTTCAACCATTCCTGAAAACCGCTCCTGTCCCGATGTGTCTGCCAACCAGTCGCATGATCCTGATCGGGCAATGGCAAAGAGAGTTGAGCAGATCATGGATGAGGTCTACTCGTTCTGGCCGAATGACATGCAGAACCTGGTGGATTGGGCGATGCAGGCCGATCCACTGCAAGGAATCGGTATTCTCCATTCCTTGGAGACTGCCATGAATGACTTTGATGATACCAACCAAGAGTTTATTCTCCATGCTCTACAGAAAATGCATTCTCGCCTGATGGGCTTGTTCAACCGATTTGTGGACGAACAAATCAGAGGCATTGAGGACACCAAGGTCAAGGTGAACAAGCGAAAGGGAGTAATCTCCTTCATGCGGGTCTTCCCCAACTTCTCCAATGCCGTGGAAAGCCTGCTATCATCCCCCTCCGACTCAGTCTGTGACATTCGCGTTAGCGTCGATGAGGCATATGACCGCATCAACCGGGCAATGTGGGAGTCACTCAAGTTCATTGCCAAGGAAGCCCCCGGCCAACCCCCGGGCGTCGCTGCAGGTGCGGGCGATCCGGAAGACAAGGAGATCCTTAACTATCATATCCTCCTTATCGAGAACATGAACCACTACATCGAAGAAGTGGACGTGCACAACATCCCCGCTCTCGCGCGTTGGGTCGACCGGGCCCACCAAGATTTCCAGGAGCACATGAAGCTCTATCTGGATGCAGTCATCCACCGCCCCTTGGGCAAACTGATTGATTTCGTCCAATCAATTGATAACCTCCTCGCTGCGGGCGGCAATCCGACCGACATTGGATCACGTGCTAGCCACTCCCGTATCGTCGCTAAGAAGGTCCTCTCCTCCTACGACAACAAGGAAATCCGCCGTGGCATTGAAATGCTCAAAAAGCGTGTTGAGAAGCACTTTGGTGATGCCGATGACCCTGGTCTTAGTCGTAGCCTTGTCGTCAAGGTACTTCGAGAGTGTGAGAATCGTTATGAGGATACGTATGACCGTACCCGGCGCATTATCGACGATGTCTACGAGGGCCAATTGGATATGGACTGGCGCAAGGAAGAGACCCTTAGCATGTTCCGGAAATGAGATGAATATATTGAATCAGGAATCTATTCCCCTTTACTTCTTTTTCCTTCTTCCTTTTATTTTTCCTTTTCTTTTTTCTTCTTTTTTTTCTTGTTATTATCCTTATCTCTCTCCTCATTCTCTTGGCTTTCTTCTTTATGGCATCTCCATAAATCCTTGATCTAAGGTTCTTTAGTAAAAGTGGAGGCTCCTTCTTTTTCATTGGTGGATGTTAATCTCGACCCACTGGTTCAAGGCTATTTTCTTTTTTTTTTTTTTTGGGTTTCAGGGGGTTCGCGTCTGTGCATGTTTGGACTGTTTGAAAGGGAATATGCTTGAAGGCGAGAGCTCTGGATAGATCACATTGACTTGGACTTCATGGCTGATGTACTATTGTAGGCGAATGGCATTGAATATCATGTGTTGGTTCTACCAGGGTGCTACGTCAAACTATCGATTTTATTCTCCTTATGTTAAGCATGAACGTTGGGACATGCAATCTTAAATCCCTCCTTCAGAGAGCTCTGCAAATGATTCAAGGGAATAGGAAAAAAGAGAAATCCGGGTATCAGCTGCGATGGTGATGCATATGAAGCAAGGCAGTTATCCTCCGGACTCCAGCTGAAACGTAGATTAATGTTCCCGTGCCGAAATGTCCCCAATTGAGAGGAGGGGAGTGACTGCATAGAACTATGTTGTATGGCTGAGATGGTCGGTGTGGGGGTGTGATCTTCGATTTCGATTTCGCTTTAATCTTTCGGTTACTCTCTCCTTTCAACGTCTCGTGTTCTTCCCTTCTTACCAGACGCATTGCTTTAATTAGTTTCTTTTTTTTTCCTATTCTTCACGGTGAGTCTCTATCCCACCCCAGGTTTCAAGTGGACAGCAGTGATCTCCACCGAGATGTCGCTCAAGGGGGAAGGGCACGGATCCCAATTGCGACACTCCAGACCGTGTCTTCAATTTGAGTGTTTCGTGTATGAGACTGCGACACTTGTGTGCTTTCTTAACTTCCTCAGTTTCCCATAGGGCGTCCATTGGACGAAACCTATCTGCTCGTCCACCCCCAATTTGTCGCGTGCGCCTCCCTAATCATGTCTCTCTAGATCGTTACAGCTGTCGCATAGCATTCCTTGAGATCCCACATTCCTTTCTATAGTTCCCTCAGACCCCGACGATCAGGTCAATCAACTGCGTGTCACCTTCGATCGAAGCCAACGAACATTCCTCGAACTGAATCCACACCCCTATTTCCCCTCCCGCAAATCTTGCGCTCGGCGACCCCAATTTGCGGGGAGAGCTCGGTCTCTCGAACCCCAATCGTCATCGGGCGAGAGCCATTTAGCATACCACAGCCATGCCCTGGCGGCCGCTGCCTCGTATCGCCTTTTCCGTGGCCATATACCCATTCAATCCGTCTTCCCCGGCAGATCTACCATTAGAGCTTGGCGATGAACTGTACATCATTGAACAAGGAGGATCAAACGGCGAGTGGTGCCGAGGCTACTTGGTAGCACCGCCGTCGTTATTGGCGGGCTTGACAAGTACCAAAGGGCAGACTCTCGAAGCTCGTGTGTTCTCGGGGATCTTCCCGCGGAATTGCGTGGAAATTCGGGAGGTCCTGGGCGACAACGATGGCTACAGAGCACTACTCAATGGCGACCGGAACAGCTTCGATCGACTGACCTTGTCTGGATTGGAGGGGGATCTCATGTCCAAGGATAATCTAACTTTCTCCGTCGGTGATGTCCCAGCGGCCGGCGAAGTGACGGATGTCGTTTTCGCGAGGAAGGGAAAGCCTTCCCAGATCATTATTAACAAGACGGATGATCCAGACATGGCAAGTCCGCGATCTGTGCAAACATGGAGAACTCGTTCAATTCCGCATACGCCGGTTTCTTTCGCTCCTCGCGACCCTGATGCGCCCAAACCTGCTGCCCCGGTCCCGATGCTCAAAATCGGTGATGAAACTCCCACTTCCCTTACAGAGCCGCTGGTGGATGAAATTGCGTCATGTCTGCGGGAATGGCATTCGACCAATTTGCATGAGCTGCTTCTGGATCGGCGATATGATGTTCTGGAGGATATGTCGAACATCGTACAAGAGCTTGACTTTGCGAGACGACAATTACTACATAATGTTCTGACTGCGAAGGAGAAAGAAGCACTGCGGAATGAGACCGTCTGGAAACTTGTCAAGGCGAACAAAATGCTCAGCGGGGACGTGATTGTTCGAGACCCGGAGCAGAGGGGCCGCTTGCTAACGGGCGACGACTCTGCAATTCAACTGGCCAAGCTGCAGTCTGAAATGAGCATGCTCGAATCCCATCCCACCGCGACATCCGACGCTACAGCTCTTCACCATTTGCTGCTAGAAATCAGTGCAGTATCGGGAAATGCGCCGGGACAAGTGACCGTCGCAATCCAGCTGTTCTCACGATCTGACGCTGGGACACTCAGCCCATTGTCTGAGACCTACACTCTAGACATCCCTTCTCCAGACAAGTTCGTCAACATGAGTCAAAGCAGTAAACTGAAGACACTGTTCACCGAATTGGCTGCAACGGACATCGGAGATGGGTCCCCGAATGGGCGGCAGCTCTATCTTGTTGCGTGGGTTCGTGCTTCAGAGACGCGGTCTACAGCTGATACTACCCCTGTGTCGCGGCCATCAATTTCACGAGACAGCCCGACCCAAAACAAGGCTACAGCGAATGGGGGCATTCAACCCTCGGTCAAGGGCAGCCTGAAGACCCGCCGCAGCATGATGTGGACGGGTAAACAACGGGCGCCGAACTTCGACCAACCAGCGAAGTCACCTGGCATTCCGCAATCAGCGAGCAGCTCGACCAGTATCAAAGAGACAGCGAGCCCCAAACCCGCTGCAAAGGATGTTTCAGCCCTCCGCACTGTTGGCGTCGGGACATTGGAGATCTCGCCGATTCTCCGACAGGATAAGGACGCAGAGCAGGTGATCAACATCTGGTCTCCTTGTCGGGATGGCGAGGGAGGTGAGGGCCTTACCGATGGCTTTGACAAGTTGATTCGCACCTTGCTTCCTAGTCCCACTGGCCGGTATGTTCGTGCTGACCCTGCTGCACGCCTACACCTCCATCTGCGTCCATTTACCAGTAGCGACGCCGAGTCCTTGATCCGCCAGAACCCTACAATAATGCACGGTGTGGTACAAACACAGCGTATTGGATTCTCCAAGGCTCCTACGAAACCAAGGTCCGACATATACGTGACGCTCTCCCAGGCTGTGTTTCCCACAGATGCTCTTCTGTCTCACCCGCAGGCTGGGCAGATTCCTTTACAAGATAACACTGGACTTAACAATCTTCAACTCACTCTCGAAGTCCGTGATGCTAATGGAGGCCGGGTACACAAATGTGTCTTCCCTTCTTCCTCAAACACCTCGAACACAGCATGGCGTACTACAATCGTCCAACGAGGCTCGCCTTGGAACCAGACAATCCGCCTCAAGATTCCCACGGAACAGATTCCTGGCTCGCATATGGTGATGAGTATCGCAGATGCCCCAGAATTCCCCTTTGCTCTTGCCTGGATGCCCCTTTGGGATCAGCAGGCTTTCATCCGAGACGGTCGCCATTCTCTATTACTGCATGCTTATGACAAGCAGACCTCTAGCATTGAGAATGGGAAGGGTGCTTACCTGAACCTCCCGTGGAGTGCACTTGGCAAGAATGAATCCGCCAAAGATGAAGCTGTGACCGGTCCGTTGGCCACTCTCCAACTAGAAACTCACCTCTGCAGTACAGAGTACTCCCAGGATCAGGTGATTTTGAGTCTTCTTAACTGGCGGGAACGGCCCGTGGATGAGGTTCTAGACACTCTCAAGCGTCTGCTCTTTGTTCCCGAGATCGAGATTGTCAAACAACTCAGCGGCGTCTTCGATGCGCTGTTCGGAATCCTTGTTGAAAATGCTGGCAATGAAGAATACGAGAACTTGATTTTCAATAACCTCGTCACTGTTCTGGGAATTGTCCACGACCGACGATTCAACCTGGGTCCGCTGGTCGACCGCTACGCAGATGAACAGTTCAATTTCCCGTTCGTCACTCCGTGTCTCATTCGAAGCTATTTGCGTCTCCTGAACGCAGCGACCGACGGTACGCAGTCTCGCAGCCTTCGCGCTGCCTTCAAGGTGGGACGCCATCTATTGAAGTTTATCATCAAGGCCCGTGAGCAGCAGAAAGCCAAGGAGGAAGGAATCGGCATCACCACCGTGCAGTCCACATTCAACAGAGATATGCATACCATTTTCAAGTCTCTGGAGACTCTAATGAAGAACTCCTCGCCAACATTGGTAGGCAGCAAAACACTCGTGGTCCAGCATTTCCATACGTGGCTACCTGAGCTCTCCAAGGTTCTGAGCAAGGATGAGATGATTATGATCGCTCTGAGCTTCATGGATTCATGCAAGGATGTTACCGGCATGTTGATTCTATATAAGCTGGTTCTCATCCAGAACTATACCCTCTTCGAGATCTTCTCGTCTGGCGAGGAAAGACAAACCTTGATCTCCAGCTGTATTGGCTGGTTGGCTCCATACTGGGGCTCTACTCCGAGCGTCTCGGATTTGTACCGGGACCAGGTGCGATTGAGCTGCTCGATCGTGGCCCAATTGCTCAGCCAGCCAGACCCCCAGCTCTATGGATTTATGCCAAGCATCGTTGCCTCTTACTGTGCTATTGCCACCGAGGGAGTCGACGAGACGGAATATCTTTCCTTACTTTTCAGCAAGTCCTTCCCCTTCCAGATGAAGACCGCCAAGGCTCCTCAGGCCTTTGATGAATCTTTGGTCGAACTGTCCGCCCTCATTGCTGCTATCGCTAAGATCATATCTCCCGATCTTCCCTCTCTGAAAGAATTGGAACTTGCGACCTTTATTGGTCAGACTTTCGAGGCTCACAACTCTATCCTCGACTGTGAGGCTTATCCCGAGACCTGGTTCAGTATTCATGTGTATAACCATCGCGCCACTATCAAAAGTCTCGAACATATTGCTTTGTTGCTAATCGACAAATTCCTTCCGGCACCGGATGATGCCGACACATTCGATACGAAGCTATGGGAGTCATTCTTCACAACACTCTTAAAGGTCATCTCAAGCGATGTTCTTGCGCTGGAGACTTTCCCTGAGCAGAAGCGCCGAGCAGTCTGGAAGATCGCCGGTGATGTGCGTGAACAAGGAGCGGACTTGTTGCAATCTACCTGGGAAGCCATTGGTTGGGAGGCCACAGACGACGAAAGGGAGCGCTTCAATCTGAAGAAGCTGGGAGGTTATCAGGTCCAGTATGTGCCTGGCCTGGTGCCTCCGATCATCGGCCTGTGTCTCAGTGTCCATGAGGGCCTGCGACATGTCGCCGTTCAGATTCTGCAGACTATGATCCTCAGCGAATGGGAATTGAACCAGGATATCTCCATCATTGAAACAGAGATCATCTCCAGTTTGGATACCCTGTTCAAGTCCAAACAGATGAATGAGAGCGTTAGCCAGAAAATCTTCGTCGGCGAGCTTTTGGCGCTCTTCGAGAGTGATGCGATATCCGATGATCTACTGTCTAATGCTGTCAAGAGTCTCGTCGGGACGGTTGATGAACTCTTGGATCTGTTGGTGGCTTCCCAAGGCGGTGCCTCGACCCAAAGTCTGCATGCGTTGAAACTGATGGAATACATGAAGGATATGGGTCGTGAAGATATCTTTATTCGTTACGTTCATGAACTCGCCGAGGCGCAGGCCGCGGCAGGCAACTTCACTGAAGCCGGTCTGGCTCTTCAATTCCATGCTGATCTCTATGAATGGGATCTCAACAAACCCTTACCAGAGCTACTTACTCCCGCACTTCCCGCTCAAAATGCATTCGAACGGAGAGAGGCTCTGTACTTCTCCATCATCCAGCACTTCGAAAATGCCATGGCCTGGGCTCCCGCTCTGGCTTGCTACAAGGAACTTGCAGCACACTACGAGCACACGACTATGGACTTCGCCAAGCTCTCCCGCGCTCAAAGCTCCATGGCTCGGATTTACGACTTCATCGCCAAGGGCGGTAAACAATTCCCGCGTTACTTCCGTGTGGTCTACAAAGGCCTCGGATTCCCTCAAGGCCTGCGCGATAAGATGTTCATTTTCGAGGCCTCGCCCACAGAACGCATGGCCTCTTTCGTGGACCGCATGCAACGGGAACATCCCTCTGCGCAGATCGTGTCTAGCGGCGAGATCCCCGACTACGAAGGCCAGTTCCTTCAGATTACCGCCGTCAGCGCCCACCGCGATGTCTCCCATCCGGTTTACCAGCGGGCCAGGGTTCCGTCCTCTGTGCGCGAACACCTGCTGATATCGGATCCGTCTCGTTTCTCTGTTACCTCGCGGCGACACACGACTAGCTCGGATGTCCGTGAGCAATTCGTTGAAAAGCTCGTTTTCACTGTTTCGGAGCCCTTCCCTAATATCCTCCGTCGCAGTGAGATCATCTCTGAGGAGGAGATTACTTTGTCGCCTCTGCAGACTGCCATTGAGCGGACGTGGCGCAAGACACAGGAGCTTCAGCTCATTGCACGCCGTGCTGCGTCGGGTGAGGATTCTACTCTGTCTAGCCTGACTGAAGCCCTAGAATCACTGCTTGAGCTCAGATCGCCAACCTCCAACTGTGTGGCATTTTACCGTGTGTTCTTGTCAGATGCGCAGATGGCAAGGAACAAGCTGCTTGAGGAAATCGATGAAGGCGCCGAAGAGATGGTACAAACAGAGCAGCCCGTGGATCCAATGGAGACTGCACTGTCTGTCGCACTTGTCGACCACGCCATGGCCATCAAACATGCCCTGTCCCTTTACCAACGTCCGGCCCACCAAGCTACTCAAGCCGAACTGCTTCGGCGCTTCGAAGATGTCTTCGAGCCCGAGTTATCCTCCATCGTCCCAGCCGTGGTGGAGTACTCATCCCCTACCCCGACCCAAACAGCCCGTCAATCTCCTTCCCTATCCGACAAGCGCCGAACTCAATCTCTCCAGCGAGTCAGTCAAGAGCAAGAACCAATCCGCTCAACCCGGAGCAACGCTCACACCCGCAAGCGATCCGAAAGGCAATCCGTCAGCCACCGAATCAGCATCATCAACCCCTTCAAGCGCTCCCACGGCGCCTCAAACTCCATCTTCACAATTCAGCAATCCGACAGCAAGGGCCAGATAGTAAGCGAACAAGAAACCGCCGAGGACGACACGGCCACAATCCACAGCCGAACAACCAGCCACTCCCGCGGCGGCCGCAGCGAGAAGCGCCGCAGCTTCTTCGGCGGCGACAGAACCCAAAAGCACGGCTCCTCGCCCTCCGTCGCTAACGCCGCCCACGACTCCCAGACCTCATTGAACATGCGCAACGACGCCCCTGCCCGCTCCCACGACGGCCGCAGTCGCGCTGACTCCCATCACCGCGGCGGTTCGGTGAACGGTGCAGCTACGGCGGCGCCTCCCTCCAGTGGCGGGTGGTCGACGATCCCGCCGACGCGCGATTACGCGCACTCGCGGCCTGCGACGCGGGATAGTAATACGGTGACGATGACGACTACGAATGGGACGGCGCCGCTGTCTCCTGTGCTGAACAATAATAACTCTGGGATGCGGGACTCGGTGTTCCGGCGTTTCAGTCTGCTTAAGGGTGTTGGGCGCAAGAACAGTCGGTTGGATTTTAAAGCGAATGGTGCGCTGCCGGAGGAGTAATGACCTATCTTTTTTACCCTTATCTTTTCTCTCTCTGTTTTCGATTCAATCCTTCTATCCTCTCTCTTTTTCTGTGTTGCGACACTCCCTTGATTTCCCTTTTCCTTTTCTTCGCTTCTTGATGTGATTTACTACCCCTAATGTATTCTTTTGCTTCTATTCTTTTTTTGTGTTATGTGGACTGGGGTCATCAATTCTTACTAGTGTTAAAAAGATATACCATACCATGTGCTATATAGTTTCAATCAACATAATGTTATTTCATCTGATATCTTGTGGACTGCACTTCTCTCCCAACTTCTTATGTACGGAGTACCTCGGATGCCGGAGTGTGGTTGGTGCTTTCCCGGGTCCCCTATTGGCTGTTGTTATTCCCCACTTTTTCTGTGACGGGTCCCTTTTATGTACGGAGTATGTGCTTTTGCTTCATCTTGGATCATACTGGGCAGGTCTGATGGAATCTGGGACAGAACCAAGGCCTTGGAGTGAGAGGACTCAAGGGGGCAGTCATGTGCTAGTAGTTTCTCTCTTCCTCTCTTCTCCAGTCTTGTTCTAAAATCAATGGTCTCAAGTCTATCGAATTCCGTAACATTACCACATTACATCTATGTGCCTGGGCATAGAGGTCTTAGCGCACAGTCTTCCAAGGTTGATTTTCCCGTTTAACCAATGAAATGGCTACTTGATAATTATGCGGGGGGTAATTATGGTATTTAACCATACTTTCTGTCCTTTTTCAGCTTTCTTCCCCACTTGACTGGGCCACATTCTTCGATCCCAACACTTAGCCACCGCCCTTTGGCCCTTTGGCCCATTTATTTGGATCTGCAACTTCTGACATCGAAGGCTGTGCTAACCTTATTTTACCGGATATCCATCCAGCGTTACGTCGCTACCAAAAGAAAAGTGGCTTGAAACCCTCCCCTACATTTCTTTAACGGATAGACATGTGTGGGTGATACTCTCTCGCTTCCCTCCTTTCCCATTCCCTCATTTCCCCACTCCTTTCCGGCTCTCTGTGGAAAGTCGCCTCCCCCCCCCGAATAACTATACCGAACCAATTCCGTTCACGGAACACCTTCCAGACTAACGTGGAAATCCCGTCACTCCAGCTCTCCCGAACTTCCGCACTCATTTCCGAAGCCATACCTTCGGGCCTCGAAGAAGCATGAGCTCGCGCAATAACAGCTCGCTGAATGCCAACGAGCGAACCGGCCTACTCGAATCACATTCACACCGCAGCTCCTTCTCCGGCATCGCACCTCACGAGTATGCCGAGCATGGCGGTCATCACTACCATCCCAAAGATAACCGCGTCTGGGTGCGCTGGCCGATGCACGTTGTTCGTCTGACGTGGAGAACGCTCGTGCGCGACTACGTCAATGTCCTTCTTTTGTTCGTCCCATTGGGCATCATTTCCGGTGCGCTCGGCTGGAATTCCACCGCCGTGTTCACGCTCAATTTCTTTGCTATCGTTCCCCTCGCTTCACTGCTGAGCTTTGCGACTGAGGAGCTGGCCGCTACTATGGGCCAGGCCCTTGGTGGTCTAATGAATGCTACTTTTGGAAATGCCGTTGAGTTGATTGTAAGAATGCCAAGCTTCGGCGACCCCTGTTCAGCTTCAGCCCTCGGTGCTCATGCTAATAAACCCGGTCTGTATAGGTCAGCATTATCGCCCTGAAGGAGAACCAGATTCGCGTCGTACAGGCCAGTATGCTGGGCAGTATCCTGTCCAACATCCTGCTCGTCTTGGGCTGCTGCTTCTTCGTCGGCGGACTGCGGTTCCGTGAACAATCATTCAATAGCACGGTGGCTTCGACCATGTCCTCGCTTATGGCTGTGGCTTCCGCCTCGCTGATCATCCCGGCCACTCTCTACGCCGCGATCTCGAATAAAACCGACGCCGGCAGCCCAGGCGGCGTCGTTCCGGCCGATGATGCGCAGCACAACATCCTTATTTTGTCCCATGGTACTTCCATCATTCTGTTGATCATCTACGTCATGTACCTGTATTTCCAGCTGTTCTCTCACTCCGACCTGTTTGAAGAGACGAACGGCAGCGACACCGAGAACATCGCTGGCGCCGAGGAGGAAGAAGAGGAGGAGCGCATCCTCAGCCCTTGGGCTGCAGGCGTGGCTCTGGTCGTCGTGACTATCCTCGTTGCTATTTGCGCCGATTACTTGGTTGACAGCATCGACAGCATCGTACAGACCACCGGCATGACCAAAACATTCATTGGACTGGTGCTGATCCCTATTGTGGGTAACGCCGCGGAGCATGTAACGGCCGTTGTGGTTGCGTATAAGGACAAGATGGATTTGGCGATCGGTGTGGCTATTGGTAGTAGCTTGCAGATCGCGCTGTTCGTCACTCCGTTCTTGGTTATCCTCGGCTGGATCATGGGCATTGAGATGACTCTGCATTTCCAGACTTTCGAGACGGTGGCTTTCTTCATTTCTGGTCTGGTTGTTACTCTGCTCATTCAGGATGGAAAGTCCAATTATCTTGAAGGTGGCATGTGTCTTGGCTTGTATGTCATTCTTGCCTTGGCCTTCTATGTTTACCCTGATGTCGCTGTCTAAGCGAGAGCTTAGCTGGGCTTTTCTGGGATTGTTTGAGGGTGTTGTTCATTGGTTATTTATTTTCTTTTGTCTTGTTGATTCTCCATCTCTTCGCCACTGCTGTGCTTATGCTTCGTGTTCTATAAGCATCCTTGTCTATAGTCCTCTGATAATACAAAGTCTCATCTGTGACCTCCTCTTCAATCAACTTGCTTATTATAATGGGAAAAGGGGTCCTGTCTACCTGATATGCTGGCAAGCAAATACCTAAATGAGATAATTGCAATAGTACGTGATTATCATGCTGCTTATTGTGGAAATATATCTTCCGGGCAGTCCACAGTTGGAACCTATAACATAGATACCTAGAGGCTAGAGCTAAGCTTTCGTACCTTGAACGGGGACCGAGTCACACAATTCATACGCTGACGATCGCCCATCGCTGATCATTTTCTTGTTTCTTCTGATCTACACAGTAGATCAGGGTAACGCAGCTCCGGTTGCCTCTCCATTTCATGACCTCACGCAAAGACTTGGCGCTTACCTAACACAAACCGGAAATTTGCCCGAGACCGCAGACTTCGACCTATTCAGGCCGAATAACCTTCGAACCCCAAAGTATTATTGCACGGGGTCAATTATCACAACCGCGACTATGCCACCCAGACTCAGCCTTTTCACAGCCAGCAAGGCCGTCTCGGCCCTGCGCCAATCCACCACACCCGTGTCCTCCCCCGTCCGACTCCGCGCCCTCCAGTCACTACCCATTCAGCGCCGATGGAACTCTTCAGGCGATAGATCGAAGAAGGTCGAGCCTCAGCCCGATGAGCAGGCCTATCCCACTATCGACCAGCTGCCTCATGTCAGCGAGGAGGCCCACGAAATTTCCCGCATCATGGACAAGGAAAAGCGGTGCGACGGTATTCCTTCGACTCCGGAGTTGGATCAGGGTACGCCGGTTGAGGAGGTAAGCAATATGTGATATTCCGATGGCTGCTAGGTGTTGGCGGAAGCCGAAATTGCTGGATAAGATTGTTGACTGTATCTCGTGCCATAGGTCCTCAGCCGCGACGAGGAGGCCATGAAGCACATGCCCAAGGTGATGCGGGATCAACTTAAGAAGAACGGCGGCTCGCGCTCATTTTCGACTTCGGCTCGGAGCCGCATGGCTGATATGCAGGGGGTGGAGCCTACCAGCAGTGACTTTATTCCTGGTGTGTCCGGCACCGGGAGCGCCAGTGAGCCCGCCAGCGATGAGGCGGCGGCTGCTCTTGCTAGCATGATTGAGCAAGTGCAGGGCCAGGCTCTTGAGGAGAACCCTGGTCTCAAGTTCGACCCGCCTGCCGTTCCGGAGGACATGAAGACTTTGAACTTCCGCAAGCGCTACGATACCCTGCAGGATCAGTTTACCAAGATGATGATGGAGAGCGGCAAATTGACCAAGGCGCAGAAGGTATGTCTTTTTTCCCGCTTGGATTTGGGTCGAGAAACCGCGCTAATTGAATACTAGAATATGTCCATTGTTCTGGATCACCTCCGCACTTCCTCTCCCCCCCAGATTAACCCTCGCCGCCGTCTCCTCGGCGCTCCTTTCGCCTCCCAGCTCCCCCTCGATCCCGTTCTCTACCTCACTCTGGTCGTCGACTCGGTCGCTCCTCTTTTCCGGATTCGTCAGCAGAAGGGTATTGCCGGTGGTGGTGCCGCCGTGCAAATTCCCCAACCGCTCTCTTTGCGCCAGCGCCGCCGCGCCGCTATCAAGTGGATCCTTGATGCATCGGAGAAGCGACGCGATGCGCTGTTTGCGCACCGTGTTGCCGCCGAGGTGGTGGCCGTTGCTGAGGGTCGTAGTGGTGTTTGGGAGAAGCGGGACCAGCAGCACAAGATCGGTATCTCTGGTCGTGCGAACTTGGGTGCTACCATTCGTCGGTAAACTCTGCCTTTTTTTTGGCTTGTATTTTTTTCCTGGGTTTGGGTTTGGTTTCTATTTCTGAGCACTTTTTGCATATGTACATTTTCTCTAGTATAGTCATATGAAAATGACTTCTTTTCCTCACGGGTCCGTTCTCACATACTCCGTAGTTGGATAACTTGGGCTTGGAATCCTCATCTTTGACAGTACAGTTTATAAATTCTCCGTACATGTAACCTCTTTTCCACCTGTGGCCAGGGCAAGCGTACCCACGTGTGAGTCGGATCGTGCTGATATAGTTGTGGCTTATACTCTCGTGTTTCCATTGGAGGCCACCTGCCCGCCGAGCCGCTGACTAACATACAGCTTGGCTATTCCGAATTGAGAAACAGAGCAAGTGGTCAAGTCATCGAGAAGAAAAGCCTAAGACCTCCTTTATCTTACTTTGTATTTATTATCCAGATCAACTACCGACCATACTCCCGATCAGCAGTGCGCAACTGAATTTGACCATTCCCAGCCCGACCATTCCCCAGTGCAACCCACATTCGCTTCAGCTGGCCAAGAGTCCAAGACTCCTCAACCCTCTTCGCGCCCCCCGCAATAGAGCCGACTACAACGTTACCTCCAGCAGTGCTTCGCCCTCTCATATCTTATATGAACTAGGCCGACCACCCTCCGGCCCCCTGCTTTGACCGTGGCTTCCACGCGTCCCGATTCCATCGAACTTGTCGAGTACCATACACCCTCCCGCACAGCTACCGCAAGCGCACCTGGTCCTGCTCGCTCAGACCAATTTCAGTATAGCGCTAGCCGGACAGACCCTGCTGCCAACTCGCAGTATTTTGCGGACCTTGATTTCAGTCCAGGAGAAAAAGCTGCATACGAGGAGGGACTAGAGCCCGACCAATCTCGCCCTCGGGGCTTTAATCTCGAACTCTGGGCCGAGGCTCTTCGACAACGTGCTCATAAGGCCTCGCAAGCGGGTGCCGATACTGAAACTGAGCCCAAGATGAAGTTCTCGCATAGCGTTCAGTTTAACGCTGTGCCCGATTGGAGTTCAAATTACATCGCGTACAGCAATTTGAAGAAATTGTAAGTTGTTTTGGTTAGAGTTCCTGTCGTGGGGTGTGCTCGTGAATTTGTGTGTACATATGGGATATACGGACCCGAGGATCTGCACTCGTGTCACATCGCACAGGATCATTGTGTCGGAGAATACTTTTCAGGACGCTAATGTTGCATCGTGACCACAGGATCTACACCCTTGAGAAACATGCCAATCGCAATGAAGGTCCCGCAACCACAGATGTAGAGTCTGCACCATTGCTGGGTGGTGCTCCATCGACTAACCCGGATGCAATCTTCAAACGCGCGCTTGATGTCGAGATGAATAAGATCTGTTCCTTCTATCAACAGAAAGAGGCGGAGATTTTTGCACTTACTGAGGAGCTTATAAGGGACGCCGATGTGTATCTCTCCGAGACAGATGGTGTCAACATGGATCCTGTCGGCGAGACAATCGTCAAAGCCTCCCGTCGTGGTAACGGTAATGTCCCGGGCTCACGTCGGCGGTCCAGCGCTGTCAGCAATGACTCAATGGCGGATGATGAAGAAGAAGTGGGCGATAGCGACTATGATCGCTCCCCGGGACTCCTTCCACGGCACCAGGGGCAGGTGCGATCTGTTGATGGCGAGTCTGGTACGGATGGCCACCCCGGTGATTTGGCAGACTCATCCTACTTCGAGCAGCCGGCCACTCGAGTACCGCACGAGTCCTACCTCAACGACGAGGATTTCCTTGCCTTATATAACACAGGCGTATCTCTGAAGAAGCGTCTGATCGAACGCTATGTCTCGCTCTGCGAGCTTCGGTCTTTCATCGAGCTGAACAAGACTGGATTCGCTAAGGCCCTGAAGAAGTATGACAAGACCTTGGACCGCAACCTGCGCAGGGACTACCTGACCTCTGTTGTCCACCCCGCACCGCCTTTCGTAGACAGCACCATGGCTGCAGTCGATAGGCATATCGAGAACGTGGAGAGCGTTTACGCGGCCATCGTTACGAAGGGCAACAAGCAGTTTGCCAGACGCGAGCTGCGTCTTCATCTGCGCGAACATGTTGTATGGGAGCGGAATACCGTCTGGCGTGAGATGATCGAGATTGAACGTCGTGCTCAGGCTGCCAATGTCGGCATTCGCCGGACACTTCTGGGCGGTGACGAGGACCCGGCGACTGCACGGCGCCAGGGTGATAAGACTGAGATGCGGACCCAGGAGATATCGACGCCCCTTGGTCGGTTCCAGTTCCCGTTGTGGTTCTGCAGCTTGAGCTTTGGAACGCTGGTGTTCAGCATCGCAGTGTTTGGCGCAATGCTTTCCCTGAATATCATGGAAACGCCCGAAGAGCAGAACTGCTTGGCCATGTTGGTCCTTGTTAGTGTATTGTGGGCCACTGAGGCCATTCCGCTGTTCGTTACTTCGCTCCTTATCCCATTCCTCGTTGTCACTCTAGGCATCATGCGGTCAGACGATGAGAATCCCACGCGATTGGGACCCAAGGAATCGGTCGGCAAGGTGTTCGCGGCAATGTGGACTCCTGTGATAATGCTCCTTCTGGGTGGTTTTACTATCGCTGCGGCCCTGTCTAAATACGATATTGCCCGGCGCATGGCCATGTTCGTGCTCAGCAAAGCCGGAACGAAGCCATCCGTGGTGCTGTTGACCAACATGTTCGTGAGCATGTTCCTGAGCATGTGGATTAGTAACGTAGCATCACCGGTGCTCTGCTACTCGATCATCCAGCCATTGCTGCGCAACATGCCTCCCGAGTCCGACTTTGCCAAGGCCCTCGTCTTGGGCATAGCGCTGGCTGCCAACGTGGGCGGCGCAGCATCTCCAATCGCCTCACCCCAGAACATCATCGCACTGCAGAACATGCACCCGAACATCAGCTGGGGCACATGGTTCTTCATCTCATTGCCCGTCTGCATCACCTGCATCCTCCTAATCTGGGTGCTGCTGCTCGTGACCTTCCGCCCGGGCCGGAACACAACTATAGTCCCCTTCCGCCCGGTCAAGGACCACTGGACCGGCATCCAGTATTTCATCAGCATCGTGACACTCGTAACTATCGGCCTCTGGTGCGCAAGCCACCAGCTCGAGCACATATTCGGCGACATGGGCGTCATCGCCATTATCCCTCTCGTCCTCTTCTTCGGCACCGGCATCCTCAACAAAGAGGACTTCAACAACTTCCTTTGGACAATCATCATCCTTGCCGCCGGCGGCTTGTGTCTCGGCAAAGCCGTCACATCCTCAGGCCTGCTGCACACCATCGCCTCAAGCATCACCGCCCGCGTCGAGAATCTCAGTCTGTACGGCGTGCTCTTGGTCTTCTCCGCTCTCATCCTCGTTATGGCTACTTTCATCTCGCATACCGTCGCTGCCCTCATCATCCTGCCGCTTGTCCGTCAGATCGGTGTCAACATGGAGAATCCCCATCCCAACCTGCTCGTCATGGCTAGTGCTTTGATGTGCTCTGTTGCAATGGGTCTGCCCACAAGTGGATTCCCTAATATGAGTATGTTCTTTTTCCCCCTCCCCTTCCTGAAGTCCACTTCGTGTTCATCACCGCTAACTTGTTCCCTTTCAGCTGCTATCATGACTGAAGTCCCACAGACTGGCCAGCGGTACCTCCAAGTCCGTCATTTCATCACCCGCGGCGTGCCGTCCAGTCTCGTGGCCTTCGTGGTGGTTGTCACGCTCGGATATGGTCTGATGTATGTTGCAGGACTATAGGACGTGTGTGTTGAAGGGCCGTGTTCTCGTGTAACTTTCTCCCTTTCCTCTTCCTCTCCCCTTTTTTTTTCTGGGCTCTCTTCGGACTCTTCTTTCCCTTCAAAGACCTTGTGGTTAGATCGATACACATACATGGCGCGAGCAAATAAGAGAGAATGTATATGATATGTACGAACGCATTTGTGATTGAATTCCCAGTGTTTCTTTCTTTCTATCGTTTTCAGCGTGGTCTTGTGGCCCTTTCCGACTCGATATCTTCGTCTCGTATAGTCTGTGCTTGTTGAGGTGGCATTCTAAGGTTCGTTGCACAGGTAATGATGGGTTATGTAGATGGATGGACGATTGTTCAAAAGTTCATTAGTGAGTGCACATACGATGATAAAGATCATTTACCACTCTATCTTGCCACTAGATAGAACTTGGGCCTCGGAATCTATGACTTCTCACCAGGTATGTGGCATTGTTTCACCTGTCATACTTGGAGTTGTAGAAGGTGTCTCGTTTAGGGCTTTTGGAAGATTAGTCTGTAATACATTGAATCCTGTGTAAAGTCTTCTCCTGAAGAACATGAACTTACTTGCCTGGTAGCCAATCAACAATAGCCAGTGAGCTGACCTGGATTTGCCATATCTCTTCTCCTTGGGCAAGTCTTGTACATGATGAAAGCCACTCAGATCAGCTCAAGAGGGATCTTGCTCATTCACAATGGGCTTCAAGTCCCGTACTTCTGTCCCTCTATTATTACACAAGGTACTACTGTCCGTTGTGGAACCACATTCTCAAACGCAAATGTTTTATAACAATAAGGCTACAGGTACTGTACATCGCAGGAACCAGAATGGAGCATTGAGTAAAGTAAGAATGGTCATCATGAGCTAAGTAAGGAAAAGGACATAAAACATAGAGATGCCAATCCATGGCATGCATCGGCATCATTATAACATAACCCATTAAACAAGCCATCCAATCTCAACGCCTGTGCATCAGGGCCGGGTATTCATATCCACCAGGACGAGAGAGGACGAAAGCGTGTATAGACGAGGTATATAACTCTTTTGCTATTTGCTGTACAGCAGCGCAATCAATTACTATATTGTCAGTCAGTGAAATGCACCAACAGAGATGAAAAGTTGGGACGGTATGTAAGTGGGACTAAAGCGGGAGGGAAGCGGAAGGACAAGAAAGGGAATACTAACAGCAAACCAATCGTCAAATCACCATGAATCTTCGCCTTGAGCTGAACCTCGATATCCAAATTCAGGTCCAATCGCAACCGAAGCTGCTCATCACGACCGCCGTCTTCCTCCTCTTTCTTCTCACCGCCGCCGAGAACCCCGCCGACGGCCTTGCCGGCGCTGCCGGTTACACCGTTTAGGGCATTGCCCGCTGTATTCTGCACGAGCTGACCGGCTTGGTCTACGCCGCCGACGCCTGGGAGACCGCCGAGAGCATTGCCACCTTGTTGGTCTTGTTGCTTAGGCTGGCGCTGGCGGCGGACACGACGCTGGGGTTTTTGGTCTGAGTCCATGTTGCGTTGGACGGATTCGGTGTCTGATTCTTGAGGACGAGGACGAGGTCTGCGGCGACGACGTTCGGGCTTGGGTTCGGGTTCGGGTTCAGGCTCTGGTTCCGAGTTCTCTTGTTCGGGTTCGGGCTCGGAGTCTGGTTCTTGTTGTTTGACCGGCTCGGACTCTTCGGGCTTATCCTCTTCTTCTTGAGGCTTGTCGTCTGGCTCTTTGTCTTCTTGATCTTGGTCCTGACCTTGGTCTGAGGCAGGAGGAGTCTGTTCTTGTTTGGCGGGTGACTTCTTGCCGAGCTTGGGAGGGGCACGCTTGGGCTTGTTGGGGGTTGAGGTGGTTGAGTCTGGGTTAGGGGTGGAAGGTTGTTCTTGATCGGCCATAGTGAAAAGAGAAAGAGAAGGTTATCAGAAGAGGGGGGGTATGAGGAGAATATGAAGTGATTCGAGTAGTTGTGGAAGGACAAAACGTCAGAGAAGGCTGCAGCTAAGTATGTACTTGCGCGTATAGTGTAAATATGATGTAGACAAATTAAATGAAACAATTTTCCGCTTGTCCAACCGTTTATATCACCAGAGGACCCGACCAAGTCAAAACAGGAAGTGACGAAGTCTGTCCACCCGCCTCCGACGTCAGATGGGATGGGGCTACCCGTGGCTCGGGTCCATTGGTGCCACTATTTAGTGAACTCAGAGAGGTAAAAAGAGGGTACACTTCTTACGAGGATGACAGGGGTGGGCTCTTAGTCCCAAGGACCCAGGCCTTCAGATATCTTCGAGCCATGAATAGAAGCGAAATGACGTCGGGACCAGGATCACAGAGGTTGGGTCTCTGCATGGAGTGAGTGGAGTGGCCTTCTCCGGAGTATATGCAGTATAACGTCTGGGATCAAAGTTGCGCTACCATCGGGGCCGCCTCCATAATGGCCATGTGTATGGAGCCAGTTGACGTTGATCGAAGGAAAAAATAGATTATATGCACCCGCACTGCTCCACGCACCAATCATATTGAAGGTCGGGACATTTTGCCGCATTGACGTCTCCACTTAAATAGATTAACTCGGCCGTTGCAAAGTTGGCATCTCACAGAAAGTCTGCTTATGACGCCACAAGACGTCAACTTCGATACTTTGGAGAAAAAATAGATTGGACTGTACCATTGTACTGTACAATTCTATCCATCTGGTCCATCAAGCCCCTTTTTTCGAAAATAAAATGTTTTAATTCAACAAATGACAGGAAACAATTCATCGTTACCGGCCTTTTGACATGCCTGGTTCTCCGGCCACGAGTTTTTAGATGTTTCCACGGCTCATCCAGTAGAAAAGTGGGGCTTGTCAGTGGCCACCGAGCAGACATTTTCATTACGCAGTTATGTACACGGCCTTTTGGGAGGAGACAAGCACATCCAACGGTGGAAATGACGCGGTGGTCTGTACGATGAAGGCTGGTTGGAAACCACCAACGTCATCTCCACTCGGAGATTGATGGATCGATGATGTCTGTGTTCCGCTACTCTTTAGAGATATCATATCTGTTTCCTTTGGCATTCTTGGAATCCATTTTTGCTTTCCGTTTACTATATCCTTCTACTCCGTACTTTATACCCTTCTTCCTTCTCCACACGCTTCCTCCTCCCTTATACTCTGTAGCCTATACACATCCTCATCATGGCCACCGCCGAAAAGACCAAAGAGCAGCCCAAGAAGTTCCCCGTCCCGGATGACCTCTCCTCAGGCGAAGACTATGACAGCGCCGACGACTATACCGACGAGGAATCTGAAGAGGAGGTGCCACAGACCAAGGCCCAGAAGAAGCTACAACTCCAAAAACGGAAACAACCCGTGCAACAAGACGACGAAGAGACAGATGAAGACGACTATGGTTCAGACGAGTATGAATACTCCGACGATGACGACGAAGCCTTCCAGCCTTACTCCAACCAAAACTCCGACTTCAAACCCAACGGCGGTATGGACGTCCTCCACAAGGAGGAGAAGTCAATGCTGGACGAGGAGGGCATGAAGTTGAGATTGGAACTGAATCTGGAGATCGAGGTCGAGCTGAAAGCACGTATCCACGGAGATCTCACATTAGCTCTGATGTAAGTACCAACCTGAGGCATGCTATCCATTTCCTTCATCCACCCCCTCCACCCCTTTCAAGGATGCCTGCTCAAAGATCGAATTAGGAGTTGATCGAGTTTTATTTACCAACAACAGGGCTTGATCACCCATTTCTGGCTCCATTGCCGAGACTATCACGAAGATCCAACGTCGTCACGAGTGATCCTTTACCAATGCTTTGATGCTGCTATTCATAGAGCAATGTTTTGATAATGTTTGGGGGTTTGCCATGGGGTCCCTGGTCAGCAGGGCCAAGGAGTGCGATACACCGGAGTATATACTACTTAGTATATTCCTGCAATGGCCTTAATGGAGTTATAATTATGTTTTCAAAGCAATGGAGCAGTCAATGTAGCGGTTGTTGTAGAGATGATCGTGATAGACATGAAATCCACATGGCGGAAAACATGGAGCCGAGGCGCAGGCCTTGGCGCTAAATGTTTCTTCTGACGTGGGACAGTCCAACATTAAACAACCGCCTCTCCTTGACTTTGCACTTAATTAGTCCGGATTCTAACCTTACGGCATAAATCTACTCAATTGACCCCACGCGTATTCTGTTTCAACGCCAATCGCCATGTCTTCCAAGGACTTCATCATCAAGCACATGAATGCCGACCACCAAGACTCCCTCGAACTATACCTCCAAGCCTACTGCGGAATCTCCGCCAAGCAAGCCAAAGCCGCCCAGCTGGAAGACATCAGCACCTCAAACCTGATCATCACCGCCCACGGAACCCGCTACAGCGTCCCCATCGACCCCCCGATGAAAGACTACTCCGAGGCGCGCGGCCGCGTGGTCGCCCTCCACAAGGACAGCCTGAAGCGCCTGGGCCGCAGCGAAGTCACCCTCAAAGAGTACCAGGCCCCGCGCGGCATCCAGCAGATCGTGATCTTCGGACTGTGCCTGTTCACCTACATCAGCTGCTTCCAGCGGAGCAATTTGCTGCCCGGGTCTGCTGTCTACGAGTACTTGGGATACAAGTACGTGCCTGATTTCGCACACTTTGTCTACAATATCCAGCCATATCTGTTTCCTGCCGTCGTCGCCATTCATCTTTTCGAATCTACGTTACTGGCTGTCACGCAATTGAAGCCGCTCGGTGTGCCTTTCTTGTCCGGTTTGTGGTGCAAGTGGGTTGTCTCGTGTTTTATTGAAGGGTTCGGTGCTTTCCAGCGAATTAAGCAGATTGTGAAGGAGGAGAAGGCGAAGAAGGTAAAGAGCCAGTAGGAGGTAGTCGAGTGACCGGCAGGATTACTGCTAGATAGTCAATATTTTGTCGAATGAATATATTGAAATGCCCAAGAGAGCAGAGAATAGATAATGGAGCTATGGAGGGTCAAGTGTTGTACTGCGTACGATATAGATTGTCTTGGATTTTTGGATCATCTTTGATGGCCCTTCGAGATCCAGACCTGGGAAATGGGAAATGTATGCACGTGACTAAAAATGATGAATCAGCAAGCATCACCTGATCAGTCCAGTGACTGGGTCCACTATACCCAACTGGGACTAGTGTCAGTTAGGGCATCACACAAGCGAGCGACACAGTGCGCCCTGCGAAATTCACGGACTCCACGACCTCAAACTCCCACGACAACCCTACGACAACTAATCCGTGTTTCTGGTGAAGGGCTGCACATTCAGAGGTGAGTTATCGGGCTGTCTCAATTCCTGCAAGGTTCCTTTTCGAAAAATTCTGTTTCGCTCGCTGCGCCCATCAATTTCGATCATCGGTATCCCGTTCAAATCCTCCACATCGACACCTTCGATCTTTATCTCGCCTTCGTTACTCCATCAACCACTCACCAATACTGTCGCCAAACTTATCCGATACTCGAATATTGATTTGTGCGGTGCTTGCGACGAAACAGAAGGACGGGAAAAAGAAAATTTCAGGGCCCACAATCAACAATTTCAATATCTAACCTGTGTCTCCGTCAACTTAGACCCCTCCATCAATCGCAAACATGGGTATTTCTCGGGATTCTCGCCACAAGCGCAGCGCTACCGGTGCTAAGCGCGCTACCTACCGCAAGAAGAGGTACGATTCTACCCACCTAGCCTGAGATGTCGAGTCCCTTGGAAAGGAATCCGTTGCAGTATTCTTACATGTCTCGTTCTACAGAGCCTTCGAGAAGGGTCGTCAGCCCGCCAACACCCGTATTGGCACCAAGCGCATCCACCTTGTCCGCACCCGTGGTGGCAACCAGAAGTTCCGTGGTCTCCGTCTCGACTCCGGCAACTTCTCGTGGGGCTCCGAGGGTATCTCCCGCAAGACCCGTGTCATCGGAGTGTCCTTCCACCCCTCCAACAACGAGCTGGTCCGCACAAACACCCTGACCAAGTCCGCCGTTGTCCAGGTCGACGCTGCTCCCTTCCGTCAGTGGTACGAGGCCCACTACGGCCAGCCCATTGGCCGCAGACGCCAGCAGAAGACCGAGGCCGCTGAGGAGAAGAAGTCCGCCTCCGTTGCCAAGAAGCAGGCTGCCCGCTTCGCCGAGTCCGGCAAGGCTGAGTCCGCCATCGAGCGCCAGTTCGAGTCCGGTCGTCTGTACGCCGTTGTTGCCTCGCGCCCCGGTCAGTCCGGCCGCTGTGACGGTTACATTCTGGAGGGTGAGGAGCTTGCTTTCTACCAGAAGGCTATCCGCAAGTAAACGATAAAATAAAATATTCGGTTGTTGCAACAGGTGGATCGGAGTTTCAGCTATGTCATGATCGGAGCATCCACAGGATGCAAATTGTCTGTAGAGCTCTGAGCCGTCAAATCCATGGAAATTTTTCCTAGTTCATGTATTCTGGTAATCTTGTAGTGCGGAGGATCGTGGGCACTTTCTCCAATGCGATCGTAGGCATGATTCATTCAATTCCACTGGAGTTGTACTGTGTACTTGTCGGCAATGGGCATGGGGGGTACCGATTGAGATACGCGGGCAGTATACCTATACATGGATTCATATGTACAGTCTCGTGTATAAGACAGGAGATATACATTGCAACACGCAAGTCATATCGTATCTATTCACTTCCATATCCCATCATCAAGTGCAAGTATATTCGAAGTGCCCGCATAACCTCGCCTTATCAGTTTCCCCACACTTCAACCCTCCACCATCCATACAACCTACAACCTCCCACCCATACCTACAAACAACCTACACAACAACCAAAATGACAATCAAAACCCGCATCTGCATGCTATCAGACACCCACACAAGCACCCCGCACCCAGCAACCTCCACAAGTACTCCCTACCGCCACCCCCTCCCGGCAGCCGACATCCTCCTACACGCCGGCGACCTCACAAAAGTAGGCTACCTCACCGAACACGAAACAACCCTCTCCGTGCTAGCCTCCGCCACTGCAGAACTCAAACTCGTAATAGCCGGAAACCACGACATAACCCTCGACGCAGAGCACTTCCTTTCCACCGGCTACAGACGCCACCAACGGCCCGAGCGACTCGGCACCGAACGCATCCTCCACACAGACGACAATCTGCAAACCGAGCTGCGCAATACAACAAAACCCGACAAAACCGCACTATCCTCCTACGCCGCCTCGATCCGAGACCTCTGGACGAGTGATGGAGCTCGCAAAGCGGGTATTATCTACCTAGACGAAGGAGTCCATTCCTTTACTCTATCCACAGGCGCTAAATTCACCGTCTATGCTTCGGCCTACACGCCTGAATTCTATAATTGGGCTTTTGCATACCCTCGCTCTCAGGATAGGTTTAATCCGGGCCCGCAGGCTGTGAACCCGGTCCCGGACTACCCGGGCGTTGCTATTATGCTTACGCATGGTCCGCCGTTGGGGATTTTGGACTTTGTTCCGCCCGATTTGAATGTTGGCTGTGGGCATTTGCTGCGTGCTGTGCGAAGGGCGAGGCCGAGGGTTCATCTTTTTGGGCATATTCATGAAGGGTGGGGGGCGAGACGGGGGGTTTGGGATGGGGATGGGGAGGAGGGGGTGAGACTTGAAGAGGTTGGGACGGATGAGAAGGAAGTGTTGGAGAGGAGGGGGGCGTTTGTTGATGTTAGTGCGGAGTCGGAGAGGCCGTTGAGGGTTGGGGAGGAGACGCTTTTTGTTAATGCGAGTATTATGGATGTTGGGTATCAGGCTAGGAATGCGCCTTGGGTGGTGGATTTGGAGTTGCCTGTTGCGTAGAGCGGTAGAGGTGAGGTGGGTTGGGTTAGGGCTGGTTTCTTGGTCTGATAAGCTCTCAGGAACGAGACATGTGATAAAAGTGCCAGGAGCAGAGCAGGGCATGTAAACGGGTTTTTACTCACCCACGATCAGTGAGCCAGAACGTTATCTCATTTGCATCTGCCATCACTCCCGAGAGCCCGTCGGACATGCGAAAGAACTTCTTACTGATGTAGATTTACCTAGTGAGTAGGTACCTAAAGACTCCCGATGTCCTATCCAAAAATTGTCATTTCGTTTCTATATACGCAGTCCTAAATACGTAGCTAGGCACTAGAGCAAGACGACCTCGCCGTCCCAAAAGCAAAAGTCATAAGGCCAAAAGACGAAAGATAAGCCAAATGAACCTCCAACTCCATCCCACTGCTGCACCCGCAATGACCGCATAAAAGAAGCAAAAGAAAGATAACCCTCAAGCGCCACCAAGACCTATAATCCTCGTTAGTCCCCGCCAGACATGGTCAATACGATAAACTCACCAGCGGCAAAAGCCAAGTACCAAGTGCGCGTGGCTCCACCATCAATCCAACTATAATTGAAATTCGGCTGGGCGAAGAACTCCCACGACGCCTTGGGGTCGATGAGAGCGAGATTGGCGTATAGCACACCCTTCCACCCACCGTCAACCTTGGAAGCTGGGGTTGAGGCATTCTCGGCGAACATGGCCTGCCATTCTTGTCGGACGAATTCTTTTCGGCGGGTGAAGGGGCTGTGGGGCATTAGGGGGAGCATGTGGATGCTGTGATTGTTAGCTGGGGTTCGGCAGGAAAGAGAGGGGATGTTTATATACACACCCTTGGATGAATTCGAGGTTGGCGCCGAAGTAAGTGGTGTGGTCGACTTTGTTCTCGAATAGCTGGGTCTGGTTAGTATACGGTCCAGTATGAACAGAAGAGAAACTCACAATTCCAGTAACCTTGTTTGCAGTGAAGTTTGCCGGTTGGTTGGTGTTGCCCTCCTCCATCAGGAAATAGTTGTTCAGAGATCGACCCAAGATGCCTAGCATCATGTTGCCGCGAGCTTCCATGCTCGCATCACCGGTTGTCTTTCCCCATAGCTTGATCGCATACGCGAACATGGTATCTTCCGAGGTGGACTCCTGGTCCTTTCCGTCAAACGACTCGAAGAGACCCTTAGCCCAGGAGTGGCCGTTGTACCAATCGAACGAGCGGGAGAAGGGGAAGCGGGGATCATTTGCGACGGAGTTGCCAGCGTCACGAACGAGCGTGTTAACCCATTCCTTGTTCTCGGCCAGCCAGGCCGGATCAAGGGAGCCGATGATGGCGGCGGCCTGGACGAAATAGCCGTAGTGGAAATGGTGGTCGTTGTACGCGGTGTTTCCGAAATCCTGGTTCAAATCGCCGCTATACCCGGCAGTCGAGACAACGCCCTTCCAGACGGTGTCGTATGCGAGCGGGAATTGCTGCTTGTTCTGCACGAAGTTCGCGAACGACTTCTTTAGTTCTTGGAAGGCGTTCGTGGCTAGATCGACGTTGTTGCCGAGTTGGTTGACGGTGTATACTAGCGTTGCGAACTTGCTTAGCGCCTTGCCACTGTAGTACATGCTGTTCAGATCTGTCTGCTTGGAAATGTTCTGCTTCAGTTCCTGTGGAGCAATCTCCAGAATGGCCTGCTGGGCAGCGGGCGAGAGCTCATGAGCACTGCCGTGGGTGGGTGACCATGGGGCGAAGCCTATATCGACGGGCAGATTTGGTTCGACCATGGTCCAGCTCTCTCCGATGACAGCTGTAGCATTGCCTTTGGTAGTGGTGCGGAGGCTGATATTGGTGATGCGGCCCTGGGTCGCCTTATCGAAGGATTGGATATGATGGGGCAGCGCAAACATGAGGAGAGGAGTGCCCGCAACATCCTTTCCGGCCTTGGTCCAAGAGAGGCTGTAGCTGCCAACATCACCGGTAACAGAGCCTGAGATATGTCCTGTTGTGGGATACACACCAGACGAGTTATCGTAGAACTTCTCGCCAGAGGTACCAGCAGGATTCTTGGCAATCTGAATGGTACCGGAGAAGCCCTCAGGGCCGCGAAGACTGGACTTCGAAACTAGCTTGAACTTTGGATCTTTGCCATCAGCCGGAGTGGCATATAGGAGCCAGGTCGTGTCATCCTCAATGTCAACTCTATATTTAAAAATGCCTGGTCTGGGTGAACCGGCGCTGACGACCTTGCGGAAAAACACGCCACTTTCGATCAGAGGCTCCAGTTCATTGTACACCGCTGTCGCATAGCCCATGCCTTGCACAAGAGGGAAGGTGATCTGCTGAGCTGAGCCTGGGGAGCGCTTGAGGACAGCGTTGGCAGAGAATGCCGTGGGCTGTTCGGTGTCCATTACGCTCGACTGATTGAGTTCAGTTGCAGAGAAAATCAGATGCTGCAGACCAATTGGGTTGATATAGTACTGCACTGGATTTCCCGGAATCTTTCGGTTCTCAGGACCGAATGCGAGCATGCCTGGCTGGACATGGGAGATGCCCATACCCCAGCTCTTCAAGGAGCCGCCTCCCTTGGACCATGCCAGAGAGTAGGGTTGAGTGAAAGTTGCATTGGTCTGGGTACCGAGGAAGAGTCCGGCGTAGAACTTGTTGGTTGAAAGAGGATCGGAGGTGTTGACCTATATAATATTAGGGTTTCTTATTCCAATGGTGGCAGCATTTAGTATCATATCTTACGTGTAAGTTCTTCACTGGGTGATCATCTCGAGACTTGATGTTGGCAGGAATAGGGCCAGTGGCCACCGGCTGGAAGATATCTTGACCATTCATGGTTTTGGGGTGATCCGGTCCAACTGGGAGCGAAATCTCTGTGGTAACGGGTCCTATGAAGTATTAGAATGCTTGGAAAGTACTGCAATGGCAAAGTGGTTGACCCTACCTTGGGCGACAGTAGTACCTGGCGGAGTCTGCGCTGTATGTGCCACAGATCCAGCTGTAGTAGTCGACGATGAGACCGTCGTGCTTGCTGAGCTCAACAAGTCTTCTAAGCCGTCGATAAACTCAGCAACGTCAAAATTGGGAAACGGCTGCTGTGATGAATGGCCGTCGTGTTGCAAAGCTACTCGATATACCTATTTCAATGGTCAGCATCTTGCCATATATCATGGAGTCTCTTTCCATGAGACGACGTACTGGATGAGACTCTGGAATGAGAAGCCTGCTCTCACTGTTTGAAGGTGGATATTGGGTCTCAAAGGAAGTCGCAGAATCAACAGCTGTACTTTGCAGTATACTTCCTACCGCAGTTCCCACCCGTGGGAAACAGTGGGCTTTTTCTGCAGCTATAAGCCATGTCAGCAAAGCCGCCTTCAATTTGGTGCCCTCCATGATGCAGGCCAAATCTTGTCACAAGAGACAAGATAGAAAGTCAATACAAATCTCCGATTCGATCCAACTTATATGAATCACTCGAGAGACAGGATGACTTTCGTGGCTGACATGGGACAAAGTAAAACCAGCCCCTCACACGAGAGGACATCGTCCGAGGGCAACATACTTACAAGTAGGTGCTTGGGATTCCAAAAGAATGCACTAGACCCGTCGGGGCCGGGGTCTCTGAATCTCAGGTCCCAATTGGGACAAAGCAGACGCGCCCGTTTGTTGTGATTGGATCTGCTAAAGATTCCGTAGGCCGTTGATCTTCATGACAGTTACTACTAGTTAGCAGTGTGGGACATAATCTAAATCAAGGGGAATGATCGGGAGGAGTGGGAAGCGTGTTCTGTTCAGCAATGTAGGGACACGGGTATCGACGTGACGTTGTCCCCACCACCAAGAATGTAGGCAAAAACACAGCAACGGAAGAGCATACCCACTTACCCCGGACTGATGAGGAAAATAGAAGTCACGTAGAGTCTTGTTTGGGGCTGTTTAAAGATGTGAAATCAGATGTCAAGTTCCAGGTAGCACTGCCAAGAGATCGTCCATGTGGAGGAAGTTCATCCACGAGATAGAAAAACATGACTGAAGATCGAGGGTGAGTCACCAGATCATGTATCCATGGATCTCTTCATTGCTTTTTTGTAATATTTGGAGATGTGAATGGATGTGAATGTCTCTTCACGCGATGCTATCGTCCAGCTGCCTTGTGATATGACGATCACTTACGGAGCGTCTACTTTGTTGTCGTTGGCCATGTTCTGTTACTGTGGGTCTACAGAACCAATTCCTGTGACAAGAAACTTTCTACGTTAAGGTGATTCTCTTGGGAAAATTGGTCAGAAGAGAAGGCATGAGAAGGCATGACCGTGGGAGATTGCTGGTTGATACATGGTTTGTTATGATCTGGAATATGACGCACGTGCCCAGCCACTGATTGAACGGAACCCATGTACCTAGGGTACGGCAAGTGCACTTGATTGTCTTAAGTATGGAAGGAGCCATCTGTGACTGCGGAGATTTGTACTCATGGGGAAGAGTACCTACTACGTACATGCAGGTAAGGTCCAGACTCCAGGGCGAGCTGGACGTCAGAGGTACGGGGTATAAAGGCTCGTGTCTGGCCTCGGAAGCCGTCTTTTGAGCGTCACGTTCACTGCCTGTGCGACTGAGGGATCTCGAATTCTGAAGTGTGAAACGGCAAGACCATGTGGGAACAGTGGCCGAGATTGTGTAAACCGGTCGTTGTGTTGGAGGAGCTCCCATCGATGTGGGACAGGTACAGAACCTTGTCGAGTCCAGACTCCAGATCATGTCTTTTTTTTTTCTTCTTTTTTCCCTGGCAGTTGTGAGTTGGCCTCTGAAAAAGCAGCTGAAATGCCCTGCCAAAGTGGCAGGGCAGACTGATGTGGCTGAGGGCCTGAGGCGCTTTGCTGTGTAGAGGTGGTAGGGTCCACAGCCCCTGAATTCGGCGTCCGTGGTTCGCATGTCGCGCACTTTATCACAAAGTCTCAAGTTCAACTCTACAATATCACTATGGCTTATACCAATCCCCCCGCGCTCCCCCGGGAGCTCTGGGGCTGTATTGAGTCACATCTATCCAATGCCGACATCAAATCTTTGCGTCTGGCATGTAAGCAATTCAACAATGCAGTGTTTCTTCGACTCAATCGTGTTTTCTTATCCGCCAACCCCCTCAACATTGCATCACACGACAAGCTCCGCCATCAGATCAATGAGATTATCTGGGATGAGGCGCGCTTGTATCGTGGTCCAGCACGAGTAATTGGAAATGGCCTTGGTAGTGGACATGAATTGCTCTCGGACGAGGATGAACCCGATAATAACAGAGAATGGGCTGCGGAATACCACCCGGATATCAGAGAGGACGTCATTAAGCGCCATAAGTATAAAAGGAGAGATGGGTGTCCCAGATGGTTCAAAGACGCTTGTGAGGAAAACCTTGGCGTTCTAGAATACCGGAAACGTCGTGATGTGGATAGGCCTGACCATATCGCGCGCAGAGAACTGGTGCTCGCTCAGCCTTCCCTGAGGGAGGCCTGGCAACATTATCTGCAGTTGCTGCGTCAACAGAAGGATGTTCTTGCCGATCGGAGTGATCTGGAAGCGTTCGCGTTTGGCGTTAAGCGGTTTCCTACGCTAAAGCGAATTACCATCACACCTGCAGCCCACGGCAACCTCATCACCCCGCTTTACCCGACCCCTATGATTCGTGCTTTCCCGAAAGGCTTCAATTACCCCATTCCTCGTGGTTGGCTGTACCCTAGAGACCATTGGGCCCCGGCTACTGCATATACGTGGAATCAATACCCAGAACTTAGAGATCGGTACCGCGGGTTCCGTACGGCAATACGTGTCCTCGCCAACGAACCCAACTCTGTTTCTGAGCTGGTGATGACTTCTAGCTCTATCCCCACGGGAATCAACTGCACAATCTTCGATGAGCCCTGCGAAGAGTACGACCATTTCGTTACCGTGCTTAAGAAGCCGGGCTTCCGCCGTCTGGACATTGCCTTGCTTGTCAATGGTGAACGTCAGGAAGACCTCGAAGCATGCTGGCGATCTCTGCTTAATGGGCGTCTGCACCGGGCACTTGTGAAGCAAAAGACATGGAAGAGTTCAGGCTGCATACAACATTTAATGAAGACCTCGCCTATTCCGACAGATATCCTCTTCTCCCATTACAGAGCATTGTGCCTATGGAACAATGGTCGAAACTGCGCCATTTCGAACTCTCCGACTTTGTTATCTCACAGGATGACTGTGTCTCTTTCCTCAAGACGTTACCAAACTCCGTTCGCTCCATTGGACTCAGTCTGCTGGAATTTCTTGGCGATGGAGACTGGTATAGTATGTTGGAAGAAATCAAGCGAATGGTATCGGAGAGCACGCTGTGGGGGGACCGGGATGCGGGATCAAGACCCAAAATTACCATCGGCGTGCCAATCGTGCAGGAGAGCCCTACATATGGACACGGTGTATGGGTTGAAAAGGAGGTAGAAGATTTCATTTACGATGAAGGAGGAAACCCCTTTGAGGAGCCTCGTCACCTTAACAACGTCCGACTTGGAGTTGGTGTGATGAGGGATGCATTGGAACCCGATTTTGAACATCCATATGTCGAATGGGCACTTTGATACAGGGCGATACCCGTGGAATTTGGGTAGTCTGGCAGTCGAGGTACTACCATGAACCGAAAGCTTTCATCGGCCAGCCTCATCGGACCCATGTTGCTGCACTGCGAGCTGAGCCACAGCCGCAATTCCTCCATCCCATGAGACGTGTCTCGCGTGGTCGCTTATTAGGCCGGATCTCCCGGTAAGAGGGTGCCCCAACAATGGGGCAAATGGATGATACTAGTCGCCCCTTACATTTGTGAATCTGGGCTTCAGCGGTCTGGACTTGTTCCACGGTGATGATGAGCTAGATCCAATCATACTGTGTACATGAATGGACGACTTTAGGTTGCAAGGCACCTCTTGTCAAGATCTTCAACTTCTTCCATTCCTGGCCGATCGGGTCCTTGATCAAGTCCGAAGTCAGATCCTGGGTGCCAGGAAGCCAACGGCCCCCTCTGTCAGGGGGTCGTGAAATTCTGCAGCAAGCATCAACGAGCGCATTTTGGACACGAATTACGACTACGGCAGTTGCTGATGCATATCAGCGAGAACAACCCAATAAGGATACCAGACCAGTCACCAGGGTTGAACTTCCTGAAATAGACGCGACTGGTCTGGGATCTTTATTGAGTTATTCCCACTGCTGTGCATCAGTAGCTGCCGCACGTCGTAATTTGCGTCCAAGATTTGCTCGTTGATGTTTGCTGCACAATATTCACGACCTGACTTCAGACCTCCCGATCGGCCAGGACTGGAAGCAGCAATCTGAACAGCTGCGCCGGGAAACCAGCCAAATCAAACAAGAATTCGTGCTGTGAGGATCGCGACTGCAACTACGACAACTGCGGCCAGGCTCATAACCTGTTAAGATCTTCAACTTCTTGAACCACTATCATCACTCAGTACGATACACCTTGTACAGCCTTTTCATGATCTCTTTTACATTGTAGATCTTAAGACCTCTACAACCACGGTGTATTCCCTTCTCAACACTCGCATTCTCCATCACAGAAAACCCCATCACAGAAAACCCGGCTTCCACCGCAGATTCTGGCGGACTGGTACTCTGAAAGCCGATTCAAAGTCGACCAAGGACGCTTTCACTCCTCTCAGCTTCTGCATTTGCTCATCCGGTGCTATGAGGGTAGAATAATGCGAACAGACTGGAAGATATAGTTAATCTGAGAGCTGGGCTTCGTATGGAGTAGTACCCCATCAGTCGTCCGGTTGAGGCGCCCACACAGCGGCAGCTATGGGCAGCCATCAAGCCCGCCAAGGTGCGGCTGTCGGCACCGTCCAATGTGGGAATGGCCATGAGTCATGACCTAGAGGTGCAAGGAAGGCATCGAATTTAGTGTGAGGTCAGGTCTCCAAGATCGTAGGTGTCATTAAAGGCAATCTGAAGTAGATGTTCCTGAGATCGGTGTCATCTCCTCAGACTTCACTTTCTGGTTCTAGTCTGCAAATCTCCCCCGTACTTTGATAACGCTCCAGCTATGGATGCAATGGAAATGTGGAAATGCTTTTGATTCAAGGAGTATTGCGCCGGAATGGGTCACATGGTATAAGAAGATACAAAGATGTCTATGATTCCAAATATTCCCGTTCATTGCATGGGCTTCGACATGGGCTTGATGACGCCCTGCTTGATCATGATACGAGGCTTGGTGCCGCTCTGGAAGGTCTCCTTTGTAGACCACTCGGGGCCCAGTGGGAGTCGCAGTGATCGTTCGTACTGTTGTTTGGTCTCAAACTCATGCGGCAGCTGACTTGCCATGTACTTCTTGTTCTATAGTGAAGGAAAATAGTTAGCGACGATGTACGCCTGTGTAGAGACGAGACTTTTCTTACCTTCTGGACTCGCTTCTGGTTGATGATGACCCGATCAAGCTTGGCATCCTTACGCTGCTGGGGCTTCACACCCGCAACAGTGGTGATATCCCGCTTTTGCCTCTTTTGCTGTCTCTTGCTAACACCTTCACCGGCCCAGCTTCCCCAGCCCGGAAGTGTGTTGTCGACGACCTTATCGCCCTCGTCTTCGATGGTGTCCATCTTGTCTTGCTCGAAATCTTGGACGACCTCATCGCCGGCAAAGGCTCTCTTCACGAGGTCATGATTCTTGAGCAGGACAGGGACCTTTGCCTCATCGTCGCTGTCGCTATCGGCGTCGAATTGCTGCTTAGCGAGAGCTGCCTTTGTCTTTTGCTTCTTGCTTTGTGGCTTTGCAGAAACAGCTTGAGGCAGGCTAGCATCAAGCGAGATGTCAATGCTCTCTTGCGCGTCTGGGCCGGTTCGGCGTTTGTTGGTCCGTCCAGTCTGAACTAGCCAAGGATTCTCGTCCTCCGCGGGTGTGTCGTCTTGTTGGTTAACAGAGTCGCGCGAAGCTTGCGAAGGCTTCTTGTTACCGGAGGCCCCCGATTTCTGCTTGGTGGTACCATTGACTACAATGTCCATGTTATCGTCAGACTCGATCGCCTGTGCATCTTCATCATCAGAACCCAGTTTCTCTTCGAATTCATTCTTGAGCAACTGCTTTGCGCGAGCTTTCGGATCGGCCTTCTTTGATTGACCGAACTTTCGCCGACCGACTTCAGTCTCTGCATCGGGCTGGGCTTCCTCTCCGTTGAGTTCACGCTCGAGTTGGCGAAGCTCCGCATCATTCTGTTCCTTGCGAGCGGCGTCGGCGTTTTTCATAAATTTCATCTCAAAGAGGTCGGCATGAGGTCCCTTAACGGCACCCGAAGCATCGACAGGGCCTGTGAGAGTATTGAGTTTTCGCTGAATCTTCTCTCTTTCCACATCGGAACCTTGTTCGTTGAAAGGATCCTCATCTTCCGACTCGGAGCTGGAAGAGCTCAAGTAGTCATCATCTCCATTGGAAACACGCTTGCCCTCGATTCGTTTCCGTAGCTCTTCCTCTCGTTGAGCCAAATCGGCTGCGCTGTTGCGGGCCTCCTCGTCCCAGGCAGTGCGACCGGTCTCTTTCAAGCCCTTGGCCCATTTGCTGTCACGGTGCTTGGAGCCCATGCGGGCTTCGGCTCGCATGCGCTCGTTCTTCTCTTGATCCATGTCGTCCATATCCACGCCGGCTGCCTGAAGCGCCTCGCGCTCTTGTTGCTCCAGCTTCTCGCGCTCCTTGCGATGCACACGGCGGTAAGACTTGCTCTTGATCTTCTTGATACGCTTGGCGCGCACTTCCTCTCGGAAAAGAAGGTCACGTCGCTTGCGCAGTTCTGCCCGGCGTGCCTGAATCTCCTCGACCGGAATGTTGCGAGCTTGTAACTCCTCAAAGCTCTGGATCTGGTCCTCGGCCGTTTTACCTTCAGCCTCAGCCAGACCACTCTCCACAAGAATGTTCTGGATTGCGCTTTCTAGGTCTGTCTGCGGCTTGGCAGCTTCCAAACGGTGAGTCTGCTCGGCATCGGGATCACGGAGCGGGAAGGACAAGTGTTCGGCTCTGCGGTTGGCCTTCACAGTCTCGAGCCATCGGTTCAAAGTCTCCTTGCTCTTCTCGTAGGCAGCAGCCCGGTCGAGTCGATCCTGTTGGCGTTTTGCCAGAGGAGCGTCTAGCTTCCCCGGGATGCCCGTTTTTGATGCTTGGACCACAGCGTCGACATGTTTGAGGGAGTTTTTGAGGCGGGAGTCCGTGATCGAGGGCAGGAGATCGGCAATAGTCAATTTGTTCGAGGAAGTCAAGCCGTATTCCGATGGCTTGCCCTGCTCTTGTGACTTCTGAGTGCGTTTGGTAGGTTTCTCAGTCTCCATAGACTGGACAAAGTCTTGTAGTTTCGATAGTCCGTGAGGATCCACACTAGTATCATCGTCCGAGATAGAAAGATCGTCATCGCTGGCATCACCTTCACTGTCCCCCTCTGACCCAGAGTCCTCATCGCTATCGTCTCTCGCAGCTCGTCTGGCTTTCGCTGCGGCTTCCTTGGTCTCCTCCTCATCGGCCGCTGCATTCATATCCCAGGCGGTCGTGAGATCAACTGCGTCTTCTCCTAGGTCATCGTCCTCGTCGTAGTCCTCACCGTCAGATTCTTCATCTGACTCGTCGAAGTCCTCATCCAAGTTAATCTCTGAGGGCTTCTTAGGTTGAGGGGCCGCTTTCTTTGGCTTGAACGTGGACTTGGATGCGCGGAAAGTGAAGCCTTCGAATCGCTCTTCGTCGCTCTCACCGAGAGCTTCGTCGCTGTCTAGTTCACTGTCATCATCGCTGTTCACTTGTCCGAGTGTCCATTCATGTCCCTCGCTATCACTGCCGCCGTCAAGGCTTCCGCCATCCTCAGTTCTGCGGCGTTTGTGGTGGGGGGTTTCTTCGTCGTCGTCCTCGTCGTCATCGCCGCCGGTGGTTCTCTTGCGGCTGGAGCCATCGTCGTAGGCTCCTAGACGACTGCGTCGAACACCCAATCGGGTTGGGATTTGTTTCTCTGCAATAGCCAGTGCATTGAGTGACCGAGAGCTTTTCCGCTTCTGCGCTGGTTTCTGCGCTGAGCGGTCTTTCGGACCCTGCTTTTGTGTTTGGCTGCGAGGCATAGTGGAGGGGAAATCAAGGAAACCAAATTCCCTGAGTAAAAGAAGCTTCAAATCAGTACTAAAGAAAGTACCAAACGATCTGACGGCTTCTTTCAAGAGGGGTGTAGATGGTGTCGAACTTTTTTCCCGGCAGAAAAAAAGTTCTCGGCGCGGAGATTAGCGCGACCCGTTCATTCGTCGAGTTTTGACTGCCAACTCCCTCCGGACTATTCGACTCGCTCCATCCCTCTTCTTTTTCAACTACGAGGCATCGAAATTGTCGCCATAATGCTCAAACCCACACAGCCAATGATGGCGCGCTTGCGCTTGACCACCAAGCAAGTCAATGGTGGCTACTACAAGGGAAACCGAACCGGCTCCATGGGCCACTTCGACAAGCGAGGCACGTACATACCCGATGCGAAGAAGCACCGTTACTACGTGCCTGCGGAAAAACTCGAAATCCCAGGAAGACGTTACACCGCTGAGACTGCCAAGGAACCATTCATGGTGAGTATAGCAGGCCGTGGCACCACTTGGCTGATGCATCGGATTTGCTAACAACGCTTCAGCTCCACCCCTTCATCACGAAACACATGCGCAAGACACCGTCAAACTATGTTCAAGATATCGAGCGGAATGGTCGAAAAGTCACCGTGATCAGAGGATTCCAGGGGAAGGACTACTTAGAGAAGTGGGCCGAGACCGCTGAAGCCGAGGATGCCCGCCTAGCAGACTTCAATCGCAAGAATGAGGCCGAGGAGGCAAGTTCAAAAGCATAAGTGCAAGCGCAGACGACAGATCTGGTGGCCCTGGGAATACAGCCGAAGTTCCTGCATCGATTAGGACTCAAACCCGAAACCCAACCCCAACCCAACCCGAACACCAGATGAGTTCTCAGAAGGCCTCAGACAAGCGAATTGCCTACCGGAGCTTGTCTTTGTACTTTGAACCAACCATATGTGCAGCAGCCTAGGCGACTGGAAGTCTCTTGAGTTTTCTGCCAGTGGTCCAGCATACCATTCAAAAGCGTCTCTCCGGGGCAGTGTTCAGTAACTTTGTTGAGCTTTTTTTTCTATATCCGCTGGCCGTTTGAATATCCCATGTATTATAGTCTTTACAACATCATCTTAGATTGGATTATGGAGATTCCCGAGGCATCGGTGGACATCTGCCATTCTTAACATACGCATACTCTCCGCCGGGCTTGGAAGATCTGGCATCGGAGCAAAGGCAGCTTTGTATCATCTTAACGATTCTCACGGATTAGGCCACCAAAGATCCAGTGGCCTTGTGGTTATTTTCGTATCTATTTCATTGCCATAGTGCATCTTTCCTGATATTTTGATATCACCTACAGTACATAGTGCCGCCGATATTTGTTTATAGGCAATGTGTACTACATGTACGTAGGCGACGGCAAATAAATCTATACAGCGAGTCATGATCATTCAATTTACTCGTGTCTAGGTACACTACCTGATTACTGTGTATTAAAAACAACGAGAATGTTCCAGTGGCGATGTTTGTTAAGGTACCAAAATGAGTCCGCTCAGAGATGGGAGTGGTCTGTGCACACAGGCCGATAAGCCCGCCATGCTCTCCGTATCGGACCCCCGGCGACGGCGATGTCATAGTTCTTTACCTTTCCCTCAACCGACGGTGACGCAGGCTTGCCTTTCTTGCTTCACAGGCAGCTTGGGGAATCGTTTCATTTGCTCTGCAATTCTTTTCCGTTTTCTCTGCACGAAGCAGCTCCTGCGGCTGCCATGTTTCAATCTTTCACAGGAAACTCTCGTCGGCCGCGACAGGTGAACCTCAGTGGCCGGGCCAATAATCCATTCGCTGCATTCCCCGGAAACTCGCCTACTCGAAAACCCCCCATGCCGCGAACCCCGAGAGCGCAGTCGCCATTGCTCAGCGAGAACGAGCACTCAGACAGCTCGAGAGAGATCGACAAACCGCATGCCGCACCGTCCAGCGAGTTTGGCGGGGTCATCGCAGCAGGAAAGCAACATATGCGGAATGGAGTTCTGAATGGGATAACTTCGAGTGGGAGAGAGTCTGCAGCGCTTTGGGACTCGACAATAAAACGCGCCCAACGACGGATGTTGAGCGACTGGAGTACCTGTCACGTCTTTCCGCACCACCATATCCTACAGCGGAGCAATGTCTGGGCCAGCTCAGGATTTTGGTCCAGTTTGTGGGATCGGTAAAGAGCCAGGAAGATGTCTTACGCCTGGTATACTTCTGCCAAGTGCTTCAGCAGACCTTCCATGCTCTTCCGACGATTGCCACAGAAGGTGAATGGACCGAGCTATTGAAAAGACTGGCTATCGCTATTTTCCGTGCCCTCAGCTCGGCCACGCAAACCCCGACTCACGGAGCGGCAGTTTTGCCCCTGCTCCGGACAATGGTCTTCTTGGTCGACTTGATACCGAAAAGGATGGCAACGATTGCGGAGCAATACTATCAAGCGATGGCATACTTGACAAAGAACATCGCGCTGTTGGGAGACCTGTCACCGGAACATCTGACGGGCGCTGTTTTGGCTCTTCTTCGACCGATTACCTCGGAAACCATGACTGCATATGAAGCTCTTGCCATGTCATATCTCACCATTCCAAACCTGGCCGCATTTCTTGGTGGACTTGAGGGGATGGCACATCAAATCAACTATAAACTATTGGCTCCCGCAATCGAATCATGCATTGCTTCAGCTAAGGGACGCCCATCCGTCGAGGATATCGAAGCTCGACATTGGCTGCTTGCATACTTGATCTTCTTTCACCGATATGCTTCTCCGGGCCAAGCTAGTTTGCAAACACCCGACCTAGGATTCTTAAATGTGGTCTCTGAATTACTGAATTCAACATCCGCATACCTCACACGGTGCTTCGAGGTGGATGAATCGAACGATCCGGGTACAATCAGTGGTCCTTCATTGCATCCATTTGTCAAGGAGCAAGTCAGTAGCCTCGTTAACCAAAGCAGCATCACGGGTTTACTTTCTCGCATCAACACACCCAACCTTTCTCAGACAGACCCATCCGATAGAGTATCAGAGGCATCGAGAGAAGCCAAAATACTCGCCAAATATGCTTTAAACTTGTTGAGGGTGTTCCCTCGGCGCGGAGACGACATTCGAATGTGGTTATACCTGGGCTCAGCGCCTTCGGCGGTCTCTGGCCAACCCGGCACGAAGATACCGGCGATCAAATACTTCTGGCAGGCATCTAGATCCAGTCGGGTCTTCCAATCCATTAGCAAAGACTCGACTAGGGTTCTTCCATTACTGCAAGAACCGGAGGATGGGAGTCGATACGAACAAGACCAGGACTGGACGATCATTCTCCTCTTTCTCGAGCTTTACACGTTCGTTCTGAAAGTCATGGACGACGAAGAGTTCTTCTCAGGTGCGTCGCCATTTGCAGCCTCAGCCAATGTCCAGTCTTCGTGGACAAAAGAGAGTGCGCTGCCTCTGGAAGACATCAAAAGCATGACTATTTTCCTCAAGAATCTCGCATTCACTCTTTACTGGAATGTTGCCGATTTGACGAAGAAAGGGCCCGTTCCGTCATCCACTGTGGATCTCAGAAGCTATTTCAATCACTCAACGCAATTACCTGGACTGAATGAGTATTCCGAAGCGGGTGCTAGGGAGGGGGATGGATCTAATGACCTTCCCGGAGTGACAGGCATCCCGCTTGACTATTTCAAAGGGTTGGTTACTGGCTTATTGAGAATGCTGCACGAGAGAGAGTAAGTCGACAAGTTATTACTGCATGACTTAGACATCTGTAACTGACATGCTTCTAGTTCTCGGCGAAAGTTCCTCCCTCAAGATCACTGGCTCATGACGGATCGTTTTGACATGGAAGGCTTTATTCCAGCTGTCGTGGCAGAAGAAGAGAAACGGCATGAATTCCAAGATGATGATGAGGATGGCGAGCCTGATCTGCTCGACGATGAAGATCAGGAACCCTCTCACCTTATTGGTAACAGCCATGCACGACGATTGATCAACATTCAGGCTATGCGAGAGCGTCAACGCAGACAAGCCCACAAGCATGCTTTAGCTGCCATTGCTCCTAGGTTGGAAATTCTTCGAAATATGCCTTTCTTCATCCCATTTGCCACGAGAGTGCAAATCTTCCGTCAATTCATACTTAGAGATCAACAACGTCGCCGTAAAGGCTTCGTCGACCCCGAATCCTGGCGCTTGTCTGTGGCCCAAACTTCCATGCTGACTGGAGCATCTGAGAGTGCAGCAAATATCTTGGCCCGACACCACGCTGACATTCGCCGGGAAAGCGTGTTCGAAGATGCATACTCTCAATTTTACAGCTTGGGTGACGGTCTCAAGGAGCCAATCCAGATCAGCTTTATTGACCAGTTTGGAGCAATGGAAGCCGGAATTGATGGCGGCGGTGTGACAAAGGAGTTTCTGACCAGCATCACGGCAGAAGCATTCAGAACGGATGATCACGAGAGCATGTTTGCAGAAAATGACCACCATCTGCTGTATCCAAGCCCGACAGCGGTTGACCAGCTCAAAGCGGTACTCAGCGAGGCAGGCCTCACAAGTTCAAGTATTGAATGGCAGGATGACGTGCGTGGTCTTCTTCGACGCTATGAATTCCTCGGTCGAGTCATTGGAAAGTGTCTCTATGAGGGAATATTGGTCGATGTCAACTTTGCACCATTTTTCCTTCTGAAATGGGCCTTAACAGGAGGCTCCAGATCTGCGGTGAAGGAATCCTCTTATCGCGCGAACTTGAACGATCTGAAAGATCTCGACGAGGGGTTGTACCAAGGTTTGGTAAGTGAGGTCACTCGACTAGGTTGAGATTTCCTTTCTGTTTGTGAACCCGCAGCTGACCGGTTTGTTCTATTAGTTACAACTGAAGAATTACCCCGGCAATGTGGAAGACTTTGGCCTCGACTTCACCGTCAATAATATCATTCGGATGCCCAGTGGAACCAACCGCACTGTCACAGCAGAGCTGAAGCCAAACGGCTCGCAGACCCCAGTGACGAACAAGAACAGATTGGTCTACATTTCCTACATGGCTCGTTACCGCCTGCAGGTGCAACCTGCTCTTCAGACCAATGCTTTCTTGCAAGGTCTGGGTCAGATCATTCAACCCGCCTGGTTGTCTATGTTCAATCAATCCGAGTTGCAAACATTGGTGAGCGGAGACAAGGCCGACATTGATGTGGAGGACCTGCGTCGCAACACTCAGTATGGAGGTGTATACGTGATAGGTGATGATAATCTGGAGCACCCAACTATTGCATTGTTCTGGCAAGTCATGCATGAGATGACCAACGAAGAGCGGCAAAAAGTTATCCGATTTGTGACGTCTACTCCTCGAGCTCCATTGCTCGGTTTCAGTCACCTTCGACCCCATTTCAGCATCAGAGACTCCAGCGAGGACCAGGAACGACTTCCGAGCACCAGCACCTGTGTCAACCTTCTCAAACTACCACGGTACTCTGACGCGGAGACATTGCGGAGCAAGCTCTTGTACGCAGTGAGCTCTGGTGCCGGATTTGACTTGAGTTGATGTGACTCTTTTTCTATTCTTTTGTTCATGTTAGGCAGGTCTCTGCCCTACTGTGTAGATCATTTATTATGCGTGCATAGCATGGGCGTGAAATACAGAGATTCTTATTGGTGCACATGAGTTGATAGTAAATTGTAGGACCTTAGGGCTCTTTAAGTGATACTAGTCATGCCAAAGTCTTAGGAAGAATGAGAAGATTAAAGCAGCATGTTTTCTCTCAGAATTCTCTTCAAAGAAAATATCAGCATACCCGAGCCAGGGATCGACTTCCATACTTCCGCATAGCCCTTAAAGCGGCATGCCCCCACTCCCAAATAGGACTAGTGTATCCATCTCGTGCTGCCTCTTGAGTTTTCCAGAATCAATTGCTTTGGTTCAACTTTTTCTTCCTACAACCCCCCTCTCTATCTCCGTCTTCTCTCTTTCTAAAGGGAATCCTTCCTTTTTCTTTTCGAATCCTTATCGAAAGATAAAAATCTCAAAAAAACACGAAAAACCCCCAGAAAATTTTTTCCAGTTATCTTATCTCATCCCGATTGTGCGGTGTGTGTGGAAGATTTTCTTTCAACGCCTCATCTTCGCTTTCACCTGGTTAGTCAATCTCGCCTTTATCCCTCTCCATTCGACTCTCTGTCTTCCCACGATCTGGTCATCGCTGCAGACACTTCCATCTTTCGCTTCTCTCTCACCCGCATATGATTCGGCTTCCCCGCTAACCGATACCAGTGCTTTTCGCTCAAGTGAAATTTCTCTAAACTCTTTGTTCGGACACCTTGCTGTATGGACCCCTCGCTTTCCATTGATTTTCCTCCCCTCGTGTTTCTCGTCTCTTCTTTGAGTGCTTGCCAAAGAGACTGCATCAACTGCGGTGTAACCTTATCTCATATGCCTCCTTGATTCCCCTCCCCCTCTCCGCGATAGGCTCGGCACGCACATGCTAAGACGATCTTAACCTTTAGTGAAAACATCCATCATCATGTCTGCTGAGGCTCCCACCACCGCTCCCGCCGCTGAGCCTGTCGTCAATGGCACCCCTGAGGCAACCCAGGCCCCCGCCGAGGCTGCTCCTGAGGCCGCCGGCGATGCTGCCAACAACCAGCCCCACTCGGCTTCCCTCTATGTCGGCGAGCTTGACCCCTCCGTGACCGAGGCCATGCTCTACGAGCTCTTCTCTTCCATCGGCCAGGTCGCTTCCATCCGTGTCTGCCGTGATGCTGTCACCCGCCGTTCCCTCGGTTACGCCTACGTCAACTACAACAACACCGCTGACGGTGAGCGTGCCCTTGAGGACCTCAACTACACTCTCATCAAGGGCAAGCCTTGCCGCATCATGTGGTCCCAGCGTGACCCCGCTCTGCGCAAGACTGGCCAGGGTAACGTCTTCATCAAGAACCTCGACAACGCCATTGACAACAAGGCTCTCCACGACACCTTCGCTGCCTTCGGTAACATTCTCAGCTGCAAGGTCGCTCAGGATGAGTTCGCCAACTCCAAGGGCTACGGTTTCGTTCACTACGAGACCGCCGAGGCTGCCAACAACGCTATCAAGCACGTGAACGGCATGCTGCTGAACGACAAGAAGGTCTTCGTCGGCCACCACATCTCCAAGAAGGACCGCCAGAGCAAGTTCGAGGAGATGAAGGCTAACTTCACCAACATTTACATCAAGAACATCGATCTCGAGATCACTGACGATGAGTTCCGCACCATGTTCGAGCAGTTCGGTGAGATCACCTCCGCCACTCTCAGCCACGACCAGGAGGGCAAGAGCCGTGGATTTGGTTTCGTCAACTACGCCAACCACGAGAGCGCCGAGGCCGCCGTTGCTGAGATGAACGAGCGGGAAGTTAAGTCCCAGAAGCTCTACGTCGGCCGTGCCCAGAAGAAGCACGAGCGTGAGGAGGAGCTGCGCAAGCAGTACGAGGCTGCCCGCATGGAGAAGGCCTCCAAGTACCAGGGTGTCAACCTTTACGTCAAGAACTTGACCGACGACATTGATGATGAGAAGCTCCGTGACCTGTTTGCTCCCTACGGTACCATCACTTCCGCCAAGGTTATGCGTGACGCCGCTGAGCGCTCGCCTACCCCCGAGGCCGAGAAGGAGGGCGAGGAGACCAAGGAAGCCAAGGAGGGTGAGGAGAAGGAGAAGGAGGTCAAGACCGAGGAGAAGGAGACCACCGAGGAGAAGAAGACCGAGGAGGGTGAGGAGTCCGAGGAGAAGAAGAACGAGAAGAAGGCCTTCGGCAAGAGCAAGGGCTTCGGTTTCGTTTGCTTCAGCAGCCCCGATGAGGCCTCCAAGGCCGTCACTGAGATGAACCAGCGCATGGTCAACGGCAAGCCCCTCTACGTTGCTCTCGCTCAGCGCAAGGATGTCCGCCGCAGCCAGCTTGAGGCCAGCATCCAGGCTCGCAACACTATCCGCCAGCAGCAGGCCGCTGCCGCTGCCGGTATGCCCCAGCCTTACATGCAGCCCGCTGTCTTCTACGGTCCTGGCCAGCAGGGCTTCATGCCTCCTGCCCAGCGTGGTGGCATGCCTTTCGCTCCTCAGCCCGGTATGATGCCCGGTATGCCCGGCGGTCGTCCCCAGTACCCCGGTCCCTTCCCCCAGGGTGGCCGTGGTATGCCCCCCAACCAGATTCCTCCCAACTTCCAGGGTATGCCCATGGGCATGCAGGGTCCTGGTGGTGTCCCTAACGGCATGGGCTTCCCCATGGCTCAGGCATATGGACGTGGCGGCGGTGGCCGTGGCCAGGTTGGCGGTATGCCCATGAACATGCGTGGCGGTCCTGGATTCGGTCGTGGTGGTCCTCAGATGGGTCGTGGCCGTGGCCAGCCCGCTCCCGGTGCCCAGCCCGCTGGCGAGCCCGCCTCTGCCAACCAGGCTCTTCTCGCCGCTCCCCCTGCCCAGCAGAAGCAGATGCTCGGCGAGGCCCTTTACCCCAAGATCCAGGCTCAACAGCCCGAGCTTGCTGGCAAGATCACTGGTATGCTGCTTGAGATGGATAACGCTGAGTTGCTTGGCTTGTAAGTTACACTTTCTACGTTTTTATTATATGTGACAGGTGCTAACCTCCTTCCAGGCTCGATGATGAGGAGGCTCTCCGCGGCAAGGTCGATGAGGCCCTTAACGTCTATGATGAGTACATGAAGAACAAGGGTGATGGTGAGGCTACCGAGGCCAAGCCCCAGGAGGCCGCTAAGGAGGCCCCTGCTGAGGAGAACAAGTCTTAAATGACATGTTTTACTCTCTTGTCTTCTCGGAAATCTTTGGACGCACGTTAATGACGACTTTTCCTTTCTCTACCATTCTTTGTTACCTCCTTTCACCCTTTCTACCCTTACTTCTCCATGTCTGATCCTGATATCCTCCCTCGGTTCGAAAAGTTTGTTCTTAGGCAGCCACCTCTTTGGTGTTTAGTGAATGCGGTATGACATCCGCAATGTTCTCTACAGTTCTTTCTCCGATTTCCCTAGTCATTACCTCTACTGTACGTTTACAATTGCTTGCATTGGGCTACATTGGTATCTTTTTGGAGATCGAAGAAGCTATGCAGGGACCGGTAAAAGTCTTGATATTTTTCTTCTAGGCGCTGGGTGTGGTTCCTTTGACTGTGCTTTTCGCTTTTCTTATTCCGCTTTTTGTTTTTGTTTTCTTCAATTGGGAGGCATTCTTGTGGTTCGTCTTGCTGGTATGATTGTCTGAATAAATTGAAGAGTTCCTCGAAAGGTTCGGTGGTCCTTGTGTTCTTGGGATACGAAGAGAGCAGCCTTGACAATCAATGAGACTCAAGTTTGATGATTGCCTGTATCAATGTAGTCAGTAAGTGGTAGCCAACCCTAGTACGGCCTAATCCAGAAGCGATTCCAACCTGAGATATCCATATTCCCACCTCATCCCCAGTGCAACTCCATTCCTCTCACTCAATATTTCCGAAAAAGCATCTCACGATTAATGCTCACCCTCCCCGCCACAACCTCCTGCCGATAATGATCTGCCTGCAACTCCGCAGCGGCATAAATCGAAGCCTTGTTCGAATGATAATTCCCAGGCACCTTGATAGAGATGCACAGAGGGTATGCGTGGTGCATCGGACGGACGGAGATAGTCGCAGCGCCGGTGCGGATGTAGGTTGCGACTAGACGTAGCAGGTCTTCATCGGAGGCTGTCGAGTCGCGGGCGTTAAGGAAGACAGTGACCCAGTTGTTCACTTGGCGTGGGTTGTGTTCGGGTTCGGGGATTAGGGTCCCGTCGCAGTAGAACATGCTTTGTCTTTGCATTTTGATGGATTTTTGTTTTTGTGGGAGGTTAGAGATAGAGAGATATGTGTGTGTGAGAGAGACAGAGATAGAGAGATGGAGAGGGGGAAAGTGTGTGTGAGAGAGAGGCGTCGAGTGAGCTCGAGATCCAGGATGTAGGCATAGGGTGGTGCTTAAATACTGCTGGCTGATGGGTAGGTTGTCGTCTTGTTTGTAGACTTAGAGGACAATCATAACAAGGGGATTGATCCGGTCTTTCACCGGTAGATGCCCTTTCGACTCTTTGTATGCGGCCGGCTTTGAGAGATAGCTCGAGAATCAACGAATCGAGTAAAGGTTCTCGGTCTATTCTGATATCAGGTGAGTAGAGGAGGGTCCGCTAGGTCTACTCTTCCTCGCTGGATGGAATACAGTCTATACAGAGTCCTACATTCCCTTCGGCCCTGTTGAGATATCTTTCCTGGATAGAACGACAACCTCACACTTTTCTACTGGACTATGGGGAACCTTCGATGTTTAAGGAAAGTAGTAAAAGTCATACAAGGATAAAGCCGTCAATAAAAGCAGATAGCAGATTTCCTGATTTCTTCTTGGGTTGTTGGGCTTGGTGGGTTTAAGAGAGTGATTCGAAGGGAACATCTAACGTTCAAGGAGTTGTGGTTGTTGTGTCTGGAGAAAAGTTGAGAAATGAAGAAAGTCCGAAACAATCAATTGTGTTTCCTTTGTTTCTAAAACCAATGAACTGGATCATCGACCCCTGCCAACCCCTGTAGAATAGTTCTGTACAGATTGATTTAGGAAATGTTCCAGAAAGATTCACTTCACCAGTTTCATGAGCCATAAAGAGACGACCAAAGAGACACAAACTATAGAGCAGATCAGGAGCCACAACCACAACCCAAGAGGCCTCAAAATGCCTTTGTCGCAATATAAGACTGATTGCTTTGTACTAACTAAAATGGAGACAAAATATCAGTATGATCATGTCTTAGTAGCCAACATCTAAAGACTCCAAACATCCTATATCTACCGCAAAGTGCCTAAGCAGACTTGAAATCAGACAGAAAAGACAAGAACCAGCCATCGTAGCATCTAAGGAAGCGAAAGCCGCGCAGATCTCTAGACAGCAGCAGTCTTACGACTGAGAATCAAGGTCAGTCGATCCAAGTCCGAGCCACAGTCCAACATCCCAGCTAAACAACACTTCAATCCGAAGGAATGTTATACCAAAACGGAAGAGAAATGCGAGAACTCGCATACAACCCTCGCCAGATTACCCACTGGGTGAACGTATTCTTAGACGCACACGACTGCAGATGCGACGATCTCGCCATAATGCGCACGGTCGTGACTTGTATACGGACCCAAGTGGTCAGCATTACGGAGGTTGCGATGCATCATAATTTTCCGCGGTGTATCTCGATCCAGGTCCCTGGAGACCATCATGATAGAGAGTCGATTCTCGCTGCTGCCGAGTTGTCGGCGGAGTATCTTCGCTCGCAGGTGGCGCTGGGGTCTGTCTGTATCAATCGGGCTAGGCTTTTCCGGGCGAGATAGTATCTTCTGTACTGGTGGCAGTTTTAGAAGGCGTTTAGTGGTGTTTGGGTTTTGGCAGCGAGTTGATATTCGAGTGTGGGATCTACCGATGTTTGAGTGAGGCCATAGTTGCTCTTGCTGTTTGATTATGTAGCAATAAAACATTAACAGGAACATTAGAATCACGTTTGCCTTATGGGACTTTAACGCAAGAAAGAGTGCACACAAATTGAAATGGTGCCTTATCATCGCCCCAAAGCTGAAGAGTGAAGATCTCCCAAGGGCCAAGGCTGTTCGGGTGGGGCTCGAACCCCCGGATTTGCTGACTAAAATATTTTCCCCCCGGCCTTCAAACTCCCCCCGGTCTTCAGGGCTTCAACTACCGCCATCACCCGTTCTTCGGTGATTTGCGCCGTGATGGTGTTAAAAAAATGTCCCATCTGTTCGAGAGTGTTCAAAAAGACCGAACACTACAAAAGACATGAGCGGTCGCGTCAGTAACTCTTGAATTACTAGACATGAGCACCAACCTAACATGCAAAACAGACACCAAGGAACGCCCATACGAATGCAATGTCTGCCACAAGCGCTTCTCTCGGAGGTGAATCTTACCGCAGTAGCATGTCTCATTGAATTTCCTGTACCAGTAACTAATGAGTGTACAGCGATGTCTTGAGCCGACATGCCAAGGGCCATAATCAAGCCGACGCGGCAGCGGGTCCACCAGTACCAAACCAGCGGTCATCATTGATTGCAGGTACATCGTCAATGCTCGTCGGATCAGGAGATGATTACATCGGCGTAGAAGCACAGATGCCAGCTCTCATGGCTCCGAGAGGGGCGCCTCTCCCATCCGGGCTCCCATCGTCCCTGGATTATCTTGCCGATATCTCAGCCCACCATGGCCGCGTCGAGTCAGAGATCGGCGCAATGGTCATGGACGAACAGCAGCCGTATTTTGGCTGGAATGAAGTCACGCCGGCGGATCAAGCGTCACATCGAGCTGGCTTGGCCTTTGACCCTGTGCCGAAAGATATGCTACAAATGTGGCTTGAGCCTCGCGATTCAGCATCAAATGGCTCGCTGGATCCCATGCGCGATAGCCAATTTCCTTCGATGAGTGGTAATTGCATGCTCCCCTCGGACCAGCAGGGTCAGCATACAGCCGATAGCAGCGGCAACATTCCCAATGAGCGGTTTGATAGAGTTCAGCGGTGCTGGTTGGCCCCATCGAATACTGGACGTCTCATCAATAGCTTGTGGGGGGATATCACTCTCTCCTCTGTGGACAATATCTTTTCTATTCATTCGTTATATTATTCCGGTGAGCCGGATGTCAGTCAAGCATTACGGCGCGGATTCGACGAGGAATGCAGACGACGTCTGCAGGCAGCTTTTGGGGAGATGACTCCTTCACATATGCAATCTCTCATGAATAGAGGTCATCCAGACACGCCTGTCTCGACTTTGAATCATTCTGAATTTCCTCCTGCTGAGATCCTTGATATGGCATTAGACCTATTCTTCCGTCTCTTCCATCCGCTCCTGTCGTTTGTCCACCTTCCGACCTTTTCGGCGAGGAAAACGCGTCCATCTTTATTATATGTCATGACGCTGATAGGCATGACATTGCTTGGTACTAAAGGAACAACAGCTTTTGTGTCCAGGAATTTCTCGGCAAGTCCAACATTATCAAATGTATGAGATACCAGTCACTGACAGTCTTTTAGAGTGCCTTAGAGAAGGTTTCCACTGAATTTGCTCGATGCTCAGTGGGACTTGAGAGCGCTTCTGGGACGATGACCTTATTTGCGACAGCTTTGCTCTTATTGAACTTGGCTGGTCTGACAGGGGTAAGACATGGATACCTGGTCTAGTGTGATTTCTGTGGATCTTGAATACTAACCAATATTGTTCTCCAGGAAAAAGATCACCTAGAACAATGTCAACCACTGTATATCAATGTCATATCTGTGAGTTTGAAGATCGCCATTCTGTACTTCCGGTCTATACGGTTCTGATGGTCGGATTGCAGGTTGCCCAAAGGCATGGGCTATTTTCTGCCTCCGAAGGGCAAATCCTTGACAAGACTCTATTCGAAAGAGTTCCTGATACTGACATGAGATGGAAGGCTTGGAGCAAAGTCGAGTCAACCAAGAGGTACGTCGCAACTGACCATTTGTGCAATACACTACTAACAATATGGAAGAATAATCATCGGACTTCTTCTCTTGGATTCTTGGTACTCCTCATTCCTCTCGACAGGTCCAATCATAGTTCCAGACTCGATCCAACTCATACTGCCCTGCAGCGAATCCCTCTTCCAGGCTCACTCCTCTGTACAATGGACCCATATAGTCCGAAACGGCAAGCGTATCATCTCATCAACAATCCTCGCACCGTCTGAGAACGTCGACATCCCCACCTTAGATACTCCCGCAGATGGCTACTCTATCCAAGCGGTACTGGCAATAATTCACATCCGTCAACTAGAAGCCTACCACCGCCTTCTGTCCAATAGATCCAGCTACCCTTTCGCCCCATGCCACACTTACGCCATGGATGGCAGAGCCAGATGTCTCCCCTCACTTCAATCCCAACTTATCGCAAACTACGGCGACCCCCTCGACCGCCTGAACCCCAACTCTCTCATCATGTGGCACTATATGTGCATGACTCTCACGGCCGATCTCCAAATATTCGACCTCGCCGCTGGCCGCGCAGGCCCGGCTCCTGCGCGCAAGGCCCTAGACGACATCCGCGAGTGGTCGCAAACACCTGCAGCCAGACGCGCGTGTCTTCATGCTGCACATATCTACAAAGTCATGGCGAACCGCAAAACCTCCGACCATTCTACGTTCCAATCTATGTTTTCGCTCTTCTCAGCTGGTCTAGTCCTCGGCCTGTATACATTCATGGTGGCGGAATCGACGAGTTCGTCGTCCAGTGTCGAGTCAGTGGAGTTGATGGAGGACGTTGGCTGGAGGTTAGTAGGGACGGAGGGGTTCACGAGCTTCATGGAGCCTGAAGGGAGTCAATCTTTCGCACCGGCTGATGACCCTGCTGTGAACTTTATTCGCAACGGGGCTACTATCTACTTGCGAGGCTCGTCGCTCCAGGGTGGATATCAGTCCGCACGTCGGATTCTCCTCGATTATGCCTCCCTTCTCAAAGACTCCGGAAAGTGGAGTGTCAAGAAGTTCTCTTACATTCTATACATTATGAGCGATGTCCTCATGGATGTGGAATGACAATAACCGCAAAACAAATCAAAAGCATCACATTATACTCTCATATCCACTATGCCTCTCATACCTACGCAACACCAACCCACCACGGCTGGTAAGCAAGAATGCGGTCAATGTCTACCCACTCCCTAGAAGCAACAATCTCCAGCCAATGCCAATCAGCAACATCGGCTGCGTACCCCAGAATATGCTCACGTCGCGGCCCACGTCCTACAGGCAATGACAGACAGCACGGTTGATCGTGATGCAGGGGTCTGAGGGAAATAGTAGCATCTCCGGATCGGCACCGCTCAGCCACCAGCCGCATCATGCTCTCGCTGCTGGTTGGTCGGAAGCGTCCGCTGGCCATACTGAAGTGTACAGTTACCCAGAGAATGGGCCCCTCTGGCTCGAGGATGTTGGAGCCATCTGCGCGGAAGAACATCCCTCGTCGTGGCATCTTGAGAACTCGGAAGGGTGTGTTGAGACACTGGTTTCGGATGATTGGTTTAGAGGGACTCTCCGTGAGTTGGGGATTTCGTCGAGGGATGAGGGTTCATTCATATACTTCACTCTGTCCTAGTCCGTGGATAGATGCCTTTTTCGAGTCTTTGTTAGAAACAATACCCTTTTGTCTCTTTCAATTCTATCTATGCACCGCATTCTCTCTTTGTCTGTATAGCCATAGGCATGAGCTCGCTGTCTTCATGCTGTAACTCAGTCTATAGGATTTTGTAAGAACTTTAGCACAATGAAAGATGTAGGGTAGGTCATTGAAATTATGTAGACGTCTGTACGGAGTATACAGCTTCGGTTAATTGTGGCAGGTTGTATACTTTCGAGTCCTATACTTGATAAGCGTGCGGGTGATCCCGGTCTAAGCTCGGGGTCGTCTATCACTCCCGAGGCCCATCCCGAGATTGCGGGGATGCTCCTTCCAGTTATTACCCCCCAGCTCGTTCCTTCCTCGCATATTGCTGGTCGGCTGCGCCTGCCAGAAAATGTCCGCACGTGCTCTCTTTAAGAATATTAAGCTTATAAACAAGCTTCCCACCCGCGGCTTTTCCACCACCGGCCCCGCCAATGCAGACTTCACACATGCGGTACGTGCATGATGGCATCCTCGGGCACGAATACAACCATACTGGTAACTGACCTATTAAAACTACCAGGTAATCGGCGCCGGCGTCGTCGGCCTCGCAACAGCACGACAACTAGCAGCACGCGAAGGCACATCAACAATCCTCCTAGAGCGCCACGACGCGCCAGGAACCGAGACAAGTAGTCGCAATTCCGAGGTACGCCAGACAACCGCAACACCCCTACAAGACCACAAGCAAGCAACAAAAAACCAACACATTTGGCAAAGGTAATTCACGCAGGCCTCTACTACCCCGCAACCTCCCTAAAAACCACCCTCTGCATCCGCGGCCGCAACCTCCTCTACGCCCTCTGCTCAAAGCACAACATCCCGCACCTCAACACCAAAAAATGGATCGTCGCGCAAACCCCCGAACAATGGGAAGCATGTCTAAAAATCCACTCCCACGCGCAATCCCTCGACGCGCCCACCCGTCTAGTCAGCGCAGACGAAGCCCGTCGCCGCGAACCAGCCGTCAAAGCCGACGCCGGCATCGTCGAGAGCCTGACAACCGGCATCGTCGACAGCCACTCTCTGATGACATATCTCCTCGGCGACTTCGAAGATCGCGGCGGGGACGTAGCGTTCAAGACGCGCGTGACCCGCGTCGAACCCATTGATGCCGGCCGCGGCGGATACAGTATTACCGCTGTGTCGGACGAGGATGGGTCTGAGACGTCTATTACGGCTGAGACGCTGGTTAATAGTGCGGGACACGGGGCTTGTGCGATTAGTAACATGTTGCTTCCAGCGGAGAGGCATTTTGTGCCGCATTATGCGAAGGGGACGTATTTTTCGTATGGGGCGAGTTCGCCGAAGACTTCGGTGCTGGTTTATCCGGCTACGTTGCCGGGTACTGGGGGGCTGGGCACGCATCTTACGCTTGATATGGCTGGAAGGGTAAGGTTTGGGCCGGATGTGGAGTGGGTTGATAGTCCGGATGATTTGCGGCCTAGTGCTAAGAGGTTGGAGTTGGCGTTGGCGGAGATTAGGGCTTATTTGCCTGGTGTTGATGTTGATGCTATTTCGTTGGATTATTGTGGGATAAGGCCTAAGTTGGGGAGGGGGGTGCTGTTAATGAGGGGAAGGGTTTCCAGGACTTTATTATTCGGGAAGAGGAGGGTTTGCCTGGATTTGTTAATTTGTTAGGGATTGAGAGCCCGGGGCTGACAGCTTCGTTGGCTATTGGTGAGATGGTGGATGGGATTTTGTATCGTTAGAGATGTGGTTTTGCATGGTTTCTTGTAGATACTCCATGGGGCTTTGCTGGTACATAGAGATGAATGGAGGAGACCTGAGGGAAAATGGATCATCAGGCTGAAGAGTTGGTGACAGCACAGAGCTAATGCATATATGGATTGAGCTGTATTCTTAGCGTACTGCTAAAGCAAAAACGCCTAAGAATGCAAACGTGAATCAAGCCTCTCGACAACCTAGCGTCATCGCACATGCATTCAATAAAGCAAGTTATCGGTATGCTAGAACAAAAGCGAAAGGAAGAGAAACCGACTCCATGTATGAGATGCTAACAAGCAACGCCCAGCGTCTATGCAAAGGCCTAAGCATCTCCAACAACCTCCTAAGCGATAGCAAACTAATCATTTCAAGCCAAAGCCTTCGCTATTGACCACCGCTTCCCAGAAAAGCTCAAGGAATTTCTCCCGCGTCGAATAGCGGTAAAGGCCCAGCGTGTTGAAGCACGTACGCGCAATCGGGTAACGGTGGCAGTCATCCCCAAGACAAGCAAGCTTGATGACGAGGCTTGTGGCGCCCATCGCCGGGATTCGATCGCTGCCAGTAATGAAGGACAGAATCTTGCGCTGTGCTTTGGGTCCTGCATTTTCAAAGAATTCCCAGAACCATCGTACTACAGGGAGTGTGTCTGGTCGTGGATGGGACCAGTGGTCGTAGGTGGCCACAGCCCGGAGAGAACTAACATCGAGTGGTTCATCTGACCCGCAGACAAGTAATTCGATCTCCTCAGGCCGGAACAAGGATAGCGCATTGCCACTGCAGACAGTGAAGAAACCGCGTTTGAAAGGTTCGAATTGTCGAGCGACGGCCGTGTCGAGCATGTATCTAACATACAAGTCCACAAACTCGCGCCGGTTGGAGTTGGTCACGGGCCGATTCTCGCCATTGGCGCAGAGCGGCACGCTGATGACTTCGCCGTAGCGATCAACCTGGGCAACGAAATCGTAGCAGAATGTCTCCTCGACATTGCCTTCAAATTCCAGTAGGCCCCGGAGTCCTTTGGCGAGAGCTGGCCGGAACTCAGCAAGGTCTTCCAGAGTGCACTTGAAGTTTGAACGCAAGGCGGTAGCCATCTGTGGCCCACTAGTGTGCGGCGCCGCCGACAGCAGTTTCTTGAATGCAAACGGCGGCAGACCAACTTCAAGGATGGTGGAATTGTAGATAGCGAGTCCCAAAAGTACTCCAACTAGATAAAACTGCTCGGACGACTCGAAGCAATGCGGGTTGAAGTAGCAATGCTTCGAATCATCATCGTAGACAAAGAGACCTATGCTGCATTAGCCAGTTACTTAACTCTAGAATTAAAAAGCGCTTACCATGATCTGGATCGAAGATCTCTCGGACGAGCAGAAGGAACCACTCCTTTCGCAGGCCACCGGCGTCAATGCCTTCCTCTCCTAAGAACTCAACCCGGAGACCCTTTTTGATCTCTTCTTGGCCAGTACCAACAACTTCACCGATCCCTTTGAGGCTATCCTCAACCAAGCATTCGCGCCGCACCTTCAGCACAAGATATTGACTAACCGCCCTGTGGTTCAGGACGCTGTTAAAGAATGCATCGCGTGCTTTCACTTCCATTTGGCGACGTGCGTCATGCTCCATGATGTGGATTTTCGCCCAGATGCTGAGAAGGAACGGGTATTGACAAAACGAAAACTTCGAGACCCTAGATTCCCAGATTTCGAAATCCGCCACTAAATCCGAATAGTCCAGCAAGGTATTGTAGAATGCGCTGATTGGTATCATGTTGCCCTGGCGAGGACCTGGGTTCTTAGGTAAATCGAGGTTGCGTGGGGTTCCATCGGATTTCCTCGTAGAACCGGAGATGTTGGCCGCGAAGAACAGCGACAAGACCCTTGCTGCAGCTCTGATCTGCCAGTCCTCCTCATATATAAAGGGGGTTTCTGTCTCTTTCTTCTTGTGCGGGCCCCTTCGACTGATGGCAGCATGAAGTTCCGCAGGGGTGTTGCCCGAAGCACTGGTGAAACTCGGTATCAAGTCATCGCCATTTCCCTTTTGTGGCTTCTCAGGGCGTTTCCGCCCATGTTGGCGGCTCAAACGATAATTGAGGAATCCACCAACAAGTTCTACCAATCGCTCGAAATGTCTGATAGAGAAACGCGCAGCCCAAGACACGAAACAGTGATGGCAATCATTGGGCAAGTTGGACATGAGTCCCAAAATGCGCTTGATAAGACCGTAGTGATGGTTAGAGCCCTCCGAGCGAGAAGGAGGTATGGACGACTCTTTGTGTGGACGATGGCCGTCTCGACCTGCCGACTTCGGATAGTCCTTTGGATGTGATGGGCGCCTGGCTTCACGCTGAGATGGCCCAGGTGCTGGGTTTTGAGCATAGGATGCAGGTGAAGACAAGAGAGGATTTGCTAGCAGAATGAACAGGAATCTGGTATCTTCTGGTTTCTTCAAGAGACGGCGGGGGCGCTTGAGAAGATTTTCTGTGGCCTTCAATAGGACCCGTTGTAAGTGTAGACGGGACTCGCTGATTTCTCCTCCAATCAAGGAAGGATCTATGGATTCCCATCTCCTTGCTCGCATTGAATCTGCTTCCGATCGTGTGGGGTCAGGCTTTTTGGCCTTCCACTGCTCGGTCCAAGAGCTTCCCGCTGATAGGATTGAATGATACCATTGAGCTACCTCGGTCCAGTTGATCCGAGGGCTCCGCGATGATATCATCCGAGATTTTGGGGGACTCTTCTCTTTGGAATATGCAGGATTCTGACCTTCAGCCTCAGCCCATTCGTTCATCCACCAGGCCGAGTTCTCGCTCAGGTCTCCCAGAAGAAGCGTTTTGGCATCTGGTTCAAAGGCAGTGGCATCATAGGGTGGTTCGGGCTCAGGCATTGCAGGGGGCTCCCTTTTCATCATCGGCGGATTACCATTACTGGCTGCTCGAGCGGATCGGGGAGGTGGATAGGTACTGAAAGATTCGTTGAGACAATCACAACCTCTGAAAGCATCACTGATAATATTCTCCACCTCCTTGAATATATGAGTTTGATGCTCGCGGCTTTGGAACTCCGGGCGTGCAGCTTGCGAGCTATCTTGCGGACGGCGGATTGGCATCGAGGATGATTGGAGATCTGAGTTTGCACGAACTCTGCTGGGCATATCATTGCCCTCCCGGCGAGCGTGATGTGGAGTTAAATGCGATGAGTTATCTTTTGCCGCCGTGGGTCTTTCTCTTCCACTAGAATGGGAAGCACTGCGGTTCCGAGAACCAGCAGCACGCGCGGGTGATGAATTGCGTGGAGTAGAGGTGTGAGTCTGCATTGATGGAAGATCAGGCAGTGGCTTGTTCTTCTTGTCGTCGTCCAGCGACAACCACGATCGAGAGCCATTGTCCAGGAGGATGTCAAAATACATGTTGAGACAGCCTCCAATCATACCACGGGTTTGATTAGCAGTCAAAGGTATCACTAGTGTCACAAGTCAGCACTATGAACACCATGGATCAAAATCAGCTTTGGTGATATTACCTTTTCTCGCCAAGTTAGACGGTCCTCCCGAAGTTCCGCGTGGGGACTTATCATGGCGACCGTCAAGGCCTCCCGATTCTTGGGCATTCGGCTCCAGATCAGTGACCATCAAGCAGTTGGAGCAACGGAACACCTTCAAGTGCCGTGGCCACCGAACAGTAGCATCGCAGGTCGGGCACTTGCCCTCGTCGGTACCATTTCCAGAACCCCCGCGTGCTGCGCCTTTCCGAGGGCTTGCAGACTCCGACTCGAGAGGGAAAGTGACATCGTCGTCGTCATCATCCGAGTCCGAGTCCCAAGCGTCATTCTTGGCGGTTATCTTATCTCGCATTCGCCCAAGTCCGGCGAACGGATTGCTGATCGAGCGGGAATGGCCTCGGTCGTTCGGATTCTTGGGCCTACTACCGCTCATCGGGGAGATATTTGAGGCATCGCGAGGCCGCACCGCTCTGGGAGGGCTGAGTTCCAGTCCAGATGGTTGGGAAGGATATAGAGGGATGGCGGCTGTGGGAGAAGTCGAGGTTGGAGGGATAGGCAGATGACGCTGAGACCGGGACGGCATAGAGGCGCATCGACTCGATCAGTCTTTGTATCACAGATGAAGTCGACCTCTCCAACATGCAATACAGCTCGTGGAGCTTGTTCCTGTTGTCGGGCACATACGAGTAGGTGGAGGATGGAGTGATGAATGAGGCAGTCGGGTGAAGTGAGTTTCGCTTGTTAAAGGAATAAAGGTAACTGGCAGGTTGGACTATTGCAGGGATAGGCGGTCAGTGCGCGAGTCAAGTCTCACCAGACAAAGAAGTCTCCCACCTTGGACTTTCCAATAGAAGAGTAGCAGCTTCCCAGTTCGTTACGGCAGGATCTCATAGTATGTGGACGGATTGGGAAAGTGGCCGGGGGATGAGGAGTCGTTCTTGCCTCAGGCATATAGTTGCTATTTTTGGAATAGCCGCTGAACAGGGCACGGGCTAGACCATGAGTTATGCGGCATGCCTCCTAAGATCCGGTAATTGGAAGCAGCAGGTCGTTTCATTTGTATCCAAGTTCACCATATGCAGAAGCTAGTATACATTCTAAGGTCCAAGCCACACATGTACTAACTAGTTAGGCCATTCGCTAACTACTAGTGGTTACGGCGATCTGCCAAGACACACTACGCTGTTGGGCCCCCGGACAGAAACAAGGAGTAGCCAGACAGCTCTCAATGGATGGACTATTTTACACAGTACAAATCAGGACTAATAAAGGTGACATTCATTCAGTCTACAAATCCTACAGTACCAGAGGTATGGAGTTGAACCAGTCATACTTCGTTAAAGGGGGAATTGAAAATAGAACAAGATGGCTTTTTGGCTAACAACAGAACCGGCGGGTCTGCATTATAGTTGAGCCCAGCGTGGAAAACACTGTCTGGGTAAGAAGTGCTTTGATAGAAGACCACATGCCGTAACCAACATTTTCCAACCGAAACCACTGCAAAAGTGCACTACCGCACTTAACGGTAACGCCAGTAGCTCTGGGTGTTCTGGCGCTTCCAGGTGTGGCGGCGACCAGCCTTGGTGTTGTTGTAGCGGTGACCCTTGTTGATACCACGGGACTTCTTGCCGGTGGCGGTAAGACCACGGGACTCGCGGTGCTAAGAAGAAACTTTGATTAGTAGAATCCCGGGATATTGGTGCTTGATTGACAGCTAAACTCACCTTGTGAACGGGGGCGCAGATCCAGTTGATGCGGGCATCACGGCGGATGGCCTTGTGCTGGGGGTCGACGAGGATGACCTCGTAGTACTTGTAGGTGGAGTCCTGGTTGATCCAGTAGGAGTTCAGGACGCGCAAGTTAGCAGCGCGACGGCCAACACGCTCCTCAGCGGTGGACTTAAGAGCACGCTGGTACTTGAGCTGGTTGACACCGTGGTTGGTGGGCTTGCCTGTTCACACAATTGCACATTAGCCCCGAAAAATTCTTCCATGTCTGCAAATAACCATCGAATTCGCCCGGGGTAGAGAGAAACGTACCGTAAGTAGCACCCTTGGGGACAGGGCGCTTGCGGCCACCACGGCGGACACGGGCACGGTAGATAACGTAACCCTGCTTGGCCTTGTAACCGAGACGACGGGCCTTATCGGGGCGCGAAGGGCGCGAGGCACGGTGGATGGCGTTCAGCTGGCGGAGCTATATTATGCACTCTCAGCAAAGTTCAACGAGTGTATAGCAAGACACATGAAGCCCCAGAAGGGTTTTCTTGCGTGCCACAATCATTTCCGCCGAATGACTTTTGTTCGAGCCGCCTAGCAATACCACAAAAACGGCATATCCTAAGGCAACGCACACGAGTGCTCTCGGCGGAGATGTTAGGCAATCGAGGGGCGAAGGAATTTATCTCACCTCCCAGCATCGGACGCGCAGCAGGAAGCGAATCACATCGGATTGCTTCTTCTTTTGGATTTCTTCCACGTACTTGAGGGCACCCATCTTAACGATTGAAAGTCAGATAAATGCACTGGCGGTAGAGATTGGATTGGTTCCAATTTTGAAAGATGGTGAACGTACCTTGTCGGCTTCAAGAGGTCGTCGGTTGTCGTTGTCGCGAAAGTTCGAGGAAGAAAACGTCTTAGAGGCAGAGGTTGTGTGTGGGACGCTAGCGATTAGCGAGTTGACCCACTCTGGCCAATCACGGGATGTGTGGCCTTTAGCGGTATTTCTGCCTGGAATACAAGGTGTCGGTTGTGCAAACTCTGCCTAAGGCCCTAACCCCAATTTATTCCTCTTCTAGTTCTAGCCTTGGATAGGTTGTGGAGGCTTCTGCACTTCTACTCCGTACAAGAGCCCCCATTCCGCTAAATAGTTGATCGGTTGAATTTCCACGTATGTAACCAAGATCGGAGCCAGATAATTGGTCCGGTCTTGACTGTCTCCTATTGTCTACGGAAACGCATTTCGTATACGAATGTTCTGACGCCATGAGTTCCTGGTATCGAGAAGTAATTGCCAAATGCTCAATATGGCTGTCGAAATAACATACAGAAGCATATGAACACCATTTTAATGCAATCGCTGGTTAACACATGCTCGATAAATGCTAAAGATGACCCTCGCTCTGCCTCGGAAGGCATGATTCCAATCAAATCCGAAGCAACGGCAAACAAAACGCAGTCTTGAACGCCACATCATGATTCATGAAGAAAGTCTCGAGAGATGTTCCCGTTGAACCATCTCGTTGGTAACAGATATGTAGAATGAGCCCGGTGGCAAGACGCTCTTCTTGCAAAGAGGACACAGACAGCTATTTTGTGTCAAGAACGGATCAATGCACTCTGCGTCAAATATATGTCCACATGGCAATTCGCGGACAACAGATGACCCAGCAGCAAAATCATCGAGACAGATAGCACATGTCGTTTGAGTATGGCTCAGACGGTACCTGCTTTCACGGGTCTCATTTGGTGTGGGATTTATCACAGCTGCTGCGGGCTTTCTGAGGCCAGTATTGTGGTCCGAATGACCGTCTTCTGTGGGCGATGGCGGATTGGTGGTTTCAGCAGTAGTATATTCCCTTGAATCTGCCGACACTCTTTCTTGTGTAAACGATGTAGCTCTTGATGGGTCCACCTCCAGATATGTATAAAGGGGCATCTTGTCGACCAGCTCTCGAGGAGCCTTCATTTGATTCAATGCCAGAGCATCGAAGTCGATACCGCTCATTTGACCTTCTTCGAGGCGTCTCTGGAACCCGACTCGTCTTCTGTGTAGGATGATTCGATAGATAGTGACAAGGATAAGACTGAGAATGAGGACTGTTCCCGCGATTGCAAGTACAAAACTCCAAATACTCGGCATCTGGTCGGTTCTCTGCTCTGTGAAATGTCAGCATGGATTCTGTTGGTGACACCATCTTGTAACTTACCATTTTCGATTCTGGCAAATAGCCTATTATTCTCCGTCTGTGTCACAGATTGCGTATCCGGGTTGTCTCTCTTGGTGGCCGGCGGATTGCCCGAATACCACGAGAGATCGTTTATCAATGTGATTCCCGCTGGGCCTGGGATGGCATACACAGGGTACTGGTGTTCCATCCTCCATTCTGGTTTAGCATCGATTGTCCAAGTTGGGCTGTTCGAATCAGGTGGTAGGTCGGGATCGGTGCTGGACGGCTGGAAAAATATCATGGCGTGCGTGCCGACTTCATTGGCGGCATCCAAGAATGATAAAGAGCATTCAGGTGACACCCACGGGGCGAGGCCAACGAGGGAGTACCCGTAATCCTTCACATCTTCATAGCGGGTCACATTTTCTGGCACGGATGAAGCGGTAATATCATAGCATGGATCTTGTGATTCTAGACTCGGCACGAATAAGAGGCCTGAAACCAATCCAGTCCCGGGGAGGCCATTGCTCGATATTGTTTGAACTTTGCGATCAAGAACAAAGCGATAGGCGACACTCTCCTATGTGATCTGCAGATTAGGATCGGCTCTGGGAAGTGTTGCCGGATTATGAATGAAGAGACACTTACATCGACTTCTGAGGTAGAATTTGAAGCTTGGCCTGGACCTGCCCAGAGCGTAGCCTCCGGACGCACCGAGGAGCCTGGCCTATGAGACATCATAGTGCCCGATATGAAGCTGAATACTATTCAGATGGCTGAAGGATGGGTGATGGGTGATGAAAAGGGAAGGTGATTTTAGATGGTGTAGAGCGAGGAAGGAGTACAGAATTACGGAAGACTTTGAAATGGCAACTGCCTTTTAATTTAGGAAAGCTCAGTTGAGAAGACACTTGCAGCCTATACACTCACATGGCAAATTAGAGCTTTAGAGCGGAAGAATGCGAGAGTTAATCGGGACCGTCACAGGAATGTGAACAACCGCCGGTTCCAACCACGAGGCAAGAGGCAGGGCAGTCTTGGCTACAAATCTCCGGGTTTCAGGTTTTATAAAGAAAATATCTCCGAGAACGGGCCATAACGGCCAAGCATGCTCAATCATAGGATTTGTTAGGAATCTCCCACGATGTTGTGTTTCCGGCTCACAGGAGAATTGAACAACCCATGCTCTACCATCAGGCCTAAATCGGTCACTTCGGGGTACATGGCTGCTTCATGTTGTTTGACTGGGTTTATCAGACAGTGGACTACTGCCTCTTGAGTCTTGACAGGTTCTTGAGATATCAATTTGAGTGAGACCTCGTTCCTCTAGACGACAGACATCCTCTCTTTTCCCGTGGCTGTTCTTGTGTTCATTCTCTGGGTAGAGGATGATCTAGCCAGAGACCTAAAAGAGCATGATCTGGTGACTGGTCAAATTCATCAAGAAGATCAGGACGCTCTGGTACTGCCCCTTGGATCTATATCGCCCGATGTGGAAATACCCGTTTGCAGGAGACGTTTGTAGAAATGATCATCAGAACAACTTCTCAGTAATCGAGCGGCTGTACATCTGCCCCCGAATGAATTAAGCGAGCTTATGTTATTAATAGCACTTGAAACGAAGGAGGTATTCAATCTTCGTTTGTATTCCACGAAAAGAGACTTCGGGCTGTGCGATCCCTCAGAATTGTTCTCTCAGGACTTAATCAGAGTGGCCACAGGAATGTCGCTTACAGATACAGCCACAGCTTCATCAGCATTCAGCCTTAGCAGCAATGTTTGGCGCTAGGCCATGTGGGAGCTGTAAGCTGTTGGTTCGGAAGCAAAAGCTGTGCATAACGAAAGGATCAACGTAGAATGACAATTGGATCACATTCAAGTCCAAGTGGTGGATTTCAGTTCCCCATGAACCACAAATTCAATGGGGTGCACGTGATGATAACGATCATGCCCCTATCACGTGCATCGGCTGGTCGATCAACCGCCAGCAACCGCCAACCATTAACAACTCTCATCCGTCAAATTCATCCGTGATTGACCCGGGAGGATCTCTTTCTTTGTCGCTGTAGCTCATGATCGGGCACTTCGGGGACAGTCAACCTTCTCTGATTCTACTTTCCCTCGGTGACCAACCACAGCATGTGTCGGTCGTGTCCCAGAATTACATCCTAGGATACTGTCTGTCGACGGGTTTGCCTTCCCTTGATAGCCTCTTTGTCTTCTTCATCAATTGATATTCCCTCTCTCCTTCGAACCTCGCTCGAACCAAACAAACATGCCTTCCGCATACAAAGGCAAGGGCAAGGGCCGCGATGCGCGCCGGTCGCGTAGCCGCAACACCACCCCGTCCAGCGCTAGTGCCCCCGCTATCCCCTCATTGCCTATCCAAAGCTACCTGGAGAATGATGTCACCAATCACATTGATGAGGCTAGCCTGCAGTACTCTGAAGTGTTGGAATTGGTGTCTGCGCAAAACATTCCGGACTCGAAAACACTTGAGACCTTAGTGGACCACCTGAAGAGTCTTAGTGACATGGCCGATATTCGGGGCGAAATTTGCAATGCTGGGATGAGGGAGATGTCTCATAAGCGCAAGGAAGTGGAAGACCAGGAGCTTGAACGCGAAGTTCTAAATCGCTCCAGGTTGAAGCGTGAAACCGAAGAGGATGACGATATCCACAAGGGCGGGAAGCTAAAAAAGCGGAAAGATCGCGCAAGTGCAAAGGAAGAGCGACCATTAAATCATGGGGCGCATGAGCTTGCCCGTCAGGACGGAGCTGAGACTAAGGTTGAAGGAGGTACGAGACCTTAACCCAGCGCTTTTATTCCCATCCTTGTTTTTACGGACCCATCTCCACACCTCCGGTGTCTTCTTTCACTTTCCCCACTGTTCAACTTTCACTAACCATCACCAGCGGCTTCGCCAGCGTCAAAGGAATCCAAGAATGCGCTATCAGATGAAAGCTCTTCGCTTTCACCTCCATCTATGATGTCTCCCCACGGCGCAACCACTGCGGGCGATGGTCCTCCCCCCGGCAGCCCCGGCTCGGAGACCAGCGCCGATTCTCACCAACCCGAGCCGCAACCCTCCATCCCTCAAGTCCAAGTCTTTGGCGATAACCCGCTGAAGTTTGACGATCCGACAATTTACAACATTCGAGAAGTCCTCCCCGGCATGACCGACGACGAAAAGAAAGAGATTTACAGCGTTGCAGTGTTCCCTAAGACTGATCTCGCCCACATGGCAGCTGGTGTGGCTCCGGATAAGGACTTCAGCAACGCCAAACCTTCCAATCAAGTCAGCGCGAACACTTTCCAAACTTACATTGAGCCGTACGTTCGGCCCCTTACCGAGGAGGACATCGCATGGTTAAAAGAAAGGGTAAGTCAAACACAGCTGCTTCCAGACCACACAGGCTGACCAGCAATAGGGTGATCGCACTACCCCGTTCATTATGCCCCGTCGTGGAAAGAAGAACTATCGCCAGCTCTGGGCGGAGGAGGATGGGGTTTCCTACGATGCGAGCCAGGATGACAAGGATCAGCTACCTTTGAATCAAGGCCGCGGGAGTATCGAACAGCTCACTGACGACAAAGCGGAAACCAATGAAGTCTCGATCGGACCTCTCCTCAGCCGGCTCTGCTCTCTCCTCCGCTACGAGCACCGCACTTTACCCGAAGACAACACCCCGAACGCAAATGGCGACACTTCCAGCCTGGGTGGAGATGCAATGGATATCGACCAACCCAGCGCCGAGAAGGAGAATAAGAGCGAAATAAAGCCTTATCCTGCTGCGACTACCTTCCGTGACGCAGACCCCAATGACTTCAAGACTTCGGTCGCCAAACTGGATCATGCGCAGCTCGATGAACGCGCAAAAGCCGAACTACGATACATTGGTTTCCTCGGTCCAGATGATACCCCCGACTACGATGCTCATTATGACGATGAAGTTGCCGAGCGCCTCCGCCTACTCCAAAGCGAACTCAAGAAACAAATCGTCACCAACAATGCGCGTAAAGCTCGCATTCTAAAGACTGCCCAGGAGCACATGGCCATGCTCGAATTCACCACCATCCAAGACGACCTCGACTCCCAAGTCCAACAGGCCTACCTCAAGCGCACCCGCACAATGGGCAAGAGCAAGAAGGGCGCCCAGGCCAAACACCGGCCTGGCGCTGCAGGCGGCAGCGTCGCTGCTGTGGGCGTTTCCCGTCCTGCTGTCGGGGATGCTGCCAAGATTGTCATGGACCGTCGTCGTCGCTGGAACGAGGCGTTCTTGCCTATCTTCGAAGACATCAAGACTACCATTCCTTCTGCGGATGAGTCGATCTTTGAACCAGAAGTTATGGCCGAATACGAGAAGGCCGAGCTGGAGAATTGGGACGAGGAATAGACTCGTCACATTTGATTTGATTTTCTTCTCGCACGATATGATACGAATGGCATGATGGACTGGCGTGGCGTTGGCGCATACCTTTTCCTTTTCTCTTTTTACCACACAAGAGGTGGCGATCGCGGCGTGGCTTCTGCGGGTTTGAAGATATTTAATCTTTACACGATATCGTGCATCTACTTAGCTACATCAAGGTAGACGGATGAGAGAATGTCCGTGTATTCTGGCTTGTTATAGCTCTTAGGGTCAGCATTCAATGAAACTGATTCTTCAAATTCTTCTCTCCTAGCACAATAGCTAGCACATCACCACATCGAACATCATAGTCAAAAAAGAACTAGTTAGGGTATCGATCAAATCTCAGAAATCCAAAACCACAAAACCATCACCGATGAAGAATCAAAACCTCCCAAGGATACCTCTTCAACCTAGCCGTCAACTCCCTCTCACTCATCTCCAACTCCGTACAAATCTGATCAAAGCAATGCGTCCCATCCAGATACTTCGCCAAAACCTCATCACCAACCTCCTCATCCTCCTCCCAAAACGCCGATGGCGCCCCAATCCCATTCCCAAGTCCAATCCCACCCCTCCCCCCACTAACCGACGACCCAGCTCTTTCGCGACTAGACTCCCGCCGCGAAACAGCCGACGTCTCCTCCCCAACGCTCGAAACCGCATAGGGCGTATTCGACCCCGTCGTTGCGCGCGAAGACCGTCCCGTCGGCGCAAACGACGAAGATCGTGGTGTGGACGCTGGCTGTCCGGTCGCGAAAGCGTACTTGTGTACCCGGTACAGGAAACCTTTTATGACGCCGAAGGTGATAAAGCGGCGGATGTCGATGTTTGCCAGGGCGCGGCTGTGTGCTGCGTACCATTGCTTTACGCTTTGGCCTTGTTTCAGACTTGCGTAGAGCTCGACTAGGGCGACGCCGTCGACGATGGCTGGTTTGTAGAGGGCTGTTGGGGCGGTTGCGTCTGTGATTATTGGGTCTGTGGGTGTGGGTGATTCTTCAGGGCCGAGGAGGGGCCAGATTTCTTCTGCGTCGAAGCGGGAGTCGAAGCGGGAGTCGTCGCGGCTTAGGCTGGGCGCTGGGTCTGTGAGACTGGAGAGGGGGGCTGTTCCTGTGCTGCCGTTTGTGCTGTTGTTGGCGCTGGGGCTGGGGATTAGGGTTGCTGGGAGGGGGGTGGAGGGGCCGACTGGTGAGTGTGGTGCGAAGCGGAGGTTTACGTAGCGGGCGCATTCTAGTTGCATTGCTTCGTCGGAGGCTATTGTTGGGGTGAATTGGGCGGTTGGGGCGTAGATTGCGGAGAAGGAGAATATGTCGAGGATGAAGAGACAGCCGTAGTAGAGGAGGTGGCGGAGGGCGCGGCAGGTGAGGGAAAACTCTGTGTCGGCTAAGATGGAGATGATGCGGACGCTGTTCACGCCATTTATGTGTGGGACGATCTGGTGATGGTCAGTTTGTGGTTCTTGGAAGGGATGTACTCGATCACATACCCTTTGCATGGTCAAGTCCCAGTTCTCATCCATAAAGGCCTGGTATCGCAATGTGAAAAGAGGCACCTGCCAGGCCTTGACAGGTGGAGGAGAGGGATATATCGGGAAGAGTTTAATGTTCAACGTGTTCAACTCATCTATAACAGATGTGTCAGTAACAGGATAATGTTGGCAAGGCTCATAGACGTACCAATGGGTATCATGCACTCGCAATAGTTATTCAAGTCCTCCATCAACATCTCGCAGAGACTGTACACCTTCCCCTCCCCGCTCTTCGAGAAATCGCGGGATAAAAAGCCATTCTGTTCTTCCAGGCCATGCATCAAGTCTGCTAGCTTCTGCGCCACACTCTTGTATGTGCTAAAGTCATCCTCTTCGGCAAGGACTATGCAAAAGTTGAAGATGAATTCATTGCGGTCATACCGCACTGACTTCATGCAGATTGGGTAGCCCAGGATACGGTAGCCATTTGTGCAGACTTGTAGAAGGTTCCCGCAAAGCTCCTGGCGGGGAATGACGAAGAAGGAGACGTCTGAGAAGATGAGTAAGGGTGGTTGTGAGGGTGCCGTGGGGGAGGGGACGATGGCTCCATCGGGGACTTGGTGGACGACTTTGGGTCCTGCATTATGGTCAGCAGTGCATAGAGAGCTCCTCGATTGACTGTAAGCTCATACCCTCTATCGTATCGAATTTGCTGTAGAAGATCGCCTTGATCATGGCGGGGGTACTGTAGGCGTACAGCTGGGAGCAATGCGATTGGGATATAAACGAATGGAATAAACAGCCAAGTACGACATAAGTCTATTGAGGTGAATTCATCAGAAACCAGAGAGCTGAGCTGGAGCAAGGTACATGTTCTGTTCATGGACGTGTTATCGGGTTGGAGATCGACTGCGGAGAGCTTATCGTGTTTGCTTCGTTTGCATCCGAGGCTCTACAGTACAAAACAGCCTTCCAAAACATGATGATTGTCAAACATCAGCAGAATTAGAGAGATGTACTCGAATAACTTTGCAGTTCACTCCAGATTCCATGGTCTTCATGACTGAGGGTGAATTGAGATCCGGAAAAGTAGATAAAATAGTCGGGCGCTGGTAAATAGCAAAACCATGAGGACATGTGAGAGTATTAGAGAAGACAGTGGCCAACGAAATCCCGATCTATATGTTAACATGAAATTCTTCACAAATAGAGAGACATACACAACATATAAAGCCAAAGAAAACCCCGAGAAGAAGGGGCCAGCCCACTTCAAGCAATGCGAGAAAAGGACATGCGCCGTAAATGCAAAATGAATCGTAGCGGCCCATTCATGGGCATGACAAGCGGAAAAACAAAATCAGACTATCAGTCACTGGGCTGGGCCAGACGTCTGACTGGAGCTAGATGGGAGAGCTGGGCTTGCTCCGAGGATGCTGTCCGGAATCGTGAACAAGGCCCTGCTAACCACACGAGCCGCACCGCGGCTGCGAGACATGCGAACATCGTCGGCGCCGAGAGCGCCGAGAGTCAAGGACTGGTTCTCACGAATGGCGTGTACCATTTCACCAAAATTCCCCCGTTCTCCAGCCTCCTTTAACCATTGTTCCCAGTCCTCATCCAGCGGCACATCGGTGCCTTGGTCGCGCGCAGCCATCGCAGCAATAATACGGTTGTTCAGCGCCAGCCCACAGCTCTCAATCTCCTCATCGCTGTACTCCTCTTCAACTGCCAGCTCCTCCGACCGGTAGCTGGAGGTATGGGAGGTACGAGACTCAGTCGCGCGCACGGTGTCGTTACTCTGTGTCTCAATAACCTGGTCATCTTCCTCCTCTGGCCTGCAGAAGTCAAAGTCGTCATAATGGATCTCGATCGAGGGGCCGGGGGTTGGCGATGCCGGTCGCACGGAGTGAGCCGTGGTGTCCTGCACACTGACCCCTTCTTCGGCCTCATACCGCTGACGCGCCGACTTAGTCCCTTCCCACCGGCAGAGATCCCCAATTTCTTGCTCGGTCAGACCGAGTTCGTCAAAGACGCGAAAGAGTTTCCGATGCCAGGGGAAGCGACCCAGTCGCATGCGATGCGGCCCATATGAATAGTCCAGCCCGGGGTATTGGGCTTCGATGCAGTCCAGAGAGCCGTAGAAGAGGGAGGTTTCGACGCGCACTTCTGGAACGAGGTTTCGGCTGATATGAGCAGTAAACGAGCCGGGCTCGTTTGTACGAGGTCGAGGAAATGTGGCGTTGTAGACGGCCTGGGCGACGGATGGTTTACGCATGATGACGGACGAGACGGTGGTGGAGGAGGAAAATCAGAGGGAAGGAGCTTTAAAAGGAAGCCAAGTCGTCATACACGCCCTGGAATGCACGAAATACAGGACTCAGGAAGTCCAGGGTCAACCCCCCTCTCCCTTGCCCTTTGTCAAATTCCCGGACACCGGATGGATGGTTGGGTTGGCTGCGGAAGGCGCTAATGGATACGCAAATAAACCGAACTGCGCGACTTTACCACCTGAAACTCCTCAGGTCAATGGATATAGAATATTTATAAGAGAGGACTCAGGACTCCGATCAGGTGCACAGCTGACGTTTCGGCTCTTTGACCCTTGGAGAATTGAAGGTCTCACAGCCTACAGCTCTCATTGACCAATATTGGAAATTAGGTAGAGGATGGGAAAAAGAAAAGAAACAGCGTAGGAAATAAGAAAGTGAACAGGATTAAAGAACATTCCGGACTTATAAGGATCATACACAGTAGACTAAAAGTATGCGTTGGCAGGCTACGATGGCCGACGCATTGCCAGCTAAGAGTAAGACTCTGACAACCTTCAACTTTAACCCTCCTTTGCATCCATGGATCAAATCAACGAATTGGAATTTGGTGAATTCACAGCCAATCATTTTAACAATTTCCTATCAAATGACTGGTGTTATTCGCACTTTCAATACTCCGTAGTATTTGATTGGCTCGTCACGTGTAAACAACAGAACTTAACAGCCCGCACCCATCTACATCCATCTACAACTTCACAACTTCACAACTTCATCTAATGTCAGTGACTCACTGACTCCGTGATATGTAATACATTCACCATCTTGAGTCGCCATGTCGACATTTGATGGTATCGTTGAAGGTGAGATCATCAATATCCTGTCCACATCAGTACTAACCATTCGACAGAGTTTCCAGACATTCGCAGTGAGTCTCACCTACGAGACCAAACACAGTTATTATGGCTAAGATAACGCAGTTGACTATTTCCGGAAATCTCCCGACAGGCCTGCTCCACTGGCCTGTTTTCTCAGTCATGTGCATAGCGATCATTTACAGGGCTTGGAGTCCTTTCGAGCCCCATTCATCTACTGCTCACAGGCCACACGAGAAGTATGCCAACGTCCATTTCATGAATTATTCTGAAAGCCTGACAATGTCTAGCTACTCCTCCATATTGAAAAGTATCCTCACCGGATGAACTTTAACAAGGGCATCTTGGAGTCACGCAGACTGCACTATAAGCATCTTGCAAAGCTTCTCGTCAGTATTATGTTCTGAATCCACGGATAGCGTTGGGCCTGGCTCATACAGAATAGCGCCCAATACCAATAAACACACCAACGGAAATTGAACTCACACCCCGACGGCGTATCAGGGTGACCTTGTTTGATGCCAATCATTGCACGGGAGCTGTGATGTTTCTGATCGAAGGCGATGGGAAGGCAATCGTCTACACAGGTGACATTAGATGTGAGTTTCCTGTGGCTTGTATGCTAAAGTTCCTGGCTGATCTCGTTCAGCCGAGACATGGTGGGTGAACAGCCTGATCCGTCATCCGATCTTGATACCGTACACTTTAGGCCAGAAACGCTTGGATAAGTTGTATCTGGATACAACCTTTGCAACCGCAAGAAAATTATTCCGCCAGTTTCCTTCCAAGGCGGAGGGCTTGGCCGAGCTGCTACAGAAAGTCCAAGCCTATCCCGATGACACGGTCTTTTACTTCCGTGCCTGGACATTCGGGTACGAGGATGTATGGGTGGCACTTTCGGCAGCATTGAACACGAGAGTGAGTGTTGCCACACGTCCCACATGCACTGCTTGCTGACGATGGTCTTAGGTACATGTGGATCGTTATCAAATGGGCCTTTATCAGTCTCTAATCCGGACTCCTGGAAACAGGGGAGTCAGCGAAGCACCAGCTCTCTGTGGCTTTGAGCTTGGGAATCGGGCTGTAGCAGGCTGTCTGAGCAATGATATGTCAAGCCGAATTCACAGCTGTGAGCCTGGAATCTCGTGCGCGACAGCTCGCGGGCCTAAGACGGTCTACATCGAGCCAATTGTGAATCGCACACCCAGCGGTGCGGAAGTTCCAGAGGTCGGCGCGGGCGGTGGCATTGGGGATTTGTCCCAAACGCATGAACTTGAGCTGCCAGATGAGTCTGCCCTGGCCGAGTTGGAGAAGCTGTGTCTCCAACACATCCAGGACGAACAAGCGCTGTCGCAGATGCGCGGTGCACTTCTGGATGCTTTCCGGTCAAGAAGGAAAGCGCTCTCGCTTGATACATATGGCGTGAAAGAAGAGGGCGAAATTCCATTGAAGAACCTGGTAACGGCTCTAAGTCACGGTCCATCGGAAATTTCTGGCGGGGCCACGACAGACTTGCCTAACACGATAGTAAGTCATGCTGATTCTTTCTACTGTTCTACTCTAACAGATATAGCACTTCCCATATTCACGACACTCTTCCTATGCCGAGCTTTGTGAGCTCGTTGCTGCCTTGCGGCCCAAGGATGTTTATCCATGCACTGTGGATCCGGCGACCTGGGATGAACATGTCTCTATCGGGCATTTGTTCGGCCACCTTTGTTCAGGAGACGACTTTTCGCACGACAATCACATGCGACAGACTGTAGCTAACGACGTTGATGATGAGGGGAATTTGCGTCCGAGGAAAAGGGTCCGTTACGATGTGGAATTGGATCCCTCCACTCAGTCCACCCAAGAAACCAACAGTGACATTGAGGATCTCATACCAGGTCCCGCCGATGCAACTCAGGACCAGGGCCCAAAAGAGGACCCCCCTCATCCGTTGAACCAGGCCCAAGAAGCAGCCAGGGTCAGACGCAACGAAATTCGTCGAGCACACCACTATCTGCAAGAGCACGCAGACCCCGAGCTTTTCCGGGTCAACAGTCTCCCGTCTAATTGGCCAACAGAAGCAGAAGACAGGTTCGACCGGGCCAGTGAAGACGGTAAAGAAGAGGTCACGGTTCTCCCTGAACGATCAGCTCAAGATCCTGCAGCTGCAGAGCGCCCACTCGATCCTGAGAACACCACATTAGCAAAGACCATCGACTTGACTGATGATGAAATCACGTCTCCTTCCACAATCATGCAACAAGCTGATAGTCAACAGACGGACGTATTCAATCTTTCAGTCTCTGAATCTGCATTTGACTCCCAGGAACTCGGATTCGTTGTTGATGAGCTGCGAGATCCTGAGCGAGGACCAGACAGTTTGCGCCGCTCGCGCCAGGCTCGTGTTGCTGCTTACCTGGCTGCGCGGGAAGGCACTTATTCTGCGTGGAGAGAAGTGTCACTTGTTTCGGCGGGTGACAACCATGCCGAAGAGGAGATTGAGCTATAGATTTGTCTTTCTTCCTTCTTCTTCTTCTTCTTCTGTCTCTGTCCCTGTATCTTTGGTCTTCCCTGAAATAAACCCCATGCTCTGTCAATCCATGGCATATATTACTATTTCTCTGACAATAGTCTAGGCGGATAGCCGACTCGCTTGCACAGGGGCGAAGCGGCTATCCGCCTAAACAGAGTAAGAGAAATAATAATATATGCCACCGCCAGAGCATGGTAAATGTAAGGTTCCAGGGGAGACCTAATAGAGAGGTAAAAAGTAGTAAAAATGGAGCAAAAAGGGTCGTCGATCTAGGGCTAAATGGAGTACGCCAACCGTATTAGGACTAGGTAGCTCTGCCATAGTTATGCCTGGGCCCCTGGGGTGTGCCATTAAGGGTTCCCTTGATCGAAAGGCCCTTAGGGCTTAGGCCCATATACAAAGACAATTGTCACCTGAACTACTTAGCGCTTATAGGGCTCCGCTGGACCGCTCCGGCGCTCATACCTATTATCACGCCCAGTTGCTTGCATAGGCAGCATGGTTTGCGTTCGGGGGTTCGGGTTGGCCTGGATTCACTGTACACTGTCTGGGTAGCCTTCCAGCTTTGGAAGACCTGGGAAGTAGTTGATCTCCATGATTACTGGCTTTTCCGCTTGAAAGGCCAACAATGCCTTACCAAAATTGACCGCTAGTTCCAGAATTATAACAAAGCCCTAGTCCGTTCCACTTGGTTTTGTTACTTGTTTCTTTGAGTATGAGGACTACTTGCAAATCTCCGAGATCAAAGAGAACAAAGATGATCAACAATAGCCCATGTGTCTTTCTTTCTTTCTCCCTCAGTGAACCCTTTATCCTCTATCTACACAGCCCAGCGAGACAGAAATACATAAATAGGCACCGATGCCTTGACCATTTCGAGGAATCATCAGCTTCACAGTTCTTCACACATCGGTACCCACAGCTTCACTGCTCGACCGTGCCTACAGTTGATCCACTCTAACCAAGTAAGTCATCCATTCCATACATCCCATCATTCAGATTACCAGATAGCCACACATTCACAATGTCTACCACCCAGCGGGACCAGCCCTCACCCACCAAGTCCCGCGCCAGACAGCGCATCGACGGTCTCCGAGCCATCTTCAGATATCGCTATGAGCGCGATATCCTGAACGACCTGCTCTACACCTACAAGTGGGCCGTGGAGGATGGTCCCGAGGGCGACCGCCTGCTCGAGGTCGCCCTCGACATCCACTCCCTGAAGATCCAAGCGGACAAGGTGAAGCGGGCCGCGCTGACCGTCGCCATCGAGGCCAAGGACATGAAGTACGCCTTCTACAAGCCTGGCGGTGCGTGGTTCTTTCACACATATGTCCCCAGTGCCTGCGACCAGTTCAGCCGCCAGATGGCTAGGAGACTCGTGGCACATCTCGAGGACCCCGAGCTTAACCCTGCTACCTGCTACTATGTCTCCCAGGAGCTATTTTTGTCGTCACATAACTTACCTTTTTTTAAGTAGGTCCACATATATTCCCGAGACCGGCCACGGAGGCAGAGCTATCACCAGTTGAACAGCATCAGCTAGCTACTAGCCACACAGGTACGTTCCAACACACACTCTCTTTTCGTTAACAATCTCAGCGATCCAGTCACTCGTTTTCCCCATACAACCTTTCCCCTCATCCCACTTACCACAGCCATATGGCACATATCAACCAGTCCCGCGTAACATCCTTCCGTCAGTCCCGCGACGACCTAGTAACCCTCCTGCAACAACAAGCAACCTTCCTCCGCCATGACATCGACTGCCGCAACTACGTAATCCCCTGTCTCCGTCTCCAGCTCGTCCAGCAGCTAGATATAGTAGCAGACCATTCGAAGAAGATGGCCCTCCACAGCCGTCACAATCCCTACGTCCTCCTCCACCCAGCCGGGTTCTACGAGACGACGGTACCTATGCACTGCGCTGCATTGAAGGGGCAGTGCGCGTATCTTGCAGATAGACTCCGCGATAACCCTTGCACGGATGTGCCCGGTGCTGTGGCGAGAGTGATTGATCAGATTGTGGCTAACTTGCCATTTTAGAATAGGTTTTGTTCCCGAATATCATATCCAATATCCATTCAAATACGCAGTACTTTTTCCGAATCTCAGTCTCTCAACCGATACAAGGGGAAAGTATAACTATGTCCTACCGTCCAGGCCCAGTCTCAACCTTCAAGCGCCACCGCGAAGCTTTCATATCCAACTTGAATGCACAGGCAGAGGCCCTGAGGAACGATCCCCGCTGCGCAGAGGATGTAGCAGCCAATCTCCGTGAGCTAGTTCACGATGTCTACAGCATCAGATCCGCGTCAATGGTTATGGCCGCTGAAGCACGCGGTAATGCTTTCGTCCAGGCGAAGCCGTATGGATTCTATGGGCATAATGTGCCGCGAATGTGTAATGATCTTGTTGCTTGTTTGTTGCATTGGGCGGATATTCTGGTTAATACTGATGGGCGGAGGACGGATGGGATTGTTGCTGGTGCTATTGAGGGGGTGGTTGCTTCGTTGGGGTTATAGCGCAGACAAATCGAGTTGAAGGAAGAATTTAGTTCTGTTGCACAGTAAGTTGTCGTCCTGATATGCAAGACGTAGATAAATATTGTAAAATACAATTGCCACTCTTGTCGGATACAGAAGCCCGAGTGGTCTAGTGGTATGATTCGCCCTTCGGGTTTATTCCCAAGCAGGATAACATGCTCTCATGGGCGAGGCCCCGCGTTCGAATCGCGGCCCGGGCCCTTCTTTTTTCTTTTTACTTCGTGTATTCCCAGTAGGTAGTGTAACTACTGAGTAGATATGGTAGGAGTAATGTCTGTGGAATATGGAAAACATTGGTATTACGCTGCTAACTATCCAGAAGAAACGAATCTACTCGCTGTAAGTCAAAAGACACATGTTTATAGACAGGGACGGTGAGTATCATAACAACGGAGACGAATATGGCCAAAACGAAAAACTAGAAGATATAATACGCCTGCGTCAAAGGCAATTCCGAAACCGGCTCGGCATCACAAAGCATCCCATCCGCCTCAACGGTATAACTCTCGGGATCAACCCTCATCTTCGGCATAGCATCGTTAAACTTCATATCCTTCTTCCCCACCGAACGACAATTCCGCACAGCCTCAATCCGCTTCTTCAGACCATACGTCTGCACAATCCCGGCGTCAATAGACGCCTGCGAAACAAACATAATAGATGTCTGCGGCACGCGCGCGCCAAACATCGGCCTGACAATCATCGGTTCGACAGTCGGGATCGAGGCATTCGGATCACCCATCTCTGCTACAACGATCATGCCGCTCTTCAGCACCGTTGAAGGTTTCGTGCCGAATGACGCTGCCCTCCACAGAACGAGATCTGCGACTTTGCCGACCTCCACGGAACCGATGGCGTGCGACATGCCCTGTGCGAGGGCGGGATTGATCGTGTATTTGCTGATGTACCGCTTGACGCGGAAGTTGTCGGCGGAGGTGTTGGCGTCTGACTCGAGGGGTCCGCGCTGGATTTTGTTCTTGTGGGCTGTGTGCCAGGTGCGGAGGATGACTTCGCCGCAGCGGCCCATGGCTTGGGAGTCGGAGGACATCATGCTGATTGCGCCGAGGTCGTGAAGGACGTCTTCGGCGGCGATGGTTTCGGCGCGGATGCGGCTTTCGGCGAAGGCGACGTCTTCGGGGATGTTCTTGGAGAGGTGGTGGCAGACCATGAGCATGTCGAGGTGTTCGTCGAGGGTGTTGAGGGTGAAGGGGCGGGTTGGGTTGGTGCTGCTGGGGAGGACGTTGGGGTGCTCGACGACGGAGATGATGTCTGGGGCGTGGCCGCCGCCGGCGCCTTCGGTGTGGTAGGTGTGGATGGTGCGGCCTTTGAAGGCTTCTATGGTTTGCTCCACGAAGCCGGATTCGTTCAGCGTGTCGGTGTGGATCATGCACTGCACATCGTACTCGTCGCAGACTTCGAGGCAGTTGTCGATGGCGGCCGGGGTGGAGCCCCAGTCTTCGTGGAGCTTGAGGCCGGCGGCACCGGCGAGGATCTGCTCTTCGATGCTCTTTCTTCCGCAGTCGTTGCCTTTGCCCGTGATGCCGATGTTGATCGGGAGGCTGTCACATGCTTGCATCATCTGCCGCAGATGGTTCGGGCCCGGTGTGCATGTCGTTGCGTTTGACCCGGTGCTGGGGCCGGTGCCGCCCCCGAGGAATGTGGTGATGCCCGAGGCGAGGGCTTCATCTACCTGCTGCGGGCAGATCAAGTGGATGTGCGTGTCGATACCACCCGCGGTAATGATCTTGTTCTCTCCGGCAATCACATCTGTAGAGGCGCCTACTACCAGATCGGGGTGCACACCGTCCATGACATCCGGATTTCCAGCCTTGCCAATGCCAGCAATGATCCCGTCCTTGATACCAATATCGGCCTTGTAGATACCGGTCCAGTCGATGATCAACGCATTCGTGATAACAGTATCGACACACTCGGTATGAGACCGACCAGATGCCTGGCCCATTCCCTCGCGCAGCGTTTTACCACCACCAAACGCGCATTCATCTCCGTAGCTTGTCAGATCCTTCTCAACCTCAATCCACAGATCAGTCAATCCAAGCCGTACCCGATCTCCAGTCGTGGGACCAAACATGCGCGAGTAAGCATCGCGCTCCATCGAAAACCCAGTAACAAGCGCACTGTCTGCCTGCGGCTCCGGCACATGCGCAAAGCCGGCAGTCTGCAGCTTGGTCACTATTTCAGCTGCTCGACTCAGATCCACCACTCCATTCGCTAGCCAATTGCCACCACGGATGATACGGTTCCCGCCGATCTCCACGAGCGTGACAGTCTTGGTATCGCCGGGCTCGAATCTGATCGATGTACCTGCGGGGATATCTAGTCGGAAACCATACGACCGCACACGGTCGAAGTGTAGCTGCGGGTTTGTCTCGATGAAATGGTAATGCGATCCGACCTACGCCTCATAGTTAGCACCTGACCATTCCACGCTCGAATATAGACATGCGCGGGAAAAAACACACCTGAATCGGCCTGTCTCCTTTACTCATAACCTTAAGCTTAATGCGCCTCCTCCCAGGGTTCAATTCCACACGCGCATGTCTCACGGGGATAACCGCGCCTGGCATCTTCTCAGGCACGAAGTCCTCGGGGTCTGGATCTGGGAAAGCCTCTGCTGCAGGGACAGGCAGAAAACTGCCGTACAGCGCACGCTCGAGATCGCCCTCATCGCTACTGATCGGGTGGTGCACAGTCACCAAGTATGTACCGGAGACGAACGTCCCCTCGACCTGGAGCTCGACGAGAGTTGCTAGTACGGAGGGAAGGACATGTCGTCGGCCGAGCATCGTTTTGCCGATGGACATCAAGTCGGCGACAGAGTATTGGCCATCGCGGATTAGCTAGCAGGATTGTGTTAGCTTGCGACATTATTTTCAATTTTGCGCATGGAATGCGCCGACTTCATTGTAGAGCGCAATTGGGGGATTCGGGTTGTATCGTACCTCATGGAGCACTGAGGATATCAGCGCCTAGCGAGTGAACCATTAGTCTGCACTCTTTTTGTGTTTGTGTTTGTCTTTTTCTCCAACCCCGCATGCATGGAAATACATACTACCGCTTCGGCATGGTTGAGCCGCACTCCACGTGCCAGTCGACGCTGTGCCAAAAATCCGAGATGGGCGATGGTGAGCTTGTCAAGCTGCAGGAGGGGTTAGCCTCTTTTTCTTTCTCTTTCCATGTGCTTGTCGACTCCTGCGTAAGTGCGACTTACCTCCTTCGGAATGAGCTGCATCGCACAGGTGGAACCCGAACCGGGCGGTTCTTGGCGTGCAGGGGTTGGTTAGCAGCGAAGGAGCAATGGCCTCGGGGAGATAAATGAGGGTTTGAGATTTTTTTTTAGGATCTCTGCTCAGATGAGGCCAAGGATATCTGAGGTCCAACGAGAAAAAAGAAATGTGGGGGGATGTGGCATATTTCAATGCAGTTGTCCTGATAAGACTCTTCTTCATGATAGTCTTGTGGAGGCCGATTGGGTCGGGCGATGGACCTAGTCGGCATTAGTCAAGGCTTTGCTAACCGTTTGTTTGGTTTACATCTTAGTGCCATGGTCTACTTCATCTTGGTTCTTGGTCTCCGGGTAATCTTTCTTTGCTTCTACTACTATTCTATCATAGTCATTGGGTTTTAGGCCGAGAGAATGGGTTGGCCCCCGCACTACGCCCGCATCTTTATCTTCAACCCCAGAAGGCTTGGGACTATTGGTATTGTGGGGGGGGGGGGGGGGGGGGGAACTTGGGTTAACTTGCTCGTTACCCCCATATCCATACTATGACTTCTATTCCCGATGACATGTCATGACCAGTGTATTTCCAAGATAAGGGTCATACTAAAACAAGTGTTTTTATTTTTTTACCCAAACGCCGCTAAAAAGAAGCAAACCAGGAGGGTTACACGTCCAGTCCACCAGATCGTTATCATCTGACCCTGTCCTCGAACAAATCAAAAAGCACAAACAAGCAATTCAATCAGGCCTCGCTCTTGCGCTTCTTGCTTTTGCGCTTGCTCTCAGCAGGCGTCTTCTCCTCCTTACTCTCAGGCGCCGGCTCAGCCTTGCGGCCCCGCTTAACGGGCGACTTGGCAGGAGTCTCAGCCTCCTTGGTCTTGACATCACTGCGACGGCGCTTAGCATTGGTGCGAGGTGGGGTCTTCTCCTTCACCGGCGAGGGAGAGTCGGACTCGTCGGACGAAGAATCAGTCGATTCCTCATCAGCGGAGTCCTCATGCTCTGCCTCAGGCTCAGCACCGGCGAAATCCTGCTGCAGTTGGCTGGCAGCAGGATCGTGTTCTTCGTCGGTCTTGGGGCCGGCCTTGTAGGCGGCCAAGTCGCGCTTGTACTGGTCGTAGTTGGCGGCGTACATCTTCTTCCAGATCTGGTGCGAATGGGCGTTAGCATGCGAACGGGAATATGTTGCGCGACTTGCTTCCATCCTTGTCGCGTTACTTACTTCTTTCTGGGCGTCCTCCATGTTCTGCCAGCGGCGAGTGCCCTCATCGGCAACATCCTTGGGGCGCGCGTCCTCGCCCAAGTCGGCAGCGATCTTGCTGCGGTTGTGTTGCATGTAAAGGAAGTAGGGAGTCAAGGCACGCTTGGGCGCATTGGGGTCGACGGGAGCGCGCTTGCGCTTCTTGGGACCACCGGTTTCGGACTTGGCACCGGGGGTGCCGGCGCGGTGGGGGAAGTCCTGTCCCATGAAGCCAGAGGGGCCAACTGGAAGCTCAATAGTGGCATCGCGGCCTTCAGTGATGTTGTTAACATGCTGGATGTAGGCCTTGCCGAGGTCGGCGATGTAGGACTGCACCTCCATCAGGCGCATGACGATCTATGGGTATATTGTCAGTCCATGATTGAGTTAGGGCAATTGCGCTTGTTTCTGGGTAAATCATTGCTCGCATGGGTTGAATCAGTGAGAGGGGCCGTCATAACATTGCGTACCACAATGTCACAACAGTCTCTAGCTCCGAAAGGGACTAATGCGTAGGTATTTTATTTTCTTCTTGCGCTTGAAGCTTGTCCATATGTTACCCATGTATATGAGAACACAATTCAAGCTTCAATAGCTCGATAGGTAGCTTTGAGTATGGTCCGACGCGACGCGTAGTAGGCGCGCAGCGGGGATGCACACAAGGAAACAAGAAAGAAAAAAGACCCGAAAGGAAGAAAAAGCAAGAAATCAAAGGATAAAACAGGGTGGACATTACCAAGTCACCAGCTCTTCGGAGCTCATCTTTGTTGACCTGAACGGTCGACTCATCGTGGTTAGAAGTCATATTTGCGGGCAATGGGTGGAGGAAAAAGAGATTTTTGGGGTGGAAAGGAAGCCGAAGGGGGTCGAGGGCCACGGGGGGGGGTTCGTCCCCACTAAATACCAAATGGTCTGGCATCCCCCCCCCCCCGAATCTCCCGGCCACAATCTCTCGCTGCTTTAGGCTTAGGCACTTGTCATGCGACTCCCACGCAACACAGTGCACTCTTTTAAGTCTTCAATTCTGAGGTTATTTTTTACTGTTTTGGATGATCTATATGTGTTAAAGTAGCGAGATCATATTTAATATTTTGTAGTATGTTTAATCACCCTATATTAATTAGGAATCGGTAGAATAATGGAAACATGACAACGTAAGTTGCGTGAATGACGGGCTCTTAGGGGAGCGATCCCTGGGGCGCCTCGGGGGTTCCCAATAGCCCAGATACTTCCAAGATTGGGCCTCAAGTGCCGGATGCACAATACTCCGTACTTGTTGGATAGATAGAAAGAACCATTTACTGTTTAGATCATATTTGTCCCTTCTAGCAAATATTTACTAATATATCGTTACCGTGCATCTCTTTGTCCCTTCGAAATACCCTATTTTCCTGCATCTTCCAACTTGACAGTCAGTACGCAAGTACTCTGAACCCTGTCAAGTTAAATCACGTTCCTTGTGCTTGTCGTCCGCATTCTCATTTCATCCTTTACTATACGCTTCTTTGTGCCTCACGAACAACTGGTGCTTCAATGGACTACAATAAGCCTCTCGACCTGCTACACGCGGCCGAGGAGACTGTTTGGGTGAAGAAGGTAAATACGGCTCGTGTGGACGGACGTATTTGCAGCTGGGCTTCTGCTTTCCATCCTGAAAAGCTCGCATGTCGGCTAGATGGGGGATTCCTCAACGGGTCTTACAATGTTGGCCAAGGGATTGTTTTTGATGATGGAGCAACCTGGTTTTTTCGCCTTCCTCGTGCTAGCAGCATTTCTCCCGAATACGCAAACGAAAAGGTGGCTATGGAGGTCGAAGCCCTTTTTCTCATACGTGAGAAGACAACGATACCTGTCCCCAAAATTCATGCTTGGGGGTTTGCAGAAGAAAATCAGCTTGGTTTAGGTCCTTTTATCCTGATGGACTTCATCAAGGGCGTTTGCCTTAACGATGTGTTTGGTGGGGGCGATTCGAGGCTTCTCAAGGAAGAGATTCCTGAGACCGACATCGAATACGTTTACAGACAGATGGCAAATTTTATGTTGCAGCTGTTCAAGATCGACTTCAACCATATTGGCAACTTACCGACGCGGATGACAAGATTCGCTGCCCCTAGCCGGCCGCTCACGTGGAAGGGGCATGAGATTCTGAGGGTAGGAGGTGTGAATACTTTGGGTTTGTGCTACGACCTCAAACATGAACTTAGGCTAACGGCATCAGGTGATTGGGCACACGACCTCCAATCCACTAGACAATACTTTGAATACGTCAATAACCAAGATTGGCAGCAGCTCCTGCTTCAACCAAATCCAATCGCAGGCCCGCTGAGTGCAAGATCGAGATATGCGGCGTTGAATATATTGAAATCTCAAATCTCTGATTCCCGAATTAACAAATACAACTTATGCTCGCGGCCCTTTCAAACTTATATGTGATGATTTCGGCATGGCAAATGTGATAGTTCGAAGTAAGGATGACCTTACAATCGTCGGGGACTCGGGGTGGTGGATACCCAGTGGGTCTATGCCGGACCAGCCCAATTGTTTGGATCTGCTCCCTGGTGGCTTCTCCTTGATCGTCCTGTCAACGACGAGTGGGACTTCGAAGAGGGAGAGGCCCCAAAGGATACCGATCGCTACTTCAAATGTCTCGAGATCTTCATACGCGTACTTGAGGAGGAAGAGACGAGGATGAAAGAAAGTGGCCGGAGAGAACTCACTGAGTTGGTCAGATGGTCCAGAGACACAGGCGCTATGTGGCTCCATATGCTTCTTTCCAGTGGCTTCTTTGATTATCTGACCTTTCCTTGTATGCAGCTGCGGAATCACAAGGGCGTGCAGTGGTGGGATAAGCGTATGGAGAACCATGGGGATACAGAGGAGGTCGAAAAGTTTATCGCTGATAAGATGAAGGACCTGGCAACGTATGATGGGATCAAGGAGAAGGTCGAGCACCACAAGGTCCTCATGGATGACAAGGAGATGTCCGCAGAGGACTTCTCATTTCATTTTCAGCGTGTCCTCCATTCTCGGTCCTGATGAATAGCCCTGCCCAAGTCCAAAGAGGTTTTCGAAGACCCAAGAGCGTTGATAGTGGGACACTCGAGGATATTAGATGCTTTCATCTATATGACTTTTACTCGGCCGTCCTTGCCCAGCAGAACAAGCCCGTCGGCCGCTGCATGCATGACTCTATCATTCTACAAGTACAACTACTATCGCACCATGTAGATTCGGAAATACAAAGGAAAACGCAAGCGATGAAAATGCGTTCTCGATCAATGTGCTCTTTCCTTGAGGGTCGTACTCTGAAACACTTGATCGGAGCCCTGACTCCTGCCTGGAAACTAGTCCGAAGATGATTCTGTTACAATCTGCCACGATTGTTTCCCGTACCTCCTTAGCCTTTGAAGAAGTTTTAGTTCTTCAGGCGTTCTTCAGGCCAACAAGGCAGACAATTCCTGGAGCTTACACGCGGCTCGCTACTCTTGGTCTACTAGGGTAGGCAACTGGCTGGCCGCGCGTCTTCGGTCCCGTCTTCGTTCCCAGTTTTCACCACATTGGACGTAGGTGTGTAAGCTGGCAGAGTGCCGTCCAGCAACCTTAATCTTGCCGGCTAGGTTGGAGGCGTTGTTCTCTGTGTATCTTCCAGGTTGGGGTAGGTTCGTGTCGGTAACTACAGGAGGTACCTACCTGTAGGTATTGCTCGTGTGAGCCGCGAGCGTAGGCGGGGTAGGTCCTAGCCCGGTAGTTAGGTAGGTACGCCCGAGGCCTGCACTATATATCGTACCCACCTAGGTCCGTTCCAACATGGCGAGATGGAATCACCACGGTCGCCACGAGTGGAGGTTAAGTGGAATACGTCTTTTTCACAGGATCGATGCTACGGGCTAATGCAATGGCAGATACACCAGGGTATAGATATGGACAATGGAAAAGATATTCTTCGATATAATGCCATGCGTAGCCAGCCCGAGACGCGGCACGCTAAACACAGAATGCATAAATCTACATAACTGTCCTGCCGCATATTTAACTGGTGAAATATTCTACAATACTCTAGAACTTGAAGACCTGCTCCTTGCTGTAACCCAGCTCCTTTAGGATACCGGTAAGCTCACCCTGGTCCTTGGGGCTGACCTTGGGGCCGGAGATGGCCTTGTACATGGGGGGAGGACCACAGACGAAGATCTTGATGTTCTCCTCCTTGGGCTCAGGAAGGACAGTCTTCAGCAGCTCCTTGTTGATGTAGCCCTTGCCACCGGTCCACTCCTTGGGAGGGTTGTCCAGGACGTAGAAGCAACGGAAGCGCTGGGGGTAGGTGTTCTCCAAATCCTGCAGCTCCTTCTTCAGAAGGATATCTTCCTCGGACACGTTTCCGAAGACCAGGGTGACCTTAGTCTTGTCCTCGGGGTTCTTGAAGATCTCACGGGTGAGCTGATACATCGGGGTGATACCAGTGCCACCGGCGATCAGACAGATGTGGTTGTGCTTGTTGGCCTCCCAGGGGTACTTGACAATAGGACCCTTGAACGCCAAGCGCTGATCAACATTCATAGAGTGGATGTGCTCAGACATGGGGCCGCCGGGGTAAGCCTTGACGACCAGCTCGAGGTAACCGGGGGTTTCTATGTCCTGTTAGCAAAATGAAGAGTGCGTCCTCGTGAATTAAATTCTTACCCTCATCACTGGTGGGGGTGTAGGGACGGAGGACGTTCTTCTCGGCGCCCTCGGGCTTGAATCGGGTCAACAGAGCAGCTGTATATCGTTAGTGAGGAATTGGTGAACGCGATCAAGGTTGTGCTACTCACAGGCAACGGGAAGACCAGAGACAGCCTCCTTGTCATCGAACTCGAAGCGGAAACGCTTGGTGTTTTTGCTCAGGATCTCAATGTTGGCCAGCTTGAGGTCAACCCAGTCCTCGCCGTTGAAGACCTTCGGGCGCTCCTTGGGCTCGGCAACAGCGGTGTTGCTGTAGCGGTAGACACCAGCACCGAGACCGGCAAGACCCACGGCGACATAGATAGGAGTCAAGTTGGCCTTCTTGGGAGGAGGGGGAGGAGTAGCATTGGGGCCGGCCTCCGCCGCGTACTTGCGGATGCTCTGATTGAGTGAAGGTCAGATTTCTGAGCCAAGCAAGGGTCGAGTGCGCTAGCTCAACTTACCTGCTTAAGAGGCTGCGCGCAACGGAAAGATTGACGAGCAAACATGGTTAGAATTGATTGGGGAGGAATGAGGAAGAGTGAGAAACTCGGTAATCCAACTGGGGAAGAAATCGGATTACATATGCGAAAGCGGACAACCTGGGCAGCCCCCGATCCGAATTCGCATGACGCAACTTTATGCACGTTCCTAGATTGCGACCGCTACGAGAGTGTCTCTTTAGGCGTCGATCATCGAGATTGTAAATTGTCTGATAAGATGTAATACAATTCCAGTTCAATGTTCATTTGACACAGTCAATACATTATATGGACTTTCACTTTACCGCAGTTGAAGACTCAACTGTCCTCGCTACACTGCTGATGCCTAATCTACAGGGCATCGGTATTCGGTCTCGGTCTCGGTCTCGGTTTGCTGAAGGATTGATCTGACCGATACGAGTTGAATTGGGAATACTGGAGCCTGGAGATGTAAAATCCGTCCTCAATACATAGCATATGATGTTTATGGCGATGTATTGTGGTAGTATTATCCGGGATGCAAATACGGACGGGTCAAGGCAACTGCAGCGGCTACATACATCCCAAACCAACCTCAATACGAGGGCTTGGCAGATATCAATGACCAGATTGGTGTAGAACATTGCTCCGGGTCAATGTATTTGAGATGCCCAGATTCCCTGGCATCTACGAGACCCGCTCGTTGCGCAGTACCAAAGTCCTGTCAATATCCTACTGAGAACTCGAATGATTCAAGAAACCCGATGATTTTTTCAAAACAACTATAGATGCCACCATACGGGACTAGAGACATCCAACCATCTCGCCTGTGAACAGGGCAGTGGTTTCCACGCGACCATCTTCATGCATGCTATGGCCATAAAAGTCATTCATCCACACACCCAAACCCAACACCAAGGACGTCACATTTAAGCAAAGGTCGAGGGGCGAGAGTGGGCGAAGATCTTCTTGCCGACCTTGCCACCGGCGCGGTGGGGCAGAGGGAACTTGAGGTCCTTCTGGAGGAGCTGCTTGATGTAGGGGCGGCGGATGCTGTCGTTGTTCTCGATCTCAACAACCTTAAGGATCTGCAGGGAAAACAGTTAGAATCTTGCGACCGTCGGAAAAACGTAGAGCAACGTACGTGGATGGAACCGAAACGGGAGCGGTGACGGGCAGCCATGTCCTGGTAGAGGGCCTCAACAGCGTCGGTGCGGCTCATCTCACGGAACTCCTTGTACATGTTGTGGGTACCGGAGCGCGAGTCGTAGCGGATCCAGATACCGAAGTTCTTGACCTTAAGGGGGCGCTTCTCCTCGATCTAGACAGCGAGATCAGTACCATTCCATATCCCCAAATATCCAATTGCAACATACCACGTTCAGGGAAACGATCTCGCCGTTGGACTTCTTGAGCTTGCGGAGCTGGGCCATGAAGTACCAGAAACGCGACTTGGCCACAACAGTGTTGGGCGCAAAGATGCGCATGCGGTACAGCTTGGGCGTGGGGTTCGCCTCGTTGGGCAGGTGACGCCCGATGACCTGGTACTCAGTAAGACGCCCTGGAAATCCGTCAGTCATTGTTCGTAGGGAGCAGTGAAATTGTCCAGAGCTTCAGTTCGGTAGTGAAAATGGTGCGCGAGTGAGGTTGGCAAGTATTCGAGACGACCAGAGCGATTTCGTTGTGGATGTTGAAAAATTCGAGATTCGAACATTGTGTAGCATTAACCGACAGTGCTGTGCGTCCCTTCATAAACAATTCCAAGCGTGGTTGATTTTCCAATGCGTCCTCCTCTTTTGTGATCGTCTCTTGCCATTGTCGTGTGGTCTTTGCGTCTCGAATTTCCTCCAACCGTATGCGCGCACCGTTGTCTCTGTCTCGAAAAAAATCTTGGGGTATCGGAAAGGGAATAAAAATCACTCACCCATCTAGAAGAGTTGGTTGTTAGTATAAATCTCCGGCGAAATCTAATAGGAGGTACTCACTGTGATTGTCGCTGTGGTGGATGAGTCGTTAGTGTGCCGTCGGTGGAAAATGAGAATTGTGAGGTTCCAATTGTGCTTAGGGTTGCCGCCCTGCCCTAAGCGAGTGGAGGCTTTCCGTTGCGCGCTAGTCCACATTTGTCATTCAGCTGCGCCACAGCATTTATGCCACACCTCACCAGCCACACCGCCTTGCCTTCCCCACATGTCTGCTCCAAAAGTAGCTATGGCGCTCCTCACTTGTTTGGATCTTTGCTGGTATCTTTGCTGGGTCCGATCACCACTTTCCCTTGCCCCACCTTGAATGCTGTCTTCATATTCGCGATCTCTCGATTCAGAGGCTCTTTAGCCAGAGCATACTTCACCATGTGTTCTATTGCGACCAAGTTCAAGGACGCATACGTCAACGGGTCTGGCCCGGATCTAGCTGCGGTGCTCACTCCGATCGGGTCACCTGAGGATCCCACTCGGCTACGGTCATTTCACGAATTCTCCAGCGCCGAATACATATCTAAAGATCTGAGCTATGCTCTCTTTCACGGGAAAAGCCTGAAAGTTCCGAAGGCTGAACAAACTGCTTGGCTCGACATCTTTGCTGCTTATTGGGAAGCCGTGGATGAAATATTACAATGTGAAGATCGCCGCCCGAATGCCAGCGTCGTTACGGTCTTCAACGCTTGGAAGAAGGTTGCCAATGCCCTCATCAGAGGGTACTCAGGCTCCGCCTGCCTCCCCGCATGGACATTGCCCTGCCTGTACACCGTCGGGAAGTACTTGCGTACTTTTGCGATCAATGCGGATATCGAGGCGGCATCTCGAGGCACTGCTGGTATTGGATTCCAGGAAGATCTTTCGGCCGAGGTTGAGAAGAATGGCAACTTGGAGGAGGCTGCTCGGGTCATCAACCGGATGTTCACTCTGTGTTTGAACGATAGGTAAGGATATGATGGGATCTAAAATGCTCTGTTGCTGACCAGACATAGAGCTCCCATCGAAGAATCTCGCAAGTGGGGTATCTACGACATGACCAATCTGTTATTCAAGACATACTTCAAGGTATGAAGTGTTGACCTCAGTCGCTGACAACCGGCTCACACCTTTCATCCAGATCAATTCCGTCGGCCTTACTAAAAACTTGCTCCGCGCCATCAAAGCTCAGTCGGCCGATCTTCCTCCCCCCAGTGCTTTTCCGAAGTCCCAAATTGTCACATATGAATACTATGTTGGGGTCATCCATTTCTTGGAGGAGAACTATGCAGAGGTAATCACGAAGAGCCGCCTACCCGAATGATTTACCTGGGCTGATGATAAGCAATACAGGCCGAAGAACACCTGACATGGGCTTGGAAGATGTGCCATCGAGATGCAATCAAGAACCGAGAGTCAGTAACCTTCTAGCCAATCACCAAGTGGTTTTTACTGACCACTAGCAGGTTGATCCTCACCTACCTTATTCCTTGTCACCTCGTGACCACTCACACGCTGCCCAGCAAGGCGCTTCTTGCGCCGTTCCCAAAACTCGAGGGCCTCTTCAGACCGCTTTCAAACTGCATCCGAAAGGGTGATTTGGTTGGATTCGACCAGGCCATGTCTGCCGGCGAAGACGAGTTTGTCAAGAGACGCATATACTTGCCGTTGGAGCGTGGACGTGACATTGCCCTACGCAATCTGTTCCGCAAAGTCTACCTCGCTGGTGGCTTTGACGAACCCAAGGATGGCCAGCCTCCTATTCGACGAACTCGTGTCCATGTGAATGAATTTGCGGCAGCTCTTCGCTTGGGTTCTTCAGCTGAGCGATGGCGCGTGGATACCGATGAGGTGGAGTGTTTACTTTCCAACCTTATCTACAAGGTAGGCCTGCACGACTCCTCAACACCGAGGTGCTTGCTGACATATACTCCTTCAGGGACTGATGAAAGGGTACATCGCACGTGAACGAGGCATTGTCGTGCTGAAAAAGGGCGGCAGTGCTTTCCCGGGCACAGGCGTCTGATGTTCCTAAGTGGCAATGCACTAAACGGTTTGCAAGCTCTTTTTGTCTCACGCTCACCTACCTTCTCGATCATTTTCGAGTTTTTCCTTTCCAAAGCTTCAAGGTATACATCAGCCTACGACTTACATTCTACACAGCTATTGTTCAGCCCAGCATACCCATGAGACCTGACCAGGTAGTGGCAATGCCCAATTGGGAGCTGGCCTGCCATGGCACTCATTCATACCGGCAGCATGACCTTTGGTCGCCGCATAGACTTCACTGCCAGCTGCATCAGTGTGATCCAGTTTACATTTGCCTCCTATCTCATACATCAGGCAACCGCGGCACACCTATAGCTAGGTAGCTATCATCACGAACTAATGAATCAATCATTTCCAAAATCAATAAATTACAAACATCCATCCTGTAGAATCGCATAATAGTACACGGGAGGCTATCCCGGAGGTATTAACCTTGACACTGCCAGCAGCGACGTCGGACGGAACTGCGCTGTAAACCAAAAGCCCACAACCAAGTTGACCTTACCATCAAATAACTAGTTACAACACCCAAATTACCTAACCTTTAACAATGAGTCGTCGCAGCCGAACTCGCCGACTCCCCAGGAACATAATCATCCTATCTCGAGTTAGCACATCAACCACTCAACCTGCATAAAACGAGACATACTCACCATATGATTACACAAAGCAACAAAAAGATCAAAAAACATCTTCCCCCCACGCTCCATCTCCGCCTGCATAGTCCCACTCCTCATAAAAGTCCCCCTCGACCGCACAATCAGCGCAAGATAATGCGCCCGCAGCTTCGACTCCGTATCAGGCGTATTGGCATACGCAAACCGCGCACTCGCAAGAATAGTACTGCACTGGATCCCCGTGTGCAGACCCTGCTTGCGCAGCGCAATGCGTTGTAGGTGTGGGAGGTTGTATTGTTGTGCTGCGCAGCTGTGTGGGCAGTCAGTAACTATAACTTGGCCATGGTTGGAGAATGAAAAGTCCGGCTACTTACTAAATAGCCGTATCTCGCAATATCACACCTCCAGCCCGATGATGAAATACCGTCGCCGTCGCCTGTCCCAGTTCTCCTGCGCTGACGCCAGCATTCGTGCCCGCGTCTTCGAGCTCCCAGGTCTTCTTCCGGCTGTTGTGGCGTAGTCGGGGGTAGTAGTCGCCTTTGTAGAGGTACTCGAGGACGCAGGAGAGGACCTCGGGTTGTTCGTCTGGGAGGTCGATGTGCTTTCCCGGTGGTTGGAGGGGTAGTCTTGGGCGTGGGGCTGTCGGGCTGGGTGTTTGGGTTGCGCAGTGGGTTGCGAAGAAGGGGGATAGGCGGAGGATTGCTTCGTGGGCGGCGAAGAGGCGCTTTTCTGGGCCCACGCGCAGCATTACTATTGGGCTGCTTGAGGGGGAGCTGTGAGTTGTCCTGTTAGTCTATGTATGGGGTCCTTGAGGGAGTTGATGTTATATGCCCGGAAGATTCAGGGGGTTATGAAGGTCACTTACGTTACGTCTGGGGGTTTGTCGAATTCGCGACGCTGCTCTTGTCGTTGAGGTTTACTGCGAAGAGAGCCTGACCCAGAGCCTGAGCTGTCTCGATCTTGATCCTTTAGACCTCGGTTGGGTCTGGGGCGAGTAGCTTTGCGAGATTGTAGTGTGAAAGCTGAGGCCTTTGCGGCGCGATACCTGCCAGGTGTAGGGGTTTCTGGTGCTCGTTTGGAGAACATCTTTGCTATTATATTATGTGTTTGATAAGAATGATGGGACTGGGAATAATACAGAGACAGCCGTCGATGGATTTCAGGGGGCAGACGGGGCCCTATTTATAAAAGACAGAGAGATGCTAGCTTCCGTTTGATACAAGTCACATCATGTTCTGTGGGGAATACAGGACGAGTGCTGGACGGTTTGTAACGGGTGATCGGATAGAATAGCTCCAATTAAGTAGCGTAAAGAAGCTGGACCTGGTGAAAGACGCGTCATGACAAGTTTTGAGCGCGTAAAGTGGTTTCTGTTGCGTCGCCAAATTGGCGCGTGGTCACGGGCCTCGAGGGAGCCAATCAGAAGCCGCGATTGGGGACAAAGCGATTTCCTGTTTGAGTCGATGTGGGCTGTGGATTCAGTGCTTCGAAATTGAGGCAGTGAGGCAGTCCCACTCGGTCTTTCTTTGTCGACGCCATCAGCTACAGCATTGACGTTTCTTATATTGTATCTGACTACAAGGATATCTTGAACTCGGCCGGTCGTGTTTGAATGAGAATTGACTTGATCGCATACAGCTTGAATGGAACCTGCATCGCAATGCGATAGATGATACCCCTGAACGCCGACGCTGAACGCCTTTGAAGATACCCCAGTGCTCCGAGATTTCGCCTTTCCATGGCCATTTGGCACGCAAAGAATATCATACGAGATACGAGGACAGATAATGATGAAGACAAAGAAAAATAAGAAGAGGAAAACCGACCTTAGAGAAAGACCTTCCTAGCATCCCTGGGGTGGCTCTCGCTTGGACAATACGGGCATTTGAACCGGTTCCCCTTAGCCAGGCGCTTCAATGATTCCTGCGCAATGACATGTCCACATGGCATCATCATGGGGGTTATCATCGGTCGCCTGCTCCTTCGACACTGGGCAGACAAAGATGGAATGGAAGAGATATTGAGGAGGAAGAGGAATTTCGACCTGGTAAACACAATTGTCAGTCTTAACTTGGAAATAGGTTTGCACAAAACATAGCGGTCTCCTTACCGGAAGCTCATTTTCGGTGGTCCACTCGGTCCGCTTCGATTTCATGATATCTTGCAGCTTCAACAGCGTGGGTAGAGCGATCGCCCCCGCCGTAGCAGCAATGTAAAGCGGTGAATCCGCCGAAAGACCAAGCAAAGAACAGAACTCACGCATGAAAAAGTGGGCAATGTCATCCCAGGCCGAGGTGTTGTTGAAGAGGGCAGCATATGGCGAATTAGCAAGGTTCGGGGTGTACGCCATCGCACCCACCAGCTGCTGAACCTCCCGCAGATATCGTGGAACAAAGACTTGGAACTCCCGTCGTGCATACTCGAGTGCAGCGGTCCAGCCGGATGCGTGGTATAGCCAGACATACTGTAGGCGACAGAGCTCAAATTCCAAGTTGCTTCCTCGAGCTTCCAATTCCCACCGGTGGCCCCTCGACCAATCAATTGCTGGTAATAAATTCCTCTTATCTTGTATCTCTTGAAGAATGTAGTACATGGAGGCAAATTGTTTTCGGATCTGGGCCGAAGGGATTTCGTCGATTTCGAGCAGATCCGCAGGGTCCACAGATCTGTCGGTCGAGCTGCTGTCGTTCTGGGAGACCGGATTCTGGGACTTCTTTTCGGCGATTTCGGAAAGAAAGGTGGCTGCGACGCCGAACTGGCCTTCGCGGAGAAGGTGCATGGCGATGGCCCGGTTGATGAGGCTCTCTTGCGTGGATAGGCTGTTATCATCTGTACTCGGTAGTGGCCGATCTTTAAACAGCTGTTTGAGGTGTTAGATGCGACGGGCTGGTGACAAATGGGCGAGCGGGAGTCGGCGTACCTGGTTTAGAGCTTTGTTGTATTTGTTGAGACCACTGTGAGTGTCTTTCAAACTGTCATTAATGGAGTCGAACGAAGATTTGACCGGAGTTTGAAGCTTGGCCAAGGTGATTGCGGCTGAGGATGGATCTGTTGCGGCGAAATCGATGTCGTCAGTAGATGAAGCAAGCGGAGAATCTCCATGGGTAACTGACCAGCAGCAATGGCATCGCGAGCAGACTGTAGGATATCGATTGTAGCCTGCACATTATTGATGCCTTGTCCGCCTGAGATTTTCCGGAGGAGCCGGTCATATTCCTTCTTGACTGCTTCCATAGCGACTGAGTTGGGCGTGGCGTTACGCTCAGAGGTGAGTAAATTACCGAAGTCCAAGTCTCACCACGTGGAAGACTCGAGGTAAGCGGTCTTTATCACCTGAGGGCAACAGCCCCGACGGTATATCTTGATAGATTTGCTGCTAGAATTATACCATACAGCTAGGTTGCGGGTGAAGTGGAAATTAACAACAGGATCAACCCAGCTGTTCCGGGTGATATTCCACGTGATTACACCCCTCATCCGGGGAGTGAATCTCCGTGCATGATGACATCTTGGGTGCGTTGCTATAGCTACCTACTGTGGTTATGGTCGCGATATGAGCAATGTAGAGCAAAGCTGTCGTAGTGGATGTTTCGGTTTCTTAGAGCTGCTCAGTTGACAGTTGGTATGCTCTGGATGACCCCTTCAAAAAAGAATAAGTAGTCTCAGGGATACAAATACAATAACTAAGCCCCTCGCATAATAATTCGCATTGACGCTGGCTGGAGAGGTGCGTGATAATACCCCGGACCGGGAATTTATCCGGTGTCTCAGAAGGGCGGCGGCACGGGTCGGATTAAAGACGGTCCGGGCTCGTCACCGATTGCCCCTGCCAGGGTATAAATATTCCCTTCTCCCCCCAACTTTTGATTTCTTTTCTTCTTTCTTCTTCATCCTAGTGCAAGGGTTTTACACGTATCAGTGAGGAGACATCCGAGATCGTGTTTTTGCTAGTTGAAAACTACCACCTTGACTGCTTCAAGTGTTCCTTAGGGGACGCTTGGGAATTTTTGAAAACAAAACCTCATCAACTCCTTGACTTTGTCATCGTGCTTGATCGTACTATGATGGGAGACCTTTTGTTCACCCTCAAGTATCTTGAGTCTTTTCACTACTTGTCACCCATGTTGGTGGCTCTTAGAGAAGAGATAATGTGGAATGAATTTCTTTTAAGATATTTTAATTTAGCCGAGTCGAGTGCAGCCCGTAGGTCGAGGAAATGTTAATCTTGGTCGCGCTCATGTGGCCCATATTATTTCCTCGAGCTTCGCACTACGCTGGGGTAAATATTTTTGAAACCCTTCACCTCAATACCAAACACTGTCTCGTGACCCATGTCCTGAACTCTTCCAATAACTAGTTATTAACTGAGTTAGATTATGGCTTATCACTCTTGTCTGCTCCTTCCTAGTGGCCAACAACAATCGTAAGTCTCCAGAATCCAGATGCACTGCCCCAATATTACGGGTACAAGGTACTCCGTACATAGGCGCTTTACAGGGGCCACTGGATCACCGGCCATAAAGAATCGACCATGAAATCTACGTCAAGAGTGACAGTCTTGAAATTCCAAGTTCATGACTTGGAGTTGGTGGCCCCCGAAAACGTACGCCTGTGCCTAGCCGGCCGCTAGTGGATCATCTCACTAGTCGAACGCCATCCTTTCAATAGGCCTCATAACTCTATTTCATCGAAGCCCCTATTCAGCCGCTCAATTTCCCCTACATAGGCTCCCATAGCTAACTCAGATCAACTTATCGGCCAAAACACGCGACCGCATCACCTAGAAACCAACGAAGCAGCAATCCTACACTACGCCGGCCACTAACTACGCGAGATGGACACTGTCAAACGTAACGACGACAGCAGCCAGCTGAAGCAGCGAGCTAGCTGAATACATCGTGCATCAATATCGCGCAGAGAATTATACATCGAGCTCGCAACTCTCCACGCCTTGTCACTTGGTGGCTTAAGATGCTGACAACCTCGGAGCGACAATAGACTTGCGCGTCTTGACTCTTGGGTATCGTATCGGTATATCTTCCATATCGCCATCACATATCAAGTTGGGATATGTTCTACTACTGTGTAGGGTACTGGAGACAGTGACGGGCACTCTGCTTCCCGCTGGACTCGAGTCCATCGCAATTCTCATGTACCTGGTTTATTGAGTGGAATCCCTCCAGCAGGACTTGCTGACTCCGTCATCTGCCACCCCAACGGTGATAGAACCGCCACCTGCGACTGACAATGTGTTCATCTACGATGTATCCCAACGTCATCTCCACTGTGGTGAGGGATAACCAGTTTCTTAAGTCAAAGCCACACTATGTAGATCCTTAGGCAATCAGAATACTGATCATCGCCCAAGAGTCAGTGGAAGCGTTTCAATCTTCGTATCTGCCTCCTTTGTCTCCATCAAGGCATAGTAAAATCCAGGACCCCGCTCGAATTCTAGTCCAATTCCTGCGTTTGTCATACGAAACGTGTGTTTCTTACACGAAACAACCTCCAACTTCTCCAAGGGGCAGCTATTCATTAGGAGACCCACATTCCATAACGAATCCTTCGTCATTAAGGGGAGCAGAGTAACGATCGACAGGCACAATGTCTCGTTGCCTGAACCCCAAAACACGCTGCGAGGATCACTTTCTCCTTGTCAACTGCTTGATGAAAGAGATGTGGCTGGTATCCAACTTCACCAGCCCACCCTCTTTCACGCCTTCGCTATAACAAGATTATGCATATCGCTGCAACACACATTCGTTAGTCCAATGCAACACATTATATTGTCGCCCCCGTCCTGGGTCTTTCCGACCGTAGCGGCGTCAACATGGCTAGGTGAGGATCATCCCACGGTCGCTCTGGACAATGATCTAACAAAGGATTTAGCGATGCTGCTGGCCATGTTGGGCCACTGGACGATGATCGGTGAACCACGATATGGCCTCATGAAGCCTGGCCAAAATATACCGTGAGCTCTTATCTCTCCCTTCACCACGGGTGTCATATCAAGGATTCATCTGACCAGCGTTTCGACAGATTCATTTCTGATATTGGAGCCCAAGAATTAAAACCGTTGTTCATGATTGGCTGTATCACGACAGTATTGCTGTTAAACCTCTCGTTCTATCAATTCGTCCAAAACAAGGGATATATCAACAAAACCTGCACCCACGGTTCATTCCTTTTCACAGTCCTTGGGAGCATCGGGTTGGTTATGCTCTCTGTCCTCGATAACATCGACCACCACTTCATGCACGATGTCTGCGTGACGGTCTTCATGTGAGTCCTCCGCCAGGCCAGAATATGCATAGCGGTTACTGACAGCTCCAGTGTGGGGTACCTTGTCAGCGCGGCCTTGATGTGCCTGGACTACATATATCTAGGCATTGCACATGCTCTACGCGAGCCAATGCTCATGACGAGTTTTGTCATCAAGGCGTCGTTTATTGTCGTTGAACTTGCGCTTATCATCGTCTTCCGGATAACTGAGCACACTCATTATAACCAGAACAATATGGCTGCTACTCTTGAATGGGGTGAGTGTGGATTGGTCTCCGATGTTTATTGCTATGCTAATCATGTCGCAGTTATCGCTTTTGTTTTCACTGGTTACATTCTTTCTTTGATCGTCGACCTTATGCCAGCGGCTCAAAGGAACCTTCAGAATCCAAAGGGATATCAACGTATTGAAATGAGTACAGCCTTGTTACCTTAGCCTGATACTTGGCTGGTTCCTTTGCACAGGCGCTTTGGTTATTACTTGTAGCGTTGGTTGGGTTGGCGAATCCTTTGATAAAACTGTATATACGTGCTGTGTCCCTGAAACGAATATCAAGATTGAATCTTTCCTACATTGTGTGCCATTTCTAGGTCATATGTACTTGGGTAGGTAGATCTAGTGAATTCTACAGTAACGTAGGCTACCGCCCGGGTCATTGATGTCCACATGGATGGTCTCGTTGGACTACTGTGTATTTTGAACGAGTGAGGCCTGGGGGCAGCCCCAGGTTTCCTTGCCATCCCATCGATGGATGCTGTCTGTGATTTCAATGACCATGGAGTGTGCATGGGACCTACATAGCTGACAGCCTCCATGGATGACAGCCTCCATGGATGACAATAACAACCAACCGACTTCATTCAGGGTGGTAAGGTAGTCAATAGTCCGCATCTGCTGGTTGTATATTGTTGGGCAGGGTGACATTGATTCGTCGTGGCTCATGGTTTAAATGAAGCCAGCGAAACCACAATCAGTACATCCATGTATATGCATAGAGTGCACAAAGAGTCTATTTGACAATTTGTATGTAATCTGGCAACTAGGAAAGGAGCAGCAGAAGGGCTTGTTTTTGTACACCACAGTACATACAAGCTTGGTTGCCTAAGGCGACAAAGAGCCCACAGCCCATTGTCACATGATCCATTCATCGTAAGGTACGAAAATGACGTCGCCGATTCTGCACAACCTCGGGGGGTTTATATGGACATTCAAAGAGTGCGCCCATGCTATTGTCAGGTCTATAATATGCCTCAGAATCTCTTGACAGGATATGTCACAAGTGTTCCGACCTGACCAAGCGCGCAGGAGGATCGAAGGAAGGCCGGCACTCCCTTCGCATCTTGAGCTGCCTCAGGGTCATATGAACAGCTGCTACATTCACTATTGTTCTCTCTTAGTCTCATCCGACCGGGAGACCAGCTACCATGCAGGGAAACGCCCCAACTGTACCTCCAGCCGACCGCACCGACCCCATGGCATCGGAGCCCGCTTCCCACGCAAATGGAATTGAAAGTCCGCAGTCGCAAGGCCACCAACGACTTGTATTTACCGATGCTGTTGCCCTCCGATACCTTGAAGAAGACCCCTCGACTGTTGTACTCCACCGACGTGAAACGCTGCAAGGATACGAGATATATGTTGTTGAGCAATGGGCCTGCTCTCGTGTACACCCCACTTTCATCATCACGACCTATACTGGTGACCCTTCGCATACAGTTATTGTGGGAGTATTGAGTGTCCCGACCAACGAAGCTTCATGGTCGCCACGCTTGCGCATGTACTTTGATGCCATGAAGCAATGCCACGCAAGGAGGAAAGAAACACCACTGGGAACGGTCATGGTCACGGATCTCGGCTCGTTTCCTTCTGCTCTGAGTCTGATACCCATACCCGATGGCGATATCAGGAAACACCGGGAGGACTTCATCGTGAATGAAGACTTGAAGAGACTTGGATGCGCCGGCCGCGCCGGCTTGAAGCTCCAGCCTCCATCGGCGGCGACCAAAGCGAAATTCCATCAGCTGTACCGGACGAGCGAGATCGTCCCTCTATACATTGCGGTCATGGAACTGGTCAAGCAATGTCAAATCGCGCTGATGGTGTTTGATAAGCTGGCTCCAGAGTATGTCGACGGGCTACTCTGCGACGTGACTGAAGCGGCTATCAATGATTGGTGGACAGACATCGGGACGGACCTGTACAACATCGAGCCAAGTGACAATGGCCTGGGTCCAACAAGCGTGGCGGCATTGCTGGGCACATTGCTCGGCGCTCGGAATCGACTCCACGCCTATGGAGCCCCCGTGGGGAAAGATGCATTCGACTTCTCAAACCTGAAAAGAGGAATCGGTAGTTTCCAAAAATCCCAAAAAATGAAACGGACGCGAAGACTGGACCGGCATACCTTAGATCGGTTACACCGCGCCACGGCCAAGGCTGCCAATGCAGAAGGTTGGACCGATGCAGTGAAGTCTACCATGGCGGAGCTCAGCGGGCAGGGTGGTGAAATGGTCATGGGCATGGTCCGCGGGCGCGACAAAGGCGGCATTGCCGATATCGAAACGCTGGATCTCGACACCTTCGTGCAGTGCTGCAATGGCGAGAGAGCAAAGTACTTGTGGCTGGGTAAGCCCCGAAAGAGTGGATTCGAAGACGGGTTTTCTCGCGGGAATGGGCAGGAAATGATGTTTACTACGGATGAACAAGGCAACTATTTATGGACCAGCCGCAGGAAGCATTCGACAGAGGACATGCATGTCGAGAGAACAGGCTCGGGCCTGGATCGCTCTTGGAAGATGCCAGAAGCCACCGTCGAAGAAAAAGATAATCGCAAGAAAGGCGTCAGCGGACGAGTTTCAGACGCGCGAGCGGGATTAGGACGCTTCAAAGATGCGGTTGGATTACAAGGTCTTCGCCATCATCATCACCATTCTCGAGACAGCGTTGACGTGACACACGATCTTGCCTACCGCCCGTCTATTGACAGTGATAACGAGGCATCGTCCACAAAATCGCGAACGGACTATGGGCCTCGCACAGAACCAAGAATCTCAAATGCCATTGAAGCTCTGATTGAGGAGGAGGAAGACAAACCACAGCCCTCCTCCGTTGCCGAGTCTGAGAGCAAAGCTCCTGAAATCCACGTCGAACTTGCGCCTGAAGAGGAGCCAGAATTGGAGAATCAAAACGATCAGCTCGTCACGCAGCAGCGCTCAAATATCGAAGAAGAGTCAGATATGGAGCGCGTGATGTCTCGTTCGTCGGCAGCGTCATCGGATCGCGAACGTGACCGTGACCGTGATAGGTCGATTAGTGGGCTGGCTGTTATGGCCCTACGGCGGCCGCAGAGCTACGAAGAATTCCACAACCTGCAAAGTGAGATTGAACGACGAGACAACTTCTGTGCACGACACCTGTCTTTCAGTACAGTCGAGGAAGTGGTTTTGAAATGGGAGCCGCTAGGCGGGAAACCGTTGGTCCAAGCGACCGACGACTTGGAGGAAGCCATTGCCCAAGAAGACATGCTTGCCTCTGAAGGCCGGATATTCAGCTCACGGATCCAAGAGTTGAGCCAGCATACTGTACCTTGGGTTGAGCGTCAAGTGGATTCCGTGGATGGCCTCAACCAAATTCTATATGACCGACATGAAGAGCTCAACTCAATATACTTGGAACGCTTTGCGGACTACCAAAGACTGCGCGAACGGTCTAGTGATCTCCTCCTGGATGAACGCCACCACCTTGCTGATGGCGTGAAACGCGTCGAGCTGCTGGGCGCTAAATTGGACTACGAACTGAATGTCCTCGAGTCCAAAATCGAGGACGTGGAAGCCGGCCTGGGTGACTTTGAACGTCACATTGTGAATGTCGAGACCAGGATCAAAGGCCTGGTCAAAGGCGAGGAACAACACGAAACTTCCTGGACGGCATGGATTGCGCGAACGATGGGCTTTTCAACCTAAGAGAGTTTGTATGATATTTCATTTTTCCATTCTCTGTTCTCCCTTTTCCACCATATTGTACATATTCAGATAGACCGGCGTCCATCTGCGACGGTATAAACGTGAACCATCATTTCAAAAAATAGCCCAAGTTTGAATAGGCCGAACCAGTCATATAGCCTTCCAATACATAGACCACCGAGTTCTCTAGCTTTCCAGGCTACCAGAGCTCTTTCTTCCCATGAAAAGTCGTCTCAACACGTTTACATGCCGAAGGCGCCGCCCTGCTTGTTGGCATTGGCCTCACCCTGCATCTTCTCGCTGACCTTAATGTTGACATCAAAGAACTTGGACACGCAGCGGTCCAGGCAGACGGACTCGCCCTTGTTGAGGTCGCCTTCACGGTAATCGGCGGGGACGCACTTCTTGGTGCAGGACTCGGTCAAGCTGTCATTGCGGAACAAGTTAGAGCGAGTTCGGCACAGTCACCATCAACAGGTAGATATTTGGGGCAGACGTCTGCAACCTGCTGCGCTCCTGCATAGAGTCACAGCATACTGGGGGGAACGTAGAGCTTCCACTTACCGGTTGAACATGTCTGAGATCATCTCGACCTCTGTCTCTGCGGCAGCAATCTTCTCTGCCGAGGACATCTTGGGGGCACCGCCGAAGAGGAAAGACATGATGTATGTGATTGGAATAGGTTTAGGATGTCGGTTGTGATGGTGATTGATGAGCGAAAGACTTGGATTAGATATGTGGAGCAACTGGACAGTCCTAGGTCTAAGGAACGGGGAGGTCGGAGGAGAGGAGCTTGGACCACCCGCGTGGAAAAAACTCGGTTCTGCCGATTTTCTTTTCCTTCTCTTCCTCTTCTTCAACAATGTGAAGCCAATTTGCTATGCATTCAATTCGCCCTAGATGGGCTGCAGGCTTTGGCCTACGGACTAGGTAAGATTTGCCTCTTATTCTCTCTACACTTTCCCTCTGTTCCTGTTACCCCTTATATGATGATCTATCCCCGCATTAGAACCGCTACAGTGATGTCTTTCGAGACATTTGAACGTACTGGATTTTATCTGAAGCTCAATGCTTATTTTTTTGGCATCAATTGTGTCTCTTGTTTCGAACATTGCTGACCCGAAAATTTCAGTGCAGGATTACGACTTGCTAGCCAGCCTCGCGTTCAGATTTCCCTCGCATCACAACTAACCACACAGACAGCCCGGAAGAGTAGCTCTGCAGCAGTTCCAAGAAAGGCCCTGCAAGAGCGGATACAGCAGATCAAAGATGCCTGTGCAGACCCATACCCTCGCCTCGCGGTGGACAAGCGCACAGTAAGCTGCGCCGAGTTTCGTTCTCGCTATGCCGAGCTGGCCGACAATGATTCAGTAGAAGACACGGTCATCGTCTCTGGTAGGTTCTGCCGTCTGGCCTTTGCAATGCCCATGTACTTAGATTAGTAGGAAGAATCCGTACCTATAGACTCGCGGGAAGCAAATTGATCTTCTTCGATATCGTGCAAGACGGCCATAAACTCCAGGTGATGTGCAACAAGCGTCGTCTGGAGAGTGTTTCCCCCGAGGATTTCAAGAAGTTCTACCGGCTTCTGCGTCGTGGTGACGCTTTCTGTATGTGTCTTTGCCCGGCTTGACTCGAGTGTCGCCCGCTAAACCCCCTGTTTAGCTGTAACCGGTAGACCGCACCGCACGGGTCGAGGCGAGCTCACTATCGACGCGAGTGAGTTACCGCAGCTACTCTCGCCGTGTCTGCACGATATCCCCGTCCACGATGCTGAACACGAGACCTCCCCGTACCCTCGCCATGTCCAGTTCCTGGCTGATCCTGCCACGGCGGATATCATTCGAATTCGCGCGGCTCTCATACAGTATCTGCGTCAGTTCTTTGTCGACCGCTCCTTTATGGAGGTTAGCACCCCGATCATCGGGTCTGTGGCTGGCGGCGCGATTGCTCGTCCATTCTACACCTACGCCACTGAGTTCTCGGACCGTCAGCTGTCGCTGAGAATTGCACCAGAGCTATGGCTCAAGCGGCTGGTGGTCGGTGGATTCGACAAGGTCTTTGAGATCGGACCGTCGTTCCGGAATGAGGGTATGTTCAAGCAGATAAAGAGGATCTGTGACTAGCAAAGCTGATGAACTGCAGGACTGGACAAGACGCACAACCCAGAATTCACCACCTGCGAATTTTACCACGCATACGCCAACCTCGAGAACCTAATGACCATGACCGAGGACCTTCTCTCCGGCATGGCAGCCCACATCCGCGCCTCAAATACAACCGCCACTCTCAACCCCACCAGCGCCAACTTCGCTGCGCCATTCCGTCGCATCGACTTCATCACCGGCATCGAAGAAGCCACAGGCCACAAACTGCCCGACCTGGAATCCCCCGACGCCTTGGACAAAGTCACAACCCTCTTCAGCGAACTCTCTCACCCATTACCTTCCAATCCGACCCTCCCTCGTCTCCTTGACGAGCTATGCAGCATCTACGTCGAACCCCAATGCATCGACCCAACCTTCATCATCAACCCACCCGAATGCCTCTCCCCACTTTCCAAATCCTTCATCCACCCAACAACCAAGCAGCGCGTTGCCGCGCGCGGTGAACTCTTCATCGAAGGCAAGGAAGTGGTGAATACATACGAGGAGGAGAATTCGCCATTCGAGCAGCGTCGCAAATTCGAAGACCAGCTGCGGTTCGGCAAAGATGCCGGTGAGCCTGGTGGGATTGATGAGAGTTACCTCGAAGCCTTGGAGTGGGGCCTACCTTCAACGGGTGGTTGGGGATGTGGTGTTGACCGTCTCGTTATGTTGTTTACGGGGGCTAAGCGAATTAATGATGTGTTGCCTTTTGGCAACCTCAGGGCTGTAACCAGACGGGGCAGTTGAGTAGTATATAGAATAATTTGGTGACTTGTACGATATTCGCGAAGATGAACGCATAATTTTTCAATCCCTGCGTCAAGTAACATCGGTCGATTTTAGTGCGAACCTTCCACCGTGAGTAGCCGTGATATTGACACGAAGCGGGGGAGTTGATTTCTTCACCTCACATCTTCACCATGGCTATTGACGCACCCGTGGCTCAGGCCGTTACAGTCAGTCTACAGGAACTTGTAGATGGTAAGTCCAAATCTCTTGTCCAGATTAACTTATAAGGAGATACTCAACTCCCAGGAACTGTATCCTTCGACACGTTGACGGCAGCTTTTGGTCCCTCCTCCCTGGGTATCATCATTGTCAAAGACCTCCCTTCAGCCTTCACGATATTACGCAAAAAGGTTCTCTCCAATGCCTCATACCTAGCGGCATTCCCGCAATCCGAGCTGGGTCGGTTTCCATTACCCCATACCCCAGACAGATATCCCCCCTCCCCCCACCATGCCCAGCAGAAAGACTAACCTCCACATAGAGACCCTCACTAGCCCAGAATCCAAATACTTGGTCGGCTGGTCCTGTGGCAAAGAAACCCTGAAATCAGGCCACTTCGACACCCTGAAGGGCTCGTACTATGTGAATTGCGCCTTCTACCAGGACCCGTCTCTAGACAGTGCTCCAGCGGATGATTTCCCAGATCTGCCCCAGTATACTGCACCAAACATCTGGCCATCACCAGAGAAGCTCCCCGAATTCAGGAGTAGTGTGGAATCTCTCTGTGGACTGATCATCGATACTGCGGCCCTGGTTGCCAAGGCCTGTGACCGGTATGCAGAAGCCAACATCGAGGGTTACAAGCCTGGATATTTGCACCACGTTGTCACGACTAGTCTGACAACCAAAGCGCGACTCCTGCATTATTTCCCTGGAAACGAGGAAGCTGAATCAGAGAGTGACGATGACTGGTGCGCTACGCATGTTGACCATGGCTGTCTGACGGGCTTGACATCGGCCATGTTCCTCGACGAGGCTGTTTCTCCTCCGACGCTGGATGCAGAGGGGTCTGCTTCTGCCCCTCTCCCCGAACTTCCCCGTTCCCCCGATCCTTCGGCTGGACTGTACATCCGTTCGCGCACTGATCAAATTGTTAAAGTCAATATCCCTAGGGATTGTCTGGCTTTCCAGACTGGTGAGGCCTTGCAGCTCATCACGCATGGAAAGTTCTTGGCTGTGCCCCATTTTGTGAAGGGGGCTAAGGCGAGTCCTGGACAGAAGATTGCGAGAAATACGCTTGCTGTGTTTACGCAGCCGAATCTGGCCGAGGAGGTGCAGCCTGGATTGAGCTTTGCGGAGTTTGCTAGAGGGGTTGTGCAGAAGAATTATTGAGTCGATACAGTACTACGATTGTCATTACTCGGTACCTAGATTTGAGCCTAATTGCATGCTTTTAGGGATCGTCAAGTCCTGGGGAAAATGACCCTCGATGATTCAACCACGAGATCAAGTACATAGTGACGCAACGCGGCAACTCTTCAATTGATTTCGGCACATTCTTTTCTAATTCTCGGCATTGATTAAGCTCCTGAGACCTGCCAAGAGAAAGATGCACCCTGAACCCCCGATGGACATCATTTGGTTCACTGGTGTGGTTGGAGTAGTGGAAGTTGTGGGCCTGGCCACCCCGTCATTGACCCTGTTACAACTAGATCCAAGATCCACCTCCCTGGGGATCTCCACACTCTACCCCATATCCTCACGGAATGAGATCTACACGTTGATCTTGACTTGATAAGTTGATGCATCACTTCTCGCCGCATAATGATCGTCTACCGGACGGACGGAACTATATGGTCTCCACTACCCATTGACTTTGAAGGTTTGGGCCTCAACACAGATGTCCACAACAAATCCACAACACAACATGACCATCAGAATAGAATGCCATCGTTCTCCTTATCTCGGTATCCTCAATTTTGAGCTGGGCCCCTCCCCCGCACTATCAGGTAGTTGATCTTCCCCGCGGACCAGAGGAGCTTTGGTTCCGCACTCGATGTTGATTCTGTTTGCAATGCTGCTGCGTCTACTTAAGAAGATGGAATTCGCCATGCCTGAGAAGAAAGTATCTAGCATTGCTGTGTGATTGTCCTTACTCCTTTCTTTTCTCTTGCTTTTTCTCAATTCTCCCCTTCTATAGACTATACGACACTGCTCTCTACCCTATCATGACTGCCTACGAAAACGAAGGAATCAGTGTCAAAGACACCCAAAACTCCTCCACCTCAACCGAGGACTACGATAATGGCCACTTCGGCCCCTTAGCACACGTCAACACGGCATCAAGCCGCTACCCTGCCTTCGGCGGTGATTTGCAACCGGGTCTATACAAACTGCCCAAGGATCGCAAGCTCGCCAATCCCGCCCCATTGGGTCTCTGCGCTTTCGCTCTCACTACTTTTGTTCTGGGCTGTCTCAACATGGGCGTTAGAGGTATCACCGAGCCAAACATAGTCGTCGCGCCTGCCTTGGCTTACGGCGGTCTTGTGCAGCTCCTAGCTGGCATGTGGTATGTATAGTATACCTCATGAACGAATCGGAAATGGAATGGCACTAACTTGCAACAGGGAAATGGCCGTCGGAAACACCTTCGGTGCAACCGTCCTCTCGTCGTATGGCGGTTTCTGGATGTCACTGGCCATCACCTTCATTCCCGGCGGGTTCAATATCATGGGTGCTCTCGAAAAAGCCGATGGCGGGTCTCCAACTATGTTCTACAATTCCTTCGCGCTGTATCTATTCGTATGTTTACTTCCCTTACTTCCATTCCCCTTTGACAAATCACAAATCCCAGCCACATCCCTACAGAAAACAGATGCTAATGTTTCTCAGGGCTGGTTCATCTTCACAACAATCGTCACATCCCTCACCCTCAAATCAACCGTAGCCTTCTTCTCCCTCTTCTTCTTTGTCGATATCGCCCTTCTCCTGCTGGCCCTCGGGTACTATTTCAACGAGGGCGGAATGCCGAATCACAACTTGATCAAGGCTGGCGGTCTTTTTGCGCTTCTGGGCGCCTTCTTGGCTTGGTATAATGCTTTCGCCGGTATGGCGGATGATAGTAATAGCTTCTGGTTGCCGCCTGTTATTCACTTCCCTTGGTCGGAGAAGGCGCGTGCTGCTAGACGGGATTCTGCTGGGGACTCTGTTTAAGGCTCTTCTGGGCCCTGGGGCTTGGTTCTTTCTATTCTTTTTATATTAGATTTAGATATCATCATGTCGGATGGGTCAGGAGATTAGAGCGTAGATTTAAATTAAGCAACGTTTATGGCTTTGCGTCTTCGTCTCGAAATGAGTATCCATGCATATTGTCTAGAATAACGTGTCCTCGTTGTATGCTCTGTGGTTCAGGCGTCGAGTACTCTGAGCAGCATAGAATCAACCTCTACAGGTAACAGGATCAGCCAACTCATACCTATGCTAAGAATAATGTTTCATTGTGACTACATACAAGCTCCTGAACAGAATCATGAACAGACCTTAGAAGCACCCCCCGTAAACACCCCGGGTATCATGGATATGCCGCTAAAAGGGAAACGGAAAAAGCAATCGGACAAATCATACAGGAATCATCAAACAGAAAGAATGAAAATCAACATCAACACCAACATCAGAACAGAAAGCAAACTATGCAAGATCGTCCATGCTGTCGCTCTCAGTCGCGACATCATGGCCGGCCGAAGGAGGCGGACCCGGAATATCAGCAGACTCCTCATCGGTCATGTCACTGTCATCATCGTAATAGTCATCATCATTTTCCTCAGTCTCACCACCAAGACCAACGCCAACCATTTTACTGGTCTGAGAAACCTGGGCAAACCCACCCTTCGACTTTCCCTTCGAGACAGAGGACGAAGAAGCAGCCCTCGCGGGAGGCTCGGACGCAGGAATCTGAGCCTGACGACGGAGCGCAGCGCTAGACTCGCCGCGTGCCATCCTCATGATAGCCTGCCATTTTTTCGGGTCATCGCGCTGCGGAGCTGTACGCCCGCACTCGATACCGCAGAGCTCCGTCACACCCAGTGTTTCGACACGACAATCGCCCCAGAACCATGTATTGCCTTCTGGGATGCGAGCGTCGACCTGCGCGGAGAAGTTGCGGCCCTCCATGACGCCGGAGAGATCGTAGTCTAGACCGTGCGCGCCGAACAGCAGTTCTGCGGCGAGAGGCTCGTAGCAACGGCCGATGACGACCTGCGGGGTGACGTTGCAATTGCGGCCGTTGGCCATCTTGTACCAGGGGCCGTAATCGCAGATGCTGACCTGGCGGAAGGCGGTGATTGCCTGGTTGGGGGTGAGGGGTTTAGGGTTGTCGTCGCCTGTTGGGTCGGGGAATGTGCGGGACTTGCGGACGCGTGATGGGTCGTTGGTATACACCAGGCCGGAGAGAAGAACTGCGTAGTGCTTGGCTAGCTGCTCTGGGTCGTCGTCGATGCATTCTATCAGTCGCAAGGAGATCTTTGTGATAACCATTACGTCGGTTATCTTGGGGATTTTTCCGGATTTGAGATCGGAGTGTTGGAAGCCCTCTGGTTTCAGACGTATGGTGTCCCCGACGACGAGGAGTTCGCTACCGATGAAGATGCCCTGGCAGTGGATACTGCAATTTCGGTCTTTGCCGACTATGTGATATTTGCTCACCACGCTCCAGGAGGACATCACGGTCATGGCGTTTTCAATAGATGGGTGCGCCTTGTCCCGGTCCTGGTCCTTGAGAAAGATTTGCCAGGCGTTGAAAGGCCTGATATTCCGCAGCGGAACGTAAGTGTAGTGCTTCGAATATGACTTGTCAGTGCCCAGAGGGTCTGGTAGAGTCTCCACACGGAACCCAGAGTAACTCAGACCGCGTGGGTGGTCGGGTGTTTCCACAATGTCCCACGTGTGCGTGTCATTTTCAGGCGTTTGGGTCACTACACCTGCACGCCAATAAGGCACACCACGCCAAAGGTCGTCATTGCCAAGGATTTCATAACGCCCAGTCGCGGGATTGAGCGTTAGACTACCGTCTTCGAGACCGTCCCAGATCCAGAGAACAAGCTCACCACGTCGCGGGACGTAAGCAGGATCAAAGATCAGTTTCACACAGTAATCAGTAATCCATTCGTGAGTCAGAACCCAGTCGAAATTGAGCGGTTGCTCAACAGCTTCATCAATCTCGCCATTGTCTAGCAATTTCATGACATACGTTCGCCAGTAATCTGGGCCTTCGGCGTCGGTGGGTTGGCGCGTATTGTCGGCTCGGGGGCTTGTTAGTGTATGATTTGTTCCACTGGGGTAATGGGTACTCACATGGTGGCGGCACACCGGTCCTTGCCACTGGCCTCACAGCTGAGCCCTTTTCTTTCATTTTCCGGTAAGTGGCACACGGCTTGCACGGGCAGCTGTCAAGTGTTCCCTTGACTAAGGCGAGAAAATGGGGCAAGAAGGCAATACGTGTCCTAAAATACTTTCCACTCGGATGCCCGAATAAAAAACAATCCTTCTTTCACGAGTCCGTTAGCTAGAACTAAGTTATCAAACCCAGAGACACTCACCACGAGGCGGCCGCCAACACGAGGCCGCTCGAACAGGCAGTATCCGTCTGGCAACTTCTCAATAATATGAGTCACGCCTTTGATGTGATTTGTTAGTATGGAAGTAGAGACACTGAACTTTCAATGTGAGAGGAGAGGATGGAGGTGGAAAGACAAAACACAAAGGGCAACACAACAGCTGGACAGAGGGTAAGCCGCAGGAACCCAGCGTGTGTGCGCGTAACAATGCGCATAACAATAAGCAAACACAAACAGCAAGCTATAAGAACATGCACAATAATTTATTTATCAGAGCATCTGAGAGACTGAGACAACTCACCTTCTTCATAAGTGCCCGCATCTTTGAGCCAATTCTCTGCAAGATTCAGACGCCAGCTGTAGTCGTCTCGTTCAGTGTATGGGCTGTCAGGCCAAGTACTCATATCCCCATCACTAGCAGCAGTCATGGGGATTACGACCATATTATCATCGAACGAAGACATGTTCGTCTTTCACTCTTCCCCACTGGGAAGCCCAGGTGAGTTCCGATGGGAGAGTGAGGTTGTTCGATGGTGATGATGGAACAACCAACCGGAGAATTCTGAACTCAGAAGTCGATAAATAGAGGGCTCAACGGTGGTATGTACGAAGCTAAAGCTGAGGAGAGTTGTTGACAAGATGAACTATGGAGAACACGTGCTTCATGCATTTGGTTTTCCCATTGTGGAGGCCTTTATCGATAACGCGATAACGCGATAACGATACTGCCATGATTACCCATCTTCAGCTTCGTAGTGAGTTCGTACATACTGCTGCTTTGCTCTCTATTTATCGACTTCTCAGTTCTGAACTCTCCAGGTTGGTTGTTCCATCATCATCACCGAACAACCTCACTCTCCCATCGGAACTCACCTGGGCTTCCCAGTGGGGAAGACTAACATGTCTTCATTCGATGACAATATGGTCGTAATCCCCATGACTGCTGCTAGCGATGGGGATATGAGTACTTAGCCTGACAGCCGGGGTATACACTGAACGCGACGGCTACAGCTGGCGTCTGAAGCTTGTCGAGAATTGGCTCAAAGATGCGGGCACTTATGAAGAAGGTGAGTTGCCCTGAGTGCTGCCGAATAATCTATCCGCATGAAGGGTGCGATTCCCAGTAGAGTAGACAATTAGAAGACATCTCATATTCCCAAACATCTAAACTGTGTAAAATCGATTTGCCGTTTCTTCGATGAGATCCTCGGAGCCAGAGTGCTCTTCTTCCTGGTAAGGCGGCGGTGCGATTTCACTACCATTAGCCCAAACCTTCTGAAGCTCTCGCTCAATCTCCTCGCGACGCTGCTTCCATTCATCCACCTTATCCAGACGCTTCCGCAGCTCCTGCAGCTCCTTCTCGACGCCCAGCTTCTCCTTCTCGGTGCCAATTCTCTCGAACTCCCAGGTCTCGCCTTCGGCGCCCAGGCCAAGAGTCAGGTTATAGGTGTGGTACTTCTTCAAAGACGCGCGAGTCGAGATGGTGATGAGAGTAATTCCACGCTCCTTGGCTTTATCGTACAGCAAGCCCTCAACGTCGGAAGAGACAGCCGAGGTGCCTTCGTCCATAAACGCGTACCGCGGCTCGTGGTAGAAGAGACGGGCCATACCCATGCGCTGCTTCTCGCCGCCACTCAAGACGTCCTTCCATTCCTTGCGAGCGTCCCAGCCGCCTTCGCGCTGTGGAAGGTAACCCAGATGGGCGTCGTCGAGGACCTTCTGCAGAGTTGCGTCTGTCTCGCCGGCTTCGCGCATATCAATCTCCGTGTGCGGGTAGATCACTTGGTCACGCAGAGTGCCAACGCTGAGATACGGTCGCTGGGGGAGGAACATGATGCCATCAAGGCCAAAGTTTCGAGGACGGCTGACCAATCCACGGTAGACGGGCCAAAGTCCGGCCACGATGCGCGGAATTGCGGACTTACCGACTCCATTTGGCCCTGAAATGAGGAGGTGGTCACCCGAATGGACGATGAAGGAGAGAGACTCGACGAGCTCGTCGCCGCCCATTGGATGGAGGGAGGGGGCGACGATGGGGACCTGCTCCAGGCGGACCCCGTCGAAGCCATTGTGGGTAGTGCCTTGAGTATCGGCAAGGGAGTATAGTTCGGGATGTGAACCCCGAGGGGTGTAATAAGCATCGGCATGAACACGGTGCAGGGTGGCAATGAGACCGTAGACACGGGATGTGTAGCCAGCGAGCTCTGAGATGTCCTTGATGCTGTACATAATGCGGCCTCCAGCGTCGGCAAGGGAAAGCATCAGTCGTTTGTTGGTGATGAAATCCTTCATACGGCCACGCTCGCGGCTCATTCCTTCGGGTGCATCGGCCAGCTCCATTGCACCGCCCATGCCACCCCAGGCGGGAAGGAAGACGGGCAGGGAAGTGACCAAATACCCAAACGCTGACCAAGAGTATTTCAGGATCATATCTTCGAGCATGTTGTAGCGGATCTTGAGACTGTAAATGCCCTCCATCCATCGCTGTAGGTCCTTGAAGCTTCTGACTAGGAAGACCCGCTCAATATCAGCCCCACCGTAGAACGAGATCTCTTCGGCGTTGGCTAGGAGTCTGGAGTGCAAGCCGCGGAAATCCCCTTCCTTCTTGCCCTCTACTGCCTTGAGCTTTCCGAATGGCGGTGATAGTTTCCGAAGCACCACAGCTGTGCTGAAGTACCCGGCCAAAATGCCGCTCAGGGCAAGGGGACCAAGTGAGCGGTAAAGTTGATAGTTGAATACGAACAGATCCACCAACGGCTTGCCCATCGAGGAGTACAGTGATGCAGCAGCTGTACAGAACAGTGTGAGATCTTGTGTGATGAACTGGTCGGGACCTTGGCCGATTCCGCCGTCCAGGTTCATCAATTTATAGTAGTTATTATTGTCGGTTAGGTATAAGTCGTGGATATAGCGTGTTAACCGGGTGCGGAAGGCGATGGACACCTTTGCCTGGAGGAATTTGATCATCGCGTTGGTGTACGAAGCAAGGGTTCCAATTCCACACCACTTGAGGATACCCCAGAGGAAAGCCTTCCCTTTGCCAGCAACCAGATCCCTCACAATCTCACCATCAAGCCGTGCGATCAAGAGCGAAAGATACGTTCTCATCAAGAGGAAGAAACCATGGCTCATCAGCAACCCAGTCTCTTTGCTTCCCCATCGCGGTACCATGATACTACCCAAGCTCAGAAATTGATGGAGGAATGCCAAATTCAGCCCTGGTTTGGCTGTGGGTGGAGGGATTTGGCTCGAGCCGTCATCTTTGCTGCGAGTCGATGCTGGAGGGTTGAGGAACAGTCGTCGATGGGCGTCAAATGTGGTAGGTTTGGTGGGATGAATCAAGACCTTGGAGGTTAGAGAGTCCTTGTATGGTACATAGATAGTACGAGATCCATCTTTGCCCCGGAGACCAGAGTTCCGGCGCAATAGACGGCGGCCCTGAGCACGCTCCTTGGCCCGCCCTCGGAACCAACTGTATCCCCCATAGCCCGTGCCGATGATAGAGAACAGGAGGGCTATTGTTGCAATCAAGCGCGTTGTTTTCGACGTATGGCGAAGTTTCGAACGTACGAGGTCAGAGTAATGGCGATACAACGCCAGGAGAGGATCCTCCGGGCGCCGAAGGGTTGATTGGACGGCCATATTCAAATGGCCTGAGACCTCCGACTCACGAGGTAGCTGAGACCCTAAACTCTTCGGAAGGCCATGAGGTTGTTGATGTTCCAACCCGTAGAGAATGCATCTCAAGCTGAAGTGAAGTTGGCTTGATCGATGTCATTGCATGTGAACCTCGGAATTGCGGAGAAGCAGCTCACGTGGGGAAGCTGACTGTTCCGTTCCTGCCCTGGTTCCCTGCTTCGCCGCCACTTCGGAGCGTCTCTCCCAGGCAATAATGGCCTTCTAATAGGCAACTAGGCAATTAAACAATTTTTCTGAGGAAGCGGATGAAGTAGACTTGAGAATAATAATACGAGTGCGAATCCCAGGGCAAACAGGGGTCAGATTTCTTCACTTTTCTTCCAAAGACTCATGATTCTTTGTTTTGCTTACATCCCCAATGAAATGAGACATTCCAACCTATCCACCCCGTACATAGACCTCGATCACCAACAACTGGGTATAACCCAGTCTGCGGCTGACATGTAGTTTCTGGACTGGCAACAACTTGAGGTCACATCAATCAATCACGTTGTAGAGGGCCATAGCTCCTCCTTCTGCCATCTGAGTGGCCATAAAAAAGGGGCCACACATAACAATCACAGCAATATCCACAATAATACAGATGACCCCCCACAGACCCCGATCGGGATCCCCTCAAGTGATTCGCCTTGTTTTTGGTCCAGACCCTTCCAGGGGACAAGTCAGAAGTAGGAGAGAAAGCAACTCGTAATATAAGCAGGAACCTCATGTAGGTTACATGCAAAAGCAGGATCGACCGAGTACTGTACCGTGATAACAGTATTAGCCGTAGCCGCTGAGGGCTTAGAATAGTGCGTAAAAAGGGCCCCTGTGCCTTGTTAGTCTGGTTCGACCTGGTTAGCGTAGAAAAACACCAAAAGGAAGGAAATCCCATTTCCCCTTCCCCCACGTGACCGCCCCCGACTCCTCTCGACGGCTCCTCCCCCGAATACCCTCCTGCGAACGCGAGCCTGCACATCACGTTTTCCCCGAATAGCTTGCTGTTTCCGAAGCAATAACCGGTGATCACTCCCGGGGCCAAAGGTGGTACGTGCAAAACGTCTGTTCGGACATGCTTATTCCAGGAACCGTGTTAACATTACCCCCATTAGCCGCGCTCTCATCCTTGGAGAGTTCCGGCATTGACTCGGCCATTCAGACCTGGGACTTTGCTTCGTTTCACCTGTTCCTTTATATATATCTGTCTCCGGCGACCTGACACTCCACCCATTCCCAATGAGTGGAGAGCGAGATTCAGCCCCGGAGTCCTCAAACAAAGCACCAATGAGTACCTCCGGCCCTTCGGGCGCAATCGGTAAGTTGATGCGCCCCTGTTCTGTGTGGCTCTGAATTCGGAGGTTGGGCAGGTAGCTAACATTGTTCCTTCCGTAGGTGGTGAGCCCGAGCAGGGTCATGGCACCGATGCGCCCAAGATCCAGGACGCAACTGCTGTCGCATCTTCCGACCCTTCAGCTTCCACAGTACCGGCAGAGAGCACGGCTGTCACTGAAGGCGCAACTGCACCAAAGAAACGCCATTTGTTGATTCCTATCCCATCGCGTCGATCCTCAAAGGTCAACAAACAACAGGGGTCGGAGAAGGCTGGGGAAGCGGCGCAGGATGAGCCTGCTCGAAGGGGCTCCAAGGTGAGCATTCTGCGGAAACGCGATCAAAGTCGGGCAAGCAGCCGTCGCTCGCGCCAGACCCAGGATGGGACCAATCCGGAGGAGAGTAAAGAGGTGGCAACTGCACCTGATAATTCTTCCAAGCCTCAACAGAAGAAAGGCCCCTCAAAGCTCTTAGCTTTCTTGGGCTGTTGTTCCTCATCAGACATTGATACAGATGACACTGCTGTTCCTGCGAAGAAAACGACCATGCGTGCGCCCGTTTCCAACAGGTTACCCACCCCAGACAAAGCAGAGGCTCAAACTGGTGATTCAAGCACTGTAGAGTCAAAAGAACCATACCTAGATGAGAAGGCAAATTCCACAGTCAGCCCGGATCAGCATGGCGAAGAAAACCGCAATGTCCAGGCTTCAGCGGCTGGCGTGCAAAAGGATGGCCCTGTGGATGGTCCGCAAGCAGAAGCTTCTGGTCAGAAGGATCAAACTGAGGAGCAGGCCCCGCTTGCCCAACACACAGCTCCAGACACCAACGATGTAAACAACAATGATTTGGGAAGTCAATCAGACATCGAGAACCTTTCTCCTGCATCAACCTCCGCCATGCCCACCAGCTTCGGTATCGATGGCTCGAGTCCCGACAACTCCGAAGAAGTTGTATCTCAAGACGAAGTCACACAACCCATGGCGGTGCCTCCTCCTCCACCGCTTCCACCTGCTCCTCCTGGCCCTCCTGCTCGAGGATACTCTGAGGATGCGGCACATTCGTTGCTCCCGCCCGCTTTGCCCCATCTAAGCGACCGAAAGTGTCTAGTCCTCGATCTCGACGAGACTCTAGTTCACAGCAGTTTCAAGGTAAGCTTTTGTCTGAACTTGAATATGCCATTCCGGCGCATCGTCGGATCATTTCACTGACTCCATATTTGACAGGTCTTGGAGCGTGCCGACTTCACTATTCCGGTCGAGATTGAAGGCCAGTACCATAATATCTACGTTATCAAACGTCCTGGTGTAGACACGTTCATGAAGCGCGTTGGCGAGCTCTATGAAGTAGTGGTTTTCACTGCCTCGGTTTCCAAGGTCAGTTGGGAGTCAATGATCTCGGCGAATGATACACTGACTAGAAGTTTAGTACGGCGATCCTCTGCTCGATCAACTTGACATTCACAACGTCGTTCACCACCGATTGTTCCGTGAGAGCTGCTATAATCACCAAGGAAACTACGTCAAGGTAAGTCCCTTTGAGCTTGGCGAGATGGACCCAAACTAATCGTCTCCAGGACCTCTCACAAATCGGTCGAAACTTGAAGGAAACAATCATCATCGATAATTCACCTACTTCTTATATCTTCCACCCCGAGCACGCGATTCCGATCAGCAGCTGGTTTTCCGACGCCCACGACAATGAGTTGCTCGACCTTATCCCCGTCCTCGAGGATCTGGCAGGGCCGCAAGTCCAAGACGTGAGCATGGTCCTGGACTGCACCTTGTAAATCGCTCGATTGGGAGCGAGTCTTCTTCACGCCTGAGATATCCATTTTGAGCGAATTGTTTTCTTTTCTACGCGAGAAAAGCCTTTTCCTTTGTGTTCCAGCATTTCTACCATTGATGGGTAGTGCCCCGTTTACCGCTGATTTGATTCCCCTCGACCGCATGAACCCAGATGGATCAGGTATTCTACTGGGTTGGAGGCCCGTCTCCTACACGTGTTGATCATATATGGACCACCACATCTATCATCTGCCCTCCTCATTGCAATCTGAATTTGTATTTCATATCTCATCCCATACCACAATACGCTCCGAGCGAGCCCAATCCACCTTTCTTTTCCTTTTCCCTTGCTTTCAACACCTCATACCATCTATTTTCTTGTCTGTGTATTCTCTCCCCTCGCCCAACAAGTCTGTTTTTTGATGCATACTGCAGGCTGATCATCATGCTATATCTGCCTATTCTTCTCTTTTCCATTTTTACATAACTATATTGCCAGTCTGGCTTGATCTTGATCTCTGCTCATCATTGAGCTTGCATTTGCGTTCTCTGAGGTGGCGGTAGTTTTCATCATAGTGAGCAGTGTCTAATAATCTTGCACTAACCTTGCTAGATTGGTTTGATAAGCCAGAGCTGTCAGCTGTACATAGCTAAGATCCAAGAGTGAAGGTGTTTAAAAAAGGCCAAGCAGTGTTCATAGATAAGGTACCTCGGGGCCGCATTAAGACAATGATGTAGTCACCACCTTCCCGAAACCCAAAAGGGTTTCAGTTCCTGAGTCAACCTTGTCAACCTTGTCAACCTTAGTCAATTGTTTCTTCTTCTCATTCTTCGACACTTTCCTCTTTGTTCTCTACCTTTTGTTCACTTTACTTGATCCATATCCACTACAAAAACTAAGAAATTCCACTTATCGCCCTGCAATCGCAATTCCCACCGCCCGCCACTACCCACCCCCCCCCACATCACTCTCTCTTGGAACCATGAAGAATAAAGAAGGCTGGGACGGCAAAATGAGAATGGAGCCAAAGGCCGTTATCACAAACCCGGAAGCCCTGGAGGATTCCGATTACTCGGATCCGGATGCGCCCCCGGTCGAGGAGATTGAGGCGGATGAAGGTACGCTCTGGATCTTTGCTCGGAGTTGAGCTGGAGTGAGCTGCTTGACTAATGGCCGTTTAGATCTTTTGGCAGATGAGGATCCAAATTCAGAGGTAAGTCGAGCCTGCTCCTGCTGATCAACTGCGTGCGACGTTCTAATCGGGTTTCTGCAGGATATCGACCTCGTGCATTGCCGGATATCGTCGATCTCTTCTCTTAAATTGGATCGCTTCCCTAAGCTACAGGTATATCTACCCTGCCGAGCTCGGAGTCTACTTTGTCAGGGCGAGTGGCGCATGGTGCCAATCTCACCAGAAGCTTTCAAACCTGCACTTTAATCAGATAGCTAATATGACGGGGTTCTATAGAGACTATGCATGCGCCAAAACCAAATATCACGAATCAACTTCCCTCCCAATGTCGCGGCCACCCTCACCGAACTCGACCTTTACGATAATCTCATCTCCCACATGAAGGGCCTGGAGGAGTTCCAGAACTTGACGAGCTTGGATTTGAGCTTCAATAAGATCAAGCATATCAAGAACATCTCCCATCTCAAGAAATTGACCGAGATTTACTTTGTGCAAAACAAGATCTCACGTATCGAGGGCTTGGATGAATTGACGGCGATCAAGAACTTAGAGTTGGGCGCGAACAGGATTCGGGTTAGTGGACTTACACGGCTGCATACAGGCTGAAGCATAGAACTGACACGGGATCGTGCAGGAAATCGAAAACCTGGAAACGTTAACTGCGCTGGAGGAACTCTGGCTCGGGAAAAATAAGATCGTCGAAATGAAGGTGGGCAATTCACCCATACAATTCAGTGCAAGCAAACAAGGTTGACACATTCACAGAACCTGGATACCCTCTCCAACCTACGCATCATCTCCATCCAATCCAACCGCCTCACCAAGATCTCCGGCCTCTCCGTCCTCCCGAAGCTCGAAGAGCTCTACCTCTCCCACAACGCCATCACCGACCTCTCAGGATTGGAGTCCAACGAGTCACTGCGTGTACTCGACTTCTCCAACAACCAGGTCTCCCATCTAGAACATCTTTCCTCACTAAAGAACCTAGAGGAGCTGTGGGGGTCAAATAACCAGCTTGCAAGCTTTGAGGAAGTCGAGCGCGAGCTGAAGGATAAGGAGAAGCTGCAGACAGTTTACTTCGAGGGTAATCCGCTACAACTGAATGGGCCAGCTGTGTATCGGAATAAGGTGCGCTTGGCCTTGCCGAATATCCAGCAGATTGATGCCAGTAAGTTTTCTATACCTTTGGGGCTGGACGTCGAGCTAATGCTACTTTACAGCGTTTGTCCGGGTTTGATAGCGAGGTGAATGGTCGACTTGACCAATAGCTCTGACGTCCTCTGTTCTATAATCCAGTGCGAGTGAATCGTTTCCATACAGTTACAATATGAAGACTATGGAATTGACGGCAACAAACTGCTGTCCAAATGGCTTGTAACCTGACCTGGGCCCTTGGTCGTAGTCTCATCTTCGAGTTGATTGCTGTAATACCTCCTATCTCAACTCTCATATACCAATATAAGCGCTCCACATCACCCAACACAGAGAGACATTCTGCCATTCGAACGACGAGTGAGAATATGAATCGAAAGTCTGCAAGCGAGAACTCTCGAGTATAACTTGACAAACTCAATTTGGTTTCGTCGGGCTTCCCTGCACACTGCCTTGGCCGTCCCCAGGAACCGGTCTGGTGCCCCGGATAGCCAATTGCTTGGTCTACGCAGGGCAGGCTCACTGACAATGTCTTGCCAGCAGCACTCAATGTTGGTCGTGCAGTGATCACAAGCAGCGGAAGCCTGAGGTCGACGATGGCGAAAAAGCGGGCGCTCATGAGTCATGACCAACCGGTCAATGAACGAGCTCGTCCGGGCCAGTTGCAGGACGAGCAGGATTGCAGAGAGGGAAAGTATTCCATCCGCTAGGGCCTCAGCCTAGCGCAAACCAAACCCATTGTTCCGGAATGCATCTCCTGCCATCTTGCTCTGTCCTCTCGCCTCATTGTGACAAAAGAAGAAAGTTTCCTCCCTCTCCAATAACCACTAGGGTAAACAAGAGAAGGCCGATCCTCCAACTCAAATAACCCCATCCTTCAGATCACTCCCCCGTTCACCAGGCTCCCTAATCCCACCAGCATCCTCCACGTCCCTTTCCCCTGCCTCCCCGTTACCATTGCCCGTCTGAATCCCCATCCGCTCCTTCCACATATCCACCAAACTCGCCGCCCCCATGCGCCGATTCTCCGCCTGAATATTATCCTTAACCCCAGGACCAATCGAATACTTCTTACTCGGCAGCGTATCCGCCAGCTCCTTAAGCGGGATCCCCGTTTCCTCGCTTATAAGATCTGCGTAAATGGGATTGTCCTTGAAGAGATTGTAGGTCGAGTAGAACGGGCTGCGTTTGAGTGCTGAGGCGTGATTGTGGCGCGAGGGTTGGATATCAATTACCAGTGAGCGGGGCTTACTCGTTGAATTTGAGGAGAGCTTGGAGGTTGGGAGTGAAGGCGAGGACGAGGGTGTGGACGGGGGGACGGGAATGGTTATGGGTGATGCTGTTATTGCGCGTTCTGCTGCGTCGGCTGTTTCGAAGATGGCGAGGATTGGGCGGTTGGGGTTTGGGGAGTTGTTTGTTGTATCGTACTATGGTTTTCAGTTATTTCTGCCCGGAACTTGTGGTTTGTTGGAAATGTAGCGACTTACCTTCAGATTGCGGTATGTGATTACTTCTCCGAATTTCTGGAGTGTGGATAGCAGGAGTCGGCTTTCGGTGAGGTTCTTTGGCATCAGGGTTCCGGTTATGTGGACTTGCGCTGCTATGCGCGCTAGAGTAGCTGGGGATGTCATTGTGAGGGATTAGGTGGTTTGCGCGAAGGATTTGAGGAAGTGTATGTGCTAGTGGACGGAGGAGTCGGAGGTCGGAGGGAAATGGCCGATCGTCAGTCCGGGCTATTCCTTGGCGGATGTTTGTTATCCCAGCGCTACAGTAACTAATAATGGTAAGTCAGTTGCCGAAAACGGCTACCTTGGACGCCAGTTTAAGCTCTCTATTCAATTCAACCATGCTATCAGAAACGAGTTCTAGTGCTATAGACACAAGCTAGCGTAAACCAGTCCTCTCAACTCCAGCCCGACATTGACGACACAAATCAGAAAGAACAGGGTGCTGGAACACGTCACTAACTGTGAAGGTAAGCTCCTCATAGCGCGCTAGGGCTACAAGCCGCATCGCGCCAATAGAGTCACCACCGCATTGGAAGAAGTTATCATCGGCGTATATCTGGTTTCTGTCGATCTGAAGGACCTTTGCCCATATAGATTGCATCAGTATCTCAGTTTCTGTTTCTGGCGCGCGTTTTTGGACGGCCTTCCCAGAGAGCCGGCCAACATCGCTGATGCTGAATGATGATCCAATCTGGTGGAGTTGACCTCGGTCAATTTTGCCAGAAGTCGTGACCGGCATCGTTTGAATGGGTATATACGCAGATGGCAGCATATAAATAGGGAGCTCTTCCGTAAGCTGCTCCGTAGCTTGGGCGGCTAGGCGCTGAACGACAATGTTGAGATCATCAGAAGACAACATCGATGAATCTTTCCCCAGACTGATGAATGCAACGAGCGACTTATCCGACGACCCGTTCAAGTGGAGGTATTCTACTGCCACTTGCGTGTCGGCTGCATGTTCATCACCCGTAGTCCCAATAGCTCGACGGACATGACTTTCGATGTCTCCCAGTTCTACTCGCTGGCCTCTGATCTTGATTTGCGAGTCCCGGCGCCCAAGGAATACTAGAGAGCCATCGCCATTGTACCGGACTAGATCGCCAGTGCGGTAGAGTCTGCCTGATCGGGGAGAGTGTTGACCGTCTGGGGAGCCTCGCTGCAACCATGCTGGGTCATGGACAAATGCCTGCGCAGACTTCTCCACGTTATTGAGGTAACCTTGGCCAACAAGGGGACCTTCAATCCAGAGTTCACCGGGTGCGCCCACGGGGGCCAATGTATCGGGATTTTCCAGATCGACAATCCACGTGCATGTTCCTGCCGCACGTCCTATTGCACCTTCAGTGGAAGCAGTGTTGGCAAGGATTGCACTGGTAGGTGTGCACTCTGCTGGACCGTAGGCGACTCTGATCTGGGTATCTCCGCCTACCGACTTGAAGTCGCTGGGTGATACGGCTTCACCCCCAAAGATCAATGTAGCCAGCCGTGAAAGGGCGGCCGGTTTGACGGTACGTGCAACCGAAGGCGTAAGGTCGACAACAGTTGCCTTGTATTTCTCCAGAGCGCCGCCGAGATCATCGACACGCTCGGCGGCAGATGGTATGCAAAGACACCCGCCACTGCTGAGTGTCTTGAGTAGATTGAGCCATGCCACGTCGAATGCATTTGACGCAAAGTCAAACACTCTTGAGTTGGTGTCAAAGCCGAGCTGGTCCCGCTGGTAGGAAATGGCGCTGCAGAAGTTTTGGTGGGTTATGATGACTCCTTTGGGGCTGCCGCTGGTACCAGAAGTAAAAACAACGTAGAGCACGTCTGACGGATGGACCAAGGATGGCTCGTAAGCGATGGAATTCACACCTTCGACAAAGAACTCCTCGCTCACGGGCAACACATGATTGCTGCCAAAACGCTCGCAGAACGTGCCATTGTGGGCTGATGATAAAATAATCTTGCGTGTTGAATTGGCAAAAACCTGGTCAATAATTGCGCGGATCCGCTGCTCCGGATGCGAGATCTCAATGAGCACAGATGCTGCGCCTGCTTTCATGACTGCAAGTGCAGCGACTGGCATCCACATTGATTTCTCGAAACAGAGAGGAACGATGCTCCCACTACCAAGACCTCCATAGACCAGTTGACTGGCTAGCTTGGATGAAAGAGAGTCGAGTTGACCATATGTCATACTTCCATCCCAAGCATCAATTGCCACGGATTGAGGTAAATGCTTCGCTCTTTCGACGATCATGTCATGGACACAACCGCTGACTGGAGACGGCAACGTCGCATTCCAAGACCATATTGTGTTTAGATCATCCACACTTGTGACTGTCACAGTTCGAAGCAGCGTCTCTCGAAGCTCAAAATCGACCAGCTGATGAAGAATGTGTCCCAACTGGTGTAAGAGCCGGGAGACCTCGAGGGCAGTCACAACAGCAGGATCGAATGTAGCCTGGATTTTGGTAGATTGGGCTTCTATTCGAGCTTCAATTGTCAATGACGGTGTGCAGCCTTCTTGGGCGGCAACAGCTTCTGGGACAGACTCGTCTCCAGGATGGACCACCAAGATGGACTGTAACCTGCAAGCCAGAGCAGTCTCGTCCGATATGCAGGCCACTTGCTCCAGTCGCATCCGCTTGAGGGAGCCAAGATCCAAACCCTGTTGCCTGATCTGGCTTAAGAATGAGCCAATGCTCTTTTCCCCATTGACAGGAATGCGGATTGGCAAAATTGAACCTGCTCCATGGCCAGTAGTTGCTGTGCCAAACAGGCTTTCGTCCGAGTTTAACAAGCGGCTACTAAGAAGGGCCCATGCTGCTTTCAGAATGACATCTGCTGTGAAATCATGGCCTGTCAGATCAAGGTTCAGGTCGAAGGATACATTATTGTAGATCCTCTCCTGAGTGGCAGTTGGCTTGATGGCAGGGAAATGAGAGCCTCGAATATTGGCAAATTGAGCCTTCCAAAATGCCTCTGCGACTGGCCTTTCAATGCCCCCGACCCGTGTGAAAAATTGGCTAAATAGTGTCGAGGTAGGGTCCACTTGCTGGGATACCAGAGAATCTCCGTGTTCGGAGATGTGGTTTTCGGTCGTTGTTAAAAGGTGATCAATCGCCTGCATCAAGACTCCGTACACTTCCTCAGCAATCCGACGAGACACACGGGGCTCTTGAAACTCAAGCACAAAGTCCGGATGGCCTTGGTTAAGAAGGACGTTCAGCCTCAAGTCAAACTAGCCCGGAAAATGTTAGCTAAATCTTAGTTAAATATCAGAGATAGATTCTTTGTACCTCATGCGCATCTTCGCTTCTCACAATTTGAAATGATATTCTTTTGTTGGCTAGCCTCTCGGCTCTATTGTCGTGGATTGAAAGCGATGTATTGAAAAGTTGCCGCCCGGAAAGACGCAAATGATGCTGGATGTCCGCTATCGAGACATTTTGGAAGGCCAAATCTTGACCCGCTCTTGCCGAGGCAGCATGCAATACCTCATTTGCCGAAGCGCTGAGGCGCACGCGACTGACCAGGAGGTTTGCCAAGGGTCCAACCAATCTGTCCACCCCTTCAATTGGAGCATCGCGGCCAGAGACATCATATCCGAAGCAGACATCAGACATTCCGGTGTAATATGAGAGAACCATGGCCCAGGAAACGTGTATAAAGGAAGAGAGCAGTATCCCATTGCTCTTGCAGAACTCTGTGGGGCCAACCTGAAAGTTGGGAGTGGCATAGGATACCTCGCCGAATTTGATGGGTTGAGCTGACGAATGCAAGGATGAGGTAGGGAATTTGCAAGGCTGGAGCCCTTCCAAGTTGGCCACCCAGGTGGCTAGAGCCTTTGCTTTCGAAGTCTTGCTGTTGTATTGTACAATCTCAGAGAACATGGGTGCTGTCGGTAGTTCGCAACCTTCGTATGCGAGCGCTAACTCCTCCAAAAGAATTGATTCAGAGCGAGCATCCGTTAATACGTGGTTTATATCCAAGCGACAGATCGTTTCGCCGGTACTCGATTGACTGATGGTGAACGAGTGCTGTGGCTCACCAGGAGCGAATGATGGTTTCTCGAGATTGAACAAGGTCGTAGTGGGATCGTCAAGCTCAGGAACTATCTGGGCCACGCGGATCACAGGGTCATCCAATACAATTTGGATGAATCCATCACCGTCTGGGTGTAGCGTAAATACGGAAGAAAGGATACTGTGTCTTTTTGTCACTTTCTGCCACGCTTCAACCAGTAACGACGGGCAGACTCTCGTATCTGATCCTGGGCCAACAGCCGATTGGCAACGCCAAATCGTGGAAGTATCGTATGAGGCGGCTCCTTTCATGGCGCTGAGTAACATTCCTTCTTGCAGCGCCGAGCAAGGGTAGACATCCACAACGGAGGAAACCTTGACTCCCAGTTGAGGCAGACTCTGTTGAAGAAGGGTGTCAAGACCGCGATACGATAAAGAAGAAATTGACAAATCACCGAGTGTCAACTCAGAAGGTTCTCGTGAAAGACCGCGACAGAGATCCTCAAGGTCCTTGTTGAAATGGTGCAGCCATTCCTGAATCTGATCTAGATTCATTCTCTTGTGAACGTTCAATGATACTTTGAGCTGCCCATCAACCACACCCAGAGTGAGGTCCATCAGAGATGGACGCTGGGCTGAGCCTGAGATCGGGATGAAATCGCACTCATCAGGGCCCTCATCTGTGAGCGACGATGACTCCTGGAGGATTCCATCGTCCTTCTCTAGTTGCTGGAACCTCCCGGTAAAGTTGAACACCAGTTCGACAACATCATGACCTCCGAATATCCGGCGACCCGATTCACTATAGGCCCGACAGGAAGAGAATGGTTGGCCCTTTCCGGGCACTTTGCGTCGGATGTCTTTCACCAGCCGTACAGCATGAGAAGGTGAATGAGCTGATGTGATGGGCACCACGAGAGGGAAGATTGCAGTAAACCACCCAATGGTCCCTGAAACATCCATAGACTGGCTATCCAACTGCTCTCTTCCATGGGCTTCTGTCCATACCGGAGGAACAGGCCGCTCCGGAAAGGTTAAAGCAAATCCACGTATCAGAGCAGCGAGCATCAGATCGACGGGCTCAGTGCGAAGGCTGTCGTTGCTCATGCCAAACAGCAGCGTGGTGATGTCCTCAGGAACCGTGATGTCCAAGCTTTCGCATTGATCGAATGTATTTTCTTCCAAGGGGATGCCCCAGAAGTCAAGCTGTGAGTCGGGCAGGCTGTATGGTAGCACCTCAAGTGGGGAGAGGGTCTGACCGAGTCGGGCCTGGGTTGCACACCATCTCTGGAAAGATATTGTCTGAGGGGAACGAATGGATCCATGTTTGATATGATCCTCCAAGTCACCCCATACAATGCGCCAAGAAACAAGATCTATCACCAGATGATGCGCAGAGAGCAAGACCATTTGCACACCAGATGTAACATTGAACAAGTCACAAGCAAACACGGGGCCTTCTCGGATATCCAAATTTTCTTGTCGCCATTGCGCAGCGCTTGAAGCAGCTGCTTTGTTGTGCACAGTATGGACAGCGAAGGCAAATGCCCCCGGCCCGTCTTCGGCAATCCGTTGCTGCCAGGATCCGGTGTTCGGGTTATTCTGGAATCGAGCACGAAGCATGGGGTGACGAGAGACTATCGCCCTCAAGGCATTCAGAAGGGTAGGTGCTGAGACAGGATTCGCAAGATCCAACAAAAAGGACTGATTGTAGTGGTTCAGGCCATCGGGATAGAGACTGAAGAAATCCTGCTGAATCGGGGAGAGCTCCGATGGAACTGACGGGTCTTCACAATCACACCCAAGGACATCTGTCAGCTCGTCCTGCAGCGGTAGTGGCTTGCAGCGATCGGCTAGTTTTCGGATGGTACGCGCTTGCAGAATGTCGCTGACGGTCAGTTGAAGATTGTGCATTCGACATTGTGAAACGATTTGCATGGCTGTAATTGAGTCTCCACCGAGTCGCGCAAAGTCCACGTCGAGTGATGTTTCTTCTTCCGTCAGGTTGAGGATAGCGGCCCAAACGTCACGGATGACAGATTCAGTGGAATTGAATACTTGGTCTTTTCTTGTTTGTACTGCTTCATTCGCGCGCATAGACAACAACAATGATCTAGCTTTCTCGCGTAGCTGACGTCGATCGGCCTTGCCAGTCGTCGTCACTGGAACAACCGGGAGTGAGAATAACATGGCTGGAATCATATATGATGGCAATGTTTGGGCCAGCCGGTCGACCAAACCATCAGTTGCCTGCTTGACTGCGACTTCGTGGTCGGCTTCCGTCATCCCTCCAGCCTTGGGAAGGGTCACAAATCCCACCAGAGTCAGGGTTGACACATCCGTCAGCTGGACAACTTCGACCACTACACGAGCTCTGATAGAACGGAGGATGCGCTCCAAGGTAATTTCGATTTCGCCGAGTTCGACTCGCTGGCCTCGAATTTTGACCTGGTGATCTTTCCGTCCGATGTAGACAAGTGACCCATCTGATTCATAGCGAACAAGGTCGCCCGTACGGTACACAAGCCCGGTTCGGCCAACGTGACGCAGTAGCCAGGGTGGATCACGGATAAATGCCGCGGACGTCTTCTCAGCGTCGTTGAGGTACCCATCACCCACAATCGGCCCTTCAAGCCAGAGCTCACCGACTGATCCCACAGGGACCAGTCGGCTTGGGTTTTCCGCATCAACAATCCAGGGGCAAGAACCGTACCCACGACCGATTCTGACACCGTCTGCGTGAAACTTGGAAATGAGAGCGGTTGGTGTACACTCGGCAGGCCCATATGCGTTGACGATTGTCGTTCGGTCGCCGGCGAGTAGTGCGTCACTGGGGAGCATGGCCTCTCCTCCAAGGATGAGCGTGGTCAAACGAGATATCACCTCCTTGCCTAATGTCCGAGCAAGTGAAGGGGTGCTATCCATGAGATTGATATCGTACTTGACGAGGCAATGAATCAGTTCGTTTTCGCGTTCATGGGCGGATGGGATACATAAACACCCGCCAGCAGTGAGCGTCATGAATAAATTAGACCACGCCACATCGAAGCCGTAGCTGGCAAAGTCAAACACTCGGGACTTCTCATTATACTGCAATGCGGTTTGCTGGTGAGTGATAGCACTGCGCATGTTACGATGTGTGATCTGGACACCTTTGGGCCTTCCGGTGCTACCAGAGGTGAAGACCACATAAAGAAGACTTGCAGGACTGACGAAAGGCAGTTGGGGTGGAGGGTGATTGCTTCCATCAGTATTGCTTTCATGAGACATGCTTCCATCAGAAATGCTTCCATCAGAAATGCTTCCATCAGAAATGCTCCCATCAGAAATGCTCCCATCAGAAATGCTTCCATCAGGGATTCTTCCATCAGAATTCTTTCCCACTACCAACAACCGTTTCGGTTGAAGCTTTGAAGCCAGCTTCTCGTTCTGAATGGAACAAAGCAGTAATGGAGAGTTGGTCTGAGCAACAATCTCTCGAAGGCGTTCCTCTGGCTGCTTCATCTCAAGAGCATTCAAGGCACCTCCTGCTTTTACAACAGCGAGTGCTGCCACAGGCATCCAGAGGGATTTTTCGAACAGAAGTGTGACTAGGGTACCAGCCACTGGAATCCTAGCCAAGGGACCTGCCAGTCGAGTGGAGAGTTCATCTAGTTGGTGGTATGTAATCTCTCCATCCCAGGCACATATCGCCATAGCTCGTGGAGACTCCCTAGCTCGCCTTTTGATGACAGCATGGACAGTCTCTTCAACCGGAGGAAAATATTCCGCATTCCATTCGGAGACTTGGCTCATAGATTTGGGTGGTGGCAGCACTGACGCAACTGGGCGGTTTGTTCTCTGTGTCCCATCGCTGAAGCCTGCCAATTGGCGCAGAACATGCTGCAGCTCGTCCAGGATCTCTTCCACATCCCCTGGCGGAATGACGTTGCCATCAAAATCAATCTGGACATTTAATCCACTCAATGACAGTTGACACTCAATCTCAAGAGCATAGGTTCCAGAGGCAGGCTCTTCCATCAAATTGCTGGTATCCTGAACCTCACTCAGAAATGGTCTGTTGTCGGTATCAGCCGAACTTTCATGCATGGCTTGAATGACCAAAAGTGATTGAAAGCCGCAAGCAGCCCGGGTCTCATCGTTGATGCGCCGAATATTCTGGAGACCCGTCTGCTCAAAGGGTATCATCTCGGTCCCTTGGCACTGTACACTCTCCAGCAATTGACTGATGCTCCCTGACCAATCGATCTGGACCCGAACTGGGACTGTAGCAATGATGGGACCTGCCAGATGCTCAATCCCCGCGAGAGCTCCCTGCCGTCCTGTTACCCTGATGCCAAAGACAGCCTCGTTGGAGTTGGTGCGACTGGCTTGCACGGCTGCCCATGCCGTGCGTACAACAGTGGTAGGGGTGAAATTGTTCCGGCCCCATTTCAGGTCCGATACATCGCGGGTTATTGCTCGCCTGTCCTGAGGGTGATCCAGACAGAGACCTTTGTTCGTGGCGAGAAAGCTAACTCCAGTGAAACCTTGGAACAGCTTTGCCCAAAAGCGCGCCACGTCAATGGGGTCCAACCCTTGAATATACTGTATCAATCCTGACATTGATGATAGTGGTGGACCGACTCCCCGATAGTAAGTGTGCTCAGCATCCTTCAGGATCAGTGGTTGAGACCATCCGTCATAGAGCGCGTGGTGAATCTTCCACACAAAATAGCGAGGCCCCGGCGTGTCGCCTCCAATGAGCGCAAAGCGGGTAAGAGGGTCACCGAGCCCAAACGCAGACTCTTCAGCCAAGGATCTCCGTTGGTACAGCTCAAGACTATCCTCAAAGACCCATTGAACCTCTTCGTCGAGGATTACTTGCACCATGCCATGGCCTGGTAAGGTCACCATTCTGGTGCGTAGGATAGGGTTTACCGCTACCACCTGGTCCCACGCAGCGCGGAAGCTTTCCAGATTGATACTGGGATCAATTTCGAAGACATTTTTGGCCACGTAATTACCAGCATTCAATTGGGTGAGCGCTAGCAGTCCAGCTTGGAGAGGAGTGCATGGCAAAACATCCAAGACCTGGTTCTGCTTGACATGGCATAGGTGGGCTGCATGGTAGCGTATTTCCTGGCAATCGATAGCAGGGCCCAAGAGCGAAAAGGGAGGAATGGTCATGTTTGTGGTTGATACGGTCTGGTTCTGAAGTTGCTCGACTAACTCTAGGGGCGAGTTTTCGAAGATATCTCTTGGATCTAAGCAGAGGCTCTCCTCCTGGGAGATCTGGCTCAACTGCAGGACACTAGTAGGTGAGCCGCTGAAGCAGTGAAGTCATCATGCCTGCCGATCTCGACATGCTCCGCTGTGGTGCCACTAGCTTCGGCCCACAGCCTTCGCATTTGCTTTTTGGGCCCCGATAGTTGATCGGGGTGGGACTCTGCAGGTACTGGTTCTTGCTTTTCCGCCAGTACAAGTGAAGAGTTGGACTGCGTCAGCCCCTTTTCATTCGAAGCTGCATGTACAGTAAAACCCCGCTATAACGTACCCCGGCAATACGAATTCCTCGCCGTAACGAATGAAATCAATTCCCAAAATTGATTTCCCATACAAATAACGAACATCCTCGCTTTTGCGACATACGTTAATTTTTTTCCACCCTCCCATTCCCATACTAAGTTCGCTATACCGAGTATATTGGCCCGTGCGCACCTCTCGCTACCCCTCAATTTGTGTGTCGGGCTGCATTACCTGGGCAACCACAGCAATCAACAGACCAAGTAGTTAGCTCTCTCTCTCCTTTCTCTTCTCTCCTTGTCCACTTTTATCCAATACAAGCATAGTACACTGCTTTCCACTCATAGCATCAATATTTTCTACCTTGTACTTCTATCACCATCTCAGCAGCTACAATCCGCGAGAAGGCTGAATTTTTCTGGAAGAATATCCCCCAATGTCAAGGGGAGCCGTTATCTGCTTTTAGCAATGGTTGGCTACAGAGGTTCCAAGCACGTCGAGGAATAGCAAGCCGTACACAACACGGCGAGCTAACTAGCTCAGTCTCAGCACCCGCTACGATGCAGTCGATCCGAGAAGTCCTTTCGAACAGGTAGGTACGAACCACGGGATATATATAACAGCGGCTCGTGCCCTTGAGTGTTTCGAGGGTCTAAGGCTGTACCTCGAGAAGCAGAAAGAAGGTGATATCGAGCAAATTCGCAACCTAAATAGGCTGAGTATGAAGCTCCAGGGCTCTATTATTGAGAACAGCCGCCAGGGGGATATTCGTGCCTACTTTTGTGCTTAAAAATATATGGTATTCGTTAAGGGGAATGGGTTATTCGCTATACCGGGCGATTCGTTAAGTCGGATACCATATATTTTTAAGTACAAAAGTAGGCACGAATATCCCCCTGGCAGAAGGTCCTGATTCTCGATAATGTCTTGGCTGGTCTTGACCAAAGAACTGTACAGCATATGTTACATTCCTTGTTCTCCTCTCATGGCCTGTTGAAGAGAAACAAGCACACGGTCGTGGTGGCCACAACATTCGGTATGACAGGTCTGATGCATAACTTGCTTTTTATTTTACTCATGGGATATAGGGCCCCTTCTTCAGTACGCCGATTCAGTCATTTTACTCGGTCCTCAAGGCCAGCTCGTGGAGCAAGGGACGTACAGTAGAATTTCTACTGAAGGCCTTGTGCAGTCCACCGACCAATTCGCGAGTGTCCAAGAGCATGACGCGCTCGTGGACGAAGAACCTGAACTATTTTCCTTGGATCATACCACAGAGCTAGAACGCGATGCTCTTCAACGGCCTATAAATCGTGACCGGGCTGTTTATCTGTTTTACTTTGGAAACGTTGGCTGGCTACTGGTGGTTTTGTACTTGGCTTTTGCCATCGCATTCATGGTTGGGCTCAACTTCCCACGTCAGTATTCCTTCAAGCACTGAATGCTTCTATTGCTTTTTGCTGACGAATTTCCGCAGAGATTTGGCTTGAGTGGTGGACCGCCGGCAACAAGCAGCATCCAAATGCCCGACTGGGCTACTGGATAGGCGTATACGCCGCTCTAGGTATTATGACCTTGGTGTTACTTGCTGTCGTCGAGTGGTACAATTGACCCAATTCAAATACGTGAAGTCTTATTTGCTGATTGTTGAAAAAGGATGTTCAAGATGATTATTGCACCGAAGACAGCGGCGAAATTCCATCGAGCCTTGTTAGACACAGTGTTCATGTATGTTGAATAATGTGTTGGTTGGCCTCGCTGCTAACGTACCGAATGAACAGGGCAAAAACTTCTTTCTTGAGCTCCACCGATGTTGGGACAACCCTCAATAGGTACGGTCCGATATTCATAAATCTCAGTGAACATTGGACAGCTAACCACTCCACACTCCAGATTCAGCGAAGACCTCGGATACATTGGAGGGGAGCTATCAAATGCATTCGATATCACCGTTACTTCCCTGCTTGGCTGTATCGCCGAAGCAGTTCTCATATTCACCGGGTCATCCAAATATGTCTCATCGATAATCCCATTTTGCGTCATGATAGTGTTTTTCCTGGGGAAGTTCTATCTCCGCACTTCTCGAGTCATCCGACTTCGAGAGATCGAACTCAAGGCCCCTTTGCAATCGCAACTTCTTGAAGTGCATACAGGGCTCTTGACCCTTCGTGCATTTGGTTGGACAGAGCACTATGAAGAACGAAACAAGCAAGCACTGACTGCATCACAACAGCCCTACTACTTGCTGTTCTGTTTACAGCGATGGTTGAACCTAGTATTGGACCTACTCGTGGCTGGGATAGCCATTCTGGTTGTTTCTATTGCGACGACAATCGGGAGAGAATCCAGTACTGGCTTTTTGGGGGTCGCGCTGTTTAATATTGTCAATTTCAGTGGCAGTCTACAACAGTTGATCTCTCATTGGACTACGTTGGAGACATCGCTTGGGGCCTTGTCACGAATCAAATCCTTCGTCGAGGACACTCCACGTGAGAATATCAACAAGGAGTCTGGGGATTCATCGGATGATTCGAAGAAAGGTGGAATATCTTTCGTGGGGGTTTATGGAACTCATGGGTAGGTGAATAACTCCTTCGGATGGTCTTTTGCTGATATTTGGTCCAGGCAAGCCGAAGACTATACTATTGAAGATATAACTTTCGAAATACAACCGGGTGAGTAAGTCGCAGTGTGTGGAAAGACCGGAAGGTAAGTGATATCTTCATCCATCTTCGCAGCCGCCAATGCCCCAGCATTTCACTGCATACAACTCCATGACAACCGCTAACTAGCAACTAGTGGAAAATCGTCATTAATCATGGCACTTATGCAAATGCTCGAGATTCGCAACGGAACCATCCGCATTGACGGAGTCGATGCATCTCGAATCCCCCAACCTCGCATTCGAGCCGAGCTTAACACCATCTCCCAGGAACCAATCTTCCTACACGGGTCTGTCCGCCTGAATCTGGACCCGCATGCCCGAACGAACGATGAAAACGTCTTGATCGACGCTCTTCGAACGGTGGGATTGTGGGATATCATCAATGCAGAGGGCGGTCTCGATATCGAATTATCTGATGATATCTTCTCACACGGCCAAAAGCAGCTCTTCTGCCTGGCGCGAGCTTTGTGTCATCTCGGTCAAATTCTGATCATGGATGAACCTACCAGCAGGTAACTTCAAATTTGGATTGTCCTTCAATTATGAAAAGCTAACATGTCCCTACTTAGCATTGATGACACCAAGACGGAGAAGAAGATTGATAATATCATCAAGCAGCATTTCCAGCACCATACCGTTCTCTGCATCATGCATAAGCTGCATAACGTTGGGTCGCTTGATAAAGTGGCTGTCATGGAAAAGGGTCGACTTGTTGAATTCGGTTCCCCGCAAGATCTCCGGGAAAGGGAAGGGGTTTTCAAAACACTTGTTACTTCGGGCAATTGGGGCTCTGTTGGTAGCAGCTAGCGGTTACTGACGAACTAAGAAATTGGTCAATTGCCGATACATATGACTTTGATAGGCTTCTTCTTCGTTCACTCAACTTTCCCGAGGGGAAGTCCGAAGAGGACAGCAAGCCACCGTAGCCGACGTACGTCATCCTCAGACCCGCACGGCTAGGAACATAGTACTCCGTAGGCAGTGCGGTTACCATCGGAGATTCGGTCCATTCGGAGTAGGCGAAAGCTAGAAAATAGGGGAGAATGCATTACGGAGTAGGCTGGTCAGGGGATGGCGGGGTGAGCGATTAGGCTGCTCATTTGAGTAGTAGTACGGAGTACTAGCCACGAACTTACTCCGAGCTACTCCGAGATCGGGATCCCGGAGCCGATCGGCAACCCGAAGTGGCAATGTTACCGTAGAAACGGACGTGGGGTATCCAGGCTACTACTGGTTACGGCTAATATGAAGCAAAATGGAAGTTAAAAATGGTAAAGAAATGTTTTTATTTCGTTTTTGCATCATAATCGTAATACGGAGAATCTCTTCCCCTGACCTGACATCTGCCCAGCCTTTTCGTCTGGATGCACTTAGAAGATGGGGATTCCAAGGCCGTACTATTAAAAAGTCAGTCATCGCTAATAGACACATAGAAATAAAACTCACAGCAATGGGGTCGTTGAAGCGGAGACCCTTGTCCAAAGCAGAGATAGCCTCAATCTCACTCTGCTCAAGGTTGAAGTCGGTGACCTCCAAGTTCTGTGCCAGACGAGTAGGGTTGTTGCTCTTAGGGATAACAGCGATGTTACGCTGAGTAGACCAGCGCAGGAGGACCTGAGCGGGGGTACGACCGTGCTTCTCAGCAATGGAAATGATAGTAGCGTGCTCGAACAGCAGAGGGGTATCCTTAGCATGCTTCAAGTCGAGCTCGAGGAAGGACAGAGGACCGAAGGAAGAGTAAGCGGTGACGGTGATACCCTGCTCCTGGGCGTAGTTGACCAGACGGGTCTGGGTGAGGTAGGGGTGGTGCTCGATCTGCAGGGTAGCGGGACGGACACGAGCGTAACGGAGCAGATCCATCAGCAGCTGGGCGCTGAAGTTGCTGACACCGATGCTGCGGGCGAGCTTCTTATCGACGAGGCTCTCCATGGCACCCCAGGTCTCCTGGATGGGGACGTTGATGGTCTCGATCTTGCCGTCGGCGGTGGTCCAGCTGGGAGGGTAGCGGACGGAGGGGTCGAGGTACTTCAGGGCGATGGGGAAGTGGACGATGTACAGGTCGAAGTAGTCGACACCCCAGTCAGCGAGCTGCTTGCGGCAAATGGGCTCGACCTTGTCGGCCTCGTGGAAGCTGTTCCAGAGCTTGGAGACGATGAAGAGCTCCTCGCGCTTGACGAGACCGTCCTTGATGGCGCGGGCGACACCCTGGCCACACTCGACTTCGTTGCCGTAGTCTGGTGGAATGTTAGTGATTTGTCCCTTAGGGGGAATTGGGATTGGTAAAGACATACCGCAGGCACCATCGAAGAGACGGTAACCGGCCTTGATGGCGTTGTAGACCTGGTCGGCACAGGTGTCGTTGTTGACCTTCCACAGGCCGAAGCCCACGAGGGGCATCTCGTAGCCGTTGTTAAGCTTGACGTTAGGGGAAGGCATTGTGAATGTAGTTTTATGTGATCTAATTGAGGTTAGTAAAGGACAGACAAGAAAAGGGGCAGAACTGACATGGAGGGGTATCTGAGGAAAGGAAATAAATCAGGACCCCGCGGACTTATTTAAAACATTCAAGACATCGTTAAGATTGGAACGTCTTTGTAAATTGCCCAGGTCCAGGCTAAAGTACGGAGATGCCCCTCGATTGGGGTCGCCCCGGCCATTGGGCGTCCCCGGAATTGCCCCACTGACGTGGCTGTCTTGCGGCTAAAATGGCTGAAGAGATGAATTTAGCCGGAAGTTCAAACTTCACCGGAGAGATTTCAAGATCGCCATCAGAAGACGTACGCAGGATGGAGTAGAAGGAATAGAATAGAATGGAATTGAGTCGGCTTCTTGCCATGAGATATCGCCACATTGTATGAAAATCCAACTCCCCTTCCCCCCTTCCCCCCAGCTCCAATAATCGAAATAAAGAAATAAAATGAAGTAAATGAGTAGAAAGAAAGAAAAATGACAATAAGAAAAGTACAAGACCACTGCCAGAATGATTATCATTACTTAAGTTTTGGGTGTAAAGAGTAGTTATTCATTATACATCCACCGATGAGTTGTCGTAACCTCCACTCGCATCAGGGCCCGCCCCATGCATGTTAGGACCATTGGACATCCGCCCGACGATCTTATCCATAAGGTCCTCCGACGGCAAGAGACTGTCAAAGTGGTGTGGTTGCTGCTCGCGGGAGACAGACCCATGCTCCGTCTGGTAAGGGAGGTGGTAACTGCCGGCTCCGACGTCTCCGGGCATCGAGGTGGAGTGTGCACCCCAGGCATGGCCGTGGCTAAGATCGTCGAGAGGCTGTGTGTTGGAACCGAAGAACCCGTTAAGCACGTTGTTGTCATGCATGTGCACGCCGTGCTGCTGAGAAGGCACGTAGTGGGATGCTTCGTGGCTCATGGGGTAACCCATGCTGGGGTGCGAGAGCGGGAGGTCATGCACGTTCATCATGACGGGTGCGTTGGAGCCGTGGAGGCTGGTCGACGGGATGTTGTCTGGGGCCAGACTGGTGGAGAAGGAGTCCAGCACGGAGGTGGAGGCGGTTTTGTCATTGAGGCCGTCTTCGGGTTTGGTGATGGATGTGAGGAAGTCGAGAGGGCCGGAAGTATTAAAGAGATTGGCCACGTTATCGTGGGAGGAATGGTACATGGGCCATTGTGACTGAGACTGGGGCTGGTGGTGGATGAGGTCCTGAGGTTGAGGAGCCTGGTATACACCCTGGTGGGAGGGCTTGTTGAGAAGGATGGAATTGAGAGAGAGCGGAGGAAGACCGACACCGGAGGCCGGCCGGGGGCTATTGGTCGTAGTGCGGTCCGGTGCCGGGATTAGGCGTCGCCAAGTGGTTGTGCCAACTTCGCCGGGGCGGGTCTGACGGAACTTCCAGGCGAGAACGGCCATGCGCTTGCTCTCATCGCCGTGGTGGCTTTGGTATTGGCTGGAGAGCCGGCGAGAGCTGGGAGGAGTGGCACGTAGCTCCTGTACTGCAGACAAGGAGCGGAAGAACTGACGGGTATGGTCGTCAGCGTCTTGAACGGCCTGAGGCTGGCCTGAGTCCTCGGCGATGCGCTTCTCTTGGGTCACCTGAGTGAACAACTTGGCCCACCAAGAGGATTCAAAGAGAGGCTTGACCTTGGTGGACTGAGTCTTGGGTAGGTCGTGGTAGGTCTCCAGTAGCTCCTGGCCATCCTTGTAGATATTCGTGCTGCAGGTCCAGTTTTCCATCTGGCTGACGCCCAAGACGTCGCCGGCAGTAGGGTGGCCGTAGTCAAGGTCGAGCTGAATACCCAGCCGTGATCCTGCAGGCGGGAAATCAGTCATCAACTCAAGGTTGACTTCGAGAAGAATGATATCGCAATCCAGAGGGTTGTGGATGTCGTCCACCATCGTGGCCAAGTGGGGGAAAGATGTCCGCCATCCATTCACGTGCTCTAGAGGCATAGGTGGTGCAATTGGGTGGTGGAGATCACCTTGCAGCCGAGTATATGCATGCAGTGCCTTGTCGATGCGGTTGGCCTGCTGAGGGGCGCTCACCCACATATCAAAGCTGAAGCCATGAATGTTGCTGCCGGCCTCCTGCATGTTGGAGCCAAGGGTATAGTGTGGGGGTGGCAGGTCCCCCGCATAAGGCTGCATGGACCTCATGTGGTCATGATACAGGGGGTGAGCATGACTGTTGTAGTGGCTGGAGGCTGAAGGGTGCTCCATTGAAGTTCTCCACTTGGGAGCCGGTGCTGATCCATGCACGCTGGACGAGCGTTCGGGTGAAGTCTCTCGGACAAGGCGCTCCCCTGATGTAGCGTGTTAGTGACAATGCAGATATGTAGACATGATCGATAACTTACAATCGGGATCCCCCTTGAGGAAAGAGTCAAGAACCTGCAGATGGCTGGAGACCTGCTTGCGGGTTCTCCGCTTGCCAGTCAACTTGAAGATGTACTCTGCAATCAGCTCATTGCGTCCATATGATTTGCCCCGTTCGGACCACTTTCTCCGACCCATAGGAGGGTTTGCTTCGAGGGCTGTAATCTGGTATCAGACTCTTAATCCACATGTCATAGCAGTGAAGTGGACTTACCCTGCTGGAAAGCATCTTCCAACTCATCAGACCACACAGGCTCTCCGTCCTTTCCAGTATCACGTCGAGGCCGAGCCCGATACTCCAAGTACTTCTGGGATTTGAGGTAGCTGCTTCGTGCACGTCGCGATTGAGAGTTGGGCCCAACCGAATGAAGCCGACGAAGCTTGCGGGCATGAAGTCGAGCAGCTACATGCTGCTGATGCAAGTTGGATGCTGCCAACGACTGAGGCTGGTGAGGGGCATGGGAATACTTGAAGCCAAGATGCTGAAGCTGTTCCTCACGGGCAGCGATATCACCATGTGTCAAATGCTCTGAATAAGACTGGACGTTGCCAGAAGTATTCTGCAGAGCTCGATCAGAATGAGCTCCCACCGGATCCAGTGATGGCTGGTTCTGAGTGACGAGGCACTCGGGTTGCCAGTCAGTAGCCATGGGAGGGAACCAAGGACGGGCTTCTCCAAAAGAATGACAGATTCCAATGAGGAGGGGGACTGAGAGGCACCGTCAAATGCTTACTGCCTGGCAAAGAACGCAGCTCAGGCACAAACAGCGAACCAAGAACGCAAGATGTCAAGAGAATGTAAGAACCTGGGAAAGAGAATGTGAGAGCGAGCAAGATGGTGTTTATAGGGAACCCATAGAACCGTACCTCCCCTTTGGAGAGGGGACATTGTTCCGCCAGGTCTTTTTGCCTGGCCTACGGTCCCTCGAACGCCTTGTCCATACTCCTACGCAGGTCCCGTCCTGGCCTGCGCGCATCCAGGCGCCGTGTGGAGAGCAAAAGAGCCAAGGGTACGGCAAGCCGTCCCTTCCGCAGCAAATCAGGAGTCAAGACAGGGCTCGATATGAAGGAAGTTGTGTCTAGATGCAAGGGATGCTCAGTTGCACGACCCAGTGATGAGCGGGTCGGAGATTTTGTGCAGTATGAAGTGACCCTGAACATCCATCGCTCGGGCCAGCATCGCCAGGAAACAACAATAATCAATGGCAATCATGGCGTCGTAGGAATGTTGGTGGTCCAACGAGCTCGTCTTATCGCGCGGGACGAGGAATGCTCGACCGCCAGCCATCAGCACCGGAATGTAGGCTTGGATGATCTTTGTTGACAGTAGTCCTGCGTACCTTTAGCAGGACAAAGTAAGTGGTTTTAGATTGACCCTGCGATTCAAGGTGAAGTCTAGTTTGAAAGTTGTGGGGGAGTACGCTGCAGGGCAAAAAAAAAGGGTAGGGTTTGAGTAGGGTTACGGGCTACGCCTGGTTCAAGAGGCACGAGATGCACGAGGACGGGACTGCAGGGTAATTGACACTTGCAGGAACGTGTTTAGTGTTCGGGGTATCTTTCCATTTGCTTTAGCTATGGTAGTATGCAAGTAATCGTCTATGGTACATTAATCCACATTCGCCTGCAAGGGATGTCAACGAGCCAATCCATGGCCGTGTCCTCCAAGGGCGAAGGGACGAGGGCCTCACTCTTCCTCCTGGCCTCCTACAGTGAATTTTTTGCGACCGGCGCCAGAAGTGAGCTGTTGAAGCTTGACCCTGTCCACTTGCTCTCCTACCTTCTTTTCTAAGCGCGCAAGTTCCTCCTCGGGATCGACAGCCTCCTCGTTCACGAACTCCAAAACCAGTCTTCTGCCCAACAGATGTGTGTTTTTCAACGCGTCCATGGCATTCTCCGCTTCGCGAGCACTTACAAAGTCGGCGAAACCGAAACCACGAGCAGTGCGATCGAATTTTTGAGGAACACGCACAGACCGAAGCTGTCCATAAGCCCCGAATAGGGATCGGATGTCCTTCTTGGTAGCCTGGAACGGTAAGTTCTTGATGATGATCTTGGTTCTCCGCGCTGCGACCTTCTTCGCGGTATCTTCGCGCCTGCGTTCCTCGGCAGCATCCTTGCCCTTGTGTGCTGCACGGATGAGAAGCTCGTGTTGATCTAACTTGTAGCCGTTCATAGCTGCAAGAGCAGCCTGAGCCTGGGCCTTGGTCTTGAAGTCCGCGAATCCGAATCCCATGCTGAGGGTCTGACCCGGTCGCTTGGGATCAGGTTTGGTCTTGATGCGACCGGTGATGAAGCCATCCAACGCTCGGAACACCTCCACAAACTTCTCATTGGTCGTTGCGAAGTTCAGATTCTTTACAAAGAGTGTAGAGGTTGCTACGCTGTCATCAGGCTCGTCTGCGGCAAATGTGTCGGCAGTCGAGAATCCTTGGTCCTTGCCCCGAGTCTCCCCGGGAGCGATTGCACGTGGAGCTGCGGCACCTTCGAACAAGTTCTTGGGTGCTTTCTCCAGGAACAAGATGGAATCACCCATCTTGCGGTAAGCCATCCCCTTGAAAGCCTTTTGTGCTTCATCCGCTCGCGCAAATTCCACAATGGCAATGGTGCCACTTGGCGGCATCAACAGCCGGGTGATCTTGCCATACTGCTCGAACAGAGTCCTGAGGTCTTCCGACTTGACACCGTATGAGAAGTTCTTGACTAGAATAGCTGTATTCCCACGTTCACGCTGCTTGAAGGCATCAATGTTTACCCCGTTGGAGGCAAAATAGGCTTTCGTTTCTTGAATGACATGTGTTTCAGCATGTGCTTGCTTGACAGCCGCGTCTGAGGAGGTGGGATCAAGCAATTCAGATTTGGAGACCCCAAGCCTTGAAGCCACTGATGACATCACAGCATCGGCCTGTATCAGGATTAGTCTCAGTGTTTTCCATAAGGAATCAAGATCAACTCACGTTCATATACAAGGAGTTCCAGCTGAAGGAAGAAGAAGAGGCATTCTGTTTCCGCTTGATCTCCCTTTGCTTCTTCAGAGGAAGCTTGGATAGTTCATACTCGTCAATCTTGTAGGTTTTCTTCGCAGAAGCTGGCAAGATGTGGAGCAGTCGACCCTGGAAATGCTTCCCATCGAGGGTCTGGTAAGCATCAATGGCCGCATCGGCATCGGCGTACTGCACATAAGCAAAGCCTTTGCTAGTCGTAGAACGGGTGTCGAAAGCAACATGAATCTATATCCAATTAGTACTCAACTCATTGAATATATGGTGTAAATTTGTGCATAAGAGTGGTTTGAGTGGGCTCTTCAGAAAGTCAAGAAGCATCTACTAAAATCTCTTGTCCAGTTCACATCATCTGCAATTTGCATCGGATGTCCCTATCGGGAAAATCATCATACGAGCACTCGTGGAAAGTAGGTCGAAACCAGCAATCCAGTTGGGAAAGGGTGTAGAAATATCAAGAAAACAAAGGACAAAGTACTAACCTCTTCAATCTTTCCAAAACGGTCAAATATGGGCTGAAGATCCGATTCTGTTGTGTCGTATGCAAGGTTTCTGAGGAACAGACGAGCGGAAGCCCGAATAAGGTCTATGTTAGGGTCGTCCACTGCTGCCTCTGTGATGTTTTCACCGTCGGTTGTGTTGGGTGCAATGTTCTCAACGGCCGCGGTACGAGATTCCTCTTCGTACTGCGGAGACTCAACAGGCGAGGAAGACCGTGAGCGAACATTAGCTGGTGCAACAGCTGTTGCAACGGTCTTGTGTTGATCAAACTCTTCCTGCTCATCATCATCAAGAAGGCCCAAGAGACGACTGGTCTTAGAACGGAGCCAATCGGCATCGGACATGGGCGCAGTCTCCACTTCAGGCACCGCGGAGTTGTCCTCCGCCGGTGTCTCTTGGGTCTCTCCTCAACCTCACTCCTGTCAATGACCATGGGTTCAGATTGTTCGGGTTTTGATACCGTGGGGGGCTTTTCTGTTTTGGCCTTCTTAGGGTGTGAAGGCAGCTCCTCATGCTGTGTTTCTTCCTGGGCAGGTTGGTTAATAACAGGGACTGTATCCGCAGACGGCTTGATCATATCGTCATCGTTGGCCCATGTCCGAGTCTTTGATGACCCCATCAGAGAGAGGTACTCTTGCAACTTGGGGTCCTGTGACTTGTCCTCGCCAACCCTCTTGCGCTTGAGGTTACTGTCTGACGATGCATCATTATCATGCGTCATGTTACGCTTGCGTGTAGGGTGGGCATCTTCGGCGGCATTCGATTCAATCTGCAATGATACGGGTCAGTCTCAAGACCACCTTATTTGGTCAGCGTGCACGGGCGAAAGGAGGGTGGCTGAAGCAATAGAGCTGGAAATTGACATACCGGACGAGCGATGTCTACAGCAATCTTCGACATCTTCATGTATGTCTTGTTGAAGTGCTTGACAGCTTGGAGGGCTGCTTCATGACTTTTGAAGCCGACAAACCCCATCCTACGTTTAGGTAGGACATGAGCGTCTGTGACTTGAAAGTGTGTTCCAAAATGTTTTTTAAGCTGCTCATTAGAGCATGTTGGTGGAAGACCACCCACAAACACTCTGGTACTCTCCATTTTGGTGATTTGTGGTGAAAAGTGGGAAGACTCACTTTTTTTCATGAGGAAAACTTTTTTCTCTTCTTTCATAGTGCCGCGGGCGGTCAACAAGGCGGTCGAATCGTTAGATCGGCAATTAAGTTGAAACTCCGCGTTATCGCGGGACTGGTTCGGCCAACATCACTTTCCTCAACCTGCCAGTGCCACCCAAACATTTTCTCGCTTTTGTCGCATTGCAAATCACACTCGATATTTCTTTGGGAATCATAACTACTAACAATGGCTCTCCCCCCTACTGAGAAGAAAGAGCCTATGGAGGGTAAGTTCTTTCCCGAGTTCAGTGACTAAGAGTGACTAAATACTAACACTTCGTGCAGCGCAGATCAAATCTGTGGACATGGTAAGGCACAGATATGATAACTAGGGCGAACAGACTCTGACATGATTACAAGACCGAGGATATGCAGCAGGAAGCTATTGCTCTTGGTATGGACACCGAGGAAGCCCCTGGTTGAACAAGGCTGACTTTACCCCTCAGCCATCGAAGCCACGGAAAAGTTTAGAGTTGAGAAGGTATGGGCACTTGGAACCTGCTGCGCACGACTCTGATGCTAACTGAATATGTAGGATATTGCACAGTACATCAAGAAAGAGGTACTGCCTACTCCGCCCCAGCCTCGATCGCACGGCTAACCCCATACTCAGTTCGACTCGCGCAAGGGTGCTACCTGGCACTGCGTTGTTGGTCGCAATTTTGGAAGCTTTGTGACTCACGGTACGTCGACGGTGGAACAACTTTCGATTACCCGATGCTAAAATCCGTTCCACAGAGACCAAGCACTTCATCTACTTCTACCTCGGTCACTGCGCAATTCTGCTTTTCAAGACCCAGTGATTTGCACAGTATAAGACTGGCCTTGATGTGATACCCTGATGGAGGGCAAATATGATATCCGGAGACTACGTTTCAAGCGACGCGTTTGTCTTCAAATAGTACCTGTTCAATGAGCTATCGTCCTTCAATGTTTGATTCTATGGTAAAGTTTTTTTAGCAACTAAATCCCACCTTTCATATACAAGCCAAGCAGGCAATGCCGTTGGCACATAACATTCTTGGGCCCCCAGATTTGAGTCGGCCTCCTAGCATTATTCTGCTGATAACCTATCCATGCTACTAAGGATGGGCTCGGGAAAATCAGTTGTTCAACCTATCTTATCACGAAAAAACGCGTCTCTAGGGAGTGTAGGGAAATAATTTCTGAAGTTAAACCCCAAGCCATTTGACAACTTGCTCAACCAATGAAGATATCCCAGCTTGAACCGTCCACTATTCCCGCCTCCCTGCTGGATCCCCGAGAACCTACGCGGCAAAGGTCTTGAGCATCTTTGAAATCGGTGTCCTGTAGGTCAGTACCTACCTACCTACCTACCTACCTACTCCGGGTCGAGATGGTACTTGCCTGCCCGTCCATAGACAGCTCACCTAGTTATATATAACTGCCCGCACCTTCCTGAGACGGGAGTAGATCGTCCTCTCCGTTGGCAAATTTGTGGGCCGCTTAGGTTCCCTCTCAAATTATTATTTCTTTCTTTTTCATCTCTCTTCTTTCTCTTTTCGAGATTGAGAATCGAGATTTACCAGGCAGGTGCATATACAGAGGCTTGACCAATCACACCCCATAAAAACCAAATCACGTGCACGTGCCAAGATCGCCAAGCCACAGCGCCACAGACTCCCATCGCCGCTGCCTTCACCTTCGATCGAGTCTTCAGTTTCTCATAGCTTTCAGTACTCGGAGGAATCTCTCTGCTACTTGTGTACGATATTCTTGAAGTTGCAGATTCATCATGGCTTTCTGTATCACGTTCGGAACGCATGGTAAGTCATCCTGTTCTGACCCAGGAACCAAAGTGGACCCTTGTCCCTGGAGTTATCGAGTGCGGGTATCCGGATCTGTCCAGTTGACCGTGGATGAGCCATGAGCCCTCGTCTATCGACAGATGCATATATGTACTGAAGGAGATACTGACCTTGAGTACAGAGTTCTCTTCTCAGCTCGAGGGCTACGAGCATGTACGCGCATACTGTTACAATTGTGAGTTCTGACGTCACGCCGCGCGTCTATGGACAGTTTGCTGACACTCCTTTAGGCCAACATTGGAATGGTCACTGTATTACCCGATGGTATGTTCACTCTCAGCACTCTGCCGGTGCATCAGTCCAATTCATGTAGTTCGTATCTGACTAACGTCTTTCGCAGGCCATTCTTCACAGTCTGCTTCATTGTAAGTTCATGCATGCTCGAGCAAGCTCGACAAACAGCTCGAGATATCTAACATGATCTCGCTATAGCCTTTGATTCCCCTATCTACGCACAAGTACAAGGTAGGTTGTTCTCCACTATCACATTTACTTGACCCAGTTATTGATGGACTTGTAGGAGGTTCAATGCTATACTTGTCGATACACTCAGGACCTACGGTAGGTCTATCCTGGAACCTGAATGGGCTCCTAGCACCCACGCAAGATATACTAATGACTGCACCAGTGACCGGCCAGATATCACGCCTGAGACGCGGCCTCCGGCAGGCGGGCAATACGGCATCCAGCCGCCGCCTCAGGCCCATGGGGGCTTCCAGCAGCAGCAGCAGTATCAGCCGCCTCCTCAAGCTCAGGGCGGTCTTGGGTACAAGTGAGATCAAGGAATGAAGTTCCTCGGCATGAGCATGCAGCACTTGCTCTGAGGACGGGGCAGAGAGAGGTTGACTAGGAGATGCATGTTCCAGCTTGATGTGGCGGTTACCCTTTAGCGTTGGGTTATTAATTTCGTTTGTTTCGTGCCAAATCATGAGTCATTAATTCCATCATCGCATAGTTATTCCATTTCTCAATGCGAAGGTACCTTATCTCTAGAAGAACTCCCTAGCATAGAATCCACAGTATAATCGATTATACAGACATCCAAATCCAAACATATTAGCAAGTAGGGTATAACACGTCTCGAAAAAAAAAAAAAAAAAGCAAAAGCAAATCGCCACCCATAACCCCTAAATCGCCCTCTCCATAACCCCCTTCTCCTTCTCTCCAACCTCAATTGGCGTCACAACACCCGAAGGCGTAGCTGCCTCCTCACTCCCAGCCTTCGTCCCACGGTAAACCCTAGGCCTCCTACCAACAAGATCCAGCGACATCATCCGCGCAACACGAATAATACTAGCCCGACCCTCCCACAACGGGAACACCACAATCCCAAAAGTAGTGAAGAACAACCAAGTAATTCCAACAACCACCCAACCCGTGAAGAACTTCTTGCTAAACACATACGAAGACCCGTACATTGGAATCGGCCAGAGAATCAAGAACGCCAGAGCCATGAAGATTGTCAGCGTGCGCGCGTATAGTGCTGAGCGATCGAGCTTGCGAGCCTCTTCCTCGCTTTCGGCTTGGGTTGGGCCAGCTTCGCCGGGGACGAGCTCCAGATCTATGTGTGCGGCGGCGGCGACGTCTGTATCGTCGACTTTGCGGATTGCGCGCATTGATTCGTAGTTGTAGTTTTGTGGACCGAAGGTGTAGGTCAAGATGGGGACGAATATCACCGGACTTAGGAGGGCGGCGACGTTGCCGGCTAGCATGGGGTAACTGGTGAAATAAAGGTTAGTCATTTTTCTGGTTTGATATGGATGTGTCATGTGAATGCTCTGCAGGGAGGATATGCTTACTTAGCACCGGTGCTATCGACTGTGAGGACGCCGGATTCTTTCTTGGCGGTTACTAGCCAGGCAATGAGTGAGACTGCCAGGCCGAGTGGTGGTGACAGGCCCGCTGCGAGGTGATTCTGGCCCTTCCAGAGGAGTGTCATCGCGCCTGGGAAGACGGCAGAGGAGATGATTACACCCATTAGCAGGTAGAGATATCCCATGCCGATGCCGGCGTAGTAAAGGCCCGTCGCGAAGCCCGCCATGATGATTGAGTAGACGATGCAGGACATGTGCGAGATCCAGACGAGTCTCTTGCCCTTGGCATTTGGATCGACGTAAGCTGCGTAGATATCATAGGTGAAGATAGAGGAAACGGCAATCAGCTGTGCTGAGAACGCTGATGTGACGGCCATGAAAATCATCAGTGTAGTGGCGACTGCGCCGCTGTAGCCGAGCAGCTTGACGGCCGCGAAGGGAAGAACCAGGCCGGCGGTGACGTCGTTGGAGCTCATACGCTGTGTGCCCTCCAGAGCCAGCGCGGAAAGACCCATTGTGCTGGCGCATAGCCAGGGGATTGCGAACCAACAAATGCCGCCAATTACGTATCCTGGGAAGGCGTGTACCGGGCTTGCAGCGATGGCTTTGTTGTAGTAGCCGTTGTCTAGGAAGACGGTGCCGAAGTTTCCGACTAGATTGATGATCCAGAAGATGCCGCCTTCCTTGGAGCGCATGGTTAGATAGCTGCCTTCTGCGTTGCCCTCAACGGGATGGCGCTGGGAGGCGGCGACCAATGCATCATACACCTTGGATGGAGAGCCTAGCTCGGCGTTGGTGGCATAGGCAGAGAAGGCGAAGAGGAAGATGACAACCAGGATTACCACGGTGTGCATGTAGTCTGTGATGAATGTAGCCTTGATACCACCGAACAGGGTATATAATACCACGCCTATTGGAAGTAGGAAACAGGCCGCTGCGGTGGGTACGCCGGTCAACGATGTCATGACGGCCGATCCACCGGTGAGGAGCATCGCAGTGACAAGAACGTTGGTCATCAGACAGAAAACAATAAACACAATGTGAACGGCAGTTCCATAACGGGCGCGGATGACTTCCAAGAAAGTGTGTGCATTCGGTGCGCGGCGTTTCAGCTCGATAGCTAGGGTTGCGAACAATAGAATCTGGACAGTGGCGCCTTTGGGATATGATATGTCAGTTATTGGACGTTATATCTATAGGGGAAGTGAAAGTACCCGATGCATAGTAAAAAGGACCAGAAACGCCGTATTTGTATGCGACTGCAGATGATTGAAGAAGAGTTGCAGCCCAAGTCCAACTGCTAACTACTGCAGCTGCAACCAGGCCCGACTTGACGGACCGGCCCGCAGTTGAGAACATTTCGGATGTTTGGACTTCATTCTGATAGCTGCATGGAGGTATTCTGTCAGCATTTCGAGACCCATATTGATCGACTGAGGTAGAAAGACACACCGTTTCAAAGACCAAGTAATGAAAATCATCGACAATGCAAAAGCAAAGCCTAGACCCAGGATAATTCCATATCCGAAGCTCAGGCTCAAAGGTGCCGTGAAGGCCGGTGCGTCCGACGACATGGTGTAAGTATCAGATGCCCGGGAGGCAAGTATTGAATGCCCAGCAAAAAGGTATCAAAGGGTGAGCTGATGGCAATATGCCTTCAACTGAACTTCCAATAAGCAACTGATGTGCTAATTGATATGGAGAGTCTATTGATTCACAAATATTGACCACAATCGTAGGATTATGAAGCTCCCTAACCCGGAAGAGACCAGCCTCATATATGGCCGATGCACAACATCCACCCGTTGCTCGTGCCGGCCCAGCTCCGAGCTCACACGCGGGCTTAGATACACGAAATAGCATGACAATGCATGATCTGAGCTTAGATAGGGATCCTGCGGTCTGATTGTCAGATAAGGGCTGGTTGTTCTCGTAATGCCATGGCCCAGGCGGCCAGGCCCCGTGCGATTGACAGGGGTTTGGAGACTGTACTCCGTACAGAACCACCAACCCGATATGCCATTGCACAGATGGTGTCATAGGGTCCCACGGATGAAGAGAAAGACTCAGACCGGGAGAGTGTTGTGTTGTCGGCCATTGGTTGATGGTGGTTGTTATCAGTTCAAGGGCTGTTCATAGGGCTCGAACGGATGGTTGTGATTGGTTGGAAGCTTCTTTGGAAGATAAGACTTCTGGAGTTGCTTCCAAGGAAGGTCAACACATGTTAAGCCACGCCGTTTCCCTGGATGACTTTGATATTGGCCAATTAGATCAATGAATCTGATGGGTCTGGCCAGGTGGAGTTATCGGGGTGTCCCGGTTCCAAAGAGGTTGATCGAGATACACTTCCGCAGTTCCAACTTCCAACCCTTTTACTCAATCTTATTATTTCCCCCGCGAATCCACTATCTCTCCACGTTTTCGTTCTATGCTGTTCTTTAAGCATTCTTACTCCGTTGATTGACCGAAGGTGACTGTCTTGGCAGTGGGCCTTTCCGCATCGTCTCAGGGAACGACACCAACGACGGAAACGTTGCCGCAGACGCTGCTCCAAGGGGACAAGTATAATTTGTGATGTATCTTCTCTAGGACTGGAAGGTACGGTCACTACGGTGCCATACAGGGTGTATTACACAGTGCCCCTCAATTTCTGAATTTGATATGAGCGGTGAAGTCAAAAGAGGAAAGTTGACCGAAATACGACTAGGAAAACCCTGTGGTGCGAGGTGACATCCCTTGCGTTGAAAATTTGCCATTTTCTTCTTAACTACTGAATGTATTCAGTATTCAGATTCAAAATTGTGCTTCCACAACTTATCCAGGATGACCCATTCCACGGACCCAGTCCCTTGGTTCACAGACCAGGTGGTCTTTCTCACAGGAGCTACAGGGAATCTAGGGGGATGCCTGATGTACAAGCTGGCTCTTAAACTACCTACAGCGAAGATCTATGTTCTTTGTCGTGGGTCGATTCGTCGGGCAATGGAGAAATGGGAGGACTCTATGCCAGAGCAAATCGAGGAAATACTCGACAGTGGGAAAATACGCTGTCTGACGGGCGACATCACGCATCCGAATATGGGCTTAGGTGAAAGCGAGCTGGAAATATTGCAGAACGAAGTTACAGTAGTAATCCATTGCGCCGCGACCTTCTCGCTGTTTCAACCACTCCCCGAATCCATTCGAGACAACAGTGTCCCGGTCATTGAATTGAGTCGCATGCTGTTATCTTTTCGCAAGATCAAAATACTGCTGCACATATCGACGATATCCAGCAGGAGCTTTCTTCCCGGAGGCACAATCCTGGAAAATGCCGAAAAGATATCACCCTCCGAAGACTCTCCTGAAAGACAGCTGTTAGAAATATCGTCTACAGGCAGATCTCAATACACCGATCGATTCATCGCGCCATATGGCCAATCGAAATATCTGGCTGAACAGTTCCTCTTGGAATCAACTTTACCGTTCCCAGTTCTGATTGTGCGTCCTTCCAATATCGGCCCAGCTGTCCAAGACCCTTATCCACTTTATGGACCTGAGGGTGCCATTCCTCTTCATACGTTTATGCAACTGCTCTTCGAGGCAAATGAGACTCGCACAATGGAACAGCTTGGTGCCACTATTCCTCGGCACCTCTTGATCGAAGAAATCCCCGTGGACCTCGTGGCCAACACTTGCCTTCTACATCTTGCTTCTGGTTCGGTCGGGGTTGTGCACGCCGGATCGGAACTTTACGTACCTATCACCTTTGGGGAATGCGTGGACCGAATACGCCTACATGCACCACGGTCATTGATGGAGAGAGCCGGTAGAGTCAGGGTGAAGATGCATTCCCATTTTGCTGAAAAAACGGCTGATATGCTTGAACACCTTTGTCGGGACTGGCGGTTGGATTGCCAACGCTCAAGGCGTTTCACAACAGCAAAGGGGCCAATTGGACTAGACATATCTGAACATGACTTTGATTCCTTTTTCCGGGTGAGAATTCTTCAAAGGGCTCGAAACATGACGTCGTGGATAGACAGCTTTGATCCCATGTAAAGCCCTAACGCGTCAGGCAATCTAAAGTTATTGATTTGAGAAGAAAAATGAACCAATAGTTCTTGCTTCAGCTGGATGAAGCGTCTGCATAGTCATACGCAACTAGTTAAACTGCAACAGGTTCATTGAACTTTGATTGATTGATCGACTAGCCTAAAACATGCAGTTGATTCTTCTTGTAGTGAATGCTAGATGAAGCCCGAGTAGAGAACATAAGGGAAATTTACATTATTCAATCAATCCTCCTTCACTTCTCATCGAGATATGGCCGAGTCCTTCTCCAAGCAAGCGAAGCCTTACAGCTTTACACAATATTTCGCACGAAGATGCTCCATGACCACACCTCCAAGGTTCCCAACCGTACCTGCTTTCGTAATCTCGGCCAGACTGATCTCGATCCCAAGGTTCCGTCGGGCCCAGCCCCTGATCTCAATGGACATGAGTGAATCAATTGCAATCTCAGCTTTATCCGCGTCATCTAACCCCGCAGCATTTGGCATATGCTGTGTGATCAACTTCGCTAGCTCTTGGCGAATGATGTTCTCGGTGTCGGGTTCATCTAGCAAGGCAGGGTTTTGTTCAACCTTTGCTAGAAGGACTTTCAGATTGTCGTTCGACACAGCCACCTGCTGACCATGCTTTGTCTCTATGTTGTAATAGAGAGCATAACGCGGGTCATTGAGCCACTGTTTTCTGACGCCTGGCTCCGAAGAATGTTTTGTGTTACCCAGTCCAACAATTGTAGGACCTGCACTGCCTTTCTTCGACTGATTGATAGCAGTTTCAAGTCCCTCCATAACGTCATGCTCACTTAGTAGACGTACCAAGCCGGAGCGCGCATTTTGTAGAAGCTTTGGGTCACGACTTAAAAATCCCACGTCTTCTACCCCCCCAAGAGCCAACGATGAGCACGGAAGGCCTTTTTCTCGTCGGTATTGGGTGAAGCTATCAAGGAACGTGTTCGCAGCAGCGTAATTAGCCTGCCCTGGGTTTCCAGTGATTCCAATAATCGAACTGAAGACAACAAAGAAGTCAAGGTTGATTCCGTCAACGGCCCGATGTATGTTCCAGGTACCAGTCACTTTGGGCGCGAGACTAGACTTCCACTGATCAAAACTCATTTGGCAAAAGGCTTCGTCCTAATTAATACAATGTCATTAGCTTTGTTCTACCCAATTCCAAATTGTGATTGAAAACTTACCCTCATGGCCAATGACATCTGTAACACACCTGCGAGTGGCTTCGCACACTTTGCCACTGCATTCTGAACATCGACCATATCTGAGATGCATCCTGGAACACATACTGGATGACATCCTTGTTCTTTCAGCTGTTGAAGAAAGTTTTGGTCGTCTTCCGATTTTCCGGCAGTACGAGACAGATATACGAGATGGCGTGCTCCCTTTTCCACCATCCATGTGGAAACTGAACGACCTAAACCTCCCAGGCCGCCTACTAACAAGTAGGCCTTCTGCGAGGAAAAGGAAACTGGCGAGACAAATTGACATTCGAGCATCTCAGGATCCTGTGGCATCTCGACCAGGACTTTACCCATATGGGTTCCCTGTTGCATATGTCTGAATGCGTCTTTGATTTCCTGTGCGCCAAAAACTTTCACAGGCTGAATAGGGCTGATATGGCCCTGCTCAAACCAAGAAATTGCCTGAGAGAAAAGGTTGCGAGAGTAGTCAGGAGCATCATTGCTCAATCCAAGGAGGTCAACACCAAAGAATGATCGATTTTTGCCGAAAGGCTTCAAGCTCAATGTTCCGTTGGCGTAGATATCCCGCTTTCCCAGCTCGATCATTTTCCCGCGACTTGCAACGCATTCCCATGATGCATGGAGTAGTTCCCCTGCCAAAGAATTGAGAACAAGATCAACACCGCGTCCATTAGTCTCATGAAGGATTCCCGGTAGAAAATCTGAATTCCTTGAGTTGAAAATCCGCTTTCTGGGAATACCGAAGTGTTTCATCAAGAATTCAACTTTTTCTTCGTTTCCTACTGTTGCGAAAATCTGTTTAAATGTCAGCTTTGTTCAGGTAATTGGTGAAACCTCAGAATAACAAATTACCTCGACTCCCATGTGCTGGCAGACTTGAAGGGATGCAAGGCCAACACCTCCACAGGCAGAATGAATCAGAGCGGACTGCAAGCTTGGTGTTAGTCGTGGTCCGATCATTAGATATTCTTCGATTTCCATACCTGGCCTCTTTTTAAGGAGCCTAGCTCAACCAAAGAATAGATGGCAGTGGAAAATACCACTGGCAATGTTGCAGCCTGCTCCAAAGAAATGCCGCTTGGGATTTTTAGGCAGCAAGCCTCATCCACAATAACTCGCGATTGTAGGTTCCCAGAGGAAATGATAATAACTTCATCTCCTACGGAGAAGTCGGTCACGCCGGCCCCTACATCACGAACAATACCGCTAGCTTCCAACCCAAATTGCTCCTTATCACCCACAAGGCCAAGAGAGATCAGGATATCCTGAGATTATGTTAGTGCCAGACTGCCAGTACCTAAATATCACTGATTTATGAACTCACTCTGAAATTGAGTCCAATATACCTGATTTCAACCTCAAGTTGGCCCCTGGTAGGACTTTGTTTGGGAGCCGTAGCCCAATAAAGAGAATCGAGTGAACCATAATTCCTGATATCAAGCTTCTTCACCATCTTCTCTCTCGCAGAGTCCGCTTTTGGGCTGTCACTCGGAGGGACCCAGTGGCACCGGCCAACGTAGACAGCACCATTGCTATGGGAGAATTCGTACTCAAGGTCGGTGTCCTGAAGGGCTCTTGCCTTTTTGATCTTTCCGTAGACCTTACCCAAGGACTGGACAGCGGTAGCGTCAAAAAGGTCACTTTCAAAAATGCAAAAATCAAGACCAATCTCTTTGCTGAGAGTTCGGGCGAAGCCAAAGACGACACCATAGCGCGGGTCTTTGCATGTTAGCTGTGAAGAAGGTGTCACCCAGATCACCTGGGTTTTGATTTTGTGAATATAGCTTTGAAGACCCAAAAATTGCGTTTCTGATATTTCGTATAAGAAAGCGTCATCCAGGTCCAGCAAGAAAAAGATATCTCGGTCAGCAGGCGGTTCATCGTCTAGCGTAGCAAATTCCACAAGGTGGCCAATCTTTTGAAGATGAGAAGCAAATTCGAGAGCCCAGGGATGCGGGGTGGTGCCGGTGACAATAAGCACTTCGCTTTTGGGCGGCACATTCGAGACGCTCGACATCATGAGGAAGTTATATTGGAAAGGCTGTGCACCATCATAACCATACGCTTCACTTCCGTTGAAGCCAGCATTTCGAAGCTCGCGGTCCCATCTTTCCGGTGAAACAAATGGCTCATTGGATCGATTGTCTTTGTCTCCTATCCACCATCCGGGGAGCGTGCCCATCACGTAACTTGTCGTCAATGTCTCTGGATAACAAGTTAGCAGATAAACTTATGTCATTAGGGAAGGGCTGAGATACGCGGATGGAGTTCATGAAGAACAATCTTTCCATTGGGCGAGAGGAGTTTGTGCACATTTCGCAAAGTATCTTGCAAGGACGGAGTAGCATGAAGCACCTAGACTTCGTTAGTTCGAAAAACTCGCCAGGCTGACAGCGAACGGCTTACATTTGATGCGATCACCAAATCAAATGAGTGAGGTTCGAATTCCTGCTCTTGAGGGTCCTGAGAGATGTCAAGGACCTTGAATTCGATATTCGAATGACCCGAAAACTTCTCTTGGGCAGCAACAGTGAATCCTGGAGAAATATCACTGAAAACATACTTGGAGTAAAGACAAACCCCATCTTTCGATTTGAGATAGCTTAAAACTTTCTGGGTTGTCCCTCCGGTACCGGCGCCAATTTCCAGAACACGAAGTCTGGGATTGGCGTGCCCCAGGAGCTGGAAAAGATATCCCCAAATAAAAGAATGATCCGCAGCCCTGTATAGCGCCGCGAGTCTATCGTTTTCCATCAAAACATCAAGAGCTGATTTGGAACCAGTCGAAAAATCTAGGACATTCTCCCAGACAACTTGTAAACATTCAGCCATTGCGGTAAATGCTTCTTCATCCTTCCATTTCAGAGAGAGATTCTGTATGACGCTGCGTCTCTCTTGTGAAGTCATCAAGATCCAGTCTTTAGACTCCGGAAACATACTATTGGCACCGGACTGCAGCTTCGAAGCCTCAGCAATAACCCATAGCCTAAATTTGGCAATGTGGGTATTTTTTGGTTCGAGTTGAGCCATTAATCCAGCAGTCTCAAGGACATAAATACAACTCACTCTCCCCAAATCTTTCGATATTTCAAATTCTGTGCCGGAGCTAATCGGTGTAGGCATCCAGATCTTGGATGGTGTCAGATCGGGGTCCGGCATCCACCTGATTTCAGCCGTGAGAGGTATGCTGAACTCATTCGACGAAGGGTCCTGTACACTGAAGAACGCTGCCTCATTGATCAACAAGAGCGTTTTACCTTCCCCAACGACAGATGCATTGCCGGCAAATGGGCCCACCTGATACTTGCTGAGATTGACTTCCAGGCTCATGTCAGATGTCTCGCCTGCAATGTAGATATGGCCGACAGAGGCGGGGATAGCAAGCCGATCGATCCGGCGTGCGACTCCGTTAGTAGTGGCAACGCTCATCAGTTGGAGGCACTGATCGATGACAGTGGGATGAATCGTATATCGGCTGGGGCACCCATTGCCTTTATTGCTGACGGTTGCATGGGCCTCGAACTTGACAGGATCCGCGGATATGTCATTTAATCTTCTGAAACTTGATCCGTAATTGAGGCCTTGTTTCCTGAGTGCGTAGTACCAGGAGTCAGAGTCGACCTTACGAAGCTTGCGTGTGTGCTTGTGTCCCAGAGCAGAAGGCGGATGATCGAAATGTGATCGCAATTTTCCTTGGCAGTGTGTCGTCCAATCCTGACCATCGTAAGCCAAGATTTTGAATTCATACCAATCTGAATCGGCATAGTCATTCCACTTGATGGTCCGTAGTGAGGTGACGACTTCAATGGCCTGTTCATCTCGCAAGAGAAGAGGAGACCTCAGGGACAAATTTTGGATTGAGTAATCCGTTGCATCAGGATGGAGCTGGCAAACTGCTTCGCCGGCCATTGCAATATACCCAGCCGCGGGAAAGATGATGTTATCCTGTAAAACATGGTCCCATATCCATGGGACGTCTTCCAAGTGAAGAAGGTTTCTCCACGAGGGCTCCAGATCGGACGATTCGACAATTCGAGCACCCAAAAGTTCGTGATGGGGCCACTGTGGACATCTCCATTGCCGACCCATACGGCTCTCACGCCAATGTCTGGTAGCGTGTTGCCATGGATACGAGGGAAGATTTGTGAGAACGTTTCCGGTGCCATTTGCTGCAACGAAGTCTATATCAAAGCCGCACAGGTGGGCACAACCAAGTGTACTCAATATTTGTAATTTAGCGTTCTCGTGATATCGTGTCAAGGTTGGGATGTAAACGGGGTCTTTTTTCAGCGTTTTTGACTTGAAAATTTGCCGTAAAGGGCCTGCAAATGTGGAATGCGGTCCTACTTCCAGGAAGCCCCCAACAGTTTCCTCGTCTGTGTCTGCAAGAACATTTTGTACGGCACCCAGAAAAAGGACCGGTGATTCAAGGTTCTTCCGCCAATATGCTGCGTTCAGGTCTGCTGGATTTTGGATTTTCTCCGAATTCACACTCGAGAACAAAGGCACCATCTCTTCATTGAACTCGATGCAAGTCGAGAGGCTGGCCTCATAGGCCTGTCCTGGCTTGAACATATGGTCTAGACATCATACGTTAGAAACCGAAACGAAGCTCAGAAAGATTTTGGAGTTAGGATACACGTACGCGAATGGTACGCTGTTTTCACCTTCAACGTTCTGCAAAGGGCGTCAGGGAAGTCTTCCTTCACCTTTTGCGTTACGCGGCGGATTGCGTCAACGTCTCCTGAAATAGTCACGCTCTCGGGGCTATTTTCGCAGGCAAGAACAGCGCCGTCTGTCAGGAGAGGTAATATTTCTTTGCGGCCGATGCCTACGGCTACCATTGCGCCCTCGCCATCCTGAACTTTTGTTGCCTGTCCCCGATAATACGCAATAAGAAGTGCGGATCTGGCAGCGACGGCACCTGACGCATAGGCGGCCGCAATTTCTCCACTTGAATGTCCCAGGACACACGAAGGCCGGATTCCCATACGGCGCAGGAGATTGACAAGACCAATTTGAAGTGCGGTGCAAAGTGGTTGAGCAAATTCAGCGATATTCACTCGACTGTCGCTACCTGTCTTGGAAAGCTCATCTGGATGATTTTGTGAATAGACGATACCGCGACAGAGGGCTTTATTCACGTACCTTGCAAGGACCACGAAGGAGGGTTTACAATGTCTTGAAGGAAACCATCCAGAACTTTCATGTCTTGTTTGAAGCTTGGAAACGTTTCCATTAATTCTTTCCCCATTCCGGCCCACTGAGCACCTTGCCCGGTGAAAACGAAAGTGAGTTTGGTTGGTTTCAGTTGCCCTTTTTGGAATGCCGAAGCATCAAGTGGTTTGTTCAGCTGGGCTACAGCAAATGCACGATGTGGCAAATGCTCCCGACGTGAACTCAGAGTATAGGCCAGGTCATTGAGGGCATTTGCATTGTCGTTCGCATACGTCGTAATCTGTTGAATGCGTTCTTGCAGAGCTTCCGAGCTCTTACCAGAAACGACGAGAAGAAGCGAGCGATGACCATCGCAAGCAGAAGATTTGGCGTATTTTGCGAGTGGTCGCCTTGCACGATGCAAATCAGCTGAATCCATCACCACATGTGCGTTTGACCCGCCGATTCCGAAGCAGTTGATGCTGATACGCTCCAGACGATCGTTTGGCCACGGAGTGGCATCGATGGGGACTTGCAATCCGGCCTCTTTGAAAGGAATCTTGGAGTTTGGAGACTCAAAGAAAATGTTCGGTGGAATCAGGGCATGTTCTAGACATAAGGCTGCTTTTATGATACTGGTTAGACCCGACGCCCCCTCTGAATGGCCCACATTCGGTTTGACCTGCGAACATCAGCATCTAGTAGAACGAACCTAAAAAGGTTGCGACTCACAGATCCGATAATTATTCCCTTGTCTTGAAAGAGTTTCGCAACCGCCGCAGTCTCGGCGGTGTCACCAATAATTGTACCTGTACCATGGCATTCGAAAAACCCAGTTTGGCTGATATCTTGAATACCGGCCTTCTGATAAGCCTTCCGAACGAGGCGCTCCTGAGTATGAGAGCCCGGAGTGGTGATGCTTGGTGTTCTTCCATCGCAGTTGGTTGTCGTCGATCGGATAATCGCCCTCACAGGGTCGTTGTTTCTTATGGCATCATCCAAGCGCTTGATGTAAATGGCATTGACGGCTTCTCCTCTGCCGTATCCGTCGGCCTTCTCGTCGAAAGTCCTGCAGGCCCCACTTGGAGAAAGGACCATATTTTCGGACATTGTTTTCGTCATGGTCGGAGCAAATATCAAATTCGTCCCACCCACAATAGCAGAATCACACTCTCCTGAATAGAGAGCTTGGCAAGCTTCGTGGAGACCAACCATTGACGAAGAGCATCCTGTCTGTAGTGTCACACTATATACCATATAGGTTTAGCCAATTTCCAAAGTAGCTCGGCGGGGGAGTGCAAACTAACCTTGGCCCCTGGAAGTCATATTCATAAGACACTCGATTCGATAATGCAAACTGCCCTGTCCCCAGGACGTGGTACCTATCGATCGCTTGTGAATCTTTGCTAGCCAATTCGAGCCAGTCTTCTCCGTAGACGCCGATGAAGCACCCGATCTCTTTTCCGCGCCAATTGGTTTCCCCGGCACTTTCAAGGCACTCCCAGACAACTTCTAGGAGTTGACGCTGCTGAGGATCCATCCGGGCAGCTTCTGGAGCCGTGATTGAGAAGAAATCCGCGTCGAAGCACATGGGGTCATCCTTGAGAAAGTACCCTTTTGTCGTCCTGATGGAACGGGGTTTTGTTTCGCTGTAGAACGATTCCACCTTGTAGCGGCTGTTTGGTACATCGCAAAGGCCATTTTTTTCTCAATCAGGAATTTCCAGAAGTCTTCTGGCGATGCAACACCCCTGGGAGTCGGAGCGCCATTCCAACAATTGCTATTGCAGGACACGCGCCCGATTCCAACTTCAATTCCTCTTCTGACAGTGACAATCCATGGCCACCCTGAGCATCTCTGCAGAATGTTCCGTGGCCGGCTTTCCTGTTTCCTGTCAGGTTTAGATTCATTCGTACTGGAACTTGTCTCTCCATCATCTGATCCAATGTAATATCCGAAAGTATGTTTGAAGGAGTAGAAGCCATGCTTTACTCGTAGTGAAGGGAAATAATATTCGAATCGTTGGACAATTTGATGCAGGAAATTTACCATCAAGAATGATTGGGCTTCGCTTTTTCTGACCTGCAAGTGCAACCCAGTCAATTTTAGCACCCATGGCTCATATCAATTCAAATCATTGATGGTGGAGATCTTGAGTATGCAAGGCCTCCATTAAAGGGGACGCAAGGGCTTATTTCCTCCCGTCTCGACTTGGTATGCAGGTATCAGCCAGCCAAATGCGAGGGTACTCTGTAGTCTGTAGTAGTTAGATGGAGAAAAAATATGAATCCGGGAACCTTCATTGAGGCAAAAAGTCATTGAGACTAAATAATTTTGGACAGCATTTCCCATACTACTACTTGTCGAAGTCTAGTAGTATCTAGTGTCTTGGAAGAAATGGTGTGCGTGAGCTTGTCTATTGAATTGCTTGTCTAGGACTATCTTGATGTGGAGATTTCTTCCAATTGTCTCTCCGGAACATACTAGTGCCGTTCCGCAGCAAGCCTGATCACATGGCCTGTCTTGGCAAGGAGCGATCTCACACTACTGTGTACTGCACCTGCTGGGCAGTACAGTGGTGTTCCACAGGTATTTAACCTCCAGTACTTAGGCCCCCACTTTAAAATTTGACCGCTATCTAGACCGCCTACCTTATCCAGCTAGCCAAACCTCGCGCGTCCCCAACTATTGGATGAATTCGAATTCCCGAGGTTTCTGCCAGACAATATTAAAAGTGGGCCCTTGGCCCCCAAAGTACTGGAGGTTAAATACTTGTGGAACACCACTGTACGTGCTAAGCTAATTTGGCTAGGGACATAGATAGTATGAGTCTCACCATGCATAAGACCTGTGATATTGAACTTCAATGCGGTTGAGTCCGGAGTCGCGCACTTGAGACCGATCTGCACAAAAACAGAACAGGCGGTCTAACCTGCCAGGCAACCCCGGGAAGGAGTTTGGCACTACTAGCCTGAGGTTTCCTGACCAGGTATTGAAGATTCTTGAGAGGATTCAGACCGCTACTGAGACAAAAAAACCCGTGAGCATCTTTACGTAGCTGGGATTCGAAGAACAGCTGGATTTTATTGGCGATGGCGATAGTGCTTAATTGATGGCCTGTTATTGGCCTTGATAAACATGAATTCCAGAGAGAGCTAACATTTGAGCTGATCTGTTTGCGAATGACATGTTTTTGTATCGATTGGTATAGAAGCACGAGAGGCCGCCTAGTCCTTGAGAGCCTTTGCAGTTGCGTCAAACGCGGCGTTGACCTCGTCGATAGATCGCTGGACCATATCATGATGGTCAGGAGACATTTTAGTCCTCATAGCCGCCTCGAAATCATCTCTCTCTGTACGTAGATTGCCAATCAAACCGCGGGCGACGTAGCCAACGCCTGCCTTTTTGAAATCGGGGGCCTAGAACAGGGTTTAGCAAGTATTCCTCGAGGAAAGGATGCCACCAACTGACCCTCTTTTCTGTCACTTTCATAGCCGAGACAAGCTCGGGTTGCAATCTGTGGTAGGCATCAAGCACAGCAGGACCGTCATCGCCGTCAAAAGGATCGGATCCTTCAATGCCCCTTCTGGCATTTTCAGCACTCGTATGGGCTTTGTAGACTCGGTGTACGACAGGAACACTGGACAGGATGCCACCGCTCCAGTCTTCCAGTGCTTTGCGAGCTGCGATGACGTTCTCGGTGACTTCGTTGATCTCATCAACAGTCTTGCTGTTGAGAGCGAGGGTGGAGGTCGCGGACACGAGGAAAACGAGAAACTTGGTAAATAACATCATGGACCAACTATTTCTTGAACACTTGAAAGAAGCCTAAAGCAAGATTTATTCCCATGGGAAGGGTACGGGATAGGTGACCATATATCGTCTGCGCTGCTTCCAAACATAGGTAGTCTCACAGCCCTGGCATGCTGCAGTACAAAGGGTATGCATGCGGTCTCACGGCTGCAATGCATCCTCAAACTCGGAAATAAGCAAAGATTGCTTTGGAATGCACGGAAAAGATCGTCGACCAAATTTTCTTATTCTCACGAAAGGGATGCTGATCAAGTTGCGTATTTGAAATAACAAGTATCACAGTACTATATGTAGTTAACAAATGCAATTAATGTAACCCAAATCAAATGCACTGAGCGTCACCTGAGCTGACTGATCGACTGAAGATCGACTGCGCACGATCTGAGCAAAGCACATATCAGGTACGTTGGAAGGCTGCCTTGCGGAAATAGCCAAGGGTGCGCTTGGTGGGTACGAGTTCTTTGAGGATGCAGGTGGAGTGGGCTTGTCGTGTACTACTCTACCCGCATAGCCTAAGTGGTCGCTGGATCTGTGCTTTTCTCTTCCCAGAGACCGCATACATAGAGGATCTGATATTCAAGCCGGAGGCAGCTTATGACTGGTAGTATGAACTCAATGCCAGAACTATTTTCAGTCAAGTTTTTGTATTGTACAGACCAATGTCTAGATAGAATAACTACCACCGCGTCCGATGCAAGCTGTCACTGCCACGGCACATTACAGCGCATGACATCGCCAGAAAATGAGCCTGCAGCCAAAGAGGCAAGTCAAGGAGACAGAGTAGACAAGTTCTATCCGGTCTGACCTATACAGCAGATAGGTCGTTAGGTAACTCTCTCTTGCAACGCAAATAGAAACACCACACACATCAAAATGAAAACGAAAATGGAAACGGAATCACGCCAGCTGTTTCAGAATGCTTGATTTGATTCCAGCACCACACACGAGTAATGGCCCAAAGGCCACGGGGTATAGGAGAAGAAGGAGAGAAGGTAGGCGAGGCGGTAGTAGAGGGGAGGTATTCAAGGTCCAGGACCCACGCAGTCAACGCCCAGCATAAAAGCTATATATGCCAAAGTCCCCTGCATGGCTGAGGAAGTCGATCAGGTGCTTAAGCGGAGAACTTGCGGGTGATCTTGGCGATGACTAGATAGAAAGCGATTAGCAACCATTTCGACCACAATTCCCAGATATACATCTGGACCCGGAAAGCGAAGGCATTCTTACCGTGGAGACCAACAACCGAGAAAATGAAGCCCAAGCTCAGGACTAGCACAACAACGGGGTCAACGCGCAGGCCGGGGCTCTCATCGGTGTAGAGCTTGAGCATGGTGCCGGACGAGCCACCGGCGCCAGCGGAGCGGGTGGAGCTGGGACGGGCATTGCGCAGAGTCTCCTTGTGGTCGGCGGCGGCACGGCGGCGCATGGCAGCGCGAGGACCGCCGGGGGTAGAGGGCGAGGAGGGACGGCCGACGGCGGAGCCAGTGGCTGCAGCGGCGCCGGACTTTGAGTCAGGGCCGGACTCAGCGCCTGAGGTGAGAGGGGATGCTGGGCGGGCGGAGGCCTGGTTGATGCATTGTTAGCTATGGGAATGAGAAATCGGGTTGAGAATTCGCAATGGGGTTGTTGTATTGGTGGACGGGGGCAAGTTGGCTTGATCATCGGATGGGGTTGGATTGTGAGTCTGGGGTTGGAGGGTGGACTTACCATTGTGATTAATTGGGGAAATAAGGTAGGATAAAGACAAGGTATTAGAAGAAAGATGGAATTGGAGTTCAAGAAATGAAAAAGGAACGGAAAGGAGCTTGAGAGAGGGTCTGAAAGGGAGATTTGCGGAGTTGAGGCCACGATCGCGGTTTCCTGCGTGGTACTGTATTGGACTTGTTATCCCCGGCAATTGGGGGCAAGTTAGATGGTAATTACAAGTATTTTTAGTACCATCAGTCCACCAATCAAAACGACTCGGCGCACATGGCTGCAATAGTGGTAGTTTCAGTTGTGCATCTATTGACAGAATTTACGAAGTAATGGATGATTCGGCCTCGATCTAAAGAATTGTTAGGGAAGTTCATCATGCTTGACTCCTAAGCATAGCATACCTAGCAGAGAGAGCTGATCTTCTTCTCCCAATGGCACCACTATCTCTGAAAGATCTACGGAGTACATGTATGGAGTGCGCACCTCGCTTGAATGTATTCTATAAGAGCCACACCTGCTAGTTGAATGTAGATATCATCAAGCCTAGTCCATTCAATTAATAAGGAATACTAGCTCACATTCATCAAAAAAAGTATTGATGATTGTCATAAGACATGGAGAACACCTCCGGGAATCAAATCATCCAGATAACGCCGCGGTGCACTCGTGCAGGGGGTATGTATATGAACATGTAAAAAAGTCAAGGGAAGTAGAGTCACAGGAATTTTTGGAGGGTTCAGAGTCAGGAAAAATGGGGAGAGATGGTGCAACGGTGGATGAGATATCATATCGAGTCCACAGCGAAGAAAGCAAATGCGCAGAAATCAGGCTAAATTTCAAAAGTGTCGATACAGAGACATGAAGCTCACAGATGAGAAGATGAGACGCTTCGAAATTCAACGCTCACGGAAATTATAAAGTTTGTCGCATCGGATCAATCGATCATCATCCGTGACGGTACTTGGGTGAGGTTGGAAGTGAGCTCCGTATTCGTCTTTTCTGCCTCCTTATTCTTCTTCCGGTTGATGTGGGGCTTCAGACCGCGGTTGAAGTTGTGGACGCATATGCAGGCATTGATGATAGTGATCACAATCAGAACGATGGTAATGATGGCGAAGAAGGTCATCGATGGCCGAGCGGGCAGGTACCATGAGTATGTCTCCGGCGAGTACATGCGGAACAGCTTGAAGCAGAAGTAAGCCATGGCGGCGAAGAAGAGGAGCTAGAATAATCGTTAGAAAGTATATCAACACTACTGGTATTGGTCACTCACAATGATGATGATCATGCCCGTCGTGGTTTCTCGTCGCACGAACCAGGCACCACAAACCAGGATAATGATCGTCACAGGGATAGCAGCCACAGTGAGCGCAAACTCGGTGTCCATTTTGAGTGATGAGACCAAGACCAGGAACTGAACAGTGAAGCCCAGGAAGAAGAAGAAATCAAATTTCAAGAGAGCAATGTAGATCTGATTTGCGACCGGTTAGTCGTATCTCTGACACCCGGGGATTTGAACGAGAAACAAACCTGGTAGGTGAGATAGCGACGCTTCATTTGCAGATCGGCACTGATATGTTTGTAGATCGTCCAGGCGAACTCATCGTAGAGTTTGTATGCGACGAAGACCATCAAAAATGTTCCTAATGCCACAATACATGGAATGATGATCAAAAATGGCTCAGACTGAACCCAAACAATCGGATCAATCATATGCATGTAGGCCAACGTAGAGACTGCATCGCGAATCTGATTCACTTGAACAGCACCGTAGATCAGTAGGCCAACATTGCAAATGCACAGTCCAATGATCTGAATGGTGTTCTTCATGCGCAGCGCATCATAGACCAGCACCAGCTCATAGAGGAAACCGAAACCGTAGAGGGCGAGAAAAGTGGGGATCGTTTTCGAGGCGGGACTGTCGTTTGGGAGTTCTTGAATCTGAAAATTTGCGAAGATATAGCTATGCAGATAGACGGGTTAATGAAGTCCGAACTTGGCTGCAGTGGATTCCATACCATTCAAGACCCAGTGTGACGATTGTTTGGATGAGCGTCACGATGGCAAAGGACCATGTCCAATGAGTGTTTGGAACATACATCCTCGGGGTATGTGCTGCCGGTGCGACGTTGGAATATCCTTCTCGTGCGCGGAAACCTCCTGTTCTTCGTCGGAAGGCGGGATCGAATGACCCCCCTAAAAGAGACGCGCGCGACCCGTGGGAAGGAATCTTGCCGAGAGGCTCCGTAACGGAGCTCAGATTGTGGGAGTGGTGAGGGAAAGACACGGTGACGGTATGACCACCTGGCGGTGGCTTTTTTGGCTTTAAAAGTCAGGTGGGAGACACAAGCCCGACACGGGGGTTTGAAGGGCAGATTGAAATTAGAGGGTCGTGTGCTTTGGGGATTGGGCTTGGCAAAACAAGTCCTGTGTTTAGATGCAGGTCGACCACCACAGGGACATTCGGTTCTTCGGTAGATTGCTCGAACCAGTCGAAGCAAATCAGAGAGGGTTCTTTCTATCGAGGAATTTCACGTGTACGCAATATTTCCGAGTTGCCAGGCGGGGCGAAATGTCGGATGGACAGCGACCGTACAGTTGAGGGACCCTTAAAACCGAAGAAAGGGATTGTGGGAGATAAGGGAGAACGAGTGACAGAGAAAGCAGTGAAAGAAAGTGACTAGGGTTGTAGAAGTGAAGGAAAAGTCTAAGAGGAAGAGAAAGAGAGGAGGAAGAGTAAGGGCCACACACAGACACAGGTACGAGGTAACTATCTGGGGGAGTTGTCCGCATACCATGGGGCGGGTCACACATTACGCTCCATACGCAAATGGAGCGATAGACCAGCTCCTACGATTACTACGATGATTCTAGAGCAGTTTCTAGACCCGTGGAAATTGAAGCCACCACAGGTGACACTATGTATGGCTACATCTCAACGCCTTTTTCTCCTGAACCGGTCGTTGCGGTGGAGTAGCCCCCATCGACGTGGGACAGGTACAGAACCTTGTCGAGTCCAGATCATGTCCATTTTTTTTTTTTTCTCTTTTTCCCTTTCTAGGGAGTACACATTGAATATCTTTGTACTCTTTCAAATTTATTCTAACTCGTCTACTCTCTAAAGAATCCCCGATAACCCTATTCTTGCTTGTTCCTTTTTGAGCGGTTTCAACGGTTTCTATTGGGCTTACGAAAATAACCGGAAGCTAAAGCCTAACTAAATGCCACATTGACCTCGGAACAACTTAACCTGCGACAACCGCCTGGCCTAAGCCACATTGAGTCCCGTCCTCAGCAAAAAATGTGGAGAGACCATGAAACATAAGCTGCTGAATGCATGTAAGAATCAGAGATGGCTGGGAGCATACGGAATAATAGCCGCTATGTTGAACGTAATGGCCAACTGTATCTGTCTTGTGCCAGATCTCCCGAAGATTAGCACAAGGGGCCCAATTGTCAGTCTGACAACATTGGCCAAAACCACAATGATAGACTGATAGTCCAGCATGGTGGCTACTATTGGCCTCTGAAAAAGCAGCTGAAATGCCCTGCCAAAGTGGCAGGGCAGACTGATGTGGCTGAGGCGCTTTAGAGGTGGTCGGGTCCACGGCCCCTGAACTCGGCATCCGTGGTTCGCGTGTCTAACACTTACCTCAGCATGCTCAGACGGAACATGGTCATGTGACCCCACATGGCCAGCGAATCATGTTTAGTCTGAGCATGCTGAGGTAAGTCTAACACGCGAACCACGGATGCGACTCACTTGCGCACCTTATCACGAAGTCTCAAGTTCAACTCTACAATATCACTATGGCTTATACCAGTCCCCCCGCGCTCCCCCGGGAGCTCTGGGGCTACATTGAGTCGCATCTATCCAATGCCGACATCAAATCTTTGCGTCTGGCATGTAAGCAATTCAACAATGCAGTGTTTCTTCGACTCAATCGTGTTTTCTTATCCGCCAACCCCCTCAACATTGAGGTCTTCCGCAACATCGCATCACACGACACGTTCCGCCATCAGATCAACGAGATTATCTGGGATGAGGCGCGCTTGTCTCGGGGTCCAGCACGAACAGATGAAACTAATGAGGGACATGAATTGCTCTCGGACGAGGATGAACCCGATAATGACAGAGAATGGGTTGCGGGGTACCACACTCAATACAGAGAGGTGATTACCGGGCGCCATGAGTCTGAAGAGGATGAGTCTGAAGAGGATGAGTCTGAAGAGGATGAGTCTGAAGAGGATGAGTTTGAAGAGGATGAGTCTGAAGAGGATGATGGTCCTGGATGTCCTCGATGGTTCGAAAAGGTTTGTGGATTAAACTTTTACGTTCTAGAATCCCGGGAACGTCGTGATGTGGATGGGCCTGGCCGTATCGCGCGCTGGGAACAGGTGTTCGATCAGCCTTCCCTGAAGGAGCCCTGGCAACATTATCTGCGGTTGCTGCGTCAACAGAAGGATGTTCTTGCCTGCCAGACTGATTTGGAAGCGTTCGCGTTTGGCGTTAAGCGGTTTCCTGCCCTAAAGAGAGTTACCATCACACCTGCAGCCCACGGCAACCTCACCACCCCGCTTTACCCGACCCCTATGATTCGTGCTTTCCCGAAAGGCTTCAATTACCCCATTCCTCGTGGTTGGCTGTACCCTAGAGCCAACTTGGAGCCCGCTACTCCATATACGTGGAATCAATACCCAGAACTTAGAGATCGGTACCGCGGGTTCCGCACGGCAATGCGTGTCCTCGCCAACGCACCCAACTCTGTTTCTGAGCTGGTGATGACTTCTAACTCTATCCCTACGGGGATTAACTGCACAATCTTCGACGAGCCCTGCGAAGAGTACAATCATTTCGCTACCGTGCTTAAGAAGCCGGGCTTCCGCCGTCTGGATATTGCCTTGCTTCTCGGTGGTAGGCGTGAGGAGGACCGCGAAGTATGCTGGCGATCTCTGCTTAATGGGCGTCTGCGCCTGGCGCTCGGTGAAGCAAAAGAAACGGAAGAGTTCAGGCTGCATGCATCATTTGATATTATGACATTTGATGTTGGGTTCTATCCTGACGGAAAACCTCCCCCATTACAGAGCATTGTGCCTGTGGAACAATGGTCGAAACTGCGCCATTTCGAACTCGCCGGCTTTGCTATCTCACAGGGTGACTGTGTCTCTTTCCTCAAGACGTTACCAAAATCCGTTCGCTCCATTGAGCTCAGTATGCTGGAATTCTTCGGCGGAGGCTGGTATAGTATGCTGGAAGAAATCAAGCGAATGGTGTCGGAGAGCACGCTGTGGGGAGACCGGGATGCGGGATCAAGACCCAAGATTACGATCGGCGTTCCACTCGCGGACACCAGCCCTACATATGGACACGGTATATGGATTGAAAAGGAGGTAGAGGATTTCATCTACGGTGAAGGAGAAAATCCCTTTAGGAAGCATTCTCGCAACTCAATCCAATCCGGAGTTGGTGTGATGAGGGACGCATTGGAGCCCGATTTTGAACATCCATATCATGACTATATGTCCAATGGCGGGTACTTTGAGACAGATGAATATTTGCAAGAGAGATACCCCAATGAGGGATGCATTGGAGCCCGATTTTGAACATCCATATCATGACTATATGTCCAATGGCGGGTACTTTGAGACGGATGAATATTTGCAAGAGAGATACCCCAATGAATACTGATTTGCACATGTGCGGAAGAGTCAGCAGCCTTAACAGAGAAGCAACAGAGAGGAACTGGCTCCAGCGCGATCGGTCACCCGTGACCCGTCGTATGCTTACTGTGCACATTGTGTAGGACCTGCCGACGATACCCGTGGAATTTGGGTAGTCTGACAGTCGAGGTACCATGAAACGAAAGCTTTCATCAGCCAGCCTCCTCGGACCCACTGCAGTGCGAGCTGAGCCACAGCCGCAATTCCTCCATCCCATGAGACGTGTCACGGTGTCTCGCGTGGTCGCTTAGTAGGCCGGATCTTCCGGTAAGAGGGATGCCCCAAGGCCCCCAACAGTGGGGCAGATGGATAATACTAGTCGCCCCTTACATTTGTGAATCTGGGCCTCATCGGCCTGGACTCGTTCTACGGTGATGATGAGCTAGATCCAATCATACTGTGGGCATGAATGGACGACTTTTGCAAGGCACCTCTTGTCAAGATCTCCAACTTCTTCCAGCCCTGGCCGATCGGTTCCTTGATCAGGTCCGAAGCCAGATCCTGGGTGCCAGGAAGCCAATGGCCCCCTCTGTCAGGGGGTCGTGAGGATCACGACTGCAACTACGACAACTGCGGCCAGGCTCATAACCTGTTAAGATCTTCAACTTCTTGAACCACTATCATCACTCAGTACGATACACTTTGTACAGCCTTTTCATGATCTCTTTTACGTTGTAGATTTTAAGACCTCTACAACCACGGTGTATTCCCTTCTCAACTCTCGCATTCTCCATCACGGAAATCCCGGCTTCCGCCGCAGGTTCTGGCGGACCGGGACTCTGAAAGTCGATTCAAAGCCGGTCAAGGACGCTATCACCCCTCCCAGATTCTGCATTTGCTCCTCCGTTGCTATGAGGGTAGAACAATGCGAACAGCCGGGAAGATATAGTTAATCTGAGAGCTGGGCTTCGCATGAAGTAGTACCCCATTAGTCGTCCGGTTGAGGCGCCCACACAGCGGCAGCCATCAAGCCCGCCAAGGTGCACCATCCAATGTCCATGGGAATGGCCATGAGTCATGGCCTAGAGGTGCAAGGCATTGAATTAGTGTGAGGTCAGATCTCCAAGATCCTAGTTGTCATTAAAGGCAATCTGAAGTAGATGTTCCTGAGATCGGTGTCATCTCCTCAGACTTCCCTTTCTGGTTTTAGTCTGCAAATCTTCCCCGCACATTGATAGCGAGCCCATTTGGCTATCACAATGGATCACCAACATGTCTCTTATCTAATGAGAACTGCATAGCATGATAATGCCTGACAAGTCTTCGTTTTCCAATGCCGCTTTTTGCTCACTGAGTCTGAGCCCGTGCTGACATCTACCATCTAGGCTCTCACTGATCCTAAGCCTGAGCGCCCTCGTAAAGCGGCGGCGGGCTAGATACGAAAGGCCCCACCCGGCAGACATTATCGTGTCTGCGGAGACGTATAAGTAGCATATAGATAATGTGATTGTCTGTTTCCAATCCTTCGCTGCAAGCATTCACCTAAGTCGTCTGATACAACATGCTGTCTCTGTGGATCGGGGCTATTCTTCTTTGCGGATACCTTGTTTCCCGCGGGTTCACCTCACCCTTGTCTACAATCCCAGGCCCGTGGTATACTCGGTTCACAAGCCTGTGGCTTAAATTCAAAGAGTTCACGGCAAATCGCCGAGAGTATGTCCACCAGATGCACAAGATCTACGGCCCTGTCGTGCGCCTCGGCCCCAATGAAGTGTCCTTCACCAGCTTAGAAGCCATCAAAGAGATATATGCCTCCGGAGGCAGCGGGTACGACAAGACTGAGTACTATGATCTCTTCAGACAGTTCAAGACCAAGTAAGACTCTCCCTGGAAAGTTGATGCCAGGCCGCTAACGCATAGATCAGAACGATGTTTTCAACATTGTGTAAAGACGAGGTGAGGACCCCCCAAGGAAGATCCAACATGCGAAAGCTGACACCCAGCAGCATAGCAAGAGAAAACGCATCTTTGCCGAGAGATACGCCATGACCAATATCATGAAACCAAAACCTATGGCTGCTATCCACGAACGAGCCATGACATTTGTATCCAAGTGTGCTGAGGCTGGCCAGGGAAGTGTGAATGTCTACGTACGTTTGGAAGACCGCTCCAAATGCCAATATGACTTCTAACTCTCCTAGTCTTTGCTCCATTGTTACGCCCTGGACTGCGTAACGCATTTCATGTTCAGCCCCGGCGGACTCAAATCTCTGAACGTCGCCGAGGATTTCGAGATCATGCACGAATTGACTTATCACAACAGTCTCCAGAGTATGTACTAACTCTCTGGGGATCGGGCAACAATACTAACAGTTCAACAGAAAGTCTTCTGGAGTATTACCTCCCGCAGTTATCGCCATACTTCCCAACCTTCCTCCACCCGCGCAGCGCCCCAAAAGCAAACCAATACGTCCTGGACATGGCCGCGCAGAGCGAGCACGACAACCACTCGCTAATGGAAAAGCTCAAGCGCAAAGAAACAAATCTTCAACTCTTGCAAGCAGCTGCAGAATGCAAAGACCACATGGCTGCCGGCATCGACACAACAGGCGATGGCCTGTGCTTCTTAATGTGGGAGCTATCGCAGCCTCACAACGCCATGTTTCAGCGCCGCCTACACGAAGAACTAATTGCTGCACCGGCTGATGCACCCTTGGACAGCTACGTATACCTCGACGCAGTCATTAGAGAGGCACTGCGATGTGCACCGCCCATTCCGATGTCGCTGCCTCGCTATGTACCTGCTGGTGGAAGGGATATCGACGGGTTCTTCGTTCCCGAGCATACTATTGTCAGCTGCCAGCCATATTCGGTGCATCGGGTTAATGAGAGTGTGTTCCCCGAGCCTGGTCGGTTCAATCCTGACCGGTGGATTGATGAGGAGGGGGCTGCTGAGCGGAATAGGTTGTTCTTTTCTTTTGCTACGGGGGGAAGGGGGTGTACGGGGAAAAAGTAGGTTGATTTCGGCTTCCTGGCTGACTGGTGCTAATTGACATGGTTTAGTCTTGCGCTCGTCGAGATGAAGACTCTGCTTCGGGAGGTGTATTCTCGCTATAGGACGACGGTGGCTTCGGATATGACTGCTTCTATGGAGTTGGATGACCAGATTATCTCCTCGAGGCCTAAGGGACAGTGTTGCAAGCTGGTCTTTACGGCCGTCGAGTGAATCGTGATATTAGAAATATCGACTGTGTAGTTCTCAGGAACTATCAATAACAGAGGATGAGATCACGAGATCCTACATAACAAGTCCCAACCTTGAATAACTCATACATTATCTTGGATCTTGCCATATTCAGGCAGAGCCCATTTTCGCATCCATTCCGAGTCGAGAATTTGCTTAGTAGTAGGACGATCCTCGGGTCTGAATGAGAGCATCGGCCGTAGCATGTCAAAGAAAGCTTCCCTCTCCCTTGCATCAAACGGCGGTATGCCCCTATCTCGCCTAGGCTTTTGCACGCTATAGTCAAACCGATCGTCCAAAGAATGGAAAGCTCCGTCCTGGCGATTCGCTGGCTCGCCATTCTCAGTGAAGTCCAGTGTTCGCGCCTCCCATCTCCTCCACCATTCAGGTGGCAAAACACCAAGAATATCGACATGCTCGCGGGTTATGTAGTCCTCCGTCACGAACCACCATTCAAATATTGGCCGCTGAGATACGATATCCCATATGCTACAGGCGAGAGTCCAAATGTCCGATGGAAAAGACAGAGGGTCATTTGGCTCAAACCGCACCTCGGGGGGACGGATGACAAGGGGGGTGCGAGATTCGTGTTTCGGTTCTTCTGAGGGGAAAAAGGCTTCACCAAAGTCGGTAAGCAAGACCCTGGTATCTGAAAGCGTGATTTTCTCACTCGCTTTCCCTAACCATATGGGCACAATGCCGTGGGATGGAACACCAGGTGGAAGCGGATTGCCATCTAGACGAACAACCGGGTCTAGTTGCGGTGCTCCATATTTCTCATATAATTGTTCAAGTGAGAGCTGGTCAAAGTTGGGCGGAACTTTGAGAAGAATGTTACCGAGGTGGAGGTCTCCGTGAACCATTCCTTGGGCATGTATATAATCCACAGCAAGAACGAGTTGTGCAGCCAATGACCGGGCTACGTCAGGCTGGAATAAACGGATATATGAGCCATCTTTCACCCCAGAGAGGCTAGCACTCGCCAGCGCTGTAACGTAGCAAGAATGGTTGCCATTTGGGCCGTGAATGGTAAACCTATCTAGAATCGAAGGGACCATCTTCTTTCCTGGATGGTTGACTGGGAGACAATGAGGACGAGTGAGCGTGGAGATCATGTCTGCTTCCTTTGAATTTGCGTTTGCTATGCAAATCTTCACTGCAACGTATTTATTGCATTGTTCATCACGGGCCAGCCACGCAGTTGAGTAAGACCCATGTCCCAGCTTATGAACAACTCGATATCGACCGTGAAAGTGATCACCGATTTGAATGGGGTGATAGCCCCCTGGTCCATAGTTCTCAAATCTTTCGATTCCCTCAAGAGGCTCGTAGAGGACGCCAAAATCTTCGTTGGTCTCTGTTAATTTGATTGCGGTGAGAGTCAACGCGCAGCGAGATTGCTTATGAGGAAGCAATGGCATATGTCCCTTACGAAGGGCAGGATAAATGGCTGGGGAACATACATAACGCGGGCGCAACACTCGAATGGCCGACAACAATTGACTCATCACCGTATCGGAGAAGTTGAGCCAAGAGAAGTTCGAAAAGGAGAAAGAATATCTCACAGTTCTGAGTTATGTCGACGTGAGATCTAATGTGATGTGACACGTACGAAGACGCGGAATGGGCGCCAGCTGCCAAGCCCCATTTGTTTTGGCAGTTGGCGCCTATTCATACCAAGCTTCCGCGTGTTAGTACGCCCCACCCACGAATCAATTTCCCCAACGGATAATCTTTTCGATCACGTCTCCGTACTACGACTAGGCGTTATCTTTGATGATTGGATCGCTTGAAATCCTCGATTGACACAATGTAACGATGTCAACAATCGATATTTATTGCGTATTCGGAATAGCCAACTGTGTATACGGAGTGGTCCGTGAGGAGAACTCCGGCATATGCGGGGTATGAGGGGGAAGATAACGATGACTTCCGTCGTGATAGGCCCTTCTCTTCGACATTCCCAATTCGTATTTGTCCCTAGGTAATCCACTCGCGCAAGTTCGCAACTTCATTCTATTCCAAGTACGGATATCTATCAAGTACCTTAATCCTGGTGCAACATCCCCGCTGCACCATCCCCGGGACATCGTCCACCGAGCAGGCTGCCCGCCATATTCCCACGGACAGAACCACCCAACATTCTCATGCTTACAACATGTCCAATCCTAACCCCAAGAAATCAACCTGCCGCTTCTCCACACGCATCTCAATCAGATGGCTCCCAGAACCCGCCCAGGAAACGACCGATACAATCGTGATGTCCGTGAAAGACTGGTACCTCGACCTGCGAATAGAAAAGCAAACAGGCAAGATTGACTGGGCGATTGCCGGACAGCGGATTATCGAGAGTCAAGAGCCTTGTATGTTATCTACAGTGCATTCAATTCAGTTCTACAAATAACCCCCTAACCAGAATTAGTGCGGGTATCCTTCACCCATGAGCTAGACTCCCACGATGCATTCGAGAGCGTCGACTGCGGGACTTTCGTCTCCTTGCCCAACGGCGACGACCTAGAGACGGGCATGATGCCCCGTCCCGATCTCCCCGGTGCGCCCGAGACGGAGTACGAGGAGGTCTGGCGGGAATTGGCGTTCCGAGAAGGCCCTGAGGGACCTAGAAAAGGTCTTTCGTGGGTGTTGGAGTCTGAAGATGGGGATGGGGATTGTGGGGAAGCGGGAGAGGTTACAGTGACGAAGACTTTTATCGGTCGCATTTGGGGGACGTTTCTGGCTTTGCGACAAACTCAGACTCATATGAGACAGAAAACTGCTTCTGGAGGACTGGTGGTTAAAAAGTCCGGCGGTGATGTTACTGCTAGGAGGGAAGAGTGGGGATCGGGGTCGGGGTGGAGTGAGAAGTATGCGGTTGGTGATGCGGCGCATACTTTGCCTTCGATGATGGCTGGAATTGACGGGGAGGGTATTGGAGCTTGGAGAATACCTGGGGAGAAGGTACTGGTCCAAGGGAAGACTTACGTTGTTCGAGCCTTTGAGGAAGTCGAGTGATGCGTCGTCTCTCGTTGCTTCATGCAGCTACTCCTTGCGCCTTGCGAATTGAGATGAAAACAGGCAAATGGAAAGTCGAGGATTAGCTAGCTCTTCCATCGGACGGTCCTAACCATTAGCTATTGAGACCGATTTTGATAGGGACGGTCTGCGGACACTCCCCTAGCTATGCGTTCCACTCCTCTAGTCCTAATATGGTAAGCGCAATTTTATCATTTCCGTCCCGATTAAGTTTTCGAGCTACCGACCAGGGCACTGGGAGAAGTGGGTAGGTGGTACAGCACAGCTACACAGGCACGGGAGTAACCCCCGACATTGGACCTCTATTCCTGAAACCACCTCTATTCCTCAGTCTATCTAAAGTTATAGGACTGGTGAGTCTACAGAATCAGCCGGCCATTAGCATAGGCTACTACAGCCACATGATGGCTGTCTTGATTGGTTATGGCCTCCATGTCCTGTTGTGGACAGTATTCTCCCCATACCTTCTGTCAGAGGCTTCAGCAAGCTCGACTCGCTGTTTTCAATCAGTAAGCTTATCTTCAGTATACTACCGCATATACGAATAGCTAACCAATCCCACTAGAGACCAGATATTTGCGCCCCAGCATTGAACGTCACTCATTATGAGGATGGCCATGTTACTCCGGGCTACATATTCATTGCTCCTTATTCGATGAGTGACTTCAATGATGGCCCATACATTTACAGCCACTCAGGAGTGAGTACAGACTATGAAAAGACATCATTGCACAGCACACTTACAATTCATCCAGGACCTAGTCTGGGCCGGCGCTGAAGGCAGAGAACTTGTACACAATCTCCACCCCTGCCGTATTGCAGGCAATGAGAAACTATGCATGTTGTCAATGCGCCACGGTACCGGAGTTCTAGCAACGGGCCCAATCGTCGCTCTAGACCGAGGTCTATACACACCGGAAGGGGAAAGGGACTTCATCGAGATCCTTGGCGGCAAAGAGCCAGACGTGCATGAGCTGAACGTTGTCAATAACGGAACAGCCGTTCTGACTACCTGGTTAAAGACTTGGCCGCGGGATCTCTCTTCCGTTGGAGGCCCGAAAAACGGGTATCTGAGGAGTGCCGGCTTTCAAGAGGTTGACATCGAGACGCAAACTGTCAGTTTCAAGTGGGACGCTGCGGAGCACGTCCAGATAGAAGACTCGTTCATGGAGCTTGGTATTGGACGCTGGGGGGATGGGATCAGTCCCGAGACTGATTGGGACTTCTTGTAAGCCGTCTCTGCTATCTTTTGACAGGAAATTGCCCAGCTGACGTTCTATTGACTAGTCATCTCAATTCAGTAGACAAATCCAAAGAAGGCGACTACATAATCTCCGCACGCCATATGAATGCTATCTACATGATCTCAGGCCAGAATGGCACTGTCCTATGGACACTTGGGGGCAAAAAGTCTGATTTCACATTTGAGTCCGGGTTGAACTTCAGTGCCCAGCACCACGTCCGGCTGCAAGAGAAGCGGAGCGACAGTCTCACCATCTCGCTATTGGATAATGGATCCGATGGACACCACCAGACCGCATTCTCATCGTCCGGTCTCGTCCTGCATTTGGATATGCAAGCTATGCATGTTTCTCTGCTCCAGCGGTATACCACGCCCAGCGGGATTCTCACCACTCAAGAAGGAAGCGTACAGCTTTTGGGAAATGGGAATGTGTTTATATACTGGGGCGGAACACCATTCCTCAGTGAACATACCTCGGATAACTCGCACGTCGTATTTGAAGCGCATCTGGCAGACCCGACGGGCTTTTGGTACCGTGCGTGCAAGGCGAACTTTACCACGGCGCCGACGACTACTCCGGATGTCGTTGGCGTGTCTGTGTCTATTTCAGGGCCGACAACCTGGTACGTGTCATGGAATGGGGCTACTGAGGTGCGGGGATGGAGGGTGTATGCTTCACAGGAGGAGGTGGGCGAGTATGAGTTCATTGGATTCTTTGCAAAGAGTGGGTTTGAGACGAAGATTGAGCATGATGGTTTCTTTGCCCGGGCTATCGTTGAGGCTGTTGATGACAATGGGTTGTCGATATGCAACTCGTCTGCCTCTATTAGTACAGTCCACCAGAGTCCGGACGGAGGTAGTGCACAGAGTGTTCTGCGAGGCCTGAACTGAGGTACATCCTGCGAAGCATTGAGAGATGAGAAATCAGCTAGTCATTAGAATGTAGGCCTTTAGGGCATCACAACCAAGTCAATCGACAATCAGTCAATCACGACACTATTCACTAAAATGATAAATCAACCATTAAAGACATACGTACATAGTGACATGAAGCAACACAACCAAAGTTGGTCCAAAACCACCTGGACAATGGATGCCCTATCCCGCCCAAAACAGCAAAGCGCCGCTGACTCACACCACGTGACAGCAATATAAAAACCTCTCGAACCCACCACCCTCACAAACTTCCTTCCATCAAGCGCCACCCCCACCAATGCTGCGTTTCTTTGCTACACACGACGAGCCTAACGGCCCGTCCTCGCAAACCCCAGGGTTTAAAACCCCCGGGCAACGCGATACTCCTTGCAAATGAGAAATTCGGAGGAATCTTCAAAAAACCCAACCCGCGCCTTCGTTCGTTCATTCGCGCGTCGGCGCCGGTCCTGCCCGTGAGGGCCTGGTGTGAATCCTAGATTCACTTCTAAACCACACTTGCACTTGGCATCAGAAACATCGGGCGGACGGGGCTAACGGGCTCGCGGCTTCTGGCTGTGGGTTTGTTTTGTCTCGGACGTCCTTGGGAGAGTCGGTGCGGAGATTGTGTGTGATGACACTTTAGTGCAATACGCAGCATACCTTGCTCTGCTTCTCCTCTTCGGGGGAGGAGTGGATGGTATCATTCGATTCCGATCATTCTGGTGGGGTTGGCGCTTCATCTTTTTTTTTCTTCAGGTCAGTGTTCGCTTTTGCCTCCCTTTTTCCTGGATTGTTGGGGGGTGCTGGGAAGAATTTTTTTGACAACCTTGCTGATTGTGGGGTTGTGGACCTGTAAGGTCTTAGGGTCGTGTGCCTGTCCGCTTCGTTGGATTCGGGCGCTGGTGGACGGTGGAGACTGGGTTTTGTGGGATGTTTCAGGATACTAGCTGGATATTGGTGGAATATGATTATTTACTGGTCCAATGGCTGGCATAGCTTTTCTAGATCTCTGGCTTTTTTCCTCTCGTAGCGAGCTTAAAACATCAAATGCCTACGTAGATACCTGGAGCTTTGCAAAGGTTGGATTCCGGGATTTGCCATGTCAATAATTTGACCGCTGAATGTGTAAATTTATCGTGAAAATAGAAAATCCCTCTTGTAGGGATGCAGTGATAGAACATTTCCCTCCGTCCAGTTCTCTCAATTATCGTAGAGCTTCATTTTAGCATTGCCCATGCCCCCTCAGAACCCCGGGTGAATTCCTTACTCTTCATCACCGATCTGTGTACACATATGTTAGCTTCGTTTCCGTGACTCGAACTTTTGAGAACCCACCTTAGGAGCCAGGTAGAACCGCAGGTGGCCACTTCCCAGACCGTACTCGACAAGTAGCGGCACTTCCGCGGACAGGTGCAGCTCAACAAAAGTGGACAGGTTGGAGGCCTTGCAGAAGTTGACAAGGTACTTGAGGGAGAAGGTCAGGGCGACGGGTTCGGAGAGGTCGATGGTGACGTTCTTCTCGGGATTTTCGACGTTGGTGTGTTGACGGATGGTGACGGAGCCGTTACCGATATCACCCTGGCAGGAGAACTTGACACCCTCCTTGCTGGCTTCGATCACAACTGCAGAGAGAATTAGTAAAATAGAGCTTTGATGTATGTTGCCAGCCGGATTTAGCTTCCGGGGAATATTACTTACCAGACTCAGACAGCTGATTGAGATCTCTGCAGATACGCTGGAACTCGCCAGAAGGCATCTTCACGGTAGCGGCGTATTCAGTCTCCGGGATGGCCAGGTGCTCCTGGTCAATATCCATGAGCTTGATATCATACTCGCTAAGTCTGTCTGTCTCGGCACTCTCGAACATCAAGTTGACGGCATCGGGCGAGTCCTCGGCCTTGAGGGTCAGGATGTCTTCGTTCTGGGCGGCGCGGAGCACCTTGGTTAGGGACAGCAGGTTGATGCCGAGGGCGATGTTGCGGTCGCAGCGGTAAGGGGAGAAACCCTCAGCACGGAGCAGCATGGAGACCAGGGCAACGTGCGAGTTGTCCATGGCCTGAAGGGCGATGCCGGAGTCATTGCAGTCGAAGTTGCAGTCCTGGACGAGATCCTTGATGGCATCGACGACCTACCCACAACAGCATCAGTATTTGGTCCATGGCTGGAGTTATCAATTGATTTAGATCACATACGCGCTTCAGAAGGCTGGCCTGTTCCAATCGTGCTTCCAACACTAGTGGGTCGGTTAGTTGATCGGGTTCTTCGCACACAACAATCTTTTCGAATTGGGGCTGACTTACTTATGAGGGTTTGTGTGTAGGTCTGTAACTGGGTCGTGAGGGATGAGGAGGCGCGTGTGTATGTTTTTATCAGAGTGAAGAAGCTGGTAAGGGACGAGGGTAGTGAATTGGGTATGTATGGGCGAAGATGAAAGGAACAGTGGCCTAATTAATAGAAGGGTCGCGTTCGAGGGTGGGGAAGACGCGGTCGCGTTTGGCGATATGTCCCCTTTGGGTTAAGTTTGATACCTCAGGCGGTAAGGCGATAAGGCCTCCTTCATTGGCATCCCGTCTCTGGTAGATCCAATGAGATCGAAGCTATCACGGAGATCCAGGAGTATCTCGATGTACGCAATAGCTTTGAATCCATGTGTAGGCTACGGATATAGTTGCGGTCAGTGGTCTAAGTTGGAGCTCTATATGCTAACTAGAAGATAACCTTAAGATAACCCTGTTCAGACGGCAAACATGTGTCTTTTACATGACCTCGACTTGAACTGTATACATCTCCTGTCATCTCTACCTAGTGAATAGTCCCATCCTTAACCAACTGTCGCAGCACCTTGATAGTCCCCTCAACAGCCATTTGGCTCATTTTCTTCTCCTTCCCCAGCAACTCCGCCAACTCCTTCTCCGACGCACCAGGATGCCTCCACTCAAAGATATAAGTCATGAAAAGTTCCCCATCAGCCCCCTGGCTAATCACATTGCTAACTCTGCTCCCATCCGGCTGGGCAAACTCAACCCGGCAAGGTTTAAACGCTGTGACTGTTTCCTTCACTATCTTTTGCGTCTCGCGGAAGGTGACCTCGCGGACGGTGACAGGGTTGCCGGTGGCTGGGTCGATGTATTCATCGACAACCTTTGTTGATTGGATCGCTGCCGGGACGAAGGTCTCTGCGGACCGGATCTTAAGGAGGAGGCCGCTCCAGATTTGATCTAGGGATAGGTGGGGGGTTGCGCCTGCCGGATTGATGGGGGCGGTGAAAGCGAGGTTGTTTGTGGAGGTCATTTTAGGCTCAAGGGCGATACAGAATGTGTCAATGGCTTTATTGTGTGGATTGGGGGTTTCTTTTATGTCTGGAGAGAAAGGACTAAGGAATGCGACAAGTAGAATGACGTCAACCGATCACTCGATAGTGTTTATAAGCTCGGTCGGACTGCTCTTGTGCGGGCCGAGCTGACTGATCCGGCCTTCGAGCCCCGAAAGCCTCGCGGATCTGCTAGATAGTAGACACTGCGGGAGCCAGAGAGTATGGAATTGGGGGTGGATTAATACTGGAAGTTGGCAACATGTGGCAAGGAGCGCAAGAGCAGAGTACTAAATTGGAAGGAAAAGATTGTCAGGCATTTTCATGCATATATCCATATGACCGTCTTGAATCGAGAGAGAGTCTACTGTGCAGATACAGGATACATACTCTGGAAAAGCGATGAAAAGCGTGAAGTAGAGAGAAAATAGCTAGTTAGCTAGATGAGTGAGTAGGTAGTTAAGTCTGATGGTCCATGGAGCAAGCACAAGCAGCTCACGCAACCTTCAACATGAACTACGAGAGTTACGAATATCCGAATGAATAGTAGTATTGATTACAGAAAGACCTGCTGTACTATACAAATGGGAAATGAGTGTTGCCCTAACACTCAACACGCTTGAATGTCGAAAGAAGCGTCGTCACCACAATGATGGGGAGGAAATCAAAACGGACAATAAAGATACAAAGGAAAAGAACGATAAGTAGGAGACAAGAAGCAAGAATCAAAAAGCAATATTAACCAATAAAACACCGTTGTCGCCGGGTCCGTCTATGTTGTGGGTATCAATTTGTGACTGCCAGCGGCTAGCGCTGATTCAAGTCAAGCCTGTGCTGGTTGGCGCAGGGGGTAAAACAGAGATTCTGTGGGTGCTTCAAGCACAAGACAGAGATCCCAACGTTGGCTTAGATGCTGGTGACTCGTTTTGCAGAGTTGTTTCCTGGTCGCTGTTTGATGACCATTTCCAGTTCCTTGAGCATGTTAGTGCTGGCATCTGCCTTTTCCCGGGCAGTCGCCTGTTTAGCACGGTCCTCTCGCACGCGTGCAAGACGCTCCTCTCTCGTCAAAGACACTCTTTTGTTTCTCGACGCTGGAAGAACAACAGCTTCGAAGATTTCTTCGTCATCGTAGGTTTGGGTCAGGTCCGGCCGGCCCTCACCATTCAAGGCTCTGAGTGCATCTGTCGGGCTGCCCTCAACTGCCGTGGAACCACCCAAGCTAGGGGTGGGGGACATGGGGAACAAGGTACTTGGTGGTCGGGAGCGATCCCCAACACTGAGGCGATCTTGTTGGTTCACCAAGGCGGCCTTACCGACTTCCCACTCTTGGAGAAGAGCCCTGAGGTCGCTGCCAACCGAGTCGTACTGTGTAAGGAGAGTGGCTTCAAAGTCATCCGGGTCTGCGCGTTCTAAATTGGCGTGTGTCTCCTCGCTGACGATATGCATTTTAGCATGTAAGGCACGGACTCCTTGCGACAAAGAGCTGAGTCGCCGAAATTGAGCACGCAGGTGATCCTTGCTTGGCGACGCGGAAGGTAGTGGAGACGGAGGGATGTTGTTATCTGCAATCATCAGCCAATGTTATTATGTGACAGAACGGGGATTAACACTCACGATCCTCCTCGTTCAAGATTGCGGTCATTCTCTGCATGCTGCTTCCGGTTACTGCCGCAAGGTCACGCATTTCTTCGACAGCAGAACTCCATCTCGCAATATCTGAGCCGCCACCGTCGGCGCTGAGGGCTAACAAGCAGCACAAGACGCTTTTCCTCACACTATAGAGTTTCCCAAATAGAGTCCGCAGGGCACGTAGTGAGTACTGGTCCTCGTTGGTTCGATTCGACAGGGACGCCTCTATTGCTTCAAGCTCCTCCAGTCCAATGTCATAAATGTCGTAATATTTAGCAAGATCGCCCTCATCGGTAAGCGGGCGTAGGGTGTTCTGAGATTCAATATACCGCGCAAGCATCGAGTAGAAGCACTCTGAAACCGCTCGGCGCAATCTCAAGCAGCGCCGCGTCTGCACTTGATCTTCCAACCGACTGATAGGGGGCAGTGGTGTGCTTCTGTGCGATGCGTTAGTTTGGATGTCCCTGTGAACAGAAAGAACGACTTCTTACATCCGATAACCTCTTGAGACAAGTTCAACCTCCTGGATGAACACCACGGATGCGGACGCCGCGGAGTCAAATCCCTGGGCATTTGCGATGAAAGCACCGGCTGCCTCAACAGCCTGATGCCGCAGATACTTCAGCCATTGCCGTTTTGCAAAAGCGTAGAACAAGACTCCAACGGTAGGCACAATTATCAGGAGCACTCCCACTTTTTTGAAACTGATTCCTGACCCAGGCCTTGACCGAGTCCAATGTAATAACCAGGCAATAGAAAAGGATGTAAAGGCTGTAACTAGGGCGCCTTGAGTTCCAAAGGTTGTAGATAGGGACGGTAGAGCTGCAGGTTGTTTTGCGGATAGGACGTCTGCGGCGGAGGTGTAGGAGGGGGCGCTGTGCTCGTTCAACAGTTGTGACGCGACAATCACGTAGCCAAATTGTTCCAAGAACCGTTTATTGTCACTTCGTGCCAGTTGAAAGTTCAGGGCGGACTAGAAGAGAAAGAGCATGAGTTTGAACGTGCGCTATCGAAGGCGAGGGGTCGTACAGAGCAAGCGTCATAGATTTTCCCGATTATCTCCCCCTGCGATGTGCCTCGTAGGTCGAGAGGTTTCGGTAGCTTGTTTCTAACCCGGTCCTGGAATTTGGAAGCCCCTCGGGGGGCGAAGTTGGAGGCACTGGTATGATCATCATCACTTTCGTCCTCCACGGGCCAACTCTGTGAGTATCCACCCTCCCCTAGTGCGGTCAGCGAATGTCCATGGATATTCCTCGCGGGTGCCGGGCATAACAAACCCTCCAAGTATTCGGCCAAAGGCGAGTTCTCAAAAACGAGTGACTCCATGTTGCGGGATCATGCCGCGGTGACAGGAGAGCGGAAGCCTCAAGGTCGGTGACGGGAGTGACGGAATGGTGACGCGGAATAAATAATCAGACAGGCGCTTTATAGGAAGCCCATGTCGCATAGAAGAATGGGCGGACAATATGACGGGTAGTCTGACCGTTAAAGAAGTAAACGTTGTGAGAATGCCTGGGGCCACGTTGAGGCACGTCCGGGGAAAGGAGGTCACGAGAGTCTAATTTAGGCTTGACCCACATGCCTGTTCCTGTAACTTCCTGATGAAATCACATGCAAGGACATCCTTTTAATCTACTACACAGTAAGACGAAACGAAGAAAATACATTAGGATGCGCGGTGCATTAGCCCTGGAGAACATTACTAGCCACATCGGTCAATTCATCCTTGGACGGAGAAGAGAAAAGCCGTTGGCCTGCGCCCTTTCAGCCACCAAAACAATCTGAATACGCCCAGGAGTACCATCGAGCAAACGCGTTTCTTCTTCACTCGGACTATGCTCTCGTCGCTTCTGTAAATCTGCGATCTCTCCCTAGTCCCTCGGCTGGGACGCAAATGGAAACCTCTCAATTTCTCCAACCCTAACTTCGTCCGGATACCCGAGTGGCACAAGATTGAAGAGGAGACTCTCCCAGACTATGTCGCCTCGCAGTATTATCCGACTCGGATCTGAGAAGTCATCAAGGAGCGATATCAAGTCATCGGTAAAGCGGGATTTGGGTCTACCTCAACTGCATGGCTTGCACGAGATATGGAGTAAGCTTTCTCATTATTTCATCCCTTGGCTTATAGGAGAGACTTATCCGCCAGTATCATAGCGACCGGCGTTATGTTATGCTCAAAATCTTCGTCCAGGCTTCGTCTATGGGGCAACAAGTGAATAACGAGCTCGACATGTATAAACACATGGAGCAATCTCCAACGACCCATCCCGGTCGCGACGTGATAAGAACGTTACTTGATACATTTGACATCGACGGACCTCAGGACAAGCATCGATGTCTTGTGCATCCCCCGTTATGGGAGAGTGTTTTGGCTTTCTTGCGCCGTAACCCGGTGGAGAGACTACCCTCGCCAGTCATCGCAGTCGTCCTTCATCGCCTATTTCTAGCACTGGATTATCTTCATACAGAGTGCCACATTGCACACACTGGTTCGTGCCCCTGTTTATCACCTTTGGTCTCTACAATTTTCTTACTCATTTCCTCATTAGATATTAAAGCTGATAACATCATGTTCGGAATCAAAGATGAATCAGTTTTCACTCACTTTTGAAGAGTACGAACTTAATAAACCTGTTCCAAGGAAAGAGGTAGATACAGACGGTAGAACAATCTACATGTCCCAAGAACTCAAAATACCCAAGAAAGTCAGCTCCCCAATCCTTTGCGATTTTGGTTCGGCCATACATGGGGATCAGCATCACTCGGTATTCATTCAACCTCGGATCTACCGAGCACCTGAGGTGATTCTAGGCGTTCCGTGGACGTTTAGCGCCGATATATGGAATGTGGGATGCATGGTAAGACTGAACGCTATACGATGATCCGATAATGCTAATAGCATATTGTAGATTTGGGATATCTACGAAGGCGGTTGTTTGTTTACAGGCCAAGACCCTGAATTTGGAAGATACCGGAGCCGAGCCCATCTTGCCGAGATTATCAACCTTCTTGGCCCTCCGCCTCCTAGCCTTCTTAGAGAAGGGGAATTGAAAGACAAATTCTTTTCGAGTGAAGGCAAATTCCTGAATCCGGATCTCTTGACGGGTTTGGTACCGCTTGAACAGAGGGAAACTACTCTGGACGGGAAAGCGGAGAGAGAATCTTTTCTGCGTTTCATGCGCAAAATGCTACAATGGGAGCCCAGTAAGCGAAGCTCGGCTAAGGAGCTAGCGGAAGACGAATGGATCCATAGTCATATGTAATCGTTCAATTGCTATATTTAGATCTATCTCTGGCGGTTTGGTGGAAGGAGTCTTGCTTGAAACTGATTCCATTGGGAAGGGCGGCGGGCGACTCTGCTTAGAACAAAGACAGCCCTGATCGCTTTGGGCCAATGCAAGTTTGCTCGCCGTTGACCTTCATCTTTCACCACTTCGGGTCTTGTATTACTCGCCGGCGATGTCCTACGGACAATGTGTCTATGAAGTGGTTTATATACACAGTAGTGGGAAAACATTCTTCAGATAGAGGAGATGGCCAAGAAATTGAGCATCATATCTGCTTCCTTCCGGATCTGGTGTTCATCCATCTTTCCACGGTTGACGTGATAAGCTTAACCCTAACCTTATAACCTCTTTTCGTCGACGTCACAGCTGTTGCTCTCAGTGATGGAAGGTGCGACTTCCATCGCAACCTCCTACAACTTTGACCATGATTATGGTCTTGCCACCTTCCAAGCTGAGTCCTTGCCAGGCGGTTTCTCACGTAAATAGAGCACCCTACCTATGCCCTCTGATTCCAGTCGCACAAGTTCATGTTTTCTTACTATATTTGCTTCAAGGTCCACACCTGCGCATGCATGTTGATCATCATTTCTCGGGCAATCATGATCTCTTCCTGGTTACCGTTTCACCTTTTTGCTTTGCATTCCCAGCCCAACCCTCGCTATTGTTTGTATCTTCCACGTTCCAAGTAAATCATACTTACCTTACAATCAACAATATCAGAAGTTGCTGACCCACACTGTTGTGAACTACAGTTATCTTGGTCTCCAGGTACCGCTAAAACCCAAATTCGTTGATACGGAAGGGTCGGCCGAACTGTCTATCTGTCTCCTTCTCCTAACGCGTCTTCGTTATGCTCGATGATGCGTGCCCCGTCGCGTGTACACCCGTCGCGAAACGTTGTATATAGATTGTGAAGGTGGGGAGAAAGAGGGTATCTATCTCAGATTGGACCAATCCCTAAGAAGCTCTCCATGGTAGCTATAGTGACACCATGGATAAGGCTTTCAAAGCAACCCACTTGCTCCAGATACACGAACGCGACAGATCCTCACAGGCTACGCCACTTTATAGTTCCCTGAGCCGTAGATGACGTAGAATCAAGTACGCAACGTGCCTTCCCCAGTCCGAGGTGGTTTCTTCGATTGCCTCGCTCCTTCAGCAAACGAATTCATACATCACTGATTGGCAAACTTAGCTCTTGCGTTCCTAGACATGAAGCACTCATCTGAAGAACTCATCTTGCCTACATGTAGAAGGCGTTGAACCCACACGTGTGTCTTCTAGGACCCCTCCATTTGCTTTCCAAAGTAAGAGACTTCCTTCAGATCTTCTTTAAATCCTACCGTATGACACTTCGACTTCTTCTTCCTCTTCCTCTTCCTCTTCTTCAACTCATATCCCTCTCCTGACTCTCATCAGTTCCTCCCGGCTTCAGCCATCGTGCATCATGTCGCAGGCTCCGGGAAACCCTGGGTCCAACGACCCCACGGCCGAGTCTGCTAGACGCCAGCCTCGAATGATGCTGTCCGGATCTACGCCTCGTGTCCCTCTTCGGGAACTCCCCCGTCCGTCCCAGCCAAATGCGGCCCAGGTTGATGTCCCTGGCCGTGGCGGAGGTAAAGAGAACATGCCCCCTGGCCGCCGTCGGTTCGTCCATTCCGGAAACGATGATAAGCATGATAATCCTCCACGTGGGCCCCAACGCCCCCGTCGTGCCCTGCGAACCGTCGCCTCTACTAGACGCCCAACAACTAAGACTGAGAAAGGGCAGAAGCGGCCATTGGGTCGAGTCGCTTTGGGTGAGGTTCATGGAAACATCATCAGGCTCCCCAAGAGACAAGCCACAGAGACCCTCGATCCCGATCCCGATGTCGTTGCATTGCGACGTGCCCTTCGTGCCGTTATTATTCAACGGGCTTGGCGATCATACGTCAGACGACGTGAGTCAAATGCGCCTGCTATTGCTGCTCCCTCTCCCAAGGCCAGCAAGGAGTGGGCTTGCGAGGTGATTGCTCGATGGTGGCGTCAGGTCAAGACCAGCAAAGTTCCGGCGCAGAACAAACAGATCCAGCAGATCGATCAAACTGGACAAATCAACCAGACAACCTACCCGGAGTATGCCGAACAGATGAAGCAGGTAGAGCAGAAGCCACGACAGAAGCCTGCCGGCCAGCGGCCCTCTATCCGCCAGGTTGATGGTCTCCGACGGATTCGCCGTCTGTGAATCTTCACTCTTTTTTTACTTGATTTCTTTTGTTGATGATACATACCCCTGCAGCCTTTTCATTTGCTGCGAAACCTCTCCGCTCGATCTTCAACAAGTTTTCAAGGATTATTTGGTTAATGTTATTGGTGGTTGGGTTTTCTCTAGGTCCCCATTCTTGGGTCTGACCACGATGGCGTCAATGGCCTTATGGAGTTTTGGTGTGTTTATTTGAATTTCAGGGCTTACTTGGTTTGAAGCAACTCCGAAGACATTTTACAGTGCGTGAAACTGGTCTTCTTACTGCCTACTTAGGTAGTACATGATGTATGCAATAATTCAATCCAAATGATTATCCAACTGTCAATGTGTCTAGGCTGAGCATTTCCTGGATCCGACGTAAATGGCAAATTCTAAGATTCTAGAAACTACATGTTGTAAGTTAAACCAATTCATTTGCCTTCTGTTCGCCTCATTCATTGACATACAATACTCCAGCCACCATCGTACCTATAGACTGTGCCACCAACTCATCAAAACAATGATGTCATAAGGCGCACACCCCAATATAAGAACCACCTGCCACCTTCTTATCTTCACCACATTATCAACAGTACTATAATCCTCTATTAAACCTCCTCCACGTTCACTCCAGCTTGAATCCATATTTGAAACCATTCAAACATCAAAACTCAACAACCTAAATACACTACACCATGCCGGAGAACCAAGACAAAGGCGCAACTGGAGCCGCCAAATTCGTCACCTCAACACTCGGTAACACCCTTGGCGGCGTCACCCGCACAGTCGGCGGAGTAGCAGGCACCGCAGGCCGCGGCCTCGGCGACACAATCAACAGCGCAACAGGCAGCGCCGGCGAGCCAATCGGTAATGTCCTCGGCAGTGCAAGCACGGGTTTAGAAGATGGCGCGAAGCGTGTAGCGAAGGGAGTTGAGGATGCCGGGAAATGGAAGTGACTCAAGTTAACTTGAGGCGGATTCTACTTGTACATATTGTTCTTGACGCTTGAATTGTATCTACCTCTCGATACTTACCGAGAAAAGTAACCTTACCCCGATACTGCGAGAAGTGACAAGTCAATATTCCAAGGCGTCTGCTGAGGGAGCAGGCTCCGGTGTAACTTCATTCGCGTGCAGCCAGGTTGCATCTTCGATGTAGTAAGTTATTCTGAATTTATATCCAAGTCATGAGAGTATAACTGCACCATACCTATTCGCCAAGCCCTCCTCCTCATAGGTCCGAGCGAGTAGGTACACAGTAAACCGCTATGGTTATATAGTACTCCGTACATACTATGCTATATATCGTCCTCCACTGTGCCCATTTCCCTGAAAACACTCTCCCACACCTCCGCAGACTGCACCAAGCTATCATGATCAGTGCCAGCCACTGTCTTGGACTCAAATTCGACAACACCACCCAAGTCCCGACCCCTCGTCTGGGCCCAACAATTCTCAAAATAATCCTGACCTTTCTTGCCAATCATACTATCACTCTCAGCAAAGAACACCCTCACCCCCAACGGTGAACCATCTGTTCCTTTTTCAACCTCTACCAACTCACGCACAAAGACCTCGTAGTCTTCGCACTTCCCCCAGGTATTAGTTTCCTTCCGCAGACACTGCAGCGCCTCGCTGTTTGACCCAACCGTGTCCTCCTGGAACATGGCCTGCATCATCGCGGAGTCAATTTCCTTCTGCTGCTCCAGCGTTAGTGCATAGTTTTCTTCGATGTACTGACGATTCTTCGCCTGGGCATCGTTGCTCTTTGAAGGGAAACTGGCGGAAAACCCGGCAACAACTGCCCCGCTCTTTGCTATCGGTGACCCGTTCTGGACAAGGAATAAGCGCGGGATATGATGCCACAGCTTGAAGGCCGGGGTTGGGATGTATTGCGCCAATTTCATGGTGGTGTTTCCTGATTTGGCGGGATCGACCCAGGGTGCTGTTGCTTGGTTAGATTCTCCAGGATTCTATGAATAGGGAAATGGAACTGAGAGAGCGGAGTGTGTTTCTGCAGACAGCGTCTCGCACCTAGTAATGTAACCATCGCTTTATCAGGACGCAGAATATCCCGACAGTGATATAGAGTATTCAGCAGATAGATGGTGCCGGCACTATGTGACGCCAGCGATACGTGCTGGATGTTTAGATGCGCCAAAAGTCGAGGGACTATCTCGATCCAGGCTGATACTCGCTGCGCCAGTGCTACGTCGGTGGATTTTCCCATCCCTGGACTGTTTGATATTGAATTGAGCTCGCGTCGTATTCGGTGGAACTGGATTCCTTACCGGTCGACGACTACCACGCGCACGCCGTATTTCTCGGCAATTCTGTGAAGGCAGATTCCGATATACCGGGATGAATACATGCCCGGCATAAAGAGGAGAGTTGGGATGGTGTCGTGTTCATTTGGCGCCCGGCCATATTCGCCGTAAGTTACCTTCAGAGGGCCGCTGGTTGTTGCGGAGTCGAAGGTGAATGAGGAGTGGAAGCGGGAATTAGAGACATAAGAGAGGGCGAATGAACGCGGGGATTGAGGATCGTCGCTCATTACTCAGTGAAGTGAGAATGTATTTCGGTTGATAAGAAAGACGAAAAATGTAGGATCCCGTTCGTGGTGAGACAAGCGGGGATGGAACAGGCTCCCTTCAAAGAGTAAGCTCGATGTGGCGGCCTAAGGCTGGCAGTCGACGATTTGACTTTTTTTAGCTCGATATCATCGCGATAAGCTTGGGGGCGCAAAATAAATGCTCTTTCAGCCTCATGTCTGTCTTCGCTTCCGAGATAGAATGTCCTCCTGTTAGATGAATGCCGATATGCATAAGGTTGTCGGTAATCACCTTCCAACGGACCAACGCTTGATCTAGATGAGTAGACACTATGTTGGAGTTGAGTAGATCTCGATTCCATCGCTGCAAGTGCTGATATTGGAGAATGGAGATGTACAGCAAGGAAACCGATAAGCCCTGTCTGTCACCACGTATCAAGCGCAAGCATCTCATGTTCGACATGCAAATCTTGTGTACTTACTGTGGACATGTTACCATAAGAAAACGTATGATCTATGGAAGACCATTGCCCTTGGGGTTGAAAAAGAGATGCACAACTGATGTTGCACAGTATGAGGTTAGATCCAGGAACAGACGTCGGGAGCCAGTTAAGGTTGTAACACATGAACCTCCTGGAAGTGCTTAGGGCTAGCAATGTAGTATGGTACAAGCTCATCTACATGGAGCTAGCATCGACAGCAGCTACTACTAACTCTACGAGATACACGAAAGAGCCCCATTGCTTCAACCAGGACATGTATTCCCATACTCGGGTTACTACTTTTGGAATGTCTATATTGACACGACGACAACGTCCATCCATCCTATCAAAACCCTTGGGAAAGTGTTTTGATCGCGACCACAGATCAAAAGCGGCATGCTCATGTCTTATGATCCTCTGGGAAGGCATCTCTTATAGCATCCCTGCAAGGCTGCAACCAATATACAAATACGGAGTACAGCCTAACCTAGTAGACCTCCATCCCATCTCCGCAAACAATCCCATTTCTTACCTACCAATAACTACCCCCGATCTCCATCGCACGGCCATTGTCCCGCATCGCCTATCGCCAGATGCATACCGTGGACGAAAGTTCGTATATACGACCGAGCACTGACATACGTATACGTGCAGTAGATCGCGCGATCTGACGTCGTCCAAAACATCTCGGAAAGCACCGTTAGCGCAGGTCAACACAGCTGTACATGCAGCTACCATAGCAACCAGCCACGCGGCTCCATCGTGATGTCACAAGCAACCTTGGAAGAGTCAACATCGATGTATGAGATCAACATACCTACACAGTAGAAGATGCAATAAATGCATCCCTGGCATCATTGAGTTATATCGCAGACCGCTCGTTCATCTTCTACCTTCCCATTCAGTACAACAGATCTTCCGAGGGTCTTAGCTTAACGCGAGCGTCATGGTAAGCCGTGATTGGCTGAATGATCCGGGGTAAGATAGGGAGGTCATTTGCGATTACGTAGGTCGGTACGGAGTAATTGGACCTCGGGGAGAAATGAGATACTGTAGCCCGTCCTCAAATGTTTCTATGTGATCGTCGACGTTCCGCAGTCCGGGTTATTGTGATGGACATTTGAACGCCGCTCGTACTGTACTTACGCAATACCAGTAAGGAGACCTTCCGTGGGTACCTGTAGGGTTAGCAAAATAATGGTTCCAACCGTTGCATTCTTGCTTCAAACGCGAAACGTGTGTTTCAACCTTTCGGTACTCGACACGTCCCGAGTAATGATATCATCACGCTCAATAGCATAGCGCAATAGATCTCGCGAGAACGATGTAATTTGCAGTATTGTCGCGTGTCATGAACGGAAATGCGTCATCGTCGTGATAAAACCGAACCGAAACTGAAAATGTAACAACCACTGGAGACTCTCAGACTCGTGACGCTGTAACAGATGCTCCTGAGAATCGGTGGCAAGGGTGGTATTTCCTCAGCGTCTTATCAGCGGCTGCTGACACGGGTTGCGACCGTGAGCATCAATGGAGGAAATATTCTCCGTCAGATGCCGTGCGCTTCTGCGCACGGGGTATTTGTTTTGCCTGCGCTGCGCTGTGTGATTGGTATGTTGGGCTGGGAGTTGCACGGGCACCCGATGACAAGGTGCGAGGACGAGCCTACAGTATGTCATTTGGGGCAAGGGGGCGTCGATCTTTGTGGAGCGGGCGCTTCTGGAAGATTTGAAACGTTCCAAGGGTGCCAGGTTGTTGTTTTGCTGGTTCCAACTACAGGGGTATTTTGATCGTGCGTCTGGAGTGAAATGTGAAATGTTGAGATTGTCACAGGTGTTCCGTAGGACTTCGACAGTACGAAGTTTTTGTTACAGCTGACGTGGGATGACTAGGGGTGGACGCTGGAGGTATGGCAAGAGCCACGATGGTCGCAAGTGGCGTGGGCTAGGGTGTGCATGGGTGTTCCATCAGAAGCTATATTTGTATTCCTGCTTTGAATACTGAATAGCTAACTAGGTAGCTATCAATCTTGCAAGTAAAGCCAAGTGAAAAGTCATGGCGTTCGTCTATTTCTGCGTATGTACGGTTTGAGTACCCCTGTACAATGTACGCAGTACATAGCAGACGCAATGTTAAGTAGGCGCCCAAATTCCCATCCAAACAGCCCGCTTTAATGCATTGAACAGGCTTCCAACAGCCAATTTACAGATCTCATCCCCGGACCGGACCGAGTTCAGCTCAAAAAGGCCAAGCCTGTAGCCCGTCGATCCCCCAGCCAAAATAGAACAAGAAGCACTGCCACTGCAACCCCTTTCCCCCACCCCCCAGACGCAGATTGTCACTCCGTGCGACCGCTTGGCAAAAACTATAGCACTCAAATAGTTCCCAGCGCGTGCCAAGACGTCTTCATGCACCGCTAGTTGTCAGCATTGATCGCCATGATCGCCCTTGGCGAGCACCCTTCCACTCCAGTTTCTGTACTCGATAACCGCACAGCCGCAACAAGGCATCATAGATCTGTTTTTGAGTCCTTGCTATGTGTTTGCACAGAGCTTGGCACCCCGGAAACCCTATCATCGATAGTAGAGCTATCGATAATGGTCTTCCGCCAAGATCTCCGAGAAAGGGGGTGCGGAGATGAAAATACTTCGTAGTTTCAATCGAAACAGACCCCCTTTGTGGAAATTCTTTTCCATCTTTCTTCGTCTTGTCACTCCCTTGTTCTCTGTCTTTTGCGTATTGTTACCCCGAAAATACTGAATGGTTCCCATACCACACAGCTCAGGTAGTACCGGGCGCATTCTGAAAATTCAATGCCTAGATCTTGGCAGTTGGCTTCAATATGCGCTGTCGCCAAGCATTCCTCCGGTGAGGCCCGGCTCAGGAGACGTCGGACACTGGCTTATCTGCCTCAAGCTGTATTGTGTGCACAGCCGGTAGATCATTGATCTACTTGATTCTCCAGTCTGTTGGAGACGCAGGATTCTGTGAACCCTCAAATTGGCTTGGCGATGCAGTCATGGGGTGGTGCTTGTGTAGGCCGTCATATGCCTATCGGGGAGATCTGGTTCCTAGGATTTGTGTTCCGTCATGCCAGCGAGGCATTGGTGGACTTAGTAGTTGACAATTGATTCCGAGGCCGAGTTGGTGGTTGATTTGCCGATACGGACGGGGCATTGAATCCTGTACACTGCGTAGATATTGTGCTATTGATAACTGAGACTGCCATGTCAGCGACTGGATCATGATGTACGGACTCCGGAGTACTAGATGTTAGTACGGAGTAGTCATTGCGATTGCCCGTGGCCCGCCTGTGCCCTGGCACCTGGCCGCCGCCTTTGTGAATGAAAAAAAACCCTTAGTTGTCACCATCAGGTATACTCGTAGAAGACAAAAGAGACTTCTTGCGAGTCGGCTAAGAAATCTAACATCACAACTTAGAATCCTCTAGAAGGGCTCTGACCACAGTCTCAACCGTGGAAATCGAACAAATCCCGAGAACAGCCGCTGTCAAAGTCTTGGCTTCGGCTTAACTGCATCTGGCGCATTGCAGTAGTGGAAAATGAAAATGCCTCATACTAGCTACATCGATTAGGTTAGCTGCACGAAGTATAACTTAGCTCATTCCTTCTGTCCGCCTATCGCTCTCGCAGCAGCCAGCAGCTGTGCAATCTTCTTGATCCTCGACTCCACTTCCCCGGTTGTGTGCCCGGTCAACGATCCTGGGATAGAACGTATTATACTAGTGGGTCGCAGCCATTACTTTTGGGGTATGTATATCCACGAAGACATCCACTCTTTCTTTTAGCCTGGCAATTAGCAGATCCCGCTCGTGCCATCCTGTGCCACGGAGTCCGATACCCACATGCACAGTTCACACCTTATTGCACTAGACACGAACTTGTGCTTCCTGGGCTCCTACGAGATGTTATTGGCATCGAGGGAGATATGGGGATACATCTGTAATTTCTATGGCGGGTCGGATCGCTGATCATCAATTGAGTAACTGCCACGAGTCACGACAGTAGGAACCTTGAAGGATCTCGCCACGAACACGGCGCTATTAGTGTTCACTTTCGCGAATCGCGATGTAGTTCGTGCACAATTTAGTATAGCTACCACTTACCCCACCGGAAGAAATTCTCCGGACACAAGGGAAGGTTCTCTTAGCCCATTCCATAATTCACAAGCCGGCTCGTCTCCAATTCCTGGTCATTGGCGTGCGGAGAGTCGTGAGTCGTGACAAAGCACACCCTGGTGAGGGGTGGCCAAGGACGCCGTAGACGCCTACTACTTTACCCCAGCCCGTCTGCGACATCGCTCCTGTCAGCGCGGGAACTTTTGTTTGGTTTTTAGCGGCATTTGAAGTAGACTGTCGTACATTCGTACATTCGTACTGCATACACTCTCGCATACGAGGTACGATTTCGATCGGTGTTCTTTGCGTCCGCTCCCGGTACCAGGAAGCAACATGCCAAAAAGAGTCGCATAGCGACTCGCTCTATGTTCCGGATTACCGCTTATAGCCATTGGCCTCGTTCTTCCCAATTTTGGTATGAACACGCGTACCTAAACGTAAACTTCTCACCAATATAGAGCCGCGATATGCAACGCAGTATGAGCTCAATGGCTTCGATCCAGGATCCGATCCCGTCGCGTTGCGAACAAGCTTCTTCTTCTATGGTGGATGCATTTGCCTCACACGGCTCGAGAGCAAACATGCAGTGTTTACTCGAGTGTTCTGACAGGGGTTATGCTGGTTCGCATCCATGGAGTGTGGGGGGATCTACTATTCGCGAAGCTTGTCGTGATCTAAACGGGTGTTTCAGGGCTTTGCAGACGGGGTTGTGGTTGCAGGTTGCATATCTCCGGGTCCAGTGGGTTTTCTTTCGGTTCTAGTACTAGTATTCGGAATTTGTTCTTTTTTTTGTTACGATCCGGTTTAATTATTGTACATAACTATAGTTTGTGCAAAGTAAGTCCTCTTCTCCAGTCAGGCGCCCCTCCTAGGGTGATCCCCCCGCTTGACCGCTTCTCTCTTGGTGTTGCCTTTGAAGGCGGGCGCATGTGTCTTCGTCAGCTTCCTAGGTTATTGGTGTCTTGGGATGTCATCGGGTCGATAGGTATGGATCTGAGCGGGGATTTCTTTGTTTGTTTCTTATTGTTCGGTGACTAAATCTGTCGGTGAAGAATAAAGATGCCTGGTGAAACGAGTCATAGTAGATCGGATGGAGATCGATTGTATGCCCAACTTGACGATCCTGATCCCTTCGCCTCATCAGATGAAGTATGTAATTCCGTATGGATTTGTAGTTTGTGTCTAAATTTGGCGGATCAGTAGGCAAGGCCGTGCTGGTGACAGGGTGAGCTTGGCATCCCTAGGAAATATGACTGCCTTTGGACTTGGCGCTGGAATAGGAGCCAATAACATAGATTCGATTCTACTGACTCAATAATCGAGTACAGCTGTGCAGCATGTACTCCGTTGCATGTACAACGCCCGGTGTTGATGTATACCAAGACTGATCTACCGGGAAGGAGCAGAGCCAAGCGCCAAGACCCTCCCTTGTGCTGCAGTTCGGATCAGGATGGAGTGGATACAACTGCGGTATTGCTTCATACACGATGTGTTCTGTACGATTAGTGTAGTATACAATTTATCCCTAGACTCCATCCGAAGAGCTCCGATAAAAGAGTCATGGGAAGTTCGAAATTAGTGAGGCCAAGGTGTTGAGGTGAAATGTGGCTGATCGCACATGTAACTCTACGTCATTAGAAAGGAACTGATTCCGCATCAGGGCAGTAAAGTGAAGAGAAACCAATACCAAGCATTCAGGTATGACTCCGGAGTCTGAAGGCATGACTGACACTTGCCAAGATGTCATTAATCTTAGGGGTACTCCAACCGATGAAGCGCGCACAGCGCGTTTATAGTTTCAGTTATCAGGTCAAGGTTCTTATTACCAATTCCCGTGGAGTAAGACCGTTGTTAGGGCAAACTTCGGCCAAGGCTGACGGCTCGGGACCATTCAGGCACAACGGTATTCTCCAATACCGCCTTTTCACACACTTAAAAGCCACTCTGACAGTCAGATGACCGTACCAATACACCTCGTGGCGATCGAAAATTTTCTTTTTTCTATTGTACTATGGTACTGTAAAGTATGGTCAGGAAGATTACCAACATCGAACTGCCGAAGGTGTTCCACATTGGACATCCATGTTAGACATCCATAGTGCTCGATTAATAGCTCAAATCTCTCACTGGTGCCAGGTGAATACAGATTCACCGCTGAGTTGGCAATTGACAAGTATTCAAGTGGATTCAACAGTCAATTTGAGCTTGCGATGTGAGGGTCAAGAGTCAGCCCTAATGGGGTTTAGTCTTAACACAAAATCCCTCATAGAAGTAGCCCGCGACCAGCAATTCAACAGACAATGGTCATCGTTAGATGGTCCACTTGAATGAATTGGCTCCGATCCTCGATCCAGGAAACCGTGGCTTTGTGCTACATTTAGCTGATATTTAGCGAGACCTTGACTTTGAACAAAGCGTTTACTAATGGTATAGTTATTAACATCGTCTACAGCCGATTACAAATATAGTATTAAAGAACTACTGTACATGTATTCGTACCCATACAAGGAACGATGTCCAGTGGAGAAGTCAAGTGGCAAGGTGAATTTCCTGAGGAAGAAATGTTAACCCTGATAATTACAGGTAAGCAGAGCAGATTGGCTGGAAAGAAATGCAGAGTAATGGAGTAATTTGGGGGCCCGTTGGGGGGTAAAATGTGGTTAGCAAAAATACACGAAAATATCAAATTGAAACGAAAAGTGAGAAAAAAGTAAAAATAAATGACCACACTAAACTCAAAGCGGCTATGCCGGACTGCCGTATCGTCACTCCCACTCTCCTCTCCTCCCCTCCAAGACTTCGGAAACCCCTGCACCTCTTCTATGCGAGATCTTCTTATTCTCTTTTATTATCGTCGAACTTTTCCCCCATCTTCGCTTTTCTTTCTTTCCTTTCCTTTCAAAATCTCCACTCTCCACTCTCCCATTTCTCATTCCTTGACATTCTGGACATTCTTGCTTTTTAACCTTATCTCGATCCCCTCTACGGAATCCAGCACGGGCCTGCCACGCCTGTAGGTATTCGACAGCGAGATCTAGTTCACTCCACCTCAACATTGAATTGCTATCCTAGAGGATAATTATCGATCTTGGCGAACATCCTCCTGTCATTCGTCGACAACCCCCTAGCCATGCGTTACATATCATGACAATCGTCCTCGTCTGGGACATCTTGTTCTGCCCTCAGGGTCGATCACTTTCACGTTGATTGACGCCGAGAGAGCATTTGTTCAAGGAAAGACCTCTTTTTGTCTTCTCGAGCAACATTTACACCTTCGCCTTCGACTCGACACTCCGCCACCCGCCTCATCCTCCTCTTCTCTACCTGGAACTATACCGTGAACCCTTTTCCCTCTCTTTGAGATATGGCCCAGTTTCGCGGCGGAGAAAGAACGTTTTCGTTACATAACCTCTTGAGGATGCTTCTTTCATCGAATTCGTCCAGCAAGTCGGCCCACGATGAGGGCGACTTGGCTGAGGACATTGATGAGCCTCCCGATCACCGCATGCACGCCACCCCGATGAATCCCGAACAGATTGTCCTTCCCCGGCCAGCAGTGGACCGCACGGAATCTTTGCTCACGCGCGCGTTGAAGAGCAGCCCCGAGATGTCCCCCACCGACCCCCATACCTCCCACTACGACTCCTACATGTACCGATCCTACCCTCACAGCAACATCAGTGGCATTTCAACAGCCGAGCTCACCAGTGACGGTGGTCTCACTAGCCCGTCACTGTCCAACACGCCCAGCCCGCCTTTACCCCCGCAAATGATGAGCAACGCTGCAATGATGGGCAAGAAAGGTCCGACGCCTAAGGTGAACTTCGCTACTCCCAGTGAGACTACCGTTGAAGCCGGTCTTGGCCGCAAGCGATGCATCAGCTTCGCTTGTGGTCGCAAGACCGACGAGAAGCAACCGATGTCTCCCGTCTCGCCCTCTTCATCGCAAGAACTCCCGACACCCAAGGCCCAGGCATCGACACAGCCTCAGGAGGAAACCCCGGCCCAACCGCCCAAGCGCAAATCTGCCCTGACTTTCGTGTGCCCGGGACGGGAGACGGACTGCCAGAGAGAGCGATCTCCAGGACGCAAGCCTTCCCTTCGCCCACGGTGTCGTGGCTCTCCTGCGCCTGTTGTCCGCAGAGCGTCCCCCATCTCAAAGGAAACTCCCAAAGAAACCGCCAAGGAGGTGTCTGCGGCCGCTTTCACGGAACCCAAGGGTGTACCAACTCGTGGACTTGGCAAGTTTGAGGAATCCGAAGCCACTCGGTTCCATGAGTTTGCTAGCTCGATGGACGAGGACGACGAGTGGGTTAATAAGGAGACCGACTATTCGCAAAAGATCACTTTGAACGACTGTATGAAGAAGGAGATGGCCATCCGACGGCTCGGTGAACAGGCAGAGGCGGAGGCACTGGAAGAGGAAGACGACATGGATGACCTCCCCGACGATGACTCCACTGTCCACGACTTCTCTTCCGATGACGGCAATGAGTCGGACAACGAGGCCGGCTTTGCAGAATCTGATGACAGTGACGATGATGGCTCGGACGGCGAGTTTTGGGGCTCATCAAACACTGTCTTGGAACCTACCAGTCAGCCTTTGGAAGCACGCCCCACCTTGATGGAACGCCGCGCCTCCAATACATCCATTGATTCCATGACAGACGACCACTCCTGGCTCCCAGCTCCCGTGCAAAAGCTCAGTACCCGTCGCACTTCGAAGGTTTCCAAAAGCATCAAGATCCGCCCAAGGACCCCGAACCTTCCCGATAGCACCGACTTTGTTTGTGGAACGCTCGACGAGGACCGCCCCCTCGAAGTTGCTTACAAGTCCTGCCTCGAACAGCGACGTCGCGCAAGGGAGGTTCTTATCCCGCAAGATATCGACCCCAGCTTCCCCACCAGCGATCCCGAAGACAACGAAGACCTCGAACCATCCGAGCATGAGCTTCACGATATGTCCTCTGGCGCAAGTTACCGTGATGAAAGCACTCGGGGACGTACCGAGGGTGTCTCTCGCAAGCAATCCCCTCGCCACTCCCCCAGGCGTCTGATGTCTCCTCCACCTCCCCGTGCCGGTCGTACCTCGCCTAAGCGGCTCAAGTCTCCGCCCCCACGCATGAGAGCCAGGTCGCCTATCCCGACCAAGTGGGAATTCACCACGGACATGCATATTGTCGAATCTCCCGAAGGTCTCAACATCAGCCATCTGGTTCAGCGCCGGCCTCTTATCCGCACCAAGTCACTGCCCCGTGACCCTAACCCTTTCTTTACTGGTCTCGACAAAGACCACCGCTGGCACGGCGTCTCACCAGCCACTGAGGCGCCAGAGCGCGATCACTCTCGTACCCGTGAACTACACACTCGTGGTCCCGTCGACATCGTCGAGGGACTCGAGAAAAAGCGCCAGAAACGCAAAGAGAAGTTCTGGCGCCAACACTGCCGCAAAGCTGCCAAAGAGCAGATGGGCAAACGGCCTATTCCCGGCCATGGAGCCGAACGGATGAAGGAGCTTGGCCTCGAAGTTGCTGAGAGGTGCAGAGCATATGGCGTCGGTCAAGACGTCCAGCTCGTCCTATCCGTTTAGGTGTCCCCGCCCCTCCCATTCTATTTTACCTTGTAAATACTTTTTATTACCCTTTTTTTCGGCTCGGGGGTCTTTGTATGACCTCTGCTCGGTTAGCGATCCGAGTGCCTTTCGCTTCTTCCACATACTTAGCCTACCTCGTGTTATCCACATGAACGGTCTTCTTTTTACCTTTTTCTTCTCTGATTCCCTTTTCTTATAATCCTACACGGAGGTGGCTCTTTCTCTGCATTTTCTTTCGGAAGTATTTCTATAACCATTCTTTTCCCTCTTTTCGTTAGTGCGGTCCCGAGGACTTGCTGGAGGTATTTTCCTTGTCGTTGCATGGTTGCGGTGCATATACCCCCTATCTGGCTTTTCTGCATTGTGAATAAACAGGTCATCAGTCTGATGAGAGTGAATATGAATATTTATAAATCTCTTCACCAGAATTCTCTATCAAGGTCCATATTGTCTACAATGGTAAGATATCATTGGCTTGGACAAAGTCGAGTAGTGGCGAGTACTAGATATTTGCCACGATGAACTCAGGACCTTGAGAAGGGCATGCAAGTTGCAACCATGACCTCGGGATGAATCGGAAATTCAACTCTGTAGTACTGTGTAGTTACAATACTCTGCTGTACTCCGTACTCAAGCCAGCCTAAACAAGCCCTAAAATAGGAAAATAGGAAATCGTAAATCGGACCTGATAACAGCTCGAGGTCCCGATCTCCCTGCCTAAGGCACCAATCCCGAAAACAACATCCAACCTGTCTTCTTGGCTTCTATCTCCTCCCACCCCCCATCCATCCATCTCTCCCCAATCAGCCAGTCACTGTTTGAATTCTGTGATATCCGTCACATACACTTCCTCTATTACTTTCTGATTCTGGCCCCTTCACAATGTGGATCATCAACTGGTGTAAGTAATCTTCCCGATACCGACACCCGGACTGTCCTTCCCGACACAACACCCGAACTGTCTGCGCCCACCGTCAGCGACCGAACCCAGATACACGGGGATAGCAAGCGAGATGTTGCCAGGCACATACTCCGTATCCTGTCAACGCTTCTGGGCTGAGAGAATGTCTCCAAATCAACCCGCTGCGTGCGACGGCTGTGCCGCGGCATCGTGTGCTTGTGACAGAGCTGTGTTGAGGATGTTCTGTGCGATGCTGATCTTGTATCTCTGTATAGTCTACGATGTTTTGGCCTCGCTGGGTCTCCTCAATAAGCACGCAAAGCTTTTGTTCCTCGGTCTTGACAATGCCGGCAAGACGACGCTGTTGCATATGTTGAAGGTTAGTCGACTTGGGTGGATAGCTTGATGTCTTGGGATTCTGTTCCGGTGTTTGCAACCCTGGATCTGGTAGCGCTGTGCAGATCCTGGGTGATAACCTACAGCGGATATCAAAGCTGGACCTTGTTATGAGCTTTCGCTGACAGATGGGAATTAACAGAACGACCGTGTCGCCGTCCTTCAGCCTACCGCACACCCCACCTCCGAGGAGCTGGCTATCGGCAACAACCGCTTCACGACCTTCGATCTCGGCGGTCACCAACAGGGTGAGTGGAGTCCTTCGAGGGGATTGTGATCGCGCAGCGCAAATTCCAACAGTCTTCTTTTCCCTTGAATGGAACACAACTAACGACCAATTCTTCACAGCCCGCCGTCTCTGGAAGGACTACTTCCCCGAAGTCAGTGGAATCGTCTTCCTCGTCGACGCCAAGGACTACGAGCGCTTCCCCGAGTCCAAGGCCGAGCTCGACGCCCTGCTCGCCATGGAGGAGCTCGCCAAGGTTCCCTTCCTCGTCCTCGGAAACAAGATCGATCACCCGGATGCCGTCAGCGAGGATGAGCTCCGCCACCAGCTCGGTCTCTACCAGACCACTGGTAAGGGCAAGGTTCCTCTCGAGGGAATCCGGCCTATTGAGGTGTTCATGTGCAGTGTTGTTATGCGTCAGGGTGAGTTTCAACTTCTGGCATCAAGTCCGTGGTCCGGAACGAGAATTGCTGATCTTTTTTTTTTTTTGCAGGATATGGCGAGGGCATCAGATGGTTGTCCCAATACGTCTAAACAGTTCTGTTTCCCGCATATTAACCTCTCCACATAATAACACCCGTTCCAAACCCGCATTTCTTCAATTGTCTCATTCGACCACTCCTTACTCTAGTGAGGATGGTCCGGTGCTCGACAATTCCCATTACCAAACATCCGAATTAAAGCGTCTAACTATCTAGTCACGCTTTCCCCTCGCCTCAACCCTTCAAATCAAATACGTCTTGAATGTGTTTACTCGACGACGCTGTACCCCCCTTACCATATTCACGTTTGTTCAATTTTCTTTTGAATTCTTTGGTTTTTCACTTCAAGCTAGCTAGCCGATCTCTTTCTGGTTTATTATAGTCTAAAGACCTTGTATTTGGTTTTTCCTAATGCGTAGCACCGAGGGATCAATAGTGGTGTGCCTCTGTACTCTGTACGCATATCTGATAAGGTAAATATACGCTAACTAACTACAATGTTGCGGATTCAAATCTAGTAATATGCATTGACTTCAGATTGAATGCCCAGTTGGAAAGGGATGGATATCCTGCCTACACAACATGTGATCTAGACCTCCGGCAGAAGTTCAACTCCAGATAAGATGCACGGAAGTGATATCTTCAATACAACCTCCGCTGGATGAAACGGAGTCCCCGTGTAGCTCCGCGATACGATGCAGAAGGTGGTTAAGGCGGAAACGAGACTACCGCGTACGGGAGGAGCTAGAGAAAGATGAGAAAGACGAATATGATTCATAAGAGAACACAAACACATGCGGTCAGGAGCAGGAACGATAAGTTGAGTAAAGAAGGGGAAAAAAGATAAAATAAACCAGTTCCTTTCTCCGTTCCAGAATGGTGAAAGGAGAACACATTCCAGCCCAGAAACAGAGAAAAGAAGTCGAGAGAAAAGACGAGATAAGCATTTGAACTCCGCTCCGGGTGTACAGAGGTCGCGCGGATCGGCCAGGAAATCGATGAGGTAGACTGATGTTTTGGGTTTCGCATGTCGCACTGGGAGAGTCCGTTTCGGCAGAGGGTGAGAGGAGTTGCGATATTGGAGAAACCTGGGGATATTATGTCGGAGTTGGAGGATGTCGGGCTGCCCTGAATGCGAATGAGGGCTTCCTCGGTCGTTCATCGTTCTCGTGGATCCGGGTGGGGACTCGCGGCGGGGGTCGTAGGGAGGATGTCATGAGGGCGCTGTTAAAGAGATTTGTGAAAGGCTTATCTCCGCCCGAACCTGCTGCACATGGGGAAGCTCGTATTGATTCTTTATTTCTTCTTTTGCTTTCGCGGAGGAGTGACGGGACCGCCGGCGCTCATGCCACCGTAAACGTACTTTTGCTTTTTCTCGGCTGGTTTCAAGATCTGTGGAAGACGAAAAGAGCATAGGTTAGAAAATGATCTCTGTAAAAGGTGGGAGGGAAGAATATGGAAATCTCACCTGGAAGGAGCAGAGCAGGCTCTCGTCAACACTCATCATTGCACCGGCATTATCGAACTCGCCACAGTAGTTGGGCGCACTGAATAGTGTAACCAGCTGGCGCTTGGAGAAGAACTCATATCCATCCTCCACAACTTGGTGTGCACGGCAAATTAGATCCATATCATGTTTTTGGAGGAAGCGCGAAACCACGTCGGGGCCGAATGTGAATGAGACACCTCTGTCGTTCTCGCTCCAGCCGGTAATATCCTTATCGGGGTCGGACCACAGAAGATCGCACAGAAGACCGCAGTCGGGAATCTAATTCCAGTCAGTGATTTTGGCCTTCAGCGGCAAACTGAGACCCCCGGCAGCCGCTTATCTTCTCGCTGCCAATGAGACCACACACCAGGGGGTTCAGTAAATTGAGCAGGTGTAACTTACATCAGTGGGGCGCATGACACGGCGAATCTGCTCCATGGAGTTGAGGTCAGGGCTCAGGCCACCGTGCATGGTGAAGATCTTCTCATCAATAATGGCAGCAATGGGAAGGCAGTTGAAGCAATCGGTGAAAGTCTTCCAGAGCTTGATGTTGTATCGGCGCTTGCACTCATCGTAGAAACCGTAGATACGGTTGATCGAGGCACACTCGTGGTTTCCACGCAGAATGAAGAAGTTCTCGGGGTACTTGATCTTGTAGGCAAGGAGAAGGCAGATGGTCTCGAGCGACTGCTTGCCACGGTCGACATAATCACCGAGGAAAAGGTAGTTGGCCTCCGGAGGGAAACCGCCGTATTCGAAGAGACGAAGGAGATCGTAGTATTGGCCGTGAATATCACCGCAAATCTAGAGATAGCCACTGCGTTAGACGGAGGGCGATTGCCGACCCGAGCGGTCGCTCGGACACGAATGAGAAAAAAGAACATACCTTGATAGGCGCCTCCAATTCGAGAAGAATGGGCTGGGAGATAAAGATCTCACGAGCCTTGGTGCAGAGGAATCGGATCTCTGACTCCAGCAGCTGAACCTGCTTGCCAGGGCGGCTACCCCTCACCTCCAACAGCCGATCGATGATTGAGTCCAAATCCACTTCTTGGTCGGCCATAGCGAATAATGTCTAACGCAAAAACACGAAAGAAAGAAAAGAAAAATGGGGGGGAGAAAAGAAACGGAAAGGAACGCGGGTGGAAGAGAGACTTCCGAAGCGATCGGGTGAGGATAACAGAGGTTTGATGACGCGGCGGTTATATCCTGTGACTGGTGGGAGAAACACACGTTAATAAAGCATTCCAAATTGGCACAATATTCAGTCTGTATTTCAAATCCCACGATAAGGCGAAAACGATGGGCGCGCTCGAGTTTTTCGCTGATTTTTCTCCCCCTTGGCGGTAGGAGTCGTGGGAGTGAAGCAGCTGGAAAACAAAAGGATAGGATGACTTACCAAACAGAAGGTTTCAAGATCAAAGAGATCAACAGAAGGGCCCCAACGGCCGCGAAAGAACAGATCAAGCAGATATCCCAGATGGGGCTTGGATGGTGCCTATCCGGGTTGTGGTGGTACGCGCACAATAGGAGAACAGCGACTGGCTCCTAGACGTCTCGAAATATGGACGAGGATGAGCGAACGAGCACCGGACTAGCAGAATCTGACGGAATTATGCTTGATGGAAGAAGTCGGAGGGGGGTTGAGTTGAATCGTTTGGAAAGAGTCGAGGCCAAGGTGGAGAAGTCTCAATCAAGGGAGAAATTTTTCTCGGGTAATAGAATACTAGAAGAGTTGACTAATGGATGTGAACTCGAAGAACAACATCAATGTAGAGAGATGGGTTGAAGAGAGAGAGGAAGAAGAGAACCTTTTTGAGGAAGAAAGCGGGAAGTTTCTCCATTTTGTGTTTGCGCGTGTTTGGTCTTCCCTATCAAGGGGGATTGAAGTATACGTCTATCGTCTCTCGTCTTGCTTGGATTTCCAATGCTCTTCTATTTCTTCTATGTGTACGACAGACGACTTACAACGCTTGGAGCCTTGGAGCCTTGGACTAATTGCTATAAAAAATCTGCTTGCATAGAGGGGTTCTGGCGTTCGAGGTCGAGACTTCAAAGCCTCGACGCCATATGGGGCCCAAGCACGAAGACAAGGCTTGAAATACTACTAGTGTCTTTGAACTAGTTATACTCACATACCGAATGGGGTTTATAATGTCTTTGTGTTCCTGTATACTTCCGATTAGATCCGTGTATCCCATGGGATTCGTTGTCTCTATGCATACTCGAGGCTTGGAAATGGAAGTAGGAAATTGTATCTCCAAACAAGAATAGTCTCATAGCTGCTGCTCATCCAGGTATCTTTCATGGAGCACAGAGGGAATCGCTTGAACACAACGACACCGGAGAAAGATGGAGAAATCAAAAGGAACAAGAGGGGAATTAGAACAAATCGACAAGATCCTCCAACGCCAACATGCCCGAAAATCAGAATCATACAGTACACGCTAGAACCGAAACAAAAGATCTTTCACTGTGCCTTCCATAGATCAAGACAGCCCTCCAAAAACGGGCCATCGCAAGATGCTTTTTGGAATAAGAGAAATGAAGACAGCACGCATTGAAGAAAAGCAAAGAGGAAGGCCGTAAATAGTTCAAACATCCGACCCACCATGTCTCATAAGTCATCCAACGCCGAAAACGATGCATAGAATGATCAGCTGCTTGTGACATGCTGAAAATAAGTTGTTCAAATGAGCCCCGGTGGACACCGCCAGGGTATTTTCGTCCCTGTGGAGAAAGAAAAAAAAGAGAATATGTCCTGCCGAGTCAGGTTTTCGTCACGGACACGACAGGAAGCCTCCAAATGAAGTGGAAGAGGGAGGCGAACGGAGTTTGGCGAGAAATGTTGTAGCCAATAAGTTCAGATAACTTTTTATCCACTGAGTGCATGTCCACTCAAGATGGCTTGAGTGGTCGAGCGGGTGAGTGATGGCGTGGAGATATGAGCGGAATGGTCCAAACCAGCGCCAGAGCTATGAGCGAAGTCTTTGTGGGAGTTATCCCAGTCATTCTCTCCGAGAACGGTGAGCCAATTATGGCCCACGTCCTGACGGAGGACTTCTAGCTGCTGGCGGCAAAACTCTTCGTCCATACTCCTATCCTTGCTCGGTGACGGGTGAAGGAGAGGAGGACTCGGCGAATGTGAAGGTTTGGTAGGGCTTTGGATGCTCGGCGGCCCGGACAGCCACGGCCGATCAAGAGGAATAACTGGCGGGTGGTCGACGGGTGCTTGAATCTGCTGAACGGGAAGAACTGGATGAGCGGTAATCGCTGTGTTGCCCAGGCCATCGGTGGTAAATGGGTTGTCCACCGAGATATCGACTATCCTGCGCCGTTGGAGCTTTTTGCGACCTTTGGTTCCCCCGTCGGTTTCCTTGGGCTGCGAGCCGTTCATTTGCAGGCCCCCCTCGTCTTCCTGGGGTTTGTAGTTTGCGAGATCATGTGGAACTTTCGAGATAGTGGCCTTTTGCACGACAGTTGAGTCATCTGCCGGGCTGCAACGCACGACCGGTGCAGCCTGAGGCTCGGCTATCCGTTCAACCAGCTGCTTCCTTTCAGTGTAACCCGGACCTCTGCCATCAATGATGATGTCCTCGGAGTAACCGGGCGTCCGGCGGAAGAGATTCATAATCACAACTCGATACCCAGAGTGGGTCTTGACGAACGGATTGCCAGATACCCAAATCTCCCGTATCTCAGGGAGACTGGTCAGCCGTGCTAATTCAGTCGGATCCGTCAGGTTGTTGTCCCGAAGATCCAATCGTTCCAATGAGAGCAATCGCTCAATGCCCGCGAGTGAACGAATGCGATTGCCGCGGAGGGTGAGAACGGTAATGGCTGGAAGAGGATTCCGGGTGAGTGAGTGGAGAGATTCAATCATGCAATACGACAAGTTAAGGGCCCTCAATGCTACCAATGACGCTAGGCCATCGGGAATTTCAGTCAGAAGGTTGGAAGACAGATCGAGCGAGTTGAGACTGTTGGCCACAGGAGCCAGACTAGCAGCAGAAACAGATGTCAAAGAATTTTCCGGGAGGCCCAGGTGTCGCAGGAATCTCCATTTCGAAGGGGAGAGGACGTCTGCGAGAAGATTGGTGGAGCTTCCGGTGCGATAGCTATTAGAAACCTCACTTGATTCCGAACTTGCGGAGCCGGTGCGCCGAATTTGCCGAGACTGGCCTCGTCGGTGGCCGTGCTTTGTGACTGGTCGAGTGGGAGAAACACTTCCAGCCCTAGTGCGAATCTTGGCGCCTTCTGAGCCAGCCCGAATCATAGGGACGGACTTTGGACTGGTGCTGGTACCGAATGCTGTGTCCACGATTGGAGACCCCGGCGCGGAAAGAGAATTGCTCTGATCGGGAGTATGAACTGGTTGACCGCTGGAACTGCTCCATCCCAGTGAAGGCGATTGTTGGGACTTGGCAGACCGCCGGCGGCGTTTATCAATATCGTCCAACACGATCCTCGTCAACAGGTCGGCCGGATCATCCAGGTGGGCTCTCTTCAGTGTCAGGGTGCGTAGTTGCTCGGACAATCTGTCCCAGCCATAGAAAGAACGGTAGTCTAAATCAATGATCTCTAAAGCGCTCAAGTTCTTGAAGGAATGCAGCGGCACAGCCGTGTCGAAAGGAAATTCTTCATATCCAGAAATCAAAGGAGCGCGGTGGTCTGGAGCAAGGCGTAGACACGGAATCTTGGTGAAGGCAGAGTACAGGTACTTCAGGTCCATTTCCAAGGCGGCCTTGGCCCTTTCCGATTTACTGGGGGTGTCCCTGGAACCAATGCGGAACGATGACCAGAGATCGGTCATACCGGACATGACACTACGAACACTGGAAACCGAATGGATCGAGGCCCCGTCGCCCCGGGACTGCTGAGGTTTGTTCAGGAATGAAACATAGGACTGCGAGACCTCGGTGTGGATGTTTTCCAATCTGATGTTCATAGGGCCCACGGCAATGCTCAGTTCTTCGAAGCGGGATAGAAGGTAGAATAGGTGGTGCGGCGTCAATGTCAATTTGGCGGTTTTGGAGTTCTGCGACATGAACTTCAATGCTGCAGATGAAAAAGCCGCGGCTAAGGTTGAGGAGGTTGAGGCAAAGGAGCTACCAGGGGTCAAGGGACCACTCGGTGATTGTGGGATGGCATTCTTGGCAGGTTGGCGGCGAAGCTGCAATGCATTGGCGAGCGCCTTCTCGTGGGTGCGAACGTAGCTAGCGACATTCTGTAGCGCGCCTGTGTTAGCTGTATATACGACCAAAGATTCACAAACACGACTATGCTTTCACGTCACACATCTGCTATACAGGAACACAAACCTTTATGAAAAGCTGTCCATCCCCAGTGTTTAATTTCTCCATGACGCCAGCGGGGATTCCGGTGGTGGGCCGGGAGAACTCTGAAGATGGATAGCTTCAACAGATGTTACTAGAGGTGGTCGACATCTTGCTTATGCGACTCGAATGAAACCCGAAAAAGAAAGAAAAAAAAATCGGGGTTCTGAATGCGAGGGTTAGCAACAGTGTACTGGAAGTGATCAGTCTCATCGGGGAGGTTTGGGATATTGAAGACTCCTGGGTGTGGCAGGCGAGTCAGGGGGGTTAGGGAGGAACGTGGGGGCATAGTACCTGAAGAAGAAATGTTCGAGTGAAACACCAACTCGACCTCCTCTCAGTGACCTCGAAATATGGAGGGGAATGAGAGAATGAAGCAAAAGGGTGAGGAGGGAAAAGGTGGCACGGGGTAACCAATTATTTAGCTAAATAATACGGGCTTATCCAGATAACACAATACGCCCGTGTACGCCGTAATACCGTCGACGTTTACAACATTTTAATTCTTATTTTTTGCTTTTATCAGCTGAGAGCATATTTAATGTTGATAGTCGTCTGATATCCTTCTGATTGGACTCTATCTCTCTTCTTTCCAAGTTCTTGATGTTATGCTTTCTCTTGCAATGATCGCAATTGTCCGCTCAACTTTAGGTGCTTTCTTCGTACATGATCCTCTTAATTCGACCTATCCAAGCACTATCGATGGGGCATATTAGTCTCGTACCGTACAGCCATCACTCACATAATAAATCGTCTCCTACTAATGCTGCAGCTACTATACCCAGGTGGGAGTGGCGAGCCTATGGAGACAGCGCCTAGGATTTTAGTTCGCCGACTTCCCTCCCGCGTCTATCAAAACGTTTCGAGTCCCCTATTACTCCATATAGGGCGATGCGCAAAAGTTCGATGAGCGATACTTAGTCTGTGACGGTTTGACCCCCTCTTGCATGGTTGAGCCGTACTAAATCCCATACAATGTCAACATTCTGAGCCGATCGTGAGCAAGGAAACTCAAACCATACATATGCTATCGGTGGGTCCTGTACCGTACCGAGGGGCTCTCTTTGATCGACAGTAGAAAAAAAATTTAACATCTTCCCATTCATGCACTTTGAAACCCGCCCCTCCTGGGAAACAGTTGAAACTTAACATCTCATGAAATCCCCGTCTAGTGGCGGCGTGATGATCAATTTCCGACGCAGCCACACGCAGGCAACTTCAGCCCACGATGCAGACCGGGTGGGAATGCTGAGAGCTGGTCTGGTTGCCCTGTGCACCTATTAGCCCACTTTTTTTTTTTTTAGGGTCAGTTCTTGTATCATCATTTGTTTTAGCTGTGAGTCTTGAGCGCAAAGCCCGACGATACGACTCACACCGTGTGCCCTTGCCGAATATGCCGTTGGTCATCTGTAGGCGTTAAAGGGGGTGCAGGCGATCAAATCAGGGTTGAGAGGGAAGCAAATGATCGCACGAGGCACACGATTGGCGGGGTGCACATGCATGGCTGGATATCTGCATACCCTCGCAGGATGCCTTTCTCCTGAAAACAGAAATAGTGGAGGCAGTCATTCGGGATATCAGTGAGAATGATGGTAACTAGGTGACCTAGTTGGGTGGTGTTATCTTGATAAATCCCTATGAACTGACGAATGGGAGGCGCTTAACTCGATTTCCCAATTACGCTATCTAGTATCGCCGAGTCGGGTTGGCTCGCACTGACGTCTGACATTCCTCTAGGCTGGTGGAGACGGTGGAAAACCGAAAATTGTGCGCTTTATGACTCCGAATATATACGAGCTTCAGACCGATGACATCAAAGTTATTTCTCCGATGTGCAAAACATCAGACTTCAGTCTCACAATGTGATACACGGAGTCGGATATAGATGAGTGTCAACCATGGATTCACTCGACCCCATCCCGATATCAGCCACACCGCTTCTACAAAATACGGACAAGGGCGGCTACCGACCCATGGTTCAGTGTTACCCCTTCATCTCTTTAAGTTGTCTGCTGTAGTATTTACTTCGCTAAAGACCAATAGAAGAAATGAATACATGTAGCTACAGAGTCAAAACCCCTAGAATACCTATGGAGTACAACGCAACCAACCACTTCTCGGAAATCACGTAGCTATTCAATGTTTCATATTTGAGCATCAAGGATGAATGCGCTGGGAACATTGAGCATCATTTATGGATCAAATTTGCCATGATTATTTTCTATCCCTGCGACAGATCCCAAAGCGCGGGGTACAACTGTAGTTAGATCAAAACATTGTGAACTAGCATTCCAGGGGATTTAAATGCTCCGCAAAGCTCGGTTCAACCTCAGACCCCAGCCCAGCTGCATGTTGTGACCTTGGTACTCTTTACGCAGTATGCGAGGAGTTTGCAGCATCCCTGCACATCGAAGTATGTGCTATGAAGCGCATATGTATGTACCATATGGGCACATCCTGGGGTCTCCAGAAGTGAAACACAACAAGATGTCAATGTCTTTAGCGGATCGGGCCTGAATGCCACCCCCAGAACTCTAGGAATGTTCAACACATGGAAATCCCACTTTCGACATAGCCAAGGAGAGGGGCACATGATGTACGATCATTTTGATCTACGTTGCCCCTCTCTCCCCCTACTACTGTACTGCGTACGTACGGGGTACGGCGGCACATTGTAGATAGTAGCTTAAATAGAACAACAAAGACCAGTTAAGTAAGATTGCCTTCGAGTATTAGTTACTTTAGGATGATGCCCGGCCTCGGAGATCCGAGGACATAATTCCCCACCATTCGACGGACCTTCCAAGCGGGTGCAGTATGGTGGGTGTTGGCCGTTGGGTCTGCTCATTGGGTGGGACCAGATACGGTCGTTTGCAAATTGCCGGCGCATTCCTTTGCCAAGACGCGATTTTATATTCTTCTTCTTCGCTCATATTCGGGGAGGATTGGTAGTTGAATCCAATAAGCGGGGGAACGGTTTCTCACCGGCTCCAATAACGCCACAATGATTGCGCGAGAGAAGATCCATGATCTGCATTGAGCCAAATCGGGAACCGACGTTCGAATTCGGGGTTGAAGATCGCTAAACCTGCCAAGACCTACTTGACTTCCGAGAGCGGGGCATTGGAAAAACCTTGACATGAGGCCGCTTAAATTTGGCTACCCCGGCACGTTCAAAGGATATTTCAAAAGGCTAAAACGGCGCGATCACGAGCGGCTACCGCGCGTTGCGGATAGTACGGAGTAAATAGTAAACTAATTTCTGTGCTCGCTTGGAATAAGCCGCATGCTGTCTCTCAAACTGATGTCTAGGAGTCGTGATAGTTGACTGAGTGTACTTCCACATGTTGTAGAATTGCAAGTGGCAATGAAGGTGATGGCCTGCACCATGTTTGCTTCTTCACATCCACATCTAAGGGTTCAACAAGTTGATCAACATGATCAGCATCGCGGACAAACACCAAATGGAAATACAGTAGCACCCGGAATATCCTCTCCTAAATGAGTCTAATTCCAACGGACTAAGCCTGCAGCTTGTGTGGACGGCGGGACGCTAAGGATCTTTAGTTGCTGCGAATCATCCTTGATATGGGCTGTTTCTAGATCAGGTGACTGGAATTATGCTTCTTTGCGTGAGACTAATATGAAAGGATGGTTCACATCTCGATCCACTATGCAGTATCTAAATGTCCGATATCGCGAGCACAAGCCTTTCTCGGTCCTTGGCCCGAGCTAGAGGGATGCTGACCGCCCGCCACCAACCCATAGGTTGCTTTCCCGGGCCTCCAATTCGGCCGTGACAAACAGACTCTACCGAGGCGCCTACCAATCAGGGGAGGACAGTCATATGTTTCTCAATACATGCGCTGCCCAGCATGTAGCGGTGAGATAAAGAGCAATTCTTTGAGCCGGAACAAAAGAAATTTTGCATATGGCCTTGAAGACGAATGCGATGACCCCGCTAATTGACCATGGAAGCCATTGAATAAATATTCTTTGCATTGAGGAATGTCAATTGCTTGTAAGACGTGCATGGGGGTTGCATTCCAACAATTTTTTATGCCACCGCACCGTCCGCACGGCCGGCGGCATCGTCGTATTCAAATGCCGTAGCCCTGTCGACGTGGGATGATGCCCGCCGTAATGTAAGTTGCACTGCGCAGGGACATTCGATCTTGATACAAAGAATGTTGAGGCCACAACAACGTGAAGACTGAATGATTGGCTTCTGGTAAATTCGCAAACCTCCCTTACTCTCGAAGCAAACATCCAAGATCCAAAGATTGGTTACCTAGCAGTTAGTTACCGAAGCATCCATGGTTTGGTCTGTTCTTATTCCCGAAGGTCCTTATCTGCCGGTGGCGGGGCGCAAAATCTGGATGACTCAGCTGATGCAAAATGAAGCTAGCCATTTTCGGAAACTCACCAGCCACAACGTGGGGATAAGCTGCACGTGATGTCAACGTCATTATGTACACCGTAGCGTCTCCATCCGGATTTCGAGGTACCTCACTAGCTGTTGACTCTTGACAACCTATCTTTGTTGATGTACTCAGCATGTACCGAACATGACCACTGAGAAGAAGCCTCCAGTTTATGATCCTTACGACCCGGCCTGTCTCCCTGACTATGATCGCGACTTCATTAAGCCCGATGAACTCGACCGTTTCGAGCGGGCACTAAATGCCCCAGAAGCTTCCCCATTGATCGCGATCAACGACTGGCGCCCGATTAGACAGAAAGTGCGCAAACAGCGTGGCCGTCGCAAAACACCCAAGCGAAGCACGGATGAAACGAGAGAAGGGGTGGTATATTCCATTTTGAAATGGCCGTTCCTCTTGATCGTCTTTGCATGGATCATCGTACTCAGCTTCGGCTATGTGCTGGTACGCGTCTATATCTTACTCTATGAGCAGTGGGTTACATGGCGCGGGAAAAGGGAAAGGCTACGTCGTGAGCTACGTGCGCAGACGAACTACCCGGATTGGTTGAAAGCCGCTCAAGCACTGGACAATCACCTCGGAACGGAAGAGTGGAAAAAGACCGACGAATATGCCTACTACGATCACCTCACTATCAACAAAGTGGTATCACAGCTGAAACAAGTGAGGAAAGAGGCAGAACGGGAAATAGAAGATGGTCGCATCGGTTCCAGTGAAATACCTGCCATTGAGGACCTCCGGGCGCTCCTGGAGGCCTGTGTCAAGAACAACTTCGCTGGCGTGGAAAACCCTCGAGTATACAGCGAGACTTACTCGGGAACCAAGGAGCTGGTTCAAGAGTATATCGACGAGGTGCATGCATGCGTGCAGCTCGTTTTGAACAATAAGCAGATCGATCAGGATACCAAGTATCAATTCTTCAAACACCTCGATACAAATTTCGGACGCACCGCTCTCTGTCTGTCGGGCGGAGCTACATTCGCTTACTACCACTTTGGTGTTGTAAAGGCGCTGCTGGATAATGATGTTCTACCGGAAATTATCACTGGCACGTCAGGCGGAGCACTAGTGGCAGGATTGGTAGCGACTCGAACAGATGAGGAGCTGAAACTGCTGCTGGTTCCCGCGTTGGCGCATCGGATTCGTGCATGCCACGAGGGGCTAGCGACCTGGGCAAACCGTTGGTGGCGAACCGGTGCGCGGTTCGATACTTTGGATTGGGCTCGGCAGTGCGCCTGGTTCTGTAGAGGCTCAACAACCTTTCGGGAAGCTTACGAGCGGACCGGGCGCATCTTGAATGTCAGCTGCGTGCCCTCGGATCCTCATTCACCTACCATCCTAGCCAATTATCTAACATCCCCCGATTGCGTCATATGGAGTGCAGTGCTTGCTTCCGCGGCTGTCCCAGGGATCTTGAACCCTGTCGTGTTGATGTCCAAGAAGCGCGATGGGACTCTCGCGCCTTATTCATTTGGACACAAATGGAAGGATGGTAGCCTGCGAACCGACATACCCATTAAAGCTTTGAATCTGCATTTCAATGTGCATTTCACGATCGTGTCTCAAGTAAGATCAAGTCCATCATTTATCGTTTGACTGCCGCTAACAGTTCTTCCAGGTCAATCCCCACATCAATCTGTTCTTCTTTAGCTCCAGAGGCACTGTAGGGGGGCCAGTCACACACCGCAAGGGTCGCGGTTGGCGCGGTGGCTTCCTCGGCTCTGCAATCGAACAGTACATCAAGCTTGACCTGAACAAATGGCTCCGAGTACTCCGGCATTTGGAGCTCCTTCCACGACCCATGGGCCAAGACTGGAGCGAGATCTGGTTGCAAAAGTTCAGTGGCACCGTTACTATTTGGCCCAAGAGCATTCCCTCTGATTTCATCCACATTCTTTCGGACCCGACCCCTGAAAGACTCGCCCGCATGCTACATGTTGGCCAGCAGAGCGCCTTTTCTAAAATCCAGTTTATTCAGAACCGGCTCAAGATCGAGGGGGCAATCATGAACGGCCTTCAAAAATCCCGTACGGGTGGGCGTGCACTATCGCCAATCCTTTCTCGTCGACTCAACAACCGAGAAAATGAGCAGGCAGATGCTTTGATTGAGCGCTTAGATGAGAATCTTCCCGAACGTGACGGGCCTAGCGACCAGGACGAATCGCGCTTCCTCGACTCGTCGGATGGCATGTCCCAGTCAGCCAGCTCATCACGCCCCCGCACCCCGAGTACCCGGCGTGGAAGCGTGATTGAGGAGATGCGTCGGCAAGCTGCGGTCTTCTTTGATGATGCTGGTTATTACCGAAATGACGATGCTGATGACTACCGAGACGAAGATGCCGTGGTCATCTGAGAGCCAGGCGGCTCGAGCGGCTCTAGCAAAGTTCGTGGCTTGGACCGGGATGTTTCTGCTTTCGGGCACCTGCAGCCCTTCCGTGCACTCTTGACATGACAGGCGGCTCTAAGTGGTATTCTGGCTACTTTCGGAATAGTTGCCCGGATTGTTCCTATCCAGTGTCTCTTGGCTTTTGTCATTTCGCCCCTTCCATTAGCATAGCAAGGTGTCATGTGTTTTTTATGCATTCGGGCATTTTATTGTTTTTTTTCGTTTCTTTGTGCTTACATCCATTACGACTTGTTTTTTACTTTCTCTTTCTAGAAGGTGGGCCGTGTAAGATACTATTAGCTGCAAATGCTAATCCTATTGTGTCTTGTTTTATTACTGTGTACTCCGTATACCTCGTGGTCAACAAACAACCCAAATCCATCTGCATGATGACGAAGCATCTCAAACCACCAACCTTAACCTAATTGAAGCATGATAACGAGCATAGATTAAGATCGGAACTGAATATATAGTAACTGACATCATAGTCCGACTTTTAGGGTTATTTTGTGCGAGTTGTACGTGGACTTCGGGAGCGGCTATCAACCATAGCATTAACCTACACAGCGACAAGATTTGGTCCTTGACTGGTAGTCATGTTGATTCCAAATAAAACTGTCGTTGGAATAGTCTGTACGCCTCAGATTGAGAACGCAGCTGGGTAACGTCATTGTACATGATTTTGCTGTCTCGGGAAGAGGTAGATTGCTTGGCAGTGGAATCTCTCTAGCTGCATTGTAAGGTGTGAAAAGTATTAAGGTGTCCACTGTATCTTGAAGGGGGTCCTCAAACTTGATGTCTAGTTAGGGTAGCCGTATAGACGTACACTAACAAGCCCGAAGTACTGCATCGTAACTACAACATTATTGCTTACAAGGTAACTACTGGTGATCATGAGCATACATGTATCTTCTGGATGCTTTCATATAAACAAGGGATGTAGACACCACAACCTGGGCTTGGAAAGATACCTACTCTATCCTCCGGATAGGAAACCCACCACTCCATCCAATCCACCCTTTCTCAGCCGGACCGCGAAGAAGACAAATACCCAGCGCAGCTCCAATAAACCCCAAATTGACACTCCCACTGAGGATCCAGCCACCCTGACTATACAACCGATTGCCAACAGAGGTACCCATGAGCTGACCACAGAACACACCCATCATATACCCGGTGTTAATCCTATTCCTTGCCTTGGGAGCAACGCTGTATATCGAGATGCGATTTGCAATCTGCGTCATCTGCAATCCAAAGTCCTGCAAAGCAGCCTGGATAATCGGACCCGCGACGCTGTACGTGCCCGTGTAGGTACCGATGCTAACGCCGATGATCAGAATGCCCAGACTGACGAGGATGGACAGCTGCGGCTCGAAGCGGTCAATCACGTAGCGGGAGAATAGCGGGCCAAGGAACATGGGTGTTAGGCCTGCCAGGGAGAATAGGCCGATTGTTACGGTGGGGTAGGTATATGGGGTTCCGGAAAGGAGGAAGGTGAGGGTTGTCCAGAAACTGGTGAAGGTTGCGGAGAGGAAGAAGCCCATTAGGGTTGCTTGGATGAGGACTGGGGAGGTCCAGTAGTAGCCGATTATTGAGTAGAGGATTTTGATGTAGGAGATGTCGGTGTTTGTTGAGGGGTAGTCCGGCATGAAGAGCCAGAGGAGGGTGAAGATGAGGAATTGGAGGGCGAGGGAGAGCCAGTAGATGTTGCGCCAGTGGGAGTATTCGGCTATTATGCCTGAGAGGAGGCGGGCGAAGAGGAGACCTAGAACTAGTCCTGATGATACGATTGATAGGGCTGTTCCTCGGCGAGCTGGAGGGACGAGATCTCCGACGAGAGGGAGCATAATTTGCTGTATAGATGAGCGGGGTATTCAAAGGAATTTTGAGATGTTAGTGCTTGGTGGAGGTAACTCACTGGTGTGACTGTTGTGACTGAAGTCAGAAAACTCAGGACAAGGAATACTTCGAATGACTTCGTGATACATATACCAATCCATAATGTCGCCGTAAGAAGTGTTAGCAGCAACACAAAATGTCTTCTCCGGACTAGGTCTCCGAGTGGACAAAGAAGGATCAGTCCAGTCGCATATCCGGCCTGGCTGCAGGTTGGGATCAACGAGGCTCGCTCATGCGAGACGTCGAAGAATCGAGCGAGCACATCAAGAATGGGATGTGAGTAATATAGATTGGCGACCTGTTCAATGATTTAGCAAGAGCCATGAGAAACTCCTATGACTTGTTCCATACAGTAAAAGTCGCCGAGAACGCGAACAGGATATTCAAAGGCAGGCCGAATTTGCTGGGGTTCTCGGTATTCCACCGACATCGCGGCGGTGTCCACGAGATTATATCGATAAAGAGCCTCCAATGCGATCGCTCGGCTGTTGATTCTTCCGTGGCATTTTGAACGAGTTCATTGCCTTTTTCAACTTCTCCAAGCTGCTGAGGGGGAACGTGGTTTGCCGAGGTGATCGGATAGTTCGACAACTCCGTAGAATTTTCGATTTGAGAGCTGGAAGTTATTTCCACTCTTTGGTCGCTCTCGGCAGTCATTTGCTAGAATGAATGGTATCTCCCTGTCACTAACGTGGGAGGTGAAAGAATCAAGCATTGAGTAGCTGTAAGGCGGGGGATTTGACAAATTTGAAATCAGACTAGAAAAAGTCCCAAAAAGCAAAGAAAAGATCGATTTGATTTGCAGACTAAGCGCCTCGTAGCCAGTAAGAAGGAAGACGTAGAACAAGCTCGTTATCACGTATTCTTGACCCCCGGCTTTTACCATTCCGCACTCGGCCTTGACCCCCACATTCCCGTCAATGATGCGGATAGCTCCCGGCTCCGTCTTTGTTTCGACCATGGGTCTGAACAGTCTGCTTCGTATCCAATGAAATGACTTTGTCGTCTTGATTTGAGGTTCTATCGAATATCATACAGCAACACCTAGCAACTGTCCTCAAATGACAAGCCATTCTTCCGTAACAGCCTTTGCGCTCTTAGCATCGCCGCTCAGCACATGGATACACTGCAGCGCATAAGCGGCCTCGCGAGAGAAATCCTCCACGAATCTTTGGCTGGGCGGCGGAGTTTCCTGGTTGCTATCATCACCCATGACCACATCATCTCCATCCCCTGCAGATTTCTGTTCTTCAAGAGACTTTTGCTTAGCCTCTTGTTGAATCTGCGCGCCCAGCTTCAACACACGATCATACCCATCGACAGCAAGATGAGCCAGGCCCAGAGAATGATAGACGCGAGCAAAATTGAACTCCATCTCCTGCTTTTCAGCTAGAAGGCTGCCTGGCTTCTCCCGAACCCGGCGGTATTCATGCATAAAGGACAGTCCTTGCATGATGAGGTAGTGGCGATTATCAGATTGTCGTTTGAGCGAGTGGTGGATGAATGAGAGTGCGATGGAAAGGAGAACCGCGGGATTTTGGTCGTCCAAGGCATATGCTCGGAAGAAATAGTTGAGGGCTGGGTAGAAACTGTTGCCGGAGTAAAGCATGTGGCCATACAGTACAAGAAGAGCTATGTCCAAGGATTTTGCGGTGATTGGCTCGCCGGCTTCATCCCGTGTTGACAAAGTGGCGCGCTCTTTCCAGACGGAGTGTCGAATAGGGCGAGGGGTATCGACTGGCATTGTAAAGTCTATCGCTTTGATTTGGCGAAGCATGAACTTCATGTTCCCAGAGGAATGGAAAAGAGATCGATGAGGATCGCCAGATAGGTGGCTCAGCATAGAGAAAAGCCGATATGTGTCGGTGACGAACTGGTATTCTTTGATGAACCAGCGGGCTTCATTCGCTAGGGTCTCTTCATCTTGTGCCCGGAGTGCGCATGCTAATGGATGCGTCAGTAGACGGTCATATGGAAATGAACAAGATAACTCACTGAACCAACAAACGTGAATCAATCGTGATTTAGGCTTGGAATGCAACCAGATACTGGCAACTGCTGCAGAATCAAGGGTCTCGTAGGCTTCTTCTATCTCACCTTGTTCTGCTACAATCAGAGCATACTGAAGGAAGATATCCAGCCATTCATCAAAGGGTATCCCGTGGTAGTCAGTGGGGACGGCGCCCTGCAGGGGCTCCGCCGAGACATCTCCTAAACACCATGTTAGCCAGGACTTCTAGGGTCTGCCGGAGTTAACATACCTATAGATTCATGAAGACGACCAGCCATTTGTTGCATTTCATCCATCATTGTTCCATTCTTGGTCTGTGTGGTCTTGCGTTTCGAACCAGTCACATACCCCATGAAGGTGATACTGCGGTCCATCGGATAGAAGATTCGGTTACTCCGGAACTCTCGCAATAGAGCGTCGGCGATATCAAGCCAGTCTTCAGTGGCGCTAACAACACCTTGTTGGAGTTGGGGATGCAACTCCAACAACTTTGCATACAAGTATTGGATATCCTCAGTCCTAGTTGTTTTGCCAGGGGCCGTGGGAGCAGCAGTTGTAAGCGTTGCTGTTGGCGTCGGCTTGGGTGCCAGTTCCCGAAGAGGTTCTTTTTCAGTCATCCTAAACTCCAGAGCAAGCTGCTCGAGTCTCGTATCCTTTCTTCCTCGGCGGTTGCGACTTTCCTGTCGACCAATAAGGACCGCCTCACTAACATATTTCAGGGCCTGTTCGCTCATTCCAAGGCTCTCATAGAGTTTTGCTAGCAGGACTCGCGATTCCATATGGGTAGGATCGTGCTCAGCGACAAGAAGGTAATAGCTCTCAGCATCTTCTATCTTGCCTAGCTGCATGCAGCAATCAGCCATGGCCATGAAGAAGCTGACATCGGCATGCTCAGCGGTCAGCTGGATGGGTGAGTAGTACCGAAGTGCTTCATCCAACAGACCGGCTTGTTTCAGAGCATCTGCCGCCTCTCGAAACAGATCACCATAGTCGAAAACCCGAGCACCTTCGGACTCGTCATCTGGGTTGAGCCATTCGAAATGATGCTGGCAGCCATTTGTCAGTACGTGGTCTTGTTCAATCACCGTCATTTCTTGTATCAACTCACCAGTGCCTCGCTGTGATGCTTGTCGCCCATTTTCAGACGGAAAATGCCCATTTTTATCCGAAGCTCTAATGGAAGACCAAGCCCATAGGTCTCTCGAGGCCACTGGCCCGGAAAAAATCCATCGGTTTTGATGCGCCGGGGTGAATCATCAGCGTCCCATTCTCTGTCGTCGTCTTCACAGGTGTCCCATGTTGTGTCGTCTCCGCGGTGTACAAGCCAGCGTGCAAGGGTCTTCAGCGAGATGAGTCCTTCTTCAGGCTCATTGAGGTAGCCAAACAATTCGACATAGATGTTGAGATCTGACCAGGTGAACTCGGTTTCGTCAGGATCGAGTTTTAGGTAGTGTTCAATACTTTGAGCATAATAATCTGCTGCCTTTTGCACCTCGCCGGTATCGATGCACGTCTCTGCAATATGGCGCAAGGCTCTGGCACTGTGCGGATTTTCTCTGAGTAATCTCTCATACTCGCCTGCAGCTCGGCCATTCTGACCTAGCTCACGAAAGATCGCAGCTCTCTGATAGCGAACGTTGTGGTTCTTGGGATCGACTTCCAGGATGCGAGTGTAACAATAGCCTATATCGTGCAATGCAGACTGTCGATTCTCTCCAGCGCGGTCTAAGATGAGCCGAGCGACTTTCATCCAGACACTGGGGTCTTTCGGCCTGGTATGAGCTCCGTTGAATAGAGCTCTCAAGGCTTTGTCGTCTTCCCCTTGTGCGAGGAAGATCTCCGAGAGCAAAGAATGGGCAGCAAACATCTCGGGGTTAATCTGAATGGCTTTCATTACCAGAGTGACGGCCCGGTCGTAATCCCCATCAATGAAAGCAGACGTAGCCTCCGAATGGAGCAGTTTGAATTCGGGACTGGGCTCTATTGGTTTACGGGGTCCTCGTTTGATGCCCTTCCCACCTCGTGCGCCCCATCTCCCCGAAAAGCGTCCACCCCCACGACGGCGACGCCTGCTTGCGGATGAATCATACTCGTTATCATCCTCTGCAAGTTCGGCATCTGAATCGTCCTCGCTTGCATATTGTTAGCGTGGGCCTGTCCCCAAGCGTGTATTGGCATACATACCTCTCGCTTTCATCGGCAGACATGACAAAGGACTCATCTGAGGAGGCTTCGCCGCCCGGTATGGGGGGATATGATGAGTGAGGGTACCCGTAGTCATCGTCATCCTCCGGGTACAGGTCATTTGCTTCTTCATTTTCGTTCTCATCATTGATGTCGCCTTCGCTTTCGTGGGAAGGCTCAGGATAATGATTGATGCTTTGTGGGTGAGCTTGTTCCCCAAACAAGCGAGGATCAAGCACGGATTGAAGGATGTTCCCAACATCAAAAGATGGATTACTTGAATCATGCTGTGGGGGATCCGGATATGCCGACTCTTCCTGCATTTCCTCATCCAAAGGAACCCCATCTGGATAGCGGGTGGAATCCATTATTTCACCTGACTGGGATCCAACAGGTCACTGTAATTGATTGAAGCAGAAGCTTTCGGCAGTCATCAGTGCTGGGTGATTGAACTGGAGCTCATTATCAAAATCAGCATAACTAGTGCACTGATTCAATCTAGTTCAGGTCTGAGCTCGGCAGATATTCATAGTAACGTCTCCACCAGGCTGAAAAGATATCCTCAGATTAAATGAATAGGAGCACGATTGTCGAGAAAGAACAATCGTAATAGAAGAAGGACAAGAAGAAGAAGAAGAACAATCAAAGCCAAGGTGAAGAATGTTGCTGAGGTTCTCGGGAACCCGTGATCGCTGCCTGAAATAGAAAAGCCTCACCAAACTTCTTCATCCCATCCTTCCTCTCTCTCTCTCCCTTCACCTCTTCTCTCCCTCCCTCCCTTCTTCTTTCCTTTCCCTCTTTCTTTGGGACTCGTGGCTACTCTGTGTTTGACACACTATTGCTTCAAGTCTCTTCCTTTCGTTCCAGACCTTAATTTTTCTTAGGTGCAGCCACTGGACTGGTTTGTGCCATCGACGAGATACGGATCTTTTCAGCGTCATTTGATAGCTTAGGATCCCGGCCTGGATCCTGGTTCAGAGAATTTCTGATTCTATTCGTCACGCAAACTCAGCAGGTTCTGCAGGTGTTTTGCAGTAATCATTTTCTCCCCCCCCCCCCCCCCCCCCCAACTGTATTTACTAGTCATCCTTCCACCACGTCGCTTCAACCATGGCCAGTCATATCATTGGCAACCGCAACAGCACCCCTGAAGCCTCGAACTCGAGCCTTCGTCCTCCTTCCTCCTCGCGGAGCAATCTCGGAACTCACCAGCTGCGGGCGTCGGCAGACATGTCCGGATTCCCGTCGCCGCTGTCCGCCCGAAGCATCCGTCCTGCGTCGGAGGTCTTCTACAACCAGCAAACTCAGGGTCAGAATGCGACGGAGGATGCTCTGGACCGTGCCGCTCAACAATGGCTCTCGGATATTGATCAGTATCAGACTACACTGGAGGAGATGGCAGCTGCCACGCTTGACCAGGATTTCAAGGATGAACTCAGTGCCATCGAGCAGTGGTTCCATGTGCTGAGCGAAGCCGAGCGGACTGCAGCTCTCTATGCTTTGCTTCAGCAGACCACTCAGGTGCAGATTCGTTTCTTCATCCAAGTCCTGCAGCAGATGGCCAAGAGCCACCCAATGGCCAACCTGCTCTCCCCTGCCAACTTCAACGAGAAGGGTATGTTACAACATTGTTCCACATCAATTTTTACTGAATTATGACTAATTTGGCTCTTGTCGTGTAGATGCAATGTCCAACCGTTTGACCGACGCGATGTCGAAGATGAACATTGAGCCCTCTCGCAACTCCCTCGGACGTCCTCCGCCATCCCCGGGCGCGAACCGCAATTCGGGTCTCGATCAGTCCACCATTAATGCGATGTTCCCGGATGCTGCCGCCGCCATTGCGAAAAAGAAGGCCGAGTTCACCCAGCAAACTGGCAACGCGCCTCCCTCGAACCGCAACAGCGCCGTCTTTGACCGCGCGTCGTTCGTGGCGCCAACCATTTCGGCCCCGGACAACAACTCGGACAGCCTGGGCCATGCGCCTGTCTCCCAATGGGCTCAGCGTGGTGCTACAGACGCGCAGCCTCCGATTTCTCGCCCGAAGTCTTCTTCCGGACACCAGCCTATGGGTCAATTCACCCAGTCAGGCATGCGTTCGCCGCTTCCTCAGACTGCGAACAACCCTGGTCAGGATGTCGAGCCGCCCTTGCTTTCGCCCTACAACGTTGGCAACCACAGCTGGGCGTCGATGACCAACACTCCGATGACCGCTACTTTCGGTCAGCAATCGCACCAGAACGCCAGCCACCAGGCGGACATGGCCAATGCCACGGCCATGAAGCTTGCTGCTCTATCTACCGTCAACAATCGCATTGCTCTCGATGATGCACGGAAGTATCGTCGTGCTCGCTCTAATGACGGCCAGGGCAAGAACGCGCATGGAAACCCGACTCTCTCCCAGGGCCTGGCTAGCCCAGGCCTGGTTGGACAGCACTTGGGCGCGGGTCAACTTCTGAACCCTCAGCAGCTGGCAGCTTTGCAGGCTCAGCAACAGGCGGCCATGGCCGGTAGAGGGTCACGCCCGACCTCGCCCGGTATTGCTATGCACGGTGGTGGCTTGGCCCCGATGGGTTTCACCTCGCCGCAGAACAATGGATTCCTGGCGGCGTATGATCCGAACAACCCTCTCATGAACAATGGACTGGGTTCGTTGAACATTGGGCAGTTCGGTCTGGGTAGCGAAGGCTATCTCTCGGACCACTCGGAGGTTACTCGTGGCCGCTCTCCACGGGGCCGCCGTGGCAGCTCGAAGCCCCCCGAGGACCCCACTGACCCGGCTCTTCTGAAGGATATCCCCAGCTGGCTGCGATCCCTCAGGCTGCACAAGTACACCGACAATCTGAAGGACCTGCAGTGGACCGAACTGGTTGAGCTGGATGACAAGGCGCTGGAAGATCGTGGTGTCAACGCACTGGGTGCTCGTAACAAGATGCTGAAGGTAAGCATGGCTACTTCTGATGGTTTATCTTGATCGTTACTAACCTTCACCTTAGGTCTTCGAGCAGGTCAAGGAAGCCCGCGTGGACGGCAAATTCGAGAACCTGGTGTAATGCGATATTTCGGATTTACGGCAGCGATTTCATGGAACTGGCATTTTCTTTCTGCGGCATAATCAAAGGACATGAGAATCAGAAATGTGTATCAACGCTTAAGATGAGAACGGATTTCATGAGGACTTGGGATAATTGGACATGGAATTCGTCTAATTATAATGGTGAAATTGAAAAAGACCATTATTTGGGTTGATTCGGCTTTCTGAATATGTAGTATTGTCGTATCTTCCTCACTGTAGACTGTAGTGGCTTCAAGATGTGTTGAGGGTTGGAATATCACAAGACTATGTGGCCCGTGCGCTTCTAGAAGCTCGTGCCACCTCCTCCGTCTATCCACGCCGAAAGTCCCAGAGCCTCCACGGAATAATTCTACGTCCGTCTACTTCCAGTCTACATCCAGCATTGTCGGTGAATATAAGCTTGCACCAATCTCGACACTCGGCTCCATAACGTGATCACAAGTGCAACGACACCGAACCACAGTTCGCTGCTCGACACTCGACACTCGAAACCAGCATCGACCAGAACACATCGTACGGGAACAACCGACTCAAAACCAGTCACAATGGCACCAACAAAGCAGGAACTCTCCCTGCTAATCAATCCCCTCGTACCCGAGTCTGTCCAACATAATAACCGCGTACGTCTTCCCCCACACATCCACCCTCACTGACAAGACACCTTTCCTCACACTATATCCCCCCTTCAAAACCAATACCTCAATCCCAAACCTAACCACATATATCCAAACCCCATACTAACATGAATAAATAGGTCCTCTCCTCCCTCCACAGCCTAACCTCCTTCCTCCTGGGCCTCTCAGCCGGAATCCTAGCCCTGCAATCAACCTCCGGCTTCGCCTTCTACTTCCTCGGCACAATTCTCGTCTCAGCACTCTTCCACGCCGTCCTCCTCCACCGCTCCGGTGGCGCAGGCGCAGGTTCTTTCTTCCCCGGCAGCAATGCCGGCGAGATCGAGGGGCAACTGGAGATGGATAAGGATGGGATTGTGCGGATGCAGCTTAAGGGTGGGAATGGTAAGATTTTGAGGAAGGGGGCTTGGAGGGATGTTTGGTTTGGGGGTGGTGTTATGAGTGAGGCGCTTTCAGGGTTTGTGCTGGGCTGGGCTGGTGTTGGGGGTGTTTTGAGGTAGAGGAAGGGACTAAGGGTGAGGGTTTAGTTGGGGGTGAAGGGGTTTTGTATATGAATTGATTGTTGGTTTTGACATAACCTACATGCTGGAATTCCATTGCATTGAATGAATACATGTAGATTTCTACCTACTTGGAAGGTCAAGGTATCAGTCCAAGCAGATACACAGTACTTCAATTACGTCTAATCAATATCCTCCCCAACAACCTCATCAACAACTCCCTCAAACTCCCTCACAACCTCCTCATCAACCCCATAACAAAACTCACTAGAAGGAAAAACCCTCCCCTTAACCTCCTCCCGATAAGCCTCCACCCCCCTCCTCGCCTCCCCCCAAACATCCGCATACCTCTTCACAAACTTGGGCAAAAACCTCCCCTCGGGAAAATTCCCCAACATATCAACCTGCACCAGCACCTGACCCGAACACCCATTCCCGGACCCAATCCCAATAGTCGGCACACTCAACTTCTGCGTCACCAGCGCCGCAATCGGCGCCGGCACAGCCTCAATAAGAACCATGCACGCCCCGGCCTTCTGGACCGCCAGCGCGTCGCGAAGCAGTTTCACAGCGGCGGAGGTCGACTTGCCTTGTACGCGGAATCCGCCGAGTGAGTGTTGCCGTTGCGGTGTTAGACCTATATGCGCTACGACGGGGATGCCGGCCGTGGTGATCTTGGAGATTGTGGATGCCATTTCCGCTCCGCCTTCTAGTTTGATTCCCTTCATGTTACCTTCTTTTATCATGCGGATTGCGCTCGTTAGGGCTTGTTCTGGCGAGGTTTCGTAGCTGCCCATTGGGAGGTCTGCGATCTGTTGCAATTGTTAGTACTAGTACATAATTGCGTAGTTATACACAAGGAAAGGTTGGAATGGAATATACTAACTGTAAAAGCACTCTTAACACCCCGACTAACACTCCGACAATGTAGTAGCATCTCATCCAACGTCACAGCATTCGTATCCTCCATCCCCATACCCACCATCGCCAGACTATCGCCTACAAGCACGACCTCCATTCCCGCGCTATCGGCCACATGTGCGCTGGGAAAGTCGTAGGCCGTTAGCATAGTTATCGGCTCGTTTTTCCTGTAGAGGGCTTGCAGGGTCTGGATGGTGACGTTCTTGCGCGTGCTGGCTGTTGCCGAGCCCATTGGTGAGTGTGAGCTGTATCGCGCTGTGCATGGTAGTGGTGTGCGGGAGATGGGGAGGTTTCGGAGGCGTAGGGTGCGTAGGCTGCGCAGGCTGTTGGGTGCTTTTAGAGGCATTTTGGGATTGGCGGTCTGTCTGTATGGGTGTGTGAAGTGTGTGTGTGTGTGTATAGCTGGAGAGATGGGTTGAAGCTCTGGGAGTTAGTAGGATGGACCTCGGGTGTTTGTCAGTTTGACGTTCTGGTGGATGCGGCGTACTTCGCAGTACTTCCAAGGGCCCAAGGGACTATCCTTCAACCGAGGTTACTGTAGGTAGGAGGATTATTAATATTGCCTAGGTATCTCATTTCTCTGTTATTTTGCTTGGACTTATACACTTGTAATTGAAAGGAAATTATTTTGTTGACCCCCGCATCATTCCCCGCAGCGGCGCTGCATAACATCTCTTTAGCGGAGTAAGAGCTGTGCAATGAGCCGGCTACGCAGTACACTGGGCTACATCTTGGTGATTGTATAAAGTCATAGACTAATTCTCTCTGATATCTACGTACAATATCGAGTCCAGCATGTACGCTAGATTGAAATAGGAAGTGATGTCTTATCAGATTTAAGCCTCTGCTGAGGCTCTGCGCACGTTACTGGATTCTTATTGGTCTTGGATACAGTGAGGCTATTCTATGAATGAATCTGCGCAAATCCAAGGTATGAAGTGGGAACATGTCAAGCTAGATTAGACTCATCTAGCTGTCTATCACGGGGGTATCACCCGAAGAAAACAGAAATGCAAAACGCTTCCAAAACAATCTTTTCTATCCAGATCAGAACCAAACCGTTCCACGCAAACCGATGGGAATAGTAGGGAAGAATGTATCACAGCACGGGCTGTGACAAGAGTAATGTGCAACGAAAAAGAGAATCCCAGGTCATATCGGGATATCAGATCAACTCCAGCCAGCGAAGAAACAAAAGATGCAATGCAGACCAAACCAGGACAAAACAACCGATCAGCCCATGTGAGGAATCTCATCATTGGCATTGGCAACGGCACTTTGCAGCGCACTTGTCAGATCGATATGGAAGAAAGGCCGGTTCATGCCCTGCACGAGCGCAACCTTGCGACGACTATACGCCTGACTACTCGTAATATCACGCTGCAGCTTATCTTCATGAATAACATCCGTAGTATCAGAAGAAGAGCTATCAGCCTGCGTCTCGCGCTCGATCGCATTCGAGTCGACCTTAACGCCCGACTCGAGATCCTCGCTCTTGTGGTACGCCTGCTCGCGCTGGTTGGCGACGATCTCGGCATGCGCGGCGGCCGAGGCACTGCCTTCGATCTCGGCCACACTGAAGATAGGCTTCCACCGGTGGAAACCGTCGCTGGCCATAGGGGTCGGGTAGCCGAAGCCCGCGGCTGCCAGGCCGCGCTTCGTCCAGCGGTTGTTGATGTGCGCAAAGTGCCATTGCACTGAGCGGGGGGAGGCGTACATGTCCAGCTGGTTGCGCACGTCGATGAGGTTCTGGATGGAGGTTACGTCGACGTTGTTCACGGAGGAGAAGTCCAGGATGACGGCTTGGAGGAGGGGGAGGTGCGAGTCGTCCTCGGTGTTTTCTTTGCCGCGGCGGGGTCCGGCGTCGTTCCATGGGCGGTCGCCGCGGTTGCGGTAGGTGTTCGGGTTTGTGCGCCGAGTGGCCTTGAAGATGCTTTGGACTAGGTTATCGGTGTAGTGGTTGGCGTTGGGATAGTTGAAGCCTTCGGAGAAGCGGTAGATGAAGATACCGGGGAGAGGTTGCTCCACATCGATGTCGGGGTTGGAGCCATCGGTATGGTTGATGGGGAGGAAGATAGTGCGCTGATGAGTTTCCTCGTCGTCGGAGGGGTCTTTCTTGTTGTTTCCGAGGGACCCGTACTTTCCCTCGCCGTTCAGCAGGTGGTCTCCAACAACAGAGTGGATGGTGACGCGGCCCAAGAATTGACCGCGAGCCTTGGCCACACGGAAAAGCAGGACGGCAACCGACACACAAACGGTGCAATAGATACCGTTCTCGATGGAGCTGAAGACCGTGACAATAACACCGATGAAGAAGATGATGGCATCAAGTGGGGAGACGCGCCAGAACTGGTAGACAACGTTGGGAGGAGTGATCAGATCACCGACAGCGTGAATGATGACACCAGCCAGCGACGCTTTGGGGATGTAGAAGAAAAGAGCGGGGAGAGCGTAGATAGCCAGCAGCACCACGACTGCGGTAATGCAACCAGCAAGCGGGGTGCGCACTCCGGCCTTGGACTTGATGGCAGTGCGTGAGAAAGAACCTGTGGCAGGATAGCCTCCAAGGAAAGGTCCGAGAAGGTTAGTAACGCCAATAGCCACAAATTCTTGGGATGGGTCGATGGTGTAGTTGTTAACGCGGCCAAAAGACTTGGAGATGGCGATGTGCTCGATCAAGAGAACGATGACTGCAGCGGGAAGCTCGCCAACGTAGGCTGAGATGATATGAGAATCCATCCTAGGCACGGCGGCCTGTTGGAACCCACGAGGAACAGTTCCGAGGAGCTTGAAGGCCGGGTTGTCCCTCCGGTGCAAGTTCACAGCGGCACTGATCATTGTGTAGAACAAGATCACAAACACGGTGCGAAGAGTCGAGATGAAGAACCAAATTTTTGCTTTGGAAGGCTGCTTCTTAGCCGCATAAGAGCAAGCTGCACGGATGATATATAGCATTGCACAGGCAGTGACACCCATAGCAGCATCCAAACTTGAACTCGGGAGATGTTTGAGGGTATCAATGATGACCCGATAAGTAGCACCGCGGGTACTGAATTTGTCAGTTTCACCTAGCATGGTCGAAACCTGTCCTGCACAAATGCTAATGGCGGAGCCAGTCATGAATGCCGAGATGGCGGGCAGAGGAATGAAATCGACAATGAATCCGAGACGCAAGAGACCCAAGACAAAGACAATGCCGCCGCAGATGACAGCAAGAGAGGATGCAATCAAGTGGCCCGGGTAATCTGGGAATTCGAGCTGGACCTTGGCGACAATGGTTCCGGTCAGAGTGGACATGACAGCCACAGGCTATGAAGTAGGTCAGTACTATTATTTGTGTTGTGGCGATTCGGCAATTTCACTCACTCCGATGGTAATGTCCTTTGACGTAGCGAAGAACCAATAGATCAGAACACCCATGAACGAGGAATACAGGCCGTATTGCACTTCCAGGTTCGCCAGCTGAGCATAGGCCATACCCTGTGGCACAACCACGGCTCCCACGGTAATACCAGCAATCATGTCACCCATCAGCCATTGCATATTGTAGTTGCCGATCCATGTGAGGAAAGGGAATAAACTGATAAAATATCTGCCGAGTTGGCCTCCAGTCGGCATAATTTCACACAGCCATTCGATACTTGTAGGCTCGGGCTCGTTGTATGAATATGTGTCGACCGTGCCCATGGAAATCGTCGATTCGCCTCTGGTGACAGGCTCGGCGGTAGCTCCCAGAGGATCTCTATAGGGGAGCTTGATACCGAGCCCCTTGGCCACATAGTGGCCCAGTTTGGAACTGGTCCCACGAGTCATGGCTGCTTGTACAGACCGGACTTGACTCGATGAAAAACCGGGAGTTGAAGCTGTGCACAAGGATCACGATTCTGTGCGACAACTGTTGTAAGAACGAAGGTTTCGAATGTGCCAACGACCAGGAATATATACTCCGTATAAAAAAGAATGTCAGAGATCACGCACGCATGGCTTGGTAGGAAAATAAAAGTAAAAAGAAAAAGAAAAAGGCAATGTAAATGTGATGCGTGATTGGGTTCCAGATGGCGCAATATCTCTTGGAAGCTGCCCCAGAAAAGCAAAAATATCAAAGATCTGACACTTTATTTCCCGCTTAACTCGGACAATTGGAATATTCCAGGAAGTCAAGGTCACAGCTGGGAACGAGGAGTGTCTCTCGTTGATATATCGAAGAATCTTAACAAAATCCCCTCAAAGCGATCCCGCCTTGTTTAAGGAACCGGCAGACGAAATTCACGTAGCCCGGATCCACCGATGATCTCAAGGCGATGGAAAGCGCAGGTCCACTCTCTCGGTCTGGATGACGACGGGTCGTGGAGCTGCTCTTTGCATGGGCCCCCCATATGGAGTAAGTATCTACTATCAGAGCAGTTTTGGAAATAGATCAGGGGTTCTCGTTTCGCCTTGTTACAAGCGGCTATTGAACTGTTGATCATAGGTGTTCCCATGACTTGGCTTCACCTCATATCCATGTAGTAACGTCGTATACACCTCTAAAAATCAAAGATCCAGTCCAAAATGAGGATGACTAAACCGGGGGATCAGTCCCGATGAGGACAAGCATGTCAGTGCCAAGAGAATCATCCATGTGTGGGGCAGAATTTGACCAATCAGGAATTGTACAGAACACGCAATCTCAAGCTGAGATGATGAAAGAGAAGAATTCCACGTTTTATTTCGGGGGAGCTGATTAACTTTATTCCCGACTCCACTTTATGTGTGCCACTTTATTTATGGGTCATGCTTCCGACTCACACAATAATAGTTATTGTGTAGTTTGCGAACATAACGACACACGGATGTCGTCGACTCGGATCTTCAGCCCGCCAACTTATCTATAACCTTCGCAGTACTCCGTAGAATGTCAAAGTAGGTTGGTCGATGAAAATCAACGTCTGGACGGAGTCGAACATTGCATCTACGGAATAACTACACAGTACGTACACTGTAGTTAGGACCACCTAACGTTAAGTACGGAGTAGAAAGGAACTTGGAGGTACTCTTCAAATGAGTCGGCCATATTCTGTCGACTAGAGGACTCCTGGAAACTGCAATCACAAAAGAAATAAAGATCTTCTCTAAATGAACTATGTACTGTCCTCCGTAGATACTCCGTACATGCAACAAACAGTGTAAACTGATCATCGACCCCAGTCTCGTTACGGAATAGCCTGGCACATTATGGCTTGGCAGGGGTCTGTGTCACAGTGTAAGCTACACCATGAGGCGCATTATTATGCATCGCTGACAACACAACGTAGCTTCAAAGTTGCCTAGACGGGACTTAATTAGCTTATTTCAGTCTGACAGTCGTCATTATCCTTCGGGATTTTGAATCTCGGCTTTATTGAAACTACATAAGCGCACGAACCTCGAGCACGCCATTTGCTTGTTCCTTTCTTCATTTGCTTGTTTTGTCTGCGTTGGCTGGTTGCATCTTATGTAGTATGTGCATCGTGATTCGTATACGAGGTCTACTTGGAATAAGGTCGTGGTTGTGGGGAAAGGGGCCGAGGCAGTGGGTTGGCTACCATGATCTACTGGTTTCACGATCGACTAGTATCAACTCTTGAGCTGACACTGTGACATGAATGGATTCACAGATACCATTTCTCCAGAGTCGATCACAGAAACGCTGAAATCTACACGGCCATTGGATGAGCCCCAGATCGGCATGATATTGGCTAAAGCTTCCAAGGTTGAATATGTACAGTGTACCTATTGAGGACAGGTGCGCGAAACCTCGGGCTATTAGCTACCTTTAGTATCCCTCGTGTAGTAGTGACCTTCCAAGGTAGCCAGCTCCACCATCGCATAAGGACCCTGGGGACTATGAGCTATCTTGTTGTTCTCTACCCAACTTCCAGTCACTCCTACAACTACCGACATCTACACATCTCAAGACATAGAACCATCCATATGGGCAAATGCATGCATTATAACAAGCCAGAATGTCTATTCGAAGGTCATCATCAAAGTGCAGGCTAACAAACAAAAAGGAAAAAAAAACACTCCATCCAACTCGCACCATGCACGAAGCCAGGAAGCGTCCGTTGCAAGGGCCAGGCCCGCACCATGGTCTCGTCTCGTCTCATCCATCTTCAGCTCATGACTCTTTTCCATCATCACAACTCCGATCCTCGACGCGGATCCGATTCCCATAAAAAGCAGAAATGGGCGAAGAACATAACAAAGCAATTGGAATCCAGGAACAGACCCCGTATGCAAAGGAAGGAAAAACGGACTGGACACGCGACAGGAAGCTGAGAAGAGAAACAGGGGGAGGTGGACACCGAGAAGATAAAAGAAAAGAAAAAAATGATATCTTCCAGGTCTTCGCAGGAAACGCCATTACAAAGCAGAAAGAAAAGAAGAAAGCTTCCCCGCGTCATCGGGACTAACGAGGGCCCCCTTCACATGGTATCATAAGCGAAGATTTTCATCACTGGCCTAGCGTCATCCCCCAATCACGGTTTGGAATTGTCTCCGGAATCCTTTTACTGCGAGGCGCACTGCACCCGCTCGGCACCTGCGGGGACGTCATCATCATCCTCGTCCATAGCGCCAGCAGCGCCGTGGGCGCGGGCCTGCTCGTGCTCGTTGCCGGGCTCCTCCAGCTCAAAGTCCTCGACCATGGCGTCGGCCGGGGGCACGGTCTGTTGCTGGCGGGGAGGCAGAACCTTCTCCAAGAGGTCCAGGTTCTGGAGCTGGTCCTTCTGGGGGAACTTGACATCGAACTTGATGTACAGGTTGCCGTGGTCGTGGTGGCGGAAAGAGGGCATACCCTGGCCGTGGATGACCTTGATGGCATCTAAACACAATATGGTTAGCAACAGATCCATGAATGTCGCAAAGGTTTAAGAGAAAATTAACGTACCAGGAACGATAACCTCGCCAGGGTTGATGTTGACGGTCATCCACCGGTCATCAAGGTGCTCAATGTGAACAACACCGCCGGCAAGAGCGGTAAGCAAATCGATCTCGGCTTGGTAGAACAAGTCGTCACCCTTGCGCTGGAAACGGGGGTGGGGCTTCTGTTCAATCTCAAACACGACATCGCCGGGCTGAACACCAGGCATCTGGTCACCCTCGCCGCGGAACTCAATCTTGTGGCCATCACGAACACCTTTGTCGACGTGAACGTGGAGAACCTTGCGCTCGACAACGGTCTTCTTGCCGTTACACTTCTTGCAGCGATCCTTATCACGGACAATCTCACCCTCACCGTTACAGTCAGGGCAGACAGTCTGGAAGCGTTGGATCATAGGACCCATCTGGCGCATCATAGTCTTCATACCGGCACCGTTGCAGCCACTGCACTCCTTGACAGCTCCCTCCTTGCCGCCGCGGCCATCACAGCCAGCGCAGATAACAGACTTCTGGAGTGCCAACTTGGAGACCTTGCCCTTGTAAATATCCTCGAGGTTAACCTTGTGCACGTGGTGGATCGTCCGGGCCTTCTTGGGACCTTGTTCACGCATGCCACCGCCGAACATTCCGCCAAAGGGACCGCCGCCGCCGCCGCCGAAGAATTGAGAGAACAAGTCCTCGGCATTCATGCCACCGCCAGCTCCGCCATGTTCCAAGCCCTCCTCACCGAGCTGGTCATACAGTTGACGCTTCTCGGGATCGGAGAGACACTCGTAGGCGTGCGACAGTTCCTTGAACTTCTCTGCGGCGTCTGGGTTGTCTGCGTTCTTGTCTTCACGAAGGGATATGTCAGTTAACAGTCCAGATATGCTAAAGTCATCTCGGAATAGTCAACATACCAGGGTGGTACTTGAGGGCGCCCTTCTTGTAGGCAGTCTTGAGCTGAGCCTCGGTACAGGTGGGGGAAACCTATATCAAAGAAACATCTGTCAGTACTGAAGTGAAGCACGCAATAAGCCGACTTGAAGATCAGCCGCTCTGGTTCAACATACCCCGAGGATGTCGTAAAACTTTGTTTCCTTGACCATTGTGAAAATATGCGGGGAATCAAAGGTGTAGAAGGAAAGATCGATTAAGTATTCCCGTGGAATTCAAATGAAGCGGAGAATGGAGGGTAGACAGAAGCACCCGAAAACTTCAGGCAGAGATTATTTGAGAAATGCCAAATGGACAACAATTGCGAGTCACTGAGGTCCTGGCGGTAGAAAGGTGAGAGAGTGGAGGGGAAAGAGAAGGAGGACGAGATGGTTATCTGAACAATAATAATGGAAGCCAAAAAAAAGGCTGAGTAACTTTCCGAACTTTTTGCCCAGGCACCTGTACAAGACCTGTAAAAGAACCAGATAAATTACCAGAGGTAACTGAAGCCGGGGGTTTTCACACTAATATTCTTTGTTGTTGCTTTGAACACTTTTGCTAATTTTCAATTTGAAACTTCTATTTTCCCCCTCAATACATGGATATTCTTCATATTCTGCTATTCTGGTGGCTTCTACAATATCCTGCACATGCTGAAATGGCCCGAGCGCTGATTCTACGGGATTCTGCGGCCTTCGGTGGTCTTCATTGGTTTTCTCCGTGCTTCCATGGAAGTTTTAAATACTGCTGACTAACGTTTATGCCATCCCCAAGCGCCAGAAAGAAGGCGTTGATTCTATGAAAAGATAACCGAGTGCCTAGTTGCTTGTTGGTTAAATGGTATGAAGTTCAATCACTGACATGTACTGCGTACGTCGGCGCATAGACTACGAGTTTGGAGTCCATTTTACCTACTCCGTATACAAATTTCAATACTGACCCCTGTAAATATGTACCGGTATTTGGCAATGCAGAAATTTCGATGCCTCGCCACTTATCAGCCACGCAGCCACAGCTATCTTATCGATAAGCCGAGGGGAAGGTCGGGAGTCTTCACGGTCCACTCGGATCGGATCAAATCATCAGAGGGGTTCGGCAGTTTCCGATAAAAGTCTTGGGAGTAGATATCCGTAGATTGCTCAAATTCCTTATCTTGTTTCCCCTTCATCCTCAATCTCTTTACTCACCCACACATTCACAATGGAACAGGATCCCGGATTCATTGCTGCCGTCGAGGAGGCGAAGCTCGGTCTCTCTGAAGGAGGTGTACCTATCGGTGCCGCCCTCGTCTCTAAGGATGGCAAGATCCTTGGTCGTGGACACAACATGCGCGTACAGAATGGAAGCGCCATCTTACATGTCAGTACAGCTTGATAGGGTCTCAATTGGCGTCGATCAATAGATACCAGATCACCAATGTCCTTGCTAAACTCGAGCTAACTCTTCCAAGGCTGAGATGTCCGCCCTCGAGAACTCCGGCCGTCTTCCTGCCTCTGCTTATGAGGGTGCTACTATGTACACCACACTCTCGCCCTGCGATATGTGCACCGGTGCTTGCATCCTTTACAAGGTGAAGCGCGTTGTCATTGGCGAGAACAAGAACTTCGTGGGTGGTGAGGAGCTTTTGCTTAACAAGGGCAAGGAGGTTGTTGTCTTGGACAACGCCGAGTGCAAGGAATTCATGGGCAAGTTCATTAAGGAGAAGCCTGAGCTCTGGTATGTTATGTCTGGCGCTTGGTTGCTCGCAATTCATGAAACGAGTTTCGATCTGCAGCTGCATCAGAGATTCTCGGCATTTGTTATATCAATACTAACCATAGTGTCTACTACACAGGAACGAGGATATCTCTGTCTAATCCCATAAGCGCTGCGTATATAATAAACGTGATCACCCCAATAAACCAACAATATTCGCACTGGAACTTTTAGATTGCAATGCGATTCTCTGTAAATTGAGTACGGGAAGAAGCCGACTGTATATTTTAAGTTTGAAACACAATTTAAACGGTCAGCCGGTGGATCTCCTCGAAGAAGAACTTGAGGTGCTCGGGGTCGACAAATGGTGTGACACCTATGATAAGAGAAAATTAGCTAGAAGATACGCAGTCCAAGGCATGAATGTCAACTAACCGTGACCCAGGTTGCAAATCCATCCCTGCTTGCCCTTCTTGAATCCCTCAACCATAGGTTCAACAGTAGCAGTGATGGCCGGGCGGCCACCGTAGAGCATGCCAGGGTCCGCATTACCCTGGATAGTCACACGGCCGTTGGCAATGCGCATGGCCTCAGCGGCATCATGCAGCCAGTCCAGGCCGACAACATTGTAGCCCGAATCGCAAAGGTCATCCAGGGCGTACCAGGCGCCCTTGGCAAAGACAGTCATCGGCACAGGCTCCAAGCCCATCTCCTGCAGGCGCTTGGGAAGGTTGGCGGAGATGTGACGCAAGTAAGGAAGCGAAAACGACTTGAACGAGACAGGGGACAGCTCGCCGGCCCATGAATCGAAGACCTGGACCATCTGCGCTCCGGCGGCAACCTGGAGGGCCAGGTATTCCACACAGATCTCGGCGATCTTCTGCAACAGAGCCTGCGCCTCGGTAGGGTACTTGTAGACCCATTTCTTGGACTGCACGAAGAGCTTGCTGCCACCGCCTTCAACCATGTAACACAACAGCGTCCATGGGGCACCACAGAAGCCGATCAGGGGCACCCGGCCCTTCAGCTTAAAGCGTGTGAGCGTAATGGCCTTGTACACGTAGTCTAGCTCTGCCTTGACATCCACATTCTTCGCCATCACCTTCTCGTATTGTCCGTCTGTCGGCGAGTCGAGCGGCTCGGGGAAGTGAGGTCCTTTTTTGTCCAGCATCTCGACGACCATACCCATGGCCTGGGGAATGACTAGAATATCTGAGAAAATGATCGCGGCATCGATAAGGCCTTCATAACGCTCAATTGGTTGGAGGGTGAGGGTTGATGCGATTTCAGGTGTGCGGCAACATTCGAAGAAGTCACGGCCGCCCTTCGCCTCATGGTATTCGGGGAGGTATCGGCCAGCTGTTGAACAAGTAAAAAGAAAATATCAGAGAATTGTCCTCCATGGCCAGGCATGTGAAGGTCTGACTTACCCTGTCGCATAACCCATATCGGAGGACGCTCCACCTTCTCGCCTGCAATTGTCAGCTTCAATTTGAACGGAAAAACACGGAATTGACGTACCCCGAGCAGCCCTCAGGATCAAGTCGTTCTTCAATGGCTCAAATTGTTCCTGCATTATGTTGATGGGATGTGTAAGTGGGATGGAGGAGGGGCATTGGAAAATACAATGTTGAAGGTTCTCCGGGTGCCGCGGCCCCGCGGTCGATCGGGGAAAGTTGGAGGGTCCAGCTTCCACTGTGTATACGCCCGGGCAGTTCATTTCTTATACGCTTTAGCCCGTATTCACTACATTCTTTTCCATTTGGAATAATCAATTATTCAACTTTGATATCCGCTCAAGATCCGCCTAAATTAGAAAGAAATCACAAAGGTTCGGACAATAGGGAAACCAATTCCAACCAATGTATATTTTGGACAGAGACGGGACGACCTTGAATATGCTTCACAGCTGGGTGCAATAGGTTCTACCTACTGCAGGTGTCAGCCACACTGGCAGACCTCGGGAATAGCTCGAGCGGTATTATGGGCATATCATTGCATTCGACGTGGACTCTAATTAATTTTTTGCTGTACAATCATCAAGCATGACTTTACTCGTCACCGTCCCCTCTCTTCCGCAGGTTGCCCAAGCTGTAGATCGTCTCATTGAGCTCTTTCTTCTGCTTCTCCTCCAATGACGCAGGGAGACTTTCGGTACCCTCAGAATTGATTTTGAGCACCATTGAGTCCTCTACAGGGGTCCATTTTCCGGAAGTGAACCGGAAAGTTTCAAGAAGAGTTCCAGAAGACGACCTCCAAGCACTCGTCGACTCGGATTCTCGCAAGGTATCCACAGAAACGAGAATGGAGCCCTTGGAGTCGATGCCAGTCAAATCAATGACGTTTCCTGACAGCTGGAGGGTATCTTGTTGGGATATGGTGTTGTCATTTGCGACGGTGTAGCAAAGAAGCTGTGAAGACCTGCTCTTGAAGTTAGCATGCTGTCACATATCACAAATCTAGATTGCCAACATACCCTTCACGTGCAACGAAGATGGTATTCGTCGCTTCGGCACTGTCTGCCGTGGGTCCGAGAGAAACATCCCAAATGCCGCTCACAGTTGTCTCTCCTTGCGATCCAGGCAGCTCGACCTTCTGCAATATCTGGTTCTCAAGCCAGTTCCACACAAGCAGATAGTTGTCGCCACCACCTGAGATGAGAACCGTGGGATCCCACGAAGGGATGCAAAGCTTGCTGACGAATGAACTGTGGCCAAAGCAGAACTGCTCAATTACATGTGCTTGGGGAAGACCACGAGACACACGGATGTGCTCATCACGATCCGCAGTCAGAATGTAGGTCCGTTGGCCAACGGTCGAATCCGCAGGGCGGGCGACGGAAATGACATCCGTCAACAACGAAACATGACCGATAATAAGTTGATGTTCAAAATTGAGTACAACTCGTTCTTCTTGATTGGTCTTCGACAATGCAGCCTGTCGCATCTGTTGCTCCAAAGATTCAAGATTGCGTTTGGTGTGCACAGTGAGATTTGTAGCAGCAGGTTCATATGGCTTCGCCTTCGGCTGAGGCTTCACGTATTCTCCGCTTGGAATGACAGGGAAAGTGTACACATCTCCAAATTTGTCACAACACAAGATATTCTTCTCATCAGGTGTCAGAGTGAGTGCAGAGAGTTTCTTGGGCATTGTACTATACATGATGAGCTTGCCGACTTTCCACACAGAGTCATGATCACTTACCGCGCACTTAGTTGCTTGAGCTTGCCATCGTTGTCCAAATTCATGACCCGAACACATTTGTCTTCGGAGGTCATGATAATTACATATTTGCCCTGGGCAATAGTCAAGAGAGGAATGTTCGTCCAAGAGTTGGAGGCTTCTTTTTTGCCCGAATCTTTAGACTTGGGTTCCTTCTCGCCATCTTTCTGATCCTCGTGCGAAGACAACTTTCTGCGCTTCTCTGGTGGGCCTTGGCTTTCGCTCTCAGATGCGGGAGCTGCATCGGCGGTCTTATCCTCCGCACTGGCATCTACTTGAGGCCACACATCCAGGCGCTGACCATTGGACGCATTGTAAGAGTAGAGATTGCGACCAGCAGTTGCAATAACAACGTCTGATTGGCCTGTTGACTGCCGGTTGACATAGCGTAGACAATGGAATGGGTGTTGGAGACCAGCCATGATGAGATATGTTCCACAGAGACGAATGACAGAGCTTTCTCAATTGACTTGGTCCATTAACTTGCAGTTTGAAGACAAATCAATCAAACTCCAGAGATCCTTCCCATCGAAAGCCATGCTCGTTGAGCGGGTCTACTTTTTATCATCACGTGACCCACTAGCGAGCGCACCACCCAAAAATTGAATTTCCCCAAATTCGGGTAGCTCTTCTTTTCCTCTCTTCATTAACCACGACACCAATCGACTTTCCCTTAAACAACCTATCTTCACCGAAATCAAGAAGAAATGGGGGGCAAGTCCGCATCCAAGGCCGCTTACTTCGAGAAGCTTCGCTCGCTGTATGTACTCAATGGCTTGCTGTCAATTGCGACAAAATTATTAACATTTTTTTCCCTCCCAGTCTCGACACGTACAGCACCATCTTCATCGTTGGCGTTGACAATGTCAGCTCTCAGCAGATGCACGAGATCCGTATCTCCCTCCGTGGAGAGGCCGTCGTCCTGATGGGTAAGAACACCATGGTTCGTCGCGCCCTTAAGGGTTTCGTCGCTGAGAACCCCGAGTGGGAGCGTCTTCTGCCTCACGTCCGTGGTAACGTTGGTTTCATCTTCACCAACGGTGATCTCAAGTCCATCAAGGAGAAGATCCTTGCCAACCGTGTCGCTGCTCCCGCTCGTGCCGGTGCCGTCGCTCCCGACGATGTCTGGGTTCCCGCCGGTAACACTGGTATGGAGCCCGGTAAGACCGCCTTCTTCCAGGCTCTTGGTGTCCCCACCAAGATTGCTCGTGGTACCATCGAAATTGTGTCCGACCTCAAGCTCGTTGAGGCCAAGACCAAGGTCGGTGCTTCCGAGGCTACCCTGCTCAACCTGTTGAACATCTCTCCGTTCACCTACGGTATGACCATCGCCCAGGTCTACGAGAACGGTCAGTGCTTCGGCGCTGAGGTCCTCGACATCACCGATGAGCAGCTCCTCTCCGCCTTCTCCAAGGCTATTGCTACCATCACCGCTGTGTCCCTGGCCACCAACTACCCCACCGTGCCGGCCACCATGCACTCTCTCATTAACAGCTACAAGAAGGTCCTCGCTGTCGCCATCGAGACCGACTACAGCTGGCCCGAGATTGAGGAGCTCAAGGACCGCATCGCTAACCCCGATGCTTACGCTTCTTCCGCTCCCGTTGCTGCCGCTGCCGCTACCGCTGGCGGTGACGCTCCTGCTGCTGCTGCTCCCGCTGAGGATGAGGAGGAGTCCGATGAGGACATGGGCTTCGGTCTCTTCGACTAAGCGCACCCTCCTTGACGGGATACGAATGCCATGTATTAGATTTACTTGGACCAGTGCTTGAGATAGCAACTGGGAATGAAACCTTATGACTTGGCAATGGATTTCCGCTGGGAACCTAGAATTCGTATGATGGACGTAGCTACGCCCATTATTCGATTCTACTGAATTGGTGAGTTCCTGCTTTTTTTGTTCTTCCTTCCCCTTACACACACACACACACACACACACACACACACACCATCACCCTGGCGGATGATTATACCTTTTTAACCCCGAGCATTTACGCCCCCCTCCGGGGCGCTCTGAAGATTAAAAATATGCAACAACAACACTCTAATTTTTTGCTGACGCCACACCTTCACCCTCACGATCTTTTGACAATTGACTCATCTGCAACGTGAACAATTCGCTAACTCGTGACAAGAATACAGATGCCCTTCACATGACCTGCAATAGTAGTGCCGATGTCTGGTCGTAGTAGACAATCGTGTAGATTGGAGACCGTCGGAAGTCCTGTTCGCTATCTCGATTGGGTGACTGCCGTAATAGATGGTTACTCAATACAAAACTTCCTCAACGTTTCTTTCATGGTTGTAATGCTTATGCAGTAGATGGCGCCCTCGAGGCTGGATAATTTGCCATAGATGATGCATCAATGCTTCATTCAGCACGCCTTGCCACCTCCCTTAGCTCTATGTGCTGTCTGCAACGCCTCGCTACGAAGTTCCATACAATCTAAGAAAATAACCAAGAAAGGTTTTCGAGCATTCATGATAACTGTTACCGCCATTTCTATCTAAACACAACCTAATAGTTGGTCAGGACTGCCGGCTTCGTGATGTGCTTGAGGTTCACGGTGTTTTTGGAATTGCAGATAGCACACCGTGACCTCGTAAGTAAGAATATCTTTTCTTCCTTCTGTCCAACACGTGGATTTGGTCGGAGAATGGATCGACGCCATCTCTCGTCTGACAGACAGGAGAGACAGGAAAGGCCCAATACCAGCTGTCCCCTTGACCCTTCGGCCCTCGGCGACCCTGTTTCCGCCGTTGTCGCACGGAACTCCCATATTGCCCAGGGGGCCTGGTGGCCAAGGTCATCAGAGGGAGGTTGGCATCCCCCACGCCCACCACGGTAAGTCTGTAGGTGTACTGCTTCGTCCCCTTGACGTGCTTCAGTGTGATAAGCTCCTGCAGCTGGGAGCCCACTTCCTCCATTATTTTGATTGTTTCACCGGCGTGCTGGAGAAGGTACTCCGAGAAGAAGGGCTGCTTAGCTGCTGCTGCTGCAGCCGTTAAGAATACCTTTGAGGTGACTTTCAGAAATTGCTTCGATTATCTTTGACCTTGCTTCCTGGTGCCTGAATTTGATCAACAGGACATGTGACTTCAGGCATCGCTGGTTCGTTTCGTTTGGCACTTCCATCAGACAAACAGGACTGGGAAGAGTGTCTGTTAAGTGGGAGAAGCAAAGTGGGACTCCAGGGACACCTGAGCAGGTTGAGGCCGGCTCTACACAATATCGTCCCCCGCGCCGATCGGCGGAAGACCCGACAGATCCCTAACCGAGTGAGTCGGCGACAGCCCGTCTTCGGTCGAAAGAGTTTGGACACTCCTGAGGGGATTGTCGGACCGGCCTGTCCCCGGTCGAAACACTTTGAAGACTCCTGATGATACTGTCCAGCTGCTGCCGCTGGACCGGCCCGACCGGGAAGTGGATTAGGATCAGGGCCTCGAGGGCCATGACCCGCTGGGTCAACTCGCGAACCTCTTTCCGAAGCCATCGGTTGGCACTTCCATCAGACAAACAGGACTGGGAAGAGCATCTTTGAAGTTGTAGAAGAGAAGTGGTACTCCAGGGATACCCGCGCAGGTTGAAGCCGGTATCGGTTGGCCCTTCGATCAGAGAAGCAGGGTTGGGAAGAGTATATTCGAGTTGGACATCCGGAACCGTGCAGTGAGGCTGGCACGCTGCGGTGTCCATGTGGCGTGCACATTAGGGTGCTTCATTGTGATGGCCATGAGTAATGACACAAGCGAGGCATTTACGACTTCCTCGTTGACTTGTCCGAGGATAGCAAACCGGTCCCGGATGTCGAATGCCACCTCGCTCGGGCTGGTTCGAGGGGGGAGGACCGCGCCCAACCATTTTGCACGCTCGGTGGCAGAAGCGCAGGCATGAGTGTGCCCACAGTGTCTCAGTGCACGATTCGATAGGCAGAACCCACTCATGAAGGTGGGTGCTCGAGTGTTGTCACCGTCGCTGTCGCCGTCGCCGTCTCCCCATGGGAGGGGAGGCGAGACCTGAGCATCACGCTTACGCATCACGCTCCAAGCTAAAGATTAAGGCGTGGTTAGATGATGTCGAGGGCAAGGAAAGAGAAGAAAGTGCTTACCTCTAGCCCAAGGGTCTTGAAAGGGAGGCATACCTAGGTGCTGAGGCCAGCTATCCCATTCACCTCAAAGACAGCCACCTCCAAGCCAGATATCTCCTCAAGCCAGCCACAGTCAAGCCAGCCATTTCAGTAGCTGGCTCTCGAGTTACGCGTCGTGTAGAACCGTGATGGCCCTTCTGTTGGACGAGATTGAAACGTGGGGTGTCCGTGTGAACTGGGAATCCTTAAAGATGGGTTGTGCGCAATGCACGTGGGTGTGGATAGGTGGTGGGTTCCGTGTGAACAGGCATACGACTGGTGCTGGCGCGGTCGTATGTGTAGAATCTAGATTGAGGAAGACTACCTACCTACTTCAGGATGGGTAGGTAGGTAGTTGATGGAAGGAAGTTGAAGGAGAGGGGAGGGGTGGTGGGTTAAATAGGTATGAGGTGGAACCTGTAAAGTGAGAGAAGCAAAGTGAGAGAAGTAAAGTGAGGGAAAGTAGAGAGGGAAGGTAGAGAGGGAAGGTAGAGAGGGAAGGGGACGAGATGAAGAGTAACTAGAGGGATCACATGAACAGAATACCATCTCTGAACCGTCCTCTGCAAGGTAGCAATGTGTAGACAACTATAAACATGTGACGAACAAATAATATGGATTTGGTATTCAATTCATTCAGACCAAGTGGTATACAACAAAAATAGGCCCTCCGAGCATCAAATGGCCCAGAAACAACCAAAGAGGCCAAAATTATCCACAAATGATATTCAATCCAGCCAAGACATGGCCGGAGAAGAACAATAGAGATATCTGACAGAGTACTATGTCCCATCCTCAGCACTCCGTCCAAACCGGCCTCCAAACCCGCCGAGATCACGACGGAAGAATTTGCCAATGTTCTTCAGGTTCTCATTGAGATTCCCCGTAGTGCTTTCGGACGGCGTGTGCGCATGCTGAGGCTGTGGGGTAGAGCTGGTCAGGGGCGGGGACATGATCTCCGATGGGCTGGTCAGACCAGAAGTAGACATAGCTGCCCCGGTAGTGCCCAGGTTGCCGAGACTGGGGTTCCCGAAGCGGTCGACGCCGTCTTTGGCGGCGGACATGATGGCAGATCCGAGCATGGAGGCGTCGAATCGTGAGGGCATGACGGCGGCGGCACCGCCTAGACCGAGACCCTGGGAGACGGAGCCGGTTGCTGTGGCGGTTGGTCCTTGGAGGGATGCAAGAATGGGGTTGCTTTGCTGCAGGCTTGAGGCATAGCGGTCTGAGGCACGGTGGAGCTGGAATAGCTCCACGAGGTGATTTTGCTCTTGGCGGCTGCGGATGCCTTTGAGATCGAGGATTTTGCGGAAGTTGTTGTTGTTGCGGTCGGCAATGTGAATGAGATATGCTTGTACAAGAGCTTCCGGGGGTGACGGCCGGACTTGGAGGGTTTTGAGGAGAGTTTCGATTTTGAAGAAGCTGCTGTTCACACGTTTTACGAAGCCGGCTGGCGCTGGAGCAGGCAACAGGGACGTAAGTCCGCTCTTGAGAGTATAGGAATCCAGAAGCATCTGAGTGGAAGTTAGTACGAGAAAGACTAAACGTGACCGACATGGACTTCATACCTGTTCTGCGCCAGTTTCGGAAAGAGGCCTGCATTGGAAGACGTTGGCGATGTATTGGCTTGAAATATGCTCTACCAAGTGGTCGGAGAAGGCGCGCGCATATTGCTGCTTGTGCAAATATTGTAGAATCTCAGATGCCTTGTCTTTCGTCAAAGAAAGCATCTCGCCCACGTACGAGCTCTGGTCACTGACAGCCTCCATTCTAGCCCAGGGCGTGTTGCGCATCTCGCGCCAGGAAGGTTCGAGGACGACTTCGACTTGACGCACAAGGCCGCGCACAGCAGCCGATGCAATGCCCATGAAAGAGTCTGCTTGACTTTGCAGATCCACAGACTGCTTCAAGTTCTCATCCAGCCGACTCCTAATCTTCTCTTCCAATTGAGTGCAAGTCGTGTAGCAGTAATCGGCAGTGTTCAAAACGGAGATGTAATCCTCCACGGATGGCACCCTGGACGGCGTGTGGGCTGTCTGTCGTTCACTTATATAATTGAGAAGAACTTGCTGGGCATATTGATCCAGGTATTTGGCGAATACCTTGGCCAGCTCCACGAGACTGCCCCCGGTTGAGAGCTTGGCACATTGCTGCAAAGCGTGTCGATAGAAAGTGAAGAGCTCGGTCGAAGATGAGATCACGCTGTGAGAGTTGAATTCCTCATCTGGTACTTTGAGTGGTTGTTGGCGGTACTTCGGTAGCAAGCCAGCTAGCTGCTTGTCCTGCGCATCGACCCAGACACTAAGATATGGCTCGAAAGCCTCGGAGATCGACTGGCTGAATACAGGCGGTTCGGCAGAGGCAAATGTATCGACAGACGTCCGCGACGAAGGGGCGAAGCGGCGCTCAAGAGAATGCTCAAAGTCAAGTGTCTCCTGCAAGCAGGAAAGTAGCAACTTGACATCAATTGCCTGTCCGCTGCGGACGGACCGGGATAATATGCCTTTGAAATCTTCTCTTGTCCCTTCACAGAAGACATTGGCCAAGATCTCATTTACCCTCCACGAAGGCGGGAAGATAGCCGCATTCTCCTCGTCATATATCTTCAATATCCGCCGGAACCAGGAATACCGGCGGGAGATGTTGTCCAAGGACCCTGCCTCCTCATTATTCCGGAACACCTGCCGGTATTCGCGGAGCTGTGTATTACAATACCAAGTCACCAATCGGGACCGTGCGTGTTCGCCCAGAGCGTCTGCGACCAGACACGCCTCCGCGAGCGTCGCGCGTCTCGCGCCAACCTCCCCCTTGGCGAAAGCCAGCTCAAAGTCCTCGCAGACCTGCTCCTGCAAATCTCGTTGTATGTCCGCGACGTTCCGGCTGAGCATAGCAATCTGGTCAATCGATCGGTATGACTTGAAATGGGCCATGAGCTGAATGACAGCCTGGAGCAGCTGTGCACAGTCTCCGTACTGCCGCGTTCGACTGAGGGCTTGGAGCTGGTCGTACGCGGTAGTCAGCATCTGCAACCGCTTGAGTGCCGTCATCGACAGAGTGAGATTCTTCTTTGCGTTATCGAGTTGCTTGATGTCGGCTGTCATGTCGGTGATAGCCTGCTCCGTCTTCATCGCGCGCTCCCGCACGTCATCAATCTTCTTGAATAGCTCTGACAGGTCAGCCTTAGCTGCCTGGATTCGTTCCACGCTGTCGGCATTGGAGGTAACCTGCTCTTCCACCAGCTTGCCGATGTTATCGTCTAGCTCATCTTCGCATTCGTGCAGGGCGTCGGAGATCTGAGAAACGGAGGAGAGGGTGGATGGGTGGGAGAAAACGGCATTCAAGTGTTCAATCGGATCGTAGTCCACTAGAAAGGTCTTTGAGTTAGCATACACAGTGAGCACGAGGTCAATTGTTCCGCACCCGCATCCAAGGCGTCGAGGCTTGGTTCCTCGTTAGGCGACATGTGGCCGGTAGTTGTGGCAGTGATCGTCATTCAATCAGCTGGCTAGAATCATCCTGCCCTTGGTCTCGACTTGGGATTTAGTGAGGCCAATGCGGAATTCGCGAGATGGAGAGGTGGAATGGGGGGAGTCGATCGCGGCCCGCATGGCTCTAGCTCGCCAGCTTGGCATCTTCCGCCAACCGCAACCCTAGCTATGGGCGCATGCAGCAGTCAATTCGAATTACTGAAAATCTGCGAGTTTTCATCAAGATTCTAGAAGAAGGAGTAGATCACGCATGGATTACATCATTGTGAATTTCATTTTTGAGGTATTTTGGACATTTGTTCGTTAGGTAGCTGGCTCTGAGGCCGCATGTTCACAAAAAAGATCACCCATAAGATTCGCCAGGCCATGCAAAACGGAAAATAATAAGAACATGATCCACGTAGCCACCCCATAGGGAAACTTGACTAGCTAGGGGACCCGGAGTGGTCTCGAAAGGACCCAGTCGAACCGAATTAGATTAGACGAAAGCGAACAGAGCCCAGGCCGGGGTCTGAAAAACAAAGGCAGAGCAGAGCTCAAGCCGGAGCGAGGAACGCAGTGGGTGGAAGTGCGCCGGAGGCCTGTAACAGATGTTAGTATCATACCATGGCCACTCCAGGAATAGGGCTCGCTTACCTTGAGCTGCTCAAAGTTTTTCCAAGCAAGCTCGGCATCCCAACCATTGCCCGAGAGGGCCATCTGCGAGTATTCAAAGGTCATGCCCGACCTGGCACTCATCTGAGTAACCAGGACCTCCTGCTGGAGCTGAGCCTCGGACTTTCCGGGCTCGGGCAGACCATAAGTGCTGGCAACTGCCGGGGTGGCGGCGGCAGTAGGAACAGTAGGAGGGATAGGAGCGGCAGGAGCCGCAGTGGGAACGGGACCAGGAGCCGCAACGGCGGCCGGGGAGCTGTCCTGGGACATTGCTTGGATCTCAGGGGACCAAGCCTCATGTCCGCCGTATGCGCGCAGGCAAAATATCTCACTGATGACTCGAATGCTTCCAGGGGCTTTTCCGGGACCGAGAATGAAGGTTCGATCAAAGCTGCGAGTCTCGACCTTGCCACCAACGCTCTCCTCGAGTTGACCATGCACCATAAGTGAGAGACCACCGACTCCATAGGGGCTCTGTCCGGTGGGGTCAGGGAGATTAGAAACGGGATGGCATTCGATGAGCCACTGCTCCGCCTTGGCAATGATATCAGGATGGCTAGTGGGCGGGAGCGCGTTGAAGAGTTCACGGATTTGCTCGGTGCCCGTGTAGGAGCGCGACATGCGTGCGGACAGATGGCTGATCTTGTCCAGGTTGCGACTCTTTCTGATGTATTCTCCCCAGCCAGCGGTCTCGGCCTGACTGGCCTTGGGGGCGGTGGTGTTAACGTTCAGCGAGACTGTGGATTCCTCATCGTAGACACTGGCGACCAGGCCGTTGCGGTCAGTGTCGTACGCAGGGAAGAACGAACGAACGAAGTTCTCGCCGATTTGAGAACTGTCAACAAAGTGAGGAGGCAGCACGGGAATGGGTGTCTTCCTCTGAGCAGCAACCTCTTCCGGAGTTCGCACCTGGACGTTGTTCAAAGTTTGGAGCTTGGGGTACCACTTGAGCATTGTGTCCTTGAAATTCGGATCCGAACAGAATTCATTGCCAGTCATGTCGAGGAAAATGAGGTCGCGGAATTTCCATCGCCAACCAAACATCGCCTGGCCATTCTTGATGTTGTTCTTTGATAGATCGAGGTATTTGATGTGGGCGAAGCTTTGAGCGAGAGTCGTCACGGGGGCGATGGAGGTGAGCTTGTTTTCAGCCAGGCTCACACTTTCAACTGCCTCACGTTGCTCAGCTGCAGTCTTGAAACCCTGTTCCCAAACCTTCATGAGGGCAGGGAAGAACTTGGACTCCCTGGAGACTGATTCGAAGATACCCATGGCATGCAGATCAGGATCTTCGCCCAGCTTCGACAAGTCGAGAAGTTTGGTTTGCGGGAAGAAACGTTTTCCGAGGATGGTGGTCATCTTGGTCTTGGTATCGGCAGTCGAGCCCGGAGTTGTGTCAACTGCGGCCAGCTCTCGATCGAGCGCGTTTGCGGCAGTGTAGGCTTCAACGGTGACTTGAGCTCCGGCGAAGGTATTGTTGTTAATCCGAAGCATGTGGCCTGCTAGATCAGGTCGAACAAATACCACAAGAGTATCACCCTCGACGCGCGACTAATCAAAAGTTAGAGAGGTATGGCAATTGGAAGCCACGGTCACTGGAAGAAGAAGCCAGAATGTGTGGATCGTCGTGGTGTAGGAGAACCGTTCTCGAGGACAGGAAGCCACGAATGCGAGGGAATGTCGAGGTTCGATATCGGTGGTGACCGCCATTGCCCAGAATGGGGACTTACCTTGGTGATTTTAGCGCGGGGTCCGGATTTGATGAATGAATTCATGCGGCGCTCGAGGAATGCGATGAGACTTTCGACGCCGCCATCGCGGTTACTCGCCGCCTTGCTGGATTTCCATCCACGAACGCTGAATTGTTCAAGTTCGCTAGGAGGCTTCCTGTTGTTCTGCCGGATGTTGGCCTGAGGGTCGACGCTGGAAATCGCACGTTGAATCAGATCCAAGTGCTTGTCGCGAGCTGCGACCCGGCCGCCTGTTCCTGCAGCTCGGCCACCAACGCCTGCGCCTGCGATGCGGCCACCCAAGCCAGATTTCTCAGTACGGCCTCTCTTCGCCGCACGAGAGCCACCAGCATCCATATCCATGTCGCCGTCTCTGTCGGTGCGGGTAGGGCCCCGCTTGCGGATGCCGCCGCGGCGAGACTTCGAGGTCTTCATCACGGCGAAAAAGAAGATTTGAGAGGGTGGTGGTGGATCGGAGGGGTGGGGTAAGAAATATGAAGTGAAAGAAAGCGGATACTGCTATGTGGAAGCAAGCAGCGCGCTTTGCGCCTCAGATTAGGCAAGAAAAGGTAGTTCGCATACGAGTAAACCGTAGTGGAAGAAGTTACTTGGGGAGGATGAAGACGAGAAAGAAGAAGCAACCAGTAAAGACTGAAGAAAGAAAGATGTTTGCTTCTTTAAGTAGTGTGGGTAGTGTAATAGAGAGAGTATTGACCAAAGAACAATAGAGCTGTCAATCATCAAATGAGTCTAAAGAAAAAGTGACGACTGTCACGTGATAAGCGGCGTATAGTTTGCACTAGACCGAACTGGGAAGATGACTCATCTCTTTGTTTACCGCTGACCAATCACAGGCTGTCGTCTGTCCTCACGACTCATCCCCATACATTTGGCTGCAAGTATGCCTACATTGTGGAGGTGTTTGAATTGGCCCTTTGATTCTGTCTCTATTGTTGCGTTTGCTGCCTGGAGGACTGTCAATTGAATTTGACTTTCGCGGATCTATTGTTGGTATGTGGATCTTCCCAACCTCTGCTCTCTGTTTATTGTCTTTCTTTGTTTGAATGGGTCCCCTCCTTCAAAGAAGCTTAGCATTGCGCTTCGAGTGATCAAGCTGACCTAATTGTGTTCCTTTGTTTAGGCATTTACAGTCCTGCCGTTTGCCAAATAACATATCTGGCCTTTGCGATTAGCCCTATGGTTGTCAATTGACCGGCGAGATGCCCGCAAAGTCGCGATTCACGAAGCTAGACGCCTTCGCCAAAACCGTCGAGGATGCACGCATTCGCACGAATTCTGGAGGTGTTATTACAATCGCCTCGCTTTTAGTTGTATTATGGCTGGTATGGGGCGAATGGGCCGAGTACAGACGAATCGTGGTGCTGCCGGAGCTCGTCGTCGATAAGTCGCGAGGTATGAATAGAGTTTGGGCTTGACCAGATCCGAGATCTCGAAGATACGTAGCTGGGGAAAGTTGCTAACTTCTCTTTGCTTGCGCAGGAGAGCGAATGGAAATTCACATGAATATGACATTCCCTAGGCTGCCATGTGAGCTCCTGACCTTGGATATGATGGATGTCTCTGGCGAGCAGCAGGTTGGCGTTGCTCATGGCGTGAACAAAGTCCGCCTAGGCCCTCAATCCGAAGGCGGCAAGGTGATCGATGTCCAGGCTTTGGACCTGTAAGTTCTAGCCCACCGCTCGAGTCCCTTGCATCTCATGACCAAAGCCTCATTATCGTTCCTCCACAGACACTCGCCAGAAGAAGCCGCGAAGCACCTGGATCCGGACTACTGTGGTGAATGTGGTGGCGCGACACCTCCGGCGAACGTCATCAAGCCAGGTTGTTGTTCTACTTGTGCCGAAGTGCGCGAGGCATACGCCGATAAGCAATGGGCCTTTGGCGACGGCAGCAACATCGAGCAGTGCAAACGCGAAGGATACGCCGAGAAACTCGCCGAGCAGCGCCGCGAGGGATGTCGGATCGAGGGTGTGCTGAAGGTGAACAAGGTGGTGGGCAACTTCCATATCGCACCAGGCCGCAGCTTTACTACTGGCAGCATGCATGTCCACGACCTGGACGCCTACATTATTCCTAACGCACCTGCTTCGGAACAGCACACGATGTCTCACATCGTACACGAGCTTCGTTTCGGACCCCAGCTTCCTTCCGAGCTTGCAGGCCGCTGGGGGTGGACCGACCACCACCACACCAACCCGCTCGACGATACCAAACAGGAGACCGACGAAGCTGCCTACAATTTCATGTACTTTATCAAGGTTGTCTCGACATCTTACCTTCCTCTAGGGTGGGATCCCCTGTTTTCGTCGTCCATCCACAATGCCTACGACAAGGCGCCTCTCGGGGCTCACGGCGTCGGTTTTGGCGGTCATGGTAGTATCGAGGCCCACCAGTATTCGGTCACTTCTCACAAGCGTCCTCTCTCCGGTGGCAACGATGCCGCAGAGGGTCACAAGGAGCGTGTGCACGCCGGTGGTGGTATTCCGGGTGTCTTCTTCAACTATGATATCTCCCCTATGAAGGTAGTCAATCGTGAGGCTCGGCCGAAGACTTTCACTGGCTTCCTTACCGGTGTGTGCGCTATCATTGGTGGTACTCTCACTGTCGCTGCTGCCCTGGACCGCGGTCTGTATGAAGGTGCTATGCGCGTCAAGAAGCTGCACTCAAACTAGTTATCACCGAGATAGGGGTGGTATAGGACTGGGGGGTATACAAATAATCTCATCTGGACGATCTATCTAGTATAAGATAGTTGTCACCCTCCTGGGCTAACAGATGAGTTAGGGCATTGTGGAAGCGAGCGAAGCTGGCACTTGTGGCGTTTTTGGGATACCTATAACTGTTTTGCGTGTTGTTATGGCTAGGATGTAACTATTCATCTAACTACATCTATGAATAGCATTTGAATGTTTTGTCAACAAGTCGCAACTAGACTGTATGAGGGACTGGCTGGCAACAATGAGGACTGCGATTCAGCTACTCCGTACAGACTCCTCCTTCTGACAGTTCAGGTTCATATACTAGGGCATTCATTATCATAAGACTTATATACACTATCCACGTAAGGAAATATGAACTAAGCCCCAACAGAAGACCTAACCCGACTCACCCTCCTCCCCTCATTCCTCTCCCGATCAGCAGCCAACTGCTGGGCAAACTTACTCTTCGCCCTGATATCGGGTCCCTTCCAATAGAACACATAAATCGGAATCAGCACCAAGAATCCCACACACCCAAGCAGCGTACTCGCCCACTGAAGATGGAATCTGCCCCCAATACCCTGATACATCGGCACAGCATACATAGTGGCAACACCTGCGAGAAAATCCCTCGCAAACCCATTGCCTCCCGTCGCAGACGCAGAATAAGGTCCATAAGCCGCAACCATGTAATCGATCGTCGCCATGTAGATGGCGTAATTCGCCATGGCAATCATACAAGCGAAGATGTTAGGCGCAATCCACGGGATCGGCGGACCCATGCTTGTCCATGCGAAACCGAGGAGTCCGACTGGTTCTAGCGGTGCGATGAAGAGGAGAAGGAGGAGTCGACGTTCGGCTAGACGGCTTGCTGCGCCGTATTTGCGACGCAGTTGGATTTGTCGGTAGATGTCTGGTAGGAAGATCAGGTAGGCTATCAGATAGCCTATTAGGATTGAGCCGAAGGTTAGGCCGACGGCGAGTGTGCTGAAGGACCACTGTTCGAAGACTAGGGTGAAGGACTCGGTGAAGACGAAGATGAGGGCGTCGGAGAAACCGGAGAGGAGGGAGAGGAAGAGGACGATTGGTTCGCGGAGGAACATCTCGAAAGGACGCAGCCAGATCCGTATTACATCGTGCAGGTCCAAACGGGGTGTTTTCAGTTCGTCTGGACCCCAGATGTCTTCGCCGTTTTGTTTGCGTCGGCGTTTCGCTTCGCGGTCGATGAGGATCGTTGCGCGGGTTTCCGGCACGATGATGAAGTGTAGTAATTGTGTTGCCACGCCGACTATCAGCTGCATCCAGAACACCCAGTGCCAGTCTAGCCATTGGCCGATCATTCCGCCGAAGAAGGGTCCGACGGTCGACCCGCCTACCGAGGAGAGCACTACATATGCCACCGCATACCCTTGGTCATCTGCTTCCCACATGTCGGCTGTCATGCCGAGAGTTACGGAGCCGCCGGCTGAACTGAGGCCGCCGAGGACGCGACATACGACTATTGTGCCGAAGTTGGGTGCGACCGCGCATGGGATTTGCCAGATGTTTACGAGAAACAGGGAGAGCTGCATGATGGGCCAGCGGCCGAATTCTTCGCTCCAGGGGGCCCAGAGCTCACAGCCGAAGGCGTAGGCGATTAGGAAGACGGCTTGGCCGACTCGGGCGGCTTGTTCGCTGATTTGGAATTCTTTCACGAGGCCGGGCACGGCGCTGGCGTAGACTCCGGTGTTGAAATTCATGGACATCTGGACGGCGAAGATTACGGTGAGGATCATCCATTTCTTCCAGGTTGGGAAGCAGAAGCCGAGTTTCTCGTAGCACTCGTCTTCTGTTAGCTCGGGTTTGCCGCCTGTGTGGAGCTTGGGGATATCTTCGTGGCTTGCGGTGTCGGAGGAGGCATGTTCGGCCTGTGTGTCGGTACCTCGTTCTGTTTTGGTCGCATCTGGTGGTGGGATGATCTTATCGTCGAAGTCTGATGCCTCCGGCTTCTCGGAGAGCGCAGGGTCGCTGGGAGCTGCCATCTGGCAGGCTGAGTCAACTTCAAACTATTGTATAGGTTGTCAAGGATTCAATGGTATCCAGAGAGGTATATAAGTAACAAAATAATGGCTTGTTCCTGTGCGAGATGCCCAAATGGATATCAGACTTGTTATATGCATAACGAATGCCAAGGGAATACATCAAGGCAGATTGAATGACCGCTGAATTGATATCACTGAGATCTGCTAGCTTGACAGAGTCAAAGACGTCCGATCAACGAATCATATCGTGTTAGAGATGGAGCAAAACCTGTTCCCAATGTCGATCCCCCGGTTCCCGAGCCGGAGCGTCGGTTAAGACCCACTACGTCATTCGCCCCACGTTCCGTCTTCATATGATTCTCTCTACTCTGTCGTCGTAGTGATTCACATAGTGCTAGAGCGAGCACATATTCTGGGGTTTTATGAATTTCATCTATTAGGCTTCACTCCAAAGGTCATTATCCTGAAGTGCCTTCCAGTAGTATCACGTTGTACTCGCTGAGTACTGATCTGAGACCTTATTGCATTTAAGCATCGAAGGAATCCACGGATATAGCTGGGCAGCCTGGGCACGTGAATACACGCCTTCTCGCTTCTACTGTATGAGGTCCAGTGGCCTAAGACAACATATCTAAGAGAGCACAACGTCATTCATTATGAATACCATAGCGTTCTTGCAATAACTTCAGAATACGATATAAGCTACTACGCAGTAGAGACATGAGATATCAATGCACTCCGTTGCACAGGGGATACGTCATATCGGACTATGAACTGGAGTCGGCTCCTGAAGCATAAGAATGATTGACACCACCTGCACCAATCATCGCGGGTTCATTGTACACAGTATCTGGGCATAAGTCATCGCTACGCTGTAAGAGTCACTACGATTGGATATTGCAGGGATACTGCTGGAATGACGAGAATGGGTTCCCGAGCTTGCGGCTTCCCTCTTTCGGTTAGTTGTACTAGTTCGGTACCTGAATAGTTACAACCTATGTCTTCCTGAATGGATCCTGATATTTCCTACAATCACAGCGGATCTGCCAATTCTCACTGAGCAGCCTTGATTACAGGAAAACAGCATGTACATAGACTTGGAAAGTATATGACGATTTTGATAGGTACATACAGGCGCATGCACCCTGGGAGTCTGATTTACATGACAAGATGAAGATGGTAGAGAGGAAGGGAAATAGATAAAGTCAACTCCACGGTGAAATGATAGGCAATGCAATTTGCAAGTAAAATCAGAGAAGAGACCACCACACCAAATTCTGAAACTCCGGTCAAATGCGTGATGCAAGAACACCAAGGAAAGTGGAAGGATAATGATTGGAAGGAAAAAACATTGTGGGAAAGAAACTGCTGAGGAGGCCAGTGTGGAGTCAGGAACATAGCCTAGAACGACGGATTGAACAAGATAGAAAATGATGCTGGTAATGATGTGCAAGGAAGGAATGAGTAGTTGAAAATGGGAGCGGAAGGCAGGAATATGAAAGGAAGGTCGGTGAGCCACAGGCAATCCGGCGGAGCTGCTTTACCTAGCATAGCTATAGTAATTCGGCTCTTGGGGATAACCCTGACTGGGATGATAACTGGGTGCCGGTTGAGGAGCCTGGGCGGCGAGCTGTCCGTACCAGGACGATCGACGGGGTGCGTCGGGTCGGTTCGTTTGATTGAGGGCATCCCATGTCTGACTGGCTCCAGGAATGTTGTACAGAGACTCTTGCTGGCCATACTGAGACGGGTATATAGATCCAGCCTGCTGCATTTGCTGATGTGTGTACTGTTGCTGTTGCATCATGTGTTGCTGACGTTGGGCGATGGCCTGTTGAACCGCTTGATTCGACATTCCTTCCCTCATCTCACGCTTTTCGCGCTCCCTGGCATCGATGTGCGACACAAGACCCATGGGGCTTACAGGCGCCTGTTGCTTCCGATTGTCATTTGACATGTTGAAGAACGAGGAACCAGTCATGCGAGCAACATGCTCCTGCTCACGAGCGGAGAGATGAGTCGAAGCATCGTTGTAATTAAGCATACTCTGAGCACCGCGCGACGAGGGGCGGTAGTTGGGATCCCGCTGAGTGTTCATGGGCGAATGCGGACGGGCATATTGTGTCCAGTCGCCAGAGGCAGGACGTTGCACTGACATAGGATTAGAAGGAGTGCGGCCGTGAACCGGCGCCGGGGGACTGGCTGTTGCCCGTTGCTGCACAAACTGCTCCGGGGTGAGACCGCCTGGAGTAGCAGGGCGTCCGGTGGCCATTCCAGGCTGCCACATCATACTCCGTCGATACTCCTCCCGGCTCGAAGGCCGAACATTGGATTGGTCAATCGGTTGAGTGGGCACGGCGAACTTGGTCCCCGACGAATTGTTCCGTTGATGCACTGGCCTCTTCAGTGTGTCTGACGTGTTCGGGCGCCCTGTAGTGGGCATGTAAGTCATGGTTGGGCCGAAATCCACGGTAGGAATATCCGGATTCGAAGTCGGAGGCTTATCCACGGCATAACGAGCATCACCAATGACATAATCCTTGGGCTCTGGGACTCCCACTGTCTTCATGACGCCCATTCTGGGTTTAGTGGACGTGGCGGATTTCTTGCTGTACACGGATTCGTGAGTGCTGGCATAATCCGGCGAGGCTGTCGATGCATCATCGTAGACACTTTCATCTTCGTTGTCATTTTTGTAGACAGAAGATGACATTGATGGAAGATGAGGCGCAATGCTGTTCAGCGCATCTTCATCAAGAGTATGGCGAAGATCATCATAGCTTGGTTCTTCCAGTGACTGTGGCTCTGTTCCGAAAAGATTTTGCTGGGGAAGCGGCTTGCGTCGCACGGATTTTGCAGGATCAATATGCACCCGAGAGGGGGAATTTTGCTGGGAAGACAATCGTTGAGATGATGGACTGCCGGTACTGTTTGGTGTGCCGAGGCGATGCTCCGGAACCGAGGGAGGCCGAACTGGCAGCGCAAGATTGATGCCCTCGTCGCTCGATGAGTGTGCGAGGGAATTTGGAGATGCAACAGGACCAGGATTGTAAGCATTGTATTGACTCTTGTCCTGGACCTGTTGGTCGTCCTTGCTTTGTCCTTGGTGGCTTTTCCATGCGGCACCGGCAGCTGCCGCGCTCAGCCCCATCGTTCCAACTGATGCCAACTGGGAAAGGGTCGCGTGAGACATCCGGTTGTTTGCCCGCCTCTGAGCCGAAGAAGCCTCAGGTCGATTAGAGGGCATCTCTTTGGGTCCGTGCGAGAATGCAGGTGGATTTTCAACAGGAGCCGGTGGGGTGCGTGGGGGAAGCTGCTCTTCCACTCGTGAACCGGAAAACTGCGGAAGATTCGCCTCGCTTTCCGAACTGAGACTCTCGGCGATGGGAGTCACCACAGAGGGGCCACGGTGCGCCAGATCGTGTAATGACGAGTCAGGTGAACTCTCAACAAGAGATTGATGGGCTAGCTTGGAACCTGCGGTGAAGCCCGTGGTGTCAGAGTATCCGCGGGTGTGGTAGGCACTGGGCGGGCCATCGTGCTTAGGAACTTCATGAATGATGGCGTCGGTAGAATGGTGAAACTCTGGTTTGCCCTCCAGCCCGGCAAATTGATGGCGTGCAGAATCCAAGGGGACATCATTGCCTGGGCCAGAGCCAGACGCGGAGCGATAGCGAGGTCTCACACTGTTGACACTATTAGTTCTGGCCCTGCCCGATGAGATTCGGCGCTGTGTTGCCTCTTTGAGCTGTTTCCTCCACTGGGCTTCGCTCCATTCTTGGCTTCCCGGGGTTTGAAGAAGACTGGCAACGTCCAAGATATCAAGATAACCGTAGCGCCGCTCCTTGGGGAATGCAAACATGATGCTCTTGATGTGATTTGTATCCGCTACCAAGCGAGTAGGGCGGCCGTAGAGATTGAATGTGTCGAATGTCGGGAAAAGGAAGCGCAGCATCATCTCGAAACCAGAAACAGCGGCATGTGGCTCAGGCATGACAAAAACGAGTCCTTCTGAGGAAGACTCGGGTTGGTGAGTAGTTATCCGTCCTTCTAACTTCACCAGCGTGGATGCATCAATCAAAGCCTGGGACTGCGGATAAATCGCATATGCCGAGAATACCTGGGTGACCGTGGCAATGGGGATCGCCTTTTTCGTCTTCTTTGTCTCGTAGAACTTGATATTTCCGGTAACAGGGATCGACAGGCGATCGTATGCTGATTTCTTCATCACCTTTCGCGCCTTTTGGATCTCTTTTTCGTCGGGCGGATTGATCACAAACCAGCACCGTCTCCACGGAGTACCGGCCCCAAATCGCACGCGCGCCCAATCTTGATACTTGAACTTCGTGGGTAGCAAGATGGAGCTGATCCCGTTGAGGTCTTTTCCTTTCGCCCCGATCAATGAGCCAGTGTAGGCTTCATATAAAGATGTGTGTTCGAACATCGAGAGACGAATTGCCGCAGTCCATTGAGTCAGGGAATTGAACGAGTTGAAATGCAGAAGATATCGATTTTTGCCCGCGGAGGAAATGCTCACGACGTTTTTCAAGGCGGGTTCAGATCCGCCTCGGACCGGAAGAGTGTCAACCTGCAAGTATGCGATGAGTTCATGCCTGGCAGTCGAGGAGGTAGAACCGGACTTACCATCTTAAGGGTCGCGTCGGCCAAATTGATGAAAGTAGCCGGAACCTCTTCTCCACCTGCTGCGTCCAGCGCAGCACCATCCCATAGAGAAAGAACAGTTCCGACCAGTTGTGCGTAGCATTCCACCCATTGTCGGTCAGGACATGGCCGCCCATCTGAAAATGTTAGCCCACCGTGCCCCGCAAAGCAAACGGGGCTCACTTACGAGTGTCCAGATCATTGAATTTCAAGAAGTAACCTTCTTGATAGACCTTATTCGTGTGGATGTTGAGGAAGGAGAAGATTGGCGATAACTCCGGCGGGGTATCGTCTGCCTGGTGCATGAGAGGCGGATTGCGCGAGAGGATCATTGATGCCGGCCGCGCTTTGCCCCCCACTCTTGGCCCAGAACTCACAGGAGACGACTCGGTCGGAGGAGATGGGGTCTCAGGAGGAGGAGTTTGCCAGCGAGGTGGTGTATGGGCCGGGGTCGCATTGGATGTTGGCGTAACGTCGCCCGAGGACTTTCTGCTTTCTTTGCCAGATCCATTGTATTTCGACCCTCCAAAGCTGGATATAAACGAGCGGACTGCGGCAATGCAAGGGAGAGTCAATAACGGGCCCTAGTGAGATTCCCGGCATACCCGGAGAAGATCGACTTACCACGCGAATGACCCATGACGTCGGAACGTGAGCCGTCGCCCGACAGAAACCTCAGAGTAGGCTTTGAAAAAGGACCCCTCGCTGATTCAGACTGTGAGACGTTCCGGGAAAAAGGAGTGACCGAGGCGTAGTGAGATTTAAAAGGAAACTGTACCAGTTGCGCTGAACGAGGGACTGTCAGGAATTTGCGCCTGGACCGAGTTGTAAGAAGGAATCAGATATGCAAGGTAGGACCCTGAAAGAAGTAAAAATGAAGAAATGAAGAAATGAAGAGCGAACGAGTGCTTAGGTGGTCGATGGAAACTGAGTGCCAAGGAAGATGACGTTATGAGTTGGATATTGGTGTGGCTCGAGATCAGCGATCTTTTCCTTTCAAGACAAAACGAGTAAAACGAGAGTTAGGTTTGAAGAAGTCGAGACGAGAGATGAGAAAAAGGAAAGATCGGGTTGGACCAGGAAGAGAGAAGTGTTCAAGTGATTTCCCAGTAAAGGGCATTCCTGTGTCTCTCGTGTGACTGGAATTATTCAAGAGCCAAGCCTATTAGGCTAATAGTTTTATTAATAGTACTATACGATCATACGCAGTAATGTACTATGTACATACTTCGAGTGTGAGACCTGAACAAAGGATTCTTTTCGTCATCTACGGACCCTCTTAGATCCTCAGTGGAGAGACATTGGGACTATAAGTAGACTAGTTAGGATCTTTTGGGCATGTAATACTACTAGCCAACTCCTTTTCGCTGCTTACCCTCTGCCCCTATTAATCCTCCCTAGAATCTATCCCCGGTATCCCTCCAGTTGGCGCCAAGTTCTAAAATTTGGACCGGTAGTGATGTCTCCCTTGGCGGTCCATTGCCATACGTTTTCTGGTTCTCTCCTTTTCGGATCAAACACTTGGTCTGCCCTGAGTCCTGACAGGCTGACACGCGTATCCCTCACCGCCAGGTAATTACCGGAGTATGCAATTCTATACTTGATCACTTTCCCCATATATTGCTGCCTGATTTCGGTACCCCGCTGGTTAGGGTAGAGCAAATTAGGCAGGCAGTTTGTCTTAGAAGCTCTCACGGACCTTAATTTCTGCGGGACGTCCACCCACACGGGCCACGATCATGACTCGGACGAAATTAAAACCAGTCGTGTTACCCACGTAAGATCTTTCAGAGGAATACATTGTAGCCAGTCATAGCTGTAGTCTTGCAATTAAAGGAATATCGACTGCTACAGTATTCTGCCACATGATCCTGCAGAAGATCTGCGCTCCATCCAGATCCGACCCGCGTCATAGGAAAATTAAAGAATGCAGATCGGCCATGTGGCAAGGCAGTCGGTGACTCGGTACTTGCTCCGGAACCCGTTGACCCAGTAGAACTTCGCCTGGGGAAATAAGCTGCTCTTCCCCTTTCAACTTTAATTGTTGGCCAATCTGCGTTGAGAGTTGACCATGGCACCTACAGTAGAGCAACTGGCTCAATTAACCTCATACTTGCTGATACGGGAGAACCACCTACCACCCCGCTGCACTGCCAGTGATCAACCGACCCCGATTCGTGCCCGCATATTAAAGCAAATTGGTTTACCCCGTCAAACAAGCTATAGATTAATAGGGACTACAACAGTAAGTCAACGAACATACGCTTTGAAACGCTAGATAATCGTAACATCATAAAATTGCCCTTCTTCAGTGTTCCATCGAATAATCAACAGGGAGAGGGTTGGCCAATGGCATGCCATCTTGGCCGGGTATCATAGAATCAAGTTGCATCAAATAATCAGTGTTTGAGGCTGGTTGGCTGGGCAGATAAAACGAGTCGTTCGACTGTGAGCCGAAAGCGATATCAGAGGAGTGATCTCCAGCAGCATAGGAGTGTTGGTAGTAAGACTGGCTGTCCTGGTCAAGTCCAAGACCATAGATACCCAGCGAGTTGCCACCAGAGCCTGACTCGTCGGAAAGCAATGCGCGCTGCATAAAGAGACATTGGACTTCATCTTCGGTGCAGCCGTGTTTGGCGGTCATGTGCACCCATAGATCGTAGTTGCGGTGGAAGCGATGTGGGCACGACTCGGAGAAGAAGCATGCAATCTGGCGTCTGGTCTCCTCGGCATAGCCTTGGCCTGTAAGGGCGGACAGCGTGGATACCGAACCTGGAGCTGATTGCTTGCTTTCTGCTGTACGTTGACGGCGTTTTCTGGTGTTCGGGAGTCCCATGTGCGTAACGCGAACATGCTCTTCGAGTGTCATTTTGTTGCCATAGCGCTTGCCGCAACCGATGCCGTCCCATCCCTCCGCCTTTTTGCTGGTTGAGAGGTCCGTTTCGCCGCAGACAAACCGTTTCTCACCCTCGTGTACCGTACGAATATGCACGTTCAGATTGCCCTGCTTGGTGAAGCTACGACCACAATCGGGAACGGTGCAGGCAAAGACCTTTCGCTGCTCAAGACTGACATTGCCGTGGGCTATCTCAAGATGACGGCGAAGCTCGCGTGGCGTCGAACAGACGAGGGGACAGTGAGGGCATTGAGGAGGGTGTACAATTTGGATATGCTCTCGTAGACTCGCATATGAGGGGAATGACACATCCTGATTTGTATCGGCGTTGATCATGTCAGAAGATTGCTGGTTTTCGGCACACTCCGTGCATGTAAAACGCTTCTCGACATGGACCCTAGCCTGGTGAGTCCGTAGATTACCAGCGGTGTCGAAAGCCATCTCACATTTCTCTTTGGTGACTGGGTCCGAGTGATTGCATGGATATGGCTTCTTGCCCAAGTGGGCAACCATGACATGCTTCTGTAGCGTCGAGTGCTTTCGGAAAGTCTCGTTGCAAGGTGGATACTCTGTGCAGCGGTACCCGTCCTTTCCTTCATGCGTAGCCAGATGCCGGCGAAGACGTGACCCGCTCACGAAGCTCTTTCCACAATCTGGTTGGTCGCAAACGTAGTCGCGAACAGTCGTGTGGGCGCTCTTGATATGATGTTGGAGATGGGAAGGGCGCAAGAATGTCTTGTCGCAGCCGTCATGGTCACACTTGTGAATTCGCTCGTTGTTGTGTGATCGCATATGCTCTTGGAGCCGAGACGGACGATTGAAGGCTTTATCGCAACCCTCAATTGGGCACGATAGGTGTTTGCCCTCAGATGGGTATCGAGGTCGGGAAGAGGTGGCCGAGAAGGGGGTTTCGGGAGTTTCGTTGAAGTCCACGCTCATTTGACTTGGGGTATGCGGAGGTGAATACTCGGCATCGGAGTGGACCTCCTCATAGATCAAGTCTGGGGCATTGTCAGCAATTCAGTTACTTTATCTGCTGTTATCTTGAATAGCTAAACTGACCGGCATTGTCCAAGACATCCTGCTTCTGGCGTCGTTTGGGAGTTGTGGCCCCCTCTGATGTAGCTTTTCGCTTGGTGGCCATCATGAGTCATCCGCTGAAAAAAAAAGAAGTTGAATGAGAAACAATAGCTGCGAACAGAAAAGAAGTTCAGTTGTGAATGTCTCGATAAATTTATTTTGCCAGAAAAGCGGTGAGGTCACAGCCAGTGTAAGTTTTTCCGCTCCCAAGGATTTTCAGCATCGAATCCCACCTCGACCCCCCGACTTGTCTCCCATTCCCTCCGGGTCTCTCATTGTTCGCTCGGTAGACAGATCTTTCGCTCATTGCCAATTCAATCTACCATCATGTCTGACTACGGCCATGACGACGATGTCGAAGAGACGTAAGCTATCTCCCTCACTCCAGGCTCAGGCGCAAAGCAGCTTGCTCCTATCCTGACTCCAGACGGCTTTCAACGGGGTTCGCACATGTCAAAATACACACATTTTCTAACCCTGTGGTTTGCGCAGCTTCGACTACGAGCCCGGCGAGGATGTGTTCGACGAGGAGCCGGAGGAGCAAGAGGCCCTCGAAGGCGAGGATGGCGCCGAGGGAGAAACATACGCCACTGCCAACGGCGATAACGTTGTCGTCTCTGGCGATCCCAATGCTGGATATGCAGGAAAAGTGATGGAACAGTCGCGCGAGAAGAAGGTGCCTAATGACCAGCGCACTACCACTCCATACTTGACCAAATACGAGCGCGCGCGTGTTCTCGGCACCCGTGCCCTACAAATCAGGTACGTTTTGCACGCGACGCCGACGATTGCAGACCTTGTCCGCTAGTTTGCATTTCTGATATTTTGTACAGTATGAACGCCCCCGTTCTTGTCGATCTCGAGGGTGAAACCGATCCCCTGCAGATTGCGCTGAAGGAGTTGAACCAGAAAAAGATCCCTCTTATCATTCGCCGATACCTTCCTGATGGATGGTAAGAAAGGTCCCGTTATCTCTGTTTGTGTGCCGGATCTAACAATGCTTGACTTTAGGTATGAGGACTGGACTTGCGAGGAACTGCTGTAAAATTCAAAAGCCCACGCAGTATCACCATTCGTTCGTTCCGGCTGTCCACCAGCTTTTGCTTTTCTTGACTTTCAGCATAGCGTTTGGAGTTTCTGGGGTTCGAAGAAACGTCAAAAAGGAAATTCGGACTTGATGTCCTGAATGAAAACATGGAGACGAACAAGCCCTTGTACATGAATCTAGAACGGAAAAACAGATCACCCAAAAAAATAATATGACGCCCTGTTTATTCACTTTCGTGTTCATCCATGCCGTGGCCGCATATTATGCAGCAACCATAGAGGCGAGCCACGTGTAGTACTGTCAGGTTCTCATTTGGCTTGTCATACCGCGCTTTTGATGGGCTTCGTCTTTTCTTGCGCTCTTGAACCGGCTATTTGTTGCTTAGCGCATTGCAGGGGACCACTGCTTTTGATCAGAATCTTGCCAGCAGCGCCAGCTCACAGGCCTGAACAGCTTGCGCTAGAATGCCCGCATCTTGCCCGCATCTCTATACGCAGTAGAAGTTATCATGGCGTTGAAGCTCCTCATTGGACAATATGTGGTTTCTCCAATGCAACCATGAACCAGGATTAGTCTTGACTAACTGTCTAGTAGTTATCCCCACATAATTACCTGAACATGAAGTCCATAACTCACTAACTCATGTTAATGAACCTCAGTAATGGACTTGATAGAGCTGTCGGAATGATTGAATCCGACTAACCATGATAAAGTCCAAAGCTAGCCCTGTCCCGAGTCCCTGGGCTAAGCTTATGGATCCATGGGTAACCAGATTGACTGCGGACTCTAATCCACTTTCGGCTACTCATTTGCCGATGTTTTGTTGATGAGTCATGACTATTCATTATATGTGATTATAAGCCTGTAATCAAGTAGAAAGGAAATAAATCAGGTTTGACTAGATAGTCTTAGCCTCTTCAGGTACATGGAACCTTGGAATCTACTATTAATATATGTTCTAGAAGAAATCTTCATACAGTCACACCCATATATACTCTTTCGGTCATGACCCGAGGCCCTGCTACGCCCCCGCTTAAAATGTTTATAAGCAGCTCCACGCAGAAAATTGTTTAGTCAAAAATTGCTTTGATTGCTTTGTTATTTCACAAGGTACAAGGATTATAAGGAGACCTGCACGGCTATCTCGGCCTTTTGAGTTTAGTCTGCTGTTACCTATATTGCCGGTTCTCGCCCAGCAGGTTTCACCCGATACACAGTCCATGCGTGAACCAAGATGGGGTCAACTAATATAGATCTAGAGCAAAGGGCTCTCGCTGACTCTGCGATTACTGATCAGAAGAATGATGACTCGCCGGCTGCGTCTGATTCTCCGGCAGAGAAAGAGGCAGAGTTGACATATGATACGGGGCTTCACACATGGCTCCAGGTATTGGGGTCATTCTTTCTGTTCTTCAATTCATGGTATGCCTATAGCCTCCAACCCGATATCAAAGAACATATTGCTAATATCATAGCAGGGGCGTGATCAATACATGGGGTGCATATCAAACCTACTACGAGCGAGAACTGCTCGTCGGCACCTCTTCATCAACCATTGCCTGGATCGGCTCGCTACAGTCTTTCCTCCTGATGATGGTCGGTGTCATCACCGGCCCACTCTTTGACGCTGGCCATTTCCGCGCCCTCGTCTCATTCGCCGCATTCCTACTGCCCTTCGGTTTAATGATGACCAGTCTCGCTACGAAGTACTGGCATCTGATCCTTTCGCAGGGCGTCTGCATCGGACTCGCAGCTGGCTGCCTGTTCGTACCCTCCGTCGCCATCCTACCACAGTACTTCCGTCGCAAGAGAGGCCTAGCCAACGGTTTGGCTGCCAGCGGCAGCAGTATCGGTGGCGTCGTCTACCCAATCATGTTCGATCAGTTGCAGAACCAGGTCGGGTTTGCCTGGGCGACTCGGGCACTGGGGTTTGTCGCTTTCGGTACCATTTGCTTTTCTGTGAGCATCATGCGCTCGCGTTTCAAGCCGAAGGAGAAGCGAAAGCTCTACCAGTTGTCTGCATTCAAGGAGCTGCCGTTTATGCTCTTTGCTTTTGCTATGTTCATGGGTTTCTTGGGATTCTACAACTTCCTCTTCTATGTGCAGTCATACGCAATCGATACGGGTATCGTAGATCCCAAGCTAGGGTTCTACCTGCTTTCCATGCTCAACGCTGCCTCGTCTTTTGGTCGAATTGCGCCCAACTTCCTCGCCGATCACCTTGGACCATTAAACATGCTCACCCCCGCCGTGACCATCACTGCTATCCTGGCCTTCGTCTGGATCAGCGTTCACACAGTCCCTGGCATCATCATCCTCGCCGTCTTCTACGGATTCTTCTCCGGTGGCTTTGTGTCTTTGCCGCCTGTGGTTATGGCAAGCATGACCCCGGATGTCCGCAACTTGGGCACACGGATGGGCATGGTCTTTGCAATCACCTCTATAGGCCTGTTAATTGGTACCCCCATCGGAGGCGCGATCCTATCCAGGACAAATGAGTACGTCGGAGTGCAACTTTTCACCGCTTGCTGTCTCATTTCCTCTGCGGTCCTCATGGCCTGTGTGAGACTGTTGCGCTCGGGTCTCAAGTTGCGTGTCCGGGTTTGAGTCGCCCACGCCGAATGCTGGAAATGTCCGATATATACTCTCTGCCGATAAAACCAGTGTCAGTCTCCGTTCCAGCCACAGCTTGACCTCACATCTGGAGGTAGACCCTGACAAGGCTGGCTATTGACACTAGCCCAATCATTTGTTTAGCACTCCATCTATTGCATCCCCTCCTGGCACCGCCATTCTGCTTCTACTTGGCCAGTTGGAACCCGGCGCATTTGATACCATCAAATCATGGTCATAATTTGTAATTTGTTGTGAAAATGTACATACCCAGCCTAGCGCAAACTTCGATTAAAGGCGAACAAAAACATAGGCCAACCATGCCCGCTGTATAAAAAAAAAAGGAAGAAGTCCCAATGAGAAAGAAAAATATTACATCACATCCTCAGGTCCAACAGGGAAATTCTCCCCATTCTCCCGCACATGCTCAAGCTTCTTATCTCGACTGCATGGCTTGCGCATATCAAATGCATCCTCCCCCGTATCCGACATCCCCGATGGATCATCGCTGTAATAATTGATCACTCGCCGGAAGACAGAGTATCTGTCATTATTCATGATCAGCAAAATCATCAGCATTTCGTCCATTCAGGTCCACTCACCCCATTCCTTTGTACATGTCGTACGCAACTTTATTTCCGGCGCGTACGTAGAGATCCACAAACCAGGCATCGTTGCTATCGGATCCACGCTCCAGCTGCTCTGTCAGACGGCGCGCGAAGCCGAGACGGCGCCAGGCTGGTGCCACTGTGAGGACGGTGATGTGTCCGTGCCATGGGGTGTAGTGTTCGGAGTGGCGCATTGCTGGGTGTTGTTCTTCCAGCTTGCCCATGACTTGGAATAATGTCAGCAATTGGTCTTTGCAAGGGTAAGTCGTGGACGTACTGTAGCCTACAATGCCGGCATCACGGTCTTTCACGGTGCTGAAGAGTGAGGGCCATTTGTTTAGGTAGTTCAGGTAGAAGCCGAGGTCATAGTTCTCGGTGAGGGGGTCGAGGTTTGTAAGGTTGAGGTCCAGCAGGTCCAAGGGGGACATGCGCTCAATGAAACTCATTTTGCTGTGGACTTCATGAAGCTTAGCTTCTTAAGAATGTGGGGTTGGTATCTTGTCCCATTTTTTGCCAGGCGGTGATGGTTTCAAGTCGGCGGTGAAGTGGCTATATGTTGTACCCCTCCTGCATCTCAATGCATGTCACTCCTTGTCCTTCCTTTGAGAAGTCGATCGTTTACGTCTTTATCTCAATTGATCTACGTCTCGTCTGTTTGCTGCCTGTACTGCGGCATTGACTCGGATCGGACATATCGGACCAATCCGAGGACATCCAATTGAGGCCTACCAACAATTGTTGCTCATCTGCCTGGAATACGGCTATTGTTCCTTGCAGCTAGCTATAATCCTTGAAATACAGCTCTCTCCTTTTCCTTCACTATAGCTTGGCCCAATCAGGAGCCCCGTGTGGCCTCTCCAATCGGTCCAATGCCCCTCCCTCCGTCTCCCCTGAAACTCTCACACCGCTACCCATCCAGCGGAATCGACGACTCACCCATCTCCCCTGGGACAAATGGAAATAACTTCGCACTCGCAAGCCCCCGATTATCAGCTCCGTCATCTCCTGCCATCTCCCGCCTCAATTCCAACATGAGCGAGTCACATCGAGAATCCGGAGACTTCTCCGCCGTTGATGCAGGCGGAGGAGGCCTGGGAAACCTAGCTGACGAGCTGGCTGATGCATGGGAAGAAGATGAAGATGGATATGGATATGTGTCAGGCCAGGAAGCCAGCCGTGCGGGGTCACAGCAAATAAGTCACAGCGATATGGAAGATGCATACATACAATCAATGCATGGCCTGCGTTCCCGGTCACCCTCCATTTCATCCGAAAAAGATTCACTCCACCCATCAAGGAACAGGAACCGCACAAACCTTCTACGGTCACATCGACGACAGGAGTCACAATACGACGGTTCAGATTACGGACCTGACTCGGACCTAGAAGAGACGGACATTTCTCCTGCCCTGGAGAGCCAAATGGCTGAGATCGAGAGCCTCGCTCGGCGGGGTATAGAGAACAACGGGAGCGAAAACGACCACGTTATTCAGCGGACGGTCGAGTCATTGAAAGATCTCGGCGGACAAAGCGGGATCGAAAACAGCGCCATGAGGTAAAGTTCACCAATACCTAGACACGATCACGAACCCCCAATATCTAACCCCCCCAATCGCAGACTCATAACCGCCTATTCCTCAATCACATCACATCTCACCCACCAAACCCGCGCCCTTCAATCCCTAGTTCACCCCCTCCTCTTCTCCCCATTCCCCCTCCTCTCCGAAGACGCCATCGACTCCCTCATGCCCCTCATCGACGAAGGCCTCCTACCAAACCTCCCATACCCATTCCCCGAACAACAACGCCAGGCCTCCCGTCCATCAACCCCGCAATCCTCCGCACACAACCCCCTCGCCTCCCTCCAAGCCCTCATCTCCCAAACCGCAGACATCACACATTCCCTCCGCGGCTTAAGCGACACGCTCTACGAGTCGCGACAATTGACAGCCACAGCGTCCCGCCGACTCCGCTCCGCGCGCGAACTCGTCGCTGATATCCGCCGGGAAGAAGAGAGCCGCGAAGAGGGATCCCGGTGGATCGAGCGCGGTGAATGGGACCGTCGTCTAAGGGATAGAGAGGCGGGTAAGGTCTGCGGGGATGTTGTCAGTGGGTTTGAGGCTGTTTGTGGCGAGTGGCGTGAGAAGCTCTTCGGGGCTAATGCTGAAGTTGCGGCTGCATAGTTACCCAGGTGGTTTTTCATGACTATTGGCCTTTTTTTTCATTCTTTTCGTGATGATTCTCCTAGGTCTGGACTTAGACTGCTTTCGTTACATTCTTCTTTTTGTCTGATATCCACATTGGTTTTATTTTACTGGGCTGTCTTTCGTTTATTAGTCCTGTTTGTTCATATGCTTCCTAGATTACTGGACATAGACTCGAGATTGTGATACCATTCAATGCGTTATTCATTTCTTATCTGTCCATAGTATCAGAGACGTAGTGGAAAGAAAGAACATCAAGTCATATACCAGGTGGGCAACACGCAAAGGACAACCTTGAAGCCTACAACATCAAAGTCTCCGAAGGCAGAAGCTACAGGTATTGAAGAGTGAATGCACACAAAAAAAGCATTAATTTGTGGCTAAGGAAACCAACTCTAGCGCAAAATCCAAAAGCAGAGATAATCATCTCTCATAACTCTAGCCGAGCTAAAACAAAAGCCCTACAAGTCAGGGGGGAAGTGACGTGGAGAGAATGATACACGAAAGATGCAGAAGGGTCATGGAAAAAGCGCCAAAATATAGAGAAAAAGGGGGGAGCCTGGATACACTTTTTGGAAAAAGAAAGTCATAGCTCGGTCGTTTACTGCTGTCGCTTCCACTTCGGCACCCACTTGCCCTCAGCTGGCTTGGATTCCGACGCAGGAGCAGGGGACTGAGAGGTGGGTTCGCGGCGCGCCCAGCGCTCGGTGGGAGCCTCACGGGGCAGAGCTTCGCGGGGTTCGCGGGGCTCACGAGGGGCAGGGGGAGGAGGGGTGGAGCCGGCGCTGGCGGAGGCACCGGCGCGCAGGTGAGGGGGAACGTAACCACCGCCGGTCTTGCGGATGGGGGCGGCGGGCTGCTCGCGGACGGGCTCGGCCTCTGGGGTAGCACCACCGGCTTCCTTGGCGGCTTGACGTTCTCTCCAGGTTGTCGGGACTCCTGCTGTGCGTGGGGCGATATTGAGACGGGGAGCGATTCGTTCGGCTGGCTCTCCGAGGCCACCCTTGCGGGCTGCGCGGCGGGCTTCGGCTTCTTGCTCACGCTGTTGCTGCTTAAGGGCAATCTCGTCCAATTTGCTATATATGAGGTTAGTATCAAGATGTAAAAGGGGTAAGACGAAAGGGAATACTAACGCTCGCTCTTCCTCGCGCTTGGCCTTCTCCTCGGCCATGATACGACGGCGCTCCTCCTCGCGAGCAATGCGTTCCTGCTCTTCGCGCTCGGCACGCTCCTGCTCCTCCTTGCGACGACGCTCCTCTTCCTCGCGCTCCAACTTCTCGCGACGGCGGCGCTCCTGAACCTCCTTGACACGCTGCTTCTTCTTGGCCTCGAACTCGCGCTCGGCGGCCTTGCGGCGCTTCTCGAACTCCTCGTGGCGTTTCTCGGCAACCTCCTCACGGAAGGCAGTGAAACGGGGTACCAGTCGGCTAAGACGGTGCTTGAGGGCAACAGCCTCGGCGTGCTTCTCCTTAGACTCGCGCAGGGTCTCGGCGTTCAGCTTCTCGTGAAGTGCCAGATCCCGCTGCTTCTGGGCATCGTAATCGGCGGCGATGTGCTTCAATTCCTCGCGGCGGAAGGCACGCTCCAAGTGGTCGATACGCTTGGCGGTGGTGCGAATACGGTCGTTCAACTCGTTCTTCTCCTTCTCAAGCTGGGCCAGCTTCATGGCACGTAGACGGTTGGCATCGAGCTCCTCGAGATCGATCTCGCTAACGTCAATACCCTTGACACCAGTCTTGAGCTCCTCGAGCTGCTTCTTGAGCTCCTCCTGGCGAATGCGCTCCTTCTCATCCTTGATGCGCTTGAGCTCACGCTCACGCTGCTCATCAGCCAGACGTTGCTTCTCAGCATCCTGGAGCTGCTGGGCACGGAGACGCTTGCGGGTCTCCTCCTCGCGCTGCTTACGCTGCAAAGCATCGGTAGCGGCTTCCTTCTTTTTGTCGATGAGGACACGACGGGCGAGGGTCTCCTCGTGCTCCTGGGCGGCGCCGGCAATGGCACGGGCCTGGGCAGTCTGCTTGGCCTGGAGACGGCTCTGGCTGTATGAGGGGTCGACGTACATGCAGGCGACATGGAGGGTCTTGGCGAGACGAGCGACCTGGAAGCGGGCGATCTCGGCGGGGGTGTGCTGCAGACGCTGCACGGAGCCAACCTCGCTCTCGGCGGAGCCAGCACCGCTGCCAGCGTGCATGGCCTTGGAGGAAGAGAAGACATCGGAGTCGAAAGTCAGGACACCGGAAATGTGATCCACGCGGATGGCGAGGTCACCCTTCTTGCAGCCGTTCATAATGAACTTCTCGATCATGGCGGGGGTGATCTGGAAGGGAGCGGGGAACTGAGCAAGATCGTAGACGAACTTGAGCTCAACGGACTCGTAAACCTGGGAGAGTTGCTGGAACAGACGGGTGAGGATAACCTGCTGCAAAGGCACGACGTACTTCTCCATCTCGGGATCGGCACCGATCTGCTTGAGGATGGGGGTAATCTTCTTGCAGATGGAGAGAGGGTGGAAGTCGACCTCCAGGATGTTGTAGAGCTCGCGGATCTCGGGGCGCACACGGCGGAGAAGGCCCTTGTTTAGCGCATCGCGGAAGAGAACAGTACGGGTGGGCGAAGTGGCCATGCCCAGAAGGTTAGTCAGACGAGTGTTCTTGTTCTTGCGTGCCTCATCCACATCGACCAGAGCGCCACGGGAGCGGGAAGTGCTGATAACCGGGATGGAGAGAGCGGAGAGCAGGACGAAAGACGCGGCCTTGGTCATTTCGGCCTCGGTGACCGAGGGGTTCTCCTTCTTGGAGCTCTGGCCGCTGGCCAGAGCCACGGAGGAAAGACGGAGGAGGTTATAGTAACGGTTGTAGGCGGCGGCGTGGAAGAGGTAGTTCTCGCTGACCAGGAAGATGCGGGCGAGCTTCTCGTAGTAATTGGCCATCATGACGTTCTTGGCGGGGCGCTTGCTGAGGTTCAACAAGGTGTGGATATCCTCAATACTGCGGAAAGCCTCCTGCCACAGCTCCAACTCCACGGCGACGTTCAGCTGCTGGAAGCGGGTGTCGAGGTGACGCTGGAGGGTGTCGGCGTCGCTCAAGTTGATGGCGTGCATCTGCGAGGAGTACTTGGCGGCATTCTGGACGTGGTTGCGCAGAAGTTCGCAGAGGCGGCGGAATTCGGTCTTGCGTGTGTACTTCTGGCAGAACTTGAAGGCCTGCAGGGCAGTCGACTGGTACATGATCTCGAGACGGGCATTGTTCTTCAGGATCTCGAGGACGGTGCGGTAGGTCTCCCACAGGAACTTGAGCCACGGGGTGACAACGGCGCGGTCAGTACGATCGCGGGACTGCTCACCGGAGACAGTAGCGAGGAGAATGGTCTCGGGTGTCTCAATAGCCTCCAAATCTTCGATGTTGGAGGAAGGGGCAGCGGACTCGAGGGACGACTGGATCTCGTCGGCCTTGGCCTGGGCCTCGGTGACCTTTTGCTCGGCGAGCTCGATGAATCTCTTAAGAACGACCTGCATGACATCCTACATTAGTTTTGAATCCTTGACATTATTTTCCCCCTCCGCAATTATCCACACGAACCTCGATGGTGCCGACGTTGGTGTTCTGCGCGATGTTCTTGTACTGGTAAAGACCATCCTTGGCGGCCTTGCCCTTGCGAAGGTCGACGGACAACTCAACGAACAAGAGCATCACCGGCTCGAGGGAGGCGATGGGGCTGCTGCGAGTGCGCTTGGAGGTGACATGTTCGTGAAGAACGGTCAAGGCGGCGGGAGCCTGGCCGACGGCGATGAGTTCCTGAGCCCTCTATATAAGATAGATTGATTAGTATCCGATGAACCTTTCTAAGTCGCGACGATGACGATATACCTTGAGGACATTCTCAGGTTTGATATGCGGAGGAGGCGGCATGATGGGTGGGTGCCCCTATGGGGGAGAAGATCAAAGGAAAAAAATCGAAGATTTTTGTGAAAAAGAAAAAAACTTCGAGGGTTCCTGCGTACACACGGGCAGCTTTGGGAGAATGCGATTAACGATGCTGCCACGCGAAAGACCCGATAACGAGGGGAAGATTCACAGTGTGCGTGAGGCCAAAGCAAAAAATTAGATCCCGCCAATTGTTCCCACTTGGGTTTAAGCGATGGCGATCACGTGTGGTGGCCTCAGGCAGATGTTTACTCTCTATACCTTCATTATGACACTACTTACTAGTTAACTAGTGAGTCTTCATAATTGATTTGACTAGTGAATAATAAGAATACTTCTGTTCTGATCCCAACCATCTCATTCCGAACCTGACATTGTAGAAGAGAGTCCGAATATGCCAAGTACTGGGTACTCGTGATGGTCTGACTCCACTAATAAAATCATAACATCCCCCGACCAATCCGAAGTACCGGGTACTTCCTCCCCTCCCAACTCTCCAACGTACAGTAAAACGTGTACTCCGTAAAGAAAAAGAAACCCACGGACTCTCTTTGCCCAGGAAATCCAATCTGACCCTTTCCCTTCCTTTGTCAACTCCCCCCCAATCTCGTTCTTTCCTCTATCTCGACCTACTCATTCACCTTCATTTTTCTTATTTCATTGTCAACCCGGGCCCCTGATTACCCGAACCCCCCCCTAACCTAATTCTCACTCCCTTGGGAAACTGCCGATCCAAAATCCCCCCTCTCCCCCCTTTCTCTCCTACACAGCTCGACCCCCAATTCACGATGCCTGCCTACGAACTCCGACCCGGTGGTGATGGAAAGAACAAGAAGCAGAGTGTCGCCGACTTGAAATATCGTCGCTTGACCGAGCTCAATGCCCGTCTAAAGGAGGATCTGGACCGGCCGCGTGTCAAGGTTTCCGAGGCAGCTCTCTCGTGAGTCCTCTTCGTCAGATCAACAAAACAACAGAACAATTGGAAAACTAATATTTGAACAGTCTCATCAGCTACTGTAATAATACTCGCGACTTCATGGTTCCATCCGTATGGGGACAGGTATGCGACCGGCTGATTCTCTGGCTATTCTCTGGCTTATTGCGCGCGCATTCGGAACTAACAACCCATTCAGGTTGACAAGCGCGAGGACCCCTACGCTCCCCAGCAACAGGGAGGCTGCTGCACCGTCATGTAATGCACTCACGACGGGGTATTTTCTGTTTGCCATGACGTCTTGCTCTCGTTTTCCTTCTTTCCTTTCTACTTAATTCCGGACCCATTCACGACCAATTTTCGCCCCCTTGGACCTCGAACAATACACTGCGATCGGACAAAGATGCCGGCCTGAAAGAATCGTCTGCTGGTTCTGCACGAAACCTTCCACGCCTCCGGGGCCATACGAGTCCCAGTGTGTTTGCCTTATCGTCCCGGTCCGCCTTTGTCCCTCGGAACTCAGGCAGTGTGCGCTTGACGTACTTGTCGCGCCTTGTCTTCTCTTCTTCTTCTCTGGATCGCACCATTCCCCCTTCTCGATGTGTTTGTTAGGAATCAGCTTTTCTTGTTCTTTTTATTTTTCTTTCCTTTGTATCCTTGTTACGGTTCTTCAAAAGCCTCTTTCTATGTTCCATTTCGGGCGTGAGAGTCGGTTGCCATTCGTGTATCATAGATTTGCATCCATGACCAATACAATACCGATCTAATCGATCTACACCGTTGTTTAGGGCCAGCTTGGATCATGTGGTCAGGCTAGACGTACTGTACATCTGCATTCGATTGACCCGCAACAATCTCAAGAGCTACATAGTAGCATATGCTATGTCGGAACTCCATCTCCCCGCTGACATCACCCCACCCAACCTCCAGAGTCCACCCGCTCCGAGGTCGCTTGGAACGAGATCACTTCGCATTGGAATAGTCTGACTTCAAATATACCCTCACATCTCCACTACCTCATTTACCACTCACCATGGCCGAACCTACGCCCACTAAAAGCGTCTCGTCTTTACAAACTACCCTCCCCCGCATCGCTATCAAATTCTGCACTCAGTGTCGGTGGATGCTCCGCGCCGCATACGTATGTTTTAATGGATACTTGATGCTAGATCACACCAAACCACCTACAGAAAAGAAAAGTAACTAACAAAAACCAGTTCGCCCAAGAACTCCTCTCAACATTCGGGACAGACCTCGGCGAAGTCGCCCTCGTACCGGTTACCGGGGGCGTATTCACAGTTACGATTTGGCATTCGATAAACGAGAGTCAGACGGAGGAGACGATCTTGTGGGATCGGAAAAGGGATGGGGGGTTTCCTGGTATGTTTTCTTTCTTCTTTTTTGGATCTTTCTTGTCTACTGCGGTGTCATTGATATCGACACCATGTGGAAGTTGTGATATCTAACCTCTCTGCCCCTGCAGAAGTTAAGGCGTTGAAATCGCTGGTGCGGAATGTTATTGCTCCTGATAGGGATTTGGGACATACCGATCGGGCGTTGAAGAAGGAAAAGGCGCAGGCGGAGAAGATAGAGACAGTCGAGACTGTGAAGGGGGATGAGGAGAAGAAGGGCTGTGAAGATTGTCAGTAGTTGAGATGCGGTCATTCAGTTGACTACAAGAGGTATCTACAACATGGCCCCCATTACATTCGTCGTTATATTGTGCATAGAGATACCAATGCTATTATGAATCCGAGGCTAATGGAAGACACTACATTACGAGAGCAGAGATCGAGCACTGTACACATCACATCCATTATCGCGCGAAGCGAAAGAGTCTAGATAAGGGCGTAAATGATAGAGACAGGAAACGCAATAGTCAAACATTGATCGGAGAGAAGAAGATAATTATCCGTCATAGAATACCCGCGATACCGAGTCAAACAAAGCCCGCTCCTGTAAGAGATGTAACACCATGCCATCGGCTGATCACCGTACTCCGAGATAGAATGAAAAACTATCTCCGAAACGAGAAGGATGAAAGATGCAAAGGGAGATTAAGGGGGAGGTAGGGCCCAGAGGAAAGAACAGTGGGCATCACACAGAGCAAGTGGGCGAACCCGATGCAGACAGACATGATAGATACAAGATGCAACAAGATACATCTCACTGTCTGTACCCGTTGCAATGAATACATGACGCATGACTCTCAGCCCTAAGAGAGTAGGAGAGAGGATGGGATGAAATAAACTGAGCTCATTTCGTGGCTGTGGATTGCTCGGACAGCTCCATAAAGCTTTCGTATCCGGAAGACACCCGAACAGTCGAAGCCTAGGAAGAAGACAGGGTATCATTATCGACTTCGTGAGTCATGACCAGGAGAGCCAAAGCGGTGGGTAATGAAAAGACCAAGTCCGGCCTCTTCAGCTGGTCGTCGTGAATTTATGGAACACCAAGCGTGATATTGTGGTCTCAAGCCTCATTGACAAGATGGAATGTTCGTAGGACCATCGCAGCATTATACACAGTCGGTGATGGTTCAGACCAAAGAACACCGACCAGGATGGAAATAATCATGTCTCTCCCTGAACCTCGTGTGAATGGTTGCGACGCTTCCAGAAAGCAAGGCGAAGTCGACTCCTCCGTTTAGGAAGTTTGCGATGACCGTTGGGCTCGTCTGCGTGTGGAAGTTCGTTCTTGGTGCTGTCCCCGGTGTTCGTCGACTGGGCCGGGCTGCGGGATCTGGGGTAGTGTTTCGTGGCACCGTCTTCAGATCGAGTTTGACCACGACCGAGGACAGAGCTACGGCCAGGACTGCAGCCACCCGCAGGCTCGGATACATTGGAAGGGTACGGTTCGGCGGTGCTAGGACGCGTGCTAACGTCATCTGGTCCCCCGAGCTCGCTTTGCACAGCACTCTCACCCGAGGCCCGCTTTTCGTCGCTGCTATCGACAGCCAAGAAGCTCGAAGCATTCGTCGTGGGAGATGTCGGAGCCATGGTGTTGCTGTAAGTGCTCTGCGTGCGTGTGCAACTGTCCCGGACGGAGCCAGTGCGAGCAGACGAGCTGTTGTGCGCATGGTGACGTTGAGACCCATGTGAGAGGCCTTGCCGGGAACTGCCTGGTCTTGCGGCAGATTCAGACGCCTGATCACGCCCGGTGGTCCCTGAAGATCGAGCCGTGCCACCAAAGGCCGAGTTGGCATATAAAACGGCGGCAAGAACAGCCGGGTCCTCGGTGGCAGGGCTTGCTTCTGCGACAGGGGTATGGAGCTGGGTAGAGATAGAATCACGAGCTGTCTCTGGTACACCAGGAATGGAGAAATAAGAAAGATCTGGCACGGCGCTAGAGGACTTTCGAGACGGGAATTCATCCACGGACAGCAGAGGAGTTCCTGTGATCTCAATCTGGGGGCCTTTGGTGTCCGGCGATACGACTGGTTCAATCGTGTTTTCATTGTACGCACCAGATTCGGAACTGATGGGCGAAGTGACGTCTGGTGCGACGTCCCCTGATGAGGAGAGCCGCCTTTCACCGGGAGTTTCAACTGCAGGGCTATGAGAGCGAGGCGAGACAGTGATCTCAGCCCGTTTCTCAGCCGGCAGACCTTGCTTTTCGAGTTCTTCATTGGCAAGTTCCTGCCAGAGTGCCTGGTTGTGGCGAATATGATCCGTAGTGAACTGCAACTGCGGCAAGAGATCGGATATGCCTTCAAAGAGTGGTAGGGCGAATATTGACATGAACCCGATTTGACCAGTAGCCAATTTGTAGACGTTCCCTAATTCTGGTGGCCCACCGAAGAGCGCAGTCTCCATCCCAACCTCCCTTTCCATCTCACCCTGATTGGCAAACTCCTCCTGCAGAACTTGCGTCCACTCTCTTGCAACCTTCCAAGGCCGCGCCACGTTGCTGATGTCGGCACATTTTATCAACAAGCCACACACCAGGGTCTTGTACATGTCGACATCTTGCGGCTTCCAGCCTTCAACAGAGCGGTTATTTTCGGCGAACTTTTCTTGGAACGAGCCCATCCGCTGCATAAACTTCTGGTGCACGCCCATATCTGTAGCCAAAATGGAACTGATAAGAAGCTTTCGCAGCTGGTGGTCCTTGAATGCTGCCGGCCAGTGTCGACGCAAGATCTGGGAGAAGGCAGCGCAATGGAATGCCTCTAGGACGGAATTGTCGTTGTATAGTTGCGCAAGAGGTGCGTTGAGTTTCACAAGGAAGAAATTGTTGACACCTGGATGACCAACGTCGTGACCAATGGCCGAGATAAGGAGGGTAAGGGAGTCGAATGGGGTGAGAAGGGAGGTGATAGGAGTCTCGGGAACAGAGACTTGACCAATAGGTCCATATGGAGGCAAGGCGCCAATGTGCAGCAAGAAGCAAAAGACAGATTGTAGTACATCGATCGCGTGGCGGAAGTTGTGATATAACACGAATGAATTGTAGGCGGCGCGGCAGGCGAGAAGGAAGACTTGCAGTTCATCAGGCGTTAACCGCCAAGGTTCCAATCCTGGCATAGAGAGGGCATGCTGTATCATTTCACTGGCGCCGAAGACTAATTCATCCTCGGTGAAGTCACGAGCTGAGAAATCCCAACAGCCTACCTTCTCTTTGATCAAAGGCACACGGGCAGGATCCAGATCCAGGTCCCGCTCCTGCAGTTCATGAATGACCTCTTCTGGGTTGCAGATCCCTTTCATGAGTTTTGAAACCATGGCTTCTCTTAGATAAGAGTACGGCTGCTCATCATGGACACCAACCCACGAAAGCTTTCGCTGCTTTCTCCGGGCAAGGAACCGAGACATCTCTCTCTGGGCGGCTTTATGGGTACGATAGGCATGAACCACCAGCCCTTGAATTCGAGACCGATCGAGCGGAGTGGCCAAAACATCCACAGCACCGGCATCAAGACAGCGGGCGATCTGCTTGTGCTCCACCGTGAGAGGTCCTTGGAAACCGGGAGTACCGGGAGTACTGGTAGGGCCGGCACCAGCATTGTCGTTGAGTGCATTGTGAGCAGGCAGACGCAATATCGCAACGGGAATAACTAGGTTCGGGGCTTCCTGGCCTTGTATATCATTCGAGACACCTGTCAGAAGTGACAAGCCACGTGCTTCGTCGAAATGCGTTGAAAACGTAAAGGTGTGGTGGATGGAACCAGGCGACGGAGGGGCGCCATCCGTCCACGAGGCGCGACTGGCTTTCCGACGAGCGAGGTTGGACGACTCTTCGCCGCTAAAGTCCACTTCAACAAAAGCAAAGATCGGGCTACACGCGTTGCCCGCACGGTCGCTGAGCTCGGCGAGCTTGGAGGCAAAGGAGGATCCATTGTGACAGAGATATACTGCAGGAATCAAGATTGATTAGTCAATAAAATCAAACGCAGGGCCAGAATTGCAGAACCTACCTTGTTTGCACACATCCAGCAGGTGCTCCACATCCGCCTGCAGGCCCTCGGAGTCATCGGGAGAAAAGTAGGAACCTGTCGATGATATCGTAGATGTATCAGAGGAATTCCTGCGCACCCATCTCTCCGACTGCACTCGGTCGTCGATATAGACGCCCGAACATTCTAAGCCGTCCCCCATGGTGTTCGAATAAAACAGGCGAATGACAACCCCCAATCAGGCTATGTTGCCGGAATCACAGAACCGACAATAACTCAATCGGAGCGAAAGAAAGGAAAGGAGCCGATCGGATTTATCCTGACTCGCATATGGCGCAGATGGTAAGGGTCGTGGTGTTTCGCCTGGTGGAGAAGAACGGTATGGGTGACGTGGGCGTTCCGAGCGAAGTTGAGAGAGGTGAAAAAAATACAAAAAAAATGAGCGGCGAATCGGGGGGATAAGTTATGGATGACCAGTATTAAGCCGAGTGAATGAGCTCAAAGAAAGTCCAAAAAAGGAATGGCAGGAGCCCAGCAATCAAGCTCTACACCGAAATTGAACAATGGAGTTGTTTCCTGCAGCGAGGCTGTCCGAGTCGCGTTGTGGACTGGAGGTTCCGAGACAACCCCTCAGAGAGTCTAGACTGAGTGTCGCACTAGGCAGTTCAAGCGCGCAACCCGCTTTTCATCCCCCGGAGTTGGAATTCGAGTGACGGGGATGGAATCAAACACGTGAGGAATGTCGAGGACGGGATCAATTGGGAAGCGTCAAAGAAATAGGGAGGAATCGGAACAGGTGGTCAGTCGGACATGGCCGTGAAGCGGTGAGATCGGACAAAGAGAGAGTAGGGAGAATCAATAAGAAAGAAGTTGGAAGGTCAAGAAGTTGTCGAGAGCAAAACAGTTGGAGGGGCGAACACGGGGAAGGGGCTTCTTTCCTCCTTCCAGAAGGCCTTGGGGCGGGACGGGATGATCCTCAAGTAATCTTAGGCATTTGGTAGGGGTACATCGCCTGTACTTTTGATTCTTAACGTATATCTTTATGCTGATGATCTATCTAGCATATCTCTAGCAATTCTCTAAATACGTCTTGTTTCTTCTCTTCCTTCTCTTCATTTTCTCTATTTTCCTCTCATCTCCCTCTTCATCACTTCTTGCAGAGCCTCCGATCGTAACCGGTGGGCCCAATGACGCCTCTTTCCTCTTTTTTTTTCCTTTTTGCTATCCTTCTAGAAGGCCAGCGGGTTAGGTAAGCGCAGATTCTTTGACATAATAAAGTGGATACGAGGATATGCGAGGGGCATAAATGCACATAGATCAGAAGTCTATTTGACTATATCTGCATACTACCATAGGCCCTAGAACACATTCATACAAGTACACCCGATATAATACACACTGTGTATAATACCACACCTGATGAATCCTCCTGCAAAATCTTAGAGAAAAAAAAAAGAGAAAAAAAGAAAAAAAAGTGGATAAACGTTCGGACCAAAATGGGGCCACACCGGCGGAAAAACCAATTAATCCGTTGTGATCTCATCGACTGCTGATTACAGTAGAACAACCCGTCTCCACTGGGGCACGGGGCTTCCAGGGATGTTCCAGACTGCAGATACGTGCTATCACATGGAGAAATTCGACGAGAAACTACACAACGATCGGCACCGTCAGGATGTGATCATCCGCATATACAGAGTAACAGACAGAGCAACATTGAAGTATAGTTGATTTGTATCTTTCAGCCCTTCCAAGTTTTTCCAGTCGGAGTATGGAACGGGGGCTGTGCACGCTTACTTAATTTCCCTTGCTGAGTGCAGAGCGTCCACGGTTCAGTTGCTGATCGCGTTCATGTGATTGGAAGGGTGTATACAGCCAATCAGAAGAGTAGAGACAGGGTACTTCTAAAATGTGTGTATGCCCGTATGCCGTTACCTGCAATGTACATGTACCTGGTACTTGAGGTTACAACATTTAGCGTACATTCTGCAAGTGCCAAGTGGAATGAAGTTGCAAGGTGGGGGGTTGTCGATCCCCTTGGCGATTGATAGCATGAACCTATACACCAGCCACACTCTATTCAATCATTCTCTCTAATTGTGTATGTACACACATCGAGATCTTGACGTGTATCTACTTACTCAAAAACGCAAACAATCTTTCCCTTAGTAGTGTTACTCTCCAGCAACTTATGCGCTTCCTCAATCTTCTCGAACGGGAAAACCTTCTCAACGAACACCTTGAACGTCCCGTCGACAAACTTAGGCAAAGCATGCTCAACGAGAGTATCCCTCAATTTTTGCTGATAGTCCACATCCCGACTGCGCAGTGTGCTCCCCTCGACCCGCACCCGCTTGTACAGCAACGGCGCGATGTTAACACCATCAGGTAACTTGCCCCCGCCCATTAGACCGAGGAGCACGACGCGTCCGTCGCGCGCCGCCACGTCCAGGTTGCCCTGGAAATAGGTGGCGCCGATGAAGTCGACTGTGAGGTTGACGCCGGCGCCGCCGGTCGCGGTTTGGATCTCGCTGGCCCAGTCTTGGGTTCTGTAGTTGAAGGCTTTTGTGACGCCGAGTTCTTTTTCTAGGAAGTCAATCTTCTCTTGCGAGCCCACTGTCGCGTAGATGGCTTTTGCGCCGGCGGCTTTGGCGAGTTGAATTCCTGAGATCGAGACTGAGGAGGCGCCCGCGTGCCAGAGGACAGATTGGCCAGGTTGGAAGTCGCCGATTAGGAATAGGGCTTGCGAGGCTGTGATCCAGGTCTGAGGGGGGAGTTAGCCACATGTAAGACTGCAGTAGGTCGGGGAGAAGGATGCATGCATACCTCGGGCACACCGGCTGCCTCTTCCCATGACAGCTCCTTCGGCTTGTGTACAAGCATCTTCGTCGAGACGGCGACGTATTCGGCATAAGCGCCGCCGTAGGCAAGACCCAGGACTTCATCGCCGACCTTGAAGTCTTCGTGTCCGTCCGGCCCAAAGCTCTCGATCACGCCGGAGAACTCCACGCCCATTGTCGGGGGTGCCTGGGGCGGGAGCGGGTACTGGCCCTCGCGCTGCAGTAGGTCCATACGGTTCAATCCGAAGGCCCGAACCTTGACAACGGCCTGGCCTTCTTCGGCGGTGGGCTTGGTGATTTGGTCGACAAAGAGGCTCGATGCGGGGCCTTTGCCGCCTTTGATGCCTGGGAATTGTTAGTTGGTACTCTGGACATGGGTGTAGAATCTGCGAGGTATTGATATAGGAATATTGGAGCTACAAGTAGGGGATTTTAGGGGCAATTGGGCTTGTATCATGGCTTCCAACAGCTGGTCATCTCCAGCTGTGATGTGAATGACATCAAGTGGGGGGATGTTCTTCCCCGCGTTCACTTACCGATAGCTCGCATAGTTTCACTCATCCTCACAGATAGGTATGTACAGTGTTCACTGAATAGTTCCTATACAAATATTTGCAGAAGAAATGTTCTATATTTAAGAAATCCTGTTATGTCGGCCTGATCTCAACATCGATCGGCATTTGTCAGCTCCGTGAGCTCCCGTTCCGAGGTCCACCCTGGGAAAGCTTAAGAGGGGTTGACGATGGATGCCGGACAGCCGAGTGGATAACGAGTCTCTTTAGATTCGAGAAAAAAAAAGCTGTAGGCAATAGCAATGCTATTCAATTCTAGCTGAAAAACAATGGGTAATGGTAATATCAATCATAAAGGCCAATCCTACTCCATGCAATCCTTGATTTTCGACCATATCAACCCCAAACCAATAACAGACTCCACGGACTTTTCCCAGCCGTAATTCAAGTACGCCAGAAAACAGCATGATAAAAAGAAAGAGAAAATGAAGGGTGAAAGACGGTGACCGACTGGGCAGATTCCCCGTAATGACTCGAGGTCTCGGTGACTGAAAACACAGAAAAGACATGCAGAAAGGAAATCCAAACCCGGGCCGTTTTGTTCATCGGGTGCCTTGGCATGCATATGCAATTGCACGGTAAAAGCAAATAGAAGAGGACGGAGGTAATTATCATACAATTCGAGTATGAGCGTCCGTGCGGGTATGTCGTTATGAAAGAAGATTCTTCAGTGATGGGCTTGCGCTCGCCCCAGTTCCGGCTGTACCGTTGACGGCCCCTGAATGCCGGCTGCTGGGTCCACCCATGAGGGAAGGTGATGTGTCTTCCGGTCGTGTGGGAGGGGTAGGCCCCCGCGGAGCCATATGGGCCTGGCTAATTGGCGGTGAGTGAGAAGGAGCGCCTATCACACGGTCGACAGAGTACATGCGATGAGGCGGACCCCCATTAAGAGCGCTCAGCGAGGTCTGGGGTGAGCGATTGACTGTCGTCGCCTGCACAATTGGAGGCGAGGCGGAGGCTGCATACGATCGCGGAGGGGGCTGTGAAAGATGCGGAGAACGGACCGGAACGGGGCCATACGGGCTTTGGTGCGTGGGATAGGGTGGTGGTGGTCCCGGCGGCCCAGCACTGGCGTAGTGCTGTGATGATGCCCCCGCGGGATGAGGTGCATAGCTATTCATGTGATGATGAGGAGGTGGTGGTGCCGAGGGATAAGGCGATGGCGACATGCCATTGCGCAGAGCCATATCGGGAGTGGGACGCTCGTATGGCCCAGTGTACCCTGGCCCGGGGAGTCCGCTGGGTGAGTTAGCTGGAGGCATTGGCCGCCCAAGCATGCCGTTCGGGGGAGGCGGAGGATGCGGGTGGGGGTGTGGCAAGAATGTATGACCCGCATGGTTTCCGTGACTAGGCATCCGTGAAGTAGGCATCATAGGACGCTGAGCAGAGTAAGGCGAGGGCCGTTGATCGGGCATAGGCTCTGGAATTGGTGGAGGAGGCGGCGCCGGGTTCTTCAAGTGGCATTTGTGACACTCATATGCCAATTCGGCCTGATCTCCATTTTGCTGGGCGAAGGGAGTTTGTAGCGGATGATGAGGGTATCCAGCGCCATTAGCCATGGCAGGTCGTCGCGCGACAGCCCACCACCTGGGACTAAAGCCGGTAGCACAACGGGCACATGCACGAGGGGTCTCAACACCAGAAGCGGCTGGTCGTGGTGCAACATGATTGTTGGAATCGATATCCATCGGATCCTCAGGTCCATCTTCCGAAGCTGGTTGAACTTTTTGAGCATCCTTCTGAGCTGACGCAGCGCTCGTCGAGGCCCGACGATGTGCAGTGTGGGAAGACGGTGGCGCAGATCCAACAGATGGATGCATGCACGCCGCTTTGCGAACGGTTCCAGTGAGGGAAAGGTCAGCTTGCTTGTAGGTCTGGGCGAACAACTGAAGAGCGTTGAGTTGGCCCTGGTTGGTTTGCTCGCCAATCTCATGCAGACCAGGCGGTGCTGTGTGGTTTGGACAGTAGACAGCAGGTGTCGCTACCCCAACATCTTCGCCCAAGCGAATGGTGCGCATGCCATCGCGGCGCGAGCTCTTCACAGGTGTGATTTCGAAGCCGAAGCGGTAATGTGCCTGGAAGGCACAGCCCACGTGGAAGTGAGCATTGCAACCGGTCGAACTGCAGGGCACACAGGCGCCCTTGTTTGACTTGCAGACCTTACAATTCCAGCGCCACCGCTCTTTGGGAATGGATGCAAATCCTTCCGCGGGCTCAAGCTCCTCTGCAGCCCCGTACTTCAACTCCGGAGTCCACATGGTGCAAAGTACGTGGGCCCAGTTGTTGCCTGCAGTACGCTTCAATGGTTCACGAGGACCAACCGGTTTGCCAGCAGCCTCCTGTCGCTGACGATAAAGTTTAATGGCCTCGACAACCATTTCCTTCTCCATGCGCTCCTTTTCCTTGTCACGTTCAGTCTTCTTCCGAGGGTTGTTTTTGGACGTTTCCATGAGGTCGTGCTCGGTCCATGATACTGGGCAAAGGACGCATGTGTAGTTGGTGGAGATGGATGGGCTGCGATCGTTGGAGCACATATCACACAACCATTTGTTGCCAGCACGCGAATCCCGCACGCCATAACAACTGCGATGGACCGTGAGCCGACAGTCCCGGCATGAAAGATGCTCTTCGCCGGATGGTTCGACTTGGTTGCAAATGGCACAAGGGAGAGTCTTCGCCTTGGGTGGGTCAGGAACAATTGGTGGAGCTTCGACAACCTTCTCGGGTGCCGTTTTCTTCTTCGGCATGGGCTCCACAGAGGTCGCGGCCGACGGCGCAGGCGTCTCCTTGGTCTTCTTCTTCGTCGGATCCACCTTGCCTTCCAACAGGAGTCGCGGGTTTGTATCCAGTGGAATGCCCATGGCGGTAGCTGTCGTAGCAGTGGCATTGGTGATCACGAAGGGGGTCTCGGTGGCAACAATCAGTTGGGCGAGCATCTCCTCGTCGATACGTCGTCTCCATGACTTGTTGCCGCTGCTTGCAATCCTCTTCGCAACCTCATCAACATCCTCGTATTGAATTCCGTATTTCCGCCACAGCAGAGCGCAGCGTAGACAGAGTGAAACTGTAAGCATAGGGCCCTTGTCCTTTTTGTTCGAAGGTTCGGATGGAACAACGGTGCCAGGTGGTACCAGGGGCGCGCGGCGCCACTGTCGTGAATGACGGGTAGAACAGAACTTGCAATGGAAACCCTTCTTCTGGGCAACCGCTTTCTCGGAGTCAAAGGCGGAATCATCATGATCATCGGCCACGTCGTCGACGAGTTTGGATGAAACGACACTTTGGCGTCGGACTTCCTTCTTTCCACGTCTACCTTCATAACTGCCCCAGATCTTCCGACCGCTGGGGGTCTTCTTCCACATGTAGTAAAATCGGACGATCTGATAGATATGGACAGTCTTGACGTGTTTCATGATATTGCGCCATTCCGATCCATATTTGGCGACACCCTGTTCGAACAGCTTGAGCTCCTCCGGTCGAATGTGGGGCTCCTTGAGATCCTTGTACTTGTTGGTTTTCTTTAATTTGGCGAGGGCTGACGGGACGTCGAAGCTCTCAGAGTAGAGTAATTGAAGGGCTTTGTCGAGGAAGTTCGTGGAGTACTTCTCAACTCCGATACTGGGTGCCAGTTCCTTAGCTTGCCGCATGTAGTCATCGATGAACTTCTCTCGGTCTTCGTCGCTTAGATGAGACCCAGGTGCATCGTCTTCACCTCGGCTCGGGATCTGGTCAGAAGAGGGCATCTTGAATTGAAGCTCCGCAGTGCGCGCTTGCTTTCCGTTGATTGCGACCGGTTCGTCCTCGCCACGATGGATATAGCCCACAGGTTCATCTTCCACCCATTTCGGTCGATTTGCTCTCTCGCGCTTCGCGGCTTCCAATGCCGCCTGCGCATCCTTGGACAGCTTGCCGTCCTTCTTTGATTTTTTCTTCATGTCGAGCGGCTTCACGTATTCCACTGGGCGGCCTGGCCAAGCTGGAACCACCGCCTGGTGCCGGGTTCCTAGGCGTGAGCTGGCGCGTGGGTAAATTCGATCGTCGTAGTCGAGAGCATCCTCCACACGGCAATGAATGCCGAGATATCGGTAAGGCCACATTTTGGCCTGCGCGATCTGTTCAGCGGTTGCAGGCTGAGGCATGAAATCCTCCTCGGGTGCGGGTGTGCTAACGGAGGTACCATTCGCTGCACCGTTCGCGTGATTGTGATCATCTTCTTCCTCTTCTTCCATGATCACATCTTCGCCGTCGGTTCGGATGCTGCCGTTTAATGGTGTGTTACGTGCTTCCAGTTTCCGCTCCTGGGCACGACTGCAAGCAGCACAGGCCCAAGCGAAGCCTCGCGCGGGTTTCTTGGTCAAGGCGGGTCGCACACAGTACATGTGATATGTTGAGTGGCAAACGGCACAGTCGACAGATTCGGAATGTGCAGCGTACAAACGGCATCGCTTGCAAGTCTTGACGGCACCCGTCAATTCTTTCCCCTTGCCGAGTTCGACGAGAATGAACCTCCAGCGGTCATCGAGAACCTTTTTGACGTTGGCCGGTACATTAATGATATCTTTCGTCGGTATAACATCGTAGAGACGATGGATGTATCTGTCAAACATTTTATCGTACCAGAAGCAATTCCTCGTCTTCTTGTAGGCGTTGATATCATCAATTTCCGACACATGTCGAATGTCGCATCGGCCTCGTAATGAAGAAAGAGGACAGGTGTCGGAGTGCATTGACGCAAACACAAACCGAGTGTCGGGAGAGTGGCGTTGAATATCTCGTGGGCGGTAATACCAGTTGACTCTCATGGCCTCAATGAACCCACCTGGTTTTGTCTTGGATGGAAGAAACTCCATAATCCGTGCCAAATAATAAGGCTCACCCGGAGGTTCGCAAATTAGATAGACGTGATCTGCACAGGGTTAACTTCGCAAAATCGCTTTTATTTGACAAGAGTGGAAACCAACCATTAACGGCAAAGGTGGTGCCATCATCAGCTATTAATTTGCCGTCGTGCAGATACGGCCCTGTATTTTCAAAGCTCACCATGTTGGTGAAATAACCCCCTTCGGAGTCCTCTGGTGGGGAGGTGAAGATCTTCTTGGCGGTACTGCCAGAGGTGGGCGTGGAGCTTGGCGTGCTGGCAGGTTGTTTGCGTTTTCTCGAATTAGAGCTATTTGCATCTTCCGGTCTGGCAGAAAATGATGAGGTGCCCGGAATGGCATCTTTTGCCGAGCCATTTGCGCTGTGGCCGTTGGTCAAGGCCTTCTTTGGTTGCGCCGACGAGGTCTTCTCATCGAAATTAGCGCCGTTGACGATGTTGGTCAATGCCTGGCCGCTGTTTCTTTTGGCTGACTTGGAGGTTGGTGCGGAAGGATCGATATCCGCGTCCAAATCACGGTCCTCAGCATAATTGGGCCGAGGGGCGTTGCGACCTCTCGAACGCGTGCCATACGCGGTGGCGGAGCCGTTGGCCGCATCGGCCACTGCCTCCGGAGAGTTGGGGGCAGTCATCGAGTAAACCCCTTAGTCATCCACAAGTTGATGGAAGTGACTGGGGAGAAGAGAAAAGGTTAAGATGAAAGAGAGAGAACAAGTCCCGGGGTGGAGAATATAGGCCCAGAAGCTGTGGCGGTGATTAGTGGGAACCCGAAACCTTGGGAAAGCGCAGGTAGGCAGGCGTCAATTGGGGGGTGGAAGAGTGGGAAGGTGAAAAAGTAACACGAGGCGGAAAATCTCAAAATACGGGCAGATATGGGATCATCCACATGGGAAAGCCGAGAACACAGAGAGAGTTGCGAAGGGGGAAAATAAGAAAAAAATAAGTGGGAAAGACAAAGAGTGGACCGTGTCAGATCTTATTCTCTGCAGGGGTGGCCCGGGGCACAGATATCAACGCAGACACAACATTGATAGGGGAGATGTACTAGGCATAGCTGGGGGAAGCTAGAGCTATATAGAAAGACAACACTTACGGAATAATCAAAGGTACAGCTGAATGGCTGAATGGCCGAATGTATGATAGAAACAATACACAAAACCAATCCGAAGGGGAAGGAAAGTTGAATAGAGAGGAGAGGAAGAGAAGAAAGTAGATAGAGTGTGGATTGGGGGGGGGGGGGGGGGAGGATTAGAGGGGAGGGAAGGGTCGGGATCAGCGGGTCAAAAGCGTTTTAGCGGGTAAAAAAGACGATATAGCCCAACGGGGAAGGGAGAATGGGGGATAATTGGGAAGGGGGCACGAGTGAGGAAAGGAAGAGAGAGAGATGATCGAAAAGGAAGAGAAATGAAAAAGATGAAGAAAGGTCGAAGATTCCCCCAGCCCGGGAGGTTGTGCTAGTCCCGATATGTTAATATGACGGATCCTCAAGAACCAACTGGGGGTGTTACTCCCCTTGCTCGATCTAGATGGTCAGGGATATAGAGAGAGATCAAAGAGTGGAAGTGGAGATGGGGAGAAAGAGAGGAAGAAGATTAGAAAATACTAGAGGAATGCTGACAGGAGTATCGGAAGTTCGTTCAGGTATGTGGTCTGGTTTGAGCTCAAGTTCTCAAAAAGGGAAGATAGGATCATCTTCTGATATTGGGAGAAAATTACCATACACGTTTTGCCTTTAGAGTTGTTTACTCTTACTACTCCATACCAACACCATCATATGTATTCATTCTGTTTTCCCGCCTCTTGGATCCTGTGTGACCAAACAACCATTTACATTGAACCTCGAGTGTAGGCAAAAGGGGTTTTCAAAAATCACCTTCTATGATCAGTGTACGGGAAAGTGGAAAATACAGTGGATCCCCTGATTGCCGGATCTCGCAGTATACACAGTATAGGGCTATCACTTACCGTGCATACATGGTAGAACAGAGCATAGAACAGTATAACAGGACTATACATCAATGCAAAGAGAACAAATCAAGTATCAAGTATCGGCATCACATCTGTAATATGCTTCACTCTCTTTCTTCAACGATCGGTGCCAGCCGAGAACTGGCCGAGCATGATTTGCCGTGAAAGTCTGGGCTCTTTAGGTATAACGTGCCGGACTACTCCGTTTGGAAATCCACCCACGGGACCGGATAATTCCACACAATCATCTATTACGAGATTGTTCGGTATTCTTAGATACCTATAGTATTAGTATTATACTCCTAGGTCCCGATCCATGACCATGTGCATTTAGGGTTGAAGAGAGATCGGAGTCCGGACCAACTGATATACGGCGGTCAGACCTCCGAGGAACGACAGATTCAAATCTCCCTGACAATTGACACCTTTGTGATTGGTTATACCAGTGTTCTCTTCATTTACCAGGTTGTCCTGGTATCCAGCTCTTGTACCTTTTCCAGCCCCAGAGTGTTTCGCACGTTTATTTTCATTTTCCCCAGGCAAGACGGGACATACTATATATCACATTCCAGTCGATGCATGGCGATCCAACTAAATTTGGCGCCCGTCATTCCATCGACATACTGCGTACAATAGGGATATGTGAGCACTGGTATTAAGACCAAGCATAATCTTACATGTACTCCAAGTCTCCAATGCATCGGAGATCGGTGGATGTGGTACACGCGACTCATGATACAGTCGTTATGACGCCTCCACCTGCCCCGGTCGGGTCTCAATAATCTTGTACCGGGTCTCGGGATGCCCAATACTGAAAACTTGCTTTGTTTCTTGGGCTCAATCAGGGATTCAAGTCCAGATACAACATATGGTTCCCTAGCCAGGCTGCCAGGAAAGTCCACGTCCACCTGCATGTGCGTTGGGAGGCCACGATATTCCCCTAGCCGCACAGGGCAGATCATCAGCCACCGTTGTTGGCCTTAGGAGCCTTAGGATCGTCACCCGACCCTCTCGGCTCCGACGCACACAGTACACGCGAGCCTTGCTCGATATCGGGTTTCAAAGACTGGCCAGTGTGCGCTTTACAATATGCTATAAGATTATATTTAGGCAATCATACCCCAGGCAATCGATCTCGAATAGAAACTTTGTAGGTATGATCTACGGCGAGTGGCAATCCCTGAGCAAGGAGACCATCACACATCGGAACATGCAGCAAAAAGTCATGCACGAGAGCATGGAAGTATTCAATAAAAGATTAAAAGTCATAATCCCGCCATTTATTTGTACACTATTGAAAAACAGTGATCGATGTCTCGCAATGTCGTCAAGTGAGTTCTCCAGGGCTCTAGGACAAAAACCCTGCCCAGATAGGTTAGTTCCATCCAAGGGTCTGAGATGACGTATTTACTGCCTGAGGCCGTCAATGTTGCCTAAGGATCCGCGCGGGAAAGAACAAACATGGGAAACAGCAGCGCATCAAACATAACCATCAAACATTCGAAAATCGAGAAATATGGCCACTTTGGTGAATACATTTGGATAAATCATAACTTATATAAGTTTGGATTTATTCAATGAAAAGCCTGGAAGCCACGCATTTTAGGCATGTCAACCTCAGGCCACCAGTCTCGCGGGTTTCAGACCACCATTGATATCGCCCGTCAACAGGCGTATCGCGTAGCGCCCGTCGCGGGACAAAAGCGACCCCCGACAGAGACCACAGAGCAGCCTCCCGATTTACAGACCCCTGGTCCAGTCGTAAAGCAAGCTACTTTTGCTCGTCAAAATGCCAATCCAGACATCCTAGTGGAGTCAGCTCCGCTGGAGACTGCCCGTGACCTGCTGAATTCCCCTGTGAAGCGCGTTACCGCCAGCAAGATTATTCTCGGCGCTGGCGCTCCCCCGGAGCCATCCCCGGATGATCCTCCAAGGAGTACGCCCGTTGCCCCGCCTTCCAGCCAGAATCCCCTGCTATCCCTGTCTAATCCAAAGTATGGCCTGCCGCCCGCCCTGACGGCTAACTTTGCCGCCCTCGGCGTCAGGAGTATCTACCCGTGGCAGGCATCGTGTCTGTTGGCTAAGGGCCTGCTGTCGGGTGAACGTCACTTGGTTTATACCGCTCCGACGGGCGGAGGCAAGTCCCTTGTTGCGGATGTTTTGCTTTTGAAACGCATTATTGAGAACCCCGGCCAAAAAGCGCTGATGGTGTTGCCTTATGTCGCATTGGTACAGGAGAAACTCAAATGGATGCGTCGTATTGTCCAAGATGTTGAGAAGAATGCCGATGATGAGCAGAATGATTCAAATTTCCCTCGCAGGCGATGGAAGAAGATGCACAAAAACATTCGGGTGACGGGGTTGTTTGGTGGCAGTCGGACGACGGCCACCTGGGCCGATACTGATATCGCCATTTGTACAATAGAGAAAGTGAGCATGTCTGATGATCATTGTTGCCAGCAAAATCCTGATATTCTTTTCTTAGGCCAATTCGTTGATAAACACCGCGATCGAAGAGTGTAGCATTGGAGAGCTGGGTGTCGTGGTTCTCGACGAGTTACATATGCTTGATGACGAGCACCGAGGATATCTCTTGGAACTGATGGTCACGAAGCTGCTGTTGCTGCAGCAAGATATCCAAATCGTTGGAATGAGTGCCACGCTCACTGTGAGTATTGGTGCTTCCAGTCTTTGGGGATGGCTCTAACAAATGCCAGAATACCGAGATGCTAGCACAATGGATGAATGCCAAGTTCTTCATCTCTACATATAGACCAATTCCAATCGAAGAATATCTGGTGTACGAGAACGGAATATACCCAGCTGCAACTTCGAGACAACTGTTCCAAACAGCATCCAAGCTGACCGCTGCTAAATCCTTACACGATACCATCCCTCCCCATCGGATCATCCAGCCGTCTACTTTCAAGCAGCTCGCCAGCCCCGCTATAAATGCCATGGTAGCGCTAGCAGTCGAAACTGCAACTGCAGGATATGGATGTTTAGTGTTTTGTGGTAGCCGCAATGCATGTCCCATTAATGCTGCGATTATTGGCGAAGCGATGCCGCCAGCGGAGCCGGAAGAGTTGAACAAGCGACTCGATCTCCTCGCAGAACTGCGAAGTCTCTCTTGCGGGCTGGACCCGGATTTGGAGACTACAGTCATCAGAGGCACAGGGTTTCACAGTGAGTGCTCTGTCCATCACGAGAGAGCTGACCGATCTTACTGACGTCTACTTAGATGCTGGCATGACGACCGAAGAGCGGGAGCTAATCGCCCAGGCTTATGACCAAGGTGTGATCAAAGTCCTCGTGGCAACGTGCAGTCTCGCTGCTGGTGTGAACCTCCCGGCGAGACGAGTTATTATCAATGGTGCGCGAATGGGTCGTGAACTAGTCGGTCCGGCGATGCTGTATGTGCCAGCTTATCCCCAGGTGTGGAGAACATAAGGCTGACAAGAACAGTCGTCAGATGTGTGGTCGTGCTGGACGCAAAGGCAAGGACAGCGCCGGTGAAACCTACCTCATCTGCGTGAAATCTGATATGCAGGCTGTCTGCGATCTATTGGACGCTGACATGCCCGCCATTGAGAGCTGTCTCGCACCAGAGAAGAGAGGCCTCAAAAGGTATGTCTAACTCCCCAGCTGCCTTCTTATTCTTTGCGGTCGTTGACTCACATCCCATAGAGCCATTCTGGAAGCTGTAGCAACTGGACTGGTATCCGGTTGCGAGGCGATCAAAGAGTACGTTCGTTGCACGCTCCTCTACCGCTCCCTGGACAAGAAGCTCGTATACGGCATTATGAATCTCGCTCTCCAAGAACTAGTCGATGAAGAACTCCTAATCTTCAAAGACGACGAATCCTACGAAGCCTCGCCACTAGGCCAGGCAATCGTCGCATCAGCCTTTTCACCCGAAGACGGCCTATTCGTCCACGAAGAACTGAAAAGAGCCCTACAAGCCTTTGTCATGGACGGCGAAATGCACATCTTCTACATGTTCACTCCCCTGCAAGCACCATCGAACACACCCATCGACTGGCAAATCTTCCGCGACCAACTAGACCGGCTCGATGAAAGTGGTCTCCGCGCTCTACAATTCGTCGGCGTCAACCCCGGTTTCGTCAACAAGATGTATGTCAACAGGACCTCCCTACCCTTCCCACTCCATCCCAAACCCCCAGTCCCAGCCTTACTAACCCTCCTCCAAGGGTCCTAACCGGGGCCTCCCTAAGAGAATCAACCCCAACCGAAATAACCCTAGCCCGCATCTACCGCCGCGCCTACACAGCCTTCCAACTCCGCGACCTATCCAATGAAGTCCCCCTCGCAACAATAGCAAAGCGCTACAATATCCCCCGCGGCACAGTGCAAACCCTCGCACAACAATGCCACGGCTTCGCAGCCGGCATGGTCAAGTTCTGCCAGCGCATGAACTGGGGCATGATGGCTGCTGTATTGGATCACATGCGCGATAGACTTGAGGCTGGGGCGCGCGCGGATCTGCTTGAGATGGCGCAGGTTACATTTGTCAAGAGTTGGACTGCGAGGTTGCTGAGAGAGAACGGGTTTAAGAATTTGAGGGCGCTGGCGGAAGCTGAGCCGAAGGATTTGGTACCTGTTCTTATGATGGTGTGTTGGGGGGTTTCTTTTCTTTCTTTCTTTCTGGTTTGCTAATGTGATGTGTGTAGGTTAATCCTGCTAAAGCGCAGAAAACACATACTTATCCAACGGAGTCGGAGAGGTATGCTGCGAAGTTGTTGGCGAAGGCTGAGATCATTATTGCGCATGCGAATAAGCTTTGGGGTATGTTTTCTTCTTCTTATAAGTGGAATTGGCGTGGGTGTATACTGACATGTGGTTTTCCAGATCGGGAGATGCTGGTCGAGTTGGAGGAATGAATGTGCTGGGCTTGGGCTTGGGTATTTGCATAGTTTGGAGCGTTTGCTTGTTTGCATATCTACATAGTAGAGGATCCATTGGAACTAAGCCTACTGTCATTTAGGACAGAGTACGATAGAGACTCACGTCACACAGGTGCGTGGCATGTAGATACTTTACGTTGGTCTCATCTGTTGATAACATACCTGCCCCTGAATCTGATCGTAAGTCTAGGTAGATAGAATGTGATCCCAAGTTTCCTTCATGTTTTGTCTGTTGACTACACCTGTTAGTCTGCAATTTAGCTATGGTAGAGCCAAGGAGAGTAATGCCATGCGATCTATACATGATTTACAAGCAATTCGGCTCAAGAATGCTCACATCATAGTGCACGATATCTCGCCGAGTCCAGGAGAGCCGAATGTCCCACTCCCGCCGCCGTCGAATAGACCAGTCAAGATCCTGGATGTGGATAAAGGGACACCGGATGAGCATGTGTCGCGCGATCCACGATTGATTCGGTTGACCGGCGTTTATCCATTCAATGTAGAGCCGCCGTTGACGGCGCTGTACGAAGAAGGTATCGAAGTCACTTTCATGTCAATGAGAAACACAGGCTAAATGGACAAGGCTTCCTCACGACCCCGGAACTATTTTATGTTCGAAACCATGGCCCGGTGCCACAAGTTCGCGACGAAGATATCCCAGATTGGGAAATCAGGATAGAAGGGTGAGCCAATTGAAAACTATACCAGTGTGACAGGGTTTGAGAGAAAGGCTAATTGAGGAAGCAGACTGGTCGAGAAGCCTTTAGTCCTGAACTTCCGTGAAGTCCTCCAGAAATACGACCAGATCACCGCGCCCATCACACTCGTCTGTGCTGGCAACAGACGAAAAGAGCAGAACATAGTCCGGAAGTCTAAGGGATTCTCCTGGGGAGCGGCTGGGTTATCAACGGCTCTATTCACAGGACCGATGATGGCGGATATTCTGCGCAGTGCGAAGCCACTTCGTCGAGCGAAGTATGTTTGTATGGAGGGAGCTGATAGACTGGTGAGCATGTCCTGGCGAAATTTTCGGGAACCTTGAGCGTCGAATTTTGGCACGTCCCACAGCCAAATGGGTTCTACGGGACTTCGGTCAAATTGAACTGGGCGAATCGTCAACGTGGACAAGGTAGTATATACCGGGAGTTAGGGTGTCGACGCTTCCCACAGGGGTATAGTTCTTCTGCTGATAGGCTTTCTCCCGGAGGTCGCACATCTATTCATGGTAGAAACAAACTAAGCTAGAGAGTATGCCCCTGAAGCAGACCGCAAGAAAATAGCATACCTCGTTGTAGAACTCCGGCGAGACCGGCGTGCGACTTTCCAAGCGCTCATTCAATCGCACCTGCTCCGCGATCCGCGAAGTATCACCCTTGACACGGAAACTAAATAGAGTGCTAGCCAGACCACTGCCATAGCTGAACATGCCGATGCGCTTGTTCTGCGGTTGCTCACTAGGGACATAACATGAATATCAAGACGAGAAGGAAAAAGAGGGTAATACTATCTGCCACCCTGAGCTAGCGCCTGCTACGCTAGAGAAATACTACTATGCGGTTAGCAATTGGGCTCTGTACGTTTGACAGTTTGTATACTGCTCCAACCATTCAAGCACAGTGCGATACCATAATAGCAAATTCTCGGTGCTCCGGATCCGAGAACCCTCATCTGGAAATATGAGCAGAGCAGTCTCCGCTGATTGCAACTTTAGAGTGTTAAATGCAGCCAGCGTGTCAGAGACAGGACTCTGACGATTCAGTTCCCCGTGAATGAGTAAAAGTGGCGTCTTCCAGTTGCCGGCGTGCTGTGCAGGGTCCCATTTTCTCCACGCCTCTGGATTCAGCCAAGGTGGTCCACCCAGCCCATGCAAAATCGAATGCTGGGTGCTGTTAGATAGATGAGAGAGCAGGTTGAAGGTGCCATTATCGGCGATCAATGCTTTGAACCTGCACCCCAGGCCGTTGCCTTGTATCCAATTGATCATGTAGCCTCCGTATCCGAGACCGAGTGCCACGGCACGCTCGGTGTCGACATATTCGAGGGTCTCGCGGATATATTCAAAGCCCCTTCAAGATCTGCGTACGGCTTTCCAGCCCATGAGCCTTGTATCGCATCAGTGAAATGATTCCCATAGCCCGTACTTCCGGTGGGATTCGGCGCTACGACGATATACCCGTGCTCGGCGAAAAGCGCGAGATGACAGCGCATATCCCAGCCTTGCCTCCAGCTATCTTGCGGACCACCATGGATAACATAGAGCAGGGGATATATCTGCTTCGGCTTAAAGTACGATGGCTTCACCACCCATGCATGGATCTGGCGCTGTTCGTCACCCGGAAACCATATTTGATCAACTTGTCTTTCTGAAAGGCCAAAACTCTCGCCTCTGATGGGTGATGGTGGCGACGTGCCAGAAACTTGGGCCGGTAAATCTTGGATGATGACGCGTCTGCTGCTATCAGAGCTGTCGCAGGACACTAGAACCCGTTTTGATTTTTCAGGTAGGGGTGTCACATCCATGACCGAACCAAACCGCATGAGACCGTCAAATAACTCCAAGTCGGCTGGAGTCGGCGGGTTCGGCCAAGACGCCAAGTTGAGCTGGTAGAGAACTTGACGTCCCTCTTGCTCAACCTGAATCAGTAGGGATCCGTTGGAGAAATATGAAATTGACGACGGACTGAGATTCCATTATCCCGTGCCATCTGCGGACGCAAATATCTCTTTGCTCTCCCCTGTCTGGAAATTCGTCACCAGTACAATTCGATTCTTGTCAGCGGCATATCCATCCTCCTTCTTGCACAAGAGAGCCACCGTTCCGCCCGCATTTACAGTGGGAGAGGAGATGGTACCTCCCAACCCACGGAATCGCCAAGCATGGTAGCATTCATCTGGTGGAGGGAATCCAGTCCAAGCCATCATGGGACACAGGTAGCATGATGAGGCTGTATGTGTGGATTGATCGGACTCGGGGTCTTTGGCGACAAACAAAATATGCCAAGTATCTTTGAAAAAGTCCAGAGAATCGTCGTCGAACGATCCATCTGATTCGAGCTCCCCGAACTTGAAGTATTCCATTAAGTTCGTCATAGGTGTCATCGTATATTGACCCTCCGTAGCCTGTGATGGGCGCACCAGTCCTCCGAACCAAATGACGCTCTTGGGGCGATGAGCACCCCGCCCAGGGAGTGTAGTTTGTGGATGGTGGGGAGTATGTGTACTAATGTTATCATCAGGATTGAAAAGTGTCCCATCTGTATTGGCTTGGCCAACAACTGCGAAAGACAGATCATCGTCACAGTCCTCACTAAATGCAACAGATGTCACTTTGAGGTTCTTGACTGGGCCAGGAACAGTTCCCACAACGTAGTGGGCACTTCGAAGACGACTATCCCTAACAACAAAACGAGTGTTCCCATTATCCATGGCTTCCAGCCAGATGAGCTGTTCGCTGTGGCCGAGCCATCCGGGATAATTTGCACGAGGGTTATCGGTGACAGCCCAGGATCGCGGTGAGTTCATATCCCATACGCGAATCTCTCTAATCTCGCTGTGCGAGCGAAAAGAATATTTTCGCTGTGTGTAAACCGCGAGATTCCCAGACGCATTTGGGATAGGGTGACTGTATATTGGCGCTTCCAGTAGGGCCCTTCATGATTGGTTGGTCAGTCAGGGGTACAGGACAGCAGACGATCGGAACTTACTCGGGGGTCAGAGTACTATGTATGGCCATAGTGATGTCGAGAATTGATTTGTGTGGGTACTACGGCCTGTGGGGCACTGGGGTCCGTCTATCAGGATGACAATACTAGGTGGGTCAGGCTGCACTCCGTGGGAAAATATATTTTCCGAGTGCAGATAGTTGATTTGTAATCAAATATTATTGGCCAATATAAATACTTAATTCTTGGCAATACCTGCCCTTTCATCTCCATATCTCCCACCAATGAGAGCCCTCCCAATCCCCAGCGCCTATTCCCATCAACAACTTATTCTTAATGTATTACTTTTGAATTCTAGTACTCCGTCCAGGTCCCTTACTCCCTGAATCAAAATGGTGTGCTTCCTGAAGTTCCATGCCTCGTATAAAATGTATTAGTCATGTGATTGTTTGCCAAGTGACCCATAACTATTCTTGTTCTCCTTTTCTGCCGCTCTTCTCTCTCCCAAATACATCACGGACGTCAGTACCATACGAATTGATCGTTCCTCTTTTTGACTTGATTTCCTTCGCACTATTCCATCTCTTTATAACACAAATATGCAAACCCGAATGTGTCCTGATGATGTGGCCTGGGAACAAGCCGAGGAAATATCTGACAATTGACTGGCTCAATTTCTCGAACATGACGTCTTGAGACCGATCGGAAATTTCATACTTGAACACAACGGAGGCCGTGGGACCGATTTCGAAATACTCAGAAAAGGTTCTTATAACATCTCGTTGCGATTGAAGGATGAACATTCACATGAAGCCACCGTTATCCGGTTGTCGCAGCCCGGCGCCGTCTTATTCCCTGAGGAGAAAGTCGTGAATGAGGTTGCTATGATGCGATTTCTCATTGACAAGACATCAATACCTATTCCCTTTATCCACCACTCGGGAACAAAGAAGGAGAGCCCCCTCGAACTGAGTCCATTTATTATGATGGATTATATCGAACATGAAACGAAAATGTACGACGCTCTCAATGTCCCAGGATGCCCGACAGACGAACGCGGGGTCCTGGACCCGGCTATCGACCAAGGTAGACTTGAAATGCTATACGGGCAGCTGGCGGGTATCCTGCTTCAGCTTTCGACCCCCTCTTTGCCTCGGATAGGATCTCTTATCCAGATCGATGACTTCACCTGGGAAGTAACACGCCGGCCGTTGTCCATGAACATGAATGAACTTGTCCGATTGGGAAGCTTGCCGCGATCGAAACTGCCTGATCTACATACTACATTCACTACGACTTCTTCGTATCTCGAAGCTTTCGCGGACCTCAATATTGAGCATCTCGTCCACCAAAGAAACGATTCTGTTGAGTCCGCAGATGACTGTCGGCGAAAATTTGTGGCAAGGCGGCTTTTCCGCAAGCTTGCCAGGGACAAGCGACTCACCAATCCCTTGCTCGAGGAAGGGCCCTTCAAACTATGGTGTGATGATCTGCGCCCAGCTAATGTGCTGCTGCATGATAATTTGAAAATTGCCAGCGTGGTAGACTGGGAATTCACATACGCAGCACCCGCTGAATTTTCCTATGCGCCGCCTTGGTGGTTGCTCATTGAGAAGCCTGAGTACTGGTCAGCAGGCCTTGAGGACTGGACCAGAACGTTTGATTATCGCCTAAAGACATTCCTTAAGGTCATGAAGGATCATGAAGAGAGTGCGATCCAACAAGGTCGGCTGAAGGATGACCAACGGCTCTCGGACCGTATGTATCAGAGCTGGGAGAGTGGGGATTTCTGGATTGTTTATGCAGTATTGCATAGTTTTGCCTTTGATGTAATCTACTGGCAGAAGATCGACCCACGCTTTTTCGGGCCTACTGAGAACCCCGAGGGGGCATGGAAAGAGAGACTCGACCTGCTGGATGATCAGGAAAGGGACGAGATGGAACAATTGGTGGTTCGAAAGCTGAAAGAGATGACAACAAGGGATCTTGCGTGGGACCCAGATGAATATACATTGGCTTTCCACCGGCAATTGAAGGAACGGAAAGAAAAGCCACGTGAAGGAAAGACGACTGGAGCGGATGGAGTCCACGATATTGACAACAGATCAGAAGGCTGTACTGGAGGACCTGACTAAGTTCATCATCGGTCGGGCGCGCAGCACCATCCATCGTCGAGGACTCGAGGACCCATTGATTGAATTTGAATGCTGCGTGAGGGTTCACCAAATAACTGTGCGGGTGCCCGATAATGGTCACCGGGAAATCCTTTGTCGATTGATGGTTGGCAGATTCCTGAATTCCCTCGGCCTTCTCTGGTGTTGGGATCGTTACGAATGTCGCCTAGTTATTTATTACAAGTCCAACATTACCTCAGCATGCTCAGACCAAACATTAGTTATTATTGGCTGGGTCATGTGTAGTCACATGACATACCTAACCATGTTAGGTTCAGCTCAAATGTTTGGTCTGAGGAGGTCTTTGACCGCCCGTGCAGAAGGATCGGGGGAAAACCACGAAACGAGCCTCTCTCTTTGAACCATAAGATCTCGACCACCACGTCGATTTTCTTCTCAAAACTTGGCTTCCAGCGTCTTCTCCTTTATCTTCATTACTCTATACACTATCAACCATCTCTGAGCTAAGGCCGTCGAGATCGAAGCGTCCGCGCTCGACCAAAATTGCGGGGAAGACACAACCGATGACCGTCCACGTCGCATCAACAACGTACATGAAAGCGTACATGAAAGGGTCTCCCATGTCGCTGATTTGCTTCAAGAATGGAGTTGGAGCTTCCCTCAGCTCGTCAAATACTGGATCGATCACAATAATGGCGCCAGAGGAAAGCGACGTACAAACAAAAAAATTGGGTATCCTACGCACCTTGTTTACGGACGACTCGGGGGCCATCATCAAAGATATAAGAGATGATCCTATCATGGTCGATATTATGGACGTTGCGATAGAATATTTAGTCCAGGAAATACGCGCAGAATTTGGTGAGCTACGGCGGCTGTCTACATTCGGCCAGTGGAAGGCCGACGAGGATGTCAGGCAACTAGACATGTCAATGATGGGAAAAGAGCTCTCTGAGCATGCGCCACTATTTACGAACCTGATGACCGAACTAGCCTGCAACACCAATGCCAGAAGCAACGGCTACGTACGCAAGGAAGAGGAGAGCTATCTGGTGATGCTGGCATCGATCTTGCTGCTGAAATCATCCCGGAACACCACAAATCGCTTTGCACGTATGCTGGGATTCTATCTCCAACCTAGGCTCAGGAATTAAGCGACGCACCATAGAGGTGCTGGACGGTCTGGGAGTCACAGAGTGCTATTCGACATTAAGGAACTCGACGACGGCGCTATCTACTCATACGAAGGTATGTATATGATATCTATATACGTGAGGGATCTCGTTATTTTATACAGGGTCATTCAGCATCTCATTCGAGACATGGCACGCGATGGCGATATCACGACTTTCTATGACAACTTCGACTACTTGCAGAAGTCCCGTTTCGCGGTTCGATCGAGGTATCAGACGATCGAACGCGAGGATATTTACCTCGAAGAGTCCTTTTTAAGCGAGGCATGATGGATATAAATGGACTGATCGAAGGAAAAAATCATCAGCTCGGGTCTCAAAACGCGTGTTCTCTACCAGGGTATAGCCATGTAGATGCCCGATAAAACGCGACATTGCTCACCAGCACGTTCAAGCATAACACTCGCGTTCTAGGAGGCGTGGAAACTTCAAAATAGTATCAAAGTAATTGTCCAGTTCGCATTTATGACGCTTGTAAGATTGAAGATGGTCAGGTCTGTGGTTGTTGAGAACGTTGAGATCGAAATTCACACACCAAAGGAGCGGTCAAGCTGTTGGTCGATAATTCTTGGCAAAATTTCAAAATACTCCTCAGACGAAACATTTGAGCTGAACCCAACTTGGTTAGACAGGTCATGTGAGCATTACCCAGCGAATCATATTTCGTCTGAGCATGCTGAGGTAAGTCCAACACTCTACTAAAACTCCAGTAGATATAAACACAATCGCTCGTAAGCAGATATAACAGATGAATAACAGAAGAAGAAAACACCCATCTTCCACGCACATTTCTACAACTCACCATGTCCACCATGCTGAGGTGCATGCTTCTCCGGCGCAGCCATAAACCCACCAGCGCGCACGCGCAGCCCGAAATTAATCGTGATGATAATGACAAGACCAATGCTAAGGACCGTCGGACCCCAGCGCTCATAGTAGACGCGCTTGACGTCGCGGCGCTTGCGGATCTTGTCCACGCGCCAGATGTACAGGAAAAGACTGTAGACGAGGGCGGCGGCGGCGAGGATGGTGAAGGCCCAGGAGGAGACGAGGGTTGCGGAGTCTGAGCCGAAGTTGAGGAGAGTTGCGGCGATGCCGCCGAGGATGATGGAGAATTCGAGCCAGGAGAGGAAGGTGCGCTCGGCGGCGAAGTAGACTTTTGGTTCCACGCGGATGGGAACGAAGATGCCTGTTTGTCCATTAGTTTGTGAACTGTTTTGTGTGTTACGCTGGCGTCGAATGACGGCGAGAGGAAGACTTACGTTTGCCTGGAGGAGCGTGGAATCGTTGCAGCGTGCGTCGGTGGCTACTCAGGACTTGGATGCCGCGCTGCTCGGGGGGTGGCAGGGTTGTTGGACGGGGGCGCGGGATTATTGCCATAAGACCCTGTGCGACGGCGTGACCGGTTCGAATGAGGTAGTGTTTGGCTAGCTGCTGCGCGTAGTAAGCACCGCCTATACGGCGGGCTTCTTCTAGCTCATCGGAATAAACTGATTCGTCGTCGGAGTCGTACAAGGGGTAATCTTCATCACCGGGAAGGGGTTGGGCGGCGATGCGCTCTTCAATGTCTAATTCGTTGCCGTTGGTCTCGAACAATCCGTTCTGGCGCTCGCCGTCCAAAGTGCGCTCGTCCATCCCGGGGTTTTCATCATCGTCTGAGTCTTCGTCATTGGCGGATATTGAGGTACTCGCCAGAGGCCTGTGAATACCATATTGGCGGGAGGCGGGTTTGCGGATGTCGACGCCCATCTGGGGGAACCAGAATGGAAGCAGGTTGATGCGCGTAGGGAACAAGGTGGCGGTGCCGTGGATGAACTTGCTGAATTTCGGAACTGCCTCAACCAAGTGACTGGCAGTCAACTCCCGAATCCACTGTGGAGGTTCCTGGCCTGCCTGGGTCTGCAACTTCACCTCCAGCACGGCATAAGGGAATCGGTCAATATCCTCAGGTGGCAGCTGGGAGAATGGGAAGTCGACGCCGATATCCATGCGACGCCAGTTCTTTCCTGCCCTTCGGCGGCCGTCCATGTTGTCCTCTCGAATCATGGTCAATTCTGTGTCAAGAGAGATTCGAACACGGGCGTCTCCCGGCAGCTGGAACGCAGTGCGGTGGTAGAAGGTACGAGTGACGGGCACCAAGCGGCGGGTCAGGACGCGGTACTGAATCTCACGGGCCAATTGCTCTAGACCATCAATTTCCGCCGCGCTCTTTTTGCCTTCCTTGCGCGCTTTGTCGAAGATCTGCTCAACTGTCATCCGTCCCTCAAGGAAGGCATTGACGTGCTTCTCCTTGAGGGCAAAACGCGCCTTGACAGACTTTTCTCCCGTCCAGTCCTCGCGGTGGGTTTTCCGCTCCACGAAGATCTGGTCACTTTCCATTCCACCGTACCAACGCAGTCGAATGGCCTCGGCGCCTTCTGTTTTCTTCAGCCGGCCCTGATACAGCTCCCACGTATCCGTGTTGTCATAGTAGATAGAGGAAATTGCTGTGTCCTCCTCTGCGAACTCCTTGCTGGCATTGAAAACTAACACCGGCAAGTGCTTCAGGATGACCAGCTTCAACTCTGTAATATTATCACGATGCACCCAGTACTTTGTAGTCTGACGCACAAAGTTCTGCTGGGTGCCACCAGCGGATGCGTCACCCTCAACCGGGTTGCCCTTGGTTCGAACCAAATCATACAGTTTAGATAGTTTGATCACAAAGGCGTCGTAATTGTCCTTGAAAAAGGGTTTCGCTTTCAGACGTGTCGCGAAGACTGGCTTGAGGTACCATTGTGTTTCTTTCTGTGGAATTGTCAACGAATTGGGGCCTGGCTTGAACATGGAATGGAGGACATACGTCATGCTTCTTGATGATCTTCTGGAAGCCCGTGTAGTTCAATTGGGTGAATTTCGCCAGGTCATGCACATCGGCAATAATATCACTGAGCACCTGTTCAAGAATCAAGAAATCCTGATCGGTGGGCGGAGGCCGAGAGGATCGACCGCTCTGGCGACGGGAATCGACCGAGCTATCCAGACGGGAGACCACATCGTTCACCTCGAGTTCGCTCTCTTGGATCCGATCCACAATCTCCTCACTCTTGCGCTTCTGAAACAGGAACACCTTCTCCAATTCGCTCTCGAGTAAGGACACAAAGTGCGTTTCGTCGTCCTCCGTCCATTCTTTGCGGGCGGGCTTGGTATTATCGGGGGTCGGTTCATCGACGAAATCGGTCTTGAGGGCTTTCTTGAGATCGTCGTACGCAATGTAGAAAGGATAGTACTCTTTAATCAGGGAAGAACGGAGATATTCACCGAACCTGTGGAACAATTGGATCAGTACGCTGATGATGGTGCGGGCGATGGGAATTCCTGTGGCTGAAGGATAAGAATGGGTCAGGGAATTACGCACCTCATGCTGGGCTAGGAGAATGTGGGATATCGACACGTATGAGTCAGCCCAACCTCATACCGAGGGAAAGAAGGAAGAGAAGAAGGATATCACGGTAATTGAGAGAACCCAGATCGGAGGGTTGAAGCTCTCCGACGGCGAAGGCGAAGGCGTACTTTGATAATGGGGATCCGAACTCGGCTAGCTCGATGACTAGCGGGTGACGGGCCCATCTTGTCACTTAAAGCGGGTGTGTCCTAATCGAGGTGATACAATGTAGTCTACATCGTCGTTCTGATGCAAATTGGATTGATTTGTAGTTGAGAAATGGAAAATTGAGTAGCTTGGCGTGTATATAATCATCTCACTTTATCAATTTCCTCTAGGGCTCTACTATATCTGCCATCATACGTTGTTCCAATGTAGCTAGTTGGTAATTTTAGTATTGTAACTATGTATTTGTGATACAGCCACACCTGAGTCAGTCCCGGACCTCCTTGGTGACGTTAACAATCTGGCCAGTCGCGGGCGCACGTGGGCCGTTTTCCTGTCTAGAGCTGTCGGAGATTTTTTTCTTTCACTAGTAGTACTCCGTAGTATTTAGTCTCCTCTTTGTTATTTTGATATTCCACCATTGTCAATTGACATTAGGGAAAGAAATAAGCGATGAGACCACTACTCCATACACATGTCAATGCCACCTGGGTAAACTTCCATATCTTCCCCTTGCTGAGACCCTCCGATCCCTGTTGCAGATGAGCAGGGATAGAGCCTAGAGGCATCTGCAGCTGGACGATCAGGCCCCACCCGGACACCGTGCGTGGTAGATCTCGATGATTGATATCTTCACTTTGAACATACTATGTTGGAATACAACTAAGCATACGACCACGGTATGTACAATCCGGTTCAATTGTAGGTTACTTCTAGAGATATTGGAAGGCCGAAATCATCCATAGCAGTTCAAGGGAGCTTGCCCATAATATTATTCGAAACCACAAACGCCAGACACCCTCGGTCAGAGATGACATGCACCTAATCTATCGTCACATCATGGTATCATCGCGGCCACTTAGGACATGCCCATGGCCGCCCGGCGAATACTGCGACGAGCACCTTCACCAAAGACATTCACAGCACCCTCCGTCTCCAACGAGCGTACTACGTCACCAAACTGTTGATGGTCAAGCCTGTTGTCGCTCTGCTCGCTCACATCGCGGTACAGGTCAGCCCAGCGCACGGCACCGCCAGCCACACCACCACGCTCATCAAGGCGGGACAGGACTGCCTTCTTCAAGTCGTCGCGCAGACGACGGTCGGCAGCGCTGCTACCTTCGGTAAGAAGACCCATGTCGATGAGACCAGTGCGGGCATCGGTCGCGGCCTGCTTGATGGCGGAGCGGATGAGACGGACGGCTTCCTCGACATCGCTCACCGTGACCTCGGGAGACAGACGCATGCGGGCATGAGCCTCGGAAAGTCGAATCATGGATTCAAGCTGTCGCGTGGTGGCTGTGATACGGCGCTCCTGAGCGCGGATGTCGTCACCCAGCTGGCGCATAGCCACATAAGCATCGGTGAGTGCCGCACCGGCAGCTGGGGTGATCACGGGGTGGCAGTTGGTCTTGGCGTATGTGATGTAGGCTGTAAGGAATTCGATGGGCTTCAAACCATTGTTAGGTATCGCTCTCATTACGTGTACGGGGATGGTCACTTACCAGAATTTCCTGTGAGCTGCCGTTCTCAGGGTTGTCCTCCAAATACATGCCAACCAAGTGCTTGGCTAGACGACGATCTTCCGTTTCGTCGACTCGATCCAAGACCAGGTAGACCAGATCGAAACGAGAGAGCAGAGTAGGCGGCAGATCGATGTTCTGAGGAACAGCAAGTTTGGGATTGTACCTACTGCCAATGGGATTGGCTGAGGCGAGGATGGACGTTCGGGCATTTAGGGTAGTGATGATACCTGCCTTGGCAATAGAGACGGTTTGCTGCTCCATGACTTCGTGAAGGACAGACCGCGTGGAGTCGTTCATCTTGTCGAACTCATCAATACAACAGACACCTCCATCAGAAAGAACCAAGGCACCAGATTCCAGGACCATTTGGCGAGTCTCGGGATCACGCGTCACGTATGCAGTCAAACCAACAGCAGAGGAACCCTTGCCACTGGTGTAGACTCCACGAGGAGCGATCTTGTGAACGTAGCGCAGGAGCTGGGACTTGGAGGTCGACGGATCACCACACAGAAGGACGTTGATATCACCACGGTAGCGAGGGTTGCCTCCCTTTTGGAAAGTCTTGTTGGTGCCTCCAAACATCTGCAACAAGATACCCTTCTTCACGTCATCCATCTCGTAGATGCTAGGAGCCAAGGAACGAGACAGCAGGTCGTAGATGTCGGGACGAGAGGCGGTCCGCTTGATTTTTTCTTCTTCTTCGGCTGAGAGTTTGCGCGACTGATCTGCCTCTGCTGCCTGCTCGGACATTTCTTGCTCAACAGTAGACATGTCAATGCCCATCTTCTTACGGTCAAACTTCTGCACGTGCAGCACATCGATGTATGTCTTGAACAGAGACTTCTGCGAGCGCTGACGAGCACTAACCCGCATGGGATTGCAGCGGAAGATACCAGTGACTTCCACGCGGTCACCGGCTTTGCAGACGTCGACTAGCTCGTCATAGACACACAACGAAACCGAGTGCGGAGTTTGACCGTCAGGAATGTTGTCGGGAGTCTCCTGAAGCTTAATGACTTGCTTATCAGTAAAGGTGCAACGGTTATGCAGGAGTTGCATCGAGTTCTTTTCTTTGCAAGAGTCTCGGGGGCAGACGGTTGGCTCGACAATTCTGCCACGGTCAATGTCCACCTGCACACCGTAGCTGCAGACGCTGCACCGGAAGAAGCCTTCTTTCATATCAGGGATGATGGGTGTAGAACGAATGACCAAGCCCTTGATGCAGACAAGCTTGTCCATATCGGCAGGATCAAGGTCACGCATGTTCACAGACTTGTCCAGCCCGAAGGGAAGCACCTTGAAGTTCATCGCCTCTACTTCACCAACCAGATCTGGTACATCGACGCTTGGACCCACCGCATCTGAGGTGAGGATAGGCTGACCACGTCGGTCACGAGGCTGAGCAGCGCGCTGGCTCTCTGACCGAAGAACGTCCATCTCCTTCAAGGCCAGATCCACCATCACGTCCTTCAGAGCTTGATCCATGAGAGGAACAATTTCCTGGGGGTATGCCATAAGTTGATGCCACAGTTTGCGGGTCAATGGGTACGCCTTCAGATTCCCAGCGTCGAGATTGAGTGCGGTCAAACCCAGTCGTCGCATGTTGTTACACAAGTCGATATACTCATGCCTCTCTGCTGATGCTCCCATAAGTCTGGTTTCGTCCTCTGTGGCGCCATCAGCCCACAGACGGTATTTTGTGGCGAAATTATACAAGAAGTTCTTGAATGCCGCCATCGAATCTGTAATCGCAACGTTGGTACCCCAGATAACACGAGTAGAATTGCCAGCCAAGGCATCGGCCTCTGAGGTGCCGGGGTTGATATTGGAAAACGTAGCATCGGAGCGAGGCAAAGCATCGCCGGTGGGCATTCCATTGGCATCGACAAACACGCGGGTACGGCGATTAGGAGTCGATCCAAAACCACCAGAATTCAAGTCACTGCGACGAGGACCTGTTCGTCGGCCCGCGGGCGACACAAACAGTCCACTACCAGTACTTAGTGCATCGGAGCGAATGTCAGAGCGAATGTCAGAGCGAATGTCGGAGCGGATATCTGAGCGACCGATGCCTCGAGTCGGGCTAGAACTGGGAATATAATGAATCGGAGAAGAGTCTGACGGGTGGTTAGAGTTCTGCGGAGAAGGAAACAGTGCTACCAGATGAAGTTCTCACCTCTCACACCGGGGTTTCCCCGTGGGGTTCTATCCCCATCGTCTACCGTTGAGCTGGCGTCGGCCATACGCTCATCAGGAGTCTCGGCATTGTCGTTCTCCTTGCTTGGGGATGATCGGAAAAAGATGGGCGATGAAGAAGGTGCGGCTTCTTCAGCCATCAGACGCCTCGAGGCACGGGGGGTGGCTTGAAAAGTCGGGCTGCTAGGGGGCTCCTGTCTGGATGAAGAAGTGGGGGATGCAGTTGCATTCTTGGAGGAGCGACCACTCCGTCTTTGTGCGGGTGATGACATGATGGATATAAATTAATGTGTTGATACCAGACGACGGTCAGGTAGATGGTGATGATATCGGATACAAGTGAAGAAAGGGAGAGCAAAAAGCTGTGGGCGGAACGCGCTTTCTGCCGCTACCGACGCGACCTACGCGTTAAGTGGCTACCATTTTGGGTAGACGTGTAGTCACCAGCCACACTCAGTCCCTGACCGTGGCTAAGTATGGCTGTGCACCCGCAGTATTCTGCCATGGTAACATGGTTCCGCTTTGCCGACCTGAGCAGGTGGATCGTCACAACCAATCAGCGCTCCTTCCCCTTTCAATGAAATCAACGAAGCTTCGATACCTACTGTAGGAGGCATTCAAGGAATTTCAACATGTCATAGTCTCATAGATAACGAAAATCTTCCTCCAGGTGGCTCTTAGCCTCTTACTTCTTTTTGTTACAAATATAGCTCAAAATAATTGGGCGCTTCTGTCATACAAATGATTCATCTCCTTTCATCCCAAACCTGCCTGAAAGCCACCACTTGTCTGGCTGTTTCACCAAGCGCCTGATGTCATCTTGGCCTCGATCGGCGCTCCCCACGATCTCACCAATCATCCCTGTTCTTCAAGGTCCCAAGTCATTGTTCAAGACGCCAGCTCAACAATCGCGCCACTCACCTCATGAAAAGAGAAACGTTCTTAATAAAGTGATCTCCGACATTAGTTACTCGCTCCTGTCCCCACCGCTGATCAGGTTGGCGCCCTTTGTGTCTCTTGGATCGTCTTTGTGATTTTTCTTTCTCCTTATCAAAAGTCTCTCTTGTCGAAACAAGCAGGTCATGGACTATCTTTCTTAATATCCATCAGCTCCTACAGGGAGATCTCGTGAAGTGCCTTGCGGGGTCAGCTTCTTCGATAGCCGTCGCAACGATTTAACTTCCCCCTTTTCCACCTCCAATTTACCCTCGGCAATACCCGAGCTGATCGTCATGCCTTCGGGTTTGGAGAAAGCACTGGAACACACCGGTGGCCATGGCCGAACCGCTGAAGGTGTCTCAATAAAGACTTTTCTGGCCTCGCTAGGAACCGCCATCATCGTCTTCGTCGTCGAATTTTTCTTCTTCCTAATACTCAAGAACAAACTAAGTCGCATATAGTAAGTTTCCCGAGGCTTCACCAAAAAGCAGAAATTTGGGCATGGGACTGATCAAAATTGGCATTTAGTCAACCCAGGACATATTTGGTGCCTGATAGAGAACGGACAAGTCCATCACCGCCGGGCCTTTTCCGTTGGGTTGGTCCAGTGTTTCGTACCTCGAGCGCGGAGTTTATCCAAAAATGTGGGCTAGATGCCTACTTCTTTCTGCGCTACCTGCGCATGCTACTCAAAATCTTCGTCCCCCTTGGACTTCTGATCTTACCGGTTTTACTCCCACTCAACCGTGTTGGTGGCAAGGGCCAGAACTATGAAAGTGGTGACTCAGGAAAGAGGTATAGCGTTACTGGTCTGGACCAGTTGGCATGGGGTAACGTAGCCCCTGCGCACGCCCATCGGTACTGGGCTCATTTGGTGATGGCCGTGACTACCATTATCTATGTTTGTGCTGTCTTTTTCAGTGAACTTCGCCACTACATCCGCCTGCGACAGGCCTACTTGACATCTCCCCAGCACCGACTCCGGGCCTCCGCCACCACCGTGCTAGTCACGTCTATCCCGCCTGATTGGCTAAGCGTGGATGCCCTTGATAAACTTTTCGATGTCTTCCCTGGAGGTGTGCGAAACATCTGGCTTAACCGCAACTTCGACGATTTGAATGAGAAGGTCAAAGCACGAAATGATCTTGCTCTCAAACTTGAGAGTGCCGAGACCGAGTTGATCTCCAAATGCAAAAAGGCGCAGCTCAAAAAGGCCAAGGCCGAGGCAAAGAAGGCTGGAAAAAGCAAATCAGGTGCAGAAAAAGAAGAGCAGCTGGCGGCTGACAAAAGGGCCTCTCAATTGGCTATGGGTCCTGGTGTCAGCTCTGGTAATCCTCATGACGCCCACACGGTACGAGAATTGTTCCACCCACAAGCGACTCGAGAGAAACGGTCGGAGGAGGGAGCTCGACGAGTATTTGACCCTGCCTTCGCAGCCGCTGGCGCGGTTGGCTCAGGTGTGGGTAAGTTGGGAAAAACAGTACTTGGAAGCTTCAAGAAAGTCGAGCACGGTCTTGAGGGGCCTTTGACTCAAACCCGAGGCTTTGTTGCCACGACTGATAGCGTACTCCCACCGCGTGCAAACACCCCTCCGGCTCAGGAGCAAACCGTCTCCGATAACACCCTCCCATCGCGCGCAAGCACTCCTCCAGCCCAAGACCACCACGCCTCCTCTGAAAACAAGCCTGTTACAAAGACCGGCAAGCCTTCTGGACTGCGTCAGTTGGGACAGAGCCCTACACAGAGCTCAGCTCAGGAGAATGAAATTTGGGGTGAGAACATGTGCCGTGACCCAAAGGTTCCGCCCAAGCCACCATTCTGGAGACGTCTGTCGTCTCATCCGAAATTGCAGGGTGTGTCCGAACCGGACGAATTCCCACTAACTGCACCTGAAACCCCTGTGACCGATGCGCCTCCGCCTGGGCCCATTGAACACGATGAGCACGAGAAGGGCAAACCTGGCCGAAAGGAGAGGGATAAAATGGAAAAGGAAGAATACCCGGCCGCCTACAACGAAGATTTCGATAATGAGGACTACGGGGAGCCACTGTGGAAAAAGTACATCCCTGCCAAGGAGCGTGACACCATGCGGCTACCCATATTTGGTTGGAGTTGGATGCCTTCAATTTGGCTCCTCGGTAAAAAGGTTGATACCATTGACTATTGCCGAAAAGAAGTTGCTCGTCTGAACTTGGAGATCGAAATCGATCAACAGCACCCTGAACGATTTCCGTTGATGAATTCGGCCTTCATTCAGTTCAATCATCAAGTCGCAGCCCACATGGCATGTCAATCTGTCAGCCACCATCTCCCCAAGCAAATGGCACCCCGAGTTGTGGAAATCTCTCCTGATGATGTCATTTGGGATAACATGTCTATCAAATGGTGGGAACGCTATCTGCGTTCCTTCGGCATCATAACACTTGTCTGTGCAATGGTCGTGGGATGGGCGTTCCCCGTCGCGTTTACTGGACTGCTATCGCAGCTGGCATATCTGGAGGGTGCATTCCCATGGCTGGCTTGGATTGGCAAGCTCCCAGACTGGTTTGTTTCGGCAGTTCAGGGTATTCTTCCCGCTCTGTGTCTTGCTATTCTGATGGCACTTCTCCCTCTCATTCTTCGCTTCCTGAGTCGCACCCAGGGCCTTTTCACTGGCATGTCCATTGAACTCACTGTTCAAAACTATTACTTTGCCTTCCTTTTTGTGCAGCTGTTCTTGGTCGTCACCATCGCCTCCAGTTTCTCTACAATTTTCGATAACGTTGCCGACGTGACTAGCTGGCCGCAACTCCTCGCCGTGAACATCCCGAAATCCAGTAACTACTTCTTTTCTTACATGATTCTGCAAGCCATGTCCGTGAGTGCTGGTGCTCTTGTACAGATCTTTGGCTTGGTGAGCTGGTTCATTCTTGCTCCAATCGTGGACTCTACTGCCCGGAAGAAGTGGGCTCGAACAACGAACCTCAATCAGATGCAATGGGGCACATTCTTTCCGGTTTACACTACCCTCGCCTCTATTGGTAAGTCATTCCGCTCTCTTGATCAAAGTTGCTCACTAACATTCTGCAAGGCCTGATTTACTCTGTGATTGCACCATTGATTTTGATTTTCAACGTCATCACTTTCGGTCTGTTCTGGTTCGTTTATCGCTACAATACACTCTATGTCACCAAATTCCGGTTTGACACCGGTGGCCTCCTTTTCCCCCGAGCCATCAATCAGCTATTCACCGGAGTTTACGTTATGGAGGTCTGCCTGATTGGTTTGTTCTTCTTGGTTCGAGACGAGAACAACGATGTTGCCTGCAAAGGGCAGGCCATCTGCATGATCGTCGTTCTGATCTTGACTGCCGGTTATCAGATCCTTCTCAATGAAGCTTTCAGTCCATTGATTCGGTATTTGCCTATCACTCTGGAAGATGAAGCTATTCGACGTGACGATGAGTTCCGTCGTGCCCAGCTCGCTCGCCTCGGCCTTCCCAATGATGATGATGACGAAGATGATGTTGAGCACAGTTTTGCTGAGCGCGAACGCCAAGAACGCCTTCAGGCTCGAGGGACAGGAGACATCGAACTCAAATCCCTGGAGACCAATATGCCAGACCAAAAACGACACAATTCGGATCACTTGTCAACGCCAAAGCTCGGAGGCAAACGTCCATCATGGGCTTCTAATTCCTCAAATCGGAGATCGAAATATTTCAATGCCAACTCACCTGCCGCCACGCCAGCGCCACGCGTCCTGCGGCAAAGTATGGTCCAAGACGCCGAGGCCCAAGGTGCAGGTCCCAACGCAGTCGGCCAGGCCCTATTTGCTGGTATCCACGACGAGTTGGAGGATCTCACGCCCGATGAGCGTGACCAATTGGTGCAGCGTGCCTTTCTGCACGAGGCCCTTCGTGCCAAGCGACCAGTCATTTGGATCCCGCGTGATGACCTGGGTGTGAGTGATGATGAAGTCTACCGCACACAACAATTCAGTAAACATGTCTGGATCAGCAATGAGTATCAAGCGCTAGACGGCAAAGGTCGGACAATCTTCAGTCGCAGTCCACCGGATTTCTCAGAGGTGGATTTGATTCAACTTTGATATCATTTGTACATTGTTACTTTTAGCCATTCTATAGCATTTCCAAGCGTCGCATTCAATCATAGACACATCCTATGCCCTTCCCTTTTCACAAACGTCAATTCATGAACTCTTCCCATGTCCACCGACCCAAAGTCTCCTTTAGTCCATGAACTTGCACAGCGGCAATCTGTAGTTATCGACAACCCAGTAAGCCCGACGCACACCCTCCCATTCACCGTCCAACTTGGGCACAGCAATATCCTCCCACTTCACATCAAACCCAGCCTCGAACAGATCCATTTCCGCCACCTTCTGGTAGACATCGTAAGAGATTTGTCGATCAGCACCCATCCCATTGAAAAATCCCCACCGACCTTCCTGCTCCAACAACCCAATAACCTGTTCAGAGAAGAACTCCCGGAAATCACCATACGACTCCGCAAAAGTATCGTAGTAAATAGCATCAAATGTCTCCCCAGCCGCCACAAGCCCAGGAAGAATATCCTGCCAGCGACCCTGGTGAATAACAACACCAGGCTTGCTGTCCCATCCGCGCTTCTTCATCTCCACAACAACATCCTCATGCGCCTCGACAATGTGGTGCACAGCCGGCCCTTGCTCCTGGAAAAACTTATCGATAATACCCATCCCGTGTCCGATATTCAGCACTTTCAGTCCCGGTGTCGGGAGAAGTGCCGTCGCGGACTTGCGCATGATCTCGCTTTCCCACCGCATCATCACGCCGTTCCGGTCTGCGTCCAGAATGCGGTCGTTCTGGATGTTCAGCCGGGACTCTAGGTATTGTGGGTTCGACACGTCTGGGTTAGCCGGTGTGGCTGTGGAGGGTGCGGAGGCGTCGACTAATTCAGGTGCTGTCTCAGTCTCGGGTTCGGTCTCGGCCTGGACCTGCACCTCCTCGTCTTCATCGTCGCCATCAGACAGCTCCTCGTAGGCGTCCAGACGGTTCAGCAGTAACTCTGCGCGTACGCCCGCGTCCACGATCAACTCGTATAGATCGAGAGCACCGATTCGTCGCGCGATACAGCCCGGTGTCTCATTGTTCTTGTCGAGGTCGTTCCAGATAGCGCCCTCTTGCAGTAGGAACTTGACTGTCTCTACTGCGGCCTTGACGGTATCGGCATCCAGGCCGTTGGGGGTGTCTGTTTCGGGCTCGCAGGCGGCAATCGCGGCGTGTAAAGGTGAGAAGCCGGTCTCGGGGTCTTTGACATTTGCGGCGTCTGGTAGCCCGGATTCGGTGCGGAGGAGGCGGCGCAGCTTGGACTGGTCGTGCTGTGAGGCTGCGAGGAGGATTTCTTGCACGTCGAGGTCGATGTCGATCTCGGTGAGGTGCACTGGGGTATCGTCGGTGACTTCAGGCATGATCTTGACGATGTTAGCGGATATTTGCTATGACTTGGCCTTGCAATGCAGCAATTCGACCTGGGAATGCTATTAGTCGATACTCACGAATTGAATGGAGAATTGGCTAGCTAATGCCAGTCAAGTGTGTTGTGTTAGATCAAAAGTGCCCGGTGCCCCCTCCGCTAAAAAAAATGTCTCGCCGCCTTCGTCCCCGCATGGAGAAAATATAGCTACGGCATATCCCGCTCACAAAATACTGTGTACATAATTACTGTGTCATATAATAGAGAAGAGACCGCATTTAGTTGCTTGGTAATCCAGCTATTTGTACAATAATCCACATCCCTCCGCGCATTAACCCTGAATTTAGTTGCCGTGGTGGTCCTCAGCCGCGGCGTTGACATTCAGGCCCAACCCTTGAGCATCCAAATAGAGCTTGTTCTTGCCACCGCTTTCCTGCAAGATCTGAGCGATGTTGCGGGCATTCTCAATCTTTCGGAGCTCGATGTAACTCTTGCTCTTCTTGATGGCGTCGCCAATGAGCTGGGCCGAGCGGGCCTCACCCTGTGCGCGGACAATAAAGGCCTGCTTCTCTTGACGGGCCTTGTCGACCATGAATGCGGCACGCTGGGCGTCTTGCTGTGCGACCTGCTTGGCCTCAACTGCGGCGGTGAACTCGGGGGAGAAGGTCAAGTGCTGTGGTGAGATATTTCGTTAGTATGTGATTGGATCAAATGATAGGAAAATGGGCGCATACCGTCAAGGACACATCATCTAGAGCGATGTTGAAACGGGCAGCTCGGCGAGCCAGGTTCTCCCGCACCAGACGGGCGACCATCTCACGCTGCGTGATCAGCTGACTGGCATTGAACTGCGCGACGACACTCTTCAGAACCTCGTTTACAATAGAGGGCAGGACTCTCTCGTCAAAGTCTTGACCGAGCGTCCGGTAAATCTGGGGCAAAGCGTCCACACGAGGTCTGGACAGGACACGGCAGGTGATGTTAACCATCTGCAAGTCCTTGGTACCGGTAAGAGAGGGGATATTGCGAGGCTTGGCGCGGACATCGTAGATGATGGGAGTCTCGAACCAAGGAATCTGGAAGTGAGTTCCTAAAGAGGATCGAAGGTTAGAGAGAGCTCCTTTGCCTAGCTAGGGAGTTTTCGTACCTTCGGCGTAGATTTCCTTCTTGACACCACCTAAACGCGAGTATTTGATAGCACGGTGACCACCGTCCACTAGACCCAGTTAGAAACTTGCTCCTCAATTTAGCGAGGACGACATACCGTTGAACAATGCATTTGACGCGGCCCAGGTGCCAATCCCTGCCAGAACAAGAGTTCCGACAAGTCCCATGCCTCCTCGGCCACCACCGGTTGGCATACCGCCAAAGCCGGCCTTGCGCTTCTGCAGCATGACCTGCTGGAGGCGCTCCCAAGCCTCTCTTTGATTTTGCGACATGATGTGAGGAATGACGCAGACGAGAATGTAGATGGATGAAGACGGACTTTGGTCTGACGCTGGGGCGGATGAGGTGAGGTTGCTGGCGGTGTGCTAAAGTCGGGCAGAATCCGCGCTTCTTTGCTTGCGCTCATCACTTTCAACCTTTCTCTCTCGCAATTCTGTTCCCATCACAATCATGGCGCCTGATCGGACTGGGAAGAGTGTGTTCCTCGGGAACATCCCGTACAGTATGTATCTACAGCTGTCTGTATAAGCTTCGAGATGCTAAATCCTATTTTCCAGACCTCACAGAGGAACAAGTCAAAGATCTCCTCAGCACAGCTGGCACCGTTACCAAGTTTCGACTAATGATGAACCCCGAGACCGGCAAACCGAAAGGATATGGCTTCGCAGATTTCGCCGACGCCGATGCCGCTGCCTCGGCGGTGCGCAATCTCAACGATCACGAAATAATGGGCCGCAAGATCCGCGTCGATTGGCCTCACAACAACGAGAAAGACTCCGTACCTCCGGATTATTCGCAGCAGTCACAACCGATGATGAACCAAGATCCTGTACAACAACAAATCCCAGCCTCGGCGCCGCTGCCACCACTTCCACCAGGCGTGGAACTGCCGCCTCAGATTGACTGCCCAAACGCCATCTCCCATACTCTCGCATCTCTCCCTCCCAATCAACTTCTCGATGTCTTGACACAAATGAAATCTTTGGCAGTTGCCGACCCGGCTCGTGCCACTGATCTTCTGCGCCAGGCGCCTCAGCTCGCCTACGCGGTCTTCCAGGCTCTACTGCTCATGAACCTGGTCGAATACCAGCTGCTTGGTTCCATCGTCGAGCAGGCCGCTCAACCTCCTCAAGCTGCCCAACCTCCTCAACAATTCCAGCCGTACGCTCCCAGCCAGATCTCTACGCCGCCTGTTGCTGGCACTCCCTTCGCCCCTCCACCCGCTCAAGCCGCTGCCCCCATGCTCGGCCAGGAAGAGCTCCTTCAGCAAGTCCTCACCATGCCTCAGGCTACTATTGATGCCTTGCCCCCCGTCGAGAGAAGTCAGATCATGCTGTTGCGCCAACAATTGATGCAAAGTGGCATGCGATAAGGCATCGTCTACTCATGATATGACGTGCAATCACGTGTACTCTGATACTTCATCTTCGTCCTCTGCTCACTGATAGCGAGCCTGGTGTGGCCTGTATCCCGGCCTTTCTTTCGTTTCTTTCACTACTGTACCAGGCGAATGGCGGCGCAATTGGGGTGATATCTTTCTATTTGCATAACGACTCTATCTCAAGCTCTATTTTCTGGATAGTAGCAATGACATTTTCTAAGTTGGCTCTCTTCATTCTATACATCTCATGTCAGAACCTTCTCCCCGTAGCCTCTTGGAATAAGTTGACAAGGTCATGCGCGTTTGTCGATCTGGAAGCTTCCAACGGATTTTCGAGCCCAGGAAACATGCATGACAGGTACAGCCTAGGGGTTTCAGATTGCGGTGAGCTTGCCATGCTTTTGTCTGATACCCCCATCATCGGCTCATGTAACTTTCTATCATAGCTGTAGGTCCTGACACTGCACATGCAGAAGCCTGAACCTGAACATCGTACCTGTAATAGAGTCTGCGTTGAGCGTTCCCATTTCTTGCTGCGGGCTTGTCATGCTTTTGTCTGATACCCCATCATCCGCATCATGAGCCCTATCTCATGGTTGTGGAACCTGACCCTACAAAGACTGCCTACTCTTGATATCATATCTGTAACGGAGGCTGCACTATTCGCTCTTGTCTGCCTGTGCGAGCCATTACAAACTTATCATAGCTGATCATTGATGTTATAAACTTACCTTTAATGCTGCCGTCCGTCACAAGACAATGTAGGCTGATCAAGAACAGTCTTCCCTTGATGAGTGGCATATGTAGCAGTGCCAGTAGTGGTTCGGAAAAGCGCTGCCTAATTCAGAATGACACTATTCAGCGCGGCTGGGATCACCTCGCCGGCGCTTGCTCCGTAGTACATCCTCAGAGGGCTCCCGCCCAATTTGGCGTTGCCTAAATCGCGGCGGCTGGGAGCACCTCGCCGGCGCTTGCTCCGAACTACATCCTCAGAGGGTTCTCGCCCAATTCGGCGTGTCCTGAATCGCGGCGGCTGGGACCTCATGACTGGAGCCTTCTCTTTCCTGGTGAGGTGTATGGACATGGTCAAGAGCTTTTGCCCAATTCGGCGTGTGCTCTGCTCGGCGCGGCTGGGAGGTTATGGCCAGAATCCTCTCTTTCCAGACGAGGCATGGACATGATCGAGGGCTGCCGCCATATTTGTCAAATCCCATGGCGTATCATTCGACATAAATAGAGGATCTTCTCCAGTCCAATTATTTTCTTTCTTCTTCTCCTCCCGTACACACTTTCATCCATTTCCTGCAGTACATCCCTTTGCTTCAATACCTTGTCTCGTCTTCCCCCGAAGACTGGTAACATTCATCTTCTGTGTTGTCGTTCCTCTGTTTCATCAAGTCCGACTCAACCCCCATCCTGTGTTGTCGTTCCTCCGTTTCATCAACTCGACTTCACTCCAATCTTTAGCCCTTCCTTGACGCAACAATGGCGGCAAACAACGAACCTACCCTGCAGCTGTTGCCGTCTAGTCCGGCGAGTGATGATCTAGAGCCTCCCGCTGGAGCAGATGCGATTCCCGAGCTGCGACGAGGACGTGCACTCAAATCGAGTCATTATCTAGCGACCAACCTCCCGCCTCTGCACAGCCTGCCAGATATCTTCGCTGACATGGCATCGAAGGCCCAGCAGCTGGGATTCGAGCATGTCCTCACTCGGCTTGGTGGTCGACCACTTCGAGTGGCGACAGTGTGTTCAGGAACGGAAGCTCCTCTTCTGGCCCTGGAGTTGATTCAGACCGGTAAGTGCAGTGACATTAGACATATCTTTTTTGTTCTTTGTTTGCTTGCTTCCTTTGCTTTGGTCGATTGCTTGGGTGTTGCTCCAAGGTTCATGTATCCATCGGCGTTGCGGGTGTTGTGGGTCCGATGTCAATTTGCCCTAACTCCTCTACCCGCGTCCCCGTCAACGCTTGGGGTCGATTTGATTCAGTTGACATCAGACATCTCAAAGATAATCATGAACCAATGACTAATCTCTTCTCGGTATAGGTCTGGTATCGAACCAACAATTCAGGATCTCGCACGCCTTCAGCTGCGAGATTGTCCCATTCAAGCAATCATACATTGAGCGAAACTGCCGCCCACCGCTCCTGTTCAGGGATATTACCGAGCTCGGCGGAGATCAGGCGTAAGTCTCCATCCTCATCTACCTTTGAATTGACCATGTAACTAACCTCCAGTCCAGGCGGACTGCCTATGGGTCCTTCAAAGCAATTCCAGGTGGCCTGGACATTTTGATTGCTGGCACCGCCTGTGTCGACAGTTCATCGCTGAATAGCCTGCAGAAGACCCTCCAGCAAGGTGGAGAATCAACGGCCACCTTTGGCGGCCTGCTGCAGTACGCAGCTAAATATCGACCCCGGATGATCATCCAGGAGAATGGCCGAAGCGCGCCATGGGGTCAGATGAAGGACATGTGGGAGGAGTTCGGCTACATATGTGTGCAAACAAACCTGAACACCAAGCAATACTACATCCCACAGACACGCGAGCGGACGTATATGGTCATCATCGACAAGCACCGCTTGGAAGCAGTCCACCTGATTACCCCTCTGGACCCGCGGGGAATGAAACTCACTGAACGCGTTAGCGACCTTATCGAGAAGTTCAAACGCCCAGCAAGTGCGCCTGTCGGACACTTCATGCTCGACGATGAAGACCGCCGACTCGAGCTCATCGAGAGGAAAGCCTGCCTCGATTCCCGGAGCGACGTCAGTTGGGAACAGTACAAAATTCGGCACGACCAGCAGCGGAAACAGCTTGCTTTGGGCACCGGGAGACCCATCACTCGGTCCCTGCCTGGAGTCAATGACCTGCAGGTGCCAGATTTCTACTGGCATCGTTTCTGGCAGACGCAGCCAGAGCGAGTGTGGGAAACGGTCGACATCAATTTCCTGAAGCGCATGCTTCAAGGATATGATATGAACCACAAGGAGTAAGTTTTACTCTACCCTCACTTCACTTCACAGATTGTTGACTAACACTTCACTTGACAGCCGTTGGATCGACCTGTCTCAGGGCGTCGACCGAAGCAACGAGGGAATTGCAGGTGTTGGAGTCGCGCATTGCATAACACCGAAGGGAATACCCTTCTCAACCACCAGGGGCGGCCCCGTATCGGGCATGGAGGCTCTGTCACTGCAAGGCCTGCCACTCGATCGGATGCTGCTGACGAGAGAAACAAACGCCGAGTTAATGGACATGGCAGGTAATGCAATGAAAAGTACCGTGGTGTGTGCAGTCATGCTTGCTGGTTTGATAGCCGTGCCTCAAATTCTCCAAAACGACGAAGCGGGTTCAATCCCACCTGGCGACACGCAGACACCACGTCTTGTTCCAAACGAGGTTTACGGCTTTGTGAGACGCACCCTCCAAGTCGCCGACGTTCCCCCGGTCGACCAGTCTGCTCTGAAAGCCAAGGCAGCGTGCAGTGTGATTTGCTGTTACTGCGAGAGGCAGACTGGGGTTCAAGATTCGATCTTCCTCTGCACGCTATGCGGGCATACCGCCTGCAGATCGTGCTATGGCAACCCAACGCATTCATATCGGCATGTTTCCCCTCTTTCCAGAGTGAAGCCTTCAGAATTCATTGAAGATGTGAAAAGTGTGGTGCCGATGAAGATCAGGATTTCCGGCCTATCTGATTCGACTTTCGAGACATTTAGACCCCTTTACTCAGGCGAAATCCTCGCCCAATTCTGGGGTGACTTCCTTCAGTGCACCAGGTCTGCCGTGCACGACCAATTCCGCTTTTTTGAGATCAAGCGCGGAAGAAAATGGCGAGTTGTGTACGACGGCGATCACGCCAGCTTGTTTCTCGAAATCGGTCCGGACTCTATCCAGTGGCTTTTGTACGGCCGAGATTCCCCTTATATACGGATTTCCGCTCTTTGACTTTCTGACCTTTTTAAGCTTAATGTCCACCGCGAGAACCTTAAATCGTTCGGTGCAACTTGGTATGAGAATGCTCGGGATCATCCCGTGGCTGCTGAGGCGCTAGTCGAAGAATAGTCGGACCAAGGGTGGCTCGAGATCTTACTATGCGTGAGGTCATGACAGGGGTGAAGGTCCTAGCGGAGGAACATCTGAAAGCTGAGTAGGCCAATTCAACAATGAGCCTTACCAGTATTATTTATTCGAATATGGGGAGTCACACATTAGTTGTGGCATACTTGTAACTACTACTGTTTAGGAGGGGTGCTTGCTCCATTCATGTCGTATTCAACATTGAAGGCTATAAAATTGCAGCGGTCTCCGTCATATGTATCTAATTACACTTGAATATCTACTGCGATTTCAACTGCAAGAACTGCTCAAGTGAGATATTGTCCGGCGTAATATCTACAATTGAGATAATCCCCGTATGTACTAGCAGTGATGTGTTGGATTATATTCACGAATGCGTATTCAGGTCGATGAGAAGCAGAGGATAGGAAAATAATTCGAAGTACCGTAAATCTAGAATACATGACCCTAGCCTATCTCAGCTATTACTGTTCATCTTTCCCTTCGGCTGGCTTCTCAAACTTCAACCACTTCTCCGGCACCTCAATCTGTTCTGCTCCCTGAACTCCCCAGAGCCACTGCGTAAATTCTCGATACTCCCCCTTTGTCGAGCCGGATTCGGGGCCTAAGTCAAGAACTTTCCCAGACGCGGTTCCGAATATGGATGGCATGTGATCGCCAGTAAGCTTGTCGTTCAGAATCCGAACGCCGCGACGAGTCATTTCCATCATAGTATCGGCGTAGCGCTTCGTATATTCGTCGACAGAGTCGTTTTCTCTTCGAGGGACATAATTGTGTAATTCGCTTTGTAGGATGACCGAGTCAGGATCAGCACCCTCTGCAAGGAGGCTGTCACGCTCCCGACGCGCCATAGTGGCGTAGTCCTTTGAAATCCTGTAAACCATGGGCTCGTCGTCCGACTCATGACGAGCTCCGTCGTCACTATAGGTTTGAGCGGATTCGGAGTATATCGCTTTGGAGTGTTGGGCCGGGACTTCTTGTTGCGACATGATAAATGTTCTAACTTTGAGTCCTAAGTCGTACTGATTGTAATAGTCTTGGTGGAAGCTCTGAGATGCTAGGAAACCAAGAAAACAACTTGAAAATGATAGCGATAAAGCAACAGCGCCAAAGGGGATCGATCAGAGTTAAACAAAGAGGCACAGAAATCATATGAGGTGGGAATAGTGGATAATTTGTATGAGCGAGTGGGGTTCGAATATGAGTAGGCAGTACCCTGTTTCACCCGTGCGTAAATGAGGGGACCACTGACGGACGATAGTAATTATGTAGACCTCTAGAGCTGTGGCATGTGCTCAGTGAGCGAATTATAGCACTTAGACCAAGCTTGGTGGCAATTCGACGAGTATCCGTGCCCTTTCGGTGACCCCCACACCTACGGCAGGTTATAGGTGCCACTCCCTAAATATCCAATTTACTACATTCGCCATTTACCGCTTTTCTCACCGCTTCTTCATTTTTGTAAATTACAAAACCTCTCCCATAATTAAGACCCTTCACATTACCTCTATAATACACCTAGCTGTAAGATAAATATTTTAGCTTATCCCGTACGGGCGGATAAACTTGCAATTTGCAACACGCACATGTGCAATGAACGGATCAAGATACAATATTTGGTTAGATAAATAAATAATAAAATTTCTAAATTCTTAAAGGACACAAATCACAAAATACAAAATAATAAGCCAAGTCTTATACATATAGCGGGAATCTTTGGAGCAATCCTGGAACCTTGGAGAGTATAGATTCTTACTAATCTGGCCCAACATCCATGGATCCATGGATCTCCAAGGCTGAGTATCTTCGATCGCAAATTCCAAGGTTGTATATTTGGTTTTTTTTTAGTTCTCGATATTCAAGAACCCTAGAACACTGTATCTTTATGAATCCTACAATAATGCTACGATAACACTCATGGATACAGCCTCAATATTGGAACATTACGTTGGACGAATGTGTTAAATTACATATGAGCATACAGCAAAAAACGGCAAAATGCAAAAGGGCGGAATGTCAAATGTGGCAGAATTCATATTTAGGGAGTGGCACCTATAACCTGCCGTACCCACACCGCTTCCCGTTTTACCGAGTACGTACACCACCAGATACTATCACCACTAAATACCGTCACCACCAGATACCGTCAAAAACCTTTCATCATCAATTTTTTCCACTTCGCAGTTAAATAGTGTAGTGGGAGGACTGCGAACAGAATGATGGAGTGATCTCATTGGCTACGAGCACGTAGATTAGCTAACCCCATACGGAGTACCTATAGCCTCTTATTCGAATGTTTGGCCTACTGTGTATGTAGTAGAAGAATCAATCATCCATCTAAGCCAAGAAAAACAGAATTTTATACCTAGGTAGTACGTTTTCATTTTAGGATACACTCTATACTATACACTGCTGCTATTCATGTCGTTTCTATTTATTGTCCTATCTACTATATTAGACTTCAGGACTACTATTATGCTCTTTTTATCAAGACATACGCAGTGAGAAGGCCCAATAGCATGTACCCTCGTAAGTTATGTGGACTTGCGCGATTAGTTTAGTAATCTACTCTTATGTATTGCTATTCTATTTATTGCCCGAATCTACCTAGACATAGATGTCACAGAGTCCAGATAAGATATATATCTTAGCCAGATAGCCTCCTAGAGAATCGCCATAATGGCGGTATCGATTTGATACCAACACGTCAGCGATCTATAGACCCTTCCTACTAAATGGGCCTCCCCTACTTAAGCAGAGAGCCTAATAGCCCTCTAAAAATCATCTCTATATATCCTGTAGTACTACTATCTAGAAGATATATTCCTCATAGTTGATAGACTCTATCCTATAAACACTAGACCTTTATACTTTATAATTCTGATTCTTCTTCTTTGACTACTGAAGAGAGAGAAGAGCGCGATGGTGGTCTGGCATAGCAGACAGGACGGGAGACGCACCGTGATACTCTATTCATGAAGAGCTTGGCTGGTTATTTTAATCTGGAACATTTGCCCTCCGTGGCTACTAGTGAAGCACTATCGAGAAAAAGGAAATCCACAGGCAAAGAAGCATCGTCGAGGCGATGAGTGCAAGATAGAGAGGCAGAAAGATGGAATAATGAGAGAAAGGGAGGAAGAGCAGGGAAGACGGGTGTTTTAGGTCGGACGGCACTCAAGGTAGGTTACGTGACGGCGTACTGTGGCGCTAAACTAACTTGGAAAAGACGCAAAACTAACCAAGATCTAGTATATCACAGGTCCGCCGTTTACAAGACTCACATTACAGTCGAAAACAGTGTCGCCAATAGCAAAAAGTGAGATTAAAACTGTGTTTCAGTGCCAGAGCGGCTTAGCGACTCTGCAGAGAGACCATTGCCGCTCTTCAAAACAGTGAAACCTGGTAAGGTTCAACTGTTGCCCAATGCACTACGGGCGCTGGACCCAGCGGGACGGTCTTGTTTTTGGCGATCCGTTTGACTGATATTCGACAAAGTCTAATAATTACTGCCAACTCAAACCGGGGAATAGCGGTCCACCGTTTGCCTGCGCCGAGGTGGACCGTATCGCGGTCTTAACACACCTTCTTCAGTGCCTTTGCTCTTGCCACCCGCGACTTGAACTGCCTCGCAAGGTGCGCCTCTATATGAAGATTCGCTCCTCACGTTGGAACTCCGCCCAGAATGCCCAGAATCTCCAGCCTTGTGGCCCTTGAGGCGTGTGGAATAGCGCACCTGGAGGGAGCCTACCGACCTTCCAGGAAAATACTCTGCGATTCGCTTCCATGGCAGGCTCCGCTCTTCCTTCAATTCAATCAAAAGCTGGTCGTCCTTAGACAGGGATCGGGTTGGCCCGGTCGTTTTCCCAGCGCGGGACCCTTTCTGATGGGGTTGCTTGGAATGCTGGCTGCCAATTTTGTTTTCATGATGTGAAGTAGCTCTGCCTGATCTCTGAGAGCAGGAATGCTCTGCCTGCTCTTCAAAGGTAACTGAATAGACGACCCTTGACAAAAGTATCTGTCGCGTAAGGTAACCTCGGATAGGAATCGTTTCGATATCGTGCAAGCTTGTTGGGGAAGTCTGATCTGCGGCCACTTTGGATTGAACTGCCTCGTCGACCGAGAGACGTTTAGTGTTCTGCCGGGGAGGTCTAGGCTTAAGTTGCACGGCAGGTCGCCTTGCTCTTTTCAGTCGATGGAAAGGAACGCTGTTTCCATGTGCGTCTTCACCACTTTCGCCCACGTAGTCCGCATCGTCGGGGCCATCAGGGTCGTCGCTGCTGTCATCAGGTATATACTCATCCCGGTCCCGCTTCCTGTTCGAAGAGGCCATTCGTGTTATTGAGACAGAGTCATTCGTTCCTCGCTTTTGGAAACGCCAGTTGGGGATGACGACCGAAGGCTGGTCCAACACTGGAGCCTGATCCAACACTGGACAAAATCCTGTAACTTCCTCTGTCGGGCTGTATGGCGACTGCTTCTCACTGTCTTGGAATGTGGGTGGGGTTGAACGCGCCAATGTTCCATTTTGACGAAATTTTGGAGATGCTGACAGGCTCTCCGCATCACGACGCTGTAGCTCGCCTTCGTTGTCATGAGCTGCAGCCCTGTCTTTCTCCTGGCCAATAACCACATGGCTTTCGGAAACAGGCTGTCTGTTGTACTTCTCGGCTGGCATGCTTTTCCCGATGACGCAAGCTGCCGGTTTCGATCCTAATTCGTCTGCTTCAATTCCAGCATCTCCAGGCAAAAAATCCGTTGGAGTGGATTGCTTTTCCTGGCCCGCAGGGTCAAGAACTTGGCCATTGACCATTTTATTGCCGTCTGCTATATCTATTGTCGGGTTCGAATGTGGCAAAATGTCTCCCTCCATCGTGGCTTCGTCTGCATTCTACCACGTGAGCCAGAGGACTGGGCAACCTAGCTGACTGAGAGAGCACTGACCTGCATTTTCATATGCTTCCGTTCGGCTTAGAAATTCTTCCTCCGCCACCGGGATGCAGAGGCCATCACGGACCGATGTAGAGTATAAAGGTGTGGATTGCTCAAGACCTCCCCCCTGGATAATATCTTGGGAAGAAGATGTCACGTTGCTCTCATGATGCTCATTACCTTGGAAGTCTGGTCTCAAAGTGTCAAGTAAGCCCTCAATTGTCAACCACTTTATCGGTAAGGAAAGAGAGATAGGGCACAATGAGTTCAACAGAGTGAATTGAAGAAATCAAGGGGAGTCAAAATGATGGCCACCACGTACCATTGTGACGCTGATCGGATAAACCTTGCCCTAAATCACTGCTGGAAACATCATCCGGCAATTCTCGACTCGCCGTGTGTATATTTGATTTAGTAGCGTTTGTATCTCTTCCCAAGGAGGCACTCAACAAATCCATTTCAAACTCATTCGAGCTGTCAATAGTCACTTTTTCCGCAAACTCGTTGGGGGCTAATAACGTCTCGACTTCACTAGGTGCATGGAAATGACTTTGAAGGTACGGCGCATATGGGAAAACCGCCATAGTCCTTGCACTTATCGATGCTCAATGGATGAAAGATTACAGTCGCCCCGTTGAAGACCACGGGCTGATACCCACAAAGGCCACTTTGATCATTGTTCCCAAGGACGTGTTCACGCAGTGGGTTTCGGAATGCAATAGATTGCTTGGTAGTAGGTACAATGTCTTGGCGATATCGACAAACATCAACAACGTCACGATCAAGGCTGTCCAAGATGCCGATATCGTGATTTTGTCATGGAGTGTCCTGGGCGGCGATGGTTATTATACCCGACTGCAAAGATTTACCGGTACACCGCAGGCTCCCGGAAAACGGAACGGAGCAACAGCTCGAAGCTTCGAAGGCTGGTTCAATGACGCTCGTGCTTCCCTGCGGGAGTCTGTCGCCACATTGAGAACGTCCGGCCCTGGGGCAATGCTTCAACAATTGGAGGCCCGCCGTCGCCGACTGCAAGAGACACAGGCCGAGTCCACTTACGTACCTTCCCGACGCCCAGCTAATCATAAATCGGGAGCAACTGAAAATTCGGATACAGGGCCTGGTCCAGGATTTGACGATTGCGACGACTCTGACGATCCAGATGATTCCGATCCAAACCCGGGACCAAGTGCTTCAGGTCAGACAAAAAGGCGAGGGTGTGCGAAGGAAGGTCCAGCTGAGAAACGGCGAAAGACCACCTCATCCAGTCTGGAAGAGAAAAGCCGTACCAAGCGGACGGCCGTTAGGGATGACCGCACATACTTCAATATCCTGAAAAGCCGCAATCAAGACTGGCGGACTGTCAAGGCCGCATTTTTGCACGCCTTCAGGTTTAATCGTCTGGTCATTGACGAGTTCGCATATGCGAGGGAAGGGAAAGAAGACGCCCTGCTCTCATTAGAAGCCCGTTCAAAATGGGTGCTTTCTGGGACGCCTGCTCTTGATGAATTTGCTGACATCAAGAGTATTGCGCTTTACCTCGGTCTCAACCTTGGTATTGACGACGATGGCGATTGTGGGATTGGAGCGAAGAACCCCAGGCTGAAAGAAATGCGGGAGAAGTACACCACAGCCGAAGCGTTCCGGTCTTACCAGGCCCTTCACAGCCACGCATGGCATGAGAATCGCAGGGATCTTGCCCAAAAATTCCTGGAGCGCTACGCACGCCAGAACACCGCAGAGACCAAGGGCATTGAGTGCCATCAGACACTTGTCATGATTGATCCGTCCGAAACCGAGCGGCGAAACTACAACCTGCTATTCGCCGCATTGGAGAACGGGACAAAGAGTGTCTCCGGGCCGGTCAACAGTATCTTGTCAATGAAACTGCCTCCCACGGAGTCTCTCCTCATGTGTAGTGTGATCACCCAGGTTGGGACAAAAAGCTGGATCCCCACACAGGAAGTGATAAAAAAATGTCCACACGCAAACGCTTCGGTTCGAGTCCAGAATAGACTCGCTAATTAGTGAAGCTGTGGCATTTTGGCATTGGGGACCGGAAGGACCAACAGGGAGCCTTACAGCGACAGCTTCAAAGAAAACCACACTCAGAGGCAAAGCCACAGAAACCACCCCGGAAGACGTTTCGCCGGCAGGTTGCCGAGACTCTCTGATTGCCAGGGTGAAAGACGAAATTGAGGTGGGCCTCGGCGAAGACTTCATCAGACGTTTGAGGTCGAGTTTTGATTCGTACGACGACAGGAATATTGTTGAAGAAACCAAAGCAAAGGTCGACGGACGGTTTCAGAAAGCCTTGAGCTCGGTCAGGGCAAGACGTGTCAGACCTACAAACAGTGCAGGAATCGATGATGCACCCGCCGCTGCAGTGTCAAAGGTTCGTCAGAGTCTAGGAACTGAAATTCTTGCTCAGTTGAAGCAAGCGGCCAAATTGTTGGGTCAACGTCGGTACAATGAACATTTGCTTGGGGTATCCAGGGGTCAAACCCCTCAATGTGAATATGCGCCGTGCTCAACGCGGGCATGGAACGCCAACCTCCACTTTTTGGAAGTGTGTGGCCACGCGATCTGTTGGAATTGCCTTCAGACTGCGAAGAGTAAGACGACCGAGCGCTGCCCCGTTGAGGGCTGCAAGGTGAAGCTTGCAGCTACAAAGGTTATCAGCTGTCGCAATCTGATGAAAGAGGGTATGATCACTAGCTCCAAGCTCGACAGGCTCGTCCATATTATCGAGCAAGTCCCAGAGGATGAGCTTGTCATTGTTTTCATTCAAGCACCCATCCTGGTGTCCGTCACGTCCGATGTCCTTCGGACTGCTGGGATTGAGCATCGCAAGGTCACCAAGACCGCCGGCCTGAAAGGGGTCACTGACTTCACCGAGGGGCCCAAGCCAAAGAGGGGATCATCTGAAGTCCCTCCGCGCCCCAAGGCTTTGCTTGTCGAACTTGGCAGCCCAATGGCTGCTGAGCTGTAAGTAATTTCTCTTGTCATTGGAAGTTGGTCGACACGTGATTGCTAACTGATTCAGGAACCTCCACTGCGCAAACCACGTCGTCTTCTTGTCGCCCTTCATTGCCTCTATCCGGAACGAATACGATTCCGGGATGACCCAGGCGATTGGTCGTGCGCGCCGGGTTTATCAGACTAAACCCGTCTACGTGTACCATCTGCTGGTCAAATACACGTACGACGTAAACGTCTACCAGAGCGCCCACGGAGGCAGGCTCGTTGCGCGTGACGGGGTGCTAAAAGTGGTCCCGGAGAGCGAGGTCCAACCGGGAGAGATGAGGTACGAAGGCAAGGAGATGCCTGGCCGTTAAATGGTCTCCGACTCCGAGCTGGTGGCAGTGGTTGTTTCGTGTGTGACTCTGACCGAGCACTTATGTAGGATTTGTTGAACTGTTGACTAATGAATTTAATGTACTATGTTACATAGCCCTCCATCTTGCTCTTCCTGAGGTAAGACTCCTGTTGATACCACTTGACTTCTGAGGGTGTAGTTATGAGCCGCCAAGTCCTAGTACTCTACGTACTCTACTCGCTGTTAAGTGGGCTGCATCCCATTCGACTCCGCCACCTTTGTAGATATCTTTACGAGATGCAGATCAAACTGCACACAAAGGGTAGAAAAAAACACAGTGAAAAAAAATGCGATTGGTCCTGCCGTTATCTCGAAGCGACAAAGCCAGACCTGCATCCGGGCTCCGCTCACACTAATAATAACTCGGAACAAACGTACTGTACATAGACAAAAAAACAAGAGACGCCTCAAGGGTGGTTATCATTCCATCAGGCCAAAGGGTACGGCCTCTATCAATTCCCCAGACCGTAAATCTCCCAAGGCGGCTTCTGCTCCATTCGAAAAACACAACCATTATAACTTCCTCCCCATCCGGAATTGGCACACGGCAATGGAAAAGCTTTTTAAAATATTTTGTTCTCTTGGCTTTTCTATTGCTTGGGTTCCGCGTCCAATGCGTTGTCCTTGCGCATCATGACCTCCGGATTCCACTCAGGCACGTCGGTCAAGTTGGTCAGACCGGCGCTGTTCTCGCAGGTGTCGCGCCCGCTTAACGGGCCAGGGGCAGGAACCTTGGTGCCGGCGCCGGCACCGGTAGCGGTAGCGGACTCCTTCAGGGCTGTCAGGAGAGTCTTGATGGACTCTGGGGTCAGGTCCTCGTAGTAGTCGTCGTTGATCTGAACCATGGGGGCGTTGACGCAGGCGCCTAGGCACTCGACCTCGATGAATGTGAAGAGGCCGTCCTCGGTGGTGTGGCCGGGGGTGATTCCGAGGTGTTCGGTGATGGCCTTGACGATGGCGGTACTGCCGCAGCCGCCGAGCTGGCAGGGGGTCTAGAGAGTCAAGGATTAGGAATCGCAAGAGTCAATGCGGGGGTATAGCGCTTACCGTAGTGCAGAGCTGCACAAAGTACTTGCCAACCGGCTCACGGTTGTACATGGTGTAGAAGGTCGCAACCTCGTAGACGCGCATCGGGGGCATCTCGAGCATGCGAGCGACCTCGTTCATTACGCTAATGCTGGTGAAGCCGTGCTGGCGCTGGCCGAGATCAAGCAAGGGCATGACGGCAGCCTTCTTGTACTGGGGAGGGTAACGCTTGAGAATCTCATCGGCGAGCTTGAGGTTCTGTTCGGAAAACTTGAAGGGAAGGCTCGGGTTGTTGTTGGGCTTGTTGCGGTGCTATTGGAGACAATCCCGGTCAATATGTATTCCTTTTCTTCTTCCATCCTAAGACACGAATTGGTGGCCGAAGCACTAGAGGGGTCGAGACGATGTACGCACCACCGAAAGGGACTCGCTGAACCGCTGCGAAGCGGCGGAGAATGCCCTGTATTGAGATTTGTGAAGCTGCTGTGCCAGCTGGCGGCCAACCCGCGGGACGAAGAAGAGTTTGGAGGCCATCGCGGGCGATGAGTGGGCGTCAATTGGAAGTAGTTGAGGTTGGAGGTTGGAGGAGAAGTCGAGTTGACGAGGCGTTTTACTCGGGCGGGCCCTGGCCAAATCAGCGTCCAGGGATTACTACCGCCTTACCAATTCCCCAGCTATGCACAAAGTCGAACCTCACAACGCTCTTACACAGTACAAAATGAATTATTATTTTGAATCAATTATTCAAGACGTTATTGAATCTCTCTCACTGACATACGCAGATCAAGGCCGGCCTTACTGGGCCGTATCCGCTTAATGCCGAATCCCACCACATCTTCAACCGATTACACATTCTCCATCTTATAAACCTCATAGGCGACCTCCTCATACGGATGCGCTGCAACCAAAGCATTGACTGAATTCAGCATCACATCACGCCCAAGGCACATGACCTCAACCTTGACCTCCTCGCACCGTTCCAAAGTACCAACAGCCCCGACCGCCGGGTCTGCACCCTCGTTTGGCAGGAATTGGCCAGTGCCAGCAGTCTGGAAACAGCATTTGGTGTACTTTTCACCGGGGAAGGATCCTGCGCCCGTGGCAAAGATGGCTTCCTTGCAGGCCTCCGCGTTGGTAGATGGGACGAAGAAGATGAGCTTGTAGCGGTCTGGGACGGAAGTAGACATCTTGTGCTTTGGGTATATGGCGTTATGATCGTATGTCTGTGCGTATTGGAGTGATCTTGTCTGATGGACGGGCTCTGGGGTTAAGGCGAAGCTCGATGCTAAACGCAGTGCGTAGGCTGTTTGGGACCGTAGTCGGGGCTGGCAAGTAGATGTGAGGGTCAAGGCACTACGTGTCAGTCGAGACATCGATTCGGGTAGCAGTGTTAAATACGGAGCCAAATGAGGAGTTGTCTGGACATGGATCTACATAAACCAAAAATTACCGAAAATTACATTGAAATTGCAATTCCCAGCAAATCTACTACGAGTTAGTAGACAGACAGACAATAATACATACAGGAGAGAGACACAATGTGTATGCGAATACGAAATCCCATCCATTTGAAGCAAGGTCACACACCTAAGTTCTAATACACAGTAAACTTCTAACGGGCGGCCTCACTTGCATTCGCAGCATTCTCCAGGAATTTCGTCGCTCTAGGTTTCACTGCTGAGATGAGATCCCTGCAAAGATAAAAATAGTCCCGCCAGAATTCACGGGCAGTACTGGCCAAGCTTCGCTGAGGGGTTCGCTGGGGATGCGACGCATTAATATGACAATGTGCCTGTCTTCCAGGTACTCCTGATATGTACTCCAGTTAAAGGAGTATATGATAATATCAAAGTGTTGAAACAAAGGGTCGGTATCAGTCTATCAGATGCACGCTCGTCCACGGTCCACCACAACCACAGCAACAGCCCAAATCAGGGTCAATACACCAAGGATCCAAACTCATGCAGCAACGGTATGCATATACTCCTTCACATGTGCCTCGATAGACGCCAGCATCTCGGCCTTACGTGAATCCTCGACCCAGCTCTCTTGGACACTATTCTCCGCAATGATCCTCCACTCCAACACATTCAAGTCAAAAGCTTCCTGCACAGCGCAGTAATTATCAAGAATATAACCACCAAAGTAAGCAGGATCATCACTGTTGATGGAGAATTTCACACCAGCCTCCAAGAACCGCCGAATAGGCACCTCCTTCACAGAGCTGACACAGCGCAGCCGTACATTCGACAACGGACACACAGTAAGCAGAATCCCCTCACGCGCAACACGCCGCATCAATTCTTCGTCTTCAACTAGCCTGATTCCATGATCGATGCGCTGCGCATCAAGCTCAAGCGCCGTGCTGATGTAACTCGGATCACCTTCCTCGCCGGCATGTGCCGTAAGCGGGATATTCTTCTTAGCAGCCGACGCATAGATCTCTCGGAACATGTCCTTTGGTGGTCCCACTTCTGAAGAAGACCAGCCAAGTCCATGGACAATGCCAGATTCGAAGTGCTCGTGGGCCAAGAACTTGTCGTAGACTTCCTGCGCCGACGAGACGGGAAGATGGCGCACGAAACACAGAATCAGTCGTGTGCTTAGGCCGAGCTCGGCCTCTCCGCGCTTGCAGCCCTTGGAAAAGCCCGTAACGATCGTGGCATAGGGTACGCCGCGGCTTTCGTGGACTTGCGGGTCGAAGAAGACTTCGGCGTGGTGCACGCCGTCTGCGTGCGCCTTTTGGAAATAGGACCAGGCTAGGTCGGCAAAGTCTTGTTCATTGCGGAGCACGGCCATGCCTTCGAAGTAGAAGTGGAGAAAGTCGTCGAGGTTGGTGAAGTGCTCGTAGCGCTTCTTGAGTGTCTCGATTGAGTTATAGACTGGGTCGGTCGGCAGCGTGATACCATTACGGGCTGCGAGCTCGAAGATGAGCTCTGGCTCCAGAGTACCTTCTAGGTGGACATGATGCTCGCATTTGGGTAGACCCTCTAGGAATTCGTGTAGAGGAGATTGGCACATTTTTGCAGTTGCAGATAATGTTGGGTGCGAGCACTGCGAGGTATAAGGTTCCCTGGTACGCGGCACGGGATAAAAACACCGGACGAGTTGCCTTTCTCCCCCACCGGTGTCTCACCTGAGCCATCGCTCTGATCTACATGGGCCATTTTTCCTCTCAGCGTCAGGTCAAGATAAGCTTTGCCATGCCGGAGATCTCCGATATCAAGTCGGACGAACCCAAATGCCCAATTCATCTCTATACACTTTCTATATGGACCATCGGAGGCTATGGTTTGGATATGTTTGAGTCTAATATTGACACCTTCCGACTTTTATCTAGAACCTGAGATACACCTGGACAAAAAAGAAAGGGAATATGTGTAATCGCAACCCATTTAAACCCGCAATTCAGCACCAGCAGCCTTTCGTAACCTGTTCATGACAGCCGCAGCCAGGTCACCCTCGCTATCCGGCACACCTTCCACATAGATCACATCAACATCAAGCTCATCCAGACCGCGGAGGGCAGCAAAAAGACCATGCGCGATGGAAACTGCGTCGGAGCCGAGATGATAGTCGTACGCCATCTTTGCACGGCCATTACTACCCGTATCAGGTACGGGGACCGGGAAGCTGATCACGTTTTCCACGGGCGAAGGCACAGGGCTCGAGGTCTTGGCAATTTGATCTTCTGACGCAAGCTCCAAGCCCAGTTTCCAGTTCCGCGTGCGGATAATACCAATATTGTGGGCGCCGATCGCTGTATCCTTCAAATCGGCTTTCACGTGCTTCACCACTCCGGCTTGGCTGGATGACGGCTCGAAGAGAACTACCCGTGCCTTCGGAGAGTAGTGGCGATATTTCATGCCCGGTGCGCGAGGGACCTCCTTCACGTCTAATGAGCCGTCTTTGTACCCGACTGCCACGGTCTCCCATCCTTCGCATTTTCGGATTTCGTCAATGCCGATGCCACCAGGGCGTAGAATGGCGGGTGGGTCGCAGAGTCCGTCGACCACGGTGCTCTCGACGCCGACGCCAGATGCGCCGCCATCGAGAATTAGATCGATTCGGCCTTGGAGATCGTGGTATACATGCTGCGCGGTTGTGGGGGATGGCTTGGTGGATGCGTTTGCAGATGGCGCGGCGAGCGGACGGTCTGTTGCATGGATGAGAAGACGTGCCAGTGGGGAGGAGGGCATGCGGACGCCGAATGTAGTCAGTTTGGATGTAACCTCTGGCGCCAATGGGGAGCCGGACGAGTTAGGTAGAATTATTGTAAGCGCACCGGGCCAGAATTTGTCGATCAAAGGTTTATAGATCGGGGGAATGCTGATTGATGGTGTCTTGGTTCCAGTAGGGCTGCTTCGGAGGGTGGGGTTTAGCAGACGCTCGAGCATATCGAGTGAGTCGATGTGAACAATTAGCGGGTTGTCCGAGGGCCGCTGTTTTGCGCGGTAGATTCCCTGGACAGAAGAACTGCGTGTGGCATCCGCACCCAACCCGTACACGGTCTCAGTAGGAAAGGCGACAGGCAGGTCACTTGAACGAAGGAGTTCGGCGGCTTCTTCGATGGCCTTGGACTCGGGCGTCTGTTGGCTACGCTCTTTCGCCCACCATTCTGCTAGAGACAAATCGCCGGGCCCCTGGCTGAGCCGTTGGACAGAAAGGATGCGCGTTTGCGTAGACATTGTGGTCAGAAATCTGGCACAACTGCGCTGACAGTGGCCGGCAAAAACGCGTGTGAGAAGCAGCTTGCTGTCTTTAAGAAGAACCCAATGGGCAATGACGCACCGTTCAGGCGCACACGCGGTGAGAGGAGGGGCCAATGATGCCCGAGAGGACTCAGTTTCAATCACGCGAAAAAAAACTTCTTGTTGCCTAAGCGTCGAATCGGAGGTGATTCTAAAATATTCAATCGACTATCATCATGCACAATGCCGTCAGAAGCGATAACAGCGCTCTATGCAAAATCGCGAGAAAATCGACTCGGAGCACGGGGCCATGACGTCGGATGACTCAGCATATCAGGCAGCTTCAGCCCTACCCTCACCAGGATAATATTGGCAGTAGAGTCACAGAAGAGACGACATGTTAGTAATTTAGGTCCGAATACAAGCAGCCTAGTATGCAGTCTAAGCGGGCTGTGCCCGTGGTCGATCAATATCGATGGCCATCATGGCCTAGGGGTGGCATGCCGCCGCATACATCGGCTTGGCGCCACGGGCAATAGTTGCGATAACCCTCACAAACTGAATTCGAAGCTCTAATCTATGTACTTTCTACATGTATGGTATACAAGAAACGATCACTTCTTCTTGCTCTTACCGCCTCCCCTGCCACCTCCACCACCACTCTTTCCTCCTTTACCCTTGCCCTTATCACCGCCTCCGCCTCCAACACCCGCGGTCATGATGCGCACCTTGCCCACAACCATGGTGTTGATGATCTCTGTATCCTTCCAGCCCTTTATGAGGTCACCTTCCCGCTCGCGAAGACGCTCCGCATCGGCACGGGGGATCCCAATATCTTCGGCATGTTCCTTCTTGACTTTTCCAGTGGTGGTCTCGGCCACCCACCGACCAACGATCTCCTTGACGGCCTTGCCTTTCTTCACGGTGCCTGGCTGCAGCTTGACTTTGTATTTATAGCGACCAAGTGCAGCCCATGGGGCACAGACTGGAATGGCAGCAATGATCTCGTCCTCCGTAGTTGGTGTACCAACCAAGGCTGGAATCCAAGTAAGATCCGCAGCTTCCGCTGCAGCAGTCTCCTCGTTGTAATCATCCGCGCCATTCTCTGTGAATTGAGCCTGACGCTTGCGCTCAGCTTCAGCAGCACGCTCATGCTGGGCCCGACGTCGTTGCCTTTGCGCCTCAGCCTCGCGCTCGCGCTGTTCCTTGGCTTCAGCGGCCTTGGCAGCCTTTGCGGCTTTTCCTTTGTTGGCACCCACTAACCGAAGAGCAAGCTCGCGTTCTTCCTCATCTTGATGAGCATACTTGGCAGCTGCGCGCTTATCCTTGGCCCGCTTGCCCCGAGTGGGAGGAATACGTGGTTGAGCTGGCTCTCCCTCGCCTGGACGATCAAGAGGTTTGCCCTGCCGCAACGTGCGTCGCTCTCGAGCGGACAATTTTGGCTCTTCCTGTTGGTCGGACGCTGTATTTTGATCGGCTGCTGGTGCATCTTCCTCTCCCTCTAGGTGATCGTCTGCTGTTTCTTCCTCTGGCTCAGTCTCAGGCTCAGAATCTGGTTCTTGAGGTGCCTGAGAGGGTGTAAGCTCAGAGTCGCCTCGTTGAAGAGGATTTCTAATGGTAGATTTGCGATCTTCATCCCCCTCTTCTTCTGATACCGCATCATCTTCCTCCTTCTCTGCATCTCCAGCGGTGACTTCGGCAGTGTTCTCGGCGGCCTGCTCGGGAACCTCCTCAATAGCCTCCGTCTGCCCTGGAGTATCTTGCGCCACAGGTGAGGTATCCTTCGGCCCGGAGTCGTCATTCTGACCGGCGGACGTGATAGCAGCTTGCGGCAAGTCAGTGTCGAATAACTGCCTGTGCTTGCGAGCACTCTCCTGGCTGATTTGGAACATAATGCCAAATCCAAGCACCAGCTGCGATGGGGCCAAAAAGTTCTTTTCTCCCTTGATTTGGAACACGCCTGTGGGCATGATTCCGCTACCGTTCTCAGCAATTTTCGATACCTGGTAGGCATGCGCCCACCAAGCGGACATAACAGCCTTAGAATCCCAGGCAGTTGAAGTCGCGACGCAAAGATTACCAGCTTGGGATAGTGTGCTTGGGGGAATCGGTGCATCCGCGCTACCAGCGCGGTTCTTCACCACGATGGGCGTTGCACCTTCCAAGTCAGCGTGAACAAAAATATCACCCTTGGCCAGATAGCGCCGGTAGAGCAACTCGCTTTGCATAGCATCTCGTGCACTATCGAAATCAGCATATGTTGCAGAACCAAGTTGGATGCGGTCACATACCCTATGACAAGATAGCCTTCTGAAGAGATGAAGAAGATGAATTTTTCGAACCAGAACGGCACCCGAGCCTGGCGCAAGACTTGCTTCTCTTTCTTCAGTCCTCGCTTGAGATCTGTGGTCACCTTCTTCTCGTGGCTCTTCAGTGCCTTCGTAGAAGACTGCGCTGTCCTCTGCGCCTTCTCCGATGCTATCTTCTTCTGGTCAAAGTACTGTGATGCATTCGCCCATGGGCTCAAACCAAGGTCAATGTCAATAGTCAAGACCTTGGACTCTCGTTCCGCACGGTCTCTCTCTTCCTGTGCTTCATTTTCCGCGTCCGATCCTGATTCATCACTGCTAGAAAATTCCTCTTCTTCCTCGTCGTCACCTACCTCTCCAAGAAGTAGCGTGACAGTGTTCTCGTACAGTTTGAGGGGCAACTTGATGATTTGCGCCACTGGGTTGCCGCGATCCTGTTCCAACTCTATTAGGCGTGCTATCTCTCCCCAGTCCATTCCTTGGGCCACTAGCCCGTTGACGGCATCCATTGCCTCCTGCACTCTGTATAGATTATCGTGGATAGCTTCCGCTTTGCGAATGTGTAGTTCTTGCGCATTCTTGAGCGCATCAATCTGCTTCTTGTGCTCAGACCTGACGGATTCAAGCTTCTTTTTGGCCGCCTCCTCACGCTCTGTCAATCGTGACTCAAGTCGTTGCGATTCTAGAGAAGAGAAGTACTCGTCGACTGTGGCATTGAAGCGCTCGAATTCCAGAATTTTGATGCCTGGTTTATCCTCAAATTGTCGAGGCTTGAATGGGTGGAAATCTTCGTAAAGCAAAGCCGGGGCCTTTGCTGACGTCTCTCCTTCAGGGATAGGTCGCGTGTCTTCTTTCGCAACAATGTAGCCCGGATGGCTGGCGCCAGAATCAAAGGCATTGGAAATTCGATGCGCTTCTTCCAGGACCTCCTTCACCGTGCGCATGAGATCTTGGCTTCCCAGCACTTGATCCAATGGTGTTGCTGTGTCGAATTCCTTCAACGCAAAGACATGGTCCAACAACAAGGGAGGGTATTCGGGAAATCCTTGCGACAAAGCCTTCCGCAAAACGTTAGTGTCCTTTTTCTTGGACTTTTTGGGCGCATTCCCCTCTTGGGCAAAAAGTGCCTGTGCCTTTTCCAATGTCTGCAGAACTCGGTCCGATGTGATGTCCGGAACCCCATCATAGTTCTGCTTGTTAGACACGGTATACTTGAGACCAGCCTTAATCTCTTCCTGACCTACACCGGCGGGAACTTGACGGAAGAAAGCAAGAATGTTATACTCGCGGTCCGTCAAGATGATGTTACCACCGGCAAAGAACTCGAGAAAGATGTGATATGCGCCATCGCTGAAAGAAAAATCAATGATGCGATCGGTTCCAATCTGGGAGATGCCTGTAATCCGACGGGATTTCAGGTATTTTCGGAGACGGGTCACGAAGGGCGAAGGGGTGGTTGCTGCAGTGCGTGAATATTGCGTGACATGAGTGCGGAACCCGGAGTCAACGATGAGTTGGCGACGGTGGTCTGGCTTGGCTAGTTTGAAAAGGAAGATACGCTAGTAAGGAAGGTATGTCAGTTCGGCTCTCTTCAATATCAACGGAGAAAGGAGGCGCACCGAGGACAGGTCGTAGATATTGGATACCCGGAGGTTGACGCACTCTGACGCCAATTCCTGCGTGATAACCTGGGGCTGTTAGTATGATGACTGATTTGCAGTGGCATTGAACATACCTTAACGTCCAAAGATGAGAATCGCTGCTTCATGGTTGTTTTAAAGAAGAGAAAAGCCTTGGGAGGAATTTTCGAAGGTGACGTATGCGGGGCATAGAGAGGGCGGGCAGCTCTCGGAGTCCCAATTTAGAATAGCGGCCATTTTGGATTAATCCCATGCTGCCTCCGAATATTCCCCTATCTACATCCACCGACATCGTATGCAATTAGCGGTTGAGATCGGTCAAACCTCGGCCTCATAATGAGATAGGATGTCTTCTCTATATGCTCGCGGTGACATCTCTTTGATGTGGTTGCCTTCCTGTGCAAGGCTGACAGCCTGACATGACACTTCCTTCTCGCACTATCTCCACGCAGTGTGTCTTCCCACTGGACAGACAGACTGAAACTTTTGCAATTCTCAGGTGTGGTGCCAGCATGCATGAAAGCTCCCGCATCTCTCATCAGGGGGGACTCTTCAGAGGTTAAGCCTGGTGTATAACATGTCCAACTCGGAAACGAATGAAAGCCCCGGGAAAGCAGATCAGCTTGTCCTGGTATAGAGGTTATGTACGGCAATGCTAGTGATGCTCTACTGTGTAAGGTCCTGAGTACTCTTATTGATCGATGATCGGATGTATCTCTTCAATCCCAGTGATCATGTTGATCTTCCAACCATCATCTCGGGCTTGGATTGTCGAGAATAGCGCTGTGTTGTTTACATCAACCAGTTTAGTTCGAATGCCGACCTACAGTAGTACGCCGAGGTAGTACCGTATACAAGTATGGCGACCAATCGACTATCCAGGCCTGGCAAGATCTCCGGCAATTTGGTAGGGCTCACATTCCAGCGAGATCCCATTCCGCACATCACCCAGACACCCGGCTTGTTTACATTGAGATACCGATATAGCGAAGAATGTTCAGCCTTTATCAGTATCCTGTAAACATACTGACTCTTTGATAAATGGAGCAAGGGCGTCCTGAGTTGATCTTCTCCTCCAGCCACACTCAGATTGCAAATCTTGGATCATCTCCTTACCTATTGTCCACATTTTACTCAGATCAATTCTAAAGATGAAGCTCACTATCTTCTTCCCGCTGGCCGCTTTCTTGTCTTGGGCTGTCGCTGACGTCTCCGACGCATCTGAAGATGCCAGTCCTTGCCTTGTGTGCTGCCCTTATCTCGACGTATGGATGAACTGAAGAACACTAACCATCCTTCTTGTTTTGCACAGCTCCGATGTCTTTCTGAAGCCGCTGCAGTCGCTGGCTGTATCTCCTCTGTTGATGCCAAATGCACTTGCGCAAGCCCAGCGTTCAAGGACACGCTCACTGCCTGTTTGAAGATTTCTTGCACACCGGATGATGCGAAAGGTATATCTCCCGTCTGGCTTCCTATTCTGTGCATTCTTCTTTCCTTGTGGTCTTCCGACAGCTTATCAGGCTGTGAGAGTCTTGGGCTAATCTTTTCCAAACCATAGTTGCTGGAAGATTGCATGTTGAACGTTGTGGTGGGACTGCCCCAGAGATATAGACGAGGCGATAGGTATATATTGACGTGCACACGATTGTTTTCCGGGTTTGAATGGATCCATGGAAGTGGAAATACCTAGTTAGGTAGCGGGTTGAATTATTTAATCGCTGAATATCATTTGTTTGTCCTTGGAAGATGCCCGAACTGGAATAAATATCGGTAGGTTGGCCCTGGTCTTATCCATGTAGGTATTAAGCGGGTGTACTCTGTAGCTAGTTATGATGCGCTTGCTTGTTGAACGTGAAATCTATTCAATCCTCGATCCAGAAAGCGATGCAGTAGGTTCTAACCTAGGGCACTTGGTTGTAGATAAGTCGAGGGGATCGCCTGCCGAGGTGTTGCACTGAACTGGGGAATGCCGTGACCGATACCTATTCCACCTATGCTTCAGCTGCCATCATTGAACAAACCCGCTATCAGATGGATGGTTGGGGTCTAGACTCCTGCTAGTCTGGCAGATCTCTACCTAGCTTTCAAGTCCACAATTGCTTGCATCTCACTGTATCAGAAAAGCTAGAACCTTGGCTATCGTATAGTACGGAGTACAAGTGTTATGTAGTCTACGGGGCTATGCATCTGCCGAGGTAGCGGGAGTCCTACGATCAAGTGCAATTTGGCGAGCGAATGAGACCCCTGGAAGAACTCCATCATTGCGATTGCACGAGATTGATATCGAGAATGGGAAAAGGTAAAGACAATAAGTGAACATTCAAGCGTTTTTGTTCTGGACTTCATATTCTGATCGACCCATCAACCCATAACCCATTTAAGCGACGTTCTCGACGTTCTCATAGGCAGTGGGGAAGCGCTTCATGTTCTCCTCAATGAGACCGTGACCACGGAGGAACTGAACGTAGGCACCATCCTGGCGGAGCTTGCCCTCCTGGCGGAGCTGGACGTAGTCCTCGCGGCGGACGGGAGTGAAACCCCAGTTCTTGGAGACAATGATCTTTTGGCGACCGGGGAACTTGTACATAGAGCGGCGGAGGGCCTCGAGAGCGGTAGCACGGTGGGCGTCACGGGTGCGGACGGACAGAATGATCTGGCCAATGTTCACACGGGCGACGAGACCCTGGGGCTTACCGAAGGCACCACGCATACCGGTCTGCAGACGATCGGCACCAGCGCAAGACAACATCTTGTTGATACGGACGACGTGGAAGGGGTGCACACGGACGCGCAGGTGGAAACCTTCCTTACCGGCGATCTTCACAAGGTACCTGTGAAAAGTTATAAGATTGCGTCCATGGGTGTGAGAAAAATGTTGAAAGTGAATCGGAAACGTACTTGTTGGCGCAAATACGGGCGGCCTCAAGAGCCTCGGAGGACAGCTGCTCGTACTCGTTGGAGACCAAGTGGATGCAAGTAGGGAAGTCATCCACGTTGGCCTTCTTACGACCAAGATCGAAGATACGAATCTTAGGGTCGGGAACACCACGGTTGAACCGGGACTTGGGGTAAGGCTGCACGTAAAGACTGATGTCAGCGAAAATCGCTCATCTTTCAAGACCAAAAAAGATCCTCCAAAATTCCACGAGCCCAAGGCAACGCAAATCGCCATTATCCAGCAGCAAGAATAGAACTCCAGTCATGGCGAGGTGGTCGTTGGCGAAACCTCCTGGCACACTCCCCACAACCAAGATATCCATCCGCACAAATCTTCAAAACCACGCGAAATCGGCACGCACCTTGTTCTTGCAGTAGCGGTAACATCTCGCGGGACGACGGGCCATTTTGAGTGCTGGAGGTGTGTTGATGGCACTTCCTGCGAACTGGGTATGGGTTGTCGTTGGTGTCGAGGGTTCGAAGAGAGAAAGAGAAAAGAGGGTCGGTTTCCGCTGGTCACGGGTTCTGATTTCCAATCAGCACTGTGGCAAAAGGGTTTAACCCTACATATGCCTGGGCGCTCAGGCCTGAACCAAGCTTAAGGCTCATCACCTGATAGGTCAAAGATATTCCCCGCTCCCTATTTGTCAGCGGAGATTCCAACTTGGAACTTTGTTAGTTATCGTATTCTCCTCCGATCTTACTGCGAACGGAGTACATTCAGATGTGAGTCACTTGGAGTTATGTTTTTGAGACGTTTAACTATGGGTTTCTACCAATCAGAAAACAATGCCTTCAATTTCGCCGTGGCCTGTCCACTTTGGGACTACTGTGGCAAGATTTATAAGCATCTTTTGACGACAATGAGTCAAGAGCCCCTGAAATATGCAGGGGTCACGTCATTCATTTCCTTCCGTATCGGACTGCCGTTGGAAGATAAGCAGCTCCATCTCCAACCTGGGTAGCTGAATCAAGAGCGGAATACTTTCAGGGCTTGTACGATGTACTGCTTATACTGAGTTCAGCGGCCATGCTGGGTTTTGGTTCAATCCACGAGAAAAGTGAACATTCAACATGCGGCTAGTTGTCGAGTCTTCTGCTTATTTCGACTCATTATTGCCATCCTGGTCCTCCAACCACAGTCCACCCGAATGGTGCCAGTAGCCCAGGCTGCGGCAAGCAATGGCTGGTGGCGGAGGCGAATGCCCATTCAAGGCACAACCTTTGAAGTGTATGAACCATGTTAGGGATCGAGGTTGCACATTTGCCCCGGCGACTGGCAACAAAGGTGGTCTCAAAAGGCGACTCACGTTGTTGCCAGAGAGTCGATGTACAAGTTCTTAGCAAGCATTGCACCAGTCAAAGTTCAGAGAGGGCTAAAGGTTGGACATTTAGAGGCGATGACTATGAGTGTTTATGACAAACTTGGCTGTGCTATATAGATCACCTTCCTATTTCTCATAACCAGTGAACCTGGAGATCACTTTGGACACCTAGTTATAGAGCCATCAATGCTTAGCGGGTAGAGGTGTCATGTCACTGCTCAGAGTATCGAAATTCTCGACACATTGAACACATTTATCAAAATTGTCCCCCGAGATTGTGCTTCAAATGTAATCAAATATCTCTGAATGCGCTCCTGCCTGGATCAATGAAGCGGATGCAATCAAGAATGGTTGAAGACCCTGTCCCTACTTAAGTACTGCGTAGTTATGGATACTGTGGAGAGGGAAATACGTTATTCCGGATCGCCTTGTATCTAGCCTGAGGCAGTCAATTTTGTAACGGCCCAAATGCGCTTGTATCGGACTTTTCATGGGCTGATGCCATCCACGAATGTGTTTCATTACCAAAACCTTGCTACAAGTTTCTAACAATAAAGTCACAAGAGGGAATCTCCAAATATAGCCAGACTAAGCCAGTTACCTCGTATCTTTTCTTCATTTGCTGCTCTTCCAGCAAATTACTACTCGTATTGCTTCCAGCCCCCAAAGCCGTTACTGCGTATTTTTAGATACAGTAAGGGATCCGCATTCCTCACAACACAACTTTGATTTAAGGTCTGCAATCGTTTCTTCTCATTCTCCTCTCATTCCAAGTCTCATCCGGTAACTGTTTCCGATGATCCTCCATCTTTGATCGACCATGTGGCACACGATCAATCTGTGACAGCTTTCACCACAATTCCGGCCTTCAATCTCCCATACAAGCGCTCTCCACAAGGTGTCCACTAGGTTTTGACCGCTCCTAATTACACTTGCACCCTTTCCTCTTCTTCCCTCGATTGAAAGAGATCGTGAGATATATAGATTTCATTTCTTATACGACTTGGCATCCCACCATGTCATCAACGCCAGCAACGCCTCGCAGGCCTGGGACCCCCGGCACTTCCAGCAAATCATCATCCGCAGATCCGCACTCAAAGGATGGGTCCACCACACGAGGACATGCACGCTCGCCCAGCGCCGCAACAAACGGACTTAACCGCTCCCCCTCCCTAAGAGGTTCTACTCCCGTATCTGCGCGCGCGGCTGCAAGAAAACCTGGCCGCTCCAACCTCAGCATGTCGAACGTTCCACGAGTCTCCAATGACCCCTCCGAGGAGGAGGCGCGGGCCCAGAATGCCGCCCTTATTGTGGAATTGCGGGAGCAGCTTCAGAAGGCTGAAACTGCATCGGAACAATTCCAAAAACAACTAGGTGTTCTGCAAATGCGCCTCGATGAAGCAATCAGTGAACAAAGCAAGTTGGAGGATCAGGCTCACGAGCGAGACAGTCGGATTGAGGCTCTCAACAGCGAGGTTCGGGACCAGGCTCGTCAAATCAGAGACTTGGAACAAAATCACGAGGCGGAGCGGAATGCTATGCTCCAAGAGAAAGAACAGCAGACTAGCCGGGAGGAAGAAATGCAGGCGACAATCCAACGTTTGAAGGACTCGATGGCGCAGAAGGACCTGCGCATGAACGCGGAAGGAGATCGCCAGGTTTCCCGATCTTGTAAGGCCCTCACACCCCAGACAGTGTTCATTACTTTCATTAATACTGACACCCATAAAGCCAGCTTCCGCAATCGAGCATCCCCGGATTTGGACGGTCAATTTGCGCCCTCTTCGCACCTCGAGCGGAGCCCGTCCCGCAACAACTCTACCCTCCTCCTCCAAAAAGACAAACTCATCGAATCATTACGGCTCGAACTGGCCGAATCACAGATAAAACTTGTTGAGATGGAAAATTCCGGTGGCGGACGTCAGCGAGAACTAGAGAAAGACTTGCTCGAGACTCGCATGGCCAATGCTCGGCTTATGGAAGATAATGAAAGCTACCAGCTTCTTCTCAGCGAGAAGACACTGACTGGTGACTTTGCCAAGGGCGACTTTATGCGAGATGCTAATCCGACAAAGGAGCCGGCGAGTGGCCTAGGGTCTTTGGCGGACGAGCTTGAATCTGTGGATGAGGCCCCTGAAACCGAATCTGTTAACCCATCGGAGGGAGAGCTCAAGGCGTTGAAAGATCAGAACAAAGCCTTGACTCTTTATATCGAGCGCATCATCAGCAGGCTACTCATGCATGACGGGTTTGAGCATATTCTGGACCGAAATGAGGACGATGAGACTTCTACCACGAAAGCCCGTGGTAATGAGAAGGACCTTCCCCCGACTCCACCAGAGAAAGATGACACTGGGGGCCAGGGCTTTTTACAGCGAGCCAAGTCCGTTGTTGCTGGCCCGATGTCGCGTCCTTCAACTCAGCCTCGCTCACGCCCAACCAGCATGATGCCCCCACCGCCACTGTCACAGAATGAGAATCCCAACACTGCGCCAAGCATCCCGTTCCGCACGCAGTCTATCAGGGCTAGTCACCGCCGCAGCCGCTCTGAACAAGTCGACCCGAGTGCAGCGAGCGTCGTTGGTCACATGTACCGCGGACGGAACTCGGGCGGTCCCATCAGCCCGACTGCCGTAGGCCCTGGATCGCGGCAGAGCATGTTCTCCGGAGCAGCAAGCTATATCTCCAGCATGAGCCGGGCACCTTCTCTATCCAGCCAACCGGAGCGGGCGGGCCGCAGCAGCTCTCCTAGCATCACGAGCGATCCTCATGGAGACACTGCCTCTACCGGAGCCACCTCCAGCCCTCCTCGCTCTAACAGCGGTATGAACAACTACACTGGAGCCGTGATGCAACAGGACAAGTTGCGCCCTCTGCGTCTGGTCAGTGAAACTGCCAGAATCAAGGAGGAGGAGGAAGCGGCACGCAAGAAGGAAAACCGCGCGAGCTGGATTCCATGGTTAAACCGCGCCAACCCGGACAAAGCGCCGCAGTAGGCCATGTTCTCCAAGCAGTATGATTTGATGTGATCTTTGACCGGTCTTTACCATATTTTTAACATACCCCATCCCTTACGATGCACATAACGCAAGTCATGTCTTAGATTGCACGCCCTCTATCCCGATGACCTCTATTTTTCATGTTTTTTGACGCAGTCCTGTCATGATCTTCCCATTCGATGTGGTCTCAGAAGGAGTCTTTTCTTGCTTTGTCATATATTATTCCCCCCGGGCCCAACCCTTTACGATGATGTATTTTCACTCACGTTATATCATATCCTCGATTCTGAAAGCAATGCCTCATCATAGTGTTGTGTGTAGTGACATAACAAGGCCAACGAATGGCTGGTCATATCTTCACATCAGCTACCTTGATTCAACAGGCCCTTCATCATAATAATCATAATACAGAGAAGGACCCAAACGCCGAAACGGATTCACGTAATGTGCAAGATACTCTTAAGTTCTAAGAGCGATGAACATCAATTTCTGCGAAAAGTGCATGCAACGTAGTTGGCATACCTACTGTGTAGTACTAGTGGCTCCGTTTATTTAGGGTAGGATCTCTCCTGCAAGGCGGAACAACATTAGTGCGTCTCCGCCTCCGGCCAGATAGGCGGTTGAGAGCATCAACAATCATAAACGCATTCTACAATTGCTCTCCACACCAATAATCACCATGCCTGGTCCTCTATCCCTCTTCTCCGTCAATGCGGTCCTCGTCATGTCCGCTGACGATGGCTCCCGAATCTTGGCAAAGTACTACTCAGCACCACACCCCCCCGCCGGCGCTGCACCGAACTCGACTGACTACCCCGGTGCCAATCCCTACCCCACCGTCAAGGAGCAGCGCGCTTTCGAGAAGGGTCTACTCGAGAAGACCAACAAATCCGCAAGCGATGTGATCCTGTACGACAACCGCATTGTGGTCTTCAAGATGGAGAGCGACGTCATGCTCTACGTTGTTGGAAGCGCCGATGAGAACGAGGTCCTGCTGTACAATGTTGTACTGTCACTGCGCGACACTCTGGGAATCTTGTTCAAGTATGTTCTGGTCTCACAGTGTGATATCTGGCCGGATGGTTGCTAATAATCTCGTGAATCAGGGGTGCAACCGACAAGCGTACTATTGTTGAGAACTACGACCTCGTTGCCTTGGCCATTGACGAAATTATCGACGACGGAATTATCCTCGAGACTGATCCGGTCATGATCTCTTCCCGTGTCAGCCGCGCACCTGCTGCTGATGCACCCAACATGAAGAACATCGATCTCACGGAACAAGGTCTAATGAACGCCTGGGAGTTCGGCAAGCGGCGTCTTGCAGAGGGATTGCGACAGATGTAAATGGGAAACGAACTTTTGTCTTGCGTTGGAGGGCTTTGATGTGTTTTCGCCCTCGTTGGAGCATTTCTTGACTGTTTTTCACCCGCTTTTCTTCCTGGCTGGTCCTGGCGTGTTATGGTTCTCTCAGTTTTCTTTGTCTGTTGGCCTTGGTTATTTGTGCCAGGTTTCGATGACATACTAGACCTGCTTTTCTCATTTCCCTAGCATACTAAAAATCTCCTGGCTACATTGTCGTACTATGTTCGACATTGACAATCGTGCGCCGGGATGAAGCATAATTTATGATCATATGTCCGAGACTTACAGTATTAAGACCAAATCAGCTCATCCAAACTCCATCCACTTTGTACTCAGCCCCGGTCATGAAAATTGCTTCCTCGCCGAGAAGAAAAGTGATGACCGTGGCAACTTCAACTGGCTCTGCCTGGCGCTTCCGTGCTGTCTTTTGCAAGCCACGCTTGACATTCTCTGGGTATTTGCCCAGTCTCCTGGCGGTGGTCTGGATCCATTCATTCACCGATTTGCTATTGCGCACGCCGATAACCGTGGGCATACGCTTGTCCTATTTGCCGCTATTTGGCAGGGACTGAGTAGCTGTCTTCAGGGATTTCTCGTTTACATCCGTCAGAGAGATGGCTGCGCCACGACTTGCGAGAAGCTTTGCTGTTATCAAGCCATTCCAGAGGCTTCGCTGGTGATGGCAACGTAGGAAAAGCATTGTGTTAGCTCGAGAGACGTACAGTAGGGGATTGATCGATACTTGCCACTTTGCCCTCGAAACATGCCGTTGTCTTACACTCGACGCTATATGATAATGCTAGACTTGTAAGTACAGATAATCCCACGTTGTGAAGGTAACCAAGCACCATAGAAACAGGCAAGTGTCCGCTATCGCAGATCCACCACGGTTTCCCGCAGATCACCCCAGTTGGACAACATCGAATACTCTCTCATCCAAACATGCAGCACAGCCAGTGAAGCCCAGGAGGTCTTCATGGTTCTAACCTGCAATAGTGCCGAAGTCACCATGGCAAATGGAGACGAGGGACGACATCTTATCGGACGACCAGTGAAGCGCTAGTCTGAAAAAGGCAATAACCTTAATCTTATCTTCCCCGCATTTGAGGATCACGTGCCGGCGCCTTCCTTTTCGTGTTTGATTCGTGTTTATTTTGGTCTGGGAAATAGGAAGGTACCTTCAAATGGGAAGGAGCCACCGGGGCGCCGCTTGAAGGTGCACTCAGGTGCACGGTGCACGGTGCACCTCATATCTGATCAGAACATGGGGAGTGGACATTTCTCATTTTGATTAAATCGACACAGAATGGACAAAACCCCAAGGTTGCTTCGACGCGTCGTGGAAATACATGACGATGACTACATCCATTGCACATCCAAGCTTGGGGCCTTGGGCTCTCAGGCATTACGAACAAGCGGTTACAGGCCATCCACAGACTTACTCATAGATGTCCGGATGAGCAGCCTTGATAATATCGGCCCCCTGACACAGTTAGCAACAATTCCGAGCAACACGGATTCCAACACACCTTTTCTCCAATCATGTAAATCGCATTCTGAATCCGGCAGTCTGGAATAACGGGGACAATAGACGCGTCGACAATGCGAAGTCTCTTGGCCCCATGAACTCTTAGTTCAGGATCCACCACACCCTGTTCAATGTCCCGAGAGAGTCTGGCAGTGCCGCAGGGATCTACAACAATGAGTCTTCATATCCCGTACTCAGGTAACTCATTGAACTTACGATATCCAGTTTGTGCCCGATCCAGAATCATCTGATTCATCTCTTCATTGGATTCACGCGGCATGGGCCAGGGATAGTCCTCGGCAATGAGGTCTTTCATCACATTGCCGTCCGTTAGGATGTCATCAATAAATCGGACACCCTCTCGCAGAGCCAGGATGTCCAGTTCATCAGAGAAGTAGTTCAGATTGATATCTGGTTGTTCGCGTGGATCGACTGAGTTGAGTCTGACATATCCACCCCTCGACTGTGGGCGGAGGAGATCAACGATGACGGTAAGCCAGTCTCCCTCCGGCGGAATGGGGAAGTGCCATTGGAATGCGTCACAAAACATGGGCTAGCTCGATAAGCAAGTAGGTCTAACTGGGGGCATGTTGGGCTGTCAGCTTACAACAAAGTCAATCTCGAAATGAGGTTGGCCTTCCGGCCCGAAAGGATCCTTGCCTCCATTGCTTGCTTTCGCTTGGCGATATGCTTCGTATTGTTCGAGTCGCTCGTCAATACGTGGAAAGGCAATCATCTCCAGCAGACCACTAGCTAGCGGACCCGTTCTATCCTTGTTGTACTGCTCCACCGCAGCATCATGGTCAGGTCCCTCACGAAGAAGGAAATGATCCAGACCAAGGCCGTCCTTCAACCTGAAAACATGAGGAAGAATGGGATGATCGAGAAGATGCTCGCCCACATGTGGAGAAATTATCACAGGCCCAATACCGTGACGAGCCAGCTCACGTCTGGGTCCGATGCCTGAGAGGAGCAAAAGCTTGGGCGTTTCGAAAACGCCCCCTGCAATGATAATCTCTCTGCTTGCTTTCACTGTGACTGTGACCTCGTTGTGGTCAGCCCCTACAACAGTCACGCTAACGGCAGTATCGCCTTCGAAGTTGATCTTCGTTGCAACTGTGGAGTGCAGAATGGCTATATTCGCCCTACCAGTCACGTATATTGCGCTGTTTGACCGAGCACCGTTGTAGATGGTGCTGATGCAGTGGGCGAGGCCTTCCAGTTACCGTTGTATATGCCTTCATTAGTTCTGTGGCCCTTGCTAGTCCATGCTTTCGTCAGGGCATCTCGAAAAGCACGAGTCTCTGGGAGCAAATTTGCATGGGAGACGTGGATTGGACCGCTCCGGCCGATCTCAGTAAAAGGCGGATTGTAGACTTTATCGTCATCATGGTACGAAGCAGGCTAAACGTGGATCTATTAGCTCGTCCTTACCCGCTACATCCAGCGATGTATACTCCACCTTTTGGAAATATTGCTCGCACTTCTCCCATGTCCACTCGTCCCCGCCGTACTCCCCCCACGAATTGAACGTTTCCTTACTACCGCGAACCCAGGTAAAGTAGTTCAAACAGCTGCTACCACCAAGCACCTTCCCGCGGGTGTTGGGTTTCTCGAGGCGCTCGTAGTCTGGCTTATCGACGAAGGTTGTTTGGTATGACCAGTCATATTTGCTATTTCGGAGTTCAAAGGCCCTGGCAGGCGTCGTGATCATGGAAATGTCGTCAGGGTTACTGTTGTTATCTCAGCTTGAGCGAAGGATTGGAAGCTAGAAACACCGACCCAGCTCCAGCTTCTATCACGAGTATCTTCACATTGGGGTTCTCTGCTAGCCTGCCGGCGACGACGTTTCCGGCTGTTCCACCACCCACGATGATGAAGTCAAATGTAGCTGGGGTTCTTTCGGCCATTGTAGGACGGTAAATGGGCAGTCTGCTGGAGTCCAGTGGTTGCTGGTAAGCCCAGTTTTACCTTATACCCGACGCCGACGCTATATCAGAATGAGAATCAGAGCGATGGATGCATGGTGGCTCGATACGATGCTGTGTATCAGCTCACGCTCACGGATGTTCGGAACTGTGCTTTGCTAATGATATTCAGACTCTCACTTGCTCAGTGGATGGGACACAGGGTTGTTACGTGTGAAACATGAACTTCCCATACTCCTTAGACGTGGAGTACACAAAGATCGTACATCAGGATATTCTTTGAGACTAGCCTTTACATGGACATGGCTTGTGTGACTGCTAAAACCGAGTATCATTGACCGAAATGCGACAATGCCCGTGTCTGGTTGGAATGATTGATTCAACATGCCAGAGGTCAATTGCTTCGAGTGTAATGAGCTAGTTGATAACTGCCCATGCCGGAGGTAAAGGTTACCGATTGTCTGGGCTTGAAGACACCAGTGATGGAACCAATTCTTTGGGAGCGAGTTGTTAGTTGATTGTGGTCGTCCACAGATTGGGATAACGCACCGGGAAGTCGTTCTAGACTGTGATATGCCAGGCGGAACAAGATTACTGGTGGATGGATATCTGGAGGCAGGCTTTTGTAGGTAGCCTTTTCATGTAGCTGCATAAGTCGTGCGCGCCATGCGACACATTGCAAGTGGGCTCACAACGGCCATGGTCCTGGCAAGAAATCCCGGTAGAGTCAAGAGCTGATATCGGTAAGAATGTTCAATGTGTACATCTATATAGTCTACCTTGCGTGTCTCATGTATACCACCACCTCCAACCAGCAAAGAGATGTCCACTTGAATAGAAACACAAGACTGGATGTCATATATTCGAGGTTCAAGATATGAATAGGAGAAACCGAGAAGGAAAATGACAAGAAAGAAACCCTCGACACCATAAACCAGACATTACTCGTTAAATCATTGTGAAAGTAAAAGACGAATGCGCCCATGAATGGCCAGCAATACCCACACAAGATGACACCGTCAGATACCGACTCCGATGGATGCATCTCACTCTGCAAAGTACAGAGCAAGTCCTCAAGCCTCACCCCAAGTGCCGAGCCCAGCTCCGACACCAATGGCGCTATTGCTCTCGCTGCCGCCGATATCCCAGTAGTTCCGGCTAGACCCTGTCATTGTCCGCCGGCTGGAAAGAACTGAGAGCTTGGCGCTTTGGCTGGCGCAACTAGAACTAGGCCGGCGGAGGTGCGGCCGGAGAAGAGGCGAAGCAATCCCCGCAGGGTTCGTGACGCCGGAGAACTGTGAGGCGCGACGGTTTTGGGTTTGGGTTCGAGTATGGGCACGCGCTACGAGCGGGTGATGTTGGCGGATGATGGCCGCCCGGCGGGATGCATCTTGTCCACGGCGGTGTGGAGACGGTGTGTGGGTGTCAGTATGCATGTAGCCTCGACGGCTAAATCGGCTGCGGAGGTAGCGGAAGACCATCATGACATCGAGTCCGCGTTCCCAGTATTCGGATTCTTGTTGAAGTCGGGTTGATTCGGGTAACGAGTCAGATCCCTTTGGATCGTCATCTTCAATGCCCCATTGTGCTTCGTGCTCCTTATTCGCATCGTGAAGAGTGGGTATGAACCGCATAGATGGCATGGACTCGGCGGTAGTATCTGGTGTGGTTGGTGCGGCGGACTCGGCGGGTTTTTGGGATACGCCGCTTTCGTCTAGGCGGTTGAGGGGCATGCCTGCATACTCGGAAGATATATCTTTCGTCATCTGATAATACGTTGTAAATGCCCCGGGATGTTCGCACAGTTGATGGACGAGAATGTCCAGCTCGTGGGCGATCTTCTGAAGCACCTTCGTCTGCCACAGTGATGAATCGCTGAAGTCCGGCTCTGGTTCACGAGCCAGTACTGTTTCCATATCTAGAGGCTCCTCCTGCTCACGAGATTGCGCGTCTAGCGGCAACTCCTCGCCAAAAATCACAGAGAGCAAGGCATCATCGATGCCAATCAAGTCTCGAATCACCTTTCGTGTGATACGGCGCCAGAAACTGTCTTCGTCCTCTGAGGCATGTTCCGGCAAATCGGTTTCTCTAGCAAGTACCTCCGAGATACTAGGTTGGGGGTTGCGGTTTATTGAACGATGAGCACTTGATCGGCTGGTCAGACTAGCCCGCCGCTGACGGGTTTCCTTTTCGATCTCCTGCAACAGAGCCCGGCTCTGATCCATGCGCCATTGTTCGATTCGCTGCCACCGTTGGCGCTCAACATTTGCGTCGTCTTCCTCGACGGTATCCAAATGCCTCTGCACGCTTGAGTGACGGCGATGACCAAACGAGGGCCGCTGAGGATTGTATTGTTCATGCCGCCAAAGCTGATCCTGTACTGCCTGACTAGACGCATGGAAACTGCCTAATCCATCATGGGCCGGAAGCATCGCCGGTGGACCCTGGTCAAACCGCGTCGGAGAAGTCGGGGCTAAATCTGGTGCCCGAAAGTCGTGTAGTCCATCGTCCAGGCTGTCCAGTTCTGTTCCATCTTCGTCCAGTTGGTCGTCAAGGGCATTCTCGCCATCGGCTTCACCCCCGGCATCATACGCAGACCTCGTTGCATCGAAGGAGCCAAAGTCACTGAGTCGAGTCGCACCTATGGTGCGCGTATGATCGGTGGATGTCGTGTGTGTACGAGCAGTCGGGGAAAATAGGACCCATTGTGTGGTGTCGTCATCGGGTTGTTCTCGTGCGGAGGGGATCTCGAGGGTAGGCGGTTGGGGGGTCGAATAGGAGGTCCTACGACGAGGAACATGTGTTGGGACCTGAAAGGCCATCTTGTCTTATCGATCTTGTTATAGCCTAACAGATAAGCGCGTTTGACAGTGGATCCCGAGATCAAGTAGGAGAGGAGGGAAAGTCAAGGCGATTAGGTTGAGAATTATACATGCATTTAAGCATGAATGAGGGATAATTATGCAGCCAAAAGACTCGAAAGAAATCGAGTCCAGGAATGAAAGAAAAGAGACCAGATAATGAAGGATGAGAGAGAGGGAGTAAATGACGGGGGGGTAGAGATAGGAGATTAGGAGATTAGCTGATAAGCCGGAATGATGGAAGATCGATGATCCAATGATGCAACCGGTATCGGAATGGTGAGACCACTTTCAACTTCGATCCGTTTGTGTTTTTGTTTATTAATTTGATCGAGACACATCATAATAACTGGCTGTCGAAGCTTTTAATTTTGTGGTGCTCATCAGCTGACAAGGGTCACCGGGATCGACGTTGTGACGTGTGGACTCACCAATCAGTATCTGTCACATTCAGAATGAACTGGCTGAATACTGAGCTGAAAAGGGATGTAAACCCCTTGCCGTTTCGATGGAGAGTAAGACAGCGTACTACATCGAGCGTATCGCTCTATGCACCATATATCACCTCAGCCTGGCATCCATGTTCGACATTGCCAAGCAGACTGTACTAGAGACCACCGTGTTGTCGCGTGCACTAACCAATACCCCTCAGTTGCCACTGCCCTGTTCGAGACAGATAGCAGGGACCAAGGTCTATACACAGCGGTGATTTGGCTAGTCGTTTAGAGCTGCATGTATGTATGGATATCGCCACACCGCCATCTTATCAAACTCAAGATCTGAACCAGCACCCTTTGTAGGTGCCTCGCATGGTTTTACCCGTTGTAAGCTGCAAGGGACATTATGATTTTCCACAGAAACTTATTGCTGAGAACCTTTGGACAACAAATGTTATTTCCTTGACTATGTCTGCTTTGAGAGAGGCCCGACGGTCCGTCACAATTTGGGATGTGAAAGACACAAACATCCGAGTTGCTTCCTTGCCTCAAACCTAAATATCTGAGCGAGTATGGTCTCATTGTGTTTGAACAATTGTCTGGAACGGTGATTAGGAGCGTCATATATGAATATGATGATATGGCGGAGGGAAGAGCCGCGGTGGGCTTGCGTAGGTTTGTTGGCTTTTCAACCGGAACTTGGTTCAACTGCGCCTTGGGCGTGTTTCTCTCAACGTACCCAAAATATCAGAGAGTTGGGCGTCGCTTGACAGGGAATCTTCCCTCATAGTGGCCTCACATCAGGAAGCATACTGCAGGCGTCTGAAAGCGACATCAAGACAATGAAATCTGTCATATCCGGCTTCGGCGCGAGATAAATCTCACACCCTCTTTCTGAGCTAGTTAGCTCTCATCCTTGCCGAGTTACATCTAGCCCCCATTAGACTCAGACGGGATTGTTATGCATTGAGCTTCGTTAAACTCGGAAACTTCACACTGGCCGCCATAAAACGTGACCCGCTATGGACCTTGGAAGATTTTGGTTGCCGATAAGAACAAGAATTTTGTGTGCTGAAGGATGTCCTTTCACGTCATTTCAAGCCCCGTAGATGAAGTGGCGTCGTGGCTTGCGCCGAGGACCTGATAAACCGGCTCTTCGGCGGAGATTTGTTTCAAGTCGAGCTTTGCATTCATAAATAGTCACAAACTTCCTGTGTTATCAGCGTCGAAAGTGACTATCTTTAAGATCTGAAGTAGAGTCTGCTCAGGACGGGCTGTGTACGCGTATCTCCATTTCTCTAGCTGGACTTGGCAAGTTCGCGGTCTCGATTTTTCCATAGGGCTATTTTCGTGACGTTGGACAACTTAAGACGTGGCCCTAATGAAAAAGAGAGTAAGAGGACGAAAAGTGCCATATCAAATTTGCATCATCAAATGCACAGGGGTATATATTAGTCTACCATAACATAGCGTCTCTAGCTCAAATCAATCCTTCCCAGCCAGAGCCTCTCCCACCCAGTCCATCTGTACAGCACTCACGCCACGCGCGTAACTGCGATTAGTGAACACGAACTCATTGTACATGATTGCCTCGAGCTTCTTGCCGTATAAGACACTTGACGGATGGATAGCGACTGTCTGGTTTCCAACGATCGTACGGTAGCTGCCATCGGGCACGAGGCGAGCGGTGTTGGTTGCGAATCCTGCCAGGAAACTCTGCAGGATGAGGATGGGTGATGGGTCGTGTAACGACGTTCGGTTCAAGGCCTCATTGGTGAGAAGCTTGGCTTGTCGGCATTGCGTGCGAAGTTGTTTGCGGACGTCCTGGGCGTTTTATCGTTAGTTTGATGTGATAGTAAGTTGAGTCGGGTATTCGAATACTACTCACCATGACTGATTGCATCGCTCGATGCGATACCAGATGACGCTCCGCCCATGCCTTGCGGTCGGCGTGCTCGGAAGCGTACGCACGTACGGTCATCAACATGGTGAGATGGTCACCTTCACGACGGTATAGATCCCGACGTGCTGCCTCTGCTGCTTCTTTTTTCTCCTCTGATGTGGTGTTCAAGAAGATGTTCTCCACACTCAGACATGAGATGATGTCGATCACATCTAGTAAACATTCATGGCCGTTCTCGGCAGCTGCCAACAGCACACGTCCGAGGGTTGGAGTCAAGGGCAGCTTCGCAATGTGTAAACCGACAGCGCTGATTGTTCCATCCTCTTGGAGTGCATTGATATTCAAGAGCTGCAGGAGGGCTTTCTCAAGTGCTTCGCGCGGAGGTCGGGTGAGGAATGGGAAGCGAACAATATCGTCAACACCACGCGCCTTCATATTTAGCAGAGCTTGGCTCAGATCACAGCGCAGAATCTCGGGTGTGTTCGTCTCATCCAAAGCTAAGTAGTCCTTTTCTGTGTATAGTCGGAAGCATTGTCCAGGGGCCTCACGACCAGCTCGACCCTTTCGCTGGATTGCAGCCGACTTAGAGATAGGCTTCACCAAAAGTGAGTCAAGACCAAGGCGAGTACGGAATTGCTTGATCTTTGCCTTTCCACAATCGATCACGTGTCGAACCCCAGACACAGTGACGGAAGTTTCGGCAATGTTAGTTGACAGCACGACCTTCCGTGTTCGCGGCGGAGCAGGGGCAAAGACCCGCTGCTGGGCAGCCTGTGGCAGCGCAGCGAACAGCGGCAGGACCAGGATCTTAGGAAGTGCTGGGTCCATGGCCATGGCATACTCATTGACCAGATGTTCTAAAGCCTCGACTGTCTCTTGACCAGTCAGGAAGACAAGAATATCACCCGGCATTGGTTCCTTCTGATGAATCTGAAAGATGACCTTGAGTGCTGCATCCACAAAGTCATGTACTGGCGCAGGCGAGTAGATTGTTTTGACTGGAAATTGTCGACCCTTGATATGACAAACAGAGATATCCCTCGAACTCGGGCTATCCTCCGGACCAGCCTCAGCTCCATTTTCAATAGCTTTCTTTTCCGGCCCTGCAATTCTGTAGCCCTCTTGGAAGAAGCCTGTTAGACTCTCCATATCTGCCGTAGCACTCATGACAACCACCTTAAGCGGAACACCGCCACGGCCCTCTTTGTTTCCGGAAACGAGATTTCGCAGGAATCCAAGCGTTAAATCCACGTTGATACCTCGTTCGTGAACCTCATCAACAACGACGGCGCTGTACTTGGTCAAATAGGGATCATGCAACATCTCCTGGAGCAGCATTCCTTCCGTCAAGAATTTGACTCGCGTACTAGGCGAGGTCGATGTATCGAACCGAACGGAATAGCCGACCTTACTGGCAGGCGAGTGCGAACCAAGCGGCGTGCCCATTTCCTCCGCCACGCGGCGAGCCAGTGTAATGGCGGCTACTCGTCGCGGCTGTGTGATAGCAATGCATCCTCCAACCATCTTTTTCTCGGTCTTCCCGTTTCGCGTGATCTGCGCAGGTACAGGCCGGCACCAGAATTCGTCCACCAGGAACTGTGGGATCTGGGTACTCTTTCCGCTACCCGTTTCACCGACTAACAGCATCACATCTTGTTCACGTAGAAGGCTGCGGATCCGATCGGCGTTTTCGAATACCGGCAGCTTCCGTCGTACTTCGAGGAGCGCTTTCGCCTTTTCCCGTAAGGGCATCCAGTTGAGTTTGGTATCGGTGAAAGGTTTCGACTTCGATTTCGGGTACGGTTTCGCTGCCGGAGCCTCTGTTGATTGAGGTGCGGCATTCGCCTGATTCTTTGGCACAGCTACTGGCGTTTCTACCTGCTTCTTAGGCGCAGGGGTATCGCTCGTTTCATCATGATCGTCGTTTTGTGAGGCCTCGGGCTCCTCGCGCTTGCGCTTCTTGTTCTTCTTCTTCTTCCCACGTGTTTCTTCTGTAGTTTGAAGCGAGATCTTGGGCTCTGCGGCCTTGTCGTCGTCCGAGTTCGCGAACACGGTGCGAACCTTTTCCGGCATCTTGATCTGTAGCACGTAGGAATGCTGCCGGGGCACGAAGCTCGAATCCGAAAATTTTGCCTTATCGATAAGCCGATAAGCATATCCGCTATCAAGCCGTAAACAACAAGTGCGGACTGCGGAGAACTCCATACGAGTCACGACTTTCCTACACAACATACCTAGTCCCTTGGTGGATTTGGATTTGGTCTTTTAAGGGTCTGTAATCTTTGCAAAATGTAACCACTCCCTCCTGGTTTGGTTCTGATAAGGGAAACAATTCCATCCTCTTCCCCAATTGCCACTTTTCGCCTTGCTGCACGTGCTTTGAAAACTACAATGAGTGCTGAAGAATTTCTGGCCAATGTTGAAAGCGGCATCGTGCCTGTGACCTGCCATGAGGATGTTTTACGGATCGCATTCCTCTATATGGATGAGGGGCTGTGGACCGACAATGGGGTATTCGATGTGGTGGAGAAGCTGCACGCGCATGGCTGGTCGTTTGGGGAGGGCGAGTTACGCCTGAACCGGTAAGTTATCTCCTACTGTGGTGATCTTTAATAGCACTGGATAATTAAACAAATAACAGTACCCTGGACGTATTCTATCTCGCACAGCTAGCGGCAGCCATCTACCGCTATTCCTCTCAACTGGAAGGGGACTTCCCCTCCTTCTCCGATTTCCCTGCCTTGTATGCGGCTCACCATACCCTCCTAAACTCCTCAGCCTGGCACTCCTACTACTCCATGAACTTCCTCGCCCAGCGCACCACAGCGTGCTTTTATCGCCCGCCTGACCTCCAGGACCTCCCCGACTCCTCCTCCCCGCTATGCCAGCCGCGCCATACGGTATCCGCACACGTCCTGAAACTTCCTCGCTGGGCCTACAGTATTGAGCGCACGCGACGTAGGCAGCCCTCTCTGCCATGGGAAACTCTTACTACACTAGCATTCAGCACACTGAAAGCAACCATGGTACGCCTGCATATGGCCTACCCCAGCGCACCACCCTATGCGGAATCACATGCGCGCTTCTGGCTTGATTACTTTACTCCTGATCCATCTCCATCTCGTCTGGCTAATAAACCTTCTCGGGAAGATTGGTGCCCTAATAGCTTTGGGATATTGGTCGCACAGGGAAAGTATGATATACACTGGTCGGAAGCAGAGTATTCCGCACAGGTATTGTCAGGAGAGATTGCCGAGGGAGATGACAAGTTAAAGCAGGTGATATGGTGTGGGTTACCCGATGGAGGGACTGGAGTACAAGCGTGGTGGAGGGGTTGGGAGGAAGAGGTCGGAAGTGAGGAGGAGGTGGAGTTCCTAGCCACTGTTGCGGTGGAGGAGACAGTTGTACTAGGACTAGAAGGAATGGAACTGGATGAGTTGGAGCTGTCAATCCGGTCACATATACTACTAGCGGTCATGCGGGCTGCGGTGAAGGACAGGCAGGAGAGGGAATATTTTCTGGGGGAATTGGAGAGGCGGATGGTGCAGAAGGGGAGAATTGGCGAGGAGAGGGCAAGGAGGTGGGTCAAGGAGGCCTTGGAGATCATGGAGCCGTATGTACGCATATGGCGGGGCGTGTGGCCCGGTACAGAGGAGAGGGGGAGATGCTGCGGCGGATCTTGGTGGAGAATGCGCAGCTCTTTGCACGCTGGAAGGTGTCGCATCTTTCGAAGCAGTTCACTTTTGAGCTGGGGCCGAGAGAGACAGAGCAAGGGATTTAGACTACCTTACCATTACAACCATTATAACCATTAATCAGGATACAGAGTCAGGCATCTAAGAGTCGAGATGTATAGAATGAAGAGAGTCTAGTTGGAAAATGTCATTGCTACTATCCAGAAAACCTATAGAGCTTGAGATAGAATCGTTATGCAAATAGAACAATGTCACCCCCATTGCGCCGCCATTCGCCTGGTTCAGTAGTGATAGAAACGAAAGAAAGGCCGAGTCACCAGCCACACCAGGCTCGCTATCAGTGAGCAGAGGACGAAGGTGAAGTGTCATAATCAGAGTACACGTGATTGCATGCTGATAGCCTTGCCAGTTGACTAGAGGCCTGCCAGTTGGCGGGAGGCTTGCCAGTTGGCTGGAAGCTCGCTAAAACCGTCTGGAACTCGACACGTCAGGTCATCCATATTTTGCGCCAAAGGCCTACAATTATTCAACTAGTCGTGGTAGATTGGATAACTACCTAGTACTGCAAGATTGTTCCAGAATTACTTTGGCCGCTCGTCTTCGTAATGTATACCTTGTTGTGCTATCTGGCAAGCTGCTTTTAATTTGCTCTACCTTAAAAAGTCTTGCTGACCGAAGATCATAGGTGCTACGTGTCTTGGCTCCGTAAGCAAGGATTTACGTACTTTGTTTGTCTCATCTCAGGCCGACGCAGATGGATGATAGGGCGATTGGCTGCAGTACTACCTGCATTCAATCTGACAGGGCACGCTGCAGCGATTTCGTGGCCCTTCCGAGATGATGACTTTCACCCCGCCAGCGGCGCCAGAGCACCTGAAGCGAGGTTCAATTCTACCAACCTCACTCAAAGATGAGAGTAGCAGCAGCTCACAATCTACCGCGCACGGGATTCGCCCCTCTCATAGCGTCCCTACAAACACCCGGGGAAATACAACTCCCAAATGGCACCGTCGTGGCTGTCGGCGTAGGCGAGCCAGTCTATCGAGTGATTTTCCGCACGGAAAAAGCCCTGCGCACGCCAATGACCGAGATGGGCATTGGGTGCGCCTATCTAGCTGGCGACATCGAGGTAGAGGGCGATCTGGGTGCTCTTTTCAATGCGCGCCAAAGCGTGCAGGAAAAGGTACCCCTGCGACAAAAAGTCCAGTTCATATATGACTTTGTCCGGACGTCAACCAAGATGAACGCCAAGGCGATTGGCGATCATTATAGCTTTGGTGATGCGTTCTATCTCACGTTCCTGGACAAACGCTTTCGGTTTTACACACATGGGTTATTTAAAGGACCCGATGATACGCTGGAAGATGCATCCGAGCATAAAATGGAGACTGTCTTTGCTGCCCTCGACCTCAAACCTGGAATGAGGATCCTTGATATCGGTGGTGGCTGGGGTGGCGTGACGCAGTATTGTGGTGCGCGAGGCGTGCATGTCACCACCTTGACGATCGCACCAGACGGTGCTCGTTATGTGCAGCGCATTATAGAGGAGAATAATCTCCCTGGCCGGGTGTTCTTGCAAGACTTTCTCGAGCATAAACCAGAGGAGCGGTATGACCATGTTGTCATACTGGGAGTCATTGAACACATCCCCAACTATCGCCGCTTCGCACGCACAATGTGGGATGTGCTGAAGCCTGGTGGCCGTGTCTATCTTGATGGCTCGGCGGCGGTGCAAAAATTCGCCGTTAGCGCCTTCACGAGAGACTATATCTGGCCCGGCACACATACGTTCATGACACTGCAAGATGTCCTTGCGGAGTTCCTGTATCATGGCTTCTCGGTGCTGGATGTAGCCAATGAGACTTGGGACTATGAGCTCACGATGTTGGAATGGGCGAAACGGCTGGATTCGGCGAAGGACGAGCTCATCGCTGGCTGGGGAGAACGGACTTATCGTGTCTTCCGCTTGTTCCTCTGGGGTGGCACACATGCGTTCAAGACCAACTCCTTGCAGGCTTACCATGTAGTCGTGGAACGGACATCGTCGCCTGGTCCCCGACCTTCCGTCTATCGTCGTTGTCGGCAGTTCCTAGGCAACTTGCGGTGATCTCATTTGGTATCCTCCCGGGAAGGTTAGGGCTTTGTATGTGGAGATCACTTTCACTATAGAAGACAGGAAACCACGCATATACCATCTACCGAAACTAGGTTAGCTCAAGTCGTCAACTAGATTCTTGCGACCTACTTGCTCCACGATGGGAGCCTATTACAAGCTACGCATGTTACCGTGAACATTTATCTGCAGAAGCAGGGCAGACACCTTCGGTTGATGCTAATTCATATATCATTCCCTTCATCCCGTTCTATGTACCGGATCAGTCATGTAGGTAAGAGTCATCAGTCATATCAGTCTAATCCCCAGCCGCGCACTCGGCGGAACACGAATGCTCGGTCATTGCGAAGACCAAATTCACCCCAGTCATCGGTCAATCTATTGTAACTCCAGAATCCCTTCCAGACCAGCTTGGTATTCTTGGATGGATTAGGAGGAGCCGGTCCAGCTTGCAGAGCTTTCGGAACAGTCGAGGAGCGTAGAGATAAATGCATGGTGTATATGTACTTTGGATCCACACCTTCTGTTTCGATGACGAGATCCCGCTCGTCAGAAAGGAGGGACTTTTCTGCTGCCGAATGAGGCTTCCAGGTTTCAGCCGGAGTGTCGGCATCTTCGGATGCGTCGACGGGCGAAGCCAAGTGCCACCGGCCACGAAGACCATGCTTCAGTGTGTTCATAGCGATGGGCGGGATAGACTCAGCGGCTCCAGAGAGCGAATGGCCCACATCGGAAGGGTGTCGTTGATGCTTTCGATGCGCTGGGGCGCGCGCCGCCATCACGTTCTCCTTGCTGATGTGAGGAACCACATCGACTGGCTCCGTGGAAGTCAACAGTGAGATCACCGAGCCATCTGGATAGAACCGCAGATAGCGGTAGTAGGTCACGATGTGGATGGGACTGTCCCATGTCAAGTTTGAGTATGCAGCGGCAGCACCAGGCCGAGTGTAGTTGACCGTGCTGATGTAGACACCCGTGAAACGAATTCGAGGGAGCGTTTGGAACACTTGGCTCCATGAAGATAGCGGCCGTGGAACTTCTACAGGCATGCCTGTAGGGAAAGGAGTGTACCTTTCTCCGAGTGTGAAGATCGGTTCCCCCAGCAGGTCGCATGCGAAGTCATAGTGCATTCCTTGGAACCCAAATTTCCGCCCTTGGCAGACCTGCTTCCATATATGTTGTTCATGCGCAAAATGATAAGCCATCCGCTTACATACCAATGCCATCCGGCCAAAGGTCGATGGGTCGTCCATGGCCACATGTCGTAAAATCTCCGTTATCACTTCCGCCGGCACATTGGCTATTGGACAGGGAGGCGGTGGTGTATTCTCGAGAATAGGCTCGCTCTGCGGAATTGACAGGTCTGCGAATGACGCAATGAGCTCAGGTGTCGGAACCACCGCTACTTCTGCAGGCTGTTGAGTCGCCCCAACAGGGGTAACTGGCGCAGGCTGATTGGGCTTCTTCCATACGTGGGCATAGTGTTTGTTCCGGTAGGACTTATCCACAGCGGCATCTAACTTTGCGGAGATCAGTATTCGTATTCTGATTGCGATTGAATCAGTTGAAACCCACCCTGTATGCCTTGCGGTAGTGTGAAAGACTGTCTCCTAAGTTGCCTTCGGCTTCCTTCTCAACCGCTCTTTCGAAATGCTCCAGAGCAGACGTTGGTTCCGATACCTCTCGACGTGAGAAATCATCTTCGTCTGGCTTTACGCTCAGATCTCCGACTTGTTGCGCCAGCTCATCGGGGTCAAAGGAAGCAAGTGGCGGACCTTCCTCCTCGATCTCTTTGCGGTGAGAAGCCTCATGGCGCGTGGGCGGCAGGCGAACCGGGGGCGGGGCAGTCGATATCGGAGTTGCATGAGGCGCAGGCCTGGGCTTGGATCGACGAGTGACCTCCTCGCGCCATTGCTGGCGGAAAGATTCAAGCTCGGCGTTGTCCTCCATGGTGGGGAGATGGTCCGAACTCGGGAGATCAGATCAGATTGATAAGCTCCTCGGGGAGGAAGAAGATAGACAAGAAAAACAAGAAACGAGCAAACCACTATCACATGACCCTAAGCGCCATCTAATCTGATGAAGAAAAGGAAATTTGTTGGAAGTTGCAGAATCCAAGAGTCCTCCAAATCCGCCCAAGACGCTTATCTCCGCCCACCGCCACCCGCGAAACCCCGAAAAACTTCCAAGGTTCCTTTCCCGGTGACGCATTCCTTTTCTTGCTACTCCAACGGTAACCGGTTTGCATGTTTTTCTGTTGAATGCCTCCCCTGGAATCTGCTTCATCACTCCCCACTGGCGACGAGTTCATTACTGAATCCAACGCATCTCGGGGGGCGTCATGGACACAGTTTGAAGATTCTACAATGGCCACTGCATCAGGGACAGGCACTGCTCCAGGGCCCGTGACCCCTGCCCAAAATGACGATATTACGCCGTGGCAGCGCATGGTGTCTGCGACCGCCGGCAATGTCTTGACCGGGCTTCTAGGTATATCTCAATCGCTCCCAGTTTCAGGAATGCAGTATTAACAGCTTCAGTGACACCTCTGGACGTTGTACGAGTCCGTCTACAGTCTCAATCACAGATTCATAATACTTCGCCTTTTACCTCCCATACCACCCAAACCTTAAAAAACCTTCCGCCAAACCTCGGCATTACGTCCTGCTGTCGCGAAGTCTTCTGGATCGGAAACGATGCCCAGATGTGCATGCTCGGACCTCAGGCTGCGGCCGTCGGAACCCACCCTCATCCCACGATCGATTGTGCCATTGAAGAGTCGCAGCGGCGGACATTTACATCGACCCTCGACGGGCTACGGAAGATTGCGCGCAATGAAGGAACACTGACATTGTGGAGAGGGCTCAGCCCGACCCTGATGATGGGCATTCCGGCCAACGTTATTTATTTTGCTGGCTATGACTGGCTGCGGACAGATGATCGGAGTCCCATCAAACAACGGGTGGCTGAGGGCTATGCACCCTTAATCGCTGGATCTGTTGCTCGCGTCGCAGCAGCAGCAGCAACCAGTCCGCTAGAGATGTTTCGGACGCGTCTCCAGGCCATTCCGGGGACGGGTGCAGGACACTTTAAGGCCACCGTGGAGGATCTGTATCATATGACGCAAGCGAAGGGATACAGTTCGCTCTGGCGAGGATTCACTCTTACCATGTGGCGCGATGTCCCCTTCTCGGGTCTTTATTGGTGGGGATACGAAGAGGTGAAAAAGGCCATGATTGCTGCGCGCCAGCAATCACTGCCTCATGTGCGCTCTGGCCAAGAGCCTCAAGAGTCAAGCGTCCAAGCATTCCTCGATAGCTTCATCTCGGGAGCGGTCTCTGGTTCCTTGGCAGCATTTGTCACCACCCCGTTCGATGTTGGTAAGACGCGCCAGCAGGTCTTCCGACACTCCGACGACCGCGTTCCCACAGGCACAGCCGTCCCCCGCGCGGCACTACCTCCTGGAAAATTGGCACCAGAGCAACTCTCCCTCCCTAAATTCCTCATGCATATCTTCCGTGAAGAAGGTACTGCCGGGTTGTTCCGTGGCTGGACAGCACGATGTCTCAAAGTCGCCCCAGCCTGCGCCATCATGATCTCAACCTATGAGCTTGGCAAGCGCATGGCTCGAGAGGTTAATGAACGGCGACACTCCGACGCATAATTGCGTCCTGTACAATCATCTGCATCTCTCTCTCCTCATTTACTTGTTTTTGTATTTTTTAGGGGGCGTTTTCTAACGATACCGCATGAGCCGATAGAGTGGGCATTAGCTTTGGAATCTTTGGTTTGGGATGTTCCCATGTATATACATTAATGAAAATCTCAATCTCTGCATATATCAGGTGGCTTTGACTCACCTCGGGACACAGCCCTGAAGCTAACCTGTGCACTTGCATTAGCGGGCGAACTAAAGCGTGTCGGGCGCGATCATCCGGACCCCAAACGACGTTGAGGCTGAAGCGCCCAGCGCCCCCTCAAATTGAGAGACTTTAAAAGGATCAGATGCCCAGCCTCGTTCTCGTTTCCCCCGCAATCTCCTTCCGCGACTCGATGTTGAACAGGACTCCCAACTATGACTTCGAGGCCACCCGTGACAGACCGGACGCGGCCATGGTTCGAGCATGTCGCTGTCGCAAAAGATACGAATGTCGAGTAGGTGGATTACTCATTTCCCCTTAGTTAGAGCAACATGCATTTGACATGACCAAATCACTAATCTGGTCATCTGGTCCAGTATCGTCGCCATTCCCCCCGTCGGCGCCCACCATAGAAAGACGTGGACCGCGCCTGGCGCCAGGTCATCCTGGCTTGATACCGGGATATTTCAGCGTCTGCCACGAGCGCGGGTTCTGCTGTACAACTATGGGGATCTGCGCAATGACAAGCTTGACCAATTGGCCGTGCGGCTGTTGAACCAACTACACAGTGAGCGGCAACACCATGTTTGTTTTGGGCTTCTTTTCGTTCATCGCAACTCGCTAAACGTTTCCACAGCCTGTTCGACGACCCATATTTTTCATCTGCCACAGTACTGGTGGGCTTGTCCTTAAGAATGCCCTAGCCCTGGCATCACGGGAGCCGGGCCAGCCAATCTTGACCAGTTGTTATGGCATCGCGTTCTTCGCAACTCCTCATCGAGGCTCGACTTATCTCTCTGCCGATGAGTATGCCGCCAGTATTCGCCGTATACTGCACCTGGAACATGACATTCCGGCGGCACTCAGGGAGCAATTCCGTCCCCGCGATAAACAGCTATGGCATCTATCGAATCAATTCATGACTCTTTCGGCGGACATGAAGATTTGGTCTTTTCTCGAAACCGTTGACTCAACTATGCATATCATTGACACTAACAAGACACAGCCCAAGTTCAAGAATTGGTCTCGCCTTGAGCCTGTTGACTCGAATAAGCCAAGTAAGCGAGTAGTCGACCCTAATACAAACACCAACATCCAGTCCAAGATGGAGTTCCATGTCCCCATTACTTCCATTCGGTCGGGATTGTTAGATATCGAGCATGAAAAGGAAGTGCCTATGGCAACCGACCATGCGGGAACAGCATCCTTTCACGGCGAAGAGTCGACACGGGATCGATTTTTGATTGAACTTGGTGATGCTGTCGACTTTGCTGTTGAGGTATCGGAGCGCGAAGATACGCCGCTGCGCATAGAACAGAAGGTCACGGTTGCCATCAATGGCTTTTTCGAGGACACAGCACTGGGCGTCAGTGACGACAGCCCGCTTAAGCTGTGGTCAACCAGAGTCACGTTGGAAGAATACCTCTCTAGAGGACCGTCAGCCTGTCTTGGGGATAGACTCCAACGAGGTCAATTTATTCCGGAAGATTCGTCGCTCAGCAGTTTTGATAGTCCCCGCTCGTCCTACATATCCAACTACTTTCCACCTGTCTCTGATCCGCTTGAGCGTGAAGACCCGACTGAACTAGAAAAGCAAAAGGAGGAAAGGCCAACACCCTTGCGTCCTCCTATACGCCAGAGACCAAGCTTCGAGGACATATCTAGTCGCTTCCCACAGATTCATATCACCGCGGCAGATAAAGATGGTGACAACTATCTAAATGACGGATCAAGTGAAAGCCCGCCTCCATCTCATGAGCAAAAACGAAGAAATTCGATCTCAAAAGCGCTTGGATTGTCTCTCCTGCAGCGATCCCACCATCGGAGCACTTCGGATAGCTCTCAAGAGAGCAGTGAACGGCCACCTTCGTAAGGAACCTCTTATACTTCGTCCAATATCCCAGACTAATATCAAGCAGGAGCTCGGCGTCGCAACAAGCGTCATCGAACTTCCTGGCATTGCCCAAGTCCAACCGGGATCACATCAACACGAATGCCGAGACACTGGATATACCTCAAGCAGCACCCCGTTTCGATCGGCCCGAGGCTGGAACTGAGAAATTGATGTGGATCCATGTGCCGTATACACATACAGGCTGGGTATCCCAGGTCATCCGCAAGGCGTGTCAGGATACGGAGTCCAATTTGTAAAAGCAACTCATATCTGCAAGATCTGACAGTACTGACCTAACATCTACAGCCTTCGAAACTTCATCAATGACGAGAAATGGTATCGCCGACTAAACAGAGCTCGCCACCTCGAACCCCATGCACGCTTCGTCAAACCTGCATGTATTCATTCAAGACAGATGGATCCTTCCCAGGGTCCTGTCAGTGCATCAGATGATCCCCAGCTCGCTTTATACGTATGTTTCACATCCCCGTCTCAATGACCGCACTAACACAATATACCTCCAGGTTCCCTACGTTAGTGCTTCCAATTAAAAACATCCTTCTCACCCGACCCCCAAAACTAACCAATTCCAGCTCCACTGGGACACATACCGAAACCTCATCCAACGCCGCAAAGTAGTCGAAGACCGTCTCCACCAAGGCCGCTCAAGACCCGTCCCAGGCCGAATCTCCAAAGCGAGCCTAGAAGCCCAACTCATCTGGACCTATCTCGGCTGCGAGCCTCCAGTGCATTTCCGTCGCACACTAGATCAATACGGGTATCCGAATCTGCGCTCGACTGTCGCCCGAGACGATGACCAGATGCTCTGGAAGCGGACGCGCAGACCTGCGCGTATCGATGAGCAACTTAGAGAGTATTTGAATTCCACGCAGGACGATCCGGATACCGTCGATGCGGATGAGTTTATGGATGGGAATGTGTTGATGGTCGATCAGCTTTGGGTTTGGATCGTCGATCAGAAGACTGTCGTTAGTTTCTTTCCTGAGCAGGAGGCTACGACTTCTGAGGGGAAGCTGTTTGAACAGTCGAATTTGCATAGTAGTATTTATAACGAGTTGAATGGAGATTTGGCGAGGAGGTTTGAGACGGCGGGCGATTTGGCGGCTCTTATTATGCTGCATGCTGTGACGGTGCTTTTGGATAAGACGTTGCATCATGATTTGCAGGTTTTGCGTATCTTTGAGGAGTCGATCAGTATCTTGGTGAGAAGAGCCTACCCATTTAATGATATTTACTAACGAGTCAGACCGAATCCGTGACAAAGTCCTTCAAACGCTTCCGCAACAGAGGCTTCACCAATAGACCCTCAGACCATGACCGCGGGCCAGACGGCAAGACAATGACAGCTGCGCAACGCGATTATAGGGAACACCAAGTCGCTCGATGGAACCGGGAAGACCTCTCCGTTCTACTGGAACTGCGCGACATCGAGGACGAGCTAGGTACTATATTGAAGCTACTCGAGCAACAAGACACCGTCATCAAAAGTATGACCAAGTACTTCGACGACAAGGGATACGGCAAGGAGTTCCTCCATATGGCGCAGGACCGAATCGACGAGTATCGCTCGCAGATCAACGAGATGAAAGAGAATAGTCATGTAACTCAAAAGGCAGTGAGTGCCATCTTGTCTTGTTGATGTTCGTCTGCTAATCATTTCAGGTTGAAACATTGCTCGATCTCAAGCAGAAACAGGCCAATGTCGATGAAGCGAAAATGGCTAGATGGGAAGCTGAAGTTACGCAGACACAGTCGCGGGCTGTCATGGTCTTTACCGTTTTCAGTGTTGTGTAAGTTGGGCTTTCTTTCTATACTTGCTTCGATCAAGCAGTTCACTAACAGCTCTGATCAATTCAGCTTCCTCCCTCTTTCCTTCTTCACCTCTCTATTCGGCATCAATGCCCGTGAGTGGAGCGGCGAACAGACGAATCCTACCCTCGGAGAGATGTTCCAGATCGCTGGTAAGTCGTCCCGAAACAAGCATATATGCATATCAACACGGAAACTAATACCCTCCAGCTCCCGCTTCCTTCGGAATAATCTTCCTCTCACTTCTAATAGCCTTCAGCCAAGGTCTACGCGAGACAATGTCAAAAATATACAAGATCAGCATGGGTCTGTTCAAAGACTTCGTCATTCAGCCCATCAGGACATTCCTGTATCTTGACGCCGTGCGCAAGGTGGCGACGATCGATGTGCCTGAGAAGTCCGGGATGAGGAAACGCTTTGATTCGTATCTTGGCTATCGTGAGAAACACACGAAGCTTGATGAGGATATCTGGAAGAGGTGGCAGGATGCGCGGGTTTTGAAGGCTAAGAAGAATGGGGATTGGAAGTGGCTTAAGGAGAGGTATAATTTGGATGCTGGCTTGCAAGGGAGGGGACGGGGGGATGTATAGTCTATGATTTCTTCGATACCCAATGCATCTTGATTTTCATGCGTATGCCCGGTAATACATTGCATTGGTCTAGCGACAGCGATATACGTCAAGATCTCCTGATGGTAATAGTAAGAAGGATAGGCAGGAATAGGACGAAACCAGGACTATATACCTGACAATAGATCACTACACACTCTGGCCTCCCGGCTTGCCATTGCAAAACCAGTGCAGGCCTCTAATAGATGGAGTAAAGAAATATTCACCACCTCGCTGATCCACCCAAGGACTAGTACCAAGATCAAGCTTGTGAGTTTTCTTAGTATCAACCCCATCAAACAGACTGATGTGTCCTTCGGGATGATCTTTACGCTGTCTCTGATTAGTGAACGGATCCATTCCAGGACCGTCCTGGTGGGTTCTCTTCTTAGACGTCGGGAAAAAGCTGTTGCTTGCCCAACCTTCTAATTGTCAACAATGCTCAAGGGAGAGGACCGAAGGGGGGCTTACGAGTCATGAGGAGATTGAAACCGTCTCTAATATCACTCTGGTAGCAGGTGAAGTAAACACCACGGCTCTTGGTTGTCTTTTCCTTCTCGTCCAGTCCAAGCTCCGGACCAAACGTTATACCCCGGCGCAGAATGACGCTAGCGTCTTCCTTGTCAGGCGTCTGATCGGGCTCCTCGTCACTGTCTTCTTCCAAATCTGGAGGGTTGCTGGTATCATGCACCAATGGATCGGTAAACTGTCCGGCCACAAAGTCGTCATCTTTGCCAAGGTCGCGCTTATGGTCGGCCCTGGGACGCATTTTGCGGGCGTGCGCGGCGAAGGGACACCCCATAATACTCTGCTTAGGGCGGAAATCGAAGTCATTTCTGAATGCCAGTTTTGGGTCGTCGTGATCCGGAGTTAAAGCCACAGGCGCACCTACGAAGGATCAGTGGGATGCGTATAAACAAAGAAGAGATCATTCCCATACCGCTTTTCCAACGTCCCATCAAATGAGCCGCCAATTTCTCAGCACCGTTATCGCCCTGGTAGTTCGGAATCTTACTTGCAGCTTCTTTGATAAAGCTAAGCATAATTAGTGAAGTTCTGCCTTCTACCACCCATGCGACGACGTACTTGTTGAACTCAGGGACCTTCTCGTCTAGCTGACGGAAGACAAGGAAACTACCTTCATAGGACCAAGGAGGCATGTTGTGCTGTCTTGGATCCCCATCATGACCAACAAAGATGTACCTAACTGAATCAGCTCAAACCCCTCGAAACAACGGAAGATACCTTACCCCGGAAGACAGGAAAGCGGCTCACGTGGCCCCGGCTCGGGATCCAGACCCTGGATCTGAGGCTGTGAGATGTGATCCTCGAATCCAAAGCTGCACGTCACGTCAGATCATTACCTCCGACTCGATGGTAAGATAAAAACTCACTGCTCTCTACCGCGAAAGTCTCCTGGCCGACGCTGTCCATGCTTCGCGACTACCAAGTCCAGACTGTTCTTGTTCATGTCCCTCAGATGGAAATTAGTCTCAATTCTCGCGATCCCCTCGTTCAGGGTTTTCTCGCACGAGGCAGCCACGATCAAAACCAAATCGCAGCGCCAACTGTCATCATCTTTGGCAGGGTCGTGCTCAGGCGGAGGCTTGAACTCCGGAAGTAATCTCTCGGGGATATCGGCACCCTCGAAGATAAGATCGCTGTACATGCCTTTCTCGTATAGTCCGTCGTTGAGTTCCGCTCTGCCAAGCTTTTTTTGCTTTCATCAGTATGCCCTCTCTAATTTCAAAAGCTACCCAATGCAGCAAGGAATCATCGCGCATACCTTCTCTAACCCCTTCTGGGTAAATGCCACATTCACGCACGACTTGGGAATCTTTCTAGAAATGCCAGCCTCTTGCGCAAGTTTGATCTTTGCCAGAAGCTCTTCGCACTCCAGACCGGTGGTGATATTCCCGATAAAATCTCGGAGATCATTGCGGAATCTGTCCACGTTGCTGATCTTGTAGAAGAGGTAGGACTCAAACTCTTTGGGCATGCGCGGCCAAATGCCACCCTGGATGTTGCTCTTGTTCACCGGATTGGAGCCCATACTCTAAAAAAGTCTTTCGATATGGAGGGAAGGAAAGGACTTCGATTTGAGTAGAGATCGGAATTTTTATAGCTCGCCTCTCGTCGTAAAGATTCCCCGTGCTGTAGTTTGGCAACAACAGACGTCCAATAAAGGTGTCTCAATTCCAATCACGGATGACGGCCTAATCGATCTGATCCACTAAGTCGCTTCACATTCCTTTTACACTTGTTTGTGTGTGGGCGTATCATCAGCACTGCCAATCAGGGATTCTCGGCGATTGTAGGCGGGTCCAGTTCCACCCAGTTCCACCTCAGCCAATTTTGATCTGGTTTATCAGCGGTGTCCTAAGAAATGGTGCTCACCAAGGCTGCCATATGCTTTAGTGAACGAACCCCTCTCATGGGTGATAAACTAGGACCCTTGAATTTGCGACCTATGTTCTCCGTGCCCACTGCACTGCGATCAGCAAATCATACCATTTTTAATCCCACGGATGGTGCAATGGGTCTGTCAAATCAATCAATCAAGCTGAACTGTGGAGACAGATAGACAGATCATCGGGACAGTTTCCTACTTGAAATGAGTGAATGAGTGAGCACCTTGAGATGTACTTCCAAGAAATGATGTCAAAAATATGTTCGAATGCCACCTAATTTGGCACGTCAAATGAAGTGATCCATATACTGTGTAGATCAAAACATCGTGCATGTCAAATCACTCAAATGTGTAGATAAACTTCCACCTGGGCTCCGAGAAGGTTTCGGACCGCTGCCCCGGGCCTGCCCTTGTGGGTCTACCCCACATCGCGCATCGCCATCAGCTTCTCAGTTCGATCGCCGCGGTAGAAAATCAATATCGTGCACTGTGATCGGCAGAATAAGAGCAAATCATTCCCTGATGACGAAACTATCGTTTCTGGTTCGCCCCGTTAAGACTCAATGGGGTTCAAGAGCCCGAAAAGTGGCGATATCCAAGACATTCAGCCAACAGGTGGGTGGGGAATGCAATAGTAAATTTCGATCCAGCATCGAATTAAATGGCGTAGTCTCACTGGCCCTCTGTGGATCGATGAGCTGGATCAACAATGTTCAATGCATCTCTCAATTTTCATGTTTTGTCATCATTGATTGCTTGGGCATCTCGTTAACTATCCTGTTGGCTTACCATGGCATCATTGAGTCGGAGACATACGATGAAACTTGCTTCATGCGCATGGACCGAACTAAACTCTGTACACAATGATCTGCCTGATGATACTAAAAACGACCGGGATCCGATATGTTCCGCGGAAGAATATCTTGTGGCGTCTCCCTTTGGATAATCCAAAGCTGAAGATGTTGAATTCAGCCAGAAATTCCTGGTTGAATCAGGCGGCGATGCCAAGCCTATGTTTTCCCAAGGCTCTAGCAACCGCCATTTGGTCAATTGCAGGACTATCGCAGGAGGGTCGCTCCTTGCCAAGACAAGCCACGTGATCGGACTTGGTCCTGTGTGCGGAACGGCACTAGTATGTTCCGGACAAGACAAGTGGAAGAAAACCTCCATGTCCAGATAGTTTCCTTGATAGACAAAAATATATTTGGTTTAGTTGGTCACTTGCGAGCCACATCCTTACATATCGAATAGAGCAAGATTACATTTGCTAAATTGTTGCTTGCCTCAATTTAACAGAAGATCAACAGCAAATGGACTTATTTCGGCAAAGAATTATTGGCCATCTGTGATTACTACATCGATCGGGGTGCAGGATCTGTTTCAGCTCAGATGAACGAAATTTCATTGCCGGTTTGTCGATCGCAGATAGAGTGGAGCGCATCATGACGAGTGAAATCATGGGCTGGAGTCTATGATGATCGCTTCCATGCAAAAGCCCACATCGCTCGTACTGAGGAGGCGTGACGATCGCTAGCTGCTTGGATCAGCTCCACTGTTCACCGAGCGCCTCGCTTTACCTACCTACTGTGGTATTGAACTGAAGCCCGTACTTCCTTTATAAGTTTTGGGTCGAAGAACTCGCCATCCGCCATGTACACTATCATTCCTTCATCATTCTAGAATGAAAGTCCCATACACCGTCAGCCTTCTTCTAGGAGCTGTCTCAGTCGGCGCCCACAAACCCGCCGAGTACTCCTACGAATCGACTCAGGAGAACCGTCCTGACATCAGCGGTCTGGTCTCCGGGGCAATCCAATGGCAGTCACCCCCCGTGAATTCAACTTTGCTCGATGTGAAAAGATTTCATGTGTCTTGCGCCGGCAACAAACGGGGTCACAATTGTGAATATGCCACTGACGGCAAGAGCAACACATACTGGGAGAGTGACAACCTTGGAAACGGGCCACCTTGGATCTCAATTGATCTCGAATCGGTGCATAATGTCAGTGGCCTGACGATGCTGCCGCGCTTGGATGAGAGTGCCACGGAGGGTCAGATCTCCAAACATTATGTTTGGTTGAGCAAAGATGGGCGAGACTGGGGCGAGCCGGTGGCTTACGGAGCTTGGGGTACAAACAAGGGCATGAAACTCGCTGCCTTCAATCCCACGCCCGCGCGCTACGTGCAGCTTGTCGGTGATACCCAGGAGCTCTACCCTGGACGGTATGCACCTGCTGCTATTGTCAACATTGGTATCTACGCTGCCGACTATGCTCTCCCGATTGAGCCTGGCAAGGGTGCTTGGGGTCCGACGCTCGATTTGCCCGTTATTCCAGTTAGCGCTGCCCAGGAGAAGAACGGTCAGATCATTGTCTGGTCTGCTTGGGCAGATGACCAGTTCTTTGCTTCACCCGGTGGCAAAACACTCACTACGACATGGAACCCCAAAACGAAGACAATCGAGCATACTGTGGTCGCTAACACTCACCATGACATGTTCTGCCCGGGCATGTCCATGGACTTTGACGGAAACATCGTCGTGAGCGGTGGTGGCGACGCAGGTCGAACGAGTATTTTCAACGGATTGCAGTGGGAGTATGGTCCCGACATGCGTATGCCTCGTGGATACCATGCAACGACTACTCTGTCTGACGGCAGGATCTTCGCCATCGGTGGCTCTTGGAGCGGTGGCAACAAGGTCGAGAAGAACGGCGAAGTGTACAATCCTATCAAAAAAAGTGGTACACACGCTCCGGGGCAAAGGTCAACAACATGTTGACCAACGACCGTCTAGGTCGGTGGCGTGCCGATAACCACGCCTGGCTGTTTGGGTGGAAAAACGAAAGCATTTTTCAGGCCGGTCCCAGCGCTAGAATGCACTGGTATACCGTCGAAGGAAAGGGTACCACCACAGAGGCCGGACGGCGCGGAGATGACCTGGACTCCATGTCGGGTAACGCTGTCATGTTTGACGCCGTTCGGGGCAAGATTCTTACCTTTGGAGGCCAGACATCCTACGACGGCTCTGACGGGTCTAAGAACGCCCATGTTATTACCTTGCACACCCCGCTTCAGGACCCTGATGTGCAGATTGCCGGCCGGGGTTCCGGCGGCGGCATGAACTACCCCCGAGTCTACCATACGTCCGTGGTTCTTCCCGATGGCAAAGTCTTCATTGCAGGTGGCCAGGCCTGGGGAAAGCCATTCAACGAGAATACCGCTCAGTTTGTGCCGGAACTTTACGACCCGCAGACGGATACTTTCGAACCCCTGAATGGCCACAATTTTGTCCGAGTCTACCACAGTATCTCAGTGCTGCTGCCAGATGCCACCGTTCTAAACGGCGGGGGTGGTCTCTGTGGCAACTGCTCTGCGAATCATTACGACGCACAGATCTTCACTCCCCCTTACCTGCTCACTCCCAGTGGAGAAAGGCGAGAGCGTCCTGAGATCTTGTCCGCTGATTCCAGAGTCAGCGTGGGTGAGGTTTTGACTTTCAAGACCGACACCCTCATTGGATCGGCTTCTCTCGTTCGACAAGGAACCACTACTCACACTGTCAACACTGACCAGCGTCGTGTGCCACTTGCTGTCCATGCCCATGAAGGCAACATCTACAGTGCGCAGCTCCCTGACGACTCTGGCATCTTGCTCCCCGGGTGGTACATGCTGTTTGCCATTGCCGACGATGGCACGCCTAGTGAAGCTTCCATGGTCAAGATCGAGCTACCTGAATATGCAACCTATGCGCTTGAAGAAATGCAGGAGGATGATGTTGATGCCGAGTTGGAAAGCCATGTCTACAGCGAGGACTGCGAGCACGAAGAGGTGCCAACACCTTTTGCTTCTATACTTTCCTCGCCTGGCCGAGTTTGGAAGTCGTGGAGGTCCTTCCTCCTTCTGCAGGGTTAGATGCTTCGCTACTTGTTCTCTTCCGAGTATACCTAAGATGGTATCGTTGTGTTTTTAGATGATTGTGGGAATTGTGATGAACAGATTTGACATTTGACATGTAATATTGGGACCTGTGAATACCGCACACTCGCCTCACCTCGGTAGATGCTGCATCATGCGGCCAATGCTGGGCTGCAACCGCGAGAACCATGCCACAATCGTACCGTCACCTACCGAATGGAGAACGGGCTTACGACTGGTAGGTTAACGTTGTTGTTCGCTAATAGTTACTCCGTACACACGCAGACTATACCGTCGAAAAGGGGCAGCGAGCACCGAAGTAGAGACACGGCGTTACTTCGGTTTGGCACGGAGAGGACCTGTGATCCCAGTTTTGACATCTGATAAATGCAAATCCCCATCTCCATACGGACTCGTGGCAGTAAATAAATGGCGTCTAAAAGACATCCCTCAACAGCGCTCTCGATCCCCTCCCTCCCCTGAACTAATCATAGCTCGTACACGGAGAATGGATCCGAAAGGTGCCCCATTCAGAAGAAGCTGAACTTCAAGAAGGATGGAAGGCCTCTTGATATTGTAGTGGGAGCTAATCTCGAGCTCGATATCTTCCTTCCAATAGTCGTAATCCAGCGTAAGACCAAGTTTAGCACAATCATCAAGTAAGAACAATTCAAGAACATCGCTGCCAGTGTCATCAAGGATGTTGTCGATAATGATAAACTCTGTTTCGCCTATTAAGCGAGCTCTGATGCTAAACTATCAGATATGAGACGGATTAGAATGGTACAAGGCCGGGAGACGTCAACTGACAAGGTTCTGCAGCAGGCAGGATGCCCAACTCGTCTCTCTTGTCTTTTGTGTATTGTCAGGCTTTTGCGAATTTCATCAAAAACCTGTCAAATATTATCAGTATTCTCCTTGTTCATCCTTATTCTCTGTCTCACCAGGCCGTACAGAGGGCAGAGACCATACTGTTGATCCATTTCTCCCAATAAATATGGCAGAACGACCAAACGGCGACAGCACCCCCGCAACGCCTTCAAAGGGACTTACTGTGGATGAGATGCTAAAGAAGTATCCCAAGGAGGATGTGGAGCGTGCTACCTCCACAGTAAGTCCCTTTGAAGGCGTTGCGGGGGTGCTGTCGCCGTTTGGTCGTTCTGCCATCTTTATTGGGAGAAATGGATCAACAGTATGGTCTCTGCCCTCTGTACGGCCTGGTGAGACAGAGAATAAGGATGAACAAGGAGAATACTGATAATATTTGACAGGTTTTTGATGAAATTCGCAAAAGCCTGACAATACACAAAGACAAGAGAGACGAGTTGGACGTAGAGATATCAAGACCGCTCTCGGAGTCTGGGTAGCCTCGTACCGTCGTACGGGCAATTACAGCCCATGACAGTACCTTACATTCTTGCCGGCCCTTCTTAAGTAGTAGTTAACTAAGTGCTGCGTCGCGTTCTCATCTTCGTCATTACTTTCTACCTACACGCATCTCATCTTATCATCAAGAGAAAGGGAGAATACTATTCTGATACAAAACATGTAAATCATGGCTTCATCATCACCTTTTACTCCCCCTACCTCTGCTCCGTCATCACAGACCCAGGAGCTAGCGCAGATTGAGCTCCAGGACCGGTTAAACCACCACAGCATCAAGGCCCTCCACTACATGCGAAGCCAGTGGCCTCAGAATACATCAAAGGCGTATGTTAACAAGCAGAAGGAATGGCAGGTAAAGCAATACTCTTTCGACTCTAGCTCGTACGAGAAGCTAACGGGATAATACTGCAGAGCTTCTGCAAAAATCAGGGCTTCCCAGACGGCGAATTGGTCACAGAGAAGAAGCTTGTCTACTTTCTCGATACTGAGGTCCTAAACCGGCCCCTCCGGTCCTGTCATCACAAAAAAGACCGCACTCGGCAGGATAGATCGAAGGTTGCGCAAACCCTAGGGACCAATTCGATCACGCAGTATGTCAGTGCTATTGTGGACCTCTGGAAGTTCCAGAAAAGCATTGGGACCAATAGCTCCCCTAACCCCCGTGGATATACTGGTTCAGCCTTGATGACCGGCCGACTACATAAGGAAAGCGAGAGAAAGCGCGAGCAGTATCTTGACCGAGCCGCAGGCACCCTGCAGGATGGGTATTCTCGGGACAAGATCAAGGACTTTATACGGTACTGCTGGCAAGGATGGAGGTCAAAAGATCTCAAGCATCGAAAGCCTCAGGCCCAAGAGTCCTATCTTCGCACCGCCGTGGATTTTCTCTTCAGTCACAATATGCTCCTTCGTGGAGAATCGCGCCGGTGCCTCCAGTTTCCTGACCTGTTTACTATCTCCATGCCTAACGAAGGCCCGACCCCCTGTTGGCCAATGATTATGATTATGGACAACGGAAAGACCAACCAGTTTGGTCGCTTGCAGTATATGGGAGTAATGCGCCATCAGGATCCACTCCTGTGTACGATGAGCCAGGCAGCCTTCTATCTCTTCTATCGCTGGCAGATAGTAGGAGAGTCGCCCCCGCAGTTTCGGAGCCGACCGCAGTGGTACAATTTCCACTTCTTCAAAGGCTCGGATCGAGACAAGCCTATCTCGTACGAGAGCCAGCTGAAATGGGCTAACGAGGTCTACGAGGCGATCAATCTCTCCACCGCTAAGAAAACCCATGCTGGCCGAGCCCAGGGGTCAAAACAGGCCGAGCTAGAAGGCGTGGAAGAGAACCAGATCCGCCGCGCTGGTCAATGGAATCAGGATGCGATGACGAACTGCTACCTCACGCATCTGCCGCGGAAATTCCTTCGTTCAATGGCTGGTCATCAGCCTGATGCAATTGGGAACTACCGTCTTCCGTGGGCAAAGGTACAGCCCCCAGACTCCCTTATACGAGCTCTCTGGCCATGGATCGACCAGTGGCTTGCCTGGTTCCAGTCCAATGATCCTACGAATGAGCCACCTAGCGGGTCTACTACTCCGTCCTTGGAACAGGAAGACCGAGATGATATGGCGGCCCAAGGCTTTCTGCAGCTACTGAGTCAACTACGGATTGTTCTCCTCCAGGACTCGGTTCTCCTGCAGGCGGAGTTCCCCGGGCATTCAATGGGGGAGGACCCTGTTTTTGCCCGAGAAGACTATAAGATATTTGCAGGGCAAGTACGGCAATCCCTTGTTTCTACGGAGACCCCCCAGGAGATTCAGCTGCGACAGACGCTTCCCATCATCGCCGACCGTCTTAGTATCCTTCAAAAAGATATCCATCAGGCGGTTGATCTTCATGGTTCTCAGACTCATGAACAGCTTGGAAATATTTCTCGCCAGCTTCATGATCTCCTTTATGGTCAGGTTACTTTTGCCGTACGAGCTATGGATGCCTCTTATCACCGAAGCGCGGACACCAGACTCAGAGGCATCCATAGCTCGTACGGCAAAAGTAACCTGACCAGAAAGGAGATCATGAAGATCAACCGCCTGATGGATATCTTTTTGAAGGATACTAAGACGGTCGGCGATGATGGGAAGCGTCTGTCGCAGCTGAATCTCCTGGGGGTCTCCGTAGAAACAAGGGATTGCCGTACTTGCCCTGCAAATATCTTATAGTCTTCTCGGGCAAAAACAGGGTCCTCCCCCATTGAATGCCCGGGGAACTCCGCCTGCAGGAGAACCGAGTCCTGGAGGAGAACAATCCGTAGTTGACTCAGTAGCTGCAGAAAGCCTTGGGCCGCCATATCATCTCGGTCTTCCTGTTCCAAGGACGGAGTAGTAGACCCGCTAGGTGGCTCATTCGTAGGATCATTGGACTGGAACCAGGCAAGCCACTGGTCGATCCATGGCCAGAGAGCTCGTACAAGGGAGTCTGGAGGCTGTACCTTTGCCCGCGGAAGATGGTAGTTTTCAATTGCATCAGGCTGGAAACCAGCCATTGAACGAAGGACCAGCTGGAGGCCAGTCAACCCTTCTCAATGGGTTCACGCTCATGCCTTGGGCGAGGGTGAGCTCTCCTTTCTCCCCCCAAGTTCTTCCATGGAGACTAGTGGCGTATAATTGACAATGATTGGACAGATTGGCCTGGTTGGAACTACGGTTGACCCTGGCAAAGCTTTATTACCGATACGATCTGAAGCTGATGGACGATGAGGTGGAATGGCACAGGGACGTGGCCATGCATCTCCTGTGGGTTAAGCCCAAGCTCATCACGCAGGTGCTTCCACGGGCGAAGTGAGTGGGAACGTGTAAAAGTGAATACCTAGATAAATACCTAGGTAGGATAAGCAACGAGAGGTGAGAAAATATATTATGAACGGACCTAGTCGTTGTTCTACGATATATCTGTGCAATGTTCTTTCACGGCAACTTGTCCAGCCCACTCCCCCCCCTTCATTGCCCGGTCCTACACGACACATATCAGTAATCAATTTAGGTCAAAGAGAAATATCAAATCAAAGAACACAGGGACACTCACTAAAACGGATGTCGGCATGTACGTGGACATAAACTTCACCATGGAAGCCATCGCGCCACGCCACACAGGTCCCGTCGCTCCGCCCAAGACATCCTTGACAACCTCGCGAGCAAAGGCTGCCGGCGCGCTCTTATTCGAGACATCCTTCCCGACGCCGCGCAATTGAATCTCCGAGAGCGCCTTCTGGTAAAGTGAGTTTTCAGGCAGGGTCAGTTCAGAATGCGACATGACATTTGTGGCAACCGAGCCGGTGACCAGGGAAATAACCCGGATGTTGAAAGGCTGCAATTCCAACCGGAGAGTCTCGCTCCAAGACATCAGAGCGGCCTTTGAGGCGTTGTAGGCACCTGATGCGAATGGTCAGCGGGTCACCGGGCTCGTGATATATTTTTATCGCGACCGCCGGGGTGGAGGATATTCACTCATCCAAGGGGCGTACAAGAAGCCCGAGATGGAGCAGACGTTCACGAGCGTACTGCCATTCTGGGCAGCCTGAAGCAGCGGCATGAAAGCCTGGGTGACGGCGATGACACCCCAGAAATTCACATCGAAAAGACTCTTGGCCTTGTCGATGGAGGTATCCAGGGCGGGAGAGACGAGGGATTGGCCGGCATTGTTGATGAGAACGTCGAGGGAGTCACCGTGCGAGGACAAATCCTGGCGGACGGTATCGACGGCAGCGGCAATGCTGGCCGGGTCGGCGACGTCGAGGGTGACGAGAGTGACATTGGGAAGTTTGGCAAGGTGGTCCATCTTGGCTGGGGAGCGGGCGGTCGCGTAGACTCTCAGCCCTTGGGCGTGGAGCTCCTCCACCAGGGCCGAGCCGATGCCTCCGGCGCTGCAGCCGGTGACGAGAGCGCAACGGGGCATTGTGAGATGATTGACGAGAACAAAAAGAGAAAGAGGGAGGAGAAGATGCACGGGAGAAGAGAAGGGAAAGTTCCGGAGTTAAGGAGAACTGTCAGACTGGGATACACTGGGATAAGGCCTCCCTAGGCCCTAAACAGCCCGGAACCTTGGCTTTTGATGTCGTCTAGTGGTAATTATTTACCATAAGCACAAAGAAACGTCTATCCTGCGGCAGCGGAAATCTGCGTCCTACGGGACCCTAATAAGACTACTCACTCGACACTAAATGTAGTATACCATGATCTGCTCCTGCCTATCTGAAGTGAGATTCATGATGAGATGAATAAGAGACGGTTTGAAGGTCCATTGGTATTAGATGCTGCAAGCTTGGCAACAGTTGATTTCACTCCACAGTCATCCCTCCGGTGGCCGGGCAGCAGATCGTTGAATAGAAGGGTCGAGGTTTAGTATACTCGATGGGGAGAACGCCAGTAGCAAATCAATGTAAACAGGCAAATTGAACGGTTGAACAGTTGAACTAGATAATTGTTGCTTGTATGCTTGAGGATGTTCCACGCTGTCATCATAAATCGGTTAGATTGCCGAATAACCGGAGGTATCCGGGGAATGGGAGCTCCAATGAACTGATGAGTGGTGGACGGTATACTTGCAGTCGCATGTAGCAGTCCATTAGGGGATAAAACAACCTATAATCAACACAGCGAATGCCATAGAAACAGTGTCAGTATTGCCAATGAAGCCACTCCCATCACAAAGTAAACAAAACAACGCCGATTGGCGTCCGTTGTTCCGGTTCACGTGACGGTTCTAGCTGTTTCTGCCGCCAAGCTCTGGGGATGAAGGAAGCGCCTAGAAATTTTTCGAGACTTTGGCTTCATCTCTCCCCCAGCTTTCTTCATCTCTTTCTTTTCCCCTAAACCCGCGATCTACTCTGGGTTGTCTTTGTATTTCTCTCTTCATTTAATTCCCTTTTAATATTGTTCCTAGCCATGCAGCGCGCTCTCTCTACCCGGTCTTCGGTCCTGTCGGCCGCTTCCAAGCGTGCCCCTGTCGCTCGCTCGACTCTGAACCTCCAGCAGCAGCGTTTTGCTCACAAGGTGCGTTGGATTGGAAGTCATCAGAATGATTGGTCTGAGATATCGGCCTCACATTCCGTCGAATCCGAGACGTTCAATTGTTCTCCTTGCTAACAGCAACCAGGAGCTCAAGTTCGGCGTCGAAGCCCGTGCTAGCCTTCTCAAGGGTGTCGACACTCTTGCTAAGGCTGTTACCTCCACACTTGGTCCTAAGGGTCGTAATGTCCTCATTGACTCCCCTTACGGTTCTCCCAAGATCACCAAGGGTAAGCATTTCCCATCACGCAACTTACGTTGACCAGGACTAATCATCTCTCAGACGGTGTGAGTGTCGCCAAGGCCATTCAGCTCAAGGATAAGTTCGAGAACCTCGGTGCCCGCCTTATTCAGGATGTTGCCTCCAAGACCAACGAGGTCGCCGGTGACGGTACCACTACCGCTACCGTCCTCTCCCGCGCAATCTTCTCCGAGACCGTCAAGAATGTCGCCGCCGGCTGCAACCCCATGGATCTCCGCCGCGGTATCCAGGCCGCCGTCGAGGCCGCCGTCGAGTACCTCCAGCAGAACGCTCGCCCCATCACCACCGGTGAGGAGATTGCCCAGGTGGCTACCATCTCCGCCAACGGTGATACCCACGTTGGCAAGCTCATCTCCACCGCCATGGAGAAGGTCGGTAAGGAGGGTGTTATCACCGTCAAGGAAGGCAAGACTCTTGAGGACGAGCTCGAGGTCACCGAGGGTATGCGCTTCGACCGTGGTTACACCTCCCCCTACTTCATCACCGACCCTAAGTCCCAGAAGGTCGAGTTCGAGAAGCCCCTGATCCTGCTTTCCGAGAAGAAGATCTCTGCCGTTCAGGACATTCTCCCCGCCCTTGAGGCCTCCACCACTCTCCGCCGCCCTCTGGTCATCATCGCCGAGGACATCGAGGGCGAGGCTCTCGCCGTCTGCATTCTGAACAAGCTCCGTGGTCAGCTCCAGGTCGCTGCCGTCAAGGCCCCCGGCTTCGGTGACAACCGCAAGAGTATCCTTGGCGATCTTGCCGTTCTGACCAACGGTACCGTCTTCACCGATGAGCTCGATATCAAGCTCGAGAAGCTCACCCCTGAGATGCTCGGCTCTACCGGTGCCATCACCATCACCAAGGAGGACACCATCATCCTCAACGGTGAGGGCAGCAAGGACAGCATCTCCCAGCGCTGCGAGCAGATCCGTGGTGTCATGGCTGACCCCACTACCTCCGAGTACGAGAAGGAGAAGCTCCAGGAGCGTCTCGCTAAGCTCTCCGGCGGTGTTGCCGTCATCAAGGTCGGTGGTGCCTCCGAGGTTGAGGTCGGTGAGAAGAAGGACCGTGTTGTCGACGCCCTGAACGCCACCCGTGCCGCCGTTGAGGAGGGTATCCTCCCCGGTGGTGGTACCGCTCTGCTCAAGGCCTCTGCCAACGGCCTTGGTGGTGTGAAGCCCGCCAACTTCGACCAGCAGCTCGGTGTCAGCATCATCAAGAGCGCCATCTGCCGCCCTGCCCGCACCATCGTTGAGAACGCCGGTCTCGAGGGTTCCGTCATCGTCGGAAAGCTGACTGATGAGTACGCCAGCGACTTCAACCGTGGCTTCGACAGCTCCACTTCCCAGTACGTCGACATGATTGCCGCCGGTATTGTCGATCCCCTGAAGGTTGTCCGCACCGCTTTGGTTGATGCCAGCGGTGTCGCTTCCCTCCTCGGTACTACCGAGGTCGCTATTGTCGAGGCCGAGGACAAGAGCGCCGCTCCTCCTGCCGGTGGCATGGGCGGCATGGGCGGTATGGGTGGCATGGGTGGTGGCATGTTCTAAAGCCTCTGACCCCGTCCTTTCTCACTTCCTGAAGAATTACCTCGAGCGCTCCTCTTTGCATCGTAGCCTGTTCTGATACTCGGATGTTTGTAATGTCTTTTCTTTGTGTCTTTTTGTGGTGTTTTCCTTCGGCTCTTCTCATCCCTGTATTCTTTTTAACTTGTTCAGGTCTCTCTGATCTCTCTCCTCTCCCCACTCATCTTCCAAAAACGGTCTCCACTGTACTATATCATGTATTCCACCAATGAAGTCTCATCTGATACAGCTTACGAGCAACTGAAACATTGTTGTTGTTGCGCTTTCCCTTTTTCACTTCTTTTTTCCTACTGTACTACTCCATAGTTCTCCATATTTTTTGAGCTTGGACATCCCCGACTACTAGATCGGCAAGATCGACAGTGTCTCATTAAGGTTGTGAAGTTCTATTAAACGTTGGCAGTTTACCTGAGTATGTATAGCTATGACCTGTACTCCGTAAAGAAACATTCTTGTCGAAGTATTCATAGGACATGGACAAGGTAACTGATTGGTCAGTTAACTCGGCTACTTGCGCAGTTAATGTACACTAGAGCCATTCGGCCTTGAATGGTCTAGACTGTGTAAAAGGGAGACAAGCCCAGACAATTATTGGAATGATACATATAACAAGGAAATAAATCAAAGCAAAATCCCTGATAAATAATAGTATAGACAAGTACCCCATGAACATACATCCGGGTGGGGACGGAAGGTCACCCTGGCACGGGGCATTTCTTTCCCAAGCTTCTCTTTTCTCTCTCTCGACTTTCGCCTCTTTTTCTCCTCCAAGTCTGCTTATTATCCAAAACCCCCCTTGTCTCTTTCTCTCCCCTGTCACCGGATTCTCCGGCATTCCGGTTCATCTCCACCTGACTTAGCCACTGTTGGACTAATTTATTACGTTGTTATTGACTACATTGAAACGGGAATGCATACAGCTCTTGCGGGGAACACACTGTGCTGGCAACTTCATCGCCTGTCACTGTCACCATACGTACGGTTACCCCCTCTAACACCTTCATATTCATCGCTAATTTGATGCCAGGGTTATTGCACTACCTAGTACTCGGGGTTAAGCGCTAGACTACCCCTCGAAGCACCCGTGATTGCTTCCGACAATGGCCGCCATGGTCGACACCGCTCGACCAGCCTTGGTGAGCGATGCCGATCTTTTGCAAGCGCGGGCAGCTCTCCAGCATCAACAGAGTCCTGAAATCTCCGTTCCCCGAGAGTTCATCTCGCTTATCGTCGACGAGCTCATCTACCGCCGCGAATCACATTCATCTGTCGCAGAAATCGAACTCGAATGCTCAAATCTCCGGAAAGAACTCCGCAAACACACCCACATCAATGAGGCTTTTCAAAAGGAATTGCGGGAGATCGGCGAGATTATTACCCAAGTTGCCCATGGCGATCTTTCCCAACGGGCCAGGATGCATCCACTCGAGATGTCACCTGATATTGCTACCTTTAAACAGACGATCAACACGATGATGGATCAATTGCAAGTTTTCAGTCAGGAAGTGTCGAAAGTGGCCAGAGAGGTCGGCACGGAGGGTGTGTTGGGCGGCCAGGCGAAGATCGAAGGTATCCAGGGAATCTGGCACGAATTGACCGTCAATGTCAATGCCATGGCAAACAACTTGACCACCCAGGTCCGTGATATCACCACTGTAACGACTGCGGTGGCCAAGGGAGATTTGCAGCGCAAGGTGCAGGCGGATTGCAAGGGCGAGATATTGTTGTTGAAAAATATCATCAACTCGATGGTCGATCAGCTACGGGAGTTTGCGTTCGAGGTTAGTCGTGTTGCGCGCGAAGTTGGATCGGATGGTGTGCTAGGTGGTCAGGCGGTCGTTCACGGTGTGGAGGGTACCTGGAAGAATCTTACCGACAACGTCAATCGCATGGCGTCGAATCTCACGCAGCAAGTCCGCGAAATCGCCGACGTGACGACGGCTGTTGCACGTGGCGATCTCACAAAGAAAGTTACCGCAGACGTCAAGGGCGAGATCCTAGATCTGAAACTTACGATTAATGCAATGGTCGATCGGCTGAATCAATTCGCTTTCGAGGTCAGCCGAGTCGCGCGGGAAGTAGGAACCGACGGCACGCTAGGTGGACAAGCCCAAGTCGAGAATGTCGAAGGTCGTTGGCGTGATTTGACGGATAATGTCAATACCATGGCCCAGAACCTGACCCTACAGGTTCGACAAATCTCCAACGTCACCCAGGCTATCGCGCGCGGTGATCTGAGTACCAAAATTGAGGTACATGCTCAGGGTGAAATTTTGACTCTCAAAGAAACGATCAACAGCATGATGGATGGGCTAGGGGAGTTTGCCGGGGAGCTCAAGGGCGTGGCGAGAGACGTCGGTGTTCGAGGCAAACTCGGCGGCCAGGCGAACGTCGCGGGATCGCATGGAATCTGGAGGTCCATCAGTGAAGATGTCAACACGATGGCGGACAACCTCACTTCGCAGGTTCGTGCCTTTGGCGAGATCACCGAGGCGGCGATGAGCGGCGATTTCACAAAATTAATTACCGTGTCTGCCTCCGGAGAGATGGACGATTTGAAACAAAAGATCAATAAGATGATTTCGAGCCTGCGCGATAGCATCCAGCGCAACACGGCTGCTCGTGAAGCGGCAGAGTTAGCAAACCGAAGCAAGTCCGAATTCTTGGCTAATATGAGGTACTGCTATTCACTTGATGCTTGTCGGTTCACCACTCAAAGGCTTAACTAACTGGAATATAGTCATGAGATCAGGACTCCAATGAACGGAATTATAGGGCTCTCTAGCCTCGCCCTCGATACTGATGATCTGCCAGCCCCCGTGAGAGAGACTCTCAATATGGTCCACAACCTCGCTATCAGCCTCCTGACTATCATCGACGATATCCTTGATATCTCTAAAATCGAGGCCAATCACATGATCATTGAGAAGACGCCATTCAGTCTCGGCGCAACAGTGTTCAGTGTGTTGAAAGCCCTCTCCGTGGAAACGAACGAGAAAGCCTTGGGTCTTCTCTACACGGTTGACGGGGAAGTCCCCGACTATCTAATAGGAGACGCATACCGACTACGGCAGGTTATGTTGAATTTAGTGGGGAATGCCATTAAGTTCACAGACCACGGCGAGATCAAGGTCACGATCAAGCGAGCACAGGATGACAAGTGCAACTTTGACGAGACCGCATTCCAATTCTCGGTCTCAGATCCTGGAATCGGCATTGATGCCAGCAAACTCGGGTTGATCTTTGACAAGTTCCAACAAGCTGATGGGTCAATGACCCGTCGGTTTGGTGGGACAGGCTTAGGTCTCGCAATCTCAAAACGGCTCGTTTCTTTGATGGGAGGTGATATCTGGGTGACTTCGAACGTGGGCGAAGGAAGCACATTCTCTTTCACATGCCGTGTGAAGCTGGCCCAGCCGCCGCAGAGCTTTGCAGACCAAGTTGTCTCTCATCGCGGTCGGCGCGTTCTCTTCGTGGACCACGGTCTCACGCGCACTTTCTCAATCGCCTCGATGCTCATGGAACTCGGCCTAGATCCCGTCATTGTGACAAAGGAGCAGCTAGCGTGTGGCCAGTTCAAGAGTGACTGGGGCCGCACATTTGACGCAATCCTCATCGAAAACCTGGAGACTGCGACAAGAGTTCGAGCATGCACGGACCTCCAACTCATCCCACTAGTCATCACAGCTCAGACTGTATCTCTAGCCCTCAGAGCAGCCGGCGAACTTGGTATAGCATCGTACATCACAGTGCCCTGCAGACCCATTGATCTATGGCACGGGATCCTCCCTGCTCTCGGCAACCGCCCAACACGTACTCCTTCCGGTTACACGCGCTCGCTGGCCATTCTATTGGCAGAGGACAACGATGTCAACCAAAAGGTTGCGGTGCGCATTCTTGAAAAATTCAACCACAATGTCACGGTAGTGGAGAACGGTCTGCAAGCCGTGGAAGAAGTACAACGACGCCGCTACGACGTGATCTTGATGGATGTTCAGATGCCTGTCATGGGAGGCTTTGAAGCCACCGGGAATATCAGACAGTACGAGAAGATGAATGCACTTCCTCGCACGCCGATCATTGCTCTCACCGCGCATGCTATGCTTGGAGATCGGGACAAATGTATACAAGCGGGCATGGACTATTACCTATCCAAGCCGCTGGACTCTGGTCGTATGATGCAGACCATACAGAAATGTTCCGCTATGAATCCTGCACCTCTGCCTGTTGTTGAGAGCTGAGACTCGTTTTTTGTTATACTCTTCCTGTCCTCTCTTACTGATTGTATGCTCTAGGAATGCTTATGAACTAACTACCATTCTGCTATGAATGCGCTGAACTTTTGAAGTTTGTCTCCGAAATACCCCCTTTCTCTGTTCCTGGTATTTGGCTTTCACGCGAGACGAATTTGATGTCAATCATGTCCACTGGTGTTTCTGGAGTTTTTCTGTTCAAGTATGCATTTTACGTCCCATTCCTATTTATCTCTTTCCGCATACGAAAAGTATCTATGTTGAGATCTCAGACCAGGTTATTTCGAGAATCGAAGCCGACCTACCTACACCTATACCATAGCAAGTATGTCTCCTTCACCTGGTCAATTTTCGATCGAGGCTTCGAAAGAAACGCGTTGTGATAGCTGTGCTCCACCAGTCTCTGGCGAAGGAAACGGTGATCGATGGGAATTGATACAGACACGGATCAATTCCCGTGATCGATTCTCGAATTACTTGGTCATTTGTTGTGGGCTTGCTGTATTTGTATACCAGAATCAAGCAAAGGAATGAAATTAGCTATATAAGAATATTCTCCAAAGAGCGGTATCCCCCCTCCCCCCAAAAAGAAAACACAATAGTACACAAGAAAAGCAAATATTCTGTCTTCAGCATGAGGCAGATTCTGTGGTGCTGGACCTTTTCCTTTTCCGGGGAGAAAGCGATTTGCGGGCTCGGCGACCAACCGACCTCAACCATTCACGCCCTCTACGTCCGACCTCTGGGCTGGCAAAAACGCGCTGCTGGTGGAAGGCCTCGGCATTTTGCATGAACTCTTGGATGGCACTGGAAATACCACTGGTCTCATGCTCGGGCTTATTGGCCTCCAGCAATGCTGCCACCAAATACTTGAAAGGCCGCATGAAAAGCGGGCCCTGATCGGGCAGGGGGGGGGTTTGGAAACAGTGGTTTAATTGCGAGGCTACTGCATGCCATCGTTGGTCGAACTCGGAGTCTGAGTGATCTGACATCGAGGTCTTCACCCGTAATTCAACCATCCAGGAGTGCCAATCCCACATGATGCACATCTCGTTTCTGGGCATCGGAAACTCAAACATCGCAACAACAAAATCGGCGAGGAGTGCCATCTCCCACCTGAAACGAATCGTGGAGTAGATCTCAGCAGCCTCGGACTCGGGGAATATGCCCAACTGGTAGAATCCGAAAAGAGTACCTCCCCAAGCCACCTCTCGGCCATGAGTCCAATCTCCTGGACAAGTGGCATGGAACATCATTGCCATCTCCTTGATTCTATGCTGCGCAATGAGAGCGCTCATGTTCTCGGTGATCTCGCCGTCTGTAGCCGTGCGGACTCCGCCGACTTTGTTTGGATCGCTGACCGTGAATGTGGCATTTCCGAGATTTCACGCCCGTTAGGCCCTCCTGTGCGGTGCAAACTCGGGGGCACCGTGGTGAAAGCTTGACGAAGTAGATCTCAAAACTCCTTCGCCTTCTCCTATTCGGCTATCCCATCTCCCCAGCCGAATTCATCCTCCATCGAGGAGAGGTCAAGGGTGTCTGGAGCTTCATGCTCGGAATGATGAAAATGCTCGAGCTGGTCAGCGTTGGGGTTCGGGGGAAAGGTTCCTGGGACACCGTGACGGTGCCAGCGGACTGGGCCTCCGAAGTCAGAGCAGATGCGGAGGTATCGGAAGGACCCCCACGCTCCGCCTTCTTATGGCGCTTGTCACTGGAAGGGTGGCCTAAATCATGGGCCGAGTCTTCCGGGCTATCATGCCGGCGCTTCTTTGAGTGGTCAGGGCGGGAGGGGCTTTGCTCCTGCCACTGGCTCCGGCGGTTTGCGAGCACGGCACTCCGTTTCAGCGGGGGAGGCACAGGCTTCCCTTGCTCCTCTCGCCTGGTACGTAGCTTGGCGAGATGCTGCACGATAGCCCCCTCAGTAAATTTCGGACCCATGATCTCTGCCACCCTCTCCCAAGGAACCTTCACCCCCTCTTGGTTGCATGCCCACTGTATAGTGAGCAGCATCCGGATGTCAATATCCGCTATATCAATCAAATGTTAGCTTGTTCTGCAACACATTCAACACGTTTATACAGGACTTTGAGTGTTACTCTCCGTCCTGCTAGGTATGCACGATCCCACACTTGATTTAGACACTGCTGCCCTGCAGAAACAAAGGCAAGGGAAGGTTTAAAGACTCACTGTTCCAACGGAGCATCTTCGCCACCCCCCTGTTACTGGACGGCTCGGCGCCCTCCTCTCGGTGCGCATCCTCGGCAGCTTTCTGGTGCTGGGCCTCCATCTCGGCACACGCCTGACTCTCGGCCTTGTGCCCGGCTTTGTCGTCCGTGGGCTTCTGATTAGCTCCCATTGCTGACCGACCGAATCAAAGTAGTCTTGTTAGCTCACATGCTTATATCAGATAAACCGAATGCGGAATGAAAGGGGCATGAGTAGGGCCGTCCTGCATCTGCTGTGACACAGAAGCCCATCAAGCTCTTGGGTGGGTGTATGTCATGTAGGATTGTCTCAACTCCGTACAAGGAAGACAACAAACATGAGACTTTCAAGGGGAGACATTTCAACAAGGTGCGTGGCCAGGGATGATATGTTCAAATAAAGAGAGAATCACAATGCTGACCATGGCACCTGAATTCTTGGTAATAATACCTACACAAGTGCAAGGTATGGGGAGATAGTAAACGCTCCAGGGGAACTCTATGGGCCACAGATCGACGTCACACAACTCACCTGGACGAGATGGTGCTAGTGCACCAAGCGGGGGGATGTTCGAGGGCAATGAAAAATGAGGGGTTCACAGTTGAGGACACTGTGAACGAGCTAACTTGACCGTAGTCAAAAGAAAGTCAAGAAAGTCAAGAAATGAAGACTGTTGTGCGAGACAAAGTCGAAGAACGAGTCACGAGGGTTGTTCCATGAGGAGAGGAGAAGGAGAGAAGCTGTTCGCTCAGAAGAGGGCCTATAATATAGGGTACCGGAAACTGCGCACTAACCCAAACAGAGGCAGAGTGGTGCCTTAGGATTCTCTTCCCTGAAGACATAGTTCAGGAAGGAGCTCAACACTCAGACATGCTCCTTCCTTGGGATCCGAATGGCATATCTCACTCCCACTAGATCGTCATTGCAGCCTTGTAGTCATACTGTGCATATGAAATTGATTGCTGCGATGAGGACTAATTTCCGCGCCGTTGTTTCTTCTCCTGAGTTCTCCGAGGAACGATCTATACGACATCATACTACCGAGCTGCAAGTCTGCCACAGCCAACCAACCCCTAGGGTGTACTCTTGGACTGACAACTAGTCTTCGCAAGTTCGCTGTAATTGTACCAGCTCAATTTTAATTTTTGGCAAGAAATAACTAATTAGACATAATTAGTATTGTTTAATCAAATGTATGGGTGTATCATATTAAGTCGTGTTCGGCTTTGATAACTTGATGGTGCAAACAAGCGCCGGACCAATTTCAAGCGCGCCTTCCCGCCGGCGGCCGCACGTGAATACCTTAATTTAGCTATATTCCTCTTATCACGTGCGCCACGGAAAGCTGTCAAAGAACCAGACAATAACCTCACCGCCTTTCTACGCACCGCCTGCCCAATGTGATTATTCAGTCACGTGGACTCCTCATCCCGATCCTCCGAGTCGAAAGCCTCCAAACTCACCCGAACCGTTTTCAACCCCTTCAATCAATCCATACCTCCCACATTCTCTTCAAGATGACTGCCGCCTGGAAAGCCGCCGGTTTGACGTATGCACCCACGAATTGCATTACCTTTCAAAGCTAACCTTGTCCCCCAGCTACAACCGCTACCTGGCCATCGCCGCCCGCACCGTGCGCCGTTCCTTGAAGGAAGGTCCCCGCCTCGCATCTGAGCGCCGCGGCCAGATGGATCTCCGTTTCGCTAAGTGGGAGGTTAGTGAACATACTGAGCTCTACCCCGGAAGTTCCTGACTAACCGTGTTACTCTGGACGAACAGAACGGCAAGCAGGGTGAGGTCAAGTCGCTCGCCCAGGCCAACGACGAGGCCCTTGCCAAGGCCGCTGAGAAATAGGCTATATCACTAGTTGCCTGAGGGAATTGAGCTGGGAGATATGCAGTGTCTGAGTGCGGGACTTGAGAGACTTCTAGGTCCGGGGATGCATCGAAATGTATATGTGTAGCAATACCGGCCTGTCAGGTTGGGCAGAGCTTAGAAATCGCACTCGTCTTTGTTTTCACCCGGCGCTTAAGCCTTTAATTAAAACAACCGTATGGATCTATGTATTGTTAAGAGGGTGGCCCGTCAGATGTTGCACGTCACCTCTGGGACCCGGCTGTCGACTGCCCGGATCGCTTTTTCCTCCGCTCACGTCCCCGCCTCCCCCTCGATTTATCGATTCTTCCATACACGTCCTACTGCGCATCATATTTTGGTTCTCTGTCTTAGGGACAGATTTCAGGGGCTTCGATCCTTTTGTGATGCTGCCGAACAACGAAGTCCGCGTTCCCCGTCCGCGGGCGGTTGCGCAGCCCGCAGTGCGCGACATTACCGCTGAGTTTACAAAAGCCGCCTCGAGTAAGCCTACATCGCCGAATGCTTTGATCAAGCCTCCTAACGCTTTTTACTCTTAGAACTACATACTGGCCAGCTTGTGAAGGATGAGACGTTCACCTTGTTCGAGGCTGTGGGCGCATTGGAGGTCCGTCAGTTTTCTCACCTGATGTGGAAACGTGCTACAAGAATTGCGGCTGACGACGATCGAATCGGCACAGATTATGGACTCGAAGATGGACAGTGGCTACATAGCCCCCGGAGAAAATCTTGCGCAGGCGCTCGAAGACGATTACGACGTACGGCGGCCGTTGACACCAGAGGAAGTTATTGGCTTGATGGATCAGTTGCTGTGCCACGAGGTGGGAGATTTACTGTGTCATTGAGAAGGCAGTATGGTTGTTAATATGATTGCAGGTGGCGTGGCATAAGGGACATCCTCTGTCGCAGACACTTTTCACATCAATCTACCTCGATAAATTATTGTGGCCGGTTCCGAGGACCATGGAGGACGCTCGATTTGACCGTGTCCCCAGTGATTCACCTTTGATCAACCTTGTCCTGCGAGCTTATTGCCTTTCATTGGTTAAGGCTTGTGATCTCGTGCATGGCCGAGTTTCCACGGAATACTACTATGAGGTCAGTGGACATCTCTCATTGCCTTAATGTCGCTAATACCTTGGACCATTCAGGAGGAGGATTTTGTCAGCCAACTCTACAATCGCAATCTTCTTTCTGCGTTCGAGAAGTCCCATTTCTACCGTCTGCTGGATCAGGCGACCACTTGGATCACTGAGGAGAGCAATTTTGACCAGAATCTCAAAGATGCGATCAACTGCAGACTCTTGTTTCGTCGCCGGTTCTTATCTGCATTGGCGCATGACCTTGACGTTATTGAGACCAGATCTACGGAGGACTTCGTCTCATGTTTGTCTCAGCTCGAACTTTTGTCGACAACCGTGCCACTGGGAAAGGCAGTGCCAGAGGCATTCAGTCTGAAGATCCAACGAAAGCTGGATAGCACAGTGCCGCCTCGTCCTATGGTAAATATTGACTCTGTCGATGCACTTGCACATCTGAAACGACTGTGTCAAGATGCGATAGACATGCAGCAGATGCTTGATTATACCGGTCCCAGCAATTTCAAGGTCAGTACTCTCAAACTTCAATCTGGTTCTGATGCTGACGTGGCTTGCAGACTGCTGTGTGGACCTTGCTTTCTCGAAAACCCCAGCCCTCAGTCTATATTCGTTGTCTCCTTCAAGCATTGATCGTCAGCAACATGACGATCCTCGGTGCTGTACCTGTCAAACAGTTCTTGTACGATGAACTTGCGGAACTCGTCCTGCCTGCCAATGTTCTGCTCGAGGCCAACACTGACGAAGTGGAAATGCCATCCGACCCTCGATTTCAGATTGCACAAAAGATGGACAGCTTCATGAAGCGATTCGCTCAGGTTGGTGGATACAACAAGCCATATTATGCATCTGCTAATGACGCATAGCCGTTCGTTGACACCGTACGGACTGCTTGTCTCAACCGCAGTCGCATTCGCCGAACGCTCTGTCATACCCTCGTCGACTGGGACAATCTACAGATAGAGGTCAGTTCTGCCTCTAGTCACTATGGTTCAAGGATCTGATGCTAACTTAACACAGGCAGAAGAGATTGATCTCGAGCTTCGCACTTTGAGTGCAGAACCGCCATTGCAATTTCAAGGCGGCGAACCGACATGGTCTTTCCCGCTCAGCAGTTGGGCCTATCATCAGAAGCTCGTCCAGTTCCAACGTATCCTCCAGATGGGCTTTGAGCTGTCAATTTATTCACCCGAAGAGCTGCCAGGCATGTACTGGTATTTATCTCATATTTGCTCCACACACCTTGGCCACATCGATCGGATCCGTACGTTCACTGTGGCTGCACGAAAACGCGACTTGATGTCTGCCGGCGACAGTGATCGAAGCTCCTCCCAAAAGGCATCCGCATTCCACCGTTCATTCCACGCTCTGGAGAGGTTGACCACGCACATCATCGCAGTGGATGCCTTTGCAATAGCCCTACATGCCTTGCATGTGGTATTGGCCCGGCACAAAATTCTCCCGATTGCCTCTTCTCCCCAGGCATATTCTACTGATCGTCTACGGTATGAGATCCGTATGAAGCCCTTCATCCCGATTACACTGCCAGAGTTGGTCCCGTTTGATGAATACCAACGCGAGGCGGCTCTCGAAGGTGATTCTGACGCCGCAATCCTGGATCGTGCTTCCAAAGCGATCACGGAAGCGCGTAAGGCCTGGGAGGCGACACTTACTAATGGAGCCTTCATCGAGGACCTTTCCACATCATCTAGACCGCCTCCCTCTGCCATCGAAGAAGATTGGGAGCGCGATGTGAAGAACACCATGCGCGCCTGCATTGGAACCAGTCTTGCTATTGAGGCGGTCAAGAAGGGTCTCGCGACGGCCTCTTCTGCTCAAGACCAATCCCTCAACTTGGAAGTGGTTGTTCCTGAAATTGGATCCAAGTCCCGCTGGCATGACTGGTGGGTGGTCCCGCAGGTGTCAGAGAAGAAGTCCAAGGTTTGATACATACGTTATCCTTCGAACATGTCTCCGACTCACCTCGGCGTCTTACCTACATACCTTTTATGATTGATACCTTTCATTGGCTCCATAGAAATGATCATGACTTGACACGACTGGGGTTCTTACATGTATATATAACCAGAGCATAACCACATAATTCTAGGTAGATTGTAGGTAACTTCCATACCGACTTACAGACAGACATGTACCTACAGGAGCAGCCTAGGATCCATACCTTCTCCATAGGTAACATCTTATCAATTACCTATTGTAACACAATATCACAACCTACGCTTCCTTCATCCATTCTGTCTGCGTATACTAGTCACTAGTCAGGGCTGTGGTCACATGACCCGACGGTTATTTCTAGCGTGGGGGAACCACGGGAGACCGCCTATGAAATCATCCCGGGGAGGAGCCAGTGTTGAACCATCTTCCTGGATTTGATCTCGACATCTAATATTTCTGATCTTTTAGGTATCGACAAGAATTACGGTTAGCCTCAGTATTGCGATCGTACCTAGGCGAAGTTTCGCCTTATCACATCTCACCTCGGCATTCCTCAATTACCGCCTAGAACAATCCGGGGCAGATCACGGACCTCTTTCAGCCCATGATAGGCATTCGACCTAGAAATCCTTCCAGTGTCATTCTTTTGCACCGATTCGTCATTGAGATTTTTCCGAGTGAGCGTCCGTAAGAGCTGTCCATCTTCGATCGTATCTACGATTTACCCCTTCCTATGCCGCTCTCTCTTATTTCAGGGTCGCCACGGCCAACCTCTCCTATCATCTCTCTGTCGATTGCGGGGCTTAGGTTATGAGAAAACGGTTAGAACAAAAAGCGACTCATGATGCCATCTTACCCTATTCGTCGCCGGCCGCGTGAATGCAAGACCTGTTTACCGTGCCGAGCGAGCAAAGTCCGCTGCGATCGCAAAGTCCCATGCGGGAATTGCACCAAGCGCAAATTCACCTGTTCCTATGGTCGTCCGCTGTCTTCAAAGACACCCCTGCCTACGGCCGTCACCACTGCCTCCTCCACCCCATCACAGCCTCTGAATTTCGTCTCTCCCACGATCCCACCTCATGCCCGCTCGGCTTCCATCGACGGCTCATATACAACCGACCATCCCACCGGCACCAGCGCCGATCCAGATTTACCGGACAACATCGATATCTCACAGGCGGAATGGGATGAGATCAACACGAAGATGGTCGCGATGCAACAAATCATCGGTAGTCTGCATTCGCTCTTCCAGGCGCACTCGACGCGCAAGCCGCCAAATCCCGAACCTGTTCAACAAAAAGCACCCGCCCCGTCGGAAGATGTCTACGGTTCGAATGTGTTGAAGACGGGAAGGGTCCATTTCGGATCGCGGTCAGCGCTGGTTGATATTCTGGAAAAATCGAAGCGGTCGGAGGACACAGCGCAGGCGCTTCCCCAAGATGACCTTCTTGCCGAGCTTGCGTTGGGGAATGTGTCTGTTGCATACCCGTTTGTGGATTTGTGGTCCTCCGATCCCTACACATTCAATATCGCCGGGGTGTGTGGGGTTCTTCCGGAAGACTCGCAGTGTTTAGAGTAAGCCCAGCCGCTGCGGTAGTTCTGCGATGCATGCTAACGCGAGAATGACAGGTTTTTGGCGTTTTACCGGGATATAGGATCGGTGCTATACCCCGTGCTTTCGGATATCCCCAGGTTAGAACAGCAAACGAAACAACTGCTCGAAAATCGACGAAGAGCAGGAGGTGTTTATAAAGCCGATGCCAACGGATTAGTGAAACCATTCGGGATGGACTTGGCTTTTCTGAGTCTGCTCTTTGCGGTTCTTGCGTCCGGATGTCAACTGTCCAGCATTCCTGAAAGCGACCGCGAGTTGACTTCATGGATATACGGTGCGTCACACTGCAGAAAGAGCCGCTGGTGCTTTGCTGACTTTGCTAGTATCCTGTGCGTATCAATGTCTTCGGATGTTGAATTATGTATCCCAACCCACAATAGAAGTAATCCAGATTCTTCTGATCATTAGCAATGTGCTTTCATACAATATGAATGCAGGTGCATCATATACATTGCTTGGTACGTGTCGAGTGTTTCAAACGAGGTGGTCCAGCTAACCGATCTCAGGCATGACGGAGCGAATGTGTCTGGTCCTCGGGCTCCACGTTGAGACGACAGGGTTCACAGCTGCAGAGCAGGAGACGCGAAGGCGTGTCTGGTAGGTGTCCCCATCTTGCCAGTCCTCGTTCTCAAACTTACCTTGATTAGGTGGACAATGGCCTTCCAAAACAGCCATTTTTCGCTTGCCTATGATCGGCCATCCATCACCATGGTTAGCCAGCCCGAAATCCCGTTCGACTCCAAGTCAATGCCGGGCCATCGGTCGTACTTCGAGACTTTGTGTCGCATCGTTTCCTTAGCGTTGGAGGTTCTGCGGTCGCGCATGTATCCCGAATCATCTCAGCTGCGCATACATGAGATCCGAGAGTATAAACAACAGATTCAACGTATGCTTGGTGAAGCGACTCCCCATTTGCGGTTTCGGGATAAGTGTCATTCTCTCGCCGAGCATATTGAGAGGACCGAGTTACGTCTCCATTCATCATATCTTCTCTCTGTCTTGTGTCGTGTCTCCCTCGACCCACACGCCCATTTAGACGAACAGCGTCGTGCGTTGATTCGAGAAGACTGTATCGGTAGCTTGATCAACACCATCGATGCATTTGTCGAGTTGCACGAGATCAATTCTCACTGCTCCCGCTCATGGATCAGTCTTCAGCGAAGCATTGCATCGGCATTCTTGCTCGTCGCAAATGACGACAGCTTCCAGACCTGGCAGCTGATCGATAGGCTGGAGACAGTGCTGGCAGATCATGTCTATGCAGACGACGGGAACCACAACAACCGCACCGACTCCGCCAAGCACCTATCATCGTCACTTCGCGCGCTGCGTGAGATCCGCGAGTCCTTCAGCGCTCGCAAGAATCCCGCGACAGGACTGGCTTATTCCCCTCCGGTCTTGCCTTCTCCTCCCCCGGCCCTCACCTGCCCCCACTGGCACCGTCTGATACCGGTCCGCCGTCAATGAATGGGGTGAGCATGCAGAATATTCTGGGACGTGTGTCGGACGTGATGCTGTTCCCCAGTATGAGCGGAGGACATCCTGTAGCGTAACTGGCTGGCCTTCTACCCAAACGGTCGAGTGGTATGCGATATCAACAGGGAGTCATGGGATATCGTTAATACATCTTCTACCCCCTGTGCCCCGCAGGGGAATATAATCAGATATCATGAATATATGCTTAATTTGAATGTATCCCTCCCAAGTACCGTGTCAAGAGAATAGGTACCTAGGTAGTTAAATGGTAGAAAGTGGCAAGACAAGATGGATCCGCATCAGCAAAGACTCTACCAAATACCTTTCCATGTCAACTGCGCTAATTTCCGACATTGTCAACTCTTCGGCCGGATCTGATCCCTGTCGAGGTCGGTGCAATCTGGCCCATAGTGGAGAGTATCCCACAAAGAAACCTCGCCCGCTCCCGGACCCGAAAACCACCTTCGCTCCGCTTTGTCGTTCGTAAGGCCGCAATCTCCCAAGGGTCCAACACTCCAACCTTGGAACCTTCAATGCTTATGAACTAACTAAAGACGTGGACCATGGACTGTGTTTCCACGAGTAATGTGGTTTCCCTGCTCGGACCCATGGCAGTGCGGCCGGAGTATCCCCGCCAGGACCCGGCTCCGACTCTCTTTGATCCGACGGTTGACCTCCTTGCAGTATTGTCTGTTGTCTGTCCTATTGATTGCTTCGCGTTATTTGCTTCACTCTTGAAGTTTTGAATCAGATCGGCTTCGGAGCTGACGGTTTCCCTGCCTTCACGAATCACGCGAGCCGTGAGGTTATGGGATTGCCGAGTCGAATGTCCGTATGGGATGATTATTGTTGCAGTCTGACTCGTATGACACTGGTCCCTTTTTCACATTCTCGCAGACGGCTACTGTTTGTCTCGGGTATTCCAGTGCATGTTGTACAACAGCCGCCCCTGCCTTGCTTACACTGGCTCCAGAAAGGGTCTGTTTGCAGCTCGTTCTAGAGGGACGAAGTGCCTTGAGTAAGTGAACATAGTATTCGGTCAGAGATTCTGAGCATTTCCATGGCATCAAGCACAGAGAGTGGCGTCAATATGTACATGAATTGATGCCGTCACCCTGATACTTGAAGCCCTCATGCCTAGTCACCTACACAGTAGTTCACCCACCTCCCCACGTTTCCAATTAGGATCGAATCATACGGCTTCGGCGGGCCCTCGTAAAGCTGTGGCAGATTCTTGCCCGGTGCTTTGAATGTTTGTCTGGTCGGTTTAGCCACCTTTCAATGATCTAGATCAATGTAAAGATGGCTCACTCGCAAGGCGCACATGAGAAACAGGGAGAAAGGAAGAATAGAAGGGCGAAAAGCAGGGAAGTTGAAGCAGCGATCAAGGAGACTTCATGGAAAAACGCACGGCGATAAAGCGCGCCAAACCCGTGCGCAATTCACCGACACGGCAATACGGAGTACGGAGACAACGAACTGGATTTTCGATAATCTACTCCGTACAATGGGCTGAATACTGTTCATGTGTCTATCCGGCCAGTCAGTATTCTTGAGGTCGAATTGCAGTCATATCATGTCGGTTAACAGCATCCATGCCCAATTCATGCCCAGCCCAGCTGCTTGGCGAATCTCGTTTGAGAATCCTTTTGAGTCTTTTGACTTGATATTTGAAGGGACCCAGGACGAGGTGATGAGGTGGCTTCATTCATCTGATCAAAGATGTCACTGTGGCTGATAGTCTGAACTATTTTATCGTCGACGATGTACATACGACCCTGACCCGACTTCGCTTCCGAAGTTGGCTACGGTTACCCTGCATTAGCCCTGCATGCAATGGGATCATCGTGTGGACTGTGGAGGACGATGAGACGTCATAGCTTTAGTACAAGACGGGAAGTGGGATGGCCGAGGTATGGGGTAAAGACCAGTGTCGATGAGATCAACGGCGGTCGAGTAAAATCCGAGGCTCTGCAAATCCCCAAATTGAGTGTGGCTGTTAATATCGACGATAGGTCATTGCGTGCAGGTGAGACATCGAGAGTTTTCCCCCGCATTGTTTGTTTTACAGTATTCACCGCTGAGAGATCACTCAGATCTCTTTTTATCTTGTGATTCCTTCCAGATCTCCCCACATATCATAAGTCAATACCAAGTCAATAGCCATTAGCCAGAAGTTAAAACACTCCCAATGGCATCATCGGAAGTACCTTGCCCCGCTTGCAAATGGACCCCGGACCAACAAAGGCGCTGCTCCTATGAAAGTAACGTGCGTCTCTTTTACGGAGCCGGCGATCGGGGCTACTGGGCCCTCGGCTCCAAGTTTATCTTCAAGGACCGTGGAATTGATCCCCCTAGCTATGAAGTCATGAACACTCGCTTCCTGGCCGAAAAGACCACAATCCCCGTCCCGATTACGGTGCAGGAGTGGACGGAGGGCAAGCGGTACTTCCAGATCGTCGAGCGGGTGCCTGGGGTCCCGTTAGACGAGATCTGGTCGTCTATCCCGCAACCCGACCGAGAAAGACTCGCCAGTCAGACTGCGGGGTACCTGAACCAGCTCCGCAATTTCCACTCTCCTAAAATGCAGAGTCTCCACGGTCAACCACTTCATTGTGCCCATCTATTTTTGGGTGACGACTATGGGGTTCCCCATGGGCCGCTGAGCACGGCTGAGGAGCTGTGGGATGAATTGGCGAAGGCTTTGGAGAATGACAAGATCCCGGATGCCGTGAGATCGCGGTTCCGTGAGACGATGCCTTCACCTCTTCCCTGGACATTTACGCACGGAGACTTGACTGACTGCAACATTATCGTGGACCCGGTAACATTTGAGTTGAGGTCTGTGATTGACTGGGAGAGCTCGGGGTATTTCCCTGTCTGGTGGGAATTCGCTTGGGCTTCTGTCGGACTCAGTACGGAAGACAAGGAGTGGAAGGACCTACTCAGGGGAAACATGGCCAATCAGGAGGAGGGTCGCCAATGGTACCTGAACTATAAGTCTTTTACGACGAACCAGCCTTGGGCGCTGGAGAGGCGAGTAAGGTTCTTAAAGGAGTGTGGCGTTGAGGGAGATATAGATATTTCAAAGTAGATTCTGTCGATGCAGGTACGGAGTACTCCGTACATACTGTGGTTATTCTGCTACTGTCTAGGCGAAATAGAGCACTCGATCATGATGAAAGAACGAATTACTGGTAGAATGACGGAGGATCACCAGTTAAGCATTACTCCGTAGTTATTCCAGGTTTAGTTCAAGACATTGGACGATCCCAACTGCTTTTGTCGGACTCGACCCAAAGCCACCAAGGGCAATAGTTGCCGATTGTGCTCATTTGGTATACGCTTGATATACGAATACCATTTCCGATTGCACTCGACTGTTGAGTGAGAATGAGTATTGCTTCAGGTAGTAGTAGAAGACCAAGCCCTAGAGAGTACAACCAGGCGTCAGTTCAACTGCGATGCTATCTCATTTTCCAGAGGGATAGGGTAAGCGAAGAAGGTTATTTTCCCTAATTTTCCATAATTCTCTCTCTCACGGGGTAAGCATCCACTTTGGGCAATTTACGAGGCTTCGGTTGGCTCTGTTGGGGAGGAAAGTGCAGTTCACTTCCTTTTTCAGCTCATTTCCCGAACCTCTTCCCTGTTTATTTCTTAAATTCTTCGTCATTTTTGTTCTTTTTGACCCTTCAGAAACGCCATTGGCTTGGAGGAGCCTTGGACTGTGGCTTTCGCAACTTCGCTTGATATGGGGAAATTGGGACCCCCGCTTTGGTTAATCATCTTGGCAAGCCCGAAATCCCGCAATGATGCCTTCCAATACGCCAATATACGATTTAAGACTTTTTCCTGTCCCTACCCCGGTTCACGTTACTCTCCTCCCCCAGGAAAACTGACACATGTGCCTAGCCGTGCCGAGGGTGCGAGGATCCTTACCATTTTTACACGCCTAGTAGTGCCGATCTCGACCTAGTCCCCAGGCACGGCCGATGGCGGAGTCCTAGCATCCTGATTCCTAGTCTGCCTCCAAAGTGGGGTTATGCTGAGAGCTGCCCTTCACATGGGCATGGGGGAGGAATCGGTATTCTGCCTCGGTGTCGATCCCTATCTCCTCGGTGCGGATGGAGCTAAGACCCATGCCAACGGAAAGTAAACGACGTTAGTGCAATTGCGGTTAGTGAGGTGGAAAAGACCGTGCCTGGTGCACGATGATCGGCGCCCGTCGAAATGCAGTTAAAGAGCTGGCTCGCTCCGGGGTTGAGTTGCTCGATCTTCTGAAGGCTCTTCCTGATACGCTACGAACCTATTGAACGACAGGTTTGGGGAATCGACGCCAATTCGACCCGGCAAGACAAGATATCAATCCACTAGAGGAACGTGAAACGAGAAACGCCTGGTCAAAGCCCATTTCGATAATATGCGTCTTTTGCCAACCATAGCAACGGCGCTCCTGTTCACAGTCAATGTGACAGGAGCTAGCCCAGCTCCTTCCGCCGCCAGCACAGCCCTTTCGCCTCTTGCGAACATTGTGGAGGAAGCTGTCCCTACTGCCTCGGCCACTCAGCCGCAGGCCGACAACCAGGTCAATGCCGCCAGCACGGCTGCTGAGCCCCCCGCAACCGCTGGAAACACCGGCAGTGCGTTCAAGGCTGCTGCTGCGAAGGACGAGGAGGATACCTCTAGTGAGATCGCCGAACCGGCTCCCACCAAGGCCAATAACCCTGTGGAGTCGGTAGTCAACGACATCACGTCTGCCGTTCCGAGCGGTAACAAGGAGACAGCCGATACCGCTGCCACTGGAACTGCTGATTCCACCCCTGAGACCCCTGAGCCGACTGAGAAGCCCGCTCCCAAGACCGCCACCTCCTCCGCCAAGTCTACTGCCTCATCTTCCGACGATTTCAAATCAGCAAATATCTTGAAAGACCTCACAGACGCCCTTGGCGGTCTTTTCGGCGCCGGTGGCACCGGAGGTCTCCCTGAGCTGCTGCGCGGTCTCGAGAGTCTGCTGGACCCTCGCCTTCTCGGCCATATCACCGACACCTTCGAGTACCTCTCTACCAGTTTGGCCCCCCCTGTTGACACCAACCTTCGATCTGTGGTCAATGTTGCCCACGGCCTCCTGACTCCCGAGTTCGGCAAGAAGGTCGGCGGCCTCATTGACAATGCCAACAACCTCCTCAGTGACCAGAACACCAAGGAGATTATGACCCTGATTGGCAACGCCAACAAGCTCCTCACTGGCGACTTCGTCAAGAAGACCACCAACCTCATCGACAAGGCTTCTCCTCTCATCGACAAGGCCGGTCCCCTCATCGACGATGCCGCCGGTCTTCTCACCGACAAGAATGTCAAGGCCATCGAGTCCCTCCTCACCAATGCCAACACCCTGCTTACCCCCGAGTTTGTCAAGGAGACTGGCGGTCTCATCGACAAGGCTGGTCCCCTCATCACCAAGGCCGGTCCCCTCATCGACAACGCCAGCGGCTTACTCACCAAGGGCAACACCAATGCGATCGAGGCGCTCGTGAAGAATGCCAACAAGCTCTTGGACGAGGCGACCGTCAACGCCCTGAAGGACTTGCTCGACCAGGTCACCCCTCTGCTTCCTCAGATCAAGGGCCTGCTCAAGAAGGCTACTATCGAGCAGATCACCAATTTGCTCACCAATGCCAACGCCCTGCTTACCCCCAAGTTTGTCAAGGAAACTGCCGGCCTCATCGACAAGGCTGGTCCTCTCATCAGCGATGCCAGCGGTTTACTCACCAAGAGCAACATCAAGGCGATCGAGGCGCTCATCACCAATGCCAACAAGCTCTTGGACGCGGAGACCGTCGACGCCCTGAAGGACTTGCTCGACCAGGTCACCCCTCTGCTGCCTCAGCTGAAGGGCTTGCTCAAGAAGGATACCATCGAGCAGATTACCAGCTTGCTCAACAATGCCAGCAAGCTGCTCACGGACTCCTTCATCAAGGACACCAACACTCTCATCACCGAGGCTGTGAGCCTTCTCACCCCCGACCTCGTCAAGGCTCTGAAGTCGCTCCTCAGCGATCTCACTCCTCTGATCCCCGAGATCAAATCCTTGTTGAAGAAGGAGACCATCAAGTCCATCGAGACCCTTCTCAACAACGCCGGAGACCTGCTCACCGCCGACTTCGTCAAGGAAACCAAGAGCCTGGTCGACAGCGCCGACGATCTTCTTACCCCCGGCGTCGTCACCGGACTGAAGGACATCCTCGGCGACGTGATTCCTCTGGTTCCCGATCTCAAGAGGTCGCTGCTGAACCGCACCATCATCGCCGATCTCGGCTACATCGTCACCAACGCTACCAACTTGCTCACCCCGGCCTTCGTCACCGAGACTTCCGGTCTCGTCGACAACGCCGACGGCCTCCTGACCCCCTCTATCGTCACTACGCTCAAGGATATCCTTGGTTACGTGCCCGATTTGATGCCCGAGGTCAAGAAGTTGCTCAAGCCTGCGACTATCAAGGGTGTGAACGATCTCTTGCACAACGCTGGTGATCTCTTGACGCCTAAGTTCGTCAACGAGACTTCCATCTTGATCGATGATGTTACGAGCTTCCTGCCTTTGATCCAGGAATTGCTTAAGGCGCTGTAAGGTGTTGGTGTTTTTATGATTTTCTTATCTTGGTTGCTACGAAACGCAATTAATGATCTCTAATGTTCTTTAATGATAATCGATGTTATCTCATTGGTATTTGGCCAGTACTCAGTACGCAGTAAATTCTTAGTAGGTACACAGTATGCCCTCATCAAGCAAGTATAATCTAGCAGCGACAACAAGAGTGGACTGTACACAGTACTGTAAATGTCCCGCAAGTCCGATCCAGGGTCGAGACCCGACTTCCCTGAATTTTGGTTTATATTTAGTGTCTGCCGATCTTGAGCCTCGATTTTGGGGATATTACCTTCGCCACATTCATCAGTATAAATGTGGAGGTGCTGCATAAGTAAATCCAGACTTCCAGAGTGAATCCAACATTCAACATACTTGTTCAGTGACAATCTCTCAGATACCCCACAGGAATTGCATGGAAATAATGCGTGTTGCTGTACGGAGTCGCTGACCTTGGAATAGCTCCAGGATCTGCGTGCTTGTATCTTCGGTTCCCTCACAACTCCAGGGCTCAGGAGTGCTGAAGTGTATAGTCTCGTGGACGTGGCATAGCCGAATCATTCGTTTCAGAGGCCTTAGATCGTTCGGCGTAGGTCAATAAGCCTGCTCATTGATTATAAACTCCTGCCTGTGTTAATCCCAGCAACATGAATACTAACCGAAAGGATAGTATCTAGGAAGTAGATTCTGAAGCGGCCCTTGGCCACCACACCATCGCCCACATGGACACCCCCGGTCCACCGGGCTGCAAACTCGCATCGGCAGCCACCTTGCCCTTCCCCAGCACGATCTCCTCGACTTCCTGGAATCCCAGCGAGAGATAAAGACCCCGTGAGCTCGCAGTTGTCGCTTCAAGCCAGATGGGTAAGTTCGCTGCCTGCGCGGCCTGTTGGTGCTCGCGCATGATGGCTTTGCCGAGTCCTGCGGGAGTTATGAGATCAGTGGGCGAAGCGAGGTGAGAGTGAACGTCTAGCTTAATCTCACCTTTACCGCGGTGTTCGCGCTCGGTTCCGAGACTGAAGACGTAGTAATATTGCTTTTGTCCGCGCAGGCCCTTTCTCTTCGCATTGTCGGTCATGCCCGAGAACTCGCACCAAAGACGCTAGCAAAGCATTAGACATATGCGACCATTTCCGCTGGAGTACTCAATGCTGGCTATCGCCTACCTTAAGACCTGGAAATCCGATTCTCCACAATATACCCAGGAATCCAGCCCGCAGAAGAGTAAAGATATTATCGACGCTTCGTCCCGGCGGAAGAATGACGGACGCCGCTTTCCAGCCATCCGCTTCGGTAATAACAGCTTGATTCAGCAGCGCCGACTTGACAAGTGTGGTCCAGTATGCCGGCAGATACGCGCGTCGTTCCTGCGCCGACAGTTCTAGCAACATGTACGCGATGACCGGATCGGTATCGAAGACGCGACCGTTCAGCTGTGCGACTGCATTCAGCCGCTCTGTTCCTTCTGTTAGTTTTTTTTTTTCGCTGTTTCGGCTGATCCTCGGATGGGTCACTTACTCTCGCCGCCGTGCGTGATTGGGATGGACTGCACGGCCATTGCGTTCCGAGTTGTCGTACTATGTTAGAGGTAAAATCGCATGCGGGCGCAGTTTGAATATCTTCGGCCGCTCCAGGCTACGATCGGCAGCCATGTCGAGCGGGTTGTTGGATGAATGTGTGGCGTGTGCTGTATTGTGACGGGCCGAAGGCCTCGGGAGTCGGGACGTCGTAGACGTCATGGGCTGTGTAGGGCCGTAGGCTGTGACATAAGCCGGTCTGGTCACCTACCTGCACATGCTGCACCTCTGCGATTAATTACGGTTCTATCTGTTATTTCATCCGCTTAATGCTGGATATTGTCTCAATCGTCGTTCTGAGACTTCTGACTGTTCAACACGATGTGGATCCCCGTGGAGCACAGATTCCCAGCAAAGGCTGGATCCCCCGGCTTCCGAGGCTCAGGAGCCTATCCTCCTAACAGTCGACATGATGGGTAGGGGTGACATGGAAGCCCGGTGATCCTGGTCCGATCCATATGCCTCTCAACTCTACTGCGCGGACCACAGGCGCTTGATATCGCACGGCAAGCTCTGGCCCTCAAAAAGAAAAAGAAGCAGAACAATTACTCAAGTCCAAGTTGACAAGGGAGAGGATGACAGTCTGTGGCTGTAGGGGCCAGAAGGACCCAGCGAATCAGGTCATTTGGAGCCTGGCGAGCGATGCCTTCCAGAGTAAGGTACAAAGCTCCAGCGCTAAGTTGCGTTGTTTATCACATTTCAATGGCTATATCAATGCTAAGTGATCCAAAGTCTGCTAACGAGGGCTCTTCATTAGCCTCTCAAAGGACCTGCAAACATACAACAATGTTTGTTAGGCTTGCAGGATGAAAGGAAGTGGAACAGGTGAAAGCCCTTCGACATCTCGAATGCTATTCTTCCTCTTACCAGGACTCTCTCCGTTACAATTGCTCTCCGAAAGGGTTACATCCTGGGGCGTGATCCAAGTGCTTCCCCACTTTCTCGCCAATTTTTGCCTTTGCTTGAATAGCTTCAATCGGAAGTTGAACTCAAGTTTTCGACATGGATATGACACAACCTGTTCGCCTCTTTGAATGAAGTCCCCTATGACTCTTCCAATGGCGGTATTTGGCTTTGCCCAACAAGTGACACTCACTGTCCGGAAAATTACTCCGGAAAAAATCAACCCAAAAGAGAACTTCAGTGCGCTGTGGAGACATGTCACTATGGAAACCAGCGGCTTCAAAGTGAAAAACATCCACTTTATACCGAGATTGATAGGTTGGCGCTGAAAGAAAGGCCGAAGTAGCCATACAGAATGCAGCAATCTAGCTTGAATTAGAGTTTTCCTTAAGCTAACGGGGTGGAGGCTTCCTTAATGTTTTGACACTTTTCTTCAGTTTTGGAATTCTCTTGTACATTTCTCGATCTCGTCCTCGGAAGGCACAATGTCTTCCTTTCGCTCTTTCGTCTAGAGGTTTGGGACTTGTGTTCTGCTGACGTTATCAGAAGGGGCATGCTGGCTGCGTTGGGGCACCTCCATCTCATAGAATTGCTTCTGAAGTCGCTACAAACATTGCTGGTGCATATCTGCGAAAGAAGTCTGGCATCATGGGTGGCACGCGTCTCTCGTTTGAGGACGAGAGCGCAGTTGTTGATAGCATCGAGCGCTGGATCAAACACGGGCACTTTCCTTACCACTCTCTGGCGAAGGATGCAGCCAATGCATATTGCCTGAACCACCATGGCTACAACCAGAACAGGCAAAATGTTACTCTTGGTTGGCAGAAGGGTTTCTGGCAGCGCCATCCAGAACTTGCTCATCACGTAGAGAACGAGCGCAAGTCATTTAGGCTGAGAGGTCCACATGAAGACCGCAGAGCCTGGAAGTTCTTCCAATCATTCAAGGAGACTCGGCAGAGACTTCAAGTTCCGGATGCGCACATCTACGCAATGGACGATGCTGGATATGTTACTACCATGTATCGAAAGACAAATGCAGTCTTTCTTCGACCGGAGAACCCAAATTCAACTTCGAGAGAAGAACGAATATTCTCGTCTGTGATACACTGCTGCTCGACTCAAGGGAAGCACCTACCTCCGTACATTATCTGCAGGAGTCAGGTTCCACCCCAGACGAAGAGCTTTGGTCAAACCAAAGTCTTCTCCAACCAGTCAGGCTGGGCTGAGGCGAACCATGCACTTGACTGGCTGAAAAATGTTTTTGAGCCAGGAACTAGGCCCAGAGCCCGCCGTGAAACCTGGAGGATGCTACTCATCTCCCATCGTTTCCGTGTGATATTCCCCGAATTCGAACAGTTCTGCTGGCATCACAAGATCGCATGTCTCTGCTTCCCCAACAGCGACCAGCAGTTCTTCAACCCAATCAGAAACATAGTTTTTGGGCCTATGCGCAAGAACTATTCTGATTTTATGATAAAGAAGCTCTCGGATAACAACAAGAATGCCATCGTATTGGAAGTGGCAGCATTTGTATCGTGGATCCAAGGGGAGGTGGCTTCATCTAGCCGAATGGCGGAGGCTGCAGATGTTTGGCGTTCAAGCTGCCTTGTGCCGCTAGATGAAACCCGGCTTCGCAATTGTCTGCAAGGGAATCGTGCTACTGCTGGGCCGGAGGATACAGGTTCCAATCTGGATAGTCGCATCGACTCAGAAGATACTCGTGTGAGAAGGGCAACGACACATTCCACATCTCGGACAAGCGTCCCTTTACCGACCCTCGCATCGACCGACGACTTCGATCGATCGTCCAGCCCTGAGTACTCACCCCCCTCGCCGCGACCATCACAAGGGAGCCCGAAATGCCAGCAGAGTGATGATAGCTCTGAATCAGAGGACACTCAGTCCGGGAGTGGGAGTGAAAGTGAATCGATCAGCAATTCTCAGCCCATCACGCCTTGCAAGACACCAAGGCCTCCCAAGGGCCCCCGGGCCAGGACGCCAGAAACAGACCCAACTGATTCAGTCATGTCGGCAAAGGAGCACCGCGACACCTTGGATAAATGTATCGATGGCACACCTCGAACGAAGAAGAGATATCGTGATGACTTGATTCTGGATCGTGGCGATCTGGAGAAAGAGAATGCTCGTCTCAAGGAGAGGGTTAAGCTCTTGGAACGGTTTGCCGTCAAGATGCCTAGGCTTGAGTGAGATATGCCTTTGTTCGCTGTTTTGCTATATTACCTTTACCGTGTTGCATAAGCATTCGTTTCCTGTTCCAAGCAGGGTGTATAAAATAGTTGTACTATCAATTTCATATGTTCATCCCGGTACCGGCATCTTTGAAGCCGGAACCGCAAAGTCTCATCGAAGAGTGTAGAAGGTTTGCTCTGCTTTCCTCCTGGACTTCTCTTTCTCATCCATTAGTACTTTCATCCATCAAAACTTTCATCCATCAAACTCCCAAACTTCACAAATCAACCACCAGCCACCATGAAACCCGTCCTACTGATCCTCGACGTCCAAAACGGGATCATCGACCGCCTCGAAAACACAGAGCCCTTGCTCCAACGCCTCGCCTCAACCATCGAGGCCGCACGCAAGGCAACGGTCCCCATCATCTACGTCGTCACGGCCTTCCGTCCAGGCTATCCAGAAATCCCCGAGGGACACCCATCCCTATCCCCTATGGCATTCGTCACACGCGGCGGCTTCATCAATAACTATCCCTCGACACAAGTCCACACAACCATCAAACCCGCGGCCCACGAGGTAATCGTCACCAAGCATCGTTCCTCGGCTCTCAATGGTACGGACCTTGAGATGATTTTGCGGGCTCTTAGATCCAACGATATTGTTGTCGCTGGCGTGGTCACTAGCAATGCTGTGATGTCTACTGTGAATTACTTGGTTAATGGGGACTACCGTGTTACTGTGCTGAAGGACTGTTGCATGGATCGTTCGGAAGAGGCACACCGTCTGTTTATGGAGATGGTCTTTCCGCGTAGTTCGAAGGTTGTCTCCGCGGAGCAGTGGGTCGAGAGTCTTTCTTCCAGCCAGACCACTGACAACTAGAGGATGTCTTTTGGTGTTTGCGCTGTGGTTCGTTCACGTTGGTTTCGTTATGTAAAGTTGTGTCTGACGGAAATGACTCGGCGTGGAGTTGATCGGTGGCGTCGACTGACTCGGGTACCCGGCCACTGGGTAGTTCCACTGTGAGACAGTCAGACTTTCGGATAGATTGGGAAACGGTATTTCATATCTCTGCAGCTCTTTCTTTAGCTCTTATCCAATTCATCATGCGGCTTCATCTCTTCAAAGTAGGTATGTTGTGCGGGTCCTGAGTGACCAAATGAGTAAGAGAGCCTATGTTCAGTAGACGATCACCCAGTCCCTGCCCTAGGCGATTATGACGTCCAGTTTCGAGTCTTGAAAAACTAGAGAGGCATACAGTCTTTGAAGGTGCAGAGCCAAGTTTCAATTGCATTCGTTGGAAGAACGTCGTTATATTCGCTAGAGAATTCATGTACATATTTGCCGCTGTTTTTCGGTTCATATATAATTTCTACAGCTTCACCTGTCCCCGCTCCTGAGGAGCAGCACAGCAAGCCGGCTCCGGGTGCTCAGTCGACTTATTGAACGACTGAGTTGAGGCAGGTACATCCAGCGCAGGGTTCTTAGTGAAGAATCCGTCCGGCTTGAGCATCACACTGACGCGCTCCATGGGCATGACGGGGAAATCCTCAATGCGGGGGTTGTGAGTGAGGCCGAAGGCTACAGAAGATTAGTAACTGCTGTGTGTTATCAGGGATTCAAGGAATGGGGATAAACATACTGTGCCAGAGAACGACATCTTCGTTCTCGACTGCATCGTTGCGTCCAGCCCACACATCGACACCCTCGGACTGCTTGCTTTGATTTGTGAACTCGCCGGCGGCGAAGAGCTCGTCGTCCTGGTATTTGGTAACCCAGATCGGACGGTTCGCGAAGCGAGCGCGCTTGTTGCCGAAGGATTTCGGCGAAGCGAGCATCATCTGGCTGGGGCTGGTTTGGAGCTTGTAGGCGATTGGGTGGTGGGTGATGGGGTTGATGATGGAGTCGTTGCGGATTTTGAAGACGCGGTGGCGGTCGACGCTTGTGAAGGCGCTGCCGCTGGACTTGATGACGTTCTGTTCGGTCGTGTACCCGACGAGCCATGGGTTCTTGTCATCCTCGGGCATGGGGACACTGTCTTCGTAGTAGACTGTGTTCTTGAAGCCGTCTATGGCGGGGTCGATGCGGAGTGAGAACATGTGCTGGTGGAATGGGGCCATAACGCCTGGTCCGACGTTGGTGCCCCATGGTACGGTCTCGCCGTTTGAGTTGTCAAAGGGAACTGTGGAGAGGATACCGGTGGCCCGAACCTCGAGCTCAATGTTCGCTGCTTGGTCGAGGATGTAGGCGAAGATGTATTCGTAGTTCCCGACGGTGCAGATCATCTGGATCACGAGTTGGCGGTTGCGGACGACAGTCGCTGCGCCAGTGCGGTAGTTGGTGTGTTTGTGCTGGAGGCCATTGTCCTGTTCGTGCATACAGATGACATTTTTGAGTTGGATTGGAGTTCCTTGTGCGTCTGTGCGGTAGCCGTCGAAATACTTGATGTGTCCGAGACAGTCGCAACCGAGGGTCAGTTGGTTGGCGGTGATACCAAAGCCGACATCACCAACGTCAAAGGCCTGCTTGCGGTGGTAAGGCGGACGAGGATCTAGAATTAATTAGATTTTGTCGCTAAAGAGGAAGGAGTGGAACATACCGCCGTAGGGGACTGTCATCTCAGAGAGCGAGAGGCGGTAGAAGGTGTTGCGACCATCGTAGGTCACGTTGTGCAGTACCAGACCCTCTCGGTTGTTGTAACCCACGCGGAACCGCCACTTCTGCCATGACACGGCGTTGCCAATGACATTGAATGACGCTCCCTCCGGTTGCTGGACGATGTAAGGCTTCAAGTCTGTTCGCAGAGGCTCATCGAGCAGTTCATGCGCGTATTGCACAGTAGGAACCTGCTTCCAGGGCTGGGTCTCGGTGGTCCGAGCATCGGCCCCACCAGGTAAATAATCCATCCTGACCAGCTCGTGGGTGATGCCATCGATGACCGGGGAGAATTGGCAGGGTAGCGAATACTGGTTGTTCTGTGGGTGATCAACGGCCACGATGTACATGTAGCACTGAAACAAACGCCGAGTCTCCGCCGCGTCATCAGTTCCGTAGATCCAAGGGTCCATGCAGACAGTGTGGCCAGCTGGAAGCTTCAATTTTTCAATCTCGGCCTTGACAGCTGGGTGGTTAAGACAAATCTGCTCAATCTCGATCATTTCATCAACATCTGCAGGTCCCTGGACATCCTTGGGCAACTCTTTCGCTGACACGATGGACTTGGTGTCTGCGTTGATCAGAGCCTTGAAAAAGGACCCGTTGTCCAACCGGTGGAAGAGGGCCATCAGCAAGCGGGCTGGCTTGCGCGGGCGGACCTTACCAAGGCGTTCAGCCTCGAGGTATGGGACCACTTCATGCTTGGCTGGTTCCTGGAGATCGATGCGCTTGTAGCGCAGCTTGACACCAGGGAAGGCGGACTCCAAAACGGAGACTGCCACCTGGATCTCTCCAGGTGTGATGGGATCGAAGGGGTGAAGGCTTGCCATTATGGATGATGTGAATAATGGTCAGGGAGGATGCTTTCTGCGGGCATGGCAGTGGATTTATATGCAGACGAAATCCTGGGCCATCCAGTTCGTTCCCTTTTGGGCAAATCTTTCGCCGAGCTGGGATGATCTGATTGGTCAGGAGGGAACCCTTCGGCGCATCTTTCGCCCCAAACAGTTTAGCGCATTCATTTCCGATAAGCTGGGCGGAGCATTGCGGAGTTAATAGAGGGGTTGGAGCATATTTGGAGAAGACCTCGGGATGCGAAGTCAGTATTAAGTAACATGCAATCTCTCCAAGTTTTACATTTCATGTACGATAACTAAGTGTAGATGTTGTTAGATACACTTCGGAGTGTTCCCGTCCCTATGATTTCCACGGTTCGCTGAATGGGAGATAGTGGTCAGGTGACAGTAAGATCACGTGAGCGCCGATAGTATCCTAAAATGTTGGTCGGCCGGGATGGAAGTGTTTTTTTAACTCACATTATCCTGTATAACTCTTCATATAATCCAATATGAATCATTATCTTAGAGTATCCCTTTCCAAATACAAGTAGCTCATGAGTCATAGGTGGCAGAGCAATATTAGGAAAGTCGCTACGCCTGGATTACTGGATTTATTGTTGGATGTCTGTGCGCCTGAGGCAGCCCATGTTTGATAAAACCCAGATACTACGTAGCCTGCCTGCTCTCTCTCACTCTTCTCCTCTTCATCCACGGTTAGACTTACTGTAGACCTAAGAGGCTAAGACCACTAGCAACTCGATTTTCTGAATCTTTTACCCGGACCCATGTCGATCTTGCTCCGCAATGAATCCACTTTTGTGGATACGAGCTCTGCACGGACCTTAATCAGACCAATCATGTCTTAGTTGGTCGAGCGTAACACATTGAACAGTGAACACAGACTCGAATCAAGCTTCGAGTCAACCTCATCATGTCTCAAGTCAATTCCGGAGACTAGGCCCATGTTCCCCTGACGAACGTGATATTTGTATTTAGGAGCTGAAAAACCTTGTGCAAGAAGTTAGGAACAACCTGGAGTTGTTGGGCAACAATTACAGTCACAGCTTCATGAGTGTGAACGACCACTTGGACCAACTTCATGCTCAGGCCGCCTACCGCAGCTTTGGGCATGCGCGGATTTGTCGTGCCAGTAGCTGCGATAGTGGCGACCTGAGCATGAAGTTGGTCCAAGTGGTCGTTCACACTCATGAAGTTGTGTGGAAATCATTCTCGGTCTCGTTGTTCTCCATGTTACCACCGCTACTGCGATTCCAATAGAACCAAAACACGAGTCACCTGTAGGCTGTCCAGTGGATTGGAAACCGCACGTAGTGGAATGCGGCGATATTCCAGCTGTTGACGTCCATCTGGGCAGTCCTGTCAACTTAGAGAGGTCGATGGGTGTCTATATGGCATTCAATGTCTATAGATCCGGCAAAATGTCCACAGGCAGTCATCTACATACTACACTAGTACGGAGTAGGACTCGCATTCTCAGATAAGACAGGGCAGTGCTGGTATTGTTGGGTAGAAACTATGGAATAGATCGACCTTCCTTAAACACAAGCAGACTTAGCCATGCCTATCATCTTCCTTTGAAAAAATTACGCTGGTTCTCTTTTGGAACCGCGAATCCATCCGAGCAGCAAGTTGAAACATCCGACTGACCCTCATTTAGTCCGGAGAGCCTTCCATCTGATACCATACATGCATCCAGTGATGCCTGTGGTGCTGTAGCGCCTTTGGCACCAGCAACTTAGACGCCCAGCCACCTAGTTCAGGCGAGGCCTTTTCCAGCTGACAAGCCAGCTGACAAGGATACCCGCATTGAGGGCCGCCTCTCGTGCTGTCTCCTCACCTTCGCGTGATTCGATGTCGGGATTGACACCAGCTCGGGCAAGCAACTTTACGGCTTCCCTATTGCCAATATGAATTGCCCTCAGCAAGGCGGTCTCCCCTTCGCTAGTTTGCTTGTTCAGATCGAGTTGTCTCGAGTCTAGCAAAATTTCAAGAACCGCCAGCTTATCAAAATTAACAGCGAGAAGCAGAGGGAATGCATCTGCCGGACCGAGGTTGGGATCAAGTCTGTCCTGTGGGACGAAAAGACGGACCATGTAACAATCGCCGATGGAAATGGCGTGACAAAGCGGTGTTTTCCCCTCGTTGTCTTGAGAATTGAGGTCGACCCTCTCCGGCAAATAAACAACTCTGCTGACGAATTTCTAGCCATCGATAAGTTGACTGAGTGGCCCGCAGCAAGGCTTGATGGGGTCCGACCATTGCCATCACGTTCATCGATTCTGACGGTTGGGTCCGCGAGGAGAATGTCAAGCAGGTAGTCCCGGTCTCTCGACTTGAGTTCGTGCCTGTCGAATAACCTATGGATGGGTGTGCGGTTGTACGCGTCTCTCAGGTTAGGGTCTGCGGCTTTTTCGAGCAACTCCTGCACGATCTTAGGCTGATAATAAAGGCATGCTAGATGCAGCATTGAATCCTTGTCCGGTAGCGAAGTGAGACAGCCTGTGTCAGCCCCATAAGCAAGTAAAATCTTCACCTCCCTGTACTGTTTGTACGGATTCACTGTTGACTTCACGATGGCATGTGCCATCAAGGACATCCCGTCATCGAAGACATAGTTCGGGTTCACACCCCATTTCAAACAGTTTTTAATGCACTGCCACTTGCTAGCCTGAGCGGGTTGTTCGTGGGATCCTGCGACAGAAAGGACGAACTCGATCAGTTCCTCGAGTAGCTGGCCGAGCAGGCCGCCTTTGGAAGCCATGAGCCCTAACAGCTGCGCATTCTGGTTATTGATCAGAGGCAGCAATGAGAATGTCTGCCATGGAGCTGTTCTTGGAAGAGCAGACAGTGCTTCGACTGCCTTGGCGAACGCTTGCTTATTGTTCCGTAGTAGACTCCATAGTAACGCACGAAAATTCAGGATTACCTCGCCGGCAAAGGGAATCACTCAAGACGTGATACAGATAACGGTTGGTTAGGCAAAGACTGTAAACGTCTTTGTCAGGTAGCTGCCGCTCAATAAGCCAGAGCAACTCCACAGGTAGATCGAGCAATGTCGTAGGTCATGATTCCCTGCAAAGGGCCACGAGAGAGTGCGCCAACCGAATTGTTTCCGGTGGCAGTGTTGTAAGAATACCCGCAGTATCAGGTTCCGCCATCTTGTGCTTATATACGTTAGTTGCAAACCAAATTTTGGGAGACAAACACTGGCACTCACAGATTCGTCTGATACCGGATAATAATTCAGACGAAATGGATATTAGGTGCGTGGTATTAAGAAGAGAGAAGGTGCGTGGTGGTGAGGGAAGGCAAAGTGCGTGTTGTTAAAAGTAGAGGAGACACAGTGCGTGTTGTTATGGAGAAAGAAAACAAAAGTGCGTGTCCTTTATTTATGTTTGTGAGAGTTGAACAAACATCGACACTGCCCGAATAGGAAGGGACTCTCCGTGCATGCAGCTTCCTCGAACGTTCTAATTGTTTGTCATGTATGCAGCAAGAGCAACCTCGCAGTTTCCCCAAATTGTCCTTTCTGCTCTTTCTCCCTGCTTCTTCTCGGTTCAATCCTCTGACTTTCCCACAGCTTGAGGTTGCCGTACTCGGCTTGACATTGAGCTGTCGTTGCTCATTTTAGTTTTTAATTTGTACCTGGTATCTCTCCCGCTGCACTCTATCTGATGATGATGATGATGAAGTATCCATTAACCCAATCTAGCTCGCTTTATATGCAGCACTTTGTCTAATGACTTGCCGATTCGTGTATATTACCTACTGTGAACTCCAAAAGTGACTTCAAAGGGCGTAGAGGCCCTGGAATGGAGCGTGATCCGGCTTCAACCCACAGTTTGCACAAAAGCTGTAGAATCAATCTCTTAAGTTCTGTCAGTGTCATAACACCGGCCACTCCTATTGCGATACAGCCTGTTAGGCACGAACACTATCCCTCTATCTGTATGGCTTCCAAAAGCGGGTTGGCCGGAGACATTTACAGTCTGTCTCTACTTACTACTTACGCCGAGGATGCTGGAGGACGCTGGAAAACACTTTCAAGCACGGGATTGGTCTCTGGGGCTAAATTTGGGCGTGGTCTGAATGGATCAAATCACGACCAAGTAGAGATCACTTCCATTGGCGCTGCCGAAGCGCATTTCCCATGTAGTTTTTTATCCATTCTTATCGATAACGCATGGAAATCCCGATGCTTTTCGGGTGTCGTCCCAGTCCCGCGTGGATATAGAACACAGTAGGTAATTTCCACTTTCCGATCCATCTTCCACTGATACCCCTGCCACTTTAAAGGATACCTGGTGGGGAACCGCGGAAGGGCGGTGTAAGAAGTTATTACCCCTGTCTTATCCAGTCAAGTGACAAGTCCTGCAAGCTTGCGTATGACCACGCGTAGGTTTAGGCCCTCTCCATGTACCTCTAGGCTCTAGTAGCCTCGTCGCCACGGGAAGCGCCTAGGATAGACCTCCACTAACTTCCAGCCTATCTGGACCTCGTCACCGCTTCTCATCGCCCAAGTATACCGACCCGAAATATAGCTGCAATTGCGAGTCATGCCAGCACCGATCCAATCGGATCTTCCACCTTGACTTAGACTGTGACGAGGATCCCGTCATAATCCAGTCCGAGGATTTCAAAAAGGCCTTTCATCCCACCCTTTGATCTTCCCTCTCATCCGCAAGCCTCGCTGATTCTGATTTCCCGCCAAGACCTCGATCTTCGAAAGAATACTATAGTCCTGTCACATCTTGCGAAACTCAGCATGGACACACGAGAATTTCAAGATGTGGAATCCATTGCCAGGGGAGGCATATCTTTTGTCTATCAAGTCAGCCCTGGTGTTGTGGTCAAAATCCCACAAGACGACGATTTCGCCAGACAGCAATTCTGTAACGAACTACAGATCTATAAAACTTTCTCCCAGCAAGCAGCCTGCGCATTTATTGTGCAGTGTTTCTACTCTACGAACGAGGGGATCTTCCTTGAACATATGAAAAGTGATAGGGCTGATATCTTTTGCATAATGATTATTGACCAATCGAACAGACGAAATCGACCGCAAAACCGACGTGGTTACCAGTGTGAACCGATTGGAACCGCTGCACCTACGATTAGCATGGATGAATAGTGTTACCCAAGCCATCGCTTTCCTTGAAACGCTGAATCTCGCCCACGGTGATCTCCGACCGGACAATATTCTCCTTGACGGCAACCTCAGAATCAAAGTTACAGATTTTGACTATACAGCGCCATTTGGAACACCGTTTCTGGTTTGCCAGGAGCCTTCGGGAAGAACGCTGAGGGAGAATGAACCGGGGTATGATGTGGAAGAGGCGTATGGTGCCGGATTACTGGGACCTCGAACCGAGCAATTCGCCCTTGGCTCTATATACTACTTCATCAACTACGGGATGGAAGTATACGGGGATAAGATTCTCACGAGCGATCCGCGTAATCGTTATATAAAGATGAGTGAGTTACTGCAGGACATGCAGTTTCCAGTCATTGATTGTGATCCAATTGGCGACTTGATTTCCAAGTGCTGGCACAACCAGTTTCCCACCATTGCAAGCCTAGCCATGGCTACAGAGAAACTGCTCGAAGAACAAGTCACAGAGGAAACCAACTCAGATGCCGATACCAGCAAGAATGCAGCATCCACAAAAGAACTATGTCAAGAATTGGAGAAACGTGGACTGTTTGGTTTCCTTCGCTCGAAGAGCCCTCCGGTCTAGTAACTTTTCGGCGAATCACAGGCAATATCTGGCAAGATTTTTGTATTTCAAGCCAACTCAAATCCCCTACAATTCTTTACTGCGTACCGGTACAACGTATGGTTCGCGAGAAAAGACAAGGGGAGGGCCGGAATGCGACGCGAGGGGCTTCATGGGAGAATATTGCACCGCCTTCAATTTTGAACAATATCGCCGACCGTTACTGACTTCATCACTTACCTTTAACCAAATTACCGAATGAACCATTCACAGTTATTTTCAAATCCTCTTCCAATGTTATCATGCAAAGGGTGCGTGTTTCAGCGTGCTAATGTTTGAATCAGCCTTTTGGGGAACTTGGAGTTGGAACCTCAGCTGAGGTGGGACCTGCAGTCCTCACTTTTGTATCTGTCCCTTTGTGCTTACCCACCACTGTCGGTGTTGGCGCTGCTTTTGTGTCTTGGTCTGGCGGTAACTCCCCCTGTGTTGATTGGCTACATGATGATAGTGTTGGCTTCATTCGCATCCTGGCGCCTCTCGATCAGTGGCTTCCTGCCGCGCCCTGCTTCGGTCTCTTGGTCTGGCCGTAACTCCGTACCCTATTCTCCCTACCTGGCGTGGATGCTCTAAGGCTCATATCAACCTGGTGGTGTATATCTTGATCAAAGCTATTAAATAGGCATGTCAACAAATAGTTATGTTTTTAAACCTATTAAGCACACTACCTAGCTACCGCTGAGTTCGAGGTCGATGAGATTAAGCAGTTTGTGAACCAACTTTTGAACAAGTGATACCATTTGCCATGGAATTACACATCAGATAAGACGCGGCGCGTGTCGCTGTGTGATAATAATCATGATGTTGTCGTCCACTCGATTTAGCTCGCTGTACATGGATACATGCTGGATTATTGGGGAAATTCGTACGAATAGGCTTGCCAGTTGGCTAGAGGTTCCCCAGTTGGCTGGAGGCTCGCCAGTTGACGGTAATCTCGCTATCGCTAAGCACATGCCTGAAACTTGGCACAAGTGAATCCTGTCAACTGGACAGAATATTTTTGCTGATATTTTATTACGAAGGTACTGTACACCTAACTACCAGGCTGTTCCCTTTTTGTATATCGATAACACTTACAGTTACAGGTACACGCTTCACGCCCGCCCGTGTTACTTGGGGGATTCATCCCTCCCCGGGCCGCAGGCCCGGCAAGAACCTTATCTTGTACCGATTGGAACCGCTGCACCTACGATTAGCATGGATGAATGGCATTACCCAAGCCATCGCTTTCCTTGAATCGCTGAATCTCGCCCACGGTGACCTCCGACCGGAAAATATTCTCCTTGACGGTAACCTCAGAATCAAAGTTACAGATTTTGACTATACAGCGCCATTTGGAACACCGTTTTTGGTTTGCCAAGCGCCGTGGGGAAGGGAGTTGAAGGGAAATGAACCGGGATATGATGTGAAAGAGGTGTATGGCGCCGGACTACTGGGACCACGAACCGAGCAATTCGCACTTGGCTCTATATACTACTTCATCAACTACGGCATGGAAGTATACGGGGATAAGATTCTCACGAGCGAGCGGCGTGACCGTGGTATAAAGCTCAATGAGTTACTGCGGGACATGCAGTTTCCAGTCATAGGTTGTGATCCAATTGGCGACTTGATTTCCAAGTGCTGGCACAACTAGTTTCCCACCATTGCAAGCCTAGCCATGGCTACGGAGAAACTGCTCAAAGAACAAGTCACAGAGGAGACCGATACCAGCATGAATGCAGCATCCACAAAAGAACTACATATGTCAAGAGTTAGAGAAACGTGGACTGTTCGGTTTTTTTTCGCTCAAAGAGCTACTAAGAATTTTCGGGAATCAGAGCCCGCCATTACCAGCCAAGTCAGATACAATTCTTGAATGCTCTGGTACCAGCAGGCAAAATCTAGCTACTAGCCGAAACAGCATGCACGGATTATCCGATACGTCCAGGTCCATTAACTACTTCTATTCGCTTATACAAGATTCGATTCCGATTACACAAGGCAATCTTATTCAATGAATGAGTTGAAGTCTCCAAGTACGTATGGTTGAGAAAAGACAAGGGAGGTGTTCAGGGCCGGAATGCGACGCGAGGGGCTTCATGGGAGAACATGGCCCATCGGCTTCGGCACGAACTTCTCCTGAGCCTGTCTCCGACCGTTATTGACTCTATGACTTGTGGTGACCATTAACCGAATGAACCATTCACACTTGAATCCAAATCCACTTCCAAGGTCATCAACTTATCATGGAAAAACAGATGCGCGGACTTGGCCCCAAGACTGGCCAAGGAGGCCGGAATTCACGGCTGCTACTGTCCCTTTGCCCTTCACTCGCCAAGTTGGACATTCCTCATGAAATGTCCAGAGCCTTGCCCCAAGGGCCATATAAAACAAAGTCGCGTCCCCTGATCGCGTTGTTCGCCCATCGACTACGCCAACCGCAAGATCGCGCCATCGACATGGATTTGACTAACTAAGCGCATATACTACTTTATTTTTGGAATCAAACCCATTGACGTCTTCTAGATCGCGTCAATATTGGCTGCTTGATCTACACAAAAATACTGCCGATCCAACTTTCTTTTTTTTGCAATGCGAAGCGCTTCAATCCCGTTCCTTCTCGCAGGCTTCGTTGGGTACGCCTTCGCTGGCTTGCACCACCATCATGCTCACCTACATCGCCATCGCCATTTGATGCCACCTGCAGAAAACCTGGAACCCAGAGCCTTGGCTGTGGCGAATGTGCCTCATCTCCCCGATGACTTTGTGGTGGAATCAGTCACCCGCACGACTACGACTACGGTTTACGGGAAGTGCGCTCCAATCAGCACCATTCACTCTACGCTTACTCTCGTGAGGGAGGGACCTGAACCTACACTGTATAAACCGGACATCCCAGAACCATTTCAAAAACACTGGTATCAATTGCAGCAGCAGGCGGAAGCGATTCTCCCTGCGCCGACGAATATCCAGCCTGCTCAGACCCAGTTCACTCGCCCAACCGAACCGGAGGAGACCACAACCAGCTACAAGACAAAAACAATCACCAAAACTGCAACGAATACCGTACGAGTTACTGCAAACCCCGGAGCCGGTCCTGCACCACCTGCAAATACAGCCTCGGAATCTCCAAACGCAGGAAAAGCCATTCCACTAGCAGACACGCTCCCAGGGGGCTTGTCCGAAGAAGCAAAATCCGTCCCAGCAAAAGGCGGTCCCGCGCCTGCTCATCGCCCAAAGACCAAAGTCAACGGGCCAATAGACACTGTTCTCGGTCTACCAGGCCAGGTCCTCCCAGATCTACCGGTAGTCAACGAGATCCTTCCAGGACAAAAGCCAGAGACCCCGCCACCAGTGGATTGGACAGCACTACCACCGAAAGGACAATTCTCAACCAAGGGATTCGGCGGCCGGACTCAACCATCTCCACCACAAGAAAGGGAGATCAACTACCGTGGCAACGTCGGCAAGCCCTGGGGAAGTAATATCATCCTTGTCAGTCCCGCCCAGGCCCATCTCTACAAATACGTGGCGCAGTTCACCGGCTCGAACAATGAGCCTTGGACTGTGGTGGTTTGGAACAAAATCGGACCGGATGGGAAGTTGACTGGCTGGTATGGCCACTCTGCTCTAACGTTCACGCTTGCGCCTGGTGAGACGCGCTATGTTGCGTTTGATGAGGACTCGGAGGGTGCATGGGGTGCTGCGCCCGGTGGGAAGTTACCTACTGATCAGTGGGGCGGGTATTCGTGTACCTGGGGTGAGTTTAGCTTCGGTGATGGGGAGAATAATGGGTGGTCGGGCTGGGATGTGTCTGCTATTCAGGCTCAGGTTGCGGAGCAACATGTGCAGGGGATGTCGATTTGTCAGGCTGATGGGAAGGGGTGCTCGGTTATTACGACTGGTGCTGGCAAGGTGGTTGATGCTTATATTAAGTCGAAGAAACATGTTAATGGGATTGGGGGTGCTGCCGCACCTGGTCCCGTGCGGTTGAAGGTGGTGTTGGATTATCGGGGATGATGGAGGCGTTTTGTATATATGCATTCCTCTTGTTGAAATATCATCTAGTGACTTGGGAAGAAATGATGTTTATGAGCTTGTCAGGTTGTGTATTGTCTAGAGCTATCTTGGATATGGAGATTTCTTCCATTTGTCTTCTCCGGAACATACTAGTGCCGTTCCGCAGCGGGGATCAGACCTGCCCTCATGGCCTGTCTTGGCAAGGAGCGATCTCACTTCGACACTCCCCCTCGTGACTTTGCCAAGGCAGAGAACTGTTCTTCTTGTGGCGCCTGCTCCCCCATGTTCCAGGCTATCCTCGATGTCTATTGTCCTTTCGCTCAACCATATTCAGCATCTGTTGGGTCCATCCGACCGTGCGTTCGACACAAGCATCCTGACCCAAGGGAGGGATGGCATCTCTTCTAGCTCCCCCATGTTCGGCGTTGGTGGGGTGTCACCGTGATCTTCGTTGGGTGGTGGCCGGGGATCATAGTCACAGACGACGACCTGTCCACTCCCCTTCTGGGACGTCGATCGCGGCAACCCCCGTAAGTGGTGGGGGAGCGACGAGCTCCAACTGCAGGCATGAGACGGCGGGTGCGAGCACGTGGCCAGGGGCGAGCCCTGGCAGTCGCATCAAGGGCAGGGTGTGCGATGAAGACCGGCTCCGGCGCGGTGACGCTCGAAAGCAGGTCTAGGGAGCGCCTTGGTAAGGATGTCAGCCGTCTGCTCCTCGGTGGGGATGTATTGAAGCTGCAGGGTGCCATCTGCCACTCTTTCGCGGACGAAATTCCACTGGATGTCAATGTGTTCGGTGCGCGAGTGGAATTGAGGGTTGCGTGCAAGGTCCAAGGCGCCTTTGTTGTCGCCGAAAATCACCGTGGGCGCGAGTGGTGGTTCCCTGGTGATTTCGGCAAGCAGACCGCGTAGCCATATGGCCTCCTTTGCAGCAGCAGTCTCGCTCATGTACTCGGCCTCGCATGATGAAAGGGCGACGGTGGGCTGGCGTTTTGACTGCCAGCTGATCGCAGCGCTGCCGATGCTAAAGTTGTAGCCACCTGTGGAGCGTCGTGTGTCGAGGCAGCCGCCCCAGTCAGCATCGCAGTAGCCCTGGAGTCGCAGCTCCGCACCCGTGAGTGTGAGTGCGTGGTCTCTGGTGTGGGCAAGATAGCGAAGCACACGCTTCGCGGTCGAGAGATGCGCGGCGGTGGGGTTTGCCTGGAAGCGGCTGAGGAGAGAGATGGGAAACGCTATGTCGACGCGCGTGCATAGCATCAGGTACATGAGGGAACCAAGGAGGCTCCGGTACATCTTCAGTAGCCCTCTCGTTGGTGTGTGGCCCTCGTCGGCCGGTTGAAGCTTCACCTTAGGGTCGAGTGGCGTGGGTACCGGGTTCGCGTCGGCCATGCCGAACTTGTGGAGCAGTTGGTCAATGTAGCCGGACTGGCGAAGCTCGAGCGTGCGTGCGGGTCTGTTGCGCAGGATCTGCATGCCCAAGTAATACTTCGCTGCACCCATGTCGACCATGCTGAAGCGGGCGGCGAGAGAGGCCTTTGCAGCACTGATGTCGTCTGAATCTGGCCCAAACAGTAGTAGGTCATCCACATACACGGCGATGTATGTGTTTCCGCGAACAAAGACGGCGGGGTCGTGCTGCAGGCTCGTGAAACCGATGGAGGTGAGGAACTCTTGCAGTGTGATGAACCAGATGCGGGGCGCGTGTTTGAGGCCATATAGCGCCTTTCTGAGTCGACAGACCTAGTCTGGATGGATTGGGGATTCGAAGCCTATCGGCTGTTCGACGAAGACCTCGGTGTCGATCAGCCCGTATAGGAACGCAGTCTGGACATCCATCTGTTCGATGTCCCAGTCATTGGCGGCTGCGATCGCAAACAACATCTTGTATGTCATCGGTTTGACGACCGAAGCAAAGGTCTCATCAAAGTCGACTCCCTCAATCTGCTCGAAGCCCATCACTACCCAACGGCACTTGTACTTCACGATCTCGTTGTGTGGGCCGAGCTTGTGTTTCAGCACCCACTTTCCGTCCAGAACGTGCATAGTTTTGGTTCGTGGAACCAGTTCCCCAAGTCTCGTTCGTTTCGAGGGACTTGAGCTCTCGTTCGAACGCGGGCAACCAATCGCTCCACCGTGGGGATCGCTTCGCTTCGTCCAAGTTCTTTGGTTCGGGTGGAACGAGGCGGGCCTTGGTTTGTTGGTGGACCTTATGTGGAAAAGGTTCCTCGTCAGTGGGGAGGATACCCGCGTCAGAAGCCAGAAAGCAGTATAGCGGCTTGAGGGTCGACTCGTGTGTGGTTGCGAGCAGGCCGAGGCGTCTTGGGGGTTGTCCCTTGGTTGCTCTGCTCGATGTCCGAGCCGGAGGAGCTGTCGATAATGTCTGAGCCACTTCAGATGAGGCTGGGGACATGGTTGGGGCCACTTCAGATGGGGCCGTAGGTGGTGCCTGCGCCACTTCAGATGAGGCCATAGGCATGCTTTTGGCCACCTCGGATGGGGCAGTGGATGATGTCTTAGCCACTTCAGATGAGGCTGTAGGTATGGTTCGGTGGAGCCTGGACGTGGCCCCAACCATATCCCCAGCCTCATCTGAAGTGGCTCAGACATTATCGACAGCTCTTCCGGCTCGGACATCGAGCAGAGTAACCAAGGGACAACCCCCAAGACGCCTCGGCCTGCTCGCAACAACACACGAGTCGACCCTCAAGCCAAGACGCCTCGGCCTGCTCGCAACCACACACGAGTCGACCCTCAAGCCGCTATACTGCTTTCTGGCTTCTGACGCGGGTATCCTCCCCACTGACGAGGAACCTTTTCCACATGAGGTCCACCAACAGACCAAGGCCCGCCTCGTTCCACCCGAACCAAAGAACCAGGAACCTGGACGAAGCGAAGCGATCCCCACGCTGGAGCGATTGGTTGCCCGCATTCGAACGAGAGCTCAAGTCCCTCGAAACGAACGAGACTTGGGAACTGGTTCCACGAGCCCAGACTATGCACGTTCTGGACGGAAAGTGGGTGCTGAAACACAAGCTCGGCCCACACAACGAGATCGTGAAGTACAAGTGCCGTTGGGTAGTGAGGGGCTTCGAGCAGATTGAGGGAGTCGACTTTGATGAGACCTTTGCTTCAGTCGTCAAACCGATGACATACAAGATGTTATACTCGGTCTCCGACCCCTGGTCTGCCATCTGGCACGAGCGCCTTGGTCACCTAGGCGAGCAGAACCTAAAGAAGCTCCGAGGTATGGCCACGGGCATGGACGCAAATCCACAGGAGTGTCCTTGCATACACTGCCTCCAGGGCAAACTGAAGCGAACGCCGCACAGATCCTCGAATACGCGAGGCGCCCACAAACTCGAATTCTTGCATGTCGACATTCAGGGCCCCTTCGACGTCGGTAACGATGTGAGCCGGTACAGCGTTGGCATCGTCGACGACTTTTCACAGAGGGGCTGGGCCGTGCCCATTCGGACAAGGGACGCCCTGTCACCATTGCTCATCTCCTTCCTCGAGCAACACCAGCGGCCTGAACTTCGCTGCCGACGCATCCGCCTGGATCGGGGAGGCGAGAACATGGGATAATGATAGTCAGCTCATCCTTTGCATTAAACTTTACATAAATCAGGTAGATTAGGGGTGTGTCGGGAAGTTCATAACTTTCGAAGCGCCGCCCGGGGCTCTTTCAGCTGGAGGGCTAGACGTTTCACTGTGAGACAAGTCCACAGCACTCCTTAGGAGGTCTATCATCTCTGGCGTGTGAGGTACATTAAACCTTCGAACGCATTAAATTATTGTACGAAATAGACCAAAATCCCCTAGTGGTGGAGAAGTACAATTTGCGGAGCTTCAAAGCCCCGAGTCCACCCTATGCTGTAGGGGTGCTTATACCAAACCAAGAATCAAGCCCAAGGCTCTCATTCCAAGTATTCACCCTTGGTCTCTGCATGGATCACATCAAACAACGGCTTCGCACTGAACCAGCCGGCCATGGGGGTTCCCACAGTCTTGTAAGTGAATGCAGCATCGGCTTCTTCAATCTTGACCGTCTTTTCACCTCGTCCAGCGGCGGCTGCGTCCGCGAGGAGCTGGGCATAGCAGCATTTTTCAAGACTGACAAACCAAAACACGGTCTCTTCAATGGTATTGCCGACGGTCAGAAGACCGTGGTTCTGCAGGAGCGCCGCCTTCTTGTTACCCAGAGCCCGGGCGATATTCTGACCTTCTTCCTCTGCCAGCACGACACCCTTGAATGATGAATACAGCGCCAAGTCCTGATTCCGTTAGTCGGCAATTCTCATGCGCTCCTCTGAAAGATATGAGAACATACATTGTGGAAAGCACAGGCATCCTGCGAGATGATATCGAGCGGGCGGCCCAGCGAGCAAAACGCTCGACCGTGGAGACTATGACTGTGAGCAGCGCAGTTGACATCCGGTCGAGCGGCGTGGATAGCAGAATGAATCATAAACGCAGCGGCGTTCAGCATCCTGTTTGGGCCGCCTGCAATCACCTTGCCGTCGTGGTCGACCTGGATCAAATCCGAGGCCTTCATCAGCTTGAACGCCGTGCCGAACGGATTCACCCAGAACGTGCTCGGATCAACCGGATCGCGCACGGTGATATGTCCGGCGACGCCTGTTGATAACGTCAGTTCAATGACTCGCATAGGTTGCGGAAATATCCATACCCTCGTCGTACCCCTTGTCGCCAAAGATTCGGAATGCAGCTGCTAGACGACCTTTGAGGTATTCCCGTTCTTTCAGTTTATCCTCGAATACGGGCATTTTGGGCATTTGCATCTTGATCTTGGCTTTCTCGGCACCCTCTGCTTGGGATGACTGGGGAGCTTGGATGCTGACGGTGTTGCCGACGGTCTCGGTGGCGGTTGGGGGAGCCATGATTATTGTGATCTTGTCTGTATGTCTGGATGTTTGGACTGGGGATTATTGAGGTTGTTAAGAATGAGGAATTCCAACTCCAAACTATCTCGGCTCATCTCAAAGACAATGCGGGGTTGCTGATTATCAATGAGGTCGGATTGGATTGGTCGCTGGAGTGGACCGAGGCTGCGGATGTTCTCCGATGCGGGGAACGCCATCTCCATGGTTATCGCAGCACGCAAAGGGAAGGGTTCAGTGGTAAGATTGGAATGAGGAATGCGTTTATGCAATACGTATAGTCGGCAAATCCACCAATCAATGAGACGTTCAATTGGCGAATCCATTTGCATGTTGAGAGTTGAGACAAAGGGAACAGTCCCCATTCGGCTGTATGTTGCGGGGAAGTGGTTGGCTGATGCGAAGGAAAGAACACCGACTCATGCCTGCCACATTTACGAGGCAACAAGCCTCAGTTCTATCCTGCCTCCAGAAGAATATAGCGGTGGCAATATGTGTCTACTATGGCATTGGCTTGTTCCCAATACTCTTATACACCGAGGCTATCTTCAGACCATCACGAGAAGGATCAATGAAGGGAGCCATATAGAATGCCCGGAAAGGCATGTACGCGCCTTACTTTGAGTGAATTCACTGAACATCAATATATTCAGAAATACTAGACAATCAACCTATCTTTTCCAATTTCCATCCACTTTCAATCACCGAAGAAGCCCCTTGGGCAGAGCCACTCACTTAAAGCTTATACCCTACCACACAATTGCATGGTCCTTACAGAGCACCGAGGATGGCGTTGTAAGCAGACTTAGGCTGGAAGCTTCCATCGAAGAGCAATGGGCTGTCACCCGAGCGCCAGGATTGCTAAATCCATCGTCAGTATACTAATGTCGTCTGGAGGTTTCGGCCCACATACCGAGTCAGAGACTCCCCAAACGGTGATTCCAACGCAGTTCTCGACGTCGAGGCAGGCGTTGACAACCTAGAGGCCAGATTAGAAGTGACCCACTGTGTACAAGGGGGATTACTTACATTGACGTAGTCATCGTCACTGGCGCCGGCAATATCAAGCTCGGTAATGGCGACTTCGGAGACGCCGGAGGAAGCTAGGGTGCTCAAAGCAGTAAAGGGCTGTTAGCGCGGATTTTCAGAACAATGGGAGGGAGACTTATTCTTTGACGGTTCCCGATGCACCGGCGCTGTGCCAGTTAGTAAAATTTCTAAACTTGCTCAAAAAGGGGTCTTACCCAAGGTGAGTCTGGGAGCCTAGGAGGGTGTCAGTAAGAGCCATATGTCCGGTAGAGATGTCATTGCTTACCGATGCCATCGATGGGAATGCCCTGAGACAGCCACTTCTTGACAAGGCTGGCCATTCCCTGGGTCTTGCCATAGTTGGCAGAGTCGAGGCTAATAGTCAGTTAGTTTAAGACGTACTCGATGTTGACTGTGGGAACCAACTTGTAGTCGTTGATGTAGAGCTTGGCCGACGGGTCAACCGATCGGGCAGTCTCGAAGGCGATGCGAACAAAGTCTTCTCCCAGTACATTGGAGAAAACGCTGGAACGCAGGGTGCCGTCCTCGTTGAGGATCTCGTTGACCACATCCTGAATTTGTTAGTCAATATATGAGGAAATAAGGAGGTGCAGAACTATACCCAAGCATAGATCTTGCCCTTGTAGCGGCCCATGACGTTGGTGATGTGGCTCTGCAAGACCGATGTCAAGGTGTCTTTGTCGGTGATACCTTGAACCCAGGATGGGAGCTGGGAGTGCCAGACTGAGCCAGTCAGTGCATGTCCGGTCAAGCTTCATATCAAGCGAGAGCTTTGAGACTTACCCAAAGTATGGCCACGGATCTTCTTGTTGTTCGACGTAGCATAGTCAACCTAATACAATCAGCACACTTTTCCTCTGAGTTTTGTTATACTGCCAGTACTCACAAGGTAGTCGGATCCACCAAAGTTGAAGCTGCCTTGGGATGCTAGTGACAATGATAGTTAGAAGACGACATCAGAGGATAGACACAGCATCAGTAAACTTACGCTCGGTAGCATCCCACTTCATGCTATTCTCCGGAGTAAGTTGGCCGAAATCAGCCTGGACAATGGCCGAGGTAGCGCCGTTCGACAAAGTGCCTTGGTCACCACAGGTACCGAAGTACTTCTTGCCGTGGCCAACAAAGGCATCGTTGACGCTCGCAGAAGCCTGGCGACTGCCGATAACAGAGGCCGAGGAGAGCGAGGCGAGGAAGGCAATCCTCGCGAGAATCAAAGCAAGAACCATGTTGAGGAATTGAGTTGAATTGAACTGTGTAGGATATTGTCTGGCTTGGAGAATTGTCGAGTTCACCAGAGAGCTAACAGAGCTCCTTTATATACACGCGGTCTGGAATAAACCTGTCAACAAGGTCCGGCAAAGAATAGCCCTAAACCAAGGCACGGCCTCATCTAGACAGATTCCAGCTCCGCTTTTTACCCGGCGAGTCGATCACGAAACTAGGTAGGTTTCGATCAGGGGATGTCTGAAATTCCACGGCAATGTTTTGGACCCTGCGCGAGATTGGGTGGGTTTAGGCTGAAACTAGGGTCTGATGCCACGGTAAATGACATGGTCACGATGAGCCGAAATCATCCCAGGCTGTACGCTGAAGGCCCCTCGGCAACGGACCCTTGACTGTGAATATGCCTTAGTATGGTCAAGTGTATGCGGGGGTGGCTTGAGGAACAGGCTTGCAGATTACCCATTTCTGGCTGTTTTGGCGTTTTTTTGGCGTAAAATAGCTAGATGCTTCTAGAGACAACCGTGGCCCTAAACGAGGAAAAGTATTGGGCTCCCCTGCAAGGAATTAGCGTCGTCCTTAGCCCTTAGCGCTAAAATGCTGTGTGTGCGCCCTGCAGTCAAGCCCACACGTTAAGTGCTCTGCCGGGAACTGCTAAGAAAGTGACAATTCTACTGATAAACTGCAAGACCCTCTATAGCTAAAGCAACAACATGTTCAACTTCTACATTGGCTCCTCATGCCGAATTTATGTACATAACTTTATCTCAGCTGGAAGCGATATGATTGGTGATCTTCTTCGGAGCATTCAAATAACCTCCGAGCCATCATACGATACCTAAACCTCACGGTTCACCTCGATGCTGCATGCAAGAATATAGCCTGATCATGAAGTTATTACCTATAGAAACAAGGATGGTTGAAGGCCCATGGCCTGTTATCTCAAACGTGTCACATTGAAACAGACGATTCTTGGCGTCGGATTTGGCTACAGATCAAGCCAGTGATCTGCAGTGGTCTGAGCCCTGAATAGTTACATCCTTTGCTTGGCGCCCCGACTGAAGAAACACGGCCAACTTCTCCGCTTTCTTGGCAGTTTTGTCACCCTAGAAAGAGTAAATAGTGGCAACTATCCCTGTTGCTGCATACGATTTACCCGGGGTTGAATAACGCTGTCGCTGTATCAGGAAAGACACCGGTGGATTACGATCATGCAGAAGTCTTCCAATTTGAAACGACATCACCATCAGCTCCGGTCTTGTTAGGGAAGTGAGCTGTGACGATCATGTCATTGAATTGGGCGTGTGACTTGAGAAGCATCTTTTAAACATGCCCATGGAGCTCGCTCTCTCTTGTCCACGGACAATAATCAAGATTCAAGAAGATTAAAGAGTGAGGCGACTCTCTCAACTTCCACTTGTTGAAAACACCAAGAACCTATCTGTGCTTCCGTTGTTGCACCAGTCAACAATGATCTCCCTCCTGTCCACCGTCTTAGCCCTAGGCTTCCTAAGCTCAGCCAACGCCGCGTCGTCCTCCGGCTGCGGCAAGCAGCCCACTCTCACCAATGGTGTGCACAATATCAACGACCGCGAGTACATTCTCAAAATACCCGACAACTACGACTCAAATAACCCATACCACCTCATCTTCGGCCTTCACTGGCTGAGTGGAAACATGAACAACGTCGCCAACGGCGACAGCATCCAACCCTGGTACGGTCTCGAAAGTCGCGCCCAGGGTAGTGCGATCCTGGTAGCTCCCAACGGCAGAAACGCCGGCTGGGCCAACGTCAACGGCGAGGATGTTGCGTTCATTGACGCTATCATCGAGCAGGTTGAGAATGACCTCTGTGTAGACCAGAGCTCGCGCTTCGCAACGGGTTTCAGTTATGGTGGTGGGATGAGCTATGCGCTCGCTTGTGCGCGAGGCAAGGAGTTCAGGGCTGTGAGTGTGTTGAGTGGTGGTCTGATCAGTGGTTGTGATGGTGGTTATGATCCTGTTGCGTATCTTGGTATTCATGGGATCAATGATCCGGTGCTACCTTTCGACGGGGGCGTGAATTTGTTGAACAAGTTTGTTGAGAATAATCACTGCCAGCCGGCAGATGTTGGCCGGCCTGCATCTTCGAGTGGTGGTTCTGTGAGGACGGACTTCGAGGGCTGCTCGAAGCCAGTGTCGTTCATTGCGTATGATGGCGGACATGATGGTGCGCCCTTGGGGGTTGATAGTTCTCTCGCTCCGGATGCGACCTGGGAATTTTTCATGAATGCTTGAAGTTTGGCTAGCGTTTGAGGGTATGAGGACTTAGCATCGAGCCCTGGCTGCATGTAGCATGAGATATCACTAGTACATGCACCACTTAGGTACTACAGGGGTCATGGCCAATATATGGGGTTTTTATAGCACCTTCCCGCTTACAAGGATGCACGTTCAGGATCCGTCCTGGCAGATTCGGCATAAAATGGAAGGGAAGGTCCGATAACGGCCATCCATTGGCTATCGACTGAAGCACCCTGCCTGATGTTGGAATTCTGACATAGGGCCCCAGTTGGGCCCCCGTACTCCTTGTGCATACAAATAGGAACGGTTTTATCAATATTGACTGTGGAGAACGTATCAAATAAATGTTTGCTTTGGAACTCAGTTCTCGTATGTATCCTTGTCCACGGGACCAGGCGATCAGAAAAGAACCAGGCAGCGAATCTATATGACCAAACAGTCTCTTGTCATCTCCGAGCTTACAAGGCACTGTATCGTTTGGAAGTGATTCTGGAACAATCTTGCAATACTATGAGCACTGCAGTTTCACTGCACAATCACTACGGAGTACACAAAGAAATGATTGCAGTTGGTCAAACACTCCTAGCACACCTGGGCATAGCTATGGTATATAAACTCCTCAGTCATTTGACACATTCTAGGTACCTAGATATTCCATACAACATTCACAGCTATGGCACCCAGCTTGCTTAGCCTCCCCAGAGAGCTCCGTATTGAGATATTCAAATATCTCCTAGTGCAAAGAGAGCCTGTTGAGGTCGTGAACGTGCGGAACCCTCATCGGCTAGAGCGCAATATTCTCTACACGAACAAGCTGTTTCTTGTGGAGGGTAGGCCACTACTCTATGGTCACAACCGCTTTCACTTTGGCCGGCGCAATTCTAATCTGCTCATCACCAAGTTCCTTGATGCTATTGGTTCTATCAACGCACCTTACCTCCGGAATATATATATGGACTTCCCCGAAGTCCGCGAGATTGAAGGCGAAGTCAGTCTGGTGGATGTTGACCTTCATGTTCTCGAGATAATCCAGTCAAAATGCACCAATCTTCAGACGCTCACCACAACTGTCGAAACCACCACTAATATGGAAGCTTGGCTCAATTACTTTGGCAGCCCCAATTGCTTTGGCAGGCCTATACTCGACAAGACCCTTGATTTGATTGCTGCTCATTTCAGGGCTATTCCATCTCTTCCAAAGATCATTCTCGAGGTCTACGAGGGACGTCCCACTCCCAGAGAGCCCAGCCTGGACATCAGGGAAAAAATGGAAAGTCTTGGTTGGACACTCGAGGTGGTGCCCGGGAGCTACTGTGTTGCGTCCTATTACGACAGAATGCCTATGAGAGATCTTGGGCCTGGAATGATATTCTACAGGTGGTGGTAGGTCCACATGCCGTAACATGCTGCCTCTGTCAGTGGTGTTTAAGAAGCGGAGTCGGATAACAAGACCTTGAGCGCAGCTCGCGACATGATTACAAAAATGGCGATTATGAAGGTTACTGTTACGAACTTCCGTATCGACAACGATATTGACTCTTGGAGACGGGCAGCATATTAAGAATAAGGACAGCCATGCTAGAAGTACCTACGACTTCGGGCACCGTTTCAGGCTATCCAGGACTCTGGCAAAGCCGCGCTCTCAACGAAAGTAGAATTTTGCTCAACTTGAATGTTACTGCTAGTCCTTGAGAATGATCAATCAATGGGATCTAGATAGACTGGAATGTGATGAATGTAGTCTAATACCTATGAACACCGAAGCTTGACATATCAATCAACGGTATCGGACATCATTGCAAATATGCAATCTGGCTGTGAATGCATTGCTGCACATCAAGGAGCTGAATTACACCATAGTTATGGCTAAGACTAGAAAATAAAAAGTGGGCTGTAAGTATTACGGGGGATATTAGAAACAAGCTAAGTAATATTTGCAAGAGAAATCGATGGATGCTAGGAAAACTCCCAGGCCTACTTCAGCAAAGAGCTTGGGGAAACCGAGGCAGTGTCGCATGTAGACTGCTCTTCCATGTGTGTACCGAGTCTTTCATTTTTGGGGCATTGTCTTCGAGAGGCTTTCGGCCATAGGTAGGACTAGTCGCTCTCGATAATCTCGCGGAACCATGGATCATTCAAGATTTCCGCAGGCGAGGGTCTATTCGCTGGATCATATTGCAAAATCCTTCGAATGATCGCCTTCACTTTGAAGGCTTCCTCCTCATCAAGATCCGGGTATGTCTGATCAAATGACTCTTCCATGGACGTCTGTTCCACCATAAGCGGTTCCGCTCCGGGAGCAACTCCCCCGATTTGACTATTAAAGAGCTTCCTCTCGGGAGTAAAGTAGAGCGACGAGGTCTTCCAATGGTTCAATAACTCGTCAGGGAGGGCGCCGAGACTGGCAGTGAGGTAGAGAAGATGATCGTCATCTGCAAACTTGGACGATGGTATACAGAAGAGCGGCTCCCCGGTTATAAGCTCAAAGATAAGACAACCGAAACTCCAGACATCAACAGTATTACCAACGGCTCCGGTAAGAATCAACTCAGGAGCTCGAAGTCCGAGTGGAGTAATGGGCTTTGTTGGGGGTCCGGTAAAGAAGTACGCTGTTCAGTATAGATTAGTATAAGCACAGATGTTCAACAAAGCAAACGAAATAGATAATGTAAATAGGAAGGACTAACCACCGCCCATATCCGATAATTTGACCTTAAATCCTTCAGCATAGCAGGTGAAAGGCACTAGCGGCTGCGCAACGCAGAGATATCGAGGAGCACATTCATCATGTTTACCATCCAGTCTCTGTACCGGGGGCGAGATTGACCGGGCTTGCACATCTTCCTCCTGTTGGAGTACATCCTCAGGGATCGAGTCGATATCGTTAATAGTGAAGAGTATATTTCCTGGCTGGAAGTCTCCATGGGCGATACCATTTTCGTGGAGAAATGCAAGAGCCTGTAATGATTGCTTAAGGATACTCTTTGCCATCCAGATTGGATAGCGGACCTTCATTCCAAATTTGCGAGGTTTGAACTGTGGCAGCTCCTCAACCATAGTATTCACACTTGGACCCATAGGCTCAAATACCAGGCACTTGTGGACACCATTAGGGCCGCGATGGTCGAACTCGTCTAACGGTTGGGTGATATGCCGGGTCCCTTCCTCCGGTGCGACTTCAGCGATATGGCGCAAGATTCGTAGCTCGGTCGTCGATCCCGACGTTTCTGACACAAGGATCTTCAGGGCGACATATCCACAACTTCTTAAATGAAATCAGTAATGATATTCTATGGTCCCTTAGTTCAGAAACAGCACAAGCCGAACTTACTTCATATCACAGGCGAGCCAAACCGTTGAGTAGGAGCCTTGGCCGAGCTTCCGGATGACCTTGTACTGGCCGTTGAAGACGTCGCCGAGAACGACTGGATGATAACCACCTGGGCGGTAATCCTCCACATATTCACAGGGGAGTAATAGTCTTGAACCTTCGTTTGTCGTCTACTGAGACCATCGGTGGGATAGGGGGAGGCGAGGTAGTCATGGCTGCGACGAAGTGGCGGCCGAGAATTGTCGAGTGGGCCAGTGGTAGTCCCCAACGGGCATATCGACGGATCAACAGCGTCAGACTTATGGGATACGGGCCTTGATTAACGGTGTTTCGGATTCCTTACTCTGGTCCTGTTACTCCTGTACACTCTGGGGTTTAGGCTATGGCTTTCGCATTCTGAGCTCTGAGTGTTAGGACTGCCCTCCCCAGACACGCCTGGCAGCCCGTGGACGGGCTTTCAAGAATCCTGGGGGCGCTTAGCGGTGGGGTAAACGCGGCTCTAGGCATTTTGCTGGACATTTTTTACCTGTAAACACTCAGATCGTCTGCAGATCGCATTGATATTGAAAACATGGGGACCAGTGTGATTCGTTCATTCCCACTCGATAACGAAGCGAAGTGCTGAGAGATGGCCGGATGCTCCTTCGCGCTTCCGCCACCTGCATACCTCCAGGGATCAGGGACCTGTGAGTTGGCTCTGGGACTGTATACGAGTCAGGAACGGCGGTGTGCAGTCAACAATTAAATATCAGTGGTTGATTGCAAAATAGCCTAGGGCTAATGCAGGCTCGAGCATAGGCGCCCGGAAATTGCGATGCAGGTAAAATCATAGCAGGCTGAAACGATCGAGCTGCAGGCTCCAATTTCCAGCGCACCGGAGGGAATGTGATTGGACAAAGACCCCAGCAATGTTGGTCGATGCCTTGCGTTGGCAGAGCCTCATTGACTAGAAAAAGACCCGAGTTTCCCTTCCCATCGGCCTCCTACATTCAGCATGGCTACCAAACTCCAGGACCACATCGATGCCCTCCACTCCCTGCCACTGGCAGAGGCTATTCGTGCAATCGCCGATCTGATGCCCGGTCTAACAAGTGTCCCTCCTCCAGAGGCAGGCTACTTCGTCCAACACCCCGATTACGAAGGAATAGGCAATCTAAACAACATCGGCGGTCTCTGGTTAAGACTCGGATCGCAATGTCACGATGACCACGCGCCCCTTGATGTGCGCCTTGTTCATCAGTCACTTGATCGCCCGATTTACGATATTTATTGCTCTAGCGACGAGATGTTAGGCAAGGCACTCGATGAGAAGACGGTGTCATATCCTGTTCCCAATGAGGATGCTGGTTGTGCATGTTGCAGGGGCGAGCCGAGTGCGACTATTCTGTGCAATTTCCATGAACGTGAGGCTCTGTATTTCACCCCTGAGGAATACACTGAGCTGTGGGGAGATCAGCCCAATCATGGATCGCGCCATAGTGGCTGGAAAGAAGGTGAAGGATATACCGAGCACCGAATATGTGCGAGCAGGGAGCAGGTTGAGGAGGCTTTGGCACGAACCTCGGGCGATGGGGTTGGCGTTCAGCGTATGACCTAAGAAATACAAAGGGGAATATGTCGGTTGGGTCACAGTTGACAGTGGTTATATGGCTAGGTTATCCTCGAGATGAATAAGTCCATTGGATATTCTGTTAATGATTTCGCATCGGCTGGTATGTACAGACAAATCAACAATATTGCAAAGAAGGGGCGCTCGGTTCGATAACAATGTCCGCCGCCCAACTCCTCCGATATAACTATGCCCGTGTGCAAATGTAAGAACGAAATCCGCTTCGTTGGGTTCGGTCCGGTCCCTCTGGAGCGTTCGTTCAAAAGTGAGAAGCGGCCCCGCTAAGCCGGTTGGGATTACTAGTCGCTGCGAGGTCGCTTTCGGGGGTTGGTAGCCCGGCGACCCAGAGACTCCGCCCGGGTGGGAATGGAGTCTTCGACCCACTGGAGATACTGGACAAAGTCATAGTAGTTGTCAAAATCCAGGTGGGTCTTGTCGGCCTCGTTGCGAACCCTGTTCATCAGATGCTCAAAGAGATGGCGCATGCGATCGCGTTCCGTGTCCTGATTGGGGAAGTGCGGGGGCCACTGCTGCATCCAGTTGGAGAAATCAGTCACCGATTGCGCCGGTCGCTGGTAGCTATCCATATAGCGAGCCCTGGCAACCTCCGGGTATACACCGGCCTGAAGCTTTTCAATAAGGAAAGTGCAGAAAGCGCCGTATGTGACCTTGTCGGCCTGCAAGTGACGTATGTGTCGCTTCCACTCCTCCTCGATATTAAGGGCAACGTGCTTAAGCGCCCGGTTGACCTTGCGTTCTTCGATCATATACCACTCGGGGTATCTGTCGAAATGTCGTTCTAGGCCCATAGAGAAGTTCTTAAACTCTCCCAACGCTCGTCCGTGGTATACCGGAACATTGGGCACCGGTGGGGGTTGAACTGACGAGTCGGGATGGGAAGGCCGTGTGGGAGCGAGACTAGAAGAACAGGATTCGGTTTTGGTGACTGGCCCTCCAGCCGGGGACCTGCTTGCTGCGGCAAGGGCTCGCAGTTGTTCGATGTTCAACCCGGGGATGTATGCGGCCTTAGATAGACTGTCGGACTCAGCTGACTTCAACTGCTTAGTCTCGACATGATCAGATGCAGTTGGTATTGGGGAAGCAGTAAGCAGCTCGGATCGGGCGGCGCTCTTCTGTTGGGCTCCATCGATACCAGTCTCATTCTGTTTTCGCTCCGTTTTGAATGGAGTTGAGATGGGAGTCACAGAGCCATCTCGTGTGACAGCTGCAAGCCGACTGCGGGCGAGTTCCAGTGCTCTCTGTTCCTCGGCAACCTTTTGCTTGATATCAATGAGCTCACGTTGCCTTTTCAGTTTCAATAGTTGAGCTTGTGCTTCACGGATCTCGGCTTCCAGGTCCTCGGCGCCGACAGACCCAGAATTGGAATCCTGAAACACATCATTCAGACTGTCCCATTGCTCTCGAATGCGGTTCGCGTTCGTTTCAGAGCCAGTATTGGTTGCTGGCTCCGCCATGGTTGGTGATTTTGATTTTTTTAATCCCTGTTTGTTTGGAGATAAGATAATTGTCCGGATAAAGGAACACCCGGCTCCGTGAAGAACCTGTCACGTGGTACAACTCCCGAGGTCCATAGTACTGTGTATGATAGTGCGGGTGAAGTGAGAATTCACTGCCGTAGGGATGGCAGTTTCTGAGTTTACCGTACTAGATCCCTGTAAAAGTAAGAAACCGTCGGTAAAGATTTTTTTTCTTTGATTCTACCTTACTCTTTACACTGTGAGCTTACTGTGTACAGTACGGAGTAGGTAGTCATCACAAAACGGACCAATCATATGTAGCATTTATCCATCCGCAATACACGCTGCTACAGCGCAAGCTGCCACCACGGAAAAAGGCCAGCACTAGAGAATTGGTCCGGTCAGTGACCAGTGTCACTATCAAGCGAGAGTCAGTCACGTGTCAGTTCGCGCAAGGGCGTACGCAGTACGTACTAAGTACATAGTAGGGGTCCGATAATGCGGGATCCGTGAAGAGATGGATGAGCGGTGTGCGGAGGATAGATAAAGCGGGATCAGTCGTCACGTGCGAGGCTTTGTGGGTCCAAACCATTCACAGTAAAAACGTCGGTGGAGTGAGCCGACGTGAGACAACACGGATGCATGGTGATGAAGAATTGAGTCTATGTCCTGCGCAGGAAAGGTACCGACAATGGGTTCGAAATTCTCATGAAGCCCACGTGCCAAAAAAAAACCGGCCCTCAGAAAACACCCCTTGATAAACTCATGCGCGGCATACACGCTGGGGTCGATGGGTTCGTCGGGGTCACGGTCCGGGGGGTCCATCACCAAGTCTCACGTGCTGTGTTGACAAAGTTCGGAGGGGCGGAGGAACAGTTAATCCGGAAGAAATGAAGTTAATCCGAAGAGATTGAGGTTAATCCGAAGGGAATGAAGTTAATCCGAAGGGTATGAAGTTAATCCGAAGGGTATGAAGTTAATCCGAAGGGAATGAAACATTTCATCCCATCGATGCGGTGAGAGATGGGCTGAGAGGCAGAATAATGACAACAAAGACGCTTGGTAGTTACCACTTCGGGTCTCGAGAATCTTAGAATATTGTCCATTCAAGATTATTCATTATAGTTAACTATACAATAAAGGTAAACCACATGTATTACCGTTACTCCTCCTATTTACCCGGTGAACCGATCAGACATATAAACTTCTGATCCGGGGTCTCGCGCAGCACATTTAGGACCAAATTCCAGACATTCAAATCATAAGCCTCACCAATGTGACCCACAGGATCGAAAGGACAAACGTCTTGAATCCAGCGATTCGTTACACCCTCCTCGTGAACAAAAGCCGTCTTTGCAGGAGTAACCAGCTCGTCGTACTTGGACGCAATGATGGTAACCCTATTCCCGGGCTGCACAATCGGCTTGCCATCATTCAACCGCTCAACAGCAGCGCCATCTGTACCGAGATCATCGCAGGCAGGGCAGCCCAAGGTATCCAGGATTTTACCGACAGCGTCACGCGACTTGTCGCCGAACAAGTAGGCGAGCTTGTAGAGGTTGGCGAAGGTAGTCCCGTTCGTGGGTGGTGCGATGGCCGCGATCTTGTCGACGAGGTGGGAGACGCCCTCGAATTTGGGCACGTACAGCGCTTGGAACGCGCCCTCTGAGTGGCCAACTAGGTCGACTTTGGATTTGCCGGTCTTTTGAAGGATGTCTTTGATGTAGGTCGCGATCTCCGGCGCGCTCTCGCTGATTGCGCGCAGACCGCCCAGCAAGGGGAACCCGTCATGCGCGCCGTAGGTGATGGCGTATGTGCAGTAGCCTTTGGTTTGTAGCCAGTATTGCATAAAGTTCAGGTCCTCGTAGTAGGTTGCACCCAGGCCATGTAGGAGGACGACTGGGTTGTGGTCGCTCTTGCAGGAGAAATCATTGATACCTGCTGGTGCTGCCAGGGCTGCGGTGGCCGCAAGAGCGGAGAGCGCCAACTTGGTGAAGGAAGGCATGATGATTTCAAGGTTCAATATACGGTTTGAGATGGGGTTCCCGTTTGCTTTTCAAGGTGTCCCATCGCTCTGAGGATTTTCATAAACCGACTCCTCCCCATCCTTTTGTTTCCATCCCCATTGCACTATCGATTGTTGATCGATCACATCGGAATGTGACTGGCTGGGCGGTGACAATATCCACTCTTGGCGGTCCGCAATCAATATATCAATCGCAGATCTCTCGCTAACAGCCAATCAGAGATAGTTATACAGCAGAGTTATGGATACATCATTTCAGCTTAATTTCAAATGCTGAGACATTTAGTGCGTAGATCGGCTTCTTGGGGCACTCCATGAGGGAACGGGAAGCCCGGGATCAACCCCTGGGTCAATCAATAGTACGCAGTACAGCGTAGTTAACGGAGGGAACCATCGCCTTGGCTTTTGGGGACACCTGAGAAATGAAGAACTCGAGTTCATCCAGCTCAAGATCCGAGCCCAGGACCTCGGTAAGCCGCCAAACGATAAACAGAGGTCTGATCTCAACTAAAAGGCCTAGGTCAGGACATTAGTTAAGTTATCGCTTAAAACTTCATCTGACGGGCCTCTGAACTGCAGAAAATGACAGCTGCGCCTGAGCGCAACTCTTATTTGATATTTGACAGGTCGCTAATTTAAAACACTAAAGTCATGGGCGCGTGGCTATGAAACATCCATGAACAGCAATACCAAGTACTCCGTATTTGCGGCCAAATTACTGAGTGCCCGTATTCTACGATGACGATGCTTTGGTCGATAGTTCTGGCATCGCACTACCCCAAAGCCCAAGAGCGTGTCGTCTTTCTACCAGGTGCAGCACTTCAACCATGAAACGGCGCTCGGGGCCTCCGTCTGGGAAAGCTTCCCACGCTACCCTAGTAGGGAACGCAAGACGATTAATCATGTTTCCTGGCGCAGTGAGAATATAGTATTCCAACGAGCGGCAGATCCCGCAGCCCAACTCGTACTGTTCCAGAGGTGACACCCCCCCCCTTGTGGCCGAGTATCGATGGAAGACAGGACTAATCGCATGGCGTAGTATAAACACACCGTTTGTGCCAGAAGCAGGTTAGGATATATGAATCGGGTCGGGGTGAAAGTAGCTCCAGTGCGGAGGTTGCGACATTGGAAAATTGGGAAACCTTGGTCGGCCTCTTGTTCGGCTTCCTGTGGCGGTCCATCCGGAGATGCGAGAACGAAGTCGTCATACCATTGATAAAACCGATCCGTAAGCTCACCTATGCCGTTCCAAAGCGTAGTCTGTTTGACGGCCATCTCTTGTGTGCCCATGACAGATGTGATCTGAGCCTTCTTGAAGGCATCGGATAGCCCTAACAAGCCTGGAATATCAACGGCCAGGTCGAGTAAATGGTGCAGAATATCCTTTCTGGTCGTTCCAGCGGACCATGGGATTGTTTTCCATTCTTCGCGGGCTAGGAACGAAGCTTGCCGGACAACAAGAGCACCGCAAACCTGCATCGTTAGAATGAGACAAGTCAAATTCGAAGGGCAGGTGAGCTTACCCAGTAGGGGCGGAGTTCCGTAAACAATAGATGCTCTACGCCGTACATGTGACTTTCAGGCCCACGATGCTCTATCAGGCGCACTGCGCCTCGAACATGGGCAGATACACCGCTCTGGGTGGTGCGTTCAACGCTCTGCTAGAGTCAGTACTTGCTAGCAGATAAACATGCTATCTTTCAGAGAACTTACCTCAAAAGCCAGCAAGAGAATCACAGTCACCAGTGTTGACTCGGCTTTGCATTTTTCAGGATCCACCAACGCATCTTGCAATGCACGCAGCACGCGAGGATAAAGTCGGAACCCAGATGCTTCAATCTGTTTGTTCTGTACCGAACGACCAAAGAAAGCTACCGAAACGGCCTCGAATGCATCCGAAATAAGTGGAGAAAACATTCGAATCTCAGCAGCAGCGCGCAATGCACCCGCTCTTCCGTGTTTCATGTCCACTTCGGGACTGAACGCGTCCACAAACCTTTCCACAAACACATCGGCCACTGGTCCCTGCATGCTCATTACCGAGATCGTGCCAGACGAGTCGGAGCTGCTCAGCGATATGTGTTCAAGGGCGCTATCATTACTCTCCTCGGATTGCGATCTATTGACCTCATCCGGAGAATTTAGTCGCCGACGGGTTCGGATTGATAGCGCCGACGAAGGGCGTGAATATTGATCGTAAGATTCATAAGCTAGGCATGTCTGTCAGCATGGGCTCCGAATCCATTGATATATAAGACTTACCCTCCCGGCCCTCCCACGGCCCTACAGGAACCAAGTCATTCTTGATGCTGACATGTGCGGTCCGTATCTCCCGGACGAGATCATCGACTACCGGGGTAGGCGCAGAGCGAATAGCGTCAAATAAGCTCTCAAGCTGGTCCAGCCGCCGAAGATCCTGGGCTTCAGACCCTGCACCTGCATCAGCAGTCGTTCCACATCTACATCCACATCCACGTGGCGCCGCACATTATCAAGTATAGAGTGGCGGGGCCTGCATACCATCTTTCCCATCATTTATCCTTGTTCGGAGTTCACGGATCTCCGCCCGCAGGTTCCGAATTTCCTCCGCTTGGCTGATGGGGCGAGCTTCGTCGTCGGAGACATGGTCATAAACGCATTTCGATGGGTAGCCATGGGCACAGCACGCGTGGCAGGGCTTTACTCGGTCACACTGACAGCAAGATCGACGTTAAACTTGGTAACTTGTGGATGGTACGTTACGACCGGTGGGACGCATCGAATGGTACGGGAGCGTGCCGACCCCGCGATCGGAGCACGGGGGGAGGGGGGCGGTTAACGCACCTTGACTTTGCGGAGCCTGCATACTTTGCAGGACCGCAATTGACGACTCGGAGCCTTCTTGGCTCGCGAGTCAGGAACAAGTTGGCGTAAATCACCCATGGAGACACAGCAAGGGGAGCTCGGATGGGGGTGAAAAGAAGGGAAGGGTCTCAGCTTGGGCCAACGGCACAGCTGGATTTAGGCGAGCCAGATTCCCGAGGTGAGAGTCCGAGATCTACCAGCTTGAGGGGTGGGCCATTTCGCTCTCGGACGATGTCAGTGCATATTGGCGTGGACTAGCCTGGCATTAGTTGATGTCTTGGGAGGTTATGATAGGCGAGTGGAAACGAGTGAGCGGAGTGACCCCGCCCACGCAATTGAGACCTCTATTGGGGGCATTTGATTGGACGTTGGCGGAGCTTCAACTGCAGAACACGACACGATTATGATTGACGAATTGAAGCTGAGGGCGGGGCCAGTACTAATGCCAGATTGTGTACTGTACATAGTTATTGGGAGATGCGGACGGTGTGCTACTGTAGTTATTACTGTGTACGTCTCATGCACCGGATTTTAGGCCGTGCGACATGGCTTTCTTTTTCCGAGTAGTATTCTGATCGACTATACACTTTTTTCAGCCTCGATCAACGAGCGGCTCTGTGGTGGCCTCTCCCAGCGGAAGCAATACTGCCCCATCTTCATTGCGATGAATCTTGACCGATGGCCAGTCACCCAGTTTGGCTTTCCATCCCAGGTTGTGCCCATCTCGAATGGTACATTGTAGTCGGGCGCTGTTGGTAGGTCCGGCCATGTAAATCGGTGTGGTGCATTGAGATACCTTTCCATATCCCTTTCAGATCTTCGTGTTGCTACCCATTCGCTCAAAAAGTTGCGAAACTTCGATACGTCTGAGTCCAGTTCGCGATTGACAATCCATTCCGAGATACTTTGTACCGTGTCTACATGTCGATCCCAGTGGGGGATACCCGAGAAGGATGTATCGTTCGTGATAACCTCGTAGAGTGTGAAGACAACACTAGTAACGTCATCTCGACCTTCGTATAGCCGTTTTTCCCCGGATGCAGCCCGGTCGAAGTCGAAGAGGACGATCTTATTTGTGCAAGGGTCGATCAGCAGATTTCGGGGAGCGATATCTTGGTGCATGATCCCTAGTTCTAGGTTGAGAAAATCCACAACTTGAGTAAGCTGTTGTAGCCACTCAAACCGGAAAAGGATCTTTGAATTGGCGAGAGTTCCACCTGGGATGTACTTCGTTGTGAACCCAATCACTCGGGACTCCTGGTCTTCAAGGACAACGTGATCGAATGATATTAAATTAGGATGTGGCGGTAGGCTCTTGAGAATGTTGAGTTCATCCCAGGCCATTTGCATTCTCAAGGGCTTGTTCAAGACGTTGAATTTGAACACAACCTTCTGGGGAACCCCGGATTCGTTTTCGTACGATACAAGATCAATGCACGGTCCAAGCCGGTCAAGCTCTTGGAGCTTAGAGTACTGAATTGTACGGCAATTGACCAGCGATTCACAGAGTGACAAAGGAAGATATGCAAGAAATGGAGTATCATCCTCTTCCGGGTCTGTCAGAACCCCGGTAAGGAGCCCATCGTCGTCGACTGTGATGGCGCGAACTTCCGGCGATAGATAATCGGCGAATCGCGCCAAAATCGGGAGCTCCCTATCCTCTTCGGGCGGGAATAGTTTGGCGGTGCCTTTGACCTTGATCATCCGAATTTGATCCCAGTCCCAGACGTTGCAATAAGTTTGGGTGGTGGGATTTTCGCGCGGGCCGCGGTAGTTCTGGCCTTCGGACCAGAATCTGTCTTGAGGGTTGATCATGGCAAAATGGAATTCCACGAGTGGTCTGTATAGAGTGCTTCCAATGTGAGAGCGACTACTTTCAACCTAGGGATGATTTTCGTTTTCCTTAGAGACATTGGGGCAGTGCGTTAGAACATGTGACCCGTATCGTGTACATGTAGCTATGCCGCATGCGAGCACTACAAATTGCCGTGGAGGGTCTCGATGAGTAAAGTTGACGGCGAAAATTCGAGGAGACAAAAGGGTACAAGACCGTGTAGAAGATACGGCCCTTGGGTCAATTACAATATAGGTATTGGATGACCAGGGCTTGTATTCAGACTTTCAATGTTCGTATCGACATAATACAACTCTACAAGACAATGGCGCAGGCATTCAGTTCCTTCGTGAATTCATAAACTCATTGATACTTATAGATTTGATCTACCTATGTCTTTTACATCTCCCCAATCAACCGAAAACAAACCGTCTTCGCGACATTCCCTCTCTTAGTAGCACGTTCCATCTCATAGAGCGCTCGATTAAGAGTCTCCATATCCCATGGATCAGAATTGGATTTCGCCCTTGGGGCAGTTCCCTCGGACTCGAAGGGCTCATCGGCCCCAGGCAGGATCGGTAATGTTGAAGGTGCTTTTGCAGGTTCGGCCATGTCTATCCGGTGTTGGAGATCATCACGGACGGCACTGGAAACCACTTTCTGCATTGAGATTCCGGCAATGACGTGCCGGAGATCGGGTGCAGCGGCGTGGGCTTCTTGTCGGATTTTGTTAAGAGAAAGTTCGTAGAGTCGATATGGTAATCGGTCGGAGTCAATGGTAGGGTTGTGGCTTGGTGCTGGACTGCCGACCAGAGTGACTCGCGAGTTTTGGAGCTGGCGTCCTCGTTTCACCTGAGGAATGTTTCTGGTGATCAATCTCGTGTATTGTGTTGTGGACATTATGGTGGATGGAGATTGATGCTGGTGATGTATAGTTGGGATTGCAGGTTGGGCTTTCGATAAATTGCACCACGAGTAATTGGGAAGATATATATGGGTGAATTGCTGGGATACGTATGTGGAAGAGGTATTAGATTATTTCAACGTCATCTGGCTATGTGAATCATACTACTCACGTTTTCTATATCTGCAATGGAGAAAATCGGGATGGATGGCGGCGGTGCGGGTGATGTTGGGAGAAGGTGGCGAGTTGGTGTCAGACCACCACAGATTGGCGATACCTTCAATATATGCTCCTGATTGATAATGATGATTACTGAGCGTTAGACTTAGCGAAGCAATAATAACGTGGAAATACGTGTTATTCACATATTGTGCATGTTGGTATAAACCACCCTCGAAGACCGGAAAGTATAACCGAATGTGGACATTCAACGGTCTACTGATAGACGTACGACAAATGCTCACAGCTAATCAGAATGAATCCGACTATTTTTGGCGAATTAATCCAGCTGTCCATCTGCCAATGGACTGTGGTGGCCTAGAGTCCATGGCATCGGAAAGGATGCCGACAGTTGTAGACACCATCGCTTGACACTCCCTACAACTGTTCCATTCCTGCATAGAAAACAAGCAATGATAGTTAAAAGAGTCGGGACTCGAACAATCAAGTTCTATCTTCTCCCAAATCATCGCAATGGACCTCCGACATGCTCATCCGACATCCGGATTACCCATCGTTGTTCCCACCGTCGGAACGCCCTGCCGATGTATGAAGACTTTGCACTCAACTTCCCCACCGTGAATCATGGCTTAGGACCCCGAGTTAATGTAAGCTCTTATCGCCATGACTCACTCTAAAAGGATATGAAAGGCGTCTTGTAGGATTTTCAATCTCACCAACTACATCTCCCGCCCGTCCGCTCATCGCCCCTAAGATCGAACATTTTGCGATGCAAAAGTCAGCCACTGACTCTATGCAAGGAGCAGCGCCAGAACCATGGCAATCCAACTCGTCCAGTGTTACTGATCTGCCCACGGGACATGGTACAAAATTCGACGATGAAGCGCCCCGGTCGGCGTTTTCGGTCGTCGAACCACCGCCCGAACTGTCGACCTTGACGACACATCTGACTGGCCATAGTGTAGATGTAGATGATGTCTTTCCCGATGGAGGGTTCCGCTCGTGGTGTGTTGTTGCCGGCTCATTTTGCCTCCTAATGGCTTCGTACGGAGTCATGAATAGTTCCGGAATCCTGCAGAGTTACTTACATACTCACCAGCTGGCGAGTTACTCTCCCAGTGCAGTCGGGTGGATTCCCGGCTTGTTCACTTTCTTTGGTCTGAGTGTCTCTGTCCAGGTTGGGCCTATGTTCGATCGATATGGTCCCAAGGGAATTCTCATTGCTGGAACTGCTCTCTATGTGACTGGTCTCATGGTTCTCGCGGAATCGTATCGCTACTGGCATTTCGTGCTAACCCTTGGCGTTCTCTCCGGCACCGGGGGTGCACTTCTCAGCACGGTGGCGCTGGCTAGTGTACCGCAATGGTTTGATCGAAATGCAGGCCTTGCCATCGGAATCTCCATGTCAGGAGCCGGTGTGGGTGGCGTGGTATTTCCATTCATGCTCAGAGCTGGCTTCACCAACCTCGGATTCAAGTGGACGATTCGATTGTTGGCCTTGGTGGCGCTGGTGCTATGTGCAGCGGGATTTGTTCTGGTCAAGGCTCGTCTGCCGAAGGGCAGAAGCAGGTCCACCATCAACTTGCGGTCTTTGAAAGATGCAAGGTTTACCTGGTTGACGTTGGGTATTTTCGGTAGGTCATTCGCTATCGTTGAAACTTGAGTAATGGTGAGAGGGACCAAGATGCTGACTTCAAATAGCTCTGGAGCTTGAAGTCTATGCTGGGCTGGGTCTTTACCCAACCTATGTGATCATGCAAGGTTTCTCGACCGATACCAGTGTTATCCTACTCGCTGTTCTGAACGTGTGAGTACCGCTTTTGCATTGCCTCTCAGGCCATTGTTGATCGATCTTCCACAGATTTTCCACGGTCGGACGCCTTCTGGCAGGAGGTATAGCTGATCGATACGGCAGAATCAACACTCAGGGCGCCCTTATCGTCCTGGGTGCATTGTCAGTGTTTGTCATCTGGCTACCATTTGGCGGAAACCTGGCAGGACTTTATGTCTTCTCCGTCATTTTCGGATTGGCCTCGGGGTCATTCTTAAGTCTTGCGCCAGCCTGTATCGGACAAATCTCAAGAGCCAGCGAGGTTGGTGGAAGATTCGGGCTCGCGTATTCCATTGTCAGCATTGCGTAAGTCATTCAATCCCCCCAAGTGATGAAATGGTCACTGATTATAATATAGCACCTTGATCTGTATCCCCATCGGTGGTGAGATGCTCGACAAAGTCGGGAAGAGAGCCATGGTGGCATACTTGGGAAGTGTGTTGATTGTCTCGCTTGGAATGTTCCTCATGGCAAGATGGGCCTGTTTGAGCTACCGATGGAGATGGCAGACGAAAATCTAGGATAATTGAACGTCCAGAAAGGGGACCTCTTGAGATGAGAGCTGGGATTCCATTTCATTGAATAATGACGCTAGACGAATAAACATGGCATGAATTTTTTAGCAGAATCGTCAGAATCTGCTTTTTTGGTTAGAATAGGATTGTTGATCGCAAACTAAGTCCGTGTATAAACTCCAGTCCTCAATCGCAAAGCCATCAGGACTGTCAATGAGTTGCTCGCCACGAGGCTAATTCTGCTCGCCGCCCTGGGCTTTCGAAAATTCGTCACTGCAACATGTCAGGATCCATCACATATTAACCAGATCAACAATGTCCTTACAGATGCTTGTCCAGTTCATCCATATGCTTCCGCTGCTCCTTCAACTTCAGTTTCAGACGCCGGACCCTACCCCCGCGTAAGTCGCATTGCAAAATCACCAACCATGATAGATCCAACTCACTTGTCCAACTCTTGCTGTCGAATGTACATGCCCTCATGCGCAGCCTCGCGTCGGGTAAAAGAGTCCTTCCTGGTCGCTAGTTAGAGATGACGTCATTCATTTTCGAAGCGGGTGGCATACTCGGTGGAGGTGAAGCCATGCGACTTCGGGGATCCCAGATCACCAGCGCCCATAGCCCTTGGGGAAGTAGAGAGAGTTCGGAGAAGAGCTGGATTGGTGGTTATGCGGAGAATGGGTCGGGAAATTGACTGCATAGCGAGGAAAGTGGATTCTGTCGATCAGTTATGGAACTTGGAAGATATGAGGATCCACCCAGCGATGGACTGTTTCTGCTGTGTCTTTGCTAAGACGTACGAGAAGTATACGAGATTGTATGAATGGTTTGTGTGAGAATCTGGAAGCTGTTGAGTGAAATTGACAGAAGACAAGTGGAAGATGTTCCGGAGAGATGCATGACGTCATGGCTTCATGCGAAGGCAAGTCAGGTGACTAGACTGCACCGAACAAACCCCAACGCGCAGAAATTCCTTCACCAGGTAAGGTGGCAGATCCTCGCTCATCTGCTCCTTGAACCGATCCCAGATCCGGATTCCGGCACACAATCGTCGGGTCTATAGGCACATCACCCATCGCGGACACAAACATCCGCCGAAGATGCTTGCCTGTTGGGAAGGCCACAGCATCTTTAAAGCACTTCACCAGTCATCGTGTCGATGGAGAATGCCTCGTTGGTAGCAGGCTTCCTGGAAGCCCGAGGTAGAGTACACAGTACCTTCGTACGATGATCCTCAAACCCAGACGAGAAGACTATAGGTATAGGCCAGGTCTAGTTAAATATAGGTGATACAGAGCCAAATCCTGGTGGGACATATCGTGGTACAGCAAGGTGAGGCAGACCGCGCAGCGTGGTCGGAAGTCCTTCCGTAGAATTATAGACTGAACATGTCATATTAAATCGTAACTTAGATCGCTCGTAACATATATTTACAACACATAGCGGAATCCCTTTTGCAACCGTCGGGCGGCGGCAATGTCGATACCCTCAACGTCGGCAGTAGCCTGGAGTCGGCGAATATCTTTCTCGGTAAGCTGGACATCCTCGTCCTCGAGACGCTCTTGGCGCTTGTTGAGCGAGCGCAGGTTGAAGTACAAGAAGAGCGCGCAAAGACCACCGACCACTTGCAGCGCCATGCAGGTACCCATCGAGGTTGGGTAAAAGGGCGCCTCAGACTCGATGTATGTGTATGGGGTCCAGATAGAAGCACTGTTACCAATGGAGTTGAAGAATGCGAATGCTACTTTTGTTAGTTTGAGGCCTGGAGGAGCGGAGTGAGCAGATAAGACTTACCAACAGCACGCTTGGCAGGCGGGCGGGGAATGGAGCTGGCGAGCCAGGAGTACAAAGTACCGTTCTGGGCAAAGACAAACATCATCAAGAAGAAAGAGAAGTATCTGGCCCCGAAATTCTCGACCTTCATGAAAATGACAAATCCGATGATGCTGACCGGGATTGGGTAGAAGAAGAACCAGAATCGCTTCTCGAACCTATCGGAGAGCATGGAGTGGCAGAGGGAATAAACAACCATGAAGAGGTAAGGAGGTGCCACCATTACAAGAGTGATGGTCGGGCTGTAGTTGAGGGTCTCAACTAAAGTTGGGAAGAAATTTTGGAAACCAGCGGCTCCCGTGATGCACATATAGGCCAAGGCGAAGACATAGGTCTTGATGTCGGCCATGGCGAGCTTGAAGCCCTTGACCTGGCTCTTGCCGCCGGCTTCATCCACATCGGCCTCACCGGCCTCGATGGCAAGACGTCGTTGGGCGACTTTGCGCATCTCCGGAGACAACGCCTTCCATGTCTCTGGGAAGTCGGGGAGAACGAGGCAGATAACCAGACCAATGGCAACGGTGATAGTACCTTCAATGATATAGAGCCACTGCCATGCTGAAATTCCGCGCTTGCCCTTTAGGCCGTTGAGGATACCAGCAGCGATGAGGTTTCCGAAAGCGCCACTGAGCAGGGAGCCAGAGTAAAAGATACTCATCCGGAAAGCCAATTCCTTCTTGGTGTACCACTTCGACAGGTAGAAAAGAATGGCACAGAAGAAGGGGGCCTCGACGAAACCAAGCAAGAATCGACAGGCAATGATACCTGCATAGTTTGTGACTTGACTTGTCAAGGTAGAGACCAGGCCCCAGGCGCAGACGAAGAATCCAATGTACAGGGATGGTCGGCCCATGTAGTTCAGAAGCATGTTCGAAGGAACTTGCATAAGAATATATCCCACGAACAGAATGGAGAGGCCGGTCTGATACATCGTAGCGTCGAGACTGAGATCTTCCTGGAGACCTTGGAGCTTCGCTGCAGCATAGTTGTTGCTATTTCCATCAGCATTGAGTATTCTAACGCTGGGACATTGACTGAAATGACTTACCGATCAATGTAGTTCATCAGATAAACGAGAATGGCCAGGGGCATGATCAAACAATCAATGCGCGTGCGCAGCTTCTTTTCAATGACCTTTTCCTCCTCGGACAACTCTGCAATATGGACAACCTCCTCATGGCTCATCTCCATCTTCATCCCCAACTCCGCGTCGGTGATGGCATTCTTCTTGGTGTCGGCCATGGCGTTCCCGTCAAACCACTAGATGAAAGGGAAATAGGATGATCGAACAAGAACCCCGGGGACAGCCATCATTTATGTCGTGCGGGGAGCGGCTGGGGCTATGTCACGTTACACGATACAAGGTCTGGTCTCTAGCGTAAAGACGGGGGTGATACTCCGTACATTGGTCCAGTCGTCATGAGCATCGCCTTTAGCCCGTGACTGTGTGGATTATGGGGAAAGTGTGGGGGAGCCAGTTGGTGTGGATCTGCACCAATCAATTTCCGGGGAAACAGTCCCAATGCGGAATTTTTACAGGGATACATCGTGCCCTGACCGTGGTAGACCCGTTTCATAGGGGAATGGGTTGGGGTGACCCCCACGGTGGAGGCAAACACTCAGCCTGATGTTGGGTGAGGTGGAAAGTGGGGAAATCAAGTCTGGGGTTTTACACCCCGAGTCTAGTCTTTCCCGCCAATATTGAGTTCTCGGGGTTTCTCTTGTTGTGCCCTTGTCCGTGATTCTGATATGGCGCCCTCGGACTAACTCCGCGATTCGGTTGTGGGACTCTCACTAGTAACTTTCTCTGTGCCTGCTCTTTGCTTTCTGCCCGAGGGAGGCGGTTGATCTGGTGCTTCCATTGTGAGCACGAAAACTTCTCGAGCTATGCGCGACGACTGTGTGGCAGACTCAACCAAGATTGAGATTGAATAGATTGAAAAGAATGTGTGGAAAGTAGGTTAATATAGGGATAGGATGGATCAAATACTGACTCGGGTCCCCAGGTTTGCGGGCGTTTGCCCCCGGTACGGGCTCCTTCCCCAGCTTATGCCGATCTCAAACCTTGTGCCCGGATAAAAACGGCATCCCCAGACGAGGCATCCCGTCCTGGCATCCCGTCCTATGTCTCGGCCAACACAAATTGTTAGCCTCCGTCACTCGCACTTACTCCGTGTCTACTACTCCGTAACAACCTTGTTAACCTTGGACCGGTGTAACTCCTAGCGTCAACAGTATTTCGGCCTGACCTCATACCACCGGACCTCCCTTTACCCTCGGCACACGGCAATTATCTACGAGCGACCGGTAATCCGTACGGTGTGTTATGCCAGTTGCTCCGTATGAAAGTACTCCGTAGTTGGATTTAAATGGCCACTACTGCCGCATAATTGCCATGTGGACTTTTAACGTTCCCGGGATGAAACTTAGGAACCCCTGACGTCACTGGGAGATATGGGGACCCCGAGAAAAAGTGTTACCACGTGATGCAATTAGTCATTTCTGTTTACATTTCCTTTTTTCCGTTCTCCGTTTTAGGTCGTTACGCGCACTGCTTTCACCGCTTTCACCGCTTCTCATTGTCAACCTTCACCCCTCTCCCTCACACGCGTTTCTTTGGCTCTACTTTATTTGCTATACGTCTTTATAAGAATGGATTCTCAGGATATCTTTTGCAGTTCTTGCCGTAGGAGCCGTGCAGTCGATGAGTTTCACGTCAACAAGCAAGGGAAGCGGAACAAAACTTGCCAGCGGCATTCGAAGAAACGTCCCTTGGAGGTCGATGACTGGGAGAATTTCATTCAGGTCCTTCGCAATTGGAATGAGCCAGTGAGTAATCTAATCTGACTACGCGAGTAACTTGGGGCTGATTACGCCTTGCTCATAGAACCAATCTGAAATACTGGACGGCACATACACATTTGCTCTAGATGCTCTACCGGTCAACTTTCGTTCTCTACGCGTCCAGGAAAATGCATTCCCTCGATCGGAGCTAAACACCACAATGCGGGATCTCATTGACATTATCCGGGACGAAGGAGGATTTCGGTTCACGCATCTGGCAACAAATGGCGCAGGCTCTTCATATACGTACCGCTGTTGCCAAGATGTGATGAGTATCAAAAAGTATGAATCTACACTGGAGCCAGAGAAGCGACGGGATGGTAAACGCATGGATCGAGTCCCATGCGAGAGCAGGCTCCGCATAGGCCCTTGTTTACAAAGTCGAACCCTCAGCCTTTCAATCCATTACAGATGGCATACGCCTTACGAGGATAACCACGTACCGCCAATTGTGCTGGAACTGATCAATGAACGCGGGTCAAGCAAGACTTCATCGGAGATACTGCGTGATATTCGAGCCGTTCCCGAGGCAAAAAATGTGACAAGACACCAAGTCTATTATCTCTGGAAGAAAGCAAATGCTGAGATACGGCAGCCAGACTCTGATCCCTTCGCCTCAGCTACAATGCTCCTTTCTGAAGACAGCAATTCTCAAAATCAATGATGAATTTTTAAAAAATTAATATGTAAAATAATCTTCAAAGGAGAGGAGAAAGACCAAGTCAACGCGCAGAACGCGCAGAACGGCTAACAAAATGGCAACACCAGAGCTTACAACTTCAATGGAATCACTCAGCCTTCTTGGATGCTTTGGTCCTCAATTTCATGAGAATAAATACCAAAGCATACGAGCTGCAAACAAAGAGAGCCACGATACCTGCGTCTCTCCAGCCATAGAAGTAGTCCTTGAGATTGAGAGTGAAGAGATAATCAGCGCCACGTGTGTACTCACACACGCGGCATCCAGAGGTAGCCTCGGGATTGATGAGGTTCATCCGACTGCCGATGCTCTGCATATAGTCGCTAAGATATTCACCGCAGGTCGTGCCATTGGGTGTATCGAACTTGGCAAATTCGACCTCCTTGCATTTGACCTCGCGGTCAAACAGAGTGAATACCAGCATGCTGCCCATGAGGTAGTTGAATGGGTTTAGCCAGTAGATCCAGTATCGCCAGAAGGTGACGATTTGGGCATAAGGGACGAGAACGCCGCAGAAGGAAATCAATGTCTAAGAAGGGCCACGTTAGAAAATGTTCCAAGAGGGATGTGGAAGAGAGGAACTTACGCCCAGTACGAGAGGATTCATCATGGCAGCCATATGGGCGTTGGGTGCATATGCAGCAACAAATTGTCCTTGAGTCTGATGTTAGTGGAGGCCAGGGAGAGTGTGGAGTGTGTTCGACAGTTGACTTACCAATCCCGGTATAGAGGAACTCATAGAGGAAGAACACAAAGAAGACGGAACCGCTCTTGGAAGACTCGACGGGCATCCCGCCTGTCCAATACCAACAGTTGAAGAAGAGGGCGGCACAGACAACCAGGTAAGGAAACTCCGAGATGACCAAGCCAATCGTAAATGCTTTCCATGAGTACATTTTGGCCTTCTTTTCGCGAGCCTCAAACAAATCTCGCCGCTCAATGAACGTCGGCTGCAATTGAGCGATCACGCCGGGAGCGACAAAGACTGCGTTGAACACAAAAAATAAAACATTCTGCAGGTCCGAGACAGAGGTCCCAATCATCCAGTAACTGAAACCGACGAACAAGCCATTCACGATATGGAGGGCAAACTTGTTGTTGATATAGTCGCAGTTTCGGTACAGGGCCAGTGAAGTACGTTTCAGGACCAACACCGTTTGCTCCCAAAGGGTGCAAGCAAACTCCCGACCATCACCAGTGACGGCTTGCGGCTTAGCAGCAGCCTCTTCAATGATATTGTCAAGCTCCTGAATCATGTCATTGTGTTCAGGCGACTCGAGCCAGAGCTGGCTCCAATCTCTGCCCTGACTGAGTTGGCCTGAAACTACATCAATCATATGTTCAGCAGGGTTGGTCTCGGGCGGGCATGGCGCCCCATGGCGCGAAAAATAGTCCTTGATCGCGGCGGCATTCTCTCCGATGGGACCAAAGTACACAGTCTTGCCGCCTTTGGCCAGAAGAAGAAGCTGATCGAACTCAGCGAAAAGTTGTGCAGATGGCTGATGAACGGTGACTAGAACAGCCTGTCCAGCATCTGCCAGTCGGCGAAGGAATCTGACAGTGTTGTAGGCGCTTTGGCCATCGAGACCACTGGTGGGCTCATCCAAGAAGATCAGGATACTGGGTTTGGCAACCAGTTCCACGCCAATGGTCACGCGCTTTCGCTGCTCGACACTCAATCCGGCGCCAACGCTACCAATCATGGTATCTGCAAGATCGTGAAGCTCAAGCAAGTCAATAATGACTTCCACGTAGGCGAGTTTCTCTTGACGTGGAGTGGTAGCAGGTTGACGTAGCAGGGCCGAAAACTCCAGCGCCTCCCGGACGGTCGCCATACGTTCATGGACATCCAGCTGTTCCACGTACCCTGCTGACCGCTGGAATGAGACGGGCAGCGGGCGGCCGTCGACCAGGATCGACCCGTTGATAGTACCCTCGGTTTTGCGCTGAGCGAGTACATCGAGCAGGGTGGTTTTACCGGCGCCAGAGGAACCCATCAGGGCACCGAGCATACCAGGCTTCACCCATCCGTGAACATTATCGAGGAGGACTTGGTCGCCGGTGGGTGTCTTGACAGTGTAGGTGAGATTTTTCCATGTGAAGACAGAGGTGTTACGAAGCAACTCGGTTTCAAGGTTAGTGCCCTCGTCCTTGGTGGCAGTGACAATCTTCTCGAGGGCCTGACCCTCCTCGTCCTTCCGCTGGTTGCGAACGTGCCTGTGTAAGTATTCACGGGGAATGACGAGCATGCTACCCGACTCGGAAGGAGACTTCCATCGCGAGGTTGCAACAATCGTGGCGAACACAAACAAAGCCCACCAGGCCCAGTTGATGCCGAGATTGCGCCATATGTGCGAATGACTGTAAGAGAAAGCTGCGAGGTAGTTGTCGCCGTTTACAAAGTTCTGGCCTTGAATTGCGCCGGCCACACCAGCGCAAGATTGAAAGGCTGGATTCTCATATCCCGGACCGCTGGGAATCAGATTGTTGCCGACACATGGAATTGCTTCTTTGCCGTGGAATTCCACACTCAGCAAGGTCTCAAATCCGTAAGCAAGGGGATCGATCCAGAAGATCCATCCAAGCCAAGGGTGCATTGAAGGCTTCGGAATCATGTAACCGGTGTACATAATAGTTGACATAATGAGCAGACCGGAAACTTTTGAGGCGCCATCAAAGGTGGAGAAGACAGCACCCACAGCTCGGAATAGCGCAGTCATAGCCTATTATTTGGTTAGTGGGATTATGACATGAGCTCGACAGAGACTTACCATCGTAGTGGTGAAAACCATGACCCAGTAGGTGAAGAACGCACCCGCGGACATCGTGAGCCCAACCATAAAGTAAATGACCGCACCGAAGATGGAGATTTGGAAGAGCAAGATAGGAATGTCTGCGGCGATTTGAGCAAGACAGAAGGCAGATGGGTGAAAGAAGGCAAAGCCCTTCTGCTTGATCAGCACACGTCTGCCATGGAACGATTCAACCACCTCACTCATGGCGAGCAAGGTGTTGTACAACAAGGAGAAGAATAAAGCTCCCGATTTGACAAAAAGACCAGCAGAATTGTCGGGAGCATCATAGAAGAGGGAACCGGCAATCAGGGCCTGTATAAGGGTCGCCACCTGCTTGATGATGAAAGTAGCTTTGTCCCCCCAGAGGATTTGGTATTGACGCTGCACACAGATCTTGACCTGGTCAAGGAAGCCGACGGTAAACGGGGTTTCTTTTGGGAGGCGATTGGACGCCTCCAACGCCACACCTTCCTTGAACTCGTCGGTGCGGCTGCGGGCGAGTTCAGACTCTGGGTAGGAGTATTCGCCAATCATGCTCGCATGGATTACGGAACTCTCATACCGAGTTCTGAGTGCTTCCGCGTTGCGCGGGAAGCGGTTCTCAAACCCGTCGCGGATTCTGCGCTCCGTGGGCACAGTGACACCGGTCAGGTAATCAGCGATGTTCGAGCCCTCGCGGCAAAGGAATCCGGCTTCTTCCATGAATGGCCTTGCTTCCTCTCTGGGACCGTAGAAAATCTGCTCGCCGTCATCAAGCACAAGTACCTTGTCGAACAGATCGTAAATTCCGTTGCCAGCCTGGTACAGAGTGACGATGGTCGATAAGTTCAGGGTGTCAGTCATGGCTCTGATAGCTTTCGTCCACTCCAGCGCAGTGGAAGCATCGAGACCACGAGTTGATTGATCCCAGCAGAACACGGACCCTCTAGTGGCCATACATTCTATGATGGACACTCGCTTCCGTTCACCGCCACTCACACCACGAACATACTCATTCCCCACTTTGGTGTCTGCGGTGTGCGAGATTCCAACGGATTCAAGGAGGAACTCCTTGAAAGCCTGTTGATATTCCGCGGGAGACATACCTTCCGGCAGATTGAATGGTACCTTTAGACGCGTCGCAAAGTCCATGGTCTCGCCAACTGTTAGGGTTGGGAAGAAGATCTCTTCCTCGGTGTTCATGACAATCTGGCCTCGGAAAGGTTCAGCCTCTTTAGGTGTCATGGATCCAAAGCGAACACTGCCCTCCACCGATTTGTATCCTCCTCGTCTGTTGGCAAGCATCTTCAACAAGGTCGTGCAGCCAGAACCAGGTCTGCCGAGGACAAGCAGCATTTCGCCAGGCTTCACGCATCCATGACTTTTGTTGAGGATTGTTCGCATTGGAGGATTTCGGCGGCCCTCTCGGATTCGTGTAGGGATGTTGAACTGCGAGACAACAGTCTCGCAGACGGCAGCCTCGGGGCTGATCACCTGGACGGAGAGATCCTGCCAGGTGACACCAAGCTGCTGCTTCTTGTAGCCAGCAGCCAGGCTGCGTTGCAAATACGCGTCGGGGGTTTTTTTTGACTCCTCCATGATGAAGCGAAAGAAAGATCAGTGAAAGGGTGTCGATATGGGAACCAGTCAATTCTTGAGGGCTCAGGGGAATTCCATCCTTTTATGATAACGCAGGAGGGGGCAAGCGGGCTTAGTAGAAATAAAGGCTCCGGAGATGAAAAGATGAAAAGGTGAAAAGATGAAAAGATGAAACAAATATTCATCCATTGGCAGCATCGGGAGCTCCACCAGGTGAACTATGTGCACCACGTGGATACTACCCCGAACGATGGATTTTCTATCGCCCCACTTGGACCTCAACAAGCCAATTGGAGGTGAAATCGGTGCCGTCAATTCCCGGGCCGAGCCGCTGAGTAAGCACCTTATCGATACTGACCTCAGGTTCCTCAGGGGCCCAGGGCCCTCAGAGGCAGCGCTCAGAGGCTCAGACAGTCAGACTATGTATATGTGTCACATGATCCAAAATTTCTGCCGAACTTTTGACGCGCTAAACCTAATCGGATAGCTCGCTGAGGGAATGAAACTTCCATTCCGGGAAGTGTGAGAAGTTTGATAGAGTTTGACAGACCTGTGCATGTAGCAATCGAATTGTCATGGGCTAGGCTTTCTTCGGCCTCATGTACGTACTCCGTAGTTTGTATGAAGAATAGACACATCCGATGGCGTTAAGATGACATGAAAAGTTCCGAGAGGGTCCCAAGGTTCAACTCCACCCAAATCTGTTGTTGGCCAATGAGAATAGCGTTCAGCCTTGATTCCGCTGATATAAGCGGGATGGTTGAGCACCGAGGTCCCGAGACCACTCACTCATCAACTGCCCAAGCTAGGTAGGTATCGCCTAATACGCAGGCTTACATGCGCATATCATCATGGAATATGTGCATGTGACATGTGTATCGGCAATGCGTTGAATAATCTCCCATTGCGAGAAACATTTTCCACGCCTTTTCTTCGTCGCGTGCTTGAGTGAAGGGCTTCCATGGAATCGGATGCTGAATAGCTAAGCTGCTAACAGTAACGCGCAGACTCACTCGGAAGTATCCGTATCTCCATCTAGTTCCGCTCGGCCTCGGGCTCGGGCTCGGGCTTAGATAGGCCCGATTTACCGAATCAACTTCCATGGCAGTTCCCACTGACCATGATATGACGGGCTAGGCCAAGGTGGAGTGCTCTTCATAGGTAGCACTGAGCCTCGCGCCGATCCTTAGATTGTGGCTGCGAGAAGCTTATGGTGACTCATTAGACCCCGCTAGGTGAAGGTCTCGCTCACTGTCCTGCTTTATCGTACCTTTGGCATTTTCTCTATCCACTGCCAGTACGCGTGACGTGATAATAAACTCCAGGGCAATTCCGAGGTTGAACGTGATTTCGCGCCGCGACTGAGTTGAGTGCATCGATGAAGGCAGTCCAAACTACTATGTATCCTGTTTCCTTGAGCCTGAAGGCGATAATGATATATGCTACTGTATCACATTTGCGATCCCGATATACCGTGCAGCATATGGTATCCAGGAAGGAACTCTGCGGGAGAAACAGTCAATATTGTGAGTCTGTGGAAGGTAATCGATGTGTTAAGATAGCATATTAATTGTCAATCCCGAGTGCTGCCGCGCAGGTTATGATCTGAATCCCATGCATGGGAAAAGCTGGAAGGCAGCTTTAGGTATTCCATGCAATGTTCTAACGAAATCCCCCCCGTTTCCAAGGTTGTAGTCAGGCAAATGACATATTTCTTGTCTAGGTATCAGTGTCATTCCCTACACAATGACTCACTCCGACTTAGCATCAAGTCTCTGGCTAGCGATTTTATGAGACAACTCCAGCATCGACCTCGCCAGAATCTCCAGAATGGGAACAGTACAACCCATCGACTTTGATACCCAGTTGCGCAACTCCACAGCCACATGAGAGTCAACTCCATATTCTGATACCGGATTGGAAGGGTTGATATTCTCGACTGGAATAGAGAGATGAGAGGCAATCTTCTTGGTGAGTGCGTCGCAGATGATGACCGTCGCTTGATCCACCATTTTCGCGGCATCCAGTTCATTCTTCAATTCTTCTGCCGAGTCGCCGAGCCCAGCAGATTTCCCATGGCTCTGGAATCGGTACCGGAAATGAGAGAACATGGGCGCATCAAAGTTCCCCAGTGATTCAAACTCTCTCCATTGCCCGAGCCCAGTGATCAGTTGTGCTTCTGCGCTTGGTGGCTGAGAGATTGCGACTTGGATCAGCGACAGAAGAGTTGGTGTATCTGTTCCTTGGAATCCTTGTCGTTCCATCTTCGCTGCTAACTCCTTGTTCTCTGCTAGGTAGCCAACATCCGTGATCGGCCCAAGATCCAAGGAGACGGCTGGAAGACCTAAGCCGCGTCTATACGCGGCGAATGAGTCCATGAAAGCGCATCCGGCCGCATAGGCAGCTTGCGTCGGGTTTCCAATAACACCGCTGATAGAGGATAACATGAGGAAAAAGTCGAGATTGTTGGGCAAATGTCGGTGTAAGTTCCAGGTCCCGTTGTACTTAGGGCCCATGACATTCCGATAGTCGTCCAACTCCATGTGTTCAATGTGGAGGTCCTTGAGGACCATCGCTGCCTGTATTAGTCCCCTTATTGGAGGCGCACAATGTGAAACATCATCGAGTATTCGTCCGACTTCTTCCTCGTCGCAAATGTCACATGCTCGAGCAATGACCCGGACGCCTTTCTCCGTGAGTTCTTTCACCGTCATCTGTGATTCAACTCTTGATAGACTGCTTCGATTGACTAAGATCAAGCTCTTTGCTCCGTTGCGCGCCATCCACAATGCTACTTCTCTTCCAATTCCGCCAAGTCCTCCGACCAACATATAGGAACCATCTGCGCGGAACAATGGCTGGGTCGCTTTGGGGAGGTTGGCCTAGAGTCGTTAGTTGCAGGCATGTGGGTCCCAAGGGGTAACTTAGGCTGTACATCAACCAGATCGTTGGCCTGCGCCAAAACCACCACATGTTGCAGGGTTGGAAGTGCCTCCACTGCCTCTTGAACACGTGAGATGTCGTAAACATCGCTAGAGATAGGCCCTTTGAGCCGTCGTTCCTGGAACAACCGGGAAACAATCGGCCATATCTGGTTAGCTAGATGACTCTTCTCTTTCAAGAGCTCGAGGATATTGAAAGTGGATATCGACATATTTTGAGGGCAGCACAGCCCTGGAGATTTGAAGGCTGTGGTTCGGAGTTGAATGAATCGTCCGAATTGAGCTGTGCAGCTCTGGAGTATCCGGTCATCTCCAGTCTCGAATGCGATTACAGCGTTCGCTTTTTTGCCATCCGTCAATCGTGCGATACCCTTGACAACATCGTCCTTCCCCTCCACGAAGACGTGTTCCCCCGTCATTCCAAATCTCGATATCAGCGACTCCTTTTGACGGACGTTTTGCACTGTTGCGAAAAGCTGAGCTTCGCCAAGCGAGACAATTTCCACAATTGCCTGGCCAAAATGACTGCCGGCGTCATGGACGAGGACTGCCTCATTGAGTGCTATGAGTGACAGGTGAGTCACAACATAATAGGCTACCGTATATGCTACAGGTATAGCCGAAGCCAGTTCCAATGACATTGTGTCATCGATTCGTCGGAAGGCCGATGCATGATCGTGATAGAAGCTTCTTGCGGTGCCAGTTCCTAGACACGCGACTCGGTCGCCTATGCTGATGTCGTGAACCCCAGCGCCAACCTCGTACACCACTCCACTGCACTCAAGACCAAGAGTGTCGTCTGTATCCCAGTCAAGCTGGTCGGCCTGCATTTCCCATCCATGCAGGCCAAAACAGTGTATTTTGATCCCGATATAGCCTGCTGGGAGCTCTGACACCTGTGAGTCACTGACGAAACCGGGGTTACCGAATTTCCTCGAGAGCCGAAGGGGTTGTTCAAGGCTGTGGAATGGCTGCTTGGACACAACTTCAGTATCAAGGATGCTATCCATGAGAGTGTTTGCTGGCAGGTCTTCTAGGACTCGTGGAATGAAGATCTTCCCCCTCCGCTCCGCATATTCCGTGTCTTCATCTGGATATCCATGGAGGAATCGAGTGGCGAGGAAATGTGCAATCATCTCAGCGGCCTCAGAATCCGAAAGAGGATGTTTAGCATCCAGATCAAGTGTGACAATCGGGTTGACACCTGACTCGGCGCGCGCTGTTCTTGCAAATCCAACAGCTAACCCAGCTGCCGGATTGACTGGTTCAATTGTTCCTCCTCGTGTTACCCATAGAACCCCAGCACTATGCATGAACATGTTCTTGATTGTGCGGAATCGCGTCTCATCTGGGGCGGCCAGCTGGGAGGTTTTTGAAGTATCCAAGACCACGCAAATATGATCCTTGCACTCCACACTATTGAGTGTCACATGCACCTCACATGCAGTCTTCTTGAGCTCAGTGACGAGATGAGTGCTGATTCTGGCTCCCTCTTCGCATACGATAGAGATCTTCCCTGTCAACATTCCGAGTTCTCGGCTTTTGGCCACGATGAACTGATGGCTCTTTTCGGAGCCTTCCTCCACGAAGGCGTCAATTTCGGTGAATTGTGCATCTCGCAGGATCTCATCCCATTGACCCTCGGTCCAATTACCTTGGCCCAAACAGAACCCATCCGCGGACAAGCAGTGCAGAGCACTGAACAGGAGATTTTTCAGCACATTCTTCTTCGGGTCGAAAGGGTTGACTGCAATCAAGTAGCCGGATGGCTTCAGTAGACCATGAATTTTGCTAAGCGCATTTTGCTCACAGCGTGCTGTGCACAATCCATGGGGGAGTACTATGACGTCGTATGAGTTTTTCTCGAATCCCTGTGAAGGGAAATTCTTGCCAAGATCCAGGGGCTTGCAATCAACCCATTCTGACCACGCCTCCAGCCGCTTCGCAGTATGCTCAAGTACAGAGGCGCTTTCATGGGCGAACGTATACTTGCCACAATGGGGCGTTTCATTGAAGGTCACAAGATGCTTCAGCAATATTTCCGCTACCTGACCAGTTCCGACGCCAAATTCGAGAATGGATATATCTGGCTTTTTGTGGCCGATCAGGTTTATATATCTTGCCGCTGCTTGGTATGAAGTGTCTGCAGAAAAGATATCCCAGAACTCATCCAAGAGGCGATCGTCTTTGATGACGGTTGAGAAATCCACCTGATTTCGGATAATTGCCGAAAGGTTCTGGCCGATGGCATTCAGTAGTCCTCCCACCGGGGTGCGATCAATGTTCTCCAAGTCTGATGTTGATGCCGAACTTGTCGCATCGCATCTCTCAAGAACATCCTGGAGATAACAGCGGAACCTGCGGTGAGAAATGTCAAGTCCCATTGCCTCTTTGGTGCTGACCTCATCCAGTGCGGCTCTGATGAAACCGAGTGCACTCTCCTCGTACCCCGGTCGGGGTACCGGCTGCTGCTGGATCTTGATTTGCTCGTCGAACAAGAATGACGCAGTATTGCTGGAAATAAAGCCGGGGTCGGCCTTCCAGTCAAGCTTATAAATGACGTGCCTGTCCTTTGTATTCGACGCCATTTCATGGTGTTCAAGTCGCGCACATCGGAGGCCCCGAATTGAGATGCTGGGCTCACTTTCGAACTGGGTATCGTTGCAACTGACCACCATTATGCTTGCAGTCACATCCTTTCGTGCTGCAGGTCGTACGTGAGTACAAATGCTCATCAGCTCTCCTGCCTGGCAGCTTAGACCAGACGAGACAACCATTTCTTCGATGAAGACAGGTATTGCAGGACCTTCCTCAACTCCCATTCCTGGAGGCAGAGCCGGGAAAATGGTATGGAATATGCTATCCAGGGTGCAAGGGTGGACCACGAGTTTATGCTGAAATGATGCAGGCATCACGGATATGGTGTCCGGAATAGTGACCTCTGCAAAGCATGTTCCATCCGGTGTGACACGTGCTGTTGTCACATTCGCAAAACATGGTCCATATTCCAGCCCAAGTCTTCCAAGCTTCTCATAAAACTTGTGAATGTCGATCACCGATATCCCATGGACTTCAGTACCCAACGGGACCATCGCATAATCCTCCGTCTCTTCTGGCCCATTGGCCGAAACGCCGATGCGTTGCTGTGTACCGACGAACCCGGTGCAGTGCTCAATCCATCTGTTCCCTTCCGATATGGAGTATATGTGAAACTGGTAGAAGTGCTCTTGGTGTTGCGTGGACTTTTGCAAAGATACCATGAGCTCGACGGCGGACGTTTCACTGAGTACAAGGGCAGATTGTATCGCCACGTCTTGTAAAATGAATCTTGCGATTCCCTCATCGTTCCTATTCAACTGGGCCGATGCTTCAATAGCAATGGCGAGGTATCCCGCGGCAGGGAAAACAATGTTTCCCTGGATCTTGTGGTCGAGGAGCCAAGGAAGCTCTGAAGTTCGAAGATAATTCCTCCAACGAGGCTCAAAGGGGCATGCCATGTTTTCTGGTGCACCAAGTAGATCAATGCGTGGAGAGCTTCGATTTCTATACATTTTGCTCAATCGTGGCTCTGCCCAGTACGACCTGGTGTGATTCCAAGGGTACGTTGGTAAATCGACGAGTAGCTGTGGCGTGCGGGTTGTTTTGATCCCCTTGGGCCTGTTTATTGCGCCGAAATCAATGGGATAATTCATTGCGGCGAGTGTAGCCACTGCGCCAAGCGCTGAAGTCACTGCATTCGAATTTCGAGTCAAAATGCTCAGGTATGTTATATCGGCGGAATTGAGCTTCGCGTCAGCCTTCAGAATCTGCTTGATAGGCCCAGCAAGCGCTGAATGGGGTCCAATTTCGATAAGACAATCCACGGAAGGCTTTTGGGCTACTCCTGTCCTTTTGCTTCTGGTCGACCTTGCATACCCAGCACGCTGACTCTGTGTCTCAAAACACAACATCCTCAACGATTCGGCGAATTTCACCTGACCTACCAAGTTTGAGACCCAGTACGGAGCATCCAGCTCATCTGGTGGAACCTTTGTTCCAGTGACCGAGGAAAAGAACGATCCTGTCGGGCGCTCTTTCTTCTCTTCGGAAGGAACCTGCTCCGACCTTTGGGGCTGGATGTGGTCTACTAAGCTGAGGTATTGTTCGGCAACCTGCTCTATATGAGGAGAGTGGTAGGCCACCCCTACTTCCAGACGTCGGCTGAATATGGGTTTGTCCTTCAACGTCTCCGCCAGTACATCAATCGCAGTCACATCACCTGAGATTGTCACACTCGATGGACTGTTGACACAAGCTACCACCAGCTGCTTGGAAGGAAAGCGGTCCAAGTACGGCTGAATCTCTTCGGGCGACATCCCAACCGCCATCATGGCACCTTTGGTCTGGTTGGCATCCAAAAGCTGGCCTGCCACAACGCCTCGATAGTAGGCCACTGACATCGCGTCCTTCATGCTTAGTGCGCCAACGGCATACGCAGCGGCAATTTCCCCGCTGGAATGGCCGGTAACGGAGTCTGGATGTATGCTCCATGAGGCCAATAAGTCAACCAGCGCGATTTGCACTCCTGTGCACACCGTCTGGCTCAGAGTGGGGTGGCTCAGATTGGAGTCCTTTGGGGATTTCGTGATTTCCTCTTTTAACAACCATGTTAGTAAAGTAGTCTCATGTGATGTGAGGCCTTTGTACCTTGCATTGTAAAAGGAGATCCAATATCCTTCAAAAATTCGTCAATTTCCAGAACTGACCGTTTGAAGACAGGATATGCTTGGAGCATTTCCTTCCCCATTCCCGCCCATTGGGCACCCTGCCCAGTGAAGACAAAGCCTAGGACTGGCCTCCGAACAGCGCTCCTGGCTTTGACATTCTTAGCAAGTGAGGCTACCAATCCCGCTACGGTATCTCCCACAACAGCTGCTTTCCAAGGAAACACAGACCGCCGTTCGTTGATCGAGAACGCAAGATCGTCGAGGAACTTCTCATTGTCGACTTCGGACTTCTTGTCAACAATATATCTATTGAGAGCTTCCACTTGTCCCGCACAACTCCTCTCGTCAAACCCAGAGAGCATGAATATGCGAGAAAAAGACGGGCCGGTCGCTATTCCGTTGCGCTGAGTTTTGCAGACGGGCAATGAATTTCCGTCAGTGGTTGTAGGTCCGCAGCCAGACAGGTAACCTGATGCATCTTCGAGAATGACATGAGCATTACTTCCGCCATATCCAAAACTGTTCACAGAGACGCGATGGGGTCCCCTGGTATTCCAAGGCTCAGGACACAATTGAATCTGTTAGACCTTAGTCTCTTTGTCTCCAACGCCTGACCTGCCTGGGTATACAGACCTTGATATTCCAATCCTCCAGCAGTATACGTGGATTGATCTTTTCAAAATTCCGATTTGGTAGGAACATGCGGTTCTCCAACATCAACACTGCCTTGATGACGCCGGCTACTCCGCTAGCACCTTCCAAGTGCCCAACGTTGGTTTTGATGGATCCAATCCTCACAGGATTATCAGGCGGACGACCAGTGCCAAAGACTCGAGCGATCGCTCCTGTCTCAATGGGGTCTCCGGCAAGTGTCCCTGTGCCGTGAGCCTCCACGAAATCTGTTTCCGAGGAATCTAGGCCAGCCCGTGCATAGACGCTCCGGATCAGGCTTTCTTGGGCTGCCCCATTCGGCAGCGTTATCCCTGCAGTGCGTCCGTCTTGATTGGACCCGGTCCCCCGTATTATGGCACGAATCGTGTTGTGATCTTCTAACGCCTTGGCTAAGGGCTTAAGGATGAGACAGCCGGCTGCCTCTCCTCGTGCGTACCCATTAGCCTTTTCGTCGAAAGTATGACATCGTCCATCGGAAGAAAGAAATCTGAGATTGGGTTAGCACCGTCCGGAAGTCATGATGGTTTTTGACCTACTTCATCATGCTCATTGTTGACATGAATTCATGACTCAGGATCAAATTAACCCCAGCCGCGATTGCCGTTGATGCATCACCTCTCTGGAGACTTTGGCATGCTAAATGAAGTGCCACCAGACTGCCCGAGCAGGCCGTGTCTACCGTGACGCTCGGCCCTTTCAAGTCAAAGAAATATGATAGCCTATTTGCCGCCATCGCACGAGACTGTCCAGAGTTCGTGCACTGGTACATGGGCACACACTCGGGATCCCGAAGGAGAAGATCTGTATAATCTGCAGAAAAAGAGCCCACAAAGCAGGAAGTGTTTGTGCCCATGATTTGGTTGAGAGGAATACCAGCTGCGCAGCATTAGCCTTGAACCTATGGGTCAAAATCAAATCACCTACCATTTTCAAGACCTTCATATGTTACTTCCAGAAGCAGTCGCTGCTGCGGGTCCATTGCCTAGATGGTTGACAGTTAGATTGACTCTGCAGCCTTTGAATTTGTACTCACCGCGGCCTCGTCGCTTGTCATGTTGAAGAACGGGGCGTCGAAGACAGATACGTCCTCTTCCAAAAAGTGTCCCCCTTCCACGTTGATCTACCCCGTCATTATCTATACTCTCGAGGCATTCCAAGAGTGACTTACTGTACCATGGCGGCTATGATCTGGGTGATAAAATGCTTCGCTATTCCACCTGCTAGCTGGGATCGGACTCCATGCCTCTGCGCCCTCGTGAACCATCTCCCATAGCTTTTCAACATTCTTGGCATATCCCGGGCCCCGAAAGCCAATTCCGACAATGGCTATCGGAGTGCAGGGGCTGGCGGCCAAATCTGCCAAGTCATCTTTCGTATCGTTCACTCTTGGAGGACTAACTTTGGCAGACGACATTGTTGTTTTTTGATATGTTGAACTTCCGTCAAGGACCATATATCTGGTGTCAGGGAAAGCCAAATCGGGGAGAGCTGGTCCTTTCTCAACTTCATTCAAAAGAAGTTGCTGTTCCAGCCAGATCAGTCCGTCCATGCCTAACATGCCATCCAATGTTGGCCCTACGCAATCTACATCGGGATGCGTGGGAAGGTTTCATCCCACACAAAGGTAAGTACCCGGGTGCAACGCTCGACGGCAACAGAGAACAAAAGCGCATGGTCGTCTTGATCTGAAACATAGTTTCTCTTGGCTTCACGAGGGTTGTGCGATATACATTGCAACGACATGATGCGACTTGCGTTCCACAACCGCAACCGTGCTACTCTTCCCCTCGAAAGATCTTCTTCGTCAACCTTTTGTAAACCACCGTCGCACAACCGAAAAAATTCGTCTTATCACTTCTGCCTGATCTCACCAAATCTGGGCGGAAAGTTTCCGAATTGCAGTGGCGATGATGGCAACATTCTTCTCATCACCGGGGACTTCATGACCCTTTCCATGCACGGCAAATATCGAAAACCTCGCAGCACAAAGCCGATGCAAAGCCAGTGAGTACTCGAAATACGGGTCTTTAGCCCCAGCAATATGCACGCAGGGGATTGAGATGTACCCCTCTAATCCCTCGTCTATGACAGGGCGCTTTCCGGGCGCCATGCGGAAGGGTGGCAGCGAATTGATGAAGATGGCGCATCGAAACGGGGCAGGCTGGTCCGGATACATCTTGGCTTGGTGAACCATAAACCCTGCAGCCAACGTGCCGCCATGCGAGAAGCCTAGAATCCCATCGAAGGGACCTTCCAAAGCAACTGTTTCACTGAGTTGCTCGTAGGCCTCCAGAATATCGGACTCGTCGCTATCTCCGAGGGAGAACGTGCGCGGGAAACGGTAGTAGCTGTAATACGGACCATCATAGTAGCCGGCGATTCCAGGGCCGGGAACCGAATCGATCTCCCCTTCGAGAAAAGAGAAGGTCGCACTGTTGTCCCGTTCGAGCTCGTGCATGAGGCCACCTGTTCAATTAGAGTTTGTGTCGCCACGGTGGAAGAACTTTGCATACTCAATTGTGACTCTAGAATCTATGAGAAAATTAGCAGGGGTCCCTTCCCCCTATCAGCGAGGTAGGATGCTTGCCTTCTGGTTCGTCCCCCAGCCATGAAGACACAATAAACGCAGAGGCATTACGAGGGGTAGCGGCAGACGGATGAAGCCGAGCAAAAGTTCTCAAGAGTAATCACTTTGACGGACATGCTGGTGGTTGTGTTCGCCACAATTTATATGTGCCTCGAGGCAGTCAACCGGCGAGAAAGAGAGAAACTCATTCGCTTGATTCCCTCGACCTGCACAAAGGACCAGGGGCCCTTGAAACTCGCCGTGCCATAGCAAGGGACAAGACTTCTTCTGAGCTCGGCGAAGCTTGTCAGTCGCACAGGTCCCAATTCACTCAATCCATTTAATCGACTTCGACCTCATTCTCGCAATTCATATATTTCCAACAGAGAGTGTTTGTAGACTGGAACTGTCCATGGCGGTGGTAATGAGAGTGGCTGAGGGTAGTGTCAACTGTCCAGTTTCAAGGCAGAAAAAGATCACGGGTGGAAAAACAAGGAAACCGGAATTTCTTCATCACCAGGGACTTCAATTTACTGCGAATAACCTCTTGATTCACCTTACTCCGTAGTTATTCCGGACAATCTCAATTCTTCCTACTATTACTATCCACAATGCCTTGGTCTTTGGCCCTTCCCCAGGCCATCCTCACCTCGCCCTTTTTGGCGGTGGCCACTCCCCTCACAGCTGGTACTGCTGTCGCTCTCTTGACCAATCGTATGTCCACTTCAGCAATGACGATCCTTGACCTGGAATTTATCTCTGACTTGCGATATCTCTAGGCAAACAAAATCGTGAAATATACCGAGAGCTCCGACAGCCTCCCTTCAGTCCTCCGGGATGGCTTTTTGCGCCCGCCTGGACTGTTCTGTATTCCCTGATGGGCTTTGCCTCTCACCACTCCAACAAGATTGCCACAGAGTCATTCTCTCTTGCCGCTCGCGATGCGAACAATACTGCCCAGTCCCTCTATACCACGCAGTTGGCTCTGAACTTCATGTGGATGCCGCTGTTCTTCCGCCTGGGGCGCCCCGCCTCGGCTCTCGCGGATTTGACCCTCCTGGCCACTAATGTGGGTGCCCTCATGGTCAACTGGTGGACCGCTGATCGGACCGCCTTCTGGTGTCTCGTTCCTTATGCCGTCTGGCTTGGATACGCCGCCTATCTCAACACTGGGGTTGGGATTTTGAATAACTGGAGTATCTATCGGAAGGAGCGATCGGAGTAAAGTGATAGGGAAACATACTGGCACCTGCCTAATGCGCTATGTACATTAGAAGACTACACTAGCTGGAGTGTACGATAGAGAGGGGTTCGAGACCCCTGATCGAATTGAATGATCACATCAACGCAATAATTGACTCTGGCCTTGAACTCCACCTGGTGGCGTACCAGCCTACCAGGCGTGGGCTGTAAGCTCTCGATTCGTAATGTTTGTAAATCGGTGGGTCGTTCTAAATCGGGTGTTTGTTGGTCTGTTCGCCTGGCTAGTGCCTACAGTATTAGGCTCTTTGGTACACGTTATCGTGGATAGTGGATAATATGATAACGTTGGCACTTGGCAGTTGAGACTTGAGGGACTTTTCTGATACTACTGTGTACCCATACATCTCCACAGTCCACACACTCAGGAGGTGGCTTCACAAAGGCGCCCGAGATCGACAGAGTAGCCACGGCCTCAGTAGGAGAGAAGCACTCAGAATGATGAGACCAAGTAAAATCTCTCTTGAATTTGAGCCAGGCCCTGAAAAGATAAGACAGAGAGCCAGGGAACATAACGAACTCTAGACTCTTAATAAAGTACCCGGATGGCTCGGTGTCAGTCTCTGATCGCCACCGTAGACCCACATCTCGATGAGCTACTGTATGTACATTTTCTAGAAGTCTAGAATTATGCGACAAGTAGATTGTAAAGAGACTAAGCTAAGTCGATGGAGATAGAAGGGATAATAGAGATCGAGTCTACTGTGTAAAGGAAATAGAATGCGCTCATTAACTAGACAAGACAACTAAGTTAAAGTTAAGACGAAGATCTAGACTCTGAACTTTCTTTATTTTGTCTTTTTCTTTTTTTAAACTATTCGACCTCACAGGCTCACCCAGACTGTGAGAGATTTCCAAGCTGTTCAGCCTGTTCTGGTCTTCATTCTTTTCCCCCCGCCAGTCTCTACAATTCTACAATTCTACAATATTTTCTTCTCTTCAATTTGAATTCATCTTCTCTCGTTATCTCATATTTCTGCTTATTTATTGTTTCGTGCCTTGCATAAGGCCTGTATACGCCTGTAGCTCTCGGCTAAATCCATCGAGCGATCTCCAACCCTTCATGTCGGGCATGACCAACCCGCATCCCAGCCCGAACGAAGAATATGCCGAATATCCTCTCCCGACAATTTCTCCTCGCCTGAGTTTCGAGCGTGAGGAGGATGCCGAGCCGACCGTCAACCAATACGATGCGGGCTTAGAGCCACCGCCCACCAGCCGCAACAGATCCCATCGCGTGCGATTTCGCTCCATGAGTCTACGTCGAAATGATTCCCAAGATATCTCAGATCCCTCCGCCCGTCCACTGTTACTGCCCGCAGACCTCAACGAAGTCCCGCTGTCCGGCGCTATCACCCCGCCAGCCCCCACACATTCCCGCCAGGGCTCCGGCCTCGCCAACGTACGCACCCCCGACCAGTTCCCGGAGTCGGAGAAACGCGATTTCGCCGAAGATGTTGGACGTACAACCTCGACCCGTGAACGGTTCAGGGCTGCTGGTCAGCTCTTGCGCCAAAAGACCCACCACCTGACCGAGCGCCTCGGTCGCCCCGCGGATGAAGGCGAGGCGCTTAATTCCTCATACATTCCAGATGACTTCGAGGGCGGGATCCCACTGGATGAGCTGCGGTCTCGCCGTGCGCGACATGATGCCGACCAACTCCACGCATTGGAGAGCGGGGAGCCTCTCATCGAGCCCCATGCCAGTGCGGAGGCCCATCGCCTTGTCCGCAGCATGACCGCCGTCCAGGATCATCTGCGGAAGCGGAAGCCCCGGGGCGCATACCAGCGATCGGGTCAGACAACTCCCGAGCGTTTGCTCAAGGGCTTTGCGGAGCGTCGGCGATCGAGCGGATTTGGGGGTGGCAGTGGCATCCTGTCTCAGTTACTCAAACTCCAGGCCGCTCAGGGGAGCTCGTCGCGCCCGGAAAGTGTGATCACCGATGATTCGGACAGCGAGACACAGGTGTCTTCGGGGGTTTCCACCCCGAAGAAGGGTTCCCTTTCCCCTACCATGCCGATGTCCCTGCCAGCTTCTGGCAGTGCTACCCCCCGCAAGGAGAAGCTCAAGTGGTACAAGAAATCGGCCCATCGGTCCACCTCCTCGTTGGTCAACGCGTCGATGAACCTGAGTACTGCCAGTCTGCCGGCCGCGGCGGAGGCTGCACCTGGACTGCCGGGGAAACGGAAGAAGAAGCGCAAGACCCGTTTGGAGGACGAGATCCGTGTCACGGTGCATATCGCAGAGATCATCGCCCGCCAGCGGTATATCATGCAGTTGTGCCGTGCGCTCATGCGATACGGTGCGCCGACCCATCGTTTGGAGGAGTATATGCAAATGACCGCCAAAGTCCTGGAGGTGTCGGGCCAATTCTTGTATTTGCCCGGTTGTATGATCATGTCCTTTGATGATCCGACCACCCGCACTGCCGAAGTCAAGCTCGTGCGAATGATGCAAGGTGTCGACCTCGGTCGCCTGGCCGATACTCACAACGTTTACAAGAATGTTGTCCACGATCTTATCGGTGTCGAGGAAGCGACTCATGAGTTGGACGAAATTATGCAGCGCAAACCGCGGTTTAATAAGTGGTTCCTCGTCTTGATGTACGGCTTCGCTAGTTCCACTGTTGGGCCGTTCGCTTTCAAAGCGCGCCCCATCGATATGCCTATAATATTCTGTCTCGGGTGTATCGTCGGACTGATGCAGCATGTTCTTGCGCCCCGCTCTACCCTCTACTCTAACGTGTTCGAGGTTACCGCTGCTGTGGTGACTTCGTTCCTGGCACGTGCGTTTGGCAGTATCCGAGTTAACCGCGGTGGTGAATCGGTCGAACTCTTCTGCTTCTCCGCTATGGCCCAGTCGTCCATCGCTTTGATCCTGCCTGGATTCATGGTTCTCTGTAGCAGTCTCGAACTGCAATCGCACCAGATGATAGCGGGTTCGATTCGCATGGTATATGCCATTATCTATTCGCTTTTCTTGGGCTATGGTATCACGGTCGGGACTACTATATACGGGCTGATGGATCCCCACGCTTCATCGGCATCGACGTGTTCAGGGCTGGATGTTTGGGGGTCGGTTTACGTTCGCCAATTCCTGTTCGTGGCTGTCTACGCCGTTTTCCTGGCCATTGTCAACCATGGGAAATGGAAGCAGATGCCTGTCATGGTCTGCATCGCCGTCTCCGGGTATATTGCCAACTATTTCAGCACCACCAAGCTCGGCAACCAATCTGAAGTCGCCAACACCGTCGGCGCATTTACTATTGGCGTCCTAGGCAATCTCTACAGTCGTCTCTGGCACGGTCATGCTGCTACTGCCATTCTACCCGGTATATTTGTACTGGTTCCCTCTGGGCTCGCCTCTAGCGGGTCTCTGATCGCTGGTATCAGATATGCCGACGAGGTTCGCCAAAATCTCAAGAACAATGGCACCAGCGCTGCTTCTGGTGCTCTTTCTGAAACCTCAGTTGCTAGCCTTGGTTTCGGCATGATCCAAGTCGCGATCGGTATCACCGTCGGCCTGTTCATCGCGGCTTTGGTTGTCTACCCATACGGCAAAAAGCGCACTGGTCTCTTCAGCTTCTAGTCATTTATCTGCGGACATTTCTCTGATGTGTGATGTCTCTCACATTTCCCCCCTTTACATTGTTGCTATTTCGTTTTACATTGCCCTATTGTCAGCGTCATTCAGCGTCTGATTTTCACTGCATTACATAGACTTCAAAAGGCGTTGAGCGATCCCATGTAGATATGATTGACGGATTTTACATACACTAGACAAAATACCAGATTACTACCATTATTCTTATATGCAGAAGGGGGCCCAGGGGGGATCAGCCATTTTTCCAACATGTAAGAGCACGACAGAATCTTTAATCTCGCCTGTCGGACCTGTCGGAACTTGCCGATCGCCCACACATCGCAGCGACGCAGACCCCAAATACCCCGATTTAATTCCCGAATACCCCAAAGGTTATCAAAACACAGAAAGGAAGAGTCTTACCAAGACTCACACACTTCACAATGCGAAGAAACATCTCCAATAACTTCATCGCCTCAGACCGCAACGGCATCGTGGAAAGCCGACACATCGTCCATGCAGCCATCACCGACGCCGCAGGCACTCTCCTCTATGCCGTCGGTGACCCATCCCGCATGACTCTCGTCCGCTCCGCAGCCAAACCAGCACAAGCACTCGCAATCCTCGAAACAGGCGCAGTAGACACCTTCTTCGACGATGGCGACCTGGCCTTTATGTGTGCCTCGAACAGCAGCGAGGACCACCACATCGCCCGCGCTCGCAGTATGTTGGCCAAAGTCGGCGCTTCCGAGGATGATCTCCGCTGCGGTCCTCATGTGCCTATTTCTGAGGCCGTGCAGCGAGCGTGGATTAAGAATGATTTCACGCCTACGCCTGTCTGTAGTAATTGCTCTGGCAAACATGTGGGGATGATTGCGGGTGCCAAGGTGTTGTCTGGTGATGCGACGGATTATCATTCGTCGAGCCATCCTGTTCAGGTCTATGTCAAGCGTGTTGTAGAGGATGTTTGTGGGCTCGCTGAGGAGGGAGCTCTATGGGGTCTTGATGGATGTAATCTTCCTACTCCGGCTTTCCCTTTGCATTATCTCTCTCGCATGAATGCGAAATTTGCGGAGGCGGCTGATCTCGTGGCTCAAGGTGATGCTTCATCGAGAACGAAGGCGTTGAGTAGAGTCTTTCATGCTATGTGGCAATATCCTGAGCTTGTTGCTGGGGAGGATCGGTTTTGTACTGTCCTGATGACTGCGTTCAAGGGTCTGTTGATTGGGAAGCTTGGGGCAGATGGATGTTATGGAATCGGTGTGAGGGAGTGTGAGCAGACAAGATGTCTTGGAGCCAAGGGGGCGATTGGCATCTCGGTGAAGATTGAAGATGGTAATATCGCCGTCCTTTATTTGGCTGTGGCGGAGATTCTGGAGCAGCTGAAGATTGGAGATCCTGAAATGCGTCAGGCGCTTTCTATATTCCATCACCGGAAGATCTTGAATACGGTCAATATTGAGACTGGCAAGTTCACGCCTTGCTTTCAAGTGCGTGCCGAATGATGCTCGTTTGAATCCTGACATTTCCTGATTTGTATCCACAATGGACAATTGGAGACGTATAGAGAGATCCCATTCAGTTACAGCTGAGTCTCCCCTCCAGATAAGTCCTTGAATAGAATTCAACGAATAGAATGAGAGCCGGCTATTGTGTAATATATGCAGGTAGACACTTAAACCATGTGACATGTGTAAGGTATTAGTTATTCTGTCAATAGCATCGACAGTTGCCTGATGGGCACAATGAGCACCATGGCTATTCAAAGGATCGGTGTCTGTTGCATTTCTCCTGAAAGCTATTTAAGACCTTCAAACTCTCGTCTTTCCTTGAATCCCGCATCTTCACTCTCACCTACTCTATGTCTCATACATCTCTACCACTCTTCACCATGGAGCCCACCAACCAAGTGATCAAGGACGACCACAGTCCCATCAACGAGGGCGACAGGTGGCACACGCAAATGGTAAGTATCGACTCGGATAGTCCCTACTGCCTACAAACTAACTAATTGATATAGCAGGCGTTGATGCCATCGCTGCCCTTAGAGTCACCGCAGCGCCGTCTGAATAAGAAAAGAAAGCGTGACTCCGATGGTTCTCCCTCTCCTTCTTCTTCTCCTTCTCCGAGGGTATGTTATAGCTTGACCCTAATCCGAACTACCTGACCCACCAATCAAATGCTGACCTCTATACAGCCGGTAAAGAAGCGCAGACTGGCGTTTCCGGACCTGCACGACTTGCTGGTAACCTACCGCGGGTTGCAGAGATGGGAACGCAGGATCAACAGAGATCTTGCGTTCTGCCGAAAGCTGATCGCCAAGCACCGCAGCGGCAGCATCTTCCACCCCAAGTACCGTCCGAGTGCCGACGAGCCCCTCTTCCAACGCGTGCGGTCTCCTCTGTGTGAGGAGACGTATATAGACGCGTTGGAAGATACCCGGGTGGAGGCACTGAGACGGGCCAGAGACCGGTGCCTGCAGGACTACCTGAATGCGGAGGAGGAGTTCCAGCTGGCCCTGTTGGGGGACTCCGGAGAGGTGGAAACTGGAGACCTGCAGTCGTCCCAGAAGGAGGCCAGTGACGGGGCAGAATACAACGCGGACCACCAGACCCCACCAGAGGGTCCGGCCTCGTTTTGGGGGCATGTGGAACGATTCTTCTGGATGATGTGGTCCGAGACTGGATGATGTGCTGAGGGTGTGCGGATTTTGGGCTGGTTCCCGCTGGCGGGACCACCCTTTATTTTATTATTATCTCTATGAACCAATGCAAAATGCCCTATCTATGAAAATCAAAGCGCCGTCTCTTTTCGACAGTAACCCAATGTCTAGTTCAATGTTTGGTTCCCTATCGAACCAAAACTCCTCGGTATCTCATCTTGCCATTACGGAGGGTCTCCATGGCCTCCTCGACGCCATCCTTGGTCAGAGGGAATGTCATGGTAGTCGGGGTGATCTTCTTCTCCGCTGCGAACTGGACCAAGGTCCGTAGACTGTGCCGAGAAGCAACCAGGGAACCCTGAATCCGGATTCCCTTGACGTTCATGTACAGCAGCGGCACTGGAGAGGGGGCGAAGTCGACGGTCAGAGGGTAGATGGACCCGTGGATATCCATGAGAGGGATGAGACTGGGAAAGATTAGCATTCATCATAACCAATGGCGATAAGAAGGGGTATCATACGAAGGATAATCCACATTCGCACTTCCGCAGAGCAGGAGGTGGTTCACAGGCTTGAATCCAGGAATCTCCTCGCCAGCGCGGAAAACGTGGTACTCGGAGGCGCCGAAACTGAACGCCTCCTCACGCTTGGCCTCTGAGCTCGACAGGACAACCACGTGGCAGCCCATGGCGGCGGCCAACTTGATAGCCAAATGACCCAAGCCTCCAACACCCATGATAGCCACCCGATCGGTGGGCTTCACGCCGTATTCCGTCAAAACGGTCCAGACAGTTGCACCAGCACACATCAGAGGCGCTGCGTCGGCGGAATCATATCCATCGGGAATGGGGACAACACATCCAGAGTCCCATACAACTCCCTCGCCGAATGATCCGAGGTCGTGGTCGTGTGTGCCGTACTCCTTCTTATTCTCGCAGTATTGATCCCATCCTGCGAATGTCAGTCACAGCTCTGTTTCCCCGTGCTCGCAATACATACCAGTCAAACACTTGGAACAGGTTCCGCACACGTAGTGAGTGTATCCGAATCCAACACGTGCTCCAACCTTCACGTTCGTGACACCAGAGCCAATCTGACGAACGACGCCGACACCCTCGTGGCCCAGAACCATTCCGGACTTGAGGAAGTGCTCATCTGTGCCGCAAAGACCGGAGTGTGTGGTCTCGATGTAAACCTCGTTGGGTTGCAAGGTGCGCGTGGTCTTGTCGGCCACGATCTTGCCCTCTTGCGAGCCACGAAAAACCTCGAAAGTGACGCTCTTTGTCAGTGTCATTGTATTCGTTGTTCGGGATGTAGTTGGAAAGATGATGTGTGTGGCAAGAGCGAAACTACGGGCTCCATCTCTTCACTAAATAGCTCCTGAGGGCTTTCACGCTTGCTATTGGATTTGTCAGTTTTGCGAACTGTGCCGAATGTCCGTAACTGATCCACAGAATTCCGAATGACTCCCGAATGACGAAAGGAGCTGGAGCCCGAATAGTGGGCTACGTATCGAGCCATTAAGGTTGTTCTAGAGAATTCTATTCCCACGTTGACTTGATGTACGTCGATATCATTGGATGTGGTCCTCCCAATGATCATCCGTTGGTGCTTAGAGCAGTGCCACTGCCGAAAAAAAACGCCCAAGTTTCATGTCCAGCTAACCGTAATGGGCTAATCTCCGTTCAATTGGACCCGCTGAACCGGACATTGAAAAATCTGGCGGAGCAATTCATTCCCCGACTCGGAGGCTGCTCGGCAACTTTGACGGATATTCTCTTGCAGGCTTGCCGACCCGAGTGAAATACCCAGACGATGACAATCTTCAAGCTCTCTTATCTCTGCACCTGGGCAGTTCTTGGGGCCTTTCAGGTTTCTGAGCAGAATCTTCCAACGTCATGTTCCTGACATGTTTCCATGGTTGGGTCTGGGCACGTGGCAAATGGAAGTTTCGGGCCGTTAACACTCAAACTTTTTATGCATGGCATGTCTCTTGTTATGTCGGCCTAAGTCTAGAGCGCATAATCAATTTACGGCGTAGGGAAATTGTGAACTCGAAATTGAAGCGGAACTCGATGCTATGGGTCAGATCCATGTGTTCCGATGCGGTTGATGCCCTGGTAGATATTCTGATTTAAATAATGCACATACTCGATCAGATGCACAGGCAGATCATAGATGTCATGGAAGTGTGTTTCTCACAAAAGGTGTAGTAACTGGCTTCCATAGAGGCTGGTTAGACAGAACGTGAGTTTAAAGTTGTTTGAGGGAAATGAACAGAACAAAAAAAAAATAGTTTCCCTGGGAATCGAACCCAGAACCTTTCCGGAACACTTGCTTTAGGCAATTGTTAACGGAAAATCATAACCGCTAGACCAGGAAACTGTTCTATGATGGTGGAGGCATATTTTAGGATTATCAGTAGGCGAAGCCCAACTTCAAGCTCTATCTCGGACACGCCGACACTGAGCTACCAAAATACTCTGTACAGTCAATCAGCCTACAGGATTCCAAAGAGTAGTGACATCGAGCGGTGAGCCAATATTTGCCACCTCTCTTGCCGCCTTCCTCATATGAATTCCATCCATCCAGTACATGGATCATGTAAACAAAAAGCGCCCCCTACCTATAGATCATATATATACAACAGGCAATATGTATAAGTACCACTGTACAATACAGTAGACCAACAACTCAATCAGCCAACATGCCTAGGTACCACCCCCGCAAACAAGCAGCTCTCGCGGGACGAGCGCATCAAGATTCTGCCCCTGCGCAAAGAGGGTAACACGTCCATGCGACTCTCTCGCCATGTTGGCTGCACCAAACGCCAGGTCCAGCACGTGTGCAATATCGATAAGGCTACACCACGAAAGGGGCGTGGCAGTCACCTAAAGCTTTCGGAAAACCGAGTGACTGGTGTGACCGTGTGATTGATTGGATACGCACTTGATAATTTATGCAAATCAGTAGATCAGATCGTGGCCGAGCTCAATCTACGGGCCGGTCTGTGGTGAAACGCCCCGAAAGGCGCTCAAGGCTCGGGGCATGAGCATAGCGGACGTGAACGTTGCAGAAAACGCCTTGCTTGGGCTGAGCAACGCCGCGATTGGACGTACGACGATCGGCGCTGAATTGTGTCCACAGATGAAGCATACATATCATCTGGTTGGCACCGCCGTCCATATGTTCATCGATTCGTCGGCCCTTTCGGTCACCGGCGAAAGATCCCCAGAACATATACGATTTGTGATTTTGCTTGGATTGTGGTAAAACCGTGGTGGTGTGATACTGCATTTCATCGGCGAATTGATGAACATACTTATGGACGGCGGTGCCAACCAGATGATATATATGCTTAATCCGTGAACACCATTCGGCGCCAATCCTAGGTCGTACGTCCGATCGCGGCGTTGCTCAGCCCAAGCAAGGCGTTTTCTGCGACTTCACGCCCTTCTGGGGCATTCGGATCAAGCGGTGGTTTTTGTGCGGGCTAGATGCATGCTCATGCCCCAAGCCTTGAGCGCCTTTGAAGGGTTTCACGGCAGACCGACAGATTGAGCTCGGCCACGATTTGATCTACCGATTTGCATCGGTTATCAAACCCAGTGCGTATCCAACCAATCACGCCAGTCAATCGGTCTTCCGAAAGCTTTGGGTGACGGCCACGCCCCTTTCGTGATGTAGCCTGGTGTTGATACTGCACACGTACTGGACCCAGCGTACGGTGCGGCCAATATTGCGAGCTATCTGAAGTAGCGTGTTACCATCTTTGAGCTGGGAAATAATTTCGATGCGCTCGTCGCGCGCGAGTTGCTTGCGTGTAGGGGTAGAAGGCATGATGGGAGATTCATTGTGGACTTGGTTGGTGATATGGTTGTTGATCTAGTACTTATATTGACCTATTGTATGATCTACATGTATGGCACTTTTTGTTTATGTTATGACGTTTCCTGGGATCCTACGTTTCTTGTTTACTCCGTACTGTGTACATGATGTCAGTTGAATTCATATGAGGAAGGCGGCAAGAGATGCGAAATATTGGCTCACCGCTCGACGATGTACCCCTGAAATATTGCCCAGTCGCCAAGGCCAACTACACCAATAAGAGAAAGTATATCACGTGCACTCGGTTTATTCACGTGACACGTCGTGTCCAAATTTGACGTGACATGCCGCGTCCAATTCTGACAACTTTTCTCAAGGACGTGTTTTCTTGACCATTTTGAGATGGATCGTATCAAGGGCTGGCTTCATGAAGTGGAAGGGAGTGGACGTTTGACGACGGTAGCAGAGCTCAGAATGTCTGCTCAATTGCCACAACACGCCTCACTGTCTCAGAGACGCGACAACTACTTCGAGGACGGTGGACGTGACGGAGAGGATATTGAAGATCATCGCAGAAAGAGACCCCGGTCAGATTCGGCGAGGGCAACTTCGACGGCCAACATGAGGACGCACCTAGCGAAACACAACATTTCGGGGAAGTCCGACCCAGAGGGCCTGGGGGAGGGCTCCAGCAAGACGAAAGAGCGCTCAATGGCTTCACTTTCCCAGCCCCGAGCCGAACTTGGTACTAGAGCTCTTTTCGAACGGAACTTATTTGAATAGGTTATCACAGATGGTGCAGCATTTACGTCACTTGAGTCTCCTGCGTTCCAACAGATATTCCAGAAATTGCAGTGTGGCCCTATTCCTTCCACTCAAACGGTTGTCAGCCGTATTGATGCAGAATTTGATCACTGTCGGAACCAGTTGATCGATGAACTAGCACGGACATGCTCCACAATTGCGCTTTCCTGGGATGTATCGACGAGCGAGGACCATAGAGCCGTATTGGGAGTTAGGTCACTGGGTGTCCCCCGACTTCAAATATCAAGAACGGGTCCTAGAGTTCAGCGAGCTTGAAGGACCCCCCAGTGGAGAAAATATGGCGGAGATTCTGCGAAAGATGCTTGTCGAGCTTCGGATTCAGGACAAGCTGTTCACAATCACAGCTGGAAATTCGTTGGATAAGGAAACGCTGACGTCTGAGCTGTATCGTGGTCTGTTTGAAAAGTACAATTCGGAGGATTCCAACTCGTCCGATAAAGGACGTTTCCGATTTCAAGGCATTGGCAGCTACATCACGTGTCTTTCACATGTCCTCAAGCTCATTGTCCGCGATATCCTCTTGGGGATGAAACCTGGAGACCATAAGTCTGCCATGGAAGCCTATGATCTCTTACAGGGAAAGAAGACAATCGGACAGCGGTCTGCGTTGGCCCGCCTTCGGATCGTGGCTCTCTGGATATCGGGAACACCTCAACGACGACGGTGGTGGGAATCCATTTGCCAAGACCTTGACTTAAGCGACAAGGTCATCGACTATGATGAGGAAACCCGCTGGGACTCCACACACCGCATGCTCCGGGGAGCCTTGCAAGCCAAAGAACAGATCCAGAAGTGGATCGAGCATCAGGACCTGTTTCCGCCATTTTCAGCTGACGACTGGTTGCAGCTGCAACAGCTCGAAATGATCCTCTCCAAGTTCAATGGGTTCAGTAAACTGGTTTCCAAGCGGCAATGCCAGACCAGCCTCGCCATTCTCATCTATCACGAACTGAATGAGATGCTCGAGGATGCAGCTGCAGCTAGGGATTACCTTGCCATTCCGATGTCTGGGCTCTCAGCAGAGAGACTGTTTAGCCGTGGTATGGATCTGTTAGAGATGAGTCGAGAATCTCTAAATGGTGAGACAATGCGGAAAATGATGCTGTTGAGAGATCCTTCGAATCAAAGCAGCGGCTGGTTGGAGAATGCCAGCAAGACGCTCTAGGAATTTTCGCTGGGTGAACTATGTATCTAGTAATAAGCCTCTGCGGATTGTTCGCAAGGCACGAAACATTAAGTGAAGTCTTGTTGGGCTATATGTCTATGATGGCTCACTAGTTATAAATTTCCACACCAAACAATTACTGCGTACACTTCAGGGAGGTGATTTATTGGTTCAGCTAGCCAACAGAGACCACTCCTATCATCTAACTACTGTGTAACGAATTAGGTAGTTATGTAGGTACTTCGTAGTTCGTACAGTTGAACAAGTCACGGCAATGACGGCATGGTTCTTCAGCACTCTAGTTGAAGATTACCTGGCGTTCCCCGGACCCCCCACCCCACACCCACAGCTCCGTACCCACGGGCCATCCTCATCTCTACCCCTTTGAGTCATGCTTCGATTCGCAGACTTACGGCTTGAAATCGGCGGGTCGGAGCCACATGCATCCACCCAATTCATCGCAAAACTGTTGCCGGACCCTCTTGGAATAGTAATATAACCAATGTCTAGGGCGGTTGATCAATAAAACTCGGATCATATCGACCGGCCACACATTCCGAGGCTCAGACGAGAAGAAGATGACCCTGGTCCGAAAAGTTGAAACCACTCAGTACTGGATCAGTGGAGAGAAACTGCTTGAGACACTAGCATGTTTCGGAGCGACGCAGGTTACTGGTAGTATCTCGAATGCGGTGATCAGCCCGTCAACAGCCTATTTGAGCCAAGGTCCAGGGCCCATGTCGCATCTGAATGATGCAGGCTCCGATTTACCCGAATCCCCTTGAGGAAGTGTTCCCCGCAATTTACCTCTCGTCTTCCGCGCCACTAATGCAGTGTTGAAGAATGAAGTGGGACCAGCGTCTTGTGTCTCGGCTGATATAGTGTGAAAGGAGACGTCAATGACAAAATAGGCAAACTTCCGATGGGGAAGATGGCTTTTCCGTGCAGATCTTCCAGCCAAGGGCATTGTGTACCTGATGGAGCGGCAGATCAAGTATTGTGTTTCCGTTAGATCACTCCGTGGTCGAATGCGGCCAACGCTCTTCTTCCACAATCAAGTCTAGCCTACTCGAAGCATATAAAAACCGCCTACGTTCTCTCTGAATTTCTTGCTTCTCATCCCAGGACATTATATCATCTCCTTCCGATCTTCAACACGAGCGACGAGAAACACTACAATGAAACTTTCCCAGAATAAGACTGCCTTGATCTCATCTGGCGCCGTGCTTCTCGCATCGGTGCCAGGTGTTGCGGCGGCTGGCTGTCCACTCCCATCGACATACAGTTGGTCATCGACTGGTGCACTGGCAACCCCCAAGTCAGGATGGGCTGCAATCAAGGACTTCACGAGTGTGATCTACAACAACCAACATCTTGTCTATGCCTCGACCGCCGATACATCGGGCAACTATGGTTCGATGAACTTCGGCCTTTTCTCAGACTGGTCCGGCATGGCTTCGGCCAGTCAGAATGCAATGTCCAGTGGGACGGTTGCGCCCACACTCTTCTACTTCGCGCCAAAGGACACCTGGATCTTGGCCTACCAGTGGGGCCCGACTGCATTCTCCTACAAGACATCCAGTGATCCCAGCAATGCCAATGGGTGGTCCTCAGCGCAGCCCCTGTTCTCTGGAACCATCTCTGACTCGAGCACTGGATGCATCGACCAGACTCTCATCGGCGACGATTCAAACATGTATCTGTTCTTCGCTGGCGACAACGGCAAGATTTACCGAGCCAGCATGCCGATTGGCAATTTCCCAGGCGACTTCGGTACGCAATCGGAGGTGATCATGAGTGACAGCACCAACAACCTGTTCGAGGCAGTGCAGGTGTATACCGTTGCGGGCCAGAACAAGTATTTGATGATTGTCGAGGCCATCGGCGCGAATGGCCGGTACTTCCGTTCATTCACATCTGACAGCCTAGATGGTTCGTGGACGGTGCAGGCAGGAAGTGAGAGCCAGCCGTTCGCTGGAAAGGCCAACAGTGGCGCCAACTGGACCAACGATATCAGCCACGGCGATTTGATCCGTTCCAACCCCGATCAAACCATGACCATTGATGCGTGCAATCTGCAGTTACTCTACCAAGGAAAGAACCCCAATGCTGGCGGTGACTACAACTCCTTGCCTTGGGTTCCCGGTGTGCTGACACTGAACTGATGAATCAATGGGAATGGTTGAGATGATATTGGCTGGGTTGCGAGAAGGAGCGGGTTGTTCCACATAGCTCGAAATCTGTCTCGGCCATGTCACATTCAATAGCCCATGATGTCCTTGTATTTAGCCAGAATCAGATTGTTCTCCAGGGCTGTCTTCCAGGGATTTGCTTTCGTAATGGCCATTCTGATGTAGAAATTCTGACCAGGGTAGGTCCATATGCTCACCAAATCCCTAGCGCATGATGGGAAATAAGCAATACAATCGTCCGGTTTCCGTAAGACATAACTATGTGTAGCCAGGAAATATTGGACAAAGGGGCAGATGTGAATTTTGATATGCGTGGGATGTGTATTTGAAGTTACCTATAAAAGGTATAGCCCAGCCGCTATGCAAACCTACTATGAGAAACAACTACCTACTCCTGCGGAGTAGCGTCCTGGGGCTTTTTCTGGTCAACAACGACCTTGGCACCCGGGAAGCGGGAACCCCTGTCCTTGACCTTCTTCATCTTCTTCTCCACAACTGGGGGCGGGTAGGCCTTCGCAGTGATCTCCTTCCATTCTTCAGAGGCTTCGTACGCCGCGTGAATGGGCGCCATGAGGGTGGTAAGACCGGCTGTCACAGCAGGCTTCAGGAGTTGTGGCGTTAACTGGGAGACATTGAAATTAGTTTGTTGGCCACAAAGATTGATATAAGAAGGGGATACACACAATGTCGTTCTGATAATCTTCTTTGAGTTGCTTGATATCGGTATAGATCAATGGTTCCTGATCTCTGCGCTCAACTCGGAATTCCTTATTCCCCCGGAGGGCAGCTGCGGGTAGAAGGATGAATTCTACCAATGCGATGACTCCATTGGCCTCGATAACCCGAGGGGCTGCTTCCGCTTTGCGGATCTTCTTCGAGATACTCTCGGGTGAGTCGAGAAGGTCGATCTTGCTATCTATTTGATATTAGTATTACCACTGGTAGCAAAGTGTGGGTAAGCAACAAATTACCCTGAATGCTGGAGCTCATCTTGCCCCCAGAAAGCCCAGCAATCATGGGGTTGATTATGTGTGCGCGCTAGATGTGAGATATTAGCATGTCAACTATGAGATGATTCATGCACGGTGCACCCATACCTTGCGGTAGCCAAGTTTAGGTAGCCATTCGGTGGCAGCAACGAAAAGTTTCCTCTTCACATCGTCAGCATTCATTCAACGTAGCATTGGGTTGGTAGAGTCAGTCCGTACTTGATCCATTCCGCCGAGTTGGCAATCAACCTCGAGGTGCTCTTCGTCAAGTACTTGCAGCACTGAGTACAAGAGGCCACTCAAGGGAGCATTGTCAGACTGCTTCACGATCTCTGCGCTGGCCTTTTTGGCATCTGATTCGGAGATCAAGCTCGACAAACGGTATACGTCCATGACATATTCGGGGCTCTTCTGGTAAGAGCTGCCGAGAACGAACTCGAGTTTTTCAGTAGAAATACCCACTGATTCGAGGATTGCGGTGATAATCTTTCTGTAATACTGCGCGCGACTCTCGACAAGCTCAAGCGGCGCCTTCAAGTTATCGAGGAAGCCATGGATGTCGGCGAGGAGGACCTTGACGTCGCACCCAGCAGCAAGCAATTGCGCGATCTTGAGGGCAGGGACGAAGTATCCTGTGTGGGGTCTGCCAGTTGTCGCAGTTCCTGATAAACAACCAAATTGTTAGTTACCCCATCCAGAGATGTGTCACAGAACTGACTCACCCCAGTAGACTCGGGGATTGCGGCCTTCGGCAAGAATGCCTTGAATCACCTCAGGGTTCAAGAATTCGGCGAGGTTGTCGCCAATAAGGTCGAACCGGGCCTGTGCTGTCGGATCCAAGGTGACTGCCATTGTGAGTGGAATTTGAGACTTGTGAGAGAGACACAGGCCAAAAGGTGGGATGGTGGCATGGAGGGATTTTGGATGTGGGTCCCAATGGAACAACAGTTGATCCGGCTGATAAGACAAGTGCGATATACATGGGCGGTCAGAGCGGCAGAACTCCATAAGAGTGAGACAGGGGCAAGAAGATCTCGCAACATGATGTGAATGCATTAAAGTTTCAGGATGATCTCGTATTCCGCACTAATCTGCCAAGTATGAAACTTTACGACATAAATCAATCCGGTGTGAGTCAGAGAACCCGATAATCTCGACAAGTCAACCGCCAACGGCACCGCTTTCAACTGCCCAGTGTCACTCGACGTGATCATAAGATCGAGGCCCCCCGTAAACCTTGGAACTGACTATATAGCTACAACTACGCAGTATATTGATGTCGATCGGTCCGACCCCTGTTGTGGATGTCTTGGTGTTTTAGGCAGCGACACTTCGATCGGTAAATAGTGAGGGGAACGCTCCTCTTTTCCCAATACAACTCCGTTTTGCTTCCCTACTCCTCTACAGCCCCAGTACTCAGTAGGCTTGTAGTCTCCGCGACCGCAAATGTCATGGAGTCGCCAAACACTCCTCTAGAAGAGGAATCGAACCTTCGAGATAAGGAGGACAAGGAGGCAAGCTCTCCTACTTTCGGAAATTATTTGGTACTATCCCAGAATCTCCACGAGTTTCATATCTACTGATGCTCTATCCAGAGGATTCTCTCCTACGGTACTAGAAATGGTCGGGTTTTCCTCGTCATCCTGGGCTTGGTATGCGCCATGGGATCCGGAGTGGTACGTCTCAAAGCCATACTACTTTCTCTGTATTGATGATTGACAACTCTCAGGCTCTGCCATTAATGAACATTGTCTTTGGAAAACTTGTCGGTGATTTCAATCAATATTTCGTCCCAGGTGCTGCCCCCAGCGAGGAGACATTTAAAGCCTCGATCAACCAAAACAGGTATGTCCCATCCATAATGGTAGTGTCATTTTGGCTAGGAAACTAAAGCTTCTAATTGAAGTCTCTATATTGTATACCTGTTCATTGGCAAATTTGTGTTGACATACATTTCTATGGTAAGCCATGCCTCAGTGGACCGTCGGATAGTCGCTGAACACCGTCCAGATCTGCTTTCGGGCCCTCAGCCTATATGCATCCGCTGCATTGCGTCTTGAATATACCACTGCGCTTTTTGCGCAACCGATAGGTCGACTGGATGAAATCTCTGTTGGGACAATAACAAATTCAATTACGGGGTTATCGAATACAATTCAGCAAAGTGTGTCAGACCGGCTGGCTATCCTGTTTCAGTCTCTCGCACTGCTTGTTTCCGCTTACGCCATTGCCTTCAAATACTCATGGGCACTCACATTGGTGGTCAGTGCGGCGATCCTGTTCGTGCTGATCAGTTTTAGCATGACAGTACCATTCCTGGTGAAGATACAGCGGAACGTCGACAAGGCTGATAACCATCATGCAACTGTTGCAGGTGACGTCTTTAGCTCTATCCGAACAGTTTTCTCGTTGGGTGCAGAGGATCCATTGACCAAGAAATACGCCCGTTTAGTTGATGACGCCAAAAGGGAAGGCTTGCGGATGTCCCCCGTCACTGGTATCCACTTGGGGCTTCTTTTCTTTGCGATGTATGTGAGCTTCGCATTGGCGTTTTGGTTTGGATTGAAGCTCTACCGTGAGGGTCACATCGCCAATATCAACACGGTCATCACGTATGTTAAGATTCCGCTCAATGGCATCTCACAAGCCCTTTTTGACCATCATGCAGGGTCTTCTTCTCCGTGCTCCTCGTGGTAACAGTTTTGGGGGGTATCGCTTCACCCCTCATGGCCATTACCAAAGCAATCAGTGCATCAGGGGCATTTTTCAGCATCATTGACTCGGAGAAGATCTCCACAGCTGGGCTCAGGGACCAGGATGCGCTCTGTAGTGCCGATATCATATTTCGTGATGTTACCTTCGCCTATCCAAAACGGCCAGGTGTATACGCTCTGAATGGATTCAACGCCACAATCAAGAATGGAAAAACAACAGCACTAGTTGGGCCGTCAGGGTCCGGAAAGAGCACTGTGGTTGCGTTGCTTGAGAGATGGTATGAACTGCTTGATGAATCACCGTCAGATTCCACAGGGAAACTCCACTCGGGAGAAATTACTATGGACAATCGCCGCATTCATGAATTAGACCTGAAATGGTGGAGATCCCAGATCGGATTAGTTCAACAAGAGCCGTTTCTCTTCAATGACTCGATTCACAATAACGTTGCGTTTGGGCTGATTGGGTCGAAATGGGAAAATGAACCGGAGGCTGTGAAAGTGGGACTGGTGGTAGAAGCGTGCAGGGAGGCCTTTGCAGATGAGTTTATCACACGGCTTCCTCAGGTAAATTATCATTCTTGATAGTGTTGGAACTGTGCTAACATCATCATGTGCAGGGCTATTCAACGGTCGTTGGTGAGGGCGGGATTACCTTAAGCGGAGGACAACGCCAACGACTTGCTATCGCACGGAGCATTGTCGGGCAACCCTCCATTCTGATCTTCGACGAAGCCACAAGTTCTATCGACGTCCGCGCTGAAAAAATTGTTCAAGCTGCTCTCGACCGTATATCGAAGCATCGAACCACAGTTATAATTGCACATCGCCTCTCTACTGTGCGCCGAGCAGACAACATCATTGTTATGAAAGATGGTGTGAACATGGAACAAGGGACACATGAAGACCTCATAAGCAGAGGAGGGATATATCATGGAATGGTTGGCGCGCAACAACTTGAACCGCTTCAAGCTCTCGACAACGACGATGAATGGGATGGCGTGATCCTCCCGAAGGAGGAGATTGAGCCGCAAGAATACTCGATCCACAAGATTGAAGATGAAGAACAAGATCTGCAAGCTAGCCGCAAGCCGAAGGAAGTTGGCTTCTTTCATTCATTCGGCGTCGTCGCTCATGATCATCGGAAGCATTGGATTTTGTACACTTTGATCATCCTCGGGGCTGCCGGAGCTGGCTGTAAGTACCTATTTTAGACCCTTGTTGTGCACTCTGAACTGACAAAGTCTGTCAGCTGGATATGCGCTACAAAGCTGGCTCTTTGCACAGTTGATTCAGGTCTTCCAATTTACTGGACAGAAACTTGTTAATGCGGCTAATTTCTGGGCATTGATGTTCTTCATCCTGGCTCTTGCCATGGCGGCATTCTACTCCTTTTTGGGATGGACCTCAAACTCGGTCTCGCTGGTGGGTTCGGCTGCTGTGTCCGCTTGAGAATGGACCTCTAACATTGACTAGTCTGTCGCATCGACCTATCGCAAAGATTACTTTGTCAATATCGTCCGAGAGTCGGTTGCATATTTCGATCGGGAAGAGAACGCCTCCGGCAGCTTGGTATCCCGGTTGTCGACAGATCCAAGACAAATCCAAGAATTATTTGGCCCTACCGGTGTCTTCCCTCTGATATCTGTTTTCAATGTCATTGGATGTGTCATCATATCTTTCATCTTTGGCTGGAAGTTGGCAGCTGTTACGTTCTTTGCCGCCATGCCGTTTCTCTTCCTTTCTGCCTTCATGCGTATCCGCTACGAGGTCATGTTTGAATCTTTGAATGCAGAAGTGTACAAAGATAGTTCGCAGTTTGCAGCCGAAGCAATACGTGGATTCAGAACGGTCACCTCCTTGACCATGGAGGATCACATTATTACGCGTTATTCGGATTTATTACAGCAGCAACGGGAAAAAGCACTTCGAAAAGCTTGGTATGCGACGCTTGTCTTCTCGTTTTCAGATAGTGTGGAACTGTGTGCAATGGCTCTCACCTTTTGGTACGGTGGGCAACTGCTGGCATCTCGTGAATACGATACTACCGCATTCTTTGTGGTATATGTTGCTATTATCCAAGGCGGGCAGTCAGCAGGGCAGTTCTTCAGCTTTGGTCCCAACATCGCGCAGGCTAAGACCTCGATGAGTCGCATTCTGAGTGCTCGAGCGACGGCCAACGCCAAAGTGGAAAATACCACGACAGGGCCGCTTTTCTCTCCTGAGCAGAAGCACGCCGCTGATATCGAATTTCGAGACGTCACTTTCAAATATCCTTCTCGAAACGTCGCGGCATTTTCCAACCTCAGCGTATCGATCCCGAGGGGTCAATTTGTCGCCTTTGTTGGACCCTCTGGCGCTGGCAAGTCCACAGTCATCTCGTTACTTGAAAGGTTCTACGACGCTACCCACGGTTCCATCTTATTCAACGGACGGGATATCCGCTCTATTGAACTCTCCTCCTACCGAAGATGCATTTCCCTTGTCGCTCAGGAGCCGAGACTGTTCGATGGCAGCATCCAAGACAATCTACTCCTAGGTCTTGAATCGACGGACGACGAGGTCACACACGAACAGATGGTGCAAGCATGCCAAGACGCCGAAATCCACGATTTCATCCTATCTCTACCTAGCGGCTACCTCACGAATCTCGGCGTCAGCGCGCAAACATCGCTCAGTGGCGGCCAGAAACAGCGCCTGTGCATTGCACGGGCTCTAATCAGGAGGCCATTGGTTCTTCTTTTGGATGAGGCGACGTCCAGTCTGGACTCTCAGTCTGAGAAGCTCATCCAGGAGGCGATGGAGCGCCTAGCTGTGAAACGCAATATGACTATCATCGCGGTCGCGCACAGACTAGCCACTATCCAAAAGGCAGATAGCATCTTTGTCTTCGGGGAAAGTGTATCACATCGCGGGTCGGAGATATTGGAAAGGGGGACGCATCGCGAGTTGCTTCGAAACAAGGGACCTTACTGGCAAATGGTATGTTTACATTCAAGATAGCAATGGGTTGAGAGTAAAAGCTTACCAGGGAACAGTGCCAGGCACAGACTTTGGAGATGTAGGCTCTTCAAACGTCGAAAACATTGGATCAATTAGTCCATGTGCTACACGGCCGTGGGCCCGTGGCCTCCCTCCTACCTGCCTCCCGAGAGTCCCGACATCGTATACGGAAGGACATTCGTCATTCATTGACCGTGGTCATCACGTCGTGATCCTTGAGTATAGTAGAATGTGATTTATGAATATCCTCCCCTCTCCCCCAATAGTGCGGCCCAAAAACAGAACACGCGTGGTTTGGAAGGCGTCACGATGTCACATGACCTTTGTTTGCTGTCTCTGGCAGAATTCTACACACCGCCTCTCTACTCTCTTGTCAAGTCAATTCCCCACTCCTACACTCTCCCCTTTTTCCTCGGTGCGCCTTGTACTCTTTGTAAATATACGAGACCTCTCAATCTTACTTTTTGGGACTTTATATGTGCCTCTTACATCAAATTCCACTAGTCAGATTTGAAAAGCTTCTCGAACTCGCATGAACTTCTTTCGCCAGCTATTCACAACTAGAATTGAGTATTCTGGGAACTGAGTGGCTGCAATAGAAAAGGTAGCTGAACGATATCATAACGCGTCTTCGCCATTTTCTTTTCAGTCGCAATAAGGCGGTCTGCACCCTGTACAAGTCGGAGAAGGCGAGCCTCCAGAGATGATTGATTTGTGATCGCCCTTCGCGAAGCGATCTCTGGACTGGTCAGAAATTGCAAGTTCACCGGGTCGCTTGAAATGACCACAACCAAGGTATCCATCACCGGCTTTGCTTTGGAGATATTGCGCGGCCATTTGACCTTGAGTCCCTCAAGTCTAGCCTTACTACCGCCGATTGTGTGACTCCACCCCGGGGGCAGGTCGATCCCATCTGGGTTTTCGGTCACTGGATTGATCTGACCATTCACCTCCACTTCAAAAACAGACACGAACAAACTGCCATACGCGTCATGGTTTTTGAGGGTGATGAAGATGTTGGAGTTTTCAGTGATTGAATCCTCTCCAGTGGGATTGATGATTCTTCCGTGACGCCCCTCGTCCACTAACCCAAGCTCGATTTGAAGATCATGCCGCAAATGTTCCTCTGAGCTATCAGAGGTGTCGACAAGGAAGTGTTGCGCGCGAGCAATTCGATCTGCAACCTCAACGGCTGCTTTGTACATAGCAGATGTGGGATCCTTGCCATAGAACCGCTGTGAGAAGACTTCCACTCCATACTTGTTGGTCACAGTGAGTTTGCCGCCTTGTTGGTTAATGTTCACTAGAGGACATGTCTCGTTATCGTAGCTGCACCTGATGAGCTTGGATTGCTCAACATGCTTCTGAAGTGCGGCAATGTCTGCTGGAACGGAGACTGGCCATTTGTAGAGAGCTTCTTCGGCGAGAAACGCCAGTGCCCCTCCACAAGGAAATTGACAGCTCCCGTTCTTCCAAGTAAGTGTTGCGACAGCGTCAAACCCGCTGGCATCTATGACTGTAGCAGTGGCGATTTGGGATTGCGAATTGACAACTTCCGATCCAGGCGGCATAACTGTATAGATGTTTTTCTCCCGGACCCCTGCAATCCTGCCAGCTTTGATTATAGCTTTATCGTGGCCATCTTGCTTGATGAAAAGAGAAGTAGAGTCCCGGCCATCCAAAGAAAACAGAAAGCGGGTGTGCGGTCCTTCTACTCGCGGATGCTGCTGTGGAAAGGATGTATTGACTAGTTCCTGTACACGAAGCATCACTGTTTTCCAAGAGATGTGGTCATCATCTGTTTCTTCAATCACGCGAACGAGGGCCTCAGTCAATGCGCCAACTGGCATCCCCCAATCATTTTCATATTCATACGCGCTTTCCCAAGGTGCCGCGGCGGCAATTCGCACTGCGTGAGGATTATCTCCCAGGTGTGTGCGTTCTCGAAGCAATCCCTTCTCTTGTAGCGACTGAATATAGAGGGCGATATTATGATAAAGAGTTGTAGGGAGGTTCTTTCGTCTGGATGTGTTGACATAGCGAGAGTCGCGCACCATGCGACCGGAATGACAACAATCCAAGATGACGGTGACGTTTTGCGTTTTGTTTGTGGTATCAAGCAGCCACTGAGACAGCTCCTCTTCTGAAATTCCATGGAACTCTCCGGGGACCTCCTTATAATCTATTGGGACAATGTACTGGAGCCGCCGTGGCTGACTAGAATCCTGTTGGTCTGCACTCTTTACCGACAAAGCTTCTCCACCATGCCCTGAATAGTATATCACAACTGTATCATCAGGTGAGATCTGGGATATGAGATCGTGCCAAGCAGAACGAATACCATCGCGAGTTGCTGCTGAACCACAACACTGAGAGATTTGGAACCCCCGCTTGTGCAGGACTCTGGAGATCATCTCAACGTCGTTCTCTGGCCCCTCGAGTTCCCCATATGGGCTTGCAATAAGCAGCGCGCACTTGGTTGGGGGCATAATGGATATTATGGTGGATGAGAAAGAATTCCGATAGATTCAATGGAGAAGCCAGATATTGGACATCAAGTACCAGCAGCCGAACCACTCTCCTTTCATAGTAGCTGGCATCAATTGGGATAACATTAACAGAATTTCGTAAATATCAGTTTCTCAAGACGCAACTTTTCTCAGTGGCTTGAAGTCCGGCAAATAACGTGCTAAGAATACGCGAAAGCTAGTCTCAAAGGGGCAGGAGTCCGAGAAGGTATTGACCAGTTAGCGTTTTGTCAAACCATGACGGGGATCGGCCCGAACCTTACCAATCACTTATGGTCTCGAGCTGAGCGTTCTGTTTTATTTTGTAAGTATTATCACCGCTGAGTGTTATGCCAGGTCTCTGTGGACTAGAAATGCTCTCCGATTAGGGTAATGAGGACGGGACAGGGTGTGATAGACACCCGCCGGCCACGTCAATAGCCGATGTACATGTACGCATTATCGTGAAAGACCCGTACTTTGACCTGCAGCATCTCCCGCCTATCATGGATTGTGGAGGTTGCTGCGCCCCTCTTCGTAAAGTGTCATAACTACATACTGCTCACGCAGGTACCCTTCTCGCACTGCTCTCTCTTTCGCAGTTCGACCTACTAGATCATGGCCCAACCCATGGGTCAAATTTCTTCTGTGGACAACAGTACTAGCACAGACACTGATATTAACGCAGAATCTCACACCATTCCTGCTGTTGATCTCCCAGACCCGGACAGGCTGGCGTACCTGACGGAGGTAATAGATCTACCCCGCCATCCTCCTCGGAGGGAGCCCACTGCGAAGGTAAGAAACTCAATTGCTTTCTCTATCCTTGCCCCAATGTTTATCTTTACCGCAAGGGAATTATTGGCGCAGCAGTGCGTACCCTCAAAAATATACCCCCTTGTGTCTGGGTCGTCAATCACCATTCGGAAGAAATAACGGTTGTCGTCTCAAAATACAAACCAGACCGTCTCCTAACGGGCCTGGGACTAACGGCCTCACCCACTGCAGTGGGGTTGAGCTTTGAGACCACGGTATAGTATACTACTATGGTGCTCCAGGTTATGGTGACTACGTAGGCTAACTGTGCAAAGGCGTTCGTCGGGCCAGCTTCGCGGAAAACACTTGCAGCTCGAGACCAGGGCCGTGAAAGAAGCACGGCTGTTTTCCCATTATGGACCCGCCAAGATGGATTCGGTGTAATCAGCATATACAAAGGGGCCGAGCAAATATTGTATATCGAAAATGATAGGGTGCCGCTGGGAGCGACGGTTCATTTTGAGGATAAGCCAGATTTGCGCATCGTGAAGCACAAGTAACAGCGAACTATTCTATGTGTGCTGCCTTCTTTTCTTTTCCTTTTGTCGCCCAATGCCCAGCCAATAATTACAGCCACAAGTGCGGTAGTCTCGGCCAGCCACTCTAGTAATATACCTGTACCGCCCTATCCGACGGATACGTGGAACGATTGGAATGGAACCTAGAGCTGTGGATGAACTCAGGTACTTCGAGGTATTTTGGCCCCATAATGCGTATTCGTAGGAGATCTCACCCGTATCGGTCCGAGGAAATCACGAAGTCCTTCAAACCCCTCGATAGTTATTCAATCAGTTTAACATGTTTGGCTACGTTTTCAGCGGCTATGTGAATTTCAAGGAATACTGCGTCTAATAAACTGAGAACATCAACAGGACAATAACATAGCACCATAGCACTGAAACAAAAGAAAACACTAGCAAACAAGGGTATGGATTTGCAGGAGTCTGCCCGTCTCGCTCAAGCAGACCTCGACGCTACCCCAGAGCACCACCCCGATCATGCATCTAGGTTGAATGACCTCGCAAACATTCTCTCAGCCCGCTATCATCAATTTGGGAATGTGGGCGATTTACATGAAGCAGTCCGGCTGGGACAAAGAGCCGTTGACGCTACCCTTGATGATGACCCCAACCTTGCACACTGGTTGAACGAACTCGCGGTGCACCTGATAACTCGATATCTTCGAACCGGGAATCTGGGTGATTTACAGGAGGCAGTAGGCCATATCCGGAAATCAGTCGATGCTACCCCAAGTACACATGCCGATCGAGCGTTACGGTTAAACAATCTCGCAAATGCTCTTTCAACTCGGTATGATCGAACCGAAGACATGGGAGACCTACAGGAGGCAATTCATCTCGCACAGTCAGCTATCGCCATCACCTCGGAAGATGACCCTGATCTAGCACACTGGTTAAATGAACTAGCGATGTATCTGAAAGCCCGATACCTTCGGACTGGAAACTTGGATGATTTGCAGGAGGCCATTCGCATTATTCAAAAATCTGTCGACATCACCCCACAAGGCCACCCCAGTCTACCAAATCGGCTACGAAATCTGGCAAGCAGCCTCTCCACCCGACATGGTCGTACTCGGAACGTGGAAGACTTAGAGGAAGCAATCCGGCTGGCCAAATTGGCTGTTGTTACTACCCCGGAGGATGATCCCGACCTACCGTCCCAGTTGAGCAATCTAGCAAACCATCTCTCAATTCGATATGATCGATCTGGAGATCTGAATGATCTAAATGAGGCTATCCGACTGTCCGAAAGAGCCATCGACGCTACCCCAGAAGAACACCCCGACCTAGCAACCCGGTTGGACAATTTAGCAACCCATCTCTCGGCCCGATACGATCAAACTGGAAGGGTGAAGGACTTACAAAAGGCAATTCGGTTGGCCAAATCTGCCGTCAAAGCTACCCCAAAGGACCACCCTGAGCTCGCAGACCGGCTGGGTAGTTTGGCGAACCATCTTTCAACCCGATACGATCGATTTGGAAAATCGAATGATTTAGAGGAGACCCTCCGCCTAGCCCAGAGATCAGTCGATCTCACCCCGGAAGACCACCCTGATCTAGCATCCCGATTGAACAATCTAGGAATTCATTTCTCAGACCGATATGATCGGACTGGAGATTTGAATGATCTACAGCAGGCACTTCGTTTGGCTCAAAGAGCCGTCTACGCTACTCCAGACGGCTACCCCAGTAAAGCAATTCGATCACTTAATCTAGCGAGCAATCTTTCGACCCGCTATGACCGGACTGGAAACCTGCATGATTTAGAAGAGGCAGTCCGCCTAGCACAAAAGGCCGTCGACGAAACTCCAGAGGATCAATTTGACCGAGCACACTGGCTGAATAGTCTGTCGATCTTTCTCTCCACCCGATATCATCGGGCAGGACACTTTGATGATCTCCAGGAGGCAGTGCGGCTCGCTAATATAGCCGTGGGCGCTACCCCAGGCGACCACCCCGATCTACCAAACCGGTTGATCAATCTGGCTAGCAATCTCTCAGCCCGATATGATCGACCTGAAGCCTCGGACCTGAATGATTTACAGCAGGCGATCCAGCTAACCCAAAGAGCCGTTGACATTACACCAGAAGACCATCCTGACTTGGCACATTGGTTAAATAATCTAGCCATTTATCTTTCAAAACGATACATTCGAACGGAACTCCTGGTTGATTTAGAGGAAGCAATCCGAGTCGCTCGAAAAGCCGTCGACAACACCCCAGAAGATCATCCCGATCGCGCACCCTGGTCGAATAATCTTGCTATCTGCCTTTCGATCCGATACCAACGTATGCATCGGCATATGGACAAAACCGCGGCTTTGAAGTACTTCGCACAAGCCCTCGATTCCTACAATGCAACACCACGGCATCGCATCGAAGCTGCACGTCGAGCGATCAATCTTCTTGTTCCGGATGGCGATTTTGATCAAGCTCAGGAGCTAGCGGGGAAAGCATTAAATCTTCTGCCTCTCGTATGCAGCCGGTACCTCTCCCGAGAAGACCAACAGTATGCAATTCAGCAAACGTCCGGCCTAGCCGCCGAAGCATCTTCTCTTCTCCTTCGAACAGACAATGATCCAGCTCGAGCTTTGGAGTACCTGGAGCATGGCCGAGGCCTCATTATTGGATACCTCATTGACAATAAGGGCGATATCTCAGACCTGTCCGCTCAGCATCCCCGCGAAGCAGAGGCGTTTGATCAGCTTCGCCACAAGGCCTTTAAGCCTGTTCGGCAAGAAGACCCGCTTGAGACTCGCCGACAGCTGTTACAAGAGCGTGAAGAGGCCATAACAGATTTAGAAACCTGCCTAGCGGATATTCGAAGACTAGCGGGATTCGATCGATTCCTGCTCCCCCCTTTTTCTAAGGCCTTACAGGTCCACGCCGCCGATGGTCCGATTGTGTTCGTGAATGTCACATCGATCGGTAGTGATGCCTTGATTGTTCTTCCCTCTGGAATCAGACATATTCCATTGCCCCATTTTGATGTATCGAAGGTCAACCAATACCGGTCCTGGGGGCTGACTCGTGGCCCGTCAAGATTGATCGAGCTGAGAGAGACGCAAGGGCCGAACACCGAGCTTCAACAGCTTTTACACATTTTGTGGTCGGACTGTGTTCGCTTGGTGCTCGAGGAGCTCGGATTTCTCTGTCCTGCATCCGATAGTGCACTTCCTCGCATATGGTGGATCGGCACGGGTCTTGCTGCCGCCCTTCCCTTCCATGCGGCCGGTGATCATTCGCCAGGCTCACTTGAGAATACCTTCAGTTGCGTTATTTCTTCATACACACCATCAATAAAAATGCTACAATTCGCAAGGGAAAGGTCACGCGTCATACTTGGTGCACAGTCGGTGTTGCTGGTCACAATGACGAGAACTCCCGGTCAAGATGATCTCCCTGGAGTAATGGCGGAGGCCCAAGCAATCCAGGAAGCAGTCACTATACCGCATCAAATGAAATTATTGATTCAGCCTAGTGCAGAGGAAGTTCTTCGGGGACTCCAAGATTGCAGTATCGCACATTTCGCGTGCCACGGATCGTCAGACATGGATGATCCCTCGAACAGTTTTCTGGCTCTTCAAGGGCAGTCTGACGAGGCCGCCGATCCTCTAACAGTCCGGAAAATTTCGGAGTCCCATATGAGGCAAGCTTGGCTTGCATACCTTTCTGCCTGCTCCACTGCGGAGAACAAAATATCTGAATTGGCAGATGAGGCCCTCCATCTTGCGAGCAGTTTTCAGGTCGCGGGTTTTGCACACACAGTCGGGTCAATGTGGTCATCTAATGACGATATCTGTGTGCAAGTAGCTGCCATTTTTTATCGTGAACTAATTACCAACAGTGGGTTGGCAGGGGGTAACAGGGCTGTCGCAATAGCGTTGCACACGGCGGTGATGAATGTACGTGAAGGAAATTGGGAAAGGCCATATCTTTGGTCCCAGTACATTCACTTTGGTGCCTGAATCATATATTGAATGCCGATGAGTCGCATAACTACTGTTTCTCCTTACAAAAGTCAACATGCACTGATCTAGAAGCTTGGTTGACAGTATAAAAGTTGGCTTCGTCTTGATCAATTTTCATTTGGAAAAGCAATAACGATCAATCTAGCAACCCTAATCATGAGAATTCCCTTCCCACCCTTTGCTGGGCCTCTTATCACCCCCCCAAATCTCTATGTATGTAAAACTATCTTAAAATCATATGGCCGGCTTATCGCAATGTCCCAGCTGTCCCAGCCATGGCATTGGTACCAGTTAGAGCCTTCATTCCCAATGAAGAAGTTGGATTGCGCTTCATTAAAGAAGTTCTTCAGCCAGAGTTCGGTGTCGTACCTACTTAGTCTAGAGCTGATCTTTTGGAAGAGCTCTGATGAAGCTGTTTCTTTGGAAGCCCGGAAAAGGAACACATTTTCCACCTGGAAAGTCTTGGTATATTGGTTAAACCCAGCTCCAGTTTGGACAAACACCTGTGCTAGAGGATGCTGAACAGTGCAGAGATGCGAAAACGTTCCACCCCGATAAAATGAATGTCTTAAAGTCTCTCGTTTAGATCGAAAGTACTCAATTGGATGTTGTTTTTGGTGAAATGTGATACTGGAGCATGGACAAATGTCAACTTTGTCATCGTGTTGGGTGTCGCACCAAGCATTAAATTCGGATATAGCGGGCTTTGGGCCACATGTCCACCGAAATTTGAGAAACTGCCATCGAGAGGCCCGGTGAAGATTTTGACATCTATTGCAGTATTCCCAGCGCTCGTTTTGAAGGCGACGAAGTAGCAACGTCCTAGGCAATGTTGATAGGACACATATTCCACGCTGTGCGTTATATGAGACATAGCAGGCATGCAACCTCTTGCAGCTCAGTGCAAAACAGGCTCGGTCGAGGTGGGAAAAGAAGCTGGAAGATCCTTTCGACTATCTTTGGAGGCATCTTCCAGAGTGTCTTGGATTTCTTGGGCTCGACTGTTTCGACGCTAGGTGGATCACGGACTCGCAAAATATTGCGAAAAGGTATGCAGCGTCGAATCATGGTGAGCAATGAACCATTCATTCAATTGATATCTTGTACAGGAAAGATTTTGATTGCTGGAGTTGGAGGGGAAGAGGGATTTATTTAGTATCATACTACTATGACACGCACACGTCCACAGTTGGATAACATTATGACTGACGTTGATTTGACACGTCTGACTCCTTTTACACGCCTAATCTCCCGATGTTGCGATGCTAATTCTTCACCTTCACTCCAACTCACACTATCAGAGTCAGTTCCCCGGTCTTGCTAGCTCAGGATGATTGACCGTTGACATCTTTAATTAACTAGTGCCGACCTTGATATGTTGTTTCACCCTGCTCTTGCGAGGATCGTCGAGGCGATTCAACGCCAGATCGAAGAGGCGAATAACTCTGCCCGTGAAATCGTGATTAACGTACGGCACTACAAAGGACCGCAAATTAGCCAAGATCTATGCTGACAGACTCCAGAGGATTATCCTTGTCGGGGGATTCTCCCTTTCACCTTATCTCTACAGAAACCTGCAGCAACTATTCGGAAGTAGCTGTGTGATCCACAGGCCGGATCAAGGGTTTGTCCTTAATATCCTTTGTATATTCTTATGTGAATTGCTAAAACTCCTTAATAGGATAATGGCCGTGGCCCGAGGAGCGGTCTTATGGGGGTCCGGCGCTTGCCGGCCTCGGACTAGAGTGGTTCGATGCCATTACGGATTACAAGGGCCGATTTTGACAGATGAATCATTGAAAAATGAAGCGGCTCATGTCGCTGCGAGATCAAGTCTTACCTCTCAGGCTAAGCGGCTATGTTGGGTGATCAAGAAGGTGATATCTCCCCGAACATGGAGGCTCGATGGAGCTTCGACACGAGCCAGATGGAAACTCTTTTTTTTCTAATGCTGTGCTCGATCTACAGGGAGAACGGTACCATGCGAATTACATTCATGAACAGAGTGGTATTCTGCTGCATCATCAAGGAGAGACTGCTATCAAGACAATCATCATTTGTTGTTCGGAGAGAGACCCTCCACCTACCAGCGTCAACGATCCAGGTCTGTTATTTTATGTCTTCTATCCTGTCCTATATACTTACCATCTTCTTCAGGAACTGCGTCGATTGGTCGCCTGATTTGCAACATATCCCGTGTCCATTTACCCAGCTGCCTCCACTTTGAAGTGGACTGTCGGTTACACTACTTTGTGGAGTATCAGATCCGTATTCAGCTGGGCGAATGTGGTGGGCTATTATACTTTGAGGTTACTTGTCAGGGGAAAACACTCGGGAATGGGGAGGTCAGAGTTGATTACTTCAGAAAAGCACTCAAGAACTAAGAGAAGAGCAACTCTTGAGAAACAGCTGGAACAGTATGTCAATTTCTTGGCAGCAAAGCCAACATTTTACTAGACTCACATTATGTTCGAAAACAGTGTCGCCAATAGCGAAAAATAAGGCTAAGCTATGTTTCGATAAAGGAGCGGTTTGTACGTCCCATAATCGGGAAAAGAATGGAGCTATTCTTAGAAAAGGATGATCTTTCATGTGCCCCTTTTCTTATGTTAGAGAACCACCAATACACACATCTCTTTGATCTCATTCGCTCTGCCGCATCCTAGTCCATACTGTTTAAGCTTGCTTCGACATTTTATTACTTACTATGTAACTAGAATACTGCTAAATTTAGGAGTCAGGGATAGACTAACCATAATCGGTATAGCGAGATGTCTAATAAACTCAAAGAATTGATAGGAACCAAGTGGTGAAACTGGTTTCGAGCGCCTATAGCAGGACTGGCTTTTCTTTGACGGAGATCGGGGCTGCTCGTAAGAATGCTCAAAAACCTTAGACACGGCCAGTTCAATAGGGCAAGTGATCCAGCACGAGCCCGAGCTTTATCTAACTCTGTGGCCCCAAGTATATTGCATGTGACAGTGCCGCCGATGTAAATAAAATACACCATTGCTTGTAGCCTCGTCATAGGACCCCATAGTGCTCGCCTTCGGAGCAAATAGGGGAGTATCATGTGTCGCCTAACTAGGCCGTACATGCGACGGATACGGGAAGTCGGCCGAGGATGAAAATATTGCTGAAGAAAAAGTAAAGACAATAGTGCTGCCACGACATAAAGATAAACTAAGAAAATATCCATTTGGATGAACAAATTTAGTTGGAAAAAGGACTTTGGAAGGTGATGACCTATTTAAAGCGTACCGGACCGCTTGGAAAGTGGGGCAAAACCACGATTTTAAACCTCAAGCATTCGGTGTGTCACTGATAAAAGCCCACCATTTCCCTTGTCTTTTTCAATACAAAGTTTCAGCAAAAATGTCCGCTCAGGAGGGTACCAATTACAAAGCTTCCCATAATCGGGTCTCTGTTTTTCCTAGGTCTGACGCCCGTTTGAAGCGGCCTCTAGCAGAACCTGAATCGACAGTCCAAGGAACCAAACAGGGTGCGCTAAAACTCCAGAAGCAGCGTCAGGGGGTTTTCACTGCACTGTCAAAGACAGCTTGCAACCCTTGGGGTCGATATCGAAAGAGCTTCAAGATAAACCAGGCAGGACTCGGGTGGGTTGTTCATGCAAACAACAACACATTCTCGGAGGCTATTATTAAAGAGGCGAAAACCACCAAAACAGAGCTATCGAGAGTGATCACAAGCCCTCATAAAAACTTTGTTGAACTCCAAGAGGCAATATATTACGAGGGCGCCATATTTCTGGTCTATAAGATTATGGATGTTTCATTAGGTCAAATTTTCAGCTCACCCCTTGGTCGCCTTCAGCTTTTTGAAGTGGCGGCCTTTTCACGGGAGATTTTGACAGGCCTCGAGCATATTCACAAACGTCTGAAGATAACCCATGGAGATATATCATCGAGCTCTATCCTTCTGTCAGTAACGGGTGCCGTCAAGATAGGTATGCTGTCATGATAAGAGAAGTCAATCAAATACTAAATGAACTAGGAAATCTAGGAACCTCCATGCTTCAAAATAACGATATTAGGGACTCACAAAGTGACATTGAGTCTGTTGGCAAGATAATCATTGAATGTCTTGAGCCGAGTACATTCTTGCGAAAGGTTGGCTCTCTCGTGTCTGACTGGGGATCTAACGCTATGGATTTTGTCGAGTCTACCAGATCACGGTCTGCCAGTCAACTCCTGAAAGTCAGTTTTCCTTCTTGGGTATCCTAAATCCGGTTTAACAATGACTAGCATGATTTTTTTACAGCTCTCTCCGGGAGCCGCGTGCCTCAAGCCATATATTCGGTTTTCCCGAGAGGTAGCTGCTAAGGAAGTGGAAGTTATTTCCGAAGAACTTAAGATGAATTAGAGAAAGAATACATATACACCAGATTTTAGGCCGCCCGACATGGCTTTCCATTTCCGCTTTAGTGCTCACCCCTAGCCGCTTTTTGCTCACTGAGTAAAACTGAGCACGTCCCTGAGTATTACATAATCATTAAACTTGCTCACTGAGCATCGCCTGATCATTACATAAGCCGGATGAACCCGCTCACTGAGCGTGACCTGAGCACTCTGATTTGCTCACTGAGGGGCCTATCCCGCTCACTGAGCGTGACCTGAGTACTCTGACTTGCTCACTGAGCATCGCCTGATCATTACGTAAGCCGGGTGAACTCGCTCACTGAGCGTGACCTGAGCACTCTGATTTGCTCACTGAGGAGCCTGATCCCCCTCACTGAGCGTGACCTGAGTACTCTGACTTGCTCACTGAGCATCGCCTGATCATTACGTAAGCCGGGTGAACTCGCTCACTGAGCGTGACCTGAGCACTCTGATTTGCTCACTGAGGAGCCTGATCCCCCTCCCTGAGCGTGACCTGAGTACCCTGACTTGCTCACTGAGCATCGCCTGATCATTACATAAGCCGGATGAAGTCGCTCACTGAGCGTCGCCTGAGCAAAGTTGGAGCAGCTAAGTCAGCAGCTCACCTCAATAAAATGCACCACGCTAGCCCCATCCCAATGCAGTCGTTCACCCAGCACTCTTGACCGTTGTCCCCTTAACGAAAGGCTAGCGTCATCAATGTGGCGGTCGGTCCTGGTTATTTCGCCTCTAGCTGGGAGGCATATGCACAGTGGGGCCGCATTTGTTGGCATTACTATTCTGCGGCTATGCCACTATTCAACTCGTCAAGTCTCGCATTCACATCTCTACATAGTTGCGGGAAATATCCAACCCCCTATTTTTGGGTTCTACAATATTGAGGAATATCTCAGTAAAGTCCAGTCAAATGGTTTTTAAATCCAATTTAGTGTTTTATTCTGATTCTTTTTTCCTCTTGATTCCTAACGGACTATCGCTCTTGCTGCCGCCACTTGCTCCTAGGAACAAAGGAGTACGAATTCAGCTCTAGTGACCTGGACATTCGCAGAAATATTCTAGACCGGTCATGCTACTGGATGATCTACCTGCCCATGACGGAATTTGTGCCTCCTCATTTACCTGGTATTCTAACTAGCACTTAGAACATCCCTCATCATAACTAAATGAAGCCTGATAGGTCTTCTTAGGAGCTCCCAGACCCTCCGTGCCACGACAATATGATTGGTGAGATGAGTATAGATCCTAGGAGCTCAAGTGCTGGTGCCCATTGGTATTTGCGGGGACTGGCCGATAATGCTGAGAGTCAAAGTATATAAAAGAAACACTGATCCCTCCTAGAGTGAACATATCCAAGCTTCAAGCATTTCTCCTCAAGACTGCTCATAAGCTCAAGCGACCGTCGGCATTCCGGGGTCTGTCTCTTTCCAGCCCCTCAGCCAGAGCAAAAAGCTAACTATTGTGCAGACTTTCTGATGCTGCAAAGGAAACCGCCGACCTGGTAGATATCCAATTATTCCATCCGATTAGAGTTGCAAGACCATTTCTTGCATATTATTGAGCTCTGAATCTGTTATATATGGCCAAGACCTATGGGAAGACGTAAGTGACTCTCACTATTCTACCAGGGGGAGCGCGAGAATTTGCAGGGGCCTGTGGCTGACTGAATTTAGTAGCGTAAAATCCATTGAGATTTGAGAGAGAACAGATCCTAGCTTGATTTTTCGGTCTGATTACACGTACTAAAGCCCACAGTACTTGCACATGCTCTTTTTGTCATTTACCCAGACGCGAATGGTGTGCTTCCCCCGATTGAGCTGAACCAACGATAGTCCCTTCCACGCAAGTGAGTTTGATCCGCGACGCCCGTTCTTCTCCATCAAATGCCAGGCATCAACAGAGACCAATGTCTGTGAGATATCTGAGCCTTTCACGAACTTGGTTTACATGTTACTTATTTAGATGAGATTTATATGGTACAATAGTACTCCTTCCGAGGATCAGAAGGTCCCAGGTGGAGTTCCGCACCCGAAAGAGACAGTTTGAAGATGCCACACATACACTTGAAAATGAGTCCTCGCCCCTTCTATCACCACTACGATAACGAATACTCTCGTAACGTTCGCATCCCTTCTTAATTGTCCCCATAATTCTCCGAAGCACAGCCCCCGGTGCAGTCTAGTGTGTGAGATTGGCTAAAACAGGAGATATATGGGCAAGGCGCGACAACCTACTTCCAGATGCCTAGGACATCTCAGGAGACATATTAGAACCTGGAAAATCGACGCGTGAAAGCGCAATTACGCCTTGAGACTCTATTGAAAATAGCCTGGCCATTTCGGTAATCAGGTTAGTCAGCTATGTTCTGGGCTTGTATTCGATACAATTGCGCATTATTTACCGGTGTGAGGTAATTACAGTGGTTTTATTCAACCTGCACAGCCACCGCTTTGAAACAGATAAGCCACAATACTTGGAACATCTGTAAATTCAGAGTGACATAGAACAGGTATGATCATGTATGATACCATTATCGTATGGTGTCGTTGCAGCTTATATTCAAGCTTGGAGGCGAGCACTCGGGAACGAGACACTGTGTGTCTCGCTTGCCGAGCAGGGGATCACCTCCACCATGCGCTAAAGCCTATCTAGAATAGTGTATATACATGACCATGACCCACTATTCTCGACACTTGCTATTGTCGAGAGCCTCATAAATCCGGCGATACTTTGCCTCCCACTGCTGCCTTTCCTCAAGTAACTCCTCTGAACATATTTGGCCGCGTTCAAGCTTAGCAGTAAGTTCCCGGTTTGCGTCTTCGAGTCGTCGAATAGTGGCCGTGAAAGAATGATTCTCCAAAGCTGTCCCGAGTGGCTCGGAAAGCTTCGATATGCTTGACTGCTTGGGTTTTTCAGCATTTGGGAAGCCCAGCAAACATTGGTTGCTCACCTCGTCGCTAATACTTTTATAGGGGCCTGCATCAGACTCGCGCAACGTCTGCGGACTAACAGCTTCGATAGAGCACCCGAGTGCATCGTGTATCGCCTGGTACAAGCCGATCGTTCCATTACTTAAATTCGATCTCAACAAATTTTCTTGAGACTAGATACTCAGGAATGTTTATTGGTGTTTCTGGACGATTCAGCATGAGGCTAACAACCACCCCTGTTAATCAGTCAGAATAACCACATTGGCTGTAGTTTATTTGAAAAATAAATTATACCTGGTAAGATCTAAATGTAATTGACAATGATCATTTCTGTATGCCCAGTTCATTTCCGGATTCAATGGGTCGCCAGCAGCAAAGTATAGTAGGTTTCCCCACCTGTTGGAGTCAGATACAATGACGGGGACCATATCTGCAAAATGAGGCTGGCGGCCGACCACGATGTAAAGCAGGACTTTTATGCTCTCAACCACAATGCCAGGCAATGTGGTGAATGAAAAAAAACTCTTTGAAGGATAAACAGAGATGAGGGCCGCGCTTGGTTTTTGACGTTGATATCGATTTACATCGCTCAAATGTTGTGGTTCGATTACTCCTAGAAAACAAGTATCCGCTCAACGCTATGAGACCGGGCCTATGTTAGCGGCATGGTGTTGAAATTCCCCAAGTATATAGTGCCTATATCTCATTCTGCGTTCGCTCGCAATCCGATTTCGATATCATGAACTTTCGAACCTTAGTGAGTCTGCTTTTCTTGGTAGGCGTCAGTGCGCAGAGAACTATGTTCAGAGGGACCGGATTTGGAACATACTACTACGATGTGAGGCAAGTGGAGGCCTGCGACACATCGTTTGTGGCTCAAAATTTGGGCCCTCTGGAGTGTAGCTCGCAGAATGCTTTGTCACTGAACCACGTGAACTCGAACTATGTGGTTGCCATGAATCATAGCCAGCTTAAATTGGACATGTCAAAGTATTGCGGAAAGCGGGTTATCGTCACCGTCAATGGCGAGCAGTCAAACCTACCGCTCTTTATCGGCGATGGATGTCAGCGTTGTGCAGGAGGATCGGCTTCAAGTGACGTCTGGAATGCGGTCGCCGCCCCCGGTCTCGACTTTAGTTACTCTGTCCTGGAAGAGCTGTCCGGAGGAGCTGCATGTGCTGACGGTCACATTCAAATTGCCTGGGAAATTGTGGATGACACGATCTATAACTTCTCGGATGGTGTAAATTTCGAAACGGCACCCGCGGAGGCTAGTGAAGAGCGGACGACCTCGTCAGCTGCGCTCGTAATGTCCACATCTCTTTCCGCTGCCAACTTTCTCCATACGCCAGTTAACGACGATCCAGTGCAAAATGCCGTCGGTTTCCCGACGTTAGGGACGTGCACAGGTGCTACTGACAGCCGCCTGAGCCGTCCTTGCCCGACAGGGATATGGCGATGCAACGGAAGCATCCTCGAGCAATGCCTTACCGACAGATGGACTCCTCGCATCACTTGCGGAGCCGCGATGACTTGTCAGGGTGGTAGCCACCCCTACTGTGTCCAAGCCCCACATTCGTCGGGTATCTAAATTACTAGACTCTGTACGCCGCGCTACGCGCGGCTGGGCATTACACCTTCTACATGGATACCTGCGGTAATTCTAAAGCAATACTGCCTTCGTTAGGCGCAAGTATAACAGTCTTCTTCTTTTTAGGCTTAGAAACAGTAACAGCCGGCGCCGGAAACCCATCTAGGTGCTTGGTATTATCCATCAACCTGAAAGGGTTAGTCTCCAGACCATCAACATGTGTTCCATCTTCAGCAGAGAAGTCGGAGTCCTCCACCGAGGTAAGATCGTCATCAGAATAATGCTCACCGGTCGAAGTAGACGGTTCATGTTTATAAAGTCAGACTGACAGCCACTATATCATCAGAATCGAAATACAGACCTTCAATATTTTCCGCTTGGTGCCTAGCTCTCCCCTTCCCCTTCCGATTCGATGCTTTAGTGGGAGTCGGCGATGCGTCACGGTCTGGTTGATGTCTCTTAAAAGGAGACGAAGCATCTTCAATCTCCTTCCGTTTTGCCATTCTCATCTGGCGGATCGACCCTGGCGTAGTCGTACTCGATTGAACTGAAGTAGCCATTTCAGTAGACGTTGACGAACCTGACATTGTTGCCATCCTAGTTTGTTCGTCGACCAAGGCACATGGAAGGTCGAAGCCACTTCGCTGTAGGACACAGGCTAATCTCCCCTGATGGAATATGGATAATAGTATTTTTATAAATCGTCCGCCATGTTGACCACCTCGGAGAGCTAACATCGAGCAAACAAAAGATCTGAAAGGATAGGTCTTTTGCACAGGCCACGTGCGGGATCTAGGGGTGTTTTCCACCCCAGGCCACCTTAGAGAGAAAGAGACAGATACATCAAGACTACAAATGAGGAAGGATGTCCAAGCACGCCTCGAAACGCAGTTACAATACCAAAATCGTTGGCTTCAAGCAGCAGAGAAACAGGCTTTTGATCTTAGAGAACAGGTCAGCATATTGGAGGTTGAACTGGCACGTCAGAAGCGGAAGCATTGTCAATAGATCAACGTGGACATCACGGAGCGACCTCACCCTCTGCTGCAGTGCCTATGGAGATGGGAGGCCGCAAGTCTTGCTCATAATTGTGGATTGAAGAAAATCACTCAACAGTGGATGTCAGTCGCGATCCTCGTTGTCCTAAGTCAATGGAACATGAGCCGTCTTGCGCCTGTCATTTCAATGCCGGATAGCTTGTCTATACCGTATCTCTTAGGGACGTGAGCTGGTCACCGGAATCATTTGACTGCCTGCAAATTCCGCCAGAAAGCAAGACTCTCCTCTTATCAATGGTGAAAACCCGCTTGGGTCTGATACCGACAGTACCCTTTGACGACGTAATTGATGGAAAAGGTCAAGGCCTCAACATCCTTCTGGAGTATGTCGGCAAACTGTTTATGTACTATATCGTGGCTTCCGTCCTAACCCGTGTTAGTGGCCCACCCGGCGTCGGAAAGACGTTCACGGTTGAAGGAACCTCAGAATATTTGAAGCGGCCTCTCTATTCGGTACGAGCCAGTTGTGGCGCTGATTGTGGCCTCACTGACATTCCCAGATATCCGCAGGCGGGCTCGTTGTTGACCACGGAGATTCCAATGCGCTTGAGCAACAACTTGAAACTGTATTCAAGATTGCTCAGCACTTTAAAGCCGTGCTTCTCTTGGATGAGGCGGATGCGTTCATGGAACAGCGGACATCCTACCACGACACTCACAATCGCCTGGTAACCGTCTTCCTCCGAAAACTATAATACTATCAAGGAATTATTCCTTGACTTCGAATCGGGGTATTCAGTTTGACGATGCAATCTTCAGTCGGATCCATTTAATCATCAAGTATAAAGACTTGAGCAGGGAATTTCGCAGGGGTCTCTCGTCAACTTTTCTGACCAGGGCACGTACAGTCCAAGGACCTGCTATGATCGAGGAGCACGACCTCCGACGACTGGAGTCTTTAGCTCTCAATGGACGAGAAGTGGGTTCCAGAGGGCAGAGGGCTGCTTTGCACTTCTCACTTGCTGACTAACATGAGCTAGATCAGAAACATCGCAGCAATTGCACATGCTCTCGCTGAGGCGGATGTTAGCCAAGTGAGCTATAAACAGCTTGAGTTAGCCGCGGAATCGAATAAGAAATTTTCGAAGGAGTTCGGCAGACAGGAGATGTATATCTAAGGGCATACCTGGGAAACTGCCGCGGATAATAATCTCGTTCCTTGCTGTTGTCGAGCGGTTCGGCTCTTATTGCGATATTTTCCTCAGTACACGACAGTCCATAATACCAGTCCTGAAGCTTTATAGTTGAATCCTCATTTTCATATGATTCATGGCATCACACGAAGGTCACGTCCGAGAGCCAGAATTGGATGATTGCCAATGTAAAGAGAATCGTATCTTCTGAGTCCATATGGGTGTAGTGGAACAGTGGGCATTAAGGATGCTAATAGGAAGAAATCACGACTGATCCATACGGATACGGGAAGACGGGCCGAAAATGGTTCATGCTGAGTTATCTTGCAAAATTGAATTGTGTCAGGTATAGAGGGTTCTCATTTTGGCGCTTCTGGTGTTTGTGCTCCACCCTAGTCGGATCACATAAACCCCTGAATTCCTTCATGTCTAGATACACACTCATTCAGTCATTCACTCTTTTATCTTTCGGTATTGGATTAATTGAATATTCGCATTCATATCCTCCCTATATTGGACAGCCTGTATTTCCGCTGTCCTCCGCTGTCCTCCGTATCTGTACAGCACTTCGTATCGCTGTCCCCTTTTCATGCTTTCATTGCCTCATTTCTAGGCTGTTAAATTGTTAATCCAATAAAATGAGCACCCGTCCTCACGTTACACGAAGGCGTTTCGAATCAACTATCTCTGATTGAGGCAGTCGTCGTTTTGAGGCTCGCGGCCGCTGCAAAGTCGGTCGACCCTTCAATGTGGACCGGTGAAAGTCGATGATCAACGCCCTCCCAAGCTCTTCATTCCACAAGACATTATCACGCCGAAGGTCTTCGTGGGTGATTCCCAAAGCTTTGACTTCTCTGTTCGACTTGTGAATCTCCTGGAGAAGCCCAGGCGTGAGATCCATCGATGCCGTACTTTCGCCTCCCCAGCCCATCACGAGCATATGGCGAATCTCTCCAGCCCCATGAAGGAAATAAATTTTAGCCAGGTCGATCATCCCCAGAAACACCGGCACGGCAGACCCTTGAGCCTTGCGCAAAATTTGGTATACTTGCGCTTCACGGGAAACTTCTTTCCACAGCCCCGACGTGGTTCCTTTTCCGATGACAGTGTAGCCATATACGACACAAGTAAGTTTGAACGGCGCACCGTACGCTCCGCAACCTCCAAGGGGTGTACATCTGTCAATGTTTTCGTCCAATTGTGCCTTTAGTAAACGCACCAAATCTTCTGAGCTAATCGGATGATGAAGATCGTCTTTGCTTCGACGATGGCGTATCACATTCGGACAACATTCATCCAGAACACCGCCTGACTGCAATCCGAGTAAACAGCGTTGGGTGCAGAATTTCGCATCACGGTATGGGGCATGGTTGCCTCGACGATTCGTTGAGTCCCGTTGACGACCTGCGCGTTGGGCAGATGGGGAGGATGTAACTTGGCTGATGTCTCGTTTCCGGCCTGTTGCTTGGTTCGAATCGGAGCCTGACGAGTCTGGTGACTGCGAGCGATGCTGTACATCCGACGGTGCACAGCTGGCCTGAGACCTTGTAGGTACTCGGCGAGCCGCTGCCGATGGAGAATCCGGTGGAGATGACGGCAGTTCATAATCTGAACCGGATTCCGGACTCGTGTACTCCAGGGTTGTACTATCGGAGTTCGGAACGGTCTGCGGCAGCTCAGCTTGGGGAATCTGAGAACGAGTGTGGTCAAAATTGGTCGTCCAAAGAGGAAGCTCCGGTCGTATGGAATTTCGCCATTCCTGGCGACGCGCAGGTGAGCGAAAGGCCATCAAACACAGACATAGTGTCCTTGCAACAGAAGTCTTCGGTAGTTGGAAACTATCTTCCACTGCTGCATTCAACTCGCTGTTAGGATCACAGAAGTAGTAGTAAAGTGTGCTAGGCTCATCTTGTGGAACACGAAGGAGGACCCGGGTAATCCCGTTGGTCACGTAGGAATACTCGAGCCCTTCCTGGATCATCACATGATACTCCTGGACAAGAGCAGAGCAGACAAGTCGCTCTGCATTGTACCTCAGCTTCGCTTCCTGGTCTGTCGGTATTTTGTTTGACCTGACCATCTCCTTCCATAAGTCCATTGGTCGCAGCCCCATACGAAGGATGGCCACAGAAAGCTTGTGAGGCGGCTTATACTCGACCGATGTGAGGAGACTGGTAGTATTGCGGTCGACACGATGGATGCAGAACTGATCAGGTCTTGGGTGGTGTACACTTGACGGCTGGCTTGCATCCGCTTCGGGAGCTCCGTTCTCACTTAAGGAATTTGTATGATTGCTGAACTGGATTCCATCGCCGAGGCCGAACTCGTCGCGAGCAGCTGGCAGTTTGCACAACTCGGTAATTATATCGTGGACATGCTCTTCCACGGCGAACCGCTCATAGGCCTCGAGTTCTTGCTCACTGCTCATAGGCTTCCGACAAAGTCGTCGGCCTAATCCTTCTAGCTCAGGCAAAGATGAGAACAAACGAGGCGGACCCCCGGGTGTCAACTGAAGGTAGTTATAAACGGACCTGTAGAGCTTCGACTGTTGTGTTGAGCAATCCGTCCAGTGTTCCAACCGTGTCGGACAATATTTCCCGGTGGGAAGGGGTATTTTCCCGGTAGTCGAGCGAGATGGTGTCTCGACTCGCAGCGGTTGGGAGAGCAGGTTGTGGGAATGGCACAAGAATTCCGCGAAAGTGGTCGGTCGGCTACGCTCTTCGGCCAGCTTTCGCCTCCTTTCTTCATCCTTTCGTTTCTCTTCTTCCTGCTTCCTCTTCTCTTCCTCCTGCTTGCGTCTCTCCTTCTCTTGCAGAAAGAGAGCCTTGTAATCTGGTGAGTTGTTGTCGGCCATCGATCTGTCAAAGGGGAAGTAGCTTAAGACAACCGCCACAGTCTCGATTGGTGGGTACCTTATCCAGATGGGGGGTAGTGCCCTATCGAAAGTTGCGTTTCACGTGACGCAATTATTAGTCATCTCTGTTTACATTTCCATGTTCTTGCCTCAGTGACCTCAGACCACCGCCTACGATTCTGCCTAATTTATGAAATTCTGCCACGCTAACCCGATTGGGAGGCCTCATCAGCCGGAGGTCTGAGTCGCGAATGTCTCTGTAGATCGTGTCAGTCGAGATTTTGTTTTTCACCTACCTCAACAGGTGTATATATATTTTTGATATCAACGGACTCAGCTTGGAAAGATGCAGAAGATGTTAGAGCTCGATTTTTAATTTTTGCGTTGGTGTGCGAGATATCGTGGAATCTCCCAAAATTGACGGCTGAGGGAGGCGATTCCAGCGAATATTAAAAGGACAGATTTCTCACCCACCTCACCAGGTGTATATTTTTTTTGATATCAATGGATTTAGCTCAACAATCTGCACAATTTGTTGGAGCTCTATTTTTAATTTTTGCGTTGGTGTAGAAGATATCGCGGAATCTCGACAAGTCCCTGGCAACGCAACAGGAATTGCTAAGGACACCCCAACTTTTTGCTATCCCTGCAAGTGGTATTTCTCGGTATGAAGCGCGTATATGTCTTCCTAGTGGACGATTCACTATGATGCTCCCCGATGATCTCTCTGCGCCAAGCACCTTGATGATGTTTTTCTATTCGGCGCAGATTCACCTGCGAAAGCTACTTAACCGCATCCACATGGATCTGTACAAGGCCGAGGAGCAGGGCCAAACGCGGTGGTCATCCATTTTGCAGGAAACTCTGAGCTTGAATCTCGATCACTGGCGCAACTATCTCCCGGGCATCATGAAATGCAGAGACTCCGATCCCCCGGCCGCTGATATCAACGCGGCACGAATGCGGGCTGAGTACTACAGGGCCCAGTACATCATCCACCGGCCTATGCTGTACCATGCTCTCCACTATGGCCAAACAGGTGCACGGGTCGGTCCGGCCGGCCAGGCCTACGATCGTAATACTTGCTTCTGACCCTGCGACTGGTAAGAACCCTAATGTTCCCGGGACGCTACGTACCCATATTGGTTCCTGGGAGTTTCGTTGATTGTACTTATTAGGAGTTAGATATGCTCTTACCATACTCCAGGCTTGAGTTCTAGTTTTGTTCCCAGGAGACTAAGCGTTTGTCTGCCGGCGTTCCACATCCGCTGAAGCCATCGGGTTTTGGAACCATCATGGGTTGCCTTCCAAGTTCCTTGGTACGAAGACTGCTTTCTAGCTGGGCCAAATCTTTTCTCTTCCTTCAAGACGATTCCCCACCAGCCAGCGCAAACCAAGAACAGCGGACCACAGAAGGAACAAACAGAGAAGAAGTTCCAAAATTTCCCAACCCTAGGTATTGCAATTCACTATATCACGGTAGTATCCGCTGCTCTAAATACATCCCAACGATGCTCCTCTATAAATGCTAAACGCATTTATCTCCAGATACCAGTCGTCCTGCTCCCATCCAATCGGCTCAATATTCGATGGATGCACCGCTATTACTCCAGAACCCTTCTTTACTTCAAATCAACTTCAATGCCCCGAACGGTCATTGACGAGTCAAAGACAGCGCATATCACTGCCCGTTGGTTACTTCAATCGGACAGTGCCCTGTAAGTAAAGACCGGGGCAACTCGGAGAGGTTTCCTGGAAATGCTGACGATGTAGATCTATCTGATCGCCCTGCCACAGAGAACGGTGCTAATTGTTCAAGACCTGAACGAGATCGCTGAATTCTAGAGATACCACTGCACAATCTGGATCCCTATTACAATTTTTATTTCCCATCAAACTACTTTCGAAGATCCATCCGGCAGTCACTCAAAATGCAGAGGTCAGTTATGATTCGTCCTGAAGAAACCAATGCTAGGTAGGTTCTATGCGTTACTTAAGATTTCCACCATGCTAAGCTGAGCTTTATAGACGTGGTTTATACGATACCACAGGCGTCAAGAAGCCGGGTGTTCCGCCTCCACCGCCAAAGTAATGTTGACAAGACAGAATTGGTTGGGATCCAATCTCGATTGAGGTCCTATGGGTGGTAGCACAAGCCCCATGGATCGGACGTACCTGGGATGATGTGGTATGAAATTTAAGGGCATGCGTGATTGTATCATATAGGAACCGATCGGTCGGTTGAATTTTCTGTGTATATCTCAATACAATTTACGGAAGCCACAAATGATTCGTAACGTAGTAACAAACCTTTGCCACACCACGGTACTCCCCCAGTTCTTCTGGAGCTTGGCACAGAAAGCAGAACAGTGAATGGCAAAGCCTGTGGTGATAAGATTCAAATAGACTTATGGCTGCTGCACATGCTCAGCCCAATGTTCGATTATAGTGGAGGCTCCTAGAAATGAGTATATAGGCATAGGTCTCCCAGGAACAGTGCGGGAGCTCCTATAAACAAACCATGTTCAAGTACCGAGACTCCCAGGAGCGAAATAAAGCCTAAGTGGAGGGTCCTGAGAATGCACAAATAGACATAAGACTCCCAGGAAGAAATGGAAGTTAAGGGTCGAGGCTCCTGGGAACGAAGGCAGATGCATTAGTGGAGGCTCCTAGGAATGAGTATAGGCATAGGTCTCCCAGGAACAGTGCGGGAGCTCCTAGAAACCACGGGCAAGCACTGAGACTGCTAGGAGCAATGAGAAGACGGAAGACCTGATTCCTAGGATACGGATTTCAAAATTATTTCTGGGAGCAATATGAGTGTTTCCTGGGAACACTATACCCGTCTCCCGGGATTCTTAGGGCTCCCAAAACGCATTCATTTCTTTCTGGGACTCTGTTTGCGCATTCCTAAGACCCTCCACTTAGGCTTTATTTTCCTCCTGGGAGCCCCAAGCGATGAAATCCTAGGCACGCTCTTGGTGGCTCCTAGAGATCAAATTCAAAATTCCTAGGCGACCTACAGGTGCGCGAATATAGGAATACTTGGTAGATGCAGTTCGATCCGTCCAATCATGTTAATTGGATGCCCTCAATAGCACCAGGAACTACAACAAAAGCATCGGTCATGGTTTGGCTATACAGTACCGTAGTAACCCATGCTGTCGTTCTGAAACCAATTTCGCCCGTCCCCTTCAGCACCATCACAGCTTCTCAGAATCAACCAAAATCTGCACACGTGAAATCCAGCACTGAGCTACCTAGTAAGGTTGGAGGTTGTTGTCATTGGGGTAGGGAGACGAGTAGAAGTCTACATCAGTACATAACTAGTCTAATTTTTGACAGTGTCGTTGAGGAGACAACATCAATGTAAAGGAAAGCATGTCGATTACTTTGAACACGGGTTTCAACCCCAGAACCAAAGAAGAAACTTCTTAGTGCCGGATGACCAGATACCTTTGGTGCCGTAATGCTCGGTTATATGCCAGTGATAGCAGGTATCTCATGAACATATTCAATGAGAGGCTCTGGTCTAGATAAGTACATTGAAATCAGAATTGCTACCTTGAGCATTTTGCAAGGTCATCGTCGAAATAGCAGGGCAGCGTAATGGATTATCCGCTGCATCGAGGCTGCTATCAATACATAAGACTATATATACCCTGGATCGTACCAATGTCTCGTACAGTAACCCAACTGTCATTTTAGCTATGGTTTTCTAGTCTCAGGGCCTGTTGCTGCATGGTTGTTCCATGCGTGAGGCCGATCAGATGGATTTGCTCTTGAATGGAGGTCAAAGCGAGCTCTATGTCCGATGATGGCGATCATTGTGCACTTTTGATAGAGAAATTGCCTATCAACGGACCCTTCTGAGAACTTGGGTATGTCTTTGTCCTCTCCCGTTATTCTCAATTAATAAACATTACAATACGGACGAATTTGTAGTACTAGCATACAAATACTAGCAATTGTCTACTTAGCATATGACATTGGTGGTAATGGATGTAGAATATATTACCTCTGCAAGGCATGAGAAGCCATTCTGACCACAGATTTTTGATGCTTTTGGAAAGGGTGACGCTCGGTTTGTAATGAATGGTACTAACTCCATCGAGCTATAGATCCTCAGTAATAGAGTGGGAAGCTCCCGCATGTTATTTAGACCGTCATCGTTGGCTAGGGTCTGTCGACTTCAGCGATTGCTGCTGATGTGAAGTGAGACTAGAGATTTATAATAATAAACAGGTAATTAAGTGATGGCAGGGAGAGTGGAATGTAAATCCGATGAAATGAACAAACAATCTGCTCAGCCGAGGTTTAAAGTAAACAGTTGTTTGTAGTTACTCGTTTTGCACACCATCACAATTCTCTGATGTCTTAGTATGACCAAACAAATCAAATTGTGAGGTCAGACCGGTTGAATTACCGTAAAAAATAATTGTTTGCATAGGAATTGGTTGACCAGGTTAACTACCCTATCAAATCACCGCTCCCCTCAATCGCCTATCCAATCTGGCTAAAACCTATTGAATTACCAGCCCCCAACATCCTCTGTCAGCAAATCTTATTTTTCCTCCAGCCATAATGAAATGTTACTCTTGACCAAGGATAGCCACTTCCCAGTGTGTATTTGTTTAACCCATGGCATGTTCGCGTTCCCACTCGTCGCAGTCGGAGGAAGCAATTGAAGCACCTCCATGCTGTCCAGTAAGAGTTTACTGTATCAATCACTAACAGCCAGCAAAAATATTGAGAAAGGATGAGATCGAACAAGAACACATCTAAATTAAAGATGCGTATGGCGCCGTTTACTTGAATTGCTTCTTCAGCCATTTTAGATGTGCCAAGTGACTGGCTCTCTATCACGTCGCGGATGAGATGCAGCTTGGATAGTGGAAGTCTCGGAGCCATTTTGTGAAGTCGATTATGACGTTATAGAGAGATAGTCGGGTGAAGATGCCTCCTGCTTGAGGGGGTGGTATGGCAGAGAATTACTATTGTATGGCATTTACGAGTAAGATACACAAGCCAGGGTCCCACCTTCGTCATGTAAAATACAATGTCTATTGTTGGAAATCGCGGATCTATCATTATTCCAAATGTGGACTAGCGTGTTTCAGATTAGGCTTCGCGAATCAAGTCGCAAGAGTGTCGAGTTAAAACTGATTTCGAATTCTACTGTAGCTCACTATATTGTCACAATTAAATTCAATGGTCAAAGGGTCCTAGGAACGGCTCAGTAACAAGGCAAAATTTGACATGAAATCATATTTGTCGGGATACAAACCTGGTGCAATCAGGAACCAAGCCGCATCATCCGAATTGGTCCTTTCATACATAACTCAGAAACTCCACAAATATACCATCTCTCGTTCTTCAATGCACATACCAAAAATCAAGTGGCAGAGCCTAGTGCCGTCTCCAATACGACTCTAGAGTAACCAACAACACTGTATGCCAAAATCAAGTGCATCAAATAGAGGCTAGACCGCCAACTACTGAATACCCCAATAGTCTCAAGTGGTTGGATTCTGTAGATTGCAGCACCGATCGTAGTATAAATTGCGAAATGGCCAAGTTGGGTCGCCAGCGGCGGGGGATTTGGCAGCGTCCCGGTCAGGGCGTGGATCGTTGGAACCAGGGAAAGCAGACCCAGTGAGACACAATGGTAAGGAAACCTCATTCGCGCCGTAGAGATAGTGGGATCGCAAACTAGGAAGTCTACCAGATTTCCAACGGCGACTAGGGTAAATGCGAACACATAGCCAAGCTGGATGGAAGGCTGTGTGGTGAATTGCAATACCACAGCTGGAACCGTTGACGCCCAGATAAGGATCAAAGCCCCAGCGAACTCGAGCTTTTGCCAGTGGGCTGCACCGGCTCCCTGGAACGCAGATATCGTTCGGTAAATTAGGCTTGACAAGTACCATAATAGACCACCGCCGCTAAAAGAGATCACAGAGAGTGAATTGATGATCGCATCTGGAGATGACGGGAAATGGAATAGAAGATATTGGAGGACAAAGAGAGCAAAGTAAGTCAATCCGAAAATGTCGATGATGGTGATGACTGCAGAGTCGCGTAGATTGTGAAGCTCGGAGTTGGGCATGGTAATCGCGTTGCCTGGTTAGAATTTTTGATAGCAGGTGCAGGTCGGCCAGGTTTTATAACCTCGGTCGGTGGTAAGATACAAGAGCGGATGTGATCTGTCACTATCTTTTAGACAGCGACCGCATCATTCCTCCGCCCTCACGTATAGAATTGAGTAATTCATTTGAACGCGATTTGAAAGCAGTTGCTTTATTACAGTTTGTTTGCCGAATTAGACGATACACATGCCCTTAGAAAGTGTGACGTGCATAAGTCAAGGATTAGACCTCAACGCTCCCTTATCATACGTAGAATCCTAAATCGGGACTCATGTCATTTAGCGGTTGAGGTCTCCAAAGGCGCGGTTCAAGATATTCATGATGTCCGTATAGTCATCCAGTTGGCAGATTCTCTCTCTTATGTGGGGCATGATTTGGGCATTTGGGCCACTTTTAAGTGGTTAGTCACATAGCTCATGCGACTCTGGGGGTTGGAAAACGGCCGCTCCTGGCGTCATCATACCAGGGCTTGCGGCTGTCGGGGCAGATGAAGTGGATCCGCCGCGGTTGCTTTCTTGTGGGCGTCATCATAGAGCCTTGCTTCAAGCTTTGAGATGAGGCTGTCCGGGTATTTGCAGACTCTCTGAATTCAGCCAGTTCAATATTGGATTCGGCTAGCTCAGTTTCAGGTGCTTGACTTCTTCAGCAGATCCAGCCAGGGATTTCTGGGTGACTTCAATCTAGTCAAACACTTTGCAGTACATAGTATTCGAACCACTCCGAGTGGTGTTCAGTGAGGTGTATGTCACGGGCTAGTGACATTAAGGGTTGCAACTCAGATGAGAAGAATCCGCAGGGCGGACCTCAGGGATGTGCTCGGGTAATGATGACATGGCAGGCATACATCAACTCATCACCTTCCACTTGACTTCATCCTTCTGTTTCCCTTCCACCTTTGATAATCTAGTTCAAATGCTATACTCTTGTTGTTTGAAACGTTCTTGGCATCATCGTAACAGCCCCCACGTCGCCGGACCTGGAGCGGTGGCAATGGTTTGGGAAGATTGATCATTTTCAGGGTCGAGACGTCAGCTTCGGGTGTAGGTAGGAGATACGTACTGCCAAGGTGCGGGTTAGGGCAGACAAGCAGATAGACAGTATCCGGTAAATGGGTTCATATTGATCAGAGCTATAGGCAGGGGGTAGCTCGAAGAGCTACAACGGGATCGGGTTCAGAATAACAGAAAACATCGGGAAGGGACACGTGCCAAGATAACACTCTATCAACTACATACATCCAGGCACGGGCTCACACAGTGGCAAAAGAGATCATCTAGCCTAAGGCAGGAAACGGCTGAGCAAAAGTGGAGTAGTGGATCTAGTCAGATCGTGAATATGAATCCACGCAATTCGCAAATTTCCCAATATGGGTTGGAAGTAGCCTGGGGATACGCAAACACCAAGGTATGTATATTCCTTGAATTCACAGTTGTCAGCTGACTCAAGTGGTAGATCGGAGGTTTTCCCAAGCTAAGTGGGACTTTTTTTCCTGCTCTGACAGCTTTCCTACCGCGTTCTGTAATTCGGTAGCAATATGGTGGATGGGCAGAAAATCATTTGATGGATATAGTGATTCATATTGTTGAAGACAGCGCAGGTCGTCAGATGCTTGGGCCACTATGTCTTGCAATTGCTTGAGAAGTCCGTAGCAGGTACGGTAGTATGAATTGTCTGTCTGCTGTCGACCAATCTCACGAACAATTTCGGCGATCTCTTCCATCTTTCCAGTTGGAAGGGATTAATGGGTCTCAGGATGTAGTGAATATTACCATGAAGTGAGTTCTATCTGCTTACTATAACGGTTTCATAACGGAGAATCGGTTGGAGACCAGCGATATAGAACGAAGCGCCGTCAACTTGCTCTTGCAACATGATTGACCCCTCGTATTTTGCAGTCTGGTTAACGAGTATGGCCGGCTATAACTCATTTGTCTGCGACCAAAACCTAGCTGTGTTAGATGAACAGCAAAAAGTGCAATGTTGAGGCATCCATCAGTGGTACAGGCCCATAGGACTAGTTGTGAGAACTAAACTCATTGTTCAACTACTTTACACGAAAGCGTACATTGTGTTACGCGCCGAAGGCAAGAAAGAAAAATCTTTTTAACCGTGCAGTGTTCGAAAGTACCGAGTCTGGAGGAAGGAAAGAGAGAAGAGCAGCAGGGAAAACAATTGGGAAGACTTTCCCCCATGTCCCTGTCGGCGCTATTATAGAGGCGCATTTGGGGCTGACAGCAAGGCGCAGCACGCGATCTCATTTTCATCCGTCGGCGCAAATTCACAACCTTGAATGTTTTTACAAGCTCTGCGAAGCAGCAAAGCTCGCTCTCATTTCCACTCTCGATATCAACCTTTCACTCATCGACATCACGGCTGAACGTCGCAGGGGTAGCCCAAGCAGTGGGGGAAAGCCAGGACGCCCCAGGCGTGTTGCGCAGTGAAGGCAGAGAGCGAGGACTCAGTGGTGGACCAACTCGGACGATCTACATGTCGAAAGGTTGGTGCTTCAGAAGGAGGACGAGATACCCAGGGCTAGCAACAATATAGTAGGGCACATACCGCCACATACCTTGGCACTTTCATTTAACAAGTGGAATGAGAACTATATGATTTGTCAGTGTCCGTGCGAATCGAGCTCGGAATGACCGAGAACCATGACAGGACAGAGGTGTGTACCGGGAACACCGTACCTGTAACCTTCTTATGTCGGTTCTCATACTAAGCACTCTTGTTCTGGGCTATGACTGATATCGCTATACAGAAAATAGTAATGTGGATAATGTTGAATCGTTCCCCACAAAAGCTCCATCAAATGAGAAAATCTGCGCCAACCGTACTCCAGCATGTGGGGTTAACATAACATAGCTCATGGCAGCGTGATTCCCTTTTGCCTAAGGCATGACATGATCTCGCTTCAGATGCAGTGATCGGCGCCCATTCTGTGGACCCCATACCATTCTGGCTCACCCCTGTCGCCGAAGATGCAGAGGGGAACGAACTGGAACGAAAGTACTCACCTGAATGAATCCATCTACGAGGGAAAATCTAGCAAAGGCGGTTAGTTTCGTTCTCTGCACACAGTATGAGGACGCGGCAGGGGCCGGGTAGTCGGCACAACGGAGAGATCGATCGGCCACGAACTTCTATTCCCCTTGTCCTGTTTCCCCACTTCCTTACTACTTCACGAACATACAAACGCCCACTCTCCGACCTCAACCCCTGAAATACGGGGCGTGTCCTCATGACTAGGTCCAAGTTGTTGACCATAACAGGAAAGATGTGCATACTAGCTGAACTGAGATCGGCACTGGACGAGGCAAACCTATCCCGCGCGGGCTCAACCGTTCTCTGGACCCACAGGAAGAGAGTCCAACGTATCTAGCCGAGGCCGTTCAAGATATCCGGATCCTGAGTCATGCTGTCTCATATGCGGGTCGAGCAAAGAATATCGACATACAGCCGACAATATCATGTTCCTAGACATTACAGTTGCTCCGCGTTAGCTATTAATGATTTGCAACCCGTGTACTACGTTCATTCGTTGACGGAGATTAATGCGTTTGCTAACTGCCATTTCAGATACTAGGCGAGCCTGTGGGGCAAATTGCCGCATCGCATCCGTGCACGGAACGCAGGATGAGACGCGGATGGTGGCACAATGGTGAGATCGACCAAGCACGGGCTTCTTTGACATGGAACATCAGTTGGGCTTAAATTTTTATTTTCTTGTCTACCCCGTTGATGGCCCCTGGAAACTTTGGTCATATGATAGAAGCTGTCGACACCATGAGTAAGAGTTTGGGTAAGAGTCTGAGCTCTATGTTCCGTCGGTAAATTTACACGGGCTCTCTATCACTACCTCGAAAATGTACAACGAAGATAGTAAACGCCCTGTATCTGTATCTCTGTCCCTGAGAAAATAGGGGGCTTCGGGTATCTCCAGCCTCGATAAACTAAGGGGCTGGGCGTTTCATTGAACCAATGAGGGGCAAGATCAATTGTCGTCTAAACTATATTTGAAGGAGAACCGAGTACAGCAAATACTACGATGATCACCATCCAGTCACACACGCCACGGATTTAACGGTCATCGCGGAAATAGAGTTCGGTTCCCCGGAAGCCAACTGTCCCCACAGCTTTGCTATCCTTTTGACCATTCTGGCCTAGGCAAAAGATACGGCGAAATAAATAAAAGAGACCTTTCACATGGCCCACATTAAATTCCCCTCGCCAAAATTGAGGTCGTATTAATCAAATAACCATCCAATATATCCGGGCATATCAAATCAGCAGATTCCGCTTCAGGTTAATTCCTGGCAAGGAGCATCCACCCTAAGAGTGAATCAATGGCACACTTGTTCAAAGTAGGAATGGTGAGTTTAAGTATACATCAGGTTAAATTGATGGCGTCCGTCGTTTATCATCCTACGTCTTCCGGCATTTGCCCTCATTGCTTGATTTCCTTGCTTACCTTGACGCTTGTTAATTTCTGGGCTTTCTGACCACGGATTGGTGGAAAATAGGAGGTTTGGTGAGGAGAAGAAAATTGAGGTGCGTGTCGATGACCGGGTTGCCGGAATAACCAGGATCCACATTACCGGGTGCTTATCTATTATCCAATTAACGACCCCTAACTACTGTAGTAATTCTGACTGATAAACAGGGGTGGTCATCACTTTCATGCCGGATCATTCGAAGAAAAGAAACAGTAAACCCTTTGCGAGTACCTATAATAAACGTCAACACCGATTCAAGGAAATTCGGATTACCATATCAGATATGTATATAGGACGAACTACAGTACTAGACCTGCCGCCAAAATCATTCCAATGATACTCTCAAGCAACGAGAAACGTGCGCTGCTAAGGCAGAAATGCCGGGAAGCGCTGGCAGCTCATATTCGTATGTCACCTCAAAATCAAACGCACACATCCCCGGTGGTAGCTAATAATGATATTCAGACGAGCGATTAGGCCTTACTGTCGCACCGGGTCGGGTCCGATTACAGCCCTCCGCAGGAGACGGCTATGCATGGTCGGTGTCAAAGTCTCAAGAATACTTATTGAAATCGAATTTGAGCAATGGAACGGTTGGCTTGTACCAGGCGATACTTGATGCACTTGGGCACTCGATCGAAGCTGTTAGTCCGCCGACGCTGCGGGAATCGAATGCTGGCTCCGATAAGAAGATGAGCGATGAGGTGAGCCACCAATGTTTGCCGAGGTTCCCAAATACTAAAAGCCAAAGGAGCCGAGCTCGTCGAATCCTTCTAAGCTACCCGGAACAGCTTTTGAGGGCGACTCTTTCACGGCCACTATTCAACGACTCGAAGGCGCAAAACAGGAACTTACTGCCGAGCTTGAACGTGCCCAGTTACATTCAGAGAAATTGTTTGACGAAAAAGAGGAGTGGGAGGCAAAGTATTGCAGGATTCACGAGGAACTCGGCAAGACCAAATCCCTGGTGAAACAGTTGGAAGAAGATCTGAGTCGCGCGCACATGGGGATTGCGAAAGCTATGGAGATGTTAAAGGGCCACCGACTTCCAGAAAAGACACAACCATGCGAGGCAAAGGATATTTAAATTTTAATACTTCTTTTCATCAGGTTGCTTAGAGAGCTGTTGCCTCTTACCTTGCAGTCGGTATTCCAGGTCCATCCTCCTGTGCCCTAGTTTGCAATTGTGTTGGTGAGCTACAGTCCTTAATGGATTCAATGTAATCCTTAAATTTGCTCCTCCCGCTCTGTCTGATGGCTCACTCCGAGTGGTCACACAACCCTAGAGGTCGCGCAGAGAACTTATAAATTCAATGTCGGGATACTTAAAGGTTATGTGGAGCGATGGTGTGGCGAGTGCCGAAGACATTCATATCTTTAGATCCTGTCGAGAATAGTGGGTCATCCACTATGTCTACTATGTCTACTATGTCTACTATGTCTACTATGTCTACTATGTCTACTATGTCTACTATGTCTACTATGTCTACTATGTCTACTATGTCTACTATGTCTACTATGTATACAAGTTCGTAAGTCCGCCCGAAGGGCGGTCCCAAGAAGGATGCCCGTGCCAGGTAACCCATAAAGGATTCCTGTAACTACATGACCCTGACGAAAAAAAAAGCATGATTATACAGTCCCTCCGCAAGTTTCTGTGGATGCGGCCCCACACCTGCATTTTGAGGACGCGTGCCCACCAACTCACCTTCTTCAAACACCATGGTTCCCGAAACGCCCTTACGTCCTGTTAGTTTAAATAGGGTAAAAGGAAGTGAGTTACCTCCATACTTACGCGGTAAAACCATTGGCCAGGCTGAAATTAGGACCCCCACAGCCACTATTGCGCGACACTATGGTTCAACCCCTTCAACCATCAAATATACCCTTGCACAAGAACGCGGCCGAGCAGATAGGAAGAGCCGCCCTCAAACCCCTCTTCTCTCTGAGGCTGACGAACTCTTGATCCTCCCTTAAATTGCGCGCGATCCCTCTATCGTGTACCGAGATATTCGCGAACAAAGCGGTTTAAGCGCTTTGGACGACATCCTCCTTCGTCTAGTGGAATTCTCGGGCTATGGCCATTGGAAGGCTAGAAAAAAACCCTTCCTAACTCTGGAAGTGGCCGCACTACGCCTAAAACAGTCTTTGGCCCACCAGAACTGGACGTGGGATGACTGGGAGCATGTTGTGTGTTCCGTCGAGATCGGGAAAGGGAAGCGCCACCGTTGGGTCTTCCACTTGAACCACGTCGATTCCTGTAGATCCCGCAGTTCCCATGAGCCCCACAAATCCCATAGATCCCACGATGCCATTAAGCCATACATGAGAATTAACAGAAAACTAACTAAATATATTAGCATAGTTCAAACCGGTCTGCCTTCAGAGGACCAATACCGTGTGTTTACTGGAGTACCGAACGATTCGTTGAACTGTACAGTACAGTACAACCCAATCGATGTGATCACCATGCGTGTGGCCTTGTACAGTATTGTATGTGACTACTGTCAATCACAAACGAATGAAAATACTGTATATCTAAGCTTTGTCCAGAGAAGAAGCCACTTTGTCCAGCCACAACTCGTGCTGCGGGAAGGGTCCGCGCGTTCCACTCTATATTCGGGGTTTTGGCCTGATGAAGAGCGCGTCTGTTCGAATAGCGTCGACCCATTCATGAGGTGCCTCCGCGGGGATTTGTATTGACCCTTTGAGGAAAATCTTGCGGCCGTCAATTTTGTCCGGCCATGCACGGAGAAGAATTGGTGCTGACGGTGGAACAGACTGAATAAACGATGTATTCAGGTAGGCAGTGAAGGCTGGTTCGTCACATTTGCAACAATCTGCGAGAATACGGTCCATCAGGAAGGCAATGTATCCACCAAACAATTTGCCATCGTAGTAGCACATTTGCTGGGAAGGAGTCAGGCGCAGCAGTGATTCTGCCTCCCACCCCAGATAATGAGGCTTGAAAATAGGACGGTATCCTCGGAATAGGGAACGCATCAGTTGATCAGAAGGATCTATGATAGAATGCTGCTGCGGGCACAACAATTAGCATGTTACTACACAAATGTCCTAATATCACTTACAACCTGGGATCCACTGCACCAACCGAGGGGTGGAATCTGAAGGAGTTGGGCTAGCGATCGATGTCCGCGAAACAATCGCGAGAGGAGTGCAACGCAAGAAGACTGGTACATGTCTGCCGGAATATTCTCAAAGAATGCAAGATAATGATGGAAGTTCCCAAGCATCGAATAAAGGAACATGTATAGATTGGCTGTACCCTGATTTAAAGATCCCTGGGTAGGGCTTTTACCATTTCAGCTCAAAGTTGAGCGACCTACGATCGACCAATTGAACGATAGTGGCAATTGGGTAGGGCGGATTGCGAGATACAGCATAGTATGAAGCATCCGCCCAGTGTAGATTGAACGATCGTCCGTACAAGTATCTGCTGGTTATTTGACTGCGCTATATTTTGAAAAATAATTTAACCGGAGACTAATCTCATGACCGGATACGCCGTTCGGCATGGCCTACGTAGGCGGACTACACACTGTCGGTGAACTTTGCATCAGTAGATGTTCATTTCGCGTATTGCACTTTTGTTCAACTTTGCCGCTGAACGGGCGTGGCTAGATTTTCCGATCAATCAAACATTCATAATCTTGATATTCAGATGGCTGCTTCAGATGCAGGAAAGCAAGTGCCAAGGCTTCAAGGGGATACAACCACCTGTCATACACTAGATACACCTTGCTCGTGTACATGTAAGAGTGGTTAAGTGGAATGGGGGGCTTTGGCCGTGTACTGGGTGATGCCCCAGGGATGGATGAGGGCACACAATAATTCTATGACAAATACTTTCAGGCCACGAAGCTGCTTGTTGATCGGGTTCTTCCAGAGAATTCCCAATGGGTAAATGAATGGATACAAGGCCTTTTCAATCGCAACTGCAGAGCGATCAAGGTGAGTTCTCTGCTAGTGAAATTCATCTGAGAAGTCACGATCTGACCAATCCCCGGATTTTGCAATTCAGCATCTACTGCCCGTGTACTCATCGGCAGAGCTGACAAACCCAATTGAGAGAGTTGTCAAATGTGAAGAATTTCGGCGGATGCATCGTTGTAAACAATCGACCTCTGCAGGTTGCTGAATACCTTCCCACTCTATGATTTTCAAAGAAGAAAACTCGGAAAGACCATCCAGCGCACCTCCTGCATCAGGACACGGCCCATCTGTGATGAGCGAGAGCCTATTGACGCTTGTTTGATGTCGGCATAGATATCCATTTTTATCCAGAATACCCGGTGAAAACAGGTGCCTAGATGATCGGTGATATCAATCTAGTGTTGATCGCCTGAATTTGCTCTGTTTATTTCTCTTAGCACCGCACAGTCGTTGTTCAAGTCGAAGGGTGATCGGCTCAACCAACCACACCCTGGGTATCAGTCAGTATGTTTGTGGTTATATTTCCCGCATGAAACACTACGTGTGTCGGGTATTTGAGTAGAAAGCATATTCAGGTTCAGGGTACAGGAGCCTTGGAACAGACCTCCTGGTGACCTAATCAGTGAAGGAGATGATCCCGGGTTCTGCCGGAAGTCGTCAGCCTACCTATGATGGATCTAGCAATATAGATTGTTCAAACGGGAATCGGGCAATTATAGAGCCTCGAGCCTTCGTGAAGAGCCATTCAGTTTATCTCCACGGCGTTAGAATCATAGATTGCGTTCTTCTCAGATGAAAGCTAGCCCCGCCAGATACAGTATGTCCCGAAACTGGTGCAACCGCAGACACTCTTTCAGTGGTTTTTTTAGCCCCACTGCCAAGAAAATTTAATCTGCATTGAGTGTTATTCCGACAGTTGCATGTGTATTTCCTCGTAAATAAATTACATAATAATTTCAAGTATGTATTAGCTTGTATTACCTAGCTTTGTATCGATCGCATCATTTTCATAACCCCTGCCCTCACGCTTATATAGCGATTTCGGAACTACAAATTACCTGCGCACTGCTCGATTTGTGAGATGGCGGTCCTCTGTGTCGACCCAGTCACGCTATGCAAGCTTAGGTGAGTAGCTTTTACAGACCATATAAACAATTTACTGCAGTTCAAGAACACGCGCCGAGTGCAGTCTCAGCTAGCCATGAGAAGAGCGGGATGATTTCCCTGCTACTTCGCAGATCTTTCCTCGATGCAGTCTGAACACAACGCAACATTGCCTGGGCTGACATTCTGATTCGCTGCTGACGGATAAGATCGACCAGTTCGTCATGGTAAGGAAATTATTTTGTCAATCCTAATCAGGTCTAGTAGACTAAATCATCAGGTATAGGGTGTATGATATCACTAAATTTAAACTTTAGGCGAGAGTCTGGTTTGCTGAAAATAAACACAGACCTTCAACTCTCGATCCAACACGATCTTGATCAGGAGAAAATTGGACCGGGCTATAAAATTCCAATGCGATCAGACTGTGACCCAATTCTTCCACTCTATGCACGGTCGCGAAAGGAGCGAGCGCGTGTCCCAGAGCCAGTGGAGGTTGATGGCAAGTTCTACGACGTGATGGGAGTGAGCTCGGGTCATGAATTGATACTCCGTGATCAGCGTGCCGTCCATGAAGATATCCGAATTGAGCAGTTTGCTGGCCGACCGGTCATGTTCGATGGTGTCTGCTGTCGCGTAGTTTCTCTACACACCACGCCTGATCTGCAAGAGTCAACCCTCCAGCTCATCAACCCGCGCGATCCATCGTCGAAGGTCACTGTACTCAATGCCGACATCGCACGGCTCCGATTTCCAGGTGCCAATGGGGACCATACGTTGGGTCGTATCAAACATGGCATCGTGCGCATGGCCCCTGTGGTGTCTCGTACCAAGATCAAAGTTCCACTCAAGCCTAATGATCGATTTGAGGCCCGCCTCCATAATTGTGAGCTGGAGGGTCCATATTCTATCCATGTCTGCGATAGAGGCCAGCTCGTTGCAAGTAGCATAATTCATGGTGCTAAGCAGCAGCGAATTGTGGTTCAGCCGGATGAGATCGCACCACGCTATGTGACTATCATGTCATTGGACTTTGGTGCTAATTTTGATGTCGATATTTTCTTGTATCGAGAAGACCAACTTCGCGGCAAGGCAAACATTATCAAGGCTAAGCTAGGCGGCGAGCTTATCCTAGATCCTTTGTTGGGCAGCCTACCCTGTCACGTGGCACCGGTGTTAACCAATGGTGCTGAGCATCTCGCGGTGTTCGAGCAGTTCATCCGTGACAGGGCTCAGCCGGTTGCTGAAGCGCACACATATGGCGTTGATTGCTCTCGACGAAGACTGACTATTCTAAACCTCTCAATGTGTAACCAAGGTGATGCGCACGGAGTCCTCAATGCATTGATTGATTTCCGACGTCAGAATCCGGGTGCGGATATGTCGATTGTCATATCTAAGCTTGGACCAACAGAGTTTCTGGATTCCTTAGAATACTTCACGTTTCTCAAGAGCCTTGAGAACCATTCTATTCGTATCAATATGTTCGCGACTTCTGATGGACAAAAGCGCCAAGTGATCCATGGGAAGGCGATCGTTATCGACAATCAAGTCCTTTTTAGCACCGGAGCTGTCATGGACACCCGACCAATCAATAAAGCGGACTTCTCCATCGGACTACCTGCAGCAGCCGCTACAATGTTTCGGCACTATACAGATAGGGCCATTCATGGGGAGGCAAACGATGAGCTTCGTGCTAGGCTTGCTTCTGAGCTTGCAAGTTTGGGTGTTATCATCAACGACCCAGTCGCAAATCTGCCATGGATAACCCGCGCCCAGGATGCTTTAATTCGAGGAGCACGGCGCAAAATCATCCTCCACATATCAGAGCTGGTCGATCCAATCATGACACAGATGTTGATTGACCGCGCTGCAAGTGGTGTTGATGTCACTCTTCAGGTTCGCGAGGTTGACCCGAAATCTGCGCTACTTCTTGCGGACGCAAGAAGGTGCTGTTCTAATCTCCAAGTGGAAGATACAAGCTGGTGGGAACCTCGTCCGCACTTCAATGTAATCATCGCCGACGGAAGCTTCGCCTATCTTGGCTCATCCTACATTTGGCCAACACAGTGTCATATGGTTCACCAGGGTCGTTCATTCGAAAATGGTGTTTTGCTTAGTGGAGATGCCATAGCAAGTCTTATTCAGCAGCTTGGCGACCTCCGTGCCCATGCACATGCAACGGACACGATACCTTCATTTGCCGAGACGCTGAGAACATGGAAGCTGCAATATAGTCTTAAAAACCCTTGCAGCTTTCCAAAATACCTTATCTGTCTAGAGGCCTGGCCTACCTTGACCCATCAAACCCATTTAGAACGTGCCCACTAATGCAAAGCTCCTTAATCCGCTGCATTATCGTAGAATTTCGATAACCTCAAGACACTCACCCAGGCTCTATCACTCGTACCAAAACATGTTGATCCTTATTGGTACTATTCAAGAACAGCCGCTGCTCAGCCGTACTGCAATATAAAATGTGTTGGGTTGCCGGCGTCTTATAAGTCCTTCTAACCTACAGTACTCACTAATAGAAAGCTCGAATAGGGATCTTGAGGGTGGAGAGTTTCTGGCAATCTAAGTCAATCTACGCTCATTCTCTTCCTCAAAGCCTTTGTTACTGTGAGTGAATATTGCGCCACTGTTATAAATGATCAATCCTACTTGAATAACAAAGCTCTTGCTTATGTCCTCAAATTGACTGTTGCTTAACTATATTGCAGCTACTTCCCGCTAGTTTGGGTTTTCCATGTTGAAAACCCTAATCCTTGTAAGGTTAAGTAATCGATCGTAGATTATATCAAGAAAATATGGGGATGTTTTCCGGACCAAATTCGGGTGAACATGGTCATGTGTCAAGCTTCCACCAAGTGTGTACCGGGGCGTGAGAGAAAGGACTGTGGCTGACAGGCTGAGAATTATGATAAGCGGGTTCATGTGTAGTCTGTAAGGGCAGTAAGCAGGTAATCAAGTCACTATTTGCAGGTCAGGTGCCGAGTCTGTCCCCCAGGCTATAAGAGCGAAAGGGAAGTGACAGATCGTCAGGTTATCGAGGGACTCCCAAGCTCTAGTGTTTGACTTGTTTACATTACCATGAAAGATTCTGTTCCTTGAATCGCCAATACAGTTACAAGCCACGCACCGTATTTTAAATCAAAGTATGTCACGGTATCGAGACTTTTACAGGAATATTGTTATTCCGAACAAGATCCTAATTTGATCTAGTGTTTCTTGGTAGTGGGGCCAAATATTAATTGAAGAGTGTAGACAGTTGCACCAGTTTCGGGACGTACTGTAGTAGAAAACTCTCTTCAGCAGCAAGACGGAGGCTCCGATAACCAGTCTACTCAGCAGCCCTCTTCCTCGCACTGTGGGAACTCCAGCACCGAAGCAGACCATTCATTCCACCCTGGCTGGTTGGGAATTTTACGGGAAATAGGGCTCGACCAATTTCACTGGTGATATAGCTTTCGCTGCCGCGCCCGAAGAGTCTTGGTCGAACTTCCCAAAGATGACCACGAAATAGCTTTTCCAGCCCTTAACTGACCACTAGGATCTACAGATAAAACGATGATCCGGTGCAAGAGATCACAGGCTTCGGGATTGCTTTATTTCTCAACATTGCAACTTTCTCATTCTTTGCAATCGTTTATCGAAATTGGTTTAAATCGAGGTGCTTGACTGACCACTTTGTTGGCGATGACGATAACGGTAACACGACGTAGTGAACAGAGTTGAGCCTAGCACCAACTTAGACTCTTCGCGCGCACTGATAGTGTTAAGGCGATGGGAAGGCCATTTGAACGCGAAGTGCATTACAATATAAGCAAAATAATGTAGCTTCAAGTATTGCTGTTCAAGAATTGGGATACGTCTGGATAAACGGCAACACAATTACACTATCGTAAAGTACCAGCTCTCATGAAGAGTAAGAAGCCTTTGACACGAATTGTAGATATATAATAGCGTACGGCAACAATTCTTAAAGATCATTCCCTACGAGCCATGCCACGTTGCTAAACTATAGCATCCTCAGCTTCGCAATGCCCGTGAATATACACAAAGTCCTAATGCTTCACGGTACGTCAAGCTGTCGGCAGGCCTGATAGCAACCCCGCATAGCAGCTTATACTTAGAGCAAGCTACATCGGGCCAATGAATTTCTCTCTCTCTCTCTCTCTTTGATTACACTGTCTTTGGTGAACTAACAAAATATCAGGACATGGTCAATCTGCAGATATCTTCAAGCCAAAAACTCGGTACGTGCGAGAAGTCTTTCGCACTCTGTCCAACGAGATGGAGTTTGAGTTCAAGTATCTGTCCGGTGTGCTACCAGCCTACCCCGATGACAACGATATCACGGATAAGAAAGTCTGGGGCTATGGTGAACCCAACAATGATAAAATCAACGGCCTGGAGAGATCTATTCAGCACATCCTGGATACCCTCGACCAAGATGGTCCTTTTAGTGGTATAGTTGGATTTTCCTCGGGGGCCGCCATGACGGCAATAGTTACATCCATGCTGGAGAAGAAAAAAGTTGTTTGTGGCATTTCAGGCGAGGTAATGTGACTTTTCCCAACTCTATTTTCCGGGTATAGAATCCCACGCCTAACTGATCTCAGAGACGCCATCCGCAATTACTATTCGCAATATGCCTGAGTGGCTTCAAGCTAGAGAATAAGTGCTACAAAGCTTTTACTCCCCAAAAATTGTGACACCGATGTTCCACGCCGTCGGCGAGCTGGATTCAACGATTTCTCCTGGACAGACACGGAGCCTCACACGACAGTGCTCATTCCCATGGCTCTATGACTTTTTCGGCGGCCACTACGTGCCTCAACACAAAGACTTTTTGAGCTTTAGTCAATCCCTTGGAAATTTTCTGAGAGAAGTCTTAGGAATCTCTGAAATGGTTCAAGAGTTGTGGGAGGATATTGATGTAGTTGATGCATAAACCAAGGCTCAAAATAGAACAATTCGCGACCCTTGACAAAAGGATCTGTCGTGTGAGGAAACCTCAGATAGGAACCGTTTCGATATCGTGCAAGCTTGTTAGAGAAGTCTGATCTGCCGCCACTTTGGATTGAACTGCCTCGTCGACCGAGAGGCCTCTAGTGTTTTGCTGGAGAGGTCTCGTCGAATCCTATTAACAGCCTGTTTGCGATTCGGTAGGTAACGTTGGGATAATAGTCTTGGTAATCACCGATTGGTAAGCATCGTCTGGAGCAAGAGTGCGTGCGGTGTTTTCGCTATTGGCCCATATCACCGGCAGTGGCAGGATTGTGCTTTCGGCTATTTATTTGATTGGCAGAGGAGCTGAAGGGACTAATGATGACAACAAGTGGATGCCACAGCATCCGTACGTAGGCATCCGCTGGCGATTCTATGGAGTCAGGACTGAGCGATGTAACCTCAAGTAGGGCGGACAGTACACAACACGTGGCGTACATGTAGAGGGTATACCGAAAGTAAAACTATTCAGGGTATGGAAGGCGCTGGGATCATGACGAAGAAGGCGCTCGCACTTCCAGAGGGGAATCAAAGTAGTATCAAAGCATGGTGCAAAATCACTCCCTATGGAAGGAAATAGAAGTCTCGATACGAAATGATCACGATACTGTTGGGGTCTGAATAGCCTCAAGGGATTATGACGCTAAACTAAAAGCAATAAAATAAATTGTCGGGATATATCCGCTTGTGACTTGGCGGCCTGCAGTCGTATGTGCCGCTCGGCGTTGTGACCGCCGAGGGCCGGTGTGTCACGTGCGGGATCCAGGGGCATATCCCCTAGGTCCCCTTAGACACACAGAAGATAGAACATCAATCAATCAAATCGAATACAATCCACACGTTGCTACTATAGCACATCTGTCCACTTAGCTGTGTACACAGGACCTAGCTCGTGATACCAACATAAATCGAACGCGTAATTCACAGATCCGGGTATTACAGAGTACCCAAAGTTGCTCTACATGCTTGTATTGAAACAGATGGCTACGGAAAATATTGTATACAGCGAAAGGTCGACAGGCGTGAATTGACATACAGTACGTCCCGAAACCGGTGCAACCACTGTACTCTTCGATTGACTTTCCTGCCCCTTACGCCAAGACATGCTAGTCTATATTGGGAGTTCTTCCGGCAGCTGCGTGTGTATTTGCTCGTACGTAGATTACATAATAGTTTCATACATGTATTAGCTCGTAATTTCAATACATCTGACACCTCTATTCCCCTCTCCCGAAGCAGCTTTCCTCGGGAGGCGCACTTAACAATCAATCACGAGTGGTCCAACCAAAGATGGCTCCAAACCTAGCTCCCTCCAAGCATGAGCTTATCTATGACATGATCCACAGTGGCGAACGATCTATAACTAAGATGGCACTGGCCGCTGGTTGCAACAAGAGCACCATCTGGAGAATTTCTTCCAATATAAGAATGTTTGGCAGCGTCAAAGCACCGCCGAATAAAGGCGGACGACCCCGTAGCATCACTCCACTCATGCTCGAGGCTTTATGCGACCATCTGATTGAAAAGCCTGCCTTGTATCTGGACGAGATGGTGATTTTTTTATGGGACGAATTTGCTCTTCAAGCAACAAAATCGAGCATCAGTCGCGCCCTTAAGTCTAAAGGCTGGTCAAAAAAGACTGCTCGGGTCAAGGCACGAGAACGCAACCTTGATCTTCGGGACGAGTACCATCATTTTATCTCAGACTTCAAGTCTTACCACCTTGTCTATGTCGATGAATCTGGATGTGATAAAAGGATAGGCTTCCGGCGAACGGGTTGGTCCCCTCTTGGTACTGCACCGGTTCAAGTGTCGAAATTTCATCGTGATCAGCGTTATCAGATTCTGCCTGCGTATGCGCAAGACGGCATTGTTTTGTCTCGAGTGTTTAAGGGTTCAACTGACGCAACCGTCTTTGAGGATTTTATCGAGCAGCTTCTCCAGCACTGTGGGAAATGGCCCGAGCCGAAGTCTGTGCTGGTGATGGATAACGCGTCCTTTCATCACTCGGACAGAATTAAACAGATGTGCTCAGAAGCTGGCGTAAAGCTAGTGTATTTGCCTCCATATTCTCCTGATTTGAATCCTATTGAGGAGTATTTTGCTGAGCTGAAGGCCTTTATCCGACGTAATTGGCAATCCTACGAAGAAAATCCGGCTCAAGGATTCGATAACTTCCTCGAATGGTGTGTTGACGTCGTTGGTGCGAGGGAGAAAAGCGCGGAGGGACATTTTCGGCACGCTGGCCTAGCTGTAGAGATACAACGCTACTGCGGCAGCAAAGTTCGGGACTAACCTCACCGGCTAACTAGAACGTATTCGTTTACGGGCATTATTGCGAACCATATTGTATTTTGGGCTCCTGCAACATTCAGAGATACGAAATGCATAAATTCTTCGACATGTCAATGTCATCGTACCAATTTCTAATGCACTGATAGGGTATCTAACCACCCGTCAAGTCGTAAGCCTGTAAGATATCCCAAATGTGTCGATCCATCTTCTCTGACATCTAGCTCCTCCATATCACGAAGGACCCGCTCAATATATTCGCCAGCGCCGCTAAGGTTCATAATAAGTGCAATGGCGCGGTGGACATCGAGAAGCCGGGGGGATGGCGGATCTACCGTGCGATGAGGACTTAGGGTAAGCGATCGTGTGACGGGAAATAAGGGGTCACGTAAGAAAGGACTGCGTTCTGTCGAGTCAATCCTGTATTGGTGTCGTGTGCCAGTGCGTTCGAAATAGATCTTGAATTCGCCGAATAGCCGGTGGTAGTCCAGCGTTAGAGTGAGGGCATTCATGGGACTGTCAATTTTGGGTCCATCAATAAGATGGATTATTCCGGGATCGAACATGTCCAAGATCCGAAGAGCATTTTTCTTTGAATCGCTCTAGGCATAACATTAGCACCGTCAAATACCAATCCCAATGATCGGACATACCAAATCGGTTTCACCAAAAGCTACCGTCGTCAGACAATGAGGGAGAATGTGTGCAACCTCCAAGTATTGAAATTGATCGCTGGACTCATCCTTCAATAGGTTTCCGTCATCATCAGCACAAGATTCCGAATTCTCCTCGAAACGCTTTCTGGCTTCTGCTCTATCGAATTTCCGAGACACTACACAGCGGTGGCGGTCGCGCATAAGACATTTCTGTCGTAAGACAGATACTCGCTGCCGCGTTCCGGTCGGTGTTGAGCTCTGCAGCGATGATAACGACGTGGGCGTTGGTTGTGGTGTCTTGACTGATGATGCTCTAACTATAATTGCGAATTAGCATATACTCATTAGAGATCAAGCATATGTATATGTAAGGACTTAACGAACGGGGAAGGAAAAAATTTTCAACGATAAACTCAGCAAACTTTTCTAGGCCTCCATGAAGCTTGTTTATTTGTTCTGGTTCCCATGAAGAAAATCCCTCGAAGAATACCAAGGCGTGAGTAATATCAGAATCAACGACATGTCCTTCATCAGAGCGCAGGTCCTCGTAGATGTATGTGAGGAAGAAAGTCATAAAGGTATCCGGCGATGTAACGTGCTCGAGAGTAGCCTGGATAAGGGCCGCAGGCCGATAGCCCTTCCGCCCGGTCTTCTCGGAGCCATAATGCCGTACAAGCGTGATCACTAGGTTCCTCGCCGACTCATGCTGTTGTGGTGTTAATGATAAGGGTTTTGAGAAGTCCAAAACCCCCTCTAGGGAGGACTGGTGACGGTGAGTCGCCATCGCTGGAAACTTGCGAGCCCTAGGGTGAGGGGCGAGTAAGATGGTGGAGGCATGTGATGAGCTGACTCATATCGGGTTTGAGGTCGGCCCGACAGAATCTCCCACAGTAACGCAAAGGTACAGCAGTATTCGAATTCAGTTATACCTACACACTTTTACGCAGTATTCGAAATCAGTTATACCTACACACTCTTACGATGTGACGGAAAATATATCTAATATCGGCAGAACCTGCATCGTAATGCGGGTATTGCATCGAGGGGTCATTGTCTTGGTATAGTAATAATACACGGGAAAGATTCTGGCGATCTGGCAAGGCCGCCCCGCCTAAGTTACTTTCCTTTCTCCTTGCCGCATCCTTCCACCTAGGGAGCACACAAACCATCACGCGAACCAACACAAACACATTCTCACCCCGAGGGCCTCCTCCGAGATGTCTGAATCTTTCTTCTGCCTCGACTGCACCCGTTCAGTCACCTTTCTGAAGATAGGCAGTAAGAAGCATATGGCAATCTTGATGGAGAAGGCCCCGATCACGGCGCTTTTCGACTCCTCGTTGACATACGTAAGGTGTGCCGTCTGCATCGCCTCGAAAGGGAGGCTATCTAGTGGCAAAAATCCCACCGAGTCTGCTTTCAAGGTTCCTTATGAAACTCAGCAGATACTCGTAAAGAATATCGCCACATTTTTGAAGAAACCTGAATGCGAGATCGCGGTAGTCACGAGTGGGCCTTGCGACATGTCCAAAAAGCCGGCCTACATGAACATTGACGAAGCCCTGGAAACTGACCTGTACGGTTTGGCATGTTTAAGCCTTGACTACGGAGAGCCTACGAGCCCCTACACGGACTTCTACAGCATAGTTGAGTGTGATAGTCGACAAATACCTGATACAGAAGTGAACAGCCAGATATCCAGCAACTCAGAAGAAAAGATTGTGAGTCGGGACGGGGAGGTGGCTCACGTTACCGACGTTGAACAGCCTTCCGGTCTAGAGCCGGGGAAGAACAACTGGTTATCCAGCTACTCAAAGCGGATTGTCACTCAGATCACGAAAGTCTCGAACGCTATTGAAGGACCTTTAGACTTGTTCTGCCTCTATTGCAAACCCAACGAGGTAGACGCATGCTACGGGAATAGCTTTATGGCTTACATGGAAAAAACGAAAGTCAAAATGTACCCTCACTTCCTTACTGGTGCTGATACTCTCGTGACCTTTACCTGTGATACCCACCTTTCCACTCGCCCTGAGGACATAACCGCTGGAACGGAGCCGCCCGTCCCGCAGGTCCGCATGACCGCGTTAGAGAAACTTCGGGAGTTCTGGGGACACACTTATCCCGTGACAGGCTTGGCCAATGGTTGCACCCACACGACTATCCTGAATATCAATTCCTCCGAGCCACATCTGATCACACAGCTGGACCTTGAGTTAAGAATGTGGATCTTATGGTCTGGGTATTATGATTATTATCCTCTCGAATTCGACACATTCGAGTCATATATTTAGTACGAATGTCAGCATGCCCTTCGTCTTCGATGGCAGTCTGGTTGGAGTTCGATACAAGTGCTTCGTTCTCTGTATCGTTATTATTCGCACTTAATGGTCTCTGTAACTGCTAAAAACAGGCACGTTGCCGCAAGTGTAACTTACAACGGAAACCGGAATTCAACGTATAGCACTGCGGAATACACGCGAGAACGATCCATTCTGGACATACTGCATTTGGTATCGCTAACCACGGCGAAGCTGTGCTACTTGTTAAGAAGCTCTGCCAAGAGCCCCAACCGGTGCGCCTGAATTCGACCCGTTTACCACAAGAAGTTTTATTAAGGTATGCCAGGTGATGCGACTGAAACTCGCATAGGTTGGGTAAATAATGTGGTAGGCTCAAGTCCGCTTTCTGCTTTTAAGCTCGCCACTGCGTTTTTGAACCAATCTGCCGCTACAACAGCTCCTCTAATGCTGAAGGTTGTAATCATGATTTCAACGCCACAGGAACGTAGCCATCTCGTTGAGGTAAAGACCGGGCTTCTGAGAAATGTAGTCGCAAGTGCTTTTATCATCGGCGGTATCACGGTTCGTTTCTGGCCGATTCGGTATGGGACATTAATAGTACCGAAAGGGCGTTCATTTTTGCGAATATTAATAACCGTAAGCTTCCTAATTTCAGCTTGTTCGGCCATCTGAGACGTGTAGTTTTGTATCATACAGCTTTAGAGTAGGGAGTCATCTGCCTGGCGTTGGCTACCGAATTGTAGCAGAGAGCGGGTGGTGGCAGAGGAAATCTGCCTCAACATGCGTTGGGTACACCAGCGTATAGCACGTTCCTGTAAAATATAAGCAGTGGTGTCCAAATATTGTATTGTAAGATACAGCTACCAGTCCAGAAAGCTGGAGGACAGGCGGGGTCTTTGTCCCCTATCCAATCGGACCTTACGGCCCGCCGGTTTTTTTTCCGGGGATCAAGTCACAAGAGTGCGGAGGTATAACTGATTTCGAAAACCACTGTAGCGAAGTGCATTATACGTGTGCACCAATAGGATCGATAACAGGTCGAAGTTGCTAAAAGCCCCTAACCCATGGCACTAACCGCCCCTGCGCTCCAGGTCAACGGACGACTCAAGGTTGATACCTCTAGTATTTGATGCGGAGACTGGCCCCACCCAGTAGGTCTCACATCTAGTGGGGACTTGTGTAAGCTGAAACAATATTAACCTCATTAAATGGCGGGCAAAGTCAACTCACAGTAGTGACATAGATTATATCAAATTAATATCCGACAATATCCTCTCTACCAGGATACAGTACCAGCGTGTTGGGAAAGGTCTTCAGAGCGAGCTTACCTGTTTTGCTATAGCAGTATGATCACTGAAAGAGATTACAGTTCATTCCGAACCCATGTAAAGGGATAAATGCAGCATGCCAGTGTAGGCTGTTCTCTAATAAAAGCACATAATGTATCTAGACTAAATGAATATTTTCGTTGCAAGTCACTTCTTTGCGTCGTTTCACCCAGAGGCCGATGTCACGAACGAACCGCCGGGCGGCACCTAATTTCACGCCGTGCTTAACAAAGAAACCTGGGTCTTGATCCTCATAAACCTGCATGAGGTCGAGACAATTTTCGAGGGTCACATCGCGTGCTCTGTTGATGTTCTCCCTGAAAGTCTCGTTGCTCACCCGCGATTTCTGCCATTCAGTATATTCGTCCACAGCGACATCTAGCAGGCCGTCAACCATGATTGATTCAGTATAGTCGGGCCCGGTGGACATGGCGTCATTAGCAGGAGGATGTATCGATTGCTGAGATGATCCTGCCGGGAGGACAGTGATATTGATTGGAGGACACATTGAACCCAATGTAGAGTTCTCCGCGGCTTTCTTTTTTTGTCCAGTCGCTGGTTCTCCTCGGCATAGAGCTGCTCGCGAACACTGTCAGGGATATCGGCGTGGGTCTCGAGAACCCCACCTTGCTCCACATATTTGACGAGAGCCTTCAGATGGTGTGTCTTCAATCTATGGTGCGTTTTACCCTCTGGATCTTGCCAGCAATATTGTCCTTCGTGACGACATGGAGGTCCGGGACATCGCATGATACGATACACATCGCGCCAGACGGAATGCTGGCCGGAGACCTGCTCGGCGTCAATCTGAGCGTCTCGATCAGCGAGCATCCGCGTAGTCACCGATGACTTTCCTCTTTTGTCTGTTCTAGAAAGACGAAGTCCACTATCCTCTATGTAGTTGATCGATATCTGAAGCCGGATCTTCTTGCCACGACGAAATAGATAGGCCCACGCTAGCAGCTGTTTCTCCACCACTGTCCAATCAACACTAGTACCTTCAAAGTGTTTGTCAATGTCCCGTTGGGAATTCACCGATAAGACCATGTCAGTATCATCTAGTCTCACCCGTCGGCCACGGGCGATCTTCCGTCGTAGAATATTACAAGCGTCCTCTTGTATTTGTTCCCAGTAGGATCTAGGCGGTTGAGTCAGGTCTTGTTTTGTATCCTTGACCATAACTCGATTGTTCAATTTAACCCTCCACTCGATCTGGTAGTGCATACGGTCCGGAGATTGTTCATCCCATGCACTTCCATCTGCACGTTCAACCACAGAATCAAAACTCTGCTGGTCGGACGGATTTTGATGCAAGGAGAGTGAACATTCACCAATTATGTCCTCGGGATCGGGTGAAGGGCAGATTACTGATGGCGTCCATTCACGGTCTGGGTAACCAGGGGTGGGGGCATACGAGGGAGTCCGTCCCCATAGATCGGGCACTTCAGGTCGGTAAGCATCATCCTCATCGTTGAAAGGAGTGTAAGTCATCCCCCCAAGGCAGAAGATGCAACTGAGGAGTCTATTAACATGGTTGTGTCAGCTTCCACCAAGTGTGTTACAGGGTGTCAAGAGAGGACTCTGGCTGACAGGCTGAGTAATTTAATAAGCAGGTTCATGAATAGTCTGCAGGTACAGTAAGCAAGTAATGCAAGCCACTATTTGCAAGGTCTGGTGCTGTGTAACCCCCCAGACCGTCACTTGGACATAGGAGCGGGAGGGAAGTGACAGGTCGGCAGACTCTCAAGGCACTCACAGCTCTATCGTTTGCCTTGTTTGCACCTCTGTGGAAAATTCTAGTTCCCTTAGTATACCAATACACTTACGAGACGAGGCGCCGTATTTTAATAAAAGTAAATCACGGTATCGAGGCTGGTACAGGACTATTGATATTCCGGGACTATCACTAATATGATCTAGCCCTTTTGGCAGTGGGGCTAAATAATCACTTAAAGAGTGTAGGCGGTTGCACCAGTTTCGGGACGTACTGTACCGACAGCATAGCCTCTTCTCATTCGCGTCAGCTCGGATTTCTAGACCGAGAGGTGGCCTTGTGGTGCAATTTGCCTGGATAGCGGACTTGCAGGGAAGAAATATCTCGACCTAGGAAGTGAGCCGTAATCTCAGACCATGACATTGCCTCTTTTTCCTTCAGTCGCACCAGCAGCGCATACTCGTCCTACAGGTACTGTTACAATGATGCTAATAACGTTTCAAACAATGAAAAGTATAGGCATCTAAACTACTGTAGAATATCAAATGTGGAGGCAAACAGAAGTATGAAGACAAGTGAACCTAAGATGATGAGTAGATGCAAGCCTGTCACGTCATCATTATCCGAACACATCCCTTAAGATCCGCCCTGTGGGCTTTCTCATCTGAGTTGCAAACCTATGTCACTAGCCCGTGACATTTCCTGTTTTGAACCTAATTTCAAGGGCTTCAGTTTGAGTTGAGCTGAATGATGTCTTTGTCCGAAACACAATTTTGAGGGAATTTGCTATGAGCAGAATTCTATTATTTCAGAGACACCAGAGGTTCAAGGGTTGAGCACAAAACTGACTGCAATTGTCTAGGTACCAAATTCTACAATCGACGTCTCTTTCTCTCTGGGCAAGGCTCCAAAAATTGGACCCGCCGTTTAGTTCCACGAGCGCAATAGCATATCCTTCTTGGGGGCCAACAAACCTCTAAATGATCAGCACGTCCAAAACATGCATAAGCTTGTTGATCTTCCAGAATTTTCTGCATGGACTTTGGAAAGCCACCAATTTTGTGCCGGAAAGAAGAGTTGGCAATCTCAATCGAAATAACCTCTTCCAGACTTTTAACTGTAAAAGTGACTTTTTTACGATAGTAGCCACAATGCCGACACTCGTCATCGTTGCCAATCAGACCAAGGTGGTATCCGCTCCCAGTTTGAAACCGAGGGCCCGGGAACTCAAGGAGCACCCTCTTGATCAAATCACCAGCGTCAGGGCTTGAACATAGAATTGAACCTTGACAATAAAGGCTTCCTTGCTTTCTAACAGGTAGTTCGTCCAATTCAAAGAATAAAAAGCCTGTGGCTAGTATCGCACGAACGAGGTCATCTGGGACGCTGTATGACAATTCAGCAAGGTCTATCAATCTATCCACATCATCTAGCCTAGGTAAAGGCCAGGGTATAGCGTGGTTGAGTCGGTATATATGCGCTCTCATACGGTCTGGAACATAATTGAGTGCCTCAAAAAAGCCCTGCTCGCCATCCATGGATGGCGAGCACATGGCTGCTCTGATAAGGCGCGGAACTGCTCCATCTTGAAGAATACTCCCTAGAGGGGTATCTTGAGCCTTATATCCAGGAGTAGAAAGGCCGGTACCAACTGATACAAGCAAATCAGGTGTGCCATGCGATGGCCAGATAGTAGCGGATTCCTTCAGCGCAATTGCTAATGGATTGTTGGCCCGCACTCCACCATCCTGCAACGGACCAAACCCAGGGAGAGTTTTGGTTTGGAAGAACCTGTTTGGCAATTAACTTGGGCAACGCAATAGGTAGTCTTTGATTGGACTTGCTTACCAAGGAGCAGCGACACTGCAACGGGCACTATAAAATGGCAAGTGTCAGCTCTATAAAGACATGGATGTAATTCTTTCAGCATTGATATTAAAGTAGTGATATAGGATTAACAGCACTCACGCTTCCCATAGAAAGGGATTCTGACTTTCTTCCTCTGGTTTCAAAAATTGATATGCCGAATCGATTGGGCGTTGGCCAACGCCGCGGTAATTTGCTAACACGCAGGCCTTCCCATCGGAAATACGACTTGTGATAATAGCTACTCGACTGCCGGCAGTTCGAGTTGTGCTCACATCAAACATTCGCCGCTCTGGATCAATTGCCTCTTTGAGAGTACTCTCCAGCTTTATTCCATCATATTGACCGTCTGCCAGAAAGCCAGCCACGCATTTTATCCATTTGGCGCACCTAAAAATTGAGAACTTCTGCGAGGGGGCCGGGGCCAGCTGAAACACATCTCTGGCAAAAGCTGGAAATTTCCGAAAGCTATCTTCAGCCGAGGAACCATTGAGAATGATATCTATTTCGTTAAGAGCCCCTGCTTCATGGTCAGATGATCTCAATCCGGGGCTCACAGGTGGGAGAATGGGAAAAGGCAGAAAGAAACTAAAATCAAATAAAATGAACGATACAACTGAATGCCGCGATTGTCACATACCAACGCTTGTCCCTCCAGATAGATCAAATATATCAGGTATGCGCATTTTATCCCCAAGACGCTTTTCCAGTGCACGTAGAAGACCTAGCTGAATGATGCCACGAACCCCACCACCGTCCAAACTAAGCACCAGGGGTCGTTTTGTGGGGGGTAGCTGACGGATTGTAAGCTGAGAAGTCTTGTGGCACAACGGGCACTTCATAATGTCAAAGTGATATTCGGCGCTTTTATTTGGAGTGCCAAAAATCACAACGCAGGTATCGCAGATCGCATGCCGGCACGCCAGCATGTGTTCTGGTGATCGACACAAGCAATAGAAACAAGTCGTTGTTGAAGTTAGGCCATTGCACTGAAGGTAATAAGTATTTAATGCGTCCCTTCTGATACTTGCAGACGACCTGATTGGACTCATTGAATGGAAGAACCGCGTAAATTGAGCAAACACAGCATTGCAATGTTGCTTCTCATCGTTATCCCCCATTTTACGCCACGCTTCCAGACAGTGCCCGCGATAAAGAGTATTGAAAACATGGTCTGGATGAAAGCCTGTGGTTATTAGTGCTATACTTGATCAAGGGAGAGTACTCCGTAAGGAATACGTTACTCACCATGCATTCCAGGTGGGTAGGCATTCATTAATAACGCCGATGCAATGAAAACATGAATTTCATCTTTGGAAGAAGGCCGGTTGCTTGCTTGACTTATGAACTCGACCAAGCATTCTGTCGTAATATTGTTAAGTCTTTGATTCTCTCGTGCAACTTCGAGGCAGTCCAAAACAGTAGCGTCCGAGGGCCCTATTTCTAGACGCAGGGTTTGTGTCCAGAGGGTATTTAGGTGTGTAGCCGAGAATAACAGACCTTCGTGGCTCTGTTCCGCCCGGATTTCCTGTGTTTCATTGAGTATGAGACGTCGTAACGGCTCAAACGCTGCTGTTGGGGATAATCCACAACGATCACGTAGGTCTAGGACTGTGACATTGTTATTAAGAATCCCAGGCGATTGAAGCCCATGGAAAACTTCAGGGACATCCTCAAGTTCGGAACCTTCAGCAGCTGTGACAACTATCACAATGCGCATTGAATCTGTAGTGGGCTCGGAACCGATGGTTACAGTCCGGCGACGTCTATTGAGCAGCTGGCAGGCGTCGCGAATTTCAGAGTGAGTATCTACAAATACACAAAACAGATTTGTCCATGGGAGAAGCATCTGCGAAATGACTTGCTGCTGTATCTCCGGTACGCGCTGAGACCGGTCTTGAAGAATGCGATATCGTCGAAAATTGTCCGATGACCAGCGGCACAGATCCGATTCACCCACCCCGGAAACACTAGAAAGGCTGCTTTCCACCAAAAGAACAGGATGCTGAGAATTTGCAGTCCTTGTGCTTAGATGCAGTCTGGCCAGACCAGCGGGCCCTCTGCGAGTAATGTTGTTGTGTGGGAAGAGCGCGCGAAGTGCCTTGATCCGGCTACCATTACCTGCGAAATATACTACCGAAGGGAATTGCGTATTTGGATGGCTCATTCCTTTCACTAGTTCGTCCAATCGTCCGGTGTCTACCAAGGTCCAGCCTGTGGAGTCCGAGACGAGATCTAGCCACGCCGCCATTGAGATTTAAATAAAGATAGAGGAGGATCAGGAGCCTCAAAGACAACAAGCTCTCAAATATTGGTAGGATGCTAGCATGGCTTTATGTCTGACTGTCATAAATACAACTAATTCAATGACCCTTATTTCTGCGGCTTGTCTGAAGACGTCGATGCTACAAGAATTTGAATTTAGTTGATGTCAACTTGATTAATGAAATGCGTGGGCACCATCTCGTTGCGAGTTTTCAATTTGGCTGCAAAGTAAAAGAGGGCAGCATTAAGTAAAGGAGGTAAGTCTGGGATAGTTAGGAGAGTCTTAAAGAGATGTGTCAAGAAACAGGGTTCCTTGTGATACAGATTACCTCATCATTCTCGCGTAACCTGGATCCTGGGTATTCCGGCACCCCGGCTATTCCGGCAGGAACTTCAAAACTTCAACTTTCCTACCTTTTTTAAACACCAATTAATCAACCAGAAAACCATAAATTGCACTGAACTAAGTTCTGGGGCATTTGTTAAAAGAATGCCTTTTTTTACAGTGATATTCGAAATCAGTTTTAAGTGCAAACTCTCTCTCTCTCTATTTCTTCGGCCCCACCCTAAATGCACTAGTCCTGATTAGGGGATCCTCCCGTCAGCCTTGTATCCGTCGATATATGCGGGTGTAAATTACGGTAATATCATCTGTTGGTGGCGAAAAGACAGTGTCACATGCTCTTCAAGGCTGGTCTAGGCTTCTGCCATCATCCGATGTTGACCTTTTACCAGCTTCCATGGATGAAGAAAATGGAGCCTCAGGCAATGGGACAGCCTACCCAAACCAGGCTAATGCGGGGAAATCCGTCACTTCCATAAGTGTTCAGATTCCCTTCTTTCTTTCTGCTTCATCACAACATCTTAAATCTTAACACTATCAAGAAATAAGAATGTCCGTCATTCAAATCCACCCTTCAGTCGACGTTATTTGGTGGACAGATACCGACCTTCATATCAAGTGTTCTTACTGCGAAGAGCTTCATCGTCATGGGTTCGTTTTCTACGAAAGTGCGCTTCGCGTGCCGCGCTGTGGCATGTCTCGGCCGTCATATCGGTTTAAATTCCCTAATGCCTACGAGATCAATAAGACTAAGGCACGTTTCATCAACATCAACACCCTTGAAGATCTGGAGAGTGAGGCTGAGAATAGGTCTGAAGGTGAGACCTTCTTGTCGGGTGGAATTTCCAACATGAATTTATCTGGAACACCAAATGGACCCCACCAAATTGAGGTCACCTTCGCTGATTCTACGGAACAAATCACTTTCCAACTTGATGGCGAAGAGCCTTTTAATGAGCGGGGCATCCTCTTCGCTATATCCGACTGTGTCAGTGACAAAGTATCCAGTGTGAGAAACTACCTAGAACAAACAGAAGAAAAATCTATATTTCTTCACGGGAAAGATCACCGAGGAGATACTTGTCTCATCATGGTTTCTCGAGAGGAAAACCGCATGTCAGCAAAGGAGCCAGAAGGAACTTTGCGACGGGCAACTATACTGATAAGCCTGTTGTTTCAGAATAGGGTCAACCACTTCTTCGGTCTACAGATCGAGTTACGTGAGTGTACAATGTGAGGCTTGTCGGCGGTTGTCCGTGAGATTTTGACTAAGTATTCATCAAAATCGATGGATTTGGGGCTTTCTTTATCTGTGATCAGCTTTCGGAGGCCCGTATTTGAAGCTGCATTAAGCTGTATTTGGCCGAGGCGAATAAAACCTTTTTACATCTGCGACCCGACTTAAATGCCTACAGGATGGATCGAAATCAGTTTCACCACTTGCAAACAGAGATTCTTTCTCGAACCCTCTTTCGAAACACGCTATACCTATTACGGTTACTCACCCCCCTGAACGCCTTTCTTGGCAGTATTCCAGTACAGTCGTAAATAACGATTTAAAAATAGCTTCTGTTATATACCTGTATGGTTTCTGGGGATTCTAGAACGTTGATCCATTGGAAAAGCTAGATAGAGCGTGGGGAGCCATCTCAAAGCTGCGGACCTCAGCCCGTTAGACAATGCGTTCATGTGGCATACTAGTAACAGAACGCGATCTCGCACCTCCACTCGTACACTTGATAAAGGAGAGAGGGGATAGATTAGGTTGGTCATCGCAATCAGGGTATTAAACTCGGGTTAATTTATCATTATCATTACAGTATCATTGTCCGGAAAGTTTGCATGTCGCCGGCACTCGGTTCTAACTAAACATTGGCAAGACTCGCGGCGCCGTAAGCTAACTCATAAAAGCCTATAGCATCATAGTCATTGTTGGTATCACCAACTAGGTAGTGTGTACACATTTGAAGTCACCGCTAGTTTGTTCTAACAGGAGGATATTGTTTGGCAGATTTGTCTCATCAGGTCATTTGACCCAGATAGGCTCCATAGCTTAGATAGATCGCTTCTCCTCTAAGAGAACTTAGCTCTATCATCTCTCTCTTCTCTCCTTCGTCCTCTAGGTTCTAACAGATATGATCCGACAGTCATTGATAAGCTACAATCTACGAACTTCAATCGCCCGCGCCGCTGACCCTAAAGTGACAAGTATAGGCGGAGCAGTGCAGAGTACTATGATAAGACAAGAAGAGCAGGTTCAAGAATCGCTGACAGATTTAGCTACAGCATACTTTAAATTCAACAAGAACATGTTCTGCGGAATTCAAATGACAATGAATCGGTGTTCAAAGTTCCCGGAATTTCCACCATCATTGCCACATCTCATTGGGATTTGCGTAGAAGTACCTACTCAACGGCGTCCCATAGTAACGATGACCCCGTCCCCAACCGTGGATTATCTCATTCCGACCTGTTCCAGTCTGCAATTGCCACAATTTCCTATTTACCCTTTGAACTGCTTTCGATGCACCAAATAGCTATACCCCAAGTCCAGAATCGGTGTCGTTTGTAGTGGTGAATACTATTCAACGGCCTTCATTTCGAACCTTCAAGGCTGATAATCCTAGTGGCTGTTGTTGTCTAATTCTTTGCGAATTCAAGCTAATGAATGAGGTCACGATGGGATTGATATGTAGTCTCAAATGGCAGACTTTAATGGAGTTATCTCTGTCGCCAGGACGCCCCACTGACCAGGATCTTGCACTTTCTGGATGGCTGCCCGAACTTTCCTGTAGCAAATGCCGTTACGACACAGGCCCACAAAGAGAACCCGTGAAATTGTTCGGTGAAACCATGCATCACGTCCAGCGACGTCCTACATGTCAAGCTACTCAAGCCGCATGGCTCTTGATCAGATACTATACATAGAGCTCCCTTCACAACTGTGTTCATTGGACAGCACTGATTCGTTTAGAGCTAGTTCAACCCAGTATCCCAGCTAGTGCTCGGAAGTTCTCGGTTGTTCCACGACGATACCTTTTAAACGCGAGAGGATACTTGAATACTCCAATTACAGTGATTGATTAAAGACAGAGCTGAGATGGCACATGATTACAATAACGCAATCCTAGCATTTGCAAACTGTCGAATTACCTACAAACAGGATCCACAGCCAAAGCAATTATAGCTCGAAAATTTACCTCAATGGGCGAAGAAAAATTCTAGTCAAATGTCCAAGATGCCAGTCCGTTCTCATTGCCGCAGAATCACACCGGGAAGTTGGTGCTCGCAGTGTCTTCACGACTCAGCTTCTGCCAACCAGGGACTTCAATTGCAAATTGCTTCGACATTGACCTCAGATTCATCATCCTCCTCATATTGGAGATTCTGAAGGTTTTTCTGAAGATTTGCAAAACGCTGCTCAGAGTATGCTAAAAATGCCCTTTGGTTGTATGACTCTTGCCCCGCAATCTGCAACCTAAGGCATAGCTGAGCATTGGCAGAACGAAGGATCTTAACCTCCTGCTGAAGTCTGTGAAGCTCAGCTTTCTCCGCCGTGTAGCAATCCCAAAGCACCGAGTATAGTTGTAATATATCCATACAGGAGGTCCGGCTGAAGTGCTGTGAGCATTGGAGGTTTTGCGTTTGTGGTTCTGACGGAGTCAAGCAAGCTTGAAATGCTTCGCCTACCTCGGAGCTCTAATATAGAAATCAGTCTACATTCAAAAGAATTTTGAATATACTTACGAGGTAGCTGTCTGCACTTATATGAACATCGTTGATAATGGGTTCGGCTTGTTCAGGTGATCCAGGGCTGGCCTCGCCGTTAGTAGTAGTATCTTGCTCGGAAATGGAGGCAGCCATCGATGCGAGACAAAGGCTTGACGACTTTGCTGTTTCGGTCTGGTGATATTTATATTACGCGACTATTATATAGATTTGGATTGGCTCAAACTCTTATTGTCGAAGCCATCTATATTGAGAATGATTCAGTTATGATGACGCGAAACTTGCGGTTTCGCTGGGATGATCTCTCTTACACCTCGGGTCCATTAGCACCTAATTGTCGCCATCGGTCTATCCGGTCCTTTTCCACTATGCATACTTAGGGCCAGCACCCAGTGACTTCGGATAATGGTGAAAATACCGCAGTCATCGTGCGAAAAGGGGGGGGGAGGGGGTGTTCAATAATGTTGTCAGCCACGACCAGGACCCAAAAGTTGATGTGAAAGTAAGAGCTACAGTGGAAATGCATTGAGATGGAATCTAGAGGAGCCAAGGGGAACCGATACAAAATAAATAAATGAGTTGATTGATTAAACTCGAAGGAGACTCAGCCGGAACGAGGCACTGTGTGTGTCTCACTTGCCAAGCGGGAAAATCTCCACATCCGTTAAGGCATATCTAGACTAGTGTATGTGCATGATGATCCACCATTCTCGACAGTTGACCAAAAGTCAAATGCACTTCTCCAGTCTGCGATCATTTAAATGAGAATATTTGACTGAGACATATCGACGAACCGTGCCTAGTGTAGGGGGGCCGGTCTATAGGACATTCAGCAGCACGAGACATGATGCTTCCTAGGCAGGTCTTATGTCAGAGTCTGGGGTAATCAAAGCGTTCATACTATACAAGTTTTCTTTCCGGGGAGCAACATCGTTCGGCAGGGAGGTACGGATTAGACTTGGTGGTTTTCGCCGTGACTCTGGGCACAAACCGTTGCTACGCTGAGAGAACAGGCGAGGGGACGACTATTACTACAGCTTGAGCGAGTCATAGGAGATTTATTCTTGCACGTACCCCGTTGCTTCTTATCGGCTGGGGTTAGCCCATCCCTTCCAATCTTTCATGAGTCTCTATATATGGGAGCGTTTTGTGAGGATCTGAGGGTTAATGAGAGCAATACTAGGAGCATTATAAATCGAGTTTTGCTATTCTGGCCGACGTCGCCTCTCCACTGCTGAGAACAAAGTCCATCTGTAACAACGAAAGCTCTTATTGAAATGACATTTTGGTAATATCGTACTATGGCTTCACTACCTATTTGTTCCCCTCCGGGGCTAGCCTTAGCTAGTTCGTCAACTTTATACCGCGAGTTAGCCTGTGCGAAGGCATCACAGACACTACAAACAAACTTCCCACAGCTCTCGTACACTCATCCTCCAAGCTCCAGACTTACATCCGACCAGGTAACTCTTGCTGTTGCAGCTCATACGATTCGCTCCGAAAGTCTTCCCTCGGAACCGCGGCTGATGCAAACCAAGGTATCTGCGAACACGGGTGAGACTGAATGGACGCCTTCGGTTAGTCCTTTGGGTAATGAGACCGACATAACTCCGCCGACAGCATCTCCGGAAAGCCTGCCAAGTGCAACAGAGTTCAACGACACCCAAACCCAGCCTCCTGAGACAAGCTATTCAGATCTAAATCCTCTCGGCGCGACGCTTTCTCCCGATTCTCCAACTCAAAACCTAATAACGGTCAATATGTATCCAAGCTCCACCAGCAATCAGAAATCCCTAGATCCTCTACACGATAATCTTGTTGCTTTAACAATCCCTTCTAAACAAGTCGACCTTGGTATCGAGCGGCTTCCATCGATAAGTACAGGAAGCGATAACTCGCCGAGTGACGGCAGTAATGGCTATTTGGAGATAACTGAATTTTCTCAGCCTTTTCTCGTCCTGACGTCTGACGAGGAAGGCGTGCAACCTGGCCATTTCTCACATACGCAGATGGAAGGTCAGACTGCCGCCCCACAAGGGGAAACAACGCAGGGCGCCTATTCCCCGCAATCACCTACGACACTCGTTATCATCAGCCCCCTTTCATCTTCAACGGCAGCAGATACTGTTTCCTCGAGCCCCTCCAATGGTGCTTCATTGGATGGGAGCGGGGTATCGCGAAGGCCCTCAAGGCAAAGCCTTGCGGTTATTTTCGGCAGTATTCTAGGAGTAAGCCTCTTTGCCGGTTGCATTGCAATCCTGCACAGGCTGTGTTGTCGAAACTTCCGCAATACGAGAGTCCAAAGGCATGCCATCCATAGCGCATGTCACGGTGGCCAAGAAAGCAAACGTTCAGAATTAATCCATTCTGAGATATCACGTTTCTCCAAGGATACTTGACGTGGTTACCACTGTGACGATCAGGACTCAGGCGTCACATGATGGGTGGTGAGTGTGTGTGGTACGAGAGCTGTGAGAACCTGTGACTTGAGGAGGAAGAGGACATGTCCGGTGACTGGGAGAAGAGATGAAAACTCTTCTGTGGATTCTTTCTTGTTCTCTTTCTTTTCTTTCCCATAGTTGTTGTTTCGTCTGAATGCACTCTTTTATCTAAAGGATTTGGCTGGTAACATAACAACAACTATCAACCCATTTCTATTTCTCGGAAGCCACTGCAAGGACTATCACGCGTCGTGAGAGGTCCCAGTTCGCTTCACCACAACAATCAAAACTAGTTTGCGGAATCTAGTCAACATGCCGAGCACCCGCACTGGTAAGCCGGCACTCGTCTCAGCCGATGAACGACAACGACAACGACAACGAGAGGGCACCGCCTTCCCAGGAACCAGTCACGGCACCGGATCACGATGACGAGAACCGGGACCACGATGATGAAGACGAGGTTCACGAAGAACCATCCAACGAGTTGGAAAGACGGATCGGAGAACTTGCGAAGGAAGTTCTGACACTGCGGAAGGACAACGAGGCCTTGCGTCGCGAGCTGGCTGAGGCCGTTTCGGATCAGGAAGAAGCGATCGCTCACCGGGACATTGCGCGTCGCCAGAGAGATGAGCTTGCATACCAGCTGCTGAGCATGCAGCGCACGGGTCACGGAACACCGAATATGGGATCCTTGACCCAGAAGTCGACTAAGATGCCAGATGCGCCCATCCTCAACCTCAATGATGGAAAAGAGGTTCGATTCGAGACATGGGAAACCGTTATTCGGCAAAAACCGGAAGCGAACAGCGATCATCACCCGCTCCCAGTGCACCGACTGCTCTATGTCCAGAGCCGATGCGAAGGGAAGGCGCAGCTTCATATCGCCCCTCGCATGCATGCTGGCGCATCGAACCCTTACCTAGATGCCGAGGACATGATCAGCCATCTAAGGTCGGTTTTCCAAAACCGCAACAGAGAGTCCGAGGCGTTGGCCCAGTACCAGAAGTTGAGCATGAAGCCGAAGGACTCCTTTACCGACTTCCTCGCGGAATTTATGCAGCTTGCTGAAGAAGCCGGTGTTATGGAAAAGGCCCGGAAGCGTGATCTGAAACTCCCGTACTTGCTCCAGACGCAGGTAATGTGGGCCGTGAACAAAAGCAGCGTTCCCATTGACTAATTTACCGAAGCATGCCAGAGCATGGCGCATGAGATCAACCTACTGCAAGAGAGTCGTCCCGCCCGTAGCAGGAAAACTTCGAACCGCACTCAACCACTGGTTCTGGATCCGGAGCAAGTCAGCAAACTGCCGGACCAAAGGTGAAGACCGAGCGTAGCCCAGCACTGACACCCTCTGAGCATGAAGCATTGCTTAAGGCCGGTAAATGTTTCTTCTGTAAGGAACATGGACATGTGAGCAAGGAATGCCCGAAGAAGAAACAACCCGCCATCAACGTCAGCGCTGCGCAAGTCCCAGCGAGCACCCGGATTGAGGAACTGGAAGAGACGGACCAGGGAAAGGCCTCTGCCTAGGACAAGTCTCCCTTCTAGGCGGAAAGGAAGTGTCACTTTATCCCCTCAACTTGCAGAAGTTAATCGGAGGTCCAAAGGATAGTTTGGTTTTTAATTGTACACAACTAATGCACAAGGGACGTTGTTTTTCAATTTCAGCACTAGGTGACACTGGAGCAGATGGTTACATCTTTATTAATTCAGCAATAGTGATTCTTCTGGGCAAGAAATTCCGACTTCGAGTTCAGCGGCTTGGGCGCGAATGCCCGGTGACAAGTTTTGACGGAACCCTCCCGAGACCAATCACTCATGCCACTGTCCTCACTGTTTGCGTGGATGGCAGAGTTCAACGCCAAGTCCCTATGCTGATTGCGGATCTTGGAAAGTACGATCTCATCCTAGGAAGGATGTGGTTTGCCGAGCACGACGTCCTGCTCGATTGTCGTCGACATCGAATGATTGAGACTCTAGCCGTTATGTAATACCTGATGTAAATCGAACGACCAGCGTAAATGAGAGGGAGTGGCTCAAGGAAGCGGTGTCTCGTTTATTGCTCTCTCTATTTCAGACGCCCAAAATGCCTGCAGGTAATTTGGTAGAAGCAACCGAAGCGGAAGAGAAAAAAAGCAAACCATGAGGCTAGTTTGCCAAATAGGTGCAGACTGCACATATGAGAGGGGAAGTTTGAACATGAGCAGGAGGTTATAGAGGATATTTTCCTTATTGTCCAAGGTGTCCGTCGACGTAGTCTTGCCATTGGACCAAAGAGATAGCCATGGTTAGTACCCGTACCTCTCGCTGGTGACGATAGTATGCTCAAGTCTACCCCGATTCACGTCCAACTCTTGCATGAACCTGCAAAGGTTGCTTTGAAGGAAATGCTCTCTCTGAGAATCCAATCTCCGTCACTCTCAGAATGGATAGCCTCGGAGGCCCTCAGATGCTATCATGCTGGCAAACACCAGTCACGTGACAAATCATTGCCCTGGCTATGATACATCAGAGCTCAGGATATAAAGGGCTGGATATATAAAGACACTCATTTAGCCATCATGTATTTAGTTCTTGGCGATCAATTGCACATTGTTACTTGGCTACTACCTTTTGGACTTTGCACTCTACGGTTCACCTTCAAGAAAACCAACCTACAAGTAGGGGAGCTCACCTTGTGGCAACACTTGGTGACTGACTTACTTGGCGCGCACTACCGGCACGTCCTGCAAGATACCCAGAAGGACCCGAGTCCGTGTAAGGCTTAGCATAGCAACGGTACGGTTGCGAGATACTCTTGGGATCCGCAGTGGAAACAGGCAAGTATAACCTGGAAGCAGCTCAGCTCTACTCTCAGTGACCAGCAGGCACCGCGTAACACTAGTATGTAACTAGTACAACTTTGCGAGGGGCCGAATAAATAGAATCTACTACTACTGTACCTTATTCATATCACAATACATACTGCCTGACCTTCATGCATTAAACATTAGTGTATTGCTTCACCAGCGAAACTGCCCGCACATGTTCATCAGTATGATTGTAACTGGGTATGAAAATCCAGAATATCCGAGAAAGGCATTTAGTGCATGGCGCGATGCGCATTTTGTGGTTTATGACTTGAAAGCCGTTCAGCTCAACTTCCTGCCTGGGATCTATCCAGCAGCGTATTGAACCTCCGAATGATGAGCGCTATTATTATATTTGAACATGAACATCACTGGTATCATCGAAGAGCGCGGTTGGGCTTAGCAGCTTCATGTGTTCTATAAATTAATCCAGGTTTCCCTCGTCCAGGTTTCATACCCTGAGAACCTCTTGAGTTAAATCCAGAGTACTTTCTATTCATAAACCTATACAAATCTTCTTCGCTGGAATTGCGGACACAAGTAAAAGTGCACCGCCTGCAGCAAAGACAATCCACCATCCTGATTTCCACGAAAAGACATGGCGCCAAACGCAGCAAAAGCAGGCAGAAACAAGAATGGAGGAACGCGAAGGCGAAGGGAAGAAGGCGTCTCCAAGCCAACTAGAAAGCAAACCATAGAGCGGAAGAACCAATTGAGCCAGAGGAAGAACTCTCAATCTCAAATTCGAGATTCACAAAGAAAAAAGCTAAAGGATATCCAGAAAGAGATCAATGCGACAAGAGCCCTCATAGATGAGGAAGAGGATGAGGGAAAACAGGGCAAGTTTGAAGTATTATTGAAAGAATTGCTCTCGAGCTACGAGCAGACCGATATGGATTTGGCAGCCATCGAATCAGATCTCATGGACATTGACACAGATCTCAAGAAGATTGACCAAGGCGAACCAATGGATGTCGATGGGACCGAAGATGAAAACAGCGGGGATGGACCAGATAACGAAAATGAAAGCAACGGGAATTTAGAGCGACATCAGCAAACCGAACTTGCAGACCAACCAGAAACCGACATAATTTCGTATAGTTCGGGCTTGTCTGGTACCGCGGACCCTAAACACAGGAGCCTCAATGACACCGATAACAGCCACGATGACTTGGCAAGCCAGAAGCCCCCACCTAAGAGCCAGCCACTCCCTGATGCTGAGGTGAATTCCAGCGAATTGTTTGTTGGCCAGACCGAGCCACCTACTAAGATCCAGGGTGCAAGCCAACCGAAAGACGAAAGACCCAAAGATTATCAAGATTATGTCTTTGGCCCGACTTTGGACAACGACGATGGCCCAAGTGAGCAACTATTTGAAAACGGCACAGTCACTTTGAAGAAGAACGCTCGGAGTGGATTTGATTACCTTAATTCATATGGACCCTTGAATAGTGCGATGACCATTTGGAGCTCGAGCGCGGCTTCTAATGAAGTGCAAGGATGCACGTACCTCAAAGGTGATCCTCACAACAAAGCTATGCTCGAAGATAAGACAGGAAAGGTCTTGTACAAAGGCATGATTCGCAACATTAAGAAAGTTGCCTGGCAACCCAGGCGGGAAGGAAGTACGATGTTGGATTTACTGGAGTCGGTGGAGGAATTGAATCCTGAAGTCAAGAAAACAAACCCAAAATATGTCTTCCCATTCACTACCGTACTTGTTGACTGGAAGCAGGGGGTCGATCTGCCGCCTCTTTGGATCAGCCGCTCAAACTACAAGAGACTTAGCAGTTCAGCTAAGAAAGAAAGTATAAGAACCGATCGAAGAATCTACGCGGTAGCTTTAGTTCAAGTGAAGAACTACAGGAACTGGGCAGGAAGGCAACTTGACAACAAGTGGGCAGGAGAGAGAAGATTAGGCTTAGAACAAAGCCCTACTCCATTTCCAGAAACATTAGAGACAGGACAGGTTTTGCTTCGTGGGCAGGACCACCAAGCCGAAAACGCAAAAAGCGAAAGCTACCAGGACCAGCGAACTGAAGGCCAAAGCATGGAACGCGAGCACAGCCAAGCCCAGAACAATGCAACAAGTTCTACGAACCCTCCGAAATCCGAAGGCTCTCAGCAAACCTTTAACAGAAAGAAGTTTTTGAGCGACATCTTGGATATGATTAATGATTTTAATACTCTTCCGCTGGAAGAACAAATGAAAATGCGCACTCTTGCGCTGGCCCAATACGATCTCTATAAGCGAAAAATGGAAGAAGGCGGTGCCAAGGAAGAGACGGTCTAACTGAGATCGTTATTTGAGATGGTACTGACCCGCGGGCGGGTTAGCTGCTGAATTCTTAAGCAAACAATGCCAATCTGACCAAGTCATGCACTTTTATCTTTCTTTCTTTCCTGTTCTCCTGGTCATTGATTGAGGGCCAGTCTGGTTGTTGACCCTGAACTTTTTTGCCAAAGAAACCAAATACTTTTGTTGATGTGTATTGCACTTTCTCGCACAGTTTATCAAGAGTGAAAATCACTTTTCACTTTTTTGAAATTAGTAAACTTTCTGAATGACCATCTCAAAATTATGTTGCTCCTCCGGTAATACTGTGTCTTCGTGGGCACAGAAGCCCCTAGCTTTGGAATGTTGATAATCATAATGCCGGAAATTAGTTCCTCATCTGCTCCTACCAACTACAGTACCTTACTAATGTTCTCCCTGGAGTGGTCCCTCTGGCAATTCTGTGTCTGCGCACTTGCTAGCCTTGCATGGTCCTCCTCAGCTTTCGTCTACGAATACCAGGTCCTCTCAAGAAGCGTAGTGCACAGGGAGAGAGAAATTCATTTGCCCGATGTAGCTCGCTTTAAGTATAAGCTGCTATGCGGGGTTGCTATCAGGCCTGCCGACAGCTGAAAAGCGTGGGCGCCAGCCCACTGGACGACTGTTGGAAACTCGCTTTGCGCATTTCTGACCAGTCGACCTCAGAATAGAAAAATATTGACTATAACAAAAGAAAGAGCAAAAACAGAAAAATGAGTGACGTCCCCACTTCTGGCCGTAGGGACCAGAATCACATCTCACCACGTAACGTCCGTATCCCCTTCGTTCCAGCTGCTCATCCTTATCGGCTGCTGCTCGTGTGCCCGCTTGGATCAAGGGAGTACAGTGCACCTGGCACTGCACTCCTAAATGGCGCCATCCTTCTTCTTCTTCTTCTCCAATCGCACCGCACTAAGGTGTCTTGGTTTCCCCCCCCCCCGTCATCCCCTTCTTCCTCGCCTAGCGCCGCGGGATCGACTGTCTCGAACTGGCCCAGTAGACCGGTCTTGACTATAACTTCGGCCACAGTCGTGCGGGCCTCCGGCCTTGTCAGGAGCTCATCCCGATGGAGAGTTATTCCCTTATCGGAAAGAGCGCGTCTCATCCAGTCTCGCTCGTCCCGGTGAGGGGACATTCCAGCAGGACGTGTGCAATCGTTTGATTGCCAAGATTGCAATCGCACCGCGCAGATCCGCGTGGGTTGATGCGATGTAGGTAGGCGCCTATGCCAATTCGACCAGTTCTGAGTTGTATCAGAATCGACGACGTGGCTTTGCGTAGTCCTGACCAGTACTCGAGCGTTTTCTTTGTCGGTATCTCGATCAGGCGTTTCGTCGGTCGACTGGTCGTTTCCTTTGCCCACAACTTCTCCCACTCCAACTTCGCTTCACTGCGTATGCGCCTTTTTGCCGCGGCCGCAAGGCGTATCCCTCTGTTGAGAGAGTTTTGTGGCCCTTCCGGGCCCTGCGCTGCGTCTTTGGCATGTTGATCCGCGATCTCATTGCCAATGACCCCTTGGTGCGCAGGGATCCATCTCAGTTCTGTCCAGATCCCTTTGTCTGCGAACTGCTGGATCAGGTCGAGACATCCTGATAGATAAACCTGTTCTGATGGCATGCGTGCCCGTTGCAGCGCCCTCGGCGCTGCCTGGCTGTCTGCGAAGATGACAATTCCATTCTTCGCCTGCTCAGCCCATGGTTCTGTGCTTTCTGGGCCAATGTGAGTGCCATCTCAATGGATCGGACTTCCGCGGCATATACGGTAGACGTATCATCATCCCCCATTTGGCTGTGGGCATGTCAGTCTTCGAGATCAACGACCGCTGCCGCTCCGATCTTTCCATCAATTCCGCTCCCGTCAGTGTACATGATGAGAGGTCTCTTGTCTGGAATCGCAAGGGTCTGGTTATGGTGGTTGACTGCGGTTTCTCTATCCTCGATGATAACCTTTGGCGGCGTCTGCCATGGTGCTTGGATGAATGCCCTCCGACTCTCCCAGCTCTTCGACAGAGTACCCGGAGGAACCATGAGGCATCCGCCTGCCTTCCAGGCCTGCGCCTCCATTGGTGTCCACCCAGCCCAGTCTCTCTCTTCGGCGGGTCGGTGTCGTAGCATCAGTGGTGGGACAGCGAACACTGGTCCTGTTCTAAGTCGCAGGGCCGTTTCTTAATCCTCACATCGCCAGCGATGCAAAGGAAAAATTTGCTAACAGCTAAGTAACGGCTAAGAGGATTGGACGACTTCAAGTCCAAAATTATTGGTGCTTTTCCCCACCCTAGATACCTATGCCTATGTCATCTTGAACATCGTAGCCACTCTTACTCAGCTCGTCCATATAGACAAATGCAGCAGCTTCAAGTCTCGCAATGGATGCATGGTCGAGCTTATTCAAATCGGTTTCCTGAGTTCTTGTTATTCGCAACCATTTGCTATAGAACATGCTTAATCATGAGATACATACTAATCGGGCTGTAGTTTAATGTGAGTGATAAACAGTGGGGGGATGGGAGTAACTTCGAGAGAGGCTAGTGGATGCAATCTGGATGAACTCGTGGGGATACAGCTTCATTTATTAGCAAAATGATGATGAGTGACTACTGGCCATGGTGGGGAGAGGAGAAGAGAGAAGAAGGAGTAGACCTCGCCACGACCCGCGGGTGACCCTGACGACCCGGACCAGAAACTGGAACATGCAGGTTGTAGGGTCGTAAGGTCGGACCCTGAAGTGGTTTCAGGGTAGGTACGGCAGGTTCATGTGCAAGATATTGATCACCTCAGTTCCATGTGTCAAATTGTTACCATTCCAGGCTCTTCAACCTCTGACACTTGAGGGTTTTGCGCTCTCAAACGAAGACCTGAAATGAAAAAAGCCCAAGGAATAGGCAGAAGTAGAACAGAGATAGATCCGAGTAAGCTTGAGGCCCATGCAATCCCAAGTTTTGTAAACACTACACTGCAAGTCAGTCACTGTCGTCAAGCAAACGAACTGTTGAAAGCACTCACCCTGGACTGTGAAGATAGGAAAAGCAGCCGCGAGTTCATACCGAGCCAAGCTATTTGCACTCATCGCACTTGCCACAGTCGAGCCATGATAGGTGTCGACAATATACTGGGCTGTACTGACGAAGACGCAGATTTTTCCCCAAGCAAATAGCGTAGTGGCAGTCACAGGACTTGCATTGTGATGAATCAGGAGATGAACCTTGGAAGAAATTTGGGTGGAGGATAACTCAATGGAGATGGATAAGGCTTAGTTAGAAGAAGAATTATTATTAGGTCCCAAATAGGTGGGGATTGGTGCAGACCTCCGCGGGACCCTCTTTGGCTACCTTCCACTACATAGCCCTAACTAGTTATCCGAACGCGCGTAGTTCGCGTCGCGTCTCAGGGATATTAAACCGGACCTCCTCCTCCTCCTCTTCCTCTTTCATCTCTTTCTTGATAAATCTCACTCAGTGTATTGCAAGATTCTATCTAAGCTCAGAGGTTCCAATCATTTCCCTAACCTCTACCAGGCCAACAAGCCCGAAGAGACTGCGAGTATCCGAGCCGCTAGTTTCGGACAATCCACCTACTTCTTCTGAAAGACAACCTTCTAGATCACCAACCCCTGATTCTGAACACCAATATGGCCATGATCAGAATACCCAGGTTTCACAGCCTGTCTACCCATCGCCGCCTGCTCTCGACCCATCCACGTCTTTCAGCATGACACCGTCCTCTGCTCTCGGTCCATCGTCGCCTTCGCTCGACCATACCTCGTCTTTTGGCAAGTCTCTCGGTCCGTCTCCTCATTTGCACGGCCCGTCCTCGTCGTCTATGGCATCATTGGGTCAGATGGCCGGTGCGACAGAAGCAGTCCACAGCGACGAGGTGTTGATCCTGGATAGAGAGGATCTAGGTCACCAATCTCCCGTTGCAGCGTTCGAGCCTGCACCTACAGCGTTCGAGCCTGCACCTACATACGTGGGGATTCGGGAAGACAAGAATTGGCCCAGACTCAGAGAAGCCCTGAAGTGGGACTACATCCGCTGGTTCCATATCAAGGACCACAAGGCTCTGATAACAAAGGACTATCCAGAAACGCTAAACAATCATGGAGCCCTGAGAGAAGAAGTGCGCAGAGCGAGGACGGTCGTCTGCGACCGGACCAAAAACTACAAGAGTAGGAGTCTGAGACTAGCCAAGGTAAGAGCCACACTCTACGAATCTATTATCCAACCTTATAAGCTGACCCTGATTGTGTCTAGGAACGAGTTTCGGTATTAGTCCGGCAAGCAGGTGCAAGAGAGGACACGGGCCATATCCCCCACATGAAAGACAGGAAGGCGCTTGCCCAATTCTTTTTCAATTCATTTGCTAAGGATCATTTCTTTTCGGCTTTTACCTGGGCGGCAAATTTCCTGGATTTTGACAAGTGTACCAAGGAGGGCCAACACTTTATTAAGAGTATGATCAGTCCCAGAGATTTATACCAACTCTATGTCTTGACTAACATTTTTCCAGTTATCTGGGCGAACCTTGCCGCCCGCATCAAGGTACATCTAGATGTCAAAAGAGAAGGAAATTCCAGAACGACCACTGGCGACTGGGTTGAGGAATTGAGGTTTTGGAATAAGATGGGCCAACCTGATATGTTTGAGAATATCACCCGGGCTTCATTCGCCAGACTCCCAGAAAGTCTACCGGCAAGGGAACCTAGAGAGGGGCACCGTGGGCACGAGGAGCCTCTCGAAGAGGGGGAGGAAATGTTCAATTTTGAGTGAGTATGTGCACATACTACCCATATGTACCTAATCACAGGACTGTGCCTGTGAACAGCGCAGACGTTGGGATCGGATAAAGGTCGGCCCAGGGTGGCATTTAGAAAATCATAAAGAATTTGCATAGTGAATACCTGGTGCGATCGAAATATTCCTAGAAATACCCCGTGTGATTGAAATACTCCAGAGAATACCTATAGTGACACGGTGTCTGTTCCGAGATACTGTATTCTCAACGGTATATGACCTAAAATACCGTGGCAGCAACAGTATTCGAGCCGAATTTACGGTATTTTAGTTTCTGGGGCTGCCGGCATGGTGGTCAGGCGATTGGCAATTCCTACCTCAGCAAACGCGTAAGTTGTTGTTGTTTTTTGATACGCCAACCATATGCTGATGATATGCAGCGGGGATGTAAATTGAAGTTGAACTAGTTAGGTACTGCGTAGTTCGTGAGATGACTGATAATCCAGCAGAAAAGAGCGGTCAGGACGGCTCCTGACGCGTTCAAGAAACAATGGTTGAGGCTGAGGCGGTAGGTTGAAAAGCTGGTGGGAAAGGTATTGTAAGGTTTTGTAAGGTGAAATCAAGTGTAAAGAAATCTACGGTAGAAGCCCACTTTTCACGTGAAAAACGTGACTCGGGGGTGCTGTGGCCTTTTGCCGGGGGTGCAATGGCCTATAACCAGACCCCAACTTTTTGCTAACGGCACCCCGTTTCTTAGCTAATACAACACCTTATGTAACCAAACCTCATCTTATTGGCTCAATTTTCTGCACGACCCAGTGGATATTGCTCAAAGAGCCACACCGCTTGCCCCTTTATCACAATGGGCCTTCGCCGCCTTCAATTTGCCCACCGAATCGCCCGGCTACTAAGGTAAAGCAGCCTGTTTCAACGGGTATTCATCCATTTTGGATGCAGAACATATCACCGACTGACACTTTAGAGTATCTACCACTACTCGGACCTCAGCTACCCATACCCAAGGCCCAAAGATCAGCCGACTCAGGTGTTTCACGTCTACAAGGTAACAAGACTACAACTGGGAAGGAAAAGGCGCCGCCTATGTGCTCAAACTGTGGGGAGGTTGGGCACACAATCAGGTCCTGTAAGGTATAATGATTCCAATCAAGTTGTATACTATTTAAAGCATCTTAACCGTATGAAAATCGCGTGTGATCAACTTCAATTGCTGGGGTAAAGATAGGAAGTTGGGATGTGATGACATAAGATGGGGTGTCCTTAGCAATTCCCTGAGCTGGTGGTATAGTCGCGAGGTAGCCTTTAGTAGCAACACACACTCCTACACATCTCTGATTTCTCTTCTTGTGCGCAAGCGCCCAACCTCTTTTTCCTCTAGTTCGATGCTATGCTAGGTGGTATCTGCTGAATGGACCCGTGTGCCTCAGAGCACACAGCCTTCGAGCGTTCCCCTCTTCACTATGTTTTTTTTGTCAGGGTCCGTGCGAATTGAGCTCGGAACGACCGAGAACCGTGAGAAGACAATAAACCGGGAACACCGTAGCTGTGTAACCATTTTTTGGTCGATTTTCATACTATGCAGTTCTTGTTCTGGGTTATGACTGATTTCGCTATACAGAAAATAGCAATGTGGATAATGTTGAATCGTTCCCCATAAAAGCTCCATCCAATGAGAAAGTCTGCGCCAACCGTACTCCAGCACGTGGGGTTAACAATAACGGACCCCATACCAATCTGGCTCATTCCTGTTGCCAGAGATGCAGAGGGGAACGAACTAGAACGAAAATACTCACCTGAATGAAGCCATCTACGGGGGAAAATCTAGGTACGGCGAGCATTTAGTTTCTAAGAGCCTAGAAATGAGGCAATGGAAGCATGGATAAACAGTGATGAGTAAGGCTGTGTACAGATACGGAGGACAGCAGAGATACAAGCTGTCCAATAATACAAGTGTGGATATGAATGCGAATATCCAATGCAATCCAAGGAAAATGAGTAAATAATTGACTATCTAGGATGAAGGGATTCCGGGGTTTGTGTACCAACAGCCCTCGGAGGGGAATTGACCCGACTAGGCTGGAGCACAAACACCAGAAGTGCCAAAATGAGAACCCTCTATCTGACAGTTTCGTTCTCTGCACACAGTATGAGGATGCGGCAGAGGCCGGCTAGTGGGCACAACGGAGAGATTGATCGGGCACGAGCTTCTATCCCCTTGTCCTAGTTCCCCACTTCCTTACTACTCCACGGACATACAAATGCCGACTCTCCGACCTCAACCCCTGAAAAACGGGGCGTGTCCTCGTGACTAGCTCCAAGTTGTTGACCATAACAGGAAGGATGTGCATAATAGCTGAACTGAGATCGGCACTGGCTGAGGCAAACCTATACCGCGCGGGCTGGACCGTTCTGGACCCACAGGACGTGAGTCCACAGTATCTAGCCGAGACCGTTCAAGGTCTCTGGATACTGAGTCATGCTGTCTCATGCGGGTTGAGCAAAGAATATCGACATACAACCGAAAGTATCACGTTCATAGACATTACAGTTGCTTCCGCTTAGCTACCAGTGATATGCAACCCGTGTGCTACGTTGATCGTTGACGGAGATCAATGAGTTTGTTAACTGCCAATTTAGGTAGGCGAGCTTGTGGGGGAAAATTGCCGCATCGCATCCGTGCACTGAACGCAGGATGAGACGCGGATGGTGGCACAACGGTGAGATCGACCAAGCACGGGCTTCTTTGATATTGAACATCAGTTGAGCTAAAATTATTATTTTATTTTCTACCACGTTGATGGCCCCTGGAAACTTTGATCATATAACTGCAGCTGTCGATACGAGGGGTAAGAGTTTGGGTAAGAGTCTGGGCGCTATGCTCCGTGGTAATCTACACGGGCCCTCTATCACTACCCCGAAAATGTACAACGAAGATAGTGAACGCCCTGTATGGACTATGGGCTGTATCTTTGTCCCGAGTCCCGACCCCTGAGCAAATAGCGGGGCTTCGGGTATCTCCAGCCTCGATAAATTATGGAGCTGGGGGTTTCATTGAACCAATGAGGGAAAAGATCAATTGTCGCCTAAAATACATTTGGAGGAGAACCGAGTACAGCGAGTACTGACTAAGTGCTTAGTCAGAATTCGCCGTACGAGGATCACCACCCAGTCACACACACCACGGAGTTAACGGTCATCGCGGAAAGAGAGTTCGGTTCCCCGAATTCCCGTTAGCCTAATAGGTCCTTTTCCGCCTATGCTTAGCGAGGCGCCATTCGGTCTCGGTAGTGATTTGGAGATCAGCCCAGTGGATCTTGAGTATCCGATCGCAGGAAACTGTATCGTAGTGCTAAGTTGGGATAGGTACATCGAAGAGGTCGATCTACATGTATGAACAGAGCCTGGATCAATATTGGGTGACTATGGAACAGTATCTCCATAACCCGTTGGCCTCACTCCGCATGCTATCCGGTGCCCAAACTGCTACTCGAGGCACATGCGCATATGGATTGAGTTGCGGCATGGTGGGCAGGTTGGACAGGGAGTAGCCCGGAAGGGGTTGTGCCGGCATATCTGAAGGATTGAGCAGATAGTTTGCGTCTTGGTCTTGCCAGGGTTGGGCCACATCAGGCTCAGGCAATAAAGTGGAAAAGTATGCCCGGTCGCACTCGTTGATCTTGGTCGTGATCTGACTGCACAAAGATGAAGCGGAGCTCTGAAGATCCTTCAAGGTCACTTTGTATTCACCTCGAGACATTTGGTCCTGGGCGGTCGCTGTTTCCAATCTATCTTTCAACGTACGGTTCTCGGTCTCCAACTGGCGACACTCCGATGTAAGTTGGCGGACTCTCGCGCACAGCTGGGCCTTTTCCGAGACAACTTGCTGGTGGCCCTCCTCTAGGCGAGCCGCGCGCTGCTGATGGTCATCTTCGGCTGCTTCAAGTAACTTGATGCAATCAACATGATCGATTGGGTGGGTGGTATGTGCCTTCTGTATATTGAACGGATGAGTGATCCAATCACCAAATCAGGACGGAGACTTTGACTGGCTTACCAAAGTCTTTCGGAACTGGACCTCCTGTGGGACGGGCTTGGATCGCACAGCGCCAGTTGCCGGCAAGTTTCGCACAGCGCGTTTGGCAGGCGTCTCGGCCTGTGGCTTTCGAACCCTGGTGAGTGCTTGCCCGGCAGGATTGCGTGAGGCTGTTGGCATTTTGGGCATAGTGAGCGATGACTTAACAAACGTCGCAAATAGAGCAAAGAACCGCACCACACTAAACAGAAAGTGAAAGGAGCTGCCTCATTTGGGGCGGGTAACAGGAGACTTAAATTCAGTGGCAGTATGAAGTAAGCAGAATCTTTTACACAAATTATAGTATCACCCGGGTCTACCACATCCTCAGCACCTCAGTTTCGGTATTGACCGGATAGCATTGGTCAATGGGCCCGGGGGGAAACATGGAAGCAGTGGAGCATAGTCCCAGCTCAGTCGCCCTGTGTAAACATGGATGGGTAGTATATCCACAGTCATGTTTATGTTAGCGATGAATAGATATGTATGTGTCGCGAGTATTGCGATCTCATTCGCGGCGTCATTTTGCGTCACGCCTGGGTCGTCCGGGTCTTCGCACAGTGACTGGGCTAGCCTTGGATAGAGAGTTGAGTTGGCCTCTCAGCGTTGCCACTTCTTGTTTTAGCGTGGCCGACTCTTCTTGGAGCACCGAGATTTGCTGGTACCCGTTCTGCATGGTCTTCATGCCTCGTGCCATATTGTCGTTCCAGACATTTTGTTGTTCGAACTGTTGTTCCACGGACCTGGAAATTTTCCATCAGCATTTATTTGGAGCACATTTTTCATTTCGATTGTGCACCCACAGAACTCGGCCGTCTAGACTAGAAATACATTAGCCTCACTCGTAGTTCCGGCATGTAGTGGCATATATACTCACTCCCTTAAACAGCTCACACACTTGCCAATAGACACGGGAGCATCAACCGCTCCATCAGGCACGGCCTCGGGATCATGATCGTCCGCACTTTGGGTCTCCATAGCCCAGTCGGCCTCTACTCCATCTCCTGCGTCTCCATCCATCGCCACATAGCTTTCTTCCGCGTAGGACTCTGTTTCCATGTCATCGGAGCGGTCTCTGTCTTGCGGGTCTCCGTCCGACTCGGGGTTGCTCCAGACCTCGAAAGGCTTGGAGGCAAGCGCATTGCGCAGTTGACTGGAAAACCGGCCAGGATTCTGCAAGATACCCATAGCCCAGGCCTTGTGAAAAAGCGAATGAAATTGAGGAAGATGGGAGGTTATGGCCAGACGTTCTCAACGACGATGGGGGTCGCACTTGATTTATAGCCGGATGGTGATGCCGGTGGAGAGCTTGGGCCAATCCGAGGAATAGAGCTGTATGCCCGGCGAAATCCGGGCGCCTTTTGATTTCCAAGTATACCCCACAAACCAAAATATAGTTGGCTGGACAAAACTTCTAAGTGCAGGTCTAGATCCAATACAGGGCTTTAGAGAAGAGACTTGATAATACCTTGAGGGCCTTCGGAGAGAACCATTCACCTGCACGCAAAACCCTTTTCTTTTTGTCCCAAAACGGATTTGAGGTGGACCATATTGGAAAACCGCTATTGCCATGTAGGGCCTTTTGCCCTTCGTTCAATGGATCGCAGCATATACTTGATGCAGCCCGGATTGACTGACATACAGAGATCTAAACGAGCCGTTCCCTTCCGAGAAATCGAAGGACCGCTAGAAAGCAAGGCATAGCCAAGACTAGCTTGGTGACCGTCGAGCAAGAATTTTTAAAATAACCGATTAATCCCTCGTTGTAGTCTGCCCCACTGGAGCATTCGAGTGGGCATTTCCTCGCAACTATACTAATATCCTTTTGACCATTCTGGCCGGGGAATAATAAAGGGGTTAAACAAAACGAAAAATATTTACGTGGCCTACGTTAAATTCGCCTCGCCAAAATTGAGGTCGTATTAATCAAACAACCATCCAATATATTCGGACAGAGAGAGGGAGATTCATTTGCCCGATGTAGGTCGCTCCAAGTATAAGCTGCTATGCGGGATTGCTGTCAGGCCTGCCGACAGCTGGAAAGTGTGGGTGCCAGCCCACTGGACGACTTTTGGAAACTCGCTTTGCGCATTCCAACCAGTCGCCCTCGAATGGAAAGAAGTAAACTTTAACAAACGAAATGAACAAAACCGAAATGAATGTCGTCCCCACTCCTGGCCATGGGGACCAGAGTCATATCTCACCACATAACATCCCAACATCCACTCCGTTCTAGCCGCTCATCCTTGTCGACTGCCGCTAATGTGCCCGCTTGGATCAATGGAGTTACATGACCTCAAGCAGCAGAGTGGCTGCCGTACTACTTTGACTCTAATATTCCGTGGGCCGGAATAAGGTCTGAGAGCCAAGGTTCCAGGGTGGAATCCTTCCAGGCCCGTGCACTGGAGTGGGGCTACACATATGATATACGCCAAGCCTTTCCTAATAAGGCTAGATCATATTCTCTGTACTAGTTCGCGAAACTCCCGAAAAATCACGAAACGAATCGGCGATGGATTCGAAGCCCTAAAACCCAACATTCGTTTTCGCTTTAATTTGCCGAATTTCGCGAATTTTGTACAGTTCGGGAGTTCGTACGGAGCCCTAACTGCTGGTGTTGACGTATGGTCAGCAAATTGGGTGGTGTTTATTAGCTCGAACCGACCAGATTTAACGCCTTACTACAGCGTCAGTCTTCAATTGAGTAGCAGAAATGACTTCAATGAAGTATCCTTTCAACTGGTGTAACTTCGTTATCGATTCAAACCAGACTAGGGGAAAAATGAAACAATGAGCTCGCGCGTCGTGAGCTGATCCTTGAGCAACCTGGGCGGGGTAGATATTGATGGAGCATTGACCTACGAAGGTGTGATTTTCTTTGTCTGTACGACGGAAAAACCACGGCCAGAAAATGGCGAAATGGAAGCAATATGGGCAAATGAGTGAGTAGACTGTAGACTTCAAGCAACTCGAGGAGGTTTTATTGTTAATACGCAGGTTTGAATGGATCTAGAACGGATCTACAGAAAGGCCTGATATACTGCAGTAGACATGGAATGAGATAGGGTGGGACAGAGCTTAGCTTCCTCAAATGATTGCACGATTGAGTAATGATCTCCAGCACCACGAAGAGGTGTCTGCCCTATCGCTGGAGGCAACAGCAGAACCACGGTGTGCCTAGACGCTGTCATTCTGGTACAGCGGTAGCATCAGCAGATGCAGCACGGTGAGTCACGGTGTGCCGGGACGCTCTAACGCTGGTACAGCGGTAGCATCAACGAATGCAGCACGGTGAGTCACGGTGTGCCGGGACGCTCTAACGCTGGTACAGCGGTAGCATCAACGAATGCAGCACGGTGAGTCACGGTGTGCCGGGACGCTCTAACGCTGGTACAGCGGTAGCATCAGCAGATGCAGCACGGTGAGTCACGGTGTGCCGGGACGCTCTAACGCTGGTACAGCGGTAGCATCAACGAATGCAGCACGGTGAGTCACGGTGTGCCGGGACGCTCTAACGCTGGTACAGCGGTAGCATCAACGAATGCAGCACGGTGAGTCACGGTGTGCCGGGACGCTCTAACGCTGGAACAGCGGTAGCATCAACGACTGCAGCACGGTGAGTCACGGTGTGCCGGGACGCTCTAACGCTGGTACAGCGGTAGCATCAACGAATGCAGCACGGTGAGTCACGGTGTGCCGGGACGCTCTAACGCTGGAACAGCGGTAGCATCAACGACTGCAGCACGGTGAGTCACGGTGTGCCGGGACGCTCTAACGCTGGTACAGCGGTAGCATCAACGACTGCAGCACGGTGAGTCACGGTGTGCCGGGACGCTCTAACGCTGGAACAGCGGTAGCATCAACGACTGCAGCACGGTGAGTCACGGTGTGCCGGGACGCTCTAACGCTGGTACAGCGGTAGCATCAACGAATGCAGCACGGTGAGTCACGGTGTGCCGGGACGCTCTAACGCTGGAACAGCGGTAGCATCAACGACTGCAGCACGGTGAGTCACGGTGTGCCGGGACGCTCTAACGCTGGTACAGCGGTAGCATCAACGAATGCAGCACGGTGAGTCACGGTGTGCCGGGACGCTCTAACGCTGGAACAGCGGTAGCATCAACGACTGCAGCACGGTGAGTCACGGTGTGCCGGGACGCTCTAACGCTGGTACAGCGGTAGCATCAACGACTGCAGCACGGTGAGTCACGGTGTGCCGGGACGCTCTAACGCTGGTACAGCGGTAGCATCAACGATTGCAGCACGGTGAGTCACGGTGTGCCGGGACGCTCTAACGCTGGTACAGCGGTAGCATCACGACTGCAGCACGGTGAGTCACGGTGTGCCGGGACGCTCTAACGCTGGTACAGCGGTAGCATCACGACTGCATCACGGTGATTCACCAAATGCATGGCTTGACACTTGGGCAGGTTTGGCTTTTTATATTTCGCGTACGGAATTCGAGAAAGGCCACATACGCAAATTGAGAACCCCAGCCACCGGGGTGGGGCATTATGGTGACTCATCAAAAACAGATACCACTGTATCCTACGTCGGATATAACTACGACACATTCATTATCACGAACCGTCTTTTGCACTACGACCATCTCTGTTTATTTGATGATACTTCTTCGCAAATTCGTCGTCTGTCCTCACGGGCTTCTAAGACAGATTAAGAACATGGAAAGTGACGACAGTTTACCGTAGTTTTTCATATTTAGGAGTCTCCAAGGGTACGTGCAACTGCCAGTCATGATTGAAATTGGTTTTAGTATTATAATCATAAGCTTCCTGCCTGACAATGATGGTCAAGTTTCGACTTTGACAAAGCCCATTCGAAAAGATCGGTAATAGGTTGATCCGCACGAAACGGCATCAGTTCATACCACTCCCACCACTCAGCTCTGCAGGTGCAGAGACATGGTTGCCGAGGTCTCCGGCTTTCTCGTCGCGTTTGGGAGGCTCCCCCGACTCCTCCGCCTCCAGCCGCTTCACCACCAAATCAAACATCAAATCAAAGGATTTCGCATCCTCATAACCATGCTTGATAGCATGCTCTTTGAATAGGTAATCCATCATGGACCCCATCCGCCGATTAACCTCATAAAGAAGCTCGGTCAGCCGGACTATTTCCTCCAACTCGCTCCTAGCTTGACCGAGCGCCTCCCGTATTGTCACTAGCTCCTGTTCGGCTCTCGCTTGGCGGCGTTCTGCCTGTACTGTGCGCGTATTGAGTGTACCAATAATCCGAAGGGCCTCCTTAATAATGGTCAGTGATATCGCGGCTAAGGGCGAAGAAACTTACCGAGGCATCCATGTCTGCGAGTGAATAATTGGCAAAGAAGGAATATGGAAAGAATATGGAGCAATTGATGACACCTGGGACACATATAGAGAACCAGTGCCTTGAATTAGTAAAAGTACGATTTATGATCCAAATGGCTCTACTTATAAGCTACTCGATCGTCTCCATCATGTGAGAAGCTGATATAGGTCTTCTCTTATTCCTGCGTCAATCTTGAGGGTTGAACTTAATGGACAATGTGTATTACCTTGCGCTCATATTGGCTGGCGTTGGGCGAGAAGTGTATTTCTGAGCGAAACTCGCAGAAAACACTGGACGCTATGTTTAACTAAATGAACAGATACGGTGTGATTAATGTGATAGAACATTAGCTATCAGTACAAGACTTGATCACAGTTTTTTGAGAATGGAGGATACTAAATACTTTAGTTGGAAGAGCAGCACGTTGAAATTGGCACCGGTCTCCTGTTCATCACCATAAGACCACACCACTTTCCTCACATTTGGGACACCGCGAAAATTGACAAGTTCGCTTTCCAAATACTTGTTCAGTGAGCTTCCTCACCTCCCGGGTGGTGACCCTGTCGGTGCTCTCCTCGGGTGCGTAGCTCTCATCATGTCGTACTCTCTTTTTAGTGACTCGCGTTGGGCTGGAAATTCTCGACCGAGAAATTAATTGGTCTCCTGGGTGTTTGTGGGTTTGGCCTCGGGAAGCCCCGCAGGTGGGGTAGCCGCTGCAGTTCGGTACAATAATATCCACCCGAGCGGGTCGACCCTGCCCTTCCGGATGTGTTGTTTGTACTACAGCCACGTGATTTATCTTAGTCAGCAGTCAGACGGAAGGCTGCTACACAGCCTCCTTCCACCTGAACCCCTTAGAAAGACATACAAGAAGAACCAAGAACATCAGAGTAATCGGAATCCGATCCCTGTGCAAGCAATTGCAACAACCTGCCCTTCGTCTGAGACAAGCAGGCAGTAGACCTGCCAACAGGATGTTTATTTTTGTACCGAGATAGGGCATCCACTGTTTTGGCCACGTTGTAGTCTGTACTAGCCCCAAAAATCGAAAGACGTAATCAATGCATTGACAGGGTATAGATTTCCCCACAGTTGAGTCCTGTTCAATATCCACGGTGCAAAAACGTATTTCCGACGGGCTGGCTCATAAGCCTTCCCACAAAATGGATTGAGCGCACATTCAGCCTCCTCATTTTCACAATCACCGTCGAGTCGTGTCTAACAAGCACCCTTCAAGTCGTCCCAAGAACGCGTCAACCTCTGTTCCAAATCATCTTGGAATGTAACCGCCAAGACCGAGCGTGAATAGAATTGTCGCTCAGATACAAGCTGAATATGACAGGACCGCTCTTCATCTGGTGGCTGCAACTTTACATCAGCCTTCTGGGTGCCATAATTGCAACCTCCACCATTACACATACCGAGGACCAGCATTCATGTTTGAGGTCCTAGAAACAAAGCGAAATGGTTGGATGAGATTTGTCTTGAATTTGAATCTCGGGAAATTTAAGTGATGAATCATAAGAAGTTAACACGGAAGTTTAGCTCCCGCAGAGTTCTACAATGGTCGAACCCGACCAGCTTGGGGAGTAGAATCTTTGCTCGTTTGCTTTGGAAAACCTCAGCCGTGTCCTACCATGCTACACACTATGTGGGCCAGGCAAGGCAGAGTGGGAAGTTGGCCGAGGTCAGCCTTAGAATGAGCCGCTTCCGGGAAAGAGCAAATAGAACATGACTACCCGGAGAGATTCGCCTTGGAGTTTAGAGGGCGATGGTCAACTATGGTGGGGTTGGTCACGGCCTATGGATCTCTGGTGATATCCATGGCCGTTGCACCTTTTTTCGCTGTTTCCGTCTTTGCTCATCAAGGGAGAAGCGTTTAGGGGAGACATGTTTGGCCGGACGAAGCAACACGGCAAACAGAGCAGGATTAGTGAGGTGAATACGATGCTGTCCTTTCCTGTCTAGTGTTCTCTCAGGGTAGACGGCAAGGTGCAATAATAAGCTGTCTGGAGTGATATACAGCCTTCGACTTTCCTGGACGCAACATTCGAGATGACGAGAAATATGTGCTGGATGACCGAATAGCTGGGGAAATGGAACATTTACACAGTAAACGCCTGTAAAACGGAAGGGCTCAACGATCATAGCGTGGCGAGACATTCCACTTGATAGATGGATGGAATGCACTAGGTATTTGGGTTTTATGTAGATCATGTTTGAAAATCACAAACGGCCATTGATGTCGGTTATATACTTAGGGAGAAGTAGGTATGATTTACATTGCCGAAAATGGCTTAGGTTGGGTAGCCTTTATTTTACGTTATTCTCCGAACAGACCTGGTCTCTCCTACAAGAGATATATTGCCTCTCTAATCACAATTCCATGGATCCTAACGGTTGCTCTCGTACACCTCTTTTAAAACCCTTCTTCTGGGACAATATGACAGTGCTACTTTCCGAGCAGTCCAAAATCACTTTCATTCGCGCCTTAGGCGATCCGCGACTTCGTCCGCAGTGCATCTGGGTCAGTGAAGCTGGGAAAGCCTGCCCCAATGATGTTGCGATGGAAAGTCGCGACCTTGCTAGCAGCGAGCTGTTTGCCTTGAGAGGCAATATATCTCGACCTACCCGGAGGACCATCTCAAGGATTGTGCAATTTCTCCTGTGTGAGGCTTGCAGGGTTTATGACACCCGATGTCCAGACATTGTTCGACGGCTCATTGAAAAGTCGCAATTGTCACCCCTATTGGTACCTCGTGGCAATCAACTATACCTCAATCTGGGAAGCGATCGAGCTCCCAGTCGATCACGACATGCCACACCGAAAAGAGTACCATTTGCCCGCTGTTCCAACTAGGCCTACATCCAAATCTCGTACCTCCGAACGAGCAGTCGACATTAGCCGGAAAGAGAAAGATGACCTCAAATTGGGAGAGCATGTCAAAAGCTTTACAGTGTGCATTAGATCTCACGTCATCATATTTTATTCCGGCCAGAAGTGACCTGCCAGAAATAGTGGAAGATTAGGTTTCATTCTGTGCACCCCTTGTCCTGAAATATGGCAGCTTACGGTATTCTCCCAATGGCTGCTTGCGTTTCACAAGGAGCATAGGTAACAGCGGGACCCCGGGTTGAGATCTAGACTAAGTAATTTATTTTTATAGGATGACAAGTGATCCTTGCGCAAATCGAGCCTCCAATCCTTCTTTTGAGCAGTCATAATAAGAAACTGGCATTTTTAGGCAGCAGATGCCTTTGGAATATCACTGAGGCCAATTTCAAGAGAAACCGAGGTATTTGGGTCTCATTAGGCCATGTATCTGGGGAATACATGTAGTCTGCAGTCTCCAGGAGTGTTGGTTGTGTGAATGACCAATAAGAATGGATAGTAACTAGACTCGGGCTACCGTCAGTATCGTCGGCGTGGTACTATCTACGAATTCCACAAATTGCGCCCTTTATTCGGCCGTTAGAGATGCACTCCCAGCAACTAGTTGTAGAGCCTCGTTGTATGTGGCTTATCAACCAGACTAATGAATATGGTATGGCTTGGTAATGGATCTGTCAAGTTCACTGGGTATATCGAATATCATTTAGGGGACGAGCGAGCCAATTCAATTGGAAGGGCCACCAGTGGTGGCTTCATTCAATTCATGCGAAGTCGGGCTGCTGTGATCCGTAGATACACTTGAACCAGGACAGTCGGGGCCAGTGGGCTTGGTAAAGCGAGGTTGCCAGTTGCTCTTTGATCTCTCAATGCCACCAAAGTACCTTCTCGAGGTTCACTAGCGGGACTGATCTGTTTCGTAATAAAAGCATTCAAGTACTTACCATGATCACTTATGTTGAGGCTACAAAACTAGTGGCATGGAAAAGCAGGAAGGAGAAAAATGATCCATGAATCTATGGAAAGCAGGCCTTATATTAGCCTGAGTAAAACAAAGAGAATGACAAACTAAGAGAGCCTCAGTCTGCAAACAGGGACAAAGACACAAAGACACAAAGCCATCCTTTGTATGTCAACAACTTACAATACAGGCATCTAAATACTATCTCGTACGAACAACTAGGATAGTCAGGTTGACAGCAAATCAGGTGCTGTGAAAGACTGAATACAACAGCAAACGGAGCTGGGAAAATGATACAGGGAACGGCAGAACTAGGCTGTCCAATCTAGGAGAACAATCTGAATCTGAATAATGAACCAATGAATGTCTCGCTGTCTGACATGAAGGGATTCAGGGGTTTGGGAGCGAGGCTGGAGCACAAACTCCAAGAGCACCAAAAAGGAGCCCTCTATACCTGACACAGGTCAATGGGCGCTTAATTCTAGAACTATGGAGTAGCACATCTGGGCATTATGAGCGGAGAAAAATTGAAACAGCGACGCAGCGTAGGTGGTGACACCAATTTCCGGAAGTACTGCGTCAGCTTCATAATGCTTGCGATCTGATCGTATTGATAGGTTCTCTGCCGTACCGGAAAGTGGCAACCATATTTTCTGCCGGAAGTTCATATATCATAGGGAATGTGCCATGGGAGGCTTGGAGCCTGGCCTTGTTCGCCGCACAGCTGGTTCGCCTTCGCGAGCAGATCCCTTCCCGGGGGAATATTGATGGATATCTTAAGTGATTGGTACGATAGAAAGAGGATCGCCGACCATGGCAAAGCTGGCAGCGAAGCGTGCCGGTCTCGGGGAGGACGGTGTGCGCATCTCGTGTCATAGATCCAGCATGCTCCACAGGAGGCATTGAACTGTCTTCTTTTCCATAAATTTTCAAGGGACGAAAAGATCTCTTGGCTCTATTGCTTAGAATATTAGTATTTGCAAGGCATAGATTATGAACTCCTCATACTTTGCATCCATCCACAATTTAGTGCCAACAAACCAATTCATCGTTGTGAGCGCAGAGAGCTTAGTTGAAGGCTTTCAGAAGCAAGCGAGCCCTAAATGTCACTGGTTATAAATTATACAAGAGAATATAGAGCGAGGTGGACCAAGTCATGGTTCAAGGAAGCGTTTCCAACCTAAGTCAAGCGGTATTGTTGATTCCACGCGAATTACTTGGAATCCAGAAAACAAACGCATAGGATTAGCCAATAAGGTACGTCGAGAATAGGAATCGAACAAGAAAAGTACGATATTGTGAAATGAAACCGTTCAACTCTGCTTTGCTTCTTATCGGCCGGTTGGAACCCAGTTGAAATGTAACGTTTTGAGGTCATGAACGCGAACACGTAGGAGACATCAATATGGGTTGCATTGTTCGTCGGCAATCATTTTAGAGGGCAGAGAAATGGAGGGAAAGACGACAACTATACCTGTGTTCTTTGGCAAAAGATGAATTCTTGTTACCCAGAGTGTTTTCGTCATCGATCTCCGCTTCTGAAACTTTCGCCCAGTGCAGATAAACTGAATTGAGCAGTATAGAAAAGTTGCTTGCATTCCATGCTATAATTGGCCGGAAAATCAATATTCTACTGCAAATTGTTTACTGACGGCCCTTCCCTTCCTAATAGACCATTGGATGCGGCGCTTCTGTTGAGCGGTATGAACTCAAATCTCGGTACATCATGGTTAGATGTTATACAGTAGAATTCGAAAACAGTTTACCCCCCAGACACTCACGCTTTGTTTCTCGGTCCGTACCCGAAACCACGCTAACCCATATTGGGATAGCTTATAAATAATCCCATTCTAAGAATAGATCTTCCTTCATTTCATAACGACCGCATTACGTATAATACCGTACTTTACAGGAAACTTCTATACACTCGTACCTCAGTGCCCCTCCATACCCTGACATCCTTCCTTCTCAGCACCGTTATGTATCTAAGAACTGCTAGAATCTTTGCGCAATATGGCACCGAGACTTCCCCCCTCAAAACTACGCCTTATCAGTGATATGATACAAAGCCAATCACTAACCCGTGCTCAAATGGCAGAGGCTGCAGAATGCAGTGAACAGACGATCAAAAATATCCGCAGAAACCTGCGACAGTTTGGACACGTCCATGCCCCTTCAACTCGTATCGGTCGGAGACGAAGCATAACGCCACCGATGCTAGAAGCACTCTGTGACCATCTGTTGGAAAAGCCAGGCCTATACCTTGAGGAGATGACTATCTTTCTATGGGATGAATTTCGCATGCTAGCATCAATCTCTAGCATTAGGAGGGCCCTTGTATCCAAAGGCTGGTCCAAAAAGACTGCCCAACAGAGGGCTAAAGAGCAGAATGCCGAATTACGAGAAATTTACCTTCATAACCTCTCCGAATTCGAGTCGTACCACCTTGTTTATGTTGATGAATCTGGATGCGATAAGCGCATTGGGTTCCGACGAACGGGTTGGTCACCACTCGGTGTAGCACCTCGGCAAGTGTCTCAGTTCCACCGTGACGAGCGTTATCAAATTCTGCCTGCGTATGCCCAAGATGGTATTTTGATGACTCGTGTCTTTCGCGGCTCGACCGATGCCGCTGTGTTCGAAGACTTCGTCGCTGAACTCCTTTGTCATTGCGGGAGATGGCCGGAGCCGAAGTCTGTTCTGGTCATGGATAATGCCTCGTTCCATCACTCTGAGCGGATTTCACAGATGTGTGCCGATGCGGGAGTCAAATTGGTTTATTTGCCTCCGTACTCGCCGGACCTGAATCCAATTGAAGAGTTTTTTGCTGAACTCAAAGCCTACATAAGACGCAATTGGAGCTACTACGCAGAAGATCCGGACCGAGAATTCGCCTCCTTTCTCGAGCGGTGTATCAATCAGGTTGGTGCAAGAGAAGCTAATGCTAGAGGCCATTTTCGGCACGCAGGCTTGACTATTGAAGAATCGGATACTTGAAATTCGGCCTTGAGCCTGTAAAGCTGCTTGCTACCTCTGTGTCCCCGGTTCACAGCTTCCTATGCCACAGACAAAATTCTGGTCGATATAGACCATTACTAGTAGAGCCAACACTGCTAGGAGCGGAACACTATCCTTATCTAGGACCACTCCCCTGAGTTCCACCTGGCGGGGCGGTTCCACGAGCGGGGGCAGTTCCATGAGGCGGGGCCGTCCTGGGGCCAGTTCCATGAGGGGGAGGTATTTCACGGGAAGAAACACCTGTACCAGCAGCATGGCTTCGAGCATTGTCATCTCCACGGCTTTCCCTATTGCTCCTTTGTCTTTCCTGTCTCCGCTGCTTCTTCTCCCTTCTCCTCATCTGCCTTCGCCTGTTTGATTCCTCATTATCTGGTCGCGGAAGAAAGACTGAGCCGCCGCCGACCCGCCAGTGAAGAATGTACCAAGTCCTTTGGGTGCGTAAAGCTGGAGTCGACAAGCGAACAGTGACATGTGGAACTGGGCTTGGGTCATGGGTACTTGTAGTGGGATGAAGGCCGTTGCTAGAATTATTCAGTAAAGGAGATTTTTCACACTGTCTGCCTATCACCTACAGAACATGAGCCTGATCAAAAACAACTTCACTTCCATCATGAATCACAAATCGGTGATTCCCGTTAATCCATTGTTGGAATTGGTTATGATAAAGACGAGGAAAGTTTTGGTCACAGTCTGGATCATAAGTGACTTGAACAGACATTGTGTCTAGGCAACGCTGAACACGGTGTTGTTGTTTATGCGGTGGTCAATAGCTAAATTTTTTAGGAATAGATTGCGTTTAACTTTGGTGATGCACCCTCAATTTTATATGTTTAGTGTTGGTCAACGGAGCTGGCCAAATAGTGCCGATTACACCTAGGTGAGCGCTTGATCAAACAAAAATGGTGTCAGTACAGCGCGCAAAAACCAAATTCGGTAACCCAGCGTTTAAATCAAGCACTAAAGCACTTCGAATTTTATTTTTAATATAAGAGGCAAGTTTCGTTGGACCACAGGAACCAGTTCTAAAAATACTCAATATTCAGTGCTGCCGTTATTTTATGCGGGCGGCTATGAGTGTCCAAAGCGGTGTGCTCTATCCAATCACTCAGGGTGCCAAGACTTGGCCACCAAGTCAGGTTAGTCATCCAACTTGGCCCGACGCATCGCGACTTTTCGAATTGCGACGTTCGCCTCTCCCCCAAACGCCTCCTTGCTCTCGTCCGCTTTGCGTTCTAAGATGGATCTATCTCTGTACTGTCAAAGCAACCTTCTTTATACACAGGAGTCATTGTCAAAATATCAACCTGGAGGATACCACCCAGTCAACCTCGGAGATACATTTGAAAATGACCGTTACAAGATACATCACAAGTTAGGATGGGGTGGCTTTTCCACAGTATGGCTTGCAAAAGACAGAGAGTCAGTTTGTCCAACACCAACTTTGCTCATATCTAGCTAATCTCACGCCAGCCGAAATCAATGGGTCTCATTGAAAATCATGACCGCAAATTCGTCGATATCGCGAGAGCTGCAAAATTTGAATTTTTTAGAGAGGCAATCTCGAAGAGGGCTTTCTTCAAACTATGTTGTTCAGCTGCTTGATGCCTTCCCTCACAAAGGCCCCAACGGGGTCCACCAATGTCTTGTATTTGAATTACTTGGTCCTTCAGTTGATAAGGTCCTCTCGGACTACCATGAGAGTCACGACAAGCTTCACCCGGAAACCGTGCTCCGAATTTCTACGCAGCTTTTGAAAGCTGTCAAATTTATTCACAGTGCCGGCATGTGCCATGGAGGTGAGGTTGCTTCCCCCTCTGCAGTTGTTTTCTGTGGTTAGGGCCATTTTACTCACTTCTTATTAGACATTAGTGGTCGGAACATTGCATTCACTTGCACTCATTTGTCCAAACAAACCGAGGAGCAGCTTTTTGATGTTATTGGTTTCCCGGAGATTGAGCCGCTGAAACGAATTGATGGCACTCCTCTAGGGAATGAATTGCCGGCCCAACTGATCAAGGCAGCAGAATGGACTGAGTGGATAGACGAGGACGACGAAGATATTCGGCTTCTTGATTTTGGAGAGAGTTTCTATCAAGGACAGGAACCTCAGAAGCTGGCCCAGCCGGGTTCATTGAGGGTACCAGAGACGATTTTCACCGACTGCTTTGATTATCGCGTCGACTTATGGCGCACAGGTTGCATGGTAAGTAAACATATCATTTCTTTGAAGGAAATATACTTACGGCGATATGAACTGTAGATTTATTCCTTCTTATTCACGACCTGGCCATTCTGGTATCTTGGCGAGGACGAAGTTTTAATTTTTCAAATGATTGGCTTTGTGGAGAGGTTGCCGGCTGAATGGGAGTCTAAGTGGGAATCAATGCAGATGACGTCTAGCCATAATCTGGAGCTAGAAGAAGGTAATTAAACTGATCCACATACAGAATTGTTGCTAATTTTGCTCGAAGATTATGGAACCTCGAAGCTTGAACAGAAGTTTGCTGGTTTGGTACCCGATCCAACTCTCGAACCTCTACTTCATGTGATCCAAGGATTGATGCGATTTTTACCGTCTAGTCGCCTTACTGCAGAAGGGGCACTTGATTTGCTGGGTAACGCTCAAGATTAATGGATGAATAAAGCAAATAGATCGCGCATCTACGAAGTAGGGCCGCGTCATCTAATACGACAAATATATCCAACTCGTACCCCAAAATGCTAATACCCATCGCCAAAACGTTTATCTATACCATTTCAATAACGGGTATTCCTTTCTTCACGTTCTCAGCCCAGTCACGAATATTCTCTACGAAACTTCGGGCAATGCCGGGCTTGATTCCCTTGCTGACGAAGAATTCTGGATTTTGATCCCTGTAGATGTGCTCAAGTTCAAAGCCATCTGACAGCGTTATATCGCACGCTTGTCGGAATCCAGCCTTGAGAGTATCATTGGATACATTTGATGCAAGCCACTCACCGTATTCTTTGACAGCTACGTCTTTGAACCCGGGAATCTTGAATGAAACCACATCTTTCAGCCCCGCTGAATCAACAGCCGGAGCCGTTGTGGCCAATCCAGGAGAGTGTGACGGGTGAACATTGATGTTGATAGGCGGATACGGCGTTTCACCGCCGAGAATGTTACCGCCTTTGCGCTTTTCTTTCTCTTGCTTCTGCTGATCCTCCATGTAGAGCTCATGCCGGATTTCATCTGGAACGTCTTTGTGCGTCTCCAGGACACCACCTTTCTCGACATAGGTAACCAGACGCCTGAGAGTTTGCGTTCGGAGTCGATAATGCTTCTTACCCCTTGGATCTAGCCAGCAGTAGGGGCCCAAGTGGCATGCAGCTGAATCACATTTCATCAAGTCATAAACGCGCCGCCAAATTGCTTGTTGTCCGCATGCATTTTCTTCGGCATCTAGCTGCACATCTCGGACGTCAAGCATCCTCCGTGTGACGGAAGATTTACCTCTCTTTTCCCCTTTCCGTCCAGCGGATGGAGAAGCACAATCCTCTACGTAGTTGAAACAAACCCTCAGCGTGAGTCTCTTTCCACGACAAAAATGACTCGACCACATCCGGAGCTGTTTCTCGATAGGAGCCCAAACAATATCGGTTTTGTTGAAGCGCTTGGTCAGATCACGTTGGGAACGGTCATTGACCGACACGACAATCGCAGTGTCATCGACCCTGACCCTCTTGTTGCGGGAGACCTTCTCTCGAAGGACGGTTTGTAGCTTGTCTTCTAGAAACAACCGCCAGTAGGCGCTCGGGGCCAATACCAGATCTTCTTCCGTGTCCTTTACCACGGCCTTGTTATTGAGAGTGACTCGCCATTCTATGAAATAGTGGATACAGCTTGCCGGATCCTCGTCATATATCTTGTCTTTCTCCCATTCAGATTCCTGGAGCAGAGGTATGTTGTTAGGTCGAGGTTGGCTTGCGGGGTGGGGCTCATCGTCTAGTATGATAGATGGGGAGGGACTACAGTTTGACTGTGTAGCATAAGGGCTTCGGAAGTATCCCGGGGTAGGGGGGAATATTGTGAATCCTGTTCCCATCGTTCGAGCTCTTGGGGTTGCGAGGCGTAATCATCGTGGTACGGGCTGCCATTCATATCTACAGAATATCAAGGCCCTGGAGGTCTGTCAGCATAGGTGGGCGATGCCAGTTGTGAGCAGACGCCCAATAACGAATGAGAGCGACGAAAAAGACCAAGAGCCATGGGAAACATAGAGAATCACTTTAGCCTACCAGGGTTAGTCCTCTACAGCAGTCGTACAGCCTTCGTTATGTAAGAGGTAAATGAAGACGAAGGCTACGGAGGAAAAGGAAGAAAGAGAATGGGCGTGGATTAAGCCAGATCGCCAGAATTCCCCCTTTCTAGATCCGTCCCCTCCCTAGAACATTCTATGGGTGTATACGGTATTTTACGATGACTAATTTGACAATAAATCCCAATACGTTCTATACCACTATACGGCTAAGCAGGGGGTAATTTTGGAGTAACCCAATAAGGGTTAGCGTGGTTTCGGGTACGGGCCGAGAAACAAAGCGTGAGTGTCTGGGGGGTAAACTGTTTTCGAATTCTACTGTAGTGTGATGTTAAAGTAAAGAAAAAATTGTCAGGCTGGAAAAAACCCGGTCACTACAAACTGACAAAATAAATATAGGAGAACCAGAGGAATTTGGTACAGAATCATGGCTAGCTATGTCCTGGTCAAGAAAAAGGCTGGGAAGCTGATAGGCATGATTCCTTGAACGAAAATTTTGTGGGCTGGTTGTGACACTGCAGGTGGGTTCTGCCAGGCCTGTCCAGGCGGTGAGTCGATTCAGGTCATGTGACAGGAGGAGGAGAGACGAGGGACTTGTTTTGTTGCGCGCCTCTTTCGTTTTCTTTCTTTTCTTTCTCTCTTCTTCCTTTCCTGAGACTAGTTATTATGTGACAGTAGGCTATTCTTGCAAAAGAGTCCAATTCGACAAGATAACTAGTCTAAGGAAAGGAAGAAGAGAGAAAGAAAAGAAAGAAAACGAAAGAGGCGCGCAACAAAACAAGTCCCTCGTCTCTCCTCCTCCTCACATGACCTGAATCGACTCACCGCCTGGACAGGCCTGGCAGAACCCACCTGCAGTGTCACAGGCTGGTAATTTTATGTCAATTCAGCAAGCCTGCTATGAAGTTCATGGGTTACTTAAAGCCTTCATTATCGGGCTGATTACGATGTTGATAGCAAGTTAAACTTAATAGCTTGGGGTTGACAGCACTGGTTGAAGGCATTGGCTTTCGGATCTGGGTCGAAATTAATAGTAATAAACACGCATAGTAATAAACGGCAATTAACTAAATTGTGGCGGGGAAGAGTGCAGTGCAGTGGTTGATACGACGAAATGAAGAATTTGTTCTGTTGAGGATGCCAAGTGCAGCACGTGTTTATGGTTTGATTAGCTTCTGTGTTGTCCAACATGGAAGGCGAAAGCGGCCGCTACTGTGCTTCATAGGTTCCTATGAATAGAAGCCATTTCAGCTTGACGGCTTAGCTTCATTGAAGTTCACCTTGTTTTATAGATGCTACGATGCCCCAACAGTTGATTATCTTCGCTCGCACTTACAGTATAATGTACTACCCGGTACCAGCAGGGGATGCAGAGATAGGGTATCAACAGATTGGTCCGCTGTGTCTTATTTGCAGGATACTATCTGATATGAGCCCTTGCGATTCTTGGTATAGTCCCCGTAGGCAGCTTTCCGATGATACGGCAGTGTTCCTGTTTAGCGCTAGCCTCGTATCACACTAGAGTTCTACAAAAAACCGCACATGTGACTTAGTGAGCTAGGTGTAGTAAGAAATACCGAAACATCTCATTACATATTGGTATAACGGGCAGGAACGAATTTAGCCACTTATTGTAGGCACACTGCTCATGACCTATAGTCAACATTTCCCTTGTTCGCCAGGCGCTCTGATCGCCTCTTGCCGGGTTTTTCTCCTTCGAGCTCCCCTTTGAGCCTGGTCGGAACTCCAATAGACGCTAGGCCTCATTGCCAGTGCCCACCTAGGCAGTCCTACGTCAATCTAACATGGCACAGGTCAGTATTCACAATTCATCCTCCTGCTCGCCCATTCACCGAACCCATCCATACTAACAATGTGCCCTTGTTAGGAAAGCCGCAGTCCTCCTCCAAGCCACGTGGTAGCAGTAAGTGTCGACCCCGATCTCTATCTCCATCAGCCAAAGATACCATACTGACTGGATCCGTCATAGGGGTGATTAATTACATCGCCAACTCTGTTGCAATGATGACATTGGTTAGTGTCTTGCCTCTCAAGTGTCAACTTATCTATTCTTGCCGGCAATGAACGATACTGGTAAGGATGACTGGACAAGACATCGAACATTTAGAGGTGTATTCCGATATTCCATACTTTGATATGGAAAATTCAATTCCATGGCTCGCATACGATTTCAATGGACCACCTAATCTGTATTATGCTAGGCGTAGAAATCATCGTTGATTGATATTGTAGCTTGATAAAGATTGTATTTGGCCGCAATCCCGATTTTGGTGAAATACAGTCATTAGTCGAAATACTGATTCGGGTGGAATACGGCCATTAGTCGAAATACGGTTGTTGTTGTTGTTGACAGTCGAAATACGGTCATTAGTCGAAATACGTACTTTGGTGAAATACTGATTTTGGTGAAATACAGTCTTTTGTTCAGAATACAGCATCAGATAGAAAACAGTCGCCAGGTAAAAACAGTAATGCTTCTCCTCTTTCTGAAATACTGCTTTTATCCTAAGATCGTAGCCCCATAGTAGTGATACTGTATTCCAGACCCCCCAACTTCCTGCATGGCAATACACACTCCTACACATCTCTGATTTCACTTCTTGTGCGCAAGCGCCCAACCTCTTTGTTCCTCTAGTCTGATGCTATGCTAGGTGGTACTTGCTGAATCGACCCGTGTGCCTCAGAGCACACAGCCTTAGAGCGTTCCCCTCTTCAATAGATAGATAACTAGATAGTTAACATATTCTTAGACTTAGATAGATTAGATTAGACAAGTAACATATTCTTAGATAGACTTAGATAACATATTCTTAGATTAGACAAGTAACATATTCTTAGATTAGATAGATAGTGTAGTGGGAGAACAGCGTCACCCACAAGATGATGCCTTGGTGCCTCAGGCCGTGAGATTAGGTCATGCCCTAGATAGACTACGTACAGCTCATCTTCACTAGGAGGATCAGTACAGAACACACATCTTTTGCCTCTTTCTCGGTTTTCCAGTATGGTTCTCGTCGGCTCTCTGTAGGTCATAGGACGTCCCTGCTACTGTCTCCTGGGCTGCAGTCCTCCCATCGTCCCGTCTGCGATGTCAGACCGCCTTCGCGCTCTTCCCACTTCAATAGATAGATAACTAGATAACATAGTTATTCTTAGACTTAGATATGTTAAATTGAAGCAAGCGACAATTTAGCAAATGTAACCTTGAGCTATTCGATATGGGAGGATGTGGCTCACAAGCGAAAGAAGAAAATGAATTGTCTAACAGAACGTGTGTATGGCTTCACGATTGTCAAAATGTCCAACTAGCTAAAAACAACAAAGTCTGACTTTGACGATCTGGTCACACAGTAATGACTAAGCAAGTCATGCTTAGTCCGCACGTCACATGTCTACGGAATGAATGGTCCTTGAATTGACCGAATGGCTGCTGCCAGAGCCTTAGCAAAGCGTAGGCTTGGCATCGCAGCCTAATTCACCCAGAAACTTCTGGCTGAATTCAACAAGATAGATTAGATTAGACAAGTAACTAACATATTCTTAGATAGACTTAGATAACTAGTTAACATATTCTTAGATCTTAGATACTTAGAGCAAGCTACATCGGGCCAATGAATTTCTCTCTCTCTCTCTATCGGATATAATATTATATCGTACGCGCTGACAAGATACTAGGACATGGACAATCTACAGACATCCCCAAGCCAAAATCTCGCTATGTGTGGGAAGTCTTTTGTACTCTGTCTAAAAAGATAGAGTTTGAATTCCAGTTTCTCTCCGGTGTGCTACCGGCTTACCCCGATGACAACGTTATCAGGGAACAAAAGTCTGGGGCTACAGTGGACCTAGTAATGACGATATCAACAGCTTGGAGCGGTCAATTCAGCACATCCTTGATACCCTTGAACAAGATGGTCCTTTTAGCGGCATGGTGGGATTTTCCTCGGGTGCCGCTATGCCCGCCATCGTTACTTCAATGCTGGAGAAAAGGCAAACTGTTTGTGGAATCCCGTGGGCGGTAATTGAAAAGCATCTAAGTATATCGTTTGTATCGAATTCCAAATCTGACTGGACTTGTCTAGAGACGCTATTCGCAGTTACAATTCGCAATATGTCTTAGCGGGTTCAAGCTACAGAATAAGTGCTATGAAGCTTTCTATTTCCCTAACATTGTGACTCCAATGTTCCACGCCGTCGGCGAGTTGGATCCAACGGTGCCTCTCGCATAGACACGGAGCCTCGCACAACATTGCTCATACCCATGGTTCTTTGAATTTTTCGGGGCCACTATGTACCCCAAAACAAAGATTTTGTGAGCTTCCTCGATCTCTTCAGAACTTTTGAACAAAAGTGTTTGGTCTGTGTGAAGAGGTCCAGGAGGGCTGGGAGGATGTTGGATCAACACTCTATCAGCTAGATATATCCAGGCACACCCTCACACCGTGACAGATGAGCTGCCTGCGTCTAGTGCACTGGACTTTATTGAACATATGGTTCGCCGTGCCGGCGTGCATACCCACTGAGCCCCCGCTCTAGGCTAACCGAACTCCAAAGACTGTGAAGCGAGACGCCATCAAAAGTGAGGGAAACCTGGAATGATGTATGTAGGCAGGGATGATGTATGTAGGCAGGGCAGGCTTGGAAACCACGCGTGGAAACGGAGCGACTTGGGACTGCTACATATTTTACGAGGAATCCCGACGCCCAATGGTCTTGGGTTTAACTGCGGCGCTCAGCTTCGCCTATCCTATTCGACGTCGCGCCACACAGCGACACAGCCTCGGTAGCAGGTCACGTTATTTGTCCTTGTGCCGCAGTATTTGAAGAACCAATCAGAGGCGAGAGAGCCTGCCAAGATAGAATTTCGGCCGTAGTATAGGCGACACTTCGCGTCGACAATCATAATACTATAGTCATATTTTTGAGAGATGTTATTGATATCTAGCAATTACATACACTATACAGTATCAATACGGCTCACAAGGTGCCATGAAATACACTTTCCGTCTTCCCTCTCTGCGTGCGCCACGGTTCCTCGTCCCTGTGAGAAATGTTCATGCGGCGGATCATCCCCCAAAGTCGTGAAATAAACAACGGCTGTTTACGTCGTCGGAATACAGGTTTGGGACTTATGTAAACTGGGGAGGCAGTCGGCGATTAGCAGTGTGAGATTGATGCTAGTTATCTATTGACGTACCCGGCGTAGTATTGCATGGTGGAATAGCGGGCTTGGGGTTTTCGTCGTTTTGCGAGGCCTGATGGCGGGAATTCCCATATTGATGTACTTGTTGCTGCTGCAGGTGGCGAGCCCAAGGATCCGGAGATTTTAGTGTGAATGTAGGAAGGCGAGGAGGAAAGCCTTGTGGAAGCCTCTGGATTCGGTATGGAGTCATACGGGCTGTGGTACGGGCCCGTGAAGTCGATCTGTCTGAGATTGGTCGCCGTCTTTTAATCCCTTTCCGAAGCTGATTGCGTTTGCCTCGCAGAGACTCGAATGATCTGCTCTTATTATGTTGCTTGGAATATTCTTTAGCCCTTTCTTTCCATGGCATCCAGTCATATTTAGCCAACCATGGCTCGAGGTTATCTTCCTCAGACTCAGTCCAAGGAAGGTATATCTCTTTCGGCATCGTTGTAGACGGGGTATGTGCAAGAGCAACAGAACAAATGTCAACTAGGAAATGGCGATATGAGAAGAAACGCTGGAATAGATGGTTGAGAAACGACAGACAGCGAGAATATAACTGATGCATACTCAACTCACCATTCCTACTTTGAACAAGTTGTCATTTGGGGGGTAGGCGGTCATAGCGGAAGAGAGAGAGAAATTCATTGGCCCGATCGGTCATAGCGGAACTCACAGCGCGCAAAAAATGAGCTTTAATAATTAAATAACCATTCAATATAGCCGGGCAAATTATATGGGTGCTTCGATGCAGGTTATAAAAAAAATGAATAAAATACAAAATACAAAATATAGAATATGGAATATAGAATATAGAATATAAAATACAAAATATAAAATATAAAATATAAAATATAAAATATACAATATACAATACAAAAAAATGGCTTGATGCCCACTTGGACTTTGATTTTCTCAAGTGGAGTCGGTTTAATGAGGTTGAGAGGATGTGAAAATTTGATCCTTGGGAAGTCATACGGTTACACAGATAAACGACGGTAAACTAGTTAGTTTCGACCAGGCAATGACCATGGGACCTTCAGGCATAGGTTCGGTGTAAATCTCTCCGATTTAACCACTTGAGCTGCATCGAATGAGATCTGCATCGTCATTAAACGAAGGGCAAATGGCCTAGCTGTTTTCTCGACAACATCCCTTTGGTATTAGATTTATTTAGGTACGCGCTCCAGAATGTCTTGCACGGTGAAAGAAAAGCTTGTGGTCTAGGTCTCCTCCTGGTGTCCTTCAAAGTACTATCAAGGCTCTCTCCTGGCCCCTCACAATGGCCGCGGATCTTTAGTAATAGGACTAGGTGAGCCATTTTCGTCTAGCCAAATATCTGCGATCGTGGCGTATACTTCTGAAAAAGATCTCACGCGTACTTGTCGGGCAGAGTATACGAGCCCAGTTCTCGGATTGGTCCGAGCGCTTTGCTGAGCTGTCTGTCTGGACTATAAATCAACCACTTCTTCTGGCATTGGAGAAAGACCTGGTTGAGCTTCGCATTCACCCACTCCATCAATCATTCACTCTCTTTTCCAACAAGTCCAAGATCCTCGGCCATGGGTATCCTTCAACATCCCGGTTCCGGAGAGAAGCATAGTCCGTTCGCCAGCCAACTTCGCGATGCTCTTGCTTCCGCGAACCATTTCAACCTCTGGAGCATCCCCGAATCAGTTGCAGGCACCCGAGAAGAAGACTGCCCTGATGATATGGAATCGCAGTCCTCTGCGGAAAGAAGTCATATGACAAGGGATGAAGAGATAGAACATGGTGCAGATCCTGATTGGGCTGGTAGTCCTGTATCAATGGACAAGTTTCTGGGGTGTCTTCAAGAGTAAGAGTTTTGCTTCTCCATTACAGTAACCAGTGACGCTAATTTATTTCTAGTTTGAACGCCCGACTCCAGTAGGTGCATTTCTCAGGAGATACTTGCATCAAACCCACCTTAAGCTGATGGGAAGATAGGTCCATAGAAGAACAGCTCGTAAAACAAAACGTCTGGAACGACGACATGGGCCAAGGTGTGAAAGAGATGCAGGGCGGGTACCAAGGTATCTCGGCGCTCAGTGAGGAAGTGGCTACGCTGAAAGAACAACTCAACGCTCTTCGCAGGGGTAGCCCAGGCAGTGGGCGAAAGCCAGGACGCCCCAGGCGGGTCGCCCAGTGAGAATAAAGAGCAGGGACTCAGTGTTGGCCCGACTCGGACGATCTCATGTCTATTGGTTGGTGCTTCAGAAGGACGAGAATACCCAGGCCTAGCAGCAATATAGTAGGGTACATACCAACACATACCTTGACATCTACACCTACCAAGTGGAATGATAAATATATGATTTGTCAGTATCCGTGCTCATTGAGCTTAGAACGACCGAGAACCATGACAAGCCAGAGGTGTATACCGGTTCACCGTAGCTGTAACCATTTTTTTGATTCTCATACTATGCAGCTCTTGTTCTGGGTTATGACTGATATCGCTATGCAGAAAATAGCAATGTGAATTCCTTGAATGATTCCCCACGAAAACCCCATCAAATGAGAGAAACGCGCCAACCGAACTCCAGCACGTGGAGCTAACATAACTCACCTAATGGCAGCATGTTTCCCCTTTGCCTAAGGTATGACATGATTTCCCTTCAGATGCGGTGATCGGCGCCCATTCCGCGGACCCCGTACCATTCTGGCTCACTCCTGTCGCCGGAGATGCAGAGGGGAACAAACTAGAACGAAAATACTCACCTGAATGAAGCCATCTACGGGGGAAAATCTAGATACGGCGAGTACTTAGCTTCGTTCTCTGCACACAGTATGAGGACGCGGGAGAGGCCGGCTAGTCGGCAAAACGGAGAGATCGATCGGGCACGAGCTTCTATCCCCCTTGTCCTGTTTCTCCACTTCCTTACTACTTCACGAACATACAAATGCCCACTCTGCGACTTCAACCCCTGAAAAACGGGGCGCGTCCTCGTGACTAGCTCTCAGTTGTTGACCATAACAGGAAGGATGTGCATACTAGGTGAACTGAGGTCGGCACTGGCCGAGGGAAACATATCCCGCGCGGCTGGGCCGTTCTCTGGACCCACAGGAAGAGAGTCCAACGTATCAAGCCAAGGCCGTTCAAGATCTCCAGATACTAAGTCATGCTGTCTGATATGCAGGTCGAGCAAAGAATATCGACATACAGCCGAAAGTATCACGTTCATAGACATTACAGTTGCTTCCGCTTAGCTAGCAGTGATATGCAACCCGTGTGCTACGTTCATTCGTTGACCAAGATTAATGAGTTTGCTAACTGCCAATTCAGATACTAGGCGAGCCTGTGGGGGAAATTGCCGCATCGCATCCGTGCACGGAATACAGGATGAGACGCGGATGGTGGCACAACGGTGAGATCGACCAAGCACGGGCTTCTTTGATATTGAACATCAGTTGAGCTTAAAATTCTATTTTCTTGTCTACCCCGCTGATGGCCCTTGGAAACTTTGATCATATCATGGAGCTGTGGATAGTAGGAGTAAGAGTTTGGGTAAGAGTTTGGGTAAGAGTCTCTCTATGCTCCGTGGGTAATCTACACGGGCCCTCTATCACTACCTCGAAAATGTACAACGAAGATAGTGAACGCCCTGTATCTGTACGTATCTTTGTCCCGACCCCTGAGAAAATAGCGGGGCTTCGGGTATCTCCGCTCGATAAACTATGGGGCTGGGCGTTTTATTGAACCAATGAGGGGAAAGATCAATTGTCGTCTAAACTATATTTGGGGGAGAACCGACTACAGCAAATATTGACTCGGTAGTCAGTGCTTGGTCAGATTCGGCTGTACGAGGATCACCATCCAGAAATGCACGGCACGGACTTAACGGTCATCGCGGAAAACAAGCCGTCCGGATCCAGTTTCCGGCCCCATTGTTGCACTGACTTCGTCAGTTTGACCTGGCAGTTGAACAGACCACCGTCAGACAAATCGGAGAAGGTTTCATAGACCTAAGCAATTGCATTATTGACGGTTAGATAAATTGAGGCATTACGTATGTAACTCTGCTGGAATACGGTGGGACGGCTTGATATCGCTCAAGGACCTCCATCACATGATTCACATCTGCGCCCGTTATGGAACTCACCGTATTAATTCATGATTGCCCCAAGTCTCCAGCCAATTGATGCTCTTCTTGGGATCCACTTTTGGGCTGCGCTAACTAAATTATGATTGGATCATTCTTGCCGCAGCAGTGTAGTGTTATTTTCCACCCCTTTGAACATGTATTATCGCCACAACTTCTCCTTGTTTGAATTTTCTTCCACATCACAAATCAACATTACTGATTATAAATTGCTCCATTCACCAGTCACACCCACACTTTGTTGAATCTAAGATCAAGAACGCTTAAAACCACCTCAATCAAGATCATGAATGATCCTGTCAGAGAGTCAATCAAGCAGGTGGATGCAAATACCTGGCTTGTCGGTCCGCTACAACTCTGTCGGTCAAATGGCTATTCTGACACCTCCACCTGGTACGACCTAGATGACGATGTCAGCTATACTCTCACCAACGCGTCTGTTCCTCCGCCTCCAACTGTACCGTTGTCGGAGGATCTTCCATTCCGATTAATCTACGATGTCGGCGATAGCTCTGCAGTCTGGTCTGTAGGAAACAGCGCTTTTTGCAAGGTCAAACTTCGCGTGCTTGGTACAACATCGGAAGCGGCAACATTGGCGTTCGTCCATGGGGAGCGGCCTGGTTTCGAGATCCCCAAGGTTCTGCACCAAGCAGAACACAATGGCCGGTCCTACCTGTTTTTGAGCAGAGTTCGAGGCCGAACTCTTGAAAATGCGTGGTCCACTCTGAATGAAAAATGGCGACATCACTACATGAGCGCCGTGGTGAACATCTGCGAGTTTCTCGAGAGTCGGGAACGCGATATGCTTTGTGGTGTGGATGGGAAAAACGTATTTGAGCCGTTTCTTGTCAAACGTGGAGCGAAGGAAGACTTTTCCCCCAAAAACCTCCAACAAGGGTGTGAATTGATGGGCATGGACTGCTCTAAATTTGTATTTTACCATGCTGATCTCGCCCCTGGAAACATCATGGTAGAAGACGTCCCGGAGACTGGCGCTGTCGGTATCATTGATTGGGAGGTCGCTGGCTTTTTTCCGAGAGGATGGATTCGAACAAAATTTCGAGTAAGCGGCGGACTGGATCTTCCGGATTCAGTTACGGACACCCCAGTGGAATGGAGGTCGGGTGTTCAAAAATTGCTTGAGACTCGTGGATTCGAAGACTACTCATCGCAATACGTTTCATGGTGGTACTGAGGTCCTGTCACAGCGGTTAGCGTGTAATCCACGTCCATTTCATCATAATGTTCCCTTTAAGTCTCTTGACTTTTAACCGTCCGATTTGATAATTTCCACCCAATAGAAGCACTCCACCCTTCTCGACTTTGCTGTGTGTATTAGTTCTTTCACTGTGGACATACTCTATGAAATGGCTGGCCATGTATCTCGGTATATGAATAGACATTTGATCGTCTGAAGGTTTCTATATAGTAAGCGGTATCAATCATGATTCTTGGCCTCAAATCGTCTACGTGGCTTTTGTTTCAGAAAGAATTCTCCTTTCCATACTAATTTGGATCATCTGGTGTTGCAAATTGACTAGTTCCGTAGTGATCATTCAAAAAGTAACCCCCCCCCCTCCCCCACTGCCGTTATAAAAGAAAAAGTTATGTGCATGTATATAGAGCCTACTAGAGTCTACTAGTTTGGTTGGCTTATCAAGATCGAAATCTACAGCAATGTGATAAAACGTCCAATTCGAATTGAATTAAAAAAAGAACGCGCATAGAAACGTCGATGATATGTTGAATATCTTATCGAGAATATCATTCACACGACAGACATACTATTTCCCTTCGATGTTGAACCATTTCCTCCCATAAATTCGACTCTACCAATGACGTTCCACCGGAGAATTTCCAACACTGCCTGTTCATGACTAAATTAATTACTGAGATCCTCGGAAAGTTAAGGAAACATACAGTGTTTGTTGCCCCAAAGAGGGGAATGTTTCAAACAGGTTGGTATCCTGAGAGTACGGTGCCACAAGTTTTGGTTCCGCCCTTGCCATCGCTTATGATCCCGCTGCAGGTGGCAGCGTATGTCTGGTTGTTGTACCCACAGGAAGGACAATTCCTCATGTCAACTGGGACACTCTGTTTGTCGGTGATTGCCATGATAACTGATGATTCAAAATCGTAGGGGCTCGAATGCGCGAATCAATGGCTTGAGCGTTTGGGCGTTGTACTGTGTTCTTTTTCTCTTCAACTGGGAGACGTCGGTATCGTTTCAAATCCACAGTCAGGAGAGATGTTGGGCTTATGTTCTAGAGTTCATTCACAATCGGATTTTGCTGGGTTATATATCCTTCAATCTGTTGCACGGAGCCCTCTGACAATGTCTTGAAGATGGATGGGTCTCTGACATTTGATCAATGGACATCTATCGTATACTCGACGCGAAGTGAGACTCCAATGTGCATGCATGGACAATCATCATCAGGGACTAATTACAAGCGACGGAGATGGTAATTTTTATGCATTCCATCGAGTTGACTAGACAGTAGACAGGGACCAAGGATACGAAGTGGCACGTTGGTGCATGGGGCCGTCATAATGGCTTGTTTAGGGCAGAAGATTTATCATTTACTGTTCTATTGGTCAGAAGATCTGGGTCCGTGCCATCCCACCACGCCTCGCGCAGGTCCAATTAGAGATTCGAGAACCACTGCCGGCAGTAGTTTCTCATAGCATCTTCCCGGATTTTAGAGTCCCCAAATAGCCTATACCTATCTCTCCTGTGAGAACAGTGATGCTTCAAGCCAGAAAACAAAGCTTAATTACCGAAAAGAATGAACGGGCCTTATGGGCTCTCAGCCCATACCCGTGTCACACCCAATCAATCGCGGGGCGGCATCTGCCCTGGGCATGAGCTTACATGCATGCTAGCTGCTCTTCCCTCATCAGTTTGTTCTCTAGCCAGTATAGGGACCCGTGTCGATGAAGCCTGCGTACGCAAGGCCGGAGAAGCGAAAACGGATCTAGTACACATAGATGGAGTATGATACTAGTGCGATTATTAGGCCGATGCATAACCGCATCGTTGTGCGCGCAATCCGGTACTAGGCTGGCGTGAATAATTTACAGATATTGGCATACCAAAGTCGGGTCTGGGATCTCACAGTGGCGAGAGTATGATCTGCCTGAGCCTACACGGAATTTGTTGGACGCTTCCGAGCTTCGTATCGCGCCTCTTTACCTCCCCAGGCAGCTCGCGCGAGACAGTTTTATTTGGAGGCCCAGATCCAAATCAAAATTATATGCATGAGTCTGCGAGCGGCACCGTGCCTATGATTTTGAAACAACAGCCTACCTTTTCTGCTGGGTCGGGCCCTGGTGTCTCTGCCAGAGACCCGGCACCGATTCGTTTGCGCGTGGGTTACCCTTTCCCCCTCGTTGACGCCTAGTGCTAACTAAATAAGACCCTGCGAGTTTGGTTTTATCCCAAAGGTCTTGAATTTATGGAGGACATCAAAAGAGAGGGCCTCGAAGATGTGGTTTTTGATGTCATTCCCCTTCAAGAGCTTAGCTCTCACAATAAAGCCCAGAATGTCCATAGCAATATGAACGAAGCCATCCTAGGGACCTTGCAGTACTGGAGAGTGGTATCTTACGGATTTGGGGAAAATATGGGATTCTAAATTTTGTTCCTCTGAGCAGCGATGATCCGATTATTTTGCACCAACCAGCAGAAGATCTCGACTCAAAGAAAGCTCTTTGCTACCAACGCCTACATTCACGCAATAACTGACTCGTAAGGACTACGTGCCCGCCCCTGCGCGTAACAAATGAGGGGAAACTCCAGTCAGCACGCTTAGAAGCCTGCCATTGGGCACCTTGAATTGGGTGAACTTTTGGAATGCCCCAGGTAACGGTCTATTTTCTGATTCTCCTGATTTACAAAAGCCAAAGATTTCCGACTTAGAAGTTGGGGGGGGGGGGGGTTTCTGCTTGCTCTCTTCATCGCCTTATAGACAAAATGGAACTCCACCATAGCACGGAAAAACAAACTTCAAACCTTCAAACTATCATTACTGCTCGCTTGAGTGACTTTGTTCGTGAACTCACCCCGATGATTGAGACAGTCCAATTTGGAAGGCTCCAATTTACAGATGGTGGATACAACGCCCTGGAAAGTGCAACCCGAGATCTTGCGAAACTTTCAAATAGTATTGCCGACGAAGTGAAGGCATTGGGGAAGAGACGGGCATCCGCTGTTGTTACAGAAGGGCAAAAGTTGTTATCCCGTGCTGAAACTACCAAAGCAGAATTAATGAAGAGCCAGAAAACCAGAGGCCTGGTCTTTATCAGAAACATACAGCTGTTCTTCAACCCTCCGGCGGCATCGAAATTGGATTCTCCCACAGTTCAGAAACGAAAGCAGCTAACCCGCGAGCGCAGTGAAAGACTGAGAAGTCTTGCCCCCAACAAAATGATTTTGTGGGCAGCAGCATTCCCTCCCAGCGTTTGGAATTCAAATGTACTTCAGAAGAGCACGTTCGACTTTGTCGTTGAATTCCTGGAGCCTGGGCATTCACTGCAGTGGCCCGCTCACATCTACGAAATTTTGCATACATTGGCTGTGGAGCAACCTCTTTGCAACTCGTCTCATTTCAGGGAGTTTTTGACTGGTCGGTCCAGTGACCCTTATCTGAATGATTGGCAGCTAATACAATCTAGACATGGATCAGAGTGCTGGGGTGGACCAAACCATTCCACATTCAAGTTCTCAAGAAGGGCAGACACTGCAATCAGATGTGCCTGGCGTCGATGGCAAGTAACCCTGCAAATATTCTTCACGGACTGATGCTCATCATTAAGCAGAAGGAGCCCAGGAAGTCATTGAGCGAGCATTTCTTGTCCCTCATTCCAAGTTAGACAAACTCTTAAAGCTCCATCCCCAATTCGCAGCTCGTCATAGCATAATTCTCACTATTCCCATCGCGGACCGAGTTGCAACAGTTCTTATTTCGATACCGCGTGAAGATGCCATTCGATTTGGCTGGGAGTCGTCATTACCGGTGATTTTCAACTCAAACCCTCAACATGCTTTCGTCCAATCAACATCAGCTCGACCAACATTGCCTCAATATGGTGATTGATGGGTACGAGCCCCATCCATATCCCAGCTTTCCGAAGTGCTTCCCACTCGACCTCGCCTGTTGACCCATCTTTAACCCTTATACAATCGAAGAACTTGGCGGACGTCGGTGGGCGAAATATAATCAAACGCTTTGTTGGCCACCCATCGAAGAGCCGGAGGGTGTAAGAGATCCAGCTACTGTGATATTCCATTTTGGATCCTTCAAAGTCATTTCCAAACTAAGTGAAAGAAAAAACATTAGCTGGCTCCCTAATTCAAGGCAGCGTCAATGACAACCCACGTGTTTGACAGCTTCCGCAGCGAGTTTCACCTTGTCGTTCGCGATTTCTTCGGATATTGGCACATATTTGGTTGCCATAGCCAGCTGATGTTGACCTCCTAGTTAAGCATATAGTCTTGAGTTAGTCTGCATTCACAAAATGGTATAAAATCCACACACTACAGTATGGACTCACCTTGAGCACAGTCAATAATTCATTTGGCGTGCCTTCCTTTGTTGTAGAGGTGGTTCAGAACTGAGACACCAGTTCCTCAAGGGACGATTACCGACACGAAGAGGGTCGTATTTAGCGGACTGCAGGCTTGTAAACGTGACGGGGACACTTGTCCTATTTTCGCCCTCTTATTTGGCGGTGCTTCCTTCCACGGTTGAGTCAAGGAACGGAGAAAAGCGGGTGGAAGAGAGTGAGGGGTGTCCATTTTAAATCATGTGCTTGGTGGGGTTTAACGTGCCCAAAAAAACGCCCAACGCCGAGATCATGTGATTCCGAGTTGGCTTATCAAACATTTCAAAGTAACACGGAAGAAATTTGGTCACCCGTTGCCTCAGTGTCCTCAAGACGTCCCGCAAAAAAGGCGGTGGCATTGGCCATTCCACCGCCTGCCTCTTCGAGGATGCTGAATCATCTTTTTTGCGGAACCTAGATGGTGCCTCCCAATCAGGTTAGCGTGGCAGAATTTCATAAATTTGGCAGAATCAAAGGCGGTAGTCTGAGGTCACTGAGGCAAGCCACCCGACTTCTTTTATGGCAAAGCAAAACGTGAGTTGGGTGAATTTCCAACTATGCCCTACTTTTAACGGTGTTTAACAAATGGCGTACCACGGGGCAGGGGTGGGCGAGGAAGATATAAAATGGGAGGAACCTGTCTGCCTTATTGAGTTCATCGTTTACATTCATATCAGCTTTTACCGTGCTGATTCAATCTTCCTTCTCCATCGTACAAACAAATTCCATCAAACAGCAGGGCACCTGTCTAGGTACTAGCTTGACAAGAAACTTTGATGGGTTGCCTTCCATTTTGCTTGGTACGAAGACTACTTCCTTCTCTCTTCCCTCAAGACGATTCCCCATCAGCCAGAGGAAACCAAGAAGAGCGGAGCGCAGAAGAAACAAACAGAGAAGAAATTCCGAAACCCAACGCTACGCTAGGTATTGCAACCCACTATATCACGGCAGTATCCGCTGCTCTAAATACATCCCAACGATGCTCCTCCATATATGCTAAATGTGTTTATCTCCAGATACCAGTCCAGGACAGCGCTCATCACTGCCCGTCGGTTACTTCAATCGCACAGTGCCCTGTAAGTAAAGGCGGAGCAAATCGGAGAAGTTTCCTAGAAACGCTGACGATGTAGATCTATCTGATCGTCCCTGCGACAAATAACGGCATTAACTGTTCAAGATCTGGACGAGATCGCTGATTTCGAGAGATACTGCTGCACAATCTGGACCCCCTATTCCGATTCTTATTTCAAAATCACTTTTGACTACCATCTGGCAGTCACCCAGAATGAGGTCAGTTACGATTCGTCCTGAAGAAACCATTGCTAGCTAGATTCTATGCGTTACTTGGGATTTTCACCATGCTAAGCTCAGCTTTATAGTCGTGGCTTGTACGATACAACAGGCGTTAAGAAGCCGGATGTTCCGCCTCCTCCATCGAAGTGATGTTGGAGACAGACTAGGTTGTGATTCAAGCCCGACTGAGGTCCTATTGGTGGCAGCATAAGCTCCTCTATTTCTGGAATGAAAACTTCGCTTGTATTATACACATTCTGTACACTGGATCTGGGACTGAAGGAAAATCATTGTTCATTAATTACTACGCCGCTGTACAATTGATCTTCCATAATATCTACCACCATTACAAATACTTCAATTAACAGAACGCGAGTAAGGTTGCCGTTGAACGATGCGGAGGGGAGGAATCAGATGATAGTACAGACCTACCTTCCACAACTAGCATCTTGTAGGGGCTAACCAGAACTTCTAGTGTGGACTTTACCGTTATAGACGAGGATGTCAATGCGGAGTTATACAAGGTCTCCCGGCGCCCGGCGGTCTTGGGAATTAACTGCGACGCTCAGCTGCGCCTAACTATCCCAATCGAGCATGATTTAGTAAGCATGACCGGGTGAACCGACCAATTACCTCAGTTTCCTCAGACTATATGCGTCACATGATCTGCGTCACATGATCCAGAAGAATTTCTGCCGAACTTTTGACACGCTAAACCTAATCGGATGGCTCGCTCGCATATAGTCTGAGTACTGAGCAGAGCTCACTATGCAGATTACGGGAGCCCGTTACCAACTCCACCATTTTCACCAGGTACGCCTTCAGATGACTGGCAAAGGCGTATCTAATGCTTCATAGTAACATTCCGCCTTTAATTTTCAATATCTCGCTGCAATGTCTCGAAAACGCGTACGCGAGTCAACCCCGCCCGCGTCGCGTTCCCGACACGCAAACGTTAGGTAGTTAGGTACACCTCTGGACCTTTCATGTGAGAAATTTGTGACGATTTTACCATCAAACGGTAGAGGCTCTCAATATCTAGAATCCGTCGAGCCTGATTTTCGATACTTGCGTTGGTTGTCGAGAAAATGTAGAATTAGTGATTCCTTTGGGATTCTTCTCCCGTCAAATGATTTTTCATCGATAATCAGGTACCGGACACCAGCAAAGAGCTCTTGCAGGTCCCTCACTGTCGTGGCCGGTAGCTCCTGGTATCCGGCCGTGAGCGGGACAGGCAACCGAAAGAGGCGGTGCAGCGTGAAACCCGCGATGGCATGCGCCGCGACGCCTGTAGGCGCAGCACGTAAGATCGGCGTGGTTGTGATGCCGGCTTCATTGGTCAGGTCCTGCAGGACACTATAGATGACCCCAATGACATGGGATTTTCCGGTCCCGGCCTTCCCATCAAGGTTGATGAGGAGTTGGTCGGGGGGATCAACACTCGGATGCACACGTACGGGCGGCGTGACAAAGTGTCCCTCAGACCGGAGCCAGCGTAAGTAGTGGCTTACCACCAGACTGTACACATGGCACTGCTTCTCATTGAGGGTGCCCCACGTAGCTCGGAGGTCAGCAGACGATCGCCATCAGGCGCCGACTCGACCCAGAGAATGCTGTGGGCGTGCGTAGAGCCCCTATCTTGCCACTCATATCGGCTCCAGTAATCCGACACATTCAGCTTCTCCTTGAGTACCGTGTTCAGGAACGTCCTCCAGCGGAAGTCAAACCAATAGGCAGCGATATGCGGATTGTCGCGCAGGTTCTCGCGGGCGATACGGGCTCGTTGATTCGCGTCAGCCTGCACCCACTCCTGATACCGCGGTAGGTGGCGCATCAAATCAGGCCAGTGCAAATCTGCTGCTGACTGTGTCAAGAAGATGTGTCCGGCGCCAAGGCCCTTCACCATGGCCTGTGGCTCCCTACGTTGGGAGAACCAATACGGCCGCGTGCCACGGAGAGAGGAACCAAAGGCCGCGATTGAGCGTATCAAAGCGTCAGCCTCAGGCGTATCGGACTGGATAAGGTCCAGCAACTCACGAGGATCAAGTTCCGCTTCGGCCTGTCGGTGACGGCGACGTACATAGAAGCCAGACTTTTTAGACGCCTGCCGCCGCATGATAGTGTTAAATGCGAGGAAGCGAAATCGAGGATGGCTCGCGAAACGACCGCTCTCATGCTTGATGAGATGCCGGACATATTCCGAGTAGTCCACCTTACGCTCCCGAGAGAAGGGTGTTAGCATCCTCTCGCGCTCAGCTTACTACTAACCCCGGAGTAGTCCGATCTCTCGCATACAGAGACTTGTGTCTAAGGCTTCACCCGACTATCCGTTCAAAAGGAAGATTTCCAGTCCAAGAGTGTACCTTAAAGTAAGGACCTCATAAAGGCAGTCGGAGCAAGATGCCGATTCTCTTCTACAGGCCTTTGTAGAGAGGGTCTTCAATATTATGTTACGATGATGCCAGTTCCACAAATATAGTAGAGTGCATTTGAACTAGAATATTGAAGACAGAGAGGGAAGGAGAAGAAGGGAAGTGAGAGATGGGGCCTTGACATAGATCCTCACGTCATGTGTTCTCTGGCACATCCCTCCGCCTAGTTCAATGCACCTTCAAAAGCAAACAACAAAAGTAATAATAAACAGCAAACCTGTCACACGTGACACCAGCCATGGAAAAACATCATAAGAAATTGTACAGCGACGTCGTTATCATTGGAGCAGGCCTGTCGGGAATCGACATGGCATGCCAGCTCCAACGGCAATTATGTGTCAGCGACTACGTGGTTTACGACCGCGCTGGAGAATTGGGTGGCGCGTGGGCCGCCAACAAATGTGCTTTTTCCGCGTCCCCTTCAAAGTGGTACTAGCTTACAGAGAGCAGATCCAGGATGTAGTGTTGACATACCCGGAGCTTTGTATTCGTTGTCATGGTTCCCAAATCTAAACTTTACCAGCCTTTTTCCGTCCCAGAAGGAGATTCTATCCTACATTCAACGCGTCGCTCGCACCAACCAAGTCACTGAACATGTGAGATTTCATACTGAATGGAAAGGTGCCCAGTGGGTAGAAGCATCAGGTACAGTATCCGCTTTGGGATGGCTTGAGCTTGCTGCTGATGCCATCTTAGTGTAAGTCCCTGTAGGCAGACGTGGGGGGGATTGTGGTAAGGCGAATTCGCTCACCTTGTTTTTCCAGAATTTCTACCGAGCTACCTTCTCGCAACACCGTGGAGGGTTCATATTTGAACGGCGGCAAAAGCACAGTTGTATTTGACGCGCTTGGCGCACCCGTCGCTAAGGCTGGCGTCCAATTACTTATGACGCTCTGAAGCCTTCGTGTATGGGTTTGGGCCAAATATAATGATTCTGAGTCCATAGTGCAAGAGAAGAAGGTATACAGTGAATGAAAAGTCTGATCCAAATGTACTGAAATAAGGACGACCTTAGTGATATTTTATATTCCACAAATGAAGTTGATCTATATTTAAACTTGAGATGCCCTTAACGTGGACGAACAGTGGGGTTCCTGGGAGCGAATCGTTGTGTGAAGGATCATATGTGAGACCCCAGGTACATGTTGTAGCGGTATGCCATTCCAGACATGAGGTGTAAGTATAGGGAGGTTTCCATTTTTCATCGGTTGCTTTAAGATGGAACAGTCATCGGTTATGAGAGGCCACACATTCACTGCCACATTTTGAAGCTCCAAGCCAGAAAATAAATACCTTTCCTGGTACGTTTCCTGATGTCTCGACAAAATGCGGCCTGTTCATGCCCTCAATTTCGGATTCACTTGGCGATTCCAGAGTCTGTCGGAGCATAAATAGCCTCAGTCGAGACAGGCAAGGCCGGAAGTCTCCATATGCTTGACTTTGGCATGGAATATACTGTTCGTCGACTGATGCGCAAAGGTACCAAAGACGCGCACGATACTATGCCGTTGTTAACCCGCACGTCCGAGGAAAGGCCCACCCGAAAACCTTCCAACAGCAGATCGTCTCTACAGCACAGCTCTGTCCCTGCAAGTAATTTGGCTCAGACGTCTGACAGGCGAACCCGAACAACCATTCGCCTGCGGTTTCGCCATGAATACGCCATGTCAAAGGCAGGGCAGGTCGTCTCGCAGCCATCCGGTCCAAGCGATAGAAGAAAATGGAGATATCGGGTGGTAGCAGGTCAGAGAGAACCTAATAAAGAACCAGATCGATTGGATTGGTTGCGGAGACTCCGTCCCAAGCCTCACCGTGTGATAGAGTGATGGGAGGAAAAACACATGCTCCAGCAGATGGAAAGGCAATGCCAGGACTTGGCCTGGGTTAGCCATGATTCACATGCCTCGGTCCTCGTTGAACCAAGGAATGCAGATGCAGAGTATCTCATTCTTCTATGGAATCCTTGGCAGTACAGTAATATTCGAAATCAGATTTACCTTTACACCCTTAGACTTTCATTCCCCATCCGTATTTTGAAACACACTAGTCTAATTTTAGCCATAATCGTACCAAGCGGCCAACACACCTTCCGTGTGTTCAGTATTAATCCGGTCTCTGATAGTTCATCGAACCTCCAACCTCAGGCAATCAATTTGGAGGTTCGCTCAGCTGAACCCCCTACGAGCAGGCACTTTCTAGCTAGAATCCTTGATTAGGCTTTTTTTTTCTTTGTATTCTATATATAAAAGGTAATGCTTGTATATTCTAAGGTAAGTACCAGGCGAGTTCTTTCATCCATGTTTTGACCAAAGATAGGTCGTTCTTGCAATGGAACAAGTTACAAAGATATATCTATGGACACATGCCCGTACCTACCTCATTTATCTTCCCTTCACAGGGCACCACTCAGAAAATTCTAGGTACCCTTTTAGCTTAAAATATATGTAAGGACACTGGACAGCTTATCATTATGGCAGATGTTGATCTTGTTAATGCTCGGTACCAACAAGGGCTATTATGGCGAGTTTGCGACGCGAAGCGTCGCCTTACTTACGGCCAAACCAACACCGGAGAAAATAGGGCAGAATTATTTTCCCTCTGATTGGTTGTTTGTAGTTCGGGTTGCCTATTTCGGAGTTGCAATCTTTCCGCCGGCTTGTTGTGGATAGTTTACCCTTTCCAGTCCCACCCCTTGCACTACCGCTTTTCCCCTATGGAAGTAAGCAGTTCGATTTTCCGCCTGCCTTTTACGGGATAGGCGAAGCTGAGCGTCGCAGTTAAATCCCAAGACCATTGGGCGCGGGGAGACCTCGTACTACCAGAAAATGGATTATAACTACCTAAAGGTCCTGTTGTCGACCTCAATCCTACATGGAAGACGTTAGCGTACACTAGGCTCTCACTTGATCAATGGAGACGGCATCAGATTCAGATCAAGTCTTCAGATCTCAGAGCGGATGTTCTCGGCCTTGGACCTCCAAATGCTATGAATATCCTGGACAAAGAGACCACTGGAGTTTGCCCCGTCGTTTACTAGCTAGAAAGTGCCTACTCGTAGTAACAGAAATGAGGTTCTTTAATCATGTATAGGAGGATAATAAATTACATGGGTGTGTGTGGCACTGTGGGAGGGGGTTCAGCTGAGCGAACCTCCAAATGGATTGCCTGAGGTTGGAGGTTCGATGAACTATCGGAGACCGGATTAATACTGTCCGGGACGGGGTTAATACTTGTTACGGGTTTGCCAAATACCGCTAAGAATTAGCCGCTCCATTTGGAGGTTCGCTCAGCTGAACCCCCTCTCAGCGTTGTGCCACCATCCGCGTCTCATCCTGCATTCCGTGCACGGATGCGATGCGGCAATTTCTCCCCACAGGCTCGCCTAGTATCTGAATTGGCGTTTAGCAAACTCATTAATCTCGGTCAACGAATGAACGTAGCACACGGGTTGCAAATCACTGATAGCTAACGCGGAAGCAACTGTAATGTCTATGAACGTGATACTTTCGGCTGTATGTCCATATACTTTGCTCGACCTGCATATCAGACAGCATGCCTCACTCAGTATTCGGAGATCTTGAACGGCCTCTCTTCCTGTGGGTCCAGAGAACGGCCCCGGCGCACGGGAGATGTTTGCCTCGGCCAGTGCCGACCTCAGTTCACCTAGTATGCACATCTTTCCTGTTATGGTCCACAACTTGGAGCTAGTCACGAGGACACGCCCCGTTTTTCGGAAGTTGAGGTCGGAGAGTGGGCATTGGTATGTTCGTGAAGTAGTAAGGAAGTGGGGGAACAAGACAAGGGGGATAGAAGCTCGTGCCCGATCGATCTCTCCGTTGTGCGGACTAGCCGGCCTCTCCCGCGTCCTCATACTGTGTGCAGAGAACGAAACTGAGTACTCGCCGTACCTAGATTTTCGCCCATAGATGGCTTCATTCAGGTGAGTATTTTCGTTCTAGTTTGTTCCCCTCTGTATCTCCGGCGACAGGAGCGAGCCAGAATGGTATGGGGTCCGCGGAATGGGCGCCGATCACCGCATCTGGAGGGAGATCATGTCATACGTTAGGCAAAGGGGAAACAGTAAACACGCTGCCATTAGCTAAGTTTAAGTAAGTTATGTTAGCCCCACGTGCTGCGGTACGGCGGGCGCAGATTCTCTCATTTGATGGAGTTTTAGTGGGGAACCATTCAACATTATCCATATTGCTATTTTCTGCATAGCAATATCAGTCATAATACAGGCAAGACCACATGCAGGATGTCGCGCAAGCCTGCCGAGTTAATGTCTATGTAGGGCGTCGCCTCCTCGGAATTCCTTTCTAGCCATACTATTAGTATTGTTTTGGCCCGTCACACAAAGGCCCTTTACAGGGGCTGATATGCCGGATAATGTGGTACGAGTCCCTTCAAGTGAGGCCTTCCTCCGTGCAATAGCTACTTCATAAATCTAAATGGGTTAAAGACTAACCGCTGTTGAATATACGACCGCTCTGCCCCTCCTGTAGCCTTACCCACCCCTCATATATTGCATGTCAGTGGAAGAAAAACACCAACAGCAACTATTAGATTCAACTTCACACAATCTAGCTGTTCATCGAACCACGGGAAGTAATACGCTGATTGCCTGCCATTTATACAGTCCAAGCGTGGTTTTGCTTGCGAAAGTCAAATCCAACGCTCCATTAGCCATCAACTCATTCGCGCTTCATGGTTCCTCACCTACGTAAGGAGAATGGTCAAGTTTCTTTGGCTGACCGGCCGTGATTTGTTTATTACTCATTCCGTGAAGCATTATACATAACAAAGAGCAATGACAAGATTGACAGAATAGAAGGCCGGATTACGTTAATCAACCAATTTGGTCATCGCTTGAAACTCAATCCAATATGCAATATGTGAATCTTTGGAAAATTGAACCTCAAGCACGACCAGATTCTTGGATATTTTTCCGCTGAGCTGCGCCAATAGCTCGTTAGAATCGGCTTATAGGAATAGTTATAAGTGAATTTGTTCTGAACTACATACATACTGAATTTTCGTGACAGGAGATTCATACGGTACAGAACAGTACACCCTGTCCCACTCTGTTTATTACGCCGTTTTTTGGACATTGAACTGGTCTTTATTATGCATGCTTCCTCTTTGGTTTCGTGCCATCAAGAGGAACATATTGATATTGTACTTTGCTCTGCTCAGGCATACATAAGTAGGTTAATGTCTAAGTATCGCAAGAAAGGATGCCACTTTTTATCCGATTAACAATCCACTGGGTTACCACCAACGGCATGCTTAACACTTTACCTTGCGAGATCATATTGGATGTCGCAGAACGGGTGCGTCTTCTTGGGCGTGCTTGTCTATATCTTCTAACAACTCCTTAGCTGTCCCCTGAAGATCGTCGCTCTTTCAGCCAGCTTTGTTCAAGGGTTAAAGCTGTTTTGGTCCCCCTACTATATCGCACCGTCACGTTTCGTGCTGCGAGTGAGTGGGCCCTGAATGTACTGGATATAGATGCATTCTTGTTGAGCCAGTCACATTTACAGTCCATTAGCAACCTCCAGCATACTCGGCACCTGGGTATCCAGGCCCAAATACATATTGCCCGATTCAATCGCTGTGCACACTATAGTATCTTCCGCACATCGGGGTTGACACAAATCCCATCTACCCTGGGCTCTTCTGATGAGGCCAAAGCGCATCGGCAGTTTTTAGATGACATCTCTGACCAAATGCAAATGGTCTTCGCATGTCTCAAAGAAAATAGCCTCCTTTCTTTCCAGTGAGTCTATCGGCTGGCAACTGCTAGTCCGCTGTCCTCCCTAACACTCACTTACCTTTATTAGGTGGGTTCTTGGCACCTGCCTTTCACCAGGTATCCTGGATACAAACGGATACCTATGCCGGCATCAGAGGAGCCTTAATAGGCTTTCGCTCATCACGGATGGGTCGTGTCCCGAGGCAGGAGGTGCCCTGAATGGACTCTCCGAGCTTTTGTCTTTGAAAACCATAGAGTGGGAAGGTATTCAGCAGCCTGCTGAGATCGATTCTTTGCAACGATGCATCCGCCGGAATTCTTCACATCTGACAACTTTGTCAATTGGGCTTGTCAGCTCTGCTGCTGCCCCGGATCTTGTTGAGAACATTTTTGAACAGCCCTCGGGGGTATTCCATTCAAGCGCTCTCCCTGCATTATCATCCTTAACGCTGTATAAAGCTCCCTTTCCACAAACCCTTCACCTCGGGTCGAGGTGGAGATGCGGTTCCCTCCGAGCTTTGTCTTTGCGTAATTGCCCAAATCAGCTGCGGTTCTTGAAGTCCTTGTCACGCTCAAAAGACACTCTACAACTGAAGCTTTTTGAATTCGTCTGCGACAACTTACTACATGACTTTGACCAAGATCTCACTCCAGCATTGACATTTCTGGCCTCATTTAGAGGGTTGAGACACTTCTATTTGAGGAACGAGACACTGTGTGTCTCGCTTACCGAGCGGGGATCACCTCACCATGCGCTAAGGCCTATCTAGAATAGTGTATATACATGACCATGACCCACTATTCTCGACAAGTGCAATGTTGAGGCATCCATCAGTGGTACAGGCCCATAAGACTAGTTGTGAGAACTAAACTCATTGTTCAACTACTTTACACGAAGGCGTACATTGCGTTACGCGCCGAAGGCAAGAAAGGAAAATCCTTTTAACCGTGCAGTGTTCGAAAGTATCGAGTCTGGAGGAAGGAAAGAGAGAGAAGAGCAGCAGGGAAAACAATTGGGAAGGCTTTCCCCCATGTCCCTGTCGGCGCTATTATAGAGGCGCATTTGGGGCTGACAGCAAGGCGCAGCACGCGATCTCATTTTCATCCGTCGGCGCAAATTCACAACCTTGAATGTTTTTACAAGCTCTGCGAAGCAGCAAAGCTCGCTCTCATTTCCACTCTCGATATCAACCTTTCACTCATCGACATTGGCGCCATTGTCTAGCACCATTACATTTGCGACCCTTGCAGTCCAAGTCGGCAAGTCTGTTCAGACACTTACTGGCTACTGGGGTTCGATGCACGATGCACCGGATAATATTAGATCGCATCTAAGAGAAGTCGAGATCCTCGGCTTCATAATGGCCGGCGTTGACGCCGACTTATCACGAGGATCTAGTTGCGTAGGCCTGATAGACAGCCAGCATGTTTCACAGAGTTTGCGCTTCTGTAAAGTCGCTGCGGAAGACTTGGAAGCACTTTGCAAGGACTTATTGCAACACGTTGGCTCATCCAGCGGACTGCGTATGTCCTACAAAGCCGCAAAATTGGCGATACGCGAAAGGAAGATTGAGAAGCACGTTTCAAAGCTCCATAACGTGGTTCGGGTACTTATGTTATCCCAGCAGTGTTATACCAGGTACGTCTTCGCATTAGATGACTGAGATGGCTTTGTGCTGATAAAATTAGAGCTCTCATACAGGCTCAACCGAATTTCATAGCTGAGGAGATAAGAAATCTGGAGATAGTCTCCTCAGACACAGGTTCAGACTTTGTTTACGATGGTACTGTAGACATGTCCTGTTCGCTTTTTGTACATAGATAATACTTGAAGGTCCACGCTTCACGTGTTACCTGGGTGATCCATATCTCGCCGAGAATCTTGTATTTATCATATAATGCTGCATGGCCGAAAACCCCAAGATGATCATTGACACTCAGAGCCCCTTAACTTGGATTTCAAGCAAACTTTATTCTTTTGGTGAACATTGAGAGCAGTCGTACGAGTAAACGTCTTGCCACATAAGTTGCATGAAACTTTGTCCTTTTCGTTGGTATGTTTTTCTCGCTCGTGACGAAGAAGATTGCTGAAAGTTGAGAAGAATCGGCCATTACAATCACCTTCCCAGCATACATTGGCAGTCTGGGGGTTTTCCTTCGATTGCGGAATAAAAGAAACCTCTTTAGAGGCCAGCGGGGAAATGACCCCTGCATTGAAACTGGTGCTGTCATGACCTCGGGAATTTGAATGCTGGTGTGGAAAATGGTGATCAAATTTGTCTCCCCGGCTTTGACGCACCACAGCAGTGGTTCCTGGCCCGGGCAACATGGAGATAGCGGGGGACCAGGCGCTTAAAACTGACTGTTCGGGAAGGTCTTCATTCCAAAGCCTCGCTGAACTCTGAAGCTCGTCGCCAAAAGTATGTATCGCTTGCGGACAGTCCGCCGATCCCGGGGTTACCGCAAAGGGTGCATGGAAGTTGGTGGATGAATGACCCCTGTGACATTGTACATAAGGTGGGAACATTCTCATGAATCTTACTCTACTCACATGTCGATTGGTGACCTAGATGGTTTGAGAACTGTAAGCCAGAGATATTTTTGTGGATAGAGAAGTACTGACAGAGACTGCCTTTCGCCAAAAGCGTGTGGTTGTTTTGGTTCTCGACAGGAGCTGGAACAATGAACGGACAGTTGAGGGGTATCAAATTGCGAATGCAAACGGTTTGGCAGGGGGGCCAAGATGGGCCTGCAGGTTTCAGTAGTGGCTCGAAAACTGGCTGCCACTCCCTACTCTGTATGAGATGCGATTCCCAGTTTCGTCAAAAAGCAATCGTCGCTGGGCGAACGGCTGAAGGAATGGGCGAACTGTGTCGTTTGGCCCCCAAAATATATTCCAAATAGCCAATAGCGAGAAAATATGACAGATGTATGAACTGGATCCGGGGAGAAACTTGTCGGAGATTGGATCCTCAGACATGCAGGTTGAAAACACACATGGAGGGGAAGGGTACTGGATTGAATATAAAAATTCGGCATTGGTGCCAACTTTGTGAGCTTTGCCATAACTGGATTTAGTCTCCACCTCGGCTATAAGACAAAAGTACGTAAGTTACGAGTTAGGATACTGTGGAGCATGCTGTGCCGAGCATGGGACTATACCATACCGTCATATGTACCCTTGCTTGGCTGAATGAGTCCTAGTAACTTAAGAGCACTGACCCTCGATCCAATTTCTGAATGGGAGTTCCACCCTGCAGTAACACAGTATATTTCTACTGATAAGCCTGGCGAACCTTCACAAAAGCTCTGCTGCACCAGGGAGCCTTTTTAGAATTACAGACTTTTCCTGATACAGTACCTGGCTCTTCGGCCTATTGTGTGAGTTCTCAGAACATTGACTGTCACGAGAGAGCGATATTGACCACTGCAAGCTCAGTCACTGGTCTGCCTACAAAAATGGACGAGCAGGTACATGACATGGATGAATATGCCGGATTTCTTATCAAAGCGGTGGTTGGATATTAACGGTACTTAAGACAAGCTTACGACTGTCGCTTGCATGATCTGTGGAGAGGAGTTCACAGGTCATTTTCATGATGTGAATCGGACTGCCCAATGCGGACTCCAGAATACGGGAGTGGACTTATTGGCAGTGACATCTATGTTTACACGAGCTGTTATTAGTGCTCAAAGGAACGTCCGCAGCCAATCACGGATAAAGCCAAGGTCTTGGAATTGACAACAACAATGACAAAGAAGCTGTCGGAGTTCAGCTCTGACTTCTGAGCCAGCACTGAGCCCTTATCTTTACCGGACAGTCATCGCAATCTGAGGTGCCAACGTGAGCGCCGCTACTGTTTTGCTAGACGTGCATGACCGAGCTTGATATTGAGAACAGAGCGGGTATCTACTAGAAATCCTGTGAGCTTGTTGATACAAACGTAAAGCCAACTATTCATCCCAAATATATAGCCTCCCATATAGCAGTGTGTTTTCAAGACGCCTGGTGTGCAGCCCCTTGAATAAATATCGGTCTCCACGAAGGAGATATGGCCCTCAGACAGACATTGAGGGTTGTGATGGTAGCCGATGCTGTCTCCAGTATCTCTTTCGACTAGCCAAGAAAAAGTCAAATGGTCTGATTTGCTATTGACTTCTTCTACCGATGTTTCGAGAGCCGGAACTTCGTTATCGAGCGAGTCAGAGAGAGACAGGGACCGGGGGACTAGGGAACCGAAATGATGCTTCCGAAAGGAGAATCGCAGGTACTGGTAGCCATAATGAGGACTGTGTGCATTGTACGTATTGTACTTTCGAATAGTATATTGTCTCTGATAGATAACGCCAATCACGGCTATTAGTTATGTAGCAGTTAACATAAGGGGTGGCAGAAGACGAAAGAAATTGCTCACGGAAAAGGCACAGGGAGAAACACATCCGTAGTGACGAACATCATGCATTCGAGCGAACAAAGTTCTGAGTAGGTCCTTTTCCTGTCTCAATTCCAGAGGCCTAACTGTTGCTCAACCTTTATGCACTGAGGTGAAAAGGGCTTCCGCTGCCGTGCGCATAATGAAGGACCCGCCAGATTTAGTCGACAGTGCAGGATTGATGAGAGGCACCACTGAGCGTCGTCGGATTGAGCTCTTCGGAGTTTATCTGAGTTGGAACAACATTTTCCGACGCACAAAGCTGCCTGTGCGCATGGTTCTCTCAACCCAAGGTTTCGTAGGACTGAAGCAATCGACGGGAAGACAATCAGTATGGTTGAGACCGCGAAAAGCAGGGGCCTGAGTCTTACCTGGTTACATAAAGAGGGTCAAAGACAAAGAAACACCAAAGTTTCCCTTCTTCAGTGGCTGCAAGCAATTTGGGGCTTTGGCAGGGTGGTTGAGTAATCCAGACCAGGTCTGAAAGGGGCATTCTGAATGAGCCGGAACACTTTTGTCCGTCCCGACCCTGACCTTAACTACGCAAGAGATTGACCGCAAAGACGCAGGACGACTGCCTCGATTATGAAGGTATAACACAGGTTTTTGATTGCAACAAGTTCACACAACGGCGAATTACGTGTGGGAAGACATGAGCAATAGACACCGTCAACAAGATGGTGGCACATGGAGCGCATCACCCCAACTCATGCTACTTACACTCAGGCGCAAAGCAATCTTCGCAGAGTTGCTTCTTTCTTTCGGTGCGGCTTCCTTTTGCACACTGTCCACTGTCGCTGGCCTTGAATGTGAGGTGAAGCATGGGTCCAAACCACCTCTGCCTCAATCACGCCTGCATCAGATAGGGTTCGGAGTCAGGTGTGTCTACCCTAATCACTGACGCTCAGCTTCTCTACCATGCCAGCTGCTGACAATCATCTATACATAGCTAGCCTACATCCTACCTCGCGAAAGCGCTCTCCCGGTCGAGTCCTTCCTGTGAAATCGAGAAGCGATTGGTCCTCAGAAATAATCCCGCTCAAACTGGGCCCCTTTTACGATACCAAAAGAGGCTCGCTTGCCAATAACAAGTTGCCTTAAGCTTTCCCCAAGAAGCTTACTGGTGGCCTCATTGATGTGCAGGTGATCGACCAACGGAGAATAGCCTCTGAATGTCCTTGGTGAAAGCGCAATGATTGAGAAAAGAACACCATTCAACAAATCGGTTTCCGCCGTCTTCGCAGGATTTAAGATACAGCAGGCATGCAAATTGCCAGCCAGAAAGAACCAAAGGGGCGCACTTCCATCCGCTGAACCAAACTCGCAAAATTGCATTCCCACACAACCCTGCTGTAGTTACGAGTAACAGTGACAATGCGGTGGAATCATATCTACGTGATGAGCTCTTAAATACAAAGAAAAGATCGCCTTACATTAGTCATTTCAACACAGAGATGACATAGGAAAGTATATACCAACCCGACTTTCTTGATATGAAAGGCCTAATATTTTACTTCCTTGACCGAATTCATCTGCATCAGTAAGTAGATTATGCAGGGAACTTATCCTGCTGGGATTGAGACCTCTAAAGCGAAATCTTTATGGTCTCGCCTATTGCCTCATGGACGTACGAAAGTGCCCGGCATCTTATATGGGATATATATTACTGTCACCTAGGTACTGGCTCATCATAATATCTTTAGACCTCTAAGGGCAACTTGTTAAGTTATATATCGTTCATGTAACCTAGGCCGGAACATCAATGTTTGTTTCCGCTGTTTTGTTCATTTGGACAAAGATCCTGGTGGTTTAGCGCCTTCAATGTTTGATATCCATCTCTGGACCATCTCAGGGGCTTGCGTTCCAAAGACCGAAGGATGATTGAACATATAACCCAGTAAAATTTCCAACGATTGTAGAACTTGGACTTCTTCAAGATACTGAGCAAATGAAACAGGATCTCTCATGTAATCTCCATCCTGGTTTTGCGCAGAAAATTCCGACCATGAAACCTGGGTATCCGATGAAACACGCAACCGGGGCACGTTATCGTGATAGACTAGACGATTAACGCCCAGATCTTTGGAAGCACCATTAGGGAATACAGCGTATGAAATTTCCGCCGGACTTGCAAGCTCGTTCGAGGGCGGGAATGCACAAGGTTCGAGGAAAGGTCCTTGACTGCTCGGAAGCATGCCGGAATCGGTATATTTGCGGACGGGTACGGAACTGAAATCTTATGGTAGTTGAGTTAGCCTTAGGATCTGTGGCAGTTTCTGATGACTTGGCGGTTCAAACCTCTCGCTCCTGGGTTTAGTACAAGAGATGATGCCGGCATCTGCGTCGAGTCGGGCTGGCTCAAGCTCGCCAAATTTTCCTGTGGGGTTGTCGGCACTGTGCCGTGTCCACTGAGTCGAGGCTTGATCGTGCGGTATTGGAGAGGCGGGGGTGGGACAGTCGAAGAGGGCGCAAGTGGTGCTGGAGGAGGTTCGTCGAAGCCGTTGTTTTCAGAACCGGTCTCAAAACATCCGATACGGGACCCCAAAGGATACTGCGGCGGGCTGGTGTAGCTCATATGCTCAAAAGAGGACAGATCTGGAGTTCTCATGTTGATACGAGGGAGGCCCCTTCGAACTTCAAGGGAAATGGCAAAAGCGCTGCTTCAAGAAATCCTCAACCGTGCACGGTGTTGGTAGCGAGTAAGAACAACGATGATGGTTGCGCATTGCTGGGGAGGAAAATAGGATAGACCGCTGCTATCAGAAATATGAAAGCGCGGGTTGGCGATTCTTTCTCGCTCTTGTGGCATTATCTTAGTGAGGGTTAGCCTTATGCGAGGATTTCTATTCGGACATAGCGTAGAATCAAAGTCTGATCTTGTCCGAAAGAGGTGGTCCGAGGCAGCCACAACTGGCCTCAGTGCCTTGAGCTGAACCTTGGCCTAGTTGTCGGTTGCATGAGCAGGTCTCTTTCATTACCAGGGGCCCACGCAGAAATTTCACAGCCGTTCCGCATCTAGTTCCATGCCACGTTTGTGGATGATAGACACCTTCATGCAGGGGACCCACGGTGCGTTATTACCGAATTCTAAGCACATAAATTACGAAGCCATACCCAGGCATCCTTACCAGGGGCAATTTGTCCAAGGCATTGAGTAGATACATTACCCCTCACATTCTGTAGCCGGGAGCTACCGATGTCACGCTGGACCAAAGGAGCTTGCGATGGCTCTGGCGCTAGACAAACGGATCCTGTCTTTCTACCTAAAAGATTGAATATGACCGGGCCCCTTACGCTGCTGGCCCGCCAGTGGTGCCGCTAAATGGCGACTTTGATGGCTTTGTAAAGAAGTGCTGGTGAAATCGAATGACGGAGGGTATTTCGGATGCTTAGGACGAGTCGGGTGAGGTATGTATTCAGAACCAGCACCCTCTGAGGGGATGGTAGATGCTAATGGGAGGCTGTTAGTCTCCATATCTGAGCCGCCAGCCCTGAAAGGTTCCAGCACAGGGAAACAACGGGTAATTGGCCTGGATTGATAGCCATTAGCGGCAGGTCAAGAATTAACCAATCCTCAACCAAGCAATGGCTGTATGGTTGAGATACGACTGCAGTTTCGACGCACAGGCGTAGCTCCCTCGACTCCTTAATACCACGGAACCGGTAGTTGGGGATGCCTGTAGGTCCGGCTTTTTTTGGCATGTAATACCCATTTTCCAGGCCAGGGTTGGCCTTTACCCTCTTCCAGACACCGGTGGAAATTAGTAGATTTGGGGGTTTATCTCCTCTTATCTTTAGCATATTGATTTTCGCAATAACGAGTTGCCTGTCAGGCCTTAGGCCTCTCACTTCCTAGGCTCATGGTGTAATAAGAGTCAATTCACTATAAGGCATGAAAATATGGCCCTGAATTTGCAATCTTATTTGCGCAGTAGTCATGAAGACGGGGCCAAATAGCTCACTTGGAAAAGCGAGAATAACCAGGATACTGTAGAGCAGTGTCATACATTCCTGTAACAACTGGTCTTGATTCATAGGTACTACGGATAATTTGCTTATTTACCGGTCATACTTCTCTGATCTCTGATGGACACTCCTGGTATGTACCTGGTTTTGTTACATGATCTTTCCAGAGACCATGTCACAAATGAAGCTGGGGCAGCCAACCCCAACCAATGAACACGCCTCTTGCCATGTTCAGCATCGGTTCTAGCAGATTTCGCATTGTAATACCAACAATACCGCTGTTACAGTGATTCACTCCAATTGGTTGCCTGGATCGGACGTACCTGGCACGGGATGACAGGGCGTACGTTCCTTTCTGCCCAATGAAAAATCGAGGAATCTGTGCTATTTTAACGAGATGGACCACGGCAACGAGCTCTTGACAGGGATGAAAAAAGAAAACAATGACATTTGATCAGCGAGTCATCTCCCAGGATCCTGTATGCTAGCCCATGCACGAGCCGCGCTTTGATGATAGAACCGGGATGCTATCCCTCATGCCGTCTAAATAACTTACGGGATGTGAAGTTCTTGTCACGAATGTTTGATTCATGTTCAGCAAAATGGGACACGGGTATGAGTGATCGCACCGGTCAACAAACTTAGGGCTTACCATAAAGCTCTGTCAGGGGAGTTGAGTTGCTCTTGTTGGTATTGTTTTTCATCATTAAATTATAATTTTTCTGTGATATAAAAACTTGGGCGTCATCTTGACAGCCGCCGGTACAAATAGGGGTCTGTTTGATTTTCTTTTTATATTAGGGTCTTGTTTAATTTGATATGGTTTATATCTGCACGCAAGTTTTAGTGGAAGCCGTTTGCGTTCAGAGGCCGGCGCAGAACAGGAACAATGTCCCATCGTCGGAAAGCTCCCTACACTTGTATACGAAAAGCCAAGTCGATTTCCAATCAAATCATACTGCTGGATAAAGCTACCTCTGCAGCTGATCCTCAAGGAAAAAGGTTCTCCACAAATCCCTACTCAAGCGATGTCTACTCTTTTGGCATGCAGCTACCACATATCACAGTACATCCTAAAGATGAAAGTGTCCGCGAGTTCCGACGCACGAGACGACTGCAGAAGCTTTGCCTTGAGTAAAGGAAAGCATGACGATTACTTTGAACACGGGTTTCAACCCAGAACCAAAGAAGAAACTTCTTAGTGCCGGATGACCAGATACCTTTGGTGCCGTAATACTCGGTTATATGCCAGTGATAGCAGGTATTTTCATGAACATATCCAATGAGAGGCTCTGGTCTAGATAAGTACATTGAAATCAGAATTGCTACCTTTCCGCATTTATCAAATCATGTTCCCTTTCTGTGGGGATGACTATTTTCATAGGTTTCCCTGATTGATGCTGCGACTCTTACTTTAAGCAGTCGGCACTTAGTTTCAAACTGAAGCCAGCAGTGAGAGAAGTCGACTCTAATGGCACTGCTTCCTGCTGTGCGCGGGTCACCCAGGTCAGCGACTTTCTCTCAATGACTACTCTGATCAATTGAAAAACCTTTATGCTCCTCAGGTACGTGCCTCAGGGACGAAGAAACAATCACCTCCTCTATCACATGACCCTCGTCCTTTGTCCTAGTCACAGAACCCACGTACGAACTACCGCGACGTCAACCGATACCTCTTGACTGGGCACTAGACAAGCGTGCTCTGGCGAAAGACATACGAGATTTCCAGCGTTTGTTCAACGACCTTTTCCTAGAATTGATACCTCCCGAGGTCGCCTCATCACCATCCCCAGTCTCTTCGCGAGAACGTCGAGTACAACAGCTCGAAATGGACCCCGAAGCTTCCGTCATTTCTTCCAGCAAGGGGGCGTCCGTTATTCATAGCTGGATGCAAAACATCCCACGGGATACACCACTTTCGAATTCCAATCGGATCTACTCTAGGACACAATACAAGAGGGATGCGGTCTTCACCTTTAGTTTTCTGAATAACAGCACTCTTTCCACAAAAGATTTGGCTCATAACACCATCCAGGGATTTATCCGGGAGCTCTATTCTGAATCTTTGCCGTGAGTATGGGGCCACTGAACGATGTATCTAATTGTGCCAATAACTGTATGGGCCAGCAAACGTCTCTTGTCTATTATTGGAGTTGGCCTCATATTAAAAGGTTGCGTTTTTTTGTACCCGCGCTATACCATATTCGGCCGTCACCTGATTTTCAGATGTGCCCCGTATTTTAAATGGTAATCTGGCGTTTTATTTTCTTAGTAATCCCCATAACTAACTAAGTTACATGGTTCTCAACGGTCCGTTTCAGTCGTCTCACCCTGGGTCGTCTCGTCCGTTCTTCTCCTCTTTGGCAGTTTGGCTTGGGCGCCCGTCGTGATCTTCTTGGCCCTTCATCCTCTGAAGCATCCCCCATGACCCACCTGGCTGCAGATGCCTGAGATGCTGCCCGTGATGCCGCCCGCAATGCCTCGGATTGTCGGTTATCAGCTATCATCTGCTGTTCAACGATCTCAAATCGAGATCTTAAGCGCCGGGTTGAGCGCTGGGAGATAGCCTGCCGCGCGGATGAGGCTGGAGGGCGGCCTCGGGTAACAGCCTTAATGGGGTTCAGCACCTGAGATGCTGGAATAACCTGAGTCGATGGCTGAGTCGATGGCTCAGTCGACGGCTGAATCAATGGCTCAGTGGATGGCTGAATCGACGGCTCAGTCAATGGCTCGGTCGCGGCTGAATCAATGGCTGAGTTGGTGTTGCACCTAGAAGGTGCCAATAGGAGTGGAAATCAGCCACTGAGAGGCCTAGACCCCTCTGGGCGCGCAAGATAGTGTGCATACAGGGGACTGTCCGCGAAGGTGACAACTCCATTCTTCACTGCAATGTCCAAGGAATTGCATCTCAACACCTACATGGTGGAACAGATCAAGGACCTATGCATCTTGGGCCTGTATGACGCCAAACTGCTTTACGTGTTCCAGGAGCAGTTCGAAGGATGGACTGAACAGATGTTCAAACGTGTCCATCACGCATATCTTCGCGCGATGAAGAAGATTCTTCGGGAGGGTGGCATCAACACCGGACCTATCACTAGGCCGATACCCCCCAATTCGTTGCCCTTCTTCAGCACGATGATCCAGAGGTAATGCCGGGATACAGCGAAAACTACTTGCTGAAAACCGACATCAACCCTCGGTCTGAGGCATACCCAGTAAGCCTCAAACTCAAAAGAGGAGGTAGAGTGACCACCGTGGAGAAGGAAGAGCCCCAGGGCCATGGAATCAAAGATGGAACCCTTCGACGAGACCATGACGAAATACCTGTGAAAGCTGAGATTCCTCGGGCAACGTCGATACCCCTCCGACCGCGTGAGACCACGTCTCCAACCGAACTCCAGCAGCCGTATGACATCTTGGATGACAAAGTGAGACTCATGTTGAACACCTACTTCCATCTGGGGATTTCCCCAGGTCTGGGGCCGCCAGATCCACCACGCCTCCTGGTTCTGCCGTGAGGGCAAAATAAAGTTGTGCAGAAAGTGCCAAAAACCCGGGCACATCCAATCGCACTGCTCGAGTGACAGTAGATGCTGCCACTGCGCGGATGGACACCCGACCTGGGAGTGTCCGTCGGCAAAGGGAAGCACGAGACCAACCAAGTGCGCCAATTGTGGCGGAGGGCACCGCCCTACAAGCCGGGAGTGCCCGGTGAAGGTTAGAGCAATGGAGGAGGCCAAGCAAGCGCTCGCCAACTGCCCAGCCTACCACCGAGTGCCTATGCACCTCCAAACGAACGCTGGAAGGAGAACAGCGTGACCAAGAAATGAAACCACACCTGAAACCAGGCCTGAAAGCAGACCTGAAAGCAGACCTGAAAGCAGACCTGAAACCATGGAACCAGATGGACTCAATGCGTCCATACACGCCCCAGAGGGACAAAGGGTGGAACAGCCGCCACAGGTCATCCGGGACCCTACCACAACCTTCACCACCCAGTCCAAGAAAGGCCCCGGACGCCCTAAGGGGGCCAAGAACAAGCCAAAGGCGGGCAAGTTGGCACTGGTGCCGCTGGCGAGCCAGAGGACCACAAGGCTGCAATGCCAAGTCATCAGGGCCAGCATCAGAACAGTATCATAACGGAGGTGTTGTAGAAGATTCTCCACGTAGACTTGTAAGTCATTTCGGAGAGGGGTGTTCTCTTTCGGACTTGGTTGCTGGGATCTTCTGCTTCCCAAAGTCCTGCAAGCGTCCAGCAGCATCCTAGCATCCTGGCTGAGGGTCTCAGTGGGTGTCCATTGTAAGAGTGACGGAGATTGGATTCTCAAGGAGATCATTGCGTTCAAAGCAACTTTTGCTGGTTCATGCAATAATTGGACGTGAATCGGGGTAGACTTGGCAGGTGAGCATACTATCGTCACCAGCGAGAGGTACAGGTGCTCACCATGGCTATCTCTTTGGATCAATACGTTGACGGGCACCTTGGACAATAAGAAAATATCCTCTATAACCTCCTGCTCATGTTCAAACCTCCCCTCTCATATGTGCAGTCTGCACCTAATTGGCAAATTAGCCTCATGGTTTGCTTTTTTTCTATTCCGCTTCGGTTACTTATACCAAATTACCTGCAGGCATTTTGGGCATCTGAAATAGAGAGAGCAATAAACGAGACACCGCTTCCTTGAGCCACTCCCTCTCATATGCATCAGTCGTATTTAACGGTACGTCCAACACGAACAGAACTGCGGGGGCCGTTAGTCTTTGTCTGATCTCCATCATCGCCTGGCCCAGGGTCCGTCCCCTTTCGACTCATTGAATTAATTGAGCATGCGAAGATATCATAGCCATTTGCTCAAACGGTTTACGATAGCCCAGAGAAAGTTTCATTGCCAGCCTAGTGCCTGGTCCACTGTCAAGGTCAGCAGCAACATTGGTTGAAGAGCAGAGTCAGCAGACACAATTGAGCCTTCCAGCGCCGGCTCATCTCGTCTGACGCGGCTGAAGCATGAATTTGAAGGGATGTCACCTATACCATGTGTGATAGGTGGGCCGAGGTTGCATGAGGCTGCATGCTCCTTCCACACTCCCAGTACGAACAAATCAGAGCGGCTTACTCCCTTCTTAGCTTGCGATACTTCTGCGGACCTGCATAAATCCAAGAAGCAGCAATCTTCTGCGGCGTTGTTCCTTCAAGCAAGGCTTTTCCCAATGGGTGTTACCGAACCCTTCCTTTTCAGGCCGAATCTCCTAGAGTCCGGAACAAGGATCCTTGTTAGCGGGAAGGACCAGCATATCTGACTAGAGTCTGATTGAGGGGTGCCATTTTCCCTAGTCATTCAACAATATGATTGACTTATATAAAGGGGGTGTATCTCTCGTCCGGTCATGACAGGACTCAGGACCCATCTTGGGTATCTTTTACCTATTTCCAGGCAAATCACCTGGCTTATCCGATACTCCACACCCGTACCATAAATCTCGGTCGTCTAGACGCTGCACCATGGGCGACCCTAACTCAGAGGGGATCTCCTGCGAGATACTATACACAGGCCATCTGAGAGCAGACATAACAGCGTACTCTATCATGCTTGAGATCTTGATTTTCGAGGGTTCGCAGCTGTGTATTCCTGCAGCCCAAGGTAATATTGATTTTCCATCCAAAGGAGAAGGGAGAATGGTTATGGTGACTATCGACGGCGACAATTTGAGGTGTCCAGGCGAAGAAGGGCTGCCTGGGGTATTCCACACTCCTTGTGTGTTGCAGGCAATCATGCAGAACCCGCGGATTGGCGGTGTCTGGATTATCCGGTGAGTGTTCCCATCATTCGAGCAACGTTTCCATAATAACAGAAAATAGTTGCAAGGGAGTGCCACAATATCTGTTAGTGTCTCACCAATAGCCGGCAAGACACATCTGACATATTAGAAGATTTAGTTTGTGCGCAGCTCCCAATGAAGAAACTGGAGAATTCCAGTCATCGGAAACTGACTGGGAGACGGTCTCAGACATCGCTCGTGGGCACATACTTGGGAAAGAGTCCAACAACTGCAACAACCACGTGGTTGACACATACCTCAAACAACTGAAATACCTGGATTCGAGATTAAGAGCCCGATATCAGAAGCAGGGAAGCTCGCAGAGTGAACATGGTCAAGATACACCTGATAGTGCGGCAACTACAAGTCTTTCGACACGGAAACCTACTTCAGGCCACGAGCATAAGGCATGAAAGGAGGAAGGAGGATGGAGTGGATGTAGCGGATGGAGTGATATATGTACATGATAGGTTCTTGACTTGATGGGTATGCTCAAGTGTCACGCAACCTTTTGCTCTTCAACTGGTGGCTGCAACTCCACATCAGCCTTCCGGGTGCCATAATTACAACGCCGACTGCTACACATACCGAGGAACAGCATGCATGTTTGGAGAATCCTTTGTAGCGCGCTCAATGACAATCCATCCTCTAGTTCTTTTTCCGTTCGTGCGTTCTTGCCCGATACCGGAAATTCCAAAGTGATCCAGGACACGGGTTTTGGGCTTTTGGCATGAGTAATCAATGCGCTCACGTGTGTATAACGCCGGAAACACTCAACACATACAAAATCTACCTGAGGTTCTGATGGCAATGGAAAGGCTCTACGAGCTGAGGGGAAATGATGAGTTCAGGGAAGCCAACGAAAACAAATGACAATGCAGCCGATCAGTACATATATTCAGAATAATACATGGATTTGTGGGATGTATGAGGATCTAAACCCGTGATAATAGGTGCCCCGACAATTTTAGATCGCATCAGGCGGGGGCTATGATGGCCGCTGGGTATCTATACGCTGACTCCAGTTCACCCAGCCTTTGCTCGATTCTACCCTTCCATTTGTCTCAGAGGCCCTCAGCGCACATGCTAATATCCGTCAAGGTTGAGGTTCCTCGAGTGCCAGAAAGGGGTATGTCTAAAGTCGCCATTGAACGTTGTGTTGACTGTTGTCCAGATGACTGCATCGGAAATGTGAGGACTTACAATTGTTCATTTAGCAATTGCCCGCTCGAGTTCTCCGACAACGGAAATCAGCTCGGATGCCCCCGAGAAAAGTGATGGGCAACACAGCAAACCGGCTAACTCGATTATGGTGAGGCCGACGAGATCAGGCATAGTCTAAATGCACGATGGGATCGTCTTTGCCGCTCAGTCGAGGAATGCACTGCTGCTGGGGCCGGCATCGATATGGAAATTGCCCACCTTGCTCAGGTATCGTGACATCTTAGTCCACTAAACCGATTTTCTTTCTGATGTTGGCTTTCAAGGCACTTCGCCGACTACGGAACTACTATTCATTGACGGCCATTATTCAGGCAATAAGAGCAAGCGGAAGACCAAGACAAACGCTACATGACTTTGGTTACCTTGTGAACTGAGAGCAAAACTTTCGGGCATATCACTGCTGCACAACCGATGGTGGACGTCGCGGAGGACGCTCATGAGATCCTCAATCAGCGGAGTACGCCGGGGACTTGGGGGAAACATCGGCATTCAGCCAGCATGTATCTAAAGTGACTCATCTATGGAATAGGTATTCATAATGATCAATCCGTTCAACCAAGTAGAAACACCAAAGTCAGAGTTATAATTACGAGGTCTCCCGACGCCCAATGGTCTGGGATTTAACTGCGACGCTCAGCTTCGCCTATCGCGTAAAAGGCAGGCGGAAAGTCGAACCGCTTACTTCCATAGGCAGAAAGCGGTAGGGTAAGAATAGGGCCGGAAAGGACAAACTATCCGCAATAGGCACTGCAACCACGAACAACCAATCAGAGGGAAACAATTCTGCCCGAATGATCTCCGGGGTCATTTTGGCCGTAAGTAAGGCGACGCTTCGCGTCGCAACTAAGCATACAACACAAATCTAGCGAGGACAGACAATAATTACTAAGCATGAATGATGAATCTAGCGAGGGCATCATACCCAGTTCGCATATCATTTGCTACTTAATTTGGAGCACCAACCAATCATGACAAGAGATCGCTAATCAGACCCAGTGGCTAGAAAAGCTAGCAGTGAAAGGCAAAGCAAAGAGAATACTGATTTGGCCCCAAAGGTTGCTCTTGCTATTGTATCTCGGATAAATATACCTCCCTTCCAACCCTATTCTAGGGTCGTGCCTACCCTACAAGCCATAGGTAGACAGTGCAGATTAGACACCAAGTGAAAATATTATCTTGATGCAAGATGGCAGGAACATGGCAAAAATGGAGCGGGAAAATTAAGCCTCGTGCTTATTCTGTTCTGCTTCTTTTCTTTCATTGATCTGTTCACGTATATCTGCGGTGAAACCCAAACAAAGCAACGACAGATTGGCTCTTCGCTTGGCCGTAGCGAGCCCTTGTCAATTGCTGCCAATCAAACCAGCGCCTTTCAGAATACCACAGAGAATTCCACAGGAAGTACACTGTCTAGTCAACTCGGATGGAATGCATAAAAATTACCGATTTTAGCGGCTCGTATTCTAATTTCCATAATGTATGTGCGGTACGATGGTGTCTAGCAAATCCTATGAAACAATCGGTAAGGATACTGGTAATTTTGATTATAACCTGTGGCGTAGGGCTAATGCAAGACCCGCTTTCCATCCGAGTTGACGAGAGAGTGTAGTAACGTATCCTTTCATGAGGCGGCTAGCATTGACCAATCAGATATCTTAGAGTATATCCACCTTGTTCTGTAGTACCTGTCTCAACTCATTGGCCCCCTCAACTCATTGGCCCCCTCAACTCATTGGCCCCCTCAACTCATTGGCCCCCTCAACTCATTGGCCCCCTCAAGTCATTGGCCCCCTAACTCATTGGCCCCCTCAAGTCATTGGCCCCCTCAACTCATTGGCCCCCTCAAGTCATTGGCCCCCTCAACTCATTGGCCCTCTCAACTCATTGGTCCCCTCAAGTCATTGGTCCCCTCAAGTCATTGGCCCCCTCAAGTCATTGGCCCCCTCAACTCATTGGTCCCCTCAACTCGTTGGCCTCCTCGACTCGATGGCCCCCTTTCAACTCGTTGGTCCCCTCAACTCGTTGGTCCCCTCAACTCGTGGAACCTCCTTCAACTCGTGGAACCCCTTTCAACTCGTTGACCTCCTTCAACTCGCTGTTCCATTCTAGGCTTCTAATACCAGGTCTACTGCTTCGGGTCACTGATATGGGCTTCAATATCATAGACTTGTGGGCGTCGGGGTATAATGGGCTGTCATATGACGACCTGGTCAAGCTCGAAAATCAACTGAGATTCGCTTTGGGTTCCGTGCAGGGAGCACGCTCCAAGCTTGATGCTCGAAACCTCGCGGCTCAGCCAGGTGGCAATACCATCGGGAACGAAAGAGCCATTCAACAATCACTGCAAGATACCTCCCGCGCAATAATAAAACGAGGATCACTAGCTAGTTGGCTGGAATCGCTGACATATAACCAGAGAGCACATCTACAGACCCCGTATGTGAGAGGATTCTTCAAAAATGTGCAGAGTGGTCAGCATAACTTGGAACCAATGACAGGCGGCCATTACAAAAGCAATACCGTTAACACCATGTTATGGCTGGTATTCGAAATCGTCAGCCTTCCACATGCATGCCTCGTACTATGCAGCTTCTCCAAATCCCGCCTTCTTCAATATTCCACTGGAGAACTCATCTCAATTGTGGAGTACGTAGCCAAAAACAGAGCCTCTCTATACTGTGAGGCTCTCGAAGTTGGACCTGATTTGCTGTCCAGTAAGAGTTTACCATCCCTTATGACGGTGCTGTGGGCTAATGTGTGATCATTCGATCAGATTACCAGGCTTCCACACAGAAGCGAAAAAGAGCTACCACATGTGTAGAATCGCGGCGAAGCCTTGACTTTGCACAGAGTCCGTCGCTATGTTCGCAGTCCCTTCAACACTTACATTCTAGTTCGCATCCTGACATGTTCACGATTGCTCCAACATCGGACATAAAGTGTCGCTTGAATGTCAACCAGCTAGGCGAAATTGATAGGGATTTCTTAGGCATGATTTCGGCTTTCGGTGGCTGCTTTCCAAGTGATTTGTTTGCTCAAGCCTATAACAGTGTGAATTGGGGACCACATGGCCAGGCGGTTTGGCCCGGACCCAGTGTACCTGAAGGGCATGAGAAAACGCTCGATCGTCTAAAAAAGGGCGGTTATATCATACCTATAGGCACCACGATAATGATCCATCCGGAGGTTCCAAGATTACTATCTTGCTTCGGCCAAATCTTCTCACGGAGATGGAAGCGCCTCGCGACGAACGTCGTCCTCCAGGCTTATCCCAAGGACCCCCAACTTCGACCCATTGAGTACGCTGACCACATAAAAGGTATTGAACTTCACTAACTTGACTTTAGTTATACGGTGGCAGGCGCGTTGCTTATACCGATTCTCAGACGAGCTCTATCAAACCTGCTTGAGTGTAGCCCAGATGGACTGGAAAGACAGACTCTAGAGCTTGCTATCGACGCATGCCTCTCCGCATCAAATTTTGGTGATAAGTGCTGGAAAACAGTCGCGGTTGCATATGCCGAACACATGGCTGATCAGCATGGTTGTGCCGTCATCAAAGGAAGGGTTCAATTGCGAAAGGCCATGCTGGAAAGGCTATATCCGTCTGGAGCTGGCCCAAATTTGCAAGAAATCAAGATAACAAGGGCAAACAACCGTTCGAACGCGGACTTTGGGAAATTGATTCTGTTGCAAGCGCGGCTCCAAATCGAAAGAAGGGTGTCTCCGAAAGAAATCAATACAACCCTTGACCGATTTCGCGCGTTCGATCCTATCTCGGATATAGAGCGGTCGGTTCAACTTGATATAGATTTTCTGAGAGCCAAGCTCCTCAGGTATGACGGGAGATTCGAACCTGCGAGTGCAGCTCTTGTGGGTTGTGTGGAGGCCGTGACATATCGAGCGAGTAACTTGATCACCATTCACTACTACGAGACCCTTTGCGAAGCAGGAGAGCCATCTGCTGCAATACGAGGCCTGGAACAAGAGTATGGAGAGCTCCTGAAGAAGGAAAATGGCCAAGCAGGGAATGTTAGACGGCTGAGGCTGGCATTGGCAGGTGCATATTTGATGAAGGTTCTTTTAGATGGGTCCATCGACAACGACTTGCTGGAGAAATCCGAAAGACTTTTCAAAGGTGTTCAGTGGATGGCGGAACCAAGCATGGTTACAAAGCAGAATATTTACGTCACGAAGGCTAGCCTCGGCATGGTTCACCTTATCAGGTCTGAGTGGGAGGAGTCGTTGCAGTATTGGGATGAAGCCCTTGACGCGGCAAACAGCTGCTTCCCAAATATAGGTCACGCGGAGATGGTCACTCAGTACGCCCAATGCGAGATCTTGCATAGGATTGGTCGATATTCAGAAGCCCTGGCCAAAGGGGTTGCAGCACAAGAGATCTTCCAAAAATGCGGCCGGGAATATTATTTCCTGGGCCAAGGAACTGCCTGGCTCGACAAACTTGACGAGCTTGCGAAAAGCAGTGGAAGACCTGCTATTGCAGGGAGAGACTGAAATGGACTATGACGCTTTTACCTACAGTGAATGTTGCAAGATCTAGAGAGTGGCTTCAAACATAGCGCTATTATAAGAATGATCAAGTTCATTCATTTTCAGTTGACTCCTAGATAACAGGAGGTAAGCAGATTCTAGATAGACTTGTTCTTGACTATCTCAAGGGCAGCTTCTACCAAGTATAGGCTTCCTGTCACCAAGATGGGTCCTCCCATAGCAGTCTTCTTGGCGCGTTCAATCGCATCTGTGACACTAGTTGCGTTATGAATGGTAACGGGGGCCCAATTTTCCCTCCAGAACCGGGCAAAACTTTCCAGTAATTCACTGGGGGTGGCGAAATGTTCGTCGTATTCAATCCGCTCGACCAGAATGACATGCTCGATATGTGACCCTAGAGACCTCACTAACGTTTCTAGTATGTTTTCCCAGGAGCGCGTTCGCTTCTTTGAGAAATGAGCGAACATAAGAACTGGGACAGAGCTGGTGGTATTCGTTTGTTAGATTGCTCGCTAGCGGTGGCAAAGGGAACTTACCTAGGGCCTGCAACCCGTTCATACCACTTTGCGACTACTTGCATACTTGTCTCGTTGTGTGCTCCATCCATGTACCAAGTGCAGCCACCGTAATGTTGAATATCGAAACGTGCGGGCCACTGGCACTCTTCAACACCAGCCAGAACGTCTCCCCCGTCTAGGGATTGGTCGGAAAACTCATGAGCAATTTTCGCAGCCAGTGCGCAGTTTTCTCGCTGTTCAAGTGGTATCTTCTCAATCTGATCGTTTTCGAGAAACTCAAGCAGAGCTTCCTTAATATTTATGAACTGAAGTGGCGCCCCGATTTCTGCAGCCCTGCGTTCAATCTCACCTTCAGCCTCCTGATCCTGCGGAACCGAAAGCGCGAGAACTTGGTCTCTAAATATTCCACTTTTATGCCATGCAATATGCTGTAGATTTTTCCCCAGATTTTCGACATGGTCCATACCGATTTTTGTGATGGCAGTGATGGCAGGACGCTCAACGAAATTTGTCGCGTCGAACTGACCACCGTGATGGGCCTCGCAGATAACAACGTTGACCCCTTCTTCAATGAACGTGTGGAACGCTACGATGGCCAACATCTGGAGAAATCCAGGGCGCTTGGTACCGGTTGGCAGCGTGGTGGAATTGAGAGAAAGACCCTTGTACACCTCAAAGAACCGCTTTGCGAAGAGATCCTCCGGTAGTGGATTCGAATCGATCCGGATTCTATTCCGTGGCCACAGACTTGGCGACGTGTACAGACCGATCTTCCGCCTAATTCCATTCCTGACTGCATGCCTTCGCAAGAAGCAGTCCACATAGGCACATGTGCTGCCTTTGCCTTTTGTCCCGGCGACATGAATAACGTTCAAGCGATTGATGTGCTCGGGCTAGTGTCTGTTAGTGATTTCATCATAAAGGAAAAAAGCAGATATGGCGAATACCTCATGCCCAAGAGTTAGTAGCCAGCTACTCATTCCAAGGAGAGGCTCGTTTCCTTTCAAAGTAGAAGCATTTGGAGCCCTTGGGGCGCTCGGCGACAATGACGGCGTCGCCGGGGAATCGGTAGGGAATGGCCGCCGGCACTGTTGAAGTAGTGAGATAGCTTCCTAGGCCCGTTAGTTTCGCCATAACACCATGATAAATAAGCTTACTTGGTATGTCATGTTCGACGTTTGGGTCTGCCTCTGTTGGTAGCGTGACCCCACGGCAGACCTCGGATTACCCTCAGTTAGCTCAGCCGGCCCCCTGCAAAAGGCGGTGGACTTGACCATCCACCGCCTGCCTCCTCAGGACATGATTACTCAAAGAAGCTACCGATTAGGTTTAGCGCGCCGAAAATCCGGCAGAGTCTTGGATCATGCGATATATATAGTCTGAGGTGACTAGGTAACTGTTGAAGAGCGAGAAACGCGAACCTGTCTGCGAACCAGGTACGCCACTGGGAGTAGTGGGACTACAGGAGAGGAGAAGACAGGGGTGGTCTAGAAGAGGAGAAGTGTGTCTGATTGTCCTATCCATGCGATGAAGCCTTTAATATCACAAATGCTGAGTAATGTACACCGCTCATTTCACCAAGATGGCGCAGTTCTCCCACTAAATACACTGTGTAACGTGGATCCTGGCGGTTCCGCCACCCCATCAAAACTTCAGCTTTCCTACATTTTTTTAAACGCGAATTAAACAATCAGAACACCATAAATTTCACTGAACTTAGGTTCGGAATATTTCTTAAAAGAATGCCCTTTCTTATGACACGCAGAACATGTGATTTGCCGACGCACAGGGGGTAAAATAGGGAGTGTAGGTTCAACATGGGGTTCTAGAGCAGATCTAGAAGCAGATATATACCTCACACTGGCACCTTCCTCACCACCAACATTGGTAGTGAGATCCGAAAACTCTGTTAAACTGCCTTTGTTGGGCATTTGCTTCTCTTATTCCTTCTTATTTTTGGTCTGCTTTCTATTCTCCTCCCGTAAATTCTTGATCTTATCCCGCATCAAGATACGCTCATGAACCAGCTTAACCGACATATTCATCCATTCGCGATTGCCAACTTGCAAACAACCCTCCGACCGGTATAGAATGGCTGTATAATGTCCTTCATCGTTGAAACAAGTCCTATTGCGAACCCTGAATCGTCGAAGTTGTAGATATCATCCGAAGTGATACCATGATGAGCAATCGTTTTCAACAAGCTTGAACCACTCAAGAACGCTACTTGGATATTCCAGCAAGTCGCGTCTGTAGTCATATCCACGGGAGAATCGACTAGAAAGCTCGGAATGTCGTTTGATGTACTGTGTCGACCAATTCTTACGGATGGTCTGGGGGGTATGACCTCTACAAGTTTGGAGTAGTATATTGGCTATATCTCTCGACATGGCGACGGTAAGAGCAGCACCTCTATTATCCGTAGAAATTAACCAATCCTGGATTGATCCTATTCGTTATGGGTCAATTTATGGCCTGTAGCCCTCATGACAGACCAACTAGTAATCACTTTCATGCGGTCTTGCAGCGTAGACCGCGGGAACTTAAAAGAGCGAGCAGCTGCAGCAGCCGAAGTAATCCGGCCATTTTTAAATAGCCTCAATTGTTAGAAGGTCTCTACATACATGACCAACTAATTTCTGAGCTTTTTTACCGCGGACTGGTGGCATGGTAGACGTTTGAAAATCGGGTGTTGTGGAGGACTAGGAAAAATGAGGTGCCTGGCGGAACCGCCAGGATCCACGCTACATGATGTTAATTACTTTACCTCAGCATGCTCAGACCAAACATGATTGGCTGGTCATATGGCATCACATGACACACCTAACCCTGTTTGTTAATTCCGCGTTCCATCAAAATCCATGTCGACCTGGACACGGGTGCTTGCTGCGACTGTGTCAGTATCGAATTTGTCAGACGACATCATTTCGACTCCGCGAAAAATCACCACCGATCCTCTAGGCAGTCGGCCAATTTAATGTGCCAACCTACGACGTTTGGTCCATACCCATCACTATGACCGATTACCGAGGAAGGGAGGTCCGAGGAATTATGAAGACTTTCGTTCGACCCTGCGTCGAAATCGACCGCGACCCGCGAGAAAGCGGAAGTCCTATCCTACTCTCGATGACGACCTTCAGCGACCTTTTCATCTATTTGGCACCGCCAGTCAACAGTTTCTGGTTCGGTCTGACGACAAGCCAATTGGAGGTTGTCTCACCCCACGAGTTCGCCAAACGAGTCGGAATCGCGCGTCGGTGTACGCGATTGTGCAGGCAATATCCATTCCAGGAGATGGCGGGGCTGAACAAAGAGAAGCTGAACCCCCAGATCCCAATCTCCCACCTGAACTCAAGGACATGGCTGACGTTTTCCAAAGCGGATGAGCAAAGAGTCTACTCCCTCATGAACCATCAGACCATGCAATCGACACAGAACCAGGAAAGGAATCACCATTTGGTCCAAGTTATCATCTTTCCGTGCACGAATTGAAGGTCTTGAAGGAATATCTGGAAGAAAATCTCCAATCCGGTCTGGTTCGACCATCGAAGAGCTCTGCGGGGGCTAGACTTCCGTGTTAACTTTCTATGATTCAACGATAAGATTCCCCAGTTTCAAATTCAAAACAATTCTCATCCAACCATTTCGCTTTGTTTCTAGGACTTCAAAGATGCGTGCTGTTCCTCGGTATGTGTAGCAGTGGAGGTTGCAAATATGGCACCCATAATGCTGATGTAAAGTTGCAGCCGCCAGTTGAAGAGCAAAAGTTTGCGTGACACTTTAGCATATCCATCAATTCGAAACTATCCTGTACATATATCACTCCATGCACTACATCCACTCCATCCACCTTCCGCCTTTCATTCCTTCTGCTCGTGGCCTGAAGTAGGTTTCCGTGTCGAAATACTTGTAGTTGCCGCACTATCAGGTGTATCTTCAGCATTTTTCGTGAGCTTCGCTGCTTTTAAACTATTGTCTCCAATCCACCCCAGGTATTTCAGTCGGTTTTGGTATTTATCAACCACGTGGTTGTTGCAGTTGTTGTTGGACTCTTTCCCAAGTATGTCCAGTTGCCGACGAGCGATGTCTGAGACCGTATCCCAGTCAGTTTTCGATGACTGGAATTCTTCAGTTTCTTTATTAGGAGCTGCGCACAAACTAAATCTTCTAATATGTTAGATGTGTCTTGCCGGTTACTGGTGAGACACTAACAGATATTGTGGCACTCCCTTGCAACTATTTTCTGTTATTATGGAAATAATGTTCGAATGATGGGCACACTCACTGGATAATCCAGATACCGCCAATCTGCGGGTTCTGCATGATTGCCTGCAACACACAAGAAGTGTGGAATACCCCAGGTAGCTCTTCTTTGTTGTCGCCTGAACATTTCAATTTGTTGCCGTGGATAGTTACCATAACCAGTTTCCCTTCTTCGTCGCGTGGAAAATCAAGATCACCTTGGGCTGTAGGAATACGCAGCTGGTAACCCAGAAAACCAAGATCTCGAGCATAATAGGGCACGCTCCTATGTTTGCTTTTGATACATTATGGCCTGTGTGTAATACCTCGCAGGAGATCTGCTCTGAGTTAGGATTGCCCATGGTGCAGCGTGTAGACGATCGCGAGTTATGGTACGGGTGTAGAGTGTCGGATAAGCCAGGTGAGTTGCTTGGAAATAACGATAAGATGGGTCCTGAGTCCTGTCATGGCCGGACGAGAAATACACCCACTTTATATAAGTCAATCATATTGTTGAATAACCAGGGAAAAGGGCACCTCTCAATCAGACCCTAACCAGATATGCAGGGCCTTTCCGCTTACAAGGATCCTTGTTCCGGATCCTGGGAGATTCGACCTAAAAAGGAAAGGTTCGGTAACACCCCTATCTGTTTCAACTCATTGTCCCCCCAAACTCATTGGCCCCCCAAACTCATTGGCCCCCCAAACTCATTGGCCCCCAAATTCGGCGGAGGAGAAGGACTTCCGTGGAGTAATGGTACTCCACGATATCACGTCTTAGCTGTGCGATCTGCGCGTCGATATCCTGAGACAGGGTCGTGGCCAATGGTCATCGGTATCGCTACTCTGCTTGTTCATTCCAAAGGGGTTTTGGCATGACGGTCGGAATTTTGGGCAATTGTAAGTGAACTCGTTGGTTCTGGATTTGAGTCCCATTTTGCATTCGTTGTTGTAGATTAATTGGGGGCATCGTAACTTGGTCGTTTCCTCGTGGCGACATGCATATTTGTAGGTGATAAGGTAACACATGATCGGCGACTGTTTTATTCGCACTATACTATTAGTTTGGTGCCGGCTATTATGAACTGATGGTATTGCACACCTGCTAGATATTGGTGCAGTGATTAACGAGCCAGCAATTGCTTGCGTGAACCTATGATAGAAGAACTTAAGTCAGCGCAAGTCTTAGCATAGAGTTCGGGGTCCCTTTTACCTTGCTCTACTAGTAGAAAGGTTTCTAGAGCTTATGCGCGGAAATTGTGATGCTGTGCCTGTCTATTTATACGAAGAGGTTGGTTGAAGGATGGATTTGAATCGGGTAGGGGATTGGAATCAGATGGGGGATTGGAATCAGACACGTCCGATTCAAGCAACCAAATATGGTGCATCGTTCCAAACCACGGTCATTGGGTCTCGAAACGTAAGAAGGGCAGCCTATCTCGCTCCCAAGCTGCCGTACCCGGTCAACCAAATCTAGTCGATTAACAGGTCCATTCAAGCCACAGCAAATTGCGGCCCACGCGCCCTTGCCCTCTTTGCGCCAACCACATACATGTAAGAAAGGTAGCTAACAGTTGCCACCCACGACCTTAGGGTATGGATCGGTCTTCCAAATCTCCCAATTGTACCTCATTTGCAGCAGTCGAAGCGCGTCAGGATCACCACTTGCTGCTGGTAGCGGTGCTGTCTGGCGCACAGGCAGTGACCCAATCACAACCGCATAACCCAGCCCTCATTCCAGCCCCACCACAACCAATCGTGCAATGCCGGAACATGCAGGGGTAGCCGCTCTTTGCGATACACATGGTAAGCCTAGTGGTAAGAAAAAGGTTGATACATGCAGTATATACTATGTCTCAAGGTGGCTTCAGACTCCGAACTCGTATTCATAGGTTCCCATTTCTCGTAAAACGATAGTTGTGTTTCCCGAGGTGATTCGGTACGGTGCTTCCCAATCACGCTCCTACTGTTATGGGGGCATCTCCCAATATATTCGTGCTCGAGCCATCCAAGCAGACTATCAATATTAGCTCTCCATCGCAGAGTACTTATACTGGCCTCGTGCCCTCTAGTCCAGCAGACGTGTTCAACGTTCAAGTTCACACTGGTTTCCGCTCGAAGTAAACTTCCATGTTCTTTGCTAGCCTTTTTCCATGGATTTCCGGCAACTTCTGCGTTATTTCAGTATTTCAGAGGTATGGGAGCTTGATGTCCTGGCTGACCAGAACCATGCTGAATAAAGCCTAGAGGAAAACCGCATGCATGGCAAAGGTGCATTCTCCCGAAAATGAGGGAGACTTCTCGGTAACAAAAATCCCCAATGTACCGACGATTGGCGTTTCCCAGACCGACAGGACACTGCGTGGCTCACAGAGCTTGGAAACGAGAATGGAATCCTGGAGGCAGAGAGACACTATACAGCCTAGGGTTGTCCGAGTTTGGTCTGTCACATACACCTTCGGGGGGAAAGAGAAAACCCCTATTGTTGATACCGTGCGGGCTGAAGTAAATTGGAGTGGGAAGAAGCAGACAACGATGGAGACTTTGGATTTCGGTGATCTGGTCCAGATGGAAGGAGGGGAGGAGGCTGTAGCAAATTTTGGGCCTTCGTTTCTCTAGTTAGCGCCACGGAATGGGGACGAAATGCACTATTTGACCGATGTCATGGGAGCCTTCTTCCAGACACGTCAGCGTCCCGACACTCAAAGCACGGGCGAATGAACAAATCTACAATGACATCTCTATGCACCCTAGCCATGTCCCCTTAAGAACCGAACATCCCTAATAAACAAGGAAGCACCATCTTTCTCAGACTGTGCACCGTCTCCTTCAGATTCCGACTCGTTACTCGTATTCCAAAAGTCTGACTCACACTGCGATCCCTTTTCTTAGATTCCGAGATCGGTAAATTGCGAACGCATAGTTGAGAAAATCTTTCTAGAGACAGGCAAAGATATGGAGGTTTATTACCTTCCTGTCTCTCTGTTATGATTGTACGTCATCGCCTTGAAATGCGGAGACCCTTTTACCTCGACCAACAGAGCGATATCCAAAATCCCTGGCTATGGTAATGCTGTCAGATGAAGAAGTTGGAAAGCAGAGCTAAATAGGCTATAAAACCATTTAAATCAGGCATACAGACTGTGCCTCGTGAGATTCGCATAATTCCTTGAGTTGATAACAATTCAATCTTTCAGTTGGCATGATGTCAGTGGAGGTGAATGAGATTCTGGGCCGATTGTAGCGGACGACGGTTGAGCACGGGAGTCGATGTTACCGTTCGAACATTTCTCTGCTCTAGTAGACGCTGTTTGATTTGACTTTGGTTTTTGTCAGTGTACTGGCGTCGGTCATCACTCGTCTTCTCGAGTTGCTCTACATTCGAAGAAAGATGGATGCCGGGAGCTGACTGTCTAGGCGGAGGGGATGCGTTTGTTGAGGGGGAAATAAGTCGACGGATTTGAGGTGTGTTTAAAGTCACCATGGTATAGCAATTGAAGCAGGGAATAGATTCGCTTCGACGCCTCGGAACGAATAAATCACTGAGAATCTCACCACTCATAGCCACGCGGTATAAGCATTTAAACAGCAGCAGCGGCTACAGCCGCATGAGTGAAGGCGGAACAACAATGAAAAAGATGTTGGAAGCTCACTCACGGCCTGCTCATCACGTCATAATTATATTTTCCCCAGATAAGCGGGCTATGTTCACCAGCAGGGTATGTACCCATCATCTGCCCATCTCATCGCTGGCGGATTTTCACACCCGCCAAGTTTCTCTTAAGTCAGTTGTTGTCCACCATACGATCAGATATCGGTCTATCATGTGTACCCCAATTCTAGAATTAGTGTCGTTTGTAGTGGTGAATACTGCTCAACGGCCTTGATTTCCAACCTTCAAGGTTAATGATCCCAGGGACTGTGTTGACGATTTCCATGCCAATTGAAGCTAACAAATGGGGTGATGGTGGGACTGATGTGTAATCCCGAATGGCAGCCTTTAATGCAGTTTATAATCTCTGTCGCTTGAAGGCCCCGCTGACCACGACCTTGCACTTCTGGATGGCTATGCTGGCGAGCGCCCGAACTATCCCGTAGCAAAGGCTGCTACGAAACAGGCACCACAAAGAGAAGAAAGAAGATAATCAACAACAACGAAATTGCACACCTCCTTTGGAGTAATTTATCTGCTAGCCTTTGAAAATCCGCCCGACGAACTACGAGACGTCTAAAATCTTAGTGAGCGATCTCAACCCCGTTTTGTACGGCCCAACAAAGAGTAACTGGCCCAGTGACTACTACATTGGCAATTGCACACCGTTTAAAGTCTACACTTTGGCTACGATGGCTGGACTGCCCTCGGACTTGGCTCCTCTGGCAACGGTAGGAATCGACTTCGTTGAGCAGATAATAGTAGCTCTTGATAATTTGTATGAGAAGTGATTAGATCTGAAATTTCCAGTCGGTGTCGACATTTCTGATACATTATCTGAGAGCTTCTAAAGAGGATCATGAAATTCTAGCGTAGATTCGGCATGATTTCAAATCCGCGCTGAACGATGATCTCCAGACACACCATTGGATACAGCACTAGATCTCTTGCTCAAAGACTCATGTAAAACGCTAAGGGCCATAACTTTGATGGCCTGGTAGCATAGCCCTCTGCACTCTGCTTCTGAAATCCTGACTTGCACCTAAATCTGCTTGAGCTGTCGTAGAAGCCGTCTTCTCTCCCTTCGCAGGCCCCGCAAGAATACCGCCGCTCGTGACTGGCTCATTGCGGCCTCGGTGTAGCCCGGCGGTCGCATGAATTTTCCAAAGGGGATGACCTGAAAGACGAGACCAGCAGGACGAAATCAGCACGGCTTCTGTATAGCCTGCTATGATGTTATCACTAGGAATATTGCACTCAATGTGTATGGGGGCTTAGACGTCAAAAACTCGAAGTCGAGCGCGGTCTTATGAGGACCCACGACCCGACAAACTTCGCTACGCCACCAACATCTGAAACTAAATCTGCTTGGTTCCCGGCGTCCAGGATGAAAGCCAGGCTCTGTCGCCTGTTTATCTTGCAAATGAATCTCTCTCTCTCTCTCTCTCTCTCTCTCTCTCTCTCTATTTCTGGCGCTAATTTGCCTAGGGGGCCCCTACCATGCTAAGGCATGAGCGAACCGGGCGGTTCATAAGTACCTAACAAGGCTGATTTTCGTGACTGGATTGGGATCTCTCATTGGTAAAAATACATCACACTGCGCATAGGTGTTTATGTGGCTTGCGTGGCCGCTGGCCCTTCCCAGCTCTCGTTTTAATACCTGCAAGCCACTCTATCAATCACTGCCTTCTTTCTCCCATTTTCGCTCGCATATCTCCGCAAGCTGGGCAGTGGCATCACAAAGGAAGCATTCCTAGTGGATCTTGCGGTGCTTGAGGCTGGTATTTCACGGGTTTTGGGGAAGTATGGGATTATTGTGACCGTCTCAAAAAGCACAACCAGAACTCCTAAGCAACAAGTTTGGAATCTGACAAGTCGATACTCGAAGGCAAAATCCCCAGCGTTTGACCAATCTTCGCTTGTAGTCTTTCTTTCTTGGCCTCCACCATTTGAGGATACTCGTGGAGGATGGAGTGTTGAGAGTGGTGGATTCGGTTCTTGGAGATGAATATGCACCACAAAGTGTGAGGCCAAATGGATCTCAATAAGAGTGGACTTAAGAAGTCACCGAGCACACTTTCCTTAGGCCATCTAATGGAACAGGCATGGTCTCCATATCCAGCTTACTAGCATGCGAGAGTCGAAAGGCGTAAGAACCTGGGAGCCTGTTATCACAGTATTAAGCACTAGACTGAGCGCCATACCAAGAAAGCTGAACACTGCTTGCGTTGGGAGGCTTTACGTGCTCCCATCCGTTGGAGTAAGGGTGGAGCCGGATCCTTACCCCTGTCCAGCAATGACGCCGCGGCTACGCGATCTGATGTTCGAGGCCACTGTATTTGATTAAGCCTTCTGTTCCCAGATGACACGGTGCGCTCATTGGTCAGGGTGGATGGCCCCACCAGGCGGCATTGCGACATGTCTTATGGAAATCTCCTGTAACAAAACAAGTCCGCCGATCAGTGCGTACACCCAGAATGGGATATGGATTTGCCGCATATACGAGAAACTAGACCCGTGATGATAGGTGTCCCAACCAGTTTAGATCGCATTAAGAGCTATGATGGCCGCTGGGTATATATATGCTTACGCCTACCGCTTGTAGCCAATGAGAGCCGATACTTCCGTCTGATTTGCAGCCTGCCAATCGGATTACGGCATGAGTTCTCCAACGTGGGTCTTATGGCTGGGATGTTTGTTTGCTATAGGTATTTTTCAGCAAACAGAGAGAATTGCAACCAGGCAAGCGATAAGAGAACAAAAGAGTGATCGGTTCCCTAATTCCCTGGCCCTTACGATTCTCCTGAGTTCTCATTTTCAAAGCCCACTCTTAGATCCAAACCTCCTCATCTCATTCCGCAATGTGGAAGAAAAATGCTCTACCTAAGCTGCTGCCTAGTAAAAAGGTATCGAATTTGCCGTATCTGGAGACCGACTCGCCGGCAAAGTCTCGGCGAGTTTCTCTGGCCTGCACGGAGTGTCAGCAAAGAAAATTGAAGGTTAGAAAGATCCCTCATTTGAGAATGAAACTAACCTAATGTAGTGTTCTGGCACAACCCCATGCACGAAATGTACGATCGAAGGTCGCCAGTGCTTCTATAATCCAGCCGGTGATCGGAGACGCAAGGCTCATACCGCTGAGTTATTGCACTTTCGTGCTGCCCTTTACCGAATGGTTGTAAAGCTGCGCTCTGGAACGTTGGAGGAGATATCACGGTTCATCCAAGAGATCCAAAACCTGCGAACAGATCAAGATGCAGTGAATCATCTTGTTGGCGGATGCTTATTGAGTGATGATCGGATAATTCACTAGGACACCCACTGGTTGCAATCATGGCTAGCCATGTCCTGGTCAAAAATGTGGCCGGAAAGCGGAGAAGAATAATTTGTTAAATGGAATATTGAGGGACCGTTAGTCTTGAATCATTAAACAGACTTGCGTTGGGAGTGCCGGCTTCGAAGAATGAATCCGCATGACTCAATGAACCACCCTCAAAATGACACTGGACTTTGCAGTCACTTTTGTTCCTGGGATCTTACTAAAGAGACATTTTCATTATCGAAAAAGCCAACGGGAGGGGTGTACCGTACGGGCAGAGTGCATAAGCTGCCTGGGTAACACGATTCAAATTGACAGAATACACAGAGAGATAGAATTAGAGGAACAAAAACACAAAAGCAGGCTACCTACTGCTCAAGAAGGTGGTTGGGAAGTCAGCAAGGCGGAGAGCTGTGTTAAGTCAATTACACAAATTTATTGCATGGAGCAACTAGATAGTTGAGAGAACTATAACCAGTAATAAAGAAGCAATTAGGTGATGGCAGGGAAAATGGAGCGTAGATAGATGAAATGAACAATATGCTCAGCCGAGGTTTGAAGTAAACAGTTGTTTGTAGTCACTCGTTTTGCACCCCAGCACATTTCTAAGATCTCAACATGACCCCATCAACCAAAATTGTGGGACCAAGAATGTAGCTTCACGTATTGCTGTTCAAGAATTGGATACATCGGGATAAACGGCAACACTTACACTATCGTACAGTGCCAGCTCTCATGAAAAGCAAGGGGCCTTTGACACGAATTGTAGATATAATAGCGTACGGCAACAATTTCTAAACACGAACCGACCAATGCCACACCCCTCAGGAGGTGGGGTGGATATCTGGGAGACTCTTCCCCACTTTTAACATCACTTCATATCGTCGACGGCGAACTCAATTGACAAGAAGCGTACTAGCGCCTCCCATGCCACCGGCAGCGGAGCCAGACTCGCTGAAAGCACGAGGAAGCCAGTTGACAACATACGCCGCCAAGCACCCCCACATTCGGATCCCAAAGGAGGCCCGAGATTTCCTGAAGCAGTTCCCCATCCTCCCAGACAAAAGCCCATCCCCTAGAGGATCTAGGAGCCGGCGTAGAGGACAGCCGAACGCCTACCCCCCAGAGTGGACTGTCGATCCCGACAAATTTCGTTCGGACCTAAGCTCGTTCATCAGAACTGCACGAGCAAAAGCAACTGGCACGCCAGCCGTATCCACACCTACAGTGCCAGGTGCATTTCCGAAGGAGAACACTGTATCCTTCGCGGAACCAATCCACACGGTCATTCAGACACTGCCAAGACCCGCCAGCGCACCTCCATCGACGGAAGCGCCCCGGCGTTTCATCAACAAAACAATATCAACTACCGGAGCCTCTACGGCCGCGCTGGCAAACATGTCCCAACAAGCTCCTAGCTCACAGGGACAACAGCGGTGCCCTAGCCAGCAATGGGCCCCAGCGACCACAGCCGTGGCACAGCCAGCGCAGACTACGACCGCATGTCCAAGACTGGCACCGAGTCCGCCGCTCATGTTTCAACCAACTGTGACTCAGCCATATGAATTCCCCGGCTATCAGGCCGTTCCAAACCCCTACTACAATCCTCCTTCAGCTAGCGCCGAAGAAGTTGCAATTCTACGCAACCAAGTGGCTGTCCTACAAAAGTCAGTGGATAGACTGGGGGCCCTCCAGCATTCAATAGAACAGCTCATTGCTCGCTCAGGATTCCAGCAGGAGGCCCCGTACCAAGATTTGAACCAACACACCAGCGTCCCCGGCCAACGGGATAACAACAGTCGTCGTATCCCTATAGCTAACAATCATGACGATCCCGACCCAGATCCAGATTCATCTGACAGCGACGATGACTTGGATGGGTCAGAGACTAGAAGTAGTCCCCTCCTATTTCCATTATTGCCTCGCTAACGGTCAGCAATTGCCATATGCAATCCAATCACCAATGCAAAGTCAAATTTGTATGGGAAGTTATGTGATAGGCCATATGGTTAGCTACTTCTATCTAGATTTATTTGCTTCAGTCAATATGAGTCAGGTGGCCGTGTAGGGACTTTCTTATATATGGGGTTGGGCCAGACTTGTCTACCTACTAGTGTAGTTATGTTCCACCTTGGTAGGATACAGGCTTACCCACTCTTATTGTGGAATGTGGCAGGTGTCTACACTACTACATTGTCCAGAGCTAAGTCCAAGATTTGTGGCATGGCTGATGTACTATCACGGAGGAAACAAGATGTCTGGGGAATCTGTGCATCGAAGAGGATTAATCGGAGAAGGGGAGGGTTTACCCTCGGGAAAGAATGTCCACGGTTAGGACTTTTAAGCGTACATCAGCTAGAGCATGACAGGGAAAGGAAATGACAACAAGGACTGGCAAAGCAGACAGGGCATGATCTACAGACGCAGGAAAGACATGAAATGGGGCATATGGTCTCGTGAGGAAAATGCAGAAGGGGAAAATAAACGGAAACTAGACGACCGAGGCGCTGGAAATTCGAAGCTTTTTATGTGTTTCTCTCTCACTCCATCTCAATTACGATCTCTCAGTGGCCATTGGCCTGCATGGCCGCTGCGGCGGCGGCCTCTGCGTTGGCAGCGGCAGCCATAGCCTTGGCGTCGGCTTCGTGGAAGACACCTTGGATGACCTGCTGCTCTTCGGGACCGAGAACCTTGGTCAAGCTCTCGTAGAGTTGAGGCTGTTCTTGTTGGAGGCCTGTGGTGAAGGTTAGCGAATGATACCACCACGGTTCCAAGTCCAGAGAGACCACTTACTTAGCAAGGCATGCTTGAACATGCCATATGGCTCCACCTTGTCCAGAGGGGTCTCCAGGAGGCCCTCCTCGTCCATGTCATCGTCATCATCATCGGCGAATGAGCCGAACTTTTGAGCTTCCTGGTTGAGGAAGTCGAGGTAAGCAGCACTCTCGTCAGGGACGTCGTCATCAAGAGCAGCCTCGGCGACCTCGTTCTCGTCCCACTCGACCTCTCCGTCCCAGTCATTGTCCTCGTCATCCTCATCATCCTCATCATCGAGAGTGAAATCGGACTCCCTGGTAGCCTCCTCACGTATTGAACGAAGCATTAGCATTGGACAAACGCAACTGACAATCTAGGAAAACTTACGCTTGAGAGCAGCAGGCAGGGTTTGGAACAACCTTGTCACACCCTGCAACAACCTCGGCCATCCCTGCTGGACGCTGACCGGAACGTCGGCAGCCTTCAGAGTAAGCAGCGAGCTGATTGCAGCAATTGACAATTTCTTGTCATGCACACGTCTGAAGTTGTCGATGTTAGCGAACCAAGACGGTCGGCGGGACGATCGACACAATGGCCGACGGGACAACCGACGCCGGCGCCCCGGATCGGACCGAGTCGGACGAAGGAACAGAGAGACATTGAACACCTCGTCATCGTCGGAGGAACTAGACGACTTCAAGCCTCGCGATCCTGGTTATTTCGACCCACGCGACGACCGCCCGTTCTCAGAAGTATTAGACAAGCAGCGGGTTTACCACAACGTCTCGGCCTTCATTAACGCTGCGAAGGTCACGAGCGCTAACTACACAAGGAGATCCTTTGCTAAGCGTTTCTGGCAATGTTTACTCGGAGACGCGATAGTCTGGTACAACAACGAACTAGATGAGAAAACCCGCGCACGCCTCCGACGCAGTCGTCACCTCGACGAATGGTATACATTGCTCTCGGAGAAATTCGCAGTCAATTACGGCGACGCGGTCAAGAATTTCCAGAAGCTCAAATATACCTTGTGGGACGTATACGAAAGGCACGATATAAGAAATTGTACAGCGACGTCGTTATCATTGGAGCAGGCCTGTCGGGAATCGACATGGCATGCCAGCTCCAACGGCAATTATGTGTCAGCGACTACGTGGTTTACGACCGCGCTGGGAGAATTGGGTGGCGCATGGGCCGCCAACAAATGTGCTTTTTCCGCGTCCCCTTCAAAGTGGTACTAGCTGACAGAGAGCAGATCCAGGATGTAGTGTTGACATACCCGGAGCTTTGTATTCGTTGTCATGGTTCCCAAACCCAAACTTTACCAGCCTTTTTCCGTCCCAGAAGGAGATTCTATCCTACATTCAACGCGTCGCTCGCACCAACCAAGTCACTGAACATGTGAGATTTCATACTGAATGGAAAGGTGCCCAGTGGGTAGAAGCATCAGGTACAGTATCCGCTTTGGGATGGCTTGAGCTTGCTGCTGATGCCATATTAGTGTAAGTCCCTGTAGGCAGACGTGGGGGGGATTGTGGTAAGGCGAATTCGCTCACTTTGTTTTTCCATAATTTCTATCGAGCTACCTTCTCGCAACACCGTGGAGGGTTCATATTTGAACGGCGGCAAAAGCACAGTTGTATTTGACGCGCTTGGCGCACCCGTCGCTAAGGCTGGCGTCCAATTACTTATGACGCTCTGAAGCCTTCGAGTATGGGTTTGGGCCAAATATAATGATTCTGAGTCCATAGTGCAAGAGAAGAAGGTATACAGTGAATGAAAAGTCTGATCCAAATGTACTGAAATAAGGACGACCTTAGTTGATATTATATATTCCACAAAGGAAGCCGATCTATATTTAAACTTGAGATGCCCTTAACGTGATAAGGTGAGGAAAGACGAAAATTACCAGGAGCAGAGGTCAATGCTATATCATGTGGACGAACAGTGGGGTTCATGGGAGCGAATTGTTGTGTGAAGGATCATATGTGAGACCCCAGGTACATGTTGTAGCGGTATGCCATTCCAGACATGAGGTGTAAGTATAGGGAGGTTTCCATTTTTCATCGGTTGCTTTAAGATGGAACAGTCATCGGTTATGAGAGGCCACACATTCACTGCCACATTTTGAAGCTCCAAGCCAGAAAATAAATACCTTTCCTGGTACGTTTCCTGATGTCTCGACAAAATGCGGCCTGTTCATGCCCTCAATTTCGGATTCACTTGGCGATTCCAGAGTCTGTCGGAGCATAAATAGTCTCAGTCGAGACAGGCAAGGCCGGAAGTCTCCATATGCTTGACTTTGGCATGGAATATACTGTTCGTCGACTGATGCGCAAAGGTACCAAAGACGCGCACGATACTATGCCGTTGTTAACCCGCACGTCCGAGGAAAGGCCCACCCGAAAACCTTCCAACAGCAGATCGTCTCTACAGCGCAGGTCTGTCCCTGCAAGTAATTTGGCTCAGACGTCTGACAGGCAAACCCGAACAACCATTCGCCTGCGGTTTCGCCATGAATATGCCACGTCAAAGGCAGGGCAGGTCGTCTCGCAGCCATCCGGTCCAAGCGATAGAAGAAAATGGAAATATCGGGTGGTAGCAGGTCAGAGAGAACCTAATAAAGAACCAGATCGATTGGATTGGTTGCGGAGACTCCGTCCCAAGCCTCACCGTGTGATAGAGTGATGGGAGGAAAAACCACATGCTCCAGCAGATGGAAAGGCAATGCCAGGACTTGGTCTGGGTTAGCCATGATTCACATGCCTCGGTCCTCGTTGAACCAAGGAATGCAGATGCAGAGTATCTCATTCTTCTATGGAATCCTTGGCAGTACAGTAATATTCGAAATCAGATTTACCTTTACACCCTTAGACTTTCATTCCCCATCCGTATTTTGAAACACACTAGTCTAATTTTAGCCATAATCGTACCAAGCGGCCAACACACCTTCCGTGTGTTCAGTATTAATCCGGTCTCTGATAGTTCATCGAACCTCCAACCTCAGGCAATCAATTTGGAGGTTCGCTCAGCTGAACCCCCTACGAGCAGGCACTTTCTAGCTAGAATCCTTGATTAGGCTCTTTTTCTTCTTTGTATTCTATATATGAAAGGTAATGCTTGTATATTCTAAGGTAAGTACCAGGCGAGTTCTTTCATCCATGTTTTGACCAAAGATAGGTCGTTCTTGCAATGGAACAAGTTACAAAGATATATCTATGGACACATGCCCGTACCTACCTCATTTATCTTCCCTTCACAGGGCACCACTCAGAAAATTCTAGGTACCCTTTTAGCTTAAAATATATGTAAGGACACTGGACAGCTTATCATTATGGCAGATGTTGATCTTGTTAATGCTCGGTACCAACAAGGGCTATTATGGCGAGTTTGCGACGCGAAGCGTCGCCTTACTTACGGCCAAACCAACACCGGAGAAAATCGGGCAGAATTATTTTCCCTCTGATTGGTTGTTTGTAGTTCCGGTTGCCTATTTCGGAGTTGCAATCTTTCCGCCTGCCTGTTGTGGATAGTTTACCCTTTCCAGTCCCCCCCCTTGCACTACCGCTTTTCCCCTATGGAAGTAAGCAGTTCGATTTTCCGCCTGCCTTTTACGGGATAGGCGAAGCTGAGCGTCGCAGTTAAATCCCAAGACCATTGGGCGCGGGGAGACCTCGTACTACCAGAAAATGGATTATAACTACCTAAAGGTCCTGTTGTCGACCTCAATCCTACATGGAAGACGTTAGCGTACACTAGGCTCTCACTTGATCAATGGAGACGGCATCAGATTCAGATCAAGTCTTCAGATCTCAGAGCGGATGTTCTCGGCCTTGGACCTCCAAATGCTATGAATATCCTGGACAAAGAGACCACTGGAGTTTGACCCGTCGTTTACTAGCTAGAAAGTGCCTACTCGTAGTAACAGAAATGAGGTTCTTTAATCATGTATAGGAGGATAATAAATTACATGGGTGTGTGTGGCACTGTGGGAGGGGGTTCAGCTGAGCGAACCTCCAAATGGATTGCCTGAGGTTGGAGGTTCGATGAACTATCTGAGACCGGATTAATACTGTCCGGGACGGGGTTAATACTTGTTACGGGTTTGCCAAATACCGCTAAGACTTAGCGGCTCCATTTGGAGGTTCGCTCAGCTGAACATCCGCGTCTCATCCTGCATTCCGTGCACGGATGCGATGCGGCAATTTCTCCCCACAGGCTCGCCTAGTATCTGAATTGGCATTTAGCAAACTCATTAATCTCGGTCAACGAATGAACGTAGCACACGGGTTGCAAATCACTGATAGCTAACGCGGAAGCAACTGTAATGTCTATGAACGTGATACTTTCGGCTGTATGTCGATATTCTTTGCTCGACCTGCATATCAGACAGCATGCCTCACTCAGTATTCGGAGATCTTGAACGGCCTCTCTTCCTGTGGGTCCAGAGAACGGCCCCGGCGCGCGGGAGATGTTTGCCTCGGCCAGTGCCGACCTCAGTTCACCTAGTATGCACATCTTTCCTGTTATGGTCCACAACTTGGAGCTAGTCACGAGGACACGCCCCATTTTTCGGGGGTTGAGGTCGGAGAGTGGGCATTGGTATGTTTGTTCAAGGTGAGGAGCAACGACTACTTATGAGAGGGGTTCTGGAGATGACAACGTGCATGTGGAATCCTGGGACGTTGATTTGCTAAATGATTTCAACGCCCTTGTTGGGAAGAATGATCTTGATGGGTGGTTCATTAGATTGTCCAGTACTCCAGAGTTCTTTTTTGAGGGAAGCATGCTGTAATCTGTTTAAAGTAAATACACGATTTGACGAGCTACATTCATTACTGGGGTAAATCAGCGACATGGGAGACCCTTTCATGTACGTGGTTGCGGACGCTTCGATCTCGACGACCTTAACCGAGGCATGGTTGATAGTGCGAAATGTGATGAACATCACTAACGTTCGGAAAGTTGCATTTTCAGCTCCTTCGTTCCTATTCTCTACTATATTATTCAGCCTAGCGAAAGAACATATATTGTAAATTGCTCAATGCAGCACGTGTTTAGGGATTGATTATCTTCTGTGTTGTCCAAAATGGAAGGCGAAGGTGGCCGCTACTGTGCTTCATAGGTTCCGAAGACTGATCAGTTCTACATGACGCAGGAAGGTATGAACAGAAGCCATTTCAACTTGACGGCTTAGCTTCATTGAACTTGACCTTGTTTTATGGATGCCACGATGCAAATAGTACAATACTCTAATGGTCTTCGAAGAACGTCCGTAAAAGACATTCACTATACAATAGTTATGCTGTAACCCAAACCACGCTTGTGATAGTCAAGAAGTCATCTTTCGTAGTGGTAGTGGATAGAGTGATGGCATAAGTAGTGCTGATGGATGGGGTGCTGGTGGATGGGGTGCTGCTGGATGGAGTGCTGGTGGATGGGGTGCTGCTGGATGGAGTGCTAGAGGATCGAGTGTTGCTTGGTTGAATCCTAGCAGACGGAGTGGTAGTAGGTAGTTGACTTGTAGATGAGTAGGAGCGCGAGCTCGTTTTGTCGGACATTGTAGCTGCAACACACCAGCTACCAACTTTTAATCCATCGTTGAGTACACAGAACGACCGATTACCATTTTTATTGGAAAAAGTGATCATCCCCGTGTGGTCCACCTGGAGCCAAGCAACATGCGAACCACCTTCTGTACCGCATACGTCGATATTGAACACATTATATTCAGAACTGTTTCCACTAATAATTTCACTGAGCTCTATCAAGTTGTCAACAGCGGCATAAACTTTTGATTGAGGATTCCTACTTGAACAATCAACTCCATCCAGGCGGCTAAAAGCGGCAGAATAGCCCGTGCAGCCATAGTTATCGTTAGACCATATCAGACATTGCCCATCATGATCTATGACCTCAAGGGTTCCGGCTTGGGATGGGCCTGCGAGAATCATAGCCAAGATCGTAAGGAAGGCAGGATGCATCTTCAAAAGACTTCGGCAACAATTGGCTATCTTGGATTCGGATGGATGAGATTAGGAGCACACTGAGCGACTTTAACATGAATTGTATGCACCGAATTATATATACGTGGGGACACGGAGCATTGAAAATCTTTTCTTGAGGGTCATGCGGTAAGTCTTTACCATGATATGAAGTCTCAAATGCAGCTAAATAGAAGCGGGCCAAGCCATTTAGCCATTGTATGACTTCTGTTACAATATTTCCGTACTCAACAACAGCTTGAATAGTTAAAAGTGGCTGGAAAGCTCACGGCCGAAAAAAGGACAACGATAGTCTCGCTACAAGACCTAAGAGCAGGGTAGGAATTGAGGGAAAATATTAGGGCGATAACGCTGTTGAACCTGGCGAAAGGTGCGGGCCTAGAGAGTACTTCCTATTGCAGAGATCGTAACTACCAAATTTTGAGATAAGTTGGACTCAACGGCGTAGCCTCGTAACTTTTAATTGACGATCACGGACGAACACAATCTTGGTCAACACAGCGGTCTGAAGGCCAGTCTTTTTTTTTTTTTTTTCTTTCTTTTGATTTCACCACACGGTTCATTTACCACCCTGAACTGTCCGCGTGGATATGTGCGTCGAAAGGGTGTTTGAACGGGTCTACTTGACTCCGGCGCCTCACCCGCCCTTTAGGTATCATTTTAAATGTTCCCTTACTAACTGGCATAGGGCAAGAGCAAATGGATCACAGCAAGTAGCACTCAATTTGGCTCTTCGGCTGGTTAATTGGAGCTAGATGGGCCAAATATTAACAGACTTTTCACTGAAGATATTTCGCCGGCAGAAGCAAATGAACAGAACGCGAATTTACCGTGTGATCGTGTTTCGTGCTGCGAGACTAGACTTTCAATGGAAAATGAGTGGAAGTTAACTGGTTTCCTTATGTGGTTCCACTAAATAAATCGCGCAACTGATAAATATCAAACCCAACGAACTCCTTGATACAAGCAACAGACGGCCCTGGACAACATAATTCTAGTCGAGAACGTGACTGTGATTAATATTTCCCCAAAGTAACTGATGCAGTTATTCGTATGTTGCTTTTTTTGCGAGAATGCTGGGCTCGACGGCCGAGATTGGCGCTGTTGCATATGCCTAGTCGAGAGATAATTAGAGAGCCATTGTGGATATTGCGCCCAAGTTCATGCACATTTTGCATGCACAAATCTTCCAGGATAAGTAGAATAAGTACCTGCAGTGTAAGATGAATAAATCTACTGGACCAAAGTTCTCTGTTCCCAGGAGACACAGTGCGTTTGGTGGAAGTCGACGGCCCCACCAGGCATTGTGACATGCCCTATGGAAAGCTCATGTAACAAAACAAGTGGCGCCGATCAATACATACACTCAGGATGGAACCAGGCCTTGCCGTGTGTCTAACGACCTGGACTTGCGGTCCATACGGCTCTGGCCAATGACAATGTTCCACTCTTCAAGGATCATGAACTATGAAGCCGACAATAGGAGACGATGGCTTAAAGTAAGTGATGCTTCATCTTGGCATCGATCGTGGGTCAAGCGCACATCCAGTGACAAGACTAGGGACGGAAGAATAAGATCATGCATGTTCCCTTGATGACACAAGGGAGGTACTTGACGGCTCGTCTATTTTACTCTAATTGGAATCCGCATTCAGACCTTGCCTGAGCATCCATATCCAAACGATACTTTCTTCAACCCGCTGTGGCTCGATTTCCAGACTTGTTCCACAATTTGGGTAAGAATTTCTGAATTCCAACAAGCCCACTACGTTCAGAGGATTGATGTTCAATCCCGTGGTGCTGGAAGCATTAACACACTGAGGAGTCTCAAGGTCAACCCTAACTCTGATCTTTACAACCAGGCAAATGAGTCTATCAAGTCATTAACGGCCATGGTTGACCCGAAAATCCCTCTCGAGTTCTCTGGTAATTACCCCATTGGTGACAGCAACTCAGCCGCCGGCAGCAGTGGCACCGGCAGTGGTCGCGAAGGTGGCACGGTGAGTGGTAGCATCTACAGCGATGGCTCAGCCGGTAATTTCCAGACCCGTCGGCTTAGTTTCAAACTGAATTGAACATGAGCTTATCGCGCTTGAACAGAATCAAGATTTTCAACACGAGTGACAAGAAGTCAAAATTTTCTCTACCACGATGTGCGTTGGTCTAATGTTTATTATATATAATCCCAATAGTCATGACCAAATGATCCTCTAGTCCAAGACATCCGGCACCAAGTCCCATGAGGAGATAATTAAACAGAAACTGTGAGTCCACTACTCGGAAAGGATTTTTCTAAGATAGCGAAACTATAAAACCACGGAGCGCCATATTTCTACGAGTGTATTCTCTACATTTAGAATCTGGTAAACCTGTGTTTCTTGTTTCCCCTTATTTCTATGAATGACAGTTATTTCGGACGCAACCTGGACGAAACCAAATCTCAATATTCACGATGGAAGAACCCAATCATTCCACCTTCTTATTTCCGTGGTCGGTGGAACAGATCGATTTTGGAAATGAGCTGTCTAAGTACAGCGTGGATCCACACTGCGGGTCAGATCCGACTCTTCTTCCTGAAACCCAGATTGGAGATTGCTGGCATGATGACAAAGGAATGGCCGGGAAGGTATTCTCCAAGGGAGAGAATGCAGTTAATGTGTCAATGACACTCCTTCGAGACAATTGGGTTTTATTCAAAGAGCTACGCCTTGAACATTGGGTCGAACACGTGATGGAAATGCCCTCGGTAGCCATCAGTCTGTTCGAATCTTACCACAACAGGCTTGGATTTTCCTTATTCTCCTTCCTGTGTCAAGCCCCTGGAGAGGCAGAGAAGTATTACTCCGTGGCAGAGGTTTGTTATCCAGTTGAAGCTCTTCTGTGGCTTTCAGTGCGGTGGGTTGACGGAGCAATAGAAAGTTCGACCAAACGATCGCTTCCTATATTACACGATCACACATGCCCTTGTGTGCTTCAATAATGACAAAATCTACAGCAAACTGGGCTTGGATGCCTCTGTCATTACTTCCCCCTCAAAGCTATGCTTTCGCAGCCGGATAAAAATGTACTCCGGCGATTGGCTGTACTCAAAAACCGGTATAAGCGCTATCGAACAGGGACCGATATAGCGCAAGGCCGGGAGTTCCAGACCGATACAGACTTCTTCATGGCCTTGAGCAAGGAAAGCGCTGCCACCATGGCGTGGGACTTGAGTCGAGATACATTTACTGAGTTTCGCAAAATAAGCCTTGCCAGTATACACGAGAATGATTGCCACCTCCAATGCCTGGCTTTACGATGGGACCAGCTACACTATGATGTAGAGGATGTTGCATCCACCGGGGAATTTGATGATAAATTAATGGAATTCGCGAAGGTAGATACCCCGTTCATCCCCACCTGCGCTGGCTAACTCGGGGCAGGAACTTTACCATCTCCGAAATTTCTTTTGCCTTTCTGCTACACTCGCTGGAATGTCGAAAGCAGGCATTAGAATGGATATGGATATTACTAAGATTGTTGACGATTTCGGAAATTACCGTCAATATAGGCTCAGACTCCACATGGAGCCTTCTCTTCCATTTCTATATCCATTCATTAGAGAGCTGAGGATGGGGAGCCACGGAGCTTTGAGGAACATCTTTGGATTTATTCACTATGACCAGCATCTTCAACAGATTGTGAAATGGCGGTGATGGATATGACTCTCGAGACTTCAGCACAAATGATTTCAATACTACTGCATCATAGGACAAGAATTTTGTGGTGAAAAAGTGTCTAACTAGGGATGGTAATCTAGTAGTGCTAGAACTCAGTACAGTAACCGTCATGTAATAATATTTTTAAAAACTTTAGTGGAGCCACTAATGTAGGAGTGACGGAGATTGGATTCTCAAAGAGAGCATTGCCTTCAAAGCAACTATTGCTGGTTCATGAAATAATTGGACGTGAATCGGGGTAGACTTGGGAGGTGAGCATACTATCGTCACCAGCGAGAGGTACAGGTACTCACCATGGCTATCTCTTTGGATCAATGGCAAGACTACGTTGACGGACGCCTCGGACAATAAGGAAATATCCTCTATAACCTCCTGCTCATGTTCAAACCTCCCCTCTCATATGTGCAGTCTGCACCTATCTGGCAAATTAGCCTCATGGTTTGCTTTTTTTCTCTTCCGCTTCGGTTCCTTCTACCAAATTACCTGCAGGCATTTTGGGCGTCTGAAATAGAGAGAGCAATAGACGAGACACCGCTTCCTTGAGCCACTCCCTCTCATATGGATCAGTCGTATTTACCGGTACGTCCAACGCCAACAAAAGTGCGGCGGTCATTAGTCTTTGTCTGATCTCCATCATCGCCTACTAGGCGTCAAAGTGGGTCTCTGGGACAGGAAACGTGTGTGTCTCGGGGGTAAACCTGTTTTCGAAATCCAAAGTACCCTAAATTACAGGAATGAACTCTCATTTGGCAAACCTACATTTAATTGGGTTGATACTGGAGGGCAAACTCCTCCAGGGATTTCTCGGCCTAATGATGCGGGTGCTGGTGTAAAATTGTACCTATACATAATATTACTTGTCCAGGAAAATTCTAGCTGCTCGGCCTCAACGGAGACAATAGTTCCAAGGCGTCGGTGATGCAACCACTTACTGGTTGTGGGCGTTTCGCCGATGGTTATATCGATTTAAGCCGGAAACCAGGCAAGCCAGCACAGCCCCCATAGAAAATGGGCTGGGGTACAATATGGGCGGCTCGCACTTGAAGGCGACCCGCGGAATCATTCTAAGAGAGACCAGAAAGAGGGGCTCGTGGAGCTTATTGCTAGCCGTACGTAACGTTAATGGCGCTGCCAAAATCGGATCGCTGGATAAACAAGAAGGGAAGTATCTGCGGTTCGCGGTTTGAAGTCTCACGGTTTGGAGTCTCACGGTTTGAAGTTCGCGGTTTGAAGTTCGCGGTTCTGGATTGCAAAGACCACGCCTCCACTGGGAATCTTATGCAATATTTAAGAGCCACTGGTCCTAATCAGGGATAAGGCAGGTACATTTTTATTTGTCGATGAGGTCCGTTCGATAATGACTGCATGATGTCTAACCCCCAAAGCCTAGAGCATAAAGTAGCGTGTTACAAACGGACAATGAGGGAGGTAAGCCTATTGTCTCTATTTAGTTAATTATTGGGAAAGAGCCTTTGCTGACTACTAGCTTCTGTGCATTCCTCGCAGTGAGATCATACAACACAGTTAGTCCCGCAGCGGGAGGCGGGATGCAGATTCAGCTACATAAATAGATATCACTAGCCAAGGCATCCGCGTACAATTTTTTGTTTTCCCGTACATCAACCCTCCATGAGTCCATCTTCTTTTACCGATCAAGAGGTGCGGTTGGCAACGGAGCGGCGTCTAAAATATATCGGAACGGCCAAAGTCAACATCAGTCACATTCAATTCGACCCTCCTTTGCCCCGGGACTTGGATTTGAAGAACTTGGAGCGACTCCGTGGCATCTTCCGTAAGAACAGTTGTCGCCGTCTGGATGTCGACAATCATATCCCTGCGATTGTATCCCAACATGATCTCACGGATGCCTTGCGAAAGGCGAATGTTCCACAGCAATCACTGTTGACCAATGATGCTCATCAAATCCCCCGTCTCAAATTTTCGGCAGGCCAACTTCGGGGGTTACATGGCCGTCACCGCGTGCAGGCAGGGGCTGAGGTACTTCCCCCGGCAGATCGCTGGTGGATTATCGATCTCTACTTAGATGGTATGTCCACTATGGCGATTGCTATTCCGTACTGACTGAGCATCAACGAAGACATCGGTGAGGAGCTGAGAGCGTTCTTGGTGGAGGAGTATGCGAATCAGAAGAAACCGACTGACGGAGACATCTATCGAAAAATAAGACAGTATGAGGGCGAAGATAATGAGGCTTTTCGGGAGCGGTGGTTCGTGAGACTGTCATCTAGCAACCAAGAGAAATTAGACCAGTTGGACAACAAACGAAATCACCGTCTGCGGCGTGCATTTGATAGGTTGTTGGCTATTCCTGGTCTTTGGTCCGGCGGAATGAGGATAAGTGTTCTTCATCGATTGATAGCCTCGGGCTGTGTCGAGGTGAGCTCAGCGTTCATGTTTCTTTTCGCTCCGCTAACTATATGCCTGTCCGTTCTGTAGGAGATAATAACCTATCTGGACCATATCTGGAACTTTTGGTCTTCATTGGTCGCCTCAAACCGTCTGGCAATGAAGAAGATTGACCAGGATACCGTTGAAGCCCTCCAGTTGCTTGCACCTGGTAAATCACGTACTGACAAAAAAACGGCTCGTGGACTTGTCCTGGGTGGTCAAGCATTCGGGGAATTCGGCGATGAAGAGAGACGCAGCATTTGGGCCCGCTTGAAAGATTTCGATGTACTTGTTCCTTCTTTGTATACTTTTTTTGAAGACTTTAAATACTTGGAGAGCTGCGCTCATTGCGTCAAGAGACTTTTTGGCCCGTCAACGTCTATTTGGCAAAGCATGAGCTCGATGTTTGTTCCCCAGTCAGATTCGGAAGACGGTACTGGGGTAGAAGAAAGTCTTATCCAAACATCCGAGTCTACTTTTCGGCATCAGCGAGCAACCGATGTGGAGCGTCTTGAGACAGGCTACTGGCAGATATGGCTCTATGCCATGCGGCACTATACTCTAATGCCCCCAGACCCCAAAAAGGAGGATGATCTCTTGGCGAAATCAGCTCGTGCGAAGCCCGATCAGAGGGCAATCTATGAAATGGCTGAACTTGCTCGCCACCTCGGTTTCAAGTCCACGGAGATCGAAATGTTGATCAACAGTTCTCCCGATCATCAGATCGCGCGATCGGCTCTTTTGCAGGCCCGAAAGCCGGATCGATACCGATATGACCGCCAGCAGTTCGATCTCTTGATTAATCAGATCGTTGGTTGTTTTGCACATGCGGTTCCTGACCAGCCCGGCCGGTCACAAGAACTTCTCGCGGATAGTACCATGAAGCCCAAGGTTCGCTGCGGGGTGCCACAAGCGCGAACTCAGAAGCAAGACAACGCCTTGCTTTTCCTGGACTGTGTGAATGCTGAAGTTGAGATGGCCGACACTATCACTAGTTTCTTTGTTCGCCGATGTGTCTATTTTGCATTTTTTGGAAAGCCTACACAGCACAGACTAGCTCCCGAGGGAGACCAACCTATGGGGGACCTGCCTCAGTCGCCGCTGTTTGTCGAAAGAGAAGAGCCACCAGATATCTACGAGGAAACTGTGAATGCAGCTCCACGAAACGAGCTTACCCATGGCCGGCGAGAGGAGTCACAAGGCGATGGCGCCGGACTGAGTGAGGCGCGACCAAGCACGGCAGCCCAGCAACCACCGAGGAGGAGAGATGAACAGGATCATCTGAGGCGTCAACGGCGAAAAGCTCGTGTGCGCAGACTCTGTTGTACTTGGCAGGCTTTCCGGAGATGCTGTCGGCGGAGTTATGTCGGTCTCATTACCCAAAGGTCTAACCGAAGGCGTCCATTCAGTCTCACCCGTGTTCGCAGATATCTTGGTTTGCATCAGCCGCGGTTCCGAGGGAAGACTTTCGGAGCGAATCGTATGAGCTGCAACAGCAAGGGTTACCTGATCGGATATAAGTCTGAAGCTTGGATGATGAGTGTACGAGAGCTGTGGGAACTTTGTTTGTAGCGTCTGTGATGCCTTCGCAGAGGCTAACTCGCGGTATAAAGCTGACAAACTAGTTAATGCTAGCCCCGGAGGGGAACAAAGCGGTAGTGAAGCCATAGTACGATATTACCAAAATGTCATTTCAATAAGTGTCTTCGTTGTTACAGATGGACTTTGTTCTCAGCAGTGGAGAGGCGACGTCGGCCAGAATAGCAAAACTCGATGTATAATGCTCCTAATATTGCTCTCATTAACCCTCAGATCCTCACAAAACGCTCCCATATATAGAGACTCATGAAAGATTGGAAAGGATGGGCTAACCCCAGCCGACAAGAAGCAACGGGATACGTGCAAGAATAAATCTCCTATGACTCGGCTCAAGCTGTAGTAAATAGCTGTCCCCTCGCCTGTTCTCTCAGCGTAGGAACAGTTGGTCCCCAAAATTTGATTCATGGTTTGCTCTTCCACTGATCACTCGAAAAGCCTCAATCTAGGACAAATAAAAAGTTGAAGCTCGAAGGGACCGTTTCACACATAATGCTTCGGTATCATTCTTGAAGTATTCTCCTCACTTCACTATTATGAGGCCGTCTCAAGAAAGTAATCAAGCCCTGTGATGCTTCAGAAGATGAAGCGTCAAAATGCCAAGTCATCAATGCCCGCATTAGGACAGCACCATAAGTAAGATGCTGTAAAATATTCCCCACGTGGACGCATAAGTCATTTTCGAGAGAAAAGCCTTCATCGAGATATGGTTCCTGGTATCTTCTGCTTCTCAAAGCCTTGCAGGCATCTAGCAGCAACCTAGCTCATTGAGCGGCTTCTGGTATGGGACACGTCGCGGCATCTTAATGTGAGCTTTGTGAACGAGATTGTGAGCGCTGGTGTAAACGGCGGTGGACGACAGTGTGGATGGCAGCGCGGGTGGCAGGAATTATTGCCTGCGTTTGAGATCCCCCTTAATACGCCAGTGAGACGTTCCTAGGATCATATTCAGCCCCAGGGATCCATACCATGATTCCTAGGCACGCTCTTGGTCGCTCCTAGAGATCAAATTCAAAATTCCGGGACCTACAGGTGCGCGAATATCACAGCTTCTCTGAATCAACCAAAATCCGCACACGTGAAATCCAGCACTGCGCTACCTAGTGAGGTCTGAGGTTGTTGTCATTGGTAGGCAGACGAGAAGAAGTCTACATCAGTAACTAACTAGTTTATCTTTGAGGTATTATTTAATCTTAGGGCCTGGCCTGTTCTTGCACAGCTCGAGGGCACGGGACATGCGGTCTGGGCTTTGGAGGCATTGTATTGGTTGATGAAGCAGGGAGGCGTTTATAGTGCTCATCCCACCCCCACCACCCCTCGGGAAAACCTTCACACAAAATGGTACATTATTCCAGGCCTTATTTCTTTCTTTTTACATCTTCTACTGCCACTCCTAAGGCATCAACAGTGAAGTTTGAGTACGCTGTAAACACACGTCCTTCAAGGCTGATACATGTGGAAGAGCTCATATTCAGAAACTTTTCCCCCCGCCTAACGCCAACAACGGTAAATTATCCCTTTTCCCAAAGGCACGCCATCTCCCACGTGCGGACGAACAATGCTCATCAGATTTTTTTCATAGGCAGACATGCCAAAGTCCAATTTTCAAGAAGCAGAATTCAAAAGCCTCGGTACCGATCGCCGTGATATCGCGCAACGCCTCTACAGAGCGATCGAAAATTCCCGTGCAAATATTAGCGTCCGGTGGTTCGCAGAGAAGGGGCACTTTGAACTGATCGGCACGAAGAATACAGACCAGGATCAAACCACAGCCGACCTCTTGAAGCATCAAGCAGGAGAGGGATGGAAACTCAAAATTGCGGGAAGGAATGAAAAGGGAAACATCATCCTGCATTTTATTCCCGTTATTCCCGTTGACTCCACCAAACATCTTTGTGAAACCCTGGGAGTTAAAGACGAAGAAAGATCATTCGCTCTTATTGCAGCGCTCATCGAGGGCCGTTCTGTCCTAGACATTGGTTGCGGAAAAGGTTATACAACTGCGCGAATTGCGGCGGAGCTTAAACCGCGATCCTTGACCGCTTTAGAACCTGGGATTGACACCGGTTCTTCATTCGCTCAAGCTTCGAACTTCCTATCCGAAAGGGGGATTGAGGTGTTGAATCTCACTGCACAACAAGCTTCGATCAAGTATCTGGGTACGTTCGATGTTGTCACTGTCTTCAAGTACAATGTCGGTCATCGAGAAAAAGAAGCATTTGCGGCATCTATCGCTCGCATTATCAAGGCGGACGGCATCGCAATTATATCTTCGGTGGAGAGGGAGCGTTGCTACGAGGGATTTGACTCGGCCCTCTATATTGGAGATGCTCTTCGGAAATACTTCGAGATTATCGATGTTAAGGAGGTTAACTATTCGCAAACGGCACGGGAATGGTTTCTACTGTGCAGAAGGCCTATAACTGCTAGGACAGTATCATAGGAACAACGTGTGGGCATCTTGTATTTAGTTAATTGGAAGCAACACACGTTGGTTGACATTTCAAATTATCAAGCGACCGAGCACATAATCATGAGGCGCGTATTTGATGGTCTGTAGCTACCCAGACCGTGAGGAGAGAATCGTGATTTGCTCTGCTGACCGATATGTGGTTTGGGAGATGAAACCGCGGAGAACGAGAAAGTTTTTTGGCGGAGCTGCTGGTTTACGAACGCTAGAGCAATCGGTTGACTATGTGCTCAATACCGTATTTGGAAGCCCAAGCCTGAAGGGAGGGGGGAGATGCTTCGCAGACAGCGTCTCCAGCGGCATTCAAGGCTTCGCAACAGCGCTATGCCGCTCGAGGCATAATGTGGATGGTGGACAATTCTTACTATGGATTGTGTCTTCAGCCACTCGCCGTCCCGTAGAGTATGAGGTGAAGATGTAACGCCTTTTCAGGGATTCTTCACTTGCACGAGAGCAACGCTGGAAAGCATCAATATGTCACCTTTTTGAGGATCTGCTTAATTAATTGAGGGGCCTGGCCATAGAATGGCACTTCAAGCCCAGATCCCGCTTTTTTCGCCGTCCATGCAATGCAGGACAAGAACCAGCCCAAATCCGGATCTGCCGTCCTGCCGCCCTTCCATAGTTCGCTTCCCCTCGATAAGGAAGGAAAATATCTATGTATGGATGTATGCTAACGTCCTCAGTTTTCTGATTGTCTACCAAACACATTGGCTACGGTGAAGATGACCACATTCCAATGAATACATTCACATCCATCAACCACAGCCTACAACTGTTTTAACTGGGGGGCATGGAGCACGGGTTCCCACCAACACCGCCTCACTTCCAGGCTTAACGTCGAGTTGACACTGACCACATCCTCACTTTGTCCTTTGGTACCAATTCAATCACAGTGCAAAGTGGAACTTCAGCGAAGGCGTAAGTGCGCCCGTACGGCAATTCACACCTAATGGTGAAGATATTGCGGTCCCTTCGGTGGACCTATTATTTAGTTTTGTGTATTATGTGGTCTTACCACGCTGAATAGCCTCTCAAAAACGCTGGTCCTTTATATGGAAAGGGTTTGATGAGCCGGTACTCGTCGGATTGTGGAAAAGTTTAAATACCACAACTTTCCCACATTCGTGTTGGCCAGCACGAGCATCAAGTCAGTATGAGTAACCAGGGTAAGGGCGCCGAAGGTATTTCAAAGCAACATGACCTCAGATCAAGAAGAAAGAATATCGAGAAATTTAAGGACGTTCTCGGCTATTCCCAGGAAGGTAAACTGGAGCAGGCGAAATCCGATAGTGCCAATGCTTCGATGGGTAAAACTGATGAGCACCAAGCGCGTCCGAGCGAACCCACCGAGGTTCAGTCGAAATCTCCCTATGACTCTCAGGAGGGGCAGCAGGAGTCTAGCATTGAAGGCCAAGCTGGTCCGCCGCAGCCGGAAGATGTAGATATGCCTGATTCTGCTCCACCCGCCGAAGGGACGCAGAATATTCTTGATAGGGTGTCCAGCACAGATGGTAATGACCTCGACGATGACATCTTGACAGACTTCAAAAGTCTGTCTCTTGGGGATGACCAGAATGGAGAAGTGGACGGATGGGGAAGCTTAGGAAAATCATCTCGGTTTTTCATCTTTCGGTTCGGACCCCCCGGAGGGGCAAAGTACAGACTTCCAACGGCAGTGAAGATCTTTTCACGGTCAATGAAGCGTTGTTCAGCGTCTTCGAGAGTTGGCAGTTTGTTGTAAACTGCAGCTGCCATATTTAAAGCTTGAGGTAAGAATATCTTGTCTGTGTGGAAGATGTTTGTCGAAAAACTAGACTGCAGTAAGATGATGTCTAGCGTAAGAATTGAAAATGATCACTTTCGGATGAGATAGTTCGTTCTTATATCTGCTATCTTTGAGGGCTGAGCTGGAAGCAAAACCAACTACCGAAACAAAGTGGGCTAATGTGCCCAGCTGACTATCCACGAGTCGCGAAACTCAAAGTATCGTAGTGGTTTGAACTCTAGGCTAAAAGTCGCGGGTTGTCTCGCATCCTTGCATCCTTGTCGATACATACCCTTAGACCTCACACTAAAGCCGACCCGGTCACAACGTGTCAGAAACTGCGATTTCAATTTAGAAGTTGAAATTTGCTATGTAGCACCCTCAATATCGATAAATCTTACATCATAAGCGTTGCTGATTCGAATTTTTCGCTTATTTGGCGGCCACCCACCGTCAGGACTTGTGGCCTGATCCTCTCGATCTCGGACTTTGCCTCGTCCACGCACACTGCACCTTGGCTGACGGGGAGAAAATGCTCAGCAGAGGGAACATATCCCAGCCGGAAAATGTCGCTTTAATCGGCAATTACTATCCTGAACGCTGGCTGTCTACGGGGATTCCTTACGAGTTCACCACTCGGCCTACCGTATCACCACCGGCTGCTCTTGTGAGCGAATTCAACCGGCTTACGGCTGAAATTGGGGTCCTGGGCCTGTATCACGTCGGCGATGAAGTCGACACCAAGATGATTGAGCACACCGAGGGACGCAAGAATATCATGACGCCCTTTCTCGATACAGATGAATCCAAAACAGTCAGTCACACGGAGACAGCCTGGAACTTGGGCAAGGGCAATCCTGTTACCATGTCCTGTATGATTATATGTGACTCACGAACCACCAGGAACGGAGTGGCGCAGCACAAGGGTATGCATAGACTTCTCCGCTTTGATTCGCAAGCTGACCACGAGATCAATCAAGGCACGAAGTCCCATCATAAATAGGAAGTCACACGCCTTGGGGACGTTTTTTCGGGCAAAGTAGGCGGAGGGTCTGGAATAACGAGTTCTTTTGATAGAAACTTGGAACCGATATTAGTTATTTGAATCTTCCTTAATGTTTGTACAAGGCATCATCTGCAGTAGCCACTAAATCATTGAACATTCGGCTTGTCCACGCCTCCACAAGTAATAACATTATTTTGGGTGCTTCCTTGAATTAATCTGAAGAAAAAGGTATCTTCTCTTGTCTAGGAATACGGTTGCTAAATTATCGCAAACCATTTTCTTTTTACAAATTGCTATTTTGCGCGTTTTTATGTCCAGCCCTTCACGTTCATCGCATACCTAATTGACTATCTACCATGATTTGCTCTTAGTATTTAGTGGGGCCACTAATTAATCAAAGCCTTGTCTGCAATTCGCTCGGCCTACAGGCTGGGGAAAGTCTTTATTACCACAGTTAAATAAACATAATTTGGCCCATGTTTCCATTGAGGATAAGACTAACGCGATCCGCGCCTGCGTGTATTTCTGCCGTAGGGGGATTCTTTAACAGAATCAAAGGTGTAAATGATATGGTCAAACAAACGATAAAGTTTAAAGGAAAAGTCATCTCCGTTGTGGACAGGATCACTCGGGCAAATTCGGCCACATCCTCGACATACATGGTCGCTTTCGGTCGGCCTTTGGGAAAGTTTCTTGTCTGTGGCAACTATGGCGAGCACCTATGGAACGTCAGTCGCGTACAATCCATGCCGATATCGATACATGTCAGAAGTGCGTTTTAACCTAGGATGATAGGCCCATCAATTTGCCGGTCTCACACAACTGGGAGGAGGCTGCAATATCAAAAGCGATACACCTAAGGGCACAGAGAGCATGTTAATCATAAAGAGCTACACGGTATTGAAGACGCGCATCCACATTTTGGGCTTGGATTGGTTTTATTTCGTCTTTTGACACATTAGTTCTAGGATAAAAAAACAATACACGCAGGTATCGAGGTCTATAAATGCATTGTTCATTCGTATTGGAGAGACTCGTTGAAAAGTTTTTCCTTCCCAGACCCCGACGCTAAAGAACAAGGGGAAATACCAGAGGTTCAAGTGCTTGATAACTAATATTTGACGTCCAATCTCACCGCTCTTGCTATTGGGGCATTTCTTCGCGCTAATCATACAGAATGCCACTTTCCCAAGAGAATCGCCTTCGGATGGCCATGCAGGCCTATAGGTATAAAAGAAAAACAAATCAATTTCAAGTCGGGCCCCTGCCCGTTTTCCCCTTCCGTAGCTAGTCTTACGACAATACATCACAGTTTACACGTCTTCCCCTTACACATGGGGAGCCCAAAATCATAAGAGTAATTGTCAGCTGACCTTTCTCTCTCGTCTCTCGCATCTTCGCATGCCGCTTTCCAAGTCACAAAATTAAACACTTAAATACATAAACCAAATAAACAAAAGTAATAACCAGACCATTCAGCTTCATCTTCTTTTCCTCATAATGTCTTCCAAGCTCTGCACCACCTGTGGCGGGCGCTTTTCCCTGGAAAGTGGATAAGCTAACGCTCAGCAACTAAGGCTGGCGGGGGGGAAGGGGGCGCCAGCCCCCTAGTATTTATAATAATAAACAGGTAATTAAGTGATGGCAGAGAGAGTGGAATGTAAATCCGATGAAATGAACAAACAATCTGCAAACAGTTGTTTGTAGTTACTCGTTTTGCACACCATCACAATTCTCTGATGTCTTAGTATGACCAAACAAATCAAATTGTGAGGTCAGACCGGTTGAATTACTGTAAAAAATAATTGTTTGCATAGGAATTGGTTGACCGGGAAAACTGCCCTATCAAATCACCACTCCCCTCAATCGCCTATCCAATCGGGCTAAAACCGATTGAATTACCAGCCCCCAACATCCTCTGTCAGCAAATCTTATTTTTCCTCCAGCCATAATGAAATGTTACTCTTGACCAAGGATAGCCACTTCCCAGTGTGTATTTGTTTAATCCATGGCATGTTCGCGTTCCCACTCGTCGAAGATATGATTATGCAGTCGGAGGAAGCAATTGAAGCACCTCCATCTGGTCCTGGCATACATGGAGAATCGGCTTTGAGCCCGAGGTGAATCCAGTGGGCAACATCCGTCTACTGCAAGCAATCCAAGCTCTGAGGGCCTCGCTAGACGAATCTAAACGGCAAGAAGTTGAGGCAGAACAAATTTGGAAGCGAGAGTGGAGAGTTACCCGTATCCAGCGCTCGCGAAATTCATGGATCTAGCCTTGCAGTATACACGCTGTCTGCAAATAGCGAGTTAGAATCCATCGCCGGTCAACTTCTGCTTTCTACTGGATATCTCTTCCATATACAATCTATACAACCTGAATCGGCATGGACCTCATCTTGTAGCATATTTTGTACGCAGTCAACTCGTCAAGGGGTAGTAAAGTTTATGTACCAAACGAATAATAGCTAGCGTATTCTGGAATAAAACACCCAGAATCTGTCTCATGTGCATTCTTCCCTAGCAGTCTATTCTGTGTATTACTTCTGGGGAGGGTGGACTGCCTATGTGAATATCCATTAGCATGTGGGAATGGTGACGATAATTACCCACTTGTCGTGGAGGAGATCATTCCACCGCATTTGGTTGACTTTGTGATGTTGCCCCATGCTGCTGTTTTTGCAGTTGGCGCATTTTGGGAATTTAGCACCGCATGCTAGCTTATATAACAAACGATTAATACTCACGCATTTTTGACATTTCAGGGTTCGCTTTCACTCCATGGCACTTGGCCTGCCAAAGCCCAGCCCGTGTCTGAACACTAGAACCCGTTGACGCAAGCGCGCCACCATGACATTGACCAGCAATGAAAAGCGCGCCCAGCGGAGGCAAGAATGCCGCGAGGCTCTGGTAGCTCATATCCGTAAGGAAAATCGCCCAAGCATCATAGAAGGCATATGGCGTTGACAACAACTGGCAGACGAACGACTTGGACTCAAAGTTCCCCCAAACAGGGTCCGCCTGCAGCCTCGCTCCGAAGACGGCTATGCGTGGTCTGTCGCGGAAGGATACGAGTATCTATTAGCAACAAGCTTGAGCAACGGATCTGTCGGCAGATACGGCAGCATCATCGACAACCTGGGTCGCTCAATCGAGGCCATCCACCCGAAGACTCTGGTGCCAAGCTGCACAAACCAGAATTCTAATCCAAGCACAACAGTACGTCTGCGTCTTGTGGGAAACCTCCGCCAATGTTCTGGGCACATCGCTGATGGCGAAATGACTGTTGCAGAGCCCGATTCCACAGGTTGAAAACGGGTCCTTCACTGCCACTATCCGACGGCTAGAGTGCGAGAATGAGGAGCTCACTGATGAGCTTGATCAGGCGCAGTCACGGTCCAATGCATTGCTGATGAAGGTTGAGGAATGGAAGACGCGGGCACAAGCCATGGAAGAGCAGCTAAGAGAGAGCCAGAGTCTGGTGGCTCGGCTTGACGAAGAGTTGAGAGAGGCGCAGGGAGGAATGGCCAAGGCGGTGAAGCTGTTACAGAGTTTCCGGGCACACGAGGAGCCGCAGTCACGTGGGAGTGAAAACCCAATATGTTATGACGCCGCGCGTTCGCCAAGTCGGGAAAAATGAAGAGTTTCAAGTTCCTGTCAGGCAGGACCAGTGTCTGTACTGTAGCTCCGCACAAAGTGTAGTTATCTTATCCTAAACACCACTCGGAGCAACGATCTGATTGACGGGCGACAAAAAGGATCGGCGGGGGAATATGGCGGGTATGGCCTGGATATATCTAACTTGATTTAAAGAGCATCGCTTCATGTTGCGCACCGGAGAACGGAATTCAATACTAAGGAGGAGGACTCAGTATACGGTTTATCATGAACAATCTCCGCCAAGCCGGCGGGAAACATATCTTATCAGCTCAGATATCTACGATAACACTCGCCGGTCGAAGTAGACGGCTCATCTTTATAAAGTCAGACTGACAGCCACTATATCAATCAGAATGGAAATACAGACCTTCAATATTTTCCGCTTGCTGCCTAGCTCTCCCCTTACTGCTTGCATTGGGAGTCTTTACGTGCTCCCATCCGTTGGAGTAAGGGTGGAGCCGGATCCTTACCCCTGTCCAACATTGACGCCGCGGCTACACGATCTGATGCTCGAAGCCACTGTATTTGATTGAGCCTTCTGTTCCCAGGTGACACGGTGCTCTCATTGGTCAGGGTGGACGGCCCCACCAGGCAGTGCGGCATATCCTATGGAAATCTCCTGTAACAAAACAAGTGCCGCCGATCAGTGCGTACACTCAGAATGGGATATGGATTTGCTGCATATACGAGAACCTAGGCCCGTGATTATACGTGCCCCAACCAGTTTAGATTGCATCAAGAGCCATGATGGCCGGACTGACTATTACTATCACGACAGGAGAAAACAGTCGTCGCCATACTTGTTTGTCTTTGTGGGCGATATGTTTTGAAAACAAATTGTGTTCCGGGAGCGGACATTGAATCGCAGTACGGCATGAGCTAGTGCCCAGTAGGCCCTTTCGTGTTTTACTACATTGCTTCTCTGCATATTACACCGCTTTTCTCACCGCTGTTTCAAACGTTTACCATTTTATAAATTACCATTTTTTAACTATTATTGATTCACCCCTCTCATCTCCTGTTTCTATATTGCTAAAAATGCGCCTCCAAAGACAATTGGAAACCTGGAAATTCAAAAACGGATCTAAACCTTACTTTTCCAAGTAGGTCTTGATGATTATCATATCCACCAAGTCCTCTGCAATGAAGGGATTCAAATTGGTCATCGTACGGTCCAAAGAATACGACTTCATCTTGGATTTCGACGTCGAAAAGATGACCATCAAAGCCAAGAAGCTGAAATCTAACAAATCACTACTATTCTGCAGTTGCTCGAGGTGATTCTGATGATGGAGGAGAGCCTTTATTCCATCCTGATGTCATTATTTATGGTAAACCACCACCTGAAGGGGAGCCATTTGAACTATCCTCTGCTTCTATAGCAGAAACAGAGGTCGTACGACACGCAAAGGAAGTACCAATGGCGCTAAAAGAGCGGACAGCTGGTCTTCAGTTTATTTGGCCTTTGAATTCAGAGCCTGCACCAATTCCTGCGCCTGTGCCGATTCCTGCCCATACGCCGATTCCTGCCCCTACGCCGATTCTGCCTCTGCGCCGATTCCTGTACCTGTGCTGATTCCTGCTCCTACACCGGCCCCTGTATCTATTCCTACATCGATTCCTGCGTCGATTCCTGCGTCGATTCCTACGTCTGCCCCTAAGTGTGTACAATTACAGAGGACTCGATCAAAGAAATCGACTCAGCAAAAGCAGCAAGTCTCTAAATCTGCTTCTGCGCCTACTTCTACACCTACTTCTATACCTGTGTCCGAGTCTGTACGACCGCAGCAGATAAGGTCAACTCAGAAGCGATTGGAACCTACAGATGTCGGTACAGCTCCAGCACGTCGAAGTCGGTCTCGTCTAGCAAGTAAAAAGGATTGAAAAAGTGATAGTTTTTGTGTATTTAGTTTAGTTTGGTTATTTTGTTTATTGTAGGAGATGATTTTATAAAAAGGGTTTGCTGCTTTTCAATAGAAATTGATTAAAGGAAGCTCCAGAGGATAGTAAGAGAGAGAACCATTGGCCCCAAAAACGCCGAGTATTCTCCTCCCATTGCTGTTGTCGATTCCTCCAGATCATCTGGAACAGATCCCTGATAGCGTTGAAGATCTTCCTGGCGAGATTCCTGATCATTCCCAGCAGGACGACGATTTCGGATGCGACCTCCAGGACGTCTTTGACGGAATCGACAGTGCCCTTGGTGCGATGGGGTTAGCGAACTGACCCGCACGGAGGGAGAGTGGGAGATTGGTGAAGAGTGGAAGAGGTCTGCGACGGTGAGGTGCATTGTATAGATCATGGAACAAAATAGACTAACCTGATTTGGACTAGCACTCGTAATCTTACATGATCGAATACACAAAGTGGCAGAATCGCAAAATAGCAAAGTGGCAAAACACGAAAGGGCCTACTGGGCACTAGCTCATGCCGTAATCGCAGGGAATTCAGTCTGATAGGCTCTCTGTCTCGTCCTTTAATTATGCTATGGGGTTGTAGAAAAGGACAAAGAAAGTTATATTCACTGATTCCGGTTCTGCTTGCCATCCCACTAATTCAAGCTTTCCCAAGAGCACCACCAGAGGACCAGATACTCAGTCTTTAGCTGACCGTTTCGAGTAATTTTCTCTTTTTTGCTATCGCTTTGATGGGTTTCTTCTCGAGGCTCGGTATCTGGATAAAATGGCGAGGAGAGCCAGACCCTAACACACACTTGTTCTGAGCATACCTTTCGATCCATGGGTCGAGTAGTCGTATATTAATCGTGAATTAGATCAAAAACATCGCAGCAACTGCACACGCTCTCGCTGAGGCTGACGTCAACCAGGTGAACTACAAATACTTGGAGTTAGCTGCGGAATCGAATAAGAAATTTTCGAAAGAGTTCGGTCGACAGGGGATGATTGACGGGATGTATCTCTAGCAGCATACCTGGGAAAGTCATGTGGAAAATTCCATTCCTCAATCCTGTGGAGAACACAGTTTCAAAGAGGTATCGAGGATTTGTGGCGTAATGTTTTGCATTTTCTTCAAATGAACAGCCAGAACCTTAAGGTACTGCCATATCGCAGATTTCCGCCCTTTTCAGGCCGTGCTTGTTTTCCCTTGCTCCGACGTAATGATTGCGCCGTGTATTGCCGGACGTGGGTTCAAGGGCCCGAGGGCGCTTCAACCATTTCACATCCTCTAAGTCAATGACAAACAAACGGCCACCCAGGTCATCCCACAACATATTACGCCACTCACTGTCGCCGTGGATAACTCCGCGTGACCGGAGCACGGCCAGTGCTTTCTCGCGCTCTTGGTGAAAGAAGCTGGAATTCCGATCATTGATGACATGCTGAAGCCGGGTTCCAGACCAGCTCAAGACCATCATCTGGGCCATCAACTCGCCGTGGTACCAATATGCGATACGAGGCTTAAAGACCCCAAGACAGACAGGGATGTGTTGTCCTTGCAAGCTCCCGAGACGGTGATAACTGTCCACTTCCGCTTGGAGGCGATGCTGCTTCTCCACAGTCGTAGCTTTAATAATCACAGTGTATCCGCGTGAAAGAAGGGTGGCTTTTATGAGGTAGCCTGTCCGACCACAGACGTGCAGCTGTTCAAACCCAAGGTCTCGATCTCGTACAAGTTGACGATGAAGCTGGCGTATGAACTCCTGCGGCCCTATGGAGTGACGTTGATTACCGTGGAGTTTCCAGTTGGGGCATTTTTTATCCAGAGGGTCTCGGCCGACCATGCCGCGGATGCAGGCTGTGGTGCAGTATGGTCGTGTAGATTTCCCGTCTTCTCGAGAGGTCGGTGTCCGTTTGTTGTCCCGGCTGGCTCGTGTCCTTTCGCTTCCCCTGGTTGACTGACGGTTGTTGCCTCGGCCGCGGCTTGATCGGCTGCGCGACGCTGCGGCGGCGGATGGCGACCGCGATTCTTGATCACTGCCGCTGCCTTCAGTCGATGAGTGCTTTGGTGTAGATGCGTCTGGCTGACATCGAGCGCGAGAGCGTGTGTTGTGTACTTTCCGATCTCGTTTCCAATGCGAGGGCCGATAATTAGAGGACCTCGGGTCTTTACGGAGAGTTTCGGGAATTTCCTTCAACACGTCGAGATATTCGACCTCCCAGGTCGTTAGCTTGTCGTGTGCCACATCGTGCCACTCTTGAGAGGGAGCTTCTGCGGCCAGCGCTTGAAGGGTGAACGCAAGCACCTGCCCGATGGCGGTCCGATGGAGGCGCAATTCATCGTCGGCCTGTACGTCTTGATTCGGGATACACAAGAAATATTGAACAATGGTGGGATCATCCTTTGGAATATGGAGGAAAACAAAAGCCTCCCCCGTGCAGATGTAGCCGTATCGAACCCCACTGTCGATCATGTATGAGAATATCTGGGTGACGACGGCGGCGACGAGGCGGGTGGCATAAAATTCAAATGTGTCGCCTTCCTGGTCAATGACATCGCGAACCAGATCTATCTGGTGTAGACCCGCCACCAATTCGGGAGCTGTCACCTTGTGCGGCGCTTTGAACTCCACTGTATACACTGGTATTTGTCGTTCATTAGCCACAAGGTGCACGCAGAACTGGTCGGCCCGCCGATTGCGTCTTCGTGCCGTGCCATCCCTCTTCTGTCTCTGCGCCGTTTCTCTCCCTCTTCCTCCGCCTCTTCCACGCCTAGAGTTCGCCGGTCGTTGGGGTGTCCGCGCGTCTTGAAGATTCATCTGTTCTAGGCTGTTCTCCAGGGAAGTTTCCGAGGGATTTGCGCGATCATAGAAGGTGACTCGACCTTGGATTCCAAACTCCTGTCGAAGGGGTTCATCGTCTCGCAAAGCCTTAATGACCTTTTCTACAAAGTTATCCACCGTCTCTTGCTCAAAATTCCGAAGAGACGCTTCCGAATAGATCGGCTTGTTCTGGATATTCGTAACGACATAATCGATTTGGGCGTCAGAAGGGAATAGTGGGCGCGAGGTAAAGGCAGCGGTGCGGTCAAATTTCTCCCAGACTTGTTCCTGTAGCTGGGGAAAGTCAAGCCAAGGGACGATGTGCTTAGGGTAGAGTCGATTCACTGGGTCGGTAGCGTCGCCCTGAGTCGTGAGGGTCGCATCTGCCTCGACTTGAATCGCTTGGGACAGAGAATGGTGGCAGCGATCGAGGAGGTGCAGTAATGTGTTGGGTTGCATGCTCTGCTACTCATGCGACCTTCAGAAGAGACTTATCAGCCTAATCATGCATTCAAACGATGACAGACGAGTGACAAGAATTCTTGACAAGGTTCCCGTGTTACAGCAACCTTCACTCAAAAATGATGGGCAAGCACCGGCAAACGAACCCAGAATCAAGCCAGGTCCTCTCCAACCAGGTACCCGCCCAATCAAGAGGACAACCACACCATCTTCCTCGGAGCCTCCTGCTAAGGTCATCCGAGGGTTCCCTAGGAACTTCGCTCTCCAAGCAACTGGCCATTTGGAGAACAGTATCGGCTGGGATGGATCTATAAGAGATGAATCGCCCTGGGATACGTTCAAGCCGTACTACGAATGCGATCTAGCTGGCAATGTTTCTGTTTGTATCCGGTCCTCTGGCAATCGAGCTGCACGGGCGATCCGTCGATACCCTAATGAAGATGCCGACAGAATTCTCGGAATCCTCCGTTCCATATCCCATAAAAATGTGGCTTCCGTTAGGGAGTGCTTTCGCACTTCTGATTCCTTGTATACTTTAAGCAAATTTGATCCTCTCACCCTAGATCATGTTGTCGCCTGTGTAGCATTTCCAGACCAGGTTGAGCTAGCTGCGATCATGTCCCAGGTTTGTCGTTCCCTTATTCTTTCAAATGAGACCTAGGTCGCTAATCATGTACAGATTCTTGACGGACTATCGCATCTTGTTGGTCAAAAATTTTATCATCCATATTTGGATTGTTCTAGCATTCTGATGAGCCTTGAGGGGGAGATAAAGATTGGTAAGGTATATCCATAAATACGGCCTGAGGGTTGTCTACTAAAACTAGCACAGCGCGGATTGACTGCTGTGTCATCAAACAGACAGGCAGGCTAAATAACACTGATATGGCTCCTGTAACCAAAGTCATGATGGAATTGATGCAAAAATATTCTAAAGAGGAGGGGGCTGTCGGAATTGACAATCTTGACCGCTGGCAAAACTGCCCAGCCGCCATCGATTTTCTGTCTGCCACCATCTCGGCTAGCTCATTTGAGGAACTGAAAAAAGTACGTGACCCATGGTTTTGATTTGGGACTCTGCTCATTGGTTTCTAGCACCGCTTTTTAACAGAAACCCGATGGTGTCCGGGCGATCTAATCGGCCTCGCATGATTTGCTCTGATATCCGCGCGTACATTCTACTCATTCACGCAGAGATTGGAGGGCAATGACTAGACCATGCCGTCATTATTTACGTACTTGAAAAGGGGAGCAAACAACCTAAAGAGCGATCGATTTAACCAGAAAAGAAAACAGGTATTGAGTTTCCGTAGAATTTGCTTTATTGGTGGCTCTATTGTGGTGTATTGCATCTTCAAGCTTTCTCAACACAAATTATTCCAATACAAAATCCAATCTGAAATAAAACAGCGTTCCGTATACCGATGACGAAATATTTATAGGCTAAGGGTCGAGTAATTCCTAAGGAAATCGTGCATTAGTGGAGGCTCCTAGGAATGAGTATAGGCATAGGTCTCCCAGGAACAGTGCGGGAGCTCCTAGAAACCACGGGCAAGCACTGAGACTGCCAGAAGCAAAAAGAAGACGGAAGACCTGATTCCTAGGATACGGATTTCATTATTTCTGGGAGCAATGTGAGTGTTTCCTGGGAACACTATACCCGTCTCCCGGGATCCTTAGGGCTCCCAAAACGCATTCATTTCTGTTTGCGCATTCCTAGGACCCTCCACTTAGGCTTTATTTTCCTCCTGGGAGCCCCAAGCGATGATTCCTAGGCAGGCTCTTGGTCGCTCCTAGAGATCAAATTCAAAATTCCTAGGCGGCCTACAGGTGCGCGAATATAGAAATACTTGGTAGATGCAGTTCGATCCGTCCAATCATGTTAATTGGATGCCCTCAATAGCACCAGGAACTACAACAAAAGCATCGGTCATGGTTTGGCTATACAGTACCGTAGTAACCCATGCTGTCGTTTTGAAACCATTTTCGCCCGTCCCCTTCAGCACCATCACAGCTTCTCAGAATCAACCAAAACCTGCACACGTGAAATCCAGCACTGAGCAACCTAGTAAGGTTGGAGGTTGTTGTCATTGGGGTAGGGAGACGAGTAGAAGTCTACATCAGTAACTAGTCTAATTTTTGACAGTGTCGTTGAGGAGACAACATTAATGTAACACCCCCCCCCCACACCCCTATCGTCGGAAAACTCCCTACACTTGTATACAAAAAGCCAAGTCCATTTCCAATCAAATCATACTCCTGGATGAAGCTACCTCTGCGCCCGACCCCCAAAGAAAAAGCTTCTCCACAAATCCCTACTCAAGCGATGTCTACTCTCTTGGCATGCGGCTACCACATACACAGTACATCCTAAAGACGGGAGTGTCCGCGAGTTCCGACGCACGAGACGACCGCAGAAGCTTTGCCTTGAGTAAAGGAAAGCATGTCGATTACTTTGAACACGGGTTTCAACCCCAGAACCAAAGAAGAAACTTCTTAGTGCCGGATGACCAGATACCTTTGGTGCCGTAATGCTCGGTTATATGCCAGTGATAGCAGGTATCTCATGAACATATCCAATGAGAGGCTCTGGTCTAGATAAGTACATTGAAATCAGAATTGCTACCTTGAGCATTTTGCAAGGTCATCATCGAAATAGCAGGGCAGCGTAATGGATTATCCGCTGCCTCGAGGCTGCTATCAATACACAAGACTATATATACCCCTGGATCGTACCAATGTCTCGTACAGTAACCCAACTGTCATTTTAGCTATGGTTTTCTATTCTCAGGGCCTGTTGCTGCATGGTTGTTCCATGCGTGAGGCCGATCAGATGGATTTGCTCTTGAATGGAGGTCAAAGCGAGCTCTATGTCCGATGATGGCGATCATTGTGCACTTTTGATAGAGAGATTGCCTATCAACGGACCCTTCCGAGAACTTGGGTATGTCTTTGTCCTCTCCCGTTATTCTCAATTAATAAACATTACAATACGGACGAATTTGTAGTACTAGCATACAAATACTAGCAACTGTCTATTTAGCATATGACATTGGTGGTAATGGATGTAGAATATATTACCCCTGCAAGGCATGAGAAGCCATTCTGACCACAGATTTTTGATGCTTTTGGAAAGGGTGACGCTCGGTTTGTAATGAATGGTACTAACTCCATCGAGCTATAGATCCTCGGTAATAGAGTGGGAAGCTCCCGCATGTTATTTAGACCGTCATCGTTGGCTAGGGTCTGTCGACTTCAGCGATTGCTGCTGATGTGAAGTGAGACTAGAGATTTATAATAATAAACAGGTAATTAAGTGATGGCAGGGAGAGTGGAATGTAAATCCGATGAAATGAACAAACAATCTGCTCAGCCGAGGTTTAAAGTAAACAGTTGTTTGTAGTTACTCGTTTTGCACACCATCACAATTCTCTGATGTCTTAATATGACCAAACAAATCAAATCGTGAGGTCAGACCGGTCGAATTACTGTAAAAAATAATTGTTTGCATAGGAATTGGTTGACCGGGAAAACTACCCTATCAAATCACCGCTCCCCTCAATCGCCTATCCAATCTGGCTAAAACCTATTGAATTACCAGCCCCCAACATCCTCTGTCAGCAAATCTTATTTTTCCTCCAGCCATAATGACATGTTACTCTTGACCAAGGATAGCCACTTCCCAGTGTGTATTTGTTTAATCCATGGCATGTTCGCGTTCCCACTCGTCGAAGATATGATTATGCAGTCGGAGGAAGCAATTGAAGCACCTCCATGCTGTCCCGTAAGAGTTTACTGTATCAATCACTAACAGCCAGCAAAAATATTGAGAAAGGATGAGATCGAACAAGAACACATCTAAATTAAAGATGCGTATGGCGCCGTTTACTTGAATTGCTTCTTCAGCCATTTTAGATGTGCCAAGTGACTGGCTCTCTATCACGTCGCGGATGAGATGCAGCTTGGATAGTGGAAGTCTCGGAGCCATTTTGTGAAGTCGATTATGACGTTATAGAGAGATAGTCGGGTGAAGATGCCTCCTGCTTGAGGGGGTGGTATGGCAGAGAATTACTATTGTATGGCATTTACGAGTAAGATACACAAGCCAGGGTCCCACCTTCGTCATGTAAAATACAATGTCTATTGTTGGAAATCGCGGATCTATCATTATTCCAAATGTGGACTAGCGTGTTTAAGATTAGGCTTCGCGAATCAAGTCGCAAGAGTGTCGAGTTAAAACTGATTTCGAATTCTACTGTAGCTCACTATATTGTCACAATTAAATTCAATGGTCAAAGGGTCCTAGGAACGGCTCAGTAACAAGGCAAAATTTGACATGAAATCATATTTGTCGGGATACAAACCTGGTGCAATCAGGAACCAAGCCGCATCATCCGAATTGGTCCTTTCATACATAACTCAGAAACTCCACAAATATACCATCTCTCGTTCTTCAATGCACATACCAAAAATCAAGTGGCAGAGCCTAGTGCCGTCTCCAATACAACTCTAGAGTAACCAACAACACTGTATGCCAAAATCAAGTGCATCAAATAGAGGCTAGACCGCCAACTACTGAATACCCCAATAGTCTCAAGTGGTTGGATTCTGTAGATTGCAGCACCGATCGTAGTATAAATTGCGAAATGGCCAAGTTGGGTCGCCAGCGGCGGGGGATTTGGCAGCGTCCCGGTCAGGGCGTGGATCGTTGGAACCAGGGAAAGCAGACCCAGTGAGACACAATGGTAAGGAAACCTCATTCGCGCCGTAGAGATAGTGGGATCGCAAACTAGGAAGTCTACCAGATTTCCAACGGCGACTAGGGTAAATGCGAACACATAGCCAAGCTGGATGGAAGGCTGTGTGGTGAATTGCAATACCACAGCTGGAACCGTTGACGCCCAGATAAGGATCAAAGCCCCAGCGAACTCGAGCTTTTGCCAGTGGGCTGCACCGGCTCCCTGGAACGCAGATATCGTTCGGTAAATTAGGCTTGACAAGTACCATAATAGACCACCGCCGCTAAAAGAGATCACAGAGAGTGAATTGATGATCGCATCTGGAGATGACGGGAAATGGAATAGAAGATATTGGAGGACAAAGAGAGCAAAGTAAGTCAATCCGAAAATGTCGATGATGGTGATGACTGCAGAGTCGCGCAGATTGTGAAGCTCGGAGTTGGGCATGGTAATCGCGTTGCCTGGTTAGAATTTTTGATAGCAGGTGCAGGTCGGCCAGGTTTTATAACCTCGGTCGGTGGTAAGATACAGAGCGGATGTGATCTGTCACTATCTTTTAGACAGCGACCGCATCATTCCTCCGCCCTTACGTATAGAATTGAGTAATTCATTTGAACGCGATTTGAAAGCAGTTGCTTTATTATGGAAGACGCTCAATACCAAGGTCGACTTGTTTAGAAGGGATTGTTAAAGCAACAAGATTATCGTGTAGAGGATCTAGGGATTTCTGATTGCTGGTGGAGCTTGTATACGTATTGATCGTTATTAGGTTTTGAGTTGGAGAATCGGGAGAAAGCGTCGCGCCGAGAGGATTCAGATCTGAATAGCCTGTCTCAGGAGGATGAGTGTACGAGAGCTGTGGGAAGTTTGTTTGTAGCGTCTGTGATGCCTTCGCAGAGGCTAACTCGCGGTATAAAGCTGACGAACTAGTTAATTCTAGCCCCGGAGGGGAACAAAGCGGTAGTGAAGCCATAGTACGATATTACCAAATGTCATTTCAATAAGTGTCTTCGTTGTTACAGATGGACTTTGTTCTCAGCAGTGGAGAGGCGACGTCGGCCAGAATAGCAAAACTCGATTTATAATGCTCCTAATATTGCTCTCATTAACCCTCAGATCCTCACAAAACGCTCCCATATATAGAGACTCATGAAAGATTGGAAAGGATGGGCTAACCCCAGCCGACAAGAAGCAACGGGATACGTGCAAGAATAAATCTCCTATGACTCGGCTCAAGCTGTAGTAAATAGCTGTCCCCTCGCCTGTTCTCTCAGCGTAGCAACAGTTGGTCCCCAAAATTTGATTCATGGTTTGCTCTTCCACTGATCACTAGAAAAGCCTCAATCTAGGACAAATAAAAAGTTGAAGCTCGAAGGGACCGTTTCACACGTAATGCTTCGGTATCATTCTTGA